AAAAGAGGCGGTCGGCGGCGATCGGTCACGTGCTCGAACGTGACCTTCAACCAGGCACTGGCCTGTTACATAGACTATTTCTCGGCGCGCTAGGATTAGTACGCTCTACGAAGCTAATTATACCTCCACCTACTAAGTTAACGCCGCTAAGCTCTACTATCCTAACCACCTATAACTAAAACCTAAATTACCGGTACCGGTTAAAGACCAAAGTATACGTATTAAGCTTAATAACAGTATTTAGATCTTCGGTGATACTAAGGCACGTATTAAACTCGAAACGCTAGTCGCGAACTACGATATCTAGACCCGCCTAGGATGGCTAGCTAGACTTATTAATATCCCACGAGAGTAATAGATAAGGCTTCCGCTTATCCTAGATACTAAGATTCCCTAAACGTAACGATATAAAGTTAGCCTAGCCTCTAAGTAACTAATCGATAGCGTTTTCGATTAGCTATATACTTAAGGTAAGATATCTTTTTCCACTAGTCACACTAGAGGCGCCCTAGCTTCGTTCGTCGTTTTCAAAATAGTGTATAGGGATAGTAAGCTATAAGTGGTTAGTAGACCTATAATCGATTGCTAACCGCTTAATAAATATTTAGTCCCTAATTAATATCCGCTCCTATACTAAGACGATATTATCTAGCTAGTATATAGTAAGCGCTATATTACGATCATCGACGCGGCTAAGTTTTTTTACTAATAGCGAGTTTACCCTAACGACACTAATCTCTAAGCTATAATTATATATCGCGGCTAGAAAGTACTATATATTATAGTTATAGGAAACGCTAACTTAGTGGCGTATATCTAGCGGTAGATAGATAATATCCTCTATAAATTCCGTTCTTAGTGTCGCGTATACGTTAATAATATCGTCGCGGTTACCGATACCCTAGAAGAGTACATCGAGCGGCTTAATCTACTCTTCGCTAAGTTCTAAGAATTTAATATCTCCCTAGACCCTACGAAGGCATAAATTAGCTTCCTAAGCCTAACCCTTCTAGGTAAGGAAATCGATTCGCTTAGTATAACCACTAAGGAGGAAAAACTAGGCGCTATCCTAACCCTACAATTCCTATAGACCTATAAGTAGCTCGAAACCTATCTAGGTATAATAGGCGAGTTTCGTTATTATATTAAATATTACGCCTATAAAGCTACTCCACTATATCAACAAAAGAAGGATCTATTAAAAGATAGCCCTATTAAGGGCGCACTAAGACGGTCTTGGTCGGCCTATAGCATTCTTAATAACCTATCAGAGGATAAACTATAATCTTTCTAAGCGCTCTAGAACGAGTTCAAAAGCCCACGATAGCTCGCTCACTATAATCGTGACTAGTAGCTCTACGTTATATTAGATAGTTCTAAAGAGCGGGGATATAGTATAATGGTATACTATATTAACGTAGCTTATTAATACGCTAACCTTTTAAAGACACCACCCTCTACTTAGGTCTACCTAATTCTCTTCCTAAGTTAGATACTTAGCGACGCGAAGAAGAATTATTAGCTAACGAAGTTAGAAATCTTATGCCTAGTCTAGGTTATCAAAAAGGTCCGCTATATAATCGAGGTAAGCCCGCCCTAAAAGCCTATAATTATCTATATAGACTATAGTAGTACTATTAGTATCGCTAACGCGACTATACTTTCGTTAAGCTCGGTGGACAGAACTAATCTACGCTTAGTTCGCGCTTCGCAATATATCTAGTAGTTCCACCTAAGGCTATTCTATCGACCTAGAAAAGAAAATAAGATCGCCGACGCCCTTTTGAGATTACCTATAGCGATAGACTCTAAGCCTAAAAACGATCTAGACTTAATTAAAGCCCCCTACGCCTTCCTTACTTCAGTAGTCAAACTATCTAAGACCATAAAAAGCTATATTTAAGATAGTTATAAAGCTAATAGCCGCCTCGCTACGCTAATCTAGTTATTAGAGGACATTAAAGCTAGCGACGACGCTATTAAACCTACACTACTGTACCGCCTATATAACGGTTTCCTATATTTTAAGAACGCTTCTAGGGAGGAATCACTTTGCCTCCTACGCTCCTTAACCACTAACGTCTTCGCCCTTATATACGATAACCAAGCTCACTAAGGGTTTAACGTTATATAGTAGAAACTTCGTGGTTTCACCTTTTATAAAGGCGCTAAGCTACTTAAGGTATATATCTAACACTGCTTAGTCTATAAAGACAACGTAGTCCTAAGACACCGCCTATATAGTTTATTATAACTAATACTTTCCCCCCTAATCCCCTTCTACACGATTATAATAGACTTTGTGGTCAGACTCCTAATCGCTAAACATAGTCTAGACTACGTGCTTACGATAACCAATAAGTTCACTAAGCTAATCGCTCTTATCGCTAGCAAAAAGACCTAGACTAGCGCTAATTAGGTATAAATAGTCCTAGACTACTTTTTCTAAGCGAATTAGGGCATCCTAATCGTGATAATCATAGATCACGATCCTAAGTTCGTATAAGGCTTCTAGAAAGCTTTCTTTAAAGCCCTCTATATTTAAATATTTTACTTAGTAGCTTACTATCCCTAAACCAACGGCTAATCTAAGCGAATAAACTAAATAGTTAAAATTATACTACGTTATTAGATCGCGTCGCACTTAGCTAAATTAAAGGCCGCTAAGGATTAGCCTACCACCTTACTAGCTCTATAGATAGTGGCGAATTTAAGCGCTAAGCCCACTATAGGTTACACCCTACACTATTTATTATATAGAATAGATCTTAATAACCTATAGGAACTACTACGCTAAGCTACTCCTCGAGACCCTAAGTTCGTGGCTCGCGCCAACGCCAAAAGTTCCCTCGCTTTCGCTATAATAACGATAAAGCGTTAATATAACGCTAATTATAAACCTATTTATTTTAAACTAAGCGATTTCGTCTACCTACGCCTTAGCTATAGCTATAATATTCCTAAGAACGCCTTATTACCCACTAAACTTACTTAGCGTTTCGTGGGACGTTTCAAAGTTATCGAAAGAGTAGGCCGCCTAGCCTACTACCTCGCCCTCCTAGAAACCTAGAAAATATATCTAGTTATTAATATTATATATCTAGAGCTAGCACCACACGGTGTCGACCCCTAGGACCGCCGCCCTAACACTAAGCACTTACTAACGTTTAACCTACGTTTCCCTAATAAGGAAGATAGGTATAACGTTAAGAAGATTCTCGTAAAATAAGTTCGCCTAGCCCTAGGTCGTCCCTATACCGACGGCATAAAGCATATAATCACTAAATACCTCGTTAGATAGTTAGGCTAGTCTATAAAGGAAGATAAATAGATCACCGCTAACGAAGCCGCTAGTTATAAGGATCTTATCCACGAATTTAAGGAGAACTAGAAAGCTAGTCTCTCTTCCACTATCTAATCTAAAAATCAGATAAGAAGAGAACGTATCCTTTACCTTAACCTCGCCCACGTTTCTCTTTTATAACCCCCCTTAACTTTATAACTCTATAACTTTATAACTCTATATTTCTCCTCCTATAACTACCCTTACCTTTATATCTATCTTTACATCTATCTTTATATCTATCTTATAACCCTATCCTTCTATCTATCCCTATCTTATCTCTTATTTATAAACCTAAAATTAAACTATTAATTAACCCACTAACCGCTGTCCTAACTCTCACTTCGAAATAAAAACTAAATTTTACTTCGAAATACCTCTAGAGTAGCCTAGAATAGCCCCACTACGCTAGCGGAAGCGGAAGCGCGAATCTAATACTACACAAAAGCGTGAACCTAATATTATTGGCACCTCTAAATAGAACCCTAAGACACCTAAATAGTCTAAGACTAATATAGTTATCTCCTAAAAAGACCCCTATTAGCTAGCTAAGGAGTGGCCCTATCTCGTTAAGAAGTCGATACGTATCTACGCTAATAACGCTAAGATCGTACGTCTAGAATAGTAAGTCGATGACCTAACCCCTAACCTCCCTAAAAGGCCTACTAAGGCCTAACTCGCTAGCCTAAAGAAGTTCACTAGCTCACTCTAGGGCATAAATAACGACTTCGATAATAAGTTTTTTATCCCTCCCCCTAAGTTCACCACGCTTACGGACGAGGCTATCTATTAGGTTACTAAATATTATTCCTAAGCTAAACGCGGTACTTAATACCTAGTCGATTTCGATGCTAATAGTAATATCCGCGGTAACTAGGCCCTAATAGGCCTATCGCTAATTATAATAGTTAATAGTTTCTATTACCTCCTAGTCTAGAAGGGATATATTATCGCTTATAGAAGTTTTATCAGCAACTTAATACTAAGCTATAGGCTTAAGGACAAGTCCGATCTATAACTTAAATATTAGCCCCTATACGAATAGATAGTTAGCGTAGTTATTATTTCCCCTTATATCGTCCGCTAAGTTAATTTAAACACCCTCTATTACCTCTATAATAACCTTAGTAAGCTAACTGCCGACCTTACCCTAATAGAGAAGGGTTCAATTTCGGTTAGGGACGACGTCTACCAAGACTATTTTAATAAGGCAATAGTCGTCGCCCCTAATAGCCCTACGTTCATTGAAAACTAGAAGCTTTTAAACTACTAAGCCCGTTTCGGCGACCACCTAAACGCTATAGTGCTACCCTGCGCTTTCTTCAAGAGGCACCGGATCCCGCTCAACTATAACGCAAACGTTTACGGCACTTTCAATACTGATCTAGCTAACTTAGATATTCTTCCGAACGAAACTTTTGACTAGGAGATATATAGCGCGGTTCACGCTTAACAGTATATCCTAAGCCGCCCCAACACACCCCCGCTAGCTTTCCAATCCGCCGATGCCCCTAAGCCCGCCGCTATAAAGCCCGCCCCTAAGCCCGCTAACTCGCGTTATATCGACGCCGGTGAGTTTAGCGACTTCTTCCCGGAGATTCGCACGATAGCCGATAATATCAACGCCGTAATGGACCTTTAGGACGAGGCGTCCGCTCTAAAGGCGGTCCTGCAGTCCGACGAAGTTCAACGAGCCCTGAAGATTCCTGCCGCCTACGAGGCATCCCGCAATAATTTCCTCCGGAAGCGCGAAGCCATCGCAGCAAGCATGCAGGCGATGGAAGGTGGCGTGCAACGCAAGGCCACTGAACTCTATCAACAAGCTTTCCAGGCCTGCGACGATGCGGCCGACTCGGAGGCGGCCGACTCGGAGGAGACCTCGCCACACTGACTTTGCGGATTTCATGCTGGCGGTTCTCATATTTTTTACAAAGTTTTCATGCTCGCAGTTTTCATATTTTTGCTTTACATTCTCTAGCAGCTTGTCATCGTGGACGATGATTTTTTTGAGAGCGGCAGTTATTGCCAAGCTGGTCAGGTGACCACCATTAGTTAGTCAGTTAGCTCGGCTAGAGAATGAGATCATCTTTACCACCACACAGCTTTCTGCGTACCAGGCTCCCGTTTAAACTTTTGAGCTGATATCTTTGAGGTCATGTATTCTATCTCGTCATCGATGGGGCTGTATAAGAAAGCAAAAACAAGACATTCAACCCTTGTAATCATCTCAGAACTCTGAGTCATCTTGGTTCTCGTCCTCATCCATATCATCCTCTTCGTCAAGTCCCTCGAAGATCATGAATTTTTCATTCTTAGCATCAGTATCATCAGGGACAACATAAGACTCTTGAACCTCAGAATCCTTCAGCTGAGAATTCTGGCCGATCTTGGCCCTCCGGCCTACTAGACACCCTGTCAAGACTGCCTTTGGCCCGACGGAGACGCCGTCCATCAAGACACAGCGCGTAATCCGGGCACCGCTGGAAATATGACAGTTACTTCCGATAACAGACTCCTTAAGCACTGCAAATTGCTCCACGGTGACGTTTTCGGCGAGCAGACAATCCGACTTGGTGACGGTACAGCGCTGGGCCACACCCTCTGGGTGAGCGATCTTTTGGTTGTGTGCAAACGGTGAAGCCTCGGTGCGGCCAACCTCCTCGATGGATGGAAGTTTTGCCAGGCGGAGAGAGGTAGACAACAGGAGAGCGGAGCTATCGACACGTCGGACGAAGGGAGCAGATCCTCTTTGGACGTATGCAAGCATGGGGGGGAATTTCGAGGGCTTCTGGTCCTTGGCTGACTCTGACTCTGGTGCCTTGACCCTGGATGCATAGGAAGGCAGGCCAGCTTCAGGGATGCTAGAGCCACTCTTTGTGGTGCTCATGGCCTGCAAGTCAAGCTCTTCTTCCACCGATTCGTCGTCATGGCTTGTAGTCTCGCCGGGAGTTTGGTTCTCCCGCTGCCGCTCGAAGATCTTGGTCATTCCCAGCTTATCTTCAAGACCTTTCTGCCACTCGGATTTGGCCCAGTAGCCGATCAAGTCTTCACTAACAGATTCCAGCTTTTCATTACGTGCCAGATCCTTAACCCAGTAGGGGAAGACATAAAGGTGCGCATCTCGGTAGCTAGTCAACATCTTGACCTGTGCATGCTTCTCCACCAATGAATGGCGAATGAGGAAGCCCTTGTCGTTTTCCATCTTTTCCTTGATCGTGTCCATGGGGCTCGACATTACGACTTTGGACAGATCAAACCGTAAAGCGGCTGGGCCTTGGGCCGGGTGGGAAACGGCCGGTGCTTCGTCCTTCTCGAGCGGTGCGATAGCCACAAAGTCTGTGGCCTCACCCTTCACGCTTTCCTCCCGGCCCTTCGTTTGGTAGTATACACCAAGACCTCCTCGGCGACCCCCCTGTTCACCTCCGGATCCCCGCGTGACCGGGCCATGGGCGTTGCGCCCCTCTGGAGTTAGGCTACCTCCAAGGGAGCTCTGAGAGACCATCCAAGCCTCAAGCAATGATTCTCCTGGGATCTCGCAAATAAGATCACAAGGGAGGAGTAGGAAGTCGGTCTTGATGCAAGCTTGTACCTCCGGCAACCGGAGGAGTTCACAGGTGCCCATAGTAAGTTCGAGCTCCTTCGGCGCGAGGACGGACGGCGAGGGGGAGGAGAAGGATGTAAGGTGCGGGTTTTGCTTCAAGGCAGCCTGGAGCGGAGCGAGAGAAGAAGGAGGTGTGATCAAGGTGATGTCTAGACGAATGAGTTGGTAAACTACGCTTCCATAGCTTGCGGCTGGATTAACTCACCAGAAATCCCCGATCTCCGTAGGAAGTCAATGGCATAATATACCATTGGCCGATTAGCCACTGGGACAAGACATTTGGGATATTCTTCAGGGTTTGCGGTAAAGGTATTGAGTGACACGCCGGGACCACACAGAATGAGAGCCTGAAAGCCCGTAGAGGGCACGGGGATTGAGTGCGGCATGATTGCTCTTGGATCGGGTATGACTGAGCCCCGCGGCGACAGGTGGGGATGAGGGTTGTCGAAAGGGCCGATACGCCGATATAGCTGAAAAAAGCTCCGGAGTAGCTCCCACGGGTATTAAAAAGTGAAAGGCCACTCAGACAAGAAGATGGCTTGAGAATTGACCGCGGTTGCAAAGGCCAGCACTAACTCGCATTCATCCCGCTTTGATGCTTTTTTTGATTGATATCACGTGTCGATAGATGAGTCAGTATGATATAGTCACGTGCTGTTGACCCGCCTCCGGATTTTATGTAATACGTAAACACCGCGGCAACAGCCTACACACTGGGGCCCAGCCACATGTATTCCGTGCTCCGAGGTCGAGGTTCGTCTTCCCTCTCTCCCTTCTCCACTTGATTCTCCCTTGGCAGGAGGAGTGCGATGTGACTTGCATGCCATTGCGACTACGATTGATGCTCTAAATGCGCATTTTCTAAACCGAAACCTCGCGATCGCAATGTCTTTTCCCCAGGACCCTCGCCGCCGGCGCGGTGGAGCCGGCACCGGCTTCAGCGCGACGAGCAGACGCACTGCCCTTGGTTACTGGATTCCCCTGGCACTCACGGTGGGCGTCGCGACAATTAGCGTTGCGGCATGGATCTGGAGCGAACGGAACGACGATGACGACGACGACGACCAACCCTATGAGGGAGAAGGCCCTTACCCGCCCCCTGGTCCAGCCGGTGGTGATATCCCTCCTCCTTCCTACGCCTCAGAAGGATATGCGAGAAGCACAGGAGCAGAAATTCCTGGCGATGCTCGATATGATCCCAGCTTCATGGCTCGCATGCAAGGCGCTTTGCGCCGAACCCCGAGCCCACAACAGATCTTTGACGGCGCGAGCCGACGAGTCGTAGCCGGTGTGACAGCCGCTGGGGCGCTTGTCGGTGGTGCGCTTACATCTATTCGCGAAGAAAACCGAGGCGACTTCGAGGACCACACGAGATGGTCTGAGGAGGCCGAATCCAGGAACGTCGAGAGGGGTCAACAAGGTGCGGCGCCCAGTATGAGTGGCGCGCTCCCGACTCGCGGACCGGCTGCTGGTCAACATTCCTCTGACAAGAAGAAAAAAACCGTGGTGATTGTTCTTTCCTCTCTCTCTCCGGCAGACTCGGATGAATATGCCTCGGAGCATGCCGTAAGAACCCTGACTCCCTAATTTGACCCTTAAGGCCTTACTAACATCAACCAGTCAATTCTGTCCCACCTCCCCGAGCATGTGGATCTGGATACCTCCCGTGTCTTTGTTCTGATTTATGCTCCCGATGTGAAGCACGCCATCGGCCAGGGTAGCTCATCTCGGCAGACCACATCGATTGCTTCGTCCTACTCGAATATTGCCCATGAGGAAGCTACGTCTTCCGGTGAATTGGTCGGTGGTGATATGAAGGCCATGGAGCCCCGCCAGGATGATGAGTTTGAAGGTACAACCCCCTTCTTCAGGACTTTGTACACCCAGGCCCAGGCACTTGTCGAAAAGGAGACCATGATCATGCCCTTCAGCACCGCCACTGGCTACGTGCACCTTGTACGCCACCTGGCACCCGACCTTGTCTATGTTCAGGAGTCTCTTACTGGCGACGACGGTGATGCCGTTCAACACGTTTCTGGTTGGGTTCGCCAGGTTATCGTTGTCGTTGGAGACGAAGGCGGCCGCGGTGGCCTCATTGACAGTGACGATGAGTCTGCTCTTGCCGACAAAGGAGAGAAATGGTGGCAAAAAGAAGGCACTACAGGCATCGGCAAGCGGATTGACGTGGTAGATGTCCTCCGTGTTGGCGATGACTGGCGACGTCGCGTGCGTGGCTTGGACTAAATTCCCGTCCCGTCTGCTTGCCAATGATGTTGATGTTGATACCTAGCTACTTTTGCATGTCTATATTTGTTCTGATTCTCACCCCTGATGATTGTTTGCCCTCGATTCCCCTGTCTTCCATGTTATGTGCTGTTTCATATATTGCCATTGGGTACCAATTATAGTGGCTTCTCCTAGTACATTGGGCGGAATGTTCCTCGTAATCCTAATAGCCTCTCAAAATTAGATTTGCCTTGCTCCGATGATAGTGTGAGACTCTTTGCGAGGCGATTGTTGAAAACATAAAAAAACAAAAGCATAGAAGTCCACAGATACGGCCTAACCTAATGCGGAAAATTATAATCATGTGACAGGATCGCGCTTTTGGTCATGTGACCGGCCTGGAGCGTCACCGCGGCTTGGCACCTCACCTCACTCTGCAAGCCCGCGGCAGTCTAGCGCTTCCCCAGACCCTTACCCTTCGCGACATCGCTGGATGGACGCTTTCGCTCTCTTTATTCAAGTGTCTCCGACAGCTGCCACGCATTTTCTAGCTCGACTTCGCCGTGTTGGTGACCTGGGCCGACCGTCCGATCCCCACATGTCTCGCGCATCATTCATCCCATTCATCCTCGAAGTTCGGCTTTGAATCAACATCGTCGAATCGGCTTTACTACGAATCGCATTCTTACTCACGGAATTCATACGGGTCGCGCGCATCGTGCCCACAAGATGGCTACCGCAATTTCAAAGCCCACCTCGCATCCCCCGAAGATGAAGCGGCCGCCCCCGCCTTTCCCCCAGGCCGGGGTCAACGGAGTCAAGGCTCAACCACTCTCATCTTCTCCACCCACCACTTCCCAGCGCCTTCCTGGGGGCATGTCTGCAGGCTCCAGTCCCAATCTCACCAACGGTGTGCTCAATGTGGCGAATGGCGCCAAGGGTCCCCTGAACCGAACCAGGAATATGTCGCAGAGACCCGGAGATCCAGCTACACGGGTCACACGAGGGGTGACGAGGACAAGCTCACTAGGAAATGATAATCGGGTTGGGAAAAGGTGCCCCGAACCATATGGTAAAGCGCCTCCTCCTTATGATTCCACAATGCCTCTGAAAAGCGCATGATGTGCTAACTCTATCCTTTGTTACAATCGCAGTCAAAACTACATCTTACATTCTTAAGAAATATTCCAACTGCCCGCCGTCTCTCATTGTGCATCTTCACCCTACGCATTTTCGATTCGAGCAGCAAGATGGAAGTTTCCCTTACAATTCGGAGATGAAGGTGATCATTGAACACATCCGCCAGGGAACTGTGCCCCATGATCTGATCGAAGAGCTTCTTCGGTCTGGGGTGCGATTCTACGAAGGTACCTTTCGTTCTTCTCGGCGATTGGTCTTGATAGCTATACTGACAATATCCTCACAGGCTGTCTCATCGTTCGCGTAGTGGACCACAAGTCCGTATCTGCGCAGACGAGGAAGACTTCCGCGACGACCACAAATGAAAACAATGTCCCTTTCTCTCTTCACAATTACAATGAGCATGTTACCCCATCAGCATATGTTCCGTACCCAAAGCAGAACCAGCTCACCACCGACTTGCAAAGTTCCAAATCGGCTGAAGCGGCGACAAGTCAAACTGATGGCCAAAGGGATGGTGAGGCCTCCGAGTCTCAAGGCCAAGGGACTGACAGAAGCCAGCAAAACGCTGTTCTAAAGCCGCGAGTGTTCACTACTGTTCTTCACCCGACTTCCCGTGTGTTGCAGGCTGAATTAACACTGCTTGTTACTACCCCTGATCCCAAAGCTGCGAACGCGATGATTCAGAATCAGTTTCTTCGCACTAATTCCTCCTCTGTTGTGCCTCAGTCATCAAGTGGTCAGCACGACCGGGGACATGTCGCAAAACGACAGAAGACTCTAGTCGAGCCGCAAGAGCTCCCGGAGTGTGAAGCATTGCTCATTCGCGCTTTGGCTCCGCCTCTTTACTTGGGCACAGTAGACAGTTTTGAGGCCTCACAAGACTTGCTGAAGTCCTTGGAGAGCCCTCTCCACAACGATCCGCCACCATCGCCCAAGCGCCGCAAGAGAACCATTGCCGAGCTCGCTGCGGACGAGGCTCTTGCTGCTGAAGAGGAGAGATTCATGCTTATCATGGACGAACGCCTCGAACCTACCACTTCGGGCGCCGGTACTGGTTCCAAGGCTGCTGCCGTGGATGATACAGCGGGCGTTGCAGCATTTGAACCACGATTCTCTCGCTTCAAGACCCTTGAGACTATCCGGATGCAGCATGAGGAGAAGGCCAAGCGCGAACATGAGATCAAGATGAAGCAAGAATTAGCCAAGAGACAGCAGCAGGAACAAGAAAAGGAGCGTCGCAAGGCCATTGAGGCACGACAGGCCGAGGAACACACCCGAGAAGAAATTCGGAGGCAGCAGCTAGCTGCGCAACAGGCACAGGCGCAGATCGCTGCCCAGCAAAATCGCCATGTCATGGCACATCCCAACGGTGTCAGTCAAGGACAACAATCCTCCCCTGTTGTACGCCACCAAACTCCACACAACATGTCGTCGCCGCTGGTCGGTAACAACATGGCGCCACAGTCTGTTCCCATGGCCATGAGTGCATCCCAGCAATCAGGAAGCCCACCTCGACCTCCATCCTCTCTCCAACATGCGCATCCTAACATGATGGGCCACCCGATGGCACCCTCAAGAAGCCAGCAAGGACCGAGCCGAAACGGAACCCCTCAGATGACACAAGGCACGCCGGCCATGTCACACGCCACACCGATCATGCGCAATGTTACCCCAACCCAGCGAATGAATCAGGGCAGTCCGAACCACGCCAATATGGGCCAAACTCCGATGATGAACCAGGCCGCGATGGCCAACACGCCGCAGATGAATGGCAACAATCTTGCACTCAACCCGCACCACCAGATGATGCTCGCACAGCGACAACAACAGCAGCAGCAGCTCCTTGCACAACAGGGACACATGGGCGCCGGGGCCAATCAGTTCTCGCAGCAACAGCTTGCTCAAATGCAAGCTAATATGCACGCTCAGCAGAATATCCAGTCGCATCAGCAGCAACAGCAGGCGCAAATGATGCAAGCGCAGCAGTCACAGCAGCAAAACGCCCAGAATATGCAGAAGGTTCCCCAGCACAACCAGCAAGCATACCAGGCGCAGCTCATGCGCGCGCAGTTCGCTCAAATGCAGATGGTTAAGCAACAAAATGGCCAGATGCCACAAGGCCAGGCAAATCAGCATGCTGGCAGTCCGCAAATGTCCCAGCAACAACAGCAGCAGCAGCAACAACAGATGTTGATGGCGGCTGCTCAGGCCAACGGAGGGCAAATCCCACCGAACATGCAAGGTGCCAATATGGCGCAGCGATACAATCGACTCTACCAGCAACGGTTACTACATCTTCGTCACGAGATGTCACAGCGGTATTTGCAACAATACGGACCACCAAATCAGTACCCGCCACAGATTGCACAGCAATATGGTGCTGGCCTGGAGAAGAATGCCAAGGCCTGGGTTCAAGATCTTATGCGACGCGAGCGGGAAGCTGCCCAGCAACATCGGGCAACCCAGGCTGCAATGCAGGCCCAGCAGATGCAGCAGCAAAATATGATGCACAATGGGATGGGCAATTAATCGGGAATCTATTAACAATACGGGGTAAAAGCCTGACGGGAAATTCGATCTAAGGGAAACATCTATCCACAGAAGAGCACTGCTTGTCAGGTTCTTTCCAGTTTTCAATCCTTTTTTTTTTCTTCTGCGTTTTCTTTTTATTTTGGGAATTGTACAGGGACCGGCATTGCGGAGAGCAAGTGGCTGGCGTTTTGCAACATCTTTTGCCATGGTTTGGTTTTTTCCACCCTTTCTTTGCCTTTCTTGTTGATTTGTACTATTTGGGACCGGGGTGCTGTTTTCTTACTTTTTGGACGGGGCCAACGGATTGCGATTCGATACCATTTTTTACGGAGTTTGCCTTTCATCATCGGACCCGGCTGTCTTTTGGGTTGGGATTGGAAATAGTGGACTTGAGCCAAAATGCAAAGCACTATTTGACGTTCAATCATGACTATGAACTTGGATAGAGCACAAAGTTAGAGAAACTAAAACCGACCTCTACGGCAATTGGGTGCTACCTGTTTTGGAAAGACGGCGACAATCGGGCTAACACGCGCCCAGCGGATATCACGTCGTCTTTATCATCCAACGCAATGATCTTCTATCAATCAGCAACATGGTAACAAGTCCGGGGAAGCTTGCTCCGCGTCCATTTCCAGGCCTGTCCGAGGGCCCTGATCAGTTCGACGGAGGAGTCGAGCATCGGGGCTCAGTTACTCGGGAACAAGGGAGTTAGTTTGTTAAGAAACAACTGTTCCATCGGCATTCCTGTTGGAGAGTCCCTCACTGTTGACATCGAGACCAAAACCACAGCCTCAGACCAGCTGTTGACTTGAGAGCTTCACATTCCGCGAAATCTTCTGCCTACTAGACACTTCCACTCGAGTTCAAGCCGGGTCGGATCTCCATAAGATCTGGGATATCGGTCTTTGAACTCTGCAGAATCGCCGACACGAGACCTACGAGGACTGTCATTCTACGAGCAGAACCAGTTCGCCTCGGATTCGCGGCTGCAAGTTTTCCAATTTTCAGATCTCATCGGACGACCGACTTGCGAGGAAGACAATGCAAAGAATTCCATGCAAGCCAAGGGCCGGATGGAAATAATTATTAGACCATGATATCATTTAACCTGGGTAAACGAGTAACACCGGGTCTGGGGTAATCCTCACGGCCTAGCTCATGTGAAAATGAGGATGGAGAATATTGATGTTTCTTGGCGTCTCGCTTTCCACGGTTCTGTTTACAGTGATGGGCATCGGGGACTGTTTTCCACACTCCACCATCGCTTTATGGTAAGACAATTCCTTTGCCATTCATCGTCTTTACTTCACAAAGGGAGCCGGTCTTTTGAGGAGTTGGATGAGAGGCACAATGAAATGGTTGCTGCGCGATCATTCCGGCACCATCAGTTCTCGATGGCAGCCGCTGCGCAGGCTCAGTTGGGGGAAGGGATGATATAGATAATGGTCACATTGCTGTATATCTCTAGACTTTGAACATAAATAGATAGTCAATTGAGCCCTCACTCAGACTGTTGAGCTTGAATTTTGGGTTGATTGGTGCACTCATAGAGGTCATGCCAATAAAACGTATCATCACAGTGAGGGGGACCGAAAGGTCCAAGATTGACTACGTAGGGGTTGCTGCATCCGAGAAAACATCATTCTCGTGGCAGATCACTTGGAATCTGAATATTTACTCCCGACATCAGGGTGGTTCAAAGGTGAAGTCGATCAGCCGCTGCGGAAGAAAATTTTATATTGCGGGTGACTAAGCAGACCAATCCCCCACGCTAGGCCGTATCTGGCTGTCCAATTCATGACTAACAAATTACCAGTTTTGGACAGTAAACAGTGGGGGGATCACTATAAATTTCAAAGTTCAATCGTTGAGATCGAGTCTTGAATATGGTCAATGGTAGATGGGGGGAGGGTGCCTTGTAACATGGGATCCTGGGCGAGATGCACCAGATGCACGAGGTGCACGAGGTGTCCAAGTGCAAGATCGACCCGATGCGAGAACAAGTCGAATGCCTCACCGCTGCCATGACCAGGCACCAAGTACACCGACATGAGCATTAACACCCAAATCCATTGAATGGAAAATCGCGCACGCCATGTCTGAGAACGTTCGTTTCGAATGTAAGACAATCTACGGTAGAGTTTGAGACGGCATCCGAGCACATACAATGTCAGTTCATGGTCAAAGCGAGGGATAACGATCATGGTATCGGGACTCGTGAGCCGATCTCTGAACAGAATGCTCGAGCTTCAGCCCTTTGCATTTACGGCCACGGATTACTATTTTAGAAATATATGCCCAAGTCCGGCATAAGCGATGAACGGCGGACGTACTGAAAAGTCGAGCGTCACATTCCAATGCATGTCGCCCGACGCACAGCGATCAAAGCAAGCGGGAAGTATCCACCATTTGAACGTTGCATTGATCCAACTGCTACTCTGTCGGGCCCATTTCGGAAATGCTGCAGCCTTCGCAAATCTAGATGGAAAGTTGAAATAGCAGAGGCTGCATGCTCACGATGTACGCCTCCACGCCGTCATGGGGTGCACAGACATGCCGACGCAACACGCGGCAATGATCCAACTGGCCGGAACCTCGCTCAGGAATGCTGGAAGTACTCTGATCTGCCGCGTCCATGGTAGTAGTGCATTTTGCATGGTCTGTGGTCTTTTTGTCGGACATGCGCTAAAGTTCTTACCGTGGCACAAGGAACCCGTGAAGATCATTTCCGACAGATGCTTTTTCCTATCATTGGGAAGGTAGGTGGAAGCATATCTCTACGATGTAAAATTCAAAAAGTGCCCAGGTGCATACGTGCAATAGGAAACATGCCAATAATTCTGCAGGAAAGTCCATCCGAGGATTCCAGAACGAGCGGCACAAGAAAAGTCCGAGCTTATAACTCTACAACTCTACCAACGGATTCAACGCCGTGTAACCAGGCCCTAAATTCCAGACTCTTTCAGCGTTGCTCGTACTTGGGCGGTCGAAATGTAGAGTGGATCCCATGATTTCAAATTGCGATTTGGAATCTGGTTAGTGAGGAAGGGAATTCATGGCAACGAATGCGTGGTAGCACTACAGTTTTGTCTAGTCCGCTAGAAGTGGAGGAAGCGGTAAGTAGGCACGTTCTCTACGGACATCCACGATCCAAGACGGCTGCATCCCAGCTGCAGGGCCTCGAAAAGGCCAGGCCGGTAGAGGTTGCAGAGAGATACTTCAGGAACCCATGCGAACTCGAACCGGCGGGGTCGCGGAAGTGTTGGGAATGAAAGATGCATCAGACCCGATCGGGTGGCGAAAGTCAAGGCAGAAAAGTACATGTAGATAGCGAGAATACGCGGCTCTTGGGTTGGGCCATCCGAGCGGCGTTGTCGAGACCTTGGCAGATGATGTGCGCTATGCGGGATGAGTTGGAGTCGGCTGCACATGTTTACGCGCAGGAGGTATGCGTAAAAGGAAGAGAGAACGAGGGGGGCAAAAGCGAGAGTTTCAGGGCGTCTTGAAACAGGGGATTGCGAATGGGAAGTCAGCCCGTTGGCACTGGAATGTGGACAGAACCGGTGGCGAGGTACAGACGCTGAGCCTACGCCTCAAGCCGGGGTCACGTTGGGCTCGCTTTCCGATTCGAGAGCGATGATGGAAATGAATGAACTTCTCCACCGGGGAGATAGATCTTATGGAGACATCCAGGGACCAGGTCGAGCGGGATCTAGGCCTGCTGGGACGATTGTGATATGTATCATGTAGCAGGCGGGCGAGAACCAGGAACGGTGAAATACGCACCGAAGAGCCGGCGGTCGCGCTGATGCTTCCGTATTGTTGCATGGATGACCTCTTTTCGCACGTTCGACCGAGTGGACAAAGTCCACGTTATGGGTAGGGGAGTTGGTCAACAGGATTGAGTGTACGGAGTAGGCACGGCGTGGAGTGCGGAAGGTGGAGCTGCGGTGGAACGGGAATGACATCTCAGTTTTTTGATTTCGTATTATGCCACAAGGTGATAATTGATGGTAGTACACGCACAATAAAAAGAAAGCACATTGTAGCTGATTGTACAGGATCGCCCCTTTCCCTCAAAGTAATTATCCCACGGCGCCCGAGGCCAAAAAAAAAAAAATATGCAAACGCCTTGGAAAGCAAAGATCCGCACCAAGCCATTTGAGCACCGGACAAATTATGCAAGAATAAAAGAAAATAATCACAGAGCCGTCTCCGGTTTCTCGGGAGACATGTACAACGCCGCAACGGCCAGTTCAGCTGACCGAGATATGCCTGTGCCAGTGATGGCAGCCGATCCTCCAACGAAAGGGTATCAAATATCCAGGGCCCGGGTGGCCGAAATAGCGCCCTGTGTCTATTGCTCATTCGGCTTGTTTGTGGTCGGGAGGTCGCGTGGTGTATCGATTATGTTTTTTTTATTTGAGTGATGTATTTTTTTGGTTTTTGTTTCACGGTAATTTGTGCTTTTGAATGTCGGGGGATCTAGTCATCCCAACCGTCGACGCTGAGATCACCGCAGTCTGGGATGGGATCCTCCAGCTTGGTGCCGTAAAGAGGACGACCGTCAGGAGTCAGCTGGCCACGGAAGTCGGGATCGTAATCCGGGCTGGTCTCGTCGAGGGTAGCGACATAGCGGTTGCGTCCGCCCCGCTTGCTGTGGGTCTTGGTGTAGTGTGCGTTGAGGTTGTCGCTTCGGGAGAAAGCGCGGTGACAACCAGGAACCCAGCAGACGTGAGGCTTCTCCTTGGAGTGGCTCTTCATGTGACGCTTCAGGTGCTCCTGGCGCTTGAAGCGACCCTTGCAACCGGGCTCTTTGCACTTGAACTGGACCTGCTTGATAATCGAGGGTAGGTTCTCCAGGCTCAGGTTGGAGCGGATCAATTGCTTTTTGGATGACTTGCGCGAAGGCTGGCGGTGGCGCACAAGCCCGTTCTGGTACACCGGAGAAACGGGGTACTCATCGTGATACTCGTGGCCGCTGGAGCCTCGGCTGCCCGGGGTATCAGCCCCAGGTGTACCGAGTGACATGGAGCGGACGGGAGTGGAAGGCGTGTGAGCTTTGAATGTTTGAATCTGAGTAGGGAACTCAGAATATGAGGAAGAGGGCGGAGTCACAGGACCCGCAGGGAGAACCTGCGAAGGGCTAATGGTTTGAGTCGCCAGGGACTCGTGGGAGGGCATCCATGGCAGCATGTTGGACATGGACATGGAATTGGGGATCCGATCTGACTGGGTGAACATCGGTCGAGACAAGCAGGGATTGGAAGCCGACTCGGGCAGGTAGGCGGGCTGCTGGGGCCGATAGTGATAGTTACGGCCCATGGTGTGGTATTGAGGCATGGGGGCCTGATAAGGGAAGCTGGTCTCATCGAATGTCTTGGGTACATCCTGAGGAATCCAAAACTGGTCGACGTTCTCGTCGTAGCCCGGCAGGTACTGGGGCATGGACATCTGTTCCTGACGCTCCATGCTGCCGTAGGGTATGTTCATTCCATCACCCGATGTGAGGTCCGCCATCTTGAATGCACTGCGCAGAGGAGTGGCGGAGGTGCGGCGTTCCATAGGAAGGCTGTGATACTGGCCGGCTTCGTGCCAACCGGGGGAGGCCAGGGAGTTCTGGCTATAAAGACTGGTAGGTGTCGGAGTGGGAGATTCCAAAGGAGAGAAGCTGGAAGTCATGGAGGGGCATTCGCTGGAGCCCAGAGAGTGGCAGTCAACCTCAACAGTCAAGCGATCGGAAATCTGTTGGCCCTGAGGTCTCATTTCTTCGAGATCTTCCGTCTTGAAGTCTCGAGCGGTGATAGGGTTGATGATTTCACCTGAAGAAGAGATGAATGTTTAGTCCGGTGACGGGACAGGAAAGAACGAAGGACGAAGTATGAGCGAGAGACGAAGGGAAGAGAGAACGAGGGAGAGCCACCGGCAAGCACGAGGGAAAGAAAGAATGTCCAGGGTTAGGAGAAGGGAAGAAGGGAATGGAGGGACAAACGAGCAGAAATAAACAAATCGGCCCAGCATAGAATCTCCGGGTGGGGAATCGGACTTACAGCTATACGCCATGACTCGGATTGATAGAGTCGCGTCGCGTGCCTGCACCCTACGCAAGGCCAGGAATGCAGACTATGGGATCCTCCGTTACCGCGGCAGAGGAGGTGCACCACCAGATTGGGACGGGATCGACTGTGAATTGTGGTTGGACTGGACCTTCAGGCGCGTCTCCTAGTAACCGGGGTCCCGAATGGGGGATGGGATGAGACGAAAGGACCGTGGCTGGGAGACAATGGGACTGGCGACCGAGTCCCTCGAACGCGGTTCCTTGGTATCCGGGGTTGAATTGGTTGTAGAAGGGGAGGCTGGTTTCAGATTCAGTGGATTGGCAGGGGCTTGTTATAAGGTCGGAGGAGCAAGGGTTCTGGGAGTGTCTTGGGGAGGCCGGTTTATACTTGGGGGGGGAGGCGGAATCTTGTTCCTGGGCCTCTTGCTCGGGCAGGAACAGTTAGATCGGCGGATTGCCTCATCCCTAACTTTGTTCTACGTGAATTTTATTTTCGATTATGATTTTCCTATTTTTGATGCAGGTGGATCGATCGGCCATCGGATATCATCTACACTCGGGTACAGAATCATCCAGCTGGAATGTCCGGCTGCGCCTCTTGCGTTCCGCGCAATGTGAGTAGAGTCTAATTTCGGGTGACATGCATCGGCTTATCCACCACGGTTCGTCCCCAGACTCTTGCTTTTATTTTTATTCATTTTTTCTCTTTTGGCGCGTCGATCATTGCAGTTACGGTGAGATCGACCCTAACGTGAGCCCCACAGCCTTGTCTCGGATCGAGATGTCTCTCTTTTTATTGTCTCTGCTCACTATTCAATTGCCGTGAGACACGAAGAATAGAGAACGAACAAGTTGCCGAGCTCGGACGTGTCGGATGGTGGGGGTTGCTGGATCGATCGTCTCGGGTCCGGCCTGACAGGTCAGACGTTACGCCTGGTCTGTGCGGCTCGACGTCTACACTCTACGCTCGACGGAGTACGGGTCGATCGAACTGGCCCGGGACGTAGCATCGCAAATTCCAGTACCATCCGCCTCACTGGGGCTTTGACTCGCCCGGGTCTTGGGGGCTCGTCATCGAGCATTGGAATGTGCAAGATGCCCAAACGAGAAATGCTCTGCGCATCGCCCAACGCCAATATTGCATGATATTGCCTCTACTCCGGCAAAGGTACCCCAACACCTGTTCCACTGGGTTCCTGAGGCAGTTGCCCAACAGCCTGGGTCAGTGATACCTCTTGCCGCTACCAGGCAGGCTATTTCGGACCTGCGTCTGGTCTCAGGGGAGGTTTCTGATACATCACGCGTCAGTCGGAACGCGCATCCAAAAGAACCCGTTCTGGTTGGTGCACTCCGCCGGTCCATTGGATTGGGGCTTTGGCCATGACATGACCCGGCTGGTTTCCTGGCGAAGAGTGCATTCCTCCTAAAACTCCTCCGGTTCAAACGACTGACTCGGTGGCGAGAGGGCCATTGATCTTCATGCGGGTGATTCGGTCTCTCCCTGTGGTGTTGTCTCTCAGGAATCTTCATTCCCCGGAATATGCGAGTCGCCTTCGATTTCCAATTGGAGATATGCCCTTCGCAATTTGCCTCCGAGCGGCAACGACCTCCGGCAAGTGTGTATCACATAACTACAACTCAGTGGGTCAACGTGGACCCAACGATCCTCTCTGTGTGTCTTCGGTCCTCTTTAGGCCACTAACGACCGCGTAACTCCAATAGACGAGCGCTTGATCACAGCCTTCAGGTCTGAAGGCTCCCACCACCTCCATGGCCGCCCCTGATTCGAGAATGTGTGGCGAATTAGTAAACTTTACGGTGAACAGACCTCTACTGAGCCACAGGACCGATTAGCTCAAATGGATCGCTTTGTCCGAGTGGCCGGGAATCGAGTTCGGGGACGCCTGTTATACCCGTGTAGATCCATAGCTCTACGCGTCGATCTTATCGAGTGTCGGATCCGATCCAGAATGGTTCCCCGGTCTCCACTGTTTCCTCAGGTACCACTCTCGATCTCGAGACTTGGAGCACGAACTGAGCGGCATGTTTCATAAGTCTGGCTTCTAAGACACTAGAGCCCATTAGCGATCGGCAATAAGATGTGTCAGGTAGAATGCGATACACCGCGACTATTGTACTTGTCGAATCCTGATTCCATGGGAAACCAAGCCACGCCCGAGGCCGTGAACACTGTTTCCTTATTTAGCCATAGTTCCATGCCCCAGCCAGTCACTAATTGAAGCCTATGTCCCTTGCCACATTCGGGGCTTTTGAACGTTATTCGCTCCGATAAGTAGAAGTCTTTCGAGCTTTGTCTCGGGTTATCTCCAAGTCCCAAACACAGACGTCTTTTGCCGCAAGGGTCCGCAGAGAAAGTCCCAGTATCCCCAGTTATTTCGGGAGCCCCTGCCTCTGAAGGGATATGACCTGCTTCGATCCACTCTTATTTGAAGCCCCAAGACCCCGCTATTAGTCTTGTTCAACGCCATAGCCTTTTAACCGATGCGAGATGGGCCTGAGTACCAGCCGGATCGATACTAGTCCGTCGCCGCATGGCCATCGATAGAAGGGTTGGGCGGTGTTTCCGCAATCTGCGCTCTACGGTCGCATTGAGTCATGCCATACGAAGCAGCCTTATCCAGCCGGTCTCTGTCTGACTTGAAATCCGCCACCGAGGCTGGGTGGCAACCTGTTGCTTTCCCGGAGATCGAGGCTTTCATTGCGTACATGCCGCTTTGCAGTCCGTGCTGGGTTTGAGCACCATGGGAAAGGCCTCACGTTCGGTCATCTCGCCACCCTCCATCTCTTTCAGGATTCCTACCTGCTTTTTCTGAACCTCGTGTGATAGTCAGGGGAAAGTAAATGGTACCTGAGGCTCCGTAGTGTACCCCTGAACTGAGTTGATATTTTGTGAGAGGCCATATGCTTAGACTCAGCCGAGAACTACGACATCTGATATCCAATCGTAAGACCAATGCAATCCGACCCTCACAAAAAGCGAGCCAAGACTCCGACTAGGATTCCTCGGATATCCCGCAATTCAAACCCCGATTGAGAACCGAGTTCTTGCATTAGCGCGAATCTCCACTTTGGGAGCCCAGGTACCTGGTTGCTCGAGGCTCGCACTATCGGATTTAGATTATTCTCAGACCCATGTCTGTGCTAGTAACACAAGAAATCTAAGTCCCAGGAAATACCAGGGTTGAATGCGCATGACATGCAAGCCTCTCACGCCATGACACCGGCATACGGCAAGAGTGACAGGCGATCATTGTGCGGGGATGATCCGGAGTAGTCCATTCATGTACTCACCCAATAGAGTGCTGTCGAGCATACCTGATGCTCAACGGTACTATTGCGCTTGGTTGCTTGCCCAGCATTCCCCGGATTAACACCAGCAGAATCCGCTTCGATCGCAGATGATTTGCTGCAGGTACGTTGGCGATGTTTGTTCCACTGACGTCGGTGTTGGATGCCATTGTTCGGAGACCCCATGCGCTACATGAATTGGCTACAGAAGGTTATCGAAAAATAACAGCATACCTTCATACATGGCGGGGGTCAGTGTTTGAGTTCGTATAGGCAACTCGCTCTTCCCATTGAAGATGCCACCTACGATGATCATTGGACAATATGATATGAGATTTGATAAATAGTACGAAGGATGTCGACGCTGAATAGCCCTACCGTTCATGGAATAGGGGATCAGTGGAGAGTTTAACGGTTCAGAGGGCTGCAGACAATGATCTGTCTCATTTACCAAGATAAAGCTTCGGCATTTGCACAAATCTCGGCAGAGCAGCAAAAGCCGCCTTATGAGGAAAGGGGCACGAAACACCGACGCTGTAAAGAAGGTCAATAGTGAAGTAGGCGAATGCATGAACACCAGAACGGTGCCCGTTCCTGACGAGCTTAGGCTTTTGCGCCCCCTTCTTTCGGGGCCCCACCCCCTTGCATACTTTATTTCTTCGTTCACCAAAAGCACCTCGATCTCCAAAACAATAGCATTTGCAAACAATGAAGAAAAAATTGATTTGACGGACTTGGCACGGTGTTATTCGGCCACCCCCATTCACGTTGACTTGCATTGCAGCGCACGGCATCGCCTTGCGTCCTTGGACCCGACACCCAGGATACCAATCTTGGTGGCGAAAGTTTATGTTTTGGCAGAGCCCTACGATCTGCTCTCTTACAGGAGATTTTTGCGGGTCGGTATTTTTACAGTTCTACCCTGGCGTTTCAAGGAGCTCATCCTCGATTCCCCTCGTTTCGCCCGGTTCCAAGGTTGTTTGAAGGGTCCCGATGAAGGGGAGTTAAGGTAAGTAGATCACCCGGTGGTGTGGGGAGTAGACCCGGGGTGCCCTGATTGAGCCCGAGCACAGTCATACGCAAGCAGAAGTCATAGCGCTGTGAGCGTAAGCATGCCAGTCGGCTCAATAGCGCAAGCATAAAATTGGAAGTGGAAGTGGCTGCCGTGCACATTTCTCAATAGAACCCCCGCTTGGAGTATATACTCGGGGCCGCCGATAGACTCCAATCGTACCGATTGATCGACGTGCTTATCGCATACCCTAGACCATGCGAGACACTGCCAAGAAGATCGATGAACAAGGGGGTTCACTACCGAATGCACGACACGCATCTGCAGCCAAATGTCTTGGCCACTCGGCGAGAGACAGGCTGGACCTTTGTTCGCTCAGGGGAATCCGAGTGACATCATACATACAGCCCTTGCTCCAGGCCAGATAATCGCGCGTGCCGGTTTGGGCCGCCGGCATCACGCTCCTTGGTGCGGTTTCATATCATGGTAGGAGGAAGCCCTGGCACACGGCTGTGAAGTTTGGGTCGTGTTCAATATATTCATGCGATTGGAATGGATTAGAGTTGAAGGGGGTGTGGTGTGGGGGGGGGATGTATGTAGAAGCTACAGATGTCTGTATCCTGCAACGCGAATCAGTGCGTCTAGATCATGTATGTTTGAGCCCGGGGTACCTATGTCAGCGGGTCTCGACCAGAACTGGGTGTCGTGTTCGTATTTCCAGAATGAGCGAATTTGACCACTTGATTGCGTGAAAATGGCTCACCGAGAAGGAACTGAAGTTGAGTCAAATCATAGTGTCGGGGTTTGAGGTAGGCAGAGGGAAGGTTTTCTGAGGACGATTACTACTGATTTTGTTTCCGAGAGAATGAATACACTTAGTACCCGTAGGCCTATGAACTGAAATTGACGCACTCAATCAATATTTCTAACTTTCCATATAATTGAAATGTTTTTATCACTTTTCTAGACCGTAGCATGTGACCGTTGATGATGGGCCTGAGAACTACGTAGTTAGTGTTGAGGTTGAGGAACAGCTCGAGTCAATTGTTCAAACACACCTGAGCACCTTGTGGTTTTGTCCCAGGCCAGTTTGATGACCTAGGGTTCTCATAGACCTTGGTTTTTGAGAACATTCATTCCCAAGTGTGATGGCATTATGCTTCGTAGACCAGATATATACTGATCCTGATCTCAGGAGTCTTGGAGGCCAACCTATGGATGATAAGCCCAACCCCGTCGATTCTCAAGTAATATACGACAAAAGGCACCAAAGCTTTAAAGGGACTTATCTATAATGGATACATTGACGTATTGAAATATCTGTTGCTCTGAGAGTTCGAATATATTTCCGTTTCCCACGATAGAAGGGCGGAAGTTGACATCGGGATGCCCACGTGAATCGCTGGCGTGCCATGAAAATCAAACATTCCTCGCTTTCCTCAATAACGTAGACCAGTACCTAACTGAATAAGTATTAGGAATCAAATTACAATAGATAAATTGGTGTTAATTCGGCAATATTGGAATTGAAGCCTTGGACCGCGTATTCTGACAGGCCATTCACTGGAACAAATATCACTCCTTTTGGAGACTAACCACGACCAACTTATCAGAACGCAATACAGAATGCAATACAGCATGCAATACAGAATGCAATAACAGACATTACATGAAAGAAGTACCCAACTAGCATGAACACGCACCATTAATAAATGACGCACACTGGGAACATGTCAAGTATTCAATATATAATTAGCAGACAGTAATGTAGAGACCCAGACTAAAATCAATGTTAGCTTCCACTCAATACGAGTGTATGTCTGGAGATGTAAACTTACGGGGCAGGGTTATAGTCTTCGAACCAGTCGAGACTGGTACTGCCGGCATTCTTCATCTCAAAGGCCACAGTTTGGCCAGCGGGACACGAGAAGGTCGAAACAACGTACGAATTGCCAGGAGAAACAGTGATATCACCTAGATCGTGGGAGACGGATGGGGCATTATTGTAGGTAGTCGAGGTAGTAGCTGCCATGGAGAGCTGAGCAAAATCTATCTGGCCATCACCACTGAATGTAAAGGACGAGGTCTGGAGATCAGCCTTCTCGGGGAACAGGAAGACTAGACTGCAGGTCTTGCCGGAGTAGGACTCGGGAATATCAAAGTTGAAGATGCTTGAGATTGTGGATGTCACTTCGCCATTGTATGAGGTGCCAGCGGCCGTGTTGGGAGACTGTGAGTTGATAGGAATGATCAAATGTGGGAACTGATAATTTCCTGTCTCGAGAGAAGTGCCACAATTATTCTCAGGCGGTGGAGTAGAGCTACTAGAACAGGAGTCGGCAGTTAACTCGATGGTTTGACACTGTGAGAGGGCGCTGCTCTCAGTGGTATAGATGTTTAAACCACCGTTATCACCGGTTGCGCATGCAATGAAATCAGGACTGCCGTTGTACTCTAGCATTCCGTTGGAACTAATAGAGAAACCTGAGGTGGGTGTAGCGCCCACGTCGCACTGGAACTGAGTAGTCGGTGCTAGGGTAATATTTTGTTTAGAAGTTTTATATCAGGATTGGCAAAGTGTATCACTCACGGGTCAGAATGCAGCCCCGGCCTTTGCCATCAGTGATAGAGCCGCCATTGATACAGTACTCTCCCTCGGGTAGACTATTGTCACCAATACGGTTCTGTCCATCGGGAAGCTGGCCGACAGGAGAACCGTTGGAGGAGAGGTGGAAGCAGCAGCCACTGGTGCGACCAACGAGGGCATGAGTTCCAGCAGCAAAAGCCGCCAACGTGATGTAACTCTTCATGTTTATAATGGAAAGTGAGGGAGGCGACAAGGTAGATTGGGTGAGAACAATCTTTTTGGAAATATTGAATACCTTAAGAGATTGACATATAAAGACAGAGAGAGAAAAAACAGAGATATTCCGGAAAAGTACAGGGTACTTATACCGAAGAGGGGTTGGGAATAATGCTTCCCAAGGTCTGCTGTAGCGAACAGATTCTCATAAACTTAGGCCAGTCGGCGGAGCGGATAGAGTAGACGTCATTCTGAACTGGGGTTCGAGTCTTCGTGAACCTCTAGGACCTATCAGGAAGACCATAGTGTTGACCCCCGATCGTGAGCAAGGTTCCCACTGTTCCAGCACGTACTAGATTGGGACACGAACAGGCGCAGCTTGGGTGGCGACGTCACTTACCATGGCTCGAGGGTGTCCCGTTAAGAAGAATTGTCGACAAACAAAGGGCGGAGCGAGCCGATAGAGAGATCGACCATGGTGCGCATGGTGTAATGCATTGGTTCCTGTTGAGTACCAATCGGGGGTTTGGAGATGTCGACATACCAGAAAGAGCTAGCCGTAAACGTTGATGATTTCCCTTCCCCGCAATACACCCAATCCACAGTCTGGAATATCACAATCGATGATTTTGTGGCGGGCATCACAGGGGTAACATGGCAATTTCCTAAAGAGTCTAGATAATGGAAACGAATTGTGCGGATTTCAACCAACAGGTTCCAAAAAGAGTATTGTCTAATGGATTGAATGTATCGCATACTGACAGGGTTGCTGTCAGAAAGGTTCGCTCCAGGACTGTTGCATGGATGATGATTTCATGCCAAGGGAGTCCAAGCAATCACCCCACCTTTTAGTCAAATATGACATGATTAAATCGGATCGTATGTAGCCGGGACTTGATGATGATGTGACAACTCACCGGTGGAACCACGGTAAGGAGAGCCAGCGAACGACCATCATTCTATTTTTATGCATTTGGTACGAACCACAAATGCACAAAGTTCGGGTACGAACATTGCCTTTACCCATGACCTCGGTATACTTTGCCAAAACAGAAAAGAGTTTGCTCTTGGAGATAAAACTGTAAACACTTTGGATGCCCGTCGAGTAATCTACGTCATGACCAGGTCGATGTATACTAGACAGCACATCTAGGTAGCTGTGGAGTCACCTCACAATTGCAAAACAACCTCTTTGGCCAGGTTTCAGCCCGGTAGAACCACGATCGGCTTCCGGCACAATGGGCTGAGCGGAGCTCAAAATCCCAAGTCACGAGTCGCAGTAACCCCGAATCCCTTAACCCCGCCATGCGACTCGCCAGCTGCATGCAATAAGCCGAACTAGTTGATGCCCACGTCGAACCATCCCGTTGGACGTGTGATGGGGCTAAGCGGCAAAAGGAATGTGGGTCGCACAGAACCCTCCGAGGCAAGTCAAGCCTCAACAATGGGGCTCAGACCGGGCGATTGGCAAACGGACTGGTCGGATATTGGACCGCTTATGCCATGCGGGCGGCCGGGATGGCTGGGGGAGCGAGAGGTGGTAGGGATCAAAGCCGATGAACCTAGAAGCTCGTGGAGATGTGACAGGTGTCAGAAGGTGCGCTGGTCTTATAGGAGATGTATTTGAACGTGGTCATCATTCATGCAAGGCTGTGCGATACGGGCCACATTGCCATTGGCACGCATTTCGTTGTGCTTGTTGCGCGATCAAAATGCGCCTCCTCGAGGCTGTTCTTTTCTATAGATGTTATCAGTGGGTCAGTGGAGGATGGAGAGGGCAGAGTGGGTCCGATCGTGGATAGAAGGGCGATGTACACCGAATTCTCTTCTCGAGTGTACTCGTTCGTACCATTTCCAGTACTCGACACACTGTAGTGTAAGATCCTTCGGCCCCTTATAATAGTATCCCGGAGCACCTTGGCAATTCGTAGGCGTAGATATTGTTCGATCTTGTCCGAAACAAAGAAATCGGCCGAACACAGCTTAGCGGCAACGGGCCAAGGAAAAGCACCGAATGGCGCGGAGTTCGGACCTCGGACCTCGATGGCGTCTGGCACCAATCGAGTGGCTTCGGTCGATACGGGGCTCCAACGCTCTATCAGGACATTTCAAGGGTGATTCCAGGCATCCATCCCCGGACCTCCTGGAGCTTCCGTAAACTTCGGGACTCTCCTTCCTCAACATCGCCATGACTATCGCCCACGGTGAGACGGAGCCTCTATTAGCCAACACCGCCCACGATGCACCCGTTCGGAGTCGGAGTCGAAACTCGAAGCTGCTCGTTCTCATCGCGTGCTCCACCTTCATTTTGGCGGCCGATTTCGGGTTTTTTATGGCACAGGCGCCTCAGACGGCCATTTTCGAAGAGATCATCTGTCGCCATCACGCCATTCAGTCTCGAGGTATCAACGCAACGATTGATGGGGTCGACCCGTGCAAGTCGGAGTTGGTGCAGGGCGAATTGGCCCTGATTTTAGGCTACAGAGACACGTTCGACGTGTTGCCAGGTGAGTTTGGCGTTCAGTAATGCCATGCTTCCCCGGATTAGTAGCTGATTGTGTAGGGATCTTGTTGTTGCTCCCATTCGGCATTCTCGCGGACCGCTGGGGCCGCAAACCCGTGCTGTACCTGAGTGTTTTGGGGGTCTTGTTAAGCGAGACTTGGATTAGACTTGTTTGTAAGCGATTGATTCCTGCCACATGAGACACATTTTTGATGATCCAGGCTACTTCTCCGATTTTATGCCCCTTCGCATGGTCTGGCTATCTGGACTATGGCGGATGATCGGCGGCGGAGACCAAGTGGCATCCAATGTCTGTCTCGTCATGGTTGCCGACATCTTTTCTGAGGAAGAAAGGTATCATACTTTGAGAACGCTTATCTTTTCATTTGGTCTTAATTCTCATGCAGATCAAACGCTCTCTTCCTTCTGCAATCCGCCGTGCTCCTTGCAGAGGTCCTGGCCACTCCGCTCAGCGCCTATCTAATGACATTTGATCCAGCGTTCCCATATGTCTTGGGTCTGATTATCCTCATGATTGGATCCCTTCCTGTATTCTTCCTGCCGGAGACGCTTGAAGACGCAAAAGCGAAAAAACCGAGCCAGCAGAATGTGAGCACCGATGCCACTGGCCCGACTGACCCATTGGACAAGGCCGTACTACCGGAGCTCGTTCGCCAGATACGCGAATTCAAAGAGTCCACGCGCTTCATCTGGCGAAACCGGAACGTCTGCCTGATGATTGTCACTATGTTCGTCTCGAATATAAGCCGCCAGTCCAGCAACATGCTCCTCCAATATTCATCCAAGAAGTTCAACTGGAGTATTGCACGAGTATGGATCCCAGCAAAATTTGAGATCTTCTTTGCTAACAACAGCATAGGCTAGCCTTCTAATTTCACTGCGGGGCATCGTTCAGCTCGTCAATTTCCTCGTCTTGATGCCGGCTCTGTTCTTCATTGCCGCCAGGTATCTTGACCTGCACGGTAAATACAGGGACTACCGATTATGTCAGGCTAGCGGCATACTTTCGATCATCGGCTTCGCCGCCATGGGCCTTGCGCCTGTCCCCGTCCTCCTGATCTGTGGCCTGGTCATTATGTCGCTAGGCACGACATTCACAGTCACCACACGCAGTTTGGTGACGTCCCTCGTACCGCCCGACCACGTTGGAACACTGTATTCGGCCATTGGGATCTCACAGGCCATAGGCGTGTTCGTTGCCGGCCCCTTATTTGCCTATCTCTTCAAGCTAGGGATGCATCTTGGCAATGCATGGATGGGAATGCCGTTCTTGCAGGCCGCCCTCTTTTACCTGGTGGCCACGGTCGCCGTATGGCGGGTTCGGATCGGAGGGTCAGGTACGGATGAAGAGCAGGAGCCATTGGTATCTGAATAAAGTGGCACATCTAATGTTGATTTACGACGCGGGTTCCTAGAAACATAAAATTCAAGCATCTATTTCCAACAAGCCGTCATATCGCAATGAAATGCCGATCGCAAAGGACAAGGGAAATAGGGCCCGGACTTACCGTAAAAGGCGAGACGTGGAAGCCTCAAACAGCGCCGATCAAAACGATGATGAATTGCGCACGCTGGTTCGTCGGGCGCGGGCGATCAGCACCTGAAGTAATCTCGTGCATCTCAAATCAATTCGAGCAGCCGGAGATCCGCAGGATCTACGCGATGCAACCTCGCTTCAGGCTTCCCCTGACCGTCTCGTGTGGGCCTCCGACGGGCGTTTGAGGATCTCCGCATCACCTTTGGAATCAGCGAAGTGATTGGGTGTTTCCATCCAAGCCAATCCCCCGGTCGCCTCCACTTTTCTTCTCACTGGTCGACGCTATCCGTGTACGGCGATATCCGATCTGTATGCATCGCGAATGAGAGACCTCTTATCAGCGCATGTGCTGCTATCTGCAGCGATCGACGGCCCTGATGGTATTCGAGTCTCCGTACATGCTTCAGGGTACATAATGCACCCTAAGATGCTCCTCTCTGCTCTACCATCCCATTGATTATTCACTATCACGATGTTCTTCTCAACCTCGACGGGCGTGCTGGCCCTGGCTGCTACCCAGCTGTTCATCGGTGTCTCGGCTCAGCTCAAGACCTGCACCAACAACAGCACCCTGAGCTGCCACAGCTCGTCTAAGGCCCCAACCTGCTGCTATAACTACCCCGGCGGTGCCCTGCTGCAAACCCAGTTCTGGGACACCAACCCGTCCACTGGTCCATCCGACTCGTGGACCATCCACGGCCTGTGGTGAGTCCAGCGGGTCAACTGCAGTGCTTCCGAGAACTAACCCTTGACAGGCCCGACAACTGCGATGGCACGTACCAGTCCAGCTGTGATCCTTCGCGGGCCTACACAAACATCACGGCCATTTTAAAGGAGCAGGGTCGCAACCAGTTGCTGTCGTACATGGACCAGTACTGGGTGAACATCGACGGCGATAACGAGTCCTTCTGGGCGCATGAGTGGGGCAAGCATGGTACCTGCATCAATACGATTGATCCCAGCTGCTACACCAACTACACGCCGCAGGAGGAGGTCGGAGATTTCTTCCAAAAGGTTGTGAACCTGTTCAAGTCTCTGGACACCTACACGGTACATCAACACTTCCATCCCCACCCTTTCAAAAGCAGCAGATTACTAATTTTCGTACTACATAGGCCCTTTCCAATGCGGGAATCACCCCCGACAGCTCCAAGACCTACAGCCTGGGCGATATCGAGGCAGCCCTGACCAAGGTGCACGGCGGCTCGCAGGCCTATGTCGGCTGCGAGGACGGCTCCCTGAACCAGGTCTGGTACTTCTTCAACGTCCGTGGCAACGCCATTAATGGCCAGTACCAGGCGACCGCACCGCGTAAGTATTCTCGCACAATTTCTTCATAGGAGGCACGGCTGACAATCACCTAGTTTCCAAGTCGACCTGCCCCAGCAGTGGTATCAAGTATGCGCCCAAGAGCGGCAACTAGATCAGTCATGGAAATCTCTTTAGCTGGCTCGATGGATTGAGTGGCATCTGTGGGATGCCTATGACTTATTCATTGTATATAGGTTGATCCTAGCATGGAGCAAGTGAACATATGTTACTAAATCGTGAGAATGGAATTTCCATAGTCCTTTCTCAATAGGGTATCAGATTGTTTGAGATGAAAGTAAATAGTACAGGACCGGGTTTGATTACCCGGCGAGTATGAAATAGAATGAGAACCAAAGGCCTCAATCTCGCTAATAATACACATTTCCAGCTCGAGATGGTGCAGATAGTGGATACATTTGTGCACGGGAATGACCACCACGGGCAACTCCGCCAATCATCAATTCGATTTGACACCCAGAAGGCGGGATGCAAAGTGCCCACTGGATTTTCCAATCTGGAGATACGCACTCGGGGGTTCCCCCGTTGGGAGTGAGATCCACTAGCGGCCTGCTCGAAGCCGTGCATACCCACCGCACCCTCGAAGACCGTAAGGCCCGGACCCGAAGTCGCAACACGACCCTGTCTGTAGGGGAAATGCAGATCGGTGAAGGGCCTGTAAAAAGACGTATTCAAAAATAAGGTTCGAAAACGTCTGAAGATAGAGAGATAGGGACTGAGAAGGATTTCACATGCCCTTGAGTCGTGCTTGACGTGCCTCTTCGTCTCTTTTTGCGTCCACACGACCCAAGAAATCCATGCGGCCCATATATCCCTCCTTGGCCTTGGAGTGAGTGCGCAGTTCATCTTTGATACCGGCCTCATCCACATATTGTGCCCAGTCGAGGCGGGATTTCTCCACGGTGTTGATCTTAGGTCCGCTCGCGTCCTTGTCGGCCTCGACGGCCTGCTTCTCCCAGCTCTTCTTGATCGTGCCGGTCGGATTGGGATCGAATCGCGAAATCTTGCGTAGTGGTCGACGCAGATTGCGGTTAGGGACACCGTCCACTTCAGCATATTCGACGTTATCACCCGACGACAGGAAAGCCTTGGCCTCGGCAGAATCCTTAGGAACTGTCTTCTCTTCGGTAATCATCTCGCCGGCGAATTTGTAGGTGCGCTTGATCTTGATCATCTGCTGCTCGTACCGGCCATGGCGCGCGTTGTCGTCCGGCTCTGGGGCACTTTGTTCTTTGGTTTCCGTGTCCGCGGCGTGATCGGGCTCTGGGGCCGGGGTCTTTTCCTGCTGCGTCTGCGTCTGTGATGGCCGCAGACCCAGATGGCTGTCGGGAGCGTTCATCTGTTCCCAGAGGGCGTTCACGTCGACAGTGGCGCCGTCGATTTTGGCTAGCGGCTTGCGCTCTTCCTGTCTGCAAGATGGGATGAACGTCAGAACCAAGCCTTGGACATAGAAACATGAGATTACAGGAGACTCACATCTGCGCCTTCATCGCGCGTGTTCGCACGAAGCCACCCGGTCCCCCTTCATCATCAAGATCAAAATCATCTTCATCATGCTTGCCTTTGCCTCTCTTTCCCTTCTTTTGTCGTTTCTCACGCGCTTTGCGAATCGTGGCTTCATCACCAGAGTCAAGCTCTTCCTCGGGGATCTCAGCTTTCTTATCGGTCTTGCGCTTCTTCTTGACGGGTTCGGCGGTCTCATTGTCGGACGACGACAAATCGGACTCTTCCTGGGCTCCATCTAGCTGGAAATCTTCATCTTCGGCCGAGTCATAGGGCTCGTCGTCTAGATCAACTGAATCTACCGGGTCGGCAGGCATCTTGCTGTTTGTATTTGCGCGGAGAAAGAAGTCAAGATGGAAGAGGCAGGAAACGCGCCAGGACACAATTCTGCCGAAGGCGGTGCTGATAAGGATTACATAATTATTTATGAGCCCTGAGAAATGACGCGATGCTTTTCAATTTAAAGACCTTCAACTACTTGGGAGATTGGGGTTATTCAAGACAGATACCGGGCATTCACCCACGACTGATACCCATCATTAAGGATGTCCGAAATGTTTACCGGGGAGCTCAACGCAGTGGCAAAACTTGCCCGCTTTCCTCTACTCCCCGCGCCGGAGTTTCCATATTCTCCAAACAAGACATTGTCCGTATTGGGCTGACTCTTTGACCACTCGCTCCATCCTGCCCTGTTGATGGCATCGCTCATGTATGAGTTCTGGAAGACGACGCGCGCGTATGCCGATTCCGGGCGACTTGGACGGTGTTATTATATACGGTCCACATGTGTGATCTGCACTTACCCAGGAAGTTTGAGCCCGGTTTGACAGATTCGCCCTTGGCCGCCTCTATGGTTGAATTATTGACCACAAAATACGAGGGGTCGTTTGAGGATGCACGCCCCTGAGGTCATGACGTCTGGAAACTCTGTTGTACTGATTTCTTTACACGTCGCTATGAAAAGGGTTGCAGAAGATACAGGTCGCCCGGGGACCGTCGGTTACGTCCGTGAGTACGGGTCTTCCGCATGGCGCTAGTGCCGCAGGGGTGCCACGGCACTTGATAAGAAAAAGGTGCTGCCCCGATGCGCACGGCTACACATCCATCTTATCTCTCTCTCCTTATTGGTGGGGTCTACCAAGGTAAGATCGTCGGTGGTGAGGGGACCCTGTTTCAGGATGGAAGTATGGAGCGAGGATTGGGGGCGAGTTTCATTACTGGGCCGTCTCCTACATGCGTCCTTGAAAGGTGAAAAAGAATGATCATTGGCGGAAGAGTCGCTCTGTCGTTCTAGTCTTTGAGTAATGCAAAGTATCCGATTTCGCTTGACTTTAGAGTTTCAATATTCAACTATTCAACATTTCTTTCCATCTCTGCCCAACATGGATCTGACACAACTTAGCATATATACTGATACACCTATCAACGCCTGATACTCATATTCCCATGTTTCATCCAACCCTTCTAGGGTTTAATTGGCATAGACCTGCTTCGTGGCAACCTCCACTTTCTCGAGCTGGAACTCCTCTTCGCGACGACGGGAGACATCTCTCTGGAAATAGGATCCCAGGGCAGCGCCGACTCCCATGGCAATCTCCAGTCCAAGCAGAACACACAGAAGAGCGAATCCAGCACGGGTCTCTTGGCAGTCACGCGTGAAGTGGATGGGGGCCGGGGTGTTGCCGGTATTGGTCTTCCATTTGCAGGTCCAGCTGTGTAGGGTTTCGTTCTCGCTGAAGCCACTCGGGTAGGTTGAGGAGGGGAGATAGATGATGAATAGGAGGCCGATCAGGGCAGTGATAAAGCCGGCGATGGCCGAAGTGGATGCACATGTATTGAGGGTCTGAATACGCGAGTGAGGCTACATAGATGTGTGAGTAGATCTGACCTACCACCGACGTATAGATTGAGGAGACTGACGGATGGAAGCAGAGCAACAACGACGTATATCAAGTTTAGCACCGCAATAACACAGCCGCACGACAGCGCAGCGACAGTCGGGCGGAGATCAAAATTGAGTGGCCAAAGGGCGAGACCGGAATTCGCCCATTGTACCGTAGACTTATAATGCTGGAAAGGTACTGCTTCGCAAGCGATGACAGCAACAGCACCAATCAGAATCAAAAATGATAGACAGAGCCGGCCCAAGTGAATGGCGCGGCTGCGTTTGAGGAAAGCCGACTCTTGTATATCGGAGGAATGGGCCTGAGAGCCAGCAGTGGATGAACCCGAGCTCATGGTGGAGTAGAGAGCAAAAATAATATATAGAAGATTATGTGATGGAGAATAGAGCTCGACACCTTGCCGGCAAGGCTGTTTTATCAAAGTGTAATGAAAGGAGGACCCTCACCAGGGCTGTGAAAGAACGGCGTCGAGGCAAAGATATAGAACCTCTGGTCTCAGGAACCGCCAGCTGGGGATGAAGCTAATTATGTACCCTGCGTCGTATAACCGCAGACCTTCGCAGATGAATCCTAGCGAGCGGCTTGCCATCACAAATGCTACCACCGCGTGGGCGCGTAGCCAGGAGGGTCGAGCAGGATCCTCCGCGCAGTATCCAGACATCCAAGGCTATTGATTCGCCCGTAAATGGAAGTTAAAATTTGAGGAGTTCGAGGGCTGCCTCATAAACATTGGTGGTCCTACTGTGTGTTTGGGCTATGGTCTGGGCGGGCGCCTGCAGACTTGGCGGGAGAAGCACCACAAGAAAGCGCTAATTATAGCTAAATTTAGATGGAGCGCATAATGATCGTCACTGACTATTGTGGATACTGTTGTCTGATTTGTGGTCCTCGATCGCCAGTTTGTGGGTGTCTGAGCGATGGTGGGTTCTGATAGGTGGGACGCGAAGCGCTGACCTGAAGCCACGGCGGTTATACATGATGGATGATGGGGGTCTCGCCTATTTATGGTCCCTGCATTAATTAGTTTCAGACCTTGACAAATTCAATAAAGCTAAGTTACTGAGGGTATTTTATTCAGGCCGATCCTCTTCTAAGCATTGCGTAGGTCCATTGCCTCGAGGCGTCCTAGTCTATACCTAAGGCGGGTTCGTGGCTTCACACTCTACGCTCTTTGCCAAATAAGCCGTGCCACAGAGAATGGGTTGGTTTGAGAACGGTTGAAATTGAGTAAAAGACATCGTGGAAAAGAAAGCCGATCTCCCAGAGCCATGTTAAATGGCTCGAGGTACAGTCGAAATCGTAGTTGGGCGGCAACCATGTTGGATGGCATCGATAACAGAAAGCAAAGACACATAGTAGCAATTCAGAGGTATTTCTACTCTCAGCTTGCACTTTCAGTTTCACTAGTCAACCTCAATAGTCATCGCCGCGACTGATAACTTCCTTGCTTGTTTCTCCCAGCAAGATAGTCTAGTAGAAATATTAGCCCCGGGTCTTCCACACGAACGTAGAGGTAGGGGAAGAGCATACATGTTCGAACTGCGCAGAGTATGACCCGTTGATGTCCATTAGAGGCGGGTAGACTTCGACGATACCTTGAGAAGCAAGGTTGTTCATCTGCACACAATCAGCACTATTCCAGACGGAATCAGGAGAATACTCACACCGGCCAAATACCTCCCGATCGGGATACCAAGGCGATCAAGGTACCGACGGCAGAATACAAGCGAGCCAAAATTGTCGTTGATGGTCTTGTTGAGAGACCTGGCAGAGGCAAGAGGCGAGACGATTCTCTTCGGCGCATGTGGGTCTCTGCCGTACCCGTAGACGCCGGGCTAAACAAGTCAGCTTCTTTCCCAAATGCAAGTAAGACGGAGGCTTGACATACTCCATCGACCAAGTAGCCATTTCCGGTAGTACCGAATGTCTCGATGGCAAAGACCTCCCCTTCTTCCATCTTGGTCTGGTCCTTGTTCTTCACAAAAGGGATAGACTTTCCACCGTGGATCCGATATTGCTTGATATTGTGCCCAGAGATGTTTCGAACTGCTTTTACAGCAAAAGTTTTACCTCCGATTTCCACTTCGTAGCTTTCCATCGCTTCCTGGATGGCAGCGCTGATATCGCTGATGCGGACGTCGACACCAGCATTCTAATCCAGGTTAGCTGTGATCTAAGAACGAGAAACGAGCTTCTAATCACCTTTATTCCGGTGTTTGTTGCATCCTTCACTGCAGCAAGCAGATTATCATAAGTCGGATCCCAGGACATGGTGAAGGCACTATCAACAATCCAACCGTTGATATGGACACCAAAGTCAACCTTCATCACATCGGTCGATTTCAAGACAATCTCCTTCTGTCCAGGATTAGGCGTATAGTGTGCGACGCAGTTGTTCAGAGAGAGACCCGTGGGGAATCCCATTCCGGAGACTAGCGCACTTCCAGGTTCAAGCCCTTCATTATCGAGCAGCGCTCTCACGCCGTCTTCAATATTCACAGCAATATCTGTGAGGGTCGAACCGGGCCGAGCGCTTTCCTGCGTAAACTTCCGGACCTGGCGGTGAATCTCCGCCGCTTTGCGGTAGTCACTCAGGAATTTGTCGTCGTGGATGTGACGACGCGACTGGTATCGGTCTTCCTCGGCGGTCGTACGAGCCGTGTTTTCGACCACGGATTCATACTCCTGAATCTCTCCACTTGGAAACTGGCCGGTAGAAAATATCTGGTCCAGAGGGACTCGTGGTGGCGACGACTGTTTACCAGACGAAGCCTTCTTCTTGGACTTCTTCCGCTTCTTCTTGGTAGAAGCGGAGGTAGACTGCGGGTTTAGCGACACTTCAGCCCCCCGAGCCTTATCGTCTCCGTCGGCGTCTTCACCCCCATCGCCATCCCCCAGGCTTCCATCGCCATCCCGGGAAAGATGGGCGCCTCGTGGTTCGCCGCCGGTGCCGTGGGCATTGATTGACCCGGATGGGTCATCTGTTAAGAATAAGCGCAAGTTACGGTGGGATTAGAGCTTCTACATACTGCCATTTGTATGGCTCTCGTGTTCAGGAGTCTTTGATCCCATTTCAACATCAAGAAGCAGGTTTTGTAGGGAATGTAAATGATGAAGATTAGTGAAAAGGAAAATAATGTATTCGCTCGCAACCAAGGCGGTGTACTCTCTCTGTCTAGTGCTTATTTTGGAGTTTTCCGACTTGCTATTTATTTGTCTTTTCAGATAAGATGTCAAATTACTTGGCTTTATCTTCAGGTAGGACCATGATTCCAGTCGACACCCTCTCCAAGAAATTAGTTTCATATCTCAGTCTATAGATCAACAAAACGATCCTATGACATCGCGGGGAAATCCGGCCGGGGAGACCCCACCGCCTGGCAGAAAGAAAAACCGAGGCGGGGCACTCGTTGACTTCTTCAATTGCTTCAATTGATTCCATATACCCCAGACAATATGCCTTTGTCAAAGCTGCAGGGAGCTAAGCTCCCGGCTTCGGCCGACTTCCATGGTATGGCCGTGAGAATAGTGCGCAGGCCCAGACAATGGCTCACTAACCCGGAACAGTCCACCTTCGCGACGGTCCGATGATGGAGCTGGTTACTCCCACTATTCGTCAGGGCGGCGTGAACACGGTCTTCGTCATGGTAAGGAGATTTAAACAATGATCCATTCTCAGATATGTAACATGATATCGCACAGCCCAACCTGGTCCCGCCCGTCACAACCGTCGACCGCGCCCTGGACTACAAGAAGCGCCTGCAGGCCATTGAGCCTAACGTGAACTACCTCATGTCGCTATACCTGCACGAGTCGATCACTCCCGAGACAATCATCGAGGCAAAGAAGCGCGGTATCACCGGTGTCAAGAGCTACCCGGCCGGTGTGACAACCAATTCGAGCTCAGGTGTCATCGATTACTCGCTGTTTTACCCCGTCTTCGCTGAGATGGAGCGCCAGAACATGATCCTGAACTTGCACGGAGAAATCCCCTCCAAGGGCGATGTCACGGTTCTGTCGGCCGAAGAGCGGTTCCTGCCCACCCTGCTTGAGCTCCACGCCAAATTCCCCAAGCTCCGTATCATCTTGGAGCACTGCACCACTGCTGCTGCCGTTGAGGCTGTGAAGAAGTGCGGCCCCACCGTTGCGGGTACCATTACTGCCCACCACCTGTCCATTATCATCGACTCGTGGGCCGGTGACCCGTTCTGCTTCTGCAAGCCCGTGGCCAAGACCCCCGCTGACCGCGACGCCCTTCTTCGGGCTGCAGCTTCCGGCAATCCCAAGTTTTTCTTTGGTTCTGACAGCGCACCTCACCCATCTGCCTCCAAGCGTGGCGGCGAGAAGATTGCCGCCGGTGTGTTCACCCAGCCGTACACCACTCAGGTCGTGCTTGATTCCTTTGAGCAGGCCGTTGAGAACGGTGTCCTCAAGGACGAGGATATCACACAGGAAGTCGTCGCCGGATTCATGAGCAAATTCGGGCGGGCCTTCTATGAGATCGGTGAGGAGCAGAAGGAATTCATCACCCTCGAGAAGAAGGGCGAGAAGATTGTCGAGATCCTCAAGTCGGATCAGATCGACGTTGTCCCCTTCCGCAAGACCCAGAACACATGGAGTGTGACCTGGTCTTCATAGATTCAAATTCAATGCAAAAAAAGTTCAAGTCCAGTAAGACCGTTTCCTTTTGGTAGCACATATTCCTACGAGGACTGGGGCTCCCGCGTAAGCATATTGGCCACATTTTCTAGCGCATGTGCCTCGGAGATATCGATACGGCGACCAGCAACAACCGGATTGCCATCGTCGCCCATTGCCAGCTGTCCAGCCCGTTCGAGGTGGAGTCTGATGCGACTCTCGATGTACGCCTTCCGTTCGTCCCGTTTGGACTTTGTCTCCATTGCCTCCCCTGAGCCAGGCAGACTGGCCAACTTCGGTCGAAGATTCTCGAGGGTTGCCTGTAACGCAGGAAGTTGCGAGAGGATAAAGGTCGTGTTCGTCGTGAGAGGCGTGTGCTTGACGTTGGAACCAGCATCCACGCCAACGCGAAGCTGGCGAGCAGCGGGGCTAGATGTCAGGAAGGATAGATCCAGCGGTTTTGCGGCCTTCTCCTCTGCACCATTGGGTTTGGCGGTCTCGACGGTTGACAGGATCGACTTGAGCTGCGAAATCACCGCATCATTGCTTGCACATTCCTCTTTCAGAGATCGGTTGAGTTTGCGCGTTTCGAGTAGCTTCTTGCGCTGCGCGTTGATGGTCTCTGGGGTGGGTGTATCCGACGAGGCAGTGAAAGAGAGACCCTACACAGTAAATATGTTAGCTCAGGAGTGCTTTCTTTCGTCGTACGACTGCATTTACGTACCTCATAATGCTTGAGCCTCACCCATGAGAGCAGGTCTTCGGGTACGGTGAGAATGTTCCTCAGCAGGTAAATCTCGAACTTGTCAAACGCCTTGTCGACATTGGCTTCCAGGAGTGTCTCCAGCTGGTGCAGACCATTTTCCAGCTCAAGCTTGGCTTCTGGGTAAAGAACGTTACCATCTTCGTCGGTTTCGGGGATAGTAGAACCGTTGGTGGCGTGCGCAAAGCCTAAGCGCTCGGGAGGAGTGGCGATAAGACTAGTCTCCAGGCCGGAGATTGCCTGGTATATCAGATTATTGATCGAGTTGATAATGTCATCTATTAGAGACTGTAACAGGTCAGCCAACTTGTAAAGGGGTGGGGCGCGCATGCACAATGCGCAGCGAGGGGTACAGCGGGCTCATTGGGTTCCTCGAGCTCGAAAACGTACCAAAGGGGTGTAACTAAAATGCTCAGTGAGCAATGAAGTCGTCGCATCGTTCATGGCGAAAACGAAGCGAAAGAGACCTGGCGGTTTGAAGATGGAGGGACGCGTTGGAGAAAGAAAAGACGCGCGGGATGAAAACAGACCGCCTTTGCTATCACCCGCCGACATGCGACATACAACATGTAACATTCCTGACTGCAGTCAGAAATCGAATTGGTTTGAAACTTCGAGTTTACGATCTTGTTCTGTTTTCTGTACGGATGCCTAACTGTCGTACAGAAGTTTAATGCTTGGCCGAAACATCCACACCGTCTGTTCCAGATGCAACTCGTCCTGGATAAAACTGGATGGCGTCGAATAGGATTCGGTATCAATATGCATCTTCGACAACTTGTCAGGTTCAATTCAATATACAGTCTGAAGGTCCTGTCGGTGGCGTAACGCTGACACTTAAAAGGCCTGGAATCCCGCTATGTTGACGCCTTCTGTACTTCTATACTTGCCAGTTCTGCTGATTCTTTATTCGGTTAAATACCCCTCAAAGACGCTGTGATCATCCAACTCATACTCTTCAGGTCAAAATGTCACACCCAGGTCCACTTCGAGTACTAGTAATCGTCTCGCAGCGAAGCTCTCTGTACGCTACAGCCCGCGACTCTCCCGATGAACTGATTCCTTTAGCCACTCGTCTGCTAAAGAGGAACGCCTTGCGGAAAGCGTCCGACCCGAGCGAGACAAGACTTCTCGCAGTCCAGAAATGGAGAAGTCGCACCTTCCTGGTCTTCGATATCGCCAATAGCGATTACGACGCAATGCTGGGACATCTCCCTGAGCACAATCAACTCCCGGTGGTCGTCACGCACTTCAGCAAGAAGAAAAGCGCATATGTTGCAAACCCGTGGGTGTCACGGAGAGTCAACCATGACATCGCGATGCTTCACAATGCCAACGGCTTCGATGCTGTGCCACCATTCATGGAGGACCACAGCCTAGGCAAGCCGCCTGCATATCACAGCCCTCGGGATATCTCCATGTTACGGGTCAAGTATATCTAGAGACGAAGGTCGAATGAACGGTCGCGTCAGGGTATTTGGTATCTCGAAAATACAGATCAAAGTGATTCCAACGCCGTATCGCTCCGGTGCTGCCTGTAAAAAAATATCCATCATTGTGTAGATCAGAAATCCATCGTAAGCTGCGGCGCCATTTTCTCCAGGTCCTCAACCTGTTCCATAGTATTAGCACACCGGCCGCAACAGCCCGACAGAAGAGAGACATACCTCCAGAAAGCCGTCGCCGATACTCCTTCCACCTCCGGCACCGTCCGTCTCCGCCCGTTCATATGCAGCACGAGCGATAGCCTCCCTCACGAAGACATCGACATACTTGGCCACAACCTCATTGGCATCCTTCGCGACCTTTGTCTTCTCGTTCTGGAAATGGTGATGCAGGAGTCGAGTAAGCAATTTCGGCGGAATTTTAGGATCGCTCGAGGCGACATCCTCGGTCTGGTTATTCGTGATGATCTCCGCGAGGATGTAATCCGGTTCTTCGGAGAGCGACCTCTCGCGACTGCGACTGGATGCCTCGGAGTCTGAGTCAGAAGCTCCGTCGGAGGCGGATGCAGATGCGGGCGGGGATTCGGCGCGTGGACGCTTGGCGGAGGATGTAGATTTGCGGTTTGCTGATTTGGGTGCTGATGCTGAAGAGGAGGCTTTGGCGGTATTTTGCTTGGCCTTGCCTTTGGGGGCTGCTTTGGACGCAGAAGATGATGGTCCCGCGCTTGTTGATGGGGTGCGGCTTGGTGGCTTGAAGGGCAAACGGCGTTTCTTTGCTGGTTGAGGTTCGCCGGCCATCGTGGTGCCGGTGGAGAATGCTTGGTGGTTGATAAAACAGAGCGTGGGCTGTCAACGCCTATCGCTGGCAACGCGGGTCGCGACGCGTTATCAGGTGATTCTAGGTCAATCACGCCAGCTTCGTTGCAACTAAAGCATTTCATGAAACAGGGGCTTGGGGTCATTTTTAATTGATCTTCCAAGGTCTGGTCGCAATACTGCGCATTTCTTGGTATTGTTTTGGCCGACATTCGGGATTTGTGATATAGTTAAGTGAGCGTTGATGAAAATATATCACAACTTACAAATATACTAAACTATAGTATCTGCTATAAACAGCCATACATTTAAGAATCACCGTGAAATTCAATTGCTCCTTGTAAAATAGACAGTGGACCTTATAAGCCCTCTTTTTCATCGTTTCCTACGGTCTCCTCAGCAGGATACACAACCGTCATATCCAGACCGACGTCCTCCACCAGACCACGGGTTTCCTCCCAAGGAACCGCAAATAAACCAGAATTGAACCGACAAGAGTAAAGGCGCCCTGGCGCAGGAGACCCACCGTTTTGATGATCATTCCGAAGAGAATCAACCTGACTCTTCAAGTCCTTAAGTGCCGCAGAGGTGCTGTTGATAATCATGTCCGGCGAGTCGACTCGGACACCATAGCTGCGCGACGTGAAGAGGCAGATGATCCAATGTCGCTTTCGACCACCCTTGCAATCTCCCGGCTGCGGCGGGATGACTAGGGCCGTGCCGAGCGGAAGTCGCACAGTGATGGTGCTTTCACCAGGCTGGAAGTTGAGGATGGAGTGCGTCATTATGCCATATCGGTATGTCTGACAGTGGTTGCGGTAATAGCGGTATGCGGCAGGGTACTGGCAGAGCAGTGTTAGCTATGCAAGGTGATGTCTCGGGTGGGAAGAAGATGGAGTTGAGCCGGCCGATCAGCAAACACACCTTTTGTTTGAACACCTGGGCAATACCCGCGCCCCAAGCACCTTGGACATTGCACGCATCTAGCAAAGGCTCGGTTAATTGGAGGTTTCCCTTCAATGGGAGGGCAGCTCACGGATCAGGGCCGAGTCTTCAGGAGCGTCGAACAGATCACCTGGGATCTCGATCACCCCGGTATCACCACTGGTGGCAGACATCAGGAGGAAATAAGGTAGACAGAAACCTCCAGACAACAGGGTTTAGATGTAGAGTGCAAGTTGATGTAGTTTGAGGAAGACGAGGTTCGTATACTAGGCTCCAGGGTGGGACCGTGTTGAGCAGGTCTACGGCGAGTCCCAAAGAAGGCTCGGAGAACGTCCTGAATCATTTGATGGCTAAGGGAGGCAAACAGACTTTGTTGATTCCAAGGTTGAACACAAGGTAATAATAATGGAATAGAGCCAACACTCATTCAAAGCAGCATGCCTACTTGTCGATGTTCCCGGTCTCAGTGATGTCCTTGGTTTGCTTTGTCTTCGCGGCCTCTTTCTCTTTGGCCCCTTCCTCGGCCTGCTTCTCCTTGTCCTCCTTCATCTTGTCCTCCTTCTCATCGGCTTCCTGCTTCAGGTTTTCCCTCAGCAATCGGAACAGGCGCTTTCGAATACCATGCTCCCTGATCGCTCCCCACTCTCTGTCCCGAGGAGATACGGGGCCCTCGGACGGAGTGCGTGTCGATGGTGAAGCGGTCGCTACGGCAGACCCCAGGGCAAATGGCGCGCTCTGCCCGCTGCTAGTTTTCAAACGCCGGCTCATACTTCGAGAAATAGACTTGAACAGGTTGGGACTGTCACCCTGATCGCTTCGTTCCAACTGCGTAATCTCACTTCGAACTGTCATGCCGTTTGTTGCAAGATTTGCCTCCGGGATGGGAATGAAAATGATCACGCCGAGGCTAGGCGGAATGCCTAGCAGTTCTTCCAAGACCTTCTGGATGAGGGTCGTGTTGCGAAGATTTGTGACCGGGGCGATAAGGGAGGGAAGCGCGTATACTGTCAGCAAGTAGGATGGGAGAGTGTTGTTGCTACCGAAGAGAACGCAGGTCTCCTGCTGGACGGTGACCATGATGGAGTTTTCCGGGCGCTGGTAGACTTGAGAAAGACGGAAGAGAATATCCTCGACAAGCTTAGACTGCTCATCCTTGACCTGGTACGGGAATCAGTGACCACAATTCGAAGTCAAAAGCAGGAAAAGATATACCTTGTGATTCGTCTTGAGTTCAGCGACCACGACCGAGTCCTGATGGACACGCTCCGAAGGTGAAATGTGAGAGCCGCGATGACCAAACACTTCCTCGTAATACTGGGTCTTCTTTTTAGCCACCGGCGCTTCATCGACGCTCTCCTCGGTCACCCAAAAGGCCTTCTTAGGGTCCAGAATGTACCGCACAATGGGCACCACATTCTCTTCTTTTGTCACTTCCGTGAAAAGTCCTGGCGCAGTCTCTGTTCTTCGCAAATTTGTCTCTGGAAGAATCACTGGCGCCAGAGGGAGCGAAATCGTGGCCGGACGCGGCGGAGGCGTAATACGCGTTTCCAAACGAGGAAGTGAGGGCCGCTTGGACTTGGATGAATCCATGATGAAGTACCCAAGATGAACAAGAATTTGGATGTGATGAAGAATGAAGAGGGAACCTGGAAGACTACGAGTACGAAAACACGAAATGAATGGAAATGCATTAGGGTCTCAGGAACCTTGGAAGGCGCGACCAACCGCATTATCCACGCGAAGTAGATCACATCAAGAACGCCAACTCGCTAAATGCCGAATTCCCACTGGTAAAAACCTTGTCGATGCGTCTCCTTCGATCCCATACAACCTCTCCATCAACATGCTTGATGTATATGATGCGATGTTGTGGAATGAACTCCTCATCCGTTGACTCCTTCTTCCAGTTTTCCATATTGATCTCCAATTGTCCTTCGAATCGATCCACGAAGCCGATGATGAAGTCGGTACGTTTGAATTCTTCGTCCCAGGTGATGCGATTGATGATATCTGGTCCGTTAATTGCTTGATCTTCTACTCCCAAATTAACGTGAACTACTTACCTGCCGCTGGTCGCAATTTGTTCTTGCCGGCCCTCGGATCAGGTGGAGAAGGGCTTCTGCGAACATGCTTAACATGCTTAACATGCTTTGGCTTGACTTTAATGGTCGGACTAGGCGATTTTGATGGATTACCCTCGAGTTCGTTATTCATCTTTGAAACCATTGATTCGTTTGGAGAAGCCTCAGCCGCCATGATTGCTTCTTGTATAAAAGTCTGACGATAAGGATTGATGATAGTCATTTTGTGAACAGAGAATGAAGAGGCTTTATACCCCTTCAAGGACGTAGTCTACTCTCAATACATCACGTATAGTCATTTCTGAAAGCTTAGCAGTATAGCCGATCGGTCTTGGCGCATGATGGGACCCGAAACTTAATCCAATGAAGCCTATTCTTTGAATGACTCAATCAGAGTCACAGCTGGTCGATTGTGGCTGGTGCCTGTGAGTCAGTTCTCTGAGCCAGCCCAAGACCGAGGACAAAACGGTAAAATCATCAGTAAGAGTGGCTACATGTTTGTTCTATGTTATAGAATAAGTGAGAATAAAAAAAAGGAACAGGAAAAAAGGAACAGGAAAAAAGAATTGGCGCTGCCCGGAATCGAACCGGGGCTAAATCGGATTCGAATGTGTCACCACAACGATTCGTCATACCACTAGACCACAGCACCTGAGGCTGAAAATTTTGCAGATCTTGACTACATTAAGCATGAACTTATATCCATATCTTGTTTCTTCCCCACTTTTATTTTTCTAAGGATATATTACCAGTATATTTTTTCAAAAAATTAACACCCTATTATTTTGTTGATTAAGAGTAGCTACACATTTATTCTATGTCGTAGCAGAGGTGAGAATAAAAAAAAAACAGAAAAAAAGAATTGGCGCTGCCCGGAATCGAACCGGGGCTAAATCGGATTCGAATGTGTTACCACAACGATTCGTCATACCACTAGACCACAGCACCTGAGGCTGAAAATTTCTTCAGACATTGACTATATGAAGCACGAACTACAACTGTCCCTATTTGTCCCTCACTGCTATTTTTAGGATATGCTTTAAGACTCACCCTCGGATCGTTGCGAATACTACTTGATCTGCTACATTGTATTTAAAGCGGTTATTTTGTCCTGGGTGGTTTCTGGGAGTCTTCAATTTCCATTATATGAAAAAGATCACGACTTTTCGATTTCAGACCATGCTATCTTTGTAGCCATTCCACTGTCACCTCCGTTTACACTATTTTGGGGTATTAAGAATGAAGCACCCCTTAGCACGCCCCTGAGTGGACTGCCAGACCTGTGAGGAGCATAATACTCGCCTCGCCATTGAAGTTGGTCTATACCTAATCGTGGTTTATGAGAACTTCAGTTTCAGCTGACTGAGTAAACTTGCCTTTTTCCACTCCCTGTTTTTTCAATTTCCACGTCTGAGCCCACCTTCCTGTCCGTTTTTGCCCCAGGTATAGTTCACCATACGTTCCTACATAATAATTACACCTATAAGGACTATTTAGAGGCTAGTAAGACTAGCAAGTTTAGTTCAATGGGGATATAAAGTTATAAAACCTTTCCAACTAGGAATTTCATCGACATGAGAAAAGTATGGATATAAACCTATGCTTTATGTAGTCAGGATCTGCAAAATTTTCAGTATTCAAGGTGCTGTGGTCTAGTGGTATGACGAATCGTTGTGGTGACACATTCGAATCCGATTTAGCCCCGGTTCGATTCCGGGCAGCGCCAATTCTTTTTTTCTGTTCCCTTTTTCCTGACTTGTGGTGGTGGCATGTTGAAGAAACTCTACATGTTTTGAAATTGAAAAAAGTATGAAATGACTATCAAACACCCTTTCAATCCAGGACGGCTCAATTTTTCCCCCCTAATCTCTCAAATTTGCTACTACTGCACACACTGCTTATTGTCCACACGCCACAGCATAACTTCTTCTTCAGCCCTTTGTCACTTTCCTTCGTCCAGGGACCCAGCAAGTAACGGAACTTTGGGTATTATTCAAGCAATCCTGCTCAGTACTCATTGTTGTCATTATTCTGAGCAGAACCCGGCAGTGGGCAAGTTCATGAGTGCCCGAGGTTTCTTCTTGGTCGGACCTCGATTGATAGATATTTCTTTTTAAATTCGTCTTCCCACCGACCGAGAGAGCCATACGGAATGTCAAATCTTGCGAAGGTTTGACCGCCGAGGAGCTTTGTTGCCCAAAGGGTACGACTAGCCAGCCTAGAAGTCATCAGGGGCCTTCCGTGAACGGCTCTCTTTGCACGCAGACTAATGGCGTCGGTTCGTGACGTTGTGCATCCGAAGGCCATTTTGGGGTCTCGATATGATTGCTGTGAACTATTGTAGTCATCGTAAAAAGAAACTGTCCCTAAGTTAATCGCATGAACTGCGCTAACTAAGTAAGTACCGGCTGACGCGAATCACGGCCGAGGCAGCCTGATTAGCCAATTAAGCTAAGTAATCTGATCCGAAGCATCTTCGGGTCTAAATAAGGCGAGCGCCATCAACCAATATCGATAATGCTCTCTCGCGGTGTGCTTCCCCCGCCGGCCTCTTAAGGTAGATTTACAGCCTCACTACATTGGGCGATTATCCCCTAAACAGTGTAGGGCGAGCATGCGCAGAGGTCAACTACGGACTGACCGATTGATATCCGAGACGGTGAGCCTATAGATTAGTGTTACGGACTAAGGAAAGGGCTTTTTTATCTCAAGTGCCTTGGTCGGAACTGAGGAAGAAAATAGGGCTGGACGAGGGAGGAGAGCGCAGATTATAGTCATCGAGTCGCAGAGGAGCCGACGCGTCACATACGGGGAATAGGGGCAGCGCAGCTTAGGAGCTTGGTGATCTAGATCAATAGCAAAAATGCCTCACCTGCAAGCCTCAAGGGGAGGAGGACGGCGAAGAAAAAAGAAAGTAATCTGGGCTGTTGGGTGGGGAGGGCTGTATACAGCCACGCGCGGGCACGCTCAGAGACCGGTGGCGCTAAACCGGAAGGGTCAAAACTAAACTCAAAGGAGACTCCACCGTAGCAGTCCGATATGGTGTAGTGGCTAACATCGCCGTCTCTCACACGGCAGCCGGGGGTTCGATTCCCCCTATCGGAGCTTAACGATTCTATCTTTTTTTTTTCTTCAAGAAAGCAGCCTCGGTCGCAGCTTCTGATGTGAGGACTAATCTGTGTTAGGTCATTCCAATGTGGTCGTTCGTCATGGGCAGTATGAGGAGCTAGTGAGATGATGGGCGAGGGAGGGCATCATTACTTAACGTAATTCACAAGCCACCCGGCCACACAAGCCACCCGGCCACACAAGCCACCCGGCCACACAAGCCACCCGGCCACCCAACTAAATTTACGCGTCCCAACGCGTCTCTCCTATTTTCTACCAACCACTATGCCTCCAAAATGCGCTCAATCAAGCCGTAATTCCATCGAATAAGAGGGCTATGAAAAAGGAAGAAATTAGCTCTATTCGAGACGCAGCGCGCCAATTTAACGTTCCACGTTCTACGCTCGCCGACCGCATTAATGGCCACCAAAATCGCTCTGAAAGACGCGCCAATAATCATAAACTGACCCAAACTGAAGAGGAATCGCTTAAGAAGTGGATATTATTAATGGATACGCGTGGAGCAGCCCCTAGGCCGGCTATAGTAACGTAATCGGTAAGCGAGTGGGCCATGTAAGCGAGTGGGCCACCCAACTAGTTTTTCGCGTCCACACGCGCCCTTCTATTTTCTACCAACCACCATGCCTCCAAAACGCGCTCAATCAGACCGAAATTCTATGGAGCAAGAGGGCCGTCTTCTATTAGCTATACAAGCTATAAAAAATAAAGAAATCAGCACTATCCGTCAAGCTGCAGAGCATTTCAATGTCCCTCGTGTTACCCTTCAACGCCGTCTTACCGGGCATACATATCGCGCTGAAACGCGCGCCAATAGCCATAAATTAACCCAAACTGAAGAGGAATCGCTTAAAAAATGGATACTATCAATGGATACGCGTGGAGCAGCCCCTAGGCCCTCTATGGTGCGAGAAATGGCGAATCTTTTGCTTGCAAAGCGTGGTTCAACCCTAATCCAGTCAGTCGGCGAAAAATGGGTCTATAACTATACCCACCGTCATTCAGAGCTAAAATCTCGCTTTTCCCGTCGATACGACTATCAACGAGCAAAACAAGAGGATCCAAAGGTTATTCAAGGGTGGTTTGATACCGTACAAGCTACGGTTCAGCAATACGGTATCCTACCGGAGGATATCTACAACTTTGACGAGACTGGCTTCGCGATGGGCCTCACAGCGACCGCAAAGGTCATTACTCGAGCGGAATACTACGGTCGGCGATCAGTTTTACAGCCAGGAAATCGCGAGTGGGTGACTACAATCGAGTCAATTAGCGCTTCTGGGTGGGCGCTTCCGCCTACAATTATCTTCAAGGCCAAACTATACAATCTAGCTTAGGCCGATGGCTTTCCACATAACTGGCGCTTCGAAGTTAGTCAAAATGGATAGACGACAGACGAGATTGGCCTTCGATGGCTTCAACAGCTATTTATACCGTCAACGAATAGCCATACGCAAGGCCGATATCGTTTATTAGTCCTTGATGGCCACGGGAGTCATTTAACTCCACAATTCGACCAAATCTGCGCAGAAAATGAGATAATTCCTCTCTATATACCAGCGCATAGCTCACATCTCTTACAACCGCTTGATATTGGTTGTTTTGCGGTTTTAAAACTGTCGGGATTGGTAGTATAGACGATAAGAGAGATAAATAAATGCCTAAGGGTCCCTATGCGGCAGGGCAGTCCTTAGAACAAATATTTGTAGAGAGAAATACTACCTCCCGTAGAGGTCGGCTACTACTGCGGCGTAGTAGCTTACCCCAGGAAGATGGATGAAGATAAAGATAAAGGGTCTCTTTAGTCTGCCTTTATGAGAGAAAGGTAGTAAGAGAATAATTGAGATGAAAGCTCTTGTTTATTCAGTCTGGTTTTTCGGCCATATTTATAGACAGAAATATTCAGTTCATCTAGAATGAGTGTGCTGATTGCCCAAGGTCATAGACGTCATGAAGTGAGGGGTAGGCCTAATAACCTCTGGTTATGTAGGCTGACGTAGATAGAAAGCATAGTGAAGGCTGAAATGTGAGATAATTGGAAGATCAGATAAAGGCGGTGAGAGATGGCAGAACGGGAACATCAACTGGAACTTTCCATGTTGAATTGGAAACTCTGGAAATCTGCATGTATGAATGCATACACCTAAAATCCTGACACCTATTCTATATACGGTGAAAAAGGGCATAAGTCCCCTACATACCCAGTTAGGTAGAATAATTAATATAAAGGCGTTTTGGTTGAAAAAAATAGATATAAACAGGAAGTAGGTGGTTGGGTGGCCGGGTGGCTTGTGTGGCCGGGTGGCTTGTGAATTACGTGAACATTTGCTATGTATGCATTTGTAAATTTTTGGCAAGTGCGAATAATAGCCATAAGACGAATTGGGCAATTAAATTAGCCTAAAGGTGCTGTGGTCTAGTGGTATGACGAATCGTTGTGGTAACACATTCGAATCCGATTTAGCCCCGGTTCGATTCCGGGCAGCGCCAATTCTTTTTTTCTATTATTGTTTTTTTTGGCACTCCCGAGGTCACTTAGACCTACAGTTTATTCCAAGCCATTGGGAAGCATATGGGTGGTAAATATAGCCTGGCCTGAGGCAAAATTGGACCTGCAAGTCTTGAGTGGAATCGGGAACGTTTTCCTAAGGAGTTGTTCGAAACCTTTAGGGAATCTCCCATCTAATAGATCGATTAACAAAACAAAAGGTTGGCATCATTCTCGTGTGTAGGCCGGTTTTTTAGGGGTTATTCCATGTCGAATTTCTAGAAAGTATCTTTAAGGCGAACAGTCCCTCTTCCTAGTTACTGCCAGCCGAAAACCAGAAAGTATTAATAACGGACTGATCAAATGACTAAAAGCTTCAGTCGAATATATCAATCATATCAAACCTATCGAAGAAGATAATATCTATGATAACAGCGATGAAGAGGTCCGTCCGGCCAAATCAAAGGGGAGGGGGTAGAAATATAGAATAAGGCGTCTTTTTCTTGGCAATACTACTGAGAGCTCGTTGGTCTTTGACTTCAAATTACATTTCTCATCGGAATAACCCGGCTTAGAGGAATAGATCTTTGCTAGCTCATCAATGTTTCAACAATGCTTGGTTCACACCCGCCCCTGGTTGGTTGGGCACTTGTTGCATTCAAATCATGCTTAATCCAAATACTTGCTGGTGGTTGTAGGGATGTGTATCTATTTATGGTAAGGTATACTCGGTGTATTTCCACCTGATGGTTATGGCAGCAGAGCCGTAGCACATCACCTTGCCTCTAGCCATTGCATCTTTCATTTGTTCTATGAGCTACCACAGTGGGACCGAATCCACTTTGCCATACGTGAAAAGGATTTGCACGATGGTCCTCTCTATAATGCACCCAAAGTTGTGCAGACCAGCCTCAATGTTATTCCGCTCACGACGATTACACTAGAACTCGAAATTCCCGAATATCATTGAGGGAAAGTTGAAACATTCACTTTACCACTATGCATTGCAGTTCCGATTGGTGCTAGCCAAGCTGCGTTGAAACAATTAGGCCCACTAAAGTCCAAGTTGCAAGAGTTATATAAATCATTGTTCGGTTTGTTTCGTGAGTTTTTGGAGAATGGGTTTGACAGTCATCAAACTGTCGGTGAATGGACTCCTTTCCTTGCATTCTGGGCTGGGTATTTTTGTCCTTGGTTCAGCATATGAACGACAGTCCAGTGCAATGCAGTTATCCGGTCGTGGTTGAGAGATCTACAGGATGTTGGCGTGGACTTGAGGGGGTTTTGTGAAACAGAGGCAAGAATATTCAAAGACTTCGGCGGAGTAATGCTACTCGACCTGTTCGGGGCCAATTATATAGGCTCTATACAGTTGATTGGATTTTAATATGGCATATCGCCGGAGGACTGGGGTGTGTGGATATCTGAACCTACCGATGAGTTTGTCAGGGATTTTTGAGCGATGATTGAGCGGTGGATGCAAATACCAGGTGGATGGACGGATAAGGTACATTTGTTTTTGTAGTTTCACAAACTTGACTTTGTTGGGAGAATATTACGTCGAGGGGAACTTCTTAATTCGGCTCGAACTTGGCCAAATAGACCTGGGTTTCATATTTAATAACACGGGATGACGCTCCAACGCTCTCCGATAAGCCCTGTTGAGAGAACCGCTTATATATAGTAGTCTAAGCATGTTATAATGCTACCCCTCCGACTACACCCGAGTGCGTGAGAGAGTGACTAAATAAAACGAAGTATCAAGTGGACGCATTCTGAATCATCCAAACTAATGCCAGAGACATCAGAACTTTATCTCCTTTCCATCATGAAAACAAAGAGCAATAACATGTTTTCCCTCTCAAACTCAGAACTCCAGCTCTGACAAAAAGAAAAAGTCGTAGATGCACCGTTAGATATAAGCTGATTGAATGCGGCCTCAATCGTTGTATCAGGTTCTTTCTTGGTGATGATCATTGTGAGCTAACTAGAAGAACGCAGTGGCATCAACATCGTTTTGTCCAAGGTTTCCCAGGTTCCAATTGGTCTCCACAGTTTTCAACAGACTATAGTGATTATATTCGGTGTTGTCCGTGGTACCCACCTTCGCGCTTGAGACAGCGCCACCCAAAAGCACGGAATAAATTTGGTTCGTGCCAGTCGTCGTGCCTTCATCAAAGGTAAGGATGATCAAAGTGCTATCAGTGTTGAAGTTTGTGTTTGAGAGCAATGGGGTCAAAAAGTTACGAGACCAAGTTCCAGCAGTGGCGAGCGAGCTATCGTGGCCGTCGTTGGCTGTAAGTGCACTTAGGATTAGTCTAAGTTCAAAAAAGTCACGAAAAGGAGAGAAACGCATACTCATGTTGGGGGTGATGAACATCCATTGGGGCAGTTCATTATTGTCCAGGTCTTCATAGAACATGGTGAAGTTCTTCGATTTCGCAAGACGGTCCGTATCCGACGTAACCGAGTTGTAGCTCATTAGTGGGCTTGGAAATAATTTGTCAGTGACTTTTTGCTCTAGGGCGATTGTGGTATTGGGAGATTTACTTGTGCTTTCGCACGTAGTCATTTGCACCAGTCTCCTGGTTGACCCAGTTTGCCTCGAAGCCAGAAAAAGGCATATCCTCCTGATACAAACTCCAGCTGATGCCAGCGTTGTCCAGGAGATCGACGATTGTCTTCGTGCTCGCAGAGATATAGTGCGTATTGTCGTTAGCGACCCCAAATGTATCGCCACCAACAGCGGCCACATAGTTAGGCTGCATGGCCATGTGAGCAAGGAGAAACAGTTCACAAATCATTGGTCATCCTACCTGAGAGGGATGAGTGATGGCAAAATAATTTGAGAGTGTAATGCCTCGAGAGGCGAGGTAGGCGAGGTTTGCTGAGACCCAATTTATTAACATGCGCTTTTATTGAGGATCCCACGACATTAGGTACTCACGGTCCGCGATAGCCGCACTGTAATCCTGGTTTTCCAGCCAGATCTGAACAAAGCGGTTGAAAGTTGATCCAGGGACATTCGAAGTAGGGGACAGAGTCAGAGCGGTGGCAGCTGCCTTAGCTACGGCAGCAGTGCCAGTAGCAGTGTATTGCGACTGGGCGTAAGCGCCCGATGCCAGCGCAAAAAGCGCACTAGTTCTTGAGAAGATCATGATCGGTGGCAGTGGTGAAGAATGGGATGAGGCAAGCTACGGCCCAGTTTGGGGCTACAGTACCCTGCACCTATATATACCCATCCATATCGATGGCATTATGATTGTCCTCTTCTTCACTGGGGGTGTACCTATTCAACTAAAAGAAGACGCAAGCGAGGTGGTATCGTTGCAATATCATTTTGTCGTGTTATATCCTGGCAATCGGCCACGTGTAGCGGGAGTCTGTAACACTTGCTATAACCCGCTAGATAAATGCATAACTCCACTTTGAAAAATAAAGTGTTTTCCTGACGCGGAAGTTTTCTATACACCAGCAAACATACAGAATCCGCGATTATTACATAATGGCTAATAATGTTTCGCAAGAATGTACCGCCATTTTATGAATGTAAATACTTAGAATGAGAATTGGAGTCAAGCCATTGTCTGGTAGAATACGATGTCAGGCAAAGAGAGGGGGCGGTTTGCGGCGCATACACGGGGTTTCCCGGAGTATGGCGGGGGTGCGATATCTGCAACTTGGCTGCAGCCCGGGAGTTTATAGGTGCTTGATGTTGCATGGAAACTAGTCCCTGCATAATCACGAATGGCATCACGGCTAGTGGGCACGTGTGCCAAGAACTTGTGTTTCTGACTTTCTTCACATAATAAAGCTAGTGATGCGCCACGGAAACTTGAGCTTGTCGGCAATCTGCAGGGTGGGAATGAGTTATGACCTTATAGAACAGGTCAGCAAACCTTTAAACGGGTAACAACCACGTGGAAGGTGCTTGGCAGATGATAAAGACAAGGAGCGAGTATAGAATGGACTGGCGGATATTCTGATTGAGATTTAACGCCATCTATTTTCTAAGGCCGGCTCTCTTCTCTCAAGCCCTTCAGCATCTGGGCTAATTATCTTTGCTGTTGCCAGTGAACGATTCCTCGTCCAGAGACCTTTATATTCGGAGCAGGCCCATAGCGAATTTTCACCATGCCTGTATGTAAGTAACAGTTATTCGTCTCTATTATCCCAGATCTCTAGATCTATAAGGATCGGCATGTGAAGGGTTCCAAGTTTACATATTGAACGTTATTTGATTCATTAGGGCGCTATGCAAATACATACAATGTTCTATGTCATAAAGTTCTATACAAGGCTCTAGGGATAATCCCCGTATGTCCAACGCCAACAACCAGCCTCTAAGGATAAAGAGATGCATGTACAAGGATACCCATTTACCCACTCACAAGATGGTCGGGCGTGAGAGTGCAAGAAGTATCCGTACCGTCGGCAGGAGTGGCCGTCCCCGAAGTCGGGGTGTCGGTATCTGCGACTGGTTTCTTCTCTGTCTTCACATCCTTGGGGACGCTCGTCTTGCCCTTGGCAGTAAGCGCTCCCGATTCCATTGCTTCCTCAGGCAAGGGCCGAATGTGGGGTTGGCAGACCCACCAGGGCCGGCCGTACTCGGCAATGGTGGCCTTGGACCCTGTCAAGGTCTCGTCGGGTTTTTTCTCAAATTTCTCAGGAGTCTCTTCATAATCCTTCAGTCCTGCCTTGACAGCTCGCTCGACGAGGGTCAACACGTGTTCAAAAGCGGCCATGTCGCCGGGCCGCGACTGGGCCAGCGCATCTCGAACGTTTGTATGGGTAGCAACCATCGGCCGGAGCACCTGAAACAAGTGTCCCTGCATGACGCCCAGACTGGGAGAATGGGGCTTTTTGATCTTTTCCCGCTTCTGCTTCTTCTTGGGCGGGCCATCGTCGGGCTCGTCAGACTCTGCAATCTCCTCCGCCTCTTCCACCGAGTCGGATGGGAGGAAGAGGGGCTTCCTTTCTGGTGCAGGCTGCTCGAGGACATATTTATAGATGATGTCGAGATACCGTCGGAGGATCGCATCAATTCGGTAACCGCCTGTCCCATCCCGTCCTCGCCAGTAATCGCGCCCCTCACTCCCGACCGGGGGTGGTTTGCTGAAGATCGTTGGGTCTGACAGGTTGCCCTCTGCGCTCATCACACCGTCCGCACCGGTTACCCGGAGGCACTGCTCAAGATCCTCATAGTTCAGGATGTTGCCATTGGCAAAGATCACGGTCTCCGGCGGGAGGTTATCTCGCAGGTAGCGAATGTAGCTCCAATCTGCCAACCCGGTTTCATGGCCCTTCTGTTCTCGTCTGCGCCCATGCACTGCAATGATGTTTGCTCCGGCGGAAAGAATCATTTTCGCATATTCCAAGGTCTTCTCCTTAGACTCTTGGATACGGAATTTGGCAGTAATCGGCACAGAAAGTTCAGTGTGAAGTCGGTTGATAAGTTTGTAAATCAAGTCCCAGTCTTCTTGGAGAAAAGCTCCGTAGTGGCCCTTTCTCGCAATGCCTTGCGGACAACCGAGGTTCAAGTCAACAGCATCGCAATACGGGGCCACATGGCGCGCCGCTTCCAGGAACTCAGTTGGGTCATTTGCGCAGAACTGCACGAAGAGTGGCCGGTCGAATTTCGGGTTTCCGTCAAGGAAGAGTTCGTCCTTTCTGGTCGTGTCACCGACGGCCTCGCGGGTCGGTTGGAAGTGTTGCGTGCGCATGCGCGGCATCTCGCCGAATAGTCGTGCATGATACATCGGGGAGTATGCAAGAAGGGATTTTTGTTCGTCGGGGGGCATGAAGGATCGAGTGAGCATGCGCCACGCCTGGGGTAGAAGCCTGTTAGTATACTAATATTGCACTCAACATTGAACTGGTGCAACTCACAAACTCCGAGCGATCGACCATAGGGGCCACAATGTACTTCGGACTTCCTATGCTCTCGTAGAATTGCCGTCCCTTCAACTTCGCAGATGTCGGCGCGGAGTTCTCGCCGCCGTTCTGCGGCGCGTCATCGGACACCATTCTGGGGAAGGAACGAGGGGTAATCGGGAGAAAACGCCGCAAAGGCGGGACTAATCGCTGAACAAAACCTATTTTGGCTTCTGAAGCAAAAATGCACACTTGTCCGGGGAAAAGACGGCGGGGAAACTCGAGAAACATTTTCGATTCGCGCCTTATCTCGGAACGGAGTAACAATAATCCCTCTATCTTATCGACAGGGGACGAAGTGACGGACAGCAGTATAGTCGAGGTGGGATGGGCTAGATATAAAATGTACTGGGGAGGCGGATGTTATGGAGTAGTATTCAACATATTCCATTCATCATCGAAAGAGAACAGGGTCAATGTCACGGACAAAATCGACATGGAGAGCGTGGATTGTGATTACGTAACGGGCCATGGATCCGGGACGTTGGAGAAACGAAGTAGAGATCGTGTGAAAACAACACTCTGAGATGATAGAAATCTCATACCACCAGGTCCACAAGCAGTGGAAAATGAAATCAAACTGAAGACAAGATTGTCTCTCCGCAATACCGCTACAAGTCTTCCATCCCCAACATCGCCGTCTCGACACGCGCCTCTGTTGACAAAAGGATCAACAATGGATTCCTCGACAGGGCCCCAACGTCAGTATCTCCGTTGCCTTTCCTGAACAAACGCTGATGTTGTACCAGGTCCAATGGAACTACGTCTATCTGACGATGGTCTCTATGCTGCACACATGCGTGGGAAAGACCTGGCGGTTTTTTGGAAGCTCGCAGCAGAACGAAAAGAGATAGACCTCGAAAGGCTCAAGACCAATGGGCTCAAGACCATAAAATTTGCACCTACTCAGAGATACGATCCAGATGGGCCCTTCGCTGAGAAGGAACGGCGTCTTCTTACGCACCAAGGTGTATCTGTCGCAGTCTGGAAGTTCCACCCATTGGAGCAGCTCGCCGAGATTCAAAACATCGAGCCAGAGTCATTATACGTGGACTTTGGTGGTAGTGAGAATGAGATTATTGTATTCCACAACTGGAATACAAAGATGACCATCTATTCTTTGAGCTCAGAGCGAAGCATGGTGATCAAATCACCCAAGATGGCCCATCCCCTTGGGTATGGGTATCGCCCGAAGACCAGACAATTCGCCATACTCTTGAAGCCAGAGACGTCTGACATACTTACCATTCACGAGTTTCAATCATACGGCCTGATTAATCGAACGGTCCTTCCAACCATTGATGCGCAAGGCTTGAAATGGAGCCCTGACGGAAAATGGATTGCCGTCTGGGATATTGCCATTGCTGGCACCAAGGTACTGATTTTCACAGCAGATGGCCAGCTTTTCAGGACCTATACCAATACGTCAGGCCCTGAAGATGAAAATGATACTGGTGTGAGACAGATTGAATGGAGTCCGGCTCTTGGCCACAGCGCGACTTCGGAGATACTTGCAGTAAGCAAGGTCAACGGCAACATTGATCTGCTGCGCACTCGAACCGTGAGTATATCACAACGCGGTAGGTAGTGAATTTAACTAATGACAATAGTTCTCATCGTCTACAACTCTATCACACGTCTTTCAAATCGAATCGACCGCTCCCAGAATCTGGCGGGAAAAATACATGAATGCACTGGGCGATGCGGAATACGTCGAGACTTCGAGCTCGTCTGCATTCAGCATGAGTGCCGATTCATCGTCGGGCACACCGCGTAGCGCGTCAACCATGACGTTCAACGCCGATGGAACTCTGTTAGCGACGGTCGACTCCGCCAAATCGAACGTGGTTTGGATATGGTCTCTGGATGGCACACCCGGGCTGACATCTGCTCTTGTCCACGAACAACCGGTCCGACAGCTCGCATGGCACCCCTCGACATCACAGCTACTTATCAACGCCATCACGAACAATCTTCCTTCCGTACGATACTGGTCTCCGCATAGTCCACCCGTCATCGCTAGGGTTCCTACAAAAAAGTGTGACAGTGGGAGGTATGAGGTAAAGTGGCTGACAGTGCCTGACCAGAGGTATCTTGATGAACCCTCGGGTGACTATATCCATGACTCGCCATTTTGGTTTGGGTCTAATGAGGAATGGGTGGTGGGGTATCTATCTGAGGAGGGCGACGCTGCCTATTTCAGGGTGATCAACTCGATTGTCAACAGTCAATAGTCGAAAAAAGAGAGTGCTAGATGGTGGCATAGTTACGAGAGATGTAATCATGGCACAACCAAGATATCCAAATGTTACGAGTATGTACACAATGACTTAAGACAGCCAAAATGAAGATTAGCAGACTGCCTTTCAATGACCATCTGTGGAACTTGACTTCATTGGATTAAATGAGATACTTCTGTTGTTCATTCGCATTGTTTCTATAACTAATCAGTTAATAACTAGTTAACTATGTACCTTAGCTGATTGTCTTCATTGCCGTATATTTGAGGCACCATAGATCAGATCACATGATGAGACTAGCCGAGGACACACACACGTGACTAGCACACTGAGGGCTTAGGGCTCGGCCGGCTTAGTCAGGCCCCACGGCTCAATTTCGCACTTGAGGCCGGCTCGTCGTTCTCTTCTTTCGAACATCCACCCCATCACACAAAATGGTGAGTGACCACACTACGTCTTCCTCGATGCAAGCGACTAATATGGATACATGACAGGCGCCCTCAGCAACCGGTGGCAAGAAGCAAAAGAAGAAGTGGTCCAAGGGCAAGGGTACGCTATTACCATCATCACCATCACCCACCGTGCGACCGTGAACCAACGACTTCCAACTTTCGAACTTTCGCCGGAATCCCCCTTAGAAAGAAAAGCGAAACGGAATCGTTGGAGCGATCGGGCGAACACTATCCCAAAAATCGAGTACTAACTAGTCTTTTCTGTATAGTCAAGGACAAGGCCCAGCACGCCGTCGTCCTCGACAAGACCACTGCCGAGAAGCTCAACAAGGATGTTCAGTCCTACCGTCTGATCACCGTCGCCACCCTCGTCGACCGTCTCAAGATCAACGGCAGCCTTGCCCGCCAGGCCCTCGCCGACCTCGAGGCCAACGGTCAGATCAAGAAGGTTGTTGGCCACAGCAGCCTGAACATCTACAGTGCGTACAGTCCATCACCGCAGAGCGACCGCAGCAAATGCTAATGCAGAGTACAGCCCGTGCCGTCACCGCCGAGTAAACGTTCCGATACTGATTTCTCGCGGTTCTTTTTTTCCTTGTTACGATGATATCATTTCACATGGGAAGCTCGGCTGGGCGTGATGAAGTTGACGCCTGATTCTCGGATGTGTGGAACATTCGTGCCCCTGGACTTGTTTCAGACAGAACGAATCAAATAAAAAAGTTACAAAACTTCATATTCTTCCTCGTAGAATGTACCTCATGGGGTATCCGCTATGCTAGATGCTGCCCTAAACTCCTATTCTTGCTGTGCCATCTCACTACGCTTTGGCCTTTGCTTCTGCGCTCCCTCGCAAAGCACACTCTTACCCTTGTCTGGATCAACAACCCCATCGTCCTCTACCACCCCGACCTGGAAATACTTCTTATGATTCCGGAAGAATTGCTGCCACCTCAGAACGGTCTTCCCAATCTGCTCCCTAGCAAGAGTCAACTCGCGCTCTCGGCGAAGCTCCCTATCCGCCGGCGTAACACGCTCATCCTCCACGTCCTCCACCGGGAGGAACATCTCCTCGACGCCACCTAGGTCCGGGGTCAGGTCGTCGTTGAAACAACCCGTGACGAAGGCGCGTGTGGCATCTCGCCCCGCAAAGAAATTGTAGCTTCCGCCAGGTCCGTAGATCGGTCGGTTCGCGGAGACGTCGAAGATGGAGCCATTGACGGCGAGGTAGATTGGGAGGGAGGGGTCAGTGCCGTTGTAGAGGGTGAGTTGAGCTGGGGTGAGGTGTAGTGGGCCACTCTGTATTTCATTGCTGTTAGTAGCTTGATTCCGAGACACTTTGCGTGATGATGATGGTGGTGGTGGTGTGGTGGTGTGGTCAAGATCTTCGGGTGGGATTACCAGGTACTGCTTCACGACGGGCCACCGTGTAAACCACGGCCGGTAGCCCCATAGTACCGATTCGGTGTTGGTCATGTAATATGAGAGACCGCAAGAGGCGATTACAAGAGTGACCAGCACCCGGATCATGTCGAGGACGCTGATACCATGGTCATTATTGTCGGTGCGGCGCTGTGGTTCGCGCCGTGGAGAAGTGTCAGTGCCTTGTTGGGACCTCGAGGCCGCGGTAGGCTGTCGCTGGCGGAGTTCTGACATTCTCGGACAGGGTTGTCTGGTGCGTTGAGAAGAAAGGTATTAATAAATGGCCATTGGGAAGGTTTTTGAAATGGGTAGGTCAGGAATAAGGTCAGATGTCCGGGGTACTTCCGGCGGGTTCTACAGCATTCGTGCACGACAAATAGGAATAGGCTAATTTATGATACTCGGAGTAATCCTTTCACTATTTGAACAAAAGTATTTGTGCTACTTCGAAATTCGTGAGTTTTGGTCATGGCCGACAAAAAGGGCCCGGGGTTCAAAAAGAATTTAACCACTCGCGTGGTCCTCCTGCTCCCAGCTGCGCGAGAACACATCGTTCAGCGCGTCTTGGAAGGTACGGCAGTTCATGTCAATTAGACCTCGCTTTTCCTTTGCCTCGGGGTTCCGAATGACGGATACGAGACAGAGGTATCTGTGAATCGTCAGCGATAGTCAAGGGTAAGGAAGGGGGTGGGCATACTTGTTCATCTCCATGAGATGAATCATGGTCTCATCGTGCAGCACTACGTGGCTCTCCGCCTCCTGGATTTGTTCGCCCTTTGATCTACGGGAGGGGTGGTCCCAGGAGTACAGCTCAGAAATGTCGACGATTACGTCGATGTAGTCGGAACACATCTCGTAGCAGGCCATGTCGACAGGACGGGTGTCGGAGGCGATGTAGATCTTGCTCAGGACATCGAACAAGTAGGTCTTCTCGAAGCCGCAATTGTTACCAAGGGTATTGATCAAGTTTTCGAGGGTGGAGAGGTTGGGGATGAGCTTCTGAATGACCTTGCTGAAGGCTTCGAAGACGGAGTAGTCGTAGATGGAGGTGAGGTAGTAGTGGACCGGTGCGTTTTCGTATCCAGCGTCGCTGAGCTCATCTGAGATACGCTGCACGATGTCCTGGAAGGTGTCGGTGCGATACTCCTCGGAGAGTCCGTCCACCTTGTGGATGAAGACTTCGATGTTGATGCCTGGGTAGTATTGCTGTACCGTTAGAATAGTGCGATTTAAACGCGCGACCGAGTCCAAGTAGTCATCTTGGGCGTCGATTACCCACACCAGCGCGCCAAGGCTACCGAAAATGTCTTCAAGATCAAAGGAAGGCTCCAGGTACTCGAGCTGTCCGGGGAAATCCCAGACTTGAAAGTCCATGAAGGAGCTGGGCCTTGGTCAGTAGAGGATCCGACGGGGAGTTGAGAAGCCCTACTGAATAGAATCCTTTTGGATGCGAGTGGTAGATTCAAGGAACAGGGTTTCATTCGGAGGCATCTTGTGGAATACAACGCTGGCAATGGACGACTTGCCGCTCCTATAACCAAGTTATTATTTTCATCAGACGTATGATGATATGAGATGAAATCTACCGGCGAAGTCCCATCAAAAGGAGACGTGGTTTAGCATCGCGGCTTTTGGGGTCCAGGCTCCTGGGCTGAGCCGAGGCAGCGGTACTTGTCGTAACCTGTAATGCATCGGAAAGTCTTAGCTGTGCTTCGGTTTTCCAAGTCCAAAATTCAGGGATGTCAGGGAGCAGACGCCAGTCGGACAGGCTGCGCCTCGGGTGCTCCCTCGGGTGCTCCCTCGGTACCGGTGCCTGAACGGTAGACCGGCACCTGCGGAGCGAAGGGAAAGGCATGGTTTGCAGGGATGAGGCATAGGGTCAGAGGCAATAGGAAGGTCTGGAATACCACGGGGAGGCGGTCGACAGCGTTACATGTCAATGAAAGCGCCGGCGAGGTCTCATCACTTAGGGAACTAAGTTCTGATGCTGACAGGTAATATCCTCCGAGAGGAGTCCTGTCACAGAGACCCCATGCCATCATAGCCAAGTGCAGAGATGGCCGGCAAGCTCCATTCGGGAATGCAGCCACTATCGCCCATATCTCCCAATAGAAACCTTGGTCTGCATGGAAGGACCCCTATGGGGTTCTATTTTCGCCGAACGCCCCAAGGCACTGGAACCAAAGCGCCTGTCTCACCCTCGGCACAGCTGGAAGTAGTACCCAGTCGCAATCCATATGAATACCCCGACCGCAGGGAGCATGCCATGGAGGGAATTGAACGCGGGGGAGGGCGCGGGGGACCGAAGCCTTCTTACCTCCATTTCAATTGACGCGCCTTGCAAACAGACGAAGATTCCTCGAGACTGGTTAGAATGGCATACAATTCTAATTGAGTCCAACTGGACTTACAGGCGAAACAAAATGAAGCCCAGCAATGGAACCGGATGGGATCAAATGCGAACATCCGCGGCCCCAGGCCAATTGGACAGCGATCGGATAGCGGCAGTTAAGCCTGAGGCATTCTCGAGGGCAACGAAATCAAGCTCAAGTATAATGCTTATCACCGTGACACAAATCCCCGGTCAGACGTAAAGGGATGAAGAGAGAGAGAGAGAGAGAGAGGAGGATGCGAAGGTGAAGGAGGAAAGGCGGAGTCGCGGGCGATCCCCCGTTATCGCTTATCGCTCTCCAGCTCGCTTCAAGCTTGACTTGAACAAACTCAAAACACTTTTTATTCATGAAATAAAGGGAACATTCTACCGATGACTATGCTTATGGCCCTTGTGCTCGTGGCTCGCGTACTCGCTGATTCGGTGTTTGCCCCTCTGTTCTTCCTCCTCGATCTCAAAAGCGGGCCAATCCTCCCAACCGTCTTCCCATAGGCTCGCCAGCTTCTTAGTCTTGACCTCGCGACTCAGTTTCTTGTTTTTCATCACCTTCTCCCACTGTTTCATGTCCTTGTCATCCAGCAGACATTCGTCTAGAAGGGCCGTGATCTGTTCCTTGTCGATCCCCTCGCCGATGAACACCAGTTCCTGACGCCGATCTCCCCAGGGGCCCTGAAAGTCATTTTGAATTGATTCGACAACATCCTTGTCCTCGGGCCACGCATCGTCGGGGACTTCCGCAAACCAGGGACCCCCACAGCCCACCGTTAACATGCCGCCCGCTTGGCTCCACTCGCCAAACTGGAAGGGCCGAGTGGGCAGCCAGAAGAAGCCTTTGGAGCGGAGAACGGGGCCGAATGCGGGGTGCTCTCGCTTGTTTTTTAGGATGTCATTTGGATCCGGTTGATCAAAGTCTTCCACCGAGTCGGTATCGGTGTCCATCTCGTCTACGGATTCATCGTCATTCTCTTCTTCACCTTCCTCTTCATCGTCAAGTTCGTTGTTTTGAAGGAGGATGAACTTGTCATGGAGGAGTGAGAAGAGACGACGAGGGTGGAAGGGCCGTCGGGCAGAATACACAAAGTTGTTGATCCCGTACCTTGCGGCTGGTTAGCAATGTGCTCTGTATGACCGTGAGGGAACTTACTCTAGAGTCTCCGGCTTGGGGGCCATGCGCTCTCCATTGCCGGTCGTCTGTACAGTCATTTCATGCAAGCTGCGCAGCCAGCCTGCGCCAGATGCAGCCCGCACGAAGTCAAATCTGCCGGTCGCAATAATCTCCCGCACGTCTACCTGGGAGTAGCTAGACGTGAGAACCTTTGCATTTGGGTTCAACAACTTTAGCAGCTGCATGATTTTGTCCCGTCTTGCTTGATCGATGGTCTCGATCTTGTTGACGATCAGAACATCGGCAAACTCAATCTGATCCACCATCAGGTCGGAAATTGTTCGCTCATCTTCGGGTACAATCTCCTCTTTGCCATATCGATCGGATAGGAACTCGACAGTGTCGAAATTCGAAAGCAGGTTGAAGGCATCGATGACTGTCACCGTGGTGTCAAGACGGGCCATCGTGTGCAGTCCACCCAATTCAACACTGATACCGTGTTAGACTGACGGCGGAATGACAAGACAGCGCATCACTTACATCTCATGCAGGATCTTCTTTGCATCCTCGTCATTGTTGCCACTGATTTGGTCCTCAGCCTCCAGCATGGCCGAGCTGAACTCCGCAGTGAATGTCTCGGCCACTTGCATCGGCTCACTGATTCCCGTGCTTTCGATGATGACATATTGGATCTCGTTCTGCTTCGTCAGACGTGCTAACTCGGATAGCAGATCACCACGCAGGGTGCAGCAGATGCAGCCATTCTGCAACTGGATGAGCTTCTCATGGGTCTGAGAGACTTTGTGGTTCTTGATGAGGGCGGCATCGATGTTCAACCTATATCAGAACACCATCAGTAGAATTCACGGGGAAATTATTGAAGCGTCGACTTACACACTCATATCATTTACAATGACCGCAATTCGCATCCCATGGTCGGGTGACTTGAGGATGTGTTTCAAGAGGGTTGTCTTACCACTTCCCTACAAAGAGCAATTAGCACTTGACCTGATGCTCAATGACATGACGACTCATACCAAGAAACCAGAGAGCAGGGTGACTGGCAGTTGACGGCCCTTGGGCTTGTCCTGCTCAGGCACCTGAACCTGGTACGCCACATTCTCACGACCCGAATCAATAACCATTGTGAAATATTTTCTAGCTGTGGTGTATAACAAAATCAGAGAAAGAAAATAGGACTTGCGCCCCCAAGCACCTTGCGGGCAACTTCTTTTATCTCTCCCAGTTCATCGTCTCCAAGTTCCTCACTGTTGGCGGCCTCTAGAAGCCTTTACTGTGCGATACGTATGCTCATACATGTCCTCCAAGGTTGATAGAGACACTGTGGGGCCAGGAACAGCCCAATGATGAGTGATTTGCCCCGTGGTGCTGATAATTGGGGGATTCTATTTGGTTGACGGCGTCGGTCCCCAAGGTACCTGTCGACGGTCCTGACCTTCACGGTCCCCATTTGACCATCCCGGGTCTGTAATTCGGTATTTAGAAGATCTTATTGGCTAAGCTGTTTTCATCATACTACGTCTCCGTGGTTGAATCGTCATGATTTTGTGTTACCGTCGCCTTTGCATGGACATGATGTTGAATTGCGATACGTGATTGAAAACAGCGAGGTCGCCCAAGATCTGACAGGCCAATTTAATCATGCGTATGTAAATAAAATCAGTTTTCACACATCTATTGTTTAATTTCCTTTCATTAGAACTCCTTAGCGATGTCTTCTTTGACATCATGACTCCTGAGATATGCCCCAGGATTTATCAACTCAAAGGAACGCCTGGTTCACTTTTGTTTTAATGGAAAGCAATCAAACCCCCTACAGCATAACGAACCAGCTCTTTGCTATCTCTTTCAAACAAAGAACAATAGCACTGAACCATGGGGGACTTGGGGAACATAAAACCAGTCCTTCTGCTACCTTCACTCCCATCGTATCTTCCAAGGCTACTAAGGACATCTAATTCACTTATCAAACTCGCAGAAAAGACAGAAAGTCAAATTCAGTCATGACCTGGGACACAACTTACGATATTAGCTTCCAGGAGCCCCATTCCATTCTTGAAAATACTGAAGATGAACTGACGATTCGTCGCAGGACACGAACCCTAGCCGACGAACTCATAGCATGCGGCGAGCACAATTCCCTAGAGGAAGACGAAAGGATAGCAATTTGCAGAAATCTCCTTCATCCAATTCGAAAGATCGCAAAGATCGGGAAGAGGTCAGCTCTCAAATCAACATCGTAAATCCGGGATGTTAACGAGAATAGACCGCCCGAGAAAGTGTCCGCGAAGTCGACCGAGAACTTGCTCGACAACGTCAAAGAGAACTGACATGTTGATGAAGATTTGGTGGTTTTACTTCAAGGCATCGTGAAGTGTTATTTTCACCGATCGAGGTCAGGGTTGGGCCGAAGACCAGCCAAATCGCCTGCGAGTCAAAATGCATAAAAGAGAGTCCATGGAAACTCTGTTAGATAGAATAGATGAACAATAACCACCATTCAAACTGAATATCAAAGCAAGCCTTCTCAAGGAACTCCCGTACTCTCCAATGATACCATGGCTATCGGCCCGTTGATATCGGTAGCTTCATCTCTTTCCCCTTCCCACCTTGGACCCCAGCGTCAACATAACCTATAAACTGCTCTCCGACTGGGTACAACCAGCCAGCACGGGTGGGCTGTGGGAAAACGATGGTCTGGGGGTATTTCTAGTACTCGTTGCGGGGACTATCTTTTACATTGCTGCCGCGTTTTATGTTGAAGGTCACGGTGCAGGGGATGATGGCCATGAAGAAAAAAGAGGAGGCGAAGGCAAAGACGAAGTAAAAACGGTCTTGATATTCTACTTGGAAGCTTACATTTACAACCCCATTATATCCAACCCACATGCACATGAGAAGAAAGAAGAAAAACTAGTAATAGGTATAGAACTAGAATCCGGCCATGGAGAATTCCCGCTTGTTAGGCCCGTGCGGACCCTCGCCCAGGTTCTCTGTGCACTCGACGCTCCAGCTCTTGGGCGTGAACTTGTCAACGATCGACTTGAACGCGTCGAGCGTGCAGAAAGTCGGATCGCCAGGGAGGTGGTTCTTGGCCTTGGTCGCACAGCCGGGAATGGTCACTGGGCGGTCGTTATAGCGGATGCGGACGTAATGCTTGCGCATAGATTCGCGGGACTCCTCGGGGAAGGATTCGAGCGGCGCCCGTGCGGTCGCGGAGGGCACCGGATGCTTGGGTGCGGCCTTACCGCCAAGGATGGATGACAGGAATCCAGACTTCTTAACCACGGGCGGATTTGAAAACTCCTCCAGCATGGAGCCAGCATCTGCAGCAGTGCTGGGAATCTGCGAGAAGAGCTCAATGGCAACGGAAGAGGTGAACGGTGGCCATGACTCGTCCTGGAAACCACCAACACTGGAAAGAATGGCGGCGAGAGTGGTGTCGTGGCATCCGCTCATGGCAAACTTGATCGCCTTACCAGCTTCGGCGTCACCGGAGCCGGATGCAGAGCTCTCGCTGCGCCAGCCACCCTCCACAGCAGTGCTGACCATGCGGTCGACCACGTCGCCCATAAGGGCACCGATACCCAGCTTGCGGTACTCGGTGCTTTCGTTGTACCCGGCAAACCACTCCTCGACCGCGATACGATCCATAATGGCGCGTCCCTTCTTGTCATAGAATTCAGATGGGAGCCTGGTGGCAGGACCATGGGCGTCGGTTGCATTGACGGTATCCATGATACCCGACAGACGGGGATGAGCATCCACAGCGACCTTGGGCGAAGACTCGGGCATGTACTTGGACCATATCTTGTTCAGGTACGCCATCTGCTCTGAGTCGTTCCCTGCCGCATATGTCAGCTATACTCAGTAGGACGAGGTTCATTTCACACTTACATCGCGCGGCAGCCCGATCGGCAAACAGACGGGCCAGCTGTCGAAAGCGTCGACAATTGCCCTCATTCGGAAACAATGTCTCCTCCGACACAGAGCGGGCCACAATCACCGGGGGCGGGAAGTCTAGAGTGCGCGCACTGGCCGGGTACATGCCCCAGAAAGATTGCTGCAGCGACTCGAGCGCACGGGGAATAGGTGTCGCACGCAGGTACATATCCTCGGCATCGGTCTTGATCTTGGGCATGAAGCTGAGCTGGTCGACATAAAGGTGACGCAGGCGGGTACCCAGCGCATAGGTGGTTTCGCGTCCCTTGTCCGTAAGTTCACCATGCTGGCTTGAAGTTTGTCAGCCTGAGCTTTGCCTCTGAACACCCCACTTTCACTAACCACATAGCCTCAATCTCACCACCCGGTCCTGCCGCAACGATCGACTCGTCGTTGTTTCCAAACGCCTCCATTTTCCGGCGCCATTGAAATCCATCCCATGAAGACATGTCCTGCTTGGAAGTGGCAGCTTGCACCATACCTCTCGCAACACCGCAGTAAGGCCAGTCTATTTGGCGGGTCAGTTCACGATCGATCGACAGGCACGAAGAGGAAATATAGTACATGGACTCAAGCCAGTCTGTACAACACGTTAGCACTTCCCACACCTTAATCAAAGGAAAAATGAAAAGAAAGACGTACATTTTGAAAGCGCGAAGAAACAGGCGTCCGCTCGCCTACGTCCCAATTAGAACTCTTTTCGGAGAATTGATATGCGCATGCATCCGAGCTCACCATGACGAAGGAACTGGCTGGGTTAGCGCTACAACAATGAATAGGCTCTAGGCAAACTCACCACTTGTACCAATTGCAGCTTGAGGCTCTTGGGATAAAGGTGAGCCAGCTCCTCGCGGGAGTAGGGCTCTCGGGGCTTGAGAGTCGTCATGGTCGGCGATGAGTCGAAGTGAGGTCGGAGCTTCGGCGATGATGACCTCTCGTGGGGCGGTGAGGGGGCCGGAGTCAATCCCGTGTGGGGGTTATACATACTGACGGCATGGGGCTATTGCGATCGACTCCCAGTCTACTGATTTCACCTCATTTTATGAATTATTATAAATTACTTTAAGGATTGAAGTGGTTTCTCGAGTGCTGGAGGTACTGACTGCAATTGATATATTTACGGGTTGTGGTGCACTTGCAATGCCGAGGCATCTCGAAGCTCCGAGTAATACTAGTGTCCCGACAAATGCCCGTCTCATTCTCACACATAATTATCCTTGAGACGGGCTGCGACAGGTTGAAATAAGGACAAGAACACAGAGAGATATTCCCCAAACCCTACCACATTACATAGTGTAGGCAACAAAGTTACTGACACAGGTCCGCCGTCAGGGTGACTGGCTGGGGGCACCCATAGACCTTCTTATGAGCTGGGGTGCTGTAGCAGGCGGCATCATTGGCCGCACAGTCAAAGGCCTCACAGCCGGCTCCGGGACTGAGCGAATTGGCATCCGCCGCGAAGGGGTTGCCCCATTCCGTGCTCAGCTCATCTGGAAGAGGGATGCGGTTAAGAAAAGATTCCTAGCTGACAGATAGATTAGGTGCACTTACAGTACGCGTAGTCCGGCTTAGGCTTAGTAGAGAACGAATAGCCAAAGAAGAGAGGGGTATCCAGCGTCTTTGTCTTGGCGATCTTGACGGTCTGCACATTCCATCTCCAGTCAGTTTCCCTTACTATATAGAGTACTGCGCAGACCGAATAGGGCGGAGTAACGTACCGAGCCAGATGGTCTAAATTTCTCGGAGAAAGTTTCCCCCTTGGAAAGGGTGGTGAGAGGGCCGGGGGCGCTGCCATCATAAGGGAACGACTGTATATACACAGTGGTGTCACAGTGGTTATGCACGACGGCATTTTGGGCCGAGGCCAAGCCGAGGAGGGCACCAAATGCGATCAGGGAGGTCTTCATGGTTGGTATTTCGCTTTTTGTTTTGTAATAGAAGCTCAAATTATCTGTTTTCTTCTCTTGTCGGGAAGGAATTGGCGGTCTTTATATAGGTCTGCTCGTATTACAGGTAGCATCGATGATGTACCGATGGAGTACATCCGGCAGGCCTTTGACCTAAGACATGGCGTTCTATGTCTTGGCTTGTCAGGCCACCGGCCAAGGGTCTGTCCCACGGCCAATAACACGGGTGGCAGGTGAGACATGCGCATCACCGCCACTGCATGTACTCCGCATCACAGACATCGGGCAGCGTTACATCCCTTCTTGCCCCCGCCAATTTCCAATACTGGAGCTTTTGTTGATGATTCCCTATGTGGAGAACCTGCAGAATCAAGGAATTTATCGGGTTAGGATCAAAACATTCAGCCGGTTTCTCCACTCCCGACTCGGGTCGCAGTACAGTGAAACTACTTTGAAAGAGCTTTAAGCTCGAGCACTTGAGTAAACTAGGTAAGATATGGCAGTAAAACTATCAATGTACACAATGTAGATGTGGTTCTATATACAGTAAATCCCAGAGTATCTTACTCCTCATAATCACTGGTCTCCCATCCGCTCTCACTCTCACTGGCACTAAATACAGACTTGTGAGGTTCATCAGGCTCAGAAACGACCGTAGCAGCAACGGCCACGGCAGCAGCAGCTTGCACCTTGGCAAACTTCTTGTTCTTCTTTGACTTGCGAGCCTCTTCTTCTTCCTGAAGCTTCTTCTTCGCCGCTTCCGCCTGCTGCTCGGCGTGGCGCTCCATGAGATCAACCAGCTTCTCGATCGCAGGCGCATAGGCCTGTGCGTATGCTAGATCGCCCACCTTGATACGCATGTAGTCCATCGCAGTCGCGACGGGGGAGGTCTTGCCGGGAATATGGATATCACTGCGTGGCAGACCTGGTCGACCGGGAGAAGGGAAGCGAATGTCATCTAGGAGGAGAGCACCGGAGGCTGGTTCAGAGGCTGGTTCTCCGGCGTCGTCCAAGGGGATGTCGGCATCACCAGCCTCTCTCGCTGCGGCTGCCTTGGCTTGCCGCGTCGAGGTAATTTCATCATGTTGGATTGTCCCGGCGCGCTGATCGACATGGGCGATCTTCTGGTACCGTTGACTGAAATGGGTAAGGAGAACGGCGCGAGCTCCCATCCGGCGGCCTACTTCCAATGCTTCTGCGGAGGTGGAATGACGCTTGGCAAGGGCTGAGCCTACCATGTCGTCTTGGAAGGTGGCTTCGTGAATGAGCACGGTTGAGCCGCGGCCGATGGAAGCAAACTTGTCCGAGGGGCGGCAGTCGCCCGAGTAAGAAACCTTAAACCCATCTGGGAAAACGATGGACAGGGCAAGAGCGCCCTTGCAGTGTCTCACACGAGTGGTGAGAATATCTTCCAGGCCAGTGGCATCCTTTAGAGGGACGGTGAGAGGAGATGAGCGGTCATTGAAGTCGAGGACAGTTCGGCTGGGCGTGTCTCGGCCGTAAGGGGCAGCACCACTGCGGGGGTGTCGGTAGGTAAATGTAGTTTTAATGGAGGGACCATTGGGCGCAGGGTGTGCAGTGAGAGGAACAATCTTATCGAAGCCAAAGTCTTCGACGGCAGCATACTCTTCCAGCCAGGCGATCATCATTTCCTCAGAGACAACAAACAAGCGCTTCTCCCGGAGAATGGCCTTCATGTCTGTCTCAGGCTCAGATGATGGTTTATAATCTGCTCCATAGTTCTCGTGGTACCAGGCTTTGATGAGAGAGGCAGTACCAAGGTGGTGATCAGCGTGCAGATGGCTGATCCAAATCATACGCAGGTTCCGCAACACTTCACGTAGCTTTTCTGTTTCGAAAACTCGCTGAAGCTGGCCAAGGGTGTTCTCACCGCAGTCCAGCAGATAGTAACCATATCCAGGTGCGTGGAGCAATGTAGCAGAGACGTTGCGGTACTTGGACGGGGCAGATGAGCCTGTGCCAAGAGCAATAATTTCAGCTTCAGCCCCAGGCAGTTCCCGACGAACTTCTGTTAATTGCTTCTGGAATTCGGGCTTGCGGATACGCGTGCGAATAACCTCCATCCGCTGCTCAACAGAGCGCGGAATCTTTTGCAAGGTCTTTGCTGTGTTCAAGGGCTGCAAGGCCTCATCCTTGTTGATCTTGAAGTTCGGTTCCATGTCAACAACATACCCTGGAGTGAGGGGTTCAAACGGAAGATAGTCCAGTGAAATATTCTTCGTTCTCGAACCATTGTCAGAGAGCCCGATTTGAGGCAAAGTTACATTGTCATGAACGGGAATCGAATAGCTGTCGCCCTTGAGACGAGCCAAGCGGATGGCAGACTCTGCGGCACTGGTAAGTGCCAGATAGTTCGGGCAGTAGTCTGTGCTGGAAACAGTGTGTTTGCATTGAGGCATGCTCGCGACAAACTCACGGAGCTTGGGATGGTCGCCCACACCAGAGCCCAGAATCCAGACGAAGGCCTTGAGCTCGGTCATCACGGCAGGCGACTTCCATTCTGGCCGGTTGAGCAGGTCTTCAACATAATCAGGCGAAGGCACGTCCATTATGGCAAAGCCCTTGCCAAGTCGCGTGGGGCCTAACACCATATCGGGGGTGATTGTCTGGCCGTCTTGTGACTGAACACTCTCTCCGCGAGTCAAGGCGGCGTATGATGGTCCCTTAGGAACCTTCAGTGCCTGAGCCTTGGCTGGGTCAAATTTTCCTCGAACGTCCTGGTTGCGGATGATATAGGAGACTGCTTCCTTCGAAGGAGTAGTGGGCGGCAGCTTGTCCACCATCGCACCGGGCCACGGCTGCCGGACTAGCACCTTAATGTCAGGCAGTGGTCCCTTGTCGCCCGGCGCAGGGCCCTTATAGGGCTCAATGTCTTTGGTCTCCGGGTTGCGCACAAACATAGCTGCGGGCATCCTGACCTGGGCCAATGGGGTCTCGACTAAAGCATCCATCTTCCATGAAGAGTTGAACATATCTGACACGACAGACTGTCTCATCAACTGATCTTTAGCCCGCTGGTCGAGATCGAGCTCATCTTGATCCATAGTCTCTTGGAACTCGCCCAAGCTCCGCTTCCGAGGACTCTGTGCCCGCGGCTGGCAGGGCTGCTTGGGGCTGCATGATGATTCGGGCCTGACAGGCAGCGCCCAGACTTTGATATTCGAGTCAGACCATGTAGGCTCCTCGAAAGGATCTTCTTTATCTGCCGGAATCTGCTTCGCAATGGTTTGCGAATCGTACTCGCGCATATAGACCGGCATGCCCTTCCGGAAGACAAACCGCCGGGCAGTAGCCATAGTGTGCGCGAGGTTCGTAGCTCCATGAACCGTCACATCAACTCTATCCTGGCCTGTCCCAACATGATGCTGCCCAGTCTCTGGTTCTTTCTGCGACTTGCCCTGACCACGCAAGGCCTCTCTCCGCTCTGCCCTTTTGCGGTTTTCCTCCTCAACGGCTGCTGCAGAGCTTGCTGTTGCATCTGCTAGTGTCAAAATCACACCGATCAGACCACCCAAGTTGGCCCATTCCGTCCGGCCCGTGATGAAGATATCCGACAGGTAGGTCAGCTTGACACCGCGTTCCGTACACGCTCGCTGTGTTCCCTCCGAAATCTGACCGAAAAAGTATCGCTTGTCGGGGAAGTTGAGGACGACGACCGTGCCGGGAGTGTCTGCGGTTGGGGTCGTGACGACCTGGTAGAAGAACTTCATGGGTGTGGCACCAGTTCTGTGAACTGGAGGAGAGCTGTCGACGGGTCGCTGAAGGGCCGCGGGGTCGCAGATAACGTATTTTTCGCCTCCAGTGGTTGCAGAGGATGGGAGAAGGTTCTCCTTCGGAAGAACGTATGCGTTGCGCTTGAGTTGCGGTTTTCGAGCTCGGGGGCGTACAGGCTGCGAGGTTGGCCGTGTCTTGTAATTAGGAGTCGGTGATCGAGTGGCGGCAACGCGCTTCAGGCCTGAGTTCGGCGGCCTCGGGATCTGTCGATTCGAAGTGCTGTGATACCCTGCGTGGAGGAGAATTGACGAGCTTGAGGCCCGAGGGTGAACGCGCCAGGTGACGGCGCCAAAGACCGCGGTAAACAAGGTACCGCTGGATCTCAGAGAAGCCAACTTGGCGGCAGGGATGAAAAATGAATGGACAATCTATAGAAGATCGTAGGTGAAGTGGTTGAAGAGGAAAATATAACTCGTTGAAGAGGAAAATATAACTCGTGGATTGGAGCCGCAAACTGCGGGAACTTTTTTTTGGGAGATTTTGCGTCACGTCCCGCTTTCTGGTCAAAAGTCTTAAGTCAACGCAATCATATAGAATAGTGAAATTTAATTCCAACAGATTTATCTCTAAAACTATGCTGTAGATTACAAGGAATGATTAGACTTCAGGTAGTAATAGATTCAATTTTGAGCTCCTATTTCGCTGATCCTTCGCATACGCCGAGTAACCGCTACCAAATTTCCACCCAGAAAGCCCAACCGAAAGATACAGTATACGAACAAAATAGGCGCCGTTGAAACTCCCAGGAAACATCTGAACCGAGATCCGCGAAATGTAGCCAGAAATGTCGGCAGAGATGTATGATCACCAAGCTATGACGAGGACAAAAGAAAAGAAAAAACACAAATGTACAAAGAAAAAGAAAACCAGCAAGGCAGGACGCTAATTGGGGAATCGCTGGAGGTGGGAGGTGATCAAGGACACCCGATCAAAGGCGGCTTCGATGCTGGAGCAGAGGTAGTTAAACCGATTTTGGCTGGCGGCGGTTTGATCTACGACGAGCTCGAAGTGGGAAGCCGGCTTCTCAGTTTGAATGCCATCGAAGGAAACATCATCAGAAGAAGTAGTAGTAGGCGCAGGGGAATCGACAAAGAGAGCAAAGGCAGGGTCGGACTCGTCAATCACGACGTCCGGGTTAGCGACACCGACGTCGGACTGCTGGGTCTGACTCTCGGGACGGTCGAGAACAGGTGCCTCATCCTTGCTGTCGGACACACTCGGTGACGACTTTCCAGAGAGAGCCGCAGCGTCGAGAGCGGGACCCTCGGGAACGTCGAGCACCGCAAAGACTGAGGTGTTGCCATAGTTCATGTCAATACCCGAGTTCCAGCCAGCGTTGTTCATCATGGCGGTGTCCATGCCCTGGTTGGGGACCATAACCATATTGGCCTGGGGGTTCTGATGCATTTGGAACTCCTGGTGGCGGTTGGCCTCCTTGGGGACCTGCATGTTGGGTTGAGGGGCAGCTTGCTGGGGCTGAGGCTGGGGTTGAGGCTGTTGCTGAGCCTGAATCTGGGGCGGCACAGTGTTGTCGGGCATCTCATTCAGGAAGTTGGCGAAGTGAGGGGAGCCGAGGAGCATGCGAGCCAAGTCGTTCAAGCGGGCGTTCTCCTCGAACAGCTGGCGGTTCTGGAGGCGTAGCTCATGAGCCTCGTTGGTGCGGGAAGCAATTTCACTTTCGAGTTGACCGATGTACTCTGTAGGGAAATGTGAGCAAACGAAAAGAAGAGAAACTATCAGGTTGTCATACCCTTACGACGGGAGCGGAAAGCACGGGCGGACACCTTGTTCCGCAGCTGGCGCCGCTCCTTGCTGCTGAGCTTCTTGCCCTCCTCACTGGCGAGGAGGCGCTCATCCTCATCCATGTCGGCCTCGTCCTTCTTGGACTTGGCCATGTGGGGAAGCATGGAGGATGGGGAGGGAGAGGCCTCGCCAGCAGCGATGGCATTCTGACGCATCTGCTGGAGGAGACGAGAGATCCGCTCCTCAACGATGGGGTCGTTGCCACGGGCGTTCCGGTTAGGAGCGTTCTGGCCTTCCTCCACGCGACGCTGCTGCATCTGCTGCTGTCGGAGCACGTCGTTCTGCTTCTGTTGCTGAGCAGCCTTGGCAGCCATCGCAGCCTGCTGCTGATGCATACCGGGGTACATGCGACCGACCTGCGTGGACGGGCCAGCCTGAGCCAGCTCATGGCCGCCGAGAGCGTTGGGGTCGACATATTGGCTCTTCCCGGGGTTTGCCGCGAAGAAGTAGGGGGCGTTGTTCATACCGTCCGACTCGACGTCCATCTCAGATGGGTTGTGTGTTGGTGCAGTGTTGAAGTCAAAGGGGACATCTTCGCGCTTCATTTGCCTTGTGAACATTTCGCCGTTGACGGGGTACCCTTGAGGACCGTTGTTGAAGCCCACAGGGTTGACCTGGTTATAGGTCATCGATAAAGCACCCGGTGGCAGACCAGTCTGCTGGCGGTGGTCCTCGTAGTGGTGACTAGGGCCCTGGAAGGCAATCGGGGATTGACCGCTGGACGCGAAGCTGGCACTCCGGGCATCACCGGCACTGAACTCTGTGCTTGGGACTAAGGGCAGGCTAGCCTGGGCGACCTTAGGGCGGGCGTCGGCGGAAGTGTAGGTGAGTTGGTCGAAATTGATAAAGGAGTCGAGGTCTTGGTCGTAATTACCGGGCATGTTCGGCATAGGCGAAGCGGTCGAATGCATAGGGTGTTCTGCGAGAGTAGCCATGGTTGCCTAGACCCCCGATAATAGGGGGTGTGCTAAGTATTTCAGGTTGTGTAAAATGGCGTGGAAAGATTAGATGCGAAGAAAACAGAAAGCGAGGGACGGTAGGAGTCTAGATGGGGCAGTCGATCGATTAAGAGGATGGGTCGATGGAGAAGGGGGGTGGCACAGGAGAGAGAAAGCCAGGTTCGGGAATAGAAATCAAGGCTTGCGCGTCCTCGGGCGATGACTCAGCGGGGACCACCAACGGCCACCCATAATTGGTCCATTTGCCACTCCTTTGAAACGGCTGTTTACTCTTCCTTTGCTCGAGTTGGTCGTAATTCTTCTTTTTTATCTTCTGGGAAGCCGGAGCTTTCTTCTAGAGGTGCTCTAGTTCAGCGCTATCCATGGTAGTCTTCTAAATTCCATCCCAACACCCAACGAGAGCAACATAACACGTATCTAGCCGATTCGCCGACTATTTCTGGCAAGTGGGGGCCGTCTCAGGAACCATTCGCTCTCATTGGAGGGTGGCTCAGGGTGAACCATTCAGGGCTCATACCGTCTCCGTACCATACTGTACATGTACATACGCTGCCCAATGCTGCGCTGGTATGACGCCAGTGGCTGTGTGTTTATCTCCTACGCAGGTGATTTCCGTATTCGACTAGGAGGCATTCTTCGGGTTGGTTTCTAGAAACACGAGAAGTCACGCTGAATACCCGGGTATAATGTGGCTGAATTGGCACCGTGGAAAGAATTGGAAAACCATACTAATCTTCCTATGATCTACTGTAGACTGAGCCGGGCTATCGACGGACTAACGAGTCAACGGGGCTGCGCCGTGTTCTGTGAATGGTGGACCCCGCGGAAGTAGTCCACTGCGCCCTACAGTGCAGTACGGAGGGCTAACCGTCATGGATTAGTGCACATCCATCCTCAGGGGTCTCTCTCCGTTCTTTGGCTGCATAATGGGTGTGAGTCCGGAGTAGTATTCTAGGTGAACGATTTCCATGCAACCGTGTTTCACGCGTTTTCTTTTCGCGTAAGCCTCTGTCACCGAGAGTTTCAGGCCCCCTTGGTAGACCACGGGAAGTTGACCATTTCGGAGGAGTTGGATGGAGTTGTCCGGTCTCGGAGCGGGGAACAGAGACTCTAGAACGAGATTTTAGGTGCTCGACCGGGCGATTCGATCTGAAACGGGCCAAATCATTGATCCAATTTCACATAATATCGTCGCAATTCAGGGCGACGGGCAGACTCCTGTGGCACGTGACCTCGGAAATGACCACATATGGTTAGTGAGGCCGGCTCTTTTCTTGGCACAAAAAGTACGGAGTAATCTACTACAATTTCGGGTGAGAGTATAGCCGCGTGGCCTTGATCCATGGAGTGGATCGCGAACCGAAACTTTGTTTTAAGAAACGATCACCTAGGGCTGAGCCGGCAAGTCTTCAGCCTACCGCGTGCGAAATCGAGGCTGAGCCAATGCCCGCGCCTCAAGGCCACCTGTGTTTCTGCACCGCAAAAATAGACAGCATTTCTTCCCTCGGCTTTCCAAGGTCTCCACTCGACGCGTAAGGGAAACCTTACAAGGAAATTTCACCCATTATGAATGAACGAGACTCTTGAAAGTGTCACCCTTGGTCTTCTAAGCACTAAATCAGGGTGATAAAACGAAGTTGGGGCCAAAGATTCGTAGTCGGTGTATTACATGCAGATCCTGCCTTGCCGCCCAGAGTAAGCAGAATGTGAGACTTTAGGATGGGCATGATTTATTCAAGCTACATTAGATGAAGATCATTCGGCGAATATGTTGTGAGAGAGTCATAAAAGGTGAATGGAAGAGGAGATCAGAAGGTATAATGGCTGAACCTGTCGACTCGTGTGTACCTAGCCTACGACTCTGTTGTCCGCTGTGGAGATCTTACTGCGGGTTCCAAGACGTTGAGATGAATTAGATACCTGCACTTGAAATAAGAGTAAATTTCTCGTGTAAAGCTCGCTTCTTATTCTTGAAGAGGGCTCTTTATATCGAAGGGTGATTGTTCAATATTCTACTCCCATTACCACGACGAAACTGTTGGGGTTGCGTAAGTCCCAGTAGCAAAGCCTCCCTGGCACTGAGATGGCACCTGATTGGCTTTGGACGCACCCCAGCTGCGTGGAACAGCACCGCTTCTGCGAGATGCGGCAGTGAGGAAAGCAGCATAGGACCATGTGAGATCACGGGCGGAGATGGGCGTGCCGTTGTTCCGTGTAAATTGCTCTGCCAGAGACCCATTGCTCGGCGTATATTGCTGGACGATAGAGTAAAACCCATCTGCGTAGTTCTTGACCGCGCTTGTGACTGAAGAATACATCGATGAGGAGCTGGAATAGTTCCCGGGAGCAGCGGAAGAGTCCAGATCCTGGAAGAATGGAAGGCTCGTCTGGGTGATGGCAAGCGAACCCTGTTTCTTCCACTGATAAAGAGCATCATAAAGCTGTTCAGCCGCGGCAAGCGTTGTCAAGTACCTTAGTGAAGTGTAAGCGATACTATGAGTATAATCGAAGGACACATAAAATACCATGGGTTACCGCCCTGATAGACATCTTCGGGGTAGCGCCCAACAGCAACGGCCTCGCCAGACTTTTTGCCACTGTTCAAGTCATAAATTGACCGGAAGGAATCTACGTATAATTTGTGATTGGACAGCGCACGGGCGGAACATGGCTGGAAAGTGGTGTCATCGCAAGACGAATTCGGGTCGAATGTCTGAATGGAGCTAAGCACCGAGTTTGCATCCAAGCCGGAGCGACCATCGTTAGCCAGATCGGAGATCACGGATGTGCCATTCCAGAAATCTTGGAGGAAGCACAGAACCTGCGGAGCTTGCGAGTCACAAATATCGCACGACTGTCCCAGAGATTTGGCAAAGGCACTCCCTTCAACCAAGGCGCGGTGCTGGGCGGCAACTGTGAAGAACGAGGATCCCTTAACTTCCTCCCACAAATCGAAGCCGGTCTGGTTCCAGTACTGAGCAACATAATTCAGGTCGTTTTGCACGATCGGCCAAATGTTTGTCTTGACGACAGACTGCTTGCCGGTGCTGAGCAAATTGTTGCCATAGGCGATGAGTGCCGTCGCGCGTAGAGCCGGGCCATCACGTTGAGGGCGTCCCCAGTCACCAGTGAAGGCTGTCAAGTTGACGTTGTACTTGGGCTCTCCAAGGCCTGCGCCATTTGATAGACCACCCGATGGGCTCGTGATGGTCTGCACTTTCGCCTGGGCGGTAATGTATTGTTGGATGACGGTTTCCAAAGACACATCTCCTGCCATGAAGCGTTCAATGACCATGGCGATCGTCAAAGCTGCATCGCGTGTCCAGCTATAGAAGTCTAGCACTCGTTAGTTCACAGAGTTGAGTGGCATGTGAAAAGAACCTACAGTCGGGGTTCGATTTGGATGGTGATGCTACAACGACACCAGCAGAGGCACCGGGCACACTCGACCCGTCGGCACCGATGTTATTGAGCACGCCCTGAAGGGCAACGGTAGACTCCGACTGTATAAAACTGTCGAGACTTGACTGACGACGGGTAGGGTGAATGACGGACGAGGCCACTGCCGGCACCAGCAGGGCAAGGGTCAAGACGTTGTGGGCTAACATGATGAACAGGACTTGTTGAACATTCTCAAAGTCCCCTGAGATTGAGACATCTTATTTATTCCCGAGGATGCAGTACAGTTTACAATCACGAGCTTCATCTCGCCCCACGGGGAATGAACAAGTGAAACGCAGGGATCGTTCGTTCGTTTGATTGGGTGAAGGCTTGACGATCACCAAGGATGTGGCTCATCGGTCGGAAATTAATCGTTGTATGACCGGCCCGAGTGGACCGAAGCAGAAGGAATTTAAATTAGACGATCAACATCGATTGGAGCTGGATCAAATTACACTTGGTGTAACCTCGGGAAGGCCGAGAAGTGATGTTCCTGAGCCGATCATGATGCTGGATCGTGGCCCACTCCGATAAATGGCCGTCTCCGACCCAGTTTTGGTTTTCTCTCCATGATATCATGAATTGATAGGCCGATCGCGCTCCTTTGCAAACAAATTTCATCTAGGATCATCGAGAAACATCGAGGGAAATGCGGAGGCCCGCTGCATTGTGGTATTAAAGTGACTTGAAACAATACAAAGTTCATTAGTTCGGCGTCATTCACCAAATCAAAATCAAGCGTATTCAAATGCGAGATGAAGTAAATTAAAACTCCCCAGTATTCAGGGTCTCCAGGTACTTCTGCACGCCGGACATGTCGAAGCGTGGGATGTTTCCAACCACTGGTCGATGCACTTTTTGTGGAAGTTGACTCCACACCGTGCCCTGCACCAAACTAGTTCTTCATCCTCTTCGTCTTCATCGTCTTCTTCCTCACCCAGATTCTCTACATCTTCTTCCTCGTCAATCTCTATACTTTCATCGACGAAGAGGGACTGTGAAGTCTGCATATGACACAAACAGATCCCACATTCTCCTTCGACGGCTCGGCGAGTGACGGAGGTAGCCTGAATGGCTCGGTTACGGGGCTGCGAAGTTGCTTCAACGCCTTCCTGGCTGTCGGTACTGCTGGAGACACGAGCCGTTGCTGATACGGTCGCTGCTCTTTGATTTGAGACTGAAGCTGGCCTTGCTTGAATGACAACTTGCACTTGTGTCGAGCGTGGTGCGGTAATTGTTGACTCGTGGGTAGAGCTTGCTGACTGTCTCATCACTGCCCTGGTACTGGGGACTATACGCAAACCGTCTCTGATGGTCGAGCTCCGGCCGGTCCTGGGGTTGTTATCTATACTTGCGCGCTCATCACCGCGAGGAACTGGAGAGTTTGCAGATATAGTTGGCCCATGCTGAACGGCCTGAAGGCGTCTGAGCTCTTCCAAGGTGTCCTGAAGTTTCCGATAGAGAATATCGCATAGCTCATCCACATTTGCTTCGGCTGTGTCTGAATATACATCGCTAGATGATCGTCTCACCCGTCTTTCTGAGGTTGCTGAATTGACTTGTGAAGTGGCTTGGGGGACGAGGAACGAGCTAACTTGTCTCTTCCAGCGACACGCAAGGTCCAAAGCCTGGTTTTGATGAAATATGGTACACAGAACGTAGGTGGCCAGATTTTCCAATAGCGTATCGATGCGGCGACCAGCCCGAAGGTCTTTAGTGCCCTTGTCAAGAAGAGACATTGCCGAGCTGCGACCACGCATGTTTGTGGGGTTGTGGCAGCGCCGTCCTTTGGAATGGGCATAACCAGCACACCATGGCTCCTTCTCTGGCTCGAGCTTGATGATCTCCGATAGAGAGGGCAAGGTGGGACCTGCGATGTAGGACTCCCTAGAAGGCATGATGATTTGATTGGCAAGATTCAGTATACTGTAATAGAATGGGGCGTATTATCGCATATGCTGAATGAACTTCAAAGCTTTGTAGATGTATGAGCACCATGTGGTGGGTGCACTATTATTACTTTATATGTCCCCGGACCGTACAAGACACGAGGCCTTCGCTATCTAGGCATACACTCTGTTCTGCCACAGTAGTGTGGCGCGGCTCCAGGAATAGAAGCTACTCCGTACACGGCGTTAATATAAATAGACTAAACAGATTCCTAAGGATAAGTACCAATAACGATTGACGACCATCGAGTGAGGCGCATGGAAAACCGACGGCTCAGGGCTATGCTTGCTCAGGGGGTTCAAGAAAAGGGGGGGGGGGTGTGGCTGGTACTCGGTTCGTGTTCAGGAGTTTTTGATAGGCTCTTTTTATTTGAATAGGTGCAAGTGCGCTCCATCGGACTTTAGCTCTGCGAGGGATGCAGTAGTGACGCCACAAATGGCAGTGCCGTGTTTTCCATTGGCTACCTACCGTACCTAGTGGATTTCCTCTGCTACTTCTTGGGCTTTCCCCTTCCATTTAGTGCTCAGACCTTGCCGGCTGAGCACGCCTCGGAGAGGATACGCTTGTGAATCTGTACGTTACCACAACATTAGGGCAGCACCCGCAATCAACCAATCACACTTCGACGCCACTAAGCCTCAAACTTTACTATAGTGATTGTAGGGTTCCTGTGACAATTTCAACCCTATTCTGCTATTATACAGGTCTGTTTTGTTTCCTCTTTAGAAACATAAACAGTCATGCGCTCAACATCCGATTGTCTCATGTGCCGGACGATCAACATTGAAAGTTGTCTAGTTCCCCCGCTTCAGCTTTTGCTGGCTCGCTTGCCCTGCTCTACAAACAAGAATGGCGCAACCGCAGCATATCGAACAGTCGCCTTATTTGCACGCTGCTGAGGATGATGAAAACGCAGAATTATTTTCTGCAGTTCTCTCGACGCTTGACAGAGAGCAGTTGCCCCTGCTTGCGAGCGCCATTCTACGGCGCCTTCAGCCACCCTATCAAACTACCGATGCGAAACCCTCAGTCGGCGAGCCTTTGTACGGATCTTACCACGTACTCTTCCCATTGACCTTTGATATCGGCCTTCGTTGAATCGCAAAAATCCCCATTAACGGCACGGCAAGCAAATGGGATGAGTTGTCTGTCTCGGCCCTGACCTCCGAGGCGAATACAATGCGCCTGTTGAAGCGCGAGACCACTATCCCTCTACCTGATGTTTTGGACTTCTCTTCGACCACGCAAAACACTCTCCGATGCCCTTACATTATTATGACCTTCATTTCCGGAATCCCTCTATACAACGTCTGGTTTGGACACCGTCTGAACGGCGTCAGGCCCGACACCACTCGTTTACGCCGAATTCGCGCCCTCGAAAGCATTGCCTCGGCAATGGTGCAGCTGGACAGATTTTCATTTCAAACCGGCGGCCGTCTTCTGTTTGGAAGCGATGGCAACCCATCTGATATCGGGCCTATGCGACGAATTGATCACAAGGCTATGCTTGACCGATGGTTTGTTCTTAAAGATCCAGGCGATGACCCAATCTATATTGAGTGTGCGGCATCCAGCGACCCGAAAGAATACTACACCCTCATGCTCGACATACACCCCGAACAGAACCCGGTTCCTAGGGGTCTCGCGACGCTCTTGCGCCAGCTGATCAGCTGGATCTCTGAGCCCAGTAGAATGGATCCCTTCGTTCTTGCACATCCAGACTTTGACATCCAGAACTTTATAGTATCTGAAGAGGGCGAGCTCCAAGGTATCATTGATTGGGATGGGGTCGCTGCTGTGCCTCGCACTCTTGGCAACGAGAGATACCCCGGGTGGCTCACGCGCGACTGGGACCCGGCTATGTACGGATATAAGGAGTCTATGGAACATGGGGTGGAACCAGAAGGTGTGTGGGAAGATTCTCCCGAATGTCTCGCCTACTACCGCGACATCTATGGTGGCATAATGGCAAGACATCGTATGGAGAGAAGAGGAGGATCCGAAGCCAACCTCTGCCGAGTATCCCTCATTACGGAAAACTTAGCCATTGCGGTGGATGATCCTCGATGCCGAAATGCAATTCTGCGCAAAATGGTGCATGAAATATGGACTGCTGCGGGAGGAGGTGAGCAACCGGACTTCACGGACCTAGCCGACATGTTCGCCGAGAACAACATGGATATCGAGGTGATGGAAACCCTCCATAGGGGCTTTAACACGCTTCTGTCGAAGAAAGAGTTGTAGGGTGCGTTTGATTAGATGCTTCAGGAGAGCATCAAGGAAGCTCTAGATTATAAATAATAGTTATTGAGCAATTTGAGAGCTTGGTCGATTCTACGTGCATGCCGAAGCTTATTACGTTGTGCCTAGAAACCCGCAAGGTCAAGGGGTTAAGGGATCAAGAGAAGCTGGAGTGGCTGAGACATTGGTGCAAAGAAGCTGGGGTTTTATTCAACATGCATTGGAAACAATACGTCTTTCCCCGCACCTCGGTAGGCCGAGATGAATGTGGGTCGTCTGACAGGTGGTTTCACCATTTGGTAATATTCGCTGTAAAAATGAAAACTGATTGGGCAGATGCAAAACGGGAGGTGATTAACCCACATCCCGTGACTACTTTCGTTGTGTCAACAGATTCCATCTCAATAGTCAAGTCCTTTAGATCCCCGAGTGTTGATTGCGGCTCTACCCAATTCAAGTCACAGCTGGGCAGCTTGAGCTTCACACCGAAGATGTCATCATCCTCAGAGTCAAGAGCGATAACCGTCATCGGGTAATCACCATCTTCCTTCGCAATGTTCTTGAACAGGAAATCTAATCAACCACGATAGAGCAGGAGTGATCGGTCTTACGACCGCATTGCTCCTCAGCAAAGACGCGAGGAACAAAGTCTTGGTCATTGCCGAGTTCATGCCTGGTGACTACGACATTGGATATGCGTCCCCATGGGCCGGAGCCAATTTCTTCCCGTGAGTCTCTCGTGATCTCTTTGATGTCGCCCGCTGATAGCCTGTTTAGCACGGCAGAACAAGGCACGCTCCAAGCGCAGCTTGAGCAGGAGACTTGGAAAGTTCTCAAACATTTGGCCTCATCTGTGCCGGAGGCCTGCGTTCACTTCCAGGGTGAATGATTCTACGTCATTATTGAGAAGGACCGAACTGACCAGAATTAGAAGCTGTGGTTTACACTCGAGAAGAAGATGTGGGCCTGGCGGGGCCTTTGTTCGTTGGCCCAGGAAAAGAGCCATGGTGGAAAGAGGTGGTAGATGATGCAAGTGATCCTTCATGCTTTTGATAACCTGAGAGCTAACACCACTTGATAGTGTCGCGTCGTCCGTTCAGAGGAACTCCCTCCAGGTATTGCTGCGGCGACGAAATTCAAGACGGCTTGCATCAACCCGGCTCTCTATCTTCCCTACCTAGTTTCCGAGTGTCGTCGCCGGGGCGTCATATTCAGGCGCCAAAAGGTGGGAAACATTTCAGATGCTCAAGAAGTGTGCCATCCAAATGGGAAAATCACGGATATTCTTGTCAATGCGACGGGCCTAGGCTCGAAAACACTAAAGGGTGTCGAGGATTCGACACTCTTCCCAGTCAGAGGGCAGGCTGTGCTCGTTGAGAACGACCCTGGCTATATGATGGCTGTTACTTCTGGAAGGGACGGTAAAAGACTAGGCTATTGCATGACCAGGGCTGCTGGTAAGTATGACGAGACAAATTTCCTGATGATTAAGATCTCAAGAATTAGTTCTAACACTACGAACAGGGGGTGGAACGATCCTGGGAGGATGCTTCCAAACCGACAATGTTGAGTCGACCGCTGATTTCAACCTTGCGAGTCAATTTATGAAGACTGTTGTGGACTTATGTCCTTCGATCGTGAAACCAGGCCAAGGTATTGAAGGACTTAAGATCATACGTCATGGCGTAGGATTGAGGCCCATGCGACGCGACGGCCCCAGAATTGAATTGGACGACCAAAACAAGACAATAATTCATTGTTACGGCCATGGTAGTTATGGTTATCAGACAAGTTGGGCAAGTGCGGAGAGGGTGGTAAAGTTGGTCAGGGAGACTGAACAGGCTCAGCAGCCGACATTGAAGAGCCCGCAGTGATAGATGTCGCTGAATCTTTATCACCTTGACCTTGAGAATTCCCAGCATTCCTTGTTTACAAGGCCCAGAGTATAAGGAAATCTAGCTTACCTAGTATTTGTTGGTGTAGTGAGAGGATGTCGAAGTTTTCATGCCATAAACCTTACCGTCCTGCCATCATCGACGTAGAGAGGGGTATCTGACATTTCGAATTCACCTGCAGTACCAGCTCGTTCTATAGATTCCAAGGTTCGTGATCCTCGGAATCTATCAAGAATCTATATAATTCACCATTCACGATCATCCCATCATGAATCATAAGGCGTCGTTTATCTCATGACATAAACCTCTCCAATGAGAACAGTGCACCCGACAACCATAGCAATGGCTATAATGGGCAAATTCACGCGGGCAAATTCGATACTACCCACACGGATATGCTTCCTGGCCAGAATGTCGCGCCATAGCAAACCAGCAAGGGATGCACTAAAGGCCGTGCTGAATGCTCCGAAATTAACACCTAAAGCCATACTGTAGACCGAGGCCCAGAAAGTGCGGTCGCTGATGGGAACCCCGCTGATGCGATGGATTTCTTGCCATGCTTGAATAACACGCGAGAGGAGGATGGTTGTGCCGATGTTTGTTCCGGCGAACTTTGGGAAGTTGTTAGCTGGGTCGAGGTTTTAATGTTTCACTTATACTCACATTGCAGAGAATAACAGACAAAAAGCCCATTCCGCCAACGGCACCCACAGTCCCAGTCTTGTTAACCCAGTGGTCCCATCCGTAGGCAAAGACAGGGACCCATCCCTTGGTCACAAGCGCTTGCACCAGGACAAACATGGATAGCGCAAAAGGAACAAGAGGGAATGGCATGTGCGAGATAACGACCGTAACAGTTGGAAATGTCTCCTGCAGCCACCGGTAGGTATCAGCACTCAATGATACCAGGTTGCGTGGCGACACTATCTCTGTTTGAACCATGGCTCCTCGCTTCTCTTCGTCGAGTCCATTAGCTCGTACTTCATCCCTGGCCTTGGGAGAGGATGTGAGGGTCAGATCTTGACAAGTAGTCATGGTATCAGCCAGTGGCTCTAGGCCTGGGAAAGGTTCCTCTTCAACAAGAATTGATCCTGGTATGGGCGTTTGACAGTCTTGGGGCACCTTTGTGCTGGCCAGACTGTCAGCGGCATCGAAGGAGAACCCAATCTCAGCGCAGTATCCAGTAACCTGACTCTCCGACGAGAGGTCAGTCTGGCGGCGTTGCATCTGCTTTGTTCCATCCAATGCCGCTTGCTGTGGAGAATTACGGAGAGAATTGAGCCTTTCTCGCTCTGCTCGCGCGAGTTCCACCTCCCGGCGGCCTTTGGCGGCAATTTCGCGTGTCTCATGGCGATGAAGCCAGCCAAAGGTGAGGTCCCAACAGAACATGACAAAAGCAGCAGGTAAAGTAACCCAGAACACAGGACGCTCTTGCCCTGAATTGCTGGCTGCGTTGAGTGCAAGGAGAGTGATGAGTGTAGTGGCCATTATCACAGCACCAAAAGCGGCACCACCTTTATCCAAAAAAGGATTCATGATCTCCTCCAGTGAAAGCTGTTTGCCATGCTCATTATTGATCGCTTCCTTTTCGTCGGCATTTCCTCTGGCATTGGGAATATTGGGGTTGACAGGTTTCCTGCTCATAGCCTCTTCCGACAGCTTGTGCATTTTGATAGATACCGGGATAAGAGACGTATCGGCAAAGATAATATAGAGTAAGATTGGGAAAATGACGATCGCAGTTGCAACCACCGGCACGATCATATTGGCCGTATAGACGATGAACTTGATCTCGAAAGCGCCGGCAAGCACGAGATTAGTCGGATTCGAAGAAACCAAAATGGCGGAAGCAATATTCGCAACGGCAAATTGGCTGTGTATCCAAGCTCGAGGGTGGACAATATTGCTCGACACGCGGGTCATGTAGGCAAGGAAAGCCGTGCCCGATAGAATGATGGGATCATTTCCAATAAAGCTGCCTAATCCAAAGAAGAAAGCGAAAAGATAGAAAAATAGTCGATGGCCGACATTACCTCCCTTCTGGAGAACTTTGAAGGCCAAGTATCGGATCAGACCGGAGGCATCGATCGAGATCGCAATATATGCTAGTGTGAGGAAGAACGCCATGATGTCAATGGGAGAGATGTTTTCTGCTCCGATAGTGCCATCGTGAACTTCCTGTCGGCCAATGGCCAGGATCACCAGAAGGAACAGATCAGCTATCAACGGCGCGGTCATAAAATTAAGAGGTAAGTTCAGCCGTACGAACGAGCCGGGCTTATCGTGGTCTCGCGGCAGCTTTTCGCGGCAGGGTATTATACGCAAGGTTCTCAGGCCATACAGGGTCGTGTCGGATAGCCACCGTGGGACATAAATAGGAACGTGGAAAGGAAAAAGCACGACGATATCTGCACAGCGAGATTAATTGGCCAAAGTCAGTTTCAGCCACATGCAGTAGCCGACACAAGTCCTGACTCACTGGTCACGCAAAAAACAATCAACGTTATTATAGATCGCCAGTCTTTGATTTTGCTTGTATCTAGGTCCTCAGCCATTTTGAACCCTCTTCTCCACTTCGGTGAGTATCGTGAAGCGGATAGGTGTCGCGTGCGGTTTGACTGAGCGTGGGGTAAGATCGCATGCACATAGAGAAAAAAACCCCTCCGAGGAGCCGGGGCAAGATCAGCTGACTGCGCTACGGCCGTCGAAAGGCATGAGGCGCAGGTTTATGGAATGCAACTAAACAAGGAGAGTCCGTGGTGTCAAATCAGTCGAATTTTCGAGGCCTCAGCAGAGAAACATTTCTTGCGCTGGCTCGCGCGTTTGACTTGTAGCGGGCGTTATGTGTCGAGTTGAAGTTTGTCCCAGTCGATTTCTGTTTGCGATCCTTGCGATCCTGTTCCCCGTGGAATGAAATCAACGTAACCTGAGGGGTGTCGCGTGAGGGACCTGTCGGCAAAATCCCATCAGCGGTGTGTTATTAATCTGCGTGTACGCTGGATCAAGGAACGGTCCTTTATGAAGATAAGAAACTTTGAGGTGTGAGGGCTGTGTAGCACATCCCCGTTTAACGCGATTGGAGGAGATGACCTTGGCAACAGCCTCAAATGACTGTGCAGCAATCAGGTAAAAGGGACGCAGCACGAGCTCACTAGGCCATTATTGATTAGCTTGAGGTTGGGCTTTTGAATGGAAAACCCGTGCGAAGGATAGTCAATAGGACTTGAGGACTAACGCCAAAGAGATAAAGCCAAGACAGCCAAGATGACCCCGCACGGATTACTCCGAACCGATTTCCAATGTTTGTGCCCTTTTAGTTCAACCCTCTGCTAATCTTCAAGCTATCTTCTGCGTCTCCCTCGTGATTATTCCCGGAATCCCAATATTCATTGGATGGACTTCCCCGGGCCGAGGAGGAGCAAGTTATGCACTCAGCCACTGCACCATTTCATTACGCTTGAGACTCGCCAATCAAGGGGGCCGCTAAGTGCCCGGTCTCGTAATGGGGCGCCCGGCTATCACCCGGGCACAAGAGCACGAGAGCACCTCCTGGTTTGAGAAGGATGGCGTCTAAAGAATGGCCAATCCCGCCAAACCCAGGCAGCGGAATCGCGGGATGAGGCTGTTGCTGACGTACCATCTTCTATGCCCCAAAGCGGATCGCGATTTGTTTGATGGCCGTTCAAGCCGGGTGAACGTCCACTTCTTCAAGGTTAATCTGGGGTATGGGCTTTCTTTATCTTTCAGTCCCCCAGTCGCCATCTATTTGAGGCAAATGCTACTATGTGACGAATAAAATTACCGTCTGTCAGAATTATATATGCCTGTTTTATTACTTTTATCCAAGACCATCAGGAGGCCGGATGATTAGCGATGCCAGCAATTCCCTTCCCCGCCGAGCTGCTAGAAGGAATCCTTGTGCATCGCAACGCCAAGCTAATCCCCGGCAATGCGACTGCTGAAATCTTAGAAGTTGTTTGCGCCTGGCCAGTGTCTGGGCAATATGGGCCTGGGACCCGAGTTCTGTATGACCCACAATCGGGCCTGCGGAGGCAGTTCATCATTTCTGACACCACTTGCAGCTACTATGCATTAGCAGCAGCCTGTGTCTTTGCTCGCAAAGAGGAATGGATTCGCAATCCTTGCCTGGCTGCTGTGTTACTGTTTCCTGCCGTCGCGGCTATCCATGGGATTGTCCTGGCTGCTCTCCATCGCAATGGTGAGTTGTTGGATCTACATACGGGAGGCGTAATTTGCTGTCTGAGTCAATGGAAACAGTGACTAACTTTCCTAGGAGCTGTCGACATGGATGTCTACGGTGCTTTTCAACTATGCACCATCGGTATCTTGACCGCACCGCCTACCGTACGACTCTCAACTACTTATTTCAACAATCCCGGTCGCGACATCATCTTCCTGTGGACAGGCCTCCTTCTAGCCGGTCTCCTCAGCCTGGTCGTGGAATTTATCCGCCTTGCCCCTACGGCTTGCCCACCCGATGACCCGGCATCAATTGAATGGGCGGCGACCGGCAAATTCTCATATAACAGCAACTGCAGCTTGGTCTGCTCCGTAGCAAACGGGCCCTACTCGCCTCTGCGACAAGACGCTGCCAACAATATCAATGTCATCCCAGTGCCTCACGAACTTACCTTCAATACTGCCACTCTCCTTGCGGCTGCATGCTGCATCCCAGCTATTTTATTGTTGGTCACCATGTGGATCAAAATCCTTGAGAAGAACTGGGAGAAATTTTCCCGTCGTGATAGAGAAAAGGAGAAACCTGATGAGTCGCCAATTGAAGGCACGAATGGCGCTACGCCTAACCACATGAGGTGGATTTCCGACAGGATCCGAAGTTGGTTAACGTTGATTGAGGTTCCGATCTTCGTGGCGGCAGTGCTCTTTATTCTGATCAAGGGCGAGATGAATTTCTTCAGCACGCCCGTGAGGTATCAGACGGAGCCTATAGCTAGCATCGGTAAGTGGGTCAACACTTATCCGTTATTGAGGACTGAAATTACTGACGATGTCTTAGGCCAATGGGCACCCATTGTTGGTACCGGTCTTGGTGTGGTCGGGTCGCTCTATATTTTACTTGCAGCCGACATGGAGGCTGAAGACAAAAAGTTACAAGTACCAGACGACCAACTCAACGAAAACATCGTAACTAGATGTCCTAGGTGCGATGGATGTGCCGTATTGGACGAGGAGACCGGTTCTGGCGCAGAATCATCTCGGAGCTGGCAAAGTATCGACGAGCAATCTTCGCCGCCGACGGCGAGAACAGCTACTCAGCCTTCTATAACTACAACTTTCAACCGAGCCAGCACCACTCAATCTGAAGGAAACGCAGACCCAGGTGGAAGAAAAAAGGTGGCTCGAGCCCTCAGCACGGCCAGCAGAGCACTTGCTGCTAAAGCAAACTCTAAATTCGAATATTCAGGCTTCGAGGTGCAGGAGAGGAATATTTTCCCGACAGTTCCCGGCGAGGACCTCCGAAATGGAAATCTCTCTGAATTCAAAAATGCTTACAGCACTCCGCAGCCTCAGTCCAGGGCTAGCAGTCCTGTTGAGAGCATCGAACCTGGGTCTTCCAATGGCCAGGGTACCTCAAAGACGCCGCTGGAATCACCAAAGCATTTATCTTTGCATATTCCACAACCGACACGCGTTGTAACCCGCCAGAGGCATTCTAACACCGGGCCATCGAGAGGAGGTCCGTCCGAGGCTTCTAACCTGCAAGCCCTTGGAATCAGCTACGAGACTTCAGCATCACGACAGCGAGATTTACCAGAGATACTGATGCCAGATCGGCAGCATGCTAGCATGACACCATCAATTTCCGACGTAAGCCCTACAGCCTTAACACCTGGCGCTCAAGATACGCGGCTGAAGATAGTGGTTTCTGAGGACCAAGGCGGACATTCATAGCTCTATGTAAGCCCCTTTCGACGTTGCTGGGATTACCTCGCTCTATGACCGAAACGAATATGGGTTATTTTGGGAATGTATAGATTTGGATAGATTAAGCACCGAAATCCTGACCCATCTTTACTGTCTTTACTTAATTATCATGAAACTCGCTCTCTTAAAACTCTTGCTTTGCTGTAGAATTCAAACTCAAACGACTCATCAGACCCGCCTCCAATCTGTTCTCACACTGCTCTTGTCTCAGGTGGCCCAAGATATTCGCGCGGACACTCCTGTTTACATTTTTTTTTCCTGCCTTTTTCTGTCGGTAATTCATCGAACAAAAGGCATTTGATCTACCTGATCACCCGACTAACGTGGTAGCCGCAGACCGGCTGCGACATCTCACATCTACGAGGATTTCGGCACCCTAGATAGGAACGGCCCCACCCGGCAGACTTTATTTTGTCTCTATAGGTGCATACGAACAAGTGTGGAATAAATCATCACTATTCGTTCCTCAAATCCATAATTCCAGATCCTTCCAATACCAACCCCCTATCGTACTCTTCTGTCTTAGAGGGAAACACTGTTAATTTCCCATCTAAGCCAAATTCTATCCTTTCTGAAATTTAGGAAACAGTGACGGAGGAGGAGCCGGAGCTCTCGTAGCCCTCAGTCGAAAGAATCTGGTAGTTGAAGCTTCCGAGGTCCAATCCTATGCTGGCCCAGTAGTTGAAGTGGTTGGAAGTGGTGACAGTTCCGCTGGAACGGGTGTCCGAGCGGATAGACCAGTACTGCTGAAAGGTGGAGGTACCTTCAATAGAGGGCTGGTCGGTCTGGGTGTGGGTATAAACAGTATATGTGGAACCATCGCTAGTCAAGCTTCCAACCTCAGTCATGGCAGAGCCAGGGTTGTAGTCGCCATAGTTCTCAAGAATATAATATTCAACTAAGGGGCTCTCGGTCCAGCCGTAAACAGAGAGATAGGCGTTTCCGGAGGGGCTGAAGTCAGCTGAGAAGGTAACATCCCTAGATTAGTACGGGAAAACATGGGTTAGCATTATACATCTTAGACCAGCCTAGTTCAGGTGTCAATGAACCACTTACTGGGCGCTACCAGGGTTCCAGCCGACTCCGGAAGTGAAGTCACCGCCGTCAGAGTTTGACCAGTTGACGCTGTATGCGCCAGCACCAGTGTTGGTGTAGTCAACAGTACCATCACCATTAGTCCAGAAAGAGTAATAGTAACCATCATAAGTGCCAGTCTGGCTAGAAGTGATGGTCTGGCGAGCGGTGAGGTCACGTTTGCCAACAATATGACCAGGGAGAGCAGTGGCAAGTCCTACCACAGCAGCGGCGCTGAAAGCAAGTGGGAAGAAGGAGATCATTATGGCTGATTGACTGATTGCAGTTTGAAATATTTGTAGTTAGGGTTTAGGAGCGGTGCTCTAGAGATATTGTTTGATGATAATTCAGGAAGTAGATATTGGAAGTGACTCTTTTTTATTTCTGCATGTGCTCCAACTATAGCGGGGTTTTTAAATATCAAGTTGCGCGGATTTTGCCAGTGGCGGCTAATAAACTATATCGAGCACGTATCGACTATCCTAAATAAGGCGTTATTAAGCAAAAATCTTTTGCAACAGCCTAAAAATAACAAATGCTGGCAGGGAAAAGATTACAAAGAATCTAAACTGTGGCCAGGGGCGAGGAAGAATCTGAAACTCTTCGCGCTTTTTGCGCTGAAATGATCCTTGGATGCGGCGGCGGACTGATTCGTTTTATCTACACAAAGCTTCGACTTGATACTCTTTTATTCAGGGTAAGATCTACACTAATATATACTGCCACCTTTGAGGATAGCCCAGCTGTATTACTCTTTTATTGTGGTGTAGAACATTCTACAATAGCTCAGTCTAACACTCATCAAATCCACACCCAGGGGAAGAGCACATGCTCATGATGGGACACCCCCTTCCCCGCAATAGAATGAATGCTAAAATCCTGCAGAAAAAGAGGGTGGGGTAAGTGAAACTTAGCTTGACGCCACTTGCTAAAACCACCCTTCCTGAATAATTTCCGAGGTCTCTGACCATTTCTCCTCTCTAATTGTACCCTAGTCTAGACAGGGCAAGTCCTGGGCTTAGCGTATAATAGTCACCTCTAGCCGTGCTCTATTACCCGTGATGGTGCCTCCGGCGAGCACGCGCATGAGAGCGCGCCTCCAGCTCTCAAGATGATGAAATATCACCTTCTCATGGTATCCGGTGTCAGTAATTATCAGTTGAGGGGAAACCAAGAAGAATCCCCCTGTAGTGGTGGTGGTTGTGCGGCCGTATTGTGAAGTTGTCGCCCGGCGCTCTCGCGCCCGCCCGACCGCACAGAATGATTGATGAGAACAAAGAATAGCCAAGGCTCCTACCTGCCTTATCTTGATATGATTGCTGAATTTGAATGCTATGACACACTGGCATCATAGCCACTTGAGGGGTGATATAGCCTATTGGTGAGTATCCTAGACTAGGCGCGTCCATGACTCGGTTAGTCTACCACGCCTTGACATGCGGTTGCAAGAAGAAGACAACGAGAATCTTCCCGGCATAATATCGCTATCCGTCGACCTTACCAGCGACGTGGCTGACAACTCAGCTTGTGCCGATCTACCTAGAGAAACATGCTAGCATTATACTCCCCAGCGGCCGACAACTAGCCGCCCTGATATGCCTCCGACGTGACTACCTACTTCGTGCCGAACGATGTAGGCTTAATAGGGCAATTTAGGGGAGTGAGGAAAAAGGGAAAGCAGTGATCAACGTCTAGCTGATAATTGCCAGCCTAGACGTTACGGGAGGGGGATATGTTCTATAACACGATGATGTGGGTAGGGTGAGCTAGCTTAATATAAGGAAGCATAGAAAGTTATAGTCCCATACGGCCACAGTTATTGTAGCGCCATCGAAATACCCTGTGACGTGTACGCTTAAATGCCCTACGCAGATAGGCGAAATGGGGCGAGGAAAAGGAGCTTGGACGCCCAAAGATATACTTAGGAACTAATTAGGAGCTCGCGCTCGTGACTCGCTGTCTTTCATAGCCCACAGGGTATGGTAAGGACAAACAACTTGATTACTACTACTACGTGCTGCCGTTCCACCGCCCACATTTTTTAATATATTAGAAGCTATTCAACAATTCAATTGACCAACATGCAGGAAGTCAAAAAATGATGGCTAATGAACCAAGTATTCAGCACCGGTAGAATTCACTGAAAATGTACGCGGTAAAGACAACGCCAAAACAACTGTTGGATAGATCGAAATAGGCTGAAGACATGGGGAACCAAAGGGAAAGATGAAGGGAAAAATTATCGCAGAGCTCAGCATGAAATGCGGGGAACAATTCATCAATTCGTCATCATACTTTGGTAACGTAATCGGTAAGCGAGTGACGCATGTAAGCGAGCGACGCACCCCAAAACACCATATTAAATGCGATATTTAAGAACGCAATATTTCAACAACCACAAGCTTATTCTATTTAGCTTTCAGTAATTCACTAATTTAGAGCACAAATAGCCTAATTTGGGAGTCTGGGATAATTTAATTATCATATCACTACGTTTACATAAAATACACTGTAATTTAGCTTTCTGAGCTTGAAATATATATCATCCACTCAACACGACTTAAAACCCTCCGAGACCTTCAAATACCCCTAGACTCATTATAAAGGACATATATTTAAAGAAAGTCTCTATGAGAAGCTGCTGTTGCGGAAATATAGAGTTGTAATTTATCGCTTTTACTATGGTGTTTTGGGGTGCGTCGCTCGCTTACATGCGTCACTCGCTTACCGATTACGTTATTGATTGGCTCGTTTGAAATTAGAGCCATTCTGAATAACTATAGAGAATTTGTACGCCTATTGGTGCATTTAATTAGCCTATTTTTATGTTAGTACTACTACTTCGCAGTCCCGAGTTTAATTACATTGCTGAAGAAATCTATACCCCACCTGGGAATTTAGGCTCTTCCACCCAGCAATTGCGGGCGAAACTGCGGTAATATAGGCTAAAAATCCAAAATGGCCTTACTTCACGGTTCGTCTACTTACACTCCCCGCATACCCCGGATTCTGTTTTTCTTAGCATATTTTCTCAACCGCGAATTTTCTCTTCATGAACCAATGAATTTGGCACCACCGAATCATGGAGCCGATCCGAGAACAACATGAAGATCAGGAAGTATTCCTTTCCAAGGATCCTGAGGATGATTCGTTCCTGGAGAAATATTCACGAGAAATGCCGTCGGTTTGGAAACGGTATGGGCGGTTGATTTTGGAGATCGCGATTGCATTCGTGATCCTTGCTTTATTCCTCAATTCCCTTTCCAATAGAACAACAGAAAAAGCATCTCCAATACCTAAATGTACGTTTGTATCACCTATCAACAAAGACTGACTTTTGATGTTACGGTTACTAAGCCAAAGTCATAAAGTCCCAAGAAAGACCTATACCTTTACTGGTAATCCAAGATACCTACATGACAACATGTTTTCAAGCAGGAATGAAACGATTCGCACACTTCATAACTGGATCGAGCTAAGCGCAAGTAAGTAAATAATCTCCTTGAGAAATGATAAATATATTTACAATAAAATAATATAACTAACAACGACCCCCTGATATAGCTGGCAGAGGGTATGTAGGAGTAGACAATCCCGAGTCCTTTGACTTGCCTGAGCCGTACAGCGTGAAGTTGCATTTTCAAGACAAGCCAGCATATATGATGTCGGTTTTTCACCAGCTTCATTGCCTTGTAAGTATCATTAAAAAACTCACTTAATAAATTCATATGCTAATAATACCGTCCCAGTCATACCTTGTCCAGAATTATCAAACGGCATTTGACGGAGCAGAATTAACCCATGAAATAGCCCATCACTCCGCCCACTGCTTCGACTATCTTCGACAGGCAATCATGTGTGCTGCAGATACCTCTTTGGAGGGGAAAACAGAGGCTGGGCCTGGCTGGGGTTCAAATCATGAGTGCACAGATTATGATGCGTTGTTGGCATGGGCGGACAAGAACTCTGTTAATCAGTTCGGAGGGATCCTGCCTGAAGGAACTGTACTTTAAATGATCCTTGATGCTTTCCGACATTTCCTCGATTGATATATTGAATAACTGCAAACAAATACCAGATTCGTTCATTTCAACCTTATATTCAACAATGAAGCAGAGAATTCATCCTAACTGGACGCCAGGCTGCTGTCAAAGCGATATATTAAAAAGCTACATAGGGTTGGATAGTTCGCGTCCTGTGGAAGACTTGGAATGGGTCCCCCTGGCTAGTGTTGATGATTGATAGTGGGGGCAGTAATTCTTGGAACGTCAAAGGAGCGGCAACCTAAAAAGAACGAACCAGGTACAGCGGAGATAACAGTATCGGCTCATAAAGTTCATTGTCCATATTTGTAACGGTTTACGTGTGAAATTATGATACTTCCTTTGACAAATTGCCATCTTTTTTACTTGACTAGGTAGCTCCAGCCCAGCATCAACGGGAGAAATTCGGGTTGCCTATTGAAAGATATCATTCAGAAGCCTCTCGAAAATATCCTCCTCCATGAGTGCTCCGAACCTATTATCGTGAAAATTGAGGTTAAATAAGAGTTGGAACGTCGAGTTTGGATTTTACTCACCCAAAGCATTCTATGTGCGGGACCATGGCAGATCTCAACATATTCAACTGGCCACTCGGCAATTGAGCAATATTGTATTGCTCAACAATCCTATTCCATGCTTGCACAGGTGTAATAACGCCTTCCAAGCCAAGTGATCCAGAAAGTTCGAAGAGCTTGTCAAGTTGCTGAGCGGGAATCTCCCACGAAGTTTGATCGGGTAACTCTTGAGGAGCCTCGGAAAGTAAAAGTCCCTGCATGGACATAGCATGTCCAGATGGCTCGTCTTCACCTAAAGGACGTGTATGGAAGAGACAGGGCCGTTCCAAGCTGCAAGATTAGATGACGGGTTGAGTATGGAGATGGGCTGATGGTCTACTCACGATAAGACAAAGTCAACACCCATCTGTGCGAATTTGCGATTTTCGGGGCAGTATGATGGTCTGGGTAGTCAAGTCAGATGTTCTGCTTTATAAGCATGGTTTGTGCGCTCATAGTTTGGCATGCCTTATTTCTGGAGCTTCAGTTGCCTCTAGTGGAAATTGTGGGTCCTGGTCTGAGCCTTCATCTATGTACGGCGGAGTGCACAGAGCGGCGTGCGAAGATTGACGGTCATCGCTTGGCAACCTGACTTGTAGGTGCTGATGAGAGCCTATGTCTCCTATTATAGTTACCTCGGCCATTGCCGATCCTCTTGACGCGATATGGGGTGGCAATGGAATCGAATGGCGGGTGACGATGTCTTTCAGGATTTCGTTTTCATGTTGAAGACCCCGCAGTTCATCGGCGTTCGTCAGTAAGTTGTATAATATGTGAAGCTCGTCTTCAAGGGCACGACAACGCTTTTCTTTCTGCTCGCGATGCTTCCTTCTGAGATGTTAGTGAGAATCGCGATCTATGAGGGGGTGATTACTTTTGTGCTCGTCGGACTTGCTCACGACGTCGATCATAGTCGGTTATTGAATGATCAGCTGTCCTTGGACTCTTTGAGGACCCTGGCAAGCAATGCATGTGTTAGACCAATGACTCCAGAGCTTCCGCGCTTATAAGACCAGTCTCCACTAAACCATTCGTACCTATGAGAACGAGATCTTCTTTACCCATTTCTTGTAGGGTCGGTATAGAGACGCTAGTCCCTGCTTCAACGATATAGTACCGGAGTCGCGGATCGGCTGGTCTATTAGTGGAGGTGCAAGGGAAGGCGCAGGTGGATTTTGGGGATTCCCGAGGGGTAAGAATGATCAGGAATTGTACACCTTCGACTAGCGGCCACTTTCGTTCTTCACCCTAGTCCACATCGTTCATCCTCAGAAGCAGTCCTTTTTTGTTCCAAGTGTCCTAAGAACTCACCACTTGACAGGAAGCACGTCGATCTGTCGAACTTAGCTGTCCCTCCGTTCTGCGACGGCGATCAGAGCCCAGTCCAAGGACAGGTATTAATCTGATTGGCTGAATGGTAAGTAGCGTGGATTACGTGAAAGAGGCGTAGCCAATAATTGCAATATCTGGCCGGATGTGGGGACGCGGGACAAAATGATCCAAACCGATTCCAACTTCGATTCTAGTCCTGTAAATTGGAAGGAAATAACAGGTCATCGAATCCGACTTTCACATACGGACTTCGATGTAGGGAGAGAAAGCACTATATGAACGATCCAAGTAATCGAGGCAGTTGCAAAAACCAGTCTTTTTCCACAGTTAGTTCGTCCTTTCACCAAAAATGATACACTCCTCTTTGCAGTTGCAGCATCAACAAAAGTTTCATCACAACGGTGTAATAAGAACCCATGATAATGAATTATCATCTAATACGCCGCTCAGCTAATCCCAATAGGCGCTCTTGAGCGAAACTTCTGGGATCGATATTGCCATCTTCATCCTGCGCCTTCCCATCCCCACCATCATAAACGGGAATCAGACCATTCCGAACAACCGGACATAGTTCTTCCATATGAAGCATATCAATATTCGGATAGAGTCACAACAGGACATTAATCTGCACCCTCATGAAGCCATTGTAAGGGCCCTATATCATACTTCTTCGTCGCATTATACCGCCCGTCAACCATTCCAACAAAAGATTTCACAATCGCAATGGAATAATAACATTTGAAATCTTGTTGTCCAAGCTCTGAATTGATAACTAAGGAAAAGCATTCTCGGATGACGGTACAGATAGATTGGGGTGACCGGCTCGAAGAAAGTTGGCTGGGAAGCAATGCCTCTCTCTCGACCCCTTAGTTTCCACCAGAAACTCCCTCGAACCCCTTCCGAATCTCACTAGCGGTGGCGACATATCCCCGGTTGTTCAAAACCTTCTCCAGCATGACCTTGTGCAACTCCTCATCGGGATCGGCACAGGCATCAGATATGGTAGACACCACGTACTCTGCGTCGCACGCAGAAAGGGCAGTTCGCGTGACACACCCAGAAGTGCTGAATCCACAGAGGATGAGTGACTTGATGCCGCTCTGTTGCAGGAAGTCTTCAAGGCCAGGAGACTTGAGGGCGGAGACATAACCGGGTCGACGGGTGAAGGTGACTTCGTCACCGGCGTCTTCGAGCAGCTCGGGGCATTCTGCGGCACCATCTTGATCCATGGCACTGACGATAGCAGACAAACGTGCAGCATCCTTGCAGGTTTCGAAAGGTGTAGCGTTGGTATCGATCAGGGCGTGAATGACTTTGATGCCCTTCGATTTGGCCCAAGCCTTCATTTCAGCGGCGACCTTGACAGCTGCGGCACCCTGGGCACCAGAAAACCGCTGCACGAACATGGAGTGAAAGTCCAGCAAGAATAGAGCCGTCTGGGATGGGCCATAATGGCCAGGCGCAGTTTTGTCCGCGGCGTCGAACATGGTTGTAAGGTTCCCAGTTGGTGTGATTTGACGAGGCAGGTTTTGAAGGAGTAGAAATTCCTGCGATGGGTTTGAGGTTTGAGGTATTTCTGTCTGAGGAAGTGGGGGAAAAGCTATGAAATGATCTGTTGTGACTACTATTTATGTGTGAGTAAGCCATCACACTGATGATTTTCGGAGTTAAGGGTGCCCCGCTGGTCGACCGTTATATGCCGTTACCTGCTGAAGCTTTCGTACCTAAGGGTGCCGAGTGTTGCGCACGGAGCAATGAAGAAATTTAAAGCTCTGAGAGCTATAGTCCCTAAGGCCTCGCAAATCTTGACAAGAGCGGTGGAAAAGAAGGAGCAAATGCGAAGGGAAAGGGCCCGAAGCGAGCTTCAACCTGTCTGCTTTAGGTATCGGACATCGATCGATAACGGGAATCCCGGCACCGGTGACTCTAGAAACCCACCCAGACTGTGTCTGATCTCTAGCATGACGAGTGCGCAACAGATCAACATCTTGAAGCAGTAATAATGACGGAAATAAATGCCTTCGAAGCTTTTAAGTCCGAACAAAGGAACCTGTCTGCACTTCAAATCGAAAATATGGACTGTTGGTCGAATGCCGGTACCGGGATACCAGCAACGGGACCGGACTCCGCGACTACTTTAACATCGGACTTTCTGACCCTCTCTCCAACACCCTAAAAAAAACCATCAGAAAGGCATCATCTGCTTTTTTGAATCTTTCAACTGCCATTATGAGCAGCGAAGAATCCAAAGCTGCTCATAATGGCCCTGCCACCCCTCAGTTCGAGGCGATTGATCCGAACTCGGGCACCGATCATCGCGATTTCTCGGTCTTCACTGTCGGCGAGAAGCGTGCAACCGTTGCAGTCGGCTCTTTGGCTGCATTTTTCTCCCCATTGTCCTCCAGCATCTATTTCCCCGCTCTCGACACCGTCGCAAAAGCTTTGGGCGTGTCAATTACCAAAGTGAACCTGACCGTGACAACGTATTTGGTGAGTGGATCGGCAGCTCTTGTTGATTATCCTGGCTAACCGTTGTCTCGATGGCATCAGATTCTGCAGGGAATTGCACCGATGTTGATTGCAGGTTTCTCCGACACTGCAGGTAGACGACCGGCATACATCATCTGTTTCACAATTTATCTCGCCGCCAACCTCGGTCTCGGCCTTCAAAACAGTTACGCGGCTCTGCTGGTGTTGAGATGCATTCAGAGTGCAGGAAGCAGTGGCACCGTGGCACTGGCAAATGGCTTGGTGGGAGACATGGTCACCTCTGCCGAACGAGGCTCCTATATTGCTTTTGCTTCCCTGGGAGGAATGCTGGGCCCTTCGCTCTCACCCATCATCGGCGGTCTGATCAGCCAGTACCTTGATTGGCACTGGCTGTTCTGGTTCTTGCTGATTTTATCTGGTGTTTTTTTCCCTGTTTCTCTTTCTTTTCTTACCAGAGACGTGCCGTAACGTTGTCGGCGATGGGTCAATTCCACCTCCACCGATGATGTCCTCGGTCACCGACTATATTCGTCATCGACGGCGCAAAAGGAGAGGCGAATCCGCGACCCCGGAAGAAATCGCCGAAGTACGAAAGAACCACGCCTTTCGTTTCCCGTCTCCCCTCCCCACCTTGAAAGTCGTAACCGACCTGGAGACCGGGGCAATCTTGCTCGTCACGGGCTTGATGTATGCCGGCTTTTACGCCGTCATGACCGGAGCCACATCATCGTTCCACGACGTCTACCATTTTAACAACATCCAGACTGCACTGATGTATCTACCTCTCGGCATCGGGGGGATCTGTTCTGCTTTCACAACCGGACGTTTGGTGGATTGGAATTATCGTCGTCACGCCAAGCGGGCCGGGATTCCAGTGGTGCGAAGCAGGGCGCAAAATCTCAACAACTTTAATATCGAGAAAGCCAGACTCGAAATCGCGTTGCCCTCGTACTACCTGAGCACGTTGTGCATGGTCGCTTATGGGTGGGTCATGGGTCGCCAGGTCAATCTGGCCGCTCCGGTGATTCTTTTGTTTATCAGTGGATGGTCTCTCAACGCCACCTCGCAAGTGTTAAATGCTCTGATGGTGGATATTTGGCCAGGGCGGTCAGCTGCGGCGACTGCGGCCAACAACCTGATGCGCTGTGAGCTCGGTGCTGCGGCATCCGCTGCGATCAATCCAATGCAAGAGACCATGGGCTGGGGCTGGGCATACACGACTCTGGGTTTGATCTCGGTTGCCGCGTCGCCGATCTTGTGGCTCATGATGCGCTATGGAATCAAATGGCGGCAGAGGCGAGCGCGGAAGGAAAATGTGCGTGAAGCCAAGTGAGCTTTAGTGTCTGCAATAGCTAGTAGTCAGATCGACTCTCCGTGATGATATTCATTATCCATACAGCTTCGAATAAAGTACCTTCATTTTGTCCCTTTTCCAAAAAAGAAAAGAAAAGTCTCTAGAATATTAGAGGGCGGGGTAGCTCAATATTCCAATTCCGCTCGAGGGGGCACAGATTCAGCCTAAGAAGGGTCAAGCTTATGCGGGACATGCGATGTTGACGCGTGGATCAGCGTAGACTGCGTGTATTTTCCGACCCCTGACCCAAACTTCTCAAGTTTGGTCGCAACGGAGCGGTGTATAGAGGGCGAGTGGGGGCAGAATGGGAACTTACTCCTCACTTGTGTCATCGACCCCACTTGGTCTGTTTGGCGGCAAAATGGATGGGCTCTCTACGTCCTGCTGGATTTACATCGCCAAGCTCTTGTTGTTATGCTTGGTATGCTTGGCGATAAGAGGCCGGCCATGATGAAGACGATATGCCAATGATGCCTTCGTACGCCTCTCCTTACCCCACCTGAAGCGAGGACCGGCTTCATTGGATATTCTATCCGTGGCCGAAGTAAACGTAATCTCCTAATCTCCTGTGCGCCAATCGTGCCGCTGCCCCGCCACCAGTTGTATCACAGCTACAGGGTGGAGCATCCACATGTCGACAGCTCCATGCTTACCTGGGACATGGGCGGGTGGGCGACCGACACAAGCCACGTAGTCGGGTCTCCGTTTGTTCCACCGAGGGGTAGTTATATTAACCCCTCCCCTCCTGCCCCTCTTCATCTCCTTTCTCATCCACAACTTTCTTCAATTCATCACCTTATCACAAAACATCTATCAAAATGGGTTGGTTCAGCGGTATGTGGCTCATAGTGTGACCCTCTCCGGTGATCTCCTTGCTGACGCTTTCTTTTCGAACAGACGATTCGGACCAGAGCCGCGCCTACGACGACTACAACCAGGGCGGCGTTAGCCAAGAGCACGATCCATCTTTCGCGCACGAGCTGATTGCCGGCGCTGCTTCCTACGAGGCCGCCAAGGCTTACGAGAACCACTGTCAAGAGAACGGTAAGGACTTGAACCCGTAGACCCCGGTCTACCTGTACACATGGAGACAACATAAAGCTAACGTATTGCTTTTCAATGACTAGGCCAGCCCGCAAGCCACGCTGAGGCCAAGGAGCTCATGTCTGGCTTTGCCGGTGCCTTCATCGACCGTGAGGTCGAGACCAAGGGTCTGGACTTCATCGACCGTGAGAGGGCCAAGCGTCAGGCCGAGCAGCACATCGACAACGTCGATCCCGACCAGTTTAACTACTAAGTAGCTAAAGGTGGATGAGTCGGTAGACACATGTGATCGCTAAGCCCCAATTCGAAATGAAGGCATGACCTGCGTCTAGCAAATTTAGTTCCATTCCTGCCGTAGATCATAGTAGTCGGTCGAAACCAAGAAGCTATCACCATGTTCTGCTCAGCCGGTCCTAAAATAACGTCACTTGTTCAATAATAATTCTGGTGCCTCGATGCAAATCCCAGTGCTCCACTTGAACCTGCCGAGTGCCGCAGCTCGCAGCTTAGCCGACAACGATCAACTCGAGATTTGGACTTGGGAGCCACTTAGAAATAGCACGTTGCTAATTTAAAAAAAGCCTCCATTCTGCGCGATTTCAGGTTATCCTGGCGCCCGAATGTCTCCCTAGCGTGTATCGTGACTTCAAGGTGGGAGCCCATGAAGGTCCTGCGCTTCTCCAATTTGATCCCCGCCATCCATTCACGGTTCGTCCTTCTGTCTTCCAGCTTCCCACATGGACTCTTATCTTGATCTGTATCTGCGGATCAATTCATCCCTCAGTGAGCCCCATGATTCAGAGCAATTATGAAGGGTGTGTACACGCAAGACTTTCGGTCAGCCCGTGAGGGTCGGCGTCATCGTGATTTTCAAGCGATCAAAAGCGCGCAACTCTATGTCAACATCTTCATGTCTTCAGAATCTCCGTAATCTCACCCAGTGAATAAGTTTACTAACCAAGTTATTCTTGACGAGGCTCACCAATCACCGGTGGATAATTTGACCTCACAATGCCGCTCGAAAAGAAACAACGTAAAAGCCGATCTGCGCCGCGTCTGCAGCGGCAGATCTTCACATGCGGCGCTCATGCGAGTCGTCCCAAGTCGCCATGCATATGAGAGGCGAGCAAAGATAGCTGCACATTCTTGCAGTTTGAATTATCTTGAATGCACGTTGCTTCATATGGCCCCGGGAAAAGACTCAGGGATCGCTAAACAAGACAGAAACCAAATATGTTTCTCATTCCCTATACGCCAAAGAAGAGAGAAGGTTCTGTCGCCACCAAGGGGCCGGATCCACTCACTGTATGCGCAGGATCCATTATCACTTAACCGGATCAAAAAGCCTCATAGCTCGTCAACGCTATCCACGTCGCAGGCCCATTATTATCACAAAGAACGAGGTCCTGCCCACGGCACTCTATCAGCTCAACTACTGTTCCTCGGAAAATATTCTGAGTTAATACCGACTGTACAGGTTGGGGGATCCCATTGGGAGAAAGGCCTACACCATGACGTTTAGACTGGGCGGCATACATGCAAGATAAGTGGGGCGGTCTTGCGCACCGGCGACCATCTCTCATTCCTGCTCAGATGGATGAAGATAAAAAGACAGTTAATATTATAGCCTAAGCATCCATATGGTAGGGTAAAGCCATAAAATTTCAAATGGTCGTGGTATAGTAAGAGAGAAAATCGTCAAGGTTTTGAGGCCGGGTGTAGGAGTACCCATGCAAGCAGCATTGAGGCCACCGATAAATATGCCGCCAATAGGTGCTGGAGCTCTTCCATGACTTTGAAAATCTCTTTTACAGGCTTTAAAAACATTCTGTCTGAATCATACGGTCTCTGTAGATAGTAAACGGAAATGTCGGCTCGAGCCGCCTTGCCGAATCGGGAGCCCGACTCAAGGGAGATGCGCCACAGATGTTTTTTGTACTTCGTTCTCTACACTCCCAATCCTCAAATCCTCAAATCATGACGACTATTCTTGCTTCGTGTAAGCAGACGCGATTTCACCTACTGGATGATAATCCTTCATCCGAGGTATGTGCGCTTCGAAGAACCGAGACAATCGCTAATCTAGTGTAGGTTGACGTGGATGGACTCGGCATTGTCGTCACTTCGTCCGCACCCGCTGAAGATGTGAACAAATTTAAAGTCAAGGGGAAGTCCAAGGCCAAGGCAGAAGGAAGAGAGCTCATCTCAGATGGCCACCTTCGTTTGAAAGGAGGAATCCATTATGGGTTGCTGGGTCGCAACGGCACTGGCAAGTCGAGTAAGAAGACCGATCGTGCGAGAACATGAACTACCATTGACGCTTTATCCTACAGCACTACTCAGGGCGATGGCTGAAAAGCTTATTCCCGGTATATCCCATGCCACTCGCATTGCCATCTTGCAGCAGACAGACGAGGAAGACGGACCAGGTGGCAATGCATCGTTGAAACTGGGAATGTCCGTCCTTGAATCCGTGCTCAGCAGCGACGAGGCCAGGAATGAAGCTGTTCGTATGGCAGACTGTGAGTACCAGGCCTCGATGATAATTGTCCATTCTGACTAATTTGTGGCCAGTCCTCTCAAAAAGCTTCGAGACAGAAAATCCACTGGAACCGGTCAAGGCTATTCGCAAGATTAGGTACCAGCATGCCGAGAAGATGCTGTTTCTGGCTCACAAGAATGCCAACTTGAAAAGTGGTGCCAGAGGTCTTCAAGCCAGAAAACTTTTGAAGGAAGCTGAAGCAAAGCTGGAATCTACACAGGAAATGTAAGGAGCAGATACTTAAAGTTGAATGCGTCTCTAATTGTGAAAAGGGTTGCCCAAGAGCCAGATTCGATCGATGCCGATGTGATCCAAACGGACACGCAAGAGGCAGTTGAAATGCTCCAGAACCTACAATCTCAACTTGAGCAAGTCAGTGCCGTGATTCATACGTCTACCGTTCAGTCGACTGACACAACTAGATGAACCTCGCCGATATGGAAAAAGAGGCGCGTCGCATTCTACTCGGTCTGGGATTCACAGAAGACGCTTTCGGGAAAAAGGTGTCGACGCTGTCAGGCGGTTGGCGAATGCGATGCATGCTTGCTAGTATTCTGATTCAAAAGCCCGACATTATGATTCTTGACGAGCCTACCAATTTCCTCGATCTTCTGGGAGTCGTGTGGCTTGAAAACTATCTCCAGCGGTTACGTGAAGATTCCGAAACAACGATCGTTCTCGTTTCCCATGACCGAGACTTCATCAACGCCGTCTGTGAAGAAATCGTCATCCTCCGAGATCAAAAGCTGAACTACTTCCGCGGCAACCTCGCCGCCTACGAACAAAACTTCGAAGAGCAGAAGCTTTACCTGGGACGCATGAAGGAAGCACAGGAGCGGCAAATCGCCCACATGGAAGCGAGTATCCAGCAGAACCTGAAGATCGGCAAGAAGACCAACGACGAAAACAAGCTACGGCAAGCCAAGTCTCGCCAGAAGAAGGTCGATGATCGGATGGGTCTGCAGGTCAGTGCGACCGGGGGCCGATTCAAACTCAATCGCGACCGGGTCGGATATCACCTGTCCTCTCGAGCGGAGATTGAAGTGCCGACGGATGAAAAGGGCGCGACGATGAGTCTCCCGGCTGCCACTGAGCTGCGTTTTCCGGGGCCGCTGGTGTCTCTGGAGGGTATTACTTTCAAGTACAAGAAGGATGACCGGGTGGTTCTGGACGATATCAATCTTGTAGTTCATATCGGTGATCGCGTGGGGATTATGGGCCTTAACGGATCTGGCAAGACTACGCTCATTCGTGTTTTGAATGGCCAAACCCCTCCGACCAAGGGCAAGGTCTCGACTCACTCACGGCTAAAAGTGGGTTACTACGGTCAACATTCGGTCGAGGAGCTGCAGGAGCGTGGCGGGGGAGAACCCGGCCTGACTGCCCTGGGTCTATTGATGGCCGAGTCCGAAGGGTCACTAAAAGAAGGCGAGGTGCGAGGCTTGCTAGCATCCATGGGCCTGCAGGGACGCATTGCCTCGGACGTTCCAGTAGCGAAGTTGTCAGGAGGGCAGCTGGTCCGCCTGGCACTGGCACGAATCGTCTGGAGCGCACCTCAGCTCTTGATCCTGGATGAAATTACCACCCATCTGGACTTCCACACCGTGACTGCGCTAGCCACGGCTCTTTCTTCGTTCAACGGAGCCATTATCCTCGTCTCACACGACCGATTCTTGGTTCGGACGGTAATCGAAGGCAAACGCGATACAGAGCACAAATTGGATGAGGATTTCGAGGGCTTGGAAGAGGAAGAGGAAGAGGAAACGAAGAGTCGCCGCCGTTCGGTGTATGTACTCAAGGCGGGCAAGTTGAATGAGCAGACGAAGGGGGTAGAGCAGTTTGAGCAGAGTCTAGTGAAACGGGTGCAGAAGATGCTAGTCGCGTAGCTATACAATTACATAGCATTTAATCTTCGTGATTATACAGTTGCTCTCCCTGGCTGTGAATGGATGAATATTCCGAGGCTAATTTGTTGATTTATTGATTTGCTGATTTGCTGATTCGCCCCCGCGTTCACCGAGTCTTCGAGTCAGCGGCGACTACCGACGTCAAGCGGGCGAGTAAGTCCACGCGATAAGATTCCGTGGCGCCCCTCATCTCTTGTTCCACTCCGGGTTTATTTTTATTACAACACCTGCCATGTCTCTCCGAACTTCCTAAAACTTTCCAACTTGCTGGTATGCTGTGCAAGCGAGTCCTGTCGCACTCCAGGCGGCTCCCCGTCTGGGGATACCGGGGTCTTCCCAAACAGACCCGGTTGCAGAGCACATCCAGAACGAACCCCGCCTCGACCAACATCGATCCGCCTGAAGCTTTCTCTCGACTCTCCGCCCTCAAATCCGCAAAACCTTTCTCCGAGTTCCTCACCGATTCCTTCAACCGCCAGCATGACTACCTGCGCATTAGCGTTACGGAGCGGTGTAACCTGCGGTGCCTCTACTGCATGCCCGAGGAAGGGATAGAGCTCTCCCCGCAGCCCCGCCTGCTGACCTCCCCGGAGATCGTCTACCTATCATCTCTCTTCGTTTCTCAGGGGGTAAACAAGATCCGTTTGACGGGTGGGGAGCCGACCGTCCGCAAGGATATCGTACCCTTGATGCAGGACATCGGCAAGCTGCGCCGGAACGGACTACGTGAGCTTTGCCTGACCACCAACGGGATCTCGCTGCATCGCAAACTCGACGCGATGGTCGAGGCCGGGCTGACGGGGGTGAATCTCAGTCTGGACACGCTGGACCCGTTCCAGTTCCAGATCATGACCCGGCGCAAAGGGTTCGACGCGGTGATGAAGAGCATCCATCAGATTCTGGAAATGAACAAGGTCGGTGCCGGCATCAAGCTGAAGATCAACTGCGTCGTGATGCGGGGCATGAACGATCGCGAAATCCTGCCGTTTGTCGAGATGGGCCGCGAACAGCCGATCGAGGTGCGGTTCATCGAGTACATGCCCTTTGATGGGAATAAGTGGAATCAGGGCAAAATGTTCCCCTACCAGGAGATGCTAGCCGTTATCCGAGAGAAATATCCCACGCTGGAGAAGGTGACCGACCATAAGAACGATACCAGCAAGACGTATCGCGTGCCCGGCTTCGAGGGTCGGGTCGGGTTCATCACCAGCATGACGCATAATTTCTGTGGCTCCTGCAATCGCCTGCGCATTACCAGCGACGGCAACTTGAAAGTATGCCTGTTTGGCAATGCGGAGGTATCACTGCGTGATATCATCCGCAAAGAGAACGATGGACAGCCCATTGACTTGGAAGCTCTGCAGAGGCTCGGGCTATTGGAGACTGTACAGAGTGCAGCTCGCCTCAGCGACGAGGGCGGGCTAATCAATGAACGGGAACGTGAGATTCTCGATATCATCGGCATGGCCGTCAAGCGCAAGAAGGAGAAACACGCGGGCATGGGACAATTGGAGAACATGAAGAACCGGCCCATGATCTTGATCGGTGGGTAGCCTAATCTTCCTTTATGACTGGCACGATTTACGACTTTTACTTGTCCGTGGGTGGATGGTCATTTGCATTTCGGCGCCCTGTATTTATGAAATTCATGGTTTTGAGTTTTGATTTTTTTTTTTTTCTTTCCGTGCTGATGGCCAAATAGATAGAGAGCCATCTCCGACACCCCATAGGCCCCGGGCAGTATCTTGGACTTCTCATTCTCCTTGGTCGAGGATGCCCCTGCATCTACTTCCACTCAATGGTTTAAGCCGAGCGCGTCTATACCACAGCGGACGTCCTAGCTCCAAGCCCGAAGCGTCAGAGAAGCAAGACAAGCAGAAGACTCACTCCCTCCCAACTGCATCCGACCCCGACCTCCCACACCTCACCCCATCCCAAACCGTACACATGACGCAAATCACCTCAAAACCGGAAACGAAACGACTCGCAACAACGGCCTGCCACGTTTCCTTCTCCAATGCGCGACCATGGGAGCTCCTCCGAAAAGGACAGGGCACACACAAAGGCGACGTATTCAGCGTCGCTCGCATCGCCGGCATTATGGCTGCCAAACGAACCCCCGACCTGATCCCCTTGTGTCATCCAGGAATCGGCATCACGGGTGTGGAGGTGAGCGTGGAGCTGGTCGGACCCGACGAGAATAATCCAGATGATCATGGCGCTATGGAGATTGTTGCAACGGTTGGCTGTTTCGGACGGACAGGGGTGGAGATGGAGGCCATGACGGCGACTGCTGGGGCGGCGTTGACGGTGTATGATATGCTCAAGGCAGTTGATAAGGGGATGGTCATTGGGGGAGTGCGACTATTAGAGAAGCAGGGTGGGAAGAGTGGACATTGGACGAGGGAAAACATGTAGAACGTCCCAAACTAATAGCTCCCGTTAGATGTGAAGGATGAACAGATTCATGTCCTCACCGTACCTTCCATGATCTGTTTTCTCCCTTTCTCCGTTCTGTTTCCACCACAGCGCACGCCTGACCTGATCAGGTTTGGTACAGTGAGATTTTAGAATGGGCCGAGGAAGAAGACGCTGCGCTTAGGAGAGACCGCTGCGGACACGAGCTTGAGCCCAAGATCGCATGTCTGTTGGGTTTAGTTTGGTCTGAACGCATACCCGTTGGTTTTGCTTTGCTTTACTTTGCATATCGAGAGTTGTATTTTACAAAGTATACGATTGCAATTTTCTGGAGCCCATATGATTGTGTAGTAGATTAAAATTGGCATTAGAGCCAATAATTTCTCAATTGACTGAACATAGTACGGAAAATTCCGCCGATGGACGATTTCCGGGGGATCTCTACCACCATCCTGCGTTATTTGGCATGGCGTCGATCAATACCAATGTCTCTACTCTGTAGAAATATTTCAAATTTCGCAGGTCTTAGTACTTGCCATTGGCATCAGTAGCCAGCTCAGGGTCACTCCTAGAAGTTCGTAAGACGATGAACATTTATCACAATAGCAACATCGTAACTTACTGTCTGTGTGCGCGAGCAAAAAGACCACTCAAATCTCCAACGGGCAAAGAAAGAGGAAATCCAACCGAGTCAAGCAGCTGAGCAGTCAACAGGTAGAAACCGAACATAGTGGCCGCGAATAGCGCAGCACCGGCACCCTAGAATCTCCAGTCAGATATGTCGAAGGGACACTGGTCGGAACTCGAAACTTACAACTGTCAAGCGGTTACCCATCGCCTCATTTCCCTCGCCCAGTTTCCAGTAAGCGGCGGCCAGGAGCGCGAATACGATCAGCAGGCACGCGAAGATCAGGAAGAATGGCAGATTTGTGCGGGATGCGCAGACGATATAGATCACCATTAAGACCGCCATGAATAGGAAGAAGAATGCTACCAGAACGAGGTTAAGGATTGGAAAGGAGGAAAAAGAGGGAGTACGTACCGAAGGTGTTTACAAATTCGGCACTATGAAGACCTGCCAATGTATTGGTTCCATCCGGGGAGTAGGGAGCTGCAGAGTTGAATGCCGGAGTCATGCTAGCACCAAAGGCCAAGCAGAATGCACCTAAGCCGACTTACTCAGATGTTCTGTTTTTGGTTTTTGGTGACTTGAAGACCACTTACCCAAGTGACCGAACACAATGGAAGGAAATGTGTTTCCAAGAATGAATTCCAGAATACCAGCGATGACTAGCAAAAGTCCACCGAACAAGATCAAAACCCCACTGTTCCTGGTTAGTCGATGATCCTCTCGGCCACTAGAAATTCATACCTGAAGGCAGCACCACCGCCACCGGCACCTCTCCAGGCCATCAAGCAACACGCGAGTGGCGCAGCCGTAAGCACGAAAGCTCCAAGTCCCCTAGTTCCGTTAACACGCTATACTCGTTCTCAAGGCTATCGAGATCAAAGCATACAGAGGAGTAGGATTGCCGAGATTCTTGGCCAGAGCCGGCTGGCGATGCATCATAGGGCTCAGGTAGAGCTTCTCGAACTGCTCAGCCGAGAGCGTTACCGAGGTAGGGACTTGTGTGAGAGCCGGCATGGCTCCAGGTTCGCCGTGTGAAGTATTGGAATCGTCACGGAGGATCTGGTCGTGTCCCTTCATTGTGAAAGTATCAAGAAAGAGTAGAATAAAAACCAATTAAACAGAAATACGTTCTCGATTCAATTCAAATGAGCTCAGGAGCCCGACTTTATAGCTACGCAGCAACCCCGGATTTGATAACTCATGGCTTTCAACCCCGGGGAAACTGGAGAAAGCTACAACTCAAATTCCCCATCGGAAGCGTTTCCGACACAATCAATGAGTGAAAAGGGCATCGGAAGCTACGTCGGCATAGAAAGAAGATCTCCGCATTATTCTGGGGAAAACCGGGGTAGAACAAGGTTTCAACAAGGTTCCAGACCCACCGTATCTCACGAACTCCCTCCCAATAATAAGAGTACGCTCTCGGACACGGATTGCAGGCTTACTCGTGGTCTCCTTTTTAGATCTGTCGATCGTATGGCATCCATAGGCCCGGCGAGGTCTATAGCTCCCCGAGAAATCTGCCGAAGGTGACACCAAACCCCGAGTTCGTCTTCCGTCTCGCTTGGATCGTCCAGTTGGGCCAATGAAACGCCCTTGGAGTCTGACGATGCTAAATCCCCGACGGAGCTAAGTCCCCGGATCCTCAACCTATTGGCTTGGCTACGATCTATTAACTCTTTCTATACTTTGTTGAATGTGCTATGATGGCGAGGGCTGATATAGTGGGATCCCGGTTCCGCAGTCTGGGGTATTGAACTGGATGAACACATGGGAATTGATGGTTGGTATTCCAGGCTTGTTTTGACTGGCAGGAACTTTGGTGATGACCATGCCCAGGTGAGTGAAGCCGAGATCAGAGACCGAGCCCTGCCGGAAGATCTTGGTGTATGATCGAAGGACCAAACGGGCTACAGTCTACCTTAGAGATCTAATATACTGAAGTATTATAGAAGGTGTGTCTTCAAAAACGCCAAATTCTTTTGATGCGGATTCCGATGTACCTAAAATAGTTTAAACAGAAGAAAATTTACACAAGGGGACTACTCGTCCTCCATCTCAACCTCATCCTCGTCCTCGTCTTCCTCTTCCTCCTCAATCTCGCTCTCCAGCTCCTCCTCTCCCTCCTCATCGTCGCTACCGTCATCGCTGCCGAATTCATTCATCAATTCATCGCCGCCATTCTTCGCCTCGGCCCTCCGCTTCTCCTCTTCGAGGCGGCCTTCCTCCAGAATAGCAGCACGTTCCTCTCGCAACTTGCGCTGAGTCTTAACGAAAGCGCCAAGAGGGGTAGACTCCCATTCGACACCCTTGAGGAAGGTATCAACCTCTGTGCGGTTGCGCGGTGTGTAGGTGACATTCAAGCGACGCTCCTCGATCCAGTGGGCATTAGCCTCGACCTTCTGCACGACCAACATGATCATCTGGTTGATCTTGCCGTTTTTGTTGCCGCCGTTGCGAGCAGAAACCTGCTTCAACCAGCGCTTGAGAGCGACGACGACGGGAACAGAGAGTTCGGGGAAAGCGATGTGCTTGGACCACAGAACGAAGAACTCGGACAGGAGCTCGGCGACCTGCTCACCGACGCCGTCTTGGTAGGTGCGCGAACGCAGGTAGGACTTGGGCGCGCGGATGGCCGTGTTGAACTCGAGGGGCTTGAGGGTGCTGGACCTGGGAGCTTTGCGCATCTCAGCAGAGGTGAGGACCTCCAGGAGAGAGGCTCCGAGGGGAATGTAGGTGCCCGTTGCGCGGGAGATACGCAGGAGAGCACGGGTCATCTGGAAGCGGAGAGGGAAGTACTGTGCGGTCGGGATGAGGCGCATGGCACCCAGGGTGATCTGGACAACGGGGTAGATGAGAGGGCGCAGAGCGGACTGCTTGCCGGCCTTGGCTTCAACGAGCCCGTCGCAGTGCTGAGAGAGCACGCGCGACCAAAAGTCGAGCGAGTGCACGTATTGCCAGTTGTAGATGGTCTTGTAGGACTCCTTAGTGGTGTTGGTGATGCTTTTGCGCAAGTGCATGGCCAATTGGCGGATGAATCCAAAGCCGGTAGTGTAGGACACATTCTGGTCGATGCCCCAGATCTCTGCGGCCGAGTTCTTCATCAGGTTCACGCCGGCCAAGGTGTGCACGGTGGTGTTGCGGCTGCCCTTGACCACGCCCTCGTATGTCGCCTTGAGGACGGTTTCCTTGATGCCAGCGTCGCCCATAACCATGAGGCGACGCAGCAGAAGGAAAGCGGTAATCCGAGTGGTATCAGCGTTGGCGACGTCGGCCCAAATTCCGACAATGGTCTTGATGAGTGTCTTCAGGACTTTGCGGAACTGGAGGAGATAAGGCAGCATGGGCTCCATGGCGGCCAGCGTCAGCTTAAGAGTCGATGCATCCGACAGGTTCATCAGAAGCTGGTGGACTGAAGAAGTATAAGACTTGATCAACGGCGTGAGTGTCTTGAACTTCTTCGAATCCATTGACACCCTGACCTTGCCAGCGGCGGTCTCCTTGACCGGGAGATGGTGTCCCAGGACCTTAGGAACAACATTCAGGGCAGTGACGAGCACCTGGTGGTAGACCTCCGGGTCCGAGATAATGTATTTCTGCTCTGGAGGGCTGGCCTCGTGAACATAGGCAGCAGCGCGGAAAGCCAGGACGGTCTGGCGCATAGCACGGACGGAGTGCTGCTCTTCCATCAAGGTCTGCCACTTCTTGACCATCGGGATCGTCAAAGTAGTGCTCTGGTACTCCTCTTCTTCCTGGGCCTTCTTCTTTTTCTTCTTCGCGGGGCCCTCCTCCTCCTCGGCGGCCTCACCCTCACTCAGCTCGTCGACCTCCGACAAGTCGCCCTGGTCGCCGAAATCGAGCAGCTCGGCATCGTTCTCCTTCAGGTATTTGTAGAACTCGGGATCCTTCTCCTTCAATGCCTCGAGCTGGTCCTTGTGCTCGTCAAAGGCATCGGCCTCGTCGTCGTCGCTGGCAGCATCCTCGCCGGCCTCCGAGCCAGAGCCAGAAGCCTCATCTTCCTGCGCCTGGTCTGCAGAGCGCTTGCGCTTGCCGATTTTGGGAGTAACGTCCTTTTTGCTCGCCTTCTTCTTGCCGCTGGCTTCTTCCGGGATGTCGAAACCACCGGCGAAGAAGTCATCGACATTCATCTCGGCAAAGGCATTCTTCTTCTTGTCCTCCTCAGGGTTCGGCTCGGTCGCATCTTCGGCATCGCGGCGGCTGGCACTCTTGGCCTTGCGCTTCTCGTTCACTTGGTGGCGCTGTTTGATCTTTGCGCCCTCCTTGCGGCGTTCGAGAATATCCTTGAGATGTTTCTTCTCGAACTTCTTCGTTGACTTTTTCATTCCACCCATTGTGACGGTTTGGGTGCAGACAGTGAGCTTACAGACTGCGGTCAACGGGCTGCGAGAAAAAAAAATTGGCTCGGGGAAAATAGCGGGTCCGCCTCCGCGACCGCCTTTGGAGCTGCCGATAAGGACAAAAGGCCGTTCGCTCCGTTCTACTTAGATTGGCGTCTTTTGCTTTCTTTGATCGTCTTTCATTCAAAATGTACGCTCCGCGTCCGCTGTCGTATGCTCCCACTCCATACAGCTATACACCAAACCCCGCACGGTCGGCCTCAATCAACCTCGACGAAGTACGCTCGGTGGCATCAAACGCGGGGCCCTCATGCTAATATGCTCTAGGAAGTGAAACTAGTCTCCAGCTCAGGGGAACGTGATCTATACGAGTCGCTCGCCGAAATCTACAGCATTATCGTCACGCTCGATGGCCTCGAGAAGGCGTACATCAAGGACGTGGTCACTGAGGCGGAGTACACCGAGACATGCACGCGGCTCCTGAAGCAGTACAAGTCGAGTCTGGGAGATGAGTCTGTGTCTCGGGAATTCGTGGATCTAGAAACATTCAAGCGCACATGGGGTGTAAGTTTGCCTGCGACACTCGCTTTCTGTGTCTAATCCAATCCCAGCTGGAGTGTCCCCGCGCAACCGAACGACTGCGCATCGGTCTTCCTGCGACTGTCGAGCAGGCCTCACATGGCGCACCTGCAGCCAATAATGCGGCATCTGGAGGTGGTGGTGGCGGCGGCGCATCGGGCAGTCTTATCCTCGCAGCGACCGAGAACTTCATCACCTTCCTCGACGCATTAAAACTGAACATGTTGTCGAAAGATGCGCTGCACCCTCTACTCTCTGAAGTGATTCAATCCGTCAATAAAGTCACGGATGGAGACTTTGATAACCGCGGCAAGATCATTCAATGGTTGATTGCATTGAATCAGATGCGAGCGACGGAGGAGCTGAGTGAGGATCAGGCTCGGGAGCTATCATTCGATATCGACCAGGCCTACCAGGGCTTCAAAGCGACTCTGAACTAAACTGCATCGGCACGGCGTTTGCTATGGGCTATTAAATTATGCGATCAACGAAGATACCACTTAGTTGATGCCTCGAAGCATCTCAATTGCTGTTTTCTGTATAGATGATGCATACATGATTCACGAGTCTCCTTTTTTCTGTTTATTTTCGCCGCGAATGAATAAAATCGACTCTCTACAACAGCTGTCTCTTATAAGCCCGTTTGAGTACTCCAGTCTCCAGTTGATTGGATCGGTTCCTGAACTACTGCCTGAATCTTCAGGCAATCTCACGATCCGCGGAACCGGCGACGGCCTTTCCTCTTTGGGTTTTTTCTTTTTTTCCAGTGGCGCGTGGCGGTCTACGGGGGTTCCGGCAAAGACCCTCAATTGTACCCCGACGGTGGTGCTGATTTCTCGTGCGCCTGTTCTTCGGGAGCCGGTTGTTCACCATGATCAGCACCAATGATGAGCCGCTGCACGGTGAGTACATCATCTATACAATCCCTCAACTAGATAGTGGAACTGGGAACTGATAAGGAGTTCTGCCAGTGCTCGACCTGCCCCAGATATATACGAAGCCCTCCGGCACCGATCTCATCAAGGCCTTGGCTTTGCTGGCTCTAAAGCCTCGCACATTCGGAACCACTGCGGATGTAGTCAAGGGTCCGGCAGTGCAGCCGGCCGGGTTGACTCGGTATCTCACCTCGATTATCGCAAGTCCGCTATTATGGCTTGACACGGAGGAGTTGCGGGAGGCCGTCTGGGATGCCGCTGCAGCTCGTCTCAGTGAGAGGTCTGGCCGTGCCGGTAAGACTGCTACTATCCTTTTTTTATATGTCTAGTTGACACTCTGCCCCTAGCAATGCCTGCCATGTCGCGCATTTTCAGTGTGCCTACCTCCTCCGGCGAAGACTACACCCTCACCTTGCACGAACCATCCATCACCGCGGATAATCTCGGCATGAAGACCTGGGTCTCGTCTTACCTTCTCTCCCGCCGACTGCACGGCCTCCTCGAGTCTCCACCGGAACTCGTGCCATCGGGACCAACTGAGCCTTCAGCCAAGTCCGACACGAACAAACAACTGCGGGCGCTCGAGCTCGGATCTGGTACGGGGCTGGTCGGTCTGGCATTCGCCGCTCTCCAGGGAAAGTCGGCTGCCGTTCACCTGACCGATCTCCCGGACATCGTACCAAACCTCGCCCATAACGTTGCGCTGAATGTCGAGCTCCTTACCACCACGGAAGCAACGGTGACAACAGACGTGCTGGACTGGTCCGTGACACCGACTCCACTGCCTTCGGCACTGGAGCGCTTTGACGTGATCCTGGCTGCGGACCCGTTATATTCGCCCAAGCACCCGAAGTGGCTCGTAGACACAATCGGAGTATGGCTGAGCCGGGGGCTGGACGCACGTGTTGTGATGGAAATGCCGCTGCGCGATGCGTATCTACCACAGAGACAAGAGTTACGCCGGCGAATGGCCGAACTAGGCCTGGCACCGATCCAGGAAGGCGAAGAGACTGGATACGACGACTGGGAGAGCGCGGGTGGCGAGGCACTAGCTGTGAAGTGCTGGTGGTCCATTTGGGGATGGAGCGAGAAGATCTAACCGACTAGATCTCCGGCGCATCTTTTATCTCTTTTTTTTTCCCCCAAACTTCAAGCGACTCCCAAGCCGGGATACGCTCACGCACACGTCGCATTGCCAGATGGCGGCATGAGACACGACTAAACGATACACGATAGAATCGCATTTTAGAAATAGATGATCAATACACACTCAAATTCGAATGGTCAATGTATTTGAAGCATGACGAACTCAGTGGACACTGAAGAGTATGGAGAGATGTGCGCAGAATAATCGAGACCCATCACGTGGGGAAATGACGTCGGTGTCAAGCATCCAAAAAATACCTGGACCGCGACTCATCCACTACTCAACTTGTTCCACAATTAAAAACCTAGAGTCTGATCGCCGACCTGATTTCGTGGCGCACCTCATGATCTCACTCTTATATCTCTGGTCGACTACTCTATCGCCGGGGTGAAATGCATAACCCGCGAGAGTACCCATGAATCGCAAGTCGCCATAAGCTCCAAACACCGGAGACACCTTTTCACGAAAAACGACCGCCGAAGCCAATTTGGCTACATATACTCGCCAAAGTATATAAATTCCCACGCACCAGCATGGTGATCGGACTCTTGACGCTTGCGTCTATCCCCTCCGTCACAGGTGTGGCGTTCGGGGTCAGCGAGCAGCGCAAGTCGAACCAGCGCAAGGAAGATGCGCGGCGGATGGTCAAGTTCAACATGGACGCCCAGTGCAGCGGGGAGACGGACGATGACCGCGATGTACATGGGCGGAGGGTAGTTGTGCGAAACGAGAAGGTCAGGACTGAGACCTCTCAAGAAGGAACTTGCAAACTGACAATTCCCGAACAGGTCTACCTCGACGATCCAAACCCTACAAAACGACTTCATCCTGCGTTTACATCCTTGGCCTTCTACATCGAGTACCCCGAGCTCGAAGAAACTAAGCACCTGGACCGCGGTCTAGGTCTTCCGACATACGTACAGGCCAATCCACCTCTGTTGAATTGGATTTACGCGGACAAAGACACGTATGAGTTGAAATACGGGAACCGCACACAGAGCGTGGAACACCTTGTCGGGCCTTGGGACTGGACGGAGGACGAGAAGACGATTCTGCTGGAGGGGAAGAATGCGTTTGTGGCAGTTGAAGAAGAGGAAGGGGAATGGGCGCTATATTTTGATCGCGATGGGGATGATCTGGCGCGTGTCTTGGAGGAGCAGGACATGTTGGATAATGCCTTTGTCCCTGTGAGTCTTGTTAGGCGGGTTGCTGAGGAGCCGCCTGCTCCTAAACCGGCAGAGGGTCAGGGCCAAAGTCAAGCGAGTTCACAGAAATGAGGACCACGATAGAAATGCGTTGATGATTACATCTGGTATACCAGGATATGAGATACGCCTATAATAAATGCACCTTATTCCTCCAACCCATCCCAACTACCGTCACTTTCATTACCAGCTGCGGCGCCCGTCGCCTTGCGATTGCGACTAGCAGCGATAGCACCCCTCTTGCGGTTCTCCATGCGGCGTTCGTAGCCACTCTTCGTACTGATTCTGGCAGCGCGCGATCCCTTGTCGTTCTCGTCCTTGCCAAGCTGCTTAGAGGCCTGGCGAGCCTTGACACCATGCTTCTTGAGTTCTTGCTTGTCCTTCTTGCTCAGGTCCGGCAGCGACTCGAGCAGCCATTTCTGGATGGACTTTTTGTCGTCGGTTCCACGCAGCTTCTCGCTAGCATCGATGACATTTGCGATGCTCTTCACGTAGGGGATATCCTCCTTGGTGTAGTAGGTGACTGCGATACCGCCCTCGCGACCAGCGCGGCCGGTACGTCCAACACGGTGAACGTAGACAGCGGCGGAGTTGGGGATGTCGTAGTTGACGACACCGTTAAGGCCGCGGAGATCGAGACCGCGGGCTAGGACATCTGTTGTAACGAGGATCCAGATCTCGCCCTTGCGGAAATCACGCATGATTTCTGATCGCTGACTGTCCGAGAGGTCGGAGTGGAGCACGGCAATGCGCGAAGATCCGCCTGCTTCGGCGGGGATATCATATTTCAATTCCGAGTGCAAGGCAATTGCCCGGGGGATCGTTTGTGTGAAGATGAGGAAAGGAGGTCGGAGGCGGATATCGGTTGCTGCGGCCGCTGTCGGGCGGAGCAGCTGTCGAAGACCAAGCAGCTTACCCTGTTCGGTTGCTGCGTAAACGAGACGGTGGTCGATATTTGGGACGGCCGAATCCTTCAGGCCGACCACAAGACGCACCAGTGGGTGAAGTTTGTCGCTCTTTTGACCGAGATCTTCTAGACGCTCCTTGATCGTAGACCGAGTGAGATCCTCGACGTTAGAACCCATGGTGGCAGACCAGAGGCTCACACGCATGTCTGGATGAACGCACGAGCGCCATATGTTGAGTGTTTGATCCCGGAACAACGGGTCCAGGAGCACGTCCGCTTCGTCCAGCACCAGGCTGCGCACCAACGGCAGTCTTCCCATCGGCATGGTTTGATTCGCGGACAAGGAATTGACCAGCTGGAGGGGCGTGGTAACTAGGATGTCACTCTTGGTGACAGGCACATTGGTCTGGCCTTTCTTGGGTTTGCTGTACTCCTCCTCGTCCGATCCAGAGGATGCCTCACTTTCTTCGTCAAGGACATTCACATCGCCTTCTTCATCCTGGTCCACTACTCGCATACCCTTCTTCATCAAGGTGATCTTCACACCAGTCCCAGCCACCAACTTCCGTCCCTCGTTAAAAATCTGACTGGCAAGCTCCTTCGTAGGCGCCACAACCACGGCTAGGATTCCATGCTCGTCGGATTTAGAGTGATGATGCCGGACAATCTTGTTAATGGCAGGAATCAAGAATGACAGCGTCTTTCCGCTGCCAGTTGGGGCCACGACCAAAAGGTCAGGCTCTGCTTCGTTTTCCATAGGAATTGAGGAATCACCAAGCAAAATGGGCAGAGTTCCTAACTGCACCTCCGTGGGCACAGTAAATCCCTGCTCGGCGACATTCTCCGCAAGCCGGCTCGAGATCTTGTATTTCGAGCGCAGCTCCTTGAAGGAAACCAGAGGCTGCGGGTACATGCGACGAACGCGCTTCATCTCCTTTTTGCTGAGAATCGGAGCCTCTTCCTTCTTGGACTTCTTCTTTTTCTTCTTGGATTCCTTAGCAGGCGCAGGCTGAGAATGAATCTCGTCAAGATCACGAAGATCCGTGACCTTAATCTTGTGCGAGTTCAAAATAGTGCGACGCTCCACTTCGTCCATAGCTTCCTCTTCATCCGATCCATCGTCTTGACCAGATGCTTGCTCCTGGTCGAGCTTGGCGGCAGGTGCGGCCGCAGAAGTCACCGCAGTGCGCTTGTTCGAGCTGAAAAAGTCTAGTTCGGCTGTGTCGTCTCCATGTTCCTCAGCTGCGACAGGTGCTCTCTTTCTTTTCTTGCCATTCTGCGCAAGTTCAAGATTCTCGCCCTCGGCGGTCCGGAAGAGCTGCGGGTTAGCCGCTTTGCCCGTTGAAGGGAGACGAGCAGTAGGCTCTGCAGCCCGCGCGGCCGACTTGAACTTTGTTGACCGAGTCAACAATCTGAAAGCATCCATGATGTTTGGCGGTTGAGTTAAAGAAAAGCCGACTTTGATATTTCGCAGGAAAAAAAAGTGACCCGCCGAGTTTGCTTCCGGGCCAATCAGACTGCGCGCCCACCGATCACCGGCGCCCACGCAATTCTCGGCGGACAAGGATGAAAAGAGGCAGCAAATACAAGATAGCGAACTCGGTATTCACACGCGTATAGTGGTAAAAGAATAGGATCAAGACTAGGATAATGAGGTTCTCGTCCATTTTGGTGGTGGTGTTGGTGCAAAAAGGAAAGACCTCCAGGCCTCTGATTTGGGAAACTACAGAGCTTGAGACCACGACGAATTTTAAGGGGTCCAGGTTTAAGATGATTCAAATGAATTGCAATCAATGATTTCTATCTCAGACAACAGTTTATATTCCATCGTCTATCATACAGTGCACAACTTTAGGGGAAACAGGGAACAAAGGAAAGGGACAGGAGAAAGGACGATTGGGTTCCAAGTTTAGTGGCCGTGTGCAGGCTCGCCCCTGTAGCCGACAATGTTCATGCGACCGATCATCTCGCCAACGGTAAAGAAGCCGATGACCTCGGCGACGGTGACACCGGCGAGGGCGAGCTCCTTGGGGCTGGCGTTGCGGACGCGAGCCAGGAAGTTCTGGGGCGAGGGGAGGTTCATGCTCTTGAGGGCGGCAGGGTTCTTGGAGACGTTGATCAGAGGCTGGAAGTAGGACTGGAAAGTGGCCAGGGAACTAGAGATGGGTATTAGAGATCATGTTTGCGAGGAGTGCGGTTCAATCGGCTGGGACGGCATACGGAGGAGTCATGTTCTGGCCGCGGAAAACCAGCTTGCCGAGCTCAAGGCCGACCCTGGAGTAGTAGAGAGTCGGGGGGATCATGGCTGAAATGGATAATGATGTTAGCGGTGCACCAGCTGCAAATGGACTCGGACAGCCCGGATGACAACAAGGAGGGTTTGTGGGAGAGGCATGGTTCCCATCAATTGCAGTCCGACGCCTCTGCCATTAATCATCCCATGTGTATTCATGAAAAACAGGGGGTCGGAGTAGGAGGGTATCTCTTACAGTCGACGAACGAGACGACCTTGCCGACAGGGCCGCCGACCTTGCGGAGGGCAGTGGCGGCGTTGGAAATGGCCGGGCCAGCGGCAGCGGAGGCCTTGGACAGACCCTCGGAAGCCTTGGAAGCAGCAGAGGAAGCAGTCTGGCTGGCCTTGTTGGCGGCCTCGGAGGTGGACGAGGAGTGTCTGACGACGGTTCTCCGGGTCAGGAACTGCGATTGCCGCAGAACGGCACGGGTGGCAGCGGGCATCTTGGGGATTGCGGGAGAAGAAGAAGGAGCGAAGATGAAGATCCGATCACAGATCACCCGTTGCAATCGCTGGTGTGAGGACGAGGGGGTCCAATGGCGGTTTTCGTATGGCGCAACGACAGAACCAGAATCTGCGGATTCGAGGTTCGGGAACTTCAGGGAAAGGGTCACGTGAGCTGCCAGTGTCTGTGCCTGAGTCGGAGGTAAACAAATGCCATTGAAGAACAATCGACCAGGAATTTTGAGAATAATTGTGTTATGTTGGGGCTTGGGAGGCATTCAAGATAGCTTATTGTACAGTTGATGTTGCTTGGAGATGTTGTGCACGTACTCGGTGTACATGTAGGTACATAGCTGCAACCGACCACACATGCCCTGGGACTGTAGTGAATACAGTGGTGTAACAAAAGTATTTGACCTCGAGTACTTTAGGATCCACTTTTAGCCTGACCGCTTTATTATACCGCCTACTTTATTAGTACACCACACCTCGCGTTTCAACGCGCTTGCTAACATATACGCTACAGTTAACGCGTTATAGCAGTCTTTCTTACCTTATTATGCCTCCTATACGTGGGAAGAGAGGCCCAGAGCTTGACTGCCTTACTAGGGCCAAGATCTGCGAATTACACGCTACAAATGGCTGGGGTGCAACAACCATTAAGAAGATGCGCTTTCCCGATATTCCACGCTCAACAATTCAATATACCCTTACCCAAGAGGCAAAGCGTCAAAAACAAGAAAGCCTTCCACGCTTAGGCGCTCCAAGGAAGCTTACTGAAGAGGATCGTGACTATATCTACGACACTATACAAGAAAAGCCATCGATATTGATTAAAGATCTACTTAGAGAGGTCGATTTTAAGGTCCATCGCCAGTCAATTTGGCGTCTAACCCACGAAATGGGTCTTCGAAAATGGAGGAAAATGCAGCGTCCGGCACTTACGCCTGAACATGCTACGAAACGGCTTCAATGGGCACTCGAATACCAACACTTCACTCCTGAAGACTGGGCCCGCGTCTACTGGTCAGACGAATGTACAGTTGAACGTGGAATAGGCCAGCGGCAAGAATGGACGTTTACACGTCCAAAAGACCAGCTTTTTCAGCATTCAAAAGAAGGCTCTCAGGTTCAGATGGTTCCGGCGCGAGGGAAGCAAATTAAGCAGATGTTTTGGGCTGCTTTCTCTGGCTTACCGCGTCGATCAGGCCTAATTCCATTATTCGGAGATCCTACGTCTAGAAGAGGTGGTGTTTCTTCACGTACGATTGAAGAGCTCTATCGGCGTATCTTACCTACGCTACTTAATAGTATTGATAATAATGCTATTTTTCAGCAAGATAACGCGCCCGTTCATACTGCATATATTGTACGGGAAGCTCTTAATGAGCTTAACTGCGAGATTATGGAATGGCCTCCTTATTCACCTGATTTAAACCCGATCGAGAACCTCTGGGCGCTGCTAAAAGCCGAAATTCTTAAGCGTTATCCTGAGCTAATGCGCCTACCGAACAACGAATCTACGTTAGATCTATTGCTAAAAGCTGCACAGGAAGCCTGGGAAGGCCTAGATATTGAATTATTCAAGCATCTATCAGAAACTATGCCTCACAGGGTAGCTGATGTTATTAAGTATGAGGGGTGGCATACTAGCTATTAGACTGAATTGAATTTCAGAGGTTTCTGCCTGGCAGTATTAGAAAAGTGGGTCCTAGGCCGAAGTACTCGAGGTCAAATACTTACGTTACACCACTGTAGGCTGTGAACTCTTCGATTAGATATACATTTTTCTTACTCGTTAAGTAAGGTCCATTGGTTCCAGGCCTCGGTGTTTTGCTCTTACAAAGCCCCGAATTTTCGTTGACAACGGATTCATCATCCGAATAATACATATCCCGGGCGCTTATGAACTGGTCGGATATAGAACATCGATGGATCTTAAAATTGTCCGATGGCTGATCTGTCTCACGTACGCTTTATTTGCTCCGCTTCCCCTTGGGTAGCCCCATGAAAAGTATCGATAAGAGGAGAACCATGGGAAGTAGCGGCCGACGTTGGAAGACCAAATCGGAAATGTCCAAGTCACATTCGATTTAGGCATTTTCCACTACACGTCACTTTGCCAGCGAGGCTCCGATAATCCATCTTATCAACAAAGAACTTTATTTACACTTCACCTCTGCAAATCCATCATGGTGGGCCCTGCTCGTCGGCTGTTCCCCCCAGACCTCATGGCCCTCGCTCTAGTGATCGGCTTGTCGGTCGACTGCATGATCAACAAGGGTGTACGCGCAGTGAAAGCCGATGTAAGTCTCGGAATTTCTCCCATTCGAACACGGCTGATCTTGTACAGACAACGAGAGATTCGACAAACAAGAAATATCCAGGTCTGTGATTGTGCCAACTCTCCCGTCTTTCTTACCGTTCAACGAGTGGCTCTGGGTTGACGGCTCTACCATCCAGTGCCAGATCAGAAGTCCTCGGAGTGATCACCTTATTCTTGAATGTCGTCCCCTTTCCTAGTTCACCCACCAATTCCATCTCGAGACCTCGGGCCACCGACTGAACTTAGCACCGCGACTCGTACACTAGTAGGTGAGCATTCTCGGAGAATATGTGGTTCTTTTACTAACCAATGCATAGTCATCCTTGGATCGTTTTACATTCTCTCAACCTTCCGCATGCATTTCACGATCGCCGAGTAAGCCGGTTACACCGACTCCTGTTTGATATCACCCTGGGGTATGGCAATGAAACCGCTCGGAGAGAAAGTCTTTGTATGTCACCGGGCCTGAGAGACAATCCTCGTGAGAGGAGAATTAATTCTTTTTGACCCGTCAAGTTTACCAATGAAATCGCGTGTTTGACTGCTTGACTGCTTGATGGGTTGAACGTTTGCATTGTTTGCAGTGGAAAACGGCCAAAAACGCCGTGTTCCCCGCCACAAAAACTCCATCAACCAGCGTGCTGCCGCCGGAGAATTGCCACTTCTGAGCCGTCTGGAAGGCAGCTAGAAGTGACCCTGATCCCGAACCAATTAAGTGTGAAAAATCACGCGACATTCGATACATTTTGATAAACCTTTACTCCTATGCTCCACAGAACATGGAATAAATACCCCGTAGCGTAGACATAGACATACTGTACATAGACAAGGGGATACTGATATTAACCGATAGCCGATCGGCGGACTCGGCCCGACTGGAAAGGGACGACAGCAGGCCGGTCCCACGTTGCACACTTTGCGGAAGAAGACTTCCTTGTTGAGCGGCCACTGGGTAATTATGCCCCGCGCGGTTAAAATCGCCGCCCCTCCCCTCCACTTTTTTACTCCACGTCCGCGCTGAATGACGAGGGGAAGTGAATGTGCCTGGTCACCTGTTCCAGGATTTTAGATAAATAGAGCTCGTTGCACATATTTCCACCTGCTCAGTCAGTTCTCATTCCATAACTCACCATGTCTTCCGCTACCACCGTCACCAAGACCAACATTGGCGTGTACACCAACCCCAACCACGACTTGTGGATTGCGGAGACCACCCCCAAAGTCGAGGATGTCCAGAGCGGCAAGGGCCTGCAGCCCGGCGAGGTCACTGTTGAGGTGCGCAGCACTGGTATTTGCGGGTAAGAACCCAATTTCGACCATTAAAAGACCGACCTAACTCTTGTGTGCTAGATCCGATGTTCACTTCTGGCATGCTGGATGCATCGGTCCCATGATTGTCACTGGCGACCACGTCCTGGGCCACGAATCTGCCGGCCAGATTGTTGCCGTCGCCCCTGATGTCACTCACCTTAAGCCCGGCGATCGTGTCGCGATCGAGCCCAACATCATCTGTAACGCCTGCGAGCCCTGCCTGACTGGCCGCTACAACGGTTGCGAGAACGTCGCCTTCCTGTCCACCCCGCCCGTCGACGGTCTGCTCCGCCGCTATGTCAACCATCCTTCCATCTGGTGCCACAAGATCGGCAACATGAGCTATGAGGACGGCGCCCTCCTGGAGCCCCTCAGCGTGACCCTGGCCGCCGTCGAGCGCAGCGGGCTGCGCCTGGGTGACCCCTTGCTTATCACCGGTGCCGGTCCCATTGGTCTGATCAGTCTGCTTAGCGCTCAGGCAGCCGGTGCCTGCCCCATTGTCATCACCGATATCGACGAGGGTCGTCTGGCCTTCGCCAAGAAGCTGGTCCCGTCGGTTCGCACCTATAAGGTGGAGATTGGCAAGTCGGTCGAGGAGTCGGCTGATGGTATCATCAACGCCATGAATGATGGCGAGGGCTCCGGCCCCGGTGCTCTGCGCCCGAAGCTGGCCCTCGAGTGCACGGGTGTCGAGAGCAGTGTCAACTCCGCCATCTGGAGTGTCAAGTTCGGCGGCAAGGTGTTCGTGATCGGTGTCGGCAAGAACGAGATGACCATCCCCTTCATGCGCCTGAGTACCCAGGAGATTGACCTGCAGTACCAGTACCGCTACTCCAACACCTGGCCCCGCGCCATCCGTCTGGTGCAGAACGGTATTATTGACCTGCGCCAGCTGGTTACCCACCGCTTCGCCCTTGAGGACGCCCTCAAGGCGTTTGAGACCGCTGCCAACCCCAAGACCGGTGCCATCAAAGTACAGATTATGAGCTCTGAGGAGGATGTCAAGGCTGCCACTGCTGGTCAGTCCATCTGAGTGTGTTATTTAAGGCTGGTGTTGGGGCTGGGGGCTGATGAAATTTCCTTAATGAATGATGCTTAGAGATGCCCACTGGGCACAATAGAGAGATCCATGAAATGACTTTCCTTTTTGTTCAAAATATCCCAAAGAGCGTGAGACAATGGCAGAGCTCCCAAGCGGGAAGGCTCGGGTACCTTGAGAAGAGCGAGGACCCGCGTGTCTCAGCCCTAATCCAACTCCACGAACCAAATGTCTTGACTGACAACAGCCTCATTCTTACACGCTTTAACTTGAGCCTCATTTTCGGTCTCCATTCGGTCCTTGGCCGGAAATTTCTCCTCATTTTCCGCACTACCCCGAATGAACCCTGCAGATCTGGCTAGATGCTTGTCCCGACAAATGCCCGTTCTCTTCATGTTCGCCAGTCCTGGTAAAGCAGGGAACAAGGCATGGCAATCACGTAAAGAAGGAAAAGCGACCTCTGCACTGCTCTCACTTGGGCCTGTCGTATCATCGTTCCACACCACTTCGTCCCCTTCGCATAATCATCGGCCTCTTCACAGCTCCCCTGCACCTTCAACCTTCACCCTTCGTCACGTTCGCATCCTGCCCGGTCGTGATCACTACTTAAATCGCACCTGGTCTGGTTTCAATCCTCCTGAACGTCCCGCTGTTGTGTATTCAACGGTTTCTAGTTGGGTCTTCAACAAGCGGACTACTTTACTTACTTTGGCTCCTCTCGTGGGCGCCGCTATTCTGAACCCTCGGGACTACGCTGATTAGTGCCCCGGTTACAAGGCCATCAATGCCAATAAGCAGGGCCTGTCTTTCACGGCCGACCTGACTCTCAATGGTGATCCCTGTAACGCATACGGCGAGGACTTGCAGGACCTGAAGCTTCTCGTGGAGTATCAGGACGGTTAGTCACATTCACACTTCCCAAAAATGATCAGCTGCAAACAGAATCTAGTTGATCGTCTACATGTGATGATCTATGAGCGGATGAGGACGTTTACCAGGTCCCTCACTCCGTCATTCCTCGCCCTAGTACTGATGGGAATCACAAGCAGAGACAGCCTTCTTTGCGATTCGACTACCAGCCTGACCCCTTTAGCTTCCGCGTTTTGCGCCAGACTGATGATAGTGATGAACAGGTTCTGATTGACACCACTGAGACCAACCTGATCTTTGAGACTCAGTATCTGAACCTTCGCACCTGGCCGCGCACTCTGTGGAGCCGTGATGCGTACGGTGTTCCTTCTAACACGAACCTGTACGGCAACGGAGTCTTCTTTTTGAACTCCAATGGTATGGACATCAAGATCGACAAGACCAATGACGGCCGTCAGTTCCTGGAGACGATGAGGGCCAAGCCTCCGTCGACACATACTTCCCCGACGACATCTTCTACGACTGGACCACGGGCGCAGCAATCCACGGCCACGGCGCAAACATCAAGATATCAAACATCGCCATTACAGACATCTCGATCCACACCCGAGGCAGCAGTGTGCTTCCTCTTCGTTCAAAGAGCGCCATGACAACCAAGGAGCTGCGTACTCGTGGTTTCGAGGTCATTATCGCGCCCAACCTGGACCACTTCGCCTCGGGCGAGTCCTACTAGGACAAAAGAATGCAGGATCTCGTCGGGACGTCGACTTCGATGCAGTGCGCCAGACCGTGTCCAAGAGTGTTAATATTCACTTAGCGGAGCCCGCGGTGATTGATCTGTGATTCGATGGGGGGATGGAGGGAATACAAAATTAGGAGCGGGCTGGTGGTGGCATGACCTATTATTCGATCGGTTCCTTCATCCAAGACATTTCCGCGCTACGGAAGTATTTTTAGGGCCGAAATCGAAGCGATAGTCATATGATAGTATATTTTTTAGTCGAATTTCTGCATTTCATAGCTGGGCGTAGAGAGTTACATGGGAAGTGGGCTCAAACACATTGTTCTCTTGTTCCTCCGAACGTGTGTGTGTGTCTAAGACACCTTTCAGCCGCACTTTCTATACTTGCAGGCAGATGGGACATGACGCATCTCCAGGCCCACTTCCAATAACCCGGAGGGAGGCTGTACTACGGGAGATGGAGTCGACAAAAGAGGGCACGGTCGGAAGTCGACCTTGGGCTGCCACACATTTCAAGCCACCGTCTCCTTCCGGTCGGGATGTGCCAGATTTCAAGACATGTCTTTTATGCGACATCCCCAGTAATATGCCAGAATACGATCGACGTAAGCCATTAAACCTGCCCGGTGATCTATCGCCTTTCGGTCGTACTACATGCCCCTGATCCCCTCGTTTTTAGTGAAATCAGTCCTACTGTAGCAGTCGTAACCATATGTAATCTACCAGAAAGGCTATGACTTCTAGCGCCGAACTAGTACATTTATTAGCGCCACTTCCCGGGGTAATTTGAGACAAATCAAATCAAATCAAATAACAATAACCGGGCACGAGAGGCCGCCAACATGCCGGCAGGTACCAGGAGAGCAGAAGAAAATGGAAGGGGAAAAGAAAGAAGAAGTAACAGTCTGTTCCTCGCGTGGACAAACCAAGCGTGTACCCCTGCGCGGACTCCAATGCGGCCCGTTTCTTTATTTCTACGTAGTTCTGCATGTGTGGCTAGGGCCTTGGGGCTAGGACACATAGGGGAAATGTCACCCGGAGCCAGCGAAAGCGAAGGGAGCTATTAATAAGATTTTGCCTTTTTGAACCCAAAAGTCAGACTTGCTCGGCACCGTGTCTCCTGGGGCGCAGTGGACGGTCGCATCGGCGCGCTAAGGAGCCAGGGCACGGGCCGTCGTTTGGTTCGTTTCTCTGGATACGCGAGGAGAAGACTCTGCACGGAGTCCTTTATCGATCGAACTTTGTAGCGCGAGACGGAGGGAGTGCGGTTGCCCCTGAATCAAAAGCTACAGAGATGATGTATGAGGAAAACCGATCCCTCATGCAATGCGACCGGGGGTTCAGCCTCCAGGTTTTCTCTCTGTTTCAGTTTAGATCGGGCAAAGTCGTTGGAGTGGGGCCCCTCATGGACTCGGGGGGTTGGACCTCGCTTACAGTGATCACTTTTGGGTCCATCAGGGGAGCGGACCCGGTGTCAGGTAACCATGGTGGGCATTGGCGAACTATGGGCCGCATACTCACCGCGTGATGGGTCTGCTTGCCCGTGTACTGTAAATAGAAGTAATCTTGCTGACTAGACACCTGATCCAGGGCTCGAAGTCCAAGAAAACTGGGGCTCCTGGGTCCAACTCCTGACACACTTGATCGGCGATGATCGGCCGATCTTGACGTGTGCGGTAGAAGAGAGAGAAGACCGGATAGTGCAGGATGAGAGGAAGGAGATGAAGGAGATGAAGGACATGAAGGAGATGAAGGGGCATAGGGGACGGCCAAAGAGGCGGCAGAGAAGGATAGAAAGTGTACGAGATGTCTCACCCTACACGTCAGACCAGTCACCGGGGTTCTCCAGCAGCTCATGCGGAGGCTCCACCGATCCCTGTGGCCCCTGTTGCCACGCCGAGCTCCAATCACGACGGTGGACGGGCTTCAATGGATCCAGGGGATGCACATCGGCCAATCCTCAGCCTCCTCATTTTCACTGGCTTGGATGGTCAGTGAGGAATATTGGCACAAAGTACAGTTCTATAAGAGGGACGTCCCTGGCAACCGTGGATACCTACTGTTTTCGGATCGATCCACTCACTCGTTTACTTCTTAAATCGTTTAAATCCCTCTGCCCCCCGACTTGGTCTTTTCCTCCACACCTTCTTTATTGTATCGTGAAAATGCCCTCGTTTCTGAAGTTCGCTGCCGCGGCTCTCGCCGTCGCCGCCCCTCTGGCTTCGGCCCAAACCTACACGAGCTGCAATCCCCTCGACAAGACCTGCCCGGCCGATGCTGGTTCCACCGAGTCGAATCTAAGCTTTGACTTCACTCAGTCCGGTTCCCTCGACAAGTGGACCACCACTGCTGGCACAGTCAACACCGGCCCAAATGGTGCCGAGTTCACCATCGACAAGCGCGGTGATGCTCCCACCATTGAGACCGACTTCTACCTTTTCTTCGGTGAAATTTCCATTACCATGAAGGCCGCACATGGCACCGGCATCGTCAGCTCCCTCGTTTTCGAGTCGGACGATCTTGATGAGATCGATTGGGTAAGTGCATGGTTGCGGCAAGACACGTTTTCGGTCACATTCCTAACCTCTTGGCTTTACAGGAAGCTCTGGGCGGCAACACCGGGCAGATCGAGACCAACTACTTCGGTAAGGGTGACACCTCGACGTACGATCGCGCCACTTGGCCTGTGGTCTCCGATCCCCAGGATATCTGGCACACGTACAAGATCTCGTGGCAGAAGGATGCCCTCACCTGGTACGTTGACGGCAATGCTGTCCGCACCCTGACCTACGCCGATGCCAAGGACGGATCCCGCTACCCGCAGACCCCCATGCGCGTGCGCATCGGTATCTGGGCCGGTGGTGATCCCAGCAACGCCAAGGGCACCATCGAGTGGGCCGGCGGCGAGACCAACTACGCCGGTTGCCCCTACACCATGTACGTCAAGAACGTCGAAATCGTCAACTCCAACCCCGCCGCGAGCTACACCTACGGCGACAAGTCCGGCTCCTACCAGAGCATCCAGATGTCCGGTGCCGCTGCCCTGAGCGAGTCTTCCGCGAGCGAGACCACCACCGCGACCTCCAGCTCCAGCTCCAGCTCCACCGAGGCCTCGACTGCGGCCACTACCCTGGCCACCACCACCCACTCCTCCGCCTCCGCTCACACCACCGCTGGTTCGACCACTGGCTCCTCCTCGGATGCCTCTACCACTGGTTCTAGCTCCACCGGTTCCAGCTCCGGCGTCAGCTCCGGCGCCAGCTCCGGCTCAGGCTCTGGCTCCACCAGCGGCTCGGCCTCCAGCACTGGCACTGGATCGGGCTCTAGCTCTGGCTCTGGCTCTGGTTCCAGCAGCACCACCGCTGGCTCCGGTTCTGGCTCCAGCTCCAGCAGCAGCGCCAGTGCCTCGCCCACTTTCAACGCTGCCGCCAGCGTGGCCGCCAACTACCTTGGCCCTCTCGGCCTCCTGGCCCTGGTCTCTGCCTTTGTCCAGCTTTAAAAAGCTAACCACGCCTTTACTCTCACGCATGAAGCAAACTGGGCTGGAACCGGATTTTGGAAATGAGGGACGCCTTTTTTATTGATTGTATCTTTTTATGTCATGGGTCTGTCTATACCGTCTATATTGAGGACCCGGGGTGGTTGATATTGCGCGTTCTTGCCTGAATTGTATCTACTACACACCATCTAGATCTTAATGCCCCCCAGGGATATTACTGGGCACCTTTTCACTTTCATCTCGTATTCACCCAATATCTGCAAGCAGACATATCGTACAATTCTAGACTGATCACATCGTATCTGCACCGTGGATCAGCCCTGACGCAAGGCACGACATTACTACAGTAGCCTTTTGACTTAATCAACCATCCACCGTAAAGTGGCTAAGCCTCGTCTCCCGGTCGCGTTAAAACAAGAGCGAATAATTTCATAACAAGGGTTCTCACCTTGATTATTAGAAAGGTGGATGATGGATATTATCTCTGCACGGTTCGCATCCGACACGAATGGCCAAAAAGAAAAAAAAAAAAAAAAAGAAAAAAGAAAGACGGATTTTTGAGCCGAGCGGACTTGACGCGCGGCGAACCCATCACATAACTCGAAAGCCGTTGACAGCTTGGTCGGATTTTTATGTACCAGCGTGCTAATCAAGTCAATGCGGGAATAATGTGAAACATGCATGATTTCATACGGGTCATGTTTCATGTCGTGTATTCTGGCGAATGGGTAACAATGTTGAAATTATTCATTTGTAGATCATGAGTCGTAAACAAACATTTGAATGCGCCAATACCAACATCGTGCCGGAAGCGGCGACGACCCCAATGAATCCACCAGCCACGGCACTAAGTGCTCCAACACGGCCCGGAAGTCCTATCCATCCCCCGCCCCCTCCGCCCCCCTTCTCTGAATGGACGTGCGCTACCAAGTGGATCCTGGCCGACCACGCTGTGCATCCCGCAGCTGCTGTGACAACCGTAACACCGAGTCTGCAACTGGGCGGTGGTGCGTTGCGGCCAGTCTGAGCAACGCAAGGGTCGGTTGGGGTGCGTTGCTTGGGTTCTCGGTCTGGCCATCCGTGGAGTCGGAGCGTGCGCGGAAGAGATCTCCACCGAAAGCATAGCTTGATAGTGACTGCAATACAGACTGTATACCTCGTTTACTGTTTACATCGCCAGCCAGTGCGGCTCTTCGCTCTTCTCGCATCACGATACCGTCTACAGCCTCGAGATGATCGTCCAGCGTGGCGAACCGCGTATCCAGAGAATCGGCTTTTGAACGAAGCTGAGCGCGCAGTCGGTCGAGGTACTGCGCGCGGCGCTGGAACTGTGCCGCGAGACGGGTATCGCGCGCGAAGGATGGAGCACCTGATTCCTGCGCCAGTGGAGAAGAGAGCAGGCTGTCGATAGCGGAGCGCAGATCTGCGCGTATCGAATCGAATTCCCACGTTGCGGCGCGGAGAGCTTGCTCGCTGCCCTGAAATTCGAGATCGAGAGCATTGCGCACGTCCGGGAGGGTGGATTGGAGCTGGGATTGGAGGTCTGCGAGCATGGACTCGCTTTCTTTGAGGATGTGCGCGAGCGGGGAGAGGGTTTCCAATGTGGAGGTGAATATGGATTCGAGGTGGGTTTGCGCGGAGACGATGGTATCCTCTGGTGAAATTATCGGGCTCGAGGGGTTCAACGGGCGTGGAATCAGGCGTACGCAGCTGTCGGGATACGTTGATTTCAGTACAGGCAGTTGGCAGAAGAAGTCTTGGGATTGCTGAATGAGTTCGGGGAGGACGAGGAGGTGGAGGATGCCGGCGATGAGAAAGCAGTTGATGACTATTCGGATGGAATCGTGCCGGACAGGGCAGAGTTTTGCGAGCTTGGATCTCAAGCTGGGTGATTTGCGCTTAAAGGAAACAATGCTTGGGTCCGACGAGCCAGCGCCAGGGTCCTGCTGTTCTTGTGGCCCTCTCTTTGGAGATACTTTGCGACGTTTCCTCATACCAGATTGGTCGTTTGAGCGTACGGGCGCGACCCAAGACGCTTCTGAGATGGGCATGTCGCAGATGGAGGGCATGATAAGCTCTGGGCCGGTCAGAGTCCATGATGAGGAAGTGAGCGACTCTGTCGACTCTGTAGTGTTGCGGTCTTTATTCCGATCTTTGTGTCGCTCTGCTTTGGGTTGCGGGGTAGGGCTTGCTGGATCGTGAACTTTGGGTTCTTTGTCTTTGATAGACGTAGTCGAGGCTATCACCCAAGACTCCTCCAGTGCCGAGCGATCTGGGGTCCGCGGTTCCGCCATGGCACAGTAAACATACCCGCTCAGCAGGGCAGCGCTTTAGCAGGGAGTTGATTTCGTGAGATTAAAACATCAAGAGGGTCTCTCGAATGCGACTCGGAAATCTGAAACATGGAATGGGCGCGTAGTCGAGTGTTGTCCCACGCGTAAAGCGGTGGGGAAGCAAAGGCGGGATCGGCAGGAAGCACTGAAGATTCTCTGCAACAACCATGCGCCCGCTCACTCGGCTTCGACCGAGCCTCTACATTCGGCCTGTCGCTAATAGAGCCCTGAGATTGCCGTCTGTACGACCGCGATGGCTGTCAACTACGGAACAGCGCCATTGCTCGTGCGCTGATGCGGCCAACGGCAAAACCGAAGCTCCTACAATACCCCCCAACGATCACCGAGCTCTGGGAACGACCCAGGAGCTCTTCACCTCGTCCATCTACACTCCTGGATCCCCGCTCTTCCTCCCAAATGGCACGCACATCATCAACAAGCTCATCTCCTTCCTCCGCACGCAATACTTGCAATACGGGTTCCGCGAGGTCTTGACTCCGACCATCTACAAACGATCCCTGTGGGAGGTATCGGGCCATTGGCAGAATTACAAGGATGATATGTATGAAGTAACAGGTCGTGGAGCGACCGGAGAGACAGAAGGCGAGGTCGGCGAGGACGAGTCGTACGGTCTAAAACCGATGAACTGCCCGGGCCACTGCCTGCTGTTCAAGTCGCAAAACCATTCATACCGCGAGCTGCCGGTGCGCTACGCTGATTTCAGTCCGTTGCACCGGAACGAAGTCTCTGGCTCGTTGACCGGTCTTACGCGCGTGCGTCGCTTCCACCAGGACGACGGCCACATTTTCTGCCGACCGCAGCAGATTAGGTCGGAGATTGCGTCGGCATTGGGGTTCGTGGATATGGCTATGAAGACATTTGGACTCGGTCCCTATCGATTGGTGCTTTCCACTCGACCGGAGACGGATTTCATTGGAAGCGTGGAGATGTGGGACAATGCCGAGGGACAGCTGCGCCAGGCGCTGGACAGCACCGGACGCGAGTGGGCATTGAATGAGGGCGATGGCGCCTTCTACGGACCGAAGATTGATATCCAGCTCCAGGACCAGGCGGGCAAGTACCATCAACTCTCGACCATCCAGCTTGATATGAACTTGCCTCAACGCTTCGGGCTTGAGTACCAGGTTGCCGAGGGCGAGGAGGATTACAACCCAGCTACCCCCGGAGTGGCCACACCAGTCCTGGTGCACCGTGCTATCTTTGGCTCACTCGAGCGGTTCTTGGCTCTCCTAATTGAGCACCATGGTGACCATTGGCCCTTCTGGCTATCGCCTCGTCAAGCCATTATCTTGACCGTCAACCAGGATGACGCAGTTGTGCGCCAAGCGCAGGAGGCAGCTGCAAAGTTCTCCGGATTCCGCGCATTGGTGAACGATGGCAGTTCTGCGCCGCCACGTCCATTGTCATCAGTCGACTCTACTTTCTTGGTTGACGTCGACACCAGTGCGCAGAGTCTTGGCAAGAAGATCCAGCGAGCCAAGCAGATGAAGTATAATCTTATCTTTGTCCTTGGTCCGCGTGATGTTGCCAATGGCGGCATCACACTTGATGTCAGTGGGCAGATGCAGGGCAAGGCGGATGTGGAAGGACAAGAATTCCAAATGCTGATCCGCGAGCAACTCGGTGAAAATGCATTGCAGAACCCTCGGGCAGTGAAATTACAGGTGGACAAAGTGCACCAGCTGCTGGTGCAGCTGGAGAGGAGCTTCTTATGAGGCATTGAACAGAATTTGTACTATATTCTCAATTGTATACCAATGACCCACCACAATCCACCAAGTCCCACTATGGCACCATACAATGCGGTTAAATACGGACGGAAATGGTCACCTCAGGGACCGAGAGCTCCGAGTTCGGATGCAATTATTGCCAGCTGCAGTGATGCCCAAGAAATACACGTCCTCTGTAACCACACGGATCTCCTGTTCAGACTATTTCAAAGCTTATAGAATGAAGAGTATTTCCACCTACCTGACTCTCCAATTTGACTTTGTGGAGATCGGGCGGCAATTGGATTTCATATCACGTGCCTCCGTCATCGGCGCCGAAAACTCGGCGTCATCGACGAACGCGCGCCGTTGAGTCACAAACTCCCTTCGGCTCATTGGCCTCTATTTCTTCAGAATTTAAGAAGGAACTGCAATTCCTTTTCTTGGATATACATCTGTGTCTTCCCCCTGGCCAGACCCGACTGCGTCTGCCCTGTTGACTTTACTTTTATCGTTCTCTTATCACTTCCTCCCCACTATACCCCGCCACGATGCCGATGCTCAAAGACCCGTCGTCAAAATACAAGCCCTTCAAGCCTCTGAACTTAACAAGCCGCACATGGCCTGACAAGACCATCACCAAGGCCCCGCGCTGGTTGGCCACCGATCTACGCGATGGCAACCAGAGTCTGCCCGACCCCATGGATGGAGAGCAAAAATACCGCTTCTTCAAGATGCTAGTCGAAATTGGCTACAAGGAAATTGAAGTCTCATTCCCCTCCGCCTCGCAAACGGACTTCGACTTCACCCGTCGCCTTGTCGAAGAGCCCGGCCTTACCCCGGACGATGTTTGTCTGCAAGTTCTCGCCCCATGCCGTGAGGATCTCATCCGCCGCACCGTCGACTCCCTCAAGGGCGCCAAGAAGGCCATTCTGCACATCTACCTCGCCACTAGCCCGTGCTTCCGCCGAATTGTCTTCAATATGAATCGGGAACAGAGTCTGAAGAGGGCCGTGGATTGTACCAAGTATGCTCGTTCAATTACCAAGGATGATCCCTCTCAGGCCGGCACAGATTGGCAGCTGGAGTTCTCCCCGGAGACCTTCTCAGATACCGAGCCCGACTTCGCGGTCGAGGTTTGTGAGGCTGTCAAGGCCGCTTGGGAGCCTTCTGTGGAGAAGCCTATCATCTTTAACTTGCCCGCTACCGTGGAGATGTCCACCCCCAATGTCTACGCCGATCAGATTGAATACTTCTGCAACAAGATGACGGAACGTGAGAAGTTTGTCGTTTCCCTGCACCCGCATAATGACCGTGGTTGCGCTGTCGCCGCGGCTGAGCTGGCTCAGATGGCCGGTGCCCAGCGTGTTGAGGGAACTGTTCTCGGTAAGTCAAGATATGTGCATTTCGTAGTGTGAACCTGTCTAACTGAAATTTCTTTTCCAGGAAATGGAGAGAGAACCGGCAATGTGTATGTCACTTTAAATGGCTTCCTTGGTATCCCTCCAAACCGACTTGCTGACTTTTCCATAGTGATTTGGTCACTCTTGCCCTAAACCTGTACACCCAGGGTGTCTCACCAAATGTGGACTATTCCGATATCAACTCCGTTATTAAGGTTGTTGAGGAGTGCACCAAGATCCCCGTCAACGAGCGATGGCCGTATGCTGGCGCTTTGGTTACCAGCGCCTTCAGTGGAAGGTTTGTTCTTCTTCTCCACATTCAGACGATCATCCTAACCATTTTCTCTCCAGTCACCAAGATGCTATTAAGAAGGGATTCGCCCTGCGCAAGGGTGCTACCGACAACGAGGAGTGGGTCATCCCGTACCTGCCTCTGGATCCGCAGGATATCGGCCGCACGTACGAGGCCGTCATCCGAGTCAACTCACAGAGCGGCAAGGGCGGTGCCGCCTGGGTTATCCTGCGCAGCCTGGAGCTGGATCTCCCGCGTGCTCTGCAGGTGGAATTCAGCAAGATCGTACAAACGGAGACCGAGAAGTGCAGCCGCGAGCTCCGCCCCAGCGAGATTGTCAACCTTTTCGAGGAGTCATATCACCTCAAGTCGAACCCTCGCTTCAACCTTATCGACTACAACATCACCACCGACCGCTCCCAGTCGCCTGCGCCTCCGGAGCCCGGTAAGGCTCTTAACACTAAGAACCTGAAGCGTCGCTTCACCGGTGTCGTTGAGATCGACAATGTCCAGCACGCCATTACCGGCATTGGTCCTGGTGCGCTCTCTTCGCTCGCTGCGGCTCTGTCCACCCTCGGTATCGATCTCGATGTCATCGACTACAAGGAGCACTCTATCGGTCTCGGTCGTGACGTAAAGGCTGCCACATATATTCAGTGCTCGGCAGCCGGCAGCAAAGACCAGGTGTGGGGTGTTGGAATCAGTGCCGATGTGGTCCAGGCATCTCTCGTGGCGCTGCTCAGCGCCGCCAGCTCGGTAAGTCTTTGATCGTCAGGGGTGTATACGCCTATTTGCAAGCACAGACAAGCTTACGCGTATTCTAGTTCCTCACCTCTTCCGCGGGTTCCCCAGCTCCTTTCCGCCCGATCCGCTCCAACACCCTGACCAACGAGGACCTTCAGGCCCTCGAGCAGTTGACCGGCATGAACCCGGGGACTGCTAACGGCGGTCTCTCGGCCAAGGTCAACATCGAGCAGTTGACTAGGGTTGCCGAAGGCCAGTAAGCCTCAAAAAGTTTTTTATCCATCATGTCAACAATAGCAAGTAATGCATATATCATTTTGATGATCTTAAGCAGAATATCAGCAATTTTTATGAATTCACCTTATACGTTGAACTGAAAATTTACTTTGCAACAAGAAATGGCGTAGACATGAGTTCATCGTAGTCATAAATACTTCTACCAAGCTAATGCAAATCCACCACATTAATGGGACCCTGTACATCATTTCTTTGTATAAGATAAAATCACCACTGGAAGAGAGTATCCCATCCCCATCCTCGTCTCGTCTTCTCTCCACCGCCATAACCATCAAACTTCCCAGGTCACTCCGACGCAATAAGGTGGGCCGCTATCACGTCTTCAGTGGAGAACCTTTCTACTCAAAAATCACATTAGTTGTGATTAGTTGCATGAAGCCAATCTACCGGGAAATGCCTATAATGTCACGGAAACTACACACCGAGGTAGGTTCTACTATTGATATACTGATCAGGTGTGAGGGTGGTATGTACAGCAGGAACGCACATGCAGAAAACAAATAAGTCGATGCAGGATGAGGTATTCGGGAATAAAATGGGGGATAAACGATCAGATGAAAAGATAAGGGGCCAAATAACAAGGAGAAATAGGAATAAATGAAAAAGAAAATCCCAGACAAAAGAAAATGCACTTCAACAGCTCTTCTCCCACTTTCTACTCTAGAAACCAAACACAAAATTGCATCAGGTTGATTTTCATGTACAAGACCACGGTGTAAATTGGAGACACAGATCGGGTCTCGTTTAATTCCCGTAGTCACCACCATCATAGCGTTTCTGCGCTGGGGTGCGCTGGGCATCTTGACCGTCCTCGCCTCCCAGTGCGGACTGGTACATCAGGGCTTCTTGAGCCCAATCACCGCTCAGCCCGCTTTCTTGGGTGCCCGGCCGATACTCATCGTGCGTGGGGCTTGAACCCTGACCGTACATTCCGGGTTGCTGGCTAGGAAGCGAGTCCCGCCCGGTCGAGAGTTGCTCAGTCGTAGGGAACGAGGACTCGACGGGAGTGTTGATGATATCAAAGCTGAAGCGGAAATCTCGGGTCGGACCTGGCTCGCCAGAGGCTGCTTGGGGTAACTCGTGTGGGAAGTGCTGGTCGTCATCCGCTGAGTGAATCGTGGCTGACAGAGGTTCCTGAATGTAGGGCACCGTAGATGTTGCTGATGAAACAGGAGCTGCAGATACATGGCTGTCCGTCCGCGTATCGAGCTGCGGCAGTGCATGTCGAGCCGACATATGATCGTGATGATCGTGATGATCCTGATAACCTTCCGGTGCGACATCGAGTTCCTGTTCGGGCATCGCGATGGGGGAGACTGTGGAACCACAGGAATTTCCGAATCTGGGTTCATGGTCGACCGTCGCATGCTGCTGCCCATCATGCTTCCAGGCTTAGAGCTTCGGCTGGCGCGGTGTTGCATCATGACGGCGAACGGGTTATCCCCCATGTCCCGGATGCTGAATTGCGCTATCGTGCGCAACTTGCGGGTCACCCAGGATGCCAGGACCTTTCCACGCTGCTTCTCGCCGAGACGCGAGCGAGGGAAGTCGCCAGTGGAGACAAAGGCAACGATATCCGCCACCACCTGGTGCTCGTTCAGAATTGCGTCGACAATGACCGGGACGAGAGAAGCCAGGAACGCCTTGCGAGTGACTTCAACCACGACCACAATCAAGCCACCGGCCTGGAAGATAGCACTGTAGAACTATGTTAGCAACTAATCGAATGCAAAAGGGCATTAGGCACTCACCATCCTCCTTTCATGATGTTGCGATGGCATCTCTCGACGGAATTCTCGATATCCATGGGGAAGTGGTTCAACCCATTGACCTCAAAGGTCTCACCAATGCTTCCAAGCACAAACAGCACCTGCATTTCGACGGGCTGGCCTCCAGGTCCGATAGGACGAGTGACTGAGTGGAGGAATCCCAGATCCCCAGTGCGGACATAGGGCACGCCGGGGTCTCCGTCGAGAACTCGGCCATTCATTCTCTCGGAGTCAAACTCCTGCTTAGACCTGTAGAATCCCTGGGCACAGGCATCGGATTGGACCCAGATCTCACCATACTCTCCGACATGGGCAAGAGTGCAAGTCTCCGGGTTAACAATCGCAATCTGAGTATTGACTGGCACCATTCCAGAGTCCTGGAGCAAGAGAGCAGATGGGTCGGCATCCGGATCTACGGGGTAGATCAGGCCGCGACGAAGGCTACGGATGTCCAGATACAGCTCAATCGGCTCAATGCACATGTATGATCTGGTCACGATCATCGGGTTAAGGACATGCGAGTACACGACATTGATCGCGGTGCGGTCCAGGCTGGTGGAGGCAAAGTGCAGGCGCACCTTCTGGTAGATGTCGGTTCTGGGCCGACCCTCTGCGGAAATCATCAGGTTCTTCATTTCTTGCAGCTGGAAGCCCTTGCCTGCCATGGCACTGATGGCATAATCCAACATCTGGCTCGTGGCATAAGTGTCTTTGATCTTGTAGCGAGAGAGCGTCACGAAGAGTGTCATCGGGTTCTGGGCGAAGTCGACAGGCGAGACAAGGTAGGTAGGGGCCCCGACATAGATACCCATCAAGCAGGTGTGAAGGAATCCAAGACCCAAAGTGCTGCGTACACTACCCAGCACAGGTCTCATGCTTGTCATTTGACATGTCTCTTTCTGCACCTTGCACATACCTAGGATGGTATCATGCCCGATCTGAACAGAAACTCGTCGCTGGTCCGGCGTCCAGTAGGTCCAAATCAGAGCTGGCTGATTCGCTTGAAGCCAGGTGTCTTTCACAGTGTATCCGAGCTCGCGGCAACCATGGGACTGCTTCGACGGCTTCGTCGTGTTGTAGATGGCCGGCACACCGATGCGAAGGACCTGCGCCGACTGCTTGATGTGCTGAGAGACAAGCTTCTGCCGCATGACATGGTCAACCTCCGTGTTCACAATGATAGCCTTGACATTGAAATCGCTGATAGCATGCAGGAAAGCAGGCGCATCTTCCGACAGGCGGTTCTGATCAATCGGAGCCATCGGAATGGCGACAACGCCCAGACAGAAGCAAGCGTGGACGGCATAGACGTAATCTTCTGAATGAGTGTACATCAGCACCAGATGATCTCCTGGCCGGACCTTGACCTTATTCTTCAGATAGGTTGCGACCGCAGACACTTTCTGGTCAAACTTCTTCCAGGTAATGCCCTTGCCTTCTTTACCGCGACCGTCGATAGAGCAGTACGCCAGCTCTTCGGCTTGGCGAGAGATACGCCACTGAAGAAGATCAACAATAGACTTGAAATTATTGAGAGGTGTGGAGGTGCGGTCGTCCATGACAACATCTCGATAGTCAACACCTGAGTACTGCTTCTCTTGGTACGCAAGTACCTCCTGTCTCGAGGCCAGTGCGAGTGGTGACCAGATGCCTCCCTCAGGGTCAACGCCCACGGGTAGATTCAACACCGAACGCTCAACCCCGAACTTGACATGCACAGCCTGTAACATGCCGGCCTCGAAGTCCTTGCGGCAGAGCATATTGCCGATCTCTCGTCTTCCGTTCTTGGTCACACGGGGGAGGCTGTTCGGGGCCGTGAGAAGCACACAGTAGACGCGCAAGTGATGCTCCTGGTAAAGAACCTCCATACAGCGCTCGGCAAGTGAATCAAGAAGGACCGAGTCTAGTTGTCTCGGTGGCCCGCCAGATGTTGTTGGCGCGGTCGAGGCAGCAAAGGACTCCAACACAATAACTGGCAGATGTTCATCGTTCACAAACACATCGAATGCAGTACAATCGTGGATCTTGGGGACCTTCTTCAACAGGCTGACAACCAAATGTTGAACAAAGAAATACCGATGCTCGACAATCTCCTGGCCGTGCTCAACCCACTCAACCTTCTGGCGCAGTCGGTCTTCGTACAGACCCAATATAAACACCCTTCCCTCGATCACGCAGCCCAGAAGACCAGTTCGGAGGAATTCGGGCTCGACAAGAATAGGCGTGGGGTTGGCGTCTTCAAACTTGTAAGGTCGGGCATGGAAGATCGCCTCCGTGTGCTTTGGCAACGCCCAGAACCCTCCAGACAATGATGGCGAGTCCACCCAGATTTCACCGACGACATTGGGTGTACATAAGAGGTTGGTCTCAGGATCAACGACTGCTAATGTCGCATCGGGGATTGGATAACCAAAAGCACCGACACGAACAGCATGAGGCATGCTGCTAGCGTACTTGCGAGCATCCTCACCCATGGCTAGGACGACAACTTCATTGCTCTTGAGAGCTTCCTTATCGAGTAAAACCTCACTCAACTCATTCTTGGTACTCTCCCTCTTGGGCGCAGAGATACGAGGACCGCCGCCGAGGAGACTGCTACCAAAGCCTGTGTTGGTCTCGGATTTTTCCAATTTGGCATCATCTTTCTTGGTCCCGTCCCGGATAGCTGGATCCATCTCATGCGTCAAGGAGCATCCCATCCGTTCTTCACCACCAAGCCAATCGCGCACACTGATAACCATGCCACCATGTTCAGGCAGGCAAAGCATTGGAGAGACAATTTCTCTGGCCCGTGGGTTTCTCATCGGACGCAGCCATCTATCTGACAGAATTTCGTGGAATTCAGGATCGAGGGTAAGCGTGTCGATCAGGCAGAGTTTGACAGTGCTGAAATTGGGCTCGGAGTTCTTCTTGTAATGCCGAGTCGCCATCGGGTCTTGCTGGTAGTTATACGCGGCAATCTTCAGGCCGGAGTAGTCGGCAGCCATGATTGTCGCACGGTATTTGGTGATTAGGTGGGCGTATAGACCGGGTGTCTCAACGGCCCGGTCCTCGTGGTAGACGGTTGTATGACCGCCATATACAGTCAATAGAACGCCCAATATCATACCAATTCCTTGTCTTGGGTCAAGATAACTGATGATCGTTTCTCCCTTGGCCGCGTATTGCCTGGCATTCGAGTCATTTGGGACCGTCGAGACCATCGCGCTCAGGCAAGCCATTTGGTGCATGATAGTTCGGTGGCTCATGACCACGCCACGCATGTCACCAGTGGGAGCCCGAGCAAACTCGATATAGGCCAGGTCTGGGACGACGAGCGGAGGTGTGTCGTCCTTCCTTTTTGGATGAAAGCTGCCGAACTCGTTGGTCTTCCACCACTCAACTCCTCGCGGCCAGTTCAGCTTCTGTGCGGTGATGTCACGTTGGAAGCCCTTCAAGTTATTCTCCGTAGTCAAAGCCAAGTGCGCCTGGGTCGAGGTAAGCACCAAATTAAGAGATTGGTAATCATCCAGACTGTTGATAGGAACCGCAACGACTCCGGCAATGAAACAGCCCATGAGAGCGACGGCGAACTCGATGACCTCGGTGTCGCGATAGATCAGCGCGACTCGGTCACCACGGTACAAGTTACTCTTGTCCCGAATGACCTGAGCAACCTTCTCGGCACGGCTAGCGAGCTTATCCCATGTTATAGATGCAATTTCCTTTCCTTTCTGATCCAACACCCAGTACGCCGGCTGCTTCGGATGGACTCGTGCGCGGTGTCGGAGGACTGCCGGGATATTCTCGAAGTTGGACATGGGTATGTTCTTGTCATGAGGGTCGTTGACCGCAAAGGGAATATCACGCGGTTCGAGAGGGAGCAGGTGCTCGATGATCGGTCCATGGGGGAGCTCTGAGGGAGGAATAAACGGCGGTGCCATGTTGGCTGTCGGCGAGAAGGCTTCCCCAGATTGGGAATAACGATGGAATCCACCACCATAGCTCTCTCTATAGTCATCATGCTGTTGACCGGCAAAGTCCGAAAAGTATCCCTGCTGAGAATCAAGCATAGTCGAGTGTCGCGTGACCCCACCAGAGGCCGGATCGTAAGCACCATCATAAACCCCCATCCCGTCGTCCACGTACTCGGGTTGGGCGTATTCCGGCTGGCTATAACCCTGCTGAGCCTCGGGATTGAAAGCATAGTTCTGGCTCATCAACGTCGCGGTCCTGGAACCGTCTGGACCTTGTGACCCCGGAGGACCAGGCCTGGGAAGGAAGAGCGAATCGTACGACGAGGAGGATTGCATTCGATCAACAGGCTGTAACATGCCAGTGCTATCTCTCTCTGAAGATCCGGGCGCTCCAACCTGCGGGGGTTGCCTTTCCTGATTGTAGCCGAATCCTCCGCTGCTTGTGGACTCCTCGTAACCGCCGGCATAGGTTGGCGAAGCGATAGCGGGCTGGGATGACTCGGCGGTCGGCGGTCGAACGCTCAATATGGCAGGAGGAGCCATATGGGAGCCATTTGATGGCTCTTCCTGGCTTGCGTGCGCATGGGCGTTGATATCGAGCGGCTTATTTGGGCCGAGATATTGCGAGAGGAGAATGGTGCGGCGCTTCTGATAACTACACCATTGTTAGCTGGCAATTCATATGAAACGTGTCACGGCTGAGCTATGGGCACCCGAATCCCATTTTCTGGTCCCTCAGATCCAGTGAGGAGCGGTAATCGAGGATCCTATCTTACCCTTTCTGCGTGATTTCGCCATCCTGTTAAGCAAAACCGTGTTAGCGCAACAGGCATTTCATAGCGGTCGTACAGCCGCAAGCACATACCTCCAGTTCTTGGTCCAAGTCCTTCAACTTGGCCTGGAGCTCCGGACTCTCTTCCGCCATTAGATAAGAGAGAGAGCGTCAACTCGAGGAAAGTGGATCGAACACGCGGGGGAGGGATGAGGTTTAGGAACACCTCATTGCAGTAAGTTTGAGGCGCGGTGGGGGGGTAGAGGGGAGAGTAATCCGCCGTGGCCCCTGTTGATTGTCGAATTACCCGAGATCGTTGACAGGCAACGAATCGTCGTGTCTCTAGCAAGTCGGAGTCCACGGCGAGCCGCAACGTCACCCGCACTCTCAGGGCGGTCAGGGTGGGCCGAGCACAACTGAGACAAACAGCATACAATTGGGGCCAGTGATGCTCGCTTAATGGTTGGCGAAGGCTATTCTGGTTTTGCTACGTCGGATACGAAGACTCGGGTCGAGAGGGCAACTGTGGCTTCTCCGGTGGGAGGGGATTCGCGCGTAGACAAAGTACTCGGCACTCCAGGAACGCACAATCCTATGCTGTCTAGTTGGGCGGAATGGCATTTAAATGGGATTATATTCTCAATGATAGAATAGAGATAATGGCTTATACTTCCATTGTTGTCTATACTTCACCTGTTCGAAATGAAAGAGACGATTAGTGGACCAAATGGACATTGCGCAGACTAGACAATTTCGGCCTGAGGCATAAGGGTCTCGATCACATGATCCAGGGCGAGTGATTGGCTGAGTCATTCTGCCCTAACTCACATGACCCCCACAAGAGGGCTAAGCGAGCGCACCTCCAATTTCACTTGTGCTGCGCTCTACTGACCGATCGTTCAACCTCACATCGCCAAACCCGGTTCCCATCCATTCCCCTTCGACACAGTCAACATGTCCGACAACGGGGACGTCGAGGTTGCGACCTTCACCTCCCTTCCCAAGGATGTCCTCGCCAACGAGGGCCAGGTCAAGCTCTTCAACAAGTGGAGCTACGAGGATGTTGAGATCCGTGACATCTCCCTGACGTGAGTGTCTCTCGATTTTCTGAGGCCTGTCTTTGCGTGGGAAAATGCATTGTGTGCTACGAGTCTTGCTGGCGAGCATTCGATTGTGGGATACAATCTTTGCGCGGATCGGAAAAAAAAAATCAACAAGTGTCGAAATTTGTTCAGCACGCAGCCACGCCTGCTACTGTTGCTTGAATACATCGTTTCGGGATCAGGCGAGACAGAAGACAGCCACAAATGCTTTTCTCGCGCAATTTGACAAGCCAATTTACGAATTTACGACGACCAGAGATGCTGACTCAATTTTCACAGCGACTACATCCAGATCCGCTCCCCGGTCTACGTCTCCCACACCGCTGGCCGCTATGCCGCCAAGCGTTTCCGCAAGGCTCAGTGCCCCATCGTCGAGCGTCTGACCAACTCGATCATGATGAACGGTCGCAACAACGGAAAGAAGCTCCTGGCTACCCGCATTGTCGCCCACGCCTTCGAGATCATCCACATCATGACCGACCAGAACCCCATCCAGGTCGCCGTTGACGCCATTGTCAACTGCGGTCCCCGTGAGGACTCCACCCGTATTGGTTCCGCCGGTACCGTCCGCCGCCAGGCCGTCGATGTCTCCCCTCTTCGCCGTGTCAACCAGTCCATCGCTCTCCTCACCATCGGTGCTCGCGAGGCCAGCTTCCGTAACATCAAGAGCGTCTCTGAGTGCCTTGCTGAGGAGCTGATCAACGCCGCCAAGGGCTCCTCCGTGAGTTTTCATCCCATTCCAACAGTCAATTGCATCAAGTTGAGCCTCGAGCACGGATCCTGTGTTCGAATCTCGAAACCTACTTGTTCAATTTTCTGTCGTTCATTTCGTCATTATAGTGATCATACTAACCGTGGTATCTTCACAATTATAGAACAGCTACGCTATCAAGAAGAAGGACGAGCTCGAGCGTGTCGCCAAGAGCAACCGGTAAAGTGGGAGTTGGGATATCCGTTTCGACCTCTGTTTACGCATCATGGAGTGGACGGGGGGTTTGTACCGGGATTCAGTCGATTTGTGTGCATCTACGTGTCTGTTGATTCAGTCACGGAGGAAGCACAATCCAAAAAAGAACGGAATTGGATGGCTTTCTCTGGGGTGGATGGAATGCATTGGCATGAAGACCTATGGCCAATTTTCAATATGAAAAAAATTTCTGCCTCTTTAAAAATTATTACACTTCTGTTGTAGTCATAGAGACCTTGAGGTCGGTTATCGATCAGACGCAGTTGCTGCGCATGGTGTGGTACATTACGTCGTGTAAGATTTTCAGCGATAGGAGACTTATCGTGTATGGTATTTAATAAATCAATGCGTGATTAATCAGATCACTAGAGGAATCTTATAAAATACTGCGCTCAATACAGTCTAAATTTTGATATACAATTTTTCAGTCTTCGTTGCGGTCCGGTGCGCTTGTCCCCAAATCGGGTCGCTTATCGATACGGCGAAAAAAAAGTTTCGGAGAGGCGGCCTCAACCCCAACCTCCTTCCTCCACCCGCCACTTTATCCCACTCCAGACACCGTCAAGATGGTGAAAAGAAAGCTCGGGGCCTTGGAAAAGGTCGAGGCTGACCTGTAAGTGTCTTAATCTGCGATCGCGCAGTGCCTCCACGCTACGCTCTGGTCCAGTTCGGATCAGAGGTTTTAAGCCGGTATATTGATACTTTGTTTTCTCGCTTCACAGGCCTAATCTGCAGCACAAAATTCGCAGAGACCCAAAGTAAGTCATTGAAGATCCCCGCCTGCATCTGAAGATGGTATACCAGTACTGACCGGTGCTTTTAATCTCTCAGATCCTACGTCGAAGATTTTCGCGCGCAGCACTACCAATATGAGTCGCATCGTGAGATTTTCATGGCCGCGCCAACTTCGGCCACGGACACCGGTGTCATCTCCCTCCGAGACCTGATCGATTTCATCTCTCATGTCGCCGATTGCTACCCAGATATCCTAAAGGATTTCCCCCAGCAACTCATCGATCTTTTGATGCAACACCATTTGGTGCTGGAGCCGGAGTTGAGGGAAAAGATTGTTGGAAGTCTGGTTCTCCTGAAGAAGAAGGATTGCATGGATTCAGCAACGTAAGCATGACCTAGAAAAGTTCATATGAAGTACGTTCCAGATGGCTAACTGACTCTCTTGCAGATTACTCCATACTCTGTTCCCTATTCTCATTTCCACGCCAAGCAAGACCCTACGTGCTCTTCTGTTCCAGAAGATTTTGTCTGAGCTTCGCACAGCTAATGCGCGGACCACCAACCACAAGCTCAACCGGACCATGCAGACCGTTCTCTTCAACCTGGTTACGTCGGATCGCAGATCCTCAAAAGCACTTTGGGCTATCAAGTTGACCCGTGAGTTGTGGAAGCGCCAGATCTGGACCGATGCAAAGACAGTCGAGATCATGAAGGAGGCCAGCCTGTCCGAGAACGAGAAGGTCACTGCAGGTGGTGTACGCTTCTTCCTCGGCGGTGACCGAGAACGTGAGGAGATGGAGGACGAGGACAGTGACGACGACGTCGATGTCGGTCGCATCAGGCATCAGCTTGGTATTAACAAGAAGACCAAAAAGAAGGCGCGCGTCGCGGAGAAGGCCGTGGCTATGCACAAAAAGAAGGAGAAGAAGAAGAACCAGCCTCACCCGCTCAACTTCTCGGCCCTTCATTTGCTACACGATCCTCAAGGGTTTGCGGATTCCCTCTTCACCAAGCACTTGAAGACCTCCAAGATCAACCGGCACAACCGGGAGCAGAAGCTTCTTGTGTTGCAGCTGGTCTCACGTCTGGTGGGTCTGCACAAACTGCACATCATGTCGCTCTACTCGTGGTTCCAGAAGTATCTCGTCCCCAAGGAAGAGAACGTGACCTCCTTCTTGGCGTCGCTCGCTCAAGCAACGCACGATTTGGTGCCTCCGGATGTGCTCGAGCCTCTCATTCAGAAGATTGCCAACGAGTTCGTATCCGAGGCATCAGCTGGAGAGATTGCTTCGGCCGGTCTCAATGCCATTCGAGAAATCTGTGTTCGTCAACCCCTCGCCATGAATGAGACCTTGTTGCAAGATCTCGTCATGTACAAGAAGAGTAAGGACAAGGGTGTGATGATGGCTTCCAAGGGCCTGCTCAGTCTGTACCGAAATGTCGGTGCCGATATGCTCAAGAAGCGGGATCGCGGCAAGGAAGCGTCCATGAGCCTTCGGGCCGGTGACAGGGAGCAGAGACGCTTCGGTCAGCAGGAGAGCGGAGGAATCGAGGGCATTGAGCTTCTGGAGAAGTGGAAGGAGGAGGAACGCCGCAAGAAGCGAGCGGAGAATGGCCTTGACCCTGATGCCGAGGGTGACGAGGATGACGAGGACGCCGATTGGGACGCCTGGAATGTCGAGGATGACGAGGACAGTGATGATTCTGGCGGCTGGATCAACGTTGAGAGCGATGGAGAGATCGATTTCAGCGATTCAGAAGACGAGGGCAAGGATCGTCCGTCGAAGAAGGCCAAGCAGGATGCCGAGAACAAGGAGAAGGATGCCAGCGAGGAGGCCAAGATCTCCAGCTTGGCCACCACCCGCATTCTCACGCCCGCCGATCTGGCCAAGCTCGCCGAGCTCCGAGCCCAGGCGGCCGTTGACTCCGCACTGCCAAAGTCCCGCCGTGGACAGGTTGGTGACAGGCACGTTGACGACGGTTTGACCGCCGAGGAGATCGAGGGTCTCGCCGCTCTGTCCAAGGGCAAACTGACCCGTGAGGAGCGAATTGCCCACGCACGTGAGGGCAAGACCGATCGCGCAGAGCACAAGAGTAAAGAAGCCAGGCGCAAGGAGCGCAAGGAGGAGCAGGGCAAGAGTACCACCAACAAGGAGAAAGCTCGCCGTAAGAACTTCCTCATGACTCTGGGCAAGGCGAGAAGCAAGAACAAGCGCAGTCTGGTCGAGACCCGGGCCGTGTTGAAGGCGCATCACGACCGGGCCAAGAGAGGTGGAAAGAGAGGCAACCTTGGCAATTAAGTTTGGTCTTTCAGTACATATGCACGAGTAGACAAAATAATGGCGATCTATCATGGGATTCGGCGTTTCTGACCTTGAATGCAATATACTTCGACTTGACAATCTCACCTGTTCAGTTCCAAGGTTCTACCGATGTGCACATATGCATTGTAGTCACTGAAACGACAATCTTAAATTTGCCACGCTTGGCCCGGTTCATAAGCCTCGAAGGGAGGGTTTGCTATCTACTAGATCCGTGGACCATCATTCCCTGATATATATCGCAGTTGGGGTACTGAAGGTCAAATAAACTACACTCGGGTGCTTGGGTGCCACCTCATACTTTCAAGGCTAGGTAGTCACGCAAGCCTAAACTAAACATACTCATTAGACAGATGGATATCTCAGCGCAAGGAAGACCGACCTCGTCGGATAGCTGCATACTCCGGCTTCACCCAATCAACCGATCTGATTGCATGATATGGCACGTGCACGTCACTAGCCCTAAGCCCTATCCGGAATAGGCTTAATTGAAAAACGTGTCGCGTCTCCCCGCGTCGCGTTTCCCAGCCGCATCATTTTGCGGCGCCTCTTATCTCCCCATTCCTCCCCAGCAACCGATCCTGCATCCCACCCGTCCCGGTTCCAACCCCCCTCAAGAAATCCTGCATAATCTCCACTCTCTCTACGCCTTGCGTCTTTCTCGCCATGCGTACCGTCATTTCGCAGTCGATGATGCCGACATCCGACAGTACCTTGTCTAAGCGTCGACGCTTCCAACCCGCCATCACCAGTTTCTTCAACTCGGTGCCTGCAGAACCGCACTCCCAAGATGGCAACATCGTCTCACACAACCACTACTCGGCTGCGACATTCTCGCCGACTCCCGTGGTGCCGGCCAAGGTTCAATCATCACTTCTCTCAGTCGGAATGCGTGTTCGGAAGTCTGTTGCGGATGGATACAGGACTCAGTTGGCGATGAAAAACGAGAAAATCTTGCCATCCACCAACGCTACTGAACCAGCTGTCATTCAACCGTATTCCGGAAGCAGTGGATACGCTGAACTGGCACCTTTTTCCGGCCTTCCTAAATCCTCTCAGGACCCATACTCCGCCGATCACCTCATCACCGACGATGGTGATGCTTTTTCTCTCCCGCCAAGCAGCCAAGAGTCTATCGATTCCTCAATCTCCTTGGGTCAAAAGCGGTCGTTTGAAAATGACATCTTAGTTGACGATGATGCCTTTGAAGACCATTTTGAAGACCATGCCAATGATGGAGGCTGGCAGGACGTCCCCGCCGGACGTCGCATCCTCTCTCCTAGTCTAGGACAGCAGAGACGCCGTATGCTTGCTCTGCGTGGCACAATGAACCAGTCCACCATGGACCTGGGTGACTTTGAAGAGGCCTCTTTCCTCCGTCGCCGGGAAGAGGTTGACGCCGACTACGCCCGGATGGACTGTGCTTGATCTACGTCTCAAACTTGGATCCTTTTTGCTGCCACTGGATGGCACGTGCGCTTTGGTTGATCCAATGCGGCCTGTAATTGCGCCGGCACCAAGCCTCCAAACCAGGGGAAGCTTGACTTCACTTTCCTTGTACTTGGCTTTCACCCTTTTTCAAACCTGTATGACCACCTGATCTGTACTTATACCCATCTTCGTTCTGTTTTGCACCCATATTGCCTGTACCATCTCTTGAATCATTTCGCGCAGTGCACGGAATATCTGAAACTAGATTTGATCTTCAATACTCGAAACCTTAAGATATTTTCTGTCTGTCAGTGTACCTTGGAAGCTCATGTTGCATCCCGACGCAGGACCCACAGTATAAGCTCCTTGTGCGGATAGTGTAACATCGGGTTGTCTTCGGGCCCCTTCTCGATTTTGCCGAGAATCCCGATCAGAAGATGACTCGCAGAAATTTTCTCACGATGGCAACGATGCAAGGGCCACTCTCTGTCGAAGGATTTGATATCTAGGGATTGGAGTTTCTCCCGGGAATGCTGGTCCTGCAAGGATCTGCACCCGTTACACAGTTGTTACATTGCATGTCCAGGGTACTTGAGTAACCGGTCTCGCTTATAAGTTAAAAATAGGAATTGAATAAGAACGTTTTTGTTCTGGTCATAGACTACCAGTACCGTACTTATCAATGGAGTCGAACCATACCCGTGACCGAGGCTCTCCGTTCCTCAATCCCGAAACAGCCATGTAACGTGGGGTTCAGGCTGAATACCGACAGTCAACCGATGAAGTTAAAATTTCCGGAAAGTCATTCATCGGGGTCTGCAAATCCACAGCGTGCAGTGTTCATCGTGGAATCTAAAATTGGAGTCGTGCTGCTGATCCACCCCGGCTTCGATTGCAACATAGCAACGGAGCTTCTGGAAACTTACTATCTTGTCTTTTATTGGCTAACGTCCATGTCTTACTTCGATTGAATACTACTTCAGATCTATGCAGAGTGAAGTAGTTTTCGGTACATCCGGTTTCTCTTATACCGAAGATTTGGTCCCGATAATTCCGTTAAGTACCTATTTCACGCATTAAGTCTGTGCATATATTCCTCAATAATCAATATTTCCTTAATCCTCAAGCAAAAGTCATCACATCATGCTATTCAGGCCAACTATACTCCTCCTTACCTTGGCCGGCATGACCTACGCCTCACCTGCGCGCCTCGCCTCCCTCTCAACCAGAGACAACTACCCTACAAACATCGGCAACCCATCGTACTGCGAGACAACCGGAATATGCGACTCGTCCAAACTATCCAACGGGAATACTCAATGCACCGACGACGAAAAATTGACATGCCAATACTACAGCTGCAACGTTGCCTGGGACGAATGCCAAAATGACGGCAGCTTCGGATCCTGCTCCAACGCTCTAAACACATGCGAGCCCGTCGGAGGTCGACCGATGTCCGAAAACGATTGCAACAATTTGTTCACAGGCTACGACGGCTCTGTCTGTCAGGACTGTACCTCGGCTATTAATGGACGGTGTCATATCAACCCGGAAGCCTATACGGAATTTTCCGAGGGAGATGCTTGCAAAAAGTCAACCGAGGAGTGTCTCCGTGAAGACTCTTGCCTCTCAGCTCTTTTTGACTGCGAGTACATTGGTGGACCCGAGATCTCCGAGGATACGTGCAAGCATGCTATTATGGGGTATCAGACGAGCGAAACAGAAATCCAGGAGGGGCCTGTGTGTGATGATTGTACATCTTACATCAATGAGAGATGTCTATTGGATGAGGTCAACCTTTCTGCATTTGAAAAGGATTACCAGATCATCTAGTGGGGTTTCACTATGAGTTGAAATGAGCTTAATGCATAATGGATCGAATTTTGTGCCGAATGACTTCTATTTAACAAAGAGGCCGGTCGCCTCAAGACGCTGTGGGATCGACGATGTTATCTGCCTTGACAATTTCTCGAAGCTTGAAAGTCGTCGTAAAGTTCTTCTGTTTCACAAACCAAGCATTGACCAATTCCCACTCTTGATTTGGATCCTTGAATTGAATCTAGAGATGCTGATTAGTCGTGGCACCATACAAGGTGTAAGAAGAACATACCTCAAATCTCCGCAACATGCTGGGTACAAGCTTATAGATCTCCAGGAGACTGATGTTCTTTCCAATGCAGGTCCGACTGCCCATACCAAACTGGAACATAGTCCCGTTCATTTCCTTAATGCGGCGATCTTCCGCAGTCTTGCCAATTTCCGTCTTGACAGTTTCCTCATTTGGAAGCCATCGTTCAGGGCGATACATCTCCGCATCTTCACCAAAGACACCCTTGTTCATATGAATAAGCCAAGCCGAGCAGCCCACGATAGTTCCACCGGGGACGAAATGACCGGAAATTTCCGCTCCAGCCTCTGGCACGATCCGCTCCAATGGCAGACCAGCGGCAGGATGCAGACGGAACGCCTCCTTGATGCAAGCGTCAAGGTAGGGGAGATCCTGGCTCTCATGCCAAGTCACAAGGCCAGTCTCAGAGTCACCAAAGGCCCCAGCGCGTGCGGCATCATCGATTTCTGCTCGGAGACGTGCCAAGGCTCCGGGATGCTTGAGCAAGAAGTAGAAAACGGCAGACAGACTGATAGCAGTCGTCTCGGAGCCAGCAAATGCCATGCTAACAGCCATGGTCTGGACCAGGGTTTGGGACATGAATTCAGGGTGGGACTCATGGGCTGCCAGGAACTTGGAAAGAAGGTCCGGTGACTTCACGCTTACTGCCTGAGATTCTTGAGATTCTGGCTTTTCGTTGCTCAAGTGTGGCAGTCGCTCGGCCATGCGATTGTTAGCAAAGCGCGCAACGGGAAAGGTGGCATCGATGAAGCCCCACTGAGAGAGCTTGAGGTAGATAGGATTCTTGAGAAGAAGCCGGTCAAGGAATGGAATTTGTCCAATCTGGAAAATAAATGCTGTTAGCGGGATATTGAGCAGGAGTTGATCTAGGGAAACATACGGGTGCAACATAGAGGAACAACCAGGACAAGTACCCGACGATACCGTCAACGTCCTTGTTGTTCTCAACAAATCCGTGTCTCTTGCTGTAGGTGATCTCTCCAATCACATCAAAGGCATAGAATTGTAGCCACTGGGTAAAGTCACATCCTTCGGGGTTTTCAACGAAGATCTTTTTCGTCTGCTCCAAGAACAGCTTTGTGGTGTTGTCGACAAAAGGTTCATACTGGACCAAAGCAGACATGGCAAACGCTGAGTTGACACATCTACGGAATCTTGCATGGAAGTCATTGTTCGTCGAGCTAAAGAGAGATTGTAGACGGTGACCCTTTGAGATGGATTGTTGAACAATATAAAAGTCCGACTTGTCATAGTCAGTAATGGCCTAGATGCTTCCTGCGAGTGAATACACTTACTTTAACGAATCCTTTGTTCAAGCCGTAGATTGACTTGAGGGCACTGGGATCAGAAAACGAGAGAGCATTCGGCCCAAGCCGAACGACGTCGCCATATTTCTTGTGCAGTGCTCGGTGTGTGAGTTCTGGACGGCGGCCGTAAACATCAAAAAGACGCCACCAGTCTGTAAGAGAGGCCAAAAATGGACCTGGGTACTTGTTCAGTCCGTTTCGGTATCTGTTCTTGACCAGCCACAGAAGCAGTGCGGTCCCTGATACGAGCAGCCAATGCTGGGACAGCAGTCTGAGGATGTGATCCGTAATCCCCTGCATTCTGAGAGTGATATCAAAAGATGGGACGCTCGAGAAAGGCTAGAAGGGATATCAATAGAAGAGAGGAGATGCAGATGTATCATTTACAGCAGAAGGGAAAGGGACGGAGGAACAAAGGCAGGTTAAGTGGGTGGGTAGAGTTATTGATATATGTTGAATGTACAGCAAGCAATAAGACGCGAGAGCTGGGCTAGAGGCATTCCACGGCAGTTGATGCCATCCGAAGGCCTCGTGAATGGTGGTATCAAACGAAGGAAGTCCCAAGCTCCTCACCATCTTCACTGGACGGGACTTAACCCCAGGACGAATCGGCCATCGCCACAACGCGTGAATATCCACCCAGCCCGGCTAGACCGGGGAAACCCCCCATCGCAGAGCCCCGAGCCCGGATAACAGGGAACCAATGATATACGCGGCATTCAAGGGATCATGGAAGTATAATTCGCCCAACACGATGGCCCTTAACTAGGAAGCGTTAACTTTGTTCATTTTCGTCATATACCATCATGCGAACCGAGCATGAAGTCCGCACGATAACCGATAATATTCAGAGATACTCACGTTCAAGTGTCAGAACGCACCAGACTTTGGTTATGTGGGGGATCCGTTAGACGTGGGGCGACGTGGGGCGATGATGAAAGTCCGGGGGTCCGCCTGCCTGAAGATCTGGCACCGACGGGATTTCATCACTGTGTCAACTGCCGACGTCCCTACGGCTTCCTACTATAGCTACCAAAAATTATTGTGGTCGATTTCCGCTCAAGCGATTTACTCGGTTCTTCCGAATGGGGAATTCCACTTGCGGCATGTTCTCAATTCAGAGCAGATTCGCACTCCCTCTGGAGCGCTCTCGTAGTGCTCTCATACATATGAAGATCACATTCCTAACGCATGGCTAGTGAACGGCTGAAGTTATGAGGAGTGTGGGTTAGCTTCGCATCTCCGTCTGCAGCAACAAGGTTTAGCGACCTGTCTTCTCCCTTGGGTACCTCAGATAACTGAATTGGTGGCCATGGTGGCTGGCTCACTGCTTCCGGGTATGAGATGAGGCGGGAAAGTATCAGAGTTCCTAATCGCGAAGAACATTGCGTATCCTATGTGCAAGAGCTAATTCTGTTGCCTTCTTTGTATTAGGACGTTTCTCCTTTTCATACCTTGTGAGCACATAGACGCGCCAGACGGCCGTCTGGAAGCCCCCTTTCTGTTAAAGTCAAATAGTCACCACTCATATCTTGATATCACTGGACGAAAAGCCACAAAAGATACACTGAACTTTCTTCTATCATCATCTCATCCTACTTAGGAAACCAGATCCCTTCATAGTTTATCATTCCCGAGATCGGTAGTGTCCGGGTCTCGGGAATAACCCCGCATGCTATTCCCGAGGAGAGTCAATTTTGGGGAATTTATTCTCGATGCGGAGATGCGACAAACCCTTAATTCCACGAGCAATCAGCATTGTGATCAGCACGTGTCACGTCTAGCCAACATGACTGCAAAGGGTCGATCCCGGGCCTCAACCGCGCATGAACGTGAGAGTGAAGTTCTTGACAAGAAGTATGTCTCGACTCATAAATCTTCAAGATTTTATCTAACGAGTGGCGTCCAAGGAGGTTGAGGAATCGTCTTTCGCAGCGCGCATTTCGGCGCCGACAAGCAGATCGTCTGAGAGAGCTCCTGGATCATGCCGACGCCAGTGACAGACCGTACGATGAAACAGTCCGAGCATTGCAGGAGGAAAATAGCAACCTTCGGAGGAATCTCATCGAAGTGCAATCCAAGCTGGCCAGGTTGATTGTCAATATGCAAACGTTATCAGGCAATGTATCGACGGCTCTTGGTGAATCTCCTCAGAACGATCATGACAGCATTTCCAGCGAGCACCAATCGCAACCTGTTTCTAGTATTGTCAGCAATATGCCCCAAAAACTTCCATCAAAAGAGGCGAAGAACGGTTCTCCTGTGATGGAAGTTTCGCGCCCGAGGAACTTACAACCAGCACCATGCAACTATTCCCAATTCGATGACCTTCTGACAAGCCCTGCACCCTCCCTTGAAAACCTTTTCGAGAGTGCTTGTCCGTCATCTCAGTCCCCAGAAATGAACTTGGCTGCAAGTTTTAACACTCTTGCTCAGCAACTACCGAGCATTTGGTCCTTTGAATATCAAATGGGCACCGAGCCGTACGCGAACGCCCTGACTGGAAGCGAGGATTCCTGCATTACTCGTGGTCGCAACTGGATGGAGACAAATTCTCCATTCTCCGACCATATTCAAACCCTCCAGCGACTGTTGAAAGGAAAGGTGGAGAGGATCAGCCCCTCTTCGGCGCTTAATATCAATTTGTGCGTGGGTCACCATGAAAGATCTCGAACATTGTTAATTGCTTGACAGCTTCTACCATGAGGTCCTCATGGTCTTGTCCTTGTTCAATAGCATGACTCGGCCAGATGTCATGCGCTGGTATGCGAAAACGAGATTCTACCATATCGTCAACTTGACGGCCTGGCAAATCTACCCCTGCACACATACCTATAACGAGATTCATCCGCAATATCGCCCAACAAATCTGCAGTTGCAGTGTCAGTATCCAAAAGTCATCGATTGGATACCGTTCCCCACTATACGCGACCGTCTAATTCAACTCCATTCGGCAAATCCTCAGATCGACCAGATATTCTGTGATGCTGTAAGCAGCTACGTCGTCGAGGCGTGGATGTCCGACTTGATCCAAGGTTCCCCTGCGATCAAGGCGTACATCCGAGTCACCGATCTGGTTCCAAATATTGATTTTACGACACCAGCCAGTGAGGATGACTTGGTCGCTGCTCTTCCAGCACCCGACGTCGCAACTCTCTTCTCCTCGCCAATTTGTTCAAGGGCCGTTTTTAACCGGCTCAGCATGAACCGCGGAATCTCAAACTATAAGATTGATCCTGCCTTCTTCGGCAGCTATCCAGAACTCTATGATCATAATTTCGATGTTGCTGCCAAAGGCATCCCCTTACGACCAGATGTTCAGCTTCGATTGACCTATCCAATGCCTCTTGATTCTCAAACGTACCACACATATCGCAACTTCATTGATTTTTCTTATGACGCCCCCATGTGTACAACATTGCTTGCTTGTTGAGCTTGTTTGATTGATCTGTTTGAACATATGATGATATTAATAAGATTGAACTGTCTTTGCCCGATAACCTCGCCTTTCAATGCTGGTACCGGAAGGACACAAATCCCCCTCCGACACTACCTAAACTGAGCCAGAACCTTAAGCAGGTCCCCCGTCACACCCATAGCAGTGACATCGCCTCCAGCTCCCGCACCGCGGATTGTGAGCGGCATATCTCCGTACCTCTTGGTGTAGAAACTGATGATGTTATCACTGCCCTTGAGGGTGGCGATGGGATGCATCGGATCAAACCATTCCAGTCCAACCTTGACCTCTTTAGTAGCTACTTCAATGCTACCAACGAAACGCACAACCTTTCCTTCCTTCTGGGCTGCAATTTTCTGCGCCTCCATTTGGTTGTCGAAATCAAGAAGCTTGCTGACGAATTCATGACCACTGGCCACATCCTTGAGCTCATCCGGAATCAAACTCTGCACAGGGAACGAAGATGGAGATTCAATGGGGAGACCGGCAAGTCGACCAAGAATGGTCAACTTTCGCGCGACGTCGAGACCGTTCAGATCATCGCGAGGGTCAGGCTCGGTGAAGCCCAACTCCTTTGCCCTTTTCACATTGTCCGACCACTTGCCGCCAGAGCCCGAAGTTGGAGCGAATGAGTTGAAAAGGAAGGACATGGTACCGCTGAAGACACCCTCGATACGTGTGACTTCATCGCCGGTCTGTACGAGCTCCTTAATTGTCGAGATGATGGGCATGCCTGCACCGACAGACGACTCATGGAACACCATAGATCCACCCGACTTGGCTGATCTGAAGATATCCTGCCATAGCTCATAGCTTCCGGAGAAAGCTTTCTTGTTTGGGGTGATGATGCTGATACCCCTCTTCAGGAAAGCCGGATATGCCTCCGCTAGACTACTAGCACTGGTGTTATCAACGAGGACGACTTTGTGTGGTGCCCCGGCTAAGTATTCGATGATTTCGGGGATTTTCGGTGGTGGAGACCCTGTTGACTCCAATGTAGCGAGAGCGGTGTCAATATCAATCTCGGAGTAATCTTGGTGATATAAGGCTTTATCGATCATGGCAATATAGCACAGGCTCAAGTGGGTTGAAGGCGAGTTTTTTGACAACCAGGCCAGTTGAGAAACGAAGACCGATCCCACACCTCCAGTACCTGCAAGTACATCAGTCTTCAGATCAAGGTAAACTATGACAGAACAGTAGCCTACCAATAATGGCGATATTGACCTGTTTAGGTGCCATTTGAAAGATCTCTTCGGTCAAAAACAAAGGAATTAGATGTACAAAGCTTGCATGATCCTGGACAGGGAGAGCCAGATCTTTAAACATGAGTGGGGGTAGAACACCACCGTGTAACATAAAAGATCGCCCCAACCATCTAGCAGTGTATCTTTTTAGCTACTAAGCACTTAATGTCGTTGTATTGGTGACCCCAAAGGAGATTTGCATAGTTAGGTAACCGAACGCTTATGAACCCACTTCACCAACCTCCGTTCCTGACTGTAATCGACCACTGACGTAAGTATTTCCGGCACTACACTCTCGGGAATATCATTACTGCAGATGAGAAAAGTACCTGATTATGCCTAAAGAGTAATCATCAATGAGCTACAACTGATCTGCAAAATCCAGCATCGGACGGTGACCGACGGAGGTTGACCGTGGCCGATGGCAACCGAGCAATGACTCCGATTCTATGAATGAGGAGGTGGTTGGAGTCTACTATGGCATATAAAGCCCCAGGAATGTGGCATTCGTGTAAATCAGAGACTCTGAGTGAAGAAAGATATCGTCCCATCATGAGTTCGACAGCCACCATGACCAATTACGACCTGTTGCAGGTAATTACTTTTGAGACTTCGCCCTGCTTGAACCCTGTGCTAATTTTCATAGCTGAATGACCCATCGCTGCTTCATGAGGCTTCATTGCTGAATGGAAAATGGGTGCAAGCTCAATCGGGCAAGACATTCGATGTTGAAGGTGAGTGCCCCACTGATCCGTAAAAGCCGTCTAACATCCTAACCATAAACTACCAAGATCCCGGCTCCAGACAAGTCTTTGCCGCCTGTCCCACAAACGAAGTCGCCGATGTAGACCAATACGTCGTCACCTCCCAAAAAGCCTTCGAGGGCTACCGATTGGAGAACCCGCGCACACGAGCCAAGATTCTGCTCAAGTGGCACGAGCTGATCGCCAATGCACGCGAAGACATCGCCAAGATCATGGTCTACGAGACTGGCAAGCCCATGGTGGAAGCCCTCGGCGAAGTCGACTATGCCTTGGGCTTTGCATGGTGGTTCGCGGGCGAAGCTGAGCGCATTCGGGGCTCAGTTGCGCAGCCTTCAATCTCAGACCGGCGCACATTCGTCATTAAGCAGCCCATCGGAGTTAGCGTGGCTCTTGTCCCGTGGAATTTCCCAGTTGCTATGATTATCCGAAAGGTCGCTGCCGCTCTGGCCGCTGGGTGCTCGATGATCGTGAAGCCTTCGCCGGAGACTCCTCTCAGTGTTAATGCGCTTGCAGACCTTGCCATCCGCGCTGGACTGCCCGCTGGCGTTTTGAATGTGATTTCCACCGACAATGAGAATACGCCCGCTGTTAGCGAGAGGCTCTGCAAGCACCCTTTGGTGCGGAAGGTGACATTCACTGGAAGTACGAGGGTGGGCAGTATCGTGGCGAAGCACTGCAGCGAAGGGCTGAAGAAGGTCACCATGGAATTGGGTGGCAACTGCCCCTTCATCGTCTTCGACGATGGAGACCTCGAACAGGCCGTGAATGCATTGATGATTCTCAAATGGCGCACTGCGGGCCAGGCGTGTACACACGCCAATCGCGTCTATGTGCAAAGCGGCGTGCATGACAAATTCACACGGATGATTACCGAGGCAACGACTCAAAAGATTCGTGTCGGGCATGGAACTGATCCCTCAACGACGATGGGTCCTCTGACGACTAGCCGTGGCATTGAGAAGCTGGAGCGCCATGTGAAAGATGCCGTTAAGCGCGGCGGCAAGGTTCTCTGTGGTGGAAAGAAGCCTGCACAATTGAACGGACATTTCTTCGAGCCGACTATTATCTCGGGTATGACCTCGGAGATGCTGACTACCCGGGAGGAAATCTTCGGTCCGTTGCTGGGGCTCTATAAGTTTGATACGGAGGAAGAGGCTGTACAGATGGCTAACGATACTTCCATGGGGTTGGCCTCTTACTTCTTTACCAAGAGCGTTGATCGGACTTGGAGACTCCTCGAGAATCTCGAGGCTGGAATGATTGGCATGAATACAGGCAACTCGTCTTGCGCCGAGTCTCCGTTTGGCGGTATCAAGGAGTCTGGTTATGGCAAGGAAGCTGGCAAAGATGTTGCGATCGAGGAATACTTGATTTCCAAGACTGGAACTTTGACAGTTGGGGCATGAAGCCATGAAAGCTGATCTTGGAGATAAGATGGAACATGTATGACAACTAGAAATTGGGACATATGCTTTTTTAATGACAAGCGGTTCTAACCATGAAGTAAACTGAAAAGGGTGAAAGAAAAAATAAGTCCTAGGACCAGTAAATCCCCAGTCCCGAACTCCATTGCAAATTCTTTCTCTAATATTTGAAACATGGCATGAGTGTATGGCACACGGGATATGGAAATCATGCTTTATACTTCCAACAGCTTACAATATTCGAAAAGGATGACGAAAGAAAAGGCTTAGAGCTCATCCTTCCGAGTATCGTCCTGGGCCTTCTCCTTCTCCTTGGCCTTGCTCTTATCAGCCTCGGGCTTATCCTTCTTGCCCTTCTTGCTGCTGTTTTTCTTAGACTGCTTGCCAGCGGCCGCAGTCATGCGCTCATACATGCGGTTGAGAATGCGCTCGAACTCGCGCAGACGTGAGTCGATGTCCACGACAGTCAGAGCGGGGTCATCCGAGCCAGCGAGCTTTTCTTGAAGTGCGAGCTGGGCCTCGAGCCAGGGCTTGGTGGACTCGAAGGCCTGGGTCAGGGAGCTGAGGTCGCTGGGGGTAAAGAGGGTATACTTGGGGCCAGTGGGCTTGGCGCTAGCGGCCGACTTGGTGGTCTTTGAAGAAGCGGTGGTCGAGTATGAGTCATCATCAAGGTCCTCGAGATCATCAGAGGCAGCCGGGGTCGCGGCGGTGGCCGAGCTGGTCTCCGATTCAGTGGTCGAGGTGCTCGACGCGGAGAGGGAGGATGAGTAGCTCTCCTCGTCGGTGGCGATTTGACTCTCGATCAACTGCTTCATGGACTCGGCGTTCTTGAGCATGTCCCTGAGAAGCTCCACACGCGCCGGACGGTCGGTAGACTCCTTCATCCGCTTGAGAGCCGGGTTGACGATGGACTTCAAATCCTTCAGCTTTGACTGGAATTCCGCAGTCTTGGCATTATCGCTGTCTTCGTAGAGCCAGTCGCTAGCCTTGGCAACATTGTCCTGAAGGATGGCCAAGTCGTCGCCCTTGACAGCCTTGACGAACTCTTCGTTATCGGCGAGATCCCGGCTCCGGTAGATGAAAGCCTCCAGCTCATTGAGAGCCTCTTCGCGGAGAATACGATCGCGGTCAGAGGCATCAAAGGCCGACAGGCGACTGCGAATGCGACCCAGCTCAGAGGCAGAAGGAGTCTTAGTTCCAAGCGGGGTCGACTTCAAGCTGATGGGGATAATCTCAAGCTTGGGCTGTGTAGATGCTTTCGCAGCATCCTTAGCGGCGGTAGCAGTAGCGGTGGTGGCAGAAGAGGCGGTTGAGGACTCAGCTTCAGCCTCGAGAGTGATCGACTCGCTGGGCTCGCCATCTTCACCAAGAGGCTGCTGGTCTCCCTTTTTAGAGCCAAGACCAAAGAAGCCCTTGACATCGTCGACAATTCCCTTCTTCTCGGCCTCGACTTCGCAGCTCACATTGCCACTGGTGACTTCGGGAAGGCCATTTACGGGGCTGAGACGAATAGCGAATTTGGTTGTGATGTTTGCGGCTGCGCAGCCAAATGTATCCTTCAGCTTGTTCACAGACGCGGTAAGGTTTTGGGTTTCGACGCTTAGAACGGGTCGGCTGTCTCGACCCTGATCAATCTGCTGGTAGAAACTAAATTCAAAATCATCCAGGTTCTTCAGAGTGACCTGCTTCTCAGGGCCAACCTGGGAAGTGGCAGTGAATAGTTTCTGGGTTCGGTCCTTGCCATCCGAGTTCCACTTCAGCGTGATAGGGTACGAAGCCGCATCGTAGGCGCGGATGTCCTTGACACGGAAGCTGGGGCTGAGGGCAGCACCCTTGAAGGCGGCACCAAAGACAGCCGCCTCATCAGCGTTGACGTTGGTACGGAGCTTCTTGGACGAGCCGCAGACCTTCTCTAGCTCCCTTTGGACGAAGGGAGTGCGGATACATCCACCGTGCAAGACAATAGAGTCGATATTGTCCAGGTTTAGACCGGCGGCCTCCAGAGAGTCCTTCAGAGGAGCGCCAATACGAGCAATGTGATGTGCAGCCAACTTCTCAAAAGTGGCGCGGCTGATCTTGTACTTGAAGTTCAGGTCCTCGTCATACAGACCCTCGAAGCTGGTGGAAGTTTCGGTGTTGGCGCTCAGAACCTGTCGGACTTTTTCGGCATCCTTCCAGAGTCTCGCCATGGTCTTGCCGTGGGCCTTCACTTGTTCCGCGGTAACCTTGCCCTTAAGTTTCTTGTCATCGACCAGCTTCTCCACCATGTCGTTGACAATAAGGTCATTCAGGGAATCCCCACCAAGCGTCCTATCCCAACCAGCTCCCATAACATGAACTTCCTGGACAGTCTTGTTGAACTTGCCGAAATCCTTGACTTGGCGACTCTGAAAGCGCAACACGCTGGCGGTAGTCGATCCAGCACCCATGTCAAAGATAACATGGTACTCGGGCTTCTCTCCATCCGAGACACTAGGGAACTTCCGAGTAGTGGCGTAGTTCAATCCAACAGCCAATCCATCACTGACAAAAGCCTCGATGTTCAACCCGGCCAGTTCGGCCGCCAGCTCAAGACTTCTCTTCTCCTCCGCGGTGTAGAAGACAGGATAGGTGATGACGACATCACGAATATCCGAGCCCTTACCAGCCAGTATGTCTGCGTTGGACTTGACTTCCTGCAGTTGCATGGCCAGAATCTCCTCGACCAAGAACGCGTCCTTCTTCTCCGCCTCTCCGAGTCTGTTGCTGCGTAGGGCGACAGAACCGCGGCCATCAGGGGCACTCTCGAGCTTCAGGGCTGGAAACCGGCTCCAGTAGCCCTTGACCGTTTCGTCGTTTCCGTCATTGAATTGGACCCCCAGGAGGGTCTTCAGGTTGCTGTAAACATCATCCGGATACCGAGCCGCCAGGGCAAGCGCATTTCCGCCGTAGAATCGTTCAGGGAAAGGCGCGCTGGTGTCCCTTGTCGGCTTGAATGCGATGGCAGCTGTCTCCTTGCGCTTCGAATCCTTGGACAGAACGATCTCGAGGGGAATGCCGGGTTTCACGAGCGCGGCTTTCAGGTATTCGGTGCCGACATCGACTCCAATAACCGCAGATCCAGCAGCGGAAGCTTGTCCAACGAAGCTGATCAGGAAGATCAAGAAGGGAAAGATCACGAGGGAGAGGAAAGGGGAGGTCGGTAACCGTCGGTGGCCCGGGAGAGCCATGGTCTATGTCTAAGCTGCGCACTGAGATGAGCCAATTATTCATTCAAAGATTGGGCTCTCAAGGAGAGGTTCGGCGCACATTAATCCAGCTGTATATAAGCACAAAAGATCAAGCAGAAATCACCCCGCTCCACCAGATCGCTAAGCCGTGTGTTGGTGGAACGCTGGCCTTGCGCCAGACGGAAAGCGGATATTTTGCTATGAGATCGGTTCGAAATGGGCGGGGGAGGTTAGGATAAGGATTCGAAAGAAAATTGAAGGAGATGAAGATACGAATTCACATAAATCAAGCCATCCGGGCGCGAGGGATGCTGTGGCCACTTGTCAAAAGAAGCACACGGCGCATCTAAGGCCACGGGTCCGATCAGGATCTCCGGTGTTTGCACCGTTTGCACGTTGCCCATGCGCTTACGTCAGAGCCCTAGTCGGGTCCAACTGGGACGGGCCTATATACTCCGTACATCCAGCAAACATGTCGAATTAGCTGAAGCTGTAAACAAAAAGTGCTCAAAAGAATTGTTGGTTTACTGGTCTACTCAAGAAAGGTTGGAAAAGTATATCATCAGATTGAAGGCCAATTAAATCACTAACTAGATATTGTATTTGTAAGGAACGTCCGTGATAGTCAGAAACCAAATCAGAGAACCACCACCCTCTGCCGGGGTGGAGAGGGTGGATATTAGGGTATTAATACTGGGTCATCCACTTTCCCCCCAGTCCCAAGAATCCAATTTTTTTGGGTTTTTCTTTTTCCTTCGTATACTCTCGACCTCAACAATGCCATGTTGTCTATGGCTATATCACAAAGTTATTAAAGCAGCGCAAAGAAGACAGCAAGTCCGGGAATAAGACCGGCCAAGGACATCTTGTACTGAGAGGAGGCTCCGCTGAATTGGGATGTTTGAGCAGGCGCAGGCGGCGTGCTGGAAGAGGACGAAGGAACGGCGACAGATGAGGCCGGCACAGAAACGGCCGAAGACCCTTCAGGGACCGGTACGCTAGTTTCAGGAACAACGACAGGGCTGGAAGTAGGGACCACGACAGAGGTGGAAACAGGGACAACGATTGTTGAGCCAGGAACAGACGGAACAGAATTACCAGGCAGGGTAGTCGGCACGACGCATCCCTCGGTGCAAGTCACCACGGAGGTAACGGTCAAAGTGCTGGTCTGGGTCACCGGAGTGGTGACAATAGTCGAGCCACTAGTGATTGTGCTCCAGGTGACTGTCTAAATTAGCAACTAGGGTACTACTATATCTGCAGATTTTACTTACCAGGGCAGGTGGTCGTGGTGTAAGTAACCGTCATAGTAGTGACAGGAGGCGGCGTTGGCACTGTAGACGTTTCGCATGGGGTCGTCATTGAAGTCGTCGTTGTAGTAGACTCGCATGGGGTGGTTGTGGGAGTAGTCGTAGTAGTGGTCTCGCATGGAGTCGTCATTGAAGTCGTCGTTGTAGTAGACTCGCATGGGGTGGTGGTGGGAGTAGTCGTTGTAGTCTCACATGGAGTCGTCATTGAAGTCGTCGTTGTAGTAGACTCGAATGGGGTGGTTGTGGGAGTAGTCGTTGTAGTCTCACATGGAGTCGTCATTGAAGTCGTCGTTGTAGTAGACTCGCATGGGGTGGTTGTGGGAGTAGTCGTAGTAGTGGTCTCGCATGGAGTCGTCATTGAAGTCGTCGTTGTAGTAGACTCGCATGGGGTGGTGGTGGGAGTAGTCGTAGTAGTCTCACATGGAGTGGTGGTGGGAGTAGTCGTAGTAGTCTCACATGGAGTGGTGGTGGGAGTAGTCGTAGTAGTCTCGCATGGAGTGGTGGTTGGAGTAGTCGTAGTAGTCTCGCATGGAGTGGTGGTTGGAGTAGTAGTCTCACATGGAGTGGTGGTGGGAGTAGTCGTAGTAGTCTCGCATGGAGTGGTGGTGGGAGTGGTAGTCTCGCATGGGGTGGTGGTGGGAGTGGTAGTCTCACATGGAGTGGTGGTGGGAGTGGTGGTGGGAGTGGTAGTCTCGCATGGAGTGGTGGTGGGAGTAGTTGTAGTAGTCTCGCATGGAGTGGTCATTGGAGTGGTCGTAGTAGTAGTTTCACATGGAGTGGTGGTGGGAGTAGTCGTAGTAGTCTCCTCGCATGGAGTGGTGGTGGGAGTAGTCGTTGTAGTCTCCTCGCATGGAGTGGTGGTGGGAGTAGTCGTTGTAGTCTCCTCGCATGGAGTGGTGGTGGGAGTAGTCGTTGTAGTCTCCTCGCATGGAGTGGTGGTGGGAGTAGTCGTTGTAGTCTCCTCGCATGGAGTGGTGGTGGGAGTAGTCGTTGTAGTCTCCTCGCACGGGGTCGAGGTGGGAGTCTCAGTCTCACAGGGCGTAGTTTCACCACCCCAACCACCATCTCCACCTCCATCACCTCCATTTCCACCTGGGCCACCCCATCCGCTGTCGTCGCCGCCTCCGCTATTCCATCCACCACCATTGCCTCCGTCATCATCACCACCCCGGGCCACGACATTAAAGTCGGCGGCAGACTCTCTCGGCAGGACGCCAGCGGAGGTCAAGCTGGCGACAGCCAACAGAAGAACTGAAACAGCACGCATCTTGTATAGCAAACGAGAGGAATGCTAGGATAACCTGGTGTCAGGGCAATGCTTATCAACTAATCCTTGAAACGACAGGCAGTACCTAGGTAGGAACTAGGTAGGAACCGTAGCGAAAGAGTTCCTAGCACAGATTACTTTCCGAACCAGAAAGCTAGGAGGAGAGGGAGGTGCTTTATAGATTAAGTCCCCGACTGCAGCTGCTGTCTGGGCGGCCCGGGAGTCAGATGTTGACATCAGAGACCTTCTCTGGGCCCCGTTGATAGGGCCACCTCGATTCGACTGGCGCAAGAGTCGATCCATGCAGCCGTGGAATCAAAACATGGCTGACGAGTGGCAACCGGCTTGGGAAGTTAACCAGAATAGGCAAGCGGGTAAAAGGGTCATCGTCGACGGCCGGCCACGATGCGTAGTGAGCCGGGCTTCGATGCAGGGCCGACGCTAGCGAGAAGTACAACCCGGTTGGCTCAGCGACAGAGATTGAGACTCATCCAATGATCGGAGGGCTGGTCTCAGAATTGACCTCTGGTTCGCTCAATGGGGACAGTCTGTGTACAAGCGGCCAAACTCAAAGCGTCAACAGACCGACGCTTAAGCGGAATCGCGATGGAGCCGACGATACATGTCTGGACTTGGCACAATGCGACACGGAAAAGGCCCGCAAGATAGATCATCTAGGGGCTGGGGCCTGCGGGCCGTAGACCGGAGACCGGAGACCGGAGACCGGAGACCCATATTCGATACAACGGAATTGACTGTCGCTTTTCTCAGTCCGGGGCTGGGGTGAGATGGTGAGATGGCTTTCGGAGCCGCGTTCAATTAGAAAAATGTCCCCACGTCATGAGACCCAAAAGCAAGTTCAATGTGAGTTCCTAAAAAAGCTGGACGCCACATCTGGAAAAGATAAGATAGGTTTCACTTGTTGTCAGTGGGGTCAGCATTGTGTGTGGGGAAACCTTGCGAATAAGATCCGCCACAGCGAGTTAGCGTATATTCAATTCCAAGGCCCGTACTCCGTATGCCTCAGGAGCTAGCGATGAATTAAGTTCCATGAGGCGGAGGTCCAGTCGGGGAATAATCCGCGAATTGTGATATCCGTGCATTAGGCCAGGCTTGGATGACTTTTGCTTTTTCGCTTCGTGTTTCTTTTCCGGGTCCTGAAAGTGCGCCGCTTCAGGCCACGAGTTCTTGCAGTCCACTTCCCCTCATCTTTGTCTTAGCAATAATCAGGGCACGGAAACAGTGCATATCCGTGGAACCGGCAAACTCACCGGGGCTACCCGCTAATCAAAATGAAGCTAAATTGGGCTTGAATGCCACGCTGTTGGGCGTCGGTCCCTGAGCTCCTGCAGGTAACGTTACACGACAGAGCACCCACGCCGGGCTCGAAAAAGGGTGATGCTAAGCTGATGCTTGGACTGTAGACTCGGGTTGCGGTGTGGTACAGCACGAATTGGATAAAGATACAAAGGCACGTCGTTGCAGGGAACTTCCCTGCAGCCCACGCGATTGGTGCGATACCCATTCAACAATTTCAACATTCACAGCTCATGATGTCACATCGCTTGGGCCCATTGTTGGCGTCCATGTTTTCTGTTTTCTTTTCCCCTGCGTCTTGGCCGTGGCTCGATGTCTCGGAGATTTCCCATAGTAACTGCCCCGCGCTTCTGTTGTCATCCCCGACCAGGTGCTTTGGCGCACCTGATTTATGGCCTCTCGGTGCATTGGGGATTCCAAATTGGCCCAGTTACACCCCAGGTGGCCGTGCGATTGGCAAGATTTGAGATATGATGCATGGTCAGAAGCATAGCACCAGTTTCCCCAATGGGTTTGAAGTGATCCCTGAATGGTGTATTTCGTGCAGGGATCTTGACCGGAAACGGGAGATGTCGCGAGAGCCAGAGTTCGTGTGAGGGGTCGCCTCATCTCCCATGGAAACGACCCGTCTTACTCGGGACGAGATGTCCAATCCATGTCTTAAACTCTGCAAGAGCCACGATGCGGCACTGATAGGAGATCAAGCTCACCGCGATCATCACTTGGGGTACTTAATTAGCTACACTACGGGGTGGCTGGAGTATACATTGCATCTCGTATTCCTGAGGCTTTTCATGACTCAACGCATTGAACCCCAGCCCCTGGAGACGACGGCCATTGGGCACTAAATTTGACATACAACTGGCAATGGGAAACAACCGCATGTCTTAACTCAATTCGGATCCACGCGAGAATTCTCGGTGAATTGTCGCCCCACAGTTGGCGAGAACAATACCCCTTCAAGGACAGGATGAGGTCCATGCTCGTTGAGACCGGCACTCTGTCTAATCATCGTCGTCCTCTGACCCACTACTCCACCCAGTCTCGTAAGATTCTCGAATCTCCCCTAGTCCATTGATCATCGCCTCGCGCTCATCAACTGAGAGCATTCGTGCGGTAGTCCTCTCAATGGCCTTGATTCTATCGGCTGTCCGGCTCGACGCGGTCAAAGCGGCGAGAACACTCACTCCGGAACCGGACTGTGATTTAGGATACATTCCCTGGGGGAAGCTATCAAGAATGGGTAGGCGAAGGGGGGTGCGGTAGCTATAATTGTGTGCCTTGTTAGCCGGGAGACTCGAGACATTGTCAGGCAGTGGAAAAACCTACCTCTGGAGCATGGGCTCTGAATTGAATAACCTGAGCTTGCGAATGTGCCCAAGCTCTGCTTCTGTTGCCTCTGTAGGGTCTTCAGGCTCATCTCCTCGCATTACCTGGACTTGATTGAAAAGATGCGCAGATTTGCTGCTCTCGCCGCCATAAGTAAAGTCAATATCGAAATCGTTTTCCGCCTTGGACGATCCATCCTCTTTGGTCGGTAATTTACGTCCGTGCTGTCCAGGGTTGAGTGTGGTTTGCAGTTCATAGATATTGTGAGTCCCGTCATCTCCAGTCAAAGAAGACTCGAAATCATGGTACGGTCGGAGCCGGGACGGTAATGTCACGGTCTCAACCGCGGAGCTGATTAGTGCCGTGGTTTGCCAGTGTGAGCGACGGTCCACTTGAAGGTAGCTGGGAAGCTTGGGAGGCAGATCCATAATGGGCACGTAAAGGTTAGACTGGGGCGAGATCGAGTATATCGACTTGGCCTTGTTGGTGTCTTTCTTCAGTTGTTGGTGCTGTACCGTGAAAGGTAAGTATATCTCTTCCATCAGAATTGAAGGGTTCGACATACCCGCTGGACCTTGGTTCCATCCTCAATGGCCCAGACCCAGATACTCTTCTTTCCATATTCGTCACGAAGCCTGTCGATATACCGTGCGGTAAATCCACCCCAGGCATCGTCTGCCCCAGAAAAAAGTTGCAGTGCTCGCAGTTGGTCACATTCCTCCGCAAATGGCCTCACGTCCCGATCCAACAGATCATGTTCTTTGTCAAGATCATTGAAGAGCTCTTCGCCCATATTCCAATCCTCGAAAGGCATAATCTGAGAGTTCAGTTCATATTCATTCATCTGAACGATGGACCGAGGATGGTAGAAGACTCTGTTGTAGTCGGACCAGTAGCGCACAGTTTCCGATGTTAGTCGGGGAGCGGAAGTGCCCAGATCTAAACTTTTTTGATAGTCGCTTTGCAAAATGGGGGCTTGCCTCTGTACGACCTCTTGGCCGTCCCTGAAATACATGAGCATACCATTGAATGCATGTCAAGTCTTGTTCAGAACCTACCAGAGACCCTGACCACTGGCATCCTCGCTTAGCTCGTACAGCGCATTGTATTTGCGCAGTGTGCCGAATCCACCTTTCAGGTCATAGATAACTGTCCGCGGAGTGAAAGTCTCAGAACCATCTGCACCAACTCCTGGTCGAAAATGGACATCATGGTCTATTGGTGTCTCTTCACTTTCGTTGTATGTGAAATAAGATTCCTATTTATGTATCAGACGACGAAGATATCGAGAAAAAGGCGTACACTACCTGGAGATTCCAGAAATGAGTTGCAAGGTAGTTGGCACGTTGGCCCAGCTGTAGTGTCACGATCTCATGCATGTTTGCTGTGATCACCGACTGTGTGGCATCGAATACTCAGTGATCATCCCATGTGAGCAAGTGGTCCAGACGAACCGCCTCCCTCAATTGGTAGGCGGTGGGGGGTTGTCCGGCAGGAAAAATTGTGAGTCCCGGGTATCACCACGTGATTTTTAGTCTCGTGCCCCCGCCAAGCTAACTACATTGGGATTAATCGTGTGGTGACCAGGGCAACAGTCACCTGACCTGTCCCAAGAGGGCAATAAACAACTCGTGTGTGGGTGCGTCACTCCCTCGATCGCCAACGGTGATTTTCTTTTGTGATTTTCCCTCGGACTGACCTCCGCTCAGCTGTGACGGCCTCATGACCTCTTGACAACCCCCAAGTCGCCTATTTCACCTCGACAACACCCGCGATGGAGTCTCCAACGCGTCCCATCCTCAGCCCCTCAAAGGTCCTTCATCCGGTATCACCGGAACGCATGAATCAACAAACAATTCCCGCCTCCCCGTCACTTCCCTCGGATCTCCTGTCGCTCCACCACAAAAACATCAAGGGAGTCTCCGAAGTCCAAGCCAAAGTGGCATTCTTGAACAGTCTATCCCGCCAGGGAAGCCCGGGTGCCGGGGGTCAATCTGCAGCAAACCATGCCGCGCTCCAGAGGGCGATTCTCGGCCGTGAGGAGGCAGAGTCTGCCCTGAACTCCGTGCAGGAAGAGCTTTCCGAGGCACAATTTCGAGAACGCAGAATCAGTGAACGGCTGGAGTCATTGCTAGAAGAATTACACGGCACCAAAGAACGCCAAGCCCACGAACGGTCGATCTTTGAGAAGGAGATTCGCAAGGCCCGTAAAGAGGCTTTCCGGGCAGGGTCAACTCTGGTCAAGGTACAGGAAGAATTGAAGCATACCAAGTCTGAATCCAAAGCCATCAAAGACGAGCTCGCAGCAGAGCGGGAATCAAAGGATAAGGCAAAGCAAGAGGCATTCGAACGTGCATATGCTCTCGCTGGTCTCACCGAAGAATTGGAAGTCCTCAAGGGCCAACTGCGGTCTATGCAGGCATCCAACCACTCGAGCACATTAGAAATGCGGGCCCACGAGATCCGGAGGGAAGACTTCGGCAGACTCTCCCTCACAGAGGGCGATCTCGCCTTTTTGACCACCCCACGACGACCGAAGCGAGTCGCACCAGACTCCGCCCGGTCTTCGATCCCTGAAATGGAATCCGCCGACATCGCCGAAGCCACCCCTCCTAAACGACTTCGACTTTCCGAATGCACGACTCCCGTCGAAGTCGAGCAAACTACCATCACCACCTCTTTGTCACACTTAGATGCTGAAGCCTTGGAAGATCTGAAGGAAGAGCTTGACCGTGAGCGCCGGCGGAGAACCGAGGCTGAGGAAATGGTCCATTTTATGAATATCGAATGCCAATTCGAGCGGTGCTCTTGCCGTCTTGCCGAGAGCCAGGGCCGCCGCTACATCTACGACAAGGAATACTTTGAAAGGTTCCAAAAGCCACAGCTGGAGGCCGAAGCGAAAGCAGCCCAAGAACTCCGCGCCGAGCAGGAAGCTCGTATCGAACAACGGGCCCTTGAGGAGCAAGCTCGCACTGAGCAACATGCTCGCATTAAAGAGCAGGCCCGTGTTGAAGAGCTGGCTCGCATTGAACAGCAGGCCCTTGAACAGCAGGCTCGTCTAGAACACCAACAGCAAATGTATAGTCAATCGAGTCATACGCCCTCTGTCGACCCTCCTACCCCCGTCCATCAGCAGCCGGTGCCTGCAGTCAAGCCAGAGCCAAGAGAAACTCCGAAGCAGATGCGAATGCCCGAGGAGCCCATGGTGACTTTCTCGCCGGAGACGGGAACCTTCAAGACCTTCCCATCGCCCCTTCGCGACAATGCTCGACCTCGACGGACCGATTCCTTTACACTGGCTGAATTGAAAAGCTCGCAGGTTGACGCACTGAATGGATTGGGAAGCTCAACTGCCTCTTCTAGTCGGCATGTGGACTCCGTCCCTTCCGCTCCCCCAGTGCCATCCAGAGCATCTCGTGGTACTACATCGGACTCTACCGCCCGTGAAAGCCCGGAAAGCAGACCAGGTAGACGCGCTGAAAGGAGGGAGTATCAGCCTACTCAGGCGACCACGAAAAGGGTTCTCCTCCGTGAAGCCACCGGATCGCAGAACTCTGCTTTCGTTTCTGACACGCCCATCAACCGGGAGGAAGCCCTGGCCAAGATCAGAGAGCGCCGCGGTCGGGCACGCAGCAAGGTTCGCTCAGTGAGCGCGACCGAGCCGTCCGGACGGTCAGCAGGGTCTACTGGCAGTGCCGGCCCAACACCAGGCCGGGGCCCCCGTCACATCCCGAACCTTCGGGCGGATAGCAAGAGTGAGCGCGACCTAGGCGAGCGCAGAGACTTGAGCGCCCCCGTGCGCATGTTCCGACGATGATGGTGAGGTTGATTTTGCATATATGAATGTCCTGGGTCCTTTTCTTGTTCTTGAGCCGGTTCTTGTCGTTTCCATAATACCCCGGCGCAGGTGCATAATCTTGATAGCATTCTCGGTTTTGGTTGCTTCTCTTTAGCTACATTCACTCTTTGCATCGCGTGGAAGCAATGTTTTGCCTGGAATACCTTTATTAGCTTTGGCGTTTTGAGTGTCATTTTACTTGTTGTTTATGCATCTTGTCCTATGATGAATTTACTCGTCTGAGACCCCCCTCCCTCCTTGACTTTTCCTTTGTTGGAGCTGTACTTGTACATAGTTTCAAGTGTTCGGGCCATTTCCCAAGATTCCACCTTAATCTATTGCTTGCCATGAATGTCATCCTTCTCCTACGAGGCTCCTCCTTAGGTTTTGGGTGCAATGTTCATAATATGACAAAATATCTAGGTTCTGCTCGCAGAGATCCTGAAACAAGGTGTATGTACAGATAGATAGAACGCCTTCGAAACCCAGTCTTTAATAAAGCATTTAGATGCGAGCACGTCTACAAGATGGAAATGCCGCAGCAGCGAATGCGTGCACTGTCAACATATGCAAACCTGCCCCACCAGAGCAAGACCAGCTCTTCAACGAAGATGCGGTCCGTCGCGCTCCACACGTCAAGGCCCATCTCTGCCATATCGGCGATAGTGATAGGGATCGGCTCTTCTGCTTCACTACTCTGTCTCGAATTATCATGACGCGATTGGTTTGCGTGTTGTCTCTGGCGTAGCAGAGGGGCATTGTCGTCGTCTTCGGCATCGAGAGAGCGAGACATGGAAAGAGATAGATCTGCCTCATCGTTGGCGGGATCATCTTGATAAGGCTCATAGGCATCGCTATGGCCTTCTGAGTCATATCGAGCAACAGCACCAGCCAATGTATAGAAGATCTGAGTCGTGAGACGGCGAAAGTAGGCTACCAGCGCGACTTCTGGAGGTTCCTGACCGTGGTTTTCAAGGTGGAGGGACCGACGTCCCGTCGAGTTGGGGGTGGGATATGCAAGACTTTCCACACTTGCCAGAAGTCGGGCGTCTTGTTCAAACTGCTGCTCTTCCTCTTCTTTGGATAGGCCGTCGCGATTTTCGCCGGCTGAAGCCCACCACATGAAGGAGGTATAAGCTAGTCGAGTCCAGGAAAGAGGCTCGACGATTGGACTGGATGAGTACGTTGAATCGGCGTCAGAATCGTCCGTGTCTGGAGCCGTCGCTCTGTTGTTGGAGAACTGCCGAAGACCTCTGCGCAGCATGGCATATCTGCGGGCGTCTCTTTGTGTCGCTTTGAGTTGAACTGTTTGGTTTGAATTGTGCTTTTTACTAGAATGATCCATCAAGGCAATTTTTGGGAAAGCCCGCTCGGAATCTTGGGAGTGCGTCGGGGGAATGGTGACGAGTGCATCGTAGAGCTCGGGCTTCATGCTCAACACGCTATCTGTCGAGCAGGCGATCCAACTGGGATCCTTCTCGAGGTCTTGCGTGGATCTTGAGGAGTCATATGAGGCGAGATCTGGAATATCGTGAATTCCAACATTGAACAGAGGGCGAGGCCGCAATGGCGGCGTGTGGTCTTCGGGAAGAGCTTGCAGGAGGGAATTCGGAAGAGATGCTAGCAATGAGAGATCATATACTGAATGCAAGTCAATGGAAAGCTCGTGCCGTTATCAAGAAAGGGACCATACCATAATTGCACGGGGTGTGTACCGGAGCTTCAACCATGAAAAGGATGCGCTTCCGCAGCAACGCTGTTCTGTACAATGGGAATATCAAGGGCCCGAAGGACTCGAGAAAATCTGGCAGAGATGATGCGGGATGGAAAGGCGTCAGGGCCGGCCTAGAAGCCTCCAATACCATCGCATCACTAAAAGCGCGGTTTCGGTGCCCGTCTGGTCTATCGCCCGGTCGGAATCGCAGACTAAGCGGGGAATCGAGGGGCGACTCTGGCGCGGCAGCGTTGGCGCTTCCAAACTGGAAAGAGTCCCAGTATTCAGACAACGCTTGTGTATCAGACATATCCGCGGCATGTTTCCTGTCGAGTAGCTTGTCAGTCGTAAGTTCGGACGAATTGATGCAGGGTAACACGGACAGCGTCAATTCCCGCAGCTTCGGAGCATGTCTCCAGCTCTTCCCTAGTCTTCCAGAGCTCAGCGGAACCAGAACCCCGATCGCGAACATCTTCGCATTGCGTTCCGCCTCCGAAGCGGGCTGATTGAGAAACGCGCTGATACCGGCATATTGATCATGGACGAAGTACCTGGAGGCGGAGAAGAGAACATCCGTTAGAGGGAACAATTGTAAAGCTTCCCCGATGCTTGAAACTCACACCAGGTCTTCAGTCACGTTGTGTAGCCCCGAAGGGAGCGACTTGTATTCCACGACCCCTTCGACTTCAACTATGACAACTCCGTATCAGCGACGCGCGTCGGAGAAAAGCGATTTGCGATCGCGCTTACCTCCCGGAATAGTTCGCTTCCATGAAACCACATATCTGTCAACGTCCGCGTATCAGCGATGAATCCCTCCCGGCCGCTGGAAGGTCCGAGGAGTACGGCTTACCCAGCTCTAATGTCGAAGCGAATGACGAAGAGGGCCGCAATGCCCGGCGGCGACTCCATCACGGGACGAGTATCAAGAGAGACAAGTTTCCTGGGAGTGTCAAATTCAATGGAGAGAAGAGGGGCGCCGGCGCCATATAAAATCGGGGAATCACGGTTACAATCGTACGAGGAGCTCGGAGCCACCTTGGGGAATTGACACCTCGGGCATCAGGCAGCAACACCTGACTTCGAGCGGGGTTTCTGCAGCGAATCGTAGCGGACATATGGGGGCTTCGGATGACCTTATGCTCCAAGGTTAATTGAGTGATTGATACCGGATGGGCTATTCATTCTGTTCGAAGGGTCCGAAGCTGAACTAAACTGCTGCAACAATAGGTGTCTGATGGTGGTTCTTCGACCCTTTCTTTCTATCCATCCCGAGCATATATATACCGCCAAGGGTTTCACATTTGACTATTGAGAAAAGTGGTAGATCAGATGCGCCTGGATTCCATCCCTTCCCCCTTCTTTGACCTTTCCACCGCCCCCTTCGCCCTCCATACCATGGAATCCATCTCGTGCTTCAAAAAGGCCATTCTCCGGTAGGGCTCTATTCAGTTACACAATGGATAAGTTGGCGAAGCTTACGCAGCATAGACATTAATGTTTGGCGACAAACGTATCAACGTGAAGAAAGATGAGCTGCTGAATCAGCTTCGCCCGACTGTTTACCGCTTAGAACTCGAGGAGCCTCGTCTTGGACTTCCAGCAACAGTCATTGTTAAACAGGAGAAACCCAAACGGGAAGCTGAGTTCCGCGATGAGATTTTCGCTTACAAGAGGCTGCGAGAACTTCAAGGAACCGTGATTCCAACTCTATTCGGCCAAGGCTCTTTCAACGGGCGCCCCGCCTTAATCCTTTCAGAGATCGGCGGTATTACTCTGCGCGATCTCGCTAAACTCGACGAATCAAGTGTCTGACAAAAGTCTTGAACATGAACTTGAGAAAGCTTTTGAAGAGCTACACAAGTACGGATCCGAGCATTGTGATCTGAACCTGGGCAATTTTCTGGTCAGCAACAATGGACAAGGGGTAGTTATCGACCTTGAAGAAGTCGAATTCCCCGATAGACAGCAAGCGGAGAAACGCAGGGTTAATTTGGGCAATTTCTAGTCCTTACTCTTGCCATTTGCCATGGCCACGCAAACAGCGATGGAGAGGACAACGACAAATGTCAACGAAGACACCGTTCAAACGCATAGGCTGGGATTGAATATTACGGTTGTTGAGGAGACCAAGAATATTGAGGGCAGTAGAATAGGTGAAGGCGGCTATTCAGACTTGTCGCAGCTTACTGTTCGTTGCCATAAGTTCGACAGGCTTATCAGCGTGATTCATGGCACGAGCGGTTTAGCACTGCCACCGTGGGCATTCATCAAGATGCCATATTTGCCTCACTGGTATAGCCCGGCATCGACGGCATCGGCGCATGGTCCCTTCAGGTCAACAACACGATGCGGGAAGTGGAGTTCGGTAAATGTGACAATGAGGTTCCAGGGAGGCAAAGGTTGTAAGCTACCATCGGGTAGGTCTTTTCCGCAACTCCAATTGGCCCAGCCTCCCCGATCCACCATGCTATCATCGCCAAATGGAAAAAGCCAAACATTACTCTGCTCTAGACGTGATCGAAGTTCTCAGAAATCCCGATCAATCTGCTATCACACAAGGTGGCTGTGAATCGAGGCATAAACAAGCTTTTTGACCCACTCCAGGCAGCAATGGCATCACATCCATATTACCCCCTGGAGGCCGACATCGTCGGCTATTCGCCCAACCAAACCCCCGTGCTCGAGCTTCTTATTTCGGCCGGAGGGGGTTGTGCGGGCCTGCTCGGATTGACTTTTGCCGTGACCAGTTACGTGCGACCGAGTTTGCGCCTGGCAGACCGGATCGCCATCCTGTGGTTTGTGCTGTGTATGAAGGTCGTCGAAACGTCATGAGATCGAAGATTAACGAACGGAACAGCCGGGACTTTACACTGCTTCTTCGAGGGCTACTTTATGATCCATCATGACCATATGGCCTCGGCCCAAGATCTGTTTGGGCAGCTGTGGAAGGAATATGCACTGTCCGACTCTCGGTACATGACCTCCGATACCCTAGTGCTCTGCATGGAGACCATGACCGTGGTAAGTATATTTTCAGATCCCGTGAAGGCCCGAAGATGGACCCGCTGACCCGTCGCCAGCTGCTGTGGGGACCTTTGTGCTTTGGCGTTGCATATCTGACCGCGACGAGGCACTCCTTGAGGCATCCGATACAGCTGATGGTGTGCATGAGCCATCTCTACGGCGATACACTGTACTATGCGACGAGCTTGTTCGACCACTACGTGAACGGAGTGGCCTACTGTCGACCGGAAGCGTATTATTTCTGGCTGTATTATTTCTTTATGAACTTCATCTGGATCGTGGTCCCGGCATGTTCGTTGTCCCTTCTCTACATGTGAAACAAACGTGGCTGACCCAGTGCATTAGACTATCTCTTCGACAGCGTCAGGACCATTTCGGGCGCCATTCGGACCGAGCAGGAGTCAGGCGAGAAGCACAAGTCCCAGTGAACACCTCTTCCGTCATAGCCGCGTGGGTGTAGTGGGGAACTGGAACTGTTAATCTACGGGGACTCGGCCGGGATTGAGATGGGGGATCCGATAAACATGGGAAGAGAAAAGTTGTATCGACAGATACGTACGTACAGAAGAATAAAAATATTTGCAAAGAAAGAAAAACAACTGGAAAATAAAGTGTGAACCGTGGAAGCGAAACCCAGGAAGTATACAATATACGGTCAGCGTGGTCAGCCCGTTTCGTCCCACGCCGGGCGATGACGCTGCATGAGGGACCACGCTAGATACCTGCCACACCGACCACTAAACCACGGCCATACAAAGCTGCCCTTCCCTTTAGCCTTTAGACGCAACTCCGTGAAGAATGCCAAGGACATCGAGCCCCTCAGTTCGACACCAAAAAAGCCCATCAGCAGGGGTTGTAGAAGCAGCCGATCAAATCACGCGCAGTGGTGAATCGATCAGGCGGCTGGGCTGCAAGGATCAAAAAGGCCAAACAGCGACCGCAGACGCGTTGATCGACGATCGCCGGTTTCCCGGGCAGCCGTGTGGGCGCCAGAACCCATCCCGGTCTTATCGGGCGGTGTCAGCCCCAAGCTGTATCGTCTTGTTTACATCTTCCTCAATCAGCTAGCCTAGCCTTGTACAACAGAAAAAAAGCAAATGCTGCACTGCTATGATCTCTGACGATCTCTGATCGAACTCAGATTAGCGGGCGCTGCGCGGTGAGTCTCTTCGTGATTGTGTCTCGGGTACCCGTGTCAACAATCCTCGAGCAGCCTCGATATGCTGACGTTTTGCCGACCTGTGTAGATATCGATGCCATCTCCTGCAACGCCGAACCGCCCCTCCAACCCCGGAGGGACTGCCAAATCTACGAAGCCGCTCGATCTCGGCCAGCCGTTGGGGGTCCACGACACGAACACGGTGCGCGCGAGAGTGCGGCAATGGCAGCAACAAGGCGGCGGAGTAATAACGATCGATGACGGTGTCTACGATAACGACGACGAAGAGAACAAACCAAAAGCGACGCCGAAACCGAAACCCAAGGCCGCCAAGGTGAAGCCGGACAAGGTGGAAAAGCCCAAGGAGAAAGAGAAGGATAAGCTTCCGACGACCAGGGAGCGCAGTCATAGCACGCCGCGCAAGCGAGTCATCAGTGACGAACACTGGAAGAGGAATCGGTCTTCGACGCAAGCCTCTTCACGAAACCTACCCGCTCCCAAACGAATCAACGAATACACGACGAATGAGGGGACGGGGTCTCCACGCGCAAGACGGGTCAATGAAAAAGACGAGCTGGGAAGACCCCAGCGCGGTGGACGTCGAGATGCCACTGCATCCAAATCTCCCACTCGTGAAGGGACGCGCTCAACCCCGCACAAACAAGATACCGAGTCAGTGACGGATAGCGACTTGGAGACCGATCTGCCCACAGCCACGGTCTTGTCAGATATCCCAGAACTATTAAGAAGGGAATCGCCACTTCCAGATGATGTGGAATGGGCAAAAAGCGAGGCCGACTTTACCGAGCTGTCACGGCGGCGTGCTCGTGGCCAAACCTCTCGGGGGTATTCGAAAGTGCCCAAGGGAGGAATTTTTGCACAGATAGTGGATGAGTCCAGGAAAATGTTTAAGTTACCGGAAGCAGAGCCACCAAGGCCAACCCCCCTCCACCCGGACAGCGCGGAGCCAAGATTGAGGCATGGCTGTCGGACACGCCCGACCCCTTTCTCGACAATGACTCGAAGAGTGATATGCCTGGTCCTCTAGACATGAAATCGGCACGAGCAAGGCGATCAAGAAGACTGGCAGATGACGAAAGCACATGTTTCTCTCAATCCGACCTGTCATTAGAAAGCGAGTCTCGCCCGAAGAGTTCCCACAGCCGACATTCTAGGGACAAGGATGGCATCTCCGAGAAGCGCAAGTCGCAAGACCGTGACCCCGTGTCAGACGGCAGACGATCCAGTATTGACAAAACTCCGAGACTGTTGCCACTCAGGATTCGAGAAGACAGATTGCGCGACAAGCATTATGGAGAAAGCACCTTGAGTTTGGATTCAGACCTACAGACGGTCTCGGAGGGATCAGAAGTCTCGGGCAACAATGCGCCTGTCCCAGTCGGCCGCAAGAAACCATTCCCTATGACTGGGAACCACCGCCTGTCGACGATCGCCTCTGCTGAAACCCTCAGTACTCTTCCTGAAGAATCAGTCGCCTCCCAAAAGAAGCACGACCCTAAAGAAAAGTCGATGGAAGAAGCAGAGGAGGCAACCGAAGAGAAGGACCGTTTTGATCCCGATTCTCTCCCCGCAGTTTCTTCACAGTTGAAACGACGCCTTACTACCCATAATGATCTTATGTCGGTTCTGTCTGTCCCCAGCGGTCGAAGCAGAAGCATCCGATCTGCTCGAAGTATCCGGACAAACAAGAGCCGTCTGGCCAGTGCCACGGTTCTCGACATCATGGCCGAACTCTCTGCAGATGAAACAAAGTATATGCGCGAGCTCAAGACTCTCGTGGGCGGTGTGATCCCGGTGCTGTTAACCTGTGTGTTGTCGCGCTCCGACTCTGCTATTGCTGCTGGTCTTTTCCGGCCTTCTATGGACCCGAAAGATGACCTAAACTTTTCCAAACCCATTGTCAACATGGGAGTGGCAATTGAACGGCTAAAAACCTTACACAAGCGCATCCCGCAAGACAATCCGGATGCATTGCTTACGTGGGCCCAGGGTGCGCAAAGAGTTTACCGGGAATACCTCAAGGCGTGGAGACTCGGGTTCAAAGATGTCATTGTCAACCTTGCACCGTTGGAAGAGGGCGAGGAAGACAACGGCGATACAAAGAGTCTTGACGAGGGCATGGAGCGTGATGAGAATGGCGATGTGGTCGATGCTGACGGCGAGAAGGTGGACGTCGCTTATCTGCTGAAGCGACCTTTGGTACGACTCAAATATCTCGCCAAAAGCTTCAAGGGAATCAATATTCTGCAACCCTCAACCAAAGCCGAGGAGATCGCGAATGCATACCAAGCGCTTGTGGTAGATGCACGAAAACGAGCACGGAATGAACGAGCAAGGCTCGAGGACGAGTCCGCCGCAAGCATCGACCCGACTCGCGCCAGAGACCCGATGACAATGGGCATACTTCAAAATGTCTCAGTTGATCAGACCCGCCATGTCCGGGCCCGCGACTTTTTCAATTTGTCTCTGTACCACTCTAGTGGCCAATTGGTTGACTGTCGGGCTGAACTGTTATACCGGGATAACGCACCGAGTAATGGCCCAGGAGGCGACTTGTTGATTTGTGAAATCGACCATTCGGATCGCTGGCTCCTTTTCCCGCCTATGGATATCCGCTGCGTCTCTGCCCGGGTCGGCGATACAAAAGGCGAGATCGTGATAATGCTCCGCAGCGCCATCAACGAGGAAAAATATTGGCAGGAGTTGATTTCCCTTCGCATCGATGAAGTAGTAATTGGCTCTGAGTGGGTCCAGCTCTTGGGCTCAGATCCTGTTCCACCGGCATTATTCAGAAGCCAGAGCTTCATCAGTCGCGCCAAGCAGCATAAGGCTCGCAAACCTTCTGTCAGCGACTCTCCTCCGCGGGCCAATCCCAGTGAGGTTGATATTCCGATTGGCGAGAAAGCGACAAGCAAACGGCGCTCTTTGACACCCAAGGAGCACTACTCTGAACCCAGTACTGTTAGCTCCGCCACCGACAACAGAAGCTCTTTATACTCCACGGTAACTCGGGAGACTGGCTATACTACCGGAGTGTCCGAGTTGTCCAACAAGCAACCCCGCTCAGGTTTGGAGCTTCTTCCATCAAGGGCGAGCCCAGAAAAGGCCTCTACTGGCTTGAAGAGGTCCAAGGCACAGAGACATTCCCGCTATGGTGACAACTATGTGGATAGCCCCACTTCTGATAACGCCTCTCCTCAGACTATTGTCTCGGACAAGATGGCCGAGTCTCCACCGGCAACAGGTTTGCCTGCAGAAGGCAGGTTCTACGGCAGCGAGGTCAAAGATACCATCAAACCTGCCGACTCGTTTAGGGAGAAGTCTCCCCCGAAGACGCCTCGCACGCCCCGAAGAGAATCTCCAGAGCCCGAGTCTCCTCGAGTATCATCTGTCCCCTCGGCATACCTCCCTCAGATCCCCAAGATTCGAAGCACCAGCAGCCAAACCCATTTGTCGGCTCCGTCCACCGCTGAGACCGAAGTGGAAGAAGAAGACTACCCTCCCCTGGAGTCATTGCCAGAGCAAGAGCCGCCGGAGACGCCGACTCATTCACGACGGAGAAAATCCCGGCCTAAATCGAAGCACGATGATGCGCCTCCGCCTCCACCACCGCATCGCTCGCCAAGCTCGAAGCTTTCCCCCGCCCCGGTTCTCAGCCCGGCGGGCGTCAAGATCAAGCGAAGGGGCTCCTCCCCTCTGAAGCATGAATATGAACCTTCTACTGCTTCAGACTCTTACTCGGATTCCGACTCGGACGCATCGACGGTGCGCCGCTACAGTAATTCATCATCGGAATACTCGAGAGACGTGTCCGATTCAGACTACTCCTCGGCATCGGAAGAGGATGACGAGGAAGGAGACCTGCCCAAACCGAAGACCCGCGGACCTTCCACCACAGCGACGAGCTCGCTGTCTCCTTCCAACTCTGCCTCGCAGAGTGGCTATAGAACTGTGCCGCTGCAACCTGCCAAGTCGACCAAGAGTATTGCCTCCATTTTTGCTTGGTCCAACAAAGGGAATTGGGAGACCTTGGTCCCTGATGAATGCAGTATTACTGTCAGCCCCGGGCTGATCGAAGCGTTCAAGATGAACGCCGATTCCCACAACACCTCACCGGCGAGGTCACCGCGCCCTCTTATCTCCATGGAACTTACACCACTTGTTCCCATCCGCCGAGGTACTGCCATTGACATTAGTATCCGCTCTCCTCCCACCGAGCGGTCCAAGATCAACACCAGCAACAATATCATGTTCCGTTCCCGCAACCCTGACGACTGCGACGCTCTTTACGCTCTTATTAACCACTCTCGAATCAACAACCCCACCTACATCGCCCTCCAAAATGCCCGCGGTCCCTTCAACGATCATGTCCTACCCAACTACGACCCAGCCCCCAAGTCCGGAGGAAGCTGGTTCGGCTTCCCCCGCCGCAGGAAGAGCTACCGGGCTTCCGGCTCTCCACGCTCCCTCGCCGAAGGCTCCGAAAGCAGTGTCGGAACCATGAGCAGCGCTTTCTCCGCCCTCAAACGCTTCGGCGCCGGCAGCAAGATGTTCAACATCTCCCGCTCCACCGTGACATCTCGCAGCGGCCACGAAGGCAGCGTGTATTCCGGCGACGGAGACTCAAGCCCCTCTCCATCAGGCGGTATCGGCCGCATCGCAGCAGCCATCAAGGGCGTCGACGGCATCGGTCTATCCAACGCCAAGATTCGTATTTACCTGCGTGAAACCGCGTCCAAGTGGCGCGACATGGGCGCTGCCCGTCTGACCATCATGCCCGCACCCCTCAAGAACCCACCCTCTCGCCCCGGTACCGCTGTTAGCGGCCGCAGCGACGGAAGTGGAACCCACGGCGACGGAACTGGCAGCTCATCCCCCAGCTCTGGCGCAGCTACACCGCGGAATGCAGAGTCCGAGAAACGCATCATAATTCGCGGCAAGACCCGCGGTGAAGTCTTGTTAGATGTCTGCCTGCCCGAGAGCTCATTTGAACGCATTGCCCGTACCGGAATCGCAGTGTCGGTGTATGAAGAGAACGAAGGCGGCACTGTCGCCAAACAGGGTGGCGTCTCTCCCAACTCGCAGCGCATCTACATGCTCCAGATGAAGAGCGAGGCCGAGACGGCGTATACATTTGGACTTGTCGGGAAGCTACGGTATTAAGCACCACCCATCTGCTTGGAAGCTGGAGGGATCAGCATTGGATTTGGTGCATGGCAATTTTGGCGGCTTCTGTTTATGAGCATCTTTCTTTTCCTTTTTCTTTTCACTGTTCATCATACCTACTCTTAGATATTGTCAGCCGTTCCCCGGATTTTTCATTTGTATATTTAGATTTGTGGTTAATTGGATCATTGATTCTCACTGCATACCATTTTACTAGTAGATAGTCTAATTCAAAAGCACTATACTCATACCTGATATCAAGTCTGTTTATCTATCTGTAACACAAAGACCTACTCCAGCTGCTCGGGCGTCTTGGCCTCAACCTCTGCACCTCTAGTCTTCTTGAAGATGTACCCGATCCGATTACACTCATCTTTGAGCAGGGAAACGAGTACATCGTCATCAACAGCTGCTGCGAGATCCTCGTCGGCGTCACCGGAAAGAAGAGACGGGTCAATGTGCGCGTACTGCGCTAGGGATTGGTGCATCTTGTCCTTCTGTCCGGCCTTTCCTTTGCCGTTTTTAGCGAAGCGCTGTCCACAATGTGTACCTTGGCGGATGGAGCGTTCCTGTTCTTCCATGTCGACTTTGGAGGCTTTCAAAAGAAGTGGGTTGTCGGGGAGTGTGTCTGAGGATTCAGCGTCGCTGATTTCTTCAAACTCTGACTCGTCATCTTTCTTGGGAGTTGCTGCACCTGAAGATGGCACGGACATAATACCCTTACCACCACAGTCACAGCCCAGAAGGTCGTGCGTTTGGCAAACGCTTTCTTGATCGAGGCGGAACAGATCGCGTAGTTCCGCAGTGGAGAACTGCGAAACGCTATCCTTGTGCTCCATGACACTGTCCGCCAACCCAAGCTTGGTTACCTGGCGCTGCCAGATCTTTTCTTCCAAGCTGCCTTTCAGAATGACGCGGTAGATGCGACAATGATGCTTTTGTCCGTCGCGGTGGATGCGCGCCATGGCTTGGATATCTGTCGCGGGGTTCCAGTCTACGTCGAAAAGAACGAGACGGCTAGCTCCGATCAAATTGAGACCCGTGCCACCTGCCTTGGCCGAGAGCAAGAATGCGAAACACTTTTCGGCTGGGAGACGGTTGAAGTCGTCGACGAGAGGTTGGCGTTTTTGGGCTGGGGTGCTGCCATCGAGGCGCAGGAATGGGAGCCCGAGGGATGTCAAGAGGGTGGCTAGGAGGTTCAGAGTCGAGGTGTAGTTGGACACGAGCACGATCTTCTCCGAAGTATTGGACCGCACGCTATCCAAAATTTGATCAAGGACTCGGACTTTGGCACTAGCCGAAGGGGAGAAGTGGCGCATGAGGTTCTGCGGCAGAGAGGACAGAAGAGAAGTGATGGTTTCGCTGGGTGACTTGTCGTTGTTTTTGGTCGTCAGCAGAGACGGGCTGTTGCATAGTTTCTTTAGAATGGTGATCAGTTGAAGAGCACTCTCGGCATTCCCCAACGCATTTTGGAATATCGGAGATTCAAGGACGGCTTGGTAGATATTTGCCTGAGCGGGAGTCGGCCTGCAGAAGAGCACGTATTCTGATTTTGGTGGAAGATACTTGGCCAGAACATCGGCTGTTCTGCGGAGAATGAACTTGGATGTGAGCTCTCTGAGCTCTTCATTTCTGGACTCGCCCTTTTCGATGTCTTTGCTGGTAGCTTCTGGTTGTCTGCTTCGAACAATGGGTGTTTCGAACTCGCGAATAAAGGCCTTGAAGTTGCCGAGAATGCCAGGGTTGATGAGGTCGACAGCAGCGAAGAACTCTCTCAGATCGTTTTGGATAGGCGTTCCGGAGAGGATGACTCTCTTCGTAGCGTTGAGGTTCTGGATAGCCTGACCACTCTTATTCTGCAGCGTCTTCAGTCGATGGCCTTCGTCCGCAATGATAATATCGACTCCTGCACCCCTTGCCAAACCCTCGTGGACAGTCCTCAACTTTTCGTATCCCACAATCATGACACTGTAAGCTCGCCCCTTGGTAAAATCAGTCAGACGTCTGCGATTATCATCAAGGACAAAAACACCAATCCGCTCATTTCCAAGCCACTTGCGAAATTCCTTTCGCCAGTTATTGATCAATGTCACGGGGCAGACAATGAGAGCCTTCTTGATGACCGGGGCATTCCCGGCAATGGGATTCTGTTTCAACAAGGTCCACAGTAACGCGATGGTCTGGAGGGTCTTGCCGAGACCCATATCGTCAGCTAAGATTGCTCCTTCGCCGTTGAAATCTCGCATGCCCATGACACATTCGTAGAGAAACTGGACACCTTCGCGCTGGTGTTGTCGGAGACTCTTGACCAACAATGGATCGACCACGACATCCACAATTTGCTTTCCTTCAGGTACCGATTTCGGTCGCGGCATGACCAATGCTCCTGGCGCATTGGGATCATGTCGTGGAACGACATTTGCGGTACTCGACGAAACCACCGTGTTCTCGAGCAGAGGTGCCTTGTAGGCACCAAAGGTCGGAGTTGTAGATGCTTTGGGAGTAGTTTCATTCTCCAAAACCGCTGAGCTCCGTTTCAAAGACTGAGTGATATTCAAAACGGCCGGTTTGGAAGAGCTCCGTCCCAAAGTGTTCTTCAACGCAGCCAGCGACATGTTCCTCGGTTTTGGTGGTGTCGGCGCCGGTTTCGTCTCTTCCACTGATGGTTTCAGGGCGACGTATTCTCCACGGGGTATCTCAGAGTCGATCTCGACCTCCTTTCCAGAGATGTATAGCATTTTTCCCGGTTCAAGCTCCTGCTCGTACATCACCCGGCCCATGTCTTTGCCTCCGACATCCCGCAAGGATAAAAGACCACCGCGGGCCACGAGTATAGCATCTCCATCCCAAGTCTTGTTTTTCTTTGTTGTCGGTTTCCTCCTATAAATGAAGCCGAATGTTAAAACGTGATCTATTGGTGGGGTTGGGAGTGACGAAGAAAAAGAGTCAATTGGGCATACCAAAGAGCATTGAAATATCGTTCACCTGCACCTGCTTTGGTGGCAGACTTCTTCGAAGCTTTCCCTGAATCTTTTCCGTTCCTGACTTGTACCAATGGCTTTCGAGAATCTAATGATGGCGGAGGACGCGTATCTGCATGGGCTGGCTCATTCTTCTGCAGGCGGGCTTTCTTGGCTGGATGGTCAGAGTCTTCGCTTGTCTCCGTCGACGGCTCGGTCTTCCTAATCAGAGGGGGCTTAAAGGGCTTGAAGACCATGGCGACCTGCAGTTGAGGTCTGCTGAAGATCACGACGCCAGACGCGTGAGACACGCGCGCACTCACGTGACCCACCCAATTAACCGTTCGGAGAGGGAAATCAAGGGTGAGGCTCAACTAAGACGGTGGGACGGGAAATTTAATTGTTTTAGAAATAAAGTTTCAATGGTCTTTCTATCTACTTTCAAGGTTCAAGCGAGTGAAGTTGAAAGGTAATTATGTATGCATGCAGGGGGTATAAAACAGACCCAACACCCCAGCATAATAAGGTGATGTACACAAGGAAAATATCGCATCAAGGTCAGTCAATGAATGCATGGGAATGCATGTGACAGTCGTCGGAGATCATCAGCGAATGAAAAGGTATAATGGTGAAACAAATGATATATGCAAGTCAAGAGTCATCCCACGAGTATTTTTCGGTCCAAACAGTTATCTATGCCTTTACTGAGCATCTTCCAGGAGAGCTTTGTCGGTCAAGGGGATGTTCTTGGGACCTTCGTATGAGCCCCGGCGGACGAACCACCAGATGGCGACGAAGATGGTAAGACCACCGGTCATCAGACTGGCGTAGTTCATCGAGGCAGCCTCGACGGGCAGAGCATAGGGGAAGCAGAATATGATGGCAAAGGCGATGATGTAGATGCAGGCCAAGACGTTGACGACGTAGCCGATCTTGTTGTTCATGAAGAAGAAACCGGGAACGAAGGACGAGCGGCGGGTGAGAACGTGGGGAAGGATGGCCATGAAGTAGGAAAGACTGGACAGCTGCACGAAGCATCCGACGAAAGCGCTGAAGGCAGTGGACGATCCGAGGTAGATGCAGGCGAGGACGGTGACGATACCACCGCACGCTAGGGTGGCGTTGAAGGGGTTGTGGAAGGTGGTGTTGATATGACCGAGCCAGTTAGGGAATGGAGTAGCACGGTCACGCGAAATGGTCCAAAGGGTGCGACCGGCAGTAATGTAGCAGCCAGAAGCAGTGACTAGAGTTGGTATGAAAGCAATGACCAGGAGACCCAGGGCACCACCGCGGGTTCCAGTGGCCTGGTAGTAGATCTCGGCAAGAGGGAAGTTGTAGGGGCTTGTGGTGACCGCGTCGAGGTCCTGGATGGAGTAGAAGATGGCGATCATGTAGCAGATACCGGTGATGAAGCCAACGGCCATCTGGGCCAGCACGGCCTTGGGGATGTTACGGCTAGGCTTGGGGATCTCCTCAGCCAAGTGAGACGCACAGTCAGGGGTACCGACCGAGTAGGCGCCGTTCAGCATGCCCATGACGAAGACGAAGCCCTCCTGCTTGTAGTTGGTCCCGTCGGTCCACTTCTCCCAGACCTGGTAGTCGGAACCGTACCCAACACCGTTGACGTAGGGCATCACGGCGCAGACGATAACGGTGATGAAGACGCCGGCCAGAATGAAGAACATTCCGATGTTGCCAATGTAAGGCAGGAACCGGTTCATGAAAAGCACGATGCAGCAGCAGGTCCAGGTACAGAGAAGGAACGTCACGAATGTGTTCCAGGTCGCAGGCACGAAGCCCGGGTGCATCAAGGCGTACATGGACACAAGCTGCTGAGCCATGATCAGGGACATGGAGGCAGCGCCCAGAATCCAGGCGAGACAGTTCCACCAGCCAGCGAAGAAACCGCAGACGCGACCATGCTTGCCGGCGGTGATGGAAGCCCAATGGTACACACCACTGGCCGAGGGCATACCAGATGCCAGCTCGGCGATGGAGGCAGCGACCAGCCAGTAGCAGATAGAGACGGCAATGCTGCAGGTGATAGTTAGACGTTATTCCAGCCGACAGAGGGGAGGGGTTCACCATACAACTCATAGATACAACCGGCGAGACCACCGTTACTCAATGCAGTCACCACACTACCACCCTGTGCGATCCAGGTGTTTCCGGTCGTGACGGCCACGGCACAGATACTGAGAAGGCTGAAGTTGCGCTCGAGCTCCTGACGGTGACCGGAGGCATTGACCAATTCACCCTGATACTGCTCCTCTGAAGCCGAAGCCGAAGCCGAAGCTACTTCCTCGGTGGCCCTGGTCTTCTCGGGGATTTCGGCCATGATAGCGATTACTCCGAAAAATCGAAGTCCCGCGGGTCGACGTTCGAAGTCGCGGACTGGTTGACGGTCGCGAGAGGCCGTGAAGGGAGCTCGTATACACACGAAGATTCCCAGGAAGAAAAGAATGAATGGCCAGGGAAGTCAAGGTGGAAAGGAGAGAGCGTGACTATATTATTGTTCGGTGGAGTACGGGAGGGAAGTGGTGTACCACCCCGGTGCGGAGTGCCACCTCCCAGAGCGAACCCATCGGCGATGTCGATCGCATCTCAACCGTGAATTTGATTCTCCCGACCCCACCACGGCCACTCTAATCAAGCCAAGGGACAATCTGCAGCCAGTCAAACGCCTCCAAACGGCAAGCCGAAGTGGCCAACCCCAACGACGGTGGGGCCGCCAATGCGTGTCATTGGTGCACGAAGGGGGCGACTGCGCCAAACTCCAACGAAAAAGTCAGGTTGGCCGTGGAGTGTCACCCTGTCGCACCTTACCTAGAAGGGGAGCTTGAGCAGAAAGACTTTTCCACACGCCTAGTGCTATTTCTTGGCATCCCCAGGCCATCTGGCCTTGGTACTGTAGAATGATCGAAGGGGAGGAGGCAATGTGTGGAGTAACCGTTCCAGTTCTACATAGGTCTGGCTCTACATCCCATCGGTGTTCTATGTATCCGTATGTTGTGCATAGCCATGCGAGACGCCTCCGTTCAAGGTGTTCGTGACGTATCACAGCGTTACAGCGGCCTTCTAGAAGACTTGGCAAGCGCTACAAAAGGCAACTGGTTACCACTTGATGGTACGTCGGTCCTTCGGGACTTCCGACGCTCTGTGCTGAAATAGCGCAAAAATTGAGAACCGATGGCAAGCCGTGAGGCTCTCGGTGAAACTGGGTGTTACGCTAATTGCCATTAATCTATTCGCGATAGGCAGCTTCCTTTCGGAAATGACCCCTAAATGTACTAACGAGGTGCCAAGGTGAGTCCAGATCCACACCACATGAATAATGCTACAGGATATGAGACAGCGAGCCACAGTGGCTAAAGTACTTCGTGAGTATATTGCACGACCTTTCGGGTCTGGCCGCTATCTCTAGACAAAGGGCCCCCGATTCTTATAACTAACTACCACTACCGTGGTTCGGTGATGGCCCACGGATCTACGTGCAAGATGGCTCCCGGTTCGGGGATCTCCAAAAACAGTGTCCTGCGTCGGGGTGGATGCTACAGTACAGACACCCACCGGAAAGGTGGCAGAGGGCAGACATGATTTCTGATCGACCTATGGGCAGGCTTAGATTTAGTCTCAGATCTAGTGGGGTCTGTGTGGCGTGTGCACATTGGATCTAGACAGGTCCCCAAAGCCGGGCGTCGGCCAATGCAGGGTCTAGTTTCAGGTACATCTCGCCAAAGCAACATGACGAAGAAACTAACAAAGTTTGTCACGGCAGAGATCGTGATTTGCCGGACTAGTACCACGATCGGTAGCGTGCGCCATGAAGAATGAAGAATAATATCGAATCGACGTATCACCCGATCGGCACCATTCAATTCAAACAGGGCATAACTCATAGCCTCAATGTACATACTGCAGTACACTTCCTGGTGCTCCATGAACGTCGCAAATGGCGCCAAGCTGCACCGTGCTGAACATGGAACGGGGCACTGGGGAGCCGTACGGGTTGGGATTTCTCCGTCTCCACCGCAAAATCCCTCAATCTGCAAGGGTTCCAACCTGAACGCTGTTTCAACGACCCACTTGATAAACTCTATTAGATAGCTCATTCCTACCGTAAACCTCTGGATGGACCCACTCTCTATCGACTTACGTCCCACGGACGATGCCCACGGACGATGACCGCGAACGCTTCCCGCACTCTCCGATTCAACAGCAGCGCGTTGATCCTCTGCCACTCGCCCCCATCCAGTGGATCCTCGGGGCCACCGCAGTGAAGTCAAGATTTTGAAACAGGAACGACCTCGGAGGTCACTAGCCCTTTCGGGAAGGCTGTAAAGAGCTCGCGTGCTCACTTGCGCCTTTCCTAGCGTCAACCGGACGATGGAACCTGAAGCACTAGACTGACTGCGTTAGACTGAACCCTACTGTATACATTTACCTCCTTCCATTTGAGATGATGGTTCCGTCGTCTTTAAATTGCTGGCAAACTCTCTTATAGTGGTCTCAGGCAAACCTCGTGCGAGGAACTACTGCCAAGCCAAAGGAAAAACCGTAAAACTGTACCCGTATGTAACCTCGATTTACACAAGCCTCCCGAAACGGAAAGTCCCTGGGCCAATTTCCAGAGACGAAGGAGCTGAGGCCCGGTGGAGCCCATCGGCAGGCGCTGTCAGGTACAAATCATAGTTCTGTTACTGTACGGCCAGCAACCAGGCCAATTTACCGTGGTTCCATTTCCAAGGTTCGCCATTCCTTCTGGCGCCATGGAACAGCCCACCTTTCCTCAGAGCTCCCAGCCACGGCCTATGGTTGGCTGTAGGCTGTAATCGGAATATCTTTTTTTCGCCTATGGTAAGTTTCCCTTCCACCCATACCGCATCTTGCCTTCCCCATGTACCTATCGTATCACACCGACTTGGTGAACTCCCCGCTCGTCCACCCCCCTGGAGTCGAAGATCGTCCTAACCAGATGTGTGTCCGGAAACTTAATTGTTCTCGGACTACAATCTTATTATAATGTGCGTGGCTGCACCATCCATTCCTGGCACCACTTCCCTGTCTCTCTTGATCGCCCATCTAACCTCCCTCGCCCTATAGGTTGCACCCTTCGCATCCTGGAAATATGTCTGGACTGGGTGGTAACTTCGGTCGTGACTTTGCGCGTGAGACATGGACTCTCTACGCCTTCGGTGTATTCGGCGCCATCCTTCGATTGTGAGTGTCTCTTGCGTGGCGTGGACGAGACCTGTACTGTAACTGACTCGAGGGGTACTATAGTACCGCCCGTATCCGACGTCTGGGAATACGCCATCTCCAAACAGACGACTATATTATGTGCTTCGGCCTCGTCTGGTATACCATTCTATGCGTTGCACTCAACGAAGTGGCCTCGGGAGGAGGCTCCAATTTGATGACCCCGGAGCAGGAGGAGCACATAACACCGGCCATCCGCGACGAGCGTGTGCGGGGCAGTAAATGGGTTTTCGTGTCGGAACATGCCTTTATCCTTTGCGTCTGGAGTTGCAAGGCGTGCATGCTGGTTATCTACGCTCGTATCACCGAAGGCCTGAAGCAGCGCAAATGGATCAACTACATCGCCGTCTACGTTGGGCTCGGCTTTCTCGCTACGGAGTTGTCTCTCTTCCTCATGTGCCGCCCGCTAACCAACTACTGGGCGGTGCCATCATACGATTGTAAGAACGACGCTTCCCCGTTGAAATTTACACGACACTGACTTTGCCTAGATCAATGTTCATCCTACCAGTACTATGAGATCGTCCAAGGATGTTTCTCGATCTCCGCCGATTGCTTCATGCTGCTCGTCGCCATCCCCATGCTGGTGCAAGTCCGTGTGCCGATGAAGCAAAAGTTGATCCTGGTCCTTCTCTTCGGCATGGGAATCTTCGTCATCGTCGCCGCCGTTCTGAACAAGGTGTACTGCCTGGACCCCGCGCTCATCTCCTACGTTTATATGAACTGGTACTTCCGCGAAGCCACGGTGGCCATCCTCGTCACCAACCTGCCCTTGGTCTGGTCCCTGCTGCGGGACGTATTCCCGGTACTCAAGAGCTGGACCGGAGGATCGAAGCGCGGCACCGATCGATTCAAGTCCGGCGCGTGGACCAGCAAAGGCGGTTCTCGACCGTACGGACCCTCCAGTCAACTCCGCTCGGGCGAATTCGACATGCACGACTTCCCGCACAGAGCAACTGCCACTCCGTCAAAGGACCCCGCCGTCTCCGATATCAGCCTTACCCCGACTGAGGAGCGGGATGTGAGCAGTGACGATGGCTCAGCCCGTGCGCTGCGGATCCGACAGGACATTACGGTGACCGTGCAGCGCGACACTCGGCCACCGGAGTACCAATCCAGCACTGCTCATGCGGTCTCCGGACACGAGGAAGTGTAAGCGCCGCCTCTCTTCCCTTCAAAAGCCGAAACGGCATTATTTCACGAATCTACCCGAGTCCTTGTGGACCTGATACCCCGCCTAATCATTGCTCTTTTCTTTGCCTGTACATATTCGGTTTTAGACATGTTTTCCTTTCCTTTCTGTTGGATACACCGGTTGGATATACGGGGGATTCTCAATTGCACGGCATATACACTGTACAGTATAGAGGTCATCAAGAATGCCAATCCTATGCAATTTCCACATCGCATCCGACGTACCACAAGAGGCCCAAGCGCTAGGCGTGGCAAACCGTGGTTCACCAGGGAATCCACTTGCCCCGCCGATCTCCCGCTTCGTTGCGTCAACGACTGTCGATCTTGTCGAAATCGAGCCCGAGCGAAGTCGAGTCCAGCTGAGGTGGAGGTGAGCCTACTGTATGAGCCCGTGAGCCTGTGTTCCGGCCCTTTGATCCCTGCACATTTTAATATCCAGAGCCGACCAGATTCAGGGTCAGCCCTGAACCGGCCGCCATGGACACGGGTGGCGGTAGTCTTCACGGACCCTTCCCGAGCAGGCGCAGGGTCGAAAATTTACACAATGTGACGTCGGGCCAACGTGTCGGTATCTGCGTCAACATCAAAAAGCCTTCTACATAAGACGGGACAGTCGCAAGAAATGGCAATCGTGCCCCACAGGAGTCTAACCTAGAATGTCCAGTACTCCCATATTGGCATCCATTGGGTGGCGCATGCTGTCTCAGCATGTCACAGTCCGACGGGCCCCACTGTGCCAACCCGGCGGCCGCCGCCTATTTGCGCCGTGATCCAAGGATCGCGCCCGGCCATTGTGTGGTTACGGATTTTCCGGGTCATGGGGGCGGAATCTCCCACTCCGAAAATTCCATTAACGGGAGATCCCTGTGGAGTAGTCATCTCTTATCAACTGTGCACGGTAATCACCGTGGCAAAGTCTACCGAAGGTCGTTACCCGAACGATTTGATTCGCCAGTGCCCAATGCAACATTGTATATTTGAATAGAAATGTTTCACTTTAAATGTTTTCTAGAAGGTGACAAATGTCTTTCACGAACAAAGTTTCAACAGAGTTTTGACCACCCAACCAAAAGTGAAGATTGTGCATGTTGGCCCAACCCTGCAGGACTGAGTTTTGTAGGAGGACCTTTGAGGTTATTTGCCGACCAAATCCCGCGCCCGAGATCCGATATCGCTGAAAAGCCATTCCGGTGGGCTTTTCTGTTTACTCCATATGATCAACGCAGAACCACACATCCGTTAGTGGACCTCGGGGGCCGAACGGGAGAAACCTCGGCTCGTTTAATTACCGCAATTAAAGTGAATGGGTAAATTAATTGGATCAATTAATATAATTCCCGATCACCATCAGACTCGATTTTCTATTCCCGCGGGTGCCTAGCCAGACCTTGCCGATAGAGTTTGCACCAAATCCCGATCCAGACGAGTTCAGGGCAGGATCGGTGGGGGGAACATACACAGTATTACTGGCATCCGCCAATGGCCGGGATGGGCGTAGCCTCGATCGCGCTGAGATGTTGTGGTTCATGATCCACCGTGTAGTCCGTGTCTGCGGTGCACTCGCTACGGAATGTTCTCCCGAATACGAAAGTCCTTTGGGTCCTCAGTCCTAGCGCCTCGCACGGTCATACCCTGATTGCCTTTGGGTATTATTAGTTTTGAGGCGTGCACGAACGATCTCGGGGGCGAGCCGGGTGCGACGATGGGTCGGCTGGGGCTTCCGCGATCGATATCGGAATCAGCTTGCGTGGCTGATCGGCGGATTTCCGAGGAACGCTACACTGTACATGCGCGCTCAGACCTTATTCTAGGAAAATTGAGGAAGGCGTAGTGATGATAGAACTATACGATGTCTTTGTAAAGGAAACAGTGTGACATGTCACTGACAACGTTGATGCCAAGTGACTTGACCGAAGAGAGAACCCACGTGATTACATGCGGCAACTCAACACGCAGACTATTGAATCTTGGGACTGTTTGATTCTTGGCTGTCAACCCCAACTCGTTGAAATCAGAACCATCAACAAAGCTTGTTCACTTCCAGTCTCCAAGTCAAACCCTGGGTCAGGGATCGCACGGACTTGTCAAACCCCAACAGTCCCCGCCTCTCTGAATCGCTGGCCTGCTCCAACACCGCCGGACCCATCTTACCAGGCTTGTATCTGAACTCTGCATCGAATCAACGGATACGAAAGGACCATCAGGCAGGACCAGCCCAATTACACGTGGAAACCCAACACATCGGGAGTCAACGCTGATCGATTCTGCCACGATCTCCGACCATTCAGAGTGCTTAGCGACGGTCTTGTTGATCATTCATTGTCTCAAAGAGGCAGGAGTGTTGATCCCCTCCGATCAGCAGTCAACCCCAGATCACGAAAGCTAACGATTTCCCCGTAAGACTGCATCGGTCATTGATTGACCTACTTTGAGAGCAGTTAGATCACAATGTCAACCGAGTCATTACCCCGACGCTCTTTTCTGGGATTGGAAGGCCAGCATGTTTTCATCACTGGCGCCGCTGGCGCTATTGGGGGTGAAGCGGTGCGTGAATTTCTAGGTAGGTGTCTTGACTTTGTAGTTGACTTTCCGCATTTGGTTGTTGGTGCGCTTCATGGCTCGCTCAACTGACAGGGTGATGTTGCTGTCCGTTTGGGCCAAATAACCGTTGGCTTTCCCTGCGGGACTGTTGTAGAATTGCACCTCGGGCGTTGAACATACAATAGTTGAATTTTCTGCAATTTCAAGCAATATCACCTGACCGTCACTAGATCACGGATGCCGTGTCACAGCCTACGACAGCCGCCCGCTGCAGCTTTCTGGAATTGACGCTGAACGCTTCTCGAGACTGCAGCTCTTGAATGGCGACGTTGGTGAAGAGGAGTCCATCCAGTCTGGGTTTAAGCAGGCACAGGAACGATTCGGACCTGTGAATGTCCTAATTGTCAACTCCAGCTTGGAGGATAAGACGAATGAGTATCCCATTTGGGACCTGCCACTGGACGAATGGGAGAGGAACTATAGAGTGAATGTCCGTGGCTCCTTTCTTGCCATTAAACATTTCCTGCGCTGTGTGCGTGAATACCAGCAGACATCGGGCGCTGAGCTGGCCAGCCCGGCCATTGTCGTGACGGAAACCGAGACTGGCACTGGCCTTGCTGCAGGAAAGACCGGTCTGCACTACGCCCTTCTCAACACTGCCCGAGATGAGATCAAGCAGCTCAACTCGGAAGCCCGGATCAATGCTGTCACTCGCGGTCCCATCAATAAGACTGGAGAGATTGCTACCACCCCGGCAGATGTAGCTCGAACCATGGCTTTTCTGGCCTCGAAGCGCGCATCTGGCCACATTTCCGGCCAATCTATTCGCGTTGAAGACAACCAATATTCCATCTCTACGAAGATCTCGGAATCAAAGTCATTGGCTACCAAGGAGCCTGTGCAGTCGATTCCGCAAGCCCTGTCCAAACCGAAGCGAAACAAGATCCGCGTTGCAGTTTCAATCGACCTGGATGCTGTCTCAGGATGGCTTGGAACGAGCAAGTCACACCCCAGATCTAGTCATCACTCTAGCTAACCACGGTCCTGTAGACTCTCACCCGGACAACGTTCTTGCAGACTATTCGGCTGGATTCTTCGCAGCCCGAGTGGGCGTCCCCCGGCTCCTTCGCATGCTGAAAAAACTGGATATCGCCAACCGTTGCACCTGGTTCATTCCAGGCCACTCGGTCGAGAGCTTCCCCGACGAGGTGAAGCAAGTTGTTGCATCCGGCTGCGAAGTCGGGCTGCACGGATACGCCCACGAAGGCGCCTACCAGCTGACGCCCGAGCAGGAGCGAGACGTGCTGGTAAAATGCATGGAGATTGCGCAGAAGCTCACCGGCAAGAAGCCAGTAGGCTACCGGGCGCCTCTCTACCAGCTCCGAGAATCAACCCTCGATCTCCTAGAAGAATTCGGCTTTGAATACGGTATGTCCCACACCCATGTGGTAGAACTACGACCTTAACATCGAACCAGACGCCTCTCTAACAGACCACGACTGCCACCCATTCTTTGCCCCCAGACGTCCACCCCTAACGCCAATCGACTTCTCCAAACCCGCCTCAAGCTGGATGCACCCCATCAAAGAATGCGCCTCCCCTCCCGACAGAAGACCCCTTGTCTGCGTACCCTGTAACTATTACATGGAAGACATGACACCCATGCAATTTCTCCCGCACTGCGATAACTCACAAGGATACGTCGACACGCGATTGATTGAGAATATGTGGCGGGACCGGTTCCTATGGATCCGGGATAATGAAGAGGAGCCTATTTTCCCGGTATTGATGCATCCGGATACGAGTGGGATGGCGCATGTTATTGGGATGTTGGAGCGGATGTTGAGGTGGTTGAAGGAGTGGGAGAGGGAGGGAGAGGTGGAATTTTTGCAGACTGGCGAGATTGCAAGATGGTGGAAGGAGAAAATGTTGCAGGAGGGGCATTAACAATTTCTATGCGTTATGAGAGTCGGGATGTGTGAGGTGAGATCCTGGGGTAAAAGCAATGAAATCATTATGGAGTGCTGGTTGATTCGACATGTCTTTGAGATCTACTATACAAGATGGTTCCATAGTATATAGTTGGATAATTGCACCTAGATAAGAAGCAAGGCACGAGCGAATGTTGGATAAGATGAAGCGACATCAGTGGCTATCATGAGAGGGATAAAATAAGAAAATGGCTAAACGAGATCGACAATAAGAAACATTGAGCCTCGCGATTTAGATTTTCCAAGTGCGTTGTGTAACGGACTCCCGAGTTCCAAGTACATATTCGCTGACACAGTGATGAAAAATGAGTTGAAAATCAATGAAGCCCCACGTGTTCATCCCTCTTTCTATCAATGGCGCAAAACGTAATATATCGATACTGCCTGCGTTGTACTACATGCAGGCATGCATGGCAACATGACCAACCCGTCTGATTGGAGCGATAGGTGGGCAGGATCGGCTCGAAGGACCCGGTTGAACTAAATTCGGAGTGATCTACCAACTGGTTCGTAGAGCTGCATGTGCATGGCAGCTGACAGATCCACCAGTTACGGCTGAAGTGCCGTAAGGGATTGCCATTGTCTTACCTTCAAAGGTGGGCCATAATCGCGGGGTAAATGAGAGAAAAAAACACAGGGATGGGTATCACTTTTTTCTTCTCGTCCATTACATTTCCACCTTCAGCTCTGGGAGAGTGTTAGGGGATTGGCAAAATGCCGGCCACTCAGCCATGGGGTTACCGGTGGCGCTCATCGCAGGCATTTCTCATTTTCACGGCCACCCTAGGACTCTTTTCTGAGACGTTTCTGTACGCGTTCATCGTGCCGATCCTGAGCTATATGATCGAGGATCGACTACAGTTGCCTTCAACGCAGACACAATGGCTTACCACCGCACTTCTCACGACTCACGGGTTTGTCGCAATGGCATCGGCTCCTATTATCGCCCATTTTGCAGACAAGACATCCGATCGCAGGATGCCCTTACTTCTTGCTCTGACCGGATGTGCGTTGGGAACGCTGTTGGTGGCCATTTGCTCGTCTGGTACGTATCTACACACGCTTCACCCAAACCCGGGAAAACAAAAAGTTGATGGTCGATAGTGTGGTTGCTTTTCGTGGGTCGTGTTATTCAAGGAGCAGCCGGATCGGCAGGTTGGATTGTAGGTTTCGCAACCTTGACAGATAATATCCGACCGGACCGTATGGGTCAAGTCCTCGGCACGGCCATGTCACTCGTGACAGCAGGCGTTATCATGGGCCCGATGATTTCCGGGGCTCTTCTCCAGCTAGTGGGATACTGGGCTGCCTGGTCCGCTCCGCTTATACTTCTCGGCATAGATTTCGTTGCGAGGCTGCTCATGCTTGCAAAGGATGATACGCAGACTGCATCCTCCGACGCATCGACTGATGAACAAGAATCACTGCTTCCTTCGAAGACCCGTAATCCATCCGATCCGGAAGAAGGATGTCCGGCATCGACGGGTCCCGGCTTCTACCGCATTGTGCTGTGCAATATTCGAGTCATTGCGGCGCTTCTCAATACTTTGACCTTCTCCATGGTCATATCTGGATTCGACGCCACACTGCCCCTCCATCTACAGAAAATCTTCCATTGGGGCCCTTTGCCGATCGGTATGATATTCCTGGGTCTGCAGGTCCCCAGTATCATCCTAGGTCCTATAGTCGGATGGCTTCGTGACCGGGTGGGACTGCGCTATCCGACAACCATCGGGTGGACCCTTACTGCACCCTTGCTCTGGCTGTTGGGCATGCCCGGAACAGGAGCAGTCTGGGCGGATCATGGAGAAAATGGGAAATACATCTTCATTGGAGGGATTGTTGCGATCGGTGCTGTTTCGCCGCTGGTTCGTGGCGCGGGAACATTCCAATTAATTAGTAAGGACGCGTTTCTTCAACCTTTCGGCATAATTCTGACCGTTGAACAGCGGTGACGAACGATCTTCAGGCGGAGAAACCATCTATTTTTGGGCCTCATGGCGGCAGCTCACGAATCTTCTCAATCACGGAAGTCATCTTCAACATGGGTGCAATGCTCGGGCCTCTTTTGTCCGGGGCTCTTGTGGAAGTATTCGGTTTTTATACCATGGTTGGGACTTTTGGTCAGTGGTGCTACTGTATATTGGAAAAGTGAAACAAATACTGATCTCGTTCTCTCCAGGTGTCATATGTCTCGCTGTCGCTCTTGCCTCTTTTATTTTCCTTTCTCGGTAATGCCCCAAGCGACGCCAAGGGTAAAATCTTCTACAAAAAAAACCAGAGGTGAGCTTGCAGAAGTAAATAGCTGCCCAGGTGCACAAGACAACTTCGGAAGGTGGTCAGCTTACCATGTGTTCCGGGAGTCACCTCGGCGGAGGCGTTGTCGTCTACAATCTTACGAATAGTAATTTGACTTCAGTCGTGATATGTTAATTGCAATGTATCTTAATTGCAGGTAATACTATACTATCTGGATAAACATGACCAAATTAGCCTCGCAAAGGAGGATTGAAGAAAATGCCGAATACCACTTCGGTAAAAGAAAGTATGTTCAAAAGGAATCAAAACCAACGCCATGCCAGGTGCGCAAAGAAACAGATGAAATCAACATCGTAAGACTCGTGTAACGATCGTTCAATATGTTCAACTTTTGGTGGAGGGCAACCGGTCTAGGATCTTTTACTCTTCGTAGAGATCCATGTCGCCACTGTTATCTTCCATCTCTGCGAGGGCTTCGTCAGAGTCCATCATATCCTCGTCGTCCTCATCACTACTGTCGCTGTTCTCGTGGTTGGGGAGAACATCGATGCGGCCGTCCAGCATGACCACGCGAGCGGTTTCGCCGTCCTTGATGCTGCCGCGCAGGATGAGAACAGCGAGGCGGTTGAGAACCTCGCGCTCGATAAGACGGCCGAGAGGACGGGCACCATAGGCAGGAGAGTAGCCTGCAGCGCCGAGATAGTCTTTGACTTCTTCGGTACATTCAATGGTGACGTTGCGGTCGTTGGCGTAAAGCCGCTTCTGGACCTCGGCGAGGCGGAGGTCGACGATCTTGCGAATCTCCTTCTTGGTAAGGCGGTTGAAAATGACGGTGCTGGAGATACGGTTGAGGAACTCGGGCAGGAAGTAGTCGCGGAGCGCACCCATGACCAGCTCGCGGGTCTGGGGCTCGATGCGTCCGTCCATGCCCGAGGGACGGGCGAGGAATTCGGCGCCCAGATTGGAGGTCATGACGACGATGCAGTTCCTCGCGTCGACAATGCGGCCTTGGCCGTCGGTGATGCGACCGTCGTCCATGAGTTGCAGAAGGACAGTGAGTACTTCCTTGGCGGCCTTCTCCACCTCGTCGAAGAGCAAGATGGAGAACGGGCGGCGGCGAAGGCTCTCGGTTAGCTGGCCGCCGGCGTCGTGGCCGACGTAGCCGGGTGGTGCACCGATCATGCGACTGAGGGAATGTCGTTCTTGGTACTCGGACATGTCGAAGCGGATCATTGCCTTGGGGTCGTCGAAGAGGAATTCAGCCAGGGCCTTGGTAAGCAGTGTCTTACCGGTACCGGATGGACCGCAGAAGAGGAAGCTGGGGGGCGAATTGGGGTTGCTAAGACCGGAGCGTTGCAGTCGGATGGCGTTGGAGACAGAAGTAACAGCCTCCTTCTGGCCAATCACGATCTTGCCCAGATGCTTCTCCATGTTGAGCAGCTTGTCCTTCTCAGTAGTCTTGAGACGGGTGACAGGAATACCGGTCCAGCGGGCAACGATCTCGTTGATCTGCTCAGGACCGACGGCATCTGCCAGCAGGGCCTCGCCGCCATCAGTGTTCGTGGCACGACGCTCGGCATCAGCCTTGGCCCGGTCAGCCTCGAGGCGCTCGATAAGAGCCTTGGTCTCGGGAATGGCATAGTATTCGATATCAGCAGCGGTCTGGGTATCGCCCATGCGCTCGGCCTCGTCACGCTTAACTTTAAGAGAGTCAAGCTTGATCTTGGCGTCTTGGACTTCCTTGCTGCGCTGCTTTTCGCTTTCGTACTTTTCACGCATCGGCCGAAGCTCCTCCGTGACGTTGGCTGCCTCTTGCTTGGCGACTTCGAGACGGGCCTTGGAAGCTTCGTCTTGCTCACGCTCCAGGGCATGGATCTCAATTTGGAGTTGGCGCAGTCTTCGCTCCAGGGTATCGAGAGCTTCAGGCTCGGACTCGCGGGTGACTCGAACGGCAGCGGCAGCTTCATCGATCAGGTCAACAGCCGAGTCGGGCAGGCGGCGAGCCGTCAAGTAGCGAGACGCAAGGTTGGCCGCAGAGACTATGGCACCGTCGAGGATATTGACACCGTGGTGCACTTCGTACTTTTCCTTCAGGCCACGAAGAATGGAGATGGTCTCTGGAACCGAGGGCTCCTTGACCAGGACTTGCTGGAATCGTCGCTCGAAGGCCTGATCCTTCTCGATATACTTGCGGTATTCGCCAAGGGTGGTGGCACCAATGCAGTGCAGCTGGCCTCTCGCCAGCATAGGCTTGAGGAGGTTGGCAGCATCCATGCCGCCCTCGCCGCTGGATCCAGCTCCCATAAGAAGGTGGATCTCATCGACAAACAGGACAATGGTATCCTTGGAGTCCTCAATTTCCTTCAACACGCCCTTCATGCGCTCCTCAAACTCTCCACGGTACTTGCTACCAGCAACGAGAGAGCCCACATCGAGAGAGAGCAGTCGGCATTGAGCCAGGTTGGCGGGGATATCAGCATTGACGATCCGGCGAGCCAGACCTTCGACGATAGTGGTCTTACCAACACCGGGCTCGCCAATGAGGACAGGGTTATTCTTGGTGCGCCGACTCAAGATACGGATCACACGGCGGATTTCTTCCTCTCGTCCAATTACGGGGTCAATCTTGCCCTCACGTGCCAAAGAAGTCATGTCGATGGTAAACTTCTTCAGGTTCTCATTTTCGCTTTCCGCGTCCGCCGTCTTGGAGTCCACACGACGTGTACCCCGAATTTGCTGGACGGCATTGTCGATGAGGTTGACCTTGGGGATGTTTGAATCGCCCAAAGCACGTTGGACTTGAGAGTCCTGGCACACGGCCTGAATCAGATGATCGATAGCCACATAGCTGTCTTTCTGGGTTTTCGACAGGTCCGTAGCCTGTCGGATAACTTTTGCGAGTGCTGGAGAGACGCTGACTGATTCTGGCGGGGGGTCTTGACTGGGCAGCCGAACGAGAAGCTTCATCAGTGCCCGATCAAGCAGTTGGGGATCGCCGTGGGCCCTCTCGACGACCTGGCGGAAGAGAGGTGTAGAGGCAGAGTCATGTGAGGAGTGCCCAGCAGGCTGGCGATCTTCGGCATCATCTCCAGAAGGGTTGAGGAGGGCAACTGCGAGGTGGAGGGGTAGAATTTGGGAGTGGGCGTATTGCTCGGCCAGACTGTTGGAGTCCAGCAAGGCCTTGTTGGCCCGGTCTGTGAATTGAGCGCCGTTCATGGTGAACGGAGATGTGAGGTGTAGCTTGCAGTAATGAGGTAAGTTCCGCGAAGGTGAAGATTAAATAGAGAGTAGAATGCAATCGTCAAGTGGGCGGATTCATCGATGATGCAAGCTCATATACTTGGGCCGCCGCCAGGCCGAAACAACCGCTATGTTCAAGACGTCACGACCAGCTTCCACCGCCTTCCAGAAGCTACTCGAACGGTCAGGTGAGCTCGAGTGACTTCGATCATACGATCCTCACGTGATCTGAAGTCACATGACCATGGGTTTATGGCCTCAGGCAAAAAAAGGACCTCCCTTGACCTCCCTTGACCTCTACGCCAACGAAAACACAGCCCGATGAGCAACTTGCCATTGGCGGAATCCTGCAATACATGTGTTTCCAGACTGTGGAGAAGTGAGGAGCAGTGGGGAGCCCGACTCCGCCCGAGACAAGCAATCATGATGCAGGGATGGGAGACATGGCCTTGATTCTTGGCCATCCCGCAGGGGTGCCACCTACGCCAGCCGATGTACATGTACCAGCCTTGCGAATACTCTTCCCCATCTCCCTGGTAGCCCCTCTCCACAGTCCCTGTTTATCTGACCATTATTGCGACGTTCCAAGATAAGCGAATGCAAAAGCGCCATGCCGCGCCATGACGTCAAACTTGGCATGCTCGAAATCTCACTTCGACTGACCCGGGCTCAGGCCTCGACCGTCCGAGGGTAAGGTTTTCCTCCGAGGAATCGAATGCATCATTTTCCGGGCCGGCGAACCCTGTAGGGATTATCTTTACACCGGAATCACCATCCAGCTAACAGATCTTGGGACAAACGGAGGAAGCTAGATGGTGGCTAAAAAGCCTGGTGGACACCCTGTCCGAAGAGGCGCATCCAGACATGGAGATCGATCCATACAGCCGTCCACTCATGGGCTCCCGATTGGCCCACGGGGGGGGGGGAAAAGTGGTCTCTAGACTTCCGTTGGGCCTTGCATCCGGGTCTGGAGGGTCTTTGTCCATGCGTACGAGACGGATAAAGCGAACAACGGGTGCAAAAAATAGCAGCGGAACCTAGGAAGGTTCCTTCGGCGGGGCAAGCGGAGATGAGGGGCCAGCGTTGTGTCTGCTCTGATTGCCTCGCAGACCCCCTCCAACGCCTTAGTCCGCTTAGCATTGCCTTGGTGATACGACGTGCGGCATTATTTGCAGATGCAACGATTTGTGCGGGCTGTCGCCGTCAACGATAGGACGTAGATCCCAATCTATACCCCTCTCCGAAGAGGGGACAGGGACGAATGGAACCGTGATGAGAACTCTCGGACAGAGCCATGGCATGATAGGACGGCAGGCTCATCGGGTTATCCACGGTCGTCGCAACTCAACTCTGGTTGAGCATGAAACACCCCCCCCCCCCCCCCCCCGAGGCTTTCAGCTCTCACAGGGAAAAATCCCGGTTAATTCGTAGTGGTGTATGTCATTCCTATAAAAGGCTTTCGCTCCTGCAACCCACTTCGTCCATTCTCACGCCATCGCGACTCTCATTGAGCTCATCAATTCGCACTCGTATTTGCTGAAGGCTGCCCTGGGTTTGTCTGTCTCTGCAGGCTATCCCAGCAGTCGATCAGCTCTCATAACGCTTCCGAGTCATTCGAGCCGGATTGACACCATCTCCTCCATTGCTCGGATCCCGACGAGTTTATTCCACTTTGCCTTTATTCTCACGCGTGGCGTGCACGGGACCGAATCCTAAATCGATCATCATGTCGAACAAGCCTATTTTTGTGGCGACGCATCCGCGTGCCTGTTCTACGGCCTTTGAGCGGGTATGTGGATCCTGATCATCTTTACGGCTATCTGAGATTAACGAGATCTCCAGGTCTTCATGACTCAGCGGGCAACGATCCAGTGTGTCCATGAACCGTTCGGCGACGCCTTCTATTACGGTCCGGAGCGTCTGTCCGACCGATTCGAAAACGACGAGCAGGCTCGTATCGATAGCGGATTCAGCCAGTCGACGTATCTCACCGTATTGGAGAGAATTGAACGTGAAGCTTCAGAGGTCCGACCCTTCTTCCTGCGACTTCCTTTGACATTTGTTTCTTTTGCCGTATAATCGTTCCCCATGTCTCCGAAAGGATCGATGTGGGGAAGTCCCTACAATTTTTGCTTGAGACTGGCATGTTCAGCATACCCATCCACCCCCTCTTCCCCCTCTACGAATCTGGTGTAAAGCACAAAGATCAAAGATGAAAGGTCTTGCGCCTTGACTTTACGAAACTTTCAGTGTTGTTTTTCACCGGGGGGATACTTACCATCTTGCAGGGAAAGAGAGTCTTCATCAAGGACATCGACCACTACCTTCTTCCGCCGAATGCCAAGCCCGCCAGTGTTGCTCCCTCGCTCCGACGTATCAAGCGCGGCGTGGGAACCAACGGGGATGAGCACCATGCCAATGGCGTGAACGGTACCAACGGTACTGCTCATGCCAACGGCCACACCGCGACCAACGGTGTCAGCAATGGCACCAATGGCACGGTGAACGGCTCTGCCAACGGTGTCAACGGCCACACTAACGGCCACACCAACGGCACAGCCACCAACGGGCACGCTGTGAACGGCACCAACGGTGTCCACAAGCCCTACCCGTACAACACGCCCGCCGAGCCCGGCAACCCGACGGTGATGCCTCGTGAGATCCAGGAGCGATTCCATTTCGCATTCCTGATCCGCGATCCGCACTTCAGCGTGCCGTCGTACTACCGGTGCACGATCCCACCTTTGGACGAGGTCACAGGGTTCTATAACTATGACCCCTCCGAGGCCGGGTACGACGAGCTGCGTCGGCACTTCGACTACCTTCGACACGAGGGATTGGTCGGACCCCGTGTGGCGACCCGGCCAGACCTGCATCTGGAAGATGAGTCGAAGAACAAGGAGACAATCCATGAGATCTGTGTAATCGATGCGGATGACATGCTGGATAACCCGCCGTCGACGATCGAGGCGTTCTGTCGTAGTGTCGGTCTGCCGTATTCTCCTGAACTGCTGAAGTGGGATACCCCGGAAGATTATGAATTTGCCTGCTTCTGCTTCGAGAAGTGGCGTGGATTCCACAATGATGCCATCGAATCCTCGGGTCTAGTGGCGAGGCAACATGTAAGCACATACACCCCGAGGGAATGGGAAGATGGGACGATGAACGATGGACCTGGCTAATACATTTCACAGAAGAAACCCGCCAAGACCGAAGAGGAGTACGACGCCGAGTGGACGAAGAAGTATGGCTCCGAGGGAGCAGCTCTCATCCGCCAGGCCGTCGACGCCAACATGGCCGACTACCTCTACCTGAAGCAGTTTGCCGTAAAGGTCTAACTGCCAAAAAGTAGCAATGCTCTTGTCAAGCATATGATCCAGAAGAATAGCTGGAACCGACAGGAGCAGGTCTCGTGGGTGTATGGATGGAAGAAGAGGAAAGAGAAAACGAAAATCCGGGGGAGGGTAACAAGCAACATATCCACCCCAAGCCCCCAGCATTGTGATTATTACTTCCCGAGCCCCCTGTGATTTCACCTGTGTTTTTACCTGTGACGACGCCCCATATGAGAACGATTTAGTCCCGATGACGCGATCTCCAAGGTGCTCCCGCCCTGTCATTGCGAAACGATACTTTCGCCGACTGCGGGGGATCTCGGCGGAGATTGGTCAATGCCTTGACGATCTTGCACTGTGTTTCATGTGTTATTCGCTTTGCTACACCGACTCGTTGCTATTTGTGACATTCTGCGGCCTGATCTCGATCTGCATTTGCGTGTTGGGAGATTGAATTGCTTTTTGTTTGCGTACCGTAATGCGCCTTCTACGGGTCGTAGTCTGTAGATGTTGGATGTGTTGAAACGGCGTAGCTCTGTAGTTGTGTAGCGTCGATGTCCTTGGTCTTGGCTCAATGAGACCATCTCAGGACGAGTAGTCGTCACATCGGGAAGTTGCCCCTTTATCCTTTATACTGACACGATTCGATCCACCTAAATAGCAAATTGATACTCGTTCATTCCATGCTCCTGACTTCAAATTTCACACTCTGATTGATTCCTTATTCCAATAGAATTCCCTACACCTCCGATCGCGGGCATTACTCTACCGTCCATACTCGTTTCTCATGCCGAGTCTTGAAAGACTGCTGGATACGTTCCTTTCCTCCCAAAGGAGACATAGTTCACATTGACATTCCATACATGAGCTAGCTCGAAAGCTTGTAAACCAAAACTCAATATCTAGCGCCATATCTCAACGCACTAAAGCCTCCGACCCGCAAAGAAGCTACAAAGCCCAGCCTGCTGCCAAAAAACATTGGGTGGAAAAGAAGAGCAGACGGATCTCAAAATACAAGAAAAATCAAAGTGCAATGGGGCTTCATACTGCACTGTACCCGCCCCTCGAACCGGATCCTTGCAAAGTGTTAATCACTCGCTTGACCCAGTCCTGGAAGATATATGGAATGTCGCGAAGGGAGTCGGCGTGCGGGAGAAGGTCCCAGCCGCGAGCGCCGTAGCGATTGTAATTGAGCCATGAGCCAAAAATGAGGTATGTGGCGATGGCGAGGAAGAGACTGGAAATCCGAAAGTTAGTGACGGTGTTAGCTATGAGGGAGATAAGAGAACTTACATGATGATCAACCAGGTGAAAAATCCCCAGTGACTGGAGCTATTCTTGCCACGCTGGAAGTCGTCGCAAGCATACCGCGTTTTCCACGCGAGCTTGAGAACATACTTGTCATCATCGGTCAGGTCGAAGCTCTTAAACTCAAGGCTGCGACCCGGAGCCGAGTCGCCTTCATCTCGGCGCTCCTTCGGATCGTCTCTTGTATTGAGGCCCTCCAGTCCGGACCGGTCCGGGTCGCACTGGAAGTCGATCTGGGCGCTTGCATCCTTGGCTTTTTCGTCGTTGTGGTCGCCCGTGTATTCGCCGCCTCCCAACTCGACCCGGACACCCTCCATGTTCTCATCGATCTTGTTCAATAGGGTGAACTTGGGATCCTTGGAGCCTGCCCCGGCGTGGTCGAGTCCGACGATCGGGAAACCGAATGAGGTACCGCCGTTGCCATCTTTCGGCAGTTCTTTCACGAAGCCGCAAACTGAATAATCACTCCTTAGTAACTAGAACCCAGTAATTCTCGCAGTGTTCAAACAAACGGAGATTTGCGCAGTCTTGACATACTGTTCCTAGAAGTGCCGCACTTCCCCTCAGGGCGATTCGCAGCCTTGTGCAGAATGTTGCAAATGTTCAATACGTAGGTTGTATTCGTCGTCCAGTCCTCCGTCTCCTTGACGTGGTACAGCTCGTGAACTCCGCCCAGGGAGCTGAGATCGTACTTGTATCCCTCGACGTTGATGTGCGCGCAATCAAATCCGGTCGCAGCCGCAAGGCCCGGAAGCAATGCAGAGAGGAGCAGTGAAGCTCCGGTTAATTGTAATTGCATGGCGGAGGAATGGCAAGTCTATCGGAAGGGGTGGAAGGTTGGTTGCCCACAAAACGTGGTCGGGTCGGACTGCGGCGCGGAGCACGCGAGCTCAAAGATGGACGAGCACGAGGACAGAGAACGCGGTGAAAAAAAGCAGTGTGACCGTGGAGGGAGTGGTTGAAGCTGATGGCAGCTGGTGACTGGTCGCGAAGTGGCTTGTCGTGGATGACGATGGCTGGGGATGACTTTGCGGAGTCTTTCGTTTCTCCGACGCGGCTTGCGACTGGTTCCTGTAGGCAGCGACGAATGAAGCCACAAACAACGACAGCTATTATGGTGCTGCCTGGGGTAAGATGCTGTCTGAGATGTATTCCAGAGCTCTACAAGCTTTAGGCTTGGCTCTGTGCCTTTTTCAGGCGTTTTCGCCCAGCGTGAGGATGATGTCACCCGACCCTGAGCCTTGGCAGTGTGCCCAGCTGGCTCTAGTCATCTGTGTGCATAGGATATACTATATCTACGAGTAGGAAATATTCAGCAAATATTAATCAAAACGCGAGCTCAAGTTTAAATGTTTGCTGCGTGGCATATTCAACCGGGACGGACGATTAGACCTGGTAGTATCGTTGCACGCAAGCAAGATGGACAATGTGACATCAAAAATTAGACAAATCCTGCTACTTCGATACTGAGAAAGACGGCAAATCCTTTCATTTACAATAGAGATCAAGTAAGCTTTGAAAGAGCATAGAGCAGACTTGAGAAACGCGTAGATCGCAGCCCACCAAAACCGCCCGCGCACGGGCCATCCACCTCAAATCATCAAATCCGCAGAGGAACATCCGTAGTGGTGAACCATCCCCTCCATTCATCAATTCATTCCTTACACCTCCGCCAATATGATGAACACACGGATGGTAAGCAATATCCCGGGCTAAAGGGGGAGGCGGGACAAGCCCATGTCCATCTCTCCTGACAGGCTATCAGAATGGGGGGAACAACAACCATTGACACTTCTACAGCTCTCCAAGGAAGATGAGGGAATGGGCGGCAGCGAGGAGAACGAGGTCCGTCGCGAGGATCAAGAAAAGATCAACCGGTTCAGTCGGTTGCATCAGCGTGAGACCGTGCTCGAGGACCAGTTGAAGGCCAAGCAGGTAAGTTGGACAACGGCGGGGCATTGGGGGATATCACCTCGTTAGCCTGTTCCACATGTTCAAAACTGACAATTCCCACAGAAGGATAAGGAGGATCTGGAAGAAGTCTCCATGGAGCTTGAACTCGCCGATGAAGACGAGCTTGTCCCGTAAGTACCTCCCGTTCCATCGCAACCTGGAGATGCGTGGAGACTGAACATGGGCTCATTGAATCGACAGCTACAAGATCGGTGACTCCTTCTTCCAGCTTCCGCTGGCGGACGCGCAGTCCATGCTCACCACGTCCACGGAGCAGATCGACCAAGACGTGTCGAAGCTGGAGGAGTCGATCGGCGAGCTCCGGGAGGAGCTGCAACAGCTCAAGGTGTCTCTGTATGCGCGGTTTGGACGCAGCATTAACCTGGAGACCTAATTTTGTGTCCTTGGACTTTCTTTACCATTCAAAAATATTTATGAACCCGATGAAAGACATGTCATGATTGGGTATATCGGTGTATTCAATGACTCGTTTAAAATAACCCCGAAAAGAATTGAAATAGACTTCTCACACAACCGAGGACTTTTCCATACATTGGCAAACCCTGGGGGTGCGGACGGCACAACAATAGCCCACATGCTGTTCAGAGAACTGCATTGGTGAAAAGAGCCACCACCTGCTCATCAAGGACCCCAATAGAGTTTATTTTAGTTCACAGTCCTGGGAGTTCTTTACCTTAAGAGACGAGGCGCGAATGAAGGCATCAAGGGTCACTCAGCGTCAAGTTTCCGGGACAGGGACAGACACCTGGTCTCGTATGCGGCCAGATAAATCATCTCATAGGCGACAATTAGTATTCGTGCGGCGACAACGAAGATAAAGAAGAACCAGCATCACGATAAAGTCAGCCAAGACCTGAGTGCCAACCGAGCAAAATGAAGAAATGAAAGAAGCCGGACTGTTTAAGCCCACCCAGACCGCGCTTGATTGACCGGACGACATATTTCAGGATTGCATGATCGGCGGCTCGGAAAAGAAGTACTCGGCAAGTTGGATGTAGATGAGCCAGCCAAAGAACCATGCCTCGTTAAAAATGTTCGTCACCCATGCACTATAGAGGGGAGAAGGATGTAGGAAAAGAAGGGGATGAAAGTGAGAGATTGGTCTATTGTATTCTTGCGTAGAGAGTTGCAAACAACTTGAAACCGGATTCTCGTCGAATGTAGACATAGAATCCACCCGGACATACATGCAAGACAGAAACAATGCATGCTGGCTCTACATACATGTATATCAGACGGACACATCGCAATCTGCAAATACCACAGCTCGTAATATCATTCAAGTCAATAAATAAAAGAGGTATCTTAGAGGATCAGAGAAAAGAAAACAAAAAAAAGGCAATCCATCAAAAGATGTCACCGTCAAAAACACGCCGCGGCAGGTATATAAGGAAGGGAAAGGACTCAACATGAGTCATCAGAACAACGCCGATTCTCCAGTGCAGTCCAGTCATGTCTACCTAGAAAGGTAGGGGTTCAGGGTCGAGCCCGAAATCAAGAACAAAATTGCAAAAGCATGCAGACCACGTTTCTCTTTCTCTCTCCTTTTAATCATCACGGGAAGAGCACGTATGTACGGCCCGCACATCTCGTTTCCTCGTTTCTGGTTTGGGTTTGTTTGGGTTCGTTGCATTAGTGGAAATTCACATCCCCAGGGCACTGTTTACCGGAACTTCGCCCGGCAGCGACCCATAATCTCATTTTGGCAGACAAGCTCGGCACTGAATTCACTGCCGTCAAGAGTGAGATAGATGTCAAAGTACACGCGGTAGAAGATACCCTGAGGTGTATCCATGCGCTCGAAATCGGTCTCGAGGTTCTTGCGTGAGAGATCTGAGGTGAGGGTGACGACCTCCTTGATGCGTGGATCCTTGGTGTATTCAGGGCACACGTCCTCGTCGCAAGCATACAGCACGTCCTCATACATGAGAGTAGCACCGGGGGCCACTTGACGGAAGAAGCTGACCTTAACAGGCTCGCCGATCTTGACACGCTCACCCTTCTGCACGAAGATCTGACGCGTGTACTTGCAGCGGTCCCGACCATCCAGACTGGGTACCCGGTACTGTTCGGGGTGGTAGCCCTCCTTAAATGGTTGTAGAGTGGCCATTAGGTAGTGTCGACGGGCGACACGGTGGGTGATCACTCGCTCAGTGATACCTGCCGTGACCGCACCCTTGACGATGGCGGCCACTGAATCCATGGGTCGGACGACCTTGGTTTGATATTGGGGAGGGACATGGAGTTTGATCTGCTGGAAGAGGTACTCGGAGGCACCGAAACCACCCACAACCAGGACGTTCTAGAAATGGTGTTAGTCGCATTTCGAAGAAAGCCAAAAATGACTGTGTCTTACCTGGAGCAAGCGGTTCTGTGCTTGGATGGCGATGATCTGGTTGCGCACCAGCTCAAGAATGCGGTTCACTACGGGCTCAAAGCACTGAAGGATCTCCTCGTTGGTGAAAGTCATGTAACCCTCCTCAATGCCCGCATCGGGGAAGTCAGCCTCAATGCCGACATCCACTGCCCATTTTTGTCCGTTGTTGCGGAAGTCTGCCTTGATACGGTTCTCGAAATCCATGATACACTTGGCGTACACCTTGCCTGCCGTTCGCGAGCCGTCGGGAAGCTTCATCTTGCGAATCTTGGCACGTAGGATATTGCTGAAGTTCCGGTTGAGCGCGGTCGAACCACACGAGTCACCAGATCCAGCAGTACATTCCATCACACTGAACGGTTGCTCCTCCTCGACCTCATAGGCGATCAAGTCCACCGTACCACCACCGCAATCAACGATCAGAATGGCGTCTCCGATCTTCAGGTTCAAAAGACCGGTCTTGGCACAGAAGAGAGCGGCCGCCTCAGGTTCCGAAACCAGGGTCAAACGGTTGTCGTTCTCGTCTCGCAAGAAACCAGCCTGAATGGCAGCAGCACGAGTAGCTGCCTTACCAGCATCGTTCCAGATGGCCGGCACTGTGAGATAGTAGCGGATGTTGCGTTCCTCTCGAGTAAACACCTCACCCAGGGTCTTCTGCAGCTGTGCGCGCATTGCCTGTCGCAGCTTGAATAGATAGTCGGCAGCCACATCGATCTCTGACTTGCCCGGAGGAAGCGGAGGCAAGTTGATGGGGTCAATGTAGGTATTTCCGGAGAGCATCAATTGCAACTTGAACCATTCGACCTTCTGCACCCCATGTTTCGGGTATCCCGTAGGCGCAAGCGCATCGGCGATATCTGGCCCCCAGCCAACCACTTTTTGGTACTGGTCGTAATAGAGGACGGTAGGGATCTAGAAAAGAAACAGAGAAGGGGACGGTTAGAGCTTTGAATCCATTATCAGAGAGATTGCGCTCACCTTCTGTTTCGTATGGGTTCCGGCACCGGGCCATTCCGTGATAATGTCTTCTCGGGCCTCGTTATTGGTCGCAAAGGCAAACGCGACACCGGAGAAAGTCGTGCCGAAATCGATACCGACGATGAGCTGCGCCTTATTGCGATTCGCTGTTTCGATCTCGACGGCGGGGTTACGGTACTGGGCCTGCATACCAGGTTGGATAGGCATGTGTTGTTGGGGCTGCATGCCATAGCCCGGAGGAGGGTTCATGGGCTGCTGCATGCCGTGCTGGGCGTATTGCATGTTGGGGTTGGTGTTGATGGGGGCGGGGTGCTGGGTGAGGGAGTTATGCGGGTTGTGGGACATTGGACTCGTCGGACGGTTAGCTCCAGCAGTTGGGTAACTTGGTGGTCGGCCTAACTGTTGTTGTGATTGCGGCTGCTGTTGCGGCTGCTGTTGGTTGTTTACGGACAGACTCGTTGTAGACGAGCTGCGGTTCGAGCGAGGCGCTGTGTGTGTGATGGGCGGCGAGGCACGGGGAGGGGGAAAGAACGACGGGGTTGGGCGCGGGGGACGGTGGTTTCGGCTTTTCGCGTCTGAAAGGGATCCTGAACCGCGAGGAGCTCATGAGGTCCATATGTGGCCAGCGCCGGGAGATTGGGAGGAGAAAAGGGAAAGAAGGGGGAGAGTGAAGGAGAGGAGGGGGAAGAGAAGCAAGGCTGAATACGGGTCAAGACGGTGTGGAGCAAGGGAAATCGGTGCCTGTCAGCCCGGGTAAGCCTGAAGGAATAGACTGAATGAAATCCTGAGCGAAAATGCGAATGGAGAGAGAAGGGGAAAAGAGGGGGCCAGAAGATCGGAGTGAGGCTGAGAACAGGATTTCCAAGGTTTATACTTAGCAACGGGTTGAAGTTGAAGGGGGAAATTGGCCTTTGTCAGGGCGGAGAGACGTGGAACTGGGGAAGATTACCGTTCTATACAACTACATAGTCCTAGTTATAATTTCTATATTCTATACGCGGGGATATTTATTATCAAGGAACACAGAAGTAGAGGATATTGAATGTTTTTCTTTGTTCCTCGATCCACGGAACGCGAGTCTGCTGAACCACCGATTCACTTTGGTTCCCCGTTTTTGGCCCCCAAGACAAACTGTGGCCGTGCAAGTATTGACGTCCCCAGCTAGGTCCACGATATGGCAGTGAAATTATTTGGGGGCCTTTCTGAAATTGTAATATTCAATCAGCCTTAAGGCGCCTTCATTTTCCGCGCCACCCAATGCGACGGCTGGTACAGGTTCTGGAGCATGCTATCGCCGTCCTGGATGTAGCCGCACGGCCGCCGATCGTCAGACCGCGCCTCAATTTTGAAGCCCATGCGTTCAACAAGCATTAACACCTCGTTCTCCGTCAACTCCACACTACCCGGTTCGCCAATGCCCGTGGTGTCCCCGTCTGCCTCCCTGCGGGGATGGCTGTCCTCGAAATGCCATAATAACGGTCCCACATTGATCCACAAGCCGTCCTCCTTGAGACAATGGTGAATCGCTTCGATGTAGCGGATCAGGTTTGGTGCCGTGTCGATGAAAAACACCGTCGCGACTGCGTCAAAGGCCTGTCTGTTGCTGGGCTGCATGTACAACACCACGAAGTCAGCTGCCGACATCGACATTGACCCAACTGGCCGGTTGGATTGCATCGCCTCTGCAATGGCGGTGCCCGGATGCACATCGGGGATCTGAACGCTCCGTAACTGTTGCGCACGAGATTTCAGATTCGAAAAGTGTAACGCAAAGGGGTGGAGCATGTGTCTCTGCGGGCCCTCGGTGTGGTTGAGAACCCAGCTGCTGGCCAACAACTGGTGGTACGAGATCTCGTTGCCCTCGGCCGCGAATCCTGCAAGACAGACGTCAAACACCAACCGGCCCAGCCCTGCGCCTGGAACGAGGACCCGAATCTCTTCGCCAGCATCCCGTCGGGCCTGAAACTCGGCGCGAAGGTCTTGGAGCACCGGGTCGTAGCACACTTCTCTCTCGACTCGTCCCTCGACACTCCAATCCCGATAGAACTGACGAATGGTCGAGTGCGCCTTGTTGACGTCGGACGAGGTGGCTGTTCCGTGCCAATTTTGAGTAGGATCTTCTTTGTTGGGGGTTGCAGAGAGACCGAAAGACTCCAGGCCCACGTCTAGAATCTTGTCCGCGATATCGGCGTTGGTGTCGATGGCATCATCCACCTCGTTGAAGTTGTCCAAGATAGAAAATGGAGGCTCAGAGAGCATCTGCCAGTGCTCCGAAGGGAGAGAGTAGAAAGCCTGTCGTCGACGATGAGTGGTGTTCATGTGCGCCGTCCGACGATATTGTCTGTAGCAACACTTAGCGAATGATCAGAGCCAAATGAAATCGAGGTAGGTTTATTGGAATATACCCGAGGGTCTGCAGGGCATGTTAAATCTACTTGTCACACACCTGAAAGAATCAAAAGTAGCAAAGAGCACTCTTCGCTCATCGGGATCTGAGAACGGGTCAAAGTCGCCCTGCCAACTGCGCTCGTCCTCCCCATCCTGGGAAGGCTGAGACGGATCTGTCATGTCTACAGTACAGCGACGAGTTACGTATCTCTCAGGAGCCCGTAGAGATGCATCAGCTCCGCCGAGTCTGTCGATAGAGAGCGCAGATCCGCGACGTGGGTATGCAATTGTGCGGTGCGGGCAAAGTTGAGTGGGATTGGTGGAGCCGGTGTTTGCCGCATGGCGGGGACTTGAATCTTCAACTCATCTCACATTGCGCTTCACGACGCGCACTTCAGCATTGGAACTTCAGATTCTCTATCTGCTGCTTCTATCCATTTGAAATAAACAGACATGGCAGCTACTGCGGCGCCAGATCTCCCCCAGACGGAGCGAGTCGCGCCCGACCTCAAGCCCCAGCAGCTCTCCTTCCCACTGCCCAGAGCTTTACATACAACAGGGCATGTACACTTGACCTTCCTGGATCATTGTATCATGGCCTTCTTGACTACATCGACTCCTGGTGACTCGGCAGGCACTGTCAAGCCGCTGGGGAGCTTTGTTTATGCCATGCCTGATGTAAGTTTTGATTTCGTTGGTGGACTTGCCTCGTCGTTTTACTGTGCCTTCATTCGTTTTTTTTCACCCTGCTTGGTATATCCGCTTTGTCTAAGTGATCAATGTCTCGCCGTTACGTATCTGGGGACCGATGTGCTCTGGCATTTCGAGATTGCTTGGAATTATGCGTTTTGTAATTCTCAGATCACCCTATTGCTGTTTTCTTCGTCGAATCTCTTTGCAATTCTCCTCAACAAACCCTGTCACTTAAATTGATGCAATCTGCGTATCAATTGTTGCAGCAGCTGTCTGCCTATATACTTGGACCTACACTCCTTGATCTTAAGATACGTCATTGGATACTGGCTAACTACTCAACAGCGCACGTCGTCAAACTCAACAATAGCTACCACAATCTACACATCCGCGTCAAGTATCGAATACACGACACGAGTGGCCAAGATCGTCGCTCGGCGGACCAAGAAGCCCGTTTATGTTGGATGCAGCATTGACCCCAACGGACTCGGCTTGCAAGTCGAGGAAGAAATGGAGGGCCTGAGGAAGATTGTGGACTTGATTGTGGAGAAGTTTGAGTCACAGCAGAAGCAGTAGCGTGCTTCTGTTACAAGGGCAGACTCAAAGACGGATCCATCTGGCTGCATGGCAGCCTCGGCAGGGAGTTGTGGCATGTTACTTTACCTGTTTTTGTTATTTTAATGTGACAGTCTGATTGATTCACCAGATATAATTCTCTCAAATTCTCCAGCCAAACTTGGGTGGTCCCCTATACAACCTTCGTTCCGAAACGAAGATATCTCCCGGGAGCGGGCCTGCCATTGGAAATATCAAGACCGCGCTCATATTTATAGAACCTCTTGTCATGTGCCCACATGTCACATTGTGAACTCCTTTCCGGCCGGGATTCGGGGTCGTTTTGTCCGCACAATCCGTCAAGCCCCGCGATGAAGCAGGATCCGATCTACAGTGTACATCTACGAATGCCACAACAAACCCCAGCCAGGCACCCGCGATTTCAGGGCAAAGGGTTTCTATTGACTCTCGGTCGAACGGAATCTGCCTTTTTGGCTTGGTGATCTCGCTGGCGGCTTGGATCCAGAGGCACGTCGATATAGGATTGGCTCTTCGATGAGGTTTAGAGCTTTCGGCCCACCATGACCGGCTGACTTGGGGCGAAGTTGGAATCAGGAAGAATCTCCAGGATATTCTGAGGGCTATAAAAGAGGCCACATGTCAGGAGAGGCAGACTATCGAGCTCAACACCAGCAGCCGTCGACAACATGACTCCTCAAAACATCGGCATCAAAGCAATTGAAATCTACTTTCCCAGCAGAGTATGCTCTCATTAAGCCACAATTTTGCTTCCAAGTAAACTTACCCTACTGCTAGTATGTTGCTCAATCCGATCTGGAGAAGTTCCTCGGTGCCAGCACCGGCAAGCATACCATTGGACTGGGACAGACGAACATGAGCTTCTGTGACGATCGCGAGGGTAAGCATGCCTCTACGCCATTCAATACGAAACAGAATACACTCTATTCCACAAGCCCATCCTAACCACCGAAATAGACGTCTACTCTCTCGCCCTGACAACCGTCTCCTCCCTCCTGCGCCAGAACACCATCAACCCACAAACAATCGGACGCCTAGAAGTAGGCACCGAATCCATGCTCGACAAAGCCAAATCCTGCAAGTCCGTACTAATGCAACTCTTCCCCACAAACCCCGACATCGAAGGCGCAGACACCTACAACGCCTGCTACGGCGGGACAAGCGCCCTCTTCAACGCCGTGCACTGGATCGAGTCATCCGCCTGGGACGGCCGCGAGGCTATCGTCGTCATGTCCGACATTGCTCTATACGACACGCCCGCTGCACGGCCAACGGGTGGCGCTGGGTGTGTAGCTATGCTGGTTGGGCCTGACGCGCCGCTGGTGTTGGAGCCATTGCGGGCGTCGTTCATGCGGCACACGTATGATTTCTACAAGCCGGATTTCAAGACGGAGTACCCTGTTGTTGATGGACATTACTCGTCCCGATGTTATCTGCAGGCGCTGGATGGGTGCTATCAGCGGTATCGGGCTAAACGGGCTGCTCGGGAGAGTGTGAACGTGAATGGGGCCTTGTTGGCGACACCGTTGGATGAATTTGACTACTTTGTCTTCCACGCGCCGAACTGCAAGCTTGTGTCGAAGTCGTATGCACGACTACTGTACAATGACTTTGTGGCGGATCCTGAGAATCCACTCTTTGGGGAGGATCTTGTTCCCCTTGGTATCCGGGAACAGACTTACGAAGGATCCCTGGATGACAAGGATCTTGAAAGGCTCTTCATTAAGTTATCTCGCGAGCGATTCCAACAGCGTGTGCAGCCAAGTCTAACTGCCCCGACCATGTGCGGCAACATGTACACCGCTGGTGTGTATTCAGGATTGGTGAGCCTGCTCAGCAACACGCCCAGCGAGAGCCTCCTCAACCGCCGAGTGGGCATCTTTAGCTTTGGCAGTGGATTGGCGAGTACAATGTTCAGCTTGCGAGTTGTTGGTGACATTAGTGGTATTGCGGCGCAGATTGACTTGCACGCACGTTTGGCTAGACGGGAGAGGACCTCGCCTGAGTTCTACCATGAGGTGAGAGTTAAAACGTTCATGTGAAGTTTGTGATTACGGCTAATAGAATATAAGATGTGTCGTGTCCGCGAGCGAGCATATCAGCAGAAGAATTACACTCCCACTGGGAGCGTTGAAGCTCTCGCGCCGGGGACGTACTACCTCGAGCATGTGGATGACAAGTTTCGTCGAAGCTATGCAGTTAGGGAATAATTAGCTGCAGGTAGACACTCGCCAATGTAACAACGGGCCCGGTTTAATTTCCAGATTCACCACTCTTCAGTTGGGGGCCATTGCCCGAATCTGGATTGGGTGAAAGCAGATCCTGTCCCTGGCCCGATAGACCGCACCCGCAGCGGTGCACAACGCACAATAAAAGTTTATTTCAAACTTCTACATGAAAAGTCAATTGATTGTTGATGCGTTGCTGTCAATTAATATAGAAAATCGGTGCAGTTCGCTTATTCGGCGCAAGCCGATAAGGATGCCCGATTAAGACGTCATCGATCAAGCCAAGCAATCAATTAATCTGAGACTCCCGCAATTTGGCACACGGAGTGCTCCGGTCTCAGAACTGCAGAACAGGACAAATCGGAAAGCCTCGGTTGCCGGCCGGAACTGTTTCATCTGGTCGGATCGTTGTCCCGTTGTGGGGCGGAAAAATAGACTCGACCGCAAACACAAACTACACATTAAGTTTGCATCTCGCTTGGAAGTTAGGTCGCCTACGCAGTGGTAGTGTGGTTACACAGGCATCATTGTCACGACGATCTGCGTTCTGCCTTTGGCCGGGTACTCCCGTCTATTCTTAGAAGCGGGGCTTTGATGTTCGACAGTCTCGTACTCGGGGGGCCGTCGGGGTGACGAGGGAACCATGCGCCGAAACTACGTGTTATAGGTAGAGGTGCTGGGGATTGGCGTCGCTGTTGACTAAACCATGCCGAGGCCGGTTGAACCACGCAAAAGAATCCCGGAAACCTGGACGAGAGAGCGATCTTGCCAGGGTCCCAATTCGACAGGCAGACGTGGAGGGCTCTTCAGTGTAGGCCCATGCGTCTGCACGATAATGACCCTGGCGCAATCCGTCGCAGGCTTTAGCGGCACGAACCGAGGGCTCGGCTGAACCGTCCCAGTTCCTAGGGAAGTCTCTGTACGTCCATTAGCGCTACATAGCATGGCCTCCTAATGATCACGGGTCAACCCTTTGCCGGAGATCGATATACGACGCTTGAGCTTGAGCGCCGCTCGAGTTGGTCGGACGGGAACTGAAAATGGCTCAATCGACGGTTCCGAGTAGCATCGACGCGTAGATTGGATCAGCTAGCCACAGTTTCATTTAAAGGACAATCGCTTTCTGAAGGGTAGCATCTGCAGATACATCTTATCACGTAGCCGACGCAGAAGCGTGCGGGGAAACCGTATTCAGCTAGTAAGGAGGTTGGGAATTGACCCGTGACCAAAGGACACGGTCCAGGCTGGCGTGATGGAGTACAAGATCAATGCATCATCAATGCCATGACCGACGTTACGAGTGAGGTGTGAAAGAGGGGCCTCGCCAAGGATCACGGATCACGGAGCACGGAGAACTAGCCTAACAGGGTGGGCGGCTGAGGACAAGGAGTGCAGTCCGTGCTGATTCTCTGCCGCTACAGTCGAGGGGGGTCTGTTTAGGGGACCTGTGGTCAGACAGATGCACATGCCCTGGATAAGGTATCCGGCCCCGGCGCCGTCGGCACGCAAACCCTTGTTACGTGGTGGAACCCCTCAGTAAAATATCGATTCAACGGACTCGTGCGGTGAGTCTCGTGGGATGCACGGACTCGGCCTTTTCCCGACCTGAATCTTCAGGAAAAGTTGATACGAGGCCGAGACGGATAAAACTCGGGCGATCAACGAGATAGAAAGTAGTGGACGTGAGACGCACGACAGGGGGGCACTCTCACCTCCCAAAGTTCTAATGATTGGAGCTATCAGGGGGCGTGGACAGACTCGGCAGACCAAAAGAGAAAAGATTAGCCGTGGACAGAGGGCGGTTGCCACTGGGTTCCACCGTCCGGGTCAGCATCCGGCCTGAGATTCCATGTGGTCCGGTGCATGACTTCCGAGTCGATCATCGGGGACTTGGACTTCATAGAGATCAGAGGTATAGAGGGTTTCGTTAAAGCACACGGCACGGCGGGCGCCGAGATCTTCATCCCACATACCGCGTCGTACGTAACTCCCCGTGCAAGGGGGAGCCACTCTCTGGCCAATCCCCACCACTCGTGTTGGGGTTTCCCTTTGATCTGATGGAGTCTTCTCCTCGACAGAGTATAATGTCTCCGGGACGGTGAGCCACCCGATCACCATGGATGAGTGTCCCAGTCCGGTCACCGAGTTGAAGGACGGTGAAGAGTGCAGGGCCCTTCGACCGATGGTCGCCCAAGCCCAGCCCTCGCAATTCCCCTGCGACGATCTGGCACTCCTGTCACGGTCTCAAAAGGGGATTGTGCTCTCGGATCAAGTGGAGCACCGCTAACTCTGCCGACTCAATCTAGGGCGCTTTGGTACCGCTTCTCCGGATCGAGCAAAGAATCAACGGACAAGGTTCACCAAATACCAGGCTTCCCGACAGTGGGCCCGTGTGGACATCGGGCACTCGACTCCAGCTGCCGCGACTGGCTCATCCAGATAAACTGAGCGTTTTTCAACTGCTTCAGGTATCCATCGACACTGCGTCCGCCGATCTCGGGATTTCTGGGTTGAAGGTCTGACCTCACCTGTGGCACCGAGAGAGAGGCGAGAGGCAAGACAAACCATCGTCTGCTTCCTTCCTCCGCGCCGTAGAGTGTACCTCGTAGTATACTCCGTACCTTCAGCGACGAAATGAACAAACCAGACTCTCGGGCCAGGCCCGGCTGAAGCGCGGGTGTCATTTCGGCTGAACACTCCTAAATCCAGCCCATCCTTTTCTCCGCGATCTCTGGGTCGTCAATACGGGACCCTGATGGAGTCCTAAGGAACGGTGATCCCAATACTATCGCTTTTTGCCGTCGATCTGATTCGACCTTTTCTCCCTTTTCCTCTTTCCCTCCTTCCTACCCTCGCGGTATTCATTCACTTCACGTCTTCATTGACCCGAAGCGCATTCGCAATCCCATTCTCCGAGTCGATCGTCTTCTCGAGATTCTTGGATCTCCCTCTAATTCGCCGCTTCATCCCCCAACCTCGGCATTTGCATCCCCACGATCCGATTTGACTTGCGTCTGTAGACGTGGCTTGACTCCGGGGCCTTTCTAATCTTTTTTACTTTTTTTTTTTATATTTTTTTTAATTTGTTTATTCTCGTTTATTCTCCGTTCGTTCTTCCCCCGCCAATCCCGTTTTGAATATCCCTTTTTTTATTCCTTGACGATGGCTTCATTGGACCAGGCTCGCCAATGACCGGTTCAATCTGGTCAATCTGGTTTGGTACCTGGAATTTCAAGCGATCGAATGACCTCGGATGCGCCGAGGTGTTAGCGCCTATTTTGCCTGTTCGTCTGTTATATGACTAGCGTGATCGTTTCCTGGCCTTCGTGACCCGAAAACCATATTCGTCCCTCTCCTCTTTGGGGGGTTTCTTTCTTTTTTCCCTCTTCAGGGGGTGGATTTCGTGGATGGGGTACTTTGTTCAGGATGCAGCCGTCTCACTTTCGTCCTGGGAATCCCCCGAACAGCTCTGTCGAGCTTCCTTCCGTGCATTCAGTGACGTCCGGCGCGTTCCCGCCCGCGCCTGGGGCTTTGCTTTCCGGCCCGCCGAGTAGACCGGACAGCGGAATGCGCATGTCCCATCTGTTGCAGCCCATGCCCCAAGGGCATCAAATACCACCGGTCGTCCCCTCGTCGTCACCGTATGGGCGTTTCTATGACTCGGCGTCAGGGTCACCCGCGGAGAATGGCCTTCTTGATGCTCCGATGGGATCAGTCCCGGGACCCCCGCTCTACCAGACCAGCCCAGTCGGGCACGGGCAGGGGCCGAGTTCTCTGCAGCAGCAAAAACGAGCCTATCGTCAGCGAAGAAAAGACCCGAGTTGCGATGCCTGTCGCGAGCGCAAAGTGAAATGCGACGCTTCCGACGAGACTAGCTGCACAGAATGCACCAACCGGAAGGTCCGGTGTCAATTCACCAAGGAGACGAACCGGCGCATGTCGTCCATCAAACAAGTTCAAGATCTGGAGAAGCAGCTCGCTCACGTCAAGTCGCAGCTACACCACGCGCGCTCCGGTATGATGCGCCCAGACCACATTATGGATCTGGATGATACGGCCTCCCAGCCGGGCATCAAGCTCCCAGAGATCGACTACAAGCCTGCGCGACGACCCAAAGCACTTGTCTTCCAGGACTTATCCGAAGTGCGGACGAATCTCCGCCAACACGGCCGCGACATATTGAAAGTGCCCACGCCATACCAACAACATGGATCTCGGTCAATCGTCACCGGTGCTGCGCCGGCGTTGCCACCAAAGCAACTCGCCGATCATTTACTTCTCCAGTATTATAATTGCATTCACTCGGTACTGCCAGTTCTGCATTGGCCTTCTTTCTCAGCAAAATACGAGGAGATCTACCAAAAAGGGTCGTTGTTGGGCGTCTCGACTGAATGGGCTGCTGTGCTTTTTGGAGTTTTGGCATGTGGTACCGCCCATACCGCGGAGCCCGATTGGGAAGAGAAAGGCAAGGAATTCGTGCGTCTGTCTAGTGGGATTATAGACGTCTGGCAGGACAATTTCAACCTGGATCGAGCGCGGGCGGCGTTGCTAGTGAGCATCTTCCTCTATGAAATCAATTCGAAATCGGCGAGTTGGGTCTGGATTGGATCGGCAGTGCGTGTGGCACAAGAGATTGGACTGCACATTGACCTTGGACCGTGGCCACCCGTTGAAGGGGAGATGCGGAAGCGTTTGTGGTGGGGTCTATACACTTGGGATAGGTTCGTGTCGTGGCCCCTATACTAGCGACCTCCTTGCTCACAGATGAACAGGCTACTCGCGTTGGAGATGGGCAAGCCAGTTTTGATTAATGACCAAGATTGCGACATCGACCTTCCCTGCCCAGTGGATGACCAATACCTGACCGAAGAAGGGAAATTCCCTGAAGGGCAAGACCAACAAATCACACCGATGCTCGCCACGATCCACGTCGTCCGTTCAATTGGCCAACTTACTCGAACCCTCCGATCATCATCCATCAGTCCAGCGACCCTCGAAACGTTTGAACGCCATTTCAACACATGCCTCGGCACCTTCCCCCTCGATCTCCTCCCGAAAGCCGACCAAGACCTCGATCCTCGATCCCTGGCACCTATCATCTACCTCCAAAACGCGCGTCTTCTCCTACACCGTCACAACATCTCCCCCTACTGCGCAGGCGCCGACCGATCCTCAGCAAGGGATCTCTGTGTTTTAACAGCAGTCGACACCGCAAACATTCTCTCGCGCTGCATGCGAGACCGTAACAGCGCAGGAGACTGGCGGCCTCTATTCGCATCCTGTGCAGGCACACTTCTCTGTACACACATCTGGCGCTGCGCGTTATTCCTCTTATACCGACAAGAATTTGAAGCTGCTTTGACCTGCGTCCAAGCAAGCGCAGCCGTGGGCAATACTCGCTCTGTCAATACAGCCTGCGGCCGGTACCTTGCGTTCTTCCTTCGAAACATGATAGACCAGGCACGTCACGGCGATGCCATGAACATTGAAAACGACGAAGAGATGATCGCTTACGTCTCGGGCGATATGCAGGGTACCAGTGATGGCAGCTGGGTCTGGCAGGGTAGCGAGACCGGCTCAGATCTTGAAGCCATGTCTTCCATGAGGACGACTCCTGCTCCACAGGAAACGGAGGCGGAGTGGGAGGGCTGGGAGTGGATTGAGAAGACAATCCACTATCTTCTTAGCGAGAAACAGCAAGGGATGTGTGAGCGCCGGGACGTGCCTATGGAACCGAGAAAGGGTTCTTCCTTGCTCAATCCCGACGCTGGGTCAGATTTGACAGACCGTCGGTCGAGCTCTGCGCATTCTCGAATGACTATTGCCAGTATTATCTGATCGCATATGCCTCAGCTTGTTAGCAAGTTTTCACAGCCCAGTCATGGCATGACCAAACACGCTCATCGCGGCTGCCCTGCATACATTTTGGCGCTCCCTACGGTCAATATTAACTTCGACCTTCTGACCAGGTGCAAGTGTTGATTTACAGAGCCTCCAGGGAGACTATGATACATTTTGTACAGTCCCCTGTGAGGACATCCGTACCACTGCACATTCGACCTGTGGAATATGATACACATCATCCACGTCTCCACGCCTTACCCCAGGTACATACTTTTCTTCTTTGCACATATTACAAATTCAATATTTATTATTAAAGCCGTCATCGGCAACTCCCCATGTATGAGAGTATCAACGGTCGGTTCCTATGGAATAGGATTGGTCAATTCATCCCTAATAATATGTACAAAGTTCAATTGACAAAATCACAAATGTATACCTCAGTTCTATCAACATATCCCATCGAGAACCACCACGGTCAGCAACTGTCTTCGATGGTTGGAGAAATTTGCAAAGAGACAGGTTTGTGAAGTCTATATCCTCCTAGGAACATGGGGGCAAACTTGCCATAAATTTGAGTCTCTTTTGAGCTCGTTGTATAGAGGCAACAACATGATATCATCATGACCGTTCACTCAATATTAAAGTGGCCAGCACCGGATCAATTTCTATTTCTCTCCACCTACAAATACATGCCCTTCTCCAGTTAAATATTGCCTTTGTGCGAGTAGAAATCATCATGCCACTGCACACGGTAAGTCTCCTCCTTCTCACGGCACGGCAATCTAACTTATGAATTCAAGTTCCTTCTACAAAACGGCGCCAGTGAATCAGACATGGATCGGTCGGTCATCGCTCTTTTTGGACACTCAAATCATTAACGTTGAAAACAGCCTCAAATCACTGATCAGATCCGTCGGGGGCGAAGTCACTTACCAACAGGGCAACAAACTACAGTCAGTCAGCTCCACCCGGTGTAAGCAGAGGCTGACAAGCGTTTTAGATGCAACGTGAGCGATTGCTTCGACCTGAATCTCATTAGGAGGCACACGTCGGCGGAGACTATCTCAGACCATCCATAGAGGGTTGAGTATTGGAGACGTGAAGGTGGGATCGGGAAATAAGGACCTCTAATGTACACAATCCTAATTGGACTCGCGAGGCTCTTTTCTTAAAACGAGGCCCGATCTCTTGCAATATTCAGCCGCATGAAGCCGGGCCACCAATAACGTTATTGATAGGTGCACAAGGCGGTGCTTACCGTAGAGCTGAGTAGTTCAGCCGCCCTGCAGGTGGCCCGTTCGTTGAAGTTAAGATTCAAGAAAGTTTGTTCCTCAGCTTTGCCATCTATGCACTTGTCACTCACTTTGCACGCCCATTATTTCCGTTGGGCGACCTCGATGATTATCTTTTCCCCTTAATCCGCATGGGTCATCGCACGCGAGCCATGACATGATCGCTCATCGCTCAACATGCAGGCTGCTCTCTTCGAGTCGGACATTTCTCCGAATGGCGACCCCAACCGGGTCTCCAAGCCATGGCGAATTCTCACGTCTTTTTCGGTAGTTTTGTTGCTCGTTGGGTGAGTGTATACCCGTCGATAATAGTACCGTGTCGCTTACAGAGTAATCAATATAGCTACCTGATATTGCCGATGGTCTTTGGGAATGCCGATGATTTACGCATTGATAGAACTGCGACTGCCGTGGTCTCGCTGCTCTTCATCAGCGCCTCGTATGGCTCGTCTATCGTCATCGCATTCTTCCAGCGCGGTCGCAACCTCTTCCTTCTCCGTTCGCTATTCAGGTCGGTCTCAATCTACGAAGCCCAAAGAGCCACGCTAACATGGCTAGGCCTTATCTGGCGATCAACCTACTCGGGCTGTTCAACGTTCTGCTCAACGTCCTCGCGCGCGGTCTTTTGCCTCCGAGCGCCCTTTGTGTTGTAGGCCTCGGACTTCCCAGTGCATTCTCGCTGGTTTATGCTCTCGCGGCGTACTTGATATACCGACAGTACGGGTCAAGCCAGAAGCACCGGGCGGAAGACGGTACTCCTCTCTTGAGCGAAGAGGAAATGCAGCGACGACAACTGCTCCGGCTGTTACAGGAAGGAGACCGTGGGTCTTTGTCGTCGGCTAGCAAGGACGATACCTATCGATTGGAAGGGTTTATCCCCGGGCTGGAACCAATGCAGAAGACCTGGGATCGGTTGAGCCGCCCATCAAGATGGAAGAGCATGGCCTGAGAATGAAACAATGAGATTGGATCGTTTTCAACCTTGGACGACATTGTAAAATAGCATAGCGAGCATATACTACATGTGAAATGATTATAGAACGATAACATTCCAGGGCGCGCCGCCGCACGCGTTCCACTTTAATGAACCTCGGCTCTTTCCGCATTTAAATCTGGAAACCGCCGTCATCCGAGTGCCTTGGGCCGAACGCGGTTTCAACGTCTTGACACCTTCTTTATCTTTGCAATAACCTTACGGTAGTGATATCAGACAACATGACAGACAACATGACCAAGCGTGTAACTCTTCTGGATCCCCCACCACGGGATGATTCCAAGGCGCTCATTGAGAATGTCCTTGATCTGACTCCGGTCGTGGACCTCGGCCCAGTACGACCACCTCCTTTCGCGGCGCAACACTTGCATTCCATTACTGACACATTTTTCGGTGCCTACAGGACGTCTTTACCAACACCCGAGCACTATGGCACCCTCCTGGAGCCCGCGGTATCTATGGCGGCGCCGCGATCGCGCAGTCCTTATCAGCCGCTATGCGAACAGTCCCTGCCGATTTCGCCGTCCACAGCATGCACTGCTACTTCGTTCTTGCCGGTGACTCCGAAATTCCTATTCTATACCATGTCGAGCGAGTGCGCGACGGCCGAAGCTTCGTAACCCGGACCGTGCAGGCGCGCCAGCGAGGCCGCCCGATTTTCACCACTACCCTGAGCTTCAGCCGGGTCGGTAGCGGCGGCGAGAAGACTATCAACCATGCAGTGCCCAAGCCCGATGTGTCACTCCCGGATGATGCAGAGCCGGGCACTGTTCGAGCTTTGAGCAACGCGGGCGGCGGTCCGTTTGAGTCGAAAAAGGCAGGCATTGTGAACCGTAAGTGTGAAACCGACCTATTACGTTTAACCACAATGGCAGAGCTCTGATACAATTAGGGCACTCACCAAACCCCGAAGACAAGAAGGTCCGGCGAGTCGTTCGCGCTCGCGGCCACATCTCCGAAGAAGGCGGCTACCAAGCACATCTGTCCGCACTCGCCTATGTCACAGACAGCTATTTCATTGGCACGGTCTCTCGTGTCCACGATATCCCCCGATTTTCCTCCCCGAGAGAGTTGCAGAAGCTCTTGAAGGCGCTCAAGAACCCCTCCGACCTGGACGACGAGGATATCGCCAAGGCATTGCAAGAACTAAAGGAGGAGGAAGCCGCCGAGCTGCGCCGCCGACTGGAAGGTGCTTTGAATGATGCCACCAGTGGTAAAGCGAAAGAAAATCAGAAGGAGGTTGGTATGATGGTCAGTCTCGACCACTCGATCTATTTCCACAACCCGCGAGCCTTCCGGGCTGATGAGTGGATGTTGATCGAGATGGAGAGTCCGTGGGCTGGAGAAGGACGAGGACTGGCCATTCAGAAGATTTGGTCAAAGGACGGTTTGCTGATTGCTACTTGCACTCAAGAGGTATGGTTCTTTGTCTCCCTGGACTCTACGGCACTGACAAAGTCATGCAGGGCGTGGTGCGATTAAAGCAGGAAAAGCCGCCAATTTCGAAGATTTAGATGCCTTTTATACCCCGTCAAGACCTTTCTTTTATCTATCCGCCTTTGATATGTCCCTTCTTTTCTATTCCATATTTGATTATAGACTTGACCCATTTTTCATTTGTCCATTTCCTTTATCCTTTGCTTGGACATGCCTTGAGACAGTACATATGGAATATCACGTTTAACTACAATAAGTAACTCATCAAGTCGTCGAACTCGTAAAAAAACTTGATATATCTCGCCATTTGGCTCATCAAGGAACAGCAGATTACACAGTTCATAGACTAAGAAACAAGCAAAATAAAAAGTTATTCAGACAGCCACCCAGATTTAACAAAAACGCAAAACCAGAGTCGAAAATGCAGGACTCTGCCCATTTCATAACACCATCACTGCGAGGTCACATCTCCACGTTTTCCCCATTTTATTTCCGCATTTTGTTTCCGGGATCTATAGAGCTCCTTCACCTTTGCACCCCACACGTTCTTCCCCTTATACTCGCCCACATTTTCAGGCCAGGTCTCCATCTCCTTTGCCAGATTTTCGAACTCCTGCATAGGCAGCTCGTCCAGTGGAGTCAGGAACGTCTTGACGCCAAAGACAATGGCTCCTGTCCGGGGTAGACGGCGGAACGTCTGCCTCTCGCGTCGGATTATGATTTCCTCAGACGAGGGGTTGCTGAGATCTTTTTCGCAGAGGGAACCCGGACGGTAGAGGATGTCGAAGAGATTCTCATCTGGTCTTTTGACTTCGATGAAGTAGTTGGATCGCTCCATTGGCGAGTTTGGAGTTAGACGGGCGAGAAATCTGTTACATGTTAATAACTTGCTGTGAATGTAAGATCAGTGACCAGAGATGCTTTAACTAACTTGCTGACGGAGTTGGCTACTTGTTGGTGCCATAGAGGTACTGGCTCATGCAGACGCGAAATTGTCCATCCGATGCGCTGGTCGACTGTCCACCCCGTGGGGAAGAGGCTCGCACTGGCAGCTCTGAGAGATTATTAGTGAACGCATAGGAAATCGTGGAGTATAGAACATACAAATAATATTCACCATCTTCGTTCATCATCAAAATACTGAGATCTTCCATCGTAAGCCGCACCGCCGCCTCCAGGGCGTCAGTGGGATTCTCGTCACGGCCTGCACCCCCAATGTTGAACTTTTCACCGGTCATACGATTTTGTATATGTGGATTAATTTCATGCATAGTTGTCTCAAACGTGTTCGGAAACCGCTGGCACAAAAAATGGGACACTTCTTCAAGAGCTTCTCGGCAGGCACCAACCGACTCGGGCAGACATTGCAGGACCTGGTTCCTTTTCTCACGAAGCAAAGCATCTCGCACGCGATGCTCATCCATGTAGTTCTTGTCGAGGGTGAGCCAGTTTTGGGCGTCTAGTTTGCGAATGTCCATCATGACGCGGTAGCGCTCTCTTCCCGGAATAGGTTGTGCCGGGTACGGCTTGAGGTCGGATGGATTTTCCGTACATCCATTATGTGACTTGCCCTTTTGGAGTGTCCAAAGCCAAATGCGAATTTCTTTTTGGTATCTCACGATGAGAGACAGAAGGATGATAGGAAGCGCCACCAGAGAGAAGACTGTCATATTTCTTCCATTCGGAACTCAGAGGATATACCTAGTTATTTCAAGAGTTGATCAAAAAGCAAATGACTTCTGAAGTTTTTGTATAGCGAGACAAGCTGAAGTAGCAATGGTATGATAAGCGAAAGAGAGGAAGAAGAACGAAGACGGATGACAGCTGGAAACGCGGCTACATAAATATCAGTGTTCCAGACGGGCGACGAATCGACCCCGTCGGTAAACCAGGCATCAAAAAGGAAAGCTGATCACCGGACTGTAGGGTATGCACTAGCTCCAGTCAAAAAATGGATACCAAGGACAAAGCAGCTGCATTCCACATTCCTGATACAGCGTACGGCACACGCCGTGATACGCTCAAGGATTCCCCGCAAAAAAAAAAGCCAGAGTTCGCCTCCCGGAGAGTATTGACAGCCACATGATCATTGGACCATGTACCTTTTTTTTTCAGCTTGGGTCATGAAGGCGGGTCAAGGTCAGGCCCGTGTCTCGGGGGTAGTGGAGTATGGGATGACCGGGTCCGGGACCTGGTCTCCTATTGCAGGCAAATCGGTGCTGAAGATGGGCTGTGGGCTGACCCAGCCGCTAGGCACGATCTAGGCACACGAGTTTAGCTTCGAACAATCGTCAACTTCGCGTATACCGTCCGTGCGCGACCGCTCGTGAACCAGGGTTTGCCGAAGGCGTACGGAGTAAACGGTAAACAGGGGGTTGACCGGGGCCGGCAAACGAGGACCACGTTGTATGGACAGCGTCGGGAGATATCCGAGTCAAGTAGGGAGGTATGGCCATGCTTGATGGTGAGCTCAGTTGCTGACCCCAGTTCCCAAGAGGATCGCCCAAGCAGGGCGGCGCAGTTCTAACTTAGCCGATCCGACTGGCCAGAGCCCCGATCTAGTCGCACATCACACCATCCCCGAATTAAGGAGTCCATGTGCTCCCTGACGTATCAGACGTGTGTGGAGAATTCCCAGCGGGACCCAGTAGCCTCTCTTCCGTCACCCCGATAACCCCAGGACACTCGTACCGGGATATTCTGTTGCTTCATTCGAATGAGGCACCATCTAGCACAAATCGAATATTTGGCCCCGAACTCACGGACATAGGGCAGAATTGCAGGTACAGCCGTGATCATCAGGTGCAAGTAAGATCCGTTACGTAGCTCATCAGGAGTTAACTGTGTTCGGTCCCACACGACTCCACGGACCCATCTGGGGTTTCCGCTGCAACCGCTGCCCCCCTTTCGCGCAAAGCGCGCTTGCCGCTGATATCTTTTCTGGGTTTCCGCCCTTAATAATAAATGATCTCTCATTCTTTTTTTTTTAAGTTTCCTCTTATCGTGGATAAATTTCCAAGCGATCCGGATTTTCTATGGGCGATCCTTTCATTTATTTTACCCCCTGTGGCGCTGGAACTGTCGCTAGCATGTTTTTTATTTGCTTTTTCGCCGCCCGTTTAATCCCCCACTGACGTGCTGTTGGCCTGAGCAAACGACAGTATTATGAAGTCACTTAATCGTCCCAATGCAAGGCAGTTCCATGGTCTCCCACTGGGATCCGTCCCGTTGCTAATGCATAGTAAAATCTACGTCCTCGGTCCTGGTCGTGTTTGCCTATCCACTTTTATTTAGTTCTCCACTCGGCCAGAGCAATGATCCTGGCCCAAATGGCTTTTTCAACGGAGAACAAACTTTGGTCTAGATTTCTATGACAGGAAGTGGAGACCGATGCAAGTCACCTTGTCGCCGGGACTTGATTGTCGCCGCCACCAAGGCACAGGCAAAAAGGCAATTTGGGCCTGACATGTACTCTGGCAGTAGCTCACTGATGTCAGAACACAGTGAGGGTGAGGTGACTTGTGGTTGCTTTAAATGAATACTACTTATCTTGTTCGGTATGGGGTGGAGTCATCCTCAGTTCTATCGCCTAGCCTGGATTCAAATTGTACCGAATCTCCATTGATCAACAGGAGAACCGTGCTTTATTAGAGAACCGTGCATGATTCTTTGCATTAGTCTCCAGTCCAGACCGCTAACCGGTGACGGGTGAAGTATTTTTGTAATGGACTGACTTTTAAGGGCGAGGAGAGATGCACTAACTGGCGCAAAACATAAGACCTAAATGTATACCAATTGAAGGTCGATCTACACATGCAGTAATAAATTGTCCATTGAATCCAATTAGCACGGCAAGGGTAGTGGTTTTTCCAATAGATAAACCTTGGAATCCTGGGTAATGGCATCCTCGCTCAAGGTTTCAGGACCAGTCGTCAACAATTTCAAATGCAGCCAGAACTGACGTCACATTGCTTTAATGATTTTTATGGCACAGTGACATTCCTCAAATATTGCATCACTATCAGCTGAAAAAAGGAGGCAGTGGTGGTCGGCCCAAGTTATCCGGGCCAGGACCTTTTGTGTATCCACCCAGCCAAAAGACCTAACATACAACTCCATGTATTGCATATCGTTTAGAAGTTCGGGCCTGTAGAAGAGGGGATTCGGCACCCTAAACACGGCCGTGGTATGCAGATGGATAGTTTTGACCGCACTTGACTCGAGTACAGCGATTGCCATGCCTTGACGAGTGGTGAATTATTTTTGAAATAACTGGCCATTAGTCAAAAGCTACCGCTGTACCCGCCTAGAAATAATTGGAAGACTTTCTGATCTCTGTTGCTTGGTCGCTCTTTTGGACTGAATTGATAGCTCAGTTTACGCGATGCTATGGGTTAGCATCGACTGGGACACGGATGTTGTTTCTGCTCGAAGGCTGCGCGAGTGATTTCCTATTCTGGAAGTATCAGCATAACCTCGCGCTCAGGCATCTCAAACACCGGGGCCGCCACGTGTTTCCTTACAATTCTGCATCTCGCCCTGTACAAATCAAATCATAAAAACAGTCGACAACTTTAATCGATTTCACCATCCTTAAGATGCCTTAAAACCCTACAGAGCGGTTATGTAAGACCTACGGGGCCGTTCCCCTCTAACCAGAAATGACTAATGACCGGCTTTGACCTCCACGCCTTTTGACAAGCCTCCACTCCCCGCAGGCATAAATCAAAAATTTCGCTGAGGATTTTCAGAATACACACTGACGCTGCTTATTTCTTTTATTCTCTAGCGATCTATCCGCGGTGTCTAAGAATGGCCACCGCCATCTATACCGAAACGCAGCCAGTGGCGTTCGCAGTGGATGACTCCGGTCATGCTTCGCTGACTCACTCTTCTTCAAACATGTCTCGAGGAGGCACACGACTTGGAAGTCGACTATCACAAGACCAATCCTCTTCTGAGCTGAACTGTGGCGCTCGGGATGTCTTGTCGCGGACTCGGGCTATTGTTCTAGTTACTGCCCTTACTGGCATTACCTTTGTGGGCAGTATGAGTGGTGGCTTGCTGACCATCGGTCTACCGGAAATTGCTGCGGACTTGAAGCTACCGGAGAATTTGTTGCTATGGTGAGCGCTTATAGTGTAGCCTTGAGTCCCAAATTACTAACATGTCCATACTAGGCCGGCATCCGTTTACTCGTGAGTTTTGCTCTTTCCGCAACTTCTAGTCTGAACTGACTACGAATAGTCTTGCAAATGGATGCTGTCTGCTACTAGCAGGCTCTTTGGCTGACTTTTGTGGTAACCGACTCATCAACCTCATGGGCTGCGTGGGACTATGCGCATTCATCTTAGCCTGCAGTGTCGCTCAGACCGGTATCCAAATGATTCTATTCCGCGCTTTCCAAGGCATTGCAACCTCCATGTGCCTTCCAACTGCATTCAGTATCTTGACTGATACAATGCCTGTTGGGAAACGACGAAATATCGGATTCGCCTGTCTGGGACTCGGCCAACCTCTTGGGTTTTCCGTCGGTCTAGTTTTTGGAGGACTATTCCAAGACAGCAACCTCGGTTGGCGCTTTGGATACTACCTCTGCGCCGGTGTCACGGCCATTCTTACGCTCATGCTGTACTTTAAGTTGCCGATCGATAAGCCGCGCGAGACCTTTACACTACGCAGACTGCGAGATGAGATTGACTGGATTGGAATCGTTCTTTCCAGTGCAAGCTTGGGGCTTATCTCCTACGTCTTCGCGTAAGCCGGCTTGTTGTGTCCAAGTGGGACGATTGCTAACTTTAAATACAGTGTCATTACTGATAACCCTGCCAACATCCACCATTTCGAGAATATCGCTTTGCTGTGCATAGCCGCAGCTTGCATACCTGCATTTATGGGATGGATGAACTGGAGAGAGAAGAATGGAAAATCTGCATTGATTCCCAACTCCCTATGGAAGAACATAGCATTTGCTTCAATTTGCTTGATGGTTCTCCTCGCCTGGGCCGTGTTGAATGGTACAGAAACAATTCTCAGTCTTTTGTGAGTTACACCGACCTCCATACAAAGCTTGGCTAACTGGGAAAAAGCTTCCAAGAAGTCCAAGAACTTCCGCCTATCCAGGCCGCCATTCGCTTCCTGCCCAACGTCATCATTGGAATTATTCTCAACATTGCGACTGGGCTTCTGGTGCACCGTCTTCATGCCAACCATCTTGTTCTTATCACTACGGTGCTTAGTGCTGGATCTCCGTTGCTGCTGGCTATTATCGACCCGCAGTGGTCATGGTGGTATTGCGCTTTCTGGGCAGTGCTTTTGGGTCCTCTTTCGGCAGATGGTATTTCTGCTTCCTAATTCCATGGAAAGAATACTAACGAGACCTGAAGTAATCTTCACCGTCGCGAACTTGATTATCGCCGATTCTTTCTCCGCAAAAACACAAGGTCTCGCGGGGGCCGTGTTCAACACTATCGCGCAGTTTGGTACATCCATTGGTCTGACCATCTTTGCCATTATTTCCTCGACCGTCACTCAAGAGTCATCTTACAATAATAAGGGGTCGCCTGATGCTCTGATGGTGGGTTATCGTGCCGTGTTTTGGACTTGTTTCGCTCTGATGATGGCCGCCGCTGGAATTGGTGCTTTGGGGTTGCGAAAGGTTGGCAAAGTCGGATTGAAGACGGAGTAATGAAGCAAGTAGACTGCAGGGTTCCTAGATTTGTACAGAATTGACTTCTTACGAAGGCTGACAGAAAATACATCGATTTTCATTAATGAACTAATATTATTATTATCTAAGCTGTGGATATGGGGTGGTCAAAATCAATCTCGAGGGATGCAAATACTCGCCAATGCAGAACGCCGAGCCTGATAACTTTTGTAAGATGAAAATTTTCAAAAGAAAACAGAATAAAGAAAAAGGGGACACTTGGTTATCTTCAATTTCTCGAGAGAAGATCCGTCGGGGTACGGCCTAGGCCCTGCGTGCAAATACATTAGAGAACAAGTCTATGGTCATATCATGATCGCTGGGAATATGCTGCAAATTTTTTGAATCGCCAAACCAGAAAGCAAAGTGTCGTAATTCCTTGAAGGTAATAGAGCAATGGTCGCAGCACCTAGCAAATGATCGCCGACTTCTCCGTCTGAGCTGTATCCACTCTCGTCATAGTCGCATGACCGGTATTGGCGGATGGAATCGGTTGTAAGTTATTGGACTCGGTTCCAAGTCGCTCTTCACGCTCAATTTGCTCCCGCTCTTCCTCCTTGATGCGCTTCAGCTCTTGACAGAATTTGCTGTTGGATCGGATGCGGTCGCCATAGCGGATAAAGGCGAATGGAATGATTGAAACGCCCAGACTGATGAATGCGATAAGACTGCATGCCCAATTCACACCGAGTCGGTTGAACATAGGTTTGGCAGCGAGAGGAATAACGGCGCCGAAGATGCTTCGCGTGCAGCTAGCGGCTGATTGAGCACTAGCAGATAGCGTCTCGTAGGCGTCGGTGAGATAGTTGAGCATGGCCATGAAAATCAACAGATAACCCATTCCAAACGGTATGCCGGAAAGGAATGGAACGACCCAGTGAATGTTTGGTGAAGATGTCCAGCCCACCCAGAATAGGGAGATGACATATAATGGACCTCCGATGCAGGCAAGAGGGAGCCTTCGGTACTCTTCGATGTTTGCCCATTTCGCATTGCGGGCCTTTGCGCGGACGAGGAAGCCATCGTACCAGATAAAGACGAAACAAGCAAGAACCGCTCCCACGCCAATAGGCAAAAACATCAAGCCACCAACACCAGGGCTCATGCCGTAAATCCCTTGGAAGATGATCGGGTAGGCCTCGAAGTAAAGGTAGAAGATCGCGTATGCCAGCGCAAGATACAGGGAGGTTAGAGAGACGATCGATTCATGAATAAGCATGCGGAACGGTCGTGTCATCGTGAGGAAGAGCATTTCTCGGAGATTGCGACTTTGCAGTTCCAAGGGCGAGACGATGTTGGAGTTGCCGGTATCTTTGCGCAGCTTCTTCGCACGCTTTGTCAGGACAACAGGTCCGTAGGTCTCGGGCATGAAAAGGACGAGTGGGAAGGAAACGCCGGAGCAAATCAGTCCGATCCAGAAGCACCATCGCCAGTCGACAACGGCGACGAATCCGGACACCCAGGGGCCAATGATGGGGCCAAATGTTGTACACTGATAAGTATTAGTGAGGAATTGACAGCTTCATTACTGGGAAATACGTACAGCCATGTAATAGGCCATCAGGCGACCTCGTAGAGTTGGGTTATCGTGGACATCTGCAAACAGCCCACCAGTCGTGGCAATTGGAGCAGATGCCATCATGCCGTTGAAAAGTCGGAATACCAACAATGAGGCATATGAATTAGCGACGGCGCACGCCATCGTGAAGATCATAAACCCGCAATACGAGACGAGCATTGGCTTTTTGCGCCCAAAGTACTCAGAACTGGGACCCCAGATCAACGGCCCGACAACATAGCCAATCAGGAAAATAGAGATGGGCAAAACCAATGCCTCCTGGTTGGTGATATTGAACTCCTCGGCAATTTGAGGAATGGCGTTGCTGCAAATGGATGATCCGATGGTGCTGTTCATGACCTGCATGACACCGGCAGCAAGAACCAAGAACTTTCTTGACTGTTGAATTTGTTAGACTTTGATAACTTCTGGAAGATACGTGATGGCTTTACCTTTCTCCAGTTAACGGGATTCTCGGGATCATTGACACCGAAAGATACGACCGTTTTCGAAGCCACCCGACGGAAACGAGAATACGATGGATTCTCATATCGCTCTTGAATGGGTTCATGTGCAACTTCTGATTCCTGGTCAGAAGAGTCTCGGGAAGAGTCATGTGAGTCATGAACAGACTCGGCTACGTTCTCTGTAAGGCGGGGATGAGTATTAAACCGTGAACTAGACTGAAGAGCAGACTAACCTGTAGCTGACATGACCTTTTGAAGGTTCTCCTCCATGGGAAAGTGGTCTGACATTGTGGTGACCGGGGAAGACCCATTGAATCATTGAATACGCTAGATGAGGAACCATTTGGGATGTGGTACTATTATAGACATTTGCAACGAAAATTCAAGAAAGCCCAGGGAAGCTCCACTTTCACAGAGTCCCAGCTCAACGCCGACGGCAAATAAAATTCGATTTTTATGTGGATGCCGGCTCCACATACGGCTGCCACTTTTTTTCACGCCCTGCGCCCTAAATCATCCTACAATACGGTTCTGGACAATACGGGGAAATTCTAGCCTAACCCAGTCGAATCTGGTATTTGGTGATGGTGATCATTCTGGCTCGTCTCGGCTACGACGGCTGTGCAAAATTTGGGCAGCGGAAAGGAGCCAGGATTACGGTGGATTTCAAGTGGCAACCTTCTATGCTACATCTAAAAGAATTCAGATGGTACTTCGCAAAACAAGCCGAACAGCGGCATCCTGAAATTGGTCAAGAAAACCGCTTTCGAACCGGGTGCGAACCGGGTGCGAATGAGAAACAAACTTCCGATTGGCAAGAATTCGACGTCTATCCGCATGCATCTGGGTCCTTGGGCCGTCATCCCCCAACATGAAAGAGGGGTCAATTATATCATACAGATCAACCTGTGATCCAGTCAAGGTGCCGCAGAGCTGTCTTGTGCATCACTGACTCATGGTCCAGCTCGGTCGAGAAGACGAGCACCTTGTCCCCATGATGAGTGGTGCCCGCATTGTTCACCAGACCAGGCCCTGGTCAAGTCTTACAGTAGAGACAGGGCCTGTTGGAGTCCGTCCAGGCCAGACCTTCTCCAACGAGAAGGTACGGGGTAAATTCCGCGGTGTGGGTTTTTGAGTCATGGTGTCGGAGCGGGAGGCCGAATGCGACTCCACACGTCAAATTACACGCGGAATATACCGTACTGTATGCCTCGAGGAAACACGCCCGTTTCTAGATTGCACGTTGCCATAGTATCTGCTTCATCTGTCCGTGCACCCAAGGAATGCTGCGATCCTGTTGTCTTTGAAGAGTGAACGGCGCTCGCGCCAAGTCTCAAGTTCCCGGATGCGTTCCCGACGGGATCGGACTTCTCGCCGATCTGCTTTGACCCCATGAGTAAAATTCCACAAGTGGGACGTGGATACCACATTCGGTCAGGAGGCAAGTTCAAGTTGACGGTGGGATCTGGAACCTTGAGGACTAGATTTGCCGCGTGGCAAATGCAGATTTTGAAATCTGACACTTTGTGCCTGAGTGCCTCAGGTATTCAAGACCAAGGTACAATCTACATTCCTAGTTAGTGACATCACATGATTTCTATACAAAGCGAGGAAAATAAACAACGCCCATTGAAGTCGCTAAATACTATTTTCAATCCATATTCTTTAGTACCAATGAACAGTCGATAAGATAAATGATTTCAGAACGGATACGATAACCTTGGTAGACCAATATATTCATTTCGTTTTGCTAAAATCTGTCCACTCTATCTACCACAATCCATTTGTAATAATCAGACCCTGTGAGTCACTAGAAAGCCCATTGTGGCTTCTCAGCTACTGTCATCTCTTAGAAAGAGGCTTCGTACTCGGCCCCAAGGATTTCTGCCCCGGCCCACAAGTGGCCTTAGTACATCGAAGTAGGCCCGTAGGTAAAGAAAGGCTCAAACAGGCACGCAGTGCTGATGGCCTAGAGTTGCAAGTGTCTAGCCACAGCTGATTGGATAGTATGACATTAATGAGTGATTTTTTGTCTAAATATCTCTACCAGCCAAGGTCCAAGATTGCACAAAGCAGATCTCAAAGATAAAAATACAATAGACAAAATTAGACCGTATCATATCATGTTGATCAAGGCTCTCGGAAGCAAGCAGGTGGCAAGCAGGGAAATGCGTTTAAAGGTAGCTCGAAAAGATCAAGATGTTAAACATCTCAAAGTAATATTCAATCCATATCATTCTCATCTTTTATCTGTTCTAAGTCAATTTGTCAAGAGGTTTTATTCCTGCAGCAAGACTGCCTTGCGGGCCGTGTTGGTCTGACCTGCACATTTCTGCCAAGTAGAGCTCAATGGTGTTTTGAGGTGAGTCACTCGCTTACCAATTACGCTAGGGAAGAGGCTTGGCAAAATTTGGCGAAAATGCTTGTCTAACCTAAGGAAATTCAAGCCTTGGGGATTGAAGTGTGGCATCTACTCCGCAAACACGACTAGAAAATCCAAGCCATGGGACTAATGTTCCATAATTAGATGAATCTGAGTCTTGGCGTCCAATGTGGCGGATGAAGACAGGCTTCTTTAGGACAAAGCGTGTGGGAAACAGGTGCAAGCGAGGCGGAGCCCGGTGAAAAACCTCCAATTGGGGAACGAGCGGACACGAGCGTCAGGGGGTCATGGTTTAGCGGAGAAGCCAATTGGACCCTGGAAGACTAGCAGAGCCTCCGCAAAATCTCTCTCGGTCGATATGGCGCTTTTTTTGCCAAGCTGGCCGACTGGGTATTTAAGTCTGCTGCGGTCCAAGGCCTTGCTACGGATTTCTGTACCCACCGTTCCACTATACTCAATTTCAAGTTTATACTTCATAATTTGCTTTCCTACCGTCACTCGTTTGGATAAAAAAACCGCCGTAACGCGACTTTCTATACATTCTTCAAAATGCAGTCCAAGGCGCTTGCTGCTCTTCTCCTCGTCGCTCCGGCGCTGGCCATGCCCCAAGCTACCTCTGTGGCCTACTCAGGTAGCTCCAGTTCCTCCGACTCTTCCGACTCTTCCGATTCCTCAGACTCCTCAGATACCGGCTCGGGTCCTTATGCCTCCCTCGTTTCCAACTACATGAGCATTATAGAGACCGCCGTTCCCACTTCTTGGGAGTTTATGAACTCCGCCCAAGTAGCTTCGGTCATGAGCGCCGCCGCAGCTGGTACCTACCCGGCCTGGTACAATGACCTGCCCGCCAGCATTAAGGCTGTGGTTACTTCCCTCGGTGGCTTTGACGGGTTGCTCGGTGTCGAACCTTCGATGACTGCGGCTATGGGTTCCAGCTCTTCCGAACCTGCGTCTGAGTCTGCCATGGCTACGACTGCTGCAAGCTCATCTGGCCCAGTTACTACCGGTACCGAAATTTCAACACACTCTTCCGCTACCTCGGCTGCTGCTTCCAGCTCCAAGTCGACTACCCCTACATCGGCGCGGTCGACCGGCAGTGCGCCCATCGCCACTGCCGGTGTCGCTATGGGTGTTGCTGGTGCGGTTGGTTTCCTGGGCCTTGCCCTTGCCCTTTAAAATGTTCACAATTGGTCTCATTTACTAGTTTCGCAATATGGGATCTGCTTTAACTGGTTGTATTCACTTCAAATGGATGTTCGTGTATATGAGTTCAAAATCCTCAAATATCCTCACAATAATATAAACTCGCCCGTCTCATATTTCTAATTTAATTATATGGAGTTTACCCACACAAGCAATTCAAGCTCTCGAGACCCATGACTTGATCATCGTGCAGCTGATGAGATCTACGGCGCTCTTATGTGGGCCACACAGGATACCGCCTATCCGACCTATTTTGGACGCCCAGAAAAGTTTACAGATAAGGATGGCATCTTTGATGCATGTAAGGCAATTCCTTACGTGAATGGCGAAGAGAGTGACGAGGATGCGTAGACATCTGACGCCTTTGACTACAAGTTTACCTTTTTCGCCCAATCCTTTCTTCTCCATACGCCACAAGTGGGCACCGCGCTTTTTTTACCGCCCTATTTTGGTCACAACGAAACCAAGACGTACACTCTGATGGACCGTGTGGCACCGGACCAGCCTGAACCAGCTGTCGTGTCGTACGCATCAGAAACGGATCCCACATTTCCGCAAATTAGCGCCCTCTGCTGGCGTCAAAATTACGAGTTGCGGTCCTTTAATTGGCCAAAGCCTAGGCTCGAATCTTAGGATCCGAAACCCCTGTAAGTTGGGAGGATGAAACATTCGAGGACCTAGAGCCCTTGATATCTTGCCTCTCATGTAGCAATTCTTAGTGACGGTGTCTCAATGTATCGACAAATCAGTTGTGCAATTGGGACTTGATCGGGCTCTGGGTGATCAATTATGGTGATGCTTCCTTCGCTCAACTTCTACTTGCAGGCCATCACAATGACTACTGCTCAAGAACACAAGATTATTCCCAGCGTCGCCCTCTATCCGCACTTCGTCTTTGCTGATGCATGCTGTGGGCCAGTTTGGTAGCACAAATCGGCTATTAGAACAGACTGGCCAATCCATGAACAGTTACTAATCTCATACCGCCACGGTACAATCGCACAGCAGGGATATTAGTGTCACTATTATCAGTCCTGTCCGGCCCTGCTTCTCGAAACCTCTTATCATCTCCTGTCCGATATCTCGAGGATCATCTGAGTATGTCAACACCTTCCCCGTGCGCCTTTTCACGACTCGTACGTAAGACTCGCGCTCAATTAATCTGGTCACCAGTAAGACACGTGGTTGCCGGTTTGATGCTGTCGTTTCTCAACTGCTGTTTGAAGATGCGTCGGAAGATCACCCAGTGGAAAGAAATCGAAGGTCGGTCGGTGACTTTGCAATTGTGCTTAACTCACTTCAGATGTTCATATGAAATCTCTTTAGATGCAGCAAGGGACCAGGAAAAGTCCCTAAAATGGATTGCGCCCGAAAACAAGTTGATGATGCAGGGCTTCGAATGGCACGTTCCAGCTGACCAACGCCACTGGAAGCGCCTTAGAAAGGCTCTGTCCAGTCTTAAGAGTGCTGGAGTGGACAATATCTGGATTCCCCCCGGCTGTAAAGGGATGGATCCATCTGGAGCCGGATACGATGTTTACGATCTGTATGATCTGGGAGAGTTTCACTAGAAGGGTTCGAGAGCCACTCGCTGGGGTCCGAAGGAGGACTTACAGGAGCTTGTGCTGGCTGCACAACATCACGAGATGGGAATTTATTGGGACACAGTCTTGAACCACAAGGCCGGTGCGGACTCCATCGAAAAGTTCACTGCCGTGAAGGTTGACCCCGGGGGTATGTGTCATTCGGAATTCGGGGTTATCTCTAGACTAATCATGACTTGATCGAAACATTGGCACCTCCAAGCCGGAAACTATAGGCGGTTGGGTCGGGTTTGAGTTTGCCGGTCGCGGAGGGAAGTACAGCTCTATGAAATACCACTATGAGCATTTTACTGGAGTCGATTGGGATGACTTGCAGAAGGAGGGGGCTATATACAAGATTGTTGGCCCTCGGAAAGACTGGGCTACAGATGTTAGCGACGAGCATGGCAACTACGACTATTTGATGTTTGCTGACCTGGACCACACCCACCCTGAAGTCCGCGCCGATATTTTTAAATGGGCGGAATGGCTGGGAAGCCAGCTACCAATTAGCGGCATGCGAATCGATGCAGCGAAACATTATTCGGCTGCTTTTCAAAGGGACTTTGTGGATCATCTACGGCAAACGATTGGCGCTGATTACTTCTTAGTAGGGGAGTACTGGAGAGGAGAGGTGAATATGCTTCTCAGCTTCCTCAAATTGATGGAAAATAAAGTCTCGCTATTTGACGTACCTCTGCTAGGGCGATTTTCAGTCCTTTCCAAGGCAGAGGGGAGTGATCTGCGCAAGATATTTAGAGGCACTTTGGTGGAACAGTGTCCATCGCACGCAGTAGTAAGATCCAATGGCTCTGCCATTATATGTTTGTTGCTAAGTCTTGGTTTCGCTGTCAGACATTTGTGGGCAACCATGATACGGTGAGTGTTCAGACTCTCGCATGAACCAAAGAAAGCTCATATCGCTTAGCAACCAGGCCAATCACTGGAGGTTCGTCATACAAGTCATCATAAGGATCCGCAGGCAAAAGATTATTAAAATTCCAAAAGACAATCATCGCACCGTTCTTCAAGCCCATGGCCTATGCATTGATCCTTCTTCGCAGCCAAGGTCAGCCGTGTGTCTTCTACGGTGACCTCTATGGGCTACTAGGTGACCCAACTTCCCCTTGCGTACCCTCTTGCAATGGAAAACTCCCGATTTTGATGCGTACTCGAAAGCTATATGCTTATGGGGAACAACATGATTACTTCGACAAGAAAAACTGCATTGGTAAGCATCGGCCTCCGTGTTCCTCCACAACTAGTCATGACTTTTAAAGGGTTTGTGCGCTACGGAAATATCTGTCGTCCTTTCGGCCTGGCATGCATTATTAGCAACACCATCGCAACCCATAAGCGAATGTACGTAGGTGTCCACCATGCAGGGGAGGAATGGACCGATGTGCTCGAATGGTGCTTGGTGACCGTCATTATTGATAGTTGTGGATATGGTATATTTCCGGTCGCTGCAAAGAGTCTTGGTGTTTGGGTAAACGCCAAAGCTAAAGGAAGGAAGAGCCTGTCCGATCCATTGTAAGTGGAGTATTCGTTTTTATGTTGCTTCTTACGGCAAAAGACAAATCTAAGCGAAGATATATTTTAGTGACATGGATATTTACAGGTTTTAAGGATTGGGGAGAGTTGTTGTTGGAAATAATCTTAGCCCTAATAATTCTGCCAAAGTTTCGGAAAGGAGATAGCCACTCCTAATTCCAGGGTTTCATGTTTTTCAACTATACGTCCCTCTAATATCCCTGAAACGTTCGTGATCAGCCTGACCAACATGCAGTACTAACTGGATGTATGTTTTCTCTCATCCAGAAGCCGCTGAGCTTGTTCGGAAACCATAGGGCACAAACAGACTTAAAGAAAATAAACCTTCTTGGTATTCAAATTGCCACAGGGTCTACCCCGGTCTATGACGCCTGATAGATTTTAAAACTATTGAACTCCCAGTAAGCATTCGTGAAGCTTGCCCCATTTTCTGCAGCCCATTGCGTGCAGGTCTCGGGACAGTCGTAAAGATCTGAATAGTACTTGCTAGCACCCGCGAGATCACCACATATATCAATATTTGCAACGATGCTCTGATTCCGGAAGTGCGAGCTGATATCACAGTGTGTGCTGGGGAAGTCCGCCAAAGCCTCACCCCATGAAGAAGGGTCTGGGCTACTGGAGTTAGAGATATCGGACGGAATATCATCGCGTGAGAACATCCAAATGCGGATTCCGGCGTCGCGTAGCTCCATCGCGTATACCTGGGCAGATGTTGATTAGCTATGTGGAAGATAAATGACAAAACAGGGGGTGGTCTTACCCCACCGCCGTTATTGTTGAAAGTCTCGCCGTATGTTGCTTTCTTGCCCTCAACTCCGCAGCCGGCGTTGTTGTTGGCAGTGTTGAGACAATTGCTGTCCTGCGATGTGCCGGTCTCTTTGCGCTTAACATTCATCTTGCACCCACTCGTGGTGTGAAGCGTCATGGCATTTCCGTGAGTAGCCTTGTTGTTCGACTCCATGACATCAATTTCACCGTTCTCTGGCCAGTTGGACGGATCTGTAAGCCAGAGGGCTGGCCATGTCGCACAGCCGTATGGAGTGTGGACAACATCGAAAATAAACAGTCCACTGTCGTATGTATCTGTTGAAGTGATGCGAACAGATTTGCGGCCGGTTGTTTGGTTGCCCGCGTTAGTATCAACTCTCAGCACAGCCGAAGTGTCCGATGCATAAGTCAGATTCATCTGTGATGCTGTTTGCGAATCAACATATCTGACTGGCGTCAGCAATAATCAACTCATAGGATATCGGGAAATCACATACTGCACGAAGCCATTGGTAGGATCTGCTGCCGTATAATATTCAAAATTATCGAAGAATGATGACCCTGACATCGTATTGGCCAAGGTGTAGTTCAAGGAGCTGTAGTTGGGATACGCGTTTGCTTTTACCCCTTCAACTGCTCCCACAATCACAGCAATAATGACGACCACAATGCACGCCGCAACAATCAATCTTTTGCGCAGCGACCACCCTCGTGGGTCATACCATGATCGCTCGATCGCTGGTGGTGGATTCGGCGACGTTTGTGCATAATAGCCATGAGGAGATCCGTTGGTGTCGAAGGGAAGTAATTGAGTTGTTGCATGTCCAAAGCGATCGCCATGAAGCTCTTCCGCTGCATATGGGTGTACGCTCTTCATGATAGCTTAGTGCCAAGATAGAGGGGCGCTTCGGTGGATACGGCAACGGACTCGAAAATTCGAAGATCCAATGACAAAAGGCAAAAGCAAAAGCAAATTAAGAGGTTCAATCCCGAAAAGCAAAAAATGGTTACAGGTGATAAATAAAGAAAGAATTTCCGCCACTGACTCAGGACGTTACCTTACTGTTTGACGCGTAAGCCCACCTGAACACCAAGACCCCCCACTCTCGAGATTTTGGCCACCTTTTCCCAGACTTATCCTTCAGCCTTTCCGTTATTGCGTAAAGCTGATATTGATGTCTACTAGAGAACACTTGGGCCTAGACAACAGGCGTTGACGCGGCACAAATAGTAGTTATTAGAAGGAAGTTGCTGCTTATCACTGGTGCCATCCCGAAGGTGGGGTTTTCAGGCAACTTGATTTATGCCACGATCTGCCACCTATTTTAGTTTCCTTTAGCGCCATAGCATTTTCAATCCTACAAATATCTAACCCTCTGCTTTCCATCCACACGTACAATTCAACAGTATGGAGGCGACCGATCTCAAGCGGTAAAGATCCACAATCACCAATTTAGCCGCTGTAATTGAACTGGAAGTACCTCAATTGCATAGCAAGAGGGTGTCGAGGCCCGATCGATCGGATTTCGTGATGTTCCAGTACCCCTTGTTCTAAGATATTATAATCGCACATTTCCAGAGGTTAGTTCACACCCGTTTCCATCCCGCCCTTCACTTCCACGGCCTACTCAACAGGTATCAGAAAACTACCGGGACGTCAATAGTCATATCGGACCGCATAATATGACGCATATCTCTTAATCGTGCTACCCTGTCTAGGTTGTCAGCACGGCCTCGGATGGAATAAACACAGTGCAAGGTGATACAAGTGGATCCTGAGGTCAAGACCGTCTCCACAATGATGTCAGCCATAAAGGCCGCGGTGGTCAAGCCAGAGTCTTTTGTATCGAGCACAATGACATGGAGTCCTAGCCCTTGTTCGCTCTGCGGTGTTGAAGCGACCTGCCCTATCACACCGATTATTTCCTTGGTTATCCCTGAGTGAACCGCGCGCTCCTTATACACCGGCGTGTGGTCCTCATGCGCTATCTGATTTGTTGGTGAGCTCCGTGTTCGCCCGGCGAGGAATTTTCGGAAAACCCGCGCCGAGGCTTAGCCGCTTTACCGCGTTAGGCTTAGCGCTATTTTGTCATCCCTTTCAAACTTTTTCCGGCCTCCCGCGACTGCTGTCCTCCTTCTCAACCACCGAACCCACTCTCCTCTCTCGGTTGTCGCCTTTTTTCTTCTCATCTAAACCCACCCATACATCATGGCCGCGGTTCAGAAGTCGGATGTCCCTCAGGGCTTTGCCCTGTACAGTCGGTTTGCCTTTGCTGGCGCTTGCTGCTGCTCCATCACCCACGGAGCTGTCACTCCTCTTGATGTGTAAGTCGCCGGAAGAAAAACTGGCGGGGAATCGAAATGCTGATATAAAACCATTTCTTTGTAGCGTCAAGACCCGCATTCAGCTCGACCCCGCCACCTACAACCGTGGTATGATCGGTGGTTTCAAGCAGGTCATTGAGAAGGAGGGTGCTGGCGCTCTCCTGACTGGCTTCGGTCCTACCGCTGCCGGTTACTTCCTCCAGGGTGCCTTCAAGTTCGGAGGTTACGAGTTCTTCAAGCAGCAGGCCATCAACCAGCTCGGCTACGAGACCGCTGCTAACAACCGTACCGCTGTCTACCTCGCTTCCTCTGCCTGCGCCGAGTTCATGGCCGACATTGCCCTCTGCCCCCTCGAGGCCACCCGTATCCGTCTTGTGTCCCAGCCTACCTTCGCTACCGGTCTCCTGAGTGGTTTCAGCCGTATTTTCAAGGAGGAGGGTCTCGCTGCCTTCTACTCTGGATTCGGACCCATTCTGTTCAAGCAGTAAGTTTGCGCGGTGTTGATTGTGCATAAAATTGGAATAAATTAGCTGACGCGACTCTCAATTAGGGTCCCTTACACCATGGCCAAGTTCGTCGTTTTCGAGAAGGTCTCTGAGGCCATCTACAAGAAGGTCGACAAGAACACCCTCACCGACGGTGCTAAGACTGGTATCAACCTTGGCTCTGGTCTCATTGCTGGTCTTGCTGCCGCCATCGTCTCTCAGCCCGCCGACACCATGCTCTCCAAGATCAACAAGACTCAGGGTCTCCCCGGTGAGGGCACCATCTCCCGTCTCGTGAAGATCGGTAAAGAGCTCGGTCTCAAGGGCTCCTACTCTGGTATCGGTGCTCGTCTGTTCATGGTTGGTTCCCTCACTGCCGGTCAGTTCGCCATTTACGGTGACATCAAGCGCGTTCTCGGTGCCACCGGTGGTGTTGAGATCGGCGTATAAAGGACTCGAGTGTCGTGGAAATGGGAGGAACATAGAGACTACCCTTAGATTTGTTTGTTTCAGCTTTGTCCATCCCTGTAATACGATGTACAATACTTTGTCTCAGTTTTCCTTTCAAGAACAGGCTCGGTTTCCTTTGTCTCCAAACGTGATTCTCTGCGTAGAGCTGAACTAATACTTCGACACGTCTTTCACCGAAAATCCGTCAATGCCAATGCCGTCCTCTTTCTCGACCACGAAGCAGTGATATCCGGTATAATATGCGTAACCGGCGACTTGAACTCGCACCCATTGCCGGCCTTCAACGCTCTCAAACACCGACCCGACGAATCCCGAAAGAGCCGGATAAGCGCGAGTGAAAAGGGAATTATACACTCGTTTCTCACCACCGACCAGGGCGCCTTTGGCATGAGCGAGAGCTACTCGGGCAGCCACACATCCTCCAGTTGGAGACCGATCAATTTGCTGATTGGCGAAGAAGCAGAGGCCGCTCTCCTCGCTGTCAACACCCTGTTGTGTTTTGAATCCTGCGGTTCCCTCTGCTACCGCAACATGCCCCAATGATGTATCCGTGATCATGATACTGTACAGGTATCCTTGCTCTCCGGTTACGACGTCTTTGGTCACAAATGCCAGCTCCGGGTTGGTTACAATAGCCTCCTTGAGAAGCTTCGTGGCTTGATCCATCTTCTGCACCTCGGCTTCGCCCAATCCTCCGGGAAATCCTAGCTCTTCTGCGCTAATCAGACAATAAAAGGCCCCGCCGTAAGCAAAGTCCGCCGTCACCGAGGTGCGATTCCCGAGCTCCGGCCAGCGATATCTTTCTGGCAGAAGCACCTGCAACGAGATAGCAGTTGCAAAGGACGGGACTGATACAAAAGAGACAGAACGGGAAGGATCTGACTTGCCCGTTGGCAAAGTAGGAACAGAAACCTCGACAATTCCACAAGGCACATGCAAGTTCAGACGAGTTGTACCAGAGACGCTGTCGTATTTCAACTGCTGCCGGCGCGGGAAGATGGACTCATCAACATCAACCAAGAATCGGCCCAATGCGATAGTAGCATGTCCACACATTGTTGAGAATCCCTCGTTGTGAATGAACAACACGCCGATGTCTGCTTCGCCTGTCGCCACTAACTCTGTCTCGGAGCGGAGAATAGCGCCATACATGTCATAGTGGCCGCGAGGCTCTAACATCAAAAGCTTGCGGAAGTCGTCGTGCTTTTCCTTTGCTTGTGCGCGCTGTTCAAGCAATGTCCCTGTCAACTCTGGAAAGCCGGACCAGAGGATTCGGGTCGGTTCGCCGGCTGTGTGCATCTCCACACAGGTGATCGGCTTAATTGGCCCGTCGGCTAGGCCAGGAAGCATAGTATAAGGATCCATGATGTCCTTCGTAATGTGATTTGGCCGGGTCCCAGTTGTTGTTGAAGAGATGAAAACGAACGGCGCTAGCTACCCCACGGGTTGTTAACCACCCGGGTGGGCCGCTGTCACTGAATGGGTATGTGGGGGGTGTCAAAGGGCGTGGGAGGTAGATATCGCAATGCACATACAGATTTACGAGCTCATTGACGACTTTATGATGGAAAATACAATCTATTATACTCAAGCAAGGTCATTTTACCCTCGATCAGAACTGCTACGTATCTTGGGAAGTTGAAATAAAATACGATTCACTAAAGTTCAATGTGGCGAATGAAAGAACCACTTCAATTCCTAGAAGATTATTCATAGCACGTATCGGAAGATTGGATTCTAGACATAAACTGGTTATTCTCATTCAATAATCTCTCTGAGGGAAAAGCTTATCTCAAAGTCTCTCAGACTTGAATGAAACGAAGCGAAGAAAGATGGAACTGTCCCCTGTGAAGGCCGCCTCGGGAGCCTTCTAATACACAAGACGCCATCTGGCTGTTATCTATATTCAGCTAATCACAATTACTTTGCTTTAGACGTACCATGCGGAGCTTCGTTCGGATCTTGTCCGAACAAACAGTTTCCAAAAGATAAGGTATGATATTCCTATGGATCCTTGGACTAGGATAGACGCCCATTCCCGCTCCTATCAGCGTACAATCGACCCCCGCACGGAACTACTTTTGAACACCGGAGAGAAAGGCGCGGCCGTCCTATATTTCGGCCCTGTTCCCTGTCCGCGACTTATCGCATAGCATACGCCCAGTCTGTCCGACCTTCCCAATTATGGCAATTCCCTCTCGTCCTTCCGTCACCCTTGCCCAAGGCCGGGTGATCGGCATTCAGCTCAAGGAGACCTTCCCACGCACCGTCGACGCCTTCTTAGGAATCCCATATGCTCTTCCTCCTGTTGGAGAGAGACGATTCAGACCTGCTGAGAAGGTTTCGGCCTCGACAGAGACAATTGATGCCCCAAAATATGGTCCTATGGCGCCGGGCAAGGCATTGCTTACAGGCGGACCTAAACTTGAGCAAAGCGAAGACTGTTTAACCACAAACATCTTTCGGCCTGCTGGTACTACTGAAATGGACAAGCTTCCAGTGGCTCTCTATATTCATGGTGGTGCGTTCAACCGAGGAGCGGCAGCAATGCACAATACCGGGTCCATGGTGGCTTGGTCTGAGGCGCCCTTTATCGGAGTGAGCTTCGGGTATCGCGTTGGAGCCCTGGGATTTTTGCCATCAAGCCTTTCCAAGAAAGAAGGCGTTCTTAATCTTGGACTGCGCGATCAGATTCATTTATTCGAATGGGTACAAGAAAACATCGATAAATTTGGAGGAGATACCGGCAATGTCACCCTTTTTGGTTTGTCGGCAGGAGCGCATTCGGTATATTCCTCTTTCACCCCGTTTAATACTTGAACTGACAAGAGCGTATAGATTGGTCACCACCTTCTCAATTTCAAAGAAGGAACCCCACCATTGTTCCATCGCGTCATTCTGGAGTCAGGATCGCCCACCTCCCGAGCTGTTCGACCCTACAATGCCCAAGTCCACGAGGAGCAGTTTCAAGTCTTCCTTCGAGAGGCTGGCTGTCCAAAAGATCTACCCGAGTCTGAAATCTTCGAGTTTCTGCGCTCGCTTCCTAGTTCAACAGTCACAAAAGCACAAACAACGGTATTTAACAAATACAACGCATCTCTTCGATGGGCTTTCCAGCCAGTAATTGACGAAGATGTGATCTACCGCAAACCTTTGGATGCATGGAACTCTGAGCTCTGGAACAAAGTGCCAATCATGACGGGCTTCAATAGCAACGAAGGAACATTTTACGTGGACAAGAAAATGTCGAAGCCTTCCCAATTCCGCAAATTCTGGCAAAACCTTCTTCCAGAGCTGTCATCTGCCGACCTGGATACCATTGATCGACTATATCCCGATCCTAGTACTGATCCCAATTCACCATATGTCGAAAGAAGGGACGGAAAAGGTCTGGGCTCTCAATACAAGCGTATCGAGGCTGCGTATGGACACTATGCCTACGTTGCACCAGTCCGCCAAACTGTCCAATTTGCCGCGTGTCAAGGCACGCCGGCATATCTTTACCACTGGGCGCTGCCAAGGACTGTCGTTGGTCGGGCAAATCATGGAGACAACATGTACTATGAGACATACAATGCCGACATTACGGGGCTTTCAGAGTCACAGAAAGAGCTTTCGGGGACACTGCATGCCTATATTACAAGCTTTATTGCTAAAGGTGATCCCAATGCTATTTCTGGTCTTTATAGTCAGAGGCCCAAGTGGGAGCCTTTTGTACCGGAAGACCCCCGAGTAATGATCTTTGGACAAGACAACGAGGAATTGATTGGAGGCAGTGCTGCCCCGGCTGCTAAGTTTGTGAAGGATGACTGGGCTAGGGGGGAGACTGAGTTCTGGTGGTCCAAGGTTCCCATATCCCAGCTTGCTTGAGATTTAAGACGTTTTTGTAACTATAGACTCAAACCTACGACCCCTGAGCAAGTTCAAATCAAACTGCTCACGTTCAAGACAAGAGATCGGGAAATGCCAGCTTAAGAAATATAGCTGGTGTCAACCCAGTCCTTGTAGTCACTGCCCAGGATATAGGTGATGGGAATCGCAGCCGAGAGAGTAGTTGCAAAGCTGGCACGTGTGCCCTCAGCGCCATCTCCGGAGTTGTCGAACTCGCCGAAAAGAACGTCCTCGGTGTTGGGCTCACTGCTCGACCACTCAATCCAACCTGCGGAGTTAATGGCGTCACTGAGGACGGTATTCTGGAAGACAACCCGCGCGTACTCGGTCCAAGGGCGGCCCAGGTAGTATGTTCCTTCGCCGATGTCCTCGCCGGACGCAGCATCGACAGTACACTCGCTGAAGACGTAATATCCCTCATCGGAGCTAGAGGGACGGCCCTGGGCGGTGATAGTGCCTTCTGAATATTTCAGTACGCCAATGTCGCAGCTATCGAACCAGCCATTGCCTGTCTGGCCGAAGATAAAGTCGATGGCTCCTTCGATGTAGCACTTTCCGTAGACTTGGTCGCCGGTCTCAGCGAGGACGGTGTCTGCACAGTTAGCCAGAAGCACCACCTGGGAAAATATGGTGTGGAAATTACCCTGGAATCCGGTGAAGTTGCAGGCATAGTAGCCCTGCTGGGTGTTGTAGGCGCTGAGGGCGAGAGCTTGATGGCCTTCCCCGTAAGAGTTCACGACGTTGATGTTGTAGATGCTGGATTTCGCAGCCCAGTTCCTCAGCGTCGCTAGACGGCAGTTAGCGGATAACCTTATGAAGCCTGTCAATGTGATCCTTACCAGACTCATCATCATCGCTGACTTGCTCTAAGCTTAAATCAAAGGTAATGGTAACGGTGTTAGAAGAATAGGAGGTGTCACTATCATTTGGTTAGCGCGATGAGCATGTCAAATTTGGTGGACGCACTCCTCGGTCTGGCCGTAGATGATCAGTTTGCCCGATAGCTCAGGGATATAAACCTGCTCCGTGTAGGTGCCCTCCTCGATAAAGATGGTCTGCGTGTCAGAGATGGAGGTGTCCAGGGCTGAGATGGCGTCGCTAATCTGTTGGTCCGTAAGCAGTTGTACCGACCGTTACACCGTCTACCTTTTACATACGGTAGAATAATCACCGCCCGACTTAGCGACAACAATCGATCCAGAGGGAGCGGTAGTACGGCTGGCTGCCAGTGCCGAGGCAGCAAGTGAAACAATCGAGAAAATTCTCATGTTGCCGATCAACGGTGTGTCAGGGAGAGAACGCACAACGGTGGATTAAGAATGGAGGGGGATGGAATAAGTTGACTGGATTATCTACTGAGCTTAACGCTGAGTTCATGATCTCTCTCTTACATTTGCCCCGCCGCTCCCCTTTAACTCCGATTGATGTGAGAATATCTGCATAGATTGTCCGGATCAGACTCTGGCCACCCATATACGGTTGTTACCTCCGGTGGATGTGACCCCCAGATCCTTAATTTATCTATACTAGTGGTAATAATATCAGCCAGTGACCAGGAGACCCAAAGCTTTGTTTCAAGCTTGCGTAGTGGATTTCTCCGCCGTTTCATCCGTCCACCCGACCGGTGCCACTGGGACCAATTGACCATCTTCATGCCGGATTGATTAGGTTTAACCCCGAGAAAGGTGAGCCAAAAATTAACTCGTGATCATAATAGGCCTTCCAGAGTGCACTGGTCCGGTATGATCTGATTCCTCAGCAGTTCTATTGGTGAATAGGTGGGTCGTGAACGGCCGTGATATTCCACCAGTAAAGTTCGGGCTATGCGGTTAAGGAGCTCGGCACGGAACCAACCCTAAGGCCAGTTCCAAGATTAAGTAGCCAGACGTGTTTACAGCTCCTGGAAAGTGATTGGCTCTCACATAACTATAGGTCATAAATTCCCCGACCTGTTCAAAGCCACCTTATGTCCTTAGGTACTCACCATAGATGATGTAACCGTTCAAAATATTTGTTCAGTACATACAGATATCGTGGTCTTCTGGTTCTTCTTCCAACTTGCTAGGCCGTTTATCCTGTATCTATGGAAAGGCATAATCAAGCCACGATATAAGATAGCTCGCTGTTGCAGTGTACAATAACAAAAGGCTCAAAATAAGTACTATGATGTACATAAACGAAAACAAGTAGACAATGACCGAGTAGTGGGGCAAAAGCGCAAAATTTCCACATTCCCTAGCAGTAACCATCGCGGATTTGAAGGTAGTTCAGATACCGCTTTCGAGTCGCCTTCCGAGAGGCCTTACCCCAGTAAATCATCGGGGCAGTAGTCATCAGGAAGGCAAAGCTCAGCACACCAAGAGCGATGTAGACTTGAGAAAGAGTCTGTGCATCGAGCCAGTACTGAGCGGAGAAGGTGAAAATGCAACCAATGGTATTATTGATAACAGAGACGCCGACCATACCCTCAAGGACCATCTCAGGATACGCATCCATGAGGTACGCCATACTGAGATCACCAGCACAGCCCCAGCCGAAGCCGATGAAGCCCAGTCCAAGGTAGGTCATGTGCCAATCCCAGCCGAGGTCGGAACCGATGCCGAAAAGCATCAGTCCGGCTGGGGCAATAATGGCAACGGGGAACAGGAGCCAGAGACGCTGCTCGGCTTCGAAGATACCGCCATTCCGTTTGGCCATCCAGGCAACGAAGAGATCGGAAAACCACCCACCGTAGATACAGCCGATGCAGGCGCCGATCAGTGTGGGAACGTTCATGATGCCCACTGCGGCATCGGTGTAGTTCCACGGTGGGTCGTAGTAATTATCCTCTTCGACCGTTAGGTAGAAAGTGAGCCATGCGTCTTGAGCTCCCCACTGGAGGCCGGAGTACAGGACTGCTGGGAAACTGAACACCCGTAGGGTGTTCCACAGGCGATAATAGTATTGTTTGAAGCCAGTCCCGATCAAGCTGGAGGAAGGGGTGATCAAAGCGATGCGCTGGAAATAGGTCTTTCCTTTCTTCTGATCGGGGTTCTCCTCATCGACTGGGTCGCCACGAGAAGTGGACTGCACTTCCGTCAACTCCTTGTTCTTCTCGTCCAGCGAGAGGTTGGATTCGGGCGGGGTTGTGGTTCTTCGAGGCGTGTCGAGTCCGTCGATGGGATTGTGTCGATCGAAGGCCGTCTCTTCCAGCCCGAAGAAGAGAAGGACAAGAAGGGCCCCGGAGATGATCGCCCCCAGCCATCCGACCCATCGCCATCCCATAACGGGGCTGTCGGTGATGAATCCCGCGACCAGGGGCCCGGTGAAGGTACCGATACTGGTAGCAAGGACGTATAGACCGAGCACGAGACCTCGTCGGTGCTGGAAGAAAAGGTCCGACAGAGAGAGCTGGGCGAGGGCCTCGGCGCATGACTCCGATGCGCCCACGAAAAGTTGGTTCCAAATATTGTCTTGGGTAGTTTGCACCCGCGCGAGCCAGATCGAGCCGACGATGGAAAATAGTAGACACAGCAGGTACGAGATGCGGCGACCGTACAAAAATGGCGCGGGACTCAGCAGCAGGGTGCAGTACCCAATGCCGAGGAACAAGACACCGGCGGCAATATTGATTGCGTCCCAGGAGATGCCCAGATCCGCATTCATGCCGTTACCAGCCGTGCCAGCATCATTGGAAGTGGCGGCCGTGAAGGCGACCACGAGCAAAACCAAAAAGGCGTGCCAACACCGTCTCCACCGACTCCAGTTCAGTGGGTCGTCGGGAGAATCTGTGGGAGTTGGGATGAGTGTGATCTCCCCGCTGCGAGCGGGAAAGATGCGTTCAGTTCCATTGAGATGTTCCTCGTCCATTTGGGATGCAGCAGGGGTAAGTAGACCACGAGATGAGCCTTGAAATGGGCGCCTGCATGCCAGGTGTATAAAAAGCAACGTTGGGCAGAGATCGGGAAAGAGGAGAAGGTGGAGAACTTCTCCGAATCTGGGGTCGGGGAAGGGCGACGAGGACGAGGCCAACGAGGGCAACGAGATGGATAAGATATCGTGTGGGATGCCCGTATTGCTCTTAGCGTCCGCCCACAAGGGGAATGATAGGAGACGGCGAGATAAGCATTGGGCGAAGCATTCGCCTCTCGCGTAGACCTGCTCGACTCGCACGATAAGCGCAACCCTAGCTATGGAGATAAGCCCCGCCAGAACCGGTAGTTGACAGCCGAGTGTCGTGTCATGGGATAAACACCTGTGCCTCCGCGTGGACTGCCCCGATTCGATCACTCGGTTCGAATCCCGTATCCCGTCCTATATTTCACGCCCTCGTCTTCCCCCTCAGCCACATTCACCCAAACTCCCATTTTGCCCCTGGATCTCATTACGATCCAACCATCTTCTATCGCCCTTTTTTAAAGCCGAATGTCAACTTGTCAACTCAGAATGGCTCAAGCTTTCCACGTTGCCTCTTCCGTTCCCTGTAAGGGTCCCATAAAACCGAGTAATTGTTGCTCCGACCTGGCTGTGCGCCTCGAAGCCAACACTCTGATCGAGTCGGCCCCGGACGAGGCAGCATGCGCAGTGAGGTCGGAGCGCAAGAAGGTGATTGTGGTGGGAGCGGGAATCTCGGGTCTCCGAGCCGCCGCCGTGCTGCACAGGTATGGTTGTGAAGTCGTTGTCTTGGAGGCCCGCGATCGCATCGGAGGAAGGATTTTGACCAGCAGGAATGGGGATCAGGTTCGGGATATTGGTAGGGTTGCGATCACAATATGAAGATATGGAGATCGGAGAACCCCAACCAGATCCAGTCCGGAAATCGCTGACGTTCGCCCACAGGTGCCGCATGGATGCACGAAACCTCCCAGAACGGTCTGGTGAAGCTGATCCCGCAACTCTCGATTCCCTATTACTACGACGACGGTATGCCACTCTACTTCACCAGAGAAGGTCGTGCCGGATCTCAGTTCAAGGCGAAGAAAGTCGCCGATGAGTTCGCCGACTACTGCGAGTGGTACTACGAGACCAACCCGGACGCCGAGGACCGTCCGGTCAACGAATTTGTCAAAGAATTTGTCCTCCAACATCAGCTCATCACCGATGATGAGCGGCTCTGGGCGCCGCAGGCCGTCCGCGAAGTAGAATTGTGGGTCGGTACGAGCACCGAACAGGCCTCGTCCAGACATCTGTCCTACTTCGTCACTGAGCGCAATCTCTATATGAAGGGAGGGTACGACCGGATCGTGAACTGGACCGCGGAGCCCCTCCGCAAAGATCCGAGCATGATCCGTCTCAACCACCAGGTCGAGCACGTGGAGTGGAGCGACGATGGTGACGCCCCTGTACGCATCCGATGCAAGGATAGCCAAGGAAACTCTCAACTCATTGAAGGTGATGCGGTGGTGATGACCCTCCCCCTGGGCGTGTACCACCACAACCTCGTCTCCTTCAACCCGCCCCTGCCGAGTGACATCCAGGGAGCGATGTCCAGGTTCAGCTACGGCGCCCTGGGCAAAGTATTCTTCGAGTTCAGCGACACCTTCTGGTCGAAAGACAACGACCAGTTTATATTCTACCCGTCTCCTTCGGACGAGGACTCCCTGTCCGGATCCTCCGTCCAGTCCAGCACCAGCGTGAGCTCCATGGGTGAAAAAGACAACATCCTAAACTACGCGACCGTGACGATCAACCTTTGGATCATGACGGGAGCCAAGGAGCTATGCGTGCAAATCGCCGAGCCCTTAACCCAGCGCATTGAAGCGATGAGCGACGTGAAGGAGATCTACCAGTTCTTTGAACCACTGTTCAAACTATTCCGCACCGAGCCCTACAAGGCTCTGCCGCCTCTGGTCAGTGTTGAAACTACACACTGGACCCAGGACCCCCTCGCGGGCTACGGCTCATACTCGGCTGATAAGGTCGGAGACGACCCAGGTCTGTTGATTGATGCGCTGGAAGCCCACAAGAGTAGCCGTATGCAGTTTGCCGGGGAGCACTGCACTCTGGTTGCTAATGGCTGTGTCCATGGCGCATTCCGGACGGGTGAAACCGCCGCCGTCAACCTGCTTGACACATTTGGCATTCCCCTTGATGGGCGTGATATCGGTGTGAATGACAAGTTGATTATCTAGGCGTGGCCTTTGGAAGACATGGTTCACGCCGCATTTGACACCCTGCGGGTCTTTGTGAATATTTCGGCGAACGCCGAACTCGGGTGAGATAGAATCCATAGTAGTGTCCATATCGATAGTTCTATAGTGCCTAGTCTTAAATTCTGAATGAATATAACCTTTTTTCGTCTTGCGTCAACACACCTCGTACGGGAGACTGCTCATATCTTTCTTGCCGATAGTAGAAGTCTATTCCCTGTCTCTCTTCCTGGTTTATGTACCAGGCTCGTGACACGAAGAGACGCGTTGGCACGTGAAAAAGTGGGTAGGTGCGCTGCTCACTTTAGGAATTACGTTAGTTTTACTAAACGGTTAGTTTTACTAAACGATGTGACGCAAGTGAGACCCTAGTGGCGGCAGATATCATACAGGGTTGAACAAGGATCCCATTTCACGTTTCGGTGGTGACAGGTTATAACATCGAGAGCTAAGCCACGGTATTTTCTGGTTCGATGGTTCATTCAAAGGGGATGTATCATCTCGCCAGTCGGTTCATTCCGGTGAGGTGCACCCTTTAACCCCCTCTACCAGCTTTGATAGCATCCGCTAGGGGAAATAGATAACGGCTTTCCTTTTAATTTCAGTGTCTTGTCTCAACTGTCTTCAAAAGTTGGTCGTGGATGTTGCGTATCAGCAATATTCAAGACTTACAAAGGAAGATTAAGAAGCCTCCGTCCTTGGTGTCAAATACACCTTCAAGGGACCCTTTTGCCACAATAAGAAATTCTTTTGTATAATCCAGCCCCGACTTTCATCTGCAATCTTCATATCGAAATTGTAAATTATTAGCGCAAGAATGAGACGCATTTCACTGTATGCAAGACTGGGACGGTTAGCACAGTTATGTGTCGACAGGAATGACTACATACTTTCTTCCGAGACAATTTCTCGGGCCGAGATGGAATGGCTGAAAGGCATCACGGCGATCGCTCTCAAATCGAGGATCTCCCATCCAACGTTCGGGGTGGTATGTGTTAGGCTCCTTGAAATATTCGTGACGGCGGTAAAGCGCCCATTGATGGATAGAGAGATAAGTCTGCAGGTCATATGTTAGCAGTCAACTTAAATGCAATTCATGAAATCACCTACATCTTCCGGGATGTATTCGCCCAGGACGGTACATCCACCTTGTGGGCAGACCCGAGGGAGACCATTGGCGATGGGAGGATACATGCGCATTCCTTCGTCAAGGCAGGCTAGCATGTATGGAAGCTTGTTGACACTAATCAAGTTGATGTCGTCCTGGCTCTTGAATGTTGAACGAACCTCACCCTTCAAGTTTTCGTAGGCTTCGGGATTTGTGAGGAGCAGGTAGGTCACTCCACTCAACAAAGATGCCGTGGTTTCAGAACCACCAATGATCAGGATTTTGGCATTTGCAACAAGTTTCTCCACATTGAGTTCCTGAAATAATCAGCAAGGTAACAGGTATTATAAAGCTGACTTACCAGCTCATCTTTCCTTTTCAGCAGACCCTCGATGAGGTCATGACGTTCTTTAGTAATAGCCATCCGGCGCAACATTTTAGCTTTGGTCAGATCTTTATGCTTCTTTTGAGCATCTTTCAGAGACTGCGGGACAAGAGACAACAAGAGCCGTTTGAGGGATGGATAGAATGACAGAGCTTGCAGAATTGTGCCCAGGCGCCCTGAATCAAAAATGCTTTGGATCCAGCCATCATAGTTCGACCCTTCCAGACAGCCAAATGGCTCACCGAACGCCAAATCACCGATGATGTCGAAAGTGGTAAAATTGTACCAGTCGGAAAGAACAAGGGACTTGCCAAGTTTGGCACCCTCGTGTAGCTTTTCCAGCAAAATATCAACATATTTTCTGATCATGGGCTCTTGGTCTCGCATTCCTTTCTCGGAGAAGCCATGAGCCATCTGTCGACGCAACTGTCTGTGCTCTTCATTGTCTTCATTGACAATGTGCAAAGATTGTTCAACAGGGCGGTGAAACCAGGCAGCCTTGCCCATCTCGGGTACTCCATTCTTGTGGCCCATTATGTCCTTCCAGGCATCGGGGTGTGAGAAAGCAAGTTCATCCGGTGCGATGCGCACAATATCGCCATACGTTTTATGCAGTTCCAGCATATCAAATGGCAGAGTACCGTTGGCTGCACGGTAGCAATATGGGAGCCGAGAGACGGCATGGGCGATTGGGCCGGGAAATCGACTCAATGGGTGGAAGTAAGCATTATAGATGCCTCTCGTCAGAAGGTAAAGATTTATCTGCAACTATTAGAAGAAGTTCTAACAACCAGTTCAAGAAACACAAAATACCGAGGAAATAGCTAGTCCTAGAACAGACTTTATATCCAGTGACACGGTGATTGATTGAAGCATTTTTGTTGATCGCTGCGTTGAACAAGCACCAGTCTTCGTTCGAGCCGGGACATTTTATGCTCTTATCATGGCCAGATCCATGAACGCTCTTAAGCCCCTTTTCAAGGTTGCACAGCCCCGCACTGTTCTAATTCTCAAATTCCAAGGAAGCAGGAGGGATCTGCAACCGCACCAAACCTCTGAAGCCGAATACGAACCAGAACCCGAATTCAGTATTTTATTGGATCGCATCCTCGGATTCTCCCACTGATCACCGCGTGGAGTCTACGCTAGCAATTAGGTACGGAGAAGACGGTCTGGCCCGTGAACTTCGTATCTGTTAATCCAAACGACTTTTATATGACCCGTATCTCCGTTTCCGCAGGCAGACGTTTAAAATATTCTAATTGTTCCACCTCTCCGGGGGCTTGGCATGTCCCATATGTTCTACCAACACTCAAGGTTGGCCCACGGTTTTAAGTTTAGAAACGAAGATGTTGCACACTGCCAAGGGATCTGTGCCGAAGTTTAGGCCACACTGATGATCAGCACCATGAGAGTTCCGGCATTGTCTGAGTCGCTAGGGCAGCACGGTAGAGCTACTATAAGGGTAGTATGCCAAAACAGCTATAAATTGCGGGACCAGCTTTTTTACCAGAGGTATATTTCCTTCTATAATCTTATTTGTTCTATTGACAAATTAAAATGAAGTATCTTGCTAATTTCTCATTTCTAGGTCTGGCCTGTGCCGGTTCCCACGCGGCATCCATCTTGACTGGCACGTCAGTCACAACGCCCCTCGGCTCGTTCAACCTTTCTAGAGGTGCGGCATGTGCGTGCCAAAGGCTCTCTCATACTTCCGGCGGAGTGATACGTCCGAACAGCGCCAACTATACTGCTCAGGCCGCCGACGCCTACTGGGACGTTCGGGCTGATCTTTCTCCTGCCTGTATTTTCCTTCCCGCAACCGCTAATGATGTCGCGCATGCTCTCGAAGTATTCGGTTCTTGTGATGCGCAATTTGCGGTCCGTGGTGGAGGCCACATGAATGTCAGTATATAAACCAACAATTACCAGCTCGCGGCTGACGTTCAACTAGTATCCGGGATCGAACAACATCGTCGGCGGTGTCCTCGTGGGCCTTTCGAAACTCAACAACGTCAAAGTCAACAGCGATACCGTTGAAGTAGGACCGGGTCTTACCTGGTACGATGTCTACTCAGCTCTTGATTCCCACGGTCGTGTTGCTATCGGTGGTCGCATGAAGACAATTGGTGTTCCTGGGTTGACTCTTATCGGTGGCTTCCACTATTTCAACAACAAGTACGGATATGCCATGGACAATGTGGTCAGCTACGACGTGGCCCTTGGGAATGGCACACAGATCACTGTCGACAAAGATTCGCATGGTGACCTCTTCTGGGCTTTGAAGGGCGGTGCCAATAACTTCGGCATCGTAACTAAGTTCACGTTGAAGACCTACGACATGCCAATGGTCAGCACGACCATCCAGGTGTACAATGAGAGCGGGATTCCTGATTTCATTACTGCGGTTTGCAATGCTGCCAAGCTGGATGAGGAAGACCCCATTGCTGCCGGTATGATCGCTACAGTTGAGTACAATGCTACTACCGAAGTGGTTTCTGCTTCGGTTCTTGGTGTCCAGGAGGGCGCAGTTAGTCCTCCTTCTCAGTTTTCCAACTTTACTGCCATTCCGGCAACAACCAGAATCAACAAGATTCAGTCTATGAAGAGCTGGGTGGCGGTGTTGGACTCACCTAAGCAGATGTTCCGGTAAGAAACCGCCTAGGTCAAAAATTGATTACATTTCCTTGCTAACTGTTTCAACAAACTTAGTGTCATGTTCTCTCACAAGAGTATGAAGCCTGACCCGGAGGTTCTCTACTCAATTTACAATGCATGGAAAGACGCAGTCGATGAAATCGCCGATGTCGAGGGTCTTTACCCTACATTCGTGACCAATGTGCATGCTCCCAGTTCAGCGCGAGTTGCACTTAACAATGGCATTGGCAATGTCTGGGGTTTGGAAGCAGAGCCTTTGATTCGTACGTCATTGCTTTCCACACCACAAATCTCATTCTATGAATAGCGACTGACTTGCGCCACAGTATGGCAATTCAGCACGGGATGGGCATTGGCGCAGGATGATCTTCGCGTTGAAGCTTGGTCCCGCCAGCTCACCGAGCGACTCCATAAGATCAATGTCGAGAAGGGACTTGCATCTGACTTTGTCTACATGGGTGATGCGGGTGGATGGCAAAATCCCTTTGCAGGGTTCCCAGCTGAGAATGTGGCCCGCATGAGAGAGATCAGATCCTCCTATGATCCCAAGGGCATTTTCTCTCGGCTCAACTGGGGTGGTTTCAAGCTTGGAATTTGATGGAGGGTTTTACAATCTGTGCTGTGTATTTCTCTAGGAGGATATAACATATGCAGATGAAAGGAATGTGGAATAGGCCTCTAAATTTTCTCCTATTACCAAGTAGAATAAAAAGTGAATTAAAGTGAAGGGTTGAAACTATTGCGTGCTGACAGGCAGAATCCTCACCGCCTTCATGACCGGTGAGGATCCCGTCATTAGGGCGACAGGGTTGCTTCCTGTTACTTCACTTTATCATCAGTTTACGATTACGGTTGCTATCAGCCAACTCAATCCGCTTCACTCTCTTAACGGATTCTTTTTCTTCTTGCATGAACCGTGCGTGGTTGCAGTCCGTTTCTTCCTCTTGTTCTGATCCCCCCTGGTTCCCAGGTGATCGTTCCATTACCTTGGTTCATACTCTTCTCATTTTAAAAGACTAAATAATAGGTTAAAAAGTTGACTGGGATCATCCTTTCACCCAGGAAAGAGTCAGGAACCGTTGAGTTCGACCCAAATCGGTATTGGCTCCAGTGGCCTATGCAACAGCTAGGTTGGGTTCCTTAGGCTGTTCTGCTCCTTTGTTATATGCATTCCCTGAATATTCTGTTTTCTAGGCCCACATCACTTGCGTTTTCTTATACCCTAACAACCCCCATGGTCTTTAAGTCACGATAACATGTATTCCCTGTCCATGCCATAGTGTGGCTAAACCCGCTGTGTTATTCCGATGTCATCCTAGGACTTCAATTGTTTTCAGCGAGTCGCTTGACAAAATGCGGTTAACGGCCTGTGCAGCAGTGGGGTGAAGGGTACTATAAGTAAAGTGGTCATGCTTCTGTAGCTGCTTCTTCGCCACTTTTATTCATCGCTCAAGATCGGTCAAATAGATGACAAGGGTGTGGGCGATCACATTTGAGAGAAAAGTACCCACAATACTGTACTATCCAGCGCACTGCTTGATTCTCCAGGGCAAAAGACATATTGAATAAGTCAGATAACAGTTTGCAGAGGTCGGCCAACCTTTCTGTCACCCTAAGACTCCAGTCACAAATCTCGAACCCCTGAAGGGAAATTGTAGATGCTAGGTTTCAAGCACATAATTCGATGCTCGTTTCCGCATCTTGAGTTATTCGCCACTGAGAACGTGAAAGCCCCTGGGAACATAGGTCACAAAAACAAAGAAACGTAGAAAAATCAGGGACTTATCGCGTTAAACATTTTCCATTTATTCAGAACAACCGAGCCTGAGATGTGCAAGTGCTTGGCAGAAATTAGGTATTGTAGGTGCTAGGTCATTTTGGTCTAGATACCTGTCTAGTATGCAGACTTAGTAAGAGATACTATTAATGATACTATTCATTACCACACTCGCTTTACTGCTAATAATATGGGATCGAAGGCCAATTAACTAGAAAATTATATGTGAACCTGATTACTTCAAGTAAATATGTATTTATTTACTGGAAAAAGGCAACAGGCAGACGAGCGTCACGAAGCTGACCTTCCCTTATTGGAAATTGGAGCCCTCATCCTAAGGCGCCAACATCGGTCGGCATCTCTCTGCCCCGATGGCTGCTGATTGGTCAGCTAGGCCCATGAGGTTATTGAAATTGGGCTGCATGAGCAGCCCGTATATGCAGGTTCCTCATCTATATCACCTTCTTTGCTTGTTCCAGAGGAAGTTCTTTCATGGACCACCGGGCAGCGGTGTAGGAGAACATTTTTGTATGCATTCCCCTTAGGAAACAGTTCTTAGGAAAAGGGTATAAATATCCCCCTGAGAACGAGCAGAAATAATTATCAGAATTTACAATCAATTACCTGTCCATCTTCTTTTCGTCTGATCATCTACCCCTTCATTTCTCAACATCCCCAACATACTCCTGATTCGATTGGTGACAACGCAGAGGATGATTTACTCTCGTTTCGGATTGAGCCTTCTCCTGAGTTACAGACACAACCACTCACTCAACGGGCACTTGAAAGAAGATGACAGTGTACTCCCGAGCAGGGCCAGTTGATGGTGACGTTCCGCCTCTACCTAGAAGTAGTACTCAGATACAGATACCTAGTAGGCAGAAGCATCCAAGGCAAGAGGATGAGTACTTTACGTATTATACGTGAATGCTGAACGAAAAGGATTAATCAAAATAATGGTGGTTTCAGAAGTATTTTCATAGTTCCCGTTCATTCACCGTAGAGCCCGTAGACCGTAAACCTCATACTAAAAAGAGCCAGTCAAAAGCTGTGAGTTATGAACTATGCAAGGATTTTGCTGATAAATTAATCTGGTCCCATTGCACTCCCATATAGTCCCGCGGACCAGTCACAAGGGACCGGTCCGGTGGGAATTGAAGAGGTCTAGCCGCACTCACGCACCATGATGTAGCGTTTTTACTCTCTCCATAGATCCAATGTGATATGCTTGGGCCGGGCATATATCGGCCGATTCACGTCGTACAATGCCGTGCGGTGGGGCGGCCCCGGATCCTCATGAGGGAGTTGGTGCGGATGACCCCTTCCCCGCTCTTTGTCTCCGAAGATCAAGGAGATGAAAAGTAAACATAGCCAAGTCTCCTCAATGTCTACTATCATACGCCTTGTAAATTTTAGAAGTATTGGCAAGGCTTAGTATCAGCGCGCGGCGGTCTCGGCAGTCGCTTTTCGAGCCTTTTCGTCAACCTTCCCCCCGGTCTAGCCTCGAGTCTGCCAATCCTGTGCGTCAGTGGCGCCCGGGGGGTTGTGACCTTAAACGGATTAATCGACGGTTTCATCGGGTGCTCGAGCTTCGGGCTAACAGGGCCGAAACCCGGTAAGAAAATGGGCCCAAGTGCGGTCAAACAGGGAAACAACCACACGTCAAAGAACGAGTGCCTTGTCGCGTAGGGCCGCAACCTGCAAAACTCGCGTGGGCTCGTGTCATTCCTGACCGACCCCCTGGTGCTCTACACAATTAAACGGCAAATCATGGCTGCATTGAGCCATCCGATCTACCCGAAGACTTCCACGCGTGACTGACATCGGGGTAGCGGGGAGCGGGGAAGCCGATGAAATCGATAGGTGCAAAGCCAATTCGCCGTGGCCGCAGACTACATTCCTTTGTTGAAATGCAGAAACCTGGCGTTTTGATAGTACCGGAGAATTGACCTGAATGAACTTTCGGGTAGCAGAAGAATTGTAACTCAAGCTTACTGAAATCACTGCAAATGTGCATGTAAATGCTATTATAATGTGACGAACGTTTCTTCTCGGGCAACGTGACTTTTAATATATCCTTTCGACTTACTGAGCTTCCTCCCACTCTTTTTGCAATCATTCGCGAGCCTGATCTATTCTCACCTTATCCCCGCGGTTATCCCAACATAGTATAAGTACTTTGATTGAGCGGTCGCAGTTATTTGTCTCACGCTTTGTGCGTCTCCACTGGGAGCCACGCACGTCATCAGAAACCGGTAAAGATGGAGTACGGACGCTAGTTTACGGAGTGTCTTGAAGAAGCCATTACGAAGGGACTCCTGACTTCCAAGGGGGACAGCTAATGGGTGGGTTTTGTGACGCGTCGCAGCACGAGCTCCTAGAAGCTAGCCCTGTCCAGTATTATCCCGGCAAGGGGCAGGAATATTCCCGGGCTGGGTCAAGATCGGCATAGGTGCGGTGAACAAACCATTGCGGGGATCAAGGCTGTGCCGTGATGAAAGAGGCCGATTGGGTCATGGATATTTAGACTAAACTAGGTCAGATCAAGGTACCAAATTCGTTTTAAACAAGATCCCGTTTTACATTTTCACGGTTTATACAAAGAAAAACCATCATTAATATTATCCGGTCGGTTAAAGAAAGCGCAAAGGGCGTTTCTCCTAGCTATAGAGAGACACAGGTACTCCGAGGCGTTACTGGCATATAAAAGAAGCTGCAATTGTTTTTTAATTAACTTACTAACCCCGGAGTAATGCCCTCGAAATCCGAAAAAGAAAAATATCCCTTCCTATACTATTGGATGGTCGAGGTGGGAGATCAACAGATCTCCCGTATAATAACATGGTTTCTCCTATAATACTGACAAGACATTTGACACGGTCCATGCAATCGGCAAGAAAAAGTTTCGGTTATTATGTCGACCGCTTAGCAGGAAAACCCCATTTCTCAATCAAACCAAGCGTCGGTTAGATCATTGACCCCGTGGGGCATGCAAGGACTAATAAGTACGGTCCCGTGAGTGGCTGCAGGTGGGTCATATGGATTATATTCAAATGCTACTTCATTCACGATGGTCGAAATGCACGCTAAAAAACGAAGGTTTTACTAAATTTGATCAAGGCAAACCAGGTACTATGTATGCAGCTGCAAAACCTATATAAGGGTGTTCTGTTCCCTCACAAGCTTCTCGTTGACGTGTTCAAGATCCTCAGACGTTTCTTTTATACCGCTCCCGCCAAACTGTTTCCTCGGGAAACGTGATCGGATATGTTGTTCTTTCCTTCTAGACTGGCCCTAGGCCTTGTTGCTACGACCTCTCTGGTCGCCGCCGGGCCTTGTGACATCTACGCCTCTGGCGACACGCCCTGCGTCGCGGCGCACAGCACCACTCGTGCCTTGTACGATGCATACACTGGCTCACTTTACCAAGTGTCGCGTGCCTCTGACAATACCACAACTGACATTGCGCCTCTGACTGCCGGTGGTGTGGCCGATGCTGCTGCTCAAGACACCTTCTGCGCTGGCACTACCTGCAGTATTGCCATAATTTTCGACCAATCTGGTAATGGTAATCATCTCACTCGGGCTCCGCCCGGAGGTTTTGATGGCCCAGCAGCTGGTGGCTACGATAATTTGGCTAGTGCTACTGGCGCACCGATTACACTCAACGGGCAGAAGGCATATGGTGTCTTGATCGAACCAGGCACGGGTTACCGCAATGACGATACTGTAGGCATAGCTACAGGTGATGAGCCGGAGGGCATATATGAAGTCCTAGATGGAACCAACTACAACGGTGAATGCTGCTTCGACTATGGCAATGCAGAGACCAGTAATACCGATACAGGCGCCGGCCACATGGAGGCTATCTACTTTGGCGACAGTACTGGCTGGGGCACCGGTTCCGGCAGCGGCCCTTGGATTATGGCCGATATGGAGAACGGCCTTTTCTCTGGTGAGAATGCTACTTACAACGCTGGTGATCCTTCTATCACCTTCCGATTCGTTACTGCCATCGTCAAGGGGGAACCAAATGAATGGGCAATCCGCGGTGGCGACGCCACTTCCGGCCCGCTGTCCACATTCTATAATGGTGTTCGTCCAGCTGGCTACAATCCAATGAAGAAAGAGGGCGCTATCATTCTTGGTATTGGTGGCGATAATAGCAATGGTGCTAAGGGCACGTTCTACGAGGGTGTGATGACCGCTGGTTTCCCATCTGACGACACCGAAGACAAGGTGCAGGCCAACATCGTGGCCGCCAAATATGGCACGTCTAGCTAGAAGGGCTGGGCCTAGTGTGGTGGCAGCGGGTAAAGCTCGTGGTTTATGCCGACGGACAATTTTTAGTGCACTCATGAATGCATCATCATCAGCTGAACTTCTCTGTTGCTTTCCTGTTTCAGTCCTTTAAACAGATACTGTAATTCTTCGCGTATATATACACAACTGCATAACTAGACATTTGACGCGTCTCCCTCGTGACTTAAGGATCGTCTGATTTTGAGAAATTGAGAGATGCTAATAAGTACACCAGAATACGGCTTTACAGGGTTGTTCGACTCATGAGTTCCGCAAGATATCATCAACCTCCTCATCTACCATTTCAAGAATATGTTCGGCTGGAAACTGGGGTTTCCAACCAATTTCGCGTCCATGCTTCGCTTGAAGTGTGCAATTTCGACCAAGGAACATGGTGCCATCTCTTTCGGGTACTCCAGTGCATCCCCCATCTTTTTAAGAGCTGCATCATCAACTAGACTCAGCGTGTCAGTATCGATCACCTTACGCTTGGCCAAACCTTTCGCCACTGTGTAGGAGATGTCATTCCAGGAGACACTTCCGCTGGCAGCGAGGTAATACCCATTTTTGCCGTAGCCTATATCCCGTCCAGGCACAATGTTCCGGAGAATCTCCAAATAGAGCCTCGCGATGTCAACAACATGAGATACAGGCCACGTCTGAGCTCCATTCAGCGTTAATGTAGAGATAAATTGCAACGAGGAATCCCATATATATGATCTGCGTCCGGTCTGTATACATGTCCAAGCTTCTTAGCGACCTGGACGATAGCAACTTTTTGGATGGAGAACTAGACTACTCTGACGCTCTGCACGTGTATATCCACTGCATACAGTAGAATTCGAAAATAGATTACCCCTTGGACACGCAAACTTTCTTTTCAAGCGCCCAATTCGGTTACGCTAAACTGATTTCGGTCAGAGAAAGTCCCACCGACTTTTCTTGGTCGGGTAGACCACCCTAGCTACCGTAATTAGAAGTTCCGGCATAGGCTAAGCCATGTCGATCTAACTAATATTTCCATCGAATGAGTCATTGTAAATTACTATAAATAGCTATTATAAAATATTGGTCAACTCGCCCCGCTTAGCATTTTCATGACTTGGAGCAATACAATTTGAAGCAATGACCGATATATCCGAAGCAAGTTCAAAAGATTTTGCTAGATCGTATGCATTATGCTCTTCTTCCAAATGGATCATATTCTAACGCTCTTTGATCTAGCATCCTTCCACTCTATCACGGTTCCTGCGTCGTAATTCGAATCAATTCTAATGACTTGGAATACAAAGTCTCGAAAGATCTTCTCTGCAAAGAATCTACATATTTCTCAGCAATGTTCGAAGGGAAATTTATAGAGGGACAGCAGCAGACAACGATTTTGGAAGAAATGGAAGGGGTTGTCTCGGCACAAAGCTTTGAGGCATTCTTACAATGGCTATACCTTCGAAAAATCCGGTTCGACTTAAGTGAGCCCGAACATCAGATCTCAGCTACGATAGAGCTGGCGCGGTTTGCGGACATGTGCAATGTTACAGCAATAGAATCTGAAGTCGCTCGGTACTTGAAAAATGTTCTCATTAACCACCCGAATCCTGAAAGAATCAACATTGGGATAACTATCAACACCTACCGTCTCACATCTCAGCATATAATTTCAGCGACTTTTCTGCCTGAAGGTCACGCAATCCGCCGCATTTTGGCTGCCGCAACAGTTAGAGGATATCTTCTCTGCGAAAACCACAGATTCGCTCAGGAGACTAGAGAATATCCTAGCTTTGGTGTTGACCTCCTCCACGAAGTGGGATTGACTTTGAAGGGAATGAATATCGCTGGTTATGGAGCCACTTGGGAGGATCCTCTCAATGGAGACAAGAGCGAAGTCCAGGAATTTCGTTCTTTCTGAACTCATTCTTTCTGATCTCATACTTTCTGAACTCATTCTTCTTACTATACGAAGCACTCCTATAAATTGACCTTTTGACTCTAAACGTAAGGCATTCTTATTCTATCAAAAAGTGATGGCACAAAGCCATACGTATTTACAGTGTTACTATACAGTAATTTACAATGACTCACTCGACGGAAATATTAGATCGACATGGCTTTAGCCCATGCCGGAACTTCTAATTACGGTAGCTAGGATGGTCTACCCGACCAAGAAAAGTCGGTGGGACTTTCTCTGACCGAAATCAGCTTAGCGTAACCGAAGTGGGCGCTTGAAAAGAAATTTTGTATGTTCAAGGGGTAATCTGTTTTCGAATCCTACTGTATAAGATATTCTTCATCAGAGAGTCATTACAATCTCGATCTTGCTTTGTTGGCTTTCTCCAAGTATTTGTGGGTCTAGTCACTTGTTAGCAGTTCGTATTGTATTTATTGATTTTCTATACATTCTCTCCTCTCTTCTTCGGGTGGGGATGTACTCGAGCCGAGTGGCAGACTCACTTGTTCAATGGCATCATAGTCGTGAGCCCACTTGAAAAATGCAGGGCTATTAAAATCTGTAGCAGGATCCGGTTCGATATTTTTGATAGACTCCCAGTCGGTATCAGCATATTTCGAATGCGAAGCGACACGATCTTTCTTCCCAAGGAACATTTGCGTATTCCAAGCAGCGTAGGACTTGATACGTTCAACTCGAGGTTTTCGGATATCTTCCCAGAATCTACTAATCACTGAGATATCCAAATGGGAGTATGACAAAAGTAATGTCTGCAATACTCCTATGTCCTCGATGATCTGGGATAATCCCTGTTGAGAGAAAATTAGCACAAGACCATAGTTGCATATATCTCCAATCAATCCGTGAAAATCTTGGCGTGAGACAAACCTGTGCCGCGTTGGGCTCCATTGCATGCGCTGAGTCTCCCAATAGGATGGTCCTGCCAGACTTGCTCGTCCAACGAGGAAGATTTGGCATTTCGGCAATCTTCCATCTGTCACACTTAGACGCCAATTTGAGAACTGCAGAGAGAGATGGGCAGATCCCCTCGAAACGCTGCCTCACAAAGGCGATATCACCGTCCTTGGTGATGGTTAGCCTATCAGATAGCTTGAATAGGGCTAAAGCATACCTCATTCCACATACTAGCTTGGCCATCATCATAATTGATCCCAAACAATCCGCTCCAGAATTCAAGCTTTCTGGGCTTCCGACCAACAACGAAGCGTTCATTGTCGACCCAAACACATGGCTCATCTTGCTGTAGCAATAAAACGGCATCATTATCCGATTCTAGTTCTTGCCGTGGCACTGTTACACCATAGAATACCGACTCGCTGATTTTGGGATCCACCGACCAGCCCGCAGATATGTCAAACAAAACTTTGGAGCGCAAGCGTGATCGAATACCGTCAGCAATAAGGATAAGATCGCCAGCTATTGTTTTACCGGCTTTAAGTTGTAGGCTTGGCCTTCTATCTGGTTCATCCGAGAAATCTTCCACGACACTGCTGAAGATAATTTCGGCCCCAGCCTGCATGGCATGTTGGTATAAAATATCTTGTAAAATGGGTCGATGAATGCCCCAATCCGGGTACTTGCTAAGTGAAGCTGGCAATGCTCGTATCTTATCCTTATCGGTCTTCAGATCTCGGATGGAGAACGGGAGACAGGTGTCGGCGACGTGTTCAATGGCGTCTCCAAGACCCCAGGAATGAAGAATGCGAGACGCACCAGGGCGGATCATCAGCCCACTTCCCTTTGGCGACAATTTATCTCGCTGCTCAAAAACCTGTATAGGATTAGGATCAGATGGAAGCAAATATCAGCAGGTGGTCTGCTTCCCTGGACATGGTGACCATCCTTGGCAAAGCAGCACGCAGCTGCGAGGCCGCCAAGACCTGCACCCACAATGAGGATTTCCATATTCTCCGATGTTGTGTCTTCTGAAATATTACGGCCTTTTTCACAAAATTTCATACGCAAAGCAGAGCAAATGGAAGAGTTGTGAATTTGATGCTGGTGGAGATCAATGATTCCCGGGATGACGTCTACCAATTCCGCCGCACAAATAAGCATTGGACGCCTGATCGCACAGACTCGAATGAACAGCCCAACGGCTTATTTTCTACTTTCCATCGTAGAAGCAAATAAATAACCGCTGTAAGCGTCGCTCATCTTCTTTGTGCTCACAACGCAGCAGCGCACTGCATTGAAAACGACCGACACCTCCAACATGCTGTCAATCCTTAAAGGCATCTATCAATTACCTGAACCACAACAGAAGCGATCGAGGCCGTTGCGAGTGATTTGTCTTGGCCTTCCGCGGAGTGGAACGGAGTCGCTCAAAAGCGCACTTGAAATCCTTGGATTTGGTGGAGTGGCACATGGCTTCGAGTGGTGCCTTCATCACCCGAACCATAGCGTTCTCTATTGCGAACTCTTGCTGCTGAAACTGCAAAACCGCATACCGAGTCCCCAGGTTCTTCGAGAACGCTATTTTGATCGCCTTCTCGGTGACACCGAAGCTTCTACTGATGTTCCCACGGTTTGGTTTGCGACTGAACTTTTGCAAGCTTACCCCGACGCCAAAGTCATTCTGAACCGGCGTCGTGATATACAGGCTTGGAAAAAGAGCTTTCACGCATCCGTATTACCCATGATGCAAAGTTGGCAATATTGGATTGCCAGTTGGTTTAATGCCGAATTATTTTGGGGCGTGTGGCTGACTCGTCTCGGACATCAAACATTTCTTTTCAAAGGCTACTTCGAGAAAAATGCCGAGAAAGCGTATCAGGATCATTATGAACATTTAGAACTGATATTGAAAGCCAATGACTGGGATTACCTCGATTGGTCTGTGGATGATGGCTGGTTAGATCCCCTACACTTCGGTCGCTTGAGTGATATATGGACTTACAGGAAAAAGGGCACCTCTATGCGACTTTCTTGACCTACCGGCACCAAACACGGAATTTCCAAAGGGCAACATTGCGTCGGAATTTGGCCCCAAATTGATGATTGTGGACAAAGAACGCTTCCAAAAAGCTAAACAAAACTTTGTACTCTGTCTTTCCTACCTCGTGATAATTGCGGCTGGAAGTTGGTATGTTGTAGGAAAAGGTTTCGCCTTCAGCTAGGCTTCCCAAATAACTGGAGACCGTCGCAGCTGGACGACAGGCCGGACTGTGTTGACTCGTACTGGGAGGCGGCTGTCGTGTCATCTTGCTCGTCCGTGACGGTACCGATGCCGATGACACAGTAGACCTGGCCGGCTGTGAGGGTCGGGCATGAGACCGTGTGGTTTGTGCTATCCGAGTCCCTCAAGGGGTTATAGCACGGGACTTTGAATGGACTAGTAGTGGCATTCACTAATACTACAGGAACTGTTATATTGCGGACGTAGCCAGGCCCACGTTTCTGCGTTTCCGCACCAACTCTTGGCGTCTTGTCCCTTTGTTGACTCTCCGCCCCGCTTGGCAAAAGGCCTTTTCTGGGCCAAAAGATTGGAAAGCTAAGCGAGATCTTGTTGGTGGCGAGCCTTGCTTCCAATTTCCCACACCCCTGATCGAAACCCTGCTACTCGGGCACTGTCTGGGCGTGGGTGCTCCTCCTTCGATTCAAACGGTGAATTTCAGTCGGAAGTCCAAGACTTCAGTTGTCGATTCAGATGATAAGATGCACAGTACTCGCGAAGGTATGGGACAACTAGCCTGAGTATTAGGGTGAGCGATCAGGTTGCTCAAGGAGCTACTCAGGGTCGCGCAGTGAGCCGCTCAGGGCGGCGGAGGGATGGGAGCCGATTGCTTCGCGAAGCAGTAGTTTTAGTGTGATCCATATGCCGGACGGAAAAAATGTTTGCAGACATTGAGAAATTATTAAGTCAGATAAAATGATCGAATTTCTATCATTCTAGTTAAATATGGGTAAGGAAAATTAGAAACATATTTTACGGCTAAAAACTAGAAGATTAGCGTGATGGTTATACAACGTTGCCGTACAACCACGGTTCTGCGCGGCCCCAAGCCCCAAACGGGCGTTCTCCCGCGCCTCGATCGGCGTGCCCAACTTCCGCATTGAGATTGGGCCAAAGCATACTTTTGATCGCAATACATTTAAAGAGCCTCGCTCCCGACTGTTACTCACCTCCTTTTTCTTGCCAGCCAACGCGATATATCTATCATGGAACACGACAAAATCTCAACCCCGGTAGCCAGCCTGCCGGCTGCTGCTATCGAACCATCATCTCCCAATGTCAGTTCTGTGACGCCAGTACCAGAGACAACTGCGGCCGGATCCACGAACCCTTCGCCAGCAGATGGCTCGGTGCCGACAGCACCCGCTGAAGCACAACTTCCACAATACGAAGAGTACGCTTCTCGCCCGAAGACATTTAACCCCTTCTGATTGATTCCTACAGACACAATAGAGAAGTGATGCCAGCACCAGCACCAGCGGTTACATCCACCACTACAACTTCTGTCCCGGCAGAAAAAACCCCATGGGAACCCTCCACACAGGCTCCAGCTGCCCAGCCCGGACAAGGTCTAGTCGTCAACAGACCTGCCGAACTCAACCAGCTCAACGAAGAGCCACGCTTGATCCACTGTCCCTTCTGCCAGCGCGAGGCGATGACAAGAGTGACCAAGGAAAGCACCGCGTCCACAGGGTAAGTTTCAACCTATGAAGGTCTATCTACAAGTCATTTCTCTTCCCGATACTAATGGCCCGCAGAATGGCCGCACTTTGCTGCTGTCTCTTCGGCGGCCTTTGCTGTGCCTTCATCCCATACTGCATGGAAATGTGCCACGACTGCCACCATTTCTGTACAAACTGTGGGCAGCAGGTAGCCCTTCGGCCACACGATGGCCAAACGCAGATATTTTTGCCCCAGTCTGCCGTGGTCATGGCGCCCGGGCGCATTCAGCCACCGCAGGCGGCTGTAATGAGTCACGGCAATAGCGGCAAGAACTGAATGTCGCTACCGTGTCATCTGGCTTGTTTTACTTTCGACCCTCTTTACTAGCGGCCTATTAGCATGAAAGATATGTAATTAATGATTTTCCTTCGACCCACAGCCTTCACGTGATGAGGCTCAATCAAACACTAAGCCCCCGGGTTTGCCCGCGGGATAGGGGCTGTGTAACCCCTAATTGCGGAAATACTTAATGAACCCACGTATTGTTATATTCCCTCTCAGGTATAGCCCGTAGTATTACAAGCCTGTTATATTTTCAAGGGGGCCCTGAATAAAATGAGCTTCGCATAGAAATCAATACGCCTGTGTATTTGGTACCTGGGTCCCCCCTATGTGTTGTCAATTGAGAACTGTGCCAGTCTCTATGCAGTAAGGGGTACGTACGGTAAGGGTTAGTTTTTGGGAATTGATACAACGTAACTCAGCGATACAAACTTTCGCCGGCGGCGCTCCTTCTACACAGAAAGACCAGCCAGAATCGCAAGTATTTTTTGATGGGAAGTTACTGTATGACATGACCGCGGCTGGCATGGTCGTGGCTTCGGCGTCCTTGTCCAATTCCGCTATGGTGAGTGACGGTAATGATGGAGCCTACACTAGAGGACCAGGACAAGAACGCAGAAAAGGCAACGCAAAGGGCAAGACTAGACTAGGTCGGTGTGGGTTAGCGTCTCTGCCTTGTGTTTGTCGTTTTCCGGCGCTTTTCTGTCTAACCCCACGAAGAGGAAAGTCGCCGAAATGTGGTTCCACCTTTATTATGCACCATCGTAACATTCTTGACACTTTCGCTACCCGTGTAACTCTTCTGCTTCCTCTGTGGTCTTTCTGTGATTTTTCTCGCTATCTGTCCCCTACTCCGACCATCATGGCCTCCGGACTCATTTTTGACCCCCGTACGCTCCTGCGTACCGCCCCACTTATCACCTCAACCTGCACGCTCTGGTACTCTTTCGACCAGGACTTTTTCCTAAATGTCTTCCTCCACCCCGACCACCGCACTCGCAGTAATGAATTTTTGCCTTCTTATTTCCGCGCCTTTATCGGGCCCGGTACCTTGCGCGTGCTGGGCCTTCTCGCGCTGACCTTGACTGGGGGTGGATATAATATATTGACGGAGCGACGATCGGGACTCGGTAACTCGGCGTCTGTGCCTTGGTATATTGCTGGCACGCTGTTAGCCGCCAGCCACCTTCTCTTCGTACCCGTCATTGTGCCCAAGATCCAGGCCGTGATCGAGGACACGTCGAAGGGCTCCTCGACAAAGGACCTCGAGGGCTGGCTGAAAATCCATCGTTTGCGTACGTGGACAGTTGATCTGGCTTCGTGGGCCTGTTTTGTAGTTGGAATGTCGATTGTTGAGTGAAACATTAAAAAGAACAAGTCAAAGAAGATTCACGGAACACTATAAGTGTGTATGCTACTTCGCATGAGAATAGCCGGCTGTGCTTTGGCTCAAATGAACATAAGTCTATATTTTATTCTCCTTCGCCAGCCCCTGCATCAAAGCTTCCCAGTGGTCAAGGACGTGTCGGAGGCCTATCCAAGATTGGCCTTTGGTATTGGTCGCGATATAAAAACCGTCGTGGTTGTTTGCTAACGTCGGATCGATGGGGGGACCCACCCGTGGGTAAACTGAACCCATTGGAACGACAAAATTAGGTTGGTGCACACAATACGGAGAATATTCCTTAATTGAGCTACCTAGCTAGGCTATCTGCAGGGTCCCATGTAAAGTAAATACAATGCAGCTTAGGAATCCCCTTCAGCACCGAGAAGCTAACTACCTCGATGTGAACGATGCAACGCAACAAAAGGTCCGACTCTTGCAGATATGGGAGCATGTGGGAATGAGTGCGCTCGGACTTCTCCGAGGATCAAGCCTCTAATCTAGTCGCCAGACCTGCAAGAAGGAGAGGGTAAGTGGAAGAACCAACCTTGTGCTCGGAGAGCATGACAGGTTCACTGTGGAATGGGCTGCCAGTGCGGCGCATAGTCAGATCAGGTTCAATAGGAGAGAAATGGCATATTACGGAATCAGATACCCGTTGGCCTTGTGTTGGGGATTTCCGACGGTGGTATGGGTGATGGGGGCCGGCCCCAGCGGGTAAAGGTGTGATGATGGCAAGAGGCGGGCAATCACGCAGGCGTCGCGGTGCTAGACATGGTGTTTGGGGTGACTTGGCGCTTCGCGTTTCCTTGAGTCGAATCCTGGGGGAAGAAGAGGGCATTAGTCATTCCTGGCTGGCCGGTACCCTGTGTGTTGATTGTGCGGGGCGTAGGAAAACGGATTCGAGTATCGAGGTTTGGCCGAGTCGGTTTCATCTCGCTCTCTTTTTCGAACTTACGTTCAGCTCGTCGATTCTTCGCTTTTGACCCTGACCGGCTGCATCAGTCTTCTTGATCACCTTCTTCTTCGGGCGCGCAGGACGGGTTTCGCCGGGTTGGAACACGTCCTCGGGCAAATCGAAGCTAGGGAATGTCAACACTTGCATGATCAAAAAGTCTTCTGGGCCGGACTTACTTGCGAACGTGGGTGACGGCGAGGTCCATAACTTCAGGCTGGTACGCAGGCCAGGATGTGCACATGGACTTGAAATGCTGGGAGTCGAGTGAAATATCCAGCGATCGGGAGGCACCTGAAATGGTTAGAGTGATCGGACCAGGGGGTTGGCATTCATACCAGGCTCCAGTGGCTTCAACTCCAAGCCAATGTAGTAAGTAGTGGTGTAGACGGTCTTACTATCGCTTTCGGCCTTCTGCTCTGGGATTTCTGGGACCTTCACATTCTCCACTCCATTTTGCGCTGCGGCTTCATGAGCAGCATCCTTGGTCTCATCAGTCATTTCAGTTGACGTTCCCTTGGCTACATATTGAGTCGATCCATTCTTGACGGCTTCCATCGCCTGCTCATTAGGGACAGAGTGTATTCTTTCGAATCCCTTGGGGAAAGGGTGTGCCACGGCGATGATGTTTTTCCGGTCGAGAGCAATGACGAGATGCCGCAATTTGGATTCGACAAGACCAGACCAAACTCCTTCGGCCTCTTTTGTCTTGCTCGAGGCGGTGATGCTGAGATAGTATTTGTAGTCGTTTGTGAAGAACGAGTGGCGGGTGAATAGATCATTCCAAGTTTGTTGCTTCAGGAAAATCTTGTCCACTATGTCGCCTCCGCGTTGAAGCTCTCGGAGGAGTACAGTCTTCGTTGACATAGAGATGTTGTGGGTCGCGCACATTGAGGGATATGCAGGGGTGATGATGGGCATAAGATGCCAACGGTCGCCAGGGTAGATCTGAATATCAAATCAGCACATGTCGTGCCAGGAAACTGAGGGATTAGTATTTACCTTTGGATTCCAGACTTTCATCTGAAGAGGTCCATCCTCGATTGGCTTAAGCAAAACAGGCTGTGGCCATGCCCACTTGTTCATGATCCTGAAGAATTTGCCCACGATAACTGAACCGGTCGCTTGCGGGTATAATTGACAGACTCGAGCAACCAACATCGCCCACGCGACACCTCCAGGAAAACCGACAATATTAGCGTAGATTGCTCGGCGTTGGGCCCAGAGTTTGATTGCGCGCAAAGCCAGACGGAAAGTTTTTTGCTGGGGCACAAGTTCGAGAATCTCATCTGTGACACGAGTTCCATTTAGCGATCGCACTTCCTTTTCATCCAAGCCTCGCAGGTAGTCATTGTTCTTCAGGTCGAGGTTCATCGGCACCGAAGGGATCACTAGGCGACCGAAGATCAGATCAATGCTGATCCCAGCCAGCTCGAGCTTAATGATGGGGACGAAGGCGTCTGGAACAGGCGTCATTTTCTCGATGGTCCCTTCGGGAGACATTTTTTCCAAGATGGGGGGAAATCAGCGAAGAAATCCTCAATGACGACGTGCTTCGGCGCGACGACGAGGGTATCGATATCGGATCCTGTCAAGAAATCAGTCATTAGCTAATGCCGCACAAGTTGATCTTTCCAGAATGTGATACTTACCTGGGCCATAAACACCAAGTCGGTAACTGCCGTAGGCAAAGATCTTTCCACCAGAAGCATCGACAGCCGCCGGCGATAGTCCCTTCTTGCGACTGACAGTCTTGACGAATTCCAATGTGACGCGCTGAAGGAGCTGCAGCATTTGTTTTCTATTGATTCATCGTCAGATTCATGATTCCAAAGTCCCCGACCGCCCAGGGTTATGATTAACGCACCTCCGCTCCGTCTCCGACGGTGGCTCGAAGTTGTTCTGCGCTTTGAGCTCCGCGATGAGATCATCGTTAGCACTCAACTCATCCTGCGTAGGAAGAACTGTTGAAATCGGGGGAGTCACGCCCCACTGGCGGGCAGGAGGTGCAGCCATTGTGTCTTTGTGTCGAAGATGGTGCAAGAGGGCGGAATGTGTATCGCCGCGATGAAGATAGGGATTAGATAACGGCTATATTGCCGCTGAGGTAGCCGTAGACGAGCGCACGACGAGGAGCAGAGTATGAAAACGGCTTGGGGCAATCACACAAAGGAAACAGCGAGGGAGGCGACGGCAATCGAAAAGAGCGGCAGGTCAAGGTAGCGGAGTAGGAAGTGACAGAAAGGTCCATCGGCGCTTCCATGAGCCCAGGGCGCTTACTCATGTGCCGTCACATGATCGTCTGATGTACTTTTGATCTTCATTTTCTAGCGGTTGCCTGCGATAATACCGTTTATTACTTAAGACGTTCTCATTTTAATGTGCCATCGTTATGATTAACTTGGTTGAATGATAACGTTCCGCTTCATGTTCCCATGCGATATGTCGATCACAGCGCCCCTTCCGGCTTCTCGGACAACTAGTCGACCCCATCCGGCTTGTTCTCCGCAAAGAAAACTGACAATTGCTTGTCTAGCCATGCAACATCTTCTTTGCTGTCACCAGGACCTCCTGCCCAGTCTATGAAAGGTCAGGTAATTAATCGTTTGTGTGAGGAAAAGCAGATATATACTTACGTCCCCAAATGGAAGGGAAAACGTCCAGTTTTCCGACGCCTGGCTTCATGCAGGCAACTTCATACTGCGAGTCATCCGGTCTGAAAGGATTGAAATGTTAGATTTAATAGATATACGAGTAATCGGGGCAAGCTTACGGGAAGTAGAGATCGGTCTTGGCGGGCAGAACCAGCGTCTTGGCCTTGATGGAACCCATCGCTTTCTCAAAGTCACCATTGTAGGGCTCCTGCAGGGAGACATCACCATTCTGCCAGGTTTGTATCATGACAAGAAGATTCTCGGGATCTATGTTATGTGTCAGACTTGATGAATCATGGTTGAGATGAAAGTAAAACAGATTGGTCACAGTACCTTTCGAGCATGCCCATTTCTCCCAAAAGTTTTGCATGAAATCCTCGAGCCCTTGATATCCCAGCACGGTCTCATACAGCTTGTGCCGGTAAAAGGCTTGACTAAAACCCCTGTTTATTGTTCGTCAGACAAAGCGTACAATAGTAAGGCAGTTAAAGTTGTCTCACCAGCCAGCATAAACCCTACCCATGGCCTTCAACCCAATTTCCTTCTCGCTGGAACTCCAGGTTCGAACCTCCTGATCCTTTGCGCTAACTCCAATTTCACCGGAGCCGGCCGAACGAGTGTTCTTGGCGGCGAGCAGGGCACTTTTGACACCCTCGAGGAAGACTTTGTTATGTAGTGATGTCTTGGCAGCTCCACAGAATGGGATAGCCAGATCCATGAAATCGGGATACTGTGTCGCCCATTGAAACGTCTGGCCGCCTCCCATGGACCAACCGATGACGGCGCGCAGGTGAGAAATGCCGAAATGTTTGGTAACGAGCTCATGTTGGGCCCGCACGTTGTCGTAGAACGAGACCTTGGGGAAGACTCCTGGGGTGGTCTGATTCGAAGGTGACGAAGACTGTCCATTACCAAATAGAGCGGTGATAATGATAAAGAACTCTTTGGGGTTAAGGGTCTTGTCTTCTCCGATGAGCCAGAAGTTGTCCGAGATAGCTACCATAGGCAAATACCCTGTCAGCAACTCCCAATAGAGTGAAATCGGACTGTAATAGACATACACCCCGAGAACCAGGACGGATAAACGATAGCTGGTGATTTAGGATCGCCGAACGTCTTGTATGCGATATGCGCGTCGGCGATCTTTTCTCCAGTCTGCAGCTCCCAGTCTCCGAGTTTGAAGATCTCGTAGTCTTCCTGTGGCATGTTTGCTAATTTCTGTTGGATAAAACTTGTCAAAAGGAGTAAATTGATCCAAGATCGGCGTCATCCGACGGTCCTGGGCACCTCCACTTTATAGCTCCTGGGCTGACGATAAGAACCCCGCTCGACACTCTCTCCGCACGGCGGCCGCGTGAATCGAAGTAACCTTGAGAACATGCTTTCCGTAAATTAGTCACAGATCGTAGTCACTTTCTACCCTTGCTTTTGTCATCATGTGATTATAACTAATAGACGAGAGGCATCCCATGGGATGGATGCCTTTCTTGGTTCGGGAGCTTAGTGGGTGTGCACTTGGCAGCTATTCGGCTTCATGGTAGAGACCGGGTCACCAACAGACATCTTCAACACACCTAAACCAACAGGAAAAATTGGAAAGCCTTAACAACACCCTGCTCGCGATCAAGAATCACTTGAGCGCATTACCGGGCTTCTTCAAGCTTTCCTGGGGAAATATCAATAGAATGCTTGTTAAGCTTTGCACACCAAGCAACTGAACAACATGCGCTTTCAATCTCTATATTCAATTCCATCTTGTATCTAATGCTCCGCTAACCCGTTTATATTTCAAGATCATTCACCCCCTATCCATGTACTTCAAAATTCCGGACGACGAAGCTCCATAGCCTCGGTAGTACGACCATACGAAATGCCACCCAAGCGGCTAATGGGCTTCAGGACCTTCAGATCGATGAGACTTTGCTCTTTGTCGATGGCATCCTCCCGCACCCAGAAGCGGACGCCCTCGATGATAGCCAAAACGCTGCTCTTCTTGCCAGGACTAGACCGGCTCTCGAACTCTTTGGTTTCCATTAGCTTGCCCTCGATCGCCAAGATCGATTCCTTGACACGCGCAGGCTTGACCACGGTCGTGGGGGCCTGGGTCAGGCCGGATGTCTCCCACTCGGAGTGTCCAAAGGGCGCGTTGATGGATGTCGCATTGGCTGCTTCGACAAAGTGCTCTGAAATAATGTTGATCACGCATTCTTTCGTCTCGTTCAGGTTCTTCAATGTGTCCTTGGCCTTTTCCAGCGAGCCGACAAAGCCGACAACGAAAGTCGGAGGATCGTGGTTCACGAGTTGGGCGTAACTGAAAGGAGCGAGATTCGTGGTCTTCTCGTCTTGCGACTTGGTGCTGATGAGGGCAATAGGCCGAGGGACCATACCGGAGATCAAGAGCTTATAGTTGTATGCGGACGGGCGTCCCTCGGCGTAGGGATCAATCTCGACATGATCTTTCTTCAGGCTCTCGCCGCCATCGTTGGCACCATCACCATTCTTCCACTCGAGGTTCGGAGGCTGAGTGAAGGTGACTTCGGCGTCGCGGCGGAATTCCGGCCGCGAAGCCTGGACTTGGTCGAAATCGGCACGGACTTTGAACATTATGGATGTGCGAGTTAGGAACCGAGAGGGCTGGTAAGGGAGGAAACGAGGTGTTTTATTCAATGCAGTGCGACTAGATTTGTAATGATCAGGATCAGCTTATCGGTCTCCGAGAACTCCGACGCTTCTCGAGATAAGAGATGCCTTGATCTTTCCACATTTACGGTGAATAAACTCACATTGTTTGTACAGACAGCATCCGGGCTGGGCAGAAAGCCGTGAGAAACTGCATGGAGGTGGTTGTTGAAGCTCTTTTGTCACTAGAAATCAATTTCAAAAGGTCTCAAAACCGGTCTCAATCGCGGGGCTTAATGCCACGGTGGTCTAGATGCATGCATTATCGCCACGCGCGGTTCCGCGTTTCGAGTGTTCATGGTGCGTGGCACCAAGGATACTTGCCGACACTCGGCCCGACAGCTCGAGCCAGGCGTGGCGTCATAATCTGCAAACAAGGTCGCGGCGATGTGTAATTCCAATTAGAATTCGGGTGCAGGATTCAGTAGGTTTGCCGATCGATAGCCCTAATCCGAGCTTGATAGAAACACTAGCCACTTGGGTAGCTTTTCTAGAACTGTTCTTTAGTGGAAGGAGACCCCCGACGTTCTCGCCCGAAAGCACCGGTTAAATAAACATGGGCAAAAGTGGGCACTGGAGATCAGTTTGTTTTTTTTTTCCCCACTAACGCCCAACGTGGATAAATAGAAAGCCGAACTCGTGTTGAGAGGTAAAATTGCAAAGGGTTTCTATAGAGATCCCGGGGCGTGACTGGTCCGAGCTGAGCGACAGGCCCCATGTTGGCTCCTCTCTCGATGGGGCCGTAATGGAGCCCCGGGTTCTGGACGTCAGCGCGACCTGGCCTGTGCATCTGTATATATGCTTCCTTCCTCTAGGGCTAGGTCGATTGCCCAGGGCTAAGGACAGTGCCCTGCAGGAACCACCGCACCGGCGAGCGCCGGTTTACACTCAACCCGGCCACAGGGGCCACGCCAAGTATACAAAGGCAGATCACCGGGGGTCCAAGTCCGCATATCCGCTAATCCCAAATCCAGGGATCTCGACATGGGCCCTGCCCCACCAGGGCAACGATCCCATGACCGTCAGATCTTGAAGTCATCGTTCCGGCGTGGGCCAAAGTGTCGACTTGCGTGGTGCTGCTTCCGGCCAAACACCAACACAGGGAAGTAATAAGCGGTCAAGGGGTTCCCGGTGGACAGGTCCGCGTAACTACTGGAACTTCGTGTACTTGTGTTCTTGTGTACTCCATAGGCTGTATTGCTCTACTCCCAGCACGAATAGGGCCGTGTACCTAAGCTCTGAGGCTGCAAGCGAGCTCGGGCTTATCGTCACCTCCCCTCCTTTCAAACTCCATTCCCCCCCTCCCTTCACGTTCTCGAGCTTCATCCCTTCTTATTGGGCTCTAAGGCCTCCCTTCTATATTAACCCAACCAAACCGAGCCTCATGAAGTTGTTTCTGGAGTCTATCATTCTCTCCCACGATCTCCCCTACCGCTTCATATGCCCTATACCCGGTGACGCCCTCCCATACGCTCCGCGCGCCGATACCCGAGACTCGAACTCAAGAGGAAAGACCGTTTGTCCAATGGGTCACGATAACGGATTACTCCGGCGCTCGCAATGAGCCCTCCTTCTCCCAAGAAGAAAAACGGCGGCAATGGTTCTGGACAACGACAGATCCGCTTCGTCGCCACCGACGGCCAGCCGCAGACCAAGCGCCGCCGGGTCAACGCCGCGTATGTGGAGCGCGCTCTCTCCGTTTTATGTGTGGAGGGGCTAACGGGTTATCTCTACGTCTAGCTGCTTAACGTGTCGCCGGCGCAAGATTCGGTGCTCGGGAGAACAGCCAGGTAGGCAAACCCTGCGGAGTTCTCCGCATCGCCGAAACCCTTGACTGACGGGCTATTCGCAGTGTGCAAAACTTGCTCCGACTACAAGCATGTGTGCCTCGGTTATAGCGAATCCACCGCCCACCTGCGATCGCAATCCGATTCCAACTCGCGAGCGCCCGCTCCCCTCGCCGGCCAACATGATCCCAACAGCCAGGATAATTCACGGGCGGTGGAGAGCTCTTCTCCGGAGCCAGCACAGAGATCTCTTCCCCGATCGAAACCGGATAAATTCCCGCAAGTACCGAAGCAGTTCGAGAGCAAGGATGCCTCCTTGTCAAGAGATACGTCGGCGCGCACGAATAAGGAAACGGACTCCCAAGCTGCCGTCAATACTCCAGAAAGTAGTAAGATTCCGACAATGTAGCTCCCAGGCTTGCCGAATATCCATATCGCGATACTGACCGCGACTGTTCTGCTTAGGTCGCACTTCTTTGAGCTCCAGTAACCGCACCCATGTACCATATTTCAGATATTTTGGGCCCACGGCCATCGTGCCCGGGTTCAAGCAGATGGTTCGTATACCTGGCCGACACAAGCTCTACCTGCATTTTTCTGACCGAACCCCAAGGTTGTTCAAGTTCGAGGTTCACGAAAGAGCAATCCTTCGATGTCATCTGGTTGGTTTCCGCTATGATTAATTCTCTATCGTCTACTAATTGCCTTCATCTTCGTTATAGAGTCGCTTTCGCCGCTCCGAAGCCCCAGACCGTCCGATGCCCTTTCTGGCCCTCCGGTCACTACGACAGAACATCGTGACAGTCGCGAGTCGAACTCGATTCCATTTTACGACCGTGACGACACCCTCCCGGTTCCCAATTTAATTTCTCATCTGAGCGACCTTTTCTTTGCGCATCTCGGCTGCAGCTTTCCCTTTTTACAGCGTGAGCGATTTTTGCAGGATCTGAAGGAGAAAAAGCTCGACACCATGTTGGTAGACGCGGTTTGCGCCTTGGCTGCCAGATTTTCACCTCATCCTTTGCTGGGACCTGCTCAAGCGCCGCCCATCGATCACTCGCAGTTGCCGCCGGACCCAAAACTCTGGGACCGAGGTTTACCTTTTGCCCACCGAGCAACGAGTGCTCTAGTTGATTCTCTTTCGTGCCCAACACTCTCAGGTGTTCAGGCATGCCTTTTACTAGCATATGAGCAGTTTGGATCTAACCATGACAGCGGTCTTTGGATGTACCTCGGTATCTCTATTCGAATGGCTCAGGACCTCGGTTTACAAAAGTATCAAGGCTTAAAGCACCACTATGGCCAAAAGGGTGTAACGCCGAGTGAAGTGATGACCGGCCAGGCTGGAAAGTGGAGAGATGACCAGTATGACGATTTTGATGTGTACCAGAGTCCCAAAACTGTGCCGCCTATTCTTGACACCGAACGGGCAAGAGAACGAGAGCGAGTGGATACCTTCTGGAGCATCTTCTTTCTTGACCGAGTCATTTCTTCAGGTACAGGACGGCCTGTTACGCTGCGCGACGAAGACATTGAGCTATGCTTCCCTCTGCAATCGGAATCACAGCTACCGAATGGATGGCCCGCGCCATTTCCACCTCTCATTCGAATTATCCATCTATACGGGCGAGTTACAGATCTGATCAACGGCATTCAAGATGTCAATTATGTCACGCCAGATACACTCAAGAGACTGGCGAGTATGGAAAGCGATCTGACCGGTATCTATCAACGGTTGTCACCCAGGCTCCACTTCAACGCAGCAAACTTCCAAGCTTACGTCAAGGCCAAAGAAGGAACCAACTTCATCCTTTTGCACTTTTGGTTCCATACACTCATCGTGCTCCTCCACCAGCCGACTCTCTTACACTCCTTCGGTGGATCAATACAGCACCTCTATCCCAACAGTCGCGAATTATCGATGTCTTCGGCCAAAACCATCGCCGACATTCTCTCGTTCTCGGAGCTGGTAGATGGGAAGAGCTTCATTGGCAATCCATTCACCAGTCAACCCATGTACATTGCAGCATGCGCTTTTCTTATGGAGAGCGCATATTACTCGTCACCATCATCAAGTGGCACCTCTCCTCCGCCTCAACCACTCTTGTCAAATCAATCTAGTGGGTTTGTGATGCCCACCATGGAGTCATCGCATGGTTCAGAGCGAAAGTCCAATGCCAAGCACATTCTCCTCGCCTCTGCTGCCAAGGAGAACTATCAACGTTGCTATAAGGCTTTGAAGGCCCTTGATGCCTACTGGGAGGGTACCAGATACATCTTGACCGTGCTCGATCAAAAGGCCAAGGGTATTGTCGATCCACTGCTTTACACTGAAGAGGATATGGAAAATACGGCAGGCCTAGCTTCGGTACCGCAATTTGCACCTGCTGGGTGGTCCGGGTCCAAGATACCTGGGGATCCTGGTCAGAATTCTGAGCGGCCTCCAGGCGCGGCAGATATTCCACCGGATGGAAAGTGGTCACCCAGGATTGACCCAAGTCAGGGTAGGTTTATTTGTTTCCTCACATTTGAGCAATTCAGCTGACTCGCGTTCCTTTAATAGCGATTGGGTGGGCACTTACTGGAGCTACAAACTCATCGCAACCTAACTTGAGTTTACTCTATCAAATGCCTACCAGCACACAGACCGAGACCTCTCCCGACAAGCCGACCTATTCTTCACAATACAGCCACAGCTACCCATCTTTACCGGTGCAAGCCAATGCCGGGCAAAGCTCGAGCTCTTCCTTTCCTCAGACAATCTCTCACGATGAGAACCGGCCGTCCTCTCTTGCCCCTAAATACCCTGCTGCTGCTCCTTCCCGAACAATCAATCCCGAATCACCCTATTTCCTAGGGATGAGCGCTCCATATGCGGGATCAAGTTCACGCGCCAGAGCCCAGCCTTATAACCAAAATCTTTCATCGTCGAAAATGGACAGTCAACCTCCCACATATCATTACCCTGTATCATCAGCAGAGCAACCTGCAGCCGGTCGGATGGACTCTCAAGGTGAGATGCATCCCACCATGAATACCGGCAACAACGGCATGATGATCGAGAGCCACGACGTCGACATGAACTCTCTCCATCAACAAGATTCCTTCCCCTTCTCCAACGGCGAGATCCTTCCTTGGTTAGAGTATCTTCCACAGGATGTTCTCAGCTTCTTTGGCGAGCACCAAAATTACCCGCTCATGAGCCCTGACGATACCACGCCACGGCCGCCTTAGTAATGTTTGATTTCACTTCTCATACATATGTATTCTTTGGCAGGATTTTGCATTTGTGTTTATTGAGCGAGACTTTGTGCGTCCATTTTGCGCTTTGTTGTGATGTTGGGAATACTACTGGCGTTGAACGGTAGGGGTTTTTGAACAATTATAGATCGTTGTCTGCCTGGGCTTTGGGTTTCTGTCTTTGTACGTCTTCAGGATCGCATCGAATGCATATTATAACTCGATTATTGGAGAACCTCTTGTTCAAATTTGATGTGCAAATTAATTATTCGGAGACTATAGATACTTCTGACGTGTCGTGTACCGGTCGATCAACGGCGTGTTGCCCGGCAACGAGGGCGGTCAGCGACTGTCAACATGCGATAGACAGCACACCGCATTGTACATCACCAGCTACAAAAGCCCCCCATTCCGCTCCTCCATTCTGAGCTCCATGGCGAGACTGAATGACGAGGGTCAGCCAGACTCGGTAATTCATGTCTCCGACCATATGCTAAGCCCCCAGCCTCGTGCCCCTCCCGGCAAGGAGCATCTACTCACTTCCTTTGAGACATCCCACCTGCCAAACGAGAACGGATACACAATCGATGATGTTCAAATGACTATTCAAGACTATGAATACAGTTCCTCATCATCCTCAGCCCGACATTCGACGAGTGATATCTTCGGTCGCGAGATGGACGCCGAGCTGGATCAGATGAAGTCTCGGGCGTCGAGTAGCTCGTCTCTATCTTCCATTCCAGCTTCGGTGCTCATACATCCAAAAGCAATGGCTGGTATACCAGCACTTGATAGCAGCGCCGGGTATACCTTGGAAGAAGATGAGATGAGTTTCGGAGAATTCGAGGGACCACCGAAGTCGATACGAACCATCCGCCAGCGCGAGGCGGCATTTCGAAAGCCGAGTTCTGTGCGTGCTATGCAGATGCACACAGAAGACGAGGCAGATGACGACGAATACCTGACACCACCGAGACGCCGAGCAGGCATACGGTCACCGGGCACATCGCCGCTGAAACGATCGCCTTACTATTCGCCCAACGCTCCCCCGAACAAACCCCAGCCCAAGGTTCAAAAGGAATACCCGTTAGTTCTTTTGCACTGCAATCTGCTTGCACCGTCCCTTCCAGTCCCCGGTGCAGCGCTACCGCAGAACCAGAAACTCGTCGAGGAAACACTACCGCCGGAGTATTGGAAGCGATGGAGACGGTTGCAGGACAAGGTTGGATCTGGTGTACTACGCGATCGAGGAGTATTGATCTCCCACCCGGAGGATCTCTACGACATATTGGAAGAGCGGCTGCTAGAGAGTCTCGAATTACAACGCTCACGACTGCAGCAGGGCCACTTTGTTGGCCACGAAGAAAGCGGGCCCGGGTCTGAGGGTGAACTCTCTGATCAAGGAGAGAGCGAGACGGACGGCGAGCAAGATGAAGAATGCCCAGATTGTGGTGGGCGTGTCCGGCACGGTGATAGTAACCGGAAGTGGGAAATCAAAGTTTTTGCGGCGAACGGACTGATGCGCGCTGGGGCTTGGGCTGCTGCTTGGAAGGAAATGGAGAAAGTCGACGTTGAAGTTGGACTCTGGTTGCCATCTGATATACGGCGAGATCTGGAGAAAAGGCTTGCAGAAGAACACGCAGCCACCTCTGCCGAGGAACTGCTCGGCTCGCCGCTCATTCACCAGGCTACGCAGTTTGCTATGGATCCACGCCGGACGTCCATCCATACACATTCGAGGGCTGTCAGCGATGCAGTGTCCTTCCGGGCTAGTGTACCACCCTCGGTGGCTCCTTCAGCAAACCCAACAAATCCCGAAATGAACTTCTCGCAGGCTGGAAGAGAGAAACAACACGAAGTTGCCCTTCAGACCCTGTTGGTCAATTACATCCGTGTGCTTGCTAGTGACAGACGCAATGTCGCACTGGCTTTCATGAGTATATTGGTCATGTTCCTTGCTATTGGTTCATACCCTCAGCAGCTACCACTTCAGCCCTTTATGCACTCGCTTCCTCGTGAGATGGCAGAGTCTCCTGTGATCCTGACGGTGACTGACGCACCCTTTCTGTCCACTGCCACATCAAGTGCGTTGATGTTCGAGACCATTGGATTTCCTTTCGCCGCCTCCTCGATTATGGCAGCTGAGTCGGCTGTCTCAAGTTCGACTGAAGAACCTGCTTCAACATCAATCCTTGGAGAGCCTGAGGCACAACCGATTGAGCCCACCGAGTCCACCGAGCCTCTCGAGTCTGCTGCTCATGAGTCTGCTGAGACTGCCGAGCCTGAGACACAGACAACCGAGGCAGAAGCAACAATTCAATCTGTGCCCGAGCCAGATGCGACACTCATTTTTACAAACGAGGAGCTTGGTCCTGAAGTACCTCCGGTCATGGACGAAACTGAAGCTGAGCCAGTGAATGAATCCGTCGAAGACGAGCCGGAGCATATTCTGAATGTGAGAAGATAGACGAACACTTCTCAACACATCCCTTACGACTGGAACGACATGAGCTGAAATGTTTGAAATACTGTTGTTTTTCTTGTTTTTCTTTTCGCTTCTGCCATATATCTACCATCTGGGCGTACTTTCGATGTTATCCAGCCAGTTAGTCTCGTTTGATGTCAATTGATGATTATTTATCCTTGTCAACTGTATTATGTAATGAGTGATTACTCTCCGTTGGGACTTTTTTCGAGCATGATAGGTAGAAATCAGAAATTCCTCAATGTATTTTTGGGTTGAGATCCCTATACACAACTCAAGATAGAGTCCGTCGGCTTGCAAGGAGCATCTCCAAATGAGAAATAATAGGGTGGAGACTCGGAGATGGAAGAAAGGGAGTATCGTCGGAGAGATGAGCCGCGTAGGGAGACGACTCGTGAGACGATTCGTGAGACGACTCGCGAGACGACCCACAGTAAAGCGCAGATGCCGATCAGCGGTGAGAACTACTAATATCAGACTAGTAATCAAAGGCCAACCAACCAGCGGTTCCGCGGTATCCACTGGGCTGCTGGGGTGTGGGCAAGTGGGGGCTTAGTTTATTATGGAGGGAGGGGCTTGGACGGTCGCGTTCAACTTTTACCAACCCAAAATACCCTTGGCCGCAGATAATGAATGAGAGTACTGAATGACCTTCGCATTTCAATTGGCCAAAACGAATGGAGGAACGCCCCCGAACGATGCAAGGACCCAGAGCTCCAGAGATCGCCTAGCGTTTCTCCGTCCATCTTGTTTGAGCAACCGGGGTTATTATAGGTGTGCGAGGGTATCCTCAAGTATCTTCAAGTCTCGTCCGTGTAAACCCGATATAAAAACCCAAGATGGCCGCTTGTCAAGTGCACAACTTCACCACCATCTCAAGTTTTCTTCCGTATCATTGTTCTTGGTATACATTTAAAGCCCTGATTTTGCCTTTCAACATTGTTCTTTCGACATGGCACCTCCCTCCCATCAAATAAACAGGAGTATCCAGAGCTCCCAGGCTAAGCATTGCAGCATCCATCACCATGTCGCTGGCTGCTCGGGATACCTCCAGATGCAAGACGGTCAAGGGCCTTCCGCTTCGCGTACTTCGGAGCAGATTCAACAACCCACATTCCCTGTTCATCCTGCTTGCACCGAGCCCCTCCCAGGGGAGATTAACCCTATGGACACCGTTCCCCCTGCCTGCGTTCAATACCACTCGACTGGTATGCCTATCGGGATTCACAGGGACCTGGTACAATGCAATGGATGGACAGACTATCAGGGCTTTTCATCAACCGACCTTTACTCCTATTCCCCTACGGTGGGGGTTTCCATAGAGGAATCTGCTATCAATTATGCAAACGCTGAATATATCGCTACCGAAGTCGCAACTGCCTACAGGGGCCATCATAAAGCTATTGACAGGTAAGGTCTTGGTCTCTAGACTCACTATGACTTATCTAACTATCGTAGGGGTAACTACTCTGGTCCCCTATCCTGCGGATGGAAGGGATGTACCTATGCCGACCCGTTCGCTAGTCTGTCCTGTCTATGGAGGCATATACAATCCATGCATATTTCTCCGGAAGAATATATGTGCCCTCACTGTTTCCGGACCTACGGCCTTAGTCGAGAGGAAAAGTACAAATTACATTTGCGCGGGGTTCACTCCGACCACAGTGCATGGAAAAGATAACATTCTCTCTCTTCTTCTCTCTTGTCTTCTCTCCCCTACGAAAGAACCTTTGTTAGAATCCGGAGATATTTTGCAGTGGTCATCTTATGGGAGGGTTCAGATAAAGGATGTATAGAGAGTGACGTGGGACTTGCCACTTGCCCCAGGGGGTGCATCTGTTCGCTTAGGATTTATATTCGAATAAATATCACGCATGTAGCTAAAGAATATCGCCAAAATTCAGTCTCTGTTGTAAATGATACAGAGTGTTCATATGTGGCCAGTTGCCATATCAAAAAACGAGAAAAGAAACAAATCAATTTGAGTGTTGAGGTCCACGGCGGCACCTACGATAGGAATCCTCACCCGCCTAAGAAAACCGGAGTACATAGAGCTACCTAGGTACTCAATTTTCCAAACCTATGAAAAGCAATATTCCTCAAAATCCAGACCTATCCCCTTGATAATTAGGGGGAATGGTAGGCCAGACATCAACCCCGTCCAAAAGCGCCAATGCCATCCCCCCACTTTGATGCACTTGAATATGGCAATGCATCAAAAATGCCCCAGGATTCACAACATGGTACCGAATAACCGACCACGCTGGCCCCCTCACAGCTGCAGGCGTCGACGTTGTATCTTTGTACGGCGGATTAACCAAATTGAATGAGCCCGGTATAGCTTGCATTGCCTCTGCGACGGAGGGCCAGGTGAACGTGCCGTTCCCCTGTCCGATGAGGAAATGTTTATTTGAGTGTTTGTGGATTGGATGAGAGGGTTGGATGGGTGCGTTGACTTGTATCACGAGATCGACCCAGGTATTATTTTTCGTGCGGATGACGAGATCGCTGGGTATGGCGTTCTGGTTGAATAGCAAGGGTTGCGACTCTTCGAGTTCTAGGCCGAAACTACTGTTTCCTAGTGTCCAGCGGTAGGATGCATTATAGTGGCCGATGGTTAGGAAGTAGGTAGCGTCGGCGGTCGCGCCGGGTGTGACCACTGGGAAGGGTATGACGGATGTGTCGTTGAGGAAGATTGTGTTGGCAGTAGCGTTGCCGCCAGTCAAGGTGATCCACGGGTTTGATGCACGTTTGAGCTGGGGCGTGGCGTTGTAGCGGAGGATTGCGGTTGTATTTAGGATCTGTTGTGCGCTGCCGCTGACCATGCGGATTGTGTAATCTCCGGCAGGTTTGTTCAGGGGGACGAGAACCGAGTAGCGGTTTGAATTGGGGATGTTAATGGCGTTGATTCGTACGGGCTGCACGTAGCGGCCATCGATGGCGTATACCCACATGTCATGCTCGTCGACCGAGAATGTCAGGTGTAGAAGGCCGGCGGCGCTGATCAGATCCCAGCTCACGTATTGTGCTGACGAGTTGATCGTGAAGAGTTCCTGGGGGCCGCGAGAAGGGGTGCAGCCAGAAAACATGGTCGGTGGCAGGGCGCTATAGTTATGGGGGAAGTTGCCTTGAGCCGCAGTGAGATTTGCTGGGAAGCATCTGGGATCTGGTCAGTATGCTATTTTCAGCAATTAATGGATGAAGGTGCTATTCTCACGCGATATCAGTGAGTGTTTCATTCCCCAGGACTGCTTTTTGATTTGGCGTTGTCAAGCTATTAATCTGAGCTCGCGAGAAACAAGTTACAGACCCCTTCCCGTTTATCAAAAGTGCATTGGCACAGTAAGAATCAACGCCTGAAGCTTCCTCGGCAACCCATATTTGCTCTGAGGTCAAAAGTCGCCACTCCGAGAGGACGACTGGCGAAGTATTCTGCTCTGCAGTACGGATGGCCTGAAGCTGTGCCGTATTGCTCGTAATGAAACCGAATGGCTTTGCTTCAAAGCTCGAGGGTGAAATATAGATAGGACCGTACAGTCCATCTTCCAGCTGTCCGCGGTGGTGAGCGTGATAGAAGTATGAGCCATACTGGTCAGCCGTCCAGCGGTAAAGAAATGAGCGGCCTTCTTGAATTGGTACTTGTGAGACGCCTGGGACTCCATCAGACCAAGGGGTTCTAAATTGCTCAATTCCTAGAGAGCCATACTTTAGCAGCGAACTTTTTCCCAGTTTGTATAAAGCGCTCACCATGAAAGTGAACCGTCACATTAAACGGGCATCGATTTATCACTTTGAAATTAACATTATCCCCTTGGTTTAACCACAATGTAGGTCCAGGGTATTGACCATTGGTAAGAATAATCGGTCTGGAAACCCCTGCGATGGTTCTGTTGGCCCAAGTCAAGACGGCAGTGACTTGGACATTGCCAGCGTGCACCCACTGAGAGAAACACAATACCAGCAGCGACCAGCCACCGAGAGAAAGCGTCATGATGACAAGATCAAATTCAATTGAAATATAGTTGAAATGCTCTGTTGCACGACCTCGCCATGGAATCTTCTATCTCTTATATACAAGCCCGTCGACCGAACGTGGTCTGTGCATGAATCTGGATTCCAACCGGAAACATCATCTGCGTCTTAATTTCTTAGCTTAGCAGAGTTGGCATATAGCAGTGATTCTGCTTGCGATATTGCCCACAATCAGGAAGAATAGAAACTGCTTCCGAAGTTGTCGCGCGGGCACCATGGGTTCTCGCAGAACCTCGCATACAGGACGGAGGGGCTAACCAATTCATCCGACAAAGAGTAAACTTCAATATAGGATGCCAGGATTTTGGATCTTGATATGTAAGAAGCCAATCGGATCAAAGGGTGTTTTCGTGGCGTCAGCACGGGACCTCGCTTTTCCTCGCGGAGATCTCAATCTGGATAAAGAGCAACCGAGCAACCCATCACGAAAGAAGGGGCCAAGATCACGGGCGAAAGTGAGGCCGATGGGCAATTTGCTGGCTTTGACAGGCTCTGTCCTGCGCATTGATGGTGGCTGAGTCCTGCAGTCGGGGAAGCGAATCACTAGCAGACCTGTCGGAGTAGGTTCCCTCGGATGGCGTAAGTGGACGTACTGGAGGCAATCAGACTTGAAGAATAAAGAGGTACCTGAACCATGGAGGTGCCTGAGCCAGGCAAGGTGTCTCGGCGTTCTGCGTGTCAGACAATTGCGAACCAAGATGCTGGGTTTGGGCCAAAGAAAATGGCGGTCTCGATCAGCATCGGGTGTGAGTCAACCAGTAACCGCGAAGACAAATTCGGTCCAACCGCCATTTCTTGAGCAACTGTCTCCACGTGTATTGGTAAATCAGGCACGCAATCCATAGGGCAGTTTTAAAAGGGAATACCAAAAGGCGCAAGAGGTGGAAGGCGTGTGGGAGGCCAATTCCAAATCCAACCACCCACCATGAGGATGAGGTGTGGCAGATCGAGGGGCAAAAGAGACAAATTTCAAATTAATTTCTAATGTCATGACTGGAATCCCGATTACCATGCTAATTATCCCAAATACCAAATGAAATCGTAAAGACATAAAACTTTTACCGGCCAAGTTGCGACCCGCATGCACCGCAAAAGTCATCGCAGAAATCAATATTTACCAGGACTGTCTTGGAATGCAGGCATACCACCCTGTGAAGTATCTGACGCAGGAGTGTGATTTCCTTGCGAAAATTTCATGGCAATTGGGCCCGAGCCAGGCACACCCATCATCGGCTGAGACTGTGACGGATCCAACCACGGCTGCTTCCCAGTGTTCTGAAATTCACCAGCTCCACCCAACGATACAGCTTCCATGTCGGGTGGAGTGAGTTCACTGTAGCTGTCGTTCAGTCGTTGCAGGAACGCTGGGTCAAATCCCATCTGCACCAGCGGATCAGCTGGCCCCTCTGCTGGAGCAGAAGAGGACGAAGCGTTGCCTGTGAGGCTGCTGCCCCAATCAGAGGCGAACGCCGGCATCCCAGTTGACATCATCCCTGTACTTCCAGCATAACTTCCTGAAAGACTGGCCTGTCCACTGGCTGCAGCAGAGGAGAAGCCTGTACCAGGAATGGCCGGGCTTCGTATACCAGGACTGGATACTGCGGGACTTGGAAGGGCACCTGGACATACCGCCCTCGCCAGTATGTTGGTTTCGCGGGGAGGGGCACGCAAGCCACCGTGAGCAGCAAAGGGGGGTTGCAGGCCAAGGTCCGCAAGCTGGATACTGTCATTTTGCACGGCGGTATCCATGCCGTTATCTCGCTTCAAGATACTCAGCCAGATAGGATGATCTGCACAGGTCTGGTTCCAGGGGTCATCACAGCCGTAGATGACTCGACGGGCCTCAGCCTGTATCATCTGGTCTGTCGGGGTGATTCCCTGTGTGGCTTGGCTTTGAATAAAAATACTAAGCTCACGGGAAAGGCGAAGATAGCAATTGGCGTCATTAGGGACGGGAAGCGACGGTGTGTTGTCATCCCCTTGGGCTTGGACGGTGGTCCAAGGATCGGGAGACCTCCACTCGTAGTCGATCATATAAGGCGGGATTGCATTCTCGACTCGATCTTGGATATGGGCGTCAAATCCCCAATCTCCTTGCCATTGAGACATGCTGGCCCCATTCTTGAAGTGACCGGCGAGGTGATCCACTCGGTCCTTCCAAGTGTGCAAGGCAGAGCCGCAGAACCCACAGCGAGAATTGATTTCTGTGATACTGCTTTGCCACTTATCCATGCAACGTTGGAACTTGGCATCGTGCATCAATCGAAGATGCTGGTTGAGATGGTCCTTCCGATAGAAAGTTCTCTCCTTGATGGACTTCTCTTGGCAGCTAATGTAGTTGTGGGTTTCCAGGTGACCCCTATCTGGGTCAGCTGCCGAGCAGAAGACGCAACGAAGTATACCATTCTCCTCGGTGACACCGCCATGAGGAGAACAAGTCCACGCGTCGAGGATGAGGTGCATGGATTTTTCATGGCGTTGCCAATCGTACTTGGCGGCGAAAGAGTCAGTACAGAAGGTACACTGGAATGGACGAACCGCCCGAGCCTTCTGTTGATTGAAAGAGTTGACAGGCACCGAGGCCTTGCGGCGACGACGACGTTCTTTGCGATCCATTGAGCCAAAAGACCCCAGGGAGGATCGATGAGAAAAGGCAGAAGCAAAAGAAAGGTCAGAGCGAGATGACCGACTGGTATCCAAACTACTGCCCGAGGCATCATATCTTTTATGTTCTGAGCTTGCGTGGCTTGACTCATTTGTACTGGAGCCCGGCCGGTGGCGCACGTGACCAGACGGGGTCAGCCGTTGACGCGAGGGATCGAATGGAGGATTGGCCAGCGAACGCTTAATATCGCTGATGGCGGCAGGTTCGTTCTCGGGAGGAGAGTACTTCCATCGCTCAATAGGAGTCATGAGAGACAGGTCTTTGGGTTGCGACCCGGGAATCTCAATCGCTTCCGACACGGGCGACTCAATGCCGCTAGCGGGACGAACTTTGCCGCGTCGTCGGGCGTTGGCGAGCCAGTTGGAAATTTGTGTCCTGTTCAAGCCTGTGCTTTGCTTCAACTGGTCCTTTTCCGTCTCGTTGGGATAGGGATTTTCGTTATGATCGCGGAGCCAGCCCTTGAGAATGTTGACGGCCCTGCGTGAGAATCGAGCGTTGCTCTTGCGAGAGCGCCCATCTGTATCGTCACCAAAGGTGCCGTAGGAGACCGACTTCAAAGCCCGCTTCCCAGTCAAGCTTCCCGTAGGGATGTATGCGTTCTCGGTCACAGGATGTAATGTCTGAAGAAATCTACCCGGGACTTTGGCATGAGTGAAACTGCATTCACGCCAGAGTGAAATACAACAGGTACACCCGTTGTTCATCACTCCTCGCTTTGCAACAAAACAGTCAAGGCCCATGTGCCGACAGAAATCACAGGGTTCCTGCGCACGGAACATGGGGTAGGGCCCGGTGTCTTGATCGAGGCCGACGAAGGTCTCCCCGATGTTCTGTTCGGCCGTTTCCGGAGCCAGCGGGTCATCGGGGAATTCTAACGGCTGATCTTGGAGCAGCGAGTTGAAATTGGCTGCCCGTTCCTCTGCTTCGTCGTTTTCAAAGTCAACCGATGCGACATCGTCACTTTGGTGATTGGACTCGTGAGCGGACGCAGCGCCTTCAAAGTCGAAATATTCCATAAGGTGCTGAAGGACACCCGTTAGATTCAAATGGAATCGGCACAGAGAAGTATTTCCACTCGTTCGGAAGAAACAAGTGAGAAGACAGTGGAAGGGTTTAAAGAAAGAGTCGGTCTAAGAGGCGGTCTCCCAGGTCCGGGGTAGAGGGACTGGGTGAATAATCGGTTCGGGGTGGAGCAAAGCAACCTTGGAACCTCCACTAGGTGCCGCTAAGATGTTGGTCTCGCCGGTAAATCGGGCCCTCTAGTGGCCTCGGATTCTTCCCAATGGCAGCTTACGGTGGCCCGTCGCCGATCAAGATAAGCAAAATCAGTCATTGCAGAATGTCATGTGTAGGCTCTAAAGACTCGTATCCGCATCATGGAGTCAATTCGGCGAAGCCGATCAAACAGAACGACGTCAGTGGGGACTGGGCGAACCACGGTGAATTGGGGTCCGGAGAACAGGGACGAGGCCCGCGGATGATCAGAAGACGTTGCACGCCCTTCGGATGTCAGCGCCAAGCCTATTCGGGACAAGAGCCGTCCGGGCGGGGCAGTCCGCCCTTTCCCGATCAGGAAGGAATGATTCACACTGCCCGCGATATCGGAGTATCGGCGTCTAGCTTTGATCTTGGAAACGTGTCAGGATTTTGGTGCATGCATTTGTCCAGAGCTTTACCTCTCACGTATCTCTCACTTCTCTCTCACTTCCGTATTGAATATGCCTTCTTTCTCTACCAAACCTACATAGCCTTGGCTACTAGGCCTACCCCTCACTTCATAACACCGTCGAGATTAGAGAAAAAAGGTCATCTTTCTATCTAAAAGTAGAGGTCATAACCCAGGTTGAACTAAAACAAGAGCTTTCGCTTCAATTTACCTCCTACTACCCTTTTTCTCTTATAAAGGGCAGACTAGGGAGATTGCTTTCTATATTATTTATCTTATGTCGCTTTAATACCTTAGCTATTACACTGTAGTAGTAGCTGATCTCCGGAGGATAGTTGGATTAAATATCTGCTGTATAGGAACCTAGGCCATTTATTTTTCTCTATCTCACCTACTATACCCCCGACAAAACATCGATACAATCATCGTACCTCTTCATTCTCTGCTTCTTGACTTTAAGAAAATCCCCAACCATAAAACCCCGAAACTTTAGAAACCCTGTGCCTCCCAGATCCGGCTCGTAATATCTTTCAGCTCATTATCTGCCAACTGGATGTTCCTCTCCGCTGGGCATGATATTGGCCGTTGAAATAAGAGGTCGAATGGAATGGTCATCGGAGATCCAGAGAGTGTAATATGGTCGCCTGAATTCTTAGAGACCGTGATATGTTGAGTCCGATGAGACCGCTGGTTCACCCGCTCTAACGTATCGAAAGTGACCATAGGGGTGTTTCTGCTGACCTTAAGCGTCAATGCCATGTTGGCATTTCCTTCGTTTGGGTTTAGCCAGAAATCTACATCTCGCTTCAGCTTTTCTTGGGTCTCCGAGATAGCAACCTCTAGAGCGACAGAGAGCCTTCCGGCAAAAGGTGGTGGCCTTCTAGGACCCCATCCGTAGTCTGCTTCCTTGCCCCTACTATCAGCTTTGGTTGATGGTCCCACGAAGGTTTGGATGACTTCACCGAGTCCCATCGAATGCACCTGGAGCGTTATTGCGTTACTGAGGGCGACGGTGGCTGCACCATGCTCTGGGGTGCTCATTTTGACCAAGAGTAGGCCCTTGCTTGTGTCAAAATAAGACATACCACGTTGAAAATAACAGGTCTCGGGATCAAAAAAATCGTGTTCGAGGTCGATGGGGTCGATACAGAAGAGGATGTACTCGGGTTACTCTTCTGGTGTGAAATTTTCTTCACTCGAAGCTTGAAGATTGCGGGTTGAACGTTGGAGATGGTCAGGTTGAGGGGAGCGATGAGGATGGTCAGGTTGGAATGACCGTTGTTGGCGGCCGAATTCAAGTTCGAAGATCCGACAGAAATGATGCCTCCCCTGATAGTGGTACCTCCTGATCGATGGAGGTAAACCCTCCAAGTAGCCATCTTCAGCATGTCGAGCAAGGCAATAATCGGATTCAGTCATTTCTTATGAAACATTCGTTGACAACGTATCGAGAATATAGTAGTGATTAATAGTGTCGAACAGGGATTCATTCTGCCGACCATGAGAGGAATAAATTGGTTGTAGAGATCAAGAGAAGCTTATAAGCGTTGGGAAGAATTCAATAATCATCATTATGAGCGCATTGGGAAGTCACCTACGAAGGAACATATATACCAAAACTTTGGAAAATTTCCCTCCTCATCCAATGGATCCAGGAGTATTGGGATGGCATGCGCGACCCGCTTGGGAATTACGTTAAGTATCACGAAGTTATGTTGTTCGCAATTGAACTAGGGTGTTGATTCTCATTGGGGTCAATTGTGCTGAGAACGTCATGGCCTCCTTGCGGGGGATATAGACGGCCCGCCTGCGTCTTCTATTTTTGTCTTACCCCACGTCTTCGTACTCCAGCTTTCTTTTGCGTCGCCATGTCTTGCATGATTTCGTTGAACTTGCTGGATTCCGCAACAGAAATGGAGAAACCGGCACACCCCTTACATGAAGCTTGGTTGTTTCTCTGGCTGGAATGATCCGTCTACATGTGCGGGCTATTCGTATGCGGAAGGAGCTGACCCCAGAGTTTACTGCAAGTGGTATGAAAGTTGAAGCGGAAGGTTGTCGTAGCGATTGAAGGACTTTTTGTTCATGTATTGGCCTGGGCAGCAAGATTATCGCGAGTCGGTCCATTGCTACTTTGCCGCTCATAATTCGTAAACCCTAATAGCTCAGCTGGAATGAAGTGGTAGGATTCAAGCGGTTATCCGGATCAGTGGATAGGAGGGTGGTAATTGATCAAGAATTTACTGCAACGCACGCATGTGAGGTTGACTGCAGCTTGCTTTGATACACTTTATGCCGACAGGGGGCTGAAACAGAAAGAGCCCTAAAGTGAATTACAAAAGCAGGATAGGAGGAGCCTGTAGACAAGATTAGGAAAAGCTGAAGAAACTAGAAGTCATCCTCAAGCAGTCAACTCGGTTATCCTGGGGCAGCTCGGAAACGCATGTCGAAAGTCGTTTCTTCTTCTCTTCGACTTCCACGTCAAGTACTTGATGACGATCGCAACGAGTTCCATCATGGTCTGCTGTGACTTCCTGCAGTTCTTGTTAGTCACTATGCAGACATTCTTCGGCGTAGATACAAGTGGTACATCCTCGTACATGGGACCTGTGTAAACTATAATTCTGCGTCGCTCCACCAGGAAAAACGCGATTCCTATGAGAACCTTGCAAAAGCAATACAAAATTTCCACTACACTCGATATAGATACAGCCAAGAGAGGGGTATTCATGAGAACTATCCTCCATAATCCTCCTCAACCCTTCTCTGGCACTGGGCGTGTGACTAGCCACCTCTCCTCCGATGTGATCAATCCTCGTTCCCGGCCTGCGCGAATCAGCATTTTTTGGTGGCCGTAGGATTTGAGTTCACTTCAGTTTAACATAGACGTGGGTAAGGCCCCAATCTACTAGACGTCTCTTCATTGCCGATGTCTCGGTATTGACCATGTCGGCGGTTGGGAGCATAGTTTTCTTTTCTGTAATTACTTACACATTGTGCCTGATATGTAAATAACCCATAAAGTTGAAGCAATAACTAGGTGGGCCTCTGCAGTTCCACTCGTCCGCCACCCCGCAATTTGTGACGATATCTGCAGGAAACAATGACCCACTGTTGATCATAATGGCTGGGGTTCTGTGGAGCCCGGCGGGGAGCACATGTATCCCGAACCCCTAAGCTTACCACTTTTCGATGTTGAGAATGCGATTGAGCTGAACTGCCTCGGCATGAATAAATTATGATTTACGCTATTGGGGTAATTATTAGACTGAGTTAGGCCACCTCCCTAGTCTGGCTTAGGGCGGACATCCCCAGCCAATATTAATGGCTTCCACGCCACTTCAGAGACGGGCCAGAAACGCCCCCCACAGACCCTTGAGGGGTTCGCACTAGTATCGTTACCTGTAGCTTTCGATAGGCCCTGCGAAGCCCAGAACAAGAACTGCACCGACGATCGTTCACTAATTGCCGGGCACGTCCCCATATTCACCACGTTGGTAACATGTTGTCTAGTCGTCGGAGACTGATTGTCTGTGGGGAAATTGCTTTCTTTAAGACACTTATATAGCCTGCACAGGGTGTAACTATATAACTACTATGCTTCGCCCACCTGCAACATTGACAATTGGTTCGTTCGCTTGTTCTTAGTCTCATCGAACCATGCTGCTTCCTTCTCTCGTTGTCGGGCTCCTAGCAGCCTCGGCCTCGCTCGTCAAAGCAGTCGAACTCACGGGCTACGAGTATGTCGTCGTCGGCTCAGGGGCCGGCGGCGGTCCTGTCGCCGCTCGTCTGGCCATGGCTGGCCACAAGACACTTCTGATTGAAGCCGGCGACGACCAAGGCCAAAACGTGAACTACAGCGTCCCTGCGTACTCGGCCAAAGCTTCCGAGGACCCGGCGTTGTCGTGGAACTTTTTCGTTCATCACTATGCCGACGACGAGCGCCAGGCACTCGATTATAAGACGACCTATGAAACTCCTGATGGAACTGAGTATACGGGTCTTAACCCACCTCCAGGCTCGACACTGAAGGGGACGCTGTATCCGCGAACGGGTGCATTGGGTGGCTGCACTGCGCACAATGCCCTCGTTGCCATCTACCCGTTCGAATCGGATTTTGAATACGTCGCTTCCCTCACGGGCGATGGATCCTGGGCCCCCGATAACATGCGCAAGTACTTTGTCAACGCAGAGCGGAACCGCTATCTTGCTCTGAGCCCGGGACATGGCTATAACGGCTGGCTGCAGACCGAAGAAGCGCCGCTCTCCCTCGTGCTCGAGGATACGCAGCTGCTCAGCATGATCACTGGCGGCCTCTGGGCGCTGGGTAATTGGACCCGGGGTGTCTTTAATCTGGCTACCCTGGCTGCGGGCGATGCTAACGCCGACTCGCTGGCCCGCGACCAGAACCCGGGATACTATCAGATCCCTATCTCGACCAAGGACAGTGTGCGTGTCGGGTCGAGGGACTTTGTCGTTGATGTGCGTGATGCGAAAAATGCAGATGGTAGCAAGAAATACCCGCTTGATGTGCGTACAAACTGTTTTGCAACCAAGATTCTCTTTGACAACTCTACGAGCCCGCCCCGTGCAACGGGCGTCGAGTTCCTCGATGGACAGTACCTGTTCAAGGCTAGCCCCCGATCTGGAAAGACGAGTGGTATCCCAGGCAGCGTGACCGCATCCCGCGAAGTGATTGCTGCCGGCGGCGTATACAACTCTCCGCTGTTGCTAAAGCACAGCGGTGTTGGTCCCAGAGCGGAACTCGAGGAATTTGGCATACCTGTCGTGGCAGATCTTCCCGGCGTTGGCTCAAACCTACAAGACCACTACGAAATCTCTGTGATAGTCACTGTCCCGAAAAACTTCACTCTGCTTGATGGCTGTACCTTCAGTTCCCATGAGAGCACAGATGCATGTCTGAGGCGCTGGGAGAACCCCATTCTTGGAAACCGAGGCACGTACGCCTCGGATGGCTTTGCATCCACCATGTTCTTCAAGAGCTCCACGACGCCAGACGACAACTGGGATGTCTTTGTCTTCGGAGGACCTGTCGGTTTCCGTGGATACTACCCCGACTACAGTGTCAATATCACCGCAGCCCACGATGTCTGGAGCTGGGCTATCTTAAAAGCTCACCCGCGCAATACAGCCGGGACGGTCTCTCTGCTCTCGGCGGATCCCCTTGATGTCCCACAAATTGTTTTCAACTACTTCGATACTGGCAGTGGTGATTATAGCGCTGACCTCGAGGCTCTTTACGAGGCGGTCAACCTCGCTCGGGAGGCCAATGCACGCCAACTGCTTCAAGTTGAAGAGATCCTGCCTGGCGCGGGTACCAAATCTGAGGAGGATATCAAAAACTACGCCAAGAACACGGCCTGGGGTCACCACGCCTCGTGCACATGTCCAATCGGTGCTGACGGTGACCCGATGGCCGTTCTGGACTCGAAGTTCCAGGTTCGTGGTGTGAAGGGTCTGCGTGTAGTTGATGCTTCCGTCTACCCTCGTATCCCGGGAACTTTCACGGCTGTTTCGACTTATATGGTTGGCGAGAAGGCTGCTGATATTATTCTAGAGCAATTTGGGCAGACTTCGCTCACTGATCAAAGCCTGGATAGCTTGGGTGGTCTTCTCTAGATCTTTTGAAGCATGTATCCTTAATGAATTGTCAAGTTCCTCTTCAATGGATGAGATTTTTTGAGATTTTTTGCTACCTGAACGTATAATGATTGTTATCCCTTGGTATATAAGAAATTTGTTTGTCAATATATTATGAGAAATATTGACAGCCAAAACATACATAAGTACCTAAGAGGATGTTAGCTCGTCCACGCCCCATTTCCATGCTGGGCTTGGCCATCCTCTTAATTCCAAGGTTACTTCAGTCTTCTCGGTCTCGGCGATCAATCTAGCACCGTTGGAGCCGTGTTCTTGGCATAGTTCTTGATATCCTCAGATTTGAATCCAAGCTCACATCTCCAGAGACGATATTTTCATATAGACCGCTACATAGCAAGGCTTTTAGCAGCTAGATATATGACCGTGTTAGAGTGGGAAACTCACCTCGTGCGATCATCGCGAATGTGTCACAGTTCTTCCATCTCGCAGGGTTATGGTTGTCGGCAAGCTTTTTAAAATCGGCATACCTGTATTGGTCAGACAAACCCTTGGTAATTTGGCCCAGAACTGATGGTTCAGAGTAAGTAATGAACTCGAAAAGGTGATAGCTTCTGACAATTCTTACATTGTTGCTGGTTACCAGTATGATTGAGCTCATGTACAAACACGGAGCTAATAGCAAACCCGATGATCTTTTCCGATCTGTTAGCCAAAAAAAAAAGAAGAAAGAAAGAAAGAGACTTTTCGCTTTCCTTAGCCAGGCTTTGGCCACCGCCGTCCTTGCCCATTCGGTATCGAACCACAGCGATAATATCGATGGTCGTGACCATATGTTGGGAAGCCCCAAGATACAGGTCGCCGCGATCAATAGGTGAAACTGCGACTAGAATAGTTCTTACAGGGTGGATATACGGTGGTTTAACGTGTCCTTCAGGGTTCCCCTCCCGTACATTTGCCTAGCTGCAGCAACCCTGCATTAGCTCATGGGGCTGAACATGTGAAATGATTTCGAACGCCATCCTGTCATTCCCTGGGAAATGACCTTATCCTACTCTTAGATAATGTACCACAATTTCTGACAACCCAGTGGCATTCGTCAATTTTGTTTTCCCTAAGCTGCGCATACTTCCAGTGGTGGTACCTTGATACAACCCATGCCCCCGCTTTCTTATTTAATCACGGCAGCGTCGCTTTTCCTACTTAACTCCGTCAAGTCCATCATCTTCCCCTCCTCTCCCACTTCTTTCAACAACCCTCACCATGGCCGACTCACAATTTGAGGTGAAAGTGATTCCAACCAAAGAGGAGTATGCTCGTCTGGTCGAAGTCCTATGGGCTGCCAATTTCAATCCTTACAAGTGAGTTTCTGGTTTATCTTATATTTGAATGTCAAATTGCCCTGTCTTGATCCATTTCATCGGACCTGATCAATGGCGTTTCAACAACTCCCAGCCCCATCTTTACCGCCGTCCACCCAATCAGTGGCCACACCCCCGAAGACCGCGCTCGCGACAAAGCCCTTGACACCGAAGTCCGCTGGAACGCCAGCCAAAAGAGCCCATTCTCCCATTTAATCTACGTCATCGACAAAGCAACAGGCGAAGTAGCCGGTGGCTGTGAATGGTTCATTTTTCGCGAAAACCCGTTCCCCAACGGGCCGCAACCCATAAAATGCACCTGGTACCCGGAAGGCACGGAGCGTGCCGAGTACGCAGAGCGCATGCTCTCACAGGCCTTTTTTCCACGGCAGTGTTGGTTTCAGCGCCCGCATGCGGGTGTCAATGCAATGGGTGTTCACCCGAATTATCGCCGTCGTGGGGTCGGACGACTTCTCATGGAGTGGGGTCATGAGAGGATCGATCCCCTTGGCTATGAGAGCTTTATCGAAGGCAGTCCGATTGGACGCTGGCTGTATGAGGAATACGGGTATCGAAGAGTCATGGGGCTTCATATTGATTTTGATGAGCCAAATCCGAGTGATGAGTGGTCCAGGCTAGTGCATGAGTGTAAGCCGCCGGGAATTTTGCTGCTTTGGAGGCCGCCGCGAGGGGAATGGACGGAGAAGGTGCCCCCCGGTCCATGGGCTGTTACTGATCTGACCTTCAAGTAGACACGTCTTTGTTCTTGACGTTGATAGATGACATATTAGATTTCAACTTTCAGTGATAGGAACTTATTGAGATTCCTCCCTGCGGGCCAAGACAAATGGCATGTCCATAGGCAACGTCGCTATTCATATGCAGATTTGTGCACTGGTTGCTGAGCCATGAGTTGTACTTCTTCAGAGTGGGGCCATTCTGATATCCGACCTTCTGGGACTGCTCGATAGAAAGACAGGTATCGTTTGATTGGATCATGTAGATATTGTCGCACGTAAACGGGATACAGAGCTTCGTGCCTGCAGGAATATCGCTGCAACGTCTTAAGTTAACGTTCCCCATGAACAGAGCAGCGGAGTCAACGTTGTGTGCCTGCGAGATCGAGTCGTAGGTGTTTCCTTCCACAGTAGTATAGGTCACATCCGAGGAACAGATGTCGGTTGATGGCTTATAGTGGTCGATGACCGGCTAAAGAGGATTAGGGATATCGGTAGGAACATTCAATCCGCACTTGAAGTTGATTTCTTTAGCTGCGATTCCCAGACCTCATCATAGTAGGAGTACGGGATAGACTGCATCTGTTTATAACTGTCGACTCTACACCATGAGCAAAGCTCATCAGTTGACTCGTCAAACGCTGTCTGCTTGTTCAGGATATCTATTGATAGAATGATCTTCCATTAGATAATGTTCGAAAGAACGAGGGTGCTGACCAATTTACCACCGCATTACTTCCAGTGGCAGGGTCCTTGACACAGGTCTGATTCCATGAAGCCCAGAGCCTGCCCCTTTGAGAGTAGAGGGGAGGTTGGTCTGATTGACATTGGCACAATTCTCGGTGACATATAGAACCATGACTTGATGGATACCTCACATTCGGCGGAACAAACTTGCCCACTGATGATCTGGAGTCCATATTGACTGGAATACTCGGGCTGAAAATACTCGTGATAGACTGGACGAGCTCACAGGCCATTTCGATGAAATATACATGGATGATCTTCATCTCGAAAAACTCGACGAATGGGCAGGAGGATGTCATTTACAGCCTACTCTGGACTAGGCATCATTGCTTCATATAGAACAATAACATTTCGATACCCCTCACGGACAAGTTTAACGATATTAGCTTGGAATTCAAATTCTTCCGAGTCTCTGGATTGGTCCATTGCGGCGTAACAGTATCGATCAAGCACCTCGATGCAGCCGCCCAGTCTTGATCAGATGTGTCTGTAAAGGTCGTGCGATAGATGATATAGCCCCACGGCCAACATCTAATCATTTCAGCCTGCGTTTAGAAAAATCTAAGAATCCAGTCGTTCTAACGATTGGACCATCCTGGCTTTATGTTGAATCGCTGCCTTCTCTCTTGCGAAGTCTCGCCCGATGTGGAAACTCGGATGATCACTATGGTTCCCCCCATGATTCGTCGTGGAAGACATTCAAATTTTCAGGCATTGTTATTCCAATGGTCACAAACCACAGAGGATTATGTAGGTTTGCGCTGCCTCGCTTAATATACTTTGGTCGGATGGGACTGTCTCAGTCATAAGTTGGCTACTTCACTGGCGTCTTGGCGAGCGAGTCACTAGCGACACTTGCCAAGCCTCTCCCTGGATTGCGACACAATCCACGAGACAAATTACCGGAACAGACCTGTATCATCACCCGTCCTAATGTACTCCCTATCCTAATGGTTTGGGATCTTGACGAAGACAGACGGTTCAAAGGCAAGCCGCGCAGTGTAGGGGTAATATGTACATGATGTAACTCCTATCCGTACCCTTCAGCCTACCTTCGGCGCTGCCCACATCGAGAAGCGGATACTACTCTTCTTCAACACTTCTATAATAGAAAGCCGAGGCTCTCTCTTTTGTCATCTTGTACACGAGCGTACCTGCAAATCCTTTTAGCGTGTTGAACAATGGGAGGATGGACAGAGAACTTACTCCAAGAGAAGTCGAAACATGTAAACTTCCATGTCGTCATTTCTGAGGGTACGGGCCGCCCAAGCTCGTCCCCCTTCGCCGATAGATTTTGCGATCTCTTGGCCTGTGGTATCTTGCTCGAAGAAACGGACCAACTCAGGAAGTTCATTGCCATCCTTGTTAATCGGCACATAGTGAACCCAAGGGAACAGCACGTTCTGATGCCATTCACGGAAGGAGGTCATCTTGAACGGAAGGCTCTTGCTACGCAACAAGGCGTAGAACCTACCGCTGTACGCATGGCCATCCATATCCAGCAGATACCGGTATTTCCATGCATTGCTCTGAGCCTCTGGTTCCACAATATCATCGAAGAACTTTCTTTCTTCTGCGCAGTCATCATCGCAATCGGCGATGTCTGTGAAATGGGCATTCCAGTATCCCGCCACCTGGGACCGATTCGTTTCCTGGACTTCCCAATTTGCATCACGTCTCAAGGTACACGTCGCATCAGTCTTTTGATGCAAAACATACTGCGGCGATTGTGGATGGGTCAAATTTCCAATTATACGCTGACGTTGCAGGTTGCGCCAGCTGCCATTTTGACTGTGCCCCCCGTTGGTTCTCCCCCGCCAGTAAACCTGGGGCGTCTTCTCTTCCCACGACACCGAGCTTTCTGGGTCAAAGCTCGACATATCTTCGTAATAATATGGTGACGGAACAGTGATGTCCTGGAATGAAGACAGACGGGACATGGAAAACATTGGGACGAGTTCATTTGTCAATTTGCAAGAATTTGGGCGTTGAAATACCCCTAGGCGATGTCGTAGTGACGGGCTGTTGCAAATGTCACTGGCAGCGGATTGGTTGAATACGAAACCCAGAGGCTCTATCGCATAAGCAGCTGTGTTGTCCGGTGCGTTGCCATCCAGCGCCATAGCAGGTGTATCTGGTGGGCATGAAAGTCGCGAGTAAAGCCATGTCTCTTGGAACTCGATGCTGTTCCATCGGCTTGTAGAAACAGGCACTGGTGGCACTGGGTCATCGTCATCCCCCGGTGAAAATAGGTTTGACACGGCTGAGTGGGCATTCAGCCGAGATTGAGCCGCACGACCTTCAAGGACAAATCTATGCAACTGCTCGTGTGCAACTACCACTCGCGGCTCATCATGAGCGTTAAATTGCAAGTTCAAGTCCGGTAACCATTGAGAAAACTTGTCAAGAATCTTGACCGTCGCATCTCTCTGAAATTCTCCCTGGCCCTTGCCGAAATCAAGAACCCTACCGTTGCGGATGGCGATTCCCATGACATAAGTGTCGTCTGTCCGGCCAAGATCCTCTCTCACCCGAGAGCGCAATACGCTAGGCGTAAGCCCCCAGAAAGGCAGCAGGGTATTGTATATCGTATCAAACTCGTCAATTAAAACGGTTTTGCGCGACGTTGCAAAGCGATACCATTCATCAAAATGGGGAGGCGGGGGCATCTTATACCGTCGTTGGTATTCTGTCACTGCCTCGGCCAAAGATTTTGATTGGTGTTGCAGGGTCTTGTTGAAGACCTTCGTAGCATCAGAAACAAGCTGGGCTACGGGATGGTGGCAAGCGCGTTCTTCGAGCGTATCGAGAGGTCGATTCAAAGTCCAAGGGAGTGAAATACCCGCAACGAGATACCAGAACACCAAAAGGACCGCAGTTGTCAGCCCGGCAATGGTCAACTTCCCCTTAGTAGACTGAGAATAGGTCTTAGACCTCCGCCGGGCCCCTTCTAAAAGTTCATATCGATGCTCCCTCCATATTCCTGCACCGATAGCTCGAAGTATTGTTACTGCGCCGGCGTGCAGTGACTGTAACGGAGGAAGAAGCGAAGACTTAAGAAAATGAGAAGCTGACTGCATCTCAAGCGGCGTGATACTATAATCGGAAGATAATTTTGAAGGTGGGCGACATGTCCTTGATGACAGATGCGTCAAGATAGAAAGCGACTGGACATCAAACAAAACTGGAGAAATCACGACCGCGAACGCGACCCAGAGGCTTAGGCCAGGTGGAACCTAGCAAAAGGGTCGATGCTCGGAGCCTCACCGCCCCGTTGACATGTGTCTCCACCAAGGAGAGTGTGTCCGCCGTGATGGGGTCGGGATTCTCCCGCACATGTTCATATCATGTAGCTTCCGTTACTTCTCTTTTGTGTACCATACTTCATTTTACAATCCAATATGAAAATTACCATGTAGTATTAACGGGAATACAAACTGAAGAAGAAACTAAGTCTAGGGGTGCTCGTGCAGCTAAAAATATGAGGTCGCGGCTAGTCCCGTTTGGGTTTGTCCAGTTCGGGTTAGTCCGTCTCCCTCCAAGGCCATGTGTCGGTGCCATCGATGCCATGCGTCACACGTGCTATATTTTTAGCAAATTTGTAGAGATGTAAACTATCGGTGCACGTGACATCAAGAATAATTAGAAAGGATAATGCATGGTTTAAATCGTGCTGGAATTAGAAAGATAAAAAGCTGGTATTCTTTCTAGTGAAAAGTGCCAGGGCTCTATTCGTCCTCGTCAAAACTTCGTCATTGACATATGGAGCTGCTTTGAACACATCAAAGATGCCTGCCTCATCCGTAAATTTCTCTGGGCGTCCAAAATAGGTCGGATAGGCAGTGTCTCGTGGTGACCATATCAGAGAGCCATGGAACTCATCAGCTGCACGATGATCAATTCTGAAGTCGTTCCAGGTGTTGGCCTTTGGGAGGAGAGGTTCCCATCCGTCAAATTTGAAAGTAGGCTCTTCCAAACTAACTTCTGGGTAGTAGAAGCTCATAAGTAGAGTCCCGTCTCGATTCAACAAGGTAGTATAGAGGAGGAGCATCCTCTTCTGTACTAAATTCGCGCAAGGCCTTAGGTATGAACTAATAAACAAAGTAAGTTAAGCATCGTTTTGTCACCACTAATATAGGATGACGGTTTATTTATCCAAGTCCGATAGACTGCCACCACAGTGTCACTGATCAATCACATTGACTTACAGGCTTGGCCTCCTCCGCAACACAAAATAGCAAGGTGCGTGTCATGATAAGGAATTGGTATTATATATTTAATGGTTCCTTCGGGCGAGACAAGTAAGAGTGAGAGCGGGCAAAATAGGAAACTTTATATTACAAATCCAGTGGGGGCAGCTACGGGCTCCCGCCGTAGACCCGGTAGAGCTGAATACAAGAGAAATAATGACCCTATTCAGTGGGTGAGAAGTATCTAAAGGTAGGGACCTATAACCAGATATAGGAGTTATAATATTCCAAAGAAAAGGAAATATAGTAGCTTTATTTGTTAATAATTTTAAAAACCCCCGCTTCCTTTCCCGGTATGGGCAGTACAACAAAAGCTTCACCGTCTTAGTCTCCAGGCATTCGGGAAAACGAATATCCAATGGAAGGATCGCTGGCGGGCCTGACTCAGCTAGCTTGACTCAGCCTCGGCGCAATCGTTCTCGGTCGGGATTCCAGGGGCACGACCAGCATGTCCAAGTCTACTCTTTGGCAGTAAGAGCACTCGGGTTCTAGCTTCCCGAGGAAACATGACACGACGCCTTATCAAGGAAGAAATCACGTATTCCCTTGCCAAAGAACGAGAGGTGAACATCCTTCATCAACTGGGCTATTTTGACAAACAATGCCGTTTCTTTTCCTACCTGTATGACAGACGCGAATGGATGAAGGCTGTGGTTGTTCAGCACCTAGGTTTGAGCTCAATCGATACGTGTCATGTCCCAAAAATAGAAGACTGGCTCCGTGGCAGCTTTAATGTCTGCATTCCTATCACTGTCGTCGACTGGAAGACCCGGCAACAGCCTGGACGCCGAGTCATACTCCGATTTCCGCTTCCCTACCGCATTGGCGATGAGTTTAGACCCGGCAACGGGGACGAAAAGATTCGATGTGAAGCTGGTGCCTATGCGTGGCTACAACAAAATTGCCTAGATGTTCCAATTCCACAACTGTATGGATTAGCTTTGACAACGGGTGAAACGGTACGAGACCCGTGCTCGTCACTTGAAGAATTAATGCTAATTGATAGATTTTAGTATACGCGGATTGACAACCTCCCTTTTCTGAATCGTTGCTTTCAATTCTTACGTCGTCGGTTCCTACGACTCTTTCGCTTTCCGGTACCATCAAACTATATATGCTGCCAGACAGCGCCGCCTGCCGCCCATGTCAGCAGTGCCGGATACTTATTGATAGAGTGCATCGAGCGAACCCATGGAACGATGCTGTCTAACACTTGGTCTGAAAAACGGCACGATATCGAGTTGCGGAGCAATTTCTTTCGTGATGTTTCTCGGATTCTGTTGAGTCTCTGCAAATCACCTCTGCCTCACATCGGTTCATTTGTCATAGATGGCGAGGGTTTCTTGATTTTGGCCAATCGCCCGCTCTCCATGGAGCTCCAAGAACTGGAGAATGAGGGAGTCCCGACTAACATACCCCGCGACTATACCTACTCGACAGTTGAGTCATACGTGTCAGATATCTTGGGTGTTCATGACAACCGCCTGCGACACCAACCAAATGCTGTCAATAATACGCAAGATTGCGTTTATCAGATGTCAGCACTGGCGGCGATGCGGACAATAATTCCATTGTTTTTCTATTCCAACTTTCGCAGAGGTCCATTTTATTTCACGCTCACAGATCTCCACCAAAGCAATATCTTCGTCGATGACAAATGGCGTATCACTTGCTTGGTGGATCTTGAATGGGCCTGCTCCCGACCGATTCAAATGATAGAACTACCCTACTGGCTGACTGATAAAGCCATCGATGAAATCGACGCCGAAGAATATGACACAAGTCGGAAGGAATTGATTTCTGCCATGTGTGGTCATGAGATAGATCAATCCAGCAGTATTGCCCCAAAGGACCCCGGTCGAATGTCTTTGCAACTTTCGGAGGTCATGGAACAAACATGGGAAAGTGGGACGTTTTGGTATTCTTTGGCTCTCTCTAGCCCGACAGGTTTATTCCGACTGTTCTATGATCACATACAACCTTTGTTATCCAAGCATCGTTCCGATGAGATCGGTGAAACCATGCCGTTCTATTGGGAAAAGGACGTAGGGAAATTTGTGGTCACCAAGCTTTCTGATAAAATGAAATATGATAGAGAGCTCCAACAAGCTTTCGCAGCAAGCAGCTCTGGGGGTGAATAGTGACATTTGATATGACAATTGACAGATAGACTTTAATTCACCGACCACCCACTCCCCCCGGGTTACTGTTGCAAGATAATCCACTTGTATGCTTGGTAACCATTAGCTGGATCTGCTTTGAGTTCCACCTCCAGCCTCTTTCTTAAGATGGCTTTCAGTTGCTTCATCCACTGCTCTGGAAGCCTTCTGAGCCTGGTTGTCGTCTAACTTACAATATCCCTATCACATTGTACCGTGCGCCAATTCAACCCGCCGAACTCCCGTTTTCTGCTCATCCTCCCCCTTCCCCCTCTTTCTTTGTCTACTAGCCTTAGAAGACTTTGCTGCATAACCACGCTACAATAATTCAGAAGGTATGGGATGCTGGATACTTATCTCCCTCGCTTCCTACCTCTGCTAATACTATTCCAGGACCGGTCAATAAATCATGGATCCTACGAATGTAGCGGAAGATCTACGATTTCTGCGAAAGGCGCGAACTGAGGACCAGAAAATCATCGATGGATTGAAGAAACAAAACCAACACCTCGAGAAAACATTGGAAGAGTATAATGCGGCGTTATCGAGATGTCTAGAAGCTCTGAAACAGACTATAAAGTGATCTCGGGGACTGGTCAAATGTCGATACACTTCCTTTTCTTAGGTCTCCCAGCATCCTGTCCTTCGCAGGCGGGACACCATCCTTTAGTAGTAGAGAGATGGCTCGCGGACCCAAAGCTCCACTCTAATCCCTGCTATTCGGTGAACCACTATATACTGTTTAGAAAGGCACTGAGTCGATGTGGCTTGCCGCCGAACCGAAGGGATAGCGTGATAGTTTCTTTAATGTCTCTGACAATAAAACGGACTAGCCGAAGATACCGGCAGCAGAGGTAATAGATATCTTCCAAAGCTAAATTAAGACCTAGGTTGATAGTATCCCTGTAAAATTCCTTGGCTAGCGTTAAGGCGACCTGATGAAATGAGAGCCTTAGAAAGTAGCGAGGGTGGCGAAAAGTCGCGTAGAGGTAATGGCGAGTCACACAGAGAAAAGGGGGTGGCGGAGCTTAGGAGCTCGGTGATCTGGATCAATAGCAAAAATGCCTCACCTGCAGGGCGCAGGAAGAAGGAGGGCGAAAAAGAAAAGTTGGATGTTGGCTGGGGAGGGGGGAAACAGGGGAGTTATACATACAACCACGCATGGGGCACGCAAAAGGACCGAGGACGCTAAACCAGAAGGGTCATAACTAAACTAAAATAGGAGTTCACCATAGTCATCCGATATGGTGTAGTGGCTAACATCGCCGTCTCTCACACGGCAGCCGGGGGTTCGATTCCCCCTATCGGAGTTTCTTTTTCGCAATTTTTATCCATCGTTCTGGATTTGAATTGATGATCTGTGTGGACATCTATTTTTGAAGAAAGACCTACCCACCTACCTAATGAATAACTTACTACTTCCATTTTTACGGTTTTGGCAATTGATGTAGATAGGAGTAGAGTTTATTTAAGCATTCGTTCGCTTTGAGAATATACAAAAGTTAAGGCGAACTGACGGCAGCACGCTTGTCGCGATTTTTCTCCCGCCAAATCTCAACCTCACCACCACCTCGAATAACACCAACTCTCATAGAGGAAAGAAGATTATGTGCCGCATTAGAGTGTTGATAAATCCCGCCGTTGAAAAGTGCAGTGGCATCTTTTCCAATTCCCGAACTAATAAGGGCTTTACCACCGGGGTGCTCCTTGATGAAATCCGTCACATCATGGATTACACCGGCGATAGCAATAAGAGATTTGCCACCCTGACAATCGGCAACGAAGTTGTCCCAGGAAAAGACAGGTAGCTTCTCCAAGGAAACACCCCAGTCGAGTTGAGATCGCTTTTGGTCAACTCTTTTTTGCAGCTGCTGGACGCGGCCCTTTTCGATTTCGTTCACCCGGAACTGTTTGAGGTTGGAGGCAAGGCCGATGTGCTTCCATACCCAGATTGACCATTTGGTCGGATCATACTGCCACCATTCGATGGCATTGCGGTAGTCAGAAGGGAACCGTTCACTAGTCAGCGATGAGATCAAAACTTGACAGGGAAGGTTGCTTACTTCGTGGTGAAAGTTATGGTAGCCTTCACCAAGTGTAACCAGCGCGGTGATAACGTGATCGCGAGGCGAGTTACGGTCATCGAATGGCTAGACAATCGTCAATGATGATGAAGATGGGTAGGGCAATAGGAATAACGGACCTGATCTCCAAGCCAATGGGCAAGGGAATTGACACAGAAAGTGGCCTGTTGGACGAAGAGGAATCTCAAGATACCTGCATAGACCAGACCACCTTTCCAATCACCCCAACCCAGGCCAGCGACCACCATTGGGAAAAGCATTCCGAAAACAAGAATGAATTCACCATAGTGGTTGTGCTGCCACACGACGATGGGGTCTTGGTTCAAATCGGAGATATCTGTCCTGCCACGATCCTTGGGGTTCTGCTTTAGCACCATCCACATGAAGTGGGAGTACCACACGCCCTTCCGGACACTGTATGGATCCTTGACAGTATCCGTCCATCGGTGGTGTGCCCGATGTTTGCTGCTCCACCATCGGATGGAGCCTTGGACAGCACCACCGCCAACGCAAGCAAGGAAAACTTTTAATGGTAAGGACCTAGAGAGAAAGGTTCCAATCAGCCTTGACGAATTATGATGAGGTGGAGGTAAATGCAACGAAAGCTTACGCCTCATATGATCGATGTGCCCATAGACGGTGATAGCCAGCGGTAATACCCAGTCCAGTCCAAAAGTAATACACCACGGCCCAAATAGCCGTAGGAAGGCGCAGCTGAGTGTAGGATGCGGCGACACAGCCGAAGAATGGAACGATCAAGATAAGTGTAGTATTGATCCAGTTGACATGGCGATACCAATTGCGCAATGTAAAAGGCTGCTCACTAATGTGCAGCTTCTTATTTGACAAGGACTCTGCCATCTTGACGGTGATATGTTGGACTGCAAATAAGTGAAAGTAGCTGAGCTGAAATTTCTTGGACAAAAGCTCAGCTCAAGAAGATGAAGACTGAAGACTCGTTATGAAACAGACAAGTTGATTCAATGTAAAACTTCGAATTATAAAAGAGCATGATCCCAATAGCATACGTCCTTACATCCTCGGTCCCACGTGGAAGTGACACGTTGTGTTTCGTCGTTGATGCTTGGAATTTGTTGGGTCGTTGAGGACCAACGATGTTGCTTGCCGTCTCACCCAAGATCTACCCGAGCCTAAACGAGCAGCTCACCAAACTTCAAAGCGATGGTTTTGCATCGCATGAGAGGTCCAAAAGGAAAACTGCAAAGCCTCCCTGGACTTTCAAGAGTTGTTGGAATTGCGGAATTGCGGAATCGGCCATACAGTAGCAAAGATGTAGGCTTTCACGGAATCGAGATTACCATGATGCCACGGAAGATTGATCACATTTCAACAAACAACATACGACCCATCGCGATTCCATCACATAGTCGGTCTTACCATGGTTGAACTAGTTGTTGGGTTGGTTTTGTGACTCAAATCTTGCAATTGTGGATAATCAGGAACGGTAAAAGGCAACGAAGATTGTGCGATCACGGTATCAGTAAAATTATTTTGCCACTTCGTAGAAGTATGTGCTGATACTGACATTAATGCAGCCTCTCTAGCCTTTACAGTTTTTTCCCCAAAGCCTTCTACTGGTGGAGATCCGCAATGGGGCATTTGGGAGTCAGAGACTTGTAACATGACTCAGTAGTAAATCACTCTGACACTCCAATCGTGCCCGCTAATTTCAACGTCTGCTCAGGTCTGAGAAAGCCAAATATAACTGCGACATGGAAATGCATGAATCTACTGCGTAGGTCAAGCCCCAGAGGGCTTGTAATAACAGCTAAATTGTAGCTATTCATTCTTGGGTCCTTTTGTGACCGCTTTCAGATCTGTAGAATCCCACGCACCTAATTAGAAAAGGTAATCTTTCGTGGTAGTTAAACACTAGCGTTTCATTAATTATACGAACGAAATATAAGAAACCAAGACCACCAAGGCTAAGATGACAGATTTTTAAACATTCTACAAGGGTGACTTCGGAATGTGCTCAGGGTCCACCATGAAGGAGCTCACCACGAGCCTTAACTTTGCCTGAGCCTCTCCTGACCCAGACTCAAGCTCATGGGCGAGTTACACAGTAGCTTAAAACCCGATGATTCAATCTCAGCCTCGATCGATCTCATCTGATCTCTAGCGCAGAGCCGAGCGACCCCACCCTTATCAGCATATCAGACGCAAGAATGCTAACATGTGAAAGTCGGCTTACCTGCACAAAATTGCACGAAACATGACTAGTATGGCCGTTATCTGTCAGATCCCCTCTGAGATGCACTTTTCTCTCGTCCCCTCCATCCCGCGATAGCTCTGCTCTCGCAGGCCCACGAGCGAATGGAGTTCTCACGGCTCCCCCTTCTCCCCATCCCAGCCTCGATCCGCCGTCGGCTACCCCGACTATACCCGTCGCATAGGGCTGGCTCCGATGGCGACTCGGGCGGGGCATTGCGGCACTCGTCGTCTGAGCCGCATCTGCCAGTCCACGGGCACCCTACAGAGATCTCAGTTGAGATGCAACGGCCTTCAACAGCGAGTGATGATCTAGAATTTGAGTCTGGGTCCGGTGGGTCTACTCCTCCTGGTGAGGAGACAAGTCTTCCGGCAAAGTATGAGACGGAATCGGGATTGCGCTGGAACCGAGTAGTACCTGGTGAGGAGAATACACCCGAGCCTCGACGTTACGTTGACTAACGGAAACCTCCCATGGCAGCTTTCAACCTTCTCCGCAATGCAGGTTACGAGGCGCAACAGCCTCGCGCTGATGGCCGACTGGCTCGGTCCCTATATATCAACGCGGTCATGTATCTGCTCGATGCGCTGCCCACGGACCTGACCGCTGAAGAAACAAACATGATTCAACTCCGACTGCCACAGCCCGTCAAGACTTCCATACTGGCAGAGCCTGAGCCTCGTCTTGCGCGTCTGGAGGGACCTGTAGGCTCGAGGCCTGATCCTCCCGCTAGGTCATACCTGCATAGGCTTCTTGCATCTATCATTGTGCAGGTATTTCTCATCGTGCGGTTTATCCTGCCTTACGTCAAATTATTCTTGCGGCAGGTTTATGAATACGAGCGCTCGCATCATCTAACTGAGCGAATTTTCACGACGACCTTAGATGCGGCGGACGGACTCGGCAAAAGCGGTCTCAATATTGGGTCTGCGGTCTGCAAATTAAATGAAGGGAGGGTTGGGGCTGCAGTGGGGAACCTTGCAGCGTGGTGGGTTGAAGGTATTGCCGGTGGGGTATATGAAGGGGTCGGAGAAGGTATGATGCATTTGGGCTTGTTGAGACCGGGGTTAGAGCTTGATAGACTGGAATTGCAAGTAGACAGGCGTTAATTAGATATGTTCACCGATGCAGTATATGACAAGAAATGACAAGATGTCCGCTGATTCCTTATTCCTGGGTTGCAAAATCCAGTGCTGCGTGAGACAGGATCCGCGTAGTATCCACGACTTTAATCTGACAATTCTCCTCGGTCAGAACGAGAGGAAGCTCCGTGCAACCCAAAATGATGGCATCACACTGGGGAGCCAGCTGCTTTGCAATAAGGACGAGGCCGTCGCGTGTCTGGTCGGTAAAGATTCCCTTGATCAATTCGTTCTGAATCGCATCATGGACATAATCCTGCTCTGCGTCGGGGACATAGACAGTAGTAATACCCCGCTTTTCAAGGGGTTCTTCATAGATACGCCTTCTGACAGTCGGGGAAGTCCCGAGGATTCCAACCCGTTTGTAACCCTGCTTCACGCAGTGGTCCGCCGTGACTTCCAAGATACTGAGAACCGGGATGGTTGATTTGGCCAACACCTCGGGAAACACAATGTGTGGAGTGTTTGAAGGAATGATGGCAAACTCAGCTCCGGCTTTGGCTGTACTGTTGACCGAGTCGCTCAGTACCGTGGAGAGGGCGTCGAAGTTGTCCGTTTTGACGGCGTTCTTGATTCCCTCGTAGAGAGGGGTGTGTGTGACGATGGGAGGGTAAGCAATACCCCGCCGCATGGCCTCACGTCCGATTTCCTGGTGGCAGACTACGCCGCCCTCAATGGTAGGAATGCAGATGCCGACGGTCTTCATGTTGACTGTATGGAACTTGATATGGTGTATCGAGTGTACGTGCCAAAGTAGAGAGTTGTGGGAATATTCAAGACCAGAGGAATAATGGTAAATCGCGTGAGCACTGATTCACGGATCAATATGCAGACTACGGTTGATGAGGCCACAATTTGCGAATGTTCCCCAATGGTGGTGAGTCAAGAGTTGAAGGCAGCGCCGAAGCTCCGACTTGATAGCGAGATAAGCGATTAGCTTGTTGTCACGAACATCATCTCATCCCCAATCACAGCCATGTCGACAACGCGGTTGCCCTGCGTCCCTTCAATTAGGAGGCAGCAGCTACATCTGGAGTTGTGAGTATCCTTGACGTTAACAGAGAATGGGCACGTACTGATCTCTGCCCAGCGCGAGCTTGCGGAATGCGGCACCACCAGGGGTCTACGTGAGCCTGGCACCGGGCGACCCCACGCTCTGGAGCGGTGTCATCTTCGTTCGCTCCGGTGAGTTCAGAACCTCATTACTTCAACCCACGACTAATTTTCGAGCTTGCCAGGCCCCTATGCCTCCGCCATTGTCCGCTTCCAGATCCGCTTCCCCGACGTCTACCCCGACCTCCCACCGCTTGTCACCTTCACAACCGATGTTTTCCACCCATTGATCGTGCCCCTTACCACATACACATTCAGCACCAACTCAACAAGCGACGACCCGGTCAGCGCGACTGACGAGGAACGACTGCCACCTGGTGGGTTCAGCCTCCGCCATGGATTTCCCCACTGGTTTGGCAGGGCCAAGCGACGAAGCGGTGTCGCGTCCGGAAAGTCGTCTCGGAACGTGAGTGGTCCCAGCACTGGCACTGCATCTGTTGGTGCAGGAAAAGCACCGAGTGGCCCCGCGACAGAGGGCAATGCGTCCGAGGGACGGAGTTCCGGGGTCGACTCCCCGAGCAACCCACATGACGAGGACAGAGGATCCAACGATGAGCCTTCTCGTATGGCCCAAGTACCGTCCGTGGATCAATTCACCGAACCGAAAAAGTTTGTGCCTGTCGCCGAGTTATTGGATTATATTCGATCGACCTTCGACGACGAGGAAGTTTTGGACTCCTTGCCATCCGAGGCCGCGGGGAATCCTGGGGCGTGGCACGCGTGGAAAGCGCACCGTCGAGGTGGCGCTGGGCCGGGAGACCTGAAACGGGGAAGCCCACAAGCTCGACTCCCTGGTGACTGGCACTGGGATGGCATCTGGGCGCGTCGGGTACAGGACGAGATCGCGGCCAGCCATTCCGATCCGATGTTGTTTGGAAGTTCTGCTCGTGGGAGCGGCGATGATATGGTAGGTCCATCGACCCAGATTGACAGACAGACACTGATCGCAATAGATTCGCTTTTCCCGTTTGGACGATGCAACCTTGAGCTCGGTGAAGGAGACGATGGCGTCGGTGGTGAACGTACATAAACAGTGACGATTGTTCTTGCCTCAATATACCCAACAATGTTATTATTTTCAATATGATTAGCACCTACCTTCCCAACAACACCCCCTCGGACTAAACACGACTTCCACAGGACGGAGAGATTCTGATCACGCATCTACCATTACCATTCCCGCAAGATGCCCAATACTTTATCCCTCGATTTTAAAAGCTCAGCATTGCTCATCGCCTTGGTCCTGGTACCCGTCGTCGTCCTCTTTGGCACTGTTGCCGTCGCTGTTGTTTGCTCCGAGCGCTGCAGCTGCCAATTCGCCAAACCCAGGTGGCTGTCGCGTTTTCCCTGCTGCCGCGGACGCTGGCATCGGAAGAAGCCACTTCGCTCCGACGTGGAAAGTGGTACTGGCAGCCGCTTGACCGAATCTTCCGATGCACCAATTGATCCTCTCCAGTATGGCCCGGCCGTCGCAGGACTGGAGCACGTCTAGACTGCTCATCATGAACGACCGGAATTACGAACCGCCTACTGTCAGAAAGACCAGCAGCGTATCAGGGAGCCGAAGCGTCAGTTCGTCCATGTCGTATCCTCATATCCCCCGTCGCCAGTCTTCGCTCTCTGCGAGCTTTAGCAACGATTCGAATGCACCAGCAACATCGACTAGAACTCCATCTCTATGCGACAGTCTTTATCGGATTGAAGTCTTGAAGCGCCGGCAACCAGGTGGAAGGGTTCTTAGTGGCATGGGCAACATGGACCCGGGCTCTATGCTGGGCTCTATGGGGGTTGATCCATTTGTTGACGAAGTGACTGCTCCCCTGTCAACATCGGCTGCCGTCTTGCTGACCTGTAAATCAGATCCCACAACAACTCGTGAAAATGAAAGAGAACAATATCCGCGGCAGATATCGTGACTCACGACTGACGGTCCGCTGGAGCTCTGGATCTTGGGATTCTATCGGGCCAGATCTTCCGTCAGGCTCGAATTCTACCAGCGACTCTGTGGAGATGAGGCCCCCTACTCCAGACCCGAGACAACATCCAAAGCACACAAGTGAAGGGGGCTTCGGGTACCTTTACCCGATGGATTTACCTATATCTTTTGTTAGCGCCAGGACATTTGCCAGCAAGCGCCAAATTGGCTTGGGAGCCGTGTCTGTATGGACCACAGTACATGTCTCTGCCGATGTCAGCTCTGTCCCATTCCCAGGAACTTCCGGTCTCGCACCCCTTGATGTGATTTTACTCGTCGATAGTTTGTGAGTTCCCTGGCTTATCATTTGCGGATGCACAAGCTCACTTACTTACCAGAACCCAGCCCTCTGCCAACCTTCTGACGCAGATTACCCTTGGATCCTCTGTTTTGGCTTCAAACCTCATTCACAATCACGACAGAATTGGTCTTGCATACATTGATTGGGACAAAAGTCTCAACTTTGAATTGTTACTCTCATTGGGCTTCCATTCCTTGGACACTATCCGGTCCGCATTGAACATCATTTCACGTCGCCAGCATCTCAATCATTGGAAGGCGGATCTCAACATTGGCGACGTCATCCAGCGAGTGTCAGGCCTATTTTCTGTCTGCCCGAGAACTGCCTTCTGCCACTTGTTTTTCGTTTCTGCAACGCCGCCAGTACATTTAACCATACCTTGGATCGACCAAGCCATCGGTTTCCATACTATTACCCCGCAATTCCGTCTTCCATTGAAACACACCGGCCTTCGGCTTGGGTGGCACATTCCCTACGATGTTGGCACCGGCCACGCATGCCCCAAGGGGACTCATTTCATTCGCAAAGTCTCGAGAGTTGTGCGGCAGCTTCGTACTGGCATTCTCCCGGGGTCCATTCTCAATCTCAAACTGTCCATCATTCCTTGCGAAGGCTGCCGGATCCGCTCTGTCATTGACAATTCTCGACTTACATCGCTTCGTCCTGGAGAAACCTGGATTGTTCCAGTCGAAATCAGCGTACCTTCGGCATTTCAGCCTATATCTCCTAGCGATCAAAATCAATTACCTACTCACCATCCAGTGATCGAAGGAATGATCTCTCAAATCAATGCTCTCTTGATCGAATATTCTTCCAAGGTGATCACCCAGCCTATTCTGACTGCTCACGTTGAGTATCAACATTCACTCTTGCCAGCACCCAATACTATCAATGCAGAGAGCCAACTTACTGTTGTCCGAAGTGAAAATGAAGTCGTGGATTCTTTGCTCGACTTTCGACGGATCAGTCTATCCACCATTAGATCGGGTAATGAGCTGAATGTGGACCTCAGTGTTCGGTCCGGGAGTGAGTGAAGTCTATCAGCAGTCTGGCTTTCCTCTTCATATATTGTTACCGTGTTTTTCACCCCTGGAATTGCCATTAGAGCTCATGTTTGTTCTTGCCTGGGCATGGAGAGTTGTTCACGAATTGCACTGTTTAATTGGTCTGATGATCCATCCTTCCATAATGATAAGTTTTTCGCTCGAAGTAAGTCCACATACATGTGAGCCATGCAACGCTGGCATAACGACACAATCCGCAACACGTAAACCAGTAACAACCCTTTACTGCAATTTCTCATTTAATAACTCCTTGAGATTCTCCTTCTTACCCACAGACACGTAGCAAACCTTATTTGTTGATTTTGGTTATTCCTCGGGGAGATTTCACGAGTGGAATCCATCGTATTTGTCCAGGCTGCCCCCACATAACTGTAAATCCGGCAATCCAATGGACATTGATACCTTTCGGTCTTTGCTCCTTTTTTTGATGATTTCCCATGGGGCTTGAGACTGGATATTAGGGATCCGGTGAGGTAATGGCGGTACAACCAGGTGAATCGTAGTTGACTGCCGGAATATTCCGCGTAGGAAAATACAAGCGGGTGAGATTTATTGCGACGCTGAAAAATTGGTCAAGATCGGTGCGACATCTTCGACGATCTGCCGATCCCACAACGGATCGCCGTCATCATCGAACTCGGCCCATTGGAAGAAAGAGCATCCCTGTTTACCCGACGCAAACCCCGCGTAGCACATCCACATGTATCGGCCCCGGGTCTCCTGCTTGCGCTGTGCGCACCGCAGAATCGCATGCGTGCCGCACCGGCATTGAGGTATGTACCGAGGGTGGAGACTATCGCGATACCAACGGTAGGTGATATTGATGCGCCTATTCCCTGCAATCGGATGCGGGGAGACAGTTTGTGCAGGGGTAATGGCATGCTTCCATTCTTCTTGCATCTCTGCGTGCATGACCAGGAGTGAGTTGTGGGGGAGGTGGATGGAGATCTGTCCCTGTGCATCTGCACGAGCAGCAGCCCTTTGATCTTTCTCCTTCGATGGAGAGCTGCTTTTGCCGCAACTACCTGCCGTTTCCTCTGCATCTGCCTCGTCATCCCGGGCGACGACCCGACGTACTCGGAATTCTCGTTCCACACCTAGGCTGAGACTGCCTATCACCGGGTGTGGCCCCAGATAGGTCAGTTCGTCTGAGTGGTACCCTACGCTCTCGGATGGTCCTTCGTAGCAGTTGACGAACGCTGCGTTTGGTCGCCACTGCTTTGGTGATTGGTATTTGAGTTTCTTTCCATCGGGGTACACATCGCGGATGCGCTTTTGAATCTCTTCATTCACCCTTTCTTGTACCTTCCGCGATATTGTGCGTAGCTGCGGTGTTGCTTGCCGCACGTTTGATCGGTACGTGCCGCCGTACGTGTATTCGGAGGTCTGTTGCTTGTATTCCTCAGGAGTAGAAACGTACACGGATGTGGTGTGAGGGCTCTGTACTGTGCGGTTGAAAAGTTGAAATTCGTATCTTGAGAAATGTTGAGATTCTTCAAGCAGCTCCACAAGAAGCGTGTTGGCCTCTTCGGGAGGAAGAAAGTTGTGAATAATCGTGCAGGGAGTGTAGGCTGCTACATCCTCCGGGGCATAGAGGTGCAAGGTCTGCCCCTTTTTAGTAGACAAGGGCTTCCGACCGGCCATGCCTTCGTTGATTGACACGAGTGACCCATCTTTGCCTTTTGTCAGGACGTGTGACGATAAAGATGTTTGGATCCCGAAAGACGAACTCGGAATGGCTCGTTTTTTGGAGGTTGGTGCGTTTTCCGCAGGGTCCTGCGAGGCTAACAGCGAGGATGCCGCATCTACGGAGCCTTCACAGGACACAAGAACATCCAGAATATCATCCTGCTTGATGTTTGGGTACAGTGACATCAAAATAGCGAGCTTGATGTCGGTCGACTCCTCGGAGTGATTCTCCTGATCCGACGATGCCTCGGATCGACCTACTCCAGCTTCCTCGGCTGGAGACAGTCTCCGGCGTTTTCTCGGCCCAAATGCCTCCATGGATGGCTCGCTTCATATCGATGATGGACAAGAAAACGAGATGACTCGCAGCCTCCGATAAGAGGCCTATCGACACATGACTGCCATCGAACTGGCCAATCAGGTCACGTTCTCATAGATGCGGGAGAAAGGCAGTTTTATGATAATGCGCACCGCCACTGGAATCTATATAAAAGCACCTAGAAAGATGATCAGAAAGCCGCTTATGATTCCGTCTCATCATCAGAGAGGATGGTGGAACACGAGCCTCTTCGCAAGCCACGGCAAAGTCTGGAGGGTCCGCCGATACATCTTTGACCACTAAGTTTTGAGGATATTTTAGGACAAATATTCGCTGTATATATTTTAACAATGACAGGGTGCCTCATCTGCTGCCGAATGAGTAGGAATTTTGAATGACTTTTGACTGCAACTTCTACAGTGACGGTGAAAGAATTTGGTGGTGGCTTGAGAGGGCTTCCTATCCATGCTTTCCTTCTGTCCTTGAACCTCCCCGTTCCCCATGCTTCTCTGACAATTGCGCCAAGCTGGCTCCGTATTTATTAAAAAAGAAAGCCCAAGGCAACCTAAAACTGGGCGAAAAATGGACTCGCGGGGAATCGAACCCCGGACCACCCCCATGCTAAGGGGGTATTATACCACTAAACCACGAGCCCATTGGATGAGTAATCATCCAGGATGCTGGGTCTATCAAAGGGATGCTCTGTGTCACGATAGTTGAGTATTCTCTTAGGTGCTGAAGGGGGACATTTATTCCATTTGACAAAAAGTTGAGAAATAATTGATATACAAGAAACTCTCAAGTAAGAGGATGAAGAGGCAAGCCTATGTCGTACTCCATTTCCCTTCGCCCAGATATACGCGTCCCTCGCGATGATATTCAACCAAGTATTTCATCTGTCGAAGCCCATCAAACACCTCAACCAGTGCCGAGAGAGCTACCATCGTCCACCCGCGATATACCCCACGATAGTCTCCGGTGCCATCAACCTCATCTAGACCCACAGATGTCACATAAGGCTGGTCACCAAATCGAGCGTCCGGGAAATTGTCCTCGACCACTTTAACCCAGCAGGACCCAATATCGGCATGCTTTTCCGGTACAGCAGATACATCTAGCACACTCTTCATATGCGAAAGAACCCCTTCATCAACCATCAAACACACGCGCAGCCTGCTCGGTAACTTCGTGGCCGGGATCGCCAGGGACGCTTTGAAGTTGCGAAAGGCCTCGCGCACGCCCTCTTCACTACAGCCACTATAAGTGCGCCGTGCGCTGAATATTTTAGATGCGTAGGCTTTTTCCAGGAGACGAAGTTGCTCGTTGGAGCCGGTCATCAGTCGGTGTAATGACCTATTAACCGCATTGTTAAGGCAGCGCAGGAAGATACGCAGAAGCTGCTTGGACTCTGGTCCGTACGCAGTACGATAGATGATAGGGCCCCAGCTGAGGATGAGGAAAGTCGCGGCATGGTCCTGGGGGCAGGGATCGTAGGCCGGGAGACGAGTCCAGCCGGTAGACTTCCTCTTGGAGAAATAGCTTGGCTGTCGTGTGTTCCTCTGGCTCGGTCATAATCTTAGTTCAATTGAGCCTCGATTGTAGAATGTGTGGATGTTTTCTCCGTTTGGTCATGATAAACGAGAGGCTTCATATGGGATGGCAGGAGACGGTGAAGGGGATGAGGCTAACCATATACGGCGTCACGTCCTCCCTGGGGTAGAGGCAAAAGTGTGGTATCATGGTTCCGAGCTCGTGGCTTTCAGCTTTAACCACAATTTCATATCCCCATAGTGAATGATTGACAGTTTAAGATGTAGAAGCGGTCATGGTTCTAGGAATGGTGAAGCTATCCTCCAATGGGGCGGCTACATATTCGGCCGGAGCGGCTGTTGACGTCACGATCAAGATCACCCAGTCTCCAAACAAACAAATGATCGAGTACCTTAACCAGTCTATTATATATGGACATCGGATTGATATTCGCACTATCTATTAGGCCTTCCAAGGTAACAAGATTCCAGGAAGTGAAATAGCAAAGATGCATCTTATGAGATTTGCCTGTGATAGACAATGTCGAGCTGAGATCGACCAAGGACCAACCAAACTTTGAGCCGCTCATATTCCTATTTCCATTTGTACATTTCCAGGGTAATCTTTCAAACATCTTGAGACCCATCAAACAAAACAACATCGAAATAAGCTCCGAATGCCCACAATGAAGCCGTATAGTTTCGCGCGGGAAGTGGCCGATACGCGTAGCCCGCGCTAAATCCGACCTCGGCCCGTCGCATCGCGCTTGGATCCTCCCCGCAATCCCGATGCCAATCCCTCCGACTTCACATCGTGCCCGGTCGACATGGTGCACACTTGCCTTTGATACCCTAGACTGTTTCTTTCGTTCTGCAGTGTGATCGGTGGACACCGATCAGCTCCTCACTATGCTCCACTTCCGCACACAGGGTTTCAACGGTTGCGCGGTCAAGTATTCGCCCTTCTTCGACAATCGGCTAGCCGTCGCAAGTGCGGCCAACTTCGGTCTGGTTGGTAATGGCCGGCTGTTTATTTTAGAGCTCACTCCCAATGGGATCGTGCCGGTGAAAACGTAAGGAGATCTGTGCAGCTTGACAGTCCTTAACCCAGGAACGTGCAGGCTGACATTTTCATCTGTGATCCAGATTCACCACGCAAGACTCTCTCTACGATCTGGCCTGGTCGGAAATCCACGAGAACCAGGTCCTCACCGCATCGGGCGATGGCAGCATCAAGCTGTTCGACACCACAGCCAACGACTTCCCCATTTCGAGCTGGAAAGAACATGCACGCGAAGTGTTCAGCGTCAATTGGAACCTAGTCGCCAAAGACCGCTTCTGCTCCAGCAGTTGGGATGGCACTGTCCGAGTCTGGTCGCCGCATCGCCCTCAGTCTCTGCTCACCCTCCCCACTCACAGCTGCACCTACTCCGCCGCCTTCTGCCCGCATAACCCAGAGCTGATCTCATGCGTGACGTCCGACTCATACGTTCGCGTTTTTGACCTGCGCACTCCCGCCTCAGCCTCCAACCACCTCGCCGTTCAAATACCCATCCACGCGGCCCCTGCGGCGCCCGCGATTCCCAGCCAGCCAGGCATGCCACCGGCTGCAACCCCGCCAGCCGAGGCCCTCACGCACGACTGGAACAAATACCGTCCTACAGTCCTCGCTACAGGTGGTGTAGATCGGGCCATCCGGACATTCGACATCCGCGCCCCGCAGCAAGGGCCTCTAGCCACCATGCTCGGGCATGAATACGCAGTACGCAAAGTAGCCTGGTCGCCACATCTATCCAACGTCCTTTTGAGCGCCAGTTACGACATGACTTGCCGTGTATGGAGTGATCGGTCCGATACAAGCGCGGCTGGTGATGTGGATATTATGCGCTCTGGCCCGGCGGGTCCGGTTGTCGGCACGGAACTCGGGCGGATGGGACGACACACTGAATTTGTGACGGGCGTGGATTGGTGTTTGTTCGGAAACGAGGGTTGGTGTGCCAGTGTTGGATGGGATGAGAGCCTCTACGTATGGGATGTGCGAGGCGCAATGACCTGAATGACCATTGAGCATGTCGAGGAGCTTATCAATTATCCAGAACACTGGTGGTTCTGTGTAGACGGCATTCTTATATGATACCTCTTTTTGACTGCAAACCAGTCCTTTTACTACTGCCTTTCATGGAACATATGGAATAAGGATATCTGTCATTGCATTTCGTAATTTTAGGCCCAAGTCGCCCCAGCTATGCATGGTATACGGATTCAAGAGACTCCCGCGCTCGGCCTGTGTATGCATTCGCCAAACCCCCATCACTAGCGCAAGCGCTGCTCAGATCAACCAATCCCCGTCTCAAGCTCCTTCCAAGGCATGTAGCGGATGCTTAAGATCGAGATGTCGCCCCAATTTCCTGACTGGTGACGGTAGTCCGAGGTCCAGGCTCAACTAGCGCCGGGGTCTTATATTTGGAGATGTTCCTCCGAATCAAAGGTGCACTAGTCTATTTGCCCAGGCGAGCCTCGGTCTTGTTGCGCTCCTGGTCCCGGACCTGAGCAATCTCATCCCGGGTGGCATTGACCTTGACGTGCACCTGGTTGAAGGGGTTCTCCTCACTCTTCTCGAACTCCTTGCGACAAAGATCCATACGCTGCTGTCGGCGCAGGCCGGGGTTCTCTTCTTCGATCTCGGGCAAGCGACGAGCCTCGTAGGCAGCGTAGGCAGCCTTGAATCGGCGCTCCGGGTGTCGCTCCACCTTGGAGGTATCCTTGTTCGTCAGAGACAGGGCATCCAGCGCATTGTCGATACCGGAGGCGTTGAGAGAAGAGCCCTTCTTGCTGCCGGGCTCGTCGTCCAGCTGGGAGAGGTCGAGACCGCGAGTCTTCTTCTGGGCCGACTTCGCATTGGCACCCTTGGCCTTGGCGGGCTGGGAAGCCTCCTCTTCGGCGAGTTGGGCATCGCGCTCAGCCTTCTTGCGGGCAGCTTCGGCTTTCTTGGCTTCGGCGTCCTCCCTGTGGTTGGAAAAAAGCTTTGTTAGCTTGTGTCTCATCGCGCAAACACCAGTGCAGGCTCACTTCTTAGCACTGCTCTTTGAGCCCTTGGACCACTGCTTGTCCTCCTCAGCTGCAACCTTCGCGTTCTCAACGGCCTTCTTTCCAGCGGCAGCCTCGGCTTTCTGCTTGATGGTTAGCATCGATTCAAGGATGGTGGGGGCGGGGTCAACATACGCGGGCGTTGCCAGCAACCTTTTTGGTGTTTTCACCGGCGCCTCCTTTCTTGCCTCCCATTTTGATAAATGTATTGTTTGACGCGAATGTTGCACAAGGAGAGACAAAAGGGTGGGACGAAAAGAAAAAGTGGATTGTCTGATATGATCTGATCCTCGAGATGATTATGCCGGCTCCGACGTGGGCGGTGACTACGTGACTAATCTGGACATCCACTCATCGAAGCTTGGAGAACAATTCTATGCTTGAGCAGAATCTACCATGATTTTGATACAAACTCATAGAAAGTTTATTGTTCCAATACTATCTATGAACTGACTCGCGAGTTGCTTTTAGTACATGAAAATGGTGATCTGTGCCTATGAACGTCATGCCACATGCTAATTACTTTGGTTCTTCGTCCCTAAATTGGACCGAAAGAGCAAAACAGCGTGTATATTCATGCGCTTAGGACGGTAAATAGAAGCACAACATAGTTGATAATATGCAAATATGCGGAACGAGATACTTGAGGGAAAAGTATCAAAAAAGCTTTACTCACCTGGCCATGGCCGGGGGACAACTCACAGACGGACTTAATTTTGCCGGACCCTTTTTGCTGGCAGCAGATAAACGACCCCCATTGAAAGTGAATCTTGCTTAATATGCCGTCCGCAACTTCCAATTCTTTCCGCCACCGCTGCCACTGCTCTCATTGCTCGCATCTTCTGCCTCTGTCGTCGCCGCTGTTGACTGTGCCGTTGACCGCTCCGTTGACCGCTCCGTTGACCGCTCCGTTGACCGTTCCGTTGACCGTTCCGTTGACCATTCCGTTGACCATTCCGTTGACTGCACTGTTGACTGCTCCGTGGGCTGTTCTGTTGATTGCTCCGTTGACTGCTCCGTTGACTGCTCCGTTGACTGCTCCGTTGACTGCTCCGTTGACTGCTCCGTTGACTGCTCCGTTGACTGCTCCGTTGACTGCTCCGTTGACTGCTCCGTTGACTGCTCCGTTGACTGCTCTGATAAGTTTAGACTATCCCATGATTTCAGGATTCGATCTAATTCAGCGTCATCGGTATGCCTTCCTGGGCCTTGATCTTGATTGACGGCAATCGTAAAGTTTGGGTAGAGGCTCTTGAATCGCCCAGAATCCTCTTCCTTCCAAAGTTCGGCCTCAAAGTCTCTGAAAAGAATTCGCGCTTCCTCCGGAAGAGAGTCCTCCGTTTTCATGGCTGTCAGCTGGACAAGCCGAAGGATTCCCTTCGCAAGTTGCCATCGACGCGCTAGTGCACGGAGAACGATGAAAGATTCGACAAATGCCTGCTTACTTTGGGCATCGTCTAGGTTTTCAAGGAGTGTGAACATGGCAATAGTGGCATACTGCATTACAGTCCCTGGTAGACACTCCACATGCCAGAGTGACCGAAATCGATTGGCTAAAGTGCCGATATTTCGGGCTGAAGACATTCGCACGTCCCTGATGCGGCTCTTGGTGGCTGGATCACTTTCATTCACAATGGGCTCAATAAACCCGAACATGATCAAGACCACTGTGTAATATTGCATACTTTATGACGACCTCGTTAGCAAGCCTTGAGACTTCAGAATGTTTGCCGATATATGTGAGTTACTCACTGCATATCTATGATTCCCGGTGGAGGGGTGCATCCTAGACCGGTGCATCCTAGACCGATACATTCAGGAAGACTTTCAGCCCATTTTTGTAGTCTATGGTGAAAGGCATCGACCTTTTCAAGATCAAAGGTTAAAGGCTTCCCATCTCCGAAGAGATAATCACATATTTCCCAACCGATAAGCATCATTTCGAAAGTGCTATCGATCACACAGTTGGTGTGTGCCGGTACAGGCTCGCTCTGGCGGGGATAAGCTATCCAAGTGTCATTGAGATCATGATCCCGAGAAAGCCGCTCAAGTTGTGTAGGCCGTTTGATGACAGCGGGCTTTTGCAGAGACATGATAGCAAGTCTTTAGGGATGTCAGATAACTCCCGTCTCTATCCACTGCAAGATTCATGATACTCACGTGCACATATTAAACAATCCAAACATCGCATAAGAAATAACTCTTGCCATCTGTGGGGCATCTTCACCGGCTTCTGCTGTCAAACTTTGTCTCTTTTTCTCGATTTCGCGGGCATAGTCCGCCATCTCCGCCGTCTGCTGCCAGCCGAGCCTGTCCTTTCCCATGCCAGCAAGACTGCCCATTCGAGTCAACATTGTTCAAGTATAGGGAGTGCATGAAAGGTTACCAGGTGTAGATGTTGCCCCATGCTTGGAGCGTTGTGACTGACAAGCACCCTTCTTCTTTCTTCAGCAACCGCATTGCCTCCTCCAAAAAATGTTCTGCCCGAGTGCTAGGGTCACCTGGTATGGCCAAGGCTTCGGGGTAATCGGAGTAGAACTTGATCGTAGAAAATACTAATTAAGACCACTCCACGAGATCATTGAATAGCGAAGGGGTGATACTCACGCACGCCATAGCCAGGACACTATTGACAAGCAACGGTGAGCAGAACCTGGAATCCAGGTTTCCGGATCTCATATCGCGCAAAAACAAGCCACGTTCAATCCAATTTAAGCCGCTTGCGTTGCAGCTAAAATGGAGTGAAATTAGGTGTGAAACAAAGGCATCGTCGTCCGTCACAGACGTCCATGGCTGCGCGGGTACCTTGTAAAGAGGGATATCGGATAGCCTTTGGACATCCATATACCTGCGAGAGGAACTGGCAGAGGCAGAATCGGACCTTGGACCCTTTGGCGGCGCCTCGTCGTCGTTTGATTCTAGACTTTCCTCTAGATAAAACCTGATTTCGTCTAATGGCACATTGCTTCGAATCAAGTTCAGCACGTTCGGCACCTTTTTCTTGTTATCATCGCGGATGGTGTCCACAAGACGCATCAGCAAATTGCGATCCTGCTCCAACGATTCGATCTTACGCTTGAGAGTGATTCGTCGGCGGCCATCATTTTCCGAGTTCATCACACAAACAGTCTTGGAATTTTGGCAAGGGAGGCACGGGATGCCTCCAACACACTATATCGAGGTTAGTAAAATTATCCTTCAGCGAAACTAATGAAGTACTTTTGATTTCCGCCGTTGACATGCCGAACAGGCGGTGGTTGCCTTTTTAGAAGGGGTAATATGATAATCCCCCGTCTTATGAGGATTGTTTCCTGGCGTCGGGGCAAGAGACTTCGACTTTGAAGGAGCCATTCCACCTAGGAGGCCATGAATGCTTTTTGAAAACCGGGAATGATGCCGTTATAGCGGGGAAGTGGTTTTATTCGAAGATGGCGCCGGAAATGGATTTCCTACACCGCCGCTTGTTTTCCACCCAATCAGGGCTAGCAGCTTGGCACCGCTGTTAAACGGCTGTGTCATAGAAATACACTTCGTGCTCCGTGCTCCATGCTCTGTGCTCTGTGCTCCGTATCTATGTAACTATTCTCGGTGCAGGAGACTTGTTCGTTTAAAAGGTATTTATAATTGACCCCAACGAGGCTTAGTGATCACGTATTGCGGACAGAGCTGATTTCTTTCGATTTTGATAGCCCTAGTTGCCGATAAAATGTAATCTCATTGTGTGATAGATTTCCAGCTGGATCTGGAGGCTTCGGTCAATGGTGCCCAGGTGAATGCGGAGAGGCGTGCTTAGGTGAATGTAAAGTAGAAAGACGACCGAACAGAACGGGCCTTGTGACTACAGGTCAGTGCACCTAGGGTCGGAGGTCGCTGCACCTAGGCACGTGACGGTATGCAAACACCTACAAACAAAATTTCACTTTCTGTTGCAAAGCTTTTCGCCTTACATTACCTTACATTCTCTATCCACTAATTTTTTCTTCAATTTACCATACCTTACCCTTTACATTATTTCACTATGCAATGTGATTCCGAGAGACAACTAAGACAATAGACTAGTTATTAACTAGTTCTCTACCACTCTTTAAAAGCTCTAGCTCTACTTTCAGTTTCTGATTTTCTAATTCTAACTTTTCCCTCCTTAATCGCCGTTCCTCTATATCATCCTCTATCTCTTGGTGCCTTCGCTTAAGCTCAAGGCTTTTAAGCTTAGTATATTGATCGTCATTAGACGTATTTACTGTAGCAGTGCGACGGGGATTGAATCCGCTTGGCTTAGGACTTGCGGGGGTTCTATAAATTAGTTAGCAACTAGTAGGTAACTAGTTAAGGGCACGTACTGAGAACGACTTTGAGAGCGATTTAGCGTAGATACTCTAGATCTTGACCCTCTTGGTGTCTTTGACCTATATCGACTAACGATAAAACCTAAAGAGGAGGCCTCCTAGAGAATCTGATCGTCGATATTATCTTGGTCCTTTTGCGCTTTGTCTCGATCGTTCTACTCTTTTTCCGCTTTTAGTCTTTTCCGCTCTTCGCGCTGTATACTATTACTAAAACGAGTCTCTATATTATTAGCGTGATAGCTATAATGGATACTAAATTTCTCTCGAATAGAGAATTGATCGATGTCTCGCTGATCAAGGAATCGTGACCTTATAACTAGTTAGAGGCTAGTTTCTAACTAGTTATATTGAACTTACTTCATCACTGCACCTAAAAGAGTGTCGTAAACCCCGAGAAAGTACGATTTCCAATAGCTTTACTTAATAGCATTCGTATAAGGCCAAAATCTCTGAAAGAATTTAGGGTTTATACCTAAGCAAGCCTAACATAAACTAGTAGTAATTATTGGATGTCTCTTATGCTGAACCTAGCCTTGTAGGTTTGGGTTGTGGTCTAGATAACTAGTTAGTAACTAGTATTTGACTAGTTAATATTTTTACTTGCCCACAATCAAGTTAAGCAACGTATGATAATCGCTTAAGGATTGACAGGAAAGTAGATTAGTTAAGCGTCGGCGGGCATCAATATAAGAGCTATTTGGCCTATTAGGGTATATCTTGACTACTATTCGTATAAAATGGATAGTATAGAATATCATAATATAAGTTAGCTACTAGTTTCGAGGACGTCTGTAGGGGTTAGACCTCGCTTTGGGTCGGGTTTGGGTCTAACTTCAGGACCCGTACCCGCGGGTCGGGTTTATACCCAATACCTAAAATCTATACCCGTAGACCCGTGGGTTCTTGGCGGGTACCTATGGGTTACCCGCTAAGAACCCGTTTTGGCATAAATATCCTAATTTAGTCTACGCCAAGACGCATAAAACTGCTAATTAACCTTAATAAAATACCGTTATTTATATCTGTTCCGGTCACCTCTGTGGTTCTAATTAATAAAACCCTCTTTCCCTTATAAAAGATTAAGAAATTAGTCTATTTTCTAATTAATGAATAGCAGTAATCTTATATATTTCGCTTTGAGGACTATATAATATTATTAGGGTTGTAAAAACTAATATTCATCAAAACTGTCATCAGAAGTGCGGAAATATATATAAACTATAGAATATAGTACGTATATTTTTGCAAGGATAATATAATTCTATATTGTCCTTGCAATCCTATGGCTTATAAGGAATTTTTGATCTCACAACAATCAGCATATATTCATTAAGCTATACGTTAACTAATCGAATGCTCTTTTATCTTATTTAAGCTATTAAATGCGAAAAAGTGGATTGATTTTACCTTGATTGAAGACTTAGAAGGAAATTGTTTAAGGAAAACGGGTTACCTATAGGTTTATAGGTTATAAGCGGGTTACCCGCGGGTTACCTATTATATATATAGGCTATAAGCTAATAAGTATAGCTTTTATCTACCTATATAGGCCTTTGTTGATATATTATATTTTTCACTTTAGAAGAATAGGGTACTACGAGGCCCTAGAATCTACGCTTACGCGTTGAAATTCTTTTGTAAGACTTTTGACTATCCTTAGCTAAGTGCTCGTTAATTATTATATCACTAGATATCTTAATTCACTAATACCTACGCATTATCTTCGTATGATATAGACCTTTTAGATGACCTTTAACTCCTCCTATTAGGCAATCTAACCCTTGATCTATTGATTAGCCAACAAAACTTCGCTTGTGTCGCGAGCTCTATAGGCGATACTGATTTTATCCTACTAGGATTACTTTCGCCCTCGGTGCCTAGTTCCCTCGAGAGCGTTCGACCTGATCGTATCACTATATACGTGGTCTACTCTAAAATAATGAGTGATGACTATATGTAATAGTGGCTATAAACGGACTTCGGAAGGAAGAAGCGTATACGCTAGGACTCGCGATACTCTTTCGACGTTTGGCACCACTTTAATTAGGTGGCTAGGGCTAGTGATAGCGCGCCGAAGGTTATATATAAGTATTGTAAGGCTATCCTTAATCACCTAGGGCTTGGAAATGGAACTTCCACGATAAAGAAATATACTACTAGCTATAGTAGGAAGCCAAAAAGCCAAAATATTAGGCAATTTATGTAAGCGGTAAGCTAGCCTAATAGTCTATAGGATATACACTGATTTCGACTACTTCTATAGGCGCGGAGCCCTCTAGTCGATACTCTATTTAGCTAGGAAAAATGGGAATTAAGTCTTCTTCGATTTATTACTAAATTAAGGCTACCCTTCTAGCTTCTAGAGTATCTAGGGTTCCGTGATATAATATCTATAGCCTAAAATGCCCCAAGACAGCTTAATATTCCATCTATAAAGGTAGTACGGCGTTGGCTACGAAGTACGGTACTCGAACGCTATTAGAATATACTACAGAAATTTCCTAAAGATGGAAAGATTTCTATTACCCTTAACTATTGGACATCTCCTTTCTAGTAGGTATTTATAGTAGTTACGGGCTACTTCCTTGATAAAGACTAGAATTATTGGGAGCTACTTCTAGGATTTAAGCCTCTTTATGGAACACACTTAGGTATTAACCTTAGCGCTATTTTGTTCTAGCTTCTACAGAAGTACAATTTGACCGATCGAGTACTTATAATCACTACTGATAATATATTGAATAATAACACTTTAGTAGTAAGCATCCAAGAGACTATCTAGTCCCTTAATCTTAGCGATGATACCGCAATCATTCGCGTTCTATATATTGCCTATATTATCTAACTAAGCTTGAAGTAACTCCTAGGTCAGATGAAGGTAAATCCAAAGAACGACACTGCTTAAATGTAATGGACTGAATCCTAGGACTAATCAATTCGTTCTAGACAACAAAAATGGGAGATCATTAACACTTTAAATAAGGCTCGTCACTATTAAACCTATTAAAAACCTACTTCTAATCTATTTTTATAGCTTCGAAGCTTAGCTATCTTTATTAACGTAAGCCCACAGCGCCGTGAAGCTTTCTGTAGCCTCTAGATAGGTTCTATAGCTCTTGTTCCGATATAAGACGTTCGTACGCGATGGAATTCGACGTTTCTAATGCTTCGTCGTGCTAAACGACTGCAATCCGTCTTAGATAAGTTTTGCTCGAAGTACGGCTATCTATATCTTATGCTTAACTAAGAGTAATGGCGTTAGATTGACTATTTACTCTAGATTATATAGCCGTTCTTCTAGTTCACCACTACGCTATCGAAAACTAAAGATATCACCGTCTACCTTGTCTTTGCTATCTATAATAAGCTCTTCGACCATCTTAAGAAGTCGATTAAGTAGCTTATAAGAAAGAAGATAGCCTAGAAGAAGCTTATGCTTACCGCTCTCTATACGGCGGAGGAAAAGCTTAGGCAGTACTATAGTAAGATGGATGATATTCCTAGTGATCTCTTTGCTATTAGTATAATGCTCGCACCATAATATAAGCTCTAGTTCTTCTAGAGTAAAGATTAGGGCCCTAAGTGGCTTACTAGATATAGGTAAAGCCTTGTGGACTACTTTGAACTATATAAGCAACGTCTATTAGAGGAATAGATAGAGAACGGTGAAGGATCTTCTACGTAGAGTGTAGGTATAGACCTTGATCGGATGATTAGTCTAGATCAGACTATCTAAGCTAGCTAGCAGGACGAGCTTATAAGATATCTCGATGGTGGTAAGTATCCTTATTTTATTAATCACTAGGCTTATACTAATATATATACCTTAGCCACCGTTTCTAGTATTCTAATACGAGCGTTCTAGAAGGAGAACTAGATTATATTCCTTGCGCTTGCAAAGCTCGCGCGTGATGTGCTCTCAATTCCTGTAACTAGCGCTGGCGTTGAGCGGCTATTTAACACTGCTTAGGATATCTGTCACTATCGTCGAGGCTTACTAAATGCTACAACAATCTAGGAGATTATGTTGTATAGATGTACGACGTAATTTGAAGTCGAAGAGGACGAAATCGCTTTTCGGAAGGAGTATCTTTCTGCAGGGGAGATAGAAGCGGATTATGAAGAGAAAGATGCCCAACAACAAGAGGGTACTGTCGACCCGATTAGTGATAATAAGGAGAGTAATAAGGACGATACATGGGTGGGTTTAGTCCTTATTTAAACGTAATTAACAACGGAAGGTCCCTCGAAACGTGCTCTTAGAAAGAGAAGAAAGAGTGTTGCATCTAAACTAGACACTAAAGGCTATAAGGATAGTAACGAGGAGGAAGATATTCCTCTACTAGAGATATAATAGCGTGTCTCAGGAAGATCTAGGAAGCGGCCGCGGTATAATGATGATCAGTTCATAGTTTATTAGTTTAGTTCTAGAATTGAAGACATTTATACTTATCCTTGACCTTATTTCTACAGGAATACACTACCTATAAGCTAGATACCTATAAATATAGCCTATAAATGCATAATATATATATATCACGAGGTTCTTCATGTTTGTATTGTTTACCAACCTGTGGGTAACCCGCGGGTAACCCGCGGGTTTAATATCTCAACCCGTACCCGACCTTCGGGTCCATACCCTCGACCCAAAACCCGCCAAGAAACGGGTATGGGTCGGGTCCAACCCGTCTACCCGCGGGTTTGGGCGAGGTCTAGTAGGGGTCTTGGTCTTGGAGGAAATCTCCTAAACCTTAATTAGTTGTAACTAGTTAGAGAGTAATTTGTAACTAGTTAGAATAATAACTCACTATACATCTGATTTGGATATATATCACTAACTATAGCCTTGATACCTTCACTATGAATGGAAAAGAACTTGATAGGTCTCTGAATAGCCTGGGACACTAGTTTAAACACTTGTTGAAAGATGAACTTATATGCCGTAGGGTTTTCCTGGTCCGTGAAGACATAGAATAGTGTTATAACTAGAGAACTAGTTAATAAGTAATTAAAGATTAGTCAAATAGACCTTCACGTACTCTTTCTATGGTCTGGTAGTATCGTAGCAAAAATGACCTCGTTCATCACCCCTTTTACCCGTTTGTAAGATATATCAACTTCAATAGCGTTAAGAGATACGAGAAATACCATCTGTGTATAGAATGCACAAAAGATATATATCCTATGGGTAGTGTGGTAGGTTTCGCGGACGTATTGCTAAGTAGAACTAGTTAGAAACTAGTTTTAATCTAGTAGTAAATTAGTTAATACTATACCTTTAATGCTAGATTAACTCGAACTTGATGACGGACACTAGCTAGATTTTTTCCTAATAGGTAGTGTAACGCTCGCTGTTTCTAAATTATAGCTATAATTTTATCACTCTTAGCGAAGCTAGAGTGAATCTAAGATAGCGTAAGATATTGCTTTTTCTCGCAGAATTCGTGGAGCGTAGGACTTCGAAGAAATGTGCCTTAAAATTTAGTTAATAACTAGTTATTAACTAGTTGTATTTTATTATACTCACTTAGTGTTAGGTCTGGGTTTATATTCCTATAAATAATATTAAGAACTTCGCTTGCAATTGACTATGGAGCTTTCGTAGGTGGTGGCGGTGGATGATTATAGACCCTACGTGAGTAGAAGATAGTATATAGGTGAGACCTTATATCGTATAGGATAAAGGTATAGAAAACGACGTCGCACGTGCTATGATCTTGGATAGAGCCTTGGCCCTGAGGATAGATTATTCCTATTACTAGTTAGAAACTAGCTATATAGTAGTTGATAACTAGTTCTTGCCGTATCTTGTCCTTCGAGAGTTCTGTGGCTCGATAACACTGTATGTTTTCGAGCTTGCTTTAAAGGTGGTACTTAAGAGACTCTTAAGAAGCGATATATCTATCGAGTTCTCTTTCGTAACTAGAGACTGATGGAAATGCTTTTTATGATTCTCCTAGGTTGCGTTGAAACACCTAATATAATAGCTAGTAACACCACTAATATTCTAGTAACTAGTTAATAAATAGTTTAGCACTAGTATTCGTAAAATGAGCGAGCTTACCTACTTGTCGTACGTGCTAAAGGTAGGCCGATAACTTTTAGTTTGCGCTTTATAAGCTCTCTCTGTAGTAAACTTCCCTTGGATCGCATAGTATAGACTAGTAAAGTATTAGTGATATCGATTATAGCGTAGAACTAGTCTTTAACTAGTTCTTAATTAGTTTACCTACGCTATACTTACGCGCTAAAGTAGCCCAAAATCCTCGGTGTGCTCTATCCGTCGCCTAGCTTAAGCGATCTTAGTGAAAAGCGCCTCATCCGCGTAAAGATGACCCATTCTAGCAAGCTCTGGGTCAAGGAACTCGTAGCGCTTAATACTAGAGTATGTATATCGTTTTTTCTCTATTGGGCAGCTAAGATACGTATTAAAAACGTTTGATGTTACACCTTTACCTTTAAACGAGTACTGGATCTATACTAGCTATCTAGTTAGTAACTAGTTAATAACTAGTTTAAAGGCGACCCCTACCGATTTAAGTGTGTCTTTCGCCTAGTGGGGCTTAATATTTTCGAGGTTCACCACGTATATATACCTAGCGTTATGCGTTTGTGGATACTCAGGTAGCAAGGCTACATACTCAATAAATACTGCTGATATAGTATATATTGATCGATCTGTTAAGGGCATTGGAAGAGGGTCAGGGTGCTAGAGAAATAGTTAGAAACTAGTTGGTGAAGAGTTGTATGTTGTCAATGCAGATATATATTTACGTCGTTTGGGTCTGGAATCGATGCGTGACGATCTTGGAGATCACCCTGCTCCCCGAATTCAAAGGCGTCGTCGGTCGGTTCAGGTGTAGGGTCAAAACGTATAAGATCATGGATCATCCGATGCTCATAGTCCTTCCAGATAGGTTGATTACTATTCGCCATAGTGATAGTAGTGATAGTGAGGAATAGAAAACAAGCCAAAACAAATACAGTATGTAGGTAAAATACCTTGTTACCATGGCATACAATGATTAGTAAGTAGGAATGCGAGATGGGTGCAGTGAGCTCAGAAAAGAAAAGTGGGGCTAGGTGCAGCGACCTCCGACCCTAGGTGTACAGTGACACAGCAAAAGTATTAACACCCCCCTAGACCCACCCCCCTTATTACCTAATATTCTGCCGGCCTAAAACTCCATGAATTTCTATCTAGTAGGGCGTATACCAGCCCTGGCTCTCAATAATAGCTTCCACCCGGTGCGGCATCGTCTCAGATAGATGCGTTAGGTGCTGTATTTCTAGTTCTTCCTATGCTATCTGTGCTGTCTCCACTAGAATAGCGTAGGACGCGCTATTATTACGCATATCAATAAGATCCGGCCGTAACTCATAGATTTTAGCCTTCAAGAGCGCCCATAGGTTCTCAATAGGGTTTAAATCAGGCGAATGAGGCGGCCATTCCATTACCTCAATTCCTAGCTCGCGTAGAGTATCGCGGACAACGTGTGCAGTATGTGTAGGCGCATTATCATGCTGAAAGATACCACCCTCATGATTCATTAATGTAGGCAGCATTCGGAGATATAAATCTCGAATAATAAAGCGATCAACGCCTCCGCGAGGTGCTTCAGGGTTTCCAAATAGAGGGATAAGGCCAGTGCGTCGTGTGCTGCCAGAAAAAGCCCCCCAAAACATCTGCTTAACTTGGTTTCCTTTTATAGGAAGACCTTGACATTGTCTCTCCTTAGGCTGATCTCGAGGGCGAATAAAAGTCCATTCACGACGAACACCAATACCGCGCTCAATTGTACATTCGTCAGACCAATAGACACGAGCCCAATCTTCAGCAATAAAGTGTCGATAGCGATGCGCCCATTGAAGCCGTTTTAGCGCATTTTGTTCGGTCAAATAGGGCCGCTAGCTACAGCGCCACTTTCGCATATTCTCGGCGTTTAAAAGGCGTCGGATCGAGTCATATTTAACCAAAAATTTAGGTCAGTAAGCATTTAAAACTAAAGGAATATAGCTAACCTTATTCGACACATTTGCAAGCAAATCAACGCGGGTAATCTTAGGATTTTCCTCAATAGCGTTTAACAAACGCTCACGATCAGCTTCATCAAGCTTCCGTGGGCGTCCAGAGCGTGGTTTAGAGACACCATTGAGTCGTTCGCGGTCCTTTTTAATAGTATAGCGTATACTAGAAAGAGAGACCCAAGGATAGCGCTTTTGAATACGTTTATAGCCCCATCCCGCAGCTTGGGACAGCTCACATATACGCTCACGTAGCGCAGGTGTCAATTCAGACCGCGGTGCCATAATAGATAGCAAAATAAGGAGATTCAGGAGGTATAAACAGAATAACGCGCAAAAACGCGAGATTATTGAGCTACTACTAGCGTGTTCCTAGGTAGGCGGTGAGAGGGCGGTGTAGGCGTGGGTCCAGGGGGGTGTTAATACTTTTGCTGCGTCACTGTAGTGACCTGTAATCTGACGGGCCTTGGAGCATGATACCTTTTGCCTGAATATCCAGGTGTCACATCCGGGGACGCGGCTTTGTCATCTCCCCGTCTCCCAGGAGCTTCCAGTTCATCGCGCATTTGCACCGCTTTCCTGACCACGACACCAAGAATGGGCTTGTTATAGCTCACGGCTGTGATATTTGGAGTACCGCATCCAAATTTGACTTTGTGTTCTGAACACATCTATCAACGACCGGCCACGCTGGCCTTTCCTATGACCTAAACCCCATCCGCCATAATGATTACACTCCTGCGCTTAATACAGAGCCTCTCGCTCCTGCTGCTGCTCATCGGAACAGTAACCGCCGAGCACACCTCTAACTGGGCTGTACTCGTCTCTACCTCCCGGTTCTGGTTCAACTACCGTCACCTCGCCAATGTCCTCTCTCTGTACCGAACGGTCAAGCGACTGGGCATCCCCGACTCCCAGATTATCCTCATGCTCCCGGATGATATGGCCTGCAACCCTCGAAATGCTTTCCCCGGGACCGTGTACAGTAACGCAGACCGCGCAGTGGATCTGTACGGAGACAACATCGAAGTGGACTACAGGGGCTACGAAGTGACGGTCGAGAATTTTATCCGACTCTTGACAGACCGCCTGGATGAGGATGTGCCGCGCAGCAAGCGTCTCGGCTCGGATGCCGGAAGCAATGTGCTCGTCTACATGACCGGTCACGGGGGGGACCAGTTCCTCAAGTTCCAGGACGCGGAGGAAATCGGCGCATGGGACCTTGCCCATGCGTTCGGACAGATGTGGGAAAAGAAGCGCTACCATGAACTGCTGTTCATGATCGATACCTGCCAGGCCAACACGATGTACACCCACTTCTACTCGCCCAATATCGTCGCCACGGGATCCAGCGAGCTGGACCAGTCTTCGTACTCACACCACGCGGACAACGACGTCGGAGTCGCTGTGATCGACCGTTGGACTTACTATGTGCTCGAGTTCCTAGAGACCCAGGTTACGAGCGCCAACTCAAAGTTGAATCTGGGTGATTTGTTCGACTCCTACGATGAATCGAAGATTCACTCGCAGCCCGGTGTCCGGTGGGATCTATTCCCCGGTGGCGAGTCAGAGGGTCGCCTGCGGACGGTGGTCGATTTCTTCGGCAACGTGCAGAATGTCGAGGTTGAGAATGCTAATGCGACTGAACCAGGCTCTCTCAAAGAAGATCTGGCTGAGATTGCGCGACTGGTTGAGAGGTGGCGCAAGCGCGATGAGGAATACTCTGCCATCCTTGGCAACTCGTCTCAGCATCGCCGCGAGAACGAGCCTTCGGAGTCTGTGCACTTGGGCTCGAAGATGACCGAGGGCCCGACCAGAATGGCCGAGGACAACAGCTGGGGCAAGCGCCTGGTCGGCCTGTCCGTGTTGGGTGCCTGTACTGCTATCTGGGTCGCTGGATCGATTCTTGGCCGTTCAGCCTGATGGCGCTAAGACAAACGGTTTCGGTTTATTTCTTTGTACATATAGCATGCATGGCCTTTAGGCATGACCTGTCTAGTAGCATTAGTAGTAGAATTAATTGAGCCGATCTAGATTGTCCTACATACATGCTGCTGTGCAGGATGCTTGCAGATGCCTTTATTCAGGGCACTGTCGGCAGAAACTTGGAGGTGAAGGTTGGGTTCCAAACTGGCGTCGGTTCCCGTCGAGAACACGATGAATGGTATAGCGCCTATATCTATTGTTGTCGATGCGAGGATGACTGACCCAAGTCAAAAGGACTGGGCATGGCGGATTGTTATTCTTCACGCTGACGGCGACAATCCAACTACTCTCTACGGCCGGAAGTCAAGATTTGATTCCATCGCGGAATTTTTGGATTGGTACAGCAGCTGGTATGATCATTTGAGTTTAGATCAGGTTCGCAAGCAGATCTTGAGCTTGTACGGTGATGATGACGACGAAGTTTGAATCGTCCGCATCGCTTGTTTTTTAGTCCACTATTGGGTCCGATTGAATATATGTGCCATGTGCGATATTTGTATTTGGACTATGCCTGCGTAATCCTGTCAGCGGTTTACAACAATGCCTAGTCCGTCCATCATGCTAATCCATGTCACACCGAGCACAAAATGGCTATCACAGATTTGTTTTCGGGATAGCGCAAATTCCCCTAGCGAGATTGAAAGATCTGAATGGTTAACTTATATACCAAGAAAAGCGGAAAACCTTGTATCTAGCTTTCAACCATATAAGCGAGTTGCACACAATTGGTATTCCGTCATAAACACCTAATCTGCTTCAGTCGAAGTGCCATTTGCGGCCAACCGATCACAGAGATGGACTGAGACAGATCGCCATTTCGGAGTATCCACGAACGTGGTTTTTATCAAAATCTCCGTCACAGAAACGGCCTTCTGGAAGATATCAATCTTCTTATGACCGATACTAGTTCCATTGGATACAAGAGTAAACGGCACAGCCAGCGTCCCATTTGCATCTTGGCTATCAACAATCTTCGCCAGAACCTGGTAGGACCGGATCACCTGGCCATTCGTCTGGTCCTCCATCAACACAATGCGATCAATAGCGGTCGGGTAGTCAAACTTAATGGTGTATACATCATTTTCGTCTGTATTGTGTGCTGCATGTGACCCGACGGGTTTCTCGTAGCAGGAGCTGATGAAATCACCCAGCTGCTTGTAGCGAGCTGCATAGTTAGCCGGAATCAGTCCGCTTCGGTCGGGGGTGAGATCCAATTCCAGGAGACAGTTGCGGCCAACGGTTTTGTGATAGACATCGATCATTTCTTCGATCGATCGCAACGGCTGATCGACGCCGAAGAACCAACGGTCGTCGGTCTGCAAAGTGGTATCGCATTCGGCTGGGCAGAAGTAGGGGCTTTTAGGATCCCCGCCATCGTTGGTCACGCCGCTAAAATAATCAGATTTGTTGACTGTGCGATGAGACATTGTTTTTTCTTCTTTACCTTGACCAATTCTCTTCTGGAGCCTGTCCTTCTTCCGTCCCAATCCATCGAACTAGAGGGAATGTCAGAGCTGGCATACCAATCTCATCCCGTCTTAAAATGGACTCACTTGAATTAGCAGATAGGCAGTTACCGTCTGTATCGCATCCATTGAAAATGACCGCCTGGGGCTGGGTTGCCTCCAAGAGACTCTCAATCTTGTCCTTCTGCGAACTGCTGTATCCACCATCAAACCAGATATGTCGAACGGTAAGAATATGAACAATACAAGATTACATGCTGCTCTATCTGATATGACTCACCTCGGTCAAGCTTCCGTAATTCCTCCATAGCTCGCTCAACTGGTCAAGGACGATTTGGTCGTATGTGCCGTTGGTAATATTCACCTGACCAGGGGCCCAAGAGCCGGCACGAACATCGGAATCTTGTACATTCAGATAGTTGTTCACGACAACGCTGTAGTAAAGCCCATGTCCGACATTGTACTTTTGCGCCGAGTCCACGAAGCTCTTTACGACATTCTTGCCCTTAACCGGCGATTGGGCGATCGTATAGTTGTAGGGGACTGTTTCGTTATTCCGGTTTTGAAAGGTCACTTCACTCGGCCAATTTGTGAATCCGCAGTTGTGCTTTGCAACCAGAGTAGCATACTTTGCACCCAGCGCAGTGGTCGTGTCCATCCATGCATCGGTGTTGATCAAGGTCGGATCGAACAAGGATGGGTTAGGCACTAGGTTGGGAACATTGTTGCAGCCATCAATGCTAAGATACGTAGCTATCTCAAAATGTATGAGGACTCCGATCTCTTTGTCTTGGAAGTCCAGTTGTTCCTTCGTTGGCAACGCAATCTTCGAGCCGTCGATCGGAGAAATACGGAATTTAGGCTGGTAGGTGCTGGCTAGTGCGCACGTTGCGGCACATACGCCTGTCAAGATACTGAGGGGAAGCTTCATGATCCGATAGGGATTTGATCAATTATCTAGACTGCTGCGCGGCGAGTTCAAACTTGAGAGATTTATATTCATGGAAGTCTGCAACGATAGTCCAGCGTTGTATTGCAGAGTGATAAGACTAACTGACGATGCAACACTACTAATCTCCACTCACATCTATGTAGCATCTAGGCCGAAGTTCAGGGCTGAGAAATGACATGTTTGAAGGATCGACGTCAGTAGTGCCATTTTAATGACGCTGCGGTTGCATCTCACGGTACATTAATTGCCCCTAGGCATAAAAACGTATATTTACCCGCTAATCGGCAAATAAAATCGGATAATTTCTTGAAAGAACTTGCAGACGCAGTGGGTGTTTCCTATTTATATTTCCTCGTGAAGGATAACCAGTCAACACTAGACGACACTTGCGGATACTGCGGGGAAATGCGGGGGAATGCAGCCTTGCCCCCAGGCTCATTAAGGCCTGCTTCAATTGAAGCGGATAGCAAGAGAAGATAATGGCCAATGCGTTCATCCTCCTGCCATTGGACGAAAAGTGGGAACGCTTCTATGAATAAGACGTGAACTGTGCCATGGTATATTTGACGACCGAATGTACTTCTGGTCACGGTCGGTCAGTTCACCTCTCAATAGCATGCCATGTAGTCGCGCAGCGAACCCACCTGCATATTGGCTTGATAATACTGGACTATCTTGTAAACATAGTGAATGAGGACATCTTCAGGTTTATTTTTGTAGCATTTCAGGAAAATAGCAGATTGAGGGATACGTGAGACCAACCACCTTAGTTTTTCAAACAATTATCTCGAGAATTATGCAGACTTGTTCCTGACAACTTCCTTTCCTAGACATGGTGCATCGCGTTGTTTCGTTTCTGTGGCTCTCAGACACGATGGCGCATTACATTACTGAATCTTTGCTTAGACATGAAGATGGTGTTTCCAGCTTGATATCCAGTTTCCTGGATGTTAATCGCGGTGCAATTAAACACAGAGATCCAAGTACGCATGATGGCTGGTAGTACTTGACTAATCCTATTACGGAAACACATCCGATATCGGCGAAAGGCCCAAATGCCGTCCACTAAAAGAGTTTAGCGGCCTCCATAAATGCCGAAATGGGTACCTAGCTCCGCTTGACCTCATCCTGATAACTAACTAGGCTATCCCGTGTTTCGAGACTCTCTCTCCGCTTATGTAAAAACCAGTTCGGCCATACTCCGGCCGTACGCTGCTCCGCTAAACCGAACCAAATATCCTTTCCCTTCCCACTGCGCTTGCTGAAAACTTTGCTGGCCTTGTGGTTCTGCGGTTCATCCAAGGCTTCTTTGGGAGTCCTTGCCTGGCAATCGGGACTGCCACCAGCCCGTCTACGAAAGCCCAACCAGAATAAGAAACTTGTGAGAGATCGAGCCATTTCAAATATTAATTATGGAAAGAAAGACCTCGCGCGCGCTGGCCGTCAATTCGCACATGTGAAAAGTCTCCCAGAAGGCACTGTGAAAGAGGGAAAAGCTTGTACAAACTCACTCCACTGGCGATCGGCAACTACCGGTAACTACCGGCCGCTCGGTTCCAAATTGCGATGTGCATAATAGTCGCGAGTCTTAGACGCACGCGCCCCGCAGGAAACTTTGAACACTTTGGCCGCTTTAATTATATAATCCAAGCCCGAGTTCCATCCATCTTCTGCCCCGACTCGCACCTCCTATTCCCCTCAGAGAGGTTTGTCAACGAGAAGACGGCCTGACGGCTTCTCATTCGTGATGGCTGATCGCAGTCTGGCGGTGAAGGCGGTGGCGGCTACTTTTGTATCAATCGCTTTCGTCGTGGTGTGTCTTCGGGTATATTGCCGATCGAGAGTGGTCAAAAGCTTTGGATGGGATGATGGTCTTATGGTGGTGGCAATGGTATGTTGCTTGAATTATTATCCCTATGACAACTGCTGAACCTAATTGGGGCAGCTCTTCTATATTATGTATTCAGGAAGCATGATTGGTGGAAGCCTTTATGGCACTGGGAGGCTATTTGATGATATAACCAAGAAGGACGCCCTCATGGCAATGAGAGTAAGGAACAAGTACAATCTCTTGGACTATAATGAAGCTCATTCACTTAAAAACTCTCTAGTACTGGTGGCTTTGCGAGATTGGTTACTGTTTTTCTTCCGTCTTCTGCAAAGCCTCGGTCTGCGTCTTCTTGCTCCGGATTACCGTTCGCCGCGTCCACAATTGGATCCTCTACTTCGTCATGTTCTTCACCGTGGCAACAGGTCTACTGTTTATGTTCCTGATGCTTTTGCAATGCAAACCGCTCTCTTTCTTCTGGACCAGAGCTGGCCCCGATCCTCCAGAACATGGATCATGTATAAACATGGACACAATTATTGCAATGACCTATGTATACAGTGTTTTCGCCGCGATTTGCGATTTGACAGCTGGTATTCTTCCCATCTTTTTGGTCTGGAACCTGAACATGAATTACAGCATGAAGTTTGCTGTGGTTGGCATTCTCAGCATGGCTTGCATGTCAGTTTGTATATGTCTGATAGCCCTCTCCGTCTCAAAGACTAATATTTCTCGGTTGACTTTTAGTGCAAGCGCTGCAGTGATCGCTCGGTTTCCGTTCGTGCGAACATTTGCCGATCCGGAATTTTTGTGTAAGAGCCTCTTCCTCTCTCAAATAGCCATAATCGGCTACGAATAAGTCCTAATCAATTATAAAATAATACAGATTCTACAGTTGAAATAGCTGTCCTCTCAAACGTTGAAAACGGACTTGGGATAACAGCTGCGAGCCTCGCAACACTTCGTCCGCTCCTACGCCATATAAAGGGAGGGCTTTCATCGGCTGGCTACTTAAGTGGAGAGACCACGGTACCCTCATCGCGTCGAAATGATCAGCGGTTTCAGTCTCTTGAGCTCATAGATCGAGGAAATAATTTGCCATATCAAGTCACGGTCACCACCAAGACGGCAAGTGGCACTTCACCTTTCCGTCATTTGGATGAGCGGACTGGAAGTGAAGAGTATCTTACAGCATAAGCCCCACTCTCTTACTGCAAATAAATAAGCAAAGGATTGCGAAAAGTCACAATGAGTAGTTTGACCATGAAGCATGCTAATACTTAAACCGATTTTTCCCATTGCCGAGGCATAGCATAGATGTGGAAAACGTCACGATCAACGGTCTTCAATTGAACTCAGTGTTTCCTTCGTAAGCATCGCATAGCTCGGTAGTCGGCCACTTTCCTGAAACTTATTCTCAGATCATGTATCTCACAAATGGTCGGTTGCCTTGCTTTCCGCGGCGATGTCCTACCCAATGCTGAACCCGTATGTGCCTCTGTTCTGCGCGGATTAGCCAGCACTAAACAACGTTCTTGACGAACATGACTACTTCAGGCAATCTACACGATTATTAATCTCTAGAAGTAACCGCCTGCATGAGACAGTATATATAGTCTATCTTCGGCGCGTTTGGCTTGCTACTAATTAAGTTAGTTAGACCTCGCACTCACCCGCGGGTGACGCTCTGAACCCTCCACCCGTATCGCCCTATAGTGGGTGGAGGGTCCGACATCTCGACCCTGAGGGTCGGATATAGAGGTGCCCGACCCTTAGGATACTGAGTACTGCGCACATCGAAGTCATGGATCTGTACACCCAAGTGCAACCAGACCAGGAGACACCCTTCCTGGCCGGAGAATGGGAGACGCTGCTGTCGCACGCCGTCGAGCTGTATCAGCGACTCGAGAACCTCTTCGCCGAACTGCCTGTGAGCTGGCGTTTCAAGACGGTCAGCGACCCTTTGGCGAACCCACGCCTCGTGTTCCCGGGGAAATACCACATCTACTATAACACCTGGATAGCCCAGGTGTGGGACGGAATGCGGGCGTGCCGCATCATCTTGAACCATGTCATCTACTGTCTACTGCTACGCGAGGGACTTACATGGGCACCGCACGAGTTCTCAGACGGCGGCGCCTACACGAGCCTGTTACAGAGAGTATCGCACACGACGACGGAGATGCGGGACGACATCCTCGCGCCGGTGCCTCACATGCTTGGCTTCATTCAGCATGAGGCCACAACTAGCACCTCATACATAGACTGTAGCAGCAGCGCCGGCACGCCGTCCTTGGTCCCTGCCTCGGGCGCGTACTTTGTCGTCTGGCCCTTGTACCTTGCCGGAATCCGCCTGATGAACACGCCAGAGACACGCGAATGGATCGTGGACCGCCTACGTGCCATCCGCTCCACGACGGGCATCCAGATAGCAGCCTATCTGGCTGAGATGAAAGAGAAGGATGCTGCCCATCTCAATGCGATGCTGCTGACGAGCGAGTTTCTGCTTCCCCACTGTTGATGTGCTTATTTTCTTGGTTATATTGGGTATGTTAAAAGACAGCGATCATTAGTCTAGGGTATAAAGCGATACAAAGTGGGCGTTGTCAAAATAAGGACAACTTGAAAATATTGCAAAATTCGGGATACAGCACGTCTCAGAAACTACTATCACCACCTACTAATTGCCGAAATACGCTAGTACCATTTAGGAATTTTTCAGTAGAATGGTTTGTAAGAGCCTGGTATTGTTGACAACAAAGGTGTATTCTACGTTGGTCCAACGGACCCTTAAGTAGTACATAATAGCCGTGCTGCTAATCTACGGGAAATACCTATATATACACCTCAATCTCTCATTGCTCGTTTTCATTGATTGCAGCTTATAAATGTAGGGAATTGAATGTAATCATGTGATGGCTAAGCCCCCCGTACTAGTAGGCCTCGTCAAACCCCCCCCATCCCCTCCCTCTTTAAGACCCCAACACGGCTTTGGCAACATCTGGGTAATCATGTCGGATCCTCTTGGCCTTATTTCTAGCAATCGCTTCCACCGCCGTGTCAATCTCGATACAATATGCGGTCCGCTGACCGTCTCGTTCGCCGAAATGGGCTGTGTCACTGGGCCCGCGCTGCTGTTCATACCGGGGATGTTTGCATCGCGTTATATGGGCATCCCTCTGCACGCTATTGCAGAGCGCGCTGGCGTGCGTTTACTCGTTGTCGACCGGCCAGGTATGGGTGCATCGACCGATGTTCCACTCAACAAGCGAATCGCCGCTTGGGTTGATTTGCTACCGCGTCTGCTAGCGCATCTTGGTATTGCTCGCGTCAACCTTGTCGCCCACAGCGCCGGGACGGTTTATTTGCTTAATACCTGGGCGCAGTGCCATGAGCTTGTAGGCCCAGAGATTACTTTATTAGGTATTCAATTAACCCCTCTCTTGAAGGAGAAAAGGAATGACCTAGAATGCCGCCAATAGCCCCTTGGGTTAATCCCGCCTACTCGCGCGTTACCGCGATGCAAATAGCACAGTATGTGCCAACGAAAGCATTCAGTGCCTGGCACCATATCCCGCGCTTCTTTGTGACTCAGGCCGCTCCTATACTCGCGTCAAGCAAAGCTTTGTTTCGTCAGATATCATCACAAGTAAGCGAGGCGGTAGAAGAGAACCGCTCATCCCTCGATGCTAATTACCAGAGCGCTGAGCGCGATGACAGCGTGTTACGCGCGGAACAAGCGGAGCTCTTTCGCCTCGCCGCTTCCTTCATGTACGATGAGACCACCGTCGGTGCTAATAGTGAGGCTCTTTTGTGTCTTCGAAAGAGCGATGGCAGTGACTGGGGTGTCTGTTCGGACTATGCTCAATGTGCGCAGATGCTGGCTGCCCGCGAGCAATCCACAGATGGCCGAGTCAGTCTCCGAACGTACTTTGCTTACAAGGATGCCCTGGTGGGCAGTCGGGGGGCAAGATATTTTGAAGAGTGTTGGAAGGCACCAGGTGTAGAGGCTATTGATTTCATCTCCACGACGGTCGATGGAACAGATCATGATACTTTGCTGCAGTCAATGGACGTGTGGAAGGCGATATTCGCTTCGATGTGTAGGCCTCAATAGCTTCTGAGATTCACTCCGCCCACTATCCGTTTTTATGAACCACCGCAACATAAAGTCATGGTCGCCAAACTACCCGCGCAAAGAACTGAAATTACAAGACAACCCACAAGCTAACCCAAGAGCTAACATCGCTTACCTGGTACATTATCGTCTAAATAGAGCAACTAGCCCTGAATCCTTAGCACCGCTAGAGGGAGTTAGAGCTGCCCGAGGGGCGCTTGAGGGGAGCCACGTAGCAAAAAATACTTGCCAAGGATAGATTAGACGTAATAGCCTTAGAATTACGCAAAATAGAGTTCGAGCATAGATCAAAGAGAACAAAGTAGTAAACCTCATTTCGAGCGGAGCTGTTTCCGCTCCGAATATGTATTATTCCGTAATACAAACAAACAAAAAGCACGCCATGAAGGCACGAAAACAGAATTCATTTCCAAAAAAGATGCAAGCTCCAAAAGGCATTTGCTATCTCAAGGAATCAAACATCAAGCGGATGGGAAGAGCTTGTATCCCATGTCCTTGACGAAAGTCTGTTTCCAAGGCCCCTGGAACTCGTGTTCAGCGAGCTCGGCATAGAATTTCCCATGCGCCTCTCCGTCAATCTCAGAGTATGCAGGAGCCCCATCAGTCCTCCGTTCATCAGCATAATAGAATCTGCCTTTGGTCAATTTCAAAATTATTGTAGCCGGCGAAGGAAACGCTTACTTGAAGCCCTTATTAGAGTACGCGGCAGCAGCAGAGCGGATGATGTGGGCCGTTGCGGATTTACCAACACCAAGATCCAGGAGGTTTGCAATGGTGGTCGAGTCGAGTATATTACCAGTGTAGATGAATGTCTTGGAGCTAGAGTCAGGAAGTTGCTCGAAGCCTAAAGCCGCCTGTTGTGCAGCGACAAACGCACTGGTCGTGTTGATATTGAAATCTCGACTGAAGTCAGACAAGGGAAGAGACAAAGGGTCCGCTGGATCATTTGGAGTCACGGCGGCAACTTCAAGGTTGTTAGCGGGGTTTCGGTAAAGGGCTTCCACGAGGAACATGCTTACCATTGTAAACAACAACGCTTGGCAGATTGAGCGATGCTTTGACTTTCGAAAAGATACCCTTCACAGAATGAGGATCCGATAGGTCGGCGGAAATATGGACTTGGTTCGCATTACTATCTTCTTCCTTGAGGCTTCTAGATGCTAGGGCAACTTTGTAGCCCTTTGCGGCAAAGGTCCGAGCCACATGGTGCCCGATATTGGGACCGGATCCGAGAATGAGAATGACAGGAGATTTGCCAGCCATACTTGAGCTTGTATGAATTGATAAGAGAAATTGACGATTAAGGAAGACATACAAGTCTTATTATATTGGCTTCAATGATCAAACAGCAGTTACATCTGTATTATCAATCCACGTGTTTGCTAGTTTTGCTCTGTTTGCTTGAACTTTATCAGAACCTCCCCGGACCTACACCGCTCTGCGGCGATGTCTCCGAGCAAGTTGGTTGTGTTTGCATTATAGTTTGTGCTGTTTGTGTTTGACTTATAACGACCAATCAACGTCGATGACAAATTGCACGAGACAATTAATCTCAGTTTCCCCGAACCCCCGAGGCTTGGGAATCATTTCTGTTTGTCGAAAGCGTTTATGGCTCGGCTAGTAATGATGTAAGCAATCGGGATAATATCCTCCGTACTTATTGGGTTGAGATTTTTCTAGTAGTACCGGACGGAGTATCCGTAAACTATATTGAAGGATGGCTTAATGGCCTCCCGCGTGATTGGCTTATTGAGGTCTCGCCGAATGGCTGGACTACTGATCAGATTGGCCTACGCAGGCTAGAAAAACACTTTATTCCTGCGACCGCTAGGCGTACGCGTGGAAAATATCAATTGTTGATTCTTGATGGCCATGGTAGCCATCTTACAGCGCTATGTGATCGAATCTACACCGAAAACGAAGTTATTCCGCTCTGTATGCCAGCACATTCATCACATCTCCTATAGCCTCTTGATGTAGGTTGTTTAAACGCGCCTGTGGCCGCCTTGTGGAGAATCAAGTGCGTCTTGGCTATAATTATATCGATAAGCTCGATTTTTGGATGGCCTACCCTAAAGCGCGCGCGGATACATTTAGGTCAGAAACAAGCCAAAGCGCTTAAAGATCTACTTAAGCAACGTTCAAAAGGCCCACCAAGACCTACCAAAACTATACTTGACCAAATTATCAAAGGCTACTCTCTAGCTTTGCATCACACAGCACTACTCGCGAAGGAAGTTAGTGATCTATGCGCGCACAACGAGAAGAAGCGGCAGAAATGCACACCAAGGGCCTAATAGTTGCTGAGGCCTCGCAGGTTCTACAGCCTCCTACAGAGGCTATAGAGCGCGTTTAATCACCTACGACTGCGGCCGTTCAACAGCCTAATTTACTACCTCTGCCAGCCAAACGCGCTCAACCAAAGTGTACCGGGTGTGGAGATATAGGGCATAAGATCAATTCATGCAAAAGTCGATAATTTCTGACTATATTATAGCGCTTTGGTAAAAAGAAATCCTGCTTGGAAATATAGTGGTGGGTGAAGTGGGCGGGCCGACCTGTGTTAAATGGCCGAAGATATATTCCTTTTTTCTAGGGAATTGATAGGAGGAGGAAGGGGGGGGGAAACCGGGGGGCGGTTGTAGTATCCATTCCCTATTATTCTCCAAAAGGTTTAGAATGCCCGCTATGAAGCGGCTACTGCTTAAGACGGGCGCGAATAAGGAAGACAAAGACCGAAGGGGTTGGGCGCCTCTATACCGCGCCTCTATGGCAGGTTCGACGTAGTCGCGCGGCTTCTATAGTATATGTCCAACTTATGGGGGCCAGTAGAGAAACGAAGTTCCACGTCGGCACTAAGATATGGCACGCGTGGACGACGGATACTTCGGTGGGAATATTTAGCCTAGTTATTTTATATCACAGTAAATTAATGGAATTGCTGCACGGCTATTCTAGCTTAAGTCTCCTGCGATAATTGCCTCTGCCTCGCAAGCTTCCTCCGAAGGTAACCCGTGTAGCACATTAATATCATAAATCCCAGTGACATGTAAAACATATTTGCGAGAAATCTTCCATCACAAACTTTGTCGTCGTTCCAAAAGTTGCATGTAATAAGCGAGCCAAAGAGCCAGACGTAGATCGCTAGAAGGCATCTAACTTAATTAGCTCGATAGTCCATATATAGAGGCTAAATTCGTAGTTCTCACTTGAAGAAGTGTCTAACCAATGGTACAATGATATATCTGACAATGAGATCGTCGGGATAGGCTTCCGCGATCTCAATATGGCGATTTGGAAACACGCTATTATCGTCTGGCTGGCTGCGAGTGGATGTTGACTCGGGTTCTTGGGGAATCGCTTTTTCCATATTGATCAATAAAAGTAGTAGGTAGGCTTAGACGACGGACAGGACACCTAATTTAATGGAATACTAAGAGGGGGTGAAGAGAATAAAAGAGTGAAAGTAGGGAGGGAGACGGAGCCCCGGTCGCGGTGGCTGATAGGAGATATTTATTTAGGTTCGCTGGCCTTTACATTATACGAGACATGAATCACGTTTTTCCAGGTGGGGCGGTATATACCGCCTAGACGACCAATCGGATTTTACGGTATACCGTGGAGTTTGGGCCAGTGCGAGAAAGGACTTTTCGAATCGGAGGCAAGACAAAACATATAAGAGAGGGTTTCTAATCCGTTGGAAAGAAGAATCAACACTACAGACCTCTTCAAACATTCAAGAACCATACTACACAACGAAGATTATCAATCAATTTTGTTCCCTCCTCGTTGCTGTTAGGCTGGTCTCAGCTATCCCAGTGACCCAGCTTTCTGTTGATCATGACCATGGTGCCTACGAGTTAGTGGCCTACAGTTCAGATCAGGTTGAGCTTCGTAGTCGCAATATAGCGAATCCTCTTGAGGCACGAATCGATTGTAGAAGAATCGGCAATACGATCGTGAGAACGGGTACTAGCGCTGCCGTGTAACTCATTGACTTTTCCTTATCCCTCTCTGTTCCTTTACTCTTTATTCATATTTTAGCTCGGGGTCCTAACATACTGCATTTGTTCACGTAAGAACCGACTATGCCGCATATGTCTGTGAACAAGAAGCTGCCAAACGCTGCGTTCAATATGTTGGCTACGTGCAACACGCTCTGGATGGTATCTTCATTGCTTTGGGCTTTATGCGTGGCTCAATAGGCACTTCTATGACCAATGAGCAGCAGTCCTTTGAAAATGGTGCGGTGCGGCGCGACCTCCCTTCGAGCACTGTGTGGGAAGGTCTTGATCAAGCTCTTCGGAGCGATAGTTGGAAGTTTGACTCAATAGAGCAAATCGACGTCTCTAACGTTACCCTTAATAAGCGAGACTTTGATCCTTCGCTTATCCATCGCACTATTGCCCGAAATGTGGCAGTTGACGACCAGAGCAATACTTCTGATCTCGCATTCAAATTTTTCGATAACGGTGACTTGAATTTACACTTTGCCGGTGACTTTGGACATCTTTCTTCCGGCACCGACCAGAGCCCGACTCTACAGCGACGCTTCGACGGTGCCGGGTTCAAGATCGCAGCTACGACACGTGTCCGTTCGAAGTTGACCCGAGATCACCAGAGAAGTATGGCCTACCATATTGCCTGTGATTGGGCAAGTGATTCATACAGAATGTCGACGTCTGATTATATCGGACTGGTAAAGACCGATCACACTGCCAACTTCTACTTCCGTATCATTCCTGAGATCAAGGGTTTCGGTCTCAACTACGAGAGCGTCAATATCTGCGGCCAGCTAGCACCATTCCTGTAATCCTGGCATGCCTTGTCGGATTCAACACGTATCTAACAGTTGTCATCCTCTGTTGGAGATTGGGATCTCGGGTAGTCAATATTTGTTGGTTATGTTTGCTTGTTTTCCACAAAACCCGAATTTGACTCTATCTTACTCAGCCAGTTTACCCCTTAAATTCTCTTGCATCTGTCTAGTCTACACAGTCCACCCCATTAGTTTTCTGCGTTATAAAAGCATATCTCCAGTGTTTTAATCCGACAAGCAGAACACATCTCATTCCAATCTGAACATCGAATCTGTCATCAGTATGTTATTCCAGTCAATATCGTCATCAACTAACTCCCTTGTAAACAAGCAAACGGAATACTTGAAGACATGGCCCCCTCTCGCTATATGCTTGGTCATTTATTTAAAGCGTTTATGGTACGATATACTACTACTCACTTGCAGTAATTTTCCTGTACCACTTGATTAATTTGACAGGCTAACAGGAGACTGGATAAAGCTAGCAATTTTTTTGGCAGCCACATACCCCTATATCTCTGGTCGTCTGTGGGCCTTTTCCCGTCCTCAGATTAAATGCACCTGGAAATCTTGCGGAGGTTAAGGCATTTTCCAAATATGAAATCAAGTTCCGAGATAAATTGAGGAACTGCGAAGACATCGTCATGATTGAGAAGCAAGGAGCTGCGATATTGAGCTGCGATCCAGGAAGGGACCAATGGAATACCGTTATGGGAACTTTCTGGAAGAATCAAACGACAGTCCCATCTGGAGGACTTTATCTGTATCGGTATGATGCGCGAAAGTATCCAAGTACCCATGGACTCTTTCCGATCGAGCTTCAAAATTTTGCCGACGAGTCCAAGTTTCATCCGCTTGGCATAGAGTTTCAAGAGATCAGTTCTACTCTCATCGTTGTCAATCATCACTTCGAGGGCGCACGAATTGAGATATTCAAAGTGGATATTACCTCACATCAACCGGTGGCCAGACATACCAGGACGCTCATCGACCCACTTATCAAGACGCCGAACTCTATCAGTGCTCTGAATGAGCACGAATTTTTCGTTAGCAATGATCACTACTTTCGGATTGAGAAGAACCCAATCTTGGCTAAGGTGGAAACCTATGGCGCTATCCCGTTAGGAAATATTGTCTACGTGCATCTGCACAATGATACGTCTGCTTCGCTCAAATCCGTTGTCAACATGCCATACCCTAATGGCATCACACTTCTAAACGATTCCATGCTCGCAGTGGCAGCAACCAGCTCCTGTCAATTTCAACTTTTCAATATAAGGTCGGACAAAACACTTGAATTGACCGAGACGGTCAGAGTACCGATGATGCCAGACAACTTATCAACCGACCAGAAGGGTAAACTGCTAATCAGCGGTCATCCCCATCCACCGACTTTGGACAATATGGTGAAAGATCGGACTCAATGTTTGGAACGCCTCTCTGGCGATGTGAGCGAGTGTCTCACTATGAGCGTTCCGAGCTGTGTGATTGAGTGGACCGAAGCAGATGGTATTAAAACTCTGTATAGGACTGCTGCTGAGTTTGGGTCTAGTTCTACATCTGTAAGAGACAATGCATACGGGCTAGGCTTGATAACAGGTCTTTATGAGAGAGGGATTATGGTCTGGAGGGAGTGATCAGTGTTGAACCAGGAAATACAATATGTACTCTGACTAGATCAGGTATGCGTCCTTTCAATCTCGTGGTAAAATCAAGTTATTTTCTGTCATGTCGAATAAAGTGCATCTTGAGAAGTCTAATTGAGTTGGTTTAGTTCGCTTGCTTTCACCTGAATTTCTGGCTACTACCTTATTTAGCGAGTTGCCCCCTTGAAATTGATGTTTGGTTCTTAGCTTACTCCAATTCTTACTCTCCGAGGCCACTCTAGATGGAGGAACAAGGGGCATTAGGTTACTTTGTCTATCTTATCAAGTGCTTATTCTCCTATCTTGGCACAGTGTGCTTATTCTCGTGTTCGTTAGTAGAGGATTTAAATGGCCTATCAGATATCCGCCCTTGGACGTAGAGTATACAGGAGATTGGCACTATTACAGTCGTGAACATGTAAACCCGTATGTCTGGGTCGGAGATTTCTCTACGTGGACCGGTGCAGGCGCAATAGTGCCCTGTGAGGCGACCGAGGTGGGACGTTTCGACATCGACAGTTTTTTCCACAAATGAACATATCTATCCAGGCAATCGGGTCACGGGGTGACCCTGTGTAAAAAGAAATCCTATTAAATACTAGAAATATGCGGGAGGATTATAACTTTAGGTAGTAATTGCTAGTAACATTGAGAGGTTTAACTAGTAACAGAGATGACGGGGTGGACACGTTGTTCCCCCCGTCACCTTTTGATACAAAAACTAGCATCTCCTAGGAATTCCTACGAAAGACATTAGAACACGAAAATTCTCATTGTAATAATAGTGACGGTAAAACTGCCGCCTCGGGGAGTGATCGCCTCCCGGAGCACAGGGTGAGTTAGTCACCCCGCCGCCCCTAAGCTGCGCCCTGAGCAGCCTGATCGCTCACCCCAATGCCCAGGCCGACCGGCCCATTCGAAGGGAACCTGGACGGGTCCGGGTCCGGGTCCGGGTCGGGTGACGGGTCTTGATCTTGGACCCGCGGGACGGGTGAGTGCCAGGTCTAGTGGCCGTTGATGCGGTCGGTGAGCATAGAACGTGGAACGTTATATTAGCGCGCTGCGTCTCGAATAGAGCTGATTTCTTTGTTTTTTATAGCTTGTAAGGCTAATAGAAGGCGCCCTTCTTGCTCAATGGAATTTCGGCTTGATTGGGTGCGCTTTGCAGGCATAGTGGTTGGTAGAAAATAGAAGGACGCGTCAGGACGTGAGTAGTTGGTTGGGTGGCCGGGTGGGTAGTGAATTACGTTAGACACTAATTTGATTAGTATTAGACCTCTCTCTAGGTATAAAGCCTACCTAGGCCATCGCTATCATTAATATCATCCTCGCTATTAGGTTCAGCGAAAATAATATTGAGAGGTAAAGGGGGTATTATAGGCAGATAAGAAAAGACAGAACAAAATACTAGAAAAGGGGAGTAGTAGATAGGAAGAAAATAAACTAAAGCGGTGAGAAAAGCGAACTAATTTCTATGAGGCTTTGGATGCATTCTCTGCGCCGCCAGTTCTAAGTGTCCCGGTGTTTTGAAAGCATATTCTGAGTGTCGATTTTGCTTTCGTGGGAGGTTTGACAACTCGGCCGCTCTGTTCTTCGCGCTCAATGGTGACAGGTGTTGAAGTTTAAATTTTATTTATCGGTTGTCCGTGAGCTATCGTACAATAGAAATGAGAAAACAGATCATACTGCCTTCCCTTCGGAAGCTCGGATCATATTCGTTCAATAAAACTCTGGAATACATGATCCTTTTCCTTATTCGACCTTTTCCGGACCATATTCTCCCTTGTTATCGACTGTAATTTGGTTCGTGTTTTCATCAGTCTCAGCTTCAACTAGATGTTGGCCGTGGACAAGTTCCAGAGCAGGGGGTCGGTAGGACTTGCGAGCGGTCAGAATCCAATTGGATCCGGCGATGACAAGAATGACGCCAAAGGCGGCGACGCAGTAGTTCATATTCACTGGGTTGACCGGGCTCGATGTTGGCCACATGAAGAGAACAGATGTCAGCAAAGCCCAAGCGACGTCGGCCGCGTTACAAATGTAGCCAATGGCGTTGGGCAACTTGAAGCTGCGATTCTCGGGAAGCATGCACCGGCCGCGCAGCATGTTAATTCCCGGTGGAATGGCGTAAGTTATGGTAAAGCAGACCACGGCGGCGGAGATAATGGCATTAAAAGCGTTGTTGGAGCCGAGGAAGATAAGCCCAAGGATTATGACCCAACCGAAACACCATATGAGCCCGACGACGGGTACACCAAACTTCGGGCTAACATGTTCGAAGTGGCGATTGAAAGGCATGCCGCCGTCCCGTGCCAATGCGTATGCCATCCGAGCGCCGGTAGCCATGTCGTCGATGGCGCACAGGGCAAAGGAGAGAAGGGGAAACATCATCAAGCATATACTACCGGCCTTGTTTGACGTGGCCTGGTAGTATATCTCAAGAAGAGGCTCAGAGGCCGAAATGGCCGATGGGATATCCCTAATGACAGCCATGACGGCAGCGATATAGCCAAATCCAGTCACGACCGCCATCACAATGGCGTAGATCATAAGCCTGGGCCCTTGGGTTGTGGGGTTCGGCATTTCTTCGATCATATGGATGGTTGAATCGTAGGCAGTCACGGAAAATGCACTTGAGCAAAGGTTAGCTTTGAGTTCTTAGGAGGCCAAGTACGAGACTTACCCTTGTAACAAACCTAGTTGCCAGGCCCAGCCGTCTGGCCAGCCGGATTGGTTGATGAAACCACCAAAAACGAATTTGGCGCTCTGGAAATTTGGGGCGGTACATGCTAGGATAACAACCAGGCTAATTATGAAGCCCGTAAAAGTGAAGAACATGTTGTACCTGTTCAGGTGGGCTAGAAATCGGTTGGCGAGCAGGTTATAGGTAAATGCAATGGCACCGATGGCGACATACAGAAGGAATCGCTGCCATGGCTCCGGCTGAAAGGCAGGGCTGACGAGCTCAGCATAACTCATGATAATTCCGCTCACAAGCAAGCAGTTCGCCGCTGTTAGACAGACCCACGCAGCGAGGTTGATCCAGCCGGTGATGTAACTGACTGCGCGTCTGGTCGATTTCCAGCTGGCAACAGCCGCCCAGTGATACTGGCCACCTGCAGTGGGATAGGCCGACAGGAACTCTGCAAGCGAGACAGCACAGCATAGATTGAAAATACCTGCGACGGCGATGCCCCAAACGGCGCTGCTGGGCCCACCAGAGGGCAAAGAAGCGTTCACTGTGGTACCAATGGCACACCACGAATTGACAATGGCAAATGCCATTCCAAGCATCGAGAGGCTAGAAAAGGAGTTTCGGTGCAGGTCGGATTTGATACCCATTCGCTCAAGCGTGGCGTCGGCCTCTGCAGTGGCATTGGTATGGCGTTGTCGAACGGCTCCGCCTTCTTCCATCTTGAAGGCAAAAGCAGGGATAAGTTAAGAGATAAGTGAAAGGCAAAGAAACGGCTGAGTCCCGTCAATCATGTGCGCAACCCGGGCAATAATAAGCCTTTTAAGGATGGGATCCTTGAACGCTGCGTTAACTTCGGGGAGTCATGCTTTGCGGATCTTGCCCAAAAAGGCAGGCATTTGCAAAGGAAAATGCCAATATCCGGCATATGGGCCCACTTATCAAAAGATAACGTACGATAACGTGACTCGCGCTCCACAAGGTCGTCCTTCCCCGCGCGGTCCTGCATCCAGTATACTCCACAGCCTCGAGCCATGCGACAATCTCCAACTGAGTGTCTTAACATATCCCGGATGTTTCCGCCGACGCGAAAGACCATAACCAGATCGCGCAACGGATGCGCAGTCTGTAAATCCAAGAGGGTAGGATCACTTCACGATCAAGGTCAAATTCGCCACATCAATCGCTAACCAGGCATACTTCAGCTCAAATGTGATGAAGCCAGACCCGGTTGCTCGCGCTGTACGAGACTGAGCATCGCCTGTCCAGGCTATCAAAAGCATCTGAAATGGCCTACACGACCTAGGACCCCGAAGCAAAAGACAGATGCTTCTAGCAGCGCTGGATCAAGATCCTCATCGGACTGGACCCACTATACATTCAATCGACTAGAGTCTCAACCGCCCGATCAATCCGCAATTGAGCTCTGCAACTCGGACATATTTGAGCAGGTCTCCTGTATAATCGATGCCGGCAACATTGCCATGCCGGACGATGACAGCCTTACATTGCCACTCCCGTTCGATGAGCTTTCAGGGGATGTGGACCTTCAGCCCCCGCAAACGCCGTGGAAAAATACTCGTCTGACACTTCGGGAGCCTAGCGAGGAGGGCCTATGGTTGAACCACTTTTTGGGCGCTACAGGATCAGAGTTTGATGCCTCATCGAGCCTGAACTCTCCAAAGCAAAATTTAGAGCCTCATTGCGAGATGCCACTTGCACGAACCCTCCAGGACCATTCCTCTATGCTGGTGGAGTACTATTTCAAGGAAGTTTGCGGAATGATGTCTTGCTACGACGGCCAACTGAACCCGTACAGAACCATGATATCCAATGTTTGGTCTGGTTCTCCATCACTCTACTACATCACCCAGAGCATGGCAGCTGCATGCTTGTCCGAAGTTTCACCCAATTTCTCTTCTATCGGTCTTCAGCTTCAAAACCAAGCAGCGCTATGCCTATCGGGTGAGATTCGCGGGCATCAGATAGAAACATCGTCTTTGTTGGCACTGGTGATGCTTGGGATGAGTCGCTGCTGGCATAATCCTGGCGACATAGGCCAGTCAGAGTTTGATACGCTTGCCAGGATAGTACTGTCTTCCAAGGCCTGCGAGAGCAACACTAGAATGGCCGACGAAGAGAAGAGATTTTTTTTCCATAACTCTCTTGTTTATTGGCAGGTTCTGCTCTCCTTTATCTCTGATAGGGAACCCGACGTCCGGGGCATAAGACACAACCGCCCTCAGCCCGCCCCATCAGATGAGCTGGAATCACATGAACCGCAAATGCCGCACCCTCAAACTGGCGTGGGGGTTGAAGTTCAGATGCTTGCCATGAATGTTGGAAATCTCGTCAGAAAAGAACGAAAGCGCATTCACTCTCGTCGATTCGCATCTAGAAACGATATTGACCAAGCCCACAAAGCCATTCTCGAGGCGGAACAGCTACAATCTCGGCTTTCCGCAAGCCAACTGCCACGTAAAAACACGATTGTCGACTCGGGTGATGATTTGACTCCAGTGGATCACCTGATAAAGATCGCCGAGGCATACAGGTGTACGGGCCTATTACAACTTTACCGAAATTTTCCAGATCTCTTGCTGCCATATGCATCATTGAATGATCCAACACACGAGTTTATCACATTCAGCCCGATTCCTGACAACTCCCCCAACCCGGAAGCTGGGCTTCCAGAAAATGCATGGCTGATTTATTTGGCCCTACACATTCTCGACTTGGTTCAGGACATTCCTGTGTCATCAACGAGCCGATCGATCCAGCCATTCTTGCTTGTTAGCATTTGCAGTGAATTGGCTCTTGATCGTACGGGTTGCTCAGTGGCCAGTGCACAGAAACTTCCTTTAGCAAGTCTTGCGTCCAGTCCAAGGTTAAAGACACCGGTAACTGAACTCGACATTTTGCGCGCAAGGAGATCTATTATATCCCGCCTTTCCTCCTTTGAAAATATGTTGGCTGCAAAGCCTATACAGCAAATGCTTCTTCTGGTCAAAGAGACGTGGGCTTGCATGGACAAGAATCAACGGGACACGTATTGGATGGATGTCATGATGGATAAAGGATACGAGACCCTTATGGGCTGACTTTTGGGAAGATTCAATTATCCTTTGTACTTGTATATGTATCATAAGATTTATATCACAAGCCCAAAGCATGAAACAACGGAGGTCAAAGTTCGCATGTACATCTGCGTGGGCCTTTCTAAACTTTACATGCCTGAATCTATATAACCCCTCAGCCCTGTGCCAATAGCTAGCCCATTTGATTATAGAGATTTAGAATACTTATCCAAAAAAAAAAAAAAAAAAAAAACATTATTTATAAGTATTTCCAGCATTTGCAACTGCTATTCCCATTATCAAGATATTATGCGAAGCATTCGGATGACCGGAATGCTCCCAACGCCACCAACGCCAGCCTGGGTGGAAGCCAACCAATCGGGTGTCTTAAATTGGACCCACTATGATTACCCAATTAGGCCATCAAAAGCTAAGGAAATCGAAAGAGAAGCTGTTTAGTCTTTATCATGAGGCAGGTGGCACGGAAAAGCGCCCGTAAAATGACCGAAGCATCTGTTTTATTTGGAATCTATTAGGGTGATCAGGTTTAGAAATTATCGCACCTTTTTTCTTTCCAGTTTCAAGTCGCGCACCATGGCAGCGATTACAACAGGCACTTCTTTCAAGGTCGCCCTATTGCAGACTAGACCAAAGGCACATCCTCACTTGAATTTTTTTGAATGGGCTATTTAGCAATGCTAATACTCTCAAATAGGCCCTCGATGCCGATTACAACTTTTCCCATGCTGCTAAGACTGTTCGCGTTGCTGCTGCCCAAGGTGCTTCACTGGCTGTCCTGCCAGAGTATCATTTGACTGGCTGGGTCCCGGAAGAGCCATCCTTTGCCCTAACGGCCGAAAACGCCCTCAAATTCCGACGAAAATACCAAGAATTGGCTGCAGAGCTTCACATCAACATCTGTGCCGGTACTATTGTTTCTGAAGCACCCAAAAACAGCTCCTCTCAGGAGGATACCAAGGATACAAAACGAACCCTCCTCAATACATCCGACTTTATTGACCACAACGGTCATCTTCTTGGCTCCTACACCAAAACGAATTTGTGGATCCCCGAGCGGCAGACCTTGACGTCGTTTGTCGAACATGCTCGTCAGGTAGCAAAAGAAGGGAATCCGGCACCGAATCCCCATCAAATTATCAATTCTCCCCTCGGACCCGTTGGTATATTGGTCTGCTGGGACCTAGCCTTCCCCGAAGCTTTCCGGCTACTGGTTTTAGCTGGTGCGAAAATTATCATCATCCCCTCCTACTGGACATCGGCAGATATGTGCGGCGAGGGACTTGCATACAACCCAGACTGCGAGAAGATGTTTGTGCAAAATGCCCTTGTTACTCGCGCATTCGAGAACACAGCTGCAGTTATCTATTGTAATTCTGGTGGCCCTGCAGAGGAGGGATTCTTTGGCTGCAGTCAAGTCGTGTTGCCTATCGTCGGAACTGTGCCTGGAAGCTTCAGTGACAGCGAGGAAGGGATGCGCATCATAGAAGTGGACATGCGGACGGTGGAAATCGCGGAGAAAAACTACCAGATTCGCGAGGACCTGGGGAGAGAGGATTGGCATTATGGATATTCGAAATCTCATTTGTAGCCTGTTCATTGCTCGGATGCACCCACCTAGATGTCCGTATGCTCTTCCTATCAAGGTAGCTGTTTCGCAACCACTCACAACTGCGTATTTCAAGATATTGTGCTTCCTTATGATAGGAAGCAAGTACCCGAGGCAGAAACGAAATTACAACCACTTCACATATTTAGGATGATATCAATTTGGCACAGATGGCGTTGCCCAACGTGGGGTCGTCTCTCCGTCCGAAAGTCTAACAACAGGATTCAACAAGCTCTGTCATCGCCAAACTCCATCTTCAAAAGTAGTGAAAAACCGTGAATCCTCACTGAGCAAATCGGGCATAACCTTTTTCCATAGGCCAACTACGTCAAACGTTAGCTCGGAAATATGTCAATCTGCAGTAGACGGCATAAAACCGAATCTTTTCGCAATTTCGTGTACCATTTCAATCGGATAGAGCCCATTCTAAGGCTGTAGGGCAATCGTGTCCGCCGCCAAAAGCGATGTGAAAACGTGGTGAGACCCCCCTCTTGATGCACAGTCTCGAAAAGCCATCATAGCAGCAAGTGCACCGGCTAGGCCAGCCGTCATATCGGCAACGGGAATAGGTGGAGAGACACTGTGTCCCTCTTCCTAACCAAGCAGCTGGTTATAATAGAGAGATGAAAACTCTTCGAATCTTTAGGACAAAGTGCATAAAGCAGGAGCTACGAGTCTACGTGAGGGAGGTTCTTTAAATATTAGAAAAGAAGGCTTGAGGTAGTTCAGCACCTAAGAAAAGAGCCTTTCTAAATTTTTAATGAGCGGCTACACACGGATGACAGAGAGGACAGGCAATGATGGTATATTTGATGGTATTTAAAGAGGGTGCGGATGCCGTTCTGTGTGGCCCCAGTCTATAGAAACCCTGTAGATCTTCGAGTAAACCTACTAATTTACCTGGCAGTTTAGTACTCTAAAGCCTGACCAGGAGATCGTGAAGCTAGACGAGGTAGTCCTAGAAGCATATGTGAATGTGATATCGGTTGGTTAATCAATAGCAGGTTCTCCTGTGGCTTATTGAGCTGCAGCAAGCTTACCGTATCCCGGGTGTGGTCCTAACATCAAAGCTACTAAATCAAAGGGCAACGTTTCTTTAACGGCCGATAATCAAGTTGCCAAACCCCAGAATGCCATGTACGATAATCCGGACATGCACGCGACGATGACTATCAGACCACTCCATATTTCTCTATTCACAGTAAACCCTGCGTAGAGGCGATGGAGTTATCCTCGGCGCTAGCAAGGTCCCGCAGATTGCGTAGAACGCAAGCGATGTGTCCAGGGGGCCATCGCCAGCGGAGGCGATGCAGAAAATTGACACATTCTAGGAAAAGATTCGGTGAAATAAATTGGCCAGACTTCGTTTCAGGATATAGCGATAGCTGTGCTTTCATAGTAGGAGACCCGATTTACGAACTCATCGCTGGTTAATCCAACATGAATCATTGGAGCACGCGTCTCGTGATGGCAAGGACATAGATATGAATTTCAATAGTGTCACCCTTGCAAATGCCATGGTGGAGCCCGATTTAGTTAAATAGGCCGTGCAAAGCAGGGAGCGCAACATGCAAGATGCAAATACTCGTCTTTGTCGAGGCGACCGATGGAATCTCGGGGCACGTGCCCGACGCGTCGCGCTCCGCTTTCCCGTTGCGCTTCCTTACTCCAATAACTTCACGGTCACGGTCACGGTCAATTCTCTATTCTTATTGCTCCTGCCGTTCTCCGACTTCAATCCATGCTCGCATGTGTTAATCCTCCTTAGCTGGCCATGTATCTTCCACGGCAGCTCATCTCTCACCTATATCTCCAACTCCTCCGATCCCACCACCCACTTTCCCCGCCGGTTCTGATTCTCGTCGCGCTTGAACCTGACGCGCTGTGTGCTTGCCGCATTCTCACGGCTTTATTAAAACGCGACTACATCCCTCACAAAATCCAACCTGTTGCCGGTTATGGCGACCTCGCGCGCGGAGGGGAGGACCTTGTCCGGCCCATGCAAACCACCAATGGCGGCAGCGGAGGTGTCGTGGTTTGTCTCGGTGTAGGTGGACTAGTCGACCTGGGCGAAATTCTGGGGTTGAGTCAACCGGACGACGAAGTGGAGGACATGGGAGGGGTCGAGATCTGGGTCTTCGACGCGCGCCGGCCGTGGAACCTCGGCAACGTCTTCGGTGGACAAGCTGGGATAGGTCAGGCAATGGCGGAAATTGATGTGAACGCGCGACGGCGCGGGCGTGGCGTGGATAAAGGGTGCATTACCCCTGCCTACACGTCGAAAAACGGTGGCATCGTCGTGTTCGATGACGGAGATATCGAGGAGGAGCTCAGCAACGAACGAGAGGCATACTACGCGCTTCTTGAGATGCCCGAGGTGGGTGAGGACGACGCGAGTGACGATGGCGATATGGATGATGATGACATGCCCTCGGAGTCCAAAAAGCGCAAATCGTGGTCAGGACGCGAGGATGAGGACGAGTCCGAAGACGAAGATGGGCCACCTCGTCAACGGAAACGAAGCAATTCAGTATGGGAACCTTCTCGTCTCGTGTTTTTCGAGTATTAACGCGTTTTCCAGGGTTCTTCTATGGTCTCATCTCCAAGTAGGCGACGGCGACCTGCACACAATTCGTCCAACTCATCACGTTCCGTAACTCCCACGACAGACTCACCGTCACCAGAAGAGCCGAAACTGCCATCTACGCAAACATTAAAGCGTCGCCTGATTCGAATGAAGAGGAAACACGAGACGGTCCTGCAGAGCTATTACGCTGCTGGTACATCCTACTCGGAGCCTATCTCATCACTCGTATATTCCCTCGCATCAGAGCTTGGTCGTGAAGATAACGATCTTCTCTGGCTCGCCATAGTCGGTGTTTCCAGTTTGGAGCTCAGCGGCCGAACGATGACCGGTGTGAGCATTTCGAATGCGTTGGAATCTGGAGGCTCTGCGGGATGGGGTGGGCAACGTGGAGAACACATTCGCCAGATCCTTCGGGACGAAGTCCACCGTCTCAACCCTCCTGATCCCTACGAGCGAGATCGAGATATCAGAGGAGAGATTAATGGCGTCATTCCCACGACTGCGAGATCGCCTACCGACACGTCTATTCGTCTTTCTCCCGAGCCACGATTCCTACTCGTCCGGCATTGGTCACTCTACGAGAGCATGCTTCACAGTCCTTATCTCGCCACGAGGCTTCATGTTTGGACCGAAAACGGTCGCAAGCGACTCCACAAACTTCTGGCGAAGATGGGCATCAGTCTGACCCAATGTCATCAATTCTATACACACATGGATATGGAGTTGAAACGAGTGTTACGGGGGCGACTCCTCAAATACGCGCCCATGTACGGTCTGGATGGCCTGGTCCCTCCAGAGCCATCCGGCCATGCCAGTTCCCGTGAGGGCTGGGGCTTCGTGCGTTGCTGGGGCTGGAAGGCCTGCCTATCTGCCACCGATATAGGCGTCATTCTGGGTGCCATGCTCGAAGTTGGACCGAACGAGGCGTCTGGGGCATGGGATGCCAAACGCCTCCCGCGAGCACGGGGATCAAACGACGAGATCGAAAATGGCGGTAGCTCCGGAGAATCCGATCTGGCCAGTCTTCTTCCTCGCTTCTGGAGTGCCTACGATGCTCTTTCGCTCACGTCCGAGTCACCCACTCTTTTGATGGACGTGTTGCCTTTGGCACAGCATCTCCATCGTGCCATTCTTCGTACAGGCACATCGCTGCTGTCCAAACACCAGATCCGCCATCTTCGAGCATTCCGCATCGCGGTCGTCAAGGATGGCCCCGACGTGAAGCTGTTTACCAACCCCGGCGCTTTGACCAAACTGGCGCTGTGGATTGCGGAGGCCATTCGTGTCCAGGAGCGAGAAAAGGGCGATTCCAAGATTGGCAAGAAAAGGGCAGTCGGTACTCCTCTCGTCCTCGCCGGCCTGGACGAAGACCGCGATCTCTATGTGGTCGTGGGCACCGGTGGAGGCGGCGGCGTGGTTGACTTTGCGGCGATGTCGAAGCGCCAAGAACAACGCCGCAAGAAGAAAGAAGCAAAGGAGAAGAAGCAAAAAGAACGAGAAGACCGTCGGGCAAAGCGCGCCGCTGAGCGAGCTGAACGGGAAGGCTCCGATGCCGACGATGATGAGTCGGAAGAATCGGAGTCATCGTCCGAGTCCGAGTCGGAGTCGGAGGACGAAGAAGATCCTAGCGGAAAGAAACATCTCGTTCGCAATCGATTCGGCATTGCCTTCCAGGAGGTGGTCCAAGAGACCAGTGCCCGCGTTCGCATCGATAGCTTCGACCACTGCGTTGTCGAAGTACAAAAGGACGACCTGGGCGGATTCCTCGAAGCCTTGAGCTTCCGCAGCGTGGTGGGCTAAGACTCACGCGCAACTCATTCACGCAGTATACGACCTGACATCTTGCACTGTTTATTCTTTTTGGTATGGGATGGACGTGGGGTATGATGGGAGGGGGACTCATGCATTGCATTATTACACCGCAAGCATTTCCATGATCATCTTGCATCTCTGCATCTGAGAACTTCCTGGCGTTCCGGTATTGATCTATATAGCTTCGATAGCTCCGCAATTTACTCTCGGGCTTTGTCCGATCCGCTCCCCCGCTTCCCCGCACTCGCTCAAACACGTAGAACACGTAAAGAGACACAATCTCCTCCATGACTGGTCTTGAACATCAATTGTACCATGGCACCACAACAATTCCCCAGCGTCTCGCGAGAGAGCACATTTGCCAAATTCCCCGCCGAGTACGCCGCCGACGCTCAAGACCAAATCTCCGACATCCTCGCAACATCCCCAATCAACCGACTCGTCGTGCTCGACGACGATCCAACCGGGACACAAACCTGCCATGACATCTCCGTCCTGACAGTATGGGACGTCCCAACCCTGGTAACCGAGTTCCAGGAGAATTCACCGGGTTTCTTCATTCTCACCAACTCGCGCGCCCTTGGCCCCGCCGACGCCGAGACTCTCATCCGCACGATATGCATCAATGTCGCCGAAGCTGCGAAAGCTACGGGCAACAAGGTGGACATCGTTCTCCGCGGTGATAGCACATTGCGTGGCCACTTCCCTCTCGAGCCGGACGTAGCACAGTCCGTCTTTGGACCCGCTGATGCTCTCGTGCTCGCCCCGTTCTTCTTCCAAGGTGGTCGCTATACCATCGGTGATGTACACTACGTCGCAGAGGGTGAAAAGCTCGTCCCCGCCGGCTCGACACAGTTCGCGCAGGATGCGACCTTCGGATACAAGAGCTCCAGTCTGCGAGATTACGTGCTCGAAAAGGCACCCGGCCGGTTCAGCGAGGATCAGCTGTGTTCTGTGACGATCGAGGAGATCCGTAAAGGTGGACCGGATGCTGTTTGTGAGAAGCTGATGACTGCGCCGAAAGGTGGTGTCGTTATTGTAAATGCGGCCGCCGAGTCGGACATGCATGTTTTCGTTGCCGGTTTGTTGCTCGGTATGTTCTCCAACACTATCTTCGCCATGGATACTGACCTGTTACAGCCGAGTCGAAGGGTAAACACTTCCTCTACCGCACGGGCGCAGCCTTCGTCTCGACCAGACTCGGCATCCGCTCCAAAGCCCCCATCTCCGCCGCTGAACTTCACCTCGCCTCGCCGCGACAAACCGGAGGACTAATCGTGGCGGGCTCATACGTCCCCAAGACCACGGCACAACTAAAGGTTCTAACCGACCGTCTCGGGGCAACCGGGAAGCTGGCGATTATCGAGATCCAAGTCGAGGAGCTTATCGCGTCGCCGCAGACGGCGGCACAGACTGTGCAGCGAGTAGTCAAAGAGACCGAGGAGCATCTGCAGGCTGGACAGGACGTGCTGGTTATGACGAGTCGGAAACTGATTACGGGTGGCGATGAGCTCTCGTCGTTGAAGATTGGGTCGTCGGTTGCGGAGGCGTTGGTGAGTGTTTTGCAGCGGATTGAGGTGCAGCCGAGGTATATCATCGCCAAGGTATAATTTCATCTTTGAGTCTGGGCCTGGGTTGGATTGAGTATGGATACTGATCTCTTTTTTTTTAGGGCGGTATCACTTCTTCGGATGCCGCTACGAAGGGCTTGAATGTTAAGCGGGCTACTATAGTTGGCCAGGCTGCGCCAGGTGTGCCGCTTTGGAGGTGCGATGAGCCGACGTCTCGTCATCGGGGCGTGCCTTTTGTTGTCTTCCCTGGAAACGTAGGTGGAGAGGAGACACTTTGTGAGTTGGTGCAGGGGTGGCATTAGATGTGTTGTGTATACCTCCTCGACTTAAGCAATGGAGAATGCGTATATGATGAGGCGAAATTGTGTTATTAAGTCTCTTTTAGAAGAGACGAACATGTGAGATCACATTACTGGATCATTTAGAAATGACCAATTCGTTATGCATGACACATGGCTTATAGATCAGACCTCCTGTCGTTCATACCAGAAGCTCACGCTAATACCAGCCCGCAGACCACGCACATAGTGCCACCATCCAACGGGAATGTACAAACACTCGCCTTCGTGCAAAACAGTCTCGACATATTCCGCGTCCATAAAGCCAGGCCACTTCTCCTCCCAGGTCTCAGCTTCGGCGGGGGATAGCTCGATGGAAGCAAGGTCCACCTCGGAGGTATTGGACATGTCGATGAGCTTTCCGTTCTTGTCGGGGGCTCCCTCTGCCGGGTCGCCGGAGGGAACCAGTTCCTTGCCTCGGGGGTGAATCTTTGATGCCGGAGTGTGCGGGGAGTAGAGTCTGATGTACTTGGTTCCCACGACCTGCACGAGAATATTGTGATAGGGATCGTGATGGAGCGGGGAAATGGTCCATGTAGGGCCGATCCAAGTGTTGATGATTGGCTGGCTGGCAGTTTGGGAGCTTGTATCCGATTGACAGTCCCATTTGGAATCGTCAACGGAATCGTGATAGTCATGAGACGGGGAGGACATCTCAGATTCCTGGGAAATGGCCGCATTTGACTGGGAAGATCCCTCAATGGGCTTCAACAAGGCCTCCATGCGTTCTCGCTGCTTGGCTAGATACACCGGCGTGCCCGGCTCCGGCTCCGGAGGAGTAATGTAGCAGAAATCCGGAATGCAGATATCTCTTCGCAGGGCAGGAAGCTGGGCAAGCAGGTCATGCTGTGCCATGTAGCCCGTGCCTCTATCCTCTTCCTTGGAATCATCTTCATCGTTGCCCGAGTTCGATTCCCCCTGCCAAATGTAGCGGTCGATGAATTTCTTGAAGCTCATAATCTGCTGGCCCCATCCTTCATCGGTGTAGGACCTGCCCACCTCGACGGGAACATACCTATGGCCGCCAAAGGTGCGCTTCCACCAGTAGTCCCGCGACGCCCAGGGGCGCGTGGACATGGCTTCCCAATGGTCCACGTGGTTCTCAATGACGAGCGGCGTGCGAATGTCCTGAATATGCTTCTCCATGAATTCGAAGGTCGGCGATGATGCGCGGGTTACCGGATGCTGGATGCGAGGTTCAGGGAGGGCGTTCGGAGGGAAGAGAGGCGCTGAGAACTTCATACGCTTCGAGGGAGGCTGGTTGCATAGATCGGGATCGTCACGAAGCTCGCTGTCCATATTGGAGGCCTCCTGCAGCGCCGACAACAGGGAATCGATGGTGTGCTCGCGCCTCGGCACACCGGTCATGATCCACGCGTTGTCGAGGATGTGAATAACCTCTGTCAGCCAGGCGACACGCACATCGATTTGAACATCCTTGTCCCTGAGCTCTTGGCTCAGTCGAGACACGTCGAGAGTGTCGTCGAGGGGCAGCTGACTCAGGTCGCATTGGCGGATGATGATGTAGCACGCCTTGACGAGGGACGCGTCCGTGTAGAGGCGACGCCAGCAGACGTCGACATCTTTGAAAGGGAAAACGCGTAGCTTGGAGTCTGCAAGCTGAAGAGCTTTGTTGGGCGTGCCGAAAAGTAGGGCGTGGAGTGCTTGACTGCTCTCGAATTTGCAGTTCAAAATGGGGTCATTGGAGTCCGCGGGTGGCTTCGCGACGGTAACAAGCGTCAAGGCAACTTGGGCCGCGAGCTTCATGGGTATCACAGACATGGCGGGGAGGAAAGAAGAAGAAAAAGAATAATGTATTATTGCGACGCACGCTTCAAATGGACTCGTTTCATTTTAAATGTTTTTGTAGGTGGAATGAAAAAAAGGTTCTGAGAGAACCGCAGAAGAGTGCGTGCCCGCATGTTTGTTCATTGACGACATCATAGTTCCGGTGTTATATAGTACATCATGTGCGTTTATGGAGATCTTTCTAATATACAGGATGTTTTACTACGCACTTTTTCCTTCCAGGAACTGCATGACCAGTTTCGGAATGCGAGAAACCCCTTCGCCTTTAATGGCACTGACTGGGACTGCAGTTAATTTCTCTTTCCATCCATCTTGATGACCCGAAGGGTGCTCAGTGGATCCCTTCTCCACCGCAGAGAGATACTCCTGTAGAGCTTGATACTGGTCCCGGGTGTGTTCCAGATCAGCTTTGGTAGCCACGACAAACCAAGGCTTCGTGTGAAGAGGAGGCATGGTAAGAGGAGGCAGAGACCCAGTGGATCTATAGTTGAGTGGCCGGTTCATGGACTCGTCATCCGAGAGCTCGGTATTTTTGTTTCGTGAATGGTCAAGCTCTGAGAGCTCTGGCTCCGAAGGATCCCAGTCAATCACGCCTCGGGTCTCCTTAGAGGTAGGTTCAGGCTGAGTGTCGCGCAGTCGCTCATACTCTCCAAGTTCATGCCATAGCTTCTGCAGCTCCTGTACAGGGTCCCCGTTGCTGAGATCGAGCACAAATGCCAAGATACCCGCTCGGTCGATGTGCCGAAGGAAACCAAGGCCGAGCCCTCGATCGAGATGTGCATCCTCCACCAGACCAGGAATGTCTGCAATGGTAAAATGGGTGCGCTTTCTCTTCGACTCGACGAGCGGACGACCCTTGTTGTCATCGACAATCACTGTGCCGATAGAAGGAGACAGAGTAGTAAACTCCCAATTCCCGATTCGCGTGCGACTGTTGGTCAATGAACGAAGGAGTGTGCTCTTCCCGGCATTTGGCTTGCCGACCAGACCGACGTCCGCGAGCAACTTGAGTTCAAAATCCAGTTCTAGCTTCATTCCTCCTTCGCCGCGAGATGCGAATTTTGGTCGTCCCATCGAACGGGTCACAAAATGCGGATTACCTAGCCCGCCGGCACCACCCGCAGCCAAGAGCATCGGCTTGTCCATCGGCTGCGAGAGGTCAAGATAAATAGGTGCCTGTGGTTCCATTGCCGCGATCGCCTGCCTCCGCGGTTTGAGGCGAGGGAATTGCACGGTCAAGAAATCAGACGGGTTCGCACCGGGGTGAAGAACCCAGCGATCATGCTGAATCGGCGTGAAATCAATTTCTCCCTCCTCATCCACAGGTTTTTCCCGACGCTTCTTCATGCGAGCCAACTCTTCCGCGACGGGATCGTAGCGCTCCACCTCGCGCACCACTGTGCCCACGGGTACCTGGATGAGGACATCGTCTCCGCGTTTCCCTCCTTTGCTTTTTCCTTGCCCGTTTTTTCCTCGACTCGCTTTGATGACGCCTCTGCGCGCAAGTTTGTGTAGACTGGTCAAGCCCTCAACGGCTTGAATGTAAAGGCCTCCTCCGCTGCCGCCGTCACCGCCATTCGGGGGTCCTTCTTCGATGTATTTCTCTCGCAGGTACGCAGCGCACCCGTTGCCGCCCGCGCCGGCAAACATAGTGACGTGGCATTTGTCCTGGAATATGAAGCGCGAGTAATCTTCGGGTTCGGGGTTCAAATGCGATAGGTCCGCGGCTTCGTTGGGAGAGTCTTCATCGGGTCGCGTGTTGCCGGACTTTGTACTCTGCCATCGTTGGCAGGAGATCGTTGATACTCGCGGAATCCGGGGCGAAATAAAGCTCGTCCTTCCGGCAACGAGAGGCCGCATCGAGAGGGAAAGGCAAGCTCGGTAGTGTGCCATGGCGCTGCTGGTTAATGGCTAGCTTTGATCGATTTCGGGATGCGCAAATCTCCCGTTGCTCATTCAACCGCAAAGCATCCTTCGTTGGCGGTATTTAGAGAAGTTGTGACCGAGGCCTGAGACAACAGTAGTGTGCTTGAAGTTGATTGTAGGGCACTGCACAATTTCAAAGCTCGTCGACGTCGAAGCATTAGATAAGATATGGTCACGTGTTGATAACAAGGGAATATACATGGCACCAGCGTTGGATTCTACAAACGAACAAGTTATGTAGGGTGACAAAGCTTCTGATAGTTGAGCGTTAGCGAGGCTATTATGGGTTAAAAATTCACAATGCTTAGTCAAAAACAAGAGTCACATGCTACCCATTTCAGATTTCTAGCATAACGGTCGCCCCTAATAGGCTCTATTTCTAACAATTTTATGTCTGAATTTAGTTCGTGAGAGCGCTTAATAAGTAGATACATAAATCCTGCAAATCCTGCGAGCGCTGTAGGCCTTGCGAGCGCTATACGCCCTACGAATAGTATGTTCTACAACTGCGTAGGTTCTATGAGTCCATAGATTCTAGGTTGCTATAGGCTCTGCATTACTGTAGGTTCTACGAGTGTGTAGGATCTAGGTTTCTGTGGGCTCTGCGTTACTGTAGGTTATACGAGTGCGTAGGTTCAACGAGTGTGTAGGTTCTACGAGTGTGCAGGTTCTGCGAGTGCGTAGGTTCTGCGAGTGCGTAGGTTCTGCGAGTGCGTGGGCTCTATAAGTGCTATAGGTTCTATGAGTACATAGGTTCTAGATTGCTGTAGGCTCTGTGTTACTGTAGGTTATACGAGTGCGTAGGTTCAACGAGTGTGTAGGTTCTGCGAGTGCGTGGGTTCTGTGAGTAAGTAGGTTCTTTGTTACTGTAGGCTCTATGAATCCTATAATTACTGCGAGCCTTATTCTAGCTATGAAAAAACGCTTAGCTAGCCTATCGTAAATATATATTCTAAATTTAGTATAAAGGCGTAGAATTCAATAAAATCCAGTAGACCTACTTAGATTCGGTATACGTAGCTTAGAAAACAGCCACTTGCTCAGCCCTCTAACCACCAGGCATGCCCGCAGATGACTAGCAGGATATTTGAAAACAGGCTTGTAAGCCTGGAGTCTTCCCTGTCAAGGCCGGCAAGCTTATAGAAAGTCGGTGTACAAAGTTACTGCAGTCGCAAAGCAATGCAAGTTTAAAACATCCGATGCAAACCTAACAGTCAGGCGGTTTCGCAATATCACCGTTGACCTCGACTGTCGAACCTTTTCCTCCCCGGGAGTTTACGTGTATCCATCCCGATGGCACATTGAGGAGTCCATCATGGGCCAGCAAGGAACCCAGTGTCTTCCCGCGACCGCACTACCGCAGTACAATCCCTGCGCCAATTGATTTGAAATACCAGGGTGTGCCACCTCCATAGCCTTAGAATATCTGCCCCTATCATGACTGCATGATGCCGCGGGGGCTGACAGATCGCCCTGTCAAGTGCCCCTATGAACCAACGAGCCACGGCGGAGATGAATAGTATTGACAGTCTTGTCTAGGATTCACCTGTACTAATGAAGAAAAAATCAGACGCCAGGGTAGCTTCGACGTTGACGACAGCATTCGTTGCTTTTTTCCGTTCGTTTTTGCGGCTCCAGTCACAATCAACGTCTTTACGGCATTCAGCTTGATCTATTCCAGGGTCTCGGCGTAACGCAAATCATGGCCCCGCTTTCAAGCTGAACGTCCAGGCTGAACGTTCTTTCTACGCTCCGCGACTCCCGATTGGGTGTGTTTTTGCTCAGTCCTTTTGTACTGACACTTGCCCCTCACTAATTATTTGAAGGAAGAGCCAATTGAGGTGGACGTAGTATGGATGGCCTTGTTTTCTGCTTGATTTGGGCCAGACCATTGCCAGGGCCTTGTTCTTGGCCTCGACTGAGGGTCTAGCAGACTCCCATAAGGCGGGGTAGATGGAGGGGATTCCTCAGCTCCACTCAATTTGAAGGCTGACAATCAACAGCTGAATTCCTGGCCAACAATATCCCATGACAGTAATAATATACTCGACCTGTAACGGAACAGGTCAACTAAATACAGAAGAAGCCGTTCATAGGTTTCGGTATGTACCTACCCGTACTCTCTGCCCATCGCTGCTTTACCCTAGGCGGGTAGCATGATCTCGAAGTCTATTTTAAGCCGAATCCGGGTCAGATCTCAAATCGGCTCTCGGGCCTCGATTTTTAGCAGCAGGAAGATCTAAGGCTGCGGGTGATGGACAGGTTCGAGATACGCGAATGGGGCTGTCAGGCAGATACGTGGGCTAAAATCAAGTACAAGAGTCACAAGCTGAACACGAGGATTCGATATGTCAAGAATTGAATCTGATCTAATTTATTTGGAATTTATGGCAGGCAAGGGTCCCGATAATAGTGCAATTGCTGAGTTCGTGTCATTGGTAGACCCGACGCATGTAGTGATTGGTCCATACCCCCCGGTTGAGCTACCGGGCTATCACAGACAGAAGAATCCATGATCGGCTGTCACGTCTGTGATATGCATATAATGGGGTCGAGCATGCATGAACTTGGGAATGGCCGCAAAAGTACCGCACAGAGGATAGCAGGCGGTTGTGCTTCTGTCCGAGAAGCAACTCTTATCTTCCAGAACTTGACCTGCAGGGGAACGAACTGAGAACTGTCAGTCTTTGCCAAGCTCAATGGTGTGACGTAGAGCAGCCAAGCAGAGTAAAATCTTCAGATCCGCCAATGGACGCAGTCGATCTATCCCGAGGTTCCGGATCGGCAAGCTTGAAAACGTCTTGGAAAGCCTTTGCAAGCCCTGGAGGTTCTAACCAATGTTTGCAAGGAAATGAGCCACATTATAGGCTACAGAAGATATTGCCTCCTTAGCGTAAGATTCAAAGGACTTGCAGGATGTGCCCATGCAAAATCACCATCCATTAATGTGGCTCATGTATATTTTTGACTGAAGTTCGTGATATATATTCAGGTCTCCGACTACCTATGTAGAGACACCTCAGCATTCCGGTACTTGTTTGAATAGTACCAACTAGGTAAAAGAGCCCTCGGAGGCTAGATTTATGAATGACCTATTATTTCAAACTCCCTTCAATCCACTGCCATTGCTACTCAACACACCGAAAATGTTCATCGTACCCTCGTCGATGCCCACCGAGGCAAGAAAAGTCATCACACGTGACGTCAGCTCAAGGACGAAGTACGACGCACAAGTCCCAAGCGAGAAAATCACTGCAGGGGCAAGGTTACCCATCACTTTGGAACCACGCCGATCAAGGCTATCTAGCGCTGGAGGGCCAGAACCCAAAGCCTCCACCGGAAAGGTTCCAAGGTACGGAGTAGGGAGTAGAAAGTACGACAGAGCACAAAGTACGCGTCAAAAGGCCGCGGGCCCGACGACCAGGAAGCGCGAAACCTTGGAATCCGGAACGCAGATCAGGACTGAGAAAAGCGGATCAAGCCACCGTGAAAGAAAGGGACGGGGGAGGTCCGGCGGATCGACAGAGTACAATAGGCGTGGCGACCCAGGAGTCAGGACCGAGATGAACGCAAGGGTGGAGCGAAAAAAAAAAAAAAAAAAAAGGTCCAAAAGGTCGTCCCTAAGCTCACATGATCTCAAGCGGAATCAATAGCGTGAAAATCATCGCATGGAGAAGGCAGCCGTATCCAGTCAACCACGGAGAAGATGTGTTTTCTTACCGTCACCGCGGCACCGGATCCTGCATTCCGATGGCGCTCGCCACCGGGGGAAGGGATCGTTCCCGTTGGTCGGGGAAAGGGTTACAAAGAACCGGGTGAAACAACGAACTTGACAAGGTACGCCGGTACTCCGTACTCCGTACTGTACTCCCAGAACTCGGTTCAACGCCAAGTCCAAGGTTGGGATTTGACGTGCCATTGAACCGTGGCACATCGGGGGCATCCGTGGTTCCCCTGGCGGCTACAGAACCACCGATGGGCTGTTCCACCCCATCCGGGACTTTTATTGGTGCGCGGATGCGATCTTGTAGCCCCCGCGCCAAACTTCTGCGATGGAAACTCTGGAACGCTACGGAGTAGAAATGTGGGCATAGTTGTGGGCAGAGCTGAAAGTTTCGAGTGCCTGAAATATACAGCCTCGGTAGAAGACCGTTTCCTTACCCCGTTACTCTGGTATGGACTCTGTACCCCGCCTGGGTAGTTTTGATAGTTTCGGTGGTTTTGTACTACAGTACGGACTCCGTGGAGAGGACTATCAGCAAGGACAAGATCGACTCGCGACACACCTGTGGACCTGCCATAGACCAGCCGTACTTTTGCTCATCCGATTCGGACTCAATCCTCCGAGATATCTAAGCCGAGGCGTCTTTCCCCACCTGAGGGTGAGTTTACAAGATCGGTTACTGGGTCAAGGACTAAGCAAGCGTGGCGCTTCGGTGCTCACCGGCGACCTGTCAACCATCACACTCCACTCGTGGGTCACCTCCGGAAGCCGAGACCCATGATTCAGTGTGGTAAACCTTCACACGATCTCGACCTCGATTCCCAATGGAGGCGCTCAAGTGTGGAGTGTAATCGTACTGCCGTAAGGACCAAGATCGCCCTTTTGACCCGCTCCCTGGCGCACTGTACGATTGAGTTCAACTTTCTCGATCGATCGGGACGCGCGGGAAGCTACGTATATCTCAAAAGGAACACATCGCAAAAGCACTCGGGCGACAAAAGCACCTGTTGCAGCTGGCTAGACCGATATAGCCCGCCAGGCCCGCGTCTGCCCCGATCGGATATTCGTGATCGCCGAAGAACAAAGGAATCAACCAGTCCAGTCCACCGATCTACGTCCTGCATATTTCTGCTTGTCAGTTGTAATAATTGCTCTCTCACCTTGGATCCCTGTGTTATTTCTGCTTCTCCACCACTCTCCACCACTCTCCCCCTTTCTTAGGTCCCACGATCTTTATCAGGAATGTCAGCAAAGAAGTTGATACATCACAAGGGACCGAACCTTCCGCGACTATGTAGGGGGCCGGGCCTAAGCCAGAAGCGCCTCACAATGGGGTGCGAGGGAATCGAAGCCGAGATTTCAACGAAAGCCCTTTTCAAGAGAAACTGGCGCCACGTCTGAGCGGATGTTTTTTCCGCCCCATCGTCTCTGGTCAACTCGTATCGTAGGGCGCCTCATGTTTTTAAGCCATACTTTCCATGCAACTGTCAGAACCCGACACTGTGGCTCGGCAGCTGTCGGCGTCGATCATAAGCCCAGTATACAGGTAACTCAATAATCGACCCAATCCAGCCGCAATTCAACCCGACCGGCCCTGGTGTCGCGTATGTAGCTTCCGTGGCAAGTCAACCGCGACAGTGGCGGACGACCATTACTCCGTGGCGGTCGATGTGGCGGGAATGAACAGTGTTGGGGCCGATTTTTTTTTATTCGTAAACTGCAGGCCCCTTGCTACTCCGCAGAACTACCTGGTCGTCCCTTGGAGGCGATTAGGGAGATTCTGAGGTCATGCAGAGCAGCGGAATGAAGGGAACCTATATCGAAGAATGCAGAGAGATCGTGATTGAGTACAGTGAATCCACCCGATTCGCAACTCTAATTTTGGAGAGGCTTCAGACGGGCGGACCAAGATATCCGGTCAAACAGAGTTTCATGAAGGATTGCATTCCATGCCCTATTTTCGCGTAACCGGACCGAGTTGACTTATTTCTGGACTCACCGTCTTTTGACTTCGTTCTCGGGCAACAATGGTAGTCAGAATATCGATATGGGCTACAGACGCAGCTCCGGTTCGAATCGCAATGATGAGCCAAGATGTTTATGGGATGACCCGGTTACCGGCGGTGCAGACGCAAATTGGCGGGGTGACTTCGGACTCGGTGCAGTGTCGATTTGGGTAGTGATGTCCGGTAAGCGTCGGGGATATCGCGGCTACGCAGATGCCAACCCGAGAAAGGACTGGGCCTCTCAGGCTCATTCGCAGGTCGAAACCATCCTGAGATGCAGCCAAGCAACTCACCGCCGTCAACAAGTCGAGGCTGAAGCTTTAACTCGCCGGTCTGCATCGACGTCGAACCTTTGTGGCTTACTGCAGTCGGCAGGGTGACACGAGTCCCTTTCATCCTCTGCGACACGCACTCACCTTGATGCAAGGCTAAGAATTCAAGATCGACGCGGATGTTGGCCCATCGCCACTAAATTCCCCAGGTTTGTTCGGGATTCGATCCACAGCCGCCCATTGGGTCCACCTTACTCTTCCCTTCTGTCGCCTTATCCGAACAGTCCGAGTGGATATCGTAACAAACACGATGGTCGATGGAGCCCCAGTCGCGTGATGCATGAAAGATCTGAAGCATTTCCGTCACCGCTACATCGTCGAATCATTCTCTTCCGGGATCCCTCGCCGAGCTGTCATGACCTCTCCCGCGGGTGAATATGCGCCTCTTTCTATGCATCTCTTCCCTGAAAAGATTTGTCAATGTCGTAACCTGGTCGGGCATCTCTGTACCGGAACAAGCTTGATTGGTCCCGTCACCTTACGGAAAATACCACCTTGACTCTATTCTGATGTTCGCCAGTTTCCCTTGATTGCTTGAGCTCGACACTTGGACCCTCTTTGCATCTGTAGGACTCGTGGCCCGATGGCGGACTTGCAGATTTCACCATCGTACAGAACACACGGTGAGGAATTCTCTCGCCCCCGGTCATCCCATGCAATGACACCCTAAGACGGCTCGTAGTATATGTAGCTCAGTACTATGACGTCGCCGTGAGGACCCAGTTTACCGTCTCACCGGCTTTTCTAAACTGCCCCGCCTTGGGCTCGCGTGGCCAGAGAGCTGCAAGTCCACTTTCTGTCGTACATCCGGGACGCGGTATCGCTGACAAGTGATACAATAATGGTTCCACTTTGGAAGAAAGTTTTCCAGCCCCTTGGTACCCGCTGCTCCCTTCCGTTGGGGTCGGCAGATTATCGACTTTTTCGATAGATTCGATGTAGAGATGCTTGCCGGAGATTCTTCGATGAATCTAACCGATTCGCAGATGCATGCCAATCGGATCAGTGTCGTTTGCCACTCGGGTTTGAACAGTTTCATGGTACAGGGGTGGTCATTGTGAAGCGATCGGCCGAAGCGGGTCCTTAGGCGCGAGCCAGAGTGTCGGTGAATTCTGTAACAGGCTCAGCTGATGGGAAGTCTTCTCGAAAGCCGCCGCTCCAAAATAAGACATTACGACACCGGTCGCCCCGTACACCGTATTATTTGACAGGACGATCAACGCCCCGTTGGCCCACATCGAAGCAAACCAAAATCAATAGCCCCGTCTCTCCTTCCTCGGATGCGTCTCATGTCTCAATATTCAGACCGCGCCGTTTTCTCCGTAGATAGAATCTTGGGGTACAGGATTGACATTCTTCCGCAGCTTTCACCATGCTAAACGAGGTCCATTGGCAAGGTGCGGAAGTCTCAGCCACGCTACCCGACCCGGGGGTTTGGATACATTAACATTTTTCCATGTCGAACCTATGAGAGGGCGGGGATGAACCCATTGGAAAGGACGAACAGGCTGATAGGCAGGGCTTCAACGGTTTGAGTGGCAGGACGTCAAAGTTGCGACAATCCCCCATTGGCCGGAGCACACCGCATGTTACTGTAAAGGCACAACCCCCGGTGGTAGTCGAATCAATGCGAAACACGAGGCTACCATTGTTTTTGGTTGATTGTTGCTATAATATCTTACATCCACTCTGTGCCGCTTTGTCGCGTATTATCCCCCGATCACGGTGTGATCTCATCGAGACGGTTCGAAGCTTCGAAGTTCGGGGATGGCGATCCTGTAGTCCCGACGGAACAAAGTTCACCTCCCGTCTGCAACTAGAGGGACCCAGGGATTTGGTCGGTAGTGGACAAACGGGGCTCCCATAATTCCGTGACGCGGGTGGATCGTGGGTCAGAAGAGAATAGCGCAATGACGACTTGGGCTCAGGTCCCAGGTCCCGGGAAGGAAAACAAGAAGTTGACACAGAATTCCCATTCCCGATTTCGATTAGACTGAGGTCCTTCTGTTTCGGCCCCAAGACAAAAGTGACCGGGTTTCCGGGACGCCAGAGGAAGTTGAGATCTATCATCTCACTAATTCGCACTAAAACCATAGCTCCGGGAACAAAAAACCAAAAAAAAGACTCCTGTAAGCCGATCATCCTTGCCTTACGCCATACGGAGGGGAGGGACGTCTGTTAGCGCGTAGACTACCCCTAGGGGCGCACTAAGGAGTCGCCTCTTGATGTTCCCCGGGGGCCCGGGGCTCAGGGCCGTGGGTCCCTTTCCAAACTTCGGGAGTCCATGATCCATCGTAACGGACTAGACAAGATACGGTAGGTATCAACCGTTACCCTTCTACGTTCTGGATCTGGGGTGAAGGGGACATGGGCGGTCGAATCACAGTCCCGGGGGGGAAAGGGAAGTAAAGACTAAAACTTTAGGGCCCTTTTTGCCTCCCCCCGAATGATCTGTGATTGATCGAGGAATGGAATCGTATCATAGCGCTAGACAATCGGCTTCTCTCCCATGATCCCCTTTCCCGGAAGACCTTCCATTGGCTCTGAATGCCCAGGCGATGCTCGTAATGACGATGATGCACTTCCCCTCCCTCTCCGTACCTCACATCGATCCTCCTGTTGTCCATTGGCTCCACTTCTTGTTTCTTTTTCTTTTTCTTTTTTGACTTTTTTACTTTCCCCCCGCCCCCCCCTAGACCTTGCCTCCAGAGTGATGCTTCCGCTATCCCCCCCCCCTTAGGTAGGTTTGGGATTTTTGAAATTTTAATTTTAAATTAAATTTAGGATTTCTGTTTTCCTGTACGGACGGATCACCTCTTCTCAGTGGCCAGATCCCCAGTCGGATGGCCCCGATCCCGCCCTTTTGCATTCGAAATACACAGAGCTCCAAAATAATAAATAAATTAAAATTGAAACCCAAAAAAAACCAACCGGACCCACACCCTGTCTTTATTACTGATTCAACATGTTTGCTGCCATCTGCATCCTGCGGCTTCTGTACAGCTGTAACCAAAATTTCCAGCCGTGATGCTGAACGGTTGACGTTTTAGTTTCCTTTGGCGCCTGATCACATCGGACTCTATAGATGGAGCTATCCACTGTCGACACCCGTGGATTTAATATAATAGCTCCCCTTTCCCCTCTGGATTTTCATGGAATGACTCCCTTTCCTCCTCCTTTGTGCTCATCACAATTTATCCGCCTGTCTCGCTTTTAAACTCAAGTCGGGACTCCTTTCAACCATCCCAAGATTCTTCATTAGATCCCTTCCCCATTCCTGCTCCCTTTCCTCTTCCACCTGCCAAACCTACTCGACCCTGATTTCGCCGCACCGGTTCGATCGACTTCTTTATTTTTTATTTATTTTATTTTTATAAATTTCCGAGATCCCCGGAACAAGTTGCGTCAAGCCTCCCTTGCAGTTGTCTCATAGTCTCCTCGGACCCGAAGATCCTCCGCCCTACCTTATCGGATTCACGACAGAATTTCCAACCGCAGGGGGAGAAATGTTGAAGCCCTAAAAAACGAATCGTCTGCTCCTTGCTCCGATATCACCAGCCTCCACACCAATTGCATTCTCTCCCTTTCGACCCTGACGCATTAACCCGGGGTAATCACAGGGGTATCAAAAGCACCAACCTTTGGTACTTTTTATCGCCCTCGCTTTCTTCTGGATCGCGCTCAATCGAATTATTTGGAGTGAAGCGGGGTCTAAATTTTTTTTTTCCGCCTCCTGCTCGCTCATCGACCTTTTTCTTGGTCTCGGTTCTTTTCACAGTCACAATGTTCAAACGACTGGCTTGCTTACAAGGCCGTCAGCGCAATGGCGCCGGCGAGGACTGGTCTACATTTCCTATTCGGCAATTATTTGTTTTAGGTAAGTGAGGTACTTTTGTTGCGCATCGCGAACTTCTCGAACTATGCGAGTGTTCGAGGAACAGGACAGTGAATACTAACCATGACTGTCCAGCTCTCGTCCGCATCTGCGAGCCCATTGCTTTCATGTCGATTTTTCCATACGTGTACCACATGGTTGAATCGTTCCATGTCACGGATAACGACCAGAAGATCGCGCTTTACGCCGGCATGATCACATCGTCTTTCACGTTCGCCGAGTTCTCAGCGGGTATGTTCTGGGGTCGCATGAGTGACCGAATCGGCCGCAAGCCCGTGCTCATCATGGGCCTGATTGGAACGGCCCTCAGCATGGTGGCCTTTGGATTTGCGCCCAATCTGGCCACCGCGATGATTGCGCGCGCCTTGGGCGGCCTACTGAACGGAAACATCGGGGTACTTCAGACAACCGTGGCGGAGATTGTGACGGTTAAGGAGCACCAGCCGCGAGCCTACTCGATCATGCCTTTCGTGTGGTGCCTGGGATCGATCATTGGACCGGCTATGGGCGGTGCTTTGGCCCAACCGTGCGACAACTACCCGTGGCTATTCCAGCGTAACACCCTCTTCGACCGCTTCCCGTTCCTGCTGCCCAACCTGGTGTGCATCGTGGTGCTCCTGTGCGGCATCGTGGTCGGAACCCTGTTTCTGGAGGAGACGCACCCGGAGATGAAGCATCGCCGTGACCACGGCCGTGAGCTGGGCCACTGGCTCATCAGCCTGTGCTGGGGCTCGCGCGTGCAACTTCCGGACGAGTCCGATGTGGTCGACGAGAAGTACTTCTACGGCGATATGCCCCCCGAGTACGAAAGCGCCGGATCATCGCCTTGCCTCGGGTCTGTGGGTGACGTAGGGTCAACGGAGTGCGACCTGGAGGGTCAGAAATCCCCCGCGCCCAAAGCATTCACTCGCCAGGTTATCTTCACCATTGTTGCTTACGGCATTTTGGCCTAGTGAGTTTAGCCCCGCCTCACCTTTCTTGCATATGTTGACCTCCTTTACAGTCATAGCGTGTCCTTCGATCAGCTGATGCCCGTCTTCTTGAGTACCCCGAAGTCCGACGACGCTGTCGTCCTTCCACTCAAGTTCACTGGAGGTCTCGGTCTCCCGACCAAGACCATTGGTTTCATGCTGGCCGTCCAGGGCGTCTACTCCATGATTGCCCAGCTATGGCTATTCCCCTTCGTCGTCAAGCACTTCGGTACCCTACGCACATTCCGCTTCGTGCTGCTCGCCTGGCCTCCGCTCTACCTGGCGGTGCCCTATCTTATTCTCCTACCGGCTAAACTCCAGATGCCGGCCGTATACGTTGCCCTGATCAGCAAGATTACCTTCCACGTTATCGCCTTCCCCGCCACCGCTATCTTGCTTGCCAACGCCGCCCCCTCCTCCAAGGTTCTCGGTGCTATCAACGGTGCTGCCGCGTCTACCGCAAGTCTGAGCCGGGCGTTCGGTCCCACCGTCACTGGCCTGTTACACTCCAAGGGTTTGGAAAGTGGCCACTCCGTTCTTGCCTGGTGGGCCTGTGGCCTTGTCTGCGTCATCGGTGCCATCCAAAGTTTCTGGATGGAGGAAGCCTCCGAGCCCGAGCGTTTCAAGACCGAAGTCAGTGAGGCGGAGATGAAGCGTGAAGCCATGTCAGATGAGTACACTGCCCAAGACTTCGACATGGAGGAGGAGGAGCAGCGTCTCCTCTCCTTGCGGTCTAGCATTGACCACGAATTCGACATTACAAACCTGAACATGAATGCCACATTCGACTGTGCTCCCGACAGCACTACAGCTGATTCCCGCGTTTGAGTACGGGGCTTTGATACCATAAAAGCATCCTCTGTTCACTTCGAGTCCTTCTGGGAAGGACATGACCGTTTTTTCAGCGCTCCTGCGTTTTGCCCACGGGCACTTTCCATTCTTCATTTTTCCCATTTTCACTTCGCGCCATGATACCTCCTTTCTGTCTCATGCGTTTTCTTTTCATAATCTTTTCTCATCGAGATCGGATACGGCGCAACTGACATAGAGTGGATGCATATGCAAAAAAAGCATAAAACTTGGGGTCTCCTTTCTACTTTCTTTGTCTTTTTTCTTTTTGTCTGGAGCATTGAACGGGCTATATTATGATGATACTCATGCATCTGGGAGGTTTTTTGATCATTCTGTTTTTCTCGCACATTACACGTCTTCTTGGAAATATCTCCAGATTGACTCTTGGACTCATTCAATTGAACGGCCGTCACCATCCCTACTCTTTTTCCGGGTCTCCACCTCGGCGTCTAGCTCGTAAACAGTTTCACATTGGACTGACTGCAGGCCAAGCGTATCCACTGTATACCACCCTGCTGTAAACCCGATCATATGACTCGGCGGTATATAGAGTGCTTCGCCCCTCTCTTCTTTTCTCCTACCCCGAGGTCTCAATGCCCTAGACTTTGCACTCGCAATCTCCGATCCACAGAATCCACTTCTTGTACGCCTGTCAGGTCTCCGCGTCTCCACCAATGAAAGTCAATTTATTCCGGGGAGATCCACTCGGCATTAGACTGCGTCCAGCAGCACGCGAATGCAATGGCGATTTATTTAGCCCCGAACAGGGCTTGTTGCCCTGCATAATTTGCTGACTGAGAATACGCTTTTGTCGCCATGACCTTCCCGTTCCTCACGGCTTAGCCGCATAGTCTGGGGTACCGAGAGTACCGAGACACCGTTCCCGAGGGCAACTTAGATTTCTCCGTATGAGAGTGGCCACTGCTGAATCCCGAACTCCACCAGAACCCTATCGTGGCAATGCGACCTTCTCTCCTCTTCATCCAACAGCTTTGCGCCGCCTTTGTTATCCTTCGTGGGACGGTGGTCGATCGTTCTTCTTAGTGTCCGATCACTGCTGCTCTGCGCAGTCCAGAGATATTGATTTTCACCTGCACCCACCCTCGGAGGATAATCTACCTCCGTCGCGAGCCTCTTGCGCCGCGGAGAGCTTGTCGGGTCACCGACCACATCGCGGGTGCGGGCCGCCTCCTTTTCTATCGTTTAGGATCGCAAGAACCGAATCCTAGGGTCGAGCCGATTCTGCCACGCCAGTCTGGATCTATCATGAACGCTGATCCGCCAACGAAAGTAAGACCGCTGTTCCCGATCGCTGTCTCCGCAGAAGTCCACCGTCAAGAGATGATCGCAGGTCTGCGGCTCTCGCCACTTGTTCCTCAACATGCCTAACATCCCCTCCCCTCCTTCGCCCGTCTCTTCAGGGAAGAAGAGACCCCATCCTTCCGGCGACACATCCCCGACTCAATCCGATCCCGCGACCTTAAATACGGGACCCAACCCCTCCGCCCCAACCCTGCCCTCCGCGTCACCCGCTCTGTCCACCGCGCCTTCGACTACGACTATCGCTTCCAACGCTTCCTCCTCTTCCTTCCGTAATGTCTCTGCCTGTAACCGCTGTCGGTTGCGCAAAAACCGATGCGATCAGCGTCTACCGAGGTGCCAATCTTGCGAAAAGGCCGGAGTTCGCTGTGTCGGATATGACCCCATAACGAAGCGCGAGATCCCGCGCAGCTATGTGTATTTCCTTGAAACTCGGGTCGCTCACCTCGAGAAGCAGTTGGCGGACCATAACATCGAGTTCAAAAAAGCCGTCGCATTCGATGAAGAAGAAGCTCTAAAAACAGAGACCGAAGGCGATGCAGCTCAATCATCTGGCGACGGCCACCTTGGCGAGAATCAAGACAAGGCACAGTGGAAGAATATCGCTGTGAAGGAAGAAACCGGTCCCGATCAGCGACCAGTTGGAGAGCAAAATCGTGATACAGAGGGCAACCGAGATCCCGAAAGCGAGGACAATTGGCGTCTGCATAATCTGGTGTCAAATATTGGCATGGTTTCGGTACAAGGAACATCCGATCCTCGATATCTCGGCTCAACATCCGGCATCTCATTCGCTCGGGTCGTCTTTGCTGCAGTCAGAAGCTCAATCCCGGGCAACCCGGAGCGCGGGCCACTTCGCACTGCTGAACGGCTACCCCAGACGGCTACTGGCTCGGGCGCAGGTAGTATGCGCGATTCATTCTTCGGGCTTCAGACGAAGCCGATGATGAAGCGTGCGTCCTTCCCAGACCGGGAGCTCGCCGAGCGACTTGTTGATCTGTATTTCGAACACGCAAATCCCCAAATGCCTATTCTCCACCGTGGTGATTTCATGGAGCTTTTGGACCGCACGTACCTGTTGGAAGAGAAGAATCGCTCCCCGCGAGCTCTTTATATCCTGAACATTGTGTTTGCCATCGGCGCCGGAATCATTTTCGATGATAAACCCCAAAGTTCGGGTGACGATAGCCGCGCTGGCCGTGATCGATCTTCATCCACTTCCAAAAGACCGAGACTCTCAAATCACCAGTATCAGCCGGAGGAATACCATGCATCTGCTATTGTTCATTTGGAATCGTTCCTCGGTTCTTCTTCCAGCGAAGGGTTCGGTGGCTTGGAGGAGCTTCAGGCAGTGCTTCTTTTGGCCAGCTTTGCTTTGCTGCGACCGGTTGCTCCTGGTCTTTGGTATATCGTTGGTGTAGCGATGCGCTTGGCCGTGGACCTGGGTCTTCACTACGAGGATGGGATTGGCCTTGACTCTGGATCGAAAGACGGGAACCAGGTCCAGTCGCGCATTGATGCTCGTGAGCGAGGACGCCGTGAATGGGTTCGCGATCTGCGTCGCCGTCTGTGGTGGTGTGTGTACAGCTTCGACCGTCTCGTTGCCACCTGTGTTGGACGACCATTTGGTATCAGTGATCAGGCCATCAGCACGGAACTCCCATCTATGATGGACGACAAATACATCACGAAATCCGGCCTCTTGACGCCTCCCGATGGAGCTCCCACCTACAAGCATGTTGCTTTCCAATACTTCAAACTCCGCCTCCTCCAGTCTGAGATCCACGATGTCCTTCAATATCAACAGGCACGCGCCATTCGGAGACGCTCCCCGGAAAGCGCTGTCATTCTTCCTCACGCCGAACTCACCTCCCCATTCCTCCAAGGCTTCGATTCCTTCCGCTCCTGGCGTCATGATGTCCACCGACGTCTTGTAGAATGGCACGAAACGGCCCCAACGCGGGCTGATACTGGCGTGAGATTCTCCATCGAACTTTTGGAGTTAAATTACTGGCAGGCCATCATCTTGCTTTACCAACAGAGTTTGACCGTGCCTGCCGAGTTGGCCGGAGAACTCATTCCGGCTGACGATGTCTCCAGTCCTTCCTTTTCTAATGTCGATGAGGGTGACGAGGAGGATCATGTCTATCTGAATGTTGCTGAGGCTGGCCAGAAGGTTATTCGCATCTATCGCCAGCTCCACCGGGTGCGATTGGTCAACTACACGTATCTTGCTACTCACCATATTTTCATGGCTGGAATCTCCTTTTTGTATGCCATCTGGCATTCACCTCTCGTCCGAAGTCGTTTGGTATGTATATGCTTCACATTTTATCTCTATCCGGCACTAACCCTTTCGTCTAGACTCTCGACGAGGTGGATTTCACTGTTCTCGCCGCCACATCGGTACTGGGTGACTTGATGCACAAGTGTCCCCCTGCTGAAGCCTGCCGAGACGCCTTCGAGCGGATGAGCAAGGCCACGGTCCAGATGTGCTTGTCCACCACCGGCTTCGGATCACAGGTCGACATGACTCGTGTGCACGCTGCTTCGCACGCGGCCGGCTCTTTGTATCCCGGTCGAGCACGCCAGACAATGGATCAAAGACAGCGAGGCCAAGGCCCTCGGCGGTACACGCAAAGCCGCGCTCAACGGCCAGTCCCGAAATTCGACATGAATCTAGCAGATTTATTCAACGATAATGCGCCACTGGCCGATCGATCCCGGTCCGATAACAGACCTCCCGAACAAGCTTTCCCCGTCCGCCCAGAACAGGCCGAGTCAATGGGCCCGGGCTTCTCTGCAGACCGAGCTGGTCGGTCATTCGGGCAGCGCACTCCTTCCATGGAGTACTTTATGAAAAATGAAAATCCGACGTCCCCGCAATCTGCACCGCAATTCTACTACGGAAGTTCGCCGCAGCAGAGTGGCTCCCCAGGAAGCGTGGCTGCGAATGGACCTCATGCAATTGCACCTGCAGACGCAGAGGCGCAGACGGGCATCAGTCTCGATTTCCTTGAATTTGGATCTGGCGATCCCGACGCCCAACATATGGAAACGGACCCCAACGCGGAGTATTTGGCTGCTATGCCTCCTCTTGGGCCTAATCTCGGCCAGAACGTGGGCATTGACCTGGGCTTCGGCATGGCTATGGACTTCCAGCATGACTGGAGCGAGAATCCCAATTATGATCTTCTGGAGGGGTATTTCTTCGGCGGTTCTGGGCAAGGCGCTCCCGGTGGTGATACTTAAAAGGTGTTTTTGCCTTCTTCGGCTTCTTGACTGCTCCTTCTTTGTCTATTCATTCCTATTTCTCTTCTTCGATGCTCACCGTGTTTTCTGCTCATTCTCCACCCTCCATTACCCCACCTCTTCTACCACTCTCTGTTTTCATTTTCTGTACATCGTCAAAGAGGATTTCAAGGTGAAAAGGATTGGCTTCACGGAATAAGGTGGCTGTTTCTCGCGATATTTTGATTGCTTTGTTTGGGATACCATATATTCTATATATAAACTATATCATATTGTATAAACAATCACCGAGATTAATTATTAGGTCTTGAACGTGAACCTTCACATGTTGGTGTGTATACATATAAACAAGGTAAGAAGTAAGACGTCTAGACTCATCGAGTGCCTTGGGCAGCAACCGCAGACCCGCCAAAACAAACATTCGCCCGTTTTTTTCCCCTTTCCGCCAACACATCAACCTTGCTGTGTCCATTCGGGGACTGCGGCGCTCACCGCGAATCCATTTGGTTGCATCTCGTTGGCTGCTTCGCCCAATTCGGCGCGACTAACGCTTGGACCCAACTGCCTGACTTGAACCTCATCAGGTGGTCAGTGCCCGTAACCTGCGATCAGAGATCGCAGCCCCGGTCTCTCCGATTACTCTGGCCCTCTTTCGGTCCCACTTTCGTTTAAACCGGGGAATACTATGCCCATTCACTGCGATCGCAAGCACCAATCTCCCTGTCTCAGCTGAATCGAGTCCCGCTCAGCCCTGTCGGAACGGATCCGTACAGACCACCGACTCCCGCCGACCCTCGTCGCGCCCACCCGTTTTTGTTCTGGAAGACCACTGCCTAGGCAGCGAAGGGCCCAACTCAGTTAGGCTCTCGGAGTATCACTTTCGTTTCTCCGACACTGAACACTCTCCTCCTGCAACCCCCAGCCCCGCCGCTCTTAGCCGCATACCTCGATACCTCGATACCAAACCTTCGCGACTGGTCATGTGTGGGACTGCCGACTATCTACAAGCCTATCGATTATGCACCTTGAGCTATACACAAATCCATAATTCATTCGCAACAAGGGAATCAATATGGTGAAGGCGGACGTCCGAAGGGACTACTACGCGGATCTAGGCCTTCAACCTAGCGCGGAGACAGAGGATATCAAGAAGCAGTTCAGGAAGCTAGGTATGTCAAGGACACAGAATGATGTTAGGCGAGACCAGCACTGATATGGATATATAGCACTCAAATATCACCCTGACAGGAACCCGGGCAAGGAACAGGACTTCATTGCCAGGTTCCAGGCCATTCAGGCGGCTAATGAGATCCTCAGTGATCCTCAGCAACGGCTCAAGTATGACACCGATCGATTGCGCGCCGGCTACGGCAAAGTTTACGGGCCTCCGAAGACAAATACCACTCGCAGACAGGCACCGACCTACGCTACTACCCAACCTCCCAAGCCGCAACCTCCGAGACAGCAATACAGTAGTCGACCCCAGGCATCTTCCAAAGGACCCTCGGCCGGTGCCCAACGTTACGCAGCCCATGCGCGCGCAGGACCGCAGCAATGGCAGAATCCACAGGATGAGGCACAAACCAGGGCTGATGCATTCCGGGCCTTTCATGGCATGCGGGGTTCTAATCCAGCAGGCTGGCGAGGCTTTGATCCCGAGACGGGACGTGCAACTCCTTCCTCGGGAGGCACGCCGAGGCAGCAGAATGCGCCTTTCGGTGCCCAGCGTCCCAAGTCTGCGTATGAGTACTTCAAAGACAGTATGAAATCACAAGGACCTTCAAGCCCCAATTCTCCCAAGAAAAGAAACGGCTTTGCGCCGGGTACTGCTGGGGGTGATGAGCCTATGGCCCGAAATACTTCGGCGTATACCAGCACCCGAAGCGAGCGGCCGAGCAGCATGTATTTCGATTCTGCACCTCCGCCAACCGCAAAGAAACCGTCGACTCCAGAAACGGCCCCTTCTTTTGCCCAGCGAACTGGTACAAGCTATGCCACCTCAGGGGGCGAGAAGACTTTCTTCTCGAGCTCTGGACTCGGACGCTCGTCGACCGTACGTACACCCTCCGGCTCCTATCGAACGACAAACTCGCGCACAACCCCCTCCAGCCCTGTCAATGGCGAATCAGAAGGGCATCGCAGCGCCAGCCCCAAGGCTAGACGGAACCGTACCTACTCTGCATCCACGAGCTCTAGTGAACTCGAGGACGACGATACCGAAGACGATGTGCGCCCACCCAACACGTTCAAACCCAAAGCCGTACCCAAGAGTCGATTGGGACCTAATCAGAAGTTCGCCGACTTCTATCGGCACGAAAACTCCAGCTCCGGACTTGGTGAGAACCCTCCCACCCGCTCAAGCTCTCAGCACTTCCGGCCACCTACACCCCGGCCATCCGAGGGATGGCGGAGACCTGCCCCGTCTCATCGGGGCCCCTATTTCATGGATTTGGACGCTGACACCTACGAATATAAAGGACACAACTCAGATAGTGCAGCATTCCCCAAAGGATCGTATCGACCGGACCCGCAGGCACAGTCCAAAGACCCGTATGTTCAACCCTCATGCTGCGTGATAGCATAGACTTACAATTCCTTAACAGTATCAATTCGGCGCAAAAAAGGACAAACCCACAATCAACCCCATTTGAGAGGAATATCCCCGGCAACCTGCACAAGAAGTTCTCTGCTGAAGACTGGAGGGAACATTTACATAAATTCGACTTCATTGGTGCCAATGCCAGTCCCACGGATAGACAGTCGCCTAATACGCATAATCGCCCCCGCGCGTCCACTCGAACTGACTCAACACAGACTGGAACGTCAACAGGATCGCCTGGCTTCAAATCATTCAGCCCTGGATCCGGAAATCAGTCTCACCGGTCGCAGCCGCCGCAGCAGCCTACTCCATTTGCACAGGCAAAGTTCCATGCGGATCAGTGGTTTGAAAAGGTGAAGGACATATCATGGAATGCCCAAGAGGCCGACAAAGCGCGATCATCTTCCAACACACCTCCGCGAAGCCCTAAGAAACAGGCAAGATCAGGCACGAAATTGCGAAGTGCCCCTCAGGCAGCTAGCGTGGCCACTGAATCCGATGAAGCCGAGGACACAATCAATGGCAACACACCTCCCGAGCCCAGCCAGTCAGTACCTGCTGATGCGGAGGCTATGGACATCGATGAGCCTCCCGGTCCAACAAGCGCCATGCCCGACAGTGCCTCTGCCGGTGATTCGAGAAGCACGAGTTATCCGGACCTCACTGCTCATGCTACTCGAGGCCCTCTTGCCGGAGTCAAGAAGTCTCAACCAACCCCGCAGGCAGAGGGTGACACACCTAATAGAGAGACTCGTACGCCGCTTTTTGATCTGGATAATCTACGAAACACAGTGCCGTTCACCAGCACAAACAGCGGTGGAATCGAGAACCTAGAAGATGTGCACGCCAATCTCCCATTTGATTCCAGGGCAAAACAACCAACAACAACAAAGCGTGACATCCAGCCTCGAGAGCTAAAACTACCAAACCCTCCCAAACGACCATGGGCACCACAACCAACCGCCGCCTACGCAGGCTCACAACAGCTCACTCTCTCCCGTGACAAATGGAACTGGTACGTGTCCGCAATGAGCACATACATGCACGACTGGAACACATTCAACCGCCGCATGCTCCTCCACTTCAACACCCGACAAGAAGCCATCGAAACTGGCCTTTCACCGAAATGGATCAGCGCCGTCGGTGATACAGCACGGCTCCACATCAACGGGATCGACGAAGAAGACGAGAAGAGCGAGACCCGCGAAGATGTACCCGATGAAAGCGACGACCTTGTTCCCGGTAGCGGCAAGGGCGGCTTCAGTGCATACCTGCGAGGCATCGAGGAGGATATCCAGGTGCGAAAGCATTGGGATGTAGCCTGTGAATTGCACCGCGAATGTATTCTGGATCTCGGGCGGCTGAGGGAATGGATCCGGAACGGTGGGAAGGTGGTATAGGGATGTCCTATTATGAATGATATGAACACAGATTTGTGGTGGCGTTTAGATGTCCATGGGCGTTGTCGCCGAAGAGGTTCTGACTTTTTTGCATGTTGGGCATGGTGTCGGTTCAGTGAATACCCTGGATATTGCATTTGATAGATCTAATTCCGTTTCATCCATCCTTCCTTTTCGCATCTAGTGGAACTCGTCGTACTTGACTACTATCCCTAAAGATGGGCGGCGCTATTGTAGGAGAAGACCAGGTACTTGAACCTGCGAATTCTTCTACTTGCTCCGGTCATGCGATGATAGATCCTATGGATTTGCCAATACGGAAGGATCAAATCAAATAAGATGCACAAGCAAGACATCCCAGACGCTCAAGTTTTAGTCTACTACCAAGCAGCTCCGGTTTGGCCTTGTTTTAGCTATTCTTCCTAATCTAGTTAGGATCGATTCCAAGTAGATGTACATGCTCCGGCTAATCGGATTGCCATTGTATCTGATACCCTGTACGACCTCCGGTAAAGGATGATCATGAGTGCGGATATGGATGAAACATAACACCAAATGAAGTCTAAATTATGGACAGGGATGCTCTCGCGCGACGAAGTGACTGACTAGGATCTCAGCCGGTTTATGGCGAAGATCGGGCGCGGCGTCAAAAATGGTTTCTACAATATCAAGAGGAGCGGGATATTGAGACCGATACATAAGGTCCAGCCGTCCCTTATTCAATGCACGTTACAGCTGCAGATACAATACGAAGCCATAGATGTCGCGTCAAGCAGAAAGTCCAAATTTACCGGCGAAAACCCTTGCCCTAGATGCCTCAGGCAACAATGCCGGCGGGTCTCCCCGGTACGTTACAAAAGTTACGGGAAAAAAATACCGTCGGCATCGTGAGTCACTGTAGAAAAGTAGTCAATTTCCCGCTCAGCATTTCCCTTAACTGTGAGAAACGATCTCCAGTCCATTGTAAGTCCATTGCCACTGTCGGGGCCGAGTGACGGCAAAGGGATTCACCGAGACTGACCCGGTCCAGTTTGCCCCGCCATCCGAAGCCGGAGTCTTCTTCTTCCTTCAAATCCCCGCCACTGGCAGTTGCGAATCCGATCGCAGACAATTCAAATCAGTCTTACAGAGAAACCACCATGGTCTCTATCGTCTTGGGCAGTCAATGGGGAGATGAGGGTATGCTCCAATGTCTCGGGATTGCGGAATTGGAACTGGAATGCTGATTGCGGGACAGGGAAGGGAAAGATTACAGACATGCTGTCGCAGCAGGCGACGCTGTGCTGTCGTGCAGCTGGTGGTCACAGTGAGTTCTACTCTATCCTTACATGCTTTATCCACCTGGATATACGCCAGCCCAGATCCCAATGATTGACCAACCCGTCCGCGGTTAATTAGACGCCGGCCACACCATCGTCCACGAGAACGTCACCTACGACTTCCACATCCTGCCCTCGGGTCTCGTCTCGCCTTCATGTATCAACCTGATTGGTGCCGGTACCGTGGTCCACGTTCCCAGCTTCTTCAAGGAGCTGGCTCAGCTCGAGACCAAGGGCCTGTCCACCGCCGGCAAGCGTATCTTCATCTCCGACCGCGCGCACGTCTGCTTCGACCTACACTCCGTTGTTGACGGTCTCGAGGAGGCCGGTCTCGGTGGCCGCAAGGTCGGCACCACGGGCAAGGGTATCGGCCCCTGCTACAGCGATAAAGCTGCGCGCCGCGGTGTGCGCATTGGCGAGATTCTGGACGAGGAGACCTTTGAGCGGAAACTGCGCACCCTGAACACTTCGTACTGTGCGCGCTTCGGAGATCTGGCCTACGACGTCGAGGAGGAGATTGCTCGCTTCAAGGTATGATCGGAGTCTCTGGGGAAATTTGTTGGATGTGAGTGCTAATACGGAGATGCAGGAGTACCGCAAGCAGCTGAAGCCGTACATCGTCGACCAACTCGCCTTCATGCAGGAGCACAAGAACTCGCCCAACACCCTGGTCGAGGGCGCCAACGCCCTGATGCTGGACCTGGACCACGGCACATATCCCTTCGTGACCTCTTCATCAACGGGTCTGGGCGGCGCCGTGCAGGCTCTCGCTCTCAACCCGACGAGTATCAAGTCCGTCATCGGTGTCCTGAAGGCCTACACCACCCGCGTGGGCTCCGGTCCCTTCCCCAGTGAGCAGCTCAACGAGGACGGTGACAAGCTGCAGAGCGTCGGCCGCGAATTCGGCGTGACAACCGGCCGTCGCCGCCGCTGCGGCTGGCTCGATCTCGTGCTGGCGCGCTACTCCCACGCCATCAACCACTACACCGCGCTCAACTTGACCAAGCTCGATGTCCTGGATGACTTTGACGAGATCAAGGTCGGTGTTGCATACATCCTGCCCGACGGCACTCGCACCACTGGCTCGTTCCCCGCCGATCCCAACGTCGTCGAGAAGCTGCAGGTCGAGTATGTTACTCTGCCAGGCTGGAAGAGCAACACTATGGGTGTTACCCGCTACGAGGACCTGCCGCCTAATGCCAAGGCTTACGTTGAGTACATTGAGCGTGAGATCGGCGGTGTTCCTATCAAGTGGATCGGCACCGGTCCTGCGCGCGAGCACATGATTGCGCGCGAGTAGGTGTTCTGGTGGTAAGTATCTGCCTTTTGGTAGATGCGGTTCCTTTTTTCTGCAGAATATTGGGATATGCGATTGAATTTTATATACGGTTTCGACCTGTTCCTGCTTCCATTGACGTGTTACTTATTCCCCTCAAAAATGGACATGTTAGATGGCTTGGATATTTCATACGATAGAGTTGGTTCCGGGATGGGAGTTTTGGGATAGTGTCACATATAATTTTGCCAAATTATAAATCAATATGTAAGACAAGAAGTTCCAAGTAAACAAGATAGATAGTACAACATGAGCTGAGAAGGTGGGTTGGGGGAAAGTGGAAGACCAAGAGGAAGACATATAATATGGTACATGGCAACAAGCCAAAGAGACAAAAGACGCCGCCCGATGCGAAAAGGATGGGATATCTCTATCAACTTTCTTGTTTCGTGAACTCGGTTGCAAGGCATGACCTAACGGCAGACGTAGACCAATTCGCTCGTCTTGCACAGCCCGAAATCATGATCAGAAGCGGGGCCGTCCGCCAAAGCCGGAGGAGCGTTCGCCAAAGCCAGTGGAGCGTTCGCCGGAGCCAGAGGAGCGTCCACGGCCACGGCCGCCTCGTTCCTGGTTATCGCGATCAAAGCTACGACGGGGGAAGCCACGGTCACCGCGGTCACCACGGTCCGAACCACGGTCGGAGCCACGGCGGCCGAAGACGCGGTCAGACGATTGTGATCCCTGACCAAAGCTGACATGGCGATGTTGTGACTGGCCAATTGTCAACTCTGGGATCTTGGCAATACCGAGATTGCGGGCAATGTTGGCGCTGACGGCCGGGGGTTCGGGCAGACCGTAGCCGTGGATGGCGAGGTTGTTCAGGATGCGAATAGCGTGGCGCTTGCTGGAGAAGCTTTGCAGCAGAGTGCCAAGCTGGGAGCGGTATGTGTTCTCACGGGTGATAGGTGATACCTCTTCCATAGCGGATTTCATCTGGCTGATGGTCAAGGCAGTAGCAGGAGAGAGGTTCTCCGTGCCCTTGGACATGTCCGCCATGGCGGTGGGTAGAGACTGGCTGTCTTCGTGGAGAGGCAGATCTCCCAGTCTTTCGGAGTAGTAGTCGTTCTCTCCGTCGTGGAGGAAGACCCAGCCCTCACCGGTCTTGTTGGCACGAGCAGTGCGGCCAAGTCGGTGGATGTAGGTCTCGCGGTCACGAGGAACGCCCACCTGGAGAACGTGAGTAACATCGGGGAAATCCATGCCACGAGCGGTCACGTCTGAAGAGAAGAGGATGGCCTCGGGGGTCTTGCGGAAGGTGCTCGCGCTGTTGGTGCGCTGCCCCTGGCTGAGACGGGCATGGATCTCTAGCAACTTCATGCGACCCAAGGGGGAAAAGCTTCGGGAGTTACCGGGCTCCGACTTGAGGTTGTTGAAAGCCTCGGCCGCAAGGTTAACCTCGCTGGTCGAGTTGAAATAGACAATTGCCTTGAATGGCCGCAGGTTAGGATCAGCTTGCTGCCGAGCCTGGTAGTTCTTGGCGAGCTCGAGGATCGAGGGCAGGGCATTCTCGTACCCACGCAGGAAGACAGTCTTCTGCGGAACACTGAAGTGGGTGGGGACCTCATCATCGCGAACAGTCTTCACGAACTTGAAGTCCGGCTTCATAGTACGCTTGACCATTTGCATAACCTCTTTGGGGACAGTGGCCGAGAACATGACAGTCTGGCGGTCCACCTTGAATGGATCCGGGAGGAGTTCCTGGATGGCCTGGACCTCGGGGGCGAAGCCCTGGTCCAGTAGACGATCAGCCTCGTCCAGGATCAGGGTGTTCAACCGCGGAGCAGAAACACCACTGTAAGGGTCCGAGAAGATGTCCTTGATGCGGCCGGGGGTGCCGACCAGCAAATGGCAGCCCATCCGCTGGATCCTCTGCAAGCCAGCTTTCTTCTGTGTACCACCCACTGCAGTCTGCACCTTGAGTCCCGTGCCGGCAGCGACCTTCATGGCCTCGACGGCAATCTGCTCGGCAAGCTCTCGAGTGGGCGAAATGATAAGAGCCCGAATGTCGGCAGCACTGGCCTGCCCGCGACGACCATGGTCTTGCTTGGTGTTGAGTGTAGGGTCACTGAGGATGTTCTGCATGGTAGGGACGAGGAAAGCCAGCGTCTTGCCGGTTCCGGTCTTTGCCTGGGCCAGACTAAAAAAGCATTAGCGGGAGAACTGAAACGGATTAACATGGAGCAGTTCAATCTTACACATCATCACCTCGGAGCATCTGGTGGAGGGTCTGGCTTTGCACATCGGTCATAGTTGTCAAGCCCATGCGAGCAGTGCTGGTGATGTTCTGAACAATCGAGGCGTCGACGAACCCCTTTTTCTGCAAATCCGCAAACTCGGTGATCAGTTCTTGCTCTGACGCAGCGGGGGCTTCAGCAGCCTCCGCAGAAGCCGCGCTCAGCGCAGGGAACGAAGTTTGAAAAGGCCGGGCAAGGGCAGGAGACCAGGTAGACGGGGCCTGCCATTTGAGTAATTGGGGGGCCAATCCCGATGAAAGGGAACGCGGCGCAGATGCGCGCAGTGCCTGGGAGACACCGAATCGGCGAACGGCACCAAACATTTTGAAGGATGTTGATGAAAAGGGTGAGACTGAAATAATCTCGCGCGACAGAAATCGTAAAACCAAAATTTAGATCACATGACCCTTATCGATAGTAAGTGGAGCCTGAGGCCAAAGGAGTGGCAATTTTGACGAAATTTTAAAATCCTGGTACTAAACAAGCATATTAAGCACAGACGGGTAAAAAAGGAGACAGGAAAAATCAAGTTAAACGAGGCTGTCTCAAACAGACTGAATTAGTAGATGGACAAAATAAAAATAAAATAAAAAGAATGCGTCGACGCCCGGATTCGAACCGAGGAACCCGAAGGAAACGGCTCTCCTATGTGAGAGATCAGACCTTAGTGAACTAAGGCGTTGGAAGGCTCTAGCAGGCCGCCGCGGTAACCACTGCGCCACGTCGACCTTGGATGATGAACTGGCCGTTTCTTTATACTGTATCCACAATTTTCCATCCCCTTTCTATCACTTTCACGCCTTGTGACACTGGTTGGGTTTATTAGTTTCACGCACTATGGACTGCCATAGTATTTCATATTCACTACAATGTTTGACTATTCAATCGAAGTACTTCTATGCTGAGAATTTGAAATTCCCATGGCTCTCACCAAGAATGTCTTACAAGGTTGAGTCAGCGGGACGCGGATCGAGAGAAGTCCGAAAAATAGGAGATTGGTAAGAACCGCGTAGTTTGCTTACAGGGCTGACATGCCATGACTCATAGATTGAATAGCTATTTTATCTGGGGCGTGGCTGATCTGACAGGTATCCCATGGTGGCTCCAGTGGAATGCGTTGGAAATATGCTGCGGGGTCTATCAATTGCTATAAGAGGACCCGCCCCACTGCAACATTCGTAGTTCATTATTCTTACCAACATCCACTATGGCTCCTGTCAACGTTGTGGTCGTTGGCGCGTCCTACGCCGGTCTCCACATCGCTCATTCCTTGCTCGAGGTCCCCGACGTCAAGGTTGCGTTGGTCAACCCGTCCACCAATTTCTATTGGAATATCGCAGCACCGCGCATCTTGGCCAAGGCTGAGGCCTTCAAGGCGGAGCAGTATCTCCTTTCAATCACCGATGCCTTCACCAAATACACAGCGAGGAAGGTCGAGTTTATCTTGGGTACTGCGACTGCTATCGACGTCGCCGCCAAGAGCGTTTCAGTGACTCCCAATGACGGCGAGGCCAGATCGGTCTCGTATGACTATCTTGTGCTCGCATCCGGAAGCACTACTACTTCCACCACTGGCGAAATTACCGGCTTCTCCATCCCGTTCAAGCAGTCCAACCGCGATGACTTGAAAGAGCTCATCGAGGCGGCCCAGCAAACGATTACTGGGGCCAATAATATCGTGATTGGCGGGGCTGGGCCCATAGGGGTCGAATTGGCCGGTGAGCTGGCCGAGGCAGTGGAGCAGAGTGGCAGCGCGGCGACCATCACCCTGGTCTCTGCGACAGACCGCGTGCTCCCGATGCTGAAACCGTCGGGCAGTTCGGCCGCAGCCAATATGTTGCAGCAGAAGAACGTCAAGGTCATTACCTCTACACGAGTGACCGACGCCGAGGCATCAGGCGATGCATGGATGGTCTCCCTGGACAACGGCGAGAAAATCTGCGCCGACCTTTATATCCCCACCACAGGCGTGATCCCCAACAGCGGCTTCATTCCGGAACAATTCCTGGACAAGGACGGCTGGGTCAAGGTCGACAAGGAGATGCGCGTGGAGTCGTCAGAGAACATCTATGCTGCCGGCGACATCACCAACAACTCGATGCGCCTCTCGTTCAAGGCTGTGGAACAAGCCAGAGTGGCTGCCCATAATCTGAAGGTGGATATTCTGGGCAATGGTGAGCGCAAGTCGTTTGACCAGGGCGAGAGCATCATGATGGTTGTCCCGGTTGGCGAGTCGGGTGGTACTGGGCAGATATACGGCTTCACTCCCTTCAGCTTCATGGTGAAGATGATCAAGGGCAAGGACTTCTTCATCTCCAAGGCGGCACCTATGGTGGCCGGAAAGGCATAGACGATTTTATGAACGGGGATAATAATATCTCTTAAAGATTTTTATACGAAACGGACACAATAATTCCAATATATATTTTCTTGACGAACGGCTGTCTCAGATCTCTCCCCATTTAGATAAGTGAACCCTGACATTACTGCTTATGCATAGCAATATCGATTTCAAACCGAGCGCTTAGATATCAAATGATCAGTTCACTGCATACCTCGGTAGCAAACCCAATCAAAACCAAATCGCATTGATCCCCTCCACACCAAGCTTGCAGGGAATGACCCGGCCAAATCGGGTAACTTGCTCCGTGCTTAGAAACGCCTGGTTGCGGGATCTCTTAGCTTATTCAGATTATTCATAGTGAATGGGTCCCCTGTCCACGGTTCTCCTACCCAGAATGGCGTTCCCCGTCGGCTTGACTCGTTTTCAGTTCCTCCGAGCTCCACCGCGGCAGTCAATGGGCCCCGCTCAGAAGTCTCCGTTTCGATTTGAGCTTATACAACAAAGCTCACCTGGTGGCAAAGTTGAGATATGGGTGGCGCACAGTAACGGTTTCCCGGGGTTGTACATGTATGCAATCGCAGGTTCATTATGACGGAGAATGTGCAGGGAGGTGGAGCCCGGCAATGCTCTGAGATCGACTTTAACCTTCTCGAGAAGCTTCTCCGGGTCCCACCGGCAAACGGCAGATTGCTTTATAATGATGAAAACAATTTCTGGAATTCTGCCTCGGTCAAAATCCCTTCTGCCCCGCTTGACAGTTGTACAGGCTTTGTTATAAAAGCATTACACAGTCCTGAGTTATTGTCTGAGCTCATATCCTTACTTTTCACCTTCCTCTCGTCTACCGATATACTCCATTTACGTCATGTCCAATAAGGCTCTTGTCTTCAAAGCGATCCCCCAGGGCTACCCCGTCCCCGGGGAGCACCTGACTATCGAGCCCGCCGCCTATGACGCCAACGTCGAGGCTCCGGCCGATGGTGTCGTCCTGAAGTCGCTCTACACCAGCTACGACCCCTACATGCGTGGCCGTATGCGCCCCGTTGAGGTCAAGTCCTATGCCCCCGCCTTCGAGCTCAACAAACCCATTGAGAGCGCCAGCATTGCCAAGGTCATCCGCTCGAACAGCGCCAACTACAAGGAGGGCGACCTGGTCATTGGCCACGTTCCCGTCCAGGAGGTCGTTGCCCTGGATGGCAAGAACCTGGTCCGCATTCGCAAGCTCGAGAACCCCCTCGGCCTCGAGGATATCCGTGTCTTCTTGGGTGCTCTGGGCATGCCCGGCCTGACGGCCTACTCGTCTCTGTACGAGATCGGCAAGCCCAAGAAGGGCGAGACCATCTTTGTCTCCGCGGCCTCCGGTGCCGTCGGCCAGATCGTAGGCCAGTTGGCCAAGCACGAGGGTCTGAAGGTCATTGGATCCGTGGGCTCCGACGACAAGCTCGAGTACATCACCAAGGAGCTCGGCTTCGACGGTGGCTTCAACTACAAGACTGAGAAGCCCGCTGATGCTCTGGCTCGCCTCGCCCCCCAGGGTATCGATATCTACTACGAGAACGTCGGCGGCGAGCACCTCGAGGCTGCGCTGGACGCGATGAACAACTTCGGTCGCGTCGTCGTCTGCGGTCTGATTTCCCAGTACAACTCGGCCCCCTACCCCATCACCAACATCCACCAAGTCCTCGTCAAGCGTATCACAATGCGCGGCTTCATTGTCGGCGATGAGGGTATGGGTAACGTTTACACCAAGGAGCACCAGGAGAACGTGCAGAAGTGGATCAAGGATGGCTCTTTCAAGGTGCTCATCCACGAGACCCAGGGTATTGACAACGCTGCCGAGGGCCTGGTTGGCATCTTCTATGGCAAGAACAAGGGCAAGGCTGTCCTGAAGTTCTAAGCGGTGGATGCTAAAAGATCAAATGACGATATGCCCGCCACGAAATTCTGGGATAGGACATATTCGGGATGTCTCGGTTATGACGTCCTGGAGATGTAACCATGCAAAGTTAGTAAAGAGAAACAATTGATGATATGCATAATCAAACCTTCAACGGATGTAGAGTAACAATAGAATAACAAGAATAAAGTAAACCCTAGAACTCAATGAGTATAGAGTCGGGATAAATGTTTCTCGATCGGCCAATCTCGGCTGGGCGGATTCCCGTCGGCCAATCACCTGACGTAGAATTCGCTGACATACCGAGTCGGACTCCCGAGGTTCCAATGGCCAACTTCATCCTTGTGCGAGTCCGTACTCTCCCCTCCTCCACACCCTTCAACTATGGTTTCATTCGCGCGCCCGTCACTGCTTCGGCAGACTCTCGCGACCCGGTCGCCCCTCCTGCGCCAGAATGTCGGCGTTTCGCAGATGGTCGCTTTTCACGCCTCCGCTCGGAAGCAGATCCTGCCCCCGTTGCCGCGTACGTATTGCCTCTGTCTGGCGATGAATTGGCAGTGCCGAGACTGTGAATAGTGCTTGATCGTGTGGACATCTGCTAACGTGATTTTCGGTGTACAGAGTCGCTTGAGGGAACCAGTACGTGACGATCCGAAACTTCCATGCCTTTTTTTCTCGACCTTCGAGCCTCAACCCCGGATTGCGGTTATCCCATGTCGATTCTGTGGTTTTGGCTGGAATGGCGAGGGAGATGGCAGGGCTGGCAGTCAATTGGATCTCATACTAATTTCCCGCGATAGTGAACGACCCCGTCCCCGTCCCCAAGCCTCACCCCTCCGAGGGTAGCTACCACTGGACTTTCGAGAGGTTCGTCATATTCCAGCTTTGAGAGAATCATTGGATATTTTGGATGTGAAAATTACTGACCGATATCTGCAGAGCTGTCTGTGTCGGCCTGATCCCCGTCTGTGTCGCTCCCTTCGCCGCTGGCTCCCTCAACCCCGTCATGGATGCCGTCCTCTGCTCCCTCCTGGTTGCCCACTCCCACATCGGATTCCAGTAAGCCACCCGGCTGTCGTACAGCTTAACATATCTGACCTTATACCAGGGCCGCCATCATCGACTACTTCCGCCCCCAGCGTGTGCCCAAGTTCAACTCGCTCTGCAACTGGCTTCTGCGCGCCTTTACTCTCACCACCGCGGTCGGCCTGTACGAGTTCGAGACCAACGATGTGGGTGTCACCGAGGCCCTGCGCCGGATCTGGAACGCATAGAGCGGAGTCATTTGAAAAGGGGTTTGGTTTCTTTTATTCTGGTCAGGCGTTCCGCCTATGTATATGTCGTCGAAATTTCTCATTTGTCCTGCCCGACACGGTCGGTGCCCAGTTCTTCCAGCCTACAAGAATTATATCTTCTGTACCCACATTCATACCGTTCCAATAGAGTATATTCATATCTATAGCCGAAAGTGCAAACGTAATAAAACAAGACTCGCTCAACATGGAGCGCAATCTCGCTTATAGCAGTATTCTTTTATACCTTTCACTCCTCATCCTCGTCCTCATCCCCGTCATCCAACACCTGATCATCCGGCAACCGATCCTCATCATCCGCCTTCGCCATAACAGCCTCAATCACCTTCAGCGTCGCTTTCAACGGCAACCCGATAACGTTATCATAACTGCCCTCAACCTTCTCCACCAGAATAGACCCCAATCCCTGCAATCCATACCCACCAGCCTTATCTGCACCCTCGCGCGTGCGCACATAAGCCATAATCAACTCATCCGAAACATCCCCATCAAACACAACATCCGTCTCCTCTACATGCGACTCCATAGCATACCCCGGCACCCGCGCACTCTCCAACGGCGCCATAGCCACTAGTGCCGTGTAAACCTTGTGCTTACGAGCATCGCGCAGCGAACGAAGCATGGAGAAATGGTGGGCCTCGGAAGTGGGTTTCTCAAGAATGGAGCCAGAAGCAGTATTGACGACGACAGTATCAGCAGCGAGGATGAGGGCCGGCTCGCCCTTTTCCTCGTTGGTGATTTCCTGCTGGTACACGGCCTGTGCCTTTTTGGTAGCTGTGCCGAGGACGTATTCGAAAGGCGCTAGGCTTTTCGGGAGGTCTTCGGCTGCGTTTGAGGGAATCACTTCGATTGGAAGGCCTAGGTAACCGATTATTCGGCGTCGGCGGGGTGATTGGGAAGCTAGGACGACTCTTCGTGTGCGTAGGTCGTTTAGCACGGGCAATGAGAGCGGCGGTGGGCGGGGGAGTGGTGGCCCGCGCGGCTTGGTTGGGAGGTCGTAGGCTGGTGGAGGGTCGGCGGGGGAGTCGACATGGTCGAGAAGAGCTTCTTTGGAGTCGGACATGGTGTATCTGTGTGAGGGATGGTATCTTGAGGAGCTAAGAGCTGGCTAAGAGCTGGCTAAGTGTAATTGCGGTGGGCTGTGATTGACATTGCGGTCTCCACTGACGACATTCCTGATTGGGCGATATTTGTGTACTTACGTTCCTTCCAACGCATAATCTGAATGTTGCGCTAGACACTAGCAGCTGAAGAGTCAATCTTACTGACTCCTCCAAGCCTTGGAAGGAAAATAAATTATTTTAAAATACGAGAGCACCCCAAGCGATTAGAATCGCTTTCACTACCGATGGCGCAACCCCGCAACTCATCCGGCTGCAAACATCAACTATTTACCCTGCAAGTTAGTCCAAAAAAAGAAGATTAGAGGAAATCATAAGGTGGAGTGTCGCGGAAATAACCTTCAATTCATACTGGAAACCGGGGACTCGATTGGATTATTCACGGCATGCTCTATCGGATGGTTGTCTAGTACATCGATGCAGCAACTCAGGGCCGGACTTCAACCGACAAAATACAACGTGTGGGTATCGAGGCAATCAACTGCGACAAGGAAAGTGCGTGCCTTTTTCGTGTCTGAAATGCTATGCGTCACGTAAGGGTTTCTTTTTGTTCCTGGTCACTGTGAGTTTGGTTTGGACAAAGATACGGCACCAATTTTGTAGCGCAGTATTCTTATTAGAGGTACCCTTTCTTCATGCTTGAGGCTTAGTAGATAGTAGCATAGTAGCCTACGAGATCTCCTGACGGGGACGTCTAAGAGCCGACGATTCGTTCGTCGGCTAAGCAGCAGTGAGCAGAATCTTGAGAACTATGAGCAGACTGTTGTGGATAAAATATCATATTCGCAATAAAATCATCAGTTTCCAAGGCAATGGAAGTAGCCCGCTGCTCGAGACAACGCTGTGACGCAGGATTTTCTAATGCAGGTGACCTTGCTGGTAACCCTGCAGAGTGTATTTGAATGCGCTAGGCCTGACCTCGAGATTACTTCGAAGACAAGCGACAATTTTTGCAATATGTTACGCATTTGATTTTCATATTCTCATCTATATTTATCCCGTAGTCGATGTGACCCCTCTTGGTCGCTGGAGTTATCACTTGTGTTCCTCGTCAACCCTCGCAGGAGCTTCTATAGTGCGTAGCTCATACAGTGGTGCCAAGGTAATTATTATCTCCATACCACGTTATAACAAACTTTATGTTCTAATAGCCTATAACACAACTGTTCCGCGATATATTGCTCTGTATCTCCCAGATACTATCTAGGAAGACTCGATGCCACTCTACATGCCTAACAAGTATCTCAAATAGGCTTGTACGGTTCCACAGTGTGAGACTTGTGTATGTAATTTGATAGATAAACCAAAATTGAGTGTTTTTTTAAGTTCAACAGAGACTGGCGACGCACTTCCAATATTGTGAATATTAAAAATGGGCGAGGAAACGGAAGTACTTTGTCCCCGCACGCCCGGCCCAATCAGCTCGGCACTATTGCACGGCACTAGTACACGTGACTGGCCCCCACTTGCGGCCCTCGGTAGAACAGTTCGCACCGACAGGCCCCTTAGTAGGATGCCTAAACTTACGAGGCTGCTGCTTGGAAAAATCTTTTTTGAGACGTAGAACATTGAATTGAAGTAGCCGCCCAGCACAAAAACGCCCCAAGTGGTTCTGTAGCCACGTCCATACTGACACATTCTGGTTCCCAGCACCAGGCCCATTGGCAAGTCCTGATTGAAGATATACAAAGAACGATAGACGCAAAATAGAATGAATATAAACCACGACGGTACAAAAGCATGCGAAAACAAGAGAATCCGGCAGTTGTGGTGATGCAGCCCAGCGTATGAAGAGGATTGTTGGATAGGAATGTGTCTGGGGAGACCGGCCCCGAGCCTGGGCTCATCTGTATATACCGCCGTAGGTCATGAAACAGAGAAGAAGTGAAGAGAGGATAATAAAAAGACAGCAGAAAGTGAAGCACAACAACGCGAAGATGACCAGGGCTATGTTGGCCGCAATGAATCGTCTACGCGGCCGCCCTTGTTCTCAATCTCCGCAATCAGATTTTGTCGCTCTTGAAGCTTCAAGTGCATGAATTCGACGGTCTTCTGCAGCACAATGCTCTCGCTGCGACCTTGGCCCTCGAGACCAGGCACCAATTCCGTGAGTCGGTCGAAGCCTTCGCGAATGGCTGCGCGGCGTTTCTGCTCTGAGGCGATGTGGTTGTTCTTCTTCTCTTGGTCCGTCAGGCGAGGTTTGTCTTTGTCCTGACCGGACACCGACTTGGATGCGGCGGTCGGGGTCGAGGAAGACCGGTCGTCGTCGTCGGGATTCATCTTGTGTTGAAGTGAATGCGATCGAGAGTGCAGGACAGAAGCGAATTTGAAGGAGGAAGTATAGCCGATCGATTATCTCCTTGCGAACACGTAGATCGTTGTAGGCGGGGTATGAAGGAGTGGACGCCGGCCGAGGGTGGTAGAGAGAGGGTTTGGGTTTGGAGGATTGCGGAGGCGATAGGACCGATAAGACCAATGCGGAGAAACAAACCCAGGGCGGAAGTTCTTCTTGGCATCTCTAAACGTCATAGAGAGGATCCACCCTCCGGACACCCTGCTTCCTTTTTTTCCTCTTCTCTTTTGTACGAGAGTCACCGATATCTCCCATACACCGGGATACTCTCAATTGTAGAGCTGCGGTACAGCTGCTCATTTCAATTGCTGAAAGTACAGCGGTCTGTATCGACCCAGTCCAGTCCAGCAACGTCGCCGTTGCTTGTAACACCCTACAGCATGACCCACGAGCCGCTGCATGGATCATGCTCATGTGGTCGTAATGAGTACAGCATCCAGATCCCCGAGGATGTGACCGAGCATGCCGAAGTCTACTTTGACACCTCCCGAGACAACCGTATGTAGATCGCTCCAAGCTCCGTTGATGGTAACTGACGATTTACTAGGTCGATCCCAAGGCACACCTATCACAGCGTGGCTTCGTGTGCCTCTTGACTGGTATCAGTCAAGCACTCGATCCTTCTTCCCAGACGAAACACATTCTTCCATTCGCCGCGTCTTCACACCGCTCCATGCACCGGAGACCAAGCGCATATTCTGTGGTTTCTGCGGAACACCTTTGACATTCTGGACGGAAGAGCCTCATGAAGAAGCCGATTATATGAACATCGCGGTTGGCACTCTATTCAGCGAGGACCAGCGTGTCCTAGAAGATCTTGATCTTCTTCCAGAGAACTCGGACGAGGAAGAATTAGAGGCTGAACCATCCAGCTCGGCCCTCGCGCCGGCACTGGATACCTCATCTTCTGTTATTGTGCCATCATTTGGCAACTCGCCAGATGTCACACGAAGCTTCCGGCGCGGTACAGCCCGTGGAATCCCCTGGTTTGAGGAAATGGTTGAGGGAAGCCGCCTCGGTCGGCTGATGCGAGGTCGGCGTGGAATGGCTGTCAGTGACGATCAATCTACCTCGTTTGAATGGGAGATTAGCGAATGGCATGATGATGGAAGTGGCAGTATTCAGGACGACTCTGACTCGAATAGTCATCCCACCGGGAAAAGAAAACGGGCGCAGTAGGTCGAGGGCAAGTCGAAGTCGAAACGGGCTTAAGCTAATGGTGTTCTACATTGAGTTTTAGCTAGGCGCTTGTTTGCTGGAAAAATAATTTTAATTTACAAAATTTCAATCATCTTGTGTCTTGCTTTACCAGAATTCCTCGAAGCTCCATTGAGACAACCCTTATTATATCTATGATATCCGCGGTATACTAAATGAGGCAAACGGGTGGGTTCTCTCACCATGGTGGAAATCCCCCGCATGTTTTTAGGTCGAGTACCATACCATTGGGATTGAGGATGGTGCTTCTGCTTTGTATAAAGTGACCAATCTCCTAATCGAGATGGTTCAGGATTGATAGGATTGATCTAGCCCTGGAAGTTGCTCTGGAAGTATCCTTGGAAGTAGCCTTTTGTAGAAGCTCCAGTCTTAAAGACACCCGTCGGGGGAACTACTGTGACGGGGAGCGCATTATGATGTCGTCGCGGCCTCCATCACAGGATGAGTTGTTGTAGGCAACGCCGGCGAGCGTCCTGATAACCATCCCTATTCCACGATCCACCCTCCTCCTTTATTCTCTCTCTCCTCTCTCCTCTCCCTTATTCCTTCCTCCACCTCTCTTTCACCCTGACCAATGCGCTTTCTGTGCATGGTTTGTCTTCAATCTCAGACTCGACCATCCCACTAAGTATTCACCCCAACTCTAACCCTGGAGGCCACATCCAAGCCTCCTCTGAAGCATATTGTCGCCAAAGGCAGAGCTGCAGAGAGTGAAGATGTGTGCAGAATCCATAAGCACCCTCACTCATCAAGCCCCTTCCCCTCCTGCTCTGACTGCCTGACCTTGTCTCATATATGGACCTTGTTGGCTGATGATACTTTGCACAGAACATCGCCCTCTACGGAGGCCATGGAGGGAATGTACACCATTATGCAGGCATCCGGCGAAATTCACGCTCCCAAGCAGTGTGATGGCAAGATGCAGATGCACGCTAAACCGTGCACTCCTGTCTCTTCGGTCTGTAGCACCAAGAGCCGCTTATTCAGTCCCAAGTTACTGAAGAACATGGTATTACACCTCCAGCACCCAGTCACCCTGATGGATTGTCAACTATGCACAGTGCAGCTCTCATCTTGTGCTGCAGATGATACTTGTCCCACGTTTGTTATTGCAGGGAGCAATGTACTGACAATGGTTTCATACACAGGCAAAGAAGATGTCTCCCACCAAGATGATCCGCAAGGTCTGGCGTGGCGTTTCAGGCAACGTGATTTGAACCTTTAAATACTCGCAATACTGGAACTAACACTCTGTATAGAAGTCCCAGAACTGGCTCACTGAGGAGCAGACTCCCTCGATCTGGTCCGGCGTATCTTATCTGCCGCGAGTCCAGTCGAGCCCCATGGTTTCTTCGGGTATCTGGTCCGGTGGTGACAGTAATTTTGCAGTTCCTTCGCTCTATGAGAACGTCCATCAAGGCTTCATTGCAGGCAATTCTTATGCTATCCGACATGAGCAGTTGCTAAATCCAGTCACCGACTCGCAACCTGACAACCAGGATGGCCACGAGCGCTCCACGATCCGTATGTCGGCTTCTTCTAACTTCGTCTCGTCCATCATTTCTTCAAGCTCTGCTTCTCTCATCACTCCTGCTCCGCCTGTTGAGGCCTCCAACGATGAGGTCAAAGCCCGTGGCATTCTCAACACCACTGAGCGCCAGCCCCGACCCCAGGGCACCATATTCCCATTTGGAATCCCCTTGCTGTCAGCCTACACTGAATCGAAAGCCGCCCTTCACCTCGACTTTTCGTCGAGAGACGAGGAAAAGCGATCCTGGAAGTCTGCGAATGGAGGTAGGTAACGCATATACTCTCCCACCGCATTCTTGATTTCTCCTGTTGACACATCGCTCAGGCTCACCTATCCGTACTGAAATTTCCCTGATTACCCCTACTCAAACAGAGGGTGCCATTTCGGAGGGTACCGAAGAGAAAGGTACGCCTTCATACTTCCCACTCGACACAATCTCGCTAACACAAAACAGAAGCTGCCTCGTCTCTGGTTTCCAGTTCATATCGCATCATAACACCGGCTCCCACTGAGAGCACCACTTTGGAGCAGACTGAAGACAAAAGTATGTTTTGACAATGCCACTTCACTCAAGTCGATTTGGCTAACATGAAACATAAGCTGGGTCGCCTCGGTCCCTCAGAAAGCTCTCTAACACCTTCCGGACTCGCTACGGAATCAAATCCAAGCAGCAACCCAAGCAAGTTCCAGCCCCGAGACAAGATGGCGCTCAAAGTATGTTCCCTCGGTGTTCTAGACACATTAAAGTGGTCAGGCTAACTCCATAATCGAAGATTCATCCTCTCCTGCCAACCCCCCGCGCCGTAAATTGACCAAGTCCTCAACTGGCAGTTCTTCTTCAGAGACGACTGCAGGAAAAGGTATTTTGCGGAAAGGTGGGAAACGACCCGTCATATCTGCACTTGTTCCACTGGTCTCGAAGCAAGATGTCCAAGGTATCTTCACTCAATATCCTCCTTATGTGAAGGCTCAGGCTAAATTGATAATCAAAGGTTCTTTTTATGCTACTCCCCCCGGCTCACTGACGAGTACCCGGCGCAATGGCCAAGGCTCTCGTATCCCGTGCCCTGTACTTCTTGCTGAGGCAACTGGTACTACTAATACTCGCGAGGCAGATGGTCAGGACCTCCTTCACTCTGGTATCTCACCTGGCACCGATGGTACCGTCAAGATACACTGCGTCCCACGTGAGGACAGCGAAGATGCCATCTATGCTGGATCTGTTGCATCCATGGATGGACCTGGCAGCCCTCGCGCTTCCAAGTCCACCGGGCACTCTCGCACTGCAGTTATGACCAGTCCCGCCAACCTTTATGGACCTGTTCTGCGCATTTCTTCAACCGCTGAAGAGCTGATCATGGGTCTGAAGGCCAAGCCAGAGCCTCTTCCAAAGTATAGCGAGCCGTATATTTCTGGCAAGGTCTTCCACCCGCGCACAATTCGCGATGCTGCATTCAGTGGAGAGAAGGAAAAAATGCCCTCCAGCGCAGACACCAGCAGCTCTGTTTCGTCGCAGCCGAGCGCGTTCAAGATCCCGCGCAAGCCTGTGCCGCCCTCCTCGCAGTCATCCTCTGAGGGAGGATCTGTCTCTACTGTGCCACTCCGGTTCGAACAATCCAAATTCGAACACCTTCTTTGCCACCATTCATCAGCAGATGGGAACATCATCCAGACTGGTATCACGAAGACCAGCGGAGGTGGGTTTGTTATCTCGGGGGGCAAGCAGACCGGGATCCTGGGGGAACTGCGCCGTGTTTTGTCTGGCCTGGCCCAGCGACGGGGCCCCAAACTCGAGAGCGAGATGGAGAAGGAGAGGTGGCCCGCGGAGGAGCAACTGAAGGAAAAGCGGCATGCAGAGAAGAGGGAGAAGCTGCAGAAAAAGATTGCTGGACTCAAGGGGCGCTTCTCTGATATCTCTGCCGCCGCCGACCTGATCCCGTCGCCCTCCTCCAGCCTGGAGAGCACCCCTTCTGCCATTCAGAGCTCTGGGGAGACCGCTCCCCGCACTTCCGCGGTTAACTACAACCGCAATATCGCCCAGCTCAATAAGAGCTGCATCCAGGAAGCTCGGGGATGCGTAGAAGAATTGGCCCGGTGTCTTGTCGAAGACGAGAACCTGGAACGTCGGAAGGGGTGGTACCGAGTAAGTTTGCCCTCACCTTATCGTCAGATATGAGTCCTCAATTGAGCGAAAACTAACATATTTTTTTTTACAGGAGCTGGAGCCCCTGGCCTACCAACTGGCCGTACTCGAGACCCGTATTAACGGGGTCGAAGAGCATAAGTACCAGGAGAATTTGATGCAGGCCGAGAACGTCGGACGCCGCCGGGCGCTGTTGGAGACAGTGTCGCGGATCTACAATGAGAACAAGGAGATGGACCCGAATGGGCACTTCCGGGAGGAGATTGTGGATGTGTAGTGACGTGTGGTTTGGTCTGGTCTGGCATTTGGCGCAGTGGAGTGGTGAATGAGAAGTGGAGGGGACTCGGCCAAATTGCCCCGGACTTTCTGTGCCTTGCAGTTTCTCTGTTTGGGCTCGTAGCTGAGCCCCCTGTTTTTGCCAGCGTTCGGACGATCCGTTTTCATGATGTGACAACTTCACATAACGATTAATACGTTTAATTCTTAATTTAAACCTCGCCGTCAGCAATTCAGAGGCGTAGCGGCCAAGCCATGCAAAACTCATAAATAGCCTCCAAGGAGAAGTGATTCAAAATTTAGGGACAACATGTTTTGAATTAAAAAGATATCTAATCTCAATGCGCCAAGCTATGCAACCAGTCTATCAAGTCAAAAACCTCTATAAAAGAAAATCCATCTATCCTTCCAGCCACATGATGACAGGAGCTTTATGAGTCCGTCACATCCAACGGCTTGGAGGGATAATCAGGCATAGCAGCCTCCTCACCCTTACTCCGGCTGCCCTGCGTGCTACGGACACGCAAAGTCATGCCAACACCAAGACAGACAATAACAACAACAAACTCTTCCAGAACCGACATGACCAGGATCACAGTCTCATTGCCATTGAGTATGCTGAAGGTACCGTTGTGCAAGAACCAAATGAGGGTTGCGTAGATGACGCGGACCAAAATGAACGGCGAAGAGATGGCAACTGCCAACAGAGTGCGGTGCTCGCCGCGCTCCAGAGAGCTGCGCCGACTGGTGACGACCAGAAGGATGAGGACCATAGCCGCCCATGAGACCAGGTAGAGAATCATGCCGACCTTGGTCTTGATATCGGGATGTGCAAGTCCCTCCGCAGACATGTTGGCAGTGATGCCGGCGATACTGATTGCCATTGCGACGACCGTGAGAATTCTGAAAAGGGAGAAAGCAGTCGACGGAAGGGCCGGTCGGCTGGTTGTGTGCTGGATGGACAAGTTGGCTCGAGAGAGGAGGCCGACGCATGCAAGCATCAACGGGGACAATCCAACGGCGCTACAGATTGCGGCGGCGGTGAAGAGACCCGTAGATGGGTTGCTGATGGATGCAAGGTCGCAGCATGCGCCGACGACGCGGGTCAGAGAGAAGGTTGTGAGGAAAATGAAGCCGCTGTTTGTGCGGAGGCCATGGCGGTAGACGAGGAATGCGGCCAGGAAGATGGAGGGAAGGTAGATAATTAGTTGGAGGACGGAGATGGCGTGGTGGTAGGAGAGAGTCATTGTGGTGTTTCAAGATCGTCTTTGGATAGACCACAGGATAGTTAGGGTTGATCTCCAGTTGGGGTGACTGCGCAATATATTGGAATGGGTTGGTCTGATTGACTTCATGTCGTCGAGGATATCCTGGATTATATAGTCCTATTTACCGATGTGCATACTAATTTCGACAAAAGGCCATTTGTGGCTGAGTCGACGAAGCTCTCAAATTCAGCTACATTAGGACAGTGGCACCCTTCTAGAATGAGGCTTGACTGCAAGTTATCAGGCATCAGCGAAAAAGCAAGTGAGAAAAAAGGAATAGTGGGAGAAATCTTTAAGATCGACCAAGCTTTTGCCAAACCTACCGCAATGGTTACCCGATTAGGTCTAGCGCTTACCGTCCACACCCCGCCTTGGATGCGCTATTCCTGATTCGGCCGATTCGGCGAGGGCGGTGCAAGTGGCTGCTCGGCCAGTGCCGGCTCTTAATTACCGTCTTGCCCCTCGAGGATTTGATGGGCCATATCTCTACGCCATGGTTTATTGTGGAAAGCCAAGTAAAGGCTGCGGCCAGTGCAGGACGAGGAAGATCCGATGCGACCAGGTTCGGCCGGCATGCTCACAATGCGTGAGGGCCAGGCGGGACTGCCCCGGATATCGGGACCAACTGTCGCTGATGTTCCGGGACGAGAGCAAATCAGTGATGCGCAAGGCGGAGGCGGGCTCTTCTAGTTCTTCGGTTTCTCCTGCTCCATCTGCTCCTAGACAGAAACGGTCACCAGCGCGATCACCTCGCATTACTTCCCCAGACGGGAGCTTGACGTCCGAGCTTACCGTCTCGGTGGATCCGAACTCGTTCGACTTCAACTCAGATCCACAGTTTGATATGTTTATGCCGGATCGATGGCTGATACCTCTCGAGGTCCAACCGCCCGCTGCGCCGTCTCAGCAGGAGGCTATCTGCTATTTCCTGCGGTCCAATGCCTTCCCGGGGACGTTTTGGATGAGTGACTTTGTCACCAAGTTTCTGACGGAGCCGGGAGGCACGGTCAGTCAACGGGCCATGCAGTCAAGTATTGTTGCTGTTTCGTCCGCAATGCTCTCCCGGGTTAGGAAAGTAAACTCGCTTAGAGAAGTGGCGCGAAAGGAATATGTGGCCGCCCTCAATCTGCTAAACACTGCTTTGGCCGACGTGGAAGAAGCCAAGACTAATCAAGCACTGGGGGCCGTCGTGCTCCTCGCCATATATGAAGTAAGACACTCGAGTGGATTGTTCTCCACCACGCGAAGGATCGCACAGGACTGACGCTAACTCCTTATACAGGTTGTCACATCGAGAGCCCCGCAGGATATCGATTTATGGACTAATCATATAACTGGGGCCACTGCCCTGCTTGATTTGCGGGGTACAGAACAGCTTAAGACTGAAGCTGGTCTTCGTCTTTTCATGCATTTGCGATATCAAATTGTGGGTTATCTCAATCAACCCTTGTCCATTCCACCATAAAACTAACATCGCGGGCAGACTATAAGCTGCATTCAACGGGACACTCGAGTACCAGAGTCATTACTGGAGTGCACAAAGTTCGCCATGTTTCTCCGACCTAGCGAAGCCCACACCAACCGTTTGGTCATCATCATCGGTAAACTATCCAATTTCCGCGCAGATCTCCTTGCGGAAAGATTCAACAATGAGAGCGAGATCATCGCCGCCGCCTCGGCCATCGAGGCTGATCTGATTGCCTGGCTCGCAGCACTGCCACCCGATTTCAACTACGAGACCCTCACGAAATCACCTTATGACTTCCCATTCCAAGAAAGATGTCGTGGGATAGCCACGTACGACGACCAATATCATGTGTATCAAAATCTCTGGGTTTGCAGCACGTGGAACCAATACCGTTGCGCGCGAATTATTGTCAGCGAGATCATCCTGTCTCACATCAGGCAAATGTCCCACTCGTCCTCTCTGAGGTCCCTATCGGATGAAATCCGCCTTCATTGCAAATCTCTCCGATCTACCATTCAGCGTCTGTCTCTCGACATTTGCCGCAGTGTGCCTTTCCACCTCGGTGCAAATCAGAAAGATGCCTCACCGAACTTTCCTCCCCCGGAGAGTTACATCGGTGGGCTTATGCTCCTATGGCCCCTGTTCCTAGCCGGTGTGGTCGAGAGTCCGAGTCATAGCCAACGTCGGTGGGTGGTGTCATGCTTGAGGATGATTGGCAACACCATGGGTCTAGACCAGGCTCTCGCTCTGATGGACATTGTCGCATCCGACCCGGGTATTCTTCATCATGTACTCGAAGAGGACGAAAGCGCTATTACCGAAGAGCCTGCTATATCTGCTGGCTCGACTATTGTGCCGAAGAAGAGGTCCGTTTCACTGATCAACCTTCCCGTTGATACAATTCCCGCCTCAGTGGATGAGGGATTTTGAAACCCCTCAATGTTGCACGAACTATTCCCATTCTCTATATTCAAGATTGCATATAATTTCATTTTCTGCAAATTCTTCTTCATTTCTGCTGGGGCGCAGCCGCCAGGAAAGAAGCTCTGAACTTGGAAAGCGTTGGAACACATCACGATAACGATACTACTTTACTACCTTACTATTACTGAAGCCCCCTCATCGGGTCCATGGAATGATCCCATCGGTCCACCAAAATATTGATTTTTCATTCATTGGCCAATTTTGTTTGATCGCGCTGGTTGCCGGTTAAAGGGTGGTCGGTGCTCCGCCTCGAGTCCTCCTTTGTGGAGCGCGGGGCGGGGCAGTGTAGACTCCGCCCGGGTATACCGATGGCCCCATGCCAGCCCAACCCTTTTGACTCGAAGAACAACAGTCAAAAGAGCCCCTCCGGCGCTCCGGCATGGGCCCAGGTGTTATTTTAATTAACAAAACGGGCAGTACGTGCCCTGTGAACCATAGAATTGTGCATAGCCCTATAAATCATGAACTATGAATGTCAGCACCAGCCCGATCAGCCTTGGGCGGTTCGGGTCTCATATAGCGACCCGCACTAGTCATTCTTTGTCGTTAGTTGGCGTATCAAACAGTGGTTTCATTGAGGCTCATGTGATGGACCTTTTCATCCTCGTCTGACTCGGGCCGCGAACAGCCGCATGAATGCCTTGAATGAAGCCTCGTTCTCTGCCCTGGTACCCTAGGTCCACAAAGGGGGCCCTAGGCATCGATGGAATAGTGGCAACGCTGTCAGAGCAAAGATATAAGAAATGAATGTTTTCTGTTCTGGAATCCCGTGTTCCCGAGATTATTATACTCTACAGATCCCCTGGGACAAACGAACTCTACTGCGATTTCTATTGCCTACCGTTTGCATCATCTATCAGCAGATACCGTAATGCCTTTATTTGAACGAAAAGCCCCTCCGCCATTGTGGTCTTCATTCCCATCAAGCCACAGCAATCATCGCCATCGCGGTTCCGCCCTACCAATCACCCCAGCCATCACCATGGGGAACAGCAAATCTACAGAGCCCCAGTCCAAGCCTCGCAACCGCAACCGCAGCCTATTCACAATGCATCGCCGCGGATCTAAGAAAACCAACATGTGGGATCCACCAGCCTACGACTCCCCGGACTACAAATCTCGCAATGTTACCAAGACATACAGAGACTCAGACTCCCAATACTCATTCCTCAAAGACTTCGACACCATCTTCCTAGTCGACGACAGCTCCAGCATGAGCGGGTCTCGCTGGCGCGAAGCCGAAGAAGCCATTGCAGCGATCGCTCCAATCTGCACACAGTACGACAGTGACGGGATCGATATCCGCTTCCTAAACCACCGCACCTCTGGCGAAGCCGGCTCCTATAATAATATTACCACGGCAGCAGACGTCCAGGAAATATTCCACGGTGTACGTCCGCGCGGCTCGACGCCGGTTGGACGCCGATTGCTTGAGATCTTGACGCCGTATCTGCGGCGCGTGGAGCAGATGCAGAGCGGGAACACGTCAGCGCTCGTGAAGCCGATTAATATCATTACAATTACGGATGGCGAGTTTACGGATGATGCGGAGAGTGTTATTGTCCAGGTGGCTAAGACGCTGGACAATCCCCGGGTTAATGCGCTGCCGTGGCAGATTGGGATTCAGTTCTTCCAGATTGGTGATGATGCCAATGTGCGGAGGTATTTGCAGGAGCTAGATGATGATTTGGGGAAATGGTGTCGTGATGGGCGACTTCGTGATATCGTAGATACGGTGCCGTGGCGCGGGAGGCAGGGGCAGACATTAGATGCGGATGGGATTTTGAAGTGTGTGTTGGGGGCTGTAAATAAGAAGTTAGATCGGCGACGGGTTTGATCCGGTGTATCGTTGGGATAGTCGGGGGGATTCTTTCTGGCATTGAGGCATGATGACGAGCTTTAATGAAATCCTGTTCCTAATATAATAAACCTCCTATAGCATCTTCTAAAGTACCCAGGGGTATTTGCCACATAGAAAGCTACATTGCCCAGGATCTACAGAGCTGAAACGACGTATCATTTGCAAGCGCCGCCACCTTTTCAGGAACCGCCCGAGTGGAGTTTCTGGGCCGAACTCCAGATCACCAATGACGCGCTGATTCGGCACTTGATTCGGCGAATTATCCCTGCTGGTGGCGTAGCTCATCTGCAGGTCATCACAAGTGATGAGTTTTATGGCTGTTCCCGTCCGCCGCAAGACCGCTCTATAGTCCGCGACTCGGGTAGAATGTACCTTGCATGTCGCGTCCGTGGAGATCTGCGAACCATGGTACTGCAAGAGCCACGCCACCGATGATGATGATAATCTGCCCCTTATTTATTTGCCTCAATGCCATCGTTGATATCTTCTACGGTGAAGCTTTCTACTGCGAAGGTCCATGCCACTCACCATACGCAATCCCGACTATCGTGCCGTGTCCGGCATTATTGAAGTCTTCAGCTCTGCGACTCCACCTCTTTCCTATCCCGCGATCGGCATTTGCAGCGTGGATTCCCCGCAACGCCGATCTCGTCACCGAAATTTCCACCTCTGCTCTGTTGCCCTCTCGTCTCTCGAAATCGAAATCGATTCTCTCGCCAATTCAACCTCGCCAACACATACCCTGAATCCGTCACAGAATTCAGACCCACGTCCCCTGAACACCGCGGTCTCTCGAGGCGCCGGGATCCTGGACGCAGGAACATCCGTGTGTACCGGCGCTACGCGTTCGCCCATCCTCATTGGACGCACTTGTCGCCCTGCAGTGTGCCTGGAAATTGCGCGGTTCCTGAAGCATCCGCGTCGGAAGCCTCCTGTTGTCAGGCCATGGCAATTGGGGTGACTGTCTTCGGCCCTGTCCGATTCTGAAACTACACCGCCACTACTCTATTCTCCGGTCCCTGAAACGGCGACGCTGTGCCGCTGTAATTATAGAAACAACTGTCTGGGCTGGGCTCTGGGCTTTTGTTTACTTTATATTCTACTCGGAACTTCGTTTCTCTTGTCCTCGTTACTCTTCGACTTCATTTTTTTTTCTCTGCATTGCATTTTGTACTGTAATATACTGGGGGTGTTTACTTTCTTTTGGTCCTTTAGCATCGTTCTTATTTCTCTTTTCTCTTTTGTCTGCATTGGGCCGTTTGCATCGCTTATATCATCGCATTGTTGGCCGGTTGAGACATCTCTTTTCTGAGCGATTGTTGCTTTGCAATGATATCGACCACCCTTATGACTTTCCTGCTGTGAGTGTCTCACCCCATATGTGGTGAATGTTGCAGACTGATCTGGTTTAGAATTACCAAACCCGAGATCCGATCGGTCAAGCTGCTCGGATCATGGGACAATTTCTCGAAGCCGTATGCGATGGAAAGGGACAAGCGGGCTGGGTCCGGACATTGGAAAGGATGCCATACCTTCACGGACATCATGGGCGACGGGCCTGGCGACAACCCCCAGTGGCGTACGGGGGGTCTGAAGATGGGAGCAACCTACTGGTACTACGTGAGTAACCCAGACTATCATTGAGCGCAGCGACGCTGACCAAAAGAAGTACTTGCTGGATGACGACGCGGAGCACTTTAATGAAGCAGAGCCTGTCACCACCCAGTGTCCCCTGCTCCCGGGACAGCCACTCAACGTGCTCAATGTGCCTATCATTCTGCCTGACAGTCGGTCTCATGGGCGTTCAAACAGTGGCAGCTCGCAAAAGTCCGATTATCGAACTATGAACCCGGAGGACAAGTTCATGAACCCGCGGAAGCCTCCGAAGCCTTCTCCCACTCGTCTCCAGACCTCCGCGGCGAATTACCAGCCTGCCGCGGAGCTCAGCAGTGTTTCACCTGGCGGTAGCTTGATTCATCGGAGTGCTTCTCAGCCGATAAGCGCCAAGTACGGCAAGCAGGCGACAAACGAACGCTCTGTTTCTCCGGCATTCCCTGAGATTCGCGAAGCATTTCGATCTTCCAATCGGTCTCCCAATGAGATGGAGGGCCACAAACAGGCCCTATCCAGATCGAAAACACATGCTGGAACTCCACGCAAAGAACGTTTCTTCGAAGATGGTCGCGATATACCTGGGATCAAGCTTAGTGCCGGCCCGGTGTCCACCGGCAAGATCAACGACATGCCCGGACCGTCGACCATTCAAAGTCGCCGTGCAATGAAGGCCAATGCAGTCCAGGCCAAAAATCTTCTCACGGTAGAGACTCGGCCACATCGTCGCCAAAATAGTGCTTCCAGATGGCTCAACGAAACCCAGGCTATCAAGGATGCTATACCCGACGAGCAAAGCTCTAGCGACATGTCGACGCCAACGGGCCCAGATCCGCAGGAAAAGCGACTTCCCTCGCTTCCCAACACGCCGTCCTCCGTGATGGACGAGGCGGTGCGTGCCATCGACGAAAGGGATAAGGCAATGGATGCCCAGGTCCCGCGCAGCTACTTCTCAAGCATGACGGCCACGACGGACGAGTCGATCCTTTCTCGCGTAGTAGAACAAAGTCGCTTCTCAGAATGGAGCACCGATACCGAAGCTGAAGACACCTCGCCCGAGTCGATGGTCTCCGCATCGACATTCAACGGGCCGAACGAGTCCCCGACTCCAGAGGAATGGGGGACACCAGACCTGGCGCAACACAACGATGCTGCGACCAACACGGACCCCAACACTCCGCATCTGACCGTGTATTCCAAGCCGTCCTCCCCGAACTCAGCATCCGATGATGTCCCGACGTGGAACTTGAATACCCTTCCCCAACTCACTGTTTCCATGTCTCCTTCTCACGGCTCGGGGCTTGGAATCGAGCCGATGGAAGAGGTTGAAAGCAACCCGAAACGTCACGCAGCCCTGTTTAGTGCCATCGAGTCTATGCAGGCACTTTCCTTATCACGCAGCCCGGATGGATCTCCAATTATCTTGTCGGAAATGCAAGGGCCAGAAAACGAGGCCAATGACGACGACAGACGAAGGAAGAACGTGGATTCCCAGCATAGTAATGCGTCGCTTCACGGCAACCCCACCATGCAGGAGATGTTGGATGAACTCAGTTACTTGAAGAACATGATCCAAACTGAGATGGATGGGGAACCATTTTAATATGTACATTCGCTTATTAGCTAGATGAGTGCTGGCCACTCCTGTATTTTGCTACGAAATCAAAGCATAGAACAAGATTACCCGTGAACCAACGAGTATTGTAAATGGGCTTGAGTAGGCCATCATGACACCGTCCGAGCGTATTCAAAGAGACGTTTAGAAATAGAAAAATACCTTGAAAAGACAAATTAATGGAATAAAGTGCTTAAGCCCTTTTGTAACATCGCCTTGGTCCGGCTGTAACGTAACAATGAATTGCAATTAACGAGCAAATTTCCCAAATTCCCCCAAAATCCCAAGTGAGAGAAGCAGCATCGTAGCCAAGACCAAACCAACCGCGAATTCCACTGATCCAGGGCTCGCATTCACGATCAAATTGCGCGCAAGTGGAACAAGGGCTGCACACAACCGGCCATGGCGCACCCGCGCCCAACCAAGTGCCAAGAATCCCTATCTCCACCCGCGATCAACACTTCACAGGAAAACAGCAACAGAAACACTCAAGCCGTGGCCCTCCCATTTCGTTGCAAAGAAGGATGGGCTGATTCAGCTCATCCGCCACAAACAACCATGGAGGCGCCCCAGCTCACCCCGGTCGGGGAGAAGACCCTGCCGTCAAAATGTAAACTCAGCGCCCTGGCGTACTGTCCCTCGATGGACCTGATCGCCCTCGCGACGGAGGATGACGAGCTCCGCGTCTTTCGACTCAATGGGCAGAAGGTGTTTGGAGGCTCGTTTGAGGGCGATCCGTATCTAGGCGAGGACGAGGGGGATGGCGAAGTCAGGGCTCTCGCGTGGAAGGGCAATGGTATGTTTTCCTGGCCCGAGCATCCTGCTGAATGACATTGACATCTCTCCAGGACGTTTCCTTGCCGTCGCTTGTGGGGATGGTACGGTCCGCATCATCAGCGCGTACAGCGGCAAGACTGTGCATCACTACCCGGCGTACGAGGGCCAGAAAGATGATGCCCCTACTTCTGACCAGAAGCCCCCCAAGGTGGCCTCTCTGGGATGGGGTGTCAATTTCACAGACAGCAAAGCTGCGCAGCGACATCTGCATGAGTCTGCAGGCCAAATCACCATTGAGGATCTCCTGACACCTAGCGTTCATTCATCCAAAGCAGTCGCCGTACTGAAGGCCGACTTGCCCAGAGAACTGTCCATGTTAGACATTGAAAGTTCTCTTCCTAAGCTGAGCACCCTCCCCGCTACCGGTACCGAAGACGATCTGTTCAGCTCGCGGGCTTCAATCGACGCCATCTTCCACTCTTCCAAGGACAACGGCGACTCCGTGGATGTCCTTTTTGTCGGATTTGACGATGGAACCGTGCACCTACGCATATTTGACTGCTTCGAGATCGGCTCGCTCCCCGTTGGCGAATCCACCGGCAAGGCCGAATCGTGCCAAATCCTTCGCCATGCCTCGCACCCGCTAAGCTCCACGCATGCCTTGCTGGCATCACCCGCCACAGGCCAAGAGCAAGCCCCTCTGAAACTTGTCACTCTGGATCTGCGCTTCATTACCAAGTCAGGGCGGTACTTGTCCCTTCTCGCGTCAAAGACGACTCAGCTGCAGAATCTGCTCCGTTACATCGGGCAGGTACAGCGGCAGATCGAACTCGAATGGAAAAATGCTCAAGAGCTGCCTTTCCGCTTCCTGCGTAGCGTCAATATGGACTTGGAGGAGAAGTGCCAGTGCGATTTTACAACCGCGATTTATCATCTGGTGGCTACGGGTCATGCCTTTGAGCCGATGAAGGAGTTTCTTGTGGATATTGTTGGAGAAAGAGTATGTGGATTCTGCATTATGGACAACGCCAGTGCTAACAGATGGCATAGGGACACAAGCGATGGGATAAGGCTGTCGCAGGCGGATATGAGAACATCCGACGTTTGACTCACGAAAACCTTCTTCCAGCGCTGGAGCGAAGCCAAGTACTCATCAGCCGACTTGTCGGATTGTCCAAGTTCCACAAGCTCAGCGATGTCCTCGGTTTGGATACTCCAAAACTAAAGGGAATCGTCGAGACACTCGATTGTCTGCAGCTACTGTCCCATCGTATCCTCATCCATACGAATGAGGAGCTGGATCAGTTCACCGTCTTCTCTAGGTGGCTCCGCCATGAAATCCTAATCCTCAGCAGTGAACCCTTGTCACAGACCGAGGAAGAACTCCTCGAAAAAAGAGACCCGTTCGACGTCCCTCAAACCACGAAGTACATAACCGGCGCTCTGCAAAAGAGTGTGCTTCGCAATTTCATTCGGCAGCTGCCCATATTGGGTATGCCCCCAGCTCCACAGCCCCCTGCCGATAAGTGGCTTCCTGATGGCCATGACCGGTCGTTCTATGACGATTTCAAATCGTTACTCCAGCACCAGCGTCAGGCCCAAGACAATGGCGGGAATGGAGCTTCTGTGGATGCTCCTAAGCTGAATGATCTGACGAAGCGACTGGGTGTCCAGTTCGAGAAGGTGTTTGCGGAGATTGCGCTGACCCAGCGCAGAGGTATTCTGCACCGGTCTCCGCTTACGCTTCATGCGGATTGTGATTGGGGTGTCCTCGATCTGAAGATGTGCTACGAGGTGGGTTCCTGGGTTTGTAACTTTCATGAAGTTATGCTAATTGGTTTCAAGGACGCGGAAGAAGAAAAACCTTGCTCCATTTACGTCGTTGCCAGATCGACCAGCTCAAAGTCATCATGTTCGTAATGCCTGCTCCCTTCTCGATATGGATACTGACATCTGCCTTCAGTCTACATCTACCGCACCGTTCTCGACTCAGTAAACGGCGTCAGCTCGACTAGAGCTACATCCGTTGCATCTCTTGCCCTCAATGAAGGAGAGATCCGCCAGCTACAGTTTGTCGAAGACAATACCCTCATGCTCCTGTGGTCTGATAGCAGTATGTTCTACCCCCTTCGATTATTCCCATTTGATTACTGACCTCTCACACAGAAGGAGCATCCTACCTCTTGAACTTTCCCTTCCAGCCTGCCTCGGCGCAACAGATCGAGAAAACCGATCCACCCTCACTGGTGGTTGAGTACACAGACTGCGAAGCTAGTCCTACTAATAGGAAGCTAACAACCCAGACAATGCAGTTGGATCTTTCTTCACTGATTCAGTCCGGCGTGGTTCGCCATACCTTTGCGGTATCTGGACCCAAGGCGAAACCCGTGCATTTAGATGTCAATGGACGGAAAGGCCGACGGGCGGTGTGTGTGTTGTATGGTGATGGTATGCGCTATGACGTGTTGGACCTGGATGCAGCTATTGAGAATGAAGAAGGGGGGGCAGAGGTGGAGGCCGAGGAGGAAGCTGAGGCTTAGTCTTGCAAGTTGCATGGGATCAAAAGGTGTTCGGTGGTCATTACAAAGAACTTCCATATAAACTATTTTTATCTCTATTCTTATTTCTCCCTCTTCTACAGCTTTCTTTCTGAGTAGGTCCTTTGGGCAACGACATGAATGCATCCATTACCGATCTACCCCGTACCTGCAGTATATTTCCGCTTAGCCTGGAGACTGACTTTTCCCCTTGCCTGCAAGTATCCACTGGTACCGAGCCGTATTCTTTATGACACATCCAGCCTCTAGCACCTTCTAGTCGGCTTAGCGGACTCCACCGGAAAAATAATTGTGTGGGCAGGGCTAAGGGGGGATCGGTCGCTGGGGCCACACGGTGAACAGTGTGGATGCTTCTTCAAGGAGGAAAACCAAAACAAGCAGACCCCAAAGAAGGGTGACTGGTTACGACAACCACCACAATATGTAGAATGTAGTAGAGAAAGTGATCGATTAATCCAAAGTACTTGAGACCTGTTTCAGTCCTGTATAATCGCATTGTGAGACAAACGACGAAAAGACAGATGACATTTCTGCCTCGTTTCTGCCTGAGGTCATCGATCACGTGACCTCCACCGTCCCCCGCCAATCAACGAAGGCAGCGCGATGAACCTCATCCCCCCCAAGGCTCGAATTCTGCCTTTGATCTCCTACCACCTGTCTAAATATCTTCAGACTCTCTCATCATTCTCCAGAGTCTCTCTTTTAACTCTCTTACTTTTCTCCTTTTCGCCAAGGCGTGTATTGAAGGCACCTTTTCCTCGTCACTGCCCGCGGAAAGACCTGGTGCATGCCTCGTCATATCCACAAAAACACCCCGTCCTTCCCACACCTGTCACTTCTGGGATTCTACTTCCACCACGATCTTTCGGTGGCCCGTGATTCGTGTTCCTGAGTCGTTACGTCGATTGCCCGACGATCAGGAAACTTAGTCTTCTTTCCTTTTCGAGTTTCTTTTTTCCCTTCCCTCCCCCCACATCTCCCATCCGTTGCGTCCTCCCCCCAGACATCATGGATGCTCGTCAGGTATTGCAGAGCACTCTCTCAGCAGGTATGTCAGAACGTCTTTCCCTGCCCAGGACCGCGTTGTCACTGGTGCTTCCCTCGAAACCACCCTTTGTGTGTGCAGGAGTCCCTCGCTGACCATCTTTCTGTCGCAGATGCGGCGGAACGTTCCAATGCTGAGCAGCAGCTCAGCCACGCCGCCGAGGTTGACTTCGTAAGTTTTCCCCTTTTGTCTTTTCGTTCTCGTTCATGATACGTGACTTTGCGAACGAGATGGCCCCTCTTCCCCTACGCTCGTGCTAACGTGCTTTTTTCACAGGCCGCCTACCTCACTACCCTCGGCCAGGAACTGGCCAACGAAGACAGCCCCCCTCACATCCGTGTCGCCGCCGGTATCGCCCTGAAGAACGCTTTCACCTTCCGGGAGCAGGCTAAGCTGCGTGAGGTGCAGCAGCGATGGGCTACACAGATCCCCCTCGAAACCAAGACGCAGGTCAAGGAGCTCGCGCTCAAGACTCTGCACTCCCCCAACACCCGAGCTGGGAATGCTGCCGCCACTCTGATAGTTTCCATTGCCGCCATTGAGCTGCCGCGGAATGAGTGGCCCGACTTGATGAACATCCTCGTCCAGAACGTGGCGAGCGGGACCGACGCCCTGAAGCAGTCATCCCTGACTACCATCGGTTTCATCTGCGAGTCTCAAGACCCCGATCTCCGCGCTAGCTTGACCTCTCACTCCAACGCCATTTTGACTGCCGTCGTGCAGGGTGCTCGTCGCGAGGAGCCCAACATGGAGGTCCGCTTTGCCGCCATTGCTGCTCTTAGCGATGCCGTTGATTTCGTGCGCTCCAATATGGATAACGAGGGAGAGCGCAACTATATTATGCAGGTGGTCTGCGAGGCTACCCAGGCCGAGGAGGTTCGCGTGCAGGCTGGTGCTTTCGGCTGCTTGAACCGTATCATGGGTGCCTACTACGAGAAGATGCGCTTTTACATGGAGAAGGCTCTGTTCGGTCTCAGCATCATGGGTATGAAGAGTGAGGAGGAGGACGTTGCCAAGCTTGCTATCGAGTTCTGGTGCACTGTGTGCGAGGAGGAGATTGCGATTGACGATGACAACGCCGAGGCCCAGCAGGAGGGTGTTGAGGCTCGTCCATTCTTTGGCTTCGCCCGTGTGGCCACTCGCGAGGTTGTTCCAGTGTTGCTCCAGGCCATGTGCCGCCAGGACGAGGATGCTGATGATAATGAGTACAATGTGTCGCGTGCAGCCTACCAGGCTCTGCAGCTCTACGCCCAGTGTGTGCAGGGTGATGTGATCCAGCCCGTTGTTGCGTTTGTCGAGGAGAACATCCGCAGCGAGGACTGGCGCCGCCGTGATGCCGCCGTTGCTGCCTTCGGTGCTATTATGGAGGGTCCCGAGCCCAGTGTGTTGGAGCCTTTGATCAAGCAGGCCTTGTCTGTTCTTCTTGGCATGATGGAGGACAGCTCCGTTTCTGTCCGCGACTCCACTGCCTATGCTCTGGGTCGTGTCTGTGACTGCTGCCCCGAGGTTCTGGACCCCGACGTGCACCTGCAGCCCCTGATCTCCTGCCTCTTCAACGGCCTCGCGAGCAGCCCCAAGATTGCCAGCTCTTGCTGCTGGGCTCTCATGAACGTCGCCGACCGATTTGCCGGTGACGCTGGTTCTCAGACCAACCCTCTCTCCAAGCACTTCGAAGAGAGTGTGAAGTCCCTGCTCGCTGTGACTGAGCGTCAAGACGCTGACAACCAGCTGCGTACCGCTGGTTACGAGGTTCTCAACTCCTTCGTTCTGAACTCGGCCAACGACAGTCTTCCCATGGTTGCTACTCTCTCGGATCTTATCATCCAGCGTCTGGAACAGACCATCCCCATGCAGCAGCAAGTCGTCAGCACAGAAGACCGCATTCTGCTGGAGGAGATGCAGACCAGCTTGGTCAGTGTCATCCTGGCTATTGTCCAGCGCTTCGAGGCCGACATCAAGCCCCAGGCTGACCGTATTATGCACGTTCTGCTTCAGGTCTTGACGACCGTCGGTCCCAAGTCCAGTGTTCCCGATGTCATTTTCGCCACTGTCGGTGCGATTGCCAGCGCTCTGGAGGAGGAGTTCATCAAGTACATGGAGTCATTCAAGCCCTTCTTGTTTAACGCCCTCGGCAACCAGGAGGAGCCTGGTCTCTGCTCCATGGCCATCGGCCTTGTCAGCGACATTGCCCGCGCCTTGAACGAGAAAGTGCAGCCTTACTGCGATGACTTCATGAACCTGCTCCTCAGCATTCTTCGGACTTCCACCAACCAGCTGAAGCCAGCTATCCTGGAGACTTTCGGCGACATCGCCCAGGCCATCGGCACTGCCTTCAACACCTACCTGACTGTTGTTGGCCAGGTCCTTCAGCAGGCCTCCTCGGTCACGACTAGCTCTGACCTCCCATACGATATGGTGGACTACATTGTCTCCCTGCGCGAGGGTATCATGGATGCCTGGGGTGGTATCCTTCTGTCTTACAAAGGCAGCCCGGATATCGCTCAGATCCAGCCCTTCGTGGAGTCCATCTTCCAGCTCCTGCACATCATCTCCCAGGAGGGTAACCGGAGTGAGGGCTTGATGCGCTCCTCTATGGGTGTTATTGGGTATGTTTCGAACCATGTCTCTTATTGGAATTTTGATCACTAACATTTTCACAGTGATCTTGCCGATGCTTTCCCCAATGGCGAGCTTGCCGCATACTTCCGCAACGACTGGGTCACTACCCTGGTCCGGGAGACTCGCACAACTCGCCAGTACAGCCCGCGGACCATCGAGACCGCTCGCTGGACTCGTGAGCAGGTCAAGCGCCAGATCAACATGAGCACTGGCATGGCCTAAATGTAGTGTGAAACTCTTTTCATCCCATCGATAACAGAGCCGGCTGCACGCACCCCGCTTCCGTTTCAGCTATACTCGACCCATCGGGGCGAGTAAAGTGCCGGAGGCGGCAGTCGCTCATGTATCAATCCCACAAGTGAAGCTCCGGGGCAACCTGGGTTCCTTGCATTGACTTGGTACTTTTTTGATGGCCGGTGAGGATCTGTTTTGCACATCGCGAGCCTTCTCCAAATGCCCCCCATCACTCTGCCCCCTTCTTCAGCATAGGACTTGTGAGATTCCCCTTCATCCTTGTCTCCCTTTGCTCTTGACCCGTCCCCTCTTGGCACTTGCTCTTCCCCGTGCTATTTCCTCATGACATGCCCGAACGAACCCTTCCCCCCTTCCCCGTATGGCCTTTGCGTTTTTCTTCGTGATACAACCCTTTACCCTTTCTTCCCTTTCCTACGTTGCTTTCTAATTAGACCAAGACCCCTCGCATCCATATAGCATTGTACCTCATGTAGCCCAAGATTCATGTATCCCCCTACTACCACTCATGTATTCCCTCATCATGTATCCCCAGAATCATGTCAACCCTTTCCCAGAGAAGAGTCACTGTCATGAAAAAGCTGTTCCTTTCATCTCCTCCGCCGTATAATCCAACCTTTCCTATAAGCCCATTCCATGCCCACCTGCACTGGACCCCCTGATATATAGAGATGAGTCATTCGTGGATTGAATTAGTATTTATAGAGTTGAATGTTGCGTAGTAAAATCTCAAAAAACGTCCAAGGACAAACGTTGGTGCCTGAGGCACGAAGAGAGCTTTTATCAATATAGATCACGTGGCGATAGGGGCAAATCAGCTCCGAAGCCCTACCCGCCCACAGTCAGCGAACACCCAAACTTCGCCGACCGCCGAGATTTACGAATCTTCAACCCGCTACAACCGACGGACCATCCCTCGAGGTATGTATGCCACCCTATCCCCCTATCAGCCTCCCAGCTAGTCCGGGAGAGCAATCATCCTGCATCTGCAGAGTCTTGACTTGAATGTTGGGTCATGACCAGCAGGAGTGCAGGATGATACGCATCTCTCATCCGGCACGGGCTGAAGAACTCCTTTTTCAAGGAAGGGGCACTCTTTGCGCTCGATGACTAGTTGTGGCTGACTCCGGCACCGTAAGCAGATACCTCATATCCACGTTCTTGATTTGAGAATCTCGATTCTACAACCGCCAAAATGGTCAAGACTTCCGTCCTCAACGATGCGCTCAACGCCATGAACAACGCCGAGAAGGCTGGCAAGCGCCAGGTCATGATCCGCCCTGCCTCCAAGGTCATTGTCAAGTTCCTGTCTGTCATGCAGAAGCACGGTACGTCTCGTCAATTCCGATTGTCGCTTTTTTCTGCTTTCTCCTTTTCTTTTCTTTTCTTTTCTTTTTTTTTCTTTCTTTTGTCTTTTGAGGATTGTTATTCGGGTTGATAACTAGGCGGATTGTTTCAATCTCCCACGACGTTTGCCTTTTAAGTACCCGATAGATTGACCGCGGAGATCTTACATGTTTCCGAAAGCGCTTTCATTTGCTATTCAGTAATCGGCGACTTTTAAATCTTCGCAACATCCTGACATTCCTTTCTTCAGGCTACATCGGCGAGTTCGAGGAGGTTGACGACCACCGCTCCGGCAAGATCGTCATCCAGCTGAACGGCCGTCTCAACAAGTGCGGTGTCATCAACCCCCGCTACCCCGTCCAGCTCCGTGACCTCGAGAAGTGGGCTACCCAGCTCCTTCCCTCCCGTCAGTTCGGCTACGTCGTCCTGACCACCTCCGCTGGTATCATGGACCACGAGGAGGCTCGCCGCAAGCACGTTGCTGGCAAGCTCCTCGGCTTCTTCTACTAGAGGAGTCGTTTTAAAAACGAATCCAAAAAAGTTGCTGTTTTGACTGGTCTCGCATGACATTTGGGCTGGGCCTGGGAATGTAATCTAGAGTGGTATACCCCGATGAGATAATTTGCAGAGTACATGGTTCTCCAATGCACGGCGATTCTGGTCAGCATTTTTACTCCGATTGTAGTACGTAGTTGTAACAGTATAGAATGGGGCTGAGTTGCGGTATGGCCAGGAAGGCGTGCTATAACTGGACCGCTTTTTTCTCGCCGAGTCCCTTCATCCTCCTTACCCATATCAGAATACCGGCCTGATAATTGCAAATGTGATGAGCAGACCAAATAATAGCTGGGCCGAGGCACCTTGGTCACCGCCCCTCGGGACCGCGATCTGCCCTATATTCACCTCTTTCCCCGCAACATTGGAACCATAGTCCTCACCATGCCTCTGGATACGATATACCTCACCCGCCATGGGGTAAGTCTCGCGAAATCGACAAGTAATGACTGTGGCTTGTTATTGTTGACTAACCGCCATCACAGCATCGTCTCAATTGGACGATCGACTTTCGCACTGGCACCTACAAGTCGCAGTTCCCAACGCCAACCGGTAATCCAGCAGACCCGGCCCTGACGTCGCATGGCGTGCGCCAGTCCCATGAGCTTGCGGAACATATGGCGGGTCCGGAGTTCCACCCGAAGCCTTTCCGTGTATACTCGAGTCCCTTTTACCGATGCCTGCAGACTATCCAGCCGTCGGTCGAGGAACTCAAGCGCAAACACCAAGACCAATCCAGCAACAATGGCCGCGGCTCGATAGATGCAGCCGCGGATTTAGATGTGCGATTGGAGAATGGACTCGGGTACGTGACCTGACACATACCAAATCTACAATCCTTTTAGTATACGCCAGTACTAACAGCACAACAATAGAGAATGGTTCGGTCCAACGACTTTCTTCGACCACCCATCTCACCCAACCCCGTCAATGATGCGCACCCATTTCCCAACCATAATCCCATCCTCCCCAGAAACAAAATACACTCCGCTACTCATCCCCTCTTCTCGCGGCGAGACAATCGCACAGCTTCACAACCGTCTCGCTACGGCACTCGAAGGCATAATCGCCGACGTGGACAATGAAGTAAACGCGCTAGAAGCTGGCATTCCACCCGAGCAACGAACGAGCAAATCGATCCTTATTTGCTCCCACGCGGCGCCGCTTATTGCCATGGGCCGGGCGTTGACGGGTCTCATGCCGGAGGATAGTTCCGTTGAGGACTTTCATGTGTTTACGGCTGGACTGAGTACTTTCCGGCGACGGGGTACTGATAAGGCTAGGTCGCAGGGTAGTGCGCTGTCTATCTTGGCTGAAGGAACAGAACTTGTTCGTGCCAAGTCTGTTCCTGATTGGAAGGGCCGTGGTGTTGGGGGTGGATGGGACTGTGTCTCGAGTGGGGATTGCAGTTTTTTGAGTGGTGGTGCTGAGCGTGGATGGTAAGTTTCTTCCCTAGTTGACTTGCCACTGTCGATGGAGTTTCTAATACCTTGTTCTTGATAGGCATTTCAGTGGTGAGGAAGGGTTTGATACGGGGCCCATGGCGCCGGCGTCTGAACCTCCTTTGGTGCAGGCCCCTAGATCTGGAACCAAGTTGTAAGTGGTGTCCAGGAATATGTCAAAGCATACAAACCCGATTGGTACCTGTTGGGAGGGCCCAACAACGGCACAGGCATATATGCAGTAGGCCTGGGGGATCTTAGACCTTATGCTCGACAAGCGGACCGAGTAGACTTAGAGTTCTTGTACATAGCTTTGAGTATAGAAACCGTCATTCCAACTCCATGTGGCATTCCCATCCAACCATCACCCTAGGACCGCATACATGACCCCGCAGATTAACCGAGTCGACACAATCAATCCGATATCGCAAGCCCTACCAATGTAAACGGAAAACCCACCCACTCCACATCTCCAAAAGCGTCCAAACCGCGGATACCCGCCATCACGTGCACGCCCTATCACATGGGAGTACCCTAAATTGTAAGCGGCGAAAAAGTCAAAGCTCTTGAGCTTAATTCGAAAATATTGAGTGCCGAAGTACTCTGCAGATCACACATTCAGCAGGGATCATGGCAACAGCCACGCAGACACTGCCCACAACGGCAATCGAGCTACCGAATCTACACGGCAGCTATGAACGACAACGGAATCTGAGTTCAGCCCCAGAGCCAGAGGTGGAAGATGACGTGATGCGCGAATCGCTCATTGCCGACTCACAAGTACCAGATGGTGGATACGGCTGGGTTCTTATTTTCGCGTGCGCCGTTGTGACGTTCTGGTTCGTTGGCGCGTCGTATACTTGGGGTGTCATGCAAGCCGAACTAGTCGAGAAGAAGGGTTATTTGTCTTCGACATTGGCGTTTGTGGGATCGCTTTGTCCGGCTTGTATTTCGCTTCTGGCCGTGCCGAATGCGACGGTGATTCGCAAGATCGGTGCCCGGAACACTGCGTTGCTGGGAATCTTTCTGCTCGGGTTGGGAAGTATCCTGAGTGGATTTACGACTGATAACATTGCGGGGTTATTCATGACTTGGGGGTTCATCAATGGGCTTGGGACGAGTTTGTGTTTTATGGTTCGTCTTTGCGGTCTGCGCTTGAGGTATTTTTCTAATTTCTACAGGTTGTCTCGGTGACTCCGGCACAGTACTTCAAAGCCAAGCGCGGCATCGCCAACGGCATCGTCTACGCGGGCGGTGGCCTCGGTGGCACGGTGATTAGTTTCATTCTGAACGGCCTGTTGGAAAGCGTCGGCATCGCCTGGACTTTCCGCATCCTCGGCCTCCTGATCATAGGCACCGGCCTACCGGCAGCCTACCTAATCAAAGAACGGGCACCGATCAAACGGGCCAAGATGGTCGAATGGAGCCTTTTCAAAGATGTGCGCTTCGCCGGACTCTTTGCAATCGGTGCCATCGCTACATTCCCACTCTTCGTGCCTGCCTTCTTCCTACCTCTATACACGAACTCGCTAGGTCTGCCGTCCAGTGCCGGAGCTGGTCTGGTTGCGGCGTTCAACTTCTGTTCAGCTATTGGGAGGTTGTCGTGCGGATTTGCGTGCGATAAGTTGGGTTCGCTGAATACGCTTTTCTTGTCGTTGCTGCTTAGTGCTTTGAGTATCTTCGTGCTATGGCCCGTTTCGACTTCTATCGGACCTCTGGCTGCGTTTGTTATTATCAACGGCGCGGCGAATGGGGGCTTCTTTTCGACTATGCCGACTGTTGTTGGAAATGTGTTTGGTTCTGCTAGGGTGTCGGTTGCGGTGGGGATGATCGTAAGTGGATGGTTGGGTGGATATCTCTTGGTGAGTCCCTTTTTTCAAAGTGGTATATTATTCATATTAATGCCTTGACAGGGTGCCCCGATTGCCGGTTATATTCTCAATGCATCGGGTGGACAGGCCGGCGGCATCGGTGCCTATCGACCGGCTATTTTCTACGCCGGTTCCATGGCTACCGCTGCCGCGACTCTGGCTGCGATAGTTCGAATGAAGGTTGATCGCAGAATCAAGAAGACTGTGTGATTCGTGTCTAGTCAATCAAACCTTGTATATGCGAGCTAGAGAGAAGTGAACATTGATAGAACAAGCCTGCTTAATAAAAGTTTATTTACGTGTGTATAATGTGATATTGACCTCCTGTCCACCTGTAACTCTTGGTATTATTTTGAGTATTTGCCAGACATTTCTTATGCACAAAGACATCTACGTATGACATGGTATCGATAAGAGATCTAGATCCCCTACTGATATAAGATAAGAACTCTAATGTACCATAGAACGGAAACAAATTCAAGAAAGATACGGAGTATGTAGAAGGGTATCAAATTTTGCAAGTACGGAACGCTATCTAAGATGCTCTTATACTCACGAGTCAGCAGATACAGAGGCCGTTGCAGGCACGGGCGCAGCATCCTGCTGTGGCTGTTCAAGGTTACCGTTGTCCTGTGTAGCCTCAATCCGTGCCTGCTGCGCTTGCTGCTGCTCTTGCTCTCGCTCTTGCTCGCGGTCGCGTGCTTCTTGACGTACTCGCTCCGCGTCAGCTTCAGCTGCATTACGTGCTTCGACCTGGCGTTCACCAATCCCTGGAATAAGACTGGCAAGAAGCAGCACGATAGATCGCTCTGCACGGCGGAAATAGTCCGAAACCTCTCCTAGAAGACCGTCTCGAGGACCATCACCCCTACCCTGGGTGGTCGGCTGGGCCGGTCCACCCATGTGGGCAAGTCCTTCTAGATGACGCTGTACAGGCTGCACGATGAGGCCGTACAGCATCTGGGGAATGTCGGTATCGGATAAGAGAGAGATAAGTAAAGCCGCAATGACGAAAAAGATGCGCGTCCAGGTGCCAGGCGCGCTGATAACATAGCAGAAGAAATAAAGGCGGATGAAGAGCCATACACGGCTCATGAACCGTCCTATGCCTGGTGCGTTTGCGTTTGCATCTCGTCGACGTTGCTCATTGTTAACCACTGCCTGGCGAACAATGTTTTCGGCCATTGCACGATCGGCTGGGTTTGCGTTGGCACCGAGCGCAACATTGATGGTTGAGACGGACGGCTGAGGCCCTATTGCTGTTGAGCCTGTTGGGAAAGCAACAGCACAATGGCCATCTGGACCGAAAGTTTGGTAGATGTGGTTAGGTGTATTCCGTGTATGAATCTGGCCACCCTCAAGGCTTCGAGCGCTAGTATGGAAGGTGTCATGATTATAGCGCAGAGTATGAGCTGAATCACGGTAGCTTGGAGGAGCTGGACCATCCGGCCGGTCAGTCAAGGCAGTGTTCAGTGGCTGCGCGGCGCCTGGCCTATTATTCAAGGCCCATGTGCGATGAAGAAGAGGTGATTGTTGTCCCTCTAGACGAGTCTGCGGTTCATGAAAATGCTGACGTTCCTGGGAATCCACGAGGTCCGCCTGGACCCGAGCAATTCCTTCAGGGGTTACATGATTGGGCCGGGGCTGGGTCGTACTAGCTGATCCCAACAACGAACCCCGAAGTGTCTCTATTTGCCGTACGTGAGTGTCATGGGCGGCATGTAGTAGTTGCTGTGCAGCTGCTTGTCTGTACTGAAGTTGTCCTCTTGTTTCAATAGCGGAGGACCTCTGTACTTCGATGTTTGAAGACGTTGCATTCTGTTCTCCAAAGGCCGAGATATTTACAGCCGATGATGTTTGACCGGATGGTCGCGTCGGTACCAGACCTTGTGGCACGAAATGGAACGTGTATGCAGATTCCTAGCCGGCTCGGGTCAACTTGTATACGAGTGGGATCAGGCGAAGATCATTTCTCACATTCACAGGTGCTAGGACCTCGCCCAAAGTAGCACTATCAACCGTAAGGGGCCTTCCTAGGAAGATCAAGCGTGACATGATAGGCTCGGCGTGACCTAAGATGGCACTCGCAAGCCGGACTCGTAATTGCGCGATTGTTGTGGAGAGGGGGATATTATTGAAAGTGAAGCGGCTGGGCGGAGGAAGAAAAGGACATAGCACGTGGAGAGTGACGGCTTCAGGGCTCTCAAGAACATTGTCTGAGGCGGCGGGCACGACTGCCTGCATCTTTACGGATATTGGGTATGACAGTGTAGGTACTTAGGTCCAAGAGGTCCGAGTGAGATAATGGGTAGAGTGGGCGCAACTGAGGAGGCGTTAGTGAAAGCTCAGGCCAGAGGTCGAGGGAGAGGGCAAAGTACCGTGGGCAGTGCGAAGTCGTCGGTGTAAGTTCAGGTCACAGAGATCGACTGAGATGAATGGCAGAGTTGGCAAGTTTTGGAGTCGCAGCGGCATAGAGTTATTTCTGTATAGAATAATTTCTGTAAACCTTGGAGACACCAGTGGATACGAGTGGTGAGTTGGTGTTTTGGGGAGATCTGGCACGAAACCAAGACCGGAGTTGGCAAGGTGTGGCGAGCTGCCTGATGGACCACTTCCTGAAACCTTAATGTCAAAGAACAAAATTCAAGCGCATGTCATCACTGCTGGATCTGAAAACCGGCAGACCACAGCGAGAGAATACGAGAGAGAAGCAGAAGGCGAAGCAATGAGTATCGCCCCGGAGACTCCACGTGTAATTCTGCCGGGCGGTCAATCGGTGCAAACGCATTGCCCGATTTGGCACGAGAAAAACGTTCTCCTCAAAAGCTTCGAGGGACGAGGACTCGGCCTGGACCCATGGATTAAGCTGCACTATGGCCAAGCGCCTTTTGAACCACTCCGCTATCCTCCACTGTCATCCCGCAGCCCCTGTGACGAGGGGCGCTGCGTCGATGGAGGTTCTTTCGTTCCGGGCCACTGCCCGCCACAAGGCCAGCGTGCGCCATTTTTCGAAATCCTGGAGACAATATCACAAAGAAAACAACAATGAAAATAATGCCAAGGGAGGCTTTGGGTCCCGACTACGATTCGCCCTGCGGAACACCAAGGTGGAATGGTACCCAATCCCTGTCGGACTCGGCATCGGCCTGCTAGGCCTGCTTCACTTCTACAAGTCACAACGCGCTGAGCGTGACCGTGTGGCTCGTGAAAATGCTGGAGACGAGTGGGAAAACGGAGTCCGGCCGCCGCGTCGTCCACGAATCGTGCCGACAGGCTCCTGGCAGGTTCAGTTCATGTCCACCCTGCCCCTGAAGGCCATGTCCAGACTATGGGGTCGCTTCAACGAAATCGAGCTTCCATACTATTTCCGTGTGCCCGGATTCAAACTGTACTCGTGGGTCTTCGGCGTCAACCTGAGTGAGGTTGCGGAGCCTGACCTGCATACTTACCCGAACCTGGCAGCCTTTTTCTATCGCAAGTTGAAACCCGGCGTCCGGCCACTCGACCCCGATATTCACGCTCTCATCTCACCTTCAGATGGCCGCATCCTACAATTTGGAATGATCGAGCGGGGTGAGGTGGAACAGGTCAAGGGCATGACATACAGTCTGGATGCTCTTCTGGGCTCTGCTACTCCTTCGCACGCCGACCACAGCAAGCGACTCACCGACTCGAGAACGGATGAAAGCGAACAAGATGTCGAGAACATGAAATCCGATGAAGAGTTTGCCCGCGTGAACGGCATCTCCTACACACTTCCCACCCTGCTGTCAGGTGACACCTCCACCAAGAGGCGATCTTCGATCGATGCCTCCACCGCCTCCAAGGCAACCTCCGAAGCGCAGGTCCAGGAGGAGTTGGCTCTTGGAGAGGGTACTCCGTGGTATACACCTCGAACAGCTCCCAACCACGCCCTCTTCTACGTTGTGATCTATCTGGCACCGGGTGATTACCACCGATTCCACTCACCCGCCCCATGGGTGGTTGAGAGTCGTCGTCACTTCGCGGGTGAACTGTACTCTGTATCTCCCTATCTACAGCGCCATCTTCCAGGACTGTTTACCCTCAACGAGCGCGTCGCGCTTCTTGGCCGTTGGCGTTGGGGATTCTTCAGTTACACACCGGTTGGCGCCACCAACGTGGGCTCGATCAAAATCAACTTTGATTCGGAGCTTCGCACAAACAGCCTGCTGACCGATACGGCCGCGGATTTGGCGGCAGCCTTGGCTGCTAAGCGGGGAGAGCAGGACCCCGGGTTTGCCGAGGCTACCTACCGCCACGCCAGTCGCACACTGGGAGGACACCCGTTGCAGCGTGGTGAGGAGATGGGCGGATTCCAGCTGGGCAGCACCATCGTGCTTGTGTTCGAAGCGCCACTCGGCTCGCGCAAGTCCTTCGATGCTGGTTGGCCAGAGGATGAGAGACCGGAGGGATGGACCTGGAGTGTTGAAAAGGGACAGCGGATCAAAATGGGAGAAAAGCTAGGCTTTGTCGCGGGAGTATAGATGTATCTGAGAGTCAGACGGGGAGTGAGTGACCTTGGGAGGGTTGGGAGGTTGCACGGATCGGCTGCACATCAGGCTTCCCTGCTTTATTTCCGTAGACAACTTTCGTTTGTAATATACCATTTGCTTTTGCTTCAATCAATTCTTGGATAATCAACACGCCATCAAACCGAAAGAGAAGGGAAAAAATAACAATTTGACAGATAAAGCACGGGCCCGCAACGTCTGGCGTGCCCGCGTTCTGCCCGTTGATTTGCCGCTGATAAGTTTCGTGTGTTGCGTCACTGATCGCAGCGTTGATGAATCAACTGAACATCGCGTCCAACGAGTAGTCCAGGCATCGGATTTCACGTCTTACGATCCAGTAGTAAATTGTTCAGCTTATCGTTCCCTGTCAATGGACGCGATTTCCTGGGCTACGTATCAGTTTGCATGAAGGAGGAAATCAAGGCATGAAAACCTTGAAACCAAGATTCTTACGTCGGCCACGGGAATGCTATCTTTCCTCTTTATCTCTTTTCCTCCGTAGCCTCCCTAGAGGCCTTCACCCCTCGACCGACTCCATCTTCATGGCCATTTTTACCTCGCCCCGGTCCCTCCAGAACAATGCCTTCCAAGATCCCGTGGGCAGCCTGATCGCGGCAGGCGCCAACGCGCACGCCAGCCATCCCTCGTTCGGACATCTCGTGCTACTCGTCTTCGAGGCCGTGCTGGAGGTGGTCTGCGTTAGCTTGCCCGGTTACTTTGCTGCCCAACAGGGCATGTTCGATGCCGATGCTCAGAAGCTTGTCGCCAACCTTAACGTCACGCTGTTCACCCCTTGTTTGAGTACGTGCTTCCCGCCGATCTGCTTTATCGTCGCTGATAACAAACAGTCTTTATCAAACTTGGCTCTCAATTGACCGCGGAGACCCTGTCCGACTTGGCTATTATCCCTGCGATCTTTGTCGTCCAGACGGCCGTCTCGTACTTATGTGCCTTCACCATATCACGATGCTGTCGCTTCAAGAAGCGCCAGGCCAACTTTGTGGCGGCGATGGCGGTATGTCAGACTCGTAATGGCTCATGCTCATGGAATTATCATACTGATCTCTACGGAACAGGTCTTTGGTAACTCCAATTCCCTCCCGATCTCCCTCGTCATGTCTCTGTCGCAAACCCTTCAGGGTCTCCACTGGGACCGCGTCCCCAATGACAACGATGATGAAGTAGCCGCCCGCGGCATCTTATATCTGCTTATCTTCCAGCAGTTGGGCCAGTTGGTTCGTTGGAGCTGGGGATACCATGTCTTGTTGGCGCCCAAGGACCGATTTCTCGAGGATACAGACAGCGATGACGCCGATCGGTCTCGTATTGAGCAGGGCCAGGCGCGTTACACCGACAATCCCGAGCAGACGGACCCGGACGAGCCCTTGCTGCGCACGCGCAGCTCGGAGCATATAGCTCACCCTGCAAATGCCCACGCACATGTCGAATTTCAGTCTGGAGACCAGACCCCGGTCTCCACGTGCGGGTACTCCTACTCGAAAGGCTCAAAAGTGTCCTCCGTTATTTCTGGTGATGAAACAGTGGAGGGAAGTCATGATTGGGATGACCCACCCTCAGCAGCCATTGGACCTCCGCCCAGGGGACCCTTCCTCCCGCGCCAGAGCTCTCGAGGTGACATGCTCTCATTCCCAGACGTGGAGGCTACTGCGCGGGAAGCGCACGCCACAAAACAAACTTTCCTGCAGCGGTGGAAGACGTCTGTTCGGCAGCGAGGAGAGCGCATCCGCAAATTTTGGGAGAAGAAATCGGATGCCCTATACGGGCGTCTCCCGCCTAAGGCTCAAAAGACCGTCTCTGCAATCACACGTGGAATCCGCCGCTTCATGCGTGGTGCATGGGACTTCATGAATCCACCACTGTGGGCCATGCTCGCCGCCATCATCGTAGCTTCTGTCCCTTCCCTCCAGGACCTCTTTTTTGATGAAGGCACCTTCATGCGCAACTCAGTGACCCGCGCCGTCGAACAGAACGCCCAAGTCGCCGTGCCGCTGATTCTGGTCGTGCTTGGCGCGAACCTGGCTCGCAATACTCTTTCTGAAGAGGCCTTGGCGGATATGGAGGATCCGCACGCAGAGCGCAAGCTGATTATCGCTTCCCTGGTTGCGCGTATGCTCCTCCCGACCCTCATTATGGCACCGCTGCTTGCCCTGCTGGCCAAGTTTGTGTCTATCAGCATTCTCGACGACCCGATCTTTATCATTGTCTGCTTCCTCCTTACTGGTGCGCCCTCGGCACTGCAACTGGCCCAGATCTGCCAGATTAACAATGTCTACGTCGGGGCTATGTCCAAACTCCTCTTCCAGAGTTACGTGGTCTGGTACGTGATCCCTTTCTCTGATGTACTTTCGAGTCTTGCAGATAAGCTGACAACTTCTCAGGATCCTCCCGTCCACCCTCTTCCTCGTCGTCTGCGCCTTGGAAGTTCTCGAATGGGCTCAGGCTTAAGCCCACTCGCACCTTTTGTATGCCTAACTAGATAGGCTAGATAGACGTCTGGTTTTGCCTTTTGTGATAGATGACTCTCCTTCGGACTTGGCGTTACTCGAGACTGCCTCGGTGCTAGTTTGCATCTGGATGATCGATTCATGGCTTCGCTCACTTGTCGTACATTATTATTATCGTTTATTTTTATGGATTATTTGCTTGTCATTCGGAGGACCATACTCTCCAAAAGTGAATACACGAATACCCGTCACCCATTCGAACTGGTAGATATTTCGTATCTTAAAATAGCTTTGCTATGCCATCAGTATGAAAAATTACCGAAAAGACCATCAAGATGCGACAGAATAAACCCCACCAGAAGTCGAGAGCAACGGAGAATCATATGCAACCTGTCCCGTTGGATCACCGAGTACATCAAACCATCGCCATCCCCAAAACCATGTGCCACAGTGTGTGGCCGAGCCCACATGTCCAACCTGGTCAATGTCTTGGACCTCGAGAATGTATGTTTCGCTCCTAACCCACTTCCTACTAACACATTTAGCTAACCAATGCACCATGACTGATAAGGCCATGCTTTTCTTATCGTTTCCATGGCTACATACATAGAGGATATGGTTAGGGGGTTATTGCGGGGTCGCAATTTGTCTTTTATGGACATCTAATGTGGATGAGGGTGGACGGGCGGATCTTTCTAGTTGCAAGAAATTAATTTCGTATGGAATAAAAGACCTCTGGAGTTTCAGTTGTAAGTCTTTTGAACTTTGTGGAAGTGTCTCTCTTTGAAAATCTGCACGGGTTTGAAAGTCAAGCATTATATTCCAAATTTTGTAGATGATTACTTCCTGCTAAGGGCTCAGTACTAGCTAGATAGACTCAAGCGCCCTATACTTATTAGCTACCTCTGTAAGTATAACTGGGCAACATTATCGCGATTTAAGATCACAGATAACGTCTGCCCAAGAATGTCAAAATCTCCTGCGCAATATTCTCAAAGTCAGTCTCCACAGCGAAATGCCCTGCATCAATCAGCTTGACTTCAGCATCCGGTAAATCCCTTTTAAAAGCCTCCGCTCCCGGCGGAATAAAAAACACATCATTCTTGCCCCAAATAGCGAGAAGAGGGACGCTGGATTTTCGGAAATAGGCGTGGAAATCTTCATACAGAGCCACATTGGTCTGGTAATCCATAAACAAATCCAACTGGATTTCCTTATTTCCAGGCCGCTCCATCAAGGCGTAATCGAGATAATATGACTCCGGTGCAATGCGACTAACATCCGGAGTACCATTCTCATACTGGAATTTGGTCATCTCGAGAGTGAGCATGGCCTGCGCGACCTTGGTGCGATTCTCGGGCGCGTTGTTGCTAGCCCAGAGGTCTTGAATAGGACCCCAGACATCGCCGAAGCCTTCGACGTAGGCGTTTCCGTTCTGGGAGATTATGGCTTGAATTGAAGCTGGTCGCTGGAGGGCGAGTCTCAAGCCGGTCGGTGCGCCGTAGTCAAATATGTACATGGAGAAGCTGGTGATGGAGAGTTCGTCAAGAAACTCTGCCATGGTCGTTGCTAGGTTGTCGAAAGTGTATTTGAAGGTGGACGGTGTTTCGGTGAATCCAAACCCAGGCAAATCGGGGGCTATCACACGATACTGGGCCCCAAGAAGAGGAATCAAATTGCGATATTGGTGTGAAGATGAGGGGAAGCCATGAAGTAGTAGGATGACTGGAGCATCCCGTATCTGGCTTTGTTCTCGATAGAAGATCTTGATGCCCGATGGCAAGAGCAGGGTTTTGTTCTGTGTCACGCCCATGATTGGATGTAAAGTATTCTGTGGATATAGAGTGACTGGATAGCTGATATGGATAGCTGGCAGGATGAGAGGGGTTCTTTAAGTACAGTCCCCTCTGACAGCCTGCAAGATTACCAATACATGCAAACACGGGATCTGAGGAGAGCATCTTCACTCCGTTTCCACGAATGATAGTTTCGTTTCATTTGACTCGAACCTTCGCGAGGCTCAATTATGTCGACGGAACAGAGTCATGTCTGTAATGCAAACAGTCCTTACGGATTCCAGTGTGACGTTATTTGTCACTCATTGTTCGCACGAAAGGTTGTCGCTCGTGTTTGTACCGTGGCTGTTTTGACCCCGGTCAAACCACGCAAACCAAGCAGACGAGTCTAGAACGCCGTGGCCCTGATGAATCCGGCGACGCCCTTGAACCAAACCTTTCAAATACAAACGATTCATTTGGAATATTTGGAATCATCTATACCTAGAAAAACCTAAGGTTGAGACGGTTATTAACCATGGCTGTTACTTCGCGTCTATCTTCTTAAGACTCGAGGGCTCCTCTGCTCTACTTAATTACCACAAAACTGAAACGGGCATCATGAAGGTGTCATCGATGAATTCGGAGGCCCCGAATCTCTCTCATCATCCAAGAGGTGCCCCCGCACTCCAACCAAAAATCGGCGAAGTTGTGATCAAGGTCAACACCTTTGGCATCAACCATGCCGAGATGCTCGTAACTCCTGGAGTTCGTAACGCTTCACGTCGGGCGCAATTGCCATATCGGAGTGGGTCCAGCCACCGCGCCGAAACTGACGCCAGCACCTCCTGACTAGTGATAACGAAATTTTTAAGAACTAAATATAGGCATTGCTGTTTGTTCCCCTTTAGAGTACTGAATTCAATCACAGCTTGCGTCTACCAAGACTTGACATGAGCTTCTCAATTGCCGCTGCACTCTTCGCGGCATCTGTGCTCGCTCAAACACCACCTGGCAGCTCCCCGTCGACGAAGAATAACCTGGGAGCCGCGTATAAAAATGCAACAATCTTCCCTGGTGTCTGGATCGACCCAAGTTGTAAGCATTCGTCTGATGCCATGGAACGTCCACTAATCGTATCCCAGACGTCGCTAACCAGCCGATTTTCTACACAACGGACAATAAGAAGCATGAGCAAGACGATGACAGCAAATACATGATCATGATGCTGGACTTGAATATCCCGGACTCCGAAGTTACGACACCTGCATATTATGACACGCTGGTTCCGGGTCTTGCACTCGACACAACCACTCGTCTGCATTGGTGGAGTGGAAACTATACGATCGGCAGACACGGCCTCTTTCTCGGCTCCAGCGATGCCCTGGCCGAGTACACTGCGCCGCGATCTCATGGCAGCTCCAACCACACCTACGCCCTGTACTTGTTTGATCAACCTGCTGGTTATGAGGCTCCTGCGGAGGCCCTTGATGGGACTTATTACCCCCGGTCTGCCTCGGCGCGCTTCAATTTTACGCTGGCTCCGATTGTCAAGGAGGTCGGTCGGCCTCTTGCGGCTACTTATTTCCTGACCAACAACCCGTAAGGCTCATCCCGCCCGGATGCAGGTGGCTGATTGTCGAATGATATACATGGTGTAAATAATACATAGGCGAGACCTAACTCGCATTGGGAGATAATGACAGTGCTGCCTTCTAGAAATCTTGAATAAAAGCCGAGTAAGTCCACATGCAGATCACAGTTGAAGTAGAAAGAACTCAAAATGTAGAGAGCTCAACACTGCGCTAACCGAAATTGGCAACCGAGCTCCCCTCCAGTAAACATCGAACTTCCGCGAATTTACCGCGCATCGCCAAGTGAGGCCTCGAATCCAATCATGCCTCACCTACGTCGACAACCAAACCCCCAAGGCTTCCCGGCACCCAATGGCCCTAGCGGTCCAGGCAGCCTCCGCGCGCAATTCCAAACCCCTCCATCGCGACAAACCCCCTCCAACCCAACCCACCGCCTCGCGCCCTCCACAGGACCTCAAGACATAACGCCCGAACCGGGGCCTGCGTTGGCGCACCCGGCAGCACACTCCAGCTTTTTCTCCGTCTTCGGTCGACCCAGGCTTGAACAGCACCCTCCGCCGGTGGTGGACGAGGAGGACGTGTTTGACGACGACTTCGATCCGAATGCCCAAGACATGGAACCAGACGAAGAGGAATTCGATGAGGATCTGATCCTGGAAGACCAGATTGAGCCTGAGGATGGGTTGGACGACACTGAGCTGGTGGACGAAGATGATCTCGACGAGGAAGTCGAGGACCAACTCGAAGATGACGCGGACGAGGAGATGCACGATCGTGGTTCGTCTCTCTCCGTCGCATTGCGGCTGTGAAATTTCGCTAACGCCTACATAGGGAAATCACCTTCGCCCCTGCCACCTAATCTGCGAGAGATCTCGTCTCTCGCGTCTTGGACAGTTTCCACATCGAAGCCGGGCTGCGGCGTTGCTGCACTCCGACACCCTTCGCCTTCACAATACTGGCAATCAGACGGTCCGCAGCCCCACACGTTGACGCTGCACTTCTTCAAGTTGGTCGCTGTCGTGCGCATTCGTGTGTACCTGGACTTCGAGCTGGATGAAAGCTACACGCCTACGAAGATTATTTTCCTGGCCGGCATGGGCGGCAATGATCTCGTCGAGTTCGGGACCTGGGAGGGCGATGGACCCTGCGGCTGGGTCGACGTGCCTTTGGAAGGTGTTGGAGGGCGAAATGGAGGATGGGTTCGTGATGATGCGATGCGGCGCAAACGCAAATCAAAGGGTGAAGCTGGTAACAACGAGGATGAAGCCGAAGGCCGGAATGGTGACCTTGACGAACATGACCCGTATACGGGGAATGTACTCAAGGCCATGGTGATTCAGATGCGCATTATGGAGAATCACCAGAACGGAAAGGATACCCATGTGCGAGGTTTCCAGGTCTTTGCTTGTGACGATAGTCGGAGGCGCATGGCTGCTGCACCGTCTGCTTCTGCGGATGGTCGTCATCGCCGCCATAGTGTTCGACAGTCTCTGCGTGGAGGTGTGCTTGATGCACTCAACGGTGGCCGTCAGCGCAGTGAAGACGTTGATGCGAACAGACTCGTCGAAACTTCTGGGCTGGAAGAACCGGACTGGATGGGGGAGCCGGTCATTCGATAAGGCAGCATGATACGAACAGCATGTTTATTGGCGTTGTGGGCATCTTCAACTTTTGTTGAGGGTTTGTTTCTGTTTTCGGAGTTCAATGGCATCGAGATACCCTGTCCTTTTCATTATGGGTGAGACCAGCAAGAGTGGATGCATTCAACCTTTGGGTACCTAGCTTATTTAGAGAAGCATGAGCATTAAAACTCCCATTATTATGAGTGACTCGAACTCGCGTCCATCATCTGCAACAATAAGCCAAGCGTCAAAGTACACCGAGGCAGGGACACAACCATGAATTCGAAAAAATGGAATGCTTTAAAATTCCGAAAGGGTATTCAATTTTGTTTTCTACACTCATGTCTCATATAGAACCACCGGCACACACAGTGCAGCCATTATAAATCTACTTAAGCAGCTTCTCTAGCTCGGCAGCGATGGCATCACCGACCTCGACGGTGGTAGCCTTCCCGCCGATGTCACCGGTGCGGACGCCGGCCTCGATGACGTTGCTAACGGCCTTCTCGATAATGCGGGCCTCGGCGAGCATGCCGAAGGAGTACTGCATCATCATGGCGATGGAAAGAATGGCTGCGACGGGGTTGACAATGCCCTTGCCGGCGATGTCGGGGGCGGAACCTATAACACCTATCAGCAATGTCACCGTGAACGGAGAAACATGTAATAATACATACCGTGGATAGGCTCGTAGATACCGTTGACGCGGCTCTTGCCATCAGGCACGCCGCTCAAACTGGCACTGGGCAGCAGACCGAGCGAACCGGGAATAACACTAGCCTCGTCGCTGATAATATCACCGAACAGGTTGCTAGTAACGACAATACCGTTCAGCTTACGGGGATCCTTGACCATAAGCATGGCGGCAGAGTCAATCAGGTGGTGACCGATCTGGACCTGAGGGAACTCCTTGGCCATAATCTCGGTAACGACCTTGCGCCACAGACGGCTAGTAGCGAGGACATTGGCCTTGTCCAGACTCCATACGGGGAGAGGGGGGTTGTGCTGCAGAGCAAGGTGGCCCGCGAGGCGCGTGATGCGCTCGATCTCAGGGCGCGAGTAGGGCTCGGTGTCCATGGCGAAGCCGGACCCGTCGTCCTCCTTGCGCTCGCCGAAGTAAATACCGCCCGTCAGCTCGCGGATGATGTTGAAATCCACGCCGCGGCAGACTTCCTCCTTCAGAGGGGAGCTCTTTACCAGCGAGGGTGCGGCGAAGTTGCATGGTCGCAGGTTGCCGAATGTGCCCATCTCCTTGCGCAGCTTCAGGATACCCTGCTCAGGGCGGACGGTGCCGGTGCCCCATTTCTGTATGTTAAAGAAAGTAATGAGTATGGGGGTTTAGGAGGGTTGTTTCGAAGGGGTTGAACGTACGGGGCCACCAATGGCGCCCAGAAGGACCGCGTCGGCATTCTTAGCGGCATTCAGGGCCTCGTCGGTCAGAGGGGGAGCCAGTCGCGTCAATGGACGCCTGTAGTCGGTTAGTGTTTGCAACGGTACGCTTTTATGGGGTTTCCACTCACGCCGCCGAGGAGGTGGTCCTGCAGGTTGAAAGTGACATCACGGCTCTTTTCGATGGTGCGGAGGATCTAAAGACGATGGGCGTCAGGATTCATATGCTGCAGATCGACTCTTTTGTGCCAATGGCTCACCTTAATAGCCTCGGCAGTAACCTATTGTTTCGCGAGGTGTTAGTCACGTCGAATTGTCGCGTGTAGACCAAAGGTCCATGGCGGGACGTGTTAGAGCACATACCTCGGGACCACAGTGGTCACCACCGAAGACAACGACATTGAAGGAAGGCATTTCGAGGGTATAGGCGCGAGAGAAAATGTCAATCGAAGGCAGCTCAATTGGTACGAAAGGGAGCTTTAAAAGAGGTGGCATGCGGGTTGGAGTCGACCCCGCCGCTCCGAGATCGGCGCCCACTCAACTGCGCCGCAAGCACAATCCACAACGACGACTTCGGACTCCCCCAGCTTGTTTACGGCTTCTACGGCTTCTCACGGCTGCTATCGGGTTCTCGTGTAATTGTCTGTGGTCTCATATTTACACATTCTTAAACCTCGAACACGTTCACCATGCATATTTCATTAGGAATATATGTTCTAGTCGATGTCGCAGCTATGTACCTTTCCCTACATTGATTGACTGAGAACAATAGTACAGAAACCATATTTGTCTCAATCACACGGCTGATTGAATTTCGTCATGGTAGGACAATGTTGAAATCTCCCTCAAAATTCACGATGAAAGACAATAGCTTCTGCAAACAAGAGCGGTCTCCTGTCTCGGCCTCGATCTCTCCAAGTTTCCCCGTGGCCAAGAAACTGAGCAGGTGAGAATGTGTTATGGAGCAAGAGTAGTCGGCCGCACTATTCTGCATCTCCGTTTGTTTCAACCCAGTCCGATGAATCAAAGTACCATTGCTGAGAATGAGACGACATCCTTCATCCAGATCGGTCAAGTACAAATTGATTGTGAAGGCATGCGCCTGAGCCTGGGGGCCATTCAGTCGCACCGCAATGGATGCAAAAAGCTGATGAAGAGATAGCGCCTTCATCATCTCAGACTGGTCGGACAGTAGATTCTTAGACGTCTTTTGGCCGCGCAATTCGCTGGCACCGGTCAAGTAGAAGTTGCGCCATGGGCCATTCTGAGCGCCGTATCCAAGCTTTTCATATGTTGATGCCAATAATTCCTTTCCGTCTTTGTTTTCTGGGTCAGCGAAAACGAGGTGGTTAAGCAGTGTTGCAGCAAAACGCAGATCACCTTCCTTGATGTAACTCTCGGATTTCCTAAGAACTTCTTCGACACCACCCATGCAAGCAACGTAACGTTTGGCAGAGGGGACCGGGGGGTGCTCCCACAGATGAGATGGGTTTCCGTCAAACCAAGTCATGTAACGCTGGTAGATTGCCTTGACATTGTGAACAACTGTCCCGTAGAAGCCTTGTGCATGCCAGGCAGACTGGAGTTTGGGGGGAAGCGAGAAATCCTCGGCAATTTCAATCCCCGTGAGGCCCTGATTAATCAACCGTACGGTCTGATCGTGCAAGTATGCGTATAAATCCCTTTGCTCGGCGAGATATTCCAATATTCTGTCATTACCCCATATCGGCCAGTGGTGTAATGCGAAGATAGTGTCTGTCTTCTCCGCAAAGAGAATGATTGACTCATCCATGTAGGAGGACCATGCAAGAGCATCACGCACAGCAGCTCCTCTGGGCGTTGCGATGTTATGTAGGCCTTGCGTCGCATTCTCAGCCATGCACAGGGTTCGAAATTGGGGGAGATAAATATTCATCTCAGCCGGCGCTTCGGTTCCCGGCGTGATCTGGAAGAATAGTTCCACTCCATCAATTACCTCCACTTGCCCGGTATGAGTGATGTCGAGGGTTGGAGGGATAATTGTAACTGTTCCGGAGGAGAGGGTTGATCCCAATCCGCAACTGATCTGGCCACGGGGATTCTTTGCCAATTCATAACCATACATATATCCTGCCCTGCGAGCCATAGCGTTGCCAGCGAAAATATTTTCGCTGACAGCGTGCTCAAGGAAGCCTTGAGGAGCAATTATCGGTATCTTGGTAGATTCAGCCTTGGATATGATTCCCCCTGCTCCGCCAAAGTGATCAGCATGACTGTGGGTGTAGATCATGCCTACCACGGGCCTGTTGCCACGATTTTTGCGGTAGAGACCAAGCGCAGCCTTGGCACACTCAGCAGAAGTAAGGGAATCGATGATAATTATCCCCTTTTCTCCCTCAATGAAAGTAATATTCGAGAGATCAAAGCCTCGGATTTGGTATATGCCGTCGACAACTTTGTAAAGGCCTTGTTTCGCAACAAGTTGAGCCTGGCGCCATAGAGAAGGGTTTGCGGTATTTGGAACAGATGTTTCGGCCAAGAAATTGTAAGCTTCATTGTCCCATATAGCGTGGTCTTGATTATCTGTGATTATGCAGGGATCAAGGCGATCTATGAGTCCGCGATCTGCATCCTGGAAGGATTGCGTGTGATCGGGTGAAAGGTCCATTGTCGTTTTGGAAGAGTAGATTTTTGGTTTTGACACATGGAATATTTCGAGTATGAACTTGTTCAAATAGAACTAACATGTTAAGTGGTGCTGCGATGTCTATGACGGGTGCATTATAGTTAGTTACACAGTGGGGGTCCATAGGGAACTATAGGTTTACCGCCTAGTTTCTGCCGCGTTTTCTGTCAACGTCGAGAAAGATTCGAAGATGATTATGGCATTATTCCACTTATTAATCTTCGGGATCAGTGACTCATATTCTCTACATAATGTCCAAACACACAAGGGCATGAATTAAATGATGTAAAAAGTATAAGGAATATCAGACCAGGCAAACAATGATGGGGAAACGACAGGATTGAAGGAACAGAAAAGGCCAGAAGAAAAAAAAACATAACCCTGTGTGTACTGTACAAGGGCCCGGAATTCCAGAGAACTCCCGAGGACCTTCCTATCCCTGCCAAAGACACGGACCAATAGGATTTGCAAAACCCGCCAACCCAACCTTCCACGGAAGTTCCCATAGCACAGCTCGTACTGTCTGCTTAAGAAACCTCAAATCACAAACCGAAGCTCCAATGACATGCATGATCAACGGGGAGGGAGAAAGACAAAGGAAACATTGCGGCTAGCAAATGCGCTAGCTCGCAAGCTGCAATTAGAATATCTTGCAGGTTACTTGCGGTTGGCACGCCGGGCCTTCTTGTCACTCTCCGCGAGCAATTGGCTAGCGTTGATCAGCTGAATGACGTTGACATACTGCTTGAACAGCATGACCGGGGCCGAGATGATGGTAATAATCCACGGGATCTGGCTGTCAATCTTGTTTGCGCGCGCCATTTCGAGTGCGCCGGCACTCCAGGGGCTAGCGAAGAGGCTGCTGGGAGCAGGGTTGGCGGGGTTGCCAGGCTGCGCGGAGAAGGGCTGCGCATCGGGGAGGGGCTGCAGAAGCGAGGGCGACAGGATCGGCGAGGAGAAAGACAGAAGGTAGATGCCGATGAAGAACGCCTCGTTGAGAGCGCAGCAGATGAACAGCACGGTCTGAAAGACAAGTTTAGCGGAAATCAGACCGGGTCAACGCCGAGTCAACATACCTTGCTGTTGTAGTACTTGTAGAGGGCCCAGTTGGCCGTAGGATCGATCTTCTTGTGGCTCTGGTTGGATCCACCAACGCTCAGAGTAGCATACATGTGCATATAGTGACTGGCCAGGTCCAGGCAAATCAGACCCTGGAACACAATGGCCCAACGAGGCCAGGCGGAGCTCAAAAAGACGAGCAAGCATGAGGTGGTGCAGCGGTCCGTCACCATATCCAAGACGGCGCCGAAGGTGGTCGACTGATTGTAGTAGCGGGCAGCGTAGCCATCCAATGCGTCTAGCAGACAAGACACGCTATAGAGGATAGAGCAGGTGCGAGGGTGGAGGGGCATATAATAGAGGGACGCGATAGCAAGGACCACTCGGAAATAGCCTAGGATCTAGTAAGCAACGGAGGCCGAGGTCGGGTATGTGGATGGAGATGAAGCTTACCAATGAGATTCGGGGCGAACAGGAAGATGTTCTCATCGGACTCCTCCCGCAAAGACGACCTTGATCTCTTCTTGGAGGGTGTGCGCTTCTTCGAAGGTGTGGACACGCTTCCATTATTGCTGAGCGATTCTTCGCTCTCCTCACCCTGGCTAGCAAGAGCCGCCTTTTGTCGTCGTGTCCGGGCACTCATTGTGAATGTTGAAGGTGGTGTATTTAAAGAAACGTGAACAGATAATTAGTCTGCCAGGGACCGCTGACGCAAGTGAGGTGGGGGGATGGAGAGTTGAAAAGTATCGTAGGCGGAACGCGTCTGCGGCGAGTGGGCAGATTAGCAGCGGTTGACGGTTGGCTTGCGAAGAGGACAACGCAGGGCAAACCACACGTCACGGTCAGTACAAAAGTGTTTTCAGATAAGAATGATAAGGAGAGAAAGCGCTCAGACACAAGCGGAGCTGGTCGGAGGGAAATAAGGATAGGGGGATTCAGGAGGGAAAATTCGAGTGAACGATAAGGGATGATAAGCTCACGCGTCGACGATCTTGCTACTTACATGGAGGTGAAGCTTCAGGTATGTCCAAGGCTGGAGAGGTACCTGACACGTAGATGCAAAAAGAAGTTTCTGAGTCCGTACTCAAGTGCACGAGCAAGGAGCTGGGAATGGGAAGATGACATGGAATGTTTTGAACGGGTCGCCCGGAACCTTGGAAGCTTTCCCCACATCGGACTTGGATGTTCCCCTAACACTCTTCCAAGGGTGTTCTGCTATACGATACTACGATACTACGATGCTACATAGCAAGTCTTTCGTTCATTCTTCAGTAAAAGTCTCGAGATCGTCTTGGTCCCGGGCTATTCAATTGCTCCGAGGTAACCTGTCCGCGCATAGTGCCGATGCATGTGGTGGGTATATAGTCCGCCCATTGGCGCATGGGCAATTTGCCCGTTCCTTTTCTTGGCTTGACCTCGGGCATTTTAACACCCCAAGAGTGCGTGTTGCCTGATGTCCACTTCTGATATTCAACATGCTTTGCTCCATCATGCAAGAAATGCCAGGTAAGAAAAATGGTCTAGTATGTAGAGAATGGTTAGGACTGCCGAGTCCGATCAGGAAAAAAAATGTTTATAATAGTTAACATCTAAACACCGGCTATTCCACAAGTTTCTGCTCTGGCAGGTAGATACAATAGACCATGTCATGCTGAATTCATCGACAAAAAGAAAACCACCGCTTTCAAGCTGAACAACGGCGAAATTATGTGCAACCGAGCCCTACTGGGATCAAAACTATGTACAGACAACATTTCTACAAGATTGGGGAGATATCACGTCCGTGACCTGCGCGGATCGGTGGCATCCTGTCGGCGCCACTCGCGGGACTCCTTCGTTCCCAGACTGCCAACGCCTCCCTCTTGTCGGCGCTCCCATCCACCAAGGCGAATGACCAGACAGGTGGAATTATCACCATCCTTGCTAACCTCGGTGGCAAAGCTGACTACGTCGCGAGCGCCTTGTTCGGGTGTCCGGGCTTCCTTGATAATGTCGACAACTTCCTGATCGAGAAGAGTGCCACCGATACCGTCGGATACCATGACCAGGAATGAGTACTCGGCGGCACCCATTTCAATGCGACGGAGCTCCGGCTCGGCAGAAACGCCAATCCGCTTGGACTGGACGTCTCCAAAGGCGCGGGTATTGGCAAGTCCACTCATGCGCTCTTCGCCGAAGGAGTCGGTAACAAAAGTCGCAGCATACCGGCGGAGTCGTCCAGCCTCTATTGGCGAGGACGGGTGATGGTTGGAGGTGACAGGAATGGCTTCGCCGTTCTCGGTAGAGCATAGTAATACCCTGGTGTCGCCGACATGCGAGATGAGCAGGCTTGAGGGACCGGCGGGATGCCAGAAGGGAGTCGGGCTGGGGGTCGAGATCATGGCAACGCTTCCAGTGCTTCCGCCCTTGAATCGAGAAGGGCCGCCAATCTTCGGAGCCCGGGTTAAGCTGGGACTGTGAAGAATCTCGTCATCATTGAGAGGTTTCTCGGCCTGTACCAAATCGTCATCTCGCTTTGCAGCTTGCGCTTTCACAAAGTCAAGATCGGCTCGCAGGAAAGCGTATTCCATGATTTCCTCAATAGAGACATGACCCGTTGAGGGGGCCTCCGCGGATTCGGAACCATAGTAAGAGAAGTGAGGCGGCTTGAATCTCTTGAAGTAACCACCGACCATCCGTCTCCAGTTCTGTACGAGATGCTTTTCCAAATCTCCGATTCGGTGGCGGTTGGCCACTTGCATCACCGGTAACGGGCCAATGGCCTGCTCGCTCCCGCTTATCTGCTGCTGATTTGTGCGAAGACTCGACCCAACCTCAAAAGCCGCGGCGGCGTCCTGTATATATTCGTGCAAATTTTCCTTAAGAAATGTGCTGCACTCGGACCCGCCATGCCCGTCAAAGATGCCGAAGTAGAATACTTGCGGGTCCCCGTTAGCAGTGTCTGCCGCCCGCGACTCGCGCGGCGAAGAGTTTCGCTTGATTGTAAGTGACGCAGGGGGCCGTTTTGCAAATGCCGGGATATCGATCACACCGGCCTGGTATGTATCTTGATTTGTAGGCCGAGTGCCGCGAGCCGTGACGGCTCCGAAGTGGTGCTTGGCATTGCGCAGCGGGATTCGGACGACGGTTGTCTCCCGGTCTACTAATGCCTGGAAGGGGGTCGGCGATTGAGACGTGTCCCCGGTGTGAGGTACTGAGGCAGAGCGCGGGAGTTTATGAAAGGGCGAGGTCGGTCCCCGAGGATCCGGGTGGAGAGAGGACGACGGCAGATGGGTAATGAAGTAGTCGCGAAACTGCGGGCGCCTCTTCACGATCGTTTGCTCATCCTGAGGTATAGCCTCGGTGCTGTACTCTTGTGACCTTCGAGGGCGGATGAAACCTGCGCAAGGGGAAATATGGTTAGCCGTCAAGCCGGGGTGTCCTCAAAAAAGATCTTCAGGTGTCGGAGATATAGCATCCACGTACTGTAACCGGTCGAGGTCCAGGCCCGGCCTGTTACTCGCCTCGCTGAAGTGACGATCATGAATGGCCCATTGATAGAGAGACAGTGTGGTGGCATAGGGAGAATGCAAAGGCCAGTTGGGCGTGGGGGGACACCTTGCCCCGGGCCGGGCGTCGGCAGATAAGACCGTATCCGGCAGATCAGTTCCTAGTAATTCGCGTTTACTTGTAGAACCATAGACTTTCAAGTAGATTCTTGTCATTTCTATGGAATATGCGATGATACTGACTACTGAAAATGCAGTGATCCTCACGATGGGAGTGAATTCATCTACGTAGTGCAGGATCACTGGATTATAGCGGGCCGGGAATAGCCGAGCGATATCTGAGAAAGTGAATAAAGGTTAAAAAAGCCCAGCAGGACTGCTTGGAATTGAATTCGATACAGGCTCCTAAAGACAAGATCATTTCGAGAAGGCTCCGTGTAGTGACAGACGAACAACGCGAAGGTTGGCACCTACCAAGAGCAGAATCATCAAGAGCCGAGAAAACATGACGGGGGATCTGCTTGAAAAAGAATGTGCCATGTTAGATAAGGGCCATTAAGACCCACAGAATTGAGCGGTCGACATGTTAGATGGCCCGGGTGCGCGAGAACAGACTGCTGTAGACGGCATCCACAACGGGTTGAGCGGTGATCTGCCTACCGCCGAAGAATCGGCCGTTCAGGCCCTTGATGGCATTCTCGCCGCCTTGAACACGGTCGAACTTCAGGTAGATGTCGCCTTGGGAGTTCGGATCTAGTGAGATGTGAACAACATGGCCGTACTTTTCTTCGCACTCTTGGCGGACATCGTCCTCCAACTCCTTGATCCAGACTTCGCCTTCTTCCCTGTGATTTGTTAGCATTGAAACATGAGGTTTGAACAGATACGCGGAATCAACTTACTCGGCAGGGTCGAACATGTTGCGAAGCAAGACGCAGCGGCTCGCCTGGTTCACGTTCACGGGCAGCGGCTTCACTTCGGTCTTGGGCCGGAGCATCTTCTGTTGCTCGTGGATTGAAGGCTCGGGTTCATCTGTACGTGCGAGTTTCCTCATCAACGCGTCTCTACTGTAGTTGTTGAAGTTCACCCCAGAAACATCTGTGTCGTCAAGAGCACTGGCACCGGTGGACTTTTCGGTTTCTCTGCCGCCGCCGGCACGGTCGAAGTTGTTCGAGCCACCAGCCTGGAGGCCTCGCCCTCCATGACCGGAAAAGGAAGAGCCCTGGAAATTGGGTTGGTTTGCAGAAGGGCCCTGCGGACGAGTCGCGCTCGAATCAGGGGTAAACTTATCGTTGCCAAGGCCCACACGAATGGCTCGACCAGCAAGATCAAATCCGTTCATCTTCTCCAGGGCATCACGAGCCTGAGTGGGGTCACGGAACCTAAACAGACAGTCAGCGAGGTCAACTCGAAAATTGAGGGACCATTGACTTACTGCACAAATGCATATCCTTTGCTCCGACCCGTCTCGTCCTTTTGCAGCTGAACAAACTCCAGCTCGCCGAATGGTTCGAAGACATTCTGGAGGTCGGTTTCAGTGATGCTGAAATGAACATTACCCACATAGAGTCTGTGAAATGGTGCGGAGTGTCCAGAGCTCGAGCTGGCCTCCGGATTACGTGCTTGACGGTTCTTTTCGGCTTCGGTAAGCTGTACGATGACGGGAATGCCTACAAGCGTCTGGCCGGTAAGCTGAATCGCAGCAGGGACGGATTCTTCGCTTTTGAATTCGACGTAACCGACACTATTCAGAAGTTAGTATGATGAGCGAACAGCAGAGAGGTGTGAACGCACCCTTTCGATCGACCACTAACACGATCTTTGACGATTTGAGCCTCCTTGACGGGACCGACCTTTTCAAAAAAGGCCATCAGCTCTTTAGTTCTCAGACGTGCGGCAAGTTGCTGCACAAAAACTGTTCGTTTATCCCGCTCATCTTCATTGAGTTCAGGGGACTTGCTGGGGCTCCGTCGACGAGGGCTGCGACGGCGGCCGTCACGATCACGGCGAGGGCGGCGGTCATCATCTCGTCCGCCCCGTCGGGAGGGGCGATAATGTCGGTCATCATCGGGGGATCGTGAACGAGTGCGAGCACGTCCTCCCCCACGATAAAAGTCGCCGCTGGAGCGGAGGTCATCACTGTTGGGATCACGACGGCGACGTCGGTCACTATCACGGCTACGGCTCCTCTTCCGGCTTCTCTGGCTTCCGTTAGCACTGCCATGTTCGCTTCGAGGGCTCTTCATGTCCTCATCGCCATCGGCATCTCGGTCACGGCGACGGTCTCGGCTGCGGTCTCTGCGGCGGTTTCTATCACGGGAACGGTCTCGATCCCGGCGTCCATCCTGGTCCGCTCGATCGCGATCGTCGCGGTCTTCGGGTTTGACGGGTACATCGGCAGGGGCAGCCGCCGTAGACTCGAGCAAGGCTTCTACGTCGAGTCCCGACATTGCGGAGTTGTAACTTGTCGCTAATTGTGATATGAACGATGGCCTGGGAGAGGAAATCAAGTCACTAAAGGGCACGGTCAGAGAGTGTCACGAAAGATAGGGCAAGGAGAAAGTTCAAACCCTTCTTCTCAGTTTTGCAATATCACGGCTTCAGAAAGAGCTCCACGCGGTCAGATATGCAGTTGGATCGCGAAAACGGGCTCGATTATCGAAGAAACCCAAACTTAAGTTCATATGTGGTAGTGCAGGAAACGGCGGTGGCAGGTCACATGGTGGCAGAAAAGATGGCAGAAAAATCCAGGCGGTGATACAAACTTCGCCACTCCCATCACGTGAAAATCCAATTTTTACTATGGTCTCACGATGTGTATTACGTGGGCATGTCAATTCACGCTGAAGTTAAATTGGAAAAGCTTTTTGATGGGCGTAAAACATTGGGTCTTTTTTCCATTAGGATTAAATAAGTCTCATGTACACTGATAAGTGATGCTGGTAAAAGAAATGTAAAGTGAATCAACTTCTCACGACCACGGGGCCTGAGAAGTCACCTATGCAGGAAGCAGAGAGAACCATCCAAAACTCCTCAGTTGCCAATGTGCGAGGGGGGCATGTACCAGTCCTTGGCGGTCATATGGCCAGTGACTAACTCCGTGAATTCATCATTAAAAGGGTAAGCCGTCGATACGGACATCTGCGAAAGGAACAACCTCTACTGAGCCTTGGCACCTTTGGGAGGGGGAGTCTCCAGCTCAGTGCCAAAGACTCGGTCCCAGAACCGACTGGTGACACCGAATCCGTTCTCAAAGTCAGCGTAGTGGTGCTGAAGGTGGTATTTCTTAAGCCCCTTGTAGTACATGGGGAGACTAGACAATGTCAGTCATGCAATTGATCAAAAGGATTAAAGATGGACACTTACTTGCGGTGGTGGAGGAAATAGTGGGTCAAATCATAGCAGACGTAACCGAAAACACCTCCACAGAAAACCTGCACAGCCGCATACCAGTTGTAGAAGAAGACCGCATGAGCCAACTTCCAGAAGGGAGCTGCCAGTACGACAAACAGTGTCGGCGGCATGACAAGTCGATATTTATCCATGGGGAGATAGTGGTGGATACCGTGAAGCAGGAAGTGCAGCGTCAGGCCAACTCGGTTATCAGGAAGCCAGTTATCGACGTGGAAGAGGAAGCGATGCATGAGATACTCGATCAGGGACCAGAGGCAAACACCGCCAACCCAATAAGCAGCAGCAGCCGAAGGATTATTCAAACCCCCGGCTCCAATCATGGTTCCATATGCGACCAGGGGAAGCCACATGATAGGAACAACATACCACGCGGTCTTGCTGAGGGGTTCCAGAAAGTTGCCGAAGAGAGGAGCCGACTGGCCTCCTTTGTAGTGACGAGGCCGATGGATTTGCTCCAGGTAGAATTCCTTGGAAAAGGTGCTGTACCAGAGCTGAGGGAACAGCGGCTTGCTCAGATCCAAGAACTTATGGGTCTTGAAATCCTGAGAGAAGTCGGTCTCAACGGACAGATCTTCTTCCCGCGACATTCCGGTGGTTTGGTAGACCACCCCTTCGCCTTCGCCTTCGCCGGCGTTGGCAGCCGAGTCGTTCGGCTTTCCGGATGCATCGGAGGAGAGGAAACCAACATGGTAGTCCAGGAGAATCTCGTAGGCAGCCTCGGTGTGCTCGTGGGAAATCTCATCCACCATGATCTCCGTCACATCCTTGCCCGCGTAGTCCAGAATCAAATCACCGCCACCTGGGTGATCCTCCACGAAATCCGTGACATCGTAGACATTGCGACCGATGGTAACGAAGCAGGATTTGGCACTGTTATGAGACTCGACCTCGGCAGGCGTGAACGTCGGCAGAACACGTCCAGGCATTTTGTGGGGTGGTTCTCACTTTTGCAAGGAAAAACCAACACAGAAAAGATGGGATTCGAAGCAAATCGTGGGACAGGCGACCGTAAGTAGGGAGGGGGAGTCGGTGGTCAAAGTTCGAAGCGGCGGATGCTTCGGTTTTGATGGGGCAATAAATTATTCAGGGGAGGCGTGGCGTGACAATCACTCTTCCCGCCCCGGTAAATGGGCAGAATTTCTTTTGGTTCAACAACGGTGACAATCCCGGTTGGCTGGTACGTATAGTAGTTGATAGGTGAGAGAGTGTTGATCAGGCCATCAGAGAGACTGGACAAACAGGAAAACCCAACGGCGCCATCCGAAGCAGGAGGAGAGGAGTGGGGCGCATGTGACTTCTTATCTAATCAGCGTCTCCCTCGGTTTCCGTGAAATTCATTTAAGACCCGGAGAATATTCAAGAGTTCTATGATCAAAAAGTGTTGAGAATCTTAAACAAGGACCAAGGGATTTTGTGGTTCCGCTTGGAATTCCTCCCGTTTGTTCAATTATTCCGGTCGCGATTCAAATATCGTTTGTCTAGACTATCCAACGAAGTATTATAACTAATGAGCCAAGCTCCAGTAGTTTATTTTGCCTTGGATAGTAGACTATCATTGTGTTCCAAAGCCCTCGTGCATAGTGCGAAGGAAGTACCTGGTTGCATGGTGATCAATCAATACCCTATATCGGACATTCACAATGATGCCCAATGTAAAGTATGCGCAGGTTACTCGCTCGGTAAGAAAGAGCTTTGCAAATCAACCTATGAATGACCCAATGACAAGGGTAAGGAGTACATGTCACACAGACTTCACCAGTACAATTTCTTTGCATTTTAGCCGCCTATGTGAATGCAAGCTTCATGAAGAAGCTGAAATAAATACAAGTCGAAGGTCATGAGAGTTACGACACTAGGGCCAATCTAATAATATAGATTAATAAGGCGCGTGAAAACTTGACCTTTAACTGTATAAAGCATTCGAATGTGCGAGGAGTTGCGGAGGGCCTGGAAGATGCATCACACACTAGCCCGGTAGTGGGCATCAACGCGCGGATAACATCCGCGATGACAACCAGTGGTTGAGTTTCAGACGGCCAATCTTCTTAGCTCTCTCCGAATGGGGGCTCTACGTGTACTGTTCACTTCCATATTGATGAGCTTTGAAGCATTGTCGATCACGTGCACACGAAACCGTTGGGTTGTTTTGAAGCTTAAGATTGAGGTTCTTGACCGAAAGCTAGTTCGCAAACTAGTAGTTTAGCACGGGCCTGCAAGCTGCAACTCCCGGCTCTCAGATACCAATAGCGACCTTCCCATTTTGCACTTTGCAGGACCACCCGCATGAACCAAATCGCCCACCGGACCGGCTTGCAGAACTGCGATAGCGCGATAGTATTCGATCTCGCGTTCCCCTTTCAGCCAGGCCCACTGCCAGTTAGTTCCCCACTCGGGCGAAAGGACGCATATGATACGCGTACCCGCGTTTCTGTGGACCTTCATCTTTGTCAGGGTGAAAAACAAGGCGATTTTGGGACAATTTTCAATTGACAGGGGTAAACTCGGCGCTAGCTTTCTGGGTGGGGATTTCCACGCCCCGCCGGCTTTCTGCTTAAGAGCTGTCCCCCCCATTCTTCGGTCCACCATTTCACCCCCGTTCAATTCAATCATGTCGGTAACGGACAGCTCCCCGGACAATGAGATCCTGGAGTATATCCAGAAATTGGCTGAGACGAAGAAAGCCCTCCCTTATGGGCAGCCGATCTGTGCCTTGGCCTCTCACACCATCACAGACACCGAGAGTCTTGTGCAACTCGCTGAGGAGGTCGGTCCGCATATCGCTATTTTGCAGATTCAAGCCCACATCATCGATGACTGGTCAAATCACACTATCGACCAATTGACCTACCTCTCTAAGAAGCACGGTTTCATTTTGTGGGAGGGCAGTCGAGTCTTGAACTCCCTCGTCAATTTCATGTGTCGCGACAGTACCAATTGGGAACAACGAAAAGTCCTCGCCGATGTGATCAAACGAAATTATACAAACGGACCCGTGAAGGTGGGTCGGTGGGCGGGAATGGCGACTGCGTGGGCCCCCGGGGCACCGGTAGACAAGCAAGAAGAGGACGTTCTGATTCCTACCCTCCGAAAGGCAGCGCGCGAGGCTGTTGCAAGTACATACAAAACCATTCAGACGGAAATCTCGGCTGCGGACAACGAGGATTGCCCGGAGGGAGACGCGACGGAGGAAATAACTACGACAAATGGCTGGCCTGAATTCAGTTCAAACAATGGGATTTCAATGCGCAAATCCTCGACGATTTCTGTCACCGAGACCATCACTATGCAGCCTCACATTCAACCGGAGGATGGCGTTCCACCTCCACCATTCCTCGCTCGAGGCCTGGTACTCAGCTTGCCAAGTGCCGGTGGTTCTGCATTCACACCTGAATTCCGACAGAGCACAATAGCTGCTGCATGTTCGAACCGGGACTTTGTGGTCGGATTTCTCTCCAGTGAGCCATTTTTCACCGAATACCATGGGAACAACGTGATGGAGCTGGCCATTTTGGACGGGAGACAAGGCGCAAAGGGTCGAAACCTGCTTGCATCATCACATTTACTGGAAAAGCAAAATCCATTGGGTCTTTTCTCCCTAATTCCGCCTGAATTAGCGGCGAACTTTGAGTCCGATCCTGTTCACATCCTAAAAGGGGATGTCGATTCACCAGAGGCACAGCCTGAAAGCGTCATGAAACTATACTATATAGTTCGCCAGGCATTGAGACTACGGGACGCCAACCGGAAAGACAAAGAGGCCAATAAAGAAGAGACGCACATCCGCTCGGGGCCGAATATCGTGCATTTCCCGATGGTTATCCTGCCATGATTTGAGTCTCGGTACCTCTGGTTTCTGGGACTGTTGATGACCTGACACTCAAAATTTTTATGTCCTCTGAAAGCTGGAACACGTATTTCTGTTTTGTTCTAAGATTATAAGCGCATATTTTCTCTGGCCTATATGGGGAGTTTGTTGGAGCAAAAGTTATCTGTTCTCGACGACGGTTACCATGGATATGATGACATACTGTACACGAGATCTCTGTCAGTCTTACAAAATAGCATATTTGGTTCATTCCATTTCTTCAAGGCCAAAGCTTCATTCCAAAAAATGAAAATGAAAATAATAGGGAAGTTTGACGCCTGACATATCAGGCGATAAACTCACTCGCCACCTCAATTGGCGGGGCACGTGTCACATTTAGCCACAGCATCAACTGTTCTTGTCTTCGCACGGCGATTGAATGGTCGTCTGAAGATCAAAATATTCTTCTAGTCCTTGAGAATAGCCGTTGGGCTTCTTCTAAGTCCCTTCATTTTCACTTCCTTCCATCCTTGTTTACCGTGCAGCGGCATTCTCAGCGGCTCCATACTGCAGAGCGGCTAGGTTTGGCACACAATCTCGGAAATCCAAGTGACTGAGCTGATTGCGATCAGAAAGATACTGTCTGTTGGATCCCAAATATTTCGTCGATTTCATGTTTTGTATCTACTCCAACCCGGAAACCCCTCTCACATGAACCTGGGGGAGGATATGCAGTCATGAACACTGACTACCCTCCTCTGCCCCACCCAGGAGGACCACCAATAGCTTCTGTTACTGAGGGCTCTCCGGTTCTCTCAGGCAAGATGAAAGCGAATGAGATGAAGAAGAGGATATCTTCGCCCAGCAGGGACTCCAAACGAACCTCCCAGAACGACTCAAGCTTCCCAACAGTTATTTGCCCCGATGGAGATATGATCATTGAGTATGCCGAGTCTTCGTCGACTGGTAGTCGACAGTGGCAAGTGTCCAGTAAAGCCCTCATGCGCAACAGTCCATACTTCCGGGCACTTTTGGACCCTGACAAGTTCGCTGAAGGACGGCTTATCGCGGAATACATGGAAAGACAAGCGCCAAGTTGCGTTGGTTTGGCCTCCGATACCAACCTGGACGGCAATGTTGATGCCCTCCAATTTAACCTGCCAATGGTAAAGATTTCTGAAACTCATTTGACGAAATTATGTGGGGCAGAGGCTATCGAACTATTTCTGAGAATCCTCTGCGCAGATGGCCTCAGCAAGGACCAAAAGGTGATATTCGAAAGCGAGCTGAGGGTGACCTCTCCGTCGATCGTTGAAAGGACGATCGAGATAGCCGAATCTTTCAGTTCACCTGATATCGTCAGGGATACTCTCAAGAGAGTCTGGTACGTGTTTGGCAAGACCAAGATCTCTCTGGACAAGTTTAGCGCCGCTCTCTTGAAGTCAACCGAAGATCGCGTCCGGCAGATCATTATCATTGCTGCATTTATAGGGGAAACCAAGATTGCAAAGATCATGATGCACACACTGCTGGTCATGGGCTCCAAGTATTGGGATGATGGTCCAGAGCCGTCTACCACCAATTGTCTTCGATGGCGATATCTCGGAAAGGGAATAGAAGGTATGTACACCGCTTGACTGGGGTTGCTTGACTCGAAGCTTTCTAGAGTAAAGGTAATTAACGTTTGTTTCCAGAGGAGCTGTATTTTCGGCGACAATGTGTCATGAACACCGTCACCGACCTGCAAGCGCACTTCCTTCGCGTATACGGAGGCCTTGAAGAAATTCACGAGACCTTGCACACCAGGCCTGCATCATCGCGACCCACATTGGGCATGTCATTCTCTACCTCAAACTACAGCCGTGAATACCAGTGTCGAGCCGGGTTTGGGAATGGGAGCCAGTGTGATCTATTTCATCTGGGTCAGATGACTCGGTTCTTCGCGCTCAGATCGAAAAGCATCTTCCTGGGATCTACGTTGATCGATCCTGATTTTAGCATGGACGATGATGAAGACAATGACGACGTCGAGAACGGTGGTGCCACACCAGCACCAACTTGTTCAGGTCCACCCTCGGATATCATTTCCCTATTCGCATCCATGAAGCAGTACCCAGACTACCAAATCGACACAAATCACCAGGGCTGCGGAGTGAGGCGTCGATTTCTCCCAGTGCTAGGCTGCATCGAAAAATTCATTATGGACCCGCGAGGTCTTCTTGGTATCGATCTTCAGGAATGGGAAGACAACTCAAAACGTCCACAGATTCAATGGAGCAGTAAAGCCAACCGCAAGAACCATATTGTGGATATTCGCCTCGAGAAAATCGTCTGCATACACATCTCGGCTAACTTTTCTTTGGCTCGTGCTGCTTCCCAAGAAGAGGATGCGAAGCTATTGTTTACAGCCAAGAGACGCAATTGGGAATCCTAGGAGGGTCTTCCACGCGCATGAGATGTCAATTCTCTGAACTACAGTGTCTATTCGTCTCTGCACCTACCTGCATCACCTTTCCCCTACACTCCGACTTCCATTCTCACATATTGTTACACCCGTCTACTATGATGACGAGGTTCTATCATTCCCTCTCGGAGTAAGTTACGCCATGATGATCGCATGCCCGAGGAAGCCAGAAGCAGAGACTGGTCTGGACCTGCCACCTGGACCAGGACCTCACCCCGGGTAGCTCATTTGTACCACAACGACATGGGTCTGATTTCCCAGAGTTGCACATAATGCTTCCCCATTACAGAGTCTTTAGGCTTCGCATTCTGTATATTGTATGTACACTGTCGATACTTGTTTAGATTTAGATTAGCCTAGTGTTGAGAATGGCACATTATCGAATTGAACAAAAAAAATAAAATCTGTAAAAGGCATTAGATACTCTTAAGTTTTTTTTGCGCAATAGCACAATAGCACAATAGCACAATAGCAAAACATAAACTTTTGACTCTATAGAGATTCATGGTTTTATGTTTTGATCCAGTAGAACCAAAAGATCTCCGGAAACCCGCACAAATTCCAATGACAATCTGCGATCTATCCCCTTCGTAATCTTTCAATATGAAATTTCCCCTTGCGTTCAAAATTCTAGCCTTTGCAAATATTCAACACACAGCATCACCATAAAAATACCCCAGATCAAGATCCACATTGGATCCAGTTGGGAAGAAAGACCCAGTGAGCTGTCGTGTTACCGGGTCATAGGGGAAGTAGTCATCGTATGAAGACTTCTCCGGCTTTATAAACGGATCTAGTATATCAGGAGGCTCGAAGCTGCAAGGCACTGGCATGCCGAGAGGAGGTGTTCCCGATTGCTCCATCGGCGAACAGGCAATCGAGTCCATCTCTGCAGCGATTGTATCCATTTCAGCTGCGGATGCTAGGGGCAGCATCTCAGATGCGCCGAATGACAAGTCGTCCAAGGCCTGATCATTAGATATCGCGCTCAGCTCGGCGATATCAGGCTCACCAATGTCCGGCTCTTCCATTTCAGGCTCGTCTAGAAGGGAGTTGGCAGAGGATTCCTCGTTCTCGGAGAGTTCGCTCTCGTTGATTGTAATATGGGGCGTGAGGCGGCGGAGGAACCCATCACAGAGCTTCCAGGCTTTCTCGGAGGCATCGTTCATCTTGGACAGTGTCGATAGCCAGTCAATTGCCTTTTTGGCGGCTTTTGAGACCATTGCTGCTTTCTCAGGGACATGCTGTGCCCGAAAGGAGAGTTCCAAAAGAAGAATGGTAGAAGCCTGCATGAGATAGTGGAGGGTGCACCACCAGGGAGTGATTCGGTGCAGCAGGGCTGCGTCTGGAGCATCTGGAAACAGAGTTAGCATGTGGCAGGCCGACTCGACACAATCTGCAGCAGTTTTGCTGCAGAACTCGTGTGCCCTGTCGCCCTCTTGTGGTGAGGCTTCTGGCCGGCGCAAGCAGGGTCTGGTGATGCCGATCTTGGTGCTGTAGAAAAGGAAGGCAAGCCCCATTCGCTGGCCCAAAAGACATTGAGAAGTCTGTGTCGAGGTAAAGTCGTAAGCCGATGGAAGATTCATGAACCAGGAATCAATCTCCAGCATCAAGCTTTGAATCGTAAACTCGGTACTTGCCCAGGGAGACTGCAGCGCCTCTGGGCTATATAACTTGATTGTCATGCGCTTGGAGATAGTCGTCAAGGATGTCAGCTGCAAAAAGAAAAGTGACATGCACGGCGGAAGACTCTTCAAGTATTCAGCCCTGGTCATCTTAGTCTCATACTCCGCAGGACTGTCGCAGGCGTCATCGTCCGTATTCGAGTCCAGGTTGGCTGCACTGTTGTTGAAAGGCACTCGATCCAGACTATCGGATGCGGCTCGTCCAGCAGCACTGATCGTATGTGCCACTTCTTCTTTTTGGAAGTCACTTTCATCAAACGGTACAGGCAAAGGTGTAGTGCAGGAGCTGTCGATAATGCAGGATGGACGTCCGGTGATGACAGTGAGGAGGTGTTCAACCGTGTACAATGACCACCAGACACGGTATCGTATTTCCTTGGAACTGTCCGAAGTACAGGGTCCCAGATTGCGTAGGTGCAGACCCAGAGCCAGCGACCCACGGACTGCACTTCCACACAGCTTCCAGGCTCTGGGTAGATAGTGTTAGAATAATTATAGAGAAACGATGTAGCGAGAGACTTACCGGTTAATATGTCCAGATGCAATCATGTAGAAGCAGGCAAGACCTTCGACCTGCAACTGCTGCAAATCAGGATGCTGCAAGAGCTGGTCCTCCATGCTGAGCATCCTTGCACGTGCAAAGTACAGCTGGTGATTGTCCTCTTTATCCTCCCAATCCCCCTCCATCAACTGACCATGTTTGGCTGCGATAGCGAAGATCAAGTTGAGAATGGCCAGCCACTTATTTCCAGGCTTCAAAGATGGCTGACTGAAAAAGACCTGGAACTGCGAGACGAAAGTGAGGATCCCAATGATCGGGAACGATGGGTGCACCGAGGTCAGGTATGCATTGAGCAATTTCATCGCTGTTTCCCGCGATGGCACCCCGTAAGCATCGACTGGCTCAGTAATCGATACATCCAGATCATCGAGATAATAGTTGGTGGGCGCTACCCTGAGCTCACTTGGATCGTCGGGCCGAGGAGTCAAGGTGGGAGACGGTAGACCATTTTCATCGTCCGTATTAGACATGGTGGAAGGCCATCCGTCACACTCACTGTTGACTTCTTTTTTCAGCTTCTGGAGCCATGCGATCTCCGAGCTTCTTCCAATAAATCCAGTGGCCCGGGTAGTTTCATCTTTGTTAAAGTCCTCTTCTGTATGGTCGATGAAATCGAGAGGATCACCGGGGGCGGATTGATCAGGGGGTTCTTCTGATCCTAATCCAAGGACCATCTTGCGCTCTCCCGTCGTGCCCGAGCTGAATTCGGGATTAAGAGATAAATCGGAAGTCGAGTCCTGGTATATCTCAGAAAACGTTCTGTCATTTGAAGCGGTCTGGGCGTCTTACTACTGCTAGAGCGATGTTCACGAGTTGTTCATCAGACACTCCGAAGCGGCTGCTCAGTTTTTTTATGACATCTTCGTATGCTTGCACCTTTGACGAGAGACTCGCTAGTTGTCTGTAAAAGTAAAAGGATAGTGTTAACCATCGGGGTCATGGATATGTACAGGTATATCTTACCGTTTCGACTTCTCTCTTTTGCCGTCCGTGTAGCAGCAGATGATGCCAGCCTCTCGGCAGTTGCGGCAGCCAGACTTGTCACCAGTGCATTTGGTCTTTCTCTGCCGACAAGACTCGCATGCTCGACGAACATGTCGACGATGGAATCTACCGGGTGAGGTGAATGCCGATTCTGATCCTTCTGCAAGGCGTGGGATAGCCATTTTCTTCGTTCCGAGCTCAGTCTCGGCTCTTTGGAGAGAGGGAAATGGGTTGTCCTGGGGCATTTGATATTAGGGGCCAGCTCCAATTTCTATATTTTCACAATGAACCCAAGACACACCACGCTCGATAACTGACTGCAGGTTTCTGCATCAGCACAAGATAACTTGAATAGAGTCTGCTGCTCAGCCCATGATAAAAAATGAACATTGCTCATGGTGATCTTGCAAAGTATGCTGGCTTGAAGGTTTCTTGAAATGGGTTTACAATAGTCAGCAAGTCGGTTTGATATGTTCTCCAAGTCCTGAATGACTTACCTCAATAGTTTGGTGTATAGATCTGAGGCCACGAGCATCAGATCCACAAAAACATAAGAAGGCGGGCATCAAGAAAATACAAAATGCAATGGGAGATGCGGCCTATTAAAGAGAGAAGGAATTGCGTGCCCGCAGCACTATCCTAATAAGGATTCTCCGGTTCTGAAACGCGTGGAAGTCGAAAGTCTATTTGGCTTGTATTCAACGATGACGATGTCAGACCAAGGGGACGATGTGTCTGCACAATGGCCACCGTGTATTTGTGTACTCTAAACAGTATAAATTTGCCTCATGCAACCGTAGGAGGGATGATGAGGCGATTTTGAGGTCTTTTTTAGAGCGGGTTTGCTACTTGGTTGGTCAATTGATCGTCGGGTATTGCATCAACCAGAAAGGACGGTGCCGTTGCATCAGATTTCAATCGGCCTGTCTGAAGGCATTGGCTTAACCACTGAATCTCCTCCCCGGGGTCTCTCAACTCTCTGTCTGCTGCTGTTATCGGTTGTTGGAACCGAAAGGGTCTAGGTTCCGATATCCTAGGTAGGGGGCATTAGGACCTTGGACACACGAGGGTACTCCGGGACTTCCCCCTGTAGTAGGCGTAAGTGGAAGAAGAGGAGGGCCGCGGTCCTTTTTAGGATCCGCATAGTTCATGAAAAAGGGATAGTGCTGAACCTTCATTCTTCGTTAAGAGATCGGTTACCATTTGAGTCTGAATCTTGTCGTGAAGGCTAAAACTTTCACGGCACCTTCCCAAAGACCGATCACGGGGGCCTAGACCCGAGGAGCACAGTCAATCTGACGTTGAAGAGTGGTGGCGCTAATTTATTTGGCGTCCCTGGTTGGCGATTAGATCAACAAAGCTTGATAGGACGGCGGGTCAACAAACCCATGGGCAGCGAGCGAGGTACTGGAAGCTTGACGGTAGTAACGAGTCAGTGACAAGAAGCAGCAGCTTGAGATAGGCGTATTGTGCTTGGCTCTCCAAGCAGCCTAAGGTATCATCTCAAATATTCATAATCCTGACGTAGACTATTACACGTGGATGATTGAGGGTGATCGTGGTAGACATCACTGCGCATGCAACCACCACGAGGGCACACAACACCTGCCCAGATGAAGACGGGGTCTACAGCGAACCTCCCAAGGTTGGTGAAAGTATATAGTGAGGTGTGTCAATTTTTGGGTAAAACTAAGACACGGTCTCGATAGGAGAACGTCATGTTAAGAACAGTAAAAATTCAAGGGCTTAGAACACGATCTTCGAAGCAAATGCCAGAAAAGGCCACAATCCGAACGTCATTAGTTTCCACTCTATACAACCCAAAATCCAAATTACTCAATGAGGAAATTCTCTGCAACACTGCGAACGTCCTTGGAAAAGCCGGTGCTCTCACCTTCCATCTCCAATAGCGAAGCGCTCAGAACGTCCACATCGACGAAAGGCCGAGTCTTAGTGAAACGGACGTTCATCGGGAAGAACTCGTTCTCGTCGTCGTCGGTTGACTCGAACTCGAAGCTGCCTGAGGGGTTGGACTCGTCGACGGCGCCCAGGTTCCAGTCAATGCTGTCGCCCGAGACCTCGTACACGGCATCAAAGCTGGATACTGCAGGTTCGGTTGCGCCGTACGGAATAGTAACAACGACATCGCGCAGGCTGTCTGAGCCAGTGAGCTCGTACTCCACTGTCACGGTGGTCGAGTCGGAACCCTTGTTCACCCAGACGGTGAAGGTGATGGGAAGAATATCGGCATTGTCAGCCGAGCTGGCAACACGCCACCGCAGAACACCGATGGAGTTGTTTGCGGGGAAACGCTTGGAGGTGTCCTTCAGCTGAATGGCCGAGGAGCTGGTGAAAAGGGCCTTGTCGACATTGGGGTGAGTGCGGAATTGGGCGCCGTGGGTAGGAGTGGCCTGAAGATCAAGGCGCAGCTTGGTGAAGGATGGGTCGGTAATGCGGAGCTGAAGGTCACCCTTGACCTCGAATGATTTCAAGGCACCTTCACGGGTAAGTGTGGCGGAAATCGTCTCGGCAATCGTAACATGAACGGGGTCACGGTCTGCAGTCAGGGATACCCGAGCGGAAGAGATCTCTTGTACCGGAGTCGAGGTTTCTGTCACCAGCGGGCTGGACTCCTCGACTTCAGGGCCCAAATCGCCTCGGACCTTCTCGTAGATATCGGTTGCCTTTGACTTCTTACCAAGTTGCATACCCTTGCCGCGAGAAGGAATGGGCCTATAGAAAATGATCTTGTCAGAACCTGTATTTCCCATATTCCATGCTCCAGAAATACATACTTGGCAAAAGTCTTCTTCTTCTCCGCTTCGTAGGTATCGTAGGTGTCGGGTACCGAGGGGCGCGATGGAGGTGTGTAGACGGGGTAGGATGGTGTGCGAGGGGCAGCAGCGCGGCCGGTTCGAGCAGCTTCCTTGCGCTGCATCTCCAGTTGCTTCGCCTTCCTCTTGCGCTCTTCACTGGCCTCCAACTCTTTGTTCTATCGACGAGTGTCAGTACGGAAGTAGCCGCGCAATTGCAGCCGCAACGTACCCGTTCAATGATCTCCTGGATTCTCTCCTCGTGACTCTCCATCTCCAGGAAAGTCTTAATCTGAGACAGAGAGAGGTTCTCCCGATAGCCCAATGTCACCAACTCATCGAATGCGCTCAGCAGCTCGAAGGCATTGCGGGTAATCTCCCGTTCGTCCAGGCTCTTGCAAATGCTGGCGGTCACCTGAGCAAACAGGTGCAAGCTGTCAATGTCTTGGAGGATGTTGGATTGGCGGTTGGTGATTAGGACGATGTACAATTCATCCAATGGCTGGTACACGAAGCGGACGTTGTCTTGTTCGACAGTGGTGTGTTGAGTTCCGGAATCCGCAAGCTTGGGGAACGAGGCAAGCAAGGCCTCGATGCGCGACCGGGAAATTTCGCGAAACTGGCGCGAGAGGACCGCTTTACCTCCGCGAGTGCATATCGACGCTGCGAGGACAACCTGGTTGTGGGGAGGCTCCGTTAGTCTAGGAGCTCACGGGGGCAATAAACTCGGGACGAAATGCATACCATGACGGGTGTAGATGTAGCAGAAGGTCCTCAAATGAGCGAAAGAAAGCGCGTTGTTGCAGAAGAGAGCAGTTGTAGACCGTTAGGCAGAGCCCCTTGTGGTGTTGGTGTTGATGGGACACATCGCCGCCCGCTACTCTGTTCTCTTCGGACTTGGCCCGTGCACGCCCACCCCCCTTCGCTTAGTCCGGCGTCAACTCTTTTTTCCCTTCGTCTCTTCCTCCACTCCAGCTCGTTCCCTTCATTTACCCTCGGTGCAGTGGACTTGAGCCTCACCCAACCACTGATTTTCTTACTTTCATTTCCCCTTGAACTTTTTCGAGACGCCTCCACCGAGGAGCCCCCCGACACCGTCTGTGGCACCCACCTTTTTGCCGCGTCTCTATGCCATGACTTCGGCTTCTTCACTCGCGTTTCCCACCATGGAGGTTCCTGTTGTTGAGGACTCGATGGAGATGGCCTCTCCCTATCAAGGCCACAACGATGACTTCGATATCGACCTGGATATTATGGAGGACCAGGTCTCCAATATGGATAGCGACATGATGGGTGCAGACGATTATCTTACGTCTCAGCCCTCTCTCTTCAATAACGATGCAATAAACGATGCCGACATGGTCGACGAACCGTCCGAAGGATCCATGGTCGATGCCGATGACGTCGTTGATGAAGATCACGATATTGAAGTCCAGGACGAAGAAGTGACCTATGAAGCCGAAATGCAAGAGGGTGGCCAACCTGTAACTGTGGATGCACCAGTCTTACCCACTATCCAAGTTGACGTTCCAGCGACTATCGACGATCAGACGGTTCAGCCCATCCAAAATGCCTCAGAACCCGTCGCCCAACCGGTGAACCAGGATGGCTTCGGTGGCCCTCCAGAAATTACTCCTCTTGAGATGAAATCTCAAGAACCTGATCCCCAAGATTCGGAACCCACCACAACTGAAAAGGTCCAAACTGAGGAACCCCAGCACCAGGATGTCGAACGGAAGGTGGAGATTGCTGAAGAAACTAATGAAGCGGCGAAAAGCAATGTTCCGACCGCGGAAGGAAAGCTTTCGCATAGCGAGCCCGCTCCTGTAGAGAGTCTTGAAGCTCCTCCAGCTCAATCTTCATCAGCAGAGGCAAATCATGAAATTGGCGAGCAGTCTGAAACTCATGACCCGCCCCAAAACGAAGGCCAGGGCGCCCACGATGACGAGTCACTACATCCGGTGAAAGTTCTTTATCAAGGCAATGAGATTTCCCTCTTCCCGCCTCTCGAAGGCGACTCGGCAGAAACATTTTTTCTTCACGATGAAGATGTTGCCTATGACAATGTCGATAAACTATTCAGTTCTCTTCGCGAGATCCTTTTGGATAATGTTGCCGAGCATGAGGTACTTGTTATTGATATCGATTCCCTTGGTATTCAAATAACAGAGGTAAGCACAATTCTTTGACGTGGTTTGTGGATCAAGAGGCTAATTTCACACAGGACTCCTCGCACACATCCAATATGACCTTGCATCAGATCCTGAATGTATACCTTCGACTGTGCCATAATGATGGGAATGGTGAACCGGAAGCTCTATATCTTACCCTAACAACCAAGCCGGCATGTCACTCGGAGTTGACTGCCCTTGATGCTGCTGCCAATGAAGGCAAGGGCCTGTCTCAAATCCATGAGTGGGATGACTATGATGAGGCTGGCCCCGTTGAAGATGAATTTACAAATGCCGAAGAGACTACACAGTCCAGTGGGAATTCCAAGGCCAACGAAACTCGTCAGGATCAGACAGGCCATGTTCTTGACGAAGTTACTCAAGACAACGCCCCCTTTGACGGGGGGTCTCACCAAGAGCCGGACGAAACAAATGATGCGGAAGAAGAGCATGCTGAAGCCAGCCATAAAACTGTTCCTGGTGACTATGAGGCTGAGCCCGAGACCGTTGTCGATGATCATGAAGACGCCCAGGAAGTAAAAGAAGATATCCGCGCGGAAGAGGCCGCAGGTCATGACAATGAGGAAGAGGGGCACTACGATTCCGAGGCTCAAAACACCGATTCGTCGGCTACTGTCGCTTCAGCTTCTCATCCAACTGAGCAAAACGAGCAAGCTGAAGATGGTGATGCAGGCGCCACTGAAACTTATGATTTGGGTAACCAAGACGAAGAGGGCGCTGGTGCCGAAGACCTTGCACATGAAGATGCTTCTCGGCAAACGGAAACCTATAATATCGAGGAGCCCGAAGATTTCCAAAATGCACACACCGGTGAGCACGCAACCGAGGAAACCGCAGACCATGCCGATGAGAACCTCAATGAACCGAATGCTGCCCCCGAAGATGAAGACTCTCTGGCCGAGGATATCGATGACGGTTCCTACGAGCAATCCGAATCCACTCTGGAGCCTGCACCGCGGGAGGACGTCGCAACCCATGAGCGAACACCAGAGCCTGAGGATGATTTGCTTGGTATCGCTGAAGACTTGATGCATACTCCTGCCAAGGATCGCCAGAACGGTCAGCTTGAGCCTACCGAGAGCTTCGAGCAAGAACAACACCCTGAAGACGACCTCGCCACCCCTCCCCCTCCTCTCGTCGATGAAGATGGCGCCGAAGAAGACGATGCCGACAACCAGCAGTCCGGCGACGGTGACGGCGATAATGATTTTGACGACTACTACCCCCCACCTGATTTGGAGGTCACTGAGGTTACTGAGGCCATTGAGCTGGGTGAAGAAGATTCTGCCCTTACTGACTCCCACGCCCTTGACAACGTGTCAACCAAACGGTCCCGTGAGGAAGAAGATGAGTGGGACATCTCCGAGACTACGACTCCCGAAATCAAGCGTCGCCGCTCGTAAACAACTTTTTCTTTTGCCTCGGTGTCCATGTTCATCAATTGACACCCTTTTCGAGGGTTTCCGTCTTTGATTCGCATAGGCTACCGTTGGCTTTGATTCAAGAGCTCCACCTCTTCGACCCCCTTTCTACTAACCCTACCTAGCAGCAACGGCTTCGATCCGTGAATTTTGTTTTCGCTCGGCAACGATACCCAGGTATGTGATGTTTTTCTTCTTTTTTGCTGCGGTCCTCGGGGCTCAATCTTCTGTGTTCAATCCACAATTGGCCCAGATCTGGGTGCGTAATCAACACGCCTGCCCTTTTCCATCCACCCTGCTTTGCATACTCCCCCTTGTGTTTGTGTACGTCTATCTGCATGTTTTCTACCCCCCGCGAGATACCATTTTTTCGGTTCAAAAGTGTGGCGCCCATGGAAGATCAGGGCTGCGTTCTACTATCTCACATAGTATTCGACTCGGCGTATCGGGGCTAGTTCAGATATTCATAGGCTAGGATAATCTGAAAAATGAGATGTGTTCTCTGTGGACGGTGTTTTATGCAATCCCCTGATCATTTCAGTGCTGCCTAAACCTTGTGCAGCTTGTGCCGAGCCCGCGGGGAAGTAAGTATCGGACCAAAAGATGGACCAAGCTTCCGCATTACCCACCGCGGTGCTTAAGTTACATGGATGTAAATGAGATCAATTCGGAGAGACTGCATTGCATAATGCTCGGCATGAAATGTGTGGATACTTTACCTAGGTAGGCACGGGGTTATAGGTGGCAACGAAGGTACATGTTTACAATATGTACCGATCGGTCTCTCTATTTATTGGAAGCAACAACCCAATCACGAGGGGTGCATCAAAGTACACCTGGCTAGAAGGGTGGATAATCTAATCAAAGACGCCCAGGCAGGTGCATGTGGAGCCCTCGCGCTATGTATAGACGCGCCGAATGCGGTTGGACTGTGATATCGATGTGAAACGACGATCGCCGCCACTGGGAACACTCAGGGTCCAGGACCGATGAAACACCAGCATTCCTTCCCTTTGTTCGGATCTCGGTGTCTTCGATTGTGTCCTCTGCATACAATTTCAATCTGTGAACATTTAACCTCACACAACCGATTTACCTACAAAAGTCCGTGCCCCAGTCCCTGCAGAGCCGGCGCAGACCACTTGGCTCAGCCGTTGCCTCTTACGCGTCCCGATCGGCCAGTCTCGAAACAGAACCCCACCGCACGCAGGCACCGAACACTCTGCTTCTCACCACCTTGCGACTCCGACTCTTCCTTAGCGATTTTCTTCATCCCGGCAGATTGGGCTGGCTCGGTCTTCTGCGCTTCTCCGCTTCTCCGCTCTGAACGTCCTCCCTGAGCCTACTCCGACTCTCTCCCTTCCCTTCGTTTACCGAGTCGCTCGTTTCCGTCGCCCCCCATCCATTGCTGGCACTGGATATATTTCGCCGTTGGGAGCAGTACGCTCCTAGAGAGACTACGTCAAGATGCTTCCGGACAAGTACGACCCAGCTGCACCCGAGCCCTGTGGACAAGGTGGCCAGAAGCTAACACGAGGCTGCGTTGCGCATTAGATATGTCGGGCTCATATTAGCCATCATGTCAACAATGGCCATTGGTACGAACTACCTCCGTTCTACAGTCGATCGGACTGCCAACTAACTGAATCGCCTAGGTACGAGTTTTGTGATTACGAAAAAGGTTCGTGCTGCCTCCGCCTCGATCGCCGACCGAAGAACGAGACCCTTCGACTGGGCGAGAAGTGACAGCCCGGTCGCGGTATGATTGGAGCAGGAATACTAACGGGACCTAGGGGTTGATGCATGCTTCGGAGCGACATGGTTTCGAGGGTGAAGGATTCTCATATCTGAAGAGCCCGATTTGGTGGGCAGGCGTCATCACATGTAGGGAATTTCCATCGAGCCTGGTGAAACTCGCAGCTGACGAACACTCGAATAGTGGGCATTGGTGAAGTTGCCAACTTTGCCGCCTATGCCTTTGCGCCCGCGATCCTCGTCACACCTCTCGGTGCACTGAGTGTGCTGATCGGGTACGCACCCGCCCTCCCTGCGATGGCCGGCGACATTGCTAACAGCGACACAGTGCGGTCCTCGGTTCATACTTCCTCAAGGAGCGGTTGGGTACATTGGGCAAATTGGGTTGCGCCATGTGCCTTCTCGGATCCGTCGTCATTGTCCTCCATGCGCCTCCTGACAAGCCGGTCGACAGAATCGATGTTCTGTTGGGATATGCTGTGAAAGCGCGTACGTGGCGAAAATTCCGAGGTGGACGATATAATTGCGGCTGACTCTTTCCGCAGCTTTCCTGTTGTACTGTCTGGCGGTGGCCATCTTCTCGACCGTGATGATCTATCGGGTCGCGCCAGTATACGGCAAGAAGAACCCGCTCATTTTCATCTCGATTTGCTCTACAGTTGGCTCGGTCTCGGTCATGTCCGTCAAGGCCTTCGGTATTGCGGTCAAGCTCACTTTCCAGGGCAACAACCAATTTGTCCATGCGTCGACTTACGTGTTCGCCATCGTTACCGGCTTCTGCATTCTCACTCAAATGAACTACTTTAACAAAGCATTGAACTCGTTCTCGACCTCGATGTGAGTACAATCTTGAATAGCCGAGTTCGGACTGGTGCTAACAGGATCAGTGTTAACCCCCTCTACTATGTCACTTTCACGACCGCCACGCTCTGCGCCTCCTTCATTCTCTTCCAGGGTTTCAACACCACCGATGCAGTCAACACCATTTCCTTACTCTGCGGATTCCTGATCATCTTTACCGGCGTCTACCTCCTCAATCTGTCCCGACACGACCCCGACGGAACAAGAATGTCGAATGCCAAGTTTGATGATGATGGAGTGCCGACAGACGGCATCGCCAGCTTTCAGACCCGGCGTTCAATGCAGTCCCGCCGGAGCTCCTCCAGCGCCTACCTCAACGGCCACGGGGATCGCGAAGGGCTCATTCACTCGTACGACGTCGAGAACAACTCAGGCATCGGGTTGCATCAGTTGGGGGAAGATAGTGATGGAGAGCCAGGGCCGACGTTCTCGCGCAACGAAGAGCAACGTACGGCTATCCACACCAAGCAGAATAGCCAGATCTGATCTGCAAGTCTGGAGTGTGAAATATAGCATATCTCCATCCTTACGAGGTTACTGCCGCCACGCTATTTCCCGCCACGCACTACGAGCCACCGGCTCCTCTCTTGAGCATCCTGTATTTTTATTTTTCCCCTCCCAAAACGCCCGAGGTTGATTGATGCTCGGGCAATCCCATACCGGGCACTGGACATGCCCGTATGAAACGATTGGATATGACTCTGGGTTACCTATGGTTGAATTTATTTTCTCTGTTTCTTCTGATTTGTTGGCGAGAGAGGCATCATCATTGTATATACCGAATGTTCATTGGATTTCCTTGCGCAATTAGAGACGAATCTCCAAAGTATCTTCCAAGTAACTGTTAGTACGCACCGAGCGATGTGGGGCTAGCCTCCGATCCGATGATGTAGTGGCCGGTCAGCTGTTATGGAAAACTTGCATCCGACAGCCCTGTGCTTTGCGGGGATGTGAAAAACTGCGAAATTCGACCCGTTGAATTTTGCAGCTCCTTCTTCGCCATGCCCGGTGTACTGCGCAAGTTGGTCGTCGTCGCTGCGGTCGACGGCCTGATTCTACACGCGAACGGTGGATCGCGATTCACCGGTGGCAGCAACAATGAGGCCTCGTCCATCCGCATCGACTACAAGACGAACAAGATCACCGCCCTGCCAGCCTCGGCCCCGGAAGCATTCGAGGGACGTGATGTGTTGGAGGCATACGGTCTAGTTGGTGAGTCCGCCCCGGCCGAATAACCCCGCGCAGCAGGTATCTAACCCGCAATGTGATTACAGGCCTCTTGTCAGTCGCGTCATATTCGTTCCTCGTCTCTGTCACCCAGCGCCAACAGGTCGCTCAAATTCAAGGCCATCCTGTATACGCCGTGACCAATGTCGCGATCATCCCCACGTCCTCCCAGGAAGACGCAACCCGCGCGATCACGCAGGCCCGAAAAGAGGTGTCTCAGGGAGATCCAAACCTTGATCCCGAGTCTGATGAAGAAGATGTACCAGATAATATTACAGACGGGGCACCAACAGAGATTGGCAGTGCGCCGACATCACCCAGCCGCGAGACCTTCCACGCGCGCGGCATCAGCGTCAGCAGTATAGCAGAGGACGTGATCGGGAAACGTCTCCGATTTGGACGATTCGCAGCGAATTGGCTCTCGCGCAAGAACCTGGGCTTGCCCAGGCCTGGCGCGCTGGAACCGGAAGTGCCTGAGTCGCCATTCGATGACACGCCTCGGATGTCGACTGATGGCTCGGAAGCTGGAGATGCAGCTACCACTGTGGCAGTTGTACCGCAGGAGTTTGGATCCCAGAGTGATATCAACCAGCCGGGGTCCGACCAAGCGGCTGAGCTGTTGCCAAAGTTGCTTCGATATACGAAACTGCTATTAGCGTCGCATAATTTCTTCTTTGCATATGATTATGATCTTACGCGGTCTTATAATGCACAGGGACCGTGGAGTGGACATTTGCCTCTTCACAAGACCGTTGATCCATTGGTATGTTTACTCCAGGGTGGGTAAGTGGCAGGTTGCTAATATGGGATGTTCTATAGTATTTCTGGAACAAACATCTCATGTCAGCATTTATAGATAGCGATGCTCATGGCTTCGTCTTACCCTTGTTGCAAGGCTTTGTTGGCCAGCGAGAATTTACAGTCGCTGTTCCTGAGAAGAAAGAATCGGACGGAAGTCCTAAAGAAGAACTTGCCGAAGCTCGCATCGTTGGCGAGAGCCAAGACGCAGAGGCTATTGAGACAGAATCTCCGAAGCAGAACTTCCTTTTGACTTTGATTTCGAGGCGATCTGTCAAGCGACCTGGCGTTCGTTACCTTCGGCGTGGCGTGGATGACGAGGGCAATACTGCCAACACCGTGGAAACGGAGCAGATTCTCTCGGTGCCTGACTGGGACCCATCGCATAATGCTTATTCGTATCTGCAGGTGCGAGGGTCAATTCCGCTCTACTTTTCGCAGTCACCGTACGCGTTCAAGCCAATTCCGGTATTGCACCATTCTGCAGAGACCAACCAGCTCGCTTTTGAAAGACACTTCCGAGAACTTAGCCGGAGGTACGGCAAGATCCAGGCAGTGTCCTTGATTGACAAGCATGCCGGGGAATTGAAAGTGGGCGAGCAATATGAGAGGTACGCCGATGTTTTCAACAAAGCTGGTGGCATCGATGGTCAGCCGCTGCGTCTAGAATGGTTCGATTTCCACAATGAGTGCCGCGGTATGAAGTTCGAGAATGTCAGCCGGTTGGTCGACCGTCTGAAGGAAACACTTGACCAGTTTGGTTATACTACCGTCAAGGATGGCACTTCCTCGCACAAGCAAGTTGGTATTGTGCGGACCAATTGCATGGATTGTCTCGACCGCACTGGTGTTGCACAGTGTGCATTCGGTCAATGGGCACTCGAGCGCCAGCTTCAGAATGAAGGAATCTATATCGACCTAAGCAAAGACTCCTCAACGCAATGGTTCAATACGCTATGGGCAGACAATGGAGATGCGATCTCAAAGCAGTATTCGTCGACTGCAGCCCTGAAAGGCGACTACACCCGCACTCGCAAGCGTGATTACCGAGGAGCCCTCAACGACCTGGGACTGACACTTTCTCGATACTACAACAACATTGTCAACGACTACTTCTCTCAAGCTTGCATTGATTATCTTTTGGGCAACGTGTCAACACATGTCTTCGATGAATTCGCCATGAAGTTACAAACCTCCGACCCGGGCATCTCAGTTCAGAAAATTCGACAAAACGCCATCGACACCAGCTGCAAGATCGTAATCAGCAGTCCCGACGAAGAATTCCTCGGCGGCTGGACCATGCTGACACCCCGGCAACCCAACACCCTTCGCACACTTCCGTTCGAAGAATCCGTTCTCCTCTTGACAGACGCAGCAGTATACAGCTGCCGCTTCGACTGGGAAACCGACAAAGTACTCTCCTTCGAACGCATCGATCACCGCTCGATCTCCCGCATCCACTACGGAACATACATCACCTCCATCCTGACAGACACCCAAGCCAACGAGCGTAGCAACGTCGGCCTAGTTATCGCATACCGGGACGGCGATGAAAACGCCCTACGCGTCAACACGCGCTCCTTGCAGACAAGCGTGCGTCCCGCTGCTCTCGAAGCAACCAGTAACAATGGCGAGTGGGACCTGGTGTCTTGGCTGCGTGGCACGAAACGTGCAACAACCCGCTTCGTTGCCTTTAAATCAATGCCTCTGTCAACCCCAGGGGCTAGCCCTCGTCTTGGGCCTACTGGAATTGCCACCGTTAGAGAGCTTGATCAGGTGCGGTCTATCTGTCAGGATATTGAGCGTGCTATGCTGGCGGGTGCGGGGCAAAATGTTGATTCGGTGTCGGTGGTTGAGCAGTCGGATATTATATCCTTGGCTGATGCTAAGAAGCGTACTGGGATCTTGGAGTATCTCGTCTACGATATCAAGAAGATGGTCTGGGCTTGAGTCGGCTCGGTGAGCTTGGGTTTGTTCGGCTTGGACTTAATCTACAAACACGCATTTCATATCATCTTTTGGAAGAAGCTTGGAAGGAGATGGAGGGAAATGCCCTGATCGATATCTAGGGGACCGGCGGAAGTCTGCATTAATTTCACGTCTTCCACTGGGGAGAGTTTCAAACCATGGATAATATACAACCTTGGAAGTTTATGTTTTACAATCGTCCCAACCCGTATCTTAAGTGAGCAGTGACACTTTTCAACTGATATTTCTGTTTGTCTACTCACTTTCTTCGAGTCACTTTGTTCTTAACCTCTTAGCAGAGTCTCCTACCGAGATGAGGTGTATTCATATAGGTAGTTCGAAATATCGTTTTTTATTCCATTGTAAGGCCATCCCATCCATCACCGCTCTTCGTCAGTGATAACAAGATCCACCCGCTCAGGACATGATGATCTAATATGCCATACCTCAGGCGCTGATATATATATCGTATCATCTCGCCATAGTACACCCGAGTATTCAGCCAGAGTAGTCAAAACCTTTCCTCGGAAACATTCGAATATTATCTTATGGACTGTTTTGGCTGGATGAGTTGGAGGCGGCATTGAAGCCTACCTACCGCCTTTCTCTTTGGAGATCATTTTTCTGCCCGCACTACGCCTCGATTCCGTCAGTTGGACACTCCTTTTTTTGCCCTTTGATTTTTTTTTGGGGATCTCTTGGTCACTTCAAGTGAAAATCCCAAATTTTCCTATCCCTGCTCCTGTTCGGACCGATCAGGACTTGTTGCTGTTTCGCCTCAGAATCTGGGGGACCAGCGAAGGGGCCCGTTCCCACATTCTTGGCGGGGATCCTTGTACCGCACGCACTTTTGCGCCTCACACCGCAGTCGACTTTTGACACTGCTTCAACATGGATTGGCAACCTCAGGATGAGCCATTGAGGCAGCTGGCATGCTGCCTCAGAGACTCCCTCAATGGCCAGGACCCGGCCATGCGGAAGCAAGCCGAAGAGGTATCTTGATTTTTTCCCTTACCGCATTTTACCCCCTCTTCTGAACATCTTGAACTTCATGACTGACTAAATGCCTCGCCATGACAGATGCTGGCTCAGGCCACATCCTCTCCGGACTATGTCAACTACATCACCTACCTTTTCTCCACCGCACAGGTCCCTCCCGCCGTCGGCATGGACGCAAACATCTACAACTTTGTGCGATTTGCTGCCGCCATGAACATTAAGACCAAGATCGCTTGGGGCTACCACACCCTCCCCCAGCAGAGCTTGGTCTTCATTCGATCTGCTGCTCTGGTTGCGCTCCGCGATAATGATCGTCAGGTCCAGAGAGGTGCCGGCAGTATCATCACGGAACTGGTGCAGCGGGGTGGTCTGCTGGCCTGGCCCGAGATCCTGCACGAGCTGCTGTCTCTCGTTGGAAACTCCCCGGGCGATGTGTCGGTCCCTGCCCAGGAAGCGGCAATGGCAGCCCTGTTTAAGGTCTGCGAGGACAACCGCAAGATCCTGGACCGAGACTACCAGGGCCAACGCCCGCTCGACGTGATTATCCCCAAGCTGCTGGAATTCACCACTCGCGATAGTCCTCGAGTGCGCTCGCTCGCCCTGAACAGCCTTCACATCTTCCTCCCGCACCAGCCCCAGGCCTTAATGGCCTCGCTCGACTTGTTCCTATCCCAGCTTTTCAACCTGTCGTCTGACAACGACACCGAGGTTCGGAAGATGGTGTGCCAGTCTTTCTCTCAGCTTGTTGAGTTTGCGCCAGAGAAGCTCATCCCCCACTTGGATGGCCTCGTCAGCTACATCCTCATGCAACAGCAAAACCAGGAGGACCCGGAGCTTGCTCTCGATGCGGCGGAGTTTTGGATTGTCGCCGGTGAGCAGGATCGCTTGCAGGAGCCTTTGGCACCATTCATGTCGAAGGTCATCCCCGTTTTGCTCCAAAGCATGGTGTACGAAGAGGACGATGTCATTCGCCTGATGGCTGAGGAGGATGATGCAGAGGCCGAGGATCGCGCAGAGGATTTGAAGCCGCAATTTGCCAAGGCCCAGGGCGCTCGCGGTGAAAAAAAACTGGGCGATCAGGCAAATGGCGCTCAGCAGCAGCAGCAGCAGCCCCAGGAGGAAGACGAAGACGATCTCAGCGAGGGTGAAATTGAGGACTCGGAGTTTGGTGACCCCGAGGATGAATGGACCTTGCGGAAGTGCTCCGCCGCCGCTCTGGATGTTTTCTCGAATGTCTACCACAACCCTATCTTTGAGGTTATTCTCCCGTACTTGAAGGAGACCCTGCGCCACGAGCAGTGGCCAAACCGCGAAGCTGCGGTTCTTACTCTCGGTGCTGTTGCAGATGGCTGCATGGATGCTGTGACACCCCACCTGCCGGAGCTGGTGCCATATCTGATCTCTCTGCTGAATGACGCTCAACCCGTTGTTCGGCAAATTACCTGCTGGTGCTTAGGACGCTACTCCGAGTGGGCTTCTCACCTTCACGATCCCTCGCAGAAGGCCCAGTTCTTTGAGCCGATGATGGAAGGTATCCTCCATCGGATGCTTGACAACAATAAGAAGGTGCAGGAGGCCGCTGCGTCTGCATTCGCCAGCCTGGAGGAGAAGTCGGATGGCAATCTGGTGCCCTACTGTGAGCCCATTCTTCGCCAATTCGTTCAGTGCTTCGGCAAGTACAAGGATCGCAACATGTACATCCTTTATGACTGCATCCAGACGCTTGCTGAGTGCGTCATGGACGAGCTGGCCAAGCCCCAGTTGGTCGACATCCTTATGCCCGCCCTCATCGGCCGATACAACATGGTCGTCGATGACTCACGAGAACTTTTCCCGCTGCTCGAGTGTCTTGGCTACGTCGCTGCTGCCTACGGAGATGCCTTTGCACCATTTGCGCCCAACCTTTTCCAGCGCTGCACTGGCATCATCTACAAGAACCTGGAGACATCCATCGCTGCGACGAACAACGAGACTCTTGATGAGCCGGACAAAGATTTCCTGGTCACCAGCCTGGATCTTCTCAGTGCTATCATCCAGGCTATCGATCCGCAAAAGAGCGGCGAGCTGGTGGCCACCTCGACGCCGCGCTTCTTCGATCTGCTTTGCTACTGTATGCGAGACGCTAATTACGAGGTCCGCCAGTCTTCGTATGCTCTTCTGGGTGACTGTGCCATCAGCATTTACCCTCACCTGGAACCGTTTATCCCCACCATTATGCCTACCCTGATTGAACAGCTTGACTTGGACCTCATCCGTGATGATGACCGCCACACTGGCTTCAGTGTGTTGAATAACGCCTGTTGGTCATGTGGTGAGATTGCCGTCAACGCGAACGCTCCTTTGTCTCCCTATGTCGAGAAGCTGTACCACGCACTGTTGGTTATCATCAACAACGAGGAGATCATTGACTCCGTCAATGAAAACGCTGCCATGGCCCTTGGACGGCTTGGCCTCTGTTGCCCTGATGCGATAGCACCGCGTCTGGGTGACTACGCGAGCTCTTTCTTGAAGTCGATGAGCAAGATCGACTTCACTCGCGAGAAGGCGTCCGCGTTCCTGGGCTTCAACCAGGTCATCATGAAGAACCCCCAGGCAATGGAAGCCAGCCTGGTGGACTACTTCCGGGCCATTGCCTCGTTCCCGAACAAGTCGCTGTCACAGGAGGAATTCCGGGATATCCAAAGCTCGTTCCAGCAGGTATGTTTTTCATCACCAAATCATTAATCCGTCGTACTTCCGACGTCTAACGAATTCGCACAGGTCCTACAAGGTTATAAAAACATGATACCCAACTTCGATTCTTTCCTCTCACAGCTGCCGCCTCCCATGGCCCAGAAGCTGCGTTCGGCCTACCAGGTTTGAACCTGGCAGCACTTCGCACTGACCCCTTTTCCCCGACATCGAGACTCGAGGGGAGGGGCAATGGCACCTTTCTACTCAGTCATTGCCTCCTCTCTTAAGCCTCTTGTCACCCTTTTTTTTGAATTCAGCGTCTTCATTGCCCTCTTCGCCACGTCATCGCTTTATCATTTACTCGACCAAGAAATAGGAGGAACGAACGGAAAGGGAGGAACCAAAAGGACATAGGATACAGGTCATAGCACTGCGAGAATTGGGCACTTGAGGAGTTGTTTTTGCGATTTCTTTTCTGCCTTGTTCTGCATATCTTACCATTGCGCGAGAGGGCGGGGAGATGAGGAACTTCATAGGGATTAGGAAAGGTGTGAAATGACTGTTTATCTATGTTATATCTCACGATTGCAATGGGCATGGCTATCTGATGACCTCGCTTTCTCTTTTCTTTTATGCATGTCGATGTCTATCAGGGGCCGGTTCCTATTTTGGTAGTTCGTGATTCAGCGTTGGCTTTTTCAACTTCATTCCTACATAGATAGATTAGATAGATACACCCCAATAACTTAGGTAGCATTTTCCCACGTTCTATTCGTCTATACCAGGTAATCTCGCGGTCGGACGTGCGCAGGTCCAGCGGAACTTTCACCCTTTGTAGCATAGCACCAAACCGGTCGTCGACACTACGACATCGGCTAACGGAGAGGCAACGAGCTTGACGTTGTTGACTCGTCCATACACACAAAACCCGCAGACCCCGACGTAACTACCTCCCTAATCGAGTAAAACGCGTCTACCAAATTCAGGTACCCAACAGAGGGACAGTGACTCGCAATTCAAGGCAATCCCCGCCCATTTCGCTTATTTGACGCCCGGGAGCCTGAGCTTAACTCCAACGCCAGGCGATTGGCCCTGCGAGTCTGGGCATACCAAGACGCGAGCCTTTCCCGATTGCGTTTCTTTTCACGAAAACATCCACCGTTCGGCTTTTGAAATTCTCCCTTTGGTCTCGGTGCCAAGCCACCTGTCAGTCTTTTCCTGATCTGGTATGCCGACGTTTTGAGGCTATCGTGGACTTCCCCGGTGCTCTATGTCTAGTATGTTGGTATACTACACTCCAAACGGTGGCACTCCACGACCTGAGTCGTTCTTATCTGGGCCTAGCCGTCCCCGGATACCAGGGGTAAAGTCTTAGGTGCAATTTTAGTCTCCGCCTCAGCTGTAGTTATATAGTTGGACGCCCGTGTACCAGTACCCCTTACTGATAATTTACCTCGGTTTCAACACCTCGCTTACTGGTTCAGGCAGGGAGGGTGACGGGACAAGATAAGCGACTCTCCTATATATTCTCTATCACTTCCAAATCGGTCACCTCGGCACAGTATCCTAGAAACAATCCATGTACTTCAATTTCCCATCCTCGTTCTTGATACAATACGCCAAGTTCACATAGTCATCATAGGGCCCGTCCCCGTCATCCAGCTGCACATGCAAGATGGGCTCATACATCGGACCCTCCTGTTCAAGGTAGATATCCGACGCCGAACCGGAGAAGTTCTCGGCGCTCCATTTGAATTTGCCTGCAGAGCCTCGCGTTAGTCCGTTTGAGAACCGGCAGCTTCATGCAGGTTCTTGCGTGGTGCATGGGATCAAGTCTTGCTTACCCTTCACCGTCCCGAGGATCGAGTCCAGGTCCAGCTCGGAATACGTGGCTTCTCCGGAAGGTCGCTGGCAGTAGGCGCAGAGGACGTGCCTGTCCCTGAGGTGGATGTTCATGGATGAATTGTGGAAGCCCATCGTGTTGATTTGTGTTCGATGCTGGGTTATTCTTTACAAGAGGTCTAGACACCCCGGGGTATGGTCGTGTTGGTCTTAACGGGAGGAGGATGGGAAAGTGCCCTGCTCGATGATATACAGGGGCCAGGGAGGTTATTCCCAATGACATCGGTATGGTGTCGCTGGCCACGTCCGGCATACAACGTGTGCAAGAGGCGGTGGCTCCAGGGCTACATCATGCTGGCCTAATCTGCTCCAAGGTCATGATGACCTCAGAGTGCGATGGCGTCGGGCACTGTACAGGCACCTGGTATAGACACAGGATTTCAGCCTTACGCTTCAGGACTGCCTTGTCCTTACCCTAGTATCAGCCATCGGCTTAGCGGGAGACGGACTGCAGGGGTGGCTTGCGGAAGAAGGTTGACGCTAACTGACTTTATTTGACTTCGCCGGTCGATCGCTACGGAGTACAGGTAATACTTTGGCCGTCCGAGCAGGTCAATATCGAGCCATCTCGACAAGCGAGGGAGTCGAATCTGCGACTCCTGACCTACTCGGACATAGTTTCTGGCTTATTTTGCTCGTCCGTTTTCAGTCTCGTTGAAAGTCCCGTCTAGTCGCCCGGTGGATCTCTCAAGATCGCCGCCATGACCGGAGGCAACGAGGCAGCGACGGACCCGACAAACCGGATAGTTCATTGGTGATCTCGATGGATCGACGGGCCAGTGTGGTGTATTGCGTGGACTAACGTAGGTGAGTCCAGCCTCGGGCGTCCAGGATGGCACCCTCTTGGCATTTTTTTGGCGTCCTTTTAAGTTGGTTAGCGTCTCCCGTGGTCCACGGGCCGTGCTTTTGCTCTATGCGTCCAGCTGGACACGTTATGATTCTTCCATTTGGATCTATCTAGACTTGGATTCCATGTGGTCTGATCATGCAATGTATCCGGGGTAAGGGCTCTGAAGGTATCCAGCCGATGCCCGTTGTCCATTCGCCCTCCATTCGCCCGCAGATAGAACCCAGTGGCCCCAGTGGCCCCAGTGGACCCCAACGGCCTCCGTCCATGGTGGTGTTTCAATAGTCGAGAGTGGAGCAGGCAAAGCTTCTCGCAGATCCGACAAATCTCCACAGGAGGCAATAATCATCGCGGACAAGCAATGAATATCGATGTATTCCGTAAGACAGAGCCGACTTGGCCCCCAAATCGACAAAAGCTTTTGCAACACGCGCTAACCTCATTTGGCGCCATGTTGCGAGAAGCGACGGCCGGTGTTTTGGGGCGAGACGATGATCCCAATCACTCCAGATCCCCTACCGAACAGGACCGAGAGTCCGTGGTTCGCGGGATTCTCCGAACCGCCCAGAAAAGGCAACGTACTCGAGTGACACCAGGGGGTGGGAAACGACCCTGGTGATCGTCCCCCCGTGCGATCGTGGAGCCACGTGTAGTGACGGGCTGGCTGCCTTGGTTTCCGATTCAGGCGGTTACGTAGGATACACCGACTTCTGACATGCGCTTCATCGCCAGAAAACGTGGTGACTGGGGTGAAACTGGCGGTCACTGCAGAAGACCAGGGAGTGAGACAGAAGCTGCAGATGATCCTGGTGCACTAGGCTTGGCTCGTCTGCGTCTCCCGAATCAACGTCCGGATCCAATGCCCCGGACCCTGTAGGAAAATTGCTGACGACTCTCCATCCCTGCATCCTGCATAGCCCCTATCCATTTTCCCCTTCGAGCTCTCCGACGTCAGCCTCGATACCCTCCCTGCAGTTCCAGCCCAGCGGTAACTTGGACAAGGGGAACCGATCTCCGGGACACCGGGGAGCCACGAGCCACGAGCCACGAGCCAAGAGCCACGAGCGAGAGCTCCGATCCATGAAGCAGGGAATGCAAGACGGAGAAGCGGTCATCCCGAGCGACCGATGTCTACGTACATTCTCGTACCCGCGCCTGCACCTGCCCCTGGACGGTCCCACCCAATCCCATCTAAAAAGTTCAGTCTCTGACGCCCGAAACTCTGCCGTTCTGCACACTCGGTTGTCTTGACCCGATCCAGCGCCCGTCCCGTCTGACTCAAATTTCCCACGGGTAGAAGCGGCGCCTGTCAGGCTCGACCCACGAGGGCGAATCTGGATTAGCGCAGTGATTGACTCCCCCTTTACTCGAATCGGTATACGGTGCTCATTCTTTCCCGACGTTTTGATCCACCGGTCCAGGGTTTGAAGATCGCGGAGCCTTGCCAGGCCCGTAGGAGATCGGTGGCATTCCCCGCGTCCAATCGTATTCTCACCAGGCTTTCTTTTTTGCTCTGTCGGCCCCTGCATCTTGGCGACGGGGAGCCCTCATGGATTGCAGGGATGAAAGAAAAAGAAAACAGAAAAAGAAAAACCAGGACGCCATGGGCAACTCAACACACTCAATAATCGTCCCCCTTTTCCTGCAACGATCCCCAAAGAAGGGCTCTCATTACCACTGATTCGTCACCGCTGCAGGAGGGACGCCAAGCCACCAATCCCGCTGGTGAAGTATCCAGACCCGGTCGACGCCGTCGGCTTGGCTGACCCAAGACTCCCCGAGTCCCCACGTCCCAGGAAGGGATGCTGTTGAAAATAGAATGCGATCTCTTTTGATCGAAGATCCTTGGGTCACCTCCCTTTCCCAGCTTTTCCAGAGAGACAAAAGCTCACATGCCGGGTGGAGCAACTCAAACCCTAACGAGGCGCTAACCCATCTCCGGTAGCTGGAAACGCCCCGTCAAATTAGACTACGCAGTGTCTGACCGCGTGGCCCGGGCCCTCCGTTCGGCGCCATGTGGTCCCGGTGTGGCCTGAAATGACCCTCCAGCTGAATGGTGCTAGTTTAGTCCCTTTCTGCAGAGGCTCAAAATCCCGATCATCACTGGGGAACGGGACCCTACCAACCCTACCAACCCTACTAATTATAATCGTAATCCGTAAGATTAATCATATCGCACCTGACCGTCGGATCTGCGATTTTAACGGCGGGAGATCCAAGCTCGACGCCATTCCCTTTTCCCTTATTACACTTTCCTCCCCCTAAAAGCCCGCATTTTCAAAATTCTTACTTCGTTTTGGCTCTGAGACTTAACTCTACGCTTCGTATTTCCCACGTGCGAAGCATTTCTTGGGGTTGTTTTTGCACCCTGGGTGATCGTTTCCTTCAACTTCGTCCTCGACGTTCATCGCTTTGTCTATTTTTTGCTTCACTCTTTTCCTCCCCCACTTTGTCAACCTCACAACTACCGGGCAGAACCTGCCCGACTCTACTTGACATCTTGCCTGAACACTTCCTGTCGTGATCCCCTCTATAACAGACAGGATGGCCGGTCCAGGTGGTGGCCCTCCGCGGAAGAGCCATACCAAGTCTAGAAACGGCTGCAAGACCTGCAAGAGGAGACACATTCGATGCGACGAAACATTTCCGCAATGGTACGCCTAGGATCTCCTGACACCCGAGTTACATCTAACCTAGATCGTCTAGTCGCAATTGCACCAAGCACAACTGCCGCTGCGATTACCAAGATATGGCCTCGGCGCAGGGCAGTCCCCCTACCTCACGGCGGGGCCCAGACCTGCTCATGTCCCCGGAAATTGAGATGGAGATTGAAAACTGGCACCGAACCGGCGTCCCTCCGTACCCCGAGCTCATGCAGTGCCCGCAATCCGGCTGGTCAAATCTATCCCGTTCAGATTTGCGCTTGATTCACCATATAATCGGCCTCTCCATCGACTTACATCGCCGAGGGTTGAGTAGCTGTACCGTGTGGGCGCAGAAGATGCCTAAGTGAGTACACAAGAGTTCAAGCACGACGTTTCTGGCTAACGGTGTGTTTTATCAGTTTTCTCGCTATTGCACTTTCAAACGACTTCGTGATGAGCTCCATCCTGGCCTTGTCATCATTCCACTTGGTCTTTCTCACGCGAGATCAGGAGACGAAACAGTTAGCATATCACCACAAAGTTACCGCTCTTCGGGGTCTTCAAACGGCAATCGGCTCGTTCTCAAAAGACAACTGCGAGGCTATTTTGGCGGCATCTATCCTGCTGTCCTGGCAGGCGACTGAACGGTGAGTTTTGTCGTCAGCAAAATTGGAAGTCCAACCCACTAATACCGTACAGTCAAAGCTGGGCATCTTTGCAACAGGGCATCTCAAGCGTTCTTGAGTCGATGCACCCTTATTGGAAGCAAGAGTCTGAGCTGGCTCAGCTTGTCGAGAACCACCGGGCTTTGAGTGCTGCGGACTATTCATTGACTAACGAGGATTATGCTCAACTGGATCGGACAGTCCGCGCTCTGCAGGCCGTGCAAAAAGGAGTCTCTCATAATTCAGAGCACTCCCAGCGCCTAGGAGAGTTGATTGAATTCGTCCAACAGTTCCGCCAAGACTTCCCCAACCAAACGTCCGAGCAATCCTTTGAGCGCATTCAGGTCTTGCGCCGCTGGCTCTTCTGGCTGCCAGCCTCGATGCTCCGGGGTAGTGACTCTGATCTCAGTGCCCTTGCCATCCTATCTCAGTTCTTTGCCGTCGGCGTCGCTCTCGACCGTTTCTATCCCGAAATGGGCGGCGCATACTTGGGCGCCCTGTCCATCGGACCCATTGAGGAGATGTATCGCATCCTCGCCGCAAACAACGCCGCTGACCCGTTCAACCACGAGGTACGTCAGGCGATGACCTTGATGGACTTGCCGCGCCACATCGTTGCACGATATCGCAGCCGCCTAGCCTGGTCTCCCCGCTCCTCCATCGATCACTACTCCCCCGGCCCGCCGAGTCCGTACCACGCTCTGCCCGAGTATCCTCTTGCATCTTCCTCTTCGCCCGCGTCCGCCTCTCCCTCATACGCCGCCTACACTCCTCCTCTTCAGTCTCCTCCCGCTGTCACTGTTGCCGGCTCTCCCTTCCCTCTCGACAGCTACATTACTGCCGCGCCTTCACACACTCTCCACCCTCCATCACCGCATCTTCTTGATACCCATGTCCCACAGCTGGGCCTTTCCAATATGAGGCACGCCGAGTCCATTACACACTCCTCGGCCTTCACAACTCCCTATGGTAGCGAATTTCCTTGTGCCGACATGCCTCGTGCAGGCAGCACTCTAGGACTTAATATGGATGTCTATTCACAAACACACCCGTTTGAAATGCCAGGAATGGCAGCATCCGAAACATGCTGGACCTGAAAGACCAGCAAGAAAACAACCAAAAAAATAATAATAATCTCTGCACTGTTTTAACTTGGAGTATGATTTTGGAATTTGGGACTTGGGAATCTCTTCTTCTCTCATCCTAACTACTCGACTCTATCCTTCTACTGATATTTTTGTGATTCAAGCATGAGCGTTGGGTGGCTGTTCGGTTCCGAAGGAAATGACTCTTCAGTGATATATACCCGGTTTTTATCAAAACCCTTTGTTGGCATGATTGGAAGCATCTGTGTGCTATTTTTTTTCTATCGAGATCTTGAAAATTTCACTCTGAAGAGGAAATAGAATCTTTTGTCGAACTATGAAAATCTCGTTTGATTGTATTTTCCCTGAAACACTTCAGCCCTAAAGACTAATTCAGCCCCGAACCAACCCAAGACCGCCAGGAACGCAAGTCAACCCCGCCAAACGGCCGAACATACTAAGATTAGAGCGGGGACAAAATAAACTACAGCCCAACAGCTCCACTCTCCGTATTGGCAGCCCTTGGAACAGCTCGTATTCGGCTATACCCATTCCCGCGCAGATCAAACTATGTATCCTAGCGTACTGTCTTTCTGACATACCCAGATGTAGGGCACTCTGGCATGTGCCGGGCCAGTGTGCTGTAGAGTTCATCCCACGTCCGCTTCCCTGCCATACTACTAAACCCTCGTTGATATGATGTCGCTTTTCCAGACCCAGCAGAGGTTTTGTTCTAGAACACGGGTCTCCTGTCCATCTTCTTAAGAGGTAACTCACAGCTTTTGATCCATAGCCCTCTTTATAACACACTTTACCTCCATTGAAAGTGGCTGTAAAACTGCTAAAAGGCTTCCCACTCTTTAGATGTATAGATATACTCGCACGTGATTCGATATTACCACGTGACCTATGACATAAGGCCCACATGTCGATATCAACAGAGTCGGCAAGCTTCACAACCGTTCAGAGCTGGTCACTATTGGTCTCCCAAGGATTTCTTTTCATTTGGACCGCATTATTTAGCTTCCGAACCCACAATATGGCTGATGCAGGTGGCTGGACCACCATCGAGTCCGATGAGGTACTTTTGATCCCACCGCAGTGTGAGCGATCAGCAGCTCACAATTAACAGGGCCTATTCACCTCTCTCATCGAGACGCTGGGCGTAAAAGACACCCAATTCGAAGAGCTGATCTCTCTTGATGCCGACACAATACGCTCGCTAGGGTAAGCCCTCCACCCCAGACCACTTCCACCAACCTGACCAACACCAAACCAACAGCTCCGTCTACGGCGTAATCTTCCTCTTCAAATGGACCCGTGAAGCAGCAGGCGCCCGCGCCGAAGCGCCCCTCGACGGCACATACGACCCAAGCGCAACAGACAACGGCGTCTTCTTCGCCGCCCAGACAATCCAAAACGCCTGCGGCACGCAAGCAATCCTCTCCGTGATCCTGAACCACGACAACCCACCCGCGCCCCTCCCTCCCATCGACCTAGGCCCCGAGCTCCGCTCCTTCAAAGACTTCACGGCAGGCTTCCCACCCGAGCTTCGCGGCGAAGCCCTCTCCAACTCCGAAGCAATCCGCACAGCCCACAACACTTTCGCGCGCGCAAGCCCCTTCGCCGACGAAACGGCCCGTCCCCAGGACGAGGAGAATGGCGCGGACGTATACCACTTCATTGCGTACACGCCCGTGAACGGGGTTCTGTATGAGCTGGATGGGTTGCAGCCGCATCCCATTAGCCATGGGCCTTGTGATACGGCATCGTTCCCGGAGAAGGTTATTGAGGTGTTGCAGCGCCGTATTGCGCGCTACCCACCCGAGGAAACACACTTCAATCTTATGGCTGTTGTGCAGGATCCGAGGAGAAGGGCCAGGGAGATTGGTGATGTGGAGACGCTTGAGCGGGAGGAGAGGAAGAGGGCGGCGTGGCAGTGGGAGAATACTTTGCGGCGGTGGAACTTTGTTGGGTTTATTGGGGAGATGATGAAGGGTGTTGTGGGGATGAAGGAGGGTCAGGATGCGTCTGGAAACGCGTATGCGGATTGGGTTGAGGCGGCAAAGAAGGAGACGAGGAAGAAGTTGGAGATGCGGAGGTAGTAATTTGGGCCGGACATTATTCTGAGGGATTTTCCCCTTTATGATATGCTGCTCTCAAGGGCATTGATGACTACATCTACGAATCTCAGATACCCTGGTAATAGATGCGGGAACAGTTCGATACGATTAGCTATGTACTGGCATCCAACATCGTAATTCATCATATGTCCATGCTGCGTCATACATCGGATCAATAATCAACAATCCGCGCCCGGATATGTTCAACCATCGGCGCCGGCAGCTCCTCTGGGTTGACCAGGTTCAGCGACAGAAGATCGGACCAGAAGAACAAAGCTCGGTCCTGCGCGTAGGCAAGGTAGTCGAAGCCGTCCTCCTCGTCGACATCAGCGTCCACTGCAGGTTTCTTGGCCTCCCCGTTACCATTCTCGATATGACCATTCTTGGGGTTGGAAGCAGCAATCATCTCGGCAATTCCCTCTTCCATGCCTGGTGCCTTCGCCTGCACGATACCCCAGGCGACCCATTGCGCCGAGTTCATCACTCGCCACAACCGGGTTTGGCGCATGAGATCACGCACTCTAACCTCCAGTTCCTCTTCAAAGGACTGCGCTTGCTGCGAGATGGGCCCGTCGGGAGTTCCATCAAGATCCAGAGGCGTGATGGCGGTTGCGTGGCGGCCGTGGATGGCCGGCGAAGCGGATCCGCCAGCGGCAATTGGGCGATGGGTGAGATAGGTCAACACAAAACGGCGCTGTTCCTCGGGGGTAGGATAAAGGCGGTTGTTGCACGCCCATGGGAATTCCTCGTCATGGTAGTTGTAACACCATTCAGTCTGTAGAAGTTAGGAAAGATTGTCCAGGGTAAATGACTTCAAGACTTACAAAGTGATTAGCAAATTCGTGCCCAGGGGTATTCGCGGAAGAATACTCAAAGTCAATAACGACGAGCTGCTTGTGCTCGTTTGCAGGGAGAAGAAGAGGTGACTCCGTGGCAGGTTCCATCCGAAGGAGATTGCCATATTGAGTCTAAGAAAGTCAGTATCGAGGCGTGCCAGAACGTTGAAGAGACACATACATCGTTGTGGGCAAACACGAGCTGTCGCTTAATGTCATCGATACCACCGCAGCTAGCAATCAGCCAGCGCCGATAGCTCTCCACGGCTTTACGGAACAGCGGCCATGGCACACCACAAACAAAGCCGCGTCGGCGCCACGGTTCAGTAGCTGCCTTGATCTCATTTTGCGGGGATTCTAATTCTTTATCAAGCCAGGTAGTGACCTGCTCGCAACGGTCTACCCACTTATCCCAGTTATTGAAGATCATCGGACCACCTTCTCGCTCCTCTTCGAGAAGCTCAACGCCATCATGAAGCTCCCTCATCCTCTTGGCAATCTGCTTTGCGGTCTCGGGGAGACGAAGTTCCTTCGGTGTCAACGGACGGGCGTCAAAGTATTCCTCAAAGCGGCCATTCAAGAAAGTTCCCAGCACGCGAGGACCAATGTTTTTACGACCAAGACGACGTAAAATCTGCAATTCTTTCTCGCGATCGATCAGGTGTTCCACCTGAGGGCCATAGATGCGCAGCAAAAGCTTCCTGTTATACAGATCAGTTGTATATTCTTGGGGGCCTTGAGTAATCAGAAACTTACGGCGGAGGCTTCCTTGAGACTGGCGGGCCAGCTCTGTTCTCACTCTTTGGAGCAGGGAGGTTCTTCGGCGGCCGCACAACATACACGGCGTTGGTCAAGGCACCGCTAAGCCGAACAACTTCGATGTCATCGGCATGCTCCATCGGCACCTTGCGCCAGCCCCTGAGTTGCAGCGTGTGCGCAAGGCGCACAATCTCAGTCTTGAAGACGGTCCAGGCCTCGCGATCTTTGCCACGCTTCGAGGAAGCGCTGCTATCATCAGTCTCATTATCCGCGGCCTCGCCTGACGTGTAGGCAAGAGTCTTCGAATTATCGAGCCAAGCTTCCACGCTCGGCACAGGCGCTTCAACGTCCGTATAATCAGATTCCGAAGCTGATCCCCGTCGCAAACCCTTGCGGCGGCGAGACACCCGCTTTAAGGAATGGAGGGCACCAAGTGCATTTGTATTTCCGGGGCCACCATACTGAAGGAGGATCTTCTCCAGTTTATCGAGAGAGAACGTGCTTTCCGAGCTGTGGTGGGGCTCTTCCGACTGTTGATCCTCGCCCGTAGCGCTGGCCGGGTCCTCCGTAGTAGCCGAGACAGCCTCAGCTCGTCGTGCCTTGCGAGCCTGGCGCCTGGTCTTCTCGTGCTGCAGCCAGTCGTACACTTGGTGTAATAGGCCCAAATGAGGATCTTCCTCCGTTTTGGAAGATTGCTCGGTGTCATCGATCGTCGAAGAGTCAGGCTTGACGCTCGACTGACTGCTTATCGCGGAAGGCATGGAGGTAGGAATGACAGGGGGGCGTGCGGTGACTTTGGCCACCGGTGCGCGGTACTGCTTCAGGGAGGATGCGTCAGGTGGAGAGGCCAGGACGGTCCCACTTGTTGCGTGTAAGGCCTTGCGCAACGAGGGGATATCCAGGCCAGTTCCCGAAATAGGCGGCGAATCTACCGGGAATCAGTAAGTCTAGGTCCGAGCGAGAGAGGTGCGCTTGGAGGAAGACGCCGACGTCACAGTCGGGCCGACTTCCGAATTGGCAGCGGAGGGTACAAGCAAGGGGGCGATTGATAAGAGCGGAATGTCGCGAGGGCAGTAGGTTCTTAAATATACAAGGCAAATTGACGGCGCAGGGAGAGGGACAAGATCCTACCTGCTACTCCGTGTTCAGGGCCACCATTGTCGTCAGTGAAGGAGGGCATGTGCTCTAAGCGTGATCGCCCGCAGACGCCACAGAGTCGGTAGAGCGCGCTTTAAAAGGGGCACGAAACCAGGTACAAAATCGTAAAGCGAGCAGGCCGGCAGCTCTGACGCAGTCGCAAGGGTCTGAGAAACCGAGGAAGCAAACGTGGAGGCGGGGAGGGTATTTTTTGGGCCCCAGAAAGTGGGCAAGCGAACGGAAACGGTCCAGCGGTCAGGCTCACGGTCCTTGGTTCGCAACCAAAATCAGCCAGATAATTGGGACTGCAGCCACAGTGATTTGCATATATGAACAACAAACGTATTCTGGACAATTTGTTGCAATGGAGGAGCACACGAGCAAAAAAAAAAAAAAGTGGCAAAAATTCGCGCTTATCGGACTCAGGTGACCCGCGGCTTAGCGGATTTGGCAGTCAGGTAGGTATTCACGGTCCCCGCACCGTAGTTGCTGTCTACTATCACAGTAGCCGGAAGGGGTTCAATGGATCCGAGTGGCTCGGGGGTACCGTATGTACAGTCCGAGATATGAGTCCCAGGGGCCGCAATTGGGTAACCAGTCGCAGAGGGTGATAAAAGGCCGCCACGTAGAGCATCGCCCCAGGCTGAGGGAGGGAGGGAGACGATCCTTCACATGGCTTTTCGTGTTTCAAATGCCGCATATGGGTGATCACGCTGCCCGTAATGGCGCCATGGGAGGGCGATTTCGCGGGTTCCGCGAGTCTATTGGGAGATAGCGGGCCTGCCCAGGGCGGGCCTCCCCAGGGGGACCCGTCCTGGACCGGATGGAAATGTGGAGCCGAATCTAAACCCATGGGGGTGAAAGTCGACCAGACAGGACACCATTGCCGAAGCATTGAGATGGTGGAAGCCGCAGCTGTAGGAGAGGTGGATGAAGGAAAGATGTAACGGGGGGACAAACCTGCACGGGGCCTCAAAGTTACCGTACAAGGGTGGATGGTATCGCATAACGCACACCCGACCTCTCAGGGAGCACAGACGCGATCGACATATTGTATTCGTTGTTTCGGGTATCTCCATGCTAATGAACTACTTCACGGCTGGAAATGGCACCATCCTTTCTACAAACTCTATCCTTCCCTCCGCATCAAAGTGGTGAAGTGTATAGTGCAACCGGTTCCGCAGCTTCCCCTCTTCATCCACTGACGACGACACGTTGAAATCATAGGTGCGATTTTCAGGCGCTGGAATATGCCCCGGCTGGGCCAACAAATCGTACACATCAGAGGCCTGTTGGGGTATGGATGTGGGATTCTCTTCGAGCCCGATGATGGTGGCCACGATATGGCCGGCGGGGACACACATGAACAGGCCCTGGGCTGGCGGAGCTTCCCACAGATATTGTAGTGCCCGGCGGCGTAGCTGAGGAAATGGACACTTGAGCCCTGTAATAAAGAGTGGAATAAACACTCCCATCTCAAACATGAAAGGTGGTTGTTTGCCATCCGAGCTGCAAGTCCATGCAACCGCAGTAGGTGCCCAACTGATGATCTGGGAGAATTCGTGTTCGTAAGAGTCGTACACAGATTGGTCAACGTAAAGACAGGCTTCAGCTTCAATCAAGACGCTTGTATATGTCATCATAAGGAGTGCGGTGGCGCCGTCGACGCTGGTGTCCTGCACAGGCTGCAAGAGCGTAAAGAGATGGTGCCATTGATGGAGCCGACTTTTCAGGCGCTGTTTCCTCGCATCCAACTCTGGTACCTCGTGGAGACGACTATCGCCGGTCAACCGTAGATGGGCTTTGGAGTCAATATTGAGTGTCTTCAATTCAGCCACGATCCCACAGAGCACATTCCTTGCATCACAGATTGACACGAAGCACTTGTCTGGGATGTCCAAATCGAGTTCCCAGCATTCGTCCGACACTCCATTCGTTACAAAGACCCACGTCCCTATACGGCGAAAAATGGGTTCAAGGGCGGCGATGGTAGACGTTGGTGCTGATAAGGCACTGACCATCATCCGTGCTCCCTGGTTGTACAATAACTGGGCGGCCTTTCGGTTTCCCTGTAGGAGCTCGATGGCAATGAACAGAACGCAGCTGATTAAGGAGACCGTCAGGTCTGCCATCCCTTGATTGATCCGCTGCTGTAGGAGAGATAGGGAACGCGAGTACCAGACTAGTGCTTCACGGTGGTAGCAGTGTCGCACCGCCGCTGGCTCACTGATGAGCCGCTCAGGCGGGGTTTCGTGGAGAGGAGGCCGCTCGTAGAGCGCACTGAGAGAGATGATCGCATCCCAAATGACCGGTTCCAGCCGACAGACCTGCAGGACCGAACCTCTCCAGAATGAATGATCGAGGACACCCGAAAGCGACGGCCCCGCGTGGTGAAAGTAATACTCGAATGCGCGGCGCTCGCGCGATCCTTGGTTCGAGAACGGCGCAAGTTGGAGCTGCGGCCGCTCAGTGGCCCTTGAAGTAGACACAGTGCTATAACGACATCTTCGGCCAGTGCTGGCGCATCTCAAGCAATGTGGCTTCTCCTCTCCACATCGAACACGCCGAATCCTGCATAGACGATGTCAGATACAGCAAGTCAGGGGGTTCATGGCATCCTGACTTGCAGGTGTCGCACCCAGTTTTGGACTTGGTGCCGCCGAGCCGACCAGGGCGCTTGATAGGGGTCATTATCAAGAACGAATCGCATTGACTCGATGTTCATAAACGGAGTAGGGAGCAAACTGGGGGCGAAATCTTACATAGGTCCGATAATCTCCTGATTGGCACATGGAGTACAGGGACCCACCGAGCTGGGAATAGCTATTCGGAAGCGTCCACGCACCCTCAAATTGAATATGCGGTGATTCTTCAACATCTATCGGACCAATTAATATGGGCTACACAGAGGATAATACATCGTCAATTGGGTTACTGTTGCCTCTAAAGCTAGCCACCACAATCAGGGAGGGGGCGCAATAAATGATTTGGCTAATGATAGATGACAAGAAATGTTCGGCCCTCCAAGATGCTCTAAACCCATGATGCAGTCTTTATAGCCGCATTTGCTCCCGACACTCTAAGCTCTCTAAGTTCGTACTGTGGTCTTTACAAGGTGTTGTGAAGCCCATTGGCCACTCCGAAGTAGCTATGTCAAGAGAAGTTACTGTTCAGGGCTCTTGATTGGTATTATGTATGTATTATGGTTCTTAAAGGCATTTTGCCAAATAGACAAAACTCTCACGTCGCTGCATAGTAATAGACCTAGTCTCCTTGTACGACCTGACTAATATTCTGGTTCCCTCTGAGTCGACGGTTCGGGAATGAAAGTTTCAGAGTGTAGAGAGGTAAATTTGATTTCGAATATTACTGTACTTGTTCATTTTATTCACTGTCTTCTTTTTTACTCCCAAAGACCCAAAGACCACCCTCACGTGCCCATTCCCAAGTGAAGCGACTTCCCGTAGTCGTTTAGCTTCATCTCTCACCCACTCCCCGCCATCACCCCTCCTGTTTCCTCTGTCAACGTCTTGTCGTGAAAGGTATCATAGCTGCACCTTTACCAATATTCCGCTCCGACGATCTTGCCACAATGAAGCCTGACGCCAAGCAAACCTGGAGCTAATTATGGTCATGTGGAGATGGCAACTGAAACATCGTCAGTCGGACCGCTCAGAATATAGTAGGGGGCTAGGGGATTTCCAGATAGATGCATCATCCCGCATATATAAGATGGACGCTCTCCTCCCGTGCTCAAAAGTTCTCACTCAACCATTAATTTCCAAGCCCAGTCCGCTATAACCGCAATGAAGTTCACCGCCGCCATCATAACCTCGCTTCTCGCTACAAGCGCAGTTGCTTTCGACAAGTGGCAGCGTATGTCTCCCATCCCTTGCTTTAGCATTTAAACTGACACCACGAATAGCATGGGGTAAGCGTGATTACTCCTGCGTGAACGTCTACCAGGGCGTTCCCGATTACTCGACCGTGACTGTTGGCCAGACGGTCCACCTGCGCTTCAACCGCAAGCCCACGTCCCACTGTGCCGATCCGCTGAACCAGTACCCCGGTGACAAGTACAGCGTGTGGCTGTACAACAATCCCGTCCGTGATGGGGACACCATCAACTTCGACAAGCGGATCCAGATCGCCAGTGGGATTGCCGAGTCAGCCGGTGTTGTCGATGTGAAAATCCCCAGTGATCTGCCCCATGTCAAGGATGACTCTGTCTGGTACTTGAGAATCGACACCTCTCTTACCACCGCTCCTCAGGTATGTCCTTGGTTTCATCAGCTCCATTGGGCATTGTTCATACTAACTGTTGCTGTTCTAGATGCCTACCATTTACAACGCTGCTGGGCCGTTTACTATTACTGCTTAGATGAATGACTGTGGGGTTGAGATTCCGACCGAGAAGCATTGAGAAGACCAAATTTAAATTCTTCTGCTCGTCTAAGCAATACGACCGTCACAGGTATCTTTGTTCTATATCGAGGCCGTATTCGCTTCAAACGCATGTAGTTCTTTACTGTTCTTTCAGCCTTCAAATCTCAGCATGACTCCTTCGGCATGCTCTTTTTAATGATGCCCAGAAAGAAAAGTAACGCAAATAGAAAGGGGTATAAATTATCGATTTCTCATCTAGCACCATCATTGGTTCCTACCCGGCTCTTTGCGAGAACGAGCTGAGTCAAACAAGCGTTCGTCTCACAATCAATGTCCAGTTCCTTGCCACGCCTGAGGATCCAGCCATTGATATACTCAATCTCAGTCTGCCGTCCCTTTCGCATGTCTTCACGCATGCTACTTGAGTTCTGCGCTGTCTTATCGATGGTATCAGAGACAACAGATTTAAGTGAAGGAACCGAAAAGAGATCGCGGTCGATCGGCAGGCTCTGAAGCTCGGGCAAGCTCTGAAAGACTGCAGATATCTCTTTGAGAAGACGTCCCTGCAGAGGCCAGAGGTCCTGATTATCTTTGATGCAACCGTTTCTCACATCAAGGATCGCCGTTAACGGATTAAGCACGCAGTTCGCTGCTAACTTGAATAATTGCGCCTGCAATAGATCCGCCCACTGCAAACGTTCACAATTGAGAGAAGGTGCCCGGAGAAGGATATCCATGAGAAAATCGGCCTGTGATTTTCTTGACTTCTGGTTGTCATTGCCAACGATGCCAAGAGAAGCAGCACCATTGGCTCCTGCCAGAATAGCCTCCGTTGGGGACCTCATGTAGACTCCGTGACGCATGATGCCCAACATGTAAGTTGGCCGAGTTGAAACATCGGGGAAAATGCGTTCATTTAGGTCATCAATTTGTCCCATGCCATTTTGAAATAAACATATTGTCGAATGCCGACCGAGTCGATGCTTGATGGGCTCAAGAGCGGACACCGTGGCAGATGCCTTCACGGCAACGATCAGATTATGAATTGGGTCTGAAGAGGCTGTCTTGCCTATTAATTCGCCATTGAATCCACCCTTCTCTTGCAGGGCCCCATCTTCTGTAAGTCGCAGTCCTATTTTCCAGCCTCGCGAAGCGAATTCCTGGTACAGAGCTGGCCGATGGGCGAGCAGGGTCACGGGCGGTGGGGTTGGCAGAGATCTCAAAGAATGGGCCACAAATGACCCAATACTGCCTAGCCCAATAATGTGAATTGAGTGGGTGGGACTAGGCATGATGAGGGGCAACTGGGAAGAGGGCTGGCTGGAGGGAATCCAGATCGTTTGATATGGAGTCAACGGGCGGGTAAGGTTGCCTCAAACCTCGGCATAAAATATGGTCCGGATTCGGCCAGTTGCACCAACCAGGGAGCGGTGGAGACTCGGATATACATATCCGCTTCATCTGTTTGTTGATGTCTGCCCATCTCTAGTTCAATATGATTATCTGCACCTCCCAATTGTGGACTGGCCATTTAGTTCTCGGCTGAATGGCTTGGTTCTTGTATTTCATATCAACAATCACAGCCTAAGTCGTAATTTGATCCAGGACGCGGTTTGTTCTGAGATCCATGGGCAGAAATTCTACGGGGACTGCGGGACATGCCAGGTGGCTCTCCGATAAGCATCGCGCTACAAATCGATGCTTTCCCCATCGAGAAAAGAGGCTCAAAGATAGTTTGTGGAATTGTGGCAGTGCACCTGGTATATCCGAGCAGCATCCACGACGCCCCATTTCGGAGGCAAAAGTGAGAAGTCCATGCCAGTGGCGCAATTTCAAGTTGTCTGAGCATACTGTAGATACGTAAGTGACTATAGTGGCTGATATCTCGGAGATCCTCATTGGTGCATAAGGCCCACGGGTGTCAACACGGCTCACACAGTACGGTAAAGGTTCCGGACGCACCGTGAAAGCTGAATGGAGCCGATCGAGGCGAGGGCGAGCACAAACAAACGATCCCCGGGATGTTGGGTGGCGGGGGGCGATTCAGCCCTGGGCTCGAGAGGGCCGAAATTTCCACGTCGGCCCAACAGCTCCAACGTACAGTACTATGTATTTCACTATGTAGGTGGCAGGATAGCTATAAAGGCTGACGAATGGATTCTCGGCACGTTCCGGTCGAGTCGCAGCCACTGAGCGAAACACGGCAGAGAGACGAGCATTGTGCAACTCGGCGGTGCGAAAACCTGCTTTGCCATCGGGTACCCACTGTGATTGGCTGGTTCAGCAGGCCGGTTGATATGAGAATTGCACAAGTTGATAACAAGGTCCGTACCTGTGACGCAGTGGTGCAAATCAAGGTGCCCGTAGACCATGTACTTTGTGTGGTAAGTTGTGTGGAACCAAACTTGATCGAAAGTGAAAAGTTGGGGTGAGAAAAAAAATCCCGATTTGGGAGGGTTCAAAGCGGGTGACTTCACATTGCGACTCTAGCCTGGGAATTTTTGCCCCTCCCCCATCATCTTGCCTCCCACTCCCCGTTCTGTTCTTCATTATCTGAATAGCGCCGACTTCACGGTGCAGCCGAAGTCCAAGACGGCACCTTCACACCAATTGCACCGGCCCTTGTCGTCGGTTCGACTGCCTCGTCCTCCCTAGTCCCCCGCGACAGCATGGCAGACGAACGCGATTTCGCCGAGCCCTCCGGGTCCGAGCAGGATCGCGGTCCCTCTGTGGACGGTGTATCTCCCCCGGGACTCCCTCACCACGCCTCAACCCCTTCCCTCCGTCCCACCCCCCGCGATACTTCTACGGGCATGTCAGCCTCATCCACACACCTGGGTCAGGTCAACGCCGCGCGGCGGGCTCCCAGCACCCCGGCCCGCCCACAGCCCTCGATGAGTGGGCAACCAGCTGGCGGGCTGAACCAGGACATCATGGCCAAAATGAAAGCGTTCTCTCTCTCTCGACAGGGTGGTGCCAAGTTGCCACATACCTCCTCGACCGGCACGATACCCACGTCCCAAGAGGCCGGTGCGGGAGGTGCGATGACCGGCCGCATGCCGTCCAATGCCAGAGATTGGGCTTCCTCACCCTCAATCTCAAAGGTGGCCAGCCCCGGGTCAGCGTCTCCGCGACCGGGGGGTTTGGCTGCCAAGCGGATGAAACCCGGCCTCAAGCTATCGGATGTCACCGGAGGGACCCCACCCCCAACATCGAACGGTGCGGAGGAGAAGCCCGAAGAGCAGAACGGTGGAGAATCAGCATTCAGCAAATACGCAGAGTTTATCGACACGAAAGCGGGAACCTTGAATTTCAAGAACAAAGCTGTCCTACACGGCGGTGGCGTCGAGTTCTCGTCGGGTCACAGTTTCAAGATCTCTCTGGACGAAGTCGACCGCTTAGATGAGCTGGGTAAGGGAAACTATGGCACCGTTTACAAGGTGCGGCACAGTCGCCCACACCTACGAAAGCCTGGCATGGGTTTAAGGGGAATAGTCAGTCGGCCATCCAGCGACGACACCAGCCCAGAATCTGGAACCGGCGATCTGTCCGGTGTGATCATGGCAATGAAAGAAATTCGTTTAGAGCTGGATGAGGCTAAGTTTGCACAAATTATCATGGAGTTGGACATCTTGCATCGTTGCGTCTCTCCCTTCATCATTGATTTCTACGGCGCTTTCTTCCAAGAAGGCGCAGTCTACATGTGTGTCGAATTCATGGACGGTGGCTCCATCGACAAAATCTACGAAGGTGGTGTGCCCGAGAATATTCTGCGCAAAGTGACCCTCTCCACGATCATGGGGTTGAAGGCGCTCAAGGAGGAACATAATATCATTCATCGCGATGTCAAGCCGACAAACATCTTGGTCAACAGCAAGGGCCAAATCAAGATCTGCGACTTCGGAGTCAGTGGAAACTTGGTTGCCAGTATCGCCAAGACCAACATCGGATGCCAGAGCTATATGGCACCGGAGCGAATTGCTGGTGGCGGTATGCAACAGTCGGGAGCACCTAGTGCTGGAACCTATAGTGTGCAGAGCGATATTTGGAGTCTGGGTTTGTCGATTATCGAATGCTCCATGGGACGCTATCCCTATCCGCCGGAGACATTCAACAATATTTTCAGCCAGCTACATGTGAGTATCACCGAATTTTCAACCACGAAACCGCGTTCTGACATTTCACAAAGGCAATTGTTGACGGCGACCCTCCCACTCTTCCGGAAACTGGCTATTCAGAGGACGCGCACGCATTTGTTCGGGATTGTCTAGACAAGATCCCCAAGAACCGACCGACTTACAACATGTTACTCCGACACCCGTGGCTCGCACCTCTCATGCGACCCCCAACCGAAGCCGAAGATGAGGTCGCAACCCAAACATCTGAAAACTCGGCGCCTGCAGACCACCCAACATCGTATATGACCGAAGACAAGGAAGTCGCCGAATGGGTTCACAAGCAACTCAAGCTCCGCGACAGCGGCCATTTGAAGATGTCGGAAAAGCCCGCTCTTCACGCCGTGGCCCTGGACAAAGTCAACTCGAGCCCTAATAACGATGACCCCAACACTCCGGCACAGGCAGACTGAGTTGCTGGTTTCTTTTCTCTTCTACATTCTGCGTTTTCCCCGTCCCAGTCATCACGATTTGATTCATGCGAGGTACTATGAACGGCGCAGGCGCCGCCTTTAGCCAGTAAAGATGGATTGTCGCCAGCGTGCTATCTCTGATCCGATGTGCGACGCCCAATGGTGATACACGCTTTCAGTAGCGATGTACGAGCATGTAACCATGGTCTATCTCGCGACCGCGTTGGACTGAGAATATGGAAGAATGGTTGTCCGGAAGAACCCGAACCCCCCTTGAACCCAAACACCCCGCGCATCAAGCCTGACAAGAGCTGCATGATTCTATACGATCGCACCGAATACAATGTTGACACGAGTAATTCCACATTTCCCGTAGCTCAGCCTCCGATCAGGCCCCACTTGGCTCTCGTAGACCCCTGCCTGCCGAAACGCCTCGTACGCGCTAGTGATGCGGCGCAAGCGTAGACTCGACTGTTTTCTACCTTGGCTGCATGAGAACTTTTCTTTACATATCTACAGCGCCAGAAAGACATTATGCGATTAAATTCAATACCACACACAAGCCAGGACGTCAGAAAGGGGCGACTATTTTTTAGTAAACAGGATCACGCTAGAGCTGTTCTTGATGCGATGAGCGCGGTGACCGCTACCGCGCTTCTCTGCGTGCTCCCGCGCCTCAGTTGGCCCGAGTATTTCCCTTTTTGGAGATCTACCTGGCATTAACTCTCTCCACATCCTTATCTGGACCTCCATCGCACGTGCGCACCCTCTGTCATCCCTTGCACGGCGCCCGGCGCTGCCAGCTGGATCCAGGCTCGGGAACCACACCCCACCTGATCGCGCATCTTGCACCGTCAGCATGGGCCAGCGAGCATCCCTCCCCCAGCCTGGGACGAGCATCCAAGTCATCGGAGCCGGGTTATCCCGAACAGGTACGGCGTCATTCAGTCGAGCCCTGGAGATCCTACTGAATGGGCCCATCTATCACTGCGGGACCCAGAGCACAATGGGCCCACCGTATCAAGTCCAGCGGTGGATCCAGATCCTCCGACACTGGCTGTCTCGGTCTGACTCCGAACGATCTACCATGCTACATCTGCTCCAGCAGCAGACGGATGGGTATGCGGCCATCACCGATGCGCCGGGCACGCAGTTCGTCCCTGAACTGATGGAGCTGTACCCGGAGGCCAAGGTGATTTGTACCGTGCGCGACCCGATCTCGTGGGAGAAGAGCTTTGCACAGGTGATGAATATCACAGGCTTCTGGGTTCTCCCATGGGCACTTCTCCCTGTTCCAGGGATGATAAACTATTTCAGATATCTGACGCTGCTGGGTGAGCAGTGGAAGCAGATTTACGGGGAGTCGAAGCCTACGCGCCAGACGTATGTGAGGCATATTGAATGGTTGAAGAAGGTTGTTCCTGAAGATCGATTGGTATTTTTTGACGTCAGGGAGGGCTGGGAGCCGTTGTGTAAAGCTCTTGGTAAAGATATTCCCCACGATCAGCCGTTTCCTCATGTCAATGATTCAGAGGCCGTCGATAAGATTGCGAGATATCATGTTTGTCGTGGTCTGACGCGATGGGCCGTTATTCTTGCGGTTGGGGCGGCCGGTGTGGCATTTTTCTGGCGCCGGTAGGGAAATGGATTGGCGATATTTGTAGAGTTGCACATTGCAACAATTTGTTAGAAGCATTTGCATTTAATCATTAAGGTGATCGAGTTATCTACGTTTTGCATTCAATTTATGTCTTTTGAACTATGAATATATTTCCTTGGCATTTCCTTAAATGTCTGTTCAGACATCTTTTCTATTCCCTCATAGAAGCTTTTTTAAAGGTAGCCCACCCGGGCATGACGTTTTCCCAGTGACAGCTATCCACGCTAATAAGATGATCAAAGTAGGTAGACGAACAGACCCCTTGCAATACCTGCTTAACTCCCTTGTACATAGAGAGCTCGTCAGTCCAATCCACCAAGCTTTAAATTTCTAAAGGGTAGCCAATCACGCAATCCCAGGAACACTCTTTTTTCAATGTCTCTCTCTATGTACCGTGGTTAGCGATGTTGCATTGGTCGGGATTTGGTCTCTACACAAACAAATCCCGTTGATACCACCTTGTAGTGGTCTCACATCCCAGCACTCTGAACTGTAAGATTCGTGCCATGCTAAAAGGAAGCACGATTAGCGTGAAGAGAAGCAAGCAAATCGCGGGGTATAAATATTCCTTCTGGCATATTCTCGCAGATTCTCGCACTTTTGTCGGCGTGGAGAGAGGGGATTCGATCGGTCTCGGCCGTTAATTGTCTTGCCAAGCCTCTTCGTGATGTCATAGTATGGGCCGACCCGCAGTATAAGATAACGGGGGATTCGGAAACCTATGCGGCTTGAGGGGCTTTTGGTGCCTATTATAAAGTCTGCTTTTTTTTCCTAGTCCCGAGCGTCGTGGAAAGAGATCGGCCAAAGAGAATCTCGAAGAACGCAATTATCAGACCAACGGTGCGATTCGCACTTATCCACGTGCCTAGTAGCTATTCTGACATCTCATGTTTTCAGCCTCTGTTGACTCAATTGCGCAAATTCTGCGGGGTGATTAGTCGCAATGTTCTCTAAACGGTATCCTATTTTGACCTATGAATTACCTTCGCTGGTGTGTTAGCCACTAACTTAACGTCTATTGTACAGAAACTCTCGGAAGCCCGACCAAAATTTCATTAGTCACTTCCAGAGCATGTTCGCAGATCTCGTGTCGAAACCAAGGGGCATGACATTGAATCAGGATGCATGCGATCCAATGCCCCGGACGGTTGCCGACGAGGTAGGCCGCGACGCCAACCCGGGAACGAAGAGTCACGATCATAACGTCAACCTCGACTGCATTTCATGGGTTCTACGAGATTCTGACCCCTCATTCTCGTGCTTGAATCCGCAGTCACTATCGCTGGTACCCGACCTCAATCAGCACCAGACGGCTAACGACGTGGGTTCTACCGGAGTGGGCGCCATCCTCCACGACCGGGCTAGAGACTTCGAGCCGCATTACAAGCCGCAGGATCCATATCAAGCTCCAAGCAATGGCTTATATTCTCAACAGCCGGTTAATGCATCACCTAAGGCATTCCACCGTGATTCCGGCTATGAAACCATGGATAGATCCTCCGAAGAGTTGTCCATCAACAACTTCAGCACCCACGCCGATTCGAATTACAGCATGGCTTCCTCTACTTATATGAATGACTCTATAGAAATATTACCTGGCGAAAAGTGAGCTGATCAGATTAATAGATATGCTGCGTGTGGCGCTAACTGTTTCTTACTCCAGATTCCGATACAACGTCTCGCTGCTGGCCCCAACCGCAATGTTTAATCCGGCCAAGGAAGACCCGGTCACATATCTCAACAAGGGCCAACAATATTCCCTCGTCATTAAAGACACCAATCTACCCTCTGTGGGCTCTGGCTTGGTCAGGTACCGCACCTGCGTTCGCGTATCTTTCGAAGACAAAGAGCAAAGATCGAACCCGACCGCATACTGGCAATTATGGAACGATGGTCGGGCCAAATATGAGGCTCCTCATCGCGACGGAAAGTTCACCGCTGTGGAATATGTGGATGGGCCCCAGAACAGCGGCGTGGACCTCGAAAATGCTTCTTTTGATGGATTCTGCATCACATGGGCAGCATATCCAAATATGGAAACCTCCGACTGCGTTTTCGGTGTGCGGTTCAATTTCCTGTCGACCGATTTCAGTCACTCGAAAGGCGTGAAAGGCGCATCGGTCCGACTATGTGTGAAGACGGAGACTTTATCCCCGAATGAGGGCGTCGAGCATGAGCCAGAGGTATGCTTCTGCAAATTGAAGCTGTTTCGGGACCACGGTGCTGAGCGGAAGCTATCTAATGATGTCGCGCACCTCAATAAGGCGATTGAGAAGCTCCAAAAACAAGTGCTCCAGGCGGAAATGGATGGCGGCTCGACCTCAGGAAAGCGAGGAAATCATCCTATGAAGATTGCGAAGCGCTCCCGCAAGCATTCACGGCAATTGTCTTGGTCATCATCGAGACATCTGAAAGGCGACCTCCACACCGAGATAGATTCACTGCAACGCATGTTCTCCTCGGCACGACTTACGAGCAATCTTAATCTGCGGGGTGAGGACCATGATGATCCTGATCTCCACCCCATTCATCTTGGACTCAACAAACCCAGGGATGCAAGATCTCGGAGTACAGATGATGCGTATCCTGCAGAGTCAATTGCAGCCGTCTCGACCGCTCCCCAAAGAAATGGCAGCGTGGCTTCAGCCCTAGCGGGCATGCGGCTAGCCCAGTTTGAGGACTTGGATCAGTCTATTTGTCCAGCTATAGCCAAGCAAGTGTCAGAGGTGAAAAATTCGAAAAGTACCATAAAGGCCGTTGATGTCGACGTGAATTACAGACCACCAGACAGTCAGCCCAAGTCGGGTAAGTACCAATCAAAGAATATCATGTCTTCTCAGCCGCTGATCCTATCAAAGTTGCCTGTTTTTACGTCCGGTTTATCAGAAATGGAAAGCATGTCTGTGATTACCACCATGCAATATATCTCACTGAGCGCACAGTTCCGGAACTGATGGAAAAGATTTCAGCGAAGCAAAATATCGACCCCAGGAGCATTGCTCGCATTTATCACATGAACGAGAATGGTCTCAGGGTCATTGTTGATGACGATATAGTGCGAGAACTCCCCGAGGGGCAGGATATGGAAGTGGAAATCTCCGAGGTGTTGGGTGTCTATGGAAATACCGGGGGCATGGATTCCGATACCACGGAACCTTTGGAAATCAAATTAACCTACTGAGTTCACTCTTTAGGTATCTAGGGTGATTAAATGGAAGCACTATCTACCTATCCAATTCCCTCTTTAATATCCAACAACGCATACCCTTGCGAATTTCTTCCCTAATCCTAATTTGCAATATGCTAATTTGCAATATGCTAATTCAAGTTGATGTTGATCATAGATCCCCCTGTGGCCACGGATACAGTGACGCAGAAAGCCCTAACATGCTATACCTAACAGACCACCCCGCATATCGTATACCCCCGAGGTCCGTCAAGCCACAGCACGTGTCTTCACACTCTTTTGTACCCAGGTGGTTAACATCGTAATGGATCAAGTTTTATTTCCCCGAGACCCTCTTATTTTGCTATTGTTTTACTACGTAAATGCCATCTCGTCCGAGGCATGACGCCACCGGCGATATCTCGGCTCTAATGCAAGTGTCGATTCCCGATCTTCGGCTCTCACCCCTCGGAGTCCTGTGAATGTCCAGGACAAAGCTATAGTACATACAGGCTGCACGTGGTGGAGACAAATAATGACAACATCATGAGTGGCGCGGTCAGCAGGCAATTCCAAATGCCTCAATAAGCCTGGACCATTATTGAGGAGACAAGAAACCTGGTTTTAGAATTTCGGCAGCACTATATTCCGGACTTGCCTTGTTTACCTGATGATGAAACCAAGTTACCTGAGGTCGCAATGCCAAGACTGATACTCGGCCGGAGGATTAATGTATAGGACGATGACGTCAAGAGACCCCCAACCAGACCAAACCGCTTCCTAGGTAGATCAATGACGTCAAATAAACCACCAGTCCTGTACTAGATCCATGACGTTACATGCCAAAAACGCTTCTGCGATGCGTATAAATAACCCTCTCACCTCAATCTTGTCGAGGTTATTCACAAAGAAACCAACATTTTACACTTCAACTCAACCCAAATTCCAAACTACTCATTCATAATGGAGACCGTCAAGGTTCGTTAACCTCGGCTCGGCTTCCTACATGAAGACAATATGCTAACTTAGGTTCTCTAGAACGCCGCCAACTACGTTTCCGAGTCCATCCAGGGCACCGGTGCTGAGGCTTCCAAGGAGGCCAACAAGCAGGTTGCTAAGGACGACGATGCCAAGGTCAGCACCCGTGCCAGCGCTGCCAAGGACGCTCTCTTCGACAAGAAGGACGAGAAGACCCACGACACCAAGGCCGATGTCAACAAGGGTAAGTGATTTTTTCGGCGATTTTGCAAGACGAGATGCTAAAAGATGTGCAGAGGCTGCTAAGCACTAAATTCGACATGCACAATGTATACGCCTACAACGACGCAATTATGTGACGGGTTGATTCCATTCGCTTTGCACTGAAGCAAGGCGGGGAATCTATGGCTATTGTCTTTGGACTGTAACGTTGATTCATGTAATATACCACGAATTTAATTCATTTGTCAAATTATGATACTGGTCATCACGTAGAATGTCCTATACTGTACTGTACGTACACAAAACTTTCCCAGGCCTAGACGGGGTAAGGGGTTATTCTAACAAGAGTGCAGACTCAAAATGTATGTATATTTTCTATCGTGAGAGTCTAGATCACGGCACAATCACTTTACCGCATGGTAACAAGCTCCTCCGCGGAAGTGGGGTGGATAGCAACACAATTGTCAAAGTCCTGCTTAGTCGCACCCATTTTCACAGCGACACCGAAGCCCTGCAGCATCTCGCCAACACCAAGGCCAAGGATGTGCAGACCAACGACCTTCTCCTGGGGACCCGCACAGATGATCTTCATCTCGGTCGGGTTCTTGGCCTTCTCCTCTGGGGAGAGGCCGACGTCGTAGAACATCGCGGTGAACTTGGTGTGGTAAATCTTGATCTTGTCGTCGCCGTAGTGCTGACGGGCTTCAGGCTCGGTGAGACCGATCGAGCCAACCTCGGGGTGAGAGAAGACCACGGTAGGGATGTTCTCGTATGAGATCTTGGAGGACTTCAGCTCGGGAGGGCCGAAGAGACGGTTGCCAAGTTGGCGACCGGCAGCAATTGCGACTGCAGATTGGGGTTAGCAATTTTCCATAAATCATGATGAATGGAACGTACCAGGAGTAAGCTCGGCCTGGCCAGTCACATCACCGAGAGCGTAGATACCCTCGACCGAGGTGTTCTGGTACTCGTCAACAGCGACGTGGCCGCTGACGTTCAGCTTGACACCGGGGATGTCGAGCGAAAGACCCTCTATCTCGGGGCCACGGCCAACAGCCCACAGAAGCTCGTTAACCTCGAGCTCGGAGCCGTCCTGGCTAATCAGCTTGATCAGGCGATCCTTGCCCTTGCCATCGCGAATAAGCTGGATCTCCTTGAAACCGGCGTGTTGACGGTGCATGTGGACACCGGCAGCCTCGTACCGATCGGTCATAGTCTTTTGGATCATGGGGTCGAATTTGCGCAGGAAATTCTCACCACGGATGAACATGTGGGTCTCAACGTTGACGGCGTTCATAACACCGGCCAGCTCGACAGCAATGTAGCCGGCGCCGACAACGGCCATCTTGGGCGGGAGATCCTCCATCTCGAAGAAGCCATCGCTGGTGATGCCATGCTCGGCACCGGGGACCTTTGGCAGAATGGGATGGCCACCAGTAGCGATCAGAATGTGGGGAGCAGTGTAGCGGGCAACGCTGCCGTCCTCCTGGCCAACCTCAATGACCTTGGGCTCGACGAAGCGAGCGCGGCCGTGGACTAGAGTAATGCCCTCTTTGTCCCAGTTGCGCTCATAGGCGCCATTCAAGCGCTTGATCACGGCATCGCGAGTGTTCTTGAATTTGTTGTAGTCGACCTTGATGCCCTCGGGGATATCGTAGCCGTAGTGCTTGCCGATGTCCATCGTCTCCTGAATAGTCGCAAAGTTCCAAGTCATCTTCTTGGGAACACATCTGGCGTTCTGGTCAGCACCGAACTTGATTTTTGCAGGCGCGGAAAACGACTTGACTGCCAATGACTTACCCAACATTAACGCAGGTACCACCAGACCGGCCGCTTTCCACGATCAGAGTCTTTGCGCCATACCAGCCAGCTGCGCGACGGGCGCTTCCACTACCACCGCTACCACCGCCGAGGACGATGTAGTCATACTGCTGAACATTCACAGGTGCCATTGTGGATGACTTGTTGCTCTCTGAGGCCGAAGAGGAAGAAGAAAGGTGTCGAGAGATCGAGGAGAGTCGAGATGTAGGAGCAATTGTAGTAGAAAACGGGCTGTTGATGGTCGCCAGGGTTCGATTCACGGTCGGTCGTCGACCGGTGTGAATTTGTCTACAAGCGGGAGACGGAGTCAGGAGGCTGCGAAAGCTGATCCGGGAGGGTTGGGTAGGGAGGGAGCGGGAGAGCATGAAGATGATGGAGGGGCATGTACAGGAAGAGGGGAAGCAGTCAGAGCGGACAAAAACCTGGTGACGATATCGGCATTTGATACGCGCCGATCTTGATGGCCGGGGACCTTGAATGATTTCTCAGCAAGAAGCCGAGCCACGTGATTACAAATCTATCACGACATCCTGGGATCCAAGTATGTTTTCTGTATATTCAACTATTTCCAGTCTGTTTCAAGGGTATAAAGCTCATGATGGGGAAAAAAAGAAAAGAAAAAAAGTGGAACGGCTCGGTTAAGTACAACCCATCCAATGTCCGCAAGTATCGACCTCAAAGCAACAATTTAAACCTTCAGTCCAAATTAGAGCATGTAGAATGAATAAAAAACGAGAACTGGGAAATTGACAAAGAAATTTGAAAGAAGGTATGGGTTGAACAAGACAGGTCAAAAAATAAACCTTCGGGCCTAGCCGGGGTTCACGATATAGTGGGTCGTGGTGATGTGCATCGCGCAGAACGATCTGTCGCAAAAGTAAAGATGGTTATGTCGGGTATCAAGGATATGCGAGCATGCTACGATGGTTCCAAGCCATGTATCCATGCACGCCGTATCCAAAACAGCATGGTATATGCTATTATCGGCGAACCGATGAACCAGAGAAACGGCGTTGATTTCAATGAAGATGATCGTTTCTTTGGATCAGATATCGAGGGATAGAGATAGCTCTCTTTCTAGTCCATTGTTGAGCCGTTGGGACTGCAGCCTGATGCATCGGCGTTGAGGATGATGCAAGGGGAGGAGAGGGGCGCAACGAGGTTTCGATGAGAATCTTTGAGCATTTGCAGGCGGGTATGATCTGCTCAGAGAGCTGGAAAGACGATCCCAACAGTGGTGTTCGTCCACGATCAACAGCCCAGAGCGATAGTCTGGGAGTTGGGGAGTCTGTGGAGTCTGGGAATATCCGTGACTGAGTGTTGTAGGATGCGAAACGGGTCGATAGGGTGTCCCGGACATGATGCTCATCGCTGATCTCAAGGATGGCAGTCTGGGGCGACGCTGCGATCTCTCATCTAATGATTCGGTTGGGGCGGTGTCTGCCTAGGTAGTATAGTATAGACATCACAACAGAATGACTAATGAGAGAAGGCGATCACAGCGAAGGAAATGACGCAGATGCATAGCGGGATAAAGACACTGCGTTCCATATCGGCGGAGTTCTCAGAGGTGTGCTTCATGGTCAGGGGGGTGATGTGGCTATAGTGAGGGGTGTTCGCAAGTGGGAGGGGGGACTGTTTATGGGGCGGAGAAGCCGTTCTCCAATCTCCATGCTGATCGTGCTGAGGTAATCGTTGGGCCTCAACAAATGACCCGTCACATGATGCCGATTGGATGGGTTTGTCATGCTACGTGTATCATGTGGACCGTTTGATTGGAGTTGTTGGAGCAAACACACGGCCAAATAATGGGATTCAATGGGGCGCTGCGAAGAATAATGAGCCCCACGTGATCGTGCCGGTACCTGCAGTAGGTTTGGGCTCGGGCTCGGGCCTTAGAACCAGACTGCCCATGTCCCGTGTGCTTAATCTCTTCTAATTAAACGTGTTCGAATCGTACGAAATTTCATGCTGATGTGATCTAATATTCCAGACGTCTGAAGAATCTTCCATCAAGGTGGCTTGGCCTCCTCGTTAACGGGCTGAAACGCCTCGGACGATCCTTTAGGAATTTAGATCTCAGAACCACGATAATTAACTCATGGCATTATGTATAAGAGTCATTTCACCGACCGAGTCCAGGAATCCACGACCGCCTTAACCCTGCCACACGCACGAGCGGCCCTTGTTTACCTACCCACATTCACGGACTTCAAGAATGCAAGGGGATGAACCAAACACCATCGTGCCAATCACAACCAGCAGCGACGACCTCCATACCTACGTAGAAACCAGGAGATAAGGAGATGACCTTGCCAGGCAATAGAACAAGGAATTCCCCCCAGACTCCTGGCCCTGCCCAGCTTGAGCTTGCCCTAAGAAATACTCGAGTATACATCAGCAGATCATCCCTGGTTCAATCCAATACCTAGACTGTCGACACTCAGCATCCGTCATCATTCAACGTCCGCCAATATGCGTGTCTCCGCCATCGTTGTCGCTTTCGCTTCCGTCGTTTCTCTGAGTGTGGCTCAGAGCGCCATCGTCAAGGATGATAGAATCAACATGTCCTGCGATTTCGCCCAGGACAAGACTGGCATGTTGCAGTACCCCTACTGCTGCCGTGACTTCAAGCCTCTGAGAGGAAACCCTCACAGTAACGAGGCTGAGGACTGTATGTTGATTTCTGAGAACGGAGAAGAACACTGTGCTAACGTTGGAAAGGCGATTTGTTGCAAGCCCCCCAGCTGTGTGAGGACCAGTCTCGGCCAGCTTGCTGCTATACTATTGTTAGTTGATCTATTTCTCTTTGTTGTCAAAAAGAAAGGAAAAGAAGAAGACTAATCATGTTTCTTTGTTTCTAGGGCCCGAAGAAGATCTGTACCTCGCACGTCGTTTTCCAGCCCGCTTCGAGTGTCTGAGCTACTCGAATGGGGATCATGTTGATAGCGGAATACGATCAACGGCCGGAAAGGATACTGCACGCGAACTTTTTCGATGTACTTACTACGAATGTGAACCCAACAATATCCATGGATGTGATTAGACGGTCTCAATAGAATGCGGTAGTGACATGTAATTGGTGGCTCTTAAATAGGCAACCGAAGGATATATGGTAATGCTCCACGTAAATCAAACGCTCCCGGGAATGCAAGGCAAATATTATGTACGGCTCAACCCTTTGGAAGAGCAAGCTGGTTCACCACTCAGTCAGACTTCACGTCCAACATTCTCTCCGTGTTCCTTCGGAACAGCTTCTCCGCCAGTCCAGGCTCGCATGTGCAAAGCTCCAAGCACCAATCTGTGAATGGACTGATATCGACACCGGTAAAGCGAGTATGGGGCCAGTCGGTGGCATAGATGACTCGGTCCGGTGCCGCAGCTAGGAACTCGCAGGCCATGGCCTTTAGATCACGCATGTGTCGGTCCTTTGTGAGGCGGTAAGGGGCAGACACCTTGATGTAGGTACTTCCCTGGCGAATCAGGGAAATCAACGAGTCGAACCCGGTGAGAGTGTATGGGTCGAAAGGAACGCTTTTTCTGGCCCACGAGAGTGAAGAGAGTTCGGGGCTTCCGAAGTGGTCGATGCAGACGGTGACGCCGAGATGAGGTACGATGGACTCGAGCATGGGGACCATCTTCAAGGGAAGGTACACTTCAACGACCCAGTTCCGGGGCCGTGCAACATCGGCGTGTCGAAGCAACTCCCGCGTCAGCTCGGTCCGGTCCATGACTTTCCCGACAGACTGGAGATTCACTCGGAGACCACGGACACCCAGAGTATGCCACTCATCCAACGTTTCTTGTTGAATGGTGTCAGGGTCAATCACCACGACTCCACGGCCACGAGAAGGGCCGAGTTTGGCCAGGGCGGCCAGGAGGCAGGAGTTGTCGGTTCCATATATGGAGGGCTGCACAAAGACAAGATTCTCTACGCCCAGCGTGGACTCGAAGAAAAGAGCATCCTCCAGTGTGTGAGTAGTAGGCTGGTATACAGCCTTGGGCGAGATAGGGAACCGTTTGGGTTCCACGACGTGCATATGGCTATCCCATGACCTTGAAGGGATCCTGTGGTTCAAGGGCACGCTCACAGGTGCTGCCGCAGCATGAAAAGAACGCTGTACAAGGCGAGACGCCGGAGCCGCGGTAAATGATATACGCGGGGGGCCTCCCAAGATACCGGGGCAAGGCTGAGTCGAAGTAAGCATCGTGGAAAGAAATAATGATATAGAGTGATATTGACCACCACCACGGCAGGGGAGTAGACAAAAGAGGAGAAGGCCGAAGCCCTACGGAGTACAACTCACAGATGAGCAGGCCTTGACTCTGTGGACTGCCCTGAGGGCTCTGGCCGGTACCATGCCACCTTCGTCGGTCAATCGGTCAAAGTCCGTCAGTCAGACAATGGCAGAAAAGCAAGGTAATTGTCCATCTACTGTAAAAAAAAAAAATCTGCCGTGTGCCGCGTTTCCAGGTGCGGGATTGACATCTGACCCACCCTCGGTTTCAACTGTTAGCCAGATGGAGTGCGATCAGGCGAGATGGTTGTTGGAGGGGGAGCGCAGGGAGAAGCGGAAGTCGTCCGGGAGGAAGATGGCTGTGACACTACCCACTTGCATCGGCAAAACGCCTTTCAGGAAGACCGCATATTGTCTTCATCATTCCCAGGTGTCACTGCCCAAGGAAGAATGTATCCATCAAGCGGAGCCACGAAGCACGAACCACCGAGTGGGCTCCGCGGAGCGATCCGTCTGAAGAAGCATGGATTGCGCTGCGCAAGGACAATATTTGGCATGAGTCCATACTTGGAGACGGAGTTGAAACCGGAGGCAACTGGTGCCCGCACATGATCGTCAAAGTCGTGCAGGGTTGGCTAAAAAAGAAAAGAGGTTCAAGCGCAGAGGTTCGGAAGTTGACCGAACTCTGCCAAAAAAAAATCTTAATTTCGAGATGACGGGATGCCGAGAGGCGGCGCCGCCTTATCCTCCACTCACTCTTTTCGTCTTCCGCCCACTCTTTGCCGGTTCTCCCGCGATCCTTTCCCCAGATTTTGATCGCCTCCACAGCTCTTTGTTTTGGATATCATGAGCGCCGTCACGAGATGGCTGGAGCCGTCTCGCTGGACGACCAGTTCGTACTATGTACTGGTCGTATTTGTGATTGCCTGCGGAGGGATTCCTAAAGGTACGTTGGCTGTTCCCCGCGCTTCCCCCCGGTATGCATCGTAATCGCTGCATATCAACGAATAGAGGGCTTACAATGACAGGATATGACGAGGGTGGCTACAGTGCTAGCGTCAAGCTCGAGTCATTCAAGATCGATTTCAACCTCCTTAAATCCCACTGGAAGGATGATCCGACCGGGTTGACCAATCGTAGTGCAAATATCACGTCTTTCAACGTCCTGGGCGCAGCTTTCGGTGCCCTTGCATCCCTCGATTTGAATGATCGACTAGGCCGTCTGTGGTCATGGCGATTGGCCATGGTCGTCTACATCCTTGGCACGTTCATCCAGGTCTTCTCCTCGGGTATTTATGGCTTACTACTGTTCGCTCGGATTTTCTCTGGGCTGGGTGCCGGTGTATTGACCGTCGCATCCCCGCTGTATTTGTCCGAGGTGGCGCCTAAGGCGACGCGAGGTTTATCTGTCGGCTTGTACATGGTCGCTCTGCTGACTGTGCTTTCCATGGGTAGGTCTTTTAGAGTATGTTCGGCACTTATCGGCATCCCTCCTAATACGATTGTTCTGATAGGGTTCTTCATCAATTATGGCGCTAGTATCCACATGGCTGCAACGCGAACCCAATATCGCCTAGTGCAATCTATTCCTCTGATCCCTGCAGGGATCACACTGGGTCTCTCCTGGTTGTGCCCCGAGACTCCTCGATACCTTGCCTCGAAGCAGCGCCACCAGGAAGCAAAGGAGGTGCTTGCCCGGCTGCGTGGCAAGTCCATCGACGATGAGAGCGTCACGGCCGAATTTGAGGAAATCGACCAGCAGGCTAAGAAGCGGGCCGACTTGAAGTCGATCTCGCACTGGGCGGCCTTGAAGGAGTCCCAGACCAACCCCAACTACCGCCAGCGGTTCTGGCTGCTCATGGTCATGCAGACAGTCGCACAGTGGACTGGCGGTAACGGTATCACCTACTATATCTCGACGATCTTCTCGTACGCCGGTGTGGCCGATTCCACCTCCCTCATCTCATCCGGCGCATACGGAATCGTCAAGCTGGTCTTCACCATGGCTTTCACCTGGGGTCTGATCGATTTCTTCGGTCGACGCCGCTGCGCCCTAACTGGACTGGCCCTGCAGCTGGCCGCACACATCTACATGGGCACATATATGGGTCTGCAACCCGGCTCAGCCAACAATCAATCTGCATCCGACGCAGCCATCGCCTCCGTATTCATTTATGCCGTCGGCTGGTCGGTCGGTCTCTGCACCATCCCTTATCTGTACGGCACGGAGATCTTCCCAAGCCACATCCGCAACTCGTGCTACGCCCTCAGCATGGGCTTTCACTGGTTTTTCCAATTCGCGGTCGTCCGCGTTACCCCCAACATGCTCAACAACCTGCACGTGTGGGGTGCTTACCTCTTCTGGGCCATCATCTGCACCTTGGGTCTCATCATCCTGGGTATCTGGATGCCCGAGACCAAAGGCGTCCCGATCGAGCGCATGGATGAACTCTTCGCGGGGCCGTGGTACCTTCGCTGGCGCGCTAAGGTCTACACCAGTGACGACTCGTCTAGCTCTGGGGATACCATTGCGTCGCAAGACCTCCGTCAGGATACCTTCAAGGCTAATGACTCGTTGCGATGAGATTTCTACCTTGTTCTGGTGAATATCTTGCATGGCCACCATGTTGACTCCGCATCATTCTGAGACAGTTTGTCCGCGCAATGTCTTGTGCATCTTCAGCTGACTGCTCGGTGTATAATTATGATATTTCTATACCCTGTGTTTTTAATTGTTTCATTATGGGCTTGGTATCTAGATATATATGATACCATCTCTAAGGGTTAACTTTAGGGCCTTACTAAATATACATTTGCGCTGGATTGACGTCCATGTCAGTCCCCAAAAGTTCATTTCTGACAACCGTTGTTACCACCCTTGTAACGTAGATACTTACTAGCCTTGGAATATTTAGGATCATGATGCTCCAAATCTATCATTTACTGATACCGGACATCTATATACTCCAATAATATTCCACACGTTCGACTTTTTATTAGAAAACATATCCGACCCCGGGGAATCATCAGGCTCAAAACCAAGAAGAAAATGAAAGAAAAGGTCGCTTTTCATTATTGAGCTCCGCTCCAATTCGTGTCGTATGACGCCATATTCGCCGTGATGGGTTGAGCATACGAGAACGCCTCGAACACTTCCGGCGTTATCTCGTAAGATCCAGGGTCATCCACTGTCATCACCGCGTTGGGCATGCCGCCTAGCAGGTGTGTTGTTGGTAGGTGCGGTACGTCGTTCATGTGTGGGAGGTCGAAGCCGCCGATGGGTTGTTGGAAGGCGTTGTAACCTGGGAGAATGGAGGCGGTTGTGTTTGGTGCTGGTGTCTCCTGTGTACTCATTGTTGCTCTGCTCTGCTGGCGCTGGTGGTGGTTAATAGGAGAGATGTGGCGCGATGGATTGCTGCTGGCAGAGGATTGGCTAGAGTTAGGTGGGCGGGAAGGTTGTTGGGGCTGAGGCTGAGGCTGAGGCTGAGGCTTTTCGGGAGGAGAAGCGCCCATGGGGGCTTGGATGTCGATTTGAAGCTTCTGAAGTTCCTGGTAGATGAGGTTGAGGGCCGTTGTGATGACTGGGTTGGAGACCTTGATTCGTTCCAGGGCGAAGATGCAGAACTTGAGCTTGTCTAGTGTGCCGGGTGCAGCGTATTTTAATGCCTGAATTTCGAGCAGGAAGATCGAGGCCGCGGTGTAGACGCTATACGCGAGAGAGAGGACGACGTGGTTATCGCCGAATGTCCGACGGTACAGATCGAAGAGTGATAGGATGGTCGTTGCCGATGCCATACACTGGACGAGATGGCTCGTATCATATGCATCTTGCCGAGTCTTCAACAAACTGCGGGAGCAGAGGATGGGGCGGTGGAGCAGGATATTAACAGTGTGATATAGACAGCTGGAATCCAGTTAGCAAGACATGATCATGTGCCAATATAAAAGGTCAAGACTTACTTAAGGGTCATGATATGACTTGGCGGGCAGTACGGTGGTAGGTCCATTGCCGTGAGCCTCAAGTATTCGGGGAGCTCGTCCCACCATTCGCTCAGATTTCTGGCTTGTTCTTGGACGCAGTCGAAGAACTCGGCCTCGGTGCTTTGACGCATCGGATCATAGATATGGACCAGGATCTGGTTCAAGATCTCGGATAGCCCGCATATCTGGATGAAACACGTGGTTGAATGTGCCTGTGTGGGCGGATAGTGTGCACCGTCGGGAAAGCTAACTCCATGCGGAGTCCAGATTTCGATCTCGGAAGTATCATCGACTACCAGCTCGTCAGTATCAATACCAGACTGAGTCACGAAAGGAAGGAGACATACGGATCATGCGCGGCGGGCTGACACGAGAATGTTGCATAGCCGGGGCACGACCAAAGTACAGGGAAATAATCTTGTCCCAGAAAAAACAGCTCCAGAAGAGTCGATTGCGGATCTCGATATCTTCATCACTCAGGTGTGCCGATCCGGGATACTTCCGACTGTCGATCGATATTCCCAGGTCATCCAGTAGGCGGAAGGCCATCCCGCTATACAGCCATGCCTGCGTACGGTTGCCGCGACCGCATTCTTGCGCACTGAGAAGCAGCAACGTTTGAATCGTCGGGATGCCTGCATATCCCACTTTAAGCGAGTCGAATATCTCCGTCACGGCCCGCTGGTAGAATAGTGCCCCACCCTCATAGGAGTCCAAAAGCGGGCCGATCTGAGGTTCCGCTTTGCACCACCGCACGGAATGGGAGAGCACGGCATTCATTAGGATGTCCGTATAATAAGGTCCGTTGATTTTCATATCACCTGCGAGTGGGTCAGTACGTGTCAGGTCCACCGAGGAGATGGTGGGACAGACGTGTAAATGCAGGGCGATAGACAAAGTTGAAAAGCGGTTGGATCCAGCACCAATGGGAGTCGAGGAGGTATTGGAAAGGCTCCTGCAGGTCGATCAGTTCGGAGTCACACAAGCTTTTTCGAGCTGCAGCGCATATCATACCGGCATTGCAGCCATCTGCTCAAAAGCCCGTTCCCGCCATGCACTGTTGATCAGCCGCTCCTTGCGGGCCTCGATCTCATGGGCGAAATTCGCGGTTGACGCCGTTTCGCTGACCAGCCCGCTAGGGAGCTGGAACAGACTGGTTGGGCCATGGAAAGAGATGCGACCGTCATTTTCAACGTTCAACCCGTCAAACTCTCTCGCGAGATCATGCGCGTCGTCAAGCTCCGTCTTGATTCGGCGGCCGGCGCTCGAGCTGGACTCGGCCACCGAAGCTGGAGAGCTACCCTTGCGTGCTTCCACCTCGGCCTGCTGACCGCGAAGCTTAGACAGCGCATCTTCCAGCTGCCCAACCCGGGTTTCCAGCTGTTTGGTATAGGATAAGGTCGGGGCCCTGGCAAGTGGGGGAATGTCAGCCACCGGTCGGCGCGACCGGAGCTCCAAAGAGAAAGCACTCACAAGCTGTAAACACACGGCTCGCCTCTCGCGGCGCAGCGCGAACACGACGGACTAGCTCCGTTACACTTGACCTGTCAGGAGGTCAGCTTCAGCCTATTGGCGTCTCGGAATCTGCCCGATCCGCTCCCACCTTGCGCTTGCGACAAGCCTCGCACGAGAAGGCACTCTTTCGGGGAAGTGCCGCCTTAAAAGGCACGCCGGCCATATCGGAGGAACCCTCTACCACCATCGGACCGGATTCATGGGGCGTGGTACTCGTACCCCATTGATGTCAGATAAGGATAGAAAGAGAAGGGAGAAACGAAGAGGGAATTTGGCCCTATGGACGTGGGGCTTTATGATCGCGGGGAGGTTTTTTAACCTTTTTTGTTTCGGTGGACCACTTCGAGTCGGGGGCGTCTCAGACGGCGTACTACTGGAGTGAGCTTGACTACAGGGGATTGACGTCGGGAATCGGTGACTCGTCTCGGCATTAGCTTGGGATTCCATTCGCGATCCGCTCCGGCAATTTTGACGACGAGCCAATTGTACCACAGTATGTCTCGTGGGGCCTTGGTCTGGCCAATTGACCGCATGCAGAACCGGGAATGAGAAGTCCCGGTCTTGGCGATGAGGCAATCAGGATAATTAACTGATTCTCGAAAGGGGAGCGGGTCCCCTGGAAAACAGTCGTGTGGGTACGTCAGGTCGATCCTGAAAATCGTGGGAAGTCTACTATACATGTATACTATAATACATCTGTATGCCTGGTGATGGACAGTGGTGCAGATGGTGGGTCCAGTGGGATCTCTGGGATCTCTGGGATCTCTGGGGAGGTTTCTCGAAGTGGAAGGTTGAACGTGGATATTGACGATATGCAGGTATGAATATGAGGATATGTCCAAATCTATTACACGATCATTTCCTTCCCTTTTTGCCCTTGCCCTTGCCCTTGCCCTTGTCCTTGCCTCTCGTCTTCGGAGCATCGCGCTCCTCCTTGCCCTTCTTCCACCCGATGTTGCCCTCGTGCCGCATCTTTGAATCGTCCAGTCGCTTCTTGTCCTTGTTGCTGAGCTTGACCTTGTCCTTCTTCGACTTGCCGCCGGGTCCGTTCAGCTCCGTGGCACCCAGCTTGCGGGCGGCCAGCTTCTGCTGCTCGGTCTCGAACCATGTTCGCTTGGGTCGTGCCATGATTTCCTGGCCGTGCTTCATGATGTTCTCGGTCTTGTTCACCTGCATCTCCGCTTGCGACATTTGCTTCTCGGTCTTCTCCTCCTGCAGGACCTCCTGGACCTCATCGGCAAGATCTTCCGCCTTCTGGGCCCACTCGTCAGCCACTGCGATCTCAACCACACGGCTGACAATCTTGGCACCCTGGGCCTTGCCGGCCTTCACGGCGGCCTTGACGACCTTTCGGTCTGGCTCCGCGGCGATGGTGCATGCCCGACCGGAGCGACCGGCACGGGCCGTACGACCGACACGATGCAGGTAGATCTCGTGGCTCTGTGGGGCTTCGTAGTTGATAACGGTCTCCACACCCTTGATATCCAGACCACGAGACGCAACGTCCGTACAGAGAAGGAAAGCGACCTTGCCGTCACGGAAGTTCTCCACACTTTTGATACGCTAGAATGTAGATCAGTAAAAGGTTTCGCAAAGGGAGACATCTCGTAGCATACCTGTTCTTGGCTCAGACTACCGTGCAATTCAGCAGCCTTCAGGCCCAGCAGACCGAAAATGATGCGGACACGGTGCGCTTCCTTCTTCTGTCGGAAGAAAATGATAACCCGACCCGTGTAGATCTCCTTGCACAGGTGAAGGAGACATCCGAGACGCTTGTCCTCCCGACCAGGACGCAGACGGACGAATTCTTGTGTCAGGGTACCGACAGTCTGCTTCCTGGCATCCACCATCAAACGCATCGGCCGGTTCATGCCGACACGAACAAGCTTGTCGACCGATTCTGTCATCGTGGCAGAAAACAGCATGGTCTGGCGCGACTTGGGGATCGTCGTCAAAATCTCGTTCAGCTCATCCGCGAATCCGTCCTCAAGCATTCGATCGGCTTCATCCAGAACCAGAATTTCCAGAGTATCAACGGTGAAGCTGGGCGAGTTGCGCATATGATCAATGAAACGACCAGGAGTGGCAATGATGACATCGGGACGCTTCTTGAGAATGTTCTCCTGCTCGCGAAGGCTGAAACCACCGACAAGCTGACAGAATGTGACATCGGTGAAAGTAGCAAGCTTAACTGCGACATTGTAACATTGCACCGCAAGTTCACGAGTGGGCATCAAAATAGTAACACGACTCGTAGGAACCTTGCGAGGTCGGAAGAGCAGACGTTCCAGAATGGGGACGATGAAAGCACCAGTCTTTCCTGAACCGGTCACGGCGCTACCGACGATGTCCTTGCCCAGGAGTGCCACGGGGATGGCCTTGCGCTGGATAGGAGTAGGATCTGTGAATCCAACGGAGGCCAAGCCTCGCAGAATCGGACGAGAAAGGTTGAAGTCTTGGAATGTACTCTTCGCTGCGGCGGCTTTGTCGTCGATCTTTTCTTCGGGAGCAAAGAAGGCTTTCCGCTTCTCTTGCTCCTCAGCATCAACCTCACTTTCGACATCAGATTCACGATCGGAGCCAATGTCATCGGGGTGGCCAACGGGGGTAGCAACGGAGTCGTTATCGGATGCGGCATCGTCCTCGTCCTCATCCTCGTCCTCCTCCCCCTCCTCGTCTGATCCCTCTTCATCGTCTTCCGGCCCAGAGCCAACCTCGGGGCCCTCAGCCTCACTTTCCTCCTCCTCGCCATCAGCGCCCATGCCAAAGGCGTCATCGGCCATCAGCTCATCGTCCCCGAAATCCACTTCCGGACCGGCATCTTCAGCATCAGACGCACTTTCCTCCTCTTGGACCTGCTTCTTCTGCTTCTTCTGAGAGGCAGCGTTTTTCTTTGCTTGTCTCCGCTCGATAATGTCGTCAATATCAACAGCCTTCTTGTCACCGCCGACGCCATTCTGCTTGGCCTCGTCCAGACCCCAGCCATCAAAACCTTCAGTGACGCCGCGATTGGCCGCGCCACCCACATCGAACTCGAAGTCGGGGTTCAGGGCACCGTCATCCTCAGCAGCTCCGACCGTTTCATCCTCCTCCTCAGACTCGTCTTCGGCGATAGTGTCGGCCTTGTCCTTCTGGTTCTTTGCGTTCTTGGCTTGCTGCTTTAGCTTCTTGCTCTTCCCCTTGGGGGCGTCGGCCTCGCGCTTGCGCTTCTTCGAATCAGCAGATGGTGCCTTGCCATCTTCATCCTCGAACTCGTTCACGTTCTCTTCGTCGTCGAAACGGGGAATGTCTTCGTCGTCGGATAGCGTCAGGACGAAGTCGTCGTCCTTAGCGGCGCTCCGCTTGGCTGTATTGGGTGCCATTGTGGAGGCAGCTATTAAGACCGAAGTCAATGTAGGATTCAAAGATCCTCTGTAACTTCACGAAAAAATCGAACTGTCGTAGAATCCCCAGTCTCCTCGCCGCGAAAAAGAAATCAACAGCAGAAAAAAAAAGTCCCCCGGGCGGTGAGTTAAATATTCATGACTAACCTCGGAGCCGCCCCGGCCAGAAGCGTCCCGCTTTCGGGGTCACAGCTGGCTAGGACCAGGATTATAGATTATATAGTCTTTTGTAACAAAATTTTCAATGTCAGTATATACGTATTCTACGTGCAGAGCACAAGATAGAACGCTCTTATTTTAAATTATCCAGATTCCCACTCTCCCAATTTAGGCCACCTAATCCTAAGGTTATCCAGGATTTTAGGTGCATGCAAATATCCAGAGCTTCCAATTCAACATTGAAGTTCCCGTTCTCGCGGAAGTACAAAGGCTGTACCTTGGAAAATATGAATTGCCTTGAATACTGTCATTTTCGAGTGACGTTCAAGACAAAGGGGTCAGTAGTTCGTTTGCAACATATAGTATATCTCATTAATACTGACTTAGGTTATAATCTTTTTTGAAGCAGAAAGAGGCGCGGACGATATAGTGGTGACTTTTCTTTGCGACCGCTTCTATGATCGCTGCCCTTGGGAGAAATTCAAATCCATTGGCCCCCGGGCAACAGCTGTGGTAGTTGAAGCAGGGTGGAAATGCAGAAAATTGGATCAGATAGCAATTTTTATACGCCAACGATGCTTTTACGAGGTGGAATTAGGTCGACTTCGGGCTGAGGCAAAGGCCGAGCGAAACCGCAGATCCTCATCACTGGGAGCCGACGAGTGCTTTCGAAGTTTAGATGCAACCCGGAATAATTGATTGATTTTGGTGCTCTCGCTGTATGCAAGAACCATGCACTATTGATATATTCGAGGCTGTTGGCTGCACGCACGCGAGGCAGTGATGTTGTTGAGATAGATAAAGCAATGTGGATTCCTGCACGAACAGGCGTTGTACTATGTAGTAGGGAAATGGACCAATATCTTGACTAGCTCAACATAGGCTCATATGAGTAAGAAGTACATAATGGTCTTAAACTCTCATATAATCGTCCACATACCGGGCTGTTATCTTATTCCATCAAGCACACAATGTCTAGTTTGGAGCAGCAATACAAAACTCTCAAGAAGATTATTCAGAATTCACCCATTCGCTTGATTTGTCCTCCGTGCCTCAAGGCTTTCCTCGACCTGATCCTCTGTACGCCCATTTCCGTGCGCTGTCGCAGGATGATCCTCATTCAGGGCTCGCGAAAAGAACGTCGAAGAAAAGATCCGGTATCAAAGCTTTTCTTGTCTGCTACCAAGAGTCCGTTAACCCCGTGCCTGGCGAAAACATACCTTAGGACACGGGCCATGGTTGGGGTAAAGTAGGCGAAGACCAGTGTTCAGGGCTGAGGTACTGTATTGAGCTCAGCGGACCAGCGGTGATGTGGTGCCGGAGCACGTAATATAGGGCCAATCAGCGGTGAAAAGAACTCTGTATTGCTATAACCCCTGAATCTGGCAATTTATGGGGGGATTCTGCATTAATTCGGTCTCCATAGGCTGTTCGTTTGACAAGTGAGAAATATCACATGACCGGAAAATCGGCATCGGGGGGTCCGAGGTCTGGGGGTTTCGCATGCGTGCGTTCTGACTTTCGGCGGCTGATCTTCCTTCACCGCTCATTTTCCTTCCATTCAGGTAATCATCCATACTTCAATACTACCTCCGTCGACTCCTATTCCCTTCACGATGTGGAAACCAGTGGTTGTCCCTTTTCAGAACTCCCACCCTCTGCCTTCTCTACCTACAACAGATGAAATCCGCGCTTGCACCAATGTTCTGTGGGAGACCATGGCCTCCAAGATTGTGACGTTGAACGACGATATTGTTGTAAAATATGGAGGTTGTGTAGACGTCTGGGAAGGCCAGGCTTTGGTTTATCTTGAACGACACGTCCCAAAAGTTCCGGCCCCTCGACTGTACGCGATGTACCATGACTCCAAACAAGTTTTCTTGATCATGCAACGCGTTCCCGGGGTGCAGCTGAATTCCATTTGGCCATCATTGGCGGACTCTGAGAAGGATGACATTATCGCCAAACTCCAATTAATATTCGACGCAATGCGAAAGGTCGAGTGTCCATGGCCCGACTTTTTCGGGGGTCTGGACGGGGGCGGCGTACATCACTACCTATTCTATAGCCAACATGGCGATGAGGACTTTCTAGGGCCTTTCACCGGCGAACCTGCCTTCGTTGCGGGTCTTGTCGGTAATTATAGAGCCTTGGTCGAACGCAATAATCTGCCAGACTACAAGGCTCGCTTTTACGAAAAATACCTCGCTCGCGTCCTTCAAGGTCACCGGCCCACATTGACGCATGGGGACGTTCAGCAGAAGAACATTATGGTCGTGGAAAATACAAGTCGCCCAAACGATCAAGGTGGGCGATCATTTGACATCGTACTGGTCGATTGGGAGAATTCCGGTTGGTTTCCTGACTTCTGGGAATTCTTTTGTGCATCTTACCCCCTTAATTTCCAGTGGGACGAAGACTGGTCCTACCGAGTCCAGGAGTTTGTTCAAGTATGGCCCGCCGAGATGGCCATAATGCAACTGATTGACAAGGACCTAGGCTATTGAAGTACGTTGCTATGTTTAGAACGACATCGGTGTATTTTTTTAATCACGAAGAAAAAATAATAAAACAAAACTTCACAAAAGACCAGTTATCCTAATTCCAACTCTACTTACAAATTCATCTCGTCATAAGTTAGTTACTGTAACATTGACAACCCGATGCTTCAAATTGAGCTATGTAAAATTCCTTCCTGTCACAACTTCGGAATCGCAAGCTGGTGTGTCCATTCATTACACTTCATGATTGGCCGTCGTTGTTCGCCTGGCCCGTAAAGCTCCCCATTCTGCTTCGTCCAAGTAAGCTTATTCCACTTAGTTCGATCCTTGGTCCAAAAGTCAATTCCCTGCTGTTTGGTCGGTCTGGGCAAGGCTTCCAAGATACCCCTTATTCTCTGATAATCAGCTTTGCGAATCCATCCGATCTCTGTAGTTCTGTAATAATGCCTGGATGCCCCAGGAACATAGTTGTCTCTCACTTCGAACCGCATGCCGCTATTAGCGATGATGTCGCCTGTGACGTGAAATAGCGCTCCTCGGAGAGTCTTTGCGTCTGTTTCAACGAAGATACCTGTGTGGTATCGCTTGGGAGGGTCCAGGGGATCGTAAGCTACCGTGTCGAACTCTGGTGTGGAGACTCTGTACCACTCGTCCCCTCTGTGAGCGTAGGGAGGGGTTACTCTTCTAGGTGTCGCCCTAGGTGCTGCCATAGGTGCTGCTCTGGGTGCCGCTCTGGGTGCCGCTCTGGGTGCTTGGGCCGTATCGCCCTTCATGGCGGCACCCTGGGTCCTTCCCCGAGAGCTGGGAGGGGGTGCCGCTCTTGGAGCTACTGCGGGTGCTGCTCTATATGCTCCTCTGTATGCCGTGGGGGGTGCTACGGCCGGTGCTGCGGCCGGTGCTGTTCTGGATGCCCCTCTGTATGCTACCGTGGGTACTACCCCGGGTGCCACCGCTGGTACTGTTCGAGGTGATGCCGGCCTGGGTGCTGGAACGGCGCTGAGCTGCGTGTTGCGGGATTCTTTTTTGTTGAACATGTTGGGTATTTAGACAAGAACGTGAGAAGAGTATAGTGTTAATGAAGAAAAATAGAGTATATTAAAGCATTAAGACACTAAATAGTGAAGATATGGTTGTTTCAGTAAAGATAGACAATAAACATTGATTATTTTTCCACAATTGAGCTCATATCGTCTTCCTTTTATAGCCAAAATCGATGTTCCTAATTATGAATGGAAGTGTATACTTCGACGTGATCTCTGAACATGAGACATTTCAAGTATCATCTCGCGCGCGCTAGCTGAGAAGTTAACAAGCTGAAACAAAACAATTGGAGAGTAATTCCTGAGAGGTCTCAAGGGGATCGTAAAAATAATCACGATGCCTTTGTTCAAACGTGTAGTAATTATAGTGTCGTAACAGTTGACAATGCTGAATTAAGCAATTGGACGACAGCTTCGGAGAAAATCCACCCGTTACATGCCGCGTATCAGTATAGCCCGCGGGGCCGGCATAGCCAATCGCTTAGAAATATTTAGCGCCGTGTCAGCCAGATGGGACCCGCGCGCTTTCTCCTTTCGTCTTTCTACATAGTTCACGTTTTGACCTATGCTTCAATGTTTAATGGATCAAGCCGCACATTTATGATCCAATTAGAGAAATCATATTTTATCTTCAAATATATCCTCGCGTAGATACATTCGGATCATCCATCTTCACCACACCATTCTTCCCACAGCTCGTAACTCTTGCTTATTCCCCCTTTCCGGCTCCCCAGACCCTATGGCGAATGAGCGGTCGCTCAATTCAAACTCATCGGAATGATGCAGAAAGCCGAGAAGAAAAGACGTAACATTCAGCTTAAGGCTGGGACGAAAAGAAAGAGCAACTGAGCGAAAGCAACAGTATCGATCGCTCACAGCCCTAGAACCGTCTCTCATTCTTGGGCTTCTTCTTCTCCTGTACGTAATTGTACACCAAACCCGCCGAGGTTTCGTGCCAGTGCAGACGAGTTTTCCTGTGCTTCATGTTGCGCGGAGCTGGCACGTGCCGAATGTCAGGTATCATCATGGTGTATCCGCCGGTAGGAAACGCAGTGCCGTCGAAGAACGCCGCGTGGTAGATGTCGACGACATCCATTTTCGGGAGGTCTTTCAGCCAGCGGCAGAAGGAGTCGCCCTCACCCTCGCTCTCTCTCTCCCAGCGGAGCCGTGGGCTGAAATTCCATTTCCGCTGGTAGGATCCCTTGGGTCCCTTCTGGAACTCTTTGTTCTCCTTGAGGGTCTTTTTTACTGGGAGCTTGGGACGTTTGAAGCGAGGGTCGGACTCGAACGTCAGCTTCGAGGTTTTGTCGACGACCACGGGGTAGATCACGGAGGACTCTTCGTACGCCTCCCACTGGTGGAGAAACCGAGGGTCTCCCGTCATGATGGAGCGCCAGCCATAGTTCGGATCCTCTTCTTTGAACTCAGCGATGTCTGGAATGACATGTGGCGGGTTGGAAGACCATGGAGGTTGCTGCTCAACTCCTTCGGCGAAGCGAGGTTGGCTGAGTGCCTGATAGGCCGGAGAATTGAGGTCGGTGCCAGGTCTACGACGCAACATGGCAATGATGGGGGAAATAGCCTCGTCGTTGAAACACCTTTCCACACTGCGGCGGTCGTCGTCAATGGGCCGGCCGGCCTTGATCATTGGCCGGGCATGCTTGCTCCGCTCGGCGGCCTTCTTCCGTCTGATTTTGGCTTTGTGCTCGAGATGCCATCTGTGCTGCTCTTCAAGCTGTTCATTACTCATGAGGTCCATGTGATGGTAAGGATCACTGGAGTCGGAATCGCTCTCGCTCTCGCTCATAATGGTCGGGTCGAGGATCTCTCCATTGATGACGAAAACGATTTCAGAGTCGTCCATCTTGCTCAAGTAGGTGAAGTGTTCAGAGGGAATTGATTTAGGCAAATTGAGGATGAAAAGCCAGAAGACTAAAAGATTGTTGAGGGTGGTTGATTGAAGGCAAATGAGAGAGGAAGCGGGTTGATTGTGAAGGGTGATCACCGCTTCGCTCCTAATGGCAGCAACTACTCCGAAATCAAAGGCGGCGTTTGACTCATCAGAAGTGCTGGTGGAAGTGATAGGGAAAGTATCAGATGATTGAACGGCGTATGCTAGCGCCCAGTTTTTCCGGAATACTACGCGACGACGCTTCATCGCTTCTGTTGGAAGTGAGGTTGCAACTGACAACAGAAGAAGCGTGAGATGAACACCTGCCGTCAATACAATCCATGATACCGCGAGAAGAAACCGGATTCCGAGAGAGCTATGAATTCCTCGGTTGAACCGGAGGAATGGCGTCTAGAACCCACGAAATTGAGGACTTTGTGAAAGTTGCGGCCCTAGTAGCGAATAATCCCTCAGCAGAATCGGCATGAATGCCAGATTCAATAGCAAGCACTTGCTTACCATTCTCGCGGCTTTTGAGGAAAAATGACGACCCCGGCTCCCAGTTAAGCTGCGCCGACGAACGTCCTCGAGAATGGCTTTCCTTCCCGGAAGGAGTCTGGTGCCCATGCCTGCATCCTCGAGGAATTTTTACATTATTCTGCTCGTTGTCATGGCTTTGGCACTCTCGTGTGAGGTGCTGTTGGTCACCGGCAGCACGAAGACGCTGTTCTCGTCGTTGGTTCGACTGGATTCCATGAAGCGATTGATACTTGGGGAGCCGCTGTGGGATCGTTAGAATGGCCAGGGGTTAGGTGCGCATAACGACATGTGACGGTCATGCAGATTGGTATAGATCGACTTGCTGCAATTTCGCTCCCTACCGGGCGATGGCCGGCACCTACGACTGAGATAGCGTCTATAATATGGACCAGAGATAGAGATACATCGACTGGATAGTATTTTATAACTTCAATTATCCTTTCAAACCTAAAAAGTTGAGCGTGAAGAGAGTGGACTGTCAGGTGAGATGTAGTGAGTGCCCTGGGCCGCGGCAGTAAATCCTTTTCTCACCTCCTCAACGTTCCCGCCAACCCTAACAACCAGGCTATTTCAGAGACCATGTTGTCAATACTACGAAAGGCGCGCTTAAAGGATAAGGAGATGCGTATCCTGATGCTGTATGGATAGTTTTTCAGAATTGGACGTTCTCTACTGATGTATCGCAGGGGCTTGGATAACGCGGGCAAAACGACCATCGTGAAACGGATTATGAACGAAGATGTCACGACGGTGAGCCCAACACTAGGCTTTAATATCAAGACAATCGACTTCATGGGGTGAGCAGTCCTAGCTGATATCATCAGCAATATTCTAACTGGGTTTACAGATACAAGCTCAATATTTGTGAGCAGAATTACCCCTCCGGTTTGCGACAGGACTGACTGTACTAGGGGACGTGGGCGGGCAGAGGACATTACGCTCCTATTGGAAAAATTATTTCGAAAAGACAGATACACTTATCTGGGTTGTTGATGCGACAGACCGTCTACGAGTGGATGATTGTCGCCAGGAACTCGCCGGTCTGCTCCTGGAAGAGGTTCGTTCCCCACTTTGATCACAAATCTTCGGGATCCCAATCTAATGGCCACCAGCGTCTCACGGGAGCCAGTCTTTTGGTATTTTTGAACAAGACAGATGTGGAACATTGCATGTCGGAGCAAGAAGTGCGAGAGGTAAGTGTGGACCGTTTATCTTGTGCGAGCCTGTGTCGCCGAATGTAGCTGACGAATACCGTAGCGTCTGGGCTTGGATTTAATCAAAACGCACAAGTGGACTATACTTCCGTGCAGTGCCATGACGGGGAACAACCTCAATGAAGGGTTGGAATGGGTGGTACAAGATGCGAAAGACCGACTTTTTCTTTACTAATCGGGACCCATTCCCACTGTGGACGAACTCCATGTGCATCTTTTCCAAGGCTAGTGTATCAATCCATGGGGGCACTTGATATGGTGCATTCACCCCTATTACCTTATTCTAAATTGCGTCTTTATCTGTCAATTGATCAAAAATACTGCGAGATGTTTCTCAGGTTCGTGAGTTTCTATTATCGGCCCAGGATACAGCGGGTCTTTGGGCGGTCGGACTAAAACACCTAGGCATACCAGTTGAGACTAGAGTTAGCAAGCGATGAGTAACTTTAATGTAGTGTAGCCTCGCGGATGCAGGTTGTATTGGATTCATCAGTGCTTTAATTTCAGTCTTCTTTGAGCTCTGAGCATTAGTTCCAACCGCGCGGGAAGCTGCATGGTGGCCGAATACAGTATATACATTGCTCAAGACGAACATATGTCTAGGTGCTTCTACCGGTGAGTAAATAGAATAATCTTTGAAGACACTGCCTACCGACAGCCCTGGACGCTATATTTTGTCTACTATAATAAAGAAAAATAATGTTTCGACCATCTCCGATACCTACTCCGCGGGTGCCATGCAAGGTACCAAGTGATAGATCACTTCCTTCACGGGAGGCAGAGTCTGATATATGCAGTCTGTGGCACGGAGAAATATCGTAAGCCCTGGAGACCCTTTCAACCCCTGACGAAAAGAAATCGTCATTGCGGCCTAACCCATGGGTCCAACATCGAAAGCCGAAAACCTGCGGGGCGCGGAACCTGGAAGCGATCCGCTCCACAAAACCTTGTAAACAAACATGCCGTTCCAGGGAGAAAACGCCCCGTATCACGTTAGTGTGTTGTAGACTGGACTGCTAAAAACTGAAACCGAAAGTAGTAGTATGATAGCCTGTTCCTGCGGGTGATAGATAAAAAATATGAAATGAAGATCGGAGGAGCCAATGACCATGGATCGCGTCCATCCCCATTTCATTTAAGCAGGGCGGAAAACATCTCAGCCCTTGAGTCTCCCAACTTCCCACTTCTCCTCCACCAACCCACTCCCGTCCCTTCAGGTACCTACATTTATCCTGAAGAGTTTGCCCTGCGGCAACGTGTGACGGGATCATGGCGACTACAACAAACCCTGACGGGTCTGAAGACGTGAATGATTTCCTGCTGCGTATCCGGGAACTCGGTGAACAACGCGACAAGGAAGACCAGGAGCGCACCAAGAAACTGGAAGACGAGATTCTGCAGGGCCGCGCAGAAAGACAGGCCCGCCGAGCTGGTACATTTTTAGCCCCTCCACTGAGCCCTGGATGAGTCTTGGGGTCTGTTTCGAGCTAGTCGGAGTCACAGCCCCGCGCGACTATGGGCTCCTCGAATTCCCCCTCATCAGATGGCGTGCTGATAAAGTGTTGATTGCAGAGCGAGCCAGATCGATCGCCAGTTCACCGTCGCTTAACCCATCGAGATTGAGTGCATCATCCCTCGGTCAGCCTTCCATCGAGCCTCCGGAGCATCTTGAGCCGACACTGCAGACCCAAGACCCGGAATCAGCGACCGCCGAATCAACTTATACTCTTGATACGAAGGACAAAAGACGCGGGTCGGCACATGACATAGGAATGGAGTCTCCACGGGCCATGCCCACCTTGTCGCGAAGCCGAACCGGGACCCTGTCATGGCAGCAACGCCCGCCGTCGCGGGATTCGCGTGATTTTGGCAACAGATCGCCCGGCTCTACGTCTCCCACACGCTCCAGTCACCTGCGGAATGCTTCGACAGCATCGGATGAGAATCAATTGCCACGTGCCCAGATTGCGCACTCACTCGGGTCGAAGGATCCTTCCTGGTTCCGTCAGACCCCAGACCGAGGACTGGGCTCGCCAGCATTCCGAAAGCCTGAAGAACGGCGAGGTAGTCAGGCGGACCTGGGGATGGGTCGTCCACTACCGGGAATGAGCCGCGAGTCAACAGTAGAACCGGAAAAAACACCTGTTGTAGATGGAGTGCCCGCATCCCCGCCGCGGACGGCTTCCACGATCGGCGAGAGCAGCTTCAGCAATCGATATTCAAGTGCGTCGTCGGTCTCTCCATCCGGTGGAATGGGCTCGCCGGTGGCTTTAACAGACGCCCCAAGGCTTGACCCTCCCCAGACTGAGCCTGCTAGCGAGGAGCCAATGCCACCATCGCCCACACAACGACGAATGTCTCCAGACCGGTCTCGTTCAACATCCCCCACGAAGGGTCTTGGTGGATTTGTCCAAAGCGCTATGATGAGGCGATCAGACAGCGTCTCCAAACGATGGAGCGCTCAAATCCCACAGGGGCTTAGTCGGTCAAACTCCATTATTAGCAACCGTAATAGTGTTGCAGCACCGAGTCTCACAGGCAGTGTGAGTGACTTGGCTCCTCCAACATCTTCCTCGCAGTTGAATCGGGAAACTTCGCCGCTGCCTACGACCCAGCGTCCTGCCTCGAGCCACAGCGAGGCAACCACCCGCCCTTCAGAGTCCACCGATAGACCCAAGACACCAACGGGCAACACCAGTACTTTGCATTCCGAGGGCAGTCCGAGTAGATCGGCTCGTTATGGTCACGCCAGAACCGCTAGCTCAGCGACTGCAGACAGCCAAGGCGGGGACGCTCCTTCAAGTCCATTCACCTCGAGAACGATGGATCCCAGGCGTTGGAGCCCGACTAAGGCCAGCTGGTTGGAGAGTGCTCTGAATCGACCTCCACCCGAGTCTCCACGAAACCAGAAACCTGCACCGCCCCAACAGCCTGCCTGGGCCAGAGAACGTCAGTCGAGGGGCAGTGTTGATATGGGGCGAGTGAGGAACTTCAAGGAGGTCACTCCAGCTGGTTTGATGCGGACGCCCCCACCAGGTTCCCATTTCAAGAAGCCTAGTCTTTCTACGGCTCCATCGGTATTTGACACCCCCAATGCCGGCAAGGCCAAGGAAGCTCTCGCAGAGTTCCCATTGCCTGCTGCTGACGTTGAACAAACGCCCATGAAGTCTGAACCAGTCGAGGAGAAGCTCGAGGAGAACCCGGAGCCAGTGTCCGAGCCGACGGAAGTAGAGACGAAGTCTCCTTCCACAACTGCACTAGAAGCCGAACCTCAAGAGACGCATGCAGAGCCTGAAAAGGTCGCAACCTCCAAATCGATTCGCAAGGAAGCACCTCCCAGTCTGAGCCCCAAACCGAACTTCTCGCTCCCTTCACGGGCACCCATCTCGAAGCCTAAGCCACAATCTCCCGTCGTTGATTTCAGAGCAAATCTGCGCAAGCGAGAAGTCGTCAAGGGCAGTGGACCGGAGCAAGAGCCGGAATTCAAGAATGTTTTTGGCAAGCTCAAGAAGACTGAGACTCGCAACTACAAGGCACCAGATGAACTTAAGGGTAACATCTTACGGGGCAAGGCTGCTTTGAACGTTACCGGTGGCCCGAAGAAGACCGAGCGAGTCGATGAATTTAAGGATAGTCTCGTGAAACAGAAAGAGGCCATGAAGGCCGGAGGAGGCTCAGTTAGACGAAACACCATCGAGGAAAAAGAGGCGCCGGCCCCTGCAGTCCCAGAAGCTATTGCGAAGCGTCAGACCATGACCAAGACAAATAGCGTCAGACGCAGCAACACCGATGAGCTAATTTCACCGGCCACTAATGATATTGGCTCCGTGCCCACATCGCCAGACACGCTGGCTATGCCTGCACCTATCGCTGCAAAGGAATTCGAAAAGGAGGCGCCTAGGGAACCCTCTCCTACCGCAACTGAGCCCCAGGCGGCTGATGTGGAATCGCTTCCCAGCCCGATCGTCAGGCCGAGGAAAGAGGAAAGCTCCAATGATGTGTTGGAGACAATCGGGCCAGTCGGGGACAAGGAACGGAAGGATTCCAACGATTCGGCCAGCTCGATGCGTGGTCTGCCATCGGCGAGGAGAGCGGCAGCGGCAGCGGCAGCCAGGGCTACTTCTCCAGGTATGCCTGCTAAAGGGAAGCTTACAGGCCGAATCAACCCTGCCCTAGCAGGCCTTCTTTCTCGTGGCCCCCCAGCAGCTGCAGGACCCAAGAAGGAGTTGGTGATCTCTCCTTCTGCGGAGAGCGACTATGCCTCTCCCTCGGCGCCGCTTACCCACATGACGAAGAGTCGTGCCAGGGGCCCCAAGAGACGGTTGCCCAAGGGAGATGTTGCTCCGGCAGTCTTATCCATTCAGGATACCGAGGTTGGTGCTATTTCGTCTCCTGAAGTCAGCTCCCAGACAAGCCCCGAGCCTGTGATTCCTTCGGAACCCCAGTCGGAAAGTGCGTCAAGAGAAAGCTTGGTTATCGATACTGAAAAAGCTCAAACAGAGAGCCCCGTTACCAAGCCCCTCCCATCAGTAAACACAAGCTTCCAAAATGTTCTCAACAGCGGACTGCAGAGGCTGAGAAGCATGTCTCCGATCTCCCCAAGCTTTCCGAAAGACACCAATACGCTCAAATCCAACGAAAACGTCACCCGTGATATTGAATCACCGGGAACCGTGAACCCATCGACTAGACCTCCTGTTCCGCCCAAGCCCAATTCATCCCCCTCACCTTCGCCATCCCCCGTGTCTTCTGCTGCAAGGCCTCAATGGAGCCAGCAATCGAGGTACGCGTCATCCTCGCCATCTCCTCTCAGGACAAGCTTCCGAGAGAACCAGGTGAACTCTCCAGGGACGCCTCCACAAGAACCGATTCCCGGTGTCATAGTCGCAGACTCTTCCCCCCAGGAGAAAAGACTTCCCTCTCCACCGCAGTCATCCAAGCAGGCCAAGTTTTCCCTTGGCAAGCCTGCTGATCACAGGCTGTCGCGAAAGATGTCTGCGCCGTCGCTCGTTGCACAGGCGGCGGATGCTCGAGAGGTGATTGGGACTTTCTTCAAAACATTTCCCAACTCTCGAGACCGTATGGACATCGATCCACAGTTGATGCTCACTACCCAAGTGGATGCTGCGAAGATTCGAACCCTAAAGCGTCAAATTTGGGAATTCACAGGTGATGGCAAGCGGCAGGAGGTTCCTGCCAACCAAGAGTACGTTCTGTACGAGGGAAGCATGTATCTCTGTGTGCATTCGTTCGAGGCGCAAAACAGCAACAGCTCCGAAGTATATCTCTGGTGCGGAGATGATGTGCCCGAGGGAGCCCTGGAGGATGCGCAGCTGTTCGCTCGCAAGGTTGCCCGAGAGAATGGCTGCAAGCTGGAGATCATCAGGCAAGGAAAGGAGCCCGTGCGATTCATCCAAGCCCTCGGCGGCATCATCATCACTCGTCGTGGAAACAATTCCCGCCACACCTCATCTTCCCTGTACATGCTTTGCGGACGGAAGCACCTGGGTCAGATGGCTTTTGATGAAGTCGATTACTCATTACGCAACCTTTGCTCTGGCTTTCCCTTCGTGATCTCTGCCCCTTTTGGCAAACTCTACTTGTGGAAGGGCAAGGGCAGCGGCCCCGAAGAGACTGGCGCCGCCCGCCTCATCAGCATGGATCTCGGCCTGACGGGCGAGTTTGAAGAGGTCGACGAGGGGCAGGAACCAGAGTCCTTTCTCGATGATTTCGCGGGTTCCAATGAAACCAACCCGCTTATGACGCCAGATCACTGGAAACTGAAGCCGAAGTATGACCACTACCGCACTCGACTTTTCCGCGTCGATCACCAACTCGGCCAGCCATCCCGGTTTTGGGGCATGCGCCGTCCGGGCTCGGGCTCGCCAGTCGTCCGTCCGAACGACTGTGTCCAGGAGATTGAGCCGTTTTGTTTTAAAGATATAATCGAACGAGATGTCTACGTCCTTGATACGTTCTTTGAGATCTATGTGTAAGTTTCTGGAGCATGATATCGATGAAAACGTCTAACTCTTTGTCACAGCATTGTCGGTGATCACGCATCACAAAAGTCCGCCGACTTCGCCTCTGCCGTAGTATTCGCACACGAGTACGGCATTCTTGCGGCATCGCTTCAGGACCGACCCTTCATCCCGAAGAGTTTTGTCGCACTGGGCGGTATCCCAGACCGGTGTCAAAGTGCGTTCCGCAAATGGGACCAGCGATCTCTCCATGCGCCTTGCGTGTTCCCTCTGGACGTGGCGATCGAGGCGATCCGGTCCCAGGAGCGCGGTGAGTAACCTTCGAGCCTTGTATTTCTTGCATGTTTTTTTTTTCTCTGTGCATATTTCGGTTTGTAAAGAGAGCATTCGCGGGAGGAGTCTTGTCTACAACGGTGTCTTGTGCCCTAGAGGAGCATGGTGGGAGCATCTGGCATGTACATCTAACGCTTGAGATATTTTGATTATATGCATTTCGCGTACAAGAATAGCCTTCATTGTCCAAGGTTGTATACCATTAGAGATCGGTGATAAAAACGCCATATCGAGCTTATCGGACAATCGGAGTTATGCACAACTCCGAGCTCCGGTGCCGAGGTCAACTTATCTTGATCGCGAACCATTGTCGCGTTATACTCCAAGGCTCCCAACTAGAATTATTAAGCAGGGAAATCTGGAATTCTGAAAGCAGGAAAAATCCCCGTCCAAGCGCATAATTCCAGATCGAGTGTAGCCTTGGAAACCTTGGTAAATCAATGATGGCCTGGGATTAAAAGACCAAAGTGGGCCGCCTTTATCGCGAGACGGCGACATTTTTTTTAGTGTGCCGTTTTCTTTTCTTCCCCCCCCCTGCAACTCCCCCACTCTCCGATCCCCGACTCCCGATATAGCAGACGATGTGACACCACTAGACGATGCCGTGATCTTCTCTCTTGGAATAAACATGGACCCCTTAATTGCCCGCGAGCTGTCCAAGCTCGAACCCGCGCTCCCATTCCGCGCTTCCACCGACTACCTGCATCACACTTGGGCCAAGACATTCTTCTCCCGGCCCGAGCTCTACATTCGCCCTCAATCAATCCCCGAAATCCAGCAGCTGGTGACACTCGCCCGTCGCTGTCGTCGTCGCCTTGTCACTGTCGGCAGTGGCCACTCCCCCTCCGACCTTACCTGCACATCCTCATGGCTCGTCAATCTCGATGACTTCAACCAGATCCTGCAGCTCGACACCGCTACCGGCCTGGTCACCGTTGAGGCAGGCATTCGATTGAGTGAACTGGGAGCGCGACTGGAGGAGCAAGGATTGACACTGAAGAACCTGGGCAGCATTGACAGTCAGTCAATAGCGGGAGTTATTGCGACGGGTACACACGGCAGCTCGCTGCGTCATGGACTGCTCTCGGAGTGCATAGAGGATCTGAGCCTGGTGCTGCCTAATGGTCAACTAGTGCGCTGCAGCGCAACCAACAACCCGTCTCTGTTCCGTGCGGCGCTCGTTTCCCTGGGCGCATTAGGAATCATCGTCGAGGTGACTTTCAAAGCGAGACGATCATTTAACATAGCATGGCGCCAGGAAAGATATACGCTGGCGAAGGTACTGGAAGAGTGGTCCACCGGATTGTGGACATCGCATGAGTTCGTCCGTGTCTGGTGGCTGCCCTATGAAAAAGGCGCGATTGTCTGGCGCGCGGATTCGACCAATCTTCCGCTGCGCGCACCGCCGAAGAACTTTTACGGCGACTGGTTCGGATACCACGTCTACCATAATCTGCTTGCGCTGTCTTCTTACGTTCCGCGCATTCTACCATGGGTGGAGTGGTTCATCTTTGGCATGCAGTACGGTTTTAAGGCAGGGACCACCGTAACCGAGGCAGTTGAGCCAGCCCGTACGGGCCTGCTGATGAACTGCCTGTACTCGCAGTTCGTTAATGAGTGGGCGCTGCCCTTAGAGAAGGGACCCGAAGCGATTAGCCGCCTCTCTGCATGGCTCCACGGCGATCTCAAGGCTTCGGGCATTCCATTCCCCACCAAGGGTTTGTGGGTGCACTGCCCGGTCGAGGTGCGAGTGTCAGACTCGACTAACAACCCCAACCCACGCCCTTTCCTCGACCCGACCTGCCATGACGGGCCCACTCTATACCTGAATGCAACTCTCTACCGGCCGTATCTCCGTGATCCGCCGTGTAAGCAGCGGTACTATGAAGCGTTCGAATGGCTCATGCGGGACATGGGCGCCAAACCTCACTGGGCCAAAAACTTCAATACTCTCGACTCCACAGAACTGGGCATTCTATACGCCGAGGACATGGATGAGTGGTTGAAGGTGCGGCAAGAGGTTGACCCAGAGGGCATGTTCCTGGGTGAATGGCACCGCCGCAATCTGCCCCTCCTCGACCTGAGCGAACAAGGAACCCGTGACCGAAGCGATCGGCTGCCTCTACTCGAGCGGGAGAGTGAGCGTCGCACGCTCAACATCAGCGGCGCGGGTGACGGGGTCGAATGGGTTGGAGATCGCCTCACGCAAGGCCACGGCGAGCGTCGTTTCTCGCACGAAAGCAGGGACGAGGAGCCGAACCACTCAGCGCCGAGTCCCCCAACCACGGCTACCAGTGAGGAGAGTTTCGACCTGCTTGCAAAGGGCGAAGCCAGCATCTTGCTCGATGCGAACCCCGGGCTGTGAAAGAAACCACTTCCCGAAACGGGCAAACAATATGTGGTCGGGTGAATAGCCCGCACCTGGGAATCGTTTCCCCTGTTGATCTGACTCATGGACCTGCTAGTTGGTCATGCGTTTGATTTCATGCAGGGTGAATCACTCATCATCATGATTTACAATTTCTTGTTAGGGCGAACTTGGCCGGCTGGGCTTCGTAAGGGATCACTGAAAATGAAGAGGCTTTCGGGCTCTTTCTCCCCTCTATTTTACCAATTTTGACGTCGTTTTTGTATAATTTAGATCTGGTCGTAGATAGCATCACTGCACATTCACGGTTTTTTTTGGTTTTTCTTTCAGATCTCGTGGTCATTGAAGTTTTGAAGCTGCTTGAACGTAGACATGCAGATCTGTGCAGGGAAGAAACCAAACAAGTGCCGTATTGAATTATTGAGTCTCGGGGCACTGTACGCCAGCAACACTCGCGCCTGGATCCCACGCCCGAAGTGGTCTGGGAGATCAGTTTCTCCCGGCTTTCTCCATCACTTGCCTGCTCTCCAATCCTGGCTCGACGTCTCAAGCATCGAGCAGACACAAAACTGCAAAAGATGACACACTCGAACAACCCGGACAACCCCCAGGGTTCGGGATGAAGCCAACCCCCAGTAGATTGAACATGGCGGTCACACCTTTTTTGCAGCCTGTGCAGCCAAGCCTACAGCTACAAAGCAGAACAGAGAGGGCTCTGAGATCAATGAAGATCTGGTCGTTCTGATTAGGGCTGCGTCTTGAGTGATGTTGCCCCTCCAATCCCAATACCAACGTGAGACCTGATCTCTGACCGATTTATCGTGCTCTGCTGCCGTGCCCTACTGTTTCTCCACGAGAGACGGAACAATCTCAAGATCAGCCGAGGGAACGGGGGTAACCAGCACGGCGACAATGGCCCGCCTCGGGTCCCCGATCTCACCTCAGACGCCCGACGGTGCCAACGGGTAATCAACTCCCCCCGTGGAAGCGGGTGACTCTGGAGGCCACAATCAACTGCAGACCGAATGGTAACCCGGTCCACATCCCGGGATCATCCATGGAGCCGGGCATATCACCTCGTACCACGTTTCCATTGGCAAGGATGTCAGGTGATATCGAGGGAGGTGCTTTGACCTTTGCCTGTGAATAATGGACCGGGGCTTTTGCTCTTGCTCTGCACGTGTTAACCGCAAGAAGAGACGAGACCGGTGTGACAGGACGTTTACACCCCATTGCAATTGCCTATGCACGGACTAAGCTTCGGGACACTCGCTGCCCAAACGTCATGGGTACCGTGGGGTCCGATCTACTGGCGGCTCGGACCGTGTCCATCTAATGCTCTCGGTTCGAGTGCGTGGGTGCAGAATCAGGAAAACGGTGTCCCTACTTCATTTGTCTTGCTTTGCCCGTCCGAGCTCCCTCGGTTCCACTCGACTTGGCGTTGATGCGCTGGGATCCCTGCCTCGTACCTATCACGGCCGCAAGATGTCGCGACACTCGAACAGCTGCGCCGGTTGATATTTTGACAGACCGCTCCACGTCATTCTCCGGTATCTATACCGCCTCCCGCTGTCGAGGGACATGATCATCCCACGGTGCTGATGCGGGGCGAGGAGGGGGGTTGACCCCGGCTCTCTGCAACACATGTTGACAATCAATGATATTAACGCTGGCGGCTGAACACTCTCCGGGTTCCATATTACCCACCCCACCTGCTAGATTTGATTCTTCTCTTTGCTGACCAAAGCTTCCGACTTAACTTTTTTTTCTCTCCTCATTTCTCGGCCTACCCATTGACCTTGCTCTTGCTCGGGTGCCGGGCCACGCGGGGAACACCTGCAACAGCTATCATGTCGTGGCAACCTAAGCTTCGGCCCAAGGGCTACCCTCATACCATTGATGACTTTGCCATGGCTTCATTATCAGAACTGGAGCAACGCTCTAGGACGGGTGAGGATAAACGAGACCAGCGCGTGTTTCGGGTCAAGCGCAAGCATGTCCTGAAGGCATGTGATCGGTGCCGCGTCAAGAAGACAAAGGTTCGCTTTGCGCTGTGTCCTATTCCGGAGAAACAGCATACTCATTCTTCTGCAGTGTGATGGGAAACAGCCTTGCAACCGCTGCTCGGTTTACAATCACCCTTGTCTTTTCCGCGAGAGGAAAGCTACTCAGACCAAGGTTTACTCACGAGGGTGAGTTTGTTGACTACTACGAGTAGGGTTTAGACAGAAGACTGACTGTAATATCGTGTAGATTCGTTGAGATGCTTGAATCCCACCACTCGCTGGTGGTCAAAGCCTTGCAGAAACTATACAAATTCTGTGTCAACAATGAAGGCTTCCCGGGAGAACCTCTAGCAGAAGCACCAGATGGGCACCCTCTGACGCACGCCATCCTCGACCGACTAGGTCTGATTAAACAAGCCGAGGAGAACGCGGATGAGCCCGATGAAGACTCCGAGGACCTGAGATACCTTCGGCTGCTATCCACATCCACCGAGTGCAGCGTCACAGCAGAGCCATCCCCCGAGCCTGCCACACCTCCTGAGCCGTCACCGATAACGGAGTTCCGACCATCCATCTGCAATCCAATGTCAACTCCTCTGACCGCGCGCAGCAATTCCAGTTGGCAGTGGGGTATGCAGTCTGTTCAGCAAAGCCCCTTCAACTATGCAGAGGCCGGGTACCAGGAAATGATCACCATGCCCCGATCCTCTATAAACGCGCCAGATCTAGCACCAAGTGAGCTCCCGCCCCATGTCGACATGACTACTAGATCCTCCGTCTCCCACGGCCAACGGCACGATCAGTCTCTTGCATACTTCCTTGATGGAAACTGCAATACTCAAGATCAGACAGAATCCAAGGCTGCGGTTAGGATGCACCCAGGGATCATACCCGAGACACATAACCATCCCATGGGTAATCTGTCCAGTGACATACTCGGTGACTTCCAGTTTCAACAACAAGAGTCCCATTTCTATCCTGGGTTCACTCCAGGCTGGACCTTTCCCTCGGGATAGATCGCCGACTATGGAGTTTTTGGTGTCGTTTGGACTTGGCTGCTGGGCAGCACTTCCTCATTTCACTTCTTGATCATAGCTTTTCATCTCTTCTTTTCTCTTCTACGCAGAATCTCATCACATCCACATCTCGGGCCCTTCATTCAAAGGCTATTCAGATTGGAGTAGGAGACTGAGACTGGGAACCCTTTACCATCCCCTGACCCCTTCCCCGTATGTTCAACGGTATTATTCAAGAAGACAGAACCAGGTTATGCAATTGGAAGATGTCAGGCACATGCCATAAGCCATAACCATTTTATTGATGATTTGCCAAATTTTGTTTTCCCTATCTCATATCTAGTTTGAGATACAAGACACGTCGCAATTTTAGGTCCTCTTCAATCCCGGCGACCAGGTAGAGAATCCGCGTTGATAGATTTGCTTTGGCTAGAGGGTGTTATGGACACAAGTCACGGTACATATTACGAACCTGAATGAAAATATGAATTCCATTCGGAGAATATCTAGGCATGGGACCCCGGTAGACGCGGTATTATTTCCGTCGAGGCATGGACGCAGCCAAGGGAATATCAAAGCACGGACACCCAAGCCGGCATCAACCCAGGGACCCGCGTCTCGAGACAAGCAACACGGGGGGCGCCTGCAACGTTCGTGCGCGATGATAGAAAAGCGAATATGTAGCACAGCGCGGCGCCAAGTTCCCCAGAGGGAATACAAGGCCGACCCTAGAGAGCGATCAATGGCCAAGATTGAAGAATAGGAAGAAGAAATTTTGTATTCCCACGTCTATTTCCGGCGTTGGACGGATGCGATATGTGGACATGCAGAGAATCAAGGAAAAAGAAATACATGGTAAACCGACAAACTACCCTAAACATAGGTATTGGGGGGAGAAACAACACGCCGAGGATACCCGATGGGACAAGAGAGAAACATAAAAACAAACCCTGAAGATAGATCACTGTCGCACCGGTCCGCAGTACAATCCGTCAATCAAGGTGGGCAGAGCGGTCAATCCTCATCTTCCGTCTCTGTGTCGGTGTCGCTGGTATCGCCTGCATCGCCATCGGTGTCACTCTCCTCGCTGGAGGAGTCGGAAGGCTTCCTGGTCTTCTTCTTCGGGGGTTGGCCAGTCTTGAGTGCATGCATCTGGCCGGCGATGGAGTCTGAGAATGAGGGTCAGTGGTGTTGATTGAAGAGCACAGAAAGGTGAAAAAAAAGAGACTTACCCTCATCTGGTTCGCTGATTTCGTCCTCCTCTTCCACGGTTGCTGCCTTGGCCGGGTCGTCAATGTGCAGCGTAATCTCCATCTTGGTGTCTAGGCCCAGATAGCTGTCGCAGACCATGTGCATTACGAAGGTGAAGTCGCCCTCCTGTGGAGGAGCCTGGAACTGCATCTTGAGGGTCTGAACGTTGAATGTGGGCTTGCCGGCTTCGTCGAGAATCGGCTTGTCGAATGTGGTGAATGTGAATGGTGGAACGGCCATCTTGCCCTGCTTGGCGTCGGCCAGGAAGATGTGCCAGCGAGGGGAGTGGTCACGAGCAAAGTAGGGGGCGTGGGCGAGAGGCGGTTGGATGGTTTCCACCTTGCTCTCAACCTTCTTACCGTCGACGAGCTTGGTGGCACGGTTCTTGGCCGGTTTGCGGCCCATCAGGGCGTCGAGGTCATCCTCATCCGGATCAATGTCCTCCAAATCAAGTTCGTTCACTGCCGGGACTTCGGTGCAGCCAGGCGGGACAAATCGAGCCTTGACCACCAGTTGTACCAGACTGCTAGGAGTGATGACCTTCTCTCCCATGACCTTGAAGAACGCTCTGGAGACGTCCAGTGCGGGTAGTTGCCGTGCAACCGAGACGGCATCAGCGTATTGCTTCTCAGACAGGAGACCAGCGCCCACGGTGAGGCTGCGCCGTTGTTGCTCGGACATCTTCATGAACTGCTGAACCGTAATGTGTTCCTTGGTGTGCTCGCCTTCCACGGACCTAACCACGGCGTCGGTGAAATTGGGGAGTTGCATAAGCGGCGACGCACCCGGAGCCAGCGCCTGAATCAAGTTCTGAGACGTCTGGAAAGCGCCGAGAATTGGTCGAAGATTGCCGAAAGCCAGAGCGATCGCAGTAAAGGCCTCTCCCAAGGAGAGAGCAATAGGAGCGGCCTCGTATTTCTCAGCGTCAAGGGTAGCATCGCCAAGGTCGATTCGGCCCAAATAAGCCCACAGCAAAGCCAGAGCCTTTCGCCGAGTTGTGTTGTCCATTTGCTTGATAGTCTCACGGTCCTTGGCAGAGAGGAAAGCCCATTTATCGGCCAATACGTTCTTCTCTAGCTTTGCGAGACCCGTTTCAGCCTGAGCACCCTTCAGCATATCCTTGAACTCCTCGCCGGAAGACAAGGCGCTAACAATGCCACCGTCGGTGATGTCTTCCTTGTATTCGCGGAAGATGTTCCCGGCACTGGCGACCAAAACACGCTCCTTAGTGTAGCGCTGAGAGCCGTACCACCACTTGCCGACGATGTACGGCAGAAGAACACCCAGGAGGGCTCCATAAACCAGCAACACGTATTTTCCATTGCCTTCCATGACGATGAGCTTAGGAAGAGCAATGCCAATGCTGAAGCTCTGCTTGCCGTCGGGGTGGCCATACTGGAGATAGTTGTTACGGATATCCTCGTCAGTCAGTGCCTTGTAAGCCTTGGTGAGCTCCACGAAGCGCTCGTTCAGGGTCTCGATGGTTTCGTTCTTGGAGGGGTCAGGTCGAATTTTATCGGGGTGATAGATGAGGGAGAGGCGCTTGTAGTGTCGGGAAATAGCTTTCTCGTCGGCGCTCTATATGGAATCATTTTTGTCAGATTTGAATGTTTAGAGAGGTCCGCACACTCGTGCTCGAAAAAAGGACACGCACCCTTGAGACGCCCAAAATATCGTACGGGTCATATACTTTGGTGGTGGTCCGGGCCGTGACCATGATCAGATAGACCATCCAGGCCATGACCACGTATCCGAGAATTACGGTGATAATGCGCTTGATTCGGCGCTCCTTGCGCAGACGCTTGCGCTTCTGCGCCTCGACGAGGTCGGCATGTTGAGGCTTGAAGTCGGATTTGATGCGGGGAGCGGTATTTTCAAGCTCTGCCAGACATAGAATTTTAGCAGGCGCTCCTTTAAATTAATCGATCCAGGCGAGCTCACCTTTGCTTGGTCGGAGGAGGTTATAGGTGAGAGGAAGAGTGACCAGGCCGCTCAAGGTCAAGATGAAGAAGGGGAAGAATTGTCCCTGAACGCGAACAAAGCAGCACTGTTAGCGAGTCCTTCTGCCATGCCGTATAATGTAAAAGCCTCACCTGCTCATCATAGGTGTAGTCCGACGACATCCTGCGGCGGGTTCAGGGCGACAGCGGTGGCCGCCGCGTAATTAAAAGATCGTAGAGTGCAGAGTTGGGAGCCGCTCGGTATGGGCACAAGTGAAGAAGAGAAAGAAAAGAATCCTAAACAACGAGAGCCAGAATCATGGCCCTTAAGCAACAAAGGAGCGATGTAGGGAGCATCGCACTTCCTGATCTGGTGATGACCGTGTCCTCAAGGAGAGGACACCGCCTTCCTAACAGGGAAAGTTGTCTCTTTGTGCGTGAAGGCGGTGAAGTAAGGACAACTGTGCACTTGGCTGATTGTCAAGGTTCGAACTAGTTGTTACTATCTATGCAAGATTTTCCAAGGTTCAACTGTACAGTTTACGTTCAAGAAAATATTTGAAAATTGAATATATTCAAGCTCCACCTAATGTTAAGCTATTGACAGGGTTCGAAGTGAATCGAACAGTTTGTCCGCCGAATTCCTCGCTATGTAGCAGGTACATCCACTTCCTCATCTGGTGAGGTCGTGACAGAACAGATTTGCGTGGATGCAAACAAGGCATGTTACTCACCGCATGTTTTCAGGGACACTCAAGCGCCAACCGAAAGTTGAACGCGAACTCAACCTGGAGTCACGCGGGAGGGTCATGACTCATTCGCGGGTGCGCGAAATTGCAGACCAAGATCCACATGGCCGGGTCAAAAGGGACCAATCCGATACCTTTGGGGCATCTTCATTGCTTCAAGTCGGGGACCCGGGTAGTCCATGTGATTTGGCGTTCGGTGCGTCAGTCGGTTTGTGGGTGCGGGTTGGCGGAGGACGCTGGTCCTATGGCCAAATTCGGCGGCGTTTTTTAGTTGTTGATCGTAAATCATCGCAATCGGACAGGCGTTTCATGATTTTTGTTTTTGTTGATTCTGGGAACACTGGAAACAGAGAAATCCAAAGATCTCCGAGCATTCAATCTCCGAGGGTGCAGTCTCGTCTTCTGAAGATCCATGGGTCAGAAAGATGCGAATGAGACCGCGGAAAGGGGACTACTCACGAGTCGATGAAGTCGAGCCCACCGAAGTACTCTAGCATTCGATAGCAGAGACTGAGATCGTCGCCTGGCTCGCCGCCAAACAGACGGTACCGTGCGGCGTCCAGTCCACCAGATTCCAGCTGCGGAGCAGATTCAGGGATCTGCCATGCGGTATACCCATATTGCCAAGTCGGGGCGAGGGACACTGGAGCCGGAGATCCAGATGATAGGCATGCAGCAGACTGATTGAAAGCTGATAGCTCGGCGTAAATGTTCGGAGGGCTCAAGGCAGACGATGCAATTGCCGGAGAGTTTGGAGCTTGAGTGAGAGTGGCCGGCGTTTCTTGACTGGAGTAGTGATGACGAGGGCGAGTGCGGCGTCGGTTATGCCTTTGACCCATCCTCGATGCACGGAAATTCAAAGGAAATGAAAGCAGCAAGAACTTTTAGAGGGGAGCGACCATCACCCCTGGAAAGGATGAGATGAGGAGGGGAAAATCCGCTGCAGGGGTCAGGCACCTTTATATAGCATGTCAACTTCTACGGGTCCTCACCTACGAGTGACTCACGTAAGGGCAAAAATAACGGACCCACAGTGGGACCGCGCAAATTCCGGCAGATCACCTTATGGCTTTAAAAAATGGCGCCAATCCCTTACACTAGCTCCCCTCGAAAGGCGTGCTTCCATGCGTCAGACATCAGTTGGCTGACGCTATAGCCATCGCGCCATTTTTCCAAGCCTTCGAAAACTCTGGGTCTACCAACCATGACCCCCGACATTGAATGAGGGGATTTTCGTAATCGGGTCTGCATGGCAGCCTGGAATGCGTCAGAATAGCTGCCTAAGCAAAAATAGAGGAATGACGCAGCGAAAAATTCCCCATCGGCCAACGCAGACTCCGACGCCGGGCTGTGGGCTGAGTGCCGTGCGGACCGAAACGGAGATCGCATCAGGCTACGAATAACGGATATGCGGGAATGCGTGGTCTCACCCGGCTTTCCCTTTTCTAGTAAGAGAAGAAAAAAGCATGGACCATCGATCTCGGAGACACTCGCGAGACTCCGAGATCCTGACCGCTGAAAAATCATCCTCAACTAGTCATAGCTTAAGACGTAGTGCATGCCCCAGGGCAGAATTTTCTACTGTGTATTTGGAAGCATAATTTAACTCTGGGAGTTTTCTCAAAATATTGATTAAACCAAACCACGCACCACGCACCACGCACCACGTACCACGAGTCCTGAAACATTCCTGGCCTTCCCTAGCAGTGCAGAACCCCCCTGAAACTTGCTCAATTGCAAACTTTAACACGTGGGTCTACTGAAAGGCAAACATCTTGATCTCGATGCTCTCCCTTGCAGGACCGTTATCCGAATCCGGGTCCACAAATGCCGTGTGAGGCAGCGTCATACCTCCCTGATCTGCCTGGCTGTCAAACTGCCGGAAGATCAACGCTTCCTGGGGCCGCTGCCTACCCAGATAATACCATTTCTGTCCCGGGTTGAACGAGTACTTGCCCAGCTCATTCCATCCTGTGGGGAGTACCAGCCGATTGGCGATGCGGTCTTGTCGCCAATCTAGACTCTTCCAGTCGCACACGGCGAGCGGGTCTCTCTCGACGGTCTTCAGCGGCCGCCAAACATTGATGATTTGCATTCGGCCCTTCAGCAGACGCTGTCGCTCGTCTGCGTCCCGCACTACCGACTCAAGTTGACGCAGGGCGCCAGCAGGCGTGAAGTCGGAATGCACACTGTGTGCAGGTGCGCGATTATTCGCGAGCATGTTCGCATCGTCTGCGAAGCATCGCACTCGGTGGGTGAAGGTGATGGTCTTGGTGGCTCCAGTTCTAGTCTCTGAATCAGTGGTCGACCCACGTTAGAGAATCATCGGCCTGTACTTACGTTTGCTGAACCAATTTCTCCATCTCAGGAATGATGACTGATTCTATGTACGTCAAGTCTGCGGCGTTGTCAAGCCCAGGTATTTCGTGGCGGACATATTGGAATCCGTTCTGGTCCAAGGTGAATCGAGCCTCCTGTCCTCGGATATCTTGTACCTGAACGGGATGCCTCTCGTCCATGGCCTTCATTGCTGCCATACCTTCCTCGGGCTTGTTCTTGGTAAAGTCCACGACCACACTCAGGTCTTCGGGCCGTCTCCAGAACAAGAGTTCCGTATCCACATTTCTAACGTTGGATGGCATGTTTAACTCCATGTTGATAGCCATGCAGTGGTGGAATGGAAAAAGTGCCGGACAGGGGTCCTGCCAAATGCCGCGTTGTGGGAATGCCGAACATTTCAAAGTGATCGACAAGGCGAAAGCGTGTCGGCGACCTTCAGATCCGGGGCGGATGCACAATTCGGCTCTTAAGCACCACGGCTAATCAGATAGGGAAGGCAATTGCGGTTTTACCCCGTACTAATCCCGAAATTACTCGATCGGCACCTTTATGCGAAGCCGAAGGCGAATACGAACTTTAATGTTGTGCGGAGACCCCAGCCTGTCCGCTGGATTCACTGGCCGATTTCCAATGTTCAGTAAATCAAGAGAATTTATTTAACGCATAAAATTCAAACTGTGGGGTTAAAGATTTGTGCTTCCATCTACGCCTACGACGTCACCTTAAAGAGCATGAAAATAGCTAGAGTTGCTTTGGCACCGTTCAGCAATGATTTCAAACCATCAGAAATGACATGACTCTTGTGAAAATAGAGTTCTTTAAGGCTGTGAATTCGATTTTCTTCGAAGGCTCCCGAGAGATTTAGTCTTTCTAGACGCGGGGTGACCTTTGATAAAGGCATCCTTCATCGGCACCATTTGTCTATTCCATTGGTTTTTGACAGGTCTTCGGCCCGTCTCCTGGCACTCAATAGCCAGAAATGAAAGCATTTGGAGTATCTTCGACGAGCCTATCTTCGAACCTCCATACCCAAAACCCCTGTGCTTCGGTACCATGGCGCCCTGGTTGATATTTGTAGGCGAAGTCACGCCAGCATCTACTTGGATGGTCACGGTATTCACGGCCACGATTATCAATCCATATCGGCTTTCCTGACCAATATTCATATTTCCGGGTCAGGCCATCTAACGGGGGGAGGCTTGTTCGTACACGTACAATCTCTCCTGACCTCCTATCTTCTTTCGAGTCCAGTGTCGCGCACAGACGAACCCATCAGCGCCAGGCAAGTCTATACAGCGCGTACTGCACAGTGCATTGGCTAGATATATGTCGATCGATCTTTCGAGGGATTACACAGCAATCGATGGGACAAGGGAAAAAATCCTCGGTCCATTGTTTCCTAGAAACCGTGGTACTGGTATCAGTATCCAAGAGCTGTGGACTGAACGTGTTCATAAGGTTGTTTACTGTAGTCGCCATGTTCAAATTATATCGTTAATGGAGAGTGGGACGTTGGGTTCCTACAGGACTCGAGAGAATAGAATGGAGGAAAGGGATGATCTTTTATTTCAAGTTCACTGGGGCGGAAGACACACCAGGCACTTTGGGTCAACCAATACCCTCATAATTAGAATCTTGCCAACGATCTTACCCCTAACTAAGACGCCTGTGAAAAACTCTACCGCTGCTCAGGCATATAATAGCGACCCCGCTTTGACCAGATAGTACGCTTGCACAGATCAGCCGTGGCACGCTGACTCACTCAACATACGACCCAATAGTTACATTCTGACCGGAGTTATTCTCAGCTGAGCAATACACTCACGAATCAGCAGTGCATCTAATCTCCACCAGCACCCACCTTTATTAACGGACTAATCGGCACCCATTAGGAATAACTATTCTGTATTGAGGCTTAAAAATAAGGGGGTAGAGATATTCGATCGCAGACACTCTTGGACGCGGTTGGTACTAGTGTATGTATACCTAAGTCCTCGTTTCCGATAATTAAGAACATAATGGAGTGGGGAAAATTAAAGCGTTGCTAGGAGCGTGTGCTTAGCTCAACAAGAAACTGTCTTTATGTGCCGGTGCGTTAACAAACTCAGGCATGGGATAATTTGGTCCTCCTCGGTAAGGGTCGCTGATATGCCATCCGTGACGAGGCAACGGGTGCGCCAGACATTCAACGTAAAACCATCAAAGAACTCTATTGCTTTACTCTATGATAAAAGGATCTTAGGGTATGTGAATCTAGCTCGTCATCTATTTTCATTGGTCTTGGGTGGACTCCCAATCTAGATAATTGACACAAAACGGACAGTGGATTTCTCCGTACTAGTGGCTGTTTGCTTAGAGGGTGATCAGGTCATATTCAAAATATCGGAGCGACTAACTCCGCAAAAACCGAGATATAATCATTGAGTTCGCTTAGATCTATATTCGTTCCAAAGATGGCCGCCAATGGCCACGGGGTACCGTACAATGATCTACAACGTCGACTATATGTACTTTCAAAGCTCTATGTAGATCTTCGAATGATCGCAAGCATCTCTTCTCCCTTCGGCGCGGTGGTGAGGTTCTCATAGCCGTTAGCAGTGACAAGAATATCATCCTCGATGCGTACACCACCAATGGAAACGTATTTATCAGCAACATCAAAGTCGATATACCGAGCATAAGGCTGCTTGCGTGCATTGGCAAGAGCCAGAGGCGAAAAGTAGATGCCGGGTTCGACGGTAACAATCATACCCTCTTCCAAGAGAGGGGCGGAGAGTGTGCAGGGGGAGCGGCTAATAGACGGGTTCAGAACTGGACCATACTGGGCCTCGTCCAAAGAGGGATGAAGAGCCATGATTGCAGACTCGGAGACGTCATGGACTTCAAGTCCAACGTGGTGACCGAGACCATGAGGGAAGAACACCTTGGATGCGCCAGACGCACGGATTGCAGAATGCGTCCCGTCTTTCAAAATACCCAGCTTAAGCAGGCCATCGATGGCGATTTCATGAGCCAGGTCGTGTAGAGAAAGGAAACGGGTGCCTCGTCGGATCCGCTTGATACATTCCTCCTGCATACGCTCCACCAGGTGGTAAATGTCCTTGGTGTATTGGTTGGGCCACTGACCAGCAAGAGGGAAAGTCCGCGTCACGTCACTGGCGTAGCAGTTCCATTCAGCACCGGCATCGAGGCAGACAAGAGGTTTCTTGTTGAGAGTTTCATTATTCCGGTCGTAGTGGAGAACAGCAGCATTAGGTCCGGACGCTGCGATAATCTGATATGCCTGGTGTCGTGCGCCGTGCGAGATGCAGGTGTCGAGGAACAGTCCTTCGATTTCGGATTCGTTCTTCATTTTCGAAATGCGCTCGAGAATGCTTCGATGGGCGAGCCCCGAGACCTTATTTGCCTGGCGGATCATCCGAATCTCATATTCGTCCTTGACGCCACGTGCTGCATTTATGGCAGGCAATAGCTGATCCGAGTCCAGCGGCAGCTCTTCCGGGAGACCTTTCGGTTTCTCTGAACCGTGGACCATGTAGAGGAGGCTATTATGCACCCGCTCACTCAGCCAAGATTCCAGCTCCGGCAGGAGTGAGGAGTAGTATTGAACTCGATCCACGTCATAGTGGTCTTGCGCTTCTCCTCGCGAAAGGGTCGGGCCCATCCAAATAGCCCGGTGGAGGTCAAAGTCTGGCACGAAAAGGGTCAGCACGTCCAAGCCCACATCGTATGTAAGAGCGCAGTCTGGCTCGTCGACGCCGCTGAGGTAGTAGAAGTATCGTCGCTGCCGGAAGGGGCGTGCTTGGTCCGAGTCGCGGAGATTAATCGTTGGCTGTCCGGCGATGAAGATCAGACCGTGAGAGACACCGAGTTTGCGGGCGACATTACGCGCGTGCTGTTTAGCTGTAGAAGGGAGGGCGGTTAGCTCAGGCTCGGCATGATCGCCGGGTTCCAATAAACCAAAGGGAGCTTTGCAAGAAGGCGTAGACAATAATTGACGGCATTCCGACCTTGCGGAGCTTCTCCTGGCTCAGCGAAAAGGGAGACTCGCCTGGGTATTTATCGCAGGAGGTGCCAGACACGGCTAGGCGGATGTGGTAGGAGTCGACGGAGTTGATCATGACGGACTGCCCTACCGAGGAGGTGAAGGGAGTGAGGGGAGCATCGGGGGCCTTTGCACGCATTTGGAGGATAGTGGAAGCGATGGGAGGGTCACGCTGACTCGCTGACTCGCTGTGCACCGGGGACCAAGTAAGGAGCCACGAGGGGGAGGGAGGGGAAGAGAGGAGCGAAGGAGAGGCTTATCCAGAGTAAGGGTGGCCTGGACGGTCGGATACCTCCATGCGCCAAAACTGACAGGTTCCTTCGCCCGAGAAGTTTAAAAGAAATAGTCCGTAGTCGCGTAGAAAGACCTGAATCACGAGAAAGGCGGAGAGTCGGGCCCCGACGAAGGCTACTGAGTATACACGGCCCCAAGCCCAAGCCCAAGCCCAGTCACCGGAACCGTCTTAGATAACCCAAGTCTCTTTTGTCCGCCTGCGTCTCCCACTTATCTCCTCCTCTTCCACTGCCTCAGACCACCCACGTTTGCCTCCCACTGTTTTTACTTTTTCCCTTTCTCTTGATTTTTGCTCTCCCTCATCCTTCGGTCAATGAACGATGCAGGGTCTTGAGGCAACGGGCCCCGGTGCGCTCGCAGGCCTACCCTCCACGCTCAGAACGGTGATAGGCAACCCGACGACGTCACCGCTCGGCCTCGCATCCTCCCAGTCCCTCCAAACTGCTCTCCAGACCCCAACGTCCCTGTCGCGACAGCAAATACAGGAGAATCTGCAGCATGTTATTTCAACTCTCTCCTCCGGCTACGATGCTGGACGCGTGGTTGCCGCCAGTGGCGAATCCTCCGGCTCGACCGGCAAAGGCATCCTGATCGGGATCCTATCCGCCTTTGGCTCGGCGGCTATCGCATTTGTCGTGCTAGCGATCTTCTTTTTCTTCAAGTATACTCGCCGCGGGCGGATCATGCTGGATCGCATTGGCCGCCCGGGTGAATTTGACGACGAGCAAGCATTTGCGCGGGAGGAGGAAGAGGCGCTGGAGTCCATGGACGACTTGTCACGGTCGGAATACCTACGAGCGAAAGGTAATACCGAATACACTGCTATGAAAGGGTTCCTTTACTGACATGTGATGTAGCGTGGGTCCAGTCAAATCCACCGGAGTCCATCACGACCGATATTTCGCTGTCGCAGTTCCTGGCCATTCAAGAAAAAGGTGTCTCTGCCTGGGAATTCCAGCCCGAGCTGGAGATCGCCAACTGCTTTGTGGAAGGACGCACAGAAATCGAGTTTTTCGATTCTGAGTGTAGCGTTCAAACGAACCTGCCCATTCCCAAGCAGAACGAGGTCTACTACTGGGAGGCGAAGATCTACGATAAGCCCGAATCAACAATGATCGGAGTCGGCCTGTCCACCAAACCGTACCCTCTTTTCCGCATGCCTGGTAAGTTCGTTACGAGCTGTCCCATCTGACATCCAACTGATTTCGTCCAGGCTTCCATAAAACCTCTGTTGCCTACGAGTCGACCGGCCACCGCAGACTCAACCAGCCGTTTACCCCGACTCCTTATGGCCCACCTCTCCTCCAAGGCGATGTCATCGGCGTTGGCTACCGACCTAGACAAGGCGCGATTTTCTTCACTCGCAACGGCAAGAAACTCGAGGATGTCCCCAGCAGTTATCGCTCACAAAATCTATTTCCTACCATTGGGGCCAACGGCCCCTGCAGTATCCATGTCAATTTTGGCCAGATGGGCTTCGTGTTCATCGAAGCTAATGTCAAGAAATGGGGCTTGGCCCCAATGACGGGCAGCCTCGCCCCACCCCCACCCTATGGCAGCGAGCAAGGCAGCATTTTGCTTGAATCGGGCCGCGAGAGCGCTGCCCAGATTTCCCAGCGCGTTTACCAAACTCACACCGCGAGAAGCTCCAGTGTCGGACTTCCACAGGCGGTCAGCCCCGGCCCCATCCGATCTCCGACCGAAATCTCCCTTGCTCAGCTGGCCCACATTCCTTCCAATGAAGATGCAGGCGAGGGCTCTAGCCGCATTGGCGCAGATGGAGAAGTCGACGGTCCTACTACTACAGGCGGAGCTCCGGATGAAGACGGTGTGCCGCCTCCAGAGTACGAGAGCCCAGGAAGCAGTCGCCGAGGCAGCGATGCGTCCACCTCTCTGGAATTTCCTGCAAGGACATCCCAAGGTACCCGCCAACCCCCGGATAGTCCCAACTCAGATACTCGGGACCTGCCAAGTTATCAAGCTGTGGTAGACCGGGAGTTCAGAGATCATCAGTCAAGGCCCTGATACCTCGACTTTTATACGCCCCTGCTTTTGAACATACTCCCCTCACCACGGTTCCGAATACGGACAAACACTATACCACATCATTTTCTTTATCGTTTCAATTAGCGAGTTCACGGCTGGCGTTATAGCAACTCGGCAGGGCCGTTTTTATGGGACATCTTTTTTTTTGGGAAATATCGTGTCTGGGATGAACGGGGTTTTGAGTCATTGTTTTCCCGGGGCCTTTAAAACATGGATCCCACACGAAGTTATGTACAAGGGGGTCATCGCTAGCCTTGCCTCTCGCTTTTTTTTGGTGTCGTTTGTATCCTTTCCATACCCGTCGGGCAGGTCTGTACATTTTGTGATCTAGCGCCCTCAATACCCCGAGAAAGCCCTCTGTGCAAGCATTTACTGATAGCCGTTCATTGAATTGGCTCATTCACTCACTATCCATGATTCCAACTTAGAAATCTTAGTAAAAAATCGGCTTCCGAGAGAGCACGCGATCCAGGCATATCAGGAAATCAATGGTCTACCCAAGTCATGTAATTGTCTGTTGTACAGCACTGAGGATCACCCGTGCCCTCGTATTGCGTCATGGATCGAGGTCTATCGATAGACTGATATCACAGCTTATCGGTGTTGTCTATGGTCTGCTCCTCCTCAGAGGATGATCGATACGAGACAAATAATGGTGCATTAATGTGAAAAGCAAAGAAAGGCCACGAGTTTTGTGATGCACGTAGTCGATTGATTCCATGTGTGGATCAGTGCGCCAAGTTCCACCCCCAGTTGCCCCCGGGCTCTGATCGCCCTCCGCATCTTTCTTTTCCCGCCAGGTTTCACCCTGAAGCTCTCTCCTCCAAACCCCCAACACTGTCTCACCAGCCTCTGTGCCAATCCGACACCCTAGAGACCCATCGCAATCGCATCCTTCAAGTCGCGCATCGCCCCAATTTACTCGCAAACTATTGCGACTCGATACATCACACCGGTGATTTTACAGGCGCTAGCCACCTCGCGAACATAATATCCGTTGCCAATCGGCTTCAGGCAGCTAGAGCTCGCGTGCAGTAGCGCCTGTGCCACGCTGCACACAGCATCCCCTTACGGTGGTACAAACTGGGGAAGGTTCACTCCGGGCGGAGTCTCTCCAGGCGGCAGCAGCTTATCTGCGACTAGACCCTCGAAGCTGCGTGAGCCCGTGAGCCCTATCACACACGTATTCCTTTGGAGCTAGCGAAAACATAGCTCTTACTCCTGGTTCCTGACCGCAACTTTCCCTGTCCCTGGCGCGCGGCAGCTATGCGATGAGAAACTAGCGTCTGCGCTGCGGCACACCTCACGGACCGCCCGATTCACAACTTGCCTCTTGCGTGTTTCAGCTTGGTCACGTCTTTCTTAGCCGCGTCTTTGGAGCCTTTGGCCAATCTTCTCGGGGGCTCTGTGAGAATTGCTTTCGACACACTTGAACGTCAGGTGCGAAGGTGTCTCCGAGTCCATTCCATCGATTCTCTCTGCGTGTCTCGCCGAACCAAGCGGTTATTTCTTGGTCAAAACAATGGCAGACAAAGCCTCGTTTCAAGTCATTGTCTTGGTGAGTTTCACATACTACAAGAGTCACGTGTAGACTCTGCTTTTGGGATCTGCCATTCCGTCTTTCCCGTACCCCGTCCTTTTGCTGCTGGCGATATGCAGCCCGTCTCGGGTTTTGACAGATAAACCCTGTCGGTTGAGCCGCGCTAACTCCCACCAGGGTCCGACTGGCGGTCCTCGCGAAGACAACGTGACGGGCATTCTTGTGCGATCAATATCAACAAAATGGGTGCCAAACTCTGTGGTCGCAGTTGACGCGGGTACAATGCTCGCTGGCATCATTCGACTGTTGGAGCAGTACGGCCCCGACGCGAAGGATGACGAGGGAATTTTGCAAGACGGCCCCTTCAAAGGCTTGGAACTACCATTTGAAACAGCACAAGCTAATGCGGCGCATGTCTTTCGGGAAATAATCGGTGCCGTCCTCATCACGCATCCCCACCTGGACCACATCTCGGGTCTGGCGATCAACACGCCGATCCTGGAGGCGGGAAGTGGGCCGAAACCCGTCGCTGCCTTGCCGTCTGTATTATCTGCGATTAAGAATCACATGTTCAACGATGTTATCTGGCCAAATTTATCTGATGAAGATGGTGGTGCCGGTCTTCTCACTTATCAACGCTTGGTGGAGGGCGGGAATCCCAGATTCGGAAGCGGGGATGGGAGAGGCTACGTTCGCGCCTGCAATGGGTTGCTGACCAAGTGTTTGAGTATCAGTCATGGACGATGCAGGCAGCGATTTCATCCAGAAACTGGGACACATCACCGTGTTGGAAGTACCGTATTTGCGGCTGATCAGCTGATGCTGCCCTCCCGTGCGATATCCGTCGATAATACGGATGGAAGGTAAGATTTTTCCAAGTCACGAGTAGAACAATCTGCTAATATCGATTCAGCTTTTATTCACCTGCCCGTTCCCCGCGTCTTCTTCCTTCTAACCCCAAGGAGTCTATAATGGCCACTGTCGAAAGCTCTGCTTTCTTCCTCCGTGATCACCGGACCGGAAATGAGATCATTGTCTTCGGAGATGTCGAGCCGGACTCGGTAGCTCAGGAGCCACAAAACAAGCGCGTCTGGGAGACGGCTGCTCCCAAAATTGCCTCCGGCATACTACGCGCCATTTTCATCGAATGCTCATACACCGACGCCGTCAACGACGCATATTTATATGGCCACATGTGCCCGCGTCACCTGGTCGCGGAGCTGAAGGTGCTAGCCCAGCAAGTCTTGGATGTACGTGAATCAAACCAAACAGACCGAAAACGCAAACGGGAGGACACCGGTGTGGCCGATGGTAGCAACGACTTGAGCCCGCGAACAAGAAGAACCCAGAGCATCGCCGGTCTAAGGAATCGGAGGCCCGAGACTACTTCAGAGCCTCGGACCCGCTCTCACCTGCGTGATTCCATCGACAATATCTCCGAAGACCCCATGGGGCTAGGGCCTATCGAGGGCGTGGACCCTCTTGCTGACTTGGAGACCCCCAATCCTGTTCAATGGGCCAACGCCGATCCGCTTCCGCTGGCTGGTTTGTCTGTGTACATCATCCATATCAAAGAGAACATGACCGACGATCCGCCTATCGGGGGCCAAATTCTAAGTGAGCTCCAGGCACACAGCAAGGAGGCTCATTTGGGCTGTGAATTCTTCATGCCGAACCCTTCTGAGGGTATCTGGATATGAGGTGGGATTGAAGTAAAATTAATTTGTTCGGCTTGGAGTTTAGCGTAGCGTTGCCTTTATTCCTGTTTCTTTCGTGAGGGTCATAGAAGGGACTGGTTTTGCGGGTTTGCGGTTATTGTTGGGTATCATGCCTTCTTGAATATACATTCTTCAGCATTCTTGCATTGGTCTCCTTCTCTAATCTGGAAACGAGAGAAGTTGTCAGTTACAAAATTGTTTCACACCGAACGAGATACTGTTTGAACTGGAGAAGACAAGATGGTAAATTAATGCTACTTTTAACAAATTGACACGGGTAGTTGACCATTTTTGCAAGATCATAGAGACGTGACTATTAGTGATTTCTGTGTCCGGCTTCCGGATCACCAAGAGTGGCTTTTCGCTCAAAGCCAGCCAAATAAAGCACGGCTCCAATAAGCATTATATTCACGCCTTAGCCAAAGCAATGACGTCCTCCCAGTTCGAGTCCTTCGATAGTGGGACACGAAGTCCCTTGGAATCCGAGGCTTCCTGGCTCTCAAACGGGGGCTTATTGGCAGGCAAGTCCAAGACACCCTCGCCATCCCGAGCAAAATCAAACAAATCTTCCTCGGTGCCCCATTCGCTCATTGCCATCAAGCCAATTGGAACGCCGCTATCACGGTCGTATCCGGCGGGGCAGGTGATGGCAGGGCAGCCCATGAAGTTAGCCAGCCAGACATACTCCATGTTCCGAACAGAAGTCTTGCCGTCAGACAAACCGCGAGCAAGGTCAGATTCGCCGCCATCGATGTGCCATCCAGGGAGAGGCGTTGTCGGGGAGAGAATCATCAGTCCAGGGTGAGTCTTGAAAAGGTGTGCAAGGTGCGTCATTAACAGGTTACGCAGACGTTGTGATGCAAGCAAGTCCTGGGCAGTGATTTGCCACATGCCCATGGAGACCAGGACCTTGTTCGGGGCTGTGAGGTGTCGAATCTGGCGCGCGTCCAGACCAGATGCAATTTCAGCCATGATAGTCAAGATATGGGCACGCTGGCCTTCAGGTAGGTAAGGAATCTTGATATCGATGACATCATAGCCGTTCTGGCGATAGTAATCCAGGGCAGTGTCGAACACAGCGCGAACGGGTGCCTCGGCGCGGTCAATCCAGTCGGGAACGACACCAATTGTCTTAGTTCTCTTGCGATCAGATGAGAGGGGCACTGGGTTGGGGAACTGTGATGAGATGGGGTCTTGCGATGCTGGGGCCGGGGCTGCCATGACCCGGTAAGCAAGGGCCAGGTCATCGATGCTCGCGGCCATGGGCCCGAGAACACCGACGGTGGGCGCCAGGCTCATGGACGGTGCTCCAGACACGCGACCGTGTGTAGTCTTCAATCCCCAAATACCGCAGAAAGAGGACGGAATGCGGATCGAGCCACCGCCATCAGCACCAAGTGCGATGGGGACCAATCCGGCACCGACGGCATATCCAGATCCTCCAGAAGAGCCACCACAATAGTATTCCTTATTGTGAGGGTTCTTGGGTGTACCGTAGATAGGATTGTTGTTAGTTGTGTCTGTATTCGGAGACGAATCAGTCACGTTCAGTCCAACAGGACCGAGGATTCATTTACCTAGACCCAATTCGTGCATGGTGGTCTTGCCAATCACAATTGCGCCGGCATCTTGCCATTGTTGAACACACCAAGAAGTAGCATCAGTGCCAGCCTTGAAATCGAGCTTCGTTCCCAAGGTACGCTTGTACCCAGTGATGTGCACTTCATCTTTAATCGCCACCGGGACACCGTCAAGCGGGCCTAGAGGCTGGCCCTTCTTATATCTCTCGGTAGAAGCCTCTGCTGCCGCTCGGATAATCTCGGCCTGCGACTCGAGGAATGCCGTTGAGTGCTTTCCAGGGGGCTTAGCGTCGCGACGGATTAGAGGTAGGAGCGCCTCGACGACCGCCGTCGGTGTCAGATCACCGGAGGAATACAGCGCGTGGTAGTCGGCGGAGGTGTAGTAGCCACCCGAACCCTTTCTCTTCCCCACGGCAGGAGTCGGCGCATCGCCAGAGGAATTGTCCACGGGAATCACGGTGGGATCGTAACGGCCGGGGTATTGATGAAGGTGAGGGATTTTGCGGATGACGTCGAAGCCAGCATTGCGCCAGAAGTGGCTCTGAATGAAACCGATATTGTGGATTCTGCAGTGTTGCGGGTGGTTAGCAATGGAGCTCTGTGAACGGGCTCGGTCTCGTCGCAAACCTACAAGGTTGCGCCAACCGCTAGCGTAGTGCCTCGGAAGACCGGGATAGACTGGGTCTCATTCTCGTAGGGCACTGCAGGGCCCTCGCGAGGCGGAGGATAGTTCAGGAAGGAGCTACTGTCGGTGCTCATATTGAGGAATGGGTGGGAGTGAAGGCACGTTGCGGAGTTGGAGATGAATGGAATGATATCACACTGCGCCGCGGCCCCGCACGTGAAAATCAGCTGATTCAACTTAAGCTCTACAAAGCTTGATCATAGAACGACCCATTAAATAGACTGGATAATGTCAGAAACAAAGCCAAAAATCTTAATTCTTGTGTGATTTATGGGTGGCTGTACGATTTGTGTTTATTTTTTAGAGGCTTGATATGCTAAGAGTATGATACATGCAGCTACAGCCGCAGCTTGATATTAAACTTGTCCATTGCCAGGGCAAGGCCGGTCAGGATTGCTGCGTAGCCAACGAGAATAACCATGGCTAGCGGGGCGTCAACATCCAAGGTCGGCACACTAAGATTCACTGCACCTGTTAGAAGATTGGCAACAAGGAAAATTGCCAGTCCTCCGCGGTTGAAGGCATGCAAGATGCGGCTTGTTGCAAAGGACTGCTCCTCCTCGGCTTCTTTACCGCTCGCCCGATGGACGGTCGGGAAGAACACAGTCTCGATCAGACAGAACAATAGGAGCTGAGCACTGTTGAAGGCAGCAACCCAGAGCACGTACGGCATGTTGGCGAGACGACGCGACACCAAGATATTCGCACCGTATCCAAATGCATAGGTGGCGTTGAAGAAGAACATGGTCGACCAGAAGGCCGCCTGAAGGCCAAGGCTCATCAACACGGATTTCCGTGCTTGTTGCGCCGACTTGGTTGGCGAGGTTCCCCGGGGAATGATACGGGTTCCTACACCTCGGCCTGCCAAAAATATCGCCAGATATCCTAAAAACGAGAATATACCTTCGCGGTTCTTGGAGAACAGGTCTGGTCCTCGAGGGGAGATCAAAATATAGCTCTTCAGCTCGGTCGACTCGAGAGCGACCTGGTACAAAATCATGATCAACATGGTTAGAGCCTCATAAGACGGAATCAATGCGGTCAATGTGTCAAAGATCTCCACGAATGGAGGCAAAAGACCGAGCGTGAAGAAAAAGTTCCAATGGACTCCGTATTCCGTGACATGCTCCGCATAATCCAGTCCCTTGACGCTCCAGAGACGAATCAGACCCAAAACAAGCAGAGGAACCGAATGCCGAACGGAATCAACGAGTCTGGTCAAGAAGGCCTTTTTGGGAGATTTAGAAGCGCGAGTTTTCAAAACCGCGCGCGCAGACACCACGCCCGCGGAGAACACAAACGAACCCACTCCCAAGTCCATCAGCGATGTCCCCCAGTTCTCAACCTTTCCAAACCGACGCGGAAACACACGGAAATCAACAGCCAGGATAGCCACGCAGGTGATAACCATCATTGCAGCACGATATGTAGTCAAGAAGGGGTGGACGGGGAGAGATTCTGCCTCCGTCGAATCGACATTTTTGGCTTTGGCCTTGGATTTGCGGGGAGGCTTGGCCTTCTGAGGAGAGCGTAGGCGGTGTTGAGTAAGGAAAAGAAGTACGGCCGGTGAGATAAGGAAGATGTTAAGGAGTACCGGGGCGGAAGAGTATGCCGTAGTCGCAAATAAGATAGCCAGGACATTAAGAATGAAGTCCGTCAAGAGTCCGGCTGGGCTGTAGGGCGTGAAGAAGGATAGTCGGGACTGAAGGGCAGACCAGAGAAGAACAGATGCCTAAGAGGAAGCCAATTGTCAACTGCTGTCAGGTGGTGCGAAAAGCACGGGAGCTTACAGGCGCGACGAATGACACCGCGTTAATATCCCAGATGTCACTACCGGAGAGGTTCGACACGAAGGCCTCCTTGCGAGCTTTGTAACTCGGGTCCATATCGGGTTACAAAACGTGAGATCCCTGGGATCGCCAATGTTCCATTGAGGTACTCGAAGGTGGGTGAAGTAGGCGGAGAAACGAAGATGCCGCGTTGGCAACCGCGGGAATCAGGTGATTGCGCCCGACCCGATTCCTAGGACGATCGTTGTTTACTTCGACGACACCTATGCATTTTCAGTTGACTCATCCCGCAAGTTACATCATGGTCCAGAGGCTAGTTCTAAGAAAAGAAGCAGCCCATGGGTAGCCGTTTCTGAATGCCGGTAGGATGCAGGTTCCCAAGGCCTGCGAGGTTCCTGGACAAACAGACTGTTTGTCATCGATTACAAACTCGGCATTGGGCAGAAGAGTGATGCTTTGAGAGATAATAAGGATCGGGACGAGCTCGGTAGAGGGCAAGCAACGCGACACGATTGGACGACATTATCCCCAGGTCTCGGTTCCTTACAAGGCTACTTGTTGTTCCCGGAGCTTAAATGATCGGCAAACGGGCCATCCGTGGAACCGTTTTTCGATCAGACCATCACCCAGGTTTCATGAGGAGGTAAACAGCCCCCAATTCGGTCGGAATCTCATGGAAGCGTCCCTGACGGAGCCGCGAGAGGCCAGAGTAGCGAGAACGTCGCGAATCAAACGCAAGGCTAAAACCCGAACCGCATTGGGCTGTACCCGACCTCTACAATTGGCCGAGCACACCCGGCTCCAGGGTCAGGGCGTGGCCCATGTCCTGGCGACATCATTTGGCGCCTCTAGCTGCACGCCCAAGGGTAATTAACCCGTTGCTCCCCTCGGTGGTCAGACCCGCAATGATCGCCCAGGGATGCGTGTCTAGAACCACGTTTTCCTTCCTAATGCGGAGTAGAGCCTCGCTCGGACGTTTCGGTTAACCTAGATTATTTGGAATGTTGCAAATCTGCCTTGCGGTGTTGATCCAACTGTTTGGTCACGGACATTATTGAACCCCGACTAGGCTGGAAAGAGGGGGGGGGGTAAGCGCGGCGAGTATCCTTGCACTTTGCTGTCACCCTGTGTGGCTACCGAGATCGATCGACCTGCCCTTAGCGGCTAGGCAACGTTCAATCAGAGCCGCTTAACTACGACGTCTATGTTGGGTTTTGTTGGTTGAAGAGAAAAGCCAACAGGCCAAGGGTCATAAGACCGTTGCGTTAGTATTCTACGGGGACCCTCGACTACCCCATAGATGTAGATCGCTTGTTTCACGATGACCGGTATCGAGCCTCGGCGCCATTCGGGTGGTTTAATTTGCAGTGCCGTCCGTATTCTCTCTCTCTCGGCCACTGCGCCATCGAGTCTAAGAAATCGCGCTAAGTCGGCAGTGGTGGTTTTGGGGCCAAAAAATTAAAAATATACGAGCGTACGTCCTAATCGACGTCATGCTGAGTTTCGGGTACGGCACGGAGAGGAAATTAGATGCTTTGTAAGTTTAAACCCGATGCTTGGGGGGCTTTTTCGAAACCAAGAGGAGGGGGATGGAACCTGTTGGCATCAAGAGAGCCTTACCGCAGGCACTTTTCCATCCCCGCCCCTGAAAACAAAGCAAATAGGAAGGTGGGACCGGATTGCAAGCGCCGATCTGCCAACAAGAAGCTAAAATGCAACAGACCAACATCTATGAGGTTATACGACATTGGTTAAGGTTGTCTCGGAAAGAGTATCGTGGCATTCACTGTTCATAGGCGCGAATTTCCGAATCTGTCGGCGCAGGCTTCGCCGATGGCGCATCTCAACAGACGCTATGTCCATGCTTTTCTCAGTATCCACAGGGTTCGTGCGGATCCTCCCTGCCCATTGGCCCGCTTGGGGCCAGTGATGGGCCGTTGGGTGCGCCGCATCTCCGGGAGATTGCCTGTCCTCGGGGCCTGGATTTTATGCTAGCGACGATCCGGAGAAGGGCGATGGTGCTTTGCCATGTGCCCTTGACAGGAGACCTTATTAAAGGCTCTCGCCTGGGTCCACGAGGTTGCGGATGTCCTGCATCTTGATGGAGAAGGAAAAATGTACAAGGGTATCATTTCGCCTTGAACTTGCTCAACCTGTTCTTTTTCGCCCGTCGTTTTGCCCCTACTCGGCTCGGCGATACAGGGGGGCCGCCCGCACGAGGTAAAAAACAGCACACAATTTCGAGCCCGGGGTTTACCAGAAAATGCCCCCCGGCGTTGATGACTCTCCAGGCTGAGCTTGCTTCTTCAGGTCCCCGTTGCAGGACTCATGGTCACCAAAACTTCCATCTTTGTGCGAGGAAACCGCGTCGACGGCTGGGTTATCACGCTCGGTCTCGGGTCTATCCTTGCAGTCCTGAAAACAAGAAAGGTAATGAGCAGCCAGGACGGAGAACCGCCCAGAAAGCGGGAAACCCGCTCTGGAATACGGAAGGTCTCCCGTCTCTCCGCCGAACAACTCGAGAGGAAACGTGCAAATGATCGTGAGGCTCAACGGTCTATTCGACAACGGACAAAAGACCATATAGAACATCTCGAGCATCAGGTTTCCGTCCTGCAAGCGCAGGTAGCAGAGTTGCGACCTCGAAGCGAACGGTACGATGAGTTGGTTCAACAAAATGCGGCTCTTCACGCGGAAGTCAATCGGTTGAAGGTGCAGCTGGGGGTCCCCACCGGTCGTCCAGGCTTCCCCGCCAGTAGTGAACAAGTCGGTCTCTTTCGAAGTGGATGGCCATTGGAGGAAGGGCCTAGGAACGTTCCCAATCCCGCAACCAGCACGATGCTATCGCCATTCTCCGGATCTTCCCATCCACCAAACGTTCCTCGAGCACCTTCGGCTGCCTCAGCTTCGAGTCGATCATCCCATCCCCATGACTGGCAGCAATACTCGAACACGCGGTCTCCATCGTTGGGCGAGACCTCTGAGCCAGAATACTCTGCTCAGCCATACGCGATGGGTAGACAGTTGCGACAGGGCAGTCGGTTAGTTCCACCTTCTCTGCCTGTTGCCGCTCCACTCAGCTTTGGCAGTGCTTCCGGTCAGAGCCACCAGCCCTCCGAGTCGTTTCCCCAAAATTATCCACGAGAAGGACTTGGGCCTCCCGGGCAGCTGTCAATAGATCAGCCTGCTCCTCCGTTTCTTCCTAGCCAGGGATCGGCTCAACCTGCGCCCGGTCAGCCATACCCACCCTCATACCAGAACCCTATGCCACCGCAATCGCAGAGAGATCCGAGATATCCCTATCCATGGAATCCGCAATCGTGATCTTGGCTTGTTACTGGTGTGGGTATTGGGGTATCAGTTGGCCTGGCCGATCCAGTGCAGTTGAAAAGGACCTTCCATCGATAGTAGATGGAAACCAGGTACGCTGAATAATACGTCCTTCTCCCAATACCCTTTGACTAGATCGTCGTCAACTCACAAATACGTTATACTTAGAAGGCCAATTCTGTTCGATAACGAAATCCGATAAGGAGCGAAGGTCTGGCAACAAGGAACGTTCTCGCACCACAGTCTTCTGGAAAAGGCACCCGGACACACGGACTCGGCCATACGGAGCACTTCCGATCCCCACAACGAAATCAACATATACCATAAAGTCTATACCATATCATTGGCAGGCTTGGCGTCCACTGCGTTGACGTTTGATCTACACGATTTCCGATGTTGGTCAATAGAGGAGAGTGGCGAGATATACATGACGTCGGAATGTTGCGATCGAGGGAGACGGCAGGCACGTTTCCCTATAGTTCGAAAGTACAACAGTTGGATGTAATGGATTAAACAAGACAGCTTTCCGAAAGGAGACATGTACACGAATCGTCCCCAAGGATTATACAGAGCTACAAGTTAATGAAGAATATGAAAGCCTTGAACAAATGTATGCCTGTACTCCCGAGCTGCAACTATACACTGAAGATAAAACAATACATCACCGATGCGGATGCTTCAAATTCAAACCCAGTTTTATCGCTAGCACTCTACCATGCCTCTAATTCGTGTATTGCTTCTGCAGCAGCTTGGCAATAGTCTGCAGCTGGATGTTGCTGGTACCCTCGTAGATCGCGCCAATCTTGCTGTCACGGAACATCTTCTCAGCAATGCCCTCGCGCACGAAGCCCATGCCACCCATCCACTCAACTGCGGAACTAGCAACACGGCCGGCAACCTGCGAGGCGTAGAGCTTGGCCATGGCGGCGTCCTGCACAAAGTCCTGGCCGGCTTCCTTCTTGCGGGCTGCGTTGTAGACCAGCGCCCGCGCGGCGGCGATCTCGGTGTAGGCCTGCGCAATCTGGTGCTGCATGCCCTGGAATTCACCGATCAGCTGGCCGAACTGCTTGCGGTCGTTCCAGACGTAGCTGTATCTCAATTAGCTTTGATTTCTCGACAATAGATGGGATCTACTTACCGCGCAGCGTTCTCCCAGGCACCGAGCGCCAGGCCGGTCATCTGGGCAGCAATACCAATACGGCCCTCGTTCAGGATCTGAATGGCGTACTTGTATCCTTGGCCCTCCTCACCGAGAAGGTTGCTCTTGGGAATGACGACGTCGTCAAAGTTAAGCACGCAGGTACTGCTAGCCCGGATACCGAGCTTGTGTTCCTTTTTAGCGATTGAGAATCCGGGTGTACCCTTCTCAATAATGAAAGCAGTGATACCCTTGTATCCCTTGCTGGGGTCCAGGTTGGCGAAGACAAGGTACAAACCCGCCTCCTGGGCGTTGGTGATCCACATCTTGGAGCCGTTGATCTTGTAGCCATCGGCGGTCTTCTCGGCCTTGGTTTGCAGAGCGAACGCGTCCGAACCGGACGCCGGCTCGGACAAACAGAAGGAGCCGACAGTGTTGGTGGCCAGCTTGGGCAGCCAGGCGCGGTGAGCCTGGGCATCGCCGTACTTCATGATGGCGGTGTTGACCAGGGTATTGTGGACATCGACCATGACACTGACACTAGGGTCGACGCGAGCCAGCTCCTCAATGGCCACGATGGCCGAGGTGAAATTCATGCCCGCACCGCCGAACTCCTCGGGGATCTCGATACCCATGATACCCTGCTCGAAGAGCTGCTCCACCACGCTCGCGTCCATGGCCTCGGCTTCGTCCATTTCCCGGACCTTCGGGCCGATCTGCTCCTGGGCGAATTTCGACACAGCGTCAGCCATCATGGTTTCGGTCTCGGACATGAGGGTGATCGGCGTCGGAGTGAGGTGGGAGAGGTCGACATCTCGCCGGCGTTGGGTAGTAGAAAAGGCATATGCGCTATCGGGGAAGACATGTCAGCATGAAGGAGTCTTTAAAGATGTCATTTTTGAGACAGTACCTCTGGACAGGGCGGTAAGTCGGAAGGCGCTTGGAGGCCAGACGGACCGAGGGAGTAGTGCGCGACAGGGGTCGCAAGGCGCGAGAAATAGAGGCCATTGCGGCTAGAATGAGGGGTTCAGGTAAAATAAAAACAGTGTACAAATGGGAGGCAGGAGAGACGGAGAGAACGTGAAGAGCGTTAAATCACAAGGGAACCTGGGAGCCTCGGTTATCGGCGGCGCGGCGGATTCGCGGATTCGCGGGGAGTGGCCAATGTGGGGCTGATACAGTAACCTAGGCGATTCTACCAGTTCCTCGGTGACGAGGTTATACACAGTAGAACAACTATTTGTATGGACATTACCCTCAAACCCTAGGGGCTTTGATTCCATGGATAATGCTTCCAATTTCCATAGAAAATGATACTGAGACTGCGACCGCAGTGTTCTCGTACTTGGACGCCCAGGGATTTGAAGGAGACGAGTGAAACAACTGTCTTTTCAAAGGGGTCACTGATGCATACATTGGTGCTAATTGTTGAATAGAATAAGTATAGCCCCCAAAGGCAATAAGGGGGACACTATACTGAGTCGACTAGTCCGACCATCGGGATTTACAAACATCCCCATCGACGGGGATAGCGGTCCGAGAAAGCTTGGTACTATTCGCTTAATTTACCCCTCCAAAAGGGAGCCTCGATCAACGCAAGAGCGGACTCGGTATTTTTCTCTTTTATGGGCGCACGGAGCTATTGATGAGGTCGTGGCTCACCCAGCCTGGCTCTATGGGGCCGCCACAAACACTCATTGGATCGTCGCCTAAAAGGCTTCTTGCTAGCTGCATGCCCGACTATAATGCTTAGTCTGTGACCATGCAGGAGAGCGGTGTAGACGGCCTCAACGGCGCGAATGGCATCCTGCGTGCTGGCTGAGGTCGCAGACCAGCTGGTCTGATTCGTATACTGGCTAACCACGTCGGTAGAGGAGGCAACCTCCTCGCCGTTGATGATCAAAGGTATTGTGGTTGCTATTATATCGCTTCCCCGGGTCGGCTACCCTGTATTAGGTCTGAAGACAGTTGTGCGCATTGATATCCTATTTTTTGCGAGGGCATAAGGAGGTCGCGCGGTCGCTGAACCTTCGTTCATGCAAGAGACCCAGAGTCAAACTCTTCAGAGAATGATCAAAATGCCTACTGTATTACATTACACTCTTCAAAGTTACGTTGAGCAATCTGGCCCTCGCATGCAAGTGCATCACAAATGGTCCTGATGCAAGCCAAGTCTCGCTGCCAAGGCCTGCGCCACGGCGTGGGGATCGGAGGGGTAATGTGCCCCCGATTGTTGCCTTCCACGGGGCGACATTTAAACTCGGGACATCTTCAAACTCAATCTCGTCATCACCTCCCAGCATGGCACCCCTCACAATTAACGTGTCCGGCGAGTCGATCATCAGTCGACATCCAGAGCGCGCCGTGCTCCACCTCGCCGTTAAATCCGATGGCCCAGAGCAAGAGACTGTGTCCAAGGATGTGACCACGACATCCAATGATCTCCACCAGCTTTTTAAAGGACTGTCCCCGAAGAACGACAATGGCTATTCCGACGTCGATGCAGCCGTGACAACCTTCTCGTCCACGCTTCTCCGCACATGGTCCATTGTTCCCACGGATGACAAGAACAAGCCTCTGAACCGAGTGCATTACGCCACATCTTCTTTTGAAGTCATTTTCCGCGATTTCAACAAATTAAGCGAGATAGCCGGCATGCTGGTCGCGCACCCGAAAGTTGAGATTAACTCCATTGATTGGCGTCTGACCGATGCCACTAAGACGGCACTTGGCAGCGAGTCGCGCAGGTTGGCCATCCGTGATGCCGTCCACAAGGCAAACGATTACGCAGAGGTGATCGGGCAGGAGGTTGTGGCCGTGGAAATCAACGACGGAGGATCCACGTCGCATGTCAGAGCCAGGTATATGCTGGCTGCCGCCCCTGTCTCCAGAGCCCGCGTTTTTACCAGTGCCTCTCCCGACATGCCTGAAAAGGACACCGCCCTCGACTTGAACCCTCAGCAAATCGAGTTCACGGGCTCGGTGCATGTCAAGTTTGAATCGGTTTCGGAGAAGTGAGGTGTTATGCGATGATCCTATGCTATGATCTATCCGAGAAACTCGCTGTGATTTATCTTGACGCGGTCGCGATGCTTTGAGAGAACGGGTCTCATATTTATGTAATGAAATATAGCATCAACTTTATTTTCACGGTTTACCATGCAGCCCAAAGAGCAGCCTTCGGGTTGTATAACTCATCCAAAACCTTGATATCTTCATAGATAACGAACCACCTTTGGCAAGTTCCATTAACTTCCCAGCCTCATCCAATCTACCAATCTTAGAGCATCCGACGATGGGGTTGGCTTCCTTCTACAAGTACCAGACCATACCGGTCTGCGGTATGCTGCAACCCTTCTTCTTGGCATTTCTTCCACTCGATTAGCAATGGAAACATCAATCTCCGTAGTTGGACCCCTCAGGGCCTTAGCATGTGAGCACTGATCTTCAACGCCGGATGGTAATTGATTCTCCAGGAAAGGGTGAAGCTGATGGCACTATCTATTTTATGACATGGTTCGAATCAATATATATTTCAAAATCCAAGCAATGATTCATCCATTTGATCAACTTCAAAATCAAATCGAACAAGATCCTTTTTGTACGGAATAAAAAATGTACTTGTCACCCTAGGTAATGTCAGTGAGATTCCATGAACTTAGACGCTATCAGATACGTGCGTGCCATACCGGTGATGTTCACTGCTAGCTTGGTATTCGTCCAGAGCCGCTTGGTTCTCATGGTAGCTCACTAACGCATACTGAAATCCTTTGCTCTTTTCAATCGGAGTTGTAATTGATGGGCCTCCAACGACAAGTCTTTGGCTTTTGACACAAGGCAGGGTTTTCAGAGTCTTGATCTGAGATAGGAACTCTCTCCTAACTGTCTCGGCGACATCTGCACGAAACTTGAATAGAACTACTCGCCGGTGGCGGATGTTAGTGAACTTAGAGCCACTCGTGGCGAGGGAACGTACCAATATGAATGACGGTCATCCTCAATAATGGTAAGGGAAAGCGAACATGATTTGACCAATTAATGGAAATGAGTCGCTTTTAAGCCAGCAACAAATCAGCGGAAGCTATCCGTCCTTGGCAGTAGGTGGTTGCATTCTATTTCTAGTTGTGTCCTTGCAAAGGCTTTGCGACTTCGACCAAAGCGAGCATTTATCAATATGAGATGCCTATCTACTTCCTCCTTGCAATTGGCTTCAGCCAACTATTTATCCCACATATGGAAAATGGATACTTTGTGAAAGCATCTACACCTGCACTTTCAGTTCGCGGCGTTAGTCATCGCACGGATGACCCCCGCGGTCGACGGAGGCGATCCGAACATCTCGCTTTCCAGCCAAGAACCTGCCAAATCGAAGACAGTCCGAGCTCCAATATTTCGTCATTAACGTACACTGTTACCTGACGCGGTTAATCATAATGGATTCTCCACGTCGAAGTCGAAACCGGGCTGCTTGTCGGCGCTGTCAACGACGGAAAATCCGATGTGACGGCGAGATTCCTCAATGCACCTCGTGCAAGAAGGCCAATGCACCCTGTGTCAATGACGGTAAGCAGGAAGTAAACCGCACGTAAGTTTTTAATCGCCCGTAGATACTACGCGCATACTCATGCATGGTTAGGTACATTGCAAGCCTGCAGAAACGGGTGCAATGGCTCGAGTCAATGATTCGCGAACAAGGAAACAACATCGACGATGGTCCTCCCTTGGATTTCATGGAAATTTCACAAGTTGAAACTATTCATGATGATGAACCTACCGAGTCTGCTGCTCCTGCCATACCTGGCTCACATCGATCTCCCAGCCCAACCCAGCCAGGACAGCCTCTGCCACTCGGAGGTTCACAGCCCTCTCGCACACAGTCAAGACAGGCACATGAAATCGGATTAGTTTCATTGTCCTCTGGAGGAGAGCCGAGATATATTGGCCCATCGAGTGGCTACTTTCTTGCAAATCTAGTCTTCTCTAACACTGGTCGAAGAGCAAGGCTAGCAGGAGATCGAGGCAGTGGGGACGAGCCGGTATCTCTCTCCGCTGATCTTTTCAATAGCCCTGCATCTCTACCAGCCCGCAAAGAAGATGCAATCGAGCTGTCTTCAAAATATTTTGCATCAGTTCATCTCATGTATCCGTTTCTGCACGAACCATCTCATATGCAACGGATGGACAAGATGTACTTGGACGGGGAGATGAATACCGATCCAGCAGTTGCCTTCCACGTATACATGGTGTTGGCAATAGCAGCTTCGGATCTGTCCCGTCGCTTCAGGATTCGACTTCCTGCAGAAGGCTACTACACCGCAGCTACACAATACTTTGAAGGGGCTTGCGCCGAGGGCTCTCTAGAGGGACTCCAGAGCCTCCTTCTTCTCATGGTCTATGCACTGCACAATCCTTCATGCGGGGTCAATGTTTGGAGCTTGAACTACCAGTGTCTGGGGGCGCTCATTGATCTGGGTCTTCAGCGCGATGTGCGTGCGTCATCGGCATTTCCAATCTCCTTTTTGGAGCAGGAAATGAGGACTCGGATCTTTTGGGTGGTGTACAGTTTCGATCGGACATTAGGCACCATGGTGGGCCGGCCTATCGGAATCCGAGATGAAGCGTGCGAGCTTCGAGTACGTTTGTTTACTGTTTTCTTTTATGGTTTCACTCGACCTAACACCTCTCTTAGCTCCCTTCGGATGTAGCCGATAAATACCTCACTGAAGCCGCAGCCGATAAAATGATCGGCAGCTCGCCATCTCACATAACAATCTCCATTCACCTGTTCAAGCTGGCACGGATGAATTCCGAGATCAAATATGTCATGCACAGCATCTGCAGAGACCCCCCGCGCTATGCTTACCCTCCGGTTGCCGACATCTATCAATGGCAGGAGCAAATGATAGACCGCCTTCAAACATGGCTATCAGAGATTCCTCGCGTTCCCGGAACGGAATCAATTGCGAAGATGTGCGAGATTAGATATCACGAAATGATGATTCTGGTCCTACGACCAAGCCCAGGCATTCCGGATCCGTCTGACGAGCTACTCGCACAATGTTTCCAACATGCCGTTGATCTCCTTCGTGGGTTCGGAGAGCTCTACCGACAAGAAGCGCTGTGTTACAGCCGATTGATCGTGCATTCTATTTTCCTGGGCACATTAATAATGCTTCACTGCCTATGGAGACTACCACAAGTTGCATCGCAAGTCCAAATTGACGACCTGGTAGCAGATAGCGGTATCAGCCTGAACATTCTCAGCAGCATCGGCGAGTACTGGGCAGAAGCTAAGAGAGCCAGAGATTGCATCCATGAGCTTTCAGGCGCCACAATACAACGCCTGATCAAAGCACGAGGACTGGACCCTTCTTCATCCCCGTCAATGCCACGACCTCACAGTTCCAACCGAAGGAATTTACGATCGCAACAAGCAAATGAGACCGCTACATCCCCTGATCAGGTCGATTCTGCCATTGATATTGCCCCTACTGTGCTTGAGGATTGTGACTTTAGTCTTGACACTTCGAGCTGGCTGAATGATACCATGCCGGGAGGATTCATGGATCTTGCGGGAGCACCGGACTGGGATAGTATGATGTGGGGAATCTTCAATAGTAGTTGAAAGTTGCAAATTAATGGAAAATACGGAGTGATCTAACCCGCTTTTAATAGAAAATTTCCTAACGGAAGTGAATTGGACCTAGGTGCGTATCTTGTCGAGTAAAATGCATTAAAGGAGGAATCCAACATTTCACTTCAACTGTAAGCAAAATTATTCCCAAAAAATACAAAAAATGGACGAACGGCGATTTGAACGCCGGACCTCCCGCATGCAAAGCGGGCGCTCGTACCCCTGAGCTACACGCCCTATAATATCTGAAATTCTCCACTTAGGTACCTTGGCGGGCTTAGCAAACACCCCCTTTTGAACAGCTATACCGGGATTTTAGTTATGGTTTTTTGGCGAGGTCAAGCTCGTCGCGTCTTTTCACAACAGTTTAGCAAAATTAAATCACCTTTTGACAGTTGGCCTACAACTTAAAGGCATCTGATCTGGTCAACAGCCAAGTAGCAAAACCAGAACGACTCCACTCGCAAAAAGCCCCCACGCGATTGATCCTACCCTACCGGATGCCCCCCCCCGGTACCCCCGCCGGCCCTTGAGAGTAATCACATTCGCTCTGCGTTACGAACAAGTTAGTGAATCTACAGTGAAGATATGATTATAACAAGGGATTTCTCCAAGGCTAGCCAAAATCAACATTCGTTATGCGTTATTGGAGGAAATGGGTAAGTACAAGTAGGCTTCCCCGCCATCGGAAGCGCTCCGTGTAACGGGGAACATCCGCGTTCCCCAACATTCTCCGCGTATAAAACCAATTTCAACTACATCGCATAGTCCACGATTCCAAATAAACAAGGCTTCAGAATTCAAACTTCATTGGACTTCCCCGAATCCACCATGCCAGATACCAATCAAAACCAACAAATGTACCATATCCAACACACAGACTTGGAAGACTTTGTCCGCCAAATTCTCATCGCCAACGGCACATCCTCAGAAAACGCCTCAATCGTATGCAGATGTCTAGTGCAAGCTGACCTCCGCGGCGTCGATACCCACGGCAGCAACCGCATCCCGTCATACATGGAGCGCATCCGCCAGAAATGCCTAGACCCGAGCGCGGAGTCAAGCCTACGCCAAATCACACCCGTCGTAGCCCAGGTAGACGGGCACAACGGGTGGGGATTTGTAGCCGCGCACAAAGCCATGGCGCGGGCTATTGACATGGCCCGAGAATTCGGCATGGGCATGGTCTCCGTGAAACATTCGAACCACTTTGGCATGTCGGCGTGGTTGGTCAAGCAGGCTCTGGATGCAGGGATGATGTCGCTTGTTTTTACGAACTCGTCGCCTGCGCTGCCGGCCTGGGGTGGGAAGGAGAAGCTTATGGGTGTCTCGCCCATTGCGTGTGGTGCGCCTTCGGGGAATCCGAGCCGGCCGTTCATCCTTGATATGGCGCCTTCTGTTGCGGCGCGGGGCAAAATTTACAAGGCGTTGAGGAGGGGAGAGCGCATTCCGACGGACTGGGCTTTGGATGCGGATGGGAAGCAGACGGATGATCCGGCGAAGGCTTTACAGGGCGTGATGTTGCCCATGGGAGGACCGAAGGGTTCGGCACTTGCTATTATGATGGATGTCTTTTCTGGGGTTTTCTCCGGGGCTGCGTTTGCGGGCCATGTCACCAATCCTTATGACCCGTCCAAGCCGGCGGACGTGGGACACTTCCTTGTGGCTATCAAGCCGGATTTGTTCATGACTATGGATGAGTTCCGGGAACGCATGGACTATCTATACAAGCGAGTGACGGAATCTGAAAAGGCGGCTGGGGTGGATCGGATCTATTTCCCCGGGGAGATTGAACAGGTTATGGAAGAGTGTCGACTTTCGGAGGGTATTCCTTTGGCTGAAGCGGAGGTTGCGAGCTTGAACGAGGAAGCCGATCTGGCCAAAGTTGAGCATCTGAAAGTGCGATCTGCTTGATTACTGTCCTGCCGAGGAAATACCGCCTCTGCTTGGAATTTTTTAGTCTTTCGTGTAAAATATCCAATTCGATCATGACTTTGTCTCAAATACATGACCCTTCCATAGTTCGGAGCGTGCTAATCTAAGTCTAGGCCAGTCTGATACAAGTAGCGACTAAGCGACTGATGGTTTTATCGACTCATGTCGCCTATCTATTCTACAGGAAGGAATTACGATTGTGCAATGGCAGCCTGGCGCGCATGTCTTGTAGCATTGTAATCTGTATAAGCAAGAGGCCTTTGCCAACGCAACAAGAGAAAATGTTTACACCTGCCAAGACCTAATATGTTAACCCGGCTCACTGGCAGGAACGAGAACTATCAAGAAAAAGGCCATTCCTCGACAAAAGCGAAAAAGAGGCCGCTCCAAATGTAAGCAGCAAGGATGCAAACAATGCCCGAAGAATAAATAGTGTCACACAACAATTCAATTATCGTCCACGAGACCTCCCGTATAAGACAGAAGCTAAGAACTGAGAAGAAAGCGGTGGCAGCGCAATGAGGAAAAAAGGGACAATACTCTGAACAGGCCACATCCCACTTTACAATCAGAGATAATAATGACAGGAGAAAGGAAAATAGGGGTGTAAATCAACATGAAAGCAGGGGCTGGAGGGATGGGGGGGAAAAGGAGACATTAAGCAAGATAAGGAAATGTATTCTGACAAATGAAAGCAACATGCTAGATAATCAAACACCCGGCGGATGAAGAATTCGCTTCATGCACACACAGACTGGGGGAAATAAAAGCAGGGTATCATAGGGTCATCCAAACAAACTCGCTGCTCTTTTTGGCTTGAGAAAGGAAAAGGGCATTGGAATTTGTGTCTGAATCTGCCTTTCGGGTTCGAATGAGGTTTTGATCCGTCCAGTTCGCAATGGCTGGTTCCTGTGTGGGATATTTGCAGGATCGGTGGGATATTCACCGCTCGTCACCGGCGCGAGACTTGGCACGCCTGCGGAAGAAGTCCATGACCTTTCGGGCAGCACCCGAGCTTCCTGAGTGGTGCGATGAATCTCGCTCGTACTCGTAGGCGTCGGCGAACTTGCGGTGGCTCTTCTGCAAGACGCTCGGACCCCGACGGACAGGTTGTTGCATGGACTGCCGGGGCAAGCTGTCGTAGGTTCCGTTGTAGTCGTCGTAGTAGTTCGGCTTCGAAGAGTACGTGTAATTGGAACCGCTGTATTGCTCGTCGGCATTATGGTAGCCTTGTTCAGACGAAATGGCACCAAATGAATCGTCTGTCTGGTCGAATCGATTTCCGAGCTCGGCAAACTGCTGTTCAATTTGGGCCTCGTAGCTCAGTGGCTGGGAGTCTTTCTGCTCGTGCACCTCGTCCGAAGGGCCCTCGTTCACCATACTCATAGCCTCCTGCGTTCCATAGCTAGTTGCACGAGGCCGGTTTGGAATAGGACCAGTAGCTGGCCGCTGCTGTCTTTGAGGGTCGACTGTCCGCGGCGTCTGTGATGATTCTTCAGGAGTCTGAGCGCGACCAGAGAAGTTGCGGAATGAGAAAGAAGACGGAAGAAGGGAGAACCGACGAGGTCGGCCTTCGGCCTCACTCGCCTTGCGGTTGTGCCCATATTGCATGGAACGACGAGAATCCATAGACATGCGGGAATCTTCCCTTGCCAAAGGATCCTTCATGCTGGTAGGAGGATACCGCTTGTTTTGCCGGGAACGACTATTGGGAACCTGGGAGTTGCGACCACCAAGGATGGATCCAGACCTGCCGAAGAGCTTCTCGCCAATGCTGGAAACAGTGCTCGAGCGCTTGTGGCCGCTCTTCGGGGGCTCTTGTCGAGGAGTAGGATTGAAAGCCGACGGCAGCTGCTGAGTGCTGGGACGGCCAATGGATGCATTAGATGCCTGAGCCGGCGGGTTCTGCGCAAGCGAGAATTGTCCACTCTTAGGCTGTGCTAGACGACCCTCGGTGTTAGTAGCAGTGACCGTGGGTGCCACAGGTTGCCCGTAGGAGCCCCGTGAAGGTAGACGGCCAGTGTGGTAAGATGCCATTGAACCACCCGTCTGGGGCCGCGTGTTCGAAAGCACTGTGCTGTAGGTGTTCGACCCGGTGAGGCCGGGATTTTCCGATGTCGAGCGGGGGAAATGTCCAGGCAACGGCTTGTTGAGGTTGACAGGCGGGTTCGGAGCAGTCTTCGAGGTCGTGCGCGGTTTCTCGAGGTCTGCAGTCGCCTGCAGTTCGTCGCGAGTGGTTCCGGAAGTGCCCTGGTATTCTCCTCTCGTCGTTTGCGATTGCGGGGCAACATACTCAACCTGGACAGTTCTCCGCTTCGCGTCCTTGGAAGTCTTGGACTTTTCACTTGGCGAATCTTGGGATACATCTCCAGCATGATGATTGAGCCCTCCAACAGCTGCAACTGGACTTTGGTGTGCTGACTTGGGTGGCTCACGAACTGAAGCACTGCGTCCAAGCCTTGGTGCCTCTTTCTGGTGCTCGGACGGGACCGTCGAGTTAGCAATGTCTGCCACGTTCGTTGTGCTGCTGGTAATGTGCGAGACGACGTGAGAATATTCATCCAACCAGCTGTGGCGAGCAACTTCGAACAAGTCGGCACGTTTGCGAGGATCGGGAACCAGTATCCGTCTCAAAAGGTCACGAGCGTGGGGTGTGACATATTCGGGGAAAGTGAGAGGGGTGGTAACGATGTATTTGTAAAGGAGATTGATGTTATCTCCATCGGGGTTTGCAGGATCGTCGTCGAAAGGGAGATAACCGGCCAACATGGCGTACTGCGCAGTATTAGATCAATCCAACACGACTTGCTTTCAGAGCCACTTACCAAAATGACACCGCAACTCCACACATCGACCTTTCGCCCAGTGTACAGCGAGTCGCTGACGACCAACTCTGGAGCAGCATAGCAAGGACTTCCACAGCTCGTCTGCATCAAGTCACCCCGCCGTAAGCCATCGGGACCAGGTTTGTCCAGTCGCTTCCGCTTCACATATTCCTTATTGGTGAGGTTGTATTCGATCTCCTCGTCCAATGGGTCGCTGGGGTCAAACGTGTTGGCAAATCCGAAATCTGTGATGATAATGTTGCGATTCCTGTCCAGCAACAAGTTTTCCAACTTCAGATCTCGGTGCACAATACCCTTTTTGTGCAGGTAGCCCACGCCGGAAACTAATTGTGCGAATAACCGACGGGCAGGGTTGTCCTTAAGGTATCGGTTGTTCAGAATGTAGTCGAAAAGCTCGCCTCCTGACGCATATTCCATGATGATACCAATATGACGGTCGGTTTCCACCATTTCGTGAAGACGGACGATGTTAGGGTGTGCGAGCTCACGCAGAATCGCAATCTCGCGGTAGATCTTGGGCAGTCGGCTGGGGTTAGATCCCAGGGATTCTCTGCGAATGAGCTTGATGGCGACCTGGATGCTGCCGTCTCGCTTCCAGCCAAGCTTAACCTTTCCGAACTCACCCTCGCCGAGGGTTTGTCCAAGAATGTAAGTGCCAAACGTGGTTTCTTTCCGCTTAATGGTGTTTCCGTTATTGTAATCATGGCGGCTGCGGTGCCCACTGTGACCTCCATCCTCAGCAATTTCATTTCCGCCCATACCGAAGTTTTGCGCCGTTTCTTGCGGCGCGACTGCCGCCGAGGATGTACTTGCTTGTCGCACTTCCTCTCTTTCCCGATCCACAACGGGATCGCTGACCTGAACCGAGTTGGTCACAGCGCTCAACTCCTTCACCAGCAGGGCTCCCTGACCAGACATAATTTCCATGCCGGGGTCTTCTTGTGGGTATGAGATCGGAGGCACGCCTCTTGATTTTTCACGCGTAGTCTCCTCCAAGGGATCTGTCCGTTTTGATCGGCTTTTGCCGTTGCGATCTTCGCGTGTACGCTCTCGATTTTCCTTGCGATCAGACCGGCTCTTTCCATGCCGCGACCCTTTCTCGGACGAGCCGTTTGGACTGCGGCGACTGTGATACGTAGATGAGGTCCTCGGGGGAGGGACTGGGGGCTGGCCTAGCATATCCGGGTAATTGGCGCGCACATCATTCTGGACGATAGGGGATGCTGTCTGAGTCGATACTGGCGATGCATGGGCGGAGAATGCCGGCTGACGAGAAGTGCTCATAGCCGAAGAAGCTGATCGGGACTGGCCTCACACAGATGGCTGCGGAAAATGGAGCGATTAGCATGTTGGACCGGTGGGTACGGAAGGAATGCTTGCATCACGACCGACAGCGTACCTTCTTGTTGATGCGCGAAAAGTCTACGGAGACTTTTCGTCGTATGAGGGTCCGCGACGGCCTCGATCAGGCACTTGTCGAGGAGCAGAAGCTATGTCCGATAGCGAATGGCACGGCGGGCGCGTAGAAACACCACGCCCTCCCGACGGTGTTTGGCGGAGGTTCGGGAGGTTGTGTTCGGTCGCACTCACTGAGTGGACCCGTTCAGCCTCAGAACTGTAACATGAAATAATCGCGTCAGTTCGAGGTCCATCCACGGACAATTCTTATCGGCAATCGGCAAGTATGTGGCACTTTATCAAAAATCGAATTGGGAACTGACAGGACGTCGATCGGAGGAATGAAGGAATGGGGGGCAAGGGGAATGCTAGACAAGTGGTCGCGAACAAAAGAACCGCCAGATCTTGGAAATTCACCCGGAAAACCAGCTCACGACTCAATCCGGGCGGAAAGACGCGTCGCAAAGGTATGAAATGGGCAGGAAACGAAAGGGAAGTTGAAGATTACCTGCTCTGCAGTGTTCTGGAGTCCCGCGACCCACGACCAGGGGGCGCACGTTGTCGAAGAACTGGGGGAGGGAAACAAACGCTGAAGCGAAAGGATGTCTCAGACACGATTGAGTTTCCACGATCACCGGTCTCAATCGTAGTACATCGTCTCGAAGCCAGGGCAGATTGAGGGGCGGACAAGGGGCGCGAGGGGAGGAAAGGCGGGAAGCACCGGTCGCCCCGAGAGGAGAGAGAAAAAGGGGGTGTAGAAGAAGAGACGAAGGCACAAACAAGAAACAAAAGAACGACGAAGAGAAAGAGAGTCCTAAGGGAAAGGACCTCGAAGATAGAGAGGGTGGAAAGAGGGAGGAGAGGAGAGCAGCGAGCAGGGTAGCAGGTTTGGTTTAGTTTCGTTTAGTCTGGGGGAGCGGGTCTTTGGCCTTGGGCCGGGCTGGGATGGAAACAACGGTAATCACGGCCCTATTCAGGTAGGGTGTTGATGGCTCAATGAGGTACCTGGGTAGGTCTCGTCGATTGAATGGTTCTATGCGTTAAAGACTGTACGGAGTACACTATCCTACGATACACTACGGAGACTGGAATGTGGACTATCCTTCACTGTATCTTCCACGCTACTACTCTGATGCCACGGCACGACGATATAAGATAGCCAACGGATTGGTGCGCGGAGCTATTTCAAGTGGCTGCGTGTATTGGCCTTCAATGAGGAAAGCCCGCTGTTTCCCCTTGCCTCGCCTGTGATAGAGCGAAATGGGTGCGAGGCCCGAGGGCTGATCCTCGCATGTGCCTCGTAAATGGTTAAAAAAAAATAAAAAATAAAATTTAATAATAAAGAGAAAGGCAAAAAGGAAAGGAAGATCAAAAGTCTGTGTCCAGAGCTTGTCAAGCGCGCAAATAATCCGAGGCCCGTTTCAAAAAGGGGCTTTGCCCCGGTTGTTTCGAATTGCTGGAAAGTGGGCTTCTCGCTACGACCGTCGATCGTCATTACGCCTCAAACACGATCGCGACTTGATAACCGCAAGATCTGTGTTGGCATGAGGTCTCTACCCCGTACCTTAAAAGGTACTTAGTACCGTTCCAGTCCAATTGTCAACGCAGATATCGGCTTCGGGCGTCGATTTGCAACCCCTGGCGAAACCGCGGTAGAATGGGAATCAAACAGATGATGACATGCTTTTGATTACACGCTGTACTGCTGCTGTCCAAGATGTCTTTGACCGAGCGCTCTGTAGCTTTCACTAGTTTGGAACGACCCGAGTTCCAAGCTCGAAGCGTTCAAGAGCGCATCGTGGATTTCCCTGGGAGAACGTCGGATGAACCCACGGTTAGGGCCCCATGAGAACCAGGGTTGCGCACCAGATCGAGCAGATCTCCGAGACTCCATCACTGCAACGTTCCCGGTATTTACACTGCGTAACCATTAACAGCCTGCTGTTCCTGGACTTTTCTGGGTCTGCGCTAAAGCAGATTTCATTGCGCGCTCCACTTGGCATCTGGGAGGGTCCCCACCCGACGGCTCGGAGCTACAACATCACCTTCAACTCTCCACATCCGGATTCCAATCGGTCTGCAATCGATCGAGAAGGATGAGACTGTAAATTTGGTCGGTGTGGCGGTCGGTGTGGAGGCTGACCAAGATGAAAACCTCTGGTAAGCCTCATTGGATGCTCCGGGTGGGCCGGCCAACTGTCAAGCAGGTGATGCGTTGGCAGCTTAGCCGTTGCTGCGGCGTCCATCCAATCGATACCCTTTTCAACCATCCAGCGGCGACAAGATCATGAGAAATGCGGTCCAATGGGTGGGATCGGCGAAGAATTATGACGCACGGTCCGTGGTCGCCAGAACGGCTTGGTTTACGGATAGTCTCAGCAGAGAAATATCGCCGAAGCGCCACTGTACCGCCCGGCCGAAACTTAGATCCCCAATGGGGTGCATACTACAGAGTGATACTACTTATAAGGAGGCTGGGGGTATGAAATTTATCGTATTCGTATGAGATCAGCTATTCAGCTAATCTCGGTAGCTACATAGGATCGGATCCTGGAAAAGTAAACACGCTTGTAAACATATTCCCCCAATTGCCCCGATACCATTGCCTGGAGATCAATCCCAAAATATCATCAAGATCTAGCGCTTACCCCCTGACATAGGCGCACCACCCAGTGACATCGTCCCTGATGCATCGTATGCAGGAGGCGGGGTGGGGTTCGGCGATGGACCCCGGGCAACTGGATCCCGCGGACCCAGGCCAGAAGGGCCGGCCTCGGGCTGCACCCCCGGAATCTGGCCACCGTCGCCGCCGCCAACCACCACCTGTTGGCCGTCGCGCATTTTGCCCACGACCATGCCCTTCGCGACAGACTTGAGAAGAGCACGTCGACTCACTCCCGTGGCATCAATGTATACCAGTCCGACATTCTTGATTCCACCTGTCAGGTTGTTCGCGACAGTGCCGGCTTGGTCGCCGTAGCGGTGACCGACCACCGTGCTGGCTGCTTGGGAGCCTGTCAAGAGTATGTTTTTGGCGCCCTCCTGGATACCGTCGGCGAGAGTCGAAAATGCAATCATCGACTTGTTCAGCACGCCCGGCTTGTAGCCAGGCGGTGGGTTGTTCTTATTGAAACTCTTTTGCTTGCCCTCTTTGCGCGCCAAAGACGCACCGATGTTTTGCGCAACCTTTTCCACCTGTCCAATGGTGCGCGAAGAAAGATTGGCGGCACCGTGGGAGTAGGTTCCAATCTTGCGGATGCGCGCGTGCGTGGCATCGGAGAAGGTCAGCGGCTTGGGGTTGGGCTTCGTTTTCTTGGTGAAGCCCTCCGCTCCGCTGGTGAGATAATTGGCCAGAGAGGTCGACGTCGCAACAATCAAACGAGATGCTGTCGCCGAGGTCTGAACAATTGTGGAGTTTTGATATGCCGGGTGGCGGGACATGGCCAGATATTCTTCGGAAACATTGCTGACACTGACTCGGTTGCCCTCGGCTTCGGTGGGGAGTTCAATGCCAACGGGGCCTGTTCAAAATGAAAAGAGATGATCAGCTGCTGAAAAGGGACACGGGACTGATCGGTGAATGCTCACGTTTAGACCCAGGCTTCACGTCCGCGTCCTCCACCACATTGTATCCTTCTCCCAATTCTCCGACCACGCTGCCATCCTCCTCGTCAATAAGCACAATCTTCCCATGCAGGTCGGCCTTATTGTCGCCAGGTGACGAGATATAACCCTCGCCGGGTGCATAGTCAGCGGGGTTGTAAGCGGCGTAGGCATCCGACTTTCCGCTCGAGACCGCACGGTCATGGAATGCGGTACATTGCGCAAGGATTGTTTCGAAGGTATCGATATCGTCTTGAGTCACCTTGCCGGGTTCCGAGCCGACGCCGGGAAATTGGATCCGAATAAAGGCACCAACATCGGGTGCCATATCCCAGCGGGGAATCAAGTAACTGTCCGGCGGTTGGTGGAAGATCTGTGTGGTAGCCGGGAGGGCAAGATCCAATTCAGGAGGAAGGCAAAGGTGAAGGTAAAAGTCCTCCTCTGGCATCTCCGTAACGGCGCCTGCAGCATACGGTGGCGTAGGGGCTGAAGTTGCCGTTGGTACCATCAGCAAGGAGAGCGTCTGAGGGCCGGATGGAGTGAGTTCCTGTTCTTCGCCATCTTGAATGTGGAAAGCGCGGATATTGTTCACGCTGTAAAGAAGGCGTGGATCATGCGCAGCGCTAGACATGGTGTCTGTTGACGTGGAGATGACGAAAATAGCAATCAAGCTGCCCGCACTGATAACGCAGATAAGGCGATGACGTAGTCCCTTGGGTGAAGCAAGGACGCAACTGCAGATAGTCGTATCCAAAAAATGTAAGAATATGAGTGAAACGCAGCTATGAGGAGAAATGTGTAGGCCACGGGCAAGATCAGAGGAGGGGTTCTTTTAAGGCACTTGATGTCTGGGCGCTTAGATAACAGGGATTAACAGGATGGGGTCAATGCACAGCCACCCAGGCACACCCCGCGTCATGCACCGCCACCGTTGGATTTACCGCTTTGCGCTCTCCTGTTTCAATAATGATGATGACTGAGATCCAGATTGTGTCCGATCTGCACCTGGAGAATCCTTCCGCCTACGATGTCTTCCAGATCCCTCCAGATGCTCCCTATCTAGCACTTCTTGGCGACATCGGTCTCGTCAATGATGACGGATACCTCTCCTTCATTGAGGCTCAGCTGCGAGAGTTCGAGATCGTATTTCTATTGCTCGGCAATCATGAACCATGGCATTCAACATGGACGAAAACAAAAGAGAAAGTCCGACAATTCTCTGACGCGGTAGAACAACGACGCTCGACGGAAAAATTGGGTGCCTTGGTTTTTTTGGATCAGACCCGATACGATATATCTCCAGACGTCACCATCCTGGGTTGTACATTGTACTCCCAGGTATTGGAACAATACCGTGAACATATCAGCTTCGGAGTGAATGATTTTTACTACATCGAAAATTGGACGGTTGAGGACCACAATGCGGCCCATAAAGCAGATCTGAAATGGCTTAATGACCAGGTTGCTCAGATAGCCGCCTCTGAACCCCAACGAAAAATCGTCGTATTTACACACTACAGTCCTGTTACTCAAGATGCGCGTGCCGTTGATCCAAGACATATCGACAGCCCACTGTCATCTGGCTTTGCGACGGATCTTTCGACGCAAGAGTGTTGGATGAACTCTCGGGTATGCTTATGGGCATATGGACATACCCATTATAATACCGAGTTTACGGAACAAGCGACTGACAAGCTCGTGGTGAGCAATCAGCGTGGCTACTATTTTGCCCAGTCCAAGGGGTTCAAACCGGGAAAAGTCATTCGAGTTTGACCGTTAGATAGGTACTACAAGACGGCCAGTCTGCCAGAGGCTATGTCTGTCATACTTTCAAAGAAGGATCCAAGCATCGCCTAGGTGTGCATGACAAACTTGGGCATCTTTTGAGTTGATAGATAATTGTTACACTTGGGAAGAAAGACACTATGGAAGCCATTTCGTTGTTCATGTTCCCCGTACTTTGTCACGTCCACGTTTACATGAACCGGTATCCCATTGGCTGTTATCGTCATGAAGTGTCGTGATCCAGATCTACGTCGGAAGATTTTGGCAATTGCTGAACCAAGTGCCTATGATGACAAGGGGATCTTCAAATGTGCCCCTGTTGCTCTGTTGGTAGAAACCTTGATGAATGTGGAAGAGAATTGTACCCCAGCCCTAAAAGAAGCGGCGAACTCCAAGTCTCCGAACAGCCCTGCGGGCAAAATGCGCCTTGTTTGTCTTTTGGTTCCGGAGCACGAAGCTCCCGCAACATACTCATACCTTGGTCACGAAGAGGCATTGAGATGTGAGTATGGTGTGGTCAAGCCCCGAAATGGACTTACTACGGACATCAATGGGAAAGATGTCACTAGATAGGGTCGCGATCCAGACCATCTTTTTCTTGGGGTTCAGCAGAAATCTTTTTGATATGGGTACCGTCACACGGAAGCTTTACTCGCCGTGCATGCCTTTGCAATGATGTATGGGGCAAGAATCTCAAACAGACTAGCCTCGTGAACCTCAGGTAGCGATTAAGCGGGTCTTCCCCGATGAGTCGTGATTGTCTGCCTCAAGGCACATGACGCTTCTCGTGGTTGTGACATTTATCTTCTCCCTCTCGTCGTTTTCCCCATTGATCTTTGTTATCCCCATCCCCATCATTTGACCGTTGCTTCATCGGTATCAAGGATGGCGCCAACCAGAGGGATCAAGCGGAAAAGGTCATCGCCCTTCACGGACGCGGTTGAGTTCCAAAGCGAGGCCACTGATGAGAATCGCCCCCGCCTGCATTTCGATATCTGGTACAAAATCTGCTACCTGGTGAGCCTCCTTTTTTCCTCTTTGGACACACCGTCAACTGACTCGCTCTCAGTTGCGTGACGATGATAGACGGCATCTTTACAATCTCTGTCTGGTATCGAAAGACTTGAACTGGATCGCCACGCCTCCGCTCTATCACTCCATCGTTCTTGGTCCTGCTATCGACAGGGTCAGAGAGAGGTATTATCCGGCCAACTTGCCTGCCCCGGCAGTGCAGCAGCCTGTGGTCGAAGGTCAAGTTGTGGTCGTTGGTCTACCTGGCCAGCAGGCTGAGTTCCTTGGGCCTGCGACTATAGGGCAGCCTCTCGCTTTTCAAAATCCTGAAAACCTGATGCGCGATGGGCTTCCTTCACCCGGACTTAAATCTCTTCTTTCTCGCTTCCGAAACGACCGCACGGGATATCTACGATCTATGGTTCATATGTTGACCATACTTAACTTTGATAGATGGAACCAGCTCGACCAGGCTATCACGAAGTTTGTCTATTTCGGGTTCCTGGGGCACTTCATATCTCGTCTGCCGAATCTTTCTCTCGTGAGGTAATTCCAGTCTATGTCTGATGTTCTTACCTTTCAATGAGAGGAGAGGCTTACATGCATTAGGATGTTTTGCCACATTCCTTCCACCAGGGACAAGCTGCCTTTGTTCATTCAATTCTCTTTTCTTGACAAGGAACCTAGGGTATCGTTCACCGGAAGCCTCCGTAGCCACCCTATGAAACCTGAACTCCAGCTGCTCGGAGAGGGTGAGGAGGGCAAATGGTCCGGCCCGGCTCTACCGTGCATAACAGCTATGCACGTGAAGCTCGACCGCTACTATTTTCGGCGATTCTACAACAACCTCCGGCTCTGTCGTCAACCATTCCATCGTCTTGTCTTCGCCAGTCCCAACCTCCGGGCGCTTTCCATCGAAGGTCCATGGCCCGATAGAGATGCTGCGACGTTCGACTTCGACCTTTTTGCCCCGAGGGCGCACGTCAATTTCCCGCCAATCGAGGAACTTTCCATCAACGGTTACTACATAGTTGACTATGAGTGGGCGATGTGGGGGAATCGGTTTCCTTGGATGAATCTTCTGTCTCTTTCCGTGGGTCCGAGACCTGTGCCCGGCTTCCTTTCCCTCATTGCCAATCGTGCACTGTTCCTGAAGCACTTCAAGATGGAAGCGTTCGCGGATCATCAGAGCTCCGACTGCCTGTGCAAATTCATTTTGTCTTTCAACACATTGGAGACAATTGAGCTTGTGAATGTCCCGTGCTCAATCACGATCATTGGAATGCACCATGGGCTGGTGAAGTTGTGTCTCCATCATGATGAGCCGTGGCCTGACGAGAGGGCCCGTCAGGTGGTCTCCGCTCAAGACCTTGAGCGCCTGGATAAACTTTGTCCGCTCCTGGAGATCCTGGAGTTGGATATGGAGCGTCAGGACGGTGCTTGGGTAAGTTTTGGAAAGTCCACATAACGGTATGTCAATTTTGCTGATATAAGTAGCCACGTGAGGTTCTGAGCGTTCTTGCAATGGGCTTCAAAAATATCCGCGATCTAAGTCTTCATTTTGACATGGGTGTTGCCAACCTGAAGGAAATTCTGCTCCCTGTCCTGAACTACGAGTCCGCTCAAGCCATCGCGACTGTGTTCTATCTTGATCGATGGGCTGCATTCGACATTGGGCAGCCGAGACAATCAACCTTCCCCACCAAGTTGAAAAAGCTCATTCTATGGACCGGGTATACGATCCGTGACAAGACGGAATGGAGCCCAAGACGTGCACAGTTCGAAGCCAAACACTCAGCAGTCTTCATGGCTTTCCCTCCCCGAACCTTAGGAAGCAACCCTGACTTCAACCATTTGCAACGCTGGCAACTCGAAGCCATCCAAGGCCCAGCTGCAAAGAAAACGAAGGAGTACAAGGATCTCAAGAGACGTGTTGATGCTGCCGTTATGGGACCTAAGCCGTGGATAAACTCGGCCTCGGGGGACGAGCAATCATCTTGTCTAGGAAGTGGTGATACCAGTCGAGAAGCGACGGCAGATGCCACCGAAGATGCCACCGGAGACGAGAGAAGCGATGGCTAGCATGGGCCTAGATGATTTGCTCGTGGGAGATGAGTCCCAGATGATGCATACCTTAGCTAAACTTAGTCGGGTAGTTCGAATGCATCATTCTTAGTGATATCGAGACATGAGTAGTCATAGTAAAGATTTCCCACAAGACTTCCGGAATACTCATAGGTTGCGCGCCAAAGACATCTGGAGAGCCTCTGGAAGCCCTCTAGAAATATAGGTCTAGCTAAATCTAATATACTCAAGCTACCTGGTTGCCACAAGCATTTTCTATGTGTCGAAAGCAAGTCCCACTTCTTATCGCCCCACGCGCACATCTCCACTCGGATACATCCGTCCCCAGCCACTCCAGATCAAGACCCATTACATTCCCAGTGCTATGCATTCACTACCTGTCATTATTCATCCGATTCAATTTCCCAGGTCAGCATGTCAGCTCCAACAACCATTAAGCTGCCCGCGGGGGGCCATCAAAGTGCTAAAGCTAGAGAACAACCTCATCCACGCCCGAGGCATTCCTTATGCCAAAGCAAACCGATTTGAAGCCCCGCAGCCAGCCGATGAATGGACGGTCGCCCGTGACTGCACCGAGCGGGCATCAATATGCCCGCAGCTCCCATCGCGACTGGAGTCGGTGATGGGTCCATTGACAAAAGGTCACAGCCAAAGCGAAAACTGTCTGCATTTATCTGTCACAGCACCTACCGATGCCACAAGCGCTCCCGTCATGGTCTGGTTGCACGGCGGCGCCTACATCTCAGGTGGTGGAGACCTTGACTGCTACCAGCCGGTCGACTTGGCCAAGAGGGGCATCGTTTGCGTCACGGTCACCTACCGACTGGGTGTGTTCGGATACCTTGGCTTGGAGGGAATCTCACCTGCAAATCTGGGCCTGCTGGATCAGCGTGCTGCTCTTCAGTGGATCCAAAACAATATTTCTGTGTTCGGTGGGAACCCAGACAATGTCACCATGGTCGGACAGTCGGCCGGCGCGGATTCGATCATTTGTTTGATGGTCGCCGAGGGCACCGCGGGCCTGTTCCATCGCGCCATTCTCCTCAGCCCGCCATTGCGGGAGCTAAAAGAGCGCACACCAACGGCATCCCTACTTTCTCGGAAAGCGGAACAGCTCTTCATCAAGGATTCGAGGGAGATGTCAGTGGATGAATTGCTGGGAGTTCAGAAGAAGCTGCTTCTCAGTCCTGTAAAAACGCAGGTTATGCTATTTGCACCCACCCTAGGATCTGACCCATTGCCAATGGAACAGGACTTCGATCGAAAGCTTTCAGAGGTTGCTAAAGATATCCCCATTCTCATAGGCTGGACTGCCCAGGATGGCCGCCCCTTCGCAAGCATGATGGGTCCGCAGAGCTTACTCAAGTTGCCAATTATTGGGTCTTACGTGGAGAGCCTGGGAACCTGGTATATTACCCACAGCTACTTCAAATGGCCATGTCAACGCTTCCAGGAGCAGGTGCTGCAGGCGGGTGGCACATCAACAAGTTATTCGTTCGGCTGGGCGGGCGAAGGGAATCCCCTTGGGTCATGTCACTGTATAGACATTCCGTTTGTGTTGGGGATGGAGGATGCTTTTAAGGCTGCGCCTATGCTAGCTGGAGCGACCACGGGGGAGGATATCGCTCGGATAGGGTCCGATCTCAAGGACTTGTGGACGAGCTTTGCGAACGGGAATAAATTGAAGAATGGGGTGCATATTGAACTTGACAGTGACTTTGTCTTATCTAAGGACATATTTGTGAACTGAGATTTTACATGTGTTTACAAAGGCCGTACAAACCCTGGTCCCCTGGTCCGGTGACTATGGGTGGAATACATACATATCTTTAGGCATGAATTCAAACAGGCAAATCGCCAAACTTAAGTACCAATTTGTTTTTTTTGCTCATATTCATATTGTGAGTCATCTTGTCCGTTATATCCCATTATGCCCATCTCTTAGCGGTTCTAAGTAAGGTCATATCGGCAAACTCCGAACGACCGACTTGGTTAAACCTTCTTCCCCGCTGGCAGTCTCGGCATATCTTCTGCACCTAGGCACCTGGGCAGTCTTAGACTCGATTCAACTTTCTCCAAAATGTGAGCTATCTTGGGTTTATAAATCATATCGATGTAAACTTTGCCTTCCCCTCATTGTCGTTCATCACCATCTTCATTTACCCTTCAGTTTCGAGGTCCTAATTCAAATTCAAGTCCAATCAACTCATTATTACCCCGCAATGTACTTGACAAAGAAGATCAACGGCGTCGAAATTTGCTACGATGAATGTGGAACAGCCGATCGCCCTGCACTGGTCCTTCTCACTGGGTGGGCACACGATCTCCGCCTCTATGACGAACTACTTCCTTGTTTGAGTCACAAATACTGGGTGGTTCGAGTATCCTGGAGAGGTCATGGAATCTCTCGCGATGACATTGACGACTTCGGCATCAATGAGCAAATCAACGACACACTCGGTTTACTAGACTCGCTGGAAGTTGACAAATTCTACCTCGTCTCGCATTCCCACGGCGGCTGGCCAGCTTTGGGCATCGTCGACCAACTTGGAAAAGACCGTGTCTTGCGCCTTTTAATGATCGATCAGATCATGACTCCCCCTCCTCCTGAGTTCGCCGCAGGACTGCAGGCGATGCAGGCTCCAGAAACGTGGAAGGCTGCTCGCCAAGGTCTCTATGAAAGTTGGGCTGCTGGAAGCAATAATAAGGCGCTTCAGAACCATTTTGTATACAGCTTTGGGAGTTTCGGTCGTAAGATGTGGGCTCTGTCGTGCCGGGTTATTGCTGGTGCGTATCAAGAGCATGGCACACCGATGCGCCGCATGGAATCGATCAAGAATCCTCCGCCAATTCGCCATATTTTCTCGCACCCTCTGAATAGCCCCGGGTATCGAGAACTTCATGAGGAGTTCAGCAAGAAACATTCATGGTTTTCTTATACCGATTTGAAGGGAGATACTCACTTTCCCAATCTCGAAATTCCGGACAGAGTGGCGGCTCAAATCGATGACCTAGTTCACGGGGCAGAAAGCTAGGTTGAGGGAATGGCGAGGAATAAGTGTGATCTGTAGTTAGACATATTTAAAGTGTCACTTAACAAGATACCTTGAAAAGAAATTATATGTCTAGAAAGGCGCTCAAGGTTTCCCCTCGTCGACTCCCTAGAACAGTTGAAGTCTCCAGGCAAGTTTGGCTATGTGAACGAGATCTTCTTCGGTCAATTATATGCTCCTTTTTGGAGTGTTAGGGGCGGACGGTCGGGGAGAAATAGCTTCTCCAAAGGGAAGTCCGTGTTAAGGGGGCCCTGATGACCAAGGAAGTCGTCCCTATCATGGGTCCGCCTAGCGCTATCTGCCAGTCACTGAAAACAAAGAAGAGGAGCTAACAAGCAAAAAAGGGGGGAAAGAAATGGACGACCGGAATTTTTAACGCTGGACTTCTCGCATGCAGATATAAAAGAAATATATCCGTTTATTGTTGATGCTGTATATGCGAGTATCATATCTATCTACCTAGATTGATTGATAAACACGCACGCGAGGGGAAATGCCAGAAAAGTCAAGAGAAGCGCCCGAAATACATGCAAAATGAAAAATTGCATGGAGAACATGCTTGTGTTAGAAATCGGTTCAGGAACCATCCGCCCCAGCCTTATAGGCACCACAGAGCCAATTATGGGCCCTAAACAACTCCTGTCGTGCCTCCTTCGGGAGCTTATCCACCTGGCCTCTGAGCTTCTCAATGCCGTCGATGTAGCTAATTGCCTGACGAGCCACTTGTCGGTCCGTTTCCGAATTGATGAGGTGCAGGATGTCAAGGACCTTCGGGGACATCTGGAGGGCTCGTTTCAGAGCGGCGACGTCTTTCGAGGATAATTGTAGGGCCAGAATCTCATTTGAAATTCTCTTTTGAGGCAATTTGCGAAGACAGTTCTCCATGGATGCAATGTCTTTTGCAATCTGGAGGCATTGACAGGCCTCTTCGAGGGAGGAAAACTTCTGGAAATTGAGAGAGAATTGATTCTTCTCTGATGAAGAAATGGCAGGCTCAGATTTTGCTGAAGTGCTGGCTTGAGGGTTTGATGCGTTCTCCATGGTGAGCTTGGATGCGTTCGTAAGCCGAGACGTTTTCTGGTTGGGGGTTTTAGTCACCTTCGTGACTTGCGTGACTTTCGCCATCGCTTTGGTCTGAGAAAGAGAGGGAGAGGGCGGTGGATGAAATGGTCGATATCGAATCTGGAGATTGCACACTTCAAATGGAATTGTTGAATGTCGGCGAGAAGCAAGTGACAGCTTCCGGGCATTGAAACCGAACTGTTCTGCGTTGCCTCAGAGCGCCATTCTGAAGACCGTAGAATATTAACCAGACCCGAATTAAGATGTTCTAATGATGAGTGAACTTTAGGGAATATTAGAGAAATTGTTTCCATTGCCGTAAAGCAGCCAGCTACAGACGAGCCAAGGAGATATTGACCATGAGCGGGCTACTTTCGAAACTTGGTAGATACATTGCCAGTTCGATATTTTTAAAGATACATTTAGAAAGATGTCTAGCAAGAGGTTTAACGAAATAGCTAGGGAGAGATTTAGAAGGAGTAAGAGAATAGGGTTTATACAATATTTCTTGTTCCTTGTATTCGCCCATGAGGCCGAAGAACGCTTCTCGGGAAATTTAGTCCTGCCATCAGAATGTGTAAATCCTTGTTCTACGTAAGCTAATGGGCGTGTAGCTCAGGGGTACGAGCGCCCGCTTTGCATGCGGGAGGTCCGGCGTTCAAATCGCCGTTCGTCCATTCTTTTTTAACTATTAATTCTTTTTGTGATTGGCGGGTAGCGCTGATGCGGCCCACATTGGGGCTCCAGCGCTTCAAACTCCCGCTTAGGATTTATCGATATCTATACCATGGAAGTGATGAATTTTCTGCTATTATAAGTTATGAACACTGACAACGTGACCATTTCGAGAAACTGGAAAGGATGCTTTTATTACTCGTAATTATTCGTTATCAAAATGCGACTTTATCTTCAAGAAATATGGGAGAAGAAGATCCCATTCAGGAAACTTTGAAGTCACGAACGTTCCACTCTTCCTTTCGAGGATCTTTTATCTGCGCCAACCAACACCTGATATGAACGAAGGGAAAGTCCAAATAAACGAAGTCAACTGCTTCATTGGGCCGGAGATGGGAAACTCCAATATTGAGAGGGCCACAATGTATGACCGTGGTTGGCTAGTGCAAACGTTGCAAACAAATCGGTGAATTTTTGTGAAAGATCGGAGCACGCCGCATCACGTCCTGCTCTTTTTTGCAAGTCTTGGGTGCTTGCAACGAAGCTCAAATTGGCCCGGAGACCGAGTCAAGCAAATTGAGCTTTCTTACCAAGATGGCCAACATGGACCCAGCAGCGGCCCCAGCGCCGTCTTCAGATGTCCAAAATACTCCATCGGAGGTCGATGTCACTAAGCGCGACGCTGCCAACGATGTCTCCAATGCTGACGAGCCCCCCTCGAAGAAGGCGCGACTCGACGAGGCCTCGGAAAACACGGAGCAGGACCCCAGGTCGAAAGGCATTGCGCCCATTAAGGCAGAGTACGTATGTCCCGCTTTCTGAGATTTGCCGCAAGACTAACGCTTATGAACCTGCTAGATTCTTGATTCCCTCCAAGCCTAAGCCTACAGTCGAGACCAACACTGATGATGCCGCCGAAGGTGCATCCCACGCCGAGCGCGAGGACGGCAAGAAGGACAAGAAAAAGAAGAAGGCCAAGGGCCAGAACACCAACCGGAGTTTCGGTTCGTCCAAAGATGCCAAGGGTCTCTGTACCTCAAGAATGTACAGCCCAGAGTTTTCACCGGAAGAGTGCAAGTTTGGCGACGAGAAGTGCCGGTTTGAGCATGACTTGCGGCTTTACTTGCGAGAACACAGACGCGAGGACCTTACGACGCTCGGTGGAAAGTGCCCTGTTTGGGAGACCCGCGGGAAATGCTACCTTGGGTGGAGATGCCGCTTCGTTGGGTCTCATTCGACTGAACGGGAGACTGAAGATGGAAGGAAAGAGTTGATCCTGCTGGAAGACGAAGAGCGCAAGGGAAAGGCCAAGCCCCTGGTGCCCTTCGCAACGGCCGATGGCCAGGTCAACATCATTTCCTACGACGCTAAGGTTGATCTTGCGCGGAAGCGAGAGACAACTCCTCGTGCCAATGCATTCAATGAGTGGCTCAACAAGGCTTCCACAGAGCTTGAGAAGCAACTGCACGGACGACACAAGGAGGAAGGAGAGGATGCCAAAGCCAATGGCGAGAGCGAGGAGACTAAGATGGAATCCGACACAAACGTCAAGGAAGAGAGGGAAATCAACCGAGCCATGTTTACCGAGCCTCCTTTCCTGCCGTCCGAGAAGAGACGCATCTATTTCGGCCCCGAGACTCCAACATTGGCTCCTCTGACAACTCAAGGCAACATGCCATTCCGGAGACTCTGCACAGATTTGGGTGCGCAGTTTACATACTCAGAGATGGCGATGAGTATGCCGCTGATCCAAGGTAACAAGTCCGAGTGGACTCTGTTGAAGGCGCATGAGTCGGAAATGCTCCCTCCGACTGTTATCCCGGGAGACAACATTGTCCAAGGTTACGACAACTCCAAGGATTTCAAGTTCGGAGCTCAGATCGCAGCTAACAAGCCGTGGCATGCTCTCAAGGCCACGGAAGTTCTTTCCAAGTACACACCCAATCTGCGTGTTATTGACTTGAACTGTGGCTGCCCGATTGACCTTGTGTTCCGCGATGGAGCAGGCTCGGCGCTCTTGGATCACCATTCCAAGCTGGAGAAGATCATTCGTGGCATGAATGCTGTCTCCCAAGAAATTCCCATCACCGTCAAGATTCGCATGGGAACTAAGGATAACCAACCCACTGCCTTGAAGCTTGTTGAGCGCATGGTTCTCGGTGGTTACGAATCAAGTATCTTGAATGTCGGTCCCCCGGGTGCCGCCGCTATCACTCTCCACGGACGTAGCAGACAACAGCGGTACACCAGACAGGCAGATTGGGGCTACATTGCGGACTGCGCAGCTCTTATCAAGCGACTGAACGAGAAGAAGGATAGTCTTACAGACACTATCAACGAGCCCGATGCTCGCTACATGCCTAATGGCGGCAAGACATACTTCCTTGGTAACGGTGACTGCTACTCGCACGTTGATTACGATGACCACATCAACAACGCCGGCGTTGATTCAGTCATGCTGGGACGTGGTGCTCTGATCAAGCCCTGGCTCTTCGAGGAAATCCAGTCGGGCCAATATCTTGACAAGTCGGCATCGGAGCGTCTCGGTATGATCGAGAAGTTTGCCAAGTACGGCCTCGAGGCATGGGGCTCTGATGAGCATGGCATTGGTACTACCCGCCGCTTCATGTTGGAATGGCTGAGCTTCGCGTACCGCTACGTTCCGATTGGATTGCTAGAGTATCTTCCTCCACATATTAACGACCGACCTCCTGCCTTCCGTGGCCGGAATGAGCTGGAGACTCTCATGGCCAGTGGCAACTACAAGGACTGGATCAAGATCACGTAAGTGTCTGGCTGCTTTTTTTAATGAGAGTTCCAAAACTAACTTGGTTGATAGTGAAATGTTCCTCGGTCCTGCACACCCAGACTTCAAGTTCGAGCCCAAACACAAGTCAAATTCTTACGAACAGGCCGAGGGATAGCCGCGGGAGTTAGACTAAGGAAATTAAAGAGGCAAAAAGGATTGTATATAGTAGACATGAATATGATCGTCACATGAAATAACACGACTCTCCAACTCCCACGTCAATGCGGGGTCACGTGGCCGCCAGATTGATGACGTCTTGTGCCTCGAGGCGGGAACCTTGGAAAACTTACCCTTAAAGACTACCTCGAACCTGCAAGGGCATCGCTGGAACCTCAATTCTCCCCGCTACCCAACCTGACCACGTCGTCTTCTCGGTTCTCAGGATCCTAGACCTCCAATACCTTATCATCCAGTTCCTTGTGCAGAGCTCTTCTTTGTTTACTCTAGCCAGCTGTCACCGAAGCTGTCCAAGACCCCCAACCCCCTTTTAACAAGCACGAAGAGTTGATCCCGAGTCCCGTTCTACCGATAACCTTCGACAAGATGACTCTTTACTACAGCCTTGTATGTTCTATCCATGGATTGGCGGGGGTTTTGCATCTGCTCCTCCGACCGAGCTTGCTGGACGTGGTTGCAGCCTAGCTACCCGGAGCGGCCAGATCAGCCAAACATGCCCGCACTGTTTACGATACCGCCTTCTAACCATGCTATTGCTAGGTTTTCCTCCTTCTGGTGTTTGAGATGGCCGTCTTCCTGGCCCTCATCATCCCTCTGCCCTTCACCATCAAGCGCAAGCTGTTTGCCTTTATCTCCGAAAGTCCAATTATCGCAAAGCTCCAGTATGGTCTGAAGGTAAAAGAAAACTTCCTCAATATTGAATCGAGCTTCTCTAACGCCTTACAGATCACCTTTATCTTCATCCTGATTTTGTTCCTCGACAGCGTCAACCGGGTGTACCGGGTGCAGCAAGAGCTGGCAACCTTCACCAAGGATGGTGCTACCGTTGGGTAAGTAACGTGCAACTCGAATAACTCAAACTGAATACGCCTAATTATGTATTTCTCTCACAGAGCTGCCCACCTCGGTACTGACCGCATGGAGGTTCAAGCCCGCAAGTTCTACTCCCAGCGCAACATGTACCTGTGCGGCTTCACCCTGTTCCTCTCCCTAATCCTCAACCGCACTTACACCATGATCCTCGAGGTCCTCCGTCTCGAGGACCGTGTCAAGTTCCTTGATGGCGACAAGAAGGCCGGCGGCAAGGACTCTGCCCGCCTGGCCGAGGCCGGCTCCGTCGGCGAGATTGGCGCTTTGAAGAAGGAGCTCGAGGCCAAGGACCGCGATATCGAGACCCTTAAGAAGCAGTGCGAGGGACTGACTGCCGAGTACCACAAGCTCGGCGACCAGGTCTCCAGCTCCAAGGGTGACAAGAACGAGAAGAAGTCCCTCTAAAGCCTTCCATTCTTTTGAAGGTATCATCTCGGAGAGCAACTTCGAGTGCGTTCCGGGGCTTTGAGACGGATTCCGTCGCGTATCCCTCGGCGTTGAATTTGCTTTGTCAACGACTCCGCGCGCGATACCTACACCTGGATGGATACACTGATTCGAGAGCGTTCACATATTTCGTCCCCTACATTACTGCCTCCCGCCGCTCTAGGGAGAGGTTGCAGGGAACCCACGGCGCAGTACTTTGCTCGCCGTGTCCTTTGCTACCAGCAGATATTGCTACGGGGTTAGAGAAGCGGTCATGCTCCATGGTGCTTACTCTGGAAGCACCCATCAATTTACCTGATAACGATACGATGTCTTCCTTAGCTTGGCCAAGGATAATCCTGCATTATGAGGATAGTGATTTCGGGTCATAAAATCATCTTTTCAATATCATGATCATTCGTAACTGTACATTGTATGGTTTGGCCTTATGGCCAATGTAAATGCAACGACCACTAGACGAGGAAAGTCCAGAAGCTAGGGTAGACAAGTTCTTCTTCGAAGATACGGCGCACCTGCGCAAGCACAAAGCGCTCCACTTTGCCAACGTTCTTCAAGACCTGCTTCCCATCCTCCTTACGGCCAATCTCACTTTCGACGCGGATCTCCTGGAGCAATCCGCCTTGCCGCTTTTGATCTCCACCAGATCGCGGCCGTCCATCGTCACTAGGGTTTCGGCTTCCCTGACTCGCCTCAGAGCCCAGCAAGGCATCTGCATCTTCTGCGGACAAGAAGCAGAAATGCACCCGCTTGCGAATATAAGCGACTACCGCTACACCGTCAAAGGTAATACCGGTAACATTGAGTTTCAGAGGAAGGCCGACGAAGCTGGGCATTGGGTAGTCGAGTAGGATTTCCGCTGTCAAGGACATGCGCACATCTCCGGCATATTTCGCATGGCATAGGACTTGGAAGTCTTCTGGGCGGCGCTCGCGCATGCGAGGTGGGATTGGGGCCGAGGGATCGATGGCGGGTTCGGTTGACGGTTGAGGAACGTCGGCAGGGTCGATACTGTTTCGGTTTGACCCGCTGCTGCCAGTCCGGGCGACGGAGGGATGCGAAGGAAGTGTATTGGCCGTTGAAGGCCGTGAAGCCGAAGTGGTGGTATCTAGATCTGCTTCTGCGCGACGCTGCTGTGGCGCTGGTCGCGGTGGGCGCGGTCTGCCCTGGCCCATGCCCGTATCGGACCAATTACTTGCAAATGGTCTGCCACCAGCCACGGCTGCTAGGGGAGTCTGCGTGCCTGAGAGGCCGCCCAGCGACATCAGGTGATAGCCGAGTGTGGACGTGCCTCCAGGAATACCCGGGGAGCCAGAGCGGGGCAGAAAATGCGGGTTCAAGTGGTCACCGATGGGAAGGGGAGAACGAAGCGCGGAGGGTTGGAACTCTTCGCCGGGATATGGATGGTGACTGAGGTTGTGAGGCGCGTGGTTCAGTGGTATATCGTCCTCATATGAGGAATCGTGTAGCTCCGACCATTGGTCAGCGATGAGCTCCTCGGAGGTCCCAGAAGTGTCGTCATCATCTTCTTCGTAGAAATCCGCAAAAGGTTCGCAGAAATCTTTGATCTCGAGATCTGGGGCAATGGTGCCGAATTCAAAAGCATGGACCTGGACAGACCGGATAAAGCGCGGTAAGGCGACCTGCTGGAACTTGTCGTGGACAAATGATCGTATGCGTTCCGCTAGCGCTTCACCGTCCGGGCCGGAAGTGGCCGTTGCCCAGTCGACTTCGATGGACATCACATGTGCGACTTGACTGTGTCTTTCAAGGGTTCATGATATCGCGGAACGTGAGGAGAAGCTTCCGGGGAGCTCGAAGTCCCCATCGGCGCGGACCCACGTGACCCAGGAACGAACGTTGAAGATCGACGACCTGAGCGAGATCTTTTATTGTCATCGAGATTCTATTATTGATGAGCACCTTCTTGACCTACATGGATGATTTTGTGCTACTGCACTGTGCATCGTAGAATGAGTTTTATCCGCTCTACGTTCCTATCTCAAGACCAATCCATGGCCTCCGAGCATTTCGGCCTCCCCACTCTGCCTTTAGGCAGCCTTTTCACCCGTCCTGCTCTATGTAGTGGCGGCAGAGGCTGTGATGACCATGCCCAAGCTCCCTGTGCTCTTGAGTGGCCGCAAGAAAGAATGAGGTCCTCGCTAATCCTGAACTAGATGTCTTAACGGATAGTGTGCTTGCGTCAACGCTTTCTATGATTATTGCCCCCATCTCCCGAGCTGGCAGCCTCTATCATCCTCCCAATTAATGGAGGTTCCAGACAGCGATGGGGACCGAGAAGCCTCCCATTTACTGTATGGAGATTCTCGTATAATCAAAGACAGACTCTCAGCCTACGATGGCCGGGATCCACCTGGAAAATCAGATGATCGAAGCGTATGCGGGCCTAATGCAACCATCGACGTGTCTGCCCGCGGCCGACCACCCATCGTGAGCCCCGAGATCCACAAACGCGTTTATTGTGGCGGGTTAATTCGTTCAATTGCAAAACAGGCAGCTCTGGCTTTGTCCAGGAGTCCAGCAGCTTCGCCAATGATAAGGTAGGCATCTCGCTCGACCTTTCCTTTTTATCACTGGTGCTTTCGTGTACTTTACCAAGTCTGCATTGACGGCGCAGATGCGACGAGGCCGGCTGCTGGCCCCTTTTGGGCCGGGAACCGAGCCGGTGGCGTCATATTGCCCCGTAGACTCTTGACTGGGGTACTCTGTCTGGATATTTCAGGGATTTTTGAAGATGGAGACTCGCACGATGAATGCCCAGGAAAGGTCCACTCCCCATAAACAGATCCTACGACGCGGCTTTGGTCAAGTCATTGGTGGATCGAGTCATGACTAGATGGCTTCGGATCGTCTCGTGTGCGTGTCCCTCCTGCGACGTGCGAGCGATCACTTCCCCCACATGCACATCAACGGGGTCAAGCTCATTTTTATTGGTTCGTGCGTGCAGTGCCGGGCTTGATCTACCCTTATTAGTAGGCACCATCTCGTTTCGGGGGGTATTCTAGAGTCATGAAAGGCATGGAAAGTCATCTAGCCTAGTAACACATTTTTTTCTATTGTGAACGCGGACTTGGCAATGTAGAAATGACTCTTCACTATTCACCTATCCTTTGCGAGTGAGTGATTCTGAAGACTAGGCTAACCGTCTCCTCGTGGGATCAACACATACAAACCCTTGCGTCTCGCCATCCCTGTAAGCGCCAGCCTGTGATACTCCACCATCCACCCCCACCACACCCACCAGCAATTTCGGCTCCCGTCCAATCTTTGGATAGAAAGTTCATTGGAACTTACCAACTGAGCCTCTTAGCATGGGGATACTTCCATTTACGATAAGCGCGTTGGGTAAAGACCCGCTTTTTAAGGTCTTGGCCAGATCACAATTCCAAATAAGTAGGGTCGCCAACAAATATCCAGTGGAAGCCGGAAGGCTGTGCTCGTCACCATCGGTGTCGCCGAATAGACTCCCGTTTTATTCTTCAATGTGCTTTATCTATAGCAAAATAAAATATTCTGGATAAGACTTTGGTTGAAGAGGCACCTGGGGACATGTTTTGCAAGATACCGAGATATTGAAAAACTGAACTCGAATTCAAAAAGACTATCCACACAGACGTATCAAATCAACAAGTATAACATGTCAGGAGGAAACAGTAAATTGTGGTTTCTTCAAATTCACTATGGGAGGCGAGACGAAAGGATGATGGACGCTAAGGTCAAGGCACAGAGTAGTCCAGAAATCCACCAGATGAAACGGAAGACGGAAAGAGAATACAAAGTCCCCAAATGCCATCCACGAAGGCACTAGGCTCACAAAGACGAGTAACAAATCAATTCCACCTGAACAGAGAGAAGGCCTCCAAGATGCAGTACAGAGATTTCAGAGGACCCTCGATTTCGTCGCGCAAGGACCGCATGCAGGGCATCAACGTCAAGATAGATGCACTGGAGGCAATTGTGGTCATGTCTCGTCTGATTTTGTGTTAACAGAGCCCTATTCAAGCGAGGTGTGGGACATGCACAACCCCACTAACCTTGCGTGAGCCTCTAGCCACCGTGCTTCGGGCAGTTGTATTCTTTTCGAGACCGGAAATGCTCCTTCACGCCGTGGCAAGCGGGTGTGCCTTTCTTTGCACACGGCACGTCTTCTCCTTCCTGGAGAGTGCATCCGCACATGTATAAGAAGATATAGCGAGAACACATGATGAGGACGTTGATAGATATTTCCAAGACTGAGGAAGAAGAGGAGTCGGATAAGATATTCAAGAGAAGATTGTCGATGGATTGGTGTGTGAGAACAATATTGGAAGAAGGGGATCATTGACCGGCTTTATAGCACGCCGTACGCATGTACCCAAAGGCAATAACTGTGCCGAGTTACAGTAGACAAAGACAGGACTAGCTTCCAGGCGCTGTCAAGACAAATTGGCCGTATGCACCTAATGGTTTAGTGACCGCCTGAAGGTGATACCTTGGTGGATGGTACAGAGACGAGGGTCGAATAGTTCGGCCGGGCAGCTCTATCCAACAGATGGCAAAGTTGGCCGTTATGTGCCTCACAAGAGGGGGTATGGTGATCCGGATTCTATGCATGTTAGTGAACAGCGGGTGCATCACCCCAATCTCCGTTAGAGTTCCGCAGCTGCAGAGAGCACTTGACATCATTCCGCAAACCACGGACCGTATGAAAACCCAACATGGCGTCTCGGATAGGGCGCATGACTGCGGATGGAACCAACAATCACATATTGGACTCAAATCATGCGGCAAGGCTTTTTCTTTTTTTTTTGCATGAGGCACCTGCCACAGGCTTCATAGTGGTGAACCACGAAGTTGGGGCTACGGCACAGCAGCCATTTTGGGGCTATGCGGCGCAATTTAGATCAGCTCTGTTCCAAGGGTCGTCAAGGTTTTCCATTCTACATGATGATAAAGCTCAAAAGCTTTCAGATGTCAGTCGATTTGTTAGTTGTTAAAATCTTTAGGATCGAATTCGCTGTCGACAAGGAGCGTAACCGGAGTAACAAAATATAAAGACTCTCACCGGGTGAAAACCAAAAGCTAACCTACGCCCGAGAGCGTGTATCGGGAAAAGCACATCCGATATTACAGGGTCTAGATCAAATATCATCGTCACAAATCTGGAAAAGCCTCATCCACAGCCCCGATATTGACCACAATGGACGTATTCGACAGCCAGCCACAGTTGGTGATAGCTGCAACAACCAGCATAACTGCACTGTGACAAGGCATTCCGCCGGGCAACGCACTAAGCGAAGTCAAAGTAGCCCATAGTACGCTGATGTCAGAGGCATCAATGTTGGCTGTATGAGATAGTGTGGGGCAGCGCAGTTTTCGCTGAAGTCCGAAAGCGCGTCGGGCCGCCCAAGGAAAAGGATTTATTCCTAGCCAATGAATTAATTCTAGGGCTGATATGACTGGTGAATAGAAGCCTTGGCAGTAGCACAGTAGGCGCTCAAATGGGCGAGTGTGACTGAGGCTCCTCCGGCGCCAATGGTCTGGCCGGCCGGGAGATCGACTCTGGGCACAGTGACCGTGGGAGCGGCAAAACACAGCGACAACTCACAGGTTCAACGGGCATTCGGTTTCTTATTTTGGCGCCGTTGGCTTGGGCAGACGAGAATGTTGCAATTGGAAAGAAAAAAGGGAACGTATATGTGCATTCGGGGACTGCAGGAGTGGTGCACCACGTGACGGTACTTCAGTCGACTTTACAATTTGTCTTAATTTCTTTCGAAAATATCCAGCTTGCGCAATTTCCAGCGTGGCTTGTTATTCTGTCGTTTCTTGACCTGCGTGATCACGAAATGCCTCGAGTTGACCATCTCACATGCCGAGCCCCTCCCCCACACAGCAAACAAGCACCCGAGTCGGTCGGGCACTTCATCCCACCCAAAAACGGGCGAATTCAAAGCACATGATGTCATTTGCGGTCCGATTGTCCCCAAGAAGAAAGGAAGTGCGCACTACGAGCATCATGAAAACAAATCGGAGCTGTCAACCGGGGCCAAAAGGGCCCCGGAGGGGACTGGTGCGGACACAGTCGGGACGATCGGGGGATCCAGACACCCCCCCCCGAAAGAAACCGGGTTGAGTTAAGGGGTCTCTGCACTTGAAGAAACCTATGAAGGGAAAAGCCTGTGAGATTCCACCGCCATTGCACGGGTCTTGGCCCCCTCATCCTGGCTGCGGATCTTCCGAGGCTTCATTGCTCGGTTGGCGACGGACCCGCCTTCTTCAACCCGGGAAAGACTTGCGCAATTGAGAGGGGTGCTTGCTAACCTGCCAAGCGCGTGCATACTTGCCATGGCCGCCTGGGAATGACCGTGGGTAGCCCAGGCCAGCGCTGGTGCGACCAAAATGCCAGAGACGCTGGAGCCAAGAAAGGCGAAGTCGAAAGTTTTGAAAACCAGGAAGGGTGATAGTCGACCAATAGTGACGCCTTGGCCTGAATAACCCCCTTTTTGGCTGGAGCCAAGACATGTGACAGAGAGACCCATCATTTTTGGGACTCTCTTTTTATGGGCGATTATCGCGGGGAGGGTATTGCCGGGTATCCACTTGGGCCCAAGATATGATGTGCTGGATCGACACGGGAGCATATCGCTGATATGGCCCTTGCCAAGGTCCATGTTGTGGATTATAAAGTCCGGCCGATTTCACCCGCTTCTGTTTATTCAGGACCGTTCAAGTTCAAACCTATTTCGACTCGTCTTAACTACCCCTCTTGACTATTCACCACTACGTGCTCACATCCACACCAACATTTCCAAAATGTACACTCACACTCCCAACTTCCGCTTCCTCGTCCTCTCTGCCGAGACATCGGCTCCCTTCCACCCCGAGAACAAGTTCCTCGTCTTGTCTCCCACCGAGTCTGGCCCCGACCCTCGTGTCTTTGAGGAACAGGCCGTGAGCGAGTCTAGCTCTACCGACCAGAGTCCCGAGTTGACTTCCCAAGAGCACCACCGCTCCAACAGCTCTTCTTCCACTTCCACTGTGGACTCTCAATTCAATGACCTCGCTGGCAAACTGCCTAACGGCTTCCTCTACTTGGGCCACCCCAACAAAGGCCGAAAGGGCTCCCTGTGATTTATCTACACACTTCATCTTCTCATGCTTCCATTCATGACATGTCGTTGCCATGGACACCAGCGATCGATGCATTATTGTCAATTTTTTTTTTTTTTTTTGGGCGATACACATGTTCAACCCTGGCGACACCGATCGTGGATCAATCGGTGGTCTGCCGCCCCGGAGGCAAAACTAAGGTGGACAAACAAATAGGGGTATTGAAGGCGTTATCTGATATGGACTCTGGTTCTCTTTGAAATACGTCCATTTTTCTCTTTTTTCCAAACCTACAATCGAAGCCCTGTTGGGCAAATTTCCAATCCATCACGAACTCTTCAAACCATCTTGGGCCACTCATGCTGCACAGCTAGCCCACATGGTTCAGCATAGCCTACCTTCCTATCAATGCCTAGAAAATAGTAAGCCCACTCAACGCGAGGGAGTTGCCCTAGATACCTGCCAAGGTGGATGATGATGCGCCAAGCTTTTATGTCGTTTTGATTCACGCCGTCTTGGATGAGGCCAGTCTTACCGACCATGTAGCACAGGCAAGGGCAGACATGCACCGTCAAGATCTACAGATCCCTTTCTTGGTCTTGCCACGGCTGTCCAGGTGCCAACCTCCTGTGGCAAATGTTCTTAGTTTTTCTTTCTGGTGCTGCTGCCTCACGTTGCTCATTCTTGGTGCTCGATTGGTCCAAAACTGCCATCTAAAACTACGTCAGTTTGCCGGTGAGATAGCGGTGGAGATGGGATCTTCTCACTACCCCTCATAGACGCAGCCCCAATCCACCCCGCGTTCCCGGTGAAGAGTTGTAGTGATGATAGGCATTGTTTACTTGATCTAGGTTTCGGTGAATATACCATGCATAAAGCGATATCTCTACCCAATGATACCCCCTTGATCGCATTCACGTGGTCTGTGTTGCAGATGTTGCGGAAAGCCCGGGTTCACATGTTTATATCGCTTGCGGACTTCGGCGAGCCTAACACATATTCACTTCAGCTTACATTTGGAAATCGTGTGCTTATAAGTAACGGAACTCGGCCACTGGAACCTGCTAACGGGGCTTGGTACTTATTGGCAAAGTCCCTCCAACCAATGTCATCGCTTATTGGCGGCTTCGTCTCGAACTAATCAGACACTCTGAAGTACTTCCTTGGAATTACCCTGGAAGTCTTCTGATTCCAAATCTCCTTGCAATTTGCTGACAGCGGGCTGTTCTCATGTTATGGACAGGTGCATTGAGTCCCGATCTGTTTTGGACGAGTTGATTCGTCATCTTCGAGCTCATGATAAGGTACCTGACCTTGATTTCACGCCCTCAATGGTTGATGGTATTGACCGCATTCGAACGGGATGTCTCAATAGGGCAATGGCTGCCTTGCTTAATGATTTTCGACAAGGCGGATATGATTTGATTCTGCGTACAGCTTGTGGCTAGTCACGCTTCTCAACCTTGGGGGAAAAGACCAATTTCTTGACAAAAGAACACGGCTCATATTGAAAACTAAATCAAGTATAACCCATATGTGAAGACTTCAATTTTCAAGTTACGGATGATTTACTGCAATTTATACGAAGCGCCTGTCTCCATGGCCCGAGCCGAATCTTGAAGCCTTGAGCAGGTAGCCATTCACCGCCTATAACGTTATACACAGATTGACGGAAAAGGAAATCTGAAAAGAACAACCACTGGAATTGGAATGCCCTCTCTCGTCCCCAATAACATGGCTGCCTACCTGGGGCGTGATCTCCCCGCGGTCTATTGGATAGCCACCCCGACAACCGAGGTCAACATAATGATTGTATTGGCTGCGAAAGAGATCTTCTCCATTCCATGGAACCCTGTTGATTGCAGGGGTATCTATGCGTTCCCCGCAAAACACCGGAGCCCACATGCGGGGGATCTGCGAGTCGGGAGGATTCGGCGAAGGAATCAATCAAGCTTGCATCTGAGCGCTGGTGCTTATAGTGACGTGTCATATAAGCCGGCATACGGGGATGGCTTTTCCAACTCTGATGCGTCTACATGTGACCGGGTTCTCTTCCGACTCGTAAAGATTCTCCGGAGACAGGATCTCTCTCGGCTGACTGAATTCAGGACCCATATGGAGAAACCCCGGACCCAAAAATGCCAATGACAACCTTTCACGATCAGGGGGTAAGGAGGTATTTTATTACACATGCCGGAGATAAACTCAGCCCAATGAAACATCTCTTTTCATCAGATACGAATGAGCTTATCGGCCCGCGTTTCGCAATAACCCCCTGGGGCATAGCACGTGCCACTGCTCTCCAACTAGCCAATATAACACTATTGGTCGAAGATCGCGAAGATCACAACATAGTCTCAAGCCAACGCCCCCAAAAAAGAGAAAGCGCATGTTTACGGAGTATGAAGTTAAGTGCCAAAGTTAGGTGCCAAAGTCAGGTGCCCCACCATCATAGGGATTCCACAGATATTCCCAAATCTCGGAAGGAATTGCCTGGAGAACAGAACATGGTTCTCTTGGGCGTTATCTTCGATTCGACAACTTCACCGTCAGGGGGGAGAAAGAGAGGGAGAGAGAGGTATAGGAAAACCGTTGGGTTGCTCGCGGTCACTTGCAGAATTACGACAGGAAGTGGATTAGCGCGAGGCGTGTCGATGGGAATGGTTGGGCGGCAGTGTCGGCTGTGGTGAATGCCCACATTCCCAATTGAGAAAAGACCGAATAATACCCGTCGGGAGACCGCGTGGCCGGGCGCTTTTTGGGTCGGTGCCTGGGTACTTTCGGTTTCGGGGTCCAGGGTGATCGGGTCGGATGATGGAACGGGAAACGCGGAGATGGCATTGCTATCGTACACAAGTACGTATCAACGAGGAATCAAGCCATCAGGCAGGGGACCCTTCCGGCCTAGCGGGGCGGTGTGTTCGTACCACGCTTGAGAATTCCGGGAGACGCTAATTGATCGAAGGTCGCCCAAATGCTTCTGCCGCGTTTCTAGCGCCAAAGCCAAGACCTCCGTTGCCTCCCGACTGAACTTTGGGTGGTCGCCACACCATTTGCCGATCGACCGCCCAGAGGATAGGGGAATGATGATGTACATCAAACGGGGGATAGGAGGCGATCCAATCGAATCCCCCCGGTCGATGAAGGAATTCCGCACTCCGCCACCCCCCCGGAGTAACTAAGTTGTGTCCCTTGCAGATGGCAGATGGAGCTCAGGTCTATGAGCCATGAATCTGTCAAGGCGCCCGATCTCTCATGGTTCACCGTAAAACACATGCTTTGATCCTCGGTAATAAAGGGGTGGAGACCCAAGGACCTATGCTTCAGGACGACCATGGCAAGTGCGGTGTCCGCTCCACCGTCGAAACAGTCGATCATAATGAAAATCCTCCCCCATCAGATGGCGTAGGACTCGGTTGTATTGTAAACCGAAGCGATCCTTGATGAGCTATCGCAGATCTGCATGATAGAATGTCAATGTTAAATCAGAAATACTTCATCGCTGGACGTGGCAGCTCGTTAGTCATGGAATACGCCGAATGTTTCAGCCCCGTCTTGTATTACCGATCATGACGTCCCACTCTGCAACCGGTGCCGAATGCCAGCGTTGCGCCGTGGGATCATCCGATCGACCACTACAACCGTCGTTGAGCCATTCCTCGTGCCGTATACTGGATCATCTCACTAGCGTCTCGAGAGCGCTTGCCCGTGGCGTACTGTACACTCTCTAAATTATTGCTCCGTTCGACGGGGCTGGATCCGCGCCCCGTCACGTGCTGCGTAATACCGTAACGGCGCCAGTCCCAAAGCGGAAGGGTTGCCATCGGTCCATAGTCCCGTTTCCCTCGACATCCTCCTCCTCGAGAAAGGCGATCCTCGTGTTGAAGCATCTCTCGTCTCTCGTGTTTCTTTTGCAGTCCTACACATTCTCTTATATAATCCATAGAAAAGGGTGCGTGGTCGCCACTGAAGGCGAACAAAAGGTCCACAGGGCCCCCAGAGTGAGCGGGACATCGAGGGTGGACTCCAAAGAGCCCGTCAAAACCGCCATCCACCCAAAAGTCCACATCCATCGAGGGGCACTCTAGCGAGTCTCCCAGTTCGCATTCCTATCCTCTTCATCTCCTTCGCTTATCCCACGTTCGCGCTTCAACGTGGGACTTCCCCGATACATCGTCAACCCCCAACCCCCAACCCCCTCGGGTTAGGCGTACACTTCGCGCAGACCGGGGAAACCAGGATTTCCAAAAGATTCCCTCGACCGGGGTGTTTCTTTTACCTTCCCTTCTAAACCCCTATCGACTTACACGAATACCCTAGCCACCATGACGGGCGCCGCACCTATTGACATTTCCTCTCGACAGACCTCGGTCTCACCGCCGGGGCAGCAGGCGTCGAATCTCACATCCGCGCTGCAGAGAGCCGGCACCGGTGAGCGCACGGGCAGTATATCGCATCATGCAAGTGGAGGCCTGGGCATGTTCAAGCCACCGCCGCCTCGAAAGGACTCGATCGGCACCGCCACGGCACAATGGGGGAATGGAACGAAGCCCATCTCCATGTCGGGCTCAGCACGCGACAAGGGTCGCCGCGAATCGCTGGCCGGGAGCTTGGTCGGCGGCATGAGCTGGGGTGGTATCTCGGTCGGAAGCTGGATACGCGACGAGTGAGTAGTCCCCTCCTCCCCCATGAAGGCCCCCGGGGAATCCTGTGTGCTGGCCTGGTCGCACCGCATCGAAGACTAACCCAGAAAATTTTCCCAGCATCATCATGACTGGCACGTCGCCTTTTACCTTCCAGTCGCCTTCTTTCCACTCCTCGTCATATTTGCCGAAGCTGGAGGCCAACTTCATGCGGGACTTTTCCTGCTGCGGTGTGACGTTACCGACACTCCACGACCTCTTACAGCACTACGAAGAAGCCCATGCGACCAAGTCCCCCAACCAGGGCCATCGCCCGAGCCAAGGTGATAATCGAGCTGCCATGGCGGCCGCTGCGATCGCACAGCAGCAGGGCCAGCAACATGGCAACCAAGGGCGTGGTTTGCAACCCGATCGAACCCTGGACTTGCAGCGCAAGATGGGCCAGACCCCCTCCGCATCCCCGCACGTTGATCTAGACGCCATCGATGATATGGAGTTGGACGAGCCTATGGGAGACGATGATGGCACCACCTCCCAGCTGTTCTCTCCCCAGTTACGCGAAGGTGGCCAGGGCGGCTTTGGCAGCTCCAACCAAGGCCCGCAATTAAGTCTGGGCATGCTTCCAAACCATCAAGGCTTCAGCACGCCTTCTCAACCTGGCACGCCCATCGGATCTGCTCGTCCGCTCTCTCTGCAGAATAACCCCACCGTTTCCTCCGTCAATACCCCGACTTTAATGGCAAACCCGCTTCAAAACTCCCAATTTCGAAATACGCCCGATTCCTCGGGACCTGGCACACCAGCAGAGATTGATGAGAGCATGGTAGGCGGATTCGGTGACCTTACTATGCAGAATAACGCCATGGGACAGAATCAGGGCCAGTATGGACGCTACACCGGGAATAACGACATGCTTGATCTTTGCATCGACGAACCGGCCAAGCGATTGTTCAGCCCCAACGGAGGCATGGGCACTCCCAACGCCCACTTTAAACTTAGCGGAGCCCAGTACGGACCGAATAGCGATATCGCTCGGCGGATCCGGGAACAGCAGCTTCTCGCGGGGGTACCCGATACCACATCGATTCTCCCCAACGAGGAACCGAAGCCATTCCGGTGCCCTGTTATCGGCTGCGAGAAGGCCTACAAGAACCAAAACGGGCTTAAATACCATAAGGCTGTGAGTTTTCTTTCCTTCCCACATTACTCCCTTCGTACTACCTCTAACATCTGATTCTTCTTAATAGCATGGCCATAATAATCAACAACTTCACGACAACGCTGACGGCACCTTTTCGATCGTCAACCCAGAAACATCCACGCCATATCCCGGTACTCTCGGCATGGAGAAGGAGAAGCCGTACCGCTGCGAAGTATGCGGCAAACGCTATAAGAACCTCAACGGGCTCAAATACCATAAATCGCACTCGCCACCTTGCAACCCCGACTTCCAAATCGCCGCAGGTCGCAACCTGAACCTCGGCGGAGGAGTCATGCAGGGACAGAACATCAACGTTGCTGGAGCTGGACTCCCCGGGATCGGCGAGGAAGGCCTTCTGTGAACAATGCTTGTCCATACAATAATACCCAGCTATTTGATGCGAACGATTTTAGCCTTGAGGCCTATGCTCCCGCACACGATGTCATGAAACTGGTCCGGCTTACCTTGGAGTTTTTTGATGCTATCTTTTTGGGGGATGTTCTTTTTCTGCTCCGGCTTTCCACTGGCATTTCCCGTCTTTTTTGCTCGACATCTCTCGCCGTTTCCAGTCCGCCCGATTACGGGCACCCTGGTAATAGAGCCTCGCTGAGCGATCAAGAATTCGGCAAGATCTGTCTCTAGAAGACATCTTTATATTCCCTCCTATCCTCTATTCCTTGAATACGCTGGGATTCGGGCGAGGGGAAAAGGGGAATGTGTTTATATTTTGTGGGTATCTCGTCTTTTTTTTGCATGTCGTCTCTTGCGTTCTGCACGGGTTGGCTTTACTTTGGCTTTTTTATCTGTGGTTCCAATTATGCTTCGGTCTCTTCCTGGAAGATGATTTGCTGCGAGTTCCGCCTTGACCGCACGTGAATGCGATATGGATTGGGAGGGTTGGTGTTCGCTTTTCTTCCCTGTGGCCCTTTGGAATCAGACAGGTGGATCTGAAAACTACAAAAGTGCGGTCCTTCGGCGTCGGATCTTGTAGAAATGGTTTTATACACTTTGGCTTCTTTTGTCTATTATTATTTGATCGCTTATTATGCCACTTGACTCTCTCCCTGCTCCTTGAACTAGAACATCTCTACAATGCAAGTAAGGTGGTAAATAAAGATATTTAATTTGTGTTTGGTGAGCCTAGCTACACTGCCATTCATTCTAGTACATAAACAGGGCATCATGGATAAACCAGAAATCAAGAGCCCATCCTGGGGTAAGCGCTATGAGCTAAAGCTCGGATTGGAAAACAGAACCTGGAGTTGAACCCGACTGGTCGTGTTCGGGCCTGGGTGAGTGAGGGAGAATCGTGAGATGAAATTTCGCTTGCGGGAAGCATTTCAGGAGCGTAAATAAGAGGACGGATTTTCATGGGTGTCGTGAGACAACTGGAGAGGAACCTCGAACAAGGAAAAAGGTATTACAAACCGAACGCAAAGATTCATGAAAATTGCCAGATAAGGGTGCGAGAGCGAAATGTGATTACCATTCGAACTCGCCTTGGCCCTTGTGGAAAACGTATCTATTGTCGTCAATAAATGTTCGGTCCAATTCTCATGGACATAGAACTTACTCTCTGCCACCAGTGGTCAGAATGCCGTCCTTCAAGGTGCACTTCCACTTGTTCTTGACACGCTGGACCTTGTCATAGGTGCACAGCATGACCTGACCTTCTGATTCATCGGCATCGTGATCATCAGCAATGAGGTCATCGGGATCATCAAGATCCGAGTTGATGGCATCTTCGTCTTCCTCCTCCTTGGTGTCGTCATCGGCACCATCGTATTGGCCAGGTACTCTCGGCGCAGACGAGGACGAGTCAAAGGCGGTTGCTTCTTTGAGACATGCGACCGCATGCCGCGAGGCTGCAGTCGATTTTGAGTGCTCACTCATGGGACGGAGAAGACCGCCGCCTTCCATGTCAAGCATCTGCTGGTTGAGATGCTCACGAAGCAAGTGGTCACCTCGGCCATTTTGAGCCGCCTCTCTACGACGAGCGACCTCAGCCTTCCAGTCGGCCAGTGCATCGCCAGCGCCGTCAGTTTGGCCATGTCCCATAGAGGGATAACCGGGCTCTTGTTTGATTTGGGGCATCTGCCCATTTGCATGCATCTGAGGATATGACTGCTGGCCTTGAGGATGAGCCTGAAGCTGACTCACGGAGTGAGAAAGCCGCGGCGCCGAATTTAGATTGAAGGTGGTTTGCAGCGCGGTCACGAGCTGACTGAGAATTAGGCGCCTGTCCAGGCATCTGGTGAGGTAGCTGGTGCATGGGGGGCATGCCCATCGGAACATTTGACCCAGGCTCGGTCTTGATCCGAGGAGCACCCATCGCCTGTACGGGGGCGGGCACATTCTGACGCATGGTTTGTGGAATAGAGACAGGGACATGTTGGGGGACATGTTGTTGAGGTTGCCTAGGAGCGTTGGAGGGCACAGTAGCTTGAGGGAGGACGGGGGCTTGAGGAGTAGGCTGAGGGGTAGGATCCCAGGGGAAGGAGGCAACGTTGACGGATGAAAGCTTTGCCTGCCATGTCTATATATGGTGTTAGTATGGGGTATTATAGAGTGACATGAGGTAGACATTGATGGCTTGGCGGCCTAAGCCTAAGCGGGTAGCGGCGGCCGCATATAAAGGGAGCCTCAAAAGCCGGTGTTCCCCCATAAGCACCGCCTCCCGCAGCACCTCGGGTTCCCCCCGCTTTTGGCTGACCCTGAGAAACACCACGCCATATGCCGTCCAAATACACATAAGTCTCAAGGGTATAAAAACTCACGTCTTTCAGGTCATTGAGCGTCTTTTGATCGACACCGCTTTCTTCGAAATCGACCACGGAGGCGTCGCAGACTTCCTGGATGACCTTCTCGAACACGGCGCCCTAGATAACAGATGTCAGCCATGATCACTTCATCGACATCATATATTGACAAGAGACAGTTGTCTGGATCCACGGGAGCGAGGGTAAATGATATTGTGGTTCAGGCCATGTAGGGTAGGTTGTCGCGAGACCGCACTTACCACTTGTTGGTTGGACATGGTTGCGGGCCGGGGTATTCAGGGGCAGGCGATGGGAGGAGATGGTGTGGACCGAAAGGGTGACCGTTTTCTAGGGTCACTGGAAGTCAAAAACGCTCGACCGGGTTATATGGCCTTCCGTCGCAACGGGTGAGGCCGTAGGAACGCGGGTGGATGACACTGGGGGATTTGGGTCGCTTTCAAACTGATTGCCAGTCTATTGCAGTCCAGTCAAGGGAATACACAAGTAAACACCTGAGGAAGAAGTGACAAATTAAAAATCGAGGGTTGAGGTGGGATGGGGGGATCTGCCGATGGAGTTGGGGAGGTGAAAGTCGATCTTCCGCGGTGGAAATGCCTCCAGGTGAGGTCAGGGTCACGTGCCTACCGTCGGTCTCGACCCCGGGTCCCTTGTCTCCACGGGATCTTTGGCAATGCCGAAAATATGAAAACTAGCATAATTATTTTGAATTTATGGATCAGATTACTGAATGGAGTGGTAGATCATGGCACGGTGAGGGCACGTTGCTCGTTGGAAGTGACCCGGTATCGGCTTCGCCTTATTGATGGAATCCTTGGGCTTTCCAGACCTGTCATGCCATACCAAGGAGACATTTCCTCGGTGATCTCTATGTCCTTTTCGTTTTTCTTGTTCATATTTGAGACGAGAAATATTTCGCCAGTTGGAAGGGGCCCCTCATAGCTCAAGATAGTTAGAAAGTTCTAAGAAGCAAGACTTTTGGAAGATAGAAAGACTGGCATTTTGTACAACTCCAACAGACGGGAAAAAACATATGAACCAAGAAACACCAATTAGTCCGAGTATAAACCCATTACGCCAAACATGAACGTATGCCCCCAGCCCATCAATGCTCGCAAGATGACACCATGAAACCGGGTATAGAACAAGAAATTAGACAAAGAAAGCCATTTAGCGGATGGTCATCGACTTGGTCAGCTGAGCTTTGCTGCCAACACCACCCTCACGGGAAGCAGAGGCACTGCTGCCGGCCTTGCGTTCAAAGACCTTCCAGAACTTCAAACTCTCGTCGGCAGCGGCGGTGGCCAGCATCTGGCCATCGGGACTAAGGCTGCTGTGCAGGACACGAGTCTCGTGGGCAGGGATCTCGACGTTGCGAACCAGAGTCGGGTAGCTCCAGATACTGAGCGAGTTGTCGGGGAAGCCGCTGGAGCTGACGATCTCGCGGTAGTGGTTGCTCCACCGGAGGCTGGTCACCTGAGAGCCAGTATCGATGCTGTTGGTTCGGGCACCGGTGGTAGTGTTCCAGAAGTGGATGTGACGGTCGTAGGAACCACCGCCAGTGGCGAGGAGATTCAATTGCCAGGGGCACCAGCTGAGAGCCTTCACGGCAGCACGATGGTTGGTTTTGGTGAACTTGGGAGCGCTGAGAGAACGAGCGTCCCAGATATTGACCAGGTTGTCGTTGCCACCGGTAGCGAGCTGAGCGCCATCAGAGCGCCACTCAAGACCGCAGACTTCGGAGGTGTGGGAAACAAGCTCGGCCACCTTGTGCTGAGCAATGCGGACATCGTGGTTGTACACCAGGCCGCTACGGGCACCAGTCGAGAGAGTGTGCTTGGACCAGCCCATCACACCCACACGGGAGTCGTGACCGTACATGCTGCGGAGCTTGGAGCCCTCCTCGACGTCCCAGATCTGAACCTCACCAGTTCCAAGGCCAACACCAACATAGGCGCCGTCTCCACTCCACTTAACACTGCTGATGTATGTGTCGGGGGAAGTCTCCAGGAGGCAGTTGACGGAGCCAGACTCGGCAGACCAGACGTAGACATTGCGCTCGAGACCGATGGCGACCTGGTTCCCAGAGCTCCAGTCCAGCAAGTTAAGATAGTAGTCATCCAAAAGACCTGGAGCATCCAATACCCGCTCGGGGGCTGTCTGGACACGGCGACGGAACTGAGCATTTGTAGACTTGGCAGGGCGAAGAGGACGGTTATATTGAGCGCGAAGATCAATAGGCTTCGAGGACTCCGGCGGCGGAGGCTTGAACGCCAAGATACGAGTGTTCAAGTTGACCCCACAGGCATTGGCCAGCGATGACTCGTAGGCAACGGCATCGGGTGCAGGTCGAGAGTACTTCGAAGTTTCATCGTCTTCTAAACCGAGGTTCTCCAGAGCAGCAGTAAGATCCTCCTCGGACCCACGGCCGTTGATGTCAAAAGCACTGGCAGCTGAAGCCAGGACACTTGATCCCGACCCCTCACTGCCGCCAGTCTTCGGACGTTGCTCCTCAGGCTTCGCAGCCCCCGTTGTGACAATACCCTCGCTTGCAGAGCGGTTGGGAATGAAACGGTCCCCTGCGTTGTGTTGAATGCGCATAGTGGTCTTCCCGGGGCGGGAACGACTAGGGACATCTCGGCGAGTGCGCGACTTGGCGGGAGACTGAGCGCCCTCAGGGCCAGTACCGGTCAACGACCAGTCGGAGACGCCCAATTCGAGGTGCTTCGGCGACCGGCGAGTGCGAGCAATATTGGATTTGGGGGAATCGCGATAAGAGCGAGATGACGACTTGGGAGCGGATGGTGCCTTTGCGCTCGACTTGGCGGTGCTCGATTTGGCGAAGTGTGAAGAAAGGTTGCCACCATAGACTGCCTTGGATTGGCTGCGGCCCGCCTCAGCTGGGTGAGGAGGAGTGAAGGGAGAGTCATTCAAAGCTTGGGGAGTTGCAGCACCAGACTTTCCCCGAGGAGAAGGGGTCAAAGGCATGCGACCTCCAGCTGTCTTGGAGGAAAAGAGCCCATGGTGGCTCTTCTTAGGAGTAGTCACTGTAGCGGTAGCCATTGCTGCTCAGTGAGAAGTAAACAGTAGACGATGGAGCCAGCCACCGAGTAAATACAATACAGAATAGAAATTCAGAATTGTATGCAGGATATTATGCAGGCGGAGTATGAGATGGATGAAGAGGGAAAGGGAGTAGAGCAGAGAGCAGAGACCAAGAATAAATAATGGAAGTAGTGCAAGTATGAAGCTTCTCGCCGGGGCAACGGTTACCTCAGGTACGGGTGCACTAGTCCCGATGTGGTATAGTGGGTAATTCACATGACTTGCCGACGCCTTCCATTTTCGGAGTTCTTCTGCCTCAGGCTTTACGAATTCTGGTGGGGTGAAAAACGGACATTCGTATTCAATGTGAACGGACTCACGATGAGTACGTTATAAACTCTCATCACCGTTCTTTGTGTGCACCAGTACATATTCACATAGTCGCCCGATGGCCGGGCAGGGCACACCTTTCCCCCCATCAATCACAGTCCCACCAGGACCCACTCGCTCGACTTCTTGTCATCTGGGCCTGATCTTCGAGGGCTTTTCAATCCGACGACCTCTGGGAGCCTTTGCTCGTCTGCGCTTCAGATGCAGCAGGACGCATATTTGATGCCTGCTAGTCCCGCTGGTGGTCGCCAGGCCAGTGCGGACTACCGGCCTAGCGTCAAGAAGGCCCTGGGCCATGTCCCCGCATGTCTTGTGAACGCCTCGGTGACGTACTGTAGCAATGACCGAATCTATGCCTTCGGAGGCTTTGATCAATATACCGATGAAGGTTCGGCTTCTCCGATCTGCCTTCACTGTCCCCTCATTCTTCTCAAGTGGCGCTAACACAAAAATACCCGCAGTCTACAACCACGTGCTCCGCTTAGACTTGAATACACTGAGATGGGATCTAGTTGATAACTATGGTGACATACCGGGGGTTCGCATGGGTAAATTACCTCCCACAGCCTTTATATGGTGACAACCGTCTGAACTTTGAATTTTTAATCCAGGACACACTGCGACTCTTTACCAAGGCGACAAACTGATCGTCTTCGGCGGCGAGAACGAGCACCGCGAATACCTATCGGACGTTGTCATCCTTGACCTCCAAACATTCACCTGGACCTTGCCCGACATCCGGGGCACAATACCCCGTGGACGGGCAAGGCATGCCGCCGTGATTCACGATGACAAGCTATTCATCGTCGGTGGTGTGACTGGGGAGAACAATTTCATCCTGGACGACCTGACATATCTGGATCTACAGACCTGGACCTGGTCGCGAACCTGGAGTTTCACCTCTCGATTTGACCACACCGCATGGGTATGGGGGAATCGTTTATGGATCTTTGGTGGATTAGGACCCAACATGGAACGCACGACCGACATCTGGTGGCTCGATCTCAAAGGATCCCCCTCCCTCGCTGGAATCACATCCTCCCAAGGTACCGTGGACTCCCCGGACATACCACTGCCAGTGGCTCATTACCCAGACTCTATCTCTAGTGTATCATCCCAGCAAATGTCTCCTCGTTCCGGAATCTATGCTGCCAACTCCGCCAGTGTACAGGTTCGCAATCTGAACCGTCGGAAACCGCTTGCCCCGGGTGCAATCTCGTGCCATCAATTCCACTCTGGCCCACATGTCCCTGCACTATTCTCCGGTACCCATTTCCAGTCCTTTGCATCGGGGGTATTGCTCGATTTGATCACACCGTCGGAGACTGTGCGGTCGCATGACTGCAACCTTTCCGCTCTCGAACTGAACTCGCTACGCTGGCAGCGACTGGCCGATGGACAAGAGCTCTTCCGGCCGGGGTATAGATGGCATTACTGCACCGTCAACGATACGGGGACAAAAGCGTGGCTACTGGGCTGTAGCCTCGACATGGCAAATGCGCCCGGGGCAAGTGATGAGAATCACATGAGTGAAATCCTATCAATCGACCTGGAGAAATACGGGTTGCTTGGCAACGAGCTATCCACCGAAGCCCCCGAGCCTGATTCTTCCTGGGGAGGTGACCCATCTGGACCTCAAGTCTCTTCCCTGGGGTCTGATCTCGCCTCCGCCTTTGACCAGACCCCCGAATCTGGCAGTGGTGCTGATTTTATCATCACCGCCATCCGTGACGACCACGACTTTACGGGCTCGGAAGACCGAGAAGAAACACCACATGCATTCCCGTTCGATTCCAGACCCACCTTTGTGGAGCCCAATCCATCCACCTCAGTTCCCATCCATGTTCATAAGATCATCCTGCAGCTTCGGTGGCCGCATTTCAAGCGTCTATACTCCGCACAGATGGCAGAATACCATACGAAGCGCATGCATATCCCCGAACCGTATTCGGTCGTGCGTGCGTTTTTGTACTACCTCTACACGGATAGCATTGCTGGTCACCCCGAGTACTGCTCGGACGTGGTGGACGTGGCGGGGATGCTGGTCATGGCAAATCTATACGATATGCCGAAGCTGCGCCTGCTGTGCGTGAATCGCCTGAGCCGTGAGCTCGATGTGGACAACGCAGCCATCGTCTGGGAGCGCGCCGGGAGGACCAACGAACACTGGCTGATGCGCCGAGCCGCACAGTTCTGTCTGACACATTGGGGTCGCGTGGTGCGGACCGACGGCTTCAAGTCTCTCAGCCATCAGAGCTTGATAGAACTATGCGAGGTGGTGGATACAGAAGGTCGTATTATCGCCGGGCCGGAACTAGAAATGGTGGGTGCCTTCGACGGCGCATCGGTGACGGAGCCAAAGGGGTCTCAGCTTCGACTGGGTTCTACAGACGACATGTCTGAGCTTGATGGAGATGACGAAGGAATGGAACTTTCATGACGAATCCGACACGCATTGTCTTCGGGAGTTTAGGGGACTTGGGCAGGGAGGCAAACCACGTATTTTGAGCTTTGCATCATTTTTGTTTTTGAAATCTATGCATCTTTCAAAGGAGTAGGGGTACCCTGGCGAGGAGCTGTACATCCTTCGACCTTTTGAATGAAACGTACTTTGATCCATGCATATTCTAGACTAACGTAAACGTGTCTGTACGGCGAACGGGCCGCGCATCCGCCGAAACAAGAAACAATCTGTCCGATGCTGCGGCTCCACCTGCCGACGCTCTGGGAGCGGAACTTGCTCCGGATCGCGGAGATGCCTCCTGCCACGAAACGGAAGCTCGATTCGGTCTCGCCTTCTCCGTTTCACACTATCATTTATAACGTACCCGGGGGAGCTGCTCTTGCCATGGATCAATTTGTTCTGGGTAGAATACGTCAACTTCACCATGGGATCCGTTGAACAGTCTACCCTTCCCCCCGATTTCCTCTGGGGCTTCGCGACGGCTGCTTACCAGATCGAGGGTGCCGTGAATGAGGATGGTCGAGGTCCGTCTATCTGGGATGCTTTCTGCAAAATTCCTGGCAAGATTGCTGGTGGCGGGTCGGGCGAGATAGCTTGCGATTCGTATCATCGGACTCATGAGGATATTGCCTTGCTAAAACAATGCGGTGCTCAGGCGTATCGATTTTCGCTGTCTTGGTTTGTATCCCCGCTCACGGTTTCGAGGTGTCTCTAACAGCCTTGACAGGTCTCGCATTATTCCTCTCGGTGGTCGCAATGACCCGGTCAATGAGAAAGGCTTACAGTTCTATCTCAAATTCGTGGATGACCTGCTAGCCGCGGGAATCACGCCTATGGTGACTCTTTTCCATTGGGATCTACCCGAAGAATTGCAGAGGCGCTACGGAGGGCTTCTCAACAAACAAGAGTTTGTTGCGGATTTTGCCCATTATGCTCGACTGGTCTTCCGGGCTTTCGGCTCCAAGGTCAAACACTGGGTTACCTTCAATGAACCCTGGTGCAGCAGTGTTTTTGGGTTTAATAACGGAAGCTTTGCTCCAGGTCGTACAAGTGACCGTGCCAAGAGTCCTGTCGGAGACAGTTCGACCGAGCCTTGGATCGTGGGACACAGTATCCTCGTGGCACATGGCGCCGCGGTCAAGATCTACCGGGAAGAGTTCAAGCTTCAAGACGGTGGTGAGATTGGCATTACGCTGAACGGTATGTCGCCCGGTTTCAATAATGACAATTGATCCTGACAATAATACAGGCGACTGGGCCGAACCCTGGGACGCCGAAAACCCCGCTGACATTGAAGCCTGTGACCGCAAGATCGAATTCGCCATCTCATGGTTCGCCGATCCAATCTACCACGGCAAATACCCCGCCAGCATGATCAAACAGCTGGGCGACAGACTACCAACGTGGTCGACAGAGGACATCGCTCTAGTCCACGGCAGCAACGACTTCTACGGAATGAACCACTACTGCGCGAACTACATCCGCGCCAAGACTGGCGAGCCCGAACTGGACGATGTCGCCGGGAATCTGGAACTGCTGCTGGAAGACAAACATGGTAACAGTATCGGACCCATCACGCAGTCTCCCTGGTTGCGGCCGTGCCCGCTGGGGTTCCGCAAGTTGCTTAAATGGCTCAGTGAGCGATATGGGTATCCGAAGATCTATGTGACGGAAAATGGGACGAGTGTGTTGGGTGAGAATGATTTGCCGCTGGAACAGTTGCTCGAAGATGAATTCCGGGTTCAATATTTCCGGGACTATATCGGCGCTATGGCTGATGCTTATACCCTGGATGGTGTTGATGTGAGGGCTTACATGGCTTGGAGCCTTATGGAGTACTATTCGCCCTCTTGCTTCCATTCTGCGAGTGTTATACTGACTTTGATACGTTTAGTAACTTTGAGTGGGCTGAAGGCTATGAGACTCGCTTTGGAGTGACTTATGTTGACTATGAGCACGACCAGAAGAGAATCCCCAAGAAGAGTGCTAAGAGCATTGGTCAAATGTTTGATCGGTTGATTGCGAAAGTTTGAACCTGCATTTGAGTGCGGTTTATGGGCTTCGTGTGGATAGAAATGATTGAGAGTCGAATTACGGGTTTGTTGTTCAACAGGTTGGCGTATTGCCCATGAGGGTCATACTATTAGATAGGAACTCAATTGTGTAATTTCGTCATGCGAACTTGAGTAACCTAGCTAAAAATACATATCGGATGTACTTGGACTCCATATCAGTCAAATTATTGAACCGATCCACTATAGCCTGCGGTATAACACCCCCCGACAGATTAGTAGACTCATTCACAGCAGCATTCCGGCGTGCATTCGCCCATGGCATCTTTTTTCGATAACTCTCTGTGGATAACTGCCTGGCATCCACATAAAAATCGGCTCCGATGTCGCAAACCTCGCCGACTGGAACATCCTTCTCCGCCCTAGGCTGGTCCACTTTTGCCTCCTTGACTCTATAGTAAATTTGTTAGAGAATGAATGGTTTCAAACTTGGATTCCTTCATTTTCATGCGGACCCCTCACTTATACCTTCACTGCCGAGCAGATAACGCATTATCTCTTCAAATTGTTATCCCCGCGCAGTCATAGAATCTGGGGTCTATTGATACGACATCCGCTGACGATTGTGGGGATTCAGCGGACAACTGTCCGCCACCTCCGCACTACGGTACCTTGGATCTCGTCGAGTTGCCTTTTTGGACAAGATATCCTCGGAATCTGCTCGGACTCTGGTCCGCCTAGTTGCGAGAGTTGAAATAAAGACAAGGCGCCTGGTTCGAGCAAGCATCAAGAATAATGCCTCAACCAGAATTCAATTTGCTCGATGCGAGCATCACAGATCTTCAGGATGCACTCTCATCCGGAAGACTCACAAGCGTGGGCTTGGTATCGCGATACCTACGACGCATCAGCGTCTACGACGCCAACGGACTGAAATTGAGCGCGATCCCAATCCTCAACCAATCTGTCTTCGATGAAGCTGCTGCATCTGATGCACGGCGATCAAAGGGACTCACTCCACGGCCACTGGAGGGGATCCCCTACCTGGTCAAAGACAATATCAAAGTAAAGGGAATGACAGTCGCCAACGGCTCCCCTGCATTTGAGAAACTTGTCGCAAACGAAGATGCTGCATGTGTGCAGATGCTCCGGAATGCAGGTGCCGTTCTTCTGGGCCGGACCAACATGCCTGCTATGGCATACGGCGGAATGCAGCGCGGCGTCTGGGGTCGTGCGGAGAGTCCTTATAACGACGATTATCTCGCGGCGGCGTATGCCTCGGGGTCATCTAATGGATCGGCCGTTGCCACGAGTTCGAATTTCTGTGCCTTTTCTCTTGGTACCGAGACGGTCTCGTCTGGTCGATCGCCGGCTTCGAATAATGCCATTGTCGCATACACACCCTCCAAGGGCCTCCTTCCGCTCCGCGGAGTCTTTCCTCTCTATCCGACTTGTGATGTCTTGGTCCCTCATACTAGGACCGTTGCTGATCTCTTTTACGTCCTCGATGTATTGGCTGCCCCTGATCCAACTCCCGCAGGGGACTTCTACAACGAACAAAATGTCGTTTCTATTCCTTCGGTAGCCGATGTCCGACCAGAGTCTTTTTCCACACTACAGGAGAAGTCCTCTCTAAAGGGGAAGCGCATTGGTGTTCCCTCGATGTACATTGGAGGCGACGATTCCTCCATTCAGCCGATTAGCAAAGTTCAAACTCGAGCATCCATCATCAAACTATGGCAGGAAGCTCGGCAAGCACTAGAGGCATGCGGCGCTGAAGTGATCGAAACCGACTTCCCCTTAGTGACAGACTACGAATCCAATGCCGCCTCAGGACAACTTGTCACTGTCGCGAATCTCCCAGATGGCTGGGCCGGCAAAGAACGGTGCGAAGTCGTCTCCCACGCATGGGATGATTTTCTAGTCGCAAACGGTCAAAAAGGCCTCGACTCTCTGACGCTCGTCGATCCCGACACAATTTTCCCACTCGCACCAGGTTCGCTACTCGGCACACCAGAGGCCGCGAACAAGCCGCGATGGGGTGAGATTGTCCAGTATCCTCACAGCAAACCAACTTCTATCTTCGAAATCCCAGGCATGAAACAGGCGATACAGGCGTTTGAAGATGCCCGAAAAGAAACATTTGAGAAATGGATGGACAAGTTCGGTCTGGACGCCGTCGTCTTTCCATCTAATGCAGACGTGGGTGCTGCGAACGCAGATGCGGATCGAGACGGGTCTCTCTTTGCTTGGAGTAACGGTGTCAAATACTCCAATGGTAATCGGCCCATCCGCCATCTGGGTGTGCCGACTATCTCGGTTCCTATGGGTGTTATGGAGGATACAAAGATGCCAGTCAATCTTACCTTCGCTGGGAAGGCGTATGAGGATAACAATCTTCTGAAGTATGGATATGCTTATGAGATGGCCTCAAAGCGCCGTGTCCTACCACCTTTTGTGCCGGCTCTTGATTCGGATTTTATTCCGAGTGGGAAGGCTTCGTCTATTCAGTCCACCCCCAAACTCGTGGTAGAGACCCAGGTGAAGGAGGTTCGTGGCTCGGAAGTGGTTGTTAAGGTTGAGGGGGCTTCTGAGGGCGCTCGGCTTAGGAGTGTCTCGTGCTATATCAATGGACAACCGTGCGATACTACTCTAGAAAACGGAAAGTGGTCCACTACGGCTTCGTATCCGGTGTCTGATCGAGATGGGAAGTGGGAGAAATGGGCTAGTCCTGCGCTGAATCAAACCATTGTGGTGGTGACGGCATACACGGACGAGGGCTCTGCGGCTGGCAAGCTCATCATGCTGTGAGATCAACTTGTGTCGAGTGTAATGACTTATGGTCCAATGTAAATTTGCTATGAGAGATAATAGATCTCCTTTATTAAGAAGTCAATGGCAAATTCTTTTAGTTTGCAATTGAATCACGTTGCGCTGCGAGGAACTCAAGGTTTCGAGCACAGGAAAGCATTGTTGATACATGGTGATGAGGAGGTAGAAGAAAGCAGCAAGAAGCAAAAAGTCCAAGAAAGCTGCAGGGCATCCGTTACAGCAGAACAAGGAACAAGGAGAAAGTAACGTATGATGCTGAAAGATGAGTAATGGGATGCGTATCATAAGTCGATGGTGTATCTGGAGCTTTCGACTCCGTTGAAAGTCCAGTGCCGTTGTCTCACTAGGTAGTGTACCGAGTGCAGATGCAGTGATAAAGCCGCATCAAAACATCCTTCTGAGGTCCCTCCTCCATCTTCTCCAGATCCTGCTTAACATAAGGACTGTAAAAGATGAACTTGCACATATCCAGTAGCGTCCTACTCTCATCTCCCTTGGGGGTCTCCGGCCAATCCTTGGATTGAAGGTAATCTTCGAAAGTGCACATCAGCCAAATCACATCCAAGCGGACCTTCTCGTCCAAGCGCCATTTGGCCACGGTGCAGGAGCGGTGTGCGTAGTGGAGGCCCTGAAGTCGGTCGATTGCTTTCAGGAGCTGGCGGTCCTTGTCGGAGAAACTGATCGTGTTCAGTTCGCGGGTTATTTCGAAGTAGTGCCGGGTCGGGGCGTTGTGGGCCAGATTGTCTGTGTCGCAGGGCCGTTCCACCATGATTATGCCCTCGGGAGTCCGTTCAATCGGGGACTCGGCAGAGCCGGTGCTACTGGAGTCGGTGCTTGAAGCTAGATTGGCCGTGGTCGAGGTGGGAAGGGGCCCAGACTCGCAAGACGCCATGTTACCTGCGAGAGAGAATGAAGAGGTCATTGATGGGAGAAGAAGAGTGGGCGAGCTAGTAAAATTGAGGAGATGGACGAAGTGAATGCTTAAGTGGGATATTGAAGGGTGAGCGAGGAGAGTAAGAGAATAAGAGGTACACGCTTCCGAACTCGAGTCAATGAAGGTCTTTGCGATTTTTATAAGATCATTTACATGCCCGTCACAAACGTGTCCAGGTCTGCCTCATATCGCATACAACCACCATACATCATATCCTCTATCATCCCCAGTATAGCTCGGTGTAGGTACTTCTTCTTGAGTTGCTCCAGATAACACTCGGCCTCCTCCAGTGACGGGAGACTCTCCAGTGCCGACGTATCGGCATCCCACATTGCCTTCTGGTGCAAAAACTGGAACAGTTTATAATACGGCACGGCATCATCCCACCGGTCTGCGAAGCAAGCCAAGTTCTTTGTGCAAGCTCCGATTGCTTCTGCGTATTCATGTGCTTGGTGTCGTTGCTGGAAAGCTGGATTATTCGTGGACACTGTCGCCCAGATAAGGTATAGAAGCATGATACCAGCCCGGAATTGAAACACAAGCTACCTGGTCAGCTCTGAACTCACGTAGTAAGGAATGAATACTCACTGCAGACCAGGTAAAACACAGCACATGTCCTTCCTCCTGGAAATTCCGGTACTTCATACAGACCTCGGCGACGGCAGAGAAAATATCCTCGATCCCTTCGTGGTCCAGGAAGTTGCGTTTCTCCTCCATCAAAATCAAAATACTGTAGTCGTACAGCTTCGTCATCCAATTTGGATGGAAGTAGCCACACGAGACATTAGCAGTTCCGTATCGCGGAATGTCTTGTCTCCAAATATTCAGTGCCGACTTTAACGAGGAGTTGAAATCATCCTTCTCTTCAGAGAACTGCCAACGAGATCGCTCGAGTGATCTTCTGATGTTTGATTGAATCTTTCGTAGTCGGAAGAGATGGCCCAGGGCGGGATTCGTGTTGACGGGAGGCTGGATAGTATCTCCCAGGATACACAGCTGCGAGCATGTTAGTCATTTGAGAAAAAGATAAGGTGAAGGGTCACCGACATCGTCATCCACGGCACGATACGCAGCAGACATCGGCCGATCCCAACCAGAAGCAATAACCTCATTCAACATATAACACGTAATGAACATGTTCTCTGTCCAATACTCCCCAGCAACGGCAGATTCATCGTCTCGAAGATCGCGCGCATGTTTGCGGATCTCGGTCATCGTAGCTGTACAGAATGGTAATATTGAAGAGACACCGGTGGCAATCTCCTCCGACGAAGGTGAGTGCAGTGCATAGACAATCAGAAGAAGCGATGCTTGGACCTGCAGCACCATCGAGGAGTTCCCCACCACATGTGGATAATACGTCAAAGCGGAGGCGTATAATTCTTTCGATCGTCTCAGGTGTGCAGGATCTCGGTGCATGGTATTGCATAACGATGCGCCAATGGCGTAGACCATCTGTAGGAAGAAACACTTCCATTCTTGTCCGTCGAAAGTCTCCTCGCAGTGCCAAGTTCTACAAGCGGACTCGTTCAGGAAGGGCCACTCGCGGTGGGATATTAAGAAGTAGATATTGGTGTAAAGTTCGGTGAGCCATAGGGAGTCGTCGCTTATAAGCGGGTAAACCGGTCCGTCATCGAATCGTAGAAAGTCGAGGTTTTCGTTGCATGGAAAAAATAAGTTTGTAAATGAAGTTCGAGAGGGTGATCGAGATATACGGATGGGTTGTACTTCCGAAAATAATACAAGGGCGTTGTCTTCTGGTAATTCCATCCAACTCGACTTGTCTTTCATGGAATTCAAAGGCATCCGAAGTGGCTTTGAAGGCGCATCCATGATTTCCTCCAGGATCAAGTCCGTCTGGACTCCTGCATCGCACATCTCCCCATGAACGGAACGAGGGGAGTCTTCCAGCTCGGCGACTCTTCTCTCCAATTCTTTCAGGTAGGCGAACGGAACGGTCACGCTATCTCCGGTCCTGCGCGACCTGGCCGGCAGACACTCGGCGCCTTTCCGGCGACATTCACCGCAGGTAGGCTTCGCATGGTCGCATTTTCGCTTCAAGCGAAAACAACGAGCGCAGGCAATCTCTCTCTGCTTGGGGCGAGACATGCGGGAGCACAAGAGTATGAAAGGAAGGAAGAGAATGCGGGGGTGGGTGGAGATACTGGTTGATATTGATAAGAAGGTTTCGGCCCCTCGACGAATGCTAACGATAGGCTCGAACAAATCACACCTAATGCCAGGGCGTTATCATATTCATCTCCGATACCTGCACCGGCCCGGCTCGACCACTCTGATTGCCGGCATCAGTTCCGAATCCACTTCCCCATAACTGCATCGAACCCGATGGTCTTGTGCTCAATGTTGAGCGTCTTGAGCATGAACTCCATAGTAAACTCCTGTAGGAACCGGATTAGCTGTAGTAACATATCAAATGGGAGGGTCCTCGCCTCCGGAGCCTCCTCGTCTTGCTTCGCCGAGCTATTTTCTTCCAGCAGGTGGTTCGGAGTGTCAAGGTGATGGTCCATGTCTTCATCATACATGTAGGCCCGGTCCTGGTCTTGACCCTGATTCTCCGATTCCCATCGCGTGGCATCTTGTTTCGAGCGCTCTCTCCAGGCTTTCATTCCACCCATGCGAGCCACGCGCTCGCGGGCACCGCCGAAAACTTCCTCGGCAGCTTCCTGGCTTATCAGACGCCACTTGGTGATCAAAGCCTCCAGGTCAGCATCGTTACTTGACGATTCGATTCGCAAAGCTTGTTGTGCCGCCTCGAGTGTCTTTGCTTTCATGGCACGCTGCGAGGACAGAGTGCGATACCGCTTCTGTAGGTCAAGCAGTTCTGGGTCTGAGTATTGTGATCTTGCTGGCGCGACAAGACGTAGGGGGATGGGAAGGCTTGGAGAAGATATGAATAGCCCTTGGTCGGCATTGGGTGCAGGGGTTTTTGGGGCTGGCTCGGGGGCACGTCTGGGAGTCATGATTGTCTCTGGAGGTGAGGGCGGGATAGACGACGCGACTCCTGCGCGCAATGGCGATTTGAATGGCTTCGACAGCGTGGCTGCTGCGCCGAGACGACGACGTTTACGCTCATGCTCGTTGTCTGACATTGCGAGGTCAGGTACGCAGGATGAGGAAAATAGGAAAGGTGTGGTAAGAAGTAATATTTATCTACATCAAAATCGCGTACAATACAACCCTCTCAGTGGCCAACACCGCCTGCCACCCACTGCCCAAATTCAGGGTCGCCAGGCTGCGGGAAGAAGCCGCGGTTGTTGGCATTATTCGCATTCGCGTTTCCATTTCCATTCGCATTTCCGGCATTCGCAGCGTTCTCGTTTTGCCGGTTCCGCTGCTGTTGCTGGCGAATGTAAACCAATACGAGAAGAGTCGCCGCCAGGCCGACAATGAGAAGACCCTCGAGCATTCCCTCGTCGATGTCAAAATCCAAGTCATCGTAGTAACCGTCGTCGTGGTTCTCCGAGTCGAGGCCTCGTCCAATGAAATCCTCATCATCTTCTCGGGACTCATAGAGTTCCTCCCAGTACTCGGCCTCGTCGTTCCTGATAAACGTAGCAATCCATTCGCGGAGGGTGAGTTTGGGTCGCGAATCTATAAGTCGTGTTAGAAGACAGTTCAGGAACTAGAAACTGAGTTTTACTAACCTTCATCATCACGAATGGGATTGATGTTTCCGTTGGTGATTCGATTCCAGTATCCTCGAGCTCGCAATTTCAATAGACTGAGCTTCACAGGGAGGTACGCCTCTTTGTTGGTATCCAGAGCCAGATCATAGTACCGTTTGGCCATATGGAAGTCCTGCTGGACGGCAATGCCATTCTCGTGCATCCAGCCCAGGTTCCAGTAAGCTTGTGCGCTACGGTGCGCTTCGGCAGCATTGTGGTAGCAAGTCGAGGCCTTGTCGGCATCAGAGACTGTCCCCGTTCCAGCCAGGTAGTAGTCGCCCATCTTGATCAGCGAGTCAATGTTAGTTTGTTTGGCAGATCTGGTCCAGTAGATCAGAGCCAGCCTCGTGTTACGGAGCAAGGCAGACCGAGTCTTCTGAACCCATGGCAAGATGGAGTTCAACGAGAACAGGGAGCGCTGTTCATCAAGGAGATAGGCCACATTGGCCTGCGCAGTTTCGTAGCCCTGCTCTGCAGCCATCATAGCTGGGATAAGGGCACTTTCCTTGTCTCCGGCTTCGTAAGCCGCATTTGCCTCTGCAAAGGCTGAGTGAACCATCTCGGCCTTCTCGGCGACCAACTTGTAATAGGCCGTGGCGACACCACAGTGGCGCTGACGACCCACACCGAAGTTTGTCATCTCCGCAAGGTAATAGTATGCCTCCATCCAGCCCCAGCGAGCGGCGAGTTCGAAGTAGCGAGTTGCAGCGGCCACATCTCCTTGGTCCAGGAAGAGCGCACCCAGTCGTGTTTCCGCGGCCGGAATATCCTGCTCCGCTGCTGCCTTGAAGTAAGAAGACGCTTTATACGCATCCTGTGGTACTCCGTAGCCGTGGAGATACATCAATCCCATCTGGTGCTGGCAGAGCCCATCTCCGTTGGCCAAGCCTCGTCGGAACCAAATCAGAGCAGTTCCATAAGATTGGGCCACTCCCTCTCCACGTAGATACATCAGGCCAACGTGCCCTGCTGCTTTGGCGGCTAGCTTGTCGAGTCCTGCGGGGGGGTTCTGTTTGATTGAACCATCCTCGTTCCAATATTTCCTGATCACGACCTTGAAGTACTTCATAGCCCGATGGAAGTTGCGAGGCAGACCACGAGCTCCCTCGTAGTGCATCTTTGCCAGAGTATAGGTATGCCTCAGCTCGCCCTTGCGAGACATGAGGTCCAGGAACTCCAGGACGTCCTCGACGCTGGCCTCGGTGACGTGAGAAGGGTCCCGCGCATTCATCCCGGAACTTGATACACTAGCCCCTTCTCCGTAGACACCACCCTCCTCATCGGCCCAGCGATAAGAGTCTCGGATCATTGCGTGGCCGCCTGGTGGACCAGATCGATAGAAGTCAATCACCTTATCAGCCACCTTCTTATAGTAAAAGAGCGCGTGATCACACGTCTTTGGTGTTCCAATGCCCGTGTGATAGCGATATGCCAGCGTCATCTCCGAACGGGTGTTGCCTCCCTCGGCCGCGAATTCGTGGTACATCAACGCCTTCGCCTGGTCACGTTCGACCGCTTCTCCAATGCCTGTCGCATACATAAACCCAACCATGGACTGTGCTGTGCTGTTGCCTGTCAACCATGCTAGGTCATTGTACCACAGGAAAGCTTCGGTAAAGTTGCGTGGGTGGGTGAAATTGCCGTAGAAATTCATCTCCGCGAGGAGGAACATCGCGTCTGTATCCTGGTCTTCATCTGCCGCTGCCTTCAACTCCTCCACGGCCCGAGCAACAGTCGGGTTTGTCTTGCGACCGGTTTTATCTGAGGCGGGTCCATTCAGGAACAGTATCCGAAACGCTTCGCGGCCGTAGTGTAAGGTGTATCCGAGCAGCCCTGAAGGCTTATTGACGTGGAAGGCGACGGGTTGCACGGCTCGAAGGGTATCCCAGATATCTTGAACTCGTTCTATATTCAAACCAGAGCTTCATCAGTATCATACATTGCCTGAGCCCCTAATGCGACTCGGACGGGTATACTCACGGCTGACGGGCTGGGGCTCTGGTTGCCCTGGAGCAAACAGGAACTCTCGGTAATCGGCATTTCCAGTAGCGGCATTCAAGGTAGGGTCATCTTCGAGGGGTTGTTGACTCGGCCCGGCTGCGCATGTCTGGAATAGCACTGTGAAGGTGTCAGCATCTTTGGACAACCCCGGACTCCCCGGGGGGTCTTACGCAGGGCCGGTAAGAAGCAAGAGAACGTAGTCCTCATGATGCTTTCGATAGAGGATTGGTCGATAATAAGAGTCGCATTGCGACTCCTTGTTGAACGAGAATCAAGGAAGAGAGAGTAATGCGAGCATCGGTGATGTAGTTCCAACGGGCCACTTGGCTTGACGGGGCTTCGTTTTGCCGACGGCGAATCACCGCTCCGCAAGGACAGCTCTTTCATACGCCAGATTTCTTTTCGTAAGATATGAACTACAGAGCTTTCTATATACCATGTACAGTGACCAAGAACTTAGAATGTCATTAAAATTCTTTTGATTCAACTCCCTGGGATATTCTGTGTACAGAACGGGAGAAAAGCAGACAAAATACAAAACCCCCAGTGCGCTCTTCATGCAAGGGAAAAGAAAAAGCAAAGCAAACATGGCAAATTCCCTAAGCAAGTTGAAAGCGCCGCTTAGCCCTAGGCAATACCTCAAGGATCAAGTCCGAGGTTTCAGAGGACACCGCAACGCCTCAACGTTCCTCGAGGATTCATCCGTGTCGCAAGCCGGAGGGGAAAAAAACAAGTCGTTCACAATCTCGAAAATGGAGTGGAAATTGGAACTGGGGGCAACTTGAGCAGAAACGGGCCCGCGAACATTGCTAAGAAACAGATACAGTTGAATGGAGAATGGCTCCCCAGATCATAAAAAAAAAAAAGATATGTTGCCCATGTCAAGTATGAAAATCTTTTGCTTTATCGGGTTTTTTTTGGTGATGATACATGACCGAGCTTCACTGGCGAGGAGACCTGTTTTGTTGTCAGTCACAGCAACCCGGGAAGGATACTTGATGGAAGAACTCACGTAGGGCTATAAGCCGGAGAAGTCGGGCTGTAGCCAGGCGACGTCGGGGAGCCAGAGAAGTTGGGTGAGGTCGGGGAGTAAGACTGGGGACTAGTAGGAGACCACCCAGGCGAAGTAGGAGTGTACTTGGGTGAAGTAGGCGACGTAGGAGACAAGTGCCGGCCGCCACCAAGAGCTGGGCTCGTGGGACTGTAGCTGGGCGACGTCGGGCTGAAAGCCGGGGAAGCGGGGCTGAAGCTTGGGGACGTCGGGCTATAATTTGGCGAAGTGGGCGAGAACCCTGGCGAAGTGGGAGAGTAGGATGGAGACGTGGGCGACGCTCCATAAGCAGGCGACGTGGGCGAGTATGCCGGAGACGTCGGGTTGAAGGTCGGGCTCGAAGGCGAAAAGCCTGGAGAAGTCACGAAGTTACCCATACCAGGAGACGTGGGCGAATAACTCGAGGATGGCGAGTACCCAGGAGACGTCGGGCTGGTATTGAAGGGGCTGGTTGGGGAGTAACCACCGGGGCTGCGCGCCCCCGGGCTGAATCCACCATAGCCATCCGCATTTGGCTGGTACTTGCTGAAGCCTCCAGGGGTCTCTGCGCCGGGCTGGCGGATGGGAGAGAAGCTTGCATCCGGATCGCCCTCCACCAGGTACGGCGAGCTGGCCATCGGTGAACCAGTATCGTACTCGGTGGAAGCACCGGTTGGAGCAACACCCTTATTGTCTGGAATGTAGCGAGCATTATTGGAGACAACAGTGTTGAGCAAGCTCTGATCCAGATAGACGTCAAACTCTCCCGTTCCAGCGGGGGCCATCTGTCCCAGGATCAGGTTCTCTGATACACCACGGCAGTCGTCCAGCTCTCCGAAAGCGGCTGCTTCAAGCAGAATTTCCACGGTCTCTTCGAACGAGCAGCGCATGAGCGCACCGTTGTCGGCACGATTGATACCATGACGGGTGACGGGGGTCAAGTAGCCGCGGACGGTCATGACATCGACAAGAAGAGCCAAGTGACGATGGTTGACATAGGAACCGTCAAAGGCCAACACCTGAGTCAACTCACGGAGCACAGCAGTACGAGCAGCCTCAATACCGAAGACCTCGAAAATCTCGATGAACTGGTTAGAGTAGGTGCGAGTAGCATCAACACCAGGGATCGCAAGAACTGGCGCGAGCGAGGAGCCACTGGTTTCAAGGACCCATTCCTTGCAGAGGGGGTCCGACTTGCTGGTGAAGAGGGTGCCATCCTCAAGGACGCGCACCTTGCTCTTCTCGTTGATGAAAGCACGCTCAACACCAGGAACACCACGGAGAGTCAGGGTATCGAGAAGGTGCTGCTCCAGCTTCTTCAGTGTCACGTCGTACTCGACATCATCATCGTCCTCGTCATCCTTGTGGTCCTGGATCTGACGAATACGGATGACCTGCTCGTCGGCGTTGTTATCACTGAAAATGACAGCAATGTCACGAGGGTAGGCCTGCTTAATCTTCGAGGCAACGTCCTGCACAGTAAGTCCCTTATCCAGCAGCTGAGGTCGGCTGAGGATGATACGGAGCAGCCACTTGGACTGGTGAGCAATGTCTTCGCCGGCATCTTCGGGAATGATGAAGTAGGACTCGACCATGTCCCGATCGTTTTCAATGACGGTAGACTGAATGTCAGGATCGTAATAGATCTCAGTTGCCTCAGTCACGGAGCGCAAGCTGGTATGCTCGACCACACTGCGCAGCTGCTTGGCACCCTCCTTATCACCTGTCTTGTGACTTTCCTGGTAGACGGTCATAGACGGAGTCTTGATGTTGGTAGCAACGTTGAGAATTTCCTTCAGACGAGGCACACCAAGAGTGACGTTCTTGGACGAAACACCAGCAAAGTGGAAAGTGTTCAGAGTCATCTGAGTAGCCGGCTCACCGATAGACTGCGCGGCAAGAACTCCGACCATCTCACCAGGATTGGCCGCGGCGCGAGCGAATCGACTCTCAATTGCACCCAGAACGTGCTGGAATGCGAGTTTGTTGAGCGAGTAGTCTGTGACAAGACGGCGGAAGGCGAGACGGCTACGAAGCTGAGCCTTGAACAGCAGGGTCGCGTTCTCTTGGGCCTCGCGCGAGATCGGGTCATCGCCACGAACAACCACCAGGCGGTCAAGAAGATCTTGGACTTGAGGAATGACCTCGGCAGGGTGGAGGTCGCTGATAGTGCCCTCGCGGATTCTGAAGGTGGTACGAGCCATCTCCAGAATACGCTGCACATTGATGGGCAGCTGCATCATCTCCTCGTCCTCCTTAGCAACAGTGCGCAGGAAAGCGCGGTCCTTGAGAATCGCCTCCCACTCCTCATCGAAGTATCTCTGCACTTCCACATCGCCTGCAATCTCGTTGGCTTGCTCCAATACTTCTGGGCCAAGAGTGCGCTCTGGGTCCATGACATCGACCCGGAAGCGTTCCCTAAGCTTCTCATCCGAGCATCGGATGATATCAACTCGCTGGTTTTCAATATGCGCACCGTCAAGACCATCCTCTCCGTAGATGAACTGGATAATATCACCCAGAGAGTTGCGGACAGTACCATCATACTTGACCATGACCTCTTCCAGAGCCTTGACCAGCTTACGCTGAATGTAACCAGTCTCGGCAGTCTTGACAGCAGTATCAATCAGACCCTCACGACCAGCCATAGCGTGGAAGAAGAACTCAGTAGGAGTCAGACCACGAAGGTACGAGTTCTCGACGAAACCACGGGATTCGGGAGAGTAATCGTCCTTGGTGAAGTGCGGCAAAGTGCGGTACTTGAAACCAAAAGGAATGCGCTTTCCTTCCACGGACTGTTGTCCCACAACTGCAGTCATCTGAGAAATGTTGATGGTGGAACCCTTCGAACCAGAGCGCGCCATCTGGATGGCATTGTTCAAATCCTTCAGACTCTTTTCGGTGGCGGCACCAGCCTCGTCACGAGCGTTGTTAAGAGCACGGGAAACTTTACTCTCAAAGGTTTCACGAACGTTCATACCAGGCAAAGCTTCCAGAGTGTTGTCAGTGGCGCTAGCGGTGATCTGTTCGACCTCCCTCTTGCGCTCGCGGACTGCCTCCTCAATCTTGTCAATGGTGTTTCGATCGGGAATCGTATCACCGATACCGATACTGAAGCCGTTGTGCAGAAGCCAGTAGTTCACGATTCTCTGGGCACCGTTGAAGAAGTTCACAGCGGTGTCCGGTCCATACTCATTGAAAATGGTGTGGATGACACCACCACCGCTGGCACCGACGGTCTTCTTCGAGAGCATGCCGTACAAGAGCTGGCCGCCGTGGATCAGCAAGCCACCGTCATTGAGAGGGCTAAATTTCTCGGAGAGTGGCGAGCTGTCCTTGTCGATACGCAGAAGGTTGAGACCAGTGGGGAAAGCCATACTGATCATCTGCTTTCCAGTCCAGCGCGGACGAGGCTTCAGGATGGCGGGAGGAGGAATGGCACCATCCCAATCTGGCACCCACAGCATGATGTTCATGACCTGATCCTTGGTGAGGAAGACGTCACGACGGCAAATCTTGTAGATACCGCAAAGAGTATCCTGGACAATACCCATAAGAGGACCGTTGCGCTGGGGGGATACAATGTTCTTCGGAACAAGAGCAAGTTCCGAAAGTTCTGCGCGAGCCTCCTCACTCTGCGGGACGTGCAAGTTCATTTCGTCACCATCGAAATCGGCGTTATAGGGCGATGTGACCGAAAGATTCATACGGAAAGTCGAGAAGGGCATAACACGAACGCGGTGACCCATCATAGATTCCTTGTGAAGCGAAGGCTGACGGTTGAACAGAATGACATCGCCGTTGTCGATGTGGCGCTCGACCTTCCAGCCGTAGAGCAGTTGCTGAGCACCAGCACGCTTGGCATGGCGAAGATCAATTCGCTCGCCGTTGTCACGCACGATGTAGCGGGCACCGGGGTGAACGTTGGGCCCATTGGACACCAAGTACTGCAGCTTTTCAATATTGTACGGAGTCACCACCTCCGGGTAAGTCAAAATCTTCGCGGTCGAGTAGGGCACTCCGACCTCCTCCAGTGACAGGTTAGGATCACCAGTAATGACGGTACGAGCCGAGAAATCGACACGCTTTCCCATCAAATTTTGTCGCAGACGACCTTCCTTACCCTTGAGACGGCTTCGGAGAGCCTTCACGGGTCTGTTTCCTTTCTGCATAGCCTTCGGTTGACCGGCGATGTCGTTGTCCATGTATGTGGCGATGTGGTACTGCAGCAAGGACTCAAACTCACGAATGACGTGCTCCGGGGCACCCTCCTGTTCGCAGCGCTGAACATTCTGGTTCGCACGCACAATTTCTGCCAGCTTGTAGGTCAAATCATCCTCACCACGAGAGCCGCTCGTAGCTCCCATCATAACACTGGGGCGAACGGTGGGAGGCGGGACAGGAAGAACGGTAAGGAGCATCCATTCGGGGCGGGCGTAGTCGTTGCTCAGGCCCATGATGCGAACGTCTTCGTGGGAGATATTTCGGAAAATGTTGAGAGCCATGGCGGGAGTGATGACCTTCTTCTCAGGCTGTGCCATCTCGTCTTCCATCATGGCCTTGCTAGGTTTCCATGTGCCCACAAGAGTGATGCCTTCCTTCCGAACAGTGGGCTGAGCGTTACCGCAGCCACCGTGGAAGTGGCCTTTCTGGGATTCCTTCGCAAATTCATCATCGTCCGGGGATGGGTCGGCCTCACAGATCAACACGTCCTTGGAAAGTCTCCAAATATGGTCAAAGCGGCGTTTCGGGTCTCGCATACGAAGGGCTTCCAAGAACTTAGAATCAGACTGGTATCAGAGTCAGCAAAAAACATGCCACGTTAGATTTGCCATCCCAGAAGGGATGACTAACCGTGTTGGCCTTGATCTTTCCACAATTGTGGCAGACTGTCTCCAGAAGCTTCTTAATCTTTGTTAAGAAACCTACCAAAAAAAGAAGTCAGCACCAATGTTCTCCTGTAAAAATCGAAGACTTTGTCCACATACCAATGTGAAACACCGGGGAAGCAAGTTCGATGTGGCCGAAGTGACCAGGGCACTCCTTGGGTCCCTCTTCGCAAGTCTCACAGTTGTATTGGCGGTCGATGGTGCCCAGGCGTGGGTCATTGATACCCTTTGTCCGAGGGCGCTGGCGTTGTTCGTCCTGTAGCGTAGCACGGTTAGAAGTCAGGCGCATCGCAAATTTTGAGATTTGAGGAGAGTGAGAGAGCAGTAGGCGCGTACCATAGTCTCAGGATATTCCACATGGACCACACTCATGCGTTTTATTTCCTCGGGAGAGAAAAGACCAAACTGAATCTCCTTGATGGTGCGCAAAGGCGCCTTGGAGAAAGGAAAGAAAACGTTCGACATCGTGGTGGTGGTTGTTGCGAAAGCACGTCGGGATTCGGATTCGACGGGTCGGGAAGAACCAGCGCGGACCTGGCAATAACGAAAGAAGTGAGGTCGTTAAAGCGCAAAAACTGAAGAGACTGGCGGACTCGACGACTCAAAGTCTAATTCGAACGAAGCGACGATGAAACGAAGGTGGTGTGGAAGCAGCTGGCCGGCTGAGGCCTTGGGCAGCCCTTGCCACGAGGGCGCCGGCGACCTGGGGTCCCGGAACGTCACGAAGCCACGGAAAAGGGAGAGAAAAGAGGTGCGCAGGTGATTTTCGCGTGAAGGAAATCTCCTGAAGAAATATCGCGATGCGGGACGCGATATTCTTGGATGGGGAGGGGATGGAGGGAGCGTGTCGGGGAGGTTGAAAGGGAGATGGTGAAGGTTGCCTCACCCGTTGATGGGGCTCGAGTTTTCCCAGCGCTCACTTAGCGCGCCAGACCTGTCTAAAGGGCACCTCTCGGGAAGGCGGTCAATTCTGGCAGAACGGACATGTCCGGTTGTCGCCGCCGTGTCCAGGCGGAAATCAGGCATCAGCGGGGACTGGTTTAGTGCCTTAACTGACCGCCTTGGATTTCTCTCCGTCCGTGATTCGCGCACGCGATGCGCTATGCAATCAGTCAATTGCAACAAGTGGTTGATGGTCCGGTCGAGCTCTTTCTACCTGCCCAGAGACCAGTTTGCGCTGGATGCTTGGTCCCGACACCCTGGCCGTGCTCCCAGGCTGGGAATTGTGATCATTGACATCGGCAACCCTGCGTTTCGCCGCAATGAATCTGTCCCTCATTGACCCGTTCGTCCTGGCCCAGGACTACCCGGACACATTAACGGAGAAGCTGAGTATGTGTAAAACATTATCACTCCGGATCTAAAGTGCTAACAGAGACCAGGAAGTGGCCATGCGACATGTCTACGCTTCAATCACACCGGCGACTATTTAGCATCGGGACGGGTTCGTGCTCCGCAACTGCAGTTGGATAACATGGGACGATTGAAGCAGGAGCTAACAATGTGCTGCAGGTGGATGGTACTGTTGTGATCTTTGACATTGAGACGAACGGTGTGGCGCGCAAACTGCAGGGTCATACCCGCCAAATCCAGTCTCTGAGGTATGTCTTGGACTTGTGCCCGGCAGGCCACCAATGTGAACAGAGGTGCTGATACTTTTTAACAGCTGGTCTAGAGATGGGCGGTATCTCCTCACCTCATCCCAGGACTGGAAGTGCATCTTGTGGGACTTGAAGGATGGCTCGCGTATTCGCACGGTCAGATTCGAGGCACCAGTCTACATCGCCGAGCTACACCCTTTTAACCAGTACAGTCTCTCTCTTCCATACAATCGTGATACCGCAGAGACTAACCCTTCTCTATCTAGTCTCCTCTTTGTGGCCTCTCTCTTCGAAGACCAGCCTATCCTTGTCGATGTCTCTTCCCGAAAACCTATCAAGCGCATTCTCCCCTCAGCACCCCTCCGTCCTCAACCCACAAATGGTGAAGAATTCGATCCCGCAGTTGCAGCAAAGCAAGCAGCGCAGGATGCGAAGCACTCGACCTGTGTCACTGTTTTCACGGCGTTTGGAAACCACATCATCGGAGGAACTTCAAAAGGGTGGATCAATATCATTGAGACAGAGACGTGCAAGACGATCCACTCCATGCGGCTTTGCAATGGTGTCGTGATTTTGCTACGTCTCGCCAGCAACGGACGAGACCTGCTTGTCAACAGCTCGGACCGTGTGATCCGCACAGTACTAATGCCAGATCTGTCCCAACTTGGCATCGGCCTCGAGCCATCGAGCATCAAGCTCCAAGTGGAACATAAATTCCAAGACGTGGTGAATCGCCTAAGTTGGAATCACGTTACATTCTCATCAACCGGTGAATTCGTCACCGCCACAACATTCATGAACCCAGATATCTACGTCTGGGAGCGCAGCCACGGATCTCTAGTCAAGATCCTCGAAGGGCCCCGCGAGGAGCTCGGCGTCGTCGAATGGCACCCTTTACGACCAATGGTAGTCGCCTGTGGCCTGGAGTCCGGCTGTATCTACACATGGTCAACCGTCAGCCCCCAGAAATGGTCAGCCTTGGCCCCTGACTTCGGCGAAGTCGAAGAAAACGTGGAGTATGTCGAGCGCGAAGATGAGTTTGATGTCCACCCAGCCGAACAGGTGCACCAGCGCCGCCTCGATCTGGAAGACGAGGAGCCCGACGCAGTAACCCTCGACCCGGTCAAGGATAACCTCGACGCAGAGACGGCCGGTGCATTCGGTGTGCCCGTCCTCTTGGATATCTCCGACAGTGAGAGTGGGGAAGATATCATTGCCGTTGGCCCGGGCACCATGCGGCGTCGCACTCCTGGTGGAACTGCTGACGCTGATAAAGACAGCCGGGCTGGCACGGGACGAAACCGTCGGCGGTGAATCTGACGTTTATGTTTTGTTCTTACCCGGTCTGACGACCGCACGAAAATCCATTTGCATCGGAGACGGCGTTTGTAAGGCACGGGTGGTATTGGGCGTTGGGATCCAGGCTTTGTTTGGTTTTTGGTGGACATGGTATAGTGATGAACTGCCCTGCCCACCTGTCAAGTAGAAAAATATTTCGAGTATTAAAGAAATCTCTTATGACATCCTCCGTAACTTGATTAGCAAATTGGCTACCCAAAGTAATATCCGCTCAAGGCCAACCAGTGGATACTATGGGACACTACGGAGCTACAAAATCGTGGTAGAGAGAGATAAAGCAAGGATATGGTATCTTGAAGAGTAGAAGAAGTAAATATAGAAGAGTTGCCTGGCAAGCAAACCGACCACAGAAGCTAAGGCGCAACACCTGGGTATATCACAAGCCGAAACGAACCAAACTCGGTATAAACGCCACATAAAATGCTAAAGCAGAACGCAGAAATAGAACAGAAAGGCATGTCCCTGTTCCAGGAAGAGATCGAGTGATCTATTCTTTGGATGTCGGTTCGTCTCCCGAGCCGGTCCATGGATGCCGGATCAGGACCGCGGTCTAATAGAAGAAGGTCTTTCAGGTTGCATGGTTTGCGATGGGGCAGTCGTATCGTCACTTCTTGGGAGGCTGGCTCTCGAGAGCAAGAGCAATCAGTCGTGCGTCGATGCGCTGGTTCGAGGGAAGACCCCGTCCATATGGATTTCAGGAGCAGGAGAAGCAGGAAGAACAGCATTCCAAGAGTCGGTTAGTTGGAAGTTGCCGGATGACCCAGAGCCTTGAATGCTGTTGTAGCGATGACCGGCATCGTCGAATCCTATCTCACTCGCAACACCAGAATGAAAAGCAGCCGCGAACTAAACGTCAAGTCGGGCCGTGTACAATAACCAAGTAATCTGTGTCCTGTGGACATCTGTCACGAGACTAATCGGCAGGTGGCTTGCGCGCCTGGTAAATGTGCAGGATATTATAACAGTGGATATCCTTATTGAAGGCCTCAGCCTTGACATCCTGCGCGAGTAGCTGGATTTTTTCGATGGGCCAGGCATAGACACGGCTGAAAGGAGCAAGGCTAAGTGCCTCGACGCTCTCCGACACAGCGAGGTTGTACCAACGAGCGACCTTCTTCTCATGCTCATCGTTGTGCCACGGGTTCATAGGCAACCCCACCATCTGGTGGTCAATCTCCGTGAAACCGGCTTCCTGCAAATTGCGGATCGTCTCGCGTGAGCTGTGAGCCAAGGGCCGCTGTCTATCCTCCGTTGCGCGCTTCAACGCTGAGTACCAGTGGCGAAGGGCGAGTCCACCCAGGGAGCGGTCATCGCAGCGTGGTTCAAAGTCGATCTCGACCTGCTCAAACCAGGCGCCGGGGCGGAGATGCTGGAAGACACGCTTGTAAAGACTGGGCCAGCTCATGACGCTACCACTACCCATCTGCATATGGATCAGATCCCAGGAGTCCTCGCCCATGGCCCAAGGACTTTCAAAATCGAAAGGCGCGTAAAAGTCGCAGTTCTTCGGGCGGTTTTGCGGCTGAATAGGTGCCAGGTCAACACCGACCACGAAGGAATCGGGGTACTTGTTGGCCACTTCGATACACCAGATTCCTGTACCACATCCAAGATCCATAATGCGGGAGTTGTTTGGGTGCGGAGCGTAGATCAAGCCGTCGGATACTCGGGCGACCGTAAAGAGCTTGTGGAAGATGTCGAGACGGTCCTGTTCCTCCTCGTCGCACGGGAGCATGTAGATACCCTTGCGATAGCCATGATACATTCGTCCGTTCTCGGAATATGCCGGATACTTTTCAGGTATTCTGCGATTGCGTGAAGTCAGTTATACGGCTCTCGGGGGTAGGTAGCTGTGGCACCCATTCTGTCGTGGAAACCTCGTTGGCAAAGCCGGGGAAACGTACTTGCGATTGGAGATGATTACCGGCGGTGAGGAGCGAGAAGCGTGGGAGATCTGCGAGGAATGAGACGCGACCGAGCCATTGCTGGTGAAGCGACCCATTGGACCCCTGCGGTCCCTCTCCGCGGGATCTCGATCTGTGATGACATAGATATCCATCGCCGTAGATGTCTGTCTTGAGCGAGCCCGCTCGCTCATGGGCACGGACTGGGAGTGACTGTAGTACCTCGAGCGTCCAGCATCGCTGGCGGGGGTCGACTCAGACTTGTATCTCTTCGAGGGCGGAGGGGAGGCCATTGGGGGCAACGGTCGGCGGAGCCTGTTTTCGTTTTCGTCCGAGGGCATTTGTTGTTATCGTGTCGGGCGCGCTATGGTGGAGGCTTCAAGCCGCTGGGCTCGCGACTCTTCGCAAGCCGTTGAGAGCGATGACGGAGGGTCTTCAATCAATGGTCGAACATGAAAGAGGGTATCGACTGAACCAGCCACCGCCGATGAATTAAATCGCACGCTATGCAGGAGCCAAATAGCACGCAAGGGTGTCAACCGAAATAAATACTCCGACGAGCCGAGCCGAAGAGCAAACAGGTCGTCACCAGTCAATGATCAGTGGGCATCCAAAGGAACGAGGAACGGAAGAGGGAAGCCCAGGACCAGGGAAGCCCAGAACCAGGGAAGAGCGGGCTTTAAGGTTGTAGCCGCTGGGCTGGTGGCGGGTGGGGGCAGGTGAAGCGAGTGTCAATATAGGAAGTAGAGAGTAGGGAGAAAAGTAAGAATAAAATTCTGAGGACGGGGAAGCTGGAGAGAGCAGAAGTACAGGGGCCAAGTTTCCTTGGAGTCAAGCACATAGCAGAAATACAAAGCTGGGTGGGTATCATTGTCACACACCCATGATCCGCCTGCACAACTCAACGAAGTAAGCTCTGGGTAATCTTACTTTTCCCCAAACCCTCGGGTTCGACCGTGCATGGAATGGATTCCCCTGGTCAGTGCACATAGCTTCCGAGCAGTCGGTGAATGCTTTTCTCGGGTGGCTCCTTCAAGTCTTGGGACTCGAGACTCCTTCCCCTCTTGAACTCGGGCGATCGCCCAAACGCCCCCGTCTCCACTCGAGGACGGTCCGTCCTCCCGCCTGGGCCTCGATGTCAATCTTCCCCCGAAGCCCTGGATTTTTATGACCTGTGAAGCGTCTCGTTATCCAGAGAGTCCGTCGAATGGTACCCCCTCTGTGAACTCGGACACAAACGGACCAGTCTCGGGCTTCCAGACGGTGATGTCCGGGGCCTGCAGATGGACCTAAGGTCGACGTGGTATAGTCCGGAGTCTATCTGTGCTCTCCCGAATCATTTCATGCATTCAATCCCGGGCTCAACCTTTGGCTTTCCTGCTGTCGCTGCTGTCCCTGCACCATTCGCCCCTCGCCGCCTACCCAAAGCCCTGGGTCCGCGGATGCGACGCTGCGAATCGCCCAATGTGCTCCCCCGGAACTCGTGGATTAGCCATCCTGGTTCGCCCCGGGCTTCTGCCCTTCATCCACCTGGTCGGTACCGTCCTGACTCAATCTCCCCGCCGACCCAACCCAAGCCCCATCGCGCTAATCACTGCGGCCGGCTATCATCTCACCTATCAACTTTCCATCGACCCCCCTGTCATCCTTCCCCATCCGATCTGCTTCACACTCGACCAGGGCTCCTTTTAGCGTAGATTTATGTCCTCAGTCCTCCCCAGAGGGTTGGCGTCTCGCCATGACCCCGTAATAGACCCGGGTGAAAGGCGAGGAATTCTGTCGTGGCTGGGAAGATATCCCCACAACAATGCACTGAAGCGGCATCGTCCACGATTCGTGATGATTTGGGGTGTCCAGATCAACCTTGGCATGGTGGATCGTCTCGGTAAACCCATCATCTGGGTTCGTCTAAATTCAGTTTCATTTACTCTTCCCGCCGACCACGCTCTCGACTGAGCTCCTTGCAGGGCGGAGAATTGCGAATCACCGAGTCCCCACTTCGCTTACTGCGTAAGGTTTTGGCTGATGACCTATCGTGCTTTGCTTTGCTCTGTCGATCCGATGACCTGGCTATTCGTCTTTTTAATATATCTTACTCCGCTGTCCTATTTGGGTATGTGCATGGAATTTTCTTGGGTTCCTACATGCAATTAATGTTAGGCATCGCAACTATGGAGGAGCCTCTTCGTCGGAAAAGAGACGTCCGATACAAAATGCCAAGCGCAGAAAGGCTTCCAACATAGGTTATGAGAAATTCACAAATAAAAAAACTAAAGAAAACATTCAGGATTCCCTCAATGGCAGTCAGGGTACCTCTGTAGTGTACTCCGACGTTCTGTTGTATACAATGCGGTGACGGGCAGCCCCACGCACCAGGAATTTTTTCTTGGCTCCGACCTCCACTGCTGTATAGAAAGCAAACCTCACCGAACTCTCCAACCAGTACGGAGTATTGTAAACTGCCGATCAACAACGACACCGAATCTTGAAACTTTCGACGCTACTCAAACAAAGATTAAGTTCCCGCTGATCAACTGCGCCTCTCAGCCACAGGCGACCATCAGCCCCCATCACAGGTACAAGTCTATATCGCAGCAAGGGCCATCAACAGCCCAAGATGCATACACTCAAAGCCATTGCCTCGTCATCACTGGGACTACCAGCGGAGAGTTACATTTACTCCATCGCGGCATCGGCGCCCGGATATTTCGCCGCCATCTCCTCAGATGACTCCCTGCGCGTCTTTGACGCCGCCAATCTCGATCGCGTGTCCGTGATCTCCCGCAAGACCCACGATGGTGTCTCTGCACTCCGCAGCTACACAGCTGGCGATGCCCAGCTGTTGGTGACCGGAGGTCGGGAGGGCACGGTGAAGGTCTGGGATGTTCGGGCCGGGAACGCGGTAGTTGAGATGGAAACGGGTGAGTCGGTCTCAATCTCTATCGCTTCTGGTCTCTGCCCCTGTTGGGTTTTGAACTGCCGTGCCCCCACGGATCTATTACTTAGATTGTCAATCGGGCAGGCCTGTCTGTCTGGCGGGTGTCGGAGAATTTCTGCGCCACGATTTCAAGGATGGCCCTGGCTTCGCTACGTAAATGTTTCTTTTGGGAGTATACATGGGCTAACATGTCGCGTGCGATAGCGAGAAACTCTCCTGTGCTCTCTGTGGCTTGTAATCCGGAGACAAATACTGTTGTCGCAGGTACGGAGCTTGTGTCTTCGCAGGCAGTTGTCGCATTCTGGTAGGTTCTTCCAGATTTCAGCTTCGCGCGTTTGTCCTGAAGTTATACCATCTTCAAAAACTGCCAATTGATTGGATCGATTGGATTGATTGTGTGAATGCGATGGTACGATTTACTTAACTTGAACAGGGATATCAGATCACCCCAAGCACCCCGTCTCCAGTACGTGGAGAGTCACAACGACGATATCACCGAGGTGTGTACCTGCCGAGGACAATTAGTCCCAGGTAGCCCCAATCACACATAGCTGAGGACAAGCGCTGATGTGACGGCGCCCTGCGCGGTTGCACAGCTCCAATATCACCCGACCCGCAGCAATATCTTACTATCCGGCAGCACGGATGGGCTGGTCAACATCTACGACACAGCCATAACAGACGAAGACGAGGCTCTGGTGCAGGTCATCAACCACGGTTCGGTCCACCATGCCGGCTTCCTATCCGAGCGCACCATCTTTGCTCTAAGCCATGACGAGCATTTCTCCGTGCACCCGGCCACAGATCCGGACAACACTGCGCAGGAGCCCGATCCCGTGCATTTTGATGATGTGCGCGAGCCGCTGGGCTGCGAGTATGTTGCTCAGCTCTGCATCGGTAGTCAGGGGCCGTATATCGCGGCGGGAAATAAGGTGTACGTTGTAGCTTACGAGCGTGCGCGGGGCTTCCGCGGTACGTGTCTTGCTTGGGTATGCTACTAATTTATTTCTTCGATTTAGTGATCGGCGTTTGGATCTGGTTCCACTCGTTTCTAGCCCGTCGTGGCAGTTTGACCAGGATAACCTCTGGCGTCTTCCTGGTGCCCACGGTGAAGAGGTTGTGCGCTCTGTCTACTTGGATGAACAGGTTCGTGTTACTATATCTTATCACACCATAATGATCTTGGGGCTAATACTGTGTGCCCTTTTAGAGTCAGTCGGTCTTCACTTGCGGTGAGGACGGACTTGTGCGGGCGTGGAAACCCGCTGATGGTGACGAAGACTCCCAAGCTCAGACTGGTTCCGCAAAAACCTCGCGAAAGGATAAGAAGCAGAAGGACCGTTATAAGCCATACTAGGTGCGGAAGAATGCAGCTTCGGCATTTGTCTTCTGTTGTGTAGCATTGGGAGTTGGCGGTGGGCAGAAATAGACAACAATAGGAATATTTTAGGTTGGGAATAGGTTTAATTCCACCCAAGGCTTAAATTACGTGGCTCTGATCCCTACCTATATACTATTCTCCCCTAAACCATCAAAGGCAAGGTATTTTAAATTGACCAATCGATGATTATATACTCCCGAGGTCAGTTGTTGCTCTCGATATATTCGCGAGGCCTAAACGCTACAATCAACACATTGACTCCATGATGTATCTTATTGGAACATTCAAGCATATAAAGCATCAGGTTTACGTACAAATTTGGCAAAATCTCAGTTTAGACGTGTTCTAGTGATTAAGAGGCGTATGAACAAGGTGCGCTTCATATTTGAAGAGGGTTACCTAAAACGGTTAGCGTGTCATCGGAGCTCCTGCGCTCTTTTCGGCTTCATCAGATCTCCCATCACGTCTCTCCCACTTCAATCTCGACCGTCGACGCTTGCCACACCTCCTCTCTCGGCGACTTGAACAGTGCACCAGCGCCAGTAATGCTGGCAGATGCCCTTCGGCCCACTCTCTAGTCGATCGCATTGAACCGTCTCCGACCGGCCCATCTCTCACCCTCACAAGCCGCGCTTTTCTGTCCTGCATCTCGGCCCTCCCATTCACAATGGCCTCTCCAAGCCCAAACCAAGGCTCTGCGCCAGCCACCCAGCCTCTCACTCCACCCGCTGAATCGTCCTCTGCGGCCAACGGCGTCTCCGCCCCGGCCGCGACCACTCAAGCATCCGCTGTGCCAGCCAATACCGCCCCGACTACATCAACTACACAGCCGCCGCACATCCCTGGGACATCCATCCAAGATAGCGGTAAGTCGCGACGCCCGCGCGATGTCCGACTCGTACATATGCTCCTCGCCTCGCTCGGCGTGACAGCCTACCAAGATCGCGTTCCGCTCCAGCTCCTCGATTTCGCATACCGGTACACCTCCAACGTACTCCAGGACGCAGTGCATCTTGCAACGGAAGGATACGCCAGCGCCGTCGAGGGCACAACGGGAGGGAAAAACTCGTCGGGGGAAGTGAACAGTGTGTCTTTGCCAGCACTACGACTGAGCATCGCGTCGCGGCTGCATTACCAGTTCCAGACTGGCTTGCCTAAGGAATTTTTAATGGATGTCGCGTCGGAGAGGAATCGTATTGCTCTGCCTGGTGTTTCTAGGGGATTCGATGCTGCTACTGCCCCCAATGGAACTGCTCCTGGTTCTGCGAATCAGAGTGTTATGATGGCGGGTATGCGATTGCCGCCTGAGAGGTTCTGTCTTACGGGAACCGGATGGAATTTGAAGGATGAGTGGGATAGTGAGGGCGAGGAAGAGGAGGATATGCCCGATGCGCCACAGCAGCAGGCCGGCAAGGAAGCAGGTACTGGAGGTGGGGAGGACGAAGAAGGCGGAGATGAGGATGAGGACGGCAAGATGGAGGATATCTTCGGTGAAGACACGGCAATGGGTGGAACCGGCGAGGGTGACGAGGACCAGAAGATGAATGATGCTTAGGGGCCGAGCTGGCTCTCGTTTTTCCTTTGCGTTTTGTTTCAAATTCTCTGGGCTGGACGGTGTTACAGGCGCCTGGTGTTCATCTCATTCCCAATCATCTAGAAGATCGGGCTTCTACAAGAGAGAATATTTGGTTTTCTTTTCATGTTGAGGGATTCCAAGGCTCGAGATATACACGAACTGACTTAACGCGGTCACTACGGTGTGGCAGTTCGTGGCAGTTCGAGAATTAAAATGGAGATCACAAGAGATGATTTGGTTGATTGAAACCAAGAAATGCTTCCAAGTTTCGTTATATACTGTACATAATCGAGTGTCATCCCATCGTCCCAGGTCCGGGATGACCATGCAACAAAGATGCCCTGAATAACGCCTGATTTCCCTTTGTACGCCGAGAGGAGAGAAGACATGTAAGCTCGCACATCTGGTCATGACCGGACGGGATTTGTCGCCTGGGACCATCACTGGTACGACAGCCAGAGCAGGTAGGATGTTCATGCAAGGAGGCCCTGATCAAACCAACCGATGCCTGAGCCAGCGGTCCTTTTATCTCGACAAATCAGGCCGAGTCCATCGACCCTGCGCCCAAGCCATCGACCCGCAAGAACGAGAAATTTACCCCCAGGGCGATGCAGCAGAGTGATCCCAGGCGCCAAACCCCATAAAGAAGATATACACCCACCTCGGGGAAGTGGTGGTCAAGAATAGAAACAGGAGAAGGGGATATGAAAAGCCGGGTCCATCACCTCCCCTGAGCCGCCTGACGTTGCCGCTCCTCGTCTGCCCTCATCATGCGAATGACCTCCTCTCGGCGCTTTTCCACGCGCTCCAAGTCCTCCTCCTTCGCACGTTTCCGCTCCTCGTATGTCGCGAACCATTCCTCGCGTGCCCGGTCTTCTTCTTCCCGGTTATTTGCGTGGGCGACCATGCACGAGTTCATGGCCAGACGTTGTTGGCGGCATACCCAGGTGGCGGTGACAGTACGGTTGACGGCGCATTCGGCAAAGGCTGGAGGGTTTGTGTTAGCCATATCTTTCGTATATGGTGGCATGGAGACTTGTCGGATGATGCACTCGGCCGGGTTCGGCGGTCGTAGAATGACAAGTGCCCACGGAAAGGAAGGATTGTGGTACAGATCGAAGAAGGATTGGACATACCCTTAATTTCAGGAGCGCAGTGGCTTCGTACGCGCTTATAGTAGAGCTTCTTGACTTCTTGTTCCTGGGCCGCTGAGAGCGGGAGCGGGTTGCGAAGATTGTATTTGCGGGGAGTAGACGGTGTTGATGAGGTATCGGGGGATGCAGATGATGTAGCCATTTGTACTTGAAGAACTCGCTCTCGGGGATCGAGCTTGAGATAGATGTAGATCGGAGGTGGATGGGATGTAATGAGTGGTCGGGGTGGTTCGGTATGCCGGCTTCAATGGCCAGGTGCTGAGCGAATTGATCACCGTGATAAGGCTGCAGGGTTCGAGTGAAGCTCAATCTTCACTTTGAAGCACTTGTCCGCCCGAGATAAGGAGAAGCTTGGAAGGTGGGAGGCGAGTTGTGTTGATGCGGATCGCGAGGAACCGAGTGACGGGCGGAGAGCAAAAGGCGGCAGCAGAAAAAAAAAACTTCCGTACAACCTCCAACTCTCATAGCACTCTTCTTACTGAGACTTTCAACTTTTTTTTTACAGTCTGAGCTACTGTAATTTTTGCTTTGAATAATTTTCATTGATTTCCGTCCACCTTGCAAATCCAGCGGCCTCCAAGCCACACAGCCACACAGCATGTCTTCCATGCGCAACGCCGTCCAGCGGCGCAACCACCGCGAGCGTGGACAACTCGAAGGACGCGAGAAATGGGGTATTCTTGAGAAGCACAAGGTATGTAACTTCCCTTTTGCTGCTGAATCCCGTTACAAGCAGCGCAGAACCGAAGCAAACTAATCGTCGCAACAGGACTACTCGCTTCGCGCAAAAGACTATAATGCCAAGAAGGCAAAGCTGAAGCGCCTCGAAGAGAAGGCTCGCGACCGCAACCCCGATGAATTCCACTTTGGTATGATGGGAGACAAGAACCGGACACAGGGACGGCATGGACGAGGCGCCATTGGGCGAGACTCGGCCGCGGCTCGCGGGTTGAGCCACGACGCCATTAAGCTTCTCAAGACACAAGACAAAGGCTACCTGCGGACATCCGGCGAGCGGATACGCCGGGAGATTGAACGTCTGGAGCGCGAGGTGGAATTGCAGAAGGGCATGAACGAGTCCCTGGGCGTGAAGACTCAGCAAAACGAGGAGGAAGATGACGATGAATTTGATGGCTTCGACTCCGACCTGGACGTTCCTGATTTCAGCGCTCCGCCAAAGCCTAAGTCGCGCAAGGTGGTGTTCGCTCATGATCGGGGTCAACAACAAACACTGAAGAAGAAGCGTGTTCAGGATGACGACTCTATGGATGAGGATGAAGACGAAGACAAAGAGCCCAGCACCGAGACTCGAAAGACCCCCAAGCAGCTCGCAGCAGAGCGCCAAAAACTCGTGGAGGTTCGACGGGCTCGCAAGCTCCGAAAACGGGCCGCTGAGGCCCGAGAGAACAAGCTGGTGGCGCTACGCAAGCAGTTCGCCGAGATTCAAGCGGCCGAGCGGGAGGTTGATTGGCAGCGGTCTAAGATGGACAACTCCGTGGGCGGCACCAACAAGAACGGTATCAAGTGGAAGATCCGTGAGCGCAAGCGCTGAACGGACCTGAAGCATCCCGTTACGAGTTGATGACGGCCATTTTTCTTTGTGTACATCGATACCAGCATATACCGCTTCGCATAGCAGGTTTTCTCGCCGCATCTTTGAGAGCTCTGAATCGGGCTGACTGAGTATTCCGGTCCGGGTCCGGGCCAAGGCCTAGTGACCTCACTCAGAGCCATCCAGACAAATCACTGATACATATCGAGGCGCTCAGTGAGAACCCAGTCTGCCACATCCCATCGGCACAGAAAGCCAGGAAAAGTCGGCACTCACTGCCAAGTGATGGAATAGCAGATGTTACTGTAACCAGACAATTTGAATCACTCTGCATATATCCACACACTCTCTTTTTCTCTAGACATTTTCTCAATTTGGATCGGACCTCCTGTCTCAAACAACCACGTACCCGGAATATCAAACGTCGCCACAAAATATAATTGCCAATGATCATGGATCCAGTGATGAAGGATACCACTGGTTTTTGTATAAGGTTATCTAACATCTGGTTGTGTGATCCACGACAATACGCAGAACCCATTTGCATGACGCTATGGCTTTTAGGCTTATTAGTATTGACAGAATTAAAATCCATGAGAATATATCGACAATCCGGTATGTAACCGTTCCGCACTGGGTGGTTCCGAATCGCCATTCACGAGTCCGCAATTGATAATCAGGCTACCCTAGTGGTATAGACAACGAGGGTCCGAGGCCAAACTAGTCATTCGCATCTCGTGGTCGCATGCCCAAGGCAGTAAAGGACTCCGGCAACGGAGTATACGAGAGTAATCCCCGCGAGCTGATAGGAGCCCACTCGATCTGATTATAAATGGATCGCTGACTAAGGTTATCTTTTATCGGTGACTGAAATGTCGCCACCCCTCACTGAACCGCATTTTCTTCCTTCCTCAGGTTCCTTCCTGCTAACTCTCACAATGGCTCCCTCCTTCGTGACCATTGATACCAGCGACGACATCGACATGGCTCCTGCCCCCAAGCCCGTCGATGCGCCGCGTACTCTCCTCCTCGCACCCCCCTCCATCGCCACTCACGAAGAGAAATTACGAGCCGTCTTTACCACCTTCGACCGCCAATCCACCGACCTCCAAATGCTCGACCGGCTCTCTGCCGGCTTCGTCTCCCTCCCTACAAACACATACGATATTGTCCTCGTCCTCACCGACACCGACGGCTCACGGCGCACCGAGGCCCTGGCACTCCTCACTCGAGATGTATACACCGCCCTCGTGCCGGCCATGAAGCCAGGCGCGAAGCTACAAACACAAGATAAAGCACTAGATATCTCCGAGGCAATGGAGGCCGTTCTGGCCGGCCTGGTACAGACAGCCTTCGGCTTCGAGAAACCCAATTACGAACAATCCTCCGCCGTGCCTCTCAAGTTCGGCAGCAAGAAGAAGACCGCCCCACCCGCGATACCCGCCATGGGATTTACGGACGACTTTAACGGGAACAACCATAACCGGGATGATAACGACGAGCTGATTAATGAGGATTCGCTTCTGGATGAGGAGGATTTAACCAGACCCATCATGCCGCGTATGTTTATCGCTCTTCTTTGATCCGTCCGTGTACCGATTTTTTTAACTCCTATTTTTAGCCCCCGAGTGTCAACCCAAGACCGGTCGGCGGCGGCGAGCCTGCAAGGACTGTACATGCGGTCTCGCAGACCGTCTGGAGGCGGAGGATAAGGAGCGCCGCGCGAACGCAGATAAGAGTCTGAACGTGATGAAGCTAGGCACGGACGACTTGAACGAACTGGACTTTACCGTCGAGGGCAAGACTGGTTCCTGTGGAAGCTGTGCACTTGGAGACGCCTTCCGATGTGACGGCTGCCCTTACATGGGTCTCCCTGCATTTAAGCCCGGCCAGGAGGTGCAGATCCTGAACGATGTCGCTCAGTTGTAAAAGGATATATGTTTATGGATTGGCGTGATCCGGATGTTTGATTTTGAGACTTCTGCTTCGAGGCGTTTTGGCGATTTTATCGGTTATTCACTAAAGATACCTTGCTGGACTTGGTTCCAGCGATATTTCCATTTACATCTTAGACCCTGACTCACTTTTCCTCTTTTTTCTCCCACCGTAGAGAATTCTGTTCGATGTGTAATATGTGGATACCTGACATCATTGGGCATCCCATTAGGTGTTAAAACGGCTCACGTCAATATAGAAATGCCGATCAAAGTTTATTGCCGCTATTTTTATTTCATTGCACATTGCATCATGAGAAGAAAAGAACTAAAGCATGGGAATAGAGCCCATCTACGAGCGATCCTTTTGCATCTGGGCGACGCGGATGCTAATGGCCCGCTTGTGAGCCTCCAGACCTTCGACTGCGGCGAGAGTCTCGACGGTCTTCGCAAGACCCAGCAGACCATCAGCAGTCAGGTTAGAGCTGGTGATGTGCTTCAGGAAAGAGCCCAGATTGACACCGGAGTATTGCTTGGCGTAGCCATAAGTAGCTAAGGAATACTTCGTTAGTATATGGAATGGGAGATAATGAATGGAGAAGACTTACGCAAAGAGTGGTTCACACCGGCGGAATAGTCACCGACACTCTCCGGGGTCCAAGGACCGATGAATACACTGCCGGCATTCTGGACCTGCTCGACAATCGCTTCGGGGCCCTTAACCTGCAGGATCAAGTGCTCGGGGGCATACTCGTTGCTGAGAGCCATAGCCTCGTTGATATCCTTCACCACGAGGGTGAACGAGTGTGCGAGGGAGCCGCGGACAATGTCCATACGTGGCAGTGCCTTGGCCTGGGCATCGACTTCGTCCTCGATATCACGGAGCTCCTTCTCGCTCAGGTCGACGGCGATGAGGATAACCTGCGAGTCAACACCGTGCTCGGCCTGACTCAACAGATCAGAGGCAACGAAGGCGGGGTTGGCAGACTTGTCGGCGATCACAAGGACTTCGCTGGGACCAGCGGGCATATCGATACTGACACCCGCAGATGTATCATTGGAGACGAACATCTTGGCCGCGGTAACGAACTGGTTACCAGGGCCAAGGATTTTGTCAACCTTGCTGATGCTCTCAGTACCGTAGGCCATGGCTGCCACAGCCTGAGCACCTCCGGCCAGAACAATGCTCTCGGCGCCGACTTTGTGGGCGACGTAGACAATCTCAGGCGAGATGCTACCGTCAGAGCGAGGAGGTGAGGCCAGAACAATCTTCTGACACCCGGCCACCATGGCAGGAACACCCAGCATCATAGCTGTGGAGGGCAGCACAGCTGTGCCACCGGGGATGTACAGACCAACTCGTTCAATAGCACGCGAGAAGCGGGAGCAGATGACGCCAGGCATGGTCTCCATCTTCAAAGCATCGTTGCTTCCCTTCTGCGCGGAGTGGAACCGTTGGATGTTACCGATGCTAATATCAATGGCCTCCTGGACATCAGGTGTCAATTTCATGAGTTCAGGCGGGAAGGGGGCGTGGATGACGGGAGAGGTCAACGAGGTGGCCTTCTCGAACTTGTGAGTGTACTTGAGTACGGCAGCATCGCCACCTTCCCGGACATCCTGAATGATCGGCTTTACCAGAGCAACGATGGCTTCGTTAGACTTCTGAGAAGGACGTTTGAGGAAGTCCCGGACCTCGCTAGCGGGAGTGGAGGTAGTAATAACACGCTGCATTTCAATGCGCGAGGTGCGATCCTCCGCCGGCGGCTGTGCAGGGGCAGGGGCAGGAGCAGCAGGCTTGGACTCAGATGAAACCAGGCCAGCCTTCTCAGCCCAAGGGCCCTTGGCGTCGCCCTTTCTGCGCTTGACCTTCAGGCTCTTAAGGTCGAGGTTGCGCTCAATGTCTTCCAAAGTCACACCGGCAGCGGTACACTTGGTCAGAGCAAAGTAGAACAGATCAGCAGCCTCAAAGGCAATTTCCTCCTTGGTGGTTGCGCGGCACAGCTCCTCAGCCTCCTCCATGACCTTAGCCTCCACGAGCTTAGGCTCATTGAACAGGCGTGCGGTGTATGATCCGGCGGGAGCATCAGCTTTGCGTTCGTGGAGGGTTTTCTGAAGACGAGAAAGACCGGCAGAGGCGCCAAAGCAGGTCTCAGTACCGAGGTGGCAGAAGCCTAGATATGAGTCAGTATGATTAGCTTGAAGGGAATGAGAAGATAGATGAGATCTTACCTCGTCCAGTTTGCTTGACCACAAAGACCAAACAATCGGCATCACAGTCGTAGCCGACGCGGATCAGTTCTTGGGTATCACCGCTGGACTGGCCCTTGTACCACAGTCCGCGCTTGCGGCTCTGGTAGACACCGGTGCCAGTACGAATGGCCTCGGCAATGCTCTCGTCACTGCTCCACACAAAGCCCAGGCAGGCTCCACGCTCATCAGTGACTGATGTCGCATACAGGCCATTGGTCTGGTCAGTGACAGCGCGCGAAGCAATAAGCCTGGCGGCAGAGATCTGACCCGCCACATCCCGCTCAACGGTCAGGACCTGAGAGGGAATGATTGCAATTGCATTTTGCTGAATGACCGACTTCACTAATTCCTCCGAAACGACCTGGCTGCCGAAAGTAGTGTAAAGACGAGGAGAATCAGAGCTGATGTTCAACTTGGTGGCCGCGGCTTGGATCGAGGCTGGAGCAGTGCAGACGCTCGCGTCGTTGCGCTCGGAGGCATTGGCAGTGATCCACTGCTGGAAAGTGTCCAACTCGGTGTCTGACAGGGCATTGACAAGTAAACGTGAGGAAGGAACCGATTGTTCCTGAGAGAGCGCGGTCAATTGGTCGAGGGTAATGAGGATCTTGGCGGCACCGGCGTTGAGGACATCGACGAGATCGCCGGCGGAGGAGATGGCAGTCGCATCGACGAAGACATCAAGGTGACGGAAGTTCTGGCGCAGGAATTGCTCAGCCTCGGAAAGACTCGAGACCTTCACCAGCACCCGCCCGAAGTAGGCGATCTGCTTGATGGTGAGTCCGGAGGTGGCGTTGGAGGGGCAGGAGATAAGGAATGGCGTCGCCATGGCGGATATATGTGGGAGGGAACACAGAAGAGAAAAGAAAGAGGGATATGAGAATCCCCGAGCAATTTGGGGGACAAATGCGGAGGGAAAAATGTGGAAGAGCGATGACTCTTTTGTCACCTTTTTTTTCCCGCGTTGGTTGCCGCCGTTCGGCCCGCTGATTCATCTCCGCTGTCGGCCTTGCGATTTGCTATCTCTACTCTTCTATCGGAACGAGGCAGAGCATTTTATTACTTTTACTAAACAGGCACATCTATGCTGGCTCTATCCAAATTGGCTGTCTCTTCCTTCACAGCTCGTATAAAATCTCGCAGACCGAGATGATGCCATCTCGGTATTCCTGGGAGCCCTACGGCACCGAATACAAGCTGCAGAGGACTAGCCACAGAGAGAGGCCAATTGGATAATATAAAGGCCCGCACTTTCTATTGAGGGATAGTCAGTCACTCTGTTGATTGACATGAGCGGATTTGACTTGTAGTTCCATCGAGGAGAACGCTGACAAACGTTTTGCCCCATCCTTCGACATTGTCGCGATACGGAGCTTGCACTCGCAGATTCCTTGTTTGATGCTTCAGTACAGGATAGATCGAAATCAATTTCACCACCTTGCACAAACATATAGAACGTATTAGGCTGTAATGTTCAATCAGTCATTGTAAATTACCGTATTTTCTCATGGAACGTTCTAGGGAGGTATCTAGAAGAGGTGGGAGAGGTCTGGCAATCTGGCCTGATCCACGTCCACCATCTTCCCTTTCTTTGTTTTCCAGTACAAGTGTTCAATGTGCATTTGTAATTACCAGAACGAACTAATTACAGCGGCACAACGCCGTCGGTCGTAATCCACGAGCCATCAATAGCCTGATGACGCCGAGTGAATGCCAACATTAGCGACGTTTCGCCAGTCGAAGCTTTGGATTCGCGGATTTCAATGTCATGAACCCTTTTCCTTTCTTCTGGCATAGTTTGCTCTGAAGGAAGCCCTTCTGTACCTTCAAGCTCGATAACTTTCTCGGCGACTCTAGAGTCGGGTACAGACTTCCAAAGCCCTTCTTTCCGCGGTGTTATGCGAAGCAATGACAAGGCTTGCCGACGTATCCTCTGATTCCGACATTTCACCGCTGTGAAATACAATGGTGGAATCACCCCCATTTCGAAAAAGAACAAGACTCCACCCTTTAGTTGCCTCGTGGTTGCGGAAATCGCAGACGTAGCGTGCCGAATGATTCTCTGAAATACGTGTATATGATGGTCAAAGGAGCTTTGAAATGGACTGAGGGCTGTTGAGACCAGGATGAATAAAGTCGCGTGGAACATATGAAGGATTGCACGGGAGGCGATATAATCACCTGAAAAACCACGCTCGTTATCCAAGTGTAGCTTGGCCCACCACTGATACCATCCGGAAAGCTCACGATCCAAGGCCTGCTGGGTGTTCCAAAGATCCTCATATATGCCCGTGTCTAAAGGTTTCCCTTGTCGACAGGCAGTCGATTTGAAACAGAAGTTCAAAATTTTCATCGCAAGTGCGTACAATCGAGACCTCGCATCCCAAGTGTTTGACTCACAGGGTTTCCGAAGGGATGAGATCTCGTTCAGCAGAGCATTATTTATGGAAGTCGGTGGATACCCCCATAATGCCATTAGAACCTGAAGACGTGATACCACTGGGATTATGACGTTGGCTATCGAAGAGTCTCTGATTCTGCCGTCTCGCGAATCCGATTGGCAGCAGTGCCATGTATTAAGCAGTTCAGAACCTTGTCGACAGAGTTCCAGAGCACCCAGAACATTATCTTGAAGAAGTTCGACGCAGACAAATAGAACGCAGCTTAGCAGAATAATAGACCGGTCGGCTCGACCACTTCGTATTCGCGCCCTAACTTCCGAAATGGCCTTATTGTACCATGTCACCGCTTGTCGATGATAACGGCTGGTTATTTGGGGCTGTGAGCCGAGAACGGCCGAAGGCGCTTCTGATATTGCAGAGTGTTCGTATAGAGAGGAAATAGAGATGATGGCATTCCAGACAACTGGATCTGACCAGCTCAGCTGGAGGACAGTTCCCGACCAAAAATGCCTATCGGTAGTGCCTGCAAGTTCTATTGCCGCTACATGTTGAAAATAGTCGAAAGCTCTGAGTTCATCAGTACCCGCGCTATTATCCGGCAGAACTCTACTGACAACAGTAGCTGGTGACGCTAAGGAAATCCTCAGGCGATCAGCTAGTGCCAAAGCGTGGCTGTAGCCATCGCATCGCCGTCCCGTACGCACACATCTGTTGCAGTGCGGTTTTTCTTCATCACATTTTACTCGACGAACCCTTGGGACGGATTAGCATGCTGTGTGAACATCAACCAGAAATTATACAGTCTATTCTTACTTGCACGTTCCGCACCCGGTCTTGGATTTTGCGCCGCCAATACGTCCTCGAGTGGTCGACTTGTCTGATGACATGTCATCAAACGTGGAAGATGTGTCACAGTGTAGCGATATCGTTTTGGTCACAAGGAGCTTCCGGATTCTTGAAATTATAGTGACAAACCGGTGGAAATCTGTATAGTCAAGTACAGATGGGAACCGCTGGGTAGAAAGAATATGATCAGATTGATGATCCTTCTCAGGAGATTGATTCCTCTGGGTGCATATAGGTCATCGCACACATGGTGTAAGGTCATCGCACACATCACGTGATTTTATTTTTAATTTGCCCCACTTTTCTGGAAGAACGTAAATCCTTCGTAATTTTAGAATTACCATTACGGAATGCCTATATCGATCTTCACGATATAGGCAACCCCTTCATCATAAGTCTCTAGATACTCTGGGAGTAAAGGTACGTATTTAACTATAGCAGCTAATATAGCTTAGGCTGGATGATAGATTAATGGAGTCGGAATATAAATTACCTATATATAAACTAGTTAATAATTATTTCGCAACTAGTTTGGAATTAAATGTGGTGAATATATATTTAACGTAATCGGTAAGCGAGTGACGCATGTAAGCGAGCGACGCACCCCAAAACACCATAGTAAAAGCGATAAATTACAACTCTATATTTCCGCAACAGCAGCTTCTCATAGAGACTTTCTTTAAATATATGTCCTTTATAATGAGTCTAGGGGTATTTGAAGGTCTCGGAGGGTTTTAAGTCGTGTTGAGTCGATGATCTATATTTCAAGCTCAGAAAGCTAAATTACAGTGTATTTTATGTAAACGTAGTGAAATGATAATTAAATTATCCCAGACTCCCAAATTAGGCTATCTGTGCTCTAAATTAGTGAATTACTGAAAGCTAAATAGAATAAGCTTGTGGTTGTTGAAATATTGCGTTCTTAAATATCGCATTTAATATGGTGTTTTGGGGTGCGTCGCTCGCTTACATGCGTCACTCGCTTACCGAATACGTTACCTCGTCCCGGTTAGGAATTGCGGTTTCAAATTCTTGCTTGCTGTCAAATAGGTCGACACAATCGCCTATATCCTCTATATCGGGCGTAGAATTAAACTGTAGAAGCTCAGAGAGTGTACGATCCTTATAAGCCCTCTAGGTATAATCTGTAGCGCGTTCTATGGTAGATAGGTTGATAATTACACAGTAAGAGAGACTAAAAGAAAGAAGTGGGGTGTGTGGATAGATTACTAGGTTACAAGGGTTTACCCTAGAAATTTACAGGGTTGCGATAAGCACGGGCCATAATTATTGTAAATATCACGTGATGTGTGCGATGACCTCTCGGTCGGTGTGCGATGACCTGGTTCCTCTTCCTCTGCGCCCGATGAATGTTTCTGCCTGAGGCATAAACCGCGGGACGGATAACCTTGGCCAATCAGAATCAATCTGCTAATTCATCCCCTCGGGATTCTGACAAATAAAATAGACTATTGTCCCGGGCGTTCTGATAAGCCTGGTGAAGCACGTGACAACTCCATACCTCAAGTAGAAGCGATCCACCGCTACCTTCGTAGGAACTAACCGAAGATTCTGCGCGTATTTGGCTATTTCGCGTTAATTATATAATCACGGGGCCAATATTATCGTCATTATTAAAGCAAATACCATTTTTGAAAGACGAATTTCTCTACCAACTCTCGAGAGCGCGGTGCTATAGAGATTGGATGCTTCACCCTGGGATATGGACGGGCAAGGGGTGGATACATAGGTCGCAGTGAATGGGTTTCCTGTAATATGCAGTATTATGGGTAATGTGGCCGTTCTGGAATTAAAATGGGTCTATTATTAGAGATTATTATTTACCACTTAGCCAAATGCATATTAGTGCGGTTCCGGGTAGGGTCCGAGAAACAAAGCGTGAGTGTCCAAAGGGTACGGTAGCTGAAAGCACAATTTGAATTACACCTAGTGCTGTCAGCTACTGTAGGAACAAGTTACAGTCCGTAAAATGTCACATTATTGTATTATTTTTGTATTTTTATGGATTCATGAACCTGCATCAGAAATAGACCTGAAAATGACGTACTCGTCCGGAGCCGCTAGTTAGATAAACGTCCAAGCTGTGGGTTATTTGCTTTGAGGTTATTACCACGCTCGGTCATTTTGCTGATTCTAAATGGCATGTGCTTCCAATCAGCCCAGACTTCAGCTTTTGAATCTTGACCAAAACCAACAGGACTTCTAGGATCGGAAGATTATCCGTATTTAGTTCTAAAGACCACGATACGGTCGGATTGGATTGTGCCTATGAAGGGGATGCGCATCGGAATCCACGTACCGAACATCGCAGACTGGCTAAAGGGCCCTCGCTCAACGAGACAAGGAGATCGGAAGAATGTCCAGATCTCGGGGCTGCTGCTAGCGCTGGACTCTGGTTGCATTAATACTGTAGGGAATGCCCGGGGCAAACAAGCCAATCGTTATGGCCGAGAACAGTCACCACCCGGGCACATGAACCCTGTACGATTTAAATAGTGGACTTATCATCAGACGTTCAATGGACGTGGATGTCCCCGAAAGGATTGGGGTGGTAGTCTTGGCGCATGCTGGGGAAGTGCAGATCAACCCCGTCCGACTCTACACCCGGTGCCTCCCTGCGCTCATAGGCTGGAAAGCATAAAGATTAGGGCAGAACGCCATGAGGGGTATTTTTTTCTCGTGCTTGTCAGTGCTAGTGCATGTCTCTGTTCCGTGCGCCACCAAGGGGATTCGTGCGTCTGATGCGTCCCTGACTAGGTGCGTCATTTCAGTAAGTCACCCGAGACGAAGATCCCGGGGAAGCTAGATGCAGCAACCGTATGGGATCGAGACGCCTTGCAGAAGACGCAAAAGAGGCAATGTTTCAAGACAAGCTTTGAGTTGATCGAGGCCGGTAGGATAGATAAAAACATTAAGAAAACTATGGCATGTTCATCGGAACACCCGGTTCAGGGACCGCATTCCGACGAGCCAAGACCAGCGCAGCACAGCGCATAGTAGTGGGGCGACCTTGCAGAGACCCCCCGGCTTTCCTAGACAGGTGAGGTGATGGAAAGTGGACCTTGCAGAGAATGGAGAGCGGGACCCTCGTTATGCCCAACCGCGGTGGATTAGAATGCAGGTAAACAGGCGCGTGTGACGGCTTCCCCTTTCGATGTGACCTGGGCCACACCCTCGCAAGTTTCCATTCCTATTCCCCAATCCACTTTGCCGATTCAATAGTCGCTTTGACCCGCTGAGCTGCAGCTGGGTGGTCTCTCGTTTGCGAATCTGCTATAATCCCTTTTAATCACCCGTGTCGTCCTCGTCCCGCCTGCTATTGTTAATATAAACATATCCCTACCTTGACCACTCTCCTTGGGGACCGACTTTACGTGAACGATGCGCGTCACCTCCCTTCCACTAGCGGCGCTAGGTCTGGCCGGATCAGTCGTTACTCATCCCTTTGGCGAGACCGAGGCTGTCTTGGGCCGCCAGTCGCAAACACAACAGAAGGCCGATGCCGTGAAGGAGGCCTTCCAGCATGCATGGAATGGATACATGAAATATGCATTCCCTCATGACGAGCTGCATCCAGTGAGCAATGGATATGGCGACTCCAGGTGAGTACTGTTTGCGATCATCGCAATTGGAAGCATTTGAAGCCAACGCAGTTCAACTATAGAAACGGATGGGGTGCTTCCGCGGTGGATGCGCTTTCGACCGCTATTGTAATGGGCAACGCGGATGCGGTCAACACCATTTTGGACCATATCTCGAAAATCGACTACAGCCAGACCTCGGAACAGGTCAGCTTGTTCGAGACGACAATTCGGTACCTGGCCGGCATGTTGTCGGGCTATGATTTGCTCACGGGCCCGGCGTCGGATCTCGCCAGCAAGAAGGACAATGTGGACAACCTTCTCACCCAGTCCAAGAACCTGGCAGATGTGCTCAAGTTTGCCTTCGACACCGAATCCGGTGTCCCGTACAACAACTTGAACATCACGTCGAAGGGAAATGACGGTTCTACAACCAACGGTTTGGCCGTGACGGGAACTCTGGCCCTCGAGTGGACGCGCCTCTCGGACTTGTTGGGTGACGACTCGTACGGCAAGCTCAGCCAGAAAGCTGAGTCGTATCTGTTGAACCCCCAACCGTCGAGCGGGGAGCCCTTCCCCGGTCTCGTGGGCAGCAACATCTACATCAGTAACGGCGAATTTGGCGATGGCGCCGTCTCGTGGAACGGCGGTGATGACTCGTTTTACGAGTACCTGATCAAGATGTACGTGTACGACCCCAAGCGGTTCGAGACGTACAAGGACCGATGGGTCCTGGCGGCCGAGTCAACCATCAAACACCTCCAGTCGCATCCGGAGCCTCGTCCCGAGCTGACGTTCTTGTCTTCATACGACAACGGCAACTATGATCTCAGCTCCCAGCACCTGACCTGCTTCGACGGCGGCAGCTTTTTGCTCGGTGGTTCCGTGCTGGATCGCCAGGATTTCATCGACTTCGGTCTCAAGCTTGTCAACGGCTGCGAGGCTACCTACAACCAGACTCTGACTGGAATTGGCCCTGAATCCTGGGGCTGGGACCCCAAGCAGGTGCCGGATAGCCAGAAAGACTTTTATGAGCGTGCTGGATTCTACATTGAGAGCGGCTACTACGTCCTGCGGCCCGAGGTGGTCGAGAGCTTCTACTATGCGTACCGGATCACCGGCAGCGAGGTGGTAAGTGTTATCTCTCTTTTGATGTGGCAAATTGAATAGGCTAACGATATTAAAGTACCGTGACTGGGTCTGGAACGCCTTCGTGGCCATCAACGCTACCACCCGTACCGACTCAGGCTTCGCAACCGTGACAAATGTCAATGCAAAGGGTGGTGGCTCCAAAGTCGACAACCAGGAGAGCTTCCTCTTCGCCGAGGTCATGAAGTACTGCTACCTCACTCATGCGGAAGGTACGTAACCCACACGAAAATCCAAAACATTGATACTAATAAATCGCAGATGCCCCATGGCAGGTCCAGAGAGGCGACAAGAATACTTTTGTGTTTAACACTGAGGCCCACCCCATGCGCGTAAAGCACACCTAGTATCTGGTCGTTTCATCTCCTGTCCTCCAGTCGATAGTCATCGACCACGAGGTCTATATGTCCTCGAGTATATTTACGATGTTTATCATTGCTTCGATCTGCCGTAGTTAAGGTGCCTGAAAATAGAAACGCCCGGTTCAAATCTTACAAAATTGTAACCGGCCAAGTGCAATTTGATCTCTTTCCCGGAGATTCAAAGCCCGTTGGCCTAAGAAAGGATCTTCACAGTATTGTGAACGTTTGACTTGGGTTGAAACGGAATGCTCCGTGTCTGAAGACAAGTCTAGATCTGGTGGCAATGCAGTGGAGGACAGCGGAGAGCAGAATAATTATGTGTTGTAACAGTTACTTTGCACAGGGTTTATTCGTACGGCAATCCTCCTTCCCATGGAAAATCAAACGCCATTAACGCAATGCGAAAACCACACAAGCCACAAACTGTATAAAAAGGCAGGCTTCAACTCCGAATCTGCATGCAAATAGTGTTGAACGGGGTATCTGATCGCCAAGAGGCAATGCCATGCTGGTTCTAATTCCAGAACTTGTGAAAGGGTAGAGCGATAGCGCCGAATCTATTTCCGCAGCTATCGTCTAGCCCATGACGAAATGAATCATTAAGAGACTATGCTCAGTCCCGGGGAATCTTGGGACGAATAGGGAGAGAAGTTGATTCTGCAACCTCGGGCAATGGATCCAGGGCGGGAACAGCATCCTCGCCGACTTCCACATTTTCAAGATCCTGATCACCCTCGATGGATTCCACAATCGATCCCGCCGGGTTGGAAAAGGCTTCCGAGGCTTGTGAAATGTAACTTGCGGCCATGTCGGTTCCCTCTTCTCCTTCCTGGAGGTATTCACTGCCTTCGTCATCGCTGAGCTCCCCCTCCTCATAGTCTTCCTCATCTGCATCTTCTTCCTCTTCGAGGATCTCGTCCTCAGCGGGCTCTTCCTCTTCTTCCCCTTCGTCTTCGCTGTCGGTGGCAGAGAAATCATCGAGTTCTTGAGGCGTATCTCGCCAGTACGTGAAGTCTGTGTACTCTTCGCCTCCAGAGTGGACCAAAAGGCTAGTAGGTGGGAAGAAGTGATCAAGCAATTCTTGCATGGTCACATAACTGCTCTTATACTTGTTGAGGCTGAGCAGGTCCAGGGACACCTCGGCGTTCGAGTTGATCGTAAAGATCCGCGTGGACGGGATGTTGACGGATCGATAACTCAAAGCGTCTGTCAATCGGTTACCGAAGCCAGCGCAGAAGGGGTTCTCCTTCCCAGAGAACAAATTCAAAATATCGCGCAAGCAAGCCATTTTGAAGACTTCCGGCTTTCTCAAGTAAATCTCCCGTCTCAATGCTGCCATGGTACGATCCGGGCTGCAAATCACGGGTCCCCTGGGAAGCCGGTATCCATCCTGATTGACACCGTAGAGGTACGCTCGTGTAGTATCTGCTTGTCCAACAGATCGACTGGTGAGATACATGATGTTATAGCCGTTGTTGACGATATCAGTGTACAACTTGGCGACACCTGCATGGGTCCAATCGCGTCCGATCATGTTCAAAACATGACCCAAAGCGTCCGATCTGCGTATGGTCGTTAGTATCAGGTGTCTTTCGACAGAAGAAGGTGATTTGCTTACTTAGTGATAGTCCCATCAATATCGGAGATCACAATCGGCGTATTGCCGTTCCACAGGTACATGCTTGCTGTGCAGGTGGCCTTGTTGACGCTGAAGGACATGAGGTTAGCGCCAGGCTTCAATTTCAACGCCTTAAGTTGATCACTCGTCAACCGCAACGTCTTTGCGTAGTTGCGAGGAGTCTCAACTGCAAACGAATCACCCATAGGTGACTGAGGAGGCGTAGGAAATCCAGGCTGGACATCCGATTTGGTTCGATGGTGGCGGACTCCCATCGACGGCTCCAAAGTGGGTCGGTCTCCCTCACTGTGGTATCCAGGATCTGAGATTGCATCCTCACTCAAAGCCGTGTTAGGTCGCATAGAATTGATGGTCGCTCTCCGGTCAGCCGCATCTTTGGCTTCTTCGCTGCTGTAAATCCATAAGTTGCCGTGTTCGTCCGCCCCAATGAGTGCACCAATATCATAGCTCCCTTCCAATTCCTCTGCGAGAATCTTGCGGGCAAGGACCTCGGCGCGGAGCGCATCTTCCTCATTGCTCTTGTAGCCCGTCATGTCCAGCATAAGGTCTCCGGTTTCCGTAATGTGTGACGGGATATTGGACCCAGAAAGTTTTTCGGAGAGAGATTTGGCACGAGACATTGCTTCTTGGGGGGAGATTGGAGGTGGACTCCGGGAGCGGCTTCTTTGTTCAGGGTCTTCCCCATCAGCAGATCCCAGGCCCTCCTCAGAGGGTGGCTCTTCGATGGACTTAGGAACGCTGCTCGAAAGTACATTCTCCGAAAGTGAATGGTCGAGTGGGGGCTTGGTGAACGAGTTGTCGGGATGAGGGCTTAGATCCGACTCATCTGGTGACCGAGACAAGGGAGTGATATTTCCTGTGATTCAGTAAGCCAAGACAGTCTCGGGCGATATTCCAAGACTTCAAATACCTAAATCCGTGGTTGCCCGCACCGGTCGTGATATGGGAATTGTTGGCGGAGTCTTCGCGCCCTCCGATAAAGCATCTCCGGTCGATTTATCAAGGTCGAGGAACTCCGGCTCCTGGAGGGATGAAGCGATATCTTCGCTGGGTAGCGGCGGACTACTCGCTGGAGAAACCAACGGCGAGGTCTGTAGCGATGCGGGGATATCATCGGTGGTTTCGAACACGAAGAAGGCCTCGCCGCCTTCTCCCAACTTCATCGCATATTCTTGTTTGATCCCATTGACTTTAAATTCCACTTTCTTCTCGAACGGACGCAAGAGCGAAAACTTGCCGAAACGGACATGGAAGGGTGAGCAAGCGAGGGTCCCTTGAGAGAAAGAAAAAGAAAATTAATCCAACTATCCGAGGGAGTTCAGGATATGTAGCCTCTGCTTACCATCCTCCTGCTCTATGACAATCACATCAATGGCGCCGCTGAGCGTCGCTGGGTTGATCGAGTTCCATGTCTTGGAGACGGAGCCGCTGATGCTCCGCACGTACTGCATCTCGCCGGGTAGTGTCGAACACCCTAGGCGATGGGCTTTCTAAAGAAAGACCAAACTCTAGAAATCAGAAGCGAATGTAAAGGTACCGACAAGAGAGACGATCTCCAGGAAGAGGGGAAAGAAACGGTCGTTGGGAGAGAAACCGGAAATTCGAGGAATCGCAGCCAAACCGCCCATGTGACACTCAGCTGACAAGGAGCAGGTGCATTACCACCGCCACAAAAATGCTGTTGCTGGAATTAAAGACGGCTGAAACAAAAATACTGCAATGACCAAAAGCGCCCCAAACACGCTGAATCTCTGGCGTCCCCGGATCTGTTGGTTCATCAACACATTCAACGCCCAACGATTGTTACGTAAGCCAGATTCAACATGCCGAGGTCACCTTATCGAGCTAGTCTAAATTGGGGCTAGCGGCCGATCAATGGGCGTGATCGCACTAGTCTTCTCTGGGACGATCCTGACTAACGATGTCAGGTGACATGTCCCACCGAAATGGAGTGGCCGATCACGAGTTGATTGCTACTTCCTCTTCTTACCTTTTCTCCGTTCCCCGCCTGCACGTGTCCATGGGTGCTCGACGCTGGGATGTATGAGCCGCTCTACCTCGCATTTGACGCCTACCCTGCTGTGGTTCCCCGTGTGAGGGTGCGAGGCGTCATGGCTCTCTTCCTTGCGGTCTCGATTCTATGGGCCCTGATCTGGTAAGTTCTCTTTATTTCCCTCATTTATTTGTGGTTGATACTGATTTTAAATAGGCTCCTCTACCGTGCGTGGCAGGTTTGTCAGACCTCCAATGAGGTTCTGGTGGAGAAATTGGGTCTCGACATCCCGCCGCCGCCGGAAGTGACCCTTGAGGAGATTACGGCCCGTGAGATTCGTATTGCCTGGAAGCAGCCGGATTTTCATAACTCAATACACAAGCACATAATTCAAGTGAACAATGTCAAAGGTACGTCTGCGCTCTATTCCAGATCTCCCGTTCGCCCGGCAAGCGCTAAAGGTCTTCAGTGGGCGAGTCGAAACGAGTCGAAACAGCGGTGGAAATTCTGAATCTCGTCCCCGGAAGCATATACCATATTTGCGTCCTTTCTGTTAGCGCGGCAAATTTCCAAACGCCGAGTGCCATCCTTCATGTTCGAACGAAATCTCTTCCTCTTTCCCGAGCCCAACAAGATGCCACCGCTAGTGGCCCGACTATTCGAGCGTCGATCCCGAGATCCACGGCCGGCCTGCCGACACCCTCCGCCCCAGTCATGTCGCGCGAGCACAGTGCCGGTCAACTGGCTGGCAAGCGACCGTCTGCAGGTCGCAAGTTATCACCTGCCACTGGAGTGACAGACCATGCGCACAGCCATTCCGATGAATCACAAAAGCGCATCAGCAAGGATGATCGCGAACAAAGTCTGGAGTACCTAGCGGATCGCCTCAAATCGTTACAGCAAGAAAACGATAACCAGGAGAAACAAGCAATCGAGGAGGAAGAGGAGCATATTGCACTGCTGAAGGATCTCGAGAAGCAACGTGATGATCTGAAAAAGCGTGTCAGGGAGAAGGACGAAGTAAGCGGTGATCTGAAGAAGCACGTTTCAAAGTTGGAAAGTGTCAACCGCACTGTGCAGAGTGAGAAAACCAAACGCATGAGACTTCTTCAGCAGAAGGAAGCCGAACGCAAAAAACGCAAGACGGACATCCTTCGGTGGCAGGAAAAGATCGCTCGCATGGCCAACGATGCTGCACAGACCAAGGAAGACAAGGCACGATTGGAGGAAGATACCGAGTCTCGCGCCGAAGAGGTTCGGAAGAAGATCGCCAAGGAGCAATCAGAGATGAAAATCATCGACGACGAAATCCAAGACAAAGGCGGGCGGATCAAGAAACTTGAGGACGAAAGAAAGGGACTTCAGGGTGGTGAGAGTGAGGATGGCAATGAACTTGATCGTATCGACAACGAGCGCGCTCGCCAGTGGGAACTGAAGCTGAACACACTGCACGCTCGGTATGCGACCCTCGTCAACCTCCATGCGCAAGCTCAGCAGCAGTATCAAGAAGCCCAGGAACGGCTGAAGTGGCTTACCTCCCAGCGACCTGGCAGTTCAGGACCATTCTCCCTGCCGGCATTGGACCTGGATATGTCCAACAATGCTACTATCCGACCTCGTCGCCATCGCAGCTCATTGACGAGTAACGTGTCTTCCCCCGTGAACTTCCCCGGCGTTGAGCCAGCATTCCCTGGTGGAATCAACTACAACCCGCCCTCAACTAATTCGCCGACTTGCCCTCCAAGCTCATTTTTCAACATTAACAATGGAATGACCCTCCCCGGCCTCTCCGATCCTCCTGAGATCATGCGTTCTGACATGGAGACGTCTTTCAATAACCCCCAAATGAGTCCTCGTGCCGATGCCTTGTTGCCATCTGACCTTCTCGGCGATGAGGAGTCACCGGAATTCGCAGGCCCCATCACCCGTCCACGGTTCTCATCAATGGAGACATCGACTAATCCTTTGGACAGCTTTATCCATGGGCCAGTCTCGCCGGTCTCTTCGGGGAGCAGACCTGGCAGCATATTTGCCAGTCCTCTTGAAACTCATCACCGACACGATTCAGATTCGCAACCAACACACTTGTCAGCTGAGGCTCCAAAGAGTGCATCCAGGAGGCTCTCTGGTCTGTTCGGATTCCATCGACCTCGTGGGAAAACACTGGCCGATGCGCCACCCATGCTGGGCACTTTGAAACCAGGACAGAGCCAGTCCTTCCCGCGCAATGTGGATGAGCTGGATCCAATCGGCTCGCGTCGCCGGAGATTGAGTTACACAGGCAACTGGGCCAATCCGATGTCCTTGTTTCCTCGAAGCAATACGTCTGACGTGACTACGGACAGCTCTTCTGATCACCCACCGTCCCGACGAGCTGCGTTGTCAAGTATCTTTTCGTCCAGCAAATTCGGGTTTGGCAGCGCCGGCGGCCGAGGGGCTACCGAGATGAACTCGGGATACAATCAATTTAGCCCGCGCCATGATCCAATTGATCCAGCGTCTCTTCTTGGCGGTGTTCGACGTGGCTCTTTGTCGCCTCGGCCTTCATCGACTTTTTCATTCGATAACCAGAACCATCTGCCTCATCCCTCCACGGACAACCGTCACTTTGGGTGGCCGTCGGCAGAGCAAATGCAAATGGGGCATCGCAATAGTCCGCTTGGGTTAGACTGGGCCTCACCGACCACATGGTCTAGGGCACCGTCCCGACGCCCTTCGATCCAATATGGGTCGTCTGGCCACCTCCCTTTGGGATTGACCGGCGAACCGGATTTTGTCGAGGACTTGTATGATCGCCATCATCGGCCGCTTCAGGCCCCGATCGGTACCCGTCCGTCGTCATCTCATCGACCGGTCACTCCGAATCCCAAGCTCAACCCGGCAGCCCCTACATTCAGGACCATCTTTACGGGCAAGAAGTCAGACAAGGGCAAAGATAAGGACAAGGATTCCGACGTCTCATTTGATCTTCACGGTGACGATGTGTCTCCATCCGAACCTCGTACATCCCGCGATTCGCGCTCCCTATCTCACTTCCCCGGCGATTCGTATGAATCCTTGGAGCGCATGCCATCTGGCATCTCCGTGGACGCTGCATCGAAGGAATCGTTCATTCGCAAGATCACCCGCAAAGGTAGCTCCAGCAAGTTCAGTTCCTGGAAAGACCGCTCGGGACTATTCTCGAAGAAGGGCGACTCCTCTCAAGGTGATATTGATGAGGATGAAGCCCAGCTGGGCAAGAGTGTCGACAGCACCGTCTCCAGCGTGCCGTCAGCAGACCGGTCAACCCGTAGCAGCCTTGGGTTCTTTTCTCGCAAGTCGCGAAGATCAGACAAAGCTAGTGAGACCAGTGAGCTGACGAGTGAAGTCGGCGATGAAGAGATCCCGGGGGTTGCTGAAGCATGAAACCACCGTGGTCAAGTCCTTTCACTTCTTTTCTTATTCTGGAGTACACACTCGGTTAGCCAAAGATACCTTAATGGAATTCATATGGGAATATACATTCTTCATTAATCGACTGTGAATCCGTATGAACGTAGCCAATACGCGTAGTCTGACTTGATATCCAACCTGGTTGTGAACCACTGCAGTGGAGTTGGTCGTGTAGTTGCGGTCCAGTTGACCAGTTGGCAGCGCATTTTGCGCGGGTAGCAATCACCGCACAAAATGACTCGCTCATCAAATCCAGTCTCTTCAACTCCAGACCCCGCGGTTCAAAAACATGGCAAACTCCAAGTAAGAATGTTTGAAATCCCAGTACAAGTGAAATTCGACTAACTTCGGTCAGATTTGAGTATGTCAAGGACTTCGAGCAGCCGGACATCCTGCTCCCCAATACGTGGATCGTGGTCCGAATCGACGGCAGAGGTTTCCACAAGTATGCCATCTGAACTCCACGCATATGTATCCATGATCAATATCTGATTTTCTTTAGGCTATCTGATCACTATGCATTCGTCAAACCGAATGACCGCCGCGCGCTCGATCTCATGAATGCCGCTGCAGTCGAGGTCATGAAAGAGCTGCCGGATCTATGCATTGCCTACGGCATCAGTGACGAGTTCAGGTGTGCTTCATCCCTGCATCCGTATTCTATTCTTTTACTAACGGATTATCTCAGCTTTGTCTTCCATCCTACCTGCCAACTCTTTGAGCGGCGGAATGGGTAAGTCTGTAGTTCCTGGGGAATTTTTCTCTTGCGATTTGCAAGACAGAATTTGTCAGTCACAGTACTGACTGGCCGATTTGTGCGTTTAGTAAATTGGTCACAACTATTGTATCAACATTCACCGCGCATTACATTTACCTGTGGTCGATATACTTCCCGAACAAGCCCCTCCAGCCGCCATATCTACCCTCCTTCGATGGAAGGGCAGTTATCTACCCCTCCACGAGGATCCTACGGGACTACATGAGCTGGAGGCAGGTTGATTGTGAGTGATCAAACATTATCACCTCTAGGTAGAGCTACAGTGGCTAACTTGGATGCAGGCCATATTAATAACCTCTACAACACAACTTTTTGGACCATGGTCCAACAAGGAGGAATGAGTAACACAGATGCAGAGCAGGAACTAAAGGTATAGTCATCCATTGTGACAGGTATGGTTTGGAGTGTGCTAATTTGATACCAGGGTACTGTCTCTGCGGACAAGAACGAGATTCTCTTCAAGCGGTTCGGCATCAACTACAATAATGAAGAAGAGATTTACAAGAAAGGAAGCGTTCTGTACCGCCAGGTGAGTATTCGGAATTTCTTTGCTATCCCAATTAGCTCTAATTCGCTGCTTTATAGTACAAACTCCAAGAGCCAAAGTCCGCACAAGCATCCATGGAAGACGATACTTCCGCACCAGAGGAAAAGCAGTCAAGATCTCAGCAGGACAAGTTGAAGAAACTTCGTCGGAAAGCACAGGTCGTGGTTGACCATATCGATATCATCAGAGATGACTTCTGGGAAAGGAGGCCGTGGATTCTATCCAACAAGCCGGGTACACTACCTGTGGAGAACTGAGTCTAGAAAAATTGAGATGTGACAATGACTGATTCAAATCTATTCCTCGCCAAACGAAAGGGGGTATCTTGATCACGAGTTGGCGCCAAGTAAATGCCGTATGCCACATATCTATACAGCTTTTTGTGGAACATGCAATGCGCCCGTATGCAGAATGGAAGATGCAAATCAAGCAGAGGCTTTCTTTTCCTTCTTGTCCTTCTTAGACTTCTTTTTGGGGTCAGAGTCTCCCGCCTCTCTATCTTTCTTGGACTTTTTCTTCTCCTTCTTTTCCTTCGGCGTTGTCACATCGTCGAGTTCCATAATGTCTCCCTGTGTTTGATCCGATTCCGTCGACATAGGAGTAGGATAGTAATCTTCAGCAGTTGATCTCTTCGGCTTCTTCGCCATCTTCATAGCCTTGTCACCATCATCCCCAGTGCTATCATCAGACTTGTGACTCTTCTCCTTCTTCTCCTTCTTCTCCTTTCGTCTCAACCGACGCTCTTCCTTGCTTTCCTTGCGCTTCTCTGAGCCCTCATCGCTCGAAACAGCCGCTGAGGAGGTATCTTCACTCTCCTTCAACTTCCGACGCTTGCTCTTCTCCTCTTTCCTCGCAGCCTTCTCCTCCTTCTTAGCGCGACGGCCAGCGTCTTCATCGGCATCGCGCTTTCTCTTAACTTTTAACATAGACTGTTCCGACGCAGCCTTGGTCTTCTCGTCGATCGTACCGGCCAGACACTCGCCGCGCACGAAGTTCCGGTACAGTTCGCTGGTCAGCGCATTGTTCGTCTTCGCCGAAGTAGCAGCGTAACTATCGTCGCCCACGCCCTTCAGCGCGTCTTCGAAACCGCGTAGCCACCATTGGTTCGTTGGGTCTTTGGTGGTTTTCTTGCCCACGCCGTGGTTGTTCGCCTTGCGTGCGACGAGGATGGGTTTTGTCAAGCCGAGACCGCCGTGGGGTCCTGGACGCTGGTTTGGATTGAGAGGATTGCCGGGGCCGGACCAGCCGTGGCGAATGAGATATGCTTGAGCGTCCATTGTGAAAGAGGCGCTCGGAGAGGCGGCCTATATGGGGTCGGTGTGGGAGAGTGTGCGAGGGTGTGCGGTGATGGGTCGCAGAAGCAGAATCTGCGGGAGGTTGAGTAAAGGGCCGATCGGAGGGTTATAGCATCGGTCCCAGGTCCGTTCTTGAAGAGAGTGTGGTTCAAGGTAGGGCGTTGTGAGGGAGATCGTACCCTGTGATTAGGAGCCAAAAAGTCAACGGATAAGCAGAAAAGAAAAAAAATGGTCCTAGGTGATAGAGAATGAGATAACTGGTATTTGGTATGAACACTTTATTAACGATTGTCTCCCATATCACAGGTCGCGTGGTCTAATGGTTATGATTTCTCGTTCACATTTATGTGAACTTGCTTCGGTAGTTCCGAGAAGGTTCCCGGTTCGATCCCGGGCGCGACCACTTTTTGCCGATCCCATCAATGAATCAGTCCTATACTTCATGAACTGTTTCTCTTGTTTTTTTGGGCCATTTTATTTCAATTTCTCTACTCGGATGAAGTTCTTGTTTCCTAGTTTGTATGCCAAGCTTCTAGAGTACTATTTTATGTCATAATAAGCTTCAAGTTCGTAAAACCTTGAAGTACTATTCTAATCCCTTGCGTTCATCTATAGAATAGGAGTCCTTTTCGATGATAGTGTCATACTATTTCCAATGTTGGATCTGTAAAATAATCCAATTACACCATTTGGAAGGCTCGTTGACTCTAGCGTTCGGTCTCAACTCGACACAAACAAGACGACCGAATAGGTACATCCGCCATGGCCAACGCAAGTCTCAACTGCGTCGCCAAAACCCGTGCTTCACCATTTTTACCCAATTTCACAAGACACTCATGATAGCCATGTAGAGCCCAAACATTACCAATATGTCTCAACGCACGAGGCAACGACTCATCGATCCCAAGATCAGCAGCGTAAATCTCCATCGACTCCTCGACACGTCCCTGTTCCAGCAGTAGCGCACCCAGTGCATGTCTTGCAGGCTGCATCCAGCCCCAAGGTTCATCATAGGGCAAGTTATCATCTCGATCCACTGCAGTCCGCAGATGAGCAAAGGCAACGTCGTAGTCTCCACATCGATAAGCGATCTCGCCATCCAACATTGCCTCTGCAACGCAGAGTATGTCCACGCAGGTATTGTTGAAAACGGTTCGAGATGAGGGGACGAGTTTCACGGCTGACTGGAACTCGCTTTGCTCTTTCTTCGCTTCAACGACACGGCCCGTAGCGGCATAAGCGACGCCTTTGGCATAGTGAGTCATGGCAGTAGTAGTACAATAGAGGTTGCGGTCCGTCGGAAGCTCCAGCGCAATGATATCTTCCCAGCGACCGAAGCGGATGAGGGCATGTACGCGCGTTGCAATGAATCCCTCAAGCCAATCAGCCATAGGGGGCGATTCCACGCGGAGGAGGTCCTCGGTGATGGAATCTGCCAGTTGCGTTCCAGTGTCGATAGCAATCTTCGACTGGCCGCCCAACATAGCGGCATACATTCGGAAGTGGTAGTCGTGCGAGCGGTAGAGATTGTAGAAATGGCCCAGCTCTTGGTTCTTGAGGAATTTCTCGTCCGCGCGGATGGCGGAGGTGTTGGATGCTATTGCACGGCGGTAGTCGCCGCATAGAATGTCTAGATGGGTTGGCATATGCTCGAGGTGGCCTGCATCTGGGACCAGCCCTCGTAGGTGGTCTGCTACCGGGAGTGCAATCTCGGGAGTTGGAGACATTTCCATGAGATGGATATACAAGTGCAAGAGGCCCGGGTGCCGAAATGCATTTTCTTGGGTCAAGGCGTTGTCGAGCGCTGCTTTCACCTCGATGGTTCGGGCACCGGGGCTAGGTTGGCCGGTCTCAAGATCCCATAGGCTCCACGGTTTCAAGTTCATAAGGGCATCGGCATGAAGCGTGACGACGTCAAGGTCATCCGGGAAGGCCTGATACACGGATTCCATGGCCGCGGCGTATCGGTGATTCCACTCCGCACAATCATTAACAGGCTCATTCTGCGGGTAGCGGTGTTGCAGTGCATTAACCAGAGCCTGCTCCACAGGAGTTGCTGTAGCTGCATACTTCTTCGCTTCCACCACTGCACTGTGGGCGCGGGTTGTGGTAGTTGAGAGATCCTCCCCGTCAAAGAGCTTCCACGGTTTGTTATAATTCGGACCCAGAGACAGGGCAATACCCCAGTACGCCATGGAGCACGTGGGATCTGCAATCACGGCCTGTTCAAAGCAACGCACCGATTCTTGGTGGTTAAAGGAGTAGGCCCAGACGAGGCCACGGTCGAACCAGGTCTGGGCATCCTTGCTAATGGTGCTGACCGTGCGATGGAAGTTACCAAGGTCATAGTACTCCAGGGAAGCCGATTGCAGGGTCGGCTTCTTAGTTCGATGCCAGATTCCGGGGGTATTAAATGCACTCATTCTTGACTCGAGCATTGACAGTGACTGGCAGAGGGCGGGTCCGGGGCCGCGTATCGGCGAGGTGGGGCTGGCCTGAGCCACTCACTGTATACTTTCACATCGGCACTGGAGGGTTCTATCTCAGGCTACTCTATAAACAGATAAGAGGCGGTCGCATCCAGAGCAATAGTGTTGAAAATATATATGTATATTTTTAAAAAAGAAAAAAAAAGGCTGTCTCGTCTTGCTAAGTACTTCAATGCTCGACAAATCGTTAAGTCAATAAGGACCATATGTTAGGCAACGTATTTCTTAGAATATCACCACCTATTTTGAAGCCGGTCATTGTAAAACCGAAGGAAAAAAAGAAAGAGAAGCCTATCGAGGTCGTGTACCTGAGTTGAAGAGCCCCGATAATGGGAGATGGCAGATCGACGCCCCACTGCGCGGATTTGAGAGGATCGGCACGACTTACCGCAAAGAGAAATGAGGCTTGGGAAATATGCTCGATCTCGCTCACCTTGGTGGAAAGCACAGCACCTTGGTGGTTGTCCTACCTATTTATTGTCTCTCGGCTCTACCAGGTCAATTCAAGTCAAGTGAATCACTCTCCAGGTTGTACAGACCCTATCGCGTATAGTACTGTCGTGTATAGTACTTTCTTTCTCTTCTGGCATTGCATTTGCATCTTTCCAGCTACAACCATCATGTGCGGTGATACCAACCGTCCTACCTTTGGCGGTACAATTGCCGTGCTTTTCCCGCGAGAAAACCGTCTACTTTCAAACTCAGGATCTCTATCTTCATCACCAGACTCAGTCGTCTCATCCACATCATCAGCATCAACTCTATCATCCTATTCTCTCTTTTTCCGCAACGCAGAAACAACAGACCGCAAAACGAAAGGGATTTTCCAGACCGACAGTGAAGAGACTTTTGACTCTTTGCGCGGTTGCGGACATGTGGACATGCGGATAGAGTGAGTTTATCCCAAACGCCAAAGAAGTGAAATACTGACTCTAGAAAGGAAATACGGAGATCTCTCTACATCCACGCCAAACACACCCCCACTCCATCAATTCCAGATAGACTTGAGCCGGAGCCAAAGCATGAAGCCAGGCCACCGCCAAACAGAAATGGAATTCGAATTGCCCGAACGGCTGGACCTGGGCGTCTCGGAGAAGGGAGTCGTGGGCCGACAAGTAACAATGAGAGACCCTGCCGGTACCGTTCTCGGAGTGGGAATCGTCGGGTACAATTGAGCAGACTCATTTCTTTTATGATTCATTGATACTCCATTTGCAAATTTCAATCATTTATTTACAAGCGTTTCTTTTATCGGAATGATATCCACTTCAGAAGTTGGGACCGAGCAGCTACTTCGGTTACAGCTTCAGCAAGTTCTCCACGCCAGCAGTGTAGCGCTTCTCGGCCTCGGACCAGTTGATGATCTTCCAGATGCCGTCGACGTAGCCAGCCTTGTTGTTGAGGTACTGGGAGGATTTAGTAAAAGAAAATGGAAAATGGCGGGGGAAAACCAAAAACAAAAGCTCACCTGAAGATAGTAGGCGTGCTCCCACATATCAACACCGAAGATAGGCACATCACCACTGGCAACAGGGTCCTGGTCCTTGGTGGTGGTGATCTCCAGACGTCCCTTGGGCCCGCCCTTGCTGACGAGCCAGCCCCAACCGCTACCTTGGATGCCGAGCAGCTCGGCGTTGAATGCCTTCGTGAAGGCATCCTGGGAGCCCCAGCGAGAGTTAATAGACTCGCGAAGTGAAGGTGCCGCGCTGGCCAATTCATTGCCGGGGGTTCCGGGAGGGGTCAGGTTCTTCCAGAAGAGGGAGTGGTTGATGTGACCACCGCCGTTGAACTTGATCTTCTGCTGCAGGGAGATCAGGGCGGGCACATCATTAGCCTGTGTGGCCGAGACCTGGGCGGACAGGGCGCCATTCAGGTTGTTGATGTATGTTTGGTGATGCTTCTGGTGGTGAAGTTCCATGATCTGCTTCGAAATGACGGGTTCGAGAGCCTGGGGATGTGAGTTCAGTGCCAGAGAGTATTGGAATTCAGGGCTTACATCATAGGCGTAGGGGAGAGGAGGGAGAGTATGTTGAGCCATGGTGATGTTTGTGATAGAACTGAAGAGCTGAGAGCGGAGAGTTGAGGGTTGCAAGTTGAGAGCAGAGAGTAGAAGGCTGTACGAGCGTGGCTTCCAAGGTCCCCCAGAGTACCCCTCTTAAGTCAATCACCCCGCTGCCACCAAGGTAGCTGTCATCAAAATCATGTTTACACTCCATGGCGAGTGGGTTTGCGTGGATCCCGCCGATTGCGAAGGATTGAGCACATTTCGGGTCCACAGTTGGTTGTCGACACCGTGTGATTCGGCCACGTTTGGGTATGAATAGCCGGCATTTGTGCTTGCATCGAGTATTTGTGTGTATCTCCAGCCATATAGCACGCAGTTTGGACAACGATTCATCATTCGTGGTCGCCATGTGTATAGATAGCCGAGATGGGCCACCATGCAGACTTATTAGGGCATCCTCACCGAACCACTCTTCACCCTTGCAACCCCATGTCCATTGAACACGACCACCGCCAAATCACCGGGACCCCGGGAATCAGTTAGCTTCTTAACATTTCAGTCTTCAAAAGAAGCCATGGATACATTTCCGGCTTCAGCGCTCAGCGACGATCTTACTAATCCCGACGACACCCTTTTGCGGGGTTTCGGCTGCAGAATGAGCCTCGGTCAAATCGAGCTACTAAAACAGCGGCTCGGATGTGATTTCTTCCCTGACCTGCAGCTCAACCATCAACAGCAATCATGTCGGCCGCAGAACAAGTGAAGCTTTCTAATTTCCCGAGCATCTTCTCCCTCGAGGGAAAGGTCGCTGTGGTGACCGGTGGCTCGCGTGGACTGGGACTACACGCTGCCTCGGGGTTCGTACCGCATTCCAACCGGGAATTGTACTACGCATTACATCTAACCACATGAAATAGTCTCCTGCAAGCCGGTTGCTCCAAGGTGTACATCACCTCCCGCAAGAAGGATGCCTGTGACGAAGCCGTCGCCGCGCTGAACGCGCTGCCAAACAAGCGGCCCGGCGCGCAAGCTATCTCCGTGCCCGCCGACAGCTCTCGCATGGACGAGCTGGACCGGCTGGTAGCCGAGGTGAGAAAGACGACCGACCACGTCGATATGTTGTTTGCCAATGCCGGTGCGACATGGGGTGAGAAGTTCGATACGCACCCGGAGAAGATGTTCTCCAAGGTCATGGATCTGAACGTCAAGAGTGTCTTTTACACAATCCAGAAGTAAGTATCGCGCTCATGGAATCTACGAGATTATTCTAATGTGGTAGATTCACGCCCCTGTTGACTGTCAAGGCAACACGCGACGAGCCCTCTCGGGTGATCATTACCGCGTCGGTAGCGGGTATTGGAATCGGCACTGTAGGCGACAACGCCACGCCGAGTTACTCTGCTTCCAAGGCCGCTGCAATTCACATTGCGAAGAACCTGGCTGTTGAGCTTGGCCCGCGCAATGTCTTGACCAATGCTATTGCACCGGGTTTCTATCCGTCCAAGATGGCTAGTGGCTTGATTGAGTTGAAGGGTGGGTTGAAGGAAATCGAGGAGTATTCGCCTAATGGTCGTCTGGGCAAGCCGGAGGATATTGCGGGTTTGGTTGTGTTTTTGGGATCTCGGGCTGCGAGTCACCTCAATGGGGCGGTGATTACCACTGATGGTGGTTCGCACCTGAAGGGGAGACTGTAAGAATATTTCTTGATATGCTTGAAAGATGATTAGGATTCATTTTAGGATTACGGTATGAATTTCTTTCTCTCTACGCGTTGTTTTCATGAGCTTCTGTAGATACTTCGTAGATATCATCTGGTTATAGCTATATGCAAGGTCGCCGAGGTGTTCATAGCTTAGCGCTAGGCGAGCCACTACCTTTCTGTACCGCCTGATCAATCATGTCCATGGCTTGCCAAAGCTCAAAGTCATGCTGCTTCGGCGTGATGACTTGGACACTAAGCGGTGACTCCAGGTACACGCGACGGTCAACTGTTTTCTCATCCCCTGATCATCTCATGTTAGGAAGATCCACAAAGCATCTTAGAAAATAAGCACTTACATAGTTTGCGATTGGCCTTATCCCAGCTTCCCAGTACAGGTGCGTCCATTGTCTTGCCCAACTCCAGATCGGACTCCACAAGCTTCCGCACGGGCATTGTTGCAGCTGGATAATCCAACAACACAAATGTTGAGGTATATCCGACGGCATTGTATCGGTCAAGCTCGGGGACTGGGTGTGGTGCGACAGGGCACACAATAGCGTCAACCTGCCGAATATGAGAACCATTCAAAGTCCACATTTTCAACATCTCTTTCTCAATCTGCGCGCGCTGAGCCTGCAGCTGTGCCAATTGATCAAGAGTGAGTGCCTTGCCGCGCTTCATCCGACCCTGCAGCCACGGCATTAAAGTCTCGCCCTGGCTCTCAATGAGATCGAGCATGCTGGAGCCGTCATCCACGCCCATGAGACGCCCCGCTACACCCTGGCACTTCGGCAAAGCCGACGGGACAGGAATATCGACGACATTGACGCCCGTGCGGGCCAAATGCTGGGCCACTTCGTTGAGGATGCGGGTGATTGGAGGCAAAGGAGTGACGAGGCCATCGGTCTTGAGAATGCCTATGGTGAATTTCCGCTGAGGATACAGGGAAAGCGCGACAGAAGGCGCAGGCCAGTAACCCGGAATACAGTCTTCACCAAATAGTTCAGAGCGCCTTATGATTTCTCCCATAACGGCTGAGATGTCCCCGGTCGAACGGGCCAGCGGACCAGCAACAGCCTGCAGGGCTATCCGGCCCTTACCGGCGAGCTGTCCACTCTCCTGGCCACCATAGGGTACGCGACCGTTACTCGGCTTAAAACCGTAGATGCCCTGGCACATGGCGGGTACCCGGATGCTGCCGCCGATATCCGTGCCAAAGCCGACCATTGACCCGTGCATGGCAACCAAGGCACCCTCACCGCCGGTGCTACCACCGGCTGTCCATTGGCGGTTCAGCGGGTTGAGTGTCCGACCGAAGAGGTGGTTGCAGCTGTCGAGCGTTGCGAGGGTCTGAGGGACGTTCGTCTTGGCGATGATAATAGCACCGAGGGACTGGAGCAGATTCACGAGATCGGCGTTTACTCGTGCGGGCTTGAATGCTAGTGCAGAAAGGCCAATGCTGGAGTCCACTCCCTCTATGTGGAATGAGTCCTTCACTGAAACAGGAAGGCCATGTAGGGGACCGAAGGGACGGCCGGTTCGGCGGAGGTGGTCGTCCAATTCCTGTGCTCGGCGAAGGGCGCGATCGAAGAGTGGCTCTGTGAGGCATCGAGTGAGCTGGTTGGCAATAGCTGCTCTCTGGTGTTGTCGAATTAGCTCGCCGATCTGAGGGAAACCGACTGTTGAGACTCACCTTGCAGAACGCTCGCACCACCTCTTCCGCCTTCAACCTCCCCTCGGTCATCTCGTCCACCAATGCGCGCACATGGTATTTCTCGGTGATTTCGAGTTCTTTGGGGCTAAGGATTCCACAGGTGCGTGGAATTTCTATCACGTTGACTCGGGTATACAGCTTGGGACCTTCGGTGATCGACTCGGCGGGGGAGAGCATCCCCGCGGGAACGAGGTGTGGCGGCAGTCGCCATTCTGCAGGAACAGCAGCAGCCAACTCGGCTTGCTTTCGCTGGGCAATTGCCACGTAGGGAGGTTCTTGCGTTGCCATGATGATGGATGCAAGAAGAAGAATAGAAGAGGCCCGCAATTTTAAAATACCGATGCGGGGAATGCGGAGTAGCTTCGATCCTACCTCGGTTCAGGGGGAACTGCCGACGCTTTGATGATTTATTGGGTTGAACTATCTCCATAAAACTAGAACCGCGAGACATCTCTTCCAAAGATACGGTTCAATGTCCACCGGAATGCCACCCGCAGCTTGTTGCGCCAGCTGATGCTCATCGTGATGTATGCCATATTCCAAACCATCGAGGCCATGCGCCCCGTAAGTCCCTCGGGTAAGTATTTCTGGCGTGCGCCGTGAGTATCGTGAGGTATTTGCATCAATGCCTTTTCGCTTCCAATATACGCCATGGTGCCCAAGTTCTTGAAAGAAAAGGGCGGTACCTGCGCCAGATCCTGCTTGTTCAGATGCGCAGCCAACCACTTAGCCTCTTGGAAGGTCGCCTGTGCTGTCGCAGGAGGAGCACCATTCTCTGGCATAGCATTGTCACCTAAGGCGAAGACATCTTTCAGCACTGCTGTCTGTCCGGCCTCGTTCTGCAGCTGTACACGTAGATGGCCATCAACTAGCAGGGGCCCCTTCTTAGACACCTTTTTGTATCCCCATGACTGATTGGCGATAGTCGATGGGTCTAAACCATCGTTTAGGGCATGAACAGAGTCCGTCGGGAATGCGTCGATTTTGTTGAGAGTCTGGTTGACCAGGTTGGTCATGGCATTTCCCGTCACCCAAACACACATGCCAACTCCAACCTCGCCCTCCTCTTCAGTCGCCAATGTCAGGCACCGCTTAGGATCCATTTCATAGGGAGGCGAAGCACCTGGTGGGCCCCATCGCAGACCCTTCACATGGTGAGATGTTTTGATTTCGATTCCCTCGTCCTTCATCGTCTCCATCGCATAGCGCGAGAGGGACTCGTCGAACATCGAAAGAACCTTGGGCGCAACGTCATACAGGCTGATTTTGGGAATCCCGTCGAGAGCCGGGTACAATTTCATCATGTCCTTGTAGATGAAGTCTCGCAGCGACGCGGCCAATTCAGTACCGGTGGGCCCGGCACCAACGATAGCGAAATGAAGTAGCCATTTCTTCATCTCCGAGGTGGTGGTCGGCAGGACAGCCAGCTCAAAGCATTCGCGCATGCGCCGCTTGACTCGTTTTGCATCTCCGATATCCTTGAAGAACATTGCATTCTCACGAACTCCCGGGGTTCCAAAGGTCCGACTGACAGCTCCGACGGCAATCACGAGTTTATCATATGGAACCTCGAATGTCTCTCCTTGTTCCCATTTGCGAAGCTCTTTCATCGGGTGTTTGGAGGTGGTCTCGGCACCTTCATCGATGGCACCTTCACCGGCTTCTCTTTCCTCATCCTGGGTACGGGGAGTCTCGGTGACACCGCTTTTGACGACAGTCGCCTCGCATAGAATGGTCTTTTTCTTGAGGTCAATGGCGCGGGCAGCAGCTTGGATGAAATCAACCTTGGCGTGTGGATCTCGCACAGGCTCAACGATATTGGAGAAATCAAGGGATCCGCTAGCGGCGTCGGTGAGGAGAGGAGTGAATACAAAATAGGATCGCGGAGATATGACGAGGGAGGAGTAGGATTTGGGCGACAGCCGGCGCGAGATGGTATATCCACCCCAGCCAGATCCCAGGATGACGACACGTTCCTTTTGGTTATCTGACTTAGATACGGTGGTGGAGGGTTCATTGTGTGTTGCAAAAGACCTCAGCACATTTGGAGACTTGTGAGTCAAGAGGTGCTTGCATGCCGAACGATCCGGACATGCGAACGAGCGTATTGAGAAAGCCCGTGGTCGTACAGCAACCAACAGCCTAGACGGCATCTTGATGATCGGGTAGGTCATTTAAAAGTCAAGACAGCATTGGAAAGCAGTTCATTGCATTGGGGGGTATCGGAGCTATAAACCACGGGAGTTTCACTACACTTTTCCTTCCGCTGACATATTCATGACTTCATCCTCGGCATCATAGTCAAATCGATCAATGGAAAGGATCGAATCCCGAGCGATTACCTGGGACCCTGAGACCTATGGATATCCACCCGTGTTCGGATGCTTGAGCTCCGGCAGATATCCTATCAACTCCCGTTGGGAGTCTTGTCTTCAAGGGGAAACTCGGAACCCTTCGGGACCATCGGTGAAGGTGGATGGCACGTGCCACTGGGGTCGATCGGGAGATTTAGGCATGGTGTGTTCAGCTTGTTCACATGCCTTGATGAATTTTCCGAATATTTTGAGAAACATTGGAAAATAGCGATGCAAGTCGTGGGGGAGGAGGGAGGAAGAAGGACAGAAGTATCGCCTCGTGTATAGTCACGTGATTATACACGGTAAGCTTCATGCTCCACAATCATGCCACTGCTATCAATTAAAGTGTGAAGACACTAAATGAGATCTACTATGCCGAAATTGACTTAACGTCTTAGCAGCCCTCAGAAACAAGGGATGTACAACTTACTTCCCTTTTTACACGTCACTTTAATAGCGGTTTTTCACCTGTGCGTTATTTCCGAGCTCTCGGGGCATGTGCTTCTTCCCTTCATATGATAAACTCTGTTGGTTTCCGGTGTTTGCCAAAAACCCCTTGATCTGATTGCAAACTTATGAGAGTACGCGCACCCCCTAGCTACGTTCGCCACGCATGTGGCGCATTATGGCGCAAGCAGATGAGTCAGAGTCTCGGATTTAGGCGCGGATTACCCAATTCAACCTAAGTCATCTATACTCCCGTGCAGCTTATTTGCCTCCCCGAGCTATGAAGCTTCCAGCGCCTTCGGGAATGGTCTCTTGTAGGGTCATTACTCACATTCGGTGCTTCGGCCTGGCTTCTGATTGCATGACTTACAGGTCGAGTCACTGCTCGGGGTTTCGGGTCATAGCTCGGACTCTCGGGCTTTTCAAGGCAGCATCGTTATACGTAGACCCGGCCCTACCAGGAGCTGATGTGGCTGGTCCAGGGTGACGAACACTGTGACTGCCTGGGTCCGTGAAGGAAAGTATAAAAGCAGTCGACGTTTTCCGTCGAGTTGTGATCAGAACCTTTCGGTTTATCATCCTAATTTTCCTCTTTGCTTCTTCATCAACGTTTACTTGTAGATAAGATCCCATCTTATCTTTATATTTGTTTACATCAATATGGCTTCCATATACCACCTTAACCACCCACCGAATCCCTGGGAACAGTTCATGACTGGCCTCGAGGACCATCCTTTCTTTGCCCCTCGTGGTCACCACCCCCATCCCCATGCCCACGGTCGTGGTCGTGGCGGTCGTGGACATCACCACGGACCTCCTCCATTCTGGGGATGGGGTCACCACGGAGGCCCTCAACACTGGGGATGGCAAAACCAACCTCAGAACGACAACGCTGATGCTCCCGAAGCACCTCGGTCCGCAAATCAAACCTCGGAGTCCACCCCAGGCCCTTCGACACAGGCTGAGAACCGCTCCGGCGAGAAAGAGACAGGTTCATCGTCGGAGTCTGAATCCGACAACGACAAGCGTTGTCATGGTCGTTGCGGCAAAGGAAAGCACCGCAAGGGCCGCGCTGGTCCTCCCCACGGACTAGGAAGAGGAGGGTGTGGCGGCAAAGGTCGCCACAGACCTCACGGTGCTGGACCCTTCGGCAGATGTTCTCGTGAACGAGGCCCTCATCACCGTGGCCGTCACGGTCGAGGTTGGCACCAGGGCCCCCCCGGCGCCAACTTTGACTTCCTGCGCAATTTAGCCGCCCAGTTCGGCATCCCCTTCGACACCCCCAAGAACGATGTTGACTTTGTGCCATCTGTCGATGTCTTCGACACCCCTGCTAAATACATTCTGCACGTCTCACTCCCTGGCGCAAAGAAGGACGATCTCAGCATCGACTATGATGCCGACGAGTCCGTCCTCCGCCTCGCAGGAGTAGTCTACCGCCCCGGTATCAACGAAGACTTGCACCAGGCTCTGGCGATGGAAGAGCGGGCCCGCGAGGTCGGCGTCTTCGAGCGCGAGATCCGTCTTGGGACTCGCGAGGCTCCGGCTGTTGTTTCTGTTGATGAGATCACCGCCAAGTTGGAAGAGGGAGTTCTGATCGTGACTGTGCCGAAGATTGAGGCAGAGCCCGAGCCTAAGAAGAAGGTTATCGTCGAAGATGGCGATACCGAGAAGGAGAAAGATGCTATGCATGTTGATGAGACTAGCGTCACTATGACTCCCGAGGGCAGTGACTCGGAGGGGGAGAACAGGGAGTATGTCCGGGTCCCTGTGCAGTAAGCAGGGATTCTATTTGTGATTTGGAGTTTGGCGTTTTGAATCTAGTTTGTATTTGATATCTTGCGTTTAATAATAAGAGTCCACTCTGTGAGTGGTACAAAACACCATATTCTCCTTTCTTTAGATCTGTAGAAAAGGTACCTTTAGAGCACTCTTTGAACGACTCCCGAGTATTCCCTGGGCACCGTAATGATTCATTTAATCGATTCTCAATCGAACTAAAATTCCTTAACCACATCCGACCAAAAATAAAGGTTTCTGAGATCTTCTTGATGATTAACTGATGGCGGGGTCGACGTGCGGGGCCGGAATGCTGTCGATTCCCGATCATCCGGGAGTGGGGAGGGCCTGATACCGGTCATGGGCCCGGATAAATCAGGGAAATCTCCAGAGTTAACTCCGAATCCCTGGAGCCTGGAATAACACACGAGGTATTCAACAACTTTGTCGCCTCAAAGTCGTCAAATCATCAAAATCCTCTACTTTTCTTGTTACGGCTACATAAATAGACCATAATGACAGGGCAGCCTGTGAAGCGCAGCTATGCAGGAGCAGCCTTAGATTATCTTGGAGCACGCTACGTCGGTGTAGGCCCTGAAGAATGCAGCTACACAATACAAGCCATCCAGATCCCCATGCGGGACGGGGTCGAATTGGCGGCCGACTTTTACAAACCAGAATTACCCGACAAACAAGCACCCGTCGGACTAATCATGATCCAGTGCTGCTACGGTCGAGGGGCAGGCATTTCCTTCCCCAACGCCCGCGTCTTCGCTGCTCGAGGCTACCAGGCCCTCTTCGTTAGCACACGCGGCACCTATGGCTCCGGTGGCACCTTCGACCCCGGCAGCAATGAACAGTCCGATAGCCAGGATATCGTGGTCTGGATGCGTCAACAGCCCTGGTATCCTGGCTCCTTTGCTACCCTGGGCCCCTCGTATCTCGGCTACAGTCAATGGGCGCTTTTGCACGACCCGCCTTCCGACTGCGTCGCTGCTGTCATCCCTGTTGGACCTCATGATAATGCCTGGCACGCATGGGGGACAGGCTCTTTTCGGCTTGATCGCGCATCCTGGAGCGATATGATGTCGAAGCGGGATGCGGAGCGGGGGAGCTTTCTCTCGCGTCTGTCTAGTATACCCGGGTTGAGCTTCTTGCAGTCCTCGGAGCTCGAGGAGGCTGTGGCTGGTCTGCCGCTGGAAGCTAGTCTGCAGAAATACTTCGGCGACAAGGCCCCATGGCTCTTTGAGTATTTGAAACACCCCAATGTTGATGATGCCTACTGGACATCACGACGACACCATACTGCTCTAGAGCGCGTCAAGATTCCCATTTTGTTGGTTAGTGGTTGGTACGACACATTCACGACGCAAACGATGCACCAGTTCAAATATCTGCGCGCTCGAGGTGTGAATGTCAGCCTCATCGTCGGTCCTTGGACACATGTCCAAGGTTCTGGTCTTTATTCCATGCCGGAAATAATGGACTTCCTCGCTGAACATCTGGCCAAATCCGGAAAATACAATCGCTCTCCAGCTCGTGTCTTTATCAGCGGCTCCCAGGAATGGCGCTCAATGCCTACCTGGCCTCCAGCTACTCGGCCGACGACTCTATATCTACAAGGCAATCGCGGCATTAGTTCGGAACGGCCTGCGCAGGACGCAAGCCCGGAGGAAACCTTCGTCTTCGACCCCCTTAACCCTACCCCCATCATCGGCGGCAACCAAATGTCTTCCGGCGGAAGAGTAGACGACAGTGCGTATGCAGACAGATCAGACGTTCTAGCCTTCACGAGCGAACCCGTCTCAGAAGATATCGAGGTTCTAGGCATTCCGACCGTTCACCTGATTCACGCAAGCAACCCGCCCTTCGCAGACCTGTTCCTGCGGCTCAGTGAGGTCGACGCGCAAGGCGTCTCCCATAACATCACTGATATGTACCGGGCGCTCGATCCATCGCGCGACACATCCCAGCCACTGAAGCTGGATCTGCAAGACTGTGCTCATCGGTTTAGGGTGGGTACGCGTGTGAGGCTTATTGTCGCGGGTGGTTGTTTCCCGATGTATGCGAGGAGTCTTGGGACTGCTGAAGATCGTCTGCGGAGCGATAAGACGGTGCCTCAAAAGCATACCGTTACTGTTGCTGGTGGAGTGTCGCAGCTGATTTTGCCCGTTGGTGCTGCTGTTTGATTGTAGTATGTCGCAGCAGGCTCTTCATGAACATTGCCATTGAAGAACTTGAGGGGGAGTATCAGCGGCTTCTCTATTATAATAATATTCTGCTCTTATACATAATGCATGAACGTGACCAAAATGACACCACTTAGCTTTCTGAGTAGAATTCAACACCTTGTTCAGCTGGTGGCGTATGAGCCAGATCCCCTTCCTGCACTATAGCCAAGCTCATATCGCTATAGGCTTGGCAGATCGAACCATCTTAGTGCAATTTCAAGGCTCTATTCCAAGATAAGCACAACTTTTTTTTACATAGCTCTAGTCTATTTAAACAACACAAGATTATCCCTCAGCCCAAAAAAATTCATCAATGGCTTCCAGTGCTGCTTGCACATTCTCCGGCGGAGCTGTGATGTGCATCCGAACGAACCCACGGAAATCCTGAGCAGCCCCCAAACCAAAGCAAAGGCTACCAGGAGCTAGCAGGATGCCCTTCTGCTCTTTCAGCTTCAGACAGAAGTCAACGTCATCAACAGGGGCTCCATTGGAGGAAAATCGCACAAAGGCCGTCGCTCCCGAACTCGGTTTGATCCACGAAATACCCTCATGCTTGTTAACAAACTTTTCCAGAAGAGCAAGATTATTCTGCGCGATGTCCAGGTGCTTTGCCAGAATCTGAGGTCGGCATCGACCACTCAAAGCCTCCGCAGCAATGACCCCGTCGATTGTACCCACAGCCATGGTGATGTAAAGCCCCAGCTCAAAGCAATGAGATAGGATCTTGGCGTTTTTCGTGGCAATCCAGCCCACACGGGTACCAGACAACCCCCAAGCTTTGCTCAGAGAGCTGGTCACAATGATATTGTCGTTCTCTTCGGAAAGCTCTATGAAGGATGGTGGATTCGTCGAGTCATGGAACAATGGGCGGAAGATCTCATCAACAAGTAGGATCAGGCCGTATTTACGAGCCAGAGCCACGATTTCGTGTTGCATTTCGAGGCTCAAAATGGTTCCCAGTGGGTTGTTGGGGTTGTTAAGGACTATCATCTTCGTAGTCGGCTTGATCATGTCTTTCAATTGTTGAAGATCTCCCTGGGCCTGATTGCTTAGATCGAGGGACCAATATGAGATTTCCTCGCCAACTGTAGCTTTCGGAACAAACAGAAGCGGCGTATAGGAAGGATACATGGCAATGACATGATCTCCAGGTTTGAGCAAGCTTTGGAAAACAAGCGAGTTGGCACCTGTTGTTCCATTGGTAGCTAGGATGTGGTCTGCAGTGACCTTCTCATTGTAGAGCCCGGCGATCTTCTGGCGAAGATCTTCACTGCCCATTGATGGATCCAGGGACAGTTTCAAAGTCTCTACCGACAGATTGCTGGAAGTTATCTGCTTGTCTGAGGAAAGCTCAATCAAGTCCTGGATCGACAAAGCTGGCGTCGCGCTGCCGGCCAACACCAGAGAGGCATGTTTTCCGTGTTGGCCAATCCACTGGCTTCAGTGTAAGCAAGGAAGAAAATTAGGATCAGAGCTGTCGCGTACCTTGGGAAGCTCGAAAGAGGCAATATCGTGCATCATGTTGTGAATATATCATACCAGAAGAGAGAAGAAGAATTGAATGGGCGTAACTGACGATTTCATAGTCATCTCCGATGCGTCAGAAGTAAATGCGGGGCCGTTCAAAGGGCGTCGGTGTTATGACTCTTGTGGATCTCTCCCGGATATCGGACCAATGTTGCACGGTTAACGGCCATTATCAGAGCCGGTGACAGCTTAGCTATTGTACATCCTTTCTAACACCATGATAAGCCTGACCAAATATTAGATTGACGATCTAAAAACCCACCGCCTCGGCCACTCCAACCACTCCTTAAACCCAGGATGGATATTGAGCCCAATATCCTCCAACAATTGACGTGCCATACCATTCATATACCAGAAATGGTCTACTGTCTGGAGAAGCACGCAGTAGTGGGCCAGCAAGACCATGGCAGCGGGATGATGCGCTACCAAGTGGTCGTGGAAGCGACTTGAAAGTGTATAGGCCCATAGGAAGACCATGCCAGTTTCTACGTGTGGGCCTGCCAGTTCGAGCTGACGGGTAGAGACTTCGAAGTATCTCATGGCGTCATTATAGTCTTTTCGTATATCCGCATGTTCTTGCGGTGACTCGTGGTCGTTGGACTCTTGATTATGGGGCTGGGTTTGGGTCCGCGGGAAAGGGTATTCGTCGATGAATTGACGAAGTCGAGATATTTGTGTCCAGATGTCCGGAGGGAGTAGTGTCTGGGCAACCATAGCCGGACTATCGCAGATAGAAGTGGCCCGTTAGTATCTCCGGGTTTTGAATTAGACGGACTACTCACCTCGGAATGTACATTTCACACTCAATCCAAATGGAGTAAACCAAAGGTGCAAGCTGAGTCCTTCGCAGAGAGTGTAGAAACGGCTTCATTATTGCTTGGAACCCCTTGGCACTGGCGAATATTTCGATCATGTTGGATAATGGCTCAGGCCAACGATCCGTACCGAGTCGAATCGGTGCCGTGGAAAGGTGCACACTAATCATCGAGGCGAAGCAAAAGACGGGTTGCCAGTTATTGGAGTCGATAGGAGATGATATAATCTCTCTGAATTCTTTCAATCCAGCTGCAAGATGGTATGCCGAGGCCTTGGTATACTTCTCCTTCTGGGCTGGATAGAGGTATGTGCGGTGAGTGGCGGCGATGGCCAGGATACCGTGCATGACATACTTGTTAGCGTATCCCTCCGTAGGTATGATCACCCGCCAAACATGTCGTGCATCTTCACGAATGGCCAGGGTATTGCATGTCACGGTGCAGAAATGGTGCATCAATTCCGCTATCAAACCCCAATCTTCATTAAGCACCGGAGCGTCTTGGGGCGATCTGGGTAGGATCTCTAGCAAGTCGAATCGATTTGGAGATTCAATTGAAATATCGGAATTTGCAAAGTCCCAGGGCAATGCGGTATGCGGGTTCGCTGCATGGCTCACGAGATGTGGCTGTGAGTAGACCTGAATAGTCGCCCGTGACTGAGCTGCCGGGGATGCGCTGGATATCGGAGTATCATAATTATCAATCGGTACCACGTAGCTACACGGAACACCATGCTTGACACAGTTGGTACATGGGTATCGCTCATCACACTAGATATCACATTAGAGATGACGTCGGATCCGGGCGGATTAGGAGATAAAAACCTTGAGTCGCCGCCCCTTGCACTCGGGACAGCCGTTACGCGACTTTCGATGAGACCTACGCGGGCCCATTAGAGAGGCTTATAGCGAAACCTAGAGTGTAGTGAGGTAAGGATAATTAATGAAAGAACTCGAATTCGGATACGAGCGCGGATACGAACTCGGATACGGACTCGAATTCGACGCGAGGACCCACTGGGAACCCACTCCGTGTCTTGGGCCCCGTTGACTTCGCTTCGAATTCGGGGTTTTGTAGCTGTGTCCACCTATTTATCAAATGAAAACTTCATTTCTTCAATTATGGGGCTCTGCTATTTTAAACTCGGTCGTGTTAATAATAATACACCAATCAGATTGCCTGTGCCCTGTTTCAATCTTCTATGAAGGCCTTGGGTTTGTACTGTAAATTAAGTAGTAGCCTGGATCTAGTGGGACCGCGGAGTAACCGATATTGGCGGTGCTTGGTGTGGCTGAAGTAACTGTGAAGTGTATATAAGCCCTCGGATCCCCAAGATCCCAACATTGCAAGAACACCAACACCTGGGCGGCTCAACTGTCTAGAAGCCGAAGATGAACGCTGAAAACCTCTATGGCTACAAGCCATCCATTGCGGCCGGTGTCATCTTCATCATTCTTTTTGGGCTCACGACTATCTACCATGCATACCAACTGATCAAGGCCCGGTGCTGGTATTTCATTCCTTTTTTGGTGGGAGGAATCTGTACGTTGCCGGTGACCGTTGAAATCCAACAGCGAAATGCTAATCTGCAGCAGTCCAGGTTATCGGCTATGTCTGCCGCGTCATCGGTCACAGCAACACCGCCTCAGTTCCAATCTACGCGATGCAGTCTCTGTTCATCCTCCTCGCGCCGCCGTTATACGCCGCATCCGTGTACATGGTCCTCGGACGAACGGTCACCTATCTAAACGCGGAGGATCTGAGCTTGGTGCCCGTCAAATGGATGACCAAGATCTTTGTCTCGGGCGATGTGTTCTCTTTCTTGCTCCAGTCAGCCGGTGCGTCCGTGTTTCCATGTAGCTATGGAAGTCAAGTCCCTAACAAACTCCACAGGCGGCGGTCTCATGGCTAGCGGATCCATCAGCACGCGTAATATGGGCTCCAACGTTGTAATCGGCGGTCTGGTCGTACAACTTCTCTTCTTCGGATTCTTCGTGATCGTCGCGGCCGTCTTCCAGTTCCGCATCCAGCAACGCCCAACATCAAAATCTCAGAGCGAGCTCGAAATGACTCGCCATTTGGGTTGGCGACAGCGCAACTGGACGACTGTCTTGCTGGCCTTGTACATTGTCAGTGCGCTGATCTTGATTCGGTCTATTTTCCGTCTTGTCGAGTATAAGTACGGATTTAACGGGTATATCATGACGCATGAGTGCTTTGGGTACGTTTTTGATGCACTTTTGATGTTCGTTGCTATGGTGGTGATGAATGTTTATCACCCGGCTGTTATCTTGGGGAATGGGAAGGGTGGAAATTACCAGCACTCTGAGGAGATGCAGCTTTCACATGGGTGGCAGTAACGCTACTACGCATTTGATGTCCACGCCACGATCCCAATTATAAAAGGAATTTGAGAAGCCATCAAGGATCGAGTATGAAAGTCACATTCCTCTGGGATCTGCTCCTCAATCTTCACGGGTCTGATACACAACTTGGGCATTTCCAAGTCTTCCAAATCCGTTGACGTTTGGCCCCGAGACGCAGATCGACTGTGCAACATCCGATATGAGATCGCCTTGCTTTTGATTCTTTCTTTCAATGCGTTTATTTGGCGCTAGGTATAGACAGGGGTATCTAATTTCATGTACTCATGCAAAACAGATCAATAATATCACCCCAAAATCAAACATATCATACCTCATAAAATCATGAATAGGGCCTATATTCCACACTACGACGCAACTCATGGCTTTTCCGCGTATTTCCTTTCCCCAGACTATTGGTGTATGGATCCAATCTCCTCGACACTCCAGTGCCGCGTGTCGAGACAGGCAACAAGGTGGGCCCATAATCCAATTCACCGCTCTGACTTGTTCGCGCCAGGCTGATAATTTTCTCAAATTCCAGTGCTTGAAGTTGATCTCCTTGGTCTGGTATCGGTGCCGGCTCATCTTTCCGGGAGAGCCAACGGCGGCCCATTCGGAATAAGTCGCCGATGTCGTCCACGGAAAGGGCCACGATCACAAGTGGGATGGAGATGGCGAATCCGACACCGAAGGTGTATTTGGCGACGTATTGGAGGCTCAGGTTGTCGAATTCTTTCATGTTGATGGTGAAAATGGACGTGATGAAGGATAGTGGTAGGAACACGATCGTGACGATGGTGAAGACCATAATTGTTTTGCTCTGGCGGGTGGTTCCTGCTGCTTGGTCGCGTGCGAAGCGGGCTTCGAAGGCATTGGCATGTTTCTGTTTGAGGTCGAGCAGGTCTGTGATGGAGTGGTAGATGCGCTCGGCTTGCTTGTCCATGCGCTCGATATCCTTCATGTGCATGTCGATCATGCGTTGCTGGTCCTTGAACCTTTTCTTGACTTCTTGCTGGGAGCGGTGTTGTCCTTGGTACATCTCACAAATCACCTCTTGGAAATCTTGAAGAACGTGTTTCTGGTGTTCTAGTACCGTGCGAATCATGTTCAGCTCATCTCTGATATCCTTGGCCTCTGCAAGAAGATCTGTTTCTTCGCCGATGTCGAGGAGTCGGTCGACGAAGAGTGGCTGGCCATCGTCAAGGTAGAATGCGTCGTCATCGCCTGAGTTGTCTTCCTCTGCAGCTCCGTCGCGGCCATGGACCGGGCGAGCCGGGCCGCGAGAGAATTTGTTCAATTTGCGGTGGCTCTTGAGCCAGGCCGACGCTTGCACAGACGCGTGGTTGAAGCGGTTGAAGAGCAATGTCTCTCTATCCGTTGCTATACCAATGGAGGACTCGAACATGTCCAAAAACTGATACTCATCGTCTCCGAGGCGGTGTCGATCAAATACTCCCGAGCATCGATTAGTGATGATAATAGCAGGGTCATACACCGATCTGACGGGGTCGCGGGTCTTGGAATTGATGTCTTCGATGATCCCATCCAACACGTTCAAGGGATCATTCTTCGGTTGATCCCACCGCTGAGGGAAACTGGTGACGATGAGGTTTGTGCCGAGAACCCACATCCATAGCTGATCGACCATGAAGATTTTTGGATCCGTCCCAGGTCTATCACGACCGGGGCCTTTGGTCTGGTACCGGTAAACCACCTGGTCTTGATCGCGGCTTTGGGTATCGATGTTTGGGTAGAAAAACTGGTCCAGTGTTCGGCGGACATGGAGGGAGGTGGTCGATGAAGACAGATGAGCATCGAGCAGCATTTCATCCCGAGTGCGAGCTTTTTTGAGCTTCCGTGGCTGGAAACTCATCGTCTCGGCACGCTGAATGGCGTCTTGCATCCTCTGTCGCCGTTCTGCAGTCTCAAAATGCAAATACGGCATGAACACGCATACATTACACGTAGGCACAAGACTTTGAGGGTCTTTACAAAGACTCGATGGGCTCAATTGGTATGACCGAGCCAGCTTGTCACTCGAACCCCACGGAGACTTGCTCTTGGTCTCACACTTGGGGGTTCCCGGATTGCTGCCCCCTTTGCCACGCTTCTGGTTGTTTTTGCCCTTTTTCCCGCCTGTAACGCTCTCATCGTGGGAATGTGATTCGACATGGTCAAGCTTACTGCCCGATCCTTTTTGTTTGCGAGTGGCCGTGGTATCCGCCGTGCTCAATGAGGGGGCATATTGTGGCTGCTCCTCTGGTTTCTCCTCCTCTCTCCGCCGCATGAGGGTCCGGGGTGTGTTCTGACATAAAGGCCGCATGAAGTGCGAATGAATCTTCTGTCCTCGGTGTTGATAGTTGAATGATTTCTCGAGGCCCTTGAAACCATCCACATCATGAGCACCCTCTTCAATAAACGACTTGGTCATAAGTGCTTCCACCCAAGCCATGTTATTTGCTGGTAAATGAATCCAGCGAAAGTCCGTTCCACGGCTATCAGCAGGTACAGTGGTCACGGCCTGCTTCCGAGGATTCTCAGCATCTCGGCCGTATAGCAAATTATAGACGGACATTTTCTTCACGCGGTTCTCATTATGGAAGTTGCCAAAATCGACGACGGTCGCATCAAAGGCCGCACTGGCATCTTTCACGTCGTCGGAAAGGGAGTCGACGTTGTTGAATGGGGCGAGGAGCAGCACGATATCCTTACGCTTGAACTGTGCTGCACGTAAGAATGGAGTACTGCCAAAGTTGTCTCGAACCCGACGTTTCAGGTCCGGTCTCTCCAGAAGACACTCCACCACTTCTCGATGTCCACCTTGCGCCGCAAGATGCAGAGGTGTGACACCATTTAACAGCTGGCTGTTGATATGAGAGCCTGCGCGCAGAAGGATAGAAACAATCGCCTCGCATCCTCTCTCGCAAGCATTGTGGAGAGGCGTCCATCCACCATCGCTGCAAGCATTAACAGCAGCCTCATGCAGCAACAAAAGCTGCACGATGTCCGCACGGTCATGCGCAGTAGCAATATGTAGCGCCGTCTTCCCTCGTGACTCCGTCGCATCAATCTCAGCCTTAGGACCATCCGGCCTAGTCAAAAGCAACTGCGCCAGCCGCCAGTTACCCGTTGCACAAGCCCAATGCAACGGAGTCCTCCCCAGCTCATCTTGTCCATCAACACCATCAATCTGACAATCCGTGCGTAGTAACAACTCAGCAATTTCATCACCCCAGCCCCAACGACATTCCTTATCGGCCGCAAGATTATGCAGCGCATTACGCCTGCGATGATCCCTCGCATTCACATTCGCTCCGCGCATAATCAGCAACTGCAAGATATCCGCATGGTTCTTCCAGGCCGCCGTCATAAGCGCCGTACGACCATCCTTGTCCGTACTATCGGACGAGGCCCCATGATCCAGCAGCAGCCGAACAATTTGGTAGTGGTCGCGCTCGACGGCCCGCAGAAGCGGCGAGAGCCGATTGCTAGCCACGTCCGTCTTTGCGCCTTGTGTGAGTAGGAATTCGGTTGCTGAGACGCAGCCTCGTTCGGCGCTGCGCATCAGCCCCACGCGCAGGAAATTGTCGTTGAATTGACCGTACTCGCGCGCCAGTGCGATCACCTTGCGCAGCGACTCGGCGTCGTCGTTCTCGGCGGCTCGCAACAGCCTCGGCTCCAGCCGTTCGTGGCCATCACTGTTCATGCTGGAGGACCGAGGCATTTTGAGGGGTGATTTTGATATCAGGGTCGGCCGGGTTATTCCATGGTGGTAGTGGTGGCGTTTTCGGGGAGCATCTGGCTTCCCACGTGTAATGGGGCGAGGTGGGCAGTGGGAAAGTCAGAATTTCTTCAGTTCCGGGCCAGATGGATGCATCGCTTCATTAGGTAAGGGCCGATCTGCGCTAAGACTGATCAGGTGCCCTTAAGCTGGCGGTCAAAATGGTCCCTGTTGGATCTGCGGCTAGCGTGGCTGCGCAGCGTCGTATTCCGTGAATGGTGAAACGGTGCACGGATGTTCGCGAAGTCGCCTGCTGAGTCGCGATCAGCCTTGGTATAGTACAGACGAATGTACCAAAAGTGTAAAGGGAAAGATGCTTATGCCGAATTGACGCGCAGGGTTCCACGGTTCATTTCACTCGATGAGGAAAAAGGACAACTACGAATTACGGCAGTCACATAGAGCTACTAAAAAGACAACTGGAATAAGGAAACACTCCAAACCAAACACATCGTACACTCCATTATGCAGATATTAGAATCTATTTTCTTTCGGGCTGTCTCCGGCGGATCAAATAAAACTATTACGAAAAGCAGGGGGGAATCCAGCACAAGAAAAGAAAGAAGAAAAAAAATTTGAGACGCAATCCTCGCCCGGAGATGCTGATGCTTGATATGATGATAATTATGATGCTGGCGCTCGGCTCTCCCCCTGTAAATTAAGGTTGCTTTTTGGTTCTCACGTTCCTGAGCATCGCGCCGTTCCACCCCGGTGATTCATGTCACAATATGCGCCTATCAACAAACAAGAAAAGGGAAGAGGAAATTAACGAAAAAGGCGTATGCAGGGGCATGGAGAACGCCAATAGAACACCAGGTAGGAAATTGGATTCTTTAGTGCTTCTTCTTGTCCTTCTTGGGGACTTCCTTCAGGATGTCGTCGAAACTCATGTTCGGGTTAAAGCGGCTGATGGGGCGCGCAGGGGGTTCGATCGGAGCAATACCGGCAGGCAGTGGAAGAGCCTCCAGACCTGGGTAGATCGAGTGACGATGCTCCGCCCGATTGACAGCGCCAGGAGAGCGTGTGCGAGGGATGGCAGGAGGAGGTGGGGTGAGACCACCAGGAGGGGGTCCCATCATCGACAGCGGCGGTTGTGGGTCTGAGGAGGAGTCGGCAGAGGACTGTTGAGCCTGGTAGGGCGAGGAGATGGAGGATTCGTTCTCCTCGAAGCCGTCGTCTACAAGCGGAGGTTCAATCAATTGGCCAGCTTCGGCCCACTGCTGGGCCACCTGCCAGCAGTGACTGCGGCGGTAGACACCTTCCACACCGTTGATAACCACGTCCGAGGGCAGACTGACAACACCTGCACCACCTGCAACCCCAAACCAGCTGCGAGCGGTCTTGGTGTCGTTGTGAATCCAAGGGGCTCCACCGCGAGGAGCAATACAGAGGAAGTACTCCACGCCGTCCGTGAAACGAACTTCGGGAACGTTCACGACGAGCATGGGCAACGACTGGATGACCGAGTACAGGAAGATCCATTGGCCGCAGCGCAGGTCGATCAAGTCGGAAACGCTCTTGCCGCTGGCGCAGCGCCGTTCAAACTGCATGAAGCTCTCGATGAAGGGGGTGGGACGCATGCTCTCACGGGTGTAAGATCCCATCAGAACAGCATTGACATCCGCACTCTTGAGCTTCTTGCCATTCTGCTTCGCCTCCTTCTTCGCATCTAGCGGCTTACGGTGCAGCGGCTGGACCGACGGCAACTGTGGGATATCGAAGGGGATTGGGGGAAGAACGGGCGGCGTACTGCGGTCGTACTCGCTAAGTATCTGGCGGAGAGCGCGAACGGTCACGTCCTTGGGGTTGGTAGAGGTGTTGTCACCGCCAGCACCGGAAGAGTCTATCGTGCGGGTAGTGAGTGATGCCCGGTCAACCAGAAGGTCATAGAGGTCGGTAAAGTCGCGGTAGAGATCCAGGAGAAGGAGGCGATTGAGACCACTCTCCTCGAATGCGTTCTTCTTGGACCGAGCCTTCGGTGGCCACGCGCCATACTTCTGTCGGTAGAAGCCCATCGTGAAGCGGCGGAATTCCATAAAGCCGACCTTCCAGTTCTTGAAACGCACGACCTTGCTCTCGACCGAGGTGGTGGAGTTGGCAATACCCGAGAAGACCGACGGGAAGTCGAAATCCTCAAGTTTGCCATATAGACCGCGAAGGCGAGTGTCGAGATCGATGAAACCACGCTCAAGTCGCTTCTGGGTGATGGGGTGAATGAAGTTGAACTTGGGACTTCGCAGCTGCTTGATCTCGTCCAGCTTTCCAACACCGTGGACGAATCCTTCGAGATAGAGGGGGTAGTATCGCAGGCGTTCGCCAAGAACAATGGCCTCGATTGTTTTTTCGCGACTCCTACGCACATCGGCCAGGCGCAGTTCGTCACAGTAGTTGCTAAAGCTGGATGTAGCGGTTTCGCCAAAGTTGGACCCGTCCAGGTTGGAGAATTCGAACCGGGCGAGCAGTACAGCAACATCCATGAATATGCTGAAAAGGGAAGATGACTTGGGCGTAGCGATGAGGGACTGTCCCAAGAGGAAAGCAAACAAGTTGCGGAACAAGAGTAGGGTCTCGGTATCGTCCTGCGACAGGCGGCACTGGGGGTTCGACACATCACTGTTTAATGGGATAGGCAGGTACAGGTGCAACTCCTGTTCCTCATCCCCGCCGTCTTCAAAGGCCATTCTTTGGCTGCCCGAGCTGTCGTTGTCATCGTCTTCCAGCTGGTCTTGCGGGGTCAAAGGCGGAGACATGGGGCTTTGGAGGGAGAGAGTGCGCGTAGGCTGCTCCAGGCCATTGGTTTTGGCATCAGTGCCGCGGGCGAGGAATGTGAGGGAGGGAGATTCGGCAAAGACAGTCGAATCCACCTTGAACGAAGCCGAACGGCCAGTATTTTGAGGGAACAAATAGACATAGGTATCACCTTGCTCATTCCACAGTTCAGAGACCTGAAAGAAGAAATGTGTCAGAACTTTTGTGTATGCCAATCGTTCACAAGCCGGTACATACCTGATCTCCTCTCGCGAGTGGCCCCATATCGTACACCACTTTTTGATCGAGCCCGGCGATCCACGCGCCAGGCAGGGCGGGAGCCGGCGGCCGCTTGTCGACCGAGCTTGCCCGCGATCGACCCGCCATCCCAGGCATCCAGCTTCGGCGTTTTGAGGGCGTGCTCGGGCGGGAGTCTGGGGTGGAACCGGGGATTGTCAATCCGGCCGAACTGGAGGGCCGGCTGAAATCGCGACCCCTGCTGCGAGGGCGGCTGTCGACGGGCGAACTGGGAGCACTGCTGGCGAGATCGTGGTTCACGGCCAGGAGCGATGGCGGGGGCGGAAGGCTGTCCAGATCGAACTGGTCCATCTGGGCAGAGTTAGGCACCGTCCTAGGCTCCGAAAAGGCAGCATTGGGGGTCGAGACATGGCGAGTTGGGCGGGAGCTGCTGCGTTGCCGTCGGTCGTTGGAGATATCGTTGGGGAAACCTGCAGAGGCAGGCGACCCAGATCCGTTCTGATCCTTATGCCCACCCAGCGAGAACAGGGACGAGATGCGCTTCGCCGATTTAACGGGAGCAGACAACATCTTTCAGATGTTCAGTTGGTGGAGGGGGGGAGGGGGGGGGGGGGGGGGTTTTCTCGGGGTTTGTTGAGATGGTCGAAACAGAGAAGAGAACCGAAGGGTGTTTCGGCTGCCGGGGGAGAATGAGGTCAAACCCTGCGACGCATGGAAAGCGGAATGAAAGCAGGCCGGCAGAGAGCAGCAAAAGGGGAGTTCGGAGAATGGATCGACAGGAGGGATTTAAAGAATGGCAGGGAGAAGTGGTGGAATGGAGAGATTGGGGTGCGAAGACACAGACGGGATCAGGGGGTGTGCGTGTTTCAGGATAAAAGAAACAAGTAGAGTTGGCTATCCCAATTTTTTTGGGAGGTAGACGGTGAGCTCGGACAAGACGAAGTAAATTTACATGAGTCGGCCCTCACGGAGCACATTCGATCCGGTTCCTTTTGCATGCCAATAATAGCTCGCTGGCGGATGATGCGCGATTCCTTGGCTGCGTTGCGGTGGATCCATAAAAAAAAGGAAAAAAAAAAAAAACTTGGAAAAATGCGATTCGCCCGGGGATAAGTTGGGAGCTTACTCATGCATCATAAATGATATTTTTATCTGCATAAGCGTACTTGATTATTTATTGCAATAGGTTACCGGTCTACCGTGGTTGAAGAGATCCAAGGTTGGGGTTCCTTATACACTTCCACTTCCGTACCTGAACCCGTGGTATGCGCATAGTTATCCAATGTTTTGCATCAGGCACCTGCCTCACTGCCCCTAAGCATTCTAGTGCATCCAATTGGGACCATTTATATGCCACGCTTTGCCGCAGCGATCCGACCGGGGACTTTCCGGTCAGGGCAATGAAAAATGGGGCGATGCTTCGCGCTAGTCATCTCATCCTTTTCAGCCTTGAGTGGCGAGTGGAACAAAGTGTATCCCAAGGTCATCTCCACGATCACTGGTTCACGTAAATGCTATCCGACCGATGAGAACTATGCAGGGCTCATGACATGTTTGTTTATTCGTAGATACGAGGGTAGATACGAGGGTAGCATCTGCGGTCCGGGTTCATGAACCTCTTGTTCCCCTCACGAGTGTCGGATGGTTCCGCACTCACTTCCATAAAAGTCCCGATCTCGGGTCACATCGACTGGATCCCTGGACCGTCTGCGAAAACCTGACGTCGAGTCTGCTTTATTTTCTGTCTTCAATTTTGGAAGATGGCTGTGCCCACCGAACCCATCGATCTGCTCTGCGGTTGGCCCAACCCCGCGCTCCTCCCCGCCCCAGATCTCCTCCGCTCCGCCACTACCGTGCTGACCGACCCCTGCATTGCCCACGCCGGTCTGCTGTACGGCCCCGATGAGGGCTATGAGCCTCTTCGTGTCCACATAGCCAAGTGGCTGGAGGGCTGGTACCAACCACGCGAGTCCATCCACCCCCACCGTATTTGCATCAGCGGCGGGGCCAGCCAGAACCTCGCCTGTATCCTCGCCGTCTTTACCGACCCCCTATACACGCGCAATGTCTTTATGGTCGATCCAACATACCACCTGGCGGGCCGCATCATGGATGATGCAGGCTTTGCCGGGCGAGTACGCGGGGTACCGGAGGATGACGAGGGATTCGATCTGGATGTCTTAAAGAATGGGCTCCACGAGGCCGAGGAGAAGGCTCAAGCGGAAGGAAACACGGAACCGGTATCGCAGAGATCGCGTTTGCCATGTGTAGCGCATCGCAGGGCTATACATTGGAACTGCCGGCTAACATGACACTTCAGAAATTGAAACCTGTCCGACCGTGGCGCAAAATCTACAAATATATCATTTACGCCGTTCCGACATTTGCCAACCCTTCCACCAAGATTATGTCCCTGCATCATAGGGAACAATTGGTCCGGATAGCTCGCAAATATGATGCACTTCTGGTAACGGATGATGTCTACGACTGCCTGCAGTGGTCTGCGATCCGCGGGGAGAAAGCCCCTGAACACGCGTGCATGCCCCGACTGGTGGACGTCGACCGGTACTTGGACGGGGGTCTGGCGGATGAATGGGGCCACGCGATTAGCAACGGCAGCTTCAGCAAACTGATCGGACCCGGGGCCCGCACCGGGTGGGCGGAGTCAACGGAAAAGGTTGCCTTCGGATTGTCCCAAGTGTATGTCTTCCTTCCACCATCTACATATCTGGAAATGATGAAGCGTCAACGCACATGGACTTACGTAACGGATGTCGCAGAGGATCGTCTCGGTCTGGTGGAGCTCCTTCACAATTATGCTCCACCATTATTGATCAACTACTACCCTCGGGCTTCCTGAAAAAACACATCTCGCAGGTACTGCAACCCGCATATGCAGAGAGGTACCACGATCTCTCGGCTGCCATTCAGGAACATCTGGTTCCCCTTGGAGTGAAGGTCGCGACACCATCTACGAATGTTACCGGTGGGTATTTCATTTGGATTACCCTACCTCCCCCGCTGCGCGCTGTAGATATCGTGGAGCGGGCCCAGAAGGAACAAAATCTGCGTTTGGCGCGTGGCGATCTTTTCCAGGTGGCGGGTGAAGCGTCAGGTCCGGCGGATCGCTTTGGAGACAAACTTCGCCTCTGCTTTGCGTGGGAAGAGCCGCGTCACCTGACCGAGGGAGTGCGTAGGCTCGCACGCGTCCTGCAGGCCGTCGTATAGCCTGAGTCTGTCCCGAGCCATCTAGCGCCTTGGTCGGAGGTCAACCGTCCGTTCTGGGGAGGGACGCGTGGCTCACCCAGAGTCAGCAACAGTATATAGTAGTGTTGGTGGCGCTGTACAAATAGAGAGACATGTGAACATCTACATCTCAGATCGATATATATATCCACGCAGGATCGATGCCGCATTTGCAGCCCTCGCCAAAGTGGAATGGCCCACGGCCCCAGCTTAGTCACTCAGGAACCGTGGACCTTGACCGAGGAACCTCTATTTACTTCTGCAATCCAGGTACTCCGTACTCCTGCTCATCTAATTCAAAGTGACCAGGTCCTCGCCTGTAATTTGGGCAAGTCAATTCGATCGGAGATGCCTGGATGTCATTGGACGGAATATTCCTCCCCCTCGCTTTAACCCAAGACCACTAACCTTTTTGGAGATGCGGATCGCTTCCCTCAGTGGCCGGCAAAGCTTGGCCGGAAAGGCGCGGCGCCTTTCAACCCGTCAGTCAGGTCTAGCCCGAGTCAAAATTCCACTAACCCTAGGGCTGTCCCCTGCCTCTTTGACAACAGTCATCAGGAATCCTCTAGGGCTTTTCCCCGTTGCCGCCCGCTCAGGAATGTCCATCCATTACAGGCGCCCAGACAACCAGCACGCTGATCGAGACATCTACCATGTTTCTACGCGCTGAGCAAAAGTGGGATCCTCTGGTGACACCGTTGGAGCGAGCAACCAGGCCAGTGGCGAGTACGACTGGACTCGACGGGACTCGTACTTGGAGCACCCGGACGTGAACAAAAGACATGCCCCATCTCAATCAAAAGTGGGACTCCACCCAGGGGGCAACGCGGTTTGCCCGGCTTCCATACCAGAAGTCATAGGCCCGTACCTGATTGCGCTGGGAAAAAACAACCCCCCTCGCGACGCGACAGCTCGCCCCCATGCGACGAGAACAACCCTAGATAGATGGAATGGACGATCCGACATACCCTGTTTGGAGTCGCATTCTGTGTATATAGCGTGTAAAGCCCCGATGTTCGCACATTTTGAAAGCTTTTGGCCCTTTCCTTTATCCCAGCTCTCTTTCCGGGAATTGTATCTCTGTTTCTCTCGTTGGGTCGACACTCGTTTCATACACCGACAAGCTACGAGCTCGTGGCCACTCCTTCTCATTAGACAAGCTCACTCTGCCACTGGCGGTACTTGCACTACCGGTTAATTTGCAACGCCGGGCCCAGCGATCGTCTCCATCAGCGTTTCAAACTCTCGCATCGCGTTTCAAGCACCGCGGCATATCCACCCGTGGACGGTCCGATTGGCGGGTACCTGTGGACCTTGGGGCGCGCTACCGTGTGATCGGCAGTCAGCGAGGTGATTCCGGGTCAATACGTGCAGTAGACGCTTGCGTTACTGCATTCAATACAATAGTCAGTGGTTTTCCTATTTATCTCGGCGCCTTCTTCGCGAGCCTCTCCGGCCTGTTTTGTTGTCTATTCTCTGCTTTCCCATTGTTCCCATTGTTGTCATTCATTCCTTTATCCGCGACCGTTGCCCTATAGATACGCTCCGCTGCAGTGCATCGGCTATCGGACAGGGGTTGCCTTCATATTCAATCTTTTTGTGAATAGCACTCTTTCGCTCATTCTTTTGTTTTTTTTGTTCTGTTTTTTGGTCTTTCGCTCTTTCTGGCCTCCAATCCCACTTCCTATCGCCCGCTTCTGGTCTAAGCGTCGGCCGAGACTCGAGTTTCCAACAGTCTTCAGTACTGGTTACTGAATTGCTATCATTCTTTCAAGGTTTCCGTTCGATTCAAGGGTTTTCGCTGCAGGTCCAGCGACTACGATTTTCAAGATGACCAACTTCCAATCTTCTGTGTTGGTCTTTGTGGCCCACATCATTCTGCTTCTTGGGCTCCCGACTGCCCTGGTTGGCGCCATTCCTATGACGCCGAACTCCAATGAGCTTGCGATTACTGAGCGCGACGCCTCCAGCTACTGGGTTGGTAGTATCAAGCATCAGGGTGTCGCGCCCTTCGCCCCTAGCAGCGACTACAAGGTTTTCCGTAACGTTAAGGAATTCGGTGCTACGGGTGAGTGAACCTGCCGAACTATGAGAACTCTGGGTTTGTGCTGATATATGACTAGGCGACGGCTCCACCGATGACACCGCTGCTATCAATATGGCCATCTCGTCTGGTAATCGCTGTGGAAAGAACTGCGACTCATCCACCACCACCCCGGCCCTGGTGTACTTCCCGCCCGGTACCTATGTCGTCTCCAAGCCCATCATCCAGTACTACTATACTCAGATCGTCGGTGATGCCATCAATCTGCCCGTGATCAAGGCCTCCCCCAGCTTCGCTGGCATGGCCGTCATCGACGCTGACCCCTACAACGCCGATGGCAGCAACTGGTACACGAACCAGAACAACTTCTTCCGTGCCATCCGCAACCTGGTTATTGATCTCACGGCGATGCCCATGAGCTCCGGTGCTGGTATTCACTGGCAGGTTGGCCAGGCCACCAGTTTGCAGAACATCCGTTTCGAGATGATTAAGGGCGGCGGAAGTGCCAACAAGCAGCAGGGTATCTTCATGGACAACGGCTCTGGTGGTTTCATGTCCGATCTTACCTTCAACGGCGGTAACTATGGCATGTTCCTTGGCAACCAGCAGTTCACTACCCGTAACCTGAAGTTCAACGGCTGCCAGACTGCCATCTTCATGAACTGGAACTGGGCCTGGACCTTCAAGTCTGTGGACATCAACAACTGCCAGGTCGGTCTGAACATGTCCAACTCGCCCTCGAACCAGACTGTCGGCTCTGTTATGATGCTGGACAGTAAGTTCACCAACACCCCCATTGGTGTCGTCACTGCTTGGACCAAGGAGAGTATCCCCATCGGTGGTGGCACTCTTATCCTAGACAATGTCGATTTCTCCGGGTCCAAGGTCGCTGTGGCCGAGATCGATGGCAGGAGCATCCTTGACGGTGGCTCAGTTGTGACAAACTGGGTTCAGGGCAATACCTACGCTCCCTCTTCGGCTGTCAGCAAGCGTGCTTATAGCCCCGACCAGGAGGATGATTCTGACGAGGAGGATGACTCTGACGCTCTTACTGTCATTGAGACCGTTTTCAAGACTGTCACGGCCTGCCCTGCTACTGATGATGCCTCGATTCCTGCTACTCTGGCTACCAACGCCCCCGCTCGCACCACTGACGTCCACTCTTCGGGCTCGAGCACTCTCTATCGCTCGGTTGTCTCCAATCCCGATGTCACTGGTCTCCCTGACTTCGACGATGGCTGGTTTTCTTCCATCTTTGATGGATCCTCTGACCCTTTCGACGTTCCTGTTCCCTCTTCCCTGATTGACTCCATCGAGCCCAGCTCTGAGCCCCCGTCTGTTCCTGCTGAGGCCTCATCGGCCTCGTCTGTTGTTCCCGTGGAAGCTTCCGCCCCTGCTACCTCTGAACCTCCTGTGACTCAGATCCCCTCGCCGTCCCCGTCGACTCTCGCTCCTGTTCCTCAGCCCAGCTCCCAGTCCTCAACTTCGAGCGCCCCTGTCTCCCAGGAGAGTGGTACGACCTCGGGGAGCTCTAGCGGCAGTGAGGGTACTTGCAGTGCCACCCAGCCTGTCACCAGGGATCGCACTCAGTCTACTATGAAATCCCAGCCCAAGCCTGCTGACCTCCTGGAGAACGGCGCTGTCTTCGAGAAGTCGAAGCCCCTGTACGAGAACCTGCCTGCTTCGTCCTTCATCAGCGTCAAGTCCGCCGGTGCCAAGGGTGACGGCACTACCGATGATACCGAAGCTATCCAAAACGTTCTGGATAGTGCCACGGCCGACCAGGTTGTATACTTCGACTACGGTGCCTACGTTATCACCGACACCATCAGGGTGCCCAAGAACATCAAGATCGCCGGTGAGGTCTGGCCCATGATTATGGCCCACGGCCCTAATTTCCAGAATGCCATGAAGCCGGTGGCTGCAATGCAAATCGGTCAGAAGGGTGACACGGGCTCCGTCGAGATGAGCGACCTGGTCATCACCACCAAGGGCTCTTGCCGCGGCGCAATTCTCATGGAGTGGAACGTCGCTGGTGAGACTCAGGGCTCTGCCGGTATGTGGGACGTCCACATTCGTATTGGTGGCACTGCTGGCACTGAGATGCAGAGCAACACGTGCAAGAAAACCCCCGATGTCAAGACCCGCCCCAACCCCGAGTGTATCGCCGCTTTCATGCTACTTCACCTCACCGAGACGGCCTCCGTTTATATCGAGAACGCCTGGATGTGGACCGCTGACCACGACCTGGACATGCCTGACCACTCCCAGATCAACGTCTACACCGGCCGTGGTGTGCTTATTGAATCCCAGGGGCCCGTCTGGCTGTGGGGTACCGCCTCTGAGCACCATCAGCTGTACAACTACCAGGTGTCCAGCGCCAAGAACGTTTTCATGGGTCTCATCCAGACCGAGACTCCTTACTACCAGGCTAACCCCTCTGCCCTGACGCCTTTCACTCCCCAAGCCGTCTGGAACGACCCCGACTTCTCGACCTGCACCACCGCAACCTGCCGCAAATCCTGGGGCCTGCGCGTTCTCAAGTCAGCAGACCTCTTCGTCTACGGTGCCGGTCTGTACAGTTTCTTCGACAACTACGCACAGACCTGCCTGAGAACCGAAGACTGCCAGGAGAACATGGTCGAAGTCGACTGCTCCGACGTGCACATTTACGGCCTGAGCACCAAGGCCGCCGTGAACATGGTTACCAACTCCGCAGGCAAGAGCCTGGTTCCCGAGAAGGACAACATGAGCAACTTCTGCTCAACCATTGCCCTCTTCGAGCAGACCATCTAAACATTCAGGGTAGATATAAATGTCTGAAATACCCTTCGTTTCCCTTGATTCGCCCCCTTTTCCTTTCTCAATTGCTTTTCCTGCCATATTTATCGGCACCCATATCCGGTCTCCTCTCTTGGGGCCTTGGTTTATTCATTTTTTTTTTTACATCTCCGTTAGATTGTATTGGCCCGTTGGCGGCCGCAGTGGTTTGCATCTCCGGGGGATTTTGTTTGATACCACGAAAAACTTTTATGAGAGATCATTAATAAATGTGTGATCGAATGATATAAACGCCATGAGTCTTGATGTCTTTTGTAGCCCTCCACTGCTGGAAATTAGACACTGGAGATTTTGAAAGTTGTGGAAAAAAATGAAGTTTTGAATAACTTTGAAGACAATTGGCATGACACTGAACGATGGAACTCATCCACTTTGACCTTGTAATCTGACAATCCCTTTACCACTACCCTCAGCCTCAAAACCGAAGGTTACGACAGATCATGAGCAAAAATGTACTCAAGGAAGAGGGCAGGGATAACAGGGAAACGGCAGTCAGGGCCCGAATGAAGCAGAATGTCTCAAGTCTCTTGGTTGGACATGTCGACGCATCTTACAAACGGGAAATGCTTCAAGAGGGTGAATTCTACGACTTGGTCGACCAAATGGCATCCCCAATTCTGTCCGCATTATCCATCTTAACCGATCAATATGAAACCGACGAGTCCTGTGCGCCTTCCGAGGCGATATCAATACACTGATCTTGGTATCTCACGCTCGCCAACGGTCGTCATCGCGTATCTCATGCGCAAACTGCACATGCACCAAGCAGGAGTATTGGATTTATGCAATCCAGAAAGTCAACCCGAGCTAGAACCTTGCTCGGTCATTTTCATGTTCGGGAGCAGGTTGGGTAGCAGGAACGGGAGGACGAAGATAGGACTGTCCTGACAGCCCTATACATACCTTTTCTGGACGATCGGGCCGCCCTTATGGAGAAGAATGGATTCACGGGAAACGAGCCACTCGCACCCTTGAACGTTTCATGTCCGCCATAAGAGCTGTTGATGGTCTGCCCTTCCACCGCACAACTAGAAGGGCCAGCTACTCGTGGCCTCCCGGGATAAATCAATTCACCGGGAGCGCAGCTGCAGCGAAGGAAACTTCGTTACAGCTTGTTTGATCTTGGAACTATAATTTGGTAGAGGATGTAATCAAAGCTCAGCTGAATAGATTAGACCGAGATTAAACTTTCATTCGGCCAAGGCCACAACCGGATCGCTATATCCGATGGATATGCTATGCAATCAATACAAAGAGGGAACGACACCAGCCACAAGCGCTTACAGCTCCTTCTTGAGGAAGTGCTCGGGCTTGTGGGTGGTCTCGTAGTCAACGTGCACGTAAGCACGCTCGACATCCGGCAGAGACTCGAGCTTAATCTGCAGCTCCTCAGCGACATCGTGAGTAGCGCGGAGAGAATCGGAGGCATCCATGACGACGTCGACCTCGACGAGGAGGCGAGGACCGGAGGTGTAGGCGCGGACGGTGTCGATGGCGGTAATTAATGGGGAGTGGGTCATGGCTGCAGCGGGTTAGATTTTCATCTTTATTGGCCATGTGGTAAGGGAAGGAGGAACAAACAGATATACGTGATGAGCTGTTGCATCTTGGTGTCGGCAGTGACGCCGACAAGGAGCTGGAACTCGCTGTACGCGGAGTGCAGCCAGAGACCGCTGATCAGCACGGACAGCAGAATAGCGCCCATGGGATCGATCCACCAGCGGATCTTACTACCCATGACAGAGGTCGCCAGACCGAGGCCGTTGATGAGAAGATCGTTGCGATGGTCTTCCCACAGAATGCGAATTTGGGAGACTTGGTTTCGCAGGGCGAAGCAATAGAGGAAGAGGCCGAGCTTGGTGACGAATGCAAACGAGACGGCGATGACGGAGGGCAGGTGGAAGGAAGAAGTCAGAGTGTCGGAGCCCTCGACGATCTCGCGGATGGAGAAGGCGATAATGATGAACGAGACAGCAGTCATCAAGAAACAGAAGCAGATGTTGCCAGCAGTTTCAATGCGGGCTTTGCCGGCGGGGAATCTGCGAGGGTCGACACGGTGAACGGCCTTGTTGCACAACAGGAGGGTCAAGTTGGACATGGGATCGAAAATAGCGTCGGCCATTGTGGTGAAAAGTGATAGAGAGCCGGAGGAGACAGCGCCGTACACTTGCACGACACAGAGGATGATGTTGGCGGCAAAACTGGCGTAGACGGCGATCTTGTACTTCAGGCTGTTCTCGTTGTTGAGCTCGCGGGCAGCACGCACATGCTCCTCAACCGGCTTCAACATGCGCTCGATGTTCTCGTTCTGGTTCTCATAGAAGCCCTGCAGCTTCCGGGCGGTGAGGGCCTGCTTGCCCTTTTCCATGACCTTGACACTCTGAGCATTGTCACGTTTCCGAGAGGTGTTGGCCTTGATCTGGCGAATTTCTTCTTCGGTCTTCAGCTTCGACGCCAGCTGGAACGGGTCTCTGTCGGCAGTGTATTGAGGTGGAGGCATGCCCTCCTCATCGGGGCTGCCACTGCGGTGATGCATGATTTCCTCACGCTCCAGGGCCGTGGAGGTGGCTTCGTTTTGGGAGCGCAAAGCCATCCTTTCGGACCGGTGGGGCGAGCTGCTATGCAGCTGGAAGGCTGACGGGTGATTGGAAATACTTTGGCGTAAATGTTCCTCCATGGTGACGGGTATGTGGACGGAATGAAGGGGGAGGGAGGTAAGAAAGGAGGGGGGATAGCAGAACAAAAACCGTTCAAGAAAGTGCTCGGAGCGGCGTGGCTGTGCTTATCTCTTATCGAGTTGCGGAGATTCCCTACTGCTGGAGTGGCAGATCTATAAGGATTCCTCAAGTGGGATGACATTTCTTTTTGTCATTCTATGACTTGAAGCTATACTTCATTTGTAACTCGCTTTGACCAGAATAATTGTCGGCTGAATGCACCTTTTCTGCGGAGTCCATGTACAATTCCCGAAGCGGCACCGGTGTCTGGTTCCGCCAAGTGGGTCCAGCGGATCAGATATGATTTGACTATTTAGCCAAAGCTAGAAGTACCGCTATTCACGGCAACTGAGACATATTTCAAGATCTATAGATCGGAACACCATATCCGTACAGTTTCCCACTTAGTTGCGGTTGACAAGATACTTGAACACGCTCTCCACCCAGTTCAACTTTTCATCGGCAGTGCCATTGGTCGGAATAGGCATGTTGGAAGCTCCAGGGCGGCAGGAATGCATGGCGAAATATTGCAGGTCGTGTCGGCCTACGTCGTTTGTCTTCAACCTTTAGGCTCGGGTACACATACCCCTTTGCATACACGCGGAAGAATAGGTCAACTAGATTGTTGACTTGCACTCTTTAACTACAGTCAAGTTATACCAAAGAGAACACCTGAAGAATGCAGGTGGTACAACAGGTAGCACACAATATTGCAATCCTTTGTACTGTGAGCCTGAGCAAAAGAAGTACGATTGGCTAATTCTAGAATCTCCCCAATGCAAGACACGGAATGATCAAGGTATCACATAGAATAGACAACACATCAACGACACTTGAGACGAAGACTCCCACTAAAATCAAATTCGAACCAAAGAAAGAACAAGTATATAGGACGCGGTGGGGGCGGTTCGGGGTATCAAACACCTGCTATAGCATATGCTAGCCGCTTAACTCAACGCCCCTGCTCTGTAGGCTGGAAAGCCACACGTTCCTGGGGCGGATTCGACGTTAGAGGATGCTGGCGCTGCTCATTGGCGTCATTTGTGGCGTAGTTGTCAGCGAAGGGGTTCTGCACCTCGAAATCGGTAGAGCTATATTCGTGTCGCTCGCTATTGGTCCTTGATGCATTTGGCCTGCCGCCGGACATTACCGTGCTGGGCATTATAGAAGGCAGCTCGACCGGTGGTGCTGACTGCTGCTCCGGGATTCTGGACGCCCGCTGTGCCGGCTCCAAAGAGGCGGGGCGTGACGCAGGAGAAGCCACAGTCTCGCTGCCTGTTAGAGAAGGGGTGTTGACGTTGGAGTTGGGGCTCATGGCACCGCGGGCCTTGCGCGCCTTCAGCATGGCGCGCTGCTGTTGCGACATGGCCACGGAGATTTCGTCGTTGGCTTCGATGAGGGTAAGAAGGGTGTCTTCATCCGGAGAGGGATTGATGGAGTGAATATAGGACTGGATCAGTCGTGAAGAGGTTCGGCAGCGGTCGACAAATTCTTTGATTAGTTCGTTCTCCTCTATCTCAGCCTGAGGTGTAGTCTGGACAAACTGCGTTAGCAGCTTTGCCGAGTTCCTTGCCTCTTCCACGCGCGCCGCCAGTTCGCCTGCATTCGGTAATGAGTTGGCGGGTGGCGGGGGAAAAGAACCCTGCAAGTGAGGTGCATATCCAGCCGCCGGTGCTTGGTTGTTGCTTGCCATGGGGAATCGGTCGATCTACCAACCCGGGTCAGTCATTGAGGCCCCTCCTGCACCTGGCCTGAATCTCTTACAAATTTCCGGTCATTCTTTTTTTCTCCTTCGCCCACATCTGCAGAAGCAGCTGAAGGTCCGGGTCCGAGGCCTTGGTATCCTCGAGCGTGTCTAGATACTGGCGCAGATAGTGCTGCACATGCAGGTCCCGGCCGTAGCGGAGGAGATCCTTCAAAGTAGAGACATATTTGGCATCGAAATTGCGCGTGAAGCTGTGGCCCGGGTTGTCGACGAGGATGCGCATGAGCATGATCGCATTGTATTGGACTTGGTTAGGAGTGCTGGCCGGGGTGGACAGGTATCTTCGAATACGGCTGGCAGCCTCCTTCGCAGCAGCGGGACTCGACTCGGCGCTCTCGACAATTCGGGGTAGATGGACGAATTCATTGCCCTGGTGGAGAATCGGTTAGTGACGACCTCGGTTGCCATTGCGTGTTCACGTACCGAGGGCCCGGCGCCAGCGCCTTCACAGAAAGTGGCCTATATGCGCAATTAGCGGAGAGCGATGCGATCGGAAATATGCAGACGCGCCATCTCGCGCAGGAGGATGCCTTCGGGCGACTCCTCGGCGTGGTCCGGGGTGCTCTCTTCGGAGCCTGTGGCGGTCAGCAGTGCTTGCGGGGGGTCGGAGAGAGAAACACTCACTCGGTTTTTTGAAGAACCGCTTCATGATGCAGGTGCACTCAGCGGATAATGGGATTTCAGGAATGCGCAGAGAAAGGAAAGAGAAAAAGTTCGACGGACACTAGGGGCGAAAGGCGACAGAGTCCCGTTTAAGAAGCCTCGCGTAAGTAGTGCAGGGTAGCGCAGGGTCTATGCTTTTTGTTTGGAACCGCGGTAGGTCCAGGCAGCAGGTCCCCTTTGTACACGAGGCCGTAGGCGTGGCAAAAGCATGCAGATGGATGACTTGAACCTACGTAGACACCCACCTCGAACGTCCTGGTACACGAATACAATGTCAATCACCCTCAAATCACGAATCTATTGGAGGCCTCCACGAGGGGTTTAGCGTTTCCCGTTTCCCGTTTCCCGTGTTGAGGCTCTTCCCCCCACGACACATCTAAATTTCCCTGAACGATATTGAAGGATCGTGGTTGATCTATACTCAAACGTGAAATTACCTCGTATAGAACGTGCTACTTGCCTAGAGAAACAAAATAGACTCTGCAGGGATGATGCCACCAGTGTGGCTGACGCTGCGCAATCGACCCGTCGCCAAGCCACGATCCACGTCTCTGCAGCATCGTCTCCCTTGACTCGCAGGCAGCAACGCAATTCCCGAGTCTAACACCCTCACTCTTCTCGTTCCAACGCACTCGCCATCTCCCCCAGCGTCTCAAACCTCCAATCATAGATGGGATCCCCACTGTTCCCCATTATAGACCCGGGCCTCTCAATCCACACGCTTTTGATCCCCACTTTCCGTGCAGGCTGGTGATCATGAAACTGGCTCTGAGCCGTCTGCAGGATCTGACTCGGCTCGACACCGAAGTCTGCCCTGACGGTCTCCATCATGTGCTTGAAGTTGCGCTGGTCTGGTTTGTACGAGCCGATGTCTTGTGCTGTGATGATCAGATCGAAGGGGAAGGCTTGTAGACTGCCTGCGTTGGATTGCGCAAAAGAGGCCCGATCTACGTTTGAGAGGACCGCGAGCTTGTAGTGCTTTGAAAGACGACGTAGTGCGTCCACGGTATCTGGGAAGGCCGGCCAGCTGCCGACTGAGTCGCCGAATTGCTTGCTTTCTTGCTCGCTGGGTATATCCAGGCCGAGGCGCTGGGCCAGACGGGGATGGATGGTTGAAAGGAGCTGCGAGTAGGGCATGTCCGGGATCAGGCGCTGCTGCTCACTCTCGAACTCGTGATAGACCGTGAGGAGCTCCTCGCGCGAGAATTGGGCATTATTGCGCGCTAGCATGGGTTGCAGTGCGGCCAGAATGCCACCCTCCCAGTCGATGAGAGTGCCGTAGACATCGAAGCATAGTAGACGGTAGTCGGATAGTCGAGACATTTTGTAATGGAAATGCATAGGCGATAGAGACCAGCAGACAATGGGCATCTTAAGCTTGATCTATTGAGCCCCGCACGCTCTGGCATCCCCGCTTCTCGTGCATGTTGATTGGCACTGGCTCAGTTCAACAGTCGGAGACCGGTTTGGTCGTAGTGGACGGCGGACTAGTCGAGTGCTATCGCACCTACCAGACCTGGGCATACGAGCTACGATATCTCCGTCTGTATCATGAAACACATCAAATTATTTCAGAAGACGCCAGACCGGTGCCGGTGAAACATATCTAGAGACACCACAATACACTTGGACAAGTCACAGAAGAAGAACCACGTTGTATCATGAATCGAACCGGGCAGTACAGAAACCGAAGTCCATCGACCGGAGCCGCGCTGTTTAAACTTTTTATTTGGTTCTCCTCCGAGTGTTGGTGCCATGACCTTAAGAAAATCTTGTATGATCCGGTATCATTTCCGTTCCAACATACAGATGCGCACAACTCCGGCCGATCCGTCCACCGCAATCCTTTTTCAAACGTCCCCTATTCCCCAGCGATCCGTTTATGCCTCGGTGATGGCACGGCGGATCTGAGCGCCGCGCTGGCGGGAGGTAAGACCGGCCTTGGGCTTGAGGGACTGAGCCTTGGCAACAGCCTCGTTGGCCTCGGTGAGGATGAGCTCGATGTGGCAGGGGTTGGTCATGTAGGGGTTGATCTAGATGGTTATCAGTGGATGATCACGGCGAAGAATAGTCAGAAGAACGTACACGACCGTGGGCACGGTAAGTGCGGCGGCGGCCCTTGGGAGCCTGGTTGACCTGGATGCGCTGGACGACCAGGTTGGAGGTGTCGAGACCCTTGGTGTCGGCGTTGGCCTCAGCGTTCTTGAGGAGGTCGAGCAGGTACTCGGCGGACTTGACGGGCCAGCGAGCCTTGCTGACACCGAACTGCTTGCCTGTAGACAAAAATTGTCAGTCGAATTGTTCCACGGCCCGGTCCCACAATGAATTTTTAGCAGCAACGGTGTCACCCTAAAATGCCCACAAAACTCCCAAAAATTCAACACATAGAGCGTTCTGAACATCCACACAGTCGAAATATTCGTCGATATCACTCCAGTTGCCCCCGACATAACCCCTTGACACCGTTGCCACCAAACGTATCCAGCGTGTAAAAATTCCTCGACAGCACTTACCCTGGGCAGTGCGACCGGTAGAGCCGGCGTAGCGGCGCATGGGGACGGCCATGGACTTCTTGGTGACGTTGTCGAGGTAGGTCAGAGCCTTCTGCAGCTTCATACCGTTGATGGCCTGAGCGGTCTCGCGGGTGTTCTTGAAGCTGACACGCAGGTAAGAGCCCCGCGCGCGGGCGCTCTTAGCGTTTGAAATCTCCTGGGCGGCGTAACGGACCTGTGGAGCGAAGACAGTCGTCAGTAATCATGTTGAGCGGCGGGAAGGTGGTGATTCTCGTCGAAGCGGCAGATCTTGCATGTCCAAGACTCGATACGAATTGGACAAAGAATGGACTCTGCGTGGTGCATTTCGAAGAATCTGACGATGGGGATGGGCAAAACTCACCATCTTGAGGGAGTTGACGAGGGGAAGTCGATGGTCCTCGGTGTCGGATTGATGTTGTCGCTTTTCGTCTTCGACCGCTAACGCTTGAACACCAAGTTTGGTGCGGTTTTTTTCGCTCTTGGCACGCGGGCCCTAAGCGAGCCCTAACACTAGCCGCATTGGGTGTGACGCCTTATGTAATATGACTTTTGCGTAGTCATCCGCCATTCCGCAACGATGCCTGAGGCCGAGATTCAATCATGAAATTCTCAAGTCGCATTATTCAAGTACTAAGTGCTCTATACTCTATGTCTATGTCTATGCCTTCTTCTGCTCCGGAACCTGGGTAATAAGCTCGCCCTTCTCTACAGCCAACTTTAGGTTATCCAACACCAAGATTTCCATCTCCTTCTGCGTCTCGTAGGTCGCGGTGCCAATATGCGGCAGCAGCATGACGCGCGGGTTGTTCACCAGGCCGGGCTCAACCTTGGGCTCTTCCTCGTACACATCCAGACCAGCAGAACGGACCTATGAAGCACCCAGTTAGATACCGTATTTTTTAGGGGAATATCTCAGGGCTGCACATACCTTTCCAGAATCAATCGCTGCAACCAGCGCCTTCTCATCCATCAGAGCACCGCGCGCCGTGTTAACAATCACCACACCGTCCTTCATCTTGCCAAACTCGGTGGCCCCAATGATATGCCGTGTAGATGCGTTCAGTGCCAGGTTCAGACTGAGGACATCGGAGCTGGCCAGGAGCTCATCAAACGAGACGTATTTTGCGCCGGCCTCCAGTTCGGCCGACAGCCGTGAGCGGTTGTGGTATTGGATCTTCATACCGAAGGCCTTTGCACGAGCAGCCATTTCCTAGAGTCTTTGTCAGTGATTGCCATGATGTTTCTTGAATGGGATCACCTACCCGTCCAATGCCGCCCATACCCAGGATACCAAGGATCTTGCCCTGGGGATCATTGCCCAGAGTGGTCGCACCTTGCCATTGTCCTATCCCAAGTAACCAGTCAGCGCCTCGCCTCCAAGAATCTGCTGTGATCACTGTCGTTGTAGATATGGAAGAACTCACCAGCACGCAGAGCCGCCATGGGCACATAAGCCTGGCGCAAAGCGCCGATCATCAAGAAGATCCCCACATCGGCGGTAGCATTGTTGACCGCGACGGGGGTGCTGGAAACAGCAATATTCCTCTGCGAGCAGGCCGTGATATCGATATTGTCGTATCCAGCTCCGTTGTGGCAAATGTACTTCAGCGACTGGGGCAGCACGGCGAGCATCTCCGCGTCAAAGGGACCGGTGTACTGTTCAAGTATTAATGCGGGGGTGTTCAGCGACCAAATGGAAGATACAGACCTTGTTAGAACTATTGGATCGGTAAATCGCAACAACATCGTCGTATTGCCCCGTCTTGCAGTTTGCGATGAACTCTTCGCGTGTACCGCTGGGGAATTCCTGTTCGGGATCTTAGATAACTATATCGGCTATTCCATGGACATATCGGGCTTACCTTGAGGGTGAGGATCGAGGAGAGGCTCTCCAACTCCTTGCGTGCATGTGTGACGCCTCCAATGACGAGCGCAGCTTGAGAAGGCATTTTGGAGATTCTGCGGCGCGATGAGATTCAACCATGATGTCAGCGGGGAAGCGCAACCATACCTAGAGGGAAATTGAGAATGGGTATACAGCTGTCAAGCAAAGATGCAACTTGAATCGGGTGGTGAAAGAAGAAAAAGAATGACGAATGCCTAAAGGCTGAAATTCTGGCGGAGCTCCGCGACAACTTGAACCCCCGCGGCGGCGATTGTGGAGAAGGCGATAGCGAAGGCGTGGAAGACAACTTCCGACTTCACAACTTTCACGCCAAATGTATAGACCTATATAGTATTCGCAAGGGATCTTGATATCTATCACGTAAGTAGTATAGCTATACTTGTCCTACTTCTTCTATCTTACTCATTCATCGTACGATGTTCCAAATGATGTACATTGTAACCACCAGACACCCACGCTTCGGCTATTGAAACCTGCCGCATCGAGATCAAAAGCCGCCGCGGACTTTCTCCGTGGGTCTCGGCTTCACCAGCAGCGCGTCATGCCTCCCCCACGATGTCGAGTGGGGGCGAGGGGAATGTCTTGCGCGGAGTCAGATGCCGATGTCGTGCCCTTTAACAATTGCGATTGCTGAGTTGGATTCTTCATTTTACAACTCCACATATTCATCATGACCACAGAAACATCAGCCACTGCTCTCGTTCTCCACGGCGCAAAGGATCTCCGTCTGGTAAGCTTTTTTAACTTCCGAGCTCTACTACAAACAATACCCGACTAACAACCACGCAGGAGAAACGATCAGTGCCAGCTCCCACCGGCGCAGATGTCCAAGTCGCCGTGCAAGCAACCGGTCTCTGCGGTTCCGACCTCCACTATTACAGCCACGGCCGCAATGGCGACTTCGTCGTGCGTGAGCCCATGTGCCTGGGCCACGAGTCCGCCGGCACCGTGATGGCCGTCGGGCCCGACGTCACCAACCTGAAAGTCGGCGACCGCGTAGCCTTGGAGGTCGGTCTGCCATGCCGCAAGTGCGCTCTGTGCCAGCAGGGCCGCTACAACATCTGCACATCCATGCAGTTCCGCAGCAGTGCAAAGGTCTTCCCTCATCTTGACGGTACTCTCATGGAGCGCACCAACCACCCGGCTGCCATGTGTCACCCTCTGCCAGATAATGTCTCCAATGCTGGAGGTGCGCTGGTCGAGCCGCTGGCCGTCTGCCTTCACGCCGTGCGTCGCTCGCACCCACCAACCAAGGAAGAGGTCGAGATCGCGCGCAGTGCAGGCGAGGGCACCGCCGCGCTGGTTTTCGGTGCTGGCGCCATCGGCCTGCTCATTGCTTCGGCCCTGGCCACATCGCAGAACTTCACATCCATCGTCGTGGCAGACATCGACGCCTCGCGCCTCGAGATCGCCACCTCCCTCGGCCTCGGCCTTAAGACTGCCCTCATCCCCCGCGGTGACCCTGCCAACCCGCCTCCTCCCAAGGACGCTCCGCACGCCGACCAGACTACCTATGCGCTTCAAAATGCCCAGCGCGTCGCGGCCACCCTGACAGAGGCTGCCAATGCTGCTGGTGGTCCCGCTGTGGCTGGTTTCAGTCGTGTGTACGACTGCACCGGCGTACCCGCATGCGTGCAGGCTGGTATCTACGCCTCCGCACCAGGCGGCGTCCTCGTCCAGATTGGCATGGGTAACCCCATCCAGACCCTACCCGTCGGCGCTGCTGCGCTGCGCGAGGTCGATATCATCGGTGTCTTCCGGTATGACGGCACCGCGTATCCGGCAGCCATTGCGCTGCTGGCAAGCGGGAAGTTGAAGACTGTTGAAGATAAGGTTGTTACGCACAGGTTGAGTCTTGAGGAGGGCGAGCGGGCCTTTACCCTTGCCGGGAAGGGTGTTGATGAGAGTGGCAACCCTGTTGTTAAGGTGATTATTGAAAGCAAGTAATAGAGCCGGCTGTAGGCGTTGAGAACTAGCCGGGCCTGGGGAGTTTGCTTTTGTGATGATGATGACTTGAAAATACCCATTGTGAGAGTCGGGGATGTGGTGCATGGTGAGAATCAAAATTGTGCATATGCATTAAAATGAATTATGATGTTTCGTCTTTGCAAGAGAAAGTATTGATGTACGATTATTTACATTGGCTTGTACTTGAGCTAATTACAGTTATTTCAAGCCCCCGGCCAGCAGGAGGCTTTGGCCCGTCATATACCCAGTCTTGCACAGCATTGTAACGACATTCGCCGTCTCCTCGGGTGTACCCAGCCGTTGCAGCGGAATGCCAGCTGCGACCTCGGGAATCGCCGCGGCATTGGGGATCATGCCCGTGTCGCCGATCATGGCAGGAGCGACGTCGTTGACGCTAATGTTAAACTCGGCCAGGCGGGTTGACAGGTTCTTCATCATGCCCGTGAGGCCACCTTTAGAAGCGGCGTAGTCTGTAATCCCCAGTTAGAACTCAGCCAGTGCAAAAGGAAAGTTGAACTCACGGCATCCATTAATACCTCCACCATGCGCAGCGATCGAAGACATGAAAATAATCCGACCCCAGCGCTGGCTCTTCATGTGCTCCACAACACCCTTGGTGAGAATGAACGAAGCACGCAGATTGACGTTGAGCGTGTAATCAAACTCCTCAAGCTCGATGTCCCACACGTTGGGGATACGCTTCCCGTACCCAGCGTTGGAGACGAGAATGTCCGGTCGTTGACGGTGCTCCTTGTCGATCTGCTGGAACATGGCTTCAATTTGATCGGCAGAGCCGACATCGACCTGGTGGATAGAAATGCGGAGTATGTTTTCCGCATATTTGGACTGCAGATCTGCGACGAGCGCGTTCATTGCGTCCAGGTTGGTCGAGTAGGTCAGAGCGAGGTGGGTTCCATGTTGCGCGAGCTGGTGCGCACAAGCTGCACCGATGCTAATGGTCAGGTAACAATGTTAGCAAGCTTGATTCCATCCTTGGGACAATTATTCTGAGATCGGGGATCGCAAAGTGGTCTCAACTTACCCTCCCGATGCGCCGGTGATTAGGGCTAGACGCCCGCGGATCTCGTTGAGTGACATTATGCAGAGAGAAGTGATCGGGAAGAAACAATGCAAGATTGGTCCTTCTGAGATCCAGGATTGAATACCCCGGGGTTCAAGAAACCCCCAGATGGCCTCGGTTACCCCTCGGAGATGGTCGGGGTATTCTCCGAAAGGAGCTCCGCAGCCCCGCATCATTTGCCGTAAGACGGTCTTTGAGCAACACATCTACCAATACGACCAGCGCCTAAAACAGAAGGTTGCTACTCATATCTCCCAGCCAGGCAGACGGCTGCCAGACCTGTGGCCTGACTTGTCCCGGCTGATATGGGTCGGGTGTATTTTGGAAAGCGTCCAGACCTAACAGGCCGCCCGATATCTGATCTCCAGACACGTAATCACCCACAGCTTCCAGATCCAGCCAGGAGAAATCGTTGGCAGGACTGAAATCCATGTATGTGTCAGAGACTGGATTTGGTAAGGGGGTTTGCATGAAGTCACTGTTCTGCTGAGTGTCTGCAGGTACGGTCGACATGGACGGCTTCGTCCTCCACAGAAGCTCCAAAAGGTGAGAGTAGCGCGAGCCAATGTCGTCAGGGCCAGCACTGGCCTGTTTGAGGACTTCAGTGGTCCTAGCAACCAGCCCTTGGACCTTGGCTTCTTCAGAAGGAACCATCATTCCAAAAGATCGAGCCTATGAAGGTCAGCAAATTGTCGTACTTTTTGAGGTCCCAAGGAACTTACTTTGTAAAGAAAGACGGCAGAGTAAATGCCATATCTAAAAATTATCAGAAAAGCTCCATCCAGTAGATTCAAATCGAAACCTACAGGTAGAAACGGAGGGGCATGAAATGCAAATGTCTCTCGGGGTCTACTGAGTCCACAAGAATAGTCAAATAGGATTTGGCCGCATCGACCGACTCATAGATGAAGCGAGAATCTTGCATCGAAGCCACATTCTTGAATGTCGATCGCAGTTGTTCCCGGTGTGAGTTCGCACCAGTCTTCGGTTTGGCCAAGGACTGGGAAATCGCTGCCTGGAAAGCGAATGCGGTCGTATATAGCCGCAAATATTCGTATGATAACTGCAATGTTGCCTTCATGGGGGCCGAGCCTGTCTAGGATCAGATTTGGAGCAACAACAAGCGGAGATTTTAGGGGATCTCACAGTCTAAAGGTCCCCAAAGAGATTTCCATCGCAAAATAGCAAGCCGGAAATCATCAACATACTTCACATAATCTCCCATCAGCATCATTTGATTGCTTGTGCGCATGCCAGAATACAAAACTTCGTGCACATTTCCGTATAGTTGTGTAAGATCCAGCATGGCCTGAAAGATCTTGGAATAATCCTCATCGCCTTCCTTTGCTGGCTGCAGCGAAGGAAAGTCCTGGCTGACAAGACCGGTCATTGGGCCTGGGCCACGCGACCAGAAAGCACGTCCAATGCGCACAGAAATCAAGCGATCAGAGACGTAGCAACTAGCCCAGGCTAGCCGCCGACGGGACTCGGTCTCTTGGTCTCCATATGGATCTCCTCGGAAGGATGTTCGATCCAGTCCGATAAAATAACCAGAGCGCAATGCTAGTCCAACATGCATCCACGCAGCCCGGTCCTCTTCTCCACGTCCCACGCGCTCAATACGAGGGCGCAGGCCTTGGGGCTCCCATTCGGCTAGCAACAAAAGAGCCTCGACCGCTTCGACATCACAGTCTGCGCCGGCGGCAATACCAGAGATCAGTTCGTGCATGTATTTCGAACAGTATTCGTGGATTTCGGGTCGGTCGACAAGATCTTTTGACGCAATTGTAAGCACGGCGGTGAGGAGGTATTTTTCATTGCTGGCAAAGTCATCGAGTGCAGTGCGTTCAAAGTACTTCCGGGGAACCAGCGGGAGATACGGGTGAAAATTCTCCGCGTAGCGAGTGACCAGTTGCCAGACAGTGCCGGGATCTAAACATCGCGACTGGACCAACCGATAGGCCCTGATACCGGCACTGGGGACATTAAAATCAGATAGAACGCCGTTGCGCAGGCTGTTGTATGTGGAGAAGCTACCGGACTCTGACCGTGTACGGTTGCCGCGCACTTCGGGGGCGGTGGCTCCTTGGGTGGCGATACCAGTCAGACATTGCCAGGCGTCAGATGGGTTGCGCGGAACAGTTCCGATTGAAGCGTCGTCGTCTTCCACAACCGCGGAGCTCGACGCCAGGGGATTTGGCGGCAGAAAGACGACGGGTCCGGGATAGGAGGTGGATGCAGATGCAGATGGCGCGCGGCGCACCTCGGAATGTTCAGGGCTAGACATCTCCTCAGAGTCTTTGCTAGGCGATGGATTGGCAGCCGGCGTGAAGTTTTTGATTTTGTTCTTGCGAATGCGCCGGCCGCCACGGTTAGAACCGCCGAGGACGCATTCGCGATGTTCGCGCACACAGCGCTGACAAGGCGGTTTGCCAGGATTGCCATTTGTATCTCTATGCGCGATGTTAGTGGATCATACAGGTGCAGATCCGGGGAAGCAGGACAGCTTACAGGTCACAGCGCGACTTGCGCTGACGGCAGTGTAGACAGGCCCGGGACACGCGCTTGGCGACATGATCGGGCCGCTTGGAGGGTGCATCATGCGACGGGGACTCCATTTTGTTCGGCTAGGACGACTGCGACATGGTTATTCCGGGGTAGTTGAGAAGCACAAATGCCGACATGGCCCATTGAAAGTAGAAGCTCGAGGCCCGGGGGAGCTCATTACTCATCGCGAGATCAAGATGTGGGGAAATCAGCCACTCGTGTATATGGCTTTATCGGCATATTTTGCAGGCAATACCGTGTCGAATCCATTCTAAGGTCCATGAAAGAACTCTATTACTATTCCAGTACACCCTAACCGGCTTTGTCTCATAGCATCATCCCATGTATCGTGTCACGATGTTCGGCCAAACACTGTCAATAGCCGTCGGCATCTGATCCGGCAACGGAACTTGCTAGTTACAGCGCAGCTCCATGCGTGGGGTAAAACGCCGTCATTGTCTTGCGATTGCTATTATTTGGCTCGATCGGCCCTCTCTTTTTGTCCTCTTTATGCACACAGCACACAATGGCAGCAAACGTGTCATCTCTATTCTCTCTGAGCGGACGCACCGCCCTCATCACCGGCGGCACGCGTGGCATTGGCCAGGCCATGGCCTTTGCCCTGGCCGAGGCCGGTGCCGATATCATTCTCGTACAGAGAGATGAATCCAACACCGCTACCAAGGACGAAATTGAAAGCCGCATTGGTCGCAAGGTGTATATTCACGTTGCGGAGCTGTCCGATCGCAAAGCTGTCAAGAACATTGTCCCTTCAGTGACTAGCCAAGGACTCAAGCCTGACATTCTCTTGAATTGCGCCGGTATCCAACGGCGACACCCGAGTCACCAGTTCCCTGATGAGGACTGGGATGAGGTGAGTGCTTCACAGAGCTTTCTCTGGAATGTTGAGCATACCACTAATTGGAGAACCCTAAATCCAGGTCATCGAGGTGAACCTCTCGTCAGTCTTCGTGCTCTGCCGTGAATTCGGCGCCTATTTGCTGTCTCGTGACGAATCCGAGTTCCCCTCCGGCCGTCGCGGTAACATTATCAACGTCGCCTCGCTCCTCACTTTCCAGGGTGGTATCACTGTCCCCGCCTATGCAGCCTCCAAGGGCGGCATCGGCCAGCTGACCAAGGCGCTCTCTAACGAGTGGGTGTCCAAGGGCATCAATGTCAACGCGATTGCTCCCGGCTACATTGATACCGACATGAATGTTGCGCTGATCAACGATTCCAACCGCAATGCCGGCATCATGGCTCGGATCCCAGCCGGCCGATGGGGCAAGCCGGAGGATTTCAAGGGCGTGGTCGTCTTTCTGGCCAGCGGATCCAGTAGCTACGTCTCGGGAGAACTCATTACCGTGGACGGTGGCTGGATGGGCCGGTAAACCCGGGAATCTTATGATCCGATCCGTGTTTGTATATAGCATGTTGCGCGGGATACGATACAGCGGCGTTTCGAGACATTCGTTGGCATGATTAGAATTTCTCCAATTTGGAACATTATCTTCACTTCCAAGATTTAATTCAATATGAAACAGGAGAATCCTTCAAGCGACGCATTGCCATATCCAGCTAGTCAAGATATGAGAAGATGCTCAACTTGGTTGGCGCCAAGCCACCCATTAGGTAAATGGTAGTTCCGTAGAGCTTCGTGTGCTGTCTGCTGCTTTCCATTAGACCTTACTCGGAGACTAATATATTTCATTAGTCGAAGTTCGATTCATCGATCACTTGTCTTTTGGGGCCTTGGATATAAGGCACCAAAACCATCTCCACACTTGTCCGCTTTAACGGGAATCTTCAGAACAATCAAGCCATTGTTGATTATGCACTGCTGACAATCATGTCGTTTGATGAAGAACCCAGCACAAAGGAACTATGGAGCGATGAGATCATATGGTTTCCCTGGCCATACGGAGATTATCGCTTCCTCCGTTCTCTCAACGCGCCATAACGTAACGGGGGTCATTCGCCAAGCTATGTTCAGCAACCGGTGGTTTCTGATTGACAGCTCTGAAACCATATGCCAAGCCACCGTTTGAGGTACTTTCTGACGGTGGGCTCATGAACCCTCTCCAGAAAAAGACTTCCTCTGCAGGGTTTCCGCACTCGAGCTCCTGTCAAGGGCGTAACGCCGGTCGCAGATCCACAGAGATCCTCAGCAGCTCTGACCTCCAATCAAACGCCATGAATCGACGCGCCGGGAGTGTGCGTGCGCTCCTTGGAAACACCGGTAATCTCCCTGGTCATCAGAGGAGTGGCGCCGATAGGCTCCTGTCATGTCAACTAGCGTCGATTCAAATGAGTACCAGGGCGAATAGTGGCTAAATTGTAGACCTGCCTCCGATGTGTGCTGTCGAACCAGTCAGGTCTTTCTTCTTCTTATTTGTACCCCTGTCCTGGACTCTCGATTCTTGGGCGTTCGTCCCGGCTCTATCGTTCTCTTCCCTTTTCCTCCTCGTCAATCGCGTGGTTCCTCGATTTCTTGGTTCATATTATAGACTCTTCTTGCAGCGTCGATCGCTCAAGTCTTTCTTCAACTTGTGTTTTTATTACTTTATACAGCCTTCGCCTCTCCATATTTGCCTTTTATTTGCCTCTGCAAAAAACGTGAGCGATCCTCTTCCCCCTTGCTGCATTCCTGAGCCCTGGACGATGCCTTTGAACGGGAAGCAACGAAAAACCTTGCCCTGACGCTCCTCTGATTCTTCCCGGATTCCATAAGACCGTCTGTTTGGCGATCTCTATTGTCCGTGTTCTTTCAACCGGGTTGCAAAATCGATCTTCAGGTTCCGCCGTGTCTAGGCCGCCATTCACTTGAAACCGTCGTTGAGCAAGGCAGAAACACAATGGCCCTTTGAGAGCGACAACTATCCTTTGTTTCCTGTTGAGAAGCTCCGGCCAATCTCACTTATACGGCATCGCTGTTCCTACCTCTGACCTCATACTATCTGCCTCAACGTCACCACTGTTGATCTTCGCATTCCTTTCGACTCCCGGCCACCAAACATCCGGCATTCGCGTCATCAATACATATGAAATTCAGCAGGTGATTGAATCTTCGCTGTGGCCAACTCGCCAGGTTTTATCTAGGCCAGTCGCTTGCTCCGCGCATCTGTCAACGAGTTTCCAAAACCTCGACGCCCAACACACTCCTTCAATTCGAGCCCCTTGGCAGGCGTCAGGGGCAAACCAATGGCTGCGCTCTCTCCGCAGCTTGCGGCACGATCCTTCGGAATCAATGCGACCTACATCTACGAGTACTCGCGAGGATTGGGGGGTGTCAACGTCCCTCGCGATGTGATCATCACCCGAATCATCTATTCCTCGGTTGTCGTCCTGGTATTGGCCCTATTCTGTGGCCGGATAGCCCAGATCAGCCATTCCTACCTTCGTGAAATCACCGCGGTGTCGGCAAGCAAAAGGGAACAGACCTTCTGGAGCCAAGAACAATCAACATGGTGGTCATTTGCCAAGAAGCAATTACTGTATGCACCTCTGGGCAGAAAGAGGCACAACCGGGAGGTCCAGCTCTCCTCTGCTGTCGGGATGGGCACGTTGCCATCCCGATTCCAGACCATACTGATTACCTCGTACCTGGCGAGTCAAGTGGTGTACTGTCTATACCTCGATTATGGGGTCAATGAAAAAGCTGCGCTGGTAGCAGAGCTCCGTGGGCGTTCGGGGACACTAGCTGTTCTGAACATGGTGCCGCTGTTTCTTCTGGCGGCACGTAACAACCCTCTCATTTCAATTCTGCACGTCAGCTTCGATACATACAACCTTATTCACCGCTGGCTCGGCCGCATCGTTGTGCTCGAAGCCGTCACGCACACCGCTGCCTGGGCAGTGAATGCCTGCGACGAGCAGAACCTGACCGCTGCTCTGGCACGTATCAAAGACACGCCGTTCTTTACCTGGGGACTGGTAGGAACCGTCTCAATGGTCTTCCTTGTTTTGCACTCACCTTCGCCTCTCCGCCATGCCTTCTACGAGACATTCCTTCATCTGCACCAGCTTGCCGCATTACTGGCGTTCCTCGGTGTGTACGTCCACTTGAACCTGGACAGTCTTCCACAGCGAACCTGGGCCAACGCCATCGCCGCAATTTGGCTCATCGAGCGAAGCCTGCGAGTACTCCGACTCGTGCATCTGAATATCTCATGCCGGAACGGCTACACGAAGATGACCGTCCAAGCTCTCCCCGGTGACGCATGCCGAGTAACCTTCCACCTTCCAAAAAGTGTGAACATCTCACCAGGCTCGCACGTCTACGCCTACATCCCCTGCGTGTCATGGTGGATGTCGCACCCGTTCTCAGTAGCCTGGTTTGAGCCCGGCACAATCGCCCACTGCGCATCCAACCCTGTGACTCCCTCGGCCCTAGAAAAACAACCCTTCGATAAAGACTACTTCGACCCTCCCTCCCAAACAACACAAGTCTCCCTCATCATCACCGCCCGTCAGGGCATGACCCGCCGCCTATTTGATATTGCCCGCGGCAAACCAAACCAACTCCTCCACGCATCGGGATACCTCGAAGGACCCTACAGTAGCCACCCAGTCAGGATGCCCAGCTACGGCACAACCGTATTATTCTCCGCAGGAGCAGGTATAACCCACCACCTACTATTCACACGCGACCTCCTCCAACGCGCGTCATCATCCTGCGCCGCCACGCGACGCATCTACCTCATCTGGTCAATCCGCTCGACAGACCACCTCGCGTGGGTTAGCCAATGGATGGACCAGATCCTGCACCTGCCGTCGCGGCGCGAGATCCTAGTAGTCAAATTGTTTGTGTCGAAGCCGCGGCGGGCTGCAGATATTATCTCGCCGTCTGCGACGGTGCAGATGTTCTCTGGCCGGTGTAGGCCTGATGTTGTACTCGACGAGATTCTTCCGGGACGTGTTGGTGCCACGCTTGTTTCCGTGTGTGGGCCTGGGGCGTTTGCGGATGAAGTGCGTGCTGCGACGAGGGATAGGATTGGGAAGGGGGCCGTTGTGGATTTTACAGAAGAGGCCTTTACGTGGTAGATTTGTTTCTTCCTTTAGAGCTTCTTGTTTCATTGTTCTGTGTTCGCCTTTACGCTGGCGTTGGTGGGGGTTACATGTCTGTTTTCAAAGTTATGTATTTTTTTATACATGGGTTGTGCAATGTTCACTTCTTTTCTATCCCATCATGTGTTGAATAGCAGATCTAAACAGCCGGGAATGCTAGAGTGGAAACGTTAGACAATTCGAAATTCAAGCTCCCATCGCAAAAAATATTATCAGTATCCCTTCTAGGTAAACGATATGGAGATAGGAGGAGATTAGTAGTTACTTTCATCGAGGATTGTCTTTGACATCTAGAAGGGTGGTACCAGAGCAGACCGAGGATACTGGAGCGTCAAACAGTCTTCAAAGAGATTATTAAATGCTAGTTCTAGCGAGGAGAGTGTTCAAATTGAAGTGCTAATATGTCCAATCTAGCATTCTAGAACTGCTATTCAGAAAAGCTTCCAATATATGAACGAAGTAGAGCACAAGACACCCAAATGAGCCCATGGAAGCGAAATAACACATATGCAAGGGTGGGCAAGACAGAAACCTTTATATATGCGTAAAGAAAAGAGACAAAGTCTAAATCGAAAATAAAGAGTATAAACAAAATTTTTACTGATGAGTATCAGGAACAGAAAAGAGGGAGCCGAAAGAGGCATAGAATCAGGAGCTCTTGCTCTTGCTCTTGCTCTTGCTCCGGCTGCCCTTGGGCACACGAGCCAGCCAGTAGATGAACACGGCCAGGAAGATGTTGACAATGATGTAGACCCACATGATGCCGAAGTTGCGCCAAGCGTCTTTGTAGTAGCTCGACACACTGGCGAGGAAAGTATCTGTGGAGGAGATGGTGCAGAAGGAGCAGTCGGTGGTGGACATCTTCGATGAAGCTTCGAGATATCCTCCAAACGCTTTGATGTAAGGAGCCATGTACTTCTCACAGGTCTGGCCGGATGGAGGCGTGAAGTGGAGGAGCTCGATAGGCGAGCAAACGGCTGTAGTGCCAGACACACCGGTGGATAACATCGCAGACACGAGATACGTGAACGGCGAGACACGGTACATGAAGATCCAAAAGCGGGGCATCTTGGCCGGGGTCGCGAGGACACCACAGAAGATAAGACAAAGAGAGAAGAGCAAGTTGGCCAGGTTACCACCGGTCTCGGCAAGCTCGATACCGGCGATCATCATGTGAGAGAAGGTGGAGGTAAATAGAAGGAAGGTCCAGATCAGGAGGAACATCAGTGCACCACGCTCATGCAGGGAGTCGGTGTCGTATGTGTTACGGTACAGACCGATTGGATAGTACCAACAGACGAAGATTAGGATAGCCATAAGCGTGTTCCAAGGCAGCTCAACCAAGATATTGGCCGTCATGAATGCTTGCCACGAGTAGGTCTTGGAAGGACGCTCGCGGACCTCATACAAAGAACGCTGGGTGACGAAGTGAGGCATGATCTGTTGAACCAAGTTACCGAAGATGGTCATCAGCATAAAAATACTGAACATCTGGTTCTGGAGACCTTGGAGACTGTTCTTGGCGTGGAAGAAGGAGAAACCGATATAGATGGCCGTTAAGACACAGAGAGCGGCCTTGGAGTAAATGTAGACGGGAGTGCGCCAGTACTGACTGAACACGCGGACCAGGCACTCGTAGAGCTGAACGCTGAAAGGAGCGGCGAACTCCTTGTAGTTTGCAGGGTTGTCAGTTGACTCCTCCACGGGCTTCTGAGAGAGGGTCGCCTTCAATTCAGCCAGATGTTCGTGCACCTTAACGCGCTCGGGGCTCTCTCGCCAAACGACAGGCCAATCAATGTCACTGTGGGATCCAGGGGCAGCACCGATAACTTCAAGCATCCACTCGGCAGGGTTAGCATCGGGAGAGAGCTTGGGTGCGCCATTCCTTTCGAAGTAGCTGGAAAGGATGGAGGACTTCTCGCCGATGTCACCGAAGTAGACGGTCTTACCACCCTTCGCAAGGAAAAGAAGACGGTCGAAACGTTGGAACAACATAGCAGAGGGCTGGTGAATAGTGCAGAGAATGGCCTGTCCGTGCTGGGTGAGAGTGTCGATGAGATCGAGAATAGACCAGGAAGTTTGACTGTCAAGACCGGAAGTGGGCTCGTCAAGGAACAGAAGCAGCTGGGGCTTAGCAGCAAGCTCGACACCGATGGTGAGACGCTTGCGCTGCTCGACGTTAAGACCTTCACCGGGGACACCCACAACAGCATCAGCATAGCTTTCCATTCCCAGAAGCTTGATGACCTCTTCGACGTAATCCAGCTTCTCTTGGCGACTGACGTGCTCGGGTTGACGGAGGATGGCACTGAAGCGAAGAGCCTCACGGACAGTGGTGGTGTAGAGATGAAGATCCTGCTGTTGGACGTAACCAGTCTTCCGCTGGAAGGACTGATCACGAAGACGGCCATCGACAAGCATTTCACCGGAAACAACACCCATAGTGACACGAGTAGCCAGCACATCAAGCAGAGTAGTCTTACCAGCACCAGACACACCCATAAGGGCTGTGCAAGTACCGGGCTTGACCCAACCATCAACGTGATCCAGAATCCGGCGCTCCTCGCTCTTGATCTTGATATCGTAGCAAACATCTTGCCAGTGGAAGACAGCGGTCTGTCTCTGAATCTTGGCAGAGACTTCCTTGGTCGACTCGTCAGTCTTCTCAGCCGAGGCCACCGACTGGGATCCCTCGACATCACCGGGCTCGGACCGCTTGGGAGCTTGACCGCGACGGAAGAGCAGAACCTCCCCCTTAGACTTGGACTCGGAAATGTACTCGGTGCCAATGAGGTAGGTAGCCATGAAGAAAATCATGAAACCGATCATGATGCCCAGGTTGCGCCACTTGTGGCTGTTGTAGTACTGGAAGCTGTCGTGGAGGTAATTATCGCCCATGACAATATTGGAAGCAGGGCGAGCACCCTTGGCAGAACAAACCTTGTTGGCCAAGCCGACGCTGTTGTAGACATTCAAGTTAGACGGAATGAAAGAAGAGCAGGTGAAGTTTCGGTTGTGGAACTCGTTGACCATGAGAGACTCAAAACCGTATCCGATGGGATCAATGTAGTTCATCCAGCGAGACCAGCCAAGCATATTAGTGGGCGGGATGGTGAAACCAGTGTAAATGATGAGACCCAGAATCAAGACGGCGGCCGGCACCAGAGCCTGAGAAAGGGTTCGAGAAAAGGCAGCAATAGTGCGGAAAATCATAGACATGGTCATGGTGGTCATGAAGGAGAACAGAAGGAAGGTGAAGAAAGCACCAGGAGTCCGGCGAAGGTTGGTCAAGAAGTAAAGGGTCACGTTGAAGGTTACGGCGTTGAGAAGCTTATACGGCATGTCACACATCATCGACGCGACAGCCTCGGTGAAGGGGTGGTACATAGCATATCGAGCTTGTTTTTCGACAATGGGACGTTGTGCGTAAAGGGTCAGAATCTCAAGGGCACTGGAGAAAGCATTGAGCAGGACGGCGAAGAAAAGAAGGGCACCACGAGAATAGAAACTGTCGGTGTCGTCCTGCAAGTTGTAGAAGACGGAACCGATGATCAGAGCCATAATGAAGTTTCCGATGAGTTGAGACAAGGTCAAGCTTGCATCGCCCTTGAGGCGCTGGAAGCCACGTGCCATGCAGAGGTTGATCTGCTCCATGACAGACAAGGTGTAAGGAGAGCGGACGCGCTGGCCTTTAGACTGCATAGCCTTTCGCGAGTCAATGAACTTCTGCAGCGACTCTCCGCCAATAGGGTAGGTCTGGTCGTATTCCTCGATCTCCCTCATCAGCTGCGTATAAGCATCGCTCTTCTTCCAGGCAGCGGCGAATTCGTCGGGGGTACGAGGCACACTATGTTCGAATCCGGGCTTCACGAGACGCTCCGCAGGACTTGTGAGGGAGGTCAGAAAATCGGCGGTAGTCTGACGCTCGGGACAGTCGAAACCCATGGTCGTAAAGAACTCCTTGGCGTCCTCGGTACGGCCGAAATAGATCTGACGACCCTCGTATAGAACGGTCACCTTGTCAAAGACATCATAGGCACTCTGGGAGGCCTGGTAGATGGCAACTGCACAGGTTGTGCCAGAGTACTTGGCCATCAAGTTCAGGGTCTTGCAGAATTCGAGGGCGTTGGCACTATCCAGGCCACGGGTGGAGTTATCCCAGCACTGCAGAGGGCTGCCGCAAAGGGTAGCCTCTGCGATACTGACACGCTTGCGCTCACCACCAGAGACACCACGCACGAAGTCGTTACCGACGCGGGAGTTGATGGTGTGCGAGAGACCCAGCATAGCCATGACGACGTCACGCATATGCGTGGCGTACTGATCCCGAGAAACACCGGGCAAGCGGTTGCGCGGAGCACGGGCCAAAGCAGCGAACTTCAGCGTGTCTCCCACAGACAGCTGGGGGAAGTGAACATCGGTCTCGGCGGTATAAATGGCCTCGCCACGGAACTGGTTTTTCATCTTCTTGTCGGAAATACCCTGGTAGTTCATGTGGGACTGGCCATCCTTCTGAATACCGTTCATTTCACCAGCAAGAGTCTTCAGGAAGGTTGAGCAACCGGAACCGGGACGGCCCAGAACGACGAGCATCTCGCCACTCTTGACCAAGCCATCAAAATCACGTAGAATTTGGATCTTCTGCTTTCCAGTTCCGGTCATCAAGCGGGCCAAAGCTCCGACCTGCAGGATGGAGTTAAACACATCCTTCTGATAATCTGTCGGGCTGCCATGTCCATGCACGCTGAGGTTTCGGAAGGAGACACCGGCTTGGCGCTGGGGGTACCGTTCGGGGTCGCGAGAGGTGACGGCGAGCAGGTTCTTCATCCAGTTGCGGGCCTTGAAGTTCGGGCTGTGCGGGTTGAGGGTCGAATCCTCCTTCATGTCGATGAAGGTGTTCTCGGCCTCACCCCAGCGAGTGGATTCGCGAGTGAGCTTCCGGGCCATGTCGGTGACCTCGGCCTCGACCATCTCCTCATCGATCTCTTCGGACTTCTCGACGGTTGTATCGTCGGTGCTGACGCTGGCGGCGGGGTCATGGTGACGAGTTTCACGCGAGACCATCGTAGACTCGTGATTGGTCTCGGGGAGATTAGGGTTGATAGTCCCCAGGAGCGACATGATGGGTACACTCCGGACTGATTAGAAAATGGGGCGTATATAGAAAACGGGGAATGGTCGCGAGCCCAGTAGTAGACGACAGTGAGGGGATGACCATCAACTGGGGACCTTGTAGGGAGGCGACAAGAACAAGAAGGAGGATTAAAGCCGAGTGGCGAGTATTAGGGAAGAGATATTAGACGTATATTCAAGGAACAAGAAACGAAAGAGTGTCAGGAGATTTAATACAAAGGAAAGGATGAACTAATGGGAAAAGAGCATCATTCGGGACCGGAGCAATCACAGGTTTCTCCCGAAAGGAATGAGCCCATCCGTCCGGCGATAAGCACCAGGCACAGTGGAGCAGTCATCAAGGTCAGTGCTGCCTAAAAAAAACCCATCAATGTCAGATTATACGGGCTAGAATCTTCGAGTCAAGCGTGCAATAACGCAATTGGGCTTAGCGTCATCTAATGCATCATACACGGAGCCTACGCGACAAATAACTGTAGGCCGGGCACCGAAACCGTACAGGTTATGCGGAGCACGGCCACGTTATTCCAGGATCCGTCCAGACACGTGTGGTTGCGTTCTGGAAGAAAAGTGGGCCGGGACTGGACTTCCCGAGAACCCTTTTTTTCGCCGCGGACTCCATTCACGGGGCTCCGTTGCTCGGATGGCGGGATCCGCTATCCGAGCTGACTCATCTCCGCTATTTTCGTCCATTGCCGGGGTTCTCCATGTCCTACTTCCTTGTCTTTGGTCCGTGTTCGTCCACTTGATCTGATATCTGTCAGACACAGGTCTGACAGATGACGCCAATGGCTCCGGATTCCCCTGCATGCATCTGATCGTGACCCTTACATGGGAGGCCTAGTGGTGTGCACGAGTCAAGTTTCACTGGATTTGGTACACTATGAGGCTCGGAAACCTGGTATCATGACACTTCTTCGTCTTCGTCTTCGTCTTCGTCTTCCTCTTCTTCAATCGGCTCCACCAACAGATTGCCTCCCCGTCCGATCTTGTCCTGGATCGTACCGCCTTCTTCAACCGCATACACCGCGCGCGGCATGGGTGACACCAATCGGAAACCGTACTGATGCTGGAACCCCGCGGGTTTGCTAACATCCGTGGGCCGTGCCTCATCTTGTAGAATCTCGTAGCATTCCACTACCGCGTAGAGCTCCTCGATGTCAGCCTCGGGCGCAAATCGCCGCATGATGCGCTCGCCAGATGGCAATCGCACGCTAACACGCACGGCATCCTTGACATCGTTACCGGGCTCCACGCCGAGGGACTGTGCACGCCAAAACCTCCACTGTGCCAAATCCCGCTTCTTTTTCTCCTCGGCTGCTTGGCGTTCCGCCGCCTCCTGCTCTTCCCTCTGTCGGGCAGCTTCCGCTTCCCGGCGTTGGCGAGCCCGTTCCCGGTCGATCGCCAGCGACCGCTCGTAGGCCGAATCTTGCTGTTCACGCAAGCTACGAGATGCCTGCTGCTCGGCACGCGTCGCACGAATGCGCTCCAGCGGTTCCTGATTCGTTAAAATGGCTGTGCGGAGTCGGTTAACAAACTCCGACGGCGCAGTGGTGCCTGCAATGCGGCCCACCACCGACATGGCGGTCGATGAGACATTCGGTGTGTGAACGGTCAAGGCGACAAAGGGGAACTTTGTGCAGCGTAGTGAGTTGGCCACCTGATATGCCTCAGAGTCCCGTACGTTGCCGCCCCACACCAGAAGGTTGTTTTGCGGGTCATTGAGGAACTCCACGACTTCCGGCGCCAGCAGGGTATCCCGCACCCAGCCATTCGTATCGTCGTGCTCGGGCGACGTGAGAATCACCAACAAGAACTTCAAATCCCGGTGGGCCTTCTCCAAGGCCATGTTGTATCCATTTTCCAAAAATGGCACCGAGTGCGATCCATACTCCTCATCAAACTCGCGGATGAAACGAGCTGCTGTATCTTTAGGGCCGAGTGGTCGACGACCCGTGGTATTCCGTGCGCCCTGTAAGGCTGGATTCGCGGTTGCATTGAACAGCCGCGGGAGGAAGGGAAACAGCGTCCCGAAAAGACGGAATGAGCTGCAGAGCAGTCGGTAGACAAGGTTAAAGGGGGTAAAAAGGAGGGCGAGGATGAAGGGAGGGCGATAGACTAGTTGTTCTTCGGGTTGTGTATCGACTCGCGGGGCCGGGTCTGCGGAGCGAGCAACGGGCAAGAATCCCTCGGTAAGATCATCGGACATCAGATTCTGGGTTCGACGTTCCGCACGAGGTGGAGGGGATTGCATTGCTTCTCGAGCCTCTTCGACCGGGTCAGGCCCCTCGCCGTCAAAAAATTTGGAGATAGCTATCTGTGCCGGGGTAAGCAAGCTACCTCGGAGCTCAGAGGACAGCACCAACCTGGACATTCCATTGTGACCGGCGCAGAAGCGGAATGGCCTCTGCTAGCTCTTGACCTGTGACAGAGGTGTATGTATCCAATGCCGTTCTCTCGCTGGGAGAGAGCTGATCGAGGTCGAGCTCAGCAGCGGACATGTTGGCTGATAGATGACAGGCCGATAGCGTGAGTCGGAGAGGACATGTAGAAGGCGGATGGGGTCACCGCCTTTCATGCCGCCCATGTTTATCGTGGAGCTCCTCCAGGTCCTGAATGATGTTTGCATAGAAGCGTATTTTAATTTCTTTTTTATATAGATCATCTGGGAGTTTAATTGTTGATATTCTTTCAACCTCGTCCATAAAGCATCTTGCCTGTCCAGCCCTGGACGTGCAGCCTGTAAATTACATCATCCGAAGTGATTGTACGATAAGGCTAGGTTCTCCCGAGGCCTCGTACCAACGAAAGGGAAGTGTATGTGAGCATTTGTGTGACCTCGGGACATGTTGTAGGTACCTTACTTCTTCCCTGCTGCGGATGTCAAAGGGTATGCACTAGGTAGTGATGGGGCTGAAATTCTGCTGGATACATACTGCAGTCCTAGATATACATATCAGAGGAAAACTTAGCATGATAACCCGACACGTACCGTTTAGGTAGGTGGTGACCCCGTCGGATCTTATAATTCACATGGATGTCGGGACCCATTCTCTTGAACGAGTGAGCCCTATCACCTTGCAATGTCCATGTATTCTCGCGGTGATAACGGTTAAACGGACTATCGCGAAGCTCGGCTGACCGCCTGGTCCGTGCGCGTTCCCCCTTCGCTCGAGTTCGCCTCGCCCCGCGTCCTCTCCTCATCGGTTCTATCGCTCTCGATCTGCTTTTGGAGGGCAGAGTCGACATTGGGCCCCGTATTATTATCTGCATGCCTGCTCGAGATATTGATATCTCCACGACCCCCGTGGATTCATCCATTGGTCCGCTCTTCGACGATCAACGCGCCGACGACGGTGCTACTGTATAGGTCGGATCGGATCGCAGGGAATGTGGCCCCCTCTCGATCACCTCAATCGCATCGTCTTCGGTCCCGTTTCAATGGAGATTCTTCTGTGTTGATCCGTTTCGTCTCGGTATCAGCCGTCTATCATGGCCTCCTCCGCCAAACCTCCACTCGATGAATCCCGTCGCACGACGGGATCGCCGAAAATGAAGACTCGAGGTGAGTGTGTCGTGGCCCGTGTCGGGAATGGCTGCCGATAGATGCATGAGATGAAGCTGCTGGAGATGGCTGCCGGAATCGCGGACCTCGCTCATTTGTGATATTGGAACAGAGAACGCGAAAGATACATTATGTCGCAATGTAACCATCTATGGACGATGCCGCTATGAGGACAAAGGTAAAGGTCTTGAAGCCGTGGCGGTTTTAGAGATCAATTCTGACCGGAGTTTTTCAATCCAGGTTGCGCTTTCAACCATGACCCTCTCAGACTCAACGCTGCGAATCAGTCCGATAGGTAAGGTGTACCGTACCGTGCATCCTTATAACACAAGCATGCTAATGACAGTGCTCAGTAACAAGAAACGATTCAACGTGGACTCGCCCAGCTTCACCCCATCCCTCCTGTCTGGCAACGGCAACTCCGCCCCCAAGAAATCCAATCCCATCTCCCCGAAGGCTGCGAATGCAGCTCCATTCCAACCCCGCCCTGCGGCATCGCGTATGTCCATCGATCCGAGTTCAAAATATCTCTGCTGACTGGCCAAGGCTCCAACACAAGTACCCCAACAATGATGCAGGAAGCAGGAACCCCCGACTGGACGTTGGCCGAAGTGCAGGAGTTTGTGCCTCAAGGTTTCGAGAGCGCTCACGTGGTAAGTCGCTCCTTCCATTTCGTCTGTAGTTGCGATGGTTGTGCTCCAAGAGTCGAACTCGACGCTTTGATCTCCTCTCAAGCTTGCTAGCATGCTGGGATCTTTTCACAATCGCTCCAGCCGGAGCCTTAGTGCTCTGGCGGATGATTTCGATCCCATCTCCGAGCGAAGGACAACCAAATACCGCAGCTCCAGCCTTGAATTATGTCCCACTAACTCCAACTGCCAGGGATCTTTTCAGGGCAATGGTAATGGTGCCATTGCTACCACTGGTGGCTTCGATCCTTTTGTCACCTCAACCCCGATGTCTGCAACTGCAGTTGGACCCGTTGCGGCCAACCCGTACTCTCACGATACGGCCGCCGCAATGGGAGGAGCCTTTTTCGCTAGTCAGACTGGCTTTCAGCAACCGGTATGATTCTCGCTTAAATATTTCATGCATTGTTTAACAACCTGCAGGTCCAGTATCATCTATACGCTCCAATTGGCCCTCACAATCAGAACACTCTGGGCTATCAGCGCAATGTCCACGACCTCTTTCTTCCTAATGACTTCCGCGAGGAACTGCAGAAGAAGGCTGCAGCTACCTTGCAAACCCTGCCCAGTACGTTGATCTAATGTGATATTCTAAGCTAGGATCAATCTGACTTCTTTCAGACACAACATTACCCGCCCAGGTCGACTATTTCCACTCTCTAGTCCCGTTGGACCTCAGCCATCAGAAGAATGCTGCTACATTCGGCTTTCCCAGCTGGGTATATAAGGCACAATCGAGTAAAGATGGAAATTTCTATGCTCTTCGAAGACTTGAAGGTATGAAAACCGGCAACCCATTACCACACAACGTTGTCTGACTTGCACAGGATTCCGCTTGACCAACGAGAAGGCCATCCGATCCGTCCAAGCGTGGAAGCGCGTGTGCAGTGGAAGCGTAGTCACCGTCCATGACGCATTTACTAGCCGAAGCTTCCAGGACAGCTCGCTCATTTTCGTCACCGACTACCATCCTCTCTCCAAAACCCTGGCTGAGCAGCATTTGGGTGCTGGAAACCGCTTCCAGGGCGCCCGTCACAATACCCACATACCTGAGCAGGTTCTCTGGGGCTACATGACTCAGATTGCAAATGCTTTGAAGGCGATCCACACTAACGGTCTTGCAGCAAGAGTGCTGGAGCCGAGTAAAGTCTTGTTGACGGGCAAGAATCGAATCCGTCTCAGTGCCTGTTCAATTTTGGACGTGGTCCAATTTGACTCTCAGCGGACCGTTGCGGACCTCCAGCGGCAGGATCTAGTCAACTTCGGACAATTGATCGTCGCTCTGGGGGCCAACTCGCCCACCGTGATGCACAACCCTACTAAAGCCATGGAGCATTTCACTCGCGCGTACAGCCCTCAGTTGAAGAACTCCGTCTTCTGGCTTCTCAACGGCCTCCAGAAAGACGCGGACCGGACCATCGACATCTTCATTACGGGCATCTCGTCGCAGCTGATGTCAACCTTTGATTCGGCGCTCCATCTGGACGACCAACTCACATCCGATCTCGGCCGTGAGCTCGAGAACGGTCGCCTTGTGCGTCTTATGACTAAATTGAATTTTGTCAACGAGCGACCTGAGTACGAACATGACCGGCAGTGGTCCGAGAGCGGAGAGCGCTATTTCTTGAAGATCTTCCGCGACTACGTCTTCCACCAGGTGGACCCCCAGGGCGAGCCAGTGGTCGACCTCGGACACGTCCTGGCATGTTTGAACAAGCTAGATGCCGGTTCCGACGAGAAAGTCACTTTGGTGAGCCGTGACGAGCAGAGCTGCTTTATCGTCAGCTACAAGGAAATCAAGAAGGCCCTCGAGTCCTCTTTCCAGGCACTGATGAAGCCGACGAGAAGAATGCACTAGTGTAGAGAATACGTGGCTATGATTACGACGGCTGTTAGGTACCTATATTGTCAATCCCTCCGGGATTCATATACAAGCAGGCGCGAAATGGATCCGGGATCTTTGCTTTGCTTTCATCAGCAAGGTTTCTCAGTCTGCCTTGTCTCGTTACATTTTGTTTATGGCCCAGCATGGCAACGCCAGCAATATTTTATGGAAATACAGACACATAAAGAATGAAGAAACTCAATCTCAACCCGCGCAGAAGTAGACCTGAGAACACCTCACTCATTTTGTGAAAATAAGGCAAGTTCATGCAATTCATAAATTTTACAATCATTGATATCTTAAAACAAAGCTCAAGTCATCTCCTAGTTCCGTAGCCAAGTTCGTAAGCCGTCCTGTATCCCCCAAAAATAATTTTTCCGTCTCCGCTGCTCATTGCTTAATCGAGATCCGGCACAGGCAGTCCATTCACGATCTTCACTTTCCGACCAAGAGCATCCAGCGCAACCTTGGAGTTCTTCGCGCGCAGCTCGCTCGTCTCGGCATCCGACACGAGCACAAAGTCATAGGTAAGCAGGGCGTGGCCCTCGGGGACGTTATATTTCTTGGCGATTTCAGGCCCAGCCTTGCCAATATCCACGGTGAGGGAATCCTTGACACCGAAGACGGCATCGGAGGTTTCATAAGGGTCATTGCGGAGGTAGAGGGCACTGATTTTGTCAGAAAGCATATAAAACCGTTGGACATAGTAGAAACATACGTAATCAAGTGATCGTAACCTTCCTTCTGGAACATAAAGTGCATATGCGACGGGCGGAAGGGATGACGATGCAACTTCTCCAACAGCCTGCCCACAGGCCCGTCATGGGGAATCGGGTACGGCACGGGCGTGATAGCATGGAACCAGAAAACGCCCTCCTTATCCGAGCGCATAATGCAGCGCCCATCGGGCCCCTCGCGCCCTGCATACTGCACATCATAGTGGCCCGTGGAATCGGTCTCCCAGATATCAATCTTGACGTTCTCAATAGGCTTACCCTCGGTATCACGCAGATTACATACGACCAGCAGGGGCTCGCCCTTGGGGTCGTGCGACATGGAGTCACCGGCGGGCATCTCCTCGGCATCGTGGGTGTGGAAGGGGCCTAGCACGGTGCCCTCGGTGGAGCCCGGTGGCTTGGGGTGGTCGATTGAGTCGACGAGAATCGAAAGGCCCAGGACGTCGGAGAGGAGGATGAATTCCTGACGCACGTCGGTGCAGATCTGGCCTACTTCGGTCAAGAAGCGGAGGCCGGTCATCCATTCGTCGCTGCTGAGGCGGGTTTCGCGGGCGAAGTCGTGGAGGTGCGTGACGAGGCGCTCGAGCACGTATTTCATGCGCTCGTCTTCGCAGAGCGAATTGATCGTGATCACATTCTCGGTGATGTTGTCAACCGTGAGGTTTTTCATGGGCGGAATCTTGACCTTGGAAGGATCCATTATGGCGGGGGAGCTATCTTATCGAGGTGAAAGGGAATAGGGAAGAGGTAGAGAGAGGAACCCGGGGTGCGCGTTTATATTCATGTCGAGGGGCCGGACTTGTAAGTCGGCAGTTCTGGGGAGTGGGGTTTGTATCATGACTTCGAAACAAACAATGATGAGCTTTGCACCCCGCAGAGGATCTCGCCCACTCACCGCGGCGGAATTACTACCACAACCCGGGATTCCCCCATTCTCTATACTCCCTACTCCCTCCCTTAAATTCCATCAATACTGACCCGGTGCATATACAGCCTAGGTAGTTAATAAACTACCTGAATTATTTCCAACACGCCCAAATCCTAGCAGTGGAAGAGAATACAGGACGAGAACATACCCGGGCTTCTCCATGTTCCGCGCGGAGCTAATTCCTAACATTGGTCATCATGTTCTAAGCACCCGCGGGTGGGGCGGTTGATGTATATCCGCATGGCTTCCGGCAGGCGATTTGGACTTCTGCCGATTCTATGGGCTTGAGATTTTTTATATCCGTGGGCGGGTGATCCGGGGTAACTAAGGTTTACTTCCATAGATACGTATGCTGTGTTCAACATCTCTTGTAGTGGCTGCCTCAAGACGGCTCGAAGGAAATTTGTGAGCTGACGACCAGATCTTGTGTTTTGGTTTCTCCAAAGAAGCATATACCGCGCGCGCCATTGCGGGCTTGATTTCGGATATTGGAATTATTTTAAGACGGATATTCAGGTTTTCCTGAGGCGTAAGAGCTTTACAAGGAAAGTCAGCCTGCGATCACCGGGACGGGTTTTATGGTAGTGATGCATACTGTGGTTGACCTCAGAGACATCTACCCTAAGATATTCAGTGATGGATGAGCTGCCAACTATATCAGGCTTACATAGGAAGCACTCCCAGAATGAAAAGAGCATAAGACACATAAACTTTCGTGGATATAATATGTAACCTGAAAGACAAACCCTCAACCATCCAGTTCGCCAACGCTCACAGCTGTACAGCCGAATAGCAAGAATATACACTATGTGAAAAGATGATTAAGCCTGCACCAGGTGTCGATCCCGGTCACGATCCCGGTCACGATCCCGTTCCCTTTCCCTTTCTCGTTCCCTTTCTCGTTCACGTTCCCGTTCCCGTTCCGGCTCGCGCTCGCGCTCTCTTTCGGCATCCCGATCATTCCCATTATCCCCAGACCGCTCGGCACCACGCTCTTTCTCCTGCACGGCAGCCGCCACCCGCGCGTGATGGTCTACCGTATCCAGGATAGCCTGCATCAGGCGCTGATTCGCGTCAGGGTCATCGTCCTGAGCAGGTCGCTGCTGTGGGTGTCCGTGATGCGGGTGCGGGTGCGGGTGCTGGTGCGGGTGCTGGTGCGGGTGCTGGTGCGGGTGCGAGTGCTGGTGCTCGTGGTGGACCCGGCCACTGCCTTCATCACTCATGGCTCTCCGTGGTGAGTTGGCGGATGATGGGGGTAGATTCATAGATGCTCCTGAGCCGGGAGCGACATGTGAAGCCCCCGGTGCTGATTCACGGCGACTGTGGTAGTAGCTGTGTGGATCCATAGATGCAGCTGCCTCCGAAGCACGCTCTGAATGCGCTGGGCCACTCGGGCCTGGAGATGGCGCAAAACTCTGGATAGGAGGGAGGGTAGGGCGTTCTTCATCGTGGCGCTCACGTGGTATGAACCCGGACGATCCATATGCTGCGCGTATCTCATCTTCCTTGACGTCGCGCCAAGAGCATTTGGCGTGCTTTTTGGTGCAGCCCATGCAGGCAGTCAGATTCTTGAGACAGTCCATGTGGAGACGGCGACACCGGTCACAGGGTGGGACCACTCGTTCGCCACGGCCTAGCTCTTCCATGCGGGCTACCATCTCCAGCTTGAACGGGCCCCCGTCATCCTTCTCGCTGGGTGTCGTCTTTGGCGGCGGGAGTAGTGAGGTCGGAGTACCGGGAATGGCGACCGGGGTTGTAGCAGCCGGTATAATACTGTAATCCGCTGGATCCGAGACTCGAGGCCGCGGCAGAGGCTGAGTCTGAGTCTGCGGGTTTACTGGGCTCGAGGCATCTTCGTAGCCGCGCGCATGGCGATCAGCCGTAGTGAAGAACTTCTTCATGAGTTCGGCGCGCGTAGTGGGCGAGGCGCCTTTGATCGAGGTCCCATTTATAATAGTCACATTTTCTGTGTTGGAGTGGGAGAACATGAACTGCGATGATAGCGGGTTCTCTTCGGACTCGGCCTCGGGCAGATTTGCGTTGACGGCCACGAAGCCGGAGGGCGATGTATTGGATTGACGGCCATTGGTCAAGCCATGACCATTGGCATCGCGCCAAATGTCGACCGCACTGCGCGATTGCAATGAAGCGTCATTCTCTCGTCGACTCACGATCGCGGTACGGCGGTTCTTCAGACGGTAACTGAGCTGACGGGCTCGGGCGGACACTACGCGCAGAATCAATTAGTGCATGTCACGAACTATAAACTGTGTAGAAAGTGCTTACCTTGGTCAGCCATCTGAATGATATGCTGGAGATTCTTCTCCAGAATTTCCAGCGCGCCCAGCTCCTTCTCCTCGTCCTCGATTATAGGTTGCGGCGGAATCATCTTCTGTGGCATGCCCGAGGAAATAAGCACAAAGTCCTCCTCACTGATCTCCACGCGACACTGCTTGGTATAGAACTGGCAGACTCGAATGCCGTTGCGCTGCTTCTCCAGATTGAACTGCTCGGGCTTGCTCTTGGCGAACTCGACCACGTCCAGCCAGGTAACCGTGGGACCATCCTTGCCGTGCGACTTGAGCACGCGCGGGGGTCCGTCGAACAGGCGCTCGAAGCGTTTGATCAGAATCGGGCCCAGCGGGCATGCGCCAAGGTTGCCGGCGATGCTCTCGTGGCGGTGGAGTACTCCGTCATACTCGCCGATCAGGTGGATTATGGCGGGCATGGTATCTTCAGCAGAGACCAGAGGCAGGTTATCGGGATACTGGCGCGCGAGGTAGTTGATCTGGAGGTGGTTCGAGTGCGTCTTGGGCACCTTGGACTGGTGCAGATGCTGGTGCTCGCCCGCGGGAGACCGGGGCCGTTTGTTCGACGGCTCCGCAGCCACGGGGTGTGACATGGCGATTGTTCGGAGGAGTATACTTGGAATGGATAGGAGTCGAGGCAGGGTCAAATAAAATTGGTGCCGGGAGCCGGTGCGGCTGAGGGACGTCAAGAGGGCGGGAGCGCAGGTTGCGCGGGACTAAGGACTAGGGAGCCGTATAGAACTGACCATGTGTACAGGCAAGAATGGACCCATGAGAAAAGCACAGAGAAGAGAGAGGAGTCAGGTGTCAGATGTCAGGGAGGAAGAGCCAAAAGTGGCTCCCGGAACGAACGGAGCCTACAGAGAAGTACCTGTACCTGGTCTCGGGGCTTTCATCCGCCCTGTTGGTTACGGTACCTGTACATGGCGGAGTCCCGCCGGCCTTTTCCGCTGGAATGCGCTGGCAACCTCCGCCTGCACCTAATCGGTTTTCTGGAGCTGCACATCTCATTGCTCTTGGGGATTACATGTGTCTGTACCTATCGGTGACCAAGTTCCCATATCTTGCCCCGAAAGGCTGGTGTCCCCACCAGACAAGCCTTTTGCCTTGGGGAGGTGCATTTCGCTGATGCCTGATGTCCGCGCGTACTGATAATTACCTCCGCCCACCGCCCCGGTAATATACACTTCCGTCCTTACCGGCGGGATTCAGGCGGACCCAAAGCGTCCACTCCCAGCCTGTAAACCCCCGCTAAAAATCCCTCATACATGACCCCCCTTCACCACCATCTGGCCTCGGGCGATACACTGACTCTTTTCCTTTCCCGCCCTATTTCTCCTATCTGGGTTTAACTCCTTTTCCTCCCCCCCCCCCCCCCTTCACCGCTCTCCCCAAGTCAAACCCCCATGTCCGAACGTGGTTCGTTCCGAGGGGGCCGTGGCCGCGGTGGTCGCCAGTCCCAGCAGAAAAGTGGCGGTGGTGGCGGTGCACAGGAGAAGCCCAAGAAGGAAAACATCCTCGATCTGAACAAGTACATGGACAAGGAGGTCCAGGTCAAGTTCAATGGCGGTCGTGAAGGTGAGTTTGATATTTTCTGTCCATTCTTTGAACACCTAGGTACCTATGCTAGATGCTGACCCCCATTAGTCACTGGTACCCTGAAAGGTTATGACCAGCTCATGAACCTCGTCCTCGACGACGTCAAGGAATCCATGCGCGGTAAGCCTTACCTCATCCTGTGGATCTTTTTTCCGTGCTGACTTTTTCAACAGATGACGAGGGTAACCAAACCACCCGCTCGCTCGGTTTGATTGTGGCTCGTGGCACTCTGATCGTGCTGATCTCGCCAGCTGATGGCAGCGAGGAGATCCCCAACCCGTTCGTGCAGCCCGAGGAGTAAAATTTTCTCCCATCTCTACTTGAGCAATCCGAGCTACTGTGTCCCACGGGCTTTAGCGTCAGCCCGTTGGGTGCCCGGCTGCAAGATTTGATATGCCCTCATTCTCTGGCGACTGGAATCAACGCTCTTCCGGAGCTACGAAGGGAACGAATGCAACATGATGGTTTTTCTTTTCACCTTTGGCCTGACTTATGATGTATGATAACGCCCTCTACACCGAGGTGTGTTTGCAATGAACCACTACGGTGCGAGGCCGACTCAATCAGAAATACGATATCCAAACCATTCCAAGATGAACACCGGGAGTATCAAACAGTAATGGTAATTGTTAAGGTATCATAGATGACAACGCCAGCACATAGCTCTGTACAAACAAGGTTCAAGTGATCTACTGGCCCACTTCCCCGGACGCAGTGACCACGTCGCCAAACTCATCATCGTCCCCTGTAGCATCATCTCGTGGCGAGGAACCTGGCTGGGCCTTGCCGTCCTTCAATCGCCGCACACCTTCTCCATCCTCCACCCAGGCTCCCGCTTTCTCCATGCTATCCGTATATTCCACGCCGACGCGCAGGTTGAGACCAGCGCTAAGGGCCCGCTCAATGCGTGCCTCTCGAGTCTGCGAGACGAGGTTACGGAAAACACGAACAAAGAATTCGCCCAAAATATCCACGCTCCAATCTTCCGGAACAAGATCGAGCACCTCGCGCACATCAAACCAGGCCGAAAACCGAGCGAGCAGGTCGCTCGTGCGCTCGATGCGGTCTGACAAGTCTTGAATCTGTAGGAACTCGTCCAGCAGATGACGGAAAAGAGTGGACTGCAGGTCGTGGCCAGCAAGCTCAGGCTGCGCACCGTCCGACGAGATAGAGCTGCGGGGACCACCGAAAAGACAATAACGGATCGCAGAGTCGTAGTCGCCCAGGCCGTGTGTCAGCAGTCGCAGGGCTGCGCGATGGTGCCCCTGCAGGCCGTCGAGAATGATGCTTTCGGAGACAAGTTCGTCCTGGAAGGGTTCGATGCGGGAAAGCACGTTGGGTATGGAATACGTGATCCCGGAAGGAAGGGCAGTGGATGAGAATTGTGTTCCGGAGGTGCCGCTTAGCAGCTGAAGCAGACGGAGTCGAGACTGCCACCAGGGGTCTCTCGGCGTATTTTCAGTGATGAAGTTCAGGTATGTGGGCTTAGGGGGACGCAGGGCCCGATACGTGGAGTAGGATTCCGAGAGAGATTCCCGTGCGGCTGAGGAAGATTCGAGCACCGAAAGCACTTCATCCAGGTAGTAGGTAATGAGATCATCGGCGTACTGGGTGTAGTTTTTGGCGAAGACCAGATGCTCCAGGTAGAATTGGACTGCGTTGGGTGCACGTTCCTTGAGCAAAGTCACCACGTCCGCGGGATCCAGTCGCACTCGGCTGGAGTTGTCTGCAAACACTTGAATACCCAGGGCTGGATTCCGACCTGCGAGCCAGGCGCCGTATTCTTCCACCAGTTGGGAATCCTTGATCTTCACCAAATATTTTCGCATCTGTGCCTCGACACCCTCGGCGCTGACTTCTCCGCCGGCATCAGCTTCTCCGTCGACGATTCTCCGCCATGTGTTGAGCACATTGCGGGACATCTTTCGGCTTTGATACAGACGGCTCAGGATGTAGAGTCGTTTGTACTGCTCCAGCAACTGCACTGCCCTCTCAAAGTTCCCCTTCCAGTTGTCGACGAGCTTGTTCAGCTCGGTGCGGATAGGCGACGGTGCATATTGCTGAGCTTTCAAGTGGGTGTCTTGCTCCAGGAGCAAATGTAGCAAGGCAGCATCAGTGCTGTCCAATACGTATGTCTCATCGGGAATACTACCATATCCTCTCTTCTGTTGCCACGAGAAAAGGAAACGCTTCACCATATGCAGCAATGAGCTGTGAGCAACAGCAGGCCCGGATATCTCATAGCTCGCCTTTTCGACTTGCTGGAGATACTTCTTGACAATACTTGCTAGCCCAGCAGGAATCCACATACCCTGAGGCCCCTGTAGGATCTCACATCGGAGCAAAGGAATGAATAGGAGAGCAAGTCGGGGATCCAGATTACCTGCCAGTAGCGCTTGCTCGGTATTGTTAATCATGGGGTCTCCACGGTTCTTCGGCTGCATGGAAAGCAGATCTCCATACAGGAGCAAACAGGCTTTTTGCTTCGCATAACCTAAGCCGATGAATTCAGACTCGGTCCTAGGCTCAAGGTCCTGGATAGAAAGCATCAACTCCATAATGGAATTCCTTTGCAAAGTCATGTGGCCGCTCTCATTTGTTTGTTGGGCCTTCTGCAGAGCATCTTCGAGCCGAACAACAAAAGGATTCTTAATTAGGCGCCATATTTGGGAGCCCGACCAAATGATGAAACTGCTCTGGAGTTTACCCAGTCCATGTGCAAATTTCTCTTCTTCGGCATTTCGCTGGGTCTCCCAGTCTTTCACTCCTTTCTTGGATCCTTCTGAGTCGGTCAATTCTTGAGATTCAAAAAGCTCCTTCTCCTTTTGCAAATGCTCGATGGATGCTTGTGTTCTCGGATCTGCCGCAGATACATGGGGAGGCAGCAGCGGAGTTTTGAGGCGGACCATTCGTAGAAGCTTTCCTACATCATCGAGCTCGAGATGGCTCGGGCTGATTGTGCGCCGAAGCCCGACTTTGGCTGACTTGATATCGCCGGGAGAGGGTATGTCGAGCCATCTCCTCTGCCTTTCGATCTCCGCAGGATCGTCATCCCATCGTTGAATCTCCAGTCGGGTTCGTGGCTCGTCATCGTGAAATTCGATAACAGCAATAACATACTCCACCTTGGCGTCTTCGCTTGGTTGAAGGGATTGGTCATCTTCGCCAGCATCGATCGCCACTGACTTGGGGTATCGATGGAAGCTGATGGTGCCTCGCACAACTTCACCATCCAAGTCTACAAACATGCCTACACCTGGTTCCGTTTCCTCCGTTCCGGTCACCAAAAGGAATTCGGAGGGGGTCGGAGACACCACATGAGGCAGGAGCTGCTTGGTGACTGTCTTCGCCGGTATGGGCGGTAGTGGCTTTAAGCTAGCGGGAGGTGAAGCTTGCGTTTCTGCATTCTCCGAGATCTTCTGGTTTCTTTTGTTGTCGTTGTCGTTGTCGTTGTCATCTTCTCGTTCTTCGGAGCTTGATCGTCGAGGGGTCCCCGAAGATGCAAAAGGGTCTGGTGTTCCCGGTGACCTCTCCCGCTGAGGCGTTTGCGTATTCGGCTGTAGCATGCCCACAAAGTTATTCAAACTGGTGCTTCTTGCATGCGCATGAGGGTCACTTGGAGGAGAGCTTGGGTATGAGGAAGAAGGAGACCGTTTCAAAGGCGTTTGGGGTCCAAGCATTATATCTTCCACCTGTCCGGACTCGAATACTTCGTTCGAGGAGGATATAGGGAAAAGAGGAATCTTTTGCTGGTGTTCCACCTCCAGGAGTGAATATGAGTGCCCATCAGCGGCACATGCAATTGTACCTCTGCGTGCTGCGACTAAGCAACCGGGGAAACCAATCTTCTTAATGCTTTTCGCCTCATCTCCGATCTGAACCAGCAGTATCCTATTCTGTACAGCAATCATTACCACTGGATCATTCTCAGGCTCCGAGCCCCGGTTGAGATCCAGACCACCGATCCAGCGGCAGTGATTGACCTTGGTGTTCCAAGCTGGGCTAAGCTCCGGGAGCATGTAGAAGGTGACAGTTCCATTGCAGAGAACACAAGCTTTATTCACCGAGGAGAGTACAAGGATCTCTTGAACACCTTGCTGGTCGCTGTCCGAGGGGGCATTTAGGAATGGAATAGGCAGTCGCGATGCCAGTATAAAGGTAGGCTCGTTGGGTTCGTCGGAAGCGGCAGGAAGGCAAACAAAGTGCAAGATCTCTGCCGCAGAAGTGCCAATGTACAGATTTTCCTCTATAAAATCGGGGTCAGCAAAGGTTTTCGTGTCGAAGGCCGCCATCCGCGTCGGGATAGCTTACCCCAGTACTCGACACAGGTGATGTAAACGTCGGAGTTGTCCTCGGTTGCCAGCGGTACATTTTCAAAGAGCGACCGCAAGACGTAAGGATCGGTCCCAGGAGGACCGATCCTCCGCCTCTTGCGAGGACCAACTCCGTAATCCGATGCCATGGTGGCTAGCTTGCAGGTGGTGTATCCCCGCCAGCATAGGAGATGGCTGGAAGGCGGTCAGGTGTCTGGGGCCGAAGCTTCAGGGGCCGCTAAATCAGGAACGGGATGAAATTCCACGCAACGGTCGGGACATTTGGACTTATCAAAACTTAGTTCTTTATTTGAAACCCATTCTGTGTCCAGTCTATCTAATTCATAAAATCATTATTTACTTGTTATTTGCAACGACAGGGTGCATACATTGCGGATCAACTTCGGCCCGTCGCGCGCCGCGTGTCCTGATCTCCAACTCCGCGCAGTTCCCCATCTTTCCTTTGGCGGATTGCGATTTGGTGTGGGGTGACCGTGCAGACCCCTTAGGCTGACGCTGTACATGGATTCCTTCGCCATTACTGAGGGCCTTGCTGCCCAGGAGCGGCGTGAGAGCCAACCTGAGCCCATTGACAGCAAGCTGTCCGAAGAGACAAACAAGTTCCAGCGTGCCATTGCAGCCTGGCGAGGTAGGAAGCCCGGCTCTGACATGAATAGGAGATTTTCTAGTAGCACGCGACTGACAACATTCGATTAGGAATTGACCTTGCCAGCACCATTGCCAAACTTGATGCAACCGCCTCCGATATCGTTGAACAGCAGCGGGACTCTCTGGTACAGAGAAAGGACCTGGCTCAGAAAACCAAGGACTTCAAGAAACTTGAGGAGCAGGCGAAATTGTCGGAATTCAAGGGGCTATTGAAAGCCTATCAGTCCTTTATCGACGTCTTGACTAACCAAGGCAAAACGTCCTCGTCCTCGTTCCTGCAATTATATTCTTCTCTATCCGAGGCACCCGATCCCTACCCTCTCCTTGAAGCTTCCGTCGATTCTCTTGCTCTATCCGAAGACACGGTCCCGAAACTCACCTCGGAACGCGACCAATTGCAGCAATCTGTCGACCGTCTCACAAAGCAACAGGAGGAAAGCGAGAAACGCCTTCAGGAGGAGCGTGCTGCAAGGAAAAATCTCGAGGAAAACCAAGAGTCCAGAGCCAAGGAGATCGAATCGTCTTGGGAAGCAGTCCTGACGGAAAAGAGGAATAACTGGGAGGCCAAAGAGAAGAGCTTGGAAGAGAAGTTAGAAAATCAGGATCGTTTGATAAAGGAGCTCAAAGCAAGCTATGAAGTTTCTCAGCGGATGGGTGGGAATGACGAGAACGAGGAAGCCCGCAGTGGTGCCACCGCCGCCGAGTTGGAACTTGTTTCAGCTGATTTGGAGAAAACCAGCCTGAGGTTGGCTGATGTGGAGGCACGCAATGAGCAACTACGGCTGGAATTGGCCCAGGCGGTATCACATTCGAACCCTGATCGACCGATCTCTGTTGAAGATGATCCCGAATATCAACGTCTTCAGTCCGAAAACTCCTCCTTGTTACGGAAACTGGATGCCGCACGCTTTGACAAGGACTCGACCCGACACTCGTGGGAAGCCAAGCTCCTTCAGGCGGAGAGAGCTGCCACTAAAGCCACGGCCGAGAGGAACGAGCTGCGCTCGCGTCTCGATAAGTGTGCTGACTACGAAGATATTCGTCGAGAGTTGGAGATGATTAAGTCGATTGAGTTGATGGCTGGTGACGATGAGGATGATGGAGAGGCGATGGCGCAGAATGATGCGGCTGGTACGAATGGTGATGCCACCAAATCTAAGGAGAAAAATTCTCTTGAGCAACTTCTGCTTGCCCGCAACAAAAAGCTGAACGACGAGCTTGCAGTCTTGCGAGTGTCGACTCGCGATATTCAAAACCAGCTTGAGACAATGCGTGGTGAGCTTGCGACAACAAAGAGCGAACTTGAAAAGTCTCGAGGACTGTCAACAACCCTGGAAAACGATTTGCTTCAAGTACAGCAAGAGGCAGCCAATGCATTCCCATCGTCGGCCATGTCCACTGCGGGTACTTACACCTCGAGGTACCCACACTCATCCCGTCGGGGTGCAGCATCTCCCACCTCGTCGATCATATCCGGCTTCGACCAGAGTGCCGCATCTTCAAATACGATGGATGCTATCCGTGCAGGTGAGGCCGTGGGAGGCGGCTCTGGTCTTCTTCCTATGATCCAAGCACAGCGCGATCGCTTCAAAAAGAAGAACGCGGAGCTCGAAGAAGAGCTATCCAAGACGTATAGCACCGTCAAGTCTCTCCGGTCAGAGGTTGCATCTCTTCAGAAGGACAACCTGGGCCTATACGAGAAGACTCGGTATGTTTCCACATACAGTCGCGGCCAGGGAGCATCCACGTCAGCATCGTCATATGCGAACGCACCTAGCTCGACATCTGTCTACAGCTCATCCGAAACTCCTTCGGGCCTTTCCCTCGACCGTTATCAAAATGCCTACGAGGCACGGATCTCGCCATTCGCTGCCTTCAGGGGCAGAGAATCGGCTCGTGCATACAAGCGCATGAGCCTTCCCGAGCGGATTGTATTCTCGCTTACTCGCATTATCATGGCCAACCGAACCAGTCGAAACCTGTTCGCAGGGTATTGCTTTGCTTTACACGTTCTTCTCTTTGTAGTGCTATACATGATGAGCACGATGGAAATCGAGAAGCATAGTGCTATGAGTGTTGTGGGCAGCGCCGCAGCGGCAGCATATGGCAGTCGTGGGGATGGATCTAGCAGTGGCAGCAGCCAGCTGCATGGTGACGATTGGCAGCCGGAAGGTTTTAACCATGCAGGGTGAACCCCTGGAATCTAATATTGCGGGGCAGATGACCAGTTTTGTTGTTTGAACAGCGAGAGCTATGGATATGGAGTTTTGATGTCTTTCCTTTGTATCATGGCTGGTCATCGATTTTTGGCGTTGAGAGTGAGTGGGCCGCTCTGGCAGACGGTCCTAGTCTAGCTCTGCATTTCTTGTTCGTGGGCTCCTGGCTAGCCAGGGTGTATAGTCTATTAGCACCTATGAAGTAACTAAGACATTTGCATCAGACTTGAATGAGTTACTTCACTACCTGGTATTTTTAGTGAACGCCGATAGCACATGATGATACGGTGAAACGAGGTTCTCGTAGATCAATGCAGGATTGGCAGGACATTTACAGGATTTGTGACTTCGCTTTGGCAGCTTAATGGCTCAGTCATCTTATCTATAGATAGGAAAAGGGGTAGGCAGTCTGATTATATCAAGGAGGAGTGGGTGGTGGGTGGTTTGGGGGTCACATGGCTGTAGAAACAGCACACTTCCCCCTCAGTACAGTCTACGGTTCTTGTGATGATGGCCTGCTGATTTAACTAATGTGCATGATCCTATTCTTCAAAAGGAAAAAGCAGAGCCCCCCACAGTCAATAGAAACGGTTGAGCGACAAAAAATGAAGAAGGCCCGAGCCGCGGATCGAACGCGGGACCTCGCGCAGGAGTGCCTAGGTTTAACCCTAAGCGCGAATCATACCACTAGACCACCCGGGCTTCTTGTTGGAGAACGTCTGAAATTAAAGCTAAATGAGCAAAACATTGTTGTGTGTTTGAACCGGACCACATCAGTTATTTGCTTTCGGTGGTTTAATGGGATGAAACTTCTCCAGTCCTAGTGAGGAATTAATATAAGTTCTTCTCGGTTTTTAGTTAAGTGGAATATTTCAAGTGCTACCAATTGTCAGGCTAATGTCATTATGGTTAGTGTGATGATCCATTGCCACTTACCCCTCACGAAATATATATGGAATGTCACCGCGAGGCTTCAAGCATTAATTCGATCGGGTACAAACACCACAAAACAAGTGGACTGGATCATCCGACAAAAATAGGTAAAGTGGCTGCCTCGAAAAGTCACATTGCGTAAGATGGCGTTGATAGCGTTGACTTCGCGCCCAGTGATTGTAATCCGCTCGGGCAGAGCCAGAAGCGGCAAATGGGAGGGAGAACAACCACAATGTGGAGGAAAGCTCACACCGAGCCTCCCCACAGTGATTGTTCGGGTGGCTGCTCGAATGAAAGACAGCTCTACTTGCAACAAATCAGCCTTCAGGTGCATCCAATGAAATATCGAACACGTCGATTGGCAACTCGCTCTGGTCCCTCCCAGCCGCCCAGGTTAGTCAGGGAGGCTACTTAAGTCCCGATTCTGCACGCTAACCCACAGTGGCAAGTCATAATGCACATCTAACCGCCCACCACACACGGTGAGCTAGTCGGGGACCGATTTATTAATAGCCCGGAGAATTAGGGAGGGTCTCTGCATTGGGTGGCCCCCTTGTAAGCGAGCCTCCTTCATAGTGCCGCCCAACGAAGCCGGCTGTTTTGCTTAGCGCCATAGGTATCTCGATCCGGCGAAAGTTGTTTTGAGGATAGAGCGAATTAGGTCGTGAAGAGGCCGGGGCGGCAGCACTGGGCGCTCTCTGCACCAATAAACGCGCGCGGTGAGATCGTGATCCCTGCTAGTACTTGCAGCGTGCATCGATCACTTATTTTTATAGAATCAATATGGTTTCAAGTTAGCCCAGTGTTACTATCTTTGAGATGTAGGCTTGAATTCGTGCAAGATCGCAATCGGCACCGACTCTATATGTACCGGTGCTCCCTGGCCCGGCATTCATAATCCTCAAGCCAATCCATCCCATTGTCGTTCCTTTCTTTTAATTTCCCTCTCAATCAGCATTACGAACGGCCTGGTGCTGCTCAAAGTTTACCTATTAGTATTTTCACAAAGCCTCACCCTCAAAACCCCTTCTTCACTCCTATACCTTCGACCATAGAACACTTTCAGCCATGCGTCTGGCACTGGTCCTACTCTCGATGGTGGCAGTATCAGCTGCTGCTCCATCAACCTTCTTCAACAATGCCTACGAATTTTCCGATGAACTAGCAGAATTCTACGGCAAAGTCAGCGAATACATCGACAGTGCGAGACACGATTTGACACCGTCCACCACCTGCGACACATCCAAGATCTCGCTACCCTCTTTCGCCTCGAGTTTTCCCAGCCCTGATGGGGTCACACCCATGTATGCTGCACTTGGAAGGGGCACACAAGTATGTATACTAGTCTCAACCTGATTTACTATTACTCATTACACCCAGAACTATACGTGTGCCGATTCCACATCTAAATCCGCCCCGGTGGCCATTGGGGCTGTGGCCAACCTCTACGATGCCACATGCATTGCTGCCAACTACCCAGACCTCATGGCAATGCTCCCCAACATTGCCTACAGGATCGCTATGCCGACAAACGAATATGCTGCATTCCCCCCAGCCAATCTTCAGCTGATGGGACACCACTTCTTCTACGACTCCACCACCCCGGAATTTAATCTGGATACCACAAAGCTCAAGCAATATGGGATTGCCATGACCAAGAAGCAGGATCAACTTGATGCACCTTCAGACGCAGCCAAGGGTGAAAACGGTGCCGTTGACTGGTTGTACCTCACAACAACCACTGGTACCATTGGCAAGTACAAGAGTGTCTATCGAGTCAACACTGCATCTGGATCCCCACCAAAGACATGTGAGGGGCTGCCATCCACTTTTGAGGTCCAATATTCTGCAAACTACTATTTCTATGGAAATTAATGGGGTTTCACTGTGCTGTACATAGGCGAACACAATTGCCGGGTGGATATGACGGGAGGAATTGTCAGACTGGTTCATTCAGTATTCTGTTTATGATAACCAATTGTTTCTGGATTTTTAGTGCGTTAATAAAAGGAGTACCGCGAGAGTTTCTCCAGACAAAACTGTTCAATGCCATATAGTAAAATGCAGGGCTCATAGACACCACGTGATCTCGCTATGTCCGACCCAGATGACATAAGCAACCAACTCCCAAAGGAAGACGCTAACCCTAACAAGGACTAGCGCTTTTCTGATTTTCTGAAAGATCCAGCAGGCGCAAAAAAATCTCGACCGCATCAACGAGCAGCACCGGTTCTGACCCGCACGCGACAAAGTATCTCTGGTCAATCCTACACCAGCTGCTTGACTTGGTGATTTCACATTACTGAGTTCTTTTCTCTTATATTCGAGTCGATCTCTTTCCGAGACCGTCCCCAATTTTTCGACAGCACTCGGCTTGAGCACTCCAAAGCTCAATTCCAAACTCTTTCGACTCTTTACTCAACCCAACTAAACCAGCACCTCAAATAACAATGGGTTTCACTCCTCGAGGCCGTGGTGGTCCCCCTGGACGTGGTGGACGTGGTGGATTCGGTGGTGGTGACCGCGGTGGCCGCGGAGGTGGTCGAGGTTTGTACTCCAATCTTTTCGAAAATACAGAAGTCTACTTGGATGGCCAGAGCTTGTGAAAATGCTTGCTATATGACTACCAGAAGAATTGTCTGTAAGTACTTGGTGATCTTCAGTTGCTGATCGGGTTTTTATTTTCTGAAGGTGGCTTCGGTGGTCGTGGTGGTCGTGGCGGTGGTGATCGCGGCCGCGGTGGCCGCGGTGGTGGCCGTGGTGCCCCCCGTGGAGGCCGTGGTGCTCCTCGCGGTGGCCGCGGCGGTGCTGCCGGTGCCCGTGGTGGTGCTAAGGTTATCATCGTAAGTCTCAAGATGTCGACAGTATAAGGGAATCCAGTCACTGACCTTTGATTTTCTACACAGGAGCCCCACCGTCACGCTGGTGTCTTCGTTGCCCGTGGTGGTAAGGAGGATCTGCTTGTCACCAAGAACTTGACCCCCGGCGAGGCCGTCTACGGCGAGAAGCGTATCTCTGTCGAGGCCCCCGCCGTTGAGGACGGCACCGTCACCAAGGTCGAGTACCGTGTGTGGAACCCCTTCCGTTCCAAGCTGGCTGCCGGTATCCTGGGTGGTATGGACAACATCTACATGAAGCCCGGTGCCAAGGTTCTCTACCTCGGTGCTGCCAGCGGTACCTCCGTCTCTCACGTCGCTGATATTGTCGGCCCTACCGGTAACGTCTACGCCGTTGAGTTCTCTCACCGCTCTGGCCGTGACCTGATTGGCATGGCCACTCACCGCACCAACGTTATCCCCATCGTTGAGGATGCCCGCCACCCTCTCCGCTACCGCATGCTCGTGCCCATGGTTGATGTCATCTTTGCCGACGTTGCCCAGCCTGATCAGGCCCGTATCGTTGGTCTCAACGCCCATATGTTCCTGAAGGATGGCGGTGGTGCCGTTATCTCCATCAAGGCCAACTGTATCGACAGCACGGCCGCAGCCGACGTTGTCTTTGCTCGTGAGGTCCAGAAGATGCGTGAGGAGAAGATCAAGCCCAAGGAGCAGCTGACCCTCGAGCCCTTCGAGCGTGACCACTGTGTCGTCGGTGGTATCTACTCCCGCTCATAAACGGGATGCTTAATTCTTCGTCATGTCTTTCTTCTGATGCTCCGTTTCCCTTTTTTTTATACGGCGTCTCGTGTTCTGCGATGTATCCACTGTTCTTCCCATTGTGACTGGTTTTCTCTGCCCATGTACGATTGCTTGCGTCACAAAATCTAGATTCCATATTCTGGAATAAAATGCACACACTGGAATGTCATTTATGTGTCTGTAGAGTCGATGCTGTGGATGTTGCCTGAAACCACGCTCGAGTATGTAGCGCCGATTGCCCTCAGGTGCTGCAAAAAGCTGAAACGAGCTAGGTAAGCTGTTCAAGTTGCTCATGTGCAAAAGATCCTTTCAAGAAGCAGGGTAAGGTATATTACCTCGACACTCCAAGTGTTCACCTTGATCAACCGTGTCATCTTAATAGCCTGCGGCACAGGGGACTACCTCTAGATATCAACAGTATCTTAGGGGATTAGGACGGGTTATAACCAATGTCAGCTGGAGACTGGCTGTGATTGCCCGAACCCAAGCTTTTCCCGGCCATCACATAGTTATCCATGGTCATCCCACGACCCTCGGACTTCCCCCGTGTTCCTCGACCAACGACGTGGGTGGCTCGGCAATCGGAATCCCTCACCGAGATTCAGCGTCGGCGATGCCAGCCATAGTAATTTCATAGTAATTGACTCGGAATTAGCCCGAATGACGGAGCGTGGGGGAAGGGATTGTTCTCCGCTGCAGCCCCGCGGGGGTTCTGGACGACGGCTATAACTTGATGAAGGACAAGAATCGGCGTTCCGCCCGAATGTCTGCCCGGGTGGCTTTTTAATACATCCGAATTGATACTACTTTGATACTCTCATCTCATTGCTGTCGTTATTGAATAATCGATCCATCCCAATTGCATACAACATGTCCATTCTCATCACTGGCGCCGGCGGCTACGTCGGACAGGAACTGGCTGCTTCCTTCCTTGCAAACACACCAGCTTCAACTACTGTGACAATCACCGATGTCGTCGAACCCGCCGTCCCCGAGGCGGCGAAAGAGCACGCCAGTCGCTTGACATGCATCCGCGCCGACTTGACATCTCCTAAAGAGGTGGACAATCTGATCAGCTCCGCTCACCAATACGAGACTGTATACCTCCTGCATGGAATCATGTCTAGTGGCTCCGAAGCCAACTTCGAGCTGGGCATCCGAGTTAACCTCGACGCTACGCGATACATCCTTGACAGACTACGTGCCACCATGCCTGGAGTGAAGGTGGTCTTCACATCGTCACTGGCAGTCTACGGCCCTGCACCGCCGGGCTTTGTCATTGATGAGACCAACTTCCCGCCCGTTCCCTCGTCCTCCTACGGATCGCAGAAGCTCATTGTCGAGACGCTCTTGAACGACTACTCCCGACGAGGATTCCTGGACGGCCGATGCGTGCGACTGCCGACAGTGACCGTTCGAGCCGGAGCGCCTACCCAGGCTGCAAGCAGCTTCGCCAGTGATATTATCCGTGAGCCATTCCATGGCAAGAAGGCAATTCTGCCTGTGGGCAAAGAGACCGAGATGTGGATCTGCTCGCCGCATACCATCATCAAGAACCTAGTCCACGCGCGCGATATTCCAAAAGAAGCGTTCGGCGAGTCGCGGTCGGTCAACCTTCCTGGTTTGAAGGTTAGTGTCCAGGAGATGTTGGATGCCTTGGAGGCAATTGGTGGCAAGGAACGACGGGCGCTGGTGGAGGAGAAGTACGACGCGGCTACCGACAAAATCGTGCAGTCGTGGACTCCTCAGTTCTCGACCGATCGCGCGTTCAAGCTTGGGTTCTCTGCTGATATTTCCATGACGGAGAATATTAGACAGTTTGCCAGCCGATTTGTATGAAAGGGAGAGACTTCGGAGGGAGTGAGTCCGGGGTGGGCGGATAGTTCGCACTAGATAATGGTTCATTATGGTATTGCACGATCAAGGATGAAGTTCAAAATAAAAAAAAACGAGAGTTAACCGCAAAATCGAAACAACAAGGGTAATTGTCGTCAATTGCGAGGGCGCATGGAAGTAATCGGGACGAAATGGGTCATTTGGAAAAGCGAATCATGTGATTGGCTGGCGAGCTGGGCGAACAATTTGACTTCCGAACTTCAACCTCAGGGCGAGTCCAGCTCTTCTCTCCATCCCCCCTTCCCCCTCCCACCCACTCCAGTTGTCCGCAATGGCTTCCCGCCGACTGGCTTTCAACCTGCACCAGGCTCTCCGGAGCCGTGCGGCCCTCAAGTCCATCCAGCCCGTGAAGCGAGGCTTTGCCTCCCCGGTTCTGCCGTCCACCACCCAGTCGACCACCCTCTCCAACGGATTCACCGTACGCCTTGCAGACCCGATCAATTGCGTCGCAGCCTCACTGACACGTCCTAGATTGCTACCGACCACTCGCCATGGGCCCAGACCTCCACCGTCGGTGTTTGGATCGATGCCGGTTCCCGGTCAGAGACTGACAAGACCAACGGTACCGCTCACTTCCTTGAGCACCTTGCCTTCAAGGTCCGTTCCGATCATCCCCAGTCGATGCGATAACGCTCTAACAATATTCTTTAGGGCACCAACAAGCGCTCCCAGCACCAATTGGAACTCGAGATTGAGAACATGGGCGCTCACCTGAACGCCTACACCTCGGTATGGCCGGAAAACCCAACCCATGCCTCTATCGGAACAACACTAACGAACCATGCAGCGCGAGAACACCGTCTACTACGCCAAGGCATTCAACAACGATGTTCCCAAGGCCGTCGACATCCTCTCCGATATCCTCCAGAACTCCAAGCTGGAGCCCGCCGCTATCGAGCGTGAGCGCGATGTGATCCTGCGCGAGCAGGAGGAGGTTGACAAGCAGCTCGAGGAAGTTGTTTTCGATCACCTCCACGCCACCGCTTACCAGGGCCAGCCCCTCGGTCGCACCATCCTCGGCCCCAAGGAGAACATCCAGACCATCTCCCGGGACAACCTGACCGACTACATCAAGACCAACTACACCGCTGACCGCATGGTCCTGGTCGGTGCCGGTGGTACCCCCCACGAACAGCTCGTCCGCCTCGCCGAGGAGCACTTCGGCGGTCTCCCCAACAAGCCCCCGACCTCTGCTGCTCTGGCCCTGACCGCCGAGCAGAAGCGCACCCCCGAGTTCATTGGCTCCGAGGTCCGTCTTCGTGATGACACTATCCCCTCCGCTCACATCGCCCTTGCCGTCGAGGGTGTCAGCTGGAAGGATGATGACTACTTCACCGCTCTCGTTGCCCAGGCCATCGTCGGCAACTGGGACCGTGCTATGGGCCAGTCTCCCTTCCTCGGCAGCAAGCTCAGCTCCCACGTCAGCCACCACCACCTCGCCAACAGCTTCATGAGCTTCTCCACTAGCTACAGCGACACTGGGTAAGTTGTGCAATCTAAACACTCAAAATGAAGCAGATAACTGACTATTTATTCTCGTTACAGTCTTTGGGGTATCTACCTTGTGTCTGAGAACCTGACTCAGCTCGACGACCTGATCCACTTCACCCTCCGGGAGTGGTCTCGCCTCTGCAACAGCGTCTCCTCCGCCGAGGTCGAGCGCGCCAAGGCCCAGCTCAAGGCTTCCATTCTCCTGTCCCTCGACGGCACCACCGCCGTTGCTGAGGACATTGGCCGCCAGATCATTACCACCGGTCGCCGTCTCAGCGCTGAGGACATCGAGCGTACCGTCAGCCAGATCACCGAGAAGGATGTTATGGACTTCGCCACCCGCAAGCTGTGGGACCAGGACGTCGCCATGAGCGCCGTCGGCAGCATTGAGGGTATCCTCGACTACCAGCGCATCCGTAACGACATGTCTCGCAACCTGTCGTAAAACTGCTGCTGATTTTTAGACGGTCATCTGATGCTCGGACTTTTCGGGCTCGGGTGGGTGTGGTTTGAATGTACTATCAATCATTGCCTTGGGTTTCAGTTAGACCCTGATTTGTGTGTGAAATAGCAATTAATGGTTTGCCATAGTAGACTATATAGTCTGTCGCCGCGGGTGTGGCAGACCAAACTTATCTCCTTTGTTTCTTTTGTCTCCCAGTCAAAAATCCTCAACTGTGTTTCAATAGTATTGTTCCGTATATAATTTCAACAGCTTCAGTTGATATGTAGGCCATGTCATTTACACAAAATGCAATCGGCTATCTAGTCAAACCAAAAACCACACTGAGGCCGTCATCGCATTGCTCTCAACCTAATGTCTTTGGCGGTGATAAGCCGCAGTATCAGCCCCACGACAAGCTTACATAAGTGATCCGACGGGCATTTTTTTGGAGACGATTTTGACTGCATCTCTCAGCAAAGCTACATTCACAATGGGCAAACGAGGTGGCAGAAAGGTAAGCCAGGGTGATTTGACATTCTAATTGACGTGCCAGTCATGCTAATTTGCCTTTTCCTTTCACAGTTTAACCGTGGAGGCCGTGGAGGAGGCGGCGGCGGCGGCGGCGGCGGCGGCCGTTCGCGCAATAACTGGCAGGACATCAGCCGGAACAATGCGAAGATGGAACGCTACTACACCGAATCGGGCATCATCCCAGAGGAGGAGCTGGAGACTTTCTGGGACTATATGCGCCGGGATCTCCCCAACAGCTTCCGCTTCACGGGCTCGCGAGGGTAAGTTTTCATATTTTCGCATTCGAATTACAACTTCTTCCTGGGCCATTTTGGATGAGTCTAATTGTCGCATTGTATTCTAGACATGCGCTTGCTGTTCAGGAGCGTCTCAAGGACTTTTACATCCCCGAAATCACCTCCATCAAGTATGAGGACGAATTCGTGGAACCGCCTCGGCCGGTCTCGTGGTACCCCGATCAGCTTGCCTGGTCGATGTCCACCCCGAAACAAGTTATTCGCCGTTTCGCTCCCTTCGCCAATTTCCAGAAGTTCCTCGTTGCCGAGACCGATGTCGGAAACATCAGTCGCCAGGAGGTTGTCAGCATGATTCCTCCTCTTGTTATCGATGCTCGCCCCGGAATGACCGTTCTGGACATGTGTGCTGCACCTGGAAGCAAGTCCGCTCAGCTGATGGAGCTGATCCATGCTGGAGAGGAGGACTCCATGGTGGACGCTGCTAAGCAGGTCAAGGAAGGCACTGCCGGACCGGAGCCCTTGGGCCCGGAGGGTCTGAACGACGATGGCCGCACTACTGGCCTCTTGATTGCCAACGACAGCGACTACAAGCGTGCTCACATGTTGATTCACCAGATGAAGCGCCTCGCGTCGCCCAATCTGATTGTTACCAACCACGATGCTACCATGTACCCCTCTATCAAGCTTCCTTCTCTTGATGGAAAGAAGAACCGGTACTTGAAGTTTGACCGCATCCTTGCCGATGTTCCTTGCTCTGGCGATGGTACTGCTCGGAAGAACTATGGTGTCTGGAGAGAGTGGAACCCTGCCAATGCTATTGGACTCCACGTTACCCAGGCCCGGATCTTGGTCCGCGCGCTCCAAATGCTGAAGGTCGGTGGACGTGTTGTCTACTCCACTTGCAGTCTCAACCCTGTTGAGAACGAGGCCGTTGTTGCCAGTGCCATTGCGCGCTGTGGTGGCTCTGCCAATGTTAAGATCCTCGACTGCAGCAAAGAGTTGCCCGGCCTCAAGCGGGCAGCCGGAGCTCGCAGCTGGAAGGTGATGGACCGCGAAGGTCGTATCTGGGACAGCTGGAAGGATGTTCAGGAACAGATCGAGAAGGAGGGGATCAATGGTCTGGCCAGACTGTCCGAGGGCATGTTCCCGCCGACTGGAGAAAATGCGGACCTCCCGCTCGAACACTGCATGCGTGTTTACCCCCACATGCAGGACACTGGCGGTTTCTTCATCACTGTTATTGAGAAGCTTTCTGAGATCCGCGCCAAGCCGGAGGACACTACTAACACTGTCCCTAAGGCGTCGGTTGCGGCTCTTGCTTCAGAGCTGGATGCTCGCAAGAACAGCAATGGAGAGCCTTATCAGAAGCTGGAGGCATTGGATGATCTGGTCGTCCCCGACAAGGAGGCTGATGCTGAGGTTGCGAAGAACGCTTCCGTCGCTGAAGCCGTTCACCAGCTTCCTTACTCTGCTACTCTTGATTCCACCGACGCTGTCACTCATGTGAAGCGTGACGCTGACGACTTGGAGGAAGAGCTTCCCGCTAAGAAGGTTAAGCTCGGCGATGGCACTGAGGCTCTGATTGGCGACCGTCCAGTCCACCGACCTGCGCCCTCAATGGAAATGGAGCAGGTTGACACCCCCAGCGACAGCACTCCTGCCACTACTGCGACTCCTTCGCAGCCCGGCCCGGTTCCATCTGAGCTGCCTAAGAAGAAGAAGGTTGTTCAGGAGGAGCCCTTCAAGTACCTTGATGGCAACCACCCAGAGCTCGAGCCTATTTACAAGTTCTACGAGGTGTCCGAGCGCTTCCCTCGTGACCGTTTCATGGTGCGCAATGCCGAAGGCACCCCGACAAGAACCGTCTACTACACCAGTGCTCTGGCTCGCGACATCCTTACCATGAACGAGCGTCAGGGCTTGAAGTTCGTTCACTGTGGTGTGAAGATGTTTGTGAAGCAGGATGCCCAGCGGGAGAATGTCTGCCGCTGGCGCATTCAGACCGATGGCCTGAAGATCATCTCGCCCTTCCTGGGCCCTGCCCGGGCTGTAACTCTCACCGAGCGAGAGACTCTGCACACACTCCTCGTGGAGATGTTCCCTAGAATAGATGGCGATGGTTGGAAGAAGCTGGGCGAGATCGGCGAGCGCGTCAAGGATATCCCCATGGGCTGCAGCATCTTGCACATTGAACCCAACGGAAAGGAAGGTGGCCTCACGTATGTTATCGAACTCAATCCCCACCAGCGTTCATATAAATTTCTAACTGACTTTTACAGCGAGCGTATGGTTCTGCCTCTCTGGCGCTCTCTTCACTCCCTGAACCTGATGCTTCCCAAGGAAGAGCGCCGTGCCATGTTGCTGCGCATCTTCAACGACAGCAGCCCGCTCATTAACAAGACAGACAAGCAGCGTCCTGCTGGTGGCCTGACACCTGCAGTCGAGTCCACCGCCGATGCCGAGGATGTTGCGCTGATGCACGAGAACGCCCAAGTTGGCCAGGATGAGCAGCTGCAGATGGACACACGCGAGACGTACACGAAAGACGGCGATGAGGAGGACCGTTTCAACACGACGGTCTAGGAACTTGGAGATATAAGAATTATCGACCTTTATATTCATGATTTCAATTAGGGGCGGCACACGCTTACCGAATGTATTAAAAGCAATCTCGATTTACCCATTTTGAGGCTACGGGGTGCACTAAACCGAAGTACACTAGATCCAGACAGCTACAGTAAGGTAGGACCTCGGGGTCGCATCAGACATTAACCGAGCTCTGCAGGATCTGCATCGTAAAATTCCCCCGGAGAATCATCGGTCGTTGTCGGCTGAATTCAGGACTGGAAGCCTGTTCCTCGCAGGGTAGGCTTGCTTTCTATTAATCTAGTGATTAGACATTCAATTAATTGGTATGAATGAACTGGGAGATGCACATGTTTCAAATAGGTTATGGAAATAATTATCCGGGTATTCATGTTAATGACGAGGGACATAGTATCGTGTCCAGGCACAAGGCACAACAGCAAGAAAGAGCAACCATAAACTTCCTCAGGGGCGCTAGCATACTCATTGCACATGTCTCACCAGACCCTTGGCAAATTCAAAAAGCGACCATACAATAAGTGGAAAAATTGCGGTGGAAACCCCGCAGGACCTAGAGCTAGGGGATCTTCACTTCGCTTTCCCTGCATGGGCAGCACCTCCACTAATCCTGCGACGGACTTGCTGTACCACATGAGATTCATGCACGAAGGGAGTATCGTTGGGGCCTTAGATTGGATTCCCCCGCCCTGCTGTCCCTGTCGATGACGAGATGACAGGAGACCGTGGAGGTAAAAGGCCGAAGGACCAAGGAAAATTGGCGCGCTCTCGGTATTGGGCCTCAGAGTATACGGCATTCCAGCCGGTCGTTGTTTAATTTGCTGGTCAATCGCCTTCAGTCCGGCAGTATATGAAAGGGCGCCGATCCCTGGAATGTGGTTTTTCAGGCTGCCCTTCTTTGCCCACTGAGACTAAGCTCATCATGAAGTTCTTGTCTACCTGGGCTGTAGCCTACTTGGCGGCTCAGGCTGCGGGTGCTGCTTTGAGCCATAAGCTGGGTGGACTTACTATCCGTGAACACCCAGATGCTATGAAGCGGGCCCAATCGCAGAAATATGTATGTGGTACTTGCATTGGCTGGTTCCGACTAGCACTGATGGTGGTGGATCTAGGTGACTTGGGATGAACACTCCTTGTTCATCAATGGCGAGAGACTGATGCTGTTTAGCGGCGAATTCCACCCTTTCCGGTAGGTGTTCGGAATTCTCGATTGAATAACAAAGATCGCATCTAATGGAATTTATTGCAGACTACCCGTTTCGACGCTCTATATTGATATCTTCCAGAAGGTCAAGGCCCTTGGATTCAATTGCGTCTCATTCTACGTCGATTGGGCGCTCGTTGAGGGCAAGCCTGGTGAGTACCGCGCTGATGGCATTTTCGATCTCGACCCATTCTTCGACGCTGCCAAGGAGGCTGGGATTTACCTGTTGGCTCGCCCTGGTCCCTATATCAATGCCGAGGCTTCTGGAGGTGGCTTCCCGGGCTGGTTGCAACGTATCAAAGGCACGCTGCGAACAACTGCCCCCGACTATTTGAAAGCGACCGATAAGTATGATCTCTCAAATGTAGAGGAATCTTGAGGCCCAAGGAATCTAATGCTTTGTAAAGTTATATGTCTCATGTCACTGCGACTATTGCCAAAGCTCAAATCACAAATGGCGGACCTGTCATTCTTTTCCAGCCGGAGAACGAGTACAGTGGAGCTTGTTGTGGCGACACCGACTTCCCCGATCCCAGCTATATGCAGTACGTCGAGGATCAAGCTCGTAACGGTGGTATCGTTGTCCCTCTAATCAACAATGATGCCGCTCCCGATGGACACAACGCCCCCGGTTCTGGCGAAGGAGCCGTCGATATCTACGGTCATGATAGCTACCCTCTGGGATTCGATTGCGCTAATCCCTCGACATGGCCCAGCGGTGATCTTCCAACCAACTTCCGTCAGCTTCATTTGGAACAGAGCCCGACGACACCATACTCTCTGGTTGAGGTATGTTGCGGTCCATAAAAAGGAGATGTTATCTAACGCATTGCAGTTCCAAGGCGGATCATTTGATCCCTGGGGAGGAAGCAGCTTTGCGGCTTGCGCTGAGCTTCTGAACAGCGAATTCGAGCGTGTCTTCTACAAGAATGACTTTAGCTTCGGTGTTGCTTTCATGAACCTGTACATGGTGCGTGAATTCCTTTCGGTTGAAGTCGATCAAGGCTAACTCTGAATAGATCTTTGGTGGTACAAACTGGGGCAACCTGGGTCACCCCGGCGGATACACCTCATATGACTATGGCTCGGTAATCACCGAATCTCGCAACGTGACTCGCGAGAAGTACAGCGAGCTCAAGTTGCTTGGAAACTTCGCCAAGGTATCCCCGTCATACCTGGTGGCAACGCCTGGAAACTCAACTACCTCGACCTACACCAACACTGCCGATTTGACCGTGACACCCTTGTTGGGTAACAACAGCTCGGCCTCCTCGTTCTTTGTGGTCCGCCACACTGATTACTCAAGTCAAAACTCGGTCGACTATAAGCTTCAAGTTCCCACTAGCGCTGGCCGTCTGACAATTCCTCAGCTGGGAGGAAGCTTGACCCTCAGCGGTCGTGACTCAAAGATCCACGTCGTTGATTACGATGTTGCTGGCACTAACATTCTCTACTCGACTGCCGAAGTCTTCACCTGGAAGAAAGTCGGAAATGAGAAGTATCTTGTCGTTTATGGTGGCCCTGATGAGCACCACGAGCTTGCTGTCTCCACCAAGGCAGATGTCTCCGTCGTCGAGGGATCTTCCTCCAGCATTACCTCCAAAAAGAAGGACAGTGCGGTTGTTATTGGCTGGGATGTTTCATCGACGCGCCGCATCATCCAGGTTGGCGATTTGAAGATTCTTCTGCTTGGTACGCTTGAAAGAGATGAGCCAGCTCAATTTGAAAATCAGTCACTGACAACATCTAGACCGTAACTCTGCCTACAACTACTGGGTGCCCCAGGTGCCGGCCAAGGGCACCACCCCCGGATTTGCATCTGACGAGAACACCGCCTCATCGGTCATCGTCAAGGCTGGATATCTCGTGCGAACTGCATACCTGCAGGGAAGTGACCTTCACCTCACCGCCGACTTCAACGCCACGACTTCGGTTGAGGTTATTGGTGCTCCTTCCAATGCCAAGAACCTTGTCATCAACGGCAATAAGGCTGAGGTCACGGTAGACAAGAACGGCATCTGGTCGACTAGTGTCGAGTACACCGCACCGAAGATCCAGCTTCCCTCCCTTAAGGACCTGAAGTGGAAGTCCCTGGACACTCTCCCCGAGATCCAGAACTCGTATGACGATTCTCGCTGGACCGTGGCCAACCACCCCTACACAAACAACAGTGTCAAAAACCCACTGAACACACCAACCTCGCTGTATTCCTCCGACTATGGTTTCAACACCGGAACTCTCATCTATCGGGGTCACTTTGTCGCCAATGGCAAGGAGAAAACGTTCTTCGTGCGCACCCAAGGCGGCACGGCATTCGGCAGCTCGGTGTGGATCAATGAGACCTACGTGGGCTCATGGGCCGGCATCGACGCGGACAGCAACTATAACGCAACCTACACGCTACCGAACCTGAAACCCGGCAAGTCCTATGTCATCACAGTGGTCATTGACAACATGGGTCTGGACGAGAATTGGACCGTGGGTTCGGATGAGATGAAGGACCCCCGTGGTATTCTTGACTATGAGCTCTCCGGGCAGTCTGCCAGCGCCATCACCTGGAAACTGACCGGTAACCTGGGCGGCGAAGACTACCGGGATAAGGTTCGTGGTTCCCTCAATGAGGGTGGTCTCTACGCCGAGCGTCAAGGATTCCACCAGCCACAGCCACCATCCCAGAAATGGGACTCCAGCAGCCCATTGGACGGACTGTCTAGGGCGGGTATCCGGTTCTACAGCGCAAGTTTCGATTTGGATCTGCCCAAGGGCTGGGATGTCCCGCTGTACTTCAACTTTGGCAACACCACCTCGCCGCCCTCTGCGTACCGTGCCCAGCTGTTTGTTAATGGATACCAGTATGGCAAGTACGTGAACAACATTGGCCCGGAGACGAGCTATCCCGTTCCTGAGGGTATTCTGAACTACCGGGGAACCAACTGGATTGCATTGAGCTTGTGGGCCCAGGAAGATAACGGTGCTAAGCTGGATAGCTTGGAGCTAGTAAACACTACTCCTGTGCTTACTGCCTTGGGTGATATCGAGTCGGTGGAGCAGCCCAAGTACCAGCCTCGCCGGGGAGCTTATTGAATGGGATTGTGCACGGCTAGTTGAGCAGAGAGGAGGAATGTACATACGCCTCAATTGATTTCAGAGGTAGCCTTCTCCATCACAAGACATGCTTCTCAATTATTTTCAGCCATCTCGAAAGACGCCAAATGACAGGATGAGAGGGAGACGGCTAGCGTGTTTGCTCGCGTATCGCTAAGCATAATTATAGTAACTAGTCCTGGTGCGCCCATAAGTTCGAAATGTATCGCCGATCCCATTACGCCGTGCTCAAGCAAGAAGTGGAAGAAGAAGCTCTGCAGGAACGTATTGTAGCGGCGATTTCACAGCAGACGGGGGATCAGTTGACACGCGAGGAAACAAGGCAGGAGACGCCAACAAGTCAAGCATCGGATACGGAACAGGAGGCAAGAGTTCCAATGAGAAGACGTGCGACTGTCACGACCATTGAGGGCCAAAATGAGTTGGCTGGTATGATACGACGTGAAATGACTCGACCTGGTTTGGAAAAGGTTGCATCTAGTCGGGATAATGATGGACCGTGCTTTGATTTGCCTTTTTGACTGATATTCCAGGAATTAATGTACTTGAAGATATTCCGCTCATGCTCCTCATTAACATGTTCAGTTCTTTTCACGAGCTCTGGAAATTAGCAGTTTCAAAAATGATACCGCTGCCCTCAGATAGCTGACCCGAATTCCATCAAACCTCGAAATCATCCTCCACCTCCATCTGAACATAGGGTACGTCAAACTCCTCAATTTTGACACGAGGGCCGACAGTCTCTTCTACATCCATGACCGTAGGGATCTCGGACTCAGCTTCATTCTTGATCTTGGGGCTTTTCGATTGCTTCTTGGGGCAATCCTCCTGGACATCCCCCTCCTCGTGGTCCTGGTCGGACTCGGCATCGTTTGCAAAGGCATCTCTGATGCGATAATAGCGAAGACACGCAGCATTCTTAGTGATTCCGAGGGCATCGGTCACGGCCTTGTATTCCGGCTGCAAGGAATTTTGTTAGTACAGTTGAAGCGGATATTCGAGTCATCTTCGGGGGACTCACAGCGTTGTTGGGTTTATTCTTCAGTTCTGCCTGAAGGAGAATCCAAAGGAAAGTGATGGCTTCGGTGCTCTTGCTCGAAAGATCAGCCACGGTCACCTTGGATCGAGTCTTGTTTCTCTTTGGGGTGGCCTTTCTCGGGGTTCCCTTGGCGGAGGTGGCCTTGCTTGGAGTACCCTTCTTCGGGGTGCCGTTGGTTGGAGCCATAATGCCTTTGAGACAAGTTGGTCGTGATACAGTTAAAGATTTGTGATGGTTGAGGATTGTAGTGAAGTAAAGATGCGTGGGATCTGGGGATGGGAAGTGAAGAGGAGGGTGAAGATGAGGGCCGGGGCGCTGGCTTCATTGCATCAGTCAACTGCGCCGTCCGGGCAAATGGGTACTGCCGTAACTTGTTCCATAACCCGCCTCTGGGATCCGAACTTGGGATCTGATCTTGGTATAGATGTGGAAACTGCCGCTTCTCGCGCTTCCCCAGCAATAGAAATGAACGCCTCGCTCCAATGCCTCCCAACGGTGAAAACACGACACCTTAGAAAATGCCTCAGAGACTGCCCCAAAAAAAGATCAGGCCAAACAAAACGAGGACGAATGTGATTGCAGCGTCGAAAACACAGGTCTAGGAGCGTCATGTCTCTCATCTGTAATAATAGTAGATACCGTCGACGCCAGACCTCCTGACCAATGTGCCTGCTTCCAGGATATCTCAGGTATACATCTTCTCCTCCAACGGTGTGATCTCTAATTCAGAAAATGTAGAATGTAGCTTGCCCAATGCCATATTCCATCTCATCAAGCCAATCAGGAGGGTAGGATCCTATTTAGACCTCGTCCCCCAAAACAACTTTGACGGCCGTATACTCACGCTGGTGAATGACCCTGCCGTCAACTAGCACCTGATAAGCTCCAACGCCGTTGCGCACAGAGTCCGCTGGAGTGCATCTTGGGGCCGAATTCAGAGTTTTGTCCACATAGATACATCAGGATGGCCCTCCCGTGAAATTGCCCGTTATCAGTGGGGCTCCGAGATATGGACTTTCTCCACCGTATCCCAGATCGTAGACATCGGGGTGCTTCCGAAGCGCAGATGTAGATGGGATCTTTTACCAATCGAATTCAGATCGAAATGCAGTTGTTCCCCCGAAATCTATATCTACGATCAATCCTGATGTGTGTGTCCTTGTCGGACCAAGATGACTGCCTCTTTCCACGGACCATGGAAGTAAACAATACATAGGAAGCATCTATGGAGAGTTTAGACACCGTAATTGCGAGACGAAATCCAGTCTTGTCATATACTTAAACCCCAATACTAACAAATCCAGAAGAAAGCGATCGGGTTCCATCGCAGCAAGTACACGCGGATCCACAGCGACGTGCAGATCCCCAGCCACCCAGCCACCGCTGACCCCAGCCCTTGCTTTCTGCTTTCTGCTTTCTGCTTTTCTTCATTCTCACCTCAACACCGTTTCTCCTCAAATCCATGCCATCTGAATCTTGTACCACACCGCTCCACGCGAGCACCTACATTCCACGACCCGCAACTCACAACCCCACGTCTCACTCCGCTTGACCGTCCCCACCCCAGACAGAGACCAACACCATGAACGCCCTCCCACTACCAGGGGCAGACCTCGACGCGACAAAAGCCGCATCATCCCCCTTCGCCTTCGATGAAAGAATACTCTCCTCCCACCTCCAAAAACGCTACACCACCATCTCCATTCCCGCCACATACGCGAGCCTAAACTCCGGCCCTAGACCCGGCGTAGTCGTAGGCATCGTCCTCGGCACCGTGGGCGGCGTCTGTCTTTTACTATACCTGACCTTTATGGCCTTGAACCCGGGCGGCTTGGCGCGCGGTGGATCCTCAATCACCGACGAAGAAGTGGTTGTACGCAGCCGGCGCACACCATCGCGAAGCCGCAGCGAAGTGATCGAAGTTGTCGAGGAGCGGGATTACCGCCGGCGGCCGCGGCGTGACCGCGATCGCGTCGTCGTTGAGGAGTCTACGACCGAGACGGAAACAACCCACGAGTCTCGTGATTTTATCGAGGTCGTTGAGGAGGAGTCTTCGGGGTTGTCGACTATGTCACCGCCACGTAGGCCGAAGAGTTATCGGTCTGGGATTCGCAGGGTCGATCCTCACGAGTATGGTGGTGGTGGAAGCTCGCGTGGTAGTTTCTACTGATGCTTCATGTTTTCATTTGGAAATTATGCTCGGTTTTCTTTGGTTGGGAGTTCTCGTCTTCATTTTTGCATCTGCGATACCCTACTTATGTGTTATGTCTTATAATATTGTGCACTACGATGCTATGTCTGCCAATACGGCAGTCTGTTCATGAATACGGATTATGATTTAAGATGGAAAGAAACGTCTGGCTGAGCCGAAAGAAAAAGAGTAGATTGTACAATTGAGCTAGTACGACAACCCAGGACGGAGTCCTCAACGCCAGGTCCTGTTTTTTGCGCCAATAATAACAGATGAAAGCTAAGAATACTTAGGAGCGGGAAACCAACCAACCCCACGTTCGGTTTAAGCAAAGAAAGTCAAAATAATCCAAATCCGAGTCCCAATCCAAGATCTCGGAAACGACGGTTCACAAAACAAGGCCACACAGCCAATTCAGGGTCCCCTGAATGCGCCAATCCCCCAAGTAGAAATTCTGTCGTCTGTCGCATGTGTAAGGGTCGAGCTGCATCGTAGCACCTCGGTACAGGCAAGGTTGCCTGGTTCAGGTGAGTGCTCTCTGACGGAGTAGCACGTTTAGAAGAGGAGATCCAAGCAGCAGCAGCATGCCATTGCGGCCATGATACCGGCGCAAAGGCCGCCGGTGCCAGATCCACCACGGTTCTGGCCACCGGCGTAGTAGCCCTGCTGAGGGGGATATCCCTGCTGCGGCGGATAGTACATCTGGTTTTGCTGGCCGTAGTAGCCCTGTTGAGGATATCCTTGCTGTGGGGGATACCCTTGCTGCTGGGGATATCCCTGCTGCTGGTAGTAGCCCTGGCCGCCTCCGTAGTAATCGTTTGCGGCGCCCTGACCCTGCGGCGGCGGGGAGCCCGGGAAGGCGGAGGGCTGGTTAAAGGACTGCTGTCCTGCGTAGGATGGGGGCGGGCTAGTCTAGAGAGAGATTAGTATACACCGACTCGAAGCGAAGTGAGAGATCGGGGGTGAGGGTGGCGTACGGGCTTGTTGTAGGACATGTTCGACAATTGATGGGTGGGGGACCCGCTGTCGATCTGCTGGTGTGGAGGAGAGTATAATAGATGTGGGGTTGAAACAGATTCGGTAGTGAGAAATATCCCCGCGGAACTATGAGATTGTTTAGAAGAGACTGCGCAGTGAAAAAGAAAAGGAGACCGAGGGCGCTTCCGGAAGGCCTAGGTAGAGGCCGCGTCGATCGCCCGTTGCAGATGGGTGGAGTGTGGCGTAGTTCCATGGTCCCGGGTCTCGGCAGCTGAGTCAGCCAGGCAGTGCACGGCAGAGATCCCGAGGCATGAGATCTATAGACTTGTGAGTTTAGCTACGACTTCTACTGATAGGAAAAGGCCGTAGATGGGTGTTCTCAATTCTGGCTTTTAGAAACAGAGCAAACGCTGTCCATGTATCAACGCGGAAAATAATGCACATGAGCCAAGAACAAAAGCAAAAATGCTAGACGCAATGCTAGACTTCACACTGTACGGGGATAATCCCATGAGATACCCCCCAAGTTATTCCAAAAAGGCGACTATGCCTGGTCCTCAATGGAGGCCTTCTTCAACTCCTCGGCGGCATCGGCGGCGGCATCCTTCTCCTGAGCAAGCTCGGCCTCGGCAGTGGGGGCGCCGTTGGCCTGAGCGGGTTTCTTCTTGGAGTCGGTGGCGCGGTCGTTGGTCTCGGCGATGTTGGCCTCCTCCTCCTCGAGGCGCTTGATCTCCTCCTTGGCCTTGTTAATGTTCTGTGTGGGATGTTAGCGGCTGATGGTGATCGATTTCAGGTGATAGAAAAACTCACCTCCTCCGTCTTGCTCGCCTGGTTCTTCTTCCATTCCTGGATCTTGGAAGCCAGCTTCTCAACAGCAGCAGGGACATCAGACTGGTTCATGGGAGGGTCAATCTTGACCTTGGCGAAGTCCTCAATGATACCGACGTTCATGTTGAACTTGCCACCCTCGGCGACAGCGGCCTTCTTACCACCCTTCTTGCCCTTCTTGCTACCAGAGCCGACGAAGTAGTCCTCCTCGTCATCCTTCTTCACAACCTTCATGCCCTTCAGACCGGAATCGTCCACGGTACGGCCGACACCAGCACGGAAGTTGCTGCCCTCGGTCTTCTTGTCGTCCAGACCCAGAGAGGCAAAGTTGTAGGCGGGGTCAAAGTGACGGATAAGACCCTGAGCAGTCAGGATCTCGTCGGTGTAAGCCAGGGCGGATGCCTCCTCGAGCTTCTTGTCGGCAATCTTCTTGCGCTTCTCGCGCTCAAAGGCATCACGCTCGGCCTTCTGGCGCTCACGGCGAACGCGCCAGGCCTCATCCTCGTACTCCTTGTAGGCACGACGGGCCTTGAAGTAGGCATCCTTGATCTCGCGGATAGCGGCGTACTTCTTCTGCTGGTCGTTGCGCAGGTTAGTGCGCTCATCGCGCAGCGAGTTCAGGTTCTTGAAAATGCCATCCTGCTCAGCCTTGATGGCATCCAGCTCCTTCTGGATCTCGGTGTACTTGTCGCTAAGAGCCTTGGCCTCGGGGTTGTCGAGGGTCTTGCGGAGCTCGGCAATCTGAGCCTTCAGCTCATTGATACCCTTCTGGGCCTCGTCGAGACCGGCAAAGCCCTTGCGCTGCTTGCGCAGCTGGGAAATGTCGGACAGAGCCTTACGCTCATCCACCAAGCGCAGAGTACCGGAGTCGACCTGCTTCTCAAGACGGGCAATCTCCCGGTCGATATCCTCAACATTCTTGAACGACATCTTGCCGCGCGAGTTGTTCTGCTCCGCAATGCGGGCCTTCAGGGTGGACTCGAGAGCATTGATCTTCTCTTGGGTGCTGGACCGGGAGGACTTGAAACCCGACTGCTTCTGGCGGATGGACGAGAGTTCGGCGCGGAGTTCCTGTTGCTTCTTGGCCGTGGGGGAGTCCTGGTTGTTGGGCTTGGCGTTGTCCAACTTGGACTTGATTTGGTTCTATTGCGCACGTTAGCGATTGACTCAGTATGGAAATGAGAGATCAGTGGACACATGTCGCAAATGAGATGAATTCGCCTCGGTCTGAAAAAAAGACAACGCATTCACCCCAATGCCACATCAAAATCCAAAATCGCAGAAGTGAGAGATAATTCCATACCAATTTCTCTTGAGCCGCAGCATGTTCCTTCTCGGCCTGGGCGAGACTGGCCTTGTAGGCCTCCTCATCCGGCTTGGAGGGCTTGACCTTGAGCTCCGCAGGGGCAGGGCTGGCCATTGTGAAGATGCAGGGAAAACGAACGAAAGAAATAAAAGTGAATTGAGACCGGGGAAAAAGGGAAGGAAGACAGCCCACGAGGGGAAAGGGGAAAACGATTGGAATAATTAAAATGGTTCGGTTGGTTTCTCCGCTTTCCCAGGCATCGCCTGGCAGAATGTTCCCGCCGATTTTTCGACTTCACCTTATCCGACCTCCGCCTAACTTTTTTTTCCCTACGCTCTTGCATTCACCTCCACGCTATCGACCATGGACGGGGAAATTGCTCAGCATGGCGGAGATTCTGATCGGGAGATGACGCGACTGTGGCGCACTTGGAGGACTGTCTACGAGATGCTCGCGGACCGGGTAAGACCTTGATTATTGAGCCCTTTCGCGATTGAAGGATTGGAAGCTAATGATGTGCTTGCGCTGGGATCCAGGGCTATGAGGTGTCTGACGAAGAGCTCCAAATCTCACTAAACGACTTCCGTAACAAATATGCCGATCCTATGGGCTACCCTGAGTATGTGATCCTTGAGCTTCGAAGATTTCGCATCGTGAAAGACCGCAAAGAGAAATTTGCCCTCCCAATGCCCTTCCCAACTAACATGAACTCCTCTCAAACAGCCGCACCAAGATGAAAATTCAAGCCCGCCCCACCGAGGTCATGAAGATGAAGTACACTCCGCTGCCGAGCAAATCGAACCCGACCCCCCAGCCCGACTGCGGCACGATCTACGTCGACTTCTGCCCGGACTCGTCGGGCGTCGGCACCAAGCAGGTGCGCGCTTTCAACCACATCGTTGACGAGAGCAACTTCCACACCGGTATCTTTGTCACGCAGACCCCGATCTCGCCCTCCGCCGTACGCCTGCTGAGCGGTGTGCCCGGTCGCATCTGCGAGCACTTCCAGGAGCAGGATCTGCTGGTCAACATCACCCGCCACGAGCTCGTCCCCAAGCACGTTCTCCTCAGCCCCGAAGAGAAGGCCAAACTGTTGGAGCGGTACCGTCTGAAGGAGTCCCAGCTGCCCCGCATGCAGGTTTCCGACCCCGTCGCACGGTACCTGGGTCTGCGCCGTGGCCAGGTCGTCAAGATTATCCGCAAGTCCGAGACGGCCGGTCGGTACGCCAGTTACCGCTGGGTCATTTAGAGGACCCGCGAGGCGTTGTTTTATTTCTCTCTTCCGTTCCGAAGGAATCGCCTCTCTGGTTTGAGAGGTATCGAGAACCCATACCCAATTGCGCATCAAGTCCATTCCGACGGTTCTCTGCTGCTGCCATGCCCCATCTCCGTTCCGTTTGGGAGAATCACGAGGAATACGGCTGCAATAGATATCAGGACACCGGGGATTGGACACGGAGTTTTCTTGCACCACACAAACGAACAAAAAAAAGTCGGTCCCCTTGTATTATGGGCAGCATGGCGTACAGGCGAAGTTTCTCCAACATCCACGGGGGCGGGGGTTTCTGATCTGTGAATTTACATAGTAATCTCCGTTGTGTTTGCTGTTCAGGCTAGATGATATACACTGGATGTCTATATTACTGGATCCGAGTAGTTTGTACGGACATCAGTTTCAATACGTAGCTTGATAGGCTGTTTCTCTGTGTAGACATTCCTCATGGTCTCGTGTCTGTGGTGTACAATATGAACAATAACGTGATCCGATAGCTCCTGAAGTCAAGTCCACCTCCTTGTTGAGGATGTAGGAAGACAACGCCAGCGCCAATGCTAGCAAATATGAAAGACGCAATGGGAAACAACATGATGGGGTATGAGCAACTCCAAAAATAGTCCAAACCCCAATCCAATCCAAAATCAAGAGTTCAACTCCCCGTCAAGTAGAGTAAGAGAAGCTATTCCCGTTACATGATTAAATGAAAGACATCCCGTCGTAGATCAGACGTTATTATGCCTTGAAGATAAAAGCCCACCGACGTCCTGTAGTTCGACGTCCACATCCACACTAAGTGAGACGTCGGGTGAAGCTCGGTAGGATGGAAGAGTATGGGTATTACCCGGCGCCGCAGGTGATGATAAACGTGCCGGGGTAGCAGATGTAGTACTACGCGGTGAGAGAACACCAAGATCCTCGAGGAAAGCCCTGTTTCCACGACGGATCCGTTGGGTTTCAGTATTAGCGGGCGAAGAGACGGCCGTATGCGAACGGCGTGTATCAGTACGGGGCTGTGGTAGATCTTGATTCAACAGACCGCCCACATCGAAGAAGGATACCTGGCGTGAGAGGGATGCCGGGGTAGGAGGTGACTCGCAAGGCTTGTTCGTCTTGATATATTCATGAGGGCTGATTTTCAAGTCGAGGCTGTCGTCAGCTGAGATACGGTCGTCGGAAGAACGGCCCTGTTGGAATGACCACGATGGGTCTATAGACCCGGTACGTGCCACGTTGAGGGGAAGAGGAGGGGCGACCATGGCAGTAGCAGGTGATGGAACGGAGGGATGGAGCTTGGGGTCCAAGCGGATACCCACGCCCGCAGCGAGGTCCGAGTCGCTGCCCCACTGGTGTTGCATGAGGGTGTTGCGACGGACGGAGCTTGTATCCATGCTTTCGGTGACCGATGCAGAGCCCTGGGTGCGTTTATACTTCAGTTTCTTGACGCCGCGGTCGCGGACAAAGGAGCCGATGACGACCACGTTCGAGACGGCTGTTGCGGCTAGGATTTCGAGGGATGCGATGAGGGAGCGGTACGGTTGGGCTCCGTTATGGTAGATGACGGATGGGACTCGATAGCAGGTGATGGCAACCAAGCCCAGGGAGAGGCAGAACAGGACGACGAGGCCGAGCTTGCGCTTCATAGGCATATGAGCCAAGAGTATTATCGGGACGGGGAAGGCGACGAGGAGAAGATCGGTGATGACATCGCAAGTGCCCATGGTGATGAGGTTGGCGTAGCCCGAGCGACAGTTGAGCCCGGGATCAGGGCGAACCTGGTAGTAGTGATCGAAGGGCTGACACTCGGCCAGCGTCGCGATGACCACAGCAACCAGCGTAGATATGAGAAAGAAGTGGATGAAGCGTAGGAAGATGGCGACGGAGCGGCGCCAGACCATACCGGTGACTCGCTCGAGGAATTCACAGACGGTCAGTTTGGCCATCCAGATACTGCGCATGTTGTTAGTACCGACGCTGCAGGATCACCAATAAGAACCAGGGGAAGTCATACAAGATCGCGTAAAATATCCGAGCCACCAACACCAGCTTGCTACCAATCTCCCTCCTTGATATCTCCTCCGCCGTCAAACCGTCGGTTTGGACATTGTTCGTGCCGTAGATCAAGACGAAATGTACCAGGAGCATCCGAATGACCAGGGGTATTATGCTGAGCACCATGACCTTGTCCTCGGGAAAGAAGCGCTCGAGACGGACATAGCGACCACATAGTCGGACAACGATGATAGCCAGTGAGAAGCCCGTTGCCCACCAGCTCATCAACAGAGTCGGGTTGATCTGCGTTCGAGACTCATAATCGGGGGGAACCTGGGAAAAGAGGCCTCGCGGCTCCATGATCCCAGCGCCTCCACAGAGGAGGAGGAGAAGTTATGGAATCGTCGATTCGAGGTGAGGGAAGATGTCTTTACATGACGCACGTGAGAGTAGTGTCAACGGTGGGGAAGCTGAAGTGGGTTCACGACGATCGGAAACTAAGATCGTCGCGGTTTAAAGGGAGAGAAGGGTTGAAGTAAGTAATACGGAGGGGAGAAGAAGCATCGGTCATTCTCGGAGACTACGAAAGGCAAACGAGGTGGGCAAGGATCCGAACAGCAAAGGATTCCAAGCCAGAGGATGTGATAACAAGCAGCCAGTGACATCGACCCTACTAATCTCACGAGTCGGCGTCGTAAACCTTGGCACTGGGGTAAGCGAGAGTTATATCTCCACACCGGGCGTGGCTCTCACGCGGGTTCCAGCCAATCTCGAGGTAATGTACTTTTAGCCCCCCTGGGGTCGGTGAAGGAGCACGCCTACACCTAAAACAGCGCGGGCTACCGGAGTCCGAAGCTTGGACCGTCGTGGGGGAAAGGATGCGCTAAGGATTTCATGGCCGTAGATTGGTTCGCGCTTCCTAGGGCAAAGCGTAAGTGATTGAAAAGTGCAATGGATCTGACTCGAGGGCAATTATAATCGAGCAACACGTGGATGCTTCCCGCAACGAGCCAAGTACACTCAGCCTCGTCTCTCTTCTATGTTTCAGTCGTTCGACCTAGCAGATCGACGGGGTTCTAGGCTCACGGGGGTTGCCACCGCTGAGATTGGTCGTGCTGCTGATAGTACGAGTACTGTAGCACTGGGCCTCCGAGGCTTGTGATAGACCGCCATGGCTCTGTGACGGGACAATCTTTCCAAATTTACCCGCGATAAGCACCGTGTGAAAGGGAAGTTGGACCTTCATCCTTTCTCTATGTTCTATGTTCGGAGTATTCGTGGTCCTTATCTATCTTCCTGGCTCCCAAAGTTACCCAACCACCGCAGCCGCAGCCTCCTCTCGTTTCGCCTCATCCCGAAGTGACTGGATGCCGACTCCGGCGTGCAGCCCGGCCAGTACCGTCCGTAGCTCCTGCAGGAACTTGGTCACCTCTGCCTCCGTGCCGACGGTGATGCGCAGACATCCCTCACACCCGTGTTCCTTGCCTCGGAACCGTACCACCACCCCGCGCTTCTCCGCCATCGCCTCGTAGGCCGCCAACGCGGTGACGTTGCTCGGGCGGCCCTCTGCATCGGTAATCTGCACCAGCAGGAAGTTCGCGTCATGGCCACCCAGGAACTGGCCTACGCCGGGGATCTGCGGTAGTTCACGTAGCAGCCGGTCTCGCTGGGCGACGATCTGCTCGCGGTAACTGCGCATGACGGCCATGTTGGGACCCGTTAGCGCGGCGGATGCCAGGGCACTCGTTGGGCTGGAAATGTTGTAGGGGGCCTTCAGGCTGTTCAGCAGCTGCGTGATCTCGGGGCTGCTGTAGGCCACGCCCAGACGGATACCCGCGAGACCGAACGCCTTGCTCAGCGTCTGCATCACAACCAGGTTGGGCCACTCGTTCACCCATTCGGCCAAGCTGGAGCCCTCTTCGGCGAAGTCGATGTATGCCTCATCCACGATGACCACTCCGTTCCACGTCGGGTGCTCCAGAACCTTGCGGATATCCTCCTTGCGGATCAGATTGGCGGTCGGGTTACCCGGCGAGCAGATGTATGCCAGCTTAATAGAAGAGTCTGCGGACAGGGCCTCGTTGACCTTCTCCGGCTGCAGGTGGAACCCGTTATTGACATCCAGCGGCACCTTGACGATATCGATGTCATTGATCTGTGCGCTCACGCTATACATTCCGTAGGTCGGAGGGCATGTCAGGATCTTGTCCTTGCCGGGAGCGCAGAAGCATCGGAGAAGCGCATCGATCGCCTCGTCCGATCCGACGCCGACGAAGAGATTCTCGGGTTGTAAGGTCTTGGGTGTGTGGTGGTGAGTATTACGGAGGTTGCAGAAGAGCTGCTTAAGTTCAATCTGGTGACTATGTAGAGGCCTTGGGGTTAGAAATATTTCTTTAAGATCTCATGGTCGAACCAGTCACTCACGGGTCGGGGTATCGGTTCAAGCCCAAAAAGTCAATCTCGGGCTTTGAAGCACTTGTCGCATTGCCTGTCTGGGACGCTTGCAATGTGCCTTCCGTGTTCAATGCCAGTCCTGGACCGTAGGCATTCTCATTGGCGTCGAGAAGCACGTTTGTGCCGTCGTCTTTGTAGTCACTGATTCGTTAGCGCGAGATCGGAGTCGCATCGGAGATGGTAGACATACTCTCTTGCGCACCGGTAGGGCTGCAGTTTCAAAATGTTGGGACGGGCGCATGTGGCCAGATTGAACGGAGAGGTCCTTGAAGCCATTGTGAACGCGGTGCCGAAGCAAAAAGCACGATGATGTTGAAGAGCAAAGTCGGTGGGGTGGCGGGGAATCTATCGGAAGGAAAGCGGAATCGCTCCCCAAGGTTGACTCATGCTGCAAAGGAATGCGTGACTCAGACTCGCCAATTGCATTTGCGAGTATATCAACTGATCTAATTTAGGTGATCAGTGGAATGAATACATCGTGCTTGATATAGGTTCGTTTGAGGTCCCTAACCCGCCGAAGTACGATTATTTTCGAAAGCAATTGTAGCTTCCGCGGTCTACATCCGGAAGCGTCATAGCGAGGACGGTGATCGTCTACAGCCGGACCAAGGAAATATTGTAATGTCAGTTGGCCTAATGAGGTGGTCACCAATATCTGTCCGCGCGTTTTCAACGAGAAATTTAAAATGATACATTAAGAAAAGGGAATCCAAATATGTCTAGAAAGAGGTTTAAAGAAATTTCTAAAAGATTGGAATGACGAAGAGAACAAAGCGTTTCGGCCCATTTGCAACATCGTCTTGGTCCGGCTCTATGTATAGATGAAACGTGTAATTTTGTGGATGCATAGAATATCCGATTCATGGAATTAAACCATGTGCTGTGCACACAACGCCTGCCGATGCCTTGTCTCGGGGTCTGCACAATTACCTTATGCCCCAGACACTTCCACAGGATCATTTACTCCTTCTTAATGTCCTTAGTTTCGGCGCGCTCTCCCTTCGGAATATTTTTGGAAAGAGCTGCGTGAGCCTGAGCCTTCTTGTGCTTCTCTCGCTTTTCCCTCAGGTAGTTCCAGCTCTTGCGAAGGCCCGCGGTCAAGGGTCCTTTGATGGTCTGAACGGTGCTAGGCCAGCGGATCGTCTTCATGATCGACGCTGACACCTCTTCTTGCAGGTGCTCATCGCTGGCGATCCTGCGTTCAAAGGGACCTCCTTGAGGCCGCCGAACAACTTCGCTGTTCTTCTCATTTTGCTCCTCCATCATCTTGTTGAACTCAGCCCGCGGGATCTGGTATCGGGATTGGTACTGGAAGTACACCTTCTCGCGGAAAGCTTCTGGGAGACGGCGCACCATGTTTCCACGCTTCACCGGGTCCATATCCTGCACCATGGCCAGAATGGCGTCCGGATCATCGATCCAATCGCTCTGGTTACAGCGGGGATCGTTGAAAGTAACATTTGGCAAGTTGTTGATCAGGGGTGCGTAGAGCCTCCGGAAATGTGCCATCTGGCTGGATACGATGTTGCGCACTTTCCCGGGGTCCTCGGCTGGAAGTACCATCCGTAGATCGCCCATATAGCTGATGCCCGCGATGGTGCTGTAGAGCTCAAACTCGCTAAACCGCTCCGGGAGCAGCAGCAACGCCACTCGCAAAGCGGACAGCAGGTTCATCTGGTTCGCCAAGCGTACCTTAGGATGATCTCGCAGGATCTTGACCGGCTTTTGCAGCCGACCCGCGAGATATAAAGTGTTCCACGAAGTAAGATCCGTACAAAGCGTATCCAAATTCACGACGCCATACTTGATCAAAGTTCCGTTGACGGTGATATGGGTGTTGAAATATACACCAGCTCCGAACCGATCCTGTACTTGAGACACCAGGTATGATCCGAACGACCCGAGTCCTGAATAGTGGTCGCGGTGTTGGTGAAGATTCAATGAATGCCAATGTTGCGAGTATGAAACTCCGAAAATAAAGTCAATCATCTTCCCGGAGCCCTGTTGCATGTTCTTGATGGCTGCTGGGGCCGATGGATGTGTTGAGCCAGCTGCCGCAGAACCGGTCTGCGTAAAGACACCCGATCCATAGGCGAATGCATATCGGATGGGCGCCCGGAACTGCCAAAGGATCTGTCGCAGAGCCTCCTTGAACTCCTGGTTGATGATCATATGCTGGTTCACACCAAAATCCTTCGAGGGGAGCTCGGAGAAGTTCGAGATCGCAAGGTTCGGGTTATGGTCCCAATCCGACTCGGACAGTAAGGGAGAGGTTGAGAACGACGCGGATGATGGCGGTCGTCCATATGTGAAGTTGTGTAGTAAACTTGATGTAGAAAGGTCGGAATTTGTAGATTGGCGGAAAGGAGAGTCGGAGGTCGGGGAAGATGGGATTGAGACATAGCGAGCCGACACGGGCAGCCTCAGAAGAGGTGACAAGCGGGCACGGGTCTGCCAGAGATAGCTGAGGCTAGCACTCCGAGGGGTAATCATCTAGACAGAGAAACAATTATCAGCACGGGAATTCCCCCAAGCAGTGTTTCAGGTTCTCGTTCGTACGGTTGGGCGCATGTCTGCAATGTGGAGGAGAAGGAGCGGAGCACGTAGGCTCAAAATAGGGAGATCAAATAAAACCAGCGTCCCCCACCATGGAATGCACTTTACAAAAAATTAATGGGCGGGGAGACGTTGAATTGACTCAAGCCGGCTCTTAACACTTGCAGGTCTGACGTCGCCCGAAGGCTTACTAAAATTATCACGTGCGCGCGCGTTTGCATAACAACGGAAGTAAACACACCTGAGCGCTCCGCAATCAACATCGACAAATTCGCCAATAACAACGACCAAAGCCCTGTTTCTGACGCGGATTCAGGGACCGACAGTCCTTTCTGCTCCATTGCCACCATGAGCACAGAAATGGATACGTTCGCGGCGCGCCTGGCCAGCTTCGACACAGTCCTCAAACCCGAAAGGCGGAGGTCCTCGACCACGAAAAGTGCCAAAGCGATCGGATGGCCTCACCAGAGTCCCTCGCCGGCCGAGGTAAGAAATACGGATTAGCAAGCAGCGTGGCGACTGGATACTAACGAAGAGGAAATCTAGTTGGCGCATGCAGGCTTCTACTACAAACCTTACGAGACCAACCCCGACAACACAACATGCTTCCAGTGCAATCGTGCATTGGATGGATGGGAGGAAGAGGATAACCCAATTACAGAGCATCTCAAGCACTCACCGGACTGCGGCTGGGCGATCATCATGGACATCCAGCAGCATAGCTCCAACCCCGCCACGATCGAAGACCCGACCGGTGACCGTATCACTCAAGCGCGGATCGCTACATTTGGCACGGCCTGGCCGCATGATGGTAAACGTGGATGGGTGTGCCAATCGGAGAAGGTAATGTGAATGCGCCCTGGTACCCAATATCGTACTAACAAATGCAACAGATGGTTGAGGGCGGATGGTACTTCTGCCCGAACGAAGAAAGCGACGACCTAGCTAGTTGCCCCTACTGTAAGCTCTCGCTCGATGGCTGGGAGCCCAAAGACGATCCATTGTGAGTCGAGACTCCGCCCCTGCCTATTGCGGAGGAAATTAATATCCCCAGTGATGAACACTACCGCCGCTCCTCGGATTGCTCTTTTTTCGTCTTCGCACAACCTCCGGCAAAGAAAAGCAAAGGATCTCGATCAAAGAAGGGCCGCACTTCCAAAGCATCATCACGACTCTCGACCCAGTCCGTCGCCACCGCTTCATCTGAAGCTCCTGAAATGGATGTCGACGAGTCAATGGACCAGAGCATGATGTCCCAAGCAACTGCCAAGCCAAAGGCTACGAAGAAGGGTACCAAAGGCAAGGGAAAGAGCTCGAAGAGCAAGAAAGAGAATGTGGAGGTGGAGAGCCAGATGGATGTCGACGAAATCGAGCTTGTACAGCCGGAGCCGGAGCCGGCGAAGCCCAAGCGTGGGAAGGGGAAGAAGCGAGTCAGCGAAGAGATGAACAATAATGAGCCAGAGTCTGTCCAAGAGGAATTCTATCAGCCGCCGCCACCTGCAGAACCATCAGCGAAGCGACGCGCGACGAAAACGCGCAACAGTAGCGTTTCCCAAGCCTACGACCATGACCATGTGATGGCAGACGCGGGCTTCGTGGATGAAGCACCGCAAGAAGAAGAAACCGCAAAGAAGGGTCGCAAGAAGAAGGGGACCTCATCTAAAAGCCGCAAGGCTTCTGATGTGTCTGTTTCATCTAAAGCCACGTCCAAGACACGTGTACCCCGTGATTCAGAACTAGATGCTGCTCTGGAGGCCGGTCCTGATGCAGATATTCCCGAGTCACTGGAGGCGGAGCAGGAAACAGAACCCGAGCCTGAAAAGCCTCGTGCTTCGAAGAAGACCAAGGGCGGGAAGAAGGCCAAGGCTACCGCTAAATCGCCCGAACCCCCACAGGAGCCAGAGTATCCCGCAGACGATCAAGAAGAGCAACCAAAGGTTGATGTAGAGCCTGATGCTCCTGAGATGGAGGAGCCCGAAGTTCCCAAAATTCCTGAGGAGTCAGAGGAACCAGTCCCCAAGTCAAAGACAACAAAGACATCCAAGAAGAAGGGATCCAAGAGGACCAAGGAGGAAAACTCAAATGCTCCCACAATGCCAGATTTGTCCGAGTTCAAGTCTGCAGCTGAGGATCGACGTGAATCCGAACGCCACGAATCTTTTGTGTCGGTCGAAATCATCAACACGGAGCCCGAGCCTCGACGGGAGCCGGAGGCGGAGCCCGCAGAGAAAGCCGTGCCGAAGAAATCCTCGAAGAAAGATGTCAAAGCAAAGAAGTCGAAGAAGACCAAGAAGGCAGAAGAGACACCTCCTCCGGAGCCGGCCCGGGAAGAGAGAGACTTCAGGTCCCCGACTAGAGACGAAGACGTATTTGGAACTCCAGATGACATCCCCGATCAAGTTGAGATGGTTGCAGCACCCCAGGCACCCACGCCGGAGCCGCCTGTGGCCCTTGAAAGGACACCAGTACCAGCAAAGACTGCGAAACGATTCAGTGATATTCCCCAGGAGGAGCATCTTGCTCAATCCTTCTCTGAATCGCAAGGATCTGGCAGAAAGGAACGGTCGAATCCCCAGCGGACTTCCCAGTCATCCAACAGAGCAGTATCACCGCTTCCGACAGTTCGCCTGAGTACGCCATCTATGTCGCCACAATCCTCTGATGCGGAGAACCACCCCCCTTCATCTCGTCCTTCGACGGCTCGCCCGGCTGAACCGTCAGCATCCAAGATGCTGAAGACCCGGACCCCACTGGCCGCCAGCACTCCGTCTCCGTCTAAGCGCAATGCCAACGCCGGTTTCCCTCCATCCGCACATCCCTGGACGCCCGTGGACATTGACGAGGTTCTCTTCGGAGAGGCCAGTGATAAGGAGAATGCCGACCTGACTGGTAATTTCAAGAACGTGACGGGTAATCTGACCAGCCCGGAGAAGAAGATGACGGTAGAGGAGTGGATTATGTGGAACGCGAAGAACGGCGAAGAGCGACTGAAGAGAGAGTGCGAACGACTTGTCGGCCAGTTCGAGAAGGAGGGTGGCCGAGCCATGCAGCGGCTCGAGGCTATCGAGTGCATGGATTAAACGAACATTATGCGGTGTTTTGGATCTTGGAGAGCTACCAATCCTGGGTTCAGGCGTTTGTCGGAGTCATGATTCAATATTTTAACATTTTTTGTTGCAATTGCAATGCTCCTCACGGAAGAACGCCTCTTTATAAACAAATTGATAAACGGGTCGCCGCCTTGGAAAACGCCATGGGTATCATAAGTAGACTGTACGCCCCGAAATCCCCATCACGCAATGATTCCCAGTCTCCCTTCCCAGCTGTCCTCCTGCTTGACATCATCCTTGCCCTTCCGGCGCTTCTCATTCCGCTTGCGTCTCTTTTCCTCCCTCTCCTTCGCATCAATCTCCTCTCGCTCCCGCAATCTCTCCCCGAGATCAAGCTGCCACGCTCGCCGTTCCTCATCCTCCCTCACCCGCTTCCTATGCGACAGCATCCGCAGACGCATCCGCACATCCTCCACACTAGCACGTTTCACCTCGCCGCTTTGACCAGTCGCAATCAAATGCTGTTTGCTGTTGTAGTGCTCGACCAGCTGAATATTGTCCTTGAAGGTAAGGTCACAGTCCTTGCAGTAGAATCCAGCTCCAGGGCCTCGTTTGCCCATCGAGGCTCCAGCTGGAACGATCGTTGTCTTTCCCACCATCGACGCGACGTCTAGTCGCTTGTCACGGGCCTTGGTCTCCTCGAGAGAGGAGAAGTCGACTGGCGCATGGTATTTCTTGCCCAGGAGCTTCGCTTCGTATCGGGCTTTGCCTTCGGCTTTGCGCTTCGCTTCTTGGTCTGCGGCCTTCTTGGCGTACTCCTCGCGGTCCCATGTCTTGCGGAACTCGGTGTCCGAGGCCGGGGGCCCGGTGGTGTTTGGTTGAGGCATTGTGGGTTGGTTTGGAGGGTTAGAATGGTGGAGGTTTCCTGCGATGATTTGGAGATCGAGGTCGATATGGTGGGCCCGTGGCGGTGTTAGTAAGCAGATCTGGCTCCCACGGGTTTCACTGATTAATCTGGAGCTTCTTGATTTTACTTTGGAACTTGTTGATAACTTCATTTCATATTTCCTTTACTATTGCTCTACAAAGGGTAAAGTCAACATTTTGGTGTCATGGCAGAATGCAGCCACTTAGCAGTCCAATTGTGGAGGCGTATAGTACCGTCAATTACTTCTCACCTTGACCACACCCCAATTTGATAGGCAATAGCCTTTCGCAAATAGTCAATTTTTTGTCATGATCGCTACTGCCTTGTATTAAACGAAAGTTCCGGTTCTAACTTAAGAAAGAAGCCGAAGCGCCAGTTGACTCAAGTAGGCAACAGCACAAAACACATAAGACGAAGCCGCGTCCGTACTTTAAGCCTCATCCAAAACAAACAATGGAGCAGCCCACGGCCACCCCAGAGCTTCTTCAATGCAGGCCTCACATAGATATGATGAACCTACCGGCAGAGCTTCATATGCAGATTGCATCTTATCTGTCGTACCCTGACGCCCTCGCGCTGAAACATTCCCGCTGAAACATTCCAGCCGCCACTTCAACTCTTTGGTTTACACCGGTGTTCACCTCAAGGTTGACTGGCTTGTCGAGCGCTTTGAACGCAAGCTTGAATGTCCGATGGAGAAATGCTCCTTTCGCACAGACGAACAGTTCTGCAACTGGCGAATCCGCCGGATCATGGAGCGGCGTCGACGGCATCTCGAGTGCCGCCAAGTGCCTGGAGGCTGCTGCGTTGTGGATGGCAAGACCTGTCAGAAGGACTTGATACCGTGGCTCAAGAGGTCAGGCCCTCGGAAGGTGGCCAGGACGTTGGCCACGGGGGGACGTGAAGGTTCGTTGGTCATCTTGTTCGCTTTTGTGCTTGATGCTGACATTGCTTTTTTTACTCCCCTGTAGCGCTGATCATCTGCATCCTTGCATTTTTTATGCAACTCGCATGGAACCTTGTACAGAGGTAAGATCGGTGTACCGGGTCATCTCTCAGATTGCTGAACGATGTCGACAGGAGTTACGATGAGGACAAGCGAAGCGGCAACCCGTTGACTTACTTCGCGATGAAGCTTATGAATCATTATTAATGAAGATCAGGTTGGTCTTCCATATTAAACTTGTTCAATTTATGTGAAGACGGCATTGCGCCGTCGATTCCGAGTGATCTTTCACCGAGGCCTATTCTCAGAGCGACTTTCCCCGTCTTCCAATGTATACATGGGAAAGAAGGAGTTAGGACATATGTATCTGTGCTTTCATACGACTAATTGATTTCCTGTCGATGTCAAGGCTGTGATGGACAGAAGATGGAACCAACCAGAATCCAAGGAGCAAGACAAGGAGCAAGGATATGGGCGGACCCCTGGTCACATCACACCAGAACCAAGATCTGCAAGCGGTAAACTGTGGAGAAGAACAGTCATTAATCATTAATAATTCAGTAGAATTGCGAACTGGACTAGAATGTCGCAGCTGGTCGAGCTCTAATCCGGATTATCTTATCGCTGACGTCACATCGACGTGTACGTATACTTTGCGATACAATTGCTATAAAAGCCACTTTGCCTTTCAATTTAAGATCGATGATCAACAAATTTACTCTGCCAAAAATAAATAATCATGTCTGCTGAAGCATCCATCAACACCGCCACGGGCAACCACCCGGTGGACCCCTACAAGTCGAAGAGCTTCGAAGACCCGCCACTTCCCCAGAAGATCGAGGACCTGGCCCAGTTCATCTCAGAGATCAAGTTTGGCATGTTGACTACCCATCAGTCAGAGGGTGAATACCTGGCATCGCGATGCATGGCACTCGCTGCCCAGGTAAGTGATTCGCAATGATTCAGTAAATGTATTCTCAGATGTCGAAGGATGGAAGCTAATTCAATGTCAATTCAGGAGCACGGCGGCATTGACCTAATTTTCCACACCAACCTTTTCTCTGGAAAAACAATGGATCTCACCGTCCACCCCAAGGAAGTCAACATGTCCTTCTTGGACCCTGTCTCCGGGGCCTGGGCTTCGATCTCCGGCACGGCCAAGGTTGTTTCCGACCCCGCAACCGTCCAACAGTACTATTCCTCAGCGTTGAAGGCATGGATCGGTGATATGGGCGACGGTGTCCACGATGGTGGTCCCGCCGACCCTCGCATCGGTGTGATTAAGCTGGAGGCGAAGCTGGCGACACACGTCGCTACCAAGAAGGGCATTCTTGGTCGAGCCGTCGACACCGTTAAGGGTGCTGTCCAGGGCAATGTCCCTGAGATTAACAGCATTCGGGAGTTAAGCATGGAGGAGCTGGCTGAGTGTGAGTATTCCAATTTCATGGTGTGCAAGGAATTCATACTGATTGAATATAGGGCGCCGGACACACCAGAAGTCCTAGGCTTCACGACCTTATGAAATGAATGCCCGCGTTTATGGCTGTATGGGAACTGTATGAGAGGATCCACTGGAATGGGATCTGAGATGGTCTGGGATTTAAATGTCTCGTCTACATAGGAAAACAATTCCAATGATTTAACATAACGATCTGGTACTTGTTTTCATTGGCATCAACGTCTGTCAACCGGCCACCTTTAATGTAGATCAAGATACACAATTGTCCCCAATAAAGGCAGGAAGTATTTCGTTGATCTCCTTACTCCTCCAAACCAAGATATCTGCTCGGTTCTTAAGTAAAGGCTGCCTAAGATAACGAATGATAGCAACCTACCAGGTAGCAAGATGGCAACCATCAAAGCTGTACTTCAATTGTGAGGCATTACTTCTCCTAGTTTAGAACTGCAGTTGGGTGTAGCTTCCGTAAACCTTGGCCTCCCTTGTTGAAGATTCCTCTGAGAGATTGCTTGGCAGAACACTCTGTCCAGATCGCGCACCTTGTTTAGACCGACTAGACGGGCCAGTTTGACTGATCAGTGATTCGAAAACGTCAACTCCCTCAAAAGTCGGACTGTCATCGAATTTCAGCCACACATCCAACTTTATCCCCGCAGCTTCGGCCTCGGATGCCAATGAAGACGGCAGCTTCCAGTGTCCTGCTGAATCCTCGATACCTTGAGATTCACTTTCAGAATCATCGAACCTCTCAAACGCGTAGATTGTCACCGTGTGCAAATGTGGGAGGTGTGTCGTCTTATGCCTGATCACATCAAGGAGAAAAGGATCATAAGCCACCGCGTCGCCCTCATACAGGAAGGTGGTGAGGTCTCCATCGTCGTAAGAGACCTCCAGCTCCTCCAGGTTGGGAGGCAAATTTCTCCAGACCCCAGGCCAATCATCAGTCCCGCAAAGGAAGACATGGTAAATGCGAAGAATCCTAAGGGCCTGGAAGTCGCTTAGATCGATGCGAGGTCCATTTCCCAGTCCTTCGTGGACAAGCCGCGGCCTCGTCATTGTCAATTCTTCCAACGACCTCTTCTGCGATTGTAGCGTGCGCACAAAAGCAGCAGTAGTCCACTCTTTGGCCGGCTCATCCCCATAATGGCCACTCCACTCGCCTTGATTGGCATCGTAGTGAAGTGCTTTCAAAGCTGCCGGCCAGCTCAATACAGCGGCTAGAGACTCCTCATGTGCCCCGCAATCAATGAGAGTGAGATATTTCACAGGCGAGGTGCCAACATGCGAGTCGTTTTCAAATTCCAGGGGCTCCCAGTCGTCAAACTGGTGGATGGTGAGTGTTTGCATATTGGCGTACCAAAAGAAAGGGATGACATTGCCAATAGAGCGGTCAGACCAAGAGCTTCCACATGGAATGAATGCCGAAACGATGTCTTCACTGAGACTCGGGTTCTTCTCAAGACTCCACTGGAGCTGATCCAGCGATATCTTCTCGTTGACGCGATTGTAATCGCGGACAATGACATTACGATACAATATTGGCGTTAGAATGTCACTCAAGCGACGAGAAACGAGTAACAGAGAGCGCAGGTATCTAACTCTCCGTGGTGGGTTATGGCTGATGGCATAGCGGTGGGCATCTCCGAGCTCATAGAATGGCAATGCGACGTGCTGAATGTTTGCTTGTAGGTATTCAACGATGATTAGAATGACTTCACTAGGAAGATCCAAGAGACCTGGCATTTTTTTGTCTTTCAGCAATGATCCTAGATCAACTTCACCACTGTCGATGAGGATGCGAAGGGCAGTTGAGAGACTAGCCAGATAGAGATTAGTGGATTTTGAGAGATATCGGGGAACTGATTGGGTATCAATCAGAGCAATTCTGACAGAATTGTTTAGTCTCCAAATATGATTATAGGAACACTCCTTTGAGGAAAAAGCCCTGTAACAATCCACACCGAGCTTAGAGGGGAACTTCCTTTACACAGTGCTGGGTCCACAATCACGGGCTCATCCTTGCCATTGTCTCCTTGAATAAGTGGCAATAATGTGGAAGGCAACTTCATTCTGAGGATATTTGAATTGATCAAAAGCTCATTCAAAGTCCTTAAAATTCGCCGGTGCCGGTGCCCGTTAGATGGTGACAGCCACTGCTCCAAGAGGTCGTACGCGCGTGGCGGGCATTATGCGCTTTATGGTTCTGGAACCTGGCGGGAGGCGGCGCATGTCAATGTCGAGTAACAAAAGTTAGTTATCTGAATGCAATCCAAACTACAAAGTTGCAGAATCTGCCTAATAGAATATCGCGTACCTCCTAGACGCACGAACAAGGGGGAGGGGGGCCCCCTTACCGCGCAATGTCTATCGGAATGTCCACCCGTGTCTTATAAGCGCTAGATACTCCCAAAGGGTTGGGTCATAGAAAACCGTTCCGAGATCTAACTGGAAATCGCCCTCACAGGAGTATCTAACTTCTGCGAGATAGTCCCGTTCCTCCTCTTCACAATGAAACTCTGCGTGACTGCCCTCGCTGCTGTCATGGCTTTAGCGTCGATGGCGGCTGCCGACAATAGCTTGCAAGACCAGGACTTAACTTGTCTCCGTGCCTGCGCTTCGCATAAACAAAAGTGCCCAGAAGAATGGGTAAGCCCCATCATTAAAGATGGATAGAAGAAAAGCGCTAACGGGTTCCAGACCCCAAAGAAGAAAGGCAATGTACGAACCTGGCACTCGATTGCCAATTCGTGAGTTACTGACAAGTATCTAGTGTTGGACATGTTGCAAATCAGACGAATGAGCGGGTATAGGAGATTTGTAGGATATATTGGCCTTAACAGTACAATACATTGTGTGTTGCAAAGTCATGATCGAATCAAGTCATACTACTCTCAACACCTAGAAGCTTAACCTCCTAAGTTGCCTTCTACGCCCACTTAGAAACAATCTTCGCCTCCCGATAGACCCCTAATTCGGGTTATCGTGGGGTCCTCGGGGGTCATTCACTCCGTCTCTGGCACGGACGTCCGAATAGCTTTATGTTACATCACGGAAGTAACACAATTTTTAGAGCCTTACAAGGCGATGCCGATTCTCTGTAGGAATATAAGGTCATTGGCGAGTATGACCCCCGTAGTCGCCAATTATCTGAGGGGCCGTGACTTACTGATAGGCCACCAAGCGCTAATGGTTCCTAGGCACTTACCGTAAATACGTTATAAAACACTAGAGAAAGACTTCGACTTACGATCACTAAGCAAGGTTCTAAGCAGACCGATGAAAGGTTACGACATTCACTACCTTACTTGACCTGATTAGGATTGGATGCATAGATGAAATGTTGATTTGGCCTCGTCATTGTAATCAGGGTCCACAGCCACAGCTGCAACTTTTAATCTGAGAAAAGCCTCCTGAGTTTGCCCGTGGGTATCATCCGTATGTATCGCCAGAAACTCCCGCTGTCATGACGCAAAAAGCATAAAGAACGTCCAAGAAGAAATTTAGATCTGCAGAGTATGGTCAGTAAAAAGGATAAGCAATCACAGGTTAGAATACTAACTAGTCGCAATGGCAGACGAGCAGGCACACGGGCATTATGAAGAAGCATCGCTACAGATTTCTGAGGCGTGGCCTGGAGCTTGCGGTAGGCTTCACGGATATGCCGTGGCTCGATCGGGGTGCGGCCCTCCTCGGGCGGATCGAATAAGCCAGTCTCACGCTTGCGCTTCTTGGCACTGTCGCCGCCATCAGCACCACCGCGGTTCTTCTCATGATCCTCACGTTCTTTGACTTTGAGCGCCTCCTCGGTCAGAGTCTGGACGATTTCGAAAGTCAGGAAACCGAGGATATCAACGATATCGTCGTTGGGCTTGGACTCGGTCACGATACCGAAGCCAGCCCATTCGCGGAAACGTTTGCTCTTGCGGTAGGTGAAGGAAGCCTGGCGACACTCGGACCAGAAGACGTATTCCTCTTTTGTCATGTGTTTGGTACGCTCGTCGGCGGCAGCCAGACGCTGGAGGGTGGCATAGTTCTGTTCTTCCTCCTCTTCGTCTTCTTCATCCTCGCGCTCGGGTACTTGCACGGAGAAGAAGCTGTTGGGGTCCCATGCCAGTCCGACCTTGGCTCGCTTGTTCTTCGGCTTGGCGGCGACGTCCTGCTGGCCCCCGACTACACCAGCAGCATCATCTGCTGCAGCAAAATCAGCTGCATCAGCACCACCCTTGTCATCAGAGTCCTTGACATTTTTGCGGACATCTTTCCAGGATAGGAAGGTCCGAAGACGTGAGACCTTGGCCTTGTCGTGACGAATCAGAAAGATCAGGTCGTCGGTTGAGATTGAGCGTGATCCGCGTCGTGTAGCGAGCGCAGTGCTACGAGTGAGCTTTAATGCACTGTCAGTGACAAATAATGCGTCAAATAGAGAGGATATCCTTACAAGCTCAATTACCTGCTGGCGTGTGATGTCCTCAATTAAAGTCGTACTTTCAATGGATGGTTCGGCAGTTTCTCCAGAGACGAACATCATCTGGCGAATCAGGTCAGTAAGAGTCCATTTGAACATGAGGTCGGTCTCGTAGTTTTCGACGGCTTCGGTGTCTTCCTGGTCCTCAATCACAGCTACAGAGGTGGAAACAAAGGATCCAGAGCTGATCTCGTCGGAAATATCTTCGGCCCCGCCATCATTCGCTTCGTCCTCAATCTCAACGCCAAGGCGTTCAACGCGATCAGGCAGGACAGAGACCACAGTCGAAAAGGAAGAACCACTCCCCGTAGAGGTATTGTCCTCTGCCAGGGGTGGTGGGCGTGGAGGTGTCGAGGGAGAACTTTTCATGTCCCAGATTGACTCGCTGTCGGCCTCGTAGTCCATGTTTCTAGCATCATTGTCGTTGAAGAAGCGGCTCTCCAGGCTTTCCTGGAACCCCGTAGATTCATCTTGATCGTTGTGAAATACCAAATGACCGAAGTTCCAGACCCAAAGAGGTTCATTCTCAGACATATTTGATGATGCAGCCGGAGATACAACCGACTGGGGAGTATCATGATCATCAGCCGTGATGCGAACAATGCGAGGATCTGGTTGATCTGAATCGGTAGAAGTCATGTTGAGTGTGACCAAATCGAGATAGGAGACCAGAAATGCCCAAGAATCAACGTGATGCTGGGCAGGATAGTATCTTGGAGGTCGCGATGGCCTGTTCTGGAGGACACAGACAACAGTGGGAAAGGTGTATTGAAAGATAAAAGATGAGAGGCGAAAAGGGAATATAGATGCAGAAGAGAGGTGCAATATAGAGCCCAGTGGCCTCTCACATGGCAGCCATGCATTTTCGCTCTCATCTCTCTCACTTCATCGCTTTCACACCTTATCCAGTATATTCAAATCCACCCCATGATGGAAAAAAACGGCTTCTTCAGATCAATTGACCAGACACAGCAGCAGGGGCTTCCGTCCTGTCCTGGGACAAACTGTCCCAGGAAATGTCCTCCTGCTGCCAGTTGCTGATGCGCCTCAACCCCGAACCCTTCAGACACCTCATCTCAAATCCACGAACCCACCCCTCAAGAGCGAGCGCAAAAGGAAAGCGACCGAAGACCAAGAGACATATACCTCAAAAAGGACAAGACTGGACCGGGGTAGTACTAACCTGCTGGATCTCCTGCCGATACTTCGGCTGACGATCGGAGCTCATAGTGACAGCTCCCTTTGGGAATTAGGCCGGCGCAGACACGTGACGAGTATAAAGTGACCAATAAGAATTATAAGAACAAAATATAAGAGAAGAACACAACCCAGTCACCCAACGTGACGCGGAGTAGTGGAAGGAGAAAGGGATCTGGGGATTTGATAGCGATACGATAGACGGACATTCACTTCCTCCGCAAACCCGGGCGGTGAACGGTTCTGCCGCGGGGTGACAATTAATTTCTCTTCGCGATAGCACTCAGTTTCATCATTCACTTATTCACATCATGTTGCACCTCGTGGGTCTCGGCCTTGCCGATGAGAAGGACATTACTGTCCGTGGACTGGAGATTGTGAAGAAGGCGGAGCGGGTGTACCTTGAGGCGTACACTGCTATTCTGCTGGTGGATAAGGCCCAGCTTGTAAGTGGGCTTCCTTACTTGCAATTGTTTCTTGCAGTTGCAATTAACATGTTACTCTCCGTGCGGAATTGTTAATTAGCTCTTTGTCTCAGTAGGAAGCGTTCTACGGTCGCCCTGTTATCGAGGCGGACCGCGAATTGGTAGAGACCGGCAGCGACGAGATCCTCGCCGACGCCGATAAGGCAGATGTTGCATTCCTGGTTGTGGGCGATCCTTTCGGGTATGTTCTGGCCTATTTCCACACTCAAATGCCCCTCTGCTAACGGAAATCTCAGCGCAACCACACACACGGACCTTGTTCTCCGCGCCCGCGAACTAGGAATCCAGACCAATGTCGTCCCAAACGCCAGCATCATGTCCGGTATCGGATGCACCGGCCTGCAGCTTTACAACTTTGGCCAGACCGTGAGCATGGTATTCTTCCTTGAGAACTGGAAGCCCTCGTCCTTCTACGACCGAGTGCGCGAGAACGTCCAGATCGGGCTGCACACGCTCGTGCTGCTAGATATCAAGGTGAAGGAGCAGTCTATGGAGAATCTTGCGCGCGGACGTCGCATCTTTGAGCCCCCGCGTTATATGACCGTTGCGCAGTGTGCGTCGCAGATGCTGGAGACTGAGGAGGACCGCAAGGAGGGTGTTTATGGACCTGATAGCCTTGCTGTTGGTGCTGCGCGGGTTGGTGCTCCGGATCAGAAGATGGTTGTTGGTACACTAAAGGAGTTGTCTGAGGTTGAGATGGGTGAGCCATTGCACAGTCTTGTGCTGCTTGGTCGGCGGACGCACGATCTGGAGCGCGACTTTATTCGGCAGTTTGCTGTCAATGAGGAGACTTTTGATGCGAGCTACGCTAAGAACTACGGAGCGTCTTCATGAGTTTCTAACACGGATGAACGATTATTAAAATGCAGATTATTCGGGCTCCCGATTTGAGTTTACTGAATGATACCCAAAATAGATAGAAGAATAAGGTCTATTATGATCCGAGACAGTACAAAGAGGTGGTCTCATTAGACTCCGGTCCTATAAGATGTATCCCATCCAAATTGACCAGGTCAAAAGACCCGGTCTCTCTATTCCAACGACCACGGGTGTGTCCAATCCCAAAGGAAAAGGGACGGTAACAGGATGAAACATTAAACATGAAAGCAAACAGAAAACGCCGCAATACGTTAGACAGGAACATAAATGCCACGAGAAGATCACAATGCAGAAAAGAAAATGGTATCCAGACGACGCATAAGACAAGGCAGAATGCAGGCAAGTGGGAGAGGTGAATTGAAACCCCTAACCTTTTTGTTGCGGGTGTAGAGACAAGTCGGCGCAGATGTGGCCTACACCAGCTAGGCGAAAAAAACAAAAAAGAAAAACAGAAACCCACGACCAGACCGACACCGAACGACATGCAAATGAGTCAAAGCAATGCACTGTTCCATCGGAGAACAACAAAAAGACACGTATCACATCACTAATGACCACGGTCGTATTCGTCCTCGCCAGGAAGAAGGATCTCATGACCGGAGCCCTCGTACACGAAAATGGCAGCACCGCAGCCAAAGATGGATACCAAGGCAATCAGCCACCATGCAAAGCCGACCACGCCAATGTCCAGGCCGTAGCCGTACCAACCACCCGAGAAGATGGGGCCGATGGTTCGGAAGGCGGATGACACGGACTGGCCGATGCCGTGGATGGTGCCCAGGACTGATGGGTGGGGCGAGCAGTTATTCAGGAGAATAATGGAGGTTGGAAGGGTGAAGGTTCGAGCGGTGACCTGGAGGAAGAGCACGATGATGATCCAGAACCAGACCCAGGGTCCGTTGGCTTGGCCGGGAGGCGGGACCGAGGACGGAGCCAGCGCGATATAAGGTGCCACGGCGTAGGCCAGCGGAAAGAGAGTAAGGAAGTACTGGTAGCTCTTAGCCGTACCGAGGCGGCCGTTGATGGTGGGATAGATGGTGAACTGGAGGAACATGCCGATAATACCGAGGATGGCAGTCGCGAAACCGACACTCTGAGGAAGCATGCCCAGACCACCGGTGAAAATGAACGGCAAGCGCTGGGCGGGGGAGGCGGGGTCGTTGGCGTCGTAGCGGGGAGTTGAAAGGAAGAGGAGCCAGAGGTTGTTGAAGGCGCCCATCTGGAAGTCGAAGAAAGCCTGGGCCAGAAGCGTGCACAAGACGTTCTTGGTCCAGATTCTGCGGAAGGGCAAGACACGCTTGACACGCATGGGCTTGGCCTTCTCCTCAAGTTCGTAGCTCTCCGCGCGGTCTGCCTGGCCGCCCAGAAGGGGACCATCCTCGTCGAAGTCACGGAACGGAAGTCGAGAGTACAGAGGCGAGGAGGTGCCGAGCATTGATCGCACACCACGAGCAATGAGCTTCATGGCGTATGAGCCCAGGCCAGGCTTGCCCTTGCAAGAAAGCAAGGTCTCCTCGAGGCCGTAACCGACCAGGCATGCGCAGCCACATAGGCAAACGAAGTTGGTCAACATAGGCAGGGCGTAGGGGTACTTCTCCAACCACTGCACCCCATTCTCGCCACCAAAGGACGAGTTGGGTCCAAACAACCGGGGAAAGCTCCTAACAGGGTCGGCCAACATGCCGCCCATGACTGCGAAATGAGTCAGTACATTTGATATCGGGCTACGTCATGATACGGGTAACTCACCAGGACCGAAGAGCGACGCAATATTGAAGCCAATGGGAAGAATCAAGAAGGCGCGCGAGTGGTACTTCTTCTCCTTGACATTCTCCGCAATCATCGTCCGGATAATGCCGACGGTACCGTTGATCGCGCCACCAAAGGAGCGCCAGAACACGGCCTGCGCGAACGACGTCGAGAAAGCAACACCCAGACAGGACACCGCGGTACCGACCAGACCGACCAGCAGCACGAATCGGCGACCGCCCCACTCCGCATCGGCGACACGGCCCCAGGGAATGGCCGTCGCGAACTGGGCGGCGGTAAAGGCGCCCTGGAGAATACCGGCCTGGGTCGCAACGTCGGAGTCGGATAGGTTTTCGTCGAAGGACTTGAGCTGATAGAACATGTATGCCTGCAGAGAGGCGATTTGTAGGAAATCGAAGACACGGCACAGGCCGAGCAGGGCTAATTGGCCCTTTCGCGGAAGGGACATCCAAGTGACGGGGCCCGGACGGACGACGGGCTCGGCGGGTAGCTCATTCTCCTGCAGAGCTAGCACCTGCTGCTGGCTCTGGGAGCGCGATCGCATATGGCCGCTCTTACGAGTGTGGGCGTCGAGATCCATGGAGGTGTTGCGGATCATGCCGAGGGCATCTGGGCCGGAGGAGTCTGGGGAGGAGGAGCCCTCGCCAACAGAGGCAAGGGAGAGGTTAGACTCGCGGCGGCGTCGTTGAGGGGCTTCGGAAGATTCGCCGGTGCCGGTGCCCGTTAGATGGTGATAGCCACTGCTCCAAGAGGTCGTACGCGCGTGGCGGGCATTATTCGTTTTATGGTTCTGGGACCTGGCAGTCATGGAGAAATGTATAATGTAAGCGAGACGATGGAGACGAATTATAGGTGGAAACGACGTCAGGTTGCGCCCCCTTGGGTTTCCCGTAATTTATGGCGTAAAGGGTTTCGGCACGGCTGATAGAGGAGAGAATGGATGGAGAAGAAAGAAAGCAGAATAGAAAGAGAAAAGGCATGTAATTTCGCTTCTTGGCTCTTTTTTGTCATTGATTGTGATAGTCGAAGGGGCAGAAATTAAGGAATCAATTCCAATGCTGTTTCCGTACGGAGTACACTCGACTGAAGGTTCCACCGTATACTGGGAATGCGCCGCACTGCTTTATTCTGTAGTTTTCCAGTAGCTATGGCATTCGGCATTCTGAAAACTATTCGATCCCATTTTATACTCTATGTTCTACCTATTCTAGCCCTCGCTACGATCCTCTCTATAGATCTCGACTCCCATCTTTCGTATCTGCTACGAGAATACAGAGAATACAACCGCGTTACAGATCGACAATAATGACGGGCTTGCGACGACCGCTCCACCCTCCCTGCCGAGCCCACCGTCTCCCTCACTGCCTTCAGCCACGACTCGTCCGTCAGCCCGTGCGTGGTCGGCAGTTCTTGGCACCCTTTGGACGAATCGTGGTTGAGGACCGCTGAACCAATTTATCCTAAGTCCGGGGACATACCCACGTCCCGGCCTACGTAACTACTTCCCGTTCTTGTCCTTAGCGCTGACGGCTCTACAAACGCGGGATTTCAAACCGACGTACGGAGTACAGTACGGAATACGGACGTGAGATAGTTACTAGTCTCGAGTTTCGGAGCGCCCACTGGGTCAACGCAATGGACTCGTCCCTCCGGGAAATGATCATCGGATATCCATCACGATGTAGCCGTTCGGAGCTCCGGGCTAGCACGAGACAGAATTCCCACGTCTCAGCCCCATGCTTGCGTATCAGCTACATTAGTTCTCCGGATTTCCAAGGGATTATTCGTTTCGGATCAGGTGTCAACTTTTCGGGCTTAAAGGCCAAGTTTTTCTTCCTGAAGCGTTCCATGGATGATAGACAGGGGGTCCCGTCCACTTTTTCATCCTTGCAGTATGGCCCGCTGCTATATTCGGTAATGGATTCGCGGGCTGTTCCGGGTCCTTTGATCTATCACCGATCGCGAAGCTTACAATATACAGTACCAAACACTTTCTTACTACTGGGTCGTCCCCACTAGGATAGAGATGGGTGAGAAATCTCTGCCACGGCTTCCTCCCGGGACGCGTATGTCTGCAGACGACAAGAGGGTAAAGCGCCGGGTAGTCCGGCCTTAATCAGCTCGGGGTTTGCTTACCAGAGTATTCGTATTTGCGTATTTTTACCAGGCGGTGTATTCGTACCCGAAAAAATATGATCTCATTATCTTTAGTCTGGTATGTACATCCATGTGAAGTATGAGTATATGCGTAGTATTTACAGGGCTAAAAGGCACCCCCAAAAAGAAAACAGCCAAGCAATGCAAAAATGAGAATACACATGAAGGACATTTATCTGATCCAGAGATCATCAAGAGAGGGGGGCTATTCTGTCCGCTCTCGCCCGTGTCCATGGTGTGGACTGCGATCTGCGAGCGCGAAATACTTAGTTTCTGCGTCTCCGGTCCACCGCCGCCAATGCCACCAGTGATGGCCGGAGGACCGCGGTGGAGATTTCCGCTCGGCCATGCCGTTCAGCGGCTCGGTCGAGTCGTCGTCCTCCTGCTGCTGGCCCGGCCGGCGCCGCTGATAGAACCACCAGACGAGGTATGCTCCGGCGAGGATGGGCAGTACCACGGCGATCGTTGTGCCGAATATCACTAATCCTGATTCAGAAGGTGAGCGGGAGCCGTTGCAAATGATCTAGATAATACTTACGACCGTTTCGCCATCGGTTATGGTACACCAAGGGCTCCGTCGTGTGTGGGAAGCCCGATGGGTAGGTCCAGGCGGTGCCGTCGTGCTCGGGGTCGATCCACGGCACTGTAATCACGCCCGCTGGCGGAATTAACGGCTGAGCCTCATCCTCGCCCGGGAATCCGTATCCCGGTGCGTCCAGACAGGTCTCGTCTTGGCAGAACTCGCGGAGCTCTGGTGAAGGAACGAAGGTGTATTTGATCTCTGACTTGCCCAACACGTCGCCTTTGCTATCAACGGCCTCGGCTCGGGTCCAAAGATAGAAGCTGGCATTGGTATACTCCGTCTCGAACCCGGTCTTGTTGACCTGGTCCAAGAACACGAAGGGTCCGGTCATGTTGTGGCCACCGTAGAATCGCCAGCTATGAACGCGCGTTGCGCCATTCCAGCTGACGTAGAAGCTCGTGGGTGAGAAGGGTTCGGAGGTGCGAGAGTAGGCCCAGAGGGCTGGAGAATCGGTGGGATTGCCTTCCCATTCGTACTTCAGAGCACGATAGTTCATCACGGTGTCCTCGGCAAAGGACGCCCAGAGCAACAGGTTGCCGTCTTCATCATGCTCAGACAGGTATGGATTGCTGCCCCATCCGATAAACACGTTCTTGTTCGGCAGGCGCTGCAAGTTACCTTGGCTGGAACTGACAAAATCCTTAGCGATGGGCATGTAGTCACGAATTTGCAAAGCAGTATTATCCACATGATCGATGAGGATGATCATGCCAGCCGAATAGGGGTGCGTCTGGTTATACCCGTTAAAACCGTTGTTGAACAGCGACAGAACCGTATGTGTAGCATTTTCATACAACCACCGCGCATCGTGCTGCTGCGAGAAGCTGAAGTTGATATTGCGGAAAGTCGGGTTGGATCCATGCAATCTCCAAATAATAGAGCCATCCTCGCCGGAAATCTTGTAGATGGTGCAAGCATGCCGCGAAGAAATGAGGTAGTCGCCGTCGGCGTTCTTGTCGATGGAGTTGATATGGAAGTAATCCCAGGGCTCGTGCACGTTCAAGCCGGTGCCCGACGTATCCGTGTGCGCAGGCCAGGTATAGCTGTCTGATGGGTCGACATGGTCGAGGGAGCGCCATTCAAATAGCACTTTGCTGGTCTCGGTGTCAATCTCTTGGAAGACACTTTCCATCAACCAACCCACGCCGGTTTTGATGTTCCACGGGGTCATGTCGAATTGGCGCTGCTGGTACACGGTCATGAGGGCGGTTTTGCCGTCGCCTATCGGAAGGAATTCATGCATGTCGCTGGATGCCATTCCGCCGCCGGGCTGCACCGAGCGCACGATGCGGTAGCTGTTGTCCAAAATAACGCCATGGCCGCGGCAATATCCTTTCTGCTGGTTCCCCTGGAAGAAACACAGGTGGTCGGCGCCGTTATATTTGCAGACGTGCACGGCATGTGCGTTTCCCGGCCCCGAAGCGCCCCAACCACTCCATACTAGCTCCTGTCCAAAAAAAAAATCCCGGTCAGTATGCCATTGCATCCGTCGCAGGGCTGCCAATCATACCCCTGAGTTGTCGAAGATGTAAGGGCCCGGATTTTGGGATTCGTAGGGCGCGATAAAAATATAGCCCGGCGCGAGTTTGCTGGGTTCGCTGCGCTCAATGTGTAGGACTGGAGGGGATATGTCGGGTCTCTACAGTCGTCGCACATTAGAATCAGGGGCCGGAGTCCCTCGCGCGGTCATGAACACTCACGGATTTATAGAAGGACACCTCCTCCGCGACCACGGCCCAGGCGCACAGCAGCAGGCCGAGGAGGACAGAGGGAGAGCTTCTCAAGGGAGAACGGAGGGCGACCATGGATATCGTCCTTTACATCACTCCCAGCGCATAGGAATGGAGAGATGTCAGACAGACAGAAGGTATGCAAGGAGAGAAAAAATCATCCCAAGAATGATTGCTACGGAAATAGGTACGAGTACGGGATCCAGCACTGCCAAATTGGCGGAGACGCACAGCGGGACCGCATTCAGCACGATTGGCCGATAGCGCCAGGCTTGACGATTTAGATTGCCGGCAGAATTGCTTAGCTCATCGTTCCGACGTCCTGAGACGTCCGCTAGTCGGGATGCCAAGAGGGAGTTATGCGGGGACCGGTCTACAGTAATTTTCACTTCTGTATTTCCCTCGTGGCCCATCATCACTAGTTAGGAAAAGGCCGATCGTGTTCTCCAAACAAGGTTCACCCTGAATGGGACTCGGTTACGGTACTTGTAATTCGGCCGGCCCAGGCCATGTCATGCGCGTCGCTAAAAGGATCGGGAGGCGCCCAGACCGGTCTGAGTCAGTCTGACGCGAATAACATCAATAATTGTTTCTGATTGTTTACAAAGTTAATCGCAGGATATATAACTCCGTACGGAAGGGAAAAGTGTGTACGCGGCATCGCAAGCACAGCCCGAGCCTCGTCTTGGATCACCAAATTTGGGTGGTCGCCACGTGTATGCGGCTAAGTAGAGCACAAACCAATCGCCCCGAGATAGCGTACGTATTCTTTCGACGTACGCGCGGACACTGCATATAATACCGACATGATTTTTGGTCGTACAGATAATAGATCATATGAGCTGGAACATGAACTTACCGCCAGGCTTGCTAGACCAACTACCTGGATGTACGTACAACTAGTTGAAAAAAATTACGGTTACTCCAGATCTCCCGATGCAAACGGAACATGGTTCGACAACCATCAGCTGGACACTGAAGAAAGTAAAATAAGGCCAAGATAATCCCGATTAGAGGAACACCGTGCCAATCACGACCGATCGATGTGCTTGGGAAATAGTTCCCATGACTATTCCTCTACATACTACCTTGGATCATTGGCCACAGTCTACGAGAAACTTGCTCAAGTCTCCGTACGTAGACCCGAATCGGAGATGTCTCGTCTCCTACGCAAGCGGACTACGTATGCGGCCTGTAGCAGAAACCGCCACATCCACCACGCCAAGCCGCTAGTCCAGCCAAGCAATCTCCTTAGCGTGGATTGCGCCTACGAGTACGACTGCGACTCCGACCGTGGGTCCTTGCGGGGAAATTACTCCGGCGTGTTCAAGGGGGTTGCCCACCCCATGTGATGCACGACTCATGATTCATGAGGCCGGCTCTGCAGGGTATCAGATTCTAAATCGTGGAAATCAGTTTCGTTGCATTCCGGGGGTCCATGCTGGTGGCAAAATCTATGTGGTTTGAATCTGGATGCAAGGTTGAACGCCCCTCGCGTCGCCGCAATGCCCAATGATGCAACTCCTTTCTTTTTTAGATTCAGGCTCCTTTGATCTGAAATGTCATGTATTTCCATTCCTCGTAGAGAATGTTTTAATGTGGCTTGGGCCAGGGTCATGCAAAAAAATAAGCACGCAGGGTGCTAGGAATGACAGAAAATAGAAAAACAACCCAGGATCTCCCCAAGATTTTCCCAAAAACAAAATATAGAAGAAATATGTACCACAAAAATTACCAATTGCCAAGATGGATATTATAAGCTGCAATGGCGAGTTCAAAATGAAAATAGACAAATGACGGCGAGTCAGGTCGCTCCGTTCAGCGGTGCCTGCACGGACTGAGGAGCGACCGGAGGTTGAAGAATGTAACGGTCCCAGAATTTAGCGGGAGAAGCGAGTGAAGTGCTTGAAGGCCATGGTAGCAGCTAAGCCGGTCGCCAAGAGGGTGCCGCCAACGGTGACGGCCTGGAGAGCGGCGTTCATCATCTGGTGGCGGTTACGAGTGCTGCAGCGCTTGTAGAAGTCGGCCATGTCGTTGCCGCGGGGGAAGGGGGTGTCGGGAGTCTCCTCCTCGAGGAACTCGCACAGGGGACCCCAGCCGTCGTTAATGTTGTACTCCAGGAGACGCTCCTTGGGCACCAGGCTACGGACCTGGGCGACGTGCTCCTCGTACACTTGCTTGCCCTTGCCGGGGAAGTCGCCGCGGAAGAAGGTCTCGAAGAACTTGTTGAGCATGGGGTAGTACATGCCCGCAGCCCAGCTGAAGTTTGATACGAACTTGTGCTCGGGGTCGCTGACGCGCCAGTACACCGTCTTCATAACGGAAGCGTGCCAGGGGTCGACGTCGCGGGTGGTCAGGATGACCTTGGCGTTGGGATAAGCCTCAATCAGCTCCTTCGCGAAAGCACAGGCGGGCCAGTCGCACACAGCCTGGCAATCTCCCAGAAGCTGATCCCATTCCTTGCGGCCGAACTCGCCCTCGCCCTTGTACTTGGCGTTCAGGGCATCGTGCCACATCAGGCAGTCCGGCGGGTTCTCAACGCTGGCACACATCATGTGGTAGCACTTGGTGTAACCCATACGCTCAAGAGCCTTGCGGAGGGCTTGGAATATAGTTAGCGTCGTCATTCGACCGGACTCAAATGGAGGCTTCTACATACAGGCAGTACCAGTACGGCCAACCCCGAGGGCCAGCACCTTCATGGGCACGGTGCGGTGGCACTTGCGACGGTCAATGTTGGTGTCATCGGTGAAGATGTCGGTGATGGGCTGAGGAGCCAGGTTGTCGGAGAGTGCGAGAGACATGATGAGCGTATAGAGTCAAGTCGTGGTATATGGTATAATTTGACAAGACAGGAAAAGGAGAGAGCGGATGTGTCCAAGGGAGGAGCACCGGGGTGAGTATATAAAAAGAAGGGACAAGACAGTAGAAAAAGTCTAGAAGGGAGAGGGGAGCGGGATATAGTAGGGATGATACAGTGATAAGGGGGCGGGAATTTAATGAGTGCCGTAAGAAAAATACCAGACAGATCCTCAGCAGATCGATCAAACGATAAGTACTTCGTACTGTCGAAGAGTGGACATCCGTCAGAGGGGGTTGCGCCAATCATGGTAGACAAACCGCATTTTCACATTCCGAGGGCAACGAGTCCCCGCGAGTGGCGAGTTTCCACTCGTTCTCTCGGGTATTTGGGTGTTGGGTCTGTCCATCCTTTCCTTTCGAGTGGTTCATCCCCTGGTTGACAAGAATATAGCTTTTCTTTTCACCTTGTTCTGGTCAACACTGTATCGACACGTTTGTTGAACTGATTCGTAATGACCGAAGCCGTCGGCTTGCATGTACAAAGTATAGAAACGAGGCGCAGAGGGTACGACGTCACGGACTGACGCAGGGGACTGTCAGGGGGGACCAATTGCGGAGGGCCAAGACCATGCAGAGTCGGGATCGTAATTACCAGACCACCAAGCCCCCATCACCGCGTACGCAGTTTCGTATCAGATACGGACACTTTCTCGGTGATCCACGTTTTTGGTTCTCCCGGCTCTTTGACGATCCGTGCCCCTGGTGGGTCTGATTGGCGGGGCTCGGCAGAGGGCAACGCGTACAGTTTGAAAGGTGGAGAATGCGAACTTCTGAAACTTCTATCAATCACACCTGAGAAAGTTGTCGTTGGTGTTAAATGTATTAACTGCTGGTCAGTATCCGACGGTCGCCCGTTGAGTCTGTTGGAACCCCGCCGATCAAGATAAGTATCCAGGGGCCGAGGTGCCTGACCCAATGTCGGCTCGTGTGAGAAGTGGCGGACCGCTCCACTAAGATCCGCAGATTGATTGAATTGAGCGACAGCTCATGGCCGAGACCATGGCGGGACAGGTTCCACATGCCAAGAACCCAATATACACTCGACCGGTGATCAATACACCGGTGCTCAAAGTTTTGCGCGATTGTGACTGTTACCGTGACCGTCCTCTCGAAACGTCAGGGCGTGCACGGAAGCCACTGCACCGAACCGGTCGCCGAGATAGCGCCGCCAGCGCCAATTGACAAATTTCGGAGATTGTACGGAGTAGTCATGGTCGGACGAGTCGTTGCCCCGTCGGCGTTTCTCGTGGACTGATCGTCCCGTCTTGCTCGAACTATCGGTATTCAGGGTCGTGAACTGCCTCAAGGTAGGAAGTGGAGGGTTGATCAGGATAACAAGGGTCCCCTTGCGGTGTGGACTGTAAAGTTCAAAGTTGCTGAGGATGATCGATGTGGTGGTGTGGTGGTGCGGTCAAGTGGTCATGGCGGTAGGGTGCGGTACGTCGTCGTGACGCTGGTGTGATTGTCCCCGAATATTCTCATTCTTGATCCCACGGTCAAGTTAGTATGAACCAGCAGTAGCAATGAAGCAGAAAGAAAGAAAAGAGAGAGAATGAATAAGGCCGAGTAGCGACAAGGGTCCAATATAGTGGTGTGTGCCAAGCCCACAATCTCGCGTTCGCCATTGACGAGCACGATCACCTCACTCGGCCCAACGACCGTTAGGGAACCACGAGATATCTATGGAGCCTCGATGTTGAATTAAACATTTCCATCCGAGCTGAGCTTAATCCTCTGTTTGGACCAGTCTTGGGCGTCGTCTCCGCCGGGAATGCGCAGCGGCAAAAAATTTCGGCAGTTGATCGCTGCAGCCTGGAGTGCAACCCTACTCCGTAGAAGATCTTGACGTGGAATTTCAGGGTCTACGCTCTTCACGGAGATTCAAGAGAATACGAGTCTTGGCAATGGCACCTAGATTGGTCGAAGATTTCGACATTGGCCCCAAAGTGGTGGTGTTATCCACATCTATGGCTTCGCTCTCCTTAACGCCCCAAAGCACGAGAAAATACAAACGATTCGGCGAGAACCGAGAACTGAGACCCCTTGAACTCCATGCAAATGAGTTGTGTGCTGATGCCATCCGAGTGCATCCAGGTCCAGGTCCATTCACTGAGGACTCTGAATCAGGCCCCCCGCGGCCCCAGGGCTAATCCAGCCCTTACTCCAGCTTATCCAAATGCTCCAGTCGCGTGAGCACTACCTGCTTGCTCGTTTCTTCGATTTCGCCGGCGAGAAAGACCTCGTCTAAAATCGCGTAGACCTAGACCCGCCAATCAGTAAAGGTGTCTTTCTCAACCACGGGTGGCAGCCCGTATGCTGTCCATCCAGGTACGCACCTTGTAGAAATTGAACACCAGATCCAGTTCGCAAACGTTCCCGAAGAATTGGTCCAGCACTTCGACGAAGAAATGGATGGCCTCCAGGTACGCCAGCTCGTTGTCATTGGCATCCACACAGACACAAAAAAATAGCCCCGCGTATCGACGGTAGACGATCTTGGTGCTTCTTCGGAACTCGACGAAATTCGACTGATATTTCTGATCTCTCGGGGCGACAAGGCGATGGACCTGGGTGGTCATTAGCGGGCTGCGAGTCGGGCTGTCGGAATGCGGGCACGAACCTCGCCCTTGAGCTTTACTTTCTCCTCATCCTGTAATTCAGTTAGCACATCGTACTTGTAGATTGGATATCGTTACACTCACGCTGTACGGTGCGTACCACTTCGCCAGGCGCGTTTTGCCCCTATACCTGCATCAGCATGGTGGTCGCCCACTGCTCCGTCGGAGCCACTCACTGGCGATTCTGGACAATGATAAATGAGAGAACCATCTTGTGTACCAGGGATTTGCCTGGTTAGCATCTGTATGATCCCTCGGTTCAGTGTCGGGGCGCAGCTCTGGATGTTCTCCGCAGATTCCGTTATCATGAAGCTCCCCTCCGCCATACTGCCGGGTTTCACCGCTTAATCCGGTATCAAAATTGGCAGACTCCATGCGAGCAAAGAGGAGTTAACTTCCATTTCAATAGAATAAATTACATTCGCGCGACATAATCGACTATGGATCGTCTCTTGCAGAGCGGTTTGGCCGGAATGTATCCCAGTAACAGACCACCTGGCTCGTCAACGATCTTTCAAGGGCTGAAAATAGGTTTGCATGTATCGAATAAAATCAATGGGAGAGTATATAAACAGACATTAAGCGTAAAAGTCGTAAGCTCCGATCGTAATCTGGTAGGGACACGGTAATTCAGCCTGTGCAATGGCAGTGTATCCTCGACCCGGATCGCGGAAAAGCATCATTATTGTTGGCAGCGCTTAGCGTGAAGGGACCACGAAGGCTATGAAGAACTCATGCGATTGAAAAGCCTCGTCAATCGAGTCTAGACACGCACCCACGTTAGCAAGATCCAAGCACCGCCAAGAGAAACGTACCGTATAGCTCTGTGGAGTCACCGGTGTCCCAGGTGTCCCGGGCTCAGTAGCGCTCTTTTCACTCTCCGCCACATAGCACTCCTCGTCATCATAGTCCTCCTCCTCGAACTCGGACTCGGGATAAAACCTGTCTGGATCCCCATTATAGACCATAAACCAACCAATATGCTCCCCAGGCGCAAGACGGTCCCTTAGCGCCTCCAACGCCTCCGTCGCATCGTCCGACAACCCAGGGCCCTGCTCAACAACGTCTTCAATATTCAACCCCTTCCCTGCGGCCGCAGGCGAACCATCGTCGGGAATAGTCACGACCTTGGCGCCGACGTAGGCAAAGGGTTGGGAAACGGTATTGCTGGACTCGTCGGCGGGATCGTAGTGCTCGATGAAATGCAGCGCCGGTAGCCGGGGCATGAGGTCTGGTTGCGTGCGCTTCAGGGACTCCGTCAGCAGCTCTGTGGTCAGAGGCTGCTGGAGGTATTCGGCAGCGGCTTCTTCTAGGTTGTGGAGGACGACGTACACACGGATCCCAGTGAAGCCCGCTCGTGGCCACCGGAATCCGTGGAGCATGTAGACTGGCATTGGAGTGGAGGATAGGTGGAGGAGCTGCGGGTGCTCGCGTGGAAATTCGGATCGGGCGGGGGTTTTCATATATTAGATTGGCGACATTGTTGGGGGCCTGTAGAGTGTCTGATGCATCGAATGTGCAGGCTCGTATCGGATTGGGTCCCGCTCCCGGTCTACCTTTTAGTTCAACGGCTCGACCGTTAAACGCAAAACGCTCCCTCAGCTCGACAGGGGTCCCGGACTTTGGTCTTGTTCCGTTCGACTTGCATTTCAATTTCCGATGTGGATTTTGAATACACCTGAAAATCATCCCCTTCCTAAGGTTAGGGTTTTAAAGTTGTGGGATCTCAGATCGTGCCCGATCGAGTGGGCGATCGAGATCGGTCGCGAGGCTTGAGGCTCAATAACGTCTCGGGTTTGTGAAGGAATTCGGGAGTTCGTATATACTACATGGCTCACGGTCCCCTTCCAAGTCGTGAAGCCGCCTATCATAAAGGGAATATTATGCAAACGTCTCGTGAGGCTAGCGACCAGGTTCAATTTACAATCCACCGAGCTAACGCATCGCAAGGACCAGGAAGACTAGCAAGACAAACGCCCGATGTACAAGGAGAAGATGCAGATGCAGATGCCCCAGAAAAGCTTCAACGCCAATGGTTCCATAGCAACAGACCAAGCCTTAATCTAGATCAAAAGTCATATCATATGCACAGAGTGCAATGCTGAGGGAAGACGCAAACAGACACACGACTCTGCATATTCAGGGTTTTCTCTTGAGGTCTGCAAACCTCCGTGTCAATTCGTCCAGTTCGGGGATCCCGTTATTACTGTTCTTTCTCTGCCCTCCCGTCTGGCCTGGGGCTGCCTTGGTTTCCCCCTCCCCGGGGATTTTGACATGTGGGTTTGGATTATCGGTTCTGGGTGCTGGCGGCGCGACACTGACGGGACTCCGGCCTGCTGCAAGACCGCGCGGGGGAGTGGCTTTGTTCAATTCGCTAGTATCGGAGGCGCGCCTCATTTCGCCCAGATCTGGTCGGGACGCAGCATCCTGTTTGGTTGGAGTCGCTGGTAAATCACCACCCTCGTCATGGCCACCTTCATCTTTAGAGTCTTCCACGAATTCCGGCGGCGCGTCTCCGAGCTCTCCTTGTACATCCAGGTCCTCTTCGCCTGGTGGCCATGCAACACCGTATGCCCTCGCGATCTCCCGCAGGTAGCTCTCGACCAGTTCTTGTCCCGGCGGCCGTACGCGCAGCCCTTTCTGGAGTCGATCCGGCACCTTGATAAAATCCACCTTGTTTTCCTGTGCCAGTGACATGAATTCCTTGCCATATCGCTCACCCAGCATGGTCCGGAGCATGGTAAGCTCGCGTAACTCGTGTGGGAAGCGATGCCAGGCGTAAAAGATAGCCACGGCGGCCTCGTCTAGTGCAGTATCCATGTAGGGGTCCTCCTCATCTGTGAGCGGATCTCCGGAGACCTCGCCAGGACTACCAGAGGCTGCATGACCGGTCTCCTTCTTTTGAGATCCTCCGAGCCAGGAGAACCCGAATCGAGAAACTGAGCTCTCTGCTGGTTTCGCTCCACTGGATGCTGCCGCTGCACCAGCCTGTGCCTGCATGTGTTTCTTGTACTGTTCCTTGGCACGCAATCGCGCACGCGTCCCCGATTCGCCGAACGCGAGCTGATCTAACACGTTGGCTCGCGCAAGTAGCAGCTCACAGTAAAGCTCCACCATCTCCATCACCTCGACTGCGGTATCGGTTGCGATGACATTTTCGACTCGGATGCGCGCGGAAGCTTCACGACCTTCGCTGAGGAGTTGGGAAAGTTCGCGACGCTGGACGACGGATGATGCGTTGTCCTTCTTCTGGAGTAGGCGGAGACGGGGGATAAGGAGACGGAGGGTAGATACTAGTCTGGTCTACAAGTCCAGAGTATTAGCTTCTTGATTCTCATACTGGCTGCGCATCTTTCCCAGTGGGGGGTTCGAGAGTGCACGGCGGGATGGAGCCATGATAACAGTGCGGGGTAAATTCCAGAGGGCGAGCTTAGGGAGACTCATCCAGAGGTGAATGAAATATCTGGAGGCATAAACCGGGAGTAGTCCAGGATAACTCACTGTTTGCGCCGAGGGAGGCATTCTGAAGCGTGTTGGTGGAGGGGATGAAGAAGGAATGTCGAGGCGAAGCGGGGGAGCAGCACTTAGGCTCCCGCTGGATCAGTCAACCTCCGCTTCCAAGGTTGGCGAATATTTCTACATTATCTTCTCCATGAAATAAATTGGTCTAGTATTTACTGCTTCCGTTCCCTGTAGTACGGCATTTATGAGATTTTGATGTAGGTCTCAATATTTGCTCTTCGCACAATCGCCGCCGTCGTCCCAATGGCTAGAATATAGAGAAAATCAGCATCTTCAAAAGACTTTATGTACTTGATTCATTACTAAAGTTCAAATATCTATTATAAAACCTCAAGAAGCAGGTTTCTTCTGAGATTGAGCCCCTGCATCTTTGATCTCTCCGCGCTTCTTGACCTGCTGAGCGATATGCGATCCAACATCTGATCCCAAGGCATTGAAACCCTCGATCACACCCTGACGATCCCCCTGTCCCATTTCCTGACTCATCTTGGCTTTTCCTCCGATACTCTCAATGGTCACCTCAATGCCAATGATATTCTTCTTCATGATATCAATATACCTCTCCGGAGCGTCCGTCACACCCCAAGGACCCGGCTTCCCATCTTGACCCGTATAGCCCATGATCTCGGTCTCGCACATCCGAGACAGGTCATCAATCTGTTTCGACAGATATTGAGAGGTCTCTTCAGCAGCCGCGTCGTAGTAAATAGTAGCCTTGCCGTAGACCTGGGCCGCGGCATAGTTCCACGTCGGCACGACCTTGGCAGTAACAGGCTTAGTCTCGGTGTAGAACTTTGGAGTCACGTAGTGATGGTACTGATTCGTGAACAGGATCATCACGTCCTGCTGCAGCTTGGTTGTGTTGGAAGCAGACTCGATCATGGCTTTAGCTTGAGGGTTCGCGCGTGCCATGTGGCCCCGTAGTTGGCCTTTAATAGGCGCTTCCGGGTCATCACTAATCTCATCCAGTACCCATGGGATGTGACTGGATTGGATGAATGGGTGGGATGGTGATGAAATGGCGGTTGTGAGGACACCCAAGGGATTCTCCTTGATGAATTCGAAAAGGGCTTTGATGGAGGACTCTGCGTGGACTGCACGGAGATACATGGTCGTTGTGAGGTGCCAAAGGGAAAAGAAGCGGGACGATGCTCTAAAGGCCCGTTTATATACACTTGGGACGTCCTCGGAGATATAAGATGACTCAGGTGGCTTCTCGTTGGGTCCGTTCGCCGACGGGAAACTGGACAACCTTCCTAGCCCCTGAATCGAATCGAAAAAGATTCTACCGCACGCCCTATGACCATCTAAACTCAAAGAGAAATTTGGCACGAGATTTGGCACTTCACCGCGGTGGAGTATGGCCACTGGCAGTTGAGGTTGTGACTAATGAGAGTGGCGGATCTGGTTCCGTTTTATGAGCTTGTCGGCAGTGGGGCCGGGTGCTACTTAACAACTTGGTATAAATACCTTCTCAGATCCTAAGATCCCAAGGAGTTCGAGAAGAATTTTACTAGCATCCAATCTTTGAGAGTCGAGCAGAATGGCTCCCTTGGAAGATAGCCATCCAGCCACCCAAAGCGCTGCACGCGGGCGACCGCTTGAATCTGGTGACGGATGTCGCGCCTCCAATCCACCTGTCCACCATCTTCAGGTACTCGAATGATCCAAATGATCTAGGCCCATCCGAGGATCCAGTGGTGCGTATATATCTAACAAGCCGCGAGAAATCACCGGACTGACTGTTCTGCCCAGGCCGAATTCAACGGGAAGAACTTCGTTTACTCTCACGAGTTCGCCCCAAATGCGACTAGATTCGAAGCAGTCTGCTCCACCCTGTTCAAGGGGAATGCCGTGAGCTATGCAACGGGTCTGGCTGCTTTGCACGCCGCGTTGAGACCCTCCTAAACCCGAGCCAAGTATCGGTGGGTGAAGGGTACCACGTTACCCACGAAGTGATCTCCGTCATATCTCGTTTCTCGGGACTGGAGAAGCTTCCTCTTGACTGTCCTGCCGAAAGTTTGAATGCCGGTGATGTCATCCTGCTTGAAACGCCAGGCAATCCACTAGGAATTGCGTTCAATATTGTGGAGTATGCCGAAAAAGCTCACTCCCGAGGAGCATGTCTCATCGTTGATAGCACCTTTGCGCCACCCGGCTTGCAGGATCCATTCCTGAAAAATAAGCTTCATAATGCCTATGAAATGAAGGAAATAGGTGAAATAAGCAAATTTATAGGTATCCGCATATCCCGAGACCGTCCTAATAGAAAGCTCTGGATTTGCCAGGATAGCTATATTGAAAAAATAGCCCACCGTTTCCATTTAACTAGTTTTTCAGAGGCCCATTGGTGTTGGACATTGTGATGCACTCAGGATCCAAGTATTTTGGAGACCATAGTGATCTCCTGTGTGGTGTCCTCGCAACCAAACGGGACGGCTGGACCAAGCAGCTATTCGAGGACCGGGTGGCTTTGAGCAATGTGCTGGGGAATCTGGAGGGGTGGCTTGGAACTCGAAGTCTGCGCACGATGGGGGTTCGCATCCAGCGGGCAAGCGAGGACTCTGCCAAACTGATTTCCTGGCTCCACAATGGTCTGAATGCGCCGTCTCCGGCTGCAGGTTCTGAGGAGGCTATTATCCAGGCCGTGCTGCAGAAGATATATCACGCCAGTCTCCAGAATGAAGACTGGTTGAAGAAGCAAATGCCGAACGACTTCGGCCCTGTTTTTGCCATCATCTTTACCACCGAAAACTTTGCTCGAGCACTGCCCAGCAAGCTGCATTACTTCCAGCACGCGACGAGTCTCGGTGGTGTCAAGTCTTTGATTGAGTGGCGCGCACTGTCCGATTCAAAGGTGGATCGAAAGTTAGTGAGAATCAGTGTTGGGCTGGAGAATTGGGAGGATCTCAAAGATGATCTGCTTCGGGCGTTTGCGTCACTTGCAGGAACACAATGAGCTAGAATCAAAAATAGAATCAAAACAATTAGCACGGCTATATGCTTCACGTCACAGACTCAGAGGCAGAGGCAGTCACGACCCAAGCAGACCTTTCTTGTTATCTTTTTGGAAAATATCTATAGACGTCCGTAATTGCCTTTTCACTTTAACAATCGGGCATTGAAGTAACAAAGAAAAGATCATTTTACCTTGCAAAGAGGATTCAGTCGTGATCTCGACGAGTGGAAGATCTCGGGCGGGCTCAATTCGAGAAGTTATCCGAGAATGCTCACCCGGTCGGCTGTCATTTCTCGCAAGATATGACAAGTGGCCAAAAGTACCATCGGAAGGATATTTAGGTGGTGTACGGGGTGCATCTGCGAGATCTGCCCGTCTTTGAAACCGTGAGAACAATAACGAACAAGCCCGAGGCGCCGGACAAAGCTGGGGCAGCCCGGTAAAATAATATTCAAACGCACGCCACACTTTAGTCAGGCATAAACAACAATTCGATAAAAGAGCAGGAGAAGCAGAGAAGGCAATGCGCCTGCAGGAATGCTACATGTCAGAAAAAGAATCGAACGCCGACGGTATTCGTATTTGTCTTCGCGCTAGTGCGGTGGAAGTGGGGGGTGTCTCCAAACGTCTATACGGGCTTTACGGCCAAAATTAGAAACCGCAGATACAAATACAGAGCTACGATGCAGGTCTCCAAAGGGTAGGCCCAGACTTGCTCTTGGAATCGTCAATGCCGGCTGAAATCCACGGGCCGACATCCGCTCAGACCATGCTATATCGGTGGAAAGTGGAGAGTCAATTCTGATTCATGGAGAGCCAAGCACGGAGAGAACCTGCAGGGAAGAACTAAGGAATACAATTGGTGTTCAGCCGTTCAGGGGAGATGGAGAAAAGGAACAAATCCGTCTGCTGGTTGAGGCCCTAAGCCGGTCGACCCACAAATTCCCCCGGCTACAATTGGCCGGCTCGGGTTCTGACATCATGGGCGGCGGCCGTCAGGCACGCGAGTCCTCTTTGGGAAGTATAGGTATCCTTAGTCGGGTTTGCGGTTCATGGTTGCATTTTTGTCATGTTTCACTTCTCCAGTGCTATCTTTGGATCCAGGAGCCCGGCATCTGCTGGGATTACTCGCCCTATATGTAGCTCGGCCGCACAGTGACTGCTCGTTTGCGAAAACTCTATCAGTCCATCCACCGTTCATACACCTACTCAGTGGCTCGATTCATTGCGCAACACTTTATATACCTTCTTCTATACCGTGGCTCACATGGCACCGATTATTGTCAATTCTGTATCTCAAGTGTACTCTCACCCACCCAAACTCCCTCGACTGCCTCGCCGACTGATCATTATAGACTACGCTCACGCAACACATTTATTAAAATGGACACCGCAAATACCTTCGCCAAACGCGACGACGGATCCAGCCGCTTCTCCCTATACGTCTTCGCCATTATCGTCGGCTGCATCGCCTTCGTCCTCATCGGAGGCAGTCTCTGGGCAATGTACAAGGGAATCGACGATGAAAAGTTTCAAGACGTCCCCTACGAGCAGCGAAAGTACATGCGCGAAGTACGACATCGGAACCTGAATCGATTGGCATACAACGCCGGACGGCCTGACATGATCATTCCCGTTGAGGAATCAAATGTTTGAGATGGTATATTTGAATCATTGGCGTTGAAACATGAACGGGGTGGGAATATACACGACGGGCGTTAAGGTTATGGTTTGGAGAACATTGATATAGCATTTGAAACAAGGACAGCTTGCATATAAAATCCATTCAAATTTATTTTGTATTGGTAGAATTATATTAATCTGCCGAAAATATACCAGGCATCGAATGTCCCACAAGAGATATAAATGAAGAAATTAATCTACAAGGAGCTCCCGCCGGGGACCCCAGATCATATAAGCCCGAACGGTGCATGCATCGAGAAAGAAATGGCTTCCATCTGTAGAAGAAAAAAAAAATGTAAATTGAAAATCCGTTTTCCTATATTCAACCAACAAAAAAACCATCCGGGTTCGCTCAGCTCCAAAAAACGTAACCGGTCATCGAATGTAAACAGAAAAAAGAACCCAATGCATACCAAAAGGAAAAGGGATATCCAAGAAGCTAAAGAAACACTGCTGAGGAGCTAAAAGTCGTAAAGCTGAAAGGGCAACGTAATACGTCGTCATGAGAATAGGCATCCGGCGCGGATGAGAAGAAATGTAGAAGAGGGTATCAAGAAGTGAAAAATTTCAGAATCGAATGGATGCATGCGTGCCGTCCGGGTTCCCGCGGACACGAGTCCTGCTGAATGTCCCACAAGTCATCTGTACACTTGCTCACATTCATACGGCAAGCACATCGGGCTTGTAAAGACTTAGAAGTTCATGAACATGGCGGCCACGGCACCGAGAGCGACGCCCATCATGGAAAAGGCGGTGCTGGTTGCGGCGCCGGTCTTGGTGGCAGAGGCTGAAGCGGCACCGGTAGCCGAGGAGCCCGACGAGCCCGAGGAGCCTGAGGAGCCCGAGGAGCCGAAGGACGAGATCTCGGCGGCTCCAGTGGGAGCGAACACGTGGGGACGGTAGGTGTAGCTCATAGAGGGGCTCGACTTGGGCAGGCGAGTGTTGCTAGACGAGGTAACAGTTGAAGTGGCGGTCACGGTGGAGGTCGAGCTGGAGGTCGAGGTGGGGGTGGGGGTAGAAGTGGAGGTGGAGGTGGGAGTCTCGGTGCTGGACGAAGTAGGGGTGGGAGTCTCGGTGCTGCTGGAGCTGGTCGGAGTGGGAGTGGCAGTGCTGGTGGGGGTCACAGTGCTGGTGGACGAGCTGCTGGAACCGCTGGAGCTGCCGCTGCCACTGCCGTCAACGTCGAAGACAATGACGTTGGCCTTGGAGCCCTTGGGGACAGTTACAACACAGCCAGTGGCACCGCCGGCACCGGTAAAGACATCGGGAGCGCTCATCTCGTTGACATCGTTGACGGAGGGGTCAATCTTGCAGGGAAGACCGTTGCAGCCGCCACCCTCACACTCAATCTCGATACCGAACGTGGGCTTGGTGTTGCGGAAGGGGCAGGTGGTCTGCAGGTAGATGGGGTTCCAGCCAATCTTCAAGAAAGTGCTGCCGTCGGCGACTGTGTTGCCACCGGCGGTGTAAGGGGACCAGTTACCGACGGGTTTGGCATTGGTACCCCAGACACAGCCCTCCTCAACAGACACACCGGGGGCGTTGATGTAGTACTGAGCGGCAGTCTCACACCAGTAGGACATACCGGGAACGGCCAAAGTGGAAAGCTCCTCGACCAGGGTTGGGATCAGCATGGCCTCGTTACCGGGCAGCACGGTCTGGCAGAAGGCCACGGGCTGGGAAGCCTTGTTCTTGGCCGTCATGGCACCAGTGCCATCCTCACAGTAGGGCTTGTTGGGGAACGGCTTCTGGATCTGGCCGTTCTCGTCACAGTAAAGACCACCGTTCTATGACAAGGTTAGCGAACCGTGCGCCCCTTGCATTTATTGCATATGACAGGTGGACCCGGGGCAAACGGTACTTACCATGGACAGAGGGTAGGTGTAAGAGGTGGCCAACGGGTCCCACTGCATGGAGACCTGGCCGGGAGGACAGGCATAGGGGCAGTAGTTGCCGGGCTCGCAGGGCTGGTTAGGGCTCATGGCCCAACCGGCGTTCTGCTCGTTGGGGGTGATGGAAACCAGGCCAGCATCAGTAGGGAATTGGCACTGTCCGCTCTTCTTCTGCAGAGTGGTGTTCTCGGGAACGAAGCGAGCTTCCTGGTGGTGAGCATGAGTGTGGCCATGACCATGACGGGCGGCATCAACGCTGGCAATGAGGGCGACAAGCGCGGCCGCGCGGGACGAAGTAATCTGGAACTTCATTGTGTCGAAAGATGGCAGTAAAGAGCGAATGGATAAAACGTATCAAACGAATGGCAGGCCAGGAGGCCGGGAAGGACACAGGACGGAAAGCTCGCAGAGAATGAGGTCGAAGGAAAGAAAAGCAGCAGGAGCGAGATCCAGGAAAAGGGAACACCAGTGAGCAGGCTCCAGGGGAACGACACTAACTACAAACAGCATACGATCGGGGTTCCAGAGAGGGCACAGCAAGTGGACCAAGTGTGGGTTCAGGAGCGTCCAGGAGCAGCAAGTGGCCCCAACTCTAGACCCCGGGATACGAGTGGCCACTCGAACCCTGCGCCTGAAGGGGAAACGGCGATAGCAACGAGCTACCCCTGACCCTGAAAGCGCAACCAGCTTTTCTACATTCTGCTAGCGGGCATCCACATGGAGGCCTCGACTGGTTCCGACTCCGCACTAAACACCGACTAAAGGGCCGCTAAACACACTAGCGTCAGGGGCAGAACTCAACTCGTCCAATGATGCAGATTCATTCCTCGGCGGTTCCTGCTTGGCGGGTGGAGTCAAAGCCAATAAGCTCATTTGTTTGCGTGGAGCCATGAACCCTTCGCCTTCCGGGAGAAACTGCTCAGAACTGCTCCTTTTACGAGCATGATGAGCGAGAGGAATGAAAAGCTGACCCTTCCGGATCCCGGTTCTGTTATCCCGTACGGAGGTATAAAGTTCTGTCGGACAATTATCAACATGTGTGATTTGGAGATAAAGGAGAACATCAGAAACTTCCCGCCCCACCGACTCCGAGGCCGCACCTGAAGCATCGGCAATGCCGTTCCATGGCCCTACCAGAGTCTTAGCACGATAGCCCGTCAATCCTCATCAAACCCGTCTTTCGGCCTGCGTCCCTGAGGTCTAGATTGCTGATCATGATAGGCTCCTGATCCTGAAGGCCCATCGCCCCGACCAATAATGGCCCATGGTAACCCCCGGCGGCGAATGCCGGGTCCTACATGACCGGCAGCGAAGCGGAACTGTCCTTTATTCCCTTTTGCGGGTGGAGATCTTACCGTCCGCCAAGATATCGCAATACCGAGACTGCCGTGGTCACCGCCGCTCTGCGATGGACCCGGCTTGTCCAAAGCTTGGTCGTCCGTTGCACGGCGACTGCTCTTGGCAACGAGATCGATGGATACAGGCGTGCCATTCAGATCCGGAGTCCGAGTCTCTGATCTTTATCCAATATCAAGCAAGGTTGTCTGTCCCCTGGAGAGATCTCGTTTGAGGCATTTGGATTGTTCTCCGTCCATCGAGACAACGTCGATTGACCCAATCGTTACGCCGAGCTATTTTCGTTTCTACTCAACTTTTGATGCTCAAAATAGCAGGAGCTGACCGACAGTTGGCCCCCGGTTACAGGTAAACTTTCTAAATAGGGATGGTGCCGAGATAGGTTGCGATTTTTACCGAGCCGGCGGCAGTGCATGAACCCATTCAAAGCATATTGAAAATGTACAAAATATATACGCGATCTCTATAGCAAACAATAGCCATCTTTTTCAGCATCCAAAATAATCGATTCATGCTGTCTCAATATTGCAAGGCTTCATTTTTAGTCAGTTAAGACATTGACTGCACAGCCGCACGGTGTACTATTTTGGGCACTTAATGACAAGACAGCCACGTCCACGCAAAGTGCCCATTTTCTACCACGTCAATCATGCCGTGTGGGATCAAAACTGAGACGTAACTAGGAATAAAATGGCCTAGCTGGAAACCATCCAACCAACAAGTTCAATTTCCCCTATATCCAAGACTTGCCAACACTGTGCAAGCTCAAAGGTTCGGTGGATCCGATAACCAGACGATCCAAATGCACGCAATCGGCAGGCAGGATATTAGACCTAGGCAAATGAAATAGGCGCAATGCTCCCCGATCCACGGATGCCTCCGTCTAGTCAGAGAGTGCTTCTGTTGAAAAACGGGTCGGCGCTTCAATGGCGTTGACAACGATCGGCAAGCAATAGTTCCAAGTTACTATCAAATCATGATGCATATGGCTTATAGCTCGAAAAGGTGATTGAGGCTCTCAAATCGCGAGTCAAGTAGTTCATGATCGAGGGAGTCACTTCCAAAGAATTATCAGGAGCTCCCTCGAAAGCCACGAGTGCGCAAAGTGTGTCGGTAAATGAAAGCGATGGGAGCAACGACGATATCGTCACCCGACTTTGTCTGGACATGCAGAAGGCCGAAAGCTACTTGGATGCATTCAAGGCAATCATGGCTTCACACTTTCCCTTTCGTGATCGTTCCTGCACATGGATCCGCTCATCAACTTGGCATGAGTGGCGGTTCTGGTTCCTGGCTATCCTTGCTTCAGCTTCATACGCGAATGTACCAATGTGGCGATATGATCACTAAGCGCGGAGGTCAGGAAAAGCCGATGCCTCGCTTATGCTCATCGATGGAGAAGTCTTCTTTGACTTGCTGCAAGGGCTGCTAGTATTCTTGGACCGGTAATGCAGCTCGATCTCCAATATTTTGTGGGGAACAATGCATCGAACTATTTTGACTTAAGTGGTCCGCGCGGCAGTCAAAAAGAAATAAATCCCAAGGGAATAAGGGGTGGAACAGAAAATTGCATAACCAACCGCCGTCCTGCGGTCTGGTTCTGAATAGTTCCATGGTCGACAGGGGTTGTCTATGAGATGCCGACCGAGGATTGAGGTCTTAGTCCAGACACCAATCTTTAACACTATCAATTCCTTCTATATTCAGTTCCAAGGTTATTTATCCTAGAGATATTCATATTTTCATGAAAATTGACAATCATCAAAGGTTACTCGCCCGGCTGGGCCTGAATGGTTGACCACCCTTCAAAAGCCTCGACATCATTTCCATCCCGCCATCCCCAGGCAATGCAATAATGTCGCGCAAGTAAGCGCCATTCTTCCATTTCATCCAGCATTTCAAGACTGGAAACCCGCTCTTTCTCCTCTTCGCTTACCCAACGCTCCCAAATGAAATCGATGTCGGCCGCTGCCTGACCACTGGAAAGCCCGTGCTCCCGCAGCCGTGCTCGCTGCGCTTCCAATGAAGCGTATTTATGCAGAGTCTGGAGTTGGATACCTCGCGCGGCGAGATTAGATACCATCGTGCGACCGAACGGATCGTCAGGGCGAATGGGTTCGTATAGAACCAAACCAAGTGGGGCTTGCGAGCATTGTTGCGTATCCTCTCCAGCAGTCGCTTCACTCGACGGACCGAAAACATGTTCCGTGAAGAAAGAGACCACTTGTGCGGCTTCCGTTGGGGATAGGTAGATAAGACAGCACTCTGAAATTAGCAGAGTGGGCAGTTCTCTATCGACGCCTGGAAGTGTTTCGGAGAGGGAGCTATCCGCCGACAACGATCGTAGGTCCACTGGATGGATGTGGTATGAGGGCGAGTGTAGTGCATCGCCCGCTTCGGAGACTGTCACGTTATCTCTGGACGAGTCTAGCCCGAGTGCCCTTTGCAGAGAAGGTGTTGATCGGATTGCCTGAATCTTTGTGGCCGTGTTAACAGCGAAGTCGAGCTCATGGTAGACGATGTCTGGAGGTTGGCGTGCAGAAAAGAGTCTGAAGATTCGCGTGTCCGAGCCAGCGCCTAGCGAGATGACCTGTTTCTTGCGTATGGGAGCTTCTGGAGAGTAGGGGCTGAGAAAGCGGGTGACGAGCCGGTCGATTGCGGTGGTGCGGACGTAGGTCCCTAGGTGCAGATACCCAAGTCAGCAATTGCCCCCGCGAGGTAGTCAAAGAGTGGATTGACCTCTGTTTATGATCGGGAATCTCCTGGTCACTGAGCCAGAGGGCGTTAGAGCTGTCGCGTAGGGATCGTCGAGGTATCTCAGCTCAACGGCGCTCATCCGAGAGACGCTGGCGTCATTGTCGGTGCCCTGAACGACGCGATCCTTTCCTGTCGGGTGACCAGGACCATTCTCAACATGACCTGTTCCACGACCTCGGCCTCGTCCTCGGCGGAATGTGTTGAGGTTGGGAATCTGAGGCGCGGCCATGAAGGACGTGAGGTGGAGGAAGCTCAGAGCTTGGTGGGGAAGCCCCGCCGTGGAATGGCGTCACGCTAATCTTCGTTCCTACGGTACTCGAGTAAATGTACTGAAGGTGCACCAATTGTATACATCAAATCGTGTCTTTTCATTCCACGTCTATCATCTATCTATTTAACACTCCCGGGCATTTAGACATATACAAAGTTGTTGCGGCACAGCGGACACGTGCTCTGGTTGCTGCTCTTGAACCAGCGGAACAGACACACCGAGTGGAAGGTGTTCTTGCAGGTGGCGCAGCGCTTGTTCGGTGTCTGCATATCGGTCGAGATAACCGAGTAACAGATAGCACACTCGCTTTGCCCTTTCAGAGCGCCCTGGACGTTACGGCGGAAGGCCAGTAGTCCATCGACCAGGTTGCCGTTGGCAAACATGATCACGCCCTGGATAGTGAGCAGCCAGCTCTTCCACTTCTTCTCGTCCACCAGCACTCGGCTGCGACCGACAACGATGGCGGGGTGAAGTGGGTATGCGGGCGGGAGAGATATCGAAATGGATACTGGTGGTGATTCTTCATCCACCGGGATGCTGGCGATGATTTCTGCTGTCTTGGGCGAAATCTTCACGGCCAAGGCCCGCTCCTCGTCCGGATCTTGAGTGGAAACCCATTCGGTGACACCGTGAAGAGAATCGCCAACCACAAGGGGTGAGATCTGCAAATGTTGTTAGTTACGAAGATAATGGCAGGTCATCGATCCACTTACGTATTTCTCGGTCCAGGCTTCCACCGGTCCCTTGATCCGTTTCTTCGTGTCGATCCACCAATTTTTGGTCATGTTGGCCAGATGTCTCAGGCAGAGGTAGTACAGATGAACCAGAAGCCATTCGGTTTCTTTCTCCGCGGACTCGGACTGGTCAGGCTCGAAGGACAGCACATTGAGCTTGGATGCGTCAATGATCTTCCCATGCGACTTTTGAAGGAAATCGAAAATAAACTCCAGAAGCGGGATAAGGATGTCGTTTTCCTTGATACTGGTGGTGTAGTACTCTTGGACGGGCAGCGACTGATAGAAGCATTAGTGGGAAATCCAACAAGGGTGATTTTGAAGCATACCGCGTTGGAAAAGTGATCAAAGACCACCTTCCAGCTGAGGAGATACGACCTCATGCTCGTCCACATCTTGTCATCTCCCCATGACATCGAGACTCCTTTCATTGTTGGTGTCTCGAGCAGGAGAGAAACTAGCTCATCAGGCAGACTGACTGCGGTCTTGGATAGGGCCACATCAAATGATACCTGTTCTTGGACCTGAGGGATGTAACGATGAAGAATAGTGTATGCTGTGCGCTGGACGGCACGGCTGTGCGCCGTCAAAAGACTGAATACTCCGCTGACGTCCTCAAGTTTCTCGATGGGGATGACTTTGATAAGGCGCTGTAAGATATCAACAGCGACATCCCGAGGTTGATGGAATGTGGTCGACGAGTCTGATTCACGTTATTATGGTACAGCAAAGAAATAGGATGATATGGAGCTCTTACCGAACTTCCCGATGGTGGAGGCGAGCTTGTTGAACAACCCGATCTTTCGCTCCGACCAAGCATCTTGAAGATCATCGTTGGTGTCTTCGCCTTCTGCCATAGACTTCAGACGCGCGAAAAGTCTGAAAGAGGATACCAACAATGGAAGCCCATCTTCGCCTCCGCTGGTCTCTTCCAGGATCATACCCAAGATCTCCATGCTATCCTCCCAATGAGATCCATAAAGCTCGGCAATACCTGGGATAACAAAGGTCAGGGTCTTGGTGATTTCAGCTCTCAGTCCGAACGATTTGATGTCCGATTTAAGACACTCCAAGAGATGCTTGACCAGGAAAACCAATCGTTGGGCTGGTATGGTTGAGACAACGTCCTCTTCCCCAGACAGCAAAATGTTGAGAAGTACAAGCTTTCGCAATCCTAGATTTTGTTAGTAAACGGACATCAATAGGTTTCATCTGGACACATACCGTCCGAGGAAGGATCTTGTGGCTTGAGTCCAGTGGAATCAGCAATCAGCTCATTGCAGATTCGGTTTCCAACAGTGTTAGAAAGTATCGAGCTTCGCAGGGTAGCAAACCATGACGCGGAGCGGATAATATTGGCAGTCCGTGCCTCTCTGCAAAGTTTCGCAATATCATCAGAAGACTTGGACTTTTCCAATGCATCTGCGGATGTCATGACCTTGACAAAAGCCTCTCCGACTCGATAATCAATGGGAGTAGCCCCGCTGAGTGCCTCTAGCTTGGTTTCCCAGAACGTGGCCAGGATCGACGAAACAGTCAAGTCTGAAGAGCCCACCGGCTCTTTTGTCTGAATCCATTCGCTGACAAGCTGACGTCCTTTGAGAACGATATCCAAGTATTCTTCACGTTGATCTGCTAGCTCTAGGCCAGTGATGCCATTGCAGTTCTCAATACTCACATCGTCATCAATCAACTGAACAGCTAGGGGTACGAAGTAGAACAGCGTCTCGAGGCTCTCACTGTCCAGCTTCCTGGTGATATCGGAAGACAGAACCCTAATTGTGAAACTTGCCAACCGGAACGCAGCAGAGCAACGTGCTGAATCCCGAGGAATGGCCAGCCACATTGCCTTGAATGAATCGGAAAGCTCGCGTTGTACTAAGCCAACTGTACCGCCCAGCGGGCTTGTGATGGCTGTTGAGGGTCGGGGCGGCAGTTGAAGGAAAAGTCCAAATGCATCCTCCCATGCACGGTGAGATGGTAGGATATCCTTCAGGGTGTAAGCGGCTTCCTTTGACTCGAGGCCTTGCAGCAGCTCCTCCGCAATAGCAATCAGAGACTCGATGCTAGCAAGAGGTCAGTATAAACGTTGATAAGGCAAAACGAAAATGTCACTTACGATAAGGATTCCTCATCTGCATGGCTCAGCCCATGGTGGAGAATCTCAATCTTCGACTTGGTGCTGGTTTCGCCGACCACGGTTTCCTTGAATGTTTTCATGATCGACTCGGATAAATTAGCCACTTCTTCGGAAGGGGATTCAGTGAGGAATAGCAGCTTCCCAGTCAATTTCGAGCCATGAATTCCGCTCTGGAATTCCTGCACTGCCGAAGGTACGGTCTTTCCGAGGTGTGACAGTCCATCCAGAGCATCAACGACCGTCTCATCTAGAGACAGCGAATCAATAACCGACAGGAAGATGCTATCCATCAGTTCACCCCGAGAGGTCTGGTTTTGAAGCACAGCGATGATAATCGGCCAGTGGGAGTGACTACCCTTGCAAGCTTCATTCAGAGCCCGCATGACGACGGAAGTAAGCTTGGCTTTGTCTCCTACCTCATTGAAATCGAGAGCAGAGAGTAGACTTTGAAGAACTAGAGTATTCGATTGCTCTGGCTCCAGTTCCATGGCCCGCTCAACAACGTTTTCAAAGCTGTTGGCAAATCCATCCCACTCCCGGCATGCCAACATAATTGCAATGAGGTGTTCTGCTGAAGGAGAGAACAGAAGTTCGGGTGCATCCTTTTCAACAAACCTGAGAAGCTCCTGAGAGCTTTGTGCAACCGAAGGCATGCTGCGGACACATTCTTGCACAACTCCAGCGGCCCCGTAGGGCTTGCCATTGCGCGAACGTAGAACTTCCAAACAGCCCTCTAAAAGAAGTGAATTTGACTTCTCGAAGATCGCCTGTACTCGTGCCTCATTCTTGGTTTCTGCGACCCGTGAGAGGACGGCCGGTTCCAAAGCAAAGAGACGCTTTGATTGCGCACATATCGAGTCCTGTGACGATTGAAAGTCCTTCGACTGTTCTGGCGATGATAATTTCACACCTTCAAGTAGCTCTTCCGAGAGCTTTAGCCACATAGCTTGTAACTCCTCGATTTGCTCGTGAGAAGAGAGAATTGCGAGGTAGTCGGCACTAATCCCTTCGCTTGATTGGAGAGGAAGTGACCACTGGGCCAATTCAGGATCAGGCCGCACATACTGCACAACCAAGGGGGAAAGCCTGTTCTGAATGAGCTCTGCTTTTTGCTCCGAGGGCACAAGGGATACAAGCCAGGTCCCAATCTCAATGTAAGACTTCCATCCAACAGTGAGGTTTTGACGAGGCTCCTCCCTAGAGTTGAGGCCGTCTTGGAGGGCTTCTGTTATGGCTTTTGCGCTGTCGAGAGTAATTTTCTCGTCGGTAGACGTTTTGCTAGCACCGGCAAGCACTTCTTGAGGCACAATCCGGAGCAACTGGTCAAGGTTCGACCAGAAGTTTGCATGTCCTCCTTGAGAGCCTTTCTGGATATATTGTCGAAGTCTCTTGGATGCAGAAGTCTTGCCGGAGTAATCGTTTGTCCAGACAGATGGTCTCGAAGAGGTCAAAAGCAGCAGGGTCTCGGACAGTTCAGAGGCAGACCCCAGTTGCGGAATAGAAAGAGATTTGCCAAGCAAAGCAGAACTAGCGACCTTCCAATCCAGCCAGCCAGGCTCTCGGGATAATGCTGATCGCAGCAGAATATATGCAGATCGTCTGACGAACGGGTCATCATGGCTACAGAAAGCCCAAAGAGACTTGCTAGCCAGCAGGTTCTCGATTTCGGGTAGGCTTTTCTGCAATTCTTCATCTGCTGAATTGCCTATTTGGACAAAATTGTCAGATTCCACCCTCGTCGCAAAATGAAACAGCCAAACATACCTAGGATACGATTGAAGAGCATAAGTGCAGCTCCCACGACCCGCGCATATTTTGCCTCGGCATCATCTTGCTTAACCGTTCGTTCATCACTCAGGGTCAAAACAGTCTGGTGAAGAAGAACATCGTCCACAAAGTCCAAAATGGAGCTCTGGAAGACCTTCCACACACTACTTCTCTTTTCATCGCTCGGGAATGCTTTGGTAAATGACTCTAGCGCGGAGCGGTGGACTGGCCGGTCGTTGTCGTAGAGTCCAGCGATCCACGCTCCCACGACCTTTGGTAGATAAGGCGCGACTCGTTTCCCAACAAGACGCGCAATTGAGCCTTGGATAAGATGAGCCAATTGCCTCACCCGCCGAGACAGGTCAATTGAAGCCCGAGGGTAAATTTTCACCTGCAAATATAAGTTTTAGTTTCCACTGCCATTATAGATGAAGAAATACATACCCATGCATCTAAAAAGCCATCATCCAAAGTTCCGTTATTCTTTTCCACAGAAGCGATGTGCTCCTTGAGCTCTTCTAGAGCCTTTGTCCGTGTGATATCATCCTTCTTCGACAGGTTTTTGAATGCAATCACTAAATGCTGGTCTGAAATGCGAGACAGATCCGGTGGTTCCGCAATGTATGTGAGGGCAGATGGCTCTCGGCCGTCACTGCCAAAAGCACCGGAGAACCCACCAAAAGACCCAAAGGCGCTGGCAGCAGCACGACTGCTGGAGGCCTGCGACTTGAACTTTTTGCTCATGTGGGGTATGAGGTCAGAGGGAATAGCGGGGGAATCTCGAGATTCGACCGGCGCAACTCCGGAGAGAGAAATTGATCCGGGACGAGGTAGATAATTCTGCAGCAAGCCTTCAGGGATCTGACTTGGCCTCTCGTCACAATGGATGTTGAGAACTGACAAAGAGAGAAAGTGATATCAACGGCGGGCGGCCACCCGATAGGGAAGTCACGTGGACCTGTGTCATTACTGTCCCAAAGGGGAAAAGATCAGGTTGGAGCTCGACTCGTTCTTCTCTTCGCTCTGCTTCGGGGACATCAGCCACCATGAAGTTCTTCATCGAGTAATCCTTCATCTCCTTGCACGCAACTTTTATTGAGCTTTCCGCTAACCTCCACCCCCTTTTAGTGATCTTCCGGTGCTGTTCCCGTACCCGCGCATCTATCCCGAGCAATATGCCTACATGTGCGATCTCAAGAAGACCCTCGATGCCGGGGGTCACTGCGTGCTGGAGATGCCCTCCGGAACGGGCAAGACGGTTTCTCTACTCTCATTGATTGTCGCCTACCAACAACACTATCCGGAACACAGGAAGCTCATCTACTGCTCGCGAACGATGTCCGAGATCGAAAAGGCGTTGGCGGAGTTGAAAGCGTTGATGAAACACCGCACGTCGGAACTTGGATACGAAGAGGAGTTCCGCGCCCTTGGGTTGACCAGCCGAAAGAATTTGTGTCTTCACCCTTCCGTGAGACGAGAGAAAAGTGGTACTGTGGTCGACGCGAGATGCAGGAGCTTGACAGCCGGCTTCGTCAAGGAGAAGAAGGAACGCGGTGAGGAAGTCGACTTGTGCATCTATCATGAGGTTCGTGCTACCATTCGCGGGGGCCGTTGATTTGCTTTAACAAGTTGCAGAACCTTGACCTTCTCGAGCCGCATAACCTCGTTCCTCCGGGCGTGTTCACCCTCGATGGTTTATTAAGATACGGAGAAGATCACAAGCAGTGTCCTTACTTTTCCGCCCGTCGTATGGTATGTTGTATGCTGAGATTACACGCCACTTTTATACGGTACTAATGCAATCGTCTAGATGCCTTGGTGCAACATCATCATCTACTCCTACCACTACCTGCTCGATCCGAAAATCGCTGAGCGGGTATCTCGAGAACTGTCCAAGGACTGCATTGTCGTTTTCGACGAGGCGCACAATATTGACAACGTCTGCATCGAGTCGCTCAGTATCGACATTAGCGAAGATTCTCTCCGGAAAGCCACTAGGGGCGCAACCAACCTGGAACGCAAAATCGAAGAGATGAAGAGCACAGATGCTGAAAAACTGCAAAATGAATACTCAAAGCTCGTGGAAGGGCTACAGCAGGCAGAACAAGCTCGGGAGGAAGATCAGTTCATCTCAAATCCGGTGTTACCAGATGACCTGCTCAAGGAAGCAGTTCCAGGAAATATTCGCCGAGCAGAACACTTTATTTCCTTCTTGAAGCGATTCATTGAATACTTGAAGACTCGGATGAAAGTGACGCACACCATCTCAGAGACGCCGCCCTCCTTCTTGACTCATTTGAAGGATCTCACCTATATCGAACGGAAGCCCTTGAGATTCTGCGCAGAACGTCTGACTTCACTTGTACGAACTCTGGAACTGATAAATATCGAAGATTATCAGCCACTTCAAGAAGTTGCTACCTTTGCCACACTCGTCGCGACCTACGACACGGGATTCGTCCTCATACTCGAGCCCTTCGAATCTGAAGCGGCAACGGTGCCGAATCCGATCTTACATTTTACTTGCTTGGATGCTGCCATTGCCATTAAACCTGTGTTTGACCGCTTCAGCTCCGTGATCATCACTTCGGGAACTTTGTCGCCGTTGGAGATGTACCCGAAAATGCTAGGCTTCACGGCTGTCATGCAGGAATCATACAGTATGACCTTAGCACGACGGTCATTCCTACCGATGATCGTTACCAGGGGCTCCGATCAGGCTCAGGTATCATCGTCTTTCGGCATCCGTAATGATCCTGGTGTAGTGCGAAATTACGGCACACTTGTCACCGAGTTTGCACGCATCACTCCTGACGGTATTGTCGTTTTCTTCCCTTCATACCTCTACATGGAGTCCATCATCAGTATGTGGCAGGGAATGGGTATTTTGGATCAGATCTGGAACTACAAATTGATCCTTGTGGAAACACCCGATGCTCAGGAATCTTCACTCGCCCTAGAAACCTACCGGACCGCTTGCTGCAACGGACGTGGTGCGATTCTCTTCTGTGTGGCCCGAGGAAAGGTATCCGAGGGCATTGATTTCGACCATCACTACGGCCGGGCAGTGTTGTGCATTGGTGTACCATTCCAGTACACAGAATCCCGCATCCTGAAAGCTCGTCTTGAGTTCCTCCGAGAAAACTATCGCATCCGGGAGAATGACTTTCTCTCTTTCGACGCCATGCGGCACGCTGCGCAGTGCTTGGGTCGTGTGCTTCGAGGCAAGGACGACTACGGAGTCATGGTGTTGGCAGACCGTCGATTCGAAAGAAAGAGACCCCAGCTGCCGAAGTGGATCAACCAGGCCATGTTGGACAGCGAGACAAATCTCAGCACAGATATGGCTGTCTCGAACGCGAAGAACTTCTTGCGCACGATGGCTCAGCCTTTCAAATCCAAGGACCAAGAGGGCATTTCCACTTGGAGCTTGGCCGACATTGAACGTCACGAGGCGAAGCGCAAAACTGAAGAAGAACGGATGATGAGAGAGGAGCTTACCAACGGGCACAAGATGGATGGTGTCACCACGTCTGCATTTGAGGTCGTCGAGGATGAATATGACGATGACATTGACCAGGACATGATGATGCTCGACGCGCAGTAGAATCATCCTTTTTCTTCTAGTTTATTTTATTTCAAGGTATATATCGGCACCGTGGTTGTCTGACAAGGGAAAAGGGGCGTTTTGGAAAAGGGCATAAGTATGGAAACAACATAGCATGGAGAGGTGTTACTCTGCAGGAAAATTTCAAGCAAAATCATAAAACATACACAAAGCATCCAAGTAATGAACCCATCTGGCAAGAAAAGCCCGGTGCTATCTGTATTAGTGTAATCAAACACATTCCTATCTAGATTTTTTAAAGCTACGAACCAGTGAAGTGAATAGTGATAGAACTCTATTTTACTAGAAGATATGCTGATATGAACAGGGACAGGCACTTTTGTGTTCCGCTGAACAAGAACTCCAGATCATCGACACGTCAAGATGGCAAAATGAAACAAGATCTCGGGATACAAACAAGCGCAAAGAAAATATACAGGTGATGGAGCACAAAAAAAAGATGCGAAACAACTCCAGCAAGAAACCGACTATGCTACAGGAGCAAGAACGTCAAAGGCACCGGTTCCAACGGTACCAGAGCGACCGACAACGATTCTGCTACTCGGGCCCTTGAGGTTATCGGTGTCTCTCTCAAGGACAGCGTCCTTCAAAGCGCCGACAGTGGTCTCGAACGACATCCGAGCAAACGGTGAGGTAGAATCCTTGACCAGACCGTTACGGCTGAAAGCCTTGAAGCCACCAGACTGCGTCATCACATCACCGATCAAGTTCAAGTGACGGTTGTCAACGGAGATAGAGTGACCCTTGAAAACGGCGTCCATTTCGCGGACGATGGTGGCACGAGCAGCCTCGACACCGTAGAGGTTGAGCATGTCGTGGATGGAGTTGGTGTACAGCGAGTGCGGCTTGATGACGTCCTGGTAGTCGCGCATGGCCATCAGGTTAACACCATCGGTCATGACGGAGGCGGGTTCGCCCTTCAGCGGGTCGGCCTCGACAAAGACACAGTTGCCAAGGTTGGGGATGGACTGGATCACAGCTTCATGAACAGCCTTCTCGACAATGGGAAGGAGGAGGAGCTTGGGGGTCTCGATGTCATACTGCAGCTGGACGCTGCAGGTTGTGCCCTTCTTAGGGTCGAACTTGAACTTGGTGATCTCCTCGTATTTGCCCATGACATCAGCCTCGCGCACCTTGCTAGAATCGGCGCCTTCGTCGTCCGAGTCATCCTCAGAGTCATCGCTCATTTCCACGTCGCGGCTGGTTCGGACATTCTCAGTCTCGTCATCGTCCTCGTCAGGTGTGTCTTGACGACGAATAATGGCTTGCTCGTCGTCATCGGGGCCTTCGTAAGACACCTGGTTGCTTCGGTTCTGACCTCCGCGTGCGCGCTTGGCATCGTCTTCGTCGTCCTCATTGTCATCCTCAGCGGGCTCCGCCTCGCGGTCAGCCCCAGTCGGTGCATCAGCAACTCTGCCAACGGAAACACCGATCTCCGGCTGAGCGGTTGAAGACTTCTTGCCGGTCTTGTCCTCGTTTCGTTTCTTCATTTCGGTCCTGGTGAGTTTCACCAGGCGAGCAATGAACTTGTTCTGCAGGGCGTTCTGCACATCCTTGGTCTTGATAGCATATTCCTTGCAGTACTCCTCGACAGGGAAGAATGAAATGTCAATATCATAGATCTTGGCCTTTGCGATGCCAACACCAGAGCCAATGCGCTCTCTGATTTGCACCTTATCGACAATTTCTGCAACGGTGAGCTTGCTGATGGCCTTGGCAAACCGCTCGGCGTGGTCCTTGGGGAGCTCCTCATTCAAAAGAAGAGTCATTGTAGGAGTCATGATGGTGGCACTGGCAGTCATAACAATTTCACGCAGTCGAGGAATACCAAGCGTCACGTTCTTTGCGGAGTGACCAGCCAAATGGAAAGTGTTCAATGTCATCTGCGTGGAGGGCTCTCCAACAGATTGGCCGGCCATAATACCGACGGCCTCACCAGGGTCGATGATAGATTTCATATACTTCATGTTCATCAAAGCATCGAAAGTCTTCTTTGAGACGATACCCTCGATGTTCTTCTTCTTGTCCTTGAAGAGGCCATCAGGATTGTTGTCCGAATACTATAGAAACGAGAATTGTTAGCATCGAGTCCGATAATAGTGACACAAGTTTCATGCGTACCTTCTTAAGATCTTGAGCGAATGCCTCGGACGTACTGCCCAAGTTGCCTCCGGGGGGGTAGCGAGCCAGAACAGGATCCTTGGCATCAAGGTTTCCAGTCTTGCGGACCTTCTTCATTGCTTCCTTGTGCCATTCCGTCACATCCTCCTTGGCCAACGTGTGGAACAGTTCAGCCGATACTTGCTTCGAGATCGAAATGTAGTTCTCAGCCAGGAAAGCGAAGTCCTTAAGATGGACCTGCTTGGTGATATCGAGACCGTCCTCTCCGTACAAGAACTGGACAATCGAACCATCGGACGACTCACGGACAGAGGAGTCGTACTCGGCTCTCAGGCCCTCCATACCCTTAATCAAGCAACGTTGCAAGTAACCGGAACGAGAGGTCTTGACGGCAGTATCAATCAGACCTTCACGACCCGCCATGGCGTGGAAGTAGTATTCTTGGGGCTTGATACCAGTCAAGAAACGACCACAGACATAACCGCCAGCAATCGGATGCGTTTCGTAAGCCCGGAACGATGGCAGTGTTTTACCGCTAATCATGACCGGTACACGACGACCTTCCAAAACCTGCTGACCCAGGTTGCATGAAATCAGGTTGGCATTGACACTCGAACCCTTGGCACCAGAAATGGTCATAGACTGCATCTGGTTCCAGGGGAAGGGCTTGGCAAGACCGGCGGGGAGACAAGAGCTGGTGATTTCTGATGACAGCTTGGCAGATCTGGCGTTCGAAACACTATCCAAACCGCTCTGCTTATCGTCATCGCGAAGCACGTCCTCCAGCCGGCGGTTCAGCTCGGCATCCTGATCAGGCACGGAAGTCTGATCCAAGGTCACGTACTTCAGGGCAACCTCGCGACCCATGGCAGGGGCAGTGCTCAATTTCTCCTTTCGGATGCGATCACCCTCCTTGGTCAACCTAAGGTCATCAATACCACAAGTGAATGCCCGCATGTTCAAGAATCGGGTGAGAAGTCGACCGAGAATACTCATCAACTTTCCAGCAATGGTATGGCCGTAGATCTCGTGCACGGCATCAATGAGACCTCCAGCAGAAGGACCAAGTTGCTTCTTGTCGAGAATACCGCACAAGTATTCGCCGTTCTTGAAGATAACATCGCCCTCTTCATTGTTGTCGCCCCATCGGTTGCCAGGAGTCGAAGACTTGCCCTTGAGGGTGAGACCAGCACTCTCCGGAGGCTTGATGTTCTTGAGAATTGTCGTAATAATCTGCTTGCCAGTCCAAAGATACTTGGGCTTGATAAAGGCAGGCTCCACAAGTTCGATACGGTCTGAGACAATGTGCGAATTCTCGGGTCTCAAGCAGCTGTATAGAAGCTGGTGATAGTCCTCCTCGTCAAAGAACGAATCACGGCAGGTGAACCAAGTACCCATGGAAATGTGATCCTGGATCAGACCTCTCAGAGGTTTACCAGAAGTGGCAACCAGATATTGGTGGTCAGCATCTGCCAGCATACGGGCCTCCGCTTGAGCGAGCTCATTCTGAGGGAAATGCATATTCATCTCGTCACCATCGAAATCGGCGTTGTAAGTATTACAGTTGGCGTAGTGCATTCGAATGGTTCTCTCGTTGGGAAGCACACGGGCCTTGTGACCCATGATAGACGGCTTGTGAAGAGTGGGCTGACGATTCATCAAGACATAATCGCCGGTGGTGAGGTGACGGTAGACCTTCTTGTTGCGCGATCCCTTCATACGCCAGTTCGAGGGCGCAAGCAATTGGTTTGCAAGCGCTGTGCGCTCGTCCAGGCTCTTGAACTTCAAGTTGACAACTTGACCATTCTCGTATTCGATCGCGGCAGCACCAGGGTACTTGTCCGGTCCGTTGATAACCGCTTCCTTCAACTCCCAGAAATTGTGGTTTGTCACAGGCTCAGGGAAGGTCAACTTCTTTGCGAAGACAAGCGGCACACCGATCTCATTGGTCTCCAGGTTCGGGTCGGGCGAAATAACACTACGGGCAGCAAAGTTGACACGCTTACCCATCATGTTCTTTCGGAACAAACCCTCCTTCTTTTCTAGAAGTTGCTTGATACCATTTGGCAGGTTTGCGATGGCTGAGCCGGTAACAGCAGTTCGCTCACGGTCAATGAGTCCGTTGACATAGTCCTGGAGCTGAATGATGGCCTGGAGAAGATCACTGTAGTTGCGTGCACGAGACAAAGCCTTCTCTTCTTCATTCTGAATTTCCTTGCTGATCTGGTTGATGAGATCACACTGCTTCAAAACGTTGTTGAAGGGGGTGTTTTGCTGTGCCTCCATGACCTCACCAGGGCCTTGCGCGACAGCCGGGCGGTATTTGTTCGGAGGGACTAAAAGGCTCTTAATGAAGAACATGTCCGCAGAAACGACCTTGGACCCCTTTGGTGCAGGCCGGGAGTTATACACGAGTTGCAAAACCTCGCCATCCTTCTCGAAAAGGATTCGCATGGCACTGTAGACCTCTGAGGAAGTCATGAATTCCTGGCCCGACACGGCTTGCTCTGCCTGCTTCGTAACAGCAGCCCCGCGGCGAATCTCTTCCTCGGCGCCATGGACCTCGGACACAACGCTTCCAGCCCGGGTTCCGTTTACTTCGGGCTTCTGCTTCTTTTCCTGATCGAGCATGACCAAGGTATTGGGTGCCTGGAAGCCGCCGTGAAGCATTGCAAGCTTGGACTTCTCAGGCAGGGCCTTTCGGAAAATCTTGTTGTAGCGGTCCTTTCGATAGGCAGGAGAGATTCTGTATCACAATGCAAGTTAGAGACTGAAAATTACAAAATTGCGTGTCACTTCCGAACATACCCGCTGCAGTTGTAGCACTTCCGGTTGCCGTTGATATCCTTGAGAAAGGTTTTGACCAAGTCCCGTCTTTGCTCTGCGGCAATGGGGTTCTTCGCGCCGGCCATGAGACCATCCAGCCTGCCATCTTTCTTGGCCTCTTTGATGCAGCGGTTGACATGGGAAACGCGCTTTTCCATAATGGTCTCGTCGTCATCCTCCTCATCATCATCCGAAGCGTCTCCCTTGTCCTTCTTCGAGCCATTCTTAGCGCCCTTGCTAGATCCAATAGCCTCGACAGCAGCAACTTCGTCGGTCAATCCATATTGCAAGAGGCGCAGCTTGCAGGTGTACAGGTTGACATTTGCGCGGGACATCTGAAGGCGATGGCAGTACACACATTGTGCCCGAAGAAGACGATAGATGTGGTCGAAGAAGGTGACATTGTAGACGGGTACAGGAAGCTCAATGTGGCCGGCATGGCCGGTACACGACCAAGAGTTCTGTCGACATGTAGTGCACCTGAAAGTCCCGAATCCCGATCAGAATAATTGATTTATGAAAAGTATTCAAAGAGCTTAAAACTTACACATGGTCGCCCCATGCGCCCATAGCAGGGTCTTGAAGACCTCCAGGGACTGGGTTGTTAAAAGAATCCAGAGTCGGAGTATTGTGAATTCTTTTCACTGATAGCTTTTTGATCTCCTCATCGGAGTAGACGGTGAAGTCCACCCCGGCAATGCTCGAGGGGACTGGACGAGTGAAGGTCGCCATTGTGTCCTGCAGCTCCGGGAGCGACAGAATACGCTGGCGGTGCGAAGTCGACTTCTGCAAAAAGTCTCCAACGTTGCGGGTTGCGGATGAGCGAAACTATTCGAGCAACTTTTTTTTCTGCCCCGGTCCACCGCCCATCCCGTTTTGGGTATCGGCGACCAACGTTGAATCATCACCTTCTTTTACCATTCACAACTGCGCGATTTCCTTCGTTCTGTTTGTCATTCATTTCTGGAGGACTGAGTCCTCGCTTACAGTGCCATGGCGGACAGCACAGGCAATATGCTGAAGCGGGCTCACCCGGAGGATGATGGCAACAACTCTCAGAAAAGGACCCGTTCAAATGATGGATCGCCATTGCCAGCTCAAGGAGGAGCTGCTTCCGGAAAGTTCGATATCGAGAAGATGGTAGCTGAAGCGAGAGCTAAGGCAGAAGCTGTGCGCGCCCGCTTGCAAGCCGCGCGTGGCGGCGCGACTCCCACCGTTCCCTCGACAGAGGCAAGTCCTAGCCCAACACCACCGGCCCCGAGTGCCGCGATGTCCCGATTGGAACAAATGAAGGCCAGGGTAGCAGCAGCCACCGGTAGAGCCAATGCACCGCCGCAACGACCGAGTGCTCCCGCTCCATCCCAGCAACCTTCGGCGTTTGACGACGACAGTCTATCTAAGGCTCGCGGAGGTCTCGACGTTGGCCTTCATCCCGCGCTGCTTTCCGATGCTACGCCAGATTTCCGCGGTGGAAAGGGCCGCCAGCAGTACAAGTCAGGGAACCGTCGGATGGACATGTCCAACAAAGAGCGACTTGATTTGTCCGGGCCGTCAATCGAAGAGATCAAAAATAATCCCTATTTTGACCCTAGTCTCGGTCCGAAGGCAACTGTTGCGAAGCCTCGTCATTCTCGAGAACTCGTTTTCAACCAGAAGGGCAAATATATCCAGCAAGCGGCGGCTCTGCGTCGTCAAGCGCAGTTGGAGGCTATGAAGAAGCGGATCGCCGAGCGAGCGCGCCAAGCCGGTATTGACGAGGATATTGATGTGGAAAAGGCGTATCTTGTACCTGCTCCTCCAGCATTGGAGTGGTGGGACGAGGGTCTCGTGAACGGTGATGCGTATACCGCCATTGAGGACCAGGCAAACCTGAAGATTGATACCCCCGATACTATCATCACTCGCTATATTCAACACCCCGTGCTCCTCGACCCACCGCAGGAAAAGCATCAGCCAACTCAGAAGCCTATGTTCTTGACGCCGAAGGAACAGGCGAAGATTCGTCGCCAGCGCCGCATGGCAGATCTGAAGGAGCAGCAGGCCAAAATCAGACTGGGTCTGGAACAGGCGCCGCCTCCAAAGGTCAAGAAGTCCAACCTTATGCGGGTTTTGGGCGAACAAGCTGTCAAAGATCCAACGGCTGTGGAGGCTCGTGTGACCCGGGAGATTGCGGACCGCAAAGAGGCACATGAGGCCATGAACGACGATCGCAAGCTGACCAAGGAGCAACGGCGCGAGAAGCTGGCCGCACAGCAGGAGAAAGATGCCGAACTTGGTATTCACATGTCTGTCTACCGAATCGACAGTCTGGCGAGTGGCCGGAATCGTTTCAAGATCAGCAAGAACGCCGAGCAGAATGCGTTGACAGGAATATGTGTCATCCATCCAAAGCTTAACCTTGTGATTGTCGAGGGTGGTAAACACTCCATCAAAAATTACCGCAAGCTGATGCTCAACCGGATCGACTGGACTGAAAATCCTGGCCCGGGCGCACCCAATGAAAAAAACGAAGGTGAACCCCTGTGGCTGGCTACCGAAGACGAGAAGGGCGAACTACGGGACTTTAGTCATAACACATGCACTCTTCTTTGGGAGGGACAAGCCAAGAACCGCGCATTTAGAAGATGGCTTGGTGCCAGAGTCTGCGAAACTGACTCCGCTGCTAAGGAAACTCTGTCCCGATCTAAGATGGAGAATTTTTGGACTCTGGCTAAGAGCGCGAAGCCGGCCGAGTTCTGAGATACCCCAAAGATTGCACGATACCGTTCTGAGACTACCCCATATTCCGCATCGATTTGCTTTGCTAGAGATCAGCCAAAGCTGTCCTCGCTCTTCTTCATAGCCCATGTGTGATTCATCCATTTTTTATGCAGCAAATATGTACTCTATCCTTGATACTATAACAGAGCCTGAAAATATCATAACAGGACTAATCATAACTTTTTAAAACCGTAGCAAAACATATTGACTCCGCTCCTGATGCAAATGGTCTGGTATTGAGATCATGCCGACGAAAATAAAACTCAAGCGAAACGAGCACCTAAGACGGAGGCGGTCCCTGGTTCTGGTTGCTCAGATTCCGCAGCAGATCCAGCTGGGCCTTGACCTGGTCGAAGTTCATAGCCGGATGTTGGGCCTGGCCCTGTGCAGGGGCTTGCTGAGGCTGTTGATACTGCTGCTGCGGCGGATACTGCTGTTGCGGCGGCGGCTGCTGCTGCTGCTGCTGCTGCTGCTGCTGTTGTTGTTGTAATTGTTGCTGTTGCTGCAATGCGGCAAGGAAGAATTGGGGGTTGATATGCGCGCCCTGTGGAATAGACTGGAAGGGAGCAGCTTGTTGAGGGAAGGCTTGTGGCTGGAAGGGGAACTGGAAGGGGAATTGTGTTGGTGGTGAGCCCTGAGGATACTGTCCCTGCTGGGGTGCATACTGCGGGTACCCAGCGAATGGCTGAGGCATGCCGTAGGCAGGCTGCTGGGGCGAATACGCCGGTTGGCCGTATCCTGAAGGCTGGGGTTGAGGAGCCGCCGCTGGCTGTCCGTAGTTCGAGCTGCCACTCTGCTGGTGCTGAGGTCGGCGGTCCTGGTCCCGTTCATACGAGCCTCCACGGCCTCTGCCACCTCTGCCACGGCCACCACGACCACGATCATTGCCTCTGCCACGGCCTCTGTCGCCACGTAAACCGGGCCCACGCTCGTTCCCTTCGACTGGCGCCTCACGTGCACCCATCATCTCGTGGAGGTTCTTCGGGCGGGCAAGGGGGGTGTACCCCTCCTCACCCCCTTCGTCGTCGTAGTTGAGCTCAGTTTGGCTCAGTTTCGACGGGCCGGGAGCATCTCTCTTGATTTTCCCGGGGCCACCACCTCTGGCATCCTTCCTTTCTTGACGCTTCTGCTTCAGTCTCTTCTTGTAGTCAGCCTCTGCTTCGTCATCGGAGAATTCAATCTCGTCCTCGGCGACCTCCTCGTCGTGGAAGTTCGAAGCATCGCTTCCCTTCAGGCCTTTGAGGGGCTGGGTGAAAACGAATGTAGACTGGCTCTCGACATAATAGACATTCATGTTTTTGGCGATTCCACGTTTCTGCGCTTCCTCGGCGCTCGAGTACATGACCGTGTACAGAGGGTTCTCGACTCTGCCAAGAGTCTCGGCCACCACGCCAATGACCTCGCGGTTCTCGGAGCAGAGCAAAGACCCCGACTCGAGGACTTGGTATTCTCCAGAGGTGTTAGCCTCGATAAGAACTGCATTGTCAATGACCGTCTGGATCTTTCCCAGAAGCACAACCTTCATATCAGGAGTGATTTTGACTTCCGGAATTGGCAAGGCATCTTCCACAACCTCGTTGGCCGAGCGTATGAAACCACCGCTTTTACCCTTGCCGTCCCCTTCATCATCGGAACCGCCTTCGGCCAGCATCAAAATACGGGCCTGTTCTTCAGGGCTCAAAATGGGGTAGTCTTCGTCGTCGCTGTCGGAGGAATCGGAGGACGAGCTGTCCGAGGATGATTCGTAAGGGTCAGAGTCGACCTCCCATTCAGGGTGTTCCTCCTCATCTTCTTCTTGTCCGTTCCCTCCCTGTATAGTAGAGGTTGTATTCGCATTTTCGGTTGTGGTTTGCTCGTGGTTCGCATCAACATCCATCGCTTCAGAAGTGGCAGCCGGATCCTTGTGGTCCTGGGCCTCGCTACTCGGCTCCTGTTGAGCCTCTGTGAGTGTAGTCACGGTCTCCACGGAGGCATCACCTCCTTGGCTGACAACAGAGACATCGGACTCCTGCTTGGCCGACTCATTCGTAGTCTGTGCAGTGGGACTGACAAGGCCCAGTCCTGGGATCATCGGGCCTGGTTCGGAGGTGGGAATGAATTCAGTCGCAGTCACTGGTGCAGGGTTATCGCCCGGTTTCACCACGGGAGTCCCCGAGTTCACAGGTGTGTTGTAGAAATCGCTGCCATCGTCCGGAGTACCTGCGATGGGTGGCGTGTCGATCAAACAGGGCTTTTTGGAGGGAGGAGCGTCGCCGGAGTCCACAGACCCATTTGCAGGGTTCTGATGGTCACTCATCATGTAGAGAAAGGAGTAATAAGAGAATTTTTCAAAAAATGTTGTAACAGAATGAAGCCAAAGAAAAAAGCGGCGCAGTAACTTTTTTTCGGATCTGCCAAAGTTGCCGTCGCGGTCGCCGGACAAGCTTTCGTTATCGCGTTATCGCTGTCCTTCAACATCTCCAACGCGCAAAGATGGCTGAGCCTGAGAGACCCCCAACAGGGCCCGCCCAAGCTCGCACAAAGGCTCGGTATGCTGTGAACTGATTGGAGTTGTGAGGATCTGCAGCTAACACAGCGTCTCTTTAGCCCTCCTCCACCTCCTTTCTACCTCCCGCTGAACATCGCCCTCTACCTGTGTCTTATCGCCAATGGCCTTGCAGCCTTCTTCTCGCCCATTCAGGACTGTGATGAAGTCTTCAACTTCTGGGAACCTGCACACTATCTCGACCATGGATACGGCTTGCAGACATGGGAGTACTCGCCGGTATACTCCATCCGAAGCTGGCTCTACGTGTCTCTTCATGCCGTAGTGGGGAAGCTGGCGTCATCGATGGTCCATTCCAAAGCTGCTGAATTCTATACAATTCGGTTTTTCCTTGCGGTTGTTTGTGCTGCCTGTCAGACCAGATTGTACTCTGCGATCTGTCGGTCCCTCAACCCCCGCATCGGCCTCATCTTCTTGATGATCACGGTATTCAGCCCTGGTGTGTTCCATGCGTCAACTGCCTTCCTGCCGTCCACTTTTACCATGTACACATCGATGCTTGGCCTGGCGGCTTTCTTGGAGTTCAAGGGTGGGCCTAGGACCGCTCAGGGGATTATGTGGTTTGGGCTTGGTGCAATTGTTGGCTGGCCATTCGCCGGTGCTGTCATCATGCCTCTTCTGGCCGAGGAAGTCATCATCTGCTTGATCTCGGGGTCTCTGGGGTCGCTCCTAGTTAAGATATTTGATGGTGCCGCTAGGTGTCTCTCTATCTTGGTGAGTACTATACTTGAAACCACATCCTCTATTAGTACCTCTGCTAAGACAGTTTCAGGCCTTGGAAGTTGCGGTCGACTACGCTTTCTTCAACAAGATTGCTCTAGTACCCTGGAACATCGTTGCTTACAATATATTCGGTGGGGAGGATAAAGGGCCCGAAATCTTTGGCACGGAGCCGTGGACCTTCTATATCCGCAATCTGCTTTTGAACTTCAATGTCTGGTTTGTGCTGGCAATGCTAGCCGCCCCTCTTCTCCTCATCCAAACCGTGTTCCGGTCTACCGGTACATCTTTCCAGGCGCTGTTCCGTTCTATTACGCTGGTCGCGCCGTTCTACATGTGGTTCACGATCTTCACCCTCCAGCCTCACAAAGAGGAACGATTCATGTACCCAGCTTATCCATTCCTGGCTCTTAATGCGGCCCTCTCCTTCCATACTATCCTGAGTTATCTTGGCTCCGGTAACCCGAAGGAGATTATCGGTCGTGTCCCGGTCAAATTGAAGCTCGCTGCAGTCATGTCAGTCATCCTGGTGGCTTTTAATGCCGGTATGCTGCGCATCCTTGGAATGGTGACCGCATATAACGCGCCCTTGAAGGTCTTCGAGCCATTGCAGGAGGTGAATGTGATGGAGACAGGAACATCCGTGTGCTTCGGCAAGGAATGGTATCGATTTCCGTCTTCATACTTCCTCCCGCACGACATGCGCGCCAAGTTCATCCGAAGTGAGTTCCGAGGTCTTCTCCCGGGCGAGTTCCCAGATGCGCCGAGCTATTACTCTCGCCTGGGTGGTGCCTCCCAGATTCCATCTGGCATGAACGATCTGAATATCGAAGATCCCAGCAAATATGTGTGTACCAGTCTTTATTTCTATTTCATTCGTCTCTCCGATGCTAATCTTGCCAAATAGGTTGATATTTCGCAATGCTCTTTCCTGGTGGACTCTTACTTCCCCAGTCGCCCGGCGACCGAGCTGGAACCTGACTACGTGCTTGATGAGTCCCAGTGGGAGACTCTAACTTGCCAGAGCTTCCTCGATACATCCCAAACGGGATTGCTTGGACGTTTGATCTGGATCCCCAACCTACCTTTCATCCCCGAACAATTCCAGCGGAAGTGGGGACAGTACTGCCTCCTGCAGCGGAGGACAAAGGCCAACAGTGTATAGATAGTCTAGCTCATTTATCATCTACATTTATCATCTACGATGTATAAAATGAATCATGCCATCTTTCTCGTGTCTAAATCCACAAGTCCGAAGTTTCGCGTTACCCGATCGGGAGAAGAAATCCCTTGCTTGACCGGGGTGATAAGCAACCCCTCCCTGCAGATAACCCAATCAACCATGTCATTTCTCAAAGTTAGTGATGTCTTCCATGGGGTAGCGGTGTCTGATCGCATGCAGCCTCGGATCCAACGGCTTGATCTAGACGATTTGGAGATCCCCTCTTTTGGGACCCCGCGACGCAGATACAAGCTATGCATCGTCTTCGGTAGATTTAAGCGGTCCACTCGCATCGGGTTAACAGGAACGGCAGCTCGCTGGAGAGACCTTGTTATCAGTAATGTGCCTTTGATGGGAATTCCTATCAGTGGCCACTGCCATCATACGTCGGTACTACTATCTGTGAATTGCTTGTCTCGATTCCCTTTAATCTTTATCCCCTGGAATGCAACTGGATCATGAATCCGTAAAATAAGCAGCATATCCACATATCTTTCCCTGGTCCATATACAGCTTCTATAATCATGACGACCAAGTCCCTCCGGGGAACCCTCCTTTCCATAGCCCCCGCCGAAGAGGTCGTGGGTGTGTTTCTCCTTCTGAACATCTTCGCCTGGGTCGTTATTCGTGCTTTCCAGAAATGGATGCCCTCCAATGAGACAATTAGAGCTGCATCTCCCGATCATTTAGAGAAACCCGCGTCAAGAGGGAAAGTCACAAGGGAACCGGGCAGTAGGTACCCCATGCTACATACACCGATGTCCATACTAACACGGGCAAAAGAATGGCTTGCATCTGACTTCAAGACACCGACGGCAAGCCCGTACCCCAACTGGGACGTCCACGACTCCAAGCCGATCCCCTATCGGCCTTTTAGATACGGCCCGTTGGTAATTCATCTCGTGATCTACAATTCCGCCTCTAACGTGAAACAGCAAGTACTTTGTGACGTTAGGTCTTAGGAGCATGAAATGGGACGAATGGATCGGTAAGCTCTGCTCTGAATCGCAGCAGGCGAATGCCAATTAACATGTCACATCCAGAGCTCGACAACCATTATCTCAAATACCACGCCGACAAGAAGAAGCGGATAGAAGATCGCGGCGAGAAATGCTGCAGCACTGCACCAGAGGCGATGGATGGCGCCATTGAGTTATTGGAAGAACTGTAAGCGCAGCAGTTGCTAAACTCTCCCCGTGCACCGAGGGAACAAGCTAATATGCCATGCTACAGATGCGCATACCTCCCCGAGCGCTATCCAACCATGTTCCAAAAGACTCCAACGGGAATAACCAACACCGTGACCAACGAAACATTCAATATAACCCAACGCCCACTCCCCGAAGATCCAATGGCAACAGCAGCACGTCTAGTCCAAGACGATCTTGCCCTGATGTTCGAGCGACCCGACGGCGAATACTACCTGTTGGCCGGGGCAATCCTTCTCGCTGGATTCTGGCGCCTGAGCGATAAATTCGGAATGCGCCTATCAGAGATCCACACGTCGGGCGACGTGCCTCAATTCCGCGAGAAACTAGAGAAAGGAATGATGAACTTCTTCCGGCGACTCAAGCCCGAAGAACCCGTCCTGCGGAATAACTATTTCATCCAGGTAGACGATAGTCTGGCATGGTCGCACAGCATCGGGCCCGAAGACGCAGAGACGGTATCGTGGAATACGGCGGAGAAGAATAAGGCGATTGAGAATCACTTTTTCCGATCCGAGCGTCAGAGTCTGAGGCGGTTGCCGAAGTCTGGGGCTGTGGTGTTTACGATCCGCACGTATTTTGAACCGATTACGGAGATTGTCAAGGAGCCATATGTGCCTGGACGGTTGGCGAGTGCGATTCGGAGTTGGGGAGATGATGTGTCTAGGTATAAGGGGAAGGAGAAGTACGAGGAGGTGTTGTTGGAGTATCTGGATCAGAAGCATAGGGAGCAGGTTGAGGGTGGGTTGGAGCTTGAGAAGGAGGATGAGGTGCGGAATTATCCACTTTGATGTTGGATAGTCTTTTTCTATTCTTTATATGGTACATGAATTGCACGGAGTCGGGCTAGCCTTGGCAAGTCGTATGGGCATGTTAGTAAGGAAGAGAGACTTCAACCAATGTATGGATCTTTGGCGTAATATGTCTCAATACTGGTCTCAAGTATCTGCAAAAGCAGGATATCGTCTGCTGTTGCGTCTTGCGTAATCTAACTCCCGTTCCTGGCGCCAGGAGCATTCGTCGCGGAACTCGCAGATGCGACATTTCCAGGCGTCCGTGATGTTGACGCCGCGTGGGTCACGCGAGCCATGCCACCACTCCATCTGGTCATCGATATAGGATGTCATAGTTGCAGGATCATAGAGGAAGGACCTGCTCCCCAGAACCCGAGGCTGGAGATCGGTAGTGGGAGCCGAAGACAAGTATCGTGCTGTTAGAACCGGGGAGAGGAGTGTGGGGTATTGTTCGAGCAATTCCGGCTGGGTATATGCCGGGATAGACGGGGCCACGGGCTCTGTTTGCGAGTTTGGGGGAAGAAAAGTAAGGCGGATCTGATCTTTCATGTAACTCCATAGACTGAATAAAGTGCCGTGGGTCGAAAGGATGCTAGTTGAGACCTGGCTGGATTTTGTCACGGAGCCTTGGGATATTCTTCTTGCATCCTCTGGAGTGGGAGGGTTGTCGATATCGAATTCCTGGGAAGACATTGTATCAAAGAATTCGTCATTCAGCCCGCCGATTTCAGAGATGAAAGCTTCGGTGAAGGGTCGTTCTGGATCGAGGTTGTAGCGTGCTGCAAGCAATTCCATCGTGACATCGTCGCTCGTGATAAGGCGGTTGAGCATATGATAATAGAGCTGTAATTGAAGAAGAGTGGGACGGAAGGACGTGCTCTTGACCGTCGGAGCAGATCCACCCGCTTTGGTCTTGACGTCGGTCATATAGATCCTTGGCAAGTTATAGACAGCCGGCGAAAGTTCTTCAATCGGTGCTTCTTCCAAGGGTTCCTCTTGGCCCAGGTCCGAGAGCCTTCTTCCACCCTGTGAGGAAGATAGCAAGAAATCGGACAGGGACATCTGATATTCCGGCAGGGCAGCCCGTGATTTTGCCGCTTCAGAATAGTAGCTGGACGCCGTAGCCTCAAGCTTTGAGTCGGGACATTCGTAGGACAGCTCATCAATAACCCCATTGACCAACTCCCCATCAACCGTACCCCAAATCTCCAACTCGCGTGTGACGCCAAATTCACGCAGCATGCGCAACCCCTGAATCACATTCCAGATCCTGAGCGCCCAAGCATCCTCCTTGGTAGTGATATCCACAGGAACAGTCGTGTAGATCTCATCCTCAAGAGTCTTGTGCACAACACTTCCCTTCATCATGGCAGGAGTTCTCCTCTTCCTCCCGTGCTTGGTCAAGGTATACCAATATTGTAATTCGCACCAGGCAGGCGAGACCAGATCGGTCACCGAGAAAGCCTTATGAGGCGGTCGTCGAAACCGCTCCACGGGGGATCGAGGATCTAGCGTAGGAGCCACCTGGTCATTCTGGGTCCATTCGCGCTCGCGCGTAGCCATGCGCTCTCGCTCTCGTTCTCTGCCTTCCGTTGAACTAGGATGCTCCACTAAACGCTTCGGATATCGCCATGTTAGTCTGACACCCCAATCTTATGATCCACGCAACAGAGAAATAAGAGGAACATCATACCAAACGAACTGTTCCTGCCGACTGCCTCCTGACTTGATCTCCCCGCCACGCCGGATGTAGACCTAGGCCACGGCCGCTGATTCGGTTGTTTCCACGGTGAACGAGGCGATTCCCGGCCCAGCACCTTAGGCAACCGGACACCGGGCGGATCCCCAACGCCATCTTCAATGTCCGCGACGAGCGCCGCGAGGACAGCCGGTTGTAGAGATGCAATATCACTAGGCTCGGATGTAGAGATTGTACGCGAGTCAAAGTCTTCGATTGCTGGCTCGGTTGGATTCGGGGTCGGGGATGGAGTGTCGATGGTCGCGTGTTCCGCGACAGCTTTGGAGAGTAACTCGTTCAGGAGCTCCTCTTCGTCGGGCGTGAAGTCAGATCCGTAGTCGCTGGAGTCTGGGTCCTCAGGCCGCGGCACTTGCGGTGGGCAGGACATGCCTGCGACAGTAGAAGGGGCTCATGTCCTATGTGGCATGCGGTGTTAGGAAATTCGCGCCGTGGGAGACGCGAAATGCGTCATTGCGGGAAGAGCAGATGGAGGTAACTGCATTGGGAATTCCCGCGTCACTATTGGACGCATCTACATCCACCTTTAGATATACAACTGAAGGAGAACTGAGAAAAGAAATCTATTTTCTAGTGTCTAAGCTTGGTATCTGCCAGAATGTATCGCTCTGTAGGAAAGTGACAACCCGAACGCCGCTAATGTCGGGACACCGAATCTATACAATAATGCCCAATTCAAATCACAATTCTATCACTCATGCCGTGCCCGCTGCAGGGGCCATATTCCCAGTCATCGGTCGCGACGCAGCAGCAGATGCACTCTCAGCCGCAAGCTCGGCCGCTAGGACTTCGCGCGCGGCCTTCTGGTTCAACCAACTCAAGTAGGTCTGCCAACCGACCGCAATGACTCCAGAGAAGACGTTGCGGAACTGCGCCGGCACGTACATGAAGCTAAAAGCTGTCACGGCCGGCCAGAGCTTGACACTGTTGGTGATGCTGACGGGGAGAGCCTTCTTCAGCCGCTCCCAGGTTTCTTCTAGAGTCGCGCCGGCCAGGAGGGAGTGCATGCTGAAGAAGTATGTGTTGAATACGGGCGTGAAGCACATCTGCTGGACGACAACCTTGGTCAAGACAGAGAGGATCTTAGATGGGTAGTTGAAGTGGTTATGGAGGAACATGAACCTAATGTCTCCAGGTCAGTCATCCGTATTGGATATATCAATGGTATAGGGTGCTCTATGGCAATATCACGTCGATGTTCACTCACCAGTTATATGACGGGATGCTGGACCCTGTTCCCACGATCAGGTGTCGCACCGTTCTCCATGGATCATATCCACCACGCCGCTCTTCCTTCTCATCCTCGTTTTTGGACTCATCCTGCTCGCCCTTTGCAGGCGGAGGTGCCTCTGAAGGGAAAAGGAATTGCGCGCTCAAGTCTCCGCATAGATAAATGACCACCGAACTGTACACCTGCGTCGTATAGGGCTTCCGCTCCTGCACGCGGGAATACCACCTCCCCAGCCGTCCCAACGGACCCTCGCTGATGATATTGCGTAGTCCCCTTTTGGCGACAGCATTCGCAGCAGCCGGTGTAGTCGCTGCACCTGCAGCGCCGGCAGCGGTATTCACTGGCTGGGCCGAGGGGGTAGCCGAGGGCGATTGTGACGGTGACGGGGATGAGGACGGGGCGTTCGACTGAGAGGGCTTCGTAGGCGCATTGCTGTTCACCGGCGACCCATCTTCAACGATCTTGCCTTCTGCAGGTGGTTCGGGCTTCGAGGGCTGCGAGGAATTGTGCCGGCGAGGTTGTCGCACTCGCCGCAGCGGTGATCGGACTCCGGGGGTGATCGGTCGCGGTCTCGCAAACGCAGACGCCTGAGCACCGAGTCCCTTCTGGAAGAGACTCATATCCAAGACTCAAGACAGGCGCATCTATGCTATACCGTCTGTCGTCTATTGTCTATCGTCGTGGGTGCTGACAAAAGAGAGTAACCCCCCGAAAAAGGCCGAGTTTATTTGGGGCGCTGCTCCGATGGTGGCGATAAGCACGAAAACAGCGATAAAACGGAAAGTATCTCCGGAACAAACAAGGGCGTCAAGAAATGGATATAACGTGAATGTATTGAAAAGAGAGTATAAACAGTCAATGAATGAACCGAAACTAATTTCCGATTAAAAATCAAACGGAGATACGAATCGCATAAGAAACTCGGCACTCGGATCGGGCGAATGCCGTGATTCGACTAAGCCTAACTCCGGCCTACCGAGATGTCTATCTACTTCCGAGAAGTATGAATTCGTGTTAAATAATGATCATTTCAATTATTTGAGCCATAACCAATACCGACTCCGGATCTATATGCAATGAGGCCAATAAATACATGAAGTCATCCCCACAGGGAGCAGGGTATAAAGATCAACAAAATGCGAACGGACAGTGATGCACCGCACGATGCAAAAACAGTGCGAATGATGGGTTAATAAGTACTATGATTATCGGAGGCGCGTGTATAGCGTTGGTTGTGTAGATTATTTGAAGGACTCGTGGGTGTTGACTCTATCAACGTCGTACGGGTTGCCTTCGTAGTTGGGTGTGCGGTGCGTTGTGCTCATCGAGGTGCGAGCCGACGTTGTCGAATGAGCACGGCTGCGGGTGCGCGCAGTCGTCGATGGTTCGTCAACAATGGAGTCGGACTCACTGGATACCGACCCATCTGGAGCAGGGGCTTCGGTGCGGTCGAACTTGACTTCCTCTTCCTCTTCGGGAGTGGCCTTGACCTGCTCCTGGATGTTCCGAATGAACTCCTCTGACTGGGCGGCGAACTTGCAGCGGGAACGGATTGCGGCACCGTACTTGTAAAATAGGAAGGGGAAGGGCACGCAGACGAGGGCCAAGAACGCGGGGATCGAGGAGGCCCAGTGGATACCCAGGTTCTGGTACATGTAGGAGGTGAACAGTGGGAAGGCGGCACCGAAGCAAGAACGCATGACTGAATTAGCGGCCAGGACAGAGGCGGCAAAGATGGTGTAGGCATCGATGAGATAGTTCATGATGCCGAGGAAGACTAGCACCATTCCGAATCCAAAGGGTACACCGGCCGCGATACTTGCCATGAAGTTGATGGAGGGGTAGTTGGTCCAAGCAAACCAAAACAAACCGACTGGAATTGCGATAGAAGCAATCAAGGTAGGTGGCAGACGGGCCTCGGGGGGTGCGAAACCGTCATGCTTGTCCTGGGTCTTGATATACCGCTTGTTGTCCCAGAGAGTGTAGATCACAGCAAGCAACATGCCAACCATGATACCCAAGAAAGCCAAGCCGCCGATACCCTGGCTCCAGCCACGTTGTTCCTGATAAACAATCGGGAAAGCGGCAAACATCATGTACAAGGTACCGTAAACGATAGCCATATACAGAGACAGCAGGAAGACAATGGGTTCGCGGAACAGAAGAATCCAGGGGCGAGACAAGGCGGTTTTGAACGAATCCTTGAGAGAAATCTTGCCCTGGTCAATTTCAACTTTGCTGCGGTAGACCTTGCCCGAAAGCTTGGAGAGCTTCTCAGCGCGGCGACGGAGAAGTACAGGCGCATAAGTCTCCGGGATCAGCAGAAAGCCCATGATCCAAACCGCTCCGGAAAAAGCGGCCAGGAAGCCCATAACCCATCTCCAGCCGGCGTTCATACCCAGAAAACCACCAATGATGGGACCAATCACCGGGCCTAAAAATGGCGCTGCAGCAAACAGGCTCATGGCGACACCACGCTGCTTGGCAGGGAACATATCAGCGATAACACCACCGGCGTTGGTGAGGGGCGAAGAGCCAAAGGCGCCGGCGAAGAAACGGAGGATGATCAGGGTCCAGGCATTCTGAGCACCTGCGGTGCCAGCATTGAATGCAGTGAGGGCGGCGTAGGTAGTGGCGAAGAGAACCTGACGACCGAACAGCTCACTCAAAGGAGCCCAAAGCAACGGACCGATCTGGAACATGTTAGTCATCGCCTTTTGAAAGCTTCACTTTGCGCCTCAGGAACAACTTACAGCAAAACCCAAGACAAAAAGCGACACGCCGAGCGTGGCCACTTCGTTTCCAATGCCGAATTGGCGTTCAATCTCTTCAACACCTCCAGTATAGGCTGAGGAGACCAGCGCCACAGCCAGTGTCGCAATAGCGACAAGCATCGTAAAGGACCACTTCTTCATTTCGCTGAAGTTCATGGGGTTGCGCGGGTCGTCAGGAATCCATGTCACGGCGTAGGGGTCGTCTTCTGTGCCGGAGCCGGGGTATGGGTAGTCGATGATTTCCTGAGTTACGACGCCCTGGTCAAAGACCAGACGGAAGTATGGAATCTTGGTGGGGGCAGAGTGCTCGATCTTTTCAGAACCATGCTTCTTGTCGTCGGCCGCCATGATGGGCGGAGCGTAGAGTATATAGACAGTCGACTCTTGTATTCAAACCGCGACAGGTGTCGACAGTGGAGGAAAGAGTGAAGAGCGCTCGTTGTGATGGGGACTCGAGACCCCAGAGTAGTCTGCTTGCGGGGTTGGCCGATGAGGGGAATAAAATATACCGGATTCAGAACGGGCTGGATGGCGTATGAGGGGCCGGGTGTAATTATGATTATGGAGGCAAATATGAATATTAAAATCCAAGTCAAGCTCAATTCCTGGCTATTGCCCCTTTTAATATGTGATCGGGATGAAAGCCAAGCACGTTATGGGGCCCTCGTGGCGCTTTTTTTTTTCTTGGTCATCCAGGATCCCAAGATCGGACGTACGCCGGTGTTAAGTATTAATAATTGGCATACACAAATTCTGCATATTTCTATGTACCAGCGCCAACGTAAAACACGGACTGTTGACCCGTCGTCCATGGGAAGGTGTCGTCGGGCTTGGGAGGGAAAAAAAATGGGGCGACGGACCCGATCCCGGTCTATAATTATTCAGACTCTGCACATCGAGGTCTAACCACCGAGATTTGGAAGATTCCGTCTTGTGAGAGCTCTTTCTATAAACCCGATCGCTTGAATTCATATCCTATTAGCCATAGGCGAGCAGGGGGGAAAATTCCAGGCAAAAAAATGACAGAACTATGATGAAAACGTCGATTTCGGAAATGGCACGTGAGCAGTTATGCCGCGCATAAAGCCACGAGGGTTTGTACACCGGATACTCGGCAAGTCCGTCATTGACATTCTGAAACACATCCTGCGGTCTACGAAACCGTCGCCAGCCTGATCAGAAAGAGTCACTCTATGCAGGAAACACACGGCGAAGCCTGGGATATTGATTGGTCTGATTTATAGTAGACTTAGTGATTCGCGCACTGCAGACATCGGATCGGTATGAGAAACTTGATGTATCCCAAGATTGCTCAGTTGCTTCGAAAGACGTATACTGAACTCGAGATGATCACGTCAGAACTCCAGAAGGTCACGTCAGAGCAAATTAAAGTCAAAGCTCCCCAGATTGATGCAAGGGCCACAGCCGTCTCCGAACCGTTACATGGCGGGTTGCCGGGTTTTACCTGCTTGGCTCCGAATCTCCGGCTTAGGCTGCAGCTTACTGCAGCAAAATTATAAATCATGCATGATTTTCCGTGGCTTTCCAGTGGGTCTTTTCCTTTCGGCGTGGTAATCGATCATCCTCGATCTTATGTCGATGCATTATACTGCATATTGTACTGTACTTATTTTAGCGTAGCCCCTTCATGATGTATCCCCCACCGACCGAACGCCCTAGAAGGCTCCCGCGATTATTAGGTGTCTCATCTTTCCCTTTTCTTTCCAGTGGACTTGCTCCTTGGTATTATATTTGAGAATGGATCGCGGAGTCGAGAGATCTGAATCGCGAACGCGGCCGATATATACTTCTGCGGCGGGGGTGGCCGCATGGACACAAAATACCAGCAGATTATATTGAACGTTGTTTTACCGTCCCAAAAATCACCTCAGAAGGCTCTAATCTTGTGAAGGCTGCTACATGCAGGTTTAGAGATCAATCATTCAAAGATTGGGCCGAGGATCAGAGGATATTGTCTCGAACAGACGCCCAAAATCTGGATGGTGGATGGGCGCCTGACCCCTAAGGCACGTAACAATCAAAGATCAGGAATCACTTCAAGTACATCCAGTTTATCCTAAGTATTGTATGACTCAGAGTGTAGATTAATTGACGTTACGCATCTTTCACATTGTCAGCAGACCTGAAAGTAATCCAGGCAGCCAACAACTTACAGTCAATCAGGAGACACGACGTGCCTCAACCCTCGATCAACAGATTCCTTTTGCCACCTGGATTTCCTTCACCCCGGACTACGCGCACAAAATATTTACGAATGCGCAACCAGACGGACAAATTCCTCAAACGTAAGCCCAAACACCGTATCTACACCGGCTAAAATCCCAAATTCGACACCCAAGTCTCGGATCAGGGACTATTCCGAATTCGCAGATCTGACCAAGGTTCGGCGACCGGAGCTGCCACAACCACAACCACGAAAGCGCCGGGGTGGCGAAGGGGCCGGGCCACAATCAACTTTTCGTCAGGGGGTGGTAAGGTCCCTTTTTGCCTCAGGCCATTGAGGCCATCGCTGATGCAGGGTCGTTCAGGTGGTGCCCCACTCGGTGGGCGCTGTTCATGAACTGCATGAAACTGAAGGTGGCATGATCTCGGTGGTAATGGGGGTTTATCGGTTCCAAACCGGTATTGAATGATTCCTTATAGGCAGTGGAATCACCCCATGTAGATTTATTCCCACGCCGACCACTGTAGCACAAAAGATCAGAGATTGAAAATCGAGTTCCCGTGTACATTTTCACTAAGAATGACGTCTAGCGACTGGGCCCAGATTCCGAGTCCCTGCAGCTGCAAGGTCCAAGCCACTGAGACCGATGCCCTGCTCAGTGAGTGTGATTGCCTTCGGTGATCCTGGCAGTATGAATGTCTGCATACTGAGACGGTCGTGAATCCACGGCTGCCTGGACATGCGTTCTCGTTGCGGTCGCGCGGCAGCGAGCGGCGGGCATGGGGAGGAACCCCTCGATACCGGTGTCGCGAGGGCAATGATCTTGAAACAGTGCCTGAAGATCAATGAAGCCTGTGCAGTATAACCTGTTTAGGGACTTGGATCCGGAGTTCTGCGTAGACTCTGAGGGCCACGGTTGGAGTGGATAAGGGGCGTCGGCGATTCCTGTATAGCCTCATGATTGCAGTGTCAGTTGTAGATACTGGTGCCACGCCGAGGAAATCGTATGATGATTTGTGGTCATGAGTGTCGCACTACGACCGAGTACACAGAAATCCATTGTAGATACGACGCGCTACAGGCACGCAACCTTCCAAGGCGAGCACCCGCACGCCGATGGCTAGGGATACGACACGACCACACGCAGTTAAACAAACACGACCGCGTCAAATCAAAACAACGCGCCCTAGTGGTTTGCAGTTTCTTTTTACGAAGATACGGGGAAGAAATGGGTTGAATCATAGAAGATCGCATTTCAGCGTCTATGTCATGAGATGGCGCGCGCTAAGGCGCCATGTTAATAACCTTTAATGTACACTCATGACTTCCATATCACCGGGGCCCCAGCGAAAAATGGCAAGTAGCATTGATCACGCGAGTGAAGAAAAAGCAAAATTCAGAAACAACCCGGTTCCGAGACCCATTTGATATTTGAAAGCAAACCCATCATGTTAATCGCCGATAGTCATGAAAAAAGCAGAAACCCCGTATCGCCATCCCGGAAGTGTCAAGAAAAACAACTGCCCATTAGAGAAATCTAAGAGCGCTCGCCACGGAGGCGGCGGGCCAGCTGGATGTCCTTGGACTGGATGGTGACACGCTTGGCGTGGATGGCGCACAGGTTGGTGTCCTCGAACAGGGAGACGAGGTAGGCCTCAACGGACTCCTGGAGAGCACCGATGGCGGAGGACTGGAAGCGGAGATCGGACTTGAAGTCCTGGGCGATCTCACGGACCAGACGCTGGAAGGGGAGCTTGCGGATCAGAAGCTCGGTGGACTTCTGGTAGCGACGGATCTCACGGAGAGCGACGGTACCTGGAGATGTTCATTAGAATGGATACAGGTGGTTGGTGGATAGGCTGATGACATACCGGGCTTGTAGCGGTGAGGCTTCTTGACACCTCCGGTGGAGGGGGCGGCCTTGCGGGCAGCCTTGGAGGCGAGCTGCTTACGGGGAGCCTTGCCACCAGTGGACTTACCTGAGAGGAAGTCAGCATCGTGTTGTTGTGGGTGGAGTGAGGCGCGTCACGCGTTGACGCGACCAGTCGAAGTGGAGGTGACCCGATCGGGAACCACCACCTCTCAAGGGAGCGACAGCGACAGTGAGGTGAAGAAGGACTTACGGGCAGTCTGCTTGGTACGGGCCATCTTTTCAAATTAAGATTCGATGGAATCTGATGAAGATTTGATGGAAAATGAAGTTTGGTGATAAAGGTGGTTGTCGATGGTGGATGGAGGAGGGAAGTTGGAAGTGGGTGGGGGATGGTATTTGTACTGGGAACGAGGGGTGGTGATCTGGCACTGAGCGGGACGGCGAATCAGATCAATGCCTTGCGGATCACCGAAAGTGCGCGCGCCGCTGCGTCTTTTGTTCCGGACACTTGATTGGCCCACCCCGAGTACCTAAGCGAGGATACATGCCCCGGCCAATCAGAGCCGAGGATCAGGCTTGTAGAATGCCATCCTGCCCTTTCTTTGATCTCCATTACTAGGGAGGCTGGGAGGCTGATCCGAAGGGTCTACGGCATTTGCCAGGTGAAGGGAATGCACTCCGATGGGGTTTCTGATCTTGATCATCATGGCAAGGGCCAACCCGAATCACGATCAGAATGCAACCGCGGCCCTGAGGCATCTCGGCCTGGGGCATCCGGCAGATCACGCCAGCCGGTCGGATCCTGCATTCCCATTGGCCGATCCACCCGTTAGCGTGTGATTCCAACTCCCCGCGCTTCCGTCGCCCTTTCATACAAATATCCTCTGCCCCATTCCCTCCTTGACTTTCCCCCTCAACCATCAATCGACGACAACTTTGACTTCAAGTCTTCTCCACTTTCTCCCAACTTTCAACCTTTAAATTCCATCAACATGTCTGGCCGTAAGTTGCTCAACGTTCTCATCTCTCCGTACGACGCGTCTTTTCTAACGCGTTCTCTCTTCAGGTGGAAAGGGTGGCAAGGGTCTCGGCAAGGGTGGCGCCAAGCGTCACCGCAAGATCTTGCGTGACAACATCCAGGGTATCACTAAGCCCGCTATCCGCCGTCTCGCTCGTCGTGGTGGTGTCAAGCGTATCTCCGCCATGATCTACGAGGAGACCCGTGGTGTCCTCAAGACCTTCCTCGAGGGTGTCATCCGTGACGCTGTCACCTACACTGAGCACGCCAAGCGCAAGACCGTCACCTCTCTCGACGTTGTCTACGCTCTCAAGCGCCAGGGCCGTACCCTCTACGGTTTCGGTGGTTAAGCGTTGTCTGTCTGTTCACTTTTTTTCCGGGCTTCACGGTATGATGGGACGTTGGGGTGTTCTCTGATTTTTTACAATCGTCATGGGTCTCTGGGTTTGCTTTTTTTACACGACTACCAATTTTTGCGTCCGCTGGGCCATCCTGTATCATAGCGGCCTTTTCCAATACGGCTGGCACCTAAACGGTGGGATCAAACTTGATCCGATACGAATACAATTACTCAAACATTCAAGAAATCCATCTTTTTTCTCGTGTAAAATGGTATTCTGTAATCTTCACGCGTTGTTGTGTTTCTCTGGTGCTGTTTACCTTCGCGTTTGACGCGTCTGGTTTCCTGGTGTCCGGGTCCACTCTGGCATGGTCAACCATCAACTTCTAGTAGTTAACTCCATATCGCAGAAATAATGAGATGTCTTCCCGTCCTTGATCTTCCCGTTTACTTCCTCGCTCTGTATCGTAGTCTGTAGTTGACTTTCGCCCCGTTTCCCGGTGTGCGTCTTGTGCGAATGAATCTGTAGTCTCGGCATGGCCATGGGCATGAACTTGTTGATTTTATCGCTTCTGCCTTATAATTCATTATTAAAACTTCAAATTACTGTTTTCTGGATCCGTATCATTGTGTATTGGCGGTTTGGCATGCATCAGTTGACCATTTATTAGTGACCATTGCTTTGGTTGGGAAGATGGTAGGGGTATGTAATGCGGATATATATTACTACTATTTAGAACACAACTTTCTTATTCAAAATCCCCTATATTTGTCAAAATCACGAAAGAATGCACCCAAAGATAGATGATAACCACATGTACTGAGCGACGTGTTTAAGAAAGTCGAAGTATCCAATATGTTGCGGTGGGAGGCGGTTGAATTGCAGCATCCGGGTTGAACCCCCTCGAGGGGTTCAACTGGGGTTCAACTTTTCTTGGCACCGCCGGGACAACCGTGCAGCCCACCGCCCACTCTTTACCTACACAGACCAAAGGGCGATCCAAATAAATAACAGCTGCTGTACTATACTACCAAGCGAGTTTATCTGCCATGCCCGGTCAACTTATCCACAGCGATAGTGGTGTTGTGTTCATGCCGACCGTACTGAACAGCACGGCTACCAGTGAACCATCCTGGCACAACACACAGCGCAGCGCAACGGACACCCAGTGACATACCGGCAGCCGGGATTTAACAGCACAGTGCCTCGAAGTGAATTCAGGACCATGTCAGCTGCACTAGAAATGTGTAAAATGTGCCTCTGCATGCACTCGACATCGTCACTGGCCCGGCTCTACAAAACACCACACCCAACTGATCTAATTCGACAAGGTTGACCTACACGTTCGAGATTAGCGTGCCACTGCAGTACTCACGAGGGAAACATGGGGAGCTAATCATGACTCGCTATCGCTCGAGACCCTTGACAAGACTCGGCACTCCGTGAACTCAGTACTTACGACACCCTCTCGAAGCCAGCAGATCGTGATCGAATAGGAATCTCATCCGGAAACCACTGAAAATAGCACAACGACCATACAAATTCACAATCACAATCACAATCACAGACACAGAAAGCCTGCCTGGGCCTAGAGGACGACGAAAATATCTACACACTCGAAGGTAAAAGAGTCGTGGGCCTACCAAGTTGCCCCCGTTTCCAGTGGCCAGCTGCTGCCTCCTATACCTATGATCGTATGGTGCCTCCACAGAAATATGGAACTAGTACGATACGTCTCTAGATATACCAAACAGACTGGCCGAAAGAGCCTGGGCCGAAGCAACATATCGAGGTCTCGCCATTTACTTGAATGGCTTCATCGACAATGGGTCCTCAAGCGACTACGCCCACTTTACTAACCTCCGTGAGATCCGGGCCACAATTTAGCATCCAGCTGATCTACTCCATATGCACGAATCTCCTTCGCCAGCGTCGACTTTCTCGAATTGCATCCGTTGACCGCGGCAACTCGAATGGTACCAGGTATACACAGGCCACGACGGGCGCCATACCAAGCCGTACGGGCAGACTGCCGTGTAACAGCAGCCTCAGCACCGGACATACCTGCTACCTCGTCACCCGATCACAGATGTTGACCGTGGGTACTTCATACTTCAAGAGTAACATTTCCGAGACCCATCCCACAGTACTAAGGAAACCTACATCCTCCACCGCACAGAATCGTATAAGAGCCTCACAAGTCTCCCCAAAGCAATTATCTTTCGAAGAGACACCAAATATTTCTTGAAAAAGTCCGCCAGGATGTTGCTCTCAAGATGAGTCATACATGAAACGCCCCGGTCATTCCAGGGCCCCTCAGGTGCGGTTCAAGGTTGGTGATCTGACCTCAGACCAACTCTCCAGGCCCATGAATGGTGATTTTCTCCGAGCGAACCGATCCACCGTTACTGACGGCCGACTGAAAGCCTACCATGACGGGTGAAGAGATGTTGCATTCCAACCCAGAAGGACACCGACAACGCGCGCGAACGTCAAAGTCAAGTGCTGGTCGCCATTTACACGTCAAACCCGAACAAGCAACACATAAGAGAACTGAACCACCGCGCAAACAAAAAGTATGAAAGAATGGAACAAGCCCGCTGTCAGCAGATGATGAACATGACTGCCAGGCAGCAGCAACTAAGCCAGGTCACCAATACACGGAGTACCAACTCTAATGGAACTCCGTTACCACAATAAACGAACCGGATACGGGACTGGTTCGCTCCTCGTACGATGAGATTTCCGTTAGAAAATCTAACGATATTGGCTTCATCGGATCCAAACCGCCGTGAACTGTGGCCTACGAAACAGCCTGCAGTCAAGGTACCTTCGACACAGCGGAGTCTGTCGTCTCACAAGAGAACATCTTGCCGGCTTTACTACACCACGGCCTAAAGCTTGCACTAAGATCAGGTGACGCTGATGTAGCCTGGACCCTACGTGTTAGCGGTGTACGCATCGTCCGCCAAACACCACTGCACATATTGGACGTACCAGCAAACTTTCAGACCATGCTCTCCGAAACCCTGAAACAGCATGGCTAGACACCAAATACACCGGGTGGTTACGGAGCTACCCTGCTACCCAAGATTACAACCAATCCCTCACTCCTACGCTGGTTCCTCGCCAACGGCGCGAATCCGAATCTCGGCGCGCAGAGGTTCAACTGTGATCGGAACAGCGACTCCGATCCCTCATTATGTGCCGTGCTCGAGGCGGCTGCTACGCACGGTAGCGTGGAAGTAGTGCAGATGCTCCTCGACACAGGCGCAGAGATAAAAAACGGAGTGCCATTACATTACGCTGCAGGCGCATATCCACTCGGTGCAAGTACACGCGAAGTTGCAAGAAAGGAATTTGACATGGGCCGGATACCAGTAATGCCATTGCATTAATAGTGCAACATGGTGCAGATGTGAATCAGAGGGGAGACTCTGTGCTCGTGAAGCATCATGCGATTATGTACGCAGGTATGGCGAAGGCTGTGGAGAGAGTGCGGTGGCTTCTTGAACATGGAGCTGATCCGGAGGCGAGGGGGGATTGGGGTAGTGCGGCGGACCACGCGGCTGCTATGAGGAGTGAGTAGATGAAGAGGGCTGTCGAGGAGAGCATTCGGATTGAGAGGAGTGTTCATGGACTCGCGGGAAAGTTGCTTGTTTTTTGGACGAGCCCGAGTGCTGGGTAGGGTATTATGGTTTGATGGGTTATGGGGTGACTACAGAATTGTGTTTGATAGCTATTTACATGCAGAGCAAGATCTCATATTTCTTCATTTCGTTTGGCGCTCTGGAGGAAGCACATTACTATAGTACCGTGCCATAGGTTGAGAAGTTAATAGGACGGGCAGTTCTGCCATCTCGGATCCGTCCAGATCAAGAGCCTTCATTTCCGTATTTTGATATCAACCGGTCTCAAACAAGTATTCTAAAAACACGTATATCAAGCCTCAACAAAACTGTAGGTTATACATACAACCCAACCTCCTAAAAATAGACCGTTACACCACACCACTACCCACATTATACAGTAAAACAAAGGCCCCACCAAGGCTTACGAGCGCTAAACTGAAAACGGTAAATAGTTCGTCGCTGAGTCACCCGCGCACCGCCACATACATAATCAAACATACAACATACAGCAGCCCCATAAAAACAGTTATCGATAAGGCCGCCCTCCGTAAAGGCCATACCAAAAGGGTTCCACCGCCGATCACAAGCCACACACTTCACGATATCCACAGTGGACCCCGTTGTATGACACCCTCATTTTAAAGGCCTGACATACTACCGTCCAACCGTTCGTTGCAACTTTGTCCTTCTTCGAGCCTCGGTTTCCGTTTTGCTTCATTTTCTAGCTAATTCACTATCTAGCTAATAGGATCGCATTCAGACCGAGAACGGGTCCCGTTCCACACCAGTTATCGCGTCTCATTATTGCGGCTGCGTATCTTGGAGTACATCTTCCCGTCTAAGGAAATTCAATTGCATATCTTTTTGGTCATCCGTTATCTACAAATGCACAGGAAAGCAAGATTCATTCAATCCAAGGAAAGTCATTCTCCCATTCTTCCCAGTTATGCCCAATTGAAATGAGTTCAAGATGATTTCATAGGACTGAACACCAGGCCTAACCTGCTCCTAGGTTCCCTCCTGACCTATGTAGTAACCGGGGAAGGGGCCCCCCGCATGCTCCATTTGGACACGAGCCAAAATCGGCGGATGACGAACGCTTGATGGGGCTTCATATGGGGTGCAAGCCATGCCCCACTTGTGGGGGGCATCCCTTCCCGTTTCAGGAGGTAGCAGGGGTAGCTACAGTGCAGGTTCATTCGGGGGCCGTAGTGGAGATCGATTGGAGGGGGGGAGGATGGAGAGAGAGCGGAGTTGGGTGTTTTGGGTTCTCGTGCCGCTGGCCGCGGGCGCGCTAGCGAGGTGATCTGTGCAGGTGGATTTGTCCCATTGTATCTTTGCGGTGGATAGGGTGTTTCAAGTAGATCTCAAAGTACGTATTTTGGCCCGAGTACCTTGTTTACATATATAGATGTACATTGGACAAGGCTTCGCGTTGGATAGAAAGCTGGAGTGGAGTATTACCCCCAGAATGGACCCCTCGCCGTGGGTAGATAGATTTACTGTGTTACCCGTGCTACGAGAAAAGAAACAAAGTTGCCAGTTGAAGTTGAAGTTGAAGTTGAAGTATTCACTAATTGTATAAGCTATACTCTCCGTAGTCCATAATGTACATTATTTTTTGTCCATACTATACAAGCAAGACTGTAATTGGAGCACAAAAAACCCATGTACAATACCACCGCCCGAAAACAACACCAAGAGCCAATGCAGAAGGGAATCGCGAATCGCATGCAAAAAGACATAATCACGTCAAATCGTACAGGGTTTGATAATAATACATCGAAAATGGGGTTCGTAACAGACATGAAAAGTTGCAAAGGGAAAGAAACACAAAAGACAGGCCGTACGTGTGAATACCTGCCTTGTTTTTTTTTAGTGTTTCAAGACATCATAGAAATGTGCCAGGATCAAAAATTGCGCCAAGGGCCGCACACGTCAAGGTAGGGGGAGCATCCCTACGGAGCGCAATCCTCGTCATTGCATTGAGATCGACGACGTACGGACGACGTACAGTCGACGTCATTGACGTCAGTGGGCGTGTGCGCTGACGAATCACGGTTGGGAACCGAGCCGGGGTCGCGAGTCCCACCTGAGTGGGTCTCGGGATGCGGATTGGAGACGAATCGGGTATGACGTCACCGCCATACTGATCGCGATCATTTCGAGCTCTCACTTCGAGCTCTCATTTCGAGCTCTCCGTTAGCCACGGCGACGCTGCTTGCCGGGCCAGTCCACTTCGGGATGGACAACGCGCATATGACGTGTAAGGGCATCGTTGCGGCTAAAGGTTTTCTCTTCGGTACACAGATGGCACCGGACCTTAAGCTTCCGTGCATTGTGGATCGTGTCTTCGTGGCGGGTCAAATCGTAGGGCCGCGAGAAGATCGAATTGCACGGCTTGCCAGTAGACGGGTTGATGCGCTCGCACTTATGAGGGCCGGCCTGAGAGTTGCGCAGCGAAGTATCGCGGGTAATCAAGTGACCGCCAGGAGTAGTCTGGCGGTGGGCCTCGCGTTTGTGGCGCTGAAGCTTCGAAGGAGACTCGAATCGGAGGCTGCAGCCGTGGTAGGTGCAAGTGTAGGTACCGGCATCTGATGAGGTATTGCTCGGGCGAGTAATACCCTCGGAAACAGGCAGCTTCGCGTGTGCGTGAGGAGTCATATCCGTAGAGGAATGCCCGCTGGATTCGTATTGAGGTAGCGACGCAGGGAACTCAGCCTGTTGCATCATCGGCTGTCGCTGAGTCTGCTGAGGGTATCCGAACTGGGGCTGCTGCGCCGTAGCGTACTGGGCAGGGAATGCATCCATTGAGGTCATGTTCTGCGGAAGGCGCATCGAGCCGGAGCTTTCGCGGCGCAGACCGAGAGCATCACCCAAGTTGAAGTCTCCCTGGCCCGGGGTGAAGAGAGGAGGCATGGCAGCATCATCATTCTCGTTGAAATCCAAGACGGCGTCCTTGGGGGACATGGTCTTGATTTCACCCGGGTTGCCAGAGGGCATGCCCATGCCATTCTGACTCATGCCGTTCTGACCCATGGGGACACTGGTGGCCATCTGGGACTGGAGAGTAGGACCATTCATATCACCCGCGAACGGAGAAGTCGCACGGAAGGGAGAATGATCGCGCTTCATGCTGCCCAGAGGGGATCCAGAACGAGAAGTCAAGTGGCCCTGGTTAGCAGCATTGAGTCGGTCGGCGATGACATTGCGCGGGGTCAGAAGGTTCTGGTTCATCGGCTTGGTAATTTGAGGAGCTGCCATGATGGTGGGGTTGTACAGCTCGTCCTGGTAGATATCGGAAATGGTGCGGTTCAGCTTGGGGATGCCGATCATGCCACCGTTGCCGTTGGCGTATTCTGCATCAAAGCGTAAGTAATCGTCCATCCATCGGTCAACGTCAAGAGATCGGTTCTCACCATTGGTCATCTTCGACTCGTCGATCTCCTCCAGGCTGTTCTGCGGGGTGACCGGGGAGTTATGACTCAGGGTAGAAACCGACGGAGCCAGGGAGTACTCGCTCTGCTGCTGCTGCGAAGGGGAAGACTGGGACTTCTGTTGCTGATCCAAGATGGCCTTTCTCATAGCAGACTCGGCTTCGGCGTGACTACCATCGTGGTGCGATGGATCGTAGTTCTGGAAGGGAGCAGCCAAGAAAGAGCTCTGGATCGGCGTCTGTGAAGGCGTGGGCAGCGGCTTGGAGTTGCTGGCGGATCGTCGGTGAGCGTTGACGTTGGGCGAGACCGGGTGACCGGAAGGAGCAGACCGCGAGGACGCTGAACCAGGCGAGGGCTTCTGAGGGAATGGGATGCGTGCAGGGCTCAGCAGTTGCAGGTTGCCGTCCCAACCCTGGTTGCTGGCGATGGGATGTTGGGCCAACATGGACGTATAGTACTGCTGGTATTGCGGGAGAAACTGCTGCGAAGGCGAGGCGGAGCCTTGGATGTCAAAAGACGGGTTGTAGGAGGAAGCAGGGGTCATCGAAGGAGCCCCGAAAGACTGACTGTCCGCCTGGGGGTAGGGAATCGAGAAGGTCGGGGAAGAGAAGGCGGGAGAGGAAGGCGCGGAAGACGGCGGAGAGGCGAACTGTGGTTGGTAATGGAAAGGTGACTCCAGAGAAGATTGCTGATATTGCAAAGAGTTCTCGTCAAAGCCCGGAGGGTATTGATCGTCTTGTATGATGATGTCCTCTGAGTTGTATGGATCGGTGATGAGATCCTTACGTGGATACATAAGCATAATGGTATCACGTATAGGACGTCAGAGGGTGGATAAAGAAGTGTTGCCACCGGGGGGAGGCAAGCTTTTATAGGAGCGGCTCAGTTTCCGAGAAATCCGTGGGCGATTGTGGCCGTGCCAACCGGTGGTCTGGGAAAAACCCTGAAGTCTGGATCGAAGTTTGAGAAGAATCTGGAAACCTCGAGAGGCTCGTGACGAATCGAATGGTTGATGGTGAACTTTAATGGACCGGTAGGGTCGATAGTCTGGTTCTGAAGGATGACTCGATCGGAGGTGGGATGAGTCGGAGAGAAAGATGTGAGGTGATTATCAATAATGATCAAGAGTCTATAAAGTAACGGAGCGCTATGGAAGGGAATGGGGGGCTTTCTAAGATATAAGTACTAATGACGTCTTAAGCGCCAATCGGCGAACCCGCAAAAATCCCATTTATTTCATGGCATTTTCCGTAACGTAACGTTCCTTATCAGGCACTAGCGTGTATTCGTACTCGACCGAAATAATACCGCGCGAATACGACCGGTCTCGGGCCCGCTTTTTTTCATGATCGCCATACTTCCCTCCAGCCCTTGCTCTCCGGTGGATTGGTGGCTTTCGTTCGGGGCCAGCCACGGCCCACTGCTTTGTATCCTCAGGTAATGTTATTGGGCTGAAGATAAAAAGATGTGCATTGCTGAACGCACGAAACAAAAAACAGTGCTGCCTTCCCGAGGAGTCATATGTCTCGCTACAAAGGCTCGGATGCCGTCGCTTAGAAACACTAGCTTGAAAAAACTCTGCGTGGAGCATGAACATGCTTCGGCCAAATCTAGGACTAGCTCTCGATCGCCCATTTTTAGCCTGTAGGGCTGCTGTGCCACACCTTGTTGGTGAACCCGTGACCCGGCCCACATTCCGCCGTCGGGCCTTTCTGCCGAGGTCCCTTTCTACGTACATCTACGTACGGTGCAGCACATACTAGCCACGACGCACGACTGCGCCACCATCCCAGCACATTTGGGCTGCCGCATTCCTCTGAGGAAGCTGTTTCTGGCAGGTGGTTGTGAAAACGTCGGACAGCACGGAGTGATCTGTATCCGACATACCGTCACGTGTGGGTTCGCTTACAGAGGCCAAGCCCTCCCAAGTCTCTCTATCTCCAGATGCGAACGACCAAACCGTGGTCAGCGACCCCGTGACTCCCTCCAGTCATACCATATGGTCAGCTGACTCGGTCGGCTCCGTTACTAGTAGATAGCGCGATCGAAGACAATGGTGAGACAACTTCGGCTAGGAGACCCTGAATCTATCCTAGGTCCGGGGTTTTTGGTCACACGGCCATGGGCTGACGGTGTCTTCCCTCGGTTGCTTTGTTGCTATTGATTACGGTATGACTATACACCCGTGTGAATAAAAAAAAAAATAAGAAAATAAGAAAATAAGAAAATAAGAAGCGTATAAAATACAAGGAACGGGAAACTGGAAACAACAGCATTGACATACCGTTGGGAAGCCACCAAAAAAATCTGCCCGACCTCTGCTCGGACAACTGACTGCGTGAACTAAGATTTGTGACTAGCACCCACTAGCGTGGGACCTTGAGTGCTGAACAACACGAGGTCCGAGTAACACGGGGGATTGTGGGTTACGGCTACCTAGCGTACATGGTCTGCATGGTCGGTGTTGTCGTGACAGATCGGGTGAATAGGCGCATCTCAGGTTTCGGGAGGTCCGAGAGCCGACCGGAGATATCCCACATCTCGTCCGAAATGTCCTGCACTGACTTGGGAAAGACCATTTGTAATACGACCGGTAATCATAGTCACCAGACACAGGGCCAAGGATGTCCAACAAAGACGATTCTACTGTGTTCTGGATAAGGCAGGCTCGGCTTAAGGATACCGAACTGGGTCCGGGGTGCCGTGCGAACCGAAGAGTCTGGACCCTCTTAACGCCGAACACCCTAGGAAAGTAGTTCGGGATTCCAGACAGCTTGGCATTTCGCGACCGAGTGTTATTCTTGGACAGAAAACGTGGTCGCGTCCGGGGAAGTGGCAATTCTCTACACAGACCCCCCACCGCGGAGACACTGTCTTGGTACACCCGACGAACAAACCACGTATTGCGTATTGCCTAAAATGGGCATCGGATATGCCCAAGACGACCTTCTTATTTGGGAAGTAGACACATGGTCAGAATCAGCTCACGTCTGTACGTGGCACGCGAGCCCCTGCAGCAGCAGAGGGAAAAAATTTTCATCAGTCAGCACCTTAATCGGGGCTAAGGGTGCCGCGAGCCCTGCCAGATTTTCCTGCACGATCAGAATTAGAACAGGCTAATGCGGCAGAGATTTTTTCCATTGCAAATTATTGGCCGAGAAGGGTTTGTACAGCACTGCCACACGCTCGGTACGGCCGATTACGCCGCTAAGGAAATGTGACGGTCGCACTAAAGGCTTCTGGAATCCTTCCCAGAAGCCCCTAGTGCCGAGCTGCCGGAGGATGGAATGTACTCCGTTGAGGAAATTTTTTCAAACTTTCCTCAACATTCCGTGTTACATCTGGCGTGCGTAATCTACGACTCGTGTTGGATGAACGCTAGGCTCACTGTGCTCCGTTCTACCTTTGGCATTCCCGACTCCACCCGGACTCGTGGTGATCCGTGCAATACGCCAGGGCTGAGGTATATTTCTAATGTTTTTGTAAACAATCCTTGGGGTGACTCTTGTTGAGAAATCCTCGTTGACTCATATTTTTGGAAACCCGGAGATGCATTCTGGAACATGATCGACATGAGTCTCAGCAAGGGATGTTGAATACCGGCGTGGTTGCCTACCATGTGTACTGTCTATCACGATTGAAACACGGCCAGAGTTGGTCCTACGGTACGAGCGAGACAGCCTCGTTTCGGAGTTCGACGCTGTTTTCGGAGACTCGAGGATTACCATACGGCGGAATCCCCAGCCGGCTTGCGTGTCTCTGATCATCTGAAACTTGATTGGAGCCAACTCGAAACTAGCTCACCCCAATCACGCCCAGATATCCCGGTATCCTGGATACCTCCAAATCGCTAATGTCTGATAGGATTAGACTCGGGTAGATCTGTGTGGCGTGCGAGACTCGTCGGCTAATCCACATCCACTTTTATCCGGCCTGCAACGTGTTAACAGCTGTAGCTGAAAATCGACGTGCAGGCTGCAGTCTATGTCTGAACCATGGGGAGCTGAGCGTATGCTTGGCAGTTGGGGGGTTTTTTGGCGAGATTGACGACGAGTCCGAGCTCGTGAGTTCAAAACGTGTTGTGTTTCATTTCTGTACAGGTCTTGAATGATGTCCGAGGCTCCACCGGGGCCGGCAGTCGATCCATGGTAGAAGAGCCTCATCTGGGGACCCATATGCCTAAAGACACATTGCAAGAGAACAGCTATGATGAATTGCTGCTAGATGTTATCGATCTTGGTCAGTGGATGCAGCTCACGGTACTGGAATAACTGTAGGCATTAGCATGCAATGACCTAGAGACTTACCAATTGTCTCTTTTTGTATGACGCCGGTGAGGGCGGGAAGCCAGGCCGACCACCGAGGTGCGGAATATTTGGCTAGAGAAGCGCGCAACTTAGGATTCGAGAGCTGACATACGAGTGAAGCGCTTGCTGCAGTTGTTGGGCCAATCTCCTCGTATCGGCCATTGATGCTAGAGGAGCTCTCCAGGCATGCGAGGTGTGGTAAAGATCGTCGACATCTGGTTTGAGGCTCGGCGAAAAAATTGTCCCTTGTTGTTGGAGACAACGGATCTTAATAAGCGAGAGGAATGAGAGGAGATGAGTTCAGCGCAGGGTGGTGATGTGACGACTGGGCTTTTGATCGGGAAGTCGTCCGTGGGTAGAGCAGGCAGGGTCAGAACTTTCCATGAAAGCATGACTCAATCCTCAGAGACATCTGCTATGCGAGACACTCCTGACTCCATCACCACAACGCAGACAGTAGAGCTTCAAGTACTTAGCCACGCACGCATATAATAACTAAATTTCAAAGACATTGTCCCACCAAGTGTTTTTGCATATAAGGGAATAAGATTGATACAACGAGCGTGTATATAACCGGGTATCCCAGCACTTTAACAAAAACGAAAGAAAAGGTATCTCGAAAAGAACCGAAACCCCAATATGGAAAAGATTACCTCAAAAAGCCCCTAGTCAACTGACGAGCCCGCTCGCCAGACGAATCCAAGGGCTCAGTCGACTCGATCGTAGTCTCGATCTCCGTCTGCGTGAAGATCTTACCGTCAGGGACGATGATGCGCTCCTCGCTGGAGTTATCTGCCATGGTACCAATCCGAGTTCCCGTAGTAATATCCCCATTTTCATTCATAGTACCCATGGTAATATTGGCGGGGTCCGTGACCTTCGCGAAGCCGGATCCGTAGCGTCGGGCAGCACCGGTGCTGGACCAGGGGCCGTAGTATTTCCTTCCGCTGCTGTACTCCCCAATGAAGCGGGGCATGAAGCGTGAGGCGATGGCTTTGAAGGATGGGATGGAGGCCGCGAGGATACCGACATTGGTTTCAATTACGGACCAGTACATCGCACCGCTGATGGCGTAGGTAAAGTCTGAAGAGCTGAGCATCGCGGGGATGTAGGTGATTCGGATGATGGAGGAGACGCAGGCACTAGAGGGTTGTTTGTTAGGTATGGAAGTGTGGACGGGGATTGAGGAGCTTACAAGAGACCCAGGCAGAGAATGAAGCCAAGGGCGATCTTTTGCTTGTGAGGCATCTGGAGCTTGAAGATGACTCGTACAGGGAGAGTGTAGGTCAGGAGATCCGTCAAAATGTTGAGAGCGGCGTTGGCGAGGTAGAAAATGTTAATGTTGACGCATTTTCCGGGGCCAGTGCCGGTCCAGGCCATCCTGATGGGCTGGCACTGGAAGGCTGCGACGAGAACGAAGGAGGTGGCTTGACAGATGATGACGCCCATCATCACATAGAATATGCGGGTGAGGACACGGTCTCCCAGTCTGGTGTAGAACCACAAGGCAGATGTCTTGACGAAGCCCAGACAAGCCAGGTAGAGCATCGAACTCAGCCAGACGGCCTATGGAAGGTCAATATAGAGGAAATGGATGTAAAGAAGGGTCTCGTACAAATGAATAGTCCATAAGCTTGGACTTATCGGTATACTTGTAGTGTTGGCCAAGTCCGTTTTGAACCGCTTTACGTCGTCACATCCATGTCCGTGAAGTGCAGAGACAGGACACTTACCGGCAATAGTGGCAGCAATGAATGCCCACGCCAAAAGCTGTCTCTGTTAGTTGATGCTGGATAGATTGAAAGAAGTGCTGTCTTACACAAGCCGCAATGATGAGATCTACAGATCCTGATTAGCATAGTTTTCCTAAGGAGTATAGGTGATAGCTTACAGTCGTCAAGACCCATCTTGCCGAGCACGTACATGCGTGCAAAGAGTCGCAGAGACAAGACAATAAACGTCAGGATGGCAAATGCAATACAAATGCCTATCACGACGGGGCCTTGGGAACCATGATCGCCCGCCATGGTGAAGAAAACGAATGAATGTGCGAATGCAAATCAAGTCAATGACCCTGTCGAATTGGTTGCATGGAACATGCTCTCTCGTCTTTAGAAAAGGTGTCACCAGGACAAAAACAAAAGACAGCAGGCATCAAAAACATACAACAACTGAAGGAAAACGGGGAGATAAAACCGAGAACAAAAACACGAGCGCAAGTGCCACCGTTCATATTTATCACGAGCCCACAGGCCTCTGGGGACCTCTCACAATGGTCCGCATAGGCTAGTGAGGAATTGGTACATGTTCCTAGTATCTTCCAGATCCACAGTACCCCGATAGCTTCGGTAACGGCTGAACCGCAGTGGGGATAGAAAGGATGTGCAAGGCCCTGCCCGAAGAAGGCAAAAGAGGCCAGGTCTCATAGTAAAGCAAATCAGCCGTACCAATGTCCAGTCGCTCTCGCAGTCGAGGAGAAAAGTGCTGGTGGAGACAGCGAAGCATCAGACCTGATTTGCCATCCAGACGCGGATGATTTAGCCCAGATCCCCGAGCTGTGCAGACTGCGACGCCGGACCCGTCCTTGTCCAAGAGCTGTCCGGAAATCTTGTTTGAAAAACCTCCACAAAAAGCGTCTGGATTGGTTCACAGACCCGAGTAGGCCATGGCTGCAGGGGTTGATTCAACGTCTCGTGTTTGTGTCGATCACGTATTGAGTCCAGGGTCAAGTTGTGTGCCTCAAGATCATACTACGGAGGACTCCATAAATGGCATCGAGGAACACGAGCCCAGGGGGTTAGACTACGCTACTTTGCTACTAGTCACCGATGTACGATGTCCATCTCGATTTCGGCGCGATCGCATCGAAGGGAAACCAAAAAAAAAGCAAGTACAACGGTGCATGCGTGGGTCTCGGGTTATCAAACCGAAAACGAATGTGCCGATCTGCCCTGCGTGTACTTATTTTCATCTTTTTATCTCGATGGGAATCTGGGAGAGACGATGATCTTAATTATATGTGCAACGAAGTAGGAAACAGCCTTTCGAACCACGCGGCACTAAACTTCAAGTGACAGGACGCCGCGACGAGTTTAAAGTCTGTGCCAAAATAATTGGGGCCCTTAGACTTCGCCCCCCAAACGGGGATAACCAACTTCTGACCGGGGAAAATAAGATCGTCGCTCCGGCGTTTCAGCCCAGAAGCCCAGATTCCTCGCGATGTGCCGAGGAGAGTTTTCCAGTTTTGCTCGTGCTAACATGTAACTAAAAACCACTCGATCTGCAGCAGGACCCATATCCTCCTTCCGAGCCGTCCAGAGCGGGTGGCGCGGGTCGTTCTTTTGTTCCATTCAGCTGCGTGCCTCTAAGCGAAATTGGCCGTGCGAAATCTCGTTGATCTCAGCTTGGTCAATGCTAACCGTGATGGAATCGATAGACTGGTCCACAGCCTTTTGGCACCCGGAGATTTACCGGCCTATCCACCGCCTGAGAGAATGCTCACCGGCTACTTCCTAAACGTTTTGTACCAGAGAGAGCAGATACACGGAGCTCCCCGGCCAGCGATCGGCATGATCTACCCCGAAAAAGAAGGCACAACGGCTGACTACGAATCTTGGAATCTGTTTAACTAACCAAGAAACACTACGGACTCCGTGCCATAGAGACGGGCTACATAAGTGAGCCCGATGGTTTACCTGGACTATGCATTCATTGCACAAGAACAACCGCTCAGGAAGTGATCAGTAGTGCCGGCTAGTCTTGAACACCCCCCATTGAATCCAATGGCATCAAGGCAACAAGGATATCAGTGGAGAATACCGCTCGACAGAATTAGCTTTCCACCAGAGGCCCAAATCCCATCCAAGAGCCTTGGCTGGCATTAGGATTATATAGGAACGGGTTCCCGAGCTCGTGGTCGGCAAACGTGTCATTTCCCCAGGGCTCAATTGATATCATTTCATTTATCAAGAACGCGTTTGTGGATAGCTCACATCATGAGCGGTTCCAGGTGGATTTCAATATCGCTCAACCCTGCAGTTTCACTCGCGTGGAGCCACGGCAACGTCAAGCTCGGCCAAGCCCCACAAAGTGCCCCGTTCTGATACTTGGTCTATTCCTGAATATGGAGAAGGTTCCCTGACGTTTAGTTGCTCAATCAGGGAAAAAACGGACTTTTAAACGAAGCCCGCGACTGATCGTCATGCCGATCTACGCCACGGACATTGGTTGGACTCTCTGACAGCTCGGGATTCCCCACTCGTCTCCCACAGAGCCGATCACTACCTACATAGGGGGCGGTAAGTCTGCTAACACGCTAGTGCCGCGTCACCTAACCAAAACAACCTACTATCTTTTTTTACCAATATCTCAATCAATATGCGTTCTTTTGGAACAGAAATTAGTGGAAATCGCGCGCGAAATGCAGAGCTTTCACCTACTACGCGTTCTGCTATATTATACGCGCTTGAATTAGGTGTATCACCTTCTAAAATCGCGCAAGACCATTATGTGTCTCGCTATACGGTCTACAACACTAAAGCTCGCTTCCAACAACATGGTTTAATTAAATCAAAGCCTAGAATTGGTCGCCCACCAAAATTTAGCGCTCAAACTAAGCGCTATATCTTTCGTTTAGCTCGCAAACACCCTCGGTGGAGCTACAAAGCTATTATCGCAAATACCCCTAATTCCCCATCACGATCGACTATACGAAAGATTCTAAAGCACTACGGTCTTAAGAAATGGAAGTCAAAAAAGCGCATTCCACTAAAGCCTGAGACTGCGCAAAAAAGACGCGAATTTTGTCGTGAATGGGCTAGTTTTAATCGATGGGAAGACCTTATTTTTTCCGACGAATGTTCGGTCCAACGTGGATCGAATTCACCTGTTCAATTTATCTTTCGATTCCAAAACGAGGCCTTCCGAGCTGATTTTATCAACTTAGAAAGCCATGGACAAGATATTTCGCAAATGATTTGGGGTGGAATTTGGATTGGCGGCCGATCAAAATTAGTTATTATGGAGCGCGACCTAGATGCTCCACGAAACGGATACTCCGCTATTTCATATACCGACGCGCTTAACGAAGCTCTAGCTCTAATCTATGAGCCTAGAATTATGTTTCAGCAAGACAACGCGGGAATTCATACCGCTTATCATACTCAAGAGTGGTTTCAAAATCGAGGTATCTACGTTATTGAATGGCCGCCGCACTCGCCTGATTTAAACCCAATTGAGGTCGTCTGGGCACTTTTAAAAAAAGAGCTATTTAATCGATACCCTAGAATAGCGAATGGGCGACGTCGACAGGTTGATTGGGAGTATTTTCGGGCAGCATTGATTGATTTATGGAACTATATCGATCAAGCTAGTATTGATAGCCTAATTCGGTCAATGCCGCGTAGGATTGAGGCTGTGCGGGCTGTGCGAGGTTGGTATACACGATATTAGTCTTAAAAAAAATGGCAGGCTTTTCTGTATAAGATATATTAAAAAATATAAACAATTTTATTAAATTTTGGTTAAAATATATATATTTAGTTATACTGGGTTAATTACATAAATAGTGGGGAATCTCGGGTGTTAGCAGACTTATTACCTATGAGTGTACTCGACTCGAGGACTCCGATGTCTTACATTACCCGTGGACGTGCACATCGCTACTCCGATCTCGAGTCGCAAGCCGCACACTAGAGTGGACGACCGTATGGGGTTCAATCCGAGTGGGATAGCAAAGTGGATGTACGAGCCCGGAATAGCCCTGACCAATGGCCTCTTGCCTCTTACCATTCATTAATTGCGTTGGATATTTTTGAGTCTTTTGTCCCGCCATCCGGGGTGTTCGTTCTCTAAACAAAGCGTCATGGGCTTCGCTGAGAATGCACTGTCACTGGTGACGGTCACCAATGTTTTCCTCGGTCTCGTCGCCTATGTTGTCTTCAAATTTGTCTCTCAGATTGTTCACTACCGTTTCTTTCACCCGCTTAAGGCTTTTCCCGGTCCTTTCTGGGCATCAGTGACTCGCCTTTGGATAGCGAAGCAGAACCTGCAGGAAACGGAGTACTTGACCGCGCATGAGCTGTCCAAGAAATATGGTAATATCCGGTTGCTAATCGGTATTTTAAGAGACTTCTCTAACTTGTACGTTAATAGGCCCCGTCGTTCGCATTACCCCAACTTTGTTGCTGGTCAGCGACCACTCCAAGCTCCCCGAAGTCTATCACCGCAATGCCGATAAGACCGGCCACTACATCACCGGTAGCTTCGGCGAGAACGAGTCTTTGTTCAACATGAGATCCCACAAGCAGCACGCCTTGTTCAGGAAACACATTGCTGGTCCCGTAGGTATCGCATCGTATAGTCCGGACTAAACAAGCTGACTCGCATTACAGTACAGCTTCACCAACATCAGGAAGATGGAGCTGCTGATTGATGCGCGCATCCGCGAATGGAGCAACAAGCTCGACCAGGCCTTTGTCAAGACCGGCGAGCCCTTTGACTTTGCCTGGTGGGCAGTGTAAATCTACACAACCCCCCACTACCCGATTTCAACATACTAAACATAGCACCAGGTACATGGCATACGATATCATCAGTGAAATCGGCTTCGGCCGCCCCTTTGGCTTCATCGAAAAAGGCGAAGACATCGGCGGTCTAATCCAAGGCTTCCATGACGGCCTTCCAGCATTCGGCCTCCTCGCCCGCCTCCACCCCTTCACCTCATGGATGAAAACAACCTTCATGAAGAAATACCTCGTCGCAACACCCCAAGACGACTCAGGCATAGGAGTCCTCATGCGGTTCCTCGACCGCCTGATCAAAGAGCGTCTCGAAGACATCCAATCCGGCAACAAGATCGAGCAAACCGACCTCTTACAAACCTTCCTCGAAGCTCGCACCGACGAAGGCAAGCCCCTAGACCTGGAATACATTCGTGCAGAGGTCCTACTCGTCCTTCTCGCAGGCGCAGATACCACCGGGACCGCATTCCAGGCCATGATCCATTTCCTGCTTACGCACCCGGAAGCTTACGATCGCATGATGGAGGAAATCGACTCCGCTTCGCGCAAGGGCCTCATCTCCGAGATGCCCCAGTACGACGAGGTCCTCGAGCACCTACCCTTCTTCGTCGGCTGCGTAAAGGAGACTATGCGGCTCTGCCCGTCTGCACCGAACATCTTCCCCCGGTATGTTTCCGAGCCGGGACTCGAGCTGTTCGGCAAATTTGCCCCTGCTGGCACGGAGATCTCGTGTAATCCCTACCTGGTGCACCGGGACCCGACTCTGTACGGCGAGGATGCGGAGGAGTTTAAGCCGGAGCGCTGGTTGGACGTGGAAAAGGCAAAGTTGTACAATAAATACAATATGGCGTTTGGGTATGGCTCGCGCGTGTGTCTTGGTCGGGATATTGCTATGATGGAGTTGTTTAAGGGTCCTTTGCAGGTAAGATTCACATTTGTTGGATTTCAGAGCTTGGATTGCTAACTTGAAACTAGTTCTTCCGATGCTATAAGCCTGAGCCTGTTAAGGGTAAACCTGAGCCGAAGTTCGTTGTTAAGGGTGGTGTTGGTTACTGGCGTGATGTGTGGCTGACTATCTCCAAGAGACCGGAGGTCAAGGCTCAGTAGATGCTGCGAGCGTAAGCTGTGCTTCATTTATAACCTTGGGTTTAGATATACCACTTTTCACATCTCTGCGTACCTGGCCCATGTGTTTTCACGACAGCGTATACGTGAAGGTTGAAGTATAAGTAAGAGGCTACCGGTGTACTTCATGCTCATCCAGAGCCTTCAGAAAGGATTTGATCCAGTGGAATGAAAATACAAAATACTATTTATGAAGACTGTATAAACCGAAATTTCACGCCGGTAGACGGGAATCCGAGCCTAGTGCTTTTGTAGTTTCCAAAACCTGGTTCAACTAAACGTTCAGTATCGTAGCTTCAGAGAGTATGATCATGCGGAGTTGGTGCCCATCACGGCAGTCTGTCGGAGAACACACTGGTTAGTGTTCTACATCAAGGCTACAGGTATAAAGCAGAACTTACTCTTGCGATGTGGTACAGGGGAGTAATACCAGTCCAGTGAATGAACTGGTTAACACCCTGGCCAACAAGAACTTCCAGTCCGGGAATAGTCCTCCAGCCCGCATCAGCAGCCAACTGCATCAGTGCCGTCACTGAGGGCTTGTACGCCATCTCGAGGAGGACGCGGGGCGACTTCTCGTCGACCGACTTGCCGATGAGCTTGCCATCAGCCTCTTGCGCACGCTCGAACATGTGGCAGAGGGTCTCGCGCATGCCGGAGTCGATGGGCCGGTCGGCGGGAATGGTGCCGATGGCGACCTGCGGCACGGTATCCAGCTGGGTGTGGTTGTCCACGACGCGAATGTTGTAGTTGCTTGGGAAGGTGGAGACCATACCCTCCAGCTTGCTGGGTGTGCGGCCCACCACGTAGATCGGGGAGAAGCCCATGCGGTGCAGGGAGTAGATGGCTGCACGGGCGGTGCCGCCGCCACCAATGACCACGGCGCTCTCGGTACCGTTGGAGCCGTAAACACCTGCGTTGCGGAGGCATTGGATCATGCCTTGCCAGTCGGTGTTGTAGCCGACCAGACGCGGGGCCTTGTCGCCGTTGTCGACGGGGACGATGGTGTTCACGGCGCCGATGATCTCCGCTTCTTGAGCGATCTCATCCAGCAGGGGCATAATGTCCAGCTTCAGCGGGATGGTCACGGAAGCACCGCCAAAGTCAGGGGCGTGGATGAAGTCTTTGACATCCTCAACATTGGTGGTCTCCAGACGGCTGTAGTCGTGGGGGAGACCCATCTCACCAAAGAGGGTGTTGTGGAGCGCCGGTGATCGCGAGGCCGAAACAGGTGAACCAAAGATGGCAAACTTCTTCGCCTTGATCTCGCCCATCAGCGAGAGACCACGGCGGATCTCAGTTGCGGAGAGCTGACCAGGGGCGGCCTTGAAGGGAAGGGCAGGGTGAGATACGGGGGTCATGAAGCCGTTCAGAATACGGCTGAGTTGGCCCTTGTCGCCCATGTTGATGGCGATCAACGGTGTCTCGTGCGCCTCCTCAGCCCAGGTCTTGAACTTTCTCAATGCAGTGTTGTCATCCAGACTGTTGGCAATTCCCACGAGCTTGATCACATCGCCGTACTCCAGAGCACGGTTATAAGATGGGATCCAGGACATGTTGCTCCACGAGAGTTTTCCTTCCGGGTCGTGGTGAGAGGCGATAATCTTCGAGTAACCCTTCATCTCGGACACAGAGCGGAGCATCTCGTCGGGGAAAGCAATTTCGAGATCCACAAACTCGCATCCGGAGCGGAAGGCCAGACGGTAGAGAGCAGTTGCGGCTTCGTAGGCATCATCGGGGAAACGGCCACCTTGGCTCTTGGTACGAATTGTGAAGATGACAGGCAGCGCGACACGGCGGCGGAGGAATGACATCTGCTCGGCGACATAGTCGACGGTGGGAATTTCGCTGTCGGAAGCCGGGTCCTTCAGCAGGTCAACCCGCAGCTCCACGGCGTCTGATCCAATACAGGCCTCACTCAGGATGTCACCGCACGAACGCAGATCGGGCAGCGTCAACGAGACGAAGAAGCTGTGCTTCTTCTTCTTAACCAAGCTCAGGTTATCCGTACGGCCGGTAACCACGCGCATGAAGCGGTCAAAGTCCTCCGAGGCCAGGGCAAGCTCCGTGTTGTTCGAGTGCTGGCTGTAGTACTGGATGTTGCTGCACTCCTGGAACCAAGGCTTGCGACGAAGCCACACGCCCATCATGTCTTCAACGTAAGCGGGGCGGGTCTTATCGATCTGCAAGAAGTCCATCACCTGCTTGATATCGCGCATGATGAGAAGGACATTGCCCTTATTCTTGTGATAGTCGGTAAGTAGCTTCCGAGCCTCGGGAATCTCAACAACACCACCGCCGCAAGCGAAGACATAGCCGTTTGGCCGATCCTTCATAGCGCGCTGGAGCACAGCCAACTCAGCTTCACGGAAGCCCTGCCAGCCGCGCTGCTTAATAATATCAGGAATGCTGATACCTTCGGTCTTTTCCAACTCGGTATCGAGGTCAACGAAAGGACGGTCGAGGCTCTTACCAACCCAGTTACCGGCGGTGGTCTTGCCAGCACCACGCATGCCGATGATGAAAACCGAAGCGCTGGCCTTCTCCTCGGCGGTAGAAGCGGCAAGCTCATTCTCGGCCAGTTCCTTGCCCTCAAGCTTGGCGCCGAAAAGCTGCTTAAGGGTGTCCCACCAACCAGGCCATGTCTTACCGACACACTCCTTCTCCAGAATGAGAGTAGACTTGGGAGCCACAAGAGACAGGACACTGAAGCTGAAGGCGACACGGTGGTCATCGTAGCAGTAGACACCACCGGAGGGCTGGCGAAGAGTAGAGCGCTCAATACCATCGATCTCAAGGCCGTCATCATGTTCGCGGCAGACAACACCGTACTTGGCCAGCTCGTCCTTCATGGCCTTGATGCGGTTGCACTCCTTGACACGCTGGTTAGCAATGCCGTAGATGCGAGTAGTGTGGTTAGACCCCTCGCCCCGGGCGACGGCCGCAAGGACGGACGCGGTAAGGAAAGCATCGGTCATGGGCTCCATGTCCACGTTGGGAAGTGGTCGGAGAATACCACTGGCAGGACCAGTGACGGTGGTAGAATTGTCGCCTTGTTCGACAGTGCAGCCCATCGGCCGGAGAACATCAACAGCGAAGCGAGCATCACCCTGAAGCGACTTGGAACCGATGTTGGGAACGGTGCACTTTGTGCCAGTGATGGCCGCAATGGCCAGAGGGTAAGTGGCAGAGCTGGCATCGCTCTCAACTACGTACTCGGCAGGGTTCACATAGTGGGCCTGAGGAATGTGGTAGGTGTGCTCCTCGGTGGTCGACTTTTGAACATCAATACCGAAGGATCTCATCATGGCGGTGGTCATATCGATATAGGGTTGGGAGATGGGCTTGCCACCGACCAGCTTCAGGGTCACGGGCTCCTTGGCGTAGGGAGCACACATCAGCAGCGATGACACGTATTGGGAGGAGACCTTGGCGGCCAAGTTGATCTTGCCACCGGCGAAACCGCCAGAGGCCGCAATTTTGAGGGGCAAACTGCCCTGTTGCTCCATGTACTCGATTTCGGCGCCGTTCACAGTCAACGCATCGACGAGGTCGCCAATGGGTCTCTGCTTCATCCGGTTGTTACCGGTGAGAATACTCTCGGCAACGGTGTTAGGCGTAGCAAGGGTAGCCACGGTAGTCAAAAATCGCGAGGCAGTACCGGCGTTACCCAGGTACAGAGAGGAAGGGCTGGCGGTGATCTTGCCACCCTTGCCATTGACAACCAGAACCTCACCCTCTTCTTCCCAGGAGAAAGTAGCGGCTCCCAGCTTCTCCAAGGCGTTCAGCATGACCTCGGTGTCATCAGAGTGGAGCAAGTTCTTAATACGGCAAGTTCCCGAACCAAGCGCAGCAAGGACAAGAGCTCGGTTGGAGATACTCTTGGACCCCGGGGGCGCGCAGGTAACATTCAGAGTCTTGGGCACTCCGGGGTGCACCTCAATGCTGGGAGCCAGGACAACACCAATGTCATCATTTGAGACAACACTGGCCTTGGGCTCGTAAGGACGTCCAATTGCAGACAAGAGGACAACCTTCTTCTTAGGACCGTCGTTCTTCTTATCAAGGGCCATGTTGAACAGCAGGTGGTCCACGGAGCAGTGCTTGCCGGCGGTCAGCTTGCGCACTCGTGAGTCCTTCATAGATGTGGGCAAGCCATAGGCGGAAATACACTTCACAACACGAGCCACGGCAACGCTCTTGAGGATACCCAGGTGCCGGGCCAGCTCAGCCTCCTTGACCATACCAATGGCAACGCACTCTCCGTGGAGGATTTGTGGGGTCAGAATGGCCTCAATGGCGTGGCCGATTGAGTGACCCCAGTTCAACAGGTTGCGAAGACCACCCTCACGCTCATCTGCGGAGACGACGAAGGCCTTGTGGCGTGCCGAGGCCAGAATTCTGGCCTTCAGGATGTCCCGAATGCCGTCGAAGCGACCCTGGCCAGGCTTTTTCTCGCTGCGCACAGCACCAAGAATAGCATCCGCGTTGTCTTCCAACGCAGTGAACTCCTCTTCGCTTGAGATAGCGGCGGTCTTAATGACTTCGGCCATACCATTAATAAATTCCCGTACAGGGAGGGTCTCCAGGAACTCGAGGTCGATGTAGATCCTTGACGGCTGCCAGATGGCGCCGATCAAGTTCTTGCCCAGCGGTGTGTCAATGGCAGTCTTTCCACCAATCGAAGAATCCACCATGGCGAGGAGAGTAGTGGGGACCTGCACGTAGCGAACACCGCGCATGTAGGTGGCCGCAATGAAACCAGTCAGGTCGCCAATGACCCCACCACCCAATGCGATGACAACGGTATCACGACCACATGGCGGGCTCTGGCTCAGCATCCAATCCTCAATATCGGCTTTTGTTGAGCGCGACTTTGAGCTCTCGCCCGGCGCAGCATTGTAGACTAAGAGGCGCGGGGCGGGGGAGACGGAAGCGGCGGCGGCTTCGAAAGTCTTTTGGAATTCAGGTGTATAGATGGGACTGAGGTTGGTATCGGTAATGAGGACGTAGGTGGTCGAGGGCAGTTCGCTGATCAGGTCCTTTGCGACGTAGTTGCGCCACAGGCCAAAATCAGCGACGATGCTCTCCCGACCCAAGATGCTGATCTTGGTGGGCTCGTTCATGATGACGGGGCAAGGATGAGATTGTGTCAAATTCTGCGGATTCAGAATCTCTGCTCAATTCATTCTGGGCTTTATTAGTACCGCTATTGATCTTTGCTATCCAGAACTAGCGACGCAAGGTGCACAAAGATGGAATTGGAACCAGCTTTTCAGCTGATGGGATTGTAGATGAGGCTTACCTGGAATCCGACGCCCAGAGTGAGAATTTCAGATCACCCTGCGACCAGGAAGATGCTTGGAGATACTCCAGGAAGATTGGAGTGACTCAATAATTCTTTGGACCGCACCGAGTCAGAAAGCGGTTAGCGGTGAACCAAAACTGCCGCGAGATCGGAGGGGCGACGGCTTCTACTCGTTTGGGTCCGTGTTGTTGACCCATCGGAAAAGCGATAATTGATCGTCCCTCGCATGGATTACGCTTTCACGCTGGTGGTCCGGAACCCCTGATAGGTCAAGGGGACTCAATCATATATTTAAAACCACCGCATAACCTGGGCAAGCCAGGTATGAACGACTTCTACTTTTAGGGAGATCTGATTCATGCAGAAAAAGCAATCAATATTCCGAATTTTTACACTTTGAAAAGACTAGGACGCCGACCGAAACGCCACCATTCACTGCCCTTGGGTAATTGTAGATACAGCAGTAGAAGTGCCGTGACTAACTTCCCTTAGTAGCGACCATAACCACCACCTCCTCGGCCACCACGGTGATTATCCCGGTTTCCGCCACGGTAACCGCCTCCTCCACGGTAGCCTCCGCGGCCCCGGTTATCGTCATAGCCGCCGTTGTGTCCGCGGTATTGGCCCTGGTTGTATTGACCTTGTTGACCATAGCCGCCTTGGTGGCCCTGGTTGTACCCATAATTCCCACCACCGCGGGGGAGGCCCAGGGGGTCCTCGGGAATAGTCACCGCCGCCTTGACCGGGGGGAACCCAGCCAGGCGGCATCATCGGCATGCCGGGAGGGGGCGCAGGCCCGTTCATGTAACGCGGGTCGAGATGCGCGGCGAATGGGTTCGGACGGTCTGATTGTCCGTAGTCCATGCGGCCGCCTCGCCCCCTCCCATTCAGCGGTGCGCCACCGAAGGAGCGACCGGAATTTTGGGCTCGGCCCTTAGTCGCGCGAATATCAGCCGAGTTCAGCATCGGTGTCGCAAGCTTCACACCGCGGAGAAGCATGGACTTGTGAATATGAGAGGACTTGGGGATCTTGTAATTGACACTGAGAATCTGTCAGCTTAGGTATGGCGAATAGAAGTGGAGATTGAAACTTACGTGAGAGAATGGTCATCATCCAGACTCGGCATGCCGTAATCCTCCAAAGGCGACACCAGAGCGCCATGGGGGATGTATGTGTCACTGCGCTCAACGATACCACCCAGACCCTCACTGACACGCACGTTCAGCTTGTACTCTGGGGGCCCGGGCTTCTTGGAATAGAAGTTGGCGGCAAGATCTTGATACAGGGGGTGTTGATCCGATAACAAGAGTACCTCTTGACCATGGGTGTTGCGACTCCGTTCGTCTTCGGTCAGAAGAGGATACTTCTTCTGCATGGCAGCCAGCAGACGCTTCTCATCGATGAAAGGAAGCAGAATCACACCCTGCCAGGCGAACTTCTTACCGTTCAAATCAAGATCAAAGTCCTCGGGGTAGAAGTCGATGATCTCGCTGTCCGGTTCACTCATGAGAGGGTGGAAAATCTGAGGAAGAGCGTGGTTGGATGACGCCGGCAGGACACCCATCAGCTGTTCGAAGGGCTTGAAAGGCGTTCCCTTTTCAAACGAGAGTTCCATGTCTCCAATATCCACGAAGTCTGCCGCGAAGGGAGCGTAGTGGTATGGGTAGTACCAGTTCCACGAAGGACATCCCTGGAAGTAGTAGAGCAGAACCCAAGCGAGACCTTCAGCATAAGCACGTGCAACCTTGTGGCGGAATTCGTGATCCTGGGGATCGACCTTGAACTTTTGCTCGTAGTACCGATCCGCATAACCCGGCTCCCAAAGTCGGACGGTGTCTTCCGGCATTTCGTCCTCCTTGGGTTTGGGCGGCGGCGGCGGAGGTGAGTCTCTGCCCGGAGTGCCCGATTCCTGATCCTCAGACGTCTCATCGGCTTTTCTCTTTCCAAGAACCGACGGAGAAGTCGGCTCAGCATCATTCGCGTCATTCGACGCTTCTCCATTCTCCTCGGTGGCAGGCTCATCCTGGTTGCCCTTCATGAGTTTGCTCTTCAGCACAGCAGCGGCGCTCTTGTTCTCCATGTTGGCGCGGTACACGGCTCCACGATTGGTTACCATACTGTGAGTCAACTCCCTGGTCTCCTTGGATAGATGTCCACGGCCCGGGGTAATCAACTCCAGACCGGGCGGGGGCGCATTATCACCGCCGGCGCCGGCGCCACCACGAGGTCGGTTGTTGTCATATTGCGGAGAGCTTCTCCTCCGCTTGCTAGCCCTTTCTTCGTTCCGAGCCTTGTCTTGCTCCTTGCGCCTCTTTTCGTTGGCTGCTCTTCTTTCCTCGGCCTGTCTACGGCGTCGGAAAATCGCGTCCTCCTGCTTGGCCAGACCTTGGAGGATAAGCTGAGCCCGTTTAAAGGCGACATGTCCGTCCTCAGTTAGATACCCGCCCATGGCCGGAATGCTGTCCCGCCAGATTGCAATAAGCGTGTCAATACCATTCTCACGGATGTCTAATGACGGCAAGTGAGGCAAGAAATCGTTTCCGACGAAGAAACACATGAAAACCCAGTCATCGAGCGCCCGTTCAAGGTCAAATGGGAAGGGCTGCTGAGGAACGTGCAGTTCTGCAGCCAGATACTCTCGAAGAACAGAGACATGGAGCCAAATGAATGGTTTAAGTGGGGTGGCGTGTTGCTTTTCGTCGAATTCTCCGCTCTTCTCCTTGGCCTTTCCGGTACACTCCTCAGCTTTATGACCCGGCTGGCCACACAGTTTACATGTCCGAGGCTTTGATTCCTGGAAGAAGACATCCTCACGCAGAACTCGGAAATGAGGCTCGTGAGTCGCGAGACCCAGCATGATAAGATCGGCATCAAGACCGTACATTACATGGCGGGTGTTCGGATCGTGCTCTGGCGATGCGCGCTGGGACCGAACAAATTCCATGATTTTGTGCTCACCCTCTCCGGGCACAGTAGCATCCGAAATGATAATTTTCATCTGATAAATGTTAGCATAAACGCATTTCACGAATCCTTGAGGTCGAACGCAAGTCTCACCTTTTCCCAAGCCGGATCGGTATTGAGTTTGTAGGCAATCCAATACCGCAGCGAAGCAGCGAGAATATCCATGAACGGGGTCCCAGGAGTGATGACATTGCTATCCCAGGTCTTCTGGACGACCTCCTCACGCATAACCTGGTCGGCACCCTTCTTGGCTTGTTGCCTGTCGAGCAGCTTCTGCAGCTCCTCTTTCTTCTCGTCGTTCTCTCTGGCCTCCTGCGCGGAGCGGAATCGACGTGCGCGCTGCTGGTTCATCTTGGCTCTCGGTGCGACACCATCTAATAGTGATCTAAATCAGTTGCTGAGCCGGGGGTACAAACGGACTGCAAGTCATGAGCATACCAATAGCAATCATAAGAAGCTTTCGCGGGCGGACCATGTTCACTACTCGATCAGTGTACTTGAAGATTTCCAGCATCATCTCCTGCTCGTTCGCCGGTGGCGGTTTGCCATCGGGGTGCGTACATGGGTGGACAATGCCGTTCATATCAAGATACAGGTTATCCATCTCCTCGCCATTAGGGTTCGGGCGTGTCGTGTCGACCGGAATTTCCTCTCCATTCACTTCCTGGGGCAGCTCCTCGATCACCGAAGAGACGATCTTGGGATACTTGTTGGAAAGCCATCGGAAAAGAGCAGGGACACCCATTTTGGCGTTGCGACAGCTGGTGTTGCTTCAGCTCTCGTTGGTTCGGCGCGGCGTTCGAAAGGGTCGTCTGCAGACCGGGAAGGCGTCTGGCGCAGTCGCTCTCTCCGTAAACCGAGTAACGTATATCGGTGTAGTCGCGCCTTCGGGAAAAAGACAGAAACTGAGAAAAACCAAGTCCAACCGCAGGAAATCTCGCGGCGCAAGTGGGTGTCGAGAGAAAGCGGAAGTCTCTGCGACTGAGTGCTCTTATTTCCGGGCGGTCGGCGTTCTGCAAGCGGGCCGTCGGCCTTAGCCCCTTTGGACACTTTCGGAGGCCAGCTTTACTTTAATTTCGGGGCAACCCAACGACTTTCTGCTCTTTTTTTCTCCCTTCGATGCCTGTCAGCTCCTGTGCCCTCGGGCGGTGACCATGAGATTGCGATCTAGCTGAGATGTTCCGAATCCTCGAGTCGCAAGCTCCGGCCAAACAAACGGCAACGGACACAATCGATGTACTTAGCAGTAGGCTGCAGAATGCAACTCTACTGGAAGACCGGCGCGCCGCCATACAAGGATTGAGAAGCTTTGCAAAGATTTATCCTGCATCTGTAGCTTCGGGAGGTCTGCGGTCGTTGATCAGCAGCCTGCGCAATGATCAGGAAGATGTGGACACCACCAAAGTGGTCCTCGAGACCCTGTTGATGCTATTCACGCCAGATGAGACAAGTGTCGGTGACTTCTATGCTGCTGAGTATTGATTGTCTATGTGCTGACCGCTCTACAGCCTGAAGCATCCGACGAAATAGCTCTGTGGTTGGCAGATGAATTCACGCAGGTGCGACACGATGAGCGCGAGAGATCAACTATGTAGTGAGTTGACATTTGAGCAGCGACAAGACAACATTACGATTCTCCTCGATCTACTTGAAACCCGAGACTTTTACTCCCGCCTATATTCCCTCCAATTGATGTCCCACATCTGCAGTGCGAGACCGGAGCGGACACAAGAGTGCATATTTACGGCGCCATTGGGAATTTCTAGGCTCGTCAGCGTCCTTACGGATATCCGAGAGCCTGTTCGAAATGGTATGGAGCATCACTCGATTGACTTGGGTTGGCATTACTAACAATTCGTGATCTGCAGAGGGCCTCGTTCTTCTCATCGCCCTGACCCCCGCCTCGGAAGAGCTGCAAAAACTGGTCGCCTTCGAAAACGCGTTTGAAATTATCTTCTCATTAATCGAAGTGGAGGGTTCTATGATACATGGAACAGAAGTGGTCGAGGACTGCCTCTCCTTGCTCGCGAATCTACTGCGATTCAATGTTTCGAACCAGTCATTCTTCCGGGAGACCGGATGTGTAAAGAAGGTGACAAAGCTTCTTATCGATTGTCAGCAAGAGGACGATGAACCTCCTGCACAATGGACTCTTCTACAACGAGACAAGAATGTCTGGGGCCTTTTAGCCATTATCCAGTTGTTCCTGGTTCGTGGTGGCGTGGGTACGCCCCTCAACCAGACAGCCTTCTGGCAGAATGGCGTGACGGAGCAGGTCCTCAGCGTAGCCTTTGGTCAGAAGTTCAGCGTCAATGTTACCTCCAAGGTGAGACTCGATTCTATCCTATGCTCTATATGGTACTGATCAAGATAGGCTCTTTCCGCCTGCGCTGATCTCATCCGTGGAAACTCGCCGCTGCAGGAGAGATTCGGTGACATCGAAGTCATCTGGGGTTCTGTGCCTCATGATCCGACTGTCAACGGCAATGCGGCGGAGCCAGAACGAATTAATGTTATCGAAGCATTCTTGAAACTAAGTCTTCAACCTTCACCCAACAACATGCTGGATGCACGTCTTGCGGCCTGTGAATGTATGAAGGCGTTCTTTGCTCATCACTCTGGTATCCGTATGCATGTTCTTCGACGTGCCATTGATGGACATGTTAGCGGCCAAGACCGAATCCCCAACATCATGTCTGTGCTGCTCACGGCTCCAGAGTCCCGTGGCAATGCAGACCCATACCAAGTCTGGATGGCTTGTGTGTTGATGTTCCACCTCATTTCCGATGACGGGGAGGCAAAAGCAACTGCCATGAAAGTCACCGAGGGTGATGCTGAAAGTGGTGAAGAAGTTGTCACCAGTGTTCAGTCAGTGGTTGGCAATTTGATCACTGGTCTGCAACGTGGAGATGACGAGAGAATCACTGTTGGCTATCTGATGCTTCTCTGCGGCTGGCTCTTCGAGGACCCGGACGTTGTCAATGACCTTCTCGGAGAGGGAAGCAGTATTCAGACCCTTCTGCAAGAGATCAAACACCAGAGAGTACCTAGCAAGCTGGTGCCCGGCCTCTGCACCGTTTTACTTGGAATTATCTACGAGTTTTCTACCAAAGATTCCCCAATCCCTCGAGTGACCCTGCACAAGCTTCTTCTTGAGCAGCTTGGGAGGGAGCAGTACATTGACAAGATCACAAAACTGCGCGAATGCCCCTTGGTGCGGGACTATGAAGTTCTCCCCCAGACGGCAGCTGGGCAGATTGACGGCGGCCTTCCTGAAGTGTTCTTCGACCGCTCTTTTGTTGAATTCCTCAAAGACAACTTCAGTCGGTTGATTCGGGCCATTGACCGAGAACCGGGCTTCGAAATCTCCGTCGTGGCCAATGGTGTTGAGAAGGGTGTCTCTCGCGAACTGGTGGATTCTCTACGTGCCGAACTTGAAGATCGGAGCCAGACTGTCCAGAAATTGGAGAGTGATCTTGTTAGCATTCAACGCAGACTAGATCAGGAGCAGCTGGATCATCGCAAGACGAAGGAGTCGACCTCTGCCGATATGTCCAAGGCACAGCAGGGTACCCAGTTTCTCCAGCAATCACATGAGCAGGAGATGTCCAAACTGGATGAACAGCACAAAGCTTCGAAGAACGAGCTGCTCAAGCAGCACGGCGAGCAGCTTCGTGCCATTGATAATCAATTGAAGGCGGCCTCGGCCGACTACGAAAGGAAGAGCGCAAAAGTGAAGGAGCACCACGATCAGGAGGTTGCTGGCTTGCAAAAGAAAATCCGGAACCTGGAGTCCGAACTCTCAAAGGTCCGGGAACATTATGCTGGTGAGGTTGCCGGGCTGAAAAAGACTATCCAGGAGTTGGAGTCTACTGCCAGCCAGTCCAAAGAAGGACACGCAGGGCAAATTTCAGATCTCAACCAAAAGCTCCAGAGTCTCGAGTCTGCACTCACCTCCTCCAAAGCACAACATGAGGCAGAAGTTACGAGCTTCAAGGCTACTATTGAGAACCTCGAGTCAAACTTGTCCGCAGTCAAGGCCAGCAAGGAACAGCACGAGACGGACGTGACAGGCTTCAAGTCTAAGATTGAAGCTCTAGAGTCAGAATTATCCTCAGCCAAGGGTGGCAATGCCGAGCACGCGGCGGAAGTCGCAGATTTCAAGAGTACCATCGAAGATCTGGAGTCGCAAATGGCTGCAGCCAAGGGACAACACGAATCTGAGACAGCTGACCTCAAAAAGTCCCTGGAGAGTCTCCAATCAGACCTGGCCAAAGCCCAGGAGCAGTCGAGTAAAGATGTGGAAACGGCCAGCGAAGGTTACAAGTCCAAATTCTCGGAACTGGAAGCGCGTGCCGCCGAAGCTGAGCGCAAGGCAAAGGAAGCCGAGGCACAGGCGCAGGGTGCTGCTGATGCGCTGAAGGAAATCAAGGCTCAACTTGAGAAAGCTCAGTCCGAATGCAAAGAAAAGGACGAGGCTCGTCAAGCTACTCAGACCGAATTGGATGACCTTCTCATTGTCTTTGGCGATCTGGAGACCAAGAGGAATGAGGACAAGGTATGTTTAATTTACACTCAAGGTGCCCCAAGAAAGAAATTAACACCTTTTAGAAACGGCTTAAGGATCTCGGACAAGAAGTCTCGGAGGATGAGGATGAGGACGAGGACGAGAACGATGACGAGGAGTAGAGAGTGCATTGTCGAGTCCGTATATAGCGAGGACAGGTCTCGACCATACATGACACTTTTCAAAACCCAATCAATATACGACTCGGCGCGTATTCCGAGTCGTCTGTTTTTTTCATACTGTAGATCCGCTACCTAGATAGTAGAAGGCGGTGAGTGGCGGAGGGGCCCTCGAATGAGTCAAGGCACCCCACCACATTTTGCCAGTGTGCTTTTTATCTGCCCCTCAATTTCTGGTCGCAACCAACCCACAAGATGTCGATCGATTTTCCCGCCGAGGAGGATATTGTCCTCAAGCGGTGGAGGGAGATTGATGCCTTCAACCGCCAAGTTGAGCTTTCCCGGGGACGCGAACCCTACACTTTCTACGACGGCCCTCCCTTCGCAACAGGTCTTCCACATTATGGCCACTTGTTGGCCTCCACGATCAAGGATATCATTCCCAGATACTGGGCGATGAAAGGCTACTATGTTGAGCGCCGATTTGGCTGGGATACACACGGCGTCCCCATCGAATACGAGATCGATAAAAAGCTCGGCATGTCTGGTCTTGAGGCAGTTGAGAAGATCGGCATTGAAAAGTACAACGAGGAGTGCAAGGCTATTGTCATGCGATTTGCCTCGGAATGGCGCCAGACCATTGAGCGACTGGGACGCTGGATCGACTTCGACAATGACTACAAGGTACGCTTTATGCATGCGTCTGACAATTTGTATCCATGCTAACGGTCAGCTCTTGAAACTAGACTATGAATACCACCTTCATGGAATCCGTATGGTGGGTTTTCAAGCAGCTGTTTGACAAGGGCCTGGTCTACCGGGGCTACCGTGTCATGCCGTACTCGACCGCCCTCAACACACCTCTTAGCAACTTCGAAGCTCAGCAGAATTACAAGGATGTTCAGGATCCTGCTGTTGTCGTGACTTTCCCCCTGGTGGATGACCCTGAGACATGCCTACTTGCATGGACCACCACCCCCTGGACCCTGCCCTCGCACACCGGCCTGTGTGCCCACCCTGCCTTCGAGTACGTGAAGATCTACGACGAGGCTACCAAGAAGAACTACATCCTACTTGAGTCTTTGCTCCGAACTATTTACAAGGACCCCAAGAAGGCCAAGTTCAAGATTGTCGACCGCATTAAAGGCTCTGACATGCTTGGATGGAAGTACGAGCCTCTCTTCGACTACTTCTACGAGCAGTTCAAGGACTGCGGCTTCCGCGTGCTGAACGATGAATACGTTACGGCCGAGGATGGTGTTGGTATTGTCCATCAGGCCCCTGCCTTTGGTGAAGACGATTACCAGGTTGCCGTGAACCACGGCGTTGTCAACGAAACTCGCCCTCCCCCGAACCCCGTCGACCCGCAGGGCTGCTTCACCGAGGAAGTCCGAGACTTCGTTGGCCAGCATGTCAAGGCTGCCGATAAGGGTATCATTAAACACCTGAAGGGTACTGGCCGTATCCTCGTTGACAGCCAGATTACTCACAGCTACCCCTTCTGCTGGCGGTCTGACACTCCTCTGATCTACCGTGCCGTGCCTTCATGGTTTGTGAAGATCACTCCTATCATCCCTCAAATGCTTGAAGGCATTGAAGAGTCCCACTGGGTCCCGTCCTTTGTCAAGGACCGCCGGTTCTCCAGCTGGATCAAGAATGCTCGTGACTGGAACATTTCCCGCAATCGTTTCTGGGGTACGCCTCTTCCTCTGTGGGTCAGTGATGACTTCAAGGAGGTTGTTGCTATTGGCAGCGTCGAAGAGCTCAAGGAACTGAGCGGTTACAAGGGTGAGCTTACCGACCTCCACCGCGATAAGGTGGACCACATCACCATCCCGAGCAAGCAGGGCAAGGGCGAGCTCCGCCGTGTTAGCGAGGTGTTCGACTGCTGGTTCGAGTCGGGTAGCATGCCTTATGCCTCTCAGCACTACCCATTCGAGAACAAGGAACAGTTCGAGAAGAGCTTCCCTGGTGACTTCATTGCCGAAGGTCTGGACCAGACCCGTGGATGGTTCTATACTCTGACCGTTCTTGGTACCCACCTGTTCGGCAAGCTGCCTTTCAAGAACTGCGTGGTCAATGGTATTGTTCTCGCTGAAGACGGCAAGAAAATGTCTAAAAGACTGAAGAACTACCCGGATCCTTCCCTGATTATGGACCGCTATGGCTCGGATGCCCTGCGTCTCTACTTGATCAACTCTCCTGTTGTCCGTGCAGAACCCCTCCGGTTCAAGGAAGCGGGCGTCAAGGAGATTGTCAGCAAGGTTCTTCTTCCGTTGTGGAACAGCTACAAGTTCTTTGAGGGTCAGGTTGCTCTTCTGAAGAAGGCCTCTAATGTTGACTTTGTCTTCGACCCGCAGGCAGAAACCACCAACACCAATGTCATGGACCGTTGGATCCTAGCCAGTTGCCAGAGTCTGCTCATCTTCGTCAACGAGGAGATGGCTGGCTACCGCCTGTACACTGTTGTGCCTCGCCTGCTCGAGCTGATCGAAAACACCACTAACTGGTACATTCGCTTCAACCGCAAGCGTCTTAAGGGTGAGAACGGTGTCGACGACACTCTGCATGCTCTGAACACCCTGTTTGAGGTTCTCTACACCTTGGTCCGCGGCCTTGCTCCGTTCACTCCGTTCCTCACCGACAACATTTACCAGCGTCTTCTTCCGCTTATCCCCGAGTCTCTTCAGGGTGAGGATCCACGCAGTGTTCACTTCCTTGGCTTCCCTGAAGTGCGCCAGGAGTTGTTCGACGAGGTTGTCGAGCGCAGAGTCGCACGCATGCAGAAGGTCATTGAACTTGGTCGTATCTCCCGTGAACGCAAGTCGATTGGCTTGAAGACTCCCCTTAAGTCCCTCGTGGTGATCCACCAGGACCAGCAGTACCTCGACGACGTCAAGTCTCTCGAGGGCTACATCTTGGAGGAGCTGAATGTTCTTGATCTCATCTTGTCGACCGACGAGGCCAAGTACAATGTCCAGTACAGCGTCAACGCTGACTGGCCGACTCTTGGCAAGAAGCTTAAGAAGGATGTGCAGAAGGTCAAGAAGGCTCTGCCGTCTCTGTCCAGTGAGGATGTTAAGAAGTACGTCGCCGATAAGAAGATCTTGGTTGACGGAATTGAGTTGGTCGAGGGTGATCTCGTGGTGAAGCGTGGCATCAAGGAAGACTCAGGCTCGTCGGGCATGGAGCCTAATACCGACGCCGATGTCATGACAATTCTTGATGCCAACCTTTACCCGGAGCTGGCGCACCAGGGTATCGGCCGTGAAATCATCAACCGTGTCCAGCGCCTCCGTAAGAAGGCCGGTCTGGTCCCCACAGACGACGTGAAGATGGAGTACACCATCCTCTCGGACCCGGAGAAGATTGGTCTCGACGAGGCCTTCAAGTCGCAGGCCGCGGCTATTGAGAAGGCTGTTCGTCGGCCGCTTGATGAGCGTGCTCCGGTTGATGGCAAGCCTCCCGTTGCCGACGAGGCGGATATCATTGCCCAAGAAGACCAGGAGGTGCAGAACGCCACCTTCTTGCTCCGTCTGCTCAAGCTGTAAGGTTGGGTCTTGACCAAAAAAAGATTATGTGTAGATAGCTGTCTACCATTGGTTTCTTATGATAAATATGTTTATGCCCATCTTCGTTCCTACTAATCTTCCTACTAGTCCCGTAGCAATTTTGAAACATTCATTTAACGACCATAGTTCACAGTAATTACACCCATAATAAGACGCCTGGGATGCCCAATCTCCTCTGATCTGCCCCGTAACAGAGACTCTTAACTGGCTTTTTTTGAAGCGGCCTAAAGGAATTAGCCGTGGGTAGTTGGAACCAGCGAAGCCAGGCCTACTCACCAAGAAACAATCTTTCAACCGCATAAACTCCTTGGCACACATGTCTTTGTGAACCGAATTGTAGTCGGAAACGACGCACTTGCCATATGCTGCGGCCTGGCCAAACCGGTTAGCTCCGCTGATATCCAATTGAAGGGTGATCACCTACCTCGACCGAGCACTGGGCTGTGGCCTTGGCAAACTTCTCAACCGGCCGAGTCCTTGCAGGCATGATAAGATGAACTAATCACTAGCAGAACTGCTTAGAACTGATAGCAGTCGGGAGCGACCGTGAAATCCCAAAGAGGAAACGCGAGGAATGCGGGACGGTTACCTAAGAGTCACGTGCCGTCGGGGCATGTTTCTGTCGCGACCACCAAAACAACTCGTGCTACGGCGATCGCTGCTGGCTTTGGTCCTTGATAATTTGCTTGTTTTCTTGCTAAGTCGCAGGCTGGTCGCTGCGCATGTATCGTTTGCTTGTGGTTTCCCCGCCTTCGCGATGATCCTTTTGGTGCGTCGGCTCTATGATCCAGATGCGACAAGCGCGCTGTAGGTCGCGATTTTTCGATGCCTCCGATATCCTCTCAGCGGCGCGCCGTGACCGAAGAGACCTACTCTCTCTCAGATGATGGTATGTTATCGCCACGGGCACCACCTGTTTTGATTCCAATTCTAACCCGCTATTCAATAACAGATGTCGGTTTCCTCTACCAAGTTGTCAGTCGCGCCGAGGGGAAACCCGAGGTCGAGCAACTCCCATTCCGAGCGCTTTTCGCGGCATACGACGAAGTTATCAAGGAACATGGTATCAATGCAGATCCGGGCCATGCGTGCCTGCGCTTCCTGTTCAGAATGGGAAGTAAAGGTGTCCAGGGACCTAGCCTCTTCGATAAGTTCGAGAATGCGCTGCAACAGATGGGAATTGTGATGTGGTTTGGAGAGGATGTCTCTACGGAGCTAAATGAAACGATAGAGAGTCAGCACTATTCGGTCGACGGCGCGAACAGCCATGCCACAGATACCGACTACTTTCCTACCGCGAATGGAACACCAATCACTCCAAGGAGACGGGCGTCATTCAATACTACACTTGATATCGGCGAGGATGCGACGCAAAGAAGCCTGATTGGGCGACCGAGCTCTCGCTCATCAATGTCACGTCTACAAGTCGGAAAACCCGACTTCTCGAAGCCGAACCTGTTACCGAATCCCAAACTTCCGAACGGCACACCGAAATCACCAGATCGAACCCACTTGATTGCGCAGTTTTTGGATGTCGGGCGCCGCTTGATCAGCAGACTTGACGCTGCACAGCACAAGGATGTGGACAAAGAAGGAAAGCCATTGACCAACGGAGTGGTGGCGCGCTCCGCGGTTGACCGTGATCGTTCGAAGAGAATGACAGCTGCCAAAAAGCCCCGACGATCACCTTCCGTAAGCTTTTCAGACGGGTTCGAGTCGAGCGAATCACAATCGGTCTCATCACAGCCTTCGGAGCATGATGATTTTGAAAAAGAAGAGGCACCACCAGAGCTTCTTTATCGACCTCAACTCTCGGATTTACTTCGAGATGCATCTACCTTCAACATGTACCGCCAGCGAGCAATCTGCCGCCGTATCTTGACTCAATGGCTGAAGCGAGCCTTTCGGAATCGACAAATCCGTGAAACCAGAGAATCCGTTGCGATCAATCATGATCGACTTACCCTACTCCGACAAGCATTTGAGCCATGGCGCGCAACCATCCAAGAAAAGCGCCACACGGCGAGAACCGAACGTTTTTTCAAACATCTCGAGGAACGGGCTAATCGCGCTCGTGATTTGTACCTCATGACGAAAGCATTCACCCATTGGGCTCAACTCACATCTGAAGAGGTCGCCCGTACATCCGCTGCTCGCCAGCATGTTTTAAGTGTCAAGTACTTCAACGCCTGGCGTGAAATCACAGCAGTCAATGAGTTGAAGGCGCAGCGTTTCGCACTCCAAAAGCCTTTCAACAAATGGCGAAAGAAGATCTCGGATCTCAAGACAGCGGAATCGCAAGCGGTCGCAGTTCACAACAGTAATCTACGAGACGCCTCATATTGGCAATGGTTCTGGTGTTTCTGTGATCGACGGGCTCCCGAGTGGTACGATCATCGTCTTAAAAGACGCTCCCTTCTATACTGGCTGCGAAGTTTCCGGACCAATCGAGAGCGCGACCATGAAATCAACATTCATAACAGACGCTCAGTGCTGGGCCTCGCGCTTCAAGTATGGTCTCAAAGATCGAAGGATATTGCCTCTGCACAACATAAAGCCGATTATTCCCAGTATATTCAGGCTTTGAGAAAGACGTTTGATGAATGGAAGATTCAGGCTCGGCTGGCTCCTGCTGCTTCTCGAGTATCTGGCATGGTGAACAGCAGAATGCTTCAAAACGCCTTTTCGAAATGGGGTATCAAGGCTCGCATGGCAGATCAAGCAGAGCAGATGAACCGACTCAGAGCCGAACGCAATGCATGGACGTCCTGGAAAGATACCCTTCGTTGTCTGGCACTTCGTGCTCGGATCGATGAGCGGGTAAAGATGGAGACCATGTACAAGTGGATTTTGGCGGAGAGATTCCAGTTGATGCGCAGGATACACGAGCAACGTATCAAGCGTGAGGTGTTTACTCGCTTTGTGACGAACACCCGAGATACATACACACGATTACTGTTTCATGCGGAGATTCACGAAGACCATCGGTCCGAGGACTTGTTACGGTCTAAATTCGCACTCTGGCAGGAACAAGTGCAGCTTCAGCGTGAGCGTGAATATGCAGCATTTGAATTCTATGCCCCACACCTGGCTCAGGAGTCTCTAATGGCTTGGAGATCCAAACACCAGCAAATAACCAAGATGGAGGCGTGGGCTCGCGACGCAGACTTTTACTTTTTGATGAAAAAGTCGCTCAAGCGTTGGCAAAAAGCAACAGTGGACTCTGCCAAGAGACGGCGACAGGAAGCTTATGCGAAGATCCGACGGAAGATCAAGATAAATCTAGCTTCCAAGGCGTTCTCAACTTGGTCAAACCAGACCCAAAGTATCCTGAACATGGAGCAACAAGCAGCAGCTATGGACCGTGACAAAATGCTCCGCCTCGTCTCCGAGCTTTACGCTCGTTGGCACGAGAAAACGCTCCAGAGAGCCCAGGATTGCCAAGATGCCGATTGGAACTACTTCCGCGAAATCGCCTTCAACCAGCTGATCCAAATGTCCGAGACTTATGTGATCCGTCGTGAAATGGAAGACACTGCAGACTCGATGTATCGATCGCATGTTCTGCGCAACGCGGGTGCTGCACTTCGCAAACTCAGTCTCCGTGTCTTCCAGATGAGAAACACAGCTGAGACTGCGGAAGCGATGCGTGAAAGAAGCCTTCGGAGACATTCGAGAAACCTGTTCCGTCTCTGGTTGGAAAATGCACGGCTTAAACTTGAGGCTCGAGATTCGCCAGGCCCTGCTATGACGCCCGCTAGATTCTCAAATTTCGGAGCCGTGGATGACGGATCGGCCCTGTTCGACCCTTGGTATCATAATCCATCTGAGACTCCCTTTAAACTCACCGACTTCACGACGACTTCACAAAACCCGGCCTCTGCAACTCCGTTGACCACACCAAACTACATGACCTCACCATCCAAGCGTGCAGCTCGTGCCCGAGCACTGGCGCAGATGTCTACCACCCCTTCCACCCCTCTCCATACACCATTTGCTCATCGACTCCTCCGTGCCTCGGCCTCAACCTCTCAAATAGCGTCTTCCACCCGACCGCGTACCGGTCGCAGAAGCTCGATGGGCACCAGCGTTCGGTTCGTAGACGAGGAGCTCCCGGAGTCTCCCACGGACGGCCGACAATCAGGGAACCGACGGCCTTAACCTTTTCTCCGATATATGATTTCTACCCCTGTACTCTCAGTGCTCATACTTTAGGGGGTTTGTACATCAGTGATGCCTGTACTTTGGATGTCTTCGCAGTACGTGCGCGTTCATATTTTGTCCCACCATGCATATCCGGCGCAGCATATAACGGGTTGGCGGGAATTTTGTGGCCCTGTTTGGGTTATACTATTTACTTCTGGACATGATTGAATGTGATGACCAATGAACGTTTGTCGCTGCAGTAGCATGCTTTGTAGATCCGAGTAACCTTGTCGATTAAGTGCACGCCCCCTATTAGCAAGGTCCTATAGCTAGCCTAAAACCTTCGGACGCGAGATAGGGGTATTTTGCCTGTAATATCATTTAAAAACAATTAGACTATACTAGGTACGGTGTTGCTCTATGAGGTACACGAGTTCGCGGAAGTGGAGCAACAGCGTAATCGTCACGCTCTCCCGCTTCGATCCCCTGCGCATAACCCACCGCAACCGCAGCTGGACTTGACCATTCTTCCGCCCTTGATCTGTACTCTTTTTGCTGCTCTTTTAACCTGGCAATGGTGTAAGACCTCAAGCGCAACGAGCAACCTTCGATCGACCCGTCTCCATGCGAGCGGTACTGCCGGGGAGGCCCCCAGCGAAGCTCCAGTCGTTCAGCACGGCGCTCTGGGATGGATTTCGTGTCGTTGTATGGCCCCGCCCCCTGTCTCCAGCTCCTTCGTGCTTCGCTGCAGCTTGCATTTTGCTACGTTGCTTTCCTTATGTCCGGTTGCTAACCAGCGCCCCCTCGCGCGTCATCAATAGGCGTACATCTCCGGCCACGCGCTGGTTATCCTCGGCGGTCCGCAGACACTCCTCCAAACGATATACGTCGATGATACCGATAAGCTCGAAGCTGTAGCTTTTGACGAGGCTTCGGGGAAGATTGCTGTGTGCGGAGGGCGGGATGTCTTCGTATACCAGCCGTACGGCATCCAAGGCGAGACTCTGAAGGTGCGCATACCCCGAGTTGATCATTGGCTCGACCTGTGGGCGAAAGACGTCGCAGGAAGGAAAGAAACGATTTTATTGACGGATGGTGTGTTGTAGTGGTCTCTTGTCCAGACCTTCCGCGCCGACGATGACGACGAGCCGATCTATACCCTGTCGTGGGGTTCCGCGAACGAGCTGCTGGTGGGCAATTCGCGCCTTGCCCTCTGGTTTATCTACGACGAACCACGCCTAGTTTGGAAACGAAAGCTCGCGAGCCCCGTGAAATTCGCGCAATTCTCCCCAGATTCGGCCTTGATAGTGACAGTTGGACATTATGATCGACTTGCAAAGGTGTGGAGACGACTGGCCTTCGGCGCGGATGAGGTGCGGTTCGAGGTCTCTTATCTTCCTCATCCGAATGTTGTGACCGGGATACATTGGCGATTGCCTCTTCACCCTGAGCAGTCTGTGGATAACGTGCTCTACACGCTCTGCGCTGATAACAAGGTTCGAGTATGGGCCGTTACAGATCATCATGCACTTTCACCGTTACAATTTTGGGCGGAAATGGATATGGCCGAGTCGGTCCAGCCCAGAGATGCGTCAAGTGTGGATTCAGGGCCACCGAGACGATATGGTTTCATTTTGGACAGTCGCGATTTCTGTTCTGCGACAGAGCGAGCCGTGCAAAGAAACACCGGCAACAAGGAAAATCATGCCTTGGAGCACCTTATTGAAGTTGCAAAGTCGAGTCCTGAAATCTGTGTGGTAATCGATGGTCAAGGCCACATGTCTGCATGGGCTTTGGAGGATATCGGCTCAAAGGGCAAGACGAATCTGAGTGTGTTCAACATTCTCCACGTGGAGGGCTTGGGATTTGGATTCATGTCAAACCTGTCGGCAAACGAAGATTATGCGCAGATTCGTGCGTTCCAGAGCAATACATCTGACGACAAGCTCAGTATTGTCATTCACCACTTCGACGGCCGAATTGAATGGTATGACTCGCAAGTGGACGTTCTCTTTGATCCCACGCCTCAAAAGAAACGTATCGCCCCGAGAGCATCCTGGTCTGGTCATACTGCCCCTGTCAAGAAGATTGTCCGAAATGCAATTGGCGATACACTTGTTTCACGAACTGACGAGAACAAAGCTATGATATGGAGCCAGCGGAGACGCGAAAGTGGATCGACGCTTATACACAAGAGCGTCTTATTATCTGACGAGCACATCCACCGGACATGTGTGATTGAGAACGCCAACCTTCTTGTCAATCTTCACCACAATGGGGTCACCCTCTGGGATTTCTCCTCCTACCATGCCAAAAAAATCGCGCACTTGCCATTTACATTATCGAGCAAGCCGTTGTGTGTACTTCCGATCCCCACGCCCGAGGCAGCTGCCGGCTTCGCCTATGTGGCAACTGTCGGAGCAGACATGCATGGTATAGCATGGGAAATCCAATGGTCTGGCAAGGGGAATTTCACGGGCGCAAAAGGCCAGGATTGCCAGCTTCGAAAGTTTTGCGAGTTTAGTATGGGTCTGATAGAAGACTTGGCCTACATCCTACCGGTGGACCCTGCAGGACCCAAAGCCAAGACGTCTGGATCCTTTGATATGTTTGCTCCTGATATTGCCCTCTCTTATACGCATAGTGGAGTTGTGCGGACTTGGACTGCCAAGGTTGACCGGCCAAACACCAAGGTCGAGTGGTTGTTGAAGTCAACTGTCGATACAGGCATTGTAAATCCATCGTTGGCTAGTGCGAGCACCATTCGCAAGGCCGCGTTGGTGGATGCGGACCGAGCACATCTTACGATTTGGGACATCAACAATGCCCAGCTTGAGTTTGAAGAGCATTTTGCCCAACACGATATCATCCGGGACTTGGATTGGACCTCCACACCAGACATGCAGTCCATTTTGGCTGTAGGATTCCCTCACAAAGTTGTGTTACTATCGCAGCTCCGTTACGACTACCTTGACTCTCAGCCCTCTTGGACCCAAATTCGGGAAATCTGGATTCGAGATCTTACACCTCACCCCATTGGCGACTCTTGCTGGCTCACGAATGGTCATTTGGTTATCGGTGCAGGTAACCAGCTGTTTGTCTACGATAAGGATATTGACGTGGGTGATCGTCTTGTCACCAAGCTCCGCATTCCATCCCGAGGACTGTCAGCTGTTGATCTATTTAGCGTTGTCAGCCGCTTGAACGGACCCTTGCCTGTCTTCCACCCGCAATTCTTAGCGCAATGCATTCTTGCTGGCAAGACCAGCTTGGTGCATTCTATTTTGATGAATCTTCACCGAAAACTGAAGTTTTATACAGAGGGAGATGACTTGGACGGCTTTCTGGATATGCCACCGGAGCAATTTTACAAGGAAGATGTAGGTTGGCTGTTCCAAGACTCCTTTTGGTTGATGTACTAACAAGCATAGATCTCGCCCGTGGGCTCAAAAGAGATGCGCTCTTCATATGTCGATGCCTCCGTGGAACATGAGTTTTCGTCTGTCATGGATGAAAGTAACGCGGCTGTTCTCAACGAGAATCTAGCCCGAATAGCCTTGCCCCAATTGTCCAGTCATGAGCAGTTCCGCCTTGTCGATACTATCCAGTGCGTTGCAACGGTAGAGAAGCACAGACGCTCAATGGACGACAATGCTGCACGCTACCTTCTTTTCTTCCGACAACACATGCTCAGAAGGAGCCAAGGGATAGCGAACATAGATACGGTCTCGTGGCGAGAGATTGTTTGGGCTTTCCACAGCGGTAGCCAGGACATTCTCACAGACCTTGTCTCGCGCCAGTTCAATAGCAAACTTACTTGGAAGGCTGCTCGCGAGAGTGGCATCTTCATGTGGCTGTCAGATTTGACAGCCTTGAAAGCACAACTTGAGAACGTCGCTCGAAGCGAGTACACCAAGACGGAGGAGCGGAACCCTGTTGATTGTACACTTTACTATCTTGCTCTCGGAAAGAAAAACATCCTCCAGGGTCTCTGGCGGATTGCTCATTGGCACCGCGAACAAGCCGCCACCCAACGATTACTGGCGAATGACTTTAAGGAACCGCGTTGGAAAACGTCCGCGCTCAAGAATGCCTATGCATTGCTTGGAAAACGGCGATTTGGATATGCTGCATCATTCTTCCTCCTCGCCGACCGCCTGCGTGATGCCGTCAACGTCGTCGCCAACCAAATGGGAGACATTCAGCTTGCAATCGCGATCGCTCGAGTCTACGAAGGAGACAATGGCCCCGTTCTCAAGGAAATTCTGGAAGAAAGAATCCTCCCCGAAGCCGCATCAGAGGGCAACCGATGGATGGCCTCGTGGGCATTCTGGATGCTGAGAAGACGCGATATGGCAGTGCGTGCCCTGATCTCGCCAGTTGAAACTCTCCTTTCACCCACACCGGCCAGTCCAGGAAGCCCAGGCCGAGTGACCCTCCAATCCAAATCATACCTGTCCAACGATCCAGCCTTGGTCGTCCTCTACCAACAACTCCGCGAGAAGACCCTACAAACTCTCAAGGGCGCCTCACAGGTCCGCCCTGTTGAGGAATGGGAGTTTGTCTTACGCAATGCCCGTCTCTACGACCGCATGGGCTGCGACCTTCTCGCTTTGGACCTGGTCCGCCGCTGGGAGTTCCTGGGCGCTCCACCAACCTCGAAAACACTACAGATGCAGCCAGCCCTTCAACTTTACGAGGACGGAGTCGATTATCGGAAGCTGCTTCGCCGGCGGAGCAGTCTCGTTGTTGCCGATATGCCGGTTCGCTTGACCGAGTCGGCGAAGGCTAAAGATGTGAAGAAGGATGAGGATAAAAAGCCCCAGCCCAAGCCTCCGCCGACGATGTTAGATGCATACTATTGAGACGGGATTGATAGATGTCGGGCCTATGGGGTTTCAGCGTCAATGTCAGGAATAATGCCAACTCCAGGGGTCCATTGATGGTTTCGGTGACTTGCTCCGAGAATGCTCCGTGACGTTCTCTCAGGTTAGCCAACTATGTGGAGGACAACGGGCTCAGGGCAACATGCCCTTACCTACCGTGTGGCCTATAATGGAAGCTTGGCATGAAAGACTTTAGTTTAAGTAAATCTCCAGGTACATTTCCGTATCAAGAAACCACTAATCAGGTACTTCCTTGTTCGTAATGGGCTATACAGATGAAGTGTCCGTGATTCCATGCTCCGTTGCCTTCTGTCACGAGTCTTTTCTATCAACCAGCTCCAGAGCAAACTCTTCCAGAAGTTGATGCAGCTCGTCCGGTCGCTCCAGCTGAATCCAATGTCCGCAGTCTGCAAAGTTCTTCACCCGCAGATCGGGCGCATATTCCTTGGTAGTAGCAATGTTCATGTCTGCCCTCGTAATATAGTCCTTTTCACTTACGACGAGAAGTGTGGGCAGATGACAACCCCTGTCCGCGTCTGGGATTTCGGCTTCATCAACGTTGTTAACACCGCGCATTGCGGCTTTATACCAGTTCAATGGGCCGCGATGTCCCTGGGCTAGGATTCGGTCTCTGAGTGTGTACTCCTCTAGAGTATACCATGACGGCAGCGGATCAATTCTACCGGCCTTGACGTACTCAGCTGCAGCACCTAGGGGAGCCATATTGACTTTCCAGTCCTCTGGATTGGCTGCATAGATGAGTGTAAAAGCCGAAGCTGGCTGTGTCACAAGCATTAGCAGGAACATTGGCTTTGAGTCAATTGATGCCGTGAGACTCACATGCTCGTCACAATCCTTAACAGCGTCGTCAGTATTGTGCCACGGCCAGTATCCATACGTTGGATATCCGACGAGGCTCTCAGTATATGCGTTGATCGCATCTGTATCGAGGCAAGGTAAATTAGAAGAGTCGCGGATAGTGGAGGCTTAGACACCATACCGACGTCCACCGGACCAGGCTGAATGTACCCGACTGAGATCGGCACAATACCCATCAAGCGATCAGGGATATATGTGACCAAACGGGAAAGCAATCCACAGCCCCTATATCAAATCCTAGTGTGAGAAGGAAAGGCACTAGGTGCGTCTCAGACATGCATAAACTAACCAATCGTGACCCACGGCAACACAACGTTGGACTTTTTCGATATCTAGTATTTCGGCCATATGGATCGACATAGACTTCAAGCGATACGAGGTTGGATCGGCCGGCTTATCGGTGTCGCCGTAGCCGAGCAAGTCTGGAGCAATAACCCCACACCCTGCGGCTGACAATGATTTGATTTGATGACGCCAGTCATAGCAAGAGCTGGGATATCCATGAAGGAGCAGAAAGGTCATCCCATCAGCTTTGGACGAGGGGTGAGCGACATAGCCATACGACGTGCCGTCAGATAGGGTCGCCCTCTTGGCAAAGGACGGGAACGCTAGGGAAGCCATAGTTTGAATGATGAAGTTGGTCACAAGCTCGTTGCCGAGTGAGTGAAGCCAAGGGTCTCGAATGAGATTATTTCTTTTTATATATAGATCTTTTCAGTTTGATGAAGCAGATTTTGTCACTGCTTATGAAGGCCGGCCGAGCAATAATATTGGCCATGGGCTCTCATGCAACGCTCGGACCGACGCGGCGTGATTTGGTAAAAACCACCGAAACAAGCCCCTCTTACGTGAGACTTTGTGGGTCTGTATGGTCCTGTCCTGATCATGTCCATTTGCGACGGGCAGGATGCCGCAGTGCAGGGATATCGAAACAGTCGCCGAGCCAACCCAAGGCGGCTCCTTGAATACTGGGTGACTCTGCATACATCCAATCCATGCTTAGGATGAGGTTGACCAAGGCAGGGGCGGACCAATAGCGATCAAACCTGTCATACAATAGATCATCGTACAAAAAGAGATCTGTTGCTCCCCATCAGGCAATATTCACGCTCGCATTTTTCCCGCTAGATATTCAGACAAGCATTTAATGCAGCCGAGCGATTTCTTCCACTTTAAGCCGGGTACGCGTAATCGGTGATTCCACGTCTTTCCAGTCAATTAACAGGCATATGTTCTTGGTTCGTCATCCATCAGGTCTGACGATCAACTTCTATAGATGTTGTCGGCTATATTCTCGCGAGTATCTACACGTGGGGCTCCGTGAGAAGACTTTTACCTGGTTTTCCGTAGTAAAACAGTTGCTCTAGTGACCCATATAAAGATCCTTTGCGCAACTCATTAGAAATGCACATCAACCAATTTTTAAGTCGTATCGTACTGCGTCCAGTCCTCGATAATATATCACCGGCTCGCTCAACCTAATATTTTTAAATATTTAATAAGGAGGAAATGATGCAGCAAATGAATATTTGATAGGGATAAGAGGAATCAGTTAAAAGGTAAGAGAGAGCAGTCTGTCACTAGAGTCTGTCCTCATAAAGCCACAAAATAGTGATCATTCTGATACTCATGAAACTAGGTTATACACCAGCTTCTTCCTACTCAATTTTCCCTCTCGAAGCTGATTGATACCATGGAGAACACCCTCCAAGCCACCAGTGCAAGCCAAAGTTGGATGCGTACTAATCGTGCTCTCGGCGATTAATTTGGTCGCTAGCTCCCAGAACCTGTGCAATACCAATGGATCAGTAACTATGGCGTTACAATCGGAAAAGTTGACCCACATCTTGCCAAACTCCAGATCATCTGGCTTCGCAGGAATCAAGGAGTTACCCATCTCGAATTCCTCGTCATTGACGGTGTAAGCAAGCATGTGAATGTTTTTCACGTCTGCCCGAGGATGAGCCGTGGGGTTGAGGGAGCACATTTTCCCTCCGCCAGATGATATCGCCTCGCAGCATATTTTTGCCGAGTTGTCATGGGAAATGCAGTCGAAAGCAAGCTTGAGCGCATCATTCGTGTACTTTCGGATCTGCAGGATACGAGATTAGTTTCCGGGGCCCATTGAACGGCTAATATGGGGACTCTGGCCAGCCCTACTTTGGCACCACAAGCGGAATCTTTGTAGTTGAACGCCTTGCTTGCTCCAAGTTTTTGGACAAACACAAAGTTGCGTGGTGAGCAGGTCGTGATCACTTCATAGCCAGATCTAGGCCATATTGTTAGCGCATTTAGTCAGATACGGGGCTCGAGCTTCGGCCTTCCTTACAATGCGGCAAATTGAATCGCGAGGCTACCTGTGGCTGTACTGCCCCCGTAGATCAACACTGGAACTCCAGAAGGTTTGGAGGGTGGAAGCGGCAATCCCAGGGTCTGGTACAGTGCCAGGCCAACTGTAGTTAGGCCCACACCCAGTGTAGCCGCCTGCTCGTCGCTTAAATTGTCGGGGATCTTCATTTGCAAATCTCCTTTCGCAACGGCAAATTCTTGGTAAAATCTGTCAGCATTTAATCGGAATGTTGGTGGCGCCAGAGCTCACCGGCAAAGCATCCGTCCTCAAGATTAGTCGCGTTACAACCGTGGACAAAGGCTGCAATACGATCTCCCTTTCTCCAATCTTTGCTGACGGCAGGTCCAACCTGTTCAACCGACCCAGCAAAGTCGCATCCTGACGTAGCTCCGGGAGCTGGGATGAAGTCAATGTGCTTCCTGAGGGCAGACAATCAGTATCGGTACCATTGAGACCGTAATGGGGTCTTACCAGTCAGTAGGATTGATTGCTACTTGGTTTACTCTGCACAAGACGTAGTCATCTCGCAGTCTCGGCAACGGTACGCCCTGGATCTCTGCTCCTCCAGGACGGGTCACTTTGATTGCCTTCATGGTGGTCATCCTGGTGATTTGTCTTATGGGTGAGAAGCAATTCAAGTTGACGATGTGTTTTTGAGAGAACCTTCCTTTGGTCTAATAATGTATTTTCAAGGAAAGCGCTCTGTTAGTGCGTTCATTGTGTTGCCTTGGATTAGATGACACCAACACAGGGATATTCCCAGGGTTTCGGCCTCGGTCACATTTGATGCAAATTTCGGCCCGAGATTAGCATCTCCATGACGTTATTTAGCTTAATGTGGATCTTCTAGAACGGCTGTTTTTGAAGTGTCATGCGGTACGACATTCCTTGGTAGGCAGCTCAACCCTGAGTCTGCCACAAGTATGTGTCTCTCTCCAAAACAAGCCTATATAGAATTGCAGGGGCGGCCAGAATTCATAGGAGCGTCTTGATTGGGAATTTGATTCAAATATCTTTCTTATGATTGTAATTCACGGTAATGATCTGGCATCATTGTCGTTCTACAATGATGAAGTATTCTAACCCTAGCAGGTGCCACACACCGTCTGAATCGAAGCGAGAAGACAAAAGTAGACCAATTGCAGATTTTAAATCGAGTCGCGCAGATATTGGTATTAAAAGAGAAGTTCAAACGTGGTATTGCTTCATTTTGTATCGCATGCGTCCTTTCCCCTCGGTTCCCGGCAGAAAATACTGCAAGGTGAAGAAGGGACCTCGCTGAACCATTTATGCCGCCTTGACCTCATGGTCTGCATGTGCCAGTCTCGCCATGGGGATAGCCGAGCTCGCGATCGGAATCCGCGTCTTGAATGCTCGCTCGATCTCGGCCAAAGACTTCCCTTTCGTTTCGACCATATAGAAGAAACTTACAATGGTCGCGGCCGCAGTGCAGCCGCCGAAAAGAAAATAGGCACTTGGCACGCTCTTGTCAAGGAGAATTGGGCATACAAAGGCGACGAAAAAATTGCAAACCCAATTGGCGCCTGAGGAAGTTAGTAAAAGTAAAGCCGCGCCCTGGGTGTAAGACAAACCATATCCGAGACTGATCGCCTGGGCGCGTGTGTGCTGGGGCTGGATTTCTGGCGCCCACACCTTGATACTGATACCCCAGGTCGTGGCCTGCACAATGCAATAGAGATAGATAGACACGATGACCACCCAACGACCAGCACCATGCGTAGGAAAGACCGCACGGCCAGCATAGAGACTGCCAATCAAAATCATGAGCGTCGTCAGGCCCACTCCTCCCACCAGTGTGCTGGTGCGACGACCCCATTTGTCAGCTAGCAGTGTTGCAGGAATGCTTGTCGCGACTATAACGATGGCAGAGACACCAGATGCCTATACCAGAATTGAGATCAGCTTTATCAGGCCGCTTGAAAAGACCATGTACTGACCAAGAACGAGGCTTCTTGAGATTGCAGGCCGGCCTGCTGGAAAAGTAGAGGCGCATACTAGATAACAAAAGTCAGACAGTTCACCTCGGGGAAGGGGTAGTGGGATGGCTGAAAAGACCATACATAGAGGACAGCATCGATACCGCAGAGCTGGAGGAATCCCAAGAGAAACACTGCCAGAAATGTCTGCTTCCGCACGTCTCGAGTCCACAGGCTCCGAAAATTGGTCTTTTGTTTCTTTTCTTCTCCTGCTGGATTTGATTGCGATGGGATCGTTATGGGGTCGTCGGCTTCCCGGTCTTCCTGTTTGACTTCAAGTGCATCCCATACCTTCTCAGCCGCGCGATAATCCCGATGTCGAATCAGCCATCGCGGAGACTCCGGTAGAATAAATAGATTGATAACCAGGTACAAGATGGCCATCAAGATAATGATAATGAAGGGAAGTCGCCATGAGAGCGAGCCTGGTATGTTCACCGTACCATAGCTGATAAAATACCCAACTACCAGTGCCATGCATGTCATGAACTGCGGTCCCGAAGTGAGGGGCCCTCGTGCCTTTGGTGGTGAGATTTCACAGATATAGACGGTCTGCGTGCTGAAGTAGAGGCCATAGCCAAGGCCCTCAATGACGCGTCCTACGGCAAACATCGAGAGCTTCACTGCAGCGGCCTCCAAGATGACACCCACGGTAAAAACTCCTGCCCCAAATGCCATTGCTTTGGGGCGGCCCAGTCGGTCTGCGAGTCTGCCAGCAAATAAAGAGCCCAGGGCGGCGCAAAGAAGAATACAAGACACCAAGATACCATGGATGGCAGCGGAGTGCTTCCCAAATTGGTTGATGAAACTCTCCATGACGGTGACGGGCCCTATAACACTTGTGTCCATTCTGTCGATATAAAGGATTGTTAGTATTTTATTGGACTTGTGTTCATGAGATTGCCAGGCCAACGGACCCCAGTAGAAAGCCCCCAAAGGAACAGAGCACACTAGCAACGGTGTAATTTGCAGGCCGGAAACGAGACCATGACGGGAATCCAACGCTTAGTTGCATCCTTTTGTTAGATTGCTGCGTCCGCTTTTTAAATGAAGAGACCGTTGCCCGTGGAGAAACTTGGATGATGAGTGCTTTCTATGGGATACTGGTAAATGCGGCGAGTGTTAGTCCTTAATCACGAAAGAATATTGTCCCGCTTTTTTGTTGGTACCTTGTGTGAATTAAAATCACTGTAGTAGGAATCTGTGTCAGTTAGTAAATTGATGCGAGCAGTGCCTAGGGTAGGAAAGAAGATGTCCAAGGTGCGAGAGGAGGAAGAGGGGTGGGCGGGCAGTGGATGATGTAGGACCGTCGCTGAGTATGATTGGCAGCGTTTGCAGCACTGCAGTTGATTCATTGTTTTTCGCTAATGATGAGTAAAGCCACAGAAAAGGGGATCTGTACCGTTGTCTAGAGCTGTTTGGAGTTCCGGGGACCGTCTCTGCCTTCAAACATCTCGAATTTGATCATGAACTACAGTACTAGGTAAGGTAGTGTATCTAATTTTTAAAATCATACATTTTATGAACAAACATCTCGAATTTACAAGTTTGGAAAGCTAAATGACGTATTATGTCTAACAGAATTGGTTGTATTACACCCCATCAACCCACGACTAGACAACCATACTGGGGTAATCGACCTTGTTCCACGTTGACCCCTGACGGAGTAGGCGTTCACCGCCAGGATGGACCGCGCTGGGTATAATACACGCGTGCGTCAAGCCTTTTATCGGAGTTGGTATCCAGCTAGCGTTGAACTATCGCGTGTCTTTTGCCCCTTTCGGACACGCGTATTTTACTCTGCTTTGGGACATCCGAACACGAAGAATCCACCAAGTTGGTCATGCATACTGGACTCGCGTACTCGGAGGCAGTCCAAATCAGAGAAGGTTGAGCATGACTGGGCCCCGCCAGCCATCTTCATAATTGTGTCCTGCTCTGACCTCATCGTTCTCTTAACACCCACCCTGCTATCATCCACCTACCCTCACCGTTGCGACGACGTCACAGTCCAATACAATAGACAATGAGTGTCAGCCGTAAGATTAACCTCATGCAGCAGATGCCTTGCAGGAATAAAAATTCTGAAAAAGGCCAAAATTACGACGGCTATTCAGAGCTCTCTATGGCAGCTTTACAACACACGAGGAGATTCGTAACGCATTCAAAGACTCCGAGACATAAAAATGATGCCGGTCTCCGAGAGAAAGACAGATGCAGCAGAGTCTTTACTGAGCAAAGAAGTTTTACACATTTTCGCATCGAAGTCACGCAACATCCGTCTTTTCAACCAAGATCTTCGAGATGTTGACATTCAAGGGGATGTTGCTGATTTTATCAGCTCTTCTAACTACGACCCCTTTCCTGCTCTTGCTGTGGCTCTTTATTGTCTACTTTCGAGACGAGAAAGGCTTTCGCAAATATCCAACGCAGAACTGGGCATCCGGTCTGACCCCTCTGGCGTACGGATGGGAATGTGGACGCCCCCATCGGGATATTCATAGCAAGCGGCTACACGAGGCTCTGCAAAAGCATTCTGTGATACGCATCGCCCCAAATTGGTTGGCTTTTGGTCGCTCTCAAGCGGCGAGGGACATCTATGGCTATACCTCTAAATGTGTCAAGGCCGCCCCGTACGACCTGCTCTCCGACGGAGGGGCCAACCTAAACAACATCAGCGACAAATCTTTTCACTCATCACGTCGCCGTATGGTGGCGTCATCTTACGCACCGAAGAACATTCAAGAATGGGAGCCCAAGGTCGCCGCATCTGTCGCAGACTTGATGGCACAAATGGATGCACGGTGCACAGGACGCCAGGGACCTGAATCCTTCGATGCCGTCCACTGGATCTTTCTCTTCTCTGTGGAGACTGTCATCAAGATCATGCTGAGCAAGGATGTATTCTTTCTCCGCAATGGAACCGATCACGTTTACTTCGAAGACGCAGAGGGGCGGCCGCAAGCGGTGCGGACCGTTTATAACAGTCATGCTTCACAGCGCGCTGCTGTCACGGTCATTTGTATGTTGTCCACGAAAGAATCACTTCAGAATGAACTAACAGACGGATACAACGTAGGGGATATACCCAGGTTTGCTCTCTGGACTCGACTGACCAAACTGATCTCAAAGCGCTATTCGCATAATTGGTCGGCCGGCCCCAAGTTCCACGCTGCCATGGAGGCACTCACAAAAGAGCGGATGGAGCGGCATGCCAATGGAGAAGTTTTGAATGACCTGTTTCAGCCCATGATGGAGGACAAGTATGGGGAAGCATCTGTTATAACTTTCAAGGACCGCATTGCAGAAGTTGAGCAAGCTGGTGTGTCTAGATCCCCGGAGATATATTGAGATCTACGTTTCCTACTAACACCGGCCAAGTTGGAGCTGGGACCGATGGTCCGGTATGTTGTGTCAGATCCGATACGGTAAATTGTTCCAAAAGTGGTCGCTGATTCACTCAATTCCAGGCTGTCTCGATCTCCATGACCTTGTATTACTTGGTCCGAAACCCCCATGCCTTTGCCAAACTTCGACAAGAGCTAGACATCACGTTATCCCCGGAGGACCACGTTGCACCATGGCAAAAGGTGAAGGGTCTACCATACCTGCGGGCTTGCATTGACGAGGCAATGCGCCTGACGCCCCCAGTCGCGACCGAGTTGATACGTCGAACGCCGCCCGGCCACGGTGTTATGATCGACGGCTACCTTGTTCCCCCGAATACCAACGTCTCCATCGCTGCCTACACATCTCACCGCGATCCGCAAATTTTCCCAGAGCCCGAAACCTACGATCCAGATCGATGGATGGCCAAAGGGTCTGATAGTCTACGCAATATGCTGGGTGTGTTTATTCCGTTCAGTGCCGGCACACGGGGCTGCATCGGCCGCAATGTTTCCATCATGATGCAATCGGTATGCGTCGCAACGCTGGTATATCATTACGACTTTGCCCTGCCGCACAAAACTTGGGAAATGGAATTTGAGGAATGGTTCAACCTTTGGCCGATAAGACTCCCTTTGAGAGTTTGGCGGCGAGACTCGGCCTCCTTCCCTCAAACTTCTGTCATGCGGACCTAAAATCCAAACGATTCGACATCAGAAGAGAGTAAGGAAAAAGAAAAAAAAAGGAGCATGGACTACACGTCATTCGCTTACCCATTCTCAGCCGCATTCTCAGCCTCTCTCCTCTATGGAGTCTTGTCTATACTCAAAACTCCAGACCTGTGTCCTCATCTAGATCGCGTCTTTCTTCATTCCCTAGCAGCCGCTTTGCATTACTGAAGTCTTTCCAATGCATCATTCGTTCCAAAGATCGTATCTTGTCTTGGGTACGGTATCCAATTTCCCTCTCTATGGCACTCAATAGTGCATAGCAGCGCATCCTACTGGAAATACCATGAATATGTTTGCCCGCTTGGGGCTGTTAGTAATTGCGGATCCTTAGCAGTCATTTCTAGTCATGGACAGGCTTACCAAGATATATTGGTGTAATGGCAAAGCAACGAGTGCTGGCAGGTAGCTCCGAAGAGGCAATATTGATAATGGACTTAGCATGCTCCTGCACCTTGATATTCTATGCCTCGGTTTAGTTTGGTCATGGAGAGAAGCGGGCAATGCTCCTTACCGACAAACTATTTGACGGGCTGAACGTGTCCCCTTCTGCAAAAAGCAGAATTTGGGCCGCATGAAACCATAAAATTGCAGCAGCTATTTTGTGATTAGCTTTCAGACCCATTGGAGACAAGCACCCCGAAGCTCACCTGAGGCAGGAACTGGGAAGAAAATTTTCTGAAATCCACTCTCGGATACTTCGCCATACGCTATACCCCGGAATTCTTCTGTGGTGGTATCATACCACTCGTCGACCTGGTCTTTCAAACTTTTTCGGTCAGACGGCGACTCATTACCCTTGTATATAAGATTTACAATATGGCCAATCAACAACATTAAATAGTTTGCGAGGTGATCTTCCCATGCCTTGGCTCCTGGTTTTGTGATATTCCATCTCTTTGGGTCAAATTGAAGGGGCTCCTGGTTGCTCAAAGCAATCGTGATTTCATGGCGCATGTAAATGAAGAAGTTGGCCTTGTCCAATCCAATGGAGCTCGCAGAGATTCCCCGAGTGATGATCAAATTCATGGCGCCTTTGTAATGGGATTGATGGGAAGTCCTGGATGCCGCCAGAGCCTCATAACTACTTAATAAGATAGCCGCAGTGAGTGCATCGCTGTCTGGCTCTCCGCAGCTTAGCGCCACGATCATATGATTCAGTGCCTAGGTATGTTAATCAGAACAGATATGTAAGGGAGGGGCCAAGAAGTAGGGGCAGCAATGTACTTCGCCATAATACCGGGAGGCGATCGGGGACCAAACCTCGCCCGAGACTAGCAGGGAAAGATTCCGCGCAGTAAAGGCGCAGATGCAGCGGAGCAGGAAATCCGAGTGCAAAGCACGTCTGGAAACCTCTCTTTCGTATGTTTTGTCAAAGTCGAATACGTCCATCCATGTCGCCAAACCGGCACGGAAGGTGTTGAGCAAGGTGACCACCTCGTCGTTCAATTCCACCGATATTCCGGATGAAGACGGGCGTGATAGTGAGCGAGATGATTGAGATGCCACAGTTCCTTGAATGGAAGGCGTCAAGGAGCTAGAGAGCTCACTGGTGCTCCCTTTGGATGACGCTCGCGTGGCCTGGGGGCTGAATAATGGCAGGAACTTGGAGAAGGTAGACGTCGAGTCGGTTTCGCGTTCCTCCCCGGGAGGTGGATCCGTAGAAAGAATGTTACTCCACGTCGACTGGGTGATGAACTCGGACGGGCGGCATTGGAGACCGAGACGCTCACAATTGTTGCATACTGGGGTTTTCTCATCGCACCGCGTGTGCCTAGATTTGCAGGTCGCACTGCCATGGATTAGTGTCTTGCTGTAGCTTTCTTCGTCACCAAAGGCGCATCACTTACCATCCTAAGTTCGTCCCGTCAGTCAGTCGGTCAGTGACTTCGTCATCAATAACTCCATACCTGTCTTCTTCCGGGAAGTGCCACGCCTGCTGCGGTTCGTACTGCCTCTACTTCTTGCCGAGTCCATCTACTGATTTTCAGGACTCGAATCCGAGCCAAGTGCCAGCTTCGAGGCTTTGAAAGAGACTATGAGGCGCCGCTGATTTTTGGAGACCCATGATCTAGACAATGCGGCTGCCCCCGCTTCCCCGATTCCCCGCTTTCCAATTCCCCGAGATACAGTGGAAACAGAGAAAAGCTACTAACCCACCTACCCAAGCAACCTTAGGTATCTACCTAAGTCCGTCACGGTGCGCCCCCAAGATAAAGCAAGGTAGCATAATAGTGTGTTTACCCTCTGCTCCTGGGGCTGGTGCTAGTCACGGAAGAGTCTCCCGCCGTCTGGTCAGCCGTTGCTGCCAATCGGAGTTCTCCGAAAACGGCTAGCTCATCAATTGTCATCTCAATGATTGTTGGCGATATTAGTGTTAAGGTTGATACTGAGAGGCTTTTGCTTTATTGCATTGTGTGGTCTTAATGATAAACTGATCTTCTTCTATAATACAGATCATCAAATTATAGTATGCATCATTTGGAACTTGTCCTCTCACCAGGACATCAGATAGACCTTTTCCTGAACAGAGCTGAGAAAGAGCCGTGAAAAAAAACTAGTCCAAGAAAGAAAGAATGGGAGAGGTGGAGAAACAGGGAGTGAATGGTATCCTTGTCAAATACGCGTGTAATATTTGAAACACCACAATCTTGGAATTTGTGGCTTGGCAGCCTTGCGGGTTAGTGGTGGCAACTTATACTTCAGCGGGCGGCCCTAGTCTAACCCTCCTTGGATAGTTAACTTACCACTCTAGTGAATAGAAAGCTACTGTGTAGGTACTGGCTGCCTTACTGTGATTCATGGATGCCAAGAGTATCAGGGACCCTGGGGTTGATGCAATCACATGAACATAGATGCATCCACCTTTTGGCAGAGGAGTAGACTTTTTCAGTTTAGTATTTTCGTTCAATACTACAGGATCATTATTCCTCTCCCATGTCACACTTACTGGCTCACTTGGGGTGAGAATCACGGCGGGTCCGACCCGTCTTGGTACTACTAGGGACGGAATGTCTATCTAGTAGATCCCGGAAAAAATTATCTAAGGGATCACAACGTGATCGCCCATAGAAAAATCACAAGGCATAAGCGAATCCTGGCGCTACATGTTGCATGGGCTTGTAGTGAGGCGTGCATCTAGGATAAGCACTAGAGCGAACCCCCGTCAGCCTTAGTGGGTCGTCGTAACGAGTACCCCGAGGCTGGTATGCAGGGGCGGGGTCACACCTGCATGGCTGGCGTAGATGTCGGGTCAAGATACCCAATTACTACCCTGGAAAATGTTCAATTAACGGAAAATATTCGGCTAACGAAAATAGACTAGAAAGTCTTCGCCTATTTCAAACCCATGTTTCCTCAAAAGGCGGCAAACAGCAGCATTGCCCAGGGTGCAGCTGGCCTTCAATTCTATTTCAAAGGATTTTTGAAGACCTAATAAGACGAGGCAAAAGTACATTACTCAAATTCTGTACATAGAAGATAACTGGATCCAGACCTCCAATGGGTTGGCAAGTCCCACCCACATGGCGCTGCGCACGGATACTTCACTCCCGTCCCGTCTCCGGCTCCGCCAACGCTAGTGTGCAGGGGTCCGGCGCCGATAGGGTAGGGTAGAGCCTGGTGCAGCGAATTTACAACCGGACCAAAAGAGTAATTGAAACAGCGGAATCCAGGACAATCTGATCATATCTGACCGCCTACCCACTTAGACTCACATATAGCATCCTACCAAAAAATATTCGTCATAGCCCTGGAGGCCTGCGCCTCGCCAGGATAATTATTGATGCCTAGTAGGTGCAATTTGGATATGCTACTAGACACTAGAGATAGGATAGAAAGGTCAGGAGTGTTTATTGTATATAGTCAGATTACGTCAGACTACGTCAGATAGAACGGACAGTATAATGTTATACCTGATGCTCGTGAAACATATCCAATCCCGGGGCCTTAGGAGAATATCAGAAGTAATTAGATTTAACGATGAACTAGGTTCATGTAACAATTGACCTTATGTTGATATTTATCAATGGACATCCATATCTGTATGCGCTCCCATTATGACCTGCCTAGTTGATGCTTAATGATTATCAATCCGTCTGAGATCGGGTGCGCTGAGATTTCTTTGGTTCCAGCCTAAACTAAAAACCCCTCCGTAGGGTAAAAAGTGCATTGAATACGTGCTGGAATGGCGCCCGGGGATTTGGAGGGGGGAGGGAGGTGGGGAGAACGCCAAGATCGACGCGTGCTTCATCTATGCATCTTAAATCAAGTTTTTGTGAAAAAGAAGGGCCAAATAAATGCCCCAGAGCTTGATAGGATCACTAATAATCGAGTTGTATCTCCCCTGCCAATTAATATTTGTGCCCCACTCCTGCATATACAGTAAGTTTTGGATGGATTGTGAGATTGCGACAGTGGCTCTGCTTCCCTTGTGATAATGGTAGATCTTGATACCTTTTGAGAAATGCCGCCCACCAACCAAGAACAAGTTGAAGTCTGGGCCAAACCGAACGTGTCGATCTAGTCTCATAGATCGTATTCGTCATGCAGAGTAAATAAAGTATCCGTAATGCTACGTAAGTGGGGTTGGGGCCGAGCTTAGTATCACCAAGCTACTAAAAAGGAAATTCAATCTCGTCTACTTTGCCAGGCCGAGGCGGGTTGTACAAGGATACAGATACACGGCCTGTGTAGAATACAAATGGCTGAGTTCGGGCTCCAGGGGTACCTACGTATATAAGAGCTCATACCGGAGTTTGTCGGGGAGAAGGAGCTACCTATTCTGCGTGATCTAATGACAGAAAGAGTCAAATCTGCTCGAATTGTGTTCCGTGTCGAATTCTGTCAGCAAAGTGTGGTCTCCTTATGGCGTCTTTACCGAGGAGAGAAAAGCCCAATCGGCACATCGCCTGCTTTCAGTGTCGACAACGGAAAGTAAAATGCGATGGCCGACAGCCGTACTGCAAGCGTTGTGCAAGCGGTGGGGTTGCGTGGGAATGCTCTTACAGCGCATCAGCGCGTCAGGGTCGAAAGAAGCAACAATGTGAGCATACAATTGAACAAGTTGAGATGAGGGTGTCAAAAGCTAATTCATTCATGGGGTATAGTACCGTCGCTGCCCATGTTGGACGAGGCTGAGATTACGACAGCCCAAGACCACCAGGATCAACCAACGTTAAATGCCTCACTGTTCGAGTCAGTACCTTACGACATGCCCTCAAATATGCTTACCAGTTCGGAAACGTCGAGTGGATCGCCGGCTACCGGCCTATTCTCTCTACAAAGCGAACTTGGCGACGGCAGTATCAATTCCTCATCTACAAGTGCCGTGTTCAGTGACTTCCAGAGCAAAGACGTCACATCAACATCCGAGATGTTCAATCAGGCCTCCAAAATAGATTTTGCTCCATCTTTGTCATACTCTCATGTACAGCACCTGTCCCCAGCCACTATGGAAATGCTGTAAAATCTGCCCGAGCCTAAACGCCGTGTTACAGTGAGGCTAACTTTATGCAGCTTTTTGACTTACTTCCAATCTTGCCAAAGCGTGTGCCCTCTGTTCAACAATATAGATCGCATGCAAAATCTACTTCATGGGATTTCGAATGATAGAGTTGCTGTGAGATATGCAATCTGCGCCCTTGCTCTAACTGTCAGTCCGCAATCGGCTGCTTGGATCATGTCGGATCCAAGTGCAACCTTACCTCCCTCGAATTACCAATCAATTTTCTATCATGAGGCACAGACTGCCTTGCAGCAAGAAAGCCAATTGCAAACACCCCAAGCCCCGTCCCTTCGAGAGCTGCAGGCAACCGTACTGCTCGGTCTGTATGAGCTGCACTGTGCTGACTTTGGTCGCGCGTGGGCCACAGCAAGCCGGGCAGTTTGGTTCACCCACGCACTTCAGCTGCATATTCTAGACTCGGGCCACGGAAGCTCCTCAGTCGACGCTGCAGATACAGAAGATGCCCGCATGGCCTTGTGGGCCGCCATGGGCCTCACTGGCTTTATCTCGCTCGGAGGTCGTGCGATAGACTCCATTAGTGTTGCGGAGGTAAGCGATCACAGTACAGAAACTACTTGTCTTCGTCCTCTGATTTTGAAACAGATCAGTACCTGGCTGCCACGGCCGCCTGTCGATCCCTTTGTGCCCACTGCCGGTGTGACGGTTTTTGGAGTATTCCAGAAAGCAGTCTCACGAGCCTTGGCGGTAGAGGAAGGCATATGTGCTGCCAAAATACTATTTCCTCGAATCGTCTCCCACGTGAAGACTGTTAGTCAGGAGGAAGACGCCGGCTGTCAGCCGTACAGCTTCTGGACAAACCATCACAAGCTGCACCACATCGTAAGCCATATATTTAATGGCACAGAGGCTGAGAATAAAGCCAAACCGGTTTTAGATATTGTGTTGAACGCCATGTTGGTTGTTCTCCATGAAGCGCTGATCAGAAAGACGTTCACTTCGACAAAATTACGGTCAGACAAAATGAGAGACGCAGAGGAAGCGGCGCTCCAGCACTCGCTCCAAATTGCGAAGATAGTGGAGACCGATGTTCTTTGTCAAGACTCATGGGCTCGAGTCGCCGTCCCATGGGCGGCTTACGTCGCTCTCCAGTCTCTTCAACAGCGTCAAAAGAGGAGCTTTTTGCACTACGAGGTGCAACAGATAGATATTCAGCTCCTCGGCGTCCTTGAGGGCTCAGGAGATAACCTCATCTCACCAGTTACAAACGCGTTTCTACCGCCGGATGCCGCATTGCTAGTGGATGCTTTGGTGCTGGACTCAGTGAATGCGCTTCGGTCGACATTGTTGGACTGGAGTAATGACATACCCCTTGCAACGTTTCTTTCCACACAGGTTAACGCAGGGACTGAAGGCCTTGACTATGCCCCTGGAGAGTGCGTCGTGGGGCTGATTGACTTTACTGCCTCATTAGCAGTTGCATAACTAGCTTCAGCTTGAACTTGGGCTTTGTCAATCAATGGGATATTGTTGCTGTATTCGGGATCTGGCTCTTCGAGGTTCTCCAGGGAATTTAGTAGTTACCTCAGGGGGCGAAAAGAGTGCGGTGCCTGTTTTGCGAACTGGCAAACTCTTTCAGCAGTCACATATTTCTGTCTTCATTACTTAGACAAGAAGTCAATTCAATCCATTTCACACCTTACCCCCTGCTCCTCCTCTCCAACACAACACATCCAACTACTACCACACTGGCGAACGAAGCCTTTAGCCGACTGTCTTACAACTATCTTTATTTAATATATTTCGTTCATTTCGAGATTTATCTGCCATCATCAACATCTGCTATAAAAGTATCGCAGAGCGTATCACTCAAATATTTCCTGCATGCCTCTTGACGTCTTGAAACTATTGACTCTAGAGAAGCAGGAATATCGGCCTCTTCCATGACCACTTTCGGCGAATCCTTGTGAGAAACTTGAGACAAGCCAGCCTATCACCCAGCCTATCACCCAGCCTACCACCCATGTGACACCCATCACGACCACAATCAAGCATCAGGAAGTTGTCTGTCCGTTAACTACGCTCGAAGTCATCGAACTCTTCGATGACTTTCCCTTTTTCTCTTTCTGCGCCATCATATACTCTTCAACAACACTGGTGTAATCATGCGGGCCATGTGGCTCGAGGAAGTTTGCAAACATGCCCTTCTTGCGCTGGGAATTGACTCCAAGGTCGCGAAGAAGACGATCCAGATACGGAATCCAGTCAAAAAGCGCGTACGGGTACCTCTCACCAACGCCCAGATACCTCTTGCGGGTCCAGGCATTCCACTCGGCCACCTCCTGGGCCATAGCCTCCTCGCTGGGGGTATCTACCTCCCCCAGCAGATACGCAACGGCCCAGAGGGATTGAATGGCCGCGATCGTAGGGGTCTGGGTAGTATGTATCTGGCCAAGGATGACAAGCGACCGATCATCGTCTTTTGCCGTAGAAATAGGAACACATCTGTTGTAAAGTCGCCAACGGCGTTGTGTCCAGACACGGTTGGGATCTGGCTTTTTGAAATCCTTCGGTCCAGCTGCCAAAAGTGGTAACTTTCTGGCGACCACTGCGTCCGCTAACTGGTCGCGGGCCTGCCAGTTTGAATCTGACTTGGCAGAATATCCCTGAGACATTGTAGCCCCAGATTGTGGTATTCCAAGCTCTTCTTTCACCTCTGGAGAGAAGAAACTGAAATGATCGCCCCATCCGGTGCAGTAGATCATATACTGGGCAGCGACCGTCTTGTCAGACCGCAGAGTTGCCCCTGCTGCATCCACATAGTCGACATTATCACGCAGGATGGTAATGTCGCCCTTCTTGAGGGTGCTCCAAAAGTCACTCATAGTGATTAAGCCAATTGAACTATCGCACCAGAAGCAGCTGTTTCATGTCTTGTCAGACAAAATGATTTCTTTACGGGTCGCGTGAAACACACCTTGCGTCGCGTACATCAGGCCGTAGCCCTTCGATCCAGCCGCCATCTTTTCCAAACCCTGCTGCCTTTTCTGCTTGGCCCGTGATGAAGTTCCAGAACAATTTGGTCAAGCCGCGGCCCAACATCGTTCGATGAAAGAAAGCACCGAGCGTCGAGTTCGTAGTCATCAGCGAGGGGCTAAAATAGTTCGTCATCCGATTGGAGCCGAGGGTGATGGTATTCTTCGGTGATTACAGTCAGTAAATAATGAATTGTAGGCATAAATGTTGGGCATGGCTTACCATTCCAAGCACGTCGGGGGGCATAATCGGCATCGGTCCGGAACCTTCCGGTCGAATGATCCTTTATCAAGTTAATTCCATATCACGAATAAAAGCCGTCTTTTATAGTTACCAGGTCACCTTTTTGCCAAGGGTGCAAAGGTGGTACACCACATCATACGCTGATTTGGCCGCACCCACCACCACAAAGTGATGGGCCTGATCATTCGAGAATTTGGTCACATTCGACGCAATATCAAGGCTATGAATCACGGGGATCGAGTCGCTTCTGACCTCGAATGATGGCGAGTTCTTAATCGAGGTAACCCCGGTCGCAATTATGAGTTTTCTAGATAGAACAGTATTACCGTTGACTGTCAATTTCCAACCTTGAGCACAACGTTCGATGTTCGAGACCCAACTTTCAAAGCGGATGCGTCTCTTGAGATCATTATCATTTGCATATTTATCCAGATATTTGAAGATCATTTCCCCCGAGACCAAGTTGTTGTCTGTGGCCCCATCTTTAGGCATTGGAGTGTCGGGGTAATTCTAGCCATGCGGTTAGCAGGGAGAGGGGCTCACGGCCACTACCTTACTACCCCGATTCCACTTACGAAGTAGCCATACTCGACCTGAGCCACAAGATTGGGATAAATGCGGTCCCGACTCCATGTACCTCCCACAGAGCAGTCTCTTTCGAAGATTGCAAGACGGGTGTCCGGCCTCAGTTGTAGGTAGGTTCGCGCAACCTTGAGGCCATAGAATCCTGGCAAGATTTATTAGTTCCAGGACGCGATGTCTGTGTTGAAACCCGCTGAAATAACTTGCCTGCGCCAACAATGGCGACATCGAGGATGTCTTCAGTTCCGTTCATCGTTCGTAAATATGAATGTGGATTTGCACGTATTCAGCCAAATTCGGTATACTGAAGAAGAAACTTATCTATCCGGGCCCTGGTTTTATAGTCTGGGAGACCATCATAAGCACTGCACTGTCTCATAGAATCCTGCCTGCGGACTGCGTATGCTCTGTACAGAGCCCTATCGTTCAGTCATTGCAGTGATGGCCCCGAGCTGCGGCCCGAGCCCTGCATGACTAGCGCCCCCGAGAAATCACATACGTCACGTACAGTATCGAAGTATTACGTCTTCTTTGTTTCTCGAAATGGAAACTTACACGATAGCCTAAGCTTCATCTGACTTTGCTACAGGCACTCCAGACTCACCAACCTTTTTACGGCCGAACTCTTTCCAGATGTCCGAGCTTTCATGTGGGCTTCGGACCGGGCGACAAACAGGAATTGTCTTCCGTTGACCTCACCTTGTATCTCTATTGATTGCCCACTATATAAGCCGGGCTCGCGGTGCCACGAATGCAAATGTAACACGTCTCAAGTTAAGTAGACACCCAAATCAAACACACCAGCCACACCCAGCAATGCCGTTCGTCAAGGAAGAAGAGGTCTCGTTGGAGCCCATCGCCATTGTTGGCATGGGTATGAGATTTTCCCCTCCCCTCTTGCCCATTGTTGCTTGCTTCTTATTCTGATTATATTGTGGAACAGCTTGCCGCCTTCCTGGGTCCGTCGATTCTGTTCCCAAATTTTGGGACATGCTTCGGGAACAAAGATCTGTGAAAACGCCAAGAGTGCCCAGCAATCGGTTCAATATCGATGCGCATTACCACCCCGACCTCTCCCGTCCGGGATCATTTTCGGCCTTGGGAGGCTACTTTCTAGATGGCAACCTCGAGGACTTTGACTGTACATTCTTCAATATGACGCCGGTTGAAGCCCAATGGCTGGATCCGCAACAACGTAAGATGCTCGAAGTTTCCTACGAGTGCATCGAGAATGCCGGACTTCGACTAGATCAAGTGGCGGGCACCAATACCGCGGTCTACGTCGCTAGTTTCACTAGTGATTACCAGCAGATGTCTATCTTCGAACGCGACTTCCGACACAACTATGCGGCCACGGGAGTCGATGTCGGCATTATTAGCAACCGCATCAACAACACCTTCAACCTGAATGGTCCAAGTTTCACAATTAACACGGCTTGCTCTTCTTCGGTATACGCAATCCACAACGCATGCCTTGCTCTACGCGCACGAGATTGCGATGCCGCCATAACTGGGGGGGTCAACCTGGTTCTTATCGTGGTAGGTGCCCCTCTGTGATACGTTGGATCAATTTGAACGTACCCTCTGAGACATATCACAGGATCAACACATGAACACCGCAAAGTTAGGGGTCCTTTCTCCCACATCAGAGTAAGTGTATATGGTTTCTTGCCTTTCGCTAGATTTGGGAATTGACTCTTTTCAGATGTCATACATTCGATCAATCTGCAGACGGGTACGGGCGCGCCGAAGGTGTCGGTGCTCTCTATCTTAAGCGCTTGTCTGATGCCATGAGAGATGGAGATGTTATTCGGTAAGCAATAACTCGAACGGGTTACTGACTACGGAGAAAGGATGGCTGATTTTTATTCATTACTTTTCACATAGTGGCGTGATCCGATCATCTGCAGTCAACACGAACGGTAAAGTTGAAGGTATGGGGATTACCTTCCCCAATGTGCTTGGCCAAGAGCGTGTTCTTCGACAGGCATATAAAAGGGCCAACCTGGACCCGAGCAAGACCGCATACCTCGAATGCCACGGAACCGGGACACCCAGTGGAGACCCAATCGAAGTGAGGGCAGTCTCAGCTGGTATGAATGATACCCGGGACTCTGAGAAGCCCCTGCTTCTTGGGGCCGTGAAATCTAATATTGGCCACAGCGAAGCCGTAAGCTCCCCTCCCGCAAGTGGATCTTGACCATGCTGTATTATCTCATTTCTAATACGGCTGTATCAATAGGCATCTGGAATCTTTGCTACCATGAAGGCGGCGCTGAGCACAGAGAAAGGTCAAATTCCAGGAGTGCACGGCTTTCAAACACTGAACCCGAACATTAAAGAAAAGGAGTGGAATGTCAAAATTGTGACGGAACATACGGCCTGGCCAACAGACTTCGACGTGCGTCGAGCAAGTGTATCTTCTTTCGGATACGGAGGAACCAACGCGCATCTGGTGATCGAAGCTGTTGAGAGTCTGTGTCCCTGGTATGAACATGGCCAGCCCAAAGCGTCCGCAAAGTACGAGTACCAAGACGGGGGCAGACCTTTCTTGGTAACCATGAGTGCCCACGACGAGGTCACCCTCACTCGGAATATCCAAAGCCACCAGAAGATTGCCGGCGGTTATCACTTGCCCGATCTTGCATACACCTTGAACTGCAGGAGGACTCGATTTGCGTCCCGAGCTTACACGATTGCCTTCGCGGACCGAGTACCAGAGGCATTTGATACCGACAGCTTTTGCCACGGATCGCAACTGGACAAACCAAGCAAGGTTGGATTAGTCTTTACCGGCCAAGGAGCTCAGTGGGCACGCATGGGGTACGACGCTATGCAACACTTTCCTCATTTCCTTCAAACTATAGACACGTTAGACCAAATCCTGAGTCAGACCGAGCCAGCCCCAAACTGGAGCCTGAGGGCCGTTCTCGAGGCTGCAGCTAAGTCGAGTCCCGTCAATAACGCCGAAATCTCACAGCCGGCATGTACGGCTATTCAGATAGCGATGGTCGACCTGCTAGTTTCGTGGGGTGTCGATCCAGCAGTTACTGTGGGCCACAGCAGCGGCGAGATTGCGGCTGCTTACGCAGCAGGTAGAATTTCTGCACCTGAGGCTATACTGGCAGCTTATTTCCGTGGTCTCGCCGTTGCACGAGCTGCATCTGCTGGAACAATGCTAGCGGTGGGCTTGGGGGCCACAGAGATTGAGGATTACATTCCGGAAGAAGTGGCCGGTAGCGTCACCATTGCCTGTGATAACTCGCCGAAGAGCGTCACCCTGAGTGGCAGATCAGAGGATATTGCGATTGTTAAAGGTATCCTGGACGAGACCGGAGACTTCAACCGTGAGTTGAAGACAGGGAAAGCCTATCACTCACCTCACATGGATGATGTTGCTCCATTGTATAGCGAACTCTATTCAAATGCGCATCCAAACCTCACCAAGGAGGACCTGGCCTGGCGTCAACCATTTGCTCCAATGGTCTCCTCTGTGACAGGTGCTGAGCTCGCGGAGTCGGACTTGGGCATCTCATACTGGTGTGAGAATCTCAGAAACCGTGTCCAGTTCAACTCGGCTGTGACAACCTTGATCAAATCTGAATCATACGCGGACGTTGACATTCTTGTCGAGATAGGGCCCCATCCGGCACTCGCTGGTCCCCTCAAACAGGTCTTTGCCGCAGAGGGCTTGCAGAAGCATCACGTCGCGACATTTAAGCGAGGTGCTGACAGCGCCATTGCACTGCTCAAAACGGTTGGTGAGCTGTACCTGAAAGGTGTGGACGTCCAGTTCGACCTTATCAACAATATACAAAAGTCGGTCACAACACCAAGAGGTCCAGACTCCAAGGGTAAGAGCTCTACGCCTAAATATTTACCAGACCTGCCATCATATCAGTGGAATTACGACAAGCAATACTGGAACGAACCCCGTGCTGTGGCCGAGCTTAGACGATCAAAGCATCCCCGCCATGATATTCTGGGACGCAAGATTTTTGGACTATCCGCCAACGCCTCAACTTGGAAGAACATCCTTCGCCAGCGCGATGTGGAATGGTTTTCAGCCCATAATCTCGGTACAGATACCGTATTTCCTGCTGCCGGTCATATATCATTGGCGATCGAAGCCCTCCTTCAACAGCTGGATATAGATCCGCATGAAGCCGCTGGCGTGACGCTCAGGGACATCAGCATGCCAAGAGCGCTGCTCATTCCCGACGATGACCAAGGAATTGAGGTGCACACGCGCCTTCAACAGGCCGTGGGAGGCTGGTACGCATTTTCTGTTGAGTCAACTACCACGGAGGGGCTATGGACCATCCACAGCACTGGAAAAATCCGAAAACAGTCCATCGACGGTTCTACTAAACGATCAAATTGTCCGTATGAAGTCAGTCAATTGCACCGGCGAGTTCCGGGGAAGCTGTGGTACAGGGCATTTGATCGTGTTGGGTTCCATTATGGATCGAGTTTCCAGTGTATGGAAAACGTCAGGGCCAACGGCAAAGATCGTGTTGCTGCAGCGGAAGTGAAAGTTCGCACAGAGTCTGGTTCGATCAATCAAGAATCACGGTACATGTTGCATCCCTCCACGATTGACGGTTGCCTCCATGCAGTCATTGCGTCTGTGCACCGTGGTCTCCATAAAGAAATGGCCTGGGGAGTGGTTCCGCTTGAGATTGAGCAAATGACTGTCAATTTCCCAGATCAATCCGAAATGGATAGTCAAGGCCGGTGCCTAACATGGACGGAAAACACCCGGGCCAGGTATTTTCAGCAGAACGTGGAGCTTTTTAGCAGCCAGGATCGGTGCCTGCTTAGGATCCAAAATCTTAAGCTTGTTATTTACGACGCGGCTGTTCCAGCCACGAGCGCGTCTCCACGGCCCAAAAACCCTTACTCAAGAATATCCTGGGAAGAAATCAGCACGGCAGTGAACTCGCCTTCCGACTCCAGCATCTCCACGGTTGTGGTCAGTTCGTCTGGGCTCTCCTTACTTGCTACTCACTTGAACACAAACTGCACCAGCCTGTCCAATGATCTGCACGGATTACCTTGCGATACGGTCATTGTAGATGAGACTGAAGGCTCAATTCTAGCAAATCCCTCGGCAGAGATTTGGGACAATCTCAAATCAGTACTGACATCTGGGAAGCCGATCGTCTGGATAACACGCGGTGCCAACCAAGGCGATTGCGCTGAAGCGGGAATTGCTCAAGGGTTCTTGCGTGTTGTCCGATCGGAGATGGCTGCAGCTAAAATAGTTCTATTGGATGTCGATCGAGAAATTAACCCAACGAAACTAGCCTGTGAAGTCCAGCACTATCTCTCGACTGCGGCTGCTTTAATTTCTGGAAAGGACAACGAATTTTGGCTGACCAAAGACGAGACAACAATGGTGGCGCGTATCACGCCAGATGACGACCTTGTCTCTTTAGTTCATCACGAGGAACCGCATCAGACAACACCATTCAACTCAGGGGCGTATCACATCGGCCATATTGAGGGCGACGAGGTGGTCTTCGAGACGAACGAGCTATCCACACATCCTCTTCTTCCATTGGAGGCTGAGATTCAGGTCTCGCATTCCGAGCTCAGTAAAGAAGATTTAAGCACGGGAGCGAGTGATCGAGGTCGAGTGCGCATCGTCACGGGCACCGTGGAGCGCGTCGGCGCCGGGCTTGATACCAGTCTCCTAGGTCGGACGGTCGCAGCGTGCGCCAAGACACTGCACATAATTGAGACCAGGCTTGTCACCAGTCACTTTGTAGTGATGGACAGCAAGGCTATGGCTTACGCATCCAGCCTTCCATACCTGTGCAAAGCTGTTGATGCCGTTCTGTGTTCCGCGAGCGCCACCTCCGGCGATCATCTACTCGTCCTTCCCGGATCACCGCTCCTGAGGGATGCAATCTCAAAGCTTGGTGCTCAGCTAGGATTCCAAGTGTCTATTGCCGAGGATAACATTGCACATGTGGAGGAAATATTTGCTCGCTCGGAGCCCCCGACCATTGTTGTCGCCAGCTCGCCGTCCTCGCTCATTCCCGATGTCTGGAGTTGCATACCCGCAGGATCAAAGCTTGTTCTCAGCGATATCGAATTGGATGGATCTTTGGACTCCAGACCATTTGCAAGAGGTGCTAATGTTTCATTTCGCGGGATTGCTAAGGCATACGACAACAATAACGGATTAGAATTGCAAGATATTCTGAAGAAGAGTGTGGCTGCTCTTTCCAATATTTACCACGTCTGCACTGAGGAATTGACGCCGTGCTTCGACGTTGGGGAATTGACGAACATAGAGCATGTCCGTCAAGAGATCGCCAAGACGGGTTCAGGCGTCGTCAATATCCTTTACGGTCAAAGTCAAATCAAGGTAAATAGCCTCCCACAGTATAATTATAATATCCACGAAACGGTTGTGCTTACTCTCACAGTCTCGTGCACCCCGCCCTAAGGTTCGATTCTCTTCCGATAGTGCATACATACTGGTCGGGTGTCTTGGCGGCCTTGGGCGCAGCTTGACCACTTGGATGCTGGAGAGAGGCTGTCGGGATTTTGTATTCCTCTCACGGTCCGGAACCGCCACTGCCGAAGCTGCGGGTGTCGTGAAGCGGCTTGAGGAGGCCGGTGCTTCTGTCGGTGTCTTCTGTGTTGACGCAAGCGATGAAGCGGCGGTCACACGCGTTGTCGCAGATGTATCCTCCACCAGGCCGATCAGGGGAGTCATTGATGCGGCCATGGTCCTCCGTGTAAGTCAGCACCCGCCACCGAGTAGAGACCTTGGAAGGTCACTTTGGCTGACATATCGCAGGATGGACTCTATAAAAGTATGACAGTAGAGCAGTATCACGCAGCTCTCAAACCTAAGATGCAGGTGGCTTTGGCTCTTGATAGAGCGCTTGGCACTACCACCCTTGATTTCTTCATCATGACCAGCAGTTTGTCTGCTGTCCTCGGCAATCCTGGCCAGGCTAACTACTGTGCCGGCAACAGCTATCTGGATTTCCTGGCTCTCTGTCGCCGCAAGCGGGGTCTCGCAGGCTGCTCCATCGCCCTTCCCATGATCGAGGATGTGGGTGTCGTGGCAGAGAACGTGGCGATTGCGGACTCCCTCACGCGAAAGAATCCCTTTGGGATAGATGAGCGCGAGATGCTCATAGCCCTAGAAGTTGCAATCGTCCGAAGCACCGTGGGTGGGGCCGGGCAGTCATCCAGCAACCAAAGCATCTCTCCGATATCGCCAATCGACGATGCCCGACTCGTGCTAGGCCTCGAGCCACTAGCTGTCATGGCGGTTATCGAAGCATCAGCTGCAGACATGTCCGACGCGTATTGGGTTCAGGATGCTCGGCTAGGCTCGCTACGCGCGGCATTAGAGAGTCTTGCTGCTGAAAAAGATGCAGCAGGTGGAGGAGCACAAGGGGCTCGTGACGGAGCCCAATCGTCCATCACATCTGCCTCTCTAGCAGGCAAATCAAGGACCGAAGTCATGGATATCCTTGGAACGCACATTATGGGCAGGACCGCTCGAATCCTGGGAATGCAGTCTGACAAGTTCCACATGGACGGCGTGTCCGTCGCGCGGCATGGAGTGGACTCCATGATCGGCGTGGAGTTGCAAACTTGGTTGTTTAAGGAGTTCGGGGTGCAGATCAGCGTTCAGGTCTTGTCAAACCCCAACACAACATTCCGGTCTTTGGCAAGCTTGGTTGCCGAGCACCTTTACGTCGCTGCTTGAGTCGTGGCGGGCCGATGCTCCTGGCCTCCTCAGTAGTCGCACTCTATTACGGTCTTGGCTTGGTCCAGTGCCGTGAATTGAGCATCCGTGATTGCATACAGCTTTTGGACTATTCCAGTACCTGCTTGGTTGTTAGAGGAGGATGGGGGGAGATTAATTAATCTCCGAAATGATTTGTAGAGCTAGTTTTGTTCCCACGGCTTAGTTGCTTGGTTTGATTTGGCTTACATCTGTTGTATTTACTATGAATTTACCATCTACAAGCACAGCTGTCTTCAGTCAAGGACCCTATAAATACGTGTGCCTCCCAAGGTTAGTAGTCAAAGAGCTTCTCATATAAATCCGCGTGCCTGTAAGGTTAACTCGAAGTAGTTGTTGTCTGATAGAAGCTTTTCGAGCCTACTAGTTGTAGATTCTGGTAGTGTTTCATCGAGCTTATTACCGTCTCATCCACCACAAGGGCCTCTCCAGGAGTAGTCTCCGGCGGTGTCCAATCCCCCGGTCCATTTGATGGACTGGCTACCCGCTTAACGCAGCTGGCCCCGCCTCTCCGGGAATATTGGCCCAATCAGACACACGAGACAAGTCCACCCACGGTGATGATAAAGAGTTGTGTAGTATTCGTGACTCATTGCACGCCCCACTTGAACTTAATAAATCCATGAAACACACAGCGCCATCGATCTCAAACCTCGAGAATCCTAGCTCCGACTTTTTCCCAACCGGATCCAATCTCCGCGCCAGAAAATGCAGCCCAAGCCCGTTATCCAGACCGAGCTGTTTACCTCGTCAGAACTCCTCAAGCAACCATGGCTACCGAAGCTCACACGCATGATTAACGAGAGTTATCTCGTTAGCCATACCGATAAGATCAAGTTCGATCCCGGCAAAATTCGATTAAAAAGCGATTCAGAACTGTCAGATGAACTGGGCAGTGATGGGTTCACAGCCGTTGCATTCTCCGATGGCGACGTGGTAGGCACTGCCAGTATGAAACCTTGGAAAGACGAGTCGCTCTGGAAGCCCCTTGACCACTTCGCTACCGATGCAGTGGAAGACCAAGTCAATGACCGGATTGACCAAATTCTAAATGAGGTCTCCCTCCCGGGAGACTACGAGCTCGCGGTGGTGGCCCTTCCGCCTACACCGCAAATCCGAGGGAAAGGAATAGCCGGGCGGCTGGTGAAAATTTGCGAAGAAGAAGTTTTGCGGCGGCGAAGAGCCACAGGAGACAACAAACCCGTGCGAATTATGATTCGAGTGATCAGGGAGAATTTGGGCGACTACTGGCGAAAACAAGGGTTTGTCCCCGTTGGAGCTCAAGCTGGCCCCAAGGCCTGGGAAACCTTAGATCCTTTTGTAATGTGGGCGATGATACGTGAATTATCTCCCCAATAAAATTGGTGGAACTGGTGTATCAGGTGGTTCTCGGACATGGTGGGGGGCCTGCATGTTGTCGGTGGCTGGATATCATGCGGACCAAGGAGATTTTGCAAATGAGCCTCAATACCTTTTTTTCTTAGTTCTTCCGAATCTCCTCCTGGGTATTTATATAATCGTCTTTCAAACCATTTTTGGATTCCATTTTTTATGGCACCTTTCTAAACCTCTTTTTCAAAACTCCCGGACAGATAGTTATTGCCGCCTAATTAGGCCCACTTACAATATCTTTTGGTTCCTCCCTATGGTAGCGCGGCGCATTATTCACATAAATCAAACCTCTGGTTCTTAGGACTATTAATGACTCGTGGTCTTCATTTGGTGGATATTCGGATTTACAAATAGCGAATATTTCCGGCCTTTCTTATGTTCCTCAAGGGGACAAGCCGTCAAACCAGGGCTATACCATCCCTGCCCAGGTACATAGGCCCTACTGTAACACAGAATGTTGTAGCTAATTGACAAGCATAAAAGCTTTGTCGGAATAACTTTTAAATATCTCCAGTTTCATGTTCACAACGTGTTTGTGCTGATGTCCAACCTCGACAGTTCATGTCCGGGTATGACGCTAGTGTGCCCCTGCATTAGCTTGAACCCCTGAGGCCCTTGAAGAAAGTTACGTTCCTGCATTCCTACGGATTGAGATTCCGTCTCCCACTGTTTGCCAAGCTTCTCTGGCTACTCCCACAAATCGGCACATTCCAACCCTTCCGCAGCCTTCTCCTCCAATACATTGGCTTGAACAGCTCCTAAATCATGCCCGATTGAGGATCTGCGCGTTCCTGCATTCCACCAGATGAGGATCCGACTCTAGCATGCTCAGGGCATGTTATTCGATCCAAACAAGTTTTCGCGTGCCATTGCAGTCCCGAGGGTCTTCTTAAAAGGATGGGACCTGAGACCTGCTAAAGAATCTTTCGGCGGTAACTCGACCATTCGACATCAATCCGACCAACCGGCCTCTTCTCAAGAACCCTACAGGATATCACCCGCTACCTGTCAAGATGCAATTCTCAAAGGTTAGTTCGCATTCACCACATGCAGGATTCCCTGTTTCTAACAAACAAAGACTCTCGTCTCCCTGGTCGCGCTGGCTCTCGGCGCCAACGCAGGAGTGCCCGTTGCTAGCGTTGAGCTCCAGTCATGGGAGGCTGGAAATGGTTGCGATGCTGGCTATCCTGCTCACGGCGAGCCCATGTTCAAGGCTGCTATCACCGCGACGAGTATCACATGTGACAAAACGACAATAAATAGGCAGTGGAATGTGGATTTCTACTCGCTCAAGGCAGTTTTGGATACCAAGGATGCTTTCCTTTGCGAGGGTGTGAGTGTGTTCAACACGGACGACTGCTCAGGTGAGGGCGAAATTTCAAGTCAATTCCGGACATTTATTGACTCGTTCATAGGAGAACTCAAATACTTCCTACCGTTCCATGGATCTCCCATTGAACAGGGCGTGTGCATCTCCGAAGCAATCTTTGACCCTGGATTCCTCAGTGTGCGTCTTGAATGTCCCGGCTTCGCTGGAGGCGCCTTCGGTGGCTCAAGTGCTGGTCACAAGGGTCCTGATGGCTATTAAGCCATGTACGATCGAAGAATCGGCAATATACATACAACTCGTCAGACAAAGCGGCTGCTATGATTTGTCGCTATCAAACTACCGGTCCATGCATATAGGCGGGATAGTCTAGATTATGGAGACATGATCCTTTTCTTCTATTTTTCTTCTATTTTTCTTCTATTTACTTCTATTTACTTCTATTATATTTTATCTATACCTTGGGTAATCTAAGAAAACATTCCTTGTTGAATTATTAAGGGCCTTCGTAGGACTAAAGAGTTGACACTTTTAGGTAATCTATATACGTAGCGTTGAGGATATGCCCAGGGCAATCCCCGACACCTATATATAGGCTTTTTCCTCTAATAGGTTTCTGTAGTACGTACATGCTCACTTATATTAGCACTGTACCTACGCTCTTTATATCGATCAAGGTTGACGAAATTAGAGAGTAATATATTATTGCGACTCTTTCACATTGCGTCTTTGGATTATTGAGAATGAAGAGGGATATGAGATGAAAAGGAGGATGGATATATAGTTGGTAGTAAATTCCAATAATATTTTCTGCTGGTTCTCTCAGGGGTATATTTATATCGTTACTCCGAAAACTGTTTTCTGAGGGACAAACGCATACAAAACTGTTCTTGCACACCGCTACTCGGTGATCCATAAATAACTGGATAGATAACCCGAAAAGAAGGTGTTGTACACGAGAAAACTGTATATACGCGCTGATTATGCAGCCTAGTTTCGAATAACTATCCTCATGTGCCTAGCTGACCAATCAACAGCCGTCTGGGCAGAGAGACAGGACCAAGGTCAGTAGGGCCCTACTGAGATTTTAGTGGGGTGCGTAGGTCAATGCTCAGTAGTGTGTCCCCCCTTTTTGCTTATATAAACAGTGTAATGGTATGAAATATGTGGACTGTAAGGGCTGACATTCCTGAATTTCCTATGTTTTGTTTACCCTATAATTGGTTCTTACCATCTACCTCTTCAACCATGGCGTAGTTCGTATCGACCTAGTGGCAGCATCACTATACTTAGGTGTAAAAGCTTATAGATACTGCGCCTATTTCTATTGAGTAGGATCCTCCAAGAGAGATAAATAAGGAGCGTTTTGCTCCAACCGATAATCGTATCTTTATGAGCGTAACTCAGTATACGTAAATATATATCTTGCCCGTCACTAATACTTTTATGTATTATCTAGTATATTAAGCAGCTAGCAACACTGTTAATATATCTATTAGTTTTGAAGCCCTAAAATAAGTTCATAACTAGTAAACTCACATTTTTCTTAACCTGCGCTATCCCTACGATTGGCTTTTAATGGAAATGATGAAGATGATGAGACCTAGGTATTTCCTAGTTTCGAAGAAGTAGTGGAGATGGAAACTGGTAATTCTGATGGGTAAAAACGATGTCTCATAGGTCTTGGATACAGTGGCACCACACAAGTCTCCAACCCTCCTACACACCGCCCTTTCCAATCTAATATACCGCCTACCCTACCTAGAATGATAGGAATCCTATAAAGAGCCACGCTTATCGTGTTGTATAAGATTTTTGGATTCTTACGACCATATCATCTTTTGGAACATCTTTTGGAACATCTTGTCGAACATTTTCTTGGCCTTATTTCAGAGCCAAATAGTTGGTTTAATAAGTATTAGTGATAATAGCCAAGTTTGGACCAGCAGAAAATGCGGCAGAATGAAAGACGGTCTGTAGGAGGGTTGGAGACTTTTGTGGTGCCACTGTATCCAAGACCTATGAGACATCGTTTTTACCCATCAGAATTACCAGTTTCCATCTCCACTACTTCTTCGAAACTAGGAAATACTTAGGTCTCATCATCTTCATCATCTCCATCAATAGCCAATCGTAGGGATAGCGCAGGTTAAGAAAGGGTGGAAAAAGGGGAGAGAAAATATAGTATTTTTCATCGCGTTTTTAACCAAAATTTCAATCCAGAAGCTTTAGAGCAAAGATATTTCCTCATTTTAAAATACGATGGCAATATAATTTTCTGGTAAGAGATGAGTATTTGCAATAATCATCATTTCCTCAAGCCATATTTACACGTAGACCTAACTCTAGTTCAGCAGAACAGTTCTATCAACACTTCCAATCCTCTCCACGCAATCCTTTGCTCCAACTGCAATTAGGTTCGAATCGACATGCCCTAGAATCAAGCGGGCACCCAAGGTGTTGATAGCCCTGTTCCAGCCAAGCCGAACACCTTATTATGTTTACGACAGGCCACACTGACAGCCTCCAATGCCGCACGGAATTCCGGTGCTTCAATCTTCCCGGGGATACCCATGTCTGTTGAGAGGTCAATGCATCCGACAATGAGAAGATCAACTCCCTCCACGGCCGCAATAGCATCAGCGTTCGGAATACTATCCGCAGACTCGATCATGACGCCCACTGCCGATGCCTGAGAGTTGACCTCCTTGGCCATTTCCTGCATCGGCAAAGTCTTCAGGCCCACGGCCGCCTGCTGCAACCACAGGGACCGTTTTCCAAGCGGTGGGAATTTGCACATCTTGACACATGACTTGGCAGCCTCGACTGTCTCAACATGAGGAAAAACTACTGCCATTGCCCCGGAGTCGAGAACTTGTTGGACGTACCCCATGCCGCACTGGTATGGTACGCGAACAATAGGCGTTAATCCGGCCATCATAGCAGCACTGGTCAGGCCACTTGCTTCGGTAATAGAGTAGGTAGAATGCTCCATCTCTATCCAGATAACATCAAAGCCGGCGTTTCTGGCGAGTTGGACCACAAGAGGATTCGTCACTAGTCTGAGAACCAAGGCCTGGAGAAGATTAGCTGCCTTTTTCATTCAAATGTTACTATCTCAACAGATCTTTTTTGTCGCTTGCTGAAGCTCATTATGGATATGTTGCAAGCTTACATTGCATAGCTTTCCGGCAGCTGCCTTGCTATATAGAACATTGTCGCAAATGGTCATCTTGAATTAAATGTCTTCGTTGAGTATAATCTCAGTAGTTGGACTAATGCAAAGCCTTTCAAAATAGTCGTAAATGGAATGTAACTTGGAAAGAATGAGGAAAATAAAAGCTACTGAGCTTAGATATTTAGTAGAAAACTGACAGTGGCAATTGTTTCATCCGACTTAGCTGACATTTTGCCTGATATCCGAAAGCTCATACTGCTCTGTATGAATTTCTCATGGAGTTATCTACGGCGCCGAGTTGATTCGTAAGAAGCTTAGTTGCGAATTGCACGGAAATCGGGATGAGCCGGAAAAATTCGGTCTGTTTCGGCTCACCATGGGGTATGGGGGCACTAGACAAAAAACGGCAAAACTAACCGTAATAATTCACAGGTCCGTACATAACAAGATTAACGCTTGACCTATGATTCGCATCATTTCGTAGTTTTAAAGATTATAAAGAAAAGTCGGTAGATAATGGTTTTGCAATTCAGAAAGATGGGTTTTTTTCGATGCTTTTATTTAAAGATACCGCCGTTTCTTGAGCGTCGTGGTCCAGTACACCTGTATAGATCCCTGACTCCGTCCCGGGCATTTTGTCGTCTGCGTTGGAGAGGTGGGGCTTTATTCCGAAAGCGAGCGGACTCTGCGAGACATGTGGAAGATTTCATTTAAAATGTACTAGATGAAGGTAACTATATACAACGCTATCTAGTAAGTCTTAATTCAAATGACAGACTGCTGAAGGACGAGGAAAGTTAGTAATGCTTCGGTGAGTGCGGTAGAACATTTGCGCCACATGGGGAGCTGAAAAGCCAGACACTGTGAGTATGGACTTTCGCAAGTGGAATTTTGGCAGGCTGTGACAAGTTCGGATGACTTGTAACTTCATCAGGGCAATAAAAAGGTATAGGGGACCGTAGAAATGACCCGTGTGGCGTGGGGTAGACGACCAATATACCATTTGCGATGTCATTGGGGAGCAAGGCAATGCGGGATGAGTCCGGAACGAAGTACCATCGACTTGTCATTGAGCGCAGCCAAATGAAAAGGGCCAGTGATCTCTGTCAGTGAGACGTAGGTGAATGATGGTCATGAGTATCTGGGTATAGCGTATGAGTAGTTTGAATGACGTGAGAGAAAATCATGGAGAGACTGATCTTAGTTTTTGTTAAAGTGCGTACTCTGATGGCTTGGGTCGAATAAGTGCTTCCGGCGGTGCTAGCATGTGTGTTTAGGGGAGCACCTAGCATAATTGATGCTTCTAAGTGTCAGTGCTAATGTCAGATGCTTTGGTAGCTGCAGTGGGTACACCGATAGTAAGGTGAACATCGGCTCACAAAAGAGTGACGTAGGCTCTGTAGGTCGTTTAATTGAGTCTCAATGCCAGAAATATTCTGGAAATCTGGTGCTTTCTAGGTGAATATGAATTTAGGGCCGTGTTGGAAGTGTATATCTCTATGGTGTAGCAGAAGCAGTGTCTCCTAGGATGTCGCGAGAGATGGCTATCTCACTTTTCCTTTGCCTTTTGACCTGGAATGTTCGGGTCCTTATCCCTGAGAGCTTTATCTCGTCGATTGAAGCGAGTATAGCAGGAGCACAACATTCTCTGTCTTCAAATTAAGGTTTGACCTTTTATTTGAACATGCATATTACTGATTCGCGCCTTGCAGTCCGACCCTGCCCGGGAGAGATTCGCAGATTCACATTCACTTTTCAGAATCGTACCACAGCCCCGCGGATCTCTACCAGAAGCCAAAAAGGAATTGGAAAGGAAGACATCGGTCAAGGAAGACATCGTATCTAAATTCAAGCTTCTCTGAGCTGCAATCCCAGCACGCTCGATCATCGTTCGCCTGGACATCTTCCCCTCCTGCGTTCTGTTCTGTCCGCCCAACAAGAGCGACTGTTCTTCGATTACATGGATCATGGAGGCAAATTGGAATATACATAAGCTATGATTGCCATGTCCGAACGAAATTCAGTCAAGCAGCATGAGATACTCTGGTGTACAGAGATCTTGCGGAAGTATAGCCCTCGAAGATACGCATCTCCTAAATTTGCTTCTTATGGCGCTTCTAAGCACTGATCACTTACAGTACAACCTAATTACAGGTTTCACCCCTCGCACTTATATAAATCTTGCTGTCTAGCCACATACCGCTACTATCTACATCCGGCTCGCATAGGTCCACTCGAATCTCCTTCCCGCCGAGAATGACATCCGCTTAAGCGAGCACTGTCGGGCAACTTCTCGAACTGAAACTGCCTCAAGGCTTCTTTTTCTTAACAGCCTTGATTATATCCTGTTCACACCATACAGTGACCGTTTCTTCATTACTCCAAAGCCTATTTTGGAGGGAGGACGCTAGGCGGGATACGCGGTTAGTCATCATCGTGGAATGTTTGATTCGTTCGGCCGATGCTGATCTCCATCTATGCCCTAAGGAACCTTGAATGGGAGCTATACAAGATCCTTTGGTAAGATCCATGAAGCAATTCAAGTATTTTTGATCAGCGATCTTCTCAACGGTCGGGAATCTCCAAAATAGCTTCGCTTAGTGCAATTTTTTTGTTAGAACTAGCGGGTATAACAGTTGAATCATTGCCCCAGCAGTATTCGTTTTAAAATGTCCAGGTGCTGAAGATATAGATGTTGGGAATATCTATTGATATTTTATGGAAGCGGAACCATCATGAAGGTCACCTTCTAGCCCGGTGCCCTAATAGTCGAGAACAATGCGCTCAAGGCGGCGCAGAAGGGCAGGGAGTTGCCCAAAGGGGGAGAGGGCAAGTGAACGCTGCCCGTTTTTAGTATTTTAAATCTGTATTTTTAGTTTCCGGCTGGCCCAGTGCCACCATGCTCACAACCAAGATTATTCATACATGAGGCCTACTCGTAGTGTTGCAGGTTGTAGGTCCGTTGGAATATAGATAGAAAATCCCCTTGTAGAGAGCAAAATGGATGGTTGAATTAAACTTCAAAGCATCGTGATATACTCTATGTAGTCCTATGATTCCAGATTGCATCCAATTTCTAGGGTTTGCCTCTGTGCAGCACGCTCTATGCCAGGACAAACTCGAGAACTCCAAAGTCATCGAACTGAGAAGAGACCTGTTGGTACTCCGCATTTAAGCGGAAGCCAGCTTTACCAGCCAGTTCACTAAACATAGCAGCATTCTGGCGTTTGCCTGCCGCGCACATGAGACAGATGTCCAGCCCAACATTCATAGGGATTCGCTGGGGATTCAACATCTCCTCGATAACCAAGATACGAGTATCCGGTGCAACTGCCTTCCTAACGTTTTGGAAGGTTCGCACCACATCGTCATCTGGGAAGTCGTTGAGAACGCGACGAAATTGGTAGATCAGAGCGCCTTGGACGGGCTCAGGATAAGGCTCGAACATGCTACCACCGACCATCTGGATCTTCCCTAGATGCTCGTCCTGGTCCTTCGCCACGTTTGCCTTGGTATTCTCGATCACCTGGGGGAGATCGAACAGAATGCATCGCTCCGCGGGAATGAATTGATTGTTGGAGATGGCGTCGCGTAGGGCGAGACCGTGGCTACCGCCAACATCCACGATAGCAGGTCGCAATCCAGCCGCGAGGGCAGGCTTCATCCAGGAGAAATCATAGATACCCTTCAGGGAGTACATGACTCCGAGCTCGCGCAGAGCTTCGTTGAAGCCCTTGTGCAAGACCTTGTTGGCAACGATGATCTCATATGCGGGCTTGTCGTCGTAGCCGTGAGCCAGGCCTAGAGGGGTGGTACTGGCGCTCTTAGGAGAAGACAGGCCATACTTGGCGAAGTACTGTGGCATCTGAGCAAAAGAGCGAAAGACATTGTTGAACATGTGAATATACAGCCAGGCGGTAGGCTGATCAAACTTGTAAAGACGAGATTTCTCGGTATGGGCGACGCGACCAGGAGCAGGGGATGTAAGGATCTTGCCCGATAGGAAGAACGTTGTAAACCGTTCAACCACCTCCTCGGAACCTCCAATCTTTTTGGCTAGCTCAGTGACGAGAATATCGCCTTCATCAGGAATCGCATCAAATCCCTTATAGTCGATAAAGACTTTGATGAGGGTGAACTCGGCGGCAGAGAAGACAGGGTTGCCAATGTCGTGGTATGCCTCCTGGATACGGGCACGAGCTGCGTCTTGCTGGATCGTCATTTTGGTCGAAACCGTTGATTATGTTTTCAAATTGGAATTGAAACTCAAATGTAAGAATGGGAACTGATTTTGTGTCGTGAGAATCTGGCCATCTGTTGTTTGCAATTAATAGCCTCCGAAGCTCAACCACCCAAGTCTCGGAGCTTTTCGGTGGGGAAACGCAACTGCACCTCAACACAATATTGACCTCGCGAATCAGACCATGCTGACGTTCAACAACAATGAATACGCGTAAATTCGCTTGGTATCAATGTATGGGATAATCACTCTCGTTGAATCGGGGCATTTCGGACATCCAGGAGGATGTGGCGACCATCCCAGCACTAGACCCCTCAAACATTCGGTATGGCAGTCGCGAAACTCTTATCAAATCATGCAGTTGAAGCGGATATCCGGTATTCTTTAATTACTTTCATTTTAAGGCTAGTGAAAAGCTCGATTTCTTTTCTTTGTTTTTCTTTTTTTCAGGTTGCCGCCTCGTTCTTGACGAGTGATTCTTGGAACACACTTCGGCCGTTACAATACTCCACTTATACCATAACCAAGTCTCGGCCAATTTTAATTCTCATCTTCTTAGCACTGTTGTGCCTACCTGTTTAAAAATGGGATTGTTTGATCTGATTCCTGAGGAGATACCGGACGGCAGCTTTGCCATGATTGAAGACTTCAAGACAGACAGCCACGACAAGAAAGTGAACTTGAGCCCTGGGATCTACCGTGATGAGAATGCAAAGACTTGGGTTCTTCCTTCCGTGAAGCAGGTAAGATCCATTTACATATCCATCCTATTCACTTCAAATTTCTTTTGAGGTTGTGTTAGCTTCTTCCCAGGTAAATTTGCTCATTTTATACTAATTGTTCCTAGGCTAGAGTAGCTCGAGTCGATCAAACCTTTGATCATGATATATCTCCACAACTGGGATACCCTAGCTTGGTCTCTACCGCACAACAAATTACCTTCAGGGACACGCTAAGTACCCGTGTTATCACTTCCATGCAGACGATCGCTGGAACTGGTGCGAATCATTTCATCGCGCAATTTCTGTCCGAAACTATTCAGCCCAAGACAGTTTGGCTGTCTGCTCCCTCCTGGGAGAATCATCCAAAGATCTGGGGTCATGTGAGTTCTGCCATCAAGCAGCGTACCTATCCTTATTACGACTATCAGACATCGACACTAGACATTGAAGGCATGATCTCTACCTTGAGAATGGATGGCTCCAATGGGGACGTTATTGTCCTTCAAGCTTGTGCACATAATCCGACAGGCCTAGACCCATCAAGAGAATCGTGGGAAAGAATTGGTCAAATTTGCGAAGAAAAGGGAATCTTCCCGATATTTGATTCCGCCTAGTCAGTCCACCTCCAACCAAATCCCCGAAAAACCTCACAAAGGAATATAGGACTGACTTTCTCATCGCAATTTGACAGTCAAGGCTTTGCAACAGGAGATCCTTATAATGACGCATGGCCAATTCGTCACTTTGCGACACGCTCAAATGGAACAATGGAATTTGCCGTGGCACAGTCGTTTTCCAAGAACTTCGGCCTCTATGGAGAAAGAATTGGTGCTCTTCACATTGTTACTCGCAATGAAGAAAGTGCCGGCAAAGTGGAAGCTGTACTCAAGAAAATCTCGCGAGCTGAAATCACTTCTACGCCGAGCTTTGGTGCCAAAATTGTCGCGACCATCTTCCATAAACCGGAACTGAAAGAGCAATGGTACAAGGATCTGAAGACCATGAGCGGCCGTTTGGGCGATATGCGCAAGCGACTGCATGATGGACTCATCCAGAGAAACACACCTGGAAACTGGGGTCATCTTCTGACAGACGTAAGTACTCCAGATATATTCGTGTTATGGGACCATTAGCTTTAACACAATTGCAACCAGGTCGGCATGTTCTCCATGATGGGGTTGTCTCAAAAACAAGTTGCTGCCTTGAGGGAGAATTTCCATGTCTACCTTCTTCCCACCGGTCGGCTTTCATTCACAGGATGTAGGTTTCTCGGCATACAAAAATATTGAAGTTCTATAAATCTTAACTAACACCCTCCAGTGACCCACAAGAATGTAGAGTATGTTGCTGATTCTATTCATCACGTTATTACACTTTGAGAATGAAGTTGGAAATATGCACCCACATCTCAAAAAGTCGTGAGAGCGCCGTTTACATTGGTAGAGTTAGATGGTAAAACAAGAAAATTAAAAACTGCAATTGTATTTGTTTAGATATCCATTTTATCTTCATAGTGTCCTTTGAACTGAAATGGAACAGTCCATTGCTCTCTGCTGCACGCCAGTAATAACTAGAGCTGGATGCCAACCCGTGAGAATTAAAATAGCTCCCCTCAGTCGCCTCGTGAACAGGACAATTCACTATACAATCAGAAACGATGAAAGCTAACGCTTGAGTACACTGTTTCAGTTTGGAGCAAATTCCAGGTAACAGATAATAGCTTCCGGAAGACATGTTTGCGACGTTAACCATCTTGAATTATCTTTTGCATTCCCGAGAGTTCTTTCACTCAGAAATATTACATGGTCCCTCAATATTATCATTTATCAACCATGAACACCACACGTCCTTTCCCTCATCATTTCCCGTCGCTTTTTGTCTTTGACTGTTTTCTTATGAGACTAACATTTCTTCTCACGGTATGGTAATCGAACAGAGACTTACCACTGTCCCACGTGATAAACTCATGAAGGCCACATCCCGTTGGGACCATGGGCAAGACAGATACTTTCTTGTCTGTCACAACCTCCAGCAAAGCGGGACCATCAGTACCAATAAGCCATTCCAGACTGGCCACAAGATCTCCAGGCTCCACAACCCGTCGATGATGAACGCCCATGGCATCTGCTAGCTTCATGAAATCGGGATTTTTGTGATGTGTATGCGCATAGCGGTCCTCATAAAAGAGATTTTGCCATTGTGTGACCATGCCTTGCTCTTCGTTATTGAGCACAATGACTTTGACATCAATGTTGAATTGAACTGCTGTTGACAATTCTGTTAGTGTCATTCCAAAGGAAGCGTCACCATCAATATCGATCACTAGAGCATCCGGTCGTGCCACTTTAGCCCCGATAGCCGCTGGTAAGCCATAGCCCATCGTACCGAGTCCACCTGACGTGACTATAGTGCGAGGAAACCGCCATCGAAAATGCTGCGCCACCCACATCTGGTGCTGGCCAACACCGGTAGAAATTATGGTTCTTTCTTTCCGATCGCATGTGAGTTTACTCAACTCCTCAACCATGGTTTGAGGTTTTATCATTCCTGCTCTCTCAGTCCGTTCATAGTCGGAGAGTGGCCATCTTTTCTTCCAGGCCGAAATCTGGTCAAACCATACCTGCCGATCGGCGATTGATCGGCTCTGAATCTTTGGTAAAAGAAGTTTGAGGTTGGTACCAACATCCCCTTCCACGGCTTCGGTTACCTGTACCACCTTGTTGATATTTTTTGGCATCATTTCGAACTGAACAATACCCCCACAGCCCCGAATAGCTGCATCTTTTGCGCCCGGCGCGAATTTCGCCAGGTTTCCAGTGACACGGTCGTCGAATCGAGCACCGAGAGCGATGATCAGGTCCGCTTCCTGGATAGCCATATTCGCATACGCAGCTCCGTGCATGCCAAGCATATGAAGTGATTTTTCATCCATCTCATCAAAGGCTCCCAGGCCGTGCAAAGAGGTTGTCACGGGGATGGAGCTTTCATGAGCGAGAGCTCTAAGCATTGTCGGTCCAAATTTTGAACAGATTACGCCCTGACCGGCATAAATAACCGGCTTTCTCGAAATGTTAACCAGATGCGCCACATTCTGAATCGACTGGTCCAGTTGCCTTTGCTGAAGTTCCGACGTTGCCCGCAGTATAGGGCTCGATCGTGGTGAATGAATCGACTCAGTATCCACATCATGCCTTAAGATACTTGCAGTGACATCTTTAGGCAGATCGACAAGTACTGGGCCAGGCCTGCCACTCGTCGCAATATGAAATGCTTCGTTGATCCTTTTGGGTAATTCGGCAACATTCCTCACCATGACATTCCACTTTGTGCAGCCCCGGGAAATTCCGATGATATCAGCCTCCTGAAATGCGTCACTGCCTATAGCTCCTGTTGCAACCTGCCCCGTGAAAACTACCATGGGTGTTCCATCCGCTAAAGCATCCGCCATGGGAGTAATCACATTCGTGGCACCCGGGCCGGAAGTTACAACAACCACACCTGGCTTTCCAGAGACTCGAGCATAGCCTTCAGCCATGTGCCCAGCACCTTGTTCATGCCTTGGAAGGATAAAGTCAAAATGCTTCGAGTTGTAAATAGCATCGAAGACAGGGAGGATGGCACCACCAGGATATCCGACTAGATTCCGGTTAATATCAATTGTCTCATGGCGCTGGGTGAAGTGGTTGCCGACATACATATGTGTTTTACGTTATGTCTTATCATCATCTTATGAAATATCTCTCCTCCTGTCATTCCAATGAATCTAGATATAGAAGTTCAACATTCGCAACTACAGTACAGGTTAATGGGATGGTTAACTGACAGCTCACCGGTTTCTTCGCGGCGATTGCTCGCCAATGGCGGAATATTTTTCTGGGACCTAGTAAATTGTTAGCCCGGGTATGAAATCATGAATTCCGAGTCGATAGCTTCAATAGTTACATTTCAAATACAGGGTCATGACTGATTGAGGTAGACCGCTCGACCGCCACAGAGGTACTCTGCTTCCTAATGTTTGAGGATACAGTTCGTACAACTTTTGATGTAGCAACACCCCTCGACTCGTTCAAATTGAGTAGAGAGATCCATTGGCATGGCGATATAGATTTCCTCGGTACGAGGCTCGATGGTGGCTTGAATTGCAACATTGCGAACAACAACCAATAATACCAACAAATACAATAAACAAGAAAAGCCCTATCAACACCTAGGATATGGCATACAAAGAAAGACTTCGTGATGCAGAAAACACGAGTAAAATGAGTAGCAGATATTAGAATTGAAATTTCAGACCAATATTCTACGACGGCCCCTTGGCAAGCACTGTCCCCGTATCAGGTCCCCGGATTAGGGTGGCGAGAGCCCCCCTACGCATCGGGCCGACGCTAATAGAAAAGCCCACAAGTGGGGAAGGGACTCCGGGTCGGAAATCGATAAACCGCGAGCATCCCCGATAAACTCCGGTTGGAGATTTTACCCTGAGAATTCGAAAACATTCATGGATCATGTGTCTGATTACTATGCAATATTTGGAAACATACGAGAAATATCGCCATTATTTCAGCACTTCATTTTGCTCCGTCTACCCTGGTGAAAAGGGGGTTGCTCTGTTTTTAACCAAAAAAAGATTCCGTACATAACCAATCAACTGGCGGAAAGTAATCTGGAAGTTCATCCTCAATAGCTGCCAATGTCTGTCTGCATCAATAGCCTGGGGGTAAAGGCCACTGCTGGGCACCTATGCACTGTGAGTATCTACTCGGCGCAGGAGATAATACACCTGATAACTACATCTAAACTAATACTTCTAGGCATCTGGGATAAAATTGATTCGGAATCCCCAGATAGTCCAACTTGCTAAAAATGCCGGGTTTGATTGCCTTTTTATTGATTTGGAGCACTCGACACTGTCTATTGATGAAGCAAGTCAGTTATGCTGTGCTGGCCTTCTGGGCGGAATAACGCCATTTGTCCGAGTTCCGTATCAATGCGGCAATGGGTTTGTGCAGAAAGTTCTTGACGGCGGTGCGATGGGCATTATATTCCCACACGTGCATTCGGCAGGTAGGTGCTACCATACCTCGGTTAATAGAATACTAATATCAAGCTGACACCAAGAATTCTAGAACATGCAAGGATGGCCGTGAACACTTCAAAGTATCCACCCGTGGGCAGTCGGTCGATGACTGGACAGTTGCCATTCTTCTCACTGAAGACGACTCCAACGGGTCAAGTTATCGATGAGAGCAATTCAATCGCTTCGTCAGTTATTCTCATGATCGAAACCAAACATGCGATTGACAAAGTCAATGAAATTGCTGCGGTGGAAGGATCTGATGTACTCCTCGTCGGTTCTAATGACCTAGCAATTGACCTTGGTGTACCAAGTGGTTTTCAATCTCCTATATTTCGCTCGGCCTTGGAAAAAATAAGTCTAGCATGTCGACAGCACGGCAAAATCATGGGATTGGCTGGCATATATGACAATTATCAAATTCAGAACTGGGCCATTAACACACTTGGTGTCAGATTCATGTTGTGTCAACAGGATTCGGGTATCATTGCTAGTGGGGCAGTTGAGTGTCTCCAGAAACTGCCCAGCGTTGAAAAAAGCCTCGGTGTATAGCCAAAATTCAACTCGATGGCTTTTCGTTTTCCTATGCTTTTCTTGTCCAACGACACAGAAGGCAACAATCTGTTAATCTGTATTGGAGGACTACATCAAACCGCGTTTAGGAAATTTCTTTCTGTTGATATTCTTTTCCTTTTTTTTCAGTTCAATGAGGTCCATGCTTTGGGCACGATTATTTGGTTGAAATACATTTGTAGCCGACAGCTGACCCTCGTCCTCGTGTTTCATCTGCGTTCCACCCTTTCATGATATCCCGAACAATTATAATCATCGCAATCTTTTCTTTTCTAGTTTTTAGTGGTCTTGACTTGCGCGAATTAAGGCAGGTTCTCTATCTGATTTTCTTCCAAAATCTTGTAGTTCTTGTTCTTTTCTTTTGGCAGTTAGTGTAAAAGATTTGACAGCTCGAAAAAACGAGAATATAATTCAAGTAAGTCGATTTATACCGGTCAGAACTAAGCAGTCCAATTCGAGTGACGTCAAATATGGCCCCTTATTTCCCACTGTACTCGAAGTAGTACCGAAAGATGAAGGCTTCAATTTACTTCTCACAAAGTGTAGATCAACTTCTGCCCTGATACTTTCTTTGATCGAATATCCTCTAAGCCCTCCAAAGCACCAGCAAGCCCAGTATCACGTACCACCTGTGGATGAAAGCGAATGAGACCATGACTCACAAGGCTTTGCATTGTGGGATTCCACACTTCAAGGAAATTCTGTGCAATCGCATTTGGCTTTCTGCTGTGAGGTGAGGGCCAGGCAATCTCATCTCCAAGCGGCTCCAGACCAAAAATCCAGTCAGGACGCACAATGCCTCGAGTTGCCGTGACAGAATCACTGTAAGGGTCAAGTGCTACATAGCGACCACCTGCGCGTCCCAGAGCAGCATAGCACAGTTGGGTCGTGTCCGTTGTCGTAATACAATCGATTGCCAACCGCAACGAATTTCGTGTGTATGAACGGATCTCTTCTGCTGCGGTAGGAGAAGCATAATCAAAAACAGCATCCGCACCAAACGAGCGAACCAAGTCAAAGCTGCGCGAAGAGCATATCGCAATGACTTTAAACCCAGCCAGCTTAAGCAACTGGATCGCACATGTTCCTGTGTAACTGGCACCACCACTGACTAGCACTGACGTGGCTGGCTTTGAGCCATCGCTGCTGCGATCAGATACGATATTGATTTTGGGCTCTCTCTGTGGTGGAGGCAACCGAGTATTGAGCGGTTCGAGAATTGGACCGGCTGGGAGGCCCATGCTGTGGAATAAGGCCCAGGAAACCGTAATCCATGCGAGGCCGCCCATACCCCCTGCTGCTTGTGCGAAAGTCCAGCGATCTGGAATCCTCTGGGTTCCCCATGCTGAGCACACTGTGTACTCAGCAAAGGCTCCGATGTGTGGTTGTAGTGGATTCATGCCGATGATCGTGGCAGCAACACGATCTCCTTCGCGAAATCCCCATTTCTCTGCCGCGGTTGTGCCAACGGCTGTCACTACCCCGGCAAGATCGCACCCCAGAATAGCCCCTGGGGTGTGGTAGGGCCCAGTCATTTTTGTGTCGACTGGATTGAGAGAAATTGCCTTGACAGCTACCGCCATTTGGTGATCTTGAAGTGGTTGTGGAGGAAGCGGGACTGAGCTAGAAAGGGTGATGGTGTCATTGGAGCCGCCAATCAAAGCAGTCTGTGTCTGGCTTTGAACGGCCATGATTTCTTTTTCTTGTTGAGATTTCATAGAAGATTGAATGTGTAAACAAATTCTCAGGTCTCAGAAAGTGACTTGGTATATTCATTTGTGGCTTTTGCAAAGGGTAAAAATCAGGGCTTGTTCCTATTGACTCATAACGATCACTGAAAGCCAAAGCCACCTCGGTATTTTCTCTTAAAAGTACACGTAAATCGTATTATGCGCCCTTGGCTATTTGATGGTCTCAGGGTCCACTCGAGGAAAACGTTCTATTCAGACCAGGGCCGAAATGCCCCGAAACACTCCGGTCCGCATCTAAGTGGACTTACCGAGCGACTCCACCATTGATTGGTGGGTTGGGAAACATTCCACTCCGCTCTGGTTGCTTGGCAGATCATTGCTAGTGGTATCTGAGAAGATAAAGGAATCTTTCTATTATGTGTGATACTATATGTAAAAGAAAAGTTCAAGGCAGAGTCCCCTTGTATGGTTAGGGCACGGGTTTCGCGATATTATTGAATTGATAGATGCAAGCAAATGAATGTATACAGATCTTATTGGACTCGTAATTTAGTAGCCGAAAAGCTAAAAAGAAAGAGAGAATGTCGTACTATAAACAAGTAACCGACGGTGATTTCTAAAGTCTCCCAGTTTTCACGTTGTGAGAATTGATGCTTAAAGACCCATCTTCTCCCGCAAAAGCTCCCTCACTGCTGTGGCTTTCTTCCCCAGCCCATTAGAACTGATATCCTGAAGTTTGCCCGACTGGAGAAGCAAAGCCACCGCCATATCTCGAACCATTACGGCCTCGCGGCCCAGGTGATTCTCGATATCATGCAATACATCAAACAATAAACGCACCGCCGTATGGATCTGCTGCAGCCCAAGTGCCGTGTCTGTGCAAGGGAGCTCGCTCAGTCTCAGGGCCGATCCAGTCATTGAACCAATGGGGATTGTGCCACTTCCACCAATTGGCGTCCGCGTCCCTGTCGTTTCCCCTAGGCATCCGGTGGGCATGACATTCAAATGCGTGTGGAAATGACCGAGGACCACACCGTAGGTGCGAACCAGCCACATGTATCCGCACATGACAAGCAGCATCGTCGGTGTGTCTGCTACTGCGTCGGTTATATTTCTTTCGGGCTCACCAGGATGGTGAACCTCTAACGCACCACCGCCAAAGACTGTGCTACCAAGGATAGGGCCAGCAATGGCGCTGAATTGCTGGGACAGTTCGATGATGGTGCCAACAGGATAGTCGTCAAGGCTGCAAGCACTATCTGCATGCCAAGGTCCTTCTTCGAGCTTTCTCAGCTGCTGCTGGATTTCTGAAACAAGGGTGGTCAATCTTTGGCTTGTTTGTACGGCGCTGCTGTTTTTGACATTGCTTGGCGGAGGATCCATTGACATCGAGCTATCACCCCGCCAGCTTGCCGCAGCTGTGTTTGTTGCTAGTTGCGACCATTGGGTTAAATCGGAGTTGCCAAGCTCGAACAAATTTCCTTCATCGAAAGCAGTTCCCAAATGGATCCAGTCACAGCCCAGCATATCGGTATCGTATTCCGGTACATTGGGTCCAGCTCCCTGCAGACCTAGACAAGCATTCTCCCATGGGGCTTGGAAATTCCATGAGCCATGCTCGAGATGATTGAGGCCCCGGTGCTGCCGGCAGCGCCGACTCGAAGTCATTCTTGGTATCGAGCTGTGTGTCTAGGACTGGGGCTGTACAGGAGGATTCCGAGGCCGAGCTTATCGATCCGGAGGAATGTGGTGAGCTCGGTGGGCGTGTAGATTGCTGATCTGCACGTTTATTTGTTCGTTTTGACGGAGCTCGTCGTCCGAAGACGCATGAAACTCTTGCACGCGTGCACCGCTGGCAGTCGCTGGATCCTGTTGGCACAGAGCATTTCAACTTTTGAATCCGACATCGGTCGCATGACAGTCGCAGTGACAAGGAAGCGCCATCATTGGAAGTATTGACAGCATTGGATGGCATCTTGGATTTCGGGGATGTTGGTGACAGAAAAGAATCCCTGCTCATTTCTCTGTATAAAGGTCCTTGGTATGAAGTTCCATGAGCTTTAAAAGTTTAAAAAGATCCCACGGCCTCCACCAAGTCGTCTAGAAGAATCAGGCACCAGACCGTATTATTAAGGCCACCCTCGGTTGCGAAGGCCCTGATGTAACCCCTTGGGCTTGAAGATTCTCGCTATGCCAAAAAAAGTATATTAAACCACAATTTGGTATCTATACCGTCATCCGCGAGTCTGACAGGATCAGATCCTCGTATTCGACCGATGATGCCGTGTTTTGGCTTTACAATTGCTGATCGAAACTCACTTGGGAAACCCTTTCGGCGAGGCTTTTTTCTGCACGGCCTGTCTGCTTGCATCATCTCCTGCATGTTTTTTTTTTCGATCTACTCTGGCCTGGGAAACACGAACCCCTGCTGCGGCTCCGATCGCCCCCGGCGTTTCCGTATGGCACATCTTGGTCACTGCTTACGTGCTGTCGCAGGAATGAAGTGGACTGCAGTAGATTTACGAACCTGCAAGATGGTCGTAATAGAGCGCCACCCGGTCTCGACTGAAAAACACAAATTAAACCACCTACAGCTAAACGGATCCTCCCGAAAGTCTGCCGGATAAGAGCCATTAGCCCAGCCACGTGGATTTGCGAAACCACACTATAGTCAGCCTCATGCGGGGTGGTGTTGCCCATTATAACCTGACTGCAGATGCAATCAAGACCCACAAATTCGCCACCTATATTCTGCCGGTTCTATCTGATAACTAAACTCTCTACCCCTGAATCATCTAGTATCCTGTAACATAGCTATACTTTTTAATGACCTCAAAGCATCGGCTATGTATAGATTCCATAATGCTTTGTAGATACGATTCAGGAACAGCATCCCATGCGAATCTCGAAACCAGAGCGAATATACGAAATTGCGTTAGCTATCTAGCGCTCAGAAAGCTTATACCTTCGACCTAATTTATGCTTCGGTGTAGCCTGCTGGCTAACTACGTAGGTGTAGTAAATCTAGGACCATGACATATTTAGGCAGTGCGAAATTTTCTTATATGAATAGCTATCCTCTCGGTATTTTAGCACAATTAAGCGCCAGTCCCTACAAATATAGGGCCTACTTTTAGTAGGGGTGCGCAGCTGCGATATAGGAATGAGAGGGAATCCTTAGTTTATGGTCGTAGGCATATTGCCAGGCCCTGGTAAGTAAAATGGTAGGTTTACTCCCCTATGCAGGATATACATTTTGAACAGTGCCTATAGCTATGACGAATGTTTTGATGGTCCTATCCTTGACGTCTAGGCAGGCAGGCGGTCGACCAAGCGGTAAAGGGTGGGGGTCTGGATAACATCTGCAGTCAGGCTGTAGTACACGTTGCTGGATTTCTCCACTTGCATCTTGGTCCACGCGAAGCTTCTTCAGCCTGTCAATTAGGCTCGTGCTTAGTACTATCAATCTTGTATATTCGGAGATTAAAATTTAAGTTTGAACTTGTACATCGACCGGATGCTTTGGCACTGATGTGAAACACGTAACTTCCATCAAGTAGGTTAAGAATTCGTATATTAAGTTCTCGTGTTATTAGCCAATAATATTGGTTCTCCCTGCAGCGTGGCTTCAATGATACACTCCGTGACGAACCTAAAGCATAAGCGCTCGTACGATGAGGATTTAATTTCGCTTAAAGAATTCTAATGTTGGTAGCTGGTCCAGGTCACTGCGTCTGGCCACTAGGTCATTCCAGCCCTTATTTAATGGGACAAAAACTCATTGAGTATAGGATCTACATATCTACATATTACCAGTATTAAGATATGAGGTTATCTGATTGAATATTAGCGAAGAACTCTATTTTACAGAATCACGTCTTCAGTCTATGTAACACGGGACATCAGCGGATCATCGCAACAAGAGATGAAGAAAAACCTTGCCTGGGAAAGGCAAAGTCAATGAAAGAGAGAAATACAGTAGAAAGAAAATGTTGAAAAGATAATAAAAGCGCGGAGGATGCAACGCTTTGGGGATAAGGAAGTCAAACTTGGAAGCGACTAGGAAGGGGTAGTTAGGAAACCTTGGAATGGAGTGAAGGTAAAAATAACACCGGATTATTTTGCCTCTTTAAATCTTGACTGGAAACTTCTCACGCAGCGACTCTCCCTTCCAGTAAAACAAGAATGGGATTGGGATGAAACCAATGGTAATGAATGCGAGCACGCTGTTTCCCCAGCCCATATCTAAATGAGCATAGAGCGACGGAGCGGCAAGGGGCAGGAATGCTCCTGTCAAGTTACGAAGAATCGTGAGGGCACCCATGGCTGATGCGGCTGTCTGAGGCCCAAATATATCAATGATATATGTTTGCGCGGAGGAACTGATGACCACAGCGCCAGGTCCACAGATAGCTGTTCCAATGATGGGAACAACCCAGTGCACTCGGTACTGCACTGTCCACCCATAGACAAACAAGCCGATGGGGAAAAGAGGGGAGACCCACATCATCAAGATCAGACGTCGCTCAGCGCGGAAATTCCCACCTTCAGCATGCAGTAAGCGATCACTAAGATTGGCAAAGATCAATACACCAACGGCACAGCCGATGCCGACACCAATATATGCCAAACCGGAGACACCAACACTCCAGCCATAGTAGGTTTCAAAGACGATTGGGAAGGTCGCAAACAACAGCATGGTCACACCAAAATTGAACGCAATGTAAAGAGAGATCAGAAAAAGAACAGGTGAGAGGACAAGGAAAGTGGCTGGACGAGTCACGGCATGAGCAATAAGATGACTGATTGGGGTCTGCTTATCGCCCTTTGCGCGCAAGTTTGGATTCCCAGTCTCTTTGCGCAAGCGGGTGGCGTTTTTCTTGAGAATGGTGACGGCGCTTGTTTCACGCATAAATATGAAAGAGGCAACTGTGATGGCGCCGGCCTGGTAATTCATGGTTAATGTTTGTACAGAAGAGCTGGACGAGGCATCACATAACTTACAAGCATGAGAATGAGATAAAATGTCCATCTCCAGCTCAGATTCTCAGTCACAAATCCTCCAACAATAGGGCCAAGAACCTAGTAGTCATGTTAGTCTCTTGATTCCAAGGCTTTCTTTAGCGGTATTTGAAGAACATACCGGCCCAAGAAGTGGTCCCGCAGTAAACAGAGCCATTGCTACTCCTCTCTCCTCCTTTGGCAGCAAGTCTGCGACGGTACCGCCTCCGGTTGACATGTAAGACGCAGCAGAAAGGCCAGTGCACAGGCGGAAGACAAGAAACTCTGCGACATGGGTACTTCGTGCACAGCCAGCAGTAAATCCAAGATAGAATATTGAGCTTACGCGATAAACAGGCACACGTCCAAAAACCTCAGAGAGGGGTGGCACAAAGAACTGACCCACCGCAAAGCCAAGTGAGGCAATGGTGATTGTCAGAACCTCAACAGTGTCACTATTGAAGCCGAACTCGCTCTGCATGAGTTTGGCACCCGGAGAGAACATCGTGGTTGCAAGATTGCAATATAACACGGACAAACTGACAAGCAGTACGTTGGCCATTTTGAATGCCTTCGACCAGTTCCGTGGATTAGCAGGGTCATCCGGTCCATCCCAGTCGACGACGTTTGGATCCGCAATGAAAGCATCATTGCCTGCTGGAATTCCTTTCTCCATATCCTTTGCAGGATCCGACGTGTGATGTTTTTCAGAGCTGCTGCTGGCAGTAGTCGGGGCATTTTGCCCCAAGTACTCTTCAACAGTACCAGTTTCGGTGGCCGCCATATTCCTATTTTCTTGATCGTAGACAGTTCGATCGGTCTCGGCCGAGCTTGAAGGCATTCTTGGTCGGTGGGTTTCCGAGGTTCTGGCCTGGTATAATCTGGCGATCTCAATGTGGTAATCGATGCGATAGAAGAGCGGGCAGGATCAGCTGCAGTAGTGTATTTTGATTTTTTTTAAATTGCTGTGTTGCTTAGCCGCCCGTAATAAATAAAAAGATAGAATGATCGTAGCATTCCTTTCGATCCTTTAGGTCAATAAGACCGTATATTGCCCCGGGTTTGCTCCGTTTCGGCCTCTGATTTGCCGTCTCCGAGTACTGTACCATTGGGCTACACTTGTTTGCAAAATACGTACGAGAATCTCACCTAACGCCACCCCCCACCATGAAGCTTACAGTACGGTGACAACATATGGAATCGAAATCCACAAATTCACCACTCATTCTGCCGGTTCTATCTTGCCCATCTGACCACTAAGGCCTCTCAGACCACCGTATCGATTTCTAGGTAGGTAGGCGGTCGAATATGAGCTGATCACCGTGGGTCCTAGATTTTGAATGTCATCTATTCTCAGACTGTAGAGTGGGCGGGTACAGTAAGCCGACTCCCGCTGAAAGCCCCACGTTGCTCCGTCGATAGCTCCGATCATTTTCCCCCGTCGATTGCTCCGCAATCTCCGTTGAACATTGCCCCATCTAACGCTTTCCCTTTACATGGGGATTTACTAGTTTTTTTTCTTGCTAAGCTCAGCTAATGCACTCTGAGTTCGTCAATATTAAAAAATAAAGGCCCCCCGATCTTGGCGTCGATGGATCCTCCAGCCTCCGACAAGCCATCTGAATTGGTCGAGATAGGTCCTTCAATACCGCCACAACCTGATGAGGCCTCTATACCAGACTCTCTGCCGCAATTACGAGATCGCCGTCGAGAGAAGCCGCTGCTATCATGCACCTTCTGCCGGAGTCGCAAGTAAATTTTCCATTTTTTTTTTTTTTTTTTTTCCCACGCCCCGTCGCTTGAATATGCCACTTTTCCAAGTTGTCAACAAGAAAATCGAAACTGACCAAAGTCCCTTTTCCATCTGTTCGTCTTACAGAGTTCGATGTGATCGTCAATTACCATGCAAGACCTGTCTTGAACGAGGGATAGGTTCAACATGCTCATACCGGTCCAGGGCGCCTCGCAATAAAAGCAAAGTAAGCGTCGGCAACCGCATTCAGCAACTCGAGTCTTTGGTGCGCTCTCTAGCCCAGCAGCAACAGCAGAGCCTACAACAGCAGCACAGTCCGCAAGCACACACTGCCTATTCAGATGGTCCAGCAATTGACCTCGCGTATTCCTTTCAGGGTACGCCAGGGACATCGCCACAGGGTGTATCCACGACAACACCATTGGTCTCGGTCGATGAAGATAATATCGTGCCAGCTATGCAGCATGCTTCCTTGTCGCGTAACAGAGACTATGTTACGTCCCCTGCACCCTCGGAGCATGGTAGCATGCGCCTCCATTCACATGGTGCAAACTATGTTGGAAGCTTTCACTGGGCTGCCGTTCTTGACAGCATCTCAGAGCTGAGGGATCATTACGAAGAGGAGGAGGAGGCCAGATTGTTGGCAGCGAATGATCATGTACTCCATGAGAGCCCTGGCCCCCGGCTTCTTTATGAGCCTGTTCAGACAACGAAGGCCGATCTACTGGCTGCTATTCCCGCTCGGCCTGCGGTGGATCGTATGGTTGCTCGATACTTTAACGCCCAGGGTGTTGTTCCGGAAATTCTTCATAGCGGGCATTTTCTCAAAGAGGTACGGATCATCCACCCTCAGTCCTTTTAATACAAATGTCAAGAACCGACTTTTCCTACCCACAGTCATTTACCTGTTTTTATTGCTCCATGTGGTCATTTACTAACGTGATGGTTAATTTGCCCTTAATCTTCAGTATGAAAAGTTCTGGCAGGAACCAAATGCAGTCTCAATAGCTTGGATTGGACTTTTGTTCAGTGTCATGTCCCTCTCAACACGGTATCAACAATCAATCGAGGGCTCTGAGGATCCGGAGACGCCGGTGCGCGTGCATATGTTTCGAGAGAATGTCATTCATTGCCTTGTGCTCTGTCAGTGGACTAAGGGTGGAGACTACGTGCTAGAAACATTGATCAACTATCTAACCAGTGAGCTGTTCCTTTCCAGGGACTCAGAGATTGGTCTGTGGTTGGTACAAGGGATGCTTGTACAGCTTGCTCTGAGTCTAGGGTATCATCGAGACCCACAAAACTTCTCCAGTATCTCTCCATTCGCTGGAGAGATGCGACGGAGGGTATGGGCTGTGATAGTGCAGATGGACTTGCGATTATCTAGCCAGATGGCACTACCCCGTCTCCTTAAGCTGCAGCAATATGATACCGCCGAGCCTCGAAATATATTCGATACTGATTTTGACGAGAATACCACTGAGCTGCCTGAATCGCGCCCCGAAACAGAGGTCACACCTGTCTTGTACAGTCTAGCAAGAACCAGGATAGACCAGATGAACGGGCTTGTCAGTGATCTTGTCAACGACACACGAGAGCACCCATATGTGGAGATCATAGACCTCGACCAGAAATTGCAGGAGGCCGAAGCTTCGCTATCGCCCATTTTCCGTTGGCAGCCTCTTAGTCAATCATTTATGGTTTTACCACAGATCGTCATGCACCGAGTGCTACTTCAGCTTGCAATCCAGCGTGTGACCATTTGGCTTCATCGGAAGTATCTTACACCCTCCTACAACCCAGCACAATTCGAATATTCACGGAAGGCCTGCATAAAATCCGCAATGAGAATTCTCGAATTCCAGCAGATAGTTGAGGAGGAAACTCAGAGAGACGGACTTTTATATCCAGTGCGATGGATGTTCACGTCATCACGCCTAAAGGCTGTCTTTTTATTGGGCATTAGTATTCTCTGCTACTATGTTCAGTTGACAAGGACACATTCCGACGTGTCCTTGGGTGAGAAGACTGATAACAGCATACATGATCTGCTGCAGAACGTTTATCCTCTCTGGCTACGATTGAGTGCTCTGTCCCCGGAGGCACGACGAGTGGTTCAGCTCTTGCATCCGCTTCTGGGGATGGACGGACAAGAAAACGATCAGACCCCAGTCGCTACTCCTAACTCGGTCTCTCCATTTATTCCTGTATCTGGGGATCAGCCATCGTCGGAACCGTACGAAGGTAAACAGAAATCGATTAATGCCAAGAGGACCTCCCATTTCTTTCCATCCCTCTTCCATATTAACTACCATCGAAACTAATCATTTCTTTCCTCTAGATTCCATTGCAAACTTCTCATCTATGCCCACATTTCCGAATAACTCGGATTTTCGGTACTCGGACGGTCTCATGTCGTCTTTAACTACGGCGGTTGTCTCTATGGAAGATTTGTTGCTCACAAACACGACGGAGTTTGATCAGTGGATGAATGTTAGTTTCCATTAAGTTATGAATCAATCTTTATTCCCAATTATCATTTGATTATGGACCCACAATTTGTTGACTGGGGAGGATTGAAAGAAAAACACGAATAATTCTAACAAGAGGCTACCTGCAGGCACAAGGACGAACCTATAAGTCCCAATGATGTGAATTAAGCCTTTAATATACTGTACTATTAAATTGTGAAGTCCTACGAGTACAAGGTCAAAGCTAAACCTTGAAATACCTACGAAAACATTTCTATTTTGCTTTTGGATAGCACTAGTCGGTTGCTTGGACGCGTACTTCACCAGCCATGAGAGAGAGACACCCTCAACTTGAAATCCCTCAAGACCACCTTTCGTGGAGGTGACGGAGGTGGCCTTTTACATCTATGATGAATTCGCATATCGGTATTTTTCTCAGACTCTAATAGGCTACTAGGTACTCGCAAAAAGTCGGTTTTTATCGGGACTCCGAGTCGGGAGCCGCGCGAGTATCTGTCCAGTGGACTTGTTTCCAACGTTTGAAAGACGTTAGCATATACATGACCCGCTCGAGCTATTCCGATGTTCGGAAGTCATACTTCTCGCATTCAGTTGGTCTTGCCGATGAATTTGCGGGCCCGATAGCAAATGTGAAACATGACGATCTGGTCGGAATAAGAAAAGGTCGTTCCAGGGCTCCTTCCTACCAGTGAGCTTGCTTCCTTGCTGCCAAGGCTTAAACAGCTGCGTACCTCGCTTGAATTTATCAAGATCCCCTATTTCTTGTGTTGCTCAAGTCTAATGTCCTCGTCTATTGAGACCAAATACCGGACAATTTTCGAAGCTGCCATCTAACATCGCGTATCCTTCCATTGTCTCTCCACTAGCACCCATCGACTATATCCTAAAATGCTACTCTCGGAAAAGGAGCCCATTGCCATAATTGGTATGGCATGTCGCTTCCCAGGAGGTTGTGATTCTCCCTCAAAACTCTGGGATTTGATTAAGTCACCGCGCGATCTATCCAAGCGTATACCTACGGACCGTTATGATACGACAGGGTTTTATCATGCCAACGGATCACAGCATGGAGCTTCAGATGCAACAAAGGCATATTTCATTGAAGAAGATGTGACTCGCTTCGACAATGGGTTTTTCAACATCCAACCGGCGGAAGCCGAGGCTATTGATCCACAGCAGCGCTTGGTCATGGAAACTGTCTATGATTCGCTGTATGTTTACTCCTCCGCTATAGAAGATGAGCTGCTTATCTGATACGTTATAGCTGTTCTGGTGGCCAAACAATCGAAGCTTTGAAAGGCTCAAAAACATTCGGGATCTAACATACACCCTGCAGACACGCTGGTCAACGCTTCCTTACCGCAAGCCCATCATTGCCACCAATATCGAGGGCGCAATCAAGAAGATCGATGGCTTGCTAGCCGACGATACCAACTCTAGCGATAGTGGTCTGGCCACCCGCTACTACGATGTCACAAGACCTAAAGTTCTTGGTATATTCACGGGTCAGGGTGCTCAGTGGCCTCGCATGGGTGCACAGCTACTTGAATTGTCACCATTTGCTTCACAGCGCATTGCGGAGCTTCAGCGAGCCCTTGCCACTCTACCGGATGGGGATCGGCCCGCCTGGACACTGTACTCGCAGCTCCTCGCTAATTCCAAGTCCTCTCGGCTTGCTGAGGCAGCTCTCGCTCAGCCACTGTGCACTGCTGTCCAAATCGTGCTCGTAGATTTACTGCGAGCAGCAGGAATTGACAGGTGCGCCGTGGTCGGTCACTCATCTGGTGAAATTGGTGCAGCGTATGCTGCGGGCTTTCTTTCGGCCTCTAACGCTATTCGCGTTGCTTACTATCGGGGTCTCTACGCCAATCTGGCGCAGTCTGGAGGTCCAGGCGCCATGATGGCGGTTGGCACGTCATATGAGGATGCACAAGAGTTCTGCGAGTTGGGTGACTTTGTTGGTCGAATCCAGGTGGCAGCGCGCAATTCCTCTGCCAGTATCACGCTTTCTGGTGATGAAGATGTCATCGAGGAGGCAGTTGCCATTTTTCAGGATGAAGGTAAATTTGCACGTCGATTGCGAGTTGACACCGCCTATCACTCAACCCATATGTTGCCATGCGCGAAGCCCTACCTCGAGGGTCTGGCAAGAGCCGGTTATTGCGTTGACGAGGGCAATGGTACGACTTGGTTCTCGAGTGTGGTTGAAGGTGGCCATGTCATGACGAAAGAGGATGTTCAGCAATCACAGTACTGGGTCGACAACATGACAAGTGCTGTTCTATTCGAGCCAGCTGTATCGAAGGCTGTTGCTGAAAGCGGGCTTTTTGATATGGCCGTCGAGTTCGGTCCCCATCCCGCACTGAAGGGACCTGCCCTTGACACGATCCAACAGTCCACAGGTCAACAGATTCCATACGTGGGTCTGTTGGCCCGTAACAAAAGCGACCTTGATGAGCTTGCCTCGGCACTTGGCTACTTGTGGTCGCATCTTGGTGCCTCTTCAGTTGACTTCGATGGCTTCGAAAAGCTCATTTCTGGTGTTGACTCCCAGGAAAAGCAGATTGTGACGGATCTGCCTACATATCCTTTCGATCACTCGCGCTCTTTTTACTCTCTCACTCGAGTTTCTGGCGGCCATCGCAATTTGCACTCGCTGCCACATCCTCTTTTGGGATGACGGCTGGTGGAAAATGAGACAGATGAAGAGATTTCGTGGCGAAATGTCTTGCGTCTGTCCGAGAATAGCTGGCTCCAAGGCCACGCCTTGCAAGGTCAAAGTGTTTTCCCGGCTATGGGTTATATCTCTTTGGCTGTGGAAGCTGTCGCTGCCACCGCCGGAGATCGCAAGCTAGGACTGATCACGCTTGAAAACGTTGTTATCGGTCGCGCTCTCTCGTTTGATGATGAAAACACCGGCGTGGAGACTAAGATTACTCTCAGTGTGGTTCGATCTACCAATGACGAACTCACAGCTCGCATCTCTTGTCATTCTGGTTTACCATTTGATAGCGCAAATCCGCTGGTCTTGAACTTCAGTGCTATAGTTACCGCCAGCTTTCATGAGCCGGAAAGTGACATACTTCCTCCAGCTCGCCATGACGAAATCAATCTGGTGAATGCGGAAGCCGAGCGTCTCTATTCTCAGTTCGTCAAACTTGGATACAACTATAGCTCTCCATTGACAGGCGTGCGATCAATCAAACGCAAGATGAGCTGGGCTATTGGCGATATTGAGGATGAGTCGGGTGATGCTTGGGAAGACAATCTCCTAGTCCATCCAGGCTGGCTCGACTCGGCCATCCAGACTGGGTTTGCAGCCTACAGCCACCCGCACGACAATCGTCTCTTTACCCTCTGCGTGCCGACCTCCATTCGCTCCGTTGTCATCAACCCGTATTTTTTTGCGAGGAATCATGATCGTGCCCTTCAATACCAGACATCGTCCCGTCCGGCTCCTGAAGGTCATATGACAGTAGACATTGATATCTTCACTGGCGGCTCGTCCCAGGTGCATCCATTTGTGCAGTTTGAATCGATTGAGATGCAGCCATTTGCCACACCCATGCCTCGCGATGACGCCGTGATATATACACGCTACCATTATCGCTCAGAAGCTCCCGATGCGACCACGGTTATGGATAGTGTTATTGCGGAGAACGACGACATGCTGTTTGCATCCGAGCGTGTGGCGTTCTTTTATCTTCGTCAATTGAAGGAGGTCATTACCGAGTGGGAAAGGTCGGACACCCCGGCTCACTTCCAGGTCTTGTTGGACTTCGCTAGTCGCGCTGTGGAATCTGTGTCGCAGGGGCAGCATCCCCAAGTACCGAGCAATGCGTTGAAAGATTCTCCAGCCTATGTCCGTTCACTTATTGCAAAGCACCATGATTACAACTATATGCGTCTGCTAGAGGCGGCTGGTGATCACTTGGCTGAGCAGATCCGCAGCGGCGGAGACGTCAGGGAGCATCTCGTTAAAGACGGGTTACTGAATCAGTTCTACCGAAGCCTTACATCAAACCAGGGGCAAGAGAGTGCGAATACTTGGTACGCCCGCACGGTGGCCCAGATCACGTATCGTTTCCCACGTGTACATATTCTGGAGATTGGGGGCGGGTCCAGCGCTGGCTCGACTGCATCAATTCTCTCCGCCTTAGGCGAGTCTTTCTCAACTTATACATACACAGAAATTTCCCCTGAAGCTTTCGAGGAGGCACAAGAGCGTCTCCGCGGGTTCGGTGACCGCTTGTCGCTTGCGACATATGATCCCCACCAGCCTGCTGCAGAGCAGGGGCTAGAGGAAGGCTGCTATGATATTGTGTTGGCATCGAACAGTCTGTATGCTGCCGAGGATCTGGATGAGAGACTAGCCAATGCAAGAAAGCTGCTGCGACCCGGTGGCTACTTGGTTGCTCTTGAAATTAACACCAACGACTCTCTGAGCTTGGGCACCATTTTGGGTGGGCTACCCGAGGGACCTAGCCCAAGCCGTCGCAGCGCATTATCCCTGTCGCGGTGGGACGCGTTGGTCCGCAGGCACGGATTTAGCGGTGTCGACACGCACACTCCTTTCTTCAACCCCAGCAACCCACAGTGGTTCTCCGTCTTTGTCAGTCAAGCTGTTGATGATCGTGTCAATAGCTTGCGTACTCCTTTGAGTAGCCCGACGCAAAACATAACTCACCTGGTTGTCGTCGGCGGTCGGACGGCGGCGGTCGCCCAACTTAGCCAGAATGTCTGTGATTTACTGAGATCCCGATATGCGGCCGTTACTCGGATCAAATCGCTTGAGGAACTCAACAAACGGGGCCTCGATTCTGGGAGCTCTGTCTTGTCGTTGACGGAATTGGATGAGCAGTTCCTTGAGACCCGTACTGAGGCCAAAATCGACGCTCTCAAAAGTCTCTGCAGACATGGTAGCAGTATTCTGTGGGTGACATACGAGGCCAGGGCCGGGTGTCCTTACTCGTCCATTGTTCTCGGTTTAGCTCGTGTCCTTCGCCATGAGTATCCAGCAATGACACTGCAGTTGCTCGATTTCGATGCGGCCACGACAGCGACGCCCCATATTCTAGCGGAGGCCCTTGTGCGCCTCGAACTCGGGGCGCGGTTCAAGAAAGAACAGAATTACAACCTCCTCTGGTCAATTGAGCCCGAAAATCATTATGTCAACGGTCGCTTGTTGATTCCACGACTACTCCCGTACACGGAAGCCAACAACCGGTACAACGCTTACCGCCGTGCAGTGGTAGATCAAGTTGATCTCCACGAGAAGATTGTGGTACTAGAGCCAGCAGCCGATGGGAAAGCTTTCGAGCTTGCCACAGTATCCCCGCTACGTGTTCTGGCACCATCTCAGCTATATGGCAAGACCGTGACTCTTCGGGTCGAAAAGTCGCTGCTGCAGGCCATTAAAATTCGAGACGCTGGCTATTTCCATTTGCTTATTGGTACCGAAATTGTGTCAGGACAACGTTTTGCTGCACTCTCCGAACTGGCCGTCGAGTCCCGCGCCTGTGTGCCTGTTGAATGGACTGTGCGCTTGTCTGCAAAGGATAGCAATATCAATGGCTCGCTTATTGATGTTGCTACAAGTCTTCTTGCACAGACAATCATCGCCGGTGCGCCACGGTTTGGCGGTGTTGTTGTACACGAGGCAAGCCAGCGTATCAAAGATGCTTTGGACATTGAGGCGGCTAGGGAAGGCGTGCGCGCTGTCTTTACAACGTCAGTGAAGAACACAGCAGCCCCCAATCACATATCGCCATATATCTTCATTCATGAAAGGCTCCCTGCTCGTCAAGCACAGGCTCTCTTACCACGCGATGTCTCCATGTTCATTGACTTCTCATCCGACGCTGGAGAGTTCGATTCTGGTCTGATTAGCCGTGCTTTGGAACTCAGAAAGGGTATGTATCGATCTTCCTTTCTGCTTAAATCATCATCTCACATTTGCTCACCACTCTGTTACTTTTGGGCTCGTAGGTTCCAACTTGCCAGTACGGTTTACTTCAACTAATTTCCTGCGTACCAAATCTGGATTTTCTCCGGATGCAAATGAGCACGATGTGGACCATATTGGTCGAGCGCTCAAAGCTTCCTGGAGGGCAGTAACTAACCGAGTACGACTGCCCACGTCCATTGCTCGCGAAGAGGTCCCAACTCTACCATTGCAGGACACAACTGGCTTCCCTGTTTCAACCAATACATTCACTGTTGTTGATTGGAGTTTTTCGACTGTGCAAACTTTTGTGCGGCCGATTGACCATGGGCCTATTTTTCAAGCCGATGGCACCTACTTGCTCGTTGGTCTCACGGGTGAGCTAGGACAGTCACTGTGTACTTGGATGGTAGCCCATGGAGCTCAAAACATTGTTCTTACCAGTCGACGGCCCAAGGTGAGCCAGAGGTTCATTGATTCATGTGCATCCGAGGGAGCGATCATAAAAACGGTATCCATGGACGTCACTAGCCGGGAGTCAGTGCGCGTAGCCCATGATGAGATCCGCACTGAGCTGCCGCCCATCATTGGCGTTGCTAATGGTGCCATGTTAATGGATGATGCGTTATTCGATGACATGAAATTTGAGTCTCTCCAGCGGACAGCACCGCCCAAGATTGAAGGTTCTGTCGTTTTAGACGAGTTCTTCTACGATACGCCGCTCGATTTCTTCATCCTGTTTACGTCCTTGGCCAATGTTGTCGGAAACACAGGTCAGTCCGCCTACATCATGGCCAATCAGTTCATGGCAGCTCTGGCAGCTCATCGCCGTGACGTTCGTGGAGTTGCTGGCTCCGACATGGCTATCAGCTCAATCCAGGGCTTGGGCTACTTTGAGCACGCTAATCACCTGGACAAGGATCACTTTACTCGCATTGGGTATCGCAATGTTTCGGAGCAAGATTTCCTTGGTCTTTTTGCAGAGACTGTTCTTGCTGGACGCCCTAGTGAGAAAGATGGTTCAGAGGTCTGCACCGGTGTTTCCCCCTTCCGCGAGGGTGCGACACTACTCAGCAATCCCTGTTTCAGTCATCTTCTGCTACACGATGCAGCTGATGGTGGTCGACAAGGTGCTCGTGGGAATGCTGGTAAAGCCGAGCGTCCTAGAACTGTGTCTGCTCCAGCCCCAGCTGTTCCAGCTGTTCCCACGTCTCCTCCTACCAATGCCTTCACGGAGATGGCGACCAGCTCAGAGGGGTCGGCAAGCCCACGTGGTATACCAACGCCGCAATCTTCCACTGATACACCCCTAGAGACGCCTCTCGATAAGCCTCTTGATCTTTCAGATGTCTTTAAGCAAAAAGAACTGTCGATATCTGCACTGATGAAGCAGCATGAAAAGTCAAAGCGGAAGGCAGTTCTCGGATCTTCTACCGAGATTATTGAGCCGATGGCCTTCGGGCAAAAGCGCTTCTGGTTCCTCCATCACTACATTGAGGACCCTACGACCTTCAATATCGCCTATTCATTCAAACTCAATGGCACCATTCGTACTGGTGAGCTTGCCAGGGCCGTTGAAACTGTGGCTGACAGGCATGAAGCACTGCGTACGCGCTTCTTTTGGTCTAATGACGATACCAAGACACCTATGCAAGGAATCCTGTCGAAGTCCCTCGTGCATCTGGAAACAGTTCAAATTGAGTCCGAAGCTCAGGCGTTAGAAGAGCTCGATGCGATGCGTGAGCAAAAGTGGGACCTTGGCGACTGGAAGCAGCTGCGACTACGCCTGCTCTCACTTTCTGACACCGTGCACTACTTGCTCATGGGAACACATCACATCTCAATGGATGGATATAGTATGAACGTGCTGATGCTTGATATTAATCAAGTCTACAACCGCTCCGGAACCCCGCTAGTTCGCCTGGCTGATGGCTCGCAAGCCCGTGATTTTGGTCAGCAGCAGCTCCTCGCCTATGAGGCGGGTAAGTTTCAGCCAGCCATCATATACTACCGTCAGGCCCTAAAATCTATTGATCTCTCGCGCCCCGTCGAGCTGCTTTCTTTTGCCCGTTCTCAGATTCGTCATCCGCTAGAAAGTTACAACAGCAATGTGACCCGCGTCCGTCTCGATCCCCAGACTACAGCACGCTTGAAGAGCCTTGCGCGCAGTCACAGATCTACTTCATTCCACGCGTATCTAGCGGCACTGCAAGCGCTTCTCTTCCGCCTGTTGCCTACAGAGACTACAGAGAAGTTGATCATTGGTATTGCCGATGCCAATCAAATCGACGGCAAATTCATGGGCAGCATCGGTAACTTCCTCAACGTGCTCCCGCTTCTATTTGACCGCAACTCTGGTGGTCGTACTTTCGGGCAAGCGATTGAGGATACCCGCAACAAGGTTTATGCGACTCTCGAGCACTCTGGATTGCCTTTCGATTTGCTTCTGGATGAGCTAGCTGTGCCGCGATCTAATGCGTATCCTCCCGTGTGCCAGATCTTCATGGACTACAAACTCTTTACGAGAGAGCAAGCGGAAATGCCCTGGGCCGGATGCAAAGTAAGTGAGCATAAATGGCACCCAGCAAGAGGTGCATATGACATCGCACTTGAGATCGTTGAGGATCGAGAGAGTGCGTTGCTGGCCATACATACACAAGATGCATTGTACAGCAAAGAATCGACCGATCTGCTCATGCGAAGCTATGTCAACGTTTTGAAGGAGGTTGTGAAGCAAGGTGGTGAGAAGATGAAGGTTGAGAAGCTGGAAAAATGGGATAAGGCCGATATTAAAACCGCATTGGAACTTGGAAAGGGTACGTCTACCTCTAAATTATTAAAGCCCTGCCTTCGCTGACCACTTGTTTACTTTCTCGGTCATAGGTTCTGACCTGCTGCTTCAGTGGCCCACTGTCGCACATCGCATTGATGAGGTCATTGCCCAATTTCCTAACAACTTGGCTGTTAAGGATGGTTTTGGCCGTGCTCTGACATATGCGGCTCTCGATGAACAAGTTGAGAGCATCGCACGCGCTCTTAGAGAGAGAATTCCAGATCAATCCACTGAACAGTCCATTGTTGGCGTTTTCCAGACGCCATCTGCCGATTGGATTTCCTCTCTCATCGCTATTCTTCGTGTTGGTGCTATATACCTGCCTTTGGATCTTAAAGTTTCCACCTCGCGCCTGAATAGCTACGTGAATGCGACACGACCATCTTGCATCCTTGTCGACGATGATACCAGAGAACGCCTCCAAGAGATTGGTGTTGAGTCAAAGAGCTCCGTTTCTATTATCAACGTTTCCGACCTACCTGTTGCAGCTGAGACCAAAATGGAAAGAACTGTCACAGCAGCCCAGAGCAATCGTCCGGCATATATCATTTTCACCAGTGGTTCAACTGGCGAGCCGAAGGGCATTGTGGTTAAGCATGCCAGTTTCCGCGCTATGGTTGAGGGCTTTGTTCGCGAATGGGACATTACCAACCTTGGCCGAGTTGTGCTTCAGCAATTTGCCCTGACTTCTGATGGCTCGCTAAAGCAGATCGCTTCTGCAATTACTACTGGCGGTTGTCTCCTGGTTGCCCCAACCGATGCCCGTGGTGACCCAACAGAGCTGACCCGCCTCATGGCTGAGCACAATGTGACATTCACTGTAGCAACGCCTTCTGAGTACAACATGTGGTTTCGCTTTGCCTCGGAGGGTCTCCGCCGCTGTACTTCCTGGACTTCTGCTTGGTTCGGTGGTGAACGGTCCCCTTCAAGTCTCCTTGACTCATTCCGCGAGTTGAGCAAATACTCCCCAACTTGCGCTTTTATACAACTTACGGCCCTACCGAAGCATCTGTGTCCACAATGAAGGGTGTGGCTGATGTCAACGATCCCCACTTGACTGTTCCTATTCCAGGTCGTGTCCTGCCTAACTACGCTGTTTATATCCTCGATGAGGAGTCGCGACCGGTTCCTGCTGGCGTTCCGGGAGAAATTGTCATTGGCGGTGCTGGCGTTGGCTTGAATGAATACCTCAACCGGCCGGAAGCTACTGCAAAGCAATTTGTCACAGACCCCTTTGCACCGCATGATAAGCACTCCAGTGGCTGGGGCCGTATGTACCTCACTGGAGATTATGGCCGGCTCAATTCCCGTGGTCTGTTGGCTATCGAGGGTCGCGTCGCCGGTGATGCCCAGGTGAAGGTACGGGGTTTCCGTGTCGAGCTTGCCGAAATCGAGGGAGTCATCATCAAGGAAGCTGGAGGTGTATTGGCCCTCGCCGTGGTGACTCTACGAACTGGAGAAGAAGACCACGATGATATTCTCGCTGCGCATGTGGTTATTCAGAACAACCACGAAAATAGTGAAGCACAGGTTGCCAAAATCATTGAGCAGCTGCGTACTCGCTTGAACGGTACTCTTCCTCAATACATGGTGCCAGCCATCATTGTGCCTGTTAGCGAAGTGCCTCTTACTGCCCACGGTAAAGTTGACCGAAAAGCCGTTCAAGCCTTTGCCCTACCAGAGGTAACATCTTCTATCGCCAATCAGCCGGAGCTGCAGCAGGACTGGACTCCGAATGAGCGTCGCCTTTCTGACCTTTGGGCTTCTGTTCTTCCGGTTCACTCATTAGCCTCAGAAGCACTATCATCTCGATCTAATTTCTTCCGCGCCGGTGGTAACTCGTTGCTCCTGGTCAAGTTGCAGGCTCCTATCAAGGATGCATTCGGTGATGCACCACGCCTGAGCAAGCTCATGAGCACTCCCGAATTTGGAAACATGGCCATACTTCTTGAGAATGAGGGCGCTGCCCCAGATTGGGATAAGGAGATTGCGCTGGACTTACCAGACGGGATTACCGCGATAGGACAACAAACAAGGGGTTCGAAAAAGAGTGATACTGGACTCCGCATACTCGTCACAGGTGCCACCGGGTCTCTGGGCAAGCAAATTATTCCTCACTTGGCAGCAAATGAGCGTGTTGCGCAGATCATTATTTTGGCACGACCAATCGAGGGGCGAGAATCGTCTAGCCTGTTCTCTGGTCTCAGGGGCAAGATTCAAATCCTATCAAACGAGCTACCATCTCTCCCCGCAGATGAAACTCCTGAGCTGGTAGAGCTTGACGTGATCTTGCACATCGCTGCTGACCGCAACTTCTGGGACGGATATGGTGCTCTCAAGCCTGTCAATGTTACCAGCACCAAAGCACTTGCAAAGATGGCTCTTCGCACAGGTGCCAAATTGCATGTTCTGAGCTCAGGTGCCTTGGCAGATTATCAGACAGATGATAGAGATGACTTGCCTCGACCGGATCCTGCTCATGGCTATGTTTCTTCAAAGTGGGTAGCTGAGCGATACCTCGCCAGTGCAGCGCGTCATCTCGGCCTCCAGGTGACGACACATCGACCTACCAAGACTCCTGTGGATGACAGTCATGTCACTTCAACTGAACTCAACGAACTAGAACATGCCCTGGTGCGCGCTTATCTCGAAATTTCGCCTCGTCTCGGTGTTCGGCCAGACTTTGCCAGGCTTGGTGGCACTTTCGACGTCGCCCCAGTTGATGATGTGGCTGTCGCTATAGCCACTGCTGTCGCCCGGGATGAAAGCTCGGGCAATGCTATGCGTATCCTTGACTACCCTGGCACGGCGGTTCTCCGGACAGATGTCACTGCGGCATACGCAGAGGAGCTTTTCCAACGGAAGGAGAATAAGGCTATCTGGAGTCTTCCAACCGTCCCAGCATTGCACTGGGTTGGACAGGCAAAGCGTGCAGGGCTTTTTGAGTGGTTCATCACCGCACAGGAATTAGTTGTCACTGATTCTGATGGAAGGAGAGCGGTTTCAAAGAGATGATCAAGAAGATTGGGAACGTACAGTGGGTCCATACGTCAAGACTTCCTACTTTTAGGCTTCGATATTACCGGCGTCCGGCGTCCTTTTTGTTTTGTTTTTTGTTTTTCCAAATAAACTGTCGTTGTCACTTGCTTGTCCTGCTTCTGGATCTGTCTGTTTTGTGATTTATTTTCGCGATTTGTATATATACTCTCTAGTCCAAATTGATCCTGATTCTCAAGAAGATTATTAGGCTCGTATTTTTCTCAAATTTGTAGCCCTTGGTCAGTTTTCAGTTAGCAGATAATCCATACCCAAGTAGGAGCCATTTTCGGCGTAGTTTGTAGTCGTGAGTGGAAAATAAGGAGAATAACTTAGTAAGGACTCTTGTCGGGTGCAGAATGGTGGTGGTCCAGGGTGATGGGGCAGTCGAGCGGCGGAAGTTACAGTGGAAATGCGACCATTTCTGGCACCAGAAGCTGTCATTTTCGGCGTAATTTTCATAGCTCCTTTTACACAGTACATATTCCCTATGTAAATTGTGGGAGCGGTATGCTTATGTAACCTTATGCTTACTCGTTTCTAGGCCAGCCTAAGTATTTCCTGGATTTCCTCGTATTGATTGCACAATTGGACCCAGTATATATGGGCGGGCTAGTCTATATTATGGAGACATGATCCGTCTCTTCCTTTTTGTCTTATCTGTACCTCAGTTGTAATCCAAGACAATTCCCTTGGTGGTTAACCCTTGTTCCGTTACGCGTAGCGCGTCGTGCTGTATGGTGGGGGCTGCCGCTACCTCCCGCGAATCTTATGGCAACCGCCCCTCATGATTTTGTCAACTGCCACGTTCTAAACCCACATCTTTTCATGAGTCTCCCTTGAATTCTAGGAGCTACATTATCCCAGGTGTCCACTTGGTGATCATGGTGGACCGATCGGACGCGTCCCAGCGGGTGATGATCCCTTGGCTGTACGACCTCGTCTTGTGGCTCTTCACCTGGGCTCTGGATCTCTTCTTCCGCGAGATTTATCCCCGTGGAGCCTGGAGAATTCCCGAAAAGGGTCCGGTACTGATTGTCGCTGCCCCTCATGCCAATCAGTTCGTCGATTCGGCCATCTTGATGCATCTGCTCAAGTCGCAGGCCAAGCGCAGAGTGTCGTTCTTGATTGCGCAAAAATCTATGAGGGAGCCATATATCGGCACTCTCGCATCTTGCATGGGCGCTCTTCCAGTTGTTCGTTCCATGGATTTGACCAAACCGGGGAAGGGCACCATCTATCTTCCCGATCCCGAAAGTGACTCCACCCTAGTCAATGGAGTCGGCACCGATTTCACGCAGCCCGAATTTATGAGCGGCGGCTCTCTCACCGTCAAAGGTCCCGACGGACCTCAAACTGCGACGATTGACGAGATCCTCAGCGCGATTAGTCTTCGGCTGAAGAAGGCATTTGCTTCTCCACTTTCTGATGACCCGGGTCACAAGGGCCAGTCTTTCAAGATCGCACCGCACGTTGACCAGAGCCAGATGTTTGATGCCGTCTACAAAGAGCTTTCGAATGGAGGCTGCATCGGCATTTTCCCTGAGGGAGGTAGCCATGACCGGTCTAACCTGTTACCTCTCAAAGCGGGTGCGGCCTTGATGTCACTGGGAGCCCTCGCCCGCGATCCTGATTGCGGCTTATCGATCGTGCCATGTGGTATGAACTACTTCCATGCCCACAAGTTCCGATCAAGAGGAGTTATAGAGTTCGGGAGACCAATCCACGTGCACCCCGATCAAGTCGAGGCCTTCAAGGCCGGAGGCAAGAGTAAACGCAATGCCGTGGGATCTCTGCTTGAAACTATCTATGAAGGTCTCGAGGCTGTCACCCAGATCAGCCCCGACCATGAGACACTCATCCTGGTCCAATCGACCAGGAAGCTCTACAACCCGATCAGCAAAAAGGTGCCTTTGCCTCTTGTGATAGAGTTCAATAGGCGGCTTTTGAAGGGCTATGAGAAGCACCACGATGATCCACGCGTCGTAACCCTCAGAAAGGCTGTGAAAGAGTACAACAGACGCTTGGAATCGCTTGGAATCAAAGACCACCAGGTTGAGTGGGGTAATCTTGACGAAAAGCCCTGGTGGCTCACGCTTATTACTTTATTCTATCGATTGTGCAAGCTTTTGGTATTGAGCTTTGGAACTCTGCCAGGAGTTCTACTTTTCTGGCCCGTCTTCGTCGCCACGAAGGTGATCTCGGAGAATAAGAGACGGCGTGCGCTGGCAGCATCCGTCGTCAAGCTTCAAGGACATGATGTCATGGGGACATGGAAGATACTCGTCGCTATGGGACTAGCACCAACGTTGTACGCCTACTACACGATCATTGTAACTGTTTGGTTGTATTACAATCGGCACGAGGGCTATTACACCCATTCTGTTCCCACATGGATGGCAGCGAGGACCTACGTGCCCGATGCAATTCCTCTTTGGATGTTTGCGATGGGATTCTACGCCCACATGGTCTTCGTCAGTTACGCAGCTCTCCGCTTCGGCGAGGTAGGGATGGATATTTTGAAATCTCTAACGCCCCTTGTGATTGCCCTGAGCCCTTGGTCCTCCACGTCGCTGGCTAAATTAAGAGAGCATCGCGAAGCACTCTCGGAGCAAGTCACTGAAACTATCAATGACCTTGGATTTGGCATTCTTCCCGATGTTGATGCTGAAATCCCATCCGATACATACAGGCCAGATGCCTATCAATCCCGTCTTAAGAGCATGCCGCCGAGTGAACCGAGTAGTCGAGAGCGCAGTCGGAGCAGGTCCAATGGCCCTGCTGGTACTCAGAAAATGAAGGGGCTCAGCTCTATCAACTCCGAGGGCGATCTGGAAAAGATTGATCGAAAGATTCAGACGCAGTTGAAGGGACGAGGGAGACGATCAAACACTATCGGTGCATTCGAGACGGGCGAGTCAATTCTAAAATACAAGATGACCCCTGGGGTGAAAGAGGACAAGAAGAAGAGATAACGGAAGACAACTTTCCCCGTCCGGGATTTAAAACCCGGTATGGGTTGAACCCCGGGCCTGCCATGGCCATGACGTTGAGGGTCAGCTCCTCGTCCTATTATTGTCATGTACTGTGTACAAGTAGCTCTCACAGTGTTATTTGAAGAACAAACCTCCAACCTGATGTTCATAAACCTTGACTCTGGTGATGATTTCCTTTTCGGGAAAGGTGATGCTATAGTGCAGTCCAGGAACCGTCCACACGTATACATGGAACACAACGTTTCCCCGGCATCAAAGTCAACAAAGCAACTGAAGTAGGTCCACGACTCTATCGGCCAATGAAATTTGTTCCAGAATCATCATATGAATGCTATCTTTAGCTCGTCAAGCTCCCCGTCAAGCCATACCTGCCAAATGACATGACCGGCGATCATCAAAAGCCGATCCAGCCTCCTGAGAGGTTGTTAGCCATGCTCTGAAATGTCAGGAACGCGCTTCCATGCCTCTTTGGGCGATTACAATGCGCGTCCGAGCTTGGATCGGCGTGGTTCTCGCCATTCCGGGACTGGAATGCTCGATCTTGTTTCTAACTGGCTTCTGGGCAGACCCTTTAACACGCTCCGCCACCGAGTATGACGCTGGAAGCCATTCTTCATTTCCAAGGACGCCGCAGGACGTGCTATCCGCGTTTCATCAAGGCCATGGCCGCCATTCCTATCATTCATCCCCGCCATCTTAATATTCAGGGGCCTTTTGTCGTGGAATTGACGCTGTATATAAGAAGGAGGAAAGCTCTAAGCATTACATCTTCAGAACAAACTCCAATAAGACCACTTGCAAATATTCTCAATCTCATCAGTCCCAGTCGAGCTTTGCATTTGCAGACATGTATTCCATCATCACTCTTGCCCTCCTCACCACTCCCATCTACGCCGCCACCAGTGCGCGCGTCTGGGCACACTTCTACCCCAACTGCCCAGGGGAGCCATTCTCCGACATGGCCTCGTACGAAAACTACGAAGAAACAGTCCCATCCCAAGACATCACAGTCGGCGAATGCGCCAACATTAACGTCCCATCCTACGAGCACAATCTCGTCAGCGCCATCTCCGTGGACGCTGAAATGCTCTCCCGCGAGCACAATAACTACTTCTTTTCCGACGGAGCAAACTGTAACATCACCGTGCACGAAGTCCCCGAGTGCGTCGACCCACCACTGATCACCAAAGAGATCCGCAACGGCGTGGAAGTGAGCCAATGCGAATCGCGCAACTTCGCCGCCTGGAGCGAAGTGTGGGTGCAGCTGATCTGCGACGACGCCGTTACGGAGTCTCTCGAGGACGAGAGCGAGGGTATCCCGCGCATTGACGTAACCGCGGAGGTGCAGCAGGCCAACAATGTCCAGACTCCCGGCTCCAACTCCGACTCGTGGCTCGTGGCTCAAGAGGCTCATTCCGAGATCGAGCCGCAGGAGGAAAGCCGCGTCGACAATGCTGGTCATCATGAGAGCGAGCAGGCCGTGCACAGCATCATGGGGAAGCTGGCCGAGAAGCATTCCCACTTCGTTTCGGGCAAGCACAATGACACCCAAAGCATCAATGGCTCTCACCACAATGCTACTGCCTCTGGCAACCACACTATGTTGCGGAGGAAATTGTCTGTCCTGCGCAACCGGGCTACCCGGTTGTATTAAAATTGTCAAGGGTTTATGATTTTCTGTTTTGGAGCGATCTGATGTGAAAAGGTTATGGTTTATGGAAATAATGTAGAATTATGTATACTAGAATCAAAAGTGATATCAACAAGTTCAACCCTTATCCATATCTTGTAAATCATTGAAGAACTGGATATATTTGTTCAACAACCAATTGGCCACAAATGGAGCAAGAGGATACGACGCTGTCGATCGAGATGGATCTTTCTAAATCTATGTTGAGCGATGACGACTATCAGCTGCCGCAAGTGAGAAAATCAATTCAACGATTTAAAAATCCCAGGACCAAGTACAGAGGCCCGGACAACAAAACCATACACACGGAGGTTGAAATGCCTAACTACAGACCCAAGGCTTGACAGGAACGCTATTTGCAAGGGAGCCCCGTGAGGCCAAGAAACGAAAAAAGCAACATGATCATCCTCGGCTTTTTCCCTTCCTTTTTGACTGTCAGCCCCACGAGGCGACGACCGCGAAAAATAAAAACAGAAGACAAGGTATATACGAAAAACAGTGCGTCATATCATGCAAGCCCGTTAGGCAGCGACGTACTTCCCACCGACCAGCTTGCGTGCAGTCGGGACCTCCTCCCAAGCAACAGCGGCAGCTCTCTGCGCGGCCTCGTCGGCGAAGGGATCGACTTCCTTCGGAGACGCGTCCGTCACGGCACGGCTGATACCGAGTCGGGAGCCGGCTGCTGCTGTGCTGAGCTCGAACTTGGCCTCGACATTGCCCTTGCGCGGTCCGCTAGTCGAGGTCGAGAAGCGAACCAGGAACTTGCCGTCTTCGCCGGCGCCGAGGGCCTTCACCTCCAACTCGGGGATCCTCCAGGTGACGGTGGAGTTCTTGCGACGGAAGGTGGCGCCCTGGTTCGGGTGCATGACGGCGCTGGTAGCGTGGGCGACAGAGTCGCGCGGCTGCTTGGTGGCTTCGTCTTCGGCAGCGATATCCAGGCCGATGGTCAGGACCACGTTCTTCAAGACGATAGACTCGGCAGGCTGCGAGATGAAGGATGGGTTGAGGGAGTAGAAGATGATGGCGCTGGCTTGGTGTTCTTGTAGGTTCCATGCTGGCTTGAAGATGACGGGGCAATAGGTGGAGGGGTTAGCATCATCCAAGTGGATTTGGTACTTGAATGCGACTGTAGGCATGGGCCGCGAGATGCTGCTCAGCTGGATCTCATACTGGCCTCGGTCCTCGTCGGTAATTTCCTGGACAAAATGCGGGTTGGCAGCCACCTTCTCCAATACAGGGAAGTTGTCCAGGCGAATCCGTGTGGACTCCGCTGGAGCACCGGGTGTGGGGTTGTGAGCTAGAGCAAGCTCTCCCACCACAGAGGACTTTGTCACAATACCGTCGGAGAACCAAGCGTTGACTGTTTCGATGATGGATGCATTCAAGCCTGATTCATAGAGATCAGGATGCATGGTAGGCACAGGGCCTTGCATGGTGTGCCCCGAGCGAACAGAAGTCGTGTCCGACATAGCTTGGTCGTCCGTCACATTGCTGAGAGATGCACCGTGCTTGATCGGCGATGAGGGAGCATACATGTCGGGTGCTCCCGAGGTCGTGGCCATCTCAGAGCTGGGGTTTGGGACAAACACCGTGTTTCGAACGTCACGGCGGCCACGGATGGTACCGGCATTCCGTCGGATATTACCAGATTGCTGGGCACGCTGTAATAGAATTAGCATGCGAGCCGCCTGTTAAGAGGCCCGAGGAACTGACCAATCGAAGAGTATTAGCCATATCGTCCATCGCCTGTTTAGCCTGGCTCTCATCTTCGAAGATTGGCTGATCCCGGATTGTCAGGTTCACGCCGGGATCCTCCAACCTGTACCAAAAAGTTGTTAGCAATCTCTACGCTCTTTACTAGAAGCTATTACATACCCTGCCTCCCTCTGGGCGCGTGTGATCTCATCGATTGTGGAAGGACGCTCAGTGAATCCTTCCGAGTCGATCTGGTTGGCACCGTTGCTCAGAAATCCAGCCTGGGCCTCATGTGAGGTGCCATTGGTGGCGGTTGGCTCCGGTTGAGTGACGGGAGCCGACGTGACAGTATCCGTCACGGTGCGATCTCGTGATATATTCGAAGTGTGCGTGGTTTCTTCGGTCAAGGACGTTCCCGGGCGGTCCGAAGGTGTTCCTGGAGGCGATTCGGGAATTTGCATATCTTTCGAGGAATCGCTTCTCTTGAAGGGTGCGAAAGGACTGCGGTGCTTCTTCTCTGTCTTTCGGTCATGTGTTCCGGCCGATGGTCCAACCACGCTCTTGCGCCTATTCATAACAGTGCCGAGTCGCCTCAACCCTCCTAGAGGGGTGTGCCGGGGTTGCGGCTCTGGGGCTTTAGATAGAGAAACATGTCAGACTTCCACCCTATCAAAGAGCTAGATAAGATCCACAGCTTACCTGGGGGAGTTTGGACAGCGGTAGCCCTCTCCGATTGTTCCGACCGCTGACTAGCCGCATCGTCCTGAATGTGCGGGGGAGGCGCAAGTGGTGCCGCGGCTGGAGGTGTTTGCATAGGCGGCGTTGCAGCCGGATTTTCCGCCTGAGACGGTTGTCTCCGAGACGTCACCGGCGAGATGGGGGCACGGTTGCCAGCCATCTTGGCCGCAAAGGTCTTGATCTCATCGGCCGTTTCCACATTGAGAAGGACGTTCAGACAACTCTCCGCAGCTTGCCGACCGCGCTCGACCTGGTCTACCTCATGCGTCTCCAGCTGGGTGAGCACGTCCCGAAGGTGGTTGAGTCGGCCTTCGTCGGCTGCCTGGAGCTGCTCGAAAACGAATGGGGCGCGCGACTCCCATTGCTGGTTAATTTCGTCCACCGCGGCGATTGCACTGGCCAGCTTGTCGGCGCCTTTCGTGCCCTTGCCCTTGGCCTTTTCGACCTTCTTCTGCGCTTCCTCCACATTCTTAGCTAGTCCCGCCAAATTACTTTGAATGCCGGACATTTGCTGCATGTCGCGGTTCTTGCTGCTGTATTCCCTTAGGGGCCGTTCCACGTCCTCTTCGATCTTGGTCGCGAGGGTCTCGTGGGATACGGCCAGCGTCTCGGTGGCATTGAGAATGCGCTGCCAGGGGATTTGAAAGATGCTAGTTCCCCATCAGTTTCGCCCATTCGCAGTGTGTCGGAGCACACGGCTCTCGAGTTCATTCGACTTACCCGAGCGCGGCCCCATTATCGAGTTGGGGGCGATGCGCCAGCTTTCGCAAGCTCTGAGCGTATGATTCTTCGAGGCGACGACGCTCCTACTACCGAATCAATTCCATGTTCCGTATCATCAGGTCGACACCGGGGGTCCGGGAGGGTCACGAGGGACAGATGGTCATACCTGGAGGAAGTCCGCGATATCCGAATGGATCTTGCTGATGACTCGAATGCGGTCGCTGAGAACAGTTGTAGCTTGACTAGGGTAGAGAGTGGCCTAAACATGCGGGAGAACCCCACGATCAGTATGCGGCAGTCCACGGGGGAAGATCAGAGTGAATCATACCAGCAGCGCCGGGTATTCCTGTCGTGAGAGCTCCATGATTTCAAGTTGGCCGAGTCACCAAGCGCACCAACCGCATAATCCGGGAGAAATCAGCAGACACGAAAGATCAAGGACGAGCCCGAGCAAAGAAGGCCAATGAATGCGGGATAGGTCCGAATGCCGGGGTTGTCAATCATCGCCGAGGACGGATGGGATGACGATGTGAACGCGGTGACGGGGCCACAGCCAATCACATGACACCCGGGTCCACAATTGGGTTTCCACTCTCCGCTTCCCAAGTTCGATCTAATTCTCGACCTCTAGCTACTGAGGTGCCATCATGGATTGGAGGAAGGGGCTGGGCTTTACGGATCGACTAAGGGTCATCCAGTCGCTGTTGGTAGAATACTCATGCTATAGATACCTGAAAACTAATCTCTTCTTAGCACGACGGCCTACCAGCAAGCTTCTTCTGCCGCCGCCTTCGCTGAAGCACAGTCACAAGCTCGGCAGCATGAGACTGAGGCGTACGAAAATGCCGACTCCAAGGTCTGTTGCTCAATTCCAAGATGTGAGGGGCTGCTCAAACTCATTCCCGTGCTAGGAAGAGTATGACCGCATTTGCCAACGGGCAATTGATGCGGCCGAGGCCACATGTGTAGTACCTGTCGTCAGCGGTCCTGATGAGGCCCGGGATGTGTTTCAGGGTTCAGAAACATCTGAAATACCGACGGGCGAGCAGTTCGGCCAGTATACATCGTGTTTCCATCACTTTGATGGCTTACATTCCACAATATATAAATCCAAAGCCGGAGACGGTACGGTCCGCGCCGTGAAAATAACCATTCCGCATCTCATGACTGCCCCTCACGATGCCCAACGGGAAGCTAGACTGCTACGCAAAGCTAGTAGTCCTCATGTCATCCCGTTAGTGGAGACTTTCAACCTGGACGGGGGAGACTCGTGCTGGTCTTCCCCTTCCTTCGATACGATTTGGAACATCTGCTTCGGCGGGACATGGTCACCGCTACTCAGGCACGATCGATCCTGCGGGATCTATTCCATGCGCTTGCTCATATCCACAAACTAGGGATCATTCATCGGGACATCAAGCCGTCTAACATTCTGATGGACTCTCCCGACGGACCGGCCTACCTAGCAGACTTTGGAATTTCGTGGCAAGAAGGTGATCCAGGGTCGGAGCCATCTCACCAGAAGATCACGGACGTCGGAACCACCTGCTACCGGCCCCCGGAGATCCTGTTTGGTGACAAAGGGTATGGAACAGCTCTGGATCTCTGGGCTGCGGGCTGCGTGGTGGCGGAAGCGATCGGGGTGGGACATCGGGCGCTCTTCGATTCCGGGCCCGTGGGTAGCGATCTGTCGCTCATCGTCTCAATATTCAAAACACTGGGGACCCCGAACGAACAGAACTGGCCGGTAGGTTACGATATGCAGGGAATCGGAGACATGAGATAACCCCGAGTATAGGAAGTGCAGACACTGCCCGACTGGGGCAAGGTACAATTCTACGCTTTTCCAGCACAGTCCTGGGAGGATATTCTACCGAATGTATCCTCGAATGGACGTGATCTCGCACGCCATTTGCTCTGCTATGAGAGTGGTCAGAGGCTGTCGGCCGAAGAGGTAAGCGACGGCGACCGAGTGGCGCCTGAAAGACGTTGAGAACTAATTTCCCACAGGCTCTCCGACATCCGTATTTCTCCACACCTTAATATCAACGTACCATCCGCGTTGGATCAGACCTATTGAGCCTTCCCGGGGCGTAGGAACGGCTAATTATAGAGACAATATGGAAAAGCGGGATTGACCAGATGGGGAAAGGGTCGTAATGAAAACAAAGGCCGATCGTTGACATGCCAAGGGAACACGAAGTGGACAAGGTGAATTGTGGAGACAATCGTTCCTGGACCAGAAAGATCTCCGGGAGCACCGGAAATTGCGAGCGAGCCCATCAGGCAATGAGAATCGGGAACCGCGCGGGATGAAACAGAGTCTGAGCGCTCTTAGCGAAGTACCACGGGGCCACGGGCGGCGCTAGTTTACTAGTGATGGGACCGAGGGTCTTGGGGTTCTGCCTTATCATCCATGTACATGGAGGACGTGTTCGCGATGAGTACAGGGCGTGAAGTCAAAAGGTGGAGGATGAAGAGATCATCCCTCAAATTCCAGTCCGATCCAAATTTGGAGAATCAAGTTTCGCCGGTCGAGAACGTCCCGACCACCTCCTATTGGGGTTCGTTTCGTAGTTTACGCAAACCCCCTTTGGAACCAGGGACCGTAACGAACTCCCCAATCATGACATTCAGCACGCTCAGATCCTTGACCGATCGGGCTAGCACGACTCTGCATGACCGCTGAATACCGGGTCAGGGTCAGGGTCTTGGGATCTCAATTCATCTCGCTTCCTACTGTAGATCAATTTCACGTACCTGCTCCGTCGCTGGGCGGCTCTCTCTCTCTCTCACTCTCTTTCTTTCCTACAACTCTATACGGCCTGGAAGTCGTGGTCCCTTCTTTTCCCTGATCTGGTTATCGGCGGTGCTCGATCTCCAACTCGTCCATTCTTTCTATCTACATTCCTCACAAGGATTCCCACTGACGCGGTTTACGGAAGGCACCAACTCGCGTTGGAATCCTAGCTTGGGCCGGGAATTCTTTCTCTCTTTAGGAGCCATTGTCGCTTTACGATCTTTAACCTCCGGATCTCTGTGCTTCTCCATATTCGGACAGCATTGCATTCGACCATGGTGCACGGGCATGCCCACGTTCATGAGCACCGCCCTCATGAGATTGAGCAGCGGGGCTTCCTGGACAACGACGATTCCAACCCCTTGTTGGGCGCCTACGATGCTCTGTCCAATGGCTGGAACGACGTATTTGGTGGTGGTAGTAGTAGCGGCGACGACGACGACGACGATGCTGACAGCACTGACCAAGACACCAATACCGCACCTGCGCAGAACACCATGATGGGCGTTGGTCCCGCAGTGGCAGCCACCAGACCGTCGCCAGAGACGACGCAGCAAATAATCGAGGCGCCGCCTACCACGGCCAAGAACCCTCCCAAACACGAAGCCACTACGACCGAGAGCGAAAAGGATACCATGATCGAGACGCATGCCACTCATACCAAGGAAGCCATCCCCGAGACTACCACGGATGCCAAGGAGACCGTGGCAGAGCCTACTACGACCTCCGAAGACAATACGGTGGCCACCAAGATCGAACCTACGTCAACTCCGACTGCAAGCTTTGTGACTTCGGTGACCTCCACGACCGCTGATTCGAGCCAAGATGTGAATGCCCTGGCCGTAACCCCCACTGCCTCGGCCACCAACTTGGCCGCATCTACCTCGCCTACTTCGCTCAACACCAAGTCCGAGGGTATGTCTTCTGGTGCCAAGGCCGGTGTTGCCATTGGTGTCATTCTCGGCGTGGGTGTGATTGCTGCCCTGATCTTCTTCTTCATCCGTAAGAAGAAGCGTAGCCAGGCAATGAGGCTGGAGGAGGAGGAGAACGAGAAAGCAGCTTTCAATCTCCCGCCGCCTCCCCCGGTTACGAAACCATCCACTCCTTCAACTGCTCCTAAGCTCAATGTTCGTCCGGTTACTCAGTTCGCCCCCGACCTGACCGGCAACGGCGGTTTCAACCCGGCCACCGCTGCCGGTGCCGCTGCTGCTGCCGGCGTTGGGGCTGGCACTGCTGCTGGTGCTACGCGCAACCTCACTGGCAACTCCCCACCTCCTACTCCGCCCAAGTCTGCCACTGGTTCGAACCCGTTCAATGACCCAGTTAACCCTTTCGGCAACAACACAACACCAGTGGCTGAACATGCACCTGGTGGTATGCCGGGCTCGGCTGCTGGAGCCGCCGCCATGGGGGCTGTTGGCGGAGCCGCTATGGCATCCCATGACCGTGCTCACTCGCCACCTGGCTCTTCGCCGAGCCCCGTCAGTGTCGATGGCGAGTCTGTTGCATCTGCGACATTTGCCGCTGATGGTGCGGCTGGTATGAGTGCCGTTGCGGGTGCTGCTGCTGGTACAAGCTCGAATAATGTTCACCGCGTGCAAATGGACTTCAACCCCTCGATGGAAGATGAATTGGGTCTTCGTACTGGCTCGCTGGTTCGCATGCTTCATGAATACGACGATGGATGGGTAAGTGTTTCTAAATTGATGATGAAAGTAAGAACATGTTCTTATATCTTTTCTAGGCTCTCTGTACGCGTCTTGATCGATCCCAGCAAGGAGTGGCTCCACGGTCTTGCCTTTCCGCGCGCCCTGTGAAGCCGCGCTCTCGTCCTCCTGGAGCTCGCGCTCCGCCAATGGGCCCTAACGGCCGCATCCTTTCGGGCCCCCCACCAGGTCGCTTCTACCCAGGTGACGTACGGCCAAGATCCCCCGCTGGGCTTGGATATGCCGGCCCTCCTCGTCCATATCCCGAGAACCGTTCTGGTTCACCTGTGCAGTTCCCTATGCCTGGGCCGATGGGTCTTTCGATCCGATCAGTCCCTCGTTCAATGTCACCCGGACCCTATGGACCTCCTGGCATGCAGCGCCAACCCGTAATGCCGGTGAATCAGCGACAGCGAAGCAACAGTGCTGGCAACATGTCCCCGCCAAATGTTGGCGCTATTCCTCCCAAGTCCCCCAGCCCGCTAGCTGCAACTGGGCCGCCGTCTCCAGCCCCTACAGCCCATCTTCCAGCTCTTCCCGGTTCCGCGCCGAGCTCCCCCGACGCAGGTCGATAGGAAACCTCTTCTCTCGCAGGGCTTCTAATCTGCAACCAAACACATGAAGATACCCCTATCCCGAGTTTACGAGCCTCTGCAGAACGAGCCAGTCGCTTATGTCTTGTCAATGTCCCGCTGGACGGAAATGAGCCTGCCTCGTACAACTCGATTCAATCTACGTCTGTGACGAACGAATTCCCTATTTTTTTTTAACTCTAAATATACCGAGTTGTCTGTTTTATGCCCCTGTACTATCCTGTGCGTACGCGTCTTACCTTCTCAGCTGGTGGCTTCCTGCTCGGCGCTTCCAAGTTTAATTGGTGGAGCTGGTGGCCTCTGATTTTTGTGCATCTTTATTCTACTTCAAGTGGGCTGCATGCATTCTCTTTCCACAGACACATGGATGTTTGTGAATGTCATTCAGTGGGTTTGTTGGAATACCCTGAAATCTGTCCTAGCCTTGGTAGCGTGTAATCTGTTATCTAGGTACATAGATATCTAAATCAACCCTTGTCCTACTTGTGATCCGCCTTGCATAGGTAGTAAACTTTCCTACTGTACTGAACTTGATAGACTGAAATAGAATCATAAAATTAACCGAAATGCTTCCCGAAAACTCACTTGTAGTACGTCTATTCTGGTGTTCAAAATCCATGCCCGCTATGCAAATGGGTCTATAAAGATGACGGTCTCCGCTGACTAGAGGTGAGGCACGCGTCCGCTCGCGAGAAGAAGATTTACAATACTCAAAATCCCCTCGCCTAAAATGAGACCCGACGCCAAGACAACAACAGTCGAAGAAGCGGCGTCTGCTTTCGCACTTTCCCGATCAGCGGACGTAGAGCCTCCCTGCCCACTTTGCAGCTCTGTAGACTCCCCTGTCGAGGCGCCAGGATTAACTCCATTACTATTCTCCACGGAGATAGGTTGAGCGGAGGGTGTGGAATGCTTTCGTGACCACCACCAGGCAATGACACCACCAATAGCTCTCGCCAGAGTGAAGGATGGGACGTTGAAAATGCCAACTGCCACAGCAATACCACCGGGGATCCAGTCCCTCCAAGCTGGTGGTTTACCGTTCTGCGCAAAGGCAGGAGATGCAGTTGCAATGCGGACGGCAGTGATGATCATCCAGATAACACCGGCAATGAAAGACGCTTGCCAGGCCATATCCGGTAAGCCCTGGCCAGTCACAAGGCGCGCGGTAAAGATCCAGACATACGCAGTCGGCGTCTGGAACATTTCGCCTGGAATCTCGTAGACGCTCACGTACATTTTGTATACAGCTGTAGAGAGCGCGGCGCCGACAACACTGCCTATCATTTGGCCGTAGAACTGGGCTTTCGGGCTTGCACCGAGAAGGTGGCCTGTCTTTAGGTCCTGCATCATATCGCCGGCTTGGAGGGCACCAGATTCGGAGACTGCACCCGCCAGGAGATTCGTGACCAGAGCTGTTCGTCGAGAGAAATGAGATGCTGGGGTGGCGAGGGAGAAGAGAAGCTGGGTGAGTTTGCTGATGCCAGATACTGGGTTCAGGTCTGTTTCGCCCAGAGCGCGCACACCCATGACGGATAACAGGACCGCGAGGAGAGTAGCGAGACTTGACAACAGTGGGGACATGATGTCGCCGAAGACGTAGTGCATGCAAATAACATTGAGGATCAAGGTCAGCGGGAGCAGAATTATAACCGTGCGAGTAGAGATAAGCTGCGATGGCGGCGCATCGTCATCTTCTTCTTCAATGGTGGCGGTGACGGGAATATGGTTTTCATGAGCCAAAGGTTGGCCATCGGAGTCTAACGCAGAGTAATTGATGTAAGAGTGATGGTGGGAATTGGAAGACTGCAGCCGTAATGCGACCCATCGACCGACACGAGTCGATCGGAAAAGAGCCATCCATCTGGGAGCGCGGTTCACGAGAGGCTTGGCCACCAGCCATCCAAGACTGACGAGGGAATCGGCAAGCATGATTGCCAAAGAAATCCACACGATCCATGCTTTGCTTCCATCTTCCCAGCTGTCCACAGGCCCTGGAGCCCATCCGCGAGCCTTGGCCAGTGGAGAGAGTATTCCCCATCCTAAAACCGCACCGAAAAGCATATGCATACAGGTTGATGGACCCATGATGATACCCTGTCCGATGTATGCAGGCGATGGGTTAAGGGTCCATAGCCAGTTGGAGGCGAGGCCCACGCCGAATAAAGGAATATCGCGAACCAAGGGGACGAAGTATGAAAAGAGTGTCTATGCATAAAATTAGTTCGCCTGTTCCTGGCCCAATTGGAAAAATGAACTCACATAAACACCAGATACTACGAAAGCACCGACCAAAAGGCGCATTTTCGATCTCCAATCCTTTTGATGGGCCGCCTGATCTTCAGTGTCGACATTCTTCAACAAAAGACCCTGCTCCTCTTCCTGTTGACGAATAGGTTCACTAGGTCCTTCCGGTTCAACGGTGTGATCCTGAGGTGACAGCGGTGTCTTCTCGTCTTTTCCAGCCCCATGCAGGACTCGAAGCATCAACGCCGAAGCAGTGCCGCTTGGAAACCGCAATTTTTCCCGCACAATCACTTCCTTTCGCAGAGGAACGGCAAAAACCACGCCAAACAGACAGACGCCCAAGCTCCAAATAACCAATTTCCAAAAGCCCAGCTTGAGGGGTCCACCCTCGCCTTCCCCGCCGTCACCCTTCGGCCCATCCTCGCCGTCTTTCAGCAGGAACTCTAGAGCAGGAATGACACCGACAAACCCGCAACCGAGAGGCATAGTTCCCACCGCTCCAGCGACGGTCTGAATCAGGACATTCTCGATCGGCGTGAATGGGAAGGATAGATGATTGGCAAGGACCTTGAAGACCGAGAAGCCGATCAAGGCCGACGGCATGGCCATGGTACTGATCCATCCTGTCTGGAGGCCGAAGTAGGTATTGGAGAACGTAATCAAGGCACCGATAATGAGGCCGACGATGAGAGATCGGGGCGTGAAGCTCTGTGCGGAGGTGGTCGGCGCTCGTGTGTTTGCCGCCGCGGCGATGGGGTCGGGCTGGTCGCGCGAGGATGGTCTACTTCCCGAGCGGAGCCGCGGCTCGGAGGCATCGCGTGCCATGCTGAGAGACTGGTAATTCATCGGCCCAGTAGGTCAGTAGTGGAACAAATTGCTGGGCGAAGATCGGGGCGATAGTGATAACCCCGGATGAGTAATGCATTGATAAGATCCATCACCTGACGTCAGTCCCGCTCCGAGCGCTTAGACGTAGATGAACTATAGAGATGTGTTTGGAGTTCAATTGCAGAAATTGGAGAACTGGGGGTTTCATGCGAAGGATTAGAAGATAAATGGGCATGTGACGTTGATATTGAAGCAGTCCACATGATCTGGAAATTAGTCGACACATTATGGTAGTTGTCCCGCGAGTGTCGTCGCTTCTGACCAACATGTCTAACAGAGATTTCTGTATGACTTACATACTCTAAGTCTCTAAAAATCCCATTCAGGCCCGGGGCTATACTGAGGCACAGGGGACTGAGAATAGTAGTTTACTATTCTGGTCTAAGCCAGTTCAAGGTTGCCGAGGCTGGAGGATTTCTGCCTGTAGGTATACCCCGAACTGGGGTAGGGCAGGTCCGTTTCCCAAGGGTTCCCTAGGAATTGAACCCAACTTCAGTGGATATAAATTATCCCTATTTATTTTCTTCCTTTTCTTTTTCATCCTCCCTCCTGCACATTCGTTCATTGACCACATTCCTCACTACATCGAGGCAACATGGCTACAACTACCGAGCTCAGGTCTCGGAAAAGGCTTGACAATGACAATACCGCCGACTTCGCCAAAGAGCACATCACCGGTGGCTGGCGACCCGGCATGGATCCCAAGGTTGACTACTCGGGGCACTTTGAGTTTGGCGGCTCTCTTGGGTGCCTCGCTCTCATGACTGGCTTCCCTACGTTGATGTACTACATGTGGATTGGAGCCACGTACTACGATGGAAAACTACCTCTTCCTGAAGATGGCCAGTCTTTAGTCGACTTTGCGAAGCATTTGTGCCATCTTGTCTACACCGGTGCTTTCCCGCATTTCAGGGCCTGGCGTATCTACTGGACCTATATCATCTTCGAGGCTGCATGCTACGTCTTGATGCCTGGATTTACATGCTACGGTAAATCTCTTCTTCACTTGGGTGGGAAGCAGTTGAAATACCACTGCTCGGCATACACCAGCTTCTATCTCACTATTCTGGTCATGACTGTCTTGCATGCCACCGGGCTATTTCCAATTTGGACTTTCCTTGACGAGTTCGGTCCCATCTTGTCTGTCGCCATCATCTCTGGCTTCTGTGTCAGCCTTGTAACATATCTTTCCGCTTTTGCTCGTGGCGCTCAACACCGTGTCACCGGCTATCCGATTTACGACTTTTTTATGGGTGCCGAGCTGAACCCTCGCCTATTTAGAATCCTGGATTTGAAGATGTTCTACGAAGTCCGAATTCCGTGGTTCATTTTGTTTGGTCTGAGCTGTGCTGCTGCCGCGCGCCAGTATGAACGTTATGGCTACGTTTCTGGCGAAGTTTTGTTTTTGGTCATGGCACACTTCACCTACGCCAATGCCTGCGCCAAGGCGGAGCACCTTATCACCACAACCTGGGACATGTATCAAGAGAAGCTTGGATTCATGTTGACCTTTTGGAACATGGCCGGGGTCCCGTTGTCTTATTGCCACTGCACCCTCTACCTGGCAAACCATGACCCATCCACATATGCATGGAACAAGTGGGCACTGACCGGATTCTTCGTCTCCTATCTTTTCGTCTACTGTGTTTGGGACATTGCGAATAGCCAGAAGAATTCTTTCAAAATGATGGAGCGAGGCACCTGGTCCAAGCGAAAGACCTTCCCACAGCTGCCCTGGCAGGAGGTCCACAATCCCAAGACCATTGTGAGCGAGAATGGGGATGTTATCTTGGCCGATGGCGTTTACGGACTTGCACGCAAGCTGCACTACAGTTGCGATATGTTCTTCGCTATCTCTTGGGGTCTGATTACTGGCTTTGACAGCCCTTTCCCCTGGTTCTATCCGGTCTTCTTTTGTGTTATGATCGCCCACCGGGCCATGAGGGATATCAATAAATGCCGGCACAAGTATGGAGAGGCATGGAAAGAGTATGAGAAGCAGGTGCCATACCTCTTTATTCCATATGTGATCTAGACATGGTTGTATTCCTTCTTGTCTTGTCTTTCCTTTCCTTTCTGTTGACGCCGGTAAGTTACAATCAATGCTATCGCCGCCGCTATACCTCCAAATATACTTGAAGCAACCCTTTGGAACATGACATGGCATTCCGCTCCGCGCAGAAGACGCCCGAAGGAAATTTTATAGGCAAAAAAAAAAGACCATCGTGATTTGGATATCAGACCCCTTTACCAAGCCCCTGGGTAGATACAACATAGCTATATTCAGACATCTTAGTTCAGGTCAGATATGAGAAGGCAAGAAACAACTAGCCAAGAAAGTTAAGGTCAGGTCAAGAAGGCCTACAAGGTCTTTCATATTGTTTACATAGATGCGGAACCAGTCATGAATGAGAAAACATAGCATAAGGGCCGACGTGCTGGGGAATCATAACAAAGCGAAACGGCAAGGAACGGTTGATAGAGATACAGGGTGGGATCAGACAAAAGGGCCAGTCTCACATCCTCGCAGCTCTAGTAGTCTTATCATAGAAATCCAGGGTCATAGCCGCCAAGAAGCAGGGAATATCCTTCCTCTCCTCAACCCAGAACTTGATCAGGTGCTTAATCTCCATGGCGAAGAGACTATTCGGCCCGCCGGAGATCTTCATCGTGCCGTTCTCGCCGTCAAACACAATCGAGTTCTCCCCGTCGTCGCCCATGCTACCCGGTCCGCGGGAATCAGAGGCACCGCTATCGCCATGGCGGTAGGCGGAAGAGAGATGGAACATCGAGGTCACGCGGACGCGGCCGTTCGGGAGGAAGTCGAGCTTGTAGCCGAGCAAGGAGGCGACGGCTTCACGGAACTCGGAGGACTTGGCGGTCCAGATTTCCTTGAGCCGGCGCATGCGCTTCTCCTTGTCTGCGACGATAGCCTCCATGTCCTGCATCTCAAGTTTGAGGCTGTCGAGTGTGCTGATAGGGACAACCTTAACGCCCGTGTGCTCACTGCGCAGCTGAGCCAGGAGATCTCTGTTCTCGGAGCGGAGGGTCGTCAGTGTCGACATCTTGATCTTCTCTGCTTCGGCTGTAGGGTTGTCGCGCAGCTCGAGAATACGGGTTCGAGATTTGGACTTCAAGGATTTGATCTGAGACTTGGCAGCCTCTAGCTCTTTGCGCGCAAGAGTTGTTGATTGTTCGGATTTCGAAAGCGCTTCCTGCAGTTTGCGATTCTTTCGAGAGAGCACTGCCAGCCGCTCGCTCTCGGCATCGCTATCAGCGGGTGACAGAGGACGTTTAGTTCCTCGAGCTTCGGCCTGCGCTTCGTCCTGCTGTGGTGCCTCTCGCTTGGACAACTCTTCGTGGGTCTTTTGTAGTTCGACACGGTACTCATCCACGATCTTTTCGAGCTGCGCGATTTGAGCGGCCTTCTGCTCGTCGAATGTGCCCTGATCCGTGTTCATCGTCTCCTCTTCAACGTCAAATGTTTTAAGCTGTGCACGCAAGTACTCAACCTCCTTCACTGCTAGGGCACGCTGGCGCTCTAGACGGGAGCGAAGACGAGCCTCTGTGCCTGCTGGTGTTCCTACTGAGCCACCACCAGCTGCACGAAGCTTTTCCAGCTCCTGGCGAAGTTGAATTTTCTCATTCTCGAGACTCCTGATCGCTTCATCTTTCTCCAAAAACTGTGCATCCACGCTCCCGAGTCTGTCAACGAGGGTTGCCTTCTCGATGCGTTCCTGGACCAGCGCCTTTACCACCGCCTCAGGAGAATCAAACTCTGCAGGTTGGTCATTGTCCTGGAGTAAGCTGTTCCACGATTGTCGCTCATCCTCCAACATCTGCTTTTGGAATTGCAAAGTGCCGAGCTCTGCCTCGAGCCCCTTCATCAGCTGCAGCTGGTTCTCGAGCGATCTCTTCTGCTCCTCAACCACCTCGACGTTCTTCTGGACTTTCCGGAGGTGTCGCAATTCCGCATTTTGGTCTCGGTTTGTGGACCCCAGTTCACGGATATGGTTGACCTGGTCCGAGAGCTCCCGCTTCAAGACCACCAATTCTTCAGCACCGCTCCCTTCTGCTTTCAAGCGGATATTCTCTGACTCTAAATTGGCGACCTCGGATTCACGTTCGGAGAGTTTCTCCTGGGTAGTTTGATGTGAGCTGCGAGCCGCTTGAAGGTCATTTTGAAGCTCCTCGATCGTCTTCTGAAGCGATGCTCGGACGGTCTCCAACTCGTTGATTTGGTACTTGGACTGGCGCTCCTGGTCGGATAGCCTGGCTTCCACGTCACTGAATTCTTCTTGAATATTTTGCTTCTCGTCTTGCAGGCCTCTGATTTTGCGTTCCAGACCGGTTTTCTCGTCAAGGGCCTGCTCCTGCGCTTCCTTTAGCTCCTTAGCTAACGACTCGCTCTTGTGGATGGCACGTTGGCCTGCAGCTTCGGCAGTCTAGCAAAAACAGAAGGTTAGTCTGAATACATCTCAGAATGATCCTGGATGAAACCAACCTGCGCCTTTCGGAAATCCGCATCTGCTCTCAGCTGGAGATCCCGAGTCTCTTTCTCGTGTCGTAGAGCCTCCAGGCCTCTCTCCTGCTTGATGTTTTCCAATTCATACTTGAGCGTGCTCACTAGGACTCGTAATTCATCTTTCTCGGTATCTGGAGCCTTCGTTTAGTATACCGTTCAATGCACAGCCATTGAAAGAGAAAGGTGGATCCTGACCATGCACCGACTGGTGGGATGAAGGCTGAGGTTGAATGGATCGAACTGAATGTCGCATAGATCTTTGCGCACTGGCAGGGGTAGAAGGCGATGCGAAGCCGGCAATCAATTGCGACGCCGGACGCGTCGACTGGCTGTTGTCCATGCTGGCAGGTGTGTTAGGTTCTGTACAAAGAAAGAAGCATTCGTAAGCACTCACTCTGGGAAGTGCTTGGGGAGGCTGCTAGTCTTTCCTCCCAAACAGACAAGCAACGCGACAAAGGAAACGACGAGGCCGAGAAGCGCAACAAAGGCGGAGATGTTTGGATCTTAGTCATCAGCCCAGAGCTACCGAATTGGGACTAGTGCCAAAATTTTATCGAAAATCGAACTTGAAATTATTTCGAGCCGGCCTCTTCTCTCTGCACACCCAACACACCCCCACATCGCCCCCCGTTCGTCTTTTTCGAATCCGACATCATGGGCAAGGACAAGGTTGAGAAGAAGGAGAAGCGCGCTGAGAAGAAAGAGAAGCGCGCCGACAAGGACGGTGTCCACAAGGCCGGCAAGAAGGAAAAGAAGGACAAGAAGGACAAGACCACTCTCTCCGATGCGGTAGAGAAGGAGATCACCTCTCAGGTCCTGGATGGCCTCGACCAGGCTGTCGCCGCCGTCGTTGAGGACCCCATGGTTGTCGACGGCGAGCGCCCCATTGGTGCTCTCGTGCCGTTTGCCAACCCATTGGTCGAGGATAAGCAGGCCAAGAAGGTGCTGAAGAGCGTCAAGAAGGGTAAGTCTTGCAGCGATTCCATTGATACATGTTTTTTTGGGGTTGCACTCCGGTTTTGCTCCAATTGGAGTGGGTGTGCACAGTCTAGCAGCCTTTTTCAAGACACCCGCGCAACCCATTTTTCGGTATCATGTCGAATCTCTATGCTAACCATCTCCACTTCTACAGCTGCCGTCAACAAGTCCCTCAAGCGCGGTGTCAAGGAGGTCGTCAAGGCCCTCCGCAAGTCGCCCATCCCGGCCGCCAACGCCGCCATCGATATCCCCAATGGCATTGTCATTCTCGCTGCCGACATCTCCCCCATGGATGTCATCTCTCACATCCCCGTCCTGTGCGAGGACCACGGCATTCCCTACGTCTTCGTCACCTCTCGCGCTGAGCTCGGTGCCTCCGCCGCCACCAAGCGCCCGACCAGTGTGGCCATGGTTGTCCCCAAGTCCGCCAGCAAGAACAAGAAGCTTGACGATGCCGACAGCGAGGACTTCAGCAAGGTGTACGAGGAGCTGGCCAAGCTTGTGCAGAAGGAGGCCAAGGGTATCACCGTTTAAGCAGTTGCCATGTTCGTCCTGCGTTGCTTCTTTCCCACGTTCCTGGTTGCGGGTGGGTTCTCGTATTGTACAGGTTTTTGTTCCAGTCTGATAGGACCGTGCATTTCTTTGGGGGTCCGGCCTATGGGTATCTATTTCTTTTTCCATATTTTGCTCAACTGCAGTTTCGGCGTTTTTATCAACGGTGTATGAAAAAAAAGAATTCCAAAGAGAAATCACCCCATACATGATGCTATCGTACTTGGTACTTTCAAATGAGCCATGCGACTGCTATTGCAGATAGTACATGGAAATAGCCCTTTCGAGGCACACCCATGCGATGACTTAACCCTTAGGAAGGTAGATGCGAATGGCTTCAACATTCGAGTAGAACCTCGCAAGATAATCGAGGGGTCACACAGATTGACGTAGCTTTCAAACGCACGTCCATCCCGACGGTTGAGCAGCACAGGTGGTTACACGGCGAAACCGAGCAAAGCTTGAACTCGGTGAAGTTGGGCGCGAAGCCTGCAGCCGCAGATACAGTACCAGTTGCACAGACAGTCAACGGTCTCGATCGGAGGCACGACCCTAGACGAAACCAGGGACAAAGCGCAAGTCTAGCCGATCGGCCTTGCATCATACCCGCACTATCAATGCACGGCACTATCATTCCAGGGTGATCAATCTGATCGATCCCCTCTATTTCTTCAACAGGCGAACAAGGGGCTTTGTCTACATGCCGCCACTCTGCGGACGCCACCTGAAGCCCAATCAGCGTGCTATCTAATGGTATCCCACCAGGTACACGGATCTGCTCCCCCTTGAGATCCCCATTTTACAATCCAGGAACACTGGCTGATGGCAGGTCGTACGCGTTATCCGAACCTGGACCCTTGCGGATCGCCTGCCCTACCCCAGAATAATATAAGGATCCCCTTCACCCTGTATTTTCTCTCTATGATGCATCCATCAGGCTGACTTTCCTTAACGTTTCCTTTCCTTATCGAAAATACGAAAACACAATGTTTGGCTTTCGTCCACAGTACTGGTCGCTCATTACGCTGCTTCTCGCTCTTGTTCACCCCTCCGCATCTCACCCCATTCGCACACCCAAATGGATTAAAAGGGATCAATTCGCGGACCCGGAATCTCGGGGAGTATGGAAGGTTTTTGAGAAAACCGGATACAAATATGGGGTTGAGCTACCACAGGCCAAGTCTATGGAGGTTGGTGTTCTTCATGTTTATGCCCTTGTATCAGCAATTGACGATCTATAGATATCCTCTATCACACAAAATGACGACAGCTCAATTGAGAAAGGTCCTCCCGGACTCCACTATAAACACGACCTGTCTTATGGAAAATCAACCGTATCAGTCTTGGTACCCGTTGCACCGGACTCGTTACCGCCACCACCACAGGCTGAACATCACCGCCATGATGCACAAGGTAAACCTCAGGAGCCATCCTTCGAGGTGAAAACCTATGCCGATCACTATGGAGAAATCTTGGGCCACCCGCAATCCTACAGGGGGAAGCGGACGGGGGAAACCGTAACTTTCTCGTCCGCAAAGTTCAAACTAGCATCCGGCCATTCTATCTCGTTCTTCTCTTACCGGATCCCACTTCCTTTCTTGAAATTTGCACCGGCCAATTTCCCGCAATACCCACTTCCTGGAATATTTACGACGGTCATGGTCCTCCTTGCAATGGTGTGGATCGCGATTTTCATGATCGGACTGGTCGAGCTTGGCAACTATCTATGGAAACGAAGGGCCGCGAGACAAGCTGAAAGGGAGGGAAATAGGAGCGAGGGGCTTTCCGAAGAGTCTGAAGAATTGATCAAAGCACCAATGCACGTTATGGTAGCTGCAAGAGTCGAGACGGATTGCCGGGATGAAGTGGCTACTTTGTTGTCGAGTGGATCCGAGTCGGACTCCGGATCGGATTCGGAGAGGGATGACTATCGGTTTTGAACAACCCTTTATATAATGAGCTGTGTCTACCATGTGTATAGAGCTCTGTACATGTATACGAAGATTGGATGGAAGTGTTCAAGGACATTGGCCTTTCGATTCTCATGTAGATCTAATGTACAAAACCATATTCCTTTCATTTCATCATGGACATGAACCAAATAGACACGCTCGCTTGCTCAAATGATTTTAATTTTGGCCTTACCGTAGCCCTTTTTTAAGCACGCTGCTCATCCAGAGCCTGGAACGGATGCTGGTTGTCGACCTTGCTCTGGCGAGGACCACCGGCATCAGGGCCGCTCTCGGCAGTCGTACGCTGGAACTTGTTGATAGCAGCACGAGCAGGGTCCTGGTCAGAGCCAATTTCAGAGTTGAAGCTAGCGTTGTTCTTGTCGTCGGCCTCGAAGCCACCCTCGTGGATGTTGCGGCCAGCAGGCTTGGAGTGCTGATAGCCGGGGGTGATGTCATTGACGTAGGAGGGGGCCTGGCCACCGTTGAACTGGCTGCGGCCGCTGCCACTGGCAGACGAGTACTCGCCAGCGTTCATGCCCATCTCCTTCTTCGCAGCGGTTGGGCCGCCGACGTAGCCACTGTGATGAGCACCGGGGAAGTTACCCTGTCCGCCAAGGGCCTCGGGGTACTTCTCCTGTCGCTGGCGGTCCTCACGGAGGCCACCTACGGGAGCGGGAGGGAGCTCGGTTGCGGCAGATGTATCGGTGTTGTTCAAAGTAGACTTGTTGCCGGAAACGCCCATGGGCTCGGCACCGCGGTTCTCGGAGAAACCACCGCCTTGCTTGATGGACTGGGCGGCGAGAGAGTCGCTAGCGACGGGGCCAGAAGGCTCCTCGATGGGCTGCTGGGAGGCAAGAGGGTCATTGGTGACCTTGGTGCTGCGGTTACCGTGAGGAAGAGGAGTGCCCTGAAGATCCATGGTGATTGTTTTGTATATAGTTTGGAAAAATTGGGAGAGTTTTGGTATGAAGGGCTGGTGATATTTTGTGATTGAAGAAAGATTGCTTGAATAATTGAACGAGACACGAAGCGGCGAGCAAGCTATATAGGATCCAGATAGGCGAAGTATGAAACACCACTGCAAACGATCGTGGTATCAAGAGGAGGGATATCAAGGCAGGTGATGTCACACTTACGAAGGTTCCGACGCGGTCCAACCAAAGGGATAACAAGATGGCTCAAGCAGTCACGTCAATCACCCTGTGCATTTTGGATATTCGGTGGCGGAATGGAGCCGTCGAAACAAGGGAAGGTGGAGTATCCCTGCTTGTTAGCCTTGAACCCTGTGTTTCTGGCAGAAGCCGTGGTCGTCAGAGAGGGTCCAGTCTCCACATCTCTATCTCACCGCGGATAACTGAGTTCGTCGGTTCCCCAGCGTTTTCCGGCAAATGTTGGCAGGATGGTAATAGTTTAGATAGCTTGGTTGGTGATGTCACACTTACGAAAGTCCGCTACAAACGGTATGATCTTTTCTCTAGATTGACTCTTTCCATCCTTACTATGGGAAATAACTAGAACCATTTTTCTCTGCTCTTCTGATTTATCACGTTCTTTTTTCAGTGAAACGCTCGGAATTGAGCCATTGTAGAGGTGGTTGTAACTGGCGTTCGCAGAGCAGACCGGTCGACGCATCCAGACCGCGGTCGTATTTCCACCAATCAGAGCATGGGGATCGATCAATTTGCCCGCAACAAATTTTTGAGCACGCGACAGCTACTGATCTACATCTATTGGTTTCACTTTTTGAGTCGTAAAATCTCGAACGATCCAAATCGATCAAAAGCATAAATTTTGTTGTGAATCACTCATTCGCTCATAGCTCCGTAAAAATGACTATCATACAAGATGGATCCAGCCCATTGAAATGCATTTATCGAGAAGTGGCATCGGAAGGAAGATGGTCGAGGCCTTCCTTGCCCTGGCGGCCAACGTTGCCGTGAGGAGCAGTAGGCACATGAAGCTCCTTGCCATCGACGCGCGCACTGCTAGACGCAGTCGCAGGGCCGCGCAGAGCGCTGTCGCCATCGCCAGAGATGGGCTCCTCCAAACGGCCGGAGCCGACGTTGACGGTGCGCTGGTCCGCTGAGTTCCAGTCACTGGCGACTGGGGGCTTGTCAGGCAAAGGAAGGTTGGCCTGGGTCTTCTCAATCTGTTCGCCTTTGTTGGTGCCCTGGTCGATGATGGACTAAAAGACGAATTAGCGGGATTATTTTGGAGGAACTTGAGATAGCTCACCTTCATCTGGGACACATCGGAATCAGCAGGTACTTTACCACCGTGCTGGTGGGCAACGCGGGACTCCTCCTTGGCAAGGTCCTGACGGGTGGTGTGGATGTTGGGAGCAGACATGATGGTTTGATGTAAGGACGTTGGTATTGAGTGTGTGGGAAACAGAGTTGCAAAGTTGCGATTGGGGTTAAAAATATTAACTTTCGAAGTTTTCAAAGCGGCCTCCAAAGGATTCTTATACTCTTAGAGGCGGCATTGGCTTGTGACGTTTGTTCCAGAAGTCGGGAATGACGACATCGAAGCAACCCTGGCCATGAATTCAGTCTCCACCGCAACCAGAGAAGGGCTTACACACCATTTCATTTTGAACTATGGTGTCAGAGAGATATCTCCATCGTCCGTGCTCCAAGCTTGCAAATTTAACGTCATAGCGCACGCACCATACGACACCGGGTGGCGAGGCCTCATACAAGTGATGCCCTACTGGGTTAGATATTTCTTAGTATCGGGGTTATCGGGCCTCACGCCAGCCCATAGCCGGCTTCGTTCAATTATGTAGATCGAGGTTTTACCTTGCCAAATGTAGTTGTAAATCTACAGAGCTGGTGGGAGCTCTCTTTGTTTCTCTTTGATTACGAGACGACATCGTTGATATTTTTCAAGAAATCTTCCGAGGGATCTTTCTGAGTATCTTGCTGAGCAGATCTTTCTGGGTCTTTCCAGAATTACTTCAAGACCCGAATCGGAAGCTCGATGTCATAGCCCCGCCGCTATATTGGAGCATTTCAACCTGAATCCTGACGACTCCTGTTATACATAATCAACAGCTCTAATAAATCTGGGCTGGGTTATGGGGGAGTGGAGCACATGAGAGCAAGTTCCAAGATTGTTGTCAAGGCCCACACATTCAACCGGGAGGAAGACAACTCAACAACAAAAGTGAAGTGGGCGTCCGTTTATAGTTTATACCCAGGCATATGTACCTATCACCAACCCAGCCTCTATGATTTGGCAGCATAACCCTTATCGGAGAGTGAGGTTTCCTCGACTTCTACCAACTTCAATGTCACGTACAGGCTCTGCTTGAAACTCCGCGTACTTATCATGACCAATAGGCTAGACGGTACTATCATGCTGTCATGACCAGGCGTAGTTCTCAAAAAATGCTCTGCATTCCGATCTCCTTGCCCTGACTCGTGATCGGGTGGTTTCATTTACCTTTTGAGGTTCTTCAAATTTACATGTACCTGTACATCGCGGCCCATCCACGCACCCAATTCGAAACCCTTCTTTGTATTTTGTTTTACAAATTTCAAAAACGAATCGTGTCACCAGTATTAATATTCTTGGCCCTGAATGCTCGAAGCTCTGGTTCCTGTATAGTTCCCGCGGATGCGCGAAGGCGGTCTCAACCGGCAGAAATTCTTATCGCGGACAGGATTCTCGATGAACGTGAAATTATGACTGTGACGTTTGCGACTGACTACGTGAGGCAATATATTTTCCCTGTCTCCTTCTAGCGCTCGCAATATTCCAATATGCCCCGCGATCCGCTCGTTGGCCTTGTGGGCAAGGTCAGTCTCTTTTCATCCTCCCCTCCAACACCCCGCTGACCATGTGAGGGACGCAGCCTTCAAGTGGGAAATCCACGACATTGAACAGTTTGACCGATGCTTCCTCCAAAGTTGGTAAGTATTCCTGGATTCCCATGCTACTTCAATCGCTAACCTTGGGTCGTATACAGGCAACTTCCCGTACGTACAGCCGGCTGCTTCAGCATTCCCGCGTTATCGACGCGCTAACACAATCCACCAGCTTCACAACCATTGACCCCCAGCGAGCCATCGGATACCTTCAGATCGAATGCGCCTGCAAGCGACACAACGTTTCAGATCGGTGCCAGCCTAATTACGGTGGCTGTCATGAAGGGCGGCGCTCCGTGCCTATTGAACTGCTAGATGTGGCTGGACTGGTGCCGGGAGCACATCAAGGACGGGGACTCGGAAATAAGTTCTTGGATGATCTGCGGCATGCGGATGCCTTGATCCATGTGGTGGATGTGAGTGGGACCACCGATGCCGAAGGGAAGGCCACTCGCGGCTACGATCCTTCCGTGGATATTGAATGGCTGCGGTCGGAGATTGTGCGATGGGTGCTTGGAAACTTGATGGAGAAGTGGTACGTTGACGGCGAACAAAAGGATACGCAGTGGGAACAATGCTGATGTTTGATTTTAGGGGCTCCATTAAACGGAGACATATTGCGACGAGTGAGTGAACTGCCCTGATACTCAAGACACCGGCAATTAACGATATACAGAGGCAAACCCAGTCGACACACTACAGGGCCAGTTTTCAGGATATGGAAGTACGTCAACAATTGTTGCGCGGGTGCTGGACAGGCTCGCACTGAAAGAACCGCTTGAAGAATGGTCGGATGAGACCGTCAAGACCATGGTCGAGACCTTTATCGACGAAAAGTTTCCCACAGTGTTCGCATTGAACAAAATCGATCACCCAGATGCGGATAAAGTGCGTTTACCCCCTGGAGAGATGTCGTGGAGCCTGCTAACGCCAATCACAGAATATCAGTAAGATCGCCAAGATGCAAGATCCCCAAAGTGTCGTGCTTTGCTCGGCTATATCAGAGGTCTTCCTGCGCCGATTAGCCAAGCAGGAATATATCAAGTACGTTGAAGGCAGCGAGTTCGTGGATACTCGGGAGGATCTGATTGAAATGGGCGATCCAAACGGTGGAGGCCTTAAGGAGATGGACGAAAAGTTGAAAACGTAAGTGTGCCCGGTCCCGACATAAGGATCTATGGCTGACCGGAATCCAAACAGCCGTGTCGAGAACTTAAAAGACATGGTTTTGTATCGATTTGGATCCACCGGTGTGGTGCAGTGTCTTTCTCGAGCTGCAGAGCTTCTAGGTCTTGTTCCCGTCTTCCCAGTAAGGAATGTCGCGACGTTCAGCTCGGGCAATGGCACCGCCGTATTCCGCGATTGTGTTCTGGTCAAGAAGTGAGTGCTGCAAGAGAGATAATTGTAATTCTTAACTAACTTTACGCAGGAACAGCACCGTTGGTGACGTGGCTCGAAAGGTGATGGGCGACGTGCCTATCAACTATATTGAAGGCATCGGCGGCACTCGCGTGTCCGAGGAGGATATCGTCGCAGTTGGGAAACACGATGTAAGACTTTTCTACCACCCTCAAGGTTCTCTTGATTTCGAGACTAACACTCAATTGTAGATCCTTTCATTCAAGGTTGGCAGGTAAACCATAAGTCACACCTCATGTACAGTCTCGTGGAACGCCAATAGACATGCCCTGCAACGATGCCATCCATAACGCCCATTCTGTAGAATATAGCACCACCCGTATAGATAGATGATCGAGTAGACGTGATTTCGAAATTAACCACCCTTCTGCACGATAAAATCGGATCAGCAATCTGAACTCACAGCCAAAAGGGCACCTCTTACCTGTGCCCGTTCATCATTCATGCCAATAATCGGTTCCGGAGCAGCAGGATGCTCCTTCTTTGCCTTCTGGCCATGTTTGCGCCCACCTCTCTCCGTCGTGCCTTGCTGCTTGGTGTCGTCTGCGATACCTTCGTTCGCATCTCTTTCCTTCATACCCGACGCTGAGGCTGCCGAAGACGGATCTTCAGTGTCGCCCTTTTTAGCGCGCTTGGTACTGTGCTCTGTGGAGTCGGCTCCCTTCCATTCCTTTGAAACGTAATTTCGACTCAGGCAACGGGTTATTGGCGTTGCGGATATGCGAGTGCGCATAGCCGACCGAGCCGGCTGGAAGAGTAGCATGTCTTGTAGTTTCAACGCGGACGTTAAAAATGCGATGGTAATGGCTTTATGGATTTTAAAAACAGTAATTGGCATGTAAAATATTTATAAGCTAAGTTACATGGTTCTTTCATGTTATTTTGCCTGGAATTTTGCAGGTCGAGGGCTACGTTATGACGTCTTTATGCTGCAATCCGGGCCTTGAGCTACCCTGGAACTCTTATCGATAAATCAAGTATACACCAAACCTTTTATGGATTATCGGGGATTTAGCAAAGAAAAATCTTATTTGTATGCCCGTCTACCTGTTTTCATTCGCAGATAATTACGGGAAAGGGTACTGCCAGAGTGTTGACAGGTTGGATCATACAAAAGATAGCGGTTGTATAGCGTCGTTAACGATATTTATTATCCATAATAATAGCTACAGCGTATATACAAGAAGTCAGAAAAGAATATAGTACAGCGACCCCGACCACCGTGTCATAATACAAATCGATCCTTTACTCCGCGTTGGAGTCCGGAATTGTAGGCACATTCTCCCCTGCTCCAGTCGCCATATCAGCGACATGAGCCGAGGAACCCTGCGCTTGTCCCTTGTCAAACGAACCACGAATGACATTAGGATCGGCAGGGAACTGGAACTTGGAACTCTTCCAGGGCTTAACCTTCAAGAGATACATGGTATCAATCTCTTCCAGTGTTCGGCCCTGGCCCTCGATAACCGTGAAGTAGACCAGGCCCGCAGCCAGGAAAAGACATCCGGCAAAGACGTATCCGAACTGGAAGTCAATAGCACTGACAATGAAGGGAGTGAAGAAGGCCAGAAGGAAGTTCCACAGCCAGTTGGATGCAGTGGCGAGGGACATGCCGCGGGCACGGTACTGCGAGGGGAACAGCTCAGCGATAATGGTCCATACCATTGGGCCCCATGTACTAGCAAAGCCGAGGATAAACAGACAGGCAAAGACCACCATCGCTACACCAGCACTCTTTGTCTGCTCGGGGTGGTCACGGTTCAAAGAGAAGTGGCCCACCGAGGCGAAGACTATGAAGCAGACAAACATCCACAGAGCACCGGCGATGAGAGACCGGCGACGGCCGTAGTGCTCGATCAGGTAGAGTCCTAAGAAGGTAGTGCCAAAGTTGACGCCGCCCAAAATCATCTGCGTGACATAGCTGTTCTGGATGCCGGCACCCTTGAAAACGACCGTTCCGTAGTAGAAGAAGTAGTTGGCACCTGTCAGCTGCTGCAGAGCTTGGAGGGAAACACCGACCAGGACTCGTTTCCACATTGTCGGTGCCTTGAAGAACTTCACCCAGCCGACCTTGCCATTGCGAACTTCTTCCTCGTACTTTTCCTTGATCTCTTCAAATTCGATTTTCAGGGCACGGTGGTTCCGAGGAACTCCGTAGATCTTGGCGAGGTTGGTCACGGCAGCGTCCACTTTATTGTGACGGTAGTCATATCGAGGACTTTCAGGGAAGAAAACCATGCCAACACCGAGGATAATGGCCCAGAGGTAGGTAATTCCCATGGGGATGCGCCACGATCCGGTATCAGTGCGGGCCTCGGTTCCGAAGTTGATGCAGTTGGCAACGAGGATTCCGAGAGTGATGAAAAGCTGGTACGTGCTGGTGGTATATCAATACCTTTATTCAGAGCAAGGGTAGGGGGGAACATACCTAATCAACGAACCTCGAATGTGTCTTGGTCCTGACTCGGCCTGGTACATTGGCACCAGCAGGGACAGCGCCCCAACGCCAAGGCCCGCGGTCCAGCGGCCCAGTGCCACTTGATACCATTTGGGGACAGGGGAGGAAATCTGAACGGTGACGCCGGCACAAAGGATCACACACCAGCCACTGATAGACCATTTCCGTCCCACGCGATCAGCGATTGGGGCTGCGACCAAGGCTCCGATCAGAGTACCGATGGATAACTATTCAATCCCATATTAGAAATGCAGTGATGCACAAAGAGGCCATCGCTTACCAGACCAACGATAAGACCCGAGCGCACATTGCTGAATTGGTAGGTCCCATCAGAGCTCGGCTCACCATAGCGCCGAATGAAATTCTTCATATCCAAAAAACCGGAGATCTGACCCGTATCATAACCGAAAAGGAAGCCGCCCATGGACACGAAAATGCCCATGATGAACGAGCGAATGGTGAAGAGCGGGATAGGAGTGTCCACGAAATCGCCATGTCCTTTCTCACGATCGGTAGTAGATACCGATTCTCTAGGTGCCTCGCTGGTGGTGTACACATCTTGCGGTTTCTTCTGGAACACTTTCTTGAACATGATGCCGGTTGTGACAAATCCAATTGTCTAGTATTTTCTGACCTGCTTATATTCTAGCCAGTCTTTCCTCGAGCGTAAATGGGCCCGGGACCAGCCATTTATAAATCGCCTCATATTCCAGGGTCTTGATTTAACAATGGATCGGACGAGAGCGCGTGGTCTTGTGTGGAGTAAAACATCAGTCCAAAAGAAAACATGATGACTCGTCGATTCGTGAAGCGAGGTGAGGCCCGTGGCGGGAGACGGTCATGTCCGTGTGCAAGCCAGAATCCGGGGAAATGGGGAACTGGCTTTGCAAGTATTACTGGCTCATCCGTGGATTGCCGGTCTGTTTCGAGAACCCAGACCGCAGCGCCAAGAGAACTCGGTGGTGCAGAACCATTTGCCTCATGATGGAGTTGTGGGGGACGAATCATAATGTTCAGAGATGTCCGCATTTGGGAGACAGCTCGTGGAAACTCCGTATACGAGGAATCCCAAGTGATGAAATAGGTGGCAGCCACCAGAAAGGCTGTGACTGCGCCTCCCGGCCAACATTGGCCAACATTCCCTGGACTGCTCAGTCGTACGTTGCGGATCCGAAGCCTTTCCCGCATCATGGCTGGTTTGGAGATATTCTCCCGATCCGGCCGTATTGGGGCCGATCGATTCGGCAGGCCGAGAATGAACTCAATAGAGGCAGTGTTCCTGCGAATTGCTAAAAAGGATCTAAACTGGACAGAATATCCATATACAAAGACAAACTTATATTCAATTAACGAGGTTTATATAACCAACCCAGACAGAACCAACGGAATGAACGCCTCCCAAGGTACCCAGGTATCATCTTATTCACAAAAACCAACAAGATCCATCACTTGAAAATATTGACACCGCAGAAAACAAGTCATCAGACGGCCAGCCGTCGGTCCCAGCCGTTCGCGAGGGCAAAATCACCGTTCTCCTCCTCGGGCGGCATCGTAATTGCGTGGAACGGGTCGATAAAGTTCATGTCGTCCGGACGGACAGAGAGATCGGTGAATGGATGCACATTATCCTCGACACTGCTCTCGCCGGAGTAGCTGAGGACACTTTGTGTCGTTGCCTCCTGCTTCGGGGCAAATTCCCCACTGCTCGCAGACCACGCCTCGGGGGATAGATCATGCATATCACCGGGAGGTGGAACCACGAGCGAAGTATCACCGAGCTGCTTGTGGTCGCGGTTGTACTCGGCAGTGATGGAGGCAAATGGACCAGGGTCCTCGCCGCACTCCTTCCCGCCGTAGATGCCGGTGAATATGTTCGAATAGCCTCGGTCCATATCGCTTAGGACGTATTCCCAGTCGGCCATTGTGATGGCCCCGGTGTTGGCATCCGATGGAGTCGAGGTGGACATGGCTCGTGGGTAATCGTATCCCATGGACGAAGAAATGAGACGGGAGTCTGAACCAAGATCCAATGACGAAGTTCCTCGATCGGCGGGGTATTGGTGAGCCGAGAGTTGGTCGGGGTGCGATGGAGGAAGGCTCGCCCAGCTCGGGGAGCGAAGTGACTGAGGACCAAAGGGGGGTGTGCCACCGGAAATGGTGTTCCGGCGCGAAGGTGACGAAGCTTCCTGCGGCGGCTCGTTCCGATGAGCACCAGTGAGACGAGACTTCAAAGACTGCAGATGCTTCTTGGGAGACGATTTAGGCTTGTGTGCTGGAGCCATCATTTCTTGCGACTCGACGCCTGTAGTCACTTCGCCCTTCACACCGTTCAGTGGAACCAGGGCACTTGCCAGGATTACAAATTCAGCGGCTACCGCGGAGGAGGCTTGCCCAAGTTGCTTCCTAACAGCAGCAAGAAGCTTCTGGCTCTCCTTGGCTAGCTTGCTGTCACGCTTCAGACCCAATGTTTGCCACAAAAGGCCAAGACCAGAGAAAAAGACCAACTCCCTTCGGTTGATACTGAAGGAGAGACACAGTCGCCGTTCATCGAGTAGCTCCAAAATCTGAACGATGTGCTTTGAGGAGTCAGACAGTGCGAGAACCGATGTGGAGCGCAGACTTTCTTCAGCGAAGCACACGGCGGGGCGATGAATCAGAGATCGAATGAAGTAATAAACAAGAGACAAAAGAGGCGACCGGCTGCTCGTAACATTTGTACTGGGCTTATCCTGAGAAAATTCGAGATGAAGGTGGGGAGGTAGTGTCGAAAGCCAGTCATCTAGCTGCCCTGCCACCAAGTGCATCTTGGAGACATGAATGTCGTAGGTTGGCTTTGAAGGGAACAAGTCCTCCAAGACCTTGCTCAGAATCCTCGAAACCGAGAAGAGAGCAAGAGCACTTGAAACGCGAGTTGATTCACCAGGGAGAGTGGGCAGGAATCCGGTCTCGGTAACATTCTCGTCATCCACATCAACGGGATACCCTGTCTGAATATCATCCTCGCGCAGAAGAACAGGCATGCCGGTCAAGGCAGAAGAGAATCGGTCCAAGACATATTGACACCAGAAGACCTTCTTGCGAGTTTCTCCCTCCAAGGGATTGAATGAAGAATCCTCTTGGTTCTGGTGAAGGTCCAACTGATGGCAAATATCCACAGCAAGGGCGCGGTAGCGAAGCAAACTGTTGTAATCGGCTTTGGTCATGCAGTAGATCTGGGCCAAGACAAAGCATTGCAAACTACCGAGAGAGGTTTCGCCCATGAATGAATCGAGAGAAGCTGTCCAGTTCTCCTCAAAGAAGGCGGGGTCCTGGTGGGTCCTCGACTGGGAAGAGTCAGCATCATCAGTTTTATGGGGTCGTATGTGACACTCACGATTGACGATAGAGCTGCAATTCCAAAAATCAGGTTCAGCTGCGTCATGGCATGAGCATCATCTTTCAAAGAATCGGGATTATTCAAATATTGTTCGTAAGCTTTCAGGATAGTCGGACGATGCACCACGGGGTACAATGGTGCCCACTCTTGAAAAAATATATTAATGAGCTGATCGGACACCAGGCGTGGCGGTGTCTTCACGGTTTGGTTGGGGGATCCGCGGGCCACCGGGGCAGGCAATCTGGTCAGTGCTTTAGTGGGGATTTTCGACACTGATTTCCCCTGGCTGACAAGCTTGTCGGTGAAAACATCTGGTTGTGTAAGCTACTCCGAGATTCTCAACAAAAAAAAACAGACTCGACATACCGGCAAAGCCTTGGGTGCTCGAAAATGCGGTATAGGGGTTGTCGGATGATTTTTGGGAGAGGACGCGATCGCTCAACATGAACTACCCTGTCTCCCGCATCCGAACCGATAGATTTAGTCGTTCCAGATGAAGGCGCTGATGGAGATTGTGAAGACGCAGTTCTTTGGGGCGGAGAAAAAGAATGTATCCGCGAGAGCACGTCAATCTTCTCATCCTTCTCGTCCAGCAGATCCTTCAGGTCTCTGACCTCTGTCTCCAGAGATCGCACTCGTTCCTCCAAAGACTCGGTATAACCACGGGGGAAAGCACGGCGGCTCAGCTTATCACTCGTTTTGCACTCGAAACCAACGTTGGCGCACTGGGTACAGCATGGTCGGACGCCATCGCAACGGATCTTTTTGCTTCTGCAACGATCACAGGCCTGGGCGATCCGGCTTTGAGTGCCGGTGCCACCGACCTTGATCACTTTCATGGGCAAGATACCGGGCATTTCGGCAAGGCAGACGGGCACATCGGCCGCCGCGATCGAAATTTCTGTGTTCGTTCGGGGGTCGAGTCGACGACAACGGGGTATTGATATTTCTCGCAAGGCGAAATAGATTCGTTTCAAAGTCACGATGTGGAATAGAGCAGGACAAAAGTGAGAAGCAAGAGGGGGAAAGATGCGCCGCTGAGTCAGGCGTGTGGGGTTGCTGACATGCCGCTCGGCCAATTATTGTCGCAATAAAAGTACCGTCCGAGCCCAAAGGTTAAAGGTGATCTCCCCTTTTTTTTCCCGGTGTACTGACGATGATGTAGCTCTTTTGCCGCGCGAGATCTTGATTCGTCTGACCGCTGTCATGGTTCTACAAAACCTGTCGCCTGGGTTTCTACATTCTCTACTGCTAACTATAGCATAACAGTACCGAGGATTCTTCCGAAAGTCCCCGGACTCCACACTCCCACAAGGCTTGGCTGTATCGATGGCGTACTGGGATGATGAACATGGGGTACACGGGCTATTAGCGAATAATGAAGCGGCCAAACTCGTAAACTCTGTTTCTGGAAAGGACGGTTCTCCACGGCCGTTTCGGCAGTTAACCCCGCCACTCCCCCCCGGATGCCCGGGATTTGAAGTCATACACCAGCGCCACGGTTATCAGAAAACTGTCGCCTGATCGACCTCGAGAAATCCTGGTTGAATGAATCTGTGGATGTAGTCTGTCAAAAAGACTCAAGAAGGAAACAGCCTCAAGACAGCTGTGCGACTGGGGACCCCCGTATCTGGAATTCCCCGTCTCACGAGCCGTTCTCCCGTGTCGTCGCGTCCGGGGCTTCGATATTCGGCGCCCGAGTTCCCTTGCTGTGTAGTACCGACTGCGTTGTCGAGCTACGGGTGACGGTTCTGTTAACGCAGGGGTCCCTACCTCCTCGGGAGGGAAACCGGTACATGGGACACCAACAACAGCAACTGGATTACTGAGCGATTACTCCGTACTGAGCGCGCAGATGAAATCCGCAGTCCATCAGGGGTGGCAAGGAGCTCCGAACCAGCGAGTTTTGGCCGAAGGAATCGCGAAGGTGGTGAACCATGGACGCACGATGGTCCACTAAACCCACCTCCGACGCAGCCGGGGACCCCGTACTCCAACTGGTCCCCGATCGACGGGTCTCTACGGGTCCTCCTCAGGGTATATTCGGAAGAGTTCTCTATATTGTATTTCATCTATACGAAAATATCGAGGAAAGTGCCGTATCCCCAAACCCAAAAATACTTGTACCATCCCAAAAATGATCCGGATCTTCAAGAGGATCATTGCTCTCGATTTGCGGTGTCGAAACCCCGCAAGTAGTGGAGTTGACTGGAGACCGGACCCCAGAGACTGAAGCCGATCGGCCTAGCTCTGCAGATCTCAGCCGGTGCCCCTGTTTTGGGTTCGATGAATGAGTTCATAGCTAACGTCATAGTGTTCACGATCCCCCTCCCTGATCTCCCCATGATTGGCATCACGCATTATCTGCAACTCTCGCCACGGAAACTAGAATCGACGGTGTCACTTCTCCGCATCAAGTTGATCCGCCGTTATAGACTACGGGGGTGGGTATGTAACTTTATTGAGAGATCTCGCGGGGTCTGCTCGCATGATAATTTCTTATTGGGCTAGCGCTGCATGCGACCATTCCTTCATAACTATGTCATGAGAAATCTTCGACTTCTTCTGATTGAGACTGCTGGGCCAGATACGCAGTAACGGTTTCGGATGCGATCAATTCGTTTCTCTGGAGCCGTATCAGCAAATCATGTGGATCATCCTTTTGTTTAGTATATTGATGAGAGACCAGTAGAAACTCACCTGCTTCATGAGGTCATTAACCGCCCTATCCAGCAGCTCCGCTTCAAGCTTCCGCAGTCGAGATACCAAGGCAAATATCTCAGGCCTGAACAGCTTATTGAAGAGCGTCTCGTTCTCGCGAAGGTTGTTCAGGACCTCATGTGTCTCCTGAAGAAGCGAGAGCTGCGTCTCTAGCCGTTTAGATACTAGAATGACTGCGCGAAGCTGGAAGATTTCCCATGCCTGATCGGCCGCGAGGAGATCTCGAAGCTGTGTTGGCGACTGTATGTGTTCGCCCTTCCAAAAAGTCTCTAGCTCTCTCGTTCCCTCCGTGGTCTGTGTGACCCCGATTTGAAGACCATCTTCCTCGTTCACACATGCCCACCAGACAAGTGGGCTATCCCATGTCGTCTGCTGTGATTTTTGAGAGGTGTCCTGAACCATAGAAACTCGAATTCCAGGGGTTTCCCGGCAGATCATGTTCTTTGCAATAGCAAGCGGATCATCATCCGGCATCGTCATATCTAAGAACACCTGCTTCGCCTGGGTTCTGTCGCTCTCGAGGAATCCATACGAGAAGATCATTTCTGATGCGGGTTTTTCATCGCCGTATCTGACAGGTTGGGGTTAGCTCATCGAGAAATGGCCATGATAATCCAGAGAAGACTCACGAGATAGTCACCTCCTCTCCAGACTGTAGGCTCTTGCCCCAGCGCAGCTGCAGAATCGCATTCCCATCCGAGTCTGCGTCGTATAATGCCTTCACTCCGTTCCCAGAGACGTGGTTGGCCATGTCGATACCTGGCACCATGGCATGTCCACTACCGGGCAAATCCACCATGCGCGACCGGTACGCAGCATCAACGTACGTCAAATCATCGAAGGTCAGCTTGCCGTTATTTTCATCCCACCAGCACAGCTGACACCAGGCTATATGCTCCGTAGAGTGCCTGAGGTGCTCAAATTCCCGTTCAAGGGAGCTTTCCTTTGCCGCCACTGCTTCTCCGAGCGAGGTTCCCCTCAGCAGCTCTTGCTCCTCAGCAGAGTAAAATGTCGGCAGAGGGAAAGATGGTGGGAAGAACTTGATATACTCTGTCCAAGGATTTGACACGCCTATGGATTTTGGCATTTCCGGGCTCGAATGTGTCAATTGGACCAGAAGGAATATCATGATCGCGCCCCTCGCGGTCTTACGTAGATCAGCAAAATATAAATGAATGTCTTTGAGGGGTTTGATCATACCCTCCCGAAGTCACCGACAGCTTCTAATACCTCCCGAAGATCTTGATCGGACTTGGAGTAGTCATGCACGGTCTCCAATGACAGTACCAGGTCCGCAGGGACCCGAAGGAGAACTTCTGGTGAGGCATCACTATCACTGCTGGACTTGTTTTCTGTGGCCACAAGCGCATTGCCCTTGTCTGCCCCACTCTCACTAGAACCGAGTCGCTGGAAAGCAACGCCGTTGGTATCGATTCCGTTAAGCCTGAGCCAGGCCGGAAGCGAGCCGAGCGGGAGATATTCCCGCTTCATTGTATTTGCTGCTCAGCTTGCGATGTATAGTATAACTGATAAGAGTTTTATGACTCGTTCAGTCTCATCGGTCCAGGTTATTGTTCAAGTCGGTATGCCAAGGCTGGTCGCGACCTGACGAACAAGGTGCTTAGTAACGAAATTAAGGCAACGAGGCAGGCGGGCGCCGTAATAATTCTGCCCAAGGCGGTGGCGGATTTGAACTATATAGGAATGGGAAGGGAGGGGAAGAGGCAGACGTCCTGCTGATGGTGATACAGAGAATATTTTAGAAGATTAAAATTAAAGGCGTGAGGTGGCTTCGAACCCGAGGCCTGTGCTGCACGTATTGGGGCGTAGGCTCGTCGACTTTTTTCCTTGTCCATTTACATATCACTGTGGGGTCGGGAATTGATTCACGTTTCCGGGTACATTTGTAATGTTATATAAGATTAAAAAAATAAGTGAACCTGGTGTGCCAGATCCGTGAGAACCCATCCTTACCACTTACCCGGTCACAATCCATGGTAGAGGCAGCGAAGTAAAGTAGACTTCTTCGAGAATGCATCCCAGTCGCCAGAGGAATAGTACCTAAACGCGTCGAGAGTGTGGCAAGCACTGCCTCAAGAGCGGAGGCTTTACATGGCACCGAGGTCAAGGGAGTCAAGGAATTCTCGCTCTCCCATGAGGGTTATACCGCTAGACCACAGAGGCTGGGTTGGTACTTTCTCTCACTTATGCTAAAATATAAACGAGCTCTCACTCCAATTTGGGTTTCGGGCTATTGACATCCTCCAGGGCAATTGTATGGCCCTTAATATTAGCCCCAAATCACGCGTCTTCTATTCATGTTCTCTACAAAGTCACGGAACCGCAGCGCCATCTAGAAGTATACCGAGAAATACACACTGGAGCTGAATCCCCGTAAGAGCCGCAGATGATATTGGTTGATTCTCTTGTTCAAGTTCCTTCTCGTGTAGCTCTAGGTACGACTCCTTATTGCCCACATACAGCCCTGATCAATACGCCATCCAAGTATTGAGTCATCTCGTCTATATATTCAAACTCGCCAACCCAGCCAATATACTGATCCGGTCGAATAATCAGGACCCCGCCGCGCGTGCGATCTACACCCCATTTCTCATAGCCTTTCCCATTACAGTCTCGATCCCATATGCATGCATCATCACACCAGATCTTGCCATAATCCCACCCCATAGTGGGGTCCAACTTACGCAGGATCTCCGGGAAGTCGAAGAACTCCGTTTCATTCCAAGGTGCGCTGTGGATCGTCACCACTTCGATCAGGCTCTTGAAGCGCCCCGGGATTGCAGCATAACGGTTCAAAGGTGAAACCTTTTCTTTGAGTTGACCAGACAAAAATTGACTTAGAGTCTCAACCCGCTGCTTCTGTGTTGCATCACGTACGTCTCCAGCGAGTATAACTAGTCGGAATCGTCCATCGCTTTCGAAAGTTCTTGTTGTCCATTGTGTGTTTCCATCCGCCTGTTTACGCAACTTCACTGGCGGAAATCGCTCACCCGGAACCAACCCATAACCTAGGATGGGATCTTGGTCGTTATCAAGCTTGCAGACCAACGGACTAGCGCCATAGAAAGCCTTCAAGCCATCCGCAAAATCTTCAAACGACTCAACAACCTTGACCATGCTCTCCGTCTTACCAGGGCCTCCCTCTGGCGGCCTGTTTTCCGTGAAAAGTCCCGACCAGTGGCGATCAAAATCAAGCAGCATCTCAGCCAAGATTTGGCGTTCAGTGTTATAAGTGCTGAGAATAGCAGGGTTGGCCACCCCCGCTACGACCAGGGCAACTTTCCAACCGATATTGAAGCCATCCTGCATGCTCATGTTCATACCCAATCCTACTTTGGGGGAATGCGTGTGCACTGCATCACCGGCCAGGAACACACGATCATCTTTCGTGAATGTTGGCGCGATCCGCTGTCCGATCTGATATGCAGTCCACCAGTCACAGATTTTGTAATCGAATGTGTATGGTTTGAGGATGGCTTGGACTCGCTCTTTGATCATTTCTGGTGTGATTGAGGAACGGTTGAAACGGATATTGGCGTTTGAGGCGGCGTCAACAACTTGCACTGGGACGTAAAGACGTACCAGCTGTCTCTCACGGGGAATGACGAGAATTGTGCCTGCTGCGTTGGTTACAGTTCCCAGGCGACGGATGTCCGCTGATGAATATCAAGTTAGTTTGACGTCTATGAAGCCCATTCCTAAACTTACGGAAGTCCGTGACTGGGATTACGTCGATCACACCCCTGGCAGATGTTAGCTCTAGTTTCTTCACAAAAGCACGCTGCACACTGACCAAATATGATCTGTACTTGATCCCTCTAACGGAATGCCAACCTGCTTCCGGGTCCAGCTGTGTGCACCGTCGCAGCCAATAAGGTACTTTGTTTTGACGGTCTCGGTCTTCGTTTGCTGACTCCTGCTCTTTTGAATCAAGTCATCCCAATCATCTGGAAGTATGTTGCTACGATCAAGGCCGCTGGGTACAGACTGCGGGCTTTCTCCACCAGAACCGCCAGGTGAATTGACCTCATTCTCACCGAGGGTTCGCAACTTGACAGTGATCGGGTAGGCAATAGGGTCATCATTAAGAGTCTCATCGTACTCGAAAGTCTCCGCAATGACACCCCGTTCAACCTCGAGGTCGGAATGCTCCTTAATACTATCGATAAGGAACCGTTCAATCCGTCCTTGGCTCAGAAGCATGTTGTGGAATGGAGACTCGTTGACCTTGGAGCTGCAGAAAGGGCCCTGACGAAACAATTTCCCGTCTGGACTAGGCACCTGTTCCCCTCAGCCTTCATCAGTTGATGTTTCAAATACTGGGGGCAAACTATACCCAAAAGTTAGCTTCAACAGCCACATGGCCTTCATGCTGCACACGGTGTTGAAAGCCAATGCTGTCGAATATTTCCAGAGTTCGGATCCGCAATCCGTCCGCTTGGCCAGTGAACACCTTGGTGCTGTTTTTGTCGATTATTCGAGCTCGCACACCGCAACGAGCCATCCAGTAGGCTGCCATCAAGCCGGAGGGCCCGGCGCCAATGATAAGCCTGGCGAATTAGAACGTGGTCTGTAACAAGGGACATTTAATGATATCTCACACGTCGGTATGCGATTCTGATGAATGATTGTCTTCGGCCATGGTGACTATGATACTTCTAGATACAAGGGTGATTCACAAGTATATTCCAAGCATCGGTAGTCAGGATAGTACAGGACGTTGCTGCTGGATGTTAAAGCAACATCCTTATATATTCCGAGCATTCTCCTCGCTCGATATTCCCTGGTCTTTCGTTGTTGGACAGTAGCTACGTGGTAGGGTTCGTGCATGACACGTCTGCAAGCTGACTCCGTCAATTTCTCTTCCAAGCTGCCATAGCTAAATTAATTTCAAGGGTATCTCGTATAGAGGTGTCGGATGATCTCCGTGTGGGTATGCCCTGCAAGTGGAGGATGTTTCCGAATGAGGTACTTTCAAAGCCCGTCCCTGCTCTTCGCTGTTTTAAAGACCTCCGATCTGAGGACCCGATTTTCCAAGAAAGCGGCGTCCGTTTGCCGTCCGAATTAGTCTGTTTGGTCTTGATATAATTCCTGGCTGCGGACTACGAGACATTTAACCGTGGCTTCGGTCTTCGGGTTTCCGGCAATTGGCACTGACCGCGACTGTTGCTGCTTTATCCACCTTCGATGAAAGCGGCTCGCAATCGTCTCGTCATCTCATCTAAAAAACCATCCTAGGAAGATCCTCGAGTCTCGTGCAGAAAGCAAGGGTCTCCGTTACTCGAAAAAGCTGGCAGCAAATACCCGCTGAGTCAAAAGCTGACGAGGATGGTGAAGCGGTAGCACAGCTTCCATACAAACCACGCCTCGAATTGATATTCGGTCTACATTATACAGCCCTAAATCTGCCCGGAGGACTCCCACCCGTGGAGATGAGTAAGCGCGGCTACGCTGTTTCTGGCACACCGGGTTCCCCAACGCGCCAAGACGTCCTCAGAGCGTCCAGGAGACTTTTTCCCATCATGCAGCCGAGCCCACGCGGGATCGGATTGGCCTAATTAGGGAAACCGATAGGCGAACACCCTGTGTTCTTTATGCTACTTAGAATAGGCTGTTGGGTAGACAAACCGATACATAGAGCGGCAATGGATGGGTCGGTTAATTCGGTGGCCCGGCCGGAGCAGCGTCCTCCGACCGGGCTCCCGGTGAAGACGCTGTGGACATAGTGGACATGGGCGAAACGGTTGGGAGCCTGGCACTGTTACGAAAACTCCCATTCCACGGGAGCAGAAGACATAGGAGCGGTAAAATACCCCTAAACGGAGCAGATTGAATCCGACGACCACCACTTGGCTCGTACCGTCGACTGCCCTGCGCTGAGTCAGCCACTGCAGAAGCTGTAAATGTGATGCGACGGCGCCCTTTGCGTGCAGTAGCTTTGGACAAGTAGGAAATAGAACAACAGAGTGCCATTGACCATGGCCGAAGGTCCGGGTGCTTACATAGAGGAAGGGGAGCAGAGGGGGAAAGTGCCGGCTGCAGCGGACCGCCCCACCACAGACATCATACCCCACCAACAAATACGTTCCCCTCCTCTCCTCTCTCTTCTTCTCATCTTCCACATATTTTGAAAGTTCGTGTCCTATTCCATTCTTACCTGTTTATCTAGCTAACTCAAGCTAGAATCTGCCATTATGGGTTACACTGATCTGGACCAGTTGGCGATCAACACCATCCGTGTTCTCGCGGTACGTCCTCTCACCGCGTCGCGAAGGTTTCTCATGTGCAATTGGAGGGGATTCATCTCCCATTTGCAGATGAAACCGGCAGCGTCGCGAAGCTACAGCTAAACACGAGCTTGCTGACAATTTATTCCAGGTTGATGCCACCTCCAAGGCTAACTCGGGCCACCCGGGTGCCCCCATGGGCATGGCCCCCGTGGCCCACGTTCTGTTCAACAAGTTCATGAACTTCAACCCCCAGAACCCCGACTGGATCAACCGTGATCGTTTTGTTCTCTCGTATGTGTTTTGCCCGATGCCCATATCCGTGGGGCAGCCTCAATCCTGGCTTCCGGAAGAAATCTCCACTGCAAGAATACCCGCCCTGACTATCGGATAGGAACGGCCACGGCTGCATGCTGCAGTACGCCCTGCTGCACCTGTTCGGCTACAAGGTCACCATGGATGACCTGAAGAACTTCCGTGTAAGTGTTTTTGGCCCAATGCAACACAAGAGAACCCCGCGCTGATTCCTCCGTAGCAAATCGACAGCATCACTCCCGGCCACCCCGAGGCTCACGACACTCCCGGTATCGAGGTCACCACTGGTCCTCTTGGCCAGGGTTTCTCAAACGCCGTCGGTCTGGCCATTGCCCAGGCTCACACCGCTGGTGTCTTCAACAAGCCCGGCTTTGACCTCATCAACAACTACACCTACACCTTCTTCGGTGATGGCTGCGCCATGGAGGGTATCGCCTCCGAGGCTGCTTCCATGGCTGGTCACTTGCAGCTGGGCAACCTCATTGCCATCTATGATGACAACCACATCTCCATTGGTAAGAGATCAACCCGACCCCTCCCGCCAAGAGGCACGTTGACCAACTAACGCTATTCCCAAGACGGTGACACCAAGTGCGCCTTTACTGAGGATGTCATGAAGCGCTTCGAGGCCTACGGCTGGCACACTGAGTGGGTCAAGGACGGTGATAACGACCTTGCCGGCATTGAGGCGGCTATCCGCAGGTGCCAGCAGGTCACCGACAAGCCCTCCGTCATCAAGCTGACCACCACCATTGGTTTCGGTTCCAAGCTTGCCGGCACTGGCGGTGTTCACGGCAACCCCCTCAAGGTCGATGATGCCGAGCAAGTCAAGACCCGGTTCGGTTTCGACCCCAAGCAGAGCTTCGTTGTTCCCCAGCAGGTCTACGACATGTACCACTCCCACGCCGCCGAGGGTGCCTCCAAGGAGCAGGAGTGGATCCAGCTCTTCCAGAAGTACCAGCAGGCTCACCCCACCGAGGGTGCCGACCTGGCCCGCCGTCTCTCCGGCAAGCTGCCCGAGGGCTGGGAGAAGAGCCTCCCCACCTACAAGTCCACCGACGCTGCCGTCGCTTCCCGCAAGCTGTCGGAGGCCGTCCTGGAGAAGATCCACGATGTCATCCCCGAACTTCTGTCCGGCTCTGCTGACCTGACTGGCTCCAACAACACTCGCTGGAAGAACGCCGTCGACTTCCAGCCCCCTCAGCTCGGTATCGGTGAGTGGTCTGGCCGCTACCTCCGCTACGGTGTGCGTGAGCACGCCATGGCTGCCGTCATGAACGGTCTGGCCGCATACGGCACCGTCATCCCCGCCGGTGGTACTTTCCTGAACTTCGTCTCGTACGCTGCCGGTGCCCTCCGCCTGTCGGCCCTGTCCCGCGTCCGTGTTATCCACGTCGCTACCCACGACTCCATCGGTCTGGGTGAGGACGGTCCTACTCACCAGCCTATCGAGACTCTTGCTCACTTCCGTGCCCTGCCCAACTGCATGGTCTGGCGCCCCGCTGACGGCAACGAGACCAGCGCTGCCTATTACTCGGCCATCACTTCCAAGCACACCCCCAGTGTTCTGGCTTTGACCCGTCAGAACCTGCCCCAGCTTGAGGAGTCCACCATTGAGCGTGCCCTCAAGGGCGGTTACGTCGCCGTCGACACCCCCAACGCCGCCGTCACCATCGTCTCCACCGGTTCCGAGGTCAGCATCTGTATTGAGGCTGCCGCGTACCTGCAGAAGGAGCACGGCGTTGCCGCCCGTGTCGTCTCTATTCCCTGCTTCGAAGTCTTCGATGTTCAAGACAAGGCCTACCGCCTTTCTGTTCTTCCTGACGGTATTCCCGTCCTGTCCGTCGAGGCCCTCAGCACCATGGGTTGGGAGCGCTACTCTCACGAGCAGTTCGGTCTCAACCGCTTCGGTGCCTCCGGCCCCTACAAGGAGGTGTACGCCGTAAGTTATTTGTGGTCTCTTCATCTTGCATTCGGGTTACTAACGACCAGTAGAAATTCGAGTTCACCCCCGAGGGCATCAGCAAGCGCGCCATTGCCACCATCGACTTCTACAAGGGCCACACCGTCCGCTCGCCCGTCAACCGTGCTTTCCAGCAGATCCTGTAAAGCACGGCTTAATGCTTCAAGAAAATGTTACGATTTATTAGTTAAGGAGCGACAGCCCTTAAACCCAATATTTAAGAATGCAATAGAGCGTCTGTCGATTTCCACCTATATCCTAGTAGCATCATCTTGAACGAGAGTATTCAAAGTAATTAAACAAGGATCATTACGCACTCCAACACTGTTTCTGCATCTCAATAACACCCCTCAGCATCACCTCTTTCCTCAAACGTGTTTCTTCCGACGTATTCGGCCCATACGCTTCCTCCGTTTGACGAACAACCACCTCCCTCCACTTTTCCTTCTCATCGTCACCCTGTCCTCCTGTCTGAATATCAACTCGCCCCAATTGCCCCCAGACGTCCTTCACCGTTGGCGCCAACTTGTCCAAAAATCCGCCAATTCCACCCTCCCCACCACCAGCATGATAACTTTCAAAGACACCACTGCCAGCCCACCGCGGCCCCAAACTAGCCGTCACAATGGAATCCAGATCCCGCGCCGACACAACCCCTTCACCAACGAGGTAACAAGCTTCCCGTAGAAGCGCAAAAGCAAGCCTATTCCCCACGAACCCGGGAACCTCTTTATGCAGGATAATTGGACGATAGTGTTGAACACGGTCCTGAGAATTCCGAGAACCAGGGAGATGAGAAGGACCAGGGACATCCTCAAAATAGGTTTTCACAAACTCAACACGCTCAGGTTTCGTCTGGGGTCCCGGCACAATCTCTACGAGCGGCATCAAGTGCGGCGGGTTGAACGGATGCGCAACGACCAAACGCTCCGCAACATGGTCATCGCACTCCGCCGCCTGCTTCGAGGCTGCAATGCCCGACGAGCTACTCCAGAGATGAGCCTCGCGATCCGCAAAACGAACCACTTCTTTCCAAAGAGCTTGCTTCGAGTCCAGTTTCTCGGGCGTCTGTTCTTGGATGATAGTCGCAGACTGCACGGCATCCTGGAGGGAGGGTGCTAGTGTCAGGCGAGATGATGCGATCAGGTCATTGATAACATTTTGCGACACCTCGCGGCTGGTTGACAAGGTCGAGTCTAGAAATGCGGGGAGCTGGGCGCGGACGAGAGACTCGTAGTCGGGGCGCGGGTCGTACACTGTGACTTTCGTGTCTGGGCGGCGGAGGTGTAGAGCTAACATGGACAGGCCGATTGTGCCTGCGCCCACGAGGGCGATATGATGAGTGTATTCAGTCATTGCTGTGGTTGGGTGTTGTATAGGAGAGGAGTGCTTCTATCTCGGGTGGGGTGCGGGGATAATACTGTGTCTTTGCACCTCGGGCCTCGCAGTCCGAATTCAACGTAATATGCTTCTCCGATTACTTGTTTGCACCGTCTTAGACGAAAGACCCACTGTGGATATCCAATTTGAGAAGATTATTCTTCCCCTCGTAGAATTGATGGAATAGCGATCGCTCCTTTCTGGCGTGAATAAATGGCTGATACAAAGTGATACATAAAGTCAAATCTTTAGAGTTTTCCGTAACACCGCGGCTAAGTGATTTACATCGAGCGATCGTCCTCTTTAATTTCCCAGACTAGACTACCACAAACCTCACCGCTGGCATCGCAGAAAGTGGATGCTTTCACCCACATCGCTTACGGCTGGAGTAGTGATGAAGTCATAGTGGTTTGAGCATTGAGCCTACCTGACAATAGAAATTAAAATATAGAGTCAATGCCAAGTAAAACAGGAGCTATTAAAGTGACAAAGCTCGAATTTAACGAAATTGACGAAGACAATTGAACACCTTGACTTCCTTAGTTCTTATAAAGGCTCGATGACTGCAAAAAGGTCCTGCATAATCCATTTTGAGTCTCTCCTAATGCGTATCCATAGCTCCTAAGGTCTAAACATCACGGGCCTTTTAAGGGAGCTTAATAGTTATAGGTGTGGGTTACTAAAGAATATACCGCTTAGTAACTCTTGGCTAAGCAGTGATAACTAGAAATGATTGACAGGATACTTCTGGATTTGGAGAATTTTTAAAACGAAACCCCACCCGCAGTTCTCCTTGGAACCTACGTGGAAGTCACGGTCACATAAACCATCAACCGCCTGTGCCTCATAGTGGATAAGCTCTGTTAAACCTGAATATATAAAACCTAGAAGAAAGATATGGGAACCTGCTAACGAAATCAAATCCCTACATTTAAAAATGTGGAGCACTGACCCTTGTCCTGCTTTAGCGGAAATTTGGATTGCTCAACCGGAAGTAGGAGGAGGGTTCAACCCCCTTTCTCCAAATCCCGGTTGATGATAAGCGTGAAACAAATCGCATCTACAGTACGTGAAGAAACTGTCTTGACGATTTGTGATTGGCGGAAACCCACTGATTGATCGCCATAACATGAGGCTACGTATCAGTGGTTACTCAATGCGATCCAGGGTCTTCAACTTGACATCATGACGAAATAGAGTGGAGCTTCTTTGCCAAGGTTGCCAAGAATTAACAGTTTGAAAAATCCCCTGTAATACTTGGATGTAATATCATCGCTATGCGAAATATCTCGTTCCTGGTTTCCAAATTTCGTTTTTGATTTTTACGTTGTCTTGAAGGGCCACGATGAATTCGGGCGGTAATAGCCAAAACGGCGAAGTCAAAGGTATGCGACCAAACGACTGCACTGGACCCACCAAAAAAAGACATTAAGATATTAACCCGATGACATGACAGATGCTGTTGAACCTCGCGAATATGAACCACCTGAAGGCACCGGAGAAGCTGCAAGCAAGAACGAAGGCCTGGGCAACAACCCGAATTTTAGTCTGGCAGCCCATGAAAATCAGAATCCAAATAGCAATTCCTACCAAAATCCCTCCCACGACCGTCAATATGGCGAAGAGCAGGATAGTCCGACATTCAGTTTGGCCCAACCGCTCCCTCACATCGTCAGACCGGGCATGCGTCACGGCGCCTTGCCAGAAGATAGGAAAGAAGATCGGCAAAACGGCCAGGACCCAACTGCAGATAGCAAGCAGAACCAGCCGACAGACCCAAGGGATGATGGTTTTTTTAACACTTGGTCGAAGATCCGCCATTACCTTCGAGAACCGCTGGCGGAGTGGCTCGGGGTCAGTACCCAATATCTTGAAGACGGAAGCTTGCTTGCCTAACCTTTGCAATCGCAGACGACCATCGCAATGGCATTCGGCCTATGTGCTACCTTGTCAAACTTTACATCGTCTGGCCAAGGCGGATCATACACTTCTCAAAGTGTCGCCTGGGGCTTCGGATTCATGGTGGCCATTTACACCACTGGTGGTGTATCTGGTGGCCACCTAAACCCAGCTATTTCAATCGCACTTTCCGTGTTCCGAGGTTTCCCTGCACGCCAATGCTTGATATACATCGCTGCACAGCTACTTGGAGCTATCACTGCAGGTGGCATTGCATATGCGATCTACCACGATGCTATCATTGAAATTGCCGCGAGAGAAAAAGTGCCACAGAGCCTAAGTGTCGCCTCGGAAGCTCTCATAACAGCCCCGAAACCATTCGTTCATCCCGCAACGGCATTTTTCACCGAGTTCGTTGGCAGTGCGATATTAGTCGGAGCAGTTATGGCCCTTGGAGATGATGGCAATGCACCACCTGGCGCCGGAATGAGCGCTTTTATTCTTGGAGTCCTTATTTCAATTGTGGTCCTTGCATTTGGCTATAATACCGGAGGGTATGCAAATCACTTTCAAGATCCATTCAAAGTTCCTGGAACTAATTACCCATGTCTTACTACAGCTGCTTCAATTGCGCCCGAGATTTTGGACCGCGACTCGTCGCCGTCATGGCAGGCTGGGGAGGTCATCTGTTTCCGAGAGACCCACGCTTGGTGGGTTTGGGGTCCCTGGTGTGCAGACATCAGCGGTGCATTATTTGGCACATTTATTTACGACATGGCTATCTTCACGGGTGGTGAAAGCCCGATAAACTACCCTCGACGACGACGAAAGCGGGCCTTGCGCGTGAGGACAGTGAACCTACGAAAGAAGCTGGGCCTCGGTCGGAAGAAGAAGGTTGCTGATCCCGAAAGATCCTCTAAGGATTGAACGGTTTCATAGTGCAGGGCAAGATATCAAGTCCATACATGATACACATGATACTGTGTATAATAATTGAAACTGCCATGTCTCATCTGGCAGCTCACCTTTTACAACACCCGTCATATCCGCGGCGAGAACAACAAATTTGTTCTCCTGTATTTCTAACAATTGCCAGCAATGGTGCACTCCGAAATGTCCGCTATTTGAAGAAAATTGGGTGTAAAAATGGACTATGAATCACTTGATCCGTGAATGTGGTGGCAGTTCAAACTTCGTCCTTCGAGATTCTTGACTGATACTTACGACCTCAGAACCCTATTTTTACCGGGATTTTCTATAAATGTGCTTACGCGTGCGCTGGCTGCGATATGTAGTTTTCAGGAGTACATGTTGGCGCCCTGATGCGTTTTCTGTTTATTGGCTACAAGTGAATAATTTAGATATATGAATTTAATTTCCTTCCAATATCGGCTGCCGCGGCAATGGCAAACACGATGGTTATGTGAGTTCTCTCGTTACGCCGATTTCGATAGTGGATTCATTTTGTCCCGCCGAGGGACCAAAACCGCCGCTAACAAGACCGTCGACTTCCTCCAAACCAACAACTACTTAGACCAAGGCAAGTTTGGGTCCAAGTGCACGAAGGGGGGCTTCATCCACCCACTGAAGTCCTTAAGGCCGAGAGCAAATGTACCAGCCTCGTGGTTCTCGACGCTGGCATAGCATCCAAACAACCGAGCTTCAAAGCGGGTAAGGTTCTTCAGTTTTCACTCGATGGACATGTGCAGAGCTTCTGGCCACTGGCCAAGTTATCTCGGAAAGGGACTGCTGTAGACTCCAGCAGCAAGCGCATCTTCTGGACAAATGACCTTTGAGAGAGACGTTTCTACTCACGAACACAAAGTTTATTTTGCCTGTCGCCTTTCATTTCCACAGAGCTCTAACCAAATAGCGGAACAGGGTTTATTCTACAGGGCTTCCATTTACCGACTATATTTGGCGTTTTCTAAAGAAGTATCTTTGGAACCACGTTCAGTTACATTTATTGGGGAGCAATGTTTGCATTTGGGAATTTCACTGCACCCAGTGCTCGAAATGTATCCCTCGTATGTTGTCATAGCTACCAGATCGATATTTCCTGTCAAAGATATTTATTAATAGCCTCAGGTAAGAGTTCCACTTCAAAAAACATATGGTTGTCGAGTTATTGCGCTAAAAATTGTGTTTTGTATGGGATCTGGAGGGTTGCGGCGAAGATGTGGAATACGACAAGTCAATAGAAATTGGAATTAGAAGGATTTTGCGAATTCATTCTGCCGTCAAATGCCGACGATTCTGTGACAAATAATCCATCAAATCGAGGTGGGCTGACTGGTCGGCTAGAAGTAAATGGAAGAAGATTCATAAGCTCTTCAAAGTAAGGACTAGGAAGATGCGATAATGCTCCAGGATCGGCGGGAGCAGCGGTCCTTGACGGTTGCTGTGTTTTGCAGCGTGGTGTGGATATGCGCGCATAGTCGAGGCACTCGGCGAGATCGTTGGCGTCGCTGGGCGTTAGCCCTAGCTCTTGGGCGGTCGGGTCGACGAGGGCTGCGTATCGGGAACGGTTGGCACAAAATTCTTCAAGGCGTGTTTTCATCATGGCACAACTGTTCCAGAAGCATGAAAGCTCTTTGAGGTTCTCTAGACTGACTTCCAGCGATGCTCCAGCCATCTCACGCACGGCCGCCTCCGTGTCCTCCAGAAACAGAGCATGGACTACACCTGCCACCATGTTGCAGTAGCCATAGAATGGGTCGTACGAAGTTGTCAGGGTGCTGCAACATAACGACTTCACATCATCCATAAGTCTTGATAGTGAGGAGGCCGCCGTACGGCAGGCCACGAAGTTCTGTGCGAGGAAGCTTTGAGGTGTTCTTTGCCCAACATGTGCAAGTCGTCTCTTCAAGAGGAAGGGATTATAGAGAAGACATTGACAAAGGTAGAAAAGGGCGCGAGAGAAAGTGAGTGGAGCGGCCTTGTGCTGGTCAATGGATCCGTCATCAGCTAGACAGATACGCGCCACCTTTGTGGAAAGGGGCTCATTCAAGCCTAGCTCCGACTCGTGCTGAAGAATGGCCGAATGAATTGATGAATGTTTTGAACGTGGATTCCACGGCAGTACTCGCCCTCCCGGTGCCTGGTCTTCTTGTTCGCCGAGAGCATATTGAGCGCAACGACCCAGTAGCGATGCCATCACAACGGAAACGGCAAACGGGGATAGAGTATTTAAAGCAGTACCCGAGTCGTCTTCGAGAAGTTGTTCGAGTGTAGGCGCGTGTTGATATTGGCCAGCTCGCCACTCGCTCTCACCACCTGGAAGCGCAAGCTTGCAGTGTTCGTCCAGAATTGCGGCCGGGCGCTCCTGGCCGCAAGATATGAGTTTGTCACAAAGATAGAAAGACCAGAAGACTCGTCTTCGCTCATCCTGTTGAATTGGAGAGAGATTCTGATCTGGCTCCACCATCATGCGGAAGTCTTGTGCTAGTCGGATAGCAAGTCCCACTTTGATCCACGAAGCCTGTGTACGACCGTCTGTTTCCTTGTTAAACTTGCAGTTCCTCAAAAAGTCCTGAGTAGATCCTTACCTGTGTAGTCGATGATCGCCAAAAGGAGGATAGTTTGAACGATGCTAAGCTCTGCGTCACTCTGAATACCATTCCAGGGCATCACAATGGCCTTCCATGACTGATGCGCGTATGCGGACACTGCTGCATTTTTATCACTGAAGAAGAGATCGCTCGAGTAGCGCACGGTACTTGCCACCAGGGCAAGAAGTAAATGTTTCGGCAATTCATTCAACTCAATCTTATTTCGAAGGCTGCCTTCGTGAAACAACGAGTAAGGTTGGTTGTGACAATAGCGAAAGTAAAGATCTGCTGCCGTGCGAACGATATAGGGAGGAGGAAGCTGATTATTAAGTACGGCCGAAGGAACGGTGACGTCCGCTTCGATCCCTATTTTTGGTCCGGCGTCATTTTGCGTGATCTGATCGGTTGAGTCGGGTTTCTGATTAATACGAGGACCATTCAAGCTTCGCTCAATCCTAAGAGATGTATGAGCGGATGGTTCCGGTCGATTCGCCCAGCAGAACTTACGATCTGACGCTGCGGACCATTTCAGCCATCTGGCTCTCCAGAGTAGCCAGGCGCGCTGAGAAGCCATTCTGGAAAATGCGTTAGTCAAGTGAAGTAAGGTAATGTGTAGCCATCAGCGTACCATCTTCTCGTCATCGCGGAACTTTTTTGGGTGATGATGTTTCTTAACAGGACCAGGTGAGATGGCAGGCGGGCTAACTATCGTGCTATCGTCGTCCAAGTACCTGCATGACTGACCACATCGGGAGCATAGAGCACACTCCGGCTTCTCGCCAGTGCAGCGGGCTTTCTTGCGCCTGGGGTGAGTAGAGTTAGCCAATATCCCTTGGGGCCGGACCGGGTCACCTACCGGCAGTTCTGGCAAGCTTGCCGAATCCGTTTAATGGGCCGGTAACCAGATGAGTCTTCGGACATCTTATGCCAACAGTAACAGGGATGGAATTATTGATTCCACAATGAAATGAATGGGCACGCGGGGAGCTAGGGACAAGCGGAGTAACCGGGGTGAAGCCGGGGCCCCGCGCTCGGTGGCATATAACCGCAAAATCCGAAGTGGCGGGTGCAACCACGGAATGAGCTAACTCTCCCATACTTTCTTTGATATTTGCGCCACTTCTTCGGATTGTTGTTGTGTCTCAGTTTGTAGCGTATTGGCTCGCGAATTCTGCATGTTTTCGTCGCATCGCGGTATCGACTGTCGGCTTCCCTCTGGAAATGGCATTTTCAACCTCACTGAAAACAAATGGGCGGTAGGAGATTGCCTCCGGCTCATCGATCGAAAGTTTATTCCATTGAACCGGTGTTGCACCGGGCTCACCCTCAGCACAAGGTATAATGATATGACCATCATCCCAGGGAATCCAGCGAAAATTCTGGGAGACCGTGATATTTCGTATAGCTCGCCGGAGGAGCCCTTCAACAAGCACTCCGATGTCATAGCCCGAGAGACCTTTCTCATGGCATAGGAAGCCCAGGACCGGAAAGTCGCTTTCCTCGAGTCGATATCGAAGGCAACTGAGAGCTTCCTGTAGAATCGCCCCGCAGCCCTCAGCGCTAGGGAGGTCAACGTGAAGTTTTAGTGACAGCCGACGACCGAACCCGTCCATGTCGATATCGTGTGGCTTGTTTGTAGCTCCTACAACAATCACTTCATCACGCGATTGCATCAGGTCACTCCACTGGTTCTTCAGCTCGTTCTGCAAAAGGCGATAATGATGTGACTGCATTGCATCCGCGGCCGGATCACACAGCAAACCATCGCATTCATCTAGCAGGATGATCGCTGGTGCATGCTCTCGAACCTCAGAAAATAATGCTCGAATGAACTTTTCCGATTCACCCACAAACTTGGACATGATTGCACTAGCCCGAACATCGTAAAGTGCTAGTCCGTACCGGCGAGCAAAGCTTCGTATGACCAACGTCTTTCCAGTTCCCTGAGGACCAAACAATAATATTCCGGTCGTGGACCGCTGTCGAAGGTTACGTGTCAGATGTGGGAAGTGGAGGAAGAAGCGGCAAACTCTTCGAGTGCTAGTTTGACTTGTTCCAGGCCAACGATGCTGGCAAACTCCAGCACAGAGTCTTGTTCTTCAAGTTCAACTCTCATTCCCTGAATCGTCTCGCGCAAGTGTTTTTCATGTTCATCCAGTTGTTTCTCCCTCTGCCGGTGTTTTGAAGCCTTGTAGATTGATTTGGTAATTTCGTCATCGGGGGCATTGGGAACTGAGGTTCTCGGTGACTCGGTCGAAGGAGAGGGTGTCGATAATGGTATCTGAGTTGGCTCCTGCGCTTGTGATGATTGCTGAGGCTGTAATTTGATCGTAACAAAGTCATTCTTCCTCAAATATGAAGGGCCTTTAGACTCATTTGTTTGTAAGCCATCTGGCTCTTGTATATGCTGGCAAATCCCTGTCCAAATCACGGTGCCATAGTGAATGAAACATTGGTTCACCAGATACGCGAATTCTTCCGCACCATCAGCAGAAGAAACTATATCCTTTGCCCAGTGCTTCATGATAGACGCGTGAATATAATATGATGGATTCGTGAGTATCTTCAAAATTGTGATGATGTATTGCGGATCTGGTTGCGCCCGACCACAAGATTACGGCCTTTCAGCCACGGTCGGTGCGTAAGTACCACGTTTAACTGACTTCGCAATAAGAGTGACGAGCGGTCCGGATCACTAAACGCTACATGGCACGGTGACCGAATCAGCTAGCGATATTTCCCGAGGTTGGGCAAGTTACCTTAACGGACCGTTGCCACCCGTGTTTTGTTCCGCTCCGCAGCCGGGCAAGGCCGTACGCCAGCAGAACAACTCAGACAAGGCTTTAAATTAATTCAACCATATTAAGATCCAATCGAATTGAGATTTTATCATGCAGGAGCTTTAGAAATATTACTTTCGTCTCGCCTTGTTTTGCGCCTTACGCGGCTGAAATTGATGTTGATTGCCCTTCCCTGCCATTCTACTGCCTCAGGAAAATCATCATACCCGATCTTTGCAGCCTTTCCTCTCTGTCGTATAGCCCATGTACGTAGCAGCCATATATCATTAGTGATAAACATACTCAGCTCAATTGTATAGCTAGTTATGCTTGGATTAGCCAAGCGAGCAGATCTATGTTCATGGGATATTTGCCATAGCGCGTACAACGTTCCAAAGATGCCATCAAACAAATTGTGTGCTGCTATTGAGTTCTCAGCATGCCTATTTAAGCAAGGTTTTAAAACCGACCCCGGAAGCCTACCAAGCGACATCAAAGAGAAAAATGCACCAAGGCAGTGGATGGCGAGAAATATTAAGCTGATTCCCTGAACTCCTCCCCGCCGTTTGAGCAACTCGAATGGAATTTGGAAGTATCCAGAGATCAAGATGACAAAGACCAGCGCTCTGAAGAGCTCAACAGGCCATGATAAGCCTCTTTGGTAGTGGCCGCGGATCACCAGCACAAACACAACCTGGAGGGCAGCAATTACTGCCAACATTATCACACAGACAACGACCGCTTTCCATGCTGGCCATTTGCTGCGAAGGAAATGAGTATGAGAGAGTTGCAACAGCCATAATTGACATATTCTGATCGTGAACTTCAAACATACCTTTGATAGGGTTTACATTGCCCGAAGCTCACCATGCGGAGTAGACAAAAGCACTGCGGTTGTACTTGCAGCGGTATGGTGAAATTTTGAGAAATAGTGTATACTCCAAATGGCAATCCAGACCAAGACCACAGAAGTACCATCATCTGTGGAAGGCCTTCGGTTGACTTGCGTCGATAAATATACCAAATTTGGGGACCCAGCTGGATACACCAGAACAGGGTACCGATCATGCCTAAGACGTCGACGGAGAAGGCGATAGATGTCCGGGGCGCCATTTTTGATGATTGCACAGGAGGTAGGGGGCATTTTTGTGGAATGTCTGTTACTCTTGCATTACGATTTGACGTATAAAAGATGGTGCTGACATCCCAAGGTTGCAATCCCAGTCATTTTTCGCTTTGAACATAGCGATGACGGACCGTCCATTTTACGAAATCACCAACAGACTTGGGAACTAGGAATTGCATCATTAATTCTCAACTATAAGAGTCCTCTGCTTTATAGGAAGATAGTCACGAGTGGACTACTTTAATTGGGTTCAGCTGAATGATGCACTGAGCGCTCGGCCAGAAATGCGCGGTGTCGATCTTGGGACTTCACTGATCCGTGCCGGACCGGGCCCATCCCGGAACTTGCATAGATTACTAATTTTTTAATTAGTTGATCTAGGCCCCATCAGTGCTAGGTCCATGCGAATAAATTTCCGGAGCTGTCGATGATCATGACTCGCGCCTTCACTATGACGATCATCATACACAGACCCTAGATGGACCTGAAGAAGGCTACATTTGCCCGAGTCAGCCCTGTACCCTTTGCGAGATATTCAAGAGTGATTATTAGATGCATGAGTAGTTTACTTCACGGGTCGACCGTGATGGATTCCTATGGGACTCTGGATAGGGATTCAATAATTGAGATATAATTGTTGGTATCAAGCCACAATACTAGACAAGCAAGATATCAAATTAAAAAGCGAACTCGACAAGTGTTCTAGTTCACTTTGACCTGCTCACGAGCTGTCCACTCGTTTTCCAGAAGAAGAAATATAGGATAAAATGTTTCCTCGAGGTAGTCATTCTGATTCAAAAATTGTATCAGGTTGAGCTAGACTGGCTTTCAATGTGCTCTGTAGCACCCTGCTTTTCGACCATAGGCAAATCAAGTTTTTTTGTTAGCGAGATCTCATCAGTGAGTCCGTACTCCACGGCAAGACGTTCCATGTCCTCAACACTGAGCTTGGGAAGCTCTTTGGCAGCCTTGACATAGGATATTTTCTCAAGATAGCCCTTGGCAAATATGAGATCAATCTCCTCAAGGCTGCGGCCCGCGACTTCGGGGTAAAAGAAGTAACTTTAATTAATGTTAGAGATACCATCCAAAATCGAAGCGCGTTTGTGCGTGGGAATACTCACATGCACGGTAGGAAGCAGAAGTTAACAGCAGCGAAGAAAAGATAGGTTCCCCAGCCGATATGAGCGATCATGATTGGAGTGACCATTACTACGAGGAAGTTGATACTCCAGTTCACGATGTTGGCCAAGGCAGCTCCTTTGGCACGAATCCGGAGCGGATTGATCTCTGCGGCCCAGAGCCAGGGAACGGTCAAATATGTGGCACCAAAAACCGCAATATATAAGAATAGACCGAAGGCGGCACCATTTGCAGCCGATTTTGACTTTGGGATGAGACAAGCGAAGGTGATAACCATTGCAAGACACTGTCCACCAGAGCCGATAAGGAAAAGCTTGCGGCGACCCACTCTTTCAACCGTAAAGAATGAAAGAAGGGAGAAGACGGCGTAGACGATCATGTTGATGCCGCCAAGAAGCAGACTTTCCTGTTGTGTCTGTCCCAAAGAGCTAGTAAACAGAATAGGCAAATAGTAAATGACAGCATTGCAGCCGCCAATTTGCTGGAAGAACTGGGAGGTAACGCCGAGCAAAATACGGCGCCAGTGTTGCGACGGTCCTCCAGTCGTCAAATCACCAATCTTGAACTGAGCTCCAAGGGCCTCTTCAAGATTGATAGAGTCAATGATGGCTCGGATATCATCACGAGTGCGTTTCGAGTCCGGTGTCTCTCCATTGACTGCAGCCATGACTCGAGATGCATCCTCGATGCGATCCATTCTGCAAAGCCATCGCGGAGACTCAGGCAAGAACACGACACCAGCCATGTAGATAAGTGCCAAGGCAATTTGGAAGGCAATAGGAAACCGCCACGTCATCGATGAATGGTAGTTGCGCACGCCGTAGTTCAGCCAGTAGGACAGCATTGTTCCAGTTGCAATTAGACCGCACTCGAGACATACAAGTGTGCCTCGACCAGAATGAGAGAGCTCGGCTTGGAGAACGGGCATAGAGGCCATATTGATGCCATTACCCATGCCAGTGATTGTTCTACCAATCATAAACTGAGCAAGAGTACCTTGAACATCGTTTCCAGGGAGCGAGGTGACTTGAATGATGACACCGATGACGACACAAGAGCCCCCGAGGAAGCAGGCACGCTTGCGACCTAGTTTGTCGCCAAAGACCATGCAAGTCAGAGCACCTAGCAAGCATCCAAGGTCATAGATAGCGACAACGAATCCAAGCAAGGTGGCATCTTTTGCAGCCTGGGGAAAGGTGCTGAGCCACAACGGGGTGGAAATTACACCAGACATGACACCTATGTCGTAAGATTAGATGTGAGGATGGCGAGACTGAAGCTTCTGCTAAAAGCTTACCTTGATCATAACCGACGAGGACAAAGCCGAATGTTAGGATGGTCGAGATGGCGACCCCCAGAGGCTTGCCACTAAGGCCGATGTACTTGGGCACCGCAGAAGTAGTCATGTTGGATGAGGAATCTCGCAAAACGTGAAGGTGTTTGATGGAATGAGACCGACGATCGACCACAAGTTCCTAGTCCTGAAGAAACTCGACCGAGATATGAGTTCTCCTTTATGTTTGTGGGACCCGGATACTGCAGCTCATCCAGCTAGGAATAAGCTTTCCTAGTCCCATTGATCACTGAAGCTGCTCACGATGCTCCCCCGGACCTATTGATCAACCTGGCCCGGAAGCTCAAGAGGATATGGCAAGAATGTGAATGAAAGCGCCTCCCAGCGGGGTAGAAGACGGGGCCGGACCACCATTTGTAAAAATGCGGCCCGTCCCCGTGGTTGTGGAATCCCCAGAGCCCGGAAAGTGTATCATCTCGAAGCTGGGGTGGGCTGATATCGTGAACCTTGGGAAGACATGGTGGGCACGGGAGCGGATGACCCGGATGAGCCGGGCGACTTTGCGCAATGTGCCGAGCTCATTAGCTCCGGGGTCATGGCGCTTATCTTGCTACGAGTATCAAGCAGTTGTTTGACGTGTTTGACCAAGAAAAGTTCTGCGAGACCAAGGCCTAGCCAGGATGGTTTCGGGATATCAGACCGATTCCGCATCTAGGCTCGCAAAACTGATGTACGGAGAGATTTGGGCTTAGCAACCGCTATATTGAACACGATGAGTTTAATTCGCTATAGAACTCAAATTATCTCTCCTTAATATGCGTTACAGAGAGTCGTGCTCGCAACAGCAGACTCTGGGCCGTAATAAAGATCGAAGATGCCGACATCATAGCAGCAGCAACGGGCCTATATGGCAAATATTAGGTTGTAAATAAAAGAAAACCTGATTGTACTCACGGAGTGATATTGAGGTTGAATGGGCTTCCCAAGCCGACTGCAAGTGCAATAGTGACCATGTTGTAGATCAACGCCCACCGTATATTCCGCGATACCTGCGCCATGGTGCTCTGAGAGATATCCAGAAAGGTTAAAAGAGAGCTCAGTTGCGACTGAAAGATGAGCACACTTCCTCCAGTCGTAAAACATCGCCTGCCGTGTGCCATCATCACGCCGACTTCAGCAGCAGCCAGGCTTGGTCCGTCATTGATTCCATCGCCGACCTGGAACCCCTTTAGATCTGATATGTGACCGAATGAAATTGACGTACCATCATAAATTTATGCCCTTCATCTTGTAATTTCTTCAAGTAGTCCAACTTCATGTCCGGTGTGGCACAAGATGCCGCGACGGGGATTCCTAGCTCTGCGGAAACTCGAGATGCTTCTGCATCATGATCACCAGTAAGGAGGCTGACGTGAAGACCACGCTCTTGAAGCGCAAGTACTGTTTCCTTTGCGTCGTGTCGAACTGTATCCTGTAGGATAATTGATGCAGCAAGATCTCCATCTACCGAAACAAACACGAGTGAGCCCTGCTCATCAATGCATTGAGAGGCCGAACCCAATCCAGTGATGGAATTATCCTTCATGAACTGAAGGCTTCCAACACAAATATCCTTCCATATTCCTAGACCACTGTTGACCTCACACCTCAGCCCCAGGCCACCGGTTTCCTTCCAATGTTTCACATCACCGGATGCTTGATAGTGCCCCCATTTTTCCCTACAGAGCGGCAAGAGTTTCTTGAAAATGGCCGAAGCAAGCGGATGCACTGCCAGGCTCTGCTCCTCTGTCGCGCAGATTAGCACCGCTAGATCTGCTTCCACATTCTTCCAGTGGCTGTTAATTGCCATTTCAGTCACCTGTGGAGTACCCTGGGTCAAGGTCCCAGTCTTGTCAAGAAGGACATGAGTGATACTTTGCACAGTCTCCATTGTTTCGGCGCCAGCAAGCATGAGGATACCTTTTTTCCAGGCCACATCTAGTTGACGTGTTAATAAAAAGATACAAGCGAAGAAGCAATATGGGATTTCTTACCAATACCAGCCATAACTGCACATGGGGTAGAAAGGCCTAACGCACAGGGGCAAGCAGCGGCTAGAACTGCCATCAATCTCTCCCCTGCTGCGTTTAGCCCTGCGCTCAGATTGTCACGACTCACGTAAATCTCATAGGCTGCAGCAGTAATTGCGATGGTGAAAACAACGGCGACAAAGTTTTGTGTGGCGAACTCAACCCGCTGCTGGGTGGATGCCTTCGATGCCAACGAAGACTCAATGCTGCCTATGAGTTGTGAAAGGAATGACTCCTTGCCATTTTGCTGAACACAGAGCTTCAGCTCTCCGGATCCATTTCGCGAACCAGCAATCAGAAGGTCACCGACGGTCTTAAACTTCGGTAGACATTCACCGGTGAGAATGGCTTCGTTGACGTTTGAGATTCCCTCTACTACGTATCCATCGCATGGAACCACGGAGAAAGGCTCGATAATGATTTCGTCTCCAGGTCGAAGGGCAGATGTTGGAACTGGTTTCTGGAAGATCACGTTAGTTTTTAGATGTGAATGAGAGCTTCAACCAACTTACATCAAACCAGGCTAGTCTTGCTGAGGACGTCTCATCCATGAGGTAATATAGGCCAATGAATGTATCTGTTGCTCGACGGCGGGAGAGAAGATCCATATATCTCCCGACAGTGATTATCAGGAGTACCCCAATAATTGAATCGAGATATCGGGCTTGGATACCCCGCGAGAGGTCCCATATGGCCATTGAAAGCCCGACGATTGTAGACGCGCTGATGAGAGTGTGCATATTGAGTTGTCCTTTGGCAGCACCATTACATGCCTTTTGAAAGATCCAATCGCCGTGGCTCCACACACCAAAAGTAGTCACTCCAAAGAGAAACACGGATCGCATGAATGGCAAAGCCGGGTGATGGAATGAGAATGACTTGAAAGTCAAGTCCACTCCGTACCCGAGACAGAAGACAACTGTTGATACAAAGACCAGACCCCGGAGTGACGAACGAAGTACTTGAAGCTCTTCGGTGTGCCTGAGAGTTGCAATCTTCTTCTCGGAGGATCTCTCGCCAACGCTTGCGTCGTATCCAGCTTGTTCCACGGCATCGATTAATTTCGCGTGTTTTATCTCGTTGTTTTGAAACACGCGAGCTTCTTGAAGTGATAAAGACACCGTCACCTTCTCAACGCCCTCGATCTCGCGAAGAGCATTCTCAATAACGACTGTGCATGCTCCGCATGTCATGCCAGATACCGAAATAATAGTCATCCCCGGTGTCGCGGTCGCATCTTGCTTCTTTTGATGTGGGATTTTATCCCGGTCGTCTCCATGCTGTACAGATTCATTATATTGAAGATTCAGGTTGATGTCGAGGGCCTCGCAGCTGTTGATGATGAACGCGATCATGGACGCCGCGATGTAACAACACGCCATTATCTTCGAGAAATTTACGACGACTTCTCAAGGCCGTTGTCAACAACAGATTATCGAGAGAATCTTTTAGATGAAGCATGTATGATCCGGCACAGATATCCGCTAGGATCGCGTTTATCTCGGTACTACATTCGATATTGAGAAGTGCGGTCGACCCGCCACGGAGATCACACAATGGCTTTCCGGGCTCCCCGGTCCGGCTAAGTAAACTATGCATTTTGTGGATATCCAAAATCGAGTGGGCGCGAGAATATCCCCAGCCGGAAATGGCCCGTGCGACCATCTACCATAGATACATCCGTGACCCGGTCCGTCCTTCACGTTTGCGGGGCACACGGACTCTCTATCAGCATATTGTATGATTCAATCATATAAAGCACGAAGCACAAAAACTACTTGCACTATCGCAGAAGAAAAGACTTTTCTCCCTTGAGTCGCTGGATTGACTTGGATGGTACAAGATGGCTACAACTGTGTGTGATGACCCTGCTACTCTGATTTGACCCCTAGCTAAAAGCTCCGACAATAGACACAAACGATGACCGAGTATGTACCTCAGTACAGGTTCGAAAAGGAGTCTAAGACCGCGCCTGTAAAGGTACCGCATCCGCAAGGATGGGGAAATTTTGACTTGAGCTGTCAGTTGAAATCTGCAAAACACACATTCTGGAATATAGACCTGACTTTCCTCTAGCTGTACTCATTCCCCCTTCGGCGGGCCTGGGAACCACAAAGCGCTACTATCAGCGACGCACAATGTTCCAATACGCCGCTCTATATGTCTTTGGACTCTGGTGCTTCCAAAACCTGGCCAACCCGGCTTATCGAGCTGCCGCTCTTGGGTTGCTCTTTCCCGGAGCTGGATTAATTGCTGTCGGAACAATTGCTTCCATTCTGGCCTTTACCGTTACCATTGTCAGCATCCCTGTGACTCTCTTTATTTGGTTCGCCATGGGCGGTGTCCTCTTCCCTCTGATCGTGTGGTTTGGTTCCGCTGGTTTGGCCGGCTTTATGGCTCGCGACTCTCTCTTCGATCAGGCTGGACCAGCTTGGGGTATCATCTGTGTGGGCCTAGTTAGCTGGGCCATGTGGAAGAGTGCCTCTATCAACGCTCGCGGTCACTCCATTCAGCAGATCCGCAACAAGTGGCTTCCTGCCAAAGTCAAGTCCATGCAGGACAGCGCCGTTCCCGCCCCGGCTCCAGGCTCTCGAGAGCTAGACCTCAAAACTTTGCGCTTTGTTCAGCACATGGTTGAGCGTGGCCTCGCCAAGCATGACGATTTTAGCTATCATGATGTTATCGACCAGTTTCAAACTGGAGCTGTCCGCTACCAGCTGTACGGAGTCGTCGATTGCCTTTCTCTGTACATGACGCACTATGCACCTGGATTCCATGGCTATGTGGCCGAAGCGTGCCGTAACTCCATTGAAAAGTCCTTGACCAAGCGAATCATGTCGTACTGGAAATGGGAGCGACTCACTGGAAAGTTCACCACTGACTACGACCCTATCAATTACGACAATATCATGGTCACTGGCTATCTTGGCGTTGCTATTGGTCTTTACTCTTCGGCCACTGGCGACCGACGATATGAAAAGCCTGGCTGCCTCAATTTCCACATTGCCGACGGAGTTCACTTCAAGCGCTCGTTTGGTGATCTTGCCGATGCCATGTACCAGAACATGGCCACCAATGACTATTGCCTATACCCCTGCGAGCCAAACTGGACTTATTCCCTCTGCAAGTATGTATATCCCAGCAGGTCTTACTTTCAAGCCCGTGATGACAATGAGCTAACCTTTTCTACTCCAGCTTGATTGGCATGGCCGGTCTTATTATTTCTTCTCGACTACTGGGCAACGACTATGCCGAGAAGATCAAGCCCCGCTTTGAGCGTGCTCTGGAAGACGAGATGACCGAACCCGACGGTCGCATCTTGCCCATTCGTTCCGAGCTAACTGGTTTGACCATTCCTGGTCTTTCCGGAACTCTTTCGGACTGTATCAATGCCATGAACTTGACTTCTTACCTGCCTCACATTGGCTCGCGTGTCTGGGCTATCATTCGCCAAGAGCACATTTACTACAATGAGAAAAACCGTTTGGATGTGAAGGATCTCCGCGGCGCAGACAAGATGGATCCTGGCAACTACAAGGGTGGTGTCGGTGCTCTTCGTGCCTTCGTCGCTGGCTGCGCGGCTGAGTTTGGCGATGAGCAGATCCGCAAGGATGCCTTAGAGCAACTCGACGAGGAATTTTTCCCTGTCCATCCAACTCCCTCCGGCTCCCTTTACAACAAGGGTCTGTCGGCCACTACCCAAGTCGTGGCGTTAATGGCCCGCATGGGTCGCTATCAAGATTTAGCGAACGCAACTCTCCACGGCCCTGAACCGACCGCAATGCAGGGCCCACTTTTGGCTGCTTGCAAGTTCCCCGAGGTTCTTGTGGCGAAGGCTTATAGTCTAGATGGCAAAGCTTTGGACTTGGTTCTTTATAATGGCAAGGCTCCGGGGAAGCAGCAGCTCAAGTTCGAGAGGTTGACTCCCAACTCGAAATACTCGCTTGGCAATGGACAGACTATGTCCGCCGATGAGAATGGACACGGCCGTGCCGATGTTGATTTGAATGGCAGAACACAGCTCAACATTGCTCTTGCCTAAATCATGGCTGAGAATATTACGAACGGTGAATGAAATTGAATTTTAAGATGCCTACATACTGTAGCACACAGGATACACTCGCAATACGAAGTACGTTCACTGAAAGAAATGCAAGTCCATTGAGAACAACTATCTCTACTGGTAAACCGCGTACTCTGAGTGATATGACAGTAGAGATTTCCATGAACTATAAATGTGGACTAATATTCCACTATTTGCTCTCAAGCACGAAAATGTACCGTCTGTTAAATATGGATTTTTTAGGTAATGATCTCTTGCTCACCTTTGATTTATCTTGATTTACATTCATGAGATTAGAGCTGGGGATAAACCCGTGAAAGGGCGTGTATATTTCTGCATATTAATTTGACTATGGGATACCATTTTCCATAAGCCACATCTCAGTATCTGTCGCATCAACACCTAAGCAGTCACTTGGGCTTTGCTCCAAGTCCAAATTCATAATATTTCCTTCGCCAAAGGCAAAACCACTTTCAATCTGAGTATGGAGGAAGTTGTTGATCTCTTCCATCGACCAAGACCAGGGATAATTTGGTATTGGATCTTCGTCCGCCGGTTGGAGTCCGATTGAATTTGGTCCAATCTCAGCCAGACCGTTGGAGGACTGTTGCACCCCAGTTTCAGGTTGTTGGTCTGTATTTGGCGGCTCCCGATCGGTACCTACCGATCTTCCACCTGCACCAATGTCATTGACTTGTAGCCTCGAGGCGGTAGATTCATCCAAATATGAGAAAAACAATTCAAGAACCCAATTTTTGACCCCCCAGGTTTTTTGCAATTCTCTCAAGCCGAGAAGACAGATTCGCGCTTGGTGTTCGGCGATCGCTCGTCTCGGCTCTTCCGGCAGTTCAAGCAGCCTCCGCAGACGAAGTGTATGAATACAAAGAGAATTAAAAAGATTGGTGATAACATGTATCTGAGCGAATCGAAAATTTCCTGGGGAAGATAGGATATCTTCGACGGCATGCGCGTTACTTGCTGCGGCTTGAAGTGCTATCTGACCTTCCAGGCTGTCCTCTTTACCCTCGATGAAGTCAGAACGAAACAATAAGATGAGCAAATTGTTGTAAGCAAGATGGAGCATATTTGCGTGTAAACTTGACTGTTTTCCAAATGTGGAATCAAGTTGCATGGCCACTGGTAATCTTTGCTTCCACTCAAACAGCTCATTCTTGATTGACTCTCGAATTGAGGTTGACAAGACCTTGTTTGGGAGATATCCACAATGAACAATGCGACCAATTATCCGGGAAAGTGTGGTCATTCCGATGGAATAAAGCGTATATTGTCGCATGATCTCTTTCGAAACAGAAGGACTGAAAGCCTCTTCGAAATCATCCTCTGTCGGAGTCTCGGCATCACAATCTTCGTCGCGAACTCGATTCGGTAGTCCTAATGCTGCCGCACATTGTCTTTCTCGGACGTATATTGACCACCAAAGACGTTTTCTCAACCGCTGTCGCTTCGATACTCGCGAACCCGCCGATCGATGCAAAGCTTTGGTCTCTGCGAGCGTGATTGCAGCTCCTAGCCAGTGCCGGGCGTCCTTTTCCAGTGTGGCCCCGGCACGTCGAAAGCTGAGAAGAAATAGACTTTGGATGATTGTTATTTTGTTAGTCTCGTATTCAGCATCGTACAGATCCTTTGCATTATTGTAGAAGAGGTAGGTTGCTTGACGGCGATTTTCCAATCCAGCCTTGTGAAGTTCGCTTTCGTCGCAAAATGTGCTTCCCACAAATAAGAGAGATTGTAGAAGTAAACGTGACAGTTTTCGCTGTTGGTATTGATGCCAGACGTCGGGTTCATCCACGATTGCAAAGCATGGATGAAACCAGCGAAAATAAGCCCGGAACAAGGTCTCAACAATCCTTGCGTCTGGAAAAAGTGTCACTCCCTCCTGCTCCAACAAAGCAGCCTTAGAGCGACGATGAGATGCCTCCCAAGGGGTTATGGCATTTTCGATTTCCGGAAATTTTAACACCGGGTGCAGAAGCCTTCCATTATCCGATGGAGATGACCGTGAGTGTGTCGGGCTGCCGCCATCCTGCATATATCGAACAAAAGTGGATTCTCCTAAGAAAACTGAATCTTCCTCTCCCCTGTCACTATCCTTGATGGCTGGGCGGCCGGGTTCGGGCACCTCTCCACGAGCATCATCTGGCGCATGCTCCAATTGCACCGTCAGCGGCCTTTGGCTGTTACTTTCACTTTGGAGAGAGAATAGGTGGGAGGGGACGAAATTGTTTTTCTGCTTGACGCTCTCGGCCGTGGCAGGGTCGGAGCTGCGTTGCCGACTTGCCTGATCGGCCACAGATCCGATCCTTCGGCGATCATATTTACCACGCCGAGACTCTCGTATCTGACAAGGCTTCTGCGCTTCTACACAGTTGTCACAAGGATTATGATCAATGACATTGCATTTGATCCTCTTAGAGTTGCAGAAATGGCATGCCTGTCTTGCTCGTTTTCGCTGGGGTGTCATCGCCGTCTCCTGATGATAGAACCAAGCAGGAAGTAGAAAAGTCGCCTAATGCATGTGTTGCTGTTTTAATAGGCTTCATCACTAATAAATAAACCGGCCGGGTTATATGGTAGTCCTTAATGCCCGGGACTACGCCCAAGAGTGGGGAAGCACGGCTCCCGTCATAGAGCGGATGCCGGGTCTCCGCCCGGACCGTGTGTGGCCGCAACTAGAGTTGAAGCCGTGGTCACCCTGACCATCAAAGTCTAGCCTATAACGATCGGCAACTCATAACCAAGGCTCTATGGTATTCAGCTGTGGTTAATCACTATGGATCATCGACAGCCGAGCCATAGATTCTTGGCGTTCGAGGTGTGTGATGTGAGGAATAGCCGACGTGCCTCCATAGCGGGAATAATCGAGATAGAACATATAAGCGCGGAATACGATGGTCTATAATTTTGCGATGATAATCTGGAAGATTCAAAGCACCCGAAATGTGTCTATTATCAGTACAGCGCAGGAATTTTAGTGCCGCTGGCAGGCTCCTAAGTCGAGCGGCAACGGGCGGGCGGGTAAGGAGCTTCACAACCTCCGGGCAACCGTTGAACCAGTATGACCAGACTATTGCAAATTTGAAGATCAACAAAAGTTCTCGCATTATATATCAAGGCTTTACTGGCAAAGCGGTACGTATTTCGAAGTTGATCCATGTGGACAAGAAGCTCATGACACTGCAGGCCACTCAAAATGCGAAAGAAACCATCGCCTACGGAACGAACGTTGTCGCTGGTGTTTCACCGGGTAAAGGAGGACAGTTGCACCTTGGATTGCCGGTATTTGACTCTGTGCGTCAGGTAAGTGCTGGAATCATGAAATCCTCTCCAAGCGAGATGTGGACTCTAATTTGTCTACAGGCAATGGAAGAAGTAAAACCTCACGCCAGCTCCGTCTTTGTACCAGCTCAATTTGCGGCCGCGGCAATTATTGAATCTATTGAAGCCGAAATCCCGCTGGTGGTATCAGTCGCAGAGCACATTCCCGTTCAAGACATGCTTAGGGTTCATGAAGTACTGCGCACCCAATCAAAAACACGTCTCGTTGGACCCAATTGTCCGGGAATAATTGCGCCTGGCCAATGCAGAATTGGGATTATGCCATATAGGCAATACTCTGAAGGCGTGGTGGGAATTGTTTCCAAGAGTGGTACTCTGAGTTATGAAGCAGTTGGTGCTACAACAAACGCAGGTCTCGGACAAAGTCTCGTCGTTGGAATGGGAGGGGACCTTCTCCCGGGAACCACTCTTGTTGACGGACTCAAGTTTTTATTCGATGATGCAAAAACCAACGGTATCATTGTCATTGGTGAGATCGGGGGAGAGGCAGAACTGAAGGCCGCGGAGCTTATCAGAGAGTATCGCATGTCTACTCCAAATCCCAAGCCAATTATTGCTATGGTGGCAGGTCGGACTGCACCAAAGGACAAGACTATGGGCCATGCTGGTGCGTTACTTTCCCCGCGAGATGCGTCGGCCGATACAAAGGCAAAGGCTCTTGAAGCAGCGGGTGCAGTAGTTGTGCCACATCCAGGGATGATGGGTACGGAGATGAAGAAGTTACTGGGCCTTTGATAAAACTCAGACTATCAATAGCAAGTAATGACATTTTGAAGTACAAATATTTACCTCCCAAATCAGTATACTGTGTACGTAAATATCTCATGAATCCATGTGAATCCCCCAGATCCACACCCTCGCCTCCTACTACTGATGCTCTTTTTAGCCCAAGAATTGTTCACATGTGCACCAGGCTTTTCTTTTGTGAAGTATTCAGGCGTCTGTAAATACCAGTAAGCCCCTGGGCACTAATACGATCCATCTCTCAAGGTTATATTCAGCGAATGAAGCAAAAGAGAATATTTAATTGAAGTGATAATTTAGTGTCAGGCCCTACTTCCACTTGGACAATTTAATCAACATTTGCAAGTTCAACCGCTTTCTGTGCAGCCACCCCAAAGTCAGACTCAATATGAAGATCGAGCTGAGCATCCTCCAACTGTTCCTGGCTGTTAGCACCTCTCCACTCAAAGCAACAATTACTTGAACTACTGACCATTTCCAACCCTTTTTGCGAATTTGTTCCCTGCAGTCGTACCACAACGGGCACTTTTGATGGACCAAGCGCCTTTGCAGCCGCAATAATACATTCCGCAATCATATCGCACCGAATAATGCCTGGCCATGAAATCAGTTGGTTTTCCTGCCCTAGCTGCTGTGCGACTTACCACCATAAATGTTGATGAGAATGGCTTTTACTCTTTCATCTCTCATGATGATCTCAAATGCCGTTTGCATGGCCTCCTTGGTCACCTGTCCACCAGTATCAAGAAAGTTGGCGCTTGTACCCCCGTAGTAACTGATTGCATCATTGGTCGCCATAGCCAGCCCAGCGCCATTCACGACGTTACCAATGCTACCGTCCATCCGGACATAGACCAGCCCTGCCTTCTCAGCTTCGATCTCATCTATGACTTCATGCTGCACATCGCGCAAATCGAATAAAGCTGGCTGCCGTTTTTTTGCTGTGTTGTCAAAAGTAAACTTCGCGTCCAAGCAAGTAAAACTTCCGTCTTGAAAGCGGACGAGGGGGTTGATTTCGAGAAGTGTGGCGTCTTTGCTGGTGAAAACTTCATGCATGCGAATCAAAATGCGGGAGAGATGATCTCGCTCCTTGTCGGATATGCCGACTCTTTGCGAGATTTCATCGATCAACTCCGCGGAAATTCCCTTGGTCAAACTGAAGTGGAACTTGTGGAGATTCTCCGGTTCTTCTTTGGCAATCTTTTCAATGTCGACGCCTCCAGACCTTGAGAGTATCACGGCAGGACTGTAATGCTCGCGATCAATCGTCATGGCTAAATACCACTCTTCATCGTAGGAGATTGCTTCTGCGACATATACTGTGTCCACTTTGAGGCCTTTTTGATATGTTTGCTTCGTTCTCAATCGGCTGCCAAGCATTTTAGAGGCAACTTGCTGGCCAGCATGCGGAGTGTCCACAATCTGAATGCCTCCTTGTAGCCCGTTGTCGAATGAGCCTTTACCACGGCCGCCTTTTTGGATCTGTGACTTAACAACACATCTTCCCCCTAACAAAAGTCAACACTGAGTTCGTAATTACTATATAATTGTGAATAAGCGTTACCTATTTCTTCAATTGCTTTGAACACTTCGGTTGGCGAATGAGCAACTTGCCCGCGTGGGACTGGAATATCATACTAAATGTTCCCTAATTAATTTCATCCACCGTCTGACAAGGTGGCTGATATACCTCTCGAAGCAAGCCTTGAGCTTGATATTCATGGATGCTGAGGTAGCGTCTTGGTATAGCTGGGCGAATCTAGTGTGCCGTTGTGTTAGAAGTATTCACAAACACATGTAGATCCTGGGCTGGCCCTACCTTCAGCGCGACTCTCAAACTCGCCAAGGTTGGTCGTCGAAAACTCATGGTAAAAATGCTTGACTGTCCATAATTGTATTGTATTACTGGTCGCTATGCTGAATATATGAGGTTTTAGATTATATCGTAGTCCACATGCGACGCATTCTATAGCCGTGAGGCTTCTAGACTTCCCGCTCGAGATTTTGAGTCGGCTAGAAGGGAACCCGCAGGATCGGCAATTGAAATGAATAGCCTACAACTAACTTTGCCTTTTAAGACCCAGGGCCAGCTCCGATCAAGGCTTTATATCTTGTGAGTCTTTCCGGGTGCTCGGGTAGCCGATTCTTCCAACGGAGCATAATACCGATCAGCTACTTGAGTTCAGGTTCGTCCTGGGGTAATAAAATTACCAATAAAAATTAAATTTTTTCAGTCAAGCAAAATGTTTTCATCTTAGCCATAAAGCTTTATTTGCAGTAACTGATGTCGACAGAAAATGGAGAAACTGAGCCCGATCAATTGATCTTCCAAGGTTGCTTTCTACAAATTTCCATCAGTCCCACGCGATAACCGGCTTGATGACCTAGAAACGATCATCATGTTAGTCATATTACAGTAAAATTGAAGATAAGATGAGGAATCCAAATACCTTTCCCGCATGCATGTCATCAATAGCATCTTGAAGGTTTGCAGTTGAGTACGTTTTGCAAAGCTTGTCAATAGCAAAGTTTCCACCGTGGTGCATCTGAATCAGAAGAGGAATGAAATCCTGGGGATTTGAGTCTCCTTCAATGACACCAATGAATTTCTTGTTCTCTAACAAGAATGTCAAGGGGTCGATCTTGATATGCACACCCGCACGAGGAACACCGACAATCGCCGCCGTACCCTGAGGTCCAATCGATTCGATCATGTCCTCAATGACCTTCAGGTTTCCGGTACAGTCAATTGCGAAGGTAGCACCGCCGTTTGTGATTTCTTTGATATTCCGAACAACCTCGCTTTCCTTCTGAGAGTTGACCGCGTGCGTAGCACCAAGCTCTATGGCCAGGGCGAGTTTGTCGTCGACGATGTCCACAGCAATAATGTGTCCGACGTTCAAAAATTTGGCAGCCATCAATGCCGTTAAACCAACGCTACCCAGACCGAATATTACGATGGAGTCTTCTTGTGTGGGTTTGAGTACATTGAGAACGGTTCCTGCACCCGTCTGGAAGCCGCATCCCATAGGCGCGTAGATTGGCAAGTGTTCAAGATCGTCGCACGGCACAGCACACTTCTCATTCACAACAGACATTTTTGCAAATGAGGATTGTCCAAAGTACTGGCTGCGTACTGACTGACCGTCTGGTCGCCTGGCCGGTGTGCTTCGGTCGCTGGTTCGAACAGCATTGTGGTTGACTGCAGGGTGGTTGTGGCAGAGCGCCGGATGGCTTTCTTTGCAAGGTTTGCAGGATCCGCATGTATTGAATGAGAGAAGAGCAGGACGCCCGACTTCTAAATTCTTATTCTGTACGCCCTTCCCAATGGCACGAATGATCCCCGCGCCCTCGTGGCCGAAGATAGCTGGAAACTCAACCATTGGCAAAAGGCCTTGTTCAAGCACAAGATCAGTGTGACCTATTTCATGATTAGTACTACAGGAAGCGACTTTGGTCAATAAAATACTCGAGTGACTCGACTCACAGATTCCACTATACTTCATCTCGATTAAGATTTCATCATCCCTCACTTCATCAAGGATCACAGGAGAAAGCTTGAAACCAGCCTTTGGCTTGTCAACTACCAAAGCTATAGTCTCAATATCTCTTGGGAGACTGTCCTCACGGATTTTGTCCACTCGCTCGACATGTTCGGCTGTATACTTTGTTCTGTTCACTGAAGTCGGTGGTTCTAGAGTCGCAACCGTGGCCATTGTGAAGTGCTGGGAGGTAACGTAGGAGTCAAGGTATCTCAAGACATACGAGTAACAACTATCTGAGATATAGTCGAAGATTAATTATAAGGCTTGGCTTTGGTAATTATGAATGCTACATGGTGCCCGGGATAGTAGATGATATCTTTCCGGCTGCGGGGACCGTGTCCGGTCCGGGCTACCGGATCTCAATCCATCCACGGGACGCAGGTAAATGAGCTCGGGTGTAATTTTCGGGGTAGCTGGCTTATGATCTATGGACCTGTGATTGACTATTCGGAGAGTGAATGACATGTTCTTGAAGTTCCATTGGTCCGGTCTGGTGATCACGGAAGTTGGTACACGGACTTGAGTTGGAAAGAAACTCTTGAGTCTACACCTTTCTAGATTTCAACCTTTTCGAGGTTAAGCTCTGCGTACTATAGTGGCTACTTGCCAGCTCATTAATGATGTCAGTTACCATAAATATGCTTGAGGAAAATTTCACGAGACAACGATAAATTACAACTGCGGCGCAACCATCCCTGTATTCAAATAGACAGCCTTTGTCTCGGTGTAGTTCTCGAGGACTGCCTCTCCGCACTCCCGACCGATACCGCTCTCCTTATAGCCACCGAAGGGAATACTCCAATGGACCATATTGTACATGTTGACCCAAGTGGTGCCGGCCTTGAGCGCGTTGATCATACGCACCGCACGTTCGTAATCCTTAGTGTGAACTGCGGCAGCCAGTCCGTAGGTCGAGTCATTTGCAAGCGTCAATACTTCTTCTTCGGAGCTGAACTTTGAAATGGCGACAACGGGGCCAAATATTTCTTCCTTCATGATCTAATGCGCGGTTAGATACTGATTCTCTGGGTTCTTCCCAACTGAGGGGTTTCTTTTCATACCTTCATATCCGGCTTCACATTGGTGAAGATGGTAGGTTCAATGTAGTAGCCCCCTTCAGGACCCGACTGAGAGGCCATGCCACCCAAATGCACCGTCGCGCCCTCATCTCTGCCACTTTGAATGTATCCCAAGATCTTGTCGTACTGCATCCTGCTGTTCTGGGGGCCTTGGTCGACAGTGGGATCGAAGTTGTCGCCGACCTTGATTCGTGACATCCGAGCCGTATAGGCATCGACAAACTTGTCGTACACGTCTTCATGTACATAGATTCGAGTACCGGCGTGGCAAGTCTGGCCGAAGTTCATATTAATTCCCCAGGCAGACCATTCCACTGCTTTTTCAATGTCTGCGTCGGAAAATACAATATTCTAGGGAATTGTTAGTCGCTTTGATTCTTGAAAAGCTTGCGTGGTACATACCGGGCTTTTTCCACCGAGCTCCAGGGTAACTTTCTTTAAATTGGATGATGCAGCAGACTTCATGATGCTTCTACCAGTAGCAGTAGACCCGGTGAAGGCAACCTTGTCAATGTCCATATGTGAGGCAATTGCATTTCCGACGGTTTTGCCGTATCCGGAGGTGAGATTAATAGTTCCAGCTGGGAAGCCCGCTTCCTTGATCAGCTCGCACAGTTTTAATGCGGACAATGGTGTGGCCTCGGCGGACTTGATGACGATTGTATTTCCGGCTGCGATGGCGGGGGCAATCTTCCAAATAAACATCATCATGGGGAAGCTGTAGGGTGAAATTAATACGCTTGGATTCAACACACGATGTCTCATGCACTTACTTCCATGGAATGATCTGACCGCACACACCAATTGGCTCACGACGAGTGTAGGCGAATGTCCCGGGAATATTGAAAGAAGTCAAGCCCAGGATCTTGTCGGCCCATCCCGCATAATATCTCAACGTTCCAATTGAGCCCATGAAGTCGAGCCCCGAGGCCTGTTTGTAGGTCTTGCCAGTATCAAGCATCTCGATGGCAACAAGGTCCTCCTTGTTCTTTTCCATGAGCTCTGCCAGATTGCGCAGGAGCTCGCCTCTCATTGTCGGATTCGACTCAGCCCATTCTTTGCTGTTAAATGTCTTGCGTGCGGCCAATACCGCTTCATCGACATCTTTCTCCCGGCCTTCCTGTACACGAATGACTTCCTGTCCAGTTGTAGGATCTTCAACACCGAACGTATTGCCTTCAATTGATGAACGAAATTCGTTGTTGATAAAGATACCGGTCGGGATTGACACGTCACGTCCGCCTATCTTTAAGGTCTGAGAAGGCGCAGTTGCCGTGCTTGCCAGTCGAACGTGAAGCGACCATCTCTGGCGAATTCCTATCGTAGCGCTCTGATTCGAGAGACGCGTCAATGTTCTCATCAGCGTCATCTTGGAAATTAAGGTTGTGCTCAAACAAATGAATTCCTTAAGAGCTTTGAAAGCGAGGAATGAAAGGAGCAATAAAAAACCATCAGCTACTGTCGCAAGCTGAGGCAGCTCGGAATAGCTCCGGCAGCTCCATAGCCGTCTTACGCCCGGGATGCATGGAATCGCGGACCGTGTCTCCCAAGTTCCCGGCTTCCGTGCACGGTCCCAGATCGGCGGTCGGTTTCTTCTCCGAAGTAATGATGCGGAGAGAAAGGGGTTAACTCGGTTTTGTTGGTGAGAATGCTCACGTGGTAGCTAGATTATCGGTTTGCTATAGTTTTCTACGCGAGTTTGACCACTGGCTTAAGATGGTTCCTGATTTCAACCTACGTCAGAGCGAAATACCGGGTAAAAATATGCCGTTGGCCTTTCAAAAGAGATAGGGTGTTGATTTCGCCAAATTATAATCCTAGTACATTGTCTTCCCATCAGGAAGACCGAGTTCTCCCAGTGTAATGGTCTAAGGCGAGCAGATGTTAGCGGTCTCCCTAGATTGTAGCCATGAGGTTTACACACCTTTGTGATTTGAAACTCCTCCACACCGACCCGGCCTCCTTCACGCCCGAATCCAGAGTGTTTGACGCCTCCAAACGGCGCGACGGGGTCTGACACCATGCCAGTATTGACACCTACCATGCCAGTCTGAAGAAGCTCGGCCGCTCTCCAGGCCTGAGACATCTGGTTAGTATAAACATACGCGGCTAGGCCAACTTCCGAGTCGTTCGCCATCTGGAGGAGCTCCTGCTCGGTTCCGAATTTATAGAACGCTACAACAGGTCCAAACCACTCTTCGCGACTTGCTTGCATGGTTGGCTTCATATTCTTCAAGATCGTGGCTGGGAAAAAGGTGGCCGCATCCTGGCTCGATCGCACACCACCCAAAACAACCTCTGCTCCGTGTTCGCAAGCATTTTGAACCAGTCGTTCGACCTTGTCAGTGGCTTTTTGGCTGATCAACGGTCCCAAGGATGTTCCTTCGGCTAACGGGTCCCCGGGAATCATCCGGTCTCTCACCACCTTGGAAAAGCGTTCGATGAATTCGTCGTGAATTCCTTCTTGAAGGTACACGCGGTTGGCGCAAACGCAGGTCTGCCCAGATGCACGGAATTTGGCAGCCATAAGGCCCTCGATAGCCTTGTCGAGACTGGCATCATCAAATACTATGTTTGCATCACGCTGGTAAGCAAACGTAGGTGTTGACCGCGGTTATTGGAAACTACATACCGATAAAAGGCGCATTTCCCCCGAGTTCCATCGACAGCTTCTTCAGCGTCGAACTAGACTGCTCCATGAGGATTTTCCCTACCCCGGTCGATCCGGTGAACGACACTTTCTTGATGACAGGGTGCTGACAGATGGTCTTACCCACGCTGGAGACATTCTGATCAGTCGTCACAACGTTTAAAACGCCTGCAGGGATTCCTGCACGTTCGCCCAACTCAGCCAAGGCTAGCGCTGAATATGGTGTCTCTGCAGCGGGTTTCAACACGACGCTGCATCCAGCCGCAATTGATGCACCAACTTTACGCGTGATCATAGCCGAAGGAAAGTTCCACGGCGTAATGATGCCGACCACTCCGATCGGCTGTCTAAGCGTGAGGACGCGATGCCCTGGCGTGCTGGACTGAATAGTCTCGCCATATGATCTCATGGCCTCGCCCTGAAACCATTCGAAGAAACTAGCCGCGTACTTGATTTCAGAGCGAGAGGCCTGCAGTGGTCGGCCATTTTCGAAACTTAAAATCGTGGCTAAGTCTTCTTCGTGCTTTTGCATCAGTGCTGACCACCTTTTGAGAATATTCATTCGCTGAAGAGGAGTACTGAAGCGAAAGATTTCGAATGCCTGCTGGGCCGCTTCAATGGCAGTTATGGTGTCTTGATGGTCCCTAGGACTGGATTAGCGGCCAGTCTCGAATACTGGAAAAAGTGAGAATTCACAAACATTTCAGGACATTTGCCAACAAGCTGTCCATTTTGTGGATTCAAAACCGGAAAGCTCTTTTCGCCGTGTCCACCAGTCCATTTTCCGCCAATGTATCCTTGCTCGCGAAAGAGTTTCGGGTCTCGAAGTCTTGACTTCAGCTATGCTAGCGGTGTTAATGTATTTCAGTGCACAGCACTGCATTTCAGACAACGTACTTTTGATTCCGCCTCGGTCGCAAATAGGCGAGCCGCATTTTGATGTGGCCTGAATGTCCCTGGGCTCCGGAGCAATGAACGTGGGATGCCAACGTAGCAGGGTGAGACCTTCATATTTCGATATCTCTTCCTTCGCAAAGACGTCTTGATATCGACTAGCTTGATCGTCTTGAGAACTATAGAATAATTAAAGTCTTGTAATGACTGCGATATGGCGGCTATTGTTTCTGTATAGCCGGACCGGCCGTGAAGAAGCCTTCCGTCCCCACACCCGGGCTCGGTTTCTTGGGGTACCCCATATCCCAGTACGCGATACTGTAAGGCGAATCGTTGCTTTTGGGGGTAGTGTACCAGTATTAATATCTTCTCATAATGCCGTTTTAGAGATCTTGTACTCTGGAATCTTCTGTCATAGTACTCTGCCAAAATGAACGCGCTCAAATCGGGGTCTCGGCTTGCTGGAAAAGTCGCAATTGTGACAGGTACATATACCGATTTTAATTTTTCCTTTGCTTCACTAACGAATGACATTCGGAAGGTGCTGGATCTGGCTATGGTGCAGGCATAGCCAAGAGATTTGCCCAAGAAGGCGCGAAAGTAATCGTCGCCGATATCAATGAAGAGGGGGGGCAAGAACACCGCCCAAGACAATCCTGATGCTATGTTGTTCTTTCGCGCAAATGTAGCCAAAGAGGAGGACTGGCATAGATTAATGGACGCGGCACAATCGCGATACGGGCGCATCGATTGTCTGGTGAACAATGCCGGAACAACATACAAGAACAAGGTATGGTCGTATCTTATTTCGAGTGAAAGGAGACCCTACCTGATCTGACACTGGTCGATATCAGCCCACCGCGGATGTAACTGAGGGTGATTTTGATAAATGTTTCAACGTCAATGTCAAGGGGGTTTTACTTCGGCACGGCGGCTTTCATTCCCCGGCTGCTCAAGCAGGCGGAGGGTGGTGTCATGTTGAATATAGCTTCCGTTGGAGCAACTCGACCTCGACCGGGTCTTGTTTGGTATAATGCTTCGAAGGGAGCGGTTTGGAATGTACGTTTTTTTGGTTTCTGTCTGTTCAGAATCTTTCCGTTGACTGAATTCACGCACAGGCTACCAAGGGTCTCGCTGCCGAGTATGGAAAGCATCAGATCCGGGTCAACTCGGTGTGCCCGCTTCTTGGAGCGACAGGCTTGTAAGTTGTGAAACATTCCAGCTAAACTGGCTGGCCCTAATCAGAATCACAGATTCGAGTCATTTTCTGGTCTTCCAGACACCCCGGAAAATCGAGCACAGTTCATTTCGAATGTGCCTCTCCAGCGGCTTTGTGAAGCCTCGGACGTTTCCAACGCGTGTTTATTCCTTGCGTCCGACGAGGCCAAGTTTATTACTGGAATCAACTTGGAAGTGGATGGCGGAAGAGCTGTGCTGTAATCTTAAAATGACAACCCCATCTGAATTATAATATCTATGTTTTAGATGCCTGGGGATAAATTTATCATCCCAACCAAGGGGGATGTCTTGCTCCTAGGCGCTTATGGTTTGGCAACTAATTAAGAGGGGTACACAGGGAAGAATCACGATCCAGAACGAGTTTCATTCATCATGATATAATTCATAACATCTCCATTTTAATTTGGAACCCATCCATCTAAGCACCGAGAGCCTTGCGAGCAAAGTTGGGCAAGACGAAGCTGGCGCGGTGGATGTCCTGGTTGTAGTAGCGGCACAGGCGCTCCTCCTCCTCGCGGGTCCAGGAGCGAAGGGGCTCACGCACGTTGCGGCTGGCGTCCTTGCAGCAGACCATGAAGCCGATCTGGCCGGAGGGGTAGGTGGGGATGGTGGTGTAGGCGTACTCGGCGACGGGGAAGACCTCACCGCAGGCCTTCTTGAGGTCAGTGATCATGGGAAGGTGGAGCCATTGGTTCTCGGCTGTTGGACAAAAAGCACAGTTCCGCGAAACCGAGCCCGTAAAAGCGGGTTCGTTGGCGCGGTGGTGCGAAAAAATTAGCCAATGTTCTTCTTCATGTGGGAAACAAGATACTAAAAACATAGCAGAGATAGAAAAAATTGTAGATAAAGAGAAACGGATTGATGAGTGTGGGGCAGGATAGGGATATGGGCAGAGGGCAGGAGAATGGAACAAAGGAAAGGCAACGAACAACCTTGGGTAGTAATGACACCGCCATCGCGGAGGGCGTCACGCAGAAGCTCGAAATAGGGCTTCTGGAAGAGGCTCTCGGCAGGGCCCTCGGGGTCAGAGGAGTCGGTGATGATGACGTCGAACTCGTTCTGCTTGGCCTTGAGGAACTCGAAGCCGTCGCCGATGTGGGTCGTGACCTTGGGGTGCTGGTAGCTGACGGACATGCCGGGGAGGTACTTCTTGGAGAGGCGGATGACGGCCTCATCGATGTCGCACAGAATAGCCTCCTCAACGGACTCATGCTTGACGACCTCACGGAGGACACCACCATCACCACCACCGATGACGAGCACCTTCTTGGGGTTGGGGTGCGAGTTCATGGCAAGGTGGGTGATCATCTCCTGGTAGGAAAACTCGTCGCGCTCGGTGCACTGGATGACATTGTCGAGGACGAGAACGTTGCCGTAGTCGCTGCTCTCGAAGACGAGGACGTCCTGGTACTTGGACTTCTCGTGGTGCAGGACCTGGTTAACCTTGAGGCTCATGGCCTGGCCGGGCCACATGTTGGACCGCTCGGAGAACCAGCCATCTAGTGGAGTTAGCGATAGGACTTCAATTGGGGGATCCGAAGGAGGGGTGATGGGCGCAAATGGGATGACGGTGATGGCGGGGTAGTGATGTAGGTGAAGGTGCAAAGCATTAACGTACCCTGGATGGTGGGGTGGGTAATCTCGCTCATTTTTAATGAAGTAAAACGACGACTGGGAATTGATGAGAGACGTAAAGAAGAGAAAGAACGAAGAGTGCGCAGCATGCGAAGAAAAAGACGGCGGGAGTTTGTCTGTTTCGGGCGAATTTTCTGCCCGTCCGGGTCGAGTGGGGTCTTTTTTTCCAATGTGGGCAACGGAGGGGAGAAACAATAGTCTTGGGCAGCGATCGGAGTCGAGGTGCCGGGCAATCAGCTAATAGAAACCCGGGAGCTAAGGCACTAAACAATCGGACCTGTTTGACCCCGTGTTGGATGACACTGTTGGAGAGGCTACGATCTGGGCCAATCGAGGCTTCCCAAATGACGCTTACTCGTGAACCCGAGATCTATAGATCGTGAAATACGCGAAATGGGCAGCATTGGTAGAATCAGTTCATAGACATAGGAAATTCAAAATCGTCGATTGCTTTCTAGTTACTGTACAAGTGATACAGCTGCCCGGCACGGATTGTCATCTCGTGCCCCGGTATACCCATTTCCATCCTCAATTCGACTCAATGCAACTCAACTCGAGTAATTTACTCGTCACTACCACTCTCGAGGAGACGACCGGGCTTGGAGTTAAGGAACTCGTTGCTGTAGAGGAGAATGTCAGGCTCTTGCTAGTCACACAATCCATGATCACGGGCAATCTTACCGCTCGACGGCCCAGTTCATAGCAGCGTAGGCAATGATGAAGGGAGGGGCGACGTAAAGGACCTGGTTGCGGAAACGACGGAAAGTGTTGAAGATGGCCGCGTGGAAAGCACCGGCGAAGGGGCGCTGGCGGTTAGACGAGACAGCGTAGGTAGCGATGCGCTGGGGGGTCGGGCAACCTGCGAGGTCGACGTATTAGTGGACAGTCCGCGATCTGTTGGTAACGATTTCGCTCGTCGTGAGCACCCAATTCCACCCTGGTCGAGGAGGAGCTCGTGGCCGGTATCTCGTGCACGCGCATTCGGGAACTCAAGGAAGGCTTGTCAACGTACCGAACTCGCCCCAGTTGCCGATGAAGCTGCAATATATCGTTAGCACACATGAACCAGTATAGAGCGACTCGGCGAATGCGATTGCATTTCACAGGAGTCTGCTGTCGGTGGTCGAACGGGTGCATCCGGACAGCACCGCACGCACACGGGCGGCCCCGGGCAGCGATGGAAGGGTAGCGGGAAGCACTCACTGGCCGTTCTTAGGATCGACAGCACCGCCCATTGTGAGATGTAATTGACTTCAAAAAGAGAGCAAAGGTGAAGAGGTGACGGGGGATGGAAAAGGGCGGAAAGGGAAAAGACGAAGTCGGGCGAAGTTGGGACGGGCGCACTAAACCCGATTTGGTTCCAGGAAAAGCCCGACATCATCCATCACCTTCAAGCTGCTGCTCTCTACCTTCCCCCTCCACACACTCATCATGGCCAACGCCCTTCACAATATCTACCGGCTGGCCGGCCCCGTGGCCGTCGGTGCCATGCTTTTCAACGCTTCCCTCTACGATGTCAAGGGTGGTACGCGGGCTGTCATCTTCGATCGATTGTCTGGTGTGCAGGAGCAGGTCGTCAACGAAGGCACACACCTTTTGGTCCCGTGGCTGCAGCGGGCCATTATCTACGACGTGCGGACGAAGCCGCGCAATATCTCGACCACCACCGGAAGTAAGGATTTGCAGATGGTCACATTGACGCTGCGTGTGCTGCACCGTCCGGATGTGCCGCGGCTGCCACAGATCTACCAGGTAAAGAGCTATCTCGGAGAACAAAGTCTATCGCAGAACTAACCATCCCGTCTCAGTCATACGGTACCGACTATGATGAGCGTGTGCTCCCCTCCATCGGAAACGAAGTCCTCAAAGCTATCGTCGCCCAGTTCGACGCCGCCGAGCTCATCACGCAGCGTGAAGCCGTCTCCAACCGCATCCGTACCGACCTCCTGAAGCGCGCAGCGCAGTTCAACATCGCTCTGGAGGATGTCTCCATCACCCACATGACCTTCGGAAAGGAGTTCACCAAGGCCGTCGAGCAGAAGCAGATCGCCCAGCAAGACGCCGAGCGGGCACGATTCATTGTCGAGCGCGCCGAGCAGGAGCGACAAGCCAACGTTATCCGCGCTGAGGGAGAAGCCGAGTCTGCCGACATCATTAGTAAGGCTGTCGCCAAGGCCGGTAGCGGTCTCATTGAGATTCGTCGTATCGACGCCAGCCGGGAGATCGCCCAGACTCTGGCTGGTAACCCCAACGTCACATATCTGCCTGGTGGTGAGGGCAAGGATGGAGGCAAGAGCACTAGCCTCTTGCTGGGTCTGCGATCCTAAGAGGAGGTTGATATAAAGAAGTGAGGGTGTCTGGCGGCGCCCATTTCTACGAAATGTACCATTTAATCGCTCGCCGTGTCCGAGGGCGTTCTATCGACTGTGCATGTTCCCCGAGGCGCGGACGTGGCTCTGTCCACTTTTGTTTTTTCTGACCTGTAGCAATACCAATACCTCTACTCCATATCAGATCTCGGGAGTTGCCCGTTTCCGTAGACGATGGGATATAGCGCCGTTTCTCGTGAATCATTATGTACAGGATATCCTCTATATGGCCCTCGCTATGCCAACCGCTGATACAAATGTACCTGGAACCGCATATCCTCCAAACCCGCCCCCTCACCTACATCATATCTAAGCCGTGCAGCATCCCGCCTCCACCATCTCGAGTCTTGCGAGAGCACCCGCTCCCACTTGCCCTCGGCGACGGAGAGCAAAGTGTGATCAAGCAGGAACTTCATCGGATAGTTCCTTTCCTGCGCAACGCCGTCTTTACCCTTACCCAGTTTTAGAGTAGAGTAGCTGCCCGGGCTATCAACCACAAGCAACACCGCTCCCGGCGGAAGAATCTCCGTCATGCGAAGAAGCAGACCAGTAGCCTTTACCATAGAAGTGGAAAAGAGCTCGTTGAGCGTGAACATGAGCGTCACCAGCAGAGAGGGCGGGGCATCGGCGCTTGAAGCGGTACTTCCGTCCAGAAAGACATCTTTGAGATCCGACTCCGAGACACCGAGGACGTCCGTCCGAGAAAAGGAAACGGAAAGCCGTCCTTCCGAGCCATTGGCCACCAGCGGCGGCTGATGCTTCGAAGACCTCGAAGCCGGCACAGTAGACGAAACCATCGTCCTCTCAAGACGCTCAACAACACTCGACCAATCGGCAATATCAACAGCCGCGATATCAAGAGACCCAGTCGTTGAGAAATCAGCCGTCGCCTCATTATCTCCACTCTTCTCCAACGAAACATCCCCCAGCCGCTCCCCAAGCCCTTCAACATCGTCATGCAAATCCCTCCAAGCAGCTGCAAGGGCAACAATCTCTGCGCCCGCACCACCACCAATACACACGACCCGCGTATTAGACTTCAAGGCGCTTTCACCGCGCATATACCCGAGAACGGCCTTGAAGATACCCGCATATCCCAACGCACGCGCGGCGCTCCAGCGCAGAGCATAGACGCGCAGGAGAGCCTCGTCGGCATCTGTGAAGGCGGAGTCGAAGTCTCGTTGGTAGAGGTGGGTTTTTATGGTCTGAACTAGGGACTTTGTGTCCAATTGGGCCGGGGATGAGGAGATGGGGTGTGGTTGGTCGGTGGTTGGTGATGGGTCTTTGGAGGGGTCGGAATGGATGAGTGGCTGTTGTGATGGGGTGAAGAGGGCGGTTTTGAAGACGTCTAGGAGGAGTTGCTGTAAAGAGAGAGGGATTGTGGTGGAGAGGTCGATTGGGCTGGAGTCTTCGTCCAGGTCGGCTTTACGATCGGGTTGCTTTTGTTGGCGGGGGCGCTGTGGTTTGGGTTTCGCGAGTGCCTTTTTGCGGTCCCCTTGGCGTGGGGGAGGCATTGCTTCAAATGCTCTGTAGGCTGTATCGCGCTTGAGAATGCTTGTGTCTTGTCCAGTGTGAAGTGCTCGCAACGCAAGCGCGGGGTGCAAGGAACAACTTTTTGCTTATCGGCTTATCAATGTCAATTGCCACTACACCAAATACATACAACAGATAGATACAACCACGCCATGTAGAAAAAGAAAATAGAAACCTGTCCGAAGACAAGATGAGGATAAGATTCATGGCGTTGTGCCAAATCAAGATGAAGAAAAAAAGACAAGGAAAAGGTCCGCAGGGACAGCGATCGTAGAGAAGGTCAATCAAACCGGGCGTCACACGCACCGGGACATAAAGGATGGACAAGAAGTGAGCAAATCATGCTCGGGAACCGGCTACGGCATCCCAAGTGTAAAAAAAATTCGTAATAACACGTCTATAAAGAGACGGAAGGTAGCAAAAGCCGCCGAGAAAAGGACAAGAAATCCACAAGAAAACCGGAGCCAAATATGTACAGAACCGGAGTGTCCAAACAGCCGGATGGGCAGGAACGGAGAAGAGAGATGCGGGAGGGAAACGGGACTCTGACAGGATATCGCTATGCCGAGATTTGCGCCGGGAAATCAAATAAATGCATCAAGATCAAAGAGCTCACTCTTTACATCGGTCGATCAGAAGACGCCGCCTCGGTGCCGGAGTTCTCCTTGTCTCGCACTTTCCAAAAATGCATTAGTCGACTCAGTCGGCGGCCCTTCTTCTTGGAATGATCGGGTTCATCGCCTGGGGGCTTCTCTTCTTGGTGGAGTTTGCTGCGTTCTGAATGCGGGCCACCGACCAGCTTCGACAGACTGGCCAAGCTAGACCTCTTGGAGGCATTCGCTTGACTGGTACGTCGGTTGACAGCCGCTGAGAAAGACGCAGCTCGATCGGTGGAAAGGCGAGCGCGAGGGAAGAACGAGGAGGAGAAGCGATTCATGGGATTGGTCATGGTGGATGCGCTGCTGGTGAGAGATGGTACATCTTCAACCGAAGCGTAAGGATATTCTGAAGGAAGGTGATGGTATGAGTGACTCGAGAAGGTACGGTCATTGAACGACCGTGATACATCTGGAGACGGGAAGGATGAATCCGAGGGGGAGACCCCAGCGGACAGGGAGAAGGCAGGAATACTGGGCGGCAGCTCATTAGGGGATGTGGCGGGCCGTTTGTCAATGGCTAGGAAACCGGGAGAGACGTCGGGACTGGGAGGAACGCGTGGCCTGGGAATGCGTTCCTGCGACTTCAGGATCTCGATCGGGCTCCGAGACTGACCAGCGAAAGGATTGCTGGTGCCATGCATCGGGTCGGCCAGATGACGATCTACCGGATGAACCTCCGGTTGACTAGAGACCTCGTCACTCGCCCGGATGCCCAGGCCAGCTTGCTCTGGTGAGCTCATGGGAGAAGAGGCCTCTGGCGCCCTGATCAGAGTATCTGCAGTCTTTGCGGTACGCGCAGTGCCCGCAGTGCCCACAGTATCCGCAGAAGCATCGCTCTTGACGGATAATTTGTCTTCTAATAGTGCAGGAGCACGAACAATAATTTCGACCGGTGTCACTCGACCACTCTGAGCTGGGGTGGCTCTGCCACTTGGCACTGGCGTGGCTCGGCCCCTTGGAGACTGGCTTGCAGCCAGGAATGCATCCTCTTCCTCCTCGTAAAATACATCTGGTGTTTCCGTGGTATTGCCTCCAAGACGGATGGGGCCCAGAGAGCTGCGATCAAATGGCTGCATCACAGGAGCACTCTCAGTACGACGGTGGTACCGCATCTCCGGGCCGACAAATTCACCACGTCGCCCACCGCTGTACATTCGTTGGGTGGCAACGGAAAACTTGCTAGGAGCACCATTCATAGGCCGCATGTCAGGGGTATTGAAAGGGCCGAGAGCAGCATCAAGGTCAATGATCGGGCTGCTCAGCATATCGTCCTGGGCGGTCTGTTCATAGAAGCTTCGCGGTTTCCATGACGTTTCAAGACTGGGAGCAGGAGCAGAAGCAGGCGTCGGTGGCTCTTCGCGGGCGGACTCGGCGGCTGCGAAGGTACCATCGGGGCTGGTTGGCGTCCGAAGTACAACGACATCGTCATTGTCAAAATCGACATCCAAGACCGACCCGACCTCCGAATTAGTTCGTGTAAGTGTGGGGGATGTTAATGCTGGCGGTCTCTTCTTTTCCTCCGGTTCTGTCTTGAGATGTCGCTTGCCTTTGCCTCGGGTCAAGATAGCACCGGCCCAAGAGCGAACACGCTTCTTCTTCGACTTGGATCGCGATTTCTTGGGACAGGTTCCATCTCCATCGTGTTCGCTATCGCATGATTCCGAACCATCGTCAGAGTAAGAAGGACGAGAGGTGTCCGTTAAATGTGCATCGTCGGTCCCATTGTTGGCAAGCATAGCTTCCAGATTCCCGGTAGACATGCTCTTGCGAAACCGAGAGTGTCCAGTGGATTTTGAGCGCTTGACTGCAGGAACATCAGGTGTATTTTGACTCTGTATCAAATCAAAAGCGAGAGATGCGTCGGCAGTTTTCGGCCGCGGCTTTGAACTCATGTTTTGTGTCGATCGCAACTGGACGGGCGGGGGATTCTCGGGCTGCTCAAATCTGACTGTAGTGTTGTTCTCCCAGGTCTCATTAGAAGTACCTGAAACAGCCGAGACAGGGCGTCCAATTTCTTCATCATCATTGCTCGGGGCCGGCTGGACGTAAATCGCGGCCGGAATAGGAGGTACGGGAGGGACTGGCGGAACGGGGGCGAATTGAGGAGACGCTGGAGGCGTAGGACGACCGAGACTGCCAGCGGAATACGACAGCGGCCGGGAAATATCTTCGTGTCCAGTGTCGAAGTGTCTATCGCCAGGGGTGCAGGGTGCACTTCCTGCCGTCAAATTGGTCCCGAGAGCTTTGTTGATGACATTCAGGTCGACACCCGAGACTGCCGCTGATCGACGGTGTGCGTGATTTCGCCGGCCCGGGCCCCTTCCAGGAGGAGGCCCCGACGGAGCGCTCGGCTTTGTCGGAGATGAAGGTTCTTCCCGCTTGTCGCCATCCCCTGCGGGAGGTGTCACCAATTGGTCGCCTCCCACAAATTCACTAGGCCGCCGCCGGTGTCCGCCAGCCCGAGAATTATGTGCCGGTGTAGGTTGCAAAGGCTGGCTGGAACCGGGATTGAATGAAAACGCTGGCAATGCGGGCGGCGTCCGACTCTCAGACATCTCCGACTGAGAGTCGGCCGCATCTGGGTTTCGAGCGGGAAAGACAAATGGTGGATTTGGCAATGGAGCCGGCATGCTCATGCGATGGCTGGAATTGATATCTGACGGGGCTGAAGAATCGAAATGCTGTGGAAACCCCGACCGAGACTGCGGGGGGAGAGAAATGGAGGCCATCAATGCTGTGCTGGAAAGAATAAAACGAACATAAAACCACGGTCGAAAAGATCCAGATGGACGAGCAGACCCCCAGACCAGTCGACTTCCCTGCGACGACTGTGGAAAGTCTCAAGAATCTGGAGGTCTTTCTAATTACCTCGAGAGAGGGTCATTTGAATCTTCCGCACCAGGCAGAATCGAACAGGGAGAAAACGGGCGACGGCGAGAACGGCGACGGCGAAGGCGAAGGCGAAGGCGAAATAAAGAACGGACGGCCACGACGAAGGCCAAGGAGGAGAAGGAGGACGAGGACGAGGAGAGTCGTGAGAGTGGTTTGAAAGGGACTGGAAGGTGAGAAAGAGAGAACAACAAGCCAGGAGGGGCCCTTACCGTACACGGTATTACCCGGACCGAGCGGGCCAATTGTGATGGGCAGGGGGGAAATTACACCTCTTCCTCCGTACTTAGTTCGGCATTTCAGGCGACGTCGTAATCGGTAGAGGGCGAGCGTAGGGTAGTGCAGTAGTGCAGTGTCTAAGGTGGTATTTGAGATTTGCGATCTCCGAGCCGAAGGGAGATCCCTGCGCCCTTGACTCTGCCGGGTTTCTACGGTATAGATTCACTCCTGGACCCATCTAGGATCATAGGAGTCGCGGCGAAATTTCTGACACGGACTGGAAGGGCCAGACCCTGTCACCGAACAAAAAAGGAAATTTTTAAAAAAAGGTTTGGAATGTGAGATAGGTTTTGGTTATCCCCGGGAATAGAGGACGTCATGACTTTGCCAGATTTGGTTGCCACCTAGATACGGGAGTGTTGATGGAGGAGCCAAGGACCACACGCAAGCCTCCTGAGTAGTTCGTACATTAGCACCGTCCGATGGGGCCGTACGGTGCCCGTTACAGGCAAACGCAGGCCAATCTTGCCCAGGGAGGATCCTGGGGTCCAAGGGCGCGCCAATGAGCATGTGCACGCATCCGGAGAAAAAGTGGACTGCAGGCACCAATGAAGTCTCCACACTGCCAATCCCTCGCGGGCAATCTCGCTTGACGCGGTGGGTCAGCCGAACGCCATCGCGGGTCCTGCAAGTCACAGGGGGTTTGGGTTCTCGGATTTGGAGGCGTGGACTATGCAGATTTGCGGAGTTTCCGTGCTGGTCTTCGTGGGTTGTACGTGTCAGATTGGTGACGGTTGCGGACCCATTGCCCGGGAGATTACCAGGTCAGGTACCGCATCTCCAGTGCGGGTCTGGCAAGCTGAGATCAGATGTAAATAGTCTGAAAACGACATTAGCGCCGTTCAGACAGGGTAAGGGGGGAGGTTGACAATAGCGACAAAGGCGACCGAGCTGAAAGACTCCCCCTCGCGCTATGGAACTAAGCCCCAAGGCATACTGAAACACTGTTTCCCACCCCTGGCGTCCCCGGGGACCGAGTCCTGTGTCCGTGGCCAGTCACATGCCCGGTTTCACCTTCACCGTCACGCGCATGTGGGTTTGTGTTTGCACTGGGAAGATGGGCCGTGGAGCCGATTATGGATCATTGGGGCGGCAACGGGAGATCGGAGATGTTCGCCCTGGTATCGTTGGCTCTGATGATGGTTTTGGCGTACGGATAAAGTATATCCCGTCAGTTTGGCCGAGTGGTTAAGGCGATGCACTAGAATTATTCTACCGAATTGAGTTCACAATCCGGATATGCATTGGGTTCGCCCGCACATGTTCGAATCATGTAGCTGACGTTTCATCTCTTTTTGCTTTTCTGCCCGGTCTATCTCCGGTCTGTTTTTTTTTTGTCTGTTTTTTTTCTTGATCCCTAGGACCTAACCCATATGGTATTATGGGTGACGGCTTCCAGACTGCAGTCAAGCTCTCCCAAAATACCCGAATAATATATCATCTTGCCGGCCGAAGACCTGGACATGAAATTTTTTTTTATCTTGCCATTAATTCCGTTAAAGGCCTCGTTCTTCTGTAAAATTTCCATATGAAAATGGAGTATCAGTTCCCATGAAGCTGTTCGATAGAAAATGCGATATTTAGCAAACGAAAAGGGTACAGGTGGTCTTAATAAATTGCCTATGGTGGGAACTACATGTGAATTTACAACGGTACAAGTGATAATCATTTACAACCCCCTACTTAGTTTGAATTCAACGCCGGTGTGCAGTTATATACGCCGCTATGAAATAAACCAACTGCGGTCATGACCCCGTTCATTCCGATCAATGTGGTTGCCTTCTCTCCCCCGTGCCCATTCGTCAGTTAGTTTGGCCACATGATATCTTGTGGTCCAGCCAATATCTCGTTCAATCCCAGAGAGTATTTCCAGGACCGCATCCTGCTCATGCCGTTCCTGAAAAACCTGACCGGCAACGAACAGAGCTTGCACAGAATTAACCCGAAACGGATCTGTCGAATTGGCAAGACTGATACCACAAATCTCCCTGGCATGATAGATGACTTCTCTAAGGGCGTGTCGATATGACCTCAAGCGTGCTGAAACAGTTGATCGAATCGCCGTCGACTCTTGGGGCTCGTTTGCCAACAGCAGGATCTTCGCTTGGTGATAGCTTTGTACTGTTGCAGCACACAACGGCAGGTCGAACCAGATCTGCTCAAAGGTATCGAAGCTCAGCTCAAGACCGGGACTTGCACGGCCTAATCTCCGTGTACGAGCAGTCGGACAGAAGGATACCGGGAGGGAATCATGCCATTTTTTCAAATCGGTCATCAATAGGTTCCATCTTTCCAAAAGATATTCCTGGTTTAACCCGATCGAAAGCCGCTGGTGGCGCGGTAATGCATTGTCCTCGGGGGCTAAAGCATCTCCAGCCGTCAGGTGGTTCGCAAGTTTGCCAAGAATCCATGTGAGTTCGTTGCTTTTCATATCTTCCTCGAATCCTGAAGATTTCTGGTTCTCCATCACGTCTCGAGGACTGTAAGGTAAGAGCTCCCCACGCTCATCAGTAGCCAAACCTGCATTCTGCCAGAGACGCATGTCTTTCAGGTCCAGTCGAGTCTGGGTTTCGCTTATGACTGATTTGTTAGCCATGTATCTTTGCAAGAAGTTAGTCGATCGTCTTGAGACTTACATGCACATAACAAGTCTTGTCTTGCAAGGCTCCAGAATATTGGCCCTTTCACAGCGGTCCTAGGGATGACTATCGTTTGGTCCGGCATAGAAGCAGCTCTATCATTGAAGAGTGGTAAAGCGCTCAGATGAGCTCTCCATGCACTGCCAGGAGCGTCCATCAATTCAAAGGCACAGAGTATTGCGACGGCAGCGAGCATTTCCTCCTTGTCCGAGAGGCTATTCATATATGACTCCAAGTCAATAGCGGTTTTGAGATGACCAAGAGCTTGATCATAATATTTTGCCGAGTTGTATCGCCACATTTCCTCTTTTATCCAGGGCAGGCCGGGGTAGCTCGGTATGAACCCGGACCTTTCTTCAGCGTGGCTCATGGTTTGACAGATATGTCTTAGATGCTTTGCAGAGAGGGCGCAGACTGCGGACTTCAATAGCGGTTTCGTTGCCGCAATGACGGGCACTTTCGAGGAGAAGTATGCCGAAGTATCAAAAAGATCCATCCTTGGTGATTATTAGCAGCTGAATGTGGGTTCCATGACCATTCATACGCACCATTGGCCTGGGCCTTGCTTGAAATGTCGCAATAGATACGAGATAAGAACTTTGTCGATGATGTCAATATCGGTATTTCCACCAAATTGAACGGGAGAAGCATCCCGGGGTGTACTGTGATCCATCATCGGCGCATGGTGCAGGGAAGAAAGCTCGAAAGAAAACCGATCTGGGACTTCCTGGCGACTGGAAAGCTCATTTTCTCCCGCAGTATCTGCTCCTTTATCCGGATCGCATTCTTCGGCATTCGGAATGGCTTCACCGTCCTGTACAACATTCGAGATGTCATGTGCCCAGGGATCTTCAACTTGGACAAAAGAGACTGTCGAATGTGAGTGTGGTGTAATTCGCTGAGGCCTGACACTTACGCTCAGTTGGAACTTCTACCCAGGTACGATTCTCCTCAATTAAGGCTGGCTCACTACCCCGCCTGTTTCTTTTCCTTCTTTTACGCCCCGGTGTTGAACCGATTTCCTGGCTACGGAAAATAGATCTGTCTCCATAGACGCAGCTCCGAAAAGCTTTGACACATTTACCACAGGCGGGTTTAGCCTCATCACATTTTAGCTTTCGGCCTTTGCATGTCAAACTGGGAAGATGTATGAGTGATGGTGTTGGGAAATATAAAAGGAGTATCGAACACATACCAGCCGGAGTAGGAGCGCATTCGTTCCGGAAATATCCAAGTCTCATGCGAAATAACTCAAATAGGAGTTATACTGATCGTCAACCATCTAAAAGACAAAGCAATCGAATAGATCGCTGATACGAGGGACTTAACCTTTCCCGAAGGTTGCGTCGCCAACACGTGACGTGACGTGGGGGTTGGATCCCATGTGGCATTCGAACCATGGGCAAGATGCATGGACTACGGTATACTTCTCTACGTTGTTGACCATTTCTTCCGTCTACTCTGTCACATTCCAACCCACTTCACCTCCGACAAAGGCGCATAAAGTTTGTCAATTGATGAGCAAGCCAGCGTCAAAATGGAAGTGATTAGCATTCCATCGGGTAATAGGCTGAAACGGGAATAACCTATGGTAGCATTCCCAGCCATCATTGTACCTTCTAGGCTCTATGCTCTCACCTCCACTATATTGTGACGCTACGATCTTCATTTCGGACTTTTCCCGGGCCTTTTCTCTAACCCCGCAATTAGGGTGACATTCGAATTATACATGCTCTCTAACCTTCACGTATAAACTGAGCCATGTTCGCATCTTCTCCTGCTTCCAATTATCGAATGCTAATTCCAACATGAGGCACTCATACTATAGATTACTATTGTTATCCCTTGTCAGTCCGTTCGTGCAGGCCAATGCATGTACTACAGACGAAGATTGCAATCTAAATGGCATATGCACTGACTGTGTTTGCCACTGTGATCCTGGGTGGTTGGGTGCAGACTGTGGTCAACTGGATCTACGACCCGGTCCCGTACAAAACGGATACAATTTGAACCAGGAAGGGACATCGTCGTGGTGCAACTCAATTGTAAAGGATCCATCAGAAGATAGCCTTTACCATCTTTTCGTGTCCGAGTTTACCAACCATTGTGGGCTCGACTACTGGGCACCTTACAGTCGCGTCATTAGAGCCGAATCTACCAATGGACCCATCGGCCCTTATGAGTTCAAGCAGAAGATTGCGCCATCTTTCGCCCATAATCCATCTGTGGTATGGAATGAAGCAGAACAACTTTATGTGCTTTATTCCATTGGGTGTCGAACAGAGGTTCCTGCCAGCTGCAAAAATATGGATTACTCTTGCGGACCAGGAAACACAATCAATGGAGAGAGCGGAATAAGTGTGAGAACTTCGCCAGACCTTCGCGACTGGACTTCTCACGGCCAGGTTATCCAAGGGGCCAACGATGGCAGTTGGGATGCCGACACAACCAATCCCGCGCCACTACATTTTCCATTTGGATCTTCTGGAAATGACCCAGAAGTTATTCTGGCCTACCGTGGTTGCCCGTACAATTGCTCCGGAGAAGAGCTGATCAATGTGGCGTCCGCAAGCGATCCGACTAGCTCTTACAAGCGCATCCACCCCCGGAAGCCCATATTCCAGGAACCAAGTGAGGATCCATTTATCTGGGAAGATTTTCGTGGCAACTATCACATGCTAGTCCATTCGCTTCTTCCAGATGCCGGTTTCGGGGATGGCCCTAACGTTGGTCGGCATGCGTTTGCAAGGTCGTGGAATGGGAAATGGACCTTCAACAACGCTACGGTTGCTTTTAACACAACAGTCCACTTTACGGATGGACCGAGTGTTAACTATTACCGAAGGGAGCGGCCGAATATCTTCTTCAGCGACGACGGAATGATGAGACCCTTGTTCCTGTCAACCGGTGTGCAGAAAGTCAATTCCTCAATGAGCTATTCCCTGATTCAGCCGATTGGGAATGGAGAATAAATATAGTCTGGCTCAAGTTCATCATAGTTCTCAATTGAATTCTATGAGAACTCTCTCATGTGAAATGAGAGCTCTAGTCTTGCTAGTCATAGATATATAGTGTTCATATCAAACAAGGGATGAGGTACAAAATTCACCAAGGGAAGACTACCAATGCCCGTATTGAGGGCATAAACAGCGGCCACTAGGGAAAAGACACCACGCGCTACTTTCAAAATAGACAGATTGTTACATAGTCCGACATTTTTGAGAATACAATTACAAAGATGCCGTGGAAAAAAAAGGGAAATCATACCCGAAAATTTCCCAATCGGTCAACAAGTGAGGCCGGCTGGCCCAATGGCAAGGCGCTTGACTACGAATCAAGAGATTGCAGGTTCGACCCCTGCGTCGGTCAGTTTTTTACCTTTAAAAGGTTGCTTCATGGCCGTGTGAGACTCTATTTTTGCACCTGGGAGGGAGGGGTGCTGAATGGTCTTTTTGCCACCTGAGCGTATGTCATGGGTGGAAGGGACAATGAGAATAATATTATCTACCAGTGACACAGAACATGTACATATTTTTGCATTGGCACCTAGGTAGAGGTTTCGAAGAATCAGGAAACGACTTTTTCCCGGTCTTTACATCGATGCTCTTTCCACTTCCTCTATCTCATGGATCACATGGGCATCAAGACCAATCGGCCTGTCTTGCTTTTCAAGCATACTTCCACATTCTCGCAAATGTGGCTCATGCCCATTGGAATCTTCAGTGAATTCCAGTTTCCGATATTCACAGTTCAGATAGACAGTGCCTATAATGACAAGTGAATGTTAACATATTAAAGTGAAGATCCTGTTTACAGTCGCAACCAACCTCGAGACTTTTCATAAGCCGTCCAGTCCTCGGTAAAATAATGTAAAAAGGCACCATGAGTCACGAGTGCGATATGCTTCTCCGGACGATTGTATATCCAGTTTCGCATCGTAGCAGCTCTTTCCCTAACGGCCTTCAAGGTGGGAGCGTAGATTCCTTTCTATGAGAATAATTCATTACATGGATTGATTCATAGAGGTGTGCGATTCGTCGACAAGGCTCACCTTTGAGTTCCAAGTCTCGTCAACCAACGTCATATCCAAATTTTTTAAGTCGTATAAAGGCGCGGCCTGGGCAATCAGGTTCGGTGCCTCTGATTTGGTGATAGTGGCCTCATAACCAAGATCGCACGTCAAGTGGCTGATTTATTGTGCATTAGGAACCAACACGACAGGCAGCTGACGTTCCTCTAATTCGGGAGCGAACACATAGGCGGCAGTTTGAATGGTACGTCTCAGCGGAGACGCGAGTATGACTTCCACGTCCGGAATGGAAACCCTTCTTGGAGCTTTTTGCACTGAGCTTTGCCGGTTTCCGTCAGAAGAGGATCCCGAAGATGATGAACCTCCTATGAAATCTGTTAGCACCCTCTCAGGGACGCGGGTAAGTGGTGAGACTTCGTACGTTGACATTGTGTTCGCCTTGCCCATGGCGAATGACATAGACCGTTGGAGGCATTTTGGCAAAGATGAAGATCGGTAATTGCTTTATGGGCTAGCAATGGCTGTGGTCAGTGGAAGGGGTTCGATTATACAAAATCCAAGAGCGTTTATTTGTGGACCTTGTCGTAAACTTCCAATGTGGTATCAACTCACCAGATGTACTAGCGTATATGAAAGAGTAGAAAGGTGGGGCCCGAATCTCAAAGCGGCAATATTATCGGGCTTGAAGGTCTCGGGTCTTTTTCCGCATAGGAAACAGCCTGGGAAGCCTGTTGATCCATGTGCTCAGAAACCGACAAGAACCGTTTAGAAGCTCAAGCAATTATGCCGTAGCCCGCGAAGTAGTGGGGTCCTATTAGAGCATTGAAGCATCTCCAGTGTTACCAGTTCTGGCAACTGCTTCTTCTCGGCTTCATTTCCATCTTTGGAACTGGCCATCCTGGCCCGCTTCCCCATCATATGGGGAACTATCCACGTCGCCCCTTCGGCAGTCTTCCCGTCACACGTCGGCTCGGTGAACAGACAGAAACGAAGGAGAGTGGAATTTCTTTCCTAAAGCCGATCTATTACTATTATTTTCCTTTGGAAACTTGGCCCCGCGACCCCTGTAGGATGGTTCTTAATCCTTCTTGTTATCATTACCTGACTATCTGCAGTAGCTATAAAGAAAAAAACGTTGCCCCTCCTCGGCCGGATCACCGATTTTATCCCTAAACCTCAAACCTCTCGGGGCAGAACAACATGACACAATCACTTCGTCTTCAGGATAAAGTTGCCATCGTGACTGGCGCCTCTTCTGGTCTTGGTCGAGCTATCGCCGTCAGGTACGCGCAAGAAGGCGCAAAGGTAGTCTGTGCCGACCTGACAACAACGGCCCGATCCCAAGAAGAAGCCGGAATTACAACGCACGACTTAATCGTTAAGAATGGTGGGCTTGCCACTTTTGTGCAAACCGATGTCGGAGATGCGACGCAAATGGAAAACTTGGTTCAGGCCGCTGTGAAGGAGTATGGTAGGCTTGACATGTAAGATCCTACGTCACGGGGATGAAGCATATCCAGGCTAATGCGTCCAATAGTCTGGTAAATAATGCCGGAATCAGCATCGAGGCACGGACACCAGCCGTGCTGCATTTGACTGACGAAGCTACTTGGGATACAACGATGCGCGTGAACAGCAAGTCTGTGTTTCTTGGCTGTAAGTATGCTCTTACACAGATGCTCGCGCAAGAGCCCCATTCTTCAGGGGACCGAGGATGGATCATTAATATTTCGTCCATCATGGGCATGATTGGAGGCCCGGAGAACCGTAAGTTGTGCAGTCGATTTGCGTCCTGCTGAAATAATATTGATCGATTATAGCTTCTTATTGTGCATCGAAGGGGGCTGTCAGCCAGCTTACAAGGCAGATGGCTCTGGACTATGCGCCTCATAGAATTCATGCCAATGCGATTTGCCCTGGATGTAAGTTTTCCTCAGTATTACTACTATATCGACACTAACATCTGCGGTAGATACCCAAACTGCCATTTTCAAGGAGACAACTACTTACATGACCCCTTGGGCTGATCTAAACCGCCGACACCCGCTGAAGGGTCCTGGTCTCCCAGACGATATTGCCAAGATGGCGGTCGTTTTGGCAAGCGAAGATGCTAGCTGGGTTACTGGGGTTTGTTTACCGGTAGATGGTGGATACACAGCCCGTTAGGTTTTCTAAGGTTGACGGCCGCGACTGGTTGATAGCCGAGGGCAGTCTTTGGGCACCTTAGACAAAGGCTACATGTATAGAACGAATCCAACAGCGCAGTTACAACAGTCCTCTGGGGTCTTCTAATGCGAAAAGATCCAGTTCAATGCAGATGAATACAAGAACTGTACATGAGCAGTAAAATTGAGCAACCGCTAAAATCAAACTAGAGACAAGTCAACCGGGCATTGTATGAGAACGAAGCATGCTGTAGATCTATTCATCACTGTCCGATTCGACCTGATCGTTCTCGAGGTGCTTCCTCCGCTCCTCGCTAAGCTCTCTGTATGTACTCCAACTCAAAAGGAAGAATGCAACCATGATCAGAATACCGCCAATAATCGCTGCCCAAGAAAGCGGCTGTCCTGTGCGGAACCAGTCCACGATAGCGACGAGGAAAATAGTAAGTAACGCCGCGACGGATGAAAGGACGGGTGAGGTGAGGGAGATGAGCACCAAGAATGACCCGGAGAATGCTAGATTAAAAATTAGTCTCGTGTTCATAAACAGACTCAGGCAGTACTTACTGGCATTGGCGCAAATGGAGACGAGGAGCATCCAGCCCGCCTCACCAGTGGGGAAGCGGAAGGTTTCCCAGCCGAGGAAGTGCAGGAATGGAAGAGGAATCCACAGCACCAGAAGGGTGAAACAGCCGATCATACTGCCGAAGCTGTTGGCAAAGATGGTACCCCGACCCGGGCTGGTGCCCTCTGGAGGACAGGCAAAGCGCTTATACAGCACTTCGTAAAGTCCGTAGAGGATGCTACCGACGCCGATGACAATGTTGCCCAAAAGCCGGTTTTGCGCTTCTTGGTCATCCTTGGTTGTGCCTCCTTTCGAGACTTTCTTCTCTGGCCGGTCGCCATATGCAACTACCAACACACCGATGATGGCAACTCCTACAGCAAAGACCTTGTCAAATCGCAGTTTCTCTTTAAGAAGAGGGATCGAGAAGGCGTAGGCAAAGAAGGCGGAGCAGTTGTAGATGGCTGTCAAGTCACTGGCCGTGGTCAGGTTGACGGCGACGTACCATGAACCACCAGCGATTGTAAGGGCGGTGGTCACGAAGGCGGTGGTCTTCAGCATGTACGGGATAGGCGAACGGTGGTAAGTGCGAGAGGTGAGATGAACGTCTTGGGTTTCCACCATCTGGGCAGTGGTCTTGATAAGAAAGACGTGTCGGCGCCAAAAGGCTTCCCATGATAGCTTCCTTTTTTGAATTCGAAGGATGAGGAGCTGGACCGGCCAGAGCAACGCCCAAGAGCCGTGAGTGACATAGCTGTATGTGGAAAAGAAGGTTGGTTAGCCATAGTTGTTTGGGGAAAACGGGGCCTTTCGAGGGTTCGATCCAGTCCCCATCCTGGCAACGTCCAAACTCACAGCATGCAGTACGGCTTATCCCAATGCAGCTCGTGCTGGATATATACAGCAGTCTCCGTCTGGACGACGAAACTGGCCAGACTCAGCAAAAGGAAGCCCGCGGCGATCATGTACTTCTTTCGAGTTGCTTGGGCAGCGTCGTGTTCAGGGCTTTTACTCTGGATGGTAGGCCGGCGGGTGTGGTGCAACATGGGTCGGCCCTCTGCATCCCCGTTTCCAAGGCTAGATTGCGAGAGGCGGCCATGGTGGTCGTCTTTGAGTAACGGTTGCTGCGATCGGCCATCCGTTGGACGGTGCATTGGGGGGCGGTTGACAACCATGTCGTCGTCTGAATCCTGGGAGTAACGACCCGGCTCCGGGGTTGAGGATACCCGCGATTCTCCAAGTTCAATATTATCCGCCACAATGTCGTTCTTCTTCTGCCGTGCGCGGTCGCTGTGGATCTCAATACACGCCTCCTGCGCGCTAATAGAGGTTGTCGTCTACCCGGATAGCCCTTGCAGCGCCAGATAAACAGATAAGGATTGGAAACTGTGGCAAGGTTCCACTCATTCAGAACAGATAGCTAGACCTGAGCTGATAATAACGAGAGTATATCCAATTCCCAAGATCCCACTCTTCTATCTAGAGCAACGGTCACAGGGAGCGTGGTTGGCATGCGGCCAAGAAGCGTTTCTGATAAGGTGAGAATGCGGCCACGTAGAGGGAAAGGGCAGGGTGCAGGGATCGTGGTGACAACGACAGGTGATGAGATCGAATCCTTGGAGCGAGATTTAGGTGAGACACATCCGACATTCACAGGTGAAGGGAGAATCAGGAATTAATTGGTCGCGAACCGGGGATGCAGATGCCCAAGGAATGGACGCCTTCGTCATCACGACCCTATTCCGGTTTGGGGATAGCGACAGCACGTGATCTGTCCCTGAGCGTGAGGCTAGTCTCACTTTGGACTAGCATGAACTTAGATAAGCAGGTGTGTCTCAGGCGCCGATGGAGAGTGACCAAAAGTAGCAGCTGGGGTGAGACTGCTTCAGGCTGAATGACCTTGTTTGGGGGCCATGACATCACACTGTCCAGCTGATCGTGCGACTGAATCTCTATATATCATGTTGCTTTGGTGGTAACCGGCAACAGCTACCAAAACAAGACGAAGAATGAACAGTGCATTTTAAAATGGTTCGAGTCCAGAGGAAGATCTGCTGATCATATATACTACTTGTAAATGGGGTCGCATCACAGGATCTTCCTTCACTAGCACCGTTTACTTCAGGCCTTCGACTTGGGCTTGAACAGGGCCTCCTGGGTGTCGTAGGTGTACTTCAAGTCCAAGTGCCAATAGTTCGTAGAAGTAGGCTTTGCAATCAACCACGCCTCGTCAAGAACCTGCACCACCTCCTCTGGAAGTGGTCCCTTCTGCAGATCCCGCAGATTGGTCTCGAGCTGGCCGAAGCTGCTAACTCCGATCAAGATACCATCCCGCCCACCGTTGTCGATATTGAGAGCCGAGTGGTGGCGTACCCAGCGCAACGCAGTCTCTACTAGAGTCAGACCGTGCTTCTCCACGACCGGCTCAATTATCTTGAGAGCATCAAAGTTCGCATCCTTGAAGTAGCGCTGGCGATAACGGGCACCCGCGGTGCTAGCATCGCTGTATCGTCCTTCGGCAGGCACCTCGTGGGTCTTATATTTGCCAGAGAAAAGACCGCCAGCAAGAGGGTTGTAGATAACAATATCAAGACCGTAGCGTCGGCAGGCAGGGATCAGTTCAACCTCAATGTTGCGAGCTATTTATTTAAAAGTAGTTATTAGTAAAGAGCCATAAGAATAGATACCATAGCCATAACAGGACATCGAAGCGATTAGAGACAAGGGGTTTAGGGTTAGTTCGTGTTACATACTAATAGCATTATACATGCCCTGGTAGATAGTAGGGCGCACCCAGCCGCGCTGAGCACAGAGAGTAACAATCTCGGCGACCTCAAAGGCCGTGTAGTTACTCAGACCCAACTGGACAAACTTGCCCTCTTTGTGAAGCTCATTGACAGCCTCGAGGGTCTCAGAAAAGGGGACCGAGCGATCCGGGGCATGGAGATAGAAGATATCAACCTGATTGGTGTTCAACTCCTTAAGAGACAGCTCGAGCTTCTCGCGAAGGACGGCAGGCTTGTGCGCACCGGGGTCGTCCGGGTACCATTTCGTGGCGAGAGTCAGGCCTCGCTCTTTCCAGTTTGCCTTGGCAGTAAAGGCCTCCTGTTCTCCGCCCACGTAGATGCGCGCGGTATCGACCTCGTTGAAACCTTGCTGCTGGAAGTGGTCGAGGCAGCGGTTGTACTCGTCAAGCGAGGTGATGCGGGCACCTTTATCCGTACTGGGTCCAAAGGTCATCAACCCGAGGATCACCCGGGGCTGGAGGTTCTGCACAACGAGAGGCATTGTGACGGTGTTGAGGAGTTGGAGAAATGAAGGCGGGGGAGGCAGTGCGGAGTAAGCCGACTTGATAACGGAAGCAGCCACCGCGCAATAGCTTCGCTACGGAACCGACCGTACAGATCCACCGCGTTCAACAGGTCATATTTGCTGGCCACCCCTGCTTTTTGAATCATCCCACCCTCGACACCATGGCTGCACCAGATGATGGCGCATTCCGTATCTTGGTGATAAATCCCAACACCTCCATACATATGACAGAAGCCTTGAAACCTATCCTGGAACGACTCAACTATGCCGATGTCCGATTCAAATACTTCACGGCACCCAATGAAACTCTCACAATCAATGGACGCAATGGACGCCTCTGCGAGCCAATCGCAAGCATCAATTCAGGCGAAGATTCCGCCAAATCGGCGCTTAACTGCACTTCGGTTCTCGAGCTCGTCCCTCAATACGATGCCTTTTTGGTCGCATGCTACTCCTGCCATCCCCTGGTAGGAATGTTGCGACAGCAAATCAGAAATACCGACCAGACCACGCCACGAAAGAAGTACGTGACGGGCATTTTCGAAGCTAGCGTTACTGCTTCCTTGTCCCTGATCAGTGCATTTGATTTTGCAAGCCCTGGAGCTCTGAAGAAGAAGCAAGTGGAAGAGACATTCGGCATCATTACCACCGGTAGCGCATGGAAAGATGAGCTCACCAGAGGCGTAACGGAAATGTTGGTGGGCCAGGGCTCATCTCCCCGCTTCGCCGGTGTTGAGACTACCGGTCTCACGGCAGTCGAATTACACACAACTGCATGGGAGGAAGTGAAGCAGAGAATCATCGAGGCTACTCAAAGGTTGCTTCGGAATGCACCCAGCCCCGTCGGTGCAATTTGTTTGGGCTGTGCGGGCATGGCAGGCATGGAGGAAGCAATCCGGGAAGGTTGTGTTCAAGCCTATGGGGAGGAAGGTCATCGAGTGAGAATTGTCGATGGCGTCGTTGCAGGAGCAGGGAACCTGGTGGCATCCTGTAAAGCGGCATTTTAATACGGCATTTTAATATGTGATTGACACGAATTCATACAACTCTCTTCCGAGGGTGTCACTTATTCTCCAAGAACACAGGTTGAAGACTTGGATATTCAATAGAATAGCTTTCGCAAGGAATCTGACTTCTATGGTCTTTTATATCCAATCGAGACCGATATTCAATGCCTACTCAGTGCCTGAAAATTGAAACGGAAGAGCGATCCCCTTCTGCCCGGTGTTGATGTCCAACCGGATTGGTGCCTGGGGCTCTCCACCGCCGGCCAAAAAGCTCCCCGCGCCCAACGCGGTACGCGTGAACCAAACCCCCTCGACGGCACCTGTCGACAACGATGCCTAGGTATGTGCCTCAAGAGCTCTGTGGCCTGACCAGAATCTCCTAGAAACCATCACACTGACGCTGCGACAATTAGGGAAATCATCACGATCCAAGCCGGCCAGTGCGGCAACAATGGTATGTGATCTCCGCAATCCTCGCCCGGTCTCTCAGCTTCACGAACGCCTAGACCCCGTTGTCAACTTGGCGACCTGATATGCGCAGCCGGAACTATGCACCCGCGTCACTAACTTCGAGTCTCTATAGTTGGTAGCCAGTTTTGGCAGCAGCTGTGCCAGGAGCATGGAATCAACCAAGATGGAAACCTGGAGGAGTTTGCGACCGAGGGTGGAGATCGTAAAGATGTCTTCTTCTACCAGGTGAGTTTTTCAAAATCGGAACAGACTACCTGGTCAATTTCTCGATTTCTACGGCAGCCCAGGCTAACGGACCGACAGAGTGACGACACCCGATACATTCCCCGAGCGATCCTCCTCGACTTAGAACCCAGAGTATGAATTCCTATATCCGGAAAAGTGTCATATATCATAGATCAATCCGGACAATGACTGAGACATCAACAGGTTCTCAATAACATCCAATCTGGCCCTTACCGAAACATCTACAACCCCGAGAACTTCTTCGTGGGACAGCAAGGTATTGGTGCTGGTAACAATTGGGGTGCCGGCTATGCGGCGGGAGAAGGTGTGCAGGAGGAGATTTTCGATATGATCGACCGAGAAGCAGACGGAAGTGATTCACTAGAGGTATGGCATTTCCATCGCGAAGATTTAAGTCGGTGGCTCATGTTTCGATGCAACAGGGATTCATGTTATTACACTCCATTGCAGGAGGAACAGGTTCGGGATTGGGCAGTTTTATTCTGGAGCGCATGAACGACCGATTCCCCAAGAAACTCATCCAGACATACTCCGTCTTCCCCGACACGCAATCGGCCGATGTGGTTGTCAACCCTTACAACAGTCTGCTTGCCATGCGGCGATTGACACAAGATGCCGACTCTGTCGTATGGACCCTTTCAAAATGGCTGTTGATGATCAAAACTAAAGAACTGGCAGGTTGTCCTGGACAATGGAGCTCTATCAAGAATTGTAGCCGATCGACTTCATGTTCAAGAGCCCTCTTTCCACCAAACTAACCAACTTGTAAGTACCATTCTGGCCTTGTGCCATATACAAAGCCCTGAGACTGACACTCGCAGGTTTCAACGGTCATGTCGGCCTCCACAACTACTCTTCGATACCCCGGCTACATGCACAATGACCTGGCAGGAATCATTGCCTCGCTGATCCCTACGCCGCGCAGCCACTTCCTGCTCACCTCTTACACTCCATTTACGGGTGACAATATCGAGCAGGCCAAGACCGTGCGCAAGACAACCGTCTTGGATGTGATGCGGCGTCTTTTGCAGCCAAAAAACCGCATGGTCTCCATCAACCCGAGCAAGGCCAGCTGCTACATCAGTATCCTCAACATCATTCAGGGTGAAGCCGATCCGACCGACGTCCACAAGTCTCTGCTGCGCATCCGAGAGCGTCGCCTTGCTTCATTCATCCCCTGGGGACCTGCCAGCATTCAGGTGGCGCTCACGAAGAAGTCGCCATACCTGCAGCACACCCATCGAGTGAGCGGTCTCATGTTAGCGAACCATACCTCTGTCGCAACCCTTTTCAAGCGAATTCTGCAGCAGTACGACCGTCTGCGCAAGCGCAATGCATTCCTAGAGCAGTACAAGAAGGAAGCACCCTTCTCGGACGGCCTAGGTGAATTCGACGAAGCGCGAGCGGTAGTGATGGACTTGGTGGGTGAGTACGAGGCCGCCGAGCGAGCCGACTATCTGGACCCCGGTGCCGGAGAAAGGCAGGAGACCGGGGCATGATATGCTAGGAGAGCATAGGACTATTTCTTTCTTTTGCTTCGTATTTGCTTTGGCAGGGCAAGGGGTTCGGGCGCATTAACGGGTGCGTGCGCAGGGCCACCGGCGTTCATCTTTGTCTCAGTCCACTAAGGTCAATCCCATTTTCTTTAATGAGATTCGTGGCCACGCCAGCTCATTTCGACATGGAACACGTAGTTAGGAGTGGATTCCGGGCGATCCCCGCAGGTTTCAACGGGCCGGTCTTCTGCAGTAGACACGGTAGGTGAAATGTACACGGGCCGGTCTCGTTCCAAAAAAAAAAGGGTAGAGATGAAACGTGGGGATAACTCTTCCTGTACGGGTGCAGGTGTGGAAGCTCACTACGTGGTCTCAGGATGAGCAATGGCTGGTCGCAGATCATCCGTGCTTCGTTAGGGCGGATTTGGCCGGGCAGACTCGTCCATTCCTGCGGAGGACAAGTGTCGTAGGCCATAGCTCTATTGCCTTACGATTTGGGTACCTCGGTCAAGTAAGTACCTAGCTAAAATTGGGCTCAGTCCCCTAATGTAAGGTCTTATCCGTCCCACCTACGGAAGTCAGTCGAGGAATATCTCCGGACGAACTCCTCTTCGCCACCTCGGGTGGAGTTCGGGAAAAGACAAGCGCATCTAAATTCGGCCGGTCGGCATCGATTATCAAGGAGGTCATTCCTAGTATACACGTGATAGCCCGAGTCAAGTGAGCCGATAGATCCACCCAGGATAGCAGTAGTACTTAATAATCTCTTCAAAAAGAGGTGCACGGACGGTGCCTGCATTCCGATCATTGGCCTTCCTGGTTGTTGGGTCGCGTGTGCCCACCGTCTGCAGACGCAAAAGGCGCAAAAAGGGGCTGACTCCATACTTGGCTACGGACGGTAGGCAGAGAATACGTGGTAGACGCCACTCCGAAGTTCGGGGTACCCGTGAGGCCCGGCAAAAGGGGGCTAGGCATGTACATCGACTGGTAATTAAGTGGCCCGAATGGAGCCTATCGAACCTTCTGGGACCCGCTTCACCGTGGAGGCGAGCGCTGGCTGATTCCGTCACTCAAACTTCTATGGAACTGACTCAGCCGTTAGACTCAGCCGACCATTTAATCTGCTCCTGGATCCGGATCGTTTAATCTTTTGACTTTTTGCCTCTCCCCGTGTCTTCCGCTTCCCCTTATATAGGGCCCCGACCCCGTGAGTCTCCTTTACATCATCTCCGTCACTCCTATCCCGAGGGTACTACTTCTACTCCTGCACTCTCATCCCTGCCGTTCAACAACTTACCACCTTCTCCAGCTTTGCTACCCTTCTCTCCCCCCTATCTGGAGGACCTCTTTGTTATCTCGCCACTATCTCAACTTCTCGTCTCTGCCTTCCGTCCTCCTCGGCGCTTATCTCAAACCCGACATATTCCGCTGCCACCGTCAACCGTCACACCAGTGATCCAGCACCCGCCAACGCCGATTTCCTTCCAGTCGGCCTTTCTCTCCTAAACCACCTCACACCACACTCTCAAACATACCATGGCGCCTCGCAAGCCCCGTTGCAACTTCAAGGAGTGCAAGGAAGCCGCCCAACGGATCGTCGGCGACTGCAGCTTCTGCCACGGCCACTTCTGCTCCAAGCACCGCATGCTGGAGGCACATTCCTGTAGCGGACTGGAAGACTGCAAGAAGGAGTCGCACGCTCGCAATGCCGACAAGTTGAATTCCGAGCGAACGGTGGTTGTCAAGGGGGTATGAGCCGAGGTGTGATCGGAAATCGAGACCCTGGTGGTTGTCGCCATTCAGCTGGTTGAATTTAGCGCGGTGTTCCTGTTCTGTTCGTCTTGGCCATTCTTCTGCGAGGGGGGTGTTTGCGTTTTTGCCATTTCTATTTCTGGCCACGGCCCTGCTTTCTCTTCTCTGGGGAGTGTCCTTTTTTACCATCTACACGGCGTTTTTGTCTCATCTTCTTTCATCACTTTACTACTTGGGATCTTGTTTTGCATTCGCCCGGCATGATGCTTTGGAATCTGCCCTGCCTCTTTGATCTTTTGGACTTTCGGGGTTGCTACATAGAGATCCTGCGGGACTCCCATGGGCATATTATTCGTTATAGCCGGTTTTTGGAATTCATATGGATATACCATTTTGTATTGGTCGGATACAGTAAAGTAGACACGCCCCTTAGCCGGGTCCGATCTTAGGCCTATTGCGTGGTTAGCGTAGTCTCGACAATAGGACAAACATAAAGACGTACATGTCGTGATGCTCACTCAGCCGGCTGAGATACTTGTTCAGCTCCTCGACCCGCTCCTTGTGCGTCTTGATACCCTCCTTCTGGAGCCGCTCATGCAACTAGTCTCATTAGCTCTCTGCTCAACAGAGACCCGGTGACGTAACAGGGCCACGCATCTCCCCAAGGACGTCAAGATACATACTCGTTTCCGCCTTATCTCTTCATATTTCCTCTCTGCCTCGGTCTTCGCAGCAGAGCCCTCCGGTGCATCTTCCTGTGGAGACTTGGTCCCCTCATCTGGCTCTTCCCGGGGTGGTTGATCCTGCTCGGCCTTTTCTTTCTTCTTCAGGCTCTTCTTCTTTTTCTTTTCCACGCGCCCATCGCTCACTTTACCGCCCTTGAGCTTGAGCTTACCGCCCCCACCAGTGGAGTACTCATCTGGCGCCATGGGCGGGGGTTGTGAGGGGAAATGAGGAGTTGGGTTGGGGCGGGTCCTGTTCCCCCTTTTCCAAAGGCAGGTTTGATCACGCCGAAACCTGAAAATGAAAGATCAAACTGGTAGATTTCAAATCCGCGAAAACGAGAAGAACGATGCGCAATTGGGCTTTTGCCGGAAAGGCTGAAGTCGGGGCCGAGGGCGGTGGGCCAATCGGAGGCGGTGGCGGAGACTATCTTGATTTTTGAAACGAAAACGAGACGTGAAGGCTGACGTTTTGTTCCATGAAAATGACATTCTGGAACGTCTCAGTCAACTGTGACGTGTTCAAGTTGTATTCTTTGTACAGACCATTAACCCCTATTGTGACAATGTGTCGTCGGTGTCCTGGGCGTCCTGTATACATTTTGCGGTGTGACCAGCCCAGCCGCGGGATGTATAGCTTTAGCAAGTGATTGTCATTCATATGGTCATAAATTTTGATAATTCTACTTGTTCGTCAAATCTAATCGAAGGGAATCGGGCGCAATCCCGATCCACCCATCCGCTTGCGCATCTCCGCACCTGCAGCCACCGTACTGGGTACCTTGATGCCGCAGCAGTCTCCAAACCAGTCGCTATGCTGGTCGTGAGAGTGATCATGCGCATGGTCATGACCGTCCGCACCATCTTCCTCAGAAAGTTCGCCCATGCCCTCTGCGGCGGGTAGAAGACTACCGAACAGGAAATGCTGCATGATGGGCAGTTTACCCAATACCTCCTTGACGAACATCTTCTTCATGCCGCTCTCGACCTTGAACCAGTTCTTTGCACCCGAGATATCATCCAGCATTGGGCTATGCCACCGGAGACCTTTAACCGTCTTAACACTGTCCACCCAGCGCACCTGGTCGAGGTAGAGATACTTGTCTCCTTCTTCATCCAGCATGGCCGTATTATGAATCCCCAGCGGCGTCACGTACGGGTGATCAACCAGCTGGCTGGCTCCAAACAGGAATGGAAGGAAGTGGTAGTCGTCCAGACCCCAGACACCATGAGATCCCGCAGGCTCCAGGTAGTAGATGGACTGGATATCACGCATGAGATGCACATACTGGATGTAGACTTTGAACACCACAGCAGGGAAGTCCGCAGCCGAGAGAAGACCCAGCTGATAGAGACAAAGTAGCCACATCATAAAATTCAGCTCGTGGCCCGAGCCGTAGTCCAGTCGGTCTCGCGAGCCCAGGGAGTGGATCAGGTATGTCGACACCTCGTCGATCGCTGCAGCATCCTTCAGCCCAAGGAGATCGCGGTGCCACGACGCGCTTTGGGTAGAGACATCGTCGAACAGGGTGCGGAATGCAGGGTTGCCGAACCGCGATCCACCCTGGTCAATTGCCGGGTGCTTGTCGATCAGGGACCGAAGTTGCCCCACGACGGAGGAGATTTTGGAAACGGCATCGGACTCGGGCTTCTTTTCATCGGTGACGGCTCGACCGCGCACCGAGTCGGAGAGGCCGAAGATAAATGCAAGTACTAGGCTGTATGTAGGGGACGAAGTGAAGATCTCATGGTCTTTTGGGGAAAGAATGCGGCGAACAGGGCGAGAGTATTGGTGATCGGAGAGGGTTGGCGGCGACGGCAAAGGAGGGGTTCTCGGGGTTGCGTCTTGGGCAGCGGTGTGTGATCGGCGGTTGCTTGACCGCAACTCTGACAACTTCTTGGACAGATCCACCTTGCCAGCTTGGGGCGGTAATGAAGTCGAAGCCATTTTTGAGGGTTGAGGGATGGAATATCAACACTGACAACACTTAAAACGACAGGATGATCGCCACGAAGGCAGAAAGGACCTCACGAAGTCACCGCCTGCTGCAAACGGATTTAAATGACGAAAATCCCCGAAAGCGGACTAGCGTGGTGGGGCCGCGATAGAGAACATGTGATCTTCCCCGGAAATCAACGATCGAATCTCTTTCGGAGCTCACTCAGGTCACACCGGGTGCACACATGATGAGTTGATGGCGAAAAGTAATCGGCCATAAGCAAGCAAACGCAGAGTATATTATCACTCTCATCAAGACCAACCTCAACCGTTTCGACCTAGAACTCTCGACATCTATTGGGTCTTTTCTCTCCAGATCGGTTCCCGGCGTCCCGGTGCTGCAGAAGCCCTGCCTGTCCAGGCTCTCTTTGAATAGCTTCCTCAACCGACAAAGGGGATGATCACGCCATAATGAACATGTTCGACTCATCGGCGACGTCTCCGACGGGTCCCAGCAACATCGCCCAATCCAGAGACATCAGCTCTTCATTGTCGGGCTCTCCAACCCACGCAGATTCGGTCATGTCGTCCTCTGCCAGCGGCAGTCGATCTCGTTCGAGCTTGTCGTCTCAAAAGTCTAGCAGGAACCCGCAGACGCAGGAACAGCCTTCCAACGAAGCCACTACCCTCTTCAACGCGGCCGGCTCCTCGACGCGCAACTATCAAGCCACCGAGGCGCCTGCTCCTCCAAATGGACCATCTGACCAGGCCAGAAATGGGCCGACAGACCCTGCAGCATCGGTCAGGGGCACCAATCCCGTCAACAGCAACTCCAACGCCCAGAGCCAGCGGCCTCAGTCGCCAGAAGAGCCGGGGCATTCTTGGAAAAACGGGTTCATCGATAGATTTGGTTCTCTGGAGCTGGAGAATAAGGGCAGTGTTGCGCGTGACCACTTGGCCTTAGGTATGCTTGTCCTCCAACTTTAATTTGATATGCCCCAAAGTGTACAGCACACTAACGAAAATCAGAACGAACCTTCCTAGCCTGGATGCGCACATCCCTCGCCTTCGCCTCTATAGGAATAGCTGTCACTCAACTCTTTCGTCTCAACAGTGCAAATACAACATCAGGCACAAATTCCATCCACTCCCTCAACACTCCGCCATCTGTACACCCACACTACTCTTACGGCATATTCAACACATCCTCAAACCCCTCATCCCAAGACGGCGCCCGTCTCCGCAGCGTGGGCAAACCCCTCGGTTCCACCTTCATCGGCGTCGCCATCCTAGTTCTGACCATCGGCTTCCATCGCTACTTCGAGAGCCAGTACTGGATCATCCGCGGCAAGTTCCCTGCCAGTCGAGGCAGCGTTGCTCTGACGGCATTTGTGGCGGCTTCTCTGATTGTTGCGACCCTTGCGGTGATACTGGCGGTTTCGCCAGGTGCTATTGAGCAGTAACTCTGTAATTGTGTCTCGCAGGTCTTTTCATTAGAATTTCGGGTGCATGGCTTGCGTGATCCCTGCATTGGGCTTGTGTTATTCGTACATAAATATCACAGAATGGATCGGAGTTTTTGATATGCTTTGTAAACCCTAAGCTCTCCCCATCCCTAAAATGGCACGGGAGAAACCCCTCTTTCAAGTAGGAATGAATAGCTTAATTCTATGCTAATCGATATTTTGCCCTTTCACTCGATCTAACTAACTTGTACCAGATGACATAAATGAGGATATTTGCCTGTTTGAGAAATTTGGCTCGCACGTACTTGGTACGCAAGCCGTGTTACCAGATTTGACAAAGATGCCTTTTATATTACACGCTACAAAGACCAACCAGAGTCGATAGAAATGTTTCTTTCTTTTACGTCAACAGCCCCAAATCCACCCGCACCAGACCAGTCTAGGCACAATATAGAGGAAACAGGGAGACTGCAACAACGGGATGGGAAGGATATCGACAAGGCGGGTAAGGGGGAAACGACACAGAAGAAACGGGCGAACACGGCCTGCAATAATGCGGAAGTAGTGCGAGAGAAGCGCAAAAAAGAGAAACGAGCAGCTAGATACAATCGCTTATCGCGGGCCGAGCTTGGCCAGCGCGCGGGCACCCTGTTCCTGCCACTCCTGTTTGGATACCCACATGTCGTCCTTGTCGGCAATCTAGAGATCTTGATTAGTATCCGAGAGAGTGTGATATTCGTGGGAAAGGAACTTACAAGGTTGGCAAGCACGGCACCACCCAGGAAGACCATGTGTCTCCGTCGTGGGGGGTCTTCGATACGGACCTTGAATTTCTGGGGGGCTGTTAGCTTCGTGTCCTCATACATCCGAGTTAATCAACGTACGTTCAACCGCTCGGGGTCACCCTTCAGGACCTGGGTGAGCCAAAGCTGCTTCAGCTCCTTCTCCAATCGGGAAGGCAGACCGGGGTACATGCTGCTACCACCGCTGAGCACGACGGCCTTGTATAGACTGGACCGAATGTCGACATCGGTGCCTTGGATGGTGTTGAAGAGCAATTCAGCCATACCGGGCTGATCGACATCCACCAGATGAGGCTGGAAGAGGCACTCGGCGGCCTCGAAGCGCTCGCTGCCGACGCGGATGACGCGACCATCGGGGAGGGTATAAGACTCAACCAGAACAGTGGTGTCCTCGGACAGCTTCTTGTCCAGCTCGAGGTCGTACGAGACGTAGCAGAGCTTCTCCTTGATCTGACGGACGGTCTCGAAATCGGCGGTTCGGTTGAGCGCATAGCCGCGGCGCAGGAGGAGGGCAATCAGGTTGCGGGTGACGTCGCGACCGGCAACATCCAGTCGGCGGATGTGGTGGTTCAGCACGGTCGACTCGTACACGGGGATAATGTGTGTCACACCGTCACCGGAGTCAACAACCACACCACTGCTTAGACCTAAAATAGACAATCAGCATTTCCTCGAAGTGTTTATTCCCATCGTCCGGGCCGAAGGATCGTTCATACCCTGGGCATACAGTGCCAGCACCGCCTGGATTGCCACATAGATGCCTCCGAAGTTATATCCCTCCAGCATGACCTCAGCCATCTGTTCACGGTTCTTGAGCGGGTTCATCGGCGGCTCTGTGAGCAGGATCTTGCGGCCCGTGGGGTCGATCTTCATCTTGTCGTAAAAGGTGTAGTTCCACAGATGTTGCATATCATCCCACTTCTTCACGATACCATTCTCCATCTAAACCGCCCGTCAAGAGCTGCAATTAACACCATGTTTCTGCCTTTCTGCGGAGAGGGCGGGGTAGGGGACGGTGAGGACAGACGCCTCGTACGAAACAGACGTACCGGGTAGCTGATCTGAAGCATCGATCGGGCAGCGGCAGCTTCGTCTCCGCACATGATATCCTTTACCACGATGTCGCCGGCTTGCTCCTCCGTTCGCAAGATGGGCCGCCCCACTATCGAGGGGAACTGGTGCTCTGGGAAATTCTAGGGGTACCGGTCGAGTTAGAAGAGGGTTCAATCATCGAATGGTCATGTGCGACATACTTGGGCGGCATAGCCGACCTTGAGGAATCCGGTTCCTCCATCGAGAACTGCGGGTTGTTTGTTAGCTTAGGAGCTCGGGGGGTTGACACGCGGTCGGTTGGGTTGGGAGCAAGTACCAATGGGCATGTCCGCCATGGTGGGGGAATTGATAGGACAATGCTATCAGAAGGTATTCCGTGCAGGGCCGATCAGACGGAGTGGAATTGGAGGTGGAGTGGAGGACGCGGGGAGAGTTGATGTCGGTAAGTGAGGTCTGTCGCCTGGCCATCATCATCGTTACTTACGTGACCGTACCGTACCTCCCGTCCTCCCCGCAGTCGGGGAGCGAGCCGCACTGTTTACATGACGTGACTGCGCTTCAAAAACGGTCATCATTCTTATGCTGTTGAAGTAATAATAGATTCTATGAAGATGTCCACTGTTGCTTTTCTGTCAGCTAGACATTGAAATGGAGGTCTCGTGGTGTTGTAGGGCTAGAATTTAATATATCAGGAGCTTAGGGGGAACCTGGCCAACAAGCCGTGAACCATTGCAAAGCAAACAGGCATGTAAATGGGATGCATATATAAAACCGTCGACCATGTATAGTCTCAATTGAAAAGCTCCTATCGGCCCGATAGCAGCCAGAGGCAGCTATCTAGCCCCTTCGGTAGAAGACAATGTGCCCTATCGGCCGACTCCGATCCCCTCGGAAAACCGCGCGCGCTCCACCAGACTTCTTCACCTCTCTATATATCGAAAAGCAGGGCATATCACCTTCAGACAGTCCTTCGTCGACATAAATTGCATCGACTGACTGCAATCTCAGCTTCCAGCTCCCCGGAACTAGTACCTCGGGGCGTATTACCAGCAGAACACCTCGGTAACAGCGTCACCGTTCCCATCGGGTCAACACCAACTTCAGGCACAATGACACAGATCGGCTGGGTGAGCTATGCATCAATTCACCCAATCTTGCTAGATTCATATTTAACGTGCTCCTAGTATGGCCTCGGCTCCATGGGCCTCGCCATGGCCAACAACCTGCAGCGACACCTCGCCGCAAAAAAAGCCCTGAGCCTTTTGTACACCAACCGCACAATGTCGCGTGGTGCACCACTGAAAGCACTCGGTGGTATTGCTGAGCCAAGCTTCGACCAGCTGGTGTCTCGCAGCAACATCATTTTCACTATGGTAGGGACCCAAGGATCTTGTGTCATCCGCATTTAGCTGACATCTCTTACTAGGTTGCAAATGACTCTGTGCTGCAAAGTCTGCTCTCGTCGGCTGTTGGCTCGGGCACGTCCTTGAAGGACAAGATCTTTGTGGACTGCTCGACCGTCCACCCGCAGACGGTGAGCGCTGCAGTGGCTCAGCTGAAAGACCAGCAGGCATCTTTTGTGGCGGCGCCTGTCTTCGGTGGAAATCCCATTGCCGTGGACGGCAAGCTGGTATTCGCTATTGGAGGTCCTAAGAGCGCTACTGAGATTGTTAAGCCGCTTATTCAGGATGTTATGGGTCGTCGGGTTATTGAGTGTGGGGAGGATGCAACCAAGTCCTCTCTACTGAAGATTGCCGGGTGAGTTTGGATATAGTAAAGGCTTGATTTTCGAGGTGTGTTGCTAACTTGTGATTCAGAAATATCGTCACTGTGAACATGATGGAAGCCGTTGGCGAAGCCCAGGTCTTTGCTGAGAAGACTGGGCTTGGAACCGGTCCTATGGAGGAGCTGATTGGCGAGGCGTTTGGTCCTGTGGCTGGTGGATATTCGAAGAGGTAATGTCTTGTGAACTGGTCGGAGACACGCATATTCTTACTCCTTATAGATTGACTACTGGCGCCTATGCGCCACCTCTAGACTCGCGCCCCGGATTTGGCGTGTCCCTGGCTATCAAGGACGCCAGACACGCCATGACAATGGCCCAAGAGCAGGGTGTCCAGCTTCCTGGCCTCGAGATTGCTCGCAAGAACATGGAAGCTGCCCGTGACTATGCGGGTGAATGTCTCGACAGCAGCTCTATGTATGGAACATTGCGGCAGCAGGCTGGTCTCGAATTCTGGAACGAGAAGTCCCGGAAGCCTTAGGCTGTGATCGGTGACAATTGTTTAAGTATGATAAAGTAATATTAGATCCTTCAAGATTTCTCTTGACCTTTAAAGCCTCTAACTCAAACGTAACCAACCGATATTCAATCGGTGCATCTATCTCCACCTTGTCTAAGTCTGCGGGTTCAGAATAGTATGAACAGAGGGTTGGGAAGAAAGATTTTTATCAAAGAGCCCAGAAAATACTGGTATGGTCCAACGAAAAGTACATAATGGCTGTGAATCCAATAACACCATTCAACGCCGGGAAAGGACGCGGAGTCGAGCATCGCTATGTTGGCTCAGGTACTATTCGCGTTGTATCGACCAAATTGGGATAGCTCTCTGCGAACAACGGGCCCAGAGACCAGTTGAAAATATTCCGCATGTGCCGCTCAAATACAGGGTTAATGAGTAGCTCGTCCGAGTCGCCGGCTGACAGCAAGCAGTCGGTGGCTTCATATGGCCAGTTGACTGACAAGCCGCGTGTGAAGGGGATGAACCAATTTTCGAACGGATAGTTTTGGTAGGACGTAACAAGCCGATCACGCATCCGCGGCCAAGCTATATAGTCGATCCAGGCTGGATGCGCCTGGAGAAGTTGTGTAGGACGCGGCGTGAGCCATTCTGGAAGTCGGTCGTAGTTCTCTTGCGTAGGGTAGATCTGCCACCGCATGAGGAGGAACATGGTGTAGAGCACGGCAACTTGCTCTGGTAATGACGCGATATCAGGGAATGTGTGAAGGATGTCCGTGAACACCTTTGACACCGGGTGTGAGTTTGCACTCTTCTCGGGGTTCAATAGTGAAGAGACGCTCGGGTATGGCGGGCCCACGAGCTTCTGGCGGGGTATTCCTTGCGCCGCCTCGCGTTGCCGGTTATGAAGGAAGTCTAGCAGGATACTGTCCAGCGGACATACAGGCCCGGTATTTTTGATGGGAGTAGCAAATGCAGTTGGCGCCCGGTCAGATGGGTAGCACAATGGTTGCAAATAAAGTGGTGAAGGTGGTGTTGGATGAGAGCTGCGGAGGTTTTCAGAGCTGCTGCGACGCAGACGGTCGAGCTTGGGCACATTCTGAGAAGGGTCCAAGAGGAAGTTGAAGCCCAGTCGTTCCTCCACACCAAAGTCTAGCCCATGGGAAATGTGATGGCGCTGAGAATCCAGCACATTGCGAAATGAAGAGGCTTGGAGTCCTCCATTGTGACTGTTGCGGCGACTTCCTGGGGCGGAAGTCGATCGTATGGGCGAAGGTGTGTCAACGCTAGCAATGGATTCGGCATATAACCTGTCCGCCGCGGCCGCAGCTTGACTACCGGGTGCCAAGTGATCCGAATCGGGTAAGGGGAAATCATGGGCTGGGAGCGGGTCCGATCTCGGCACAGAGAGGAAAGCAGGTAGATCTATGGATATCAGCAGGGATTCGCACATATAGCACATTTCGCGACTTGCCAGTTGGCTCCGGCCTTGCAAGTAAAGGTTGTATAATGTCCATTGCCGCTTTGAGTCCCTGGCGTAGGTCTCTATTCTCCGACCGAATGCGCTCATTGTGCTGGATAGCAGCCTGTAGGTCGAGGAAGGGCTTCTGCGACGAGAGGTCACGAACCTGCTGCTCCAGAGCTTCGATATGTCCCTTAGTTCGCTCACGGATTGCGCGCTGCGCCTGGCGATCATTGGCACGCTTCTTCGCCAATTGATCCGGGGTGAGGTTGGCGACACCTCGTGATGACGAGCTGTTCAGCTTGCGCTTCCGTCCGGCGGTCATGGAGGCCCCATTATTGTCGATGGTGTCCGTGACGACCGAATCCGGGCCGGGGGATGTTGAGCGCGAAGGAGCTGGCGAGTCTTCGTGTTTCGGGGTGTAGGTAGGATGTGAGCGGGCTTCGATCATCGAGTCGAGGGCCGGCGAGGGTGCCGCATAATCGGACGAGTCGAGCGGAGGGTTGGCCATGGCCTCACGCACGCGCTATGGATTGATGAAAGCCATACAGAGATGAATGGTAAGGACAAGGGGGCTCCGCAGCTGGGCCTGTCAGATCAATTTATCAGAATTGGCGTTGGGGTGGGTCGACGGGGACGGTGTGGAGAGTCTCCTATGCGGAGAGCCCGTCTGGCATTCCCGAACCTTGCGAAACAAACCACAGTCAAGTGAGAGATTTGCCCTGGATTAACGATGACACTCCGCAATTTACTCAGACACTGATTCTATCGATGCGGCCATCACACGGGGTCATGGGATCGTGATCTATAAGACGTAGACTCGCCAACTCCACTCCAAAACGGTATCGCAACTCCATTGTTCCCGAGTATACTTGTATTTTATGAATGTGATGTAGCAATTGTGCAGGCGCGTTTATTACGCAAAATAAAAGACCGAGCATTTTCGCACAGGGGAGATGATCATGTACAGGTCAGGGTCAAGAATATGCAAAAAAAAAAAAAGAAGATGGTCGTGTCGATCGTACAATGTATGGACAGGCCACAGACTCCAGAAAGATGAAAAACACAAAAACGAGAGAAGATGACGTTATTGAATCATATGGCCCATCTTCGAGATCTGTCAAATCAACGTTGTTAGCACTGTCCATCGAGGCACATGAGTTTGCAGAACCAACCTTTGTCTGTAAGTAGCCTTCGATCTCGGAGCTCTTGATACCCCGTTCACCGCCGGTCCGCCAGGCTAGAGGAATCATAGGAACTCTCTCCTTCACCACCACTTCTCGGTTTGGCCCTTCAATTGCCCGTACTTTATCGGGGTTATTTGTGAGTAGGCGAATGCCCTCCGGATTACTGTCCGCTCCACAATCCAGATCCACCAACATGGCCGTGGCCAAACCATAGCTTCGGGCATCTGCCGGATGTCGCAGCAAGAGATTGGCCTCGACGGTATCCGATCCAAGATCCTGCAAATTATATGCCTTCAACTTCTCACCGAGGCCAATTCCTCGGCCCTCCTGTCGTAGATAGATAATTACACCACCCGCAGAGTGGGATCGTAGAGACTGCAGCTCCGGTGGTGCATCGGACGACAAATTCTCCACGGGGAAGGACATCAACCGCGCCGCTTCATCCAGCTGCTCACCGCAGTCGCACCGGGCCGACCACACCGTCTCTCCTGTATAACACTCGGAGTGAATGCGCACCAGCGGCGGCTCGACATGGCGCGGCGATGAATTAGACCCCGTTTTCTCGTCATCATACCAGCTGCTGACGCGACCCGGGTGCAACTTCCCCACGTACGCGCCTCGGATCATTCGGTCCATCTCGGTCTCCCCCGGGTGCACGCGGTCGAGACTGCGACTGCGAATGTTGTTTCCGAACACGATAGCCAAGTGCTCTTTATTATCCAAGTCATTGTGGTAGAGGTGCAGGAACATCTCGGCGCCGTTGGAGGTTGGAATCCGTGCCCGCACGATACATTCTACCCGCGGAAGCTCCTCCAGCAACTTCGGCGCCTTTGTGTGTTCTTCCTGGTGCTGGATCGCGGCAGCTTGACGCTGATGAAGGGCCTCTGTGGGGTTGGTGGCGAGGTCCAATGAACCGCCGGGAGTTACGGGCGGGGTGAACGCAGGTGACAGGAATGAGTCCGGCAACGCGGGAGTCTGCTCACCCGTTGCAATCCCACTTCCCTGGCTGGCATTGTCTGATAGAGCCTCGGTTTGGCTGGCAGGAGGAGAGTGCGGGGCGAGTTTCGGGGAGGCATGCGCGGGGAGATCCGCCATTGCGACGGTTGGGGACGCGGAGCGTGGGTGGGAGGAGCCCTCACCTTATCTGCTTCAGTGCACCGTATCAAGAATCTTGAGGAGGAAAGGGAATTTGTGACAATTCAAAAAGAATTCACGGCCGAGAAAGCCATGGCGTCAATCAATCTTCCTCGGCTCGGGGGAGTCGGGGCTGAGTCATCGCGGCGTCAGTGCTTACTCTAGCAGCTTCCATCGCTTATGGAAATCCCGATAAGCGCGATATTAGATTCACATGTGTACAGATGTACGGAAGTAAACGATAGTCAAGCAGTTCATAAAAAAGCCATTTTATTGCTTATCTGCAAGAAGGGATGGCCAGGGCAAGCACCTATCCTGTAGCCACGGGTCCCTTAAAACTCCAAGTAGCGCCTCGCTAAGGGTATATCAATCATATCAGATCATGGGAACGTCGCCGTACAGCCCGATCTACTTGTTTGGAATGTCCAAGACGTAGCGGCGGTCAACTTCCATCTCCTTATCATCCTCCTCACCCTCGAACCTGAGACGATAAGCTTCCTTCTTCGCTCCCATCACCTCCGCACGATAGAAGGTGGTGGTGTCGGGGTACCTGGCAAGAACTTGTTTGCCGACTGGAAACGCAGACATCGAGGAGCCCATCTGCGGGATAGGAATGAGAGACGCAGCCGTAGTCTTGTAAACAGCGCCTTCTTCGCCATTCTCATTCGGTTCGGGGTCTTGGACCTCGTACCACCTGCGACCATGCTGTCAGTCCCAAAAACAAATTCCAAGTGCAGAGGACCGTACCTTTTCTTATGTCCGTCGCCAGATATGTTCTTGATGATACACTGAATGCCCTCTCCTTCCACGCCCTGCTTGTTCTTGTTGTGTTTGAAGACGACCTGTGCCCCGACCTGAAGAATCCCACTGCGCTCAGCCACAGTTCCCTTGGTACCCTCGGTTCCTTCTTCGATCTTGACCGCCACAGCCTCTCCGCGGCTCTCGCGTGCTTGTGTGCTTGACACACTCGCGCTGCGCGGAACCCCGCCCTTGGAGCGGCTGGACTTGTCGGCACCTGAAGCACTTGGAGAATCGGCAGCAGAGCTATCCATATCGGACCTTTTCTTGCGAGACTTGGAGAGAGCATTTGAGCGACCGCCGGGGGCCTCGGCTTCGGACGCTTTGCGGAGTGCGGTGAGGAGTTCGAGGTTCTTGATCACGTCGCAAGGCTCGTCCTGCATGATTGACCGCTCCTCTTCGCTGAGCTTCTGGCTTTGGCGCAGCCATGTATCGAGCTGATCATGGTCTGCCATGGTAGGTTCTTTCGAGTATCAATTCTTAGCTACTTTTGGACTTGGAGGCTCTCGAGGAATACAGTGCGGGGGAGGTAATTGACGGGTGAATCGAGCTGGTACATCAACTGGAAGGGAGCACTTACTGCCATCACGGGTGATCCTATCTACCAGAGTTTTGATCTGCACGGAGAGGGATGCCTGCTGGTCAAACTTCTCTTTGGACTTGCGGATATCCTGGCATATGCGAGTCCACAGCTCCATCTCCTCGTTGTTTCCGAGTCCGTTGTCGCGAGGCCGAGGGCGATTGCGAGACATATTGTCGGACCTAGCAGGATAGCGAGATATGAAAAGCACCGAGTGCAATCGGCCGTGATTGGCAACGCGATCGTAGACGTGAAGCCGGGGGAAGTCGAGGTCCCGTCACATCGACCCGGGGATAAGCCAAGGCGGTCGGGTTAAACGCGCGCCTAATTCTTGGCGAGGGAATGCTTGTGTCTACAGTGCGCCTCATAGTAGCATTTAGGCCTCTATAATTACATTGTGATGCCAGACAGACATTGTCATAGTGTTCACATCGATTCTGGAGCCCGTTCTTCCTAATGCGGGCTATGCACGACACATGTCGCGGGTACATCGCAATTTACGGCCGCTTGCGGTAGCATTTCCACCTTGGGCACGGCATACACGGGGTTTGTAAATAGTACACTCGGCATAAATGAGAGAGCAAACCCCACATCAGACCGATTGACCGTGCGGAATCCTTGTTTCATCTGCGGACCCTTGCAATAGCCTTCACCGAGAGTCTTGGCGTTCTGCGTAATAGGAAATCACTGAGTGCCCCTCACTTTCCCCAGGAACAAACTCTTCAAAGATGCAGGTTCCATTGCTTCGTCTGCAATGCGGTAGGTTTTCGTCTTTTGTATGTTGTACTCATAGCTAATCCATTTCTGCAGGCGTTAACAGCTACGATTGGGGTAAGCTTGAATCCGTCATGTTGAACGCCCCGCACTGAACCCCATCATAGGCAAAGTCGGCCAGGAGTCGGCTGCGGCCCGATATGCCGCCACTACAGCCCCGGCGGATTTCTCGATCGAGGCCGAGAAGCCTTATGCAGAGGTAAGTTGGGATATGAAGCTTCAGAGGGACCCGTTGGCTTATCGATGCCCCAGCTATGGATGGGTACCCATCCTAACCTGCCCTCCAAAGACGTCGAGACTCAGCGCACCCTGCTCGATCTCGTTCAGGACAACCAGGCTTTGATGTCCACAGAGATCAGTGAGCGCTATGGGGGCCGTCTTCCCTTTCTGTTCAAGGTGCTGTCCATCCGCAAAGCGCTCAGTATCCAGGCCCATCCCAACAAGAAGCTGGCGGAACAGCTTCATGCGCGTGATCCTAGAAACTATCCCGGTATGTCCAGATTCAGGAGGTCCAGTTTGGTTGGAATTTGAGCTTACGACGTGTTCTTCTATCGCAGATGACAACCACAAGCCTGAGATGACCATTGCTGTGACGCCTTTTGAAGGACTGTGCGGCTTCCGTCCCTTGGCTGAGATCGCCCACTTTCTCCAGGCACTCGAACCCCTCCGCAAGCTCGTCGGACTCCAGGCCGCGGGCGAGTTCGAACAGATTGTGAAGGGTAACGAGGATTCGGAGGACGAGGCTGTCGTGCAGCGCAACAAGGATGCGCTGCGCTCGGTATTCACTGTCCTGATGGAGTCCTCTCCTGCGGACGTGGAAAGCGCCTGCAAGGACCTGGTTGCCCTGGCGGAGAACTTGCCGGAGAGCTTCGGTACCCTGCCCGGCGAGGTTGAGACTAACCCTACCAACCCGGCCGAGCTGGCTGCAATTATCAAGCGTCTCGATGGGCAGTTCCCCAACGACGTTGGCTCATTCGTTTTCTTCTTCCTCAACTTCATCAAGCTCGAACCTGGTGAGGCCATGTTCCTTAAGGCTGACGATATCCACGCCTACGTGTCTGGGGATATCATCGAGTGCATGGCCTCCTCGGACAACGTCGTGCGAGCTGGCTTCACCCCGAAGTTCAAGGATGTCCCCACCCTGACCAAGATGCTGACTTACTCGTACGCCCCCATTGAAGAGCAGAAGCTGCGGCCTGTGGACTACCCGTATGTCATCTTGAACGCGACGGCGTACTCAAGCGCCTCCTCAGCTATGCTCTACGATCCCCCAATTGAGGAGTTCAGCGTCGTCAAGACCGATCTGAACCGGATAGGCGCCAAGGCGACCTTCGACCCGCTCGCCGGTCCTAGCATCTTGATTTGCACCCGCGGCAAGGGCAAGATCACCGTTGGCAACAAGACTGAGGAAGTGCGCGAGGGATACGTCTTCTTCATTGGTGCTACGGCCGAGTGTATCATCGAGAATACCGGCAGTGGAGAGGGAGAGGACGATGTCTTCACGACGTACAAGGCGTTCTGTGAGCTGACCGGTAAGGAGGACATGGTCAATGGACACTAGGCCATCACTTCTAATTTTGGTCTACTAGGCCGTGTCGGTGTTAGTGCCAATCTATGATGCCCGTCAAAAATATGCCGCATACGAAATTGAATGTATTATGACGGGTGGTATGAATGGTAGCTGCTTGAATGGTTAATTCGGCCACCACCAACGTGGTCTTGGCTGTCGCTTTACTATATAGATCTGTAGCAACATAAACCCTCCCACCAAAGCCCCAAGAGTACTCATATTGTTATTGTTACTAGGGAACCAGAGCCCAGGGTCCTGCATAGCGTCAAACGGGAACGGCAAGTGTGGGTCCCCACAAGAGGAACCGAGGTTAAGACACGGATCGGGCGATCGAAGAAGCGGGGAAATCCCATTCATGCCTGGAGGACCCCGACAGCGTACCTGCAGCGACTTTTCTTACATTTTGATTTTACTCGATTCTCATACTGGTATATTGAATCACAATGGCCTCCAAGAACGTCAACGTGCCCGAACTGGGCTTCTGGGAGAAGGCAGATCTACCTTTCGCTCAGCTGAGTATTGGGGCCAATGCCCTCATGGCGACACTTACGGGCGTCTTTCGAGGCCAGGCCAGCCCCAAGAAATTTAGCCATCATGTTACTGCTGCCGCTATCCGCCGGCTCTGTGATCGCACATCTGATCGCCAGAAGCAGTAAGTCCCTCCAATGGCCCAGGCAATGAATCTGGAGAAAGCCCATGGACATGGACTTGGACTTGGAGAAGGCGAAGGACGAAGGACGAAGGACAAAGCTTACGGTTTCATTTCATTGCTAGATATATGTATCCGATGACGACCGATGTTTATACTTCGGTAATGGAGAAGCGCGGCCTTCAGCCAGAGATCGTGTCTCTCCCCCACGATACGGAAGGCTTCTGGCTAGGAAACAAGAACGCAAAGAACGTCGTCATCTACTATCACGGTACGTTCAGTCACGACCAACATCGAGCTTCCCCCGTGTAACGCCAGCTACACAAATCACCTCTATCCTGCCGCAAACCTAATCTCTAACCCATGTCGTACAGGCGGCGGCTTCGCGATGGCAGCCGTGCCCCCACATTTCGAGTTCTGGCTCGACCTGCTAGAGGTAGTCAACGACACCAGCCACGACATCGCCGTCTTCTTCCCTCGCTACACACTCACTCCCCATGGGACATATCCGACACAGCTGCGCCAAGCCATCGGCGCGCTGCGATACATCCTCAACGAGACAGGCCGATCGCCCAGCGACGTGGTCGTGGGAGGCGACTCCGCCGGTGGCAATCTGGCCATGGCGACACTGCTGCATCTATCGCACCCGCATCCAGAAATCGAGCCTATCTCGCTGACGGAGCCTCTGGCGGGCGTGTTTGGCTTTTCGCCGTGGGTCAACTTCAACGGGGACTGGCCTTCCATGAAGGAGAATGAGTGGAAGGATATTATTACCCCCGGAGTACTGAAGACTTGGTCCACTGCTTATGTTGCAGGTGCAGAAGGTGATAACTGGAATGAGCCGGACAGGGCGCCTGTGGAGTGGTGGAAGGATGCGAAGACGGAGTGCATTTTGATCTTGGCTGGTAGTGATGAAATCTTGCTTTCGCCGATTGAAAATTTTGCGAAGAAGATCAAGGTATGTTGTATCCTGTGTACTCGGATTGCGGCGTGTTGATCGCTGACCTTCGTTCTAGTCTGTCTTCCCGAACACCACCTTCGTCGTTGGCTATGATGAGTCACACGATGCGCACTTGTACGTTGAGGCCGGATCAAAGGATGGAACTCAAACGGGCAGGGAACTGCGCCGGTGGATCGCTTCTCGTTTATAAGTTATTGTTTTTATGATGAGTGGTGTCTCTTTATCCTAATGACGGGAGGTGGTGCTAGCTCGATATAATTACGGGACGCGTCCGAAGCTAATCTATGTATATGGATTGAAAGGAGTTTTAAGCCATCTACAATGCGTAAAGGCCAGATTTGCTGACCCTAGAGATGGAGGTAGTAAAAACTAGGAATCAGATGAAAACAATGAAAGTCCTATATAGATTAATGCGGGCTAAAACGAGAAGGAACGTTTCTGTAGTGGTGAAATTTGGTAGGGTATTTTGGTCAAAGTTGGCCGAACCTTATCCGTAACAGGTCCCTTGGATTAGTGGTCATATCGTTCGGTTTTGACTCTAAATTAGATCATTCCGAAAGGTCGCCGGTTCAATCCCGGCAGGGACCTTCTTATTTTTTATATTTTTTTTTTCACCTTAATATTTATTCCCTATCTACTTGATTTAGGTATTTTTAAGATTACTTTTTGCTTTATCACAGCCACGGTTAGTACCAGAGCTACCCAGGTGGAGTTCACCCTGGTTGCGTAGGTCTTGTGCGATTATTACGAAAACTTGAGAAGTACCTCCAGAGATATATTTATCCATTAAAAATTGGCCAGTGCTTCTATTATACAGGAAGCGCGGCCGTACCACATTGGCTATAGACATTGTAAAATTCGAGACACTGTGTCCTTGCCCTACTCAGTTTGTTCGTGTTTTTCGACGATGGGTCTAAACCCAACCCTGGACAAGACATCGTCCAGAAGTTCGCCGGCGTTGACAGGCAACTCCTTTGCCCTCCAAGCAATATATCCATCTGGACGAATGAGAGCAGCTCCAGTTCCAGAAATGCCAAAGCCTTGCTTGAACTCCCCCTGTTGAACAAGCTGCACATCACGTCCAATCTGAAGGGATGCGAGCGCAATAGGCGACTGCTTATTCACCTGAGAGACAACATCGCTCCATTCACTGCTCTCCGAGACCAAGGTCCATTTTCCTTGACCGATAAGGTCAAGAATTGGAACCTTTTCTCCTTCTTTAATGGTCCAGAAATGTGGCAAATGAGTACCTGGCTGGCCATTCCATTCATCAGGTTTCATGGCCCTCGGCAGACTCTCATCGGCTCCGTCAACTCCCTTAGATAGATAAATCTGACCAAACTCCATGGCGTCGTCGTCAATCTTCTCACCGGCTGGAGTAGCCGTGTCTAAATGTATTTTATAATCAGCGCGCGCAAAGATCTGGTCATGGCGAAGTAAAGCCACTGGGCGTCTCTCAGTATCGTATGTATCCAGAAGATCAGATGATGAATGTCCAGAGAGAACAGCAGCAAGCTTCCATGCCAGATTGTGCACATCGTGAATTCCAGTGTTTGCACCGTATCCACCGCGATTAGGAGGCAGGGTATGCGCCGCATCGCCAGCAAGAAACACCCGTCCAGAGCGGAAGGTGTCCGCCACAAGAGCAGTTAGTTCCCAGTTGCCAGTCGTGACGATCTCGACTGGGAAGTCCGATCTTCCCACAGCTTGATAGATTGCAGCACGTAGAGCCGGCTCGTCGCGCTCAATACCATCTTTGAACATGAGGGCCCAGCGTCCGTCGGTATAGGAAGCAAGGAAGGCTTTGAGATCAGGCTGGTCGATGTCGAATTGAACAAATCCCTTTGTCCATTGGGCGAGATCTGCGTGGAAAAGGACACTGTGGAGATTCTGCATAAACCCGCGGCCTTGTCGAGGGATTTGAAGTAGCTCGCGAACGGTACTGCGATTGCCGTCGGCGGCGATGAGGTAAGAGCCTCGGATAGTTTGGTGCTGGCCCTTTGAATCTTCCACTGTCACGGTGACTCCCTCATCATCTTGTTCTATGTTGATAAGTTTCTGCTGACGGCGAATTTCCGCGCCGCGCTCGAGCGCCAATGATTCGAGAATCGGCTCCAGTTTATCCTGCGGGATGGCGGACCCTCGAGCGAAAGAATACTCTTTCTTAGGAGAACCAAGCTTCGTGGGCTGCTCCTTTGGCTTTTCTGGCTTAGGCTTCCTCTCTGTGTCGGACCAAGAGGAACTGTCGAGCCATTTGCCCGTGATGCTTTCGACGTGGGCTCGCTCAAGTTTAAAGTCTTCTGGTGCTGGGTCTTCATTTTCGATGCCGAGGGAGTGGTAAATCTCCATGGTTCGCGTAGTGAATCCGATTGCTCGAGGATGCTTAGAGATGCCTGAGTGCTTCTCGAGGACAATGGTTGGCACCTGGTGTGAAGCTAGGCATAAGGCTGCGGAAAGCCCGACCAGGCTGGCACCGGCCACAATGACGGGTCGTTGGATGTCGGAAGGCATATTTAGACTCTTGGCTTAAAGGCAAGGTAAATGTGTTTGTTGAGTGTGTTAAATCAAGCGCCCATAGCAAGACTTATATAGAGATTGTTCTGCTGGTTCGGCGCCGAGATATTTACTGCCCTCTCGCGGGGCTCGGAGCCGAATATCAATCTCGGCACCGAATCACTCAACCGACGGGCCTCTGCGCACTACTACCGAAGATAGGTTTGAATTACACCACAATTGCCAGGTAGGGCTGTTGAAGATATGATCTTCGCAATATTCAGCAATATCGATTAACGTATCGACAACTCAAAAACCCGTCGATAACTAGTCATCCGCGGGAGTGCCTGGCGGTTATAGAGCTGAGCTAGTGGCTGTTTTCTAAGCTAAATTTACCGAATTTAAGAAGGTATATTTACAGAAAGTTAGCTAAGCATCTTTTATAGCTATTCTAGTGCTCGCAGTATTTATAGGGTGCGTAGGATTCATAGCGCCTACAGCACCCGCAGAACCAACACACTCGCCGGGCCTACAGCACTTATTAAGCGCTCTTACGGACTCAAATTAGACATAAAACCGTCAGAAATAGAGCCTATTAGGGTCGACCGTGATGCCAGAAATACGAAATGGTTCACACGTAACATGTATTTATGACTAGGCGCAGTGATTTTTTAACCCATAATAGCCCAGCTAACGCTCAGCTACAATAGGATTGCAATAAGTGGTCTTTCATAGGATAAGCCGATAACTTCCAATTTACTTCTTAAACAGGTTCATCACACCATATATGAGAAATTGTTTTCGGCAATTGCACTAAGTAGGGGTCGTGTCAACTCATAACAAGCAGGATATCAAGCACCCTGGTTCCAAATAACAGGCTTCGCAAGCAGAAAGCAACAAATTCTAGATCGCTCTTTCGTTCCTCTACGATGACACCTTGGGCGAGTACTTGGCCGCCGCGGTGTCGAAGAACTCGCTCTTCTCCTGGATATCGGCGAGGAGAGCGTGCGAAGGTTGGGCATGTTGCAGTCGGCTACAAAATAAATATCAGCATTTATAGTCAAATGTCAAGGACAGAGGGCACGTACGATTCCAGGTCTGCGGTCTGCTTGCCTGCCAACACGTTCAACACGATGGAATTGGCGATCAACTCTGCGTCCTCGGGGTATTTCTCCAATGCAGCGGTCAAGGCAGCTTCGGCTTCTGGTACGCGGCCCAGATGGAGTTCTGCGACGGCCTGGCCGACGATGGACAGCGGGGCGGTGGTGCTGGGGGCGGAGGCGAGTTCTTCGTAGACGTAGAAGGCGGATTGGTACTTCTCACCACCCTGCGCAAGGAACATATTGTCAGTATATCTGTGGGAAATGCCTGTGGACTCATGTAGGGGCGCATACAACTCTCAAGCCAACCCACGACTCGGCCAGGTTGACTAGCAGCGAGTCCTGGGCCCAACGCTTGGCAGCCTGGACCTCTTTCAAGGCAAGGTCGGTGCGGTTTTGTTGGAGGTGGATTTGGACAATCAAGGCGACACTAGATATCGTTAGAAATATGCGCAGTTTGCACTGTGTTGCGAATCTGCAACGGGGGTAGTCTCACGCTTCAAGGCTACCCTGATGCTTCGACAGCAGCGCGAGGGCCTCCTCGCTGTGGTCCTGCGCCTGTAGCACTGTGCCACAGACAAACTGCACAGTAAAATTATCCGGGTAGTTCTCGGCAAGATCCTGAGCGAGCCGCAGGGCGGCGTCGGTCTTGCCCGCAGCCTGCTGGGCCAGCGCTTTGATGGCGGCGAGATCGGGGGTGTCCTCCTCGCTGGAGACGGCAGCCAAGACCTCGTTGGCTTGCCCTTGGGCAATCTGAGCGCGCAGCTTGAACACGCGGGCGGGGAGCTGGTTCTCGGGGGAGAGAGCGGCGGTGTCGAAGTCGATCACGAACTGGTATTGACCGGAGTGGAAGGCATTGTGGATGTTGAGGAGCTCTGGGAGAAAGATGAGTTGGGGAAGATACAGACTCGGAACTTGATATAAGCTTACCGCCCTCTGCTGAGAAAGGATCCATCTTGTAGTCAATTGGGAGGGTTGGAGAGAGGGGGTGGGAGTGTTGACGTTCCTGGCAATTGTTCAAGCTGGCGTTTCGGCGCACGGGTCACGGGCAGATCGGCCGACCGCCTTTTGTATACTTCGGCTTTACAGCTATGAGCGCAGTGCGAACTGATCACTGAGCAATTCAACATTAGAAGTGCTCTGGGAGAACTTCAATTGGTAGATGATTGAACAGGATCCGTATACATATCTTACCCCTCCAAAGAGGGATCATTAGGTGCAAAAAAGGATAATAAGCCCTCCGCTAGTCAGGGCTTGTCAGCCCGCCCAAGATCTTTCTTATATTTTTCTCCGATAGTACAGATGTGTTTATATATCCTCCAGGGCTCCTCTATATGAGATCGCGAATTGAGTAACAGTACTAGAGTTTTCCTTTTGCAAACCGTTACCCAGGATAACGGCCAAGGACTCCAGCCGAAAAGTGCATCGAAGTAGTCTCGGGCTGTCCGGTCGAGCAGTGGATCAATGTGCCTTCAAAATATGGATTTGTCATTCATTTTGCAGCTAGACTAAACTTAAATAACCGAAAGATCAATATCTAGGCAGGCGCTTGTGTTAGGGCAAGGGGACTAGGTAAGAAGACGTTGGGATTTAATCGAACGCCCTGATGACTTTGGAACGCAGGTCAAACCTTGCCAGATGGCCTTAGTCAACTTTTAGATGTTGGGGTTCTCATGCCGGCGCCTAAAATGGCGGCGGGCATAGTCAACTCTTCGACCGTGGGTGAGTCCGAATGGGAGCCCTCATCAGGGAAAGTACGGATTGCCCGCTTCCAGTAATTAACCCGGGCTTTGATACAGGCCTAGTAGATTTGGAGCGTTCATACTATATCTCCCCTCGTTCGAATGTCCTCTCCTTTCTTGTTCATCCTGATTTTCTCTCACCTCCATCCACACTTATCCAAACTACATTTTCCATTGTCACAACCTTATACCAAACCTGCATAACTTTTGAAGGCTTCATACATCATCTTCATATTCTATACCCCCATCTTACCTCAAAAATTTCCAAAGTCCTATACAGCAAGGTCCATCATGTCGTCAGCATACCGTCCTTCTTCGTGGCTGGTCGCATTTTCCAAAAACAAGGAATATTGCGACCCGCGCTCATTTGAAGTCCACCGGACCGTCGACAACGCGTTTCCCATTCAGCCAAATCATAACGCCCCGGGCGCCGTCTCCGAGTGGAATCGGGCAACAGCAAAGTCTATGTCAATAACGGGCTTTGACCCGCTGCCCTCCGACCCAGTCGACGATTCAGACAGCAAAACAACCAGAGAGCGATTTTACGAGCGATGTCCGTCCTCCGACCAGGAGTTCGAACCTCTTCAATTGGAGGCCATTCCCCCACTGCCCGTAAAGTGCCCGGACAATTCTCTGTTCAGCCTGCGGACTCAAATCCAACAGAACTCCGTTCTTTATTACGACATACCCTCGCTCGCCCAAGAGCAGTCTCAAACACGCTCGAGTATCTCAAGCGACTCGACTACTCAAGAGACGCAATATTGCAATTTTGGCAAGTTTCAGGACACTTCATTCCCGGCGCACGTTGGAAATGGGCTTTCTTCCCAAGTTGGTCCGGTCGCCGACTCGTTCGATGCGTCCTCGGACGGTACCCTCGTGGAAAAGACGGGGGTGGGGAAATTCATTGCGAAGGTTGTGAAGAAGACTGCAGGTGCCAAAAAATTGTGTTTAAGGGCACGGAGCAGGCAGCATGATCAAAGCGCTCTGTAATCCTTAGGGCAGATTGATTGAATATTGTGTTGTGCTTTCAAGATAGATACCCAGGTTTTCATGTACTGTTTATGATATTTCTGTTATGAAGCAAGGCTTGTATTACTTGAGTGAATTTTCATGGTGTTTAAATCGTCTTCAATGAGTCAAAAGACTATTTTCTGTTCAGGTTCAGTCCGTAATTGGACAAAGTAGTCGTAATACAGACCAGATGCCCAAGGCCATTATTCTCAAGTCTAGTAAGAAGAGCAAGTACATGGGTATCAATTTTGAATAGAAGATAAGAAAAAACGGATGCTCCCTCAACCCTGCCATCTAAAGCGACCTTCCTTCAAAGTCTTCACCACTCCCAGAGGCATAAACTCTCGATTGACAGCGGCCAGGCTGCCATACGTACGTACCATTTCGTCATGATACATTTCTGCCACCCAGCGCCAGTAAGGGGTCATCGTGGCCCAATTTGCTGAAATCGGGCCATCTCTCGGCTTCCTGCCGGCCCTCTTCAAGCCAGCTTGGTTCTTTATGAAGCTTGCAGTGGCTGAGACATTTTTCTCCTCTGGAACCTCCTTCAGCATGTTGTATGCCGCGTGGAGGTTGGAGCTGTACGTCTCAGGGTACTGGGTGTACTCTTCCAGAGACCAGAAAGGGATAGGCTTACCGTCATATCCAAACATGGTGGTGGTGGAATCCGAGCCGCGCTTTTCAAATTTCTCCTTGGCTGACTGGTACATCACCTCATCCTGCAAGGCTGCTTTCTGGAGACGTCCTTGAGGGGTATGCTTGATGTTCTCACGCATGGCAAGCAGTCGAACGAATGGGTTCAGGAGCCCCAGTCCACCCAGCTCAACGGGGTAGTAGAAGAAACCCTCCGGCAGGTCATGGATGTCGAACCGCTCCGCAATCACATTCCGCAAGTAGTTGGTAACACCTCCTTTGAATTGCTTGGAATTGGCGAACAAAGTCTTTTCGATGCGACTGAGTGTGGAGATAGCCATGTCGATGTGATCTCTTCCGAAGCACATGGCGGGTTTTGCGAAGTTGTTGGTGAAAAAGCGCCCGAAGTAACCGTTCCATGCCATTACCCAGGCAAATACACTCTTGCAGGATGAGAGCTGTCGGCCAAGCTCTTCAATGTGCTTATCCACTTGCGCCTGGTCAATGACGAATTTGCCCTGCTCGGCATCCAGAACCAAGAATCCCCAGCGGATGTCACCAGTAGGAAGGATTGAAGACTGTTCGGCATTGGCTTTGCCCATAAGTGCTGATCCGGTCTTTTCCACGTTGAACTGAAGGCCCATTGTCTTCGCAAATTCAGCCATCCCTAGCCAAGCCTTCTCACAAGTTTCCTTCGCGCCCCAGAACCAGAAGTCATCGTGGAGCCGATACAGAATCCCCCCGTCGGTGCCTTGGTTGACCGCGTAGTCCATGCAGAAAAGAACCGACTCCCCGAAGCAGTCCGAGAGAGTATGACTCATGGGAACGCCACGTTGGCGGACTTGGATGTGAGCAGCTTGGCCGTCTTGAACAAATTTGAGAGGGGCTTCCAGAAAGACCTTGAAAAAGGTGAGCCACATCTCTGGGACACCAAAGTATTCCATCACCGTGAGTATTGTCGCGTGAGGTAGTCCCGGACCGAACCACTCATAGTCAGACCGTATAGCAGTGAATTCACCCCGTAGATTCTTGTGGATGAGGGACTCGGTGATCAGGCTGTGAAGGAGGGAATGTTTTATGCCAAGGGCGTTCTTTGACTGAGAGTCATCATCATAGTTTTTAGCCCCTTCGTCAGTTGATTCAGGCAACTGGCTCATGAAGTAATGTTGGAGGTAAGTCTTCTCTCGCATCTCATTGATCCCCTGGTACCCGTCCACGGAATAGAAGGTTTTACCGAGGAAATACTTGCGTCTTTCCTTGTACTCGTCAGGGACATCGTCGTGTATAGGGCTCCATGCGTACGAACGCAAGAAGCTGGTGAATACCTCTCGCAGCTTAACAGCCCACTTGGATCCAAGGTACTGTAGAAGCAGACTGTCGAGAAGATCCTCGTCCATGAACACCCGGTATTTTCCATTCAGCTGTCGGCGCATCTCAACGGGAATACCTTCGCCTCCCCAGCCCCACCTATCGAGAGATGCCAGGCGCATGTTAAGCACGTCAGCAACCTCCTGTGTGACCTCCTTGTTCCGCATGAACTCCTTGAGAATCGTGGCCTTGTCGTTGCTGAGAAGATCAGTCTTCATCAACGCCTTTGAGACCCATTTGAGCTCATCGACATCCAGCCACTGGCCCTGAGAGGCTAAGTTGTTTGCAAATTTCTGGATGTTCTCACGAAGCTCTTTGAGGGCCTGTTGAGACAGCTTTGTCTTGGTAAACAGGTCGTCGAGGTAAGTCCGAATAGAGTTTTTGTCAATGTGGGTGGCAGCTGTGAAGACCAAAGACTCCCACTTCGCTCGCTGCTCATGCATCTCTGCTCGGCCCACATTCTCGAAGCTGGTGTCGGATTTGGTGGATTTGGCTTCATCGGCCTGGTCAACAGTGGATGATGTGGTATGTTCGTCCAGCTGTGTCAACCACTCGGTGACCATCTTGCTGTAGAAAGAACCATGTTCGTGCTTTAGTTCCAGGTAGCGCAGCTCTTTTTCAAGACGCGCGATCCACTCACGAAGGGTAGCCTCCGTAATAGAGGCGTCGTATCTACCCTGCAGAAGGAAGCGGCGAATGTTGGTGTGATCTGCTGGCTGCAGTTGGCCCATGCCGGGCGACCTCATCTCCAGGTTAGAGTCATCGTCGGATGAGTCAACATCTAGGTCCAAATCGTCTTTGTCCAGCGCATCCTTGGGAAACCCCTCCAAGCGAGAAAGACCATCTAAAAGAGTGCGGACTCGGGTGTGTAGGTCAGAAGCGGCGTTGGCATCCGCCAGAATTTCATCTTTGCGTTTGTCGAACAAGGCCCTCTGCTTGGATAGCTCATTGATTTTGGTGGAAGTGATGGATTTGAGAGTCTGAGGAAGAGCCCCGGTGGTCGACATGATTTATTTGGTAGGATTAAGAGGAGGCTCAAGTTTCCCTAGGATGATGATGATGATGAGAGAATGTCAAAGGATGAACGGTGCTGGTGGGTTGAAGGTTCGGCTCTGAGGGCTTTATATACTGCGAGAGTCAGTTACAAATAAACCTTAAAGAGTCGCCTCACATATGACTCAGGAGTATTGAAGGAATCAGGACGCCCACGACACCAGCGGGCAACAAATTGATGCTAGTTTGAATGTTGGTGTGAACGTTGACTGGTGAAGGTGTCATGCCCCACCGTCGGAAACCCAAAAGGGAAGTTGCGCAACAGAGCCTCACCTCACCGTATCCAAGCCCCAAAAAATGCGAAAATAGGAAGTCTCTCAGGAATCAAATGATGCTCACCAATACTAAAAAATAACGATTTTGATAGATGGTAGTCAAAAGGTAAAAGAAAAGGCTCATATTCACCTTCAAACCCAAGGTGCGATATGTTTCCAATGCAACTTCTCATGCCTCGCCATACAAGAGATTAACCCCACTCGCATAGAACCTTAGGAACAACTTCCATGGGAGCCGCGATATTATAGCACTCTTGCTCACTCTGGTCACTATACTCGGAGCACTGCACATCCTCAGAGAAATTGGGACAACTAAGCGTTCCTGGACCGTCATCAGATCCCGAGGAAGAGCAGTCACTTATGTCGTTGATGTCGAAGTCAAAATCGTCATCAGGCGGATACGGGACCTCCTCCAGGGAGATTTTACCCGATGCTTTAAACTCATTGGATGTCCCGTCGCACCAATCTGGCTCGTCACCGGCGTTACCGTCAAAGACGCTCCAGTTGTTGTTGTATCCATCCACAACGTATGCGATGATTATTTGCGCTGTGAGGGTTGGTATCTCCGTGGTTGTGGGTGTGGATTGCTCTGTTGTGGTGGGCGTCTCGGTGGTAGTGGTTGTTTCGGGAGTTGACGTCGTTGTTGGTGACGGAGTGGAAGACGGAGTGGTGGTTGACGACGGTGTCGAGGTTAGCGTCGATGATGGTATCGGAGTCGAGGACGGGCTCAAGCTGATGGAAGACAGGTTCGACGAAGAGCTCTATAGAGCAGTTGGACTGGATGAGGTGCTGGAAGAAATTGCAGAGCTGAAACCGGTGCTTGCAAATGCCGAAGAAAGAGGAATCTGACCACCAGGAGTGACACTGGCTGGGCAGTCCCGCTTTTGATTGCCAGACTGAGCAACCTTCTGATCATCGTATGCGATCCAGTATTTCTGGTACACATACATGGGCTTGTCTTCAACCCAGAAGCGCTCCATGACCTGCTGTACAGAACAACTGCCCGATGATTGGCGCGACTGAACGGGGTCATACTGGAAGAGAACCTTGCCCTGAGGTTGGAATCCATGGGCCCCCGGGGTGCGCGAGTAGGTCACCGGAATGGGTGCCTGGACACCTAAAAGATTCTTCAGCTTTTCCACGATTTGGTCGAATCTTTCCTGACTTCCAATGCCCCAGTCACCCTGACTGAACCCAGGAACTTCCCAGAAATGAGCCATGTAGACGGGGCCTTCTCGGACTTTACGATGACTGATGTGCATCCATAGAGACCCTGTACAGCTATATTGTATGGTTGGCTCTTCAGTTCGCGGTACAGAGCTGTGGGAACTGATCCGTCGCTGGATCCAAGATGGACCCACTCGGCCCAGATATACTGATCGACTAGGAACGCACCAGTGTCGCCATTGTAAGGCGGATCATTCGGGCTTGTCAACGTGCGGTTGGACAAGTCGACCGTTTCTGGTTTTGCTGCAGAAGACGCAGTGGGTGTCAAAAGCGATGCGCAGGACGAAAATCAGGTGGCCACAAATTACCCTCCTGAGCTGCTACTTGGCATCGTGGTCCTAGTACTCCAACTGGTTGATGTAGATCCCTTTGAGCTGCAGCCTCTTTGGGTGGAACATGTAGCGCTGCAGCTTGTAGCAGCGGCACGACCAACAAGATTGGATTGAGGAGCGGCAATTGTCAGACAAACAACAGCATAGTTCGTGATAGTCTGCGTCTCTGAGGATGACGTTGCTGTGGTAGTCGTGAACGCAGACACATCACACCCAGTAACCGTCCTGGTGGAGGCTGCCGCTTGTCGCTTGCGTCCAGGTCCCGAAGCGATGAAACACTCAACATAAATATCTTCAGTAGTGGTTGAAGAGGATCATGAAGATGACGATGAAGAACTTGAAGAGGAAGAATTCGAAGAGGATTGGTTGTCATCCGAGCCGTCGGTCAAATCGGTGATTTCAGACACCGTATCCTGAATGTCATCAATGTTGGAAAAGCTATCACCCATGCCTTTCAAAGCTCGATATTCAGATTCGGACGCCTACGCCGCCCAGAAGCCGCCCAGAAGCCGCCCAAGTAGTCGATCAAGCATATTTGATCCTAAAACACCAAAAACCCGTGGCTGAAACGCTTCGACAGGCTTCGACAATTAAAAGTCTACTACGTCAGGGCTTGTATAGTCCCAGAAGCCCTACTGAATAGGCGCTCGACCAACTTACAAAAGCGTACTGATATACTATGAATAGCGCTATTATCTTGGCACAAGAAAATAGTGATTTACGCGCAGCGAACGAGGAAAAAAGACAAAGGTGCTCTCGTCCTAATAGGTATATACCTACGATAGTAGGCCTATCAGTTCAGGAAGCCCAGGATCTTAGCAAGCCCCTAAGCCTCCTAAATAGCCTACGGCACCGTCTCTAGCAGCACCCACGTATCCTATTCAGCAGGCGATAGCACCAGCGCGACGGCGTCAATACTCCTGTTCTATATGTGGTGAGATAGGGCACAAGTCCCCTAGATGCCCAGTTAGGTAGAATAATTAATATAAAGGCGTTTTGGCTGAAAAAAATAGGTGTAAACCAAGAAGTAGCTGGTTGGGTGGCCCACTCGGTAGTGGGATGCTAAGCCATCTCTAAAAAGCAATCATAATCCTTGGGAGACCCACCGTGGGTCCTGTGGTAGGGAAAGCTTTCAATGGAGGCGGGGACGAACGGAGTACTGTATGTATTCCTATTCATCTGCAGCGAATAATCGTAGCTAACTCTAAATGACGATCAGAAAACCATGATGTAATCAGTTTAGATAGATCCTGCAAAACATCCGCTGCTGCCGCTGAAGTATTCCAGAATGTGCATAGGTGTAAATTGCGATGTAACAGTCCTCCGAGGAATACGTCATCACCATTATAACGAACAGTCGTCCCATGGAGTACGTCATTACTGTTGTGACGTACAGTAATAACCGGGAAGATATAAGACCTCCTAGTCTCTACTGAAAACTTGCATTTGTGTTAGTCGGGCTTGCATCATCAGACACCATACATTTCAAAGATTGTATTGTGAAGACACGATTGAACATAATCTAGCTGCACAACATGAGCGGAATTACCGACGAGGCAGCCATTGAGGGCCACGACCTCATTCATGACGCTGAGCTCGAAGAAGAGAGAGTAAGCTACACCTTAATCTCGTCTGTTCAAGCGAACCAACAGGAATTTAAACAATTAAACAGTTACATGAAAATGATAATGACCACCAAAAGGCGCAGCAATCGAAGGCGGACCTAGGTGCCGGGGAAAAGAATTTAGCTGATGGCACTAATACTGGTGGCCATCGTACATCGGCGTTGGACAAAGTAAGGGAGGCACTGAATTTGAACAACTGATTGGGAGGATCCTGGTGTAGCGATGTGTTGGTAATTCGACTGTATTTTCAATGAACATTTTTGTCGAATTTATTCGTTGACCATCTAATTTTAACGTAAAACGGTCGTGCTCACTAAGGTGGAAACAGACAATTATATTAGCACTTAGACATGGATAACAAGTGGCTCGTAGTGTTATTAGTTCATGATGACTCGCCTGCTCATCCGAGTACCTCGTTCGGAAATAATAGCCCGTGGCCGGGGGACGAAAAGATTAAACCGAGAAGCTGAAAAGGCTGAGAAAGTCAAGCACGTATACATAGATTACTACCTAGCACCGCTGACGACCATCCAATTGCCCCCACTAAGCCCCTCAGCGCCAGTCTGCATACAGTGATCCAACAAGGAACACAGTGGGTATCTGCGATAGAGACAAGGCCTGAAGTCAATGACTTACTGAGCGTGGAAGGTGGAGTTCCAGTCTGGGCACTAGAGATCTTTGGCAGAGAGGTGCTGCTTGAGGTGCCGGGGGTTGATCCAGGTCCAGAAAAGGATGAATGAGAGGCACTACTTGCCGGAGGAGTGATCGGAGAACTTGGAGAGTTACTTGGCCCAGATGGGGTCAGCGAAAGGCTCGAAAAAGTTGATGACGAGCGAGTGTGACTGACAGACATCGAAGAGCTGCTCTTAGGTACTGGAATAGAAGGCCCAGGAGCAGTAGATCGTGGCGAAACACTCGACATGGGTGACTCCGAAGGGATTACCGGGGTCGATGTTGGTGATGATACACCTGAACTGGATGACGGCGAGCTATCATGTCTGCTGCTGGACGAAATCATCGAGGAGTTGCTTGACCCTCTGTAGATTCCGTGCCTTGCTATTATTTTGTGCAATCCACCAGAAGCCTCGGCTTGGTGTGGGATAGCGAAAGCCACCAGCCATAATGATAGCAGAGCAAGCCATGGTACTTGCTTCGTAAAGACTAGCCTCGTTTTAAGGTAAAAACGAGTGCACAGGTGGAATTGAGAACTAAAATGAACGGACCTAAACGAAGGTGTTGAAGAACGTTTTATTAGGACGCCTCCCTAGAATGTCTTAAGGAGTGACTTAATAGATGTAACGAGTTGTGTCCTTGCAGTAGCAATTGAATTGAAACTCTTTCAGCTTCTAGAGTAGATTAAATATCACTTTCCGTCCCGTTGGGCAGCTTGGCGAAGGAGCTGTGTAGTCAAGGATCCTGTCATACATGTTGACGATCCTCATCTTTCTTTCACACTGAATCGTCGAATGTAGTAAATTTGAGCATTCGCAGGAATCACCTACGGGTGGATCCTCGTATATCCAGGCACATCCAACCTCAATGCGACAACGATCAACAGGTCAATTGCCACCGGCGCGGCAGCATCAACCTAAAACGGGACCTTTGATGGGCACCACACAGTTCTGCGGTGCCTTTTCTGCAGATGTAAGCATATGCGTAAGCCAACAACATGCTAGACCAATAAGGGTGCACGTTTGAGGAAAGTAACTCTGGCCCCCAAGCACCAGCGCGCACCAGTGGCTTGCAAGGTGGAGCTATCCCCGGCCTCGTGCACGCCACCCGGACGATCAACTCGGAACCATATTTAATTTCCTCGCTGAACTCGCTGTTGTCGACATTTCCCCTGTCCCAAGGCTGCTTCCTCTGTCAGATAATTGCCTTATCAGATCATGTCACAATCCGATGCTGAGCACGCCTGTATCGAGGCCTGCGGATTGGCGAATTGGGACGAAGTCATTTAATATACGAAGAGCGTCGCGATCAATGCAACTTTGGAGGTGTTGAATCTCATGTTGAAGCGAGGTATTCGTGTGGACCACGGTCATGCACTGCATTTTGCGACACGCCGCTCGAGTGTGACTGATGCCGAGGGTATCCCGATGATGGAACGACCTCTTGAAATCGCGTTGATATAAATGGCATTGATGACACCAATCATGGAGTCGAAATGTCAGACACTCCGTTACACTGCGCTCTGCAGCATGGCCATGTGAAGAGATTTCGATACTTGCTGAAACGAGGTGCCGAGCTGAAATTGAACAAGTTAGATACTTTCCGTCGTGTGGTAGAGCCTTTTGTCGAAATGCGTGAAGCTTTGGAGAGGGAAGTTCAGTTGAGGACACCACCAAATGAAAGATCATAGTCAAGGTCAATATTTGAGATCATTGATGAAGAATCCTTAGTTGCACATATAATGCAATCTCATATCTTTGGTTTGTTAAATCTCTTGCTGCAACGTATCTCTCGAAACTTTTCAGATATATTTCTCAATATCTCAGACCAGTGTGAGACCCCTCTGGCTTGTCAAATTCAATCTCGTCCAAAGTCACAGTCCTCTGTGTCTCTCCTAACCTGAGTTTTTGGTGATTCTTTGTAGATTGATATTGTAACCGAAAAAGAAAACCTCGCGACCTGGAGTTGGTGGCATTTGTGGGCTCTGCAGCTACACTTTGCTAAACCCACGTCTGGTCTTGGAGTCGCTTGAAATATGCAACACACAGACAGTTATAGAGGATATGTCTAAGACGATCCAGGGCACCTATATGTAGGCTTTTTGCCGTACCTGGACTCTCCAACAACAGTAATAAATGGTCGAGAAAGAGTCCAATAAGCCTGATTGGAGCTACTTAAATCCATGAAGGATACCACGCAGTCTCTCTTTCTCCTGCTCCCCTCCAAAGATAGCATCCACTGACCCCGAGCACAGTTCCAGCAGCTCAGCGCGGCCAAGACCAAAATGCTCCGCAGCAAGAAGGTACTCATTCGAGACAGGGCTACAGAAGAACCCCACATCATCAGTCTGCAAGAACAACGATTCAGCATCAGCCCAGATCAACTCCCAAAAAAAAGTCTCACTGAAAACTCACACATAACGCAATCGGGCACTCCTCATGCCTCCACTCCCCAAAATGATGATCCAAAAAGCCCCCCTCAATCAACTTCGCATGCACGTTACAAGACATACAGAGTTCCAGCCCGAGCTTCCGTCGCACAATCTCCTTTTTGACCTCGTCAGGCACATGGATGACATGCCCGAGCCGGTCAGGCTGGAAGGAAAGCAGCGCGGCCAGCTCAGCCGGATTGCCCGAGGCTGGTGTCTCGGCAAAGTGCAGGGTGATCCCGAGGCCGTGGGCTTTTGCGCGGGCAAATGCGTCACGGTATATTGTGACATCGCCTTGCGTCGGGTTGCCGCAGAGGTCGACGCCTACAACCCCGCGCGGCTTGTTGGCGATTGCTAGGTCGATGATGCGCATTGCCTCGGCGGCGGTGGTGTTGCCGCGGTCTAGGGCGAGGATGAGAAAAATGGACATTTCTTGTGTTCTTGCCTTGAATCTCTGGATGGTGTCGAGGACAGCGGCTAGGTATTCTCCTTGGGTGATGTTGGATTCCGGCGATGCTCGTGGGATTGTTCGGAGCTCTAGGTAGCGTACTCCGTCATTGTGAAAGTCTTCGAGCACGCTATTGGTGGCGTATGCGAGACTTTCCAAGTCGTTACAAAGTTGGTATATGAGTTTGGAGAAGACTTGGAAAAAACTGCATCGTGATATTGGTAAGTGGGACTTGAGATTTGCGAGTGACCTACGTTTGAAGAGTGTAGTCAACCTTGCCGGGAGGCATGAGCACGAGGGGATCCTCAATTGAAAAATGAGAGTCCCTTTCTTTCTTGCGCTTCCATATCTTGTGTAAGCACTGGCGACTAATGCTCCCGCTGAGATGGGCGTGCAGCTGGAATTGAGGGGCTTGCGATAAGCTTAACACAAAGCCATGTCTGCGGACGGGGAAATCCGTACCTCGACCTTGGGCAAAGCGTTGGTGAAAGCACTATTCACTGGGCCAGAGAGATCCATGATGATCAGAGTGTTGGTAGCGGTGCAACTCACCAGACGGCGTTGAACGTGTTCCTGAGCGGGGAAGTGGCGAGGTGGTACAAGAGAAAGAACCGAGCACCTATCGCCCGATGTCCAGATAGCATCAATCTCGACTCAACATTCACACCGTCTTCATCCAAACTACATGGATATTGCCGTTGAGCGATCTGCCAGATCCACCCGTCCAACTCCCCCGCATCCACGGGTCTGCCCTCGTAATCCAAGTACACACTACTGCGGGCAAGAGAGCCCGGGGCTAAGTGTATTGTATCTTCCACTCCGCGTACCCATTCGGTAGCGAATTCAACGGTGTCCAAGATACGAGACATTGTCCCCAGAATTGCCCAATGCACCCAATAATAGGACGGCATTGGCATCCCACCCCTGTCGCTTACAATAATATCATTGTTACTAACACGACAACCTGCCCATAAAAGAGAAATAGTATGATTGCTCGGCTCATTACTGCCGGCGGGATCCGAGCCAACCAGTAGACAAGTCCAAGGCAAGTCAAAGCTGTGATTTGTGTGTATCAGGGTTTCGCATAAATTGCTTGCACCTCGGGTCCCAGATAACGATATGAAAAGTGGAGCGGGGCAGGTCAGGAGAACAGCGGAGATTTTTTTCTTTACTAGGCAAGATCTGATCGCGGCACCATTATTTCATTTTGATTACCTTGAGGTACTTGGCACTTTAGATGATTTTGATTTGGATCAAAGCGATCTCCACGCATAGGAGTTAGTCAATTGAGACGCGGTTCATGCTGACGACCCGGTTCGCCGGATCGCGCGTTCCAGGAATGCGAGCAAGACTTGACCAATGCATGCAATCAAGATTTGACAGGGAATGGCTTGAACAGACACTAAGAATAGCGATCGGGGCTTGATTGCCGTGTATCAGACATTCAGTACGAATCCCGGTCAATACCGTATCTCGAGAGGAACCTGTTATGGGGCCGTGAGATCCACTTGATGTTTGATACGGGTTTGACTCGCGGGTACCGTTGGAGGTTCCAAGACAAGATCAAGCGAGGGCTGCCAAGCCTAGTATTGACAACGGTCTGAAAGCAGCATCCGAACCGTGCCGTGTGCTGTCCTGCGTTTCAAGGGCCTCAGGCGGAAATGCGGAAAAATAGAATAGAAGACCACCTGATGCTGCTGATGGGGATCGTGGATGCATCTTGACGTCTCGATGATGCAGTTCCTGCAACCTGCAGGCCAGATGGGGTGAGGCTGAATCTTTCGATGGGGATTCTGGAAGCCACGTTGTGCGCTGGGAGATTTTGAGTGGGTGTGGATCGCGCAGATATGAAGCCCACTCAACTTCCAGCTCAGATCCACGATGGGGTCACTTCCACAATTGGTATTTCCGACCCCCAGCAGTAAGACGGCTTGAGCCTGTACCAGTACTCTTGAATGGAAATATTCCAATGATACTGGATGTCGGTCATTACTCTGCTTCGGATACATCCAGATTGCAGACGTGGCTCGATGTGCCGCGTGGGGCAGAGTTGAAACGTCTCGAAGATTCCGTGATGCCTCAGAATTAGGTTCGTAGAGGATTGTGTAAAAAAAAGTTTTCGGTAACAGCGGGCCTTTTAGACCGTTGCGACGCTCATGGCTAACTGAAACATCCATTCTTTTGATATTGATTGCGGGCCGCCGAACGATGCCTTCAAACGGTGGTGAGAACCACCTCGATGTGGCTTGCTAGCACAGCCCCGTCAAGTCCCACATAGAGCAATGCCGAGAGAGCCGTTGAACTGGAACAGAGGCGAGTGGATAAGTCCGAATATCTGGGCTTCACGAAACCCCTATCGCAAAAGATGGGTCCTTATCTCAGCCCTGCTAATTGCGCCATTGCTTCGCTGGCAGGTTCAATCGGGCAACTGGCATCATGCGCCATGCCCAGAAGGGAGGGGTCCTATAGCTCAAAGCTCTGGGAGGTTGCGTGCCTAATCGCAGAATCATATATTTTATGGGCAAATCAATGCCCCTGTATCTATTGAATGTCCGAGTTCACGGAGCACCCAATCTATGGTCGCATGACCATCCAAAAGCCCTGGGAATGGCGGCAGGACTTACAAGCCGTAGCTTACGTATCCGACGAAAGTTCCTTGAATTAATATCACAACCGGACTTGACGCTTCTCTCACCGTCTCGAGTGGTGAGATGACAGCTGGTGCTGCTCGTCTCTGGCAGCGGAATCTCGATATGCGACGTCATTCTAATCAGGGCCACTAAGGTCACGCATTCCTGTAGGTTACACACCGTCTGCACGCACAATCCTCCCTCCCTTTGCAGAGTTGCACCAATCGCGAACAGGGAGAGGTCTACCGTGAGTCACATGGCCAGAAACAGCGAGCTTGTGAAGCGCTCTTGCGTGATTGCAATTTGGACTAAGCCACGCCACGCTATTGGAATTCCGACTGGACGGGGCTGCTGCATTGGCCTTGGATGGCCCGAGCATGACAGGATGACCCTCCTGCATGTGGCTGGGTGTGTTAGTGGATGGAACATGGGAGTATTTTAAGCAGCGAAGGCGCATCGAAGGATCCGAATGGGGCCGAGGAGAGGGGTGGCTGCAGGGTGAGACATGCTAGGTTCGTCTGAGACGTGTCGGTGTATAGTCGTCGCATTGCGAGATCACCTTGCGTAGAGAAACAGAGGAACGTGCAGAAACATCGGGAACCCCCAACTGTACCTTATGACCAGATGTAGGTTTTTGGAGGGTGTTTGGTAGGAAGGAGGAACATACCCACGGAGGCCAGGTTAGCAGATCATCCTAGGGCGCATCTACACCGATTGGCCGTTTCGCCCAATCACGAAGGGAATAGAGTTGCCGAATGTGTTCCCTGGGTAGGCCTTCGAAGACGGCCAAGGACGTACAGAATTATACATGGAAGGAATCTATGACGACCGCCATGGCCCCAATGAGGCGCAACGGTTCCATCCCCCTGGGTCTCGTTGGAAGGCTGTACCTGTAAGTAATTTTAAATTTCACAGGGGTGAAGCGTCAAGGAGATGTGCTAAGGCCTCCGTGAGCACGTCGGGACGGTTTTTCTATCCGGTCCTGCTGCTGGGGTTTCCATTCCACATCGAGATCAGGGCGAAGGAGGCCACAAAAAATCTCGCTGGAATGGAGATGATAATCTCCTTCTTCTCCTGAAGATCGGACCCATCGGAGACCCCGATTGGTAAGTTGTGATGATTATTGTTTTTGCCTCCTTTAAATTTTCAATTTCCACCTCGGTCAAGACAGGGATGAGTGTACCCCCTAAGTTTCAACGGTGAGTGGCTGATATTAGATCCCCTGTCTCCTATTAGCTGGAACTTGGTGCTATTGAACATCGACGTACCTAGTGTCTCTGGTGACATCTAATACCGGGCGGATACCGTTCTGGTATGGAAACGGCACAGCGCTCGAAATGTGCTCCCGGGTATTACGGGAATGTGCACGTCTTCATGATGTCATCCAAGCCCCTCCTCGTTTCCTCGAGTGAAGGTGAAAGGATCAGAGTACGCTGTAGGTAATGTAGGTAATGAAGCTGTAGAGAAAAACGAGGTGTTGGTGAACTGAAATTACTACGAACATCCTCAGCGGTGTAAGGTTGGGCACTGCGGTCCTAGTGTCTCAGACGTCCCCGCAGAATCACAAGAAAACAAAGGGGGATTTCTTATGTCTTGGCCGAAGATGCCGTCCCATAGGGCAGAGACTACAGAAAGCGGGGGTTATCTAGGGCTGCTGATCGTGGTAAGGTGCGGATGCGAGATTGAGTGACCTGTATGTATTAATTACATGCGCATCAAAAGTGCAGGTCGCCCGGAGCTCGACCTAGGTTTACGTGGTAGCAACGCTTGTGACTGTGCAATTTCTTAATTTTACTTTCGACCTTGAGCATATGCTCGTATCCGATAAAATGCCGGGGAATTTGATTCAGAAATACGAAGTGAATTCTGCTAGAGTATGATGTTGACGCTAAAGAAGGCATACGTCTGCAAGATGACCTGCTAGCCGAGTTGGGGAAGGAGTACGCAGGCACTCGATGACGCCCACAGTGTGTATCGACGATAAATTACCATACAATCTTGAGAACGAACCCAGTCGAGTGAGTGGGTCCCCCCGGTTAACCAAAGCGCAACGTTAAGGACCCCCACTCAAGCCAATGGAAGAACCCAAGAACCTTGGAAGGAAGCCATCCTAAGACATCCCCTTGTTGGCAACCATGCCTAACTTGGCCAGTATGGGTTCCTTGAGGTGGGTTGTATGGATGGTAGGGCAATATTACTTTTACATGCGACCACTTATGACCATGATTGGACCCGGCTGTCACTGCTCTCGACTGAAACCGGAAATCAACGGGGAAAAGCGTCACGGGAGCGAGCGCCACGATACCGGAAAAATATATCAGAGCACGTCAAAGAAAGAGAGGTATGGGGCCCGTGGGGGAAGCCGGCTGGGAGCTGGATAGGCAGCGACGATAAACCCACACTTCTCTTCTTCTCCCTCTCCCGCCCGCGATCATCACGATTGTCGGCGGCCTCCCACTCGGATTCCACCTATCGTCGCTGAGTGGCTGAACATCACGAAACGGAGCATTTGATGAGCAGGCCGCGATAGCAGCGGTCTGAAAAAAAGACTCTGACCTTAGTTCGGCCGATCACGCGAGATCATCGCTCATTGAACTGTTTACGAATGCCCGGGCCCTTGCCGAAGACTTCCCCTTACTGGATGCCCTACCGGGATACGATGCAAATAGATGAAATGACGAGAATATGATGAGCCGGTCAACAGTGATCGCTGATAAGGTCAAGGAATTCCGGGCGAGATGTTCTTATCGAGCTACAAACCGCCACAACCGCCTTTCATGATAGCGCACGGATCGACCGGAGGCGGAAGAAACGGTCAGCGCTGCCAAGACCGGGGATGATAGTGAGTTACCTAGCTCCTTTTCGACACGTGCGGGTTAGACGTATCGTCCTGCTATTTTGGGATAGAGCGTCCCGGGGTTACGCTGATCACGTTGCTTTTCAACCTGAAGAGTTTCGGACTGCATGTCAAATGCACGGTGCCTGCTGATGAGGTGATTGGTAACGAGTTGATCCGTTGTCTGTTGCCCGAGGAAACGCACTAAATGACACGCTCTCTGCAGTGGTGAGGGGTTGACTCGTATACGATATCCTTAGTTGAGATGAAATCAGGGAATGCTGAGCAGCACGGCATCGCCAACTCATCAAGTAACGCGGGGCTGACAGCGACCCCGCAGAGTTTTGATCATACTTATCAGTCTGCATGTCGCGTACCCAAGTACATCCCTAGTCCGTATCATCGGGCACAGAGAGGTACAGCTAGGCGTCCCGAGAGCCGAGGGAGAAAGTTTCAAAAATTCACCTAAATGAATACCCTACACAACAGACCGCGTATTTTGCGTCGAGGAGAGAGGGGGCATACCGTAGACAATGGGCCAAAATAACCACTAACGGAGTTCGTTAGAGAACGGGCTCTCAAACACGCGACGATCTTTCGCGTTGGCTCATTGCGGGGATCCACCAGCCCCATCTGCACCGCCGAAACGTTTCACTGCCACTCACTGCCACTGCCACTGCCCAAGCCTCAAGGATTTTGGGTTTCTGGGTTTGGAGACCAATTTGGGAAATAACGGCGTACCTTCCTGCCATCTTGTCGGTGTACGGGGTATAGTACGGCCCCCGCCCCACCGAATGGGGCCGAATAGGAGTGAATGATGATGTGCATCGTGATCGACCGTCTGTGGCACACGCGGATTCCTATCTACCTCCCCTGTTGCGCAGAGACGCCCATTGAACAAAGAACAGCGAATCCTTGATAAGAAGGTATGTCGAACCTTGGCAGCCAAGGTTCATCGAGTATGAGAGGCCGCTGGAGATCAAAACGCAGGAATCCAGAGGTCCGCATGCTCTCTCCCGGCGCCCAGCGTGTCGGTACAGATACACCGGTCAAAAAAACACCAGGTAAGAATGACGAAGTGGGCTGCGGTATGTACAGTAATGTCGGAGAAAGTGCGGTGACTTTATGACTCAAAAACATGGCTGGTGTGGGGGAACTGGAGCCCGGCACGGTGTCACACTATGGAAGTCTGAATGGAATAGACTGTCTTCCACGGCTCCACCTAGTGCGAAATAATCCTCCGTGAGCTCCGTCAAAGGAGGTTTCCCTCCTCCTATACATTTCTCCGTGTCGACCACCTTTCACGCATCTGAAACACTGATCGGCTCCCGTTTGGCCGATAGCATTCCCCGGGAAATACAGTAGAGGGATCGTCCAATGACACGGAGAAAATGAGATCTGCCCATTTGCGGTGTGCCATCATTCCACATCGTCATCTCATCTCCTACCCAAGCCGGGCTCTGTACTCTGATAGGCTCGGGCGTAGAGCAGCACCTAATCGCACCAAATAATACCTGACAGGGAGTAACTGCATCTTTTGAATTACGACCCTGTCTTGGCCCGTTGCTATGCGTTGTTCGTAGTTCATCTGCTCCATGTCTGTATTTAATTGGGGCTGCCCTCTCCCTTCGTTGGCCCCATGTCTTTGATTTTGCCCCATAATTATTTTTCTGACTGCCTTCAGCCCCGTCTCGCGTGCTATACATAAGACCCGATCCTTCCACGGGTCTCCTTTTTCTGGTCTCGTTTTGATACTCCCACGCCCAAAGTCTCTTACCTCGCTATACGTCGACTCCGTCCTCGTTGAACACCTCCTAGGTTCCAATCTCAAGGACATTGGAGTCAGCCACGTGCGGCTATCAAGGAAGAAAAAAGGGAACGGGAACAAAAAGACCACGGAAGCGGCGATACCGCGGTAATACGATCCACCCGTGTACGATACGTGACACGTACCCAGTACCGCCAGCCAAGCAACTGTGTAAGAGCATACGCTCATTACGCCCATTTACACCGTACACCCAAGTCTCCACTCCAGCTTCAATTCCAACCCGGAATCACTGGGATTGATTCATTGATTTAATTATTTTCCATTCCCCCCTTCTTTCTTCCACTCCCAACTCCAAACCATCCCTCATATTCAACGTTCAAGGACGACGCTGGCTCTTGTCCTTGCCCCGTTGCATGATCATCGTGATTTCCGCTGCAGAAAGCAGTTTCAACCCGCCTCGCATACCGTTTCTAGTGGCCACCACGTAACCCTGCAGCAAAAACTGGATCAGCTCACGGCAACGATCTAAACGACACTAAAACCGCGAATCCAACTTCGGCGAGTAGCCTTCGTCAAATCGCCCATTCCTTTTCCTCTTCGGACCGCCTGCATCCACTGCGCTGGCAGTGTCGCAATTCCCGATCTCCAAATCGCATTTGCCCTTCCGCCGTTGCGCCGCAAAAAAGTTCCCTGCACCCTACCAACGGGTACTCCCATCCCACACTGCATCGCTAGTCTCTATCGCGGCCAATCGATAGCTTTGCTCATCGACCGGGATCATACCCTGGTCATCTTTTTTTTTATTTCCTGGGGCCCTCGTCGCTGCCGCCGCCTATTTCCGAACACGCGACGACGCCTTTTGGGGCTCTTCCTGAACCATCGGGATTGAACCCGCATATGCGCAAGTGTCCGACCTCTGACCTGCGTCTCGTTTCCCCTCCGTTACCGAGAGCATAACGCGCTGCAGCACCCCCTCCCTGTTCCTCTTTGGTTCGCTCACTGGTTGCGCGAGATCAATTGGTCCATATCGCAACAGCCACCCCCCTCTCCTTCCGTGCAGGGCAGCAGCTTTCCCCACGGACCGGCAGATCGACAAGCAGAAGAGAGGGGTCACACTGCGGTACCATTGGGACCCTCTTCTCGGGAATCAGCTCGGTTCCAAAAGAAGAAAGTGAGACCTGCGGACCGGAACTTTGGAGTCGGAGATCATCCTCCCGTTTGATCTCCCCCCAGGGTGTGACGTCTATCATCAGTGGCTAGCATCGGAGCAAGCTTCTCGAGGAAGTTTTCGGGCATTGCACGGGGCTAGTATCCGTCGCAATTGTTATCAGTGGTTTTTATTTCCCTCGACTTTCTCCCTCTTCTTTCCTCGGCTTTCCCCCGTGAGGCGCTCTCCGGCAGGGTTCTCCGCATTGCATCCTAACCAGGCCAAGATGCAGAGTTCAAGAACGGATCATCTCTGCTGAGGACGTGGCTGAACCCCAATCACCGTTTTCTTACCGTGTCAAGCTATCCCTCTTTCTCTCTCCTTTCTGGCTCGGATCGCTTTGAAGAGGTGATCCTTGCAAACCTCGAACGGCTGGCTGGTCCCCTGTGCTGTTACCGATTCGTCATTTAAAGAGTCCAGGTGACTCTGTCTTTAGTACGGTTTACGACCGGCCAAATACTTGCTCCTACCGACGGCAGCTGAGCTGTCCGATAACGAGATAGCCGCCATGGCATATGCAACAACCTCACCTCCGGCCCTGGATGCCGAGACCCAATCCAGCATAAGACTTTCCTCTCTCGCCCACTCTACCTCATTACATCATGTCGTTACCTCTCTACCTCCCGGCCCTACTTCCTCCTCCGCACCTTCATTCACATCCTCACCTTCCTCTACACCCGTCTCAGCCTGCCCGGGTCCTGGCACACCGAATTCCTTTACCCCCGCCGGTACTCCCTATCAAGCTGCCAGCGAGGGCCCTCGCGGTCGAGGAACCGGATATCCTCTCCCAGTTCCTGCGCCTCTCGAGCTCGGCGAGGCCATGATGGCGGTTCCCGAAGCGCCTGGCGTCCTTGATCTTTCCGCTTCCAACTCTAAAACTCCCGGTTTGATGCGAAGGATCTCGCGCGGTGCAGCCAGCAAGCTCACGCGGAGAAGACAATCCGCCTCGCAAAATGACAAGCGAGACCGAAGCTCCGGCCCCGTGATTATGCGCCGACGCAGTGACAGTAAGACAGGTCCTCAGCCTCCGCGCGACGTCGCCTGGGACTCGAGCAACGAGGATGACACCAGTGAAGCACTGGACGGCCTTGGCGCGTGGGCTGGCTCGGAACCATCTAGCCTGCGCAGTGAAAGCCGAATGATGTCGGCTCACGAGGTAGTTGGTGGTACTGCCGTCGCCATCGCCCCCAAGGTGGACTCTGCTTTGCAGTGTGGAACCGTCTTGACCAAGGTGACGAAGAAGCACCGCAAGCAGGTCCGCTTTTTCCTGGACCTCGGTGCTGCCAAGGTCTTTTGGGACCTTTCAAATCCCGCGAAGCGCTTCTACATTGATGATATCAAGGAAATCCGGGTTGGCGCGGATGCGCGGAATTATCGTGAAGAACATCAAATTCCGGAAGATGTCGAGCGCCGCTGGTTTACTATCGTCATTGCTGACTCGGAGCGCTCCAAGGGTCGAGCAGTCAAGACCCTGCACTTGATCGCGCCCAGTGATCGCATTCTTGATCTGTGGACTACTACCCTCGAACACATTTCCCGATATCGGATCGGCCTCATGGCTGGCCTGGCTGCTTCCGGTCAAAGTGAGGCGGTCCTTCAAGCCCACTGGCAACACGAGATGTCCCGACTGTTCCCGCAAGGCGTGCGACCCGGTGAGGAACAAAGTCTCGATTTCGCTGCCGTGGAAAAGGTCTGCCGCAGTTTGCACATCAATTGCTCTAAAAACATGCTTCGTGCACAGTTCACCAAAGCCGACGCTGCTCGCAATGGAAAGCTGAACTTCTCCGAGTTCAAGGACTTCCTCGCGCGCTTAAAGGAGCGAAAGGACGTTAAGGAAGTCTTCAAGAGCCGTGCCGCGAACCACAAATCGGGCTTGACTCAAGAAGAGTTTTTGTCTTTTCTCCGCGATGTGCAAAAAGAGGACGTCGATTCCGACCGTGCTCATTGGGTTGCCCTCTTCGACAAATTCGTTCGAAGATCCAGACGTGTTCCTTCTGATGCGTCGGACGTTAGCGCTCCTGCTCCGGCTCTGATGAATCTGGACACTTTTTCTGCCTTTTTGACCTCTCCCAGCAACGGAGTTTATGCATCCCGCCCTCCTCAGTCGCGATTCGATCGGCCATTGAACGAGTACTTCATCTCCAGCTCTCACAATACCTATCTGCTCGGTCGCCAGGTCGCTGGTGCTTCGAGTACCGAGGCGTACATCAGTGCCCTCCAGCAGGGATGTCGCTGTGTGGAGATTGACTGCTGGGATGGTGCCGACGGGCGTCCAATCGTCTCTCACGGCCGAACCTTGACCACCAGTGTTCTCTTCGCCGACTGCATCACAGTCATCAATCGATACGCCTTTATCTCCTGCGACTTCCCTCTAATCCTTTCGCTTGAGGTGCACTGCAACCCCGAGCAGCAGTTGGCAATGGTCAAAATCATGAAAGATACCTTCAAGGATCAGCTGATCCTCGAGCCCCTCATGACCAACTGTTACATTTTGCCCTCACCCGAGGACTTGAAGCGCCGTATTCTGGTCAAGGTCAAGACCTGTGACGAGACTATGACCGACTCTCGCTCAGGGACTTCAAGCTCTGTCGGTACTCATGGCCGCAAGCGCAGTGCCAGCACGCCATTTGTTCGCCCGACCGCGCCTCTCGATATCATCCCCAACAACCAACTCCCTTCGCTCTCTAGCCCTCCTTCGATCGGACTTGTCGATGGAATCGGCCCTTTGATCTCACAAGATCGACGCTCGCTCACTGCCACAAGTATGAGCAGTGCCACCGAAGACAGCGACGGGGCACTGGTCTCTGCGCACAACGAAAAGAAGAAGCGCCGACGCCAGAAGAGCAAGATTACCAAGCCCCTCTCCGATTTGGGGATTTACACTCGTGGCTACAAGTGGCACAGCTTCTCTTCTCCCGAGAGCCGAAAGTACAACCACGTCTACTCTTTCGCAGAGCGATCGTTCGAAAGCATCTGCCAGGGCCATGACAATAAGGTAGCGCTCGAATCGCACAACCGGAAGTACCTTACTCGAGTTTATCCCTCGGGGTTCCGCCTCCGCTCCTCCAACTTCGACCCGAACAAGTTCTGGCGGCGTGGTGTCCAAATGGCTGCCTTGAACTGGCAGACCTATGACATTGGCATGCAGATGAACCAAGCTATGTTCGCGGCTGGAACTGATCGCACCGGTTACATCCTCAAGCCTGAGAGTCTCCGACTCCCACCTCCTGAAAACGAGGGCCTGAAGCGAAAGATTGAACGGAAATTGATCAGCTTCTCCGTTGATGTCATCTCAGCGCAACAGCTCCCTCGGCCTCGCACTATTGGACCGGACGACAACATTAACCCGTATGTTGAGATTGAGATGTTCAGTGCCGATGATCGTGGCCAGAGTTTGGTATTTGGCGAGGGCGGCATGGATGCGTCTGCTCGGAGCGGTATGTCTGGTATCGGATATCCCCATCGCCGTCGCACCAAGATCGAGCAGAGCAACGGCTACAGCCCCGTCTTCAATGATCGCTTCAAGATGTCTCTTGAGACCAAGTATCCCGATCTGGTTTTTGTGCGATGGACCGTCTGGAGCTCCATGGATGGCCGCAGTGCAGGCAACAACAACAGTGTGCAGTTGGCAACCTTCACTGCCAAGCTGACCAGTCTCTCTCAAGGCTACCGCTACCTGCCTCTCTATGATGGCAGCGGTGACCAGTACTTGTTCTCGACGTTGTTCTGCCGGATCTCGAAGATAGATCCCGTTCCTGTTCAGCGGTTGGACCTCGAGGAGCTCCGTGCCGAGCGCATGGGCATCCTGCGTCAGATCGGCCAGACTGTCTTCAAGCGCTCCTCGTCGACCGACCGCGAAAAGGATCAGCTGCAGGATCGCAGTGATCCTGCGAGTCCTGAAGAAAAGGACAGCTCTCCCAACCTGACACCGACGGTCTCCACTACTTCAAACTCATCATTTGTGCAATGATGAAGCTTTCTTAACCTCCCATCTGCCAAACCTTTCTATGGTACAGGCGATTCTCCGCCTCTTCTCGGCTTTTGCAAGGCCCACTCTTTTCTTGCAGCGATGACATTCTTTCATCATATCTCTGCCTGTTCGTTATTGCCATTACTATACCCGTCGCAGCGATACCCCCTGTTTTACTTTAAATCATGTGTACATTGCTATTCTCCTGTCATATTTCGTTTGTACCAGCACGGCTCGGTTTGTTTTTAGTATCTGGCAAGGTGTTCATATCTTTCGGTTGGTGTCAGTTTATCGGGCCATGGGAAACCACATTTGGATTTCCGTTTCGGAACGGCCACATCATTCGTCACCATCGCATTTGCGGGAGTCAATTATCTGGGGGAAAGGTCATTGTGGCTGGTTCACCGGAGCACATCATCAAATTCTGGGATCTGCATGAAGGGACATTCACATTCACGGATTTTCCATTCGCATTCGGATTCGGACTATTTCCTGGGGTCGGGTGGCGCCTTTATCTCGTATGGTTTTGCTTTTCTTTCCACTGCATAGCCAATCTTTGCTTTCTACTCAAATTTCTCATCGAGGCAGAGGTTATTTTACCTTGACTCAAGGGTATTCTTCCTCGCCTCCCACTTTCATTCGGCCTTCAGTACGCGGGTGCTGGTTTCCACCCCATGTCTGTCGTTTGAGGTCTTTTATTCCCCTTTGATTATGTTTTCTTACCGCCCGTTTAATAGAAACGCGCTAGGCCGCATGAAATGGGTTCATACTTTGATTCGTTTTGACCTTCATCGGGTCGACTTAGTTATAGATCAATTTCAGCATCAATCTCATCTCCATGCCAGCATTCCACTTGCTGGTTTTATCAAACTATTTTTTCCATTTACAACATCTTCTTGATCCCACTATAGTTTGAGGGTCCCTTTTTACTATGATCTTCATCTACTGAAGTAAATGTGCGTCACGAGAGAAATGCCACGTTGCTGTTGGACTCCATCAAGAAACTCTCGTGTGGAGAGCTTCGAGTCCCAAGGATCATAATATTGAATGTCGTCGCGTCGTGACAGGTCCAAAAAGATACCCTTACTACTGTAAATGATACATGCGGTATCCCCGAAAAAAATAAATAGACAACATAACATGAAAACAAGCTCATCAGGCCAAATCAAATCTTCTTAGAGGCAGAACTCAGCCCCTTCTGATCATCCGGCGGCAGCGAATCCGTAGCACAGCGACGGTCCACATCCACGCCATGCTCTTCATCGCTAACCTCCAGCCCGTACGCGAGGACTTCGGTATCAACATCAACCTCGTTCCAGCGATCACTCGTCGCCGGGACGGGGAAAAGTGTAGTCAGAATCCAGTACATGCCGCCGGAGACAATGAAGCCGGAGAAGTAGTTCACGTTGTAGATGTACCGTGCTCCGACGGGAACTTCGCGGCCGACGGCGCCGGCAAATCCGACGATGTTGATCAGGATTCCGGCCAAGTAAGCTGCGTACGCACGCCAAGAAAATCCCCTGCTGTAGAAGTATGGGTCTGTCTTGCGGGCGCTATATAGTGCTTTGATGTCGAGGTACCCGCGGCGGACGATATAGTAGTCGCAGATCATTACACCGGCGATGGCGGATAGGAAGAGAGAGTAGGCTGATAGGTAGGTTGTGAACTGATTCGAGGAGACCACGAGGTTCCACTGTGGAGAATGTTAGATATATGCTCAAGTGGACAAACGAGGGTTCACATACCGGACACATGGCCAGGCCGATGGCAGCGCAAATGTAACTGCCACGGCGAATGTTCAGGTATCGAGGAAGCAACGCGGTCAAGTCCGTACCAGCGGAGACCGAATTGGCAGAGATGTTGGTTCCCAGCTGGGCTAGCGCGAAACCAAGAGAAATGATGAAGATTCCGAAGCGCTGTCCAGAGCTAGCTCCGATCAGGAACTTCTTCAGCAAGTCCAGCGGGTTCCAGATCGCATCGCCGTAGATGACAGACGAGGATGAAGACACGATGATACCGATGAAGGACGTGATTCCAAAACCAATGGGAATGGTCAACAGTTGAGACCACAGCGCATCCTTTGGCGAGCGGGAAAATCGCGTGAAATCGGGGTCATTCATGATCAAGGCGGCGAAGTTACCAATGCAGGTCATAATTGCCTTGATGAACACCCATGCCAGGGTGCTTCCGTGAACGGTATTGGGCTGGTGGACGATCGGGCCGATACCATGGGCTCGCGAGATGGCCCAGGCAAAGAAGGCGATGGCGGCGATAGGCGAATAGATAGCCTTGACGGTGAACAGATGGCGCACTTTGTGAACGGGGAACCAGAGAGCGGGAAGAGAAAAGAGCCAGAAGAGGAAGAAGCTGAGGAAGCCCTGCGTCTGGACGCCGGCGCTGGCAGAGAGGCCATTATGTATATTCCTGTAGCTGGGCCAGATTGCTTCGAGCATCAAAGTCACGCACTCGCCTGGGACGTGTGAGAACGGGTGTGAATATCCGGGGAATTTGTGAGTAGCATACCTCCTATATACGCCTGCACTCCGTACCAGATAATAGCCATAACCACTCGGTTGATCACCGGCCAGAAAGATCCCCAAATTCCAAACGAAGCTCGAGCCGTGACGGGGAAAGAAATATGATAGACGGCGCCGATGCGACCTGTCAGACATATGAAACTGGCGGCGATGAAGTATCCGATCCAGACACAGATCCATGACTGCCACCACGAGAGACCGTCGACAATCATCGACGACGAGATCATCCAGGTGTTCTAGATCATTGCCGAATTAAAATCTCATTCCTTTCCAATGGATGCTCGGTTCGAAGACTCACAATATTAAGGGAGTCGGCAATCCAGAACGTGACGTAGTTCCACCATTTCCATTGGCGACGCTCCGGTTCGACTATAGCATGCGAATTTCACCGGTCAGTTTCATGTCTCCTGACCCACGAACGGGCGTCGATGTAGAATCGACCCAGCTTGGAGGACGGTCTCACCTGGCCGCAAATCGTCGTTCGTCAACATTAACTGGGCGTTGGAGAGGCCGGGCTCGTGAGGGACGGCCACTTTGTCGAGAATCCATTTGAGTCTGGACATGATGTAGAGAGGCACGCGGGCAGATACAAGAAAATTAAAAACGCAATAAAAGAAATAACCCGGGGTAAACCTGGGGAGGAACGATAGGGAAGACTAGATCCAATTTATTTAAGCTACCGGCAGGGGGACCGGGGTCATGATATAATTCCAAGGAAAGGCAAAGCCATATCATCATCTAGCCCTGGGATCCCGAACCCCAGCGCCATACCCCTGATGGGCCCAGACATGGTGAGATAATGGTGTAATCCAAGTGGCCGGGACCGTGCTGAGATCGGCTCCGCCATGTGCGATATCATTCCCAGGCTCGGAGAGGTTCGAGCACCAGCACCCGCCGGACGCTTATCGTTTTGCATTGTCTGACTTGCTCTGGTAAGACGACTATCGCTGATAAGCGGCGAACGGGGCTCCACATTCACTCCGCAACCAACGCGGCCGTGGCGGTGATTGGCGCAGTGGGGCGTATCTAATCATCAGCGCGGAAATGCAGATGTCGTTGACTCGATGCCATCGAGTAATCGACTCATCGAGCGAGCCGATCACGTGCACGCCGTCTTCCATGCTTCCGTCTTCTCTCGTTGTATCCATACTCTCTACCGATTGCTGAATGGAAGTGGGTCGCACGGTAGGGTGTGGCGAGCATTGTCTGGACGCTACACTGGTCTAGGCAGTGTTCTTTTACCACGCTACTGCCTTTCTACCTTCCGCTATACCGCCAATCATTTACCGATACTGATAACCCTGCACCGATACTGCAAATTGAAGGTAGTCTATTGCTGAATGCATATCAAGGAATAACTCTTGAATTTGAAGGACATGAAGCTAAAGAGAAAGGAGACACTGCCGAGCAGGGCACCCGAACAGTCCACACTGTCAGGTTGCAGCATGGGTCAGATCCGGAATTCCTTTCTTCTCTAGGTCCCATTCACCCATCTCCCGACTCCTGTACAAATATCGTACACGATAAGCCGTGGCACGGTCTACCGGCGCAGAGCGTCACGGACGGGCGAGTCGCCGCGGCGGAAGGAAGCTGTATCGTTGATTAGTTCACTTGTTTCATAGCAGAAGAAAGGCTTCGGGCCATATGAATTCGAGGGCTAGCACCGTCACCTGATGCCGGGCGGCATTCACTTTCGACCTCTCAAATTGCAGCTGCATGGCGAAGGCATAGCAGCTACAGCTCAAGAAAGCCGAAAACTCCACCCGGCACCATCATCATCAGGTCTAGCTTCCCCGAGAAGCCCAGGTTGTAGCAGATTCCAAGGCGGGGGCAGATGTAAACATACCATCAGCCTCTTCCCAAGCACGTCCAGCACCGAAACCGAGGCCGACCCAGGCGGGCCAGGCCCTCCGCTTGAACAGAAGAACGGAGAAGACAACACCGAACGACAGGCCGAGCGAAGACTTGATGATCACGGAGGAAATAGCGCGGTCCCACTATGGATTCAAAGTTGGATTAGCCGACTGTTTCCCATTGTTCTGAGCTTCTTCAACAACATTCCCCGCAAATCAAAACCGGTCCAGGCAGATTCCAGCTTCAAGTAGACGGGGATTTCCCGAGATTTGCCGTACCTTCTCGTTGAGCAGAGCCTCACTGACGGGCTTGGTGACCCGCGCGACGGGCCGGGACTCGCTGGAATCGGCCATTGCGAAGGGTCTAAGTACACAATGGATTAGTGGAAGGACAACGAAGATGATGATTATTGACAGGCAGCTCACATATGAAAGATGGGGTTATTTAGGAGGGTGAATAGGACAACAGTGAGGAGTGCAAGGAGTTTCGGGAGTTGCGAGTCAAGGTCGGGCAAAGGCGGTCGGCCAGTTTCGCCGCGGGTTTTTCTCTTTTGGTCTCTTTTGGTCTCTTTTTTTCTCCAAAAAAAAAAAAGCGCCAAACCCCACGACAAACCGCCTGGTTTTAGGATGCCTTCAATTGCGGAGGTAAGTTTGATTTTACAGATCTGTTCCTGCCGCCATCCATGATGTCTGACAAACCCCTCCAACAGCGCTCGGGCGCGTCGCAAGAGGCGCTTCTCCACCTCGAAAAGGGTGGTGATTCACCAAATACTCAACTGCATGAAGCTGCGAAGATCCTCGGTGTGGACTTGTCGTTATGTGAAAGCCATCCGGAGACTTGCCGCAATGCGAAAATCCAACTCAGCGCCACTCCGAAAGCCGAATGGACACTCCGATGGTTACTGAAGCGACTGAAGAATGGGAAGAACTACCGCGTGGACCCGGCATCGTTCCTTTTGCTCCGACAGCTCATCGATGCGATCCCTCCCAAGAACCTCGCGACAACTTTGAAAGAGCAAAAGTTCCTCTCAACCTTGTGTGACACGGTTGCGGATCTGGAAGCCGATATCTTTGCGACGGTGGGGAGAGGACAGTCGATCGCTAGTTTCGACTCCGACTCGAGCCATACCCTGGCGGGCTCGTCAACTCAGGATGACCAGAAGAGTTCTAAGGGAACAAAGCGGAAGAGAGTGGCCACCGAGAACGGTGGAGAGGTCATGGATGAGAATGAACAGCCACAGAATCCCGCTTCGTGCTTCCTCGCGTTTATCCGTGCTTTGGATTGCCTTTATGGAGTTGTGACTCTGGGTCAGCAGACACTCGGAACGGACGAAAACGCCAACTCCCATCTGAAGCTAACATTGAGAGGCGAGCCTGCCCTCGTTGCCCAATTGTTGGGCAGGTCATTCCAAGTGGCTGCAGTGGCCATTACGCAGTTCACCCAAGCCGGCAAAACTACGGATCTTCAGCACTTGATTTTCGTGCTCCCCGCAATTCTGGAGCTGTGGGAGTCAAGGTCTTTCCGCGAGGATGATACCCACAACAAGGCAAGCAATGAAGCGTTTGCAAAGTATTGCTTCGCCCACGGTCTCAGACTACAACTCTGTCTACGGAATACCAAGCTTGATACCGATGAAAGAGCTCATCTTCTTCATGCGATTGAGCGGATTCTCGCACTTCACGTACTACTCCCGGCGCGTGCGGCCTTCTTCGAGCGCGGTGGCTCCGGCATCGATTACTCTCAGGAAGAACCGGATTGGAGCCCCGTTAAGCCGGTGACGGATACCTTCAGGCCGATTATCCGCGAGGATTCTACTATCCAGATGTCTCAGGGCGAATCGAAAGACGCCTCTTTCCACTCCTCGTGGCAATCGATTGAACTTCTCCCTGAGCTGTTCGATAATGCAGTCCGTGCAGTTCCGAGAGATATTTTCCGCCGACAGACACATGAAGCCCCCTGGTTGGAGACTTTATTTGTGGCAGTCGCAGAATTAGCGTATACAACCGCAAAGGAAGAAGACCCTGACACATTGTCAACTCGCTTTGTTTCGGTTCTGGAAGAGCTTCTTCGAGTGGCTCTTGACCGCAATGTGGGTCTTTCATTGCACACTGTCCTCACCCATGCTGGCTATACTGGTCTTCTTAAGGAGGGACTGGAGCAAGTCCAGTGGAATGTAATTGCTTTGGTCATCAGTCTCGGTGTCGACATCTTCCTGCCAAATTCAGGCCTGCCAGATTCTCGCAAGCTTCTGGACGCGTTGCTCGACAAGATTATACTTCAGTGGCGCAGGAGCTTCCACAAGAAGTCTCGCAAAAACAACATCATCAAAAATGACGTCGCAATTCCACTCATGCGAGGTTTCGCGGCGGCGAGAGACTTGACCACTTTCATGGAGGTATGGCATAACCAGCTCGTCAAACTGGAGGACGCTCGTGCCCAAAACGACAGTTTGCCAAAATTTTCGGTTTGGGAAGACGACGATTTATGTGATGCCTACAGTGAGTTGATTCGTACTTCGCTCACTGGATCCAGTCTTGCGGAGCAGATGCGCTCTGCTGCCACAAAAGTCCGGGCCGACAATGGTAAGGTTTCCGAGTCATCTGATTCCTATGCGGAATTCGTCCTCATGGAGGCTGGCTGCCGAGGAAAGACACTGGCTTCGGACAACTCCGAAGAGACTCTGCTGTCTCTCGTCGAGACACTCTCAGCTACACTGTCCTCAAAGCAGACCCTCCACTGGCGTTGGCGATTGTGGCGATTTGTGCGAACTCTGATGGAGAACAATACACTGCCGATGGATAGCAAACTTGCCCAGACAATCGGCTCTCTGCTAGGCTCTGTCGCGGTGACGATTCGTCGCACCCATAAAAATTTGGACAACATCCCCCTTGCTCCGCTCGAGGCCTGGGAGGCCTATCAGTATGCTTTGGTGGTTGTCAAGGGAAAGCCAACGGATGAACAGCTGGACGCATTCGCCGAGATCTCCAAGCGTGTCACGGACTTCATCGTATCCGTCTCCATTGATGGGGCTCAGAAGTCTTTGAAATCTCCTTGGAATGGCCGGATCGATACACTGGATTCTCCAATTACTCTCTGTTTGGCTTACTCCCTGGCACTCGTCAGGGTTCCAGAAGCCTGGGAGCGCGTTCCCTCTGAGAAACGCTTGCGTCAGTTGGAACATCTTCTTTCCCTGGCTGCCGTCCAATACCGGTCATATTCATTGCCTCTGGAGGCTGCGGCTGACGAAGCACGGTTCCTTCAAGCGTGGGCGAGCATTGTCAGTCATGAATATCTGCTCAGCGTACCTTTCATTGTGCAAGATCTGGTACAGATTCTCAACCAGACTATCGAGAACGACCATCACAACCGTCGTCTCTGCGTGGAAAGCATGCAGAGGATCCCGGCCGCTTTGATCACTCGTGGTCTCCGTACCGCAATTCTGAACAAGTTACTCAGTATTCTGCTGCAGCAGGATAGTTCTCCGGAACTGACTGTCGGTCTGTTGACGATGATGGCTAAACTCGCGGCCATGCCCAAATGTGATGCTACTGTGACGGCGGAGTGGGAACCGATCTGGACTGCGGCCCGAGCCATCAACCTTCAGGGCACGGAAGTGGATCTTCAGATCATGAAGGCCTTCCGAAGCTTGCATCGCGCGGTCATTGCGAAGTTATTGGTGCTGAAAGAGGATGTTCGGATTGAAATGTTCAAGAAGCTGTTCGCAAGAACATCGAAGCAGGCCTCTAAGTTGCGACAAATTGATCGTGACTCCATGACTGATTTCCTCCTACGTCTGACTTTGTCAGAGCTCTGGGTCCATCGCAAACAACTGCGCGAGGCGTTTGCGGAGGACGAGTTGGCCGCCTGTCGTCAACGTGTATTCGGACTGGTTCTGGGGGATATGAAGTCCGTTAAGGAGCAATGCAAAAAGCACAAGCTGGAGGAGACTATCACCCTCATCAAGACCATCGACGCTCTGGAGGACTTTGAGGATCTGGCGACGAACAACATCGAAGTGGAGAAGTTCCTGTCCAAGATCGAGACCTACATGGAAATGTCCATCGACTCAGCCCCATCTCGGCTGATTCGACGTCGTCTTCTTGCTAGCAAGGGGCCCGAGAAGAGCATCACCAAGCCGGTACTGCAATGCGCCGAAACTCTGACGCTTCAGTCGCTCTACGCCGAAGACCAGCAACTCTTCATCCGGGCGACGACGGAGCGTTTCCGTTCTATGACTCCAAAGAAGGTCAGCAAAGCAATCCGCGAGGTTCGGGAGCTTGGCTTCACTGGCGACAGCGCCGGTTACCGGTTGCTAGTGATCTATCTAGCCCTGGTTTCGCTTCCTCCAATCGAAGACAAGGAAAGTCCGGCGGCTCAAGAGCTGTCCCTGCTCGGGCTCGATCTCACAACTGCTCTCCCCAAGGCCACCTCCATCACCCAGTTCTGTTTGACTGCGGAGTGCCTGTCCCTTCTGTTGCGGGTCCACACCCGCAGCCTCGGGCAGTGCAACGTGGACGGCGTCCTCATGTCCATCGGATCCTGCGCCTCCAAGGTCGGCCCCCGCATCTCCCCCGAATACGCTCCTACCATCTTCACGCGACTCTGCCGCCTGATGGGGCTCGTACTGGGACTCCAGCGCCTCAAGATTGGCGGCCGCTTCCACCTCGTGGTCAACGCCATGCAGCGCCTGCTGGCTTGCCTGTTTGCAAACACACGTAAACGGTCTCGGTCCGCCAAGTCCCAAACCAACCTCTCGCAGCCCTTTTGGCTCGCCCCACTCAGTGCCTCTCATACTACCCACTACACTCGCCTCCTCACCTCTCTCTGCGACCCCACCGTCTCCGCCGTGATCCGCCCCCAGGCCGGTGCGTCCCGCGAGGCCCTAACCGACGAAACGAAGAAAGCAAAGCGCATCGCCGGCCAATACCTGCAGTACGTCGTCACTGCATACACTCAGGTCTCTCTGAACGCCTCGCTCCCACCGGATGTCAAAGCCGCTTTGATGCCTGGTCTCTACGCCGCGCTAGATGTGATGTCGAAGGAATCGATGCGGGCACTCAACGCGGCGCTAGACATGTCAGGTCGCGCTGTGTTCAAATCTCTGTACGATGACTACGTGAAGTTCGGAAAGTGGAATAAGGCGTGATATCCTGCATGCTATCCCGGTGTCGGTGTACAATAACCTGTTTTATTCAGACTTATGATATCCCTGAATGCATGATGATTGATATCATCTAAGAAGCTGTTCTACTTCTAAGCTGTACTCCATATTTCCTGCAAGTCATATCCCCGCACGCCGAGATCCATCGTACTCCCTAACTCCGGGCCCGGCCCCATCATGCCTGTCAGCGCGGGTCATCTTGTGTCTTATATGAGTCACTCGTATCCACAGCCTCGTTGACTCGCCTGCCTAGGTGGTTCGGCGCGCCGGGACTAGCGGGCTCCAACTTTGGAGATAGCAGATGGAGGCCTCAGGCGTCGCTGTGGCTGATGTTGCAGCCTGAGGATAACATCGAGTGCGGAGTCCAAATGCCAAGACGAAGTATACGGCACCTGAGATCGGCCAAAATATCGGGGCTATCACAATACCATTCCAAGAACTAAGAAAAACAAGAAAATTCAATTCAAGGAAGCATCCTGCACTCAAACCCATGACCTCTGACTTTAAAATTATAAATGCCTCCAACACTTGTGCCCGTTTGTTGCAGCCCGTGAGGACCTCGCGATAGCTTCCCCCTTCTCCACGTGAGCCTTTCATTTGAGATAGTAGATAGCTCAGTAATGGCTAGAGGATTATCATATGCAAGGGCAAAGGGGGGAAAATACCCATGCTCCCATCGGGTAAGCCTATAGCTTACCGTCAAGGTAGTCATGTACCTACAGCCCACTCCCGGTGTGGCTTACAACGGGGGACCTCCCACCCTCCGCTATCGCGACTCACCCAGAGGTCGAAAGCAACATCACACGAGCGGCCAGCTGATCAAATTCAATAGCGCTCGTCAAACCGCCAAGGTAAATGGGGGATGCATTGCTGGAAAGAACCTAGAACTTGATGGTAAGGGACCCAGGACGCAATTTTTTACCGCAATTTTTGGGACCTTCTTTCTACTTCTTCACGGTTCGGGTCATATGAAGCAAGGCATTTTATCCATTGAACGACTACTTCTGGTGAAAGCGATGGTACACACGAATATCACGAGCCAAATAACGGTACGAAACCATATTAGAATTTCCTACAGTTGAGGAAAATTGAAGATAAGTAGATGGGAGACGACATTGGTGATGGCGACAGAATCGCAACAGTACGCCTGGGTATATGAGGCTCGACAAAGATGAAGACCTCCACTAGAAATAAGAACACCACCTGGACCATCGCACTGTCAAGCAAAACGCCATAATCCCCGCTTCAGTTCTGCTGATGTGGCATACCGAGGTAGAACCATCCAACACAGCCGAGCCTTGATGCAGAAACAAAATAAACAGGAAGCAGATTCGAAGCCCTTTTTGTCGCTTCGGTGAACGCCGACAGGATGCATAAAAAACTCAAGGTGTAGGGGAGATTAATAGAACGACCAAATCAAACTTGGGGGGCAGCAGTCTGGGGGACGGCGGAGATGCCCTGTGAGATGGACTGCGACTCGGGCTCGGGTCCGGTCGGCTGGGGAAGGGCCTGCTGCAGACCGGCGACGATGCGCTCCAACTCTTCCAGGCGACGGTCCTTCTCCTGGACCTCGCGGCGCAGCCGCTTAACTTCATTGTGCAGCTCAGGGCCGACCTCATCCGACTCGGGAAGATCGCCGTTGGGCGAGTCATGCTTGCGCTTTATCCCGGTGGCGGGAAGAGAGTTGGCACGCAGACCCTCAAGCTCATTGGCGCGTTCCCAAGGCATGTCAACCATGACCTGTGGGGTACCATCGTCAGCATGCATGTGGCGACGTCGAAGATGTTCTCGAAGGTTCTCCTGGCGTGTGAACCCGTTGCCGGTGCTTCGGTTGCAGTCGGCATAGGGGCACATGAGAGGCTTCTTGGCGTCGGTGTTCTTCTTGTGGACTTCGCGCTGGTGGCGCAGAAGACCGCCTGAGTAGGTGAAGCCTTGAATCTTGTCGCAGCCGGGCTCGAAGCACTTGTAGGGGCGATCGTGTTTATCCATGTGTTTGCTGGGCAATCATGTTAGCATCGAAAACAGAGAGCGATAACGACAGCGAGATTAACTTACTTCCATTCACAGGGGCGACGGAAAGTGGGTGGCGCGGCCTGGCAATCGGGATGGTCGCAGAAGATCTGGTTCTCGGAGTTCTTGGGGGGGTCGCGGGCGCGTCGTACGGAGAGGCGCGGGCGCGTGCCCTCCATATAGCTCATGGGCTCGTTCATTCTGGCAATTGAGGACAGGGTCTCTGTAGCAGAGGCAAGGGCAGAGGCAGCAGTAGCCCCGTGCGGAGCTTCACTTCGGGGACTAGGATAGTCAGATCCGTCTCCCATATCGCGTCGACCCCACACTAGCCGAGGGGATTTGTGATGGAATGAAGATACCAGCGGGACGCGTCAAACGGAATCACTCAAACCCACACTGAAAAAAGACTCGGGATGGGAAAGAGAAGCAGAAATTGGGTGAGCACGAGTGTTGAAAAAGGGTGGGGGAAGCAGTGAAGATGGAAGATAGATGTAGATGTAGATTGTAGATGAGAGGAAGAAGGAGATGCCTTGGAACCTGAAAATTTCGGCACCTGCAAGTTCCTTTTATACGCGAGCGGTGACTCCGACCACCGCCACTGTGGCGCAGGTGATGCTTCCGACTGTGCAGACGCGCTTCTCCGAACTTCTCTTGTCGCGGCGTTGCCGAGCTGAGATCACCTTGCAGATACCTGAAAATCCTTTTTACTATGCAGGGACAGCCCGAGATCTTATACTCTTGCTCTGCTGTCAACCCTGACAAGGCCGCGTTTTGGCCACCGTGGGATGGTACAATGACTCATAAGCCGGTAATTACCAATGAGGACATAAGAGCCCGACAGTCGGTTTCCCTTAGCTACCCAGTCCTTTCGAAGTCAGGCAGCCATTCTCCATTCTCCCGACTTCTTTTATCGCCACGCGTGACAAATCCATGTGGCGGTGAAGTCACGGGATGCGCGGGGATCTGGCAGTCACGTGCGTCTTATGTAAGCACAGGGCACGAGTGAGGCAGTACTTAGGCTGCAGGATATTGACATCTCGTATGGGTTCTCTGGCCGTTGGAAATAAGCTGTGGACCCATCACTCGTAGATTGATTGCGAATCTTCAGGCTAAGCAGTCTATTCATAGTAAACACTGCGTTGCATGTTCTTGAACGACACGTTTTGTGGCAGTGAGTGTATAGTTCAGTTCCCTGTTAGGCGCGAACAGGCTACAATGTTCAAGAGATCTGCACTGTACCTAGCTCTGAACAACCGATAATCAAAGATAGTACTGGAAACAGCAGACAGAAATATCAGAGCAGTACATCGTCTCGACTCGGGCTATGCAACTGCTCCAGCACCCACTCGATCTGCTCTGCAACCACATCCGGACGAATCAAATGGACATTATGTCCACAGTCGGGCAAATGCACCATCTTTGAATTCGAAGACAGCTGCAGCTGCTCCTCTTTCAGCTCCTGATCAAGAGATTCCCACCGATCCAAAAGCTCTCGAAACGCCTGTCTCTGCTGGAATGACCCATTCCCGACCTCCACCCCCTTCTCATAGATCCGCTCATAGTCCCTAGCGCCATTACATCGAATGACACTCACCGGTCTATCTCCCATCACCCGATTCTGTAACTGCCTTTTCTCTGCCAGTGTGCAGCAAACCTCTGCATAAGAATCCGCCTCCGACTGTGCAGCCACCGTACCACGTGCAATATCAATCGCACGCTCTCGCCACTGATCCCGAGATAGCCGTGCATCCTCTCGTAGACCAGTAACCTGAGCCCATTTCAGATCCCCAAGCACAGCTGCGATGTTCTCATCCGGGATGCGAAAATAATCACACTGCCGCTCCGTAGCCCCATCCGCAAGGATCATGCCGACGACCTCGTCGGCATACAAGTGGAGAAACTCGCGAGCAACAATGGCACCGTAAGAGTGCGCAACCAGCACAATCGGTGGGCGTATGTCCATTGCATCGAGCAGGCTGTGGAGATCTCTCGCGGCGTTCACCGCTGTACATCGTCCCGGGCCGGACTCGCTACGCCCGAGTCCCGAGCGGTCATACAGCAAGAGTCGGCTATTCCGGGAAACGAGGGGAGCCAGGGCTGTGTAGGATGACGCGACGTCGCCTGCACCAGCGATCACGATGACTATTGAGTCTTGCGTGTCGCGGGGGGGCCCACTCATTGAGGTGTACAGGCGGTGTGTGCCTATGGAGACCATGGCCGAGCCGGTGTGCGCGGACCGGTTTTGGGGCGGTGTTTCCATATTTAGGGGTTTCTTCGTATGGCAGAAGCAGGGAATGAGGTGTCCGATTTACGAAGCGCGATATAGATCTAGATGGAACGGGGTGCGGGGCAGAAACAGTACAACGGTACAACGGTACCGGCGTTAACGGCCCTGAAAGAATGCCAAAGACTATTTTTGTACCTTGGAATGGTAATGTTTGACAAGTTCTATTGATACTTTGTTCATGCATCAGATTCACGAGGGAATTGAATGGGCTCCATGATGAACTGGAACGATTGAGCAATTCAAACAGCAAAGGCGGATTCAGGAAGCATATTCCAAACTGGCATCAATGCACATACTCTAGTCCAAGCGGAAGAGTACCATATACTCTAATAGTATCTGTTTCTTTTGATAGGTTAAATTGGCTTCTCCTTTTATTTGGACTACTTGGGGCTTTATAACCTTGGAAAGGCCAGTCTACATGAAAGTAGAATCATGTTTTGCCCTCGTGTGGATGGGAAGATAGGCATAGGGGGTGATGTCCTTCCTTTCGTAAGGTTGTTCGATTCCATTGACGGGTAACTTCAATATACTAAGATCCGGCAATCCGGCCAATCCTCTCCTCGATCAAGATATTGCGGATTACGATTGGACACGGTATGAGCATCTCCTTACAAATGGCCGATGTTAGCTAAATGATAGTTTCAAGACTTTCCGTAGACCTGATACGCCGGACGTTTCGTCCTGCGCCTGCACGCGTGGGCAGATTATTGGGCTACAACATTTAGGATAGACTTGTCTACTTGGAATCTATATTAAAGTGCTACAGGAGCAACCTTGCAAGTGGGCGAAGAAGAGTAAAATGGCATAATAGTCTCGATTCAAAGCAATAACATAGCTAGACGTCTGAGAGAAAGACCGGCTAGGAGGAATCGAGCCCAGGGGGCAAAGGTAAACTCTTGAGGCTGCCCGGTAACTTGATACCGGACTCATCGGGGATGAAAGCCGATGGCTGGCAATTGCTTTTTCAATCTTGTACCCAGTGGGAAGGAATACCGGAAGGCCAATGCCAGCCAAGCAAAGCCTGCTGACAACGCATGATAAAGGATACCACGGTGACGATGAGGATGTCTTCAAGGCTAAAGGGAACGCGCCTTCAGATTGAGGGACGCTTGACCTGGACTGGTAGTTCGAAAGAACTCAAGCGCCCCGAAAGTAGCGGATCGACCTTAGCCTCACAGATCTGATGTCCCGATCGGCGTGTGAAAAGACGGACGGGTAAGACGCCGGTGGAAGAAACTCTGACATTCCGTGAGACTGCTTCACCCATGTGATAAGAGAGGGCAAGTCTGTTGGAGAAGGCCCTAGCATACAATGTAAGTGTTGAGTGTCACTCAATCGTAGTTTCCGCCGACCTGGCTAGCGAACGCGGTGGAAACACTGCGCGCGTCATCATCGTCGTGAATGTTGTGGCCAGGAGGGCCGCGGGGAGTGACACGAAGACTAGCAGAGCTGCCCCCGAAGATGCTACCGTTGTCGGGAACACCAGGACGGTAGGGCTCGCGGCCGCCGGACTCCACGTAGCGCTTCAGGCGGTCGGACTGGCTGAGGCTAGGCTGCTTGTTCATGTCGTGGATGTTCAGGCGGTTGAGAGTATCAGTCAGGCTAACGCCACCTTGGTCGACGCTGCGTCCGTCGGCGATGCTGCCATTAATATCGGACTCGGTAGCAGCAACAGACTCCCCAGCAACGCTGGGAGCGCCCTTGGCACGTCCACCATTGGGTCGACGGCCACCCGAGATAGAGGGCCACTGGTCGGCAAAGTTCTGGAACATCGGGGGGTATCCGGAGGGAAGACCAACTCCACCCAGAGCGGAGGAGTGGACCGAGGACACGTCGTCGGGGATATAGCCAACCACGGAGCCCGAATCGTGATACTCGTCGCGCTGGCCGTTGCGGCCGTTCGTGGCGCCGCTAGTAGCATTAGAAGCTTGGTTGAACGACATCTGGAAACGCTGGGGACCCCGATAGGCCTGCTTGGGCCGACTGAATTGGATCAGAGACTCCTGCAGGTTAGACAGAGGCCCCTCCACGAGACAGTGAGCCTCCTTGAAGTGCTGCAAGAGGCAGTTCCACAGGGGATGCTTGGAAAGGACCTTCGGGTTACCAAGGATAACCAGACCATACCGAGCTCGAGTAAGGGCTACGTTGAGACGACGGGGATCGCTCAAGAAACCGATACCCTGGTGGTCGTTGGAACGCACGCAAGAGAGAATAATGTAGTCCTTCTCTCGGCCCTGGAACGCATCCACAGATGCCACTTCAATTTCCTTGTAGTGCTCCTTCTTGAACGTGCCATTGGCCTGCATGGAACTGACAATGTAGCTGCGCTGTCCCTCGTATGGAGTGATGATACCAATGTCCCTGGGTTGGACGCCAGCCTTAAAGAAGCGGGTAACAATTTTCTCGACATTGGTGGCTTCGGTACGGTTGAGGTACGAAGTACCAGATGCGGAGATTTCCTCGTTGCCCAGGTTAGACCAGAACATCATAGGCATGTCAATAACAGGCCAGGGGAAGTCCACATCACGGCGGAGGCGGTCTTGAATCGTGATACCGTTCTGAAGGGAGCCTTCGTAGAACATGTTCGATGGGAATTCCGACAGGCACGGGTGCATACGATACTGGACGTTCAGACGAATTGGTGCGCATCCCAGGATAACGAGACGTTCAAAGAGGGACTGGTTTAGACCCGCCTTGGCTGCCTTTTTGTTCATGATGACAGGGCCAAGCTGCTGGTGGTCACCAACCAGCACGACCTGTTTGCAGCCCAGAACAAGGGGAATCATACACTCGGGCTCCGCAGACTGGGTCGACTCATCAATCAGGACCGTGCGGAACTTTAACTTAGCAAGGCGAGGATCACCTGCACCAACACAAGTGCAGCAGATAACGTCAGCGTTGTTCAGGATCTCACGCTCGGCGGACCGAGTCAGCTGCTTCAGACGCTTTTCATCCTGACTGGAAAGTTCGCCCAGTTCACCCTTCAGTTGGTTCAGCTTCACCAGTTCGATGTTGCTATCGTTCATGCGCACTTGCTCATGCAAAGAAAGGAAGCCGACGGGGGACTCGACATCCTCACGAGACTTGGCAGTCACTCGCACTGTCTTGAGACCAGTACGGTGGATACGCTCACAAAGCTGGTCAACCGCAACGTTGGATGGAGCACAAACCAAGACCTGGCCGCCATTGAGCTTCGCAAGATGGTATATGATAGTGGCCGAGGTCACAGTCTTACCAGTACCAGGAGGACCCTGGATCAAGCTCAATGGGCGCTGCAGAACGCTCTTTACAGCATTGATTTGACTGCTGTTCAGATCTGGCAGACCAGGAACACTGTATTTCTTGGGGATCTGGGTCTTCATAGGGGCCGCAGCGACCTCGTGGCCGAGAAGGCGGTGGAAAATGTAGCCAGAAACGCTCATCTCATCCACGGCGAAGGTCTTCATAGCAAATTGCATGCGGTCAAAAGAAGTAGATTTCCAGACGTAGTCCGCGGTGAAGTTGTGAGTGCATTCAGTAGGCACTGACTTATGGTCGCCCTTGGAGCGCAGCTCAATTGTGACTTCGTCAGACTGGTTGTTGGGGATCTTGATAACATAGCCAACTCCTTCCCATTTGGAACGCAGTTCACCGTTGTACTTCAAGCGCATCTCATCGCCAACAGCAAGCTTCACATCTCCGAGTTCAAGCTTGGGAAGGACGAAACTTGCAAGGTGCTTGTTATTAAGTCCGAGGTCCCAGCGCACAATCAGACCATCCTGCGACTGCGACTCCTTCAACTTGCGGTCGTAATCAGCCTCGATCTTAACGAGAGGTCCGAAAATATTCTGGTATTGGAAAGCATCGTCGTAGCGTAGCAGGACTGGGGCAGGCTCGTCATCCACCGCCGTAGCTTTCTCCAGATCTTCCAGAGTTGCCTGGGAATTCTCCTTCCACATTTCCTCCAGTTTGGCGATCAGTTGAGGACTAAGGTGGCGAGCACGGAGCTGTTCTTGGTCAGTGGGCGCACCCACAAGCCATGGCAGGAAAGAGCGGTCCTCGATCAGCGGCTGCCAGCGCGAGGTATCCCAGTTCATATCCTTTGAAGACGGCATAGCGGCACATGGCTGTCGGCAGAGAAGAACAACCACTGTATCCGACTTTGCGGGAATGAAACCAAGCAGGAAGACGTTCTTCGTGCCGCAGTTGTAACATTCGAGAATTGTATCACCGAGAGACGAGGCTGGGTGCAACTGGACCTCCTTATGACGCGCGCGGACCAGATGATTGACGATATGGGAAGAGGATGTGTTGCCACGGGCGCTGCAGAACCACTTGTTACACGAAAGACATTTGACGACGCTGCTGGGGTTGTGGATGCCACAGTACCTGAAAAGTCTCTCAGTTAGTAGAGCTAATAGAAGGCCCTGAAGTGAATACTTACGCGCACGCGTGAACGGGAAGCTCCTTCTCCTCTTCCGAATGTCCTTGACCCTTCTGGTGTCCGTTTGCCGGACCACCGACCGTGCTCTCCAAATCGTCATCCTCCATGAATTCAGATCCGTCGTCTTCGTCATCATGTCGTCGGGGCCGTGCTCGGCCAAGGGCGCTCGCAGTGTGGTCATCCAGCTCTGCCATCACCGAGGAATCGTTTACCAGACGCGGAGGATAGTTGTCCATGATGAAGCGGGTTTGTAAAGTTGCCGACGGTGTAGATGTGGACGGTGGTTGAATTAGAAGCGAAGTCCCGTTGAGCCAAACATGCGGGTGAGACTGAAAACAGATTCAGGTCGTAATAAAAGAGCGTAGAGGACAATGCAGTCCTCCTGTGCGGTTCTTCAATCGCCCGAAGTGTGCCTGAGGGGCAAAGGAACGGGGATCTGCAGAGATGAGGCAGGTTAGCAAAGTCAGGAAAAAGGGATCAAGAGCCACTCACCAATCCAACTCTTTGTCACAAAGACCGACAAAAGGAAGTGGAAAAAGTTGGGGAGGACGAAAAAGTGTCTCCGCATCTGCGATCTCTATCGGTGGGATCCCACTACGGCGGTGCTAGCGGACCAAGTACGCAGCTCCGGAGATTAGAAAAAAAAAGTTGCCCGCCATCAACCTGAAGATCATTTCTAGCATACACCTCCCCCACAAGATGTTGGTAGGTTACCCTCATTTCCCCCTAATTTTTCAAGCTGTATTAACTCTCAATAGCGCCGTCAAAATCGTGAGCGCCGCGACTACCTCTATCGGAGAGCGCTGCTCCTCCGCGATGCCTCTATCGCAGAAAAGAGAGCCCAGCTGAAGGCCGCCCTGGCCTCTGGCAAACCTCTGGACCCTTCAATCGCAAATGACAAGTCCCTCCGTGAGGACTTCAAGTACGATGAGTCAAAGGACAAGGATAACGAGATGGATATCGACGATGAATATGCTTTGACTTCAGGCGTCATCGACCCTCGCCCGCTAGTCACCACTTCCCGTTCACCCTCTGCTCGCCTCGGCGCTTTCGCCAAAGAAATTCGTCTACTCTTGCCGACCGCTATCCGTCTCAACCGTGGTAACCTCGTTCTGCCTGATCTGGTGTCGAGCGCCAACTCTGCTGCTCTGACAGACATGATTCTGCTTCACGAGCACCGTGGTACACCCACCGCTCTTACCGTCTCGCATCTTCCTCACGGCCCAACGGCGAGCTTCTCCCTACACAATGTAGTTTTGCGCGCGGATATCCCGAATGCTGCCCGGGGCACTGTTTCCGAGAGCTACCCTCACTTGATTTTCGAGGGCTTCACAACCAAGCTGGGTACCCGTGTCGTCCAGGTTTTGAAGCATCTATTCCCTCCCCGCGAACCGGGAAAGGTCGGCAACCGTGTTGTGAGCTTTGTCAACAAGGAAGACAGCATCGAAGTGCGGCATCACGTCTTTGTAAAGACTGGGTATCGAGACGTCGAACTTGCCGAGGTCGGTCCTCGCATGACAATGCGGCTCTTCGAGATTCGGGGAGGTACTCTCGAGAAGGGCTCCAGCGGAGACATTGAATGGGCCCTTTCACAGTACACAAGGACCAGCAAGAAGAAGGATTACCTGTAAACGCTTCCGCGGAATTTTGCATCACGGTGTCGGATATGGGTATGGATATCTATGTTGGCACTTGACTGGCGTATCGGTGTTTCGAGAACGACTAAAAGGCTTTTTATGCCGTTTCATGTTATATTACAATTTTTACTATTTCCTATGCCGGCGTGAATAGTGGCGGGCTTCTCGAAGATCGGCATCTTTAAGTTATTCTACCTACTAGCCAAATATCTTCTTGGAACTTATTTGACATCTTTATTAGAAATGCTTTTCTAAATCCACTTCTAAACGGCTCTTTGGACGTGTTTAATTATCATTCTACTAAATGTATTTTGTTCAGGTGGCCACTATCAAGTTCCAGGATGTCTCGTACTTCAATTTTTTCCCTTCACTGTTCACCTATCTATTGCACCACCACCACCACCACCACCCAGCTTCTTCCCATTCTCTTCTTTCCCACTACCTTTCAATCTCCTCAAAGACCGGCAACTTCCGTCGAACCAGTAAGCCCTTCTACGGCAGAGGTCGGTGGCTGATAAGATTTCATCCAGTTCGAGAAGATACTGGATTTATCCTCATACACATACCAGCCCTCATGGCCGGACAGGCGGTTGCCCTGTTTGTCGACCTTCGGGGCTGGCATCTGTCCATCAGCCCGATCATCCCATTGCTTGCCAGTTTGGGCATGGAAGAACTCTTTGAAAGCCTTGATAGCGGGCGCCTTATCCCGTTTTTGGGGCGCCAAGACATCGACGTAGGATTTGCCGACTTGGCTATACTTGACGTAGGTGGAGTAGGTGGCTGGCGTAGAGTATGACTGGAAAATCTATGACCAGAGGGTATTAGAGTAGCAAGCAAGGAAGATGTGATATTCACTTACTCCAACCCGCAATTTGCTTCGTGGTTTTGGGGGCGCATTTTGACGAACTAGCTCTGCATCCCACGTCTCCCCAGTAACAGGGTCCATGAAAATCTGATCTTTGGCTGCCGCTTTGCCCTTTCTTCTTCCGGGGGTATTCTTCGTGACTTTATTCGCAAAAGGATCCTCTGCATTCAAAAAAGGATCAGTAATACGAAACTGCAAAAGATCCATATTGAGACATACTAATCGGCTTTTTAGTCGTAGCCCCTGCACTTTCTCTCAGAAGGGTAGACCAGAGAAACGCTTTCTCTGGCTTCGGCCGCTTGGAATGGGACAGGAGAGAGTCCTCGAGCCAGTCAAAAGAGACAATTTTGATTTTCCCCGACTTCTTAGCTTTTTCAACTGTAAGTGAAGACATTTAAAGTCAGCCTTAGGATATCGTCAAAAAGCATCAAGATCGTAGGTAGGCATACCTTCTGCACCATTCTGGAGATAAACTTCCTCGGTCACAATCAAATGTGTAATCTGGCTGTTGAAGGATCGGTGGTACTTCCCACCGTTCGCTTTCAGCCAACCGGGAATTTTGGCAGCATTTTCAAATGAACCGAGCACGCGGACATGAACCTTTTCGAAGGGTTTTCCCATATTGTCGAGGTAAGAGCGGTTGCAAAGCGGTTGTGCAGTTGTTGGAAAGTGGCTGGAAAGTGATGAGATGTTGTTGTCAAGAGAAGATAGATGCAGATGCAAAAGATGTAGATGTAGATGGAAGGAGGAGGTGGAGAGAAGACAGAAGACAGGCGTAGAGAGAACGTGTGATAGGTGGGTTTGATAGATATGGGAAAGAAATGACATGCAGTAAGTTCCTTCCACGATGGTGATAAAAGTAGTGGCTACTTAGTGGATTTCCTTCCGAAAGTCGTTCTGCCGCCTGATCGCTCAGCCCTGATCAGACGTGATTTCCCGTAATTGCCTTGTTCTTTTCAGGGATTTCTTTTTATTTTAAGTGATTACAGCCAAAGTCAATAATTCAGGAAGACTCTAACCGGAGTACATGATTAAGATGAATTTGCCGAAGTATATACGCCAAGACCAAGATTTTACGTAAACCTGGGTCAAGATTAGGATATTTACGGGTTCTTAAATCTGAATTTACAACCCGCTAGGTTGGGGTCGGGTGCGGGTTTGGCGCAGTCTACTTACGGATGGGTTGGTGTTGCCGAATAATAAGGGCATATCATTCTATTTAGCCCAAAACCGAATCCGGACTAGCACTGCCAAACTTCTGTCAGTTTTGTACTGAAAGAGCAAAGGCAACCTGGATGCTCTCAGTGCAAGAAATAGAATCTCCGATATTTATATCCTACTTAGATGAATAGAGTTTTTGTCAGTAGCTAACGTTATTGCTGTTGTACAATTGGCTGGGAGTTCGAGGTGGTGACTCCGGTTTCCGAAAACACTGTAGCTCTTGAGGGTCATAGTTCTCATGAAGGTACAGTAGCTTTGACCATTTATGGTTTCAAGCCGGAAATTTTTGTCTCAGAAAGTAAAAGAACGCCTCTCTACCCTACCTGAATCCAAAGGTACAGTAAAGGGTGGTAATGGAAAGTTCTACGACCTGTCAAATGGAGAGGAGGCCCTTAAATATTATTGCAAAGATAATTTGAATGGATCTAGATTTCAAGAATGTAAACTTGGAACAAGGCACAACGATACCTTTGATTCATGTCAGCTACGGAAGTAGAGATTATAATTCAAGACCCGTGTTGCCAAATGTGTGCTCTGTCCTGAACAATACAATCAACCAGTTCGTCCTATTCTCGACTTGTCTGAAAAAACATATAATTATGCAGGATATGAGTAGAAGCATGGAAATGCGACGGAAAAGATCAAGAACAATCTCTTTCAACCCAGAGCGTTGTATGCGCAATAGTCATAATTGTTAACACGATTCCCTGCCCACGCCGGGAAAGGAACTGAATTTCCAGAGCCACCGAAAACTGCAAATGTGGCCAAAAACACCATCACTTGTGTGCCACCGTCTAGTGCAGCGGAGATAAGGTAATTCCACTTCACAAACCATTGCGGTCGGTAACGTCGCAGATAAAATTGACCAAAAGCCCCCAGAATGTAGTAGCTGGTGAGAGAAGCATTCAGGCCAACAAAGAGTTCTCCCAGATACCATAAAATAATGGCTGTATTGATGTATGACCAAAATCGCTGGTGCGGAAAGTAACGGTGCATGATATAGAAGGGCAATGGAGCAAGGAAACCGACCAAGTAAGCTACTGTGACCCATTGATAGCGAGCGCCAATGGAAAACATCTTGGGAGCAATAGACCAAGCAATGGCGAGAGTGTTGAACTGCTGGATCTGGGCACCGGACCAAATGTTCGTTCCTTCGGCGGACTTGAGGATAGTCGCTTGATTTTCGACGATACTGAAGACAACTTAGGCTAGATGACAATCTCACAAGGGTTGTGACTTACGTTATCATCATGACATAGTTGAGAAGGGCGCCCATGATGCAACCGACAACTTGAGTGACAAACGTAGCTTTCGGTGACAGTTTGTTCTGTTGAGCCAGTTTCAGATCACGGAGAAGCAGGAATCCTTGTCCAAGACCGTTGTAGGTGTATGTGGTGAAGTACATGTTGGCTGAAATTTTGTCAGTTGAAAAATATCAAAAGTTTTCAAACTAGCGGAGTGTATACCCAAGGGACGTCCGGGCATCATGTAACCAGCAAACATTTGGAAAATCGGCTGCAAGTTGTATCCAAAGCCCGTAATTGCATACTGTGCCCCAAAGAAGATCATAAAGGTGGCAAGAAAGAGGGTCGCTATAATAAAGCCCCACCAGGGAAGGGTGGACTTCATAACGTATAAGCATGTAAGACCAGTGATCCAGCTGACGAGGAAAACACAGAAATACCAACTGCTTGGGACTTCATCGTAGTCAAGCATTAACTTATAATGAGGGTCAATAGAAGGGTCCTCACGAAGCCGTTCCTTCTCTTGCTCACTTCGAACACCGGTGTGCCGCCAGAACTTATAAAGGGAAGGATCCAAAAGCTTCTTTAAGTTGCTCAGTGTCATCCAAGCCCATCCAAGACTAACTTCTGCGTAATTCCAGAGCAACATGTGAACAATCGTGGCTGTGAGCCCAACGTTGGATGTGATGAGATAGTTCACGTATGTCGCGGTAAGATAAGGTGTTCCAGCCTGCTCTAACAGAGTGCTGTTGACAGTGAAGTCTGGGTTCAAGATTGCAATCTCATTGTATGGGACATAATTGGTCGTGTTTGAGCTCTGGTCATAGAGAAGCTGAGACATGAAAGGGAAATCCATGGCTCTCCAAACGTTTCCGTAGTAAAGCGCCATGGAGAGGATAATACCTCCCATATAACCGATGAAACTGTTGGTCAAAGTTTGAAGCGGCATCCAAAGTGGTGATCCGAACCCGGCGATGTAATTCCAGTCAAAGCAGACTGACAGAAATCCCATGCCCTCATTACCCTGAGAGCCTCCGAACAGGTTTGTGAAGACGAGATTGTTACGGTCGATCAAGCAGAAAACTGAAACCGCAGACAAAAGTGGGAAGATGTACTGGTCATTATTAGAAGCCGTAATATGGATCGATGTGGTGCAAACGTACCTCGGGGAACCACTCCCAGCAAAAGATTGCCGCAAATACGAGCCAAAATATTTTGAACCTCTGCTTGGTCTCCGCTTTAGGCTTGTGCAAGGTCTCCATGACAGTCGTGATGGGTAGATTGATGGGATACAGCATTGAGGTGGGGTACACCAAAACAGTTCGCATCATGCCTGCAATGCCATACCCAATGAGTTGTGAAGAAAGAGTAATGAAGATTCCCGCAACCTGATTAGGATATCCCCCGTACCAGAGCTTTTGTACAGATAGAGCTTCTGTTGACAAGGCCGAGACGGATGCCGCCGATGCCATGAGGACTGCCGCAGTGTGCTCCTTTCGGTTCCACGGAAAAGGGTTGAGGAAACGGCCAATGGCCCCTTTTCGTGGGATGAATGTAGACATAGCCGTACCCATAGTTTGAGCAAGAACAGTCAAGAACATGACCGAGACGTAAACAACCTGGGGCTTGAAGTACATGATTTCTTGCAGGACCGCTCCGAATGCGGACAATCCAATACCTGATTTTGGGTAAGCGGACATGCTAGATTAAAACAAAAAAAGGACTCCGCATTTAAAGGCTCACCGATGAAGAACATGCGAAAGGTCCATGGATTGAGTGTTGGGTCATCGTCAACATGAATTACATGAGTGATGATCTCCTCCGCGGTTGCAAGAGGGCCTTGTTTCTCTTTGGAAAGAGCTTCGGCGTCATCATAATTCGTCAGAGGCACTTCATGAATAGAAGCTTCCTTGACGCACTTATCCATCTCTCCGCCCTTATCCACAAGTTTCTCGTGGTTAATATCCGCAGAGGGTTTGCGCTCAACCAGGCTATCTGCTTTGGTTGGCGTCGCCGCCATGTTGAGGAATTGACAAATGTTTTGGTTTCTAAGGAGTGAGAAATGAGAGATGTTCAAGCCGGGGTCAAGAAAAATTGTCGGGTAGTGTCTTCTGATATATCTTTGACCAAGCAATGCAAAGCCTGGCATTACAATTCTAGCGCTTGGTCTCCCATGTGTCGGTTAGTCTAAGAACCCCGCTCGCGGCACGATAAGAGACTCATCAAACCCTCGCTATAGAACTCCACTTGTCCTAAAAGAGAAGATTGCGACCGGATCACCGGTTTAACGCCGATAAATATCCCTTAGTATCTCGTTTAGCTCATCAGCTATTAGTGTGGCGTCTTATTTATCCGTGGTCTTGGATACGAGAACAACGAGTCGCTTAAAATACTATACTTTATATAGTTTCAATACTAGCCTATCTGATACAACCCCTCACGGCGAAGAAGCGGGATCCGTCGGAAAAAGGGGGAATTTGTAGGCTAGGCTTAGACCTCGTGACACCCCACAGCATCAAGGCGTAGAAGACGTTACCCCTTCCGAGAGCATAGCTGGAGCAGAGTTCCACCTGTGGGTCGCGCCAGATACACCCCTCGCCCCCTTAGCCCCCTTGTTTATGCTTTGACCAAGGAGCATTACACTAAGAATATAAAGAGCTTAAACCGGTTAAAAGCTAATCAATTCGGTGGACCCGGGTCCGGCGGAGTCCGCGATTTGATCCGGACTCGATGAAAGTGGCTGCATTATCTATTTATTGAGATAGAGCCTATTGGCTTATTTTCTCAATTGCCCCCGTAGAAAGGGCGAGAGGGAAAGCGATTGTTTCAATTTTTATCAAATCGTCGGGCAGAGTGGCTCCACCTCCTAATAGTGGCTTCCCGAGGCCACATCTTAATAAATTTAATTCATTAATAGATGCTAAACAGAAGTTACAGAAGCCCGAATCACTCTCGAGTGAGGATGTGTCGAAGGCGCAATTTCCATGAAGCTTTTTTCTCGTCAAACCAAGCTTTCTGCATCATTGTGGGCAGCGCCACCAAGCGTGCAGGGGTCCTGGTCTGACACAATTGGGTGAATTGGTACTGTAGCGGGGTCGACCGGTGAGTCGTGCGCGTCGTGCACGGTGTTGACGCATGAGATTATCTCAAGCTAGCAGGGCCGACGCTTGGCAAGATCAAACCGTAGATGGAGGTGGCTGTCGTGCTAAAGCATTCTCATTTGAAATACCCTCTGAATGTGCCGATACGTGGCGATTACAACATTTTGTGTTGCCGATTTGACCAATTTGTTAGGTAATTGATAACGTAACGTAATTCACAAGCGAGCCGCCCACCCAAGCGAGCCCGCCCACCTCAAAACACCATATTAAATGCTATTTCTAAGAGCCTTATATCTCAACAATCGCGGCTCTTATAGATAGCAAACTCTCAGGCCATGTTCTATACAGTAAACAAAGTAATTGAATGGAGTCTAGGAAATTTTGGTAGCGGATTATATATGTTTCTGGTTTATTTAGCTAAATTACAATGTAATTTTGGTATTATGAGTATACGACATTTTGATTGGCTTGAAATTAATATTTACTGTAAACAATGCTTATCAATACCAGTATACTTATGTTAAAATAAATTAGAGCGATGGTTGTTGAGATATAAGGTTATAAAGAACAGCATTTAATATGGTGTTTTGGGGTGGGCGACTCGCTCGTGAAATACGTTAACCGAAAAGTAAGCTGCGGATGTAAGCAGAGCTGCGCACCCTGAAACACCATAATAAATGCAGCTATATAGACCGGATAATGTCTGGCGGGTGGGACTTTCCTATCTCGGCTGCCGCTGCTTTTATGAGGGCGCTCAGGCTCAGGCTCAGTGAGTAGATGTCAGCACGCTCAGGCTCAGTGATCAGATCAGGAGAGTCACGTGATGAATGACTAAATGCTTAGTGATCGCTCAGTGACCAATCAGTGCGTGCTCACCCCCTGATGCTTTTACGTCCAATCAGCGTTTGTTTCTTAGCGTCCTTCTGGATATTCCCAAATTGGTATTGCCCACAGGGTCATTTAATCTGTGAACACTAGCGCCCCTATGCTTATAAGCTGAGTGTCTCCGTTTAACCGAAGGACTACATTCCTACCTATAGCATCAATATGGAAATAGGTCAGCTCTTTTAGGATAGTGCGGTCACAACGCGGTTATTACTCTATCATGTATCGCGTGGAGTTTGTAATCTCTTAGATATAAAAGGACATTCTGATCCCCCTTCAGCAATCTGTGAAATGTTATATAGACCTGGCACTCACCCGTCCCGCGGGTGAGTGCCAGGTCTACTCCTACATCGCTGCCTAGTGTCCATAAGAGAACTCCCCTAAAAAGAAGCAAAGAAGGTGATATAGATGAGGAACCTATATATATACAGGCGCCCAATTTCAATAACCTTATGGGCCTGGCTAACCAATCAGCAGCCATCGGGGCAGAGAGATGCCAACCGATATTGGCGCCTTAGGATGAGGGCTCCAATTTCCAACAGAATTACCTAACATATATATAGCTGGACGCGGAATAATCCTGGCTCGTGTAATTTTCTCCTGTAGGTATTGCGCATTCACATCAATAATACTAAGTTACTGAAAAGCTCTAGGTCCATTCATCAAAGCAAAGGGTACTGTTGTGAACTTGTGATCTCAGTGTGGGACGGGCCGCTCTGGCGCTACGCCCCAATGGTTGTCAAATTCGACTAACTTAGGGTTCCGGCTCGTATTCCTATTGGTACCGTATTGGGAAACAAAGAAGCTCATGCACTTATATTGCTGTTGAGCAGCTGCAGAACTATTTCTTGTCCATTTGTACGGTATGGTGTTGTAGTTCGATAGCTTCAATCTATTTCCTTTAGGGTCTTCACACAGTGGACTTATGATGAGCATTTATTGTGTAAGCAGAGTCAGAGATCGGGCTGAGAGGAAGAGGGATAGGACACGCTCAGGTTGCCCAATCAGATGAAAGAAGCAACCCAAACATCCATGGCCTTAACTCCTTTCCGACCCCCTTGTATACACTCCAAGCTCGCCTCACACGCATCCCGTGACGCAAGTATCACCGCCCGTTCCCTCTCATCACTCACTTGCTCCTCTACTTCCTGTTCAAAAGAGGAAGAAAGACAAGCAGAGACTTCCCACTGTCCGTCCAACAACCCCTCCCCACCCGGCACGTGGGCCTCACTCTCTAGCTGCCACCCAGCAGCCAGGGCCAGCTCGGTAAGCCGCTTTGACCCCATCACTGTGCGGATGTTTGAGTCGCTGTTGGGTTTACGGCACTCCAGCGCTACATGGGTGAGCGCAGCTAATACGTGAGGCTGGGCAGAGGGGTGCGTCGCTACTAGCGACCACTCAGCAAGGAGGAGACGCTTGCTGTGCTGCTTAAGGGCACGGAAGGTGGAAAGGATGAGCTCAGGGGAGGCAAAGTACCATAGGCAGTGGGCGAGCACTGTTGCGTCGAATGCCTTACTTTCGCTGGAAGAGGGGGATGGGAGGGAGGAGAGGTAGTCTAAGGGGGGTTGTTGGACCCAAGTAATCCGGCTACCCAGCGGGCCTTGCGAGATATGACTCTGTGCTTGGCCGAGAGTATACGGGGCACCTACAGGAGCTATTAGTCGGCTGCTTGTCGCTCACACCAAAGAAAAACAAGAGGACTCACCATAATCTAATTCCGCCGGATCAACCGCCACCACCCTCCCCTGCTCACCCACAGCAGAGGCAAGGACTGTCGTGCAGTCCCCCTGCCCGCATCCTAGTTCCAGTACTTTAGAGTCAACAGGAATATTCCAGTGCTGTAGGAGCACTAGGCGGTGAACGGTTTGGGAGTGCTGGATACTGAAGTAGGTGGGGTCGTGTAGGGAGACACGGGCGATAACGGCGGCGTCGAGTTGAGTGGACATGTTATGCTCGATGGGTGTTGTGCTGGGCACAAGACGGCTGAGTGGGTTTTGTGTAGCTAGGTGATGGTAATTGAAACTACAGTCTTACTAGTAACTGCTGCAGAGCTCAGACTTGGAGGGTCGCCTGGCAGTAAAAGGACTTGGAAAGAGATGAGAAAAGAGGAGGAGGAAGGCTATATAGGTGGATGTAGGTGGCTGCACCCACGCATAGAGGTCACTGCATCTATCACGTGATTTTATGTTTACTTTGCCCAACTTTTCTGGAAGAACGTAAATCCTTCGTAATTTTAGAATTACTATTACGGAATGCCTATAACGTATTTCACAAGCGAGCGGCCCACCTCAAAACACTATAGTAAATGCGATATTTAAGAACACAATATTTCAACAACCACAAGCTTATTCTATTTAGTTTTCAGTAATTCACTAATTTAGAGCACAAATAGCCTAATTTAGGGGTCTAGGATATTTTAATAATTATATCACTACGTTTACCATAAATACAATGTATTTAAGCTCCCTAAGCTTGAAATATATGTTTTCAATCCACCACATCTTGAAAACTTTCGAGACCTTCAAAATACTCTAGACTCAATATAAAGAATATATTTATACAGAAAGACTTTACGAGAAGCTATGGTTGTGGAGATATCAAGTTGTAATTTATCGCATTTACTATGGTGTTTTGAGGTGGGCCGCTCGCTTGTGAAATACGTTATAGGCATTCCGTAATAGTAATTCTAAAATTAATATTATACTAAATCACGCGGAGGAGCTGATCGCGACCCAAGATTAGTCATAATTCTCTTGGGTCGTGCTCAACTTTTTTTGGGTCGCGCTCAGCTGGAACCCGTGGTCAGGCTCAGTGAGCAAATCAGGTTGCTCGGATCGGGCTCAGTGAGCAGGTCACCCTGATTATGTAATGATCACTGAGCAGCTCCGGTCGCTCAAGGGCGGGCTCAATTCTACTCAGTGAGCAAAAGCGGCGAGGGGGCAAGCACTAGAACGGAAGGAGAGCGCCAAGCGTTGCCAGACATTATCCAGTATATATGCGATATTTCATAGCTTCATATCTCAACAACAATAGATTGTTATAAAGTTTTCTTATAGTGGTATGTTCGTTATAGCGTATCTAACCTATTTATAGGACCTAGGATAGTGATGATAAGAGGCAATAGAAGGAAGGCTGAAAGGATGTACATAAGATGTCGTATTGCTATGAACATTGAATACCTACGTGTCTGAAAAGTAAAGGGGTGAGAAGAGAAGTCACACCATAGACCTAAAATATCTCATGAATTATGAACCGAAATCTGTTGACAGATCATGCGCGAATGCTCTTGGCAGCCTTTACGAACGCTCGAATCTTGTCCAGATCCTGAGAGCCGTTGGTTTCCACACCGGAACTGACATCCAAGCCCACCACCTTCGAACCCGATTCGCCAAGTTTCTTGACGATGTCCACAACATTATCCGAGTGCAATCCGCCGGCCAAAATCACTTGCAAACCCTCGTCGCTGTTGAGAACCCGTTGAACACCAGCCATCTCCAAGAGCTCGCCAGAACCACCGGCACCAGAATCCAACAAAGGAAGACTGTGGTATGCCCTGCGCGCAATACCAATGTCTCCAGGTGCGAATTTATGAATGACGGGCACAGGGATCAAGCTAGCCCATTCCACAGGCTCAGAACCGTGGAGCTGCACAACGTCGAGTCCAAGCTTTTGCTGCTGGTCAAGGATATAGGAAAGAGGCTGGTCCATGAAAACACCCACAAGCAATGCGCGAGACGGGTGCCGCAAGACGCTGGCGGAATAATCAAACCATTCCGAAGAAGTGGCGTTTGATATTTGCTGCGATGCAGCGGTCTGTTGAGTCCCGGGACGGGGTGTTGACTGGATAGTCCGAGAGATACGGAGAGCCACATCATCTGAGACCGTTCTTGACCGCCCAGGGACCTGGATGATACCAATTAAGTCAGCACCGGCTTCGATGGCGGCCTTGGCAGCCTCTTCAGATCGAGTACCGCAAATCTTGACCAACGGAGGGTTTGTTGACTTCGATGCAGCCTTTGACCCACCCAAAAGATGTGCCACAAAGGCAGAGGTATCTGGGGCCCGCATCAAGGCCTCTCCCACAAGGATAGCCCTCACACCGTCCCTCTTGTAAGCTTCCACATCCTTAGGGCCTGTAATACCACTGAGAGCACACACGATGGTGGTCTCAGGGACTTGGTCCATAAGACGGCTTGTAGTTCCAAGATCGACCTCAAAGCTCGTCAGGTCGCGATTGTTAACACCGATCACTTGGGATCCCAGTTCAACTGCGATCTTCATCTCCTCGGGTGTGTTGACCTCAACGAGGGGCTCCATTCCAAGGCTCTGAGAGTACCGGTACAACCGCGTAAGAAGCTCCACACTAAGCATCTTGACAATCAGGAGAACGGTATCGGCACCAGCCAATCGTGCCTCAAGAATTTGATATTCATCAAACACAAACTCCTTCCGCAAGAGAGCCGGACGGTTGGTCATACCTTCCAGGCTCTGACGCACTGCTCGGAGATCGTCAATCGTCCCCTTGAACCACTCGGGCTCCGTGAGAACAGAGATAACACTGGCGCCGGCCTTGGCGTACTCGCGGGCTTGAGCAGGAGCACATACATCTGCCGAAATAATACCCTTGGAAGGAGATGCTCGCTTGATTTCTGCCATCAATGAAAGAGGATAATCCGACTGTCTCAATCGGGCAGGGAAGGACAATTGGGGCGGTGCGATGTTGAGGTCATAGGCAGCCTGCAGCGCCTCTGGTCGCAGTGCAGGGATCTGCTTCTGCTCAGCGACGGCATTCCTACGGTGGGCGTAGATCCTCTCCAAAATGGACACCTTCTTGTCAGCTGGAGCGGGAGTCTTGGTAGCTCGTGTCGCACTCTGCTTGTTCCCATCCCAAGTACCCGAGGTGAGAGTGAGGAAGTTCCTGAACATCTTCCGCCCGTACTCCGTCAGAATACTCTCAGGGTGGAACTGCACACCCTCGACAGTAAGCTGTTTGTGTCGGACTCCCATAATAATGTTGCCGCTACCGTTCTCGAGCTCGGCCCACGAGGACACTTCCATTGACTCCGGGATGGTCGAGTGGGTTCCCGCAAGAGAGTGGTATCGAGTGACAGAAAGGACGGTGGGTAATCCCTCGTAGACGCCCTTGGAGTCATGCTTCAAAACCGAGGTCTTGCCATGGAGAATCTCGCCCGTCACATCGACCTTGCCGCCAAAGGAGGAGATGATGCATTGTTGACCCATGCACACACCAAAGATCGGGATCTTTCCGCTGAAGTACTGGATCGCAGCGTTGCTAATTCCCGCGTCTGTTTCCGGGTGACCAGGGCCAGGACTGATGACCAGCTGGGTTGGGTTCTTTGCGATCAAGTCGTCCACAGTAACTTCATCGTTGCGGAAGACAGTGACCGTAGCTCCCTCGAGGACCAGGTATTGATAGACATTCCAGGTGAAAGAGTCGTAGTTGTCAATCAGAATAACATTGGACGCGCTGTCCAGCTTCGCAGCTTTGGTGGGATGGTGGGGGGAGTGGTCAACGAAGTCCGCCATGACGGCTGATGTCGCTGGAGGGGCCGGGCTTGGAAAGAGAGGTATTAGGGAGTGATAAGAAACACAATCGCAATTGACCACACCGTTTCCAGTCAAAATGGTCGAGGTCACAGCCAGAAAAGCCCGAAGTGACTCAAACGGACAAAAGAAGTAGGCGACTTTTGTCAGCCTTCACCGCCCAGCACTAGGCCCAGATAGGAAGTGCGGATTGTTGACCGCTGAGGGCGCGAAAGAAGTGAAATCTTCCTGGAGCTCTCCGAAAGCTATAGCTACCAGTGACCGCCTCTTCCTTTTTTCCCCCCTGACACTGCCTCCGCCTCGGTATTTTTCAATTCTATGATGTTCTAAATTGCCTTGCCAAATGGCTCCCATCCCGGAGGCCTATTTCCCGTCCCTGGACAAGTGTTTCTCTGGGGACGTTCAACTTTTGTATGTTCACCTCGGCTGTCATGCTTTGCCTTCTTACTCACATTTGCAGGTCCTGGAGAAGAGCTTTCCTGTATACAAATGATCCCGAAGGTCACGCCGACAATGGCGGCAATGTTGCGGCCTTCCTTTCGCATCCCGAGAGCACTGAATTGCTATCCCGAAGTTTGATCCCTTCCTCCAGCCTTTCCGCCAAATCCAAGTCCGAATTCGACTCCAAAACCGCCGCGATCCACGTTGAAACAAACTCCAAGTCTTCGTTCAATCTCAAGGAGATTAAGGCGGATGCGCAATGGCTCAGCGAGAAAGCACGGATTGACGAGATCGCGGCTCTGCGCATCGCAATCCTCGAATGGCAAAACCGGCCTGCATCTCGTCTGACAACGACATTCTCAACAGAAGAGGCCACCAGCCTCTCGAGTGCGTCGGGGACCGACAACCTTCGTGTATCTGTGGCCGGTCCGAATCTGGCGAGCGTTCTGAGACAAGCTGCGGACAAGGAGGATGCATCTACGTTCGACACAGAAACCAACAGACGTTTGCGATTGCGAAATCTCTATGTCTCGGAGAGAAGCCACACGTTGAAGACTTACCGCAAGCTGCTGGTTCTATCCCTTCACGACCTTTCTGACGAATCAGCCAATGACAGCACACATAAGAGCGAGCGCAGTCTCGCTTTGTGTAAGCTAGGAGAGTCTCTCTTCCAGATTAAGTCTACTGGTGATGGGTTGAACCAACTTTTGACTGATTGTATGGCCGGGATTCGCAGTCGGCTGAAAGATCTGCAATCAGATGGCGGCTGGTTAGGAGCAAGTGAGAGTAGCCAAGAGACAGAGGATATCTGGAGGACTACCCTCGTCGAGGAGATTGTTCATATCCTGCAGATCGTGTTCCATTTGCTTCATGCGTCAGCGGAAACGCCATCCAGCGATCTTGTGATATCTTGGTTCAGCCTCATGGCCGATAATGCCTTCTTGGAGCCGTTACAAGTGGTAAGTGGGTCACGTATACTTAACTGACAAATACTGACAAGCGCGTTAGCCATGCCAACAACCTTTGGAAGTCTTGTTACCCCTTCAGGCTTTTACATCCCTGGTGTCAATGGCTTTCCTGAAATTCTCCCATGTAATTGCCCATCTCTTTGACTCAAATGAATCACCAGCTTTCCCTCCAGGACAGAAGCCCTATTACCTGTCCAAAGAGGCCATATCTCAAGTCACTGAGATCCTTCTGGGCGCGTACATGAATCACAATACCGCTAACCCGGCTGCCTTGCTATGGGGAGTGTTCCTTCAGGCCTTGAAAGAGGGAGATGAAGGATCTCGGGGACAGCGAGGTCTGGAGCAGTCACTTTGCGAAGATCTTCTCGACTGTGCTCGAACCCCCAAACATACCGCGGAAGATGCAATCCTCCGTCTCCGTTCTGATGAGCTCGTCGAGTCGGTCTTAAGTGTGGTCGTCACATTGTCTACCAAGGTCGGGTCTGTGTCAGCAATTGACGATATCTTGACTGATCAATTGGTCCGATTGTCTCTGTTTGATATCATTCGAGTCGCCTTGGATCGCATCGATTATACGACTGAGGTCTTGGAGTCTACCTTGGCCATACTAACCGGTACTTCCGATAGCCTACGGTGGCATAAAGCAACCTCTCTTGGTCCTGAAAGTGATCCCAGATCTGTCTTTGTCAGAGACCCTGTGTTAATGGCACGGATTTTCGAGATCGCTCGGTCTCGATTCCCTTATGAAACAGTTCCTTTCCTGAGACTCTGCCGCGCTCTGGTTACCCCGAACGAGTTGAATGAGGACGGTTTACCCATTATCATTGAGGAATTGGACAACATGAGCACTTTCACTCAGATTGTTTCTCCGGGTTTCCAGGGGTATGAAACAATTCGAGAGGATGAAAATGCGAATTGGGTGTCTTTGACCCAGTCGCTCCCAATGTTCGAGTCTGCATCTCGCAATCCACTCCCGGACACTCAGACGAGCAGTGCTTTGATTGTGAGTGGCTCGTCAGAGATCCCAACATCTACGGTTGGCCAAGTCAGGTCCGAATCAAAACCAGCCATTATCATGTGGCAGCACCAATATTCGTGCTTGAGCTTCCTTGGAAGCTGGTTGGAGGAATGGAGTGCAAGCGGTGGGTACTCATCTGATTGGAATGCTGCACCTTGCACAGAGATCATTGAGCTCCTCGCGGATCTTGTTGCCGGTGCCAGGAATGCTCATGCCCACGACGCTGCTGGCACAGGTGCCACGAGGATCCTGGAAATGGCCAGCGACGGGCTATCCAAGCAAGGCGACATCATTTCGGTGGTTTTAGACATATTCGAGCGCAACCTGCAGAATATCGGGTCTCGAGGTGACCCAGCGAATGCTTTAGAGCCCATCATGGCCTGTCTGCGGTTTATTCAAGAGGTCATCAAGGTTCTTCCCAGCAGAGTATGGCCATTCTTCAACCGCAGTAGCTTCGTTGGCTCGGACGGCAAAGGCGGAGTTATGACTGCGATCGTTTCAGCCATGGAGCTTCCATCTGGAGAGTACCCATTCCTTCTCAGCAGCGTGAACCTGCTGGTGGCCGCAATCGATGATGCCGCATCTCGAGCAGTCCTTAGGAAGAGCCCTGGCAGCGTGGCAGGCAAGTCGAGCATTGCATCCGACTGGAGTGCCGGCATCCCTTCCCACGTTATGAGGACTATTCTGTTGAACTTCACCCGGGCTATGGTTGAGATTTTCAATAGCAATGGCAATTGGCGGTTCAATCTTCCGGAGCAACAGTTCAAACTCAATGCAATGCTGTCTACCGCGTTCGACAGGATTCTCTACTATGCCCACGGCGTCAACGACACCGCGAAACCAGAAGCAAAAATCACTGGTGTCTTTTCTGACTCCGCGGCATACATCCTGGACCTCCTGCGACCTCGCTCAACCGCCGATCTCCCTTTCAACCCACTCCTTCGATTAATCTCCGACGGTCTGCAGACTCCACCTACAGTCCATCTTCGCTACCTCGCATTGGTTGAGAACCAGGTCAATTCTACCCTGGACCTCTGTATCAAGCTCGTCCAGGCGGCACGACTTGCTGAGCAGCCTGGCTCACTTCTAGAAGAGCAGCTCTTCAAAGCTACACCGGTCCTTATCAAGCTTTATGCATTGCATGACGCCTACAGATTACCTGTTGTCTCCTTGCTTGAGATTCTCATTTCCGTTGCCGCCTCGGATCCGGACAATGAACCCCCGTCCCTGGTCGGTCATCTAGGTGCCGAGTCGTCCTGCCTGTTCCTTGACGTGCTGTCGCAGCTTGACAAGCCGCTTAACGACGAGGCCCTTTTGCTTGCAAATTGGAAATTGCTGTCAACTTTTGTCAGCAAGCGTCAGCAGTGGTTGGCAGTCTTCATTCTGACCGGGGCCTCCCCTCGACAGACACTGAAGAAGTCTAGCAAGTCTGGAGACCCGAGTATGAGAGGCGTGCCATTTTTGCAAATGGCTCTTGACAAGCTTGCCAACATTGAACAGGAAGAGCCCCAGATGGCCCTGGCATTGCTAGAGTTCGTCTCTCGTGCCCAAGAAAATTGGCCGTGGGCTACTCCCCATCTGAAGAAACATTCTCAGTTTTTCAACAGTGTCGTAACCTACGTCTCCAAGCTGAAGATTTCTTCGTTGCCTGTGATTCAACAGATCTTTGCAACTCGTATTGCTGCTGTTGTCGCGGACATTTGCGCTGTCTACCTGCACGCTGCAAAAGAAATAGGAGATTTCAGCTTTGTCAAGACACTCATTCCCTTGGTACAATGGTACTCCAAGGATGCTGTGGAAGTTAATGCTTACAACGCCTCGCTTCACGCAAACTTGAAGAAGAACTTTGAAATGCGATACAGCGGCTGTAAGGTTGTTGATTTCAAGAGAACGCCGCTCGTGCCTCGTGCATTAGGCCGCGATTACTATTATGATCTGAGAATGGGAGAAAAGCTCCTGTCTTACGATTTTGCCTGGGCTGGATCTCGCAACCGGGGCTTCTCCGAGGAGTTTGAGCGAGCCAACATCAACTTGTCGCTCGTGGAAGCGCAGGTGGTGAGTGTTTTCTTGATCTTACACAACGTCTTCCCTTGCTAACACCGAAACAGACACTTCTCAACAGCTGGAAGTTCTTTGCCATCGAGCATTGCGCCGACTTCATGCCCGACTTTGCGATTCAGAAGTCAATGGCTATCGTGGCCCAAAATTGTCTCGAAGCCAATACCCGCAGCGTCCCTCCAGAGGCCATTTTTGAAGAAATCCAACAGGTCCGCGTTGACTTTGCACAGGCCCTGTGCCAACGGCTCGTGCAGGTGGACGCCCGTGGCGCCGAGGCATTTGCGCTACTTGAAGCCGTCTACAAAGCGCTACGGAATCGGCACACGACGTATGAAGATGCGCTCATCAGCAACGACACCGAATACTACCGGTCCCTCCTCAACGTGCTGTTTTTGGCCCTTCAGTTCCACCTGGATAAGCCATCGCGCACCAGCCCTGAGACCCTGAGCAAGCCGGCCAAGCTCTCGAACGACCTGACTCTCATTGTGGAGATTGTCAAGGTAGTCGTGGCGCAGGGCTTCAAGTCGCTCACCACCTACCTGCATGAGGAACCGGACAAGTGCACACCCAAGGACTTTGCGATCATTGTTGCTATTCTCCAGAGCTGTTTGCAGGTCAAGAACTCCGAGCGGCTCTACGAGCACATCACATACCACATCCAAGACAACGATGTCGTTCGACATGCCACAACATTGTTCTCTTGGGCCGATCAGCTTGCAGTGGCTGGTGACCCGATCTATGGCGACCTTAGTGTCTCGGTCCTTGTCAAATTGTCTACCTTGCCCATGCTGGCCGAGCACCTGGCTGTCGAAGCAGTCCTGATGAAACTATCGACATGCCGCCTGTCAAACGGCCTCCGTCAACCCAAGGGATTCGGACCTTTCGATCCCGTCCCTCGACTGTATACTATTTGGACGGGTGGCTTCCTTCCACTGTGTCTGAACCTACTCTACAACGTCATCCGCGCGGCACCAGAAGTGGCCGCATTCCTCAACCAGTTCGAAGGACAGCTCAACCGCGCCTCCGAGTGCTTCTCAATCGGTCACCCCACCGCCAGCGCCGGAGTCTCATCGCAGTGGATCAGTCTGAGCATGGCCTCCGAGGCTTACTCACTGGCTCTCATCTCCTTCATGCTAGACCGTTTCCGCGAAGCCGGGCCCAGTGCAGGTTTAGATGCGCAATCTATCAAGGAGCTCAAGTGGGACAAGGCACAGGTGAAGGAAGATATTGAAGAGCTCCTGGGTCGCCGACCGACTCTGCGGGGACGCATTGTGGCTACGACTGAGAAGGATGCCGAGTGGTCGCGACAGAAGCCGCTTGATCAGACTTCTGGGGCTGAGAACCGGTTGGAAGAGAAGGTCGTTGGCGAGTTGACTGCGGCGGTGGCTTGTTTGGGTGGAGAGGAGGAATCATGATACTCATGTCCGTTTACTTTTGTATGTTCTGGGTGGCTCATTAGGTGTAGCAGATCAATTGCGTTGCATTTCGCATAGATCCAATTGAAATAATTGCATTGGAACCTTCCCGGGTAGTGCATTCTAGTAGTTCATTTCAGTTCGTGTACCTTGCGGTAATACAGAAGCCGACTACGTCGTGTCGCAAGACCTGCAGGAATATAAACTCCGACGACAGGGATCCATGAAAGCATGGCCTTTCCTGTGTCGCCGATTCTGCAGTTTCTGGATCCAACCCCTATAAGATCAATAATTGCTCTCAAGAATACACGAACACCGGACGCTCACGGCTCGGCCCAGTGCACCCGAGGCAGTTCTTCACCCCCGCATATGCATAACCGATTTATGCGGGGGAGGCTCCGGTCTCGAATCAACCCGCGTGTCTTGATTCGATCGGACTCGTGCATTGGTTATCTTGCATGCGAGGCATTAGCCGGGATCCTCTCATTTATAGTCTCGTCGGTCCTCGATCGGATTCCTCGCAGCCACAAAAAAATACACCGACACCATGCCATACAAGTCTCGCTGGACGATCGACGTCCCCAATACCCACCTTGCATCGCTGCTCCTCACCTCTCCGACGGCAAATCTGTCCCAGACGAAGCGATGTTTCATGGAAGCAGCTCGCCCGGACACCCACTACTTGACACCGCATGACTTCCGCCTCTGGAGCCAGCGGTTCGCCGCGGGCCTGCGCAAGTCCGGCCTGCAGCCCGGTGACCGAGTCCTCCTGTTCTCAGGCAACGACTTATTTTTCCCCGTCGTGCTCATGGGAATCGCCATGGCGGGCGGGATCTTCACCGGAGCGAACCCAACCTACGTGGCACGCGAGCTGGCCTACCAGCTTCAAGACAGCGGAGCAACATACCTGCTGTGCGCCGGTATGAGCCTGGACACGGGCATCGAAGCCGCCAAACTGGCAGGCATGAGCCGTGACCGGGTATACATCTTCGACAACGCCATCTACGACGGGCAAGGCCAGGCGCGGAAGGGATGTCGGTACTGGGGCGAGCTGGTAGCGTCGCCGGAAGAAGGAGCCGGATTCGAATGGGAAGACCTTTCGACGCCCGAGCTGGCAGATCGAACTCTCGTGCTGAATTATTCCAGCGGCACGACGGGCCGGCCCAAGGGCGTGGAAATCACGCACAAGAACTACGTCGCCAACATGCTTCAGTACACACATCTTGGCACGCTGAATCCAGACTATGAGGAGCGTAGGGCTCGCTCGCGCTGGCTGTGTTTCTTGCCCATGTACCATGCGATGGCGCAGAACATCTTTATCGCGGCGGCGTTGTACCGCGGCACGCCCGTTTATATCATGCCGAAGTTTGATTTCGTCCAGATGCTCGAGTATACGCAGAAGTTTCGGATCACGGATCTGATTCTCGTGCCGCCGGTTGTGGTTATGCTGGCTAAGCATCCCATTGTGAAAAAGTATGATCTGAGCAGTGTGGAGAGTGTCGGTAGTGGCGCCGCGCCGTTGGGTCGGGAGACCTGTAGTGAGGTGGAGAAGCTGTGGCCGGAAGGGAAGATAAATGTTAAGCAGGGGTGGGGGATGACTGAGTGAGTTTTTTTTTTTTTTTTTTTTTTTTTCTATGCTATGGCAAGGATCCAAAACTAAGTGGTTAAGGGCAACATGTTCTATATTGGGATGGGATCCGACGGAGAAGAGCTATTCAGCATCCGTCGGGGAACCCAATGCCAACTGCGAGGCCAAGATCATGGCCGAGGATGGGACTACCGAGATCCTGGAACGAAACCAGCGCGGAGAGTTGTGGGTACGTGCGCAGAATATCATGAAGGGCTACTGGCGGAATCCAAAGGCGACGCAGGAGACCAAGACGGCCGATGGATGGCTCCGGACGGGCGACATTGCCTATGTGGATGACCAGGGAAAGTTCCATGTGGTCGATCGGATGAAGGTATGACATATCCAGAGTCCGAGCCAAAAATAAACCAGAAATAAAAACAAGGATCTGACAAGGCTGCAGGAGTTGATCAAGGTCAAGGGCAATCAAGTGGCCCCGGCCGAACTGGAAGCCCTACTCCTGGAACACCCCGCGATAGCAGATGTCGCGGTGATCGGAGCCGTGGTGTGAGTTCTATCCTTTTCCTCTTTTTGTTCATGATCGGATCCTTGTCGGTGAATCCCTTTTCGAGTCAGATGCTAATGAGAAACAGCAACGATGACGAGCGCCCTCGCGCGTACGTCGTCCTGAAGCCTGGCCAGTCGGCTACAGCCGAAGAGATCGTCGGATTCATGGAGGGCAAGGTCTCCGCAACGAAACGGATCACCGGCGGGGTTGTATTCCTTGAGACGATCCCGAAGAACCCGTCGGGGAAGATCCTGCGCAAGGCGCTACGCGACCAGGCAGCGGTGGAGCTGAAGGGAGTCACGGCCAAGCTTTAGAATAGCATATCCTATCATATCATATCCTATCATATCATGCTTTATCCGACACAGAGGACCATATTGACATGTACACGGCGATCCCTCGCGAGGATCCGTGGTCTCGGGATGCAGAGCCCAAAGTTAAAGCGGAATCCCAGCATGAACTAAACCAACTCACGCAGCCGAGCACTGCATCGCGCTGCGTGATTCGGCGCGCGGGCCATGTTAGCGCGAGGCCCCGCCACTAACCCGACGCAGGAAAGTATACGGAGTACACGCCCCCAGCTGAAGAGGCGCGCGATCGAGATTCAAGATCGGTGAGCATCGGTGCCGATTCGACTGGTTTGACGATTCGACTCGCTTGACGATCGACGCGAGATTACAATCGCCATCCCCACAACCGCACCCGTGGCGTTGAGTCGCCATCCCTGCTCGTTCCACGTCGGATTTCTTTGACTGCAGATCTCCGCTCCGTTTGGGTGGCGCCTGGCGGCTCCAGCTGAACATCGTGGCTGGTTCGTGCACAGCTGGAATCGATCCGTTTACCCACTTTGTTTCTTTTTTAGGGAGGGGCAAGAGAGGAGGGGTTGAGTACAAGTGTGTACACTTGAGGCGACGCGCAGGAGTCACCACAAGCAGGAAAACGCCTCATCGGATTCTTGCTTTTCATTCCACATCCATCGTTGGTGATGTTGTAGGCTAATTTACTTTTTGATCCATCATCAGCATTGACTTTGATATTGGGGTCGTGATGCCGAGGGTTTCTGCCACGAACCGGATGCGTAGCGCAGATGCGCAGATGCATTAGACGTGAACTCTGTAGAGGCGCACATAGATCTCGAGCCCCGCCAGGTCTTACTTGCCGTTGATCATAGTTCATGACCTTAGGCCCCTCTATCATGCTTATAATACGGCCTCGGGGCCCGTCCGTAACCCTGGATTATTTCTCTCCCCTGCTCTCGTGATAGTGCCTTGGTGCCTCAGTGCCTCAGTGCCTCAGGGTACTCGTCAAGTTCAGATCGCTTCAACCGGATTGCATACAAGCCGTGAAATACCCATTCCAACTCATCACGGGCTTGACAACTCTAGCGGGAGGTATACTAAACGGTGGTCTCCACCCGAACGCCATGAGATCTGCGGCTCAAGGATATATTCGATCTTGCCTACCACCATTCACTTCGTGGACGCTTTACAGCGGAATCAGCCTACTCAGCTTGGGTCTGTTCCTGGCCATCCACTATATCAGACGCCGCGGTCAGCAAGCATATCTGGAACGAGAACCAGACCCTTGGTCCCAGTCTTTCGACATGGAAAAAGCAATGATCAAATCCACCTCTTCGCCGTCGGCGTCTGACATTTTGAAACCACTATCACGGAACGGCACTTTTCCAAGCAGCGGAGCCGTCGCCGCGATGGCGCGTGAGCAGATGCAGAAAACAGATTCAGGTTCAGGCTCACCGGGGGCCTCGGAAGCCGAAATCCCCACACGATCTGAAGCCGGGAACGAGGCTAGTGGATCGGTGCAAAGTCGAAGCGAGTCGGTGCAGCAGATACACGAAGGGGACACCGGCGAAGTGCAAATTTGGAGGCGATTGATTGTGGAGTATAGCTAGCTCTATGTCCTGGTATCTGATTTTTGTTTGTCCTGTTTGTTTAGCTTGGAGGCTTTCTTATTTTGCATTTTCAGTTGTACACATTATCTCTCTTCTCATTGATGTATTTCCATTTCCATTTCCATTTTGGGGGCATGGATGGATGGTTCAAGGGACTTGTTGTGATACCCTCGTTCCTTCATGGCCCGATGGAGAGCTGAGTCATCAATGACGGGCCCGGTGGCATCTTCGTTTACTTTAGTTCCAATCGCATCTTCACTCTTCAAGCCTATCACAACCATGGCTGTAACTGCTTTTCCCTCGATGGAGGAGTCTCCCGATCTCACGCTATTGAATGTGTCTCGTCTTTTTACCCGTCTCGAACACAACCTCTTATCTCCTGGGTCGGAACTGCGTATCCTGCGAGGGTCGGAGTTCCAGCGCATGCGAGTGACCAAGGTAAGACCGCTCTCGATCCGTTGTACAGAAAGCGATGGGGACAATGTCTAACCAATGCTCCGTATAGAATGTCGAATACGCGCGCACCCTTCTTTCCCAGCTCGAACGCTCTCTCCCACACTTGAAACCACTGGACCGGCGACACGAGGCACAGGCCGAGATTGCGCGTGACAGGCAGCTGCTGAAGCGGATCCAGATTGTCCTGGATGAGGAGGACGCCCGTGCGGAGGACGAGACTGAGGATGTCGAGGCAGATGACGAATGGAAGGAGTTGTTTGCTCAACCCATCGTGGAGGGGACTTCAGTAGAGGCACAGAAACAACCCCGGGTCCAAATAGACCAAGAGAAGAACAAAGACACGCAAAAAGCCAACAAGTCTACGACCACCGTAACTACAACATCACCACTCGCACCCGAAGCAACACCACCCCCCTCATCAACACTCCGCAACCGCCACACTACCCAAGAAGCCCGAAAAGACACAGCACGGACAACAGGCCGCAATACCTCCCCCAACAAACTCGAATCCACCGAACAAGCACTCACCTCCGACCGCATGGAACAAGAAGACCTCACCAGCTCACTGCTATCACTAGCCAGCCAACTGAAAGCATCATCACATTCATTCCAATCCACGCTGGAGAACGAGAAGTCGGTGTTGGACCGAGCGGTGACGGGGATCGACAAGACGTCAACGACGATGGAGGCGGCGGGGCAGCGGATGGGGATGCTGCGTAAGATGAGCGAGGGCAAGGGTTGGTGGGGACGGATGATGCTCTACGCGTGGATTTTCGGGTTGTGGCTCGTTGCGGTGTTGCTTGTGTTTATTGGGCCGAAGTTGCGGTTTTGATATTCTTTCTTTTTGTTTAGATACCCTGGATTCATACCATACTCAATACTCAAATGCATAGCCTAGTTTGAACTTTGAGTAGATTTTGGGTGACGAGAGAATGTACACGCTACGACGGATGAATGTAGTCGTCGGGAACCCGATGATTGAATTCCTGAACTCTGACTATAACCCAACGACCGACCTGGCATGACACATGAGAAGAGACATGATAATCCGTGTATCCTGTCCACAGTTCCCCGTGCCCATTGCCCAAATGGTCGCTCGAGGCTCCCAACGGACGCGAGACTAAGGAAACGATGGGGGTGACGGTATGGTTACATACAAGATCGACAAAAAGAGACAACGACGGGGTAGGGGGCAAACGAAGAGATGATAGGATATCCAGCATTCAAATCAGACAAAAGGGGGAAAGAAAAAAGGAAAGATGAAAGATGGGGGAAATAAAAAGATAACCAAAAGCCACGGCTGTGTATCGTGGCGCAGAAAAGTCCCTGTTCCGCGTCGTCGAGAGCAGAAAGAACCGGCTAGTGATCGTGTCAGGAAGCGCAATTAGAAGACACACAAGAAAAAATGGTAGCACAGAAAAGAAATGTTCAACGCCGGAATCTGGGAACGAGGCTTTTGATCACATCCTGGCGAGATCCGATTAACAAGCCGCAAATAAAATAACACATGCGATCTAGGTTCACTTGTCGACACCCGGAGAATTCATTAGATCAAACCGCAGAGACGGAGGTTCTCTTGGATAATGATATCTGGATGGAGTCAGTTTTGAATGATACGAAGGGGAAATCGAGAAGTCTTACCGTTCACAGCAGCCATGACGAAGCGGATCTGGGTGGTGTCAGTGGCGCAGGTGAAGTGGGTGTAGATCTGCTTCTGCTCTGCCTGGTTCAAGGACACGAAACGGTTGAGGATGTAGTCACAGGCAGCGGCGTAATCGGCACCGCCCTCGTAGTCGGGGAAATAGTTCTTCATCGGGCTGACGGGCAGCTTCTCCTTGAAGCGATCGATCTTGTTGAGGAAGAGAATGATGGAGGTCTTGACGAACCACCGGGAGTTGCAGATGGAGTCGAACAGAGTCAGGGCCTCTTGCATACGGTTGACGGTCTCGTCCTCGAACAACAGCTGGTCGTACTCGGAAATGGCGACCAGGAACAGAATGGTGGTGACGTTCTCGAAGCAGTGAATCCACTTCTTACGCTCAGATCGCTGACCGCCGACGTCGAACATCCGGTAGGTCAAATCGCCGATGATGAATGTGGTCTCGGTGATACCGGTGGTCTTGACACGCGAGCGGAGGACATCCTGGTCAGTGGGGAGGTAGTCGGGCTGGGCGATACGGTCAACGGCATCGAAGTAGCTAAAAGGGATAATTAGTACGGTCGTCGCAGCTATAGATCAACGGCAAGTGCAACTCACTATTTAGCGGAATCGTTCAACTGGTATTCACGCGAACGCTTGAAGCACTCCTGAACTCCGGTGTCGCGCCACAGGGCCCCGATGGCGTTGCCAACCTCCGGGGGAATGCTGTCACCCTCGATCTGTGCAGGCTGCATGAAGATTGTCTGAACGTGGTACTCGTTGCGCGCATCCTCCAGAGGCAACTCGAGGGACTCCATCGCCTCGAGGATGACCCGCATCGACTGAACGGTGTTGCTGTAGATGATCTCCTTGAAGGACTCACGCTCGTCACGCGAGTAGCCACCCTCGTGGATGAGCTTCATCTGCTTCAGAATCGTCGACTTGCCAGACTCTCCGGCACCTGTAAACCCATCGTCAGCCGACCGTCCTCCCTTTCGCGCCAATCTCGGCTGGGGTCGAATCACATACCGAGAAGCAACATCTTAATCTCGTTCCTTTGCATCATCTTGTCGCGCTTGAGCTGGTTCTCAATCTCCTCATTCCGCGCCTTTCCCTCCTTATCCTCAGTGCTCATTCCGCAACCCATAATGGCGGTAGATGTGTAAAACGAAGGTGATGCGGATGTGCGAGCCGATCGACTCGGTAGGGATCGGGGTCAATTACAGGGACTGTGTACAGAATCAGGTGTCAGCAGACTATTTTTTACCTTCGAGTGACAGGCTGGTGCGGTGGGAACGGGGACTTGGCGGACAGGTGATACAGGCCGCAGAGAGCAGACGTTTCAGGATGGGGGTTTGACGCAAGGGTGAAACGGACCACGAGAGCAGGGGAGTCAGATTTGCACGCACCGAGGATATCCCTTTGAAAGAAAGTAAAGGAATGAGTAGCAAGTGGCGTGGAGAAGTAAATAGGAAGCAACCCGAATTGGAGAGAAAAGAAGGGGAGGTTTAAGGTCGATGAAGGTAAGGGGGGGAAGAGGGGGGAAATTGGAAGATTCAGCAGGGAACGGGGATACGCTGGTATTACGGGATGGGAACCCTACGTTCACGCCGGCGAAACGAACCGTGACCGTACGGTGACCACCGGTCGACTTGGCATCGCGTTGGCCCCTGCAATTGGTTGTCGCGACGGTGGAGAACTGGCCCGTCGACTTCCCCTTTTTCTTTTTGTTTTTTTTTTTTTTTTCTATATTACTTGAACCCATCGTGCTTGTACGGCGATTCGGTCAATCGGCTCATCATTCAGTCTGTCCGCTATAGGCATAGCTAGGTCTTTACGCACCTCCATTGAACATCTTGCTTTCCCTTCAGGGGTACGGAGTAGAAGGAAACCACCTCCGACGCAGATCACTGTGGATCCCCCAGGAACTAACGTTATTGTCCGTGAGGGAGAATTTCACTCCTGTGATGATCCCCGTGAGCACGGAAAGACCATGCTATTCTGGGTCTTCGATCCGCCATGCTGACCGTGGTTCTGATGCCATTATGCACTCTCTGACACGCTTCCCGAAGCATTCTCAGCCTACTGCTTCAGCCTGGAACATGCTGAAAGAATTTCGCCCGTCACACCCGGAATCAGCCCGACTGTACATTCGATGGAGGCTTTCAGGGTGGCGACACCGCTCAAAACCTGATATCTTTGTCTTGAAGGCCAGCTCCATTAAATACCTGGAGTCTAAGCACTGGGCAATGTCGATCCTTTGTCTGGGTTATAGGACCTGGCGCCCTTCTTCCCGTAAACTACGATTGTAAACTCCCCTGATGCCCGAGAGTGCGATTGTGGAATACAAACGGGTCGGACGTTCTCCAGTCCGTTTCCAGTCGGACCACAAGCGTCGGTCGCAGTGGCCACATGGGGCGCTTGGGTTCGTGGGCTTGCGTTTCATCCGGCTGGGAGGTATTTGTTTAGCGTGGGGATGATGGGCCCCCTGAACTCATGGAATTTCTGGAATTTCTGCCTCCCATACGCTATCGCCCCCGACCCACCGTCTAGTGCTTTTAGGCTGTCTTTGCCGCGCGCCATCCCCTGCCCTCGCATTCTAAAGACATCATGGGGTTTGGGGATATGCTCCGGTTCAGTTGCTCCAATTATCCCGAGCCTTTCGGCTAAGGCCATTACTAATTCCCTCTCATCGCATCTTATCAGGGAATCTCAAATTTTTGAAATTTCGTTACATCCCATGCTCCCCTTCGAACATCCAAAGAAAAATTGAAAGACGCTATCCTCATGCAACGTCTTGCGTCCCCAGCAACGTTCAGAAGGAACGAGTCGTGAAGAGAGTATACGGGATTGCTACCCCGGGGATCCTGGTCTCCGATCGAGCGACTGGCATTGAGATACAAGGGCAGCTGCTACACTTTATGAAGCTACAGAAAATGGCAAATGACCATACAGTTTTCTATCTGACATGACACAGCCATACACTCGTTCTCACTATCGTCTCGCATTGACGCTATCAACGCCTCCGTTTGGTCCGCGCATACTGCGGATGGATTTGCCTTGCATATGCTATTTACTACCATGGGGCTTGGAGTCTGCGGTGTGTATACAAGCATCGGCTCGCAAGGTCGAAGGCTCTAACATTGAAGACCACGAGAATTTACTGCGCTAACGCCTAGAAGGGTTATAAGTGTCCAGCCCCATACGGTTTGAAAGGACTCCGTAGTGACGATACCGCCATGTGGCAGGCGTTTATACAGTGGACCGAGAGAATCCTAGACCCCACCGGTCTAGCAATAGCGCGAAGATAGCGCTGCGGTTCGCGGTTCGCGGTTCGCGACGAACGCCACGGTAGCTGTCCGCGGGAAGTGCACTATGGGAAAGGTTTGACTATTTGCGTTCTCGTCACTCACGATTTCTTCCGTATTTAGTGTAGGGAATAATTGGCGAACAGGTGAGCGCCTTAAACTCCGCTCTACATGAGCATAAGAAGGCGTAGATCAGAGAGTAACCCCAAAGGCTGTCAGCATCGCATACAATGAACAATTGGATCTGGAAAAAAAAACAAACAAACAAACAAACAAAGTACACACACCCCGTCATAGATACAAAATACAATCTGAACCCTCCGATCCACGGTACGCGCGATCTGGGAGGCGGAAATCGAACCAGCAATCGAAAATCGCGATCCGATTTTTCAGATCCCTGTAAAGTCCCCACTTAGAGATTGCACTCCTTCGCAACTGCACGTCGGAGCACCCACCAGCACCATGTCACACGAAATGTCCCACCTGGGCCCGAGGGGTATGTGTCGCGCTCCAATTGTCTACGTTTGAGCTAATCCCGTCAGCCTTCAACCACGACCAGAGCAGCGACGCCGAGCAGGAGTACGATCGCCTGCGGGACCTAGCGCGCCAGGAGGCGTCGAAGCGGGGTGAATGTTTCTCCAGGGTATGAGTTCTCTTTTCTTTCGTCGCGTTGAGATAGATTATGGAGGCTGACTATCGGCGCAGTCGAAAGAAGCCTACTCGAGCGGCAATGGCGCGGCCGCGAAGCAGCTCTCCGAGGAGGGCAAGGCGCATGGTCGCAAGATGGAGGAGTACAACAAGCAGGCGTCGGAGTTCATCTTCCGCGAGAACAACGCCAACGGGCGCGTTGCCGCCGATACCATTGACCTGCACGGGCAGTTTGTCGAGGAGGCCGAGGAGATTCTGGAAGAGCGCATCCGCTATGCCAAGTCGCACGGCCAGAATCACCTGCATGTGTACGAACCGCCATTCGCATCACGTATCCCCCCATATTACTGAACTAACTGAACTCTAGTATCGTCGGCAAGGGCAACCACTCTGCAGGCCACGTCCAGAAGATCAAGCCGCGCGTTGAGCAGATCTGCCGCGAACTGGGCCTGCAATACGCCACTGAGGAGAACGCCGGCCGGATGTACATCAACCTGACCGGCGGCGAGGCTGTCATGCCCCCTTATCAACCTCACCAGGCACCCCCACACGGCTCGCACCAGCAATACCCCGGCCAGCAGCAGACACACCACCAGCAGCAGCAGCAGCAGCCAGATGAGATTGAGCAGGTTGTCAAGTCACTGCTGCCCAAGGTCATGCGCAAGCTCGAGAAGGCTTGCTGCGTGGTTATGTAAGGCTATTTTTTGCGATCTTTTTTATCTTTGGTGTTTCAAGGGCTTATATAGAACCCATATCATATGCATGGCCCTGTTTCGTGTATATCAGACCATGTTGGGGCATTTAATATCTTTGATGAATCTGGAATCTGGTCCCGAGGGTTGGAACATCTGAGGCTGATGACTCACGACGAGGAACTTTTGCCCTATACCCTGCAAATACATGGGGGACTTTTGATCATGACTACAAGCCAGATGGCTGTTACCTAGGTACTGAACGTAATGGGAATATCATTCTTAGTATGATCGTGACTTCGTAATGTTCATCGCTAGACATAGCAAATTTGCAGTAGCAGATCGAAAGAGTATGTGAAAAAGTACAGCGAAAAACTCCGAGGCCCACTCCATGTCAACGTCATCTTCATCCGTGACTATTGTGCGGCCTCATCCGATAGCGTGGTCTCCACAATCTTATGCAAGACCGCACGCACCATTTGCCCATCCCCGGCACCGTTGATGCGGGGCGTGGCGTCGATCATCTCAATCAAGGTCAAGGCACGATCGCGTAGCTCAATCACGGTCCGGCGCGTGTACTCAAAGCTGCCCGTGCTCTGCATATAGTGCACAGCGTGACGCTTAACCTCGTCGTCCTGGGTCTTCTGCTTCAGAATACTGAGAAGCTGGTGGTTGGACGGGTTGGCGCAGATGCTATGGATGATCGGGAAAGAGAACTTGCCCTCGGTCAAGTCCTCGCACAGACCCTTGTTTTTGGTGTATGCTGTGCTGGATAGGTTGAGGTAATCGTCGCAGATCTGGAAGATCAGGCCCATCACGTTTACCAGGCTCACGCAGTCTTTCCCCGTTGCGCTCTCGGCTTGCATCAGCTTCACTGCTAGTCGGAAGAGTCCGCCCGTCTTGTTGCCCACCATCTCCAAGTACTCGTCTTCGGTTGGACAGGTGAGCGTGTCACGCCAAAAGAGGTCCATGCCTTGGCCGCGGTGGAGGTTCAGTAGCTCCTTCACGTAGATGTCGATCGCGGCGGGGTTGTTCAATTTCTGGACCTCTTGTAGCGCGAGAAAGTAGACGTAGTTGGCGGAGTTGATGGTCTGGGCTGTGCCGAATATATTGTGAGCGACGGGGATTCCGCGGCGGAGGACGGAGTTGTCTTCAACGTCGTCGATTCTGCATGATGTAGCAGGTCAGCAACATGCTTCGTCGGCAAGGGATACACCGGTAGGAGGGAAGCTTACAGTAACGACGCCGTATGCAACATGGTCACCACTTTGGAGATGATCGCCAAGCTCTCTGGCGGAACCTGAAGCCAGGAATTGAACGCCTCGATCAGCTGGCGGCGCACATCCTTGCCCGGATGCTGGTGCATGTATTCATAGGGCCCTATGAGGATCTCTTCATTTTTTGATGACCACGTTCCATCCTTGTACTTTGTGCCGTCCACGCTTGACTTATTGCGCTTGTGTCTGTGCTTCGTGGCCTGTCCCTCGGCTCGGTCCCCATCAACTACAGACTTCCTGTGTCGTTGGGACGGCGGGCTGCCTGGACCATTCGTGGCACCAGCAGAGCTTGTCCTCAGTGGGACGGGGTTTGGAGGTTGAAATAAAGAATTCATGGTGCTGTAGTAGAAGCTGGTGAGGGACAAGTCGGAGGGGAGGGGGTGGAGGGGTAGCTGATGCAGAGAGCAGATGACATAAAGCCTAGGCACCAACAATGCGAGAGAATATTATTTCGAAGCTCACCTCGTACTAGGCACGCGCAGTACGAGACAGTCAAGCTCCTGCTTCCATTCTAAAACTCATGCTTCTGAGCTTTCGGAGCCGAAACAGCTCTGGTTTGCGATCTCCGCTGACTAATCGGGCGCTGTCCGGCCAAAACGGCCAAAATCGATCGATCAATTGGCGATGCAGCTAGGGCAGACTAAAAAGACAATAAAGAGATATATCACAAATGATCGTCAATCGGGTAGCAACGGGAGCAGCATTAGTGAAAAAAGTCAAGTGGCAGTCCCCTGCAAGGTGAGCACTTTGCTACGGCAACAGACGCCGGAGTCGCCGAGTTCAGCTGGCCTTGTGCACACGGTGATAGTGACGGCAGAGCGCTGGCGACCAGAAATAGCACTTCCCCAGGGCAGAACCCGGTTTTAACAGGCTGTCAGAATTAAGCATCGACTGACGCCATGGTTTAATCTGCGCCTAGAACACAAAACCGATCTAAAAACCAGGACTAGGGGTGCCGCTGCAGAGTCAACACGGCGGGGTCGTCCGGGGCAACCGCTAGCGCTTGCCTTTATTTACTTTGGGCCGGCCCGACTGACCTCATCGGCCCCCACGGACCACCCTATCGATCCCGATTTTTGTCTTTTAGAAGCGAATCCCTTGTTTGTGATATGCTCGACAGCTGAGCGCTGTTGTCCCGTCTGGCCAACAGCTCCTTGTTTCTTTTTTTCTTTCTTTCTTCATTTTACCGTTTCATACATCCTCATGGAGACTCTGTTGGCTCATTCCTTTGATTATCTTTCCTCCTACGAGCCCAGCAAGGTCCGAAAGGGTCTGCGCCAGGTTGAGGGCCTACTGGCGCAAATTTGCCTCTCCAAACCAAAGTCGGCGGCCGACCGACGGAGATCCTATTTGGCTGTCGAAGCGCAACCGGTGCCAAAGGAGCTATCCGAACTGCGCGATGACCCGGCCTTTAGGGAATTTTTCAAGTTGCAGGAAAGCTTCCAATGGAATGGTAAGCTTCATAAAGATCGATTTGTTTATTTTGATCTCCCAACTAATCCCGATTTCTCTGTACAGTGGCAATGCGCCTAGTATCCTGCCTTGAGCACCTGCTCGGCCGCGGCAGCAATGGTACAAACGACATGCTCATTGTCTGCACCCTCGACCTGATCCAGGGCGCTCTGCTTCTGCACCCACCGTCGCGCACCCTCTTCGCGCGCGAAATCTACATGAACCTCCTCCTCGATCTGCTCGACCCGATCAACTGCCCGGCCATCCAGTCAGCCACCCTATTGACTCTCGTCACCGCACTGCTGGACTGCCCCGCAAACACGCGCACCTTCGAAGACCTCGACGGCCTTCTCACCATTACATCGCTTTTCAAACAGCGCGCCACTTCACGTGAGGTGAAATTGAAGCTGGTGGAGTTCTTGTATTTCTACCTCATGCCCGAAACGCCCATTCTAGCCCCCGGGGGTAGCCCACCAGGTCTGCAGCGCAGCCCCAGCAAGCTTTCCACTCGCCCGCAGAGCTCACATGCCTCTGCGGCTGGTGGGGGCAAGATGCTCCGAGATACGCGGACAACGGACGAGAAGCAGGCGCTCTTGGGCCGTTACCTGAACAACGTCGAGGACCTTGTGGAGGACCTCAAAGAAACCGCACCCTTTGGGGCAACGGTGTACTAAATGAAAGCTGAGGCGATGGCTGGACTTCCGCCCACGACAAAATGTGTTTGAGTTTTGATTCTTTTCTTTTCCAGCCTCTTTTTTTTTCGGTTCTTCAGCCTTCTTATTTTTCGATTCTCACGAGCTTTATGTTCCGTCCGGTACGGCGTGATTATGTTGTCAAGCCTGATGCTGTTTCCCGCTCCCTGGTTTCTTTGTTCGACTTCCATTATCCTCTTTCCTCTTTTTTCCTACTTGTGTTCTTTTTTCACCTCTTTCGGCATTCCTCTCCAATTCTGGGATTATGTCGACCTCCCGATAGGCTTCTTGCCTCGTTTTCCTTGTGTGTCTTTAATGGCGACATGATTGTGTACGATTCTTCTCTGTCCTATTTTGACTCGAATATCACGAATTTGTATACTCGATCCACATGTATCGTTCAGTAGAACATGGCTCCAAGCCCGGTTCGTAAGTAGGCCATCCCAACCCGGGGAGCCAACACGTTTAAAATCATGTCGATGTTCCGCGCCCTGCTGCGGGATTATCGATCGATCATTGGCTGGTGCTCGTGCGGAGGATCCTTGTGCGGTGGATGCCGAGGCCACTGTACTTTTTTTTTATTGCTTCGTTTGAGTCATCTCTGGGGTGAGTCAACTCTGTTCAGCGTTTAAAATTTACCCTGGACCAATATTGTGGAGAACATCGAACCATGCCCCGAACTATATATCCCCACTTTCCCCTCTTGGCTCCGATCTGAGAACACCTGCTTCAAGGCTCACCTTTTTCGGCAACATGACGATGACAATTCAGGAGCAGCTGGCTGAGAAACCTCACAATGGAGATCCCCAACCAGTTCAATATGTCGGGACAGTGGAGGCGTACGATAAGTGGGCAGAGGTATGTTCTAGAGCCAGGACCCCTTGGAACTTTCCAAGGGTTGAACCAATAATTGTTTCCCAGATTGCAACATATATATTCAATTTACTAACATTGCCAACAGGTCTACGACACAGATGGTAACTTCCTTCAACGCATCGACACGATTGAAATGCGGGCACTGCTCCCTCAATTCCTAGACCGAGTGAACGCACGCTTCCGGACCCAGTCACAATTATCCCCACTGAAGCTACTCGACCTGGGATGCGGCACGGGCAGAAACACGATCCAGCTACTTGAAGCACTATCCATGCGCCAAGAAAGCGGAGCTATTTTGCTCCCCGAGGCAGAAGTCGTGGGTCTTGATGCCTCACCCGGCATGCTAGAGGTAGCGCGAAGCGCAATCCAGGCCGCCGTCACGGAGAAGGGCCTCCAGGGCATGCCGGAGGTTTACTTGGGCGTCGTCAATCTCCTGCAAGGTGCATCGGCCAAGACACAACTACCTCCATCGCTGCAGGTGTCGGGTGCTGCTGGTGTCATTTCCACACTCGTGCTTGAGCACATTCCCGCGAAGGAGTTTTTTGAGGCGGCGTCGGCGATGATGGTGCCCGGCGCGTATCTACTGGTGACAAACATGCACGCGGATATGGGTGCGATTAGCCAGGCTGGGTTCACGGATCCGCAGACCGGGGTCAAGATCCGACCCACGAGCTATTGTCACACCGTTCCCGAGGTGTTGGCGGCGGCTGAGAAGGCTGGTTTCCAGATGGAGCAGTTAATGGGCGAGGAAGGGGAGAATGGAGTCCTGGAAAGGGGGGTCGATCAACAGTTGGGTGAGACGTTGGGTGCACGGGCGAAGAAGTGGGTTGGAATCAGGGTCTGGTTTGGGATTTGTTTCAGCAAAACATAGCAGAAAAATCAATCAGATGACTCAGTGGAGATAATGATTTCTATTCAGGCTGATAATTATACATTTAGAAAAACTGCAGCAGTCTTTCCCGGTGTTGTACAAGATTGGTGTGTTCTCGGAGTAGTTGGGCGAGTCGGTTCTGCTTCCATCCCATGCCCTCGTCCAGAATAAGGTGTGTGTAGGCAAATACGCTGGCATCGAAGAGGCCGGGCTTTTGTCGGCCGAAGAAATGTTCATCTTCTCCGAGTAGGGCGGACAGAGCTTCGAATGCGCTCTTGGCGTCTCCTTCCAAATCGGCCACATCGATGTATTTTGATGTCTTGAGAAGCTCATCGCGCGCTGCCTGCTGAAGTTGTATGCCCAGGGCGGTGCGAACGATGGTATTTGTTGTTGCAGGGATCACATAGAGTCGGCGGGCAACAGCCTCGAAGTTTTCGCTGTCGAGATACAACATGTACAACTAGATCCATGTCAGCAAGGCCTATATGGTGGATTCCTCAAGGCTTAGGTGACGACATACCCAGGCATTGCGTAACCGGTGATCCAGCAGCGATGCGTAGACTTCGAACCGAAGGTTCAATTGCTGCTCTTCTTCACAGTGAACTTGTTCAATGGCCCACTTCTGAAGCTTATGTGAAGGAATAGGACCGGGTGCACCGGCGGGGAGAGCGGGTAGAAGGAATGGTAAGGCGCCGGTGGGCGATGCATGGTTGTTGGAGGGGGTAACCTCGAAGTCGATACCGACGAATTTCAGATACGCCTGCGGGAGATCAGTACAGCTGCTTCGTAGATACATTGGGCAGATCTCGTACCTGCCACTTCAGACATTGCGGGTTGAATGATGGTCGACCATGGCGCGCGCTCTTCGCGTCGCTAAAGACATACAGCTGGTTCTCATATCGCCGGGACGGACACCGCTGCGGGAGGTCATTGGGGGAATACGTGATCAACGGAAAGCGGTCGAAAAGGCGTTTGATAGGAGCTGGCACTGTGAAGAACGAGTGGACAGCACTGGTACTAGCGGAGCTGGTACTTTCTGGCTGTGGGCCTTCACTGCCTTTGGGCGGCATCGTGACTTTCTGCAGGAGGATCGGAGCAACAAGGGCCTCGGCCACTAAACCGCGACGATTACCAGCCGGAGCGGAGAAAGCTGTATTCCGGGATCCACCGCCCCGCCGACCAGGCAAGTCACGTGCGCAATCCCCGGTCATGCGCGATACTGAGAACCACTCGCAACCGCGCTTAGGTAACCTGTTCCCGAATCGTTTTCTTCCCATCTTTTTCATGTCGTGCCTGAACCTCTCGGAACTCGTATCCTTACTTCGTCGCCCTGTCGTCACCTCGCCGATGCCCATAACTCACCTCGTCTGTTCCGATCGGCCTCGGTGAACCCTCCCAAACGCCGACTCGTGGTTCCGGTCGACCCCGCTTCAAATCTTGACCTTACAGAGACGCGAAACGGCACGATATCTCTACAGATATTCACCGTTATAACTCTTGAAAGATCGGTTTCCATTCGTTTTACGGCCCTGTGCCAAAGTCTGCGCTGGCAGACGGTGTTTGCGGCACTAAGCACTCAGTTATCGTCATCCGACGATCATCGCGGTTCTTCGATCACACCACCACCACCTTCCGCCTACGACTATGCCTCTCGATGAAGAGGGTGCCAAGTGGTCTTGGTATGATTGCCCGCCTGAACGGACAGTTATGCATGTGCTGACAAGACTTTGATTTAGCGAACCGTGCATTCGCGGCCACCGATCCTCAAAATGCCAACACTTCGACAGACTTATGATGAAAGTACCCAAGGCTGGACGCCCCCTGGCCAAATGTCCTCATCCGAAGGGATCTTGCAGTTGCCAGAAAACATTTGCGTTCATGGTCCGGATTCCGAAAGGTAGACAGCTCATGGTCTTTCATACTAGACTCCATTAACATAATCCTAGGCTCGACTTGTTTATGCCGGCCCCTGTATAAAGTCCCTGCAAATACAGATGATTCCTCGCAGCCTATCCCGACACCTGTGCCCCCGGTTTCGTCTTCTTCGGGCAAAGTGCAGAAACCGGGAAGAAGACACAGCAATATTCAATCAACGTCGGGAAATCTTGCGAAGGCGCTGGAGTCCATGCCGGACAATCCTAAATTCGAGGAGGGTGTGGCCAATTACGCGGCAAGCGTTCCTCACCACTCTGAACAGAATGGTTGTCACCCAACACCTCACCCAAGCATGCATTCGAGCAATGGCTTTTCACCTGCACCTGTATCCGATGAAGCTACCATAAATGGATCCAGCTGCTGTTCCAAGAAACCTCAGCCCCCACCAGTAGCTTCTAATGGTGGAGGTTCTTGCTGCTCTGGAAAGTCTAGTGCACCCCCGACACTCAATACTATCTTCAATGGGAATGGGGTCAAGACGAGTCAACCTTCTGGCTGGAACGGCATGTCCTACGTGGATTATTCTGCACCCCAGATGCCTGCTTGGCAAAACCCAATGGCCTCTGCCCAAGGCCAATTCATGCAGACTTTGGGAATGAATAGCGCTCAGTCCCATCCACTTTACATGCACGATTACCAGCCAGATGTGTCCTCTACACCATCTTACTCGAATACGATGAATGGTCTTGGGGTTACGCAGACAGCCGTGACTCAATTCGCGTCGAACCATTTCCAAAAGTCTTCCTACGCCCCTCCCCAGCTTGGCGCCGATTCTTGCCATGACTGCGAATGTGGAGATGAATGTCAATGCCTAGGCTGTGCGACCCACCCATTCAACAACACGACCCGCCAACATGTCCAGGAGATGGGTGTTATGATGACCTTCGATGGAGATGAAAATTCCCCCGAAACCATCACCAATGCCTACCAGCCATCTCCCTTCCAGGGTACTACCCCATCGACTCCATTGAGCTTCGGTTTCATGCAACAAAACCCTTCAATGGAAAGCACTGCCCAGCAAAACTCCTTCGATCCGTACTCAGACCACAACTCGACCATGTCCTCTGGCTACTCCTCTCCTCTCCGCGCCAGCCACCTTTTGAACCAGCAGTTGATGCACCCATCTGAATACTACACTCTGGAGTACCCGGTGGGAATTCCGTCAACTTGCTCCGACGTGACGGGTAGCTGCCAATGCGGCAATGACTGCAGCTGCGTTGGCTGTCTCACACACAGCGGCCACAATGGCGTGTCTTTCGAGGCACCTACCCCGGACCCATCTACTACCCACACGACAGAGCAGCAACCCTCATCTCATTGCCATACTCCTGCGACGTCTGTCGGTAACCATACCTCGCATATTCCTGTGCTAGAAAGCATCTCAGTCCCATGCCTGAGCCCACGCACGCTTGAGACATCCATGATATGATTCGGTGCCCAATGCGACGCCCTATTTCCTTTCTGATTCCCCCATCCTGACCAAATCACTTTTCTTGCACGATTTATGATGTATGATGATACCCTTTAGAAATCTCTGCTCTAGAAAGCTGGCCGCAATGCAGCTTGCTACACGGAATGAACTTATTGAAATCGCTCTACAATTTCGAGAATTCTTTGCTCTTGAGACTGCCGTAATTTAGCATTAATTACATGCATGACCTTAAGTAGCAAACCAAGGAAGACTTGTAAATACATACATACACCCGGGCCAAGAGATATTGGAAATGGGCCTACATACTTTATTCTCTTGGTCCTTCTAACCCTCCTCGGTATTTCTTTGAAAGTCATTCTAGACATCTTTCGATTCATATTTAAGTATCTTTCTAGACGTTCTTCGGATATGCTCGGATAGATAGTCATGACCGCCTAATTAGGCACGCTTACAGCATCTCCTTCGTCCGAATGAGAGTCGATTTCTCAAAGCTCGATAAATGCCAATAGGTTAAGGTTGGTTATGAGACATGGTAGTCTAAGTAGTGGAAGGCCGTTCGAGGACGAGCTGGTGGTTGGATGCGAGAAATATCTGAACTTCTCGCTAGCAATTGAGTGTTGCAGAGAGAAAGAGAGAATAATTGAAAAGGAAGAACTAATTATGGTAAACCTTGAAATGGAACGTTCAAGCTTGACAAAACACTTTAAAAGCCTAATCCGACGAAATATATCTCCGGCTTGAATTTTAGTGCACACCGAGGAAATGCATGGAAGCAAAGCAGCAAACGTGGGGGTATTTGGGAAGCAGCGATAACACATTACATAATCTCGCGGCCGACTTTATTCCAACCTCTCCTCTTGGCCTACAAAGGACTTTTTATTTCCAGTCATTGGAGCCTCCTTCAACTACTCCACAAGCTACTTCACTGTGGAGGAAAGAACTTGAAATCCCTGGTGTAGCCTGCTCAGCTCGAAGCACTTGGAAATGGCCGCTCGTCCGTGACGGGTTTCTTCCTACTTATGAAGCGGTGCACATTTCACGGCAACAGTGCTGGCGCGGAAGGGATTACTTTCTCTTTATAGAAAACTGCTTGCTTCATTCTCTTATCTCCCAGGCTGACGATCTCAACCAAACCTGTATGGCCTACCGGCCTGTACGCCATGTCTGAACTCCTTCCAACAGTGGAGGCGCCAATGTCGCAGGACATTCGAGCCCATTATGTCCGCACGCAGGAATATACATCGGCTCCGAAATATCCTCCCGGGGCCATAATCGGCTCTGCACTGGGCTACTTTGGTCATGAAGATTACGAAGACGACAATGACACCGTCGTTGTTGACAGCAAAATTTTCAATCCCGCCACGCATCAATTCTCTGAGGGCGACTTCATTTGTCCCGGTTTCTTCAGACTTGCACATCTGGATGGCTTCACGCGTCGTTTCAAGTTCAATCAATGGTCCTACGAGATGCGTCGTGAAGCACAACCTATCTTTCCGTTCCTATCCTTGGGCCCGTCTTCTTGCCTCAGAGACCGCGAATTTCTCTGTTCCCAGGGGTTCACTCTTCTCCTCGCTATCCGCAACAGCCACTCTGCCCAGGCTCGTCTAGTCTCCGGCGATAAGGCTGCTGCTGAACTCGGTGTGCAAGCTGACACCATCGACGTTCTCGACAACCGAGAGCTGATATCCGCTTTTCCACGCGCCATTCGTCGTATCAATGATCATCTCGCGGGTGTGGATGCCGATGTCTCTGGTAATGCAAAAACGACCCAAGCTTGCCATTTGCCCCTCAAGAAAAAGATTTTGGTCTTCTGTGAATCCGGCAACGAGCGATCTGCAGCGGTGGTCATCGCCTATATTATGGTGATGCTCAATATGGATGCAGGACATGCCACCCGCTTGACTCAGCAGCACCGCTTCTGTGTTTCCATCGAGGATCCGCTGAAATGCATTCTTTTCGCGTTCGAGTCCATTCTCTCGGCCAAGCGTGACGTTGAGCACTCCAGACGCGCAAACACACAGACCGGAACAGCAACACTCGCCCCTCCAGTCGTGCCGCCTGTCTTACTTTCCAAAAAGCGAAGCTTTGCGGACCGTCGTGATGATGATGCCGACATGTCCGATGCTGACATGGACGTCGACAGCGAAAGCGACATCTTTTCTGAGCGGAAACCTATTGCTCCCTTTCAGGACCGCGTGGTATAGACAGAAACCGACAGGAGAACCTCAGTGGCGTGGTATGGCAGCTTCATTCAACTTATCAAATACTCCATGGCTCACTGGCTCCAATTTCCGTTTGCCGGAAATATTCTGCTAAAGTTGCTCGTTGCTTAATGAATATTGGCCTTTGCCCTTTGACATTGTATAGATTCCAAAATTGTTCGTAGCTTGTACGGACTTGATGGCACCTGAGTAGACATGAGTGAGAGCGGTGCCTGGGGAGTAGCCTGCCATCGTCAGTTGAGTTCAACTCATTTGAGTCGTGCTCGCCTCCTCTCTCACTTCAGCCCCCCTATCCTATTCTCCTCTTCCACTCTTCCTTCTCCCCTCCTCATCATCCACCATTCTTCTTATCCTCTTTCGGCATTTATCATCTTCAATCTCTTAATATTTGCATTCAGCTACTTCCTGGCAAGTCTTCCTTTGTCACCATGAGTGATATGAGGCTTCGGCCCACCATTCGGGCCCCAGTGCGATATGGTGAGGCTAAACCCGAAGAGCCAGCAGCATCGGCGTCGCAAAGTATGCACATTATTCGTGATCTGTCCAGCAGCGGCGGTGATGAGAAACTGTCAGCGAGCTCTCGCCGGCGGAAGTCACCGGTGTGTCCTCGTACCAAGTCATACGATCCCAACCGGCCTCCGATTCCATGGTGTACCAGGCCATACCCCGGCCAGGCTGAGAACGAGGGCTGGACGGAGGCGTACAGCATCTATCGCGAATCACTGTATCCGCCTGCGTCCCATGGTGTACCCGAGAGCAGTACCGAAGGCTTCGTCATAAGCAGGGCCCTGACGAACAATGGTGAGTTCGAGGATGTCCCCGAAGATAACCCAGGAGATGAGCGCGATGGAATTGGCTGGGTACGCAACCCCCGTACGAGCTCCAACCGATCTGTAAGTTCAAGTTCACTCCTCCCATTGGACAAGAACGATTGAAGTGATACTTGCTGATACAAAGGCCATGGCTACCTAGACTCGTCTTGATTCGCGTGTCCTACTCAGTGACCTGAAGCCCTCACTTCAGGTCGAGATATTCCACAATTATGTGGCGGAGCTTGATGAACATTGGTACACGGCGCAGGAAAACCTAGATATTACAGGTGACGAGTACCTAAAGCTCGTTGGATACTCTCAACACTATAACAAATCTATCGACGCTGAAGACCGTACGCTTCATTGTTTCAGAAAGAAGCAGCGGGAAGTCCTTCGGGATCACGAGACCGGCGAGTCAAAAGATTCAGTTGAGGACAGACTCAACAGGCTCGAGATCTTCAATTTTAGGAAAATGAACTGCCAGAGACACAAGTTCCATGATGACGAGGTCATGATCGCGAACACAACAGAGGTCCTCGAGAGTTATCGATTCCTGGACCGACTTGAGCTTCCCCGGAGCCTTGCTGGAACCTGGAGCAACGGCTCGGAGACAGTGTTCCGTGGACAGTACGATCACCCCACGCCTGAGCCAGAAACGTGGGAAAGAAAGGAAGATTCTTCGACGCGGCCGCAATACTTCGCGGACTTTGATGAGTATGTCCTTACACACACGGAATCCGGACCTGGGAATGCTTTCATCCAGGGTATTGGCAACAGTAGCACGACCAATCCAGTAGCGATTCTGACCCACGAAGGACAAGGTACCGAAGGAGACACGCCGTTCTGGTTTACTGACCACACACAAGGCTCACATGCAAACGTTAGCGATTTGCAGGCCCGTTACCAGTGGCAATTGACGCAGGCTGGCCTCGAGGGTGGATAGACTCGAGAAGGCTTTGTTCAAAGCTGAGCTTGAGGATGCTCTGAAGGAAGCAAGCCCCCATGCTCAAGTTCAACAATCTGACGACGATTATGACTTGATGATGATGGATGAACCGCTGGTACCCGATTATGACCATCCCTAACAATGTGACCTAGGAGGGTAATGATGGGAACAATATGCAGGGGTGAGCTCTTTGCAATGATTATGCTGCTGACTGGTGATTTATCTCTGCAACCATTTACACCCGGATCTATGCATACACCATGCACGATTATGATGATGGTCCCAGACAGCTATCACCTGGGCATTGCACTTCGTGATGAACGCCTCGTTGAAGAATGGACTCTAATATGTTTTGAAAAGGAACATGGCCAGAGCGGATCGGATTTGAAATATTACGTTATGATGATTGTCTCATGGAACAAAGAAAAGCAAATAAGAAAAAACCAACAAGAGTGTGACTATGAAAGGAAGGGTCATGCAAGTCGCGTAGTTACCAGCAATCTAAAAATGGCCCGTGCACCGACACGAAAATCCGCGTCCACGCGCGCCGCTGTGTATCCTGTGCATCTCGCATCCAACACACAATTTGCACCAGACTTGAGTAATTTACCTTGTGAGGCTCAAACATCGGTCATAGCACAGCCGAGTACACCTCACCCTGTTTTTTTCATGGTCAAACTTTGATTTGGTTGCGAATCCTCATCCCTGGGAATGACGTCTTTCCTCTCCGGACCCTGACCTATCGGCCTCCTTTCTCCCCTTCATTTCGCAAAGTCAACCAGGCACTATGTCTGCCGCAAACTCACCGATCACCCCGGCCGATTCGCGGGCTGGCACTCTGCAGCCGGAGTCAACGGTGCCATCTTCGCCGATGACCGACCTCACTCTTCAAGACACAAAACTTCCGTTGGAAGAGACGAACGGCGAGGACGAAGAAAATGGAAAAGAGAAGGCCAATATTGAAGAAGGCGGGCCGTCCGATTTTGTAGAAGATACCGAGGGAATGGATACCAAGTCGAAGGCCCTGATGCATTTGTTGAAGACTAGTTCGGTAAGCTGCAGCCACGGTCTGTGCATTTGCCTGTGAATCTTCTCTTATTTTAGGTTTTCCTGCAGGTGTTTGTTGCTATCATGTCTGAGAAGATGCAGAAGCAGCAAGAAGAGGCCCGACAACAAGCGGCCCGACAGAAACAGTCACCCCCAGAACCAAAGGCCAAGCCCGGGGCCGCACCCGCTGCTTGTCGTGAGACTCGAAACCGGGCTGCACAACACTCCGCCGCTGAAGATACGTCTACTGGTAATGAGTCTACAACAGGGAGGAAGAGAGGCCGTCCGAGAAAGAGTGCTGGGAAGGGCAATACCATTTCGAGCTACTTCCAGAAGGCCGATGTCGAAGTGACCGAAGACAAACCGACCGTGCAGGAGGCTTTAGAACAGGCTGCCGACGAGTACGAGGCCAACCCGACCGCTCTCGGTGAACAAGAGCTGGTGGCAACTCAACAGCCGACGCTTGTGACAGGCGGCCGCATGCGAAAGTACCAACTGGAAGGCCTCGAGTGGCTCAAGACACTGTGGATGAATGGCCTGTGTGGCATTCTTGCTGACGAAATGGGCCTTGGGAAAACAATCCAGTCCATTTCGATGATTGCTTTCTTGAAGGAAAACAACGTCTCGGGACCATTCCTTATTGCAGCACCCCTCAGCACCTTGAGCAACTGGGTGAATGAGTTCAAGAGATGGACTCCTGATATCGATGCGGTCTTGTATCACGGATCTAAAGACGAGCGCGCAGCGATTCGGACCAAGCGTCTGAAACTACGCGATCAGATGAAAATGGATTTCCCCATCGTGTGTACGTCTTATGATATATGCATTAATGACCGAAAGTTTTTGGCTCAATACCAGTGGCGATACATCATTGTGGTATGTACCTGTACCCTCATGGTTGCTTTCAGCTCGTATCACGCTAACCAAATCCACAGGACGAAGGCCACCGCCTCAAGAACATGAATTGTCGTCTGATTAAAGAACTTTTGTCCTACAACTCGGCTAACCGCCTTTTGATCACCGGTACTCCGCTTCAGAACAACATTTCTGAGCTGTGGTCATTGCTGCACTTCCTTCTTCCCGATGTCTTTAATGATTTGAATAGTTTTGAGAGTTGGTTCGACTTTTCCTCTGTCCTTGATGACAATGGCCAGGCAGAGTTCATTGAACGACGGAAGCGAAACCTGGTTTCTACCATGCACTCTATTCTCAAGCCCTTCCTTCTTCGGCGAGTGAAGACAGATGTGGAGGACTCTTTGCCAAAGAAGCGGGAATACGTTTTGTATGCTCCGATGACACCGGAGCAGAAGGAGCTTTATCGGGAGATTATCAGTGGAACCGGCCGTCAGTATCTCGAAGGAAAGGCACTGGAGCGCCTGACGGCCAAAAATCCAAGTCTCTCGCGCTCCTCAAATCGGAAACGTCGCCGTGAAAGTGACGAACCGGAGTCTTCCAACAAAAGCCAAAAGTCGACCGGGACTGATACTCCAACCAGTGAGACCAGTTCTCGCAGTAGCGCCGCTCGCCGGCGCCGCGTGAAAACTTACAAGGAGGACAGTGACCGCGACTTTGACGCCAAGCTGCGGAGACTTGAGCGCGGGATCCAGGACAAGGAGGTGACAACTGAGCCCAGCGAGGATGAGCTTGAGGAAATTGAGCGTGCCAAGAATTTGAAGCTTGCCAGTACGTACCGGCTCGGTCTCCCCCTACCACCGAGACGCAGCTAACACGTTCAACAGAAAAGGAAATCGCCCAGAAAAAGATGCAAAACCCGGTTATGCAAGCCCGCCTGGCGTGTAACTCTCCGCACAACTTTTACTGGCCTTGGAAAGACGAATCATATGCCGTGGATGAATCTCTCGTATCAGCATCTGGCAAAATGCTTCTTCTGGACCGATTGATTCCTTGCCTGCTCAAGAAGGGACACAAAATTCTCATCTTTTCCCAGTTCAAAACCCAGCTTGATATTCTCGAAGAATGGGCTATCGGGTTACGCTCTTGGAACTGCTGCCGCATCGACGGAGCCATCGCCCAATCTGATCGCCAGTCACAGATCGAAGCCTTCAACAAGGACAAAAAGCACAAAATTTTCCTTCTCAGTACTCGTGCCGGCGGCCAGGGGATCAACCTCACCGCTGCAGATACCGTTATTCTGTTTGATTCAGACTGGAACCCGCAGCAAGATCTGCAGGCTCAAGACCGCGCTCATCGCATTGGTCAAACCAAGCCGGTAATTGTCTACCGACTGGCTACCAAGGGCACCGTTGAGCAGACCCTCCTGGAGAAAGCCGACTCCAAGCGCCGACTGGAACGTCTGGTCATCCAGAAAGGAAAGTTCCGTTCTCTGCTAGATCCCAGTGCCACTGCTCAGGACATGGAGGAGCTACGGAAGGCTCTTGGCGAAGACGATTTCGAGCGCTTTGAGACAGGTGCCAATCCTGAGTCTATTTTGTCTGATCATGACCTTGAGATCTTGACAGATCGCAGCGAAGAGGCTTATGTCCGTGCCGAGAAGGGTCTGGAACAGAGCGGCCCTGCTTTTGTTGCAGTCGAGACCAAGCGCGATGGCGGTGAATCCCTTATGGCTTGAAGTTTAATCCCTTTTTTTTTGTGGCAATGTCCGGCGTCGCGGCTGTATTGATTTTACGTTTTAGCGTTGAGCCAGTGGCCTGGCTGGATACTTAGACCATCTCATGGGAGTTCTAGAGTGGCTCTGGGTGGATTTGCGTGGTTCGGATATCTGGGATAACGAGCAGGTGTAAATACCTGCAATACTGTACAATACGTGGCTTTGATTTGCTTAGAGATGCATAACAGCCAATGCAAGAAACAAGAATCCATTGTGCGCCTGCAAGCTCCGTGCCAGGGACATGGCTGTACAAAGAACAAACGAGGATAGATCCAACAATTAATCAACATTAAGCGCTCATCGTCGGGCACGCTCATCTTCGATCTGCGAGCGTAGGTCCGCAAGGACTCCCTTGCGCTGGGCTAGATGACTCTTCAAGCCCTCAACCTGATCGCCCACGGTCTTAACATCCTCCCTCGCGCGCTCCAGGTCCTGTCCATCCTTCGAACGGCCCACGCCTTCCCGCAACTCACGGAGCTCCCGCTCCTTATATTCCAGAAGCTGCAGCGTCTCCTTCTTAATGAGAGCCCAGTTGGGGCGACCATCGTTGCCGGGGCGATCACGACGGTTCTCCGAAGCCTGGTTGGCGGAATTGAGCTTCGCTTCAATCTCTGATAGCTCCCGGCGCAGGCGGACCTTCTCCCATTCTTCATCCTGAACAGTCTCGCTGAAATCGGTGCCCTTAGGCTGGTACGAGCCCTTGCCACCAACGCCCAGTCGGCTCAGATATGTGTCACCGAACTTGGCCTTGCGGCCGGTTCGCGTCTCTTGATTTCCGTCGGCGCCGTAGCGCTGTGCAGGCGCGTTATCAATCTGGTAGTCGATCTGGTTGCTCTCGAACGAGGACCGCAGCGAGGCGGGGATGGTGCGCGGAATGCGAAAGCCTTCATGGCGGTAGTTAAGGATATGCAGGAATGCCAGTGTGGCGTCTTTGTTGATGGCCTGGCCGGCGGAAGGGTTGACCAGGTTCCATGCGGAGCGGATGTCGGTATCGGGGACGTCAAGGGACTCGTAGAGGGGTTGTAGGGATTGGACTGGAGCTCCAAGGTTAGCGGCTTGTTTCAAAAACGCAGGTATGTGCTAGAGATGGCGACTTACAGGTAATCTGCCCACGGTGGTCACGGCTGGAACTGTAGATTTCTTCGTACTTGGACTTGTCGGCGGGCTTCATATACCAATCGAAGCCGTCCTTCAGCCCGAGTGTGTCGTCCTCATCTTCTATCCGCTCGAATTTCTCCTGACCACCGCTCAATGCGCGTGTTGCATGAACGAGATGTGACTTTGACTCCGGGACCAGCCAGTCTGGCAAAACAGGCGGGACGTCTTGTAGCTCCTGTATTCCGCCACGTCAGGGCCCAATCTTGGATCGTTTCACGAAGCTTTGGAGGGGTATACGTACGCCGTTCACAAGGTCGAATACTAGGCGCATAGCGACGCAAAACTCCTCAAAATCAAGCTCGCCGTCGCCGTCAACATCCGCAATGTCCCAGACCTTCTCGAGCTGATCATCGCGGAGCCGACTATTGCGCAGCACGGAGGCGGCTTGGGAGCTATTCAGGTGCGTCTGGCCGTTTGCCAGCGAGGCAAAGATCTCCCAGTAGCGCTCGATCTCCCATTGCTCGATCTTTTTGGAGGACATGGCGGGACTGGGGTGTTGTGGTGGAGGGGAGGATGGGGGAAATTGGGGTGAGGTTGGACTTATCCGCTGTCCGCCTTCAGGGGATCTGAGCTCATCGTTGTTTACCCCAACTTGTATACTTCAATCATTACAGGGGTCATCGATAGTCTCAATTGCACATTTCTATTGAATTTTGTTCTGCAAATATAGCAGGCTATGGTACATCAATCATTGAGTGGGTTATCGGAGTAGAGTGCGTTCTATCCGCTTTCTTCTCCAAGGCCACGAAGATCTCATGAATCCTTCTTCTCATCTGAGGACTTGGCTTCTTTTTCTTTTTTCTTTTGAGCCTGGAGCTGCTCACTGACTTGAACGATAGCCCGCTCAGCCTCCAATGCCAGCTCCGGAGCTTCCAAGATCGTGGCGAGTTTCTTGGCGTCAGACATCTTCAAAAGCACACGGTCCTCGCTCTGCTCGAAGTCCTCGACCATTTCTGAAGCTGGCGTATCAATGGGGGTATTGTCGAGTATCCGGGATGCCCGTTTGGCATACAATTGTTCCAGACCGGGCAGGGAAACAGACTTCAGGAGATCCTTCTCTACAAGAAACTCCAGGTGTCGCGAGCCATTCAACGCTGTCAAGTGCTCGTTAGCGTCATAAGCCAGGTTCATGCATGAATATTGACTAACCCCGCCAATGGGACCAGCCTCGATATACTAGGTAGAAAAAGGGAATGTTGGGGACCCTGCATGGTTTCTCATCAGTATGGGAAATCGCCAATGACACGACAATTCCAGAGAAACGTACACCGGAATCAATCCCAAAGGCGCTGTGATCGGCGCAAATCCAAAACTCCACCACATCTTCTTTCGATGGAATTCTTGTCGTTCTGTAGCGATAGAGCGTAATATGGTCGGGATCTTCTCCAGTCGCACTGCATTGCCCGGGAACAACACCTCGATCTTCTTCTTGCCGTGGTCCTTATCGATCCGTTGCTGCGAAGCGAGCGACGGAATACTCTTGAGGCCCCATTCTTCAAAAGGAATCCGCTGTTGGACTCGATTGCCCCAGGTCACCAGGTGCTTTTTCCAGCCCTTCTCGGCCTCTTCCCAGCTAGCCCAGGTCTCAGCCGCCTTGCTTGTAGCTCGGTCGAGCAGTGATAGCTCCTTCGGTATGTCTTTCCGGAGAGGCCGAGCGTAGATCAACGCCCGTCGTGTCGAGATGGGGATCAGAAAGAGGCGCATCGCCGCGGGGTCGGGATGGATGGTTGGAGAAAGGTGACTATCGCAGGGAGCACGATAAAATTAAGGAGAATATGTGTAGCATGCCTTGTGCCCTGCGAAGCCCGAAAGTTTCAAGTGGTGTTATCGAAGAGGTATCGAAAGGGAGCCCCAGGATGGAACACGGGGAGGAAATCGTAAGCAGGGCAGACGTCATTCCGCGCCTGGCGATTCTCGTTTGGTCCTCGGAGATAATCTTGGACCCATCACCTTCCCTCTCCACTTGGTTTTGTTTTTCCACGCGTGGTATTTGTGGTTCCGCGGTTGGAAGCTTGGATTTGGGCAAGTGACTGGCCCTTTCCCCCAAGATTTTCGAGCCTGGTGATGCGCGCGTTGCATTGACTTCTGCCGCAACTGTTTATTGCCTTTGCCTACCATGGATGCGACGAGCAGCTCCCCGCCCGACAACGGTACAGGGCGAGTTTTCGACGAGACCATCGCTGAAAAGGTGCCTTCGGGCTTTGGATCATCCGCTCTACATTCAAACCATTTGACCGTGGACACCCACGCCGGCGCTCCCCGAAATACTCCTTCCCACTTTCGAGCCACAACACCCCGAACGTCAGATGGCCAGTCACATGAAGAGCTCGTCCGACCACAACAATTTACCCCACGGACTCTACCTCGTATGTATAAACCTCTCCTTCTAGGATTTCCCATACTGATAGCTTTCCGTAGCTTGGATTCGACCGGTCAACACAGTCGAAGACGACGGGGAGGATGCTACAGCAAGTGACCGCCTATTGCCCTCGCAGCCAAACGATGCGCGTGTCGCTCAGCATAACTATTCCCCTCATAAAACCTCCCGGCCGGAATTTTCCCTGTGGAAAGACCGAGCTCTTCTTGAGGAGAATCGGTCACCACCGCTCCACCGGGAATCCCGCTGGAAGACATTTTCGCGCACTATCCAGTATCCCCGAGAACCTGACGGGGAGATTAAAGAGGTTACACCGGAATGGATGAACGAGCATTACGGGGACTACTCGGGACCATGGCGAGGGAATCTTCTTGAAGGGGATAGCCCGGAGTATCCATTACACAACAATGGACGTCGGGATATTTGGTTCAAACGCTTCCAGCACAACCTGCTCAGAAGCCCTATCGTACCGTTGATCCTGCGCTTGACGGTTTGGTGCTTTTCGCTCTCGGGCCTAGCTCTGGGTGGGTCGATTCAGTACATGTCCAACAAGGGGCATCATAACCAAGGTCCTTCCGCGCTGATGGCAATAATTGTCGATGCCGTGGCGCTGGTTTATCTTATCTACATCACAGTCGATGAGTACACGTCGAAGCCGCTCGGCCTGCGATCTCCTTCGGCCAAAGCTCGGCTGATTCTGCTCGATTTGTTCTTCATCGTTTTCGATTCCGCCAATCTTAGTCTGGCGTTCGACTCCTTGTCCGAAGTGACGGGCTCCTGTACCGAGGCAAATGTCAACTCCAAATTGGACCCTCGAAATGATAGTATCTGTGTGCGACAAAAGGCTCTAGCGTCTGTTCTTTTGGTTGCCCTCCTCGCCTGGCTCATGACATTCGCACTCAGCGTTCTAAGGTAAGTCGCAATGTATTGTATGGCATGATCTTGGACCTGACTAATACTTCTTCAGACTTGTTGAGAGAGTGAAACAGTGAAATCGATGCGGTTGTGTTATCTCGGGATTCCAATTATTTTCGGTTTGCTATTATGGGCTGTTGTTCTTCGCCGAACTCGGTGTTGGTTTATAGACAGGTTTCTATACATGCAGAGCAGGGCCATCTTCTCCGTACAGAGGATCTTGGTGGAACCACTCCAAATTCCGGATGCCCTGCACTTTTGCTTCTTCGCCTGGCTGCCCATAACACATGTCCCACTCTTTCTGCGGAGGGTATGAACCGACCATTTTGAACGATACATCACCTTCATCATCCAAGAGTCTGTGCCCTACTCCAGCAGGAACGATGATCAAGTCACCGCACTGAACCGTCGGCTCGAATCGCTCGGGGTTCTCTTCGCCTCCAAAGCACAGGCGTGCGCGTCCCGCAACGACCCCGAGAACCTCGTGGGTGGTGGAGTGGAAATGGGTCTGGCTATACATGGTATATACCCACTGAGGGACGACTTCCCCAATCGATTCCAAGCGTCGCGAGAGCTCTCCGGCTGTGGCGTTGAAGGCGCCGTGGTATACCATGACGGGTTTTGATTGGATCGAGGTGTTGGGGACTCGATTCCATGAGGGAATACAACGACATGTCACTTGTATATCGTCTGGTGAGTTAAAAGCCATGGTGGTTCTGTGTATGTTTAGAGTGTACGAAAGTCACTCGGCTGGGGAACGACATCACACCAAATGACGTCACCGTGGATCTAGATGCTCCGGTGCATACGCGTGTATACAATGCCGATATGTTGACCAACAGTGACTTTCTGGGTTGGGTGGCCCTGTTTGGGTCTCCTTAATGAATGAGTCTTCATCTAACATTGCTAGATATTCCTTTGATGAATCGGTGGGAAGGCTTCAGGGAGTGCTGTGAATGCGGCGGATGATCATCCTGAATCATAGTTTGCCAGCCACATATGTGCTTGATTTAATCCATAGAAATATAGAGCGGATAAGTCCAAACAGGAGCAAACGTGGGAACACAAACAAAACTGTAAAGTGAAGTATACAAATTCCCCTAAAATGCGAAAGCTCGGAGTCCGCATCGGATTGCCTCACCGCCTTCTGCAATCGGCCATCCCCACGCTCGCCCTTCTTCTCAGCCTCATCGCCTTGCCGCCACACCTTCTGCCTGACCTCTTCACTGTCGCTTCTGCTCTTCCGGTGGCATCTTTTTCTTGTTTTCCTCCTGCCGTTGTGTCGTGAATCTCCTTTTGTCCGACGACACTCGGGTCTTTGACTGCCCATTTCACGACGTGACTTGTGGCGCACTTATCTCCGGCCTAGGAGAATCGTGGACGCGTACGTGACCTTTCCTGGAAACAGGGAGAACACCCTTCCTTTGATGGACTTTGCTGACCGTTGCATTTACGTTGCCAGAAATTCCACGCCTTCTCTTTCTTGCCTGATCTCCTTTCGCCCCTTGACACCATGCCGCCGACGGTGCCACAGACTCCTCACAAGGATGACCTAACAGAAACGTGAGTGAACGGTGGCTCTGGATGGGTCGGATGGGTAGATTTTGGTTACTGAGACTGACACTACCACAGATGGTCGTTCTTGGAGGCGGGTATTAACAGCGTCATGCTGAAGCTGGAGGATGGAGTTGACATGAAGACTGTGAGTGACGGGTGATGGCAACTGCATCTGAAGCATTCTCCTGCTCCCAAATTTACTGGAACTAACGTCTTATCTCGACTTTAGTACATGGCTCTTTACACGTTCGTATGACCTCCGTTGATATACCCCCCCATCTGCTTACAGCTCATCCATAGGGCCGTCCACAACTTTTGCACGTCACAAAAGGCTGTTGCCAGTAACCAAGGATTGCAGGCTCACCGCGGTGGTTCGTTCCCCTCTGCATCCCCTTCTGCCTCACGAACCCATGGCAGCTTGTCCCAGAAGAAGAAACACAAGCTAACGGTCAGTACGCTTCGAACAGCACACCTGCTCGGTGAGGAACTTTACAAGCTACTAGGTGAATATCTATCACGCCATCTGAGCGCAGTGCACAAGGAATCGCAGGGTCACACAGAAGAAGCCCTACTGGGATTTTACATTCGCGAGTGGAGCCGTTACACCACTGCCGCAAAATACGTCAACCACCTCTTCAGCTACCTCAACCGCCACTGGGTGAAGCGCGAGATTGACGAGGGTAAGAAGAATGTTTATGATGTCTACACTCTGCACCTGGTGAAGTGGAAAGATGACTTCTTCGAGAACGTTCACGGCAAGGTGATGGACGCGGTGCTGAACTTGATCGAAAAGCAACGAAATGGTGAAACTATCGAGCAGTCGCAGATCAAGAGTATCGTTGATTCATTTGTGTCGCTGGGCTTGGACGAGAATGACAGCAAGAAATCGACATTGGAGGTTTACCGGCAGTATTTCCAGCGACCGTTCATTATCGCGACCAAAGCATACTATGAGAATGAGTCCCGACAGTTCGTGGCAGAAAACAGCGTGGTGGAATACATGAAGAAGGCAGAGGCTCGTCTCGACGAGGAGAAGGCCCGTGTGGGTCTGTATCTTCACCCGGATGTCACCAAAAGCCTCACGGATACTTGCCTGGATGTTCTTGTCACGGCTCACTCTACCCTGCTTCGCGACGAGTTCCAACTTTTACTGGACAATGAACGCCAGGAGGACCTTGCCCGGATGTATCGACTCTTGTCGCGCATCAAGGAAGGCTTGGACCCATTGCGCACCACTTTTGAGAACCACGTGAGAAGGGCCGGTTTGGCCGCCGTTGAGAAAGTCGCCTCTGATGGCGAGAACTTCGAGCCCAAGCTTTACGTGGATGCCCTGCTCCAGGTCCACACTCGGTATCAGAACCTGGTCGACGACGCCTTCAACGGCGAGTCTGAGTTTGTGCGTTCTCTCGACAACGCTTGCCGGGAGTTTGTCAACCGCAACCGCATCTGCAAGTCGACCACAACCAAGTCGCCCGAGCTGCTTGCCAAGTATACCGACTCTCTACTCAAGAAGGGCTCTAAAGCTGCCGAGGAGTCCGAGCTCGAGGAGATGCTGGTGCAAATCATGACTGTCTTCAAATACATTGAGGACAAGGACGTTTTTCAAAAGTTCTACTCAAAAATGCTTGCAAAGCGACTGGTGCACGTCAGCTCGGTGTCTGACGATGCGGAAACCTCTATGATCAGCAAGCTGAAGGAGGCTTGCGGTTTTGAATACACCAATAAGTTGCAGCGCATGTTCCAGGACATTCAGATCTCAAAGGACCTCAACGCCAACTACAAGGACTATCAAGATAAAGTCCTGGACGATGATGACCGGAAGAGAATGGTCGATGCACACTTCCAGATTCTAGGCACTGGATTCTGGCCCCTCAATCCGCCAACCACCAATTTCACCGCGCCGCCAGAGATCAACAAGACTGCCGAACGCTTTCAGAAGTTCTACTTTGACAAGCACAGCGGTCGGAAGTTGACATGGCTGTGGCAGCTCTGTAAGGGTGAAGTCAAGGCCAACTACATTAAGAACACCAAGGTGCCTTATACATTCCAAGTGTCGACCTTCCAAATGGGCATCTTGCTGCTTTTCAATGAGACCGACACACTGGGTTATTCTGATATCCTGAAGGCCACCAACCTTGCCCCCGAAATCCTTGACCCCAACCTCAGCATCCTCTTGAAGGCGAAGGTGCTCCTGTCGAGCCCCGAGGGCGCCAAGCCTGAACCCTCAACTTCGTTCACCTTGAACTACAATTTCAAAAACAAGAAGGTCAAGGTCAACCTCAATATTCAGATCAAGTCGGAGCAGAAGGTAGAATCGGACGATACTCACAAAACGATAGAGGAGGATCGGAAGCTGTTGCTCCAGGTTTGTTCTCATACCATCTCGCTGAAATTTCTACTTTACTAACTTTGTCCACCAGTCTGCCATCGTCCGCATCATGAAGTCCCGCAAGAAGATGAAGCACGTCCAACTCGTGCAGGAAGTCATCCAGCAGGTCAAGGCCCGCTTCCCACCCAAGGTTCCCGACATTAAAAAGAACATCGAAGCCCTCATGGAGAAGGACTACATCGAACGTCTAGATGGGGACGAAATTGCCTACATTGCTTAAAATCCCTCATACCCTTCTCCCCCTACTCCCCAACTCTCATTGCATCACCACATCCTCTTGCTTTGATTCCTTTTTTCATTTCCTTTTTCTCGTTTCCGCTTTGCTCGTATCCGCCAGTCCTTCCATCCGATCGCCTACATTCACTACTGTGAGCAGAGGGGCCACGGATCAAGACTGAACTGGACTGGGAAGGAGCTTCGGCTATGGTTTGGGACGATAAGGGAGCTTCGGAGCACAAGATCACCGCATTAAGTTCATTTTATGGTCCATCTTTCATCATAGCGTTGAGACGACAGATCAATGATAATCCGTATTTTCGCGACTTTCTTCCTGGTAAACAACGGCCGTAGCGGTGTGAGAGAATGCGCATATGGTGCTCGTGAAGCTGCTCGCTGACAGCCTTTAAATACGTTCGCTTCGTTCAATCTCGCAAAAAAATGCAATGCATCCGATATCTATTCCCCTCTAGCTACGTACATGCACATCAAACTCATCACTCGAAACAGACATAGATCCAAGCACATTAGCCTGGACAGTCTGGGTATGTATATTCACATGCAAAAAGGGAGGAGGGGGAGGGAAACAAGAGCAAAGGTGAGTATGAACAAATGCAACGGTTTGTGAATGGGTATGCGGTGTTTCAATGCCAAGTATCTACGAGATAAGAATGGAAGGATTAATATATAGTTCTCAGCTCACTGTGCACTGGATTCCTTGGACTCCTTGACCTCGGAAGAGTGCGTGTCAACGGTGGTGGCGGGTTCGGATTGGGAGGCGCTCTCGTCTGGGTTGAGGTCTAGTCGGAGCCCCTCGTTCGGTGTGAGCGGCACCGCGCTGAATCCGTCGGCGTCGAAAAGGGCCTCGGTTGACTTTTCAGGTTGCAGGGTTTGGTCGGTGTTCTTCTTGGCGTCCGTTTCGTATGCTGGGCAGCCTTGAGACAGAGGGGACTTGGGGTAGGGGACATCGGAAGCCTCTGAGCTGGTACCGTCATCGCGTTTCGGGAGACTGAACTCGCCACTGTCGCGACGTAAGATAATGTTGCTCCATCGCTTTCGACGGCTGAGGCTGCGCGAAAGACCGTCCGTGTCCTCGCTGTGCCGTTGCATGGAGCGACGGCGGCCACGATCAGACTCTGCTGTCTCCGTGACTACTGGCAGGGTTGGGGTCGAAGGCGAAGCAGTCATGCCAGGGTTGGGGCTCGGGGAGGAGCTGCGCTTGTCTTGCCATTCGCGGCGCTTCTCGCTGGCCCATGATCCCCACGAGCTGAAGTATGCACTAGCTTTCTGGCCGGCTGCGTTCACCGAGGCCTGGGCTTGGCCTACGTCGATAGAAGGCCTTTGACGGCCAGCGAACCAGGCGCCCGATGCATCGGGAGAGCCTGCGGATGCCGTTGATGGAGAGCCTGAAGCTTGATCGATGGAGCTACGCTGGGACTGCTCGTTGCGCTTCCGCTGGGCTTCGCGCATAGACTCAATATCGGACCAGAAGCTATTAAACGCAGCGCTGACTTTCTTTTGGCCTGTGCTAAGGTGGCGGTTGAGTGCTTCGCGGCCCTCGCGCACTCGTTCATCGAGGTGAAGATCTGCTACCTGCTGAGACAGTCTTCGCTGGATATCGTCCATTGTCAAGCCACCGGCACTCGGGTGTTTCGGTTCAGTGATGGAAAATAGGAGGGCATCTGACGTGAGGCGTGAGAAGAGGGCGTAGTTCGATGTTTTCTGCCATTGTGTGAGGAAATCTACGTTGAAATCAAGCGCAGGATCACCCTCGATATTGAAGTTTTGCAGCTGAGCTCTGCTCCGATGGGGCGATTCACCGGAGTTGAGCGAAGTGAGTTCCAAGTGATACTTCATGGAAGACAGCAGTGCCAACAGATACTCCTCAAACTGAAGTCGGATAAACTCTTCCGACCCCATGAAGCCTAGTGTCTTCGGTCGTGACGGGTGCTCCTCATCCCATGTTTCATTAACGATCTGAGTGAGGAGGTCGATCCAGCGCCGATCAGACACGGAGAGAGTCAAAGCATTGCGCAGTGTCGGCGACGAAATGTTGATGCTGTCTTCATCCAACTATTTTGTAATCGAAGTCCTGGTCAGACTGGATCCCATGTATGTTTGTACTTTGCGTTACTCACGTTGATTAAAATGTCACTGTAGCGATCCTTTTGTTGCAGGAGCAACGAGTTCGTCGATCCCACAACGTACGACTTTGTGCCATCATCGGCCAGCAAATCTAGTTGCTGGAGCGGGGTATAGGGTCCGAACATACTCCCCTAGGAACGGAGTCAGGATTTCGCCTTGTACCAGAATCAGAGACAACACATACCTTTCCGAAAATCTGCAAGGGAAGACCCATATATGCCAACACTAAGGTAATTAGTACAATTCTGTTCTCAAGTTCACGATTCGACCATACAGGATGTCCGGTCGCTGGTTTTGAGCGAAGTCGGTTTCTCAACGGTTTGTGCATAGTTGTCAAACGCTGGGTCCGCACAGTCTTCCAGGCTGTTGATAAGACCTGGTATTAAGGAAATGAGTGAAAATTGGATCATGCATAGACGTTCACAGCGAGTGCCGAAAAAGAGCATCTGCAGAATTTAGTATGTACACCGGAAAGGGTTTTAGGAGTATTACTTACCTTGGGTTGCAATAGTAATCCCTTGAAGAGAACAAGCGTCTGATGTTTGAATTCGTGGATCATTTCTCGGAGAGAAAGACCTGTAGACCAAATCAGTGCAAGCCTCCGCAAACGCACGTTGAATGATGCTCACCCAGATTCTGATCTTTCGATCCGTCATTCTGCAGGCTAATGGCCAGACCCTCGCGGAATTTCTAAAGTACCCATATTAGTCAACTGCGTGCGACTCTCAGACTTGAGTAGGAACGAACCTTCAAGATATCGATATCAGAGAAGTCCCTACAGAAGCATGTCTGGGGTTAGCCGACTGTTCTCTCGGGTAACCAAACACGCACCACGCCCGCTGTCATCAAATTCATTCTATCTCCGTCACAAGTACAATGTCTCCCGACGAATGAGAAGCATCTAACATACTTTTGAGCAAACCACGCCGAAGTTACCACAGAGAGCTTCTCGCGCAGCTGCCCCACCCTCTGGGGGCTATCCGTAACCACCACGACAGCCTTCTGCACCGTTGACCGAGTCACGTCGGGATGGCGGTTGATCAAAAGCTTGGAATCGAGCTGGCGCGAGCAGGCAATGCCGAATAGGGAGGTAGCCGGGGTTGTGGACGTTTCCTTTCGGCGGAGTGTGAAGTAGGAGAACTCCTCAGTCGAACTAGAACAGGACGCGATCCTAGTCAGTCTAACTGCTATTCACCCGTATGATCGCAAAGAGTCCCATACAGGTGTGCGCCATCGGACAGGGCCATGAACGGTAGCAATGACCAGTCATTCTCGATTGCCGGGTTCGTTCCTTCGTCGGCGATGCAGTGCTCGATCTCGGGGCCCCTGATCGTTCCGGTCAGCTTCGTCCAATTAAAAAGCTCCTTGCGCCAGACTTGCGTCCACGTTCGATAGGGCACTTACCGTGCATGGTGGAAATCAATCACCAGCACAATCGGGTCGTATTTGCGTTCAGCCATTTGGACTGTCATGCGGGGATGTGGGGAGTGGTTGTTGGAGGATTCGGCAGAGCCGATGCAAGGGTCATAGACAATCTGCACAGGCTCCAGACCCCATAAACAGCGTAAGAGAAGATCGGGAAGATCACGATCCGGGAATCGCGACCTCACAGGGGAATTCGATAGTGTTATCGCTCACGTGTTGATTACGGGCGGTGTGAGCCCCGCGTAGTTTACTCTAGTTACTTTTCTCTTAAGTACACAAATGAGTTCAACACCGCTCAAGTTTGGAGGATTTCCCTTCACCAACCTGCTCTTGACGACGCCGAAGGAACTATGAACAATGGTTTCCAACGATAAAAAAGAACAATTAAGAAGAAGGCAACAGACACGCCGAAGTTTGCAGAAGATTTCCCCAAGAAATATATGGCTCGGACCCCACATCCCGTGAAGGACCCGAAAACAAAGGTAAAGAAATGAAACTCATTAGAGGCTTGCTATTAGGAGCCTATGCGAAAGCCTGGGGGTAGTTTCCCTGCACCGGACCCTCAACCAGAGCCTGGCCTGCCTCGTTACCCTGGTCGATGTTGTGGAAATCGAGGATCTCGGAATACCTAGTAGTTGTAAGCATGTTTGCCAATCAAACGCTCTGGGATGCACCTACATCATAATCTTCCAAGTATCCACAGGCAAGTCTGCATCGTTGAAGGACCAGTCGAACTTTTCTTGGGCAACGGGCTCATCGGTGGGGTCGTGGTAGGGCGCCAGGTACTCGTGGGCTAGCGCCTCACCAGCACGGACTCGCTTCTTCGGGTCGAAAACAAGCATTTTCTCGAGAAGATCGACCGCTAGCAAGTATCAGCACATATATAAAACCAGAGGAAGTGGCAACACCACGTACCATCCGCATCGGCATTCTTGAACTTATTGGCCAGTGATTGACGCTCGCGCTTGGGAAGGGACTTGACAAATCGCAAAGTCTATATCCATCGAGGATTAGCCATTTGTCTTTTCATGCTCGTAGACAGGGGAAGAAACTCACGTTCTCGCTGCAAATGGTCTGAATGACGTCGTCCGGGGGAGTACCCAGCAGCTCGGTAATGATGGAAAATTGGTTGACGTGGTCCTTGCCGGGGAACAGCGGCTTGCCCTCCAGCATCTCGGCGAAAATGCAGCCCGCGCTCCAAATGTCCACCTCCACGTCGTACTTTTGCCACGTGAGCATGATCTCAGGGGCGCGGTAGTATCGTGTTGACACATATCCGGTCATCTGCGGGTCCTGGATACGCGCCAGACCGAAGTCACAGATTTTCAAGTCGCAGTTTTCATTGATGAGGATGTTGCTGGGCTTCAGGTCTCGGTGGACCACACCAGCGGAGTGGACATATTTCAATCCACGCTGCAGATTGTCAGTAAAAAACATGGATTTCGCCCAATGGTTAATTTGACTCACGAGAATCTGGTAAAGAAAGTACTGGATGAATTGCTTCTCGAGAGGGCGAGAAGTCAAGAGGCGGTGGAGGTCGGTACCCAGGAGCTCGGTCACGAAGTAGCTGGGGAGGTTAGTACGATGGCGCAAATAGTTTCGGCGGCGTATTTAAGAGACGTACATGTCCTCGAGGGGCGAAATAAAGATGTCGCTCAGACTGATAATCTGTAGCGGGGAGTTCAGTACTTGGGCATTGAGATCCTCGGATGGCGGAGAAGACCCACGTTCTCGTGTCGGAGATGCTTGAGCAGCTTCAGCTCTCGGTAGGTACGCTTAGATAGAACCGGCGTGCTGAAGGGCTTCATGATCTTCTTGACCGCCACGGGCTGGCCGGTCAATTGGTCGCGCGCGGAGCTATCGGGGACATATTCCGATTAGCCGGGGGAGGTCTCGCAACGCGATATGTGAAATCAAACATACCAGACAAGCCCGAAGGCTCCCATGCCCACCGGCTGGAGGTCCGAATACCTAGAAAGCAAATCTCAGCAAAAAAGAATCGATGGCGGGGCAACTGCAAGGCGAACCGGCTGGTGATCTCGAAGGTGGTGCCGAAGATCTGGGATCGCACGAATTCCGCCATTTTGAAGGATCGCAAACGACGCGCTGTAAAAGAGAGGAAGCTTTTTTGGTAGAGAGCCCGCGAAAGTCAACGATGGATGAAAGGGGGATATTGGCAGCGTGTGGGGAAAGGCCCTTTCGGTGAAAAGCGCAGAAAACAAGGACGATGACGTCCGCGACGGGCCAGGCAGGTTTCTGTGCAGCTGACTCATCCCGATCCCCTCTGGCTTCGTGCCTGCCCTACGGCCTTAAGGCTTTCTAAGGTTATTTGGATTTTCTATTTTTACTGGACGATAGAAAGGATTGACCTTCTAGATGAGATTTCCGCTCTGCTCCATCCCCTCCTCACTCGTGTGCCCTGAAGTACCGTGATCTGGTGGCCGCTCCACCAACCACGGGGCTTTGTCTAGACCGGGTCCATTTGCCGGAAGAGTCTTCCCACTCATGGGGATAGGAGGGATTGTAAGTGGAAAGGTACCATGGAGGATACACAATATACCATTGGAGGGCATTCTATGCGAGCTATAGCTGAAACCAAACTTGACGATAATTATCGCGCTTAGCCCGGGCCCAATATCCGTACACCTGCTGCGTTGTGCGGCGGTCATTCGCGGCACGTTGCCCCGTTTGGGGGACTGTGGCCTCCGGGACTCCTCCAGGCGTGGCCTTCGCTCCTTACTTTATCGGGGCATGATAGCCCTGATACATACCTGCTGGTGCTGCGTGCAGCCTTGATCCGGTCTAGACCGAGATCTCCCACGCGAGGGGAGATCTCTATCTCTCCACCGGAGGCTCCAGGTTCGAAGTGGTATGAGACATTTAGAGACGGTTTGATACGCATACACGAAAACGTATATGGACAGCCATACGGAAGACCGGAACTTTAGACGAGCCTAGACGAACCTAGATGAACCCAAGTTGTGGTTCGCCCGCTGTCGCGAGCTGAGACATGTGAAACAAAGCGAGCCACGCTACTAGATGAGTACAAAGGCATTTCCTAGAATGCGCCAGGGCTTTTTTTTTGGGTTTCATACGCCAAGAGGTGGTTGGGCAGTACAGAATACATTTAGTACAACTAGGGGTTGTTCCCATGTTTAAGTAGGGCACCCAGTCAGCGTTGAGGGGAAATCCTTGGAATCTCGGAAATATATCTACACCGGCCATTCTCCTCTACCCCTGCATATATCCCTTTACCGCGATTTCCAGATCAGACCAGTACCCGGGAATTCCCTACACCGCATTTGGATCCCGGAGCAGTCATGTTCCCTTTTATATACGCATCACCAACGATGCTGATATCATATGCACTCCACGATCGCAAGAAACGTGGGGAGAGCACGTGAACTCGCTGCCTGAGGCACCGATGCCCCATGTGCGTCACGACTCTCCACTTCCGAGCTCCGGTGGGTTTCGTCTTACCGTTCGTATCCTACATGTCTGTAGATAAAAATCGATTTGATGTATGGAGGAGACATGGGAATCTCTTGATCTACTTCTACCTATGGCACAAGATAGCCGGGCCGGTAATCACTTGCACTTCATCCCATGCGGTCAAGCCCCAGCGGGAATTGCCCGACGTGCCGCCATGGCCCCTTAGTCCAAGGTCCGCGCAGTATTTTTTGTGCCTACGGGAATGGCCCGGGTTTGACCCCAAACCGAAAGGTTCAAGACGGGAGAGGCTTAGAGAGAAAAATCGAGAGCCTGAGAAAAATAGCCGTACCCTGGGCGCGGTAATTACGGGCACGATGTAAGCTCACCCGTACACGTTTTTTACCCCCGTAATCACCCTTCTGGTATCTCCACTCCCCCAGCATGACGATGGTCGTACCGACCTGACCTTCCTCCTTCAGCTTCACCTCCCTTCTGTTACCCTCACATCCTCGTCCGTCTTCCACGCTCCTTGGGATTCATTCCCGAACTTCCGGTCCCGCCAGCTCGCTGCGATCCCGCTTCAAGGTCAAACCAGCCGAAACCCTTTCACCCTCTCGAAACCCCCTCTATCCCCGCCTTTAACGTACACCGGGAATCCATTCCTCGCGACCCCGCTTGTCGCAAGTGTAAAGGAATTCCTTCTGTGCCCAGGTTGTGCCGATTGTGATCCCTTGCGTGACGGGTGGCCGTTCTCCCACCCGAGCGAAAGGCTGCGGCCGTCCCGTCGGGCTGACACCTGTCGCCTTTGCGCGCCCCGAATCGGGTCTCGTTCTCTGCTGGTTTGGGAATCTTGAAGAACGCTCGTGAGCCATGGGGGTGTGTTTTAGCTCGGAGCCTACGGGGGACGCGGACCAGAAGAAGAGAAGTCAGATGATCGATCGGAAACTCGAGGAAGACTCCAGACGGTTACGCAGGGAATGCAAGATCCTTCTCTTGGGTGGGTGCCCGGCGCAATCCCTTTTGGCTGTTTTTTCGTGCGCAGCGCCCGTGGGTATGACTGACTCTTTACCGCAGGGTCCGGCGAGAGTGGCAAGTCCACGATTGTCAAACAGATGAAGATTATCCACCAAAATGGCTACTCGGTCGAGGAGTTGGCTCTGTATCGCCTGACGGTCTACAAGAACCTGCTCGACTGTGCCAAGGCCTTGATTGAAGGGTACCGCCTGTTTGAACTCGAACCGTCAAGCCAAAAGGTCAAGGACTACATCACGTTCCTGGAAGAGTATCACGTCGACCCGGATCCCAATACACCGCTGGATCCGAAGATAGGAGAGGCGATCACATATTTATGGAACGACCCCTGCACATCAACGGTTCTGGAGCGCCAAAACGAGTTTTACCTGATGGATTCTGCACCATAGTAAGCGCATTGTCCCCTCCTCATTTGTATTTACCGTGACACTCACTGGTGACCAGTTTTTTCGAGGAAGCCAAGCGAATAACGTCCCCGGACTATACCCCGAATGTGTCAGACGTGTTACGAGCGAGAACCAAGACCACTGGTATATACGAAACACGTTTCACAATGGGTCAATTGAGCATACAGTACGTGAACCGAAACTGGCGTCCAAGTCCGATTACTAACTAGTTTACAGCATGTTCGATGTGGGTGGCCAGCGCAGCGAGCGGAAGAAGTGGATTCATTGCTTCGAGAACGTGACCTCCATCATCTTCTGTGTGGCCTTGAGTGAATATGACCAAATGCTACTGGAAGAGAGCAATCAAGTAAGCAAAGCCTTTGTGTCTGAATATGAAATTGCCGCTGACAATGTCATAGAACCGCATGATGGAGAGCTTAGTTCTCTTCGACTCTGTGGTCAATTCTCGATGGTTTATGCGGACGAGCATCATTCTCTTCCTGAACAAGGTCGATCTCTTTCGACAAAAGCTCCCGCGCTCTCCATTGAGCAACTACTTCCCCGATTACTCGGGCGGCAACGATGTGAACCGGGCAGCCAAGTATCTTCTTTGGCGCTTCAACCAGGTGAATCGCGCACACCTGAATCTCTACCCACAGTAAGAACCTATTGCTTTCATCATGTACACGGGATATAAGGCCCTAACAATCTTTTGTAGCCTTACCCAAGCCACTGATACCACCAATATTCGCCTGGTCTTTGCGGCGGTCAAAGAGACCATTTTGCAGAATGCCTTGAAGGACTCGGGCATTCTTTGAGCCGACAGACCCTGGAAATTTGCCGCCCAGTGACACCGCCTATATTTCATGACCTCCTCGCCGCGGAACATTGTTTCCGTGCCTTTGATTCTTGTCGCCTCTTCAAGAGGACCATCATACCTACACTTTACGACCAAACATACCCCACCAACTCTTCCTTTTCTCTTGCTTTTCTCTTGCTTCGGGACTAGCTGCTGGCGTTAACGGGTCCTTTCTTTTATAATCCCGGGCTATATCCCAGGCGCTGGTTAGGTGATACTCCCTATTTGGTATCTACAACGAGGTATTCGGTTTTCTTCCAGGGCGGATCTCCTCAGCTCCGGGACCTCAAGTACAATTGGGGAACGGGCTCGCTGATACCTGCTTTTGGGTTTCCTTTTGTGTATTCAACCCCAAGGGAGATGGATCTTTTCAGCCTCAAAAAGTCGCCGGGACTTCAACTATGAGAACCTCGCACCACTTTGACCCTCAACCTCCTTGTGTCATCTACCATTTCATATATCCCGAACGATCCCCTTCTCGGATCTTTGCTTCTTCTTCTTCTTCTTTTCTGTTTTCAGCTCTCTGATGCATACCATGACGGATTTGATTCATCTCCGGCCATGTTCTGCCTTTGCTTCTTTTCTGGATACGCGATTTGGAGCGCTTCAATGCATGTGATGCTATTTATTTTTCTTTCTGTGTTGTGCTGTATTCTCTATGGGTTTCAGTGGCAAGTAGCTTCAACTTCCCAATAGTCTCGTTTTACCTTACATAGACCAGCCATGGTGCGGATCTATCGACGGTCTCCGGGCCTAGTTTCAAGTGCGAGACCCGGGTGCACGGTTATCAACTACTAGGTCTCGTTTATGTACTATAACTTTTGAGACAGCGAGTCAACCCCACTGGCCTTCTCTCCTGCCCCCCATTGGTCTGTTTCGTATGGATCTCGCGTAGCTGTCGGCAAAACGCCGCTTGAATTGAGATTAGCCGGCTAGCAGCAGGGGAGGGGGGCGCTGCTCTCTCCCCTAAATCTACCAATTACTAGCCTGAAGAATCTCCTTTTCTTTCCCAGAATTGTCGAGAGTGGAGAAATGCGGAGATGCAGACGACCTTGGGGCAGTGTTGCAATCTGTAGCCGACATAATACCTCGGTTCACGCCGTTTCGTGGACTTATTTAGAGACCTACGCTCCGTGGGTGTGAAGAGAGCCATTCAATAGGTACATTGTCATTTGAGTATGAAGGGTTCCTCATTGCTTTGCTCGAGTCTATTTGGGGCTGCGGTTGGAGCTGCATCCCAGTCTTGTCTAGAGGAAGCTACTGACATTACCCTCACCGTATGTCTCTCGAAAGCCCCCTCAGAGTTGTCAATGTAAAACCCGTCACTGATATTCAATGTTCTAGTATGGCTATCCATTGATGCCATTCGTTACATTCGCCGTTCCTGCCATCGAAGTCGCCAAGGGAGCAAATCGATTTGAGCATTACAGAGAGCTTGCGACAGCAGACTTCCACGATGTCGTTCGTGCCAACGTAGACACCTTGTACTCGGTGAGCATTCTCGACTGGACTCATCATGATCTTATCGTGAATGTTCCCGTTGTCAAAGACCGATACTGGGTCTTTCCATTTTACGATGCGTGAGTGATCTTCAGCGGACGGACAGGTTGAGCTTCACTAACATATTCCAGATATGCCAACAACTACGTCAACATAGGCAGCGTGAATAACAGTACCGTTGGGAAGTACGTGGTGCGCTTTGATCCAAGTGGCAAGCGGCAGCCAGGCCTCCAACTCTGCAGCCAATCAAGAAATGAAAAGAAGCTGCGAGGAGAATGTTACGGCGTCGATGGTTACATCAACTCGCCCACGGCATATGGAATATTGCTGCCACGATACGCCCTCATCAACGGAATTCCAGAAGATCTACAGCAGATCCATGATCTCCAGAACAAGAGCGGAATCCACACCATCGAAGCTGGCCAGAGATCAAAGCACCCTAGAGCTCCTTTGACCATTTCCATGCTCAACTCTTCAATATCATCCAACCCGGCCACCAGAATCAGGCAGTTGACAGCCCGTATCTCCCCCAACAGCCCACCACGCAACGTCTCAGACTCCGCACGAGTCAATCGCATGTTAGAAGAAGCCGGCATCGACCCCCACCAAGCAACCTACACAGCCCCCAAAGGCCAAAACATAACCCGAGCATACCTAGCATCCGAGAAAAACATGGCCAACGCAGCAATCCAGCCACAAAACCTGCAGAACCTCGGCATGACTGGGACCAGCTCACCTTTCAAGCTCAGGGAGACTACGGCACCAACTACCTAATGCGCCAGTTTGTAGCATATCGCGGCTACCTCGGTCTCACTCAGTCTGAAGCCCTGTACCCGTCGTATATCGGCGGTGACAGTGGACAGACACTGAACATAGGCCCCAAGGAGGCGTATATCTTCAAATTCCCCAGCAAGCCCCCGCTGGCACAATACGGGTTCTGGAGCCTGACGGCCTGCAACGCGGAGCAGTTCCTGGTTTCGAATGCGTTGAATCGGTATGCGCTGAGCGACCGATCCAATATTACCTACACCGATGGCTCGCGTGTCTATGGGGGCGATGCCCACGCCGATGATAGCTTCGAACTTCTTGTTCAACCGGCTGATTTGGCTCCTCCGAATAACTGGACTTCTAAGTACGTTTTGACTTTCGATTCCTCCTTGTTTTGCCTTTTGCGGCTTTCCTGTTCGCGATGGGATTTTTCGTCAATGACTGACTGTATCACAGCTGGCTCCCAGCTCCCAAAGGTGGTGGGGCATTCTCTCTCACGCGTAAGTTGGTTACTCGAATCGTACGATGGTAGATTGTAGTGGCTGATTATGAAATTAGTTCGGTTTTATGCCCCTAGCGATGCACTACGGCAAGGAGAGTGGTCGTATCCTGTGGTACGGAAACAAGCTGCCATTGTGGCATGAGCTTCTTCGTGCAGAGACAGTCTGTTTGAAGAAAGAACAAATGGTTCTGGCAGGAGACTTTCTATTTCACTTGTCCAGACGGGATGGAAACCCTTAGGTATCTGACAGAATCGCTATCAACCCCTTTTACCTGTTGGAAATAGCCTTTTTACGTGTATGTCTTGAGAATAGTCAAGCTGTACTAGCGAGAGGACAAACCCCGGAAGAGTATGGTTCTGCATCCCCATGCTCCTGTTGTCTATTTTCAAGTTCATTCGTCACCGGCGTTCGGCGAAGGCTCGTGTTGTACTCGGAATGGCTCAGCCAGAAGCTTGCTAGGCAGAATGAGAAGCCCTAGAAGTTCTCGAGCTTGCAGACATTCATCTCCTCGGCCCCCTTCCCCGGCCCCCAACGTCGAACTTGGTGACAACGCCAAGGAGATACTCGAAGAACATACGAATAGCTAGTGGTGCATAGTACGGATTGCCAATAGCACTGGATTGCATGGCAAAAGCGCTACGTAAGTGGCCCGTGGGTACATATAACAGCCTCGAGCGAGCCCCGGCAGCCATTCTATACGCTCCGTCCCTTCGGCCCGGGCCCCGCCGGCCCCAATCCCTAGCCTAGGACTTATCTCGATATTTATCTGTGAATATGCAGCTTAGCTCCCCTAATTAGGAGCTGAATTATCGTTAATCATTTACGACGTAACTGTTCAAGGTTCATCATGCCCCAAACCCCGCAAATAATGTACGAACGTCCGTCAAAGCCTTGGAAGCGGCGAATCAAGTCGCAGCGCACGGACAATGCGGAGTACCGGGTCGAGCGCCGATCAAGATCCAGACTCTCCACCGCTGCTTTCTATAGTTCATGACCGAATTGAATGATCATACCACTCATGGAAAACGGTTTGCGCCCAGGCCCCAAAGTAAGATAAATGGCCGGATTGGGTGATGTTCGATCGGATGGGACGTACCCTGCACTTCCCTCTTTCCCCGTCGAACTTCCGAGACCCCCGCCTGGTGCCACCAGATCTTGCTCCCCTCCCCTCTTTTCTCCTCTTTTGCATCCTCTTCACATTGTTCCTCGCTGTTAATCATGTCCGAACGTCGAGAACGCAAGCCCTCCGTTGGTGCCCCCATCGCCGACCTTCGAGGTCCCGTTGGTCCAGGGTTCAGCCGGCCCAAGCACAAACGTACCTTTACTGGCTTCGGGCCCGCGGAGATCAAGAACGTTGAAGCGAGCATTCCTGAACCGCTGAGGGAGGCGTGAGTCTTGAGTTTATCTATTCCCTTGGGTGCTTGAGCTGACCGCGAACCCGGTTTATCATTAGATGGCGGAAATATGTACGTTACTCTTCCAGGAACACCCGCGACCGAAAGTAACATAAACTTCCAGTCTGCTTCCGAGTTTACCAACAAGGAAGAATTCGAGGTTCGTGCGGACACGTGAGCCCTACTTGAGTACAAGCTGACGAAGCCCGCAGAAAGAGCTCGTGCGTCACATCGAGACGACTCTTGCTCGATCCCTGTACAACTGCGATGAGAAGTGAGTACCTACTCCGGCTAACCCCAGTTCCTGAAATCAAGTGCTCACTCTCTGTAGTGCAGCTTACTCGGGTACGGCCCTCGCATTCCGAGACCGGTTAATCATCGAATGGAACAAAACTCAGCAGCGCCAGACATTTACCGACCAGAAGAGGGTCTACTGTATGTTTGGAATCTATTTGTCGATCTCCTTGACCGAGAGCTAATGCACTGCAGATCTCTCTCTTGAGTTTCTGATGGGTCGCGCTTTGGACAATGCCATGCTCAATGTAGGCATGAAAGACGCTGCCCGAGGTAAGATATCTTCCCAATTCGTTTTTCGAGTCGTGTATTGACTATATATTAGATGGACTCAGCGATCTTGGTTTCCGTATCGAGGATGTCATCGCCCAGGAACACGATGCAGCGCTGGGCAACGGTGGCCTTGGACGTCTGGCGGCTTGTTTCCTGGATAGCATGGCGACACTCAATTATCCCGCATGGGGGTATGGTCTCCGCTACCGCTATGGAATATTCAAGCAGGAAATTGTCAATGGCTATCAAATGGAGGTCCCAGACTACTGGCTTGACAACAACCCGTGGGAATTCCCGCGACACGAGATTACTGTCGACATCCAATTCTATGGTCGCGTGAAGAATCACCAGAATGAAAATGGCAAGGTCGTTCACACGTGGGAAGACGGAGAAATTGTCCAAGCTGTCGCATACGACGTGCCCATTCCTGGTTATGGCACCAAGACCACCAACAACCTCCGGCTCTGGTCCAGCAAGGCGAGCAGTGGAGAGTTTGACTTCCAGAAATTCAATGCTGGTGACTACGAAAGTGCGGTGGCCGACCAACAAAATGCCGAAACAATCTCAGCCGTACTCTATCCCAATGATAATCTGGAGCGAGGCAAGGAACTTCGACTGAAGCAGCAGTACTTCTGGTGTGCAGCCTCTCTGTTTGATATCGTGCGGCGATTCAAGAAGACCCGGAGAGCTTGGAACGAATTCCCTGACCAGGTGGCCATTCAACTGAATGACACACATCCCACCCTTGCCATCGTTGAGCTCCAGCGTATTCTGATCGATGAAGAAGGGCTTGAGTGGGACGAGGCATGGAACATTGTGACCAAGACCTTCGGGTACACCAATCACACTGTACTGCCAGAGGCCTTGGAAAAGTGGTCTGTTCCTCTCATGCAGAACCTGCTTCCTCGACACCTGCAGCTTATTTACGACATCAACCTGTTTTTCTTGCAGACTGTTGAGAAGCGTTTCCCAAAGGATCGGGAAATGCTGTCCCGCGTCTCCATTATCGAGGAGTCTCATCCCAAGATGGTGCGAATGGCCTACCTTGCCATCATCGGTTCTCACAAAGTGAACGGAGTTGCTGAATTGCACTCGGATCTCCTGAAGACAACCCTCTTCAAAGATTTCGTGGAGATTTATGGGCCCGATCGTTTCACCAATGTGACCAACGGCGTCACTCCCCGAAGATGGCTGCACCAGGCCAACCCGTTGCTTTCTGCCTTGATTGCAGAGAAATTGGGTGGCCATGAGTTCCTGACAGATCTGACGCTTTTGGATAAGCTCGAGGCCTTTGTCGACGACAAGGACTTCCGGCACGAGTGGGCTCACATCAAGACCATGAACAAGCTTCGCCTTGCCAAATTCATCAAGAGCACCACTGGCCATGAGGTGGATCCCAACTCTCTGTTTGATATACAAGTGAAGCGTATTCATGAATACAAGCGCCAGCAGCTCAACATATTCGGGGTCATCCATCGATACCTCACCATCAAGGACATGTCGGCCGAAGAGAAGAAGAAGGTCGTCCCACGAGTTTCGATCTTTGGCGGTAAAGCAGCGCCCGGATACTGGATGGCCAAGACGATCATTCACCTCATCAACAAGGTCGCAGATGTGGTCAACAAGGACGCAGATATTGGGAACCTCCTCAAGGTCATTTTCATCGAGGACTACAATGTCAGCAAAGCGGAGATCATCTGCCCGGCTTCCGACCTCAGCGAACACATTTCCACAGCTGGCACAGAGGGTAGCGGTACGAGCAACATGAAGTTCGTCATGAACGGAGGTCTAATCATAGGAACTTGTGATGGTGCCAATGTGAGTCAGGTCCCAAACGTGTCATACATGATCAATCTAACCCGTCCAGATCGAAATCACTCGCGAAATCGGCGAGAACAACATTTTCCTCTTCGGTAACCTCGCCGAAGACGTCGAGGAACTCCGCCACCGACACTTCTATGGCGACTTCCAGCTCGACCCGCAACTGGCCAAGGTCTTCGCCGCGATCAAGAGTAACATGTTCGGCGATGCAGCCGACTTCTCCGCTCTGACCGCATCCATCGAAGAGCACGGCGATTACTATCTCGTCTCCGATGACTTCAACTCCTACATTACCACCCACGGAATGGTGGATGAAGCGTTCAAAAACAAGGAGGAGTGGCTAGCCAAGTCGATTACCAGTGTTGCGCGCATGGGATTCTTCTCCACTGACCGCGTTATCAACGAGTATGCCGATAGCATCTGGAATGTCGAGCCGCTTGAGATTAAGGATTGAGGATTGATTGGTCGTTTTGCACTCACGTTAACACTCTCCTTCAGACGACTTGCATTGTTTTGGTCTTTCCTTTCATCAACTACATCACTAGCCCGACGGCATAATTCTGGTCCTAGCAAATATGTTCTGAATCAGTGATTCCTAGAATATGAGTCCACAGTCGTAATCTATTTGTAAAAATGAAAAGGTAAATAAGTAGAACAAGAAACACCGAATCTGCAAAGTGAAGACTCTTACCCGAGGTTTATCATCAGCTTCCCAAGAAACAGTTTCCCGAGTGGCCTAGGGGGGCAGCCTGTCCGTCGACACTGGACAAAATTTATACATAGGTAGGGTTGAGTCTATTCACATCCGGAGTTTGCATTATCCTCAAAATAGGTCAGACCCAATGAATTTTCATTTAGCATCTATCATGACTGTCTAAGATTTTATCCCCTGAAGAACGGAACGTCGAAATGAAATAGAACATGAACCCGCAAAATTCATGATTGGGATATAACAAATCAACACCAATCCCATGCGATTATCATGATAACAAATGCTGAACCAACCTCACGTCACGCTGAAAGAATCACAAGAAACCAAAAAAAAGGAGGCTTAAACTGTAGCAGCAGCCTCATCACCCTCTTCAATAGTCTTAGGCTTATAGTCCGAGAACGTCTCCGGCCACAGGAACATCTTCTCCTCATTGGAAGGCGTCGCGGCCATAAGCGTAGGGACCGCCTCCTTGGACGAAATCCGTCTCCAGAGGTTCGCCCGTGGGTTGTACCGCGCCGGCTTACCCACACCACCCGTCTTCTGCTGGTCCTCGCGCAAGATTTTCTCGATCTCCCGCTTGATGTCGGAAAAGGTATCGTAGGGGGTGAAGGGGATCTTGTGCTCGATGCAGTGCTCCTCGAGACGGAGACCGCGGCGAGCGAAGAGCACGTCGGCGTGACTAGCGGCTGCTAGGTCCGAGACGCCGTCGCCGATGAAGACGATGAGCGGCATCTCGTCGGGTTCGCATTCCAGTTGGGCGGCGGCGCGGGCTTCGTCGACCGAGAGGGCCTTGTCGTGGCCGGTATCGGTGTCGTGGCGCCAGATGGGTTTCCATTCGCTGCCATCTACGCTGATGGTTGCGTCGTTTGCCACAATGTTGATGGTGGATGCCTGGTTATTGTTAGTTTGCGTTGGACCCGCGTACGACTCAAATAGAGAGTGGGACGTACCTCCTTCTCGCCCAGGAATACATCCAGGGCTCGCTTGAGGATGGGCTTCAGGCCGGCACTGATCACGTGGAAGGGGAAGCCGTTGTCTTGACAGTACTGGTGGAACTCCTGGAAACCAGGGTCCAGCGAGAGAGACTTTTGCATAACCACGAAACCGTCCTCGAAGGGGATATTGAGGGATCCCCACATGTCCTCGGAGATCTCACGGTAAGTCCGCTCGCCGTTCTTCATCTGTTCTTCCAACTTGGCCAGACCCTCCGCACCACAGCCGTGGGCACCGACGAGGATGTGGCCAGTGTCTTCCATGAAGATGGTGCCATCGAAATCTATATTGTCGAGTTAGTTATCCTGCGCATTTAATTGGCCCTCGCGCTATGCGCACAATGAGGCAGGGGCCCCCTGGTCGAGACAGGGTCTGGATGTTGGACAGGACTGGCTAGCATACCGGAGAAGATGACAATCTTTCTCTTCTGAGGAGTAGGCGCAGGAGCCGTGGGTTTCATGTTGGCGTTGGTCATTGTGAAGGCTACCACGAAGTGTAGAGATGCAGAAAAAACGTAAACAGAGAGATAGGTGTAAGATAGACGAGTGAAAAGACGAAGAGACGAATTAATCAAGATAAGGGCCCGCGGCCGTGGCAAACAAGAACAAGAACCAAGTTTATGACGTAGCGAAGCCACGACGATATCATAGTGGGTCTGTGGAAGCCTTTGGCGCCCGTAGGTGAAAATGAGTTGGAACAACGTGCCAGAAGTGTCGGACCACGGTCGGCGCCACTGCCGAATCTAGGACTTCTGATTGGACGATAGTCAGATTCCGGGTCCGGCGAGCCGAAACTTAGCGTCCATTGATTTCCGAGGCCGAGAAGGACTCTGGATTGGCTGGGCTGCTGGACCGCCGGAAAACGGTGGGGAACGCGGTGGAACAGGGACAGTTTAACAGTGTAGATTATAACTATCTAGGTCGAGGTAAGCTCGGTGATCCTTCTCTGCAATTCGGGAACTGTCCGCAGTTGCAGTTCAAGCTCGTCTTTCTCACTGTGATGGGGGTTAGCATAGTCCTAATGTAGGGCTGGGGGGATGCATACTCTTCCAATTTCAACCGGCGCTCCCAATCGAGCCCGGTAAAGACATAACTTCCCTGGCCATCAAATTGCAGAATCTTCTGGTGGTATTTCCAGAGACTGCGACGGTGCGAGACCGTCATTAGGGTGATGCCAAGCTTCTTGGCCGTCTCGTACATCACCTTCTCAATCTCCAGGGTCACCGAGGAAGTACATTCGTCCAGAATGGCAAACTTGGGACGGTGGTAGAATAGGCGGGCCATTGCGATGCGCTGCTGCAGGCCACCCGACAGGACATCGCGCCACTCCTCCTCGGCATCCCAGCCGCCGGGGCGGTCGACGACAGACGCGATCTCGACCACGGAAAGAACCTCGTACAGATCATCATCGGTCACACCCTTGGCGCGCATCTCGCGCACGCCGTCCGGGTAAATGACCTGCTGGCGGAGCGTACCTCGCGACAGATAAGGCCGTTGAGGGATGTAGAAAATGTCTTCAAATGATGGTTTCTTGACCGTACCGCCGTACACAGGCCAGAGCCCACCCAAAATGCGGAACAATGATGACTTACCGCACCCGTTGGGTCCGACAATCAAGAGATGGTCGCCAGGGTAGATGGTGAAAGACAGCTTTCGCACCAGGACGTCCCCGTTGGGCGAGACGATCGGAACATCGGTGAACTGGATGCAATCGCTTTCGACGACCTTGCCTCGGCCAGAAAGAACTGCTGCATTTTCCTCAGTTGATGCAGAAGAGACCAGCTTCTTTTCGAATCTCCCGGCCCCCAAGTCATCCATTACCTCCAGTAATGACGAGACGCGGGCAGTGAAACCGGCTAGCTCGGAGATCTCCTTGTAGGAGAACATCAGACGACCAAAGGCATCCGACGAGGATAACAGCATCCGTCGGTTGGTGACAAAGTCTACCCCGAGTTAGTTGAAACATACTGATCTGAGGAAATGAAACTCACTTTCGGTACGGTCGCCCATGGTATGAACGACCTGGCCAGGGATCTTGAAAAAGACGGGCACACTGCAGAGAACCAGGCCCAAAGCACCCCAGAAGTATTTAATAACAAAGTCCTCCATGAATCCATGGTACAGGCGCCGGCGCAGAATGCGATTCACGTGCTTGATGAGGGTGAAGTAGCCCTTGTCCAAAGTGTCCTTCTCGGCTTCATGGCCGTGGTAGAGGGCAACTTCTTCACTATAGTCGATGAGGCGCGAGTGCAAGAATCGGAACTCGCCCTCGAGGCGAGCCTCGTCGGCGACATACTTGCCAAACGGCGGGGTGAGCATGCGCATCACGTTAGCTGACAACTGCACCAGCAGACTCATGATGAACATCCCCTCGCCTCCGACATTCTTAGAAAGCGAGTAGTTGTAGATGCACATGTCGAGTATGGGCTTGGCCAGGTTGGAGTAGAGCTCCGCCAAGCTGTCTGAGAAGCGAGACACGTCGACTGTGACAAGCTGGTCTGGGTTCTTGATCCGATCGTCCAGGGCGGAGATGGCGTAGAAGGTCATGTTTGACAGGTATTTGTCGTGTATATAATCTGTCAGACGTTTCCGATAGCTCAGCGCGAGCTTGCACTGGTGGTACGAGAGCTAAGAAATGCGGGGATCCAGTTAGCCACCAGCTTCTCCACGGCCGTATTTCTTCTGGGGAACCTTAACACGAGCTTACCATGGAATTTGTAAATGTCGCGGGAACAGCCACGATCATCCACCAAACAAGACCGAGTAGGAAATCCCTGCCTTTCCCTCGCACTAGGTTGCTCACCAACCGGCCATCCAGCTCGGCAACATACAGACTGAGCAATGTCCGCAACACCAGGAAGACACTGTGGCTCACCAGGAGCCTCAACTCCTTGCTGCGCCATCCCGGAATCACGATCTTGAGCAGGCGCAGCAGGTTCCTGAAGAACTCCCGGTTGATCTCGACCCGCTTCTTCCGTGGTTGTTCGTCATCACCGAGACTGCTGGTGCCGGGCCGTCGGTGCAACTCTACTTGCTGTGAGGCAGCTTTCTGCTCCGAAATAGCATTGTGGATTCGTTTTGCAAGAGCTGCAAAAAGAGCGAGGTAAACGGCGCGTGAGATGCGGGTGCGGTGTTTGAGGTAGAGGGAGGTGAGACTGGAGAGAATCTGCTTGATGGAACGATCGGGCGGTAACAGCTTGGACTGGGCGGCCATGGCGACTCGATGGATCAGCCAGAGTCGGAGACTGACATGACCATGAACCGTAAGAGTGGTGTATCACCGATGATGAAGAGCAAAGAGGGCGACGGAGAAAGAAAGGAAGTGGAGGTCGAGTCGGAATGACGGAGTTGGCATGTGAAGGTACCCCAGGATCCTGGGGAAGTTGGGCCGAGGTGCTACTCTCCTACACTCTACACTCTACACCTACACTTCCATACATTTTGCAACTTGTTCTTCGACCGTCGACTCTAGTTTTAGTCATGTTTCGTCGATTCTAACGTCTATTCACAGAGTCGGTCCGTGACTTGCCCACCCTGCTGAAACATTGTCCGGATCCACGTCCGCCCAGCCTGGCTACTCCCTCCTACTGCCAACCCCGACCAGGAACCTCGCTCGTCAAATCTCAAATATATCACTGAACAGTATCCATCGCCTTGCGGTTGTATGCCTCACGATCACTTTTCCAAAGCCGAGAAACCTCCGGATCAGCGGGGAAATCGGGGTTGGGCTCGATAAGCAGCTTGTAAATAGACAGGAGGGCTATGTGTCTGTTAGCTGTGCTGCACGGGTCATGTCATTGGACACGGCAATGATACATTCATGCATGTTCATGTTCGGAGCCCACTTGTCCTGAAGAGTGTCCAGATGGACCTCGCCCTTGGCGTCCACGTTCAAGTGGTAGACACGGCTGGTAAATGCCACTTTCGGTGCGTCGAATGGGTAGGCCTCGGGGAATTGGACCGATAGCTGTAGTTCGCGGTCTTCGTAGGGAGTTTGATCCTGCTGGATGTTAGTATCATCTTTAATGGGCAAGGTATGGAGCATATTGTGAGGTCGAATCCAATACGTACGGGTCCCTGCATAGTTACTGTCCAATGGAACTGGATTGCGGTCAATTTGTGCTATTGGTAGACCAGAATGCTTGGAATGATCTACCGGGTCTTTCTCCGAAGTAGCAGAATATTCGCTAGGAGGATTGCTTTGCTCTGTGTCAGCCACGATGGCGTTTTTTGGCCGTTGACATAGATGGGCGAAGTTTGTACGACCAGTGAGCAATTACCGGATGACGCTGTTAAGCTCTTTTTCGATTCTTCCTTGGGCCATTGTTGCGAGTCACGCTATAAAACTCGGGTATGTTTTCCGTCTGCTAATATGGTAGGAGTAGGAGGGTCTTTCTTGGTTTGCCAAATTGAGAGGAGAGGTGCAAGAGGCAGCTTCGAGGTAGATCTGGGAGCTTGCTACTTATAATCCACCTTGCAGCTGGAGGTCGGCTAAATTTTGTGCACACAGTCAAAATCTAGGGTCATCATTGGTAGCTTTCCAAGGTTGCGATGCATGTTTTAGTTAGCTCCACGTAAGGCATCTCCAGATGATGCGCCATGCGCATGAAGCCCCTCTTTGAAAGAGCGGTGGCGAGCACACGAGCAAATCCACCACTAAAGGGAGAGATAACTTGATACGTAGAATGGATAGTAGACATCGTGATGTACAAGATTCAGACATGCTTCATGAGACGTGTTCGAAAAAGTAGGCATGGGAAGAAAGACGTAGGTATGTAGGTATGTACAACAAAAGCAGCGCTTAAAGACAGGCAATCGCATAAAAGTACGCGGCTAAAATAGAAATATATAACGAGCTAAGACGGAGGCGACGTGCTCTCAAATGTAGTGGCATCCTTCTTGCAGCTGTCGGCAGGGCGCAGACCACTGTTTATCTGCGCCGCGATCTGGGACTGCTTGAACTTTTCGAATCCTTCGGCGTCTTGTCGCTGGGCTGCCCAGAGATCGTCGACGGTATTTTCAAGCTTCTCGAATGCTTGCTCTGCCTGAGCACTATCGAATGGTGACTGAGACTGCTCTTCGTGCAGACGTTCGAGTTTCTCACGCAAGGCGACGATGTGAGACTCGTCATCCTCGCTGCCGTCAGCCTGCTTTTCGGGTGGGTTGAGGAAGTCGCGACGCAGGTTCTGGCCTAGACGGTGGAGGTGGCCTTCTTCAGACGTCATGGCACGAGCGTGGAAGGATGTTATCGAACTGGCTCGGGAGAGATGAATAGCGTATTGATCGGTTTCTTCGTCGTCGACGGCGTTTTCGTCGACCATGCTGCTGCTCAAATTGCCAGTAGCATTTGTCCCGTTTGCATCTTCGCCAGAATTCTGTGAGCTCGAGTCGGGAACCACGGCTGAAGGAGCAGCTTGAGGAAGACGAGTCTCCGGGTACTCGTCCTCAAAGCGCTGGATCATCTTGGCCAAAGTATAATCCAGAAACTGGAGACGACGGTAGTTCGCGTCGTTACCAGCTCGGTCCTCGCGAATAAGCGCTGACTGGATCCGCACACGGATGTTGCGTGCCGACTCGAGTAGGTTCTTCGACATATCGCGTGGCCGCTTTGTAACAATGCCGCGGGACTTCCGACGTCTGGGAGTCGTGGTGCCGCTGGGAGGTGTAGAGTGGTCTCCGAGAGCATCGAGCGCATGATGATGATCCAGGTTTCCGAGGCAGACACCTAGTGCCTTGACCACACCTGTACCGCCAATAACATAGTCCTCGTCGGGAGCTAACTCGTCCTCCTCTTCACCGCAAGGCTCCTCAACAGGGCCGTTAACTCCAACGATGTGTTGTAAGATCTCCGGCACCGGAATGTCCTTTGATCCAATGGATACGCCGGTTTCCGAGAGCTCTTCTGCAATGGCGCCACCCTCGAGATTCCGAAGCGAGTATGCAACGATCTGGGACGCTAGAGCTTTCACAACTTCGTTGTTCTCTGCGGTGGGAACTTCGATGTCGACTGCAATGATAGTCCTCGAGACACGAACAGCGGCCATCATGGAAGCGTAGACAGCACATGCCTCTTCCTGGACAACTGGGTTCACAGCAGATGCCAGGCGGACGATTTGAGGATTCTCGAGTATGTTCAGGTGACACAGGCTAGGGCACTCTGGCAGAACCTCAGCCAACCCAATAATGTGATCCGGCGACAAATCAACATCGGCAAGATGTATACGCTTCAGAGATGGCATCTTAGGCAAGAAGCGCCGGAATGCGCCAAGGGCGTTAGGCTGGACCGAGAAGAGCTCAGGATTGTGAGACACATCAATGAAACGAAGGTTGTGAAGTCGGGTGAGGGCTTGAAGCAAACGGCAGATCACAGTGGAATTCAAAGCACAATCCGCCAGACTGAGCGCGTAGAAAGGCTGCTCAGGTTCAATAGCATCGGCGAGGAGATCGAGGTCATCCTTGATGGGGTTTCCTCCCAAATCCAAACCTTCACATGAGCCAGCCTTGAAGTATTCCACCACATGCTCGAAGCCCTCTCTGGACAGTTCATTGTTTGCGAAACCCAGTCTCCGCAATCCCAATTTGGCGGAGGCCTCGCAAATCATCTTGACTTGATCATTTGAGGGCTTGCATTCGCTCAACAACAGTTCTTCAAGGTGATCGCCGGCAAAACGCTCAGCCAATGCATCAGCAAAGATGGTGCAAACGTCTGGAACAGGGTGTGACTGATTGGTTCCTGTGGAACTATCGGACGAAGCCCTGCACTTGGGGAAAGGAACGCCCGACAGGTCAATGGCCTTCAAAGACTTGGATAAGTGGATGAAGAGACCAATATGACGCCATCCTTCCCGGCCAATTTTGGGGTTGCCTTTGAGTGAAAGCTTCTCCACAACACCCCATCTCTCGTCCTCCATATCCGGGGCATCCGACTTGCGGTTTCGTCTCCGCCGATAACGCATCTGCTCCACGGTCTTTGTTGAGAGGAGTCCAGCAAGAATGGCTCGCACAGAGTCATCAGTAAGAGCACAATTCTCAAGAATAAGTTTCCGGACAGGGACGACAGCGAGCCAGTCGCTGAAGGTTGCGATATCTTGCGAGGTCATGGGGAAGTTGCTGAGATCCAAAGCAGCGACAGTGCCGGGGGACTCAGCTAGCGTGGAGGATGGCAAAGAGATCTCATCAACCACTCTCTTAAGAACTGGGGTTTCTCGGAGCTGACAACACCGACGGTAGATCCGCACTGGATCGGTAGTGGGGTGACTCTGCGTTTTGGGGCGTGAAACACCAGTCGCCGGCGCTTGACCCTCGTCATCATCGTTCTCTGCATCCAGCTGCAATGGGATAGAGCCGTTTGCCACAGCTTGTCTCCGCTTGCGCTCCTTTCGCTCCTTTCTTTCTTCTTCGGAGCGCTTCTTCTTTTCATGCTTCCTGCTCGGATCTTTCGTTTCGCCATTAGGCTTACACTCAACAGATTTGGAGTCAGCCGTAGTCGGTGCAGGAGTAGACTGCGCATCCTGAGTTGGGCTACTTCCTTGGACAGGCGCAGGCGCAGGACAAGGAGCAGAAGCCGGAGTTGGAGCTTCTTTCTCGGCCACTGCAGCCTGTGGATTCTTCAGCGCTCCGGCTTCCTCATTCTCTTTGCACTGGGCGACCACTTTAGTATCCACCTTCCCTTCTAACTTCTTCGACTTGGAACGATTGGACTCAGGGAGAGGCTGTCGGAGTTGGCAGGTAGGGGGAGCGTCCTCGTCAGTGTCGCGATGAGAAACACCGGCGATCTCAACGTCCACGCAAAACGCAACACGGTGAAGCTTCGCCTGGTTCAACTCTGCAATCTTGCACCTGTCTCGACTCGGGTCGAGGTTCATCACGCGGCGCGGACATACCGCTCCGTTTGGCGAGATCTTGGGCAGTCCGCCCGAGTTTGACGAGAACTTGCGCAGTGCATTGTGGAGAAATGAGGGGCCTTTCGGTGAGGATGAAGTAAACGGATTGGACTCGTCTTTCTTTTCTTCCTCCTTGTCCTTCGGGGAGTATGCGGCGCCGAAAGGGTTATGGGCATCAAGAGGAGAGGTAGCTTTAGGACTGGCTGGACTTGCTTTCAGACTGGATTGCGAGGGAGGCGTCGAGCCAGACGAAAACTTGGAGCTCAAACTCGAGATCCAGGAATTCCTCCGCCCGCCAACGGGCTTGGGTGCGCTCCGTTGTGTTGCCGGCGGCGGGGTCGACGAAGTTTGCTCCTCCGCGGTATTATTCTCATTCGGCTCTACCTTCTCTTCTACCTTGCCCAGATCATTTTGAGTCCCGTTCTTCGGTTCCGGAGTACTTGATGTTGGGCGTGCCGGGCTGCTACTCGAACGGGATCTTCGATGCGACTTGGATGGTGTAGTCGTGGCTTCTTCCTCGGAGCCAGGCCGTTCGCACGCTGAAGTCACTGATTTTGTGCGCTGGAGGTGATCTACAATGCGTTGTTAATAATCCGTTCAACGCGGCCTGAATTCCGCCCGCGAATGGCCTGAGGGTCCGCTCTCATAGACGGGGTACTGACCTTTCTGAGAATGGTGAAGCCAGCTCACATCCACAGTCTGAACGCCCTCCATGTTGAATGATCCCTCCCTTTGCTTTCCAAGAAGTAGGAGAGCTTGAGCCGGCCGGAGCCCAAACGATGACCAGCGAGGGGCGCAGTGTTCTCAGGGTAGAATGATAGGGGAGGCCTTAGATCGGATGACGCATAGTTGGCTGGAACCCCACTTTTGGCGAATGAGTATACGTCTGGCGGTCACGAATCAATTTTCCGCGAGCTTGTCAGGGCACACAAGGGAATGCGGCAGCTTAGAAATCCGGGGTGAAATGCGACCGTGGGGGAGGTTCCAAAGTCGAGGCAGGGATTCGTTACAGGCGACAAGATCTCGCCATCAGAGGTCGAGTGGCAGCAGACATGTTGCAAAGATAAAGGATTAGAGATTATCAAATAGATTGGGGGCAAAGGAAAAAAAAGAGGCCACTGGAAGCGACCGGATGGGGAAGATTAAGCATCGGCGGTGACATAATCCCTGTACAGGAAGCTCACGTGAGGTAACATATACATTCCCACGGATTTTATGGGGAAAAGGGCGAAGCAGCGAATTATCATTGGACTGGATGGGGTCTCTCCGCGTGCGGTGGCGGGAAAACATGAGCTGCTTGGCATCCAGTCGCGTGAAGACTGAAGGTGGGGGAGCCCAAGAGCGGTACTTAGCACCTGCTAGCGCTCCCAGTGAGAGTGGTCTAGGCTTAGTTTAGCTTCGTGGAATACGGGTCTTCTGTAAAGACGGCTAGTTACCGTAGTTTACGCACAGTATAAGCCACATATGTATGTATAGTCCATTCCTTACCGAGTACTGGAGGTAGATCCATACTGGACCCCGTATGTAACACACTGGTGGGTATCTGCAGGGGGGCAAAATACCCTCTTCCCCCCACCGCGAAACGCCGAGTTAAAAAACCGGGGAAACAAGCACATAACGCCCGCCCTTTCTATGCAAACGAAGAAAAAAAGTCATCACGCCGTGAATCTGGACACTAGTCCCGTCCCCTTCATTCCGCCGTGGGGACATCCTTGAGAATCTCCCAGCCGTATTCCTCGTCGGGCTTCTCGGCTTCCATCCCAAGGGCATTGCGGTATGCGCGGACCTCGTTCTGCAGCCCCATTATAATGCGGACCGGTAGCTCCTCTTCTTCCGACCGGAGTCGGTGAGCAGTGCGGATCATTTCGGCACATTTCATTGTTTGTGCATGCCAATAATCGCGGTCCAGCCGGCTTTCCAGGTGGGCGTCCCGTTCGGCCTGCAGGAGGTTGTTATAGTGGCTTTTCTGGTAGAGGAAATGCATGTTGTTGTTCTGACAGTAGTTGCGAATCTGCTCCACCATAGTGCCGACGTTGGACTCGTACTCGCCGATCAACTTGGTGTTCTCCAGCTGCTCACGCTTCAGGCTTTCGGTCAGTCGCTTCTCCTTGGCGAGGGCACGTTCGAGTTCCGAAATGCGGGCCGCTGGGGCAAAGAGATTAGAGAAGAAAAAATTGGGAAGATCGCTGGATGACATTGAAGAACGTACCCGAGATTTCCCCGTTGACCTGCTGCGCCGCTGGGTTGGCACCTTCCGAAGAGCCATGTTTCATAATCTCCTCCGCGCTCGTGACAATATTCTTTGTGACTTCCCGATTGTTTTTAAGGACGTCGGCTAGTTCCAGCACCATGTCATAGAGATGATGGAGGTCCATCTGATGCCCCGCGTTCATGGGCATGGCGGCGCCAAGAGCTGCCCCCATCCCACTGCCGTTGACCTGGGCGGCTGGGTGCAAAGGTGCAGGAGACATGGACTGCCGCGACATGCTGCCTACACTGGGGTTGGGGGAGCCAGAGTCGGGACGGACGGCGGAGTCGAAGCCCGAATACACGCCGTTGGTGGGACCGTTGTTGGACACGGGACCGCTGTTCATGGACATATCCGCCAGAGCAAAGGCACGGTTGAGTTCCTCGAGCTGAGGGTCGTTTGGGTTGATACGAGAGGTGCCGCTTTCCTCGTCGTACCAGGAGGCGTGGTTTTCAACGCCGAGGACCTCCTTTTGAAACTTCTCAAGGTCACGGCGAGTAACGTGGGTGGAACGACGGCGGTGCCCACGTGCAAAAGGTGCCTTGGAAGGGGAGGTAGGAGTAGCGCCCTCGATGATGGCGGCGCAGGGGTCGATGAGATGGAAATCGGGGTCAATCGCAAGATCGTCGTTGTAGTCGAGTGTCGACGTCGCGGCGACGCTGTTGTGGTGGTCCGGCCCGCCATCCCCGATCGGGTTAGCCTGCTCTTTCACCGCCGTCCTTTGACTGAGACCTTGACTGCTCTCCAGTCCAATCAACCGCTTCATCCTGTTGAGCGCACTCATCGCGGAGTGTCGAGACGGATGTAGGGCTGACCCAAATAGCACACCACTGAATGTCGCCTACCATTACCGTTAGCGCCGTCCACCGAACCTTCCCAACTAAGCTCGGGTGTAGGTGTAATAGATGACGGATGTCGATTGGAAACTGCCAAACTTTCTCTTAATTGCGCCTGCTGCAACTATATTCTGCAGTCGTAATTGCCCCCTTTTTTGATCCCTGGTTGTCCGGGTCCGGGTCTGTTGGAGATTTTATGGTCGCATGCAGCCTGGTGTAGATAGATCTACTCGAAGCACATACTCTGGCAAAATCCAATCAAATACTCTTTTCCAAAATCAATCTTTACGACTGGCACCAGGTTAACAGGGCTGCGGGCATATATTGGGACTGATACTACATGGGCCAGGATGGTTTGAAACCGTGCATGGAAAACTTTCAATATTATCAAAAATCGTGTCGTCAAGTCATACCTCTGTGTCTAGTAGGGCCTCCAATCCCCGGTCTGACCCGGGCAGTACGTACTCCTGGTCATCCTGGATATTGTTGCTTCTCTTCTGCTGTGCAATCCTCCCCCCTACTCGCGCCACAAGCATACGCATCTTTTCCAATTCCTGGACCAGATCTCCGTCCCGTGTGATGAGATTAGGTTGGATGTCTTTTTGAGGATCCTTGAACGGCTCGAGAAGCCTTTGTAGATGCCGAAGTTGATCCAAGCGCCGTTGTCGCTGCTGGCGTTGCTGATCCAGACTGGCCAGTCGCTCCCGGAGTTGCTGATACCTGTACCACGAGTGTTAGCCAGATGAAACTCCAATCGGAGAAAACCCGAAGGTTTTTAGAACAGACTGACATTTCAGTCTCTTCGTGGCCTGCACCCTGAGACTCGATTTCCATCGGCAGGTTGGCGATGTTCCTAAGCAATCTTGGTGAGGTACTGAGATTAAGGATGGTCGAGTCGAATCTTACATATGTCTGGACAGATCTGTTGTCTTTTCCACGCCATTTGTGAAGGCTGCACGAGATCGAGTTTCTTGACTGACGGTGGACCAGTAGAGATTGGCAATCTGATAGGCCACATGGTGGATTGCTTGTGAGGAGTAGACGACGCGATTATGTTGTTTCGCAGCCGCATTCACTGATGATAACTTAGCCCTCAAGTTCTCAGTAGACGCATGGTAAATTAGAACAGTGCTGTAAAGGAGGCTCGTATTACGGGACAATAGGGAACACACCTTTGTGCAATACGTCTTCAATCACCTTCTCGCCGAGGTCACCCTCTTCGGTCTCCACCGCATAGTTCCGCCAATCGTCGGGGAGCTCGAGACTTTCGGAGAGAACACGGACCTGGCTTCTAACAAATGCCGACTTCAACTCCGATATTGTTTGAGTCGAGTCCATCGCGACGATGCGGCAAGAAGAAAAGGCGCCGCATGTTGCCAGAAGCGCGTCCTTATCGCGCTTATCGATAAATGGTCACGTGTACACCGCATCGGTCGCTATTGGCGAAGGCGATCTGGCAAACGTCTTCATTGTGATGTGACTGCGATATTTTGCTCATCCCTGAGGAGGATGGTAGCCAGTGTATATACGACAAATCGACGTTGATTATTGATGTTTGGGTGATCAAGAACATTCCCTCGGCCTCGATCGACCCCAGTACCTCGGCAATTCCAGATCGCCTTAAAGACGTCTACTTCTCCGCAACAACTCAATGACTTAACGCTTCCCTCGTCGGGCCCCATAGTACTACAGGTTGCATTTGTCTGCAAGTGCTACTCCGGCTTGAGAATTCTTCAACATGGCAGAATATAAACAACCGGTGGGCCTCCTTTTCGATATTGGCGGCGTGTGTGTAAGTTGACCCCACGATCATTGCCCCGGGGAGACCCTTGCTAATCCTTTTGAAGGTCGTATCGCCGTTCCAGGCTATCCTTGATTATGAGGTGTCTCAGAATATTTCCCCGGGCTGGGTGAATTTCAGCATCTCCAGGACAAAACCCAACGGCAGCTGGCATAAGCTCGAACGAGGCGAGATCCCAATGGATGCCGATTTCTTTGCTGGCTTCAACAGGGATCTACGCAATCCAATTCTATGGAAACAGTTCCACGAGCAACAACGGAAGAAGAAGGGCCTCACTGGTGACGCCCCGATCCCCCAACTTCCGACAGTGGACGCGAAGTGGCTCTTCTGGGAGATGATGAGGGTATCTCGCACGCCCGACCCATACATGTACCCGGCTTTAAAGAAGTTGAGAGCGTCGGGCAAGTATCTCATCGGCGCTCTGTCGAATACTGTTAAGTTCCCTGAGGGGCATCCATACAACAATGATGCATCCGGGGTCAGGTCGCAGTTCGATTTCTTTATCTCGTCTGCGCACACGGGGCTGCGCAAACCCGACCCGAAGATTTACGAAGTTGCTATCCAAGAAATGAATGCTCTGGCTAAACAACGTGGACTAGCGACAGTCCAGCCTTCGGATATCGTCTTCTTTGACGATATCGGAGAAAACTTGAAGGCAGGAAAGACAGCTGGCTTGCGCACCGTTAAGGTCACCCTCGGAAAGACTCAAGATGCAGTCAAAGAGCTGGAGAAGATCACTGGACTCGAGTTGCTGGAGAGTGAGGACAAGGCACGACTCTAAAGAGAGATACTATGAAGTACAGACTCCCTAGAAATTTTCCGGGTTTTTATTTTTCGCATTGAATATACTAGAGCAAATGGGAAAACACATAGATAATTCCCATTAAATTAGCTGCAATTTTGGAGCAAAAGTTGGGTAAATTTCCGAGGTCCTTAAGCCGCGCAAAGTTCGGTGGTCGTCGACGGTCGTCGCCAACCGCACTTTTTGAGGGGATGCAGGCCCGCTAAGCGAATCTCCCCACAAAGTCGCCGCCCGAAAATTCTCCTACTTCTTTTCCCATCACGTCCAGGCTTCAGCACCGACAACCGTCAAAATGGTGAGTTTAGCTGCCGATGGCTGAAATATGCCATTCTGGTCCTCGCATCTTTTTCCTCTGCCTCGAGCGGAGCCGGGTCCCTGCAAGATGCTTCGGACAAATTTCTGAAGCGCTAATTGCTGACTCGCGATCTTCTTGCACAGCCTTTCACCAAGAATGTCAAGAACGATGCGTACTTCAGGTAAGAAATTACTCCTCCTTGCCCTTCGAAAAAAAAAAAAAAACCCTTTTTTATGGCTCTGGTACTGACTTTCTTCCAGTCGCTACCAGACTAAGTACCGCCGCCGTCGCGAGGGTAAGACCGACTACTACGCTCGCAAGCGCCTGATCACCCAGGCCAAGAACAAGTACAATGCGCCCAAGTACCGCATGGTCGTTCGCTTCACCAACCGCGACATCATCACCCAGATCGTCTACTCCGAGATCTCCGGTGACAAGGTCCTTGCCTCTGCCTACGCCCACGAGCTGAAGGCCTACGGCATCACCCAGGGTCTGACCAACTGGGCCGCTTCCTACGCCACCGGTCTGCTCCTTGCCCGCCGTGCCCTCGCCAAGCTTGGCCTGGCTGAGCAGTTCCAGGGTGTCGAGGAGGCCACTGGTGAATACACCCTCACCGAGGCCATCGAGACCGATGACGGCGAGCGCCGCCCCTTCAAGGCCTTCCTTGATGTTGGTCTCGTCCGCACCTCCACCGGTAACCGTGTCTTCGCTGCCATGAAGGGTGCCTCCGACGGTGGTATCTTCATCCCCCACTCCGAGCGCCGCTTCCCCGGTTACGACATTGAGTCCGAGGAGCTCGATGCCGACACCCTCCGCAACTACATCGTCGGTGGCCACGTCTCTGAGTACATGGAGACCCTCGCCGACGAGGATGAGGAGCGCTACAAGTCTCAGTTCGTCAAGTACCTCGAAGAGGAGATTGACGCTGGTGACCTCGAGGAGCTCTACACCGATGCCCACAAGGCCATCCGTGAGGACCCCTACAAGAAGGACGAGGAGGCTGCCCCCAAGAAGTCCAAGGCTGAGTGGAAGGCCGAGTCCAAGAAGTACAAGGTCAACAAGCTCTCCCACTCCGAGAGGAAGGCCCGCGTCCAGGAGAAGATCCGCGAGCTCGCCAACTAAGCGTATCGTCGTTCTTTCTTGACGGGTTGTACGGTCCGCTGAACCGGCTCAAAAAGTTTCCACCAAAATTCAATGAGGGGATCGGCTTTTACCAGTCGGCGTTTCTTTTTTCCGATGTGATGTAGATTTGATGGGATCATGGCTTATACCACTTCTGTTACGTTCAAGGGGTTTTTTTATGGAGCAATTAGTTCGGTGTATCATTCAAGGCATTTCTTCACAGTTCTAACTGCTCCTCAATGTCCATGAAATCTCATCGTTCCCTCAAGCGCATTCTCATACTTTCCTGGAAATCGTGCATTGTAAATGGGAATCTGTAGATCGTGTCCCCACTGCCGACGCGTGCCCGACCCACGATGTCTAGCGATACTGATCACCGTGACTAGTGAAATATCGAGTCACTGGTACAATCTACTCCGTACGCGCTCATCGGCTGCAAACTGGTTTTTCACTGATAGGGATGTATCACGTGACACATTTCAAAGAAATCATGGTTGAAATGGTTGGTCCTCTTTCTTCACTGCCAGCCGAATTCATTATGCAAACATCTCCAGAAGATGAAGCTCTTTCTAATACGGCATGCAGAAACGGTGCATAATGTCGAGAAAACATGGTAAGTGTCAAACAGTCAATCCTATACATCTCAATTAACATCTGATACTAGGGCAGGCACCACCGACTCACCACTCACAAACCATGGAATGCTGCAGATCGACAGTCTCGCTAGACATTTTGCATCCAATTCTATTCATTTTGACTCCATATTTGCCTCGGACTTGAGCAGAGCTCGGATCACTGCGGAAGGTATCTGTCGCCAACAACGCCCGAGACGTGACGGGGGTCTTGTGTCGCCTATCTTGACGTCAGATCTAAGAGAGAAAGATTTCGGATCATTAGAGGGTGTGCGTTTCACCCCCCCTGTCGGCAAACCCGGCAATGACAGTTCACGTGGCGGTCGCTCAGGTAGTGCCCCTGTGTTGACTCATGCCGAGAGCGAGTCCACAGCCTCGATGCGACGGCGAGCGATTTCGTTCCTGAATGTCCACCTCTTGCCGTTGATATTCGACGATACTACACAAAGAGCGAACGTGGCCATTGTCGCTCATGGTATCATACTTCGCGTACTATGGTATTGTCTTCTTGAACTCTTCGACCCTACAAATATTACAATGGCTCCGGGCATTACTACAGGTGATGGCCGACCACCGGTCCTGGTATCCCCGAGCTGGTCGAATACAGGGTTTGTGTCTCTATCTATCCTGCCACACCCGCATGTTTCTACATCGCCTTCGCAGCAACAGCCGGGATATGATCAAAGACGGGCGATAACGTATTCGGCAACACCCACTGAGGATTTACCGCCGACTCAAGATACTTCTGTTCCAGATGCTCATTTTCTACTACACGGATGGTCCATGAGAATCCTGGCTCTCGATAGTAGTGGTCATCTCGCCAGCTTACGCCGTACCCGAGGTGGAATTGGAAGTGCCTCGCACGACAATCGACAAAAGAGAATCGATCAATTTTTCAGATCATGACTATCTTGGAAGGAGATTAAAGATGTACTCTGGGCTATAGAAATTTCACTTATACTGTCAATGCTTTTACTCTTTGTAGAACACCTCGTCCAACGACTTCCACCACCCGGGGCCATCAGCACTGCTCACAGCGCCGGGAATGGGGCTCTCCTAGTAGTCCGGCATGTTAGCTTCTTTAAAGTATAGATTCAAAATGACCCATATGACATACCTGCATCCCATCAGTCATAGCCCACCACTCCCTCACTTTGGGGTTCGCCCGCATGCGCTCCATGTCTCCTTCGAAGTCTGTGCCAACGTACTTCATAGTCGCGAATAATGTGCGGTCATTGTCGTAGAAAATCGAGTCTGTATTCATCCAAGAGAATAAATTAGTTTACGTGAGATACTGCTAGAAAATTGCGGCCCATACAATCCTTGATGTTGCAGTCCTCGATCTGCTGCAGGACCTCGGGCCAGACGTTGGCATGGCATTCTTTGTATGCAGCCACGGCGGAGGGCTTGAGGTAGACAATCTGGGCAATGCGGCGGACTGAAGCCATTTTGTCTTGCTTCGGTTGGGGGAGTTGAATTGATTTGGCAATTCCTTGCGCGGGGATTCAGTGAGGAGGTGATGGAAGCAGGCCGGGAGAGACCGGATTGTTCGAAGAAGCAATCTTTGAATCAAGGAGTGTGAAGAGCAACAGCTAGGAGGGGTAGGATTCTCGAAACCACGCAAGATCGACAAGCGACCGTTGCATGCCCCTCATCCTCGCCACAGCGTTAACCTCCGCTCGGGGTGAGCTACCCCGAAGGCGGTCCCATCGGGATGCCGAGGATTAGACATCAATATAACCAGAAGACAAGGAAAAATGATGAATAACATAGTTCGAACATTGAATCATTCCTATATCCATATCTACTCTCGCGATCAAACATACATGTTCTTGGGAACGGGACCAATCCAACCAACAGCCAAATTAGCCGCGATGGAAACGACACCGATGATCCACATCGACTTCCCATACTGAGACCCATTGTATCTGAAAACGATGGCAAAAAGAATCCCTCCAAGATTTCCAAACCCACCCACAATACCCGACACGATACCATTGGCATAAGGATGCACGTGAGGAACAACAGCGAAGTTAGCTCCGTTGCACGCTTCCAAGAAGAACGCCAACCCAGCCATCAGACCAAACATAGTTGTCTCGTCAGATGGGTCCGACAACCCAATTGCTACCTGGAAGGCACCCATGACGAGGCCCAAAAATGTCAGCAGGAGCTTTTTAGACCAGACGGTGCCTGTGGCGCGATATAACACGTCCGCGAAGAAGCCACCTGCAGGCCGACAGATCACATTTAGCAGACCGAACATGGCTGCCCACTGGCCGGACTTTGTCTGGCCCATGTGGTGGAATCGAGCGGCGTAGTATGCTCCCAGTATGGAGTTGATTGCCAGTTCCGAGCCAAATGAGCAGGCGTACGGGATAGCCACTGCCATTGTCGATAAGCTCAATGCGACGCGCATGGCTTCCTTATGTGTGGGTGCAATGACAATTTCTGCCTTGAGGAGGTCAATTTGCTCCAGCGTAGATGCATTTTTGTCAATGACTGAAGGAGTCTGTACGCCTTTCTTTTCCACATCGACGGCTGTGATGCCGTAGACGGAGGGTGGACTTGAAGGTCCGCCTGAGTTGCCGACGGAGTTGATGTCGACAATGTTGCCGTTGGAGGGTGTGGCGGCTTCTGTTAGCCAGAGGTGTCGCTCTGACCACTTTCCTGTGGGAGTGTCTTCACAGAGGAACACCATACCCAACGCCACGGCGGTGATGATGATAAAGGGGACGATGTAGGCTACGCGCCATGCTTTGTGCGAAGTGAGACCTTGGGAGGTGACGAGAGCGTCGTAGATCGCAGGCATGACGAAGCTATAATGTTATGTTAGTAAGGGCATTCTTCTGCTCCATCTCACGAGTGCAGACATACTAAGTGATTCCTCCACCAGAATTGCCCCATCCTCCTGCCAGAGAATTGGCCGTACCGACAATCTTCTTGTCAAAAAATCCGGTGCACCACACCTGACACGGTACAAAGGTACCACCTAGGATGCCGACGAAGAATCGCAAGGCAATGAGACCCTTCGGGTTGGTAACAAGCCCAGCCATAGCGGTCGGAATAGCACCACAAAGTAAAAGACCGACGAAGACTAGACGCGGCCCAAAACGGTCACAGAGAGGGCCAGCAATGAATCGGACGAGCAACCTGAGCTGGTTAGATAGGCGGTTCCAAAGTGGATGGGGATTCATACGTTGCTAGCAGCGCAACAATATTCGAGTTTGCGACATCTGCTTGAGTCATGTGCAAGTCTTTCTTGATCGTGACGGTCAACTAGAGGAGCGATATTGTTAATTGATACTTCGACAATATAAGACAGGTGCTGCGACATAAAAACTTACCAGCGGTGGAAATGCATACCATGATAGGAATGCCACCATGAATCCTAGCCATGAAAAGAAGAAAACCCGGCCATATTGATCAAATGGGTTCAGCACAGGAATGGACTTGGCCTTTCTGTTTCCGGGGTTGACCTCTGGCGAAGCGACAAGGAGCTTGAAGAAGTTGGCAACCATTGCGGGGGCGGATAGAGTGTTGAGATGTACCGAACGCGAGACTCGAAAGGGCAGACTCAAACGTCTATATAGAGATGCACAATTCCTTCGAGGTTTGCTCAGCGAAGATGTCAATCAACGCATCTCACGGTGACACACGGAGCCACAATCACTGATATCAGTTTCCTGGTAAGACCCTGAAAATCACCAAGAAATAGAATTTCAGGGGCGAATTAGTCGAGAAATCACACCGAAAACCAGTACACCCGACCACTCTGATTCGACGAAAAGCCCTTTCCCCCGCAGTGCTTGGCTGCAACGAGGTAGCATTCGTCGAGGCTGACAAACGTGCGCTGGCCATTCCATTCTGGGTAGTGGCAGGTACGTGATAGCGATAAGACATGGACTGCGATGACCTATGAAAACCCTGCGGCATACCTTGCCCAGGCAATAAATGATAAGGACAGCTCTGTGCAACTCCGCGGATAATGGCATGCATTTCTCCGGCATCTCGTTACACGATGTCTGGGGATAGGTGCTCCACAGTGAGGGTGCATGATCCATGGTCCAAGCATCGATTGATAAACACGCCGCCTCTCATTGGGTGTTGACACAACTCCAGATAGGAACCAAAAAGCCACATCGCGTGGGTCAGAGTCGACCTCATCTCCGCGGAAATACTTTAAACAGAGTCGCTGTCCTCCACTGTCGATACGGTTTATGCTATGCCATCATTTTGCCCTTCTGATTAGGCTGCCAAGGCTCTCTCTTCTCGATGAATAAGCCTATTCAGGTTAACTTAACTACCTATTTTGTGGCCCTTTTTGGCGCTTATCAAGACTAGTTCGTGCGAGTCGGATTCTTTGGCGTCGTGAAGCTCATATGATGTAAGAGTCTCATGGCGAAGAACCCTACCCGTCTACTCTGTAGCGTCCTGGACACTTCGCAGTCACTCTTCATTCTACTGTATCTTCTTTAACATGGTTAACTAAAATGAACATCTAGGTAGGTTCAAATTCAAATCATGAGATACAAGCAATCAAATAGACGTAGCTTATTGTAGATTCGGTATACATAGTCCGTTATGAACTTTATCCAAGAACCCCCCAATCACCAGTCGATCGCATTAGCTGGCCGGATTGGGGCTTTCGAGGCAATTTCACCGTCCAAAATCTTCTTGCCCTTCATCCCCTTGTACTTCTTATCCATCTTATGGAAGGGACTGGGAGTTTCTCCCTTCCTAACCTTCCACTTCTCAGTTCCAAGCACCGAGTTCAATTCCTCAACAGGAGGTAGCTTGAGATAGACCCAACCACAGTCCCTCTCTTCCGCCGGGAATGTAGCAATGTTCATGTCCTCATCGTTAGAGCAGCGACCCGCTTGCTCGCCATTGAGCTCGAAGTTGCGCTTGTGGTATGGGCAAGAAACCCAATATTTGCCCGCGTCGTCATCTCCAATCAAGCCATCGGAGAGTACGAATGCCCGCTTGTGAGGACACATCTGCTGCGTGGCATAGTACTTGCCCTTAACCTTGAACACGGCGAGCTGTGTATCTCCACGCTTGATATTGGCCGAGGAAACACGAGGAGGTTCATCCGAGAAGTGATCTGCTCGGATAACGGGTTGCCATGAAACACTCGACCACTTGTGGCCTTTGAAGTCATCCTTTGCCGAATCTTTGGCCCAGTATGTAGGACGCGTTTGGGATCGCTCTTGGACAACTTCAACGGTGTCAGCTGTCTCGTCTGTATTGGCAAACTGCTGGAAGACCTTGCGTCGCTTGGGATCTCGGACAGTTTCAGTCCACTCGCAGAAGTAGCTATCAACTAGCTCCTGCATCTGTCTCTCCATATCGGCACAGATACCCAGCTTATCGTCGATGATGACCTCCCTCAGATAATTGATTCCACCTGGCAGATTTTCAATCCACCGAGCCGTTCGTTGTAATTTATCGGCAGTTCGAATATAGAATATCAAGTAGCGATCGACGATGGGTATGATCATCTCTGGCGGGACATCCTTCATGAGAAGCTCAGAATGTCGAGGTTTAGCGCCTCCGTTCCCCCCGACATAGAGATTGAAACCTTTCTCAGTTGCGATGAGACCGAAGCTGATGACTATTAGCAAGATGCTTCCATAGGGGGGAATGAGTTGACTTACTCCTTGTTCTGTGCCTCGGCACATTCTCGTACGCAGCCAGAAACAGCGGCTTTGAATTTATGCGGTGCCCGAACACTCTTATACCGCTCCTCAAGACGAATCGCCATCCCAACACTATCACTGAGTCCAAAGCGACACCATGTAGTGCCAACACAACTCTTGATAGCGCGAAGTGCCTTGGCATAAGCGTGTCCACTTTCCATTCCAGCGTCAATAAGCTCTGTCCAGATGTTCAAAAGGTCCTGCTTCTTGGCACCGAACATGTCGATTCGCTGTGCACCCGTGATCTTGCAGTATAATCCGTACTTCTTCGCGACCGAGCCAATAGCAATGAGCTTGTCGGCTGTGATCTCTCCGCCGGGCACCCGAGGCACGACGGAGAATGTCCCGTTTCTCTGGATGTTGGCGAGGAATTTGTCGTTTGTGTCTTGTAGGTCGTTGTATCCTTTGTCCATGATGTGTGGGTTGAACAAGCTCGAGAGGATTGAGCCTATCGCGGGCTTGCAGAGTTCACATCCAAGGGACTCCGGGTTCTTTCCGGCAGATCCCATCACTTCGGGGAACGTCTTTAGCTGTTTGATGGCGATGATGTTGTACAGGTCTGCACGCGAGTACGGAATGTGGGAGCATACTGCTCGAGTCAGTACATCTGTTTATAGTCTGCTGCAATATGATACTCACAGTGATTTGACACCTCGTGTCCTAATTCCAGCATGGTCTTGTTGAAAACGGACTGCACTAGTGGTAGACACCCACCACAGCCGGTCCCTGCCTTCGTGCAGGACTTGACCTGGCCCATCGTCTTGCAAGTGCCGTTCTTGACATTATCAACCACGTCGCCTTTTGTCACGTTGTGGCAGGAACAGATTTGAGTGTCATCGTCACTGTAGAACGAGATATGTCAGTTTCTGGGCAAGTAAACGTCTCGAGTGGTTCTCACAGGTCATCCGCATTTTCCTCTCCGTCTTTCTGAGCCCCCAAAATGAATTGGCTAGGTGGACTATCCAGCTCCTTCTGTAACTTGACCATCTGGTTCAGTTTCAGGTAGTCCCGAGTATCTCCGATCATCATGCCTCCAAGTACGTATTTCCCATCCATGGTAAAGAGGTATTTCTTGTACACCCCACCGAACGGGTCCTTGTACGTCAGAGCCTTAACAGGAGGCTCTTTCTCTCGAGAGCCATCTTCACTCGGTGCGGGGACTAATGGTCGTTGACCTGGGAGGAACTTAGGACCATCTCTGTCGGCAAAAAAGTCTCCAAAGGAGGCGACATCCACACCGAGGAGCTTTAGTTTTGTGCTGAGATCCGGTCGTGTGAAGCTTTTAGGTTCTTTGTCTGGATTGGTAAGGTTGTAGGCCAGCACATCAGCCATCTCTATACCAGGCGCGATGATACCGAATGTCTGATTCTCCCAACTGGCGCATTCGCCCACGGCATAGATATTGGGTACCGAAGTTTGCAAGCTGGCAATGTCAGAAATACCTCAGGGAACCGAAATAGCGAGACAAACCTCTCATCAATAACAAATCCTCCTCTATCGGCAGACTGGATCCCAGCGGAAAGACCCAGTTCATCTCTCGGTTTTACACCGATCTAGACACAATTCATAAGCAAACTGTATATGCCAAGGCATCATGAAGAATGCTTACCGCAAAGCAAATACAACAGCACTGAATCTGCTCCCCATCCTCAAAAGTGATCCCAGTTACATTATTATCCGAATCCGTGTTGACAATTGCGACTCGCTTCTGATGCAACACATCGAGTCCCAACTCGCGGATCTTGCGGGTTACAAGAGTGCCTGCATCTGCATCCAGTTGACGTGCCAGTACCCACTTGTTGCGATCAATCAGTTTGACGTTTCCAAAGTCTTTCAGGTCGGTCATGGCCTTGGCAGCCTCAAGCCCTAACAATCCACCTCCGACTGTGACTACTGTTTCGCCTTTATGTTGCGATGCAAAATGGATCAGACGCTCAAGATCCTGGATTGTGCGGTACACAAAGACACCCTTGGCATCGTGGCCCGGGGTATGTGTAGGATGGACGGCATCGGAGCCAGTCGCGAGGACGAGGATGTCATAGGGGATCGTACTTCCAGAAGAGGTCTGTACGGTCTTTGTATTGGGATTGATCTCGGTGACACGGGTGTTGAGATGGTGATCAAATGCTCGCTCTTTGAACGATCCATACTGGTAGATATCAGAATTGGGCAGTTCCATCGTAGTCTATTCAGCACTCACCCATTCCTTGGGATTCAGGTAAAGATCCTCGATCTTGCGATGTTCAAAGAATGACGATAGACCCACACGATTATAAGCAACGTGTGCTTCCTCACCGATCACTAGGATATCGTATCGTCGGTCCGTGTCCTGCTTGATGACTTTCTCACTGTTTGATGTTAGCTTTTGAATAAAAGTCCACTATCCAGGACTGCCTACATGAATGAAATGGCCACCATGCCCAGGCCGACGACGACAATCTTCTTTCTGGAAGTCTCGTTGAAACCAGGACCTGGACTGCCGTCGACCGGCTCGCCGTGTCGGAGCCCATCAAAAACCGGCATGACTGGATATTGGAACATGAAGGATGAGCACCCTACGAAATACGGCCGAGACTACTTTTAAGAGAATTACACCTGGAAGCTATAGACTTCGCGAAGGGTGACACAAGAGGCGAACACATCAGGAAAACAAGTAGGGTTTGATAAGCCAGCTCCGCGGAGATCGAAAGATGCTCCAGAGATAAAATCATCCGTGCTCTTATTGGCCACCGACCTAGCTAGCGATAAGGGCATGAACTGCACTAACTTGAAGGCTAATTAATCACGCGGGTTAGGTATTTCTGGCATCAGTGGATCTACTTGGAGTTCCACTTGATCCGCGGAAATGTCTTGCATTGGGGTTGTGGGGGCGTCTGACGTGGCATCGCGCTATTTCTCCCGGCCCGATACTACTCTATGTTCGCTTACTCCTACATGGGTTTGGACCTATTGATAAAAGTGGTATTCTAAATTCATATCAGAACGATACCGGTACTTGCAAACCGGAAGTATTCGTCGCGAGTGTGGTACGCCTCGCATTTCACGATGGCGACCATTACCGAGACCGCTGTTGAGATCGGCAAGAGTCCTTTGAAGGAACACATCAAGTGGCACGATCTTCCAACACCGGAAGAACCAAATATCCCTCTTCCGCCTCCGTCAGTCAATCCAACGTCGATTTTAGATCTCGATAAAGGCACACCCGATAGCCATGTTCCTCGGGATCCACGACTTATCCGCCTGACGGGTGTGCATCCATTCAATGTCGAGCCGCCACTTACGGCTCTCTATAAAGAAGGTATGAGATTATTGAAAGGGAAATTTTTGGAGTATTGGGCTAATTGGGCCAGGGTTTCTCACATCCCCCGAGCTATTCTATGTCCGGAATCACGGCCCTGTACCTCAGGTCCTTGATGAGGATATCCCAAATTGGGAACTGAGTGTTGAAGGGTGAGAGACCGATTTTACTCCTTTTGTGCAACATCGACGAAGACTAACTTCGTAAGCAGACTGGTCGAGAATCCCATAGTCTTAAATTTCAGAGATATTCTCCAGAAATACGACCAAATCACCGCCCCGATCACCCTCGTCTGCGCCGGCAACAGACGAAAGGAACAAAACACAGTCCGCAAGTCAAAAGGCTTCTCATGGGGTCCAGCTGGACTCTCAACTGCTCTGTTCACGGGGCCTATGATGGCCGATATCTTGCGTAGGGCGAAGCCCATGCGGCGGGCCAAATACGTGTGCATGGAGGGAGCAGATCAACTGGTGAGAGCATCCATCTCATTTCACAGTACGACCAAGAAACTGACCATTCCAGCCGAACGGTTATTATGGCACATCGGTCAAATTAAACTGGGCAATGGATTTCAACCGAGGAATCATGTTGGCTCACAAGATGAACGGCGAGTCGCTGAGACCAGATCACGGCCGGCCATTACGGGCTGTTGTCCCCGGCCAGATTGGAGGGCGGAGCGTCAAGTGGCTGAAGAGACTGATATTGACTGATAAACCGAGTGATAATTGGTATCACATTTATGATAACAGAGTGCTACCGTAAGTCGTCGTCTTGAAAGGCTCGTGAAGGCTCTAACACGTGCGCAGAACTATGGTGTCCCCGGAGATGTCTGCACAGGACAAGAATTGGTGGACCGATGAGCGATATGCTATTTACGACCTCAATGTTAATTCTGTGGCAGTTTATCCTCAACATGAAGAGGAGTTGGACCTTGCTACGGCTGGATCAACGTATACTGTCAAGGGCTATGCATATGCTGGGGGTGGTCGGAGGATCACTAGAGTAGAGATATCTTTGGATAAAGGCAATAGTATGTTCACCCACTCAGATCATTGATTGTCCAAAGAGACTAATTGGCGAATCTTGTTCCAGCATGGAGACTTGCCGATATCGAATATGCAGAAGACAAGTACCGCACGTGGGAAGGCGACCTTTTCGGCGGCAAGGTCGACATGTGGCAGCGAGAATCCTGCTTTTGCTGGTCTTTCTGGTCTCTGGATATCCCGGTAGCAGACCTTGAAGATAGTGGAGCGATACTGGTCAGGGCAATGGACGAAGCATTGACCGCCCAGCCGCGTGACATGTACTGGTCCGTCCTGGGGATGATGAACAACCCGTGGTTCCGAGTAACAATCACGAAGGAAGGTGGTTGTCTGAAGTTCGAGCACCCGACACATCCCGCAAAGGCTGGAGGGTGGATGGAGAAGGCTAAAAAGGAAGGCGGCAATTTGACCAACGGCAATTGGGGCGAGCGGATAGAGGGCGAAGCCCCTGTTGAGCCCGAGCCCGTGAAGGAGATTAATATGAAAAAAGAGGGCGTGAGCCGAATGATTGATCTTCAAGAGCTGAAGGCAGATAGCAGCGCCGAGAAACCTTGGTTTGTTGTCAACGGGGAAGTTTATGATGGAACAGGCTTCCTGGAGGGCCATCCCGGAGGAGCCATCAGTATTTCCTCCTCCGCTGGACTTGATGTCTCGGAGGACTTCCTTGCTATCCACAGTGAAACGGCCAAGATGATGATGCCCGACTATCATATTGGTACCTTGGACAAGGCTTCTGTTGAGGCATTGAAGAACAATGTTTGCCCAGCCTCTGACGAGCCGCGACCAGTCTTCCTTCAGTCCCGGGCCTGGTCCAAGATCAAGCTTTCAGAGGTGAAGAATGTCTCTTGGGATACCCGAATATTTGTCTTCGACTTGGAACACGAAAAACAATCTCTGGGTCTGCCGATTGGCCAGCATCTGATGATCAAGGTCTTGGATCCCGCTACCAAAGACCCCATCATCAGATCCTATACCCCGATCTCCAGCACAAGCATGGAAGGGAAGATGGAGCTGCTGGTGAAAATATACTTTCAATCCGACACAATACCGGGCGGCAAGATGACCATGGTTCTGAATAAGCTTTCCCTAGGCGCAGAGATAGACTGCAAGGGGCCCACAGGTAGATTCGAGTATCTTGGAAACGGCCGAGTGCTCATCAGCGGCAAGGAGCGCAAGGTCCGCTCCTTCAAGATGATTTGTGGAGGAACTGGTATCACGCCGATATTCCAAGTTTTGCGTGCTGTCATGCAAGACCCCCAAGATCCTACAACTTGTGTTGTGCTCGACGGGAACCGATTGGAAGAAGACATCCTGTGCCGGGCCGAGCTCGATGCTTATGTTGCGGCGGGAAGTCGAAAGTGCACTCTCGTACACACCCTGACGAAAGGCTCAGAAAATTGGAAGGGCCGGCGAGGACGTATCTCTGAGGAGTTACTCCAGGAGTATGCGTCCCCTGAAGATGAAAGCATGGCTATTCTCTGTGGACCGGAGGCGATGGAGAAATCGGCTAAGAAGATTCTTCTTGACCACGGTTGGGCAGAGTCTGATCTTCATTTTTTCTAGTTTCTGCTAGGACCATATATCCCTTTTGACCATATTCTGTGAATTTTGGCGGGAGTGGAGTTTGAATTTGTACAGACATGGGACCTCAAAGCACCGGGTATACAACAGTGTGAATTTTGATAAAGATAACAAGGTCATGATTCGTAACATGTCATCGCGGATGGTAACATAATCTCATGCAGGTTAATAGTAATCCCTCACGTCCAAGCGCACTCGAAGATGCTCAAAAATACTGGTCGGCTCGTTCTGTAAGGAGAATGCCGCTCCGGACTTTGCCATGGACTTGGCAGAGGATTTCCCAGGGTCCAAGCTGCGTAAATAGCTCACAAAGGCCGAGGTCTGCTTCCGAAAAGTGGAATACAAATGAAGAGCAGCGCCTTCGTTTTCGTGGCGGAGGCCATTCATCCCTTCCGCCTTGGATAATGGGCTAAATGCGAGAATGACACTGAAGATGTTGTCCAGCAACTTTGCAGCATGCGCGTGCCGTTTGCTAAGAAGAAAAGCAAACAACATTTGATCGAGGATGTCCTCATGGAAATCTCGCAGGCGAGGTACGGAATGAGCGGTTTCGATTGTGCCATCGATGTCGCCACGATCAAGACAGCGTTCGATTCTTGTAAGTGTTCCTTGGAAGAGGCTCCAGATAGACCCAATACCGATGTGGAAGCAGTAATCGCTGACCGCAAGAACGAAGTGCTGTGCGTCAATCCGGAACTTCTGGAACACATTACGTACATCCCCGGAAAGGGATTCTCGAGAAGTAGAGTCACGAACGAGTCCTTTGACAACCGACACCATGCGAAGGAGGCGGAGCAGCTGCTTGAAAAGACGGTCGTATTTTTTCAGAGACCGAGCTGTTATGAGTGCCTCGAGGGCCTCTGGGGGTTTGTACTGTAGACGGAGAAAATCGAGTGCCTCTATGGCATTGGGATCTTTGCATCGCTCGATCTCCTCATCTGTCAATTCTCGAATTGAAAAGTTGAGTCCACCTGGGAGCTCGTTCTCTTTCTCGTTCTGTGCCTTTTCGGTCTGTTCGGGTTCCGTGTCGGAGAAATAGCAGTCTCCAAGGATTCCGATCAGAACTAGCCGCAGTTCTGAGCTCGCTGGTGGCCATGTGTCGCGACTGCCTAGACGCAAGCCAGTGTGCACACCGCCGCGTACTTTACCAGCCTTGCGTTCGCCGCTGTCCATTTCGGGGTCGAACAGAGAATTCGAGAGGCGTGATGCAAATGATCCATCCCCCAATAGCTGGAATCGCCATTGAAGGCTCAAATGGTGCCGAACGTCATGCTCTTTGAAAAGATGGTGGAGGCATGAGAAGTCAATGAGTTGAGCCTGAGATGAAATAATCGGAGCAAGAGAGAGATAGAGGCTTGATGCCAATTCCGGCCCGAAACGATTGCCGAAGGAAATGGAGTCGGGACCGGGGTCTCTGGCCTTTTGAAGCATCTGGCTGACTTTGTCATTGGAAAGGGCCTTTTCATCCATAATAGATCCGGAGACATGTCTCTCATCATCAATGTCAAATAGCTCAAAGGTTTCCTTCACAATGTCATTTGTATTCGATTCGCCAGCGTCCCTGCAGAAGGAATCAACAATCTTAAGCTGCGCAGCCGCACCCCCTTCATGATACTTTAGAATCTCGGCACGGAGTCTGGCTTCGTATTCATGTGCTCGTTTTTGGATGACCTCGATATCTGCCCAGGTGGTCGCATAGTGAAGGTGGAGACGACCTGTCCGGGCGAGAACATCATGTCGGGCAATGGGGTGTTGTGGGTGGGACCTCTTGAGGAGACGCAGACTTCTGCCACTCTCGAATATCGACTGCGCTTGGTCTGCTGGTATGAATGATGGCATGTGGGACCCAAGGTAAGTGTAATCGATTCGCGAGGCCCTCGCCTTGAGTCTGCCGGGGTCTTCGTGATGCTCTTCTTTAACGAAGGTCCGACCACTAGCCAACAGCTCATTCAGTGTTGATTCTTCGGGGCGAAGGCCGATCCAACCCTCGATAAAACCAAACCACGGCGCTGTTACTCGAACAACGACTTCATGTACAAGATTTTCCATCCAGCCAAATTTCTGAGCGAAGATGGTGGCCCACTGAATAGCGCCCGAGATCACTTGAGCGTCTGTGACAGCTTTCTCGACTGCATCAACAAACTCAGCCAGGGCGCCTATTAAGTCACCGCATCGACTAAACAACGTCGTGACCTGAAGAAGCGAGACGACATGTTTAGAATGAGCGAGAATTTGTTCCTCGAGATTGTAGATGATCACGGCGACGGTACCACGCAAAGTGAATATAGCTGACAAGTCCTCGGATTTGGCCGCCGGAGTCCTAACAAACGTTCGTATGCGTTGCATATTGGTGCCGCATTGCAGTACCTGTGTAATCGCAGCGTCCAAAACTTTCAAACTGACACCGGAGACACGAATATCCTTCATGTATCGCTCGAATGCCATCTTCTTGTGGTTGAAGCGGAAGAATGCCGAGCTCCATCCAAGTCCAAGGCGCAACAGTGATCGGATGAAGACGTCGTTTCGAACCAGGCGGCCAGAAATATCACGGTCTTTGGTGCTTTGCCGCGCAAGCGCAGCGTCGAAGCCTTTGGCACCCGATTCACTGAAATATGCCGACACTGGTTCTTGAAACGACCGGTTGAGGTATCTCTCCCACGATCTGAGTGGAGCAACATGGCCGGGTTCCTCCTGCAGAAGATTGGGCGCCCATATGTCAAATCCTTCGAGCTCTGGCAATGGTTCACTCGGCGCATCGGACTCGGTGTCTATCGAGGGGTCGACAATTGAATCAGGAGCCGACGCGGGCAGTTCGAGGTCGGTTGCAAACAAGTTCAGTTTCCATATCGCATCAGTCTTGTCGATTGTACCAGCGGATTGGTGAATGAGGGAGCTCGAAACATCTGTTCCAATTGTAAATGTCAGTCAGTTGTCTCCAGCTGGATCAATGGTTACGTACCAGGCAATTCCGTGTTCCACGGTAGAGTCTCCAATGGTTGCAGAGCCTCTAAGCTGAACCTTGAAAGTCTCCAGAGACTCTCGCTGGAGAAAGGATCGAGCTCACGGTCACAATCCATCGCGAGCCCATAGCCGAGATCGCGCAGGATGTATTGGACGCGTGTTGGGCGCTTCGTTGATTTGGTCCCGCGCGAACAGATGGCTATCGTGCACGGACCAGGCGATAACAGCAACTCGCGAGTTGCTCGTCATTCCGATGTCTTCGTCAACGACAATTCCACCTTTACTCCAGTTCGCAATGCCTCCTCGCAAGAAGGCAAAGCGCGCGCATTCCACCACGCCACAAGATGACGCTGCGGTGCAATCCACTGTGAATACCCCCGGGTCAAGCGACAGCGCCGGAAAGCCTGAACCCGAACACGATTTCCTTACAGATCCCTGGACGGATGAGCAGGAGACTGCACTGTTGAAGGCAATCATCAAATGGAAGCCAGTTGGTGAGTTGATGATGCTATTGACACATTGATTTGGCAATGGCCCTGGCGCTAATGCACGTTCTACTCAAGGCGTCCACAAACACTTCCGTATGCTTGCAATTGCAGACTACTTGAAGAGCCAAGGATATGGCCCCTCCACGGCAGACCATATGCGCATCCCGGGGATATGGAAGAAGCTAGGCACACTTTACAACCTCGAGGCTCTCGACGAGCGGGTAATTCAATCCTCGGCCGCATTGCACCACGAGTACCAGTCTCGCTAACGTGCATCGATCGCGCAGGAAAATTCTGTCATCAGAGACACCAACGACGACGAGGACGAGGAAAAAAGTGAAATGTACTGCCCATTCGAACTCCCGTACGATGAATATGGCGACATGATGTTCGAAAGACGATTAGCAGCGGAAGGATCCTCCTCGCCTGTGACCAGCCGCCACGCTGAGTCGCGACGGGGCAGCACTGTAGCAGACACAGACGGTAAGCTGCGACATCGTTCCCACAGGGCCTCATTTCATCCGCTAAACAAGCCCAACACAGAGCCTCGCTCTTCCCCGGTTCCCTCACGAGGCCGCAAGTCCACCCGCGGTACCCGATCAGCTGCGCGCGAAACACGGTCTACAAAGCTTCATGTCGAAGTTGGCTCTGGTAGTCAAGGAGAAGCATCCGACGATGGGGGCAAATCAGATGGAGAGGACACGGGTGCCAATGATGAAGGGGACGAAGAAGGCGATGAGGGCTCTGATGGAGGGAAGGATAGCGAGGGCGAGGAAGAAGAAGCCGAGGAAGAAAAGGAGGAAGAAAAGGGCGGTTCGCGAAGCACGCGGGCAAAAACGTCAACGTCAACATCAAAGTCCAAGTCGAAGGACAAGAAGGCTTCCGCGAGTACCGGGACGCGTCGAACGAATCGTCGACGTTGATGTGCTTTCATTCCGTTTATACTTCTGCAGCTGTGATACCTACGGATCCTCGGATGGGCGTTTGCGGTTGCCTTGATTCGGTGCCTTGTACAATTATTATGGAGGCTGCATGTGTGAAAACCTACTTTGATAATCAACGTCCTTCGAGGGAACTCGACACTACAAATAGCATTGGCATAAATACACAAGTAGGTAAATTTCGATCGCTATAGGAAGTCTAATGTCGTTCGAGGGTACAGAGGGAATAGATCAAAAGGTCATAGTACAGGAAATCCAAGTAGCAATGTACTTTACAGGCGCTTCATGATGGCCTCGGCGTACTCGTGGGTCTTGGACTTGCCACCAAGGTCACCAGTGAGAGTCTAAAAGAGAAATCGTTAGCAATAATTTTAATCAGGGTTAAAAAAGGGAAAACTAACCTTGCCCTCAGCCAGGGTGTCAAAGATGGCCTTCTGGATGCGACCGGCATGGTCATGGAGACCCATGTGCTGCAGCATCATGATGGAGGACAGGAGCAGAGCGGTAGGGTTGGCAAGACCCTTGCCGGCAATGTCGGGGGCGGAGCCGTGGACGGCCTCGAAGATGGAGCACTCGTCACCAATGTTACCGGAGGGGGTGAGACCGAGACCACCGATCAGACCGGCGCACATGTCGGACAGAATGTCACCGTACAGGTTGGGCATGACAAGGACCTTGTCGTTGTAGGGGGTGGGGTCGGTAACGATCTTCAGGCACGAGTTGTCCAGCAGCTCGGCGTCGAACTCGACATCGGGGAAGTCCTTGGAGATGTCACGAGCCGTGTTGAGGAACAGACCGTCGGACATCTTCATGATGGTGGCCTTGTGCACGACGCGAACCTTCTTCTTGTTGATGGACTCGGCGTACTGGAAGGCGAAGCGCAGGACGCGCTCGGAGGCCTCCTTGGTGATGAGCTTGATGCTCTGCACAACACCATCCACAACGACGTGCTCGATACCAGAGTATTCACCCTCGGTGTTCTCACGGATCAGAACAGTGTCGACGCCATCGTAGGGGGTCTTGTAGCCGGCAATGGAGCGGCAGGGACGGACGTTGGCGAACAGGTTGAAGGTACGGCGCAGAGTCAGGTTCAGGGAGACGTGGCCCTTGCCGACGGGGGTCTAAAAAGCAATTGTTCAGTATTGCCGAGTCGGAGTAACTAATCGCGTTACGAGAGAGAACGTACGGCCAGGGGACCCTTCAGGGCAACGTAGTTCTTCTTGACACTCTTGATGGCCTCGTCAGGGATGGCGGTCTTGCCATCCTTCAGGATGGGGGTAACATCGACGGGCTCCCACTTGACAGGGGCCTGGGAAAAGCTTAGCATCACAATCGCGTCGCAGAGAAGATTGGTTTGCGACGGGTTCGTACCTTGGCGGCCTCGAAAATATCCTTCACAGACTGAGAGATCTCAGGGCCAATGCCGTCACCCTCAATCAGAGTAACGGTGTACTTGCCCTATATTACCAAAATATCGAATCAGTATTGTCGCTTTGTGAAATATCCTTCGGCATGGGGATTTGTCGGTCGACTTGGTTTGCGCGGCTCGCGCCGGCACCGAAGAAAAAAAAACGAGATTTCGCTGGGAGACGACGTACATCGGAGCCCTTCTGGCCCTTGAACTTGGCGACTGCATCATCGGCAGAAACAGCATAGCCGCGGATCTATCATCAGACAAACGAAGATTAGCCAATTGATACTCCTATCGGTAGGGGAGGGGAGAGGGGGGGGTTCAGTTACCTGCGCAATGGGGGCCACAAAACTGGGGGCCACACGGACGGACCGCAGGCACTGGCGAGCAGCAGTGAAGTTTCTAGCGGCGAGCATCGTGAACGGGACCCGGCAAAAGTTAGGAGGATAGGTCAAGAAGTGGTGGGGAAGGAGAAGGAAGAAGGGGAAAGGGACGAAAGAATCGAGTTTCTCGGCGCCGCCGTCCCGATCCGACCGGGACGCAGACCGCATTGGTGGTTTGATGTCCCCGGCAGCCCGAGTCCACTCCTCCCTTCGTCATTGGTGTTCGGCTCCCCCTCTTGCTATCGTTGCTCATTGCTTTCTTTATTTGACTTGACTGTTCTCTTGCTCTACAGCTGCAGTCTCCTGCAGGAGGCTCTGCTCAGCCCTGTCCCTGAACTTTGAACCCCAACCCCCATTTCAATTTGGCCCGTCCCCACTCCACGCGAGCTCCAGCTCCAGCACCAACCGCAGCCTGCACACCATGGCTGACCTCAACGTGGTCAGTCATTACAACCTCCCCGAGGAGTTCCCCGAGGAATGGCCGGCAGCGCTGAATGAGGCCGACGAGTCGGATGAGGAACCTGTTCAACGAACAAAGTCCCGCCCCCGCAAGTCGCGGTACTTCGCGCTAGAACGTACCCCGAGCGACTGGCGGAGTAACCTCGGGTCTCGCAGAGGGAAGGATGGCAGGGAAAATGCGTTAAATGACGAGCCCGACCCATTGGGCACTGGCGACAGTGTTCTACGGATCCTCAAACAGAGAGGTTTGCGACTAGAAGAGGAGGGGGGTAAGCGTTCGCGATTCCTGCTCTCGTCGACCTCGTTCTCGCCCGCGCTCTTCCTGTCTCAAGCACACCACTCGGACTCGATCGAATCCCTCGTGGCTGGTTTAGCCAATCTGTCGCAGTCCATCGATCAAAAGTCGGCGTCGCTGAAAGTTCTAGTCGAGGCAAACTTCGAGCGCTTCGTTCGCGCCAAGGCAACCATCGATAGTGTATACACGGAAATGAGAGATACAGGGGTACCCAAGGACCAAAGGCTGTCTGCTCGCAGGTCAGGGCATTACCGGAGCTATTCTGGTCAGCAGGCAGGCCCGTCTCCTTCTCCGGCGATGGGTCCTGCCCGGAAAACCGCGCTGACCAAGGAAAGTGAGTACGGTATGAGAGGCATTCGAGACCCATTGCTGGAAGCATCCGTAAAGGCAGAAGAAGTGTGGGGACCTGCTCTCGGAGGTCGGGACCGTGAGCAAATGCTCAAGTCCGTGGTGGACACCATGGAGAAGCACCGCGACGTTTACGAAATTGGAAGCTTGTTGTCCAAATCCATCCAGCAACGCGATTATGACTCCGTTTTCGAGCAATACACCAAGGCGAGGACCTTGGCGAATCGGGCGGAGAGCATTGTGGAGCAGGCTTCCAGCAGCCGCCGGCAGCTGAACGACCTCGAGACACATACGATCTTAGCCATGGGGCGAATGTGGATGGATGTCGACCAGCAGATTCGTTCCTTCAAGGGTGAGCTTTGGAGACGGCTCGGCGACGCGCCGACTACATCGACCACAAGCACTGCATCGGGTCCTGTGGAGGAACATATGGAGCTTATTGGAGCTTTGTTGGAATTGGGCGTCGATGATAACCCCATCTGGACATGGCTTCATAGCCGACTTGAATTCCTCAAGACCAAAATCACTTCGTTCTGTGAGCGCTGCAAGGTGGAGATCGAAATATTGCGACGCAGGCTTGCCGCAGGAGACAAACCCTCGCCTCAAGTCACCGCGTCCTACCTTCGCCTGGCCCCTCGTGATGGCTCTGCAGAATTCCCCGAAAGGCTTGATACAGATCATGTCATCGAGCTGTGGGATTGTGTCCAGGCTTTCCTGACCCGTCTTCTTTCATCCCAGAGTGGCTTGTTAGGCGAGGTATTGGACTTTTGGGAAGTTGCCCAGTCCTTTATCGATGGCAGCCGACAACGCCTTCTTCCTGTCGGATTCGAGGGCGAGAGCCGAAAACACCATCGTCTTTCTCGGGAGAACGTCGAGGAATTGGAAAAGGGTGTTGTGGAACTGGTCAACCTGATCCGCGAAAATGTTCTGTCTCTTTTCAATGAGCCTCCGACTGAAGACATATCACTTCTTTCCTCTCCTATTCCACCGAGTCCCACGAGCCCGGCCTCGAGGGGTATCACTCCCACGGAGTCCCGCTTCAAATTGGACCCGAAGAACTTGCCCTTCCCGGTGCCTAAAAAAGGAGAACCTTGGGAAGAGTTTGCCTTTTGGCCTCCATTTTCCAACTCGCTGAGCGGTGCTCACTACCTTGGCAAGTTCCTTGTCATTATTGGTACCGCCGCCAGTGAGATGGCGGCTCTGCACCCAGTCAGTAATGCTGGGCCAACTCGTGATTTCCTTAAGGCTCTTGTGAGTATTGCTCGCGAGCGGTGTGCTCGGGTGGCATGCGCTACGTGGAGCAAGGATGCGGAGGTTTGCAAGATGTTGGAAGACTGGACGCGTGATTCGGACAAACGAGATTTGACCAAGATGCCGGGCTTCTTGGTCGCTTTTGAGAGCGCCAATCTCAGTGGTCTGCAGAAGATTCTTTACATTTCCGAGGCCATGACGAAATCAGGGTCCATGGATGTCGTGACTCCGCCTCCTGCGAAGCTGCTTCAGATGGTTCGCACTCAATTCGTGTCCAGTGTCTACAAGGCACTCAGTGGGCTGGTTGAGAACGCAGAGAGCCTGACGGCTTCGGATGAAGAGAACGAGTGGGTCATTTCCAGACCTGTCATGACGAGCCAGGTACTTGATGCCGCTTTGTCTGTCCTTGCTGCAGATTCGGTGGATTCAAGCAACCGGGTAAGTGTTTCATTCTACGGTGCCCGCAGTCTCCATTACTCACAGGCGATACAGAATGTCCGAATCCTCCTCACACTTTCCAATCTCAAAGCTCTCCAGGCCGAATACGTGCCTCAGTTAATTTCCAACTTTGAGACTTCCTTCTCGGTCAAATTGACGGAAGAGGGCAAGACTGTCCGGGATGTTCTCAAGCAAATCGAGGGCCGCCTGTTCCAGTCATACACCGAACCAACTATCGCTACTTTGGATGAGACGATCACCAACGGCATTGCGGCAGCCGACTGGGTGCCGTCGACCGATCGACCTGATCAAGTTCGTCCCTACGTCTACAATATCATGCTGACTCTTGTGCTGGTCCACACCGAGATCTCGACGACCGTCCCCTCTAGCGTAAACGCCAGCTCCAGCCGCTCTTCACCAAATGCCCCGTCGTCTCTCCTATCGACGGTGCTCACCCACCTCCTAGTGAAAGTCTCTTCGTCTCTGTTGGCTGCCTTCCGAACTCGAACCAGCTTCACACTTGCTGCTCTGATGCAAGCCACCTTGGATACCGAGTTCATCGCGCAAACATTATCACAGTATTCGACCGACGAAGCATCCAACATCCAAAGCCAGATCTACGTCGAACTAGATCGTCGGACCACGAACGAAGCCCGCACCAAGCTCCAGGACGAGCTGGGAGAAATGAGAGTCGTGCTGAAGCGACTGAGAGATCGTACCAAGGGTGAATTTGCCTGCTTCCGAAAATCACGGAGCGGCGGTTCCAAAACTTCTGTTGGCACATAGAGTGGTTTTTTTAAGCGAGATAGCCAATATTCAAACAAATGCATTCATCAATTTTGGTCCTATGGAATTCAAAGCAACCGGGTATCACAGATTTTCGCCGTAGTCCTTCTCTTTCGCTACTGACCGACCATACGCTGCACCCGACTGAGCAGAACGTTGCTCTCTCTGCCGAGTCTCCTCTTGCCAAACTGATCCGGCCGCTTCGCCCGCAACATCGCCTCCCGATCCTTCTGTTTCGCTTCGCGCTGCCGTTGGCGGGCCTCAGCGGCCTCTTTGCGCTTCTCTGCAATCTCCATCTCCTTGGTGAAAGCCGATCGCTTCGGGTTGCGATTCTGTCTCTTGCCATCCTCTCGCGGGCGGCGTTGAGGCCTAGGCGCAGGCTCTGGAGCAGGCTCTGGCTCTGGCTCGTTCAACATCGTGACGCGATCGGGGTGAAGCTCTAGAGATGCAGGCTCGGCTTCATCGTCTTTTGTCTTTCCATCTTCCTCGTCGGCTCTATCGTATACGGACTTGGGTGTTCCGGCGGCACGTTCTTGTGCCTTGATCTTGGCGTAGGCTTTCTTCACTTTGGCTTTTTGGATCAGATCGGATTTGATTTTTTGGGCTGTTGATGGATATGTTAGTCGGGCGATCGCAGTCGACAGAAAACTAAGCCGGATACTCACTCTTGCGCCGATAGGTGCCATCGGGGAGATTTGCCGGGCCGACGCTGAATCCCTTGCGCTTCTTGACGGGTTCAGCCCCAGAATCTTTGGCAAAAAAATCGCCGTCGCGAGTGCGTTTCGGTGCCATGGCTTTTCCAAGCGCGGAATTTAAGCCGGTTGCTGTGGTTGAGTGTTGGTGGAGTAAATTAAAGCAGAGAAAAAAAAAGGCGGCGATCTTTTAAGTCCGAGCACCGCAAAACGGTCGACGGGCTGCAACCCCACGAACAGGGAGCTAGGGAAGGTCGAGAACGCGGTCGAGTATTTACACTATTGGCCTCACTACCCTCATGACTCTTCTCATCCATCCTTCGATTTACTCTCAGCTCGACAAGTATACCAGGCCCGGATCTACCCGGTTCCGAGTGCAAACGGAAAGCGCATGATCTTCGGCGATGAATCATCTGAGACCCACGACAATGACATCGGGCACCTGAGGCGTGACTGGGCATACCGTTTACCCTCCGATACGGACTCTCCCTCCGACACACACCCTGATATCGCTCCTGCTCTCCTATATTCGGCATCATTCCCTGCCAATCAGTCCCAACGCTTCCCTCTGACGGCATACCCGCTCATCCTCACACCGCATCCCAACCACCCCACCACGGCAGTCCCGATTTTGAAACTGCTCGCCACGTAGGCGGCCTACTGCAATGTCCGACTCAGCGTTTCAGACCTCATAGTCTGTCAAACCTCGCCACTATGCCCCTATTTCATGACCCTGATCGCCGGCGACATTCCCCGGGCCCTAGTGACCACTGCAAAGCCGAGCAGTCTGTCCCAGGGTCCCCTTGGGATCGGTCAAATACATATAGTCATCATGAACTGGACGGGTCAGGGCCAGCTGGGCCAGCCCTAGAGCCGTTGCCTTCAGAGACTCATTCAGCCAAATTTTGGTCCAACGACAGGCAGGAACTCATACAAAGGATCAAAGAATCATCGCCCTGGAGGCTACGATATACTGTATGTACAACGCCCTATTGACTAATTTCCCTTTTTTTTTCACTTCATCTTTTTGCCGACCAATTATCTCTTTTACTCCGTTCTGTTACTGTAGCTAACGTACTGCGAAGTCTGAAACCAGCGGCGACAGCAAGCTCGCCATGTCTCGTACCGCACCTGAGGAGTCAGGGACAGAGGAGCCGAGAGAAAAGCATGAACTAGAAAGCCGAGAATATGCGCAGACGTCAGAAGAGCTGGGTTCGCCGGCCGATATCCAGAGGCCTCGATCTGCTTTACACTCCGGCGACTTCAGGGAAGGTGCCGACAGCTCTACGCAGCATACTCCCCCATCACGTCGACCTCGATTCACAGAGCGAAGCCCGACGTCTCCATTTCCCGAACTGGGTACCTCTCCTACAACACCATGGTTTGGTGCATCGGCTTTCCAGGCCCCGGCACGGGGCCCCGCATTTGACGATCATCGCGAGCTGATGACGCTCCAATCCCGGTCCCGAGCACCATCTCTAGGGTCATTCTCTTCAAGCTATGTTCTCAAGGTTCCAACGAGTCCTCTCGTACACCAGGCGAACAATACCGATCTGGATTTTTCTCCTCGAGTCGATTCGGGGGATCCTCCTCCGTTTATCGACAGAGCGAACCGACGGCGGACCCTACCTCCTGATTCATTTCTGCACCTCCAATCATCACCACCAAATTTGCGAGCCGTTAGCATCCGAAATCCTTATCAACCCGGTCACCACGAGGGACTTTTCCAGCCACAGCACTTCCCTCGTCGGTCTCTAACCTCGGCGTATAGTCTTCAGCTTGCCCCGACGGGTAATGCTAACGCTTATCGTGCAAGGAGGCCGTCTTTTGCCTCCGAGCATTCTGCAAAGCCTCATGCCCCGATGGTAGGGTCCTACGAGGAGTCTCTCTTGCGAGGCCGAATGTCTATGAGTCCTTCCAAGCCACTGGATTTCACAGCGCAGATTGGTGTTCTCGGGAAGGGGAAATGCAAAGGGCACCTTAAATGTCCTCCGCATGTGACGGTGCCTTTCCCTGCTGTTTTCTACAGCTATCCTACTTCTGGGAATGGTCGCTCCATTGCGGATGACAGCCCGAGTCCTTACGTGGGCCATATCGACCTCGAGAATTCGTTAGCCAAAGACGAGTCGAACACGACACGGCGTCGGAAACGACATGTCAGTCCCCCAAAGTCTCATGAAGAGACTGTCCTAGACGAGTCGGGTGCAACCCGAATCGCTGATGTCGACACCCGACGTCGCCGAGAAAAGAAGAACCGCAGAGCAGAATCTCCCAAATGCCCCCCAGGCGGGTGTTATCGAATCCCCCAGCAGGGACAACTTCAGATTATAATCAAGAACCCGCACAAGACTGCGGTCAAGCTATTTCTCGTGCCTTACGACCTTACCGACATGGAACCTGGCACCAAGACTTTCATCAGACAGAGAAGCTATTCGGCTGGCCAGGTAATCGACATGCCGCTGAGTGCGCGAAAGAACTATGGAACTGATCGTCCCGAGGCATCGTTGAACGCCACCGAGGATCCCCGAGACAAGCCCGTTTTGCGGTATCTCATTCATCTCAACGTTTGTTGTCCGGCACGTGGTCGCTTCTACCTATACTCCAGTGTTCGAGTGGTATTTGCCAACCGCGTACCTGATGGCAAAGAGAAGCTGCGCAACGAGATCCAACTTCCAGAGCCCCGATACACCCCGTACAAGCCTACCCGGGACTCGAGTCTCTCTGGGTCTACCACCAATGTACGCCTCGCAATGGAGAAAGCCTCTCGCAGACGGAGTGCCGGCCAAGGCACAATCACACTTCTCCGTCCGCATGTATCATCACCAAGCGACGGTCCCCTGCATTGGACTGCAGCCGAAGCTATGGGACTCACAAACGCCTCTCAGATCTATTCCGAGAATGATTCGACCATGTACAACAAGCTCAACAAGGGCGACGTCGGATACGGAGGGTTCCCTTACTCCTCGTCAAATGGAGGCTCTGAGAACGGTGAGAGCCTACTTGCCAAGCGACTTCGCAGCTTAGATGTGCACAAGCAAGAGAGGTTCGACAGTAATTGAGCCGACCACAGCTCTAACCCGCACAATCTTCGGCTTCGCCACGCCTATCCACCACAGCGCTATCTCGCGCTATCCATTTTACCGGTATAATCATCACGTACACTACATGCTTCTTCTTGGCTTGCCATGACCCAGAACTCAACTTTATATTATCCACTGCAAACTGCAAAATAACAGCGAAAGCGTGCTGTGCTGGTCGTCATCCACGCATACTAACCATCAATATCAGTAGCATCTTTCATCTCCTTTGTGACCTGGTTGTCGCATCTTGCATGTCGCAATGTATTTTCTTGCCGGCTAGGATATGCAGGCGCACTGGTTTTCGGAAATATACCCTTTTCTTTTCTTCGACTGATTTTACTTTTCGGCTCCTTTTTTTCAATTTTATGGCCCATCTCTCTCATCAATTACTGCGGATCGGTTTACTTTGAAGAATCGCATTCAATCATTGCATTTCATAACTTTCTCTTCCCCAGGTGCAGGTTTAGCAGAGATCGCAAATATTACAAAAGATTTCAATCACATTTTCAATGATTTCTAGACTTTCCTAGGCGTACTACATACCTCATCACCACCGAGTACTTTTGGTGTCAAGAAGATACATAGGTAGAAATATAGTGAAAGGCAGAAGTTTATTTTTGCATATATCTACAGAGGGCGCTGGGTACATCAACAGACGATCAAAAGGGGTCGAGAAACAAGATTCCACTAGGGCGGGAGAAATTTCGGACTTCGAATGGGAGATACTCGAAAATCTGAAAAAGTACCCGTGGTCTTGACTTCAAATCAAAGCAAGTTTAGCCGGCATGCTCAACGATCTCGTTGACCAGCACACCATCCTTAATGTAGCTCTTGATCTGCTCGGGAATAGGGCACTCCTTAGTGTCCTCATCGGTACCCTCCTTTGGCGGGAGCATGATGTTAACAGCGGTGGATTTGCTGGTGAAGATCTCAGTGGTGAGACTCTGGCGGCCAAGGTAGACGGTTGCACCATCGACCTGGTCCAACAGAACAGTCGGAACATATCCGTCGATCTGCAGAGCAAACTTGGGGGACTTGATCACGTCGAGGCTACTGACGAGTGAGTCGACGATAATGGAAAGACCAGTGCAATTGTCAATGGCGATAGCATTGGCCTTGCTGGGAACCTTGATGACGGCCTTGTTGCAGCGCGAGATGAGAATCGACTGGCTCTGCTTCGCCGGAACCTCGATGATCTCGTTCGCTCCCTCGAAGTTCTCGACTAGCCACTTGTTGCCTTCCAGCTCCTTGCGCGGGGGCTTGCGGGCCCGCATGCTCTCAGGCTTGGGCTTCTTGCTAGGAGCGGGAGACTTACCCCGGGAGGAGCTGGAGCGGTCGGACACCATCGAGCCGGCTCGCAAGTTGGGGTTCTTGTGTGTCATCTCCGACTTGTCTACCTTGCGTAGGCCAGAGGTAATCGCCTCGCCCTGGTTGAGCTGGTCAAACACAGCAGACATATCTGCCGCCGGGGCAGCCGGGGCGGGCGCCGGGGGGATACCCGGGGGAGGGGGAGGTGGGGGAGCACCACCGCCTGGAGCTTTAACAGTTGGAACAGGAGGGGGAGGAGGAGGAGGGACAACGCCAGAAGGCGAAGGCGCAGGACTACCCTTGATCTGTTTCAATGCCTCCAACGCATTAATTCCAGAGTCATCGTTCCATGTCAGGCCCTTAGGGTAGTGCTTCTTGAGATAAGCCGCGAGGGCCTTGAAGTTCTGGTAGTATGCTTGAATGTACTCAATGTGTGTGCGGTCCCTGTATAGATGTTAATTGGTGTCGAGGACTATGCAACAGATACACCTACTTGTCCTTGTACTCCTTCAGCACCTTATTACCGTAGTACTCAATACCACCGATCATCTCGGCGACAAACTCCGCAGGCTTGCTCTCAAAGAACCAACCCAGAGCCACAATACCCTCCGCAACAGCGCTCAGGTGGTTGAAGAATGGCGACGCGCGGCTGGATTCGCGAATGTTGTTGATGGTATCCGAAGCCTTGTGGAGGTCGGTCATGAGCTCCGCAGGCTGAGGTTCGGGCTTCTTCGCCTTCGTGGAGACGTAAAGGTAGGTGCGCTCGGCCTGGAAGGCTTGTAGAACTGCTTTGGACTATAGTCCGCAGTCAGAAAACATACGAACATGGATATCTTCGCACGAAGCTCACCTGCTCTGCCACTTCACCCCCAATCTTCTCACCCAGCTTGACGAAGTTCTGGACATCCTTCTTGATCAATGCGTCGAAGTCTTGGATCTGCTCAGGGAGCTGGGCTTGCGCGGGCGCCGCGGGAGGGGGAGGCGAGGGCCTAGGAGGTTCGGGGGTCGCGGACGCAGCCGCAGTGGGGGTTTCCATGCTCTTCGAGGCGTTGGGTTCGTCCAGGGACATCGCCATGTCCTCCAAGCGTGAGGTGGCAGCCTCGAGCCTGTCAAGTAGGTCCGTTGTCAGTCCACTGCTCAGGGCGCTCGTAGCACAGCTTGGACGACATTGAAATGCTAATCAAACGCAAGTCCAGCCAAGTACTGACCGAGACGGCCGCCAGCGAAGAGCCATACTTACCGCTTGATGAGGGTGGTGAAATTATGCATATGGCCGCCGCTCGCCATGATAGGCAACACGTTGATCAAAGGGGTGGTAGGAGGAGGTCGGCTGAAAAGCGAATCGATTTGTAGGAGGCGTGGTTAACCAGGGTCAATTTTCGCGAGAAGATCTTGTTCCGCGCAATCCACAGGGACAGGGGGAGTTAAAGTTGAAGAAGACGAAGTGTCTGGAAGCTCCTGAGGTCCCAGCTCCAGGCCCGCAACGGTATGTATGTACGTTACGTCCGAGCCGTAGCTGCGGGATGACGTCGTGGAGTATATTTGGTATTTGGATTACGCGATCCACTTCGCTTTCCCCGACGGACTTGATGCACCTGATACTCTCGTTTCTTTATCTCCTCTAGAACCACTGTCTTGAGATTTTCATTGAACATGGCTGGAGCTAAAGTACAGACTGCCCAGCCGGGTGATGTCGAGTTTTGCACGCTGGGAATGTTCATCCTCGGTATGCTTATCAGTTTCAAGACCCCGCGGATCCAACGCTCACAGTGCATTGCGCAGATGATATTGAATTTGGTGGTTCCAGACCGGGCGTCAAGAACATCCTTGGAGGTGCCGCCTCTTTCGCCGTGGTAGGTGCTCGCTTAGTAGCAGGTGCTCCATACGCGCGGTCTGTGAGCTGGATTGTGGATGTTGGCTCCGATTTCCCGCGGGAGACTCTTGCTGTCATTAAATCTTGGGATACGAGCTGTGTGATCAGGGAAGACCATGGAAGGCTTACGACGAGAGCGTGGAATGGATATCATCCCAATGAAAAGCGAGGTAAGTTAAGCAACAATGTTGAAAGTCCACGTGAATAACCAATATAGACTTCAAATACTTGACCCCGAAGTTGAGGCTGGAGCCTTCAATGCTTTCGGAGGCGCAGGTGTGGTCTCGGACATTTCATATGGTCTGCTCTCCATCACGCTGCATATCTATTGTGCAAGCTATCTTGCACCGGCGAGAAGAGTTGCGACGTGTGGGCCAGGCGCCTTCTACTAAGCATGCTGCAGAGCGGCCTGTCTTCGTCTGGGAGCCGGTGCCCGATCTTTGCACCCCAGAGGAGCAAAAAATGTTCTTTGAGGCTAATCGGGTCGTGGACGTAGTCAGCCCCAATCATATGGAACTAGGGATGATGTTCGACCAGCCTGGATGGACCGTGGACGGTGATCAAAGCCAAGCCCTAGTCCAGAAGATCATTAACTCTGGCATTGGCCTCAACGGTGACGGTTGTCTGGCCATCAGGGCAGGCAAAGAAGGAAGTTATGCCTACTCGAAAGATCAGAAAATTTGGCTTCCGGCTTATCATCAACCCGATGCTTCGGGCTCTACGGCTGTGGTGGACCCTACAGGTGCTGGCAATTCGTTCTTAGGCGCACTAGCGCAGGGAATTGTGACTGCGGGCCGTGAACCGTTCGAGGTCATTGAATCTGTTTTGTCACCTTCCGAGAACTGGAAGAAAGCCATGGAGGCTTGGGGCAATCGTCAAGATCTTCCTCTGGCTCTTATTTGCGCCACTGTCGCCGCGGGGTTCGTAGTGGAACAAATTGGGGTGCCACAGAAATCTGTGGCAGGAAATGGCAAGGAATTGTGGAATCAATCTGAATTCACGGAACGGGTCCGCCTGTACACGCAGCGATTGTATAGGACCGTGGAAGAGTCTCCCCAGAGACACCTTTTGACCAATTGATCAATGATTGATCAAGGAACGCCCTTCTATTGTCGTACAGCCACAGGGAATTGATAAAATGATAGTAAAAACACAATAAGAAAACGTTCCGTCACGCTGGAAATCCTCCATCCATGTTTCGGCATTTTCCCTATGACTGGTTTGCGGTCTGCTGCTTCTCATGTTCTCGAATCTGGCGACTCCAGCTATATTGCAAGGGGGCAAGAGTCAGTATAAAGAGGGCTTTGCGGGCGCAGGTCGGGAAAGGCACTGACTATCGGCTAGGGAAGAAGCGACCCGGCTCGGGCATCTTGTCGCGGTACTCGCGGTCGGCGCTGATGCCGAAGGCGATGGCAGCTACACCAATCATGAAGGCGCCCATGATGGCAGTGTTGGCCTTCCAGTTGGCAGGCTGGGCGTACCAACCACCAGCCGGTGACCAGACTTCCTTGGGGTACCTGCGAAGCAAAATCCGTCAGCGTCCATGGTGTATGCACTGGAGCAATCAAACGTACGGGATCTTTCCACCTCCACCCATTGTGATCGAGATGTAATTGAAGGAGATGTAGGAGAGAAAAGGAGGGCAAAGCGGGAGCAGTTCTCGACTGGGTTGAAGCCGAAGTGGCAGTCAATCGAAGGTCGGGTGCCAAGCCACTAAACCCAAAAAGGACTAGTGCGAGCTCACACGACCAGTGAATCCCGTGACTGGCGACAATTTCTCTTTTCTCTCCCCGTAGATTGGCCGCACGTCTTCCGATTCCCTGTCCCCCATTGAGCGTGGTCTTCTGTCTTTTTTTTATTTTCTTCTGTGTTTGTACACCCTGTCGCCCAGATGAAGAGGCTGCAGCTCCAACGATGGAGCAGCACGGTCCTTTCGCCGCGGGCTCGGACTGGTTACTGTCTGCATCAACAACTCTACTCTAGCAGATTGCGGTATCAATCGACCGCGTCCCCCGTCCAGGCGGAGTCTGCTCCTCATGATGGGGTGGACATGTTCGATGATCCGAAAATGATGAGCCAAGTCCGACGTGTTCACCGTCGCAAGTCAAATCTCGCATATCCCTCTCCTCCGGTCGAAGCCGCGACCAAATCCGCAAAACTCGCTGCCCTTCACGCCCGACTCTACCTCCCTTCCCGATTACCGCTCCAAACACTTGCGCGGACATTGGTCGACGCTACCGCCGATGCGAATGCTGATTTCAACAACGAATCGCTGGCCACTCTCGGTCATGACCTTCTCACCTACTACACTACGGAGCACCTCCTCTGCAACTACCCTCGCCTTCCCCTGACAGTCATATTCGCCGCTATGTACGCTTACGCCGGTCCTAAGACTCTCGCCGCGATGGCAAAAGAATGGGGCGTGGAGCTCGCTGCACTACCTGGTGGTGAAGTCGACCCCGGCTTCCTGCAATTCCAGAGGGTCGACCCCGGTACCGACGTGGACGCAAACTCCGATCTTCAGTCGGCACGACCATATGCTGCGCAAAAGAACTGGAGGAAGACTGTCACCTCGAAGATCTTCTACGATGACGAGTTCGGTGACCAGATCAAGGGGGCCGTGACAACGGGCGCGGGCTCAGGCGTCACTGCTGAGCTGGCCAGCGCGACCTTCGTCCGGGCTGTCATGGGCGCTATCTACCTGCACGCTGGCCGCCCGGCCGCCAAGCGATTCTTTGAGCAGCACTTCCTCTCCCGACATCTCAACATCTCTGAGCTATTCAACTTCTCCCAGCCGGCCCGAGACCTCGCCCGGTTGTGTGCTCGTGAGAACTTCGAGCCCCCGGTCGCCAAGATCGTCAGTGAAACCGGCCGAAAGAGCAGACACCCCGTCTTCGTGGTTGGTATCTTCTCCGGTCAGGACAAGCTGGGTGAGGGCGCTGGCGCCAGCCTGCTTGAAGCTCGTGAGCGAGCGGCTCTTGCTGCGCTGAAGGGGTGGTACCTCTACAGCCCGCTCAACGCGCGCGTCCCCAGCTCTATGGAGGAGGAGGGCGCCGCGCCGTGGAAGCCCGTCTACGTCGACTTGGGTGAGGTGATTGTCTAATAATCACGTTCAACTCACGTGCCGTGGTACCTTATAACTTCATGTCTTTTCACATTGGCTTTTATTATTGGCTTCATTTCCTTTTTTTCCCGAGGTGCTTTGGTTTCGCATAGGAAGCAGGCCAGTGGGGAAAAGAGTCATTTCTCCTGTCTTTTGCATGACTGGAGACTGTACAGTATGGGAATTGTGATTCCTTCGATTCATCTGGTGTCTTCTTCTGGATCTGTTTTTATTTTCCTTTTTCCCCCATCATCGTCTCCTTGTGTTTTGTTTATCTGGCTACACTACTCTCCTCCAGGTAGAAATCGGTCAAAACAGGGTGGATCGAGGCCCCATGTCTCGGCACCGGTATATAGAGGTGCACTTTATCACATGTACTCCAAGAATCAAAACCATATTTCAAACTTAATCATCGTCATCTGAAGTGTCTTTTCTAGGCCCTTGGCCGTTATACCAGCGGACCGGACAATCTTCCTTCTAACACATCAGTGAGGGACACCCGTCATTCAGCATTGAGGATCTCATCTTCCCAATTGCCTCTCGCATTCTCGCCTTTACCCCCATCAAGATACTCACCATATTCGTCCCATAGCTCAGCAACCTCAGCCCCAAACAGACCCCTCCAGAACCCAACACCACAATCCCCTTCCTTCGCACTTACATACCCAACCCTCAAAAGCCGATCGTTCAACATCCCAACAGCACCCCGTCCAACCCGTACATCCTCAATCCACGCCAAAAAGTACGCCGTGTGCTGATATCCAGCATCCCACGTTTCTGCTCTCTCTCCCGCCGACTGCGGTCTCTTCCAATGAGGTGGCTCCAAGCCCGCCTTGAGACGCACAAAATCCGCGATACCTTCAATCAGCCCTCCAGGCGGGTGGGGGATCTTGCTATCCTTGTCATTGGCAGACTCGGGCGGCGAAGTGTGCTGGTAGCAGTGCACGAGTTCGTGCGTGAGGACCCCGACTAGCTCCTTTGCTGGATCATCTCCTTTGGTGCAGTGCTGGACGTATGGGAGGGAGAGGTGAATCTCTTTGTGATCATCGTCGAGCTCGGTGCCCGTTGTGTAGGCCACCCCGTCGATGTCGCGGAGATGTAGAGTAACGGAGCGGGTAGGTGGTATTGAAGGAGTAAATGAGGGATGTTTGGTCATTTGAGCGGAAGGGGTTTCTGATTGAGCGTGGATTGGAGAGCTGTAGAGGTATTTGACGATGTTATGGAGGGCTGTGTCGAGGGTTGAAGCAATATCGGGGATGAGCGTGAGGAACGGGGTTGTTGCAGGGTGACGGAGGGTTTCGACATGGAGCCGTAGCTTCGGTTGAGGTATCTTGGCTGTACTGCCATTTGCTGTGCGTTTCTGCTCTTGTTCTTTGGTGCTTGGGCTTGAGTCCTGTGGTTCAACCTGCGCATTGGGTCTGGGGACCGCCGACTGCGAAGCGGGGGCGGGTGTACGCTCCATTTTAAACTGTGTCAAGGTCTGTAAGAGACACTCGTTGTGTAAGAGGTGTAGACTGTAAGCCGCCTGGATATGGGGTTAATTCACGGAAGACGAAGAGCGTGGAGATCGACGGAAAGCGGAAAGTGGGGAGCTGTGCACTGCGCCTCAACGTACGGTTGATAGCCGCCATGGCGTAGAGAGACATCCGGAGAGATATCAAGAAGGGTGTGCAATGGTTTGCTATTCAGCACATCTCGACATTTTTCCGGTTAGTTTTGACTGCTTTCTCATATCTCCAGTTACCATTCGTCTATATCTAGATGTTTGATCTAAACTTTGTCCACAACAGGTACAAGAAAGTTTGGCTTTTCTATTTACCACTCCCTTTTTATTCATTGGCGTCTACTGTCTATTTGTATATTTCGGTTTCGGGCCTGTCATGGATGCTGAGCAATCATCAAGTAGGGAGAAAGAAGTAAAGCGCCTGGTTAGCCGAGTAAGCTTGTACGATAAGGAATTTGGTAGCAATCTCCGCACACGGTGATAGTCGGAGCTCCGTCGGACCCATTTGTTCTTGAAGGCAACAGAGAAAGGGTAGCTGTTTTGCTGATCAGTAATTGGGGAAGATGTTCAGGGTTTTTTGTGGATCCTACCTTCCGGAATGATACTAGCGACATGCGACGTAGCTATATAAACAATGGATCTCCATTCAGTCGAGCGGGGTTGTCTCAAATCCCTGATCAACCAGTTTGAGGGAATATTAGATTCAAATGGCGCCTTCTTCGAAGATCTCGATCTCTGTAGCCGCAGTGCTGGCGCACTGCGTCACAGCGCAATTTGTGCCCGAACCAACCGACTTGATCACGAAGAAGGGGCATGCAGGCATCAACGTGCGATACAAGGAAGTACCCGCTGGGATCTGCGAGCTCGACCCCGATGTCAAGAGCTTTTCCGGCTATGCTGATGTTGAGGATAATCAACACATTTTCTGGTAAGCGATCTTTCTCAATGCAAACACAAAGCGGGCTAACGGGCACAGGTGGTTTTTCGAGACCAGAAATGGAGACCCGAAAGAGGTACGTTCCAACACCAATTCAATGATTACAAGGAAAAACTAACAAGAATCTAGGCACCACTTACAGTCTGGATCAACGGAGGGCCTGGATCGTCCTCGATGCTTGGGTTGTTTCAAGAATTAGGTCCTTGCGGAATTGATTCCAATGGAGATGTATTCAATAATCCTTATTCGTGGAGCAACGTGAGCAATATGGTAAGGACCACCACTCATCTGTCATGGATCTAGCTAAGCCGTCACCAGCTCTTTGTTGACCAGCCTGCTACAACCGGATTTTCATACACAATTCCCATTCCGGCTTACGAAGATGCTAGTAGCAATATCGTCCAATTGCCCAATAACACATGCCCCGATTATGCTCAGAAATACGGAACATGCGGCACATACTCGAAGCCCGACATTGCTTTAGTTCCCAATTCGACAACCGGAGCAGCTCCGAATATGTGGAAGACTCTGCAAGGGTTCATGGGGGCTTTCCCAGAGTACACGAGAAATGGTTTCAATTTCGCCACTGAAAGTTACGGAGGTCACTATGGCCCGGTATTCAATGGTAACGGTCTCAGGCGGTCTTAAATGAGAAGAATGCTAACTCTGGAACAGAGTATTTTGAAGAACAAAATGCCAAAAAGATTCCCGGTGCCATTCACATTGATCTTCAGAACGTTCTTATCGGAAATGGCTGGTTTGATCCCCTGATTCAATACCAGGCATACTACAACTTCTCCGTATACCCTGGCAACACGTATGACTTTGACCCATTCAACGCCTCGGTGAAAGCAGAGTGGTACAACAACCTCTACGGTAAAGGCAACTGCGTTGATAGGACATTGGAATGCTACGCTACCGGCCGAAATGACATTTGCTCGGCGGCGGATAACTTTTGCAGCTCTAAAGTTGAAACTCTTTATGATCTCTACTCAGGGCGTGATGAGTATGATGTGCGCGAGTTGACACCCGACCCGTTCCCGTACGGATTCTTCGCCAATTACCTCAACACCCCTAAGGTCCAAGCCGCCATTGGTGCTTACCAAAACTTTTCAACGTCCTCTGCGACCGTTGGCACTAGCTTTGGAAGCACAGGTGATGATGACCGTAAGCCTGGGACCATTCAGGATGTGAAGAAGTTGTTGGAAGCTGAAGTGCAGGTCGTGATGTATTTCGGGGATGCGTAAGGACTCCCATGCTACGAGGGAGAATAAAACCGCGCTAATTCGCATTCTAGTGATTTCAACTGCAATTGGCTTGGGGGCCAAGTCATCGCAAAAGAAATCAACGCCCCGGGATACGAAGAGGCAGGCTTTGTCAACATTACCACTTCTGACGGAATCGTCCATGGTCAAGTCCGGCAAAGCAACTTGTACAGCTTCGTGCGAATCTACGAATCTGGACACGAAGTACCTTTCTATCAGCCCCTGTTTGCACTGGAGATGTTTGAGAGAGCGATTTCGAGAAAAGACATTGCGACCGGACACGAAAAGATGTGCCCCCATGGTCACTATCGGACTGTGGGAACCCCCACAAGCGACTACCGGGAGGGCAATCGTACGATCGTTTTCAAGGTACTTGATACCGACGCGACTTACAACACAACCCTGAACGGACCTAACCCGTCTTCCTGAATCGCATTTCAAGAGCACGTGAGAGCATGTCAGGAGAGGACTGAAAGGGCTCATTAAGGGAAGACGATCAATAAATGGGATGCAGTCGAGGGAAGTCGATAACATACAGTACCTGATCTCTACGGGATAGAAAGCAGCTAGAGGAAGCATAGTACTTATGTACATAAGTAAAAGCAAGACTTGCTTCCCTGCGTTCATCTTTGTTACGAATACATATTATTCTTCCCTTTATCATGCTTTGGCCCGAGCTGCCGACCGTCATAGTCAAGGACCTTGTGGGGAGGCTGCGAAGAGCCTCATCCAGGAATATAGATCGACGAACCGTGTGGAACATCCGGCCTGCAGTCACATGACGCGATCTTTATCCTTTCACTGAGAGCGCAGAGCCGGTGTCAAGCGAAGGTAACGAGTCAATTCCCATGCGACTGAATCCTGGTTTTCCCCGTGGCGGTGGTTGTACATCGACGTTATCGGTGTATCACACGGTTGCCCTTTGCGACGGATAAACAAATGGAAAAGTCGGGCGGGGGAGTTCCGGGTTGGGCACACCTACGGTTACCCCTCGATCTTCCACCACCGGAGTAAAAGGAAAACATACGAGGCCAGGATCATTTCCAGAATCCAATACTGACGCACCTGCGCAATCGAGTCATCGACATCCCTTCTCATCAAGGGCGTCGCATCGGTGGAGTCACTCGCGCCTATCCGCGCTTATCGCCCCTGGGCCACTTCTCCAACCTTCCCTTGCCTCCGTCAACATCCCACGTCGTTGCCCGCCTCGCTTTGCACTCGTCTACGCGTTCGGTAAGTTTCAACCTTGAATTTGCTGCGCTCCTATAGGGGACGATTGTTTTGGTCACACACCGGCCTTGTCTTTTGGCGCGCGGCGGTCGCATCTTCAACGCCTCCGGTGTTGACGGTCGCCGTTCCCCTGCCCATTTGATCCTTTTGGATATATCGGCCCAGTGATCTATCACATTCGCGTAGCTAATACCTGGTTGGTACAGTGATCAACCCGCGCCCGTGAATCGATCTTCACTCCCTTGTTATCTGTCCACATCGCCATCCAACCAAACATCATCCGCGACGCCGACGTTGACGTTGGCAGCGCTCCTATGATCTGCGCCTGACACGAGTTGAAATTTTCCCTTGTCGGTGCCAAACATGGAGGCAAAGGCTGCGGAACTCCTGGCGGCCTTCAAAAACCCCAATGTCTCCATTGACTCCAGAGTCAATCACCTTACCAGCATCAAGTCCGATATCAAACAGAAAAATGTCCCCGAGGGTGCCATCCCAACTATTTTCGAGACCATCCGAATCGCCATTACCTCTCAGCACTACTCGGTCTCTAGCGCCGGCTTCTCCACACTTGGCCACTTCCTGAAGCGGCTTTCGATTCAAGACCAGCAGCAATGGATTGCCAATTCTGCGCGCAACTTCTACCCTCTGTTGATGGAGCGACTCGGCGATCACAAAGAACGAACTCGAGCCCAGGCCGCATCAATATTCACCGAACTTTGGTCGACAGCGAGTGGCGAGGTTGAATACTATGTGCTAGATACCGCCTTGGTGGGCAAAAACCCTAGGGCCAAAGAAATGAGTATGCTGTGGCTGTCCAATGTACGTCTGGTCCCATCTCCTGAATGACCGGGCTTCTGACCTCAGGCTTCGCAGATGACAAAAAACCATGGCTTGTTGTTCCGTCAGCATGTGCCATCTCTGGTCGCATGCTTAGAGGATGCCGACAGTGCCGTTCGAGATACGGCGAGATTGGTTGTGGTGGAATTGTTTCGGTATGCAGAACATGTTTCGCCTGCAAGATTATCTCCATGCTAATATCCCTTGCCTTAGGACCGCACCTGCGAGAGCCAAATCCGATCTGCAGAAACAGCTGGTTGCACGCAATGTGAGAAAATCAATTGCTAATGCCATTCTATCGGGAATTGGACTCGTAGACGAGCCCCAGAGTTCAGCTCGCCCTATCTCGCGAGTTGAGCGACCGATTTCAGTCATGTCCTCACGTTCACATGTCAAAGAACTCCCAGACGATGGTTCGTTTGTCGATACCCGGGATTATCACCCAGTCGATAACTCTTCTAACGAAACTATAGAACCCGAATTTTCAAAAAGCCGACCAGCTCCTTCTGCAGAGCCACCTTCGAGACCCAAGACTCCGGCCGAAGCCCCGACATCCCAAAGTCCGTCTCAAGAAGATGGCGTGGAGCCGCTCCTTGTGGCGTCAAGCAGGGACATTGATGATCTCGTGCGAGATATGCTCCCTTGGTTCGATGGCAAGGAGTCCGAAGACAACTGGCTGAAGCGTGAAAAGAACGTCATTCTCTTCCGAAGACTCACCTGTGGTAACGCGCCCCACGATTTCTCTCAGAGCTACATTAGTAGTACAAAAACACTCCTTGATGGAATTTTCAAGGTAGTGAGTTCCTTACGGACAACACTTTGCACCAACGGCTGCCTCTTGATCCAAGATATTGCCCGAATCTGCGGTCCCAAAATCGACGGAATGGTTGAAATCATGATGCAAAACCTCGTCAAGCTGTGCTCATCTTTGAAAAAGATTGCCGCTCAGAGTGGAAATGCAGCGGTTGATGCCGTCCTTGCGAACGCAACCTTTTCCATTCGTATCCTGCAACATGTCCACTGGGCCTGTCAGGACAAGAATGTGCAGCTACGCCTCTTTGCTGCTGGATGGCTCCGGACATTGATCATCCGACAGGCTCATCAAAAGAGTACAGTTGAGCACGGTGGTGGCCTGGACCTCATTGAAAAGTCAATTAAGAAAGGTCTAGGCGACGCCAATCCTGGTGTAAGAGAAGCTATGCGTAACACCTTTTGGACATTTTATGGGGTTTGGCCTCCCCAGGCTAATGCGATTATGTCTAATCTTGACGCAAAATCCCGCGGTTTACTGGAGAAAGATTCATCGAACCCGAATGGAACTCAAAAGGCACCCACCCCTTCTTCAAAGGGTACAAGTGGCGCTGCTGCTCGTTCGGCCCTCAGGGACGCTATTGCTGCTCGCAAGAAGGCTGCCATGCCCTCTCGTCCGGAGTCTGCTCAGTCGGCCTTTGACTCCTCAGATTCTGCACCCAAGCCCCCAACGCGGACTGTCCCCACCGGCGCACCTCTTTCTTCCTTGTCATCGGCGCCCATGCGGCCTGCCATGAAGCCTCGACGAGCCGAACTCAGCCGCCCGGCAACCGCCGATCCTTACGCATCCCGACCTGGATCTCGAGCCGGCCAAACTACTAGCAAGCCGGCAAGCTCACCGAGATCTGTGAGGTCCAAAGCATCGACACCTTCCTCCAAGCCGATCAGCGGTCCTCGTCTTCGGCTTCACGAAGCTGGACAGACTGGCACCACTCGTGGCAAGCCCAAGAAGCTTGATCTTTCAAAATCCAAGTCTCATGGCGATCTCCGTGCGGTTAACCACTCGCGCAGCAATTCCGACGAAAGTATTGCAAACCACCTCTCTACCCATGTCCACCCAGTGGATCCGTCGAGTACATCTGATGATCAGGATTCACCAGCACCCGTAGTGTTGGAAAGCCCTCCACTAGCTGCGTCTGAGCCGCCGCCTGTTCAAAACGAAGAGCCTGAGCCTAGCCGTCATGTCACACCGGAGCCTGCAGCGGAGCCAGAACTGCTGTCAATCGACGCCGCCCCTGCTGATACTCACTCACCACGCGCCGAGGAGTCATATGCCGCGTCTCCCTTGCGCCATTCAATTTTGAGGTCTGATCCCGAGCCAGTCGCCAGGAATCAACCCGAGGAGATGATTATATTCGAAGACCCTGCTACCCCTGTTGCTGCAGATGCAGAAGTACCGGAGGTTGGTCCCGAGGATCAATACACTCCCGAACAGTCACCTCGACGTGCTGAAGAGCAAGAACCTAGTGATGAGCCCATGTCCGCGACTCCGGCTAGGTTGGAAACTCCAGCTAAGAATCCTGCTCTGGAACTAGCTCCTACCCAAGGAAATACGATGGACGGTTTGATTGAAGGCTCAACTCAATCCGTCCGCAGGACTCCTCTCCGAGGAAGTCCTTCTCCATCAAGAAACCGAGCTCAGGCCACGCCTTCTGGTAGGGACTCTGCTTCACCGCATCGATCCATTGCCGCACCCATTTTTGAGCAGATGCCCAACAACGAGAATGCCACGGCGCAGTTGAATAAACTCGCCACTCCACGATCTGCAGCCAAACCAGGTGCTTTGGAAGAAGTGCCGCTGAACGAGTCAATCTCGCAAACGAGAACCCGGTCCACTGAATCTCCGGGCCTGGCCACACCGGGCGAGGAGCCATTGCGCCGTCGAAAGTGGGCTGAGCGGCATCGTAGCCCAAGCCCTCGATCCAAGGATCCAGCCAATGCTCAAGAGATGCTTCAGAAGGCTCTCAGTCGCATCGGTTCGAAGACAATCGATATCTCGGGATACCGGAAGCTGCAAGGTCTTTTCCAGTACCACGGCGAAGAGATCGTCTCCAGCAACCAGGACTATTATGCGATGCTCGACGCTTTGCTGGGGGAGTTGGAGTCGGCGCCCATCAGCCGTAAGGACCACGACGTGAAGACCCAAATCCTGGCAACCATTCGCTCTATGCTCCTTCGTACTAGCGAGCTGTTCCACCGTTATGATGTTCGAGCCATGGCGGCCATCATTCGTGCGCGACGGCACTACGAGTCAAGCTCGCACTTTGTGACCTGCCTGGAGGAAGTGGCAGAGCAACTGGCCTCCTTGGTCTCTACCACTACGGTCATCGACGGTGTGCTACGAGGTCTAGACCTAGGCGAGGACTCGCAGAGCGAAGGGGCCTCCCGGTCGATCATCATGGGTCTGGCGACTATTCACCAGTCCCTCTCGCAGGGACCTGCCGAGATCTCCGACGACACCCTAGCGACCGTCGGGACGGTAGTCAGCCAGCAACTGGGCCACCCTCGGCCCGGAGTGCGCAAGCAAGCTACGGAGCTGTGCACGCTGCTGAATCTCAAGTTCGGGCTGGACCGAGTGCAGAAGGTGACTCCGCCTGCCGGCGAGGGATCGCTCAACCTGCTCACATATTTCATGGCCCGTCGGTCCCGGTGAACTCGGATCCGGTGATACCTGTAAATAATTTTGTACCTTTTTCCGGGCTTCTTCCTGAGTTTGTTCTACATTTTATCTTACTTCGATGTGATTTTGTGACTATAGGTATGTTTTCGGAGGCATGGTGTTTGGCACATAATAAAATAGTTTCTACTTGGGAGTTTTCACTTGGCCGAACGAGGCCGTCAGCACCCTTACCGAACCCCACTTGTACATGAGTACTCCTCCGTCGGAATTCACCGTGTACATAGTATCCACGACCGATCGACAGATCAGGGTCCACGAAGGGACAGGATCCCTGTTCTGCTGAAACTGTGCCCCGCGCGCAGCGAGTGGAAAGCGTAACGCAGATCCCACAGGCGTGCAGTCGGGGGATTTTTTCACGTTCGGGGGGGTTAGCATCGATGGAATATTCTCTGGTGTCATCTAGACTCTGTCATGATTATCATTTATCTACCTTAGAAATTGCTTGTTGCCCATAGGTCTCGGATGAAATAAGAATCAGCCACCAAACAGGTCAGGGATGTTGATCAATCAGATTAGATACACAATCCTGAAAAAAGGGACCGTGCAAACCATCTCGTATTTCCGTGGAACCCGGACTCGGAACCCGTTCCAGAATCACTTTCGATAATGACTGAATACCCAAGTCAACCACACAGATCGGGGACCCAGGCCCTCTCATCGAGGATCGCAATTCATGACTTCCCCATAGTGTATGTTCGGAGGCCAATGCCGCCTCAGCGGAATTGTATCAGATAAGCCAAGCCCAGGGGCCACTTTTTTGCATTTCGAGGAGGATCCACCACGTCCACCATGTCCACCATATCTACAAATGTCATTGGATGGCAACACAGGGAACCACGGGCCCTCCTTAAACTCATTGAAGTCTCAGTGTCAGAAGAATATTTCTTGCGTAATACGTGTTTCATTTGAGGCGTACGCAATAGTGCCTGAGGAACGCATTTTGGCATTGATCTGCCAGTAGAGCTTTTCGCGATCGCCTGTCATCCTTCCGTGTGTTCCGAGGTAGAACACGGCCCCGACCTCGTCGTATTCTTCTTCTGGTAGTTCTTGGTTCTCTTGGGTTGTGGTGACTTGCTCCACTTCCTTCAAACTTGTTCTCATCCTGTTAACCGCGGAACGACCGTTCTCGGAGCATCCGGTTTTCTTGTCTTTGCTTTTGGTTTAGCTTCCTTTTCCTTCTTTTATCTGATAGCTTGTCTCAATGGAACATATCCAATCATTTAATTTAAGCACATTTGGTGGGACGATTTGGTCTGAGAGTGTTCGGACTTGTTCTCTGAGTCTCCACAATTGGAGACCCATTGGCCCTGGACCGACGTGAAGCTCTGCATATCGTTCGAAGCTCTGGGCTATGGTAGACAGCGATGAGACAAACGTGTCCGGGAAGAAGATCCAGGTGGTAGGTTGTCTCGGCATTTCGTTCAAAATACGTTAACGAACCCATGCAGACGACGTATCTGAAGAAATGCGTCCCGACAAAGGACGGCATCCGCCGATTCTTCGCCTATACTCGGCTCCTCTTCTCGCTCGACTACACCAGCACCGACGTGCTCCTCATCATCACCGGTGTATTCTTCTCCATTGCCGCCGGCATCCCCTTCCCGCTCCTCGGCATCGTCTTCGGTGATTTGATCAATGATCTGAACACGGCCACCTGCTCGGCCAACCCGGCAGCCGGCAGCGATGTCGCCGAAGGAGTGCGCCAAAAGGTGTTATACGTCATCTATATCACTATTGCCAACTTCTGCTTCATCTATATCCATTGCAGCTGCTGGTGCTATATCAGCGAGCGCATTGCCCGACGGTACCGACGACGATATTTTGAGAGTATCATAAGACAGGAGACGGGGTATATTGAGGGTCTACCAGCAGGAGATGTCATCTCGCGTCTGGTCAGTGATGTCGAGGTCTTGCAGTCCGGCACGTCCGAGAAAGTTGGTATTGTAATTAGCACGGTCTCGTACTTTGTTGCCTCCTATGTGGTCGCCTTTATCAAGGTTCCTCAAATTGCCGGCATGTTGGTTTCCGTCGTGCCGTGCTACTTTGCCATGACGTACGTCGGTGGCTACTTCATTAAGAAATACGCAGGGCGTATCACGGAGCACGTTAATGCGGCGACGTCCATTGCTTCGTCCAGTCTGTCGCATCTCCCGCTGGTGCACGCGTTCAATTCAAATGAGCGCTTGGAGAGGCTCTTTTCTAGTCATATTGCTGTGTCGCGAATGGATGCCGTCAAGAAAGCGGGAACTCATGCTGCCCAGCTCGGGTTTCTATACTTCGTTGCCTACAGCTCCAATGCCCTCGCTTTCTGGGAGGGATCTCGGTTGATTGCCGACTCTGTGGAAACAGGTGGTACCGGGACCTCGGTTGGCGCAGTGTACACTGTTATCTTCGTCCTAATTGATGCCTCGTTTATCCTCAGCCAGGTTGCTCCATTCGTGCACATCTTTGCCTCGGCAGCTGGTGCATCCGAACGGCTTTTGTCCGTTGTCAACCGTGAATCCAAAATCGACGGAACTGCAGAGTGCGGCGATAACTCTGCTCCCTTCGACTCCGCGGATATAACATTCCGTGATGTGCATTTCACATATCCCTCTCGACCGGATATGCCAGTCTTACGAGGTCTCAACTTCGCCATCCCGCCTCGAAAGCACACCGCGATTGTCGGCCCCTCAGGCGGTGGAAAGTTTACCATTGTGGGTCTCTTGGAGCGTTTCTACGACTCCATGTTTGGAGGGATCTGCATTGGGGAGCAAGATTTCCGCGACTTGAACGTGCGGTACCTGCGTGGGAACATCGGCTTCGTGCAGCAGGAACCGTCTCTGCTGGATCGATCAATCCTGGAAAATATTGCCTATGGTCTAGTGACATCTTCCACCGAACGACACCAGGAATTGGCTCCGTTTATTCAGAATTCGACCCTGACCGAGGCGGCGGAGAAGATACGTGGAGGCCTTGCTGAGAAGAAAGTCCTGGAAGAATACGATCCCAAAGTTGCTGAAATTGTGGCTTTGGTCCGTCAAGCTGCGACCAGCTCCAACGCCCTCACATTCATTGAAGCCCTTCCTCACGGCTTCGCGACTAGTGTCGGATTTTGTGGAAATCAGCTGAGCGGTGGTCAAAAGCAACGGATTGCACTTGCGCGTGCTTTGGTGCGTGAACCTTCGGTTCTTATTCTCGATGAGGCAACGGCAGCTCTGGATTCAGCTAGCGAGATATTGATTCAGGATGCGTTGGCCAAGGTAGCGGGACATGTGACCATGGTTTCCATCGCCCATCGCCTAGCCACTGCCAAGGACGCCCATAAAATTGTGGTTATTCAGAAAGGCTGTGTGGTTGAAGAGGGCTCTCACTCTGAACTTGTCGCGAGGGGCGGCTCATATGCCGAGATGGTACGCCTCCAGAATCTGGGGAAGCTCAGTCCGGCACTGAGTCCTGGTACGGAGGCGATTCGTGAAGTTCGAAACGTCATATTGGATCAGACAATCGCCGCTGATACCAAAAACGCCTCGCTTGACCTGAAAGGATCGGATATTTCAGACGAGTCGCTAACAACCGCAGATCTTGACCAAGAATCAATGGAGAAGTTGTGGAAAAAGCAGGAGAAAAGAGCAAAGAAGGAGAAACGGAAAGCCAAACGTTCGCGTTGGTTTGTTACCAAGTTCACCTTCTCTCTGCTTCGTCCCAACATGGGCTACGTCTTCCTCGGTATTGGGATGGCTGTTCTTATCGGTGGCTGTTACACCGCAGAGGCGGTGATCTTCGGCCACACTGTCGGCAGCCTAAGTCCATGTAACGGAGCAGACGGGATTCGACATGGCGGACACCTGTATGGACTTTTGTTCTTCATCATGGCTCTGATTGAGCTCTCAGCCAACGTGATCAGCGGTTGTGCATTCGGCTGGGCCGCTGACAAGATTCTGTATCGCATTCGAGTTTTATCTTTGCGATCTCTTCTGGGGCAGACCATTGAATGGCATGGTCTGGATGACCGGACCCCAGGTACACTCATCACTTACATTACTGGTGATGCGACTGCTCTCGGCAGCATCACCGGCACCACTATAGGTTTGCTCCTCGCCACGGCCGTCAACCTGGTAGCTGGACTGGTGGTCTCGTTTACCATTGCATGGAAGATTACCATTGTGTTGCTCCCAACAATTCCAGTCTTGCTTCTGGCAGGCATGATGAAGCTGCGAACTCAAGCCAACTTTGCAGAGCGGCACCAGAAGGCATTTGCAAAGGCCACTGCCGTCACCGTCGAGGCCGTCGATAATATCCGAGCCGTGTCGGCATTCTCATTAGAGAAACAGTCCTATGCCGTGTATGAGCGAGCCCTTCATGAACCTTATCGTGAGACTCTTTGGTCTATTGCACTCGGCAACGTCTTCCTCGCTACGGCGTTCAGCATCAGCAACCTTGTTTATGCCCTGGCTTACTGGTGGGGAACTCGGCAGATCGTGGCTGGTCTCTACAGCCAAACTCAGTTCTTCATCGTACTTCCTGCTCTTTTGTTTAGTACCCAGTCCTGCGGCCAGATGTTCGCTCTCGCGCCAGATATCTCCAAGGCCGGCGTGGCCGCAACCAACATTGCCGAACTGCTCACTACCCGCTCGGCCGACGATGAACTGAACCCCGGCGCCTCGGGCAAAATCCAATCCAGTGACGTGTATCTGCTAGACGAGAAGACTCACGATCCAGAGGCGGCACATCATGAGCGCGGCGTTGATTACTCGGTTGGGATATCTGAAAAGATGAGCGGCATTGGCGCCGAGATGCAGAACATCCATTTCGAGTACCCATCACGGCCAGGACAGCCTGTGCTACGAGGACTGAGCTTGAAAATTCAACCTGGTCAGTTCTGCGCCTTGTTGGACCCAGTGGATCAGGCAAATCTACGACCTTCGCGATGCTAGAACGATTCTACCGCCCAGAATCAGGCGCAGTGATTATCGATGGAGTCAACGTCACACGGCAGCTAGGCACCGGATTCCGCGACGACATCGCTCTCGTCCCACAGGAGAACGTACTATTTGAGGGCACTGTCGCGTTCAACATCGGTCTAGGAGCTCGACCAGGTCACGAGCCTTCGCAGGGAGAGATTGAAGAGGCCTGCCGCATGGCCAACATCCACGAAGTGATCATGGCACTTCCCGAAGGCTACGAAACGCAGTGCAACCACGACGGCAAGCAGTTCTCCGGCGGCCAGCGACAGCGACTGTCAATTGCGCGAGCTCTGGTGCGCCATCCGCGCATGCTGTTACTGGATGAGTCCACCAGTGCCCTGGACGTCGAGTCCGAAAAGAAGATCCAGGATGCGTTGGCGACCCTGGCCGGTCGGACTACCATCGTCGCCATCGCGCACCGGCTCAACACTATTCATCGGGCGGATTGCATCTATCTCATCGAGGAGGGACGATGTGTGGAGTGTGGTACGCACGAGGAGCTTATCGAGCGCAGTGAGACGTACAGGACGAGTGTCATCCACCAGTCGTTAGAGACATGATTTGTTATTTTTTTTTGGCGTCATATGCGGTTTGAAAATGGGCTAGAATGGCATTTGCACCCCTTTTTAACTGTTCTGTATATAAGGGACTTCTTGGCGTCGGGTCGATTACCGAATCGAATACATCATGGGAAAGGGGGGTTGTCGGGCAACCCCAAAACAGTAAAAGAGCCTGCAGATTCCAAATTTAGTAATTCGAAAGAGCGTTCCAAAATTCTTGAACCAGGCAAACAGGCGAGCCAGCGTCAAGTTTGCCCTCTTCGGTCGTGCATCCTCGGCAAACCTGCCGCCCCCACGTATCGGCGGCTTTTTACCCGAACTTCCCCACGCCTCGTCTTGGGGAGGATAGTACATATAAGCCGATCTGACGTCGACGTTCTCCACGCTGCCCCTCCCGCTCCAGGGTCGGCTCAGTTGCTCTGGGCGGAAATGTGGCTGCTCGGGAAGATAAAAGCATGGCTAAGAGCCGATTTGACTGTATGGAGTAAACAGAAGAAAATAATCGGAGACCTGTCCGGACTCGGTGTATAAAGAACCGCGAATTGCTCCTAGGAACCGCGACCATTTTCAAAGCTTCCATTGCCCTCAACATGGCGACAACATTGACGGGTGGAAACCCTCACATCATCCAACTCCCCTCAACGCCCGCCGCGTCACCTCCAGAAGCAAGATTGATCGCTCAGAAATGGCTCACAGCTCTGCAGATCCAGCTCTCTCGCCCCGACACACTGAAACTGTCCATCCTCTTCCACGCTGAATCATGGTGGCGCGATATGCTCGCGCTAGACTGGGACATGCGCACCGTGCACTCGTCCAACGAGATCGAAGAGCTCTTGCGCAAGCGCCAGAGCCAAGCACAGCTCCAGAGCTTCCGCCTGCAAGACAAGGGAAAGTTTCAACCTCGCTGGGAACAGGTTGTTGATGGTCTCAGCTGGGTATCAAGCATGTTCTTCTTTGAGACGGCCTTTGGAACGGGCTCGGGCGTGCTGCGTCTGACTCAGGATCAGAATGATGGGAAGTGGAAGGCGTATGCGGTCTATACATCGTTGCAAGAGTTGAAGGGGGCCGAGGAGCCGTTGGGACATAGACGGCCTGAGGGCACGACGGAGTCCATGGCTGGTGGGTTGGCGGGTGGGACTTGGATCGAGAGGAGGGAGCGGCAGAAGGAGTTTTTGGACTCCGAGCCGATAGTTTTGGTTGTTGGTGCTGGTGAGTTTTGTTAGGATGTGATGATTGGAAGTGGGCTAAGTACCTCCGTACAGGCCAAGCCGGTCTCAATATGGGTGCCCGTCTGCAGAGTCTTGGGCTTTCGTGTTTGATTGTCGACAAGAATGAGCGCGTTGGTGACAACTGGCGCAACCGGTACCGTGTTAGTATCTTCGACCTCTTTGGAGCAACGGCATACTAATGTGTGAATTGCTAGACTCTGGTCACCCACGACCCGGCTGAATTTACACACATGGCCTACCTGCCCTTCCCGCAGAACTGGCCTCAGTTCACCCCGAAGGACAAGCTCGGCGACTGGTTCGAGGCCTACGCCAGCATTATGGAATTGAACGTCTGGACGCAGACATCCCTTACCTCTGCCGAGTACAACGATGCCACGGCTGAGTGGAATGTCATTGTGACTCGCGGTAACGGCGCGCAGCGTACTTTGCGTCCTCGCCATGTCGTTTGGTGCACAGGACACTCGGGCGAGGCGCGCGTCCCTCGATTCCCCGGACAGGATTCATTCCAGGGCACCGTCTATCACGGAAGCCAGCACCGCGATGCGTCCGAGTCCGACATCCGTGGAAAGAAGGTAGTTGTTGTGGGAACTGGGAACAGTGGACACGACATTGCCCAGAACTACTATGAGAACGGCGCAGATGTCACCATGCTACAGCGCAGCGGGACCTATGTGATCACGGCCGACAAGGGTGTATTCATTATGCATGAGGGGATGCATGAAGACGGCGGGTATGTCTCTATCCATTCCACTAAAAACAAGAGCTTTCACTAACAGTCTCCAACAGCCCGCCGACCGAGGAGGCCGACGTCGTCTCCGAGAGTCTTCCCTTCCCAGTACAATTCGCACTCAGCGTACACATGACAAAGCGCATCGCAGATGTCGAAAAAGACACACTCGACGGCCTCCGCCGTGCAGGCTTCCAGCTCGACTTCGGCCCCGACGGTGCAGGTATTGCTCGTGCATACTACACAGCAGGCGGCGGGTACTACATTGATGTCGGATGCAGCCGGCTTATCATCGACGGCAAGATCAAGGTGAAGCACAGCCCCAAGGGAATCGACGGGTTCGGAAACCGGGAGCTGCTTCTTGCAGATGGTAGTTCTCTGCCCGCGGATGTTGTCGTGCTGGCTACCGGATACGATAACATGCGAACAACCGTGCGCAAGGTCCTAGGTGATAAGGTTGCAGATCGATGTGCGGATGTCTGGGATCTGGACCATGAGGGTGAGCTTCGTGCTATGTGGCGACCTAGTGGTCACCCGGGCTTCTGGTTTTTTGGGGGAAACCTTGCTCTTTGCCGGATCTACTCGAAGTTCCTCGCGCTGCAGATCAAGGCTATCGAATCTGGGCTATCGACTGGTCGTAGACAGCAGCAGAGAGCTACTAAGATTTAAGAATAGAATGGAGGGGAGATTATAGATTAGATCAGTGAGTAATGAAAACAGGATTAATGTCGGCCCATATGCCCCATAGTGATAGTCCTTCCGACACTTTGCGATGCGACTTCTTTATTACTGCTTAACACTGCGCATGGGCACCTAGTTGGGCCATGGTCGCGACCATACCTTACTTGAGTGGGCTGAACGTCTGGCAGGCGAGTATGGTGACATAGATCAACTCGTCCGCCAAAGCGATACGATACCCGCGAGACTCGATCCACTGATACATTTCAGTTGTCATGTTGGAGACCAACCATCCAGCCACTTGCATCGAGAGATTGAGCCAGTTCTCGGCGTTGGGACTGTTTCGCTTCGGTCGAGGAATTCGGACGTCAATGAGGCGGTTCAGATGGTACGTCGTGAGGATGTTGTTGACATTGACCAGCCACTGATCTATCTCTAGCCAGTGGCTCAGTTTGAAGCCGAAAAGACCGGGGCCTAAATTCGGGAGGACAACCATCTTCCCCATCTCGGGTAGGTCGGTAGCTTGGTCATAGTGCATGGCATGAGCTGCGGTGAGAACTGGGTCTGGCAACATTCTCCAGTCTGCCTCTGGATCAGCTTGGTACTTGGTGATGTCTGGATGGTTCATTTTGTCTGTGATTGCAGCTTACCCGAGGAGTCAGAGATGTCATGTGAAAGGAAGGCAGTGCTCGATGAGGAGTGCCTCAGAACAGACTTACCAGCTGGGATCTTGAAGGGAGTGGATAGTAGAGAATGAGAGATGCGAGACGAGGAGAGAATGCTAAATTAGGCAGGCGTCGGGGTATTAAGATCTTACCCCTCTCCGTCTTGCTCATGATATATTGATGGACAACTTTAGATTAAGTAGGTCCACAGTACAGGGACACCCAGAAGATATTCAGGGGACTACGGACAGGTGCTGTTATTGCTTAATGAGGTCCTGATGCCAAGTGTTCACTGGACGACAGTGGCCTCTTGTCGACCGTACTACCAACGAGATCAAGTGGAAACGTATGAATGGAATATGCTCTGATCAAGGGTATGCCGAGTAAAAATCTAGCTTCAATGAATTACGTTTTTCTTGGATCAGGATGTGAGTTGGTGTTTGTTTACGGGACAAGTTGAGTGGGCAGCTACCAGCTGGCAGGGCCTTGGAATCAATCGAATAAGATAATGGGAGTAATTAAACACTATTGGTTATAACCGTAACACATTGCCTTCATATAAGATTCTCTCAATTGCTGCTGCCCTCCCTATTTAGTTTAAAATCCCACCATTGTTATTTAGTATAAACCCCGGCCTTGATATCAGCCACAAGTCCACGCTCAGAGGGTGTCCATCGAAGCTGCTCCTGGGTCTTTTTGCTGGAAGATGGGTTATCGACACTGACAGCGAAGGCCATAAAACCATTGAAATGAACCTGGGCCTCTTCAAAGGTCTTCGACACGGCTGGGACACCAAGTTCATGCCCAATGGCCTCGGCAATGTCCTTCATCGGGATACCCTGCTCGCCAACAGCATGATACTTTGCGCCAGGCTCCCCCTTCTCCAGGGCTAGACGGAAGAGACGAGCGGCATCGTAGCGGTGGACCGCGGGCCATTTGTTCTGTCCGTCGCCAATGTAGGCTGATTCCCCTTTGGCACGCGCAATCTGAGTGATCATATAGATGAACCCGTGGTCGTCGTCACCATGGACGGTTGGAGTTAGTCGCACAGCCGATGCACGCACACCCTGAGCAGCAAGCTTGGTTATTTCTCCTTCATTGGGAGCGCGAGGGTTCGGGAAGGATACGAGGTCCGCATCCGAGTCTTCAGTGCCCAGAACACCCTTGGTGAGCATCATCGTTCCAGAGGCGATAACGAAAGGACGGTTGGATCCTGCAAGGGCCGCACCAATGGCCACGATGGCGTCGTATTCCACCTTGGCGTTCTCGGCAAATTTGGTGAAATCGTGATTGAACGCAAGATGGATGACACCATCTGATTCTGAGGCACCGCGCTTGAGAGTTTCAATGTCTTCAATGGACCCGAGGATGGACTTGACTCCTTTGGCTCGCAATTCTTCTGCTTTAGACTCCGAGCGAGCAAGACCGACGACACTATGGCCGGCATCAAGCAGCTCCTGGACAACGGCCTGGCCAATGAACCCAGTAGCGCCAGTGACGAAGACACGCATGTTGAGGTTGGGATTGGAATAGATATTCAAAGTGTGTATGAGTGTAAAATATTTAAGATGTTGTTTTCACCTGGGGTTTCCTGCTAGGTATTTATAGATCCTGCTGGTGAGTTAGAAGTTCCGATCCCGACGGACATAATCCCCATTAATTCCATTTAATAGGCAGTGGAGAGTACCGGACGTCGTTTAGGATGAATAGTCTTCGAAAAGGAACAAGAAAGAGTCTAGGGCCACGCAAATACGAGTGCGGGTTAGCGCCATTGAGGAGTGGCCAATAATGTGTGGGGACAAGCCCTCGGAGTTAAGAAGTGGGGCCAGTGTCATGCACCCGTTTTCTTATGAACCTCATCTCTCCAATTTTCAGAATTCAAGCTACCGTTGGGGAATTGTGAAGATGGCATCGGAGAGATCTTCATCCGGAGAGCATGGAACCCGACAGCGCCGGGCGCACACCAAGTCGCGACGGGGCTGCCGGAACTGTAAGCTCCGCCGTGTCAAAGTACGATATCCCCGTTGAAATCCTCATGGAATGAGCTAATGGCTTCTGGCTAGTGTGACGAGGGCAAGCCATACTGTCAAACTTGTCAAGCCTTTGGCGTGAATTGCAATTACAATTCGCCCCACATTCCAGATCTCCAATCTGCATGGCAGGACACGCCGCGCAAATCAGATCCCGATAATTCATTTGGTCAGCTTGTCTTCAGTGCAAAGCCAGTACCTAACCTTCTGCACCCAGTGGTCGTGGTTGGGGATGGTTATGGCTCGTTTAAACTCGACGCGAGTAGTCTAGCTCGTCTAGACCGATTCCAACACCGCACGGCTTTTACATTCGCAACTGCTCGAATTCCTGAAATTTATCAAATTGATGTGGCCAAAATCGCGATAGCGGTATTTCTCCCTACTTCGATGTCCATTTTTGGAGCCCTACAGCTAATCATTGCATAGAATCCATTCCTGATGCATGTTATCCTTACCATCACGGCCACCCATGATCGCTACTTGTCAATCACCCCAGAAACGGCAAAGCCATCCCTTACCGAGGCTTACCACTGGTCACGGGCTGCTGCATTACTCAATCGAAAACTGTCGAACCCAATTCTACCCCAGGACCGTGATGCTCTTTGGGCCGCCGCAGCCATGTTAGGAATTGCAAGTGTTACTTCTATTGAGGCATCGTCTCCAAAGGAGGCATGGCCTCTCAAACCTTACGATCCAGCTGATTTGGAATGGCTTGATATGTCTCAAGGAAAGGAAGCGATATGGAATGCTACCGATCCACTGCGCCCAGACAGTATCTTCCATGTCATGGCAGACGACTATCGCGCTCTCATGGCCCCACCTAGGCTCTGTGAAATTAACGAAATACCCGATGAGTTGGTCCGGCTATGTGATCTGGATGGCTTGTCAGCACTGCAGCAGAATCCATATTATACTGCCGTGTCTATACTGGTTCAGCTGGGGGGTATCCAATGCACCCAAACGACGATGTCAAAATATCTCGGGTTTATGAGATTTATGGAGCCTGCCTTTCGGAATCTGTTACATCAGAAGGACGCTCGTGCATTACTGATCCTTGCTAATTGGTATGCTCCTATGTGCCAATCGTTGTGGTGGATTGCCAGAAGAGCCCATTTAGAATGCCAGGCAATCTGTTTATATCTGGGGAAACACCATCCCGACGATAGGGATATTCAGAAGATGCTGATTTTCCCCAGGAAACAATGTGGTCTAACTATGTGAATATAACTGAATGAGTCATTGACGTCCAGACTATCTCGTATACAAGCGTTGCCTTCCTAAACGGGAAGAGGGGTCCGGCTGCACGTGACCGGCGTAGTATTCCCCGACCGGTGGAACTCGCCGAAGCAAAGTAGCGAGCATTGAATCATCCAAACTACAAGTTGTGGCAGACAATAAAGGCCAATCGATCATCAAAATCAATATTGTGGGCCATACAGCCAAAATAAATTGATTCCGACCCGATGCAACCATGAGTGAAAGAGGCTCGGAGATCGTCTTTCGCGCGGAAAACATCCCGGTCCGGTTCTTCAAAGCATGCCGGTGGTGTCGCCGGCAGAAGATGCGCTGTGATGCACGCAATCAGGTCCCATGCTTCCGCTGTCGCTCAACGGGCCGTGACTGCATCCTGGACCCCATAGAAGATAACATGCGACGTAATGAACGTCGGAGAAAATCTACAACGCCCGCACGGTGAGACTCAAAGCCGGTTCTGCTCTAACCGAAATATGACTGATCTATTTGGATATAGTGGCTCGGCAGTAACTTCTCCGCTGGATCACCGTAGTGGATTTCATACTCCTGCTTCAAGAGACCAGGATTATTCACCCGTTGCTGGTCAAGATGCTTCCTTCAATGCTTCTATCGACTCGTTTCCAGAGTCCTCCTTGGGGAGGCTGCGAAGGTCTCAGACTGCTGATCATCATGCACATGGCCATGCTCATGGGCATGTTCATGAATCACAACAATTGAGTCCAAATGATATGATCGCGCCGGCGTCAGCAGTGCATTCAATGTCTGTCAATTTACTCGGTACTGATGAGGTGAGTCGACGTATCCCATCTGTGAACGGCATGGACTGAGCTTAGCCGTGTCAAGATTTTCATGGAGCATTCGAGCAATGGAGACCCTAGAGGGGACATTATTGCTCGTGGTATTGTTAGCGAGGAACAGGCCAGAATCATGTATGAAAGGTATGCAAGTCGTTTTACGGATGAATAGACTCGAAATTGACATGATCACAGATTCACAGGCGGAAGCAAGAACTTCTTACCTGTCTTCGACCCTATTCGTGACACCTTTGACTCCATACGATCACGGTCACTATTTTGCTTTACAGTAATAATCTACCTGGCCAGTAGGGCAGTGGTGGATCTACGCGGGGACACCCACATGCAGCGTGTGCTACAAGACGAAGCGCAGCGACTTGCGGAAGACAGCTTCTTTGAACGCCCAACGAAACTCGAAACAGTGCAGGGGATGATCCTACTCGCCGCATACTCAGAGAAAACCTGGTTCTCAACGGCACTTATTCTGCGCACGGCCCTGGATTCCGGCTTAGAAAAGTCACTTGACAAATTGCTTTCTCAAGAGAATCTGCCGCGAAGCTCACTTTCTGCCTCCATGGCTGACCGCCAGTTGGTATGGCAGGTACGGACCTGGCTCATCAGTTTCACATTGGAGCTGGATGTAGCTTCAGGTACTGGCCGCAAGTCACGCATAGGTGAGGTGGATATCATGAAACTGCGCAAATTTCTCGACTATCCTCTCTCGTTGCCTTGCGATATGCGGACTGTCTGCATTATTGAACTTCATCAACTTCGAGGTTAGCATGTTTGAATTGCCCTACGGTTTCCTCGACTGACTCCAATCCAGGCCATTCCCGTATAACTCTCGACAATACGGGGACCATCCAAGATATAGTTTCAACGGAGCTGCCCGCGATCATGGCAAGGCTACAAAGCTGGTGGGCCACATGGGATGAGATCCACAGTAGTAAGTGCAAGCCCGGTTCCTAAGGTTACAATTTTTCGAATTGTTAGAATGCTTACACCATAGCGAAGATAATGGATTTCATTCTGGTGCATTCCAGCGAAGCAGTCTCAAGCTTATGCTCAACTATGCCAGAATATTCGTACTTTGTGCCTCCCTAGCACGCATCCAGAAGCTACAACCTGGCTCCAACTCCGAATCTGAAATTACTGACCAGAACGTTTTGAATCTGTGGCAATCTCTTATCACGACCATCATGGACCAACTAGCATTCCTGATCAATTGGCCGTCCTATCGATGCCAACTCCCATGGGCTCCAACCTATCCGGCCCTCACGATTGCCTTTGTCAGTAAGTCATAACTTGAATACCAGCCTATTCCAATATACCTTGCTAAACTGCAGTCAGCTACATTCGCGCTTCGGATCGCACGCTGGCGACCAAACTGGATTGATCAAGACCTGCTATTAGACAGAGCAGAAAAGATCTGCGACTTCTTGAAGCAGCCACCATACCCGGACATCCACCGCACTGTCTCCATCTTTGTCAATTATGCCAGGGCCTTGATTGCTAGTCAACGTCCACGAATCAATGACAGCACAGAGGGCCCTAACGTGTCCGAGCAGGATGATGGACACGTTCCATCATACAGAGGCCCAGACAGTCTCATGCAGAATGCCCCGCCTTTGGCGCCACTTGAAGATCATCGGTACAGAACCGGCACGGTTCTTCCGAGTGATAAGGACCCAAATATGGTCCCCATGACAGGTAATGATGCAGCTGCGACAACCAGACCACCTCTTCCCAAAATTCCCGATACGATGGAGGCCCCAAATTGGACCATGTCGAATTCTATCGCAGATTCCTTTGGTCTGTTCGAAGAAGGACAAAACGATATCTTTGATTTCTTGCCAATGATGCCCTCTTTGCCATGATAGACTTCTCACCTTGCAATACATTGATACCCATACTATATGAATATCCCCTGAATTTAGCTGCAGCTTATAAAATCCTGGACTTCCGTCGATCTGCAAAGTTGGTGTTGGTCCCAGCTTGGTTGTCGGTGGGTTGTCGCAAAATCAGGATAGAAACCAGCAGATCATCAGGCCGCAACACGGAAGGCAGCAAAAGCACTTCACATGAAATGACGCGCTAATTATAACGGATCAAGAAATTAGCGCCAAAAACATGGAATGGCTGGAGACCTAGACGGCGGGGTTGCTCATCAATACAACACCGGATCCTGGCCGGCGCCGGGATAGATTGCCCTAGACCCCGGCCCCGAACCGGGACCGGTCCACCCGTTCAAATTTTGAAGTATAACGGCCACATTATTGGTAGTTGAATGTACTCAAACATAATAGCTTGGAAAACTATGCATGGAACATGGGATCTAGACTATGTGACTCGGATTTTGGACAAGGTTTCATCTCCACTAGTTGCGGTGGACCACTCGGAAATTCTTTTATATAGCGATCGGTCTCGCGCTCAGGGAACGGTTGAATAATAGCATGATTCACAGTTCTTCCCGATCATCCTTTTCTTTTCTAACATATGGTTTTTTCTCTTGGCATACAAGGTGGCAATGAATTTAATACAATCTCCAATAGCTTGCTTTACCAATCTCTTTTCTTCCGGTGCGACCGAGCCTTTGTACTACGTTCCTGCCATCTGTCCTTGTTCTAACTATTCATAGACAAGATGGAAAGCTCCAATGAGAAGGCTACTATCACAATGAAGACCGAAAAAAACATCAACACAAAAGATGATTTTACACTAGTTGAAATTTCTCCGGAAGAAACACTCGTTGAATTCTCCCCTGATTCTTCGGCAGACCCGAACAGGTGGATTTTTGTAAGCTACATCATGTTTACAATGCATGTCACACGGACGCGATGTACTAACAGGCGTCTAATAGAGCAAGAAAATGTACAACGCAGTCGTGGGGCTATTAGTCGTACTCAATAGCGGCGTGTCATCGTCCCTGCCTAGCAATGCAATCCCCGCTATCATGCACGATTTCGGCCTGTCAGGAAACGGTCAAAAGGTATTGCCAATGTCCATCTTTTTGATTGGATATTGTATCGGGCCTTTAGTCTGGAGTCCTCTGAGCGAAACCATTGGCCGACGACCGGTTGTATTTTGGACTTTTACCGTCTTTTTTCTCGGAACTCTGGGTTGCGCCCTAGCTCCCAATTGGTCGTCGCTGTTGATATTTCGCGTAATCTGTGGTACTATGGCTGCTGCGCCGCAGACCGTTGTTAGTGGCGCCTATGCGGATTTGTTTTCCGATTTGCGCAGTCGTGGTCGGGCGATGGCTTTGTACATGTCGGTATGTACACGAGGCATGTCGCTTTAGAATTTACTCTAATCAATTCCCAGGCTTCAAGTTTCGGTCCCATTATTGGACCGATTATCTCAGGATGCTCGGTCCAGTACGGCTGGCGATGGACGTTTCGCATCGACTTGATTCTCGGCGGCATCACCTGGTTGGGTCTTCTCTTTTATTCTGGTGAGTTTAGTGAACCTGGCTCTGCATATCTTTGTCTAACACACTGACCGGATAGAAACGTTTGCGCCTGTTATTCTCAAGAAGCAAGCCTCGAAGCTAAGGAAAGACACCGAGTGTGATCGATACTTCTCCTCGCAAGAGTTAAGAAAAACAGATGCGGCATTCACTTTGACCCAAACAATCACTCGGCCTATTACGATGCTCATTTTCGAGCCTATTATCCTGTTCACGGCCATTTACATTTCTCTCGCCTGGAGCATGGTCTTCTTCTTCTTCCAGGCGTATCCTATCATCTTCCAGGGTACCTACGGCTTTGATATTCAAATGACTTCTCTCACTTACATTCCCGGTGAGTTTGTCTCCTGCTCAATCCACAAAAGCTTAGTTCACAAAGCTAACCATCCCCAGTGGGCGTCGGCGCCGCATCATCTTGCCTCGTCGCCTTCATCTACGATACCATCTACGAAAGAGCCAAGAAGCTCGGCAAGAGCTGGACATCCAGTCCCGAATTCCACCGCCTCCCGCTATCCTGTGCAACTGGTCCACTCCTAACGGGCAGTCTGTTCTGGCTCGCATGGTCAGCCAAACCATCCGTCCACTGGGCAGTTCCAGTAATGTCGGGACTTCTCTTCGGGATCGCATACCAAACCACCTTCATCTCACTGCTGACCTACGTCACCGACGCATATCGCATCTACTCTGCCAGTGCACTAGCTTCGTCTGTCATTTTGCGAAGCATTGCTGGTGCGCTGTTTCCTCTCGCTGCGGATCCACTCTATGCGAAGCTTGGAGTTTCATGGGCAACCTCGGTTCTTGGCTTCGCCGCCATGGCTTGCATTCCTATTCCGTTTGCACTGCTCTACTTTGGACCGTGGATTCGGAAGAGGAGCCCCTTCTGTCAGCGGTTGCTGGAGATGGATATGATGAAGGCTAGAGGTGGGACGAGGACGCCTGAGGAGGCTTGAAGAGCCTAGTCGAGGCCAGATCACGAATTATACGATGCCCAGAGTCATTTCCATCTTTTCTCGTTGTTTTGCGATAAAAAAAACTTGCATACGGGTGTCGTTGGGTATTGGGGATGAGAAGAAAAGTATAAACCCGCTTGGGATCTATTTAATTTTTATTTTTAGAGTGATAATTTTCGATCATGTGCATTCAATCTAGCTCTCTAATTCTATGCTGGTTTACAGACCAAGTATAATAAATAATAAAATACGCCATGACCTCATTCCAACCGCATGGCAGTTGAAAACAGATACCGGGACACGAACTCAGCCTAGATGATTCTAGGCCTCTTGTATGGATTCTGTTCAACCACATCCTTGTGCCAGTCGAGAACGCACCCATAGGGGTTAGTTTCAAGATTTCCATCGCAGCAACTGAACGTATAGCAATGAGGCAATTCGTCGCGGAATGCCTCCACGTCAAATTCACCCCGATTATCCTCCCACAGCTCTTCCCCGGTGGGCTCAGCTGAACCTACCGAGGTTCAGTGTTCGTTTTATTAAATATCACGCAATTCGTACGAACCTACATGGATGGTACCGACAGCTCTCCTTGGTGTTTTTCGTAACATCGAACTCGGCCTTGCAAGTCTCGCAAAACGCGAAGCGTGGCACGTTTCTTCTCGCCGAGCCCAGCGTCCTCACTATTTTCAGAGGCCCGGGAGACCTCGGTATTCTTCACCAGAAGTTGCCTCTCGGCCTCTTTGCGGGATTCGTCGTTTTTCGCACACATTAACCTAATAAGCTGGCGTAGTGTGGATGAAGACGCGGTGGTGATAGCGGCATCGAGGGGTGTTGTCGTGGATACTGTGGCAGAGGAGGCCATTATGTTACGTGTACAGTGGGTTTCTGTTTTCGAAAGGTGTTGAAGAGAGAGAGGTATCGGAAAGACGAGAATAATAGGATTCACAAGTCACCTTATCAGGGCCGAGTCTATCTTAAAAGGTACCTGGATAAGTCCCTGGCGGGGCATGGTGGGGGGTGTCACGTGGATGGTAATAAATATCTGACCCAAAGATGCCATGGATAGGCATTTATCGAAACCTCAGAAAAGTAGGAAACTGGTCACTCTTACATCTTTTTGCAGTTTTTATAACTCGTACCGCGAAGTTGGTCGCTTAATACCGGCGACTTGACGCCCTGCGACCTGCCCTGGGAGTTTGACGAGGGAAGCGTCCACAAACAGTATACTTCCCTAGTACAAGAAAAAATATAAGTTTTTTTTTAAAAAAAAAAAAATTTGGTAGAGTACGTAGTCATGTGCATTCCAATGCGAAAGCTGTCATCACACCGTCTATAGTTATGGGAATACACCCGCAAGCTAGCGATTCTACTGCCTCATAATCGCAATACTCTGCGCAAGATCATTCCAATCCGGAAAATCAAGCCAATTAAGATCCCAATTATCCAGATCAAAATAAGCCTCATTCGTCTGACTCAAGCCCTGTTCAGCAGGCTCAACAGGCCCTTCCTGGGCAATAAATTCGCCCTGATCAAGAGAACCATTCCCCTGACGAACCCGCAGCGCTCTAGCTCGCATTTGCGCTATCATGGGCCACTTGGGCCCCGGGTCCGGCCAAGAGGGATCGTTATCCACCAGATCAAAGTGGTAATTGACAACGCGCCAGGCCCGTTCCACGTATGCGCCGGTCGGGTACAAGCACAGGTGCCAGAGGATGTAGGTGAGGAGGTGGAATTGGGTGTATGTTGAGGTTAGCCAGCGGAAACCGTGCAGTAGTTTGTCGCTGTACATCTCCAATCCCCCTTCGAGGGCGTTGACGGCCATTCCGAGGAGTTCTGATGCCGCGGCTTCGTCCGCGGATGAGGAAGCCGCGCCTTGCATTTGAAGGATCTTCTGGCGTACGTGCATCTCGGCTTTGGCGACGAGGACTCGTGCGACCATTGCGCCTTGGCGATGGATTGGGATGTCCATGTCGAGGTACTGGAGGTACCGCTCGTGTAGCTTGGTCTTAAGTTCATTGATTATGTGCTCTGCTTCGGTGCAGTCGCCAGTTTCAGAAGTGGCTCGCGCGAGGGGGGTCCAGATTTTGTTGATTTCCGTGATGATGAGGGGGTATGACATCTCCGTCCATCGTTTCTGGGAATGGGACGGTTCTAATAAATCGTCGTTGACGTCTTGGTCGTCGATGTTAGAGGGGAGGTCGGTGTCGGCGCCGAACCCGTGTTCGGCGATGGTGATTCCGTGGTCCTCTGCCATACGGGCGTCGGTCGTGTATAGGATCCACCATAGTCGACGGCGGAGCTCACATTCGAGTGGATTTAACTTGAAGTGCTTTCCATCGCGGTGAAGACCGATGGACTGGGCTGCTCGAATGGCTAGTCCGCGTAACGTAAATACAGATCGACCGCTATTAGTATATCGCAGGCATGTCTAAAAACCATTGTTAGATTGAGCCGTCAATTGCTTTGTCGAGGTTTTTACCAAGTAGATTGCCATTGCCTGCAACGACGTCAATGTCGGGCAGTCCAAAAAATTTGCATGATGCATAGCAAGCTCCAAACCTTGCTGGTACCGACGCAAATCAGCTCGGAGCTGTTCATTCTCCGGTTCATCCGAGTACCTGGCCGTGGTGGCACCGAAAAATATAGCAAAGAGCAGACAATGAACGTCCAGATTCTGAGATTCAGGCCGACTGATGGCACCAAAGATGCGAGTCACTGTAGTTGGAAGATGGACAACCTTGATAACTGGATCTACCCTGCTCACGAATGTATGCCACAGCATTGTTGCCTGCCACTGGTCTGGCTGGAGAGCTTTTATGTCCATATTGATTAGGTGAGGATTGGTGATAATTCCGTCAACTTTCAGCGGAGGTGGTTTCCTCCGTGCGTTGCCCTCAGTTCTTGGTGAGCCGATGGCAGATTGTAGTCCTTTCTCTTTCTCCAGTACTCGCGATAGAAGTGGCTCGTCAATGTAGCTGCCGCCGTTCACCAAGATCCCATGATGGGTTGGCCGGCCTTCGGTCAGCATGCCAATTGGATGTGCGCTCTCATCCTTGGATGCTGAAGATTGAGTTTCAGATATAGAGGAAACATTTTGCTGGCTCGGTCCCGGACTGCCCATGGTTGCAATGGATCTTTCAAGTTGTTCCAGCCGAGTCACCACGTCGGTCACTGTCGTTTTAGGGGGTCGACGCTTGACTCTCATAGGACCAGGGTACTGGCAAGGTACTCCAAGGCGCACACATTTGTTGCAGGGCGAGGCCTTGTCGCATCGAACCTTGCGCTCGTGGCAGCGCAGACACGAGCGTTCTACGTTGTATCGGCGGTTGCTATCATTCATCGGTGCGGGCAGAGGTAAAACTCAAGATCGAGGGATAACTGACACGGGTCATAAGAAACCTTCTGCTTCTTTTAATATTCAGAATGATATATAAGTGGCTCACAGAGCTGGACACTGGGAGCAAAAGATGACGAAAATGAAGTTCGGGCCTTCGGGGTCTGGTCAAGACCGAGGGGTCCAATCACGTTGGGCATTGGGGGGGATTCAAGTGGGCCTCTTCGAGACCCTTCAAATCGGTGGATTTCATTTTGGGCTACTGCTCACGAGGCTATTGATTTGTATCTATCAGAGTACTAGCTTGGTGTTCATCGATCGAGTTTTATGACGTGCCACTCTCTTTGCCACAGCCCTATGACCATATCTCAATTTAGCCTCATTTGCGGCGATCATCATGGTACGCTTGAGACCTTATGCTCCAAAAAAAGCAAATATACATATCCATGTCAATCTGCAAGTAAGAACTCGTTCATTAATATCGAGTAGTAAATCCCAACCAGAGAGGCCCGCCAGCTCCATACTCCCAGCTTATAAATGTATCAAACGACCACCCAAAAACCGCCCAAAACCGCCCAGAGAACCCTTAGCGAAGCATAAACCATAATGTCATCAAATCATGAAATAAGAAGATCCCGAACACTCATTCCCTTTCTCCGCTGACTGTCGGAGCCACTTCTGCTCCCCGAAGAGGAATCCGTGAGCATAGTACTACCTGACAAATGCTCAGTGATCGAGTCTGCAGTGCCCCGGCGATCCTGGGTCAACATGAGCAAAGCAGCCGATGCCTCGTGATCCATGCCTTGGAACTCTGGGAGCTTGTCCATTGACGGATACGAGGGCCCCAGAGCCGGGCTGGGAAGAACGGACGGGGCATCGGGAAGGGTGGGTGCCGAGGGGACTCGAGTGCGAGGAGAGAAAGACGGAGAGGTATCCGACATCTGGGCACTTGGGGGCATGTATTCGGGAGATGCGGATGCAGATTCAGAATAAGAGTAGGCTGACGATGGAGGACGTCGAGGAGGTTGCTGGATAGAGTCCATTCCAGTTTCGGCAATGAACTCCGGGTATGTAGGTGATGGCGGGGCGGCCCTGTTGGCTGTGCCCGCCGTCTTGAGGTCTTGGATACATTGCTCCAGGTAGTTGACGTAGTCGATGCTTGCCTGTGGACGTTTAGTATCGGTATTATCTAAGAGGGTTTCGGAGGAAATACCTGAAGAATAGCCAGCTTATGCATCTCTTGGCCCTGGCATGCGGGAATCATATCCTTCAATGTCCCAAACTCCTCGTTCATTTTGGATCGGCGTCGCCGCTCAATCAAACTGTGAGCCGTTTTGCGAGCGATCTTGCGCCCCGCAGCACTCGTGGCGCTGGGCTTCTTCTTGGTAGTTGAAGAATTGGCCCCTTCCGGTGATGTTTGGGCAGAGGCCTTTCCATTCTCCTTGGGCTTGGCGGGGGACTTTGACACTGCAGGAGACTTTGGTTTCATTTGGATGATCTTCCGCGTGCGTGTTGGAGGCGGTGGTAGTTCGAACTCGTCGAGTGAACGCTTGGTACCGGTTCCCGCTCGGGGCGAGGGAGCAGCACGGCCTCGGGCAGCCAGTTCGGGGGAAGTAGGTGACGCAGGCACATAGGAAGGGTCAGATCGCGAGGATCGGCGGCTGGCCGGATCGATGTTGGCCGGACTCAGAGCCGCAGGAGGTAGAGCGAATGCATCAGAGGCATCCGGCTGGTCCTTGATGATGAATTCACCGGACATGGCAGGCGTAGGAGGGAATCGAGGAGACATGGTGCGAAGAAGTTGCACAAGGGGGAATCAGGCTCCCGAGCATCGTTATATAAGTCGGACTGCTACGATCTTCAAAGTGTCGCGTGCTTGAGGCGCCCACGAGCACCAACGGAGACCGCTGATTGGCGTAGAGGGGAAGCTCGTGCCCCAGGGAGCAACGGGCATTTGCTGGTTTATTGTGGGTCCGCCTGAGCTTATCAACGTTCTCCCCAAGAACTTAGGTACTTCGGTACTTCCATTTGCTTGCGGGTTCAATGGTTGCGGAAGTACCTGGCATGTGCCCTCTCCCCTCGTCCAGAGTGGCAGCCCAGCACGTGCGCCCTGGACTCGTCCGCATTTTCTGCCGTCACCACCTTTCCCATCATTTCATTTGCCCTGTTCCACCGGGGAGATCGGCGGGGGGGGAATCACTTGCGTGCGCATTCACGTGCCTGCTAGACCGTGAAAATGGTTTGCTCTGACTGGTTCGCCCGACGGCTTCTGCCATCGTCCCTTTTTGCATCGCTATACTTCGCCTCCGGTGTTACTGTTACTCCAGAATGGGCTAATCATCCAACCCGTGTTATCCACTATTACTGTACTTTTAAATGTACGCCCGAAGTGATTGACTTTTAATACTACAATCCGTACACCCTATAACTACAGGCTTGAACAGGAGATACGGAATGCACGCAATCGAGCTAGCTAATCGAAGATATCTCAATAGATGCAAGGCATGATGGAACGTCTCCTGATACGGACTAGTGCGCCTAAGTAGGGCTTTGGGAAACAAGGAGAGGGACAAGAGAGGTTGAACTGATTTGGAATATTACTATACACAACCCCTAGAAAGATTAATATGTATGTCTCTGTAGTTGCGACGCCGGTTCGAGAGAAAGAAAAAATTGGCATTATGAATCTGACCATAAACCAAACAAGAAAAATAACTCAGTATCGCTGATTTGCAAGTATTTAAAAATCAAAATCCCATGCACCCTTGAACTTTTATATTATTTACTTCACGTTTCCTCCATCACTCGAAATCACCCGGCACACACCTCTCCTTACAATGCAGGTACGTTTGCCAGCTAGTATACTCATGTCAGTGCGATGCCGCTTATAAACGTATTAATATATTAATATTACTTACCAGTACTCGTCATCCTCTGGCATGGCAATACTGCATGTTTGAGCCATCAACGAGCACAGCTCATTGCAGTGGTTGATGTGCTTGACATGGTTCGGCACGTGCTTAATAAGAGACACGTGTCGAATGGTGGTTTGATTATTGGCCTTGGACAAACCGGTGGTCAAGGGCTTCTTGACATGGGTACCGGTAGTGGTTGCATTGTGAGCAAAGGTCGAGTTGGTGGGGACCTGGACCGAGATGCGGCTACCGTGGTATGGGCCGGCGAGATGGGGCATGGCGGCGGCATAGCTAGCCAGGGCGACCACGCAGAGGCCGAGGAAGTTTGTAAGCTGCATGATGGGGGGTGGAGCTCGAACCCTGAAGATCGATAGATCTAGGGACGTGATCTGGGATGAGGGCTTGAGAGGACGAGACGAGTAGCGAGGTGGATTACCGGGTCCACTATGGGATGATCGCTTTTATAGAGACACCCCGGGGTAACTTTGATTCCTGGTGGCTGGTTTGAAATCCTACGGCTTCTTTTAAGGAGCCTCCTGGATTGTGCAGTGTTGCAATGGACAATTGTGAAGCAAGCGCGGCCGATCCCCCGAATATAGCATTCCACATTCCTAGGGGAGGCGCGTTGGACTTCCCACGACCGGTCGATGACCAGCTTCATGTTGTGAAACGCGGGAATTTTTAGCAAATAAATTAACAAAAAATTAATTATGCGGGGATCATTTGAGCTCTCACCGGTAGTAGAAACCACCTTTAATTAACTTGTTTATCGTGTAGTGTTGACCGCGTCGTCTGTCAACAGACTTTGCAAGTCTAACATTCCAGACCACCTACATAGCTGCATAACCGACCAATCAGATTGGGTAAGTACGAACAAGAAGAAGCTTATTTTTTTACGATTGTGGAGCAACGCGTATCGTTGGTTGACCTCCTTCTATAAGACGGGCATGGTTGACCAGATCCAGGACCCCCACAAGACAAAAATGGAGCCACCAAAGCTTCTCCCGACGCGCTGGCTAGTTTTGATTGAAGAAGTAAAATAGAGTATACTCATTCTTTCCCTCTTTGGGTCTAATATAAGCCTTTGCTTGTGTATTATTATCAGTCCACAAATACCGTACCTACGAGGCAGCACGCGACCAATCTTCTCCCCCTTGGATAAGACGCAGCTTCTATTCATCAACTGTTTGCAAGATTTATCAATGTTATGTACTCTTTCAAAAAATACTCATAATGCTCAACCAAACAGTCTCTGAATCATAATTTCACCAAAGTTCTTCTCGGCAGGTGACTCGTCCATCCGCAAAATGCGATTGCCGGCGTTCGCACTTAGCCAAAGGCCGTGATCACTCGAGCTCTCTGTATCACCTTCAATCTTGTGACGGCTACGACGATCGATCACACACATACCGCGAGTCCACTGACCCGTCGTCTCAATACGGATATCCTCGGGCGAGGTGGGCGAGGGAGCCCATTTCGGGTCCGTGGATGTCAGGGCGTACCAAACGCAGACAGGGTCGTGGAGACTCAGATGGGCGTCATCACCAACGTGGCCGGGATGAAGTCTTTCCAATGTACGGAAAGTGTGTCCCATGAAAGCATCGACCCATTCGGCCAGCGGAGAGCCCGACTCGAGGAGTGGAGTTACGGCCTTGCGGAACTCGCCCTTGGAGATATTGTGACGTAGAGTGATATCTAGCGGGAACAGGCGCAGAGTCAATCGGCGGCTCAGCTTTGCGGGATATGGCGGGAGCACAGGACTCTCCGTGGGTGGCAGAGTGGAGTTGGGGTTGGGTGATGTGAGGGCGAACACCCGAGCGGCGGCAAAGGCGTCTGCATATGCATTGAATTCGCCGACGGGCGTAACCTGATCGGTTCCGTCAATTTAAGCTTTTGATGATAGGAATTTACTTTTACTCACATTGCCGGGCTGGTTCACGGCGCCGCCCATGACGACGACCTCCTTCACGCGAAGGAAGGTTTCCGGGTCTTCAGCAGATGCCAGCGCCAGATTGGTAAGGGGACCAACGGCGACCAGGGTCACAGTATCGGGTTCATTCTCGCGCAGTACCCGAAGGATTTCCTTGTGGGCAGGGATCTTGGAGGGAATGAACGGATGATCGCGAGAACCTGCACCACTCTGAACAGCCTCGATTCCATCGGGATCAGCGGCCGGATCGAACAACTGCTCCCAAGCTTGGCTAGGCGTGAGGTGTGGGTGCTATGGTCCACAATCAGTCATTCTGTTCATATACGGATGCATGGAAAATGACATACGCTGTCATGGATCCCTCCAAGGCCGTCGGTTCCATCTGCGGGGTAAAGGTTAGAAAGTAGTAGACTTCAGGCAGGGAGACGCACGGAAATAATCAGCCAGCATCTTCTGGTCTTCTAAAGGATCTTCCGCGCCCACGGCGACCACTGGACGGCAAGCACGCATCGCGCCGAAGCCTTCGGGGCGGCCATTTTGGCGACGCCACTCGGTCTCGCGCTCCAGGATGTGGAACATGGAGACTGCATTGCGGAGACAGCTAATGGCAAAGGTCAGGATAGTTTCAAAGATCCCCACGGGTTCGCTACCCACTTCTTGACCTCGATGTTACCAAAAGTCAACGAGATGAGCAAGAGTTCGACCTCCTCTGGCTTGGAGGATAGAGCCAGTAGAAGGGCGAGGATGTCATCGATACCCTAATCCAGATGTTATTACATGCCATGCATCTATACTGAACAGAACCTACGGGATCGGTATCGATGATGATCTTGTTTGCCATGGCGGGGTGATGATATGACGGTGGGGGAGCTTATCGAGAGCTACCTGGAAGCGTAAAAACCCATCCATCACTAATCCGCCTCACACCTCAGGCATCAGCATTCGGGCCAACATCATGTTCCGACTTATACTATGTACTTCTCTGACCGGGGCACGAATCCATTCTATATAGATCACTTTTACTTTTCATATATCTACGCGTGGTCATCCTCCCGCGGATATCCGTGCGCCGGGCTCGCGTAGATGCATGCTCATCGGCATTTCCTTCCCGACCCCTCGTGGCGGGCGTCACGGCGGCTGCAAGGGATGCCCAGATCCACTGCCGGATCGACGCGAATCATCATGACCATATTCTCAGGTGAGTAAGACGCGCAGACGTCCAGGATGCCAGGTGCCCAGGAGGTCCTTGCAACGAATCACGCACTAGTGGCCGGGGATATACAGTAGTCGACGGGGAAATGAGACATGATGGAGACGTGGCCTGTTCGCACCCCCCATTTGTTTGTAGCTCCTCCACCTTTTGGAGATTCTAGACGGGCTGGTATTACCACCCTGGTATTAAGGGGAGGACATCTGATGGCACAGCACGCTCTGATATAGAGGCACCCGGTGTACCTACAATGAACGAGTCACTAAAATTGGACGCAATTTCCCCGAAACAAAGAACATGACCGAAACAGGTACAAACACGCCAAAGTGGCGGTCCACGGCGTGGCCATGGCAGACCCGGTACGGGGTGATACGTGTACCGTACCACGTACCACCGTACCGGAGCCCCCTCGGATCCTCAGCGTGTCCTTTTCTGGCTCGCCTTCCTTCTCCTCGTCTCTCCTTTGCTCGACGTTCCTTTTGCGAGGCCACTGTTTTTCTATTTCTGTACAGCGTGCTCATCGCTGATCCTTGTCTCCTTTTTTGCGTTCTTTCACGACCTCTGACGTCCGAGCGCAATCTTATTGACAGACACGCCTCGACCACCTCTTAGCGACTCTTCCCTACTCCGTCCAAGGTAGCGGCAAGCTCGCTCGAGTTCGACGCCCATACCTCGCATTGAGACACCGCTTGCCGCATCGCAGACGGTCGATCAATCTCCACCAGACTTCAACAATCTACATGCTGGATTTGGCTTGAAGTTCGCAACCCCCTCCGACCACCTTGCTCTTCGCTTCCCGTGTACTACCAATTCGTCTACGGTTGCGCGTGCCCAGACTCTTGCCCGCGTCCGCAATTGTCCTACTTCGCATTGATCTAGTGACTTGTGGAACAGTGTGACTTCTTCGCCTTCGACCTGAAGGCCTCCCTCCGACAGTATGTACCCGGTCATAGGACACAGGTGGATGAAGAGTAAGGTTGCTGATATACGCACAGTCAAAATGACCATGAACCCCTATATCAGCTGGGCCATCCTGCTCGTTGTGGCCGGTGGTCTCGGCTGGTACTACACCAACGGCTCGACCCCGAAGGCCAAGACCGCCGTCCGGGCCGCGGTCGAGAAAACGGAGGCCGCTGTTGCGCCGGCCAAAAAACAAAAGGCACGGAAGCCCAAACCTGCCGAGTCGGCCGCCAAGCAGCCCGAGGTGAAGACCGTGGTCTCTCCCACGACCACCGAGGATGAGCAGCCCGACGAGGATGTCGACCGCAAGGAGATGGCGCTCCGCCTGGCCGCCATAAAGAACGGCACTCCCCTGCCCGCGGCTCCCTCTTCCAAGAGTCAGAAGAAGAAGCAGCAGAAGAAGGCTGCTCATCTCGAGAGTGGCTCCCACGCTTCTTCTACCACAGGTGCCGAGGCGGATGACGACCTGTCTCCTGCTGTCTCTCCCCAGGTGAACGCCGCGACCTCGGCCGGCTACGTGTCCGACATGCTCGAGGCTCCCGCCCCGGGAGCTTCGGTGCTCCGCGTGACCGGTAACATGGAGAGCGAGCCCAAGAAGCAGAAGGTGCAGTCTTTCAAACAGGTGGAGACCAAGAAGCAGCGCCAGCAGCGTCTTAAGAACGAGGCGCGCAAGGAACAGGTTCAGGAGGCTGAGAACGAGCGCCGCAAGTTGCTCGAGAAGCAGCTGCACACCGCTCGCGAATCCGAGCGTCGCGAGGCTGCTCGCTCCCAAGCCCCTACCAGCAATGCCTGGCAGACCAAGGCTGCACCAGCAACCAATGGCGCTTCGCAGCCTCCCGCTGCTGCTCCCGTTGCCGCCGCCGCTCCCGTGCAGCTCCTCGACACCTTTGAGCCCTCCCAGGCCGCCGCGGCCCAGAAGAAGTGGAACCAGAATCTCCCTTCGGAGGAGGAGCAGATGCGCATCCTGGGCGCCTCGAAGGCCGATGAGGACTGGACCACCGTCCCTAGCAAGAAGATCAAGAAGAAGGGTGGCAAGGCCGACGAGAGTGTCAGCGAGGCCAGTGCCTCCGAATCTCAGCCTGTCCCCGTCGCTCCCCTGGCTGCTCCCGAGCCTCGCGTGACTGTGACGCCGACCTACATTCCCGACATCCTGCGCTCTCGTGAGAAGGGCCACCCGCTGGACTCGGACTGGACCGCTTGATTTCCTAGCTTCTTCCTTCCTCCCCGTCTATATGCCATTTCTCTTTTCACCTCGACCTGTATTTATTACCCATTGTCTTGATTTTGGCGTTTCGGGAGTGTCGCACAATACCAGCACCCTCAACCTATCCGGGGGGCAGGGCTGCTCGCAGCACAATTTGTGGAGAAGAGCTGCCCTCGAGAAAGGAAAAAAATGCACAATTGAGCCCGTGTAGTTGCGAATGTATCACAATCAAATTATCCTCAGAAGTACGAGTAAAGAAGTAGATCGAGTCGATCATCTTGTTGGTGTCCGACGTCACATTATTACTCGAAACGGGCTAGCGCCGAGTTCCGGGCAGCGTGGCCTGAAGAGAGACAGGACAACCTTTGTATACGGCTCCACCTGTATTTACACTCCTTCAATTCCCGACCCTGCTCTTGTGTCCTTTCACCACACCACCTCTATATCTGTTTTCTCCTCCCTGCCTTCCTTCCGCCATGGCCCAGATCCGTGGCACCGCGGGCTACAACCTCGGCCACCAGAACCCGTTCGGTGGCCCCGGCAGCGCCGATGCCACCAGCGACCCCAGCCCACTCGACGCCATCCGCGAGCAGACTAGCAAGATCGAGGACTGGCTGGATACGCTGGCCGACCCAGTGAAGCCGTACGTTTACCACTCGTCGGAGATTCCTCCGTAGTGGCTCTGTAGCTCGAGCTGCGAGCTCCCAATTCCCCCCCAAACAAGGGATCTCGAGGCATGCACTGACACCGTGTTCACTTGTTTCAGGTACCTTCCCGCGATCGGTCGCTTCCTGATCGTGGTGACCTTCCTCGAGGACTCGCTGCGCATTATCACACAATGGAACGACCAACTGCTCTACCTTCGTGACTTCCGGAAGAGTAAGCTCTCCCTCGGCTGGACCCTGGCCCACACGACTCGACCTCGGGAGCCGCACACCCCATCCCTCTTCGCAGCCCAATTCTAACGCGCTATTGCTGGATTTAGTCCCTTGGGGAATCACACACATGTTCCTGATCGCCAACGTGATCGCCATGTCCGTCTGTTCGGTGCTGGTGATCGCCCGCAAACGTACCGAGTTCGCAGTGGCTGGATTGTTGGGTGTCGTTATCACCCAGGGCTTGGGATACGGCCTTATCTTCGATCTAAACTTCTTCCTGCGCAACCTGAGTGTTGTCGGTGGTCTGCTTATGGTTATCTCTGACTCCTGGGTGCGCAAGAAGTTCGTTCCTGCCGGCCTGCCCCAGCTTGACGAGAAGGACCGCAAGATGTACGTGCAATTCGCCGGTCGCGTGCTGCTGATCTTCCTGTTCATCGGCTTTGTCTTCTCGGGAGAGTGGAGCTTCTGGCGTTTTATCGTCAGCGGGTTCGGCCTGATGGCTTGCGTTATGGTCGTTGTCGGCTTCAAGGCCAAGTGGAGTGCCATTATCCTTGTGGTGCTGCTGAGCGTTTTCAATGTGCTCGTTAACAACTTCTGGACGGTACGTTTCAACCCTGGACTATTAGCGCGTTCAATTGACTGACTATGGACTCAGCTGCACCCCCACCACCCGCACAAGGACTTTGCCAAGTATGACTTTTTCCAGATTCTGTCAATTGTGTATGTACCCTCTATCCTCCCCCGGTCATTTCGAATTTTTAACATCTCTTGCAGCGGCGGTCTCCTTCTCCTGGTCAACATGGGTCCAGGCCAACTGAGCATGGATGAGAAGAAGAAAGTCTACTAGGCTGGGGTAGAGAACAGACGATTCGCTCTTTTCGATATATTCCAAGGCACTCTCAAGCAATCGGCAATCGACAGAAACACATAGCTGATGGGAGAAGGAGAGGAGCACCAGCGCCTCCTCTCCCAGCTATAGCACCTATGCCCCTTGGGGTTCCGATCCAGTGTGGGGAGGTTTGTAATGTTCTGTCCTGAATTGTTTTCGAGAGTCACTATCTCCCGCATATCGTCTCGTCTCGCTACAAAATTGTTTCTTTCTACCCCGAGTTTTCATGCCGACAGGAATTACTGCATCCCGAGCTTGCCCGCAATTGGTTTTCCCTTTCCAACAAAAAAGACGATGTCCCGTGCACGCATGATTTCAAATATGGATCACTATGGAAGCTATCACGAATAACAGTTGTATTGAATCCATGAGTTAATTGGTTACTTTCCCCCTGGTTATCGTGCCTGCATTAGACTTTAATTTAGAGTAGTGGAGAGCCCGTTAGCCATCACGGCACCCTGTCGTAAGCCTCTTGATAAGTCCAATCCTGGGCACCAATCATCTTTGGTTCTCTCTCACGAATATATTTTTGCTTCCGAGGCTGAATTTCAGACCCTTCGCATTAAAATCCGACGGGTAATATACATGCCGAGTCTGATCGAGAGTTCTCGATTGTTTACCACCATCGCTGTCTGGTATATCGGTACATGTCTTCTTCGGGTATCTTCGTAGCATCAAGGCTGATAGGAGGCCAATAAGTGCAGTTGACCGAATCCATGGATAAGCCCTGGGAACAGACAATGGATGTATTTACTTTCTTTTTGAATTCTTTCCATGAAGAGCTCGTTTGAGGCCTGGGCAGGATATTCCAAGGTTCAAAAGGCATTCCGAGCGCTAGCGAAATCTACATAGATATACTAGGTAGAACAGCTAAAAACTTGCAACAGTGAATGTCCTTATTCAACATAGAGGTACCTACGTGCACGCAATATTCAAGGTTTTTAAATTCCAATGTTTCATCAGGCTATGTAAACGCTATGTATGTAAACCGAAGGATGGGAGGGATTATGATACAAGAAAAGGTTTCTAGGGATAGTAAAGGACAGAGGGGGAGAAGGGTAAGGATAAGAAAAAAATCAGGACCAGGGGGCCTAGGGCGTAGTGAAAAGCAAATGCTGAGAGCGAAGGAATGGTGTAGGTGGTAGGAGGTTGACGCTGGAACGTAATACCCTGCGCTGTCTTGCGTTGAAGCCAATCGAGACTTTGTTCATCTTTTGTCGTTCGGGGTGCTTTTGGTCCAGCCATGCACTTTCAATCCCACGGGAAAGAAGATCCTCGTGGACGTAGGCGGCAAGGGTTTGAAGGAAATGAAAATGATGGCTGCTCTTTTTGCCCAAACGCCGGGTAATCAAAATAAAAATCAGGTAACGAGGTGAGACAGAGGGAGGAAAGGTGAGTTGGTTTGTTCGTATGTTGAGGTTAAGGTTGAGAAAGGCCGTTAGATGTCCATGCTCCAGCGCCAGGGACGGATGCGCTCTAGCTCGCCGACCCCGACATCATCGCGGTTATGATCGTTGATCTCTAATTGTAGTAGATGGACTTTGGGTTTAGGTTCCCGGTGCAGGTTAGAAAGAGTCCTTGAGATTTGCGGGCGCGAACAATTATTTTCGCTGGTTTCGGTTGATTTGGAGACTGGGCGCGTCGTGGGAGTATCTGGATACTTCCAGGACGCGCTGAGGGACTGCTCATCGGTGTTGGCGACGGAGAACATGGAGTCGGATCGAGAATGCCGCGCATAGTCAAGATCAGCAGAGCCAGTGCTATCGGAGCGCCCACGCACTCGAGTAGCGGATGGCCGGCGTGGCAATTCCTCGTGAATGAAATCTTCGTCAAAGGCTCCATTGGCATAACCATTGCTGATCCGGGTCGTGTCGTTCTCCTCACAGTTGGCACCGCTCTGGGCGGCGCGAGAGGAACGATCGCTGAAGAGTCCACCGACACTATCGCGTGGAGATTCGTCGAAATGCTGCTTTCCGGCCATGACTCGCGCACTGGGTGGTGGTTGAAGCATCCAGCGGGTTTCGGCGCGACTACATGGCCCACTTACGATCGGCGGATGCAGATCGTTGACAGGGGGTGCTCGTGCAGTATAATATTTGGAGGGTTCGTTACGGTCGGCACGACCACGACCGGAGAAGCCAATCGACGACCCGCGTACTTCCTGGCCCCAGAGCGGCTCGTCCTCGCGCTGGTATCGCATAGACTTCCACCGCTCACCGAGCGGTTGCATCAGACCGCCACCCTTGTCCTTCTTCTCTTGCGAATCCTGGTCGGTGTTCTCGGTGGTCCAGCTATTCGTGCGCACGTTGCGGTTTCCACCTCGTCGAGCCGGAGGACCTGGGCCCAGGACGATCTCCTCGCGCCACCCTTCATTGGTGCTGAACGGGGTTGGCTGAGTAAATGGGCGAGGTTGGTCGGTGACGAATTCCCTTTCCAATTTCTCCTTCTCTCTCTGTGCTCGCGCCGCTTCCTTCCTGCGCTTCCGGCGATCTCTGCTCTCAGCACATGGTGTACAAGTGGCGTAGTAGAAAACCGCGGACTGCGCGCCCCGGTAGAGCCACATGGTGCGGGGGTGATGGGGGGCGGTTTCTCAGACTCGCTGGGATGTTTCTTCGGGGGTGGCCCAGAGACACGCTCACGACGGGCAATCTGCCCGGGAGAACTGCTGAATCTGACCCAATATTGGTTGAGTATGTCGAAGTACTGGAGTCCACATGAAGGGCTGTGAGGTGCGGATCAGGGGAGGGAGACGGAGGGAGACGGAAAGACCCGGAGGGCGTTAAAATTGAGGATAGCCCACCGACCAGCGAGGGGAATGGAATAATGGGGTACAAGGGAAGCGAGAAGGAAGAGAGCGTTAGAGGTAAGAAGGGTAGGGGAAATGAAAGGCAACTCAGGAGAGGCTCGGAGGGGGGCGAATGGGGCGGGAGTGTCACATCGGCCCAATTGGCAGATTATTAGTCGCCAGGTATTTCTGCCTGTTTCCCCCTCTTGTACGGCCCTGCTTGGCGGGTTTCTTTCTAACTTTTTACTTGGCTGTCCGATGTGCGCTCGAATTACGTAGCGGTAGGCTGCTATGTATCTCCAGCGCTATGTGATACATCCCGGGATGTTCACCCAAAAATCCCAAATGGCGGCCAGGCCCGACGGCACACTACTGTAAAATTCATGCATGAATGCATGCGTGAGATCGGGCAACAGAGCCATAGACTGCATGAGCGTACGAGGGGTTCGATCTGGATGATTCCCCTGTATCCCTGAATCAGTTTCCGTGTCTCGGGCTTGGCGCCGTCCCGCGTGGAGAGGACTACGCCGCAAACGGTTTAAGATGGAAAAGATTAAAAGCAGAAAGAATTCAGGAGGTCAGGAGGTCAGGAGTAATGTGTAAATTGACAAGCCCTCAATATGATGCAATGTGTAAAGGCGTACATGCAAGTACCACATTCCGCCTTTTCCCACCGCTGCCTAAGAACGTAGGGATATTCCCTGCCGAATCCCCAACCCAACCATATTCAGCAGTCAGCATGTCTCCTAGCTGGTGAGAGGACTTGAGTTCCCAGTGCTGTTGCGCCCCGACGCGCCCATGCCGAGTTTCGCGGTACGACATGTGAAGCCCATCTTACATATGTCGTAAGCCATTGCATCATGCCAGGTCATCGTCGCAAGTCTCGGTCTCTGCAACCATAGAGAAAACAGGCCGGGAGCCCAATGAAGACGGGCCATATGAAGAGGGGCCATGGAAACCGACGAGGACGAATTGCAGCTGTTGTTGGGACATCGTCCAACGCCGCCCAGCTGGACAAGTCACTGGCGCTGTTATCCATCTCTAGAGTCCATTGTATGCAAATATGTGTTTTCCCTAGTCCACCAACGCCCGAACAGTTAAATCAAAGTGCGTTCATGCTGAGTCCGCTCATGCATTCTTTGTGTCTCGGATCACTTCGCCCTTGACCTTGCTCCAGTCGATTTCTCCGTCGATCTTCTCGTCTACCTCGCCGCAGATGACTACATTGTCACCTCGGATCAAGTAGAGCCCGTGTTCAATCTGCGATGAGGGCTCGTCATCGTCTGGAGTGCGGATGATGCGCTCGACAGTGTTGGTAAGGACGAGGTTAGTTAGTTGATCGGTCGAGAGAAGTGTGCCCAAAAGTGTGCGGCCGTCAACGGTGAGAATGAGAACCTTCTCTATTCAATCGGGAGATCATTAGTATGTCGACTGGACTTGTCCGGATACATGGCAGGTGCTTACTGTTGATGTATGGTTGGAGAGACATGGCGAAGGATGGTATTTTTTTTTGGCTAGGAGGAATATTCGATCGGGCTGTATCGCAGCCAGGAAGACGTCACTCGTGCTTGGTGGATTGGGATTGAACTGAAAAGGCCAAGAGTCCTATTTGCGAATAGAGATCGGGTCGGGCTAGCGGTCGTCTGAAGGCTGCCTTCGTAGATCGCGGGGAGGCGCGGTTTGGCTGGAAGGCCAGGAGTGAATAGCTTCGCTTATTTGGCCAGTGACTGAAGCCAATGCCTCGTTGGTGCACTGAACGAAAGCTCTTTGAGGCGAATGAAAGCAGAGTTGGTTCGAGGTCCCGCAAGTCACTTCCGCACTGGTGATGGCCGATTCAGATAAAGGGCCGACCAGAGTCGAAAGTGTGAAACGATTTGGCGCGAAGGGTATCTTGAAATCACAATGGCAGAAAAGGCCCAATCGAGGCGCGAAGTTCAATTGACGGAGGATTGACAGGCGACTATCGTGAGGTCTTCGCGGTTGTTTGCACTGATTGGCGCGGTCACGTGTGGAGCTTAATGGTGGTCTGAGATCGCAACTGGTATCGAACATGGAACAAGATATTTGCTTTTGCCAACGATACTTTAAAAATGACGTTCCAGTTCGAGGCAATTAATTGTATAGATCAAATATGCGGAGGCTCAAAACATCAGGGCAAAGGGCTGGGGAATCTACACCTGGTTTCTACTAAGTAGAGAGCCGGTATGGCACCAAACGTTACATGTATAATTTATATCAATTCACTATCTGTGCACGATATCGCCCGCAATGTCTCATGCACTTGAATCAACCACTCAATGCACTCAGATCCAGTGGTACACTACTACCTCTACCGGCACGGTACCTGCGCTCTCCACCGGTAAATGGCCGGGGCTTGGGTAGTAGCCCGTCACCCTGGAACTTGAATCGAGGATCATCTATTCGGACGAATCCGTGTGATGACAGATTCTGTGCGCTAGATCCAGGAGATGAGCTGCCGCCGTTCGTGAGTGTGTAAGAACTGGCGTCCAGTACAGGATGAGGCGAGGGCATGGAAGACGAGCGATATGGTGGTTCACTTGTCGGAGCGAGAGGAGCTGAGGCTGGTGGAGGTGGAGGTGGAGCTGCAGGCGCGGCAGAAGGTGGTGGAGGAGGAGGTGCCGCCCCGGGTGAGCTGCTGTTGTTCAAAGCAGACCGAGCTGCTTGGGCGGCTATCGATGGCGGGCCACCGGGTGGCGGGGGAGGAGGAGCTCCCCGTGTAGTGGTTGGAGGAGCAGAAGGGGGGAGGGGGAGGAGGAGCTCCCGGACTAGCTACTGAAGGAGGCGGGGGAGGTGCCCCAGAGGGCTTGCGGGATGCAGGAGGCGGCGGTGCCTTGCCTCCTGGGGGAGGTGGAGGGGCTCGTGGAGGAGGAGCTTCTGGAGCACCCTTGCCAGATGCTGCAGACACTAAAGATGACGGCCTTCCCGCGGGTCGCGGAGGGGGTTTTTTCAAATGAGCGACCAACGGATTCACAGATGGAGCAGGTGGAGATTCGGTAGCCGGCGGCGGAGCTGGTGGTCGAGCGCCAGGTGGTCGGGGAGCTGTAGGAGGTTTGGGAGCTGGCGCAGAAGGTGCCCGGCGCGCAGCCTCGGAATCTGACATGTATGGTGAATCTCGATTGGCACCTGTGTCGACACCACCGCGGCTACGCAATTTGGGCATTCCACCGGCAAAAAGACCACCTAATTGAGCTGCTGGAGCTCCCGCCATGCCATCTGACCCAGACACTCCTTCACTGTTGCTTCGTAATCTATTCGCAGGGGGGACCGGCGGAGCGAGTCCGGAGGGCGGTTTCACTCCTCCGGGAACTGGCGGCGCAGCTCCAACCGGAGGTGCAGCTGAACCTCCTCCGCCCTTCGAGATAATCGGCGCAGATCTATCATTGGTGACAGCCTTCTTCAATCGAGTGCCTTTGTGGATATCATTGAGTAGTGCGCCCTATCGTCAAGTTAGCCACGTGCTCATGAAGCCTCCGTCTTTGCGGTCCATTTCAAATCGAGGCAAATCTGTCTTCAAGTCACATACTCGGTCCTTTGCTTCATTCTTCGATGGTCGGTTTGGCAAGTTTCCTGGAGGAGGCGGCGGGGGAGGGCCACCTAACCCTCCAGGCGGCGGCGGAGGAGGGGGCGGCGGGGGAGGAGGCATGTCGAGGGAGCTTTAAAGACAATAGTAGATTTAAGTAGAGCACCTCATGGGGTATATCAAAGAGAATCGGAGAATCAAGAGGTGGATGCTCCTTGGAAGGAAGCGCGGTTGTGTAAGGCAGAAGCAAAGACGTCAGGACGCGAAGTACGGGGGCCGGTGGACTGCGCCCGAACTCTCCGCCTTGAACCTTTCCTATCAAAAAAGGCTTCAACTTTCCTCATTCCTCAAACCAACACCACCATGAAACGAATTAGCTTGAGGGCTCAAGGGCCAAAGCCGCGAGGCCCTGTCTGCCAATTGTGTCAATTCTCTACTTCGGGCTCGCGCACTCTTCCCATCGCCCGACTCTCGACTCCAGCAAGCCGACTTTCGAACAGCAATCCGCCGCTGCAATCAAGACATAGCATACAATCATCGTTCTCCTCGCCAGTTCTCCTGACACGGCGCTATGCGTCTAAGCATTCTACACCGGATTCCACCATTCAGCAGGTCGCAGAAGAGGCATCGGCGTTGCAAACGTCGGACCAAGTGCCCTCGAACGAAGCGGTCGTGGAGGTGCTCGCAAAATGCCAGAAGATAGCCGAGGCCTTAGTTTCACGAGAAAACGATGGCGCGTCATTGAACGACGAAGGCAATGCGATCTCTTCGCTTCTGGACATGGAAGAGAAGAAACGCGCGTCGGCTCCCGCAGAGAAACGAACCCACCAAGCCCGGACCGCGAAGCTGGACTCACCACATGCGGACTCGATATCGCGCATTGCGAATGATCTCCTGACGGACAAGAAGGTGTTTATCTCCCCCGAGGCACTGGAGCACTACACCAAGATCCAGACCCTTTTGCGACGAGCCGAGCACTTCCCCGAGATTTTCAACCTGTACGCCAACAAGCCAGTCCCCGAGGCCAACAGTTCGCCGATCAAATACCTCAAGCCGAAACCCAAGAGCATCAACAGTGCTGTTCCGTCCGAGCTGGCTACCATGGCTCTGGATGTTGCCATCGCCCAGAAGAACCTGCCACTCGTGTTGGCCATCATCGACAATACTTTCTGCGCACCCGCTTTCCACCGCGCAAAGGTCTTCCGAAAGGCCGGTATACCATTGGCTGGTCTTGCAAGCGCTCCGCTTGCGTGTTATGCCGCTGCCACTTGGGCGGCTTCGGTCCAGAATACCATGGACCCCAGCACGGCGACTGGCATTGCTTTTGCGGCCTCCTTGGCTTACGTTGGCGGTACATCGTCTATGGGTATTTTGGCTATCACTAGTGCTAATGACCAGATGGAACGTGTTACCTGGTTGCCTGGTGTTCCTCTACGGCATCGGTGGTTGCGGGAAGAAGAGCGGGCGGCTCTGGATAAGGTCGCCTGCACATGGGGATTCAAGGATCCCTACATGCGGGGAGAGGAAGTCGGGGAGGAGTGGGAGAGTCTCCGAGAGTTTATTGGCATGCGCGGCATGATTTTGGATAAGACCGAGTTGATGGCCGGGATGGAATAAATGTCGAACCTATGTATTATACAGACAGACATGTGTGATATGCTCACCAGTTATCTGAGCAAATATAGCATGTACGATAGCAATTGCAAGAACTCTATTTGAAGTCTAGATGCAATTTGAACGGCTTACAAAATTTAAGGTAAACGATTTGAGACCAAGTTGTGAGATTCATATTTTTTGTGGTCACTAAACTATGACACCCTCACTTCTCGTTCCCCTAGAAAACCCCAGCGCAATGAAGCGACGGAGCATCTAGTAGACACGGTGGGGGGGAGACATGGAAGCCTTGATGACAAGGCTGCCAACGTTCTGCCAGCCCTTCTTGAGCAGGGAGACGAGGTAGTTGATGGAAAGCATGAGGTTGGCAACAAGCTCCTCCTCGGTCATGCCAACGTTGCCGACGGCGACACCAAGGCAGAGAACCTTCTTGAGCTGGAACTTGATGGTGGACTTGACGTCGTTGACCTTGTTCTGCATGTCCTCGCCGTGGCCGACGGGGGTGGGGAACTTACCGGCTGTGGAGGGAATTAGCATTTGAATTTTTCAATGGTATATCAAGACGGAAACTCACCCTTGGACAGACCGGGACCGAGCAGACGGGGAATCTGCTTGATCAGAGCCTCGGAAGCAAGGAAGGCATCGTACTTGCGAGCAAGCTTCTTGATGAGCTTCTTGTTCTTGTTCAGCTTCTTCAGGTCGTCGACGGACATGGCATCGATGCCGTGGTGCTTGGCACGGTCAAGATCGTGCTGGTCACCAAGGATACTATTATTCAACAACCGTTAGTGACAACTTCCAATCAGGTTTCAATTCCCTTCTTCTTGTCGCCTTCTGCGCTGATCGACGTTGGCGATGCAGGCATGGTCCGACTCGGGAGGGATGGCGAGGATGAACGCACCAGATGCTCATGTTGGGGCGAGGGATGGAAGGCAGCTTGATAGTGCCAGAGAAACGCTTGTCACGCTGGGGGTCATAGTTCTTCAGACCGATCTGAAGCTCAACGGTCTCGAGGAAGTTACGCTTCTTCTCGTTGAGAGAGTACTCCAGCACCTGCTGGACATTCTGGCGCACTCCGGCTGAGAGGAAGTTAGTGGTGATTCTTCTTTCATCTGTAGGTAGACAGAGCGAGGAACATACCGACTGTGATCTTGGACATGATGGCGACAGTCTTCCTAAAGAAGTTTCTTAAGGTGTGGCTCTGCGCAGAATGTCTTGGGGGAGAAGAAAATGTTGCCGCAATTTTCTCCGCTTGTGGGTGCGGTTGACTAAACCTAAAGGGGATTAGCGGTGCCCTAGAACGAGAATCGCTGACACATCAGTCACGCCTCTTATGCCTGAAAATCAAGGTGTCAATCGGAACACTTGAACAATGAGATTCTGTGAATTGAATATAGAGAATTATAGTTGGTCATATCTTTGTGTCCATCTCCATCACCAATGACACTGCGTGGGATGATTCTCCGCCTTGGTTCTCTATCAATACCGCATCATCCCATACCTCAAAGCCCACCCTCTCATACAATTGCTGCGCACCAACAATGCCAGCCTCAGTCTGAACAGTGATACTAGTCTTCGACGCACTAAATACTTTGGCTTCCTCCTCCGCGGCTTTAATAATGGCCTCGAGTAGCCGACGAGCGTGCCCCTTGCGACGGCCATGAGGCAAAACAAACATGCCCACGATCACGTAAATGATATGAGCACCTTTCAGATCGTCTGGCTCAACGAGACTGGAAGGTATCTGGTATGTGCCATCTTTAATAAAAGCATCCCAGGGCTTCAGCCCCGCGACACCAGCGTCCTCACTGGACAATGGCACTGGGCCTATCAGGGTAGCGATACCCACCCAATTTTTTCCGAGTAAGCGTTGGACCGCATCATGGGCGCTCTCGGTCTCCAACGGGTGAGGGTTGTTTCTTTGGCCATGAGATTCAGTGTCGGAATCAAGAACTGCAACAAACGTCTTGCCAAGTGGGTTCTGGATTCGGGATAGCCATATATCGGGAGAGAACTGAGACTCGTATTCGTATGTCGAGGAAAATGATTCCGGATCAACCTTGAGACCATGCAGTCGGATATTCTTGTACCGCTCTGCGATTGACTCAAGGTGCGCTGGAGAAGCAGACGTCTTGGGGATGAGGATGACCTCTCCGGAGTTGAGGTGCGGGGCAGCCATACCACAAGGTTGTAGAGGAAAGATGGTGAAAGAGTGTAAAGCGGATTATAAACTCGAGGGTTCGCAAGTGGTATAAGATAATTATTGTGACTCAACTTTGACTCAGGCCGCAACGTGGCATTGCCGTTGGTGGCTGTGCGCCGGCCTGGCTCTGGGTTGTTGGGTGAGAGTAATGAGTCAAAGGCGTTTTTTAAGACGGTCACGAAACACATTTTCAAAGAGCGTTCTTTGTCTACTAGAGGTACCTTACTTCGAAAATATGTTGAAACGGCCCATATTCATCAGAATGTCATGGGATGGTTTGGTATGGCTCACACAATACAGCTCTTTAATGGATCCGCGACTTGGCCATAAAGCGCTTTCCAAAGTTCGGGCATGCTCCAGCAAGACGGTCGGTTGGACATGCCGCCCAAAATCCAGATTGAAACCTACTAGGCAAGGAGAAATAACGAGGTAGGTGATATTTAAATTCATTCGCTCGCTCATTCCACGACAGACGTAGCGCTTATCACGCAGAAAGAGAAGGCAATAAAGTCAAATCCAAATTTTGCCAGTCCCAAATCTGATCGAACTGGCCGACATCCAGATTGGTAAAGTCGCCCACTCCCATGAAAGGAGGGGTGTCCATCCCAGGCACAGGTAGATCCAATGAAGCAGGCAAAAATATCTCAGCAGCCATCGAATCAAGAGAGGACAGTGATTCTGGAGAAAAGGAGTCACCAAAAGAAAGACCATCTAGGTTTGGCGAAGGTCCAAATTGTCCATCATCCATCTGGGAGGTTTGCCCCTCAACTCTTGTCAGGGAGGTGGCCTTGTTTGCGGATGTTAACAGACTTTTGGCCAGTCTTGACAGCACTCGATAACAGATGGCTCCAGTCTTGGTGATTGGAGCAAGCTTGCCCGTTAATGAGCATGCGAGACCAATGGCTTGGATAACGTTGTCACGGCGTGGAAGTCTGCGGCCTTTGTCATGGATAATTGCAGAGCATAAATAGGCTCCAGTGTCAAATATCAAGAATGTTACCAGATGGAATTTGGCGTTGAGAGGGAAAACGTGGTCGAAAAGTCGATGTGAGACTTCCATTAGATGCAGAGCAATGTCGACTGCAGTTTCTCGGCGGAATCGGTCGACATCGGTGCTTTTCGAGTCGTAGGTTCGAGTGAGGTATGCTTTATATGGCAACAACATCGTCATGTAGCCTATGGCGTGTAATTGGCGGCGTTGAAGGGGCAGATATAAATGCTCGTTGTCCCATTGGGTGTCTGGGTCTGTTTCTTGGTAGGCAGAAGGAAGCGAAGCAAACCACCTTTCTATATCTGATTTGAGCGATTCGGCCTGGTTGTTATCGAATGTGTCGCCCATTGTTGCTGGTACCCTTCCGATGACACGGCCCAACTCAACTTGGGCTGCAATGTGGGTGATAGGAGAAGGCGGACCATCTTCCGTAGCATGACTCTCAAGTTGTGTGTTTGGTAATTGAAACGAACAATAGCTCTGGTTGATGATGGGTGGGCGAGAAAGTAATAGTGACATTTGCCTTGAGAAATAATTAGTAGCTGAGCCGGGGACAAAAACGACGAAGGGAACTCCTTACCAGTCCCATACGTATAAAAGACACCAAATGCGCCGTCTCATCTCTATGTCAAACTCAGAGAGCACTGCCTTTGGAGAGTCCTTGTGCATCCCTAATTCCTGTGCCTCATGGATACAAGAGCTCAGAGTATGCCAGGACTCTACAAAGAGCGACTCTGACTTGAACCAGGTAGCTGTTAGAAACAACTGCTGGATTTGCGTCAGACCGCCCTTGCCTGGGGCAATGGTGTTGCTCAGCTGCTTGGCAGCGTGGTGGTAGTTTTCTGAAAGGCTTTGGGCCGATTCGCCCAATTCTGACTCGAGTCTCTTTTGAACTTCAGCATCGAGATACTGCATAGAACAGGCGCAGACTCGGATGAGAAGACAGGTGAATTCCGGTGTGAGGGGCTTGCCGTTCGCGCGGTTCAACCACCAGGCAGCATAGTCCTGAGAGAAAGCGGGTGGATACAAACAATAGTAGTTAAAGTTTATCACTCCCAGATAGCGCTGGATCAATATGTCTGAAGAAGAATCAGCCGGGAGCGTTCTGTATTAGCGTTGAAAAGACGAACCTGTGTATGGTTTCGGGGGCAGAAGCCGCAAGACATTCTTCATCTCGGAAGAGACGGCCTCCGAGGCCGGGTTTGATGAAGACAGAGCTGGCTTCAAGTAATTAGTAAACAAGAAGGCGACTAATCGATCAAGGGGTGTTTTACTGTGAGCGCGGCATTTCCAAATGGCAGGTTCTGATCATCGGCCAGGTACCCAAGGTTGCGGAGTTCACCCTTGGCAGCGAGAGCTGGTATCTCAGTACCAGGTGCCTCTCTGTGCTCATATTTAATATTTTCAACCTCCTCATCGGACGAGGATTTTCGACTACATTGCTATTAGCCATATTCTTGCCACATCAGACGTGGTACATACCTGGGAACCTCCACGGAGGCAAGTGAAGAATCAGACGGCATCGCTGCTCGTTTTTGAGGATATCTACATAGATGCGGGATACTTCTGGATTGACAATGGTTACAAGGCCACTGTCGACTGCACTGTACAAAAAGTCAGACAATGGCTCCGAACTTCCGTCCGGTGACTTGCCTTTTGCTTTCGCCGTTGGCACTCGGTGCATGAGGCCGCGGGGCGAGTCGCCTTTCCAGCTTTCGTCCCGACCATTATATAACGGAGCAAAGAGAGAATATGTAAGAGAATACCCGATCAGCATGAATCTTGTTACAGATTTAACATGGACCTTCGAAAGCCGGTGAAGCCACATTTTATCGCCTCTTTTCTCAGGCATACGTCACATGTCTCGCCCGTGACTTGCCTCTCCTGATTGGCCAGGTTCAAGTATGTAGCGACCAGGCTGCCATGAAAGTGGATAATCTGATCGTTTTTCGGATGATATGGGAGCACGAGGAATTAGAGAATACAATAGCGGATCTCATTGTAAGGTTGAAATGCCGTTCAAGGTGGGGGCTTGACAGTCAAGTGGCCCCGATGTATATAATGTACCCTCCGACGTACCCAAAGGTCGATAGAACATTGAAAGGCCCGAAAAAGATATAAAACTAAATATATCTGCATATTATAAGCCTTACAAGCTTTGGTCCCCACCCGACCGTTGAATCCAGCGGGGATCAAATCTGCAGCATAGATGAAGACATAAATCACCCTAGGGTAGGCGCCCTCGTCATATCGACATCTGACCGTTTCATGATCAATCAAAAATAGCTCCGATGACCAGCCACAAAAGCTTTGACCAAGCAAATCCGCCGATCATAACGACCGTGAAAGCACCTTGAAAGGCGTCGTGCAAGCTGAAACAGACGGGAATACAGGGGCCAGCGGGGCTGCAGCTGATCCCAGCGCTTAAGCGTGACCGGCGGCAAGGTCAGCCTCAGATGGTCACTTGCCCCTTTTCGGGGTTGGGGCGATTTTGGCAGCGTCGTCCCGGGCTGCTATTTATTACACTGTGCTCTGCATTTTCTCTCGTGCGTGTCCTTGCTGCGTTGTGCCATTTCATCTCTTCCCCGCGCCCGCCGGTAAACATCGCCGCATGGATCTCGATCGGCCAACTGAACCTGATCTCCGTCTCTGCTGAGCTCTTAAACTAAAGTATGGTGGACGCTACGTATTTCCGTGACCTGCTCAGCCCGCAGGATTATTATGCCAGCCTTGATGGCGACCGAGACTCTGGGCGGCTTCTTAAGGACAAATTCCATGATATCGATGACAAGACCCATTTCAAGCCTTATATGAAACGACTGAGCGATCCACTCACCACCAATTTCGTGCTGGACTTTGGCAACGAGGATGCATTTTGTGCGACGGACTTGGACAAGGACGAGTTCAAGCTGTTGTTAAGCAAGCCGGTACGCCAAACTGCTCATCTTGAGGAATCTACGTAAAGCTGACCCCGTCCAGCGAGCGAAATGCTTCGGCACAAGATGGATGTAGGGAGCCATTCTACCGATCAATCGATCAACATGATGCTTACTATCTTAACTACAGTAATATCTGGGCACCAGAGCAGCAGAAGGCTTCTATTAAAGTACGCCGACCTCTCCTCGAAGGAACCGCCTCAAGCTAATCGTCTCTAGGCATTAACGACGCATTACGGAGTTTCCGAGCGACTTCAGGGAATGATGTGCACTGACCCGGTCATTCCTCGCCAACAGCCGGCGGTATTGCCCAACAAGCGACACTCACGCTCGCACGAGTTCGACTCAACGATTGACCACGAGCTGGATGATGTCGAGAATGCGATTGCTCTCAAGACTCTCCCGGAGCAAGATGCCATGCATGATTCTCCCTCCTTCAAGCATCTTACATTTGCACATGTCACGAATCAAATCTGGCATTTCTCTTCAGTGGACCATGGTCCACGATGTACGTCGATTCCTCTCTGGCGAATGCGCCTATATATTGACGTGGAACCAGATACGTGTATCGGCTACAATACGTTGTTTGTAGTGCCCGATGTTCCTCGGAAAGAGATGGATAATGGGGAAGATCTTCCGGAAGGAAAGCGGATTTGGAACTGGCTAATCCTGACCGATGATGGTATATGCTTCTTTCTCATACTTAACCCGACATCCGCTGAATCCTGCAGGGACTATCATCTCGATCCAGGAGAACCCACTACCCATGCAGCAAGGACCGTTATCGACGAGCCAAGGAAAGATTCTCGATGTCGTGCGCAGGAATACCAAGTTCATCTTCTCCGGCGTCTCGAAGCAACACCTGAACGCATCGGAGAATGATTCGCTGGTGACGATCCGGGTGCGCCATTTTAGCGACAGCGGACCGGAGGAGGCCAATATTAAGCAGGAAGACGGCCCCAGCCTACTCTTCTACTACATTTTTGATGATTGGGTATCCAGTTATGGTTTGATTGCCAAGCGAGAACACAAGTACGGGGTCGCCCTGGAAAGATTGGTCAGTACTTCGCGCCCCCGGAACACCCGCCTTGAAAGGTCGCTGATCTGTACAGAGAGCCAGTATGCTCCATCGCCCGGTGGTAGATCTGATTAATGAACTGCACTGGCTGGGCCGACGACTCGCCGTACTCAAGCGGTTATACCAGAGCTACGAACTGATTATACGACGACTTCTCCAACGTCACCGCATGCTGCGCGACGAAGCCCGCTCTCATCAACCTGCGTCTTTGCTTCTTGGAGCCACGTTTGGGGAGAGAGAGTTTGCGGATGTGCGAAAGGACAGCTTGATGAGCAGCGGCAGTATTCCGGGTACGACGGACAAGCCGGTCGGGGTGATTCTTTGTTCGGCGGCGGCGGCACGCTTCGAGCGACTGGCGGATCGCATTGTTCTATATTGTCTGAGTGAAATCGAGTCCTGCTTGACGGAGAAGGAATCCTTGACGTTTTTGGTGAGTGTGTTGGTCCACGGATCGGATAGGAACCTTGGAAGCTCATGCCGCATCGGGAAATGTGCTGACGGAATCCTTTCCCTAGAATTTCAATTTGATCGCGCTCAAGGACTCGCAGGCCGTGGAGAAATTGACACGGATCACGATCCTCCTGGCCAAAGCGACGATCTTGTTCCTACCGGTCAGTCTGATGACTGCGTACTTCTCGACGGAATTGCAGGGTTTCCAGGGCGGGTACACCATGGTGGAATACTGGGCGAGCTTCGCGGTGATTTTCGTGGTCTCCATCCTCCTGCTGATGCTGTTCGGAGTGGCCAGCGACACGGTGGAAGGGAAGACGATTTATCGGTCCTTGGTGAAGACGTTCTTCAAGTCAGGACGGGAGCGGGCAGCCCGAATCTCGCAATTGACACGACGGGGACGGCAGGATTGATAAAGGACAGATGATCATGACGCGGCGGCACACTCCTCGGTCCCATGTGTTCCACAGTTGCCCACAGTGGTTCTGACTGCGTGCCCACCGCACGCCCACCGCACGCCCACAGCCCACCGGACGAGTATTACCGCAGCAAGGCACGAGACTGGACCCGATAAAGTCGGGGAACCGGCCTATCAGCGGCACGCGGGCGCTGGATCAGTGGTCGAGAATGGGCGAGGGTCCCTCTAGCCCTCTGGCCCTCTGGGGCGACGTCCCTTTTCGCCTCCGTAATTCGGATACGGGCAACAACGTGTCCTCTAGAGCGCGTGTCATCCCAACACCGCTGCCTGGATACAACGTGTATATATATAGATCGCAGAAGACCAGTATAGAGATCAAACGTGGTCCCCGTCGAAGTTCGCCGCAAGCAGAGAAAGAAAAGAGGGTGACGGAGACTACGCCCACCGCCATCAGCGTGCGTATTTCTGTAATCCAAAACAAAAAAACACCCACCTCTCCTCCTTTCCCTACTTGTCCTTTTTTCCCTTCCCCTATCAAATCTCAACCTTCTCTAAACCACCTACTACGTACCTGGTATGACACTCTGCTCCTCCATCCGACCTTTCTTCCCCTCCGACTCCCTCAACCCCCCCCAAACCTCCACACCGCACTCTTACCTCCTTTCTTCCCCTCCCTCCTATTCTTCCCTTTCTCTAATCTAACCGTCCCACCAGGCTTCGAGGCTCCGCCAACATGGGTATCACTTTCTCGAGGCTGTTTGATAGACTTTGGGGTCGCAAGGAGATGCGAATCCTGATGGTCGGTCTTGACGCCGCCGGAAAGACCACCATCCTGTACAAGTTGAAGCTCGGTGAAATCGTCACCACCATCCCCACGATCGGTCAGTCCCCGCCACCCCCTCCGACCATCGACTTCGCACAACGCCGGCTCGCATGAAGCCCAAAATCGCAGTGACGCTAACCCTCCCGCAGGTTTCAACGTCGAGACCGTCGAGTACAAGAACATTCAATTCACCGTGTGGGATGTCGGTGGTCAGGACAAGATCCGTCCTCTGTGGCGCCACTACTTCCAGAACACCCAGGGTATCATCTTCGTGGTTGACAGCAACGATCGGGACCGTATCGTCGAGGCTCGCGAGGAGTTGCAGCGCATGTTGAACGAGGACGAGCTCCGGGACGCCCTTCTCCTGGTTTTCGCCAACAAGCAAGATCTGCCGGTAAGGACGACGTTGGATTGCCTCTGTCGCGAGGAATGGTCGACTGATGCGATTTCTATAGAACGCCATGAGCCCCGCCGAGATCACCCAGCAGCTTGGTCTCCAATCTCTCACACGCCGTGCTTGGGTAAGTTCCTCTCCGCGGGACCGCATATACGGGACATCACTGACTCGGCCAGTTCATCCAATCCACCTGCGCCACCACCGGCGACGGCCTTTACGAGGGTCTGGAGTGGCTCGCCGACGCTCTCCGGAAGACGAACCGCGACTAAGCGGATATAATCACGAAACGCGGGTTGTGTATGTAGGAGCGAGAGAGAAGTACCACGGGAAATCTGCAAATGATGGATTGATGATGACTATGGCGGGAGTTCTTCGCGAGGCCTCTACGGTTTCGGTGCTTTGTGTGTTCTCTCCACGGCTTCTATTTCTCTTCGCTGTTAGCCTTCATTTGTTCTTTCTCTGGCGCCACGTCAAAATTGCTGTTTCTCCTTTTCAACATCATTGTAAACCAGCTACAGGTGGGGAGTAAACCGGAATAGTTTTAACGAGTATGACGAAAAAGATGCGGAGTTCCTAGTTTGACCGATCATCTGCAGCCGAAGTTAGCCCGAACATGTGTAATTCCTCGACCTTGGGCGTTGGCCCGGGCCCTGGCAGTCCTTCTGGGACTTTTCTTTTTTTCCCTCGATGTGAAGGTCCCCTGATTGTTGTGCGTCTCAAGTTAAGACACCCGTTCGTCAGTCTGGCTACTGTCTAGAACCCTGGTTCGTTGAAAACGGCTTTCCCCCCCGATTGCCTGGCCGACGATCGCCAACAACCAACGCCATCTCCGTCAGCGTGTGCTTCTCTCCGCATCCGTCACCTCCCCCCTATTCGACCGCATTGATATTGTATTCCCTGGTGTCGTGGAGGCAGATGTGTGATTTTTAAGTGTATCTTCTGGTCAATGTTGACAATTTGCCCGACATCATGACCGTTCAGGTGAGGAGACACTCCGCGGCCTACAAGAAACCGTCGCCCTTCAACCACAACTCCCGGTCACAGGACTCCGACGTCGAGAAACACCCTCATGCCCGCCAAAACTACCACCGTCAAAACAGTAGCGACGAAGACGATGACTCCGACAGCGGGCCCGACCAGGCCTCGTCGTCCTACCCACCCATGAGTGGCGGCGCGCGCAACTCTCGAGCCAATGTGGGCTTTCGTGTCCCCCAGCGGATAATGCGATGGCTCTGCTTCGCGCTCTTCGCCTCTCTAGTTATCTTCATCCTCACCCTCTTCCGGTTTACCATCTCCTCCTCCGTCTCCCAAGTCGCTGTCGAACTGCCCAAGGTCGCGTCCAGCAAGCCGCCTCAATGGGAGAGTTTCGCCATGCTCAAACGCTACGAGGGCGGCTTGTCAAGCCTCGTACCTCGCAAAGACAACAAACCCGAGTACCCTGGTGATAACGCAGACGGATTGGCGCTGCCGGACGAGGACAATGCGGAGAAGAAGAACGAAACCCCGCTGCATGCCAGAGACTTGAAGCCGTCCATGTCGAGCTCTGTCTTCAATCCGTACCCTGACTATACCGACTCCAACTACATCAAGAAATACGGCGAGAAGCGCGAGTGCTTTTTGGATAAAGACAACTCAGTTCGCATCCCGCGCATCCAATCCTTCCCCGGTGTCCCCAAAGGCTTCCCAGACCCCGTCATGGGCTCGAATTCGATGTTAGGAATTCGCGATGATGTCTGCTTTGACAGGTTTGGTCGTTTGGGCCCCTACGGTCTGGGATACGGGGTTAAGAAAGGTGGCAGCGGGGCCGGGTTGGAAGGCCACCGCGATGGAGCTGACCGTATCTGGGAGGATGTTCCCCCTGTGGACTTCCGCCAGGTCGATTGGGCTGACGCGCAACACCGGTGCCATGCAGCAAACAAGCATCGCTTCAAGGAGCTGCCTGAGCCTCGCCTGAACCGTTTCGTTTCCATGCCGGTGGGCGTTCCCAGCGTGAACATCGAAACGCCCGAGGACAACCGTAAATCTCCGCCTAAGAGCGGTTCGGAGCGTCTATCTCGAACCGCGGTGGTCATTCGCACGTGGCATGACTTCCACTATACCCCGGAGGATATTCTGTATATGCGCTCCGTGATTTCGGAGCTCTCACTTTTGTCCGGTGGCGAATATACCGTCCATTTCCTTGTTCACGTCAAGAATCCCGACCTCCAGATCTGGTCCGACGATGAGACATACCAGCGTGTGCTGAATGACGCTCTTCCGGAGGAGTTCCGGGGGATGGGCACCCTCTGGTCCGAGCAGCAGATGGCTCTTATGTACCCCGCGCTCGAGGAAACCTGGATGCGTGGGCTGCCTGTTCACGGTGTCTACCGCAGTACCTACATGCCTATGCAGTTCTTTGCTTTTCAGCATCCGGAATACGACTATTTCTGGAACTGGGAGATGGATGCCCGTTACACTGGTCACTGGTATCATCTTTTCGACAAGGTTGCCGAGTGGGCCAAGAAGCAACCGCGCAAGGGTCTCTGGGAACGCAACGCCCGATTCTACGTTCCCTCGGTCCATGGATCGTGGGACGACTTCCGCCACATGGTTCGCGTGCAGACCGACATCGGCACCAACAGCCCGAACAACCTCTGGAGTGCCGCCAAAGCAGCGGCGGACGGCGAAAGAGAGAAGAGTGCCTTGCACCAGCAAGGTGACAAATCTGTCTGGGGCCCCGAGCGGCCCCACGAGCGCGATATCTTCGAGGTTGAAGGGGAGGGTATCCCGCCGAGGACCGTGGACAAGGACCAGTACGAGTGGGGCGTGGATGAAGACGCAGACTTGATCGTCTTCAACCCTCTGTACAACCCCGAGGGTACGACCTGGATCCTACGCGACGATGTCACTGGCTATAACAAGGAGGACGGCATGCCTCCACGCCGGACCGCCATCATCACTGCGTCGCGTCTGTCCCGGAAGCTTCTCACCACCATGCATCGCGAGACCAGCCTTCGGCGCCACACCATGTTTTCCGAAATGTGGCCCGCGACTACTGCACTACATCACGGTTTCAAGGCCGTTTACGTGCCTCATGCTGTCTACATCGACCGCCGCTGGCCCACCAAGTACCTGGAGTCTGTCTTCAACGCCGGCCGTAACGGCGCCTCTGGTGGTGCGCGCACCGCCGTCTTCGGTGACCGCGAGCACAACTTCAGGGGCACCACGTGGTTCTACTCCGCCGGGTTCTCGCCCAACCTCTGGCGCCGCTGGCTCGGTCTCCGCGTCGACAACGACGGAGGCGAGCAACAAGAGCTAGCCGGCGAAGGTCGCATGTGTCTGCCACCCATGTTGTTACATCCCGTCAAAGATGTACAGATGGTTATCGACGATGGGGAACATGCACAAGATCGGTAAGAGAGTCATTCTCACAACTCCCAATCAACTCCAGAAGACACCATCCCCGGTGCTCTTCCCCAAACTATATACCCGCCACCCGGCCTTTGCCTTGGCTCTCTTTCCCCTGTTCTGCATGTTTTGGGTAGCTGGTGATCAGCTTGCATGGTTGCATACTTACCTTCCTGTATAATGTCTCTTTCCTCCCCTCTCAGCGTCGTATGCCCCGTTCTTTGCTGTGTTCCGACACCGCCCTCTTGTCGGACGAAAGGCGTTTCTATTTTGGTTGATAGACCATGGCTCATGATGCATTTGTTTTGATGTTGTGATGTTTTCTTTGATAGATATCTCTAAGATGGATATCGTCGAGTAATACACAGGAATACCGTGATACAATTGTTCTTCAAAGATGTTCCCGGAGATACCGTCGTTGTAGTTTTCGTTGGTATCCCGGAAGTGGACTCGTCTAAATTGTCCAAAGTCCTCGAGTCGTATTAAATTTACTCTTGTGCTAGAGGGTAGATGTAGATGTTCGATAATGTATTCATAATTCATTAAACTCATAGTATGCAAATGCCGCTGCCGATGGAAGATGGGAAATCTATGAACTCTCACAAAACCAAACTTTTCAAATCTCGACCATAACCGCATTCTAAAATGCAAATGCAAAGCCAAATCAATGTTGCCCAACAAGCGGATGCATCAAAGTCTGCACAGCAGTCTTCTTCGCCCTAGGCAACAACTTCTTTGAAACGTTCGAATAATGCGCCGAACAAGACCTCTGCGGTCCCCCCAAAGGCGACCTCGCCACAAACGAAGCCGGCGCAAAACAAATACTGCACTCATACACTTCATTCGCATCAACCCCAAACGAAAGACAAGTCCGACAAACCCTATGTCCGCACTTGGTCAAAAGCACATCGACCTCATCGCCACCGACCACACACGTATGGCAGAAGTGCGTGGGGAAGGTAATCCGCGGATTGAGCATGCGGCGCTCGATCTCGGAGGCGAGTTCTTTGCCCTTTTCGACGCGGCCGCGGAGAAGGTGGACTCGCGTTTTCAGGGCGGCTAGGGCTTCGATGTTGTAGGGATTGTATTTGTCGGTTGCCTTGCTGGTGGGTGTGTTTGGGAATGGGATGCATGGTTTGTGGAGACTTGGGATGGGCTCGAAGAAGATGACCGGTTGGAAGCGTTGAGAGACGGGTCGGTCTTCCATGCTTTTATGTTCGAGGAGCCAACGGCGGCGCAATTGGCGGTTTAGGAGGACCGTGAAGAAGACGGCGAGGGCTTGCCAGGCGCGCCATTCGGAGACTGGGTCCAGTTCTAGGGGCTCCGGGTCCGATGAGGAGCTGGAGGTGCGCTTTGCCATTTTGATGGTGGTGGAGAAGTGTGTCGATATAAAAGTTGAGGGTTGTATAAAGTAGCGAGCGGCGAGTGTCAAGACAATGTACTTCTTGACCGATCTCACTACTTTTCAAAGGTCGGTAGGCTTGACCTGGTAGGAAGGTTGAGAGATCTGATCATGAGGATGGCAATGATCGTACCTGCGTACCTGATCACAGCTTTATATGATCAGGAGCCCAAACATGAATGCATACAAGGCCAGCCAGGGGAGGGAAAATTCCGTTTCGGCCGAGCCATACGTCGGCCCGTAGAGTCCGGATTAAATTTCCGTCGATCTACCCCGGACTACCTCCGTAGAGCAGGCCAGCCTCGTTTTTCCAAAAGGTGGCGATCGCCAAGCCCCTGGGAAATGTAACATCAGTGATTGATTTGGGATCCAGACCAATTTTCCTGCTCGGTGAGAGGCCCGCCCTACCGATGTGAACCCTGGTTCACCTCGCCGACGCCACTCGGATTCGGCCGCATCTACCTGGACAGCTTTTTTGTTTTAAACGACCCTGAAAAAAAAAAAAGATAACAAAAGAAAAGTCCGGGGAGAATCTTCGGGGAGTTTTTAGAGGAGTCATGACCAAACCTGGGAGCTTGTTATTCAGGGTCAGGTCAGCATTGAAAATCGGCCTCCCGATGTGTTGTTGATAAGATCGAACTTGTAGGCGTCATAGAAGTCGATTCCGCCGTTCAGCCGTGCAAACCCGCCTATTGAGGAAATCTTTGTCTGCACTGTCGGAATGAACCTTAACTATTTCTTCATAGACTTGACTTTCCCAAATGGGACGACTGGTCGACGGCACTTTCTTTGGAACCGAGCTCGTTACGCTGTGTAGGGCAGACCAAACCTCTTGGCGGTCTTATGGTATTTGCCACGTGGTGATAGCGAACCGTATTCGTGTTGAATGCCTGATCTCCTAGTTGAGGTATTGATGTAGACGTCCTATCTCATCTCTCATACACCGTTCGCGAGCCCGCACATCGGTCCTCGGTGGGGCTTTTGCCTTTGTCAAACCCATTGCCATGGGATACACATTCCCAGGATGAAATCGAGACTCCCTTGAAATGGAAGGTGTACTCCTTTTGCCCCGAAGCACTTGCATCACTCAAGCCATTGGCATCAGTCAGGTGAACGCTCTCGGCGTGGACCACATATTCCCCGGGAAGGTATTTCCCATCTTTCTGCTTCCGACAGAGAGGTCTCAGCTTCAAACAACAAGCAACCGGGTCGGAGTTTGCGCTTGCTTCCGGCTCCACAGTCCATATCTCGATTCGCGAGCTGGCACTGCCGACACCGGCTTCCGATAGACGAAACATCGACTGTGCCGTCCGGTCCACTATGGGCCCACTCTTCACAATAGTGGGCTCCATATTCTCTTCAAAAACATACTCCCTGTCATATTCAGGGTCTGAAGGGTAGCGTGGATGGAAAACCGCGGTACCGGACGCCTCTGCCACGCCAGTGGCTGCAGTTGACCGAATGAATCGCCAGCTCCCGTGGAGAGCTCTGAATATAGCTAGTGCAGCTGCCGCCTGCGCGGCATCGTGAGTGGGGTTTGCTATGGCTTGTAGACTATTCAAGGTGCATCGAGCCTCGCTGCCACCTCCATTGTTTGCGCCATGGATATATCGAGCAGGTACAACCGGTCCAGACCGGCTATCGCCGTTTGAGAGTGTCGTCCGGGTGATCCCCATGTCTGCCGAGAAGGATTCCATCAGCCCTACATAGTCACCCATGGGAAATTGACCACGGCGAATCTCCGAGTCGGGCTGTCTCAAAATTCGGAGGCTTTCTCGTTGGCTTTCAGTCTTGAAGGACTCGTCGGTCCGTCCTTTCCAAGCCTCCCCAAGGAACCTGGATTGCATCTCCATGATACCCCAGTAAGGACCGCGGTAGAAGCCGACGAATCCTATGTCTGGCATTTCTGAGCGAAACGTGCCGCCTTTGTCTAGAACGAGGGGCAGGAACGGGTCCTCGGTTGAGTATTCTAGAGCAGACAAAACATCGGCGGGTAAGAAAGATAGCGAGTCAAAGGGCGTGAATCCTGTAGCCAGTACGATAGATGATATGTTCTCCAATGTCGTAGATTGACCATGGACGGTCTCGATTTTGATCGAAGCCAGTCTAGTGTCTGGATTAGGCTGCACGGATGCAGCCCGTCCCATTGTAGATTCGATTGATCCGGACCGAACAAACTCTGCATAGTCGTTGCCGATCGCGACCCACGGGGGTCGAAGTGTAGACTTCTGTATATTTTGAGCACCATTCATGAGTCCAAATTGACCGTATTCAGTTCCGAGAAGGGCGTTGAAATAATCATTTGTTTTCGCGGCCTTGTCCTCCGGTATCGGCCCCAGAGCATACTCTATTGGACCCGGAGGGCGGCGACCTAAGTCGTACATAGCCAGGTCCAAAGGCAAGAATGAAACGGCATCTTCAGAGGTTTCATGTGGAAGATACGTGGGCAAACTCCAGAAGGGCCGTGAGTATATGTGATAAACTGCTTGCCTCGTTCTGTCCTGAGACCTTGGGACGGTGTTGAACATTGATGAGGATTCATTGAGTGCAAGTGCAGACGCTGCCTCAATGCCCGACATGCTGCCTCCAATGACAACCACATTTCCGCGATTTGGCCAATTTCCTGGAGAAGCAAGCGAATGATTGCCCTTTTGAAGATTAGAACTATGGACAAGCTGCCCCGTGAATTGTGCCAGCCCAGGTATTTCCGGGATATACGGGCGAGCAAAGTAACCCGATGCGACAACGAGGAAGTCAAAATCCTCAGAGAATACTTCGTTTCCCGACGAATTTGTTTCATGGACGCTGGTTGATCGCATCATGTCAATTGAGCCAATTTACAGCAAGTCCCAGGGATCATGAACCAACCTTTCTTTGACCCATGATATCCTCCACCGAGAATCCGTCCCATTCTCAGCAGACCTTACTGCACCGACAACTCGATGACCCAATCGGAGCACTTCCTTCGGGATGTAGCGCTCGCTGTAAGCAGACAGGTACCGACCAACCTGCCTAGCCTGCGGAAACATTGGAACATCATCCCCTAAAACAGACTCCCATGAGAGATCAGAGAATGCCACCGTGAACCGACTGAGGTTAGTCCGCATCCAGGGATCCAGAGTGCCAGAAGAGCCGGCGTTCTTCGCCTGGGTGCCACACGTCTGATTCGGCCACAGACCACCGACTTCATGGCGGGCATCGAAGACTATTGGAGCAAATGTCCCGCGGGAGAAGTTGTGTAGTAGTGTTTTGGCCGTGACGAGCCCTGAGGGGCCAGCGCCTGGACGATTTTGTTAGCGGGGTTGTGCTCTGACATCTCTCTCTACAGTGGGAGGCTTGCCGATTATGGCGACCCTTTTGGGTCGCATGATGGCCCTTATCTCCCTGTACACCTTCTGGGTGCTAGGTGAGGTAGGCTCGTGGATGGTTGTGGTTTGTTGGTGCCAGCAAGTCCATAGGTATGGTTCAGGTCGCCCCACAGCGGGGAAACGCTCTACACGCTCGACTCAGATAGCATCTTCAGACCCCCTTTGAACATTACGGAGTCACCTTGAAGGGGCTGAAAAATATTGCGTGACTCTCTACGGGTACTCATTTATTTTCTTGGGTGTATAGGCTGTGTGAATAATGGAAACCTTGAAATTCCCAATTCGAAGGGTTCGGAAGGCTCGGCATCTGGAGGCAAGCTCGCAAATGAAACGAATGGTCACCTCGAACCACAGTATTTACAGGGTACCCCTGCTCAATATCCGTCTAGTGGATGAAGCCAGAATGCTCGATTGGGTTCGAAGGGTTCCCTACCATGGCGGCAGCTGGAAGTCATTTCCACCGATTGATAAGTGACAAGTCTACATTGGGTATGGGTATCTGGCAACTTTTCGCGGGGCACGAGAGACTTAATTGCTCAGACGCATCAGACGCATGTGAGTTCAACGAGCGTGAAGTGCTTATCTGGCGTAAATGTTATTTTGCATTTGAACAAGTACGATAGATTAGATTGCCCTTTGTGGACGAGGTCTGCATGGAGCATGTGTCGCATCCTATGACCTCCTACGTGGTGCCAATATCACCAAGCCACATCCCATCACAAACCTTCTATGCTGCCATGGGACGCGCATACAGAGTAATGGTAGGGCAGGGGATAGGAGTGCCAAGAACCCAGGTATCTTAGCGCGACTGCCAAGATCGATACCCACCACGAACTAAATGTTGGAATGAGCTTTCGCGCAAATCATGCAAGGACCATTTGTTTTGTGTCTTACCTAGGAATGAAATGAGATATCCTTTGATTGCGACGGAGCACCGACGGCACGAGTCCGTCTCGGCATGAGTATCTTCGTCAGTGCGCCTTGCGCCATGACGTTAATGCCAAGGGACCAGGGCGAGAACTCAATGATGATTCCACGAGAACCTCGAATCCAAGCCAAGACAACCATTTGGACCCCGTGGTACAGTTGTCACGGATTGACTTTCTTGGATGGGTTGTCGATCGCGGCAGTTCGTGCGGGGTCGAGGGTCGAGAGAAGTCGAGAATAGGCCTAGTCGAACTCTGGCGTGCCAGGGCTCGATAGGTGGTGCATGCAAGTGGCCCGATCAAGAAACGTGTGCAAGCCATTCAGCGACCTGGAGTTCTGGTGATCGCGCTTTATTGGGTCGACAGGCTTCTTCGACTTCTTGTTCTGTAACGAAGTTGACCACGTTCCGGTGGGTTAACGGGATTTTGTACTGGTTTCTTTTGCGGAGTTCCTCTTTCTCGGCGAACGCGGATCGTGATAGTTTGGAGAGGGTGTTTCGGAGCAGTCGAATGCCGCCGTTGGGAAATGAGTGTTGCATGTGAGGCGGTCCAAACGGGTTGTCATTTCTCCAGGGCTCCGAGGTGATGGAACGGCTGTGCTTGAGCGGGAAACGGAGTTTGGCCATGGTGAACGATGGAGCGGTGTTCAGAGATTCCTTGAACGCCGACTATTCCAGGGAGGCAGACTGGTTATATAGACGAAGAAGATTGGCTTTGGGGCTCTGGGCCTTTGCAATTATCTCCGCGGGACGTGCCGTGGTTCGCGGTATGATTGGACACCGGTCGTTCCAATCCGGTGATTTAAGATGCAGTAGTGACTTGGCAGGACCTTTCACGGGGCAGACAGAGAAACCGTGGCGATGCAAAATACAAAACTCTTTTGTCCCCCAGTCACAGGGCCACCCTTCCCCTCGGGTTCCATTGTCACTACACTGCATGGTCCCAAGGTCTGCAGCCCGTTACGTCATCTCGGCACCGCGATGCCGAACAGACGGCAACTATGGCCCGGTGGGGTCTGGGGACCCATGTTCACGTACCTGGATGCAAAGTGAGGTATCTGGGAGATCTTTGAGTCGATCGAAAATGTCGGTCAAAGGAATGCGGTGTCTGCCACGTGAGCTGTTGCCCGGAATGTGCGACTCGTCTCCCTTTCATCTCGTCTTTGTCGCTCAGAGGAGAGTAGAAGAATCTTCTATTTTGGTTTGACAATGGGTTGACTAGGATTGACGCGAACTAGCCCCTTGTCCTAAACAAGGGGAATTAATCCTCCGAGCGTATCCTCCCAAATACCGTCATAGAAATGGTTTTTGTTTTCATTGTGAGATTGCCACCGGGTGACCAAGACTGCCCAATGGATCGGGCCTAATAAGTAAATCTGAAACTAGGATGCTCATCTCCTAGATTCTCCAGCTCCTCTCGTGGTAATCCATACCGATCATCCCTCTGACCTTGTTCTCGCAGTCGATTCTCCCGGTAAAGCCAAGCAAGAAAGACCACGCAGGACACTCCACAGATCCACACCATCCCCAGACTGACCCCAAAGCCCGTCGGGTACGTCGGAGCTTCTTCATCGAAGAAAATATTGCTCGCCACGAGCCCACCGCAATTACCAAATCCGATCTGCATGGCGGAAGCGATAGACTGCTTGTAGTGGCCAGCCATGTTATTGCTCAGCCAGCCCATAAGAATCGGCTGCGTCATGTACCCGCCACCGGTGATCGCATACAGAGCAAAGTATCGAGCACCGACGGGCACCGACTTTTGGCACATCAAAATCACATAGCCGATCGTAGCAATGACGCATCCTGTCAGTGTAAAGGCGAAGCGGTGCCGGAGTCTGTCACTGGCGAATGCAGTAGCAAGCGCAATAACGGTTGCGACCAGATAGATCGGGATACTCATCACCTGTGCCCGTACCGAAGTCCAGCCCAGCTGGTGTAGGATCGTCGGTGTGAAAAAGGACGTTGCGTAGCCGGTATTGACGATGCCAAAGTACATTAAGGGTCTGCATCATCGTCAGCAGCACGAGGGCAATAGTACGCCCCTTGAACTCACCCAAGATAAAGTTTGATATCACCAAACACTCGCTTTCTTGCTGAACTATCCAGCCGGTCCATTCTGGCTTCACCTTGATCCTCTGACAGACGACGGAGCAGTAGAGCCCGCTCCTGATCATTGAGAAAAGTGGATTCCTCGGGCCAGTCCACTATCAAAAACTTGGAGATAACCGCCGTCAAAATAGTAGCTAGACCCTCAATGATGAAGATCCAGCGCCAACCACTATATCCTTTAATCCCATCCATCTTGGCAATAGCATAGGCGAGTAACTATCACCTGTCAAGTTAGCATCTCAAGCTGCTTGAGGATGTAGAGAATAAAGTACCCCGCTAACGGCACCCGCCAGAATACTAGCGCTGAAGAACACATTCAGTCGCCATTGTAGCTCGTAGCGCTTGTAATACATCGCAATCAGATAGATACACCCTGTGGATATTAACAAGTGTCATAAAATGTCATGACCTAACACTTACCGGGCATGAACCCGGCTTCAAAAACACCCAACAAGAAGCGACACGCTATCAATCCACCAAAACTTTGAGTAACACCCTGGCATATGGTGATGATACCTGACAAAAATTCCCATTGATTAGCGGCCCGCACAGTGATACAAGAAAACAGAACATACCCCATCCAAACATAATCCCACTAAGCCACCATGACGGTGCAAACTTCCTCAGAACAAGGTTACTAGGAACCTCCAAGAGAATATACGGGATGAAAAAGATAAACAAGGCGATATTATAGTCATGGTCCTTCATATTCAAGTCCTTCTCCAGTCCTTGAAGTCGAGCATTTCCGATATTAATCCGATCAAGGAAGGTGAGGAGGAAGAGAAGCATCAAGATCGGGACGACGTGAATGTCTAGCTTCCATAGAAGCCGCTTTTCTAGAGCTCGGTCGATCTCCGGTAGGAAGAACTCGGATTTGACATGTTCAATTGTCTCGTGCTCGATGTCTTTCTCAGCGCTTTCCATTTTTATGGGCAGAGAAGACTGGTTATCTTCAGATAGTAGCGGGGAATGAACTTATGAGGACCGGCAAATTCAAAGCGGACCTGAAGAAGGGATCAAAGACGAATATATAATTTTCACCAACCCGATGACTTTGTGGAATTATGCTGACAGACCAGGTGCCAGGCTTCAGTGATATCCTGCTTTCCCCGCACATCACTGGCGATATTCCGCTCTCTTCTACAACGAAAATATACCTTGGTTCCGCATTCAAGATGCCAAGCCCGACAGCGGCGTCTCTGATACCGGGGAATATGGAGTGAAATTATGTTGAAGGATTGACATTTTCTTCTGAGGGATAAGTATTCGACTAATAGATGCTTGCGATGATCAACATCCATAGCGACATGGGGCAGGGACAAGGGCATGCGCTTCATGCGACACCTTGTTCAAAGCGGAACATGCATTCCGCTTGACATCCCGGAATACAAGGCCAGAGTTCTAGGTATCTGCGGGGTAGAACAAGCTGAGATGATAAGGGAGCCAGGCTTGCATTCTGTTTGGTCTGAATGATTTGAATGTTGGGGATCATTCGGCTTGACCCCGCTTCCCCGGACGATCTGCACTGCTTTGCCAGAATGCATGTTCTCCCCGGTCTAATAGTGATATGCACTAGGCCAGCTGCAAGCTATATCTTTCAGGAGGGTAAGGATTGTGCCGAAGAAAAGCATCAGCCGAGTCACTTAAGACCCCACGTTCTTTCTCAAGGCTGGCTCCAGAGGAAAGATCTGTTCGTTTTCAGTTACATCCTTGAAGACAGTATCCCAGCGATGCTGAAGCGGACTAGGCGTCTCCCAAGCATTTTCCGGGTCTCGTAGCCAGAGGCGCAACAGATGACGTCTGTAAAGGTCAGCAAGTAAAGGCCACAATGGAACGAGGATATCGAACTCTTTCCCGGGCTCATCTCTGAATCCATTTCGAGCATGGAAGATACTGAGGTTATTTACGTATTGAACATCACCCTTCTGGAAGTCCAACGAGGCACTGTGCTTCTCTGCAAGGAAGTGCAGTGCGTCGAGCGCTTCGGCCTGGGCCTCGGTGATTGGAGGAATGTCGGTAGATCTCGGTTGAGCTAGGAACCCTGTGAAATAGCGCCTGGCATATTGGATCAGTACGCGCTCGAGAGTAGTCGCGGTAGGTGGTTGGTGATAGAGAAGTGGACGAAGGGTATATGGCTTGCTGGGATTGTTGAATCTGGGGTCATTAGCTTTGAAGGCCCCAAGGGTCGTCGTGAAATCCTACCCGTCGACTGGCCAGTCCTGCGAAAGGGTGTGTATCAAGTCGGGTCGCTCCTTCGCGAGAACGTTGTACACGTTCCAACTGCTGGAAAGATAGCTTTGTCCACCTTCTGCAGCAGGGCTCAGGCAGAGTAGAGAGACAATATCCCCAGCGTCAGTGTGAAAGACCTGTTTATCGGCGGTGTTGGAAGGTGCGCCGATCTGGGCTCTGTCAACCGTACTAGAGATGTCTTTGATATGTGAAATTACAGGAGATTTTCCATTTTGAAGTCGTGTATCCTGTTGACGGCCGCGGATACTGCCGATGTGGGCTGAGACACCGGCGTAGATGATAATATTGTCTTCTCGAGAGTAGTCGTCGACGCGAAGACCGCGAAGAACGAAGAATCCTCGACCGCTGTGGGTATCCTTTGAAAGATTTCTGAGAGTTGCATGTAGGGTAGGCAAAGGAAACGTCGACTGGTCGATGTATCCCAAGGGTTGATTCAGGGCTGCGTTTATTAGCACGAAAACCAGGGGTGGGGTTTTCAAGCGGACCTTTGAAGCTCTTTAAAGCAGTATCAATTTCGTCAAGCTGAGAATCATTCAACATGTAAATCCAATCGCTCCGGTTCTCAACTTCCTTCCCCTCCCAAACGAGCGGGGAAATCAACTGTGCGGGAAACCCTGCCGGCAACGTGGTGTGAAGCGACTCGGTCTCTTTCCGACGACGAGTACGGTCTTGATACTTGAGAAAGTCGGGATGATATTGAATGTCCGGTTGAGCAGGATGAGTGATGGTCTGAACGTTCGACATGGTGAAAAACTGGGTCGTTTGGATACCTTGTAGAGGCAAGACGATCGGAAAACAGAAAACACTTTAATATTTCCCTTCCCCACACGTATAACTACATGCTAAAGTGCTACTGGTGACGCCGTTCACTGCAATGATCACGTTTGATCGCATCAATGCCTCTTGTACGCAGATCGTCCATTAATCGGGAAACAACTATTTGTCATTATTCACGACATCGGCCCCACTCCCAACGAGCTCGCATGGGGTTACGTGGATCCAGACAACGGATCGTAACGGCTCTCTGAGAGGGACGCAACACGTACGGAGTACGGAGTCCATAATCGTGGGTAGTGCCAAGTCATTCCAAGTGGCGGCGCGAGCAGTATTCTCTAATTGTGGCGTTATGAGGCCGATCCCACTTTAATATAGTTTCACCGTGCGCCAGATTTCATCCTGCATAAGCGATCTAGACTCACTTTTCCTATTTGGGCGACGCGACGCACGTTTCTCAACGCTCGCAAAATTTTGCATCTTCGAAGCCAATGGACTGAAGCATTTGAAACCAACGCGAAGCGCATATTCAGTCCCAAGCTTCTGATATTTGACATCTGTTTCAATGTTCTGTCTGCGGCCGAAACACCGTCTCATTGCTAGGATCTACCATCTCCCGACCCAATCTATTTATCCGGACGAAAATGCCGAAGTGGCGTCAACACTCCATGCAGGTTTTCACCGTCGGCAACACTAACATTGGGGATACGTTTCGTGTTGATTAGAACTTTAATGATCGAAAGTTTGTATGGAGTACCAACGGGCTAGATGTTCTCCAGTCCCAATGATTTAGCTCCAACGCATTCAACGGCGTTCTCCGTTTTCCCCCTGCGTACGAGCCCAGCACATATTGTGGCTCTGGAGCTACCCGAAGAACGGTTCCCGGGTCGACTACTTGCACCTGCGCTATCTAAAGGAAGGAAGGGTACATGCTCAGATTGCCGGAGCTTCCATTGTCTCACTTTGCTGGTCAGGACGCGAGTATTCGCGGGCCCCTATTGCCAGTCATTGGAGTCGCACCGGTAAGTCGTTACAATTGGTCGTTGATTTGCCAGAGATGTCTGGGGCGGAGATAACAGGCACATGCGTGCCGAGGAGACATGAAGGCGACAGGGGCCAAGACGGCTAACTTGAGAAAACTGACTCGGAATTCTTCAAGGCCGACGATTGGATATCTCTTAGCCGGTACTGCGCAATTTAGGGGCGCGTGAGTCAACGGCATCCATGCTGTTCATTCGAGAACAAAGGTCAAGGCGTAAACAAAGCCCCGTAGTATCCCAGTAGCGCGTTTTCCTTTGGACCGAAATTGCATATCATTGTTGCGCCGAGGTTTACGCCATGAAGCCATCAGCACGAAAGCAAAAACCGGGCGCCGGGGGCTAGAACGACAGACAGCGATCGAGGGAAGAAGTGACCGGCATATTCTGTACGAGCTCTTATTTTTGAGCACGGGGTAGGTTCAATAGATTCAAACGCGCCCAGTTTGACTATTGAATGTTGGCCAAGGATTCTGTGATCGCGACTACTTTCCCAGCCGCGATCCTTCCTCGTAGGGCAGCTTCACCAGATAACTGGTGGCCGGTGACATGGTCCGGACTCTATCCGTCCGTACGGAACAGCCCGTGGTGTACTCGCACTCACCGGGAAAGTGATATGAGAATATAGTGCCCTGTTCGCGGACGATCCCCGACCGGACCCGAGGACATGGATCACGTAGCCAGCCCAGCCATCTCAGATCTTATCAACAGAGACGGCGCAAGCCACGGGGTCTAGCGGGTGGTCCATCCGCGGGCGCACTTACCGTGCTGAGAACCGGACCGGGAATAGGCTGCGTGACGTGATGAAGAAATGTCTACAATATTCACTGGCGGGGGAGGCGGAAGGCAAAACGAGATGGGATAGGATGGCATGGAGCAACGGAAGTTTAGGAATCAATAGTTCGAAGCAGCTCGACCTAGAGCTAGAGCTAAGCTGCAGGATGTTGGATGACATCGGGCGGGTGCAGAGGACGGGTCGTGGACCAAAACATGGCAAGTGGAGACGCCTGAATACCCAGCAGACTTTGGGCAAATCGATAGTGCCGAATCGGGATCGCTCTGGATCGTGGGCTTTGAGTGGCTTCGAGATGAGCATTGTCAGCGCGGGTCACATCTTTACCACATGTGGACTGGAATCGGCCCACAGCGAGCCAGCTAGCAGGCACCCAGGATCAATGCTCCGATGATCTACAGGGGTACCGTGGGTGGTAGCTGGTGTTGCCGGTGCCCGCTAAACCGGTTTGAGGTATTTGAATTAGGAACTCTTCATCGCCCCGTCGCACCCCATCGGGCCCGGCTTAATGGCCCCGATCTCTTGCACATTGTTCATAAAGCCTTGCGCTCCCCGGACCCGGCAACCTGGTTTCTGATGATATCCAACTGCTACACTCTCTTTTAGTCTTTCATTATACACACCCCCCCAAGTCAATCATGGGATCCGAGCTCGGTGTGTCTGCCAACTCCAAGGCGGAGTTGAATACCTCGCCGGTAAGCATCTGGTGGGTGACCTTCGGTTGCGTCTGGACCGCCGTCATCGTCGCAGGTGCCAGTTATCTCATCGCCAACCGTAACACGCCTACTATCCGAATCCGAGGCCTATGGCTGTCGCTCTCTGCCGTGCTTCTCCTTCACCTGTATGGCTGGAGTGTTCAATTCGGTCTCCTGGTTGGTAACCTCATGCCGGGAGATGTCGAGTTTTGGATCATGGGTACCTATCTGCCTTGTGGTATTGCTCTGTTCCACGCTTCCAACAGTCGCTTCCTTCACGTCGCCAAGCTTCAGAAGAAGTACATCCACCACGATGGCCAGAACCTCATCAATTCAACTGCTCAGGCCAAGCGCAACTCCGGCCTGCTCGGCAAGTTCCGTCGTCTCGACTACACCGCGAGGGTCGTGTACCTCGTCAGCATCGCCATGTTCGTTCAGATCTTCCTCACTATCCTGATGTTCATCATTTCCCGCAAGTGGCACAGCTCCTGGGGCATTCCCGGCACCGAGGTTACCGGCTCGGCCATGGAACAGAAGTCCGAGCAGGGTCGTGGCTGGGAGTGGTGGCCTGGTGTAGCCTGGCAGTTCTTCTGGTCTTGGATCTTCGCCCCTTATATCTTGTGGAAGTCTCGCAACATCCACGACACCCACGGCTGGCGTATCCAGACCATTGGCTGCGCTATTGCCAACCTCCACGCTACCCCGATGTGGCTTATCGCTCTCTACGTACCTGCCATGGCTCCCGTCAACGCCGTTTGGTTGCCTCCTCAGTGGATCGTTCTTTCGATCTTCTTCATTGAGATCTTCACCGTCCTCCTTCCTTGCTGGGAGGTGATGCGTGCCGGCTCACTCCGCCAGGAGACTCTCGATACGATCGCACAGTGGGAGCGCAACAACAAGGTCGCCAGCACCGAGGGCAAGTCTCTCGCCTCCGGCTCTACTTTCATTGGATCTATCATGTCTGGCTGGAAGTCGATGAACGGCTCCGTCAAGTCCAACGGCTCCACCGACAGCATCCTGACCATGGGTGCTTTGGAACACGTCCTCGAGCGCAACCCCATCCCTCTTTTGGAATTCTCCGCCCTCCGCGAATTCTCCGGTGAAAACATTGCCTTCCTCATCAGCATTGCTCAGTGGAAGAACAGCATTCCCGCCGCTGTTCGGAATGGCACCACCGACGGCAACTCGAAGGATGTCATCCGCGAGTGCTTCAACCACGCCCTGCACATCTACGCCGAGTTCATCAGTGTTCATCACGCCGAGTTCCCCGTCAACATCTCCCACCAGGATCTTCGCAAGCTCGAGAACATCTTCGAGAAGCCCACTCGCATCCTGTATGGTGAGAAGCGCGACGCGGATGTGGTCACTCCCTTCGAGGGCGCCGAGTACAAGGAGCCTCCGTCGCCAACCTACTCCACAGGCTCCGAGAAGACCATGAACGTTTCGGCCGATGCCATCAAGGCGCGCGTGTTCTACTGGGGTGAGATCCCCGAGGACTTTGCCGCTTCCGTCTTCGACGAGTCGGAAGAGAGCATCAAGTACCTCGTTCTCACCAACACATGGCCCAAGTTCATCAGGTCTCACCGATCCTCCCTCGGCTCGGTCGAGTCTCTCGAGGCGGGCAACGGCGTTCTCGAGATGGTCCATGTCCAAAACGAGAAATGAGCATGGCCTCCGAAGTAGCCGTGTTTGGCAGTGTCTTTTTACCGTCTATTAGCGTTGGATTATAATCTTCTCATTCTCTGTATATATTTCTACCTTGATCTGTTACTTACAGTTCCTTCACCACACGATACCAGATGTTCATACTAATCGATCACGATCGCTTGTTACAAGACTTTTGAGTTTCTCAAATCATTATTTCTTTATGTGTACCACTCTGAAAACCATGTCTATATTATATTTCGGTACAATTCTTGAAAATAAAAAAAAAAAAAAACGAAATCCACCTCGTGGTTAATCCGAAGCTTCAACAGTAACCTTGGAAGTTAGAAAAACGCATGTCCGGTCCAGATTACTGTAAAAGATCTCAGATGAAAAAGGCAGCTAGCCAATGTAACAAATTTACATATTATCTTCGCATCAAGGCATTGTAGTAAAAAGAAAAAGTCCGAAGGATTGAATCAAACTCATTCAGATTTCTACTTCATGTTTAAAAAAAAAAAAAAAAAAAAAAGAAAAAGTTGGCAAGACCCCCATTCAAGGTCCCGATTCTCGGCCGGTTGGGGTTCACGGGACTTTGTTGATGCTGACCAGATCTCCGCCGTCATATCGAATACCCAAAGGATTTAGCAACTTTATGGCAGCTTCTTCGCCGCTCGCAAATGCACCATGAACACACCCGCCGCCTGCACTGATCAAATGCTCCCCGGCAAATTGCAGTCGGCTATCTTTGTGGTTCTTCAAGGCATCAAGCAAAAGGTAGGGGTTGTCTCCGACCTTCTCGATGGAGTAAGTCCCAAAGCCAGCTAGGGGATCCTGGGTCCAACGAGTAGTCTCGATGTTCACGAGACCCGGTAGTGCCTTATATGGCTCAGTTCGTAAGAGCAAGAAGAGAGGTTCAAAGAATTTGTACAGTTCATTCTTGTCCGTCATGGCCTCAACACGTTGGGTCAGCGGCTCCACGATTTGGACACAGAGCTCCTTGCTGTCGGCGACCATGGTCAAATTAACCGTTACTGTTGCGTGGTTGAGGATGTTATCCACGCTATTGTAGCCGCTGGAATCGTGGGATGAGGCAGATGACCCATTTTCCACATTGTTGGTGGCGTTTTGCCCAGGAGAGGGATAGTAGATGAACTGATCATTGTTTTTCGACCAGAACACCTCACTGAACTCGAAGAATACTTTCCCCAAAGCTCCATAGCTGAGATTGTTAATTCCATTCTGAATATCCTTAGGAAGAGGAGGGTCGAATGAGATGAGCTCGTGGTGGAAGGTGCCCAAGGGAGTGGTGATGACGATGGCATCCCCGATGATGGTCTGCACCTCGTCATTCGGACCCTTGCATCGCACACTGACCGGGTTAAGGCCAGTCTCGCTCCAATTCACATGGGTCACCAGCTGGTTGAGCTGGATGGTGTTTGGACTCTTGCGCAAGGATTCGGCAGTCCAGTTGACGATAGAGTCATAGCCGCCTTTCATATACATGTTGCGTTCGGTCACAAAGTAGCTCAGATACTTAGAGGAAGCTTGGGACGTGCTGGTACCAAGCCACTGCTCGACTTCTTTCACGGCCTGCGGAGCCCAGAGCCGTTCATCGTCATTAATCAGCTCGTGTTGGTTGACAAACTCTTGCACAAAGTCGTCCACCGACTTGTCCTCGGCATCGGGATTGGCCGTGTAGTACCAGTCCACGTAGTCCGCGAACTCGTCGGCCACTTTTTTGGCCTTGAACTGGGCACCCGCACGGCCATGCGAGGTATAGTATAGGGGGGCACCGTCATCATAGTAGTATTCAATGCCAAGTTTCGGAATCAATTTCACGAGCTTGTTCTGCGACGTCTCGTGCATCCAAGCCGCACCTAGGGAAACGTTTAGTCCAATTCAGAAAAGGAGGGCATTCGTTTTCGGGGCTGAAACATTTTGTTTCAGCTCCAGCTCCCTACTCAAGACTGTAGTTCAGTATCAACTAGAATCCTTGGAACATACCAATGTCCCGCGCTGGCTTTCCTTCCGGTCGAGTGGTGCAGATACGGCCGCCGATACGATCGCGACCTTCCAGGACGACCACTTCCAGCCCATGGCGCTGCAGAACGGACGCAGCGCGCAGACCCGAGATGCCAGCACCGACCACGATGACTTTTCTCTTTGGAGTCTCTGGAACTGGCAAGTTCGTGTCCTCCGCGTGGGCCGTCACGAGAATCTCGCTGCCTGCTTTGGTGGCAGCCAGCAAAGATGAAGCATGCGGCTGCTCATTCAGGGCAGAATGGAAATTATCGGGTTTTCCGGGATTTGAAGGGGGCGTCGAGACAAATGAGAAACTTTGAGACATTTTCAACTGGCAAGTTGACATTTGCAAGTAGAAAGAAGAGACAACAAGGATTTCTAGCGCACGATATCGACTATCGTGTGCTGGTGGGATGAAATAGTAAAAATCTAGAACTAGATAATGCTTCGATAAGGCTCTCTTTCGAACTGGTGATAATCCAGCTGTGTTTGGGGGCGGGAGATACAGGTTCAAATACGGATGTGATTCAGCGGGACCTACAGCTATGAAATCAATACAACAACGCTAAATTGCAATCTAGAGTGCAACCCTCCGAATGATCAAACATCTCCGGGAAGTTAAACCTTACTAAAAGCGGTATGTACACGCGGTAGCCTGCAACTCCACTACCGCCCGGCCTAAGCGAGATAAGACAGTGACTCGTGTGACTCAGGAGGGGGCACCTGGTCAGATCATTCCAAACTAGCCGCTTGACTCTCGCCCTTTTGTTCGATCGCAATGTCGTTTCCAGCCGAGGCCCAAAAAGCTACGATCTGCAGGCCCCACTCAAGCTCAAGTCATTCTACATCCTGGATACTTTGTCTAGGTCACCTTACCGCCGAGTATTGATCAATAATTTCCTTTCGAAAAATACCTATTACGAAAACCATAATACGGGGGCAGCATGTGTTGCTCGAGATCCTTCGGTTGTGAAGTTTCATGCGTAAAACAAATAGTAGTATGATAGCGCGCGCCAGATAGATACAAGAAGATGATTTCACTATTTTCCATCCCGAAGATGAACAAATTTCTCGTACCGGGGCTTTGTCCACGCTCTTGAAATACTCCCCCAATAAATCATGGGCGCGGTGGTCATCATGAACACAAAGCTCATGACACCCATCGCGATAAACACCTGGCTGACACTCTGGACCGCCAGCCAATCCCCTGTTCATATATTGCTTAATACGGGGTCTTATCGAGTTCAGAATGACACTTACCTGCGACGAAAGAAAAGATACAACCGATAGTGTTGTTGATCACCGAAACCCCCACCATACCCTCTAGAACCATCTCGGGGTACGCATCCTGAAGGTAGGCCATGCTCAGATCGCCGGCACAGCCCCAACCAAACCCGATCATACCCAGACCGACATACGGTCCAGGCCAACTCCAACCTTTGTCAGAGCCAATTCCAAAGAGCATGAGGCCGGCGGGGCTTATGACCGCGGCTGGAAACATCAGCCACAGTCGGTGTTCAGGTTCGAAGACGTTGTTGTTTCGCTTGGCCATCCACTGAACAAAGGTATCGGAGAACCATCCACCGTATATGCAGCCAATAACGGCGCCGATAAGGGTCGACACATTCATAATGGCCGCCGCATTGTCGGAATAGTTCCATGGGGGGCCTACCCAATTATCTTCTTCAATCGTGAGGTAAAAAGTAAGCCATCCGTCCTGTGCTCCCCATTGCAGGCCAGAATACCAGACAGCTGGGAAGCCAAAAACTTTGAGCGTGTGCCACAAGGACTCGAGATACTGCTTGAAGCCTGTGCCACGCAGGGTAGGCGATGGCGTGACCAATGCAATCTGCTGCAGGTAGGATTTTCTAGGGTCTCGTGAGCCGTTTTCAACATCTCTGGTGGAAACCACTGATGTATTTCCTGTGGGCGTGGCAAATTTCTCCAAGGCCTCTGGAGTGGTGGCAGGGTGAGGCGGAGAAGGGGGAGTAACGCCTTGAAGCGCAAACTTGCGGTCGAATGTTGTTTCTTCAAATCCAAAGTAAAATAGTATGAGGGTAGCGACAGACAAAATCGCCCCAGCCCAGCCAACCCAGCGCCAACCGGCATTATCAGCAATGAAACCTGCGATTAAGGGACCTAGAAATGTCCCAACACTCGTGGCGAGAACGTAAAGACCCATAGACATACCGCGTCGATGCTGATAAAAGAGATCCGAGAGTGACAATTGCGCCGTGGCTTCGGCGCATGCCTCAGAAGCGCCAACGAAAAGCTGGTTCCAGAGGGCATCCTGTGTATTCTGGGTGCGAGCCATCCAGACCGAGCCGATTATTGACCAGAGTAGACAGATAATATACACCATTCTCCGGCCATAAAGCGATGGGATAGGAGCGAGTAGCAAGGTTGCATATCCGATACTGAGAAAGAGAATCCCAGATGCAGTGTTCATCGCACCCCAGGAAACTCCCAGTTGAATGTTCATACCATACTGGGCGGAGCTTGCATCATTGGAGGTCGCGGCAGTCAGACCGACGATAAAAAGTACCAAAGAGGCATGCCAGTATTTTCGCCACGTAGACCAATTTAATGGATCATTGGGTGAATCTGTTGGCTCCGGGTATAGAACGATATCTTCACTTGTGTGACCTACATCATCATCCGCGGCAAACGTATCGTGGCTACCTCCCTGGACGTTATCTGAAAAGGACATGTTGGTCACGAAAAAGGAAGATAATTACTACCTTCACTGCTCTTCGGGAAACAGAGAGGAGGTACAAAAAGTTATAGAAAAAAAGGTATAAACAAGGACAGGAGGAATCAATTCCTAGAATGCGTACTTGACAGCGTTCTACAACACTGATGACGGGGTATTGACCACTTATAAGTTCAGCAGTATAAGTGATAGTGAGGGGTTCAACGATACGATGATCGGGATTGTGACATAGATTACATACGGATGACCGGTCAAGCTAGTACTTTAGGGTCAACAAATCAATGAATATAGACTTGTTTACCGCATTCAAGACCATGACGCACGAAAAGGGCATCTATCAAAAGTCAATCCCAGGATCAATTTACTGCGTCAGATAAGAATATACTTTCTCGGCTCTGGACAAACCGTTTGAGGCAAGCATACGGTCCGCGCGCCTTTCGCTTGGACTTTCTGTATATGACAAAGAAAATAAAAAATCCAGAAATACACGGGGAATATTAAAAGTTAAGATTTTGAAACTGTCAAGTCCGACGTAAGATGCCTATCAATAGGGCCACCCGATAATTTGGCAGTCATTCCGTTGTGGATAGTGCTAGCTGTCATGGCGCAAAGACAGAGACTAAATAGACTACCGAGGTAACATTTCGCTGATTGATGGGAGGATGGACCTGCTCAAAGAAGCTACCCCGCTCTATTTCTGAATCAGGCAGGAACAATCAATAGTTAGCTGGGGTTCAGGGGCTCGGAGTCCCTTCTGACAAGCTTTTGAAAGTTCCTTGGCACTGCAAAACCCAGATATAGTGAATGGGCCCTCTAGATGAACAATAAAGTAAAAGAAAATTTAGAAAGGTTCCTCCTATCCCATCATGTGGGTCCGGGGTAGGAACATTATCAGAGCATCTCCATTGTGAGTGAAGTGGAAAGGCAGTTGAGCTTGCTCACTGTTTTAGTTATTACCGTACTTTCTTTTTTCTGGTCTTACCGGACAACAAGTTCAGGTTCTGACTACCGCATCTAGAAAGGGGCTTGTGTATTTAGCTTATATCCATGCCGCGTGATTGCCGCCTTTGGGGCAGCCGATGGACATAAAGAGGAGACCGACCAATCTGAAAAAGATCACAAGTAGGCTAGCTTTCTACGGTACCGAACCCTTGCCACGCGTAAGCCACATGACCCCGCAAATTTAATTATCAAAGGAAATTCGGTGACTGGCTGAGATTACGCAGTTGATAGCCCACGGTTACATCCAATGTCTAAATCTGGAGAATCACGATAGCGGTGGATATTGCTGAGACTTGCCAGGCCGAGGAGACTCTGGAGCTAGATCCCTGAGACCAATTATAGTACTGTAAAGCTATTATGAACCTAGTTATGAACATAGTAGGATGTGAATAAGTATTTCGCATCCAAAGGTCTGGAAAATGGAAGACTACCTGGAATTTTCCGGTCTTATGTCTGCACACTTATCGGTTTTGGCTTCATTATTGCCTCGATCTCCAAAACGTGATCCATTGCACCTACATACGGCGGGCAATATCATCCACTCTCTGGGTTTGCCTCACCTCGATACCGAAAGGCCCTCAGTTGCATTACATGTACCCTTGTGCTCTCTCAAGCTCTTTCATGAAACGTGCATACTGATTTGACGTTTTTGTTGAACAGGCTAGTTGTCAGTATTGGCATGGCAATCCGGGACAGCTTGTGGCTCCTACCTCATGGGAACAATAATCCAACGGCTGATCGGCTTTCGAAATCGAAGCTATGAACCTCAAAACTGAAAAGGAACTCTACTCGTCTTTGTAACGGTTCTGGTGATCTATATCTTCAATGTCTGCGCGGCTGATTCGATGCCAGTCCTCAGCAACCTATAGATGAATCTTCACGTTCTGCCCTGGGCAGAAATTTCGATCTTCATATGTGTTATGGCCTGTCGCTAGTCCGCAGAAGCATTATTTGTTACCCAGTGGAAGAATCTTGGGGGGTGATCCACCATGGGGTTGAGTTTGATGATTGACCAAATCTCAGCTATTTACGGCCATGATACGATTGCAGAAGTATCCCCATGCACTTGAAATAGATATGTTTAGACCAGCATCATCGACTTTCTCAGACATGTGTGCAGCTGCATCAGAGCCTGTGTTCTTGGTAAGCATACTTTTTACCCCCATTCAAGCTGAAGCCACTCAAACAGCAGCTACCCTGCTAATTACTTACCTCTTCGCTACTTCATCTGTGGAGGTTTCTCTCAACGATGTCACTGAATTCTCGTTCCTCTATGTCTTTAAACAGGCAACTTGGACAGCAAGTGTCAATGGGCCCATGGCAATTATTTTCTTGGCAGTCTATTGTTTTGCGTTACACGAAAATTGAACATGATCCCCGACGAGATAAGCGCTAGATCACTGTGCTGTGTCTAGTTTTTTCCGGCCACGTTAAAGCAGCGATGACCTCTAAAATACCACATTCTTCATGAAAAGTCACGCACCATTTGCTTTGATTGCCACCATGAAGGTACATTCTTACACCATTGCCAAGCCACTAGCCCCAGGTCAAGACCAACCTCGAATTCGGTCCATTCAGCTCTCTAGGTTTTCATTGGTATGGGAGGCTCGAAATTGCAGGTAAGAAGCCTCGATTTTTGCCACGATGGGTCCTAGCCACCGGTGGTATCTTAACATGCCAGCCTTACATTCTTGGACTAGCCACTGACCGGCGTTCAAAATGTCCTGTATACAGTAGACCTACAGCCCAGATCGTTTCAGACAAGAAGCGCATAGTATTTCCGATAGATAACAAGCAAGTTTACCCGACTTTCAGCGACTAGATGGCACTTTTGGTGGATAAAAGATAGCTGGCTATTCTGCGCCCCGCTGGAGCATGATTGTACACGCCAAAGACCAATGCGATCACATCACCTGTGGCAAGCTCTCGGGCCGCGCTTTAAAATACTATTAAATTAGCCATTGTACCCTCTAAGGAAAGGTTTTCTGAGTAAAAAATTTCACCATGGCAGAGGAGCAAAACGACATCAGCAGTAAGATTCTGTATAGCTGGAACATCAAGTTCGTGATGCTAACTAGTCAGAGCCCTCCCTCCAGGAGTTCATTATCTGTGAAAATGTTTCAAATTCCAGCATACAAATCAAAGAGACGAATATTCTACAAGGCCGCACCATTGGTACCTGGGGAGCCATCTCGCTGATTGTGAACAACATTATCGGCGCGGGGTATGGTAATGCTCTCACTTGGGTATTGGACCGCTATTGATTTTGAACAGAATATTCTCGACTCCGACGTCAATCTTTAAACTCAGCGGTAGCCCTGGCTTAGCTCTGATTCTTTGGGTCATCGCAGGTATTATCTCAACATGTGGCGCCATGGTCATGTTGGAGTTTGGATGCAGTATTCCAAGATCAGGTGGTATGAAGGTTTATCTTGAAAGATCTTACTCGCCGAAGCTATTGATGACGTGCATTTACGTCTTTTACTGTGTCTTTTTGCGTGAGTTGCAAGCTCTTCCTGTGTCCTCACTTCCGCTTGTTAATTTCCATTCTTCTTCCGACTCAGAGACCTCGGCGAGCAACGCATTCACAATCTCGTCATACCTCCTCGAAGCCGGTGGCGCCGATACGACAGATTGGATGCTACGTGGATTGGCTATTGCTGCCGTCTCATTTGCGGTGGGGATCCATACCGTGGCACCACGAATTGGAAGAGGATTGCAGGATATCCTAAGTGCTGTGAAACTATTTACCCTCTTTTTCATCGTGTGCACCGGATTTGCTGCGTTAAGAGGTTATCTTCGTGTTCCCAAACCGGATAACCTCAGCGCAACGACTTCTTTCCAAGGAACCTCCAGCAGTGGCTATAGCATTGGGACAGCCTTGTTAAATGCTGTTTTTTCATTCCAGGGATATGACAACTTGAATGCGGTATGAACGGGGAAGCTGTCATGTCACGAGTACTGGCTGATCTCTTCTTTAGGTCATGTCAGAAGTTAAAAATCCCCAACGTACTCTCCGCATCGCTCTGCCTACTGCCATGGGCATGGTAACTATCCTTTATGTTTTGGTAAACATTGCATATGTACGTCGTCGTCGATTGGAAAGATGGAGTTTAGATGCTAATCATAACTAACTCCAGTTTGCGGGTGTCTCAAGAGATGAATTTCTGGGCTCTGATTTAACTATTGCCGCCTCGCTTTTCAAAAATGTCTTTGGCCAGTCTGCAGCAGTGAAAGCCTTGCCCGCATTGGTGGCTATCTCCGGTATCGGCAATCTCCTTAGTGGTGCTTTTACCGTTTGTACGTATCCAATATCGCCCGCTCTATTCTTCAGAAACGGATGGCTAACACCAGAGTAGCCCGGGTTATTCAAGAACTGGCGAAGGATGGAATCACTCCATTTCCAGACTTGCTCATGCAGAATTGTCCATTCAAAACACCCATAGTGTCTCTTGCTATTCATCTTGGAGTCACGATCGTTTTCATCTGCGCTCCTCCAGCACACGATGCCTTTAATTTTGTCGTTAGACTCGGCACTTACCCGGCGGTATTTCTCTTGACCCTTGTCACTATTGGGTTAATTAAACTGCGTCTGTCCAAAGGCGAGAACTTCAAATCTTCTTTTACCGCCCCGTGGGCTGTTCTTGCACTTTATCTTGCTGGAAACATTGTAAGATGATCTCCCCACCAACTTATTTTCACACGCTTATCTTTATAGTTCCTACTCGTGATGCCTTTTGTTCCGCCAAAAAACGGGAAAGAAAGCACGGGACTTCCATATTACTTGTCTCCTGTAGTTGCGATGGCCATACTTGCCCTGGGGGTCATATACTACGTCATTCGCTTCCTGCTCTTTCCCAAGATCTTTGGTTATGATCTTGATTTGATGACTGTTGACTTGAGTGATGGATCACAGGTCTCAAGATACAGGACGAGAAAGACCAGGGGATAAAGGAAATATTGATGTTCTCTCACACTCAAGATGATATGGAAACCATGATCCATCAGATTTACTTACTGGGTATGGCTAAGGAAAATCCGAGCCTCCTAGAAGCGCGCCGTACACGCCTGTATTAAAGAGCTAAATATCTGCCTCGTATAATATAAACCAAAATTACAACCCCCTAAATAGTTTTCAAGCATTTGTCAAAGCAAACATCAGCATGGAAATTACCGAGTGCTGACGTTCTCAATAGTGACAGCATCAGGCTTGTCATTTACTTCACGGACTTCACTTGAAATCTGCATTCCTTTTTGGTGCGCCAGCACTTCCTCACCCTGCACAACGTGGTTGGCGCCACCAAACAGAGCATCGATCTCCTCAAGCGGAACCTGCTTGGTCTCCGGAATGAAGAAGTAGACGAACACGGCGAGCAAGAAGTTGATTCCAGCAAACATGTAGAAAGCATAGAAGCCGTCGTTGTCGAGAAAGATGGGGAAGAACTGCTGGAAGATGGTGTTGGCAACATTCTGGGTCTGCGACGCCATGCCGACTGCTTGTGCGCGGACGTTCATGGAAAAGACCTCGGATGTCCAAATCCAGACAGTTGCACCCCATGATGGTTTATCTTTGGGATTGTTAGTAACAAGAGCTTTCACAAATACGGACGGAAGGACTCACAGAAGAAGATGAATAGGAATAGAAGGAAAACAGTCGATATGCCGACCGGCATCGACTTAGCGCCATCGGCCAAATTTGGTGTTTCGGTTTCGACGGCGGAGACAATTATCATGCAAATACCCATGCCGATACCACCAACGATCAGTAGGAACTTCCGTCCAAATCTATCAACGATCCACACGGCGTTCAGGGTGAAGAGGATACCGAAAGTAGCATTGAGGGCGTTGATCAGGGCAATTTGGCTATCGCTGCTAAACACCTTCTTGTAAATCTTGGTGGAGTACGAGTTTAGTGAGCCTTGTCCAGTAAGTTGTTGGCCAGCGTTGATGACGAGTGCCAGTAACATGCGCTTGCGGAGAGACTTGTCCTTCCACAGGGCGCTGTAGTTGCCCGAGATAGCCTCTTTTTCGTACTCGATGGCCTCGCGGATCTGAAGGATTTCATCCTCCACTTCCTCTTCACTCTCTCGCACTCTTCGAAGAGCGGAGCGTGCCTTTTCGATATTGTTTCCACGTTTAATGAACCTAAGAGTGGTTAGCGGGAATATCAAAATAAACACCCGGGTGTGCGAAAAGAACGACTTACCAACGAGGACTACCCGGCATGGTTGGGAGAAGTGCGACGATCAAAATGGGGACCAAGAGCTGGAAGATGACGACCAACTTCCAGTCCCATTCACCCAGCCTTTCAACGTGCTTGGTGCAAGCGTAGTTGATCCAGAAGCATATGAAAGATCCAACAGAATAGAACATCTGCCAGAACGTCATGATCTTGCCTCGGATCTCTGGCGGAGCCAGCTCCCCGATGTAGATGGGTCCTGCGGCTATGAGACGCTAGAGTTAATTGCCAGTTCATGAAACAGCAACAGTTCCCATTGGTAAAAGACAAGACAAACTTACTCAAGGCAATACCCTGACCAATACCGATGATGCATCTGCCCGCAAGGAAGCAAGCAAGGCTGTGGCGGGGAGCGAATGTCTGCATGAATGTCGCGGCAATAACCAGGACACAGCCAGTGGCCATTCCGACCTTGCGACCAAGGTAGTCTGCCACCGGTCCTCCAACGAAGAATCCACCGAAGATGGCGCCAACGGTGTATGCGGTGTTAATGGAACCGATTGTCGCCGCGTTCGGCTGATTGAAGTAGGCCATCCAGTTGTCTGATCCCTGAACCGAGTTGAAAACGGATGCATCGTAGCCGTACAGCACCATGCATGCTGCCGCCACGAGCGAGATGAACCTGGAGAATATCGTTAGTTGGGTTTCTTTGATTGATTATTTTCAGTGCGTCTTACCAATTGTAGGCCCGCTTGGAGCCCATGTCAAATGACATTTCGGCGAGGATCTAGAGGATCTCTAGAGTGATTATTGACAACGGTAGCAGCGATAATGAATAGATGGTTCAAGTACTCTCCACCCAAGGTCAGTCGAAGCTAGGTAGTCGTTGCAAGGCCAGGCTAGGACAACCCTATAAAGAGTCAGGAAGAGAAGCAGCTCACAGATTTCCGGGGACGCAGAAGAAAAGCGGAGTACCCCAGATATATAAGAGCCCATCATGCATTCTGAGGGTCGGAGGCAGCTCAGAGCACCCTAAGCGAACAGAGCCACGGTACCAATCAGACGATGTTCGAGGACGCCGCCGCCAAGAAATGCCAAGCACGACTTGCATTTTGATAACGGCAACCATGGCACTCGCGGATCCCTGAGTGGTGGGGTATTCGAAAAGTTCCACACATGTTAAACGAGATCATGCGCGTGCGGATCCGGGGTAGCTTTGATCTGGGGTTCGAGGATATATTGTTCCGCAGCGCGATATCGTGTTGATTTCCACGAATCAGCACCTTGCCGGACCGGGGGTTAGGAGAAAATAAACTCCACCAATCACGGTATTGCGAGGGGTCCAAATTAGACTTGGAAGTGCCGGGCTAGAATCTGGTTCGCCCTGCATCAGGCTGTTGGCATTCAACTCGCTTCAGATCAACCCTTCTCTAGAAGCAAAAAGTGGATTGCTCTATACAATAAAATGATACTACGCCTGGGCAATTATTGACCAGCACACTATTCTAAACAAATTGAGTGTGCGAGAATCCATTACCCTTGTACGTCACCAACTGCCCAGACCCATGAAGATGCAACTTCTTTGTTGGTTGCAGGGGTTGGGGGGGGTAGGGGGTAGTTTCAATAAATCTCAACTCACTTGTATGGGATGCAGGTCCCACGGATGCAAATGTGACCGACTAGTTTCAGGCTACTCTCGTTGTTGAGGCTAAATTTACTACCGTGATATGTCAAATTTTATTCTCAGTAGACTATACACTGGTCCGAGATAGATCTAGACACAGAATAGGGCTGAGGCGAGTCGAAGTAATTCCGCCTTCGTCTCGCTTGGGGAATTATTTCTCCATAATACCCAGCATAGAGGGTTTCAGAGACAGCAACTTTATAGTTCTCCGGCCTTAAACTTCTTACGAGGTTGAGTTGACCGAATTCATCTGTCTAAAGAGAGCAATATTGATCACGTGCTCTCGCGCTCCGACGACGCGGTCCGCGCGACTGCAAAAAAAGTTCGGCTCTAGCTCAAACGTCAAACGATACTTCCCTTTGATTGTCCGTTTGCTTTGCCGTTTGCCATGACGGATACCTGTATCTAATTTCTACGCTGATTTGGTTTCGCCTCATTCATGATGCCCCGCAAATCCCAAAAGAAGCAAACGCGACTTGCCTTCGCTCCCACGGCGGCATCTCCGTCCCGCAGTGGTGATGACGACAACAGCGATCGCTTCGCAAGGCTCTCATATGGACATCCGAGTATGGCGTCAGTGCGCTCAGAGGTATCTCACAAGAGCAAGTCCTCAGGGTCCAAGAATAAGAGCTCGTCCAAGTCGCGGAAGTCACCAGATCTCCCTAAAGAAGCTCCAGTGAGGGAAACTAGCAAGGGTAGGCCAAGATACTAGGCATTGTTCCTAAAATTTCATGGCGCTAATATATATTCAAAGCGCAAGCTGCGACGCAAAATGACGAAGAATCATCAGATGACGACATCATCCTTCCCAGCTCTCAGAGACATCGACGAGCGGCCCCAGATCTCAACGCGATCGCCATGAATTCTCCGAAATCCAAATCCAAGAAGAAATCCCGGCAGCACTCAAAGCCTACGGAGGAAGAAGTCGTGGATGCCAATGATTCAGTAGAGGAAATATCTCAACCCCGCCGGAGACTGAAGCGCAAAGCAGAGAGCTCACCTGTCGTTGTGTTGAGTGACTCCGATGACTCGGAAGAGCCTGTGGTCTCCTCGCCCGTCAAGAGACGGAGACGTGCCCTGGATCCAGAGACACCTCAGACCCCCCGGTCTAGTGAAGAACAAGACGACCTGGACATTCAGGAAGATCTCAAAGATCTACAAGACTCAGGTAAGTCCACCGATACACATGAGACGATATACCCGGTGAACTCATAATCTCTCAGTTGTCAAGAAGTCTCGCACCCGTGGCCATCTTGCTGAATCCGCAAGAGACAAAAGGTTCAGACATCTAGAAACTCTCCGTCGCCGGCGCCTTGGACTACCGGAAGAAAGCGAACCCGAGGCAGGTTCAGCAGCCGACGAAGAAAGTGAAGAGGAAGACGATGCCGATTCAAGCCCAACTCGGCCGTTTGAAATGCGCGTCCAACAGGTCGATAGCGATGTTGAATCAACCATCGACCCAAATGAAGACCTGGACACGTACGAAGATGACTTTGTGTTGGAGGACGACACCGCAGAACTGGGTGTCCCGACAGAAGAAATGCCATTCGAATTCACTCGACACGCATACAAACAGCCAAAAGAATACTTCCGCGACGTTGTTGGGTGGATGGTGCACAATCGACTGGACCCAGCATTTCCACGCGACGACGCCATGTACAAAGTGGCTTTCATGAAGCTAGAGGATGAAGTCAAAGGACGTGCTGGATCCCAGCTGATCTCCTCGGTATGGAACTCTGAATTTGTCCGAGCACTTCGGGCCAGACCACATATGGAGTTGTCCTCATATCCGACCGAGTTTGGTCACTCATGCGATGCATGCAATCGATCTGGCCACCCAGCCTCCACGGACATGAGGCTATACGGCAAAGCATACTCCCTTGAAACTCTCGAGCCTCTCAGTGACGAAGGCTCCGAAGATGCGGATACGTCTGAATCCAGTAGTGAAGACTCCGGCGTTGAGCGAGACCGAGATGGCTATGAGCTGCCAGATGAGGAGAAACGGTTCTATTTAGGAAGGTCGGTCTTGATTGGTGTACCTGGTGCCAGATTCGGCCTTTTATCTGACACGTCAATAGACACTGCAAAGACAAAGCCCAGCTAGCTCATACTCTGATGCACTGGCGTTATCAACTCAACGAGTGGGTTGTCGACCATCTCGATCGCATGGGCCACATGAAGGATTCGGAGATTATACGACGAAATAACCTCAGCCAGAAGCGCAAGACGCGAAATGCGATCGAAGTCGTCACCCAAATGGCTCAAGCCGGGGAGATCGATAAGCTTTGGCGAGATTTCCACATCGCACTGAAATCTGCTCGAGAGAAAACGGTACGTGATCCTTTCTCAAGCATGTACATCGATGTACGACTAATTCTTGTTTTCGTTCTAGTCTTTGTTGGGATGAGCGCAGATCTACTGCGTTCATCAGACTTCAACAATTACCACCTTGCTACTTTTACTATGATACCCCATTTCTTGAATTCGGCAGTGATTAAATCATTTTACATATCACATGAACTCTAAGCATCGTCAGGCAGCGGGATCCGAGCTGATCAAATGTGTCTCAAAGCACATAGCATGAATTGGATCGAACAGCCAAGTTTCATCACGTAGACATACAAATCACGAATGGAAGAGAGAAAACGGAAGAAAGCGTATGTAGAGGAAGGACATGGAGAGGGAAAAGATGATTGTGGTTGTACAAATACATGCATGCATGAGCTGCCGGAGCCAATATTTCTGGAAGAACACATGAAGGAAGCAAGAAACGCGAAAACAGAGACATCGTGCGAAGACCGAGTGACTCGAGTGAGAGCGGCGCTGAGCTGGATTCTCAAATCATTGGGTTTGAGATCCGTCGTGCTGGGCAGAAGCACTTGAGCCGAGGCCAAGTATCATATTTACCCATTCGCGGCCGCCCGATGAATCCTTTCGTTGTCGAGTTCGATAACTCTATTAATCATATCGATCGACATTCAGGATACTCGGTCCTTCGCCGCATCCTTATTCTCTAAGGTCTTATTAATTTACAGGGTGGCCTGAGCCTCCTGCTTCTCGGGCTCAGTGCCAGGAGTGAGCATCTATCAGTAGCGACATGGTCAGCGATTCAGTCCAAACGTAATTTGTATCCAATATCGTGGTTTGGTCGCGCTGGCCACGTTGCAATCAAGGTATGAAAGATTTTCAAGCCACCCGAGACCAAAGATCCCCGGGGAAATGATTGACAAGAATCCGAGGACAGCGCGAAGACAGACGGAACAACAACGACAAATTGGAATGAAAAGGCTAATGGAAGCCAATAAAGGATCAAAAAACATACCTCGTTGGCACCCTTAATCATGCCCTGCTCCCGCTCCAACTGGATGTACTGCTCCTCCTCGGCGTAGGCCAGAGCCCATGGAACACCGATCAGGAAAGCGCTGGTGCTGATGACCCACAGGGCGCGGCCGCTGAAGGAAAGGCTGGCCTTGGTGAAGGATGTGAGGGTAGAGACGGAGCTAGTGATGGTGCGGCGCGCGGAGGGAGGGAGCATGTCTTTCAAAGCGGAGATACGCTCGTACATGGACTCCTCGTCGAGGACTTCCTCATCTTCGTTGGAAATTTCGGACTCTAGATCCATCGCGAGATGATGTCAGTCGTTGTTCTGATGATTTTGACGAAAGGTGGCTTTTGGTTCGCCGGACAGTGGTGTCGGGGGTCGCAATTCATCTCCGGGGCGGATTGGAATGAATTAAGACACTTTGACCCGCATTGATGGATGGTATCGGGGTGCAGGAGGGCGTTTCAAGGCGTGATGCACGTTGCGTGTCTGGGAGGCGCAGAAACAGGAGTTCGCTTACCGGTGTCACTGTAGTCCTCGTCCTCGTCGTCGGAGACCAGGAGAGCGTCGTGCTTGGTGGCAGTGGGCTTCTCGGAGAAGTGCTCATCTTCGACCTCGGTAAGCTTGACCATTTTGGCGGTTGTGGGGTGAAGGGGATGGGATAGATTAAGATGAGGTTGGTGATGGTTGAAAGAACGGAGCGCGTGGTCCGGCTCCGACTTTTTTGCCGGGCAAAAGCGGCGAGGAGCTTGGACCCGCCGGGAAGCCACGACATCATCGTTCTGTACCGTCTACTTTACTCAAGGTATTTCAGAATACTCTTGATGGAAAGGAGGTGTAACTATTATACAGAATTCTACCTATTTATTGTACACATCCTCCTAATGCAGGATTCCACGTGGTGAAATCTCACATAGACGCGTCTGGGCACGTGAGCACATACTAATGATATGACCCTCAACATCAGGGCGTCTTTAGCCGGTGGTCGAGTATGAATTACCTCCGGCCAAGTTTCCACCGAGCAATACGCTCTTGGATCTCTTCCCAGGGGAACGAGCGGAGTTTGAATCCCTCCAGTTCGCCCTCCTGCAACACGACAGTGGGCTTACCGGTTCCCTTGCCGTTGTTCTGGACGTGGCCGCCAAAGACCTGGCGAGCGACACGACGAAGATCCTCGACAGTCAAAGCCTCGATTTGGTCGCACATTTCTTTCACGCCGACCTTGCGACCGTGAACCTGCACCTGACGACCGAGATCCTCAAGTTCAACCATGCGCGACTCGAGGTTCATGAGAAGCGAAGAGCGGAGCTGATTCTTGGCGCGGTTAACTTCCTGGGTCTGCAGAGCAGAGTAACCGTTGTCCAGGGTCAGCGACTGCAACTCGCGGCACATGACCTCCAACATCTCGGTGGTGCGGGTTGGGCTACACGAGGCGGAGATTCCGAAGATGCCGCTGTCGGTGTAGCTGTGGTTGAAGGCAATGCAGCTCTCGACCCAACCGTGCTGGTTGAGAACATTGGTGTAGAGTCGCGAGTACATGCCCTTGCCGGGCCCACCGGCCGAGAAAGAGCCACCACCGCCCAGAAGGGTTTGGAGAGTAGCCAGGGCGTAGATATCTGGAGAGGAGATGGGGAGTGCCTCGAATGCAAGGTGGATATGACTCAAACGAGGCAGCATCGGGTTCGCCGGCGGCGGAATAGGAGGAAGAGCGATGAATCCGCCCGTATAGTGGGCGGGTCGTTTGAGATCCAGAGCAGAGGGCTCAAGCAAGGACGGGTGGAGGGGCTCAACCGCGGCATTATTTTGTGATGAAGTAGAGAGTTTCTTAAGGAATGGGAGTTTCGACAAGATCGATGAATGCGTGTTTTGCGAAGCGGCCGGGGTGCTCACAGTTGACGAGGGAGTGAACTGGGGCACGGTCGGGACCTGGCCCTCGTTGACAGCATGAGGGGAGTCCGAGAGGGTGGTGTCAATGCCACTGCCGGAGAGAACGGGTCCCTTGTTCTGTTCGCTGGCCTTCATGTCACCGAAATATTGCTCGGTAAGCTTGATGGCCTCAGCATGGGGGACACCGGCGAAAGCGACCACCATTCGGTCCGGGTTAAAGAAGACCTCACGGTAACGCTCTACCACCGCCTTGTTGATCTCACCCAGTCGCTCACTGGGGCACAACAGTGGGTTGCCGAGTGTGTTGTCTCTGTAGGCTGTCATGTGGACCAGTTCCGGCAGGATGAGCTCGGGCTTCGCCCAGATCTCACCAATCTCATACTCCGCAGTCGCGAGTTGCTGTAAGACTTCATCCTCGGTGATGAGAGGATCCCGAATGGTCTCCGCGAGCAGGCCGAGCGTGGTAGGGACGGCGGAGTTGAAACTGGCCGACTGGTACATCAGCGACTCCCGTGACGAGGCGCATTGGATGTTGCCGCCCAGGGACTCGAGGACCTCCAGCATCTCATCTCCGGTATACGATTTGGTCGATTTGAAGGCCAGTCGGTCCATAATGTGACTGACGCCACGCAGGCTGGCATCTTCGTAACGTGATCCGGCGTCGACGTAAACTCCGACACCGGCGAAGGGACCGGGTAATGATTCTGTGGCGACGCGAATTCCATTCGGAAGGGTAGTGATCTGGTCTAACTCTGCGGGGTCCTAGAAGGAAGAAAAATATTAGTATCAGGGACGAGAAGAACGGACTTCGGGGTGGAAAGCGGCGTACCTTGGACGTGTCGTTCAGAGTAGCAAAGCTTCTTGACACTGAGCGAGGAACTCGATTCAGTGGCTTTGCGGACTCGATGGCCCGCAAGGCAGAGCGGCGCATATTGCCTGACATCTGGATATGCGATGCAGTACTGGCGATTCAAGAATGCGTCTTACACTCTTGCTTCTCCAAACCTGGTAGAGTCGGAACTTAACCGTCGGCGAAGATTCGATTCCGGAGAACAGGGCCGAATGTGGTTATGTAAGCATTTGCATATCCAAAAGGAAATCCTTTAAAATGAAAAGGATTCTAGCCTAGTTGAACCCCGAGCTCATGGAATGTCTTTTTACTGCTTGAGTCATCGGGTATTCCCATGTATCGCTTCTTTATTGGAAAATTCTGGGGATTGAAGCATGCTGACCAATTATCCCAGTCTAGAGCCGCGATGGCACATGTTCAGTCTACCGAAGTCGGGACCGTGGAATCAAGTAATCGACACCCAAAACGTTCATTTTGTCTTCACATTACAATCTCTTCACATTACAATCATTATAAGTTCCTCAAATAGCATCGCCAATTAGCCCTGGAGATCAAGGATGCTCCGAAGCCCAGTTGCGATACCAATCAAGACATGTAGCATTGGCAACGCTTGCACCGATTTTGATGTTGAGTCCACACAAGATCTGCTTGACCGCATTCTCGACCTTCTTGCCATTGGAAGTAACGGGAATTTCCGGACAGGCGTCAATGATGCCAGGCACATGGCGAGGACTCAACTCTTTGCGGATGATGGCCTGAATGCGTTTCGAGAGGTCAGACACGCTGGAAGAAGTACCCGGTGCAAGCTTCATGAAGAGGACCACCGTCTCATCGGTGTCGATGCCCTCTCGCCTCCGTCCAACACATAGCGAGTCCTCAATCTCATCAGCAAAATGTTTTAGCAGGACATTGTAAATCTCGGCGCTTCCGAAGCGCACACCGGATGGCTTGAGCACACCGTCACTGCGGCCCAGCATGACCACACCCCCCGTCTCGGGGTTCAAACGGACAAAGTCTCCATGGTGCCAGATTGAAGGACCGAATACGTCGAAATAGCTCTTCCGGTATTTCTCCAGACCTGTGGGACCAGGTGGCCAGAACATGACCGGCTGTGCTGGGAAGGGAGTGGTGCAAACAAGGTCTCCGGGTTCGCCAGAGGCGCTGACGTCGTTACCGGCGTAGTCGAAAACAGAGACAGCCATTCCCAGAGAGCGGCACTGAATCTCGCCCTTGTAGACGGGCAAGATTGGGCAGCCCGAACAGAATAGAGACAAAATATCTGTACCACCAGTGATGGATCCCAACATAATATCGGGATGAATGGAGGAATAGATGTACTCGAAAGTCGAAGGAGCTAACGGAGAGCCCGTGCTGAAAATAGCCCTCAAAGTCTTGAGAGACACCGGCCGGTGCGCATGCTTGCGAGGGTTGAGCGCCGCTTGCTCCAACATGGAGAGATACTTGGCGGAGGTACCGAAGTGGGTGATCTGAAGCTCATCGATGAGTCGCGGCATGGCCATCTCTCCGTTGCCCCCTTCAACATCGAAAGGTCGGAATGGTGAGCCATCATACAAGACAATGGTAGCACCACTGGCCAGGCCGGACACCAGCCAGTGCCACATCATCCAGGTTGTGGTCGTGAAGTAGAACAGGCGATCACCAGGCCGAATCTCACAGTGAAGAAGATGCTCCTTTTTATGCTGCAACAATGTACCCAATGATCCATGAACAATGGGTTTCGGCGCTCCCGTGGTTCCTGAAGAGTACAAGATATAGACCGGGTGCTCGGGGCTCAAGCTTGCAAACTTCAAGGGTGCAGCTTGGTCGCGAACGGCAGTCTGGAAGCCTTCGTAGGTGATAACCTTTCCATTTGCCGGGCGAATTTCCTCAAGATGGACATCAAGGGACTTGGCAGTCTCAAACACAACCAAAAGCTCCAAGTTGGGCAGCTCACTCACGATCTCGCGCACTTTGGCATGCGAGCCATGAACCTTGCCATTGTAAAGTGAGGCATTGTCGGCAAAGAGAATTTTTGGCTCGATCTGCTTGAGGCGCTCGAGAACCGCGTGAACACCAGTATCCGGCGACACTCCAGTCCAGAAAGCGCCGATGGATGCCGCAGCTAACATCGCCACCACAGTGTTGGCGTGGTTGCCGACAAAGCCCGCCACGCGGTCACCAGTTTCGAGACCTGCTTCTTTCAGGGCGTTGGCGCATTTGCGAACACGTTCTCGCAGCTCCTTCCATGAGACAAACTCGCGATCGGCCTCTGTGGCGCCAATCACGGCAATAGAATTCTCATCCGGCGCACAGGCCGGGTAAAGGAGATTCTCGGCGAAATTCAGAGTGCTCCCTTCGAAGAATGCCGGTCGAGGGAATAGCACCTTATCTGATTCAAGGACCTGGCTTTGAATCAGATGACATTTTCAACGCTCGTCCGTCATTACAGAACTCACCTGTGTATATGGCTCATGGGCTATGATATTGGTATAGTGCCAAATCTCCTCCCAAAACTTGGCCGGCTCTGAAACACTCCATTTCCAGAGAGAATCGTAAGCATTCATAGACAGGCCATGTTTCTTGTTCACCTTGGTCATGAAATCGTAGATCTGCGTCTTCTCCGGAGACGAGGGGCGCCAGAGCTCCTTCGCCTCTGTTGAGACAGGCTCATCGATGTGTGGCATAGTTGGCTGCGTTCAATTGGATCAATTGAGTTGAGTTGAACAAGTCCTATCACCCACAACTGAATGCGAGCCGAGTTGAATGATTGAAAGGAAGGCACACTCTCCCGTCAGGGGCAGGTCTTGTCCAGGGCAGTGAGCTCTCCACGGTATCACCACAAGACTATATGAAAACTTTTTCCAGAGGTTATATGCTGGGACGATTTCGTTCTGGGGAGACCGTGCAGAGGTGGGACTCAAGTGGCAAATGAAAAAAGGTCAAGTCACCCAACCCAACTGTCCCAACAATGGGTACGCGGGGCGGGTTGAGGCGGGATTCCCTTGTTTAACCGATGAGCTCCGCGGCTGCGGGTAGTAGAAGATGCGCCGTAGAGGGCTAAGAGGCTCTTCGACCGGGATGTGGGAGAGAGGAGATCGTTACAAGTGTACAGACAGGCCCCTGGGACCTTTCCACCTTATATCCTCTCCACTCGCTTCCCCTGGCATCACACAACGCCTACAGATCCCAGTATCGGCGGGATCAAATGCGGAACGCGGGAAATTGACATCTTCTGCCTCAGGCAGCGACGGTGACCCATTCAGGGTCGAGACCGTTTTCATCTTCCATTCGCGCGTCTAGTCAGGTACCGCAGCACCTCACGTCGCATGATAGCCTACACTTCTGTAGTGGGGAGAACCACCATCGACATCATCATCTCTTTCAGCTTGACCCTATCCAAAGCCGGAGGAGGCTCGGGGTGTGAACAACCTCCGCCCCCCTTTTGTGGCAATTTGAACCGAATTTGAGTTTTGACGGCCATAATTGGCATGCATATTGAATAGTGAACGCCACAGGACGACACCTGTCAATTGATCTACTCCACTGATTGGTGTGCCCCGGTGATAGGGGCACAAGTATAGGGTGATGTGCACTGCAACGTACCTGAGCACAACCCGGGAACACTAGGAAGCTTACCGAGCGCCCGGTGACGGAACCTAAGAAAGGGTGGATAACTTCGGATCCATGGGATCTCAAAGCAGGCCTTGACTAAACTCGGAGCCGAAAATTTTAGTCGTCTCGGCCGTGTAAATTACATCCAATTACCTGAAACATCAGCCAGCGGAGCCAATCATGCGGCTGTATCCCTGTACCACCCATGTTCCCACAGCAATACCAGGCCCATCCGGGCCTGCATGATGATTATACCGCAGGTACGACTTGTTATTTACCTCCTCCTTCCTTTCCTTCTCTTCCTAATCCTCCTAAACATTGAATCCGTGAGGGAAGGAGATCGCTCGATATATTGGACTTTGGGTCCGCCCCTTGTTCTTACTTCACAACCCCCAATCCCACGTGCCGCCACACTTGCAAGCCCTGCCGGAGGTCTGCGGATAGGAGGTCCGTCTCTTTCTCACTCTCACCCCATAATCACGACTTCATTTACCTTTACTCTCGACCTCGGCCCTTATCCAGCTGTGGTTTTACCTGGCCTCTTTCAACAATCCACTAACAACACTACGTCGCCTCAGATTACCTTGTCCCCACCAAAGCGCGGACTTTCGGGCTCGTGAATCTTCGCGCGCCGAACACATCGTGCTTGCTCTACCCATTATTCCGGGTAGTCACTGCCTCAATCGTCGGTCTGGACGCGTGGAGAAACCAACGCGCCCTCCTTCTTTCCGACGGTACCAGCCAAAACCCGTTGCCCCCAACCCGACTCGCCGCTTCCCTCTGCGATGCCTCGTCGGTTTAGCAACAACTCCTCCAACGACACCTCTTCCAACTCCCCGGCCTTTTCGCCCTCTTCGGGAAAGGGCGGTTTCTCCATAAAGGCACCCTCGGTCAAGTCCCATCGCCTCTCCCAGTTCTTCTCGGCTTCGCCCAAGTCGAAGGTCGAGCCTCAACCTCCACAGGCGGTACCCCAGTCCACCGGGGCCAACCCCCCTAACGTCTCTCCGCCGATCAGCTCGGCGTCACTGTCCTTACCGACAATCTCTCTGTCCACCGCCACGGCTGACAATCCGAACATGGACGAATTGCCAACCACGTTATTCCAGCCCCCGACTCCCGAGGAGGCCCGTCGGCAAGCCAAGCAACATGCGCAATTCGGTCCCATCGGTCACCCCAGTCACCGGTACTCCAGTCGGCACCCTGGTGGCGTCTTTCCGGAGCCGGTGATGGACGAGCCGCCGTATTATTACTTGCTTACCACCTACATCAGTTATCTAATTCTAATTGCTTTCGGACATGTCCGTGATTTCTTCGGCAAACGGTTCCGTGAAGAGAATTACCGCCACCTGAAGCCTCGCAACGGCTACGGTGCGCTCAACAGCGACTTCGACAACTTCTACGTCCGTCGTCTCAAGCTGCGTATCAACGACTGCTTCGAGCGGCCCGTCACCGGCGTTCCCGGCCGAACTATCACTCTGATCGACCGGGCTACGGATGACCACAACCATCACTTCTACCTGACCGGTACCACCACCGATACATTGAACTTGAGCTCCTACAACTACCTCGGATTCGCTCAGTCTGAAGGCCCCTGTGCCGACCAGGCGGAGGAATCCGTCCGCAAGTACGGTATCGCCACTCCCAGCACTCGAGCGGAGACTGGTACGCAAGATCTCCATATCGAGGTTGAGGATCTGATTGCCCGGTTCGTGGGCAAGGAGGCGTCAATGGTCTTCTCGATGGGTTTCGGCACCAACGCCAGCATCTTCCCCGCTCTGGTTTCCAAGGGCGATCTCCTCATTTCCGATGAACTGAACCACGCCTCCATCCGTTTCGGTGCTCGTCTTTCTGGTGCTTCAATTGCTATGTTCAAGCACAATGACATGAGAGATCTCGAGCTTAAGCTTCGTGAGGCCATCTCTCAAGGCCAACCCCGCACTCACCGTCCCTGGAAGAAGATTCTGGTGGTCGTGGAAGGTCTCTACTCCATGGAGGGTTCCATGTGCAACCTTCCCGGTCTTGTGGCACTGAAGCACCGCTACAAGTTCCATTTGTTCGTCGACGAGGCCCACTCTATCGGTGCCATCGGTCCCAAGGGTAGGGGTGTGTGCGACTACTTCAGCATTGACACCCGGGAGGTGGATGTCCTAATGGGTACCCTCACCAAATCGTTTGGTGCCAACGGTGGATACATTGCCGCGGACAAGACCATGATTGACAAGCTGCGGGCCACAAACCCGGGTATTTTCTACGGCGAGGCCCCCGCCCCGGCGATTCTTACGCAGATTTCTTGCGCCCTCCGGATTATCAACGGCGAGCTCGCTCCTGGTCAGGGCGAGGAGCGACTGCAGCGTCTGGCCTTCAATTCACGATACCTTCGTCTCGGTTTGAAGCGTCTTGGCTTTATAGTATACGGTCACGATGATTCACCAATCATTCCTCTCCTTCTTTTCAATCCGGCTAAGATGCCCGCATTCTCCCACGAAATGCTTCGGCGCAAGATCTCCGTCGTGGTTGTTGGTTACCCCGCTACTCCTCTGGTTTCGTCTCGCGCCCGTTTCTGCGTGTCGGCCGCCCACACGAAGGATGATCTCGACCGGGTTCTGACCGCCTGTGATGAAATCGGCAATGTCCTGCAACTGAAGTTCTCTACCGGTATTGCTGGTGGTGCTCTGCCCCCGACCGAAGAGATGGCTCCTCCGCCCGAGATGGAGAAGGAATGGCACCGAAAGCGCTCCGACAATCTCACCCCTCCCCGGTGGCGGATCGACGATGTGATCCGGCGCGGGGTTCAAGATGTCAAGTCCCCCTTGTATTAGATTGACTTTTCTCCATTGCATGATGCTGCTTTGGAACTTCTTGCATATTAAGTTTGAGCCTTTCAGTCGGTGTTTATTCCACGAGCCCGGTTGTTGCTGGTCACGCCGTGTCGCGAATTTTAATTTCCATGCTACCCCCCTTCTGTCTGTATTCTGGCTCAATTCCTTGCTTTGGCGTGGTCGAGCAGGAATCTAACACTTGGGTCCGGACAGAAGATGGGGGTTTCCAGAAAAGAGCAAATCGGCCATGAATGAATACGTCCCCTTTTCCTATGAACCAGTCCTGGTTTTTCTTCTTGGAAATGTCTCCCTCTTTCCTTCCTCTTTTGTCTTGCATGAAGCCCTTTTCTAGTTCTTACCTTCTGTGTCACTCTAATAATTTCTAGAATATTGCCTAATAATGCTGCACCTGTGCTTCTCCTTCCGGAGCACAAGGTTGGCTGTTTTGCTTTCGTTGTCAGAATTGTGTCATCCTTTTTGTCTTTGTTGAATTGGATCCGGCAGCACAGTTCGCTTGGGATATCCCGTTGGCTACGACCCCGGTAATATTGGATACATTACTTTCATCTTCCCCCTTTTGGAGGGGGCTGCTTCAGATTGGCAGATTGAAACCTGTCATCTTTCTGAGATATTTTGTTTATAATTAGATGACCTATTGAATATCAATAGCCTACGGCTTCTATAATCCGTTCTCTCTGGTAGTCATCTCAGCTGGTCTCGGTCAATTGACCATCTGACTCAGGTCTATAACTAAGGATAAGATGTTTGTCCATCGACGGTCATTGGCATTCTGTTTGCTCCGTGATCCAAGCGTCCAGATCATCAAGTTCTCTGCCCTGAACACATACGACGCTACTTTTTAACATATCACATGCCTCATGTTTGGTCAAGTCACTGGCCAGGCCATGGTGAAACTGGCGGGTGCTCTCATTTACCTCTGCACCAAGATCCATGTCCTGGTCTATACCGGGGTTATGTAGTACAATGAAGATTAGAAGGGACCGTATGTATCGAGAGTAGTGACTACGGCAGCCGGTACAGACATCACATACCCTGTCACCGATCAATCAGGATAGCGCACGGGCAAAGAGCCTCTACCTAATCCGCCACTCGCCCGCTAATCAGAAAGAGGAAATAGTTTGAAAATGGCAAGAACCGATGTATACTTATATAGTATTAGATCTAACCTTAAATGGACCTCTAGGGTATGAGGCCAGAGAAAACCCGAGATGCAGATGAAAAGGGCCCAGCCCAAGTGCAATGAAACGAAAAAAAAAAACAGAGAATGCCCAATGCAATGTAGAATCGAGTCTGCGAACTCGTAGTCATCAAAGTCGTAATGTGTCATGCCTGCCTATACAGCCAGGCTAGGAAATCAGAACAAAAGGAATGTATGCATAATCATCATTAGACAGTCCCATACCGCCCATGATCCTGGCCGAGAAGAGCATGTCCCTCCTGGGGGCTTGAACGACGCTCGTACTCGCCCGGGGGAGGCGAAGTTGAGGGAATCCAGCCGCGCATCCAGCCGTGAACGCGCTTCCACTTGCTCCGGCCGCGCTTCGAGTCATCATCCTCTCCAATAAAGCTCTCGTCGTCTTCCTCTGAAGACCCGTACATGAGGAACTGCACGCCCATGAACCCATCGAGTCCGAGGACCCCGAACGCGCCGAGGAAGAATGGAAGTGAACGTCCAATCCACTCCCAGCGATCGTTGCCGTGTTCATCGGCCCAGCCACCGCCTCCGTAGGGCGCGAAATCACTCCAGGCGTTAGGGTTGGTGAGCAGCGACGAGGAGTAGAAGAAGTTTCCACAAAAGGCAGCCATGAACAGCAACGGGGAGAGGCCCTCGGTGCTCTTGCGTTGGTAGTTCTTGTAGAGCTGCGGCGGGCGCGAGCCGAGGTATAACAGCGTGGACATCCAAGAGACGACGCGGCCTACGACCTCGACTATGGCTTCACGAGGTGCATCCGAGATGGGCGGGTGCGGCGATGGCTTGGAATCTATGGGACTGCCATTGACCACGACGGCACAGACCAGCGAGGCAATCAGCATGGTGCGGGAAAGAGCAAAGGGTGCGCTGCTTGGGCTGCTTCCCATCCGGACGGTTCGCCGCGGTGAGCTCAGTTTCTCGTTCGTATATGACGTCCCGGGAGCTGTTGAGTTGAGAGTTGATCCAGTCTGGACACCCATATCATTGGCCTCCGCTTTCTTCGCCATGTCGACCGGGGCCGGTGTCCGGTGGGTCACATTGTTGCCCGCCACAGCCACGCCTTGCAAAATGTCCCCACGAGCGTCGGAATCGTACGAGTCGGATAGCTCATTGTACCCCTCATACCGGGATTTGTAGTGTGTGTACCAGAAGAACTGGATGACCAGTGCGACATCCACGCAAACATAGTAGCCTGCGACCACGACCTGCCACCCTGCCTGTCGGGTGAACAGAGCACCAACCAGGTTACTCGCGTCACCTGCACACCAAATGACCAGGAAAAATATTGACAGTCCCGACGTTGATTGTAGCTGGTAATTCTTGAAAATCTGCGGTAGCTGGGCGAAGAGCCATGACACGATACTGAGGGTTCCGAGAACGGAGGAGATCAGCGCCAGAGGTGTGGGGAGGCAGATGTGGAGGTGTGAGGAGATAGCGGTCAGGAGGGGCGATGTCGGTTCGCAGTGGTCTGGGAGAGACCCAGATATGAGATGTTGTAAAACAGAAGCCATGATATATTCTATCCTTCGATCGAAAGAGAGTGTGAGAGAGAGATAGGACAGGGCGCGTCTTCAAGGCGCGGGACCTCGATCTATCGGTAAAGGGCTTCGGCGGGGGAGAACTGATCCGGGGAAGATGGTCGAGTTGGGGCCCGGGGGGGGGGGGGGGGGATAGAAGACGAGAAAAGAGAAAGGAGGTCTAGGAGGTCCAAGGAAGGTAAAGAAGTAAAGGAAGTCACAGCTGGAGACAAGTGACCCCTCGCGCATCACGAGAGCTGAGCTGAAACGATTGTCGCCCGAATCGGGGCTTATCAGGCGTGACTCAAAGATAAGTGGTTTGCGGGCCTATCACGCTTCTGCTTGATCACCTCCGATTTGGTCCGACTGCATTCCTCACGCTATTGAGGAACGTCCTCATTAGTGATAATTAGTTATAGCTATTACCCCGGCTTTGCCCAACCGTTTCCCCCGGATCTCTCAACATGAGTGGATGTGACGAAGGCGACCCTGTGGATCAGGGCTTCTGCTCTCCACGTGACCCGGATCTATATCGCCACCGCTACCAGGGGTCGCAGCTCCACCCACCAGGTCACCGGGGATAGCCACCCGGAGATCGGTCGGCACTCCGGAGGGCGATCTCCGTCGGCTGGGTAGCCGTTGCTTCAGGACTCAAGATCGCTGATCAGACTGTTGTAGTATTCACCGTGGCTGTACTGATTCTTCTCCAGATTCGCAAATGTCCACATCCAATACGAGTGTTTGCATCTCGCGCGTGACCCAAATTGTCGAAACTTATTTGGGTTTTGGGGCTCATCACGACCACGAACCCCACGTGGTGGGAAGTCACGAGGTACAAACACGCGATATTGATCACCTATGTAAAGTGCTACGGTCTTTGGATATTCTGATTTAGGGATCCCGTTTAACTTACCTACACACTGGGAGGTCCCAATAGCCCGGGGGGACGTTGTGAACGGCTGAATACGAGCAACACCAAATTCTCCCTCAACAACCTTCCTTCGAAGGTCGGCAAGCCTAATCTAAGTGGGTTTCTCCTGGATGATTGCCTACCATCGTCGATTTAAGTTCTATGATAGGTCCTCGAAGTTGCCCAGGTCCTCGAACACCAACATGTTATATTCCACTCTTGAATTTCAATAATCGAACCCTGGAAAGCGTAAACAAAAAGCCGGATAAGAGAACCAGGAAATCATTCAGTGTTCGTGATTTCACCATTTCTTACGCGAGACCACGACACAAGGACAAAATACCCAAGTGACCAAAACGCAAACCCGTCTAAGCCGAGCCAAGGGTGTTACCACCTGGGTAGGTCACCCATGCTAAGCCCTGCCACAACGATTGACAGTAAATCCAAGCACGTAAATACCAAACTCTATGTCATGACGAACCAGTCCCTCAATAGTCATCCTCGTGACCACGCGAATGACTCCGACTATGGTGCCCGTGATGGCTGTGATGCCCATCATGATGATGCCCATGATGATGGCGGTGATGATGCTCACCATGACCATGATCTTTGACCTTGTTCTCCAGGATATTCCCAATAATCGCACCGCCAAGAGCGCCTAGAAGGCCATGATCCTTCTTATGTCCGAGATAATAACCCGCCGCACCCCCAGCAAGAGAGCTTCCAACCCCACGCTCACTTCCAGGCTCGTCATCCCGTTCATCCGCATAAATGTTGCCGCTATTTTCCCGCGGGGTTGCAGAGTCAGACACATAGACCGAGGGCGCGTGCGGATTGGCGGAAGGAGTGTACCGTGGCTGTTCAGCTGGATCACCACTCGAAATATGTCAGCACGGGCCAGATGCCCCTCAATTGTCTCACTTACTAGTATCCCAGATTCTCAGGAACTTTCCCGCTCGAGTGTGGAGGGATTCCTGTACCAGACACGGGGCCGAGGTGGTCTGGCTGTCCTATCGGTGTGTAACTTCTGTTGTCGGGCGCGCCTTGGTAGGTTTCTGGGGCCAGGTGATACGGGCCCGGCGGGGGGTACGCATAGTTAGGATCTGGATGTGGCTCTGCGGTGCCGTATGGCTGCTGCTGATACTGGTTTGGATATGGCTGCTGGCGAGCTTGCTCCTCCGGCGGGTAGTAGCCGACCCCGCCCGGGGTGGGCGTGGAGTAAGAAGTGTACGGGTTGTACGGATCGGCCATGATGGTGAAGTGTAGTTGAAACACGATAAGTAAAATGAGCGACGGGCGCTCTTATACATGCGAAACCTTAGTCTGATGACAGAGGCTCATACATCATGGCGCGGGTGACCTGCCCGCACGATCGTCAGCAGCGCAGGAACTCTGGAATGCGCGCGTCGCCAATCACCGCTGCAGGGTCCTGCAAGAAACTTACCGTGTGATGGGGGGCTATCCTATCAGAGCGAAGTAATCTACAGGGAACAAGGCTGTTTGCTTGAACATTGATATTGCCATGCGCCATCTATGAACGCTGGACCCGCTATCAAGTATAAAAAACACGGATGACTCGGGGTATTCCGGCAGAAAAATCAGAAAAATAAAAGAAAGGCTCGATGCAACAGAGTGCTGGCTGTTGATCAATTAAGAACCGCAGGTCGCTCCTTGACAAGGGTGGGAAAAGGAAATCAAAATGCATCAGTGAGTGGGCATGAAGGCGACAAGATCGGTATGAAAAAGTTCAAGAGAGAATGGAATAGAGCCAGTCAGAAGTAATGTGCCCAGCACAATTAAAGCCCCTGCGGTGTCATTTGAAGGGCGAACTGACAAGCCCATGCATATATGCACAGATACGCGGGCAGATGAAGGTGGACGCTTGAACGACTAAGCAGTCGGACTCTGTACGCTTCGCATCGAATTGCGGCGCGCCCGTTGGGCCATCCATTTTACAAGCATATTGTCGAGTTGGTCGTTCATCTCTTTAAGCCTCTTGCTCTCCTCCTTGAAGAGACGGCCAGTGACAGGATGTTCGGGACCGGCCGGGGGAATATTGGATTTGTCATGGACAATAATGAATAAGTCGCGAATGTCGTTTTCTTCGTCCATGTATGATCGTAGACTGGCATCACTCCAAGTGGGAGTGTCCACTGAGAGTGTATCAAGGGAATCTTGAGTAGCGTCGGTCTCCTTAGGATCGTGGGAATCGGTCTCAGGAGACGACGGTGGGGAGACCGGCGACCCAGATTGGCCTCGGTACGTAGTGTCCGGGGTCAGGCCTGGGGCACTGATTGGGATGTGGCCATCCACTGGGGAAATATTGATGGGGGATTCTGATCCCCGGTTGTGATAGCCGGTGTCCATGGTTGGTGTAAACCTCTGGGGAGGGGATGTCACAGAAGGTTGGCCGGTCGGTGCGTGGTCGGGGCCATAAGGTCCTCTCCACTGCGCTTCGCTGGGTGGTCGATCCTCTGGAGATGCGAACGGGTCCCGAGACTCCATGGGAGTTGCAAAAGACTCCTTTGAAGGGCTCGACTCCTTTGAGGGGCTCGACAATGTCACAGCTCCATGGTCTTCCTCGAAGCTTTCCACCTCTTGTGTTGTTGTAACCTTTCGGATTGATCGGCCAGCCTGTTTCGAGAGGGCGGCCTCAATGTCCTTGGTCTGTTCGGTCGGCGAGGTAGGGGACATGGTCGCTGGGGGCTGCTTCTGCAACCTGTTGCTGGTCTGTCTCTGTGGCTTGGTCCGAGACTCCTGGGACATGGTAGACTCCATAGATGTCTTCGGCGATGTACGGAATGAGGATTCGACTGGGGACAAGGGCTCGTCCATGTCTTCGTCGGTCGACTTGCTCTTCTTGCCGCGCTTGAAAAGTCCACTAAGCATCCCCGGTTTCTTGTCCTTGCGTTTCTTGTCGTCCTTGGTCTTCTCCTGCGATGTAGATGCCTTTTCGATGCTTTCAAAGCTTCCACGGCCATCCTTCCACTCATTAAGGAGGCTGTTGTTGCTGCTGTTGTTGGATTCATCACGTAGCAGGTTCGGCGTTAGAGAAATCTTCTTTGGCTCGGCAGTGTCATCCTTGAAGAAAGAATCGGTATTCCGCACAGTACCCTTTCTGGATCTACTGACGGCGGGTTCCACTTGGTCGAGAAAGTTAGATTATGTTGTCTGTTGTTCAGAAAAAGGATGTTTCTGCATACCTTCTGGATCAAAGATGTCCTCGCTCGACCGTCGAGGTTCCGAGATTGATCGCTCGGGCTCAGACTTTTCTTCAGTCTCGGTGCCCTCAGTCTGTTCTGTGGTCTTCTCCTTCTGTCCCTTGGGCCGGAGAGGCTCCACGACAATGTCCTCATTCTGCTCTTGGGCTTCTCCGTCTTCGGATTCCACGGTTTCGTCATCGTTAAAGAAATCGCCATGCTCGTCGTCCTCGTCTGTAGAGTACTCCACATCGGATGCCTCGATGTACGTCGGTGCAGCGAAGTTGACAGTCTTTGCGTTTCGTCGGCGCATGGCTTTCTTCAAAGGATTCTTGGACTTCTCTGAATTATCGCCTAACATCGTGGCAGAGAGCTGCGGAAGTCAGTATTCGTTGAAACAAAGGAAGTGTGGGAATACATACATCGACATTCCTGTGTTTGTTCAATCTGGCAAGTCGCTCGGTGGGCGTTTCAATGTGTTCAGCAGGCAGGTACCCGATGCTTCCATCCTTCACCACGCGAACAAGCCACCAATAGCTGTTGCTGTCATCGAGAAGCACCATAGTATCTCCCTTCGCAGCGTTTGCCTGCCCGTCGACAGTTGCAACGAAATTGTGGAGCGCGTAGACGAATTCGAAATCAATGTCCTCTGCTCATCGTTAGACCGAAAGCCCAATCGCGATATAGCGTGAAGACGTACCATCGTCAATAGAAGGAGAGCTTGATATTTTGTCCATGAGATCATCGTCAAGTAGATCGTCACTTTCACCATCCGCCAGGTCACTATCGTCGTGATCGTAGTCGGCATTTCCAGCCACGTCCGCCTCTCTGTCGTCATCACCGTACCCGTCCGCGCCGGCGGTACCGGGACCGTTCATAATCTCCGCTCTCGTATCTTCTTGGGCATGGCGGATGGACGACGACTGGTGGGGGGCAGGCCGGCCGCCCCCAAGGGGATCTGGGTGCTCGGGTTGCTTCGTATGGTCTTTCGCTGATGGGGCATCATGATTTTGGAGGTCCAAGGTATCTGGGCAACCGGTTAACATTTCGACATTGGATGAAAGCAGCCCGACAGATCACAAACATACCGGCGCGAATGATTTGAGGCCTCGTCATGATGTAAGTTTAAATGAACGCGGGATCGGCCGTGAGAGGAGTAGCACAAGTCGCTGAAGGGGAGCAAAGAGTGATTGTTGATCCAGAACTATCGGAGAAAAACAAATAGTCAAGGGCGTACAATCTGCGGCGGAGACTCGACACTTGACAATTGCCCCGGGGTCTCCAGGAACTGAACCGGGGGTAGCCGTAAAAGAAAGACTGCGCCTTGGCGACCAAAGATGGGGGCTGGACTGCTTCAGTCGCAGAATGGCACGTCGGGTGCACGAAAGATATTACTGCCAGAGCGACATTTAGAGAAAAGAAGGGGGTCATTCGAGACTGGGACAATTGCCAACCCCAGAAAGCGAGGCAAAAGGAGGTGTTTCCAAAACAAGCGCCCCTTGCGCGCGGCTAATCGGAATTAAGGAGAGCTGCTTGAACCCCCTGAAACAATACTGCCACATGCGGTAGTAGGGCTTAGGGCTAAATTCCCCAATCAGATGGACTCCGTATCCGTGAGTCAGGTGACGCATGGTCATCTGACTTTCCGCTCTCACCCGAACGTATAGCTCCAACTGCTCATCATTCTCCGGAGACACCCGAAAGCCCCGTTTTCTCCATCTCCCTTGCTGGCTCCGACTGACCAATCCTTCACAGCTCATTCTTGGGTCTGATCTCACCCTGCCTGTACCTCTTTTTTTCCACCTCCCACACTTGTCAAATCTTTCACAATCTGAACACCACCACCTCTCCCTCCCTATATCACCCCGCGATCTCGAGCGTTTTCCGTCCCCACTGTAAAACGCTTATCGCCCCACGTCTAGCCTCCCCCAAAATTATCAGCAAAACGGCCTTAAACATTATTTACAGGCAGAGGGTTCTTGCAACCCGTCTGCTAGCCTTCCACGGGCTCATTTTCACAACGTCGTCCTATACCGCACTCTCGACGAGGGCATGGCGCACTCGGAGAGACAAGGGTTGGCAGGTTTGAGGATTGAGACTGCGTTTCACCAGCAAAGACTAGAATGGGCTGAGGAGAAGGATGGAGGGAGGAGGAGATCGGCATCAGGTGGCGATGGTATCGAGAGCGACCGCACCAACAAATCTCATGATTACGCGCGCCGCCGCGATACTAATGAAGACCACAGTGTGTTAAGTGATTTGCACTCAGCCACGCCTCCCATCTCAGTTCCCCGCCCCGACAGTCATCCAGTCGGGGAGACTGATGATAACGGCTTCCCACACAAGCCGGATGATGTGCAGGGATCCCCGCTCGACAATTATCTTCAAGCGCGCCACACCTCCATCAGCTTCAACCCAAATGTGTTTCTGGACTCCGGTCTGCAGCAACCACTAGAGGAGCCTCTCGACAAGGGTGACGTGAAGAATCGGGCCCCGCTAAAATTCGAGTCTCGGACTTCGGGCCTCCGGAACGCCCTCTCTCAGGATGACGATCCCGCTGACCGGAAGCCCGAATGGGGTGATGACTCCAAACAATCTCAGGAACCGCGGGGTATTCCGACCGGAGCTTCCCGAGCCCATTCTGTCGTGAGCCCTGGAGATGACTCAATCACGCCCAATGAAGGCGACCAGCCGACGTCGCTCACATCACTCTCGACGGCATCTCCAGGTGACGAAGTGCGGACCCCGCCCGGAAGCGCTAAAGATGCACTGCTGTCCCCTCTTTATATCACCTCTCCCAGCCAACAGTTTTCCTTACCGGAAGATCGCAGTGCATCTTGGTCTACCGGGTTGGTGACTCCCTTTGGGAGTAAAACCCGCACTTCCCCATTTAGCCGCCATGGCAGCCTGCGGCAAAACTCTCGACGGTCTACTACTTCGAGCGGCAAGTCGCCTGCCGGCGCGTTCCTTTCTATGTGGTCCGGCCGTGAAGAGCCTGTCTCGCAGCCCGATGATGAAGGCCAAATGGTGGGCACCGACTACGTTCTTGGAAAGCAAATTGGCTTTGGAGGTTTCAGTACGGTGAAAGAAGCCTTCAAGGTAGAGGAGCACGGCACAACTAAGCGACTCGCCGTCAAAATCGTCAAGAAACAGATCAAGGGCCACAGTGAGAGGGAAAACGAAGAAATGCAAGCGGAGTTCGACCATGAGGTCCGGGTTTGGCGGTATCTCAGCCACCCTCACGTCTTGACCCTTGACTCCGTCTACGAGACAGATTATGCCACTTTCTGTTTCACCAAACTTCACATCGGTGGGACGCTGTTCGATTTGGTCCGCCAGAACCGCCAGGGTCTCTCACCGCACCTCGCCAAAAAATACTCGTACGAGCTTGCTCGCGCGATTCGTTATCTGCACGAAGATGCTCGTGTTGTCCACCGCGACATCAAACTGGAGAACTGTCTCCTCGACCCCATCGAGGCTCCTGATGGTTCCCAGTCTTCAACTCTGGTCCTTTGCGACTTCGGAATGGCAGAATGGATGACCGCAGACCATGGGGGTGACAGCCCTGACCCTTACGATGAGGTCGCCGATCGCCCTCCGCCCAAGCAAATGGGCCCTGCAGGCTCTAGTACTAGCGTCGCCGGCAGCTTGGAGTATGCCTCTCCTGAATTACTCCGGTCGACAAACAGTGTCATACACCCGTCGGTCGACATTTGGGCCTTTGGTGTGATCGTCTTCGCAGTCGTTGTTGGATCCCGTCCCTTTCAAGACTCCTTTGCACCTCGCATCCAGACCAACATCCTCAGTGGAACATGGAACCATGATGCCGTTATCGGCCATGTTACCGATGAGCTTCTGCGCAGGGATCGTCAGGATGCCCTCGAGTTGATCGAGGGCTGCCTCGAAATGGACGTTGATAAGCGATGGACTATCCGAGACATCCTGAACTGTGCCTGGCTCCGCGAAGTCGCTGAAACTTACAGCGAAAGCTCTCCAGAGTCTGCGTGGAGGCTATGAACACCTACCTCTCTGATTGCTCTTCAGCGCACTCTTTAGCCAAGCCCTGTTACTTGAGATTCATCTCGAGCATGACATGACGAATTTGCAATCTTTTTCATTTTTTCCCGGCGCTTCTTCCTTCTCAAGCGCTGGTGTTTTTTTTGTTTTTTTTGTTTTTTTTTGGGGATTTTTGGCCACGATGATACCCATCCAACTCTACGCCTTGTCATTTCTTTTATCTATTTTGGATTCCCCATGCGTTACATTTTTGGCTATGGTTTAATTTGACGGATTGGATTATGATTTGGACAAGCATGGCGTTTTTTTTTTCTGCTTCTGGCATGCGTTTTGATTTCTGGCTTTGTCTTTTGTTTGGTGTATTCTAGTATGCGGATTTGCGCTTTATTACTGATATCCTTTTTCTCTATTCTCTGCTCTTAACTGTCAGCGTCTCTTCTCTGTCTGGATGGCTGGTTCCGTCCTAGAATACAAAAAAAACATTATGCAAAATTCGAACTTTAGTAGCCGTCTTGACAATCTTGGAACCAAAATGGTTCAACCTATTGTACCTTGGGGTTCCCAGCTCAAGCTGATATACATGGATACCATGAAGAAAATAATTTTGTATGACCGACATATCCAGAAACGGGGGCTATTGATACATGTACAAAGATAAAGCTCTAAACCAAAATCACCAACAAACTACCAGAGCCTGTTCTCCGGCAAAACCTTCTCCTTCTTAACACCAGCAGTAGACTTCCGCTCCTCAGGCGAGCGGAAGAACAAACTGGGTCCTTCCATCGGCTTAAGCAAATGACTCAAGTAGCCGCGATGCGCAGGGTCACGGTAATACTCAATATCGCGTCTGCGCGTCGGATCAGGCAGCCTATACCGGAACCCACGCTCCTTCATCACATTCGCCTCGCTCAGCTCCTCAGGGGCTCCATCCGCCTTCAATAGATCCTGAGACCCGCTCTCAGCCGCCCACGCCATCGAGATGAAGGGGTGCGACTCCTTAGCCATGATGTGCCGGATTGCGGAACGTGTGTAGAAGCGCGTGGCGACAGATCCGCCGGCCGCTTCGATGGCGGTGATTGCCGATGAGGAGATTCGGGATACGACTAGGTGGATTGGTTGTTTCAGGATCCCCTCGCCGCCGCCGAGGACTTTCACGCCGTCTTTGTGCTGGTGGATGCAGCGGGATTTGGTCAGTTCGCGGACGGTAATTGGGCGGGTTGGGTCGATGCGGCCTTGATCGATCCAGTCTTGGATGCGTTCGAGGTTGACGGGGGCCATTTCAAGGGCGAAGCTGGTAAAATGTTAGGAATATGGGGATGATCAATGGGATATCAAAGGATTGGAACCCGGGGGACGAGTAAAGGGAAGGGAGGGAAAAACTTACAGGTTCTTTTCTCCACGCTCTCCGTGGACAACAATATCGGGGGTCTGACCACCATTGAAACCGGCAGGGACCTTTCCGTGCTGACCCTGACCCTTGTGACCACGACCGGAAGTCTTACCCTTGCCGGAAGCAGGACCACGACCGCGGCGGATACGCTTGTTGTAGGCCGAAGGATTGTCGGAGAGCGAGGAGAGGATGTGCGCGCCGCGCTGCTGGAATTGCGGGACGAGGAATGCTAGCGGTGACGCCTGGAACGGCCTTGCGATAAACTTTTGAAGCTGCGTGGGCAGCCCCATGAGTCGGGGGGCCATGGTGATGATGGGCTTGGGGTGTTGGATCGTTGTTGCGGACGCTGGAGATCTTTGATGCTGGACGGAGCGGAAAATAATCGGGCCGTTCGCCGAAAGAGGTTAGGGGCTGCGTGAACTAAATTACCCGTTTGGGATTGCTTTCAAAGGCTCTAGTTCGCTAAATTCAAATACTCTTTGGCTAATTATGGAGATCTCTTTTCGCTCCACAAATTTGCAAACTTAGAAACCTATGACTACTTAGGTGGAAATATGTGAAAGTTGATATCAAATCTAGTTTCTTCATACTGCGAGACTTCTTGTCTGCTAAAATAAACGCCATATGATGTGAATGCGTAGGCAGCAATGACCACGTTGTTCTTGACAACGGAAAAGCAAAAAAATAAAACGCCTCAAAGGCCATCCCCGACCTTGGAAGGTCTTTTGGGGAGGCGAACACCTGGGATCCCTCTAGGTTGGAGCGCCGAGCAAATGCGATAAATCATCAAGTAATCCTGTACAGGAAAAGAAAAGGACAAGTGAGAAGAGAAGATGAAAAGGATGTACAGCGAATGGGATGTTTTTCGTGAGTGGGGTCATAACGCGGTCACATCGTCAAAGAGGAGGGTGGAGCAAACTTCAGTTAGAGAAGGTCTGAGAGGGAGGGAAATAGGGTTGGAAGTTCCCCTGGCTCCACACATCGGGCTGGATGTAGGGGAGCAGGCCCGTCTTGCGATCGGATGTACCCTTACCCAGCGGCTGGTAGTGCATGTGGTCAAAAGGAACACTGCGCTGCTGCTGCAGGGAGGCCGACGGAGGCGGAATGAGCAAAGTTGAAACCGAGCGGACGGGCCGGTAAGGTGAGTTACGGTTGGCGAGGAAAAAGGATGGGGAGAGGTGAGTTTGCGGGGTGTGGACCGAGTAGGCAGACACAGCCGGCGAGACGGTGCCAGAAGACACAGCGAACGGGCTTGGGTTGTGTCGGCCGAGATCCGGAAGAGAAGGGGCGTTGTAAATGCCGGCTGGAACCCCGGGCACAGGCACATTGGGAATATGCTGACCCCAGTTCGAAGGCCGGTTGCAGATCGGCTGCATAGGAGCCGGGATAGGGAGCTGAGAGACCCCGCTACAGGGAAATTGTGAGGTCGAGGGGGTCGGAAGGCAATGAGAAACCGGGTTGGAGGCTGTCAGGTTGGGAGGCGGGAGAGAGAGGCCCTGAGAAACCGGAGCAGATGTTGGTGTGAGGACCGGCGGAAGAGTGGCCATTGCATTCATGGTCGTTGAGGGGACGGTAAGGGGAGCCGGAGTAGGTTGAGCAGTTCCCCGAGCAGCTCGCTTCATGGGTTGCAACTCATCCTCATCATCTCGACTGCGCTTGCGGGATCCACCCGAGGCAACCTGACCAGCCGGCGAAGGAATAGGGTAGGGCAGACCGGGAGCCGGCATGTACCAGTTCGGCTGGGACTGCGGGCGAAGCACATCTGAAGGAGGCGACGGCAACTTGGACAAGGGCGAATGAGGCTGCAATCGAGTAGGAGAGACACGCATAACCGGGGTGTCCGTCTCAGCGGGAAGGGCCGATGCCTTGTTGAAGAAGTCGGCGAAGAGGCCCAGCTTGGTGTGCCAGCGAGCCCATTTGGCCTCGGAGGCAAACAGATCGTAACGGATGTTGCTGAGGAACTCGACCTCCATAATATGGATTTCCTGCACCGCAATGCCCGAGACCTCGGCCCACGTCTTGTTGGTGTAGGTGTTGTCGTCCAAAACTGGCTGAGTCAGCACGATAGTAAGGCGGTGAAGAGATAAGGCAGATACTCACATTTATTGCCCAGCATTAGGGCAACCGTCATCAGTCGGAATTCACTGCCCTTCTTTCCCTTCACGCCCGAATTGAACTTCTTCAGTCGGTAGATGAACAGCAGAGCCAGCAGGATTACGTTCTGGCTGACCTGTGTTGTCGAGAGAATCGTTGACACCCATTTTTGGAATCCGACAGTAGGGATGGCTTCGGGGACCAGTGAAGGGACGGGGTGCAGTCGGTCTTCGATAGCTTGGAGTTTTGAAGACTTCTCGAACCAGAAGAGGCAGGTCATCTAATGAATGGACAAGTCAGTCTCCGTGCATAAATTCAAACCCATTTGGGACAATCTCACCTGCGCCGCAAACTCGGCCAAGTTGCCCTTGGTATTGTTGATGGTCGAGGGAATCCGCAGTTGCGAGCCACCCGAGGTACTATTCGACTTCTTCTGCGTAGGTTCCGTGACCGAGGCTTCTTTAACGGGTGCCGAGTGGTTCGGCTTCAATCCATATGAATTTACCGAAGGAGGAATCGAATCGAAATGGGGCCGCGAGCCGTAGAGGTGGGAGGGCATGCCATGAGCCTTCCCTCCATAGGGCATGGGAGGAATGGCATTGTAGGTCACTCCGGTCATGTCGCCGGGAGGAGTGGGCAAACCGTCCCGGAAAGGAGCGGTCCAACTGGAGCCGGTCTGGAAAGCGGGTTTGAAGGGTCGGTCCTCCTGGGTTGTCAGGTCGATGGTTGGAGTGGTGGTGCCCAGAATCGAGGAGAATTGTGAGCCCAGCGTTGGGAGAGACATAGGGACAGAGGAGCAGTTGGGAGTTGAGAGACGGGTCGACACATGTGGGATGGTCGGAACTGTTACAGGAGAAAGGACAGGAAAACGAGCCGAGCGTGATTCAGTGTCCCATGTCCCTAAACAGGCCTGAGAGACTGGGTTAAGCCTGCCGTTGTATGCTCGAATAGATGCGTCAAATGGTCCTGCCCAATTGGACAATCAACAAGTGAGGATGTGAGTGGAGTCTAGAAAGGCGAGGCGTTTACTCGCGATCAACGGCGACGGAGAAGTGAACGTGCAGAAACGGACAAAGGAAGTGAGAGTATTTTCTTCACTTTGTAGAGGGGCAAAGAATGATGTATAGGGAACAGCCAAGACAGGCCCCATATAAGGGTAGTAAAGTCAACCAGCCTTTCGGGGAACAGATCTAAGAGTTGAGCGCGCCACTAGTAAAAAAGAAAAAAAGAAAAAATAGAAAGTGAACCCAAAAGGAAACGTTCACGGCTAAGAGGCGGGAATGACCAAAAGAATAATTGAGAAAATAATAAATGATGGGGTGAAGTCAAGGCATCATCTCCATCCATTTACCGCAGGAAAACCAAGTCCACTAAAAGGAGAGGAGCCAGGGTAGGTTGACCCATCCGGAGGAAGCATGAGCGTCCGTACGGGACAGAGTTTGACCCGGACGCAGGTCCAGAGGGTTGATCCTCCTTTCTTGGTTCGTTTGGGTTCCGGTTTGGTATCATCTATGATTGTCTCTGAGAAATCCAAAAAATAATAATAATTTAAATTAAAGGGAAGAAAAAAAAAATTGGAATGGAAATACCGGTTGATGTCAGAGTCACAAGTGGATGCGGGCCTAGAAAGGGTAGGTCGCAGAGTAATGTTTACGGAGGGCACTGGTCCCGGCCTCGGTGCAGCCCTGCTAGGCGGAGAAGGGCGGAGGGATACTGCGTATGGCGTAGCGCGGGCAAGTGGAAGGGGGTAGCAAAATGGGTCAGTGTGAGAAAAAGGAAAAATGGGCAGAAAAAAAAAAAAAAAAAAAAAAAAAAGTGGAAAGAGAGATGGTCGGAGGACAGATCCAAGACCAAGACCTGCTGGGGTTCCAGGAGGGCTAGTGTGGTGTAGGACCCATAACAGATCCAATAATAAGAGAGCTTTTAGCGTGGTCACAACCGTCGGCCCAATGACCGTTCGCCAGGCCCGTCAGGACGGTGTACCGAGGCTGTAAAATACCAGGTATGATTGCAACTCCGTGTATGCGTGAGGGTGCGCAAGCATGTACGCCTCCGCCTCCTGCACAAGTGGCCCAGGTGGCCCAGGTGGCCCAGGGGGGCAACCGACTACAGTATGTAATACGCTCTTTTTACGGAGTAGCTCCAGGGTTTGAGCACGGTGGCTTGTCGTTAGTTTGGAGTCACCGGAATGGAAAGAATTTGGGAAATTCAAAGCTCCAAAGCAAAAAAAGAGAGGGCTGGTGACCGGGTAATGAGAAGATCATTTTCCGCGTTGGGGGGTTGACCGCGATAATGAAGGGTCTCTCTCCAGGGATGGAATATGGAATCGAGAGTCTCGATTTCTTTGATCGGCGTGTAAGCCGTATATTCGGTTACAGGTATGTAAGGAAGAAGGCATTCTGGCTTAGGTAACCGTGGAGCCGTGAGGTTTCTCAAGTTCCGTTTTCATTGGCAGATGCAGTCTGGCAACCAATAACGATCCATACTGGTAGGGGCAAACGGCCAGTCAGTGGCCAGCAGAATCCAGCAGAATCCAGCAGCTGACTGGCCCGGATCCCGTCCTTTTTCCCATTTTCCTGTCCCATTTGGCGGAATTCCAGGATGCGAGGATCCACCAAAGTCTCAGTCTTCCGTGTATAATCCGAACCACCCGCCTTCGTTGGCTGCAAGGCGAGCCATGACTGGTCCCGCGGGGTCCATCAAAAGGAAGAGGCCTGTCAGCTGTGTGCACGACGGCCGAATCACGATCCCATGGTTGGCGATTGCGCATCACCAAGAAGGCCGAGACGGCTCCGGTCGAAGGATGATGCGGCCACCATGACACGGTTACGCTACGACTGACTAATCGCGTACTCCCCGACCTGTTAGCCGCTCTCCTTTCTTATTGGTTTCGTTCTCGCTGTGGTGTTTTCCGCTTTCCTCGGCTTCTCTGCCCTCTGGGGCCTTCTGATCGTCACTATGGAGGAATCTCAGCCCGTGTGAGCGTGTTGGGCCCCCTCGCCTCTGAACTCTGCCCATCTAGCCCACCGCGCGGGATTTTCTTTCGATTTCCTTTGGACTTGCTTTTTTCGGCCTGCTTTTTTCGGCCAGGTCAGATTTCGGGCGAGTGGACTGATTTGACAGTTCAGGTCAAAGCCTCATGGGGGCCATGGCACACGGACACGAATGCGTCTTATTCGCCCGTCATGTAACTGTCTTCTCTACGGTTCAGTTCAGGGTGCAAAACCGGAAACGAGCCTTTGTTGGCAGGATGTCTTTGACTGATTCAAGGAAACCCTGTTCAACAAAGCACTCAGGAAGCAGGGTGGTGTAGTCGTCGTGTACTGTATAGAGAGTACTTTCCAGATCGATGCCCGATTTGGAATGCTAGGTGGCCCCCAAGACGCGCAGCGCGATTGCGGTGCACGCGCCTCACAGGTGATGGGCAACCCGGTACCATGTCACGAAGCGCTCTGGTACACCACACAAAGTGGATACAATTTACTGTAGGGGGAAAAGGAGGCTGCAGGGCGAATTTCGGTTGTCACGCCACCTGTTCACTCGCTGTACACAGTACTTTTTGATGGGGCTGGGGACGATCCAAACATCCGAACCTTGGCTTGGCCGGACAAATCACGTTTTCGTTAGTGTAGATGAGGCCAAGTCCAAGGTCGGTTATAGTGGGCTTTAGTGGACACGAATAGGGCGCAGGGAATCAGAATTTCCCCGTGCCCACTTTTTTTCTTCTTTTCGGTCGGGATCCTGAGCCACCGCCACGGTGTGGGTTCGTTTCGGTGTTTCCAGAACCCCAGACCTGTGTCATGGAGCCGATCTGTTGATGCTCTCGCCCAATTGCCATCATTGACAAAGTTTCACGGCCCGGGAGTAAACGCTCGAGACTCGTCACAGTCATACGGACTTTTGGGTCTGCATGGGGCACCTTTGCTCTTGTCCCCCTGTCATCGGCAATACGGGACTTTTCCTCTTTGCCATCCCCGATCTACATACTGACTTCACACCCTCCCCCCCCCTAATCTGAGCCCCTCCCCGTGGACCGCCCGCACGTCCTCGCTCTCGTTCGACGGTGGGGGCCCAGAGAGTCCGACTGGGATGACAAGACCACACTCTTCGAAAATGGTCCCGCACGTTGCCACCGACCATACGAATGATCCCGGTTGCGGCACTACTACGCACTACGGGGCTCCATTTCGAGAGTCACCGCATGGGATAATCTAACCGCCCCCGAGCTCATTAATTTGCGTGTGGTCCACAAGTACGAGTCCCCCGAAAATCTCCTCGTAAGGATGACCCCAGAGTGAGATTACCGTCTCCGGTGCCACCTGCATTAATCCATGGAAAACAAACTTCGCTATCACAAGGACACATCATAGATATTGGTTTCCTGCGTATATCCCACCGGTCACGGAGAGGTTCTACCCTTGACCATGCCTGCGGGCTGATCGTGATATGGTGATACTCGGGTCTCCTCCTGGAAGGCGGCGCGGTCGCCTATCGTGGAAAGTATCCGCTCTCTTCATTTCCGGACCAGGGCAATACCCACGAGCGCGTAGAGTTCTGGGCAACCGTGATTGGCGCCGCGTACTAAATTGCCATAGAGTTTTATTAGAGAGTACGTGCTTCTACAGTAGGGATTACTGGGTCCAACTCAGCAAAGCTGAAGCCGATCACCACTCATTACCCTGAGACGGGTTACTCCATCCGACTATTGCTCTCTGTTCCGTACTCTGGAACCTTGAAACGCGAGAAAATTGGGATGTTCTCATCACACGGCCAGCATTCGGGCGGGGCTCCGATCCCGTACATCGACCCCAACATCGAATTCCCATTGAGGGGGGGGGGTTACCTATCTATCTCATGCGTCAACTCTCGTGAGACTGTCTTGCAAGCCGCCCATTCTGATGCAAACGGACGTGATGGCCGGGATGTCCAACCCTGCACGTCTTTCCCGCTCGGGCTCCTTGCAGCTTCTCCCGTCCTTGCTGGTGAAGTGTTACCGGGAGAGCGGCTACGTGTGATGTAGACGCCGATGCTTCGACATCACATCCACATCTGAGTTGGGGCCCCGGTAAAACTAGCATCGCACAACTTGGTATCCTGTAATCGTCGCTGCGATTGACTGCACCCGGGAAGCTACTGTAGGGCGAATGATTCCTAGCGTCATCTAGTTGCCCCATCTCCCCTTGGCCTTGGATGGGCTCGCAGCGCTCCCTCGGCAGGGGGGTCAAATGACATGGATCTATAGGAGCCGATCTTGAAGGCAAAGCAGCTCCACACATCGCTAGGCTCGGTCTTTTTCAAAGACTTGGCGGAGGGGCTTGTCTTTGTCTCTTGTGACCGATTGAGGCGCACTGTTGCCTGCTATCCTGGGCGAGCGACTGCAGTTCGAAACCAAGGTCTACGCAGATCGCAAAAGGCAACGACGACGGTCGGCCGATTGGAAGAGTCCAGAACTCAGCCCTGGGCGCAGGGGCCAAACGGCCCATTCGCATCAAATAGCGTATCGCAATGATAAGTTTTCGATTGATATATTCGTCATTAGGCTTTTGGGGTTGTTTTGGGGTCTACGCCCCAAGCACCAAAGCACAATGCAGGTCTGACACCATCGGAATTCGGTTTGTTTGATCTGATTTGACTTTGTCCAGAGTTTCCGAGTGCCCCGTGAAAGGCGTCTTTGCCCCCCGCTTGGGATGATCAGTAGTACCGTATAGTCGTATAGTTGTATAGTTGTGGGGAGCCGTCATTACGTAGTGTCTCAGGCGTGTTCCTTCTAAGATTAGACCTTTGTCGAGGTGGTCTAGAGCTCGTCAGCAGAATCTCACAGCGTGGCGGTCACGGAGACGATCAACCCAGTCCCCGCAGGCACTTCAATTACGGCATCCGGCTAGAATAAACCTGGAAGACGAAAAAAAAAAGAGATCAAAAAAAATGCCGAAAATTAAATTTCTATTTTTCTGCCTACCATCAAGGGGAGATTCGGTGGAGTACGCCAAAGCGTACCGAGTCCAGTTGGGCCGACCGTGCGAGGAGAGTACGTGCGAACACGATCACATTCCTGTCCTGCCGTTCACATCCGGTATCGCCGTCACCATCCTCCACCCCTCTCTCTATGCGTCCTGATGGGGTTATCCACGCCCTAAAGAGTCCTCACTCGAAGCCGATTCGTTCCGCGTTGCCTTCTCCCCATTTCGAGGTTTTGAGGCCGCGGGGGGTGTTGCAATGCCAGGTACAATTCCGAGACTGCTGGCCTCATTTCCAACCAAGCGCCAGGTGGTACTACATTCCTTGCGACAAAGACTCAAACCCTTGATGCTCACTAAGAGGAATGGATAGCCCGAGAGGTTGTATCGAGTCGAGTCTACGCGAGGATGGTGAACATTCAAATCCAAGGCCGCTAGAAAACAAATGTCCCCATCCGATCGTCCCGAGGGTCACGATATGACTGGTGGCGGAGCAGACCTGGACCGTGGGTGACGATGAAACATGTCACCGGTGTCTTCGATATCTGAGATCGTTCAGTTCCCAAAGAAAGGATGTTTCCGATCCCACTAGGGGGGGCCAATTGCTCATTTCCACGGAACCGGACGTAGATGGCCAGATTCGTCTGGTTTTGGCTTTCACTTGCCCGATGCCGGATTTCATATCCTGGTTTTCCAATATGCTTCCTTCCACCACATTCGCCTCCAATCATGAGGACTTTGGAACTTGGCGGTGGCTAATCGCACTCGTTCCCTGTGTTGCGACGTGAGGTCGCGACTCCCGCTGACTGCTAAGTGCGGCCAGTGTCACTGATTCATAGCAATATTGGCGCCCCCGGTGAAACTGCTATAGGTGCCTCCGAGGTCTGCAGTAGGCGCGTAGTTCTTCATTACTTGCCTCTTTGCCATCCCGGATCTCGCGGTAGCATATCGTCCATTGACGAAGTGACCACGACTTTGGTCATTTACTCGGGCAAAATTGCCCGGGCCGTTGAATGTCAGCGACTGGATCTCGAACCGTTTTCGGTACTTTTTTTTGTTCTGAAGGCCTGCGCCCGCTCGCCTCGATCATGCTATTGGGCGTGGTGGAATAGTGCGAGACCGTCTTGAAATTGGGTCGACGCTGAATGGTAATCTCTCCACCTGAGCTGCTGGTTACAACTCTAGTCATGCCGGCCGTTTGCCTAGGTCACGAAGTCATACGATCCTTATTGTCGATGTTTGTCATCAAAACCGAAGCGAGTGGCCATCTCCAAACACCATAGTTAACGCGATATTTTATAACTCTATATCTCCACAAAACAATTATTTCTACTTCATCCTTCAAATTCTAGCGTTGTTTGGCATAAGAAATAGTATATAAATTAATTTTGAGTTATTGCAATCGTTATTTTGTTAAGTTACCATAAAACACGGCGTAGTTGAGCTATTTGAACTCCAAGTATATATCGCTGAACCGGTTTACTTCTAAATCTCCCTAGGCCCTATCAATAGGCTAGATTTGCTATAACGAATATGATACCATAATAAAGACTTTAAAATAATCTATTGTTGTTGAGTTATGAGGGGGTAAATATGTTTTGTCCTATGGCTAAATTTTCTGATCGTTAGTCCACTGGGAGGCTATCTGAACCACAGCACCGATTCGAATCCCACAATGACCACTGATGCTGGAACTACAGGAGTTGCTCCCACTCCTACCAATGTCTTGGAAGGAAGTAGCCGAAACTGTAGTCAATGGTATTCGGTATGTTACATGACTGGTTGAAGTATTTGATACCTTTTTCACCGTTGAATCCTCTGAACTCGTCGCAGGTGATCGGAGGAGATGGATGCAATACGGTGTCAATAGAACTGCCAAATTGATTGAGTGGTTTCTATTTTCTTAATCCTGAGATTGATGCAAACGCCTGAGTAAATTGGACATCCATTGTCGAGTTTGTCTAGGCATATCTTGAATACCAAACACAGACAATAGCATGTTTCGGTAACCCGATATCTCCTAAAAGGACAACCACTCCAAAATTCGACTGGGACCCTAGATTTCTTCACTCAGCAGAAGGTCATTTCTTTTTCTCGCACAATCAAACGCCCTCTACCAAAATCTTGGCAGAATTTTGCACGAAAGTATCAGTTCCGAAGGTTGGCTTTATCAGGTCATTCGGCCAGTCTCCATGAAAGAGCTTTAGCCCTACCGGCCAAATTAGCAAGGAACGATCCGCCTAGAAATCCATCTAAACGAATACCCGACATGGAAACAAACAGCAATAAAGCTGATAACCTCGAAAGGACCTTCAAGAGTGCTAGCTTTAGAACCTGGGGCTTTGTCATTTATCGATCCACATATCGGAGTGATTCGGACTGAGCGGAATTCTTGCGTCGTTACCGGTGGCATGTCGCTGACTCGCTAGAGAACCACAATGGGCTAGATCTTCTTGATATCTTCAAGACCACTGTCTTTGAGAACAAAGCACTGCATGAAGGTGCGAGCACGGCTATGATCCGGAAGGATTTCCAGAAGTGGGCTAGGACGGTGATCCTGGAAGAGCAGGGGTGTTTCGCCTGATATACTCGGTTTCGCTAATGTTAAAGCGACGCGGTATCAGTTCTGTCATTTCGTCGATGAAGAGGCGTTGCAAAGTATTCTTCGAGCCCCCTCCGACGACTGTATCAATAAAAATGCATTCATAAATATGCTGAACGGGTGGTGGAAGCCAGAGTCACTTGAAACCCGCGACCCAGAAGAGTTAGAAGGGTACGAGCTGGAGGAATTGGTTGACAATGGTTACGGGCCTGTCGAAGGATGTGCTGTGAAGGATATTGGGTGGATGAAGGTTGCTTTCTGTGATGCTGGCTTGCTCGGCTTCATTAGAATGGGTGAACAAGAGGAGTGGAAAAGACTGTATGAGCGTCCTTCTGGAATATGCTACCATATCTCGGCATTTTATTCACGACGATAAAACTTTGATTTGAATATAACCATAATTCGATGTGGACTGCTCCACGGGTCGCCGAGGAGACTAACATCTATCTCATATATTGATTAAACAGACAGCAATGTACCTTGACGCCTTCGATATAGACATCGAGCTTCCCTTTCAACATATCACCCTCAATACCCAGTGGTCCATCGTAAATCAACTTCTCAACAACCCTCGCATTGACCTAAACTCAAGCACATTCACACGTCCATAAAAATCTCAAATAAAGAAATCAACATACTTGGCGCAGCCCAAGATCAAGAACACCTGCAGCTCTAAGCAAACGCATACAAGTATTCATCTCATCTGCAGGTTACTTGATACTATGCCTCGGCCAAGGTCAACTGCATGTGTTATTTCAAATAACGTAGCGCGACGACAGCGTGGATGATTCTCATTTTACATCCTCAGGGTTTGTACTAATATGATATCAATTAAAAGTCACGCAAATTCTGGACCTATAATTTAGATCCAACCCACTATTCCACGAATTTAGAACCCGTCACACCCGGACCCTGAGCCAACTCGTGGATCTCACCAAGCCCCCGTCCAACAGACAAACTCCTCAAGAACCCGATGCGATATAAGCTCCGAATAAAAGCCTTCCTTGCCATCTACTGTCGAGAACGATATCCGTCCTCTACGGAGTCGCCGAAACTGTGGAGAGAGTTTTCTGACGCATGATGCACAATCGACCGCTCCACATAGGATTGACATAACTACCCAGCCGAGAACGAGCTATAGTCCCAGCCTTGCTTACCTGTCTGCACATGAATGGGCTTTGAATAAGTTCGATTGAGAACTAAGATAGGCTGCAGCTCGAAGATACTTCATCCATCACATTCTAACATTCTTGTTGGGGATGTGATATTTCAACTTTGAAGATCTGCTAGGTTTGGGGGGAGGGGGAATAGGGAGACCGGGTTGCTAGGAATGGAATGAAATTAATGATATACATCCAGGAACCCCCTAAATTGTGTACCAAAATTACGAGTTCATTCTCTACCACCCAATGTCACCTTAACTCTTCCTGTGAAAAGCCACTTCTGGTCGCAAGATACCTCGGCATCTGGTCTCTCAATCATACTAAGACCTTCAAGCGGATTCTCAATTGAATGAGACGATCTTGAGCTGATTAATCTAGCCATGAGATCTCAAATAACCAGTCAGCAAGGTCAAGGGCTGTCATTGGACATGGAATCACGTTCTCAGCACATACACCTGTTCTGAGCGGTCTACAATATGGAACGATCATTGTGTACAAATCCCAGACATCGTCTGTCGCTTCCGGAGAAAGCTATCGCAGTCATAGTTAAGATCTTTATCCCCACCGGCTACGTGTCTGCCATTGACGCGTAGTAATTTGAAATTGGACAAGGTGATATCTACAAGAGAATCGACGGTGGAAACGACATTAGTCGGGCGTTAGTAGCCAGCCGTATTTGTCGATATCGTGCACCTGAGACAGGAATCCACTAGTTATTCATCTAGAAGAGCTTCTATACAAGTTTGGAAGGAGCGGTATTGATGACTGAGTAAAGAGCATTACTGAGCGCCTATAAGGCAGGTACCAACGAGCCCAGACTATTCAAAATACAACATTTTGGAATCCAAGCATGTCCCATTCTACAATCTCATTGCCCGAACCCGTCGACCATCAGACAATCTTCATGGCCGCAACATGCTCAAGCCATCCTTTGGCGTACCGGAAAGTCCTGTAGTAAAAGACAGAAGCATTCCTATAAGGGCTAGAACTTCAGGGCCCCATACGTCATTGTCGTCCCAATCGGGGTATCTTGGAGAAAGCTAGCACCACCGACTCTCGCCGAAGGCTTCGACCTATTTCAGGGATAGCTGAGACGCCAGGAAGAAATCGGACAGTCAATGGTCGAAGTGGATCAGGATTATTCCCCAGATTCTACGCAGGGGGAAAGTCCAGGCCACGATAAAGCCAAAAAGTCAAAGCGAGATTGGAAATTTATGTTTAGTTCCTCGTGCGTGGCGGGTAATTTCGGAAATCGGAGCATCTCATAGGGGAAAGACGGACTGAAAATGAAGACCGAAAAGTGAGTAAGAATATGGAAGAGGCTGAAAATGATACGCTAGAATGCTTTCTAGAGATCTACTTAGCTCTATGTGAGGATAAAAAGGACTAGAGAATTGGAGTCTGGGCGGTTTCCTTTTTTGATCCTACTCCTCAGCGGTTAAATTTCTCCTCACCGAGGGATGAGGAGTACGCTGATGAGGAGTACGCAGATGAGGAGTACGGGTCCGATGGAGCTCCCCTCACGGCTCTATGTAAATTTTTTTTAATAATTTTTTTTGCCTCTTTCCCTCTTTTCTCGTTGGCCTTTTTTGCCGCTAAAATATAAAAAAAATGTGGGGCCGAGAGCTCGTCATCGGCGATGACAGTCGGAGTCGATTACAGGGATATAATACCAATTGATTCCATTCCGATCGTAGCAATTAATCAAGGTCATAAATAACAATTAGAACGAATAACCGATCACTGGTCCGAGAAAGTACAGGGTACTTATGCGGTCATAGAGAACAACAAGGGAAAGTAAGTACCGGGGACAAGGAGGAGACCCCTTTGGGACCCGGCCACACCGATTCGCCCGAAACAGCAACGCAGTTGTGACTGTCGACACGGGACTCCCTTATCGCAGACTTTTTTGATCGGCTCGGCTTCTCCCTTCTTTCCTTCACACCTTCAGCTCCTTGGTGCCTTTTCTCCATCATGGCTGGCAGTACGCTAGCAATGCGTTCGATGATGCAGCTGTCGCAGCTGTCCTCCGTCTCGCGCCGTACCGTCTCCACAGCATCCCAGGCCCTCCGCGCAAAGCCGTTCCAGCCTAGCAGCATCCAGACGGTTTCGCGCGTCGCTCGCCGTGGTTACGCCGATGCGGCTCCCACGCCTTCGCCTGCTCCCAAGCCCAAGAAGCGATTCCGATTCCTGCGCTGGTCCTGGCGGTTGACCTGGCTCTCTGCTCTCGGTCTGACCGGTACCTTGTGTTACAGCATCTACTCCCTGCGTCACCCCGTCGAACAGCTCGAAGCCGACCCTTCGAAGAAGACCCTGGTCATTCTCGGTACGACGCGATTGCGAACATGAACCTCCAAAGAAACATTGCTAATGCAGCCGCCCATGTAGGAACCGGCTGGGGGGCTGTCTCCCTGCTCAAGAAGCTCGATACCGAGAACTACAATGTCGTCGTCGTCTCCCCCCGTAACTACTTCCTGTTCACTCCCCTGCTGCCATCATGCACCACCGGTCTGATCGAGCACCGCTCGATCATGGAGCCCATCCGTAACATCCTGCGCCAGAAAAAGGCTACTGTCAAGTTTTACGAAGCCGAGGCCACCAAGATCGACTACGAGAAGCGTGTCGTTTACATTAGTGACGACTCCGAGATCAAGGGTGACATTTCCCACACTGAGGTTCCTTTCGATATGCTCGTGATCGGCGTTGGTGCCGAGAACGCGACTTTTGGTGGGTGCTCCCCCGTGCAACAATGAGGTCGAAATGGGCAGAACTGATAACATACAGGTATTCCGGGTGTCCGCGAGAACTCGTGCTTCCTGAAGGAGGTGAACGATGCTCAGAACATTCGTAAGCGTATTATGGACTGTGTCGAGACCGCTATGTTCAAGGATCAGACCGAAGACGAGGTTAAGCGCCTGCTGCACATGGTTGTAGTTGGTGGTGGCCCTACTGGTGTCGAGTTCGCCGGTGAAATCCAAGATTTCTTCAACGAAGATCTGAAGAAGTGGATTCCCGAGATCAAAGACAACTTCCACGTTACTCTTGTTGAGGCCCTGCCGAACGTCCTGCCCATGTTCTCCAAGCAACTGATTGACTACACCGAATCGACTTTCAAGGAGGAGGAGATCACCATCCGCACCAAGACTATGGTCAAGAAGGTTACTGAGAAGTACATCGAGGCCGAGGTTACCAACCCGGACGGAACCAAGGCCATCGAGACTATTCCCTACGGTCTGCTCGTCTGGGCCACCGGTAACGCTGTGCGTCCCGTTGTGCGCGATCTGATGGGCCAGATTCCGGCTCAGAAGGACTCCCGCCGTGGTCTTGCTGTGAACGAGTACCTGGTTGTCAACGGCGCCGAGAACATTTGGGCCGTCGGTGACTGCGCTATCACCAACTATGCCCCTACCGCTCAGGTTGCCGGCCAGGAGGGTGCCTTCCTGGCTCGCCTGTTCAACATCATGGCCAAGACTGACAGCATCGAGAAGGAGCTCCACACCCTCTCCGAGAAGCAGTCCCAGGTCAAGTCCAACGACGAGCGCAACCAGATCCTCGAGGAGATCCGTGAGCGCCAGAAGCAGCTCCGGAGAACCAAGCAGATGGGCCCCTTCCAGTACTCTCACCAGGGTTCCCTTGCCTACATTGGCAAGGAGCGTGCCGTCGCCGATATCAGCTGGCTGAGCGGCAACATCGCCAGTGGTGGTACCCTGACCTACCTTTTCTGGCGCAGTGCCTACCTGAGCATGTGCTTCAGCTGTAAGTTTGACCTTTGCTCTCCAAATTTCCAGTATTGATAACTAACTTTTAATAGCTCGTAACCGTGTTCTGGTCGCCGTCGACTGGATCAAGGCCCGTCTGTTCGGCCGTGACGTCTCTCGGGAGTAAATGCATCGCTTGCCAGTGCCCCAAAGTGACTGTACTATACAGCCGTTCCTGCTTTTCCTTTCATCGTCCTTCCAACACGGAAACCGTGTCATTGGACACTTGTAACGCCCCGCACCTCCGTACCTCCCATTGAACTTTCCTTGCTCTTTTGTGATAGACATATCCATTATCTGCTCTTATTCGTGATGGCCCGCAGTTGCTACTGTTAGCGGTCTCATCCATCGTCTTATAACCTCATGTACACTTCCCCAGGCCGCGGCCATTTCACAGACCTCTCTGCGGGGGTTGTAGAGGAAAAGCATTAATTCCCTTCTTTTTTGTGCCTTTTAGCTTTGCTTGGCTTGTACGCTATGGGAATAGATAGACTAGGTTTGGGATCGTTGCCTAGAGACTGCCATATTCGACCGATGAATTTCGTTTCTCGCTGCATTCTTCACTCTTCGATGTGACTCGATTCTAGATTTTCTGTAGTAAACCTGAGATGCCGGGTTTATTGAGATTCGGTAAATTTGAGTCTATGTACAAGGACTGGGTCATTTATAGACACACGGCCATCCCAACGAGAGAGGAGTATACCCAAAGAAAGGAGGGAAACATGGAGACGGGGCAGAAAGGTATCAAAATTACAAGCCGGGAATAGGCAGAGGTATCGAACGGGAATAGTAACAGGGGGGGGACAGCAAAATCGACCAAATCAGCAACTCATGACAAATTTCAGCTTAGAAGATGGACCAGCGGCCACGGGTCTCCTTGGCAGCCTGCTGACGATCAGCTTTGCGTTGCGGGCTGCGGCCGTCTAGTTGCCGGATGCCTTCGATCTTCTGGAGGGCCAACTCGAGGAGCTCCTTCTTGCGGATGATGTCGAGGTGGCGGCGAACGCGGGGGTCTTCGCGTGCGAAACGCTCGACCTCAGCGTCGGAGAGGTGTCGGCCGAGTCTCGAATCCAACTCACGAGGGAAGTTGTAGTAAAATTCGGAAAGGAGCTCGACGTTGAGGAACAGTACCGCCGTCGAGGTGAGCTTGTCTGCTACCACGTCGAGGAACACTTCCGGGCAGTAATACTTGTTCTTTTGGGTGGCGCACTGCTTGGATCGGATGGCCATGAGTCGCAGTTTAATGAGTTCCGCTCGATCACGAAGGAAAAGTCCCTCCCGGCCTATAAGCAAGTTAGTTTGGATCTGAAGGGCGTACAACTGGCGCATGAAAGCTTACCTCGTTCCAAAAGAGCGGCGCTGAAACCACCTGCGCCGCTGGCGCTATTGCCCTCGAGCACGATATCGCCCCTCCTGACCTTGTCGATGAAAGACATCACATCCTTGAGCTTACGTTTCCCAATTGCGTCCTCGACTTGTTTCATGGCTGACTCGCACGCTCGGAGCTCCTCCTTCAACACCTTGCCCACATTGTCTCTCCCCTTTGACCATTCTGAGTCCTCAACCTCAATTTCGAACTTGTATGGCTTGATGCAGTTTTCCACCTGATCACTAGTGCTGAAGAACCGGTCATTAAGTATGCCAGTGCAAGCATCGACGATCTGCTTCTGCGCCCCGGGATGAGCGGCGAACGTAGAGGACGCCAGAAGCGAGTTCACGTGGTTCTGAAGAGCATTCGCAACCACGGTGGTAGCAAGTCTGCCAATGCCGAGCTTCGTCAGCATGGAAGAGGAGGCATCAAGCTTCCGATGCCAGTACAGGGACTCGGGATCAGCCTTAGGCAGGTCCTTAAGGGGGTCCAGTTCTAGCATTGGCGGGTTCAAGTCCTCGACGGGCTTGTTCCAATAGCGTTGTGCAAGAATATCTAGAACTCGTTGATCCAGCTCAGCCTTGAGCATCTCGCGAACCTGTGGTCGGCCGAAACCTTCGGCAAACTCCTTGAAAGAATGCTTGAAGCTGTCCAAGCTTTCTGCCAAGTATGACTCGGCGCTGAGAGGCCGATCGTTATATTGCACCTTGAACTCGTAGGTCGCCTCTTCCAGCTCCTGGCTGATGGCATCCCTAGTTCCGGACAAGCTGGAAGCCATGGTCTGTTCAAGGACGTGCATGAGCTTCTTGCGAAGAGTTGAGACGCCAACGGACGTTTCCGAGTGAGGTCCGAATTCACCGGGATGGGCGGAGAAGTACGCTTTTTCATTCTTCAGAATGGCACTGGTAATGTTTCCAGAGCCTCGAGAGAAGAGAGCTGTTGATTGAGGAATCCGGCTTACAACACCCACATAACCCAGCCGAAGGGGATACTTCTTGTCGCAGAGGATATCGTGTCCCCGCTCAGGATCGACAAGATCCATCTTCGTGATCACACCGATAGTCCGTTCTCCGCGGGGATCCACGCGACGGCTAGATCTTAGCGCTGTCGAGTTCGCAAGATCCACATCGGCGGCTGAAATAGCCAAAATGACGTTAGGAGGTTGGATGTATTTATCACAAAGATCAGAAATCTTCTGCTTTAGCTCCGGGGGCTGATCATGGCCGGCAACTTGGATATAGCCCGGCAGATCGATCATGGAGAGGTCCGGAACATGGGGAGAGTAGATTGTCAGCTGAATAGGATCATCTGATACACAATCTTTGTCCGGGACAGCAAGGTTCAAGTCGGTCAGGGTGCGTTGAATGGAAGAAAAGTCCGTGATCTTGCCGAGGCCCAAGGCTGGGAATTCACCGTATTCCGCTTGGGCGTTGGGGGTGTTGACCAGGGTCAGTTCAATCGGCCGTCGGGTGACCATGTTGGAGCCCTTGGGCAAGAACTCGTGTCCCACGATAGCTTCGAGAACCGAGCTTTTGCCGGAAGACTGGGAGCCAATCACGACGATGGATGGAAGGGTCAACGAGTCCGACTGGCCAACAGTCTGGAGGATGTTCCGGATCTCGATCATTTTGCGCGTAAGAACCATCATTTGATCGTCCTCAGCGACTTCTTTATCATCCCGCGAATCGTCCTCGTCCGACTGCTCGTAGCCAAAGGCTGTACCAGTTGCAGCAGCGGCACCCGTTGCCGCAGCTCGTCCCTCTTTGGGTTCCCTTCCACCGCCGCCATCATGTTGAGATTTGGATTCCTCGTCAATCCGGAGGATTTTTTGTAGCCATTCCGGAAGCTCAACATCCCCGGTTGTGTGTTCCCATCCACGTTGTGTTTGTTCCGCCACATCCTGAATACTTTGAAATAGGCCCGATGCCGTATTTCCCGCAGTCTCACCGAACTGTTTGAACACATCTATCGCATAGTTGCCGGCCTCTGCAGGTATTTATTAGCAGCCGCGGATTGAAATGGAGCTCTGTAGGACATACGGTTTGCCTGGTATTGAATATAAGCCAGGCCCGCGATCGTTGCACCGCCGAACATGGCGGGGATGCGGGCAAGTTTGAGAGCAAGCCTTGGGAGCATTCGTCCGAATGAGAAGGCTCGTACAGCAGGGACGTTGTGGATGCCATTTGAGCCTATCGGCCATGCCCGTCCCCTCAGAGCAGCGCCACCATCCGCGCGAAGTAGGCCGCCTGTTCTGGAGCCAGCATTATGAAGGTGGCGTGCCCAGCCGGTTCGCACCAGCGGGGCGAGTCGATGGGAGAGGATCCTCCCACTCATGGCTGTTGCGAAATCTCATTCAAGATAACATGAAGTAGAGTTGTGAAGATCACGGGCGACTGACATCAACGTGACTGCGCGAGTGGCCGCTTCGTCTCCCGTATTGCATATCACGTGCCGTAAAATGACGTGCTGTGCAGGGGAAGTGAGCGAGTTGTTTTCGAGGAATCTTTGGTCCTGAGAGATATTTTGCTACTTATTCAAGGGATTCTTTGTGTGGTTACCTTCTGTTGAGATCCAGGGTAGTGGTTGGCTTGGAGTGGTCCAGTTGTGACTTGCGAATAGTCGGTGACTCTTCAACCTCCAACACCCAACGGCTGAGCCAACTCAATCATCGCCTGGAAAGAATATCAGAGAGCTCGTCTATAACACTACAGCTTGGTATATTAGCAGCTGGAGCGTACTTCTCTTGGAAATATCCGCAATCAGCGCTTAGTCGAGCCCGATTGGATCGGCTCAAGACCAGACATGTGTCGATTCTTGGTGAGCTGCTCTGCCGCGCTCATTTGGTATCCTAAATGTCTAACTTTGGTTCCAACAGATTTACAAGGGTCTTAATGAGATCCGTCTCAGCAAACTTGTTACAGAGCCCAGTCATTCCATCCTGACTCAGTCCTATGACTCCCGGTTAAGATTGGTATGTCAAACAGCCTCAATGCTGCTCTGCCTAGAAGTGGCCATATATAGATACGGCTAACATGAAAAATCCAGGACAATCGGCGTCCTGTGAATGGAGATGGATTCGGAGTGGGTTTCTACACCGACCCTAAACTAGGACCGGAGCCCTGCATCTTCACATCAACACTGCCAGCCTGGAACTGCGAGAATTTAGAGCGGCTGGCTTCCAAAACTTGCTCTAATTTGATTTTTGCCCACGTCCGCGCCACCACTGAGGGTGCTCTTGCGGAGAACAATTGCCACCCGTTCCAGCACCAGACTCTGATGTGGATGCACAACGGCAGTATTGGCGGCTGGAATTATATCAAGCGGGCACTGGGTAGCTCTCTCTCCGATAAGTGGTATCTCGGCGTCAAGGGTGGCACAGATAGCGAGTGGTCCTTTGCGCTGTTTCTCGATCTGCTCGAGAAAGAAGGTGTCGACCCGAGTTCAGATCCTGGCCCAGAAGGGTTTGGCCAGGCTCTGCTGCGTCGCGTTATGATGAAGACCATTGCCAAAATCAATGAGTTTGTGCGCGACATCCCCAACAAGCACAACCTCACGGATCTTGAGACGCGAAGCCTGCTGAACTTTGCGGTCACAGATGGCCACACTGTCGTCTGTACGCGGTATGTCAGCAGCAAGACGGACGAACCTGCGAGCTTGTACTTCTCGTCTGGCACTAAGTGGAAGGAGGGGAAGACCAAGGGTCACTTCAAGATGGAGCGCCATGACAAGGGTGCTGATATCGTGCTCGTGGCTAGTGAGCCTATCACTTTTGAACGACGTCAGTAATCCTCTTTTCCCTTCATCTATCATGGCAAGTGCTGATTGAGGTTGCAGACAATTGGGTCTCAGTTCCCACAAACTCAGTGGTGACCATTCACAAACAGACTGTGTTGCTACACCCGATCTTGGATGAATTCTACAGTGAAGATCTCAACCACGATCGCTCAACCTGTTTCGCCGTATCCAAAGGCCTTGTTAGCACGGCACCTGGAACTACTGTTCCCCCGCCAAACAACGAGACTTGTGCCTCTTCCGCATCACAGGCGACACATGAGAAAGATGTAGCTGTCCTGGACGGACCTCGCCGTTCCCAACCTACAGCGGCCGTATCTCATTGAGGTGCATGTTCTTGAAATACTATCAGAACAGGACTTTTGTCAGTTCCTGTGAGGCGAGAGATTAATATCGGAAAGAGAAAATGATACCTAACCTGCATTTGGAGTCATTGGGGTTTTGATTGAATGGTATTGTCATATGAGCATTTCGGTTTAGTTAGGGGCGCTAACATTGAGATTGGCCACCTTTTCTATAGTCAAACAATCTTGGTTCAGACTGATAAAGATAAAAAGATTAAATATTGGAAAGGCGCCCAAAAGTAGTATAAGCACGCCTAGCCGGTATCCGGATCGACCAATCCCTTTCCCATTCCAGGTACTTCATGAGCCAAACTCTCAGATATAAAGCCTATTCTCTTTATCGTCCTTTTGCTTGTTTCACTCCATTCAACTATAGGACGGTGATTGGGGGCCGGAAACGGCCGGGCTTGGGCCCCTTTTCTAAGCGGCTTACGTCCACCGGTGGCCCCAGACCCTATTATCTCCAGTGTTCAGGGCCTGACAGCACACATATGGTTGCCGAACCTGCAACGGAAATGTCACAGAAAAGAAAGTTCCTGAGGCTCGCAAGTTAGTGACTACTCTTTCACAGGCAGGATTGAATCCGTGAGTTAGGGCTAATTGGAATGCAGGTCCCAATGAAGTCCGCACAATCAGTCGTGAGGCCGTTGGTTATTACAACGCCCTCCTCATAGCAGCAGTCTACGAGGTTGCAAGTGAAGATGTAGACATCAGATCTGCTGAAACCTTCATTTCTCCTTTAAAACAATGCATCCAGGAGCACCCATTCCTGAGTGTGGTCATCAAGGACAAACATACCGAAAAGCCAGCTTACGAAGCGGTTTCGAGTATTAATATCGAGGACCACGTATCCATACTCCACGATGAGCACCCTGATGGTGAGACAGCAGCTATTCAAAGGGTCCTGCCACCAATACTCGACCGGCCATGGCCTGCCGACATACCTCTGTGGCGAATCGTCGTCCTCCCTCTGGCCTCGCACGGCTTGGTGAAGCGCTGCTTTGTAGCCTTTTCATTTTCCCACTCCCTCGGAGACGGTATGATCGGAATTACATTCCATCGTACTTTTCTCGATACATGGCGGCAGACCACTGGTGCGGAGGACAAAGAGTGGTTGGTTATGACTCCACCAGATATAACGCTCCCGGCGCCCTTCGACACCCCTGAAAGACTTCCCATATCTTGGAAGTTTCTTCTGGGACCGTTGCTAGCAGTGTATTTGCCAAATTTCATGAACGAACTACTCGGACTCCGTGCAGCCGCCAGCACAATCGAGCCCGGTACCTGGATCGGCTCGCCCATGTTCTTCGACCCAGTGTCTGAACTGCCTAGCAGAGTGCAAATCCTCGAGATCGAAGCTTCGCTGGTCCAGAAGGCCCTGCAAGCATCCAGAAGCCACGACGCAAAACTCACCGCAACGATGCACCAGCTGATCGTTCGGGCATTGAGCAAGGCTATTCCTAACCGCGACATAACCAAGTTCGTCTCGGGGACAGCTGTTGACATGCGATCGTCTATTGGTATCCCACCCTATACATGGGGTCTTTTCGTGTCTGGTCATTATGAGGTCCATCCTCGTGTATTTGAGACGGGGCCTGCGTTATCAGATGAGATGTGGGCTGCGGCGAGTTCGATCACGAAAAGACTCGCTGAATGTCGCACGAGGCTGCATGATCAAGCTATCGGTCTGCTGCGATATGCTCCCAGTATCAGAAACTGGACTCTGGGTAAAATTGGGCACCAGCGGGATTGTTCATTCGAAGTGAGCAATCTGCTTGCTTTCGATGGTGGTGGAAATGCCAATTGCAATATCAGCAAGATGTTGTTTTCGCAGCCTACTAATGTGCTCAGTGCACCCCTTGTGTTTAGTATTATCACTGTTAAGGGGGGTAGCTTGGTGTGCACTGTGAGTTGGCAAGCTGGAGCATTGAATGTGCCGATAGCGGACGAGAGACCGTTGGTTGATGAGGTTTGCTCATCGTTTCGAGCGGGCTTTGAAGCCTTGAGTGTTTGACCGATCTTACACCCGTACAGGCTGCTAAGACTCTCGGCAGAAGTCCAGAACTATCTACCTAGCCGTGAACCTAATGTGTGTTCGTCCTCCACGGTTGGATTGGCGTCTAAACAGACGCAAATTACTGTTCATCGCAAAGTGCTCATTGAAACATTCCATGTATTTAGAATAATATACATTAAAGGAGCAGCGAGGCTCAACTATCATCACCCGATATATTAGCATGTTTGAAGTACTTCATTCCAATCCAAGCGACAACCACCCAGACCCACGCCATAACGGCCGTGAGAATAATCAACGCCGGATAGTACCCCACTATAGGAAGCGTAGGATCATCCTCTAACTCCGGTGGCGCGTAAGGTGTCTCGCCGACATCCCACGCCCAGCTCCAGACCTCGAAGCAGCTGCCGATCCCGACAACAAAGACCAGCCAGGTGACCATCAGGATAATCCAGCCCCACCACTCGGTCTCGGAATAGTCCCATGTTATCTCGGCGTTGCTTTTTATTTCGACGGGGTGTGTGGCGAGGGGTGAGGATTTGCGGTGGACGGATCTGTAGTCTGTGTCGGAGGGAAGAGGGTAGTAGGAGTCTGAGCCGGAGGATGGGGATGAGATGTGGAGAGCTGCGGTGGGTGCGTTTTTCGTTGCGTTGTTACCGGTAGCGGAAGCGTTTGTAGTATTGATTCGTGGGAAGGAGACGAGCTCTTCGTCGTCGGTGCCTGTCTCTTCGCCCAGGAGGTTCTGTTGCGCGAGACCTTGCCGGCGGCGCGTAAGGGAGGGGCGGAGAATCTTCTGCGCGGTACTTGCGCGAAACCAACTCGGCCGGGTCTGGGTATCTTCGGCGTCATCGTCAAAGTTTCCGCGCGGTGTGAACTCGTTTGGTGGTGAGGTCTGGTCTTTCGAAGACCGCAGCGCGTCGTTCTGGTATCGAACGGGGTCCGCCGATTTACTCGCCGAACGTTTCTCGCGCGATTCCAACCGTGTGCCTAGAAGGGCAGTTTTCCGTAAGGAGCCCCGTCGCCGTCGTGTGCGGCGCTGCTCTTGTAGAACTGCCGACATGGCCCGGCCGCTTGCTGGAGCGTTGCTGGAGATTTGTGGCCTGTTGGGCGCGAGGTCCTCGCTATCCCCGTCCTGGTCCATAGCGTGGGAGGCCGACTCGGATTGTGTAGCTTGGCTCATGCGAAGGAATGAGAGTCTCGAAAGTAAAGAGCCGGAGAGGCTTCGTTTGTGGCCGCTATTTGCGCTGCCAGATCGCGTTCGGTTGGGTGGTCTGTCGACTGCGAGTTCCGCATTGTTGCTTTGGCCATCGTCCATTGGCGCAAGTGGAAACCGAGAGCTGGGACATCAGCTCGCCGGTATTCAGTCCCCCAGCATGGGAAAATCCGGGCCAGATACGAAGTCGTTGTGCTCGGGTTTGCTTTCCTCACATCGCGCGCGGAGATGGAGTCCGGGTTTGGAGATCAACAGGAGGTGGCGTTTCCGCCTGGAGTTTCAGGCACCACGGGAAAGTTGAAACATGTCAAGTTAGTAGCCAGAGAGGATGGAAGAGTATATGAATGGTTACGGACTAAAGTAAAGGCGCTTCGGCTTCGTGGGTCTTGGCCATCAAGCTAATCGTAGCATTCTCCTTTGTAGACTGCAAGGGAACTAGCTGGGGACAGACAAGATAGTACCATGTACGAAAGCAAAGATAGGTGGGACAGAACACGAATTGGCCGCAAGATCTAGGTAAACCCAAGGGCAAACAAAAGACAATTGGTATATCGGCTAGAACTCCAGCAGGCAGAGGAAAAGATCAAACACCGATTGGTGTCAAGCAGTTGAAAGAAATTCATCACAGCATATACGGATACTTTGGGGAAAGAAAAAGGTCTCAAGAAAGATCTGAGAACGAAAATTGTCAACCGAGAAATCCAGGGCAGAAAGCCCATGAAAGCATATGTTAGTGGAAGAAAATGAGTAGTATCAAACAAAAGAAGGTATGGGCCTAAGGGAAAAAAAAAGAAGAAGAAGAAGAAGAAGAAGAAAAAGAGACGACGAAGCAAATCTGATACAGCACAATACATGTACTGGAATGCAATAGTAGCTAGCAAGGAGAATTGACAAGAAATCAAACAGGGAGAGTAGGAAGGTCGCTTTTATTTTGGAGCATCGCACAAGAATCAGAAGCCCAAGTTGTTCGCAAGGAACTAGCGCTTGCACTCTTCGAAGGGACAGAAAAAGAAAGAATCGAGCCAACAAAGTGGACTTTGGGGTATTCGGTGCACAACACACAAATTCCATTTCAGAACAAGGCAGTTTGATCGCTTAAAAATCCACTTGCAGAGGCAATTTCGAAAAGAAACTAGGACGAAAGGAAACATGAAGGGGATTTGCAGGGGGTACAAAGGGTACTCGGGAAGAAAATGGACAGGGGAGGGGAGAGGGAGTCGACAAGGATCAGTCAGTGAGAGTAGACAGTCGAGCCATCAGACAGGACCGAAAAAGAGCCATGCCAATCAGCACTGCGGCCTGCTCTCAAGGACAGCCCGGGAAGAACTACGCCTGGTAGCCTCCATTGAAGTTGGTATTGGACTGGTCCCAGTTACCGGTGGGGGACATAGGCTGGCCACGACCGTAACCACCGGCATTGCCCTGGGTGAAGCCTTGACCGGGCATGCCAGGCCCAGCAAAGTTGTTTGCTTGTTGATCCCAGCCTCGGCCAGCAGGGGCAGGACCTGTCCAGTCAGAAACAGAACTTCAGAATTGAAGCTCAGAATACTCACCTTGGTTCATGGGGGCTGCCGGACCGCCATATTGAGGGAAGAAGCCGGGGCTGTTGTTGAAAGCAGCAGCATTGGCCTGAGGGGAGAAGTTGTCGAACTGACCCGTAGGAGGTCGATCTTTACCCCACTGTTACAATCAGTAAAGAACATGAAGCTGCGATGGAGAGCAATAACATACGCTGCACTTGAGCGGACGGCCGTTGACATTGTAGGCGTTCAGCTGGCAAATAGCCATGGCAGCATTCTCATGCGAGTCCATCTTGACGAACGCGAAGCCACGGTCGGCCTGAAGGCGAGTCTCGAGAACATAGCCGAAGTTCTGGAACAAGGGCACCAGGTCGTTCTGGGAAGTGTACGGGGTCAGGTTGCCAACATAGCATGTGGTCTGCCACTGAGGGGTCTGCTGGACGACCATGTCGTAGCTCTGAATGCCCTGTGTGGGGAAGTGGTGGTGGCCGAAGGGAGTGGTGGGAGTCATGCCCATGGCAGCCATGGCCTGCTGCTGGGAGATGGAAGGCTGACCCTTCTGGTTAGCCCAGTTGCAGCGGATGGCGCGAGATCCAAGCCACTCCCCATCCATAGCGTTGAGTGCCTTGTCAGCATCGGCGCGGTCCCGGAAAGCAACGAAGCCGTATCCGCGCGAGCGGCCAGTCTTCATATCCCACATCACACGAGCTTCGGAGACCGATCCAAAGGCGGAGAATGCTTGAGTCAAAATTTCGTCGTTCACTTCGTTACTCAGGTCACCAACAAAGATGTGGAAGTGGTTCGAAGTGTCCTCCTTGTTTGTGCTGTTGGACTGGTACGCCCAGTTCACTCGGATTTCCTAAGAGAGACAAGATGAGAGGGAGATCGTGAAATGAGCCTGAAAGAAAGAACCTACCGACTGGTGAATGCGGCGACCATTCAAGGTCTGCATCGCGCGCTCAGCCGCACCTGGGTCGTCAAACTCCACGAAGCCGTAGTTGTAGCCCTTGCTGTTGAACTGCTGCAAAAGTTAGTCGGGACACGTACACATAAGCGCCGAAGGAAATATCACTCCTCCCAGCTTCTCTGAGAAAGGGGGAGTGAATTCCTTCAACCAACACAACTCACATTCTTGTCCGGGATTATTTTCACGCTAACCACGTGGCCGGTGGTTTCGAAGATCTGCTTGAGGATGTCTTCCGTGACCCGGGGGTCAAGACCACCGACGTAGAGGGCTCGCTTGTTGGGCTCGGGCGCAGCACGACGAACATATCCTCCAGCGCTGGTGGGAGACATCATGCCGGCTGACATGGGAGAGGTGATGGCAGTGGGGATCGGGTTGGTGTTCTGAGGGATGATTACGGGCGGCCGCGGGGGAGGTGGCATATGGGATGGGTTGGTCTGACCATTGCCCTGGGCGCCCTCGTACTGCTGGTTCTGAGCACCAGCAGCCGGCTGGGGAGCCGAAGGCAAAGAGGGAGGGGCCGGAGCCGCAGCGTTCTCAGCCATCGTGTATAGGCCGGGGATTGCGGTCGGTAGGAACGAGTGTTGCGAAGATAACAACGGGTATATATGCCCGAGAATCGGTAGACGCGAGACGGAACCGATCAAAGGGAGCCGAGACAATGCAAAAGGTGCGTGGTGAGACCGACGAAGTATGCGTACAGTATAAGGGGGCGCGGGGAGGCCGCAAGTTCAAAAGGCCCAGATTGCTCAATCCAAACAAAGGCGGAGCACAGATAATACAAGGAAGCGGGTATACTTCCAAGTTAGCTCTCTCTGAGGGAAAGACCAAGAATAGATCGAAGGACCGATAAGTTGGAAAATAGGGACAAAGGTCTCAGGGAAAAGTCGAGGGAGCGCCGGAGATCAACAAAAGGCCGAAAGCTAGGAACAAAGAAAACAACGCAAGTCCCGATGCCAGCGGAGCCGCTCACAGCAGGCAAAGAAAGCAGAGGAAAAGGAAAAAAAAAATGGAGAAACAAGAGATAGGTTCAAGGGAGAAGACTGAAGACTGAAGAGAGGAAGAGAGGAAGAGAGAGAGTTAGCGCCGCTAGGGGTGGGGGAAGCCACCATCCCCCGTTGGGCTTAGACCCGTGTTCATGTGTACAACTTCGTACCACCGCGCCCAACTTGCTCTACTCTGCTCCGTTGTGTTGCCTTGGATTTCCGTTTCATTCTTGTCATGGCGACCTCCAACTATGCCAATCCCGACTCACTAGCTGAGCTCTCCGCCTTGGTGGAGCGAACGGTAGGCAGTTTCCGACCCGCCCAGAGATTTACTTGGAGCTATCGCTGACTCTCCCATAGCTGCTGGATACTGGGCGACTGTTCAGAAAGAATGGGTCGATGCCCGCGAGCACTCATTTGCAGCGCTCCATCCCGTTGTACTATGAGAGCTTCCAGGGTGCGCTGGACAATCTCTCGGAACAGATTGTGAGTCTGATTGGATACTCGGAGAGGTCGCGCCCTTCGTGATGATGACCGCCATCTGACCTTGGCATCGGTCAATGACTTCTCTCCCTTCAATGATCCCGCTGACACGGCACAGTTCATTGCCAAAGCATTCCTGGAAAGGGACTACGACGCTATCAAGGCACGGGAGGCGGCACCGCAACCCGAAGATGTGGTCATGAGCGACGCGGACCAGAAAGGCGCGGCGGAGGTGCAACCACCGCCCGCCGAGCAACCAGTTCCGATCGCGGAACCCACCAAGCTCGAACCCAAGGCTGAAGAGGGCGCAGTAGCCGAAGTGCCTCAGCCAACAGAAGTGGTGCCCGAGTCCCAGCCAAGCGACGACGCACCCGTGAAAAAGGAGAAAGACTCAGGGAATGAGGCTTCTGCAGACCAAGGATCTCCAGGAGCGAACGAAGCGATCAATTTCGACTCGGTTCTCCATGGAGAAGGTGCCAATTCCTTCGACCTCAATCTGGACTTTGGCAACGACGACATGGGCGACCAAGCCTTTCTCTCCGGGACGTTCGCCACCACAACTGAAACGAGCGCCGACAAACCGGCCACATCGGCGGCCGAGGACTCAACCAATGCTCCCGCTGGCGGGGGCGCTTTCGATCTCGAACTGCAGAATACGGGGATGGACTCGAATCCGTTCCCCGATCAAGGCACCGGAGATGACATTATGGGACCGGGCGAGTCAAGCTTCGACGACCTGTTCATGGAGTCCGAGAATCTCGGCGAGGACGGCACAGGCGACCTCAACAAACTGGAGGGAGACAGTCTGATGAACCTCAACGAGCTGGATGATAATTGGTTCAATTGATCCGGGGGGGTTATGCTAGTGAAGCCGGACTTCAGCAAATTGTACTTTTACGAGTGGGCGGGAGATAGTATCCCGATCTACATGCATCCACGTTCCTGCACCAGTAGCAAGTAGTGATGACGAGCAGATTAACCGGTTACCGTGTCATGTCCAACCTCGGGAAACCTGACACGAGACGAGTCATACTGTCACTAACTATATCAGATCGTCTGCACAGCCTGGGCTCTTATCGTAGATACGGGTGATACATAGTTCGCGAGTCCGGACCCAAACATCGAAGTACCCCGTGGAGTCACGTCTGCTGATGCTTAGCGGAAGATTAGCTCAGCCTTGTTCTTCCCTTTATTCTACAACCCCCGCAGTGCCGTTCGGGCGACTTGCACAGCCCCGGCGCCTCAATCTCGGCTGAGTCTCGGCTTGACTGCCTCAGCCAAAAAAAAGGCCGGTCTCGAATCCAATACGAATACGTAGATCATACAGAGTTGATTATAAAACACCATCGCGTGACTTACGGGAAACGTAAATTGAAAAGCCATAGCCAAAGCCAAAGCCAAAGCCAAAGCCAAAGCCAAAGCCAAAGCCAAAGCCAAAAAGACTGTGACGTAGGGCGGAACCTCAGGACCGGGCCCAACGATAATTAATCTTGGACCCCGTTCTTAGGGAGATCTTCAGAGAGCACGGACGGGGGCATTCAGGAAAGGGAAAAACTTCAGATTGCCTAGATTCCGCACCTCCGCCCTATGAGGCGTGGGGACGCGTCTTCCCGGGTCAGGTTTGGCCCTGATGAGGTCATCGCCAACTGTCACTGGCACGGACCCGCCTCAAGGAACCTGAGTAAAAGGCTTAAGTGGAAGTATGCTCGGTACGCACATGCACTCCCATGTACTCCAAGCACTCCAAGCACTCCATGCAGTATCCAAGCCTAAGCAAGAGCCGAGGAGCGTGACCTTTGAGGGGATCTGTGCATGCGTGGCGCAGATCTCCGTGCCAAGTACAACTCCGCGGGGGTACTTTAGGTTTCCAAAACTCTGAAAATCAGGGCAGTTGGGGATGTCTTCATACAAGGCCCTTCCCTTGGAGAACAGAGTTTTACTCGTAGTCGTACTCAGATCTCGTAGTTATACTCGATCCTCTCTAGGACCTCTCTAGGATAATCATTGACTGAGATGACGGTTTACATGCGACACCTCCAACCCCAACCCCGATAGATGTGCCCCCGGTCCGCGGACTAGTAATGTTGATGGCTATGCTAAAAAGACGCTGGGTGGGCGCAAGAGCGGCTTCGATGCATCACTGGGAACAGGGGGCCGATGCCGGGCTACCCGTCTTCCGTCTTTACCGGGGTCAAGTCAGTGATGTACACAGTCTCCGGCAGCAAGGCACTCATGGCAGAGATGCAGAGATGCAGAAATGCAGAAATGCAGAAATGCAGAAATGCCGAGACAACAGACAGACAGATTAGAGTTGAATAGACCTGGACATGGAGCAGGATCACGACCACCGATTCCAAATCGGAGAGAGTCTGTTAGTCAACCGCTGGGCCGGATCGCCGGATGAGAAGATGGGAACCATTTACCAATTGTCGTGTTCATGTCATCATCGATCGGATTTCCGCCGCAGTTTTTCCCGTGGGGCGTAGACCATCTAATCTAGCCTATCGTCCTTATAACCCGTGTTTCATCCCACTCTGGCAAAAACATTTAGGAATCTAGTGTCAACCCCGGAAGTCGGGTGCCACATCGTTCTCGTTCACGTTCACAACCGGGAAAGCAAAGGAACAGGACCCCGCAGCCAATCCAACGCACCGCTCAAGGGATCTGCAGAGCGGTGATCAGTGGGTGGAGGTGCCGTGTTCAATGAAATCAGCGCCCCGAGGCTTTTTTCTCCTCCTGCAAAGACCGGTGTGAGCTCCTTGCGTTTGAAGGGGTGCACAAGGGATTAGGCTGAAAAAAAAAACCACCCGAGTCTCACGCAGACCTAAGCTTTGGGTACGTGTTTATCTTGTGTCGCCCTCCTGCTTCTTTTTTGCCCTTCTCTTTCGGGGACATTCTCAAACGGTGTTCGCATTCCTGGTCCCCTTCTCCCCGCGTTCCTTCATCGTGGAGTGATCCATAAGCCCAGATTCATTATCTATGTACCCAACCGGTGGACGGTTTGTTCTAGGACTCTAGAACAGGAGAAACCCTTTGTCCCCTCATCCCGCGCGATCATGCGACAACCGATATCAAGATGATGGCAGCTCACATTATCCCCACGCAGGTATCCTCGCGGTCAGGATCTCTTAGTACTTCCCCGCCCGAGCTCGCGCTCCCTGTACCTTTACTCTCCAGCCTCATCCGCGCCCGTTCTGCTCGTCCCCGGACCGAGTGTCTTGACGTCGAAGAACAATTTCCCAAACAGACTCGGCGCGGTTCCATCCTTAGAAAGCTGGCGGGCCCACGTGAGAACGCGAAGCGCTTCCTTCGCCTGCGGTCGTCGGGAGTTCAATCGCCCATTCCCCCGCATCGATTACCCCCGTGCTCTACCCGGCCCAGGCCCGTTTCTGAGATTATCCTCTCGCCGTCGGACCCAAGGATCTCCCCTCCGGCGGATAGTCACATGCGTCCTGATTCCGCCATGACTACCGACGTTCTTCCTCGAGCGGTTCAAGACCTCCCGAGTGCCACCGCGACCCCGGAATTGACAACGCCCTTCCAACCACTTCGCAACGAGAAGATCGTCGCCACCGGTAGTGGCTTGACGGTGGGCATCGCCCTGACCGAGCCTGTGCTATATCTACAAGGCTATGACCAGAATGACCCATCTTCAAAGAAGTCCGCGATTCTGCGAGGGCAAATGCATTTGAAGGTCACCAAGTGTGTCAAGATCAAGAAGATCTCCATCTGCTTCCGCGGCCATGCGCAGACAGATTGGCCAGATGGTGCGACTTCCACCCCGGCCCCCGATATCGGCGCATACCAACTAACATCTCATCTCTTAGGCATCCCTCCGAAAAAGATCCATTTCCACGACAAGAAAGACCTTTTCACTCATGGCGTCGTCTACTTCAACCATGGAGATACCGCGTTGATGCAAAACGACTACGGAGCGCATTACTACAAGCACGCCAAACCCGCATCACCCGTGCCAGGTGGCAAGGACGGAGTCTCCTTAACGACTCGAGAATTATTTTCCAAGAGTAACTCCGTCACTTCTCTCGGCTCGACCACCGCTAGAGATGCCAAGCGCCTTTCTGCTCAGATCCCGCGCGGCCATTCACGAAGTTTCAGCAAGAATGAGCCTCCCGTTAGTTCGCATTCTCAACCGCAGCGCAACTACCGCATGTTCCCCGTGGGCGATTATTTGTATAGTTTCGAATTTCCAATCGATGGCTCTTTGCCCGAAACGATCAAAACAGATCTGGGCTTTGTGAGGTATGATCTGGAGGCCATTGTGGAGCGGTCGGGCGCATTCCGGCCCAATCTGTTGGGCACGATGGAAATCCCCGTGATTCGCACCCCGGCCGAGGGTTCATTGGAACAGGTCGAGCCTATCGCTATTTCACGGAACTGGGAGGATCAGCTTCACTATGACATTGTCATTTCTGGCAAATCTTTCCCGCTGGGTTCTCAAATTCCGATTGCGTTCAAGTTAACTCCACTGGCAAAGGTTGAATGTCACCGCATCAAGGTCTACGTCACGGAGAACATTCAGCATTGGACCTCTGACAAGAGCGTCCATCGGTTGCAGCCGGCGAAGAAGGTACTGCTGTTCGAGAAACGTGCGGAATCCGCCAGTACCAGTACGTACCCCGGCAGCTCCATGCGTGTCACCGCCGGGGGTGGTATCGATTGGGACCACCGCGCGGCTGCCGCCAGAGGAGAGGAGATCGTGGATCGAACTCGCACCAATTTGCTGGGCAATCTCTCCAGCGACTCCTCCGGTGTTGGACCGACGGAAATGGAGTTCAATGTTCAATTACCGAGCTGTCACGAGATGAAGGGCCGTGATGAGGGGCAGCGCCTGCATTTCGATACCACTTATGAGAACATCCAAATCAACCACTGGATCAAGGTAAGTCAAATCTCTACGGCTCGTCCAATTCGGTTATCTCAGGGGCTCATTTCAATTCTAGATTGTGCTTCGTCTTTCCAAGATCGACGAACGGGATACAGGTAAACGAAGACATTTCGAAATCTCCATCGACTCGCCCTTCCACATCTTGTCCTGCAAGGCTACACAGGCAAATATTTTCCTCCCCGCTTATACGAGACCGGCAACCAATCCGGAGCCACCAGCCCAGGAGTTCGAATGCGGCTGCCCTGGCGCACCCGTCGCATCGCGCGAGTACTCAATCGCTCAGTCCAACTCTGACCGTGAAGACGCTTCGACCAATATGCCTCGCCGAGCCTCAATAGCAGGTGGGCCGGTCGCTCGAAGCTTCACGAATGGATCCGGTGGCCTTGCCCGGCCCCCACAGGCCCATCTAGCTCATGAAGAGAGCAGACGGGATTTGCAGCGGGATGCTCCGAGTTTACGAGATGCTCAGCGTGTTCCTCGCCCCATGCATCTCCTCCGCACGCCCTCATTCGCCCCTCCCGCTTTCGATGATGTCCCACCGCCACCTCCCCTCGTCACTCCTCCGCCGGAGTACACAAGCATCGTGGGCAACAACGACCGCGAGACGGTACTGGAAGACTATTTCTCCCGGTTGTCATTTTACGAAGACCAGGACGAGGACGACCGGGGTCGAGGCCGCGTTGACGTCCCTCTTACCCCAGGCGGCCGCGTCAACCGAAGCATGGACGTCCCCCGAGAGTGGGTGCGTCTCGACGACTTCGCGTCCACATAATCTTTTTCGGGTGCGATACTGTACAGACGATTTGCATACGAGATCCGAGCCATGAAATTACGATTGTTCATACCGGAACTGGTGTAACGGGCAAATGTGTTGATTTTCTTTCTCAGCGGTCTATAGACTATGTTTTTCTCTCTTGTGATTTCAATTGGGATTTTCATGATTTCATGGGCATATGGGCCTGGTGTGGATTTGGATTCTCCGTCTGTTTATGTTCATGTTCCAGTTCACAGGGCATTCCGCTTGGGCCAAGGGCAAAAGGCGCGAGGGTGTTGGGGTGTTTTGGGAGGATTCCCCCTGGGCTTCTGCATAAACTACATTCCAATGGAACTATGCATCGATATTACTTGCAACTGCACTTATTTGACGCCCTGGAGATCTCGTAGATACAACTTCATAGAAGAAGTTGGCGGCAGTATAAAAAGCCAGGGCTCCACATGATAAGAGATAAAGCCCGCGTCCAACTGCCTGCCCCGGTTTAGACCATCTCCACACCCCAGGGTCCAGATGTTGGGAGTGTCATTTTGCACTTCTTTCATCCTCACACCCGGGTCTGGATCTCGCTTCGGCACTTGCAACACCTTATTTGAACGTCACCTCAGCATTGCGAACCCCGTTGTGCGCCTCCTGCACTGCTACTGCAGCATCTGCCCTCGGTCCTCTATCCGACTCCACGGTGAGTGGACTGGATCCATAATTTGATAGCGGGGTCTTCGATTCTAACTTTTGACAGCTACACACAACTCAACTGTCCCATTGCACAAAGTGCATTTTGATTTGAGCTTCACTCCGCGACCTTGACTTTGCGTGGTTACAACACGTTGACCCGTTGCAACCTCACACCCATCCACCATGGCGATCGAAGTCGTCGACCTGACCGAGGCCGACATCCCCGGCGCCATCCAAGTAATTCAGCAAGCGTTCGCCGACGACCCATATTACAAATGGGTATTCGATGCGCCCACGGTATGCAACCAGTCCTTCGATATCACTCATATCATGGAAACACTAACACCTCTCTCCCCGTAACGCGGTCGGTCCACAATCCGAACCCGTTACACTGAACGGGAGACTACCATCCAGTTCAACAAACAAAGAAACTACGCCTCACTCTCCGCTCGCTGCCACTGGGGCATCAACAACGCACTATTCCAAGTCGCAAAAGACACATCCTCGCCAAACTCCCCAGTCCTCGGTGTCTCCTGCTGGCTCGCACCCCAACCCGCCTCCCAACCGGAAAGCTGGTACTCCTGGACCCAGTCATGGATCCTCTCATTCAGCCAGTTGTGCAACAACGTCCGCTATCTAGGCCACGGGGGCCTGCTCACGAACCGCTACTGGATCTGGAAACAGAACCAGCAGGAAGCGCAAGCGCAGATCTGGGATGATCCTCGCGGTTATTACTTTTGTAATATTGCTGCTGTGAGTCCCGAGGTGCAAGGGAAGGGGATTGGGGGATTGCTTTTTAAGACCGTTTTGGATAAGGCGGATCGGGAGGGAATTAAGTGTTATTTGGAGAGCTCAAAGGACGTACCTAATGTGCAGATTTATGAACGAATGGGGTTTGAGATGAGGATGGAGATGGAGTGTCGCGATGGCGATGATGCTTGCATGGTATGTTCTGGCCTTGCTGGTTATGACTTTGGCTAATTTGTATCATGTGCCAGCTGTACTGCATGGTGCGGGATCCCAAGACCTAGTGATATTGCATTTGGTGTCGGAGTGACGCTTTCTCCATTTTTTTCATGACCTCGTTTGGGCGCTTTCTTGACCTTGGCAACACTTCATAGCAAAACAAATCAACTCTTTCCGACGCTTTCTTTTCCAAGGTTCTCGCACATAATCTCCGATTGCAGATGTCGGAGACATCGAGTAACTCGGATCCCCAGACACGGAACATTACCATAATGCAATCTCCAAACCCGCCTGATTCCCAACCAGCCCCAAAGCCCAGGCCCACCATCCATCCCCATTGACAGACAAACGAGCTCTGCAAATGGCCGTGTACCCGTGCAAGACTTATCGTCTCAAACGCCAGCTACAATGAGCCATCCACCCCGGCAGTAGGGCAGTAGTATATTTGCAGACTAAGAGTGATATATCAGAAAAATTAAACTTCGCGCCAATGAAGCCAGGGACGCTGCATATGCTGTCAGCCTTGGCCGAGTTGTCTCAGAAGCAAAAGCCCCCTTTTCAAGGTTCGTGGGAAGCGGGTTACCGGTTGGATCTAACGGCTCGAGATTTGCTAGATTAGCTCGCATAGATCCTGCGTCGGTTCCCGTCTGTTTCAGGATTGGTTCGATTTGAATGGATGTGTGAATTTGAGCTGAAATTAAGGTTTGGTTCAGATCTGGGTAGTGAGTCTTTCGGAGACACCAGAGCTTGATGGTTTGGAAAAGGGGCACCCCGAAGCAGTGGCTTTCAAGGTTATATAAGATTTTTGGACTGCTTCAAGAGCTTGTTGACTTCTGCTCCACATAGTCTTGACTTGCGTGGTGCTTATTGAGGAGACAGAGCATTGAGGTACGTCTCAATGAACAATAAGCATTTCTACGGTCTGAATTGTGAGTATACAAAACCCCTAGAATGAGTCTGCATTTTTCGAAGAGACCCTGGCTGATAAAACCAATGAAAAGAAACTCCGCTCATAAGCACTATGTTCATTATCCTATATCGCAAGCCTCGCGGGCCGTGGTCTATTCTTCGATCAATGATTGCCCGACGCCAACAACTTAAACGAAACGCTCACGCAGCAACATTTCCAGCACAGAAACCCGAGAAACGAGATGGAACATCCAATGAATCCAACGTCCAAGATCCAGCGACCACGCAAGAACCTGACCTCCACGCCACCCGAACGACCAAGAGAGATACTCCATGTTGCAGCGACACGGAACTGATTGTCAGCCAGTTAGCGGGGCTGGCTGCTACTATCAGTCGATCGTCCCCCGGAAATACGGCACATAGCAAGAGATCTTCGTTTTCTTCTTCCGTCGTGCGCACGGTCAACATGCAATCCGGTAGCAATAGCAACAACAAGGAAGAACCCCAAGAGGAGAACTTCCACTATCTGCGAAGTCTGATCACCGTTTCCTGTCCTTCACAACACTCCTCCAGGCCGAGCTTGGATATCTCAAATGAAGAGAAAAGGAGCCAACCGACAAGCCGCAAGCGGGCCTCTTCAAGGCTAAGCCTGCGTCTGGGGGATCTACCGCGGGTTCCCGTCGTGCCGAAAGTTTCACGAAAGCCCTGCCCTCGCTATACCTGCTTACCACCCGCGTGGACGCCCAAAGCAATCACCGTCCGACCGGAAGTCCGCTTCTGAGATTAAATTCTGTGTGGTTGATTGAGAAATACGCTTGGCATGAAAGCGGGATGTTTGTCCATAGGATAATACACTACCATCCACGAACCGATATTAGAAGTCCCACTTGGAGTACAGTTCATTAACCCAGTACACGGATCAGCCCACTTGACTAATGCCATAACAGGAACCCTGCATAAGCCGACCCCACCATCTGGGGGTTGAAACACCAAGTGGAGTGTCCTAGAGCGATCGTCGGGTGCGGCAGACGATTTGCATCCCCTGCCAAGATGACGTTCAGTCCTCATTACCCACCGGGCCGTGCCGCATCGGCTATTTCGGACAATCCATGGAGTAGCCTGTTCCCGACGAATAGGATTGGATTAGAATACCCATCTATGACAGCGATGAGGATCACACATGTGCTAGACAAGATGATGTCAAGCCTACCCCCCGGCACGGGAAGACGGCAGAAACAAGATGTGTATTCCAAGGCACATTGTGGCGGCGGTCTCCGCACGAGATTAGACGATAACGATTAGTTTTGCAATTGGCTTCATTTCAAATTCCAAGGTTGTCCTGTCGATCTTCCTTGCTCATTTCCTTTGACGGTTTATGTATCTTGGTCCGCTTCCAAAAAGTGGATAACGGCTGTGGCTTCGGTACTCCACCCGAAATCTCAATTTCCGCACAGACCGCGTGATAGAGCTGGAGCCGTTAGAGATGGTTCCTGATTTGGCTGCGAGGTCTTCTATTACGTCGGGCGTCCAACGGGGTGGATCTTTTGGAGTCTCTTCCTGTCCGTGCGTTGAGCTTGAGAGATGGGGTGTGACAATCGTACGATGGTGTTTATGATGAATGGCCATGAGGCGGATAGTCGAGCTAAAGACGGCACATGGGTAGGCTAATTAGGTCGAAGCCTAAGGAAATGACGTCCGGTTTGTTTGATGCGGGTGAATCCCTGTCGGTGGCTTAGTCATTGAAATGATAGGGGCTTGCGGTCAGACAGCTGCCTTCAGCCTGGAGCTTGCCCATTACACAGAATGAAGGTCCGCGCCACTCTATAAATGCCAACGCGGTACTAAACTCGAAGCATGTGAAAGGGCCAGGAAGAAAATGTTAGGGGCATTGACTCTTGGCTCGCAAGAACGTGTTGAAACTGCAACCCGCGTTTTCTTAGTGTAGACACAGGAACTTTATACTTACCAATCCTACTGGCACGTGGAAATAAACCACTGCAAGAGCTTTACCTTCAAAAGCTTTGCGGACGGGCCGTGCCCTTGTCAGTTACAGATCCATCGACCACCATAATCTTCAAGCGCTTAAAACTTGCAAGATTGCCTTTGGACCGGTAAAACCCCCCCATGGGATAAGATGTTGATATCGCCCACCATAACTTGTTTACCCCAACGAGCGCCCGACACTGCATGCAATTTTATTTATATTGGACACCAACAACAGGTCCTACTGACGGTTTAAAGACCCATATGTCTTATTGCGCAAATTGAGCAGATTGTTCCATGCAATGATGCGATATTGAATGCAGCCCCACGCGGACAGACGGAGCATCTGCATAATCCTAGCGCAAAATAAGAACATAGATAGTCTTTTGGGCCCCCGGGAAATATTCGAACTCTCGGCAGAAAAGGACGGTGCAGCCGCTGGCATGTGTGAGACGGACTGAGCGTCCCATGGCTCAAGGTGCGTTCGTGGCTAGTGCAATTGACAGGGATTTAGTGTTCCCAACATTGCTGTGCCCTATCCGGCACTTAATCGTCCTCGCCCTCGGAGCACATACCGAGTACAGCTCGGATCTTTTTGTTTTAGGGTAAACCGGTGGTTAATATACCTGCTTACAGATTTCCCCTCCTCTTTCCGAACCTTCACCTACTATCCGCTTTCTGGAGACCTCGGATGTGAAAGTCATAACGCGCCCTAACCTGGCCCCTCCTGGCGCCCCCTAAACTCACCCTAGTCTGAGCCATTCCTGCGATTGCATCATTTTAAGCCACTGCTCCACTGGCATTGATAGAGGGTCTTGCTGAGACCCCGGGCCGGTGAATAAAGTTACGCCGTCCACACTCTGATTGATTACGGACATCTTTTAGCCAATTACCCGATTCGCCAAGAGCGCGATACGCCTGCTAAAAGGCTACAGGGATGCCTAGAAATCCCATGCAATTATTGGAGCATGGGTTGGACAAGAGTGATCTAGGGTCAAAGAGTCAACAATAAGACAAGACCAGACACCTTGATTACCTGCAGCAGGTACACAAGCGCGAAGCTTCGTTTCAATCGATACCCCAACGCCTTCGGAGATTTCGTGGAGCTGCAGAAAGTCTCGATAAGAATCTTTTTTTCTCCCCGGGGCCTTTGGCAGTCTCAACGTCCAAAACAAACATACATGCACCTTACCCCTGCCTCTCCGGCCGCGCAGCTGCAATGCGCGCCCCATCGAATTGAGGACGGTCTCGATCGAGAAGGCCCTCCCTACAACAGTACCTCAAACAGTACCTAGAACAATACCTTTGACATGGAGATGTATAGTGCAAGGATGTTCGGGATTTACGAGCGAGGAGCGTCGCGAGGATTGTGTTGTCGTCATGCTACTGAGCTGGGACCCCCTTTCCCCCTGGCCTCTGTGCGGGATTCAATGGGAAATAGTAGAACCACGTTGCCCGTGCGGGACCCCCCAAGGACCCAGACCTTAATCGACGGGCTCCCTTTTAGATGGCCATCGGGTCCGAGCCCGGAAACGAAAGATCCTTTTAATGTGATAGCGTGCTCGAATAACATGTGATTAGAAAAAGATGCAGGGGTCGCGCCCTTGTCTTCTGAGTCCAAACAATCCAGTCGTAATCGTACAGGGGATCAAAGAAATCCGACGGGGGAAAGGAAGAGAAACAAAGCGCAGTCGAAACCGAAAAAAGAGTAATCGCTTGGACCGCAAACCATTATCCAAAAATCAGGTCCCGCTCTAATATAGCATCCGTGCAGAAATAATCCCATTTGAACACCGGACCCAATGAGATGAGGAAATTTAAGGCCAGGACGCAAGTAGGGTGCAAAAGGCCCCCCCCCCCCCCCCCCCCCCTCCCTCAAAAAAGCAAAAAACAAAAAAAGTACAAGGGACAGCAAAGCAAGGCAAGGTAAAGCAACGCTTCTTTGAGTAATCCGCAAAGCCAAAGCCAATAACTCCACAGAACTCAGAAAACGTACAAGGGACCCGGGTGCCGGGCACCAAAGTTTAATTGGAACGGGCCCCAGAATCCGAGATGTAAATGGACAATGTCGATCAGGGCCGCACGAATAACCGTATTTCAAATCGAGTGCTCGGCATCGTCATTCGGGGTTTTGGGTGGACGGTCGAAAGAGAAGGTTAGGCTATAGCCGAATGACAGTTCTTCGTGGTTGTTCGCAATGCCTAAGGAACGCCGGACGGGGCGAGACAGGATTGGAAACAGAGTGGGGTCTTTTCGGGCGTCGCGGATCGACGCCTGAGGGCATTGCTGAAAATTCATCGGCACAGTAGGCATTTGCCTACGACTATGATGAACCGGTCGTGCGGGCTATCTGAGCAGCGATTGTCCTTGTTGCCATCCAGGGAGGTGCGGAAGAAATGGGCGCTGGGATTCGAGCAGGTGCTATAGATGTAATAGTTTTTGAAATAGTTGCACATTTTGATCCCATGGGGACGCCGGGTGAAGGAATGGAGTGTGTAGAGTCGAGAGGTCGAGACAGGGAAAACGGGAAGCGGTGCGAGTATGTATCACGGCGATTGCGACATGTAGGCCGTCGAGAGTGAATAGTGTATGGGGAAAGAAAACACCGGACAAGAAAGGGTTGAACGTGTCCCCGAGTAACGGTGGGAGACGGAGCGAAAAAATAAGAAAATCGGAACACACAGATAGATGCCTGTCAATCGCAAAGCTACAAGGGATTTACTCCATAATTCCACACCTCACGTCGTAAGAAGCAGTATAGTACATTCTGGACGCTTTTGCCCTGTTTCCCCCCTCACCCCCCACCCCACCGGCAGTAACCCCCTAAAAAAATACCTTGGCCCAAGCGGGTCCTGCATAGAGGGTGGCTTTGATCTATGGTTTGACCGTTGTAGAAAACACGCCCGAAAGGACCAATGCCGGAGATTTGCCCAGGACTATCAGGGACCACCCTTCCTTCCCCCGATGCCGAGACCTTCCCCCCAGTAGTCTACCAGTCTACCTCCTGCGGCATACTATTCATCGGGTAGGTGGGAGATCGACGCGGTTTCTCACAGCCGTTGGCGCTTCTTCCACTCACACGTGGCGCTAGTCAGGATCTTCATGCATGAAACAAATACGTCGTGAGACGTAGCCAGCGCGTGTGGGAACTGTTACATAGCGGAAGAGAGTTTCCGAGCGACAAGGCTTCACTTCGATGTCAGGCGATCTTCCGATACTCCATCCGGTGACGACTGCTGTGTGTTCCTACATTCCGCTACTTGGGCAACCTTGTTGGAAAAGCCGAAGATACGACGATTCCCGTTGGGCGGGTCGGAGAGACCGATAGGCTCCAGGGAAAAAAAAAAAAAAAGGAAACATGGAGTAAAAATTAAACTAATTAAAATTGGAACTTCGACGTTTGAAACCCCTGTTATCGAGTGCTATCCATTGATTGGAGGGAACCCCATTCGATCGAATGACCACGGGCGAAGCCCTAGCCAGCCAAATGGGGCCGGAAAGGGCGAAGTTCGTGGACTCTACGAGTGAGTTGAGCGAGCCATGGGTAGGAAACGGTCCGAACTGCCCTTATACCGCACCCAAAAGGAAAGGGGGCGGGCAATGTATACCAACCAGAAAGGAGATTGGCAAATAAGAATCGTTAGGGTAGTAGCGTCGATGGGGCCTAACTCTCCGATTTTGTGCGCCATACGCCCCAAAGTCTTGACTGAGCCGTGTTTCCATCTCCGACCCCTCCGCGAATCAGAAAAAGAAAGTTTAAGATTTCTCGGCATTCTCCAGATCGAAAAGCTCCAGGAACAATCTCTCCACTGGGGCCACAACTTAGCTCCGTCGGTTGATGACGCCCTTTTCTTTTAGTTTTGATCGGGACGACTCCCAGATGTCTTGGATTTTTGTCGATCCACCGTGCGTGACGCAAAAGGACCATCGGCATTTAATTGACTCCGTGGATGGCGAATTGGCCCATCGCCATCGCGCAAGGTTGCGATACCCTGCGCTTTGTGGAGCGGTTGGGCAGGGGTGGAGAGGGGAAAGAAAAAAGCTGGGGTCGAGATGATTGTTTCGAGGGAATGAACCTTCATAGAGTCCATCATACGCCAAAGCAGCGCAGAATGGAGACCGGCAGACATCGGCACAGCACAGTCAAGCAACAGGAGATGGTGGGACAGCGAGTGATGTTTCGAGTGCAGATGAGGGCCTATCCACATGCCCAGTTCTTCAATGGTCGAAAGTCTCCGTGGGATCCACGAGCAGCGATCCCATTTTGGGTCGTTGTCTCAAGTGGATGGTGCGGTCGGGCTTTGAGATCCAATTGTGCGGCCGGGCGATACGGACGCGGCGTGGTTCTGGATCTCTAGCCCCAAGTTTATCGGGTTGTGGAGCCATTGCAGTTGCCGTTGGGACTCCGCCTCGGATAGAGCCTCTGCGGGTTGCATGCGCCGAAAAAACTAGCAATGTTCCGGGGCAGGCCCTGGGACTACGCAGCCTCACTATCTCACATCCTTGAAATCATCCTGCGACCAGAAAGGGCGGTCCTGCCTCGTCTTTCCGCATGATCGTCCGGCCCGAACTCGGACCCGAACCCGATCACGTGGCACTGACTCAGCGCGTGGCCTGGGGAAACGAAGCTAGTCCCGATATGGGAAAGCAAAAATAGCCGCTCACTTCATCCCGTGACCTTCTCCCCCTCGCAGACGAAAACCTCAGCCCAGCTTGCCCTTGACATTGGCCACGACACTCATTTGAAAGAAAAGAGCCTCACCTGTTGCTCTGGGGAAGAGAAGAGTGGGAGCAGAGCACCAAAGCGAGAGAACAGGCAGCGCTTCCCACATCTCTTAGTCGTCATCCTCTCTCCACCGTTCCACCGTCGTTGTGGAGACAGCGTTCGCTTTGTGACCGCCCACCGCAACGGGAAAGCCTCTGTTTGTTGTTGTACCACCCGACTTGAATAGCATCATGGGATTCGGCCAATTCGACTCGATATGCGAGAAGGTGCCACTACCGCTGTGCTCCATGGTGGGCCCGCCCTCGTCGATCTCCGGTGCCACGGGCATCATCTCCAACTGCTATGCGCGGAACATTGAGGTTGCGAATACAATCATATTCGAAGGTGCCGCCTCGTTTATGCACATCATTGCACTGGCCATGACGGTGATCATGATTCTTCACATCAGGTCCAAGTTCACCGCTGTCGGTTCGTCTTACTCAATGGTGGACTATTAGATATGCGTTGCTAACATATTCTCGATGCTGGTAGGCCGCAAGGAGATCATCACCGTCTTCTACATCTACTTGGCGCTCACGATTTGCTCTCTCATCATTGATGCGGGTGTGGTTCCTCCGAAGAGCGGGCCGTTCCCGTATTTTGTAGCAGTGCAAAGTGGTTTGGTATCGGCTCTTTGCACTTGCTTGCTGGTCAACGGCTTCGTGGGCTTCCAGCTGTACGAGGATGGCACTGCACTGTCGGTGTGGCTGATTCGTATTAGCTCCGTTGCCATGTTTGCCATGACCTTCGTGATCTCTCTGCTGACCTTCAAGTCATGGGGCGGATTGGGACCAGAGAACACCGTTGGCTTGTTTGTGGTGCTTTATCTCTTCAACGCCATCTGTGTTGCAGTGTACATCGTCATGCAATTGTTGCTGGTTGTGAACACGCTGGATGACCGCTGGCCGCTTGGCAATATTTGTTTCGGCCTGCTGGTCTTCATCATCGGACAGGTGATTCTCTACGCATTCAGTGATGTCATCTGCAACAACGTCCAGCACTATTTGGACGGTCTGTTCTTTGCCACGTTCTGCAACTTGCTGGCAGTGATGATGGTCTACAAGGTAAGCCGTGGATCCCCGGGATCCAGTGTCTACAAGAGTGCTAACACAGTCTAGTTCTGGGACTCAATCACCACGGAAGATCTGGAATTCTCGGTCGGAGTCAAGCCGAACACCTGGGAGGTCAAAGAGCTGCTTCCGGAAGAAGAACGGCGTCAAACTGTCTACCAAGACAACAATTCCGAATACGCAGGCAGCTTGTACCACCACCGTGCCTCGAATTACGGCCATCACAACTACTAATCGTTTCCCTTCTTTGCGTGTACATGTGATCATTGATCTGATGGTATTCAAATTCGTCCCATACATTTAGCTTTAGGCTTATTTTCAAACCTGATTTGCGTCTCAAGGGGGTGCATGTATGGTTTTTAATTTCATAGTAACTTACGAAGTGGGTGGAGAGTCTCGAGATGAAATGAAACGTCACTTTGCATCCCGCCTACTATTTTGGGTCAACGGCGTTCGTGGGATAATGGTTTTTCAATAGTTCAATCTATTCATTCTGCGCTCGGGCACTAGTTTCATGAAAGATGCGCTAGTCTATAATGACGGACAAAGGGGATTGCCATGGATGTGTATGTCTCCGGCACCATGAAGTATCTACGTGCTGGTTCAAAACCAAAGAGATAATCCTCTTATCGCAGCCAGCGGGTAGAACACAGCACCTCTGTCCAATGCCACGTGAAGCAAGACTAGAATGTCTCGGAGTCATTTTGCGTCATGGCCATGCCAATGAAGGCCGTTAGGCGATGGCACAGAGGCTTGTCAGAGCTGAAACGAATGACAAGATCAACGTGGCCCTGATCCGCAAATCCTGGTAGCGCGACTTTCTTTCTCTCGGGCGATAAACTATAGCATATTAGGCAAGGTCTGTGCCAACTGATAGTTCATGCTAGCTCCACGGTGAGTTCCGTGGAAAAAAGTTTTTTACCCAGCCGAGCAGTCATTCGTCTCATGTCAGGCTAGCACTGGCTTTCATAGGTAGAGCGTCTGATGCGGCGCACGCGGGCGGAACTTTAAACTGGAGACTGTCGGTCAGGGGAAGGTCGTATGGAGTGGCCGTGGAAGTTTCCAACGCCAGGAAACTTTCCAGGGGGCTTCGACGGGTGGAGAAAACCAAAGTCTATTGGCGTCGGCCATTCGTTTCAGTCCACAACAACAACGTCATCCGCATCCATGAAGTCGTCGTTTCCTTGCGCACGCTCTTCAGGTTGGATGTTCGGGTTGTTCCTTTCGTTCGGAACCATCGACGTATTGTACCAGCCCTTGTCGATCGATGCCACCAAGGTCTTGCAGGCCTCACCGAGAAGGTCGAAAAATGCAGGGTTCTCTTTGGGTAGAAACATGGCGATGTGTGCCTTCACCTCATCCGTGGCCTGGTCGTTGACGGCCTTTGTCCACCGAAGTCCAGGCCGCCCTGAAGATGCGATTTCCTTGCCACTGTCCACATCGGGGGAAAGCTTGCAAAACGTTCTGTTCTTCGAACGAATGATATTCTGAGTGAACGATGTCTTTCCCGTCGCCATGTTCTCTACTAAAGACCCCGCTCCTTGCCCGAGACAGGTGTAAAAGTTGACACAGCCGATGCCCCGTTCCTCCTCTACGTGGGCCAGCCGCGAAATCCGTTGTTCCAATTCCGATGTCCGCGCTAGGCAACCGATAAATGCGAGATGCGAGGATACCCAGTCAACACTCGCAGACAGATTCTGGCGCTGGGAGTACAGAGCAGCTGCGCCACCAGCTGCCACGGCACCCGCGGCACCAGCGAACATGGCATATCGACCCCATCGCTGCCAGGATGGTGTTGCTGCAGCATCGGTGGATGGTGGTAGAGCTTTGGGTGGCTCTTTCGCGGCTGTGGCAGAAGCGGCTCCTCCTGATTCATTGTCCTTTCCGTAGCCGAAAATCCCTGCAACTTCTGAAAAGGTATTGTAGGCCGTTGTGGCATTGCGATAGTGTCCCTCTGCACCATGCGCTACCACTCCTGGAGCGATGCCCAGATATGGAGTATCAAACGCAAGGACTCCTTGAATGTGAGGGAACATGAAGGTGCCAGGTTCCACAATAGGCGCATGATCATCTGGTTGGGTTGTGGATTGAAATTCAGATCCTGGGTTGTGAGGGATAGGTTGTTCGTCTGCTAGTAATAGCAACGTCTCTGCTGCCACAATTCCTCCCATGGAGTGTCCGACGAGGAAGATATGGACGGACGGGTCAACGGTTGGGGACGCGGTATGGTTTGAAACTTCCAGATCGATAACGGTATTTTGGAGCCTGCGAAATATGAGCAATTCGATCAGGACTTCGATCAAAAGACAGTAACGATGAGAGGGTAGCTCTTACCACTCCCGAAACCTCCCCACACATTCTTTCAGATCACCTCTCGTCTCATATTTGGGATACACAGCTGTTGTGACCTTGACAGCAGGAAGCGCCCTGCTAACAAGAACACGCAGGTGCTCTGGAAATTTGCCGAAGGTATCATCGCCACCCTAGGAAGGCTCAAAAGCATATCAGCATAGCTCTCGGTTGTTTGTGTTTCCATATGCGGGTGTAAAAAAGGTACTTTGCGGGGAAGTGTTCAGCAAGGGAATACGTTGGGATGCTCATACCTTGAAACCATGGATGAAGACCAGGAGGAGTGACTTTTGCATGGTGGATTCATAGGCAGCCAGTAACCATTGTGGGACAGATGTTGGACACAACGGATGTAATGAAGTTGCGATCGTAAAGTGAAAACCATGCGATTCCCCATAAAGGTTGACCTACTGATGCCTTACGTCATGATGCACGTGATACCGCTATGTACTGAGTTGACAGATCCCGGTCAACTGGATCTTTGAGGTTGGGGTTCTGCATTTGAGTCTAGCATATGTAAGTCTGATTTGATGATCTTTTATTGGATCCTGTTGACTTATAGTCTAGGCCCGGCATCTTGTCCCGAACAATGACTGAACTGGCTCTTCGATATATCTTACTGGGAACCTGAGAAGTGTCTGAAGTATAAATTCTAGATTCAAGCAATTTCTTGCAAAAACCTTGCATAATCTATTGATTGATCCCAAGAATGATGCGTTGACTGACCTAAAGCCTCTCAATCTACCCAGAGCCCTGGAAGTTCCAGAATTGTACACCTGGGCAGGTGACGACCCTGGCAATTATCCATCTATTCTAAATCTCAGTGGCCAACGCTCCGATATGAAAGTCCCTGATACTACCTTATAGATTGCCCGCACGGTCAAATTTCCGCAACCTGAGCAGACCGTCCTGCAATGATGTGGCGACCAAAGTGCCATCAGGACTCCACAAGTGGCTTTCATGCACAGCTCTATTCTCTGCCGATCGAGGCGTCCAGCCCTCCTGTATAAACCACTTCATCCGTAATCCAGAGTCATTGCGGGCGGAGGCATCCCAGTCAATCATCCGTAATGCCTCGCCATGCTGGTGGACAATCACGGTCAATGTAAGACTGCACATTTCGGTCCAATGCTTGATTCCAAGAGCACGCGGAATCAAAAGAAGAGAGTTTTTGTCGCTGGAGTACATGTGTGCACAGGCATAGAGATTGTCGTATTCACCATCCTGGTCTCTCTCTTTAATCTGAGAGAGCGTTGCAGTAGGATCTTCGTCTGGAGATCCCTTGAGACGGTACTGTGTCAATTGACGGTATTTCGTAGGATCACCTTTCTGGGTGTCTCTCTGAGTGTCCTTGGTTTTGTTGTAGTCCATCATGTTGGTTTTCCGCACGTCGAGACCGGGAAATTTTCGCTCTTCTATATGTCCTTGTTGAACGCTTCGAATCCACCATTCAGCATCAACACTGGGACTGACGGGCTGGTCTTCGGGTCGTTTGGCCGATAACACTTCTCGAAACCGCTCCTGCACCGGTGCAGGTTGATGGTGGAAATCCCGCCTATTCTCATCGCGCTTGAATGAACAAAGGCACGAGAAGCAGATTTTGCCATCTTGCCGAGCATCAACTGCCCGTGTGCAATACATGAAGCCATCTCGAACATGCCGTACGGTGTATACATAAGGAACGCCCTGCCGGCCGCCCAAAATAAATGTACCCGTCATGTTCTGTGACAGAAATTAGCAATGATCTCAATATAAATAGGTACTCAATCATCTCGTTTAGGTACTATGTACCAGGAACTTACATGAACCACAAATCCTTTCCCGACGGTTTTCGATGCAGCGTACGCAGACTGGGCATATACATGGCCCCCAAATGAGAGAGTACCGTCGCCGGGAAGATATGGAGCAGCCAATGAACGGAAACGTTCGACTCTTTCTGCCTCGACCGCGCCGGCGTGTGACACTTTTATATCATCGAGTCGTTCTAGAGCCATCAACTCCACAAACTCGGGCGGGGAAGTCAGTTCGTCCGGATCATTGCCCGCCGCCTCGCGTGAGGACATGATTACACAGACTGGACTCAAGCAAGATGAGACGTATACACAATGAGTGAGAGCGGCCAAAGGCGTAGGCTCAAATCGCCTGCTACCTCGAAGCAAGGCCAACCGCAGGGGTCAATCCCGAACTTAGGGACGATCCGGATAAGGATTTGTCCACAACAGAACAGCAATATGGCTCCAATACCACGCCAGTGCGATCAAATCCGCCCGATCTCTGATGTGGAGAGCCTTGGAGGTCGATCAACAAGGAGAATACCCGGCTTGAAACTGGGGAACCGAGGCACACGCGGGGCGAGTCACGTGGCCACATCGGGAGAAGTTGAAATACAGATAGATATTTGCAGTATATCACAGTTATATGGGAAGAAAGATATCAGATTGCAGGTTTTATACAAATTGCGCCAATCGCGCTGACAGTGCTGAGGGGTTATGCCCGATTCCCCAAGCCGTAATGATACACAAAAAAAAAGATGATGCTCAAAACCAAACCCAAATCTCATCACAAATTCCCCGGAACTGCATCTACGACCGTGAAGTCTGGATAGTGTCGGTGATGCTGCGGGTGTTGTTCCATTGGACCTTGCCCTCGATGTCCTTGATCTCCTCAAGCTTGTCGCCCAGCTTGACGACCGAGAAGTTGATCATTCGCGGGTCGAGACCGAGAGTGCGGCGGATAGATGCTTGAACGGGGCCAGAAGAGTCGAAGCGCATGATGAAGTGGTGGCCTTCGCTGTAGCGAGCCTGATGTTTGGTGGTGACCTTGGGCAGACGGAAAGGGCCCCAGTTGGTGTAGCCGCGGACGACGCCGCCGGACCGGATGACCTGGACACCGGCGTTACGGGCGATTCTGTGGACGATATTAGTTCATCGGCCGATGAAGGGGGCGGAGAGCCGGAGGTTTTATTGCGAAACGTACTCTCGAACCTCTTGTAGGCTGCCCGGGCGGACCTGTTGGCGGAAGCGCACACGTTAGTTTTCAACGTCAAGTCATCACCCAATGATGAGAATGGGATATGCACGTACAATGGCAATCAGCTCGTACAACATTGCATCGAGTGGTGGCGTGGAAACCCGATTAATTGAAAGCTGAAAGAGGAACTCCTGTCGCGCAAAATCCGAACGGAAGTCGGAGCTTATCAAAGTCTTGGCGCCGTCTTATCAGCATCGCGCAACTCCGCCGGGGAAGCACTTCTCTTTCCTTTCCTTCTTAAACTCTCCCCTCTCCCCTTCTCTTCATTCCTTTCAATTACTCCCCAAACCTCCCAAAATGTCCGCCGTCGCCCGCTCTATCCGTCCCTTTGCTTCCCGGGCCCTTGCCCAGAAGCCCCTTGCCTCTGCCTGCCGCGCTGCACCTGCTTTCCGCTTCCCGCGGGGAACTCGCAGCTTCTCGCAGAGCCCTCTTGGTGAGTTACCCTGCCCTTCAAGCTGGCCAAGTGGTCGCAACATGCTATTCATAAAGGAAATGGATCCGTTGTGGCCTCTTATGGACCGAATTGAGCTCCATGAGGTCATAGAGACTGACGGCGCCTTCAATTGGCATCTGCAGCCCAGGTGAAGAAGTACACCGAGTCGCACGAGTGGATCGAGCTTGTCGACGGCACCAACACTGGTTAGTCCACCTGTATCATGTCAATGGTACCTTTCGATACGGATAGGCCGTATCGCCGAGTATATGTGAATAGAGCAAGTAAGCTAACGGAACCCCGCAGCCAAGATCGGTATCACCAAGTACGCCGCCAACTCCCTGGGTGACGTTGTTTTCGTTGAGCTCCCCGAGGCCGACCTTGAGGTCAGCGCCGGCGAGCCCGTCGGTGCCGTCGAGTCCGTCAAGTCCGCTTCGGACGTCCTCTCCCCCGTGGCTGGCAAGGTCATCCGCGGCAACAACGTTCTGGAGGACAACGCGAAGACCATCAACGCCAGCCCCGAGGGTGAGGGCTGGATTGCTGAGATTGAGGTTTCTGATGCTGCTGAGCTCGAGGCTTTGTTGGATGAGGCCGCCTACAACGAGACCATCGATCACTAGATCTGAGGGAGGCTGTAGAGAATATATGTTGGAATTAGAGTTGTGGCGAATGGTCGTCGACGGGGTTCGATTACTGTGCTTTTCCTATGTTGACCTGTGATTTTATATTATTTCTGTCTAACGGAGACACGTTTCTTTCAACAAAAGAGTTTAGATATGTCAGGCCCTCCACGGCTTTGACTGCCCACTTTGGCATATAACGAAGATAAGATAGTCGGGTTTCAAGGTTCCCCTAAGTAGAGTAGGTGGAGAGTGCACAGGCTCCAAGGTTATTCCAGAAGAATTCAGAAGAGGGAAGAGAGGGAGCCATCTCATAATATCTATAGACAACAGAAGCTAGTTAGACAAGACATGGACCCATTGCAAAACCAATAGAGTCTATGTACAGGAAGTAATATTCATTGAAACCAAATCTAGTCTATACAGGAGGTATCGATTCACGACAGATCGGGCACTGAAGGCGAAGCCTCATCCAGCTCTCAAGACAGGCAGTATGGAAGATGTGCCGGCAAGGAGTCACCATGTACTGCCGACGACTCAGAATGCTCGCAGCCCCATCGGTCACACTTCCGCCCGCAGAAGTGAGCGCGGGGAGAACAGGAACCTCGATATCCTGCATGCAGATAGCACAGTCGAACATAACTCTCTTTCGGTCCCGATCCCGCTGCTTATCGTCATCCTTGGAATCACTAACCAGATCCCGCTCATCGCCCCGAAGAGATGCAATGGATAGAGAGCCTCCAGCCTCGAGGTCGTCGTCCGGCCCAGGAGCATCACGCAGGGTTGGATGGTAGTCGTATGCAGGAGGCGCCCAGCCCCGCGGAATGAAGAACCGCGGGCCCAGGATGTCCTGGCTGGCTAGTACCCAAGCTTGAATCCACATCCAACCGGCCATTGCAAAAGCGGTGGTCCAGTCAGGTCGAATAAACAAAACGTTCCCTCGAGCTGTGAGGAAGTACAGAAATGGGAATAACCGGAGGATGCTTTGGCCGACGACGAAGTCCCAACGCAGTGCTTTGCGGCAGTTCCGCATCACGTTGCGGTGGATCTGTGGCACCCAGAATGAGAGGTAAATCGCTGACAATACGCGTGCATAGATCCCTCCCAAGCGCCTGGGCAGGAGAACGGCCCAAATAGATAGAATGAGCATTCCGAATAATGCGAGATAGAAGCGCGCATACATGGCACCAACATCGCTACGCATTTGCCTGGGGGTTGGAGCCCCAGTGCGGTTGGTAGTCGGTGGTGGTTCTAGGTCATCGTCCGGAGGGTCTTGATCGGGTGTCAGAATGATAGGCGTGGCGCCAGAATCCTGGACCGCTGCAGTGGCAGGCAAAGGAAGAGTTCCCGGACGAGTGGTGGAAGCCGGGGGTTCGACGGGCTGTTCTTCGCGTCGCTCCGGCTCCTGCACAGCCCAGATCTCCATCATGAATTTCATGCCAATGTAACTGACGGAGAGGAAAGCCAAGAATGAAGCGGTTGCCAGAACCAAGAAGGAAACCGCTGCGTAAAGCTCCAAAATGATGAAAGTTAGGACGAAGGCATCTCCCAGCGCCATCAATGCGATGGTGTAGAAACTGACGCGACTTCGGGTCGAAGGAGTCGAAGCCTCTTTAACCTGGCGCAAGAGAAGAGTGATCTGTGCAACAAAGACAGCTGCAACCACGAATATGAGACGAGCTGCATATTTACTGAATTCCTCGTACTTAGGCCCAGACAGATATAGAGGATCAGAGGGAGGGTATTCTGGTGCCCCCTTGGTTTCGAGTATGTACCCGCAGTCGGGAGAGAAGACAACGGCAGACATGATCATGAGAGGAGGGTCTGGCAATGGTGCGCCCACAGGGTACCTTAACTCTCGTTCCATTCGCTCCAGTAGCAACCGGTCGGCGACAGCACCATCAATCACGACGGGATGTTGCTGAAGGAAAATGATATGCTCGCATTTGGGCGCTGGGAATTCCATCTGCTCCGATCCCGCCAAAGAAGACCATGGGAACAAAGTAGGAGGGCGGTTTTGCCTTTCTAACATGGTATCCGAAAGAGACTTGAGCAAAAGCCGATGGGACAACTCATAAGTATCAGGAGAAAGCGCAAAGTGAGGCAGAGCAAATATCCCACCAAACTTCTCACTTGAGGTACTCAGAATAATCGATCCAGTTTCTGGAAAGTGCATCCCAAATAGTGAGAGATACCAGGTACTGCCCCAGAAGTCTTCGCTCTCAACCGTCAAGCTCGCCCTAATCTCTCGGACTAGGCTTTCACCTAGCCGGAGCTCCTCCCCGCCTCCTTCTTCCAGGTCAAAGGAAAAAGTGCCACCATTTCCCGTGATATTTGAGCTGAACTCATGAGTGAAGTACTCGTGTTCATGGGCGATAGCAGAAGTGTTGAGAGGTGTGCTGCGATGTACATCTTTCTGTCGTACCCAATCACCCCGTAGCTTTCCTGTAGTATTGCGGTATACCGGAAGAAAAAGCTTCGTCAAGTTCAAAGGCGACGACGAGTAGGAATCGTCCAGACCTATCGGAGGCTCGAGGCCGGCATTCGAGAGAACGGATTGTAGCTGGTGGCGCACGCGACTTTGAACATTCGGAAAGAGATCCCAGGCATAACTATCATTCTGCCGGACTCCTGCGAATGGAAGCCAACGATCCGCCGGTGGATCGAAGTCTCCATACTTCGACTCGTTCAACAGCTGGAGCGCATGTCGCTCTCGGTCGAGCTCGCGCTGGCGCTCCCGGTCCTCATCAATCAACGGAGGACGCGACTGCGAGCTGAGGAGCAGGTAGAAAACCAGCAGGAGGAAGAAGAAAGAACCGCGGTTATCCATCGGTCATCGATGCCACGGGGGTTTCTCCGCATCGGACGCTTCCTCAGATCGGGACGGTGAGCATCGCGGGAAAACGACGGAAAGGAGCGAAGTGCAAAGCCTTCAAGTACTGTGAAGACCGCAAGCTTCAAAGATCGCGGACAGTAATGAATGACGAGGGTGGTAGTTGTCGAGCTAAACTTTGAGTGGATGATGTACTCGACATGGGGTCGAGACCTTTAGGCCCCCGCCCCTTCCGCTGGTCGACACCTGATATATCAGGCACTAATAGTACCTTGGTCCGTTATCTCCTTTTCCCCCGGACTCCTTCACGAGACATTCCCAAGCTCTATTCTTACGACGGAGACGCGTTCGACAGGCATTCGCGATGGCGTCGAACCTCCCTTTACCTATTCCTCCACGTACCCCGACCCCGCCATCGGACGACGGCACAGTCCATGCTCCGCACGTCAATGGAGGACTATCTATTGATCGCGATGCCTTGTCGCCTCTCAAGGATACATTCCCCAAGAGCGCTATTTTGGAACCAGTGAACTCGGATCGCCTTAGCCCTACCAAGGCTTCATTCAGCTTTGGAACCGGGCCTGCAGAGGATGTGACACCGACGGAAAATGGCTCGGGCGACTCTCCTTCGGCGGGGCCGTTCAATTTCAATACCAACGTCATGGCAAAGAGCCCGGTGGTCAAGTCGGTAAGCTTCAATAGTGTCGTGATCCTTGAGAAGCAAACGCTTACACTGACCTCCGATAGAACATTGGACAACGTCGTGGCCACAAATACAAGCACAGCAGTATCTCGCATCAAATTTTCCTCGAGCCCCCTCCACGTGCGCCCTTGGCTCTTCCCAATTCACTACCTATGCCAACAATGAAAGAATGCCGACTTAGCATGTCAAAGGACCAGAAGACACGGTTTTGGTGGAGTGTATGCCACATGTTCGTTGCCGCCTATACCCTTTGGACGGCGCACGGGTCACTGGCTATGACGGCATTATCCCATTTGATATTGTTTGACTCACTTGGAGCTCTTCTTTGCGTAGCTGTGGATGTCCTGGGTAACTTCGAAGTCTGGAAGAGATCTAGCATTCGCCACCCATTCGGTCTCGAACGTGCCGAAGTCCTGGCTGGATTTGCTATGTGTGTGCTTCTTCTGTTTATGGGCCTTGACCTGATCTCCCATAATCTACAGCACTTTCTTGAAAAATCGGGTCATGAGCCCCACCATACGCATGCTCATGAACGCGTTTCCCTGGGCAGCGTGGATATTACGGCCGTGCTGGCTATTTCCTCGACCCTGGTTTCTGCAATTGGATTGAAGAACCATGCGCGAATTGGAAAGGCTATGCGCTTTGGATATATTGAGTCTCTTCCTTCGGTGCTGAGCAACCCGTCGCATTTCTTGACTCTTTCGTGCTCCGCCCTTCTCTTGCTGTTGCCTCTGGTGTCAATTCGCATCTATGATTGGCTTGATAAGCTCCTGTCTGGCACGATCGCCCTTTCAATGTGCTTCCTTGGAGTGCGATTGGTGAAAACCCTGGGATCAATGCTTCTCATGTCCTACTCGGGCCAAGGGGTGTCTGATGTCATCAAAGATATCGAGGCGGACCCGGCGGTGTTCGGTGTTGATGAAGCGAGATTCTGGCAGGTTCACTACGGCCTTTGCATGGCCAATCTCAAGCTACGTGTTTCTGGCACAGAGGATGGCATTGGTCGACTACGAGAGAAGATATCAAGCTTGATTCGCAATCGTCTTGGTGGTGGATATGGAACTGGAGGACAGAAGTGGGAGGTGTCTCTCCAGTTCACTGTCGAACGAACATAAGAGCTGGTGCGTAAATAAGTTGTGCAAATGCATTTATGTATAATACCCCTGTATATTAGGAATCCAATCCTTATTTTGCATTGAGATAATAGCCATGTAAGATATCAGAGCGTACTTCTAGCCATTGAGATGGGATATGCCCAATAATGAGGCAAACTGAACAGGCTAGAGAGCGCAGTTAAAAAAGAATGTAACGATAATTTATAGAAAGTCTTGTTCATATTCTACAGCGCACATCGCTGCCGGTAACATCTGCAAAGACCTCCCAGATGAAACCCCGATATCAAACCGTCGAATTTTGGTACACATAAAAAAAGGGAATACACACGCAATGCTCAACCTCCTCGAATCATTCAGACAAAAACACTTTATGAGGTAGTAGCCAGAACAGCACCCTCCTCAGATTTGCTCAGACTCTCTGGCTGGTCTCGTCGCCGACGCTTCTCAAGAATGGCTTCTCGTCGCTGGGCGAGCATGCGGAGCTGTCTGTTCTCAACACCTTGGAGCCAGTAGCCGAAGCTTCCACCAACACCGGCGAAAAGAGGGTAGACCCAGAGGGATTCCTTGGCGAGGATGGGACGCATCTCGATTCCGAGTTGCCAGAGGCGGACGGCAATGCCTGTTGAAGCGGGATACAGTTAGTCTATGGCCAAAGAGATTCTTTCAAAGAGCACGTTTATGTGATGCACGGCCACATTCTGGGGATTGGAGTTGTTTGAGCAGGGAGAGGACGCACCGAAGCCGCTCCAGAAGAGCACTTTGTGGACCATGATCGCGACCGGGCGTAGGCGGAAAGAGGGTATTGAAAGGTGCCGACAGGTTCCGATACGAGAGGGAAGTGATGACTTCGCGCTGTCGCAAGTGAAAGTGGCCCGCGGTCGGAATTGGATGGGATCGGGGCTTTGAGGTCGCAACGGGGTAGGAGGGAGGTGAAGCAAATCAGACGCCCGCAGTTCTAAGCACGGATTAACTTTCCGCCGCCATCACCCGTGTTATCGCTTATCGTCTTCACGCGACTTTCTCCAGTGCCCTTGCTCTGTCCTCCTTGGACTTCTCGTACAACAATGGCCGCTGATCAGGCTATGGAGGATGTGCCAGCTGGTACCAAAAGGCCAGTGCTGGACATTGAGTCCTTAAAGTGCAAGAAATTCAAGGCCGATGATCTGCCGCTGTCTGCTGCGCAACATGCCGCAATCGACAAACTTCTGCATTCATTCAAGAAGAAGGGTGGATTTGACAATATTCGAAAGCAAATATGGGCCGAATTTAATGATGGAGTATGACTGGGCATCTTGCTTTGGTTCTTGGCATCGCTAATGCATCTACAGGAGTCCAAGACCAACTTCACCGACCAGTTGATCGCATTGGCCGAGTCCGAGATTGAGCGCGAACCGGCACATTTATCGCGTGAAAGAGGGAAAGCCGCGACGTTGATCGAAGGTGCTGTTGATCGTGGCGACGTCTACAAGAACGTGGAGGACTCCCTTGACCAACTAGCCTCGAAACATCTTGAATCGATACTAGACGACATCCGCGCTATTCGTCGTCAAGATATCGGCGAAGAAGCAGCTGCCAAGGAGGAAGAATCCGGCAGCAAAACGGACGAAGCCTACGAAGCAGAGGTGGCCGCCAAACGAGAACAGCGCGAAAAGGTCTACCGTGAAGAAATGCGCAAACAAAGAGAGATCGAGGAGGAGCAAGATCGCATTAAGGCGGAAGAAAAACGAAAGAAGCGAGAAATTGAGCGTCAGAAGGAAGACGAGGAAAGAGCGCGAAGAAAAGAGATCGATGACCAACGTCGGGCTGAGCGGGAGCGCATGCGCGAAGAGCAGCGAGCCCTCGATGACCAGCGAGATCGAGAGCGCCAGGAGAGGTATGAGCGACGACGACGAGAAGATCGTGAACGGTATCGAGACTACGATCGCGATCGCAGTCGAACTATAGACAGAGATCGTTATCGTGATCGGTCACCGGCATATCGCTCTGACCGTGGCCTTTCTCCTCGCAGCCGCGACCCGAAACGAGAAAAGTCGGCTACCTCCAAAGATGCAACCCCCGCCCCACCGGTTGATGAAAAGTCGCTGGAGGAGGCTGCCTTGCAAATGCTTCTGAAAGAAGGCGAAGAGCTCGCTGCCAAAGCGCGGCAGAAGCCCGAATTTGACTTTGAAGAAGCCGAGGCTATCGAAAACGGCCTTAAACCGTCGACTTCTAATCAGGCCAGGAGTGCCAACGACTCAAGATTACCAAGTACTTCAAACAGAGGTGCCAGTCCTTCTCGAGATTCTAGGCGACGCGATTCAATGGCGGATCGAGAGCGAACTCGTCAAACGAGAGATCGCAGTCGAAGCCGTAGCCGGTCTCGTCGTCGACAAGCATCTCGTTACGACCCAAATCGGCGCCTCGATCGGACTAGGGATACATCTGTGCGGTCTCGAGACCGCAATATGGATGAACGCCGTGGATACCGTGACTTCCGAGATGAACGAAGCTACCGGCCAGCTCGTCGCAGTCGCAGTAGATCCACTGCACGAGGACGAAATGGGGATAGAGAAATTGACAGGATTCGAGACCTACCACGCTCTAGATCTCGTGATCGGGACTATGACCGGCGTCGCCCTGATCGCAGCCGAAGTCGAGACAGGGATCGTGGCGGTGAATCATACCGACCGCGCCGCAGATCTCCCTCTCGTCAGCGCTCACGCTCTCGATCACGTTCTCGCCAGCGGACCCGAGACCGTCCACGCTCACGTTCGAGATCAGCTGCTCCCAGACGGCGATCGCGTTCTCGATCTGCTCCACGAAGAAGATCCAGGTCTCGGCGCCGTTCCCGCGAGAGACGGACGTCACGAGAGAGACGCCCTTCCCCTGGCTCTGGCGACATCGATCGGTACATTCCCCCCCAACAGTAACCGCAGCACTTCACCTAGGCGCCGAAAGCGATCCCCTGAGCGGGATGCTCGACCCGCTCGAGCTGGTGACATTGACCGTTACATTCCGGGCTCTGAACCAGAAAAGGCCAAAGAGGGGGAGACTGAAGCCACAACTGAACAGCCGAAAGAACCTGAGGACCGTCGGAATCGACGCCGCAGCCGCAGTCGCAGCCGGCGACGAAGGAGTCCCAGTCGAAAGCCAAGCTTTAGCCGGCGTCGAAGTCGAAGTCGTCGCAGGAGCCGCAGCCGATGAAAGTGATGAGCTTTTCTCGAGATTGGAGTGATACCAAAGACGCACATTGCTTGAATCTCTGTAATAATAGTCATTTATCATTAATGGACTTTACTGGACGATATCTACGAAGATATACTTTATAGATCCCGATCCGGCTTAACGCATACCTAGTGCTTATCGTTATCGGAATCGGCCCCACTCAAAAAGTTGAAATCGCCAGACCGCGACTTGACTTTTTTTCTAGCACAAACCTCAATCTCTTCAAACCCTCTATTCAGTGGAATTTAAGGCTCTACCAAGCCGGTTTCCCTAACACGTTACCTGCGATTTATTGGAACCTGTTACCCTGGCATCCCGGCCCCGGCATTCGGACAAACAAGCCGCATCCCAGTGAAGACCCAGACTACAACCACCAATAATACCCTTAGCAACCAGCTGTACCGACCTTCACAATGAGAGCGACAAATGAGAACCCCAAAGAAAGCCACCAACCCACCACAGCACACTTCTCCGACGACGACGACCCAACTTCCTCCTCCGGCTCCTCCTCAGAAGAGAGCGAAGACGACGCTTCAGAAGATGAAGACGAGGGCATGCAACAGAGCACAGCCGGCGGGTCCTCAATACCGAGTATTCCTCACCGCCCGAAGCCCAGGATAAAGCCCATGAAGATGAAGGGCGGTTCGGATCTCCTTTCACGGTTGTCCACGTTTCTGCCGCAGATGAAGGATGCCAATGAGGATCTGGAGAAGGAGATTGCTGCTGGGCGGGGAAAGGATATGGTGCTTGATGATGTGGATGAGGCAGATGGGAAGCAGTATATCGAAATGGTATGTTTGATTTCTGGTTAAGGGTGTTTTCCGGACTGGTGCTGACTGGCTGTAGAATCTTGGGTTGGGTGTGCTTAAGGAAAAGCGTGATGGTGATGACTCCAGTGAGGCTGATAGTGATGATGAGAATCCATATGCGAATGCTGGATCGAATACAGAGGGTGACTCGGACGTCTTGGGCAAGCTGATGGGAGGAAAGAAGTCAGAGAAGTCAGACGCGGATAAGCCTTCGATTGAAGAGGTGGCGGAGTGAACTGGGAACCATCACTGTTGGCGACTCGGAGTTTTGTACTCCTGAATGATATATCTTTTTTGGCATTCAGTGTCTTACACTTTGAAAGTGGGGCGCCAACGACTGGAGATCTAAGATCTACTCTACAGGATTAAGCTGTGAAAAGATAAACGTAGAAAGGCATGAACATTCATAGATTTTTGATGCAGTTCGCCAAATCTCCAGAAGAAAGATAAAAGTCTAGATGAAGACACCAGTCAAGAAGAGAAGAGAAAACAAAAACAAACATGTGGAGTATCTATTTATATGCATGGACCCATCACACACTATGGCAGAACCATATGATTAAACATTGATAAATTTGAAGTCATCACCGTGCAAGGATCTATGAGATCTCCTTGATGCGGCAAGTCCAGCCAGACTCCTGACTGAGAAGGGGCAAGCTGTGAAAGAATTAGCATGTTGCATAGCTGGAACAAGAGAAAAAAGATAACTTACCTCGCACCAAGGCACCAGCCCAGCTCGTTGTCCTTGATCTTCTTGGCGATCTTGACCTCACGCGACATCGGCATCTCGTAGCCCGTGTGCAGCAGACCCATCATGAAGTTTAGATCCAAGCACCAATCGGCACGGCCGCGAAGGTCCTTCAGGGCACCCTCCACGCCCTCGAAGACACTCCAGCTGTCCTCTCCGGCACAGACGGTGGAGGTGAGCTGGTGCAGCTCCTCGAGAGTGAACGAGGAGGGCATGCCCAGCGGAGCAGTGCGGTCGAAAAAGTAGGAGAAAATATACACGTCCTCACGGGCAAAAGTCTTTGCCAGAGAGGGCTGGTGAACACCGTTGAAGGAGCAAGGAGCCAGCTTGCACTCGGCCTCCTTCTTCAAGATCTTCTCGGCGATGGCACGGCACTGCGCGGGGGCAGACTGGTCCTTGGGACCCACCATGACCACGCTGGTCTCGGGTCCGAGAGCATGGCCATCAGGGAAAGTCACAGTGACTTTCTTCTCCATATTAGGCTGGATGCATGGGTTGGAGATCGGGCGTTCCAACCACGACATATCCTTGCCGTTGTTGGCCAGGAGAGCCTCGAGGACCACCTTGTGCATAGACTCGCGAGCAGACATCAGACCGTAGCCAAGGTGAGAGTGCTGGTAAAGCTCAAACTCCCGGCCGCCGAACTTGAGCTCATACTTGTGGTCACCCTGAGCCAAATGCTCGGGCATGCCTCCGGCCTTGCTCTGCTCGAAGGTGGGCTGGAAGACAATCTGAGTGGAACCACCACCGAGATCAAAGATAGCAGCGGTAGGGGTCTCATCAGGGCCACCAATCTTGCCCAGGAGGTAGTTGGTGGTGATCCAAGCGTAGACACCCTCGTCAGAGCCGTCCATAATCTCGACGCCACCTTTCTCGCGGGACACAACGGGGAAGGGATAGGTGTTCTCCAGACGGTGGCGCACAGCCTCCAGGATGTTTTTGCTCAGCTCGGGACCCAAGAGACGCAGACCGGCGGTGGCCTTGACGGCAATTGGGCTGCACCGTCTGTACTCCTCAGGCACGGACTGCAGTGCGACCTCCATGAGAGGATCCAGACTCTGTGCCGCACCTTGGGCATCCTCCTTGTAGGAACTGAGGCCGGAGCCACCGTCCTTCTTCTTGGTCTGCTCGAAGACCTCGTTCTCCAGTTCGGGAGTAGGGCCGCAGTTGTTGAAACGGTAGACGTGGATACGAGAACCGGTGCTACCAGCGTCGATCATGAGCGCATACTGGATCAGAGGCTTCGATGAATCGAAAGGCTTATTGCACTTGGTAGAAATACCAGAGGCTGAAGGCGCTTTTTCTAGAGTGAAAACGAGTGGTCAGCAACGACGATTGATTCCGATCGATCTGCGGCGCATACCCTTGGCGAATGAAGAAGAAACGACAGGTTTAGAGGGCGACAGCCACAAAAGGACCATGAAGATGAAGCCCACGATGGCTCCGGTCTTCAGCCAGCGCGATCTCTGGCTTTGGGAAACCATTTTGTCGAATTGTTTACCGGGGACTCGGCCGGACTCGACGGAGTTTGGGGAGGCGGAAACGAAACTGTGCGAAACGGAGCGTTGACGGGCGACCGTATGCAGATCGATTTTGCTGGGCTGTTGATTGTCGACTCCAGTCGACATGCGAGCAACCGATAAGCAAAAGACAGGGTGTTGCCACCGAACGAGTAACGATCGGAAGGGTTAAGAAAGACGAGCAAGAAGACAAGACACCATAGAAACCATTGAGCCTCCAAAATCGCCAAGTCCAGAATAGGATAGGAGATTGCGGAGTTGAAAAAGGAGAAAAGAAAGGAGGGCAGATTGCGGATCCAGGGTTTCAGGCCTGTGGCGCAGATGTGGCGTGGCTGTTACTCGATCCGTCGACTTGTCTTGACTGCACCCGATTACCTTAACCAGCGCACACCATCTACCGGTCCTATACCCGACTCTTCTGCCGTATGGCTGTCAATATAGTCATTTCCTGATCTTATCCTCTCTCGTCACTACGATCCCTCCGATCTCCTCCCAACCAGCCGTCATGAACCACACCCGCGGTCTCATGTCCACCGCGCAGGCCCTGCGGCAGACCTTCCTTACACCTCTCCGAGCCCCGCGAGCGGCTCTTGCACAGTCTAGTCCTCTTCACCATGTTCATCCCATTCAAAGTGGGTTTCAAACAAGATATCTACAGCATTCCCGTTGCCTTGCCTTTGGCGACTACCACAAGATGCCAACCAACGAAGCTATTGGAGCTCCGTACGTGCAGCTGGTCAACAAGGACAACAGCCTCGATCCCCCCGTGAGACTTTCCCAGGTCCTAGCTTCTTTCGACCCCCGCGAGTTTTTCCTCCAACAAGTGCACGCGGGAGCTCCCGATAAGCCTCCGGTTTGCAAGATCCTGAACAAAAAGGAGACGAAGGCCAAAGAAAAGGCTAAAGCGAAAGCTGCAAAGGCGTCCAGGGTCCAAACCAAGAAGCTGGAGCTGAACTGGGCTATTGATGCGCATGACTTGAAACACCGCCTGGGCCAGCTGACTACCTTCCTGGAAAAGGGTTGCAAGGTGGAATTGGTCTTGACCAAGAAGAAGGGCAAGCGAGCAGCGACGGTGGACGAGATCAAGCATGTCATGCAGAGTGTGATGGATACCACGAAGGAAATTGGAGGCACCCAGGTCAAGGCTATGGAGGGAGAACCCGGAAAGCACGTTATCATTACGGTCAAGAAGGAGAATTGACGGTGTTGAGGATTGGACATCATTGTATATAGTTGAGTGCTGTTGGGATAGCATCGTGCAGATAATTCTAGGTAACTTTTAGCAAGACCTAAGTATTAAGCAGCCAGCATTGCATGAAGTCGCCAAGTTTTCAAGGGAGTAGTAGTTGGATATGCTTCCTTCACCCCGATCTATCGGGTCCTTTCACAGTCAAATACTGTTATGATGTCTGATATGTAGCGCTTATGCTGCAGACAATAAAACCTACAGGACTCGGTCTAACATTCAAAGATTGACCATGAATTAGCAATGCGACGCGCATCGCAACCCTCATGGAATCTGATGACGGACCGACCTCCGCAATCCGCGGCCCCTGATTGGACAATATATGACTAAGCAACCGACCCAGAAAATTTGGCTGTTGATTCTCTTCTCATCGCCTCCCATCGACCTTTCTTCTTGTTGCTTGCTTCCATTCTTTATCGTTTTTGGGTTCCCAATTGCAAGATGTCGAGCATCTCCCGTTCTTTGAACATCCTGGCGCGCTCCAGCCGGGCGTCCCTGCTGCGCCCGCGTGCCGTCAACCCCGTCCACCATGTCTTCGCCAGCGACAAGATGGCTGTCCGTGGACTGGCTACTGCTTTCGAGCGTACCAAGCCCCACGTCAACATCGGTACCATCGGTCACGTCGATCACGGCAAGGTATGATGATTTACTTCGATCTTCCTGTCATCCCGCGATTCTCGTTCTAACGTGTCAACTCCTATAGACCACCCTGACTGCTGCCATCACCAAGAACCAGGCCTCCAAGGGCCTGGCCAACTTCCTCGCCTATAACGCCATTGACAAGGCTCCCGAGGAGCGCAAGCGTGGTATCACCATTTCGTCTGCCCATATTGAGTTCCAGACCGAAGACCGTCACTACGCCCACGTCGACTGTCCCGGTCACGCCGATTACATTAAGAACATGATTACTGGTGCTGCCAACATGGACGGTGCCATCGTCGTCGTTGCTGCTTCCGATGGCCAGATGCCCCAGACCCGTGAGCACCTGCTGCTTGCCCGCCAAGTCGGTGTCCAGAAGATCGTCGTTTTCGTGAACAAGGTCGACGCCGTCGAGGACCCCGAGATGCTTGAGCTTGTCGAGATGGAGATGCGCGATCTGCTTTCCACCTACGGCTTCGAGGGTGAGGAGACCCCCATCATCTTCGGTTCCGCTCTCTGCGCCCTCGAGGACCGCCGCCCTGAGATCGGCAGCACCCGCATTGACGAGCTCATGAAGGCCGTTGACACCTGGATCCCCACGCCCGAGCGTGACATGGACAAGCCCTTCCTCATGTCTGTTGAGGAAGTCTTCTCCATCCCCGGTCGTGGTACCGTCGTTTCTGGTCGTGTCGAGCGCGGTATGCTGAAGAAGGATACCGAGGTTGAGATCATTGGTGGCTCCAACGACGCCATCAAGACCAAGGTCACCGATATTGAGACCTTCAAGAAGTCCTGCGACTTCTCCCAGGCTGGTGACAACTCCGGTCTGCTGCTCCGTGGTATCAAGCGTGAAGACATCCGCCGTGGTATGGTCGTTGCCCTCCCCGGCAGCACCAAGGCCGCCAAGAAGTTCCTGGTGTCCATGTACGTCCTGACCGAGGAGGAGGGTGGCCGCCGCACTGGTTTCGGCTCCAACTACCGCCCCCAGGTCTACCTTCGCACTGCTGATGAGCCCGGTGACCTCACCTTCCCCGACAACGACCACTCCCGCCGTGTCAACCCCGGTGACAATGTCGAGATGGTCCTCGAGACACACCGTCCCGTTGCTGCCGAGGCTGGTCAGCGCTTCAACATCCGTGAGGGTGGCCGCACCGTCGCCACCGGTCTGATCACTCGTGTGATCGAGGAATAAATTAATACCCCCTCGCCTATGGTCCGGGCTGCTTGACTCTCCGGACCCTGTATTATGACACCTCTTTCCTTTCTTGTTTGTCTGTCACCTTGTATTCACAGCGCGGGAATCATCGACCCAAGGAATCCGGGGGATAAGCCGGAGTTTTCGCTTGAATCCTGTTCATGTACCTCTACTGTATTGAAGATGTAGCCAGTTGTACCTTCTCTCCCCTCCCGTGGAATGTATTCAAAAACAATCCAAGTCTACCATCCAGACTGTTTATAATATTTTCTCGAGTAATCGATCCTTTCACAATGGGGTCAGCCTTGAGTCCTTGAATCCTTTGACCGGAAGGTGTTACCAAACACGTCCAATGATTGGCCCACCGTTCGGCCGAACTTGACGGACGAATTGCCCCCAAAAGACTATGACCCGGGCGGATTCACCTCCGGTTTTATTTCTCTATTCCGGTTTACCTGCTCTGAGGTTGCTCACTATTTCTTTCTGTCCTCTCCGCGATCAACCGGAGCTGCACTGGCGTGACTCCGCCCCGGTCCCGCGCGACGTCTTGCCTGTGCTGACTGCGTTCGTCCGCTTTGGCTGGACGAGGCCGTGCCTCGATAATTTCCTAAGTAAATCTTCGTCATCCTTGTCAAAATGGACTCTTGGAATGATATAAACGGTCCGCCTCGCAAAAAGATGCGAAAAGGGACCAAAAGCTGTACACAATGTACGTTGTGGGACGAATTCCTCAGACACCGATACTAAACTCCGTCCCAGGCCGACGTCGCAAGATTCGATGCACTTTCAATCCTGATCGCCCGGAAGCTTGCAGTGAATGCCGCTTGCGTGGATCGACTTGTATCGATCAGGAGCATGACTCCGATAAGCTGAAGGCCTCGGATGCCGCTCAAGGAGACCAGCGGTACAGTCTCAGGGAGCGTGTGGCTCATTTGGAAAATATAGTGGAGGACTTGGCTAAACGATTAAACGAGACGAGCCCCGCTCATTCACGGAGTAAGTTTTATGAGTTACCAACAGCTTGCGCAATCTTATTTTCTCGTTCTTTGAGGTTGCTAACGGTATATAGCGCGTAGACCCTCTATAGAAAGCCCGACGCCACCGTCAGATGAGTCGGACAAGCTTGGCCCGTCCAGTTGCCAGATCCAGAATGCGCCAGTCATGCAACTATTCGATAATTATCTCGTCAGCCGCCGTGAAGATTCGTCCAATAACGACCAGTTCACCGGTGCTAAAGATATGTCGCCCAAAGCACGGGCAGTCAGAGCGGAGCTTCTGTCTTTACTTCCTTCCATGCAAGACATTCAAAAAATTGTCGAAGAAGGCTCGAGGCTATGTTGCGTGTGGGAGGAGAACTTCCCCGAGCTTCTAAATGCCTTCGGGACAAAGTCATACTCGGAAAGCCTGGTGGCGCCCGCTGAAATAGCGAAAGGGTTGGTTTCCCTCTCTATAAGTGTTCTACAATCACCGCCTGATTTCGACTTCAACACACTGCAAGTTCCGCTGGATCCGCAGGAGTTTGCTGCACGCTGCTGTGCAGCGGTGGATCGTCTGATCGTTCGGGATGATGACTATGCGGCGACGCTGCCTGGCATGGAATGCCAGATGCTGCTCTCTAAGTATCACTTGAATGAAGGCCGGCTTCGCAAAGCATGGCTCGTGGTTCGCAGAGCTATTGAATTTGCACACCTCGCGGGCATGCACCTCTCAACCCGGACACCTCAACCGGCAGATACTTTATTTGACAGGCGGCTGAAACTCTGGTGCGCGATAACGAATTCAGATCGATCTCTCAGTCTGATTCTCGGTCTTCCTTATGGAGTCGCAGATGCTTTTTTCATGCCCCAAGTCCAACTACGGCTTAATTCAGACATCTCAGCCACGGAGCAATACGTCTTGCGCCTTGGTATTATCAGCGGACACATGATTGACCGCAACCAGAATCCGTCGGAAATGTGTCTCGAGACAACATTGCGGCTTGACCAAGAGCTTATGGACGCCTGGGACGCCATGCCCCGGAGCTTCACGGGCCCTGAGCCAGGGTCCGATGAGAAACGGGAGCATTTCAATGAGCGAATTCCGCTGCAGTTCATGCCGAAGATGTACCGTGCCCTTCTTCACCTTCCTTTCATGTTGAAATATCCCCACGATCCACGGTTTAGCTTCTGCCACCGGACGGCGATTCAGTCTACTCGGGAGGGATTGGCCCTGTACAAAGTGCTGCGGGCGATCACTCGGTCTTATTTGTGTAAAATCCTTGACTTCCTGGCCTTTACGATGGGCATGATTCTCATTGTCCATCTGCACGGCTACTCTGAAGAGTCATCGTATCACAGCAAAGACCAAGACGAAAAGGATTGGGCTCTCGTGCGGGATGTGGTCACCATCCTTCGCCATGCCGCGGCTGAGAGTGGTGGCTCTGTTGCAGCGGAGTCTGCCAATATCCTCGGTGCGATCTTTGATACCAGGACTCAACGGCGGAACTGGACGTCATCCGCGACTTGCAAGGTCACGGTGCCTTACTTCGGGTCTATTACTATAGGCGCTGGCGCCAATCTCCTGAGACCCAAAAGCAAGGAGCAGAATGCTGGAGCTCCGAGCCCACTCGCCTCGACGAACCCGTCAAAACGGACCGCCAGTCAGCTCTTTACTCCGCCCATGTCTGATCCCGAGCCATCGACCATCAACGCCGACACCATGGACGGCAATACTCCAGCTGCAGGCGCCATGGAAGCTGATTTCTTAACCCAGTCGCTAATGACAGGAGACGACTTTGGAACAAGTACTCTTTTCACCGGCTTATTTGATGATCTTGGACATTACATGTGGCCGAATGCCAACGTCGACCTCGGACTGGATCACGGCTGGAACCTGAACTGGTCTGAATAGAGGGAGAAAGTACATACCCCACATTCTGTACAGGATGTAGTCAATCAAACCGATGAATTCATGATCGGGCACATTTTCCCGCGATTCTGCAGCGCATGAGTATTTGCGCATGTAACTATAAGTTAAACGGAACCGGGGTGTACGGTTATGTAAGACGTGTTTTCCCCAGCAACCATCGACCTCGGACCATTTGATCGCACTCGTGCAACGGCCTTGTGATCGTCCTTTACTCTAATTGTGATCACTTTGTCCGTGCTCTCGATTCTTCTCAGTTACATGATCCACTCCTCCCCCAACCTCCTTGTGCCCACTTTCCCCTGCTCTCGCCACTCTCATCGGTGATCTGTCCCCACAACACCGCATCATCGAAGGAACACCATGTCCGAACGCCCGTCGGGACTGGGCAGGAACCCAACTGCACCTCCTATCATGGCGAATGGTCACTTTGCTACGGTCGGCGACAACGGCGACTCCGCCTCCTACGAGCATGGCGTCCAGGTGATTGATGAGAATAAGGAGTTCAAGTACGCCCCTCCCCTGCAGGCCCGGGTGTACCTACATCTGGCCTGCGGGCAATCTGGTAATTCCGTTGCTCACAGCTGTCAGTGCGAATCTCTCCAAGTACCTTTCCATCGAAGATGTCACGCCCGCCGGCTTCAATTATCATCTCATCTCCGTGTTCGGCTCCCAGTCGACCGGCAAGTCCACCCTACTGAACCACCTCTTCGGCACTGAGTTCTCGGTCATGTCGGAGCTGGAGCGGAGGCAAACGACCAAGGGTATCTGGCTGTCGAAGAACAAGAAGCAGGGTCAGGAGGGCGCGGAGCGCATGGCGGATAACATCCTGGTTATGGACGTGGAAGGCACTGATGGTCGCGAGCGTGGCGAGGATCAGGACTTTGAGCGCAAGAGTGCTCTCTTCGCGCTTGCGACTAGTGAGGTCCTCATCGTCAATATCTGGGAGCACCAGGTGGGGCTGTACCAAGGCGCCAACATGGGGTTGCTGAAGACCGTCTTCGAGGTCAACCTGCAATTGTTCATGAAGGATAAGAAGTAAGTGGATTGGCAGAATCTCTATATCAGGTGTCCAGCACTAACATGCTTTTTAGTACCACTCACCGATCTCTTCTGTTCTTCGTTATCCGTGACTTCATCGGCAGCACCCCGCTCAAGAACCTCCAGAAGACCCTGTTGGAGGATTTGTCCCGCCTTTGGTCGACGATTTCGAAGCCGGCTGGACTCGAGAACTCAACGATTCATGACTACTTCGATTTCCAGTTCTACGGACTTCCACACAAGAGTTATCAAGCAGCGGAGTTTGCGGCGGAGACCAAGAAGCTTGGATCCCGCTTCCGTGAGGGCCACCGTGACCCCAGGAGAGATGCACTCAAGGGCGAGTTCTCCGAAGAGGGTGTCTTCTTGCCCGAATACCACCGACGGATCCCTGCGGATGGATTCTCTCATTACGCCGAAGGCATTTGGGACCAGATCGTCAATAACAAAGACCTCGATCTGCCCACGCAGCAAGAATTGCTTGCTCAGTTCCGCTGCGACGAGATTCTGCGTGAGGTCATGATTGGATTCGACGATGCAATTACTGCCTTTGAAGATAAGCAGGCCGAGGCGGTTCGTTTAGGCGCACCGGAGGTTCTCGGTGGATTGGGTGTTGCTATGCGAGCTGCGCGCTCGAAGACGCTCAAGGGATTCGAGACTGAAGCCAGTCGGTACCACAAGGGTGTGTACCAGCGCAAGGGGGCTGAGCTCGAGAGCAAGGTCGATGGACGGTTGAAAGCACTCTTCCACGGTCAGCTTTCGGCCGCACACAAGTCTGGTATCCGTGATTTCAGCGATGCGGTCACTAATGCTGTCAAGTCTGGTCAAAAGAAGGCTGGCAGCTACGACTTTGCTGAGATCGTCAACGACGAGACCAAGGTTTCGCTGGAGAAGTTTGAGGGGGTTGCTCGTTCAACAGTGGTTGAGGGAGCCGCTTTCAGTGACTACAAGCAGCAGCTTGGCCTGTTTGAAAAGGAGTTGGCTGAGGTTAGCGCCGGTCTGCGCCGGGACGAAATGAGACGCCTGGCTAGTCGTGTCGAGCGATGGGTTCAGTCCCGTCTAGGTGAATCAGTGGGACTCGAGTTCAATAACATGGGTTCTGGACGTGCTGGAGGCGGTGCTCCTGAGAACGGCGAGAAGCCCACCGAGAAGGCATTCTGGGATCGGATCTGGAACGTATTCGTGGAAACCGTTCTTGACGCAGAGCGACGATTCACAGACCGCGCCAGCAGCTTCGATGCCAGCCTGGAAGAGGTCGACGTTGGACTGTGGCGCCTGCGTCGTAAGTCCTGGGGTGTCCTGCGCGCCAAAATCGATGAGGAGATGATTGAGGGCAACTTGCTTCTGAAGCTCCGTGAGAACTTCGAGGACAAGTTCCGCTACGATGACGAGGGCGTGCCGCGTATCTGGCGCCCGACAGATGATATTGAGGGCGTCTATACCCGTGCTCGCGAGTCTACTCTGACTCTGATTCCTCTTCTGTCTCGCTTCCGCCTCGCCGAAACCAACGCTCCGCCTCCGCTCGACCGGTGGATTGGCCACACTCCGAGCTCTGCGACTTCTGCGGATGAGGAGGACCTTGCCCCCATCGGTGGCATTGATGAGGACGAAGGCAAGAGCCTGGAGGAAGAAACGACAATTCTCGGTGAATCGAAGCGCCAGGAGCTTACCGTGCGCTTCAAGAAAGCCGCGGATGGCGTATATGTTGAGGCCAAGCGGAGTGCCATCGGCGGCATGACCCAGGTCCCGTTGTATTTCTACGGCATTTTGCTTGCCCTAGGCTGGAACGAGATCGTCGCGGGTGAGTATCCTTTCTTTTGTCCAGTGTTTCTCCCAGTTCGTTCGCTAATTACTCGTAGTTCTCCGCAACCCGGCCTACTTCTTCCTGCTGTTCGTGTGTGCCGTGGGCGCCTACATCACCTACCAGCTCAACCTGTGGGGTCCCATCCTGAAAATGACGGAGGCTGCCTCGCAGCAAGCCCTCGTGGAGGGTAAACGCCGCCTGCGCGACTTCCTCGAGTCCTCCGATGCCGGCCGACAAGCCATGGCCATGTCGGCGGACCGAACTGGATCAGCCGGCCGCAAGGAGGAGTACGAGATGTCCGACATGCAAAAGCGCGGCTCCGGCTCCAAAGCAAACGATGACCTGGATGACATGTAAATTTTGTTTCCTTTTTCTTTACTGCTCTACTCGGCAGAGCATCCTGTATACGTTTACTCTGGGGTTAGATTTGTTATAGCATTGGCATGTATGTAACTAAAAGAGCCAAGTGGATCTGCATGACTTACCATTAATGTTTAGGCGCACAAGAAGCTTGTTTCTGCCGGTCGATGTTTCCCTTTGAACCTACTTTTTGTCCTTGTCTTGTGCTCGCCTGTTTATCCGGTTGGGCTGCGGGGTCATATCCACGTAACCGTAACCACCGGACTTGCTCCGACGTGGGGCCAAACAGCTGTACTCCACGCTTCGGTATATAGCTGTACCAGGACCCTCCAGGTCTTCGTTTGGTCAATCTGCACTGCTAGACTATACGTTCCCTGTAAAGTCAACAACATGGCTGCACCACTCCCCCAGAAATTCGATGACCTCCCCGACAAGCGCCGATACTGGCCCGGGCGCCCGGGTTCATCAGAAGAAGGCCTGGGAATGCTACGCCTCCTGACGCCCGAGATAGTTGCCGATGCTGCACAAACACAGATTCAGACCGGCGAACGGGTATGTTTAAACTGGGACATTGAGAACCTGAGCCCACCAGGCTTCGGCCGCAAGCCATTCGAGCACACTATCAAATGGGTCGCCAAGGGTGTCGCCTTCGACGACGAATACCACTTCAACCCGCAACAGGGCTCCCAATGGGACGGCCTACGCCACCACAATGCACCCGCGCCGACACCAGAGGATCCCGAGCGGAGACTATTCTACGGTGGCACGACGGCGGCGGAGATCATCGACTCGGACTCCCCGCGTATCGGAATCGGGTTCTGGGCGAAGAAAGGCATTGCCGGTCGCGGTGTGCTTATCGACTACGTCTCCTACGCCGAGAAGAAGGGGATCCCGATCAACGCCCTGACCCGCCAGACGATCACCCTGGACGAGGTACAGGAGATTGCGCGCGAGTGCAACATCTCCTTCCAGAAGGGTGATGTTTTCTTCCTGCGCGTCGGTCTGCCAGGTACATGGGCTGCGATGTCGGAAGCCCAGCGCAAGGAATACAGTGCGCAGGAGACGCCACAGCACATGGGCATTGAGCAGAGCGAGCGCGTTCTGCGCTTCATGTGGGATAACCATTTCGCGGCCGTTGCATCCGATGCGGTTAGCTTTGAGGTTTTCCCAGCAAAGGACCCCGAGTTTGATTTGCATCATCATCTTCTGGCCGGTTGGGGTGTGCCTATTGGTGAGATGTTTGATCTGGAGGAGTTGGCTGCTACATGTAAGCGGCTTGGGCGTTGGAGTTTCTTTATTTCTAGCAGTCCCTTGAACTGCGCGAGAGGTGTTTCAAGCCCGCCTAATTGCATGGCGATCTTTTAGATAGAGTTATTTGGAAGTCTATCTTTTTTTTTTTTTTTAGAGAAAGGTGTCTTTGGAATCGTATTGCTCGTCTTCCTCAGAGAAATCACTGTCTGTTTCTTCCATTTCAAATTTTTGCGGGTTCCAAGATGATCCCTGGAGTCTTTGTCGCGGAGCTAGATATGGCCTAATACCGTAACGTGACACCTGCAACGGACCAACATTGATATTTTTCCTATGGAGGAGCCCCATATCATTCTGTTAGGATTTCCCCAGAAATTACAGGTCCGAGACCCTGCAGATGCCATAGCCACCCCAGTGCCCCATTGCGGCTACTTGGCATTCGGCCCCCACGACCACCAAGCTGGGCGATCGTTGTGGGCCAAACCCTGCAAGGCCGGGTTATTCATAGCTGGGTCCTTAAAACTGACGTGGCCCGCCCTGGTTTTATTTATGACTCAGTTACATCCAGAGACCCATCACCAAAGACGCCTGTGGAAACATGAAATTCACGCAGCAGCGCCAGTGCTTAATAATTGCGCCTTACATTCTGCTAGCATTGGGCCTCTTTACATACTGGCGACCGCAACGCAAAGTTCGGAATCAGGGTCCTGTGTTCACTAGTGAGCCTCACGGGCAACATCGGTTCGATGGGTCGTGGAACTATGAACGCGATAGGAACAACCTGCTTCTCACGCATGGTCAATGTGACCAGGCATTCCCGGGGCTGTTTGCCGAAATCGATCGCGTGAAAGAAGCTCGATCTTTACATACGATTACCGCGAAGGAAATCGACACTGCGACATCGCGGAGTGGAACTATTCGAGCAATGCTTTATGATCAGCAGGTGAGTTCACTTAAGCTCTTGTGGAGTTCTTCAGGGAGGTATATTGATGGTCTGTAACAGCTGTATATAATTACAAAAGAACGTACCGTCGGGTTGCGTGGAATGGCAACTCTCGCTGCCATCAACCGGGCAGTTATCACCTCATCCGAGCCATTGCCAAACATCGAATTCGGGTTGAATATAGATGACCAGATTGAAGATGTCGCTCTATGGGGTACTGTACGACGCCCGGAAGATGAATCGATATGGCTGATCCCCGACTTTGACTACTCGTCATCTGACAAGAGTAGCTCTATCAAGGAAACCCTTCTGAAGGTTGAAATTGCAGAGAAAGAAGATGCCTTAACGTGGGAAAATAAGACAAATCAATTACTCTGGCGCGGTGACAGAAGAAAAGAACCCGACTTCCGCGATCAACTCGTCAAACTCATCAATGGGAGGCCATGGGCGGATGTGAAGGATTTTAGGGTTGAAGCGAAAGGAAGCATGGAGAACCAGAACAAAATTCTTCCAGAGCACTGCAATTACAAGTTCATTGCACAAACCGAGGAAAAATCGGACTCGGGACTCAAGCACCTGCAAATGTGCCGGAGCGTGGTAGTTTCGGATAAACTAGATTGGGTGCAGCACTACTATCATCTGCTGCGGTCATCTGGCTCCCAGCAGAACTTTGTCGAAGTCGAGCACGATTGGTCAGATCTTGAAGAGAAAATGGAATGGCTGCTGAATCACGACAACGATGCCAAGCGCATCGCGGATAACAGTGTGAAGATCTTCCGTGAGCGCTATCTCACGCCGGCGGCTGAGGTATGTTACTGGCGTCGGCTGATCCAAGAATGGGCTAGAGTCAGTGACTTTGAGCCCGAGCTTTATGAAGAATACGATGGCAAAAAGTCATGGAGAGGGGTGGATGTTGAAAGATTTTTCCTGATGCAGTCAACGAGGTGGGAATCATAAGTCCCTAACCGCTCAGCAGCGATTTATTTAATGTGTTATGTTTTATGTATGATAAATTCATAGATCTTATTTAATAAAGCTCTCGAACCTAAGCCATAAATGATGTCGTCACTAAAGATAGCTCGTACCATTGAGCGGGTGCTGAAGTCGCCACAGCGCAATCCAGTTCCCGCTTAACCAATGCCGCCGCTCGTATCCCAAAACAATAGGGTTCCGAGGACGTGTTTCCACTTCTTGCCTCGAGATATCATTGGAGTGTTTCGAACTAACCACTCTTCGAATGGTCATATGACTGACATCATTATATATTCCCCAGAAAGCTCTTTAAAAGAGCAGGCCAAGCTATTAGAGGCAGACCACTTTTCTCAAGCTCCAAAGATTCCTGGAATAATATTGATCCCAACTCTCACAATGTATCCAGCCTTGATCAAACATCAGCTCACGAGACCCTCTGCCTTCCACATCACCAGACTGGCCCGCGCTTCGGTCTCCGGAAAGACTCAGTCCGACGTGAAGGGAGACGAAGCATGTACGTACAAGATTTTACCAAGAAACACTACTTCAAAGTCGCTCATATTCTTTACTCCCAGTCTTCGTCAACACAACCTTCCCCGATGACTATGAAGGATCGCCCTTGAGGGCCGAAGACCTTCAGAAACAACAGGCCGTAAAGGAACAGACTGCTGAAGAGAAAATAGTAGGCGTCTCCTGGATTTATATGTATTATGAAAGAGTACTGATAAGTCAGGCTACCACCGCCGCGCATAGAGCCGACATTTACGAAAGTCTCTTCCCTCCAGATCCAAAAAAGGCCGGGAAGCGCTCCAAAGACCCACAGGCTTTCGAGCAGGAGCCCAGTATCGATGAAATGTGATGGAATTGAGGAATATATTGGAAAAATGGTTGTATTTAGAAATAGGAATATGAACTCTTGTAGCTTCGCGTATTATTCGATCGCGCCGCGTCATCCCTGTATCGCGAACGTATTTCAAGCCTGTAGTTTTCATTTCCGAGGCTGGCAATATCGGTTATAGTGATTCTAGCACACTGAACCCCTTCCGACGTATTGAACGGATCTATCCTGCGGAATATCCTTCGGGGGTTCGGCCAGACCGAATCTGGAAGGGGAGAGGAGACGGATTTCCCCTGTTTCAAAACTCCGGAGGGTCAGACGGCTTGGGAGGAGTTGCGGATGGATACAAGATACGGGACGAAGCTGTTATGGGTGGCTATGAGAGCAATGACTGACCCATAATTCGCTCTTCCAGAGGTGGAGCAGTAAATAGGCACATATACAAGCAGCCCTATTTGGATATCTTAGGATTAAATGGGCTATATTCCCGACTTTAGTCTCATCATGGACCAACGACTGGCCCATAATAAGCCCAACGATGTTCAATTTCAACCACGGTTGAAAGACCGTTTTTGAGTGAAGGAAAAAGAATTATACGTGATGTACCTCGTCTACGTCAGTTAGAAGAGGCTACTGCGGCTGCCTATCACTTTGTGAATTCAAGCTTTTGGATGAAATAGAAAGAATATCAAAGCCAATCCGTCGTGATTGAGCGCCATGCGTCTCAAGCGGTATAGCGTCGGTGTGGCGGGCCGTGCGGGACGGCCTACGCGCTCGTTATTGGACAAGTGCTGATGAGCTGCATTTCTGCGGCTGGGTCTGAAATCTGGCGAGGTTTCCCCTGAATGGATACCTGTCTTGACCTCGTGGTTTTCATTCATAGCGGCCCGAACTAAACGGTCTGGGCACCATTTCCAGGCATCGGTACCCCGCTCTTTTGGGGATCACGATGAGTTGGCACGAGCCAGAGAACGACTCGTCCGCGGATGGGTCAGAAGTTGATGAATCTAGCGTTAATTCCTCGGTTGAATCGGTACGCAGCCGACGCAGTTATGTGCGTTCCCGTGAACAGACATACAGCAGAGTCGGCGTCTCGCCGCCTGGCTCGGACTATCCGGGAATTAGACCGCAAAATTACGTGTATACACGACGGCTCGAGAGCGGAAATCGCCGACGCAATGGTCGCATACGTTTTCAAGAATCCACAGACTCCCAAACATCGGATGAAGACGAGAATCTGGGGCCGATGGTGATTCGAGAGAGAGATCATCGACCCCGACCCAGGTCCCGCGACTATCCTCGTCGTAGCAGGCGCCTTCCCCGGCCCTATCCAAGCTATACTCCCTTTTATTCAGAGGATCGGCGGTCTCCTCCTCGGTGGCGTCCTTCGATTCCTTCCCCTTCTGACTCTTCACAATTTTCTGTTCGTGGCCCACCTCCCCCAATATTTACGTCAGAAGAGGCCATCACCAAAGTCCGTTCCCATCCAGCTCCAAACAAAGCAACAAGTCACCTTAGTATTGGCAAAATCCATGATGATTTCGCAGATGCTTCGGACGATGAACATATCAAGGTTCATCATATCATCAACATTCGGCCCTCTCATTCAGTCTATGATCGCAGCAGTGAATGGGATCCGAAACTTCGAAGCAGAGTGTTTACTCAACAGTCTTCTTTCAAGCACGAGGAGAATGTTTCTCCAGAGACATACCGCATTGTTCACACACAGCTCATGCCTAGAGATGACGATCACGACATTGCAATTCTGACGTATGATGTAGAAGCATCCTTGTCAAAGCCAGAGACCCAATGGATGTACGTTCGGTTCTTGGACCTTCTCTCTAACTTGCATTTATGAATAGTATCGCTTACTGATAACCCACCGAAAAGTCATCTTCAGAGCAACTTTCTCAGCTTGGAGCTTCTTGAGGTCTGTTGACTCGGTTTGTTTCTATCTATTTGACTAAATCATTCTAGATAGAGGCTCTGCGCTTGCACAATATTCCGGAAGTTAACAGTACTCTCATTCGGTTAGCATTCAAGCATCTTCAGCAACGAAATGAAAAGTCATATGTGCATGGGAAATACCTCGAACCCACTGCACTTAGTTTCGTTGCCAAGGATCATGAGAGTAAAACAACGGAAGAATGCTCGGTCGCCTTTTTGGCTTTTCCTTACTTCGCCCTCGAGCCACTTCGCCGTCAAGATCCTCCTTCTAATGGTTTAATGCATCCCGTCAGAAGTCTTCTTCAATTCCATTACTCGTTCCAGGCAACTGAACGTCTGGATGAAAATCAAGTTGTTTGCAACGTTCGTGGAGATGCCGAAGTACTTCATGTCCCACAGACATGGATGCTTCTTATCAATGGAGGTATCTGGCACTTCAATACTGGAGACAGCAGGTTCTAACCAATTTCTTAGACTTGATCTTGAGTATGGGCCCATCCAATCTCGAAACTCTTCGAGGGGAGGTCATTACTCTAGAAAAGATCGCGAGGCCCGAGTCAGGTCTTGCAACGCTACAGATTCGATTGATTGACTTTGAAGGGAAGCAATACTGCCTACCCAAGCGGCGATGTCAAACATGGTTTGTGAGTCTGCCAATCTGCTCGCCTCGTCTTCAAAAATGACTGACGCGTTGTTACAGGAACTCATCAGCATGTTTGCTGGCACACTAGAAGACGAGAACTCATCACTGGCCTCTTTTTTGGATGATTCTTGGAGGGATAAGTATGAGTTACGACTGGAAAATAGGCTCATTTCGGAGGATAACTGGCTCGAAATTCTTCGTGAACGAGATGAAAGCGATATCACGCTTCATATTGTGATGAAGTCTCGCAAGGACATACCAAACAATCACTCTCGTTCTGCCTTATCAGTGTATGGTTCATCCAGTTTTCATCATGGTCGAAATCGCCTTCACCGTCATGGCTATTCGACAAGGGCTAGTGAGTTAGTCATTGTGGCTCATTTCGAGATCAGTCAAGCTTATCTCTGGTTCAACCTTTCTTACAGACCCGGTTTATCCCACATTGAGTGAGAGGCAATCTTTTTATTCCATGACCAACACGATACGCAATGGTTTGATTCAACACCCAGCCTTTGTTGATCAGCAAAATAGAAATGACGATGAGTCAATACGCCAGTATCACAGTGACGCAATCCAAGAAAATGCCTGGAAAAGTGGCAAGCGGCCCATCCGGTTAAAGGATCCTGCTGGATTTGAGCTAATGATCCCCTGGCGAGTGGGTCGAACCTGGCGTGTATGATTGCCCCTAGAAGGTACTGGACGGAAGTTTTGACTAATGAGTTCTTTTCTGGATTATACAGAAGATGGAATCTGTCATTGGCACAAAAATGCAGTCCAATCCTGAGCATTTTAATGCTTTCACAGCTGGAGCATATGTTTTGAATGGTCCAAATGGGCCCATCACGCCCGCGGACTGGGATGACAACATCTTTCCAGGATGTGTGGTAGAGCTAAGACTGACAGGGTCTAACCAAACTCTGGAGCCCATGGATCCTCGCCATCCCAGTCGAGTTCAAAAGTCTCCATCTCGTGCTGAGGGCTCAGCCAGTGCAGCAGTTCAATTGTACAGGCCACCGCCCATAAGGAGAATTGACACAGATCATCAAATAGAGCATCCAGGATTTATTGCGACTGAGAATCCCTCAGAGCATGATCAGTTCGTTTCGTCTGGGGATCATGGCCAGACTAGCATTACCCCAGGTCCCGAGAACACTGAGACCGAGCCTATTCAAGCTTCGGAAGCAAACTTGGCCTCCCGCCATCCATCTCCACGTCCACAATTTGTGGATGTTCAGGGATCCTCTTTTGGCTCTTTTCTATCACCTAGCCTGGACCTAGAACCTAATTATTCTAGGGAGAATGAGCTTGGCAGAAACCAAAAGCCAATCCGAAGAGCTACTGATTTGCAGAGCTTTGTTGAGGACGCCGATGAGAATTCTTCTACTGAAAAGGCCTCTTCAAGCATCATGACAGACATATTGCCTCCCACGGAGGAATTTGATCTCAATCTGCAAGGCACTCCCGATAGGCAAAGCACAAAGGTTACAACCAATTTCGGTCAGCACACGTCAGAGCTTCGAGAAGAAAACACATTTTCACGCAGAAGCGAGAGCTTTCAGTCGTCAAAAAAGGGAACAACTTCAGCAGAAGGTGACTTCGATCTGGAGAACCGACGCCACGGGAGGGATCAGACAAAGGGAGGCCCATTCGTGTCATTCAATTCAGATCAACCTACGAAGCCATCCAAGAGCTTCACCAGTGTGGCATCATCGAAGCAACAGAAAGATTTGGAGGGAGAAATGACGACTTCACAATCTTCTAGTGGGATAGATACAGCACCCTTGTGCCCCATCTTTGCTTGGAAGCTACAAGCAACTGACGGTTTGCCATCCACCCCTTCAGAAAGAAGCGAACCAATTCCAGAAGAATACAAAGATATGGACAGGACAATTCGCGCGATTCTGGAAGAACGAGATGCGGAAGCGTCTTTGTATCTTCTAAACCATGAGCGAGTGGGTGGCTTTGTTAATACCCTCTCGGAATGCTCAAGGAGCGAAGTTCTGGCGCGGATGAAACTGATGGGCTGTGCCCAGAGTCATCGTTCTAAGGCTGAAAATCCGGCCAGGAGAACGTCTGAGCGGAGAAGAATCGAAGTGATTATCTGTAATGCTATGGAGATTCTGGATGCATTTGTGCCCGTCCACTACCAAGTGGTTCATCAATATTGGCTGATCAAGAAGTTTTACGGTGCATTGCTGGCATTTTTGACTAATGAGGTGGGCCAATTTGCCCAAGAGCTTGGAGAGAAACTAATTTGTCTGTTAGTACCCCGACACCTATCTGGAAATCATTGGACATAACATGTCCTACTTTTGCAAAAACATCAGGCAGATCCATGATGGGATCAAACGGGGCGGGGATAAAAAATCCACGACCTTCTATCTCCCCAAAGCTCTGGTAGAGGCCTTCAACCCACTGATTACCTACATCTGTATCTGCAGCCAGATAAACCCCGAGTCCAATTCAGATTTGGGTCTCCTCCAGCGTTACGAGAAGAAAGTCAACAAATCTCTGCGAACCGGCAAGTTCCAGCTTATTTCCATGATTCGCGCCGGGGACTTCAGCGAAGCCAAAGTCTTTCGAGGAGTGAACGCTCAAGGCATCATGACCATGGTTACTGAGCGGCTGGCAAGAATACCAAGTGAGAGACCGAATGGCCAACTCACGAAAGATGGATTCAATCTTTTGCAGATCTATCGGCAGTACATTTTACGCCTGGTAAGGACGGCTTGGGTATGGTTTGTTCGGTGCGTAACTTACATAATACAGGAACTCCAAGTTCGGATGGATCCCAATGCTGGAACATTTGACGCAATCCAACAGCTTCGAGAGGAGCTCAATATTGTCAACATCGTGCTTGATCAGCAACTGAAGGTCCTGGAAAGAATGCGAACGGTGTGGATCAATTTGAATCAATCTGGCCGAAAAGTCAGCCTGCAGAGTATACACCAGAGTCGAAAGTTGATCAAGCAAATGAAGCGCGATTTGGATGAGCTCGAGAGCATGGCCAATAAGACATCGATGCTTGTGAGTTGCTTCATCCTGTTCACGCGGTTCTTGAAGACTGACCATAACCAATAGCTCCGATCAATGATTGAAGTGCGCAAAGAGTCGAACAGTAAGGCCATCACCATTTTCACCATCGTGACAGTCATTTTTTTGCCCTTGTCATTCATCACGTCCTACCTGGGCATGAATAGCGTCGATATTCGCGACGGCACTTTTCATCAGAGCTTGTTCTGGGCCATAGCCCTTCCCAGCGCTACTTGTCTTGTCGTCATCTTGTGGATCGTTATCCGTTTCAGGCAAAAGGTGAAGAGAATGTGGCCCCAACGCAGATTGAGGGGATCCTTACGGACGATAGCGTCCTGGTTCTATGGGGGGGCGTAGCTGAAGTACCCATGGGCTCGGTGGGCGAGACCCCTAGGGGTATCACCTTAATGTGACCTTGAACAGCAGCACGTTGCTTTATTTAGCACTTATGCAGCCAATCAGGGCAGTCGTTCGAAACTTTCTGAAAAGAGACCTGTAACCATGCCTAAAGATCTTCAGGAATAGCCTCGTTTAATGAGATCAGGCAACCAGAATGACATAATATGCTTTCAGCCCCCACCAGCCCCCTTGAGACATAGAAGTCTTCGTAAATTCGACAACAAGACTTTGCTTTTCATCCATTTTGTTGAGTCTCAGATAACAACGCTGTCCGTTTAAATGAGGAAAAGGGCGTTCTCTTCCAAGTCCAAACGTGGCTGCCGGACATGTCGGTTCGTACGCATAAACAGGGGTCGGGTCTCCTCTATAGTGCTATTAACACACCATAGGACAAGGCGCATAAAGTGCGACGAGACACCTGGGGCGTGTAAAAATTGCTTACAGTCCGGGTGGAAATGTGAAGGATATGACGAGGCTCGACTTTTTGGCAGAAGAGATGAAAAAGCAACATCGCTGACGCTACAACGGATCGCGACGACCTTCCCTGGTAAAACGGCGGAGGAGCGACGAAGATTTGCTTTCTTTCAACAATTCACAGTTCCCGGACTGGGCGCGTTCTTCGATTCTCGGTTATGGACGGATCTCGTGTTACCGATGAGCCATTCGGAACAGGCTGTTAATCATGCGATCGTGGCCCTTAGTGCTTTGCATGAAGATCTAGAAGTTCGAGGCGCGCCATTATCGCGCGAAGATCTTAATAACAGATACCATCGTTTTGCTCTTGAGCAAAATGGACGCTCGTTGATGATCCTGAACCAACGTCGGCACTCGCAAGACCCGAAACTACGAGATGTCATTTTGACCTGTTGTCTTTTATTTGTGGCATTTGACTTGCTCCGTGGACAGTACGATTCAGCGTTACTGCATTTGGAAAAAGGTCTTGAAATAATTGAAGAATCACGTCTAGCTTTTGCGAGCTCTTCCGAGGTCTCACCCTGTATGGATGTCGTCGAGCGGTCGCTGCTAGCAACATTGACTCGCCTGGCCACGCAGTCCGTTTTCTTTGGTTACAATCTCACCGCAAGTGCGTCTACTCTTTTTGAACTCGACAAAGACTGCTTTCACACTCTGTTAGAAGCTCGCCGGGCTTTAGATCACGCTCTGGCCCGGATTATGAGCTTTTGCAAAGTTGCTTACGATATTCCCGTCGAAGACCGTCTGCCAAATCGGCATCCTGAACTTGCAGCAGAGCAAGGAATGATCGGGATAGAGCTTGAGGGGTTTTCTACACGACTTGCTCAATCCGAAGCACTCTTTCTTCGCCCAAAGAGCATCAAGGAAAGACGTGGGCTCGATCTGATCTATTTACACTACACCACATCTAAAATATTGCTGGAAACCGTTCTAATTGGGGAGAGCCAATTCATCTACGAAAGTTATTTCAATCAATTTGAACAAATGTTGGCCCTATCGAAACGGGTGTCGGACAGTTTCCTGGAAGAGAGCAACTTCCGCTCCCGTCCGACGTTGCTATTTGACATGGGCATTACTCCATCACTGTTTCTCATATGCTGGAAATGCCATGATTTGGCTTTACGCTGGCAGGCATTGGAGCACCTTGAGGCATGGCCACATCGAGAAGGCCTCTTCGATTCTCGCCTGTTTGAGATCTTTGCAAGGCAGCTTATTCAATTAGATGTTGAATTTTTGCATTCATCGTCCGGTGAGAAGAAGTCATTGCTTGTCCTTGACCCGTCGTTCCGGGTATCGGAGGATCAGACTTATGCCACACTTGAATACCAGTCTCGAGAGCCGGGTCAAGAACCGTCGGCTCACGTGAGAGTCATTCCACTGGATGATAACTCGTAAGGAAGTGCCCCGTCGCAACACGAAGAGATCTCGCAGTGTATACGCTTGAATCCTTGATCTTTCTTGGGTTTAGAATCGGTGGACATGGTTGTTGGTACGAAAATGTTGTTGACGATTGGGGATCTGGATATATATAGGTAGTGTCTTTATACTTGGCAGGTTGAGACCTTTCTATTTCCCCAACGACGCCCAGGCACAGTTTATAATGACTCAAGCCAACTTCAATCCCTCGTGAATTTCTCATCTTACATCATTTCCACATCGTTCAGCTCCAACATTCTTCAGCTTTCCGCAGACACGCACCGATGAGTCAGCATCACGTGTAGGGGAGCCTCGGTTCCTTTTCCCAACAAAAACATGATGATCGCAGTGCAGGTGATCGATCGGCCAGATCCCATCAGTCGTGATCCATTACATAGCCAATTCACTTCTTGTATTATTTCTTGTCCTTCCATAAACAATTTGTGTTGGAACAGGGGTGCCTGATTCAGTTCCTGTACCTTGGAGAGTATATTCTCCTTATCGCTATCAGCTCCTGCAGGAACCACCCGTCATCATTCACATCTGCGGCTGAAACCACTCGTCGTGGCCCAAGCCACCTTCCACTCGTTCGTGTCTTTAAAGACCACCATGTCCTCCATCCAGGGAGCGCTCAGCATCGAAAGCATGCGCAACCTGCTGGCAGTTGCAGCGTCGCTCGCGTCGTGGAGAACGCTGGCCTTGCTACTGGCGCTTATCAACCTGAAATCCCTCCCATTCGTTTGGCATGTAAGTACTTCTAGGTTGTACATCTAGGTTATCCCGAATTTTGCTCCTCGAATTCCTTCTCGGACCGGGGGCGCCGACCAATTGCCGTGGGTGTGTAACATGGCTGACCCGATACTCCAGTTCCGTCTGTTGTACCATTTCGTGGGCAACCTGCGTCTGAAGCCCAATGCTCCTCTCTTCCCCAAGGGGAAGGCCATCGTGGACGCACAGGGCAAACCCACACATCCGATCTTTGTGTCATGCGGGACCACCTCGCGGACCCCGTTGCTGGAGACCGATTATAATTTGCACAAGTCAAACAGCACATATTTCACAGACCTGGACGTGTCGCGTACGGCGCTGGTGAGCCGAATTTACAGTCCTGGAGTTGGAATTGTCAGCAAAGAGCTGGACCGGGAGTTCCTGGAGACCAGTAAGAAAGAGGGGAAGCGTGCGCCGAAGCGGAAGCCGATCCTCGTTGTGCTTGGGTCTGTATATTGCAGCTTCAAGCGGGAGATCAAGCCCTTTGAGCTGTATGAAATGCACTCCAAGGTTATCTCCTGGGATAAAAAATGGATGTACATCCTCACGTGCTTTATGCGGCCAGCCAAGGGCGGTGGCGAGAAGACGCTGCTGGCCACTGCCTTGAGCAAGTACGTTGTTAAGAAGGGTCGGCTGACCATCTCACCGGAGCGGCTGCTGCGCGCGAGTGGTTTTATCCCCGCTCCGCCTGCAGAGAGTCAGGATAAGAGTGCACCGGACTCATCCGCTGAAGCTTCTGCGATCGGAACACCTGCTAGTGGTGACGAGGGTATCACGGCTACGGGGGTGGATGGATCCCTAGTGCGAGAGGTGCTCAAGATGAGCGATGATCAGATCCTCGGTCGTGAGGTGCTTGAGGAGCAGAAGAAGTCCAACTCGGACTCGTGGAGTTCTGAAGAATGGAACTGGGCGCGTATCGAGCAAGAACGGCTCCGGGGGTTGGCTGTTGTGCAGGGGTATATCAATCTGGACGAGAAGCTACACCAGGAGTGGGCACAATAGTACTAGATATTACAACATGGATCTGTACACTAGACGATACATTCTATAGAGATCTGATATCTAAGCAGGCCTTCCCCGGAGTCGGCTCGTAAACAAGATAGCCGAGCCAGCCGACTGACCGGCGATGAAGTTTGGCTTGGTATATGACCAGTAGCTTTGAGAAGATGGCCGAATCAGACTGAGGTTGAGATGACCGTGACGTCCCTCTGGTAGTTTGAGCGGCTAATTTGCGGGGAGTAGCGTTGATGGATTCAGTTGTTGATTTGTAGCTGATCAGACTGAACGTCTCTTCCTGACGATCTCATCTGGGCTTTACGAACATGACTCGAGCTGTTTATCAATTTTGGAATGACAACGTGAACAGCTAAACTTATTTGATGTACATGTTTGGCGTCCTTGCCAATGTTCAATTACGCCCACGGAACCCTTGAAAATAGGGTTTACCTGATACTATCGACCGTGTCTGGTCGCTTTTTGCTCAGAATTGAAAGCAGGACTTCTTGCAACTCAACTAAGGTACCCCGGTTGCCGGCAACTTAATTTCACCACCATAGCACCCCTTATCACACTTTCACTTTAACGACTTTGAATGCGCGCCCGTAGAAGCTGTCTTAGTGTCGAAGTTGCGCGCTTAACGCAGGATATTAGTAATTTTAAGTAAATCAGCGGCTTTTTAGACCTTTTTAGCCCAGACTCCGATAGTTTTTTAGGGTTGAAGTATCTTAGTGAAGTTGAAAAGTGGTTAAATTGAATAGTTTGCTTGTTAAGGTGAGATTGATCGTTGGACGGAGCATTTAAAGCGGTAGGGTGGACCGGGGCACAATTTAATACTTTCCAGTTCAGGTATCAAGGGATAGCCGACACTCGGCTCCGGTGGTATCCGAGAGCTGAGCACAGCCTCTGTATTAGGTACCGATAACAGAGCGATAGAGTCATGTGACCACATATTCAAAAGTTGTAATCGACGTCACGTATGGTGGAGGAAATCTGATCACGTGATACACGTGACCTGGTGCATGGACCAAGCTCATCGACTGTCGCAATCGCAATTTGTTACGAATCTCCTTTTCACGGCGCAGTGAATCATTTGAAAAACCTGGTGAGTGCTGTAGCCGTTTTCATTGCTCAGCCCTATTTCCTCGACTGTCTTCCCCCTGCCCCTCCCCCGTGCCCCTTGGAAATCACATCACCCGAGACCGGACGGGATCCGGTCTGGTAGTATGGTACCAAGAGCGAAGTCCACTATTTTCCGTCCGATCGGACGATTCCCACCTGCCCCAAGCACACGGGACTCTGATACGTCCGATTGCTGGCCCATCATTCCTCACCCTCAGCGCCCCTGCCTCCTCTCCCAGTGTCAGGCCATTGTACCCTGCTCCACCCTCGAGCGTCCAGGCCCCTGCATGATTGGCCCCTGCTGGTTACTTGCTCATCTTCGTCCACCTTTTGCAGCGCCTGTTGGCAAACCAGGCTTAGCGCCTTTTGCCTGGAATGATCTCTACGCTGTCGCCTTCCTACAACGAGACCTGTTTTCTTACCTTGCTTTCAAGTCACTTGTCTTTGCTTATTCTCATTGGTGATTGTTTGCTAAGATTATAGACTTTTCTTTTCCCGTCCCATCCTAAGGGGAAAAAGAGCCTTCGAAACAGCTCTTGACTCGCGATCGTCCGCTCTGGCGTACATCTCCGCTACCCTACCACCTCCCTAACAAACCTCACCTACCGCCAACCGATCCTCGTTTCCTCCGATTCGACTTGCTCAGTCTCTTCGCTTTCCCCGACCGCTGGGAATCATCTTTCTTTCGCCGTCGCTCAGCGGTCGCTCTCTACGACGACGGCACCAGTGTTCAACAACCTTTCCAAATTGCGATCCCTTTCGACAATGACGGCAGCTCTTGACCAGCCGCCTCTCGATGCGCTCGTGGGCGGCCCGGTTGTTGACTCTACTTCTATGACGCCGCCGCAGAGTGCGAACGGAAAGAAGGATATGCCTGAAGGAGTACCCTCGGAATTATCAGACCTTGAGCTGGACCAGAAGTCGGCCCAAGCGCCCGATGAACCTCCGATCAAGCAGGAAGAGCAGGAAGCACTGGAAGAGGACATTGGCCCCATCGAACCCGACCATTACTACGGCGATGGAAAGATCCCAGTGTTCAGACCGGTGAGCGGAGCAGCCGATGCCCTGGCTTGCAAGAACGTGGCTGACCAGGAACATGCGCTAGACTATGAACCAGTTCCGGGATTTCAAGAAATTTATCGACAAGATCGACGATTATGGAATGAAGGCCGGAATCGTGAAAGTTGTTCCTCCGAAGGAATGGTGAGTGCGCGGAAAACCCGGCATGATGTGGATGGTTATACTTATATATGATTCTCCGAAGGTCCGATTCACTTGCCCCGCTGGACGAGGCAGTCAAGTCAATTCGCGTGAAGAACCCCATTATGCAGGAGTTTCACGGTTCGCACGGCACCTACACCCAGGCCAACATCGAGAAACAGCGAACGTATAACCTACCACAATGGAAGGGACTCTGTGAGGAGAGCAGCCATCAGCCCCCTGCTCGTCGAGGTGAAAGGCGCCGCAATCAGGAGCGCGTGAATCGTGCGACCCATACTCCGCGGCCCCAGCCTGCTCGCCCGGCAGGTGACGGCTCGAAGCGTCGACCTGGCCGTCCTCCCAAGCGTGGAAACCAGGCGAAGGTTAAGGAGGAACCCGCCGATGATGCCCAAATTTCTAAGCCCGAGGGCCCTCCGACACCCGTGTCGCCCGAGTCGAACCCCGTCGAGACAAAAAGCGAAGACTTGAGCGATGGCGAATCTCTTCCTCCTACGAAGCCCAAAGGCAGGCAGCCTAAGTCTGTGACTTCACGGCGAAAGAATAACCGTGGCGATACAGTCGACCAGGTTGACGAAGAAGCATTCAAGGATTTCGATTATCGCATTCACGACAACGAGGACTACACCGCGGAGCGATGCGAGGAGCTCGAAACTGCATACTGGAAGTCCCTTATGTTCAACAATCCGATGTACGGAGCAGACATGCCTGGCTCGCTCTTTGAAGACTCGGTCGATTCGTGGAACGTCGCCAAGTTGCCGAACTTGCTCGATGTCCTTGGACAAAAGGTGCCCGGTGTCAACACGGCATACTTGTACCTGGGAATGTGGAAGGCCACTTTCGCTTGGCATCTTGAGGACGTTGACCTCTACAGCATCAACTATATCCACTTCGGTGCCCCGAAGCAGTGGTACAGCATTTCGCAAGAAGATGCCCCCAAGTTTGAGGCGGCCATGCGCAGTATCTGGTCGAGCGATGCGAAGAATTGCGACCAATTTTTGCGCCACAAAACCTATTTGGTCTCGCCCAGCTTGCTTAAATCTCAGTATGGCATCACGGTCAACCGATTAGTCCACTACGAAGGGGAGTTCGTCATCACATTCCCTTACGGTTACCATTCTGGCTACAACGTCGGATACAACTGTGCCGAGTCGGTCAACTTCGCTACCGAGAAGTGGTTGGAGTATGGCCGAGTTGCTAAGAAGTGCCACTGCGAGGCTGACAGTGTCTGGATCGACGTCGACGAAATCGAGCGCAAGCTGCGCGGTGAAACCACACCCGAATATTATGGCGAATACGACAGCGAGCTCGACGCATTTGAAGGCGCTTCAGATCTTCTGACGCCTCCGCGCAGTGTACCCGAGAAGACCTCCGCCCGTGGCCAAAAGCGGAAGAACGCGGGCGACGGCCCGAGAACCAAACGAGTTAAACTCCACCTCCAGGGACCACGGAAGATCCCGTGCTTGCTCTGCCCCAATGATCTTGATTACGAGGATTTGTTGCCGACGGAAGACGGCAAGGGTAATGCTCACCGGCGGTGTGCAATGTTTATTGAGGAGACCAGTATCCTCCGCGATACGTCCGGAAACGAAGTGGTATGTGATATCGACAGGATACCTAAGGCCCGTCTGGGTTTAAAATGTCTCTTCTGTCGCGAGGTTCGTGGCGCTTGCTTCCAGTGCAATTTCGGGAAATGCACTCGTGCTTATCATGCCACATGTGCGCTTCTGGCCGGTGTTCAGGTCGAGCATGGGTCCATTGCGGTGATTGCCGATGATGGCCAGCAATACTCGCTGCCCAGTGTGGACCTGAAGTGCAAATTCCATCGTCAGAAGCGCCCTACCGGCCTGCTAGGCGAGTCGTCCGATCTGGATCGACGGGTGATCGAAGCCGCTCGTCGTCTGGTGCAGGGCGATTTGATCCAATTCCAAGTCGACAAGGAAATCAATGGGGCCATTGTGCTTCAGAATCGCCAGGAGGAGCGGAGTCTCCTGCTGAAGGTTCTGCCGCGAGGGTAAGTTGTTGTTTCACCCTTCTTCCCAAATCCCCCAAACCGCACCGCCTCCGCAACGTGCAAAAACAAGCAACCTCATACTGATAATTGTCAACAGAGACGTCATTGAGATGCCATATCGCTGGATGTTGGTGGTGCGCAAGAGCAACTTCGTGCCCCTCGCGCCAGGCATCCCACCGCTTCCGACCCACTTGGCGCGCAAGCCGGAACGCAAAGAGCTTGAAACGGCTGTACCGGTGGCGGGCAGTGCCTTTGGCGACAGCGGATCTCCCTATCAGTGGGCCGAATTTGAGACGGTCGATGCAGCTAGCAACGCATTCGCCCCACTGACGGTCAACCTGGACAAAGGGGAACAGGTGTGGCATTACCTGGGCAAGCCGTCCACCGAGAGTAGGGCACAGTATACCCACAACCCTAGCGTGCCCATCCACAACCCGCGGGCCAATTTCCTGGACAGCGTCAAGTCGCTTGGCGTGGCTGGTGTCAATGCTCGTGCATCGAAGATCTCCCCCCACCACCACTTCCGCTATGCTCCCACCGCCCCTGCCCCTCCCTACCAGCAAAATCTTTACGCCCGCCAACCCCAGGCACAACAACAACATCGTTATCTGAACCCCTCTCTGCAATCCCGACCGCCCTCCTTTACCTCCGCTCCCTCCCTGCAGCACCTTGCCCCTCCCCCTCACCCTTCCCCTGCTGCCGGTGCTGCTGCTGCCGGTCCTGCGATGCCGTCGGCCTTTCGTACCCTTCCGAACCAATCTGCCCGCCATGCCCCCTATCCTTCCGTCGCCAAGTCGCACCAGCAGCAGCATCACCTCCCTTCCACCAATACCTTTGCCAACGTTCGTGAACTCATTGCCCGTCGTCGTCTGGCCCAGATCACCGACCATGCCAATGTCTTCGCCGGGTACACGATCGTTAGCCCCGAATTGGTGGTAGAGACCCTGCTGGGCCCCATGGGCTCCATTCCCCCGGCAAATGGCCTCGAGAAGCTCGAGCTCGCCATGGCCCAGCAGCGGGTGCAGCCTCGGGCTGCCGATGGGACCTTGTTACCGCCTCAGACCCTGAATATGCGGTCGGAGGAGGTGACCCGTCTCCTTCAAATGCTTCGGTTCTCGTTAGTTAGCCATCGTGAGCGACTGGACGTGATCCAGAAGAAAGAGTCGGAGGGGATCAAGCAGGAGACCATCGATCGGGGTAGCGTGGCCGCGGCTAAGATGCCTGGTAAATACGCCTTTCTCGATCAGCAGCGGGCCCTGGCCCCCAACGTCTATCAGTCCCCGTACAACATGCCGTCCGGCCTCTCGGAGTATGCCAAGACGACCTACGGGCTGATCCCGTCGGAGGACGAGCCGCCCAAGGAGTCACTGGCCAATGATTTCTTCAACAGTCTCTCGCAGGCTGACAAGGAGAAAATCATGAAGACTTGTGGCAGCTTCGTGCAACGTGCCATTGACCGATCGACCAGCCATAGCCGACATAGCTCAACGGGCTCGAATCTCCGACTGTCATCGGCTCTTGCACAGCAGACCTCCAACCCGACCATCGATATCACGACGGTCGACGATCCCCCGCTTTCCGGTCTAGATCTGCCCCTACATGCCGATTCGCCGTGCTCCAGTTTCGGTCGATCACACCTGCGGTACCAATCGCCCAATGAGTTCCCCATCCACGGCCCTGATCCTCACCCCGATCATCACGATCTCTTTGGGGACCAGCAGGAAAACACTCGTTTCTGGCAGAACGGTCCGTGGATCGCCGGCGATGGCAACACCCCGAATGACGAGAACCGACCATTCTTTGGGCCGCACTTCGGACCGCACGAACGGCTCAAGCATGACTATGCTTCCTCCGACATCTCCCTGGGCAAGGGACCGGGGTCATTACACTCCGTTGACATGGCCGGCTTCGGCCTTGACACGACTGATGATCTCTGTGCCGGACTGAGCCCATGAGCAATTGGTCGATGCCGCTGCACACTTTCGACCTTTCCTTGTATCCCCTGCATCTGATTTCCTCGCGACTGTACTGCATCTCTCTCATGTAACGACTTCACCGGCTTGACGACTGCATGACTGAGCGTTTTCTCGTTCCCCATTTCCGACCTCGATCCTCACGAACGTCCTCCACGGGTCATGTTTTTTACGATTTGGAGTTGACACTAGCTGGCTGGTTACGACTCAGCGATCTTCTTTTCTTGTTTTCTGATTTCATCCCCCCTTTCTCCCCCTTTCTCCCCCTTCTCCCTGTCTACCTGTCTACCCATCTTCTATCCTCCACCTGGACACGAATCCCCTTCCCAAAAACTTCTCTGGTTTAGACTGGAGTTGTCGATAGACTGAAGTTCGTTTGACCTTTTGTGTTTCCCCGCCATCCCCCAAAAGTCCTTATGTTCTCTCATACTCCCCTCCATATCTTCCGCGTCGTCCACGTCCCTTCTCCATCCTACCCCCCCGGCTCAACCCTCTCACGGCAAATATTTCGGGCCTACTTCCGCCCTCTCCCCCGCCATCTTCTCACCATGTGCGACTAGATACTCCAAACAAGAAAAAAATTTCTTTCCAAGAAGCCAGCGATACCACTGGATGTTTGTGCGCCCCCTTTTGATACCCCCTGCTCTCCCCCGGGCGCTGCCGAGCGAAATCGGGGCTCTGGTCCGAGCTTGACCCTCCCGAGTCCCGGCTTCTTCCCCTTTTTCTTCCATCGTCTTATCTTGGCGCTCATCTCGTGCTGTGAGTTCTCTTTACCGTGGTAAAGGAACTCCGGCCATGTTAGACGTGGCAGCCGTCACCGAAGGTGACATTTATGTATGCAAAAATCAAAAAACCATCAATATATCAACATACCAAGTAAAAAGCCTAGTGCATCAACTACATAAAAAAAGGTGGCCTGAGCTGGCAAAACATCAAACCAGCAACAGGTTCCACTAGTGTAAGACTCGAGCAAGAGCCCTGGGAGGCAAACCCTTGGAACCCTAGACCCGCGACTCCACCAGGAGAGATAGCCTATTCCGCTTATCTTCACCCGTCCCTTGGCGGTACGAGAAACCAGACTCCATTAGTCACTAGTTCGCAGCCTCCGCGCCGAAAACGTCGCCGAAGACGTCGCCGATAAGCTGAGTTTCGGATGCCCTGCGCCAACCTTGGAACCCACGGTCTTATTTGCTGACTGGCAAAATTTCGTGCACACGACCACCTCGCGCGGTCTCGGACCGCGATGCTACCGCGTTTATCAATGCGGGGTCTCGCCACGAAGTCTAAAGCTACCCTTCTTAAATAATTCAAGCTTCCTTATGTCCCTTCCCCAGACTCCAATTCACCGACTCCACTCCTAATCCATCATGGCCGACGCCTCCGCCGACGAGGCGCTGGCCCGCATGGGCTACAAGAGCGAATTGCCTCGAAACTTGAGCATGCTCAGCATCCTGGGCTTGTCCTTTGCCATTATGGCCGCGCCGTACGGCCTCAGTACCACCCTCTATATTACCCTCGATGACGGCCTCTCCGTGACGATCATCTGGGGCTGGGTGTTCGTTACCCTCATCTCCATCGCCATCGCTGCCTCTCTCGCCGAGATCTGCGCCGTCTATCCCACCGCCGGCGGTGTTTACTACTGGAGCGCGATGCTGTCTACTCGGCGCTGGGCTCCGCTCATGTCATTTATCGACGGCTGGTTGACACTGGTTGGGAACTGGACTGTCACACTGAGTATTATCTTCGGTGGTGCCCAATTGATCCTCAGCGCGATCGCGCTTTGGGATGAGTCCTTTGTTGCCAATGCCTGGCAGACCGTCTTGATGTTCTGGGCGGTGACCCTGGCCTGCACCCTCGTCAACATCTTCATGTCGCGTTGGCTAGACCTCATTAATAAAGTGTGTATCTTTTGGACTGCTGGAAGCGTCATTGTCATCTTGATCACGCTCCTCACCATGGCCGATCACCGGCGCAGTGGTGAATTTGTTTTTGCAGAGTACGACTCCTCGCAGAGTGGATGGCCTGCCGGTTGGGCATTTTTCGTTGGCTTGCTGCAGGCAGCATACACGCTGACGGGCTACGGAATGGTCGCGGCCATGTGTGAGGAGGTGCAGAACCCGCACCGCGAAGTCCCCAAGGCCATCGTGCTGTCCGTGGTGGCCGCCGGTATCACGGGACTGCTGTACTTGATCCCCATCCTTTTCGTCTTGCCCAAGGTGAAGATGCTGCGCGAGGTGGCCAGCGGACAGCCGATCGGGTTGGTTTTCAAAACCGTGACGGGCTCCGCGGGCGGTGGTTTCGGTCTGCTCTTCCTGATCCTCGGGATCATGATGTTCGCCGGAATTGGGTCCTTGACGGCGGCCAGTCGCTGTACCTATGCTTTTGCTCGTGATGGAGCTATTCCTGGTTTCCACCTCTGGCGCCGGGTTAACAAGAGACTGGACGTGCCTGTGTGGGCGATCATTTTGTCTTCCAGTGTGATTGCCTTGTTGGGCCTGATCTACTTTGGCTCGACGGCAGCCTTCAACTCTTTCACCGGTGTGGCTACCATCTGCCTTTCCACCTCTTACGGCCTGCCCATTATGATCTCCCTTATCCGGGGCCGACAGGATGTCAGCCGCTCTACGTTCTCCTTGGGCAAATTTGGGTTCGTGATCAATGCCATTACCATTGTTTGGATCGTGCTGGCGGTGGTTCTGTTCTGCATGCCCTACACGCTGCCCGTCACGCCCTCATCGATGAACTACGCGAGTGTTGTATTTGCTGGATTTGCCAGCATCAGCATCATCTGGTACTTTGTATATGCGCGCAAGCATTTCACCGGGCCTCCGATTAGCGCGGATGAGGCTGCGGCCGCGGCGGGGGTCATGACCGGCAGCGCGGTGGACTCCGAGAACGCGGTGGCTGAGATTGCGGAGTTGAAGAAGTCTCCCAGTGAATAGAGAGATAGAAGGTGTGTATAGTAGCTATTTATTTGCCATATCAAATTCAAACAGTTGAAAAAACTTGGAAAAAAACTCGGAAGATGAGAAAAGTAGCGAGGAAGAACGTGCGATAGTAGACGGGACAATCACAAGTGCCCTGACGATCTTCTCCGAGTGCCGCGGTCCACGTCAAAACGCCACATTCTCGGCTTGTCCGTTATGCACGGGAGCATCTTCGATACACCGCGCTTGGGACACTGTACACCTGGGCACCTCTTTCCTGGGTGACCTTCAATCATCAGCGCAATTCCAATCATCCGAGCCTGGTGCTGTCGCGTGCGGGAACCGTTGTTTTCCCGAGTCTAGGAGTCCAAGAAGGGGAGATATTACCGACACTCAGCTTCCCGACGAACACCACCCCTTACTATCTCGACCCTTCCGGTTCCTATATCCTCGATCGTCTTTATAACCCTCCTCCATGACGCTCGCCCGCGTCCGCCGATGCCCGACCCCGCTTCCATGAAGACAGGGCAGATTACGGAACGTCTACTTCTCACAGCATGTCGGACTCTGTAGGTGCGTATTGCCATACGAATCCGCGTCCGATAACGCCGACTGACTCACTGATCACTACGCGCAGATCGCGTCTTCGTCCATGCCTTAAATACGGTGAAGAGGATCCCCCGGACGGGGACCGCGCGTCCTCCGGCGGCGGAGCGGTTGAAGCTGTATGGCTTGTATAAGCAGAGTATGGGTAGGTGATGTACCCCGATACTTTAGGATGTACTTGAGGAGCGGTTGGGGCTGATACTCTTTTGCGCAGAGGGGGATGTGGAGGGTGTGATGGATCGACCGATTGGGAATACACAGGAGGTTATCGGGGAGTGCGAGAAGTGGTAAGTCCGCTCAAACCAAGCCCGAGAATCCATCATAATGAATCTATACTGATAAGTGTCTCAATGCAGGGACGCCTGGTACGCCCAGCGCGGCCTCACGCGCACCGAAGCCAAACGCCGCTATATCTCGACCCTAATCGATACCATGCATCAATACGCCTCCCAAACACCCGAAGCCCGCGAGCTAGTTTCCGAGCTCGAGTTCGTTTGGGACCAGATCAAATACAATGCCTCTTCGTCTTCCTCTTCAAGTCCGTTACATGCTGTCGGCGTCCCGCCCTTATCGCGAAACCAGGGCAGTTCGTACGGGAGCATAGGAGGCCGACTAGCAGGCTCGACAGATGCCTACGACAGACCTAACGTCAGAGATGACGGTCGGGATTCACGATTGCGTGTGCTTAGTCCTGTTAGCCAGCCCGAAGAAGAAGAGTACTACCGTCGACGCCGGTCAATGGATGTTGAAAATCAAGCCGATTTGGATGAAGATGAAGAAAACGAGGAGTATGAAGAAGCGCGTGACAGTCTATATGAAGAAGCAGAGGCCGCAAGCACGAATACAGATACTCGCTCTGGCACGGAGCACACTACTTCGCATAGCCACGACCGAAGGCGGCACCAGCAAGGCGCCAGCATGGACAGCGGCAGTGGCGTCGAGAGCCACCGACTCTCACGGCGCGATTCACACGATGTACCTCCCAAAGATAGCCGATGGCGGCGACGTGTTGAGCAAGCACTAACTAAAATGACGGCCGAGATCGCAGCAGTCCGCGAACAGATGGAATCTCGCACGCTGGCACATCGACGACGATCAGGCATATGGGCGTGGCTGAAATGGATTTTCTGGACGGCATTCCGCCAAATCATCTGGGACCTAGCGCTGCTAGGTGCAATTCTGATCGTGATGCGCGTACGCGGTGATCGTCGGCTTGAGAATCGTTTGCGTGATGGTTGGACGGAGCTTAAGGCTAGGCTGGGCCGCTTCAAGCTTCTTAAGAGAGTCGGTGATACTCGTCTACTCCCTTGATCTCCTTCTCTGGCCCTTTTGTGTCGGGCTTTGCCCGAGTATATAGTTTGCTGGGGGTTGCATGTGGATCTTTGTCGGTTGCATTTGCCGACTTTGCTCCTGCTCTTTGGAGTTTTGTCTTCGATGTCTATATCTTTTCTTTTGTCAAGTACATATGGGTCAATCGAGGTCTTGGGGTTTCTTCTTTTCCTTTTCCTTCTTTCTTCGGTTTCTTGATTCAATCCTGGGAGGATGTGTGATAGACCTTTTCCAATCTGGACTACTTGGGTAACTTGGATGATTAGATTGAGAGTTGGCGAGCCTAGATTTTGCTTCTCTAGAAATTGATAGACTGCTGTGCCCTATTTGCTTTTTCTTTCTTCAAGTTTGGGATAGACCAGAAGATCTACACAGGTATATCATCTGCACGTGTAGACGCCCTTTTTGTTCAGAATGCCGTCCAAGACCGAAGTCAGTCCAGGCTTACACAACACCTAATGCATATCGAAAAAGAGAAAAAGTTAAATGGTCATAATCAAGCAGAAATCATGTAACCATTCCTGATGCCAATAGGTATTTACATAAAACATACACCGGACTAACACAAACAGATAGTTGAGACACAAGGGCCACTTGCGCATCCCAAGAAAACAGTAGAAAAGCCGGGGCCCCGGACGGCGGGAGAAAAAGGCATGTGAGGATAATGAAGATGGAATTAGCAGAAACGGATTCCCACGTGCCTTTAGAACTGGCGGCCGGGGTACTCCGCATACATCTGCTTGGGGCGCTGCCACACGGGGACCTGGTTCTCAGGGGTGCCGGGGACTTCCTTCTTCAGGCCCTATACACGGAGAGAAGTTAGTTGCTGATACAATCACAGTCCATTTCCACGGCTGGAATGGACAATGGAAATGTCGGGACGCACCAATTTGTCAAAGATGCAGCTGTTAAGCTTCTGCTCGGGACGACGGCAGTTGAAGAACGTCTGGTTGTTGTTCTCGAGGCAGTCGACGTGAGCCTGGAACTCCTGCATGCAGTGGGTGTTGATATCCTTGATACTGTAACCGGTCAACCTCGGGGCTCCCTCGCATCCTCCAGTCCGCTCAATCATGGCCAAACTTACACGCTAGCAGCGCAGCGGGTAACCTTGCGACCCTCCTTCAAGCAGTCGAACTCGCCGCGGCCGTTCGCCTCGTCCTTGCACTTCATGTAGTCATCGTTGAAAGCCTGGCAGCGGGCGCCAATAGCGAAGGAAGCACTAGCCAGGAATGCAGACGTGGTACCAATCTCCTCGACCTTTGGGATGTGGTCGGGCATCGGCGTGGTGTCCACGAGGAGCTTCTGGTTGAACCTGTTCGCCGAGGGAGGAAGACGTTAGTCGGGCTCTAGAGGCGCGGGATACCGGGATTGGTCCGGTTGAGGGTGATATTCGGGCATACTGGGGATCTCTTTGGGCCATGGTGACGGTGGCTTGTCTGGACAAGGGACTCTGGTCGGGTGGGGGAGTGCAATTGAGGCAGGACTTGGGAGAGCTGCGGGTTTGCGGGTGCGAAAGGTCGGTTTCTTTGGCCGCGAGCTGATTGGCTGGGGTCAAGTGATTAGGTAAGCGCATTGAGGTGCATACAGAGAAGTGCCTGAGATGGAGGAAACTATGGGAAATAAGATTAGATTGCTACCAGCAGAGGATAGAATACGGCAACTGTCTCATATTGCGATTGATCGCATTAGATAGCCTTTGAAGTAGTCCGCGAGTCCTACATTCATCGTGATATCACGTGACCACAAACAAACCAGCTCCGACACTTCTTTCTGCGAGCTCCCAGCACCCCTCAGCTCGTCGCCCAACCACCATATCCCCAATTCCTGGGTGATGCAATTCTGAGCCCTATTAGCGCCTCATAAACTCGACGAATCGCGTCATTCTTTGTCGATTTTGCTCCATCGCTGCCCGATCGTCGCTGATCGAGCTTTTTTTTACGGTACCTTTCGCGGCTCATTGCGACACCCATCATGTCCCTCTTCGGCGGCGGACAGACGCAGGCCCAACCGGCTGCTAGCCCGTTCGGTAGTACCGCAAACAAACCAAGCCCCTTCGGAGGCGCCGGCGCCACGGGAAGCGGAGGTTTGTTCGGGGCAACACAAAATCAACAACAGGGTTCTACAGGAGGCAGTCTCTTTGGCGGAAATGCGGCATCTCAGCCACAGCAACAGCAGTCCGGAGGATTGTTTGGCTCGAATACTGCTCAGAAGCCCGCCGGGAGCTTGTTTGGTGGTGGCGGATTAGGGCAACAGCCGCAACAACAACAACAGCAGCAGCAGCAGCAGCAACCTCAGCAGTCCGGTGGATTGTTCGGCTCTTCGTTCGGCCAGAAGCCCGCGGGAAGCCTGTTCGGTGGCGGTGGTCTTGGTCAGCAGCAGACACAACAACCGGCGACCGGGGGTAGTCTTTTCGGTGGAGGTCTCGGAGCTAGTACCCAACAGCAGCAACCTCAGCAGCAACCGCAACAGCAGGGCAGTCTATTCGGAGGCTCGATTCTTGGAGGACAGCAGCAGCAGCAGCCGCAACAGGCGCAGCAATCGCAGTTCGGCCAAACCACCATGGCTCAGCCGCAACCCAACCAACAACAGCAGTCCCTGTCATCGAGCTTGTGGTCACCCGGCCGTGCGATCACTGGAGGTGAGCTTGCATCCAAAGTCAAACATGAAAGCTTACCAAATATTAATTTTTCTTCAAGTACATCGCACTGTTCCGATGCAAATCGCCATCGTTAAGGACAAATGGGACGCGCCAAGCCAGTCCTCTCCATTCCGAGCTTATCTCTACAACCACGTCGGCGAAGACCAAGCACCCTTCTACCAGCCGGGTCCTGAGGATGATGAGTCAAAGTGGGAGGAAGCTCTTCGCCAACGGCCTGACCCTAGCTACGTGCCCGTACTCGTAAAGGGTTTCTGGGAGCTTGGCAAGCGCGCACAGCGCCAGAAAGACTTCCTCACTATGATGCAGTCCCGCCTTCACGAAATCAATAATTGCCTGACCGAACTCCTCTCGCGCCACGACTTGAAGATTTCCGTGAAGATTGCCGACTGCCGCAGGAAACATCTCGTTCTCAGCAAGCGCTGCCTCGCCCTTGCAGCCAAGACTCAGGTGCTGCGCAGCCGAGGCTACGCGATGGATGATGCCGAGGAGGAGCTGAAGAAGAAGTTGACTCAACTGGAGCGATCCGTCTTTGACCCGTCTCTGAATGGCCGCGGTGAAGAGATCTGGGCCCGTATGCTAGCGATTCACGAGCACTCGAAGCGATTGCAGATGGAAATGGAGCGCGCTGGCGGAAGCGTGGTGAATAACGGGGAAGATGAGATTGATGAGCAGACGATGAAGACAGCAAAGAAGGTATGTCCCCCACAAGCATTAATCTTTATACACGCGCCAATTCTTCATTCATCAGATCCTCGACGATTACCATGCTCAAATCCAGCACCTGCAGAAGGAGCTGACCTCGGTCAAGAAGGAATTCGAGGAGGCACAGAAGCTGAACGGGAACTGAGAATATCTCCTGCATGCTTCCACTCGAATCATGTATCTCTTCACATCTTGGGACAAATGGCCCATGGGCATGGGAGCACTGGCGTTCACGGGGAGCTGACTACTGTAATGCATATCTCAATACGATTCAATTACTCGAGTGGCTTCATTTTCGGTAGACATTGTCTTCACCAAAATGGCATCTAAGCATAGTCCTCTTTTCCATTGCTCTATATCCAAACAAACCCAGAAAAAACAGGCATGTACAATAATAATACACCATCCATCCAAGATCCTATACTCGGTCAAGGTACGGTAAATGACATAGCAAAGCTGCGATAACATCTTGCCATATTATGCACCCACCCTTCCAGTTCAAGATAGGAATCTGATCTGGATGTGAAAAACAGTTCCCTAAATCTCCCAAATTACCCCGAGTGGTCATAACCGGCGGTTCATTCGTCATGCGCCCATGACGCTAGAGATGAGGGTGGACGGGCGGTTCGTTTAGAGGAACTTGCGGACGAAGTCGACAGCGAAGGGGGCTAGAACATTATCAGCTCTGGGTCATTTGGAAGGAGGACATCTTTGCGGTCTTCAAGACAACTCCGCGGGCCGCAGGGACGTCATGCGCCGAGCCAACTTACACAGGTAGAGGAGGAAACCACCGAGAGCGGTCATCTTGATGGTCTGGCAGGCCTCAATCTCACCAGCCTGGATCGGGTGTTAATGATGAGTGGTAGGACAGAAGTCGGCGCGAGTTACCTTGATCTCCTCCTTGGAGAGCTGGGGTTCTTGACCTGTAATCGGACAGTCAGAATGGAGATTCAGATTATAGGAAAGACGTCAGAACATACCGGGAGCGAACATTTTTGTATGTGAAAGATGTTTGGTTGAATGGAGGTGAAGTGCAAAGATAGTTGTTCGTGACGAAAGGTGAAGCGGACTTGGGAAAGAAATCACGGGAGCACAGACCAACTCTCCTTCTCTCTTGCCTCTGCCTCTCGTCCCCCTCGTCATCCCCATTCCTTTTCATTGATTTTCTCTGTTTTGAGCAGTCTTTTGCAGAAATATACCTGCAGCTCTTTCCGAGGTGACTCACTGTCACTGATCTACTGCTCGCCCATTCATCTTCCGGGCGCCGGGACTGCCTGCGCAACACCGCGCCTGTTCGCCCAACCATTTCGACTGAACCTCTCGACCTCCTTTTCTTTTTCTTCCTGTCACTAAGTTCTTTACATTCAATCCGCCCTGTACACAATGTCTGCCTCTCCCGAGCGTGAAGCTGGCTCAGCCGTCGCCACCCCCGATCGCGAGCCCGAAAAAGTCGCGACACCCGTTGCAGGCGACGGCGAAGAAGGCGACAAAGCCGCCGAACCCACCGCAGATGAAGACGCCGAGGGCCAGGACGAGCAAGCGGGCGGAGACGATGATATCTCAGATGACGAATCCATTCTCTCCGAGGTCGACGAGGCACAGTTCGAGAACTTCGACCCGGAGAACGTCGATGTCGAAGACCGCGCCCCATTGGACGTCGATGCGGACAACCTGAAGTTGATCGGTCGTCACAAGCGCAAGCGCGCCGAGGGCGAGGAAGGCCGCCCGCGCCGCAAGGAGGGTCGTAGAGAGAAGAAGACCCGCCGCGCGCGCGATGATGAGGATGCGGAGGAGGGTTCTTCATCTCGGCCTCGTCAGCGGAAACAGAAGGAAAAGTCGCCCGATACGGATGAGGAGACACTGGATCCCGAGACTCGTCGTCGCCGGGCTCTTGATCGTGCCATGGACGAAGCTATGAAGAAGCCTACGAAGCGAAGGACCCGCAAGCAGGACGGAATTGATCTCGAGGCAATGGCCGATGCTGAAATTGAGGATATGCGGAAGCGCATGACTCACGCCGCGCAGATGGATGCCATCAACCGCCAGGAGGGCAAGCCGGCCATGCACAAGCTTAAGCTTCTACCGGAGGTGATCATGCTCCTTAACCGCAACCAGTACACCAACGCCCTGGTTGACCCGGAAATCAACCTCTTGGAGGCCGTTCGATTCTTCCTCGAGCCCTTGGACGATGGTTCCATGCCAGCTTACAACATTCAGCGCGATCTGTTGACCGCCCTGACGAAGCTTCCTATCCAGAAGGATGCCCTGATCGCCAGCGGAATCGGCAAGGTGGTCGTTTTCTACACCAAGAGCAAGCGCACGGAGCGGCGCATCAAAGAGATGGCGGAGAAGCTGCTGGCTGAGTGGACTCGCCCGATCCTCCAACGCAGCGACGATTACTCGAAGCGGGTGTTCCAGCAAGCCGACTTCGATCCTACGTATGTTCCCGCTCATATTGAACCATGTGGATGCCGTACTGACCATTCCATAGCAAAATCACCAAGCGCGTCCAGACCCCCGCCGAAGTTGTCGCAGCCGAAGCTCGTGCGCGCGAAATGCTGCCGCCCCGTCTTGCCAACCGTGCTCGTGTCGACCGCACCCAAGTCAGCTATACCGTTGTTCCCCGACAGACTGCTGTGCAAGAGAGTCGGTTTGCCCGGCCTCTGGGTGCCAGCGGCGAGGATCGTTTCCGTAAAATGCAAGCCCGGCAAAATGCGGCGCAGAAAGCATCTCGTCGGTAAAGCGGCAACCTTTTTATTTAGTTTCGTTTCGAGGCTGCCACTGTCGTCATTTTGACTCATTCGTCTTTTTCCTTGGTGCGTCCGGCGTTCGGGATTGATCGGGACCTTTGATCACGGGGCTTTGGGCGTGTAACATCAACTGCATCCGGTAGTATTACTGAATTAGAAATAAGTACAGACGGTGAATAAGATCCATTTATCAGCGTTCTAGAAGCCAGTTAGATTTGCCTCCCGTCAGATCTCATTTTCCCCGGCTTTTTACGCCCTGAACTAGACGCAACCGAGGGGCTCCGAGCTTCGGCCGGGCCGAGCTTGCCGTTCCAGCACAGATCCGCGAGGTCACGTCATGCCAGAGCTTCGGGGTCTCGGGATTTGCTTTTCACTTTTTCACTTTTATATAATTGCCCGTTCGTCCATCTAGACATCTTGGAACAATAATCCGCACACATCACACACAATGAAGATTCTCACCAAGGAAGAAGAGGCAAACCACTACCGGTACGATTGACTCCCATCGCCATCCGCTCAATCCCGCATCATCCCATACTGACCAGAAATTTCCAACAGCGCCGTCGTCAAGGGCGGCACCATCGGCGGTCTCGTCGGTCTGGCCGGCGGTGCAGCAGGTGTCATGCTCGCATCGCGACGATTCCACACAATCCGCAACCTGACAACCCCCATGAAAGCCTTCCTCACTACGTCCTCCGGTACCTTCGTCGGTATCATCGCCGCCGATCATGCGTCGCGGGACTTCGAGACCCAGCAAAATGCCCAGAAGCTCTGGTACGAAAACCGCGAAGAGCGTCTCCACGCTGAAGAAATGCGCGGCCTCAGTTTCCCCGACCGCGTCAAGGCTTTCGCCCGCCGCGAGAAGTACAAGATCATCGGCGCCACCTGGGTCGCCTCCATCGTTGGTTCGTTCATGCTTGTCAACCGCAACCCCTTCCTTTCTAGCTCGCAGAAGATTGTCCAGGCTCGTGTGTATGCGCAGGGTCTGACGCTCGGTGTTTTGTGCGCGTCGGCGGCATTTGAGATTTCGGATCAGCGCCGTGGTCGGGGTATTCTCGATGCTCAGAAGGATAAGAAGAAGAATCAGGAGGCCGTTGATGAGGCTCCTGTTCACTCGGGTAACAAGGACGAGGGTGATCTTTGGAAGGATATGGTTGCTGCGGAGGAGCAGCGGTTGAAGTCTAGGCACCAGTCTCTGCACCTGAAGCACGCCGAGGAGCATGCCGAGAGCGAGAAAAAGACTTCCGAGGACTCTGATGAGGAGAAACAGGATGAGAAGAAGGACAACAAGTCCGAGAAGTCCGAGTCCAAGCCTAAAGATGAACCCAAGGCTGAGAAGGGCGAGGGTAAGAAGCAATAAATGAGTGTGTGATATTATCCCTTCACATTGTCACTCGTCCCACTTGCAACTTCTGTCGACCGTATCAAATTGGGCAAGTCGATCTTGACCACACTCTCTGCGTTGAGCTCTCACGGGTTCCCGGGTTCCCTTGATTCACCATACACCGCCAGAAGAGACAGGGTTCTTTTCCAAGAGGCTGGACCTTTGGGCTTCCACGAGTTCGTCTCTCGTTCATATGCTTGCATCCCCCTAGACCGGCGTTTTCTGTTATTTTTTCTTTCCATCTCAATCTGTACGTCTCGAGGGGCTATGCGTTCCAAAAGTCTTTTTGTCACGTGTATGATACTTTGAGGTGGTTGAGATTTCCTTCTCTACTCTAATGAATGACCTGTGTCCCTAAATCTCGTCTTTTGTTGGTTCTCGAATTCTTCTGTAGATCGATTCAAGTCTGCCAGATCAAGTGCTGCTTCTGCTACATTGTCACGATACCTGTACGTGCAAAGTTCTGAATATTTGAATATCACTAGAGACATGTCTGAGCATTTGCAGGCTTTTTTCAGCCCTAATTCTATCTGTAATCATGTTGTTAAGTGGAGAATGACGATTTTTCCTACAGTATACATACAAGGCCATCATTCTATCAAAACAGAATCCGCTCACATTCCTCCGCGGCCCTCAGCCCAAAGCTTTGCATCCCACCCTTCCAACTAACCCCAATCGCCCTCTTAGCAAACTCTCTTAGATCAGCTTCATATGCCCCAATAACATCTCTATCAACAGCTCCAGCACAACCGGCCTCAACAATCCTCCTCGCCAAATCACCCGCGTCCCGCAAAGCAGTATTAGCACCCATAGCCCCCGTGGGCGGCATAGCATGGATAGCATCCCCCAGCAAGGTCACACGAGACGAGGATTCCCACGGCGCAATCTCGGGCATAGCCGACAAAATAGACTTCACGGCCGCCTGGGACTCATCCTGCATTTCGAAAACGCTCTGCAGGGCCGGAATCCAAGACTTGGTTAGATCGCGGCTCAGGTCCGCCGCGTCCTGTGGGCTGATATGCCACGACTTCTCGTCTGGAATCGGGAGTGTCGATGCACGCGCGAGGAGACACCAGTACATATAGGGACTGGGTAGTGGGAACGAAACCTCATCAGCGTGAGGGAAGTGAATAGACTCAAACAGCAATGTCGGCTGCGATGCATCATCTGGATCGGTCACAAGGCTCATCCCCCGACGATGGCTCTCGGGGAGTTTGTCCAGGAACGCAGGAGTCAGTGGCGTCTTGCCAAAGATGATGCGCATACCCGTGTCAATGCCCGCGTATTTTGGTATGTACTGCTTGCGAACGCAAGAGCGGACTCCGTCTGCTCCGACGAGAAGGGCTCCATCCTCGGATGTCCCATCGGTGAAAAATGCTGTTATTTTGTCGTCGTGGACTTCGTAATGGGTGAGACTCTTTCCGAAGAAGACTTGGTCTTCGAGACTTGTTAGGAGCGTTTCGCGGAATGTGCTGCGGTCGATCGTATACACTCTTTCTACCATGGCCTGTGGGGGAGGTCCGTGGCCTGGCTTTGCAGGAGAAGGTGTTCCATCTGGTTTGATTCTGATGCCCATGTTTGCGGTGTCGGCGCAGGTTTTCTCGAATAGAGTGAAGAGCTCGGGTGTTAGAGCTTCTTCTAGAGCGGCAACGCCGTCTTGGGTGATTCGAAGTCTGTAGCCCTGAGCTCGGAAGTTGCTTTTTTGGTCTTGCTCGAATAGTTTGTATGGGATTTTGTTTTTGTGCAGGGCTTGGGCGAGACAGATGCCTCCTAGTCCGGCGCCGATGATTAGCACTGGTAATGTCATGGTGTGGATAGAACGCGAAAGGCCAATTGAGAAAGCAGGTTGAATGACTGCGATATGCCAGCTCGGAAAGAAAGAGTCAGTTGACTAAGAATGGAATGAAATTACTTGGGGGGAGCCTCAACTTTAATTTATATTGTACCTCTTCATTCGGGCCCGAGCAGTGAGACTCGGGACCGAAAGTCTGGTTTGAAGCCGAGCCTCAAAATAGCCCCCATATCATCAACCTTGGAACGGTAGTGATTATCGCCAGCCCGTTTCTCTATTCGGGCGTTTAAGAGTCCAATTTTGGGGATTCACAAAAGAAAACTTGGGTATTTCTATTCACTATATCCATTCGAAGTAGGGAAAATACAGAATGCTAAAAACACGAAGAAATACAGTGTAGAGCACGCATAAAGAGATGCAACTAAAAAGTGTTGTCTTCAAGTCCCTCCGTTCGTCGGATGACACTCGGGCTCTGGTCATCGTCGATTTCGTCCGTTATGTCCCCCGCTCCGGCCGTGGCGAGCAGATCGGTCACGATACGCTTAGAAGCTTCTCTGGCTGTAAAGATACGATTAGTGTTTTTCACACAAAGGATGGAGCGAAAGTGGAATAAGACTTACCAGGAGTTTTCATCAATCGGCTCTGGGGGATATGGAATTGCATGGTCTTGGGAGGACTCGGCCCGAAATCCTCATCGTCCAGGTCGTCATCGCTGTCCCACACGGGGCGATGACCACCGGGTTTCGCGGGTGTCAACACGCTTGTACCAGGCTTCGGGGTGCCGCGAGTACGATTGCTGCTGGTACGGCGCTTGCGGTTTGTTCCGGGTGTGTTAACACCCTTGATGGGCGATGAGAAAATCTCCGAGTGCATCTGAGGCTTCTCGAGTTCTGGGCTGGACATCGGCGAGTCGTCATATCCGTACCGCGAGGTCGAGGCGGTTGGCTTGGGTGTGATGTTGAACTTGGAGCGGCTGGCCGTACCACCGCCGACGTTCTTGTATCCTTTGCCGAGTGGTGTTGCTTGCACGCGGTAGGTTTTGTCGAGCATCTGGTGGAGGACCGGGTCCGAAGGCTTCTGGTACCGGGTGTCCCCTGGCGTGGGTTGGTACTTTGCTGATGAGGCAGGGGGAACGAACGGAGATGACATCGGGGTTCCAGATGAAGCTCCGGGAGGGAAGAAATGTTGACGGCCGGGGGTGGATGGAAGAGTTGATGAATCGGGCATATCGAAAGGCGCCTCGGCTTCGTTGATTTGCTTCCTCAGATTCTCGTAGGAAGAGTGTTCGATAGATGAGATCGTGATATCTTCTTCCCCAGTCTGCGGAGCTGGTGCACGCGGTGTGCTATGCGAGGAGATGGTGAGCTCGGTAAGGTCGATATCATCGCCATGACCATGTTGCATATCCGGGCGGTTGGTTGAGGGCGTTGCGTAGGTCTGGTCGGGCTCTTCTCCGGTTGTACTCTGGGTCACGTCGGCAGAGAGCTCTTCCTCCGTGACAGAGGGATCTTGTGTCGTATCGCCCTCGTTGGGTCGTTCCTCATATCCCGACAGAGATACATTGGCGCTTGCTTCGAAGAATTGCTTCCAGAACTGGACATTGAATTAGCATAAACAGCATAGTCTGTTGGGCATCAAACCCCTATAGATCGAACTCACCTTGGCACCTTCCCAAACGTCGCGGGAATGCTCCGTGTACTGTTCGACACAGGGCAGAATACTTGTAGTAACGATCCGGTGAGCTTGGCTGAAGTTTTGGTCGATTTCTGCCGGCAGATAAGATGATCAGTACTTTGTCGACCGGTTTGTTTACCACTGTCCTACCTTGAAGCGTGAGAGTAATGGATTGTTCCAATTTCTCCAGTTCCTCCGTCAGGGTAAGTGGGCGCGGGGGCTGCATTGATTGGCGAGACATCTTGCCAAAGGCCCGAAGGGAGATGCTCCAGAGCGCAAGCAAGCATTCAAGGTTGAAGCTCCAAGACGCGCGGGGAACGCGTCCCAAAGCGGTGTGTTTTAGGGCCGGGGATAAGGGCTGCGCCGGTCAGGTGCGGGGTTTATGTAAGATCCCAGGCATCATTCGGAGCATCGGAGCTGGTTTCCAAGTTTCTGAACCTGGAAGCTTGACTTCTAGAAAGTCACCCAGGAAGAAGTTCAGAAAGAGGCGATATTTCAGCATGCCTGCACCACTTGCCAAAGGTGAGGCCATCTTCTGGATGTCCTAGACCCGGATCATCCGGGGTGGATCTTATCAGTTCCCCGCCGAGGCCTGGTATGCTGACCCATCATATAGGTATCATCGTGACGGTCTCGGTTTTAGTGGCTGCTGGGGTGGCTGTCTACCAGTCCCCACAGTTCCAACAGTGGGTAACCATTTCTCGACGCAAGATTGCCTTGGCCTTGCACAACCTGGGCGATGAGATCCAGCCTGGTGACCAGATCCGCCGAGAGGATATCTCTATGACCGAGGAGGCCGGGGACGCTGCAGTGGAACGCAGACGGATTGCTCGTGCAGATATTATGAAGCGGGGTGTTTTGCTCGAGTCTCGACGAAAGATAAGAGAGTCGCAGGAACCGCTCAACAGCTTCGACACTCTTGTAGACAGCGACGGTAATCTACAAGTGCCAGAGAATGACCACGGTATCAACCCTGTTGGCACCTCAACTGGATTTGATTCAGGCTCTCAGCCTCGCCGTCGAGGTGAAGCCACTACCATGAGCCAAGACCTCCATGTCGATATTCCCTCAGAGACCGCATCGAACCATCCCTCGGAATCTGTTGTCCAGCTGACTCCTACTTCATCTGCGCCGGGGGAGACTCTTTTTGACCCATTCTCTGATTCTCCGGTCAGAGGCCAGTCACCAATGTCTGCTTCAACTTCCAGCCACACGGAAGCCAGCCAACAGATCTACTACGCCCATCCTCATTCGGGGTCCAATATCACGCAGCCACAAGACCTGCTCACCGATCTTGACGACTTTGCTCAAGGAAATCAATTCCAGCATCCTATTTCCTCTGCCCCATCTACCGCGGGCAGCTTCAGTCACGTCGGTGGATTCGACGCTTCATCCGATGGCACATTGAGTGACCTGGGCGCTTGCTCGGTAGGAGACATCAATACCCCAGCCAGCTGGTCTGAGGTGGGAAGTGAAATCAGCAACGACGATGCAGGTCATCATGAATTGCTGTAATGGGATAAAGTACTGGGCTTGGGATATCACAAGGTAAAGGGACTACGGCGCAGGAAGGCTCGGACGGATCAGGCTGGGATTTAGGTATTGCTTCGCTGGCGAACGAATTTTTGGCTTCGAGGTTATTTCAAGCATGGAGGACTTTCATAAACGCAATATTACAACGGGCCTCTTTTCCTGGCTTGCTTCATTTTGGACACGTCTGCATGATTTATTGCTCTGTGAATTTGTAGTCTACTCTTCAACGGCACGTATCTGTACGGTGGAGAAACAAAGCCTGAAAAGACAGCATTACCTCACTATATACCATCCGAGGGAAGGGATTCGATCTACTGAACTTCTTGGACTCCGCGTGCTTTGGTTGGTCGACTTCCCTTCGGACTTACGACGTAATGTCCGAGTTCGTCTCGATGCCCCGGAATGCTCCTTGGGGCATTTAAACCGCCCACCGACAAGACCACAACTGGGAGATTACCGTAGAACATAAAGCAAGCGAATAAATCATTCAGCCACTTCTAAATATGTCTTCTACCTCAGATCGCACCGTGGTCCTCATTACGGGCGCCAACCAAGGCATAGGCTATGAAGTCGCCAAGGGCCTTCTAGCCCACGAGAACTACCACATCCTCCTCGGGTCTCGCGATGCTGCACGCGGTGCCAAGGCTGCCGAGGAGCTCGACCCAACCGGCAAGATCGTGGAACCTATCACCATCGACGTGACCGACGACGCATCCATCCAGCAGGCAGTCGAGCAGGTTGAATCCAAACATGGCCGACTGGACGTGCTAGTCAACAATGCAGGCATCAACAACGAAGTTGAGATGTACTCCCGACAAATCCAGAATGAGAAGGAAGGCATACAGGAGAAGCCTGATCTAGCACAGCTGCGCCAGCTCTATCGCGACGCTTATGAAGTTAATGTCTCCGGCGCGGCTATCACTACCGAAGCATTTGCTCCTCTGCTCGAGAAGTCAGCTGCGACACCTGCCCGTATTGTCTTTGTGTCTTCGCACACGGGATCACTGGGTCTTCGAATCGACAAGTTGTCTAACTGGTACCCAAGGCTCTCCAATCCCAGCTTCCCCATCTATCGCAGCAGCAAGGCCGCGCTAAACATGTTGACCCTGCACTATGCGGCCAAATTCCAGGCGAAGGGGTGGAAAGTTAATGGGTCATGTCCGAACCTGACAGCCACCAACTTCAGCCGCGGCAAGGGACGGCCTGCGTCGGAGTCTGCGGTTAACATTGTACGATTGGCGACTATGGGCGTTGATGGCGAGTCGGGGGAGTATACAGACGAGAATGGCGTTGTCCCGTGGTAGGAAATAGATGCCCATGGACAGCCTAGTATGTTCCGATGCGACTGAATTCGAAATAAACTGTGATTTTGCATCTCGTATTCCGAGTATAAGCCTAGGCTCATCTACAGAACTTTGGATACCAAATACGACAGGTAGTGGATACTTTGTTTGACTAATGAATCATGTGAGGAATGTGGTACCAGGTACGCGGCCGGATAACGAGGAGAAAGAGCCTCGGCAGTTTCGGGGAAGCTTAAAGCGGAGTCTCTCCTACTTCTGGTCTTCTCTTCTCCTTCACTCCATCCTTTCTTTCTCTCCTCAAAAATTGGTGTTCTCTATCTCCACAGTAAGTTTCTCGTTACCCTCTATCTATGCGCATTTCTATCTCCCCGAGCCTTGAAAACTGCTCAACCGCGGTCTGGAAGCTTCCCCGCAACCACCTCCGAAAATCTCCCCAGCCGAAAGAAGAGCTGTATCAGATCAAAACCAGATACTATATCAAGCCTAAACTAACATATATACATCAATAGCCTTCCATTCCACACTTCATTATGGCCGCAGATCGTCTTAGCTCTCTTTTGAGCCACCTCAAGCCCAGTTCCAGCGGTGGCCTCAACGCCATGTAAGTATGCAACTCGCCACTGGGAAATTCTCAATCTAACATTACACAAACAGCGCCCAGAAGAACCCCGATGACGTCGTCATTACCTCGTGCATGCGTACTCCGCTGACCAAGGCGCGCAAGGGTGGTTTCAAGGACACCGAGCTCGACTACATCGTCTACGCTCTGCTGAAGGAGACCCTGGCCAAATCGAAGATCGACCCCGCGCTGGTCGAGGATGTCTGCCTGGGCAATGTACGTTTATTACACCCCTACGACTAAGCAGAAAGCTAATAGGAAATAGGTCGGCGAAGCCAAGGCCGCTTACATGGTGCGCGCCGCCGCCCTGGCCGCTGGAATCCCGCACACCGCCGGTGCCTCATCCGTAAACCGATTCTGCTCGTCCGGCCTGAAGGCCGTGCAGGATATTGCCAACCAAATCGCCATGGGCCAGATCGACATTGGTATCGCTCTCGGTGCGGAGCTGATGTCCGCCGCCGGCGACCGTCTCGAGCGTCCCTTCAACGAGGAGGTGCTACGCAACCAGGAGGCTGCCGATTGCATGCAGCCTATGGGCCAGACGTCCGAAAACGTAGGCAAGGACTTCAATATCTCGCGTGAGCAGCAGGACCGCTATGCGGCCGAGTCGTTCCGTCGTGCCGAGGCTGCGCAGAAGGCCGGCTGGTTCGATGATGAGATTGCTCCCATCTCGGTTAAGGTTAAGGACCCCAAGACTGGTGAGGTGAAGCAGATTACCCTCACCAAGGATGATGGTATCCGCCCTGGTACTACCTATGAGTCGCTTACCAAGATTCGTCCTGCGTTCCCGCAGTTTGGTGATAAGTCGACTGGTGGTAACTCCAGCCAGGTTACTGATGGCGGTATGTTACCTTCCTATAATCCCACAGACAGTCAAACTAATAGATTCTAGCCGCCTCCGTCCTCCTGATGCGCCGCTCCAAGGCCATCGAGCTGAACCAGCCCATCCTGGCCAAGTTCTGCGGCGCCACCGTCGCCGGTGTTCCTCCCCGCGTCATGGGTATCGGCCCCACTGCCGCTATCCCCAAGCTGCTGAGCAAGTTCCAGCTCGACAAGAACGACATTGATATTTACGAGATCAACGAGGCCTTTGCCTCCATGGCCGTGTACTGTGTTAACACTCTGGGTCTCGATCACGCTAAGGTCAACCCCCGTGGTGGTGCCATTGCCCTCGGTCACCCTCTGGGTGCTACTGGTGCGCGCCAGATCGCTACTATTCTGAGTGAGGCGCGCCGGACGAAGAAGAAGATCTTGGTTACTAGTATGTGCATTGGTACTGGACAGGGTATGGCGGGATTGTTCGTCAACGAGCAGGTTTAAATATGTAGCTATACTTATGAATCTTCAAGAGCCTTTTCTGCTTGCGTGTCAGATCCTTGTACTTGAACAGCTTCAAGGTTGTTGCTATCTGCAAAATGATTCTTACATCTAGCCGCGGTTGGTTAAGGACGCGAGTGAATTAGTCAGTTTCTTCTAAGCCTATGGACAAACTCTACTATCGGCTAGACCGTAACGAACCGGCCAGATCTGCTTAAGACACAATTCCTATATATCCAATCTTCCTTAAGGGTAGATCTATATATAACCGTCAATGTCCCTACTTAGTTGTATTTTCGGTGTACTTCATCTAGGATCATCACAGTGGAAGAGAATGAAGTACATATTTATACTTGGGCCTGCCGGATTCTCTATACTAATCCCCATAACATTCATTATACTATCCTTGATCATCTCGATATGCCTTTACTCGCACTCTACACTCTCTGGTTTCCTTCTGACTTGGACGAGGATATTTCTTTTTCCTCTGGTCGTCATCTTTCTATCTTAATTGAGTCACCACTTTCATAGAGCAGATATAAACCTAGAGTCAATTCTACAGCAGTCGAGCACAGTCAAAGATCATATTAATACTAGACAATCTACATAAACAGAGGCGAAGTCACCTGGCAGTCCAATTCAGGAGAGAAAGCTTGAAAATGGCACCATTTAGTCTGAAATGATTCTTATGAGACTTCATCCTATGGCTTGCTAAACACACTGCTTTGCAACCTCTCACGATAAAAGGTGAACTGGGATGGTGAAGACAATCCCGAAAACCCGAAAAACTAGACACCAATGAGAAAATGGAAAGCTGTCTTTGCCATGAGCTCGTTCGTGCTTATGAGTCCATTGTCCTTAACAATTGTAGCCCCAGCATTGCCTGCAATTGCGTCCGACTTGGACATCACACAACCTGCAATTGAGCAAATGGTTCTTTCAATCTTCCTCCTTGGCTTTGCGTCCAGAACGTTTCCTTGAAAGATCAAGGGGTTTTAGCATTTAAGAGTAGCAATGCGCACTATTCTTTTGGGCAACCGCAAATTTGACGAGGGCGCTTAGATTTGTCAGACCCACGATTCTTACTTCACAGCATGGCCAACAATGCGCCCGAGGAAATCGAATTACCAACGGTTGCAGAGATCGAAGCCTCGTCTGATGTGCTGAGTGTACGGACAAACGCCATCAAGGTTGTTCGGGTCCGGGATCGCTTCGCAGTCAAGATTGGCTTTTCTATTCCACCACTAGAGGCAGAGAATATGAGATTCATTGCACGCAAAGCAACGTTCCACTGCCAAAGGTTCATGATAGTTTCATCGACCCGGAGACCCGAAAGAGATATATCATTATGGATTATATCCCTGGCACCGATCTAGAGAAAATGCTACCTTCGCCATAGATGCTTGAAAGGCAACAGTTAGAAATTTAGAACATTCTTCATTTAGCCGTGGTTTATGACAGCTTGGAGATAGTCAAAAAACTGGGGAATGAAATCCCTGATCTTGGTTGCAATGTTGATAGCAGTGGGCGCACTCCCCTCCATCTAGCATTTTGGAAATGCAACGCTCTAGTTGCTCAGTTTCTGCTGGAAATGAACAGCTGGAAAATTACGATGGAGCCGACCGAGACTGCCTCGGTAAGCTTGTAGATGTCTATACTTCGCGCGTTATGATGCTGTTAATGCAAAAATGACCGCTAGACCACCAAAAGTGTGAACACGGTAATCGAGGCCCCTGTATGTTCTATATCTGGTTTGACGGATGCCAAGATCAAAATACCTCGTTCGAGATCAGACAAGGCTATACGCAATACATATCTACGAAGTCGAGCAATCCGCACAGTTCAGATTGATAGCTAAGTTGATGCAGTCTAGATACAATACTTTAGGTGTTGACCTGGAAGATCTCGGGGTACCGACCACCTGCTGGGGTGAACTTGGTCAGGATATCGTCAATCTCGGCCATCTCCGCATCCGTAATGTCAATTAGCTTGCTGTTCTCCTCAACCCGTTCCGCAGTGGTGGCGCCAGGAATAGGAATAATCGTGGGCATCCCCGGACGTCGAGAGAGCGCTCTTGTCCAATTAATCGCGAGCTGCGCGGGAGTACAGCCCTTCTTCTTGGCGATCTCCTCGACCTTCTCTACTAGCTGCACGTTTTTCTCAAAGTTCTCCCGCCGGAAGCGTGGGAAGTTGAAAGAGAGCAGCAACGAGTCTTGCGGGAGGTCGTCGAATTTCTTGAATTGACCGGTCAACATGCCTCTGCCGATAGGAGAATAGGCGATGATTGGAATCCCGTACTGGGCGCAGGCCGCTGCGACGCCATTTTCCAGGATGTCGGTGGAGAACCTGTTTTAGTTAACACCCGTGATGATTTCAAACGGCGAGGATAACGTACAAGGAGAGCTCAGCCTCCACCGCGACGACCTTGGTGTGTTTAACAGCTTCGTGGATGGTCTCCGCCCGCACCTCGGAGAGCGCAATGCCTCCGATCTTGCCGGTTTGGATATACTCCTTCTCAATGAGCCCAAACGTCACATCTAGAGGGGCCGCCGGGTCCCGACGGCCGAATTCAAATATGTCGATCTTCTTGCGGCCCTTCAGCTGCACAATGCAGTCATCCAGGCTACGGCGCGTATTCTCCGGTGAGGCGTCGGTCTGGTGGGTTTGGGGGTTGGCTCCGCCCTTGATATTCAGGACGATCTTGTCAGCATCTTCGGGGTACTTTTCTAGATACCGCTCTAGAAGAACGAGGCTATTATAATCGGGCGGGCCATAAAATTCACCGCCGTTCCAACAGGTGCCTATAGATATTAGCGGAGAAGGGACACGGCAGAACTGGTAGCTACGAAAACTCATTACATACATCCATTCTTGATTGCAGCGCTCATAGCCGCAAAGGCCTGTTCTTGCGTTGGCGGCGTTGCTCGCCAGGTTAATCCCATGAGGCCAAAGCCAATAGGGCCGACTTCCTTTCCGCTAATTTCGGGCATATTATCTCTAGGCGTAGGCTGTGTGATAGTAGAACTGCGCAACTTAGAGTACTAGTGTATATGCCCCCTTTCGACGGCTATGCCCACTTTTTGAACCCTGCCCAGGGCTGTCCCCGACGGGCTTCATAGAACAAAGGCGAGATATAACCGACGTCTTATCGGCGTTAAATTTAAGTCCGGGGCCTAAGTCCGCCAAGTAACGGCTTCGGGGATGGCGCCAACAGGCGTTATGAAGTTGCGGTAAAGGAGGAATCGGACATGCACTAGCGCAGGAGTTCAAGAAGAATGGTACATTTGACTCCTTATGCTTTTAGTAAACTACAAACGGCCTAGGTAGGCTGAATCAATCTAGCTTTAGCCTTTCATATTTCATGCATGATTGTCTGTAGGCATTAGCTCGGAGGGTATTCGAATCGTCGCATCATTTCCTTCGCTGAGAGACCCGAGTCTGTCCTCGGTACCATCTAGAATAGGCGGCTTGGACTCTAGATTGGTAGCCCTTGGTCCCCTTATGCACGTTGCTATACAGATAGTCAGCATTCTATTTTCATGCAGGGCGAAGACAGACCAATGCCCGTGTCATCAATGTAGAGGTCCCCGAGAAAATCACTGAGATTTCCGCCCACCCACTCTACACTCTCGGCAGAGCCACCGCAATCAAACTCTGCAATCTGCTGTTATGTTCTAGCGATTGTTTGCCATTGGTGGTACGCCATGAATATCTATAAACGCAAGTCATTTAAAATCTCGGGCTGGGTTTTAGGGTCACATGCCATTCGCGTGTTCAAATTCACAGCCTTGGTGGTGGATGGGGGCCCTAAGCCTCATTGATCCTTCTCGTGAAAGGATGTAGTCTGTGGAAAGACATTGTGAGAGCCGCTCTTGCCAAAATCCTGCAAAAGGACGTTGAGTCCGCGACCTATTACATCAATAACGATAAGGCTCCTTGGGTGAGTATTTAAGACGCCTCGTTATAGGAACCAGTTGTGCAGCCTAAGTATGGAGGGTGAGGAAACTTTGGAACGGCTGTGCTTAGGAATCTTCGATGTTCTTCGATATGTTTAAAATAAGTGTAAAGCTATGATTATGACGATATACTGACAAGGCATATAGAACGTAAGTTTATAAAAACAAATAGATCAAGATTAATCAGGGTATCAAACGAAATGTACAACATTGGATGTCCACATCCTCCACATCCTCCACATCCTCCACATCCTCCAGTACTTTGAGGGCTTCACCTCCCATCATCCTGCGTCTCCTTCCTACCCTCCTTTTTCAACCTCTCCTCAGCAGCTCTCGCAAGAATCTCCCTCCTAGACTCTGTCCCACCACTCTCCCTATTCCCATCCCTTAACCCACCAAGTACAAACTCACCCCCAGTCCACCCACACTCATCAATGAATTCCTCCTCCCCACTCTGGACCCTCTCCCAATCCGCCGGGTTGTAAAACTCCTGTCCCGTCAACCGATTGCCACCAGACTTCCAATCCCCAGCCTCAACCTCACGCTCAATCTGCGCCGTCAAATCCCAGAAATTTCGATCATGGGGCCCAAACACGCAATGCGCCAGCTCATGGCATAGCGTCTTGCGAATCGTCCTATAATCACGATACCCGTCGTATGCATCAGTACGCAGCCGTAACTCGATAACCTCGCCTTGGTTCCGGTTAAGTCCTAGCGTGCGCGACTCGCTGGTCGTGTGCTCTGCTGGGTTCATTTCCGTGAGTAGCGGGACCGAGAACTTGTGCTTTGTCATTGCGGCGCGAATGCCTGGGTCGTCGCGTAGGCGAGTAAGGAACTGAAGGGAGCGGTCTGGGTTTGGGAGGTAGTTTAGAGGGAGGAGGCGGTGGAAAGTGTAGTTGCTGTTGCTTGAGAGGGTGTGGATGCCGCTGCTGCGAGATGGTGTGGGCTGCTTTTTGCGGGCTTCAGCTAGGGCTGATGCGCGTGTTTCTTGGCGTTTGCGCTCGCTGGTAGCCTGTTCGTGGAGGTCGGCGATTGCTTTAGCGGGTGTGCCGAGGAGGGTGATCTTGAACTTGGGTGAGGAGAGGGGAAGGATGTCGGAGAGAGTTGTTGGTGGGAATGGCGCCTTTTGCATGCCTGGTTTCGGGGCTATGAGCAGCTTCTGGTGTTCGACTGGGATATTCAAAGCGCTCTCGATAGCTGCGGAGAGGTCTTGTAGTGTTGCTGAGGTGGAGAGCTGGAAACTGTGCGGGGTTCCATGGTGGTGCACTGTTACCTGCATGGTGGAATCCATAACAAGTGAGCTTCTATGTATCAAGGCAGAGGCGCACGGGACGTATGGAGAGAAAGAAAGGTATAGAGATGCAAAGGCGAGCGTAGATATAAAAGCCCGAATAGGCAGGCGCTGAGGCGAATTCGACGGGGTTCCACGGCGATAGCTTTGTCAGCCCGGAGATAAGGGCGTTTGTGCCTAAGGCCACTAAAAGATTACTAAGGACCTCGGTTTACTCCGTCTATGGAAGCCAGAAAGTCATATTTGTTTGCTAAAAGTGCAAGATGTGCATGGCCAGAATAACACCCAATATAGATACACCATGCCTGACAAAACTCCTTTCCCAAGCATTTATGCAAAACGAACCAAGGTAAGACAGCCTCGGAAACCAGCCGGCCCAAATGCAAAGATCTTCAGGTATGGAAATAAATAACGACATGTAACGTCGAGTGGATCTAATTCGACGAATGAAGTAAATGAAAACGCGGAAGAAGAGAAATGTTGACAATCATTTATACTGCCGGTCTTCGGGCAATTTAATAGTCAGATTAGCAAGGGCCTCATCAGAGATCCATTCCGCCAGATGAGGGAACCAAGTATGGCTAACGCAAGAGAGTCAGTATCAGCACCAGAAACGCCGAAGAAACAATACTCACTTATGGAACCTCGTCAGAGTCAAAGCTGTTTCCGAATACTCCTCCATCAACATGGAATCATACTGGAACGGCACCTTTGCCGGAACACCCTCAAACGTAGTCCAACGCAGCGGATAGATATCCTTTAGCCGGTACTTGTGGAAGTTCTTACACTGCCAAATATCCAGGTGGTCAGGCTCCAATTGACTCAGGCCGGTGATGTCGATGTAGAGACCCGTGTAGATATCGATCCAGCGCGCATCGATGATATTATGTCCCTGTCCGCGCTCGCGCTGTCGGGACCACGGGTTAATGTCCAATATGTAGTCTCGCTTCTTTCCAGTACCGGTTGATATGTACGTGATGATGGTTTGATTGTAATTGTCGGCGAGGTAGGCGAGCGTGGTGTCGGGGACCTGGGTGTCCATGTCCCAATCCCAGGGGAGAATCTAGTAAATCCTTTAGATTGTGTATCAACAAGCTTTGGCGTGTATTCCCACCTTCCCGTTCCACCACCAGCCCAGCAGGGTGCCGTGTGCAATCCATGTTTCCAGCCCATTCTCGCTGAAGAAGTCGAGGTATGCGCGGATCATATGGGTAAGCACGTCTGCGCGCTCTGCGTCGTCAACGGGCCCGGTGAAGTATCGCGAATCGTAATGGCCCAAAATATCGTCACGGCCCGGCTCATGGAAGTATTTATACTCGGCGGTCGCGTTCAGTCCATATTTCCACCATAATGGGTCTTTCAGTGTAGGATCGGTATAGACGCCGTGTGCGGACTGGGTCTTCGCATCGTCGGGTGAGGGTAGCGCCGCCACTGCAGACCAGAGTGCAAAGACGAGGGCCACGAGAGTTCGCCACCGCATCTCCAGTCCCTCAACTAGGGAGCCCTTTCTATAAGGTCGATTCTGTATGCAAGCATGGGCCGGTTCGCATGCTGCAGCTTCGATCAGGGCTGGGAATAGTCCGGCGGGCAATTAGTCGTGCATGTACAGATCTGTAGGGCTTTACGTGCCGGTTTCCGGGTGTATAGACGTGCATTTAAGAGGCAAGAGAATGAATGGAGAATACAAAAATGAAAAAGCAGGAGATCTTGGCAAGAACCAAAGAACCAAAGAACCATTTCATCCGACCAAGCCGGAAGACTAAGACAATATCTACACCCTGAAATCCCGCTGTGCGGGGCGGATTGGACCGGAGTCCCCACCGATGGACCCAAATGTCGGATCCTGTCAAAAGACGGCAATGGAGGGGAGGGACTTTAATGGTGAATGCTTCCGAAGAAGCATCCTCCATGGCCCCGTTCGTGAAGATCCAGGAAGGGAATGCGAATACGAACGCGAACACGATGCTCCGGGGCAGCGCTAGAGCACAAAAAATAAAGGCAAAAATATGAGGAACGAGGAATCGGGGGTTCTCGTCTCTTACCCGCGTGCCTCTTTTCCTGCTTCGGACGCGCCCTATGGACATTGTCTCTCTTGAAACTTGTGGTTCTCAAGTTGACTTTCGAGGGTGACAAGGGAGTTCAGGGAGGTGCAGAACAGATCCTTTTCACCAATTGAACTAACACGAAATACCGAGCAGATCCTTTCCGCCCGTCTCCTCTCGCCTCTGAGGAAAGACATCCATTGCCCAAATGGGGAAAAGGACGCTAAACCTGCAGTGTCCTCTTGGCGAGCGATGCCAAGGAACCCTCGGAGAAACCTGCTAGTCCTTTTAACTAGTACATTAATCATTAATAATTCACAGTCGGATCATGATGAACTCCGAGCACGCCACACCTTTCTGCATTGGGGTTTCCGCTGAACGGGCATGACATGCCATGTTTTTGGAGGTTAGTACGTCATACGTATTCTGGTTAGACGTAGAATAGATGACAAAGTTTCGGAGCCGACCGCCATTCAAGTTATGAACCATCTCTCAGTTCGATCGGCCTCGGGTAAAACATAGGAGAATCCTACATGCAATCTGACATCAGTAGGACAAGATAGGGTTAATTTAGACTGATACAGTATCGGGGCCAGTGGCTAAACCTTCAGCCTTGCGCTGCCGATCGCACCAGGAATACCAACAGGAACACCGGTTCGCGATGATCCGCCAATTTAGCCTACTTTTCTCGAGTATCGTGCATGATCCAATTCATCTATTCATCCAGAAAAACGATCTACATCATAACTGTTTGCCATTAAACAAAAAAAAATGAGATCAACGTTCGTTGATCGCGTCTAGGTCCGTGAAAACATCTTGAAGCCTTTTCGTCGTCATGCTCGGCACCTCCAATTCAATGGAGTGCCGGGCGGGTTTCCCAAAAATATCAGTAAGCGTCCACGTTTACTGCTTCTCCTCGGTCTCACCCTCGGGGGCGTCCTTCATCTCGGCGTCAGCCTCCTTCTTGGCCTCCTCGGCCTTCTTGGCTTCCTCCTCAGCCTTCTTGGCCTCGAGCTCGGCACGCTTCTTTGCGGCGGCCTCCTCCTCGGCCTTCAGGACCTTCTGGCGCTCCTCATCCTGCTTCTCCTTGTAGCGCTGGATGACGGGGCCAACGATGAAGCGAATCTCGTCCATCTTGGCAACGTAAACGGACTTGCTGGCATCGTCACCCTCCTCGTACAACCAGTCCTCGATGGCCATCAGCTTGGAACGGAGCTTCTCCTTCTCCTCATTGGCCTTCTGCTCATCGTCACTGAAGAAATCGGAGTAGACACCGTCGATCTTGTCGCGGAGCTCGTAGATGGAGGCCTCGAGCTCGTTCTTCTTCTCATCAGTCTCGGCAACGAGCTTATCATCCATGTACATGGCGTTCTCGCGTTCGGCCCAGGCCTGCTTGACAGAGTCGTCGGTACCGCCGGTAGCCGAGACAATGGGCAGGTCGCCCTTGCGAACCTGCTTCTTGACCTTGCGGGTCTTCTTGGGCTGCTCGTCACCGTTGGTGTCCATGGCCTATAAGTATCGTTAGTGTGGTCAACAAAGATATGAAAGGTGAAAGAACTTACATCGCCATCCTTCTCGCCCTCCTCGGGAATGGGCTCCTCAACCTCCATGTCCTCAACGTAGTAACCAGACTCAACGTTCAGGATACCGTGAAGGTTCAGACGGGCCTTGAGCTTGCAAATCATGAAGTCGTCGTTCGCATCAGCCTTGACACCCTTGACGGAGAAGCGGCCGATCCAAGGGTTGACCTTGCCGGGCAGGCCCTCGGGGTTGCTGTAGCGAGCCTCGAGGTCGAAGGGCTGCTTGCGGTAGAAGGTAAGGATCTTAGTGGAGGGCATGACGTTTCCGCGGCCGAAGACGGTAAGGCTAGTGTCCTCGTCGGGGATCTCGGGGGACTGCTCCCAGGTGAAGTCGATGGGGTAGTTCACGATGTCGTGGACGGAGAAGTCACGGACACGGAAGACCGGGGACAGAGTAGCGCAGCAGAAAGCGCAACCACGGGCAATAGCCTCATCCTGGTTGAGGGTGAATGACAGGCCCTTGCCAAAGAACTTGCTGATGGTCTCCTTGATGGCGGGGACACGAGTGCAGCCACCGACCATCTCGATGTGGTCAATGTCCTCAACCGTAAGCTTGGCCTCGGCGAGAGCCTGCTCCAGAGGGACGGTGATCCGGTCCAAAAGGGGCTTGACCATCTCCTCGAGGTCCTCACGCTTCATGATGGTGCGGACATCGGTGTCCTCCATCAGAGACTCGATGCTCATGGGGGCTTGCGGGTTGGCCGAGAGGACCTTCTTGAGCTTCTCGGCGGCGGCAAGAGTGCGGGACCAGGCCTTGGGGTGGGTGCGGATATCGATCTTGAACTTCTCCTTGAACTCATCGGCCAGGCGTTCGGTCAGGGCGACGTCGAAGTTGCGGCCACCGAAGTGACGGTCGCAGGCAGTAGCCTTGACGTTCAGCTCACCCTTGCGGAACTCGACAATAGAGGCAGTGTAGTCGCTAGCACCGATGTCGATGAAGACGACACGGCGGGGCTTCTCATCGGGACCGGGCAGGTCCAGCTTGGTGATACCGTAGCCGAGGGCAGTGGCGGTGGTGTCGTTGATGAGACGGAGAGCATTGAGACCAGCAATGTCAGCCGCATCGATCATGGCCCGACGCTGGACATCGGTGAACCAGGCGGGGACACTGATGGTGACATCGGAGACAGGCAGCTTAAGCTCCTTGGAGGTGATGTCCTTGATCTTGGTCAGGAACATGGCAACCAGCTGGGTTGCCGTGAACTTCTCCTTCTTGCCAAGGTAGTTGACCTCAACACCGGCCAGACCATTGACGTCACAGAGGGCCGCGGAGTTATACTGTTGCTCAATCTGGACATCGGGGTCATCGAACGTGCGGCCGATCAGGCGCTTGAGCGAGCCGACGGTGTTCTTCAGGTTCGACGTCTCTCCTGTCTTGGCGGCCTCGCCGATGTGTCTGCTGCGGGCGGTGAATCCGACCAGGGATCTATGCACAAAATTTTCGTGTCAGCGATTCAAATTCTGAATGTGATCGACATCGGGCAGCGGGCGGCATCACTTACGGGGTTTGTCGGTTGGAAACCTCATTGGTGATCTTTTAGACGAGTAAGACTCATGATTAGCTTCAATTCCTCATTGCGATTCTCACCGGGGTCGCAGTTGGAAGAAAGATCCGGCGAGGTTGGACACTGGCGGGGCGATACGTACAATGTCAATACCCTTGTTCCGGGCAACACCGATCTTGGTGCTCTGCGCACCGAGATCAATACCGACAACGCTCATTGTATGAAGAAAATGGGGGGTATAACGGGGGGAGGATGGGTGGGTGGGAGTATGAGGAAGGGTGGTTCAAAGAACGGAAGAGAAGTTTGGAGGGGAGAATTTGCACGCCACTCCACTTATTATTGGCGGGGTGATAAACCGCTGTCTTTCCAAGCGGTCTGAATAATTCTTTTTTTTTTTTCTTGAGAGCCAAAAAAGGAGGAGAACGGTAGACACACGGAATAATACAACTGACTACGCGGCGACTAATACCAGGGCGTTAGCTATATACGGCTTATCATCCGACCTTGTGCGTGGCCATCGAACCTTCTGGCGGGTGCTGGACCCCTTATCGCCAGAAGAGGCGAAGGCAGAAAAAATTGAAAACCCACCGCTTCCGGTGGGTCTTATGTAATGATATCAGCGCTCCACTTGCAATCAAATGCCCTTGTGTATGAAATGTGGATGGCTTTACCCTAGGGATCCTTATACAGTTTACGACACAATTCTAGCGTGAGAAGACCAGGAGATAACAAGTCATGGGAATGAATTTTACCAGGAGATATGGAACAACCTATAAGAATACGATTGTGGCCTGGCAACGTGTCGAAAGGCACGGTGCAGCACGAGAGAAAAGTGGGACGAGAAGGGACTTGACGTCAGGCACCAGATGTATCGTCTTACTACACCATCTCACCGAGTGTAGCAAAGCTCACTGACCTTCCTAGAACTTCTCCGCTCCCTTCCATTGCTGTCCTTGCTCCTTGGGAGTTCCATCGGAGACCCCGGTCACTCAAAATAGAATCAGGGGGCCGAGCAAATGACTGACACTTCAAGGCAGAATCATCCCGGTGATCGAATGACTTGGCGGCGCCCGTATCAACATTGTTCGAGTTCACAATAATAGGCCCCAGAGGAGTGGAATGTATCTCGCCACGGCCTGCCTTCCCGAAATGCATCTTATCCTCCTCTCCAGATTTTGGCGAGCCGCCTGATGCTCGAGCTTGACGGGCGTAGTAGAGCTTTCGTTGGTCTTCCTCACTCATGAGGCTCTCCACATTATGTGGCAGCGAAATTGAATTAGAGCCAGCATCTGAAGACCCACTGAACACCGACTCCACCGAGTTGCGAAACACATGAGGAGGAAAGTAAACCGAAGGATCATCTGGCAGAGGGCCCGAGAACTGCGCCCGAGATGGGCCGGGCTCGTTGGTGCTGACATAGAAGCCGTCGAGAAGTTGCTCAGCGGGCGTGAAGCGCCCTTCGACGTTCTGCGAAGGGCGAACTGGGACGGACCTTCGGCGTATGAGACTGGTGCGAAAGGTGTTTACGTCGACATTGAATTCGTCGCCTTGTGCCTTGGCCTGCTCAATCGCCTCAGCGGGGGTTGTATGATCATCAGCGGTGGCGGCATCGACACGTGGCCCACCCCAGGTGCGCTGTCCAGCGGTGAATATCCCATAAATCATGTATGTCCAGTTGAAGAAAGGGTTGAGAACGAACATCAGCGGGTATAGCCAGGCCTTGAATCGCTTGAGCTGGAGGCCGAAGTAAAACATGAGCAGATAGTTCAGCCCAAGAGAGACCCCAATGAAACCGATGGGAAGATCTGCCACTTTCTTCGAAGTTGTCATGAGAGAAATGGCCAGGATGAAAAACAGTAGAGCCGTGGTCCGGATACTATTTTGCATGAAGCGAACCAAACACAGCAGCGGGTAGCGTTTCCAGAGTCGGACATCAGTGATCATGCACACTTCGTTGGTGATATACCCTAAAAACCATCGACGTCGCTGTTTCAGTAGACTGCTGAAAGTCTGCACAGCCTCGGTCTTGCAAAAGGCACCCATACACATCTGTATCTGATACGGTCTCTTGGCACCAATCATGAACAGATGGGTGAGCCACCGATCTTCGCCGAGATGGCATTTTCCAAAATCAAAGAGATCATCGCATTGCTCAGCCTTGTCGGAAAAGTAATACTTGGCCATCTTGCGAAAGGCAGAGAAGCGCAGGATGGTCAAGGCCCCCGGGAGGCACGTCACAGACCCACAGCCAGATTCGACAGAGCGCTCAAAGAGTTGTCCATGTATGTATTCCATATCCTGAAGGACCGTGATAAGGTTGTTCTTCTTCGTGGTAGAAGTAATGATGCCCGTCATGGCCAGCATGGTGTGCTTGCTCCCCGGCTTCAGCTCCATGTCATACATGAAATTCTGGAGGCACACCCGGTCGAGGATGCAGTCGGAGTCGATGAACAATACAAAAAGATCGTCATGTCGCTTTATGTACTTGGAATAGACATTGTTGATCAGCTTGAACGTGTTCTTCTGGCATTTTCTCTTTCCTCCATGAGGGAAACGCGAGACCGTAACTCGGGCCCCCTTGTATACCACGTCGATACTTGAGGGATATTCTTGCAGAGACACGGGGATCCCAAGATGTTGAATCACCTGCAGGTATGGCTCATCCACTCCACCGCCGTCATAAGACAGAAAGACATGGATGCAACCAGCGGGATAGTCACAATCCACCACGGAGTCGATTGCCTTGATCAGAACGTCGGGCTCCTCTTTGTAAGCCGGCATTACAACGACGGTCTTCGGGGCAGTACGCTCATCCAAATCGTTTTTGACTATCTTTCTCCTCCCTAGCGAGCTGGTGACGAGTCGGTACACACACATGAGCCATGGCCCGATGAGAAGAATCGAAAATGACCAGAATGCAAACCACTGAAAGAAGTAGACAGCACGAGGAGGAAGATGCCGGGACACTTGGCTTGGAAGAGGCAGTGTCACAATCATCACGGGAAGAAAGGCCAAGCTAGCGGTCAGGGTCGTCAGTGGGTTGTACTGAGTAAGGATTCATTTGTCATCGCTTACCGCAACAAGGTGAAAAGAACCGCCATCACCACCGCAAGTACCCGTATACTCCAATGATCGGCCTTCTGGTAGACCTTGATTAGGCAGTAGACGAATGCTGCAAGCCATAGTATCCACTCAAAGAAAGCTGCCAGCATGAGCGGCCCCACGATGGACAGGTACACTATCTGAGATTTGGTTAGCCACAGCTCTCGTAGACAGGCAAAAGAGAGCGTACATCCTTGGTGGCCAACTTCACAGGGCCAAACCCTGACCCAGTATCTCCCTCCATCTCGGCAGCCAAACGGATGATTGACTGTGTCTGCTGCGCCTCACAATCAATGAGTTGCTTACTCAATACATGGAATATGAGAATCTGTATCAACCAGGGGGTAAAGGTGGAGTAGTTGAAATCGATGAGCAGGGTGCTGGTGAGGAATTCGAATCAAAGGCCAGGGATGTGAAGCCACCGGAGCCCCGAGATGCTGCCACCGGGCAAAGGCCTTGAAAGATTTGTAATAACGGTATGATGATACTGAAATGTAAGGCTTTTGATCGGGGAAAGGTAAAGGTAGAGAAAAGTGAATGTCGAGTCGATCGCGTGTCGAGAGTTGAAACAACGGGCATTGCATGGCAGGCGCGATGACTTTAGTTGCCCACGTACGTAACGGTTTCCACACCAGGGCTTCGAGTTACTTTCCACGAACTGTAATTAGAACTTTCTATGCTCTATGCACTCCATTTCCATCTCGATTTCTCTGTCATTATCCAAGCATCGCAAATTGATAACTTGAAGCAGCTGTCACTCGTATAGTTCCTCGTTACGCACTAAGCCCATCCGGGTTAGACTTGCCGCCTGAGGCATCAGCGGAGCTCCCGCGCGCCGAAAAAAAATCGCTCCCCGCTGAGCTCTCTTCTTTCAGACTGATCACTACGAGCGCATTGATTGTCTTTGCGCGTAGGAACTCATTCGCAAGCTTCATTTGGCTCTCCGCACCCACTCCATTGAACCAATCGCTTATCCGACTGTTGAGTCATCCTCTCCGACGAGTCATCCTCCCGCCCAGTGACCTTGTCACCTCGATCCGACCGTAACCGCCTTATACTCTCTATTCACAACCATGTCTGAGGAGCAGAAGACCACCGTAAACGCGGAGTCCGCACAGGATGTCCAGAACGTTCTCGCAGAGCTGAAGGAGGAGAAGCCTTCCACTGAGAACGCCGGCCAGGAGGACGCTAACGAGGCGCGCATCGTCGCTGAAGCCGCCAAGTTGGGAGAGAAGTCCGAGCAGTCCGAAGAGAAGTCGCAGCAGCGCGAGCAGCGCCCTTATCAGCGCGGTAACAAGGTCAACAACTCCAAGTTCGACCCTTCCACCCAGAAGGAGACCGACGACCCCGTTGAGATCCGCAAGCAGGTAAGAAAGAATCTAATCCAGAATGGTCGCATTTTGGTACAGTCCACTGACATAGCCTGAAACAGGTCGAGTTCTACTTCTCCGACTCCAACCTCCCCATGGACAAGTTCCTCTTCTCCAAGGTCGGCGGCAGCACCAACAATGCCGTGCCTCTGAGCATTCTCCACTCCTTTAAGCGCATGCGCCGCTTCCAGCCTTTCAGCGCTATCGTCGAGGCACTCAAGTCTTCCGAGACTCTGGAGCTGGTCGACAACGACTCCGCAGTCAAGCGCAAGGTCCCTCTGCCCGAGTCCGTTAGCCAGGAACACAACACCGATGCCATCAAGGTCTTCGAGGACAAGGCCATGCCCCGCAGCATCTACGCCAAGGGCTTCGGGCGGTTTGGTTCCGAGGAGCCCACTACGCAGCTCGATATCGAGGCCTTCTTCGAGCCCTATGGCCCCATCAAGGCTGTTCGTCTCCGCCGTACCAACGACAAGGTCTTCAAGGGCAGTGTCTTTGTTGAGTTTGAAGACGAGGAGAAGCAGAAGGCGTTCCTGGCTCTCGACCCCAAGCCTCAGTGGAAAGGGGAGGACTTGACCATCAAGAGCAAGAAGCAGTACTGCGACGAGAAAGTGGAGGAGATCAAGGCCGGCAAGGTGCACCCTAGCGCCAATCGGGGTCGTGGCGGCCGAGGCCGTGGCGGTCGTGGCCGTGGTGGCCGTGGTGGCCGTGGCGGTCGTGACCGCAACAACGAACGCGACTGGCGGGATCGTCGCAACGACGACCAGAAGAACGGCTTCCAGGAAAGCCGTGAGGCGCAGAAGGATTCTCGGTAAGCTACGAGTGCGCATTCACTTGAGAAGAAATCTGCTAACAAAGCTGCAATTAGTGGTGTCCCCGTTGTGCAGAGCACCGGTCAGAAGCGTTCCGCCGACGGCGAGGCAAATGGTGACCGCGCCGCCAAGAAGGTGGATGCCAAGGAGTAAATCACCATCAGCATCGCACTTTTCTACGGTCTCTCTTTTCCTCGGTTAATGGGCGGAAACCAAAAGTTTTACGAAACGTTCATCCCTTGTGTTTAGGTGGTTTTTATGGGGCGGACCCCCATCGGCGTTAATAGCACTCGGTTCATAACGATGTAGATGTGTTCCAAATCTTTTCCACTGTTACCGTCAAATATTTTGATAAATTGTGACCTTCCAGGATTCTAGATCGAGAATGACCTACCATGGAAGTGATTACCCAAGAGATCTTTAATAGGAAGCATACTCATATTGATCATGTCTAAAGTAGTTTCAGGCTCAGCCTGAGACCTTCTTCACTCTGGTGCACAGGCACGCAATCAAAACTCCAAGTCATAAGCCAAAGTGTCGTCACATAGCTCTTCCCTCATTTTATGAACTCTACAGGCATTGTCAGCGATATGTTCCTACAGTGAACACGCAGCATCTTACTCCAAGTGAGCCGGATGCACGGCATAAGTTGCAACGTCCTCGGCCTTCTCCAAGACAGCCACGAGTCCCATATCAAAGCCACGAGCGCGGGGAATGCAAATCGACAGAGGCTGGCCAGCCTCCAATGAGACGAGACCTAACTCGTTGCGACGAGGTATTGGTTGATGTCCCTTGAACGACTCAGTACAGTCAACTCACCTGGAATCTTGCCGACCATATCCTTAGCCATCTGCGACCATACTGCGATTTGCGACTGAGTCACGTCCGGCTTAAGGCGGAAAAGCACTGCAGGGTCGGTCAGTTCTCCGAGAGTTGATATTACTGCTAACGGTAATTCCCCGCATTCAGTGAAGAAAGATGAATTGGGACTTGTACATACCGACGTGGTATACCGGCATGGTGTTTATTTGAATCGGTCTCAAAGGGGCGAAGAAGCGAAAGATGTCAGATGCAAAAGCTGGGATATGGTATGACGACGATGGTGCCGATCTGCCGGAGCGGGGGGGATATCGGGAAGGTCGGGAAAGCTCCGATTTCTCAGCAACTTGATGTGCCTTTTGTTGAACGTGTCCTTATGAAATCCGTTGTTATTATAGTTTTTGGTCAATTGAGACTGTTCAGGTTCAAGTACCTGGCCGTTTTATGGGCGCGTGCTGTTCCACTTAAGCAATTTCTGCGATATACTAGAAATCTTATCTCGGAGAAAATGAAGAAAAATTAAAAAAATCAGTCTCCTGGCAATATTCACGGAACGAAGTCGTGTTTAGACCAACTATAGAGAGGTCATCCACGTCGCTGAGCGGCAACAAGATCGAGTGGGTTTTCCACATACCGTTTCAGGCCATACTATTGCAGGATCGATACCTCCGTACCCAAACTCCAACGCAAACAGTACATTGTGAGCGAATTCATCACCGAGTCTGCCGGGAAGCAGCTCGCAGAACTTGTCGCTCGTCATAGCCACCGTAATCTAAGCCTTGAGTTTCGCAAAAGATTCGGAGGTAATTTAACCACGACACGTATTCTCCAACAGCAAACAAGAAAAGGGCTGGATTAGGCCATCAAGGCGGAGAATAGAGGACCAAAAGTAGGAATGGACGTCATGCATGTCGGCCAGATATTTGCATAACTCAGATCTAGGTCATATCTATTCAAAGATAAATCCCGCCTATTATCAAAGCCTTGGAACCAATTTACAATGGAAGGGTATGGAGCTCTATAGGAGGCTTGGGGGCTACTGTAGGTGTGTACACTTTCCTTGTTCTCGTGCGAATGAGTTATTGTTGATGGTATGAAGCAAACGCAGAGGGCAGTGGTCATAGGATTCTTTCAGGATCTACAATAAATAGGGTAGAGAAGGTCTAGGTGAAGGGTCCTTAGTTAGTAGGCTATAATATATAGGCAATTCGAAAGGATCAAAAATACAAAAAATATACAGCAGCCAAAGTATGGTAGTAGTCACTGGGAGTCGCTTGACAGGGTGTGGGTGGCTCAAAACTCTATTCAGACGCAGTGATCACCTATTTTCCTGAAACTCCACCAATGTTCATCACAGTTTTTAAGCAATGTCTCAGACTTACCTGATAAAAGTCAATGTATAGACGCATAGTGAGTGAGGAGTCTCGACAATGAATATTCTTGGAATGAGAATCCTTGCAAAGGGAAAGCAAAATAGAAAATAAACAGAATGAGTCAGAGTGTTACAAGCAGCGAAGGTATGGAACAATTGGGAGACGTAAAGATGATCATTTTGTAGGGTTCCTGAACTGGTTAAGAGTAATCAATCACACAAAAAACGGCGCGGTCTGAGCACTAAAATGGAAGGGAATGCTAAGAAGAAGTGGCAGACGAAATCCGGTACTCAGGTATCGAAGAGTACAAGCAGCTTCTTCGATTTAACGTTGAATCAGTGGTACGCCCCCTCGTTGTGACAGCTGTCTATTTACTGCAGGCCGAATGGAGGTGTAAATCCTCGGAGAATTCCCGAGTGCCTCTCTCACACGGGGTATAGGCCGATCAGATCAGCGAGTCATCACAACTCACCCCGCATAAGATCGTCCGGACCGTTCGGCCGTAAGGAGCTCCAGGTAACTTAGTTCCCTAAATCCCCGCGGTAGCGTCCACCCATATACCCTAGGGTTGATTCCCTTCGAGTCCCGTCGCCCCGAGTGAAATTCATCATCTGGAGTACTTCGCATATTAGCCATTGTTATATTTGCAGTACACTGGATCTCTTCACATTCTCAAAAAAAAGAACAAAACATTTCTTCAAATTTGCTCTTCTGCAATATTCCAATGATGAGTGGCTCGGCAGATTTTGCTCGTCTGGTAGCATCGGCTGGTGTCCCGGCTTTTAATTGTCCTCCTGGGACCAAGATGCGTATCCTGGACCTGGGAACCCTGGAGGCAGACGAGTCATGGTAGGTTTGCGCGTTTGAAGCTAGTTTCAAGACGTTAATGCGAATGGCAGGATTCTTCGTGGCGGCAATACCAGCACGCTATCTAACAAGAACCCGGAGAATAAACGTCGTCAACTAGTCGTTCTTTCAGCCTTAATCGAATACCCTGGACTTGGTCTTATTCTATATGAAACCGGTTGCGCAGAAGACTTAGAAGTGGTATGTTCACTCGAACCCTCTTATCTTTCGCAAATTTAACGCTGAAGTAGATGTGGCCAGCCCCGGTGACGGACATTTTCCCTCGTATCGAGTATTCCGAGGAGAAAAAACTGCCGGCTGCGATCAAAGCCACCGGGAACGACATCAAAGATGTTAAGGCGGTAGTTATCGGTCATCTCCACCTAGACCATGCCGGCGGTCTCGAGCATTTTGTTGACACCGACGTGCCGATCTACGTCCACGAGGAGGAATTCAAACACGCCTGTTGGGCAGTAGCAACTGGAGCAGACTTGGGCGTCTACTTGGGAAACTATATGCTCCTCGACAGACTCAAATGGAACACATTCACCGAATCGCAGCTGGAGCTTTTCCAGGGCATTACTCTCCACCATTCACCCGGGCATACACCCGGACTATGCATAATGCAGGTCAATCTTGAGAAAGATGGCACTTTCATTTGGACCACCGATCAATTTCATGTCGCGGAGAACTATGATCAAGGCCACCCGCACGGTGGGCTTGCGCGGGATCATACTGCATGGGTTCGCAGCCTGAACATGATTCGACGACTGCAGAGGCTTTTCAACGCGAAACTCATTTTTGGTCATGATAGAGATGTTGCAGCTAAGTATATGACTGAAAAAGCATTCTACGAATGATATGGACCCGTTGGGAAATTAGGATACTCTTGGTTCCATTTTATATAAATGTCAACAGAGCAATCTGTCGCTTGATGACAGCTGCGCAAAAGTGACAGACGTACAAGGGCTGCCCAGAGACTTAATCCTCCTTTTCGGGCCCAAAAGATGTTTTCGTACTTCAATCAGCTATATGGCCAATGAATCCGTGTCTTTGCGGAATTGAACCGCACCGCAGAGGGCTGTATTATCATAGCGGCCTCATTCCACACAGGGACATCCCATAGACATCGGGTTAGTTCCAGAGAATCAGCCGAGTAGCCTACATGTGAGCTCTCTATAACATCCGTCATTCTCATAGCCATGTTCTAAAGATACAAGGGCGTAGGCTGGGTCTAGGAGCAACTGAATGATCTCTTGGCGACCTTGAGCTAAGGCTGCTTGGAGCACCGTCCCATACCATCCACCCTTGGTATTCACATCGATTTTTCCGTGGAAGAGCGTATATATCATGAAATAAAATCCAAGTCAAGAGACGTAGTACAAAGGAGGCAGCACCATGGCTCCACTTTTACAGCTATGACGCTGTCGACATTCGAAAGAGTTACCCAGTTGTGAATTTAAAACACCAGGAGATTGCTTTAGACGATATTTCTCTACCCATGAATGCTGTAATTCGGTAATTGTGTCAAACGGTAACAATGGCCGGCTCCGAAGCACGTCTATTTCCAATGACTCCTCCTTTGCGTAGTTGCGATATCACTTCCGACGTAAGTCCAAGTTCTTGAAGCACGTCGTCAGTATGCTGACCCAAGGAAGGCGGTCCTTCTCTGATTGATGGTTTCGATTTGCTGAACTTCACGGGCATTCCTGTAGCATAAGTCATTAGTCGTAGTACCACATATTTTTCCATGATGACCTACCGAGAACCTTGACGTTTCCTGACACGGCCTCGGATTGCTCAACAGTCTGCACCATGTTCCTCGCCGTAGTTTGTGGGTGTGAGAAGACCTTTTCCAAGTTGTTGATTGGACCATATGGCATCCCACTCCCTTCAAAGATCTTTTCCCACTCACTCGTTGACTTGAGCACGAAGAGTCCATCCAGTATGTGCTTCAGTTCATTCCGATTCTGAACTCGAACATTATTATCCACAAATCGAGAATCAGTACACAATTCCTCCTTGCCGAGATAACCACAAAGCGTCTTGAACTGCCTGTTGTTAACCGCACCGACAACAATAAACGAGTCCTTTGTTTTGAAAGCCTCATATGGAACGATGGTTGGATGGCCTGTGCCCCAACGATGCGCTTCTTTTCCAAGATTCATCCACGACATTCCTACGTTGGCGAGAATCGAGACAGTGGTCTCGAACAACGAGGTGCCGATCTTTTGTCCGTGGCCCGTTCTCTCCCGTGCAAGTAATGCCGACGCGATCGCACCGTGAAGGTACAGGCCGGTGCACATGTCCATTAGTCCGACGCCAGGTTTTGTGGGAGGGCCATCTGCCTCTCCTGTTATATGGAGCAAACCGCCCTCGGCTGCCCCGATTACGTCGTAGCCTGCACGCTGTGCATACGGTCCCTCGGCACCATAGCCTGGAACTGGTAGTCAGGAACCATAATCGAGGGAAATTAAAGAAAGAACAAACCGGAAATGCTCGCTAAGATGATAGACGGGTTTATAGATTTCAAGACATCGTAACCGAGGCCCATTTTGTCCAACTTCCCGGGGATGAAATTCTCCACTCTATGGCGTTTTGTTAGGTATCTTCTACCAGATGAACATGCTTCAATTTCCGAAGAGACTTACATAACGTCTGCTTTGCGGGCAAGGCCCAAGATAATATCCCTCCCTTTTTCATTCTTCAAATTAACCGCAATCGAGCGCTTGTTTCGATTGATCGTGTTGAAGTAGATGGAAGTATTAGAAGCATCTGGTTTCCAAATAGCTTCCTCTCCAGCTTCACGCCAGAGTCTAGTGTCGTCCTAAATGCAGTATTAGTGATTTCGAAGGCCCGCATTATCGGGCTGTTGGGAATGAAATAGGAATGAGACTTGTAGACTCACTCCTCCCTGTGGATTTTCGACTTTGATCACATCTGCACCATAGTCTGCCAATATTTGTGTGCAAAATGGACCCTTTCATTTTATTAACATGTTCAGCCCGCAATTTCTCAAAGGTCTCTTACCGCTAGAACACGAGTCAAATCCAGAATTCTAACCCCAGCGAGTGGACCGGCAGAGGTGGCTTTGGCTGTCGAAGTATGATTCCTGCGTAGGCTCAGCCGAATGGAAGTCGTGAGAGTTTGCCTCAAAAGGCATTGTGAAGGCAGTCTTCCAACAGTTCGAGGAAGGCTATACATTGTCAAAGTCTACCTGTAGAGATTAGATGTCTGGCGGTTCGAGATAGGTCATGAGACGTTACTAGATTTAGTAATACCCATAGAACTGCAGAGTCAAAGGTAATCTAGGTCCGAGTTACCCAAAAACCTAGGTCTTCTCGAAGTGTGGTTCACATGGGATACGTTCTCCAAGCCCAATAGTGCGCACCAAATAGTGCGGGGATTCACCCCGGACATCCTCGGGGTTCGGCACCAAAGCCCAGAATGCCACTGTGCGGTTTCGGACTTTCGCCCGAACACGCATCAAGAAGAGTGACCTCGGTATTTCTCGGCGATGATCAGTCCTCACACTCAGTCTGTCTAACACTGGGGTTTAAATTTATCACTTGGGCTTTCCGTAGGCGATGAACCACTAAATATCATGGCATCTCTGGCACGGGGTCTGACCGTTAGTTACTCCCTTTCACCGATTGGAGGTATCAATGCTAACGCGACCTTCAGTCACGGGCATCAATCGCAAATTCCGTGCTGAGGCCTTATTATGAACGGCTTATCGGTCCTAACAAAGGCCGGCGATATGCCCACACCCATGCACGAGCAGTTGAATATCTTCAAAACCACGATACCGATTTGACAGAATCACAGAGAACCGTACGCGAGGCTATCACTAAGACCTGCGCCAATTATTCCGACGAATATTGGTTGAAGCAAGACGAACTCAAGAAATTCCCCGCTGATTTCCATCGAGCCCTAGCTCAAGATGGATGGCTTGGTATCTGCATGCCACACGAATATGGTGGCTCGGAGCTGGGCATTGCTGAGGCAGCCGTGATGATGCAAACAATCTCCGAGTCAGGAGGAGGAATGACCGCTGCCTCTTCCGTACATATGAATATCTTCGGCCTAGAACCAGTTGTCAAATTCGGGACCGAGGAACAAAAGAAGCGTTGGCTTGAACCTTTAATTGCGGGCAAAGAGAGAGCCTGTTTCGGGGTCACTGAACCAAATAACGGACTTGATACTCTGAAGCTACAATCTCTTGCCCGAAGGGAAAAGAATGGCGATTATTATAATTTATCCGGGCAGAAGATATGGATCTCCACTGCGCAAAATGCTCAGAAGATCCTAATCCTAGTTCGCACCACACCCCTCGACGAGGTGCAAAAGCCATCGCAAGGCCTCTCGCTGTTTTACACCGACCTTGACCCCTCCGTCGTGGAAATCACGGAGATTCCAAAAATGGGCCGAGCAGCCGTCGATACCAATACCCTATTCTTCGAAAATTGGCGGGTACCAGCCAACGACATGGTCGGCAAAGAAAACGATGGATTCAAGATCATTCTCCACGGAATGAACGCAGAGCGCATCCTCATCGGAGCTGAGGCCTTGGGCCTCGGCTACGCTGCTTTGAGAAAGGCAGCCATCTACGCGGGGGAAAGAGAAGTGTTTGGGCGGGCAATTGGAAAAAATCAAGCCATTCAGCATCCTCTCGCAGATAGCTGGATGAAGCTGGAGGCTGCACGCCTTATGATCTATCATGCGGCGCGCATGTACGACCAAGGATATGCAGGGGGCGAGTATGCCAATGCTGGCAAATATCTCGCCGCTGAGGCTGCTTTTGAGGCATGTGAGAGGGCGGTTTTGACGCATGGTGGGATGGGCTATGCGAAGGAGTATCATGTGGAAAGGTATCTACGTGAGGTGTTTATTCCTAGGATCGCTCCAGTCAGCCGGGAAATGATCTGTAACTACATCGGTGAACGGGTGCTGGGCTTGCCAAAGTCATACTGACGAGGTGTGGCGTATGGTCCCTGGATCTGAGGAGGAACAGCCGAAGGAAATTGACTTCAATACCTAAGCGTCGAACCTACCTTGGTAACGTTACCGTTGTTCTTAGTGACTCAGCCTGCATCAAACAACAATGTGTAGCTCGTATAGCTCCGCGACGGTTTCCCGTTTGGGGATGTGGAGAAGCCTGGCTTTTTTGTCGACATCGGTCTGACTCAACTCGACGACTTTGTCTCACCCACGTTCGTGACACCGCCTGCTTTCCGGTATTTAACAGCTCGAGTGAGTAGCGGTAGAGCTTCCTGATCAGCTCTCCATGCTATCTGGCGTCCTTGTCCTTCATAATGTTTAAGAAGAAGCCTACGGTAACTGATCACCCTCTCCCCGCACTACCCCTCCTTGAAAGCTATCGACTGCGCTGCCTCGACAACAACGCGCCATGTCTCTGAAATGAAGTGTACTGACATCATGTTAGATCAAGAACTTGTCTCCGTTGCGGTCTTCCGACCGGAGGAAGATCGCCGACCAGATCATCAAAGACTACCAGATCTCCCTACCCTCCGAAACAACCTCCGATGCACCCAGTGCAGGCTCTGCCCCAGTACCTACCCTCTCCTCAATCAGAAATTCTCTCCTTCCTGAGAACTCTTTGACCGCGCGCTTCACTACAACCGCTGGTCCGGATTTACGAGAGGTTCAGGGCATCGTGTACGTTGGCGCTCATCCAGGCGAGGAAGAGCGAGTATTGTGGTTCAAAGTGGAACATGGCCCTGGATACACCAAACGTCTCTATCCTACTGTCTACACACTATGGAATAACCCAAATCTGGTTCCATTGTTATATACTCCGGAGATGGTGATGCGGAAGCTGCATGGTGGAGCGGATCTCATGACGCCCGGCCTTGCGAACGAGCCTCCATTCCCAGCGAAGGCCGTAAAGGATTCAGTTGTTGCTGTCGCAAGCTGCGATAAACACACGGTTCCGGCATTTGTGGGTATTTGTGAGATTGATGTCTCAGCACTTGGTGAAGTCCAGGGTACAAAGGGTCATGCTGTTCGAGGTCTTCACTGGGAAGGTGATGAGCTGTGGGCCTGGAGCTCAACGTCACGGCCTGGGCGTCCAGCCCCCGAGTATATCGAGGGATGGGATGACGAAGACATCGATGAGGTTGAGCAAGGTGTTGGTGAACTGACGCTTGATGAGAAGGAAGATGGGCCTATCGAGACCAGTGATGAGACACACAGTGAAGAGGCTTCAGCTGTCGTGGAAGAATCTACGGTGGAGGTTGAGGAGCCTTCGACAAAAGGTATGTGCCCTTTCACGCTTACTTACAACTCTAGTGCACCTATTCACAATGTTCAGAAATCGACGAGGCCTTCATCAAAGCCTTCATCTATTCCCTCTGGAAACTCAAGCAGGATAATCCATCCGCCCCTACCCATGGCCTGACGTTGCCAGTCTCGCCATCGGTCTTGATTGCCAATCTGATCACGCCTTACCTTCCGATCTATTCAGCACAGGAAGTGCAATTTTACACAATCAAGAAGACCAGCTGGAAGAACGTCAAGAAGTTTATCAAATATCTCGACAAACTGAAGCTTATCAAGGCCAAAGATCGCAGTGGCCAAGAGACTTACGTTTGGGATGTCGACTTTGACGACCAACGTGTGGATAGATTCGTTCCATACAAGCTGCCATCAAAGGCGGCCTTGGAGAGCGGCAACAAGCCAGCTGCTTTGGAGGGTAAAAAGCTTGCTACAACTGGGGATGCCGATCCAACAGTTGGGCAATCACTTACCGTTCAAACCCTGTACCGAGCAACATCGAAGCTCTCGCCAGATATTTTTCCATCTCTTCCCGCCAGCAACCCCAAGAACTACTACACGTACTCGGATGTGTCAAGTCATCTGGATAAATACCTCCAGTCGCAAGACCCACCAATCGTCACCAAAGAGAACCGACGAATCATCAACCTCAACCCCTACCTCGCAAACACCGTTTTCACATCAGGCTCCTCCGAGGATCAAGGTACACTGAAGCGCGGCATGGTGACACGCGACGGTCTACTTAAACGCATCACGGAAGACACTTCAATGTTGCAACCGCATTATGCCATCTTGAAGCCAGGCCAGACGCTGGCAGATGTCAAGCCCAAGGCGGGTGCGACGCCTAAGGCCCAAATCACCATTGAGAAGCGCACAGGCTCGAAGGTTGTCACCAAAGTGACGAACCTGGAAGTCTTTGGCATCATCCCCAGTCTCTTGGCGGAGGAGCTGCAGAAAAAGTGTGCCAGCAGCACCAGTGTCACACAGGCCAATGGTGCCCCCAAGGGTGTAATGGAGGTCTTGGTGCAGGGCGATCAGCGAAAGGCCATTGACACGGCCCTTGTCCGTCGTGGTTTGAAAAGTCAGTGGGTGGATGTCGTGGACAAATCCAAGAAGAAGAAATAGATTTGTATGCACTCATCTAGACTCGCAATATACCACAACCTTGGAATGGAACATTGAATGCATCTCGAGATTCTGGTGCATGCTTTCTGAGGGAATACTATACTCTATATTTACGTAGCAATAGTTTGCGCAGTCTAACAAGTCCATCCATTGGAAGTATATAAAAAGAAAAGGACCCAGAAAAGCCTAGGCCTGTCGTCCCCTTGAACAAGGAGGGAAAAGAGAGCAAATGTAACTATTGTTACATATCGACTCGGTCCAAAGAAAATACCTCAAAGACCAGATACCAGATCCTGATCCAGACAAAGAAGAAAGAACCTAATCCATCATTGCCGCGCAATGAAAATGAAGGCGTATGATGTTGAGGTCAGAGCAGCTCGATTGATTCAAAGAGATGCTGTAGCTGCGCGGGCATGGTATAATCGAGCGTAGAGCGTGCACACTTGAAAAAGCGACTAGTCTTTCTTAAATGTCATTTCCAAGTCAAATTGTCACTGGCGAGCTATCAAAGATATTTTCAAGCCGCGCAGGTGGAGCCAAGACCAGGTGCAAAAGGTACAGCCCAGGGCTCTAACTCTTGTGTTCGCCATTTCGGAGACTGCTGATCTCACATCTCGGCATTAGTGATGATCGTCGAACAAAATGTTCACGTCATCTTGAAAGGCTGAGCCCCATTCAAGAATCAATCATTTATCTCCCCTGTGGCGATGGAGGGGGAGCTGCAGCGCGCATCTGGGGATTTATTCTGAAACCTTCGGCGGGCTCGGCACGCTGCACATAGCGGAGTCTTAAAAGCACTCTGGACCTGTGCGGTATGAATCCTTCATTGGAAAGGCACCCTGGCCAAGACATTTGCATATAGTCCAGGTCTAGGACCGAACCGCCTTGACCGTTTAATCTTATTATAGGCGGCCGTTATTATTTGTTTTTCCTGGGCTGGAATTGGAGAGTGGCATTTGCGCTGGACGGTCCGGAGGAGGCATGTCAAGGAGGGAGCGAGTCAAACGAAAGGGCAATCACTCCTGTAGAACTTGCAAGACAGTTATTCATTTATCCGATGGGTTGACGGTTAATTTTAGCACTCTCAACACCATGGAGGCAAAAATGGCCCCCACGAGGGCCTGGACGCAGGTCTGAGCGCAGCCAATCCATTCCTAGGGCAGCCAGGAGGTTCTGGCCGATGGGCGGCATAAGAAGCGGCTCTATAGCCGACGAATATCGCCGATATCCTCCCGAGGAACGCGTCTCTCTGAGTTGGACCCAATCCAATTGAGTTTCGTCGGTGGTGTGCATACGGGTTGCATAACAACCTGGCATGGTGGCTCTTGGACCGTCTACTAGGCCGTTTCTACTGATAGCGTGAGTGATTTACAGCCGGTGATAGGAAAAGTGTATGCAGCAAGGATTGCGAGAAGGCCATGTTGTCTCACAATCGAGGTTACTCAGGGGCCCGCGGACATTAGGAGAATGGCGATAGCGTAACACAAACCGTGAAAGCATGATAGCCGGACTCGTATTCGTCATCAACAATCTACTTGGAAGGGTGTGCTCATGCAGCGTCTAAGTAAGCACTGGCGGGCCAGTCCGTGTCGGAAGCGAGGGGCAAAAGTATCGTGAAAGTATCTCGCAATGTCGATCATTCTGCCCATCTGAGTTGGATCCATTGAGGGTGAAGATAGCAAGGAATTTAGGGCAACAACAGATGATGCCGGGATAGCACACCCGTGTCAGATACCCCAAGGCGGGGAGGCCCCTTAGGACAATGATGATTGTTTCCCAAGGAGCGAATCGGATGGATGCCACGTAAGACGAAAAACACTTTGAGGTCACCGTCTTGGTCACCGCTTTTGTTGCCTGAGGTGTCTGTTTGATCGCACCGTCGAGCTGTCTGATCTGCCCGGTTGAATACTAGTTGCATGAACTTGACATAGGTTCACATCATATCTATACTGGGATATACGGAGAACACCATCTCGAGTCCGAGTGTGAGGCATCAAGTGTCATCTCGTCTCCCACGTTGTTCCCGTGTTGCGGTTCTGCCGGTCTCGATTGGCACTCACAGTTTTCCCGCTCTCCTTTCTCGACTCCACAAGGCAGTCACTTTCCCTTGACCCCGGCACTCAACCACTCGCCTATCCTCACTCTTGTCCCAGGAGTCATGGTCTCGGGAGACCGATCCGGGTACACCGCGTGATACAACTCTTCTACTGCACGAGTCTTTTGTTCGCCGATCGACTCTTCCCCCGGCCCGCTTCCCCAACAATCCACACGCGATCATCCATCAGGATCCAGAACACGGCGAAGGTTGCAGGTCGCACATACTTCCCCTGCCTTCGAGGACGAGTGATTCAAGGCACGACGAAGCATGGGACCGACAGAGAATCCCTCCTCTCCCACCTTCCCTGCCCTGGACCCCATCATCATGGACGATGAGATGGAGACCACCTTCCGCAACGTCAACATGGATTTTCTTGACCCCACGAAACTGGACATGCCCTCGGAGACGGCTGGAGGAGCCTTTGACGACCTCTTCTCCCATGTCACCCACTCCCGCTCTAATGCCGCTCCCGAGTCCTCTAAGCATCTCCTGAATCAGCACCCCCTGAGGCAGCCGCCTGCCATGGCCGCTGATTCCCCGGCAGAGTCCCCGGACAACTCGAGCCGCAGTTCCTCATCGGAGTCACCCCGAACTCATTTGCGCCAGGCCTCGATCGCATCCACAAACTCCGCCGCCCACAGCGAGAACCCATTGTCAGCCACCGGTTTTCCCTCTGAGGACTGGATGCGTCCCGACTTGGCTTCGGTCAAGGAGGAATCTCCATTCACAATAGAACCGTCTTACCCTATGGATGGCAGCTTTCCGGACTTGGAGTCTAGCAACAAGGCGATGGATGCGGCATTCGATTTCGAAAGTGCGGCGAGCAGCCCCAGTCCGTTGAAAACCGATAACCCGCCTCAGCCCAATTCTCAGCACCTAAGCAAGTCACACCTTTGGAGTCCGTCAAGCGTTTCAACTGTACCGGCATCAAACGATGCCCCGGTAGCACCATCAGTGAGTCATCCCAATCCCCGGTATGCTTCGACATGTTCTAATTTATGCTCCAGGTTCATACACCCGGGTCCCCCTTCTTCTCCTTTGGACTGAAAGAACAATCTCCTTTCTCGGGGTCTGCTCACGGTCTGTCCGCTCCGCAATGGACCGGGCAGTCCCCATCCTCGCTTTTGGAAGAGAGTTTCGGTGGCATCGATATGAACGGACAGTCCCCGCTCAACCCTTCTTTATCGCATAGCATGAACTTTTACTCCCCCGGCTCGTTACCGTTCCCGGCCAATCTCGTGTCTTCCCCGGCCCAGCATCAGATGGATACCGCGAATAACTTGCAGCCTGTTCTGACAGTCCATCCGACATCTCTCAAATCTCGCGTCGAGACCCAAATTCCCATCCGATTAACGCTCTCTCCACTGCCAGCCGGCGTGAAAAAGTTGCGCCTGCCGTCACACACCATCTCCAAACTCAAATTCCTCGCCCCTCCTTCTACCGAATCTACTCCCGACACTCTCCGATTGCATACCAGTCTGGTGTGCTCGAGCGCAATGCAGGACCGAGAAAAGTTAAAGCGGGCCTTTGCTCGGACACGGGGTGAGCGGAATGCGAATGGCATCGAGGAGGAGCGGCCATTGGATGGTGGAGATGTGAAGATTTGTGGAGGTTGTATCCAAAGAGAACGCAAGCGCGCTTCTCGCAAAAAGCAACGAAAGCCTGAGGAAGATGAGCTGTTCCAGAAAGATGAGGAGAAGCGCGTGATTGTGTTCAACACGAGTGAACTCAAGGAATGGACAGAACCGCCCAAAAACACTTCTTCTGGCTATAACGAAATGCCGTCAGCTCCCCCGGGATCGATGCAGGTAGAGTTGCCAATGCGCATTGCATGCTACTGCCGGCATCAGAACGAGAAGCTTGGGTTCCAGGTCATTTTCACGGTTAAGGATCACATGGACAACGTTGTTGCTCAGGCCATCACAAATTCCATCATGATCACCGACGATCACAAAACGCAGGCTCCATCTGCACCTCCCACGGGTCCTGCAGCAGCTCTGTCAGACGGATCTTCGTTGCCTGGTGCTGGTGTCTTTTCATCCGGTCTAAATGGCGAGAACGGCAAAGCCAATGGTGCATTTGCGTCACCACAGTCCCCCACTGACCTTCAAGGTCTCCAGCAAAGGTTCAATTCGCAATACCAACTGACACCGAGCTCATTCGCTACAGCTCAGTCCTCAACCAATGGCGTTTCATCGAACTCTCAAACACCTCGAAGCCTATCTCGACAGGCTTCGCCAACAGATTTCCAGGGCCCGCAGACCAAGAGGCGGAAGCACAGCAGTTCAGCAAGACTGCCCTCGGAGCTGACGATGACTCGGATGGAGACACCTCAATCATCGAGTTCAGCTATGAACAATGCTGCACAGCTCGCCGCTGCCCGCGGTTTCACTTCACCAACAGAGAGGCCGTTTGTGACACCAACGGCTATGTCCGGGCAATATGGAAATGGACCCCCGACGCCTAATCAAAGCAACGATCACAATCCGTTCTTCAACCCCAGGCCTGCTCAACGACAAAGCTTGGACAGCCTGGCTCAACAACCTATGGGATCTGCGCCTAACTCGGCACAGCCCAGTCGTCCCGGCACCCCTGGTGCTTCTAGCCGCAACGGATTCCAGGATCAGAACCTTGCTCTCGCGCTTGGTGCCAACTCTGCAAGTCAAATTTGGCCTTCACTCGCTACTACTCCCAACCGGTTGCCGTCGGTGATCCACAAACTTGTGCCTGCTGAAGGTTCAATTACCGGAGGTACAGAGGTTACATTATTGGGCAGTGGCTTCTACCCTGGTATGGAGGTTGTCTTTGGTGATACTCTCGCAACTACCACCACATTCTGGGGTGATAAGTGCCTTAACTGCTTGACCCCTCCTGCTCTTCAGCCAGGGTTGGTGTCAGTGATGTTCAAACACGAGCACCCGACTTTCGGTCAAGTGCAGCAACCTCAGACGCTCATGCCCAAACAACAACTATTCTTTAGATATGTGGATGACCGCGAGCTGCAAATGTATCGCCTGGCACTCAACATTCTTGGACAAAAGCTGGGCAGTCAAGCGGATGCATTCCAGACAGCTCAGCAGATCATGGGAAGCGACCCAAATGCTATCTTTAACATGCAAAAGGATATGCAGGGCGGTGGCTCCTCTGGTGGTCATCAGCGACAGGTGCCAGGGCACGAATCCCAGGGCAAGCTCAGCGATCTTGATTCCAAAATGCTGACTTATCTGGAATTCATCGACTTGGACGACAGCCCGCGGCCCCCACGCTACAACGCTCGCAACACAACCGGTCAGAGTCTTCTTCACTTCGCGGCTTCGTTGGGTTTGACCCGATTCGTCGCCGGACTTTTGGCGCGCGGAGCCAACCCTGATGTACAAGATAACACGGGCAATTCACCTATGCATCTGGCCGCTCTGCATGGTCATGCTCACATCGTTCACCGACTTCGTCTGACAGGTGCCAATGCCAATGCCCGCAGTGTGCGAGGCTTCACTCCTGCCGACTTGGCGACCACCCTCACTGCCCACCAGGCTGCTTTGCTTCCGTCTCGTCACTACCGGTCTCGCAGTGTTGGATCCCTCGGCTCCCGCCGCAGGCACAGCAGCACTGCGTCTCTCAACTCCCTTTGGGAGGCCTCGTCGGCTTCTGGCTCATTGGGCCATGCCGTCGACGACTCGAGCGATCTGGAAGATGACGAGGATAGCGAGGACTCTGATGGCAATCCTCTTCATTTGAGCTTGTCACGACGATCAAGCATGCATCAAGATGTCATTCCGCCGGTCATGGACACTGTTGAATCCCCTGCGACACCGGGCGATGCTCGTGGGTTCTCTACGCCAGAAACGATCGTCGCATGGCGGAATCAGCTGGCTGCACAGATTCATCAGTTCCAGCAGAGTGTGGCCAATGCCTTCCCCAATATTCCTGCTCTGCCTCCCATGCCCGCGCTGCCGGATTACCAGGCCAACCAAATGATGCGTCGCATCACTAATCTGGTGCCTAACCGACCTACCGCTCGGGATGGATGGTGGGATCTATTGAAGGGCAACACTGCCCAGGGTCACACTCAACCCCCGTCCTATGATGAACTGTACCCACACCAGCAGGATTCACCGGAAGAGGCCGAAATGAAGAAGTCTGCTCTTCTGCGTGCAGCCACTGAGGCGGCTTTGGACCAGCACTTCGAAGCACAGACCAATGTTGGCTCTGCGTCCGCATCTACATCAGCCGCTGCTACTACAACCGAGCGTCCTGCATCAGCCAAGGACGATCTCAAAGACATCACAATCGGCCGAAAGGTCATTTCGCGTGAACAACAGAAGCACCTCCGAGAGCATCAGGCCCGGCGAATGAAGGGCCTGGGCAGCGACCGGAACCTCTACTTTGTTTGGGTAAGTCTTTACTCATCCTCTGGTTAAACCATCTCACTAATATCATTTTAGATTCCCCTTCTGCTTCTTGTTGTTTTCGCATGGATTCGCAACTATGTGCCCGGTATCTGGCAAGGCGTCACGGAAACCTATGATTTTGTGAAAGCTCGCGCAACACAGCGGGCTGTGGAAATGGGCATTTAGGGATATTTTCTTTTGTTTAGTTCTTTTTCCCCTTGCTGTCTTTGGGTCCGGTGTTTCCGTCTGAGCGAGTTGTCTGCTCTCAGCCTTTTCTTGTGCCTCTTTGGCCTTCTATTTTTTATTTTTTTTTTCATTAGCTCTGCGTATAATGATAGACTACGACTATATACATTCAACTTGAAAGGACGAAATAGCCCTTTTGGTTAGCTTGCATAGATAAATTGTTCACACAATTGAGCTCTTTTACAACAATACCGTTTCAAATTTCCAGGCGTTGCTCCTTATCAGAAGTAGATAGAGACTTAATGGAATTCAATTACTGCGAGCACTGATTCTGTGGAGGCTGATTATAATACAATCTCATAAGACTCCGAGGTCAAAATAAAGACGGGTATTCTGATCAGTTGAAATGTCTTCCTTGTTCGCAGAACCCAAGAAAGCCAACATTGTATAGATGGAGCCACTATTTCGCATCGGGAAATGCGAAAGGCGCAGCTGAGTCAGTCATCCGGTCAGGTGCTGATCCAGATTGCGCAGTGGTAGAGATCATGAACATGACCTAATTTCAACATCTTGGGGCCTTGAAATTTGTGTGGCATATATGCATATTCACATCAGACGTTCCATGCTATGGAGGAACGTGTAGAACCACGTCGGGATGAAGAGTTCAATTCCCAAGGGCCACCCACCGGACAGCAGATCGCTGAGGAACCATACTCGTCAAATTTCGGGTATGTTCCTCTATTGAATCTATTGTTCGTGTACATCAGCTCATTGTTCCCACAGCTACATTTCTCCATCATTGATGGGAGTCCCATCCTTTGACGGTCTGCCTGATCTGCCGGTCTTTCAAGAGCCTCTATGCGGGGTTGATGGGCCCGTTGAGAAGCTGGAGACGAATACGCCCGATATAATGGAGTCTGGCAATTTCATTTATCCATTTGATGACCTAGAGAATGCTTTCGATTCGGCGTTTCGTCTTCCAGAGACGTCCTCTCTTTACTACTCCAGCGTTGATGGAATGGAGGCAGTGAGTCAAGACCCACTGGCCATCCCAAACAGCGATCCATCGCCATCTTTCTCCAATGAATTTGAGCTACACAGCGAGCCTTTTCATCAAATTTCTGATACAAGCACTGAAGGATGGCATGTCCTCAATCCTCTGGATCGCTGGAAAAATTCACCCCCGGAGATGGAAGCCGCGTATCTGACGGATATCATGGACTCCGTGGCTCGCTCGAATGGCAGTCCATCATCCAGATCACGACCAGGCCCTCAGAACCCAACAACTTCCCATCGCCGAGGCCAAAAATGGCACGGACATTCTCCGTCAGTTGCAGTATCCGAGTCCACCAGGTCAAGTGCCTCGAGTAGCTCTGCATCTTCCGTTCACAGCTTTGGCTCCGATCAATCTGGATCATTCGGTCGATTCTATGTGCGCGAACCGACACGTCGTCGTCGGCGACGCAACCGAAAGGGTTCACCGGTGCTGCACGTCCGTTCCGACCAACGGACTCAACGGCGTCCTTACCAGTGCACTTTCTGTACAGACACTTTCAAATCAAAGTATGACTGGACTCGACATGAGAAGACCTTGCATTTGTCACTGGAGAGTTGGGTTTGCGCACCGTTCGGACCGACATACGAAAATGAATCAACCGGCACGCCACGTTGCGCCTTTTGCGATGTCGACAACCCATCGGATAGCCACATCCAGGAGCATCATTATTGGGACTGCCAGGCCAAGCCGTCTTCATTGCGAACATTCTATCGAAAAGACCACCTCCGTCAGCACTTACGTCTAGTACATGGGATAGACAATGCGAAAGCCAACATAGCGTCATGGAAATCGGAGGTCACAGATATCAATTCCCGGTGTGGATTCTGTGCGGCGACATTCACTCGGTGGTCTGAACGGAATGATCACATTGCCGGCCATTACAAGGAAGGAACTACAATGAAGGACTGGAAAGGCTGCCGAGGATTCGTTCCGGCGGTAGCTCTGGCTGTTGACAATGCCATGCCACCGTATCTGATTGGGATCGAATCTACTGGTATCGACCCCTTCAGTGCCTCCCGCCGGGGAAAGGTGAGTAAAGAAAGCAACACTGCTTGTCAAGAACAAGAACACTCAACCATCCAGCCAACTCCGTTTGAGCAACTGACGGAACATCTCATCCGCTTTGTCCGTGCGAAGCAAGCAGCTGGGGCACTCATCACGGACGAATCTATACAAAGGGAGGCACGCTGTCTCTTATACGGAGATGACGATTCCTGGAATCAAACGGCAGCAGATAATTCCGACTGGCTGAACTTTTTCAAAGACGGAATGGGGATCAACTCTTCAGCGACGATGGCCAGTGCCATTTCATCCCACATATGCTCAGCCCCTATCTTCCCGCTCCCGTGGACCATCAATCCAACAGAGACTATTGGGACACAGGAAGAAAATGGCGCTCGTGAACTGGAAACAGCAGCATTGATTGACCAGTGGATGCCTTGGGCCTGGCAAAGTCCCGAGTGTCTTGCAGAGTTTCGTCGGTTTAATAGCGGCTTTGCCACCTGCCCCGGGGCAGGTTAAGGACCAGTGCCTACTAATGAAATTTAATGTAGATAGAAGTGTGAATAGAAGCCAGCCTCGACTGACTTGATCTCTCACCTTGAGTGTAGATGTAGTGTTTTGTCGCATACAATATGCTTGCCAAGATGCGGTCTGTGCGTAGCCATAGCTGGCTTCGACGGGAGTTTCCTGGACGTCAACAACCCCGCGAACTGTGTCCCACAACAGCACTCCTGGAAGCTACACGAGCTACTGGGTGCACTGCAGAGGATCGAAATGTTCTGAGTGCTATTGGCTCTCTCCGCAACCGCACCCGGGAATCATGGACCCTTCCAAGGCCGCTTCAAGCAATGTGACCGGTACGACCTCCGAACACTTCGGTTCACGCTTGCAGACCTGCTAACGACAAGCGATTTGCAGTTGAATACACGGATCCATCTGGTCTATTCCCTCAGGTCCAGACAGTCATCGAACCGAAGCTTCCCCTGAAGAACCTACACTGGAAATCGCCCACCCGTCCCGCTCGGTCGATCGAGTCGCTCCGTATTGGCTTCACCCCCGCGCCAAATGACCCTGCGGAACGGAAATCATCTAGCGACGGCACTGGAACTATCCCGCACCGGCGGCACCAGATCCCCGGTCTGCGACAGACACCGTACCTGAAAGTCTACCTCCTTCGATGCGACGACAACGATACCTACAAGGCCACGGTGCGCAAAGAACTGCGTGACTGGATCAAAGCTCAGGGCTCATCTACTAGCTCGCAATCAACAGCCAGCAGCCAGGAGAAGCACGATGCATTCGAGTGGCTGATCGTACACGTGGTGCAGGACGGTGATGGGGAGAAGACACCAACAACTACGTCGAAATGGGGCCGGAGCTCAAGTACGGTCTTAGAGAAGATCAAGGCAGACTTCAATGGGTCGTCCAAAACCGCCGTCGACCGCGTGGCACAGTTGCGGCTTCCGAAGGAGGGAATCGCAAAGCCCCCTGAGTTGACCGACCAGGTGGAAGACCTGATTGAGAAAATCAAGAATGGAATACTGGCTTCTTTTGACCTACGCGTGGCTCAATACGAAGAGGACATCAAGGAGAAAGACTCGCAGCGCAGCCTCCCTGGTTGGAACTTTTGCACCTTCTTCATTCTCAAAGAAGGCCTCGCTCGTGGGTTCGAGAACGTCGGTCTCTTCGACGATGCGCTGGCTGGATATGACGAGCTTGCCGTTGGTTTGGATGCCGCTATTCGAGACCAACTTCTTGGAAACAACGAGCAGCATAGCACTAGGCTTCTGGAGTCTAGCAAGATCTGGTCGGAAAATGCCAAAAAAGCCCTGGAAATGGGGACGCCGACAACAGGTGGTTCTGCTAACGAGAATCATTTGGAGATCCAGCCTGAAGATTTCCCACTTAGCTCCGACAAGATGCCCTACCGAGAAATGATCCTGGCAAGCGATATTTCGATCTTCGACTTCCGCACCTATGTCTTTTCCCGACAGCTCACCTTGCAGCTTCGAGCTGCAAGAGCTCCATCGTTGGCTGCCAGCGAGACAATCAAGAAAGAGAAGAAGCCAGAAGATCTCATCTTACTTTCAGAAATCTGTGGCAGATCTACGGAGTTTATCAGTCTCGCCGCTCGCACGCTCCGATACGATCTCGAGTGTGGGCTGGCAGAAGTCGAGAACGATGCCAAGACAGACCTCATTCACAACATGGTGTCTTCATGGACATATTCAGCGGCTCTGCAAATCCTCAGCCAGACATTTGCACCCACTCTCGCGCTTCCTGAATCTTCCCTTCATGCAGTAGCACAACCGAGTGATGTTCCAAGTTCCAACGTACCTGCAACAATTCCAGAGGAGCGTCTCGATATGCCCCGCCGGTCAAGCTCATTGATCTCTTCCTCAAATTCCCGCTCTCCTCGTCCTGTGACCCAGGACATGTCTGATTCTGTCGGGCTTATGCAGAGGCGCTCGACCTTGGAGCATCCAAAGCCTGCTCCCGGTGCCTCGCAAAAGACCGGCTCTGAGCAGTTGGCCTCTGGAAGAGGAGAGCTGCTTCTGTTAGCTCGGCGATCTCTCGAGGAAATCGCTCGGAGACGTGGCTGGTCCGAGAAATGGAATGATCTTGGCCTGCTCTTTGATGACAGTAATCGTTCCGGGGTGAGTGACCTAGCAGAAGTCTCCTTGGACGAAAATGAGGATTCAACGCCGCAAAAGGATCCGGGCCCGAAACAGTCCTCGCTTGTGGGCATTGCGCTGCCCGCTTTGTTGGCTGCGCTCAGCACGAAGGACGCATTTTTGTCACTCTTTGAAGATCTCACAGACAATATCATCTGTCACTATATGGCTGCAAACCGCACTTACTCTGCCCAGACGGCCCTCGCAGAAATTGCTATTTTGCGATTCCGACAGGCCGATTATGAATCTGCTGCGTCCTTCTTCCACCAAATGGCTCCATTCTATGGCAGCAAGGTCTGGGTAGTCTTGGAGGGGACAATGCTAGAACTGTATTCGCGCTGCTTGAAAGAGCTCGAGCGCAATGAGGACTACGTCCGCATGATGCTAAAGTTGCTCTCCAAGTATGCTTCTTATGCCGCGTCGCGCATTTCACACAGTAAGATGGCCCTGTCGGCCCCAACTTCAATCCTGGAGCAAGAGAAATTGGCCGGGTATGTCTCCGGTCTTTTTGAAGCAGCACGAACTCTGCAGAAAGATATCAACGCATCTCTGGTCGACTTTTTCACGGACGTGCATGTCGACCCGGCAATTCAACTTTACGATGACAAAGATGGTTTCCAGATCCGGTTGTCGCTGCGATTCCTGCTGGGTCCGCAGATTGAGGTCGACTCTATCAAGGTCCGGCTGGTTGGTGCCAACAACTCTCAGAATGCGGAGCATTGGATTGAGGGTTCGACCAAATTCGTCGTCAAGTCTTCAAAGACGAAGATCCTCATTGACTCTTCGGTAAGCCGCCTTGTTCCTGCATTCTCCTATTTCATATCTGACATCTTTCCAGACGACACTGCAAGGCAAATACATCGTTGACCGATTGGAGATGAAATCCGGTAATTTGCTCTTCACGTACCACAGTGGCAACCAATCCGCGCTGCCTGTTGGATTCCGGGAAACAGACGAAGCCGAGGAGGCTAGCCAGCGGCCGTACATCTACTGTTATCCTCCTCCAGATGGCCTGCAGGCCAAAGTGGTGTCGCCCCACCTGATCAATCTGGAGGCGATGCGTACGCTGGAGCTGGAGCTCAGCAGTGGACGCAATGATATCAAGGCCGGCACGGTTCGTGTTCGACCAGCCACTGCAGGGCTACGGCTTCGAAGTACAGAGGTGGAGGTTGTGGAGGGCCAGCTGGAGGTGTCGGCTAACGGTGACTCGGGAGTCATCGAGTTTACCCACCTCCCACCCAAGTCATTTGTGCGTCTACGCATTCCGTATACTGTCGAGGAGGCGTTCACTACCCTCTCCGCAAGGGCAGAAGTCGGGTATGAGACTGAGCAGGGCAAATTTGCCTTTTCAACGGCCCACGACATCATTGCGACGCTTCCCATATCGGTCAACGTGCAGGACGTCTTCAAGGATGAAGTGCTGTTCTCACGATTCACAGTCAGCCCCGCCATGCTGGTCCCATTGCGCATCACGAACTGTAGCCTCCCAAGTTCAGAGTCCTACGAGGTGCAGTCCAGCATTACAGGCCCCGTCGCCCTCGATGTCTTCCCCAAGCAACCCGCCTCTCTGCTGTACAAGATCCGTCTCTCGGGTACTCCTAAATCAAGATCACGCAGCCTTCGTCTGCGCGTTGATTTTACTTGCATTGACGACGAATGCTTTGATGCGATCGAGAAGCTCTTCGCTGCTAGCATGGAGTCAAGCCCCTTTGCTCAGTACGCTACGCTCTTCACATCGTACCTCATTGGCAGCTTCCGCAATCAGCTCTCCACCGCAGATTTGGAAGTCATTGGCCTGGTACGAGAGGTCGAGACGCTCTCATACCGCAGTGTACGATGGGACGATCTGCTGGGAGCACTGAAAGACCGCACCGAGGAGATGCGCCAGTGGCTGAAGGCGTGGCATGATGTTAGTCGGCACGCACCCCTTATATTGCTTTCGATCCACATATTAACGACGTTTGATACCAGAACAATCCGGTCATCCGGCTTCCCCAACAGCCCACCATCCCCACCCGGAGCATTGCCATCCCGGTTGAGATTCCCGAAATCCAAGTGGTGCATACGGCGGAGCTGCAGCTTTATCCCAGCTCCGAAGCCATGGGATCCGGTGCTTCCCACGCCGCCGTAGGCCAGATGATCTCCGCTGAACTCTCCCTACGCCACACGCGTCGGTGGTGCTCCCCAGCAACCCAGGAGCATGCAGGCCAAGCGCTGGAGTGTTCGTACGAGCTGCACGCCAACCCGGATCTGTGGCTGCTCGGTGGTCGCCGCCGGGGCAACTTCCTCGCCCGCGAGGGCGAAACCACCCGATTCACCGTACTCCTCCTTCCCCAGAAGCCGGGCCACCTTCTCCTACCGGGCTTAGAAATCCGCACATTTGCCCCTCCGTCGCCACAGCCACCCACGTCCCCGACCGCGCCTGATGCTGCAGCCGGAGGCCCCGTGGCACCAGTTCAGCGCCGGCCCATTCCGTGTGAGGTAGACTACCGCAACCACGGCGAGACGATGTTGGTATTACCGGATCTACGCAAGACGACCGTCAGCCTCAGTGCGTCGGGTAGTCCAGGTGGGCCGTGGCTGGTGGACTCGGAGCGACGGGCAGAAGTGCACTGATCCATGGATGTCATGAAACGACGTGTCCAGACGTGATACCCGTGATGGCCATTGAGCGCTGTGTACTGTACATATAGATCTACGAGTCATGAACCTTCTTCTCCGATTGCAGTCCCTGACTTAGTCACCTATCAATCAGCTCAAAGGGTGCCCCGGTACAGCGCAGAAGTAAATATAGTCTATGACAGCCCTACTTGAATATCGTGAGTCGAGATATCCAATGGCACTAGCGTGGAAGAACTCGTGGTGGCGACCCCGAGATAGGAGCGATAAGGACCTCGCAAAAATGACAGGTGGGGCGACCGCTGGGGGGCGTCTCAACAAAACTGGGCGGGTCCGCCCAACAAGCTCGGTCCCGTACCCGGTACCTTCACACGCCACCCCCCTCGCAGCACTCCTGATGTATCAGTTACCTGGGAATGATTGAGTAGCCAGGCCTCGGACTGCTCTTAGCTAGCATGAACGAAATCCCAACCGGAGACAGCCAGAGTGCAACAGAACAATCACATGCCTCCTTGCGCATGCCAATGGCCACGGATCCTCATGTCCTCATTCATGTTCCTCGGACCAATCCGACGGCGTGTAAAGCTCGCCTGCGCCGGCGCACGAAAATGACCCGCCGAGGCAGGGCGATCGCTGGGGATACCCACATGCTGGAACTCACCGTATTATCGATCTGGGCCCGCATGTGAATATTGTAGTTGATCGGTTTTTTTATCCCTTCGTCCATCATCCCAGAAGCCGGGTGAAATGTCCCGATCCAAGAACTTAGTCAAAGTAGATACTCCGATCCGCAGACGTCTCGGGACATGCCTGAGACAAAGTCTTTGAGCACAAAAGGGAAAATGTTGAGAGCCGAAAACAGCATAGTAGATAAGCAACCGGTCTCTCCCCGCTGAAGAACCCTGCGTGGGTCGTAATTTTGACCCAATGTTTAATTGGAGGTCGACCATGCAGCATCGGCGTGGCGACAGCTGAGATAGATCGGCCAATTGGGCGGAGACGGGGCTCTGGCTGCATGTGTAAGATCGGCTCGGCCAGACGAATGGTCGAGAGACGAGTTCATGCAGGCAAAACTGGTGCGCCGTCGTACATGGCAATAAGGGCATAGTTTGGAAAATTCAATGGGGGAAGTGGGGTCGGATTCCGTGTATTGTTGTATTTCCGTATTGGCGTGACACGCTCTTTGCGCGGTGTCGGGCAGATGGAAGAGGACCCCCGTAATGCAAATACAACCCCGTGGACCATGGACCATGGACCGCGGAATCCCTGTCCCTGCGCTTTTTGGTCCTTTCTGTTCCTGTTACTTTTTTCCTCCCTTCCTCGGAGCTGATCCTTTTTTTTTTTTTTTCATATCTTTCGTTACCTCGCCGGGCGCCGTCGTGTTCTTGTTTGCGTTCAGCTGTGCTTGATCAAGCCCTCTCCCCATCGCTTCTGACCTTGATCCCTGGCTTGTGTAACCACACGTCGAACTCAAAAAAGGGCATCCTGAATTTTCCTCCTGTAAGTTGCTGAGAGCTATCGGACGATCTTCTTTGGATCCCAATGGACTGACTCTCATAGGTTGAAGTGGAGTGTTTGCTTCTTTCGCTTCTCTCACCCCCATCTCCATCTTTTTCCCCGGATATAATAGAAGAACCCTGTCCCATATAATCCCTTTCTTTCGCCCATCATGTCGTCCACTGCCCTGCCCAAGCGCATGGCGCTGCAGCGCAGCCTGCCCACGGACTCGTCCGCTCCCTCCGTCTCGGCCTCGCCCTTTGACAGCCCGCGCCAGTCGCCCTCGTCCACCTCTCTGTCATCCATGGCCTCGGACGCGGAGCGCACCAAGATGCTCGATACCTATGGCAACGAGTTCAAGATCCCCGACTTCACCATCAAGCAGATCCGCGATGCCATTCCCGCTCACTGCTTCCACCGCTCCGCCATCACCAGTCTGTACTATGTCTTCCGTGACATGGCCATCCTGGCTTCCGTCTTCTACCTCTTCCACAACTACGTGACCCCGGAGACGGTTCCCTCCCTGCCGGCCCGCGTCGTCCTCTGGACTCTGTACACCGTCATCCAGGGTCTCGTCGGTACCGGTGTGTGGGTGTTGGCTCACGAGTGCGGTCACCAGGCCTTCTCCCCTTCCAAGGTCCTGAACGACACCGTCGGCTGGGTCTGCCACTCCCTCCTGTTGGTTCCTTACTTCTCGTGGAAGATCTCCCACGGCAAGCACCACAAGGCCACCGGTAACCTTGCTCGCGACATGGTCTTCATCCCCAAGACCCGTGAGGAGCACGCCTCCCGTGTCGGCAAGGCCCTGCACGAGCTCGGCGAGCTCATGGAGGAGACCCCCATCCTGACTGCCTCGAACCTCATCCTTCAGCAGCTGTTCGGCTGGCCCATGTACCTCTTGATCAACGTCACCGGCCACAACAACCACGAGAAGCAGCCCGAGGGCCGCGGCAAGGGCAAGTCCAACGGCTGGTTTGGCGGTGTCAACCACTTCGACCCCTCCAGCCCTCTGTACGAGGCCCGTGACGCCAAGCTGATTGCCCTGAGTGACCTCGGTCTGCTCCTCACCGGTCTTGGTCTGTACTTCATCGGCTCCAACTATGGCTGGCTCAACCTGCTGGTCTGGTACGGCCTTCCCTACCTGTGGGTGAACCACTGGCTCGGTAAGTTTCCCTGATATGCAGACGAAAATGGAAGAAACATACTAAACGGATAATGCAGTTGCCATCACTTTCCTCCAGCACACCGACCCTACCCTCCCCCACTACCAGCCCGAGGTTTGGACCTTCGTCCGCGGAGCTGCGGCCACCATCGACCGTGACTTCGGCTTCGTCGGCCGCCACATCTTCCACGGCATCATCGAGACCCACGTTCTGCACCACTATGTCAGCAACATCCCCTTCTACAACGCCGATGAGGCCAGCGATGCCATCAAGGGCGTCATGGGCAACCACTACCGCACCGAGGCCCACACCGGCTGGACTGGTTTCTTCAAGGCCCTGTGGACGAGCGCCCGTACCTGCCAGTGGGTTGAGCCCACCGAGGGCGCGGAGGGCGAGAGCCAGGGTGTTTTGTTCTACCGCAACACCAACGGCCTCGGTGTCCCTCCTGCCAAGATGGCCAAATAGACGATCTTCGATATGTTCCATCTCTTGTGAATTTTTTTGGGGGTTGGTGTATACATTTTGGTTCTGCATAACACGTTGAGATTTAAGGCGAGATACATAGATGCGAAAGATGCTTGTCCCTTTTTTTCAATACTTTGAAATGTCGTTCGGTTGATCCTTCGCTGAAAGTGAAGGTGCTGGATATCGGTGACGCAGTTGAAGTACTAAAAATCTCTCGTTTTTGTTGTTTTTTTCGACCTGTCTCTCTGTGATTAATATCGAGTTACAAACTCATTCCCATATGACTTGAATGTCCGTTTGGCTCTTCATTCCATGTCTTTCGGCGTTCAGCTTCAAGAATGGACAAAATTCATTTGATTGTTTCATATATTCGTTTGGTGTTGGCATTTGTTTAGAGCGAAGATGTTTGTTTTAGTTCCAGGTCTGCCTTGAGGCGCCTTTTGTGTCATGAAACCACGAGATCAATCCAGACTTCTGTGATCCCCATGCAGGCAGCAGCTTTGTGTAGTCAGTCAGGTAGTATCAGGCTAGATGTACTTGGAGATGAGATGAGATGGCAAGATGTTTCTAGCAAAAGGCCCAGCTTTATTAAGCTGGGGAGAGCAGAAAGAACACCTCAGGGTGATGTGTGAGGACAAAAACAGGGGAAAGCCGTTGGACTGGACCTTGCGGGGTAGAAAAACTCTCTCCGTCACATCCGATTGCGTATAGCGCATAATGTCTGCCGCTTCATTGGCTTTCTCTTTTAGTTTCAGCTCTAATCCCTCGTCACTTTGCTCCGTTACTATGAGTTGAGTTAAGCATGTTTCTAGATCGCGTGATTACCAAGGTTGATCGCGGGTATTCATAGTGGAACCCTGGGAAGGGAACACTTAGTTTGCCATTTTTTGGCACTCTGTCCATAGTTGTTGAAAGTGGAAAATAATCTCCTTCCAATGATTTTGCCTATGCTGAGTCCAAGCTGGTTTATATAAGGAGACAAAGAAAGAGCCTTATGGTTATGGCATTGCTCTAAAAATGTATAGGATTTCACACGCCTCCGATGCCCCGGTTCTCAACAACCCTGACAGGGACCTGTCTATTCCTGCTACACTCCGCGGTGGGACAGTGTGTCCAGTTGTATTAGAGGCAGCCTCCAAAAAGCCATTGGGTCCATGATGTTATACCCTAGTTCCTTCTATCGGTGAACCACAAACGAGAACCTTAATCCCCTCCAACTCTACAACCGACAAGAAGCTTTTGAACCAGACCCAGACCCATGCCCAGCCCCATTCTCCACCAAAACACTGCGATTCCTCTCCTGCGTCGAAACAGCCACATCCAACCCGGGATTCCCAGAAAAGAAATTGACCGGCTTCAACCCCACAACCATCTTCTCCGACGGCATAACCGGCCAATCCTCGATGCGCGGGTTATGCGTCGATCCAAACGTATGCCAAACAACGATATCCTCATTCCGTACACTCGAGTTCCCGTTCTTCCTGCGCTGCTCAATCGCAGAACTGATCCCCTCCCCGCCGAGAGATTGCATCGTATGTCTCCCTGCTGGGAAGAGCTCGTCGTCTTCGTATCGCGTAACCCAAACGGCATGGGAGCCGAACTCGGAGCGTTTCGCGTGGTATGAGCTCGGGTGTGCGAGGAGCAATTGACTGTAGTACGGGGACAGCTTGAATCCGACAGGCGTGCGTGTGATCGGGTTGATCTTGTTCTCATTGATGATCTTGAACGAGCGGTTCGTGGCGAAGTCGAGGTCTAGGCCTCCTTCTTGGTCTATGATTTTGGAACGTGTGGTGTAGCCCACTCCGAAGGGGTTTTGGTCGTCGATGGGCATGGGGTGAGATTCTTCCACTTGGAGGGAGTTGGCCGTGCCTTCGATGGCTGGGTCGATGCGGAGTGAGAAGAGGTGTTGGTGGTATGGGGCGAGTACACCTGGTGCGACGATGGTGCCATAGCTGACTTTGTCGTCTAGATTTATGGGGCATGTGGAAAGGATGCCGGTTGCGCGGACTTCGTAGTGGACCGATGCGTCTTGGCCGAAGTGGAAGGCGAAGATGTACTCGTAGTTGCTGACTGTGATGATGGTCTGCAGGACTAGAATGCGCGAACGGGTCACCACGGCGTTCTGGGTGCGGTGGTTCGTGTGTTTCCATAGGATGCCGTCGTCTTGCTCGTGGCAACAGACGACATTAGGTAGTTTCACTGGTTCACCGGAAGAGGTGTTATGCCAGCCGTCGAAGTACTTGATCGTGCCGAGGCAGTCGCAGCCTAGTTGCAGATTATTGGCGTTGATGCCTGCGCCGTCGTTGCCCAGATCGAAGGCTCCCTTCCTGGGATATGGAGATCGTGGATCGCCGTAGGGAACGAACATCTCAGATAGAGAGAGACGATAGAAAAGGCTTTTGTTGTCGTAGCGAATGTCGTGGAGGGTTAGTCCCTCGCGGTAGTTGAAACCGACACGCATGGTCCACTTCTCCCAGCTCAAGAGATTGCCCTCTGTTTTGAACGAGGGTCCCTCGGGCTGGATGACTTGGTAGGGCTTCGTGGTCGTGCGTGGTGAAGGTCGGAGATCAGGATGATACTCGCTCATCTCTCTCGGGTGGACCTTACCGTGATCGTATGGTCGAGCATCTTGGCGAGTTTTCTCGCTTTCGGAAGAAGGCATATGGTAGATCTTGGTGACCTGCAGTTGCTCGGATACTTCTGCGCAGAGGTCAAGCGGGTAAGCGTAGTAGTTGGCGTCTGGGTGATCTAAAAGGCGCATATAGAAGTAACACTTGACTTTAATGTTAGAATCGGCACGGAATGTATCAAGTAGAGGATGCTTACCATCGTCGTACGCTCGGTCATGTCATTCATCCCATCAGTAGCATACGCCCACGGCTCAACGACAAACTCAGCACCAGGAGGAAGCTTCAGTTTTTCAATCTCCGCCCGGACTCGCGGGTCGGCCCTGCACGCTTTCTCCGCCGCTTGCATGTAAGCAGAGTCGATGTAGGGGTGTTTGCCCGCTAGGTGCTCTTCCTTGACAACCGATGCAGAGTCCAGATTGACGAAGAGCTCGACCATTTCAATCAACCCTGAATCACCACGGATGGTCACTTGCACGCGTGCTGTTCGCGCAGGTCGGGAGATCTGGGAATGGCCGAGATGTTCCTTCTCCAGGAAGGGGATCATTTCACTCTTGCGCGGCTCTTGCAGGGTGATAACTCGGAAATTGGGAGATTTCCCTGGCAAGGCTTTGCGCACAATTTGCGCAGCCTGTTTTATTATGCCCCGTTAGCAGTGGGTGGTCTCTCGGTCATTGGTAGGGTCACCCACCTTTGCGATTTCCCCGGGTGTGAAGGGGTCGAAGGGGTGTGCGATTGACATGTTCTTGGTTATGTACACAATACTATAATCGAAGAGAATAAGAAGTACTGTTTAGCTCTGACAGGAAACAGGAATAGGCAGCTCGAAGCAGAGGTCTTATAGAAAGCAGTGGAGATAAGAAGATAAGCCACATCGCAGGGCTCGACGTCAGCAAGGACCCTAGCTCCCCGACCATTCCCGATGAGTAAATGTACATAGATAGTTAAGTTACAAAGTGGATTACATAGCAAATTGAACAGCGGGGAATACTCCGCCCAAGTATAAGGCTAGCCGAATCAAAGGACCCTGCTCCCATCAGGCGTGCGCGATATTCGCTAAGGTATAAGAATAGCCGGCATCTCATGCTTCGCTCCCCGCGCTTCGGCAGGATGTCCGCTAACGTTAAGAATAGCCGGGTAATGACGATCTAGGTTAACATCAGCTCCAAAGGTTAATTGTGGTCTCCGATGGCAAATTAAATGAGATCAACGGATTTGAATAGGTTGTTCTCAATAGCAGTGTCGATTCGATGCCCTCGATTCGTGATTTGCCTTGGCCTATGCCGGGTTACGAAAGGATTCATACTTGGCGGGGCCATTCTGAGACACATTTCATTGATTCATAGTCACATTTAGGTCGTGGTAGATGCAATTCCCTCTTCGCTTTAGGTATCGACAAAGTAGACCCAGCCCCAAGGCTGGGGACAATTAGATCCATATACTGCAACGTCATACTTCGGGGCGTGCAGTTCGCAGACCACCTTTCCAGATCTCGAATTCTATCTCGTTGTTCCTTCCATTCAATGGTTGGGTCACTGCGCCATATTCTTCTTTGAGCGGCTTCACCGACCCTGATGTCCAAGGAGCGAAGACGAGCTTCATTCTCCGTCGTGTTATGTGCTCCGGCTGTTCTGGGGCTTTTTGTTTCTGTGAAGGCACTGCTTTCTCAGAAGCATTCTGGAGCTGGTCTCTGCTATCCGGAGATTTGGGTTTTGCGACTGTCTCTGCCGTGTGAACTTCCCGAGCAGAGGAAACCACAGGCTTGGAAACTTGTGGCCTTCCTGCTTGACTTTGCGACTGAGGGTCTGTCTGCTCCCTGGGGGTAGACAGAGGGTAGATGCCATTACCCCAAGGAGCAACTACAGTGCGCGTGTCCTCTTTTTTCAAGGCAATACGACATGCAATTTGCGTGGACCAGAAAAATCCTAGAGCCGGGGTCTTGGGCGAAGCTTCTGAGTAGAGGCCATCGCCCCATCCAGTGAAGAACCGTTCTTGATGCAGTAGACTCAAAATACTGTTGCGAGCTGGATTGCCAATGATGTAGGAGCCATCAAACTGGTCATCTTCTTGCGCAGCAAATTGTGAAGATGCCGGAGACGATGAAGAAACGAGGTTATCAGCAAGCCCTGAATCTACTCTGTTTCTTGATAATGGCGAGGAATTGGTTGATTCCCGTGCCGCTAGAGCAGTGCTCTGACTTAGTACAGCCGGGAAGCCTGGCCGGAAGGCAGAGTCAGCACCACTGTCTACGGGTTCGAAGCGATCCGAAACCTGGTTTGCTACCACGATGGCAATGTCCTCCTTCGCGGCAAGATTCCGCAGCACCTGACCCAGTTTCGCAAGCTCGGTGGACCGGTTTGACATAGTGATCATGTTGTTGGAGGAATGTTCGGCGCGGTAGTTGGAGGTGATGGAGTCGATGATCACAAGGCCGGCGTCGTAACGCGAAATAGCGACCGGGAGTTGGTAGTTTATGATATGGTCCTGACTCTCCAAGTCCATAGCATTGACGGAGAGTACATTCCCTAACGACGGTGCCTGGTCTGCGGGGAGGCTCGAGAGATAGGGATGGCATTCTATCAGCTGAGATAGGCGACCCGTCGCCAGTGGGTGTTCGGTTGAGATATAAATGGCACGTTTCTTAAGCCCATGTGGCTTGTCCAGTTGTACGGCGAGAAGGAGGCCGAGGAGGAATTGGGTCTTGCCGCTCCCACTGGAAATGACGAAGCCACATGTCAGAGCCACCTCTTTGGTCTCAATCGTGTTCTCGCTACCACATACCTCTCGCCGGTCACCTCCGTCACATAACCTGTCGGTATTCCTCCTCCTAAAAGCGCATCCAACGCGGAGTCCATGGTACTGATCGCGTTCCATCGCGACGTCTGAAGCTTGGTGGCGGGACCGAGACCGAAACTCACCGCATCACCGGTGATGCTCGAGCTTGGTGGCTCTTCTCCGTTTGATCCTGTATTCATCGGTGTCTTTTCGAATCCGAGATCGCCGTGTAGAGCCTCGACGATGCTGGCGGACAGCCGCCGGACGTCTGCGGGGGGCACATGAGCGCGTTTCGCGATTTCGAGCGTGTCGAGGGTGATAAGGTCGACCGTGGAGATCTTGCCACGTTCGAGAGGGGGCAAAATGTGCGCGTAGGGTCTTGTCGCAAAGCCAGGTAAGACAGATAGAAGATCCATAAGAGTTGAAGGCAGCGCCAGGTCGGCGAGCTACTGATGTCGCGATTATTCAAGGCCCCGCGTGGGCCAATCACAGCCGCCCTCCACATCAGCAGAACTATTAAACACCAGCGAGTATTGTAATCAAGTCCAAGGTTCTAGGGAATGAATCACCTGGATAAATAATTAATAGTTATATATTTTTTTCTCTGAACAGGAGGTTGCACATGCGTAGCACGGCGGTCGTGTGCTTGCAAAAAAAATTGCATAATTTACAGATCTATATTTTTCGAATTATCCACAGGTGTAAAGTCCCAAAGTTTCTGAACCAAGCACTCGATTATAATAGATTAAACACCATAAATTCAGATAAATTTCTCCTCAACAGACCTCCAGGGCTATTTTCACAGCCCTCAAGTATCTGCAAGGAAAGACTGAAATCGAACGTGTTAGGGATAGACAATGGGCGTTCACGTTTGCAAAATCTAGACCTCGGAGGTGACGTGCAACCGAATTAGCCGGATTGATTTATCAAGACTATAGAATAACAATACAGGGAGAACCAGGACCAAGTAAACAATTCAGCTATTTTGGCTACAAAGTGTGTTTGATATTGCCTCCTACGAAGTATCCAGGCGGGGTGGTTGACGTAAACAACAACCAATGAAGAGGTCGACCGTTGGACTTAAATGAGGTTGGACTCTGTTTGAAGAGGAGATTGTGTTTCAAACATTGCTCATCAAATCCGAGAGAGGGGTCATAAGCAGCTATCAGTCCCTTGAAACCCACCACTCAAATCGACTCTTCGAACACTCCATGTTTCAAATAAAATAAATACCACGTGGATAGGTAATGACTTTGGATCGGCCGTTGTCTCGTATCAGGGATTGAAGGCGAACACTTGATAGTGACGAAGATTTTGCTTTTAGTATCAAAGCATAGTATTACCTGCACCAGGATCTCGGTACGAAAGGATTCATCCATCTCAGACCTAACGAAGAAGATAAAATCCCAATCCACACAATCCCTTTTCCAATTCCCTCGCCCCAGAGACACCGGCAGCCATAGCGATGGGAAAGATAATCGTTGCCTTGGCCCTAAGCTGTGGGTAATGGGCGAAGAGTACCCCATGCTATGGCTATCCCGGATAGGAAGGTCAATAACGAGAGCCCATCCTCCAAGACACGGACGGCCGGATCTTTAAAACAAAGAAAATTCCAGAGGAACAGCTGGCAAGTTTGCATCGGCATCACAAAACTCACTCCTGGCTCATGCATCCCGTCTAACGGTCCCCAATATTTGCCCGAGAGAAAGCCGATGGAATGAATGCGGATCAGGCGATCACTTTGCTTTGCCTACTCCGTACAGCCTCTTTCCATACGTAGATACCCCGTACACGACGATCAGCGGGCCGAGTCCCTTGGCGGGTAAGAATGGCGCTCTGGGTTAGGTGGGGGGTGGGGGTAACGCAAGTTCTCGATCCGACGAACGCCATCACCGAGGTGCATCGGGGAATCGGGATCATTTGTTTTCTCCCTCTGATTATGCGGGAGTATAGAGCCGGCATTGCTATTGAGGGGTGAGGCTTGCCTCTGGGCCAATTAAGAATTAACCTAGGAATCGTACCGGGGTACTCTGTACACATAGTTTTGCGGCGCAGAGAAACCCAGAAGTCTAGAATCCCCCGGCCGAGTATCTGAGTACCTGATTATCCGATGTCGCCGTCATCTTGCCGCATTGGTCAAGTCCCCAGGCCACCGTTTCATGAATCGATCTGCTTCGGACCCCTCGTGGGCTGGGGTGCCGATTGGCGGTCCGAATACTCCGTACAAGAAAAGCAAGTTGAAATAAAAGCAAAGAGCAGTTTTATCGAGGCCGTCTACGGCCTCTAGTAGTAGGGACATCAAAATAGCGCAAAAGTTGAGGATCTAGCTCAAGCGTGGATGAGAAACCGTTGAACCAGGGGATTCCTGGTGGTCGGTGGACCTCAAACCTTCTCTGGTACGGAGGAGACCCCATTTCCACTTAACTCACATGATCGAATGTCTAGGGTGCCACGCGAGATAATGAACGCGCTAGTAAAGTGACTCGAGGGACTCGGCTCTGACGCGGATCTTACAGTTCAATACCTGTACAGTGTAGTCGCAGTGCACACCGCGGGATAATCCTCGGTAGTTACCACAGAAATGATATCAAGACCACGAACAATCATAGACTCCAACTGCAGTCATGCACTGCGGCTCATGCGTTTTGACATGTAATAAGGAAATGTACTACAGTTCTACTCCGAACTATGATCTTCCGATCACAGACTCGATAGATCGACCGGCGTGCGCTAACTGGACGGGGCCTTGGCTCCATATTTCCCTCGCTCCGAGTTCCCCGGTGCTAGACATCTGAGACGAGCCAGTGAGAAGCCGAGTCTGCACTCCACTGTTGGGTGGGAACTGTTTGAAACAAAAGGGACATTGTGTATCGCCGTACGGAGTATAAAGTACTGTCCCCAGGCAAAGTGTTTTTCTTACGAAAGTGATGTATCGTTCAGGCGGTACAGTGAAACGACGGAAGATTGGGTCGAATGGGTCTGTGGCTTCAGTTCGGTGCGGACCGTGTTGAAAGTGGGGGAAGAAATGCCGAGCTGAATTTTCTGGTAGTACAGGAATGGTTGAAGAGATAGAATGGCAAGTAGACAGATCGTGTCTATATCCTAGATACCATCATGCTGATATCTCGGGATTACCATGAGATCATGGAGATCCTCAAGGCCCACGGGAGAATGATCCAACTCGACTGCTCAGATTTTCTCTGGAGCTCCTCCGGGTGGGAACATGTGCTGGCCAACAAATCACGAGCGGAGTGGCATCACACACCAATAGGAACGGCGTGACAAGCAGGGATCGTTGAAAGAGGATTCGTCGATCAGAATTTACTGCATGAGAGCCGGGGATTGGACAGGGGCCGGCTCTTGCCTGAAAGCGTATGGACCTGGACGCCATTATTCCTTGGCTATAGGAAGGATCAAGTCGATGGGGTTCCTTTTCTCTTTTCTTGCCAGTGTCTGTTAGCTCTCCGTGTGGATGCGGACTCCGTACAACGGCCTCCATCCCCATGGATACGGGTCGAGTTTATCGAGATTTTGGACGCCACCACGGTTAAAGAGTGAGCTTGCCATAACACCTGGTATCCTGGAATTACGAGTAGGTAGGGCCTGATTCACGGCCGGAGTTCAAAACTTGCCAGTTCCAGTCGACCCCGATCTGGCCGAGGTCTGGGCACGCCTGGTTTTGTGAAATACCTGTATGTTACAGATCGGCCCCATGCCACCACGTCAGCAGAGACACGGAAAACCCCCCGGTCGTGACGGCATCGGTTGCCTTCCAATGTTGGAATTCACGTTGTCGAAGTGTGTATACATCGCCGATGGAATAAGGCGCCCCGGCCCGCTGGCCTGGGACTGGCACTGTAACGTGGAATCAGCGAGCCATGGATCGCGAATCCTAGGAACGGCGGGTGGCACGGCAATCGGAGTGATACATACTCACGGGTTGTGACTTGATTGCAACAGAACGGGAGAAAAACAAGAGAGCGGATCCCCGCGATCGACCGGCCCAAGATCCCAAGACCACAGGACGGGGACTGTTAGTTCCGAAATGGGGCAACTATACAAACAATTCAACCGTAAACACCCAATCTAAACCTCGGATGTTTACAGTCGTCGCAGCAGGAGACCGTAACCCACCCACCATCATGCCACTCACTGGAAATCATAGAATATACACCGGATACACGATGGAGCCCTCGTGTACGGCGCTAGCACGCAACTAGTCAAGAGCGAGGAAGCTTGCACTGAGACCGCAGATCGCGTCGACGGCCCCGAACTTGTTGTGACTGAAATGCGGTAATGTCCGTATCCTGGGATTTCCCATCGCCTTAAGAATGCACGCCAGCACTGTCTACATGAACCGGCTGTATTAGCATAGAACAGAGTACCTAGATCGGAAGATAAATTGGGAGGGAGACGGAGTACAATGGGGGGGGAAAATAATAGAACGGACTAGTGCACCCCCCTGTGTAAAATAAAATACCGAGCAGGTATATTGCCCATGCCGCGGCGGGCCATAGCAGCGCCCTGTACCTAGCGTACCCAGCGTAGCCTCTCACGGCTGAAGGTCACCGTCTCCTCCCCCCTCCCACTGAACCTTCTCCTTCCACTCTCCCGGTTTGTGTTCTCCTTGGGGATTTTGAACACCCCACACTTCACTCTCCGGGTTCATTGCTGCTCGACTCGGTAACCGTCTTCTCAGCCCTTTGATTACCGGCTGAGTCCATCACCAGCCATCGTGCCAGTAATCCACCGATTTGACCGTCTGCGATCGTTCGACAAAAGTTGACCCCCTCCCATCGAGGGAAAGCAACGGGGCTACTGGCGATATCCTCGGCCAAAACGAATCGAAGTGCCACCCGATTGTGACCGGTGTTTGACCCGTGGAAGAGGAGTTCGTACGTCGCGCGCCCGAACAGAACCGTCGCCTGGCTATTATCCTCCAGAACGACAACACCACCCAGCTTGTCCCAGTTTGCTGATGTCGCTACGAATAGACGAGGATAACGCAACCCGTTCCGTTCAAAATGGCATCCAGACCTCCCATGATGGCGCCTCATAATGAGACGGAGCACTCCGTCATTCGAATCACGCGCGAGGGAAAGCAGCTCACCTACAAGTTGAGTGTGATGCAACAACCCGAGCGTGCCAGAGCTTGCGGTGCTGGAGCCAAGTGTAAGCACCACCAGTATTCCCGTCGGGGATTGCCTGTGCTGACAGCCGATAATAGCATCTGCCGATCGTCGCCCGGTCGACCCTCCGCCCGTGGTTGAATTGCGAATCTTCGAATCAGAGCCCGGTAACGAGGCACAGAAAACCGATATCACCTTCGCCTACAATGCCAATTTCTTCCTCTACGCAACCTTGGAAACCGCGCGCCCTATCGCTCATGGGCGGGTGTCCGGACCGCCGTCGTGTCCCGTATTAACAGGTGTGCCCGTTGCGGGTGTGGCATATCTTGACCGTCCTACACAAGCAGGTTACTTCATCTTCCCTGATTTGTCGGTGCGCCACGAGGGTCGATATCGCTTGAATTTCCATCTATACGAAGAGATCAAGGACGCCAAGGATGTTGACAAGGACTCGAATTTGCCAATCCCGAACCAAATAACTCGCCCGACCACGAACAAGCCCGGATCCCCCCAGGCATTCCTTCACTTCCGCCTCGAGGTGAAGTCCGTACCATTCACCGTTTACAGTGCGAAGAAGTTCCCCGGCCTGGCCACCAGCACCTCCCTAAGTCGCATTATCGCCGAGCAGGGTTGCCGTGTTCGCATTCGTCGCGATGTTCGGATGCGACGTCGGGGTGAAAAGCGCGAGGAGGACTACGACTATGACGAGGAGAGAGCAGCCATGTACGCACGTTCCGAACGGTACTCAACGCCGGATCGCTATGTCGCATCCGCGGTGGAGCGTCCCCGGTCAAACAGCAACGGGAGTACGATGCAATCGCCATATGGATTCCCACCAGAGATTCAGAGGCGGCCTTCGGCACCAGACTACGGATTCCAGTGCCCGCAGCCATACGAACGATCTATACCACCTGCTCCTATGGCCCACTCCCAAACCCCCTCCTATCAATCCCACCTCTCCTTCGGCTCAACGCCTAGTCATTACCCTTCCGCCCACATGCCTCCTACTCCGCCACCGGTTGCAACGCCCGGTATGTACTCACCTCATTCCTCCTATGCCAAAATTCGGCACCCATCAAACGCCTCTGAGTACGACGTCTCGCCTGCTGGGTATCCCATGGCACCACCGATGGCAGAGCGGACCGATGGTTATCCGAAGAATCCTATGACATCCTATCGCATGGAAGCATCCAAGCCACAGCCATACCTAGACCCGCGTATCCCCGATCCGACTCCCTACCAACAGATGCCGCCAAATATGGTGCCCCGCGCGGAGACACCAGGGTTGGTCCACCCTCTGCCATCTCTCAAGGCTCTTTCCAGCGAATACGTGCAACCGACCATCGAGTGTGTTTCTCCAAGTCCCGGCTACGATTCCGTTTCTGGCAAACGGATGCTCTACCAGACCGGTCCCACTGCCGTTGGCAAGCGCACTCACGAGGATTCATTCGGTCTTGATGAACGCTCGATGCAGAACGGCATGCGCCCTGATACTCAGTCCTACAACAGTGCTTACCGCGACTTCTCTGCTGAGAGCCGTGCTGCATTGATGGCCGAAGCCGGTGTTGGGATGGCATACAAGCGTGCGAACGGACGGATGGTCATGAAAGTTACCCCGGGAACGCAATGAAAAAGCAATGAAAATTAACACTTTGAAAGAGATTATCACTTGATGTCGGAAAGATATGATCTCTATCTTGACATTCCCCCTCCCCCTCCCCCTCTCATTTCACAGCTCGCTATCCCCGGACTCAGGAGCCCTGGGCCGTCCAGCAAACCCTTTTGCATTTCTGTACATGAATTCTTTACCCCTCTTGGTCCTTCCTTGCCTTGTGCCTAGATATCTCGATGCATGGTGTCGTCACCTCCGTTTTCAGGAACGTCTTTCTTTGTTCAGTGTTCAATTATTCCGCGTGGGAATCGGTTGGCCGGTGCTGGGGTTCTATATGGTTGCTATATTATTTCCCGGATTTGATGAGTCTTGTCTGCATTGGGATTTGCATCATTCATTCATTTCCATTCAAGACCAAGGCAGGATCATACCCGCGTCCCGCTCCTCCAACTCAGACCTGGATTCAAGCCTTGCGACCAGCTCGGGGCAGATTCCATCCCTCCTTTCCGTTATATACGGCAGATATGGGACTGGAAAGGGGGGTGCAGGCCGGTCCCTGCGTATTGGCTTTTCTCCCTCTTTTCTGCCTTTTTGGGCTTTCCTCACGGCGATTAAAAGGACGGCAAAGGATTCTCATTTTTGATAGCGACCGTGAGTGCCCCTGGCGATTTCCCGCTCCTTCGGAGCAGGGATGGGATATGACTGCATAGGAGAGACGTTCCATTGAATTCCCTTGCTTGTTCTTTACGATATCACCCCTCGGCGGCCTGTTGCTTAATTTTCTCTTTTCCCGGCGTTGTGGCATCTCTTGGATACCTAGCATGGTTGTCCTGAATACGATCAACTTTCAATCATACACAAGTAGTCCAATACAGTAGACCCTAGGTAGGTACCTATCGCATTCCTAAATTCCTCGAAGCCCGTTGTGCACATGTTCTTCTGAGACACGCGGAATCCTCAAGGATCCGATCGATCTGCCCCAGATCAAATCCCTATGTTCCTACATTCTGACCCGTGGACTCAATAATGAACAAATAGGTGATAAAAGGTGGAGAAGGCAGGCAACGGTCTCGGGTTTGTAGCGGGTACCTAAATGACGGTGTGTTTTTTCGTGCTAAGTGAAGTACCCGTTACCACAACAAACTTCCTCCCTGGGCAAGTGCGGAGTATGTAAACAAACCCGCTTCCATCCAGCCAACGCCTTTCAAAAAGCAACTCAGACCCGATCATATCTTGAAATCCTCTTGCGATTATACGTGACCTTTCATGCTTTTGTTCTCTTCACTCCCCATTCCTCTTTTCATCGCTTTCTGCAACAAGGGCGCGGGGTGTAAGCAGGGATGATCGTGGTCGTGCCCGGCGCAAAGGTAAGCTCCCTTGCCCTGTCCCCAGGAGACTATCCTAGGATGCGATAAAAAGAGTCGGGGCCTGACTTTTCCACGATGCGCACAGGGATCCAGCCACTCCAACGAAATGGACGTCGACCCGAACCCCGCGGAGCAGCGCTCCTCGCGGAAGCACCTGCGCAGCAGTTCCGACGACGCCGATCTGGAATGGAGTTCGGACGAATCCGGTCGCTTCGATGATGCAGATGAACGCGAGCTCGAGGACTACAAGTCGCCTTCGTCCAAGTCAGCCAAGCGACGCCGCTCGAACGATTGGCCGCTGCCGGATGAATCTGCGGACTACGGACACCATGATCGTCGCGCGCGCAATGGAGCGGGTGGTCTGGCCGCCAATCTGGCATCTGCATACAAGTCTTCTCCTCGGGCTTCGCCGCGCGCTTCTGCGGGATTCGCACGCGCGAGGCACAGTGCTGCGGCTGCAAACAGTCCGCGCAATCTCCTGGGTCGGCGGTCGCGGTTTGTTGAGGCTACTATGAGCGACAGCGTTAGTGAGAAGCCGCCGAGTATCTTCATGCAAGAGAAGAAACAGGCTGCTGCTCAGAATCGTGGCTCTGGGATCTTTCGATTCGGAAAAGCTATTGCCTCTGCCTTCAATCCGTTTGGCGGCTGGAGCAAGAGCTCGCCAGAGAATGTCAACAAGTCACCCCAGAAAGATGCTCTTACTCAAGCAGAGCGGGCTTATGAGGAGCTCAAGAAGGCAGGCTACAAGGGCACAAACAAGGGTGCCTATATGGAAAGCGCAAATGTCGACCAACCTCAAGCCGATCAGACATGGCAGGCCATCCAGGAGAAGATGCTCCATGGAAACCCAACTTTCCATTGCGGGGAGCACGAGAATATGGGCACCCCAATGCGTTCCCCGCAACGTTCTCCAACCAAATCCTCGAAGCGCTCATCTTTCCAGGACCTGCGGTCATTGGGTTTACCATTTATGAGGTCCCATGAACAGGTCACAACCGCGCCTTTGACTTACCAAGAACGATCATCCGAAGATCTCGAGCCGAACGGGCTCCGGAGACAGAGGTCGAAGAAGGAAATCCACCGTCAGGCCAAGCTAGTCAAGAAAGTCAGCAATCTCGAAGACAAGCTGGACCGTGCCCGGCGAGAGCTTCGGGAGCTAAGCGGCAATGAGGAGCGAGTGCCCGCCCCTATCCCAGAGTCCACAGAGTCCCTACGAATGAGTATGGATATGAATCCTGGGAGTTATCCTCGCAAGTTTGTCCCAGGCGCGCTTCCCACTTTGCCCTCAGAGCGACTGCTCGACCAACAAGACACGGCTTCCAAATCGCCCGAGCTTGAGATGGGTGGCCTGACGGCTTTGCCATCCATGGAGGATCGAGGAAGCTTCTCATTTGAGGAACCACTGAAATCCCCGAGTCCATCACCGACCAAGTCCCCAAAGGGGAGGTCAAAAGAATCACGGCCATCTTCCATGGGTAAGGAAAGCCCTTCCCGCAAAAGGAAGCCACCAGTTCCTGAACCTATCCCTAGTCGGATCCCTATTCAGGCCAGTCCGACGAACCGCAACGACGACGTCCCCGATCAACCGTCCGAGCTGGAGCAGCTGATCGAATTCGGTCTGCTCAGCCCACCCCGGCAAGCAAAGTTGCAGAAATTCGAAGCCGGCGACAGCCCCGGCTCCGTCGAACGCAAACGAAACACCCTCGACCTCGACTACGGCAAACCGGCAGGCGACGCAGGCTCAATGCATAGAAGGTCCCCATCAGTTCAGCCCTCAAGATCCACACCCCCGCTGCGCATGCGCCGCGGCCACTCGAATCTACGCTCCCTCTCGCCGAAAAATGCCTCCGATGCGGACGAACAATCAGCCCCAAGCAACTGCCTCTCGCCTTCGCCGCCTTTGGAAACTCACAATGCATTCTATCTTCAGCAGCACCGCAACCTTGATCCCGATCGTACGCCTCGCTCTTCTCCCTCCAAGTCGGCCAATTCCTCTCCGTCCAGGCCTGCCCATACGCGCCGCCGGAGTCGTCAGGAGGAGGATGTTCCCCCCGTCCCTCCCCTCCCTAAGGAGCTTCTCAGTGATGCTGCAAAGGTAACCGGGTCGCCGTCGAAGAAGAAGAATCCGAGGCATAGTCTCGCCTCTGCGCTCGAGCCGCAGTCTCCTTCGGCTCGGAACAGGCAGTCGGCTATTATTGAGAATTATCAGTGGTCTTCGGATATCTTCTGAGATGGTTTTCAAAGATATGAGTTGGGGTCTATGGGGGGTTATTGTTGTGCAATGCAATTGAGCGAGGTGCTGGGGATTGCTTTCTTGGTCGTAGCCGACGGCAGACGCGATGTGACGATGTTACGACTTATACCCTGGAGTTTGGGATGTCTTTGGTCTTTCGCAAGTGACTTTAATGAAATCCTGTTTTACGATGCTGCACGCTAATGATCTGCACGATAAGAGTGAACGTAATAGGAAGGTATCGAATGAAACAATGCAGCTTGGCTAAATCATGACAACATCAAGCCTCTAGTTGCTGATCTTGGGGTCGACCTTGTTGCTATATCAAACAATTTCATTAGCGAGAAGTCTAGCGTCGATGTATTCATGGACTTAGGCATACCCAGTCAGCTTCTCGTAGGCATTGCGGCCGGCATCGGTGATCTTCTCCTCGGTGCTGCGGTCCATGTTGTGGCCAGACTTCTTAGCGGCAAAGTCGAAAGCTGCACACTCGTTAGTCGGCCGATATTCATGTGCCTAGCAGGTGGAACCTGGGCAGTTCAAGAGTGATAAATCTCAACGACGTACCCTTGTCAACGTAATCCTGGTCTCCTGGGTTGCTCTGCTGTGTCGAACCAGACTGGTTGCCCTTCATACCCTCGGCAGCCTTCTTGATGAAATCCATGATGATAGTATCAGAAAGAAAAAACCGAGTTCAAATATTCTTGAATGTTTGTCAAGGGGAAGAGACAGGCAAGCTCGGGATGTGGCTGATCTAAATAACCACCCGATCCGACCGAAACCTTGGGTTGACCCCGCCTATCCCTCGCTAGCAATAGATAGTTCACCCAGCCTCTCTGAGCTCCGAGGGGAGTGGAGAACTCAGCCACAAGCCACCCCTCTAGCTCTTGGCATCAGGGGTGACCCTAGTAGAACACACCAATTACACGCGTGGATCGCAACAGAAATTCGATCTTCCGAGGGCAGCTGATGGGCTAAGGCAGACTACGGCGAGGCTAGAGATGGATGTGGACTTGGCAAGGCCGTCATTTGCTCGAGATCTCATTGCACCGAATGATGTCGGATTCCGTCGAATCTAGTCCCGGTGGAGTGTGGCTGTGGGGAGGAATAGCCAGCTTACGCCGGCGGCGCTGAGGAGTCCAACTAGCATCGGCTGGAGCACTTTCACGCCGACCTGGGTCGCTATTATTCCGGTTATGGCTGGGAAGATGGAGCCGCCGATTTGGCCTAGGACGAACACGAATGCTACGTGCGTGTGTGAGAATATGAGTGCCAAGCTGGGAGTGGGCCGTGTCTCACCTATTGCCGAGGAGCAGATTTCCGGAGAGAAGATCTTTGATCCGACTGAGATGCCCTAACGGAGAAGATAGTTAGCTTTCCTGTAAACCAAGGCTGGATGATACAGGCCATACCGTCGCAAAGAATGGGCCCGAAAAGAAACCTAGCAAACTGACAGCCACGGCCTCCGTGATAATATTCGGCACCCTGCTACTGTTAGCACCAGCTCCATCACAGGTATGAAAAGGACATACAGCCAAAATACCAACTGCAACCCTACACAGAGAACGGCGTATATAAATACCATCCGTCGCTCACCAAGCCGATGCGTCGGCTCCGCAAGTACCAGTCGACCTAGGAATGCACCGCCGTAGAAACCAGCCGGTACGTATCCCATATCCTTGATATCCCCATTGCGCACCTTGACCAGGTACTCGACCATCCAGCCACCGGCAGTGATAGTAGCGCCAAGGAAGAAAAAAAGAATAGACTGAGTAACCAGACTCCTGGTGTGGAGAGTGTGGCTTTGATCTCCTTGAGCGCTGTTTTGCCCGTCGATTCGGATTGACTCCCGATGCTTGCAGATTGTTGCCGCCTCATCGAAAGAGCCATTCGATCGTGGAATGATAGCCCCACTAGCGCCAGATTAACCACACCTATACCCAACGGGAACAGGTAAAAGAGATTCCATTTCGAGTCCGCGTTTGCCGAAGCCACTCCCGTGGCAACAAATGGTCCGACAAGACAGCCTGCCATGTACATTGCGTGGATGAAACCGAGCCAGCGGTGGGAGCCTCGTAGTGACGAGACAAACGTATTCGCGTGTGTGTCGTTGTATGCTTGTCTTAGGCTGGCGAGGAAGAAGGTGACCGCATATAGCGGGAAAGGCGGGAGCCAGGCGCGTAGGACATGGGCTAGAATCTGGACTGTGGCGCCTAGCGACAAGATGGCACCTAGGTCAAAGTGAAGGCATATCGAGCTGTTGGACAGAGCTGCGAAGAACCAACCAAAGAAAGTGGTCCCGTACCTGCATAGGGTTGTGAGTATTGATTCCAATCTTGGAGAATGGATGAGGACTGTGGGCAGCAACTTACAGTACTGCGACCATGTTTGTTCCGATGCCGTAGGTGCGTATCACGTAAGGAATAAGAGAGCCCAGACTGCCGTCGTTGATGCCGGCGACGAAGAATGAGACGCCGGTGCTGAGGATCTTGGGGTATAGCCATTTTGGTTGGTTGCAGGTGTCTGTCCTTGATTCTTGGAACGCGACAGGCTCCTCGGAGGCCGGTTCGGACGGAGCTCGTGTCTGAAGGACTAATGACTCCGTCCGGGTTTGTGTGCTCATATTGACATGGATAGAGCGAGATGACTAGAGATCGTCTCCCGCGGCCGTAGGGTCTTTAAGACGGACGGGGGGTTGTTGAGAACAGAACGGCAATTCAGGCCACGATTGCGGGAACTTCATTGAAGCAGACACACTGCTTGAAGGACTCGGCGGTGGATCTCCGGGGTAATCAAAAACGTGGAGAACGTGGCAGTCGGGGAAGCTCCGATCGCGGGGAGTTGATGTATCGTGCTGTCCGAACTGCCCTTATAGCCACGGTGACCAAGAGATATTGTAAGCGACCTAGACACCATGTTCTCTTATGTCTTCTGAATCTCTACCTAGGCGTTTCTTTTAACATCTTTCGAGACATCTTTTAACCCCCTTGTGACGGAAATGCACCACTTCGTTATGGCACCCAATTTCCGAGTATTGTAGTCATGCAAGATGTCCATGGCTAGCCTTCTCATTGAGTAGGCTGCTGCTGTATACTCTCGCAACTTCTTAGAGAAACACCTCTTTTCTACGATGCAAAGAACCATCTCCTGCTTAAAAACGGCTGTGATCCATGGGCCAAGAACAACCAGGGCCCGAATGCGGTGGATCATGCTCATCGGCCCAGAGAGAGGGATACTGTTGCTGGTTTGCTTCTGAGGGATGGTTTGGGCCCACAATGATACTTGAAAAAGGAGAAGCAGGTGCTGATTCCTATATACTCGATTTTAAACATCTTCTGTGGAGTTCTTGACTGCAGAGAATATGCAGCTCGACCACAAAAACAAACTGCGCATTCAGCACCTCATCCCAATATATGCTCACCAAAAGAATCACAGAATAGCAGTTGCATTAGCATGAGATCCAACACCACCTATATGAGTCCATTAGCATCCGCCCACAAACAAAAAGGAAATCCAAACTTACCAGGCATATTAGCAGGGGCACTAGTCATGAAGAAAGTCCACCTCCCTCTCTCCCTACACTTCCTCGCCAAAACCTCAAGATCCCACATCTCCCCAATCGGACACCCCCAAAGCGCCAACAGACTCTGATGCAAATGATCCAGCTTCGGGACCGGCCATACCTCAAATGTCGGCGAATCGCCCGCTACGCCCGCAAAGTAGCAATCATGTAGCCAGTCACGCATCGCTTCCTCCCGAGCAACGCCCGCAAATTCGAGGTTCTTGTGTGACCGTGTTGCGGCTGCGTATCGCTCGTCTGGGCTGAGCGAGTAATATTTCTCGACGAAGCCAGAGCGGATTAGTAGGAAATCGCCGACACGGATATCACCGCCTTGGGATTCGGGGCGGAGGTCGAGGCCTTGGAATCTGGCGCAGGCTTGGAGTTCGGAGAGAGTAATTGCATGTGAGGTGTATGGGTCGTAGGGCTTGTTGTGAGTTAGGGCGTAGTGGCGGTAGTCGAGGAGGACGCCTCGGCCGGCGATGCCGTGGGTTGCCCAGTGGTGGATGCTGCAGCGGAGGTTGGCGGTTTCGCCTATGAAGTCGGTGCTTTGGGCCTGGTTGTTTGTTAGTTTAGTAGAGAGAGAATGGAGGGCGGGCGTACCCCGTTGTAGAAGAGCTTGGTTGGGATGTGGCCGATCTGGGTCAGGTAGTTAGCAGGCTGAGGGGTGATTTATCGCCGAGGTTGAATACTTACATGCCGGAATCCATCCCATTGTGTGCCACTTTGTGTGTTCATTGAGTAGGTGTCGTCGTATGCGACACCCGGGGTGAGGGTCTTGATAGTATGCTGGAAGGTCTCACGGTCGAAGGCAGGCTTCTCGGGCACGTTTAGAGGAAGACTGGTTCATGATGAGCATCCTGATTTCATGTGTTGGATGGCACAACTCACTCTAGTCGAACCATCTCTCCAGTCTGAATCTCTTTGGCCGAGGCCTTAACACGCTCCGGCGTCAACAGGTTCAATCTCCCCAGCTACACTCGCATCAGTATGGCAAGAAGAGAAGATGTGCGGACACAAACCTGATCATCTTTGCCCCAAACCCAAGCTGCACCTTCAGGTGAATTGGGCAATCGTGGAAGCTCTTTCCGCAAAGGAAACCTGGCACAGTTGGGATCCCAGGGCAACTGGTCTGGGGCTTGGGTAGAGCCGGTCATTTTCACACGGCTGTTCTCAATTTGACCTGAAATAGCAGATAACCTGACGGAAGAACTACGGGCGGCCATGATGTCTTAATAGTCGAATGAACTGAAGCTCAAATCCGGCTAATTTATGTGGCTTCGGCAGATCGTGGAGTGCGGGGGAATGGCCTGCCGAGGATATTGGCTTCGTTGCATCCTAGAGGGCATTTCCCGAGGCTGTTGCTATCTTTTCTAATCATCTGCGTTGAGTACGCAGTTCGAATCAGATCAATGCGTGAAAAATGCTTGTACATCTTAAGCTCTCCATGCTGCCGGCTCTTCAACTTGAAGCTGTTCGGCGTAGTGACAGCGGCTATAGCAACGTCAGGGACGACATACTATATACTTCCCAGGATATGGAGACTGACGCTTTCCCGCATCTATGTACATGCAAGGTGGAATCAGCCAATGGACGCCGGTAATACATCTGAAAGCAACAGGGATTTACAGGAGCAATGTGTTATAGACCAAATGGCCCTCTTTTTTTCCTTTTTGATTGATTGATTGGAGTATTCTCCAAGATATGTTTATTGTACATTTCGCATGAAATGGTCTGCCGCCGCAATGGCCGACCTTCGTACCATGCTGTTGGCAGTGGCAAGAGCGCATGTTGCAGAACCTCTGTGCGTCTTTCATTCCCGAAGACCACACAAGAGGCGAGATACCCGCCCAAACCGGTATACCAGGAAACACGCGCTGTAGAGGGTATGCTTGACGATGAAAAAACAGAAAGGAAACCCAAAGCACAAACATGAACACCTATTGCCGGTCGCGGAAAAGAAAAAACAAAACAAAAATACCAATATTGCCGGCCCTGAATGCCCAAACCGAGTATTCCCATTGCGCCGAGACGAGAAAAGATAGCACGTTCAGTCGTTTCATTCATAGGTCCGGACACCCGAAAGAGATGCAATGAAAAATCATAGCAAATTGTTGCTAGAAGACGAGTTGGAATAAATGACTCGACTTAGCCCAGCGAGGGCACACCGGTCGACTGGGAGGATGGAGCACGGCCACCACGAGAACCGCCACGGCCGCCAGGACCATATCCGTAGCCGCGACCGCGACCGTATCCACGGCCACGACCATAGCCTCGTCCGCGGCCGCGACCCCGACCGCGGTTGCCATCGACGCTGCCTTGGCCGAAGGTTTCAATGTTGCGCTTCTCCTCTTCGCCGCGCCACTCGCGGCCGCCAAGGCGGGTAGCCGCGTTCTCCTCGCGATCACGGGCTTCACTCGAGATATTGTCGAAGAACGAACTGCCACGGTTGTAGAGGTTAGAGGTTGAGCCAGCTGCTCCAATTTCACTGCCCGCTTCATCCTCGCCATCGTGGCTGTGAGCTTCCGCTTCAGCAGCAGGGGAACCAGTGGCAATGGCTTCCTTGACCAAATCATGCTTGTTGAACTTGGCATTTGCAGTCTCGAAGTCGTAGTCCGATTGGGGAACCTCGATCTTCTTGTGCTGGGGGCGAGCTCCTCTGCGTCCTCCGCGGTGCTGGTGACCGCCGCGGCCACGCGTGTTATCGTAAGGCCGCATGTCATTCATCTTCCGAGTCATGGCTTCAACCGACGCATCGGGCTGTCCAGGCTTCTTCTGAGCGCCAGGCTGCGGCAGCTTGGCCATAGCAGCCGCAACGGCCGCGGCCGCGGCAGAGGTGGCGTCGGTGACAGGGACATTTCCGTGAGCACCAGCGGCAGGGGCGTTGTTCATGGGAACAACAGGTCTTGGGGCGGCCATCGGGATAGCTGGCACAACCCGACCGCTCCTCTGAACTGCGGCCATAGGGCCTGTCGGGGCTTGCACCGCTTCAGCAACGGACGGCTTGGACTCGACCGGCGGGGTGGGTGCGTTCTGAGCGCCAGGGGTAGCATTTCGGCTAACTGGCTTGCTCGGGACCTTGTCGCTGACAGGAAGCTCCGAAGTGGGCTTAAGACCAGGAGCGGCACCGGGAGGACCAGGGCGCTGGTGAGGGGGTTGGCCAGAAGCACCAAGGGGCATCTGAGGAGGGAATTGGCCAGGTCCTGGTGGGAAGCCGTGACCAGGAGGAGGGTACCATCCGGGGGGTGCACCATAGGGCATGTTGGGGAAACCAGGACCAGGAGGGAAGGGGGGAGGAGGTCCAAAGCGCTGTCCACCATAGGGCGGGTAGAAGCCCTGCTGGAATTGTGGTTGTTGAGGATACCCGGGAGGCGTCTGCTGAGCACCCTGCGGCTGCTGAGGAGGACCCTGAGGAGGGAGGCCAGGTGTAGAGCCCGGCTCAAGTCCAGGGGCAGGACCCGGTCGCGACATGTTCTGTTTTGCTTCGAGTCAGCAAGATGTCCGACCAAAGACGAGGTAAATGCAATGAGGCAAAATGGGTAAAATTGATCAATCAGAAGGAAGGCAACGGAAAATATCGACACGGTTTTTGCGCATTCCGAACAGGTCTGTGAGTTTACATCCGAATATATTTCATCATCTGATCAATTGGCCGAACCCATCGAAGGGTACGACCTGGTGGACTGGACTGGGAGGGTCGTGGGAGACGAAGCGAGGTAAACTTACACTCATGATGGCGGGGTCATCGGGAACCCGAAGGGGCTCAGGCTGTGTCTCCTTCTTCTTTTTCTCCTCCTCGGCGACACTGATGTCCTTCACATCACTGCCTCGGAACACAATGTATTCATAGATACTTGAGGAAGGAGGGATCTCATCGCCGGTGGCCCGTCGCCCTTCTGTGCCAAATGACTGGACATTCTCGAGGGCGATTGTGGAAGCCTCCGGGTTGATTTCATGGAGAGTACCGACATAGCTGGGGGAAAATTAGCAAGGATCTCAAGAGCGCGATTGACGATAGCGGGGACTTACCGAATGTCGCTCTTGGAGATGAGGTTGAAACGCTGACTGCCAGGTGTTAACTCCAGCCCAGCCGCACAAACCCTTCCGCCGAGGAGGTGCAGATGACTGACCCTATCAAATGGTTCATATCCATCTTGGCGGGCTGCGCGGAATCGCGCAAATAAGAAACAGCAGGAAAAAAACAGGAAAGAAAAGGGAGAGGGAAAATGTGGAAGGGAGATTGGGAAGGTTAAGAAGAGAAGAGAAGAAAAGAGAAGCAAAATCTGTGGTTTTGGTGGATTCGGGCTACGGCGGACTGCAGGAGCTTTGATAGCAAGTTTTTGGTTGTGCGCGGTGTGGGTCGTCCATGCGCTTGACAGCTCACTTTTCCCCTAACTTGGTGGAACTACCTAGGTAGCTATGGCGACTACTTCGAATCGTGATTATTTCTTTCAAACCTCGTGAGGACGCTATTCGTTGTGAATATCGGTAGCTGCTAATTGCTCTGACAGCGCTGCCCTCGACTCTCAAGAGCGGAAGGACGCCAAGTCCCAGAATACCAATGGGAACCCCATTAGGCTTGAGAGCAAGATCCTGGCTGTCCGTGCGGACCCGGTGAATCATGGCTCGATCTACGTTGCGCAGAGTAATGGCATTGTGAGGAGAGTGGTTTTGGCAGTAAGTATCTAAGTATATTTCCATGACGGTGCCATGTGTTTGACGACGTTCAGACGGGCGAGACATCTGCCCTTTTCAAAGGCCCCGTGGCGCCAGTGACGAGTGTATGTCTTAGCCCAGATGGGAAACTGCTCTTTGCCGGTTGCTGGGACAAGACGGTATGGAGCTGGGATGTTGCCTCGAGGCAGCCCCGGCAGAAGTACGAAGGGCATACCGATTTTGTGAAGTCGGTAGTCAGTGCTAGACTGCGTGGGGAAAACCTACTTATCACCGGTGGTGCCGATGCACAAGTCCTTGTTTTCAATATCGCAAGCGGTGAGCGAATTGAGACATTCAGGGACCACACTCGTGGCATTCAGGATCTCGCTTTTGATCCTGAATTGGAAGAGACCCAGCCAGTAGTGTTCAGCGCGGGGAGTGACCGTGAGATACGACAGTTCATGATCTTTGGTGGTGGTGAAACCGCGGAACCCCTTCTGCCCCATGACACCAGTGTGTACAAGTTGTTCTTCGACAATGACGGTGATCTGTGGACGGCATCAGCCGACAAGACAGCCAAGTGCTTGGTGCGTTCGGACGGCTGGAAATCCAATCTCAGCCTGGAACACCCTGACTTTGTGCGAGACGTTGTCGTCTATGAAACCGGAGGCTGGGTCGTTACGGCCTGTCGGGATGAAGAGGTGCGAGTGTGGAACCGATCTGTAAGTTTTCCATTCGATGTGCATGACCGGATGCTGATCGCTTTTAGACCGGCGAGCTCCATCACACTTTCTCGGGCCACTTCGAGGAAGTCACCGGCCTGGCCCTTGTGGGTTCGACTGTTGCCAGTGTGGGAATTGATGGCACCATTCGCCAGTGGTCTCTGCGACCTGACGAGCTGCAAAAGGCGGTGGATCTGGCCAAGAACGGTTCGAAAGAAGAAGAAAAGCCTGATGGCGAACCGATGTTGACGGAAGAAGAGGAACGCGAGCTGGCTGAACTGATGGATGATTAGACGTTGCATTGTGATACCCAGTCTGAGAAGATGCATATAAAATATTTCTAGACCGAGAAAATGCAAATAACGAAACAGTTATGGATAGGAATAGTCTGAGACAGTCTGCTTCCAACAACTGATTAGATCTATCAAAGGTCTTCCATTCTAAGAGGCACCAATGTTGGTGGGCTTCGAGTGCCAGGTCGGGCTCAAACATGCCCAAGTGTGTATATTCGAGACTTAGATGGAGAAACAGCTGCCAGGCAAAATTCTGGAGAACAAGTGTTTCTCGAATGTAATTGTAGAAAAGGCCATGTTGTCTGCTGTTCGTTTTATGATCGGGCGTAAAGAGCCCTTCTGCCTCTCATAACGAAGGGTTGGCCGCCTGGTATAGCAAGAATAACCACGGCATTAAAACAGCCAAATATGCGAAATCGTTCACTATGAGCTTAGAGATAAAACGCATATGCATGTTCGATCTCGCGATCACTCGATGTCATCTGTAAGTCACGTGAATATCTATAGCCCACGCCGCACTCAGTAGGTTAGAGTCTTTACGTTGTTCTTCTCGGTCTTTAATATTCCGTGGTTTAAACAGACTAGGTGGGAGAACCATTCGTCTTGTTCTCGGCTGAAATTTATCAATCAAGAGAAGATCGACCTCGAGATACATATCTGTGCTCCACCGGGTTTTAATGAATACATGCCTCCGTCCAAATGCTCACTGTGCCGATATACTAGTAATAGTATTCAAAGAAGCCCATTAGATGCTAAGATAAGTAGGTATAATTAACCGTTATCGCCAATGAGAGATGATTTAGAGTGGACTCGATGACGGTTGAAAGCACGTGACCTTTTGATGCATTCATGACGCACAGGGACGATCCCGATCTGCGAGGCCCCGACTTTCTCCTGCGGTCACCCCACTTTCGGTCCTGGAGTCCCCCTCTCTGTGCAACACCGTCTTGACTCGCACACACGCTGTACTATTGGTGGCGGGGTAGTATCAGTCCCGGTCCCTTTCCGGATTCCGTTAGTGCTTCCGACACAGACAGATACCAACTGGTACTCTATCCGCAGACTTTCAGAACCTCATATCGCGACGTCCATCATGCAGTCGCAGCACGAGGTTTCGGAGGCGGCACCGAAGCTGGTGAACCGCCTCTCGCAAAGCAGTTCGCCCTATGTGAGACTGCCTTCTCTTCCCGGCTCACCATATCAAGCTAACGAGCGTAGGTTCGGGGACACATGAACAACCCTGTGGCATGGCAGCTCTGGGATGCCGAGTCAATCCAACTGGCTCGGAAGTATAATCGAATGATTTTTCTTAGTATTGGATACTCGGCTTGTCATTGTACGTTCTCGTTAATCAGATTGCACTGGTCTCCGTTCTAACAGCTTGTAGGGTGCCATGTCATGGAAAAGGAGTCTTTCATGTCTCCTGAGGTGGCTGCAATTCTGAACGAGTCTTTTATTCCAATCAAGGTCGACCGTGAAGAGCGACCAGATATTGATGATGTCTATATGAACTATGTCCAAGCCACTACCGGCGCCGGTGGTTGGCCTCTGAACGTTTTCCTGACTCCCAATTTGGAGCCTGTTTTCGGAGGCACGTACTGGCCTGGTCCGAACTCGACAACTTTGCAAGGCCCGGGAACCACCGGATTTGTCGATATTCTGGAGAAGCTGAGCGATGTCTGGCACACTCAGCAGCAGCGCTGCTTGGACAGTGCGAAGGACATCACCGCCCAGCTGCGCGAGTTCGCTGAAGAGGGAACTCACTCGCAGCACGGACCCCGTGACGAAGACGAGGACTTGGACCTTGAGCTTTTGGAAGAGGCTTATCAACACTTTTCATCGCGATACGACTCTATCAACGGCGGGTTCGGCCGTGCGCCTAAATTCCCAACACCCTCCAACCTCAGCTTTTTGCTCAGACTTGGTGCATATCCGAAGGAAGTCGCGGACGTTGTGGGACAAGACGAGTGTGAAAAGGCTACTGCGATGGCGGTGACAACGTTGGTGAATATGGCACGCGGCGGTATTCGGGACCATATTGGCCATGGCTTCTCTCGCTATAGTGTTACGACTGACTGGAGCTTGCCGCATTTTGAAAAGATGCTGCATGACCAGGCCCAACTACTGGACGTCTATGTGGATGCGTTCCACTTGACTCACGATCCTGAATTGCTGGGAGCCGTCTACGACTTGGCTGCCTATCTGACAACTGAACCTCTTCAATCCCCCACCGGTGGCTTCTTTTCATCCGAGGATGCAGACAGCTTCCCCAGCCCGAACGATACGGAAAAGCGAGAAGGTGCTTTCTATGTTTGGTCTATGAAAGAGCTTATCCAAGTTCTGGGAACGCGTGACGCTCCAGTGTGTGCTCGTCACTGGGGCGTTTTACCCGATGGAAACGTGGCAGCCGAGTACGACCCTCACGATGACTTCATGAACCAGAACGTGCTCTCGATTCGTGCGACTCCGAGCAAACTCGCCAAGGAATTCGGATTGAGTGAAGAGGAGGTGGTCAAGATCATCAAGGGTGGAAAACAAAAGCTGCATGACTACCGCGAGAAGACCAGAGGCCGACCGGACCTGGACGACAAGATCATCGTGGCCTGGAATGGACTGGCGATCGGTGCACTAGCCAAGTGTAGCGTTCTATTTGAGGGAATTGAGAGCTCAAAGGCACTCCAGTGCCGTGAGGCTGCCGCACGTGCCATCAGCTTTATCAAGGAGAACCTCTTCGAGAAGACCACCGGCAAGTTGTGGCGCATCTGGCGTGATGGCAGTCGCGGCGATACCCCCGGCTTCGCTGATGACTATGGGTACCTGATCAGCGGGCTGCTGGACATGTACGAAGCTACCTTTGATGACAGCTATCTTCAATTCGCCGAGCGCCTTCAAAGTAAGAACCTTGTTCACTGCAAACGTGATCAGCGACTAATCTCGATGATAGAATACCTCAACGAATACTTCCTTGCCAAGACTGGATCTACACATGCCGGCTACTATAACACACCTTCAAGTATGACCCCTGGCATGCCACCTCCCCTCCTCCGGTTGAAGACCGGTACCGAGTCGGCAACCCCCTCGGTCAACGGCATGATTGCGCGCAACCTATTGCGACTGTCAGCTTTGCTGGAGGAAGAGGAATACCGGACACTGGCACGACAGACATGCAACTCCTTTGCAGTGGAAATCATGCAGCACCCATTCCTATTTGTTGGGCTGTTGGATGTCATCGTGGGTCTACAAATCGGCACGCGTACAGTGACAGGAGTATTCTGCACCGCAGAAATTACCAATTATCCATCAAGTAGCGGTCGCCTCGTCAGCCAGCTGAATCAACCGGCGTCGGCACGGGATCTCATTGTCCAGAAAGTGCGAGCCAAGACCGAGTCCAGAATCTCCTCGTCGATCGTCGTGGCCTCGCTCGTTGACATTCGACCCTCTCATCTCAAGGACTTTGTGGGTAACCAGTCATTCTGGTTGAAGTCGCGGAACCCACTGTTCAAGGATTTGAAAGCCGCCGATCCGGCCAAGAACTACCTGATGGTATGTGAGAAGGGACAATGCAGAACAGTGGACGTAGAAAAGGAGGTTTGATCCATTTCCAGTGCGTTGCCTTTCCTGGGCGTAACTCTTCATTGGCGTTGGAAAAGTACGTTACATTTGTTCGGTCTTAGATCGGGCTTGACTGGTGATCCCCGGTGCCTGCCGCACGCGGCTCGGGAGGGGGTCGCCCAGGCTTTCTTGGAAGAAGACCCTGTTCGGAGATTACAGCGCGGCCCAGTCCGGTTTCTCTTAGTATACGATTCGGATAAGTTAATGGTATTGAACGTGTCCAGGATCGACGGGACTACAGCCCGACCAAGGAGACATTACATGGACCTACTCCGTACACACTTCACTATCTGGTCCTGCTGCAAGATATCTTTCTTAACGTCTCTAAAAATCTGCCCGGACAGGTAATCATGAACGCCCTAATTAGGCCCACTTGGTTCGGCCTGTATACTACGAACGAGTCGGGTGCCGCCCAGGACATTTGCCCCAGCGGCTACACCCTGATCGGCGCCGACATTACGTTTAAATTAAGACTTTGTACAAGTTAGGGGCTGATTAATTTCCGATGCGAGTCCTGGATGATGCCTCGTCATCAGGACCGATTTCGAGAGGAGCGGGGGATGCGAAACTTTATTTAGTTCCTTGTTTTCGATTTGTTTGGTTCAGGAACGACAACACTTGCACGCGATCTGTGTCAAGAGGGATCTGACAGGAGAAAAAGAGATGGAAGGAGCCCCTGCATTAAGATTTTTGGCTGAAACGCCCCAGATTAAGAGGCGCATCCCGATTTAATCAATCCCAGATCAAGGACCGTGCGGGAATGGGCCAGGCGAAAGCCAAGTTTCTTAGCGGCTACGCTGTTCCGGTTGGTAATCTCCCGGCCGTCCTTGGCCGGCAGACTCTCAAGGGGGTTCTGCGATGGAGAGATGGAGATGCCCTGACTTCCCCCAGTCCCCGATGATGGTCACCCCGGTGAACAAATCGATCTTATCCGATCGTATTCTACGCCCATGACCGATGGCATCCCAGACGACAATTATTCTGGGGCTCATACACGTACGCACGGCAGAAGACGAGCGGGCCCCGAAATTGACCCTAGGGCGCTAGCTTGCATTAGTGGGATTGAGGATCCGCCCATCGTGTCACCTCCTTCCGGGACCACAGGAACCTTTGACAGATCCACACAGTCCGGAGAATAACTGTCGTGTTTCCTCCATTGCCCAGCCTCTTCTATGTAGGATGGTGCCGACCAATGAGATGTCTGTCAAAGACGCGTTGGAATGCTGAATGTCCCACGCCTGCTGGTGGCGGGGAGGACGTTGGTATGTGTCCCGCGTGTTGGTGAGGTTGGAGCAGGGCGCCAAAAAGCAATAAGTAGTAGAAGACACGGCATCTGCCGCGCGACCGGTTAGAAAGCTACTTCTCCAAAGGAAACAAGAGGCAAATTAAGGATCCTGGGCACTTGGAACCAATCTCGACTCCAATCTCATTTCCAAACAAAGTGATTCGCACGGACCCACTAGCTTCGGCTTCCCCTTTCTACATATACCCTCACCTTTCCCCCTCTTTACGCTCTTCACGCTTCCACTCCTTCCCGACCGTCGACACTTTTCTCTTGAAGAAAGGTGTTCTCGGCCTGTCACTCCTTTGACAAGCGCGAAATTCACTCCTTCTTATTCCAACCCGCAGTCGATCTGCGTTATTATCCTGACGACACACTTCCTGGGGAAGTTCACTACCTACACTCTTTGACCGCGACTTGATCTGGTATCGCCATGCGTTCGACTCTTCTGCTTGCTGCTCTGGCAGCTGGCGCTGTTAACGCCTTCGAAAGAAGCGTCTACGTGACGGATTGGACCACCGTCACCGTCACCAAGACCGTCACTGCGCCCGCCGCCGTCGAGACCGTTCAACCTGCCCAGCAGGTCCAGGTTGACCACCAGACCCCCACCATGTCTGTCGACCCCGTCGAGACCGAGCCCTCGGATCTCCCCAAGAAGCCTACCGCCATCGTTCCCGAAGCGGCCACTTCTATGCCCGCTCCTACCGAAGAGGCTCAACCCACCGCTGACTCCACTTCCTACTGGTCGTCTGCCTGGACTTCGACCATCCAGCCTCCGCCTGCCGCTTCCACCGTCTCAACTTCGACCACATCGGCCGCCCCCAGCTCCGCCCCTGCCAATTCCTACCAGCACGCCGTGCTGTACAACCACAACATCCACCGCAGCAACCACTCCGCCCCTTCCGTCGACTGGGATTCCTCTCTCGAGTCTAGCGCCCGCACTCTGGCCTCCAGATGTGTTTACCACCACGACACGTAAGTTCCTGATTGTCCCGTGGATTATCAACCCAGACTAACATTCATCTCTAGTTCCATCGATGGTGGTGGTTACGGCCAGAACATCGGCTACGGCGTCGAGGCGAACGAGATTGGTGTTATGATCACAAACCTGATGTACAACGGCGAGATCGGCTACTTCCCGACCCCCTACGGCGCGAGCCAACCCAGCATGAGCGACTTCGAGAAGTGGGGCCACTTCTCCCAGATTGTCTGGAAGGGCACCACCCATGTCGGCTGCGCGACCGTGATGTGCAACGACCTTGGCAACGTCGATTCTAGCTCCTCCCTGCCCTTCACCGTCTGCAACTACTCTCCCGCCGGTAACTACGAGGGTGAATACGGCGAAAACGTCCTAGCTCCTCTGGGCTACAAAACTTACGTCGCCTAAGAATGCCCCTAGATCCGAGACAGAACTATCCCTCCTTCACACCGATAGTGTACCTCTCGACATCTTGCATTCCTTTCTGTCCAGTTACTTTTCCCTATATCTCTTCGCTTCTTCTCAGCATTCTGCATGTCCTGCGCGGTCTATTCATAGACCGGGGATTCTCCAAAGGCGAGGATCGACATAGGTATCCCTTTCTCCCCTAGTCCCAAGCCATCATTTTTCTTCGGCTCGGGCTCCGGGGGAGTTCTGATTTGTATTTACGCGGAGGGTACCTGGGTTGATTTCTTCATTTTCTTTTTCACCCTCTACTCGCCTCGGGAGAAAGGCCTTGCGGGTGTGGCCCGTTCAAATGTGAATATTTTTGACCTGTTGTCTCCTAGCGTTTCTGCCCAATCTGTGGATAAAACATGGTCTGATTGATGTACCCTGAATTCGAGACGAGCCTTGCGCCTCTGGTGCTATGTCACGTGCCTTCGTAGTTGACCTTCCGCGCGTCAGCCCCTGAATCAGTAAAACTTTATCTTGCATTAGCTACACATTAGCTACATGGCGCTTGTTAGTACTGTATAAGACAATGACGTTGTTTTTATGCGAGGAGTTGGGGTCGCTGCTTGGGCAACTTGGTCTTGGATGGTACATAATCCCTGCATTGGTTTGTGGCGAGATGCATGCAGTGGTGATCTTCCAGGGGTAGGTGATTTGGTTTCCATTGCATGATTTGATTCTACTGGAGGCGGTGTTTCTTATCGCTGGATCCCCGATGTCTGATTAGAAAATGCCGTGCCAATTTAGAAGCATCACAGCAAATACTCCGGAAAATCACCCATTACCTGGAAGGCCGCCTGCAAGAAGACAGTCACGTCCAAGTAGTTTAAGGACTAAGACGTCCCCATCAGCGAAAAGCCGAATATTACCTCAAGTAAACGATGTAGATAATAGCGAAAGGAATTTTCCCCATCGATACTCAAGACCAGAAAGTCCCAGATCCCGGCTTTTCTCGATCGCGTTCAGAACGAGGTACCCCGTAGTACATCCGAACGGATAAACGCAGTATCGATCAGGATGCCGACCAATCTTCCCTGTATTTCAATGCCGGGGGAGTACATGGCCCTAAAGAGTAGTTAGACAAGCTGATGTTTTGCTCATGGAAATCTATTATGTCGCATCAAACCTTTCAATGCGACTTCAACTCGACACTATACCTGGAAAGGTAGGGTGGGGGCGGAGATGGCAAGAAGCCAAGACCGTTTCGGCCCGTGCTCTTTGGAGACGATACGGTGACATCAAAGTCCACCGAGACCCGTTCGTGGTCACGTGCAGCCCCGCGTAGCTCCCTTCGCCCGGAACGTCATCGCGTCATATGCGGACCTGAAGATCCCCACAATCACAATCCCACACAAGACGGCTTTTGTCTGAGTCTGCGGTGATCGATGTGCGGTTCGATCTTTAGGGAGCTCGACTATCATTAAAAGCTTACATTCTTCCTGGGGACTTGGCAAAGTACCCTGTATACCTCAGCTGTTCTTTTCACCCACGGACCTCTAATTCAAGGTTCATCTGATTAAGGTCGGGTGAGTTCCCCCACCACATACAATAATGAACCTCTCTTTCATCATCTGCCCTATACATCAGCTGGAAGGGTCTATTTCCAGCTGAACAGCGCGTGCAGGTCGTGCATGGCAGCCCTGTTCTCTTCCATTTGGCAAAATCATCTGACAGGCCCCAGCAGAAGCTCATCCGTTCCTCCGGCGCTACGCCTGCGAGTTGGGCCCCGGACACCCAATCCACATCCCGCGGCTCGCGTTTGACTCTGTAAGTCCTTTTCCCCGTCCCTCCCTTCAATCCGAGCCGCTTCCACAATCCTCCGCAGTGGGGTATCCGGGCTGGGGGTATATAGTCTCATACTCGCGCGGTTTACTGCTCGTTCCCCTCAAGAATTACCTTATTTTCTGTCTCGATGTCTGTTCCCATGAGATAGCCCCAATGCCATCATACTACCTACAAGATTGTCATTACTTCTATCGCACAGCCTTGCGCCTCCTATCTCTTCCCACTTTCCTCGCCAGTCACTACGCTTGATTCGGATCAAAGCGCTAACATCATGTCTTATTCACCAACGGCAGTCCGTTACTTCACTGCACCGAAACCTTTGGAGCATGCCATGGAGGCCGAATCTAAGAACTCCGGGGCTGAGTCCCATGGCCACACGGTCGTGAGGCCGAATGTATCGCCCGATAGGCCTTCTCAGGGCGTCGAGGCTCACACGCCCAAAAAGCAAGGCTTGACCTTTGCCAACCAAGATTCACTGCCCAAATTGCCAATTCCTGATCTTGAAGATACTTGCCGCCGACACCTCGAGGCCCTCATGGCTTTGCAGGGCCCACGGGAACACGAGGAGAGCAAAGCAGCGGTAGCAGAATTCTTGAAGACGGATGGACCGTCTCTACAAGAGAAACTCAAGAACTACGCTAGTTCAAAAACAAGCTACATCGAACAGTTCTGTGGGTGTTTACTCATTTATCAAGAGAGAACGGTGACTGATTGCCTCCAGGGTACGACTCGTACTTGAACTTTGATAGCTGTGCGTATCACATACATCGATATTGAATTCCTTGGATATAGCCACTGACGCTTTCTAGCCGTTGTTTTGAACCTCAACCCATTCTTCTTACTGGAGGACGACCCAACTCCAGCTCGCAATCACCAAGTCACTCGGGCTGCCTCTTTGGTCATCTCGGCTTTATCTTTCGTTCGGGCCGTTCGGCGCGAAGAGCTTCCACCTGACACTGTCCGCGGGACGCCACTTTGCATGTACCAGTACTCGCGACTTTTTGGCACAGCTCGTCTGCCCTCAGACAACGGCTGCGTCATCAGCCAGGATCCCACGGCCAAGCACGTGGTTGTCTTGTGCCGAGGCCAATTTTACTGGTTTGATGTGCTGGACGACAACAGCGATCTGATCATGAGCGAGAAGGACATCGCGCTGAACCTTCAAGTGATCGTTAATGATGCAGCCCAGACCTCTATTCATGAAGCAGCCAAGGGTGCCCTGGGTGTTCTCAGTACTGAGAACCGAAAAGTTTGGTCGGGACTGCGGGATATCATGACCAAGGACCCGGCCTCCAACAACGCCGAATGCTTAAACATTGTCGACACTGCTCTCTTCGTCCTTTGTCTAGATGATACTGAGCCTTCCAACACGTCCGAGCTGTGCGCCAACATGCTTTGCGGCACAAGCGAGGTGATCAAGGGTGTACAGGTGGGCACGTGTACCAATCGATGGTACGATAAGCTGCAGATCATCGTCTGCAAGAGCGGTAGCGCCGGTATCAACTTTGAGCACACGGGTGTTGATGGCCATACTGTGCTGCGCTTTGCCAGCGATGTCTACACCGATACCATTCTCCGATTTGCGCAGACCATCAACGGTCAGGCCCCAAGCCTATGGGCGACGTCTAGCCCCGACCCATCGAAGCGTGACCCGCGCAGCTTCGGAAACGTCAGCACTACTCCGCGTAAGCTCGAGTGGGACATGACTCCGGAGCTTAATATCGCATTGCGGTTTGCGGAATCACACCTGTCGGATCTTCTGTACCAACATGAATTCCGTGTTTTGGATTTTGAGGGTTACGGCAAGAATTTTATCACATCGATGGGATTTTCCCCCGACGCGTTTGTGCAAATGGCATTCCAAGCTGCTTACTACGGTCTCTATGGTCGCGTGGAGAACACATACGAGCCAGCCATGACGAAGATGTTCTTACACGGTCGCACCGAGGCTGTACGGACCCTAACTCCGGAGGCCCTTGGTTTTGTCAGGACTTTCTGGGGCGAGAATCCAGCAGAGAAAAAGATTGACGCGCTACGCACCGCCACACAAAAACATACAGCTTTGACCAAAGAGTGCTCCAAAGGCCAGGGTCAAGATCGCCACTTGTACGCTTTATACTGCCTGTGGCAACGATCCTTCGACGACGGACTCTCCTACGACACCGGCTCAACAGGTGGATATAGTAGTCCCGGCGAGGGGGTCGAATCACCCAAGTACTCGGAAACATCGGAGGACGGCTTCTCCTCTCCCAACGGCAGCAGCCTTCGTGGCTACCGCACCGTCGCACCACCCACACCCGCCATCTTCAGTGACCCCGGCTGGGACAAAATTAACAACACCATCCTGTCCACGTCGAACTGCGGAAACCCGTGTCTGCGCCACTTCGGATTCGGTCCGACGTCCGCCGACGGCTTCGGTATTGGGTACATTATCAAAGACGATTCTATTTCCTTCTGTGCTTCTTCGAAGCATCGCCAGACTGCACGTCTTATGCAGACTCTGGAGTCTTATCTCCTGGAGATCCGGAAACTGTTGCGTACTGCGAACCGGAAGGCCACCAGCCCGCGTACTAGTCGTGCTCGTGAGACTGAGGCTCTGGCCGAGGGCTTGCAGACCGACTCACAGCGCCGTGGCCGCATTGTTCGGAGTGACACCCGTGGTACGGGCTTTGATACGCCTACCACTACGACGGACAGCGTGGAGCCGGATGATGATGGCATGGGGGGATGTAAGTACCGCACTTCCTCGTTTGATCTCTATTCACACAGGAACATAACGCTAATGGTCGATACAGATGGCTTCTTCGATGCCGGTATGCTTCTTCATGCTCTAAAGGGCGTCAATGCGGACAGAGAGCGTGGAGAGAAACCTGCGAGACGGCGATTCGTTGGAAAGAAGCTCCATCTCAATGAATGTTAATGGGCTAGTGCTTGCTATGAATTCCCGATGTCATGTTTATATCCCTGAATATGAATGCAAATATCTGCCATTTAGCTCTGAAACAATATCTTGAGGGTATGTGCACAATCTAAAAGGAATCTTGTTTCATCGATGATCGAATTGATCTCGACACTTCCTGATATGGCTACAATGCTGTGGCCGCTGTTTGTACTGGGGAATGCAGGGTTGGAAGATGAGGAGCACCGGCGATTTATACTCGGCAGACTGACCACATTCAAATTCGTGGAGCCTAGGTAGCAGCGTATGTCGAACAATTGAGGCTGCGAAACATTCATTCGGGATGAGGGATTTGTCATGCTCAAAGAACAGGGTGTGGGGGCACGAGAGCTACCGCTACATCGGCCTGGCTTGAGGAGAGGAGGAGTCAATGTTTTAATTTGTTTTCTATTCCATTTCGCGTGCTTATATTTCAGCAATCAAAAATCATAACAATTTCTCTCCTTATAGAATATGATTCGGGGTAATTCCGAAGCCCTCTTCCCAAATCAGGTCTACCATCTTCAATTTCCGTGCAGTTTCTCTACACGACTGAAATAATAGAACCTCTGCAAAAATTGGTCTGCACCTCTATTATCACCAATACTACTCAATTGCACCACTGGCGATCATAGAAGTGTTGATGCCTTCAAGGTCAGGCACCAAACCAAACCAAGCACCTCGGGAATTTGCTTGTGGGGAAGCTCCGAGACCGGATAGCCGACTTACTAAAGAAGCCGTCTTGAAGTCGGCCACCCAAACATCGTTGGGAAACAACTGGGCATATAAATTCACCGTAAAGGGCCTATTGATTGCATGAGCTGAATTACACCGCATCTATATCGCATGAGTAGCCCCGGTCAACCTCTCAATGCCTTTGCACTTTCTGTCAAGACGCGTGCCCCATGCTGGGCTGTGGACCAGGCAGTTCTCAACTTCGCCGCGCAGTGCTAGCTACGCGAATACCTTGCACAACTTGAAAATTGGAGCTCACACGAGGGTTATTTTTCAGGGGTTTACTGGTAGGTCCTCGTGCAATGGTGCTGCGCAACGTCAACCTCGTGGCTAACTCACCCCGCAGGAAGGCAGGCTACTGCCAACGTGAAGGAATCCTTGGAATGGGGCACCAAGATTGTCGGAGGCGTCAAGCCTGGTGTTGAAGGTGAACACCTGGGACTTCCTATCTTCCCTTCGGTCAAAGCGGTACGCGGGATTCCCATCTTAGACATGCAACAGTGAACTAATATGCAATTCGGGTGCAACTAGGCCCATGATACAGCAAAACCCGATGCCTCCGCTATTTATGTTCCGGGTAATCAGACAGCACAGGCCATTGAAGAGGCCATTGAGGCCGAAATTCCACTCGTGGTAGCAGTTGCCGAGCATGTCCCCATTCACGACATTCTTCGGGTAAGCCTGTGATCCCAATACACTATCTCTGGATACTCGTTAACAATGTTAACAGATCCATTCCATGCTACAAACCCAGTCCAAGACCCGTCTGGTCGGTGCGAACTGCCCGGGTATCATTTCAGCCATCGGAAAGTGCCGGATTGGCTTCCAGCCCCTACCATGCTTTGCGCCGGGCAGTATCGGTATCGTAGCCAAGTCGGGAACTCTGAGCTACGAGACTGTCGCGTCTACGACCCGAGCCGGGCTGGGACAGAGTCTTTGCATTAGCATGGGCGGCGACGTGTTGGCTGGTACTAACTTTGTTGACGCGCTGAAGATCTTTGAACACGACCCTGATACCGAGGGCATCATCATTGTTGGCGAGATTGGTGGCACGGCTGAGATGGATGCTGCAGAATGGATCAAGGATTATCGGCAGCGAACGCAAAATCCTAAGTAAGCTCTGCCTTGGTGTTCTATGGGCCTCTGGCTAACCGCTGTCAGGCCTATTATGGCTCTCGTGGGTGGATTGGAAGCCCCCCCGGGACGCGTTATGGGACACGCGGGAGCTTGGGCTGCACCCGGTGAACCTGATGCTCTAACCAAGTATCAGGCACTGGAACGAGCTGGTGCCGTTATGGTTAACCATCCCGAGAAGTTTGGTGTGGGCATGAAGGCGTTACTTGGGAATGCCGGCCTGTCGGGCGCACGCGTGAGTCCTGAACTGAAATGGACCTGATAATATACTGACAGCATACAGTCAATCTCGGGAGGGGGCTCTCAAAAGCGTGGATTTCATACCATGAGGCGCACAGCCCCAGCTCCGAGGCCCGTGAACCAGCAGAAACGCAGTTTTTATGTCAAGCAGTTTCAGGCATTCGACATTTTGAAGCAAAAGTCTGTTCCTATCAATGAGACTTCTTCTAGCTCCGATGCATTAATCTCTATCTCCGTTGACCGGACGGCTTTGTCTCCATGCATCATTGCGTCTCCAAGTGCGTCTAACCTCAACAAGGCGCAGAGATTCCCCTTCACCTACACCCAGGCCAATTTTGACAAGAGTCCTGTCATTGCTGAAGTTGCATCGCATCTGGGTCTGCCTGAATCGGCTAACGGCAAGTTGGCTGGTCTGGTACAAGCTTTGTGGGAAATCTTCAAGGAGAAGGAAGCTTTCATGCTGGAGACGCGCGTTGGGGTATCGGCCGACGGAAACCTGGAAGTCCACGGTGCCCATTTTGGATTTGATGATGCCGCGTTCCGCAGCTCGAAGCGCCAGGGAGAGATTCACAGTCTACGAAACATCGCCGAAGAAGTTCCGGAGGAGGTCGAAGCCGAGAAGGACGGAATTGTCTATGTCAAGTACGTCGGTGAACTCCTCACGGACGTTTTGTCAATGCTAACCATAACAGATTGCAAGGTGAGGGTAGCATTGGTACTCTAGGTATGTGCCTTGCGCCGTTATTTGGAGCGATCTTTTGACTGACAATCTACTAGTCAACGGAGCCGGTCTTGCCATGAACACAGTCGACGCTCTCACGATCCACGGTGGCCACTGCACCAACTTCCTCGACACCGGTGGCAAAGCCACCTCCGAGACCGTCAAGTCATCTTTCAAAATCATCTGCTCCGATTCGCGTGTCAATGCCGTCTTTGTCAATATCTTCGGTGGGTTGACGCGTTGCGACATGATCGCCGAGGGAATCATCATGGCTTTCCGGGACTTGGATATGAAGGTTCCCGTTGTGGTGCGACTGCGTGGGACAAACGAGGAACTTGGCCAGAAGATGGTAAAAAGCCCCCTGATTTATCAAGGTCTCTCGTTCTATTCACTGACATAATTTGGTGGCAGATTGCGGAAAGTGGTCTTCCTCTCCACGCATTCGATGGATTTGAGGACGCGGCCAAGAAGGTGATCTCGCTAGCTCAAAACTAGATCAATATCTTAGAGGTTATATAGAGTGTGTATGTCGGCAATAAACAGACATTGTCGATGCACAATCCTCTGTCATGTTCACAAGTCGCCCACGTTCTATTTGGGGCCGAGGCATGTCATCACGTACTCCGTACAGTACATTAACACCCAAGATTGTCGATCATAAGCACCCGAATCCACCCTAGAACAATTTCGAACGAATACCTAACAACAACTGCCTCGGAAACACCGAATGTCTCATGTAAATGAATCGCCGAGGAGATGGAGCACGCGCTCGCCCAGCCTAAGGCTGGGAATCCCGGGTAGGCTTAGCCCAAACCGGGTCTCCACGATCGACCAGGGATGCGCCGGTAGCGGTGACGCCATGCACCTGTGATCTTCCATTCTAAACTTGCAGACTCCGCAAAGTCTCTATATTTGGCCTCCCCTCCCCAAATAAGTATACGCCGCCTGCCTACACCCTACACCTCCATGCTGAAAGTCCTATAAATCACGTGCCATGTCTGACCTGCGCTCCGAGCTCCAGTCCAGCCTCAGCGGACTGGACATTAGCAAAAAAGGGCCGTTGCAGGACATCACTCGCCCGAACATGAAAACCACCGCCCCCGCGAAGCCCAAGAAGGCGAAGAAGCCCGTCCTGGACTCGTGGGATGACGAGACGGAGTCTTCGGGCGACGAACCCACACCTCTGCAAGACGGTGCATCCTCCTCAACCTTCCTTTCTCCCACCATCAGCGCGGAGGGTCCTCTAGATCCCCCGCCGACGCCCATCTCGCCACAGACGTCGCAGCCATGGGGTGCCGCGACATCGGCGCCCACGTCGGAGCCCCCGTCGGCCTCTTCGCAGGGTGATCCTGCTCGCCGGCCAGAGAAGCAGACTGCTGTTGCTGGCCGGCTGATTGCCGGTGCGTTGGGGATCCGGGCACCCAAGCGTACTGAGGAGCAGCGCGCTTATGACCGTGCTACCAAGGAGCAAGAGATCAAGCGCCGCAATCGGGAGCGCGAGGATCAGGCCAAGGCTAAGGAGGAAGAAGAGCGGGCGAAGGCTTCTGTGTGGACTGATTAAGTGTGCGTTTCTGTGGCTTACTCTTATAAATATTCACCTGTATATATGTGTGTGTTGTATTACATGGCGCTTCAGTTGGTTGTGTTCCGGTTGGATGTGTGATTTTGTTTTTGAGTTTACTGAGCGGTGGTTAATCCCCAGTGGTTCTATTGGACCGGGGGCTTTCTTTTTTGATTACTACAGAAGGTATAATATGATCAATGACAGTGTCTGTCACTGTGAGTTACAGCGATTATTGCCTTTCGGGTTTGCGAGACTTTTAATAGCCGATAGACCTTGGGACCCGTATTATTGAGAACGCCGCAATCCGGGCGGTTTCAGTAAATTCGTTGACTCGTTAAGAACAGCATGTAACTCCCGTCGATGAAGCCGACCCCGTCGCTGGTTTTCCTTCCGCCAATCCTATCGCCATTCGTATGCAAATCGCGCACCCCGAAATTGCGCGGTGAGAGCTAGCGAGAAGTGGGATCTCAGGATCGCAAGCTGGTCTAACCTCCAATCTGTTCTTGGTGAACCTCGAGAGTGTCGCCATCTGCCATATCGAGCTGTTTATTTGTCAGCGGTGGATCTCCTCGTTCTTTCAGATATAGGGACGTACCGTGTCAGGAGTATCTTCGGGGCGCACACGGGTTCCATCGAACAGGAAACGCACGGTGGCCATCTGCTTTCCTTGGCGTTCGCAGAAGGCATCCATGAGCTTCTTCAGCTGCGTGGAGCGCTTAATCTTGAAGAAGACTTCATTGTTGTTGTCGGTAACTTTGATGTTGAGGTGCTCCACGGCGGGAGCGCTGCCTTCCTTCTCGGCCGACATTGCGAAGATGGATGAGAGATTGTCTGAAGTCGGGGTCAGAAGGCGATCGTGCGGGAGGTAACGCGGGGCGCTTACTTGGAAGAGGATGCGATGAGCGATCTAAAAAGATCTGAATGTCTTCAAGTATGAATATTAGCTGACGCGATGCTGGTGGGAATGCGACAGGGGTTAAACTCACAGGATAGAGGTGATGGAGGGGGAAACCAAAGTGAAAAGAGTGAAAGAGAGAGATATCAAGCGGCAGAATGGCGACTCGCCCCACAAAGGCGGAGAATCTATTTTGCGTCATTCAGTCCGGGAAGAGGCGGCGACTATGAGCTTCCATTGAGCTTCCGTCTTTCCTTGTTTACTTTCACATTTCATCATGGTAGGTGAAACCAAAGCTCGTCAAGAGTCTAGAACTACGACTGACTCTCCTACAGGGAAACCTCAAGCAAGATCTGTCTCACGAGACACCATGTCACCCGCGTGCTGTACGCCTCACACCCCGGTCCCTCTCTCCTTACCCCGGAAGCTGACTGTCCTAGTGCGCCATTCAAGGTACTCTCCTGTGACTTCACATTCCAGAGACCGGGACTAACCAGGTGCAGACTGCTTGACCAAGAACGGTTACAAGGAGGAGAATTGCCAGGCCCAGATTGACGCCCTCTACGAGTGCTGTAAGGCCTTCTACGAGGAGCGAGGAGAGAATGCTTCTGTCGTCAGCTGCCCCAAAGCGAGCCTGCTGCGATTGAAGATGAAGCAGCGGGCAGAGGCAGCGGAGAAGCAAGGTTGAGCGGCATAGCGCATAGCATAGCAATTGGCATGTAACAGCCCTTTTGCAGTCTCAGCTTCCATCTGGAGGAAGCTAGGCTTGTTGAAGGACTGCTAGATTATTATAAGACAACCGTGAGCACGCTAAGAGGCCTCAAGGACCTGAATGAAGATTGATTACCTCCAATCCGAGACTCTAATGGAAGCCTATAGACATTGAAGAAGAAAAGAAAAAAGAGGAAAGAGATTTTGAGCGAAAAGCATTAAATAACGAAAATTCCCGTGCCGACGGCGCTAAACCGCTTTGGGCAATGGTCCCAACGCGCCCAAAACCAAAAGAGACAAACACGATTTCCCGAATTCCTCCTCCTCCATCAACAACATCGAAATACAGATACATCTTCGACGTTGCTGGCCTGGTTTGTCATCATTCATGATGGCTCCCCTGACTAGGTCTGCTGCGTCTACGGGCACGACCCGCCGCTCTCAGGTACGCGACCTTGTCTCTTTGTGCAGCTTGTGTAGCTCCTAATGGTTTCTTACCTTTCAGGCTCCGCCCAAGCAACCCGAGATTATCAACATTGACGAGGACGAAGGCGAGGACGAGGATCTCATGGATGAAGAGGAAGAGGTCTTCGACGATGAAGAAGAGGGTGATTACGACGAAGAAGAGCACGAGATGGATGAGACCATGGACGACGTCAACGGCGACGTCGTCTCGGAGACAGGACCCGCCTTCCCTGCATCGGAGCGCAGTCTGAAATCCGTCGTCAATTTCTCCAGCAGAGCTCAAGGTTTGTTTTTGTCATACTGTTTGATCAATTGCATGGCTCATCATCCACAGATTCCCCTAAGCTATTTACAGCGTCGGGCGCGCAGGAAGTGCTACAGCCCCTTCGCCGAACGGCCGACCGTGTCACGCGCCAGATCGAGGCCTTTGCCGACAAGCTTGAGCAGTTCAAACGCAAGAATGCTACCGACGAGTTCCACAGCATCCAGGCCGCCTACAAACTAGTTGAGAGCTACCGGGATCTGGCGCAAAATGCGATACAGGACATCAACAAAGAGCAGACTCTCCGACGCGCGAAGATGGGTTTCCGATCAAGTGGAGTGCAGGATGCCAAGGCAGACGAGGAACTGCAGCGCTTGCAGCTCGAGGTCGACACCTGGCGCCTGCTCCTCAATCTCATCAGCATCGACGACCCGGCCAGTCGGGCCAGCTTCAAGGAAGGACGCCAATCCGCCTTCCAGAATCTTCACCGATACTCGACCGATCGCGAAGTCTGGGAGGAATTCTTGTCTGCAGATCACTATGCGCTCGAGTGCGTCATCGCAATGAAATGGCTGGAGGAGACATCGAAGACCGGCGATCAGGATCTCGACGGTCTAATCTTGGACATGGAGGCGCAGGCTGAAAGAGGCCAGGGACTGTGGGCCCACGGGTGGCTATTCACCAAGGAAGCGATCAAGGGCCACAAGCGCCTGCGTGCCTGGCCGCAACCTCTGGAGCCAAATGACCCCGGTATCACTCGCTCTCTCCTGAGCAACGACGAGCAGCGACCTCTCATTACACAATTGGACCCTGATGCGCTTACCCGACAAAAGCAAGGCCTGCAGAGGCAGGACGAGTTCTACGAGCGTGCCACTTGGATGGCCTGCTGGAAGATGCTCCGACAAGGCGAGAACTGGACCACCATTCGTGAATGGGCCTCGAATCGTCTTGAGAGCTGGCGCGCCGTGAGTCTTTGCGGGTCTAGTGTGGATACGAAGAACACCCACACCCGGACTCCCGTTGATGACGGCATGACACGCTTGATGAACAGCCGATCCCATGACTCGTGGCGCGGTGCTTGCGCTGCCCTGACGCGCAACCCGAATACTGACGATTTCCAACGGGCAGTTTACGCCCTTCTCTGCGGTGAGAGCGAACCCGCGGCGAAGGTCTGCCGCAGCTGGGATGACTTCCTTTATGTTTACTTCAACCGTGTTGTGCTCTCGCGCTACCAGGGATTCTGCAAGCAGTTCCAGCGCAAGCTGAGCCATTCGCCTACCACCCCAGTTGTGTTTCAGCCTGAGCCTGCTGGCCATGCAGATCTTCAAAAGTTCTTCCAGTATCTACGAGGCAACGAGCAAGTGGGCGGTGAGGCACGGAATCCGTTCCGTAACATTCAAGCTGCGATCCTAAGCAAGGGCTACGATTCTTTCTTCTCGCTTATTGCCCAGGCTATCTCGCAAGTCAGTGCCAGACACCCTGAGAAGGCTTCCATCATTCCACCTATGGTGCGTTCGCAAGTGGATGAGGCATATCTCATTGCTGCGGATGATGAGGAATCCTTGAAAATTGCAACGCACATCTATCTCATTGTCAACTCAATTGGCTACGTCCGCACTGATACTCAGTTCCTTGAGACGACGTCGGTACTTGTGGCCGGGTACATTGCCAATCTGGAAAGCAAAGGCCTGTACGACCTGATCCCGCTGTATGCATCTGTTCTGCCTCAGGAGATGTCTCATAGTGTTATCTCAAGGATCTTGATCGAGATCACCGAGCCTCGAGAAAAGAAGCAGCAGATTCGCCTCATGCAGAAGCACGGCGTCGATATTAATGCCGTTCTTGATGCCCAATGGTCGTGGCTAAGCACTGGTGTTTCCTCGATCGACTCCTCAGGGAAAGTTGCCGGATACCCGCGAGTGGTCAAACGAGAGAATGGAGTGCGTGTGTTGACGCCGCCCAAGAAGGACCTGATTGGCACCTTCATTGCGGATGAAGACGAAAAGATGATTCGCAGTCTCGAGTGGCTTCGCTATGTGGGCGGCCAGTGGCCCAAGATTTGCAAGCTTGGTGCTTGGCTGTACCGCAAGTTCTTTGGTATGTTTGATCCTTTCCCTTCCGAATGTAAGAAGTATACTAACTTGGTGCAGTTGCTGGTAAACTTGCGGCTGCTCGAGAGTTGAGTCACCGTATGCGTTTGGCAGAGGTTTCCCAGGAATCATTTGGGTTCGACATCTTCCAATTCCCCGTGTTCGACCATGTGGTGGCCGAAGACTCTGCGCCGTCTAGCCCATCTAAGTCCAAGAGGAACAGTGGCCATTTCCATCGCCGAAGCCTCTCTGGCAATGGCAATGGGTCGGCACCTGTCGAGCCCGGTGACCACTCGCTTGCGTATCAGCAGTGTATTCGGATGTACAATCTAGAGACTCTGGCTCTCGGCTTCGATGCCCTGGAGCAGTTTGCAATTGTGTATGACCAGATCTCCAAGTGAGTAATACTTCCCCGTCTCAGGAAAATGTGCACGCTAACCCTTCTTTCAGAACCAAGCGGCGCCGTGATTCTGGCACTGTGAACAACTATCTTCAGGAATTGGAGGAGCTTCTCCAGGAAGTCGAGATGAACGTGGGACTCGTCGTTGACGAGTGGCTAAGCACATCCATCAATGGTAAGCACCTGTATTCGCACATCCTTTGTTCTTTTAATGCTAATCATTGTTACACAGCCGATGAAGAAGAAGACTACGCGTACATTCGCAAAACCTACCTGCCTGAGTTGATCCTCGATTACCACAACGCCTTGTACTACGCAAGCCACTCTCTCGACAAGCCAACCCTGCTCACACAGTGCATGACGGTGTCGATCTGGGTCGCGAACGTCCCACACCTGACCCGCAGCTTCACAGAGGCGAAGCGCATGGCCGAGCTTATGGATGCATTGGCCCTGGCCAGTAAGGCAATGGTTCTCACCGATGAGGGAAGCGACCGCGTCTTCGAAAACGGTCAGACTCTGGGCATCTGGAGGGTTAAGGTCCCCGAAGATGATGAGTCGAGTATTCTTCAACGGGGCGAGTGAATCGGAGTGTAATGTGTATCGTTGTACATTAGCATACGGGAACCAGGGAAGGGGCAAGATTACATGGGATTAGCATGGAAAGAGAGATCCCTACAAATACAATGGATCCCACCAATGGGCATTTTTCAATTCTCAACAAGCTCGTTCCTCGCATCACGTATGAATTTTCTTTTTGATACTCATCATTCGACATAGCAGGTCCCATGCAAAACCTCCAGGTAAGTAGACACCGCTCATTCAAACGGTTCCATGAGCTTGTTCCCAAGCACCTTGGCCGGAAAAGCTTCCTCGCCCAGGGCCGTAGTATGTGCCCAGGGCTTCAGGCCATTTTCACGGTGGATCGTAGAGGCGAAGCACTGGCTCCAGTGATGACGTGGGAAGTGCGCCGATACAACCTTGATGCTGTCAGAATGGACCAGATCGGCATAGGTGCCGGTATTATCTATACGCCAAGAATTATAACAGTTATCTCCACAAGGTTAAACAGTCGGTCAAACTTGTACTCCCCATGACAAAGGATACCAAGATATCCAGGAACCGGGGAAAGGAAAACTAGACATGATAAAAACACATACCAAAGATCGTCGCCAGCAGCAGCAATTGCCCCAACGCGGTAATCTTCCTCCGTGTCGCAAAGATCTTGATGCCGAATAATCGCCTCTGCGACACTCTCCCCTTGCTCCCGCGGCGTCCCACCATCCCCATCCTGCAGCACCTCCAACGCCAAGAACCCACCATAGAACTCAAAGCTCATGTGCGTCTTATGCAGGTTCTCATCCGTAGTTCCGATATCATGCAGCACATATGCCAGGGAGTAGGTCTCGTTGGAGAAATCCCAGTCCGCATGAGGGAAACGATAGCGTTTGATGGCAAGTCCGTAGTGGCATACGCGCAGTGAGTGTTTGTAGGTTGGTTCTGGGAGGTGGGCACGGGCATATGCGTTTATGCGCTGGGCAAGTGCGCTGGTTGGGATTGGGGGGTGTGTTGCTTGAATATACTGGTGTTGAGTGAGGTGAGCAGGGCGGAGGCAGATGCGGGCACGGCTGTGAAGCCGTAGGTGGTGATTGAGTTACACGTTCTTGTTTTTGAATGTTTGGATGGAAGGCGGGAGGTGGAAGAGAGTGGTGTTTTACGATGATGGTTGTAGAGTGTGAGTGAAATAACCGTGAGTAATGGATCTATATACTTCCCAGAGCCCCCCGAGGCTTGGTACCGGGCGCCTTACATTACCCGGATAGGAATGCAGCTCGACGTTATGCAGGTATATTCCTATGGTGCTACACAGTCGTTTGAAACTTTTGCTGGTGCCACCGTGGAACTCCGCGGATATAGCTTTGCGGGGGTTGACAGCAGTGATTGGTTAAAACGGGGTGTTCAGTGGCTGTACAATGTAGGCTAGACATGTTATTGGAGCATACCGAGGGTGAACCCTCCAAGTGATATAAGATAAACTTGAGATATCGGAAGAGTAACGAATACTAGATTTAGCCCACCTGGGCACCGGAAAGAGACTAGACGAGGTACTGTATACCTGGCTATTAAGGCCTCTAACTCCATAACTAGGTAATACCTTTACCGGGTGGCATGAGCGGACCGGGAGTATTATCAACGCTGTACCCGACCATTCTGCTTGGGTATAGAAAGTTTAAGCGATAGACATATTGCCATGACCAGTGCAAGGTTGTACGCTGGAACCTACCTTGGGTAGTCAGTCGTATGTGCTGAAAAAAATAACAACAACTTGCAGGGTCCCATGGAGTTGTAGATACGATCTTTGCCAAGATCGATCCTATAGATGGGGTCAATAAGTAACCCACAATTCTGCTTGGTTACTATTTCAAGGTACAATAAACTAGCTCATGTAAGATACCTAGCGTTGGCAAAATCTAGTGGTAATAGCAGACCCAATCAGATCCGAATGGGTTGAATCCCTGGTTGCTCCTGAGGAGCGGCTTGGGTTGCGATGGTGGTCAGGAAATGCATAAGGTACGTCGTCGCTATCTACGGACTTTACGCGGGATCTTCTCCGCGGATGATTCATCGAGTTGGAAGGAATGAGGTTGACGGGCCGAAGGACCATTCAAGCTATAGTCATAACTAGTGGCTGCAGCCGGGATTTGGATACTACAGTACTGTACATCGAATGGCGGGCCAATAAAGAATCTCTCGTTGGGCCAGGACCTTGGGAAAGAGAAGTTAACCGGGCATCAACGATCAACTCCTGATTGAACTACCCATCGACTTGGCGTAGACCAGTTGAAGAACGTCACTCCCAGTTCCACCGGTTCCGTCGCCCCTATTTGCCCATCCGATTCGCCCGCGTTCATCGCCTCCAACTTGAGGCCCGGACTCCGGAATGGTCTTGGCATGTTGAGGCAGTGCAAAATCCAAGACGCCCCGTTGCGCGATTGGCGTGATTCACATTCCCAACTCCGCACAGGCGAAGCGACACCGAAAAACGTCTCTCTCCCCACCGGGCTGTGCTAGAGGGGATCCACCGGAGCGGGTACTAGCAACAAAACAAAAAGGACAATCGATGAATCGGTTGACGAAGTCGAGACTTTAGTGGATCTGCACTGCAAAGGGGGTCGCGTTGCCGTCTACCATTTGACTGCCGCAGATGCCAGGATGCGTTTGGACTACATTCGGAACTCCTTCCCTTCCCCTTGAATGCTTTTGCCCTTCCACATCTCACGCTCGCGTACTCCACGGCTATTCGGGTCGACCTGGACAACAGCGGGTTCGGATTTCTGGCTTTCCCTCAATGCGAAGACTATTGACGACCCTGGATGTGCCGCTCGCGTGAACGGCGCTCCGTCCCGTTTCACCCTTCACCATGTCCGAGTCGCGACGAGAGGACGACTCGGCCCAGCAGCCTTCGACGCCGCTGCGCAGGGAACGAGCACCGACCATTACTATCGACACGTCGGCGGTAAACGCCCCCGACGATACCATCCAGCCCGTTCAGGTCCTTTCCGGTCAGCCGTCGCTGCAGATCAACACGAGGAACCTCGAGACGACCGAGACCGGTGGACAACACAGCAATGGAAGCAATCTCTCCCCGACAGAAGTCCGGTCGCCCGCCTCGTTCGGTTCCAATTCCTCATTCGAAGCTCGAGACCGTGAAGACCGCCCTACCTCGCCCCATAACATCTCGTCTCCCAAGACCAAGACTCCCGAGGCACACTCCAACTTCCTCTCTGTGCCCGGCACTCGTTCACGCGTTAATTCGTTGGAGTCCGAGGATACCAGCCAGACGTCGAGTTCCTACGGCGGAGATACCTTCGTGCCCACTGCATCTCACGAATCCCATTCCGACCTATCCAATAATCACAACCTCGATGACGAGGATCCTCTCAGCCCCGACCCCGGTCGGGAGGCTGAGTTCGAAGTGGAAAACAGCAAATTCGCTTTCTCCCCAGGACAGCTGAACAAGCTTCTCAACCCGAAGAGTTTTGCGGCATTCCGTGCCCTGGGTGGACTACGAGGTCTAGAAAAGGGACTACGTACCGACGCGCAAAGTGGTCTGAGCGTAGACGAAACTACACTGGATGGAACAGTCAGCTTCCAGGAGGTGGTTGGCTCAGATTCTTTACCCAAGACAGGCTCCCCAACGTCCCCGCCGCCCGAGCGGCCAACGCGCAGCGAAACTTCAACGGCTGCCGGAGAAGACTTTGTTGATCGAAGACGCGTATACGGGACTAACAAGCTGCCCGAGCGGAAACTCAAGACGATCTGGGAGCTGGCTTGGATTGCATATAACGACAAGGTGCTCATCCTGCTTACGATTGCCGCCGTCGTCTCACTCGCCGTCGGTATCCCACAGTCTTTACATCCCGCAAATCCAAATGAACCTGGTGTGGAATGGGTGGAGGGTCTTGCGATTCTCGTTGCCATTATCATCGTCGTTGTTGTTGGTGCGGCGAATGATTGGCAAAAGGAAAGACAGTTTGCAAAGCTTAATAAGAAGAAGGAGAACAGACTTGTCAAGGTCGTGCGATCTGGCAAGACAGTGGAAATTTCGATTCATGATTTAGTTGTCGGCGATGTGATGCATTTGGAGCCTGGTGACATGATCCCTGTTGACGGAATCTTGATCGAGGGTCACGATGTCAAGTGCGACGAATCCTCGGCGACTGGCGAATCGGACATCCTTCGAAAAACCCCAGGCGATGACGTATACCGGACGATCGAGCAACAGGAAGACCTAAAGAAGATGGACCCCTTCATCCTATCCGGTGCCAAGGTGTCTGAGGGTATCGGAACGTTCTTGGTCACTGCCACCGGTGTGCACTCTACCCACGGTCGGACCATGATGTCTCTCCAAGAGGAGGGCGAAACCACCCCTCTGCAAACTAAGCTGAACAAGCTGGCCGAGTATATCGCCAAGCTTGGCCTTGCTTCGGGATTACTATTGTTTGTGGTGCTCTTCATCAAGTTCCTAGTTCGGCTCAAGAACATCGAGGGTGGTGCCGACGCCAAGGGACAGGCTTTCTTGCAGATCTTCATCGTCGCTGTTACTATCGTCGTCGTCGCGGTTCCCGAAGGGTTACCACTAGCGGTTACACTCGCCCTCGCGTTTGCAACCACGAGGATGATCAAAGACAATAACTTGGTTCGTTTCCTGAAGGCCTGTGAAACCATGGGTAATGCTACAACCATCTGCTCCGATAAAACGGGAACTCTCACGGAGAACAAAATGAGTGCCGTCGCCGCTACGCTTGGAACCGCTTCTCGCTTTGGTGACAAATCGCCTGGTGCGAACTCAGGAGACGTCTCCGTTTCAGAATTCGTGTCTACTCTCTCCCCATCTGTCAAGGATATCCTGCTCAAGTCTATTGTTCTGAACTCAACTGCATTCGAGGGTGAGCAGGAAGGAGTGAAAACTTTCATTGGATCCAAGACAGAGACAGCTCTCCTATCTTTCGCACGCGAACACCTCGGCATGGGACCTCTTGGTGAGGAGAGGGCAAGCGCGAAGCTTGCACAGTTGTACCCCTTCGACTCGGACCGCAAATGTATGGCTGTTGTTGTGCAAATGGAGAATGGCAAATATCGGATGCTGGTCAAGGGTGCCGCGGAAATTCTGATGGCCAAGTCGACACGCATCGTTAATGATCCCACCGACGCCCTCTCGGAGGTAACAATGACCGATGACAACCGATCTACGCTGGATGACACCATCACCACCTATGCGTCGCGCTCGCTGCGTTGCATTGCCCTCGTGTACCGTGACTTTGATCAGTGGCCGCCTCGCGGTGCACCAACCTCCGAGACCGACCGCGACATGGCTGTCTTTGAGCCAATTTTCAAGGACATGGCGCTTCTAGGTATTTTTGGTATTCAGGATCCTGTTCGGCAAGGTGTTGCAGATGCAGTTTATACGTGCCAGCGCGCTGGCGTTTTTGTCCGTATGGTTACGGGTGATAATATCATGACAGCCAAGTCTATCGCTAAGGAGTGTGGCATTTACACCCCCGGCGGTATTGCCATCGAAGGCCCCAAATTCCGCAAGTTGAGCACGCGTCAAATGAACCAGATTATCCCAAGGCTCCAGGTCATCGCCCGGTCGAGTCCCGAGGACAAGAAGATCCTTGTCAACCAGCTCAAGAAGCTCGGCGAGACCGTCGCTGTTACTGGTGATGGAACCAACGATGCCCAGGCTCTCAAGAACGCTGATGTCGGCTTTGCGATGGGTGTGACCGGTACTGAAGTGGCCAAGGAGGCATCGGACATTATCTTGATGGACGATAATTTCGCATCCATTGTAAAAGCCATGGCATGGGGTCGGACTGTCAGTGATGCGGTGAAAAAGTTCCTCCAGTTCCAAATCACCGTCAACATCACTGCTGTCGTCCTTACATTTGTCTCCGCGGTTGCTAGCAGCTCCGAGAATTCAGTGCTTAGTGCAGTCCAGCTGCTGTGGGTGAACCTGATCATGGATACCTTCGCCGCTCTTGCACTCGCAACCGATCCTCCATCGCCCTACGTTCTTGATCGCAGGCCCGAATCCAAGGCTGCGCCGCTCATTACGCTCACAATGTGGAAGATGATCATCGGACAGGCGATCTATCAGCTCGTCGTCACGTTTGTTCTCAACTTTGCCGGTCAATCCATCTTCCAGTCTTGGAGCGAGGAACACATGAAAACGGTAGTTTTCAACACCTTCGTTTTCATGCAGATCTTCAACCAGTACAATTCTCGCCGTATCGACAACAAGCTCAACATTATGGAGGGAATTTGGCGCAACAAATGGTTCATCGGTATCCAAATCATCATCATTGGAGGTCAAATTTTGATCATCTTTGTTGGTGGCCAAGCCTTCTCTGTGAAGCGTCTTGACGAGGGCTCTCAGTGGGCTGTTAGTCTCGTTTTGGGTGCTCTTTCTGTCCCGATCGCCGTGATTATCCGCCTCACCCCCGACGAATTTATCAGGAACCTCGTTCCTCACTTCTGGCATCGCCACAAGAAAGATTCCCCCGAGCTTGTTGTCTCTGACGAGGAGCGCCGCTTTGAGTGGCACCCCGCTCTGGAGGACATCCGCGACCAACTGCAATTCATCAAGGCCGTCCGAGGTGGACGATTGAGAAACATTCGCCACAAACTGCAGCGCCCACAGGAATTCCTGCCCCGGTCTCGCAGCGGCTCCCGCTCGCGTGAGTCCTCCGTTCCGCCTACACCAAACGAGGAGAATGGCAATGGTAGCAGCAGCCCCACGCCCCAGCCGCTAACCCCCGAGTCTCGCTCTCGCCGCAACACACGATCCCGTTCCAACTCAACGTTCGGACCTGCCGCCGCAATGGCTGGTATCGTGGCTGGCAGTATTGCCGGATGGTCTCCCATTGAACGGGGCCATGACGCGGCCGACTCTATGAGCTTCCCCGCAAACGGCGGGCCCTTCGGCGGTTTGGACCGGCAGCAGGGCATTGAAATCCACCCTGATACTGCGGCCGATGACCGTGTGGTCAACGAGTACTCCCATGATTCCAAGAATCCCCCAAGTCAGAACCCAGACCTGACTCCTTTCTTTGAACACGCGCCTCCGACAACCTCGGAGCGGGCGCCGTCCAGCCGTGGCCGTCGGTCGATGTCTCAACGATCCCGGTCGAGCCACTCCCAGGTCTAAATCCAACGGACCTGCAGCGCTCCAGTCGACGCACTAAACGCCTTTTGCGTCTACACAAACCGAAAAAAGCATATTTGGAAACGGCGTTTCATTCCTTTTGATATTCCCCTCGGCCTACCAAGTCTTTTTTTGTTTCCACCCACTGTTGGGTTTCAATTTAATCCCTTTTGTCTTTTACTGTTGCGAAATATTGGCCCGTTGCTTTTCTTGGAAAGGGATTGGGCGCGGTGCTTTTGAAAATTCCATAGATTCTGCATTCGTTTAGGCATTCTCGTGTCTGGGTGGTTTTGTTTGTTCTCGGCGTTCAGTGCACGAATGGTAGCCGGCCTTTTCTTTTTTTTTTCTTTTACTACAGCATTTTCGATACCAATTGAAATACTTTGTCCTCATCAATCAACAATCCCATGGGATCAGCCAGTACTATGTATCTAGGAACTTTGGGAAGGTAGTTCTGGCGGTAGAAAGATCAGCCTCAAAGCGCCCCACATGCCTGATCGAGTACGTGTGAACGAGTCGCGGGGCATATAAATTGTCTACCTGTCAGGTCCACCGTCACATTCCAGCAACTGTACATGCTTTCACTATGGCAGCCGTGAGTCTTCCATCCAAGGCAGACTTGGCCCAGTTCTGGGTCCGCAAAGACATCGCCGATGTACCCAAACCCGCCGCAGTGCTGGACCGGGCAATCATCCGACGACATTGCGAGCGGATGAAGCACACCATCAAGACCCTCAACGTCGGGTTCAGAGCCCACGTCAAGACACACAAGGTAAGCATACAACACTCCATACATCCACAATCAACCAACCCAATCCATCCAGACCCTCGAAGTCGCCGCAATGCAAGTCGACACCAACAACCCCGAGGCAAACTTCATCGCCTCCACACTCCTGGAAATCGAAAGCCTCACACGGCTACTAAAAGCCCTAAAACGAGAACAACGCATCAACATCCTGTACGGCATCCCACTCGTCCCATCCAAGGTATCCCGCCTTGCCCAACTCGCAGCAGAGCTAGGCGAAGACAGCATCTCGGTCATGATCGACCACCCAGATCAAATCCCCTTCCTGACTAAATTTGCTGAGATTGCGGGATTCCCGGCTTGTGTCTTTGTCAAGGTTGACACGGGCTACCACCGCGCCGGTCTCCCACCCGTATCGTTGAATAAGAACGGACTGCTGGAGAAACTAGCAGAAGCTGAGAAAGCGGGATATGCACGCTTGCTGGGATTGTATTCCCATAGTAGTCTCAGCTACAGCGCCACGACGGCTGAGCAGGCAATGGGTCATTTAATTGGTGAGATTCACGGATGCAAGGTTGCGTTGAATAAATGGTTACCTCTGCTTCCGAAACGGGAGCTGGTTATTAGTGTCGGGGCGACGCCGCAGGTGTCTTGTTCGAATAACCTGGTTCATGGAACGTCTTCTCCCGAGGCGGAGGAATTGATGGCGCTACTGAAGGATCCTTGTCCTGAGAGTACGGACGCGAAGGTTAAGATTGAGCTGCATGCGGGCAATTATCCGGTGCTGGATATGCAGCAGGTTTCTACGAATGCGAGGGATGGCGCTGGGGAGCTAGAGGATGAGATCGCGATGTCGGTTGTTGCGGAGGTGTGCAGTGTTTATAACGATGGAGAGCGGGAGAAGTCGGAGGCGCTTCTTGCGGCCGGGACGTTGGCGCTTGGAAGGGAGCCTTGTCCGAGTTATTCGGGATGGGGTGTTCTCTCTTCGTGGAGACAGAAGGATGTTGCGTCTAGGTTGGTCGTGGAGCGGATCAGTCAAGAGCATGCGATTGTTGCGTGGGAGGATGGTAAGAAGGAGAAGATTCCGCTGGAGATTGGACAGGTTGTCAAGGTCTTCCCTAACCATGCGTGTGTGACGGGGGCATACTATGGCTGGTACTTTGTCGTGGACTCGGATGAGGATCCATCAGCCTCGACGATTGTGGATGTCTGGATTCGAGGACGAAGCGAGTTTACTGATCCGTTGCTTGCAACGAGATTCCAGTAAATGATCAAGCTAGATACAATCCCTAGAGGGCATTCACCACAACCCTATGCTCTTGCACATATCCCATAGAGTCGGAGACCAGTATCCCACAAACCCAGGAATGATATACTGAAGATTCTCCGTCGCAGCCTTCACCTCTTCACCACCAAGACTAGTCACACCGACACGCTTCCCAATCCATTTATTGTTATCCCCTTTCAAATCCTCCGAAGCCGTTTGTCCCTCGGCGGCCAAAACCATGGCGGTCGCAAGATCAGCATAGGAACACCTTGAACTCGCCTCCCCTTCATCCAACCTGACACCAAAAGGACGATCATGCACCAGTGCATTAGGCTGAACAAACACCACCGAAAGCCACTCGTGAGAACGCAGATACTTCTCCGCGAGAGCCAAGTCACGATAAATCCAGTAACAGCCTCTAGAAACCGCAAATCCAAACAGCCACGACTGCTGCTCGATCAATTTCAAATTGATTCCCGCCGAGGAAAGAAACACGAGAGGCGGACATACCCAGCTCCTCTTGGTTTTTCCATTTCGCTTGGTAACTCGTGATCGAACAATTTCCAGCGCGGATACGGCTGAATGCGCCGTTTGTTGCGCTATCGAGCAGTGCGGTTCGTTGAAGTTGGTCGCTACTGTGAAGAAAGCTGCGTCGACTCCTTCCAGGCAGTTGGCGAGTAGCTCGACATTATCAAGTGTGCCGATGTATGACTTGGCGCGTGGGTTCGATGAGAGATGTGGGACTTTTTCGGCGAGTCTTTGCGCGGACCGCGCGTAGATGTTTAGATGGATTTCTTCGTCCTCGAGGAGTTGACAGATTATGCTTGATCCGGTTGAACCTGTGCCGCCTAGGATGGCGTAGGTTTTCATTGTGGAAGGTACGTTTCTTGAGGTTGGAAGGTGGAAGAGGTGGATGGAAAGTGTCGCGTCGGTGGGAGCCTTGTCACAAAGATCAACAGCCTGCCATGGGTCAACGTTATGTTATTGAACGCCGGCAAGGTCACGCAGGAGTTCTATCTGGTAGAGGGAAACGAAAGTGCCATCGCGGTCAATGTTGTCGATACATTCCTTCTGGCATTACTGATGCTTCCAACGCTGCGCCAAGCCGCTGAGGAATTTTCCATCGTGCCTCGAATTGCGGTCGTCGCATCTGATCGGCGTATTATGACCAATCTACCTGAATGGAAAACGGAGAATACATTTGCTACTTTGAATGACCGATCCACAGCAAATATGTACTATAACTAGAAGTTGACTGTATATCAAAACCTGATCTTGAAACCTACCCAGGGAGACAAGGAATGCTTATCATAAGAGGCGATGGCTAACTTCCGTCGGAGACGCGAAAATCGAAGCAATATACAATACGATGCGGTAAACATTACATAGCATGTGTGAACCGGGGATATCTGGAAACGGCCATATCCGCCGAGCGGAGAACCGTCGGGGCTGGCTTTGGCAAACATAGCAAACAGATGCCAAACAGCCCAAATGAATCAAACACGCCATTTGGCAACGCCTAAAATCCGTATCGGTCCTTATGGTTGGCCATTGAACTCGCTCAAATGTTCGAGAGACAGGGGTGGTGGCTTTTGCAAATTAAACAAACATCAAGGCGCATGTTATCTCTTCTGGTGTCAGCTATAAGAGAAATGTGGAATCTCGCTGGATGTAGTATTCATTTGTATTCCATCGAACGTTATTGTTGACTTGACATTCCAAGGTTGAAACAACCAAAGAACGGACTATGACTTACAATCGGATCGCTGTCTATGGACATCGGGGTTGGGTCAGCTCTGCTATTTTTGCAGCTCTGGTGCAGTCTGGTGCCCCCATCAAGGTTCTCTATCGCGCTGGCTCCGACGTGAGTGACCTTCCTGAAGGTGTCGTTTCGGTAGAGGTCGACGTGGAGAATCAACAAGCGGTTGAATCTGCATTGCAAGATGTTGATATTGTCATGTAAGCCCCTCCTTCCTTCTCACTTCCTTCTCTTGGGCCTAGTCAGGGCGAGATCTAATCGCTGACGTTCTAAAAGCTCCCTGGTTGGCGTTGAAGGTATCACACGGCAACATGGACTCGTGAAAGCTATCCCCCAAACCAATGTGCAGCTATTTGTTCCCTCGGACCTCGCTCTCCGTTGGGATGAACAGGGACTGCGAGTCCCTGCGAATCAACTGAAATCGGAGGTTGAGGAAGCAGCCAAGAAGGCTGGTATTCCGACCACTATTGTTCTCCCCGGCTATTTTGCCGAATCTCTCATGAGTACTGGGTAATTCTTGCCTCTCTCCAAACCACATGCCATGTTGAAACTAACATATTTGAATGTTAGTATGATCGGAGTTGATGTACTCGGGAATCGAATAGTCTTCACCGGGGATAGTGAGCACCAAGTCGTGAACATGTGGTAAGTATTTCTACATAGCTGTTCCAGTGTGTCCAATTTTTCCAGCGGGAGCTTTTACTAACGTTGGTGGTTTACAGCACGAGAGAGTACGTCGCGGCTTCATACGCAGCGATTTTCGCGACAACACCGATCTCCCAACTTCAGAACAGGGTCATCGGTCTATCAGAGATCCAGGCTACCGGAGCGGACGTTGCAAAAGCCTTGGAGAAGAGACACAATGCTCCCCCAACCATATTCCGACACAGTTTGGAGGAAGCGGATCGCCAGATGCAACTGCGTTTGGACCGAGGCCGGCCTCTTGCGATGGCATGGTATTGTCGCAAGCTCTGGGGATCAGGAAGTGTACCAAGACTGATTGGATCGGACATTTGGGAGATACAGGACTACAGCAAGAAGAGCTTGGAGGAACTGATTGTGGATGGTAAATTGGTTGCGTACCGTGAGGCTTCGCCGGCGTTCCTGGAGGCGGTTGAGGAAACTTTCTATTAATATCCAAGATGGTTTGAATAAGATTGGTTTCAAAGCCACAGAGTCTCAAATTTGCTTCTTTTACAGTATCCTCCGCAGGGGCTTGCGCAATTTTACTCAGTGAGCAAATGCAGCGAGGGGTGAGCACTCAAGCGAAAAGGGAAAGCCAAAAATTGCCAGGCATTACCCTATGTATGTGTATTTCCATGAATTCCCTCATCACTCCTTAAACTCATGAGTCGTATGCTATTGTACTTCTATCTGCGCAGCCTCTTGCATTCAATGCTTTTCTCTGGCCTTTATCCCTTTACCCTTTCCGCCATGCACATAAATTGCGAATGTCGACGTCTGCCGAGATTCGAATCTTCAAGAGGAAAGAAGCTGTCTCAGACATGCCATGCCAGAGTATCAGTTGTTAAGATTCTGTAGAACTGTTAGAGATCACGGCAGCTTCCTATTAAAACTGGACTAAAAAACTCACCATGGAGTCGGCATGTCTAGCCCAGTCGCACTCATAGGCACACTCACGAGCCTCCGGATCGACGATATGAAATTCAAACGGCTCGGGGATATCCTGCAGAACATTTTGTTCTTCAATCATGGCCGAGATCCAGGAAGCGCAGTTGTAGACTTTGTTGGTCTCGATGCCCTCGAAGACGCCGTCGCTGCTGGTCTCCGCATACAACAACCTGATTTCGTGATTGTCGGGATCAAAGCGGTTCTGGTACAGATACTCCAGAAACCTGTTGTAGTTGAGAAGACGCTCTTCAATGGTGCCATCGCTGTAAAATCCGCGATGGTCTTGGAGGAGATTGGAAAGAAGGAACGGTCCCTTTAACTTGCCGTCGAGGTCGACGATGTAAAAATACTCGTCGCGGAGCATATGAGACGCTGTCTTTTCATAGTATTTCAGCTTGTGGGTATGACTGTGCTTGCTGTAAGTTGCCAGCTGTGTCAGTGAGGAGATGCAGGCATTGCCATCCTTCATGAAGGTCTGTCTGATACTCTTGGGCATGCGGGTGATGCTTCGGTTGATTTCGTGTACCAGGCACTTTCTGGCTTCAAGAGAACGGATTGGCTGAGTGAGCAGGCCGGCCTCATCCAACGCCTTGAGAAGAAGAAAGATGGTCTTTTCCTTGTCTCTGGTGCTTGTGACCTTAAGTGAATCCCAGTGGGGGTCTTGGTGGGCCATGGCGACTGTCGTGGAGTGCGCGGAAGGCAGAAGGTAGTAGATGAGATGGCGAAAGAAGAGAGAGAGCTGGAGTTGGAGCTTCTAATGGCGGCGAAAAAGAGTGGTAAAGTCATTCTCATCGTCCTCATTTGTAGGGGGATTGCCAATCGCGTTTTCCCAGGGCCGTGGTTTCATTGGGGGCATCATGGGGGCCTTTATTCGCTGGGTCGTGGATGAACAGCAATCGAGGATGGCACGGGAGGGTATAAATTGTGACATGCCTGAAAGATGCCTGGGAAGTCGAAGGTACGGAGGTTAGTGGGTTGAAAAGGAGTGGGACTTCCTGCGTTGACGTTTGCGACATCAAACCTCAAAGAAAGGGCCCCATGTCCCCCATGCGAATATATTCAGGCTTCCGCAATAAACTGTGTTTCCTTAAATTTATAACCTGTATCACTATAAGACGATATAATCCAGGTTCGATGGGCGAGGTTTGCTCATATACTTAATTTCCGCTGATAAAACTGAGCCCTAATTGAATGGCACAGGTGTCCCTATGGTGAGCATATTTCCGTGCAGAATTGGGCGGTTGAATCAGATATATTTCAAACTACCCGCGCATAACATCCAGTCTACATGTCAGACTAGAAACAGACAATCTAAGAATTCCTTTTATGAACAGCAAGGTTCGTTGCAGGTCGGGTTGTTTATTGTTATTTAACAAAATTTGGCGGTCATCACGGCCCAATAAAGAGCCTCATGCTAGTAACAAAGTCTTGGTACCTTGTTGTACTCGCTTCTACATAGTCACAAATCACTTTATCTCAAGTTATCAGGAAATTACACCTTCTTCAAACTACCCAGGTGGGTTGGGTACCCGACCTGCCTTTCCCTTCATATCCCTTCCGTATAGACTACTGATCTAACGGGACCTGTGAACCCGATTGTGTCTAAAAGGTAGTAAATTACTAGTGCTAGAATTCGGAGAAGTTGCCCTATTGTTTCACCTGTCGAGGGTCAAGTGGGCCAATCAAGGGAGCCAGCATAACAGATAAGCATATGCCAACGAAGCTGAAGAGTTATCCACTATCCCTCGATCCTCAACCGAAAAAAAAAAGGCAGTGGATGAGACATCGCTGCTGATCATCAAACTATCCGTCAAAGCAGGCCAGATATTGTCATCGTCATCAGATTTGTCAATAGTATCTTCATTTCCCCGATGCTTCCAAGTGGGGCCGAAAGGATATGCATAACAGATAAGCATACTCGGGACTGTGCTAGCTCGGCAAATTCAGATTTCAAGGTTCAAAGCATGAGGTCAGAAAGGTCGGATATAAGGATTGACAGACGATCACCCGGGAGGTCGACTTGGCATCTCGATGGGTGCCGAGTAGACGGCCGCGTGTCGCCAAGCACGCAGGAGAGCCCTGGAGGTTGAGGGTTTTGGTCCACTTGAGGATGCGCGTCGTAATCAAACTTGTGGCGCGTGGAGAGAAGCAAAAAAAGCTTGGTTTTGGGGTTTCAGGCTAAGTGGATTTGAGGCATGTTGTTTCCAAGTACGTGATTGGCATTATTCGGGATTTCGTACTATATAGATACAGATCGCGAAGGATATAGGATTCAGTGATTACAAATGTTCACCGTAATATTAATCTCGTTCTATGCTAAACTGTAAACTGTAAGCAAAGAAACTTAAATCTTACATCGAAACCTATGAACGACTAATACCCCAGATCCCGGATGCGACGGGAACCGAGGTCGCAGAACCTTCTTCGCGCCGCAAGCCAAACTATGAAGACATGAATCAAAGTGGTGAGAAATCCCCGTGCTCCAAACTTACCCCTTTCTTCCCAAGTTTCCTTCCCACCGAGTCCAATCATCAAGGACGAGAGCCCCAAAACAGAAACTCACATTTCTCGCGGGGCCTGTTGGCTGGAAAGATTACCCAGCAGATCAGCCCGTTACAGAGTCTATATTTGAACCCAAGCCCCGTATAGGAGATCCAGGAGACCCTTTCTCCTTGCTTGGCTAACATTCCAACCAGCGCATTGTCGGAGGTTTAGGGTATGCGACTTACCCCATCCGGCAAGACGTCGTTGATCATGAGAAAAGGAGTACGATCGTGAGAAAGGCGGGCGATTCATCACGGGCGCCGTCAGGAGGGTTTATCCCTCGCTCAATGCCATCATCGCAAAGGAGAACCTGGTGATGCCTTGAGCAGTCCATTTTTCCCCACCGAGAGATGCTGAGATCTCCCCACAGACCCACGAACATGCGGCCTCCTCAGTTTTGTTTCCACGCTGGGCATTGTTCGCGGGGTGGTCATTGGCCCGCAGGTCGGACCACCTGGTCTTCATCCTTGATTCATAGGAATGCCTGTCTTGGGAGCTGCGGGTGTTACGCACCTTTTTCCCGCGACAGGGTGATGTCAGGTCCGCGAAGGCGTAATTGGTACAAATGTGCCCTTTTCTTGTCCTATATCTATCATGCCGCTCCTCCCCGTGTTACAGTCACCCAATATCACGACTCGTCACTACTCGTCACACTTACAATAGGGTCGGACTGTTGGAGGGTTTCTACCTGCACGGGTTAATACAGTTTCCGGCTGGCATTCGACTACACCTACCTTAATCGACGTCATCACTTGCACATACTCGCTCGCTTGTACATTGGTCATGTCGTCAGATCTTGAGAAGGGCTCGTCTTCCCTGCAAAGCGTGAGCCAGTCCGAGTCCGATCTCGAGAATACGCCCACTAGTGAGCTCAAGGACCCGCTCCCTGAATCCAAGCCCCAGTCGACATGGCGACGTTTGATATCCATCCTGAAAGGCGGCGGAGAGACTCGCGGCATTGAGCCGGTGCCTCTAGAAGAGCGACAGCCGGTCACCGCGTCGACCTCGTTGCACATGTTACTCATGTGGTTTAGCATGACGCTCGCCACAAACAACATTATCGTGGGATCGATTGGAACATTCGTGTTGGGCCTCAGCTTCAAGGATGCAGCGTTATGTGCAGTATTTGGAAACCTCCTCGGAGTGTGCACAGTAGGATATGTGAGCTCATGGGGACCCGTCAGTGGAAATCGCACCTTGGTAAATTTGAACACCCCCGTGCATAAATTCGAAATCACTCGCTCATCTAACTACAGATCGTGGGCCGCTACTTTATGGGATACTATCCCAGCAAGGTTTGCTGTGCGATTAACGTTCTCACCAATCTTGGCTACTGCATGGTCAACAGCGTCGTTGGAGGTCAAATCCTGTCCAGGGTTTCTGGCGGACAGGTCTCCGTGCTCGTGGGAATCGTGATTGTAGCCGGGTTGAGCTGGATTATGGCCATGTTCGGTATGAAAATCTTCGCAATCTATGAACGGTAAGCAAGTTCCGGGACACGATACACAGCCCTATCTAACAGTCTCAGATTTGCGTGGTTGCCGCAATTGATGGTGCTCTGCGTGATGCTTGGCTCAGCCGGTCCCAAATTCAACTTCAACATTCACACCGAAGTCTCTCGGGGCGTTCTTAACGCCAAGCGCATGACTTTCTTCTCTCTGTGCCTGTCCATTGCCTTGGCCTGGGCGCCATTGGCAGCAGACTACTACGTCTACTATCCACCCCACGTGAAGCGCTGGCGCACCTTCACCTTGACAATCCTGGGATGCGGCCAGGCCATGTTGATCACGATTCTGATCGGAGTAGGACTCGGCACGACGCTGGCCAGCTCCGCCGAGTACAGAGACAAGTACGGCGACAGCCCGGGTGGTCTGTTGATGATGGCGTATGATTCCCTCGGAGGGTTCGGCAAGTTCTGTGCCGTGATCAACGTTCTCGCACTGCTGGCCAACAACACGCCCAGCGTGTACTCGATGGGCATGAACTTCCAAATGCTCGGTGATTTCTTCCGCAAGGTCCCCCGCCCTGTGTTCGTCACTTTCAGCACGGTCATCTATGCCGCGTCTGCCATGGGTGGCCGCAACCAGCTGTATGAGGTATTCAAGAGCTTCCTCCCGCTTATCGGGTACTGGGTCATGATGTTCTTTGTGATTATTCTCCAGGAGGATATCCTGTTCCGCCGCCGCCGCGGCTATGACTGGTCTGCGTGGAACACTCCGCAGAGGTTGCCCATGGGGATTGCAGCTGGGGCGGCGTTCCTGATTGGATGGGCGGGGGCTATTGTTGGCATGGTAAGTTATGCACTTTATTCTTATGTTGTATTCATCTGCTAACTCTCTTTCCAGGACCAACCTTACTATGGCGGTCCTGTTGCCAAGTTGGCCCATGGCGCAGATCTCGGAACGTGGCTGGGAGCAGGATTCACCTTCATCTCGTTCCCACCCCTGCGCGCGCTCGAACTGCGGTTCATCGGGCGCTGATCTGGGGCCGTGAGTTTAATTCGGCTGGATGGATGTGTTGCATATGAAACCGACAACCCTGGTCCGCGGCCTACGATCAGCGTGGTCCGTGCGGACCTTGAGTACATAGCATTGTCGGTTTGAGCGAGACTTGTAAAGATGGGATTCGGGGCGTTAGGTGTGCTTGGAGGTATTATGAAGGCTGCACAGTCTTATTCTACTATTTAAACAAATATAGCAAATACAACATGGAATAAAATGAAAAGAAAATGAAAAGAAAGCAACAATACAGTAGTGCGGTCCGATCAAAGCGGGGCCCCGCCCTATCACCGCGCGCTGATTCAACCATCACAACTCCCACACGGCGTATATAAGACCCGCCGCAGCGCTCATGTGGCACTGATTGTAATCACGACAGGGTCCAAGCATATCCAGACCCATAGCTACCCTTCACTATGGACAACAACACCGCATTCCTCGTGAAACCACTCTCAGGCGCAGCTCGAGCCATCCTCAACAGCTCATCACAACAATGGATCCCCTACGCCCTAGGCCTCCTCGTAGGCTACCCCCTACTCACCAGCTCTTTCCGCTATCACCGACGCAACAAGCTCCAGAAGCAATACAACTACCCCACCCGTGAATCAATGGCCGCCATGACCGACGAAGAAGCCTTCCAGATCCAGAAATCAGTAGCGCAGCTTGAGTTCCCATTCATGTTCATCAAATCACTACAATTCGCTCTCTTCCGCGTACGCCCCGCCCCATCCAACCCAAGTTCTGACCGAAGACAAAACTAAAATATGCGCAGACATACGGCATCCCGACAATCTCATCCCTCCTAACAAAGACAAGCGAGTTCTCTAGCCCGGAGACATCTCTCAAACGCTACACTGATACGAGCGCCCTAGTCCAGGAAATGATTGGCAATAGTCCCACCTCTGCACGCGCTTACACCTCCTTTGCACGAACGCGCTTCCTGCACGCTGGGTACAGAGCCTCGGGCAAGATCCTTGACCAGGACATGCTGTACACCCTAGCGCTATTCGCGCTGGAGCCAATCCGGTTCATTGACCGGTTCGAGTGGCGGTCACTAAGTGATCTGGAGCGTTGTGCCATCGGCACGTTCTGGAAGAGTGCAGGCGATGCGCTGGATATTAGCTATGAGGCTCTACCTTCCGGTAAAGCCGGATTCAAGGATGGCATCCAGTGGCTTGAGGAGATTGATGCGTGGAGCCAGGAATATGAGGCGAAGTGCATGGTTCCCGACGTGAAGAATCGGGAGACGGCAGATCAGACGACGGCTGTGCTGCTTTATATGCTTCCTACGGTGCTGCATCCGGTTGGGTTGCAGTTTGTTTCGTTTATGATGGATGATAGACTGCGGAAGGCCATGTTGTATGTTTTCTCTCTCTCTGGTGTTGTGTCGGAGACTAATATCGTGCAGATACGATCCCCCGTCTGCATTCTTCAGCGGTCTCTTTTCAACCTTGCTTACGGTTCGCAAACTCTTCTTGCGGTACTTGAGTCCCCCGAGACCGTATTTCTTGCGATATGCCTCGTTCACGGTGGAGCCGGATGAGCATAACCGCTTTTTCCTTACGCAGTGGGAGGCTGCGCCTTATTACGTCAAGCCGACTTTCTGGAACCGCTGGGGACCTATGGCGTGGTTGACCCGGGCGTTGGGTCGGCCTGTTCCGGGCGATGAGGGTAACAAGTATTATCCCTCTGGGTATAATATCCCGGATGTTGGGCCTAAATATTTTGAGGGCAAGGGGAGAAAGGCGTTAGAGGAGACGATGGAAGAGTTGAAAGGGTATAGGACCGGGAAGTGTCCATTCCATTGATGTCTGTGGAGATTGTTTCCAAGCTTATTATTGCTTTGGCGCTGGAGTTTGCAATGGCACACTAGTCGTAAGGCTATTTTTTAACGTGTTCTATACAGCCATGCAGGCTACTGGATTAACTAGAGCAAAGTAAGACATAATTGTCGTCAATTTCTTTTCCAATATGTGCTACTCTGGCCCGGCAGTCAAGACGACCCCCGAAAAGCGACAGGCAAGGAAATAGAGACAGAATAAAGGAGTTTGAAAATTAGGAGCGCTCAAACAAAATACTTGGGTTCGGAGATTCCGAGCTCAGATGCCCAAGCCCGGTCCCCCCGAAGCGTAGAGAATGTAGGCTTATCAAGGGTATTACTGCGAGCAAATCTCATCAAGCCGGGAGATCGGTGCTCATTTAAACCTCCTCATCAACAATCTCCTCCTGGAGGTATTCCTCCTCACCCTCGGAGATGGAGGCCTCCTGGTACTGCTGGTACTCGGAGACAAGGTCGTTCATGTTGCTCTCAGCCTCAGTGAACTCCATCTCGTCCATACCCTCACCAGTGTACCAGTGCAAGAAAGCCTTGCGACGGAACATGGCAGTGAACTGGTCGCCGACACGCTTGAACAGCTCCTGGATGGAGGTGGAGTTACCGACGAAGGTGGAGGACATCTTGAGGCCGCGAGGGGGAACGGAGCACAGAGCGGTCTGGACGTTGTTGGGGATCCACTCAACGAAGTAGCTCTGGTTCTTGTTCTGGATGTTGCGCATCTGGTCCTCGACCTCCTTCATGGAGACCTTACCGCGGAAGAGAGCGGAGCAGGTGAGGTAGCGGCCGTTACGGAAGTCCGAGGCAGCCATCATGTTCTTGGGGTCGAACATCTGCTGGGTCAGCTCGGGAACGCTGAACTGGCGGTACTGGTGAGAACCACGGCTGGTCAAGGGAGCGAAGCCGACCATGAAGAAGTGAAGACGAGGGAAGGGAACCATGTTGACAGCCAGCTTGCGAAGGTCGGAGTTGAGCTGACCGGGGAAACGCAGGGAGGTGGTGACACCGGACATGACGGCGGAGACCAGGTGGTTGAGGTCACCGTACGAGGGCTGGTTGAGCTTGAGGGTACGCATGCAGATGTCGTACAGAGCCTAAGGAAAGAAATTAGCATCTGAAATTGCAGAATGCCGGACCCAGGAAAAGGACAAACCTCGTTATCGATACAGAAGGTCTCGTCAGAGTGCTCAACGAGCTGGTGAACGGAGAGGGTAGCGTTGTAGGGCTCAACAACGGTGTCCGAAACCTTGGGGGAGGGGACAACGGAGAAGGTGGCCATCATACGGTCGGGGAACTCCTCACGGATCTTGGAGATCAGGAGGGTACCCATACCGGCACCGGTACCACCACCCAGGGAGTGGGTGATCTGGAAACCCTGGAGGCAGTCGCAGCCCTCGGCCTCGCGGCGGACGACATCGATGACCTGGTCGACGAGCTCGGCACCCTCAGTGTAGTGACCCTTGGCCCAGTTGTTACCGGCACCGGACTGGCCGAAGATGAAGTTGTCGGGACGGAAGAGCTTGCCGAAGGGACCGGCACGGACAGCATCCATGGTACCGGGCTCCAAGTCGACCAGGACGGCACGGGGAACGTACTTGTCGTTGCTGGCCTATTGATAAAACAAAGAAATCATAATTAGACAAGATCAATGGAGGTGGTACGGATGCCACTTACCTCGTTGAAGTAGACGTTCATGCGCTCGCGCTGGAGGTCGGAGACACCAGCGTACCTATACCAAAACATCAGACCGCTAGTTCGTGTTGACGGGTGTTATGGGCGACTTACTGGCCATCGCCGTCAAGGCCATGCTCACCAGCAATGGTTTGCCTGGAATTCAGTCAGTATCATGTCTCTCGGAGCCTCAATTGATGGGATCTTGTCCAGGTCTGCACGTACCAGAAGGCGGCACCAATTTGGTTACCCTATACCCCAAACACTCGTTTTAGTTTCTCAAACCACCACGATATTACACGGAATTCGACGATTTGGACGTTGTACTTACGCACTGGCCGGTCTGCAGGTGGACCTGTTGTCGAGCAAAAGAATGTTAGCACAGGCTGAACAGGTGGGGTCCTCAGGGGTAGGACAACAAGACGCGTCGGAATGGGGGGTAACTCACGATCTCACGCATGTTGGATAAGTTGACGTCGGTGGTACCGAGGGAAAAAGATGAGAAGAAGAGGAACGAGGAAGATTGACCGGAGTCAGGAGATGGGAAAGGAGAAAGAGAGGTGAGCGGTGTGTGTGCGTGGGGATCAACAACACTTCTTTTGCTGCTCAGGGGGGGGTTCCCCCTTCCGGCCTAGCGCGCTCACGGGACACGCTCAGCTAAGCAGCGCGAACCGCCGGTTTTTGTGTGGAGTCAAAACATTGAGTTTGTTGGGCTGGTACGGTAATAACTATGGTACAATTGACTTCTTCTCTACTTCGCGGTGTTTTCAACCGTGCGTGAACTCTCCAGCCATGTCCCGAACTCGTCCAGGCGCTGGTTCTCCTCGTCGTCATCGGCATCGATGCCCCGCTCCGCCATATCCTCAAGAGCCGCTCGTCGCTCATTGGTCTTCTTAAACTTCTCGCGTCCGTCGGAAACATAGGCCTCAACACGAGTGCCGCCAAAGTATCGACCGTCCATGTTTTTGACGCACTGCTGGGCGGCTTGGGGATCTACAAATTTGACGCTGACCACACCCTCGGGTTCCTTATCGTAGAGCACCACGTTGGTCACCTCGCCGATCTTCGAGCACTCCTCGCGGATATCTTGTTTGATATCGAGAATTGCAGCGACATCCTCCTGCAGTCGGGTCAGTATTAATTCCAGAACGAGGACTATGTAGATTCGTACCTCCAATTCCTGCAAGGTAAACATATGCTTCAAAATGACGACCCGTTCCATTCGAGAAGTTGTGTCCGGAAGAGTGGATGGGTCATCGTCATCCCAATCCGCAAGTTTACTGTAAAAAAAAGAAAGAAAGAAACGTCAGCAATGAACCAGCAAAACCCCAACACCGTACTCACCTGTTCAACCTCTGTGTACGTTCGATAATCTTCTTCTTATCCCGCATATTGGTCTGCTTCGGCGCATCCTTCTGGCTCTTGAAAGAGAAATCAGCAGCCTGCACCCGCATAGGGCCATGGGGCCCAGGAACTCCGAGCCGAAAATCGGAATCGTCAAGCATCTGAATGGCGAGATTGACCGACTCCGGCCGGAAGTAGACCACCAACGCCTCGCCCTTGAACTTTCCGTCGTCGTCGTTATACATCTTGATGCGTGGGCGCCCGCTGTCAATTTCTTCGGCAATGACACCGCATTTCGAGAAGGTGTCCCGGATCTCATCGAACTCGACGTCGAGAGGGATTGACGTGACAAACACGGCGGTGTTTACACGCTGCTTCTTGGGTTTCTGTGCATCGGCCTGGAAGAACAATAGACATTAGTCTTCGGAACTTGGGCATAGGACGACAGCTGAGGTCCTTACGTCGTCACCGCTCGCCTGCTGTTTCCGTTTCTTCCTATCCCGGGGGTGCAATGCCTCCTCGTCGTCCACGCCATCGACCTTGTAGGCCTCTTGTTGCTGCCGGAGTAGCTCTTCATCGACCTGGAACCAGACAACGTCAATATCCATGCCCAAACTCAAGCAGATAAGACACCCAGGTCCTCGCGCAGTCCGCGCAGAGAACCCCAGGTTGCAATGCAGGGCGCAATGTCATACCTGATGAACCCATCGCTTGATTGCAGAATCATACTCAAATTCCTGTCCGTCTTCCGTCTCCAGAATGTATTTTTGGTCCAGCTTCGAGTAGGAAATGCGCGGGTCGCTTTCGAACTCAGTCGGGTCGGTCGGGAAGTTGCGCGCGACACCCCCATTTTCGGGGCTCGGCGAGGCCATTTGGGGCGAGACAATATCTGAATGGGGTATGTAGATGTAGAGGAGTGATTAGGAGCTATTATCGCGGGCGGGGGCACAAGGGTAAGGTGTTGCGGGGAGCTTTTCAAGAGCTTTGCGAAGCTATCCGGTGGCTCAGCCCTCATCACTCATCACGGGTCCCGTGGGTCAGCCGTTCCCGGCTCAATCTGGAACAGATATCTACTTCTACACTCAACTTGTCCACTAGCATGCACTTGCACTTGAGAATTGTTACTTTTTTTTTTTTTATCACAAGGGTATCGGATATGCTAAACAATGAAAACGAAAAAAAGAACATGACACGGTGTATCCATCATGCAAAAAAGATAGGGAATCCCCAATGGAAAACGCCACCGAAAAGAAGTTAAAGTATTATTGAAAGAATATTTGCCATATCTCACAAGAAAATTAGGCCTTGGTGTCAATGGTGGCAAAGTTTTCCCCAGTGGGAGTCATGGTGCGCTTGGAGGCAGTGTCACTGCCCTCCACGCCGTTGACAATGTCGCGAGTAACCTCGACGTAGTCGTAGGCAAACTCGCCAATCTCGGCATCGTCAATGCCCATAATCTCATCCTCCTCAGGAGCACGCAGGCTGAGTCCGGGGATCATGTTCATAATGAACAGGATAATGCAGGTTCCGAAGAACGAGTAGGCAAAGCCGGAGAATGAGTCGGCAAGCTGGTAGCCCAGCTGAATGTAGTTGCGGTTAATCCAGCCGCCGGGGATTGAGGTGACGCCGTCGAGGTGCGCAATGTAGTCGCTGCAAAATATGTTAGTCTATAGTTAAGAAAAAGCCAAAGAAGGACACGTACGCAGCAAAGAGGCCGGTGAGGATGTTGCCGACAAGACCGCCGACCGCGTGGACGGCAAAGATATCCAGAGCATCGTCAACGCGGAGGAGGAACTTCAGCTTGGTGGCATAGTTGCAAGCAACGGCGCCGACAACGCCGAAGATGAAAGCTGCCCAGGGGGTGACGAAGCCAGAGCCGGGAGTAATGGCAACAAGACCGGCAATGACACCAGAGCAGAAACCGACGGTGGACCACTTGCGCTCCAGGCGGTAGTCAAGCAGACACCAGGTGACACCTCCCACGGAGGCAGCCAGGTTGGTCACGACGGCAGCCATGACAGCACGGAGGTTGGCGGCCAGGGCAGAGCCGGCATTGAAGCCGAACCATCCAACCCAAAGGAAGACAGTACCGATGACAACGTGTGTCACGTTGTGCGGGCGGTAGTTGAGCTCGTGAGTACCGTGTCCACGACGCTTACCCAGCATCAGGGAGTAGGCCAGAGCAGCAGAGCCGGAAGCGATGTGCACTGGAGTACCACCCGCAAAGTCCAGACCTCCCAGCTTGTAGACCCAACCCGAAGGGTTCCATGTCCAGCAGGCAATGGGGTCGTAGATGATGGTGGTCCAGATGAACATGAAGACAACACAGGGAAGCATACGACCACGCTCAGCGACGGCACCGGCAGCGAGAGCAACGGTAATAGCAGCGAACATGCACTGGAAGATACAGAAAAGGAGATCGGGAACACTGGAACTTCCAACAGACGGCGCAGCCAGCACGCCCTTCAAACCAAAATTGCTCAGGTCACCGATGTATTTTCCGGCGGAGTGGGAGAAGGCCAGTGAGTAGCCCCAGAAGAACCACTGGAAGGAGACAACGCCGACGGACATTATGGAAAGCCATATCAGCGAGAGTGCTGACTTGCGGCGAGCGAGACCTGAGTAGAAGAATCTAATTGAAGCCCGTTAGCGAGTGGTAGTGAGTTGTTATCGTAGTGTGTCCATACCCAACACCCGGAATCATGAGCAGGACGAGAGCCGTCGACGTAACAACCCAAGCAATATCACCGGCCTAGAACCCCGCTGTTAGTTAACTTTGACTCATTGCAGCAACACGTCAATGGGATGAATGGACTCGAGCGTACATTATAGTAGATGTTCAGGTCACTTGTCAGCGAGTCACCGCCGTTGGCGCCGGTGCCATTGTAGGCCACCCCGTAGTAGGGACTCGATGGGTCGGACATGGTGAAACCAGAGGAAGCAACCGGATTCACGAAAGGCGTATTGTGAAGCCTGGCTCAATTGGGCGAGGACAGAATGTGTCCGATGTGGGGGATCACAGATCCGAAGTTAACTGAAAAGAACGAGGAGGATAGATCAGAGGGACTTGATATAACCCAAGCTGAAAGTGACGGGAAATGAGTAAGGGAAATGATGTATCATGGCTGCAGGGACGCACCCTGATAATTAAATAGTGAGAAACGCAGTAACCGGGGACATCCAGCGGTGCTCCACCATCGGACGCTAGAAGCCCCATGGACCATGGCCCCAGATAGTGGGAAGCGGAGTATGGTCACTGTTATTTCTACTATGATTCATGGGCTGTCACCGATAGCCGGAGCCAAGCCAGCCCAGTCCAGCCATGTCCAGGATAAGGTCGGATTGGGATCCATAGCCCCGTATGCCGGGGGATTACGGGACCCATCTCTTTCTTCATACTTCATCCATGAATAGTATCAATCATGTTCACCGTACAGTCAGATAGACAAATATAAACGCAGATTCTACAAATTCTCCGATCGTTACAGCAATCAGGGACCTGTTGAACCCGGCAACACGCATCAGTGCAACTAAGATCTGTGGAAGCGTCAGCGTGCATGGTTCCAAGGCAACGATAAGCAGGGGACATTCAGCACCAACGATAGCATGATTGGGGAAATTCGGTGACAAGTGAACGAGAATAATGGAATGCACCAGGACTTCACCGCGATCGACGAGCTGTCACTGGCCGTAGATATGAAGTCCGCGGTGGACCAATCGGGGTCCACTTCTTATCTACAGGGCTGCTGACAGAGTCAACTCTGTCCATTCCGGTGCTCGCTGCCTTGGCATCATTCTCTCGCTTACGGAGTCGATATCCACCGTGGTCATTCGGTTACATATTGAATTTTCATTGCAATAGAAGATCGTGTTGTTTGCAGAATTCGAATGGTGAAGTGGTGAAACGTGAGAGGCTCTTATCATATGGGTTGCGAGCAGCCAATCAGGGCCTTCAATCTACATCTACGCCTTATCACTTCATCTCAGCGCGGCGTCTTTTTTTATTTTTGACTTTCCGCGTTCCCCTGGGCCATCTCTTCTCGTCCACGTTATGGATCACGCCTCTGATGACACGACGTCACTGCAAAGCCATCATGTCAGGTACCATCGACCCCTACTCCGTACTCATGTCCACCAATCCAGCATGCCAAGGTATGACCATCTGTACGCCGTACCAAAATCTCAAGAGAGACATGCAATGATTGCCATGGCCCCTGCATTTGCCACCTGTCCCATGTAAATAGCTTCTCATCACTCTCCGGGGTTTGCACCTGGGTCCACTCACCTGGAACGGCGCGACTGATGGGAACGCATGGGGCGGCTATCGACTGTTGCATGCCACGCGGTTCCGGGGTGCCAACCCCAGATAAGCAATTTACTCTCCATTGGCCGGGTCTCGTTCGCTTCGGCATCCCGGGCTAGGCATTTCCTCGGCCCTGTACTTCTGATCCTTGGGTTTTGAGAAATTGACGTCGATATGAAGTTTTTATTGGTACGCTACTGAATCGCCTGGCTGTTTGCCAGATTAAACCACAACTCAGTATATCATTCACAGTACGAAGCTATCCTAGGAGTGATTACGCCATGCATGGAAGTAAAAGAGTGAGACTGGCGGGTAGCCCATTACCCTCCGACCACACCAATCACAGTGAGGCTATTGCTCTGTCCCTGATTCTAGGGCAGATCTTCCCCGGAGACTCTCGTGCCAACGAGAAAGTAAATATAGATCATTTGTGCCCATTGGCCAGCACGATTTGCAAGAAGCGACGATCCTACGATTCGTATAATGAATTTGTAGAGGCTTGGTTTATGCAGGGAATTTGGAATTCTACATTATGTCTTTCTCCGCGGAGAAGGTATTATGTGCCGGGGTCTGATGATCAGCGACGCACCTCGAAACCCTGCTGAGCTAGGTAATGTACCTGCATGCCCTACTTGGTCAGAGCAAAACCCACTAATCAGAGAAAAGGGCTGTGCTCGGTCGCACGCTAGACTTGAACTATACGAGGCTATGCTCTTGGCCATCAAAAGTAAACTCATCGTCGATGCGGTGTTCAGAATCTTTGCCCAGGCATCAAGCAGCTAATCAACGGTCTGGTCCCTGTCTACGCAAATTCTGTGCCTTTTTGTTGCGGCTCATCCCTCGTAAAAATACCCGGTATGTGGATGCACAACACTTCTACCCATCGGTAGTATTCTCCGGTTTAAATACCCATAAAGGGCATCTCAATCCCTATTCCTTTCATGGCAGGTAAGCGATAGGTGACAAAAGAGTCGTTGAATAAGAGAGCAGGCACCATGTGTTCTTTTACCAAGTGCAGCTTGCTCTCTTGCATCAAAAACTGAAACTGTGTGCGTTGGGCTGTCTAAAGGGGTATGAAGCTTTTATTGGCTGGCGAGGTGTTTCTGTCTGTCTTATAACAAATTGGTTGAAAGAATCATCTGAAAAGACAATTCTTAGGAGAAATTACTACCCCAGATGATCACATCGAAGATTTGCTTGCTGCATAGAAAGACAATTTTCGACATGTCATAAACGACTCTGAAGAGGCTCGTCCAATCATAAACAGATATGAAATCCGGATGGCTCTACATTATCACGCCGTCATTTGTGGTTTGTTTACATTGCCTGAGGCTATAAAGTGTTAAAGATTGCAGCCCTTATCCTAAGGCACCAATATCGGTCGGCCTCTCTCTGAACAATCGGCTCCTGATTGGTCAGCTAAGCCCATGAAGCTAACTTATTTAGAACTGGAAGTTGGCTGTTCTTCGCATATATATGCAGCTATATAGACAGGATAATTTCTGCCGGGTGGGGCTTTCCTAACTAGGCTGCCGCCGCTTTTATGAGGGCGCTCAGGCTCAGGCTCACTGAGTAAACGTAATTCCATATTTCAGTCGCAATTTTGCCGGGCCCTTTCAATTGCAGTGTTTCTTAACACTCTTCTCTTTGCCGTTGATCATCCATTAATGAACAAAACCGTTGATCAATTCAGCAAGCCACAAGTGTCAACCATTGACCGTTTAAGTCAATCAAACTCATTCTAGTCTAGTTTACGTAATTGGCCGACTGGAACCGGCGAACCGGCAACCGGTATGGCCAGGGAGGACCTGGGAGGTGGAAAGGGACCGTGTCGCGAGGTCCGATAGACGATATGTTCCCTTTCCACCTCCCCTTACAGCAGATCATAGCAGAAACAGGAATTACAGTACTTAATGACTCGACAAATTCAACAAAGACCTCAATATTGCTTACTAGACCGCTTTTTCAATTAAGATAGTGTAATCCTCACGTTGGAAGGTATCAAACGACTCTTCATTTGAAGCTAGAAGACTCATGGTAGGCGCGGAGCAAGCCATGTAAAATGGGCGTGTGAAAAACTGGGGTCTTCCACCGTAATCATAACCTGCTTCTTAATGCCCCTGATAGTGTTTGGATCAGCGAGACGGGTTAGGGGGTACTCTCCTCCGCGCCCTTCGGCCTCCAGAACCAAGTATCCTGGGGCATAAAGCTCAACATCACTTGTCCACTGCTCTCGATCACATAGAAACATTGTGTTTGGAAGTTTGTTAACTTCCTTGGCTTGACAGAGAATATCGACGATCGGTAGGTCCATGTCAAGTCTGATATCATGCGTTAGTTTGTGGAGCTGACTTAGTAGGCTAAGGAATACTCACGGCTGATTTTGGTGTCTATAACCACCATCAACACACCTAATATCTTCTGGCCTTCCCCGGGATCCGGAATGGTGAGCGCGCAAGTTTGGACTTTTCATGTTGAATGGACGGACTTCAACAGATTCTTGCACAGTCCCATTAATTTCATACTCGACGAATGTCAAGCGTCCGGTTTGCAGACCTAGTTCATCAACCAACATGTATGTGCCTAAACGACCGAAATAGATCACTGTGCCAGTATGCGTGAGATAGATAGACAGGAAGTTTGCGGTTTCAAGATCTACCCAGGGCAGAAAATCCTCTACTGAAGGATCATTAGTGGTTGCTGGATTGAGGATAGCCTCCGATGGGATGTGACTATCGATACAGTGCCCAGCCTCGATATCATAGTCGTACAACAAGATCGCGAATTTCACCAATCGCGCTCGATTTTCAGGATGGTTCTCATCGACAGGGGCAATACAAATCAGGCCGCTGGTATTGTCTGGCTGGAGAGTATCGTAGATACGTTCCAATGCTTCGGCTGGGTATCGAAGACCTTCAATTTGTTCACCCCTTGATCTTGACCCCTCCGTGCCTGGAAGACCCACAGGTGCACGCGATTGGTACGACTGAATGAGGCCCAAAAATTATTAGTGCAATGGACTTGGGAGATTGGACGGATTTAAGCGAGTTGGATTCACATCGCGAAATTCCTGTTTGGCTGAAGCCCACTTTTCCACCAGTTGCCGACGGTGCTTTAGCTCATATTCGGCATCGGAGGAAGCGCCTGCATTTGCTGCAGAAACCCAATTCTCCTGGATTCATATTAGCGTAGAACTCCAAGACGTGCTTTTTGAAATTTTGAATTTTATAGCATACCTTTACAAATAGTAGCCAGCCCTTCACTTCCTCCTTGATTTCGTCGTCAGATAAATCTGGGTCTGGGTGTGGTTGGATGCAAGTGGGGATTCCCCCTGACCAGTGCTGAACCGATCTCGGCATGGCTAATGTGTGATCAAGTTCGTTAAGGGTCCAAAGGGTTGTAGGGGTCCAAGGAATAAATAAGTCAATTGAATAAACGGTGGAAATGGCGCTGGAAAATGCCGGAAGAAAACCTTGGCCAACCATGTACTAGTGAAAGCTTCAGTAGCGGGGCGCCTAACTTGGTTGGGACGCTTAAGCCGAACCGAACATCGTAGCGAATATCTGTAGTGGATGTTGCGGGGAATGAACGGCTACAGCCTGACAACAGATGTATTCAAAGACCCACCAAATTTGCCACTAGATTCTGCCGGTTCTATCTGACATAAGCTAACCTCTCTACCCCTGAATCATCTAGTATCCTGTAGCATAGCCATCTTTCTCAATGACCTCAAAGCATCTGCTCTGCATAGATTCCACCAATCTATGAAGATACCATTCAGGAACAGCATCCCATGCCTGCCTAATAATAACACGCAGCTTCGGTAGGTCGAGATCACCATGACCGTAGTGCTCAGCAATCCAGCCCTTCATCTACGCCCACACGTTTTCAATAGGATTTAGATCAGGCGAATAGGGCGGCCATTGCATATAGCTAGCATTATAATAGTCAAGCTCCCTGCGCGTCGCTCTTGACCAGTGACAAGGCGCGCTATCTTGCATTAATATTGGCCAGAACTAGAAGCCAAATAATGCGAATATCTCGTGTATAAACGCTATAATAGTAGGCACAATATAGCGAATATAGCGATCTGATTGCATAGTTTTCCATTCTTTCTCCCAGAAAACACAAGGCGCTTTTTGAGTGCCTGCAAAACCACCCCAAAACATCCATCCTAGCCGATGCTTAGACTGCTGAAGAACGGCTGCTGGATAATACTTTTCCTCAGGTGTTCGGATTACTAAGGGAGTATGATGAATTCCAGAAGTAATCCAGGACTCATCAGTTCAAATTACCTTCTTCCAGTCTTCATAGGACCATTTAAGGTGTTCGTACGCCCATTGAAGCCGTAGTTGACGAGCTTCTGGCTTATCTTCAAGCGGTAGCTTTCTCTGAGCTTTGCGCTTCTCGTAGTCTCGTTTTTGAAGCTCACGTCGAAGGGTTTCACCGCAAACAGGAAGATTAAGATCGTGAACGATCTCATCAAAGCCTTTAATACGAATCTCGAAATCAGAGCGAGTATACGTAATAGTATCAGATATAAGGCGCTCTGAAAGCCTATGCTTGCGACCCAATTTATGTCTTGGTGTTGCCTGCTGGGTGACTGCGCAGGTGTAGTAAACCTGATTGTAGGATAGGCGTAGTTTGCGCGCTATATTAGCGTATGACTAGCCATCCTCTCGGTATTTCAGCGTAATTAGACGCTAGTCACGGCTAAGATAGGGCTTACTTTTAGTAGGTGTGCGCGGCTGGGATGCAGGAACCAGAGGGAATCCTTGGTTTATGGTCGTAAGCATGTTGGTAGGTGTGCTGGTAGGTGTGCTGGTAGGTTAACCCCCTAATGTAGGATACATATATATTTTGAACAGTGCCTATAGCTATGACGAATGTTTTGACGATCCTACCCTTACGGTCTAGGTAGGCAGGTGTAGCCACTATTGCTAGCGCCGCATAATCCGTTGGGTGAGACATTGGAGCTCGCAGTTGCAGACGGGGTCGCACTAGTTGATGAGGCTGTCGATTTTACCGTACTAGTACTAGAGCAGTCACCGTAATTGGGGTCGCAATTACTGCCACAGTACTCGCTTGTTGAGCCGCTAAGAGGGAGCGAGGAATAGTCAGATCAGAGAGGTCAATGTACAAGAGGAAAGAGTGGAGTGGGACGTTACCAGTCGCCGTAAATACTACAGCAGGTACCAAAAGTCGACGTCTGGCGACGGTGCCGCGCTTCAGAATCCCGACAGCAAGCAGTGCAAGTCTGGTAGTGAGACCGATGACGACTCCCAGTACCGCATGATTTGCTGCCCTACCGATGCAATGCCTGAGGGCTGCACTTGGGAAGGGGCAAGCGAATTTGGTCTGTTTAGTGGGAACAGTAGCACCTGCGGTGAGAACAAGTATGAGCTGGTGGCAGACACATATAATGATCGGACAGGGTCCATTCAATGCCTGATTAACCAGAGATCACTTTGTTGTAATACGAACAGTCTACTGACTGAGTGCCATTGGAGTGGCTGCGCCGATTCCTGTCCTACCGATTGGACGACAAACGAGTGGGGGAGTATATTCGGGGGAAATAGTGAGATTCACCTTATTCTGTCTGTTTCAGCTTCGAAATCTCTAACACTTGCATCCTGTAGACTTGAACCCCGATGAGAGTGAATCGTGTCCAGACCTCTACAGTTTCTGCTGTCCCTCTTCAGGTACGACTGTATTAATTTGACATCGCAGTATCGTGTGGAAGACGCTAATGAGCCCAGATACATATAAAAATTGCGACTGGCATTTTTGCGACTACTGTCCGAGTGACAAAGTACTCATCACTCGGCGTATGGAAGTCGACTTCTTACTCAATGAAGGTATCTACTGGCGATGTGGCGGTGAATCTACAGGCGCGCCATACAACTCGTTTTGTTGCGATCCACCTTCTGCCTCTGAGGATCGGCCTGTGGATCCAGCCGATCTCTTTGAGTATCCTGATGAAGATAACGTGATGTATTATTACGAGGTCGAGAAGACATCAAACGATGATGGTAGGACTAGAATCAATTCCAACCATTTGCTTCTGCTGATAACAAGGCAGCTACGGATGATTCAAGCAGTGACCCATTTGCATTTGTCATGATCGACGGCGACCCAGAAGCATACGACGAGTCTCTTGTCGATCAGTGGAGCTTCCTAGTCGATGAGGAACAACTAACCAAGCGATTTCTTAAAATACACGAGCGACGAAGCATATTCGAATCACGCGACGACACTTTCGACAACGAAGTCGAAGTTTATCACATCCAGTGTTCCTCCTCTTTTATTAACGGTACTAGTGGTTGCATATCCATTTTTCAGGGTGGTGCAAACAATACCATTGTGAGGATGCCCAAGGACATCGGAGCTGGCCCATTCGCACGGGTTATCAGTCTCGTGCCGATGGGCTCCACTGGGAAGTCGGCTCGTTCTAATATCTTACCACGCTCAAGCACCAATACCTACGAGTTGACGGTTGACTATGACTTCGCCGGAGCATCAGCGGAGAGAGATGGGGACGTCAATTTCCGAGTTTATTACACCAACCTTCTTGAATATTGGTAAGTCAAGCAAACACCCCTGTAGACTTCTTCTATGCTGAACTTTTGCATAGGAAGGATATCACCAACACTCCAGCCAAGAAGCGCAAGCGCTGGTTTGGCAGTTTTAGTTCCTGGCTGTCTAAGATGACCACCATCACAAAGAAGGACCAAGGATACCTTCCGATGGAATACGACGAGACCATCAAACTCTTCCACGCCGAGGGGTACTGCCCCGATCTTGATATCACCGCGACTGTGGATCTGGACGCCAACATCCATTTAGGCCTCAGAGCCCAGTACGGATATTACTTATTACTTTGAAGGGGCCATTCTGCCTACCCCATCGTTGATTGCTGCGTATGGATACTTTTCGGTTGCACCTGAAGCGGCGGTATGCTACTCTACTTACACTTCTAGTGATCCCTACTGATTTATAGTTATAGATCCTCTTGACCCTTCGCGGCGAGGCTGTCTGGCAGTCGACTACCGGAACACAGTCTATCATTAGTGGCATCACGTTCCCCGGTCTCTCTATCAAAGGACTTATCAGTATTGGACCAGAGCTTGAACTGACTGGTAAATTGGATGCGTCGATCAGTATCTCTGGAGAGCTGAATGCCGGCGTCGTTGCATCGTGGCCCCGTGCTGAAGTGTATTTCCCTCAGGATGATGGTGGCGCGGATGCGACCACTATGCCCGAGGATATCAATGGTGACGATCCACAGACTTTCAGTGTTGAACCTATCTTCGATGCCTCCCTGACAGCAGAAGGAAATATGGCTTGTATGTTCATCTATGTTATCCTGCCTTTACAGAGCTAACATCATTATACACAGTGACGCTTACCCCACAGGTAAAATTCGGTATCTCTGTTCTGGGCGGAGATCTCATGTCTGGATATGTCACAACAGCTGTCGACAACATCGTTTCATTAGGTGTCAATGCATCTGCGTCTGTCTCCTACGATGGAACCTCATCTGCGGGATTCTGCTACTGGGCTGATTATATATACTCTTTCTTTGTTTCTGCGGACGTCTCGTGAGTATTCTTTGAACATTCAAGTCTTCAAAACCTTGCTTCTTTGAATCAAACATTGACTTACCCGGACAGGTTCCTCGATGATCTTGCCTATTGGGGCAGCACATATGAGGTGGCTTCCCCCGATGATCCAATCGTCTTGGTGGATAACACCTGCATCACTTACTCGAGTGATGATCCCCTTGCCAAACGGAGCAGTGTAGAAAGCCTCGTTGCTAACAGCACTGGTCCTGGCTGTTTTGGTGGATTAGTGGAATGTTCGACTACTGTTGGTGTGGGCAATTCCTCCTGCACATTAACCAGCGACGACTCAGACTCGGACACAACCACCACCACTAGCAAGCGCGCACAGCAATGTTACAACCTGCCTGCTCTCTTCTACAATTGCGATCTGTTCGGTACGGCCTATGTCACGAACCGGAATCAAAACACGATGAGCAGCACTCGTTCGGTACCATTCATCGGTATGTTTCCCCTTGTCCTGTACTCTTATGCGTCCAGCCCCATGAGCTTCAACAATGAAAGAAAAAGTCCTAATGCACAATGAATAGGTATTTGCGAAAATATCCGGAACTATCTTCAAAAGAACCCAGGCAAGATCAAAGGAAACGGAATGGAGCTTACCTACAAGGGAGACAACGACCAATCTGGTGGTGGCAATCGACGAGCTGCATGCTATGCTAAAGGCAAGGAGTGCGTGAAGAGTAAAACTGCTTTGTGGCCAACTGAGGTGCAGGAAATGTATAACTGGCACAGCACCCAGACGATCAACGGTGTACGCAAGATTGTTCCAGCACCGACCGACTATGCTGTAATGCAAGGCTATGACGAAAGCATATCGTGCGATGAATTTCCCTGTGAGTACCTACCCAGCCCTTCCAAGGTCGTCCAATGACCCTTACTAACCGTCCACGGCAGTCAATGCGTATGTGTACAATTCAGTCCGGTATTATGGAGCCTCCACTAACAATCATCACACCTAGATCCGAGGAAGGAGGCAGTGGTGCAGTAAGTTTTTCCCATTTCCTTTAAAAGATCTTGAATCCTAATGATGAGATCTATAGGAAGCTTCATGTGTCGTCACTGGACAGCAACAAGCACAGGCTACTGTCAACGGCCTGGTCAGTCTTTTATACGACACGGTTAGCAGATTGCCCCTTTACTATGCAACTATCAGCAGTCACTAATCCACCCGTTCAGAGAACCGGCACTGGAATGACCTGGAGGGGATGGACCGTTAACGATCCTTGGACCGGCCAGCCACGCAAATACAGAATCAATCTCACATCAGGCACAATCAACGGCTATAGTCTGGGTTACGGCGGCGAGATTGCTTCCGCGACGGACGACATGGCCTATATCCTCGGCGGATTGAACACCTGGGGAAATCCAGACTTATATCTGACTGGGGATACTAACGCTGTCTGCGCGATTGGGTCAAGATGGAACCCTCTGCTTGGTATTCAGCAGGGCATTGGTTATGGATGTTCCGTTACCTTTGCGGCTCAGACAACTGTGTTCAAGAGAGCCCAAGATCCGGATGATCCCAGCACTTGGGTGGTTGAGAGTAAGGCCCCTGTGTATTAGATTGGAGGGTATTGTTGCATGGTGCTAACAATAGGCAGATGTGGAAATCTCCGAAGAGTCCATGAGGAATCCAATCCCGCTTTTTTCGGATAATGGAGAGGGCTTCCTCGACCATGCAGCACGCGATCTCGAGGGAATGATGGAAGAACTGAAGCTCGAGGCTGATCAAGAGAAGGAACCAATGATCACGGCAACACCAGACGCAAGTCATCTGCGACAACACAAAAACTCTCACCATCATCACCACTGATATGTTCGAGTCTGACCTGTGTATCATATAATACTACGGATCCCTACTGAATACAATTTCCATTTGTCGAAAGTTGAAATAGGGAATGTCTACGTACTCGTATCTCTGATCAATTCCAATAGTCCTGGCACCTGTGATCGTAGATTCGATAAGGCGGCAGACCCTGAAGTACTGGTTTTCTACTCATCCCCACTAACTGGATAAGATGACGGCTCAAATAGAAGAATGCAAGATTAACCTCCTTCTCGAAATGTGAATACGGACTCGGATGGAGCCTGGGCCGAAAATTGCTCCCGAGCGGTGGACACGTTGATTTTATTACTCAGTCATGATTTGGTTTCTGTTAGTCTCCCAGACGGGCTGCAGATGGCATTCAGAAATTTATATGGTATCAAATTACTCCTTATCTTCGTAGGTGAACGACTACATTTAGATAGGGCTAGCGTGATGCATTTTATTAAGGCGGGCTATTGACTTAGCTGCTCCCGCACTTTGCTCAGTTTTACTCAGTGAGCAAAAAGCGGCAAGGGGTGAGCACTTAAACGGAAAGAGAAATCAAAAATTGCCAGACATTATCCGGTATATATGTACTGGATTCAACGAACGTATACCCTGCAATAGAAGCATCTTTTACGCCCTTGAGGCTGTTTCAGAGATTGTACTGCCCAAAAGGATCTCTCACTTCCAATTGCGATACTCGGACAACAGGTCGAGGCGGGCTGATCGGACCCCGTGACCGGGAGCTTGGGCACTTTTAATAAAAAAAAAAACACGAGGCGGACTCGCTGTCACGCCCTTGATTTTCAGTCGCGACGCTCTGCCTGTGGCAAAATGCACAACAGATCCACGGACACCAGCTGAGACGGTAAAGAGAAGGCGAAAATCACGACCAGGCAACGGGTTTCCTCCGGCAGTAGATCCTATTGGTCAACTCCGCCACGCACCGCCACAGGCCCCTATCACCTTGCAAGCTCCATCCCCATCGTCGGCAACGCTCTGCATCACACGGTCCACCATGGAGCACCCCGACATTGCCAGCCATGACTCTGATGGCTCGGGCTCGTCAGACGAGTTCCCTGCTCAATACAGGGCCAACTCATCCTTCGGTGAAGGCTTCGACGGTTCAGGCCAGATACAGACCCCGGCCACCACCATCACTTCCTCTCCTCCGTCCCACTCGTCCAGTGTCTCTTCGTGGTCCGGTACCCCGACTACTCGTCCTCGCGGGAGTAGTGTTGGGGCTGCGACTGTGCTCGACAATCCCGATGGGCAGGCCATGTCCGGCGATCTGCGGCCTCAGCGCCCGTCGGCACCCGCCAGAACCCCCTCCAACACATACGCCCCCCAGCGGCGGCCTCCACAGTATATAAGCCTTCAGAACGATCGTCAGCGCTCATCGTCAGCCAAACGAACCCCTCGACGTGATCCAAATGCGCAGTACAGGGCCCAGGAAAAAGCCTACGTCCAGCGGATCCGGGCCAATCCGCAGGCCTGGTATCACCACTTTGACGACGCACAGTCAAACGTAATGGTAGGGGATGCTGATTTGGAGGATCCATCACCTTCTTCAGAAGCCCCCTTCGAAGACGACTCTTACGACCCCGATACCCAACTCTTTCTCCCGGACGATAACCTTCCCAGCATAGAAGAACTCAAGAATCCGAAGAATCAGGAACGGCTCGAATGGCATTCAATGTTAGCTTCCGTGCTGAAAGGAGATGTGGTTAGGCAAGAGAAACAACGACTGCTTGGCTCCACCGAGTCCACGCGGTCGGCCGCCCTCAGCTATGCACTTTGGATCGGTGTTAGAGCGAGAACGTGTGGACGAAGCATTGCTCTCCAGCGAAAGCTCATCGAAGATGCGCGGGGTCGACTCGGTCCTATCATCGACGATATAATCAACTTCCAGATTAAAGGCGAAACCGAAATCGGCAAGGCGCCGAGGCAGCAAGTCGAAGACGTTGTACAGAAAATCGAGCGCTGCGAGGCCCTCTACTCTGCCCACAAAGAGATGGAAGCTGCAAACCCTCGAGTTGCATCGGAAGAATTTGAATCCAGTCGTGCAGCCATCTTTGCTTGGCATAACATCACTGCCCTGATCAACACTGAACTGGAAGTTTTGCAAAATTGGGTGGGTAACGATGCTCTTGATTTTGGTCAACCCAGAGTCAAGTCTGCTCATAGTGATCTGTCCGATGACTCGTCATTTTTGGATCGCATCATGAAAGAAGACGGTTTGAGGACACTTCAGGGTCAGCGCAGTATGCTGTATGGCATTGGTGAGGTCATTCAGAAAGCAAAGAGCACCTTGATTGACAATGCGGAGGCTTTCGCAACTCGCCACTTGCCTCCGTATATTGAGGAGCTTTTGACTTTAATCAACTTCCCCTCACGGCTGATCCAGGAGATCATTCGCGTGCGGCTGTCATACGCCAAGAATATGAAGGATCCGGCTCAGCAATCACCTATTCTAGTGGATCAGATGATTTCGCAATTTCGAATGTTGATGACCGTGGCTACCCAGATTAAGCAGCGTTACCTCGACATATCGAGGCCTGAGCCTGGCTGGGACTTGCCACCATGTGTTGACGAGAACTTTGACACGGTAGTACTAGATGCCATGAAGTACTACTTCCGGTTGCTGAACTGGAAACTGAATGCGAACAAGAATACCTTCAAGGAAGCCGAAATCCTGGAACAAGAATGGGAGTTCTCTTATTTGATCGGGCGACAGCTTGTCGCCGGTGATATTGAGGTGGCTGAGCAGTTCAGGTAGGTTGCACATTCCTCGATCCCAAGACCACTGCTAACGAAAATAGCGCTTTGACCGCCAAGTCTCTGCAACGGCTGATGATCCATTTCGAACGCGAGCTGGTCCCCAGGTATAATGAGAGCGTGGTGGATATGGACAAGCGATACAAGAGCATTTTGGATTCTACACGCATTCGCCAGCGAAAACTTTACCGATTCTCGCGTTTCCTATGCCAATTATTCGAAAACGCTACCGAATACAACCTGACTACCGACATCGCCTACGAATTCTTCGAGGCACTGCTGATCTCAGATCACTTCCTCGTTACATCTCCCACCTCGGTCGGCCAGAAGGGAGTTTATTTGATTGCGCATCATTCGTTGTGGAATCGCCCATCAGACATCCAAGCTATCCTCGCCACTTCTTTCCGAGATGACGACATTGCACCAGACGCACATATCCCGTACGTGCTTGTCATCCGTCCAGAGAAACCACTGGCATGGGCAGGCAAGGAGATGCAAGTGGATATTTTGGAGCAGCCGACTGATGTACGCCTGGGTAAACTTCGTCTTGTTGTGGAAGGCATGCAAGAGCGTTTGCAAAAAGCAAGAATCGAGTTGGCCCAGCTCACTGGCATCCAGCTGGACATGGCCATCGAACAGCGTGCAAACCTCGGCCGTGTCAACGTGGAGCTGAACAAAATCAAGAAGATCTCTTTCAAGCTGTCCATGGCGATCATGGATAGTGTGGCTGTGATCAAGAACCAGCTACGCGAGAAGACTTGGGAGAACAACGATCTGGTTCAAGCGTGCTACGCATTTGCAACTGAATTCGGTAAACGTTCTTCCAACTACGTCGACTCCAACCGACGCGCTATGAACAGTGCTCGATTGGTTGAGCTGTCTCTCGACTGGGTGTCTTTCATCTGTGACGACTGCGATGCTGCCGACCGAAAGACTTTCAAGTGGGCCGTTGCTGCTCTCGAATTTGCAATGGCTATCACGTATAGTCGCCACCTTCTCTCTTTAGACGAGGAACAGTTTGGCCGTCTCAGACTCAAAGTGGCTGGCTGTATGTCTCTTCTCATCTCCCACTTTGATATCATGGGTGCTCGATCATCCCTCGCGGCCCAAGCGGAGAAGCAGCGTATGGAGGAGCGTGCTGGGGCCCGAAAGATCGGCGCTGGCCGTATTCTCAGCGACGAAGAGGCATCCAAGCTTATTCGCGAACAATGGCACTCCCGTATTAAGGAAATTGAAGATAGCCGGGTGGAGGCCAAACGTCAAGCCTTGGGCAAGGTGTTGGAAGGCTCCAATGAGGCCGACCGATCTCTGACCGTGCTATCCTCTTCTGCCACAAATGTCACCCTGCGGTGGCAGCAAGGCCAATTCATCGGCGGTGGTACCTTTGGTTCTGTCTATGTTGCTATTAACTTGGATAGCAATTATCTGATGGCAGTCAAAGAGATCCGTTTGCAGGATCCCCAGCTGATCCCCAAGATTGCGCAGCAAATTCGCGACGAGATGGGTGTACTCGAAGTGTTGGATCACCCCAACATTGTATCGTACCACGGCATCGAAGTGCACAGAGACAAGGTCTATATTTTCATGGAATACTGCTCTGGTGGCTCGCTCGCCAGCTTGTTGGAACATGGCCGTATCGAGGATGAAACGGTTATTATGGTCTACGCGCTGCAGCTTCTAGAGGGTCTAGCCTACTTGCACCAAGCAGGCATCGTGCACCGTGACATCAAGCCAGAGAACATCCTTCTCGATCACAACGGAATCATCAAGTACGTGGATTTCGGCGCAGCCAAGATCATCGCTCGGTCAGGCCGCACCGTAGCACCGATGGACGGACCCGGTGGTATCGGGAAGGACAACCAGCTTCCCAACCAACGCAAGAACCAGAAGACCACCACAGGAACCCCCATGTACATGTCTCCGGAGGTCATCCGTGGCGACTCTCCCAATTTGGACAACCGCCAGGGTGCTGTGGACATCTGGTCTTTGGGCTGCGTTATCCTGGAAATGGCCACCGGCCGCCGTCCTTGGTCCACTCTGGATAACGAGTGGGCGATCATGTACAACATCGCACAGGGCAACCAGCCAACACTGCCTACGCGTGATCAACTCAGCGAAGTGGGCATTGACTTCTTGAGCCGCTGCTTTGAATGCGACCCTCTCAAACGGTCTACTGCCGCCGAGCTGCTCCAGCATGAGTGGATTGTATCCATCCGTCAACAAGTGGTACTGGAGCCGCCGACCCCAGGCAGTGATTACAGCAGCTCCGGTTCCGTCACTCGACAGAACTCGACTTACATGTAATTCGATTCTCATTGGGAGAGATCTAGACGTCTTTAGATCTCCATCCACCTTCACTTCTATGCCTGATCGTCTGGCAATCCCTTGTCGGGTTTGCATACCTTTGGTCTTTTAGGAAAGAAGATTCTGACCTTCTTTCTCAGCACTGTCGCTGATCTCGACTTGACTCAAAACGACATCGCATATGATACCCCTGTCCCGATTGTTTTATACCTGTCATCTCGTTCACATTATACCTGGCATGGTTTCCATATACGAAGAGACCTTCATTCATCTTGCGTCTGTTTTTTTCGCCCGGCGTTTGTTTTATTCGCATTTTCGGACCCGAAACTTTGATGCGCGTGTACGAAATGGGTCTTTCGGGAGGTATCTGCCTGGCGCTTGACAATGCAGCTTGCATAACGTAACATATATTGTTGATTTTTGATTCTTGTCTTCTTGTTTGCATTTTCCGTGTAAATTGAATCATTGATTTCAAGGGAGACAGTACATTTGGTGGTACTAGAATATGACTTCGACTCCCGCTTACTTGGTGACCTTCGGGATACTTTTTCATGAGTTTTGCTTCACGTAGTTATCTGACGCTAAGCATTGGATGTCTTTCCTTTGCCCCATAATCCACATCCAAGGTTCCCCAGATGCCGCAGAGCTCTAATGGCCCGGTGGCTCCTAAGCCCGGGCTTAGCGATAGCTTAACTCCGCATACTTCATAACAAAGTCCGTCTGCGCTATTAAGCCTCAGGAATACTATCATGATGCCATCACGTCTATTATAAGCCATATAGAATCCCTTGGTTCATCAATTATTAAATAGCCTCTTCAGCCACGGGGAATATCTCACTCATCCAACCCCAAGGATGTCCAAAATGTCACTACAGTACCAACTCCCCGGAAAGGGGGGCCAATTCACCCTGGTCTCAGCCCCTACCCCATCTCCCGGCCCCAATGAGATTAAAAAACGGAAATTTATATAAGAAGCAAAAATCCTCCACTACGCTCGTCACCATTATATTATTCGTATCGTTTATATATATTTCGAAAATAAGAATTAGGAGCAAATTAATTTTGCTATTATTATAGATCGTGTAGATAGAAATATACACTCTTACCTTAGGCCTAGAATGCTTCCCAAAAAATAGTGGTTCGGATATTTAATTAATATAATACCTATATCTATACAAGGGCAATGGTCATTATTTCCTACCAATTATGACCCTACATGCAGAGGACGTGACACAGAGTTCAACTGTTATCTCTCCACCGCCGACGTGCTGATGGCTCGCAATGCTCTGAAACTCTCCAAGACCATTCAGCAACGCGTTGCGATGTCGATCGTGGAGTTTATCACGAGGTGGAAATGGGACGTGAGAACAAAAAGTAGTATATGTCGCAATGGATATTCTGTTCGAGGAATTTTGAACTTAAACTTGGTATCTCAAAATGCGATTTTGTCGGTCAGTCAGATCCGAGAAAGCATTGGCTAGATCAACTGCCTCACCTACCTCTTGGCCTTCGTTCTCCTGATTACGGGCGGCATTATCACGGGCGTATACGAAGTAAAGGACGATAAACAAATATTGGCGATGAATGCAGCCAGATTCATGAACACGCCAGCTGTGCACTTTGGTGCTTGGGAGGAGAGGAAGGTCTGTGACGAGATGATGTTGGAAATGCAGTAAGCAGAGAAGAACATTGTTCCAGAAACAGTCTTCTTTGTGTATCCCGCGATGTTTGAAGCCACCAGGGAGTACATCACACCAGCTGCGGAGGCAGCCATGGGAATGAGGAATATGGCCGCCAGTTGGGTAACCCGATTGTTAGAGTTGATCGGGATTAGCATAAAGGAGACAGCAGGAGATAATTCCCGGAATATAGCGTCGATCGGCTGCGGTTTGAACCGCCAGTTCTTCCAGGGGAGCGGCAGGAGGAGTATATGTTCGCGTAGCCTTGAATGGATGGCGCTCTGGGTCGAGACAGTGAATGTGAGTGTCCTACATTTTTCGACGATTTATTTCCATCATGCTACCATCACTGTGTCGCTGTGCCTTGAGCTTGGAATCGCCACAAGAATCTTCTCAAGAATATTTACTCTTGGTATTCAGTCAAACGTGAGGCAAAATCATCAGGGTGGAACTGGCGCGGGAATCAGTCAGACTTCGCCAAGACCTGTTCGGCATTCGTCCGTCGATGAACGCTGGATTTCCGATTTCTACCAACTCCCCAACTCATACGCCCGTTCTACAGGATCTTCGTCTCGTCCTGCTGGTTACAAAATGGGTCCAGTAAGGACGGGTGCAAGGAATAACTCGCATTGCTCAACACCACCGGCCCGCGCTCACGCGTGTGAGAGATGCTGGAAGCGAAAGCAAAAGGTCTGTTCAGACTGCGCTCGAAAGAGGCGTTGCCGCCGATCGGCATGCGCCTACTCCTGTCGTATCCACTCAGATTTCGGACTTTAACAGAGAACAGTGCGATAGGAAATGGCCTGAATGCACGGCGTGCGTTGGGGTGGGCGTGCAATGCATTCCTCGGAAATTTGCCATCGAGCCAATCGCGAAGAAGGGGGGCAGTCTGTCCCATGCTGCGGTTCCCAGGTTAGTGCCAGCCCTCTCGAGCATTGTCGCATATGATTAAGTCTGTCGGAATAGCTATGTAGAAACACTGAAAAAAAAAGCGCGATGATTTGGAGGCTCGCGTCCGATGCCAACGTCCACGCCCAGAGTCCCATGCACATGTCGAGCAGTTGGATGGAGACCAAACTTCTCAGTACGAGAGGGACTTTGCTGAGCAAAATGCCACCGACCACACCGTTCAGGACGCAATGGGCGAAATCGGGTTCTTGTCCTGTATTGCCATGGCCGAGCCTCGGGATGGGAGTCGTGGCCTCTCCCAAGAACTTTCGATCGGACGTATGCTACGTTCGACGCTCTCCCTCAGCGGGGCCAATCCAACGCAATCAGCCATTGACCCCTATATTCAGAGTACAGTCGCGATGGTCGACCCATCGATGACGTTGAATAGACAGCTATGTCTTCCATTCATTACACGCTTTGTGGAGACAGTAGGAGTGCAGTTCCTTCACATCAACCCGAAAGCCTTACTGGATGACTTCGAGGCTTTCTTCAACATATCAGATGACTCCGCCAACAATACTCAAAGCTTCTTGCCTGTCAAAAGATTCAATCTCTACCTATCTATGGCTACTGGCGCGCTACTTTCTCCCGGGTCGGGCAGCCTTCAAGGACTAGCCAGTAATTATCACGCCGCTGCCATGAAGCTTTTCCCTAGAATTATTGACAGTGGTGCAAGAGTTGACATTCTTCATTGCATGCTGTCACTGATATTGTACTCAATGCACGGTGACATTGGTGGTTCTACGTGGCACTTGATCGGGCTCGCAATGAAGAAGGCAATCGCTGGCAGATTTCACAAAGAGGTCGAAACGGATTCTCGAATGTCCCCGGAGTTGTTGAAAGCTAGGCGTAATATCTTCTGGAGTCTTTATACCCTTGATCGGTTTGTCCTTCGTTCCGATATTTACGGAACTGTTGCTGAAAGAAATACAGAACCATCAGCACAATAACAGATCGACCGTTCAGCATTGAAGATGACGACATAGCAGTATTGGTAACTCGATTCCCCGAAGTACCTCTTTCAAACTTCATGCTTATCGGTTTTCAAAGGGACCCGAGGGATATCAGAAAACCGTATCCTCTGGAAATGATGACCTGGCTTGTCATCTTGTTTCCCATGCTAGATTCATGTCAAGCATTCGGGATGCCGCTTCGAACAGTATCCTCTACCATTACGGTAACTTTTGTTATTGGAAGGACTTTGCAATTGGCCACGATTCGGCCACCAAATTTACGGCGGTCTGTGTTAAGCGTCTCTCATGCCGAGCGATGATCGAGATTCTGAAGGTAAAGGGCTCGGTTAACACTGAATCCAATCTAGTCCGCGGTTCTGGCAGCATTGAGAATGATTTTATCAAAGCATCGGTGGATTATGTCGAGGAAGAATACCAACGCTTCGATCGTGGTGAATTTACGGGAAGCTTTGTGGATGCATATGACATCTTCGGAGCAGGCGTGATCATTGTTTGTTTGTCTGCAGGAAAGTCATTACCTGCACGAAACGCCAATATCGTTAGTAAGTGCACTGCTTTACTTACACTTCTGGGTGAGAGGTTTTCTGGGCTGCGGGTCTTCCGCCGTGTGCTCTGGGCCCTCTCGGGTTTGGTCGTGGGCGAGTCGGTGAATGACCCGATCATCCGTGAGCTTCCCCCAGTCATACCTGACGGAATTCGAGACTTGATTTCCGCTGTCATTTGATTTCTGCCCAGTCTTTTCTCCGATAATCCACCCCGGAGTGGGGTAGAGGAACAACTATCGGACGTCTTCCGAAGGGTCCGATGGGACCGGCAATTGTCCAACCTGGTGCTGGGGGCAATTTTCCGGGTATTCATTGCCCAGAAATTTGATTTATACTGACCGGATCACATCACTTGCATCAATTCCCTCTCATCTATCATCTTCGCTTTACCGGTTTTGATTTTCCTTTTTAATATCAATCGATGCTTCCGTGATGGCTCCCGGACTCACTCATGACGGAGGTCATTCTCCAACCAAGGTTGGCCCCCGCTCCAAGCCCACCGTCTATGTTCTCGATTCATTCAACGAAAAGGCCATTGAACACGCTAGGACATTGTTCCACGTTGTTCTTCCTGGAGACGAGGGGTTCGCAGATTGGCGACAGAAGGCATCCGCATTGCTGATTCGAGGGTCATATTTGACTGCGGAGGACATTGCCAGCTGCCCTAACCTCGTCGCCATCGGCAAGCATGGCGTGGGTATTGACAGAATTGATCAATCGGCTTGCTCGAAGCGCGGCATTAAGATCTGCAACACTCCGGGCGCGAACGCGCGCGACGTCGCAGAGCTAGTCCTTGCCCTAAGCATGACCGTCGCCCGCGGTATCCGGTCCATCACCACTCGCCAAATGACGAAACCTGTGCCGAAGGAGACATGCAATGGCATAACGCTTTACAAGAAGACCCTCGGGGTTATTGGCATGGGAAACATTGGCCGTACGGTGGCTGAAATCTTCCGTGGGGCTTTCGACGCCGAAGTTGTCGCCTTGGATGTTTTCATGCCGGACGATGCATGGCCTCTCATTCCACATGATCGTGTACAAGATGTCCAAGAAGTCATCCAAAGAGCCGATGTTCTGTCCATTCACGTTCCATTAACTCATGAGACGCGGAATATGATCTCTTATAAGGAGCTTCGAATGATGAAGCCCGATGCTATTCTTATCAACGCCGCTCGAGGTGGAATTGTGAACGAGGCAGATCTCACCAAGGTTCTTGCAGAGGGCCACCTGTGGGGTGCAGGACTGGACTGTCACGAGCAAGAGCCACCTACGTTGGAGAAGTATGGTATGCTGTGGGCAAACTTGAACGTGGTCAGCACACCGCATATTGGAGCAGCCACGACCCAGGCACAAACCGCGAGTGGGATGGCGGCAGTGAACCACCTGTATAATTATCTGATGGGCATGCAGAGTTAGGATTAGACAAATTCCTGTGGCCCCGAGATATATTGGAATATTTCCTTTAATCCCTATGCCGATGAGCAGATAATAATATTTGGAGGTCCGCCCTTTTTAAAACAGAAAGCCTTCCACTGTCATCCAATATTTCAAGGGGTTCGCGCCGCACCCCTACAATGCCACCTCACGCACTGAATGTTGCCTTTCATGCTATCGGTAATGAAGACTGTCCTTCCATCCTCTCCTCCGAATGTGCAATTCGTCAGATTCTTTCCTCCGTTAGCCGCAGTGACGATTCGAGCTTTAGGAACCCCTTCCGCATCGACCACAAAGACGGACCCGAGGCTGGGATGGCAGATAAAAAGACTCCCCTCCTCGTCGACGGCCAGCCCATCCGGTCCAGAACTCCCAAATGATTGAAAGAATAGCCCCGCTTTTGAGGTGGAGCCATCTGCGTGGAGAGGCAGTCGCCACACAGCATTTGACCGAGTCATGGCCACATATAAGAACTGCTCATCCGGTGACAGGGCGATTCCATTGGGGGATATTCCGTTGTCAACGAGGCAGTCGAGCTTTCCATCAGGGCACAGCCGGTATACTCGCCCAGTTTGATCAGTCATGCCCGTCTGGCCTTGGTCTGTGAAATAGATTTCCTTTTTGGAAGACACGATTAGGTCATTAGGACCCTTGAAGCGTTCCAGGTTTCGTCGTGTCAAAAGAGGGGAAATGGTTTGTGCAACTGGGTCGAACAGTAACAGCCCCTTGTACGTTATTAGCGTTTCAATACTGGAATGATGTGGCAAAATCTGTCGCATACTTGCTTATAGTCCGCGACAATCATACACCCGTCATCACGCACGACGAGTCCATTTGGCTCCCCATCATAACGAATGCACTCAGTCACATGTTTTTGGGCGTCTATCTTTAATATTCGACCGTAAGGAATGTCGGTCACGTAGAGGTCTCCGGTGCTGAGGTAGGTAGGCCCCTCTAGGAAAATTTCCGATGGAGGACTACTTGATCCACCTCTCCAATCGGTGGGTTGTCCCGTGCATCTCAATGCATCTGGGATCCGCACGAATATTTCGGCCTGGACCACAGGGGGTGCAGGGTAGAAGTTCATTTTTGCGAGCTGATAATGAAAGAAGGTTAAAGGAACTCGAAATCCAGAGACACTAGAAAGAAGCGATGGTTTTAAGCGACAAATTCTGGCCGTCGCCGGATCTATCCTTGAGGCAATTAATCGTAATTGTGGGGACAGCTTTTAGAGTTGACGGAAATCGCCCGGTGACTGTCAATATTTCGGGGCCGCGATCTCCCCCCAGTATTCGCGGCGTTACCCCTCAACAACTCCTACCCTACCGGCTATCATACTGCAGCGGCCGATAGCGGCCACAGACTAATAGGCCAAAACGAACAATTTGGTATCATGCTTGAGCGGTTGCCGTCGCAGGCTGCCCTTTCTTTTCTACCTCTTTCCCCAGGTCACCACATATATATGTCTTATCTAGCCACCCTACGCAGGTTCAGAAACTGAAATTCTCAGAAAAACTAACGAATCCTATTTCTGGATTTTGCTTTGTTCTCACTCCTGCTATTAACCTTCGATCCATTCCTTTGTTGTACAGATATTTGGCCATTTTCGTGTTCGGAGTAGCTTCTACGGGCTTAATTACCTTATGATAGATGAGGACTGTCGATCTGCAGAACAAAACCCCCTATAAATAGAACCATGGGGTCGCTAGAGACCTAGAACCAAAACGCGACCAACTATCTAGGTGACAAGGCATTATATAGTCGCGATAATATCTTTAGTGTCATTTTCAGGGCAGTACTTTGACTAATCACTAGCTTTCTGGTACCGAATTAGTTTTCGGTCGATGGCACGCTCTCGGCCGCCGTAGCACATATATGGGTAGCATCCCCGCTTTTTGGATTTCTGATGACAATGGGGGTTGTCACCTGATCCAGCACGTCTAGGTAGTCAGATAGCTATCTCCCTCTCTCTCTTCTTTTTTCACACAGAGCATCAACTATCCGGCTCTTCACCTTCTCTTCTCCCATTCTCATTATCTTCTTCCGTGTGTCTCTGACGCTCACACACGTTTTCAATTCCTCATGCTAGATCTACCGGCGAAGTTCGAGCTTCAAAGCATGATACCTTAAAATGGCAGATTGCGTTTTCGACATGATGCAGATGGCGACACCAAATTCTCACTTTGAGGCGGAGCGCACTACGCCAGCCCGCGAGGCTTTGTCATTTCAATCCAGCGAGGCGTCAAAGGACCTGAATCAACTCCCACGCCTTCCAGCGTGCCGATTTTGCCACACACGAAAAGCAAAGGTAAGTGGGTACATCGTTAGCGAGTCAAGTGTCATTCTAACCCAGAGAAAGTGCGATAACACCCGCCCGAAATGCAGCTTATGCTTGAAACACGACGAGGAATGTATGACGCTGGGGCTAGATGACGACGAAATATTTAGTAGACAGTAACTCACTCTGTCAATCTTTCAAATTTGCGCTCCTCCTCAGTGCTGATTGCTTGGTAGATATATTGGAGATCTTGAACAGGAGGTCAGAGCACTTGGAAGACAACTTGAGGGTGCTGATACAGACAAATCTAAAACAACCCTGGCTTCGAATACCCAAAGCCAAAGCCCGATCCGGTCTCGTCCCAGATCCCGAGTATCCAACAATAGTGATGATAGGGCCCAAGAGGGTAGCCATATACCAAGATTTGTGGAGGGAAGGGGTTTCAGGTTAGCCGAGGTCGTCTTCGATGAAAAACGGTTGCTCACGATAATGCTGTAGCTTTATGCGCCATCTGGTCGCAGACTCAGGATGGCGAGAGCACGATCCGACTTTGCTTCAAAACCTGATGAGAAACCCCGGGCCTGCCGAAGCCGGGATCACACCGCATCTTCTTCCCCCAGCCGAAGAGGCTCTGAAAGTTTTTGACAATTAGTGAGTGATTCTCGATTCTAACGGGCGGTAATCAGCCCATAGACGTGTGGCCCGGCTAAATATATCAGCCTGAATGGGTCTCACGTTCAGAATCCGTTCCTTCTCCGACGAGAGGTGCGAAAATTATACCGCACCGTATTTTCATCACGATTTCCGGAGAACGAGACCAAGGACCAGCATGTCACAGATCATGATTTATTTCGTGCATTCATGATTTTGGCAGTGGGATCTATCCTTCCGTATCGCAACGGAGTCATCGAACATCATCCGTATGGATATTATCTCTCGGCGATGAAGTACCTTGATAGCACTATACTTTCGAGGGGGCTCGAATCAATTCAAGATCTACTCCTTGTGGGCCGATTTGCAATCTATCATCACATAGGTATCAAAATCTTAGGGGCGGAGTTAAGGCCTCACACTAATGCATGATGATTGAATAGGAACGTCCATCTGGGAAATTCTTCGTTTATGCATGCGCTTATGTATCGAGCAAGGTCTCCATAAACCTCCCTCTCCGGTCTCCAAGTGTAGCCTTCTGCAGGAGCAGCTTCAACGGAGGGTTTTTTGGGAGTGTTACATGATCGACCGCTATAGCTCCATCACTTTGGACCGCCCCTGCGCCATTGCAGACAAATACGTTCGGATTGGCTTTCCAGCGGATGCCAACGATGAAGATATAGAGAACGCGGATCTATCGGGGTCGTTCAAGGATTTGGATTCTTTCTGTGCCGCCTCGTCACTTCATTCATCACCCGGTGGCGTAAATACTGAGATGTCAGTCTTCGTCACTTGCCTCAGGCTTCGTCAAATTACCTCCTCCATACATTCTAAATTTGGCGACAAATCAAATTCAACAAGCATTCGGCATGAAACAACAGCCAGAGGGACTATTTACTCTGAGCTGGAGCAGCTGCTGAGTGAACTGCACGTATGGCGCTGCTCTACTCCTACATTCAACAACCCACGGAGCTTGTACGAGATGCAAGACTGGTACGATCTTCTCTACTTCAGAGAGCAGCTACAGCTTGTGAGGAAGGCCATTGATTTGGTCCCTAAGAGGAGTGGTACTCCACCGCGAGACCTTTTATACCTATGCTTACAATGCGCCACTAGGGCGATCATGGCTTTCTGGAAGCTCGTTGAGCCTAAAAAGGTGGCCTTCACGAGGAGCTATTTCCAATTGCTTTTCACAGCCGGGCTCTCGATAATGTACTGCCTGTCGGTGGTTGGGGATTCAGAACCCGCATCCATGAGAGCTGGCACTGAGGCCGTGACAACCTGCGAGTATATCTTGAAGCAGATGAGTGTAGACTTGTCAGATATAAAGCATTATATCGCTGTATATGAGGCACTGCGTGGCTATGTCATTCGAAAGTACAGTTACCATTTGCAGACGGATCCACACCCGGGGGACAGCGTTCTTGCTTCAGCATCCGATATATACCAATATTGTGTCTCTAACGTTGCTGCTGCTTATGAACAACGGAATGAGAATGATATATCGAGCGCTCGAACTCCGATCACCGGCGGTATTGGATTTACCTTCAACCCCGCAGAGCAAACCCCAGGAAATTTGCGGGTGCCTGACCCCCAGTTGGCAGAACTCCCAACAGTGCACGGCACAGCGGATCCTTCTTACAACGAGGAATATATCCCCGAGGGATCCGTCCTCTCTTGGGGTATCTTTGGGGATGATGCGTTGTGGAACATGGAAGCTGGCTTGAATGAATACGCGTATGGGGACCCGCCAGCGAATCTGTATTTGGAAGACCATTTTGATTTGCAAAATATTTTTTAGGAAAGGTTTGGATTGGTTGGTTGACCCTGGCTGAAAGTTTGTAAATTTACAGGTACAATCACCCGGCTATTGCTTAGGCCTTTCCAGTCTTGAGCTAATGTCATTGTAATTCTGTACAACCTTCTTCATCCCATTTTGAAGGATAGCTCCATCTGCGCAGCTGAGCGACCAAGTCGCGCCCATGGAGAACCACTTCTCCAGAAGATCAAGTCGTCCACCAATACCTCCAATACCTATGGGCTTTCCGAATTTATTGGCTGCGTTGATGACTTTTGTGACCGAGCTGAGGTATCGCGGGTCATCGTACTTTCCCGGAATACCCAGGTCTGTGCACAAGTCGTTGGATCCGATCAAGACCCCGTCGACACCGTCGATAGCGAAGATTTCTTCCGCAAGATCCACGGCACATGGAGTCTCAATCATGGGGATGAGCATGGTCTGGATGTTCATAGCTTCATTCTGCTCGAGAGTTGGAACATGCTGAAAGTTGAAAACAGGCTGGTTATTCATGCATCCGCGAGCGCCGAGCGGCGCATACTTTGCATGATGAACGAGATCGCGGACTTCTTGCACTGTTTCAATGTGGGGAATGGCAACAGCGGCAGCACCCGCGTCGAGAATGCGACTGATATGCCAGTGAGACTTGGAGGGGGAGCGGACGACGGGAGAAATTCCCGCATAGTTGCAGGCCAGAATAAGTTGGGCTACAGTGCGCATGTCCAGCGATGAGTGTTCCATATCAATGAACAGCGCATGGAAACCAGCCATTTTGGCCATCATGGCAATTTCATTGCCTACCACGTATTTGATAGACATGAGTGGAGTGATTTCGCCATTGAGAATTCGAGTCCGGAAAGGGTTCGGGATGGTGACTGTATGTTCGTTGACCGAGCCCATGTTGAAGAATGATTGGTAAATCTGCTATATGAGAGGCTGATGGTACCGGAACTGTGAAGTTATATAGTCGTACGACTGAATGCGGGCTTGCAGGTGACGAATTGTGAGTCCTGCCGGAAACTTCCCGATTAACTCGGGAGGCGTCCGAAGTAACCGCCGTGGCATATGCTAACTTTGCCAACTTCTCAACAGCCTAGTCTAGTTTCGTATTGGTATTTCAAAAACGTGCCACATTTAACTCCCTCTGTCTCCATATCAGGAAGAAATAGTTCGCAGCAGCTCGTATCTCACCACGCGAGTAAACAAGTTTGCGTCTCTTGGCCGTGTCCTATCGAGGTTAGTCAGATCCATTGCGTCCTATCTACGGTTCTCACACGTTTTAAAGCTCAGCCTAGACCTAGAACCATGTCTCAGCGAAGATACCTCTGATGTATAGATATATGTTATCTGTCGTAAACCTCTACCAATACCGCGGCATTTAGGTGGGAAAGGTTTAAGAATCGTGCCCAACCTATGACGGGCTGGGTTCGCCCGGATCTAGCTACTCCTACCACACATATGCCGATACTCTTCAAATTCATGAAATCTCATATTTTCAAAGCCTGCGAAGCCGCTTGTGGCTGATGGAAACAGCAAATTATCGAAAAGAGATGAGTCTGTTTATACCGCTAGCCAAAAGGGCCGCCATAACACCACCCTATCCCTACACAGTAATAGCCATTCTTATGCCGATTTCGCGCTTCGTATACCAGCAACTGAGGAAGTAGATGGAGCCAGGAAAGAAGGGTGCTTCGACAAAACCCAGAAAAAGCCGCACCACCAGCAAGCCTGTCGGGTTGGTGACCGCAGCCGTACAGCCACTAACGATTGCCCACACCATAATACATGACGGCTTCTCGATATTAGCACATTGCCAATCAGATACCACCCGGGCACAAAGAGCATTGACTTACTAGGAAGATGGACGGGCGGAGCTTGGCCAACAAGATGGTCGCCGGTGTTTGCATGAGGATATAACCAGCAGAGAAAGTCGAAATTGCAGTCTGATACTCCGCGCCCTTGAGGTACGTGTCTTTGGTAAGACCATAAAGGTGAGCCTGGCTGATGGAGTTGCGGTCCATGAAGTTGAAAATATAGATCAACACGACGAGGGCCAAAATCCGGGTGTCAATTTTGCGGCGTAGTTTCCGTTCAATTCGGTCACGAAAGTCAGAGTCGTAGGACTGGTAGACCAGCATCATGTCTGATCCCTCCGTCGAGACGGTCTCGGCCAAGGCATCCTTCTGATCAGTTACCAGCGCCTTGGGAGAAGAAGAAGCAGAATTGCTCATATTGAAGCACGTGTGAAACAGGTATGAGAAACGTTCACGAATAATCAACCTCTTAAATTTCAATGCTTTTCTATTTGTGTATTTCAGAGGATAGCCTACTATTTTCCATTGGTGCTACATTGCTACCCCATGGGAAGCGCCCCCAACCCCCGTAATTTGCCTGCCTTTCCCCACAATATGCTCTTCGGTAATTTCCCGAAGGCCAATGATAGACCACCGAGGACATTGTCACTAACCGAACAGAGGTTGCGGGGTTCAACAAGCATTTTCCAATGACCCACGATCTGAATGCCCATTACTCTAGGCACTGCTGGTGGCTTGCACTGTTGGTTGGTGCTGGGTAAATTGAACCGATTACTCCACTGAGCAATAAAGACGGCGCACTTCCAACCAAATTTCGGATGAAGGGTTACCAAGTTCCAATTCTGTCCAAGGCCGTCGATATGAAAGAGATATCTTGACAGACTAGGCTACTTTGAAGAACTAAATGCCGGCGTCGAGATCAGGGGTCCCATGACTTGTCTTTCGCTGAAACAAAAACAATATTGTCTGCGAGAAGGCCAACCGGGAAACTTCCGAATTGTAAAGAGAAAGCTGTTGCAGCAAAGGGAGCCCACGTAATGCGCTAATCCACTTGATCAGTTCTAGCATCCCTCGGGGTGTCATGAAGGTCGCCGATACCGTAACTCCATTACGATTCTCCTCAACTGTTCCAATACATGAGATCGCTTGGAAATTCTTCGGACATGTTTTTGCTCACGCAGCGTTGGGTTCTCCAGTAGCCGTCCTCTTTAATATCTTCTTGGTATTTCCTATTCGCTACATAAAAATCTTACATGAGCGTAAACAACTTTACTTGGTGGCTTTCTCCAGGGGTGCTCATTTATTACGAGATTTTCTGATTTATCGGAATGAAGTGAGTTGATCCTTCTCAATAACAATCACAGGATTGGAAATGGCTGGCCAATCGATACATCTATGGAAGATATAGTAACGGGACCCGCCAAACGAGAAACGAGAGCAGATAACCGAGTCACCATGTCATTGATGATCGTATCAACCTTTAGATGTCCCAAAGAAGAAAATTAGAAACTGTCCTAGAACCAGCAGTCATCTACAATCATTCCCCAGATACCTCTCTAGAGTAGGCGTATTCAAAAGTCAAAACATTGAAATACTGAATGCTCAAGCTGTACAAAAGCGTCAATCAATTCAGCTACTCAGCCGATCATCCGCCAATGAAAACATCATTAGCCACCTCTTCAAAGCCGTCTTCGCACAAAAAGGTAGCAATAGAGCTTATGAGTCATATTCCGTAAGCTAATGGCCAGTACATAAATTTGATCCCCCACCTTCCCCGTTCTTTCTTCCCTCCCATCTTTAGATCAGAACTTGTAAATGAGATACAAAGAAAATGCGAGAACAACTCGGCGCGGCAGCTTGTCGTTGACCAAGGTGAGGCATGCCACCGCTGAGGTTCGACGCAACCTCAGCGATCTCGATTGCTCCACTAGGCTTTGTACCGAAAGTATGGATTTCTCTTGTCCGTTTCATCTTGCAGACCTGCTGATATCCTCGCCCTGATTTCCTCGTCGCTAACAGGGTCCGAGAGGCCCTGTCGGCCCTGTGTTTTGTCCCGTCTGCGGTTCTCCACTTTAAGCATAACGTACCACGCAACACAGATAATGATATAGACTACCTGCGTGGAGAGCACAGTAATAAGTCCCGTTTGGTAGTGGGGTGCTTGGCTAGAAAGGAAAGATTGGGGGATACAAATGTTGGCGAGGCAGTCTGCGCGTAGAGTGTCAGCATCGAGTTTACAGCAACGAAGGCGAAGTAAATCAAGCGAAGAGGGAATACGCACAGAAAATAAAGGTAATGACCATTGTGACCTGCTTCTTAGTCGTCCCGGCAATGTTTTGACCCAAGAGTGCAAGAATTATCGAGTACGCAGCAAGGTTAAGGTCAATCATGGTGATGAACACCATACCGATGGCTTTGGATCGGACGCCGCTGGACGCTTGATTATTCCAGTGCAGCATGACACAGGAGACGATCATGACGCAGCCAATTGCGGCGATGCATAACTGTGCACAAAAATGTCAACGGGTTGAATTTCTCGCCGTGGGTTGATCAGATATAGCAGCTCACGGATTTCTTGTCCTGAAAGAATTTGACGTAGGTACAAAGCCAACCGACGGCTAAGCATCCAATGGAGCCGAGCGCCCACTGGGGAATCTGAAGGAGCAAAGCCTGAAGACCGGTATATCCAAAGCCCTTGATGGTGAGGCCGGAAAAATTGGTGCCCAGGACCAGCGGGGTCTGTTGGAACGCAAAGAGCAAGCCGAGCCTAGATGGGGGCTGTCAACAGGTCGTCCTCTGTGCGGGAAAGACAAGAGATATGGATTGGGCCCACTCACATCCAGCACTTGGGATCGAGAAGAGCCTCCTTGATTTGATACGAGCGAAAAACATGGCTCTTTATTCCGGTCTGGCTCTTTGCCATGCGTATCACGGCAAGTGCTCGCTGCCTGGGCGTAAGCCAGCGGCATGTTGACGGCTTGTCCGGGAGGTAAAGATAATTGAGCACTGCCGAGACCATGCTACATAGACCCAGAAGGAGGAAAATCCAGCGCCAGGCATCTATCGAAGTGTGGGTGTTGCCAAGGCCGTAGTAGGTCAGAAAGAAGGGGATTGGAAAGAGCGTATTGCCCAGGTTCCAAAATGCGAATCGCATTGGCTGCTCCTCGGGTCGGTAGAAGCGAGACGTGACCGCGGTATAGGACGGGAGAAGCGGTGATTCGAAGAGACCCAGCAGGAACTGGGTAGCCAAAAGCTGAGGCCCATTTTGCACACCCATGGTGCCGAGCACAACGAAAGACCAGAGCATCGCGGCGATGCCGGCAACCTTGTTCGTTGGGTAGCGCTGAATCAGGAGATTGGCTGGATACTGGCCAACGAGAAGGCCGATGAAATAGATTGAGACTGCCAAGGAGTACTGGGAGCCATGGAGGTGCAGGTTTTCCTGAAGCGTGAGTGTGGCGGCGCTTCCGATCGCCTTCTTGTCCACGAGAAGCATGCCGATACCCATGGCTGTCACAAAGAAGAAGAGGTTAGTCAATTCAGCGTTGGACTGGCGTAAACCTGAGGGAGACGAGACGTATATGAGAAAAGCACACACCCATGAGAGGAGGGAGGATCATGTCCTGTCGCCGGAGAAGCTTCTTGTGCTCTTCCTCGGTGAAGTCGAGGTTCTGCCTATACCACCAGATACTATCAGCTCGTAGGGTCTTGCGCCATGGGATTAGGTCTGCTCTCACCCTCTGAGCGCCTCGACATTGTCATCGAGAAAGTTGACATTGAGCTCCTCGTCTTCAAACAACGGTGCGAGTTTGACTTGCCCAGCTTGCTCATGCTGCTCGACTCGCGCCTTCATCTCGATATCCGCCGACGTGGAGACGCTGTCGCCTCTCTCGAGCTCGTTCGATATGATGTCGGCCATGGTGGAAGCTATTTCCCGAGGCGGTCAATTAAATCGACAAAGATTACGTATACACTTCTTCGCAACTCGCCAGAATCGACAGTCCTGGTATGCAGTCCAGTAGCTACGGGAGCCTGAGAGCTGTTTATAACGACTAGGATCATGGCGAGGATCCAATATTCACACTATCCAAGTCTCGGGCTGCCTCCTACCAGACGGAAACCTTCCGATCCCCGCAACAGATACCCCACACACCCCACAATCGGGTTAGCAGTACTTTGTATGATTTATGAAGTATGAATGGGGATCGACCCCAAGACGACCTGCTGTTTGCCTGTCCTTGACACCTGGGCCCCCTAGCCACGAATTGATTAACAAGCACGGCTTATACTGGTTTCTTTCCGCTTTCTTGGGGACAAGGGGAGTCGGGGGCGGGAAGTATTGGGGACAAGAATATTACCGAGACGAGAAAATGTTGTTGCTGGCCATCTAGCCACCGTTCTTACTTACCCCAGAATTTCATATCCTACCCCGGAAATTGAGACTAACGGCGTCGTGATCTTCATGGAGAGAGGCCAATGAGCTCCCGTTCGAACCGGTCGATTTTTCGGACCCAGAGCGGACCCACCTCCGAAGAGAATCTTGGGTCATCGGCCTCTGCCCGCTGCAGTCCTCCCCATCGTACTCCTCAGTCGGGAGAACTTTCCTTTAGCCCAATTATAGGGAAGATACATATCCTAGGCCTCAGCTTTGACTAGACCACAACATGGTCCTATTACGGTTCGGTAACTCAGAACCTGGATTCAGAGTTTACGCGTCTTGCCGTTTTTCGGGGCTCCTGTGAATGTCGTATTTATGGCGTACGAAACTGTAGCGGCTTCGGGGGGTGGTCTTTGGCGGTCGAGTGAGTATTTGGATTACCCGCGACCGAAACTGTGCATTCATTATGATTTGGAACGTTGTTTCTTGTCACCAGGAGAGCTGGATGGGTTCCCGCCGAACAAACACAGAGGACACCATATGTAATGGAAAGCACCTCCGCGACAACAAAAACTGCGTCACACTCTGGCCCCGGTCCCACGATAGCAGGAGCAGTGAATATAGTCAAAATTCCCCCGAGATCAAAGGTCAGGTTCGCGCCCAGCGAGAACCAATCGCTATCGTGCCGATCGTTATTAGCCGCAATGGCGAAGAATGGAGGGAAGACCCAGACGATGTGGATTATGGTTTCTATGAATGGCGAGACCAGGTTGTGATAGAGCTCGTTGTGTTTCATGATATTTTTCATCACAAGATGCGTGCGCTTGATGTCACTCCAATTGAATATGAATCCCAGCCACGGAACAAGCTTTGCGAAAGCCACTTCAATTTTGTTCCTGACGAACTCAATTGCACCAGCAATAGCGTTGTAGCAGTCTATCGCGGCGTGGTACATCTAATCACCGATCTGAGCCAGGAAAGTGATATATGCCATCGGCAATCGAGACAACGAACTGCACCACCTCGCCCCATGCCTCTTTCAACCAGTTAAAAATATCTCCCGCGGTTGCTTCCAGCGAGCTGCCGATTTCTGCGGTAACTCTGGCGCAGCAACGGAATACAGCAGCTGAGCAGCCTCGTCTACGTCGTAATATTTGAACCCATCTGAACCACATGTTTACCTCTATACTGGAACGGGTTGTGACGGGTTGGAAGGTAGTGTCACGGTTGAGCCATCCGGAGACAGAGTGTCTCTGGCTTTAAGAAACTGGATAATGCATTGTGCAGCAGTAGCCTTGTCGGCTGGTGACACAGTATCCGGGATCAGCGGTTCTGTTGACCCATCCTCGTGCTGAATTTTACACCGCGCCTAAATCGTCTCCGCTTTTGACGCTAGACGAAGGGAGTCAACATTCTCCTTCTGGTCTTCAGGTGTAAAGAGATAAAATCCGTCCGTGCCTGCAATGAAGAGCTTCGTGCTTCCAACGTCCGGGTTATTTTGAAGGGTGATCAGAGCAGAGGAAATACAAGATGCTCCTGTGGGGACATTAAGTATTGTTGGAGTCGGAGGTGCATCATGTCTGAATGGATTCATTTGAGGAATATAAACCAGCTCTATCTCGGAGCCAATCATTCCGAGGGTGTAGATACCTGGGACACCACAGTCCAAGGAACGGTGTCCAAGACAGCACATGATGGACCCCTCGATCAAGTCAATTTGTATGGGCCGGGCCACCCAATGGGGTGAGCCACCAGGCTGAATGTAGTAACGGTCAAGAAGGCCGACATTATGATTGGGGTCGCGACGAATGTCAACGAAGATGTTCTCGACAGCCATTCCGTTCTACGGGATGCTCATGATGAATACATCCGCGATTGTCAACGGATCTGGTGCTGTAATCGTTCCAGTGTTAGAGGTCGCGTCGAAGGGTACTAGCGTCCAAGTAATGCCGTCTTCCCATCCATTCTCATAAGTCGAATGGCCAAGACATATGTAAAGAGAATCGACACTGTCAATCTTGATGATACCAGCCATATCAAGCGCCATGCTCTGTGGATTGTGGGAAAGTCCAAAGCTTTTGGCTACAGCAGAATTGGCCCCTGGTGTCGATGAGGCTAGGTTGATTTTTGTCCAACCCGTTCCAGTAGAGGTGGCTTCTCTCGTCAAATAACAGACACTGTCATCCCCGATGGAAAGAAAAGAGCGTCCCCAACGGATGTTTGAAGTACATCAAATATCTTGTCAGGCGTCATGATGCTGGCATGCTTTTGGCTTTGCATCAGCTCTGTTTCAACGGTAACATTCATCTTAGCGACTGAAGTTTAAATTCGGTCAAAGTCGACCCAGTGGGAGAAATCGGAATTCACCGTCCAGGTTGTCATGAGACCTTCTCCAATGGGCATAATCGTGGAGGCGAGTAACATGAATGGAGCATCTAAGAATCAAAAATAAAGGATGAGTCTGCATGTGGCTCAATGTACAGGACTGATTCAACCTGGGAAATGCCGTACAGTATCCGACTCTCGGAACGAGGATGCCGGCCAAAGCGGCCATGATGACGACGCCCAGAATGAATGGAAGCATCGCGATGCCGGACGAGGCAGCGCTGGCATTGCGAACGACTTGCTGCCAGACTGGGATGTAGTAAATGAGAAGAGTATTAAGGTGCAATCGCCGGACAGGTCGAGCAGACGTGGAGGTTGACGGCATCGTTATTCTCCGAAATCTGATTGGTCTCATCATAATCCAATTATAACCAGGGCAAAAGCCTAGGTGACTGACCGGCTTTCATTTACCGAGCATCTAGCTAGTCGGTGTATATCGTTCACGTAAGCGTGCAGAGTCCAAGCGTCGCCCCGCACAGACTACTGCAACTCGGTGGATCTGAGTGGAGAACGAACAATATCCACGGGGCCGCGGCAAGCGCGGCCCTACGTAAAAATTTCAGCGTCTACAGGGATTTGCCGTTCGAAAATCGTATGAGTCCAGAAAAGATCGGCCCAGTGGAATTGAATTTCCCGAGCTGATTCATGCATAACCCGGAACTGCCCAACATACTATCAAACAATAAGTCAAGAATGAGATGGCGGTTAATGGTAATAAAGATAATAAAGCAAAGAGAATGTCCTCGAAACAGATCAACCCATTCGCCAGAAACAAAGAGAGAAACGCCATTTCGTAGAGTGTCGGTTCGTGAGGCATGAGGTACAATTTGAGAAGAGCTGTCGAGCTCGCGCGAGCGTTGATCAATGGGGTATAGTGGAGTGGTGTGGGAGGAATCGAGGCCCGCCTAAATTGGATCTTGTGGGGGCGAGGCATGAAAGGAGTCGGAGTGGGTGGAGTACATGAGAGACCAAAGAAAGCCAGGTAAGGTATTAACCTGCAAATGCAAAGCCAAGCTTCTAGGGGTCGGTGTGGGCGGTGACAGTACCAAAAAATGCTGTTTGTCGTGGTAGGTCAAAGAAGGGGGGAGGGAGGTGAAGGATCAACCTGGTGGCTATAACGAAAAGACGGTTCAGGCGCCGGCAGTCGCATTTTAGCTTATTTTAGCCTAGCGAAATTCGACTGCTGGTGCACATCCACGATCATCGACATGCTTGAGTTCAAGCTGTTGGAATCTGTAATACCGTAAGTAAAGGATAATCACTTATGCGAGGGAGGAGACGAACCGTTCGCTCTTCGCATGGAAGTAGACACCGCTGATAGATCCCTCCACTTGGTTGAAGCATATGTAGTAAAATCCCTCAAAGCTAGCGCCAGAGATTGTCCGAACCCGATGATCAGGGACGAGGAAGTATTCCTTCCATCTCATGAACACGTGCTCACGCTGGGCAAAATTGCGGTATGTAAAATCGGTCCGCTTGGCTTGTTTGGCCAGCGGCTTCCACGCAGGAAACCGAGACCAATGATGTATATCGGTTTTCTCATTGGCGCCCCATGCTTCGTTGCGAGTTTGGAATGTATGCTTTGTTCCGATGATTTCGCCTTCGAAAAACGTAGTCAAGGTAGGGTGGTCTTCTGTCAGGCCTTTCAGGTAGGGTAAAAGTTAGCACATAACAAACGACCCTCGTGCGCGTCAGGGACGAACCTTGAATGCGAAGATAACCGCAGAGGTAGGACTCGGCAATGTCCACCTGCTTAATCTCCACGTCGACATTGTATACCTGGCGGTCCGACTGTTGTGTTCCGACGAATCTGCTGCCCGAGCGAAGAAAAGACGAAGAGTGGTTTGGCAGGAGCTGCGGCCGTTAGTCAATTGCATGGGGAATTACCCGGGGACATTGGGCGTCACGTACCCGAACGTTAGAAAATTCATATCGCAGCAGCGATGAGTTAGGGGGCGTGACAGTCGATTGACTCCGATCGCATGTCTCCTCTGGAGAGCTTGACCTCCCAGGCGTAGATTCTTCATCCGCGCCGGGCATCTTACTTTCCACCTTCAGCGGATCGGACGCCAAGAGTGTGCTGCCGTCGTCGGAACGACTCAGCACGGATGGCGCGATGGCACTGGCTGGCGAGAGGACATCGTCGACGCCATCGATAACTGAGCCGGAGGAGTCCGGCGAGTCTCTCCAGGCCGGAACTCGATCAGCATCGGGTGGACATGTGCGGGAGGAGATCACTTCAGCGATCGAAGTCGGATGGTTGTCACTGGGAGTCGGCATTGCGAATCAAGGAAGGAGAGTAGACATCGAGTCGGGGTAGGACGCGATAAAAGAAGCAAGATCACCAAAGAGGTGAAGAGGGGAGGAAGTCAGAAGTTAGGGAGAGAAGACCTGTACCCGGGGGGCGGACCATCTGGAATGGGGTCATGCGAGCGCGGGGGAGGCGCCGAGGTAGCCTGAGGCAGAAATATATACGTCAGGTACGTTCGAGCGTGTGTACGTCTGTACTTTGCCGATTGACCCCGTTTCTCTACTTGATTTGGATTCTTTGCTCGTTACAACATTGGAAAGGTTTCAAGTAGTGTCATTTATGAAAGCCACTTTTGTGTTATCTGCGGAGGTTCCATGCTGGAGTGGCGATCCCGCATCCGCAAAGGAATCCTCAATGAACAATCCTCAATGAACGCCCGGTATCATAAGAAAATCCAATAGTTCCACGTATTTTCTCGTCAGCCGTGGTTTAAATAGGCTTGATCTGCCGGGGCGTAAATGTTAGTGATGAAGAGTAATAGCGATGGACGGTCCGTACCTTGAAGTGGAGGGAAATCAGCGAGAAAATGAGGGCCTTCAAGTCCTGCACGAGGTAGTAAAACACTCGGAGTCCCTCGGGATCTGCCGATTCAGTCACGTCCACCAACGAGCCGATTTTCGCGGTCTGTACGTCCGTCAGCCACCCGATTGTACTCGCTTTAGGCTCAATCTCTTATCGTACCTCGAAAGAGATGTGCTCACTGCCAAGACGGATCTCCAGCTCCTGGCGTCCATCCTTGTTCTTCTGTGGCCACTTGGAGTCGTCCTCCCTGCGCGGAGTTAGCACGTCGTGACGGTCAAATACTTCGGCATGGGGCATCGTACTTCATGATCTCGCTGTCCTTGATGATGCGCTTGATCTCCTGGATCATCGCGGAGCTCACACACACTATATTCCCCGTTAGACCATCTGCGTTGATCCTCGAGCGGGTCCCCGCACTCACTTTCTTTGCGGATCAGCGAGTCATTGCGGTAGTTGGAGTTGTTCGCGTAGCGCACAGCGGCACTGCTGCCATCGGCGATGGTACGGAAGTCGAATTCTGAACGGAAGTCAGCGTGATGGAACTCAATGCCAGGTGGATGTAGACTGTACCTAAGAACTCATGCCCGAACCGCCCAGAGTGACCTGAGCTGCGGAGCTGTCAGCAGCTGAGGATACCCGGGCTCAATAGCGCATAATCCTTACTAGTATCTCAAGTAGAAAGTCTCGTTATTCGACATGGTTGGCGTGAATCGAGGATCAAAAGGTGACGACGAGAGAGAAAGGCGGGCTGAAAAGTGGCCGGCTTAGTCATCCACACAGACGGGGCGAAGGGACACCGTTGATGCTTCCCATCCCCCCAATCGCGCATTATCAAAACCAACACGCCCATGATTTTTAGGCTGGTGAGGGGTGTTGGATCTTTCTAATTGCGCGTTCCTGACATTGGTCTAAACTCCTCTTCTTGGGAGATTGCTTTTGGTACGTGTGGGGTGCATTGTGTTCAAAACATCCCCCGAACTGACAACTTGCAGCTCCCCTTCGTCCCGGCCGTTCGCCTCAATCCACCACAATGGCGTCCTTCCTCGAAAATGCATACAGTCTGGTCCATATGGACAATACGGCGGACCAGCCGTCTGTGCAGGAGCTGAAACTGCAGCTGGAGAAGGGCAATGATGAGACCAAGATGGAGACGATGCGGACAGTTATTACGATTATGCTCAACGGCGACCCCTTGTCCCAACTGCTGATGCACATCATTCGCTTTGTCATGCCCTCCAAGAGCAAGTCATTGAAGAAGTTGTTGTACTTCTACTATGAGATTTGCCCGAAGCACGATTCGAATGGCAAGTTGAAGCAGGAGATGATCTTGGTCTGGTAAGGACCCCTTCAGCCAGGAACATGATCCCAGCGAATTAATACGTTCCGTCCGACAGCAACGGTATTCGTAACGACCTTCAGCACCCTAACGAATATATCCGCGGTAATACTCTTCGGTTCCTGTCCAAGCTGCGCGAGCCCGAACTCATCGAGCCCCTCCTTTCCTCGGCCCGTTCGTGTCTGGAACATCGCCATGTCTACGTCCGCAAGAATGCCGTGTGGGCTGTCGCTTCTATCTTCCAGCACTCTGAGTCTCTCATCCCCGATGCTCCCGAGCTTCTTCACACCTTCCTCGAATCGGAGACCGACAGCACGTGCAAGCGCAATGCCTTCGCCGCCCTCATGTCCATCAGCCACCAGAAGGCGCTCGAGTACCTCCGCACCACCTTCGATACGATCCCCAACACCGACGAGCTCCTCCAACTGGCGGAGTTGGAGTTCCTGCGCAAGGATGCTGTGCAGAACACTCAGAACAAAGTGGGTTCAAAGCGACGAGGATCGGAGTGGACCAAGTTGCTAACCGATTACAGTCGCGGTACCTCAAGCTCATGCTTGAACTGCTTGATTCCCCTACCAGCACCGTCGTCTACGAAGCTGCCACCTCCCTTACTGCCCTTACCAGCAACCCTGTCGCCGTGAAGGCCGCCGCGGGAAAGTTGATCGAGCTTGCGATCCGCGAGGCGGACAACAACGTCAAGCTTATTGTGTTGGACCGTGTCGATCAGCTGAGAATTCGCAATGAGGGTGTTCTGGATGACCTGACCATGGAAATTCTGCGTGTTCTCACCAGCCCCGACATTGATGTCCGGAGAAAGGCTCTTGGCATTGCTCTCGAAATGGTCTCCAGCAAGAACGTTGAGGAGATTGTTATGCTACTCAAGAAGGAGCTTGCTAAGACCGTGGATGAGCAATATGAGCAGGTAGGTTTTATGTCTCGAGTTGGAATTGTCATGATCTAACAATGTACACAGAACAACGAATACCGCCAACTCTTGGTCCAGTCAATACACACTTGCGCCATCAAGTTCTCCGAGATCGCCGCCAGCGTTGTCGACCTTCTGATGGATTTCATTGCCGACTTCAACAACAACTCTGCCGTGGATGTGATTTCATTTGTCAAGGAAGTTGTGGAGAAGTTCCCCGACCTGCGCGCATCGATCGTCGACCGCTTGGTGTCCACTCTCAGCGAGGTCCGGGCCGGTAAGGTCTACCGTGGCGTTCTCTGGGTCGTTGGAGAGTACTCATTGGAGGAGAAGGACATTCGGGAGGCCTGGAAGAAGATCCGTACTAGTCTCGGCGAGATCCCCATCTTGGCATCCGAGCAACGGCTTCTTGACGAAACCCCCGAAGAAAACGCGCTCCTCCTTCAGGAGAATGCCAATGGTCACGCCAAGTCTGCTCCCTCTGGGTCCCGCAAGGTGTTAGCCGATGGTACCTATGCCACAGAGAGCGCTCTCACCAGCCAATCTGCTGCCGCCGCTCGTCTTGAGGCAGTCAAGGCTGCGCAGAAGCCGCCGCTGCGTCAGCTTATTTTGGACGGTGACTACTACCTGGCAACCGTTCTCTCCTCTACTCTGACAAAGCTGGTGATGCGTCACTCCGAGGTTTCCCAGGATGCCGCCCGCACCAACGCCCTTCGCGCTGAGGCCATGCTCATCATGATTTCCATCATGCGCGTTGGCCAGTCGCACTTCGTCAAGGCTCCTATCGATGAGGATTCCGTTGACCGTGTTATGACCTGTGTTCGCTCTCTGGCCGAGTTCTCGGAGAAGAAGGATCTTGAAACCATCTTCCTCGAGGACACCCGCAAGGCTTTCCGCGCTATGGTTCAGGTTGAAGACAAAAAGAGGGCCGCACAGGAAGCGGTGGAGAAGGCCAAGACTGCCGTGCAGATCGACGACGCCATTCCCATCCGTCAATTCACCAAGAAGAACACCGTGGAGGGAGCTGAGGAGATTGAAATGGATCTGGTCAAGGCTACCGGTGGCGACTCTACCGTGGAGACCAGCTCTTCCAAGTTGAGTCGGGTGGTGCAGCTGACTGGTTTCTCTGACTCTGTCTACGCTGAGGCCTATGTCACAGTCCACCAATTCGATATTGTGCTGGATGTGCTTCTGGTCAATCAAACTGATGAGACGCTTCAGAACCTCTCCGTGGAGTTCGCCACTCTTGGAGATCTCAAGGTTGTTGAGCGGCCATCCACTCACAACCTTGGCCCGCGCGACTTCCTGAACGTCCAGGCTACCGTCAAGGTGTCCTCTACTGACACCGGTGTCATCTTCGGTAACATCATCTACGACGGCGCAAGCTCGACGGAGACTCACGTCGTCATCCTCAACGACATCCATGCCGACATCATGGATTACATCCAGCCCGCCCACTGCACCGAGACCCAGTTCCGCACCATGTGGACCGAGTTCGAGTGGGAGAACAAGGTCAACATCAACTCCAAGGCCAAGAATCTGCGTGAATTCCTCAAGCAGCTGATGGAGAGCACGAACATGGCCTGCCTGACCCCCGAGGCTTCGCTTAAGGGTGACTGCCGCTTCCTGAGCGCCAACCTCTACGCCCGGAGTGTATTCGGTATGTGTTTTCCTGACTAGCCCTTTTTTTTTGACCGGACTACTAACTGTATAACTAGGCGAGGATGCCTTGGCCAACCTGAGCATTGAAAAGGAGGGTGACGACGGGCCCATCACCGGCTTTGTGCGCATCCGCAGCCGCTCTCAGGGCCTGGCTTTGAGCCTGGGTTCTTTGAAGGGCCTGAAGGCGGCGGCGGCATGAGTCTGATTTGATTTTCCCAGCGCAGTCTATATGATGTCTTCTTTGTTTCTGTTTCTTTTAAACCTGGTCGTTCCAGATAAATTTGTCACCTTTTACTGTGTGAGACCGGGGAGTAGTGGAATAGATAATGGTTCCTGGCTGTTTATTTACGTACTTGAGTACCTAAGTAGTTAGAGTACCATATAACTACGTTGTATAATTGAAGCAGTCCATGTAGCATGCGCCGTTGCACCGCGTAGATCCGAGGTGTGAATCCGAGGTGTGCAGGGGCCACCTGCGGCCGCAGGAACCGGAACCCGCGGGTGTTGATCTTCGATCTCTCCAGCCTTCCTCTATTCTTATCGCTGTCCTCTCTCTTCCCTGTTATTCCTACCATGCGCTGAATTAACCGATATCTTTTCGAAATGTCTTCGTCCGGTGCAGCGGCGGAACGGTCGGAAGCACCGCATGACTCGACCATAGTCGTTGATAAATCGGTCACCCTGACCCTTAGCAGCGACTCACTGCTGATTGTTGGTAAGGAACTCTGCTGTATTCGCGCGCGACCTGCCTTTGCTAACTCGCGCTGCAGACGAGCGCATCTCTCGCAAAAAGAACCGCGGCTGCTGCGGGTTATGCAAGTCAAGTAAGCTGGGACCTTTTCCTTTGCCCCTCCGGCGATCTGCCAACCTTAATCGCGCTGTCGCATCTCTAATCGATTCCCTGCTCTACAGAAAACAAGACGAATACGACGCAAGCTATTTCTTTGTATAATGTCCTTGACGCCGAAGTGAATCCCTCGAACCTGGTCATCACCTTCGCCGAGCACTCCGCGCAAAATGATGTCACCGTGTCCGTCCTCGACTATCCCATCAGCGAAAAAGAGAAGCCTGCAATTGAGGCTTGGGTGAACCAGCTGTTGGACCAGTCCTATGGCACCGTTCAGCGCAAGAGGCGCCTTAAGGTTCTCGTCAATCCCTTCGGCGGCAAAGGAACAGCGGATAGCCTCTACCAAACATACGCGGCACCCATTTTTGCCGCTGCGCGATGCCAAGTGGATGTACAGAATACCGACTATCGGGGCCACGCCATTGAAATTGCAGAGCAGCTGGATATCGACGCGTACGATGCCATTGTGTGCTGCTCCGGCGACGGTCTGCCCTACGAAGTCTTCAATGGCCTTGGCAAACGATCCAATGGCAGAGAGGCACTGGCAAAAGTGGCGGTTACATTGCTTCCTTGTGGTTCTGGAAATGGGATGACTTGGAATTGCCTGGGAACAGGAAGCGTCTCGATCGCGGCGCTGGGAATCGTCAAAGGCCAAAGGTCCCCTCTGGATCTGGTCTCAATTACCCAGGGAGACACTCGCACTCTTTCTTTCCTCTCGCAGTCCTTTGGTATTGTGGCCGAATCGGACCTGGGTACGGACCATATCCGGTGGATGGGCGCACAACGGTTCACGTATGGATTCCTCGTTCGACTGCTGAAACGTACCATCTGGCCGTGTACTCTGAACATCAAGGTTGAGATCGACGACAAGCGGGCCATCAAGGAGCACTACGCTACCTTTGCAGCTCGAGAACTGGATCCCAAGGTTGATCAAAAACGTCTCGAGGCTGCGGAGCAGTCGCCAGCGCTGCCGGAGCTCCAATATGGCACAGTCCAAAGCGAGCTACCTGGGGACTGGGAATCTGTCCCAGGTGAAAACATGGGCAATTTCTACGCGGGCAACATGGCCATTATGTCCAAAGATACCAACTTCTTCCCCGCGTCGCTCCCAAATGATGGACTCATGGACATCGTCACCATTGACGGGACCGTCAGCCGAGCCACCTCACTCAAGATGATGAACGAGATCAGCACCGGAGGCTTCTTCGACATGCCCGACGTGAAGATCCGCAAAGCCACCGCGTTCCGCCTGGTGCCCCACGAGAATGAGGGTTATATCAGCATCGACGGCGAACAGGTGCCATTCGAGGCCTTGCAAGCCGAAATCCACCGCGGACTCGGCACAACGCTCTCCAAATCAGGAATTCGATATGAGGCTGATGGGCCGAAGTGATCCTTGCACGATGCCGCGTCAACATAAGAGGCGCATGGTTCTGAGTCAATGTTATATACTTAGATGTGTCCTGAGGTCTTTTGCTATCCACCCATGATACCCTTATGCAAGAGACCTGGTGGTGTTACGTTTTCATTCGGTGGTTGATTATGTTTATATGCGAGCTACAACTCGTCTCTGGTTTTCGTTTGGAGGGCGTTATTCCTCTAGTTGTACAGTGCTTGACTATGAAAATAGACAATATAATTTATGCCTTGCGGTTTGGTTTGGCTTTCGTAGATCTCGGAGTTCTTGAGGAGCTTTTTATTGACTTTAATCATGCTCGCTATAAATGCTGTACAGAGGGAAGAAAAAAAAAATTAAAGGTGCGAACAGGTCTGAGCCGAGCAAGCCAGTATCAGCAGAGACGAAGGTCAAGTTAATGGCGGCTCCTGTATTTAAACCTCTCCCAATATGCGCATTTCACCAAGGGCAAATAAAACGCAAAAGCGCCCCAATATGGGCAGGCCCTTTAGCAGTAAGCACTAGCCCACGCAGGTCGGGCTAAGGAAGAGGTGACGGCTGGTGACATCCTCACCAAGAGCTTTCCACCTGTTTGAGGGAAACGTGAATTCATTTTGCCTTTTGGCCACTCATTCATCGAAACCACCCCACTCGCCGTCGCTGTCCACCTCTTCTTCCTCGTTCTTGCGTTCCCGAATACCCCACTCAACCAGCCGGTCATCATCCAGCGCCTCCGCAGCTCTCGTCCTGACGGGCTTGTAGGGGCTCTCTGTGCGCAGCTTCTCCAATGGCCGCAGGATAAGCTCCATGGGCACGTCGCCCAAGATCTTCCGGTTCGATTCCTCATCCTCGTCAAACTCCAGGACCTTCTCCAACTCGTCAACCCAGATATCAACAAGGTGATAGCGCAGCCCATCAGGACCGTGAGGCATGGGAACGAAATTTGGGTTCCCCTCATCAACCTCAGGCTTCGAAGGCTGATCAGGATCAAAGTTCATAGGGCAGAGCGGGCCCTCTTCAATAATAGAGATGTAAGCCTCCAGATTGGCCCACTTGCCATCAGAATCACCAGTCTCCTCCTCAGCAGGTGCCTCGACCTCCTTCTGCTTCTTCTGCTTCTTGCCACGGCCGCCTTTAGCGTCCTCGCGCTTGCGCTTCTTGCCGTCTTCACTCTTTTGCGTCTTGTTCCCCTTCACGAAGATTTCAAATGCAACACCGACATAGCAACGGATCAGGAGCAGATACTTGTCCAGACGCAGGCGGTCCAGAGAGTGATAGTCCCGGCCGATAGTGATCCAGAATGCGCGCAGGAAGCGGTGGACGGTGGCTTGCGGGAGAGACGGGACGAGGGAGTAGGAGAGTGTGCGGGCGAGCGCTTGTTGTGTCAGCGGTCGGTCGGAGTGGTAAAAACAGAAGAAAAGGCCCTTCCAGAGCTTGAGGAGTTCGACGAGGGTCAAGTCGTTGCGCGAGCGCAGGAACAGTGTGAGCGACTCGACGGCCTTGTCGCGGACTTTGCGGTCTGGAAAGTAGTTTAGTTTTGAGGCCCTGGATCTTGTCGCATTGGTTGTACGTACCGCTCGAGGCGAGGTCCCTCACAAAGGGAGTCTTCTGAAAGTCCGCCATCGCGTTGTGCAATTGAATGTTGGTTTGTCTGAGCTTCGGCGATGTCGATCTCCGATAAATTATTTTTTTTTCCTGATAGCGGGTTTGCACTGTTTGTGTTTCTGCCTTAGTTACCAGGTGTCGATAGTTGGATCACTGTCGCAGAGCCTCCTCTCCTCCTCTACTTAAAGATGTTTAGATAAATGTGCACTAAGATGTTAATATGTTCAAAACTAGTTCTACATATATACTAAAATTCTCGACGGGCAACTTAATTTGTAGGGTTATAGGATGTTCGAAGGAATGCAAGACACAAAAGCATGATGTTTTAGCAAAGATGGGTTCAATGAACTCTCCAAGTCCTTTGAATGTTAATATTTAATGCGCTGACATTCGAGGTCAGATCTACTATTTGATGAAATTTCCTCTCTCGGGTAAGCTTGAAGTACCGTGCTAGACATGACGAGGTCCAATGGCTGCATCCGGCGTCTCAAACCCCCCGCGATCTAGCCCGCGGAGCACCCACTGTGTATTGACATCACCACTTCAACCCCGTCCGAATAGGAGCTCAGAAGCCCTGGCCCAATGCCAATGTGGATATGGCTCAGGGCAATATTCGGCGAAATTAGTGGAACGGTGTTACTCTGAACGCAAGTGCAATTGCCCCATAGCTTCTTGGTAGTTTCTCTCGTCTACTTTCCCAAATTTCTGTATAGTTTCTTAACTACTCTGCTCGGCCAGACATAGGTCTACATGCACCATGATACAGCGTATTGAGGAACATGAGATCGCTCAGTCCTCCATTCCTCAAGGGACGGACATCTCACCATCGACCTCCGAAGAAGTCCCCGATAGCGAGAAAAATGTCTTTGAGCACATCCGCCCCGAAGATCGCCAGCATCTGTCTCGTACTGCTTCCAACTTCCCCCGGCATCGTGCGGCCGATTCGGGTGTTGGGGGAATGGACATGGAGCGCAAGGACACACTGCAAGATATCGAGCTAGGAGACCCAGTCCTAGACCCCACGAGTGACCAATTCGAGCATTACAAATGGGCTCGTATGATTCTCAGGCTAATGGACAAGGAAGGTGTACCTCTACGCAAATCGACCGGCGTGGTGTGGGAGAACCTCAACGTCTCCGGCTCCGGTTCCGCACTGCAGTATCAGAACAATGTCGGTTCGGTTCCTCTGGCTCCATTCAGACCGCAGGAGTATATTTCTTGTGGCAAACGCGATCAGCAGAAGCACATTCTCCGTGGATTTGATGGCGTTCTCAAAAGCGGCGAGTTGCTTATCGTTCTCGGACGACCTGGAAGTGGCTGTTCGACCTTCCTTAAGTCCCTCTCTGGTGAACTTCATGGACTGAAGGTAGGGAAAAGCTCGGATATTCAGTTCAATGGTATCCCTATGGAAAAGATGTACAAGGAGTTCAAGGGAGAAGTTCTCTATAACCAAGAGGTCGACAAGCATTTCCCACACCTTACCGTGGGCCAGACGCTTGAATTCGCTGCGGCTGCCCGGACTCCGGAGAACCGTCTCAATGGAATTAGCCGTGCTAAATATGCTAAGCATATCACCCAGGTTGCTATGGCTGTTTTGGGATTGAGTCACACGTACAACACGAAAGGTGGGCTTGTCCGTCATGAAACAAGCATTGTGACTGACAGGCTATTCAGTTGGCGATGACTACATTCGCGGCGTTTCTGGAGGCGAGCGGAAACGAGTTAGGTATGATACAGCTATCTATCAGGCCCAGGCTCAAAGCTAAAACCACCACTAGTATTGCCGAGATGGCGTGTACGTCACATTATTCATTTTAAAATTCTTCCAGTACCAACACTGATCCATCAATTAGTGTCAGGAGCGCCAGTCGGAGCTTGGGATAACAGTACCCGAGGGCTCGATTCTGCCAGTGCCCTGGAATTCGCCAAGTCTCTGCGAGTCTCTGCGAATCTGACCGGCGCCTGTCACTCCGTCGCAATCTATCAGGCCTCTCAGGCAATCTACGACGTCTTCAATAAGGTCATTGTGCTCTACGAGGGTCGGGAGATCTTTTTCGGACCCGTTGGGTAAGTCAGGTCTCATACAGAAACTCAAACTTTGCTAAATATAACACATCAAGTGCGGCCAAAGACTACTTCATTGACATGGGTTGGGAGTGTCCGTCCCGTCAAACGACCGGCGACTTCTTAACTTCAGTCACAAACCCCCAGGAACGAACTGCTCGCGAAGGCATGGAAAACAAAGTCCCACGCACACCTGATGAGTTTGCGGTGTACTGGAAGAAGAGTCCTCACTACACCGCTCTCCAAAAGGAAATCGCTCAGTATCGGGAGGAATATCCGCTAGGAGGAGCTGCGGAGAAAGACTTTGATGAGACGAAGAGGCTACGCCAGGCAAAGCACGTCCGGCCAAAGAGTCCCTACGTCATCTCTATTCCGATGCAGGTTCGGCTTTGTGTGAAACGAGCTTATCAGCGGTTTGTCTAACACCCACTAAATTGATTCCTTGCCAAGGATTATCCACCTAATTCTTTCGCAGCATTTGGAATGACAAACCCTCTACAATGACTACCGTCATTGGGAGAATTGTTATGTCTCTCATCATCGGTTCAATCTACTTTGGGTAAGATGGCTTTTTTGTGATGCGAGAGTTAGTGCTCACGTATACAAGGACACCTAATGCGTCGGCCGGTTTTCAGAGTAAAGGCGCTGCACTTTTCTTCTCCGTTTTGTGAGCTCTACAAATTACAATGAAACCTTCGGCGCTAATATACAATCTAGGCTGAATGCTCTAATCAGTATCACTGAAATCAATTCGCTTTACGACCAACGGCCTATCATCGAGAAGCAAGCATCCTATGCATTTGTTCATCCATTTACAGAGGCTCTGGGCGGAATAGTTGCAGACATACCGGTCAAGTTTGTTTCTGCAGTAGTGTTCAACATCATCTTCTACTTTTTGGCTAGTTTGGTAGGTTTACATGGAAGGTCCTCGTGAACTATACTAACAACCATACAGAGATACGAGCCCTCTCAGTTTTTTATCTTCTTCCTATTCACGTTTCTCAGTACGTTGGCAATGTCAGGCGTCTTCCGAACTCTAGCTGCGTCAACCAAGACCCTCGCACAAGCTATGTCTATGGCTGGAGTCATTGTCCTGGCGATCGTCATTTACACTGGTTTCGTGATTACTGCACCCGAAATGGCCAAAATTCCGTGGTTTAGCTGGATCCGCTGGATCAATCCGGTCTTCTATACCTTCGAGGCCCTGGTTGCCAACGAGTTCCACGGTCGCCGCTTCGACTGTTCCCAATTCATCCCCGCGTACCCGAATCTATCAGGTGACTCTTTCATCTGTGCTGTTCGTGGCGCCGTTGCTGGTGAAAGAACGGTGTCCGGTGATGCCTATATTCAAACGCAATATAACTATTCCTACGCGCACGAGTGGCGGAATCTTGGTATTCTCATTGGATTCTGGATATTCTTCACGGCTTTGTACCTCATTGCCTCCGAGCTCAATTCTGCAACTTCTTCGACGGCAGAATATTTGGTTTTCCGGAGAGGCCATGTGCCTGCTCATATGCGTCATCTTGGAAAAGCTGGTGGTGATGCAAAGGCGGCAGAAGTGGCGGTAGCTCCCAAGGATTCTGAAAAGGAGAAAGATACCTCGGCCATCCCATCCCAGCATGACGTCTTCACTTGGCGGAACGTTTGCTATGATATCCCAATCAAAGGAGGCGAGCGACGACTTTTGGACAATGTCTCTGGATGGGTGAAGCCTGGCACTCTGACAGCTTTGATGGGTGTTTCTGGAGCTGGTAAGACGACGCTGCTTGATGTCCTGGCCAAGCGTGTCTCTATCGGAGTTGTTACTGGTGATATGCTTGTCAATGGCAAACCATTGGATACCAGTTTCCAAAGAAAGACTGGTTACGTTCAGCAGCAGGATCTCCACCTTTCAACTACGACCGTCCGAGAGGCTCTGCGGTTCAGTGCCATGCTACGCCAGCCTAAAACCGTATCAAAGAAGGAGAAATATGAATATGTCGAGGACGTTATCAAGATGCTCGGTATGCAAGACTTCGCGGAAGCGATTGTCGGCAAACCGGGCGAGGGTCTGAATGTTGAGCAGAGGAAGCTGTTGACTATCGGCGTTGAGCTGGCTGCTAAACCTGCCCTTCTTATTTTCCTCGACGAGCCCACCAGTGGATTGGACTCGCAGAGCTCTTGGGCAATCTGCTCTTTCTTGCGAAAACTGGCAGAGCATGGCCAGGCTGTACTCTCAACTATACATCAACCGAGTGCGCTGCTATTCCAGCAGTTTGACCGTCTGCTCTTCCTCGCCAAAGGAGGGAAGACGGTCTACTTCGGTGGAATTGGAGAGCAGTCGCGAACTCTTCTGGATTATTTTGAAGGTAACGGAGCGAGAGTTTGCGGCTCATCCGAGAACGTAAGTTTCCATTCTATGTTCAGTTTGACTTTCCAGATACTAACGATAAGATAGCCTGCGGAATACATGCTGGAGATTATTGGCGCCGGTGCATCTGGCAAGGCCACTAAGGACTGGTCGTCGGTGTGGAATGAGAGTCAGCAGGCCAAGGACGTACAGACTGAGATCACTCGCATCCACGACGACCGGGCTTCGGCTGGCACTTCCCAAGAAGACGGCACTCACATTGGTGAATATGCAATGCCATTCATGTCCCAGATCTGGTACGTGACCCATCGCTCATTCCAAGGATTTTGGCGAGAGCCGTCCTACGTCTGGGCGAAGATTATGCTGGCTACTTTGTCATCTATCTTCATCGGTTTCACATTCTGGATGCCGGATAGCTCGCTACAGGGATTCCAGGATGTGATTTTCAGTGCATTCATGCTGTGTTCCATTTTCTCAACGCTCGTGCAGCAGTACGTATATTCCTGCTATATGAAATATTCAAGCTAATTGCTAACTCTACCAGGATCATGCCCAAGTTCGTCGTTCAGCGCTCTCTCTACGAAGTGCGCGAACGGCCCTCCAAAGCCTATTCCTGGGCAGCGTTCCTTATTGTCAACGTCATCGTCGAGATCCCATATCAGATCTTTGTTGGAGTTATTGCCTGGGCAGCTTACTACTACCCGATCTACGGAGCCGAGCAAGCGTCCCACCGTCAGGGTCTGATGCTCCTTTTCGTGGTCCAGTTCTACATCTTCACCTCAACCTTTGCGGCCCTGGTTATCTCAGCCCTGCCAGATGCCGAAACTGGTGGAACAATCGCAACCTTGATGTTCATTATGACTCTGACCTTCAACGGAGTCATGCAGCCTCCCAGTGCCTTGCCCGGATTCTGGCTGTTCATGTACCGTGTTTCTCCCCTGACTTATCTGGTTGCCGGTATCACCGCGACAGGTCTGCATGGCCGACTGATCCATTGCTCTGCCGCCGAGTTGAGCGTTTTGAACCCTCCATCTGGGTTGACCTGCGGTGCATACTTGAATCGATACGTCACTGCTGCCGGAGGCCAGCTTTACAACCCTGCTGCTACAGCAAACTGCCAATATTGTCAATTGACAAACGCAGATCAGTACTTGGCTTTTAGTAACATCTGTTGGTTATCTCCTTTCGCTCTCTTGATGTTATCTGCTAACCCGTTACAGTCTACAGTGAACGCTGGCGCAACTTTGGCCTCGGCTGGGCCTACATTGGATTTAACATCATGGGAACTGTGTTGATGTACTACATGTTCCGCGTCAAGCACTACAATCCAACGTCGCTGGTGCGTGGTATTTGCAATGGCGCTTCGTTCCTATGCCGGGTGTTCAAACGGCGTTCTGGAAAGACACCCAAGGGGAAAGAGGCAAACAATGGTCGGTTGGTCTAGGCATGCTTGTTTTGTCATTTAACTGCTTTTATATACAGTTATTTAAAGTAGAATTCATTTGTTGTTTTTCGTCTGGTTATGTTTGAACCAATAACAATCCTCGAACTACAATCTCCACTCTATATCAAACTTCTGTACTTCCATCTATACATTCCTCTATCATTTCCCTATTGATGTCTTCAATAGCGTCTTCCAAATACCAGCGCAGCGATAGTTCCCGGGGAGGTGGAACATACAGAAGACGGATTCGAGAAAACCTGTTGAGAGCGTGAAGGCGCTTAAGTCTAGTGAGGCGAGTTATGATGTGGCGAAGCGAGAGGAATTGTAGAAGTTAACTATTGATACTGTGGTTCGTGATGATCAGCGGAAATGGCATTTTCATTGTATTAGGTGGCGTTCAGTTTATTTTGTCTCATTGACCTTATCAAGTTGTGTTTCGTTCCTGTCCAATATATATTTTTGTCGAATTTGAAATTCGTCAAAAAGTCAATGAAATTTCCAACAATCTTTAATAATAAGAATAAAGTACAATAGGCAGGGAAGAAGACATTAAGATAAAGCCTTTTATGGCCACATACCGTTGACCATAGCCTTCAAGTGAAGCACGAGAATCCTTCAACCCCAATTGGGATTAACACGCTAAACCTAATATAGACTCGCTTAATACTTTCGTGATGTGAATACAATCCCCACAACAATATATCAACTAGCATCATTGGTCTAGTGGTAGAATTCGTCGTTGCCATCGACGAGGCCCGTGTTCGATTCACGGATGATGCAAAGCAATTTCTTTTTACCTTTTTTACTTTTTGCTTTTTGCAAAAACAGTCTTATCTTTTAACCTACACTTACTAACCTAAACAGACCAAATAACTAGGTCGGAGAAGATGTTACGGAGCCCCTTGACTTGGTGGTTACATCTTCTGCTGAAGTTAAGAAGGGATAAGGCCCGGCCGTGGTCAGAGGTGGTCAGGTTATTTTCGGACCGCTATCCGGGAAAAAGCCCTGGTGCAATCCAAGTATACTGGAGTACGTACGGTCGTCAGAAAAACATAGCAGAATAAGACCGTACCAGCTATCCTCTTCGGAACCTCTAAATGGCTGCTGCAACTACTCCTCCAGCACCTCCATGACGCTGTTGCGTCTCTGGATTTCGGCTGTCCGTGCATTATTAAGTGTCAGGAAGAAAAGATCGACACGGTATCGAATCATAGGGAATACCGATAGAAACCCTGCATCTAATCATCTTGCAATATTGCTCGCGTTGATTACACGTATTTTACCTCTTCTGATCTATAACAGTCCGAGTAACGGCTGTGTACTCACGGGTATTTTAACCCTCATGAATCCTCGCTTGGTCAAAAGTTACTTATCTTCCTGGTCAATGGCATCGCAGGCCAGATTAACTTGTAACCATATAGGGCTTAGTTCAATAGCTGAATCTTCTAACGAGACTCCAATAGTGCTAATACCATTAAACGAGAGACAGTAGGAGATTCAATCAATGCAGTATCGGAGGATAATTCACTTAGGAGGCTCATATTCCGGGGCTATAAGTCAAGGTTAGACTTCAAATTGAACCCTGGCTCGATAAAATTGGGTAATAAGATACCTGATCGCCAAGCAAGGGCTTTTTTTTCACTTGGGTTGATAAAATGGATTTGGAAGATACATATCCATCTTCCTCACTGGCTCGGAGTTACGATCAACTCGTTTGCTACTCGGATAATCTCATGACGTTTCACGTGGAATATGGCTTGTTGAGATCCAATCCTCCGGGATACCCCTTGGGTGAGCAGAACAACGCTTGCAGAGCTCGCAGGTTTGGTGACCAATCGTACACGATGCTACAGGAATAACCGCCGTGATCTACGTCTATCTATGCCTTTTGATAAGTCATCATTCACTAACAAAGAACTATAGCCCGCAAGATATTCAATTACTTTTAAAAATCTCATAAACCTGAAGCTTTCCCGCGTCCTCTGATATCAGATCCGAAGGCAAAACATTGTAAGTGACCCATCGAACAGACAGCGTAAAAGCAAAATTATTAAATCAAATGGCAGAAATTGATTCTTCCCAAGTTATCCTTTCAGCCATGGCATCGGTATGTGCTGGAATATCTCTTTTACTTTGGGTTGTGTTGATATCCGACGGACAACCGTCCCGACTTGTCTTACTCCCTCAAAAACCCTACGTTTTCTCACAGGCTGTGGTGGGAGTTTTGGTCTGTGCTGGTCTGCTTGGGTCACCACTAAGTGGGGCCTGACCCTGAAACCATCATGCGTGGTGAATCTGTCGTGGACGACACCAAAGCTCAGCCTTGCATTCCGTTTCTATCTTACTTCGTAACAGAGGAGGTATTAATCTTTACAAATATTCCTTATGAATAACTGTCTTATGAGGTGCGGAGAAGCAAGATAAGATTCAATTTCTCATAAACAATCATAATTCATTCAGCCGTCCCATCCAAGCACATGTGGAGCAGGATGCGGCTACAGCGAGTTGTTCACGTGTTGAAAGCATGCATTCGTGCCCGGGTGAACATGCAGAGAAGGCCTCCACCCGAAGCTAGATGTCAAAATTGAAGACGTCCGACGGTTGTCAGATCAGGACTGAAAGATGGCGCATGAGGAGGGAACATCCAAAATAACAAGTAGAAAGACATTGGGGGTATTGTGCAAAGCATCAGATGAGAAAGTGGGATCAAAACGCTGGAGAGAAGAGACGCGAGGGGAGAGATGGGGTGACTCCTGGTCGATTCACAGATTAGATGTATGGCAGGACTCAAGGTCTGTTTATACCTGGACCCGCGCTTTGGCGGAAGTTTCAGGAGAGAGAGGGGCGCGCGACTATCATAGCGTTGATGACATGACCGTTCTGCCAGCCCTGCTCGGGCAACGACTCATGCTCTTTTAGCATACGGCCGAGATAAACGATTCGTACACGCTGGTGAGTTGATACCTGGAAGGACTGTCAGAGCGGAACGAATAAGTAGCAGAGTGGAAAACGATTACACACCCCTCCCTCTTGCTGAACCTTGCGAGCCAAAAAGCCCACACTCTGGTCCTTGCCCACCATCAGCATCAAATCCCCACCGTCACGATCACTAAGCCGGACCTGCACGCGAATCAAATCGCGCTCGCTCGTCTTGCCCTTCTCGTCGCGGCGGCGCTCGGCATCTTCCGCGATTAGCTCGTCGCCCGAAGCATCATCCGTAGCCAGTTTGCCATCGGAAAGCGCCTCCATATCCTCGTCCTGCCCCCGTTCAATCTCATCTTGTGTGGAGTTGGGGCTGGGGCAACTTGTCTTCGCCATATTCTCGGGATCGTTAACAATACATTGCGGCAAGCGGTACAGTACGCCCTGCTCGTCATAACACCCTTCACAGAGATCCCCCGTCGGGATCGTAACACCGACTGCATCAACTATGCTCTGCGCCGTGGCTAGGTCGTTTTCGCGCATCAGCGTAATAGCCGTTGATAGCGCCGCCCATACCTCGGGACGCCCCGTGACTCGGGTCTCGAAGAATTCGCGGCGCTCTTGGTCTAGCTCGGCGCGCGTCCAGGTGCGTCGCTTGCTATACCAAACATGCAGATGGACCGGCTCATTATAGTGCTCGCTCAGCGGGAGGTCCGGCGCGCGCCTAGTGCGGCGGCGAGTAGTCTGCGTCTGTGTTTGGGTGGAAGTAGCGGAGATAGAATTGCGAGCGTCATGTGTTCTGTCGGTGGTTTCATGTTCATCCTGGGGATCATCGTCATGCGACGGCCTGGACACGCAGCAACCCTGTGGAAAGGTGGATTGTTAGTCCTGTATTGCCCTGGATCGAGGATCGGGGCTGGGCGTCTGGGCATATGCGGGGGATAGAGCCATTTCGAAAGCACGAGATCGTGTGACAGCAGGCTGCCAAGCGATTCTCAAACCTTGAAGTTTAAAATATTCTCGGACTTACCATCGTGCGAGCGACGTGCACACTCCATAAGCTGGAGAGGGGGAAAGGATTGCAAGGTTGAGGGGAAGGGCCAAATATGAGGATCCGGGGGTCAAGCCTTGCGGAAACAAAGGACCGGGCGTCTAGTGATAAGTGCGGTGATAAAACCCGAGGGGTCAAATACCAGCGTGAGAACAGAGAAAAAGAAAAGAAAGAACAAAGATGAGAGATGAGAGATGAAGGGCCAGGTACATTCCTCGCCCACACATTACTGGATCAAGCATTTGATGATGTCAAGCCGTACGCGCATCTCGGCCTTCATTGTCCGCACCACCTATCGCACAGTCGTCGTACAGTGCATTCTACGTAACATGAAAAGGCGGCTAAGATACTGTACAAATTATATTCTTAATTCTTAAATTCTTTAATCTTCGTCGTCGCTGCCAAAGATCGCTTTAAACACTGCATCACCCGGTCGGTCGGCTTCGAGGGCATCGTTGCGCTCGGGTTCAACAACTGGCGCCGGTGCTGGTGGTGGCTTCGGGACGCCTGATCCAGCAGCATCAGAGCTGGCGGTAGGCTGGCGTCCAGATTCCATCATGATCATGTTCATCACTTCCTGCGAGACCAGTTCCCGCGATGCGGAGTCCGTCTGATATCCTCCAGACTGGAACCGGCTACCAGGCCCGGGATTGGATGCCTGCTCCCCATCATCTTGTTGTACATTAGCAGGCGGCTTGACATTGAAGCGCTTGCATAGAAGACGATGAGGATAGAAAGGTATAGTGCTTCGGGTCATTTGACCGAACATGCCAATCTTCGCCGCCGCCACGGCTGGAGGGTCGGGCTTCTCCGCAGGACGGGTGAGAGCGGACTCGGCTGAGTCGGGTGCATCAGAGGCAACTTTGGGGCCTGAAGATGCCGATGTGAATCGCGATGCCATGATGCCAGACATGGGCTTGAACACTTCGGCAGCCCGGGCAAACTCGTTCATCTCGGTCACCCAGTCGTCCGTGCTGGAACCTTGCACTCGATCCGGAAGGGAGTCACGGATCTCTGCCCGGACTTCGAGGAACGTGCGGTATCGTGCACGCTTGTCCTCATCTTCCGAGTAGGGCATCCAGCCGCTGACGGCTCGAGTCAAGGCTTGAACAGCGGTTTGCTTGTCCAATTTGGGCACAAGGTCCCACAGATCTTTTCGCTTTTGCGAATCAGATAATTCAAAACCTTTCGGCGCCTTTTCGCCCAGAGCCGGGGGGAGATTAGTGTTGCCCGTAAGTTTCGCAATTCGTTCGCGTGCCTCGGGCGTCATCCAGTCGAAGACGGATTTTCCTGGTAGCTGGGCCTCGCCCAAGACGGCAGCTCGTGACGTGGGATCGAGTGCAGATGCCTTGGCAGCCTCGGCTGTAGAGACATAGCTCGATGCATCCCGCTCGGTGGAGGCAGATTGCTTCGCAGAGGTCCAGCCTTCGGGGATTTGGGGAGGCTCGTATTTCTTATCTGATATGGACATGCTTGATAGCTCGGCAAGAACGAATCCATCCAGCGGTAGTCGTCCATCGCGGCATTTCCTGAACCCTCCTGCACCACGGGAAACAGCCAATTTCTTCGATATGAAGACTGGTTTCGCATTGGCATTCAACAGCGGATTGGAGGATGCGATTGTTGGCCTCCCTTCCTCTGCTTTGAGCTTCTTCTTTTTCTTCTTGTCGCCGATGGTTCGGTTGTATGATATTGAAGGACCGAGGGAATAGGGGTCTTCATCGTCTGATCCTGTGTCGTTGAGAATGCCAATGCCGATTCCTCCTCGTCGCGTTTCTTTCGCCGTTGGCGGTTTGTCTTTCCCTTGAACGGCTAGACGCCCGCCAAAGAACGAGTCTGATTCCTCGGGTTCGTCGCGCGAACCATCGCGTTCTTCCAAACGGGCTTCGCCTTCAAATCCAAGACCCTTGTGGTCGGTCTTCCGAATAAAGGCAACCATCGGGGGGTTTTCCGGTGCGAACATATACGTCTGCTCGGGGCCTTCACAGGGAGCATCGCCCAGATCAGCTTTGCGCCGTACCTTGGGACCAATGCCTTGTCCCTCTCGCCATCCCATTTTCTTCAGCAGCTTTACACCCATTGTTTCGCCGCCGACTTTCAGCAAGTCCATGAGCCCGGCTCGTCTCGTAGCATCGGTCTCGGTCGAACCGAACCCCGCAAAACCTTCCTTCGTCTGCAAGTTTCGTGACTCCTCCAGCTCCCTAAGATCCTCCTCGTCCATGAAATCCTCCGGTCGTTTCTGCGCCTGCTGTTTGGCATCTCGGGCACGGTTCTGGCGGGACGAGACAAAGGTCGCGGGAGTCCATCCTTCCTTGGAGCCGACTGAGTTGAAGTACCTGGAGAAGTGTTAGCCCATGTGCGTAACGCTCAGTAGACAGGCGAAGCTTACCCTGCACTGAAACCACCGGTAAAGGCACCATGCAGGCGCTTCCGGCCCCGCTCATCGGTCACCTCTTGCTTCCACACGGGCATGTAGGACCCGTCATCGCGCACCCCGGCGTCCAGGGGAGGCAAAGGCGTCCCATAGTAAGTATAGGGAGGCTGCCAGGCCTGGTCGGCCTCAAAGGCAGCGCGCGGGCGCTTCCCAGCCATGCTCACCATCAGGCTGGATCAGAGGTTAGCTCAAGGGAGAGAGAGGACCGCAGAAGTCGTCATGATTCGTGGAAACGGCGCGATAGCGGAGATGACGACCCTTGGCACGCTGAGGCCAATTACAGGCTGCGCTGATCACCGCGTCCCGCCCGTGATTTCAGGGACTTTTGGGTGAGCCTTGTTGGGGATCAGCACGAAGACCGTTGAAAGTCAAACAGAATGGGCGATTGACACGGTCCGAGTGACGTTTAGATGATCGGAGACCCGATAGATGAAAACCCCAGAGTTGTAGTGTAATAACAACGTGGCAGGGAAGACCTGGTAGATGTAATCGACTAAGTTGCTTGAGTGGCGGCAGCCCGCTGCGAACCGTCAAATCTCTCTTTAGGGGTCGTGGCCCCATGGTGCTCATATCCTTTTTTCCCTCCTTTTCCCTCTACTTCTACACACGCTTCTACCATGTGCATCTCATAGCAATTTCCCGCTCCTCCCACTCCCCGACACCCCTTGCGTTGTTGAAGACTACATCTTTCCCTTTCCGGCGCCCGGAGCACGAGTCCGGTGTGGCCTGGGGAATTTTCCAGTGCTTCCAGAATGCTTGGCGCTAACAGCTTCGCCGGCAGGCGCAAGTCTATCTACTTGTGTCTCGCCTTCGCCGCCGCGGGAATCTGCTTCCTGAACCTCATTTTCTTGACACGAGGGGTCGAAAATACCGTCATTAGCCTCCCCGGTCTCAACCTGTTTCGCCCTCAGCAGAAACACATCGAAGGAACCTATGCACACGATCAACACCCCATCGCGGATTTGATGAAAGAGGCCGATCAGAAATGGCAGCAATACGATGAAAGCCGCTCGACCAATTTCCGCGAAACGGTCGCCAAATACCGCGATACCTACGGACGACACCCCCCACCCGGGTTTAAGGAATGGTACCAGTTTGCGCGCAAGAATAATGTGCACAATGTCGACGACTTCCAGCAGATCACGGGAGATTTGCGTCCGTTCTGGGCCGTTCCTCCGCAGGAAATCAGACGGATGGCCGCAAGTCTGCAGCTAAGCGATGGAATCGCCGGAGTGCGCGTTCGGAACCACAAGGTTGTATCGAAAACTGAAGGCTGGCGCGTGGAAACACTCGCACAATCGGTCGGACGACTCGCAAAGCATTTGCCCGACATGGACATTGCGATGAACACCATGGATCAGCCCCGCGTCATGGTTACGCACGAAGATATTCAAAACTATCTGAAGATCGAAGAAAGGACGAGAAGATTGCCTTCTGACGCAGCGGACCAATTCACCAGCGAGATGGATCATTACTTCAACGAAAGTGCTGGTGTCAACGAAGACATGGACCCGGGATGGTTCTCCATCGCAGGAAAGCCATACAACGACTTTTCCAAGGAATCCTGTTCGCCCGAGTCTCCGGCAAATGCCAACATGAGCGTTGAGGAGGCAGACAAACTGTACAAGACATCATTTGGTGGATTTATCTCCAACTTTACCGGTTCCACGGATCTCTGCAATGTGGGTCCTGTCCTCGGTGACCAGCATGGCTTCCTCTTCTCGGCCTCCAGCAACACCATCAGCAGAAAGCTGATCCCTGTGTTCAGCGAATGCAAGGTCAGCGTGAACAACGACATCTTGTTCCCCGCAAACATGTATTTCTTGAAGGACCCGCGGTATGTCTACAACTCAAAGCACGACTATGAATGGGAAGACAAGGCCGATTCTATGCTCTGGCGCGGCGTGACTTCGGGTGGAATTCAGGTGGAAGACAACTGGCACCGCTTACACCGCCAGCGCTTCGTGAAGACGACCAACGCCACAGAGATGGAGTCGGAGACCGTTTCCATTCTTTCTAAAGACAGCAGAGAGAAGTATGAGCTGATGTCCGACTTCCACCCCTCCGACTTCGCCTCGTCTTACTTTGATGTCGGCTTCACCGAGGCATGGGGCTGCATTCCCGACTGCTCCTTTTACGAGGGTGTCTGGACATACAAGGAGCCCAAGGCTTTCGATGAGCAATTTAAGGCCAAGTATCTGGCCGATATTGATGGCCACAGCTTCTCTGGCCGATGGCGCGCCTTCCACCAGAGTAAGTCAATTGGTTTGAAGGCCACTATTTTCCGAGAATGGCACGACTCCAGACTCTTCGCCTGGCGCCACTTTGTTCCGATGGACAACCGCTTCACGGACCTCTACGCCCTAATGACTTATTTCATCGGTCTCCACCCGTCTGCTTCGGAAGACCCCTTCCCGAATCACGGACCATACGTCCCTCGTCACGATTTCGAAGCCGAGGTGATCGCAGCGCAGAGCCGCGAATGGGCACACGCTGCGCTGCGCGACGCGGACCTGGACATCTACTTGTATCTTCTTCTCCTCGAGTACGGGCGCATTATCGATGACAATCGGGATAGCATCGGGTATAGCGGCGACGGAAGCGAGCTAGATCATTTTGACGAGCGCTACCCCTTCCCTCCCACGTTGGAGCCCCTGGTGCAAGGCTGATGGACCCATCGTTCCCAACATCTACGGTGGTAATATCTTCATATCCGTATATCTGCATTTTGTCTGCATGTTTTTTGCGAGTTTGGTTGTTTTTTGATTCCCCGGATTCCCCTCCATGCATGTATCTATCCATGTCCTAATGATGACACTACATATTATGATCTGTCAGACTTGTCACTATGCAATATGTATTAATTGAGAAGCATACCTTTCAAACAATCCGTCGTAAATGATAAGTGTTTATGTGGTAATTTTAACCTCAGATATCGTGTTCGTCCTGCGCACTGGTCCCATTACCTCCGGCCCGAGCCGCAACGTTGGAGCTATCATCTTGCCCTGCACGTTCTCAGTAAGGAATTACATGATGTTAATGCAGGGAAAAGGGGGTACGTTAGAAAGAAGAAATTGAGCCCGGCAGTCATTCGAAATCGCTTGCGACCATGAAGACGAGATTGATTCGAGTTCGGCTCGATTCCCGGTGTTATAGCCATGCTTCAACGGAAAGACAACTGCAGCCAGGTACTAGCATGACTAGATGTGTGGGAGCGTAAGATAATAGTAGGTTGGAAGTGTGTGAAGGTGGGGAGCTAGTTGTAGTGTCCATCTTAAAGACAGATAATCTTGGGGTGATAGGACGACTTCGTCCCCTAAGCTTGATAGCGGTGATAGAAGATTTTCGGAGGGAAGGAAGGCAACATGGAAACAAAAATGCCAAAGAGAGTACTGTCGTCTTAATCGCTTAATTGTTAGCTCAGTCTCTCTAAGGAAGACGGGTCAAAGCTTGGTGAAATGTCTGTTGAAACTTATAGAAGCAGCTCCTGCACCGGCTTTACCCACTGTCAAATTTGTCCACCCATAGAAGCGAACATAGCTTATTTTTGCGTGTTTCCCACCGACTGGTCTCGTTGGTGATCAAAGAAGTCGAAGACTGGATACAAAAGACTAGCTGAGAGCCGTACTCTGCACGAATGGCACTTTCCTTCTGTGCTATTTGACTACGTCCTTATTTTATCAAAATCAAATATACGCGCTTTTCCGAGTCATTGGCATCGGTTGCAACAATTCTTGTTTGTACAACATCAGATCTGCATATATGGCCCAGATCAGTGAAGATGAAAGTCTCAGTGACGTATGTGATCGGGAGTCATAGGATATTATTACTTGTTTGGCCCTGCGTCTGTCACAGGTCGAATTACTTTCTAGAATTGCCGACCCATACGGCCTCTCGACAATATCTGCTCAGAGTTTCCAACCAGACGAGGTTTTTGGCCACCCATGATCCCCAGCCATGTCCGTCGGGGGTCTCTGTAGATCTTGGTCCAATAAAGCGAGCATTGTTGCCTAAAATCCGACTTTTGGACTAATATTTTGGCCAACTCACTCAATGAGGCAAGTCATTAGCACCTGAGCCAATATGATGACCGGAAAATAGCCGGTGTTGCGATCAATTATGGAGAGACCCCTCTTTTTGGGGCCGACCCAAGGCAACGTGCGAGGCTGTTTGTATAGATCATATTCTAACCCCCGCTCAGCAGGGTTTGATATGATCAACACATCCAATCCAATGGCATCGCTGCCTTCACACGGATTGGAAATATGAGACTCAAATTGTTAGAGACCTGAGAGCCGCTTCCAACCCGGCAACCCTTAGAATCATATCGCTTTCAAAGGGTAAAACGGAGAAATAAAGATTAAGGGAATCGTAAAATACGAGAGCCTGTGGATGGGGCGGGGATTAGTGATCTCATGCGCTAACCACGCTAGGGACTAGAAATGTGATACCATATTCGCTGCGACGTAGGATCAGGTCACGGTCCGTTTGAAGTCCCCGATATACGGCAGTAGATCGTCATGAAAAGTTCCTTAGTGAGTAATAATTCTGTTAGCAGAATTTTATAATGGCACCCCCACCCCACCTAGTGTTCTGTTCAAACTCATTAAGCCTTCATCTACATATGGTTTGTAGTATCTACATTCACTTATAGTAAGATAATAAAACAGGGAATAGGGAGGCAATAGTATCTAATATAAAGTTGCATTCGACCGAAGAAACGAATTGAATATCCTGTTAATCCGGTAGACATCCCACGTATTAATGACCAAGAATACAGCATTTTGAACCTACACCTTATAAAAGTGTCTATTTCTATAGCCTATGGCCTATCTAGACCTTGACAAAAGGGCCAGACCGGCTGCGCAGTCCAAGATGTAACCCAACCCGCAGTTTATCGCAACCTACACTTTACCAACCTATGCCCACCTGATCTTCGCGGGACCCTGTTACAATCCGGGGGGATCGGCGCTATATACACCTAGAGAGGAAAGTAACTGTCGATTCAGTCACGTGGACCAAACACGCTTAGCTATTTTAGGCCATATTTTATATATTGTAACCTCTGTTTGTTATGTTTGCCAACCCCAAATGACCCAGCAACCCATCGGCGTTAAACCTACAACCCGCATTTCCACCACCCAGAGGTTTGGGTGGGCTGGTTACGGGTCCTCGGGTTTCTGTGCAGGCGATAAGAGCCGCCGTGGCACTCCTTCAAGGGTCACATCGTCACGGGGAGGGTTTTCTGCAGGGTGCCTCATGCAGTGCAGGGTGCTATAGACCGCGCGGGGACGGATCCCCGTCGGAGATCGTTTCTATGTTTCATGGTTTGCGAGTCCGGGAAAGCCAAGGTTCCGGATGGCGTCCTCGGTTCTCCCCTGAAGATTGAGAAATCCCGATACTTCACTCTAAGCGTCTGGACTAAAGGGTCTGCCTCCAAACAGGTTATCACCATGTCACCTTCCCGACGAAGCGATGTGACCATGAATGATCGGTGGGAAGTCTACTTGCGACTCCCGAACGAATGATTGGCTCACTGCAAATGTCGGGCGATCATCTTCAGGACCCTTCTCGATGCGCTGTGCCCGAGGAAACTCCTGATCGGTCAACGGCTCTTACCACACCCCAGCAACTTTCCTGCACTTTATCGGGTATCCCTGTTGCAAGACATGATTATCCTTTCCCGGGACGGCGAAGATAATGGCGATCGACAAGCCAGCGCCGGATGAGTACCGAGATGGCAGTGGCAGAAACCACTCGTGCTAGTCATTGACCGGCGTTCTCCGTCCTTGTTCCGAAATAGCTTGTCCCAATCAAGCTCCCTGGGCTATTGCACTTTGCCACTGAGCGTGTATCCCCCGCTTTTGCGTGCTTGTCGAGCGAGTGCTATCAAATCCCGGGGCTTTCGCGAGACCCTGTTTATGCCCTCTACGCCTCTCCCCTCATTTAGCTCACTCAGCGGACTCCGTCGTGCCCTCCTGGCTGGCCGATTGGTCCAACGGTGTTCTCGAAATTTAGTTCCCCAAGTTCCCAATCATCCCCTATCCAGCTTCCTGAAAGAGCAATGTCCCCTCCCTTGGATGTTGCGATGTTGCGACACGCTCCAGCTTTGATGCCTTCTAGTCTCAAAGCGTCTCATGCTCCAGGAGATGGCGTATCCACCGACAAAGGTATAAAGGACGCCTCGTTGCCGGCTAGTTTGTGAGAAGAACCATTCTGTTCTGCATCGTCTTCACTTGCCCTACCAGGTCCATTCTTCTACGGGAACCGTCATCATGGTTGTCTTCAGCAAGGTCACCGCCATTCTCGCGGGTCTTACGGCCGTCACATCGGCTGTGCCTGTCGAGAACACCCGCAAGGGCTTTACTATCAACCAGGTCGCCAATCCGGCCACCAAGACCAAGCCCATCAATTTGCCTGCTATGTACGCTCGCGCGCTGGCCAAGTTCGGTGGCACTGTTCCTGCCAGCGTCAAGGCTGCCGCCGAGAGGGGCTCCGCTACGACCTACCCCCAGGCCAACGACGAGGATTATCTCACTCCCGTCACCGTTGGTGCCGGCACCTTGAACTTAAACTTTGATACCGGTTCCGCTGATCTGTAAGTTGACAGAATATGTTTTCCAGACGAGAATCACAATTAACGGTCTACAGTTGGGTGTTTTCTTCCGAGCTTCCGGCCTCGGAGCAGGCTGGCCACACTCTCTATACTCCCAGCAGCAGCGCCAGCCAGATACCCGGTGCTACCTGGTCGATCTCTTACGACGACGGAAGCTCGGCCAGCGGTAATGTGTTTGACGATGTTGTCGACGTTGGTGGCGTCACTGCCACGAGCCAGGCCGTCGAGGCCGCCGAGACTGTCAGCCAAGAATTCCTTCAGAATACCGCCAGCGACGGTCTGTTGGGTCTGGCATTCAGCATCATCAATACCGTCCGGCCCACTCAGCAGACCACCTTCTTTGACACCGTCAAGTCGCAGCTGGACTTGCCTCTGTTCGCTGTGACCCTGAAGCACAACGCCCCTGGCACCTTTGACTTCGGCTACCTCGACAGCTCCAAGTACACAGGCTCTATTGCCTACACCCCTGTCGACAGCTCCCAGGGCTTCTGGACCTTCACTGCCGATAGCTACACCATTGCCGGCAGCACGGGCTCCTCGATCACTGGCTTTGCTGGTTAGTTACTGTTCCAATTTGGGATGTCGATACGTATTCGGTGTGGCTGACCTCTTCAATCTAGACACTGGCACCACCCTTCTCCTCCTCGATTCAGACATTGTTGCCGAATACTACAGCCAAGTCCCCGGCGCCCAAATGGATAGCTCCGCTGGTGGATACGTCTTTGATTGCTCCTCCACGCTACCCGACTTCATCGTGACCATCTCTGGCTACAACGCCGTTGTTCCCGGCGCCTTCATCAACTATGCTCCTATCTCTCAAGGCGGCTCCACCTGCTTCGGTGGCATCCAGGCCAACTCTGGTCCGGGCATGTCTATCTTTGGTGATATCTTCCTCAAGAGCCAGTATGTCGTTTTCGACAGCAGCGGACCCCAGCTTGGCTTCGCCGCCCAGGCATAAATCTCTTGAAGAGATGGACTTGCAGGGAAACCATTGAATGACTGATGTGTGATGAGGTAAATTGTTGACAGAACAGAGAATATATATGTGAAATGACTTATGGGTGGTTTCTGGCTCGGTGAGCTGAGTTGGTTAGCGGGCTAGCTTGTGAATAAAAACCCATGAATCCTGCCCGATCAAGTCTGATTTGAACATGAAAATGCATTCTTCGAACTGGAAAAAGGAGTCAGAGCGAATAATTTGTAGAGAGAGTATATAATTGCTCCTTCAATAGTGACACTGAAGGCAGGGTGTAGACTGGCCCAGTGGTCTGTGTCATCAGTCAATGGTGTACACAGTATATGGAATCTATGGAATAGCGCCTAGAAAAAGGATGGCGGACTTGCGACTTCCATCAGCGGGTGGGCTGGCATAATTCTCATAGTAGATACAGTATGGAGGGTGCCAGGGACAACCATATACTAGGAAACTATCACACCATTGAAATACACTTAGCGGCAGAATGCTCTCATGACAGGGCTGCAATTATTGCGTTTTTGAAATCAATACTAAGAAAGTAGAGCGTCGTCTATCAACCCATGGTAATACTCGATCAAAGTGATTTGTAGGTGTTTTAACTGTCCCGTGGTGAAACAATACCGCCACAGAATCGATCGAACGGCCTCCTTTGCCGGGGAAGGGGACCGAATTCTCTCGTTTTGACAATAAAATTATTTCTTATCTCAATTACCGTGCCAGGTTCCGTAGATTAGCGTATAGTAAGATTTTTAAACCCTCTTCCAATATCCTCAAGTTTTACGGACACAAGCTTCCTTACTGTCCATCCTTGTCCTTCACCTGGCCGGCGGCACAGGCTCCAGAGGACCCAGAGGCCCCGGAAGGAGCCTTAGTTTCTGACAGGCCCAGGCATTCAGCCATACCAAAGAAGATGTCGATTGAGTTGTAAACGCCACCGAACAACTCCTGGCATGGACCCTGTGCGAAGACTGGCACGTCGGTCAGCGAATGGACGCCCTGACTCGCATCAACGGGCAAGGTTCCATTGACCAAGAAGCCAGTGACGGCATCCTTGTAGTTGGCATAGTAATCATTTTTCTGGCCATTGATCCCAGCGGCAGGCGAGCGTGGGCCGTCGCTGTGAACCTGGTAGTTCTCCCTGTGGTCGGGGAAGGCTCCCACGCCTGAGTGCAGAGCGTAGCGCGGGTCCCAGCGAGCAGGGAAGTGCACGCCGTCCGAGTACTGCAGAGAGTTGGGGCCACCGACGGTGTACTGTGAAAGACCCGACTCTCGGTAGTAGCCGACGGCTCTGCGCTTCTCGCGATCGTCGTGCTGGGCGTTGAGGTATTTGGTGTCAACCGAGCCGGTGACGTCGAAGCCATGGCCGTGGTCAGCCGTGACGAGAATGAGGGTGTCCTCGAGCTGGCCAAGGGACTCGAGCTTCTCAATGGTCGCGCGTACAGTATCGTCGAGCTCGAGAAGCTCTCCCAAGGCACGGTCGTAGTCCAGAGAGTGCATCTGCTTGTCGATACTGGCAGCCTCGGACATGAGGAACCAGCCCTCGTCGTCATGTCGCTCCTGAAGCACGTCGATGGCCTTGAGTGTCATCTCCTTGAGCCCGGGCAGATCGACGGCATCACGAGCTGAGCCGTCGGGGTAGTTGCTCTGGTTGAGAAGGTTATCCTTGTAGACATTGCGGTCGAGCCAGACAGCGAGATTGTCAGTCTGAAAGACACCCAGCAGCTTCTCATCGGTGGGGGCATTCTGCATGGCGGTGTTGTTCCAGGCCAAACTATAACCCTTCTCAGTAAAGAGGGGGTAGTAGTCATGCGGTGCGTCCTTGGTCTTGAGGAAGTTCTCTGCGCCAGTGCCGAGGACCACATCAGGGCCATCCCAGCCAGTCCAGTTGTGGGTGCTCACACCACCTTCATAGAAAGCGTCAATGACATGATCAAATTTGCTTCGCTTGCTGGTATGAGCAGTCAGTCCAGCAGGAGTGGCATCGGCCAGGAAAGCTGTGGTCACAATACCAACACCGCTGAGAGGAAACCGACGGCGGAAAATCTCGGTGATAATCTCAAACTTCGGGTCGTCGAAAGGGTCTTTAGAGGAATCAACATAGACATTCAGCGCATTGACAGTAGTCTTATGACCTGTGTACAGGGCTGTCGCAGAGTTGGCCGAGTCGGTGATGAACGAATCCATGGAGTGGGTCATCTGGTGGCCCAGGACTGGGAACTTGTCCAGCGCCATCTTGGTCATGTACTTGCCATTGATGCTGCGGTGAGCCATGAGACGAGCAGCAGTGATCATGTTGGTAGTCATGCCGTCGCCGATGAAGAGGAGCACGTTCTTCGCACGCCGCTTTGTAGGCAGGTCACGAACGAGCCAGTTGGCAACGGTCTTTTGGCTTCCGTAGTAGGTCAAGGTAGCCTCATACTCACCAGGTTCATAGAGGGCAACCCGTCTGTAGGCCTTGGCGGTGACATTGACCAGAGAGGGCTTCTCTAAGTCCTTAGCGAAAAGGTCTGTACGGGTCAATTCAGGTCTTCTATGAAGGGTGGGCTCAGAGGAGATTCTTACCTTCATACCAGGTGAAGTTCCATCTCTCCAGCTTGGGCTCATCGACTTGGAAGAAGTCCGCAGCAGCAATAGGGCTGCCGCCCTTCTTGGTGATGGTGAAAGTGAAATTGGGGTCTGGCTCTCCTACACGCGCCTCGGAGCCATTGACGGGAGAATGAACCTCGAGACGGATGTCGAAGTACTGGCCAGCAAGGAAGTCAACCCTGTCGAGCGAAGACCGAGTCAGTTGGTTCACCAGAAGCTCAGCAGGATGCGTACTGGTCGGGTGGAAAGACGCAGCCCAGGTCAGGGCAACCTCCCAGGCGCTGAAAGGTTTGGCCGGCAGCGCATGCGGCGAGACACGACAGCACAGAAATCAATCGATTACGCATGTTAACCAAATGGTTGAGTGTGATGAGCGTGACGAGGAAAGAGGGAGAAGTAGGTGCTTTTAAGTAAATCGAAAAGAAAGTCTTACTAGGCCGTCCTCCGACCTACCAGCGAGATTCAACGATCTAGTCTCCCGCCAAGTCGCCTAGAGTGAGGGAATACACTTTCCCGCCGGAAGTCCTCAATTTCCGCTGGAGATGTTAACTTCCATGGCACTTGGCATTTTAATTTATGTACAAGCTGGCTTAGTGAGCCTATTTTCTGCAACGAACGAGGTCAAATCATCACCTGCACGTGGCGAAGTAGTGAGGATTCTTTGCCAAGTTCCAAGACTTGGTAGTCTTGGCCTGCCTCACACGTGTACCGCTCCGTGGATGATGCCACTAGGGCAAATGAAATAAGCGACCCCAAATGAAAGAAGCGACTCTCTGATAGCGGGATATTTTAAGGTACTTCCTTTAGGTAGTTTGAGACGTGTAGACAGATGTCAAGGAACGTGTCTAGGAAGACAGTTAAACCTATCCCCAGAAAACGAGACTATGCCTAGGAAGAAGTTCAAGGAGATAGGGTATACATCATGGCACAGATCATTTGGAGTTGGATGGCGGAGAATAAGTAACGAAGTTAATATCTGTGTAACCAATCTTTTGCTCACCTGTTGAACCGGGAATGGGAAGTCAACTGCCATCACCTCGATCTTGTATAGAACCAGGTGACCAGGAATGGTGTAGTGTCACTGTCGTGTGTATTTGCCTTTTCCTTCGATGATTTTTCCGGATACCCCGAGAATTTGTTTTCCTATCTCCCTTACTTCATGTCGTGAACTAGTTGTTGGCCTGGCCTTTGGATCGAGCAATTCCATACGCGGGTCTGTTATAGAACCTGGTCACATCCAGGCTAGATGTGGTTTGAGAATGGCAGCCAGAATATCTCGTGGCGCGCTCACTCATTTGAATAAAGTGACTTACTCAAATGCTGGCCGAAAGTAAGCCACATACGTTAATCTAAGACTTCGCCTGAGTAATTTAGTGGTCAAGGACAAATATGGACAAGTTTTGCTGATAAAGAATCCATTTTCTGGGTATATTGAAATAATTCATACAGTATTGAAGATCTCCGGAGGATTTTCATCTATAACCCCACCTCTTTTATGATCGTCAACGCCGATTCATGACGAAAATGTAGTTAAATCTGACTTATATTCGCATTTATTGATCGTCTCTCCTTCGCGCGGTGCTTCCAGCCCTTCATTCCCATTGTGATGAAGATGATCCCATTCCAGAACCCTCGCAGTGAGCCTAAGGCACTCACAGCGAGAAGAAGTGAATACGACTGGTAATCGGGTCGAATAAATGCGGAAACTCGGTTGATCGTTGGCGTAACCCAAGTGGCCAACAGGGCGAGAAAGAATAGGGACGGCATGAGAATGTATTGTTTGATGGAGATGCGTCTCTGTTTTGGAGACTGCGTGTTGAGGGGCTGGGTAAAGTTCGACGTAAGTGGCCGAGGAACGGAAACGTGTTCAATGGAGGATTGGCTTATGATTTGGGAGTCGACAACGTGTGTAGGATTATTTGAGGGATCAGATTTGACGGTAGTTGTGACAGTGCTATTGCCATTGTTGAAGGAGTTGGTGCTGGTTATGGTCGAGGCTGAGGTCAGAGCGATATGGTCATCTGAGGTCAACTTGAAGTCTTCTCGAAGTCTAGAGATCTCGATGCCGATCAGGCAATATATAACCAGAATAATAGCTATAACTATCCTATAGAAGGAAGAGGGTATCAGAAAGGTTGCGGGGAAATGGCGAGAGAGGAGAACACACCAGACAGGTATATAGTAAAGAATCAGGCGAATGAGCATCCAATGCGGAGATACAGAGCACCAGACTGTTTCGCTGCCGTAGATAGGGCCTTTTTCAGGACTGCGAATGAACAGGAAGGTCAAGGCTGGAATGAATGTAACGACGGTGATTCCACCAATGTACGTCAACTCGAGCTTGTGTAAAGAGTGAGCCTCAAAGTAATGAAAGACAACAAGGTATGTGTCTAATGCCATCGCCAATGTCCAAAGCACATCTGCAAGAGGAAACCTGAGATCGTTGTCAACGCTGCCCACGGATTTGCAATTTTGCTTAGTTCTCGACGTACATTTGAAGCGCAAAGCCTTGGAATTGGCACAAAGATGAATCATCTCCAGCCGCAGGCCCACTGACAGATATTATTGTCGCGACCGAGTCGAACAAATTGTAAAAGGCATTGTAGAAAATAATACGATGGATCGGGCTGCGGAAGTATCGTGAACAGCAAAACGTGCCAATAATGGAAAATGACCCTAGGATGGATAGAACGGAGGTGACTCGGCCGGTGATGCCTATGTTACTGAGCTCCCCGTAAGATAGCGACATCCTGAGAGAGTCGCGCCTTCGGTGGAGGGGTATCGATGTAGAGGACAATTGAACACAACCCAGCAAGCGAATCTACCAAAATCTCCAAAGGAAATTACGTTGGAGGACCGTGGAGTTTATCTACGGCACGCGATAAATTTTCCTTGTCACATCACGACTGTGCGTGCATATGGCAAAATACTTTGGCCCCAATGACGTGATTCCATTAAGAGACGCCATTAACGATGTGAAATCTTCAACGAACCTTTAATCGCGCAATATGCGGACCCCATTTGTCACAGGTTATACGATTATACGCGTGTACGGAGTTATCAATCTAGATATAACGTCCCACGATAGGCTAGGAGAGGCTGACGGGAAACCGAAGGTTTTTCTTTGTGGGGCTTCATGTTGAACTCATGGGGCCTAATGACAGGGCACTGGCCATCCATACACTCGCAAAATGATCGGGTGCCCAGGTGCCTTTTTGATCCCGGAACGACGTGTTTATTTATTGAGGATCAGCGTCGTGGACTTCCTTATTGCTTATAGGAGATCTTGATCCAGAACCACAGCAAGCTTTCTAAGCGAAGAAGCTGGAGATGCCATCGTAAGTACTAATCCTACTACCTAAAGTAGTGGGGGTTTGGTCCCGTCTACTTGTCGTCTACTTTTCCTAAATCATTTTGGTCCTAGTTTATATGCCCACCAATTATGAAAATAGCACCGTTCCGCGGTGCTGGTTTTGACTGGGATTTAGTCGCGGGTAGCGCGGTGCGGAAAAGTGCTCTATAATAATCTTAATACAGGTCAGAATTCCTAGGATGCCTAGGTTGGGTACCCTGAGGGGTGGAATTAGTCCATCCCGCCACTTACCTTTTCAGTTCAATCGATTTGAACGCTTGTCCTAATACTAGAAATTACACATGGTGTTACGCCCCACCTAGGATTACTAGGAGTCGCTGAGAACTTTTTTGAGCTGACGGGGTGGAGGTTTCAGCCTTGTCACCTCGTGACCCCTCCACGTGGTGAACAACCAGCGGTGACGACGCAAATGATACTGTAATGTATGTGCCATGTCTTGTATCTGGTTCAGGCAATTGTCGAAAAGCTACAGACGGATTAGAAGGATGGATGTCATTCCATGGGGCCCGACAGGCCTGGAAACAGACCTCGCGGAGTCTTGATAGTACGAAGGAAGGAAATACATATTAAATGCAATTTATCCTCATTTTTATAGCGTAATGAAATGTAATTCGATTCTGTGCCTATTAGGCCCCTTTTGCTGGCTCGATCTCCGTGGGAAAAGCGTTGTGGACTACGTATTTAATAAGATGGATGTCGAATTTCATGGGTTTGCAGCGTAGCCCATTGCAACAAGCTTTCCAATTTGCCAGAATACAACTGGTCCTGTGTGATACGTCGTCTCTTTGCCTTTGATTCCTGTGCGGGAACTTCTGGGGGAATTTGGTCTTCATTTTTGTCGGCGTGGTGAACTCGCGTATTCCTGCATAAAAAGCAATTAGCAGTAGCCTTGGATGTCCTACAGCTGGAAAAGCACACCATATGAGATCAACTGGCCGCACATATTTTGGATGGTGATCGGAACAGGACGGACGGACGTACCTAAGAGAATCATACACCTGGTCGTCGCCCATCATCTCATTGTTGCTCTTAAACTCTGTCATGATTGCTCCTGGCTAGAGGAACTCACTAGACAAGAGATTAAGGAGGGCAGATTTAATAGGTGGCAGATATCTCTTTTGGTTGATAGATGGCTTCCTTGGATCATTCAAAGAAGGAGTTAGGCCAGGCCAGTCCTGGAACGGTCTTCGGTCTGGGGCCTGGATCGACGGCCTTTCAAAAGCTCTGGCTTGGCTCGTCCGAATTTTCTTGGCAACATCGCGAATGCTCCTTATTTTGATTGCACTGTCGCTTTGAGCGGAGTAGTCTTGTTGCCATATTTTGCAGATGATGGCGCCGAATATGGGCTAGGGTGGTTTCGGTCGGGTCAGGCCAAGAAATAGTCCGTGGTCCGTCTATACGGGAATCCGTTTTCGATATATACTATACGAGCAGCAGAGAAAGAAAGTCAAACCTCGCCGACCAGAGCCATCCATTACTCCAGATAGTTGAAAGGGGTAAATTGGTCACTGTTCTTTCATCGTCGAACTGGCGCTGCTCGAATTTAGGTAACCTTTGTGTGGCCGGATTATCCCTGCGAGAATGATTGGTTCAAAACAGCGTCCGTTACCAATTCGGCTATTTTTAGTCGTCAGTCTTTGAGATTGATATGCCTCAACTCTCTTTCACCGTTGGACATACCTTTGTTTCATCAAGTGCTGAATCTTGGAATGCAAGCCAGGTAGGCTGAAGAGAAAATTGGACTCGAATAGTGGGATCCGAAATAAAGAAAATTTGAGTTCACGTTTTCAATTTTCTTTCTACATGAGTTGGACTGAAAAGCCAAAGCGAGAGAAAGAGGGAGCCAAGTATAGCAAATATCAAGGCTCATTTACCAAGAGTAGTGTTTCGGACGACGAATATATACCCTGCCATCGTCCTCTTTTAAATCCAGATTTTACTTGCATCGAAACCCATTCACACAAATCAGTATTTTTGTACCAGAACCGACTTCTCTCAACTCAAAATGTCTAAATCCTTGAAGCGCCCGGCAGAAAAGGATCCGAACGAAACTTCTTTGTCTGAACCCGACATCAAGAAGATTAGGACTGCTATTGCTTTGCCAGTGCGCTACCTAGGCGAAGGAGTCTCGGGGTCAGGCAAAAATATTAGCTGGTCCGTACTTCAGTGGACGAGTGAAGAAAATCGATCCCGCAGAAAATGGCCTCGTCAAAAAGATCCCATTCGGAATATTGAGGATGTACCTGCAGAGTGGAATTGGGATCCCAATGATCCAGATCTCGATCCATGGTAGGTTCACCAAAACTAACCCGTGATGTGCTTCTAATATCCTTGTTACAGTGACATTGACGCCAATATCAAGAGATGTGAGGAGAGGATCGAGGATGGAATCTTGCCTCAACTGTTTGAAATAAGGTTGTCGACATACAAGATGCTAAGGGCCCACCGTGACAAACTGATTGCTTCAGAGAAAACTGGGTTGGGTTTGGACGTTGTCAAACGGCTGGATAGTCTGAAGGTTATTGAGAAAGATCTTGTAGCCAACGGGGATACCTGGGAGTCGCTGCGCAATGTGAGAGCAATCATAAAAGCCTACAGATCTGGAGAACTGAAGTGGTCAAGAGATGGCAAGGCTACGTACTGGTCTCACGGAAAGCAAATCTGTGAGCCAAGGATCTGGGACTACGACGACATCATCAAAGTCAATCGCGAGCACAAGGGCTCAAAGGGTTTTTGGGTGGAAGGGGTAAGTCCTAGCCATTACATAAACTCAAAAAACTACTGATATCTGCTTCTAGATTGATGGACCTGGACCGGGAGGGCACTTTTTCGTTTGGACAATCAGGCCTGAGCCTAAAAAACTGACATTTCAGCATAATGTATGACCCCCAAAACCCGAGGGTGCTGTATGTTGTTCTCAATTAACATGTTATTTCTGTTGAAGATACGATTTGAAGTTCGAGTTCCCCCACGCATGCCTGGAAACAAAGGGCCTTTCTGGAAAGGCTGGAAAGCGGATTTCTTTGATGATACCGGGAGTGATACCGCAACCATATTCGAGGACGACCTGGAGGAAATAATGAGCTTGGTTCCTGAGCGAATCGATGTACCATTCATCGGAGATTACCAGTCGCAGTCTATCGGTGGTATTGTGACCAACAGAAACGCCGTGATGCAAATCTGAATCCTCTCGCCTGGAGACAACCCCATAACAAGATGGTATTCAGTACGAGTAACGGTATATCCGACGCGCCACAAGGAAGTCTTACCTCACAGGCTCAGTGGTGATTGGTGGCGATATGTACTTTACACAGCCAACGCTCCAGATAACACAGGCTTTATCCATGTCAGCACTATGAAAGAGGATTTGCTCAAATCGATACCCGATGTCGATTTCTCACAAGCAAGAGGGCCGAGGAATATCCCCGGGCTTGGCGGAGAGGGCTTGGGACCTATGCCACAAGGTCGAATACACACTAATGTACCTGAAGGCATTCTAAGAGGTGGAACATATGTACCTCATCAGGGAATAGTCGGGGGTGAAGCACCAACCGCAGGGCCATCTTCACAGGGAGAGGACGCCGCCGGAGACTTGCGCTCTAGTGGAGGGGCTGCACCTAGACACCCTCCACCACATAGGGGACATCTTGTACCCGGGGTTTATTTTCCGCCTGGAACTGAAGGACGGGCCTCAGGACCGGGAATGATCCCTTGCGGACAATACCAAGGACCCTGGGGAGCATCTCTCGTAAGACCTGGAGATACCAATCGCACTCAACGGCCCGTGTTTGCGCCGGAAATCCCTCCAGGACTTGGAGGATGGTGGCTACCACGCCAACTTTTGTATAGTCCATCTCCTCCGGGATCTGAAGGCGCAGGCCTAAGTCCAGGGGCATCACAAACGGGCACTGAGCTGCCAAATATGCCGGGCTGGGAATACTGGACCCCTAGCGGATTAGTGGAAGGTTCGAGTTCCTCTGAGGGGCAATCTCCACCGCATACCGGGGAGCCAGTTGAAACGAGTCAGGTTGTTATGCCTGGAGGATCTGGAGGTACAGCTCCACCTGCAGGGCCACAGGTCGTTGGACCTAATGGGGAGATCCAGCCCGAGGTGGGTTGGTTCTGGGTGCCTCCTGGTCCTGGGCAAGCTTGGCCATGGGGTTGGTACTACAGGCACCCCGAGTCTGAAACCGCAGCTGCACAACCATCGGTTCCAATTAGGCCCATGAGGTGGGTGCCTCCTCCGTGGCAGCAGGGGTGGGTGCCGGGACCCAACGGGCTGACCATGGGGTGGGTGCCTTCGCCGGGGTCGGTGCCAGCAGGCGCTCCAGGATCCATAGTATATGGAGGCTTAGGCCCAACTGCAGGGGTATCTTATCAAGCCGGGCAACAAGGGGAGGCATCAAGAGATCAGTATTGGAATAACCCGCATAATATTAGCCACGGGGGAGGTTCATCAGACACGACGAGACAATTTGATCCCCAGGCAACCATATTCGTTCCGGGAGAACAAGCCGGGACAAGAACAATTATTTCAAGAACTGCAGAAGGAGGTACCACCGGAATAACTCCACAATTGGGAAGACTGGGGCTTGCTGAGGCCGAAGAAGCGCCAACACGAGATTGGATTGCTGAAGGTATTCCAGAACCAGCTCCACTACCAGAATGGCCCACGCCCCTTGAGGCATCTGACACCGCAAGGCAATCGCGTGCTCGAAGATTTGCCAGAAGATTTGGTCGTTTTATGCATGCCAGAAAAAGTATTGTCACTACCAACCCTGCCAATGCTCCTAGTTAGTTTGATATCTTTGTTTAATTGATGAGACTGATTTGACTCTTCCTGTTTGTTACCATCTCTTTACTCCCAGCCTTTTTTCGTCTTTGAGTTTGTTTGTACGTTCTGTTTCTCCAATAGTCAGTTTTCCAGAATATACAAAACGGGCTGATAGTACCACTCCCTCCCACTTTGACCCGCACTATCCGTATGTTCATACCGGAACCGATTTTAGAACGGTCTTTTCATGGTAAATACCCCAAACTGTTGAGAAGATCCTAAGGCACGCTCAAATTCGAACGGAAATTTGTAAATTTAAGTCAATAACTTGTCCGGTGGATCAATAACCTTGGAAACAACAAGAGTGTTTAAGAGCAGCCTAAGTATGTTTTGCCTCGAGGGCCGCTTGCCCAAGCCGTAACAAGTCAGCATTTGAAAGCGTTTCCTTCTCAAATCCAGCAATAACCTGATCCAGCACAGCAACGGAAAGCTCATCAACGGCCACATTCGGAATTGCCCGAGTAAAGAAGTTGATCGCACTAAACACAGAAGCCATTGCGGCTCTTGTCCATGTTACTGAGCTCATGACTAGACCGGGCCGAGCCACGCAGATCTCGATGTCTTTATATTCCTCAGGAAGCTTGCGTACAATAGCGTCTGTCTCGGCCTACAATCCGAAAAATCCCGTGATGAGTGGAAAACTAACAGACGGATTAGAATGACGGGCGCAAATACTCACGCGCATAATCATATAGTCGCCTAAAAATAGCGGCTTCTTGGCCTTTGGGTCTTCCATCACGCCATCACCGCTGAAGTAAAGGAAGCGGAAGGGCCGTGCAGGCCCGGCCTCGTAGATGGCCTTGAAACCCGCCAAGGTACAGTCCTGGCAAACGCGCTTGACCTCTGCGATGTCAAGGCTCTTTGATTTGAGAGGTGTCACTCCAACGGTCCTGGGTGGTTCGGAGATCAGCGTGTTCTTCGTTGTGGATGAAAATAACAGTTCGCGCGTACCATATGCACGCGTCAGCCCCAGCGAGCCCGGCCTTGACCTTGTCAGAATACTCGCCGTAGTCACTTATCGTTACATTCTTCAGCTTAGACGAGTTGGCGCTGTCCACCTCAACAGGCTTTCGGGCCAACGCGATGACCTGGGTGATCGCACTGTTTTGTAGGCTCTGTTTGATGAGTTCGGAGCCGATTAGGCCGGTCGCGCCAGCTACTATGAGCTTCATCTTGGGGTATTGAAACTTTGCGAGGGAGTTTAGTGGCTCTGGAGATGTAAAAGTGGCACGCACTCCTTTAAAGGTTTATGTTGGTGATGTTGGTCGGGATGGAGGAGCGGAAAGCCGAATCCCTTCTGCGGGGCTGACATCAACACCTGCCGCCTAGGATCCTCTACCTATTGATCGGCCGGGGGTTTAGCACGGTGTTAAAAACACCGTCTAACTTGATGATCTTACCCGTATCTTCACTATAAAGGTTGGGTATAGCATATTCAGGCCAACATTCATCTAGCTACATCGTGTCACGCCGTTGGCTTGTCGAAAATCAACGAGAGCTAAGAGTAATGAAGTAAAAGTATGCAAAGGTAAAGAATTTTTCTTTTTGTAATTCCATCTATCGCGATTTAAAACTCAGCATCATCCCTGATGTCTACTTTGCGGCCCAAATAAAGCATATCCCGGCCAACCCTGTTCAGACCATGTCGAAGTCGCGACTCGACCTCTTCCTGGACAGCCTCGGAGGTTGACATCACATGATCAGACCCGGCAGACTTAGACTTGGGGTCAGGGTATCGTGGAGGGTTGAGCAAATATGAGATCGGCACCCAGTGGCTTTTCAGAGACAGGTAGCACACATGCAGCAATGGAGGCCAGGCGAACGTGGTAAGCAAATTTTCTACTAAGCTGTCATTCCGGGTAAAAATGGAGGTGGCAACCGAGTAGAAAATAGCCCCAAAGGTAGCAAGAAGTAAGAGCGCGTTATAAAAGATACCGTTGTCCCACAAGTCTCGGCGGAGTTTCGTGTAGAATGACATGGTGGTGATGCGATTCCAAGAGTTAGCACTACTTCCCGTCACGAATGACCCTTTCGGCTTGCTGGAGAGTAGATAGAAGCTCCAGACACCCCAGATGCTCTCTATAAACAAGCGAATTAGTCACTACTTTCCGAAGAAGGAGTGCATGTACTTACCACCAGCAAGCCACTTATTCTCCAAGTGAGCAAATGGCGCACTTTGGTAACCAGTAGCTGCAGCCTGCACATATTCGTAAATCCATACCGAGATAACATAGAAAAGTGCCAAGAGCAGTTGAAAGTGGTCCAGTACTGGAGAAGTGCCAGGAACTTGCTGTCCGAGGATCAACAGAAAGGGGACAGCGGTAAACCCAACAAAACAGCCCACTTCTCCGAAAATGATACCCGCTCCATCCAGCGCAATGTGCAAACGAAGGCGTTGAGAGAACCTTTTGCTTTCAGATGAAAGCATGGCTGGGATTTGCTGGGCGTGTCCAATATTCCATCGCTTTCTTTGGGCGATGTGACCAGTAAGAGACGTCGGAACAAGTCCAAACTGAAGAGGCTCCTGTACTTGGAGAGTACGGTATCCCATTCCATGAAGTATCTGGGATAATTGCCAGTCTTCGGAGAAAGAGTATGTCGGGTACATACCCACATCCATGATCGCCTTCCGCCTGAACACTGCCCCAGACCCCGCGTCAATTGCGCGGCCCAAAATATCCAGGTCAGCATTCTGGCATGTGTAGAAGTGGCTGCGAGTCTGGGAAAGGGGGTCACCATCAGGTAAGTTCGAGAAGTACTGCCGCGTAGACACCAATGCCGACTCCGGGCTCAGAAGCAGATGTGGGAGTATCGCTCGGAGAAATTCTGGCTCTGGGATGGAGTCAGCGTCCAGCACCGCGCAGAATTCTGGCTGGATCTCTTGCTGCAATGTGCTCAAGGCATAATTCAAGTTCCCAGATTTGGCAAAAACCTGACCAGACTGCCTACCGCGGGAATGGTATGAGAGTTGTGGCCATTGGGATTGCATCTTGGTCACAGCCTTCTCAAGCTCCTTTGATCCACCATCGTCAAGCACCAGGATCCGGAACTGAGTGATCGGGTAGTCAAGGTTACAGGCAGCGTGTACAGTATCCATAATTACATCGACCGACTCGCCACAGCAAGGCAGTAAGACGTCCACGCGGGGCAGGTCGTCATTATTCATGAGTCTCAATCTCTTGCGAGGAGCACCTTGTGCGACACTGGCCGCAGCGACAGTACGGAGCTGCTCTTTGCGAGATAAATCTAAAATTACGTGAAATGAGAAGTCTATCCCTCAGAATACATCGATGATGAGAAGAGACTCACAGAAAAACACGCCTTCCACTAGAAGCATCGTCCATATCTGCCAGGTTCTCGAAGTGGTAAATAGGACCGAAAGTAAGCGCAAAGTAAAATATAGATGACCGGTCCATATTCCCGTTTGGGCCGCATAGTAGAGAGGTATCCGATACCGCTGACATGTCAGGACTCGCTGATCCTGAGGAAGCTCATGGATGTCGTATTTTGCTTCTGTAGACATGTTGAGAGACAGAACGCTTCAAGGACCGCGAAAAGACAAGACGAGATGTGTCAGATCCGGACTGTTAGTCGTAATATCAGCTCCCTGTCATCATGGTAGCTAAAAACTTGTTTGCTCTTTCTTTGAGATTGATCCGAGACAGGGGTAAATATTAGCCACACGAGAAAGGGGGACAGCCGCGTGTTTGTGCGCTTCTTCAGGAGGCGCTGATTTAGATCGCTCTGGGCCCAGGCACAGGGTGGAGTCGGGCCCGGAGCGAACCGTCACCGGAGGATTGTTCCGCGGTTGGACGCACACTGGTGCATTTATCTTGCCCCTAGGCTATTCTCTACGAATGTATGAGAAACAAGCCGAATTCTCTTTGACCTTTGATGATGATTTTGCGAAAATAATTAAGTGATGTTAGACCAGCCCACACACATCCAGGATAGTGGGATCCAGGGAGCTGAGGGATTCCCAAGACATTCCATGAATTTAGTTCAAATGATAAGGCTTGAAAATTTGAGTGTTTATACTCTGAATAGACATTTCACGTATGGCTAGTAAATTGGATATTATTACTGGATCTATGGATGCCTTTATATCTCTCTTCCATGGTTGACACTACGCCCGGCACATACGTCCGCCAGGAGAGACTGTCCACTCATCGGAGCCAACGGCAGTCAGTCCATAGAATATGCTGTGGGGATCGTACTTTGCTTTGATTTGACGCAAAGCTTCGTAGTTTTCTCCGTAGAATGCAGTCTTCCAGTCAGGTTGGCGGAAATCGGCCTGTTGGGATACCAATTAGCAAAACTTCTTATACTACCACCATTTGGGAATGGCCTACCTCATTCAAATAGGCACCTGATTGTGGGGCCAATTGTTGCAATTGAGGCACAAAATCGTGAGTCATTTTGTTCTGATTAGCAAGCATCTTCTTGGGCTCATTGAATTCCCACCGTGTCTTAAGGTATGCGTGGATTAAAGTGTTTCGCCAGGCAGGCAGCACGGCATTATAGACATCACCCGAGACTTTCTTGGAGGCGGTGAGACCGTTAAGGCTAATGTTACCCCCGTTGCTGACAATATGCCTGATTGCATCGGTGAGCTCGTTATTCTTCTCCTGTACGACCGATCGCGGGATCAGCCAGCTTCCGTACTGAGCCACGCCGACTGAAACAGATCGCATCATCGCTTCGAACTCATCAAGGTATGACTCAAATTGCTCCATGTGAAAGCTGTATTTGACTCTCAGTCTATCCAACCCATCGCGTAATGGCTGCGTGATGCTTTCCAATTTCTGGACCGGAATATCCGGAGCGGTCATGGGGGAAATTTTGAACGAGGTGTTCGAAATGGAGGCCATGCTCATAATACCTTGGTCCACAATGGTGGGCAGGTGAGAGTTATAGAGCTCTAAGGCTTTGTAGAAGAGATCTTCGGAATTATCCTTGGCCAGAATGGTCAAGTTCAATCCCGAAACTGGTCCACCACGATGTGCTTTAGATGTCATTGACCAGACAACGCCGTAGGTCCCACCACCGCCACCGCTCAAAGCCCAGTAGAGATCACTGTTCTGTTCACGGGTAGCCACGAGAAATCTGCCGGTGCCATCAATCACTTCCCACTCGAGGACTTGATCTGCCCCAAGGCCGTATCGTGAACTAAGCATCGAGTGTCCACCACCTTGGCTGTATCCACCAGAGACACCGACGCTTGGGCACGCTCCACTGAGAATTCGCAGGCCGTGAGCATCTGCCGCACGATAGGCTTCGATGCCCTGGACACCTGCGCCAAGCTTCGCGGCTTTTCCTTTGTAGTGCTTGTCCTTATAATCTTTGACTTCGATATTATTGAGATTGTGCATCCAAACGGAGAGAGCGCCAGCTCCAGTCGACTTCCCGATGTAGCTATGGATGGAATGTTAGCAAAAACTCGGTTTCAGGATTCTCTTTCATAAAAGGTTTCCTACTCATGGCCGGTATTACGGACGATGAAGCGAATATTGTGGGTTGTTGCAAACTTCATTGCCTTAGTAACATGCTCAGGCTGCGAGACATTCACCGAATAGCGAACAAAGTTCCCGAGGGTACATGGTTTGGAAACCGGGTGAAATGGATCGCAAGTCCCATTGGTAAAAAATGGAGCCATAACAGACGAAGACGACTGGTAACTTGGACGTTGTTAGTGCCGGAAGCGAAAAGACATAGAGTAATCTCATACTGTTCCTCTGTCTTGAACCAGCCATCCTTTAGCGTTTCGCATTTGTTTTCGTCATAATTTGGGGTATGGCATGGAGTTGCCAGAGGTACTGTTTTAATGAGACGCCCGTCGATAGATTGGTTGAATGCATTCCACGTGGAAACTGAGGGCCAGCAATCGTCGCCGGGAAAACATCGGCAGGCAAAATTTTGATTGTTTCCTGCTGTTGGCGCAATGGCAAGAAAGCTAAGGACAAGCCCTTTTTTGAGAGTCCGGTAAGACAGCATTTTTGATATCGGCAAAACTTTTATTTGACAAGTCTGGGGGCTCCTTATTTAAGTGGACATTAGATTCTGCAGTCCAGAGAGCCTGCACAAGCCAATTCCCCACTCTCGCTTGCGTCTGAATTTCCAGAGGCTGGTACATACTTTCGCAGATCGATAACCGGCTTGGCAGCCGGAAGATCCGCGCACCTACCCCGGGGAGGCACAGCCAACACTTTCATAATCATCGCTATGTACAACATATACGAGAACGTATTTATCTAGGCGACGAACATCAGTTCGGTTAGGGGTATAATTCCTCCATCCTGAGGTAACCATGGATAACTAGTTTGGTGGTGACGATCCGCTCGATCGCTGAAGAACCCACCCTAGCAAGTGACTATTTGCTAGCTGCATAAATAATTGGCCCAGGGAATCAGGTACTCGATCCATGCCAGAACTGAGTTAACAGTAAAGCACGTTTCCTTCAGGCTTCTAGAAACCTCTGCATTTTTATCCTCGAGACTCATCCCAATTGGTTGAGGGTTACTTTATCCCTGGCTTAGCTTCCTCCCCGACCAAAACTTCCGCGGGTCGCTGGTGGTGGGGTTTGTTTGACGTGAGCTTCCCTAAAACTTGTGCAGTCGCCATGGTTTATACGAAGTGGCTGGATATTCACATTCCAGTTCATACAAGGGAGTTCGGATGAGGGGGAAATGAAAGTGTGCTGGACTTTGAACGCCAGAACGAACCAGGGTGTTGCCTTGTTTATGCTCTCTTGCCCGCACTTTTGTCCTTATCACTCAATGTCAATCAATCAAGGAGTTAATGACCACTCGCGTCGCGCATCATCAATCTCCTGCTTACGCCACAATCCTGCTAGATTCACCGTGGGTCCTTTCAGTACTAATGAATAATTTAAGGCCCAAAGGGCACTCCGTGCCCGCCGTTACATAACACCCGGGGAATTTGTTCTTTGGATTGAAGCGACTCGGATGGCAGCGGGAAGGCCGCGGGCAACGATCGTGCCAGGTGAAATGGGTATGATTGACCCTGATCAAAAGCAGCTTAAAAATGACGGTCGTCTTTAACGACTTGATTTTTTATGTCATGATCCACTCGGGTAGAACAGTAGGTGCCTCTGAATGTGGTGTGTTCATCGACCAACTACACGTCATTGACTGCTAGCCGGCTTCCCGATCCAACCACAAGTACGTACAATGCAGATGTCAGGCCACCCCGCAATCGGCTGCCTGTAGCTCGATTTTTTTCTTTAAAACCAGAGTAAGGTACTTGTTCTTTTCTTTAATAATCAGGACCTTGAATTTACTTACCTTGCCATCGTTCCGTATTATCTCACCTACTTTCTACGCTACCCTGCAGCATCACTTTCAGAATCTGGAACTCATCCTGAGAACTCCCCTCTCCCCCCCCCCTGCTCACCGTCTTTTTTCTTCCGCGAACTTCATCCGCCATGGCCTCCCAAACTGATGGCGCTGATGCCAAAAGCCTAACTGCGTATGGAGAGGCTCGCTCGACCTTGCAGGGGAATCCTCTGAGCTCCGACGAGGTCCGCAAGATGAACGAGTACTTTCGGGCTAGCATGTATCTCTGCCTCGGCATGCTCTACCTTCGAGAAAATCCACTTCTCAGGGAGCCTTTGAAGGTGGAACATCTCAAGGCCCGTCTCTTGGGTCACTGGGGATCAGATGCCGGCCAGTCTTTTACCTGGACTCACATGAATCGACTCATCAAAAAGTACGACCTGGACACTCTTTTCATTTCGGGTCCTGGGCACGGTGCTCCCGGAATCATCTCCCAGTCTTACCTGGAGGGTGTCTACTCTGAAGTGTATCCCGACATGTGCGAAGATGCAGAGGGAATGCAGAAGTTCTTCAAGCAATTCTCGTTCCCCGGGGGTATCGGTAGCCATGCGACTCCTGAGACTCCCGGCAGTATCCACGAGGGTGGCGAGCTGGGTTATTCCATCTCGCACGCCTTTGGAACAGTTTTCGACCACCCAAATCTCATTACGTTGACCATGGTTGGCGACGGAGAGTCTGAGACTGGCCCACTTGCAACCAGCTGGCACAGCACCAAGTTCCTCAATCCTTGCGTGGATGGTGCCGTCCTTCCTGTCCTTCATTTGAATGGCTACAAGATCAATAACCCGACCATCCTTGCGCGAATTAGTCACGATGAATTGACAAACCTGTTCCTCGGTTACGGCTGGCAGCCATATTACGTGGAAGGAAGCGACTTTGACAGCATGCATCAAGCCATGGCAACTACTCTTGAGCATTGTGTGCTGGAGATCAAAGAGTATCAGAAGCAAGCGCGTTCATCCAAGAAGGCGTTCCGCCCACGCTGGCCGATGATCATCCTTCGTACTCCGAAAGGATGGACCGCCCCTCGAGAGATCGATGGGAAGTTCCTCGAAGGCTTCTGGCGGGCACACCAGATTCCCATTACCGATGTCCGAACCAATCCAGAGCACTTGAAGATCCTCGAGAACTGGATGAAGGCTTATAAGCAGGAAAAACTCTTCGACAAGAATGGAAAATTGATTCCGGAGCTCAGAGAACTTGCTCCAACCGGTAATTCACGCATGAGTGCCAACCCCGTTGGTAACGGCGGTATCCTCCGCAAGCCACTCATTATGAGTGACTTCCGGGATTACTGCCTCAAGGATATTGTGCCCGGGCAGACGGTCAAAGGAGGTATGGCTAACATGGCTACATTCCTGCGCGATATCATCGCCAGAAATATGACCAACTTCCGCCTCTTTGGTCCAGACGAGACCGAGTCCAATAAGCTTGGAGAGGTTTATAAAGCAGGCAAGAAGGTCTGGATGGCAGATTACTTTGACGAAGACAAGGACGGTGGAAATCTTTCTCCCGAAGGACGCGTGATGGAGATCCTCAGCGAGCACACCTGCGAAGGATGGCTCGAGGGCTACATTCTCTCTGGTCGTCATGGACTGCTCAACAGTTACGAGCCTTTCATTCACATCATTGATTCAATGGTCAATCAGCATTGCAAATGGATCGAAAAGTGTCTGGAAGTGGAATGGCGTGCCAAGGTCGCCTCCCTCAACATCCTCATTACCGCAACTGTGTGGAGACAAGATCACAACGGTTTCACTCATCAGGACCCCGGGTTCCTCGACGTGGTAGCCAACAAGAGCCCGCAGGTTGTTCGAATCTACCTTCCTCCGGATGGCAACACTCTTCTATCGGTCATGGACCACTGCCTCCGCAGTGTCAACTACGTGAACGTCGTCGTGGCCGACAAGCAAGAACACATCCAGTTCCTCGGCATGGATGAGGCCATCCGGCACTGCACCAAAGGCCTCGGAATCTGGGACTGGGCCAGCAACGACCAAGGGCAGGAGCCTGACGTTGTCATGGCATCTTGCGGTGATGTTTCCACTCACGAAGCCTTGGCAGCCACCGCGCTTCTGCGCGAATATCTCCCAGATCTGAAAGTTCGCTTTGTCAACGTTGTGGACCTGTTCCGGTTGATGCCTTCTACCTACCACCCGCACGGGATGCCTGACAAGCAGTGGAAGTCCATTTTCACCGAAAACAAGCCGATCGTCTTCAACTTCCACTCGTACCCCTTCCTCATCCATCGGTTGACCTACAAGAGGCCTGGCCAACACCACTTGCATGTGCGAGGTTACAGGGAGAAGGGCAACATAGATACGCCGTTTGAATTGGCTGTGCGCAACGGAACCGATCGATACAGTCTCGCTATTGATGCGATTGATTTGCTTCCTTCCTTGGGTAACACGGTTTCGGGTGTGAGGGAGAAGTTGGTGAACGCTCGGCTTGCGGGTAAGGAGGAGGCCTACAACAACGGTCTTGATCCCGAGTATATTAGGAACTGGAGATGGCCTTATCCTAAGAACTCTTGAACGATCTTTGCTGGAGTGACTAGATATGCTTAATGGTATTGGTTCGAATCCGCGGGTGGAGTGTGATATGTACTCATTCTAAATTGCAGCAAACGAGAGCAATAGGGATAACGTTCAACTCTCTCTCTCTGGATCAAGCCAATGTACAATTCAAGCAGTATCCTAGTGACTTGTTTGACATTTTTGTTTGATTCCACGGCAATGGCTTTCACTTCCCCTAAGACGTACAATCTTAAACTTAGTTTATAGATCATTTGAACTATAAATAAACATTTATGGCGGTGAGGACTCCAAAGACCAAGGCTTTCAACTATGAAATCATATTGCAACTCTCATGGTTATCTCGGAGTCCTTGATAAGGCATCGGGCATCTCCGCGGGGGTCCAAGTGGAGAACGTCAATGGCTTCAGCGACATGGCAGCCAACTCCTCTATCCGCCCCAGGCACAATGCCGCCACCGTTATTTAGCAATAGGCTTGCATCAATCAAAGGAATAAGATTACCTGGTTCATCTTCCGGCTGGGACATCAACATCGTATACTCATCAGACACCTGTCACGGCACCATCGCATCCATCACCCCGCACGATTCTTCCGACAATGTCGAAACTTCTCAACCTCCTCTGGTGTTGCCAGCATTAACGCATCCACACATACACCTGGACAAGGCATTTGTTCACAGTGCACCGAGATATGCCCACCTTCTTCCCTTGGCCGGCACCTTCCAGGAGGCACTGTCTTTTACCACGGAGGCCAAAAGTGATTTCACGATTCCCGATCTTCTTACAAGAGGGGAATGGCTCCTCGCAGAGTCCGTCTCTTCGGGAGTGACCGCGATGAGAGCATTTGTGGAGGTTGACCACATTGTGCAGCTCAAGTGCTTGGACGCAGCAGTAACGCTCAAAGACCAATGGAGCAATGCCTGCGAAATCCAGATCGTATGCTTTGCTCAAGATCCTATCTTCTCAAGTGAATTCGGAGAGGAAAATATGCGCTTCATCGAGAGGGCTCTTACCCTATACCCCCAGATCGACGTTATCGGAACAACGCCTTACGTCGAGTCAAGCATTGAAGCTGCAAAGAAGAACATCAGTTGGGCAATTGACCGGGCCATGCAGCTTGGAAAGCACGTTGACTTTCATCTCGACTACAATCTTGACCCAGCCAAGGAAGCCCTGGTATGGTACCTCTTGGGGACCCTCACACGGCGAGGCTGGACTACTCGCTCAAGCCTCAAACGTGTGATGTTAGGGCATTGCACACGATTATCTCTTTTCAATGAAGAGGAATGGTTGCAGATTTCTCGTACTATTCACGAGAATGATCTCCCCGTCAGTTTCGTTGGCTTGCCAACCAGCGATCTATACATGGCGGCTCCTCCTCAACAAAATGCGGAAGGGAAGCCCAGGGGTACACTGAAAGTCTCTGAGATGATCCGCAAGTATAATTTGGATGCGGTCATTGGTGTGAACAATGTCGGAAACGCATTCACTCCGTGGGGTTCTGCAGATCCCTTGAACTTGGCTTGTCTGGGGGTCGGTATATACCAGGCAGGGACACAGGCTGATGCAGACCTTCTATATGAATGTGTGTCTACACGCGCTCGAGCTGCAATTGGCCTGTCACTGTCAAATCAGAGCTCGATAATGAAGAAAGGCGATCGTCCGGATCTGATACTGTTTCGCGACAGAGACGATACTGGGTGTGGAATATCTCGTCCGCGTACAAGCGTTGCAGAGATTGTGTGGGACCCTCCCGCGCGTATTACCCGAGACTTGGTAGCTCAGGGCCGATTGAATACCTCTAGGGGTACTCACTACGACGCAGAGCCTGTATATCAATATCTGTGAGCTGATACATCATATCTACCTAGGTATATGAATTGACTATCGTCACGGTTCTCGAGATATTTATAGCAATAAGCACGTGATCGCACCCCAGATCTGAGATGTCAGTCGCTTCTCCGCGTCAATGGAACACAATCAGTAGAGTTGATATGTAATAGCAATTCCATGCAGGGAAGGGGGCCCGATAGCACCAGCGCAGTCCAAGGGTATCACCAGGCACCACCGCGCACAGCCTCTCGGTGCCTGACAACGTGGATCGATTATGTCATGGGCGTCCCTGTCGACCGTGGAGTATAGTGGAGTATAGAGGCAAGTGGAATAATCAAAATCGAACGAGTCAAGGGAAGATCCGTGGGGAGACGAGCTCGGGTAAAGCCACGAAGACCGGTCTCAAACACAATCTGGGTCTCAACCCTCGGCGTGCAGAGAACCCCTGTCGCCTTCCTGTACAGACTCCGCCGCATCCATCCCAAACTCCAACTCTCCTTCTCCCTCCTTCCCCTCACCCATCGCCCCCTCTTTCCATCCTTTTCTTATCCTCCGTACATCTTTTGCTTCATTCCTTTCCGCATTTGCATTCCATCCCTGCTAGATTCCCGGTCCCGTGGGGCCTTCCCGTCGTCATCTCCCCGCCCTCGAGCCTCAAGGCATCCTTTGACCGCTCCATCTTCGCCCCCGGTCGCAATGTCGGCCCCGGCTCCAGCGTCGACGTCGCCGACGGTCGTGCGCAGCCATTCAACTTCATCCCGCCCCCCTCGACCTGCTCAGTCCGATCTCCCCCATCGGACGCGCAGTGTGGCGGTCCGATCGACCAACTCCTCCCAGCCCCCTCCACAGAACCAGTATTCACACTCCAAAACCCCCTCCCATGACCGTCGTCCTCCTTCCAACTACGCTGCGCTCGACAGCGTCGCCCGTCGGGACTTCGAGGCTTCCAATGTTGCCAGAATGCCGTCTCGCCGTGATCCCTCCACAGAGCGCTCGCAGGAACGCCCATCCACCGCAACCCGGACCGAATCCACCCGAAAACACCAAAGAAATCCCTCAACACACTCTCATCAGCGAGAGAGGAGTGACATGGTGGGAACGGCCGCACCGGACCGCTCTGCCGACTCGTCGCAGCATGCGACCGGAACACATGGGACCCCGACTGCCGCCGCACAGCCCCGGCGCCGTACAACAATCACGACGCCGACAGGCCAATGGGCCCTTGGGAAGACTATCGGTGCGGGTAGCATGGGTAAAGTGAAGCTAGCCAAAAATATGGAAACCGGAGAGCAGGTAAATACCTCCCCGGTCTGGCGGCTCGGAGTGATCAAGCCACCACTATACACCATTACTAACCCCGATCGCAGGTCGCTGTGAAGATTGTCCCGAGACTTTCGACCGAGGAACACCGCAACAGTCGCGAATCGGAGAGAGCTGACCGCTCGAAAGAAATCCGAACAGCTCGAGAGGCCGCCATTGTCAGCCTCACCAGCCACCCATACATCTGCGGGATGCGAGATGTTGTGCGAACCACGTACCACTGGTACATGCTCTTCGAATATGTCAATGGGGGCCAAATGCTGGACTATATCATTTCCCACGGCAAATTGAAAGAGAAGCAGGCCCGCAAGTTTGCTCGCCAGATCGCCAGTGCACTGGATTACTGCCACCGGAACAGCATCGTACATCGAGACTTGAAAATCGAGAACATCCTGATCAGCAAGACGGGTGATATCAAAATTATCGACTTTGGTCTCAGCAATCTGTTTTCGCCAAGAAGCCTTTTGAAGACCTTCTGCGGCAGTTTGTACTTTGCAGCTCCCGAACTGCTCCAGGCAAGACAATACACCGGCCCTGAAGTTGATGTTTGGAGTTTCGGAATTGTCCTCTACGTTCTGGTCTGTGGTAAGGTGCCTTTCGATGACCAGAGCATGCCTCAGCTGCATGCCAAGATCAAGAAGGGCGTTGTAGAGTACCCGCCCGGTCTCTCGACCGGTAAGAAGAGCCCTAGGAGTCTTTTCCTGGACGATTAGCTGCTAACAGGTCTCAGAATGCCGCCACATCATCTCACGCATGCTTGTTACGGACCCCAAGCAGCGTGCCAGCTTGAATGAAATTATGAACCACCCCTGGATGAACAAGGGTTTTAACGCGCCCCCAGAGAACTTCCTTCCTCACAGAGAACCTCTTCAGCTCCCATTGGACCAGGAAGTGATTGAGAAGATGACCGGCTTTGATTTTGGTCCTCCTGACTACATCACAGCCCAATTGACCAAGGTTCTGGAATCGGAGGAATATCGACACGCAGTGCGGAACAATCTTCGTGAACAGCCTGTCCCCTACCAAACTGAGAAGAAGCGTGGCGTGTTTGACTTCTACAAGCGACGCAACTCTGCTGCTAGTCGCGATACACTATCGGCACCATCGGTGGAGGCAATTCAGCTGGGCAATGACCCCTTGAACGCATACAGCCCACTGGTGTCCATTTACCATCTTGTCAAGGAGAAGATTGACCGAGAGCGAACTGAGTCTCGACCTGGTGCCCTCGGCCTCCGTCCAACTGCCGGCAATGTTCAAGTCCCCGTGTTGACCGCCCCGGAAGCTGCTCACACCAACCAGTATCAACTTCCAGGAGATAAGGACACCGGCCGACGGTCCCGTCCACGGGCCCGGACTCACGGCGAAGACGAAGTCACAGAGGGCATGAAGAGCGTTCACACTTCGTCGCCTTCTGCGCACGCAATGCCAATTTCCTCGCAGCCCGAGACTCCCGCAAAGAAGGAAAGTGCCGCTGCGGGTCTTCTGAGACGCTTCAGCACTCGCAGAACCAAGGATCGGAGCCGCGACTTCGAACGAGAGCGTGTCGGCAGCCCCAATACTCCAACCTTGAACGTCCAGCCCCCTGCCGACTCGGCGTCTCCCTTGCATCGTGGTTTCAGTGTACGAAGAAACCGACGGGCCGAGCCGTCCCCGACCTTTATTCCTACAGGAGGAAGCCAGCCCCAGCAAGATTTCCTTTCTGCTCCTGGCTCCACCGAGCAGACTTCATCTTCGAACAAATTTTTGGGACGATCCACTAGCGTCAACTCCGCCGACTACCGACCTCGGAGAGCAGCCCGGGGGAGCGACGCAGACGCGTTGGATGTAGAGCGCCAGCCCCCTTCAACCAGCGGGTCTGATCAGGTTGCTCCGAAAGAAGCTGGGGTGCGGACTGGTGGCCGCAGCCATACAGCCCGAACCATGTCACTTGGTCATGCCCGCCGGGAAAGCATTCAAGCCCGCCGTGCCCGGCGGGAAGCTGTCCGGGAAGCCAATCTCCCAGAGGAGACCGATGCAGACATCTCTGGCGCAGGAACCGCATTGGAGAGTGCAAACGAAGGAGAAGACCTTTCCAAGCCAGTTTATCTCAAGGGTCTCTTCAGTGTTTCCACTACCAGCAGCAAGCCCTTGCCGGTCATTAGGGCCGACATTATCCGCGTGCTGAAGCAGCTAGCGGTGGACTATGTAGAGATCAAGGGCGGTTTCAGCTGTCGCCACGCCCCAAGCATCGATCTCGACAAAGTGATCGATGTCAGCCCGCCCAGTCCGGATCGACAGGGCCAGGTTGCTCACCGCCGAAGAATCAGCTTTGGTGGCCTTCTCGGGCAGGACGACAGTCGAGACGACAGCCGTTTGACGCAACCCAGGGTGCAACGACGCACCCAGGCCGCGCCAGACCGCAGCTTCACCACGAACTCGGACGGGTCCGATGAATATGTTGCCCGGGAGCAGATCCAAGGCAGTGTTGGTGAGCGAGTGGTCGGAGAGACCACCACCCGCGTCCAAAGCGACACCGGAGAGAATCTGGTGCTGCGCTTCGAAATCCTCATTGTGAAGGTCCCCCTCTTCTCATTGCATGGCATCCAGTTCAAGAAGGTCTCAGGCGGCATGTGGCAGTACCGAGAGATGGCAAAGAAGATTCTCGATGCACTTCGCCTGTGAGTCGACTTTCTTGTCTCGCTTTCTTGTCTCGCTTTCTTGTAGCCGATGCATGGAGACCATAACTTGTCAGGCCCCGAAGGCTAAGAGCTCTCCATGCATGTTTTCTTCGCGTCTGTGGTCTTCTTTATCTGTTTAGGTACATTTGTCAACGACGCATCCGCACGAGCATTCATCTGTCACTTCAGCTCTTCATCCTTGCATGCTGTCTTTTCATTAGTCCCATTTGCAATTCAGCATTAGCCCTTTCGTTTCAGTCTGCATTTATTCATTGCCCCCGTTCATCTATTCCACGCATCGTCAGCCTAGATTAGCCTTTCGGTCTTCTTGGTGTACATTAGAGTTGATGAAGACTCGTGTTATGGATTTTTGTTTATGTCTAGTGTGTCTTCGTCCTCGGTTTATCTTATGCGAGGGCTGGGGAATGGCGTTGTACAGCTTGTGGAATATTTATCATGAGTGTTCCGTCTATGCAAAAAAATGTGATGCTGTTAATGCGGGTATTTTCGCTTCCATGGTGGACCCATGATTATCCTACGTGAGGCGAATGCATGTTGTGCGATGGTGCTAAAAGTCGCCCGTTGTATACTTCTTCGGGCCGCGAGTCGCGAACAAGGCGATTGTGGTTTGAATGAACGAAGTCAGGGCCCCCAATTAGCGGGGCCGAGTCTGACGGGAACCATGGCTCCGTTCCCACTAGCTTCGGTGGTCACTGGCATTTCACGGGTGCCATCGGGCGGCCCGGGAAGTGCCCAGAGCTGACCAGTTGGTGCAGCCCGGGCCGTTCTCGTTCTTTACCCGTCGCCCTTAGGCACTCAACTCCACCTCCTGACCACAATATGGAGGCTATTTTAGAAACAAATATATGTTTTTGTAGCTATAGTCCCATCAGCTGTATCCTGGTATTTAAATTGTAAATAATATATCGTTTTGGTGGAAATGTCGCTTATGGGATTTACCTCACTTAAAAATCACTCTCGACTTGACACTCTGATATGTGTTTGTACGCCAACGCGAGATGGTACCGGACTCCACTTTGCGTAAAACGAAATCAATCTAACGCGTTGAGTCATCCGAAGCATCCATCTTCTAATCACTGCCTATCCGCTCGTTGGTTGAAATCTTCTAGTAGAGCGGTGTATGGCATCACGTGATACAATATATATCGTCCCTGGCCCCACACTCCCCGGCTCCTACGCCTTCACTTTATCATCGGTGTTATTGCCAGTAAGTACAATAACAAGCAGTGAGACTTTTAGATCGATCAGACTATTTAATGATATGAAAATGGGACGAAACATATTGTCGCTTAGTCAGCTATTTTGAGTGGTCTGATTGGGTAGAATCAAGTGAGAGCGGGGTTACTCTGCGGCAATGCGCCAAGACATTGTCGTGGGACAAGTTAACCAACTCTCTAGGACACCTAAGAGCTCGCCACGCCCTCGGTTTTCTCCGGAAACTATGCCAATAGGGTTATGAAATGCTATGTTTTTAGTATTCCTCCTTTTTTGCCCTCATATCCTTAAATCGGGGCCCTAGAGGGCCCCAACGTTCTTCATGAACCTAGTAGAGTTTGGACCCGCTCCGGACAAGCAGAAAGGCGCTCTCCGTTCCTCTGGCTCTAACAACTCTCTTTTCATCCAATCAACGACCCTCAATCAGAATACCCAGACTGCATCCCCCAGTCAACCGGGTATATTTCCTAAAAGATACCGTTTTTCGACATAAATGCAGCTCTCTATCTCTTAATGATTCTTTGGAACTTCCTAGAGGCTATATTCGCGATCTCTTGAACCTTTATAGCTATAATGAGATTTCCTATATAGGAAATGATATATGACTAAGCAGGGTCAGGGGGGTACCACGGAACCTGCCCTCGCCGTCGTGAGGTTTCTGCACCAAGCCTTATGATCGTTCCTTCACGTTCTTTCCTATCTCGCCCTGGCTAGGTTCGGCTTCCTGACCCAAGCGGCTTGAGGCGATCTCGTCGCGCCCGTCTATTATCTCTTCACGCCTCTCTTCCACGACGGCGCGCCGGCACCCCCCTAGGCTTCCCGGGGGCCGACGCCGGCACTCTCTTGTCCATCGCCTACCCAAATTATTTACCTTTTCTTAACCCACATCATCTCCCGTCTCCCCGGACGGGCAACCCCGACCCCCGATGCGCGCTCAGACACGTGTAATCCCCGGCCCCACCGTCACCCTCAGCATGGCGGCTCAAGAGTTTAGCCTAGATGGGGCTTTCGAATCCCGTTCAACGCCGGTAATCTATGACCTGACAGGCGACACCGACTCGGAGCCCGAGAATGCCGTGGTAAGCCACCCTCTACTCGTTGCTGCCCCGTTGCTGCCCCGTTCCCCCCCCCCTTCGGCGATCGCACTCGAGCATGTCCATTCTCCGAGAGGCTAGGGCTACTTCGCACAACCAATCGTTCTTGATCTTAGCTGTATCCTGCATTGTTTTCTTAATCCGCAACCTACTGTTTTTGATTTTATCATCCCATTCGCGCATCACTCTCAATTCTATGCACAACACCAGGCCCACACCCACACCGCAGTAGCCTGGGGTGCATAGAATTGGGTACTGACGCGTCCTTCGCGTCCAAAATGGGAGTAATCGCTAATTTGGGATCCTGGCTCCAGCCGAAGATTTCATCTCATAAGGAGGACCGCGCGCCTTTTGTGTCTACTTTGCCGCATCGGCGACCTTCTGCAACATTTCGACTCCCGCAGAAGCGGGATATCGCGAGCAGTTCTGAGGACATTTCGGTTCCATCTCGGCATGGAACGCCAATCACGCAGACGTTTCTGAACCTTAAGGCCACTAGCCAACCCAAGACGCCCAGTCCTACGCCGAGCCTTAAGCGTGGTAATGTCGAAGTTGTCATCCCATCACCGTCTCAGCGTCAACAAAAGCTGTTCAAAACACTCAAACCTGTCGAGCCTCTGCCAAATGGCTTCTCAGATCGTCGATTTCCCATCGAAACCGAAGAAACTGAAAAGGCTGCCAGACGCGCCTATCCCAAGGTTCGCAATGTCGACCGAAGCGTCATCTCCTTTGCCCTGTCTCCGCGGCCCATGCCGCATACGTCGATTACCCCTGTCCAATCCCTGCGCTACGAACTTAATCAAAAGTTGAAGCGCATTAAGGGACCCGAGGTGACATTCGACATGGACGACGAGAAAGTAGCGATGTTGTCTGCCAATTTTGGATTCCTCAATGAGTACAAGCTCCAGGACGGGATCACTCGCGCCGACCCGGGTTTCAACGCGGGATGCACTTGTAGTGGTCCCTGTGATCCTGCATCCTGCGACTGTGTGGAGATGGAAGAGGATTCAGATAATCGGATCTACACATACCATCCTTCTGCCGATGGTCAGATTGTCCTTCGGTCAGACTTCTTGAAAAGAAAACGGCACCCTCGCATCTTAGAGTGCAACGAGGCTTGCGGCTGTCGAGGCAAATGTTGGAACACTGCTGTGCAGCGCGGGCGAAGTGTCAGATTGCAGATCTTTGATACGGGTGGTCGTGGTCTCGGTATGCACCTATAGTTCACCTATCCTGCCCGTCTTCACAAACTCACTATTCCAGGCCTCCGATCCCCCGATCCCATCATTGCTGGTCAATTTATTGACACGTACCTCGGAGAGGTCATCAGCAAGCAAGAAGCCGACGCCCGCGAAAACGTGGATGATAAAAACCAGTCTTACCTATTCACTCTTGACCACAACCGATACGACGGTGACGTGATCGAGATGTACGGCGAAGACTACGATGATTTCTACGTGGTCGATGGGCAGAAATTCGGCTCCCCCACACGGTTTATGAACCACTCGTGCAATCCTAACTGCATAATCGCCCCCGTCTACACCACGAACCACGCCGATCACCTCGTGTACTACCTCGCCTTTTTCGCCCTGCACAATATCCCCGCGGGCACCGAGCTCACATTTGATTACAACCCGAACTGGGATGGCAGCAACAAGATTGACCCGAACGCAGTCAAATGTCTTTGCGGAGAGCCCAACTGCCGTGGGCAGCTGTGGCCCAATGCGCGTAAAAAGGGCCGCAAAGCCTAGACCGCCCATCCTTATGATTTCGCATCACTTTTTTCCGTTGCACCTTGCATACCTGGAGCGCTTGCATTTCCGTTCAACCAGCATACACCGCTACCTATTCTTAGCAATTTCCGCGCTTTTGGCCCAAACGAGCACCACGACACGAATTTTATGCATATGTTTCATTTTAGGGTGAGGGGGCGTCTTTCATGTATCATACAATACCCCACGGCGAATCATCGAAGCATTTATCATTTACCGAGTAGATGGAATACAAAAAGTCATTAAAGTATCGATTGTGTCTCGACTAGAGCGTACATGCCCTCAATCCCCTGTATAGTGAAATAAACGAGCCCGTATGCTGCCCAATAACTCAATCTCTGTACAATCCAGTAACCCTAGCCCCGCAATATTTCCATAAAAAAAAACGCCCCGACTATACATCTTCCAATCCGTTTCAAGGGTAATCAACCGGTTTCAAACCCCACCAAAAAACTCCAAAGTAAGGGAATTCAAAATGCATACAGAAACACAAACAGGAGCAGGCTACGCCCGCCCCTCCATGACCTCGAAAATCCCACCCATGACAAACCGCGGCTGCTGAACAGGCACACCGCGACTATCTCGACTTTCAGCACCAATGCTGCGCGGGCGCTGCGTATGGAAAGCAGGCACCTCCCCCTTCATATCAACGGGGCGGGGTTCCATGAGATCGAGGCCCGCACGCTCGATCGCGTCTTCGTCACAGCGGGACCGCTCCTCGTTCAGGGCCATGTCGACTGCGGAGGGACGGCGGCGCACGAGCATGAGGGAGGATCGCCCGCGAAGCACGGCACAGGGGAGGATGCTGTGACCGTATTGGGCGAAGCCTGATACATCGTGGGCATCCTCCGTTTCACCTATAGGGTGTGTGGAGTGTGGGTAGAAGGAGAGATTGAAGAGGTGGTGTGGTGAACGCCTTAGGGAGGTTGGTGATGAGGGTGGCGAGGTTGTTCGGGAGCTTGGTGAGCTGGAGGAGTCGCTTGTTGGTGGGAGGTTCGAGGTTCGAGAGGGAGAGAATTGAGAGGGGAGTTGGTGATACATTGTTTGGTGGTGGTTGGAATGTGGGCTTTGGTTGTCGAGAGGTCACTCCATGAGGATTGGGTTCTACGAAAAAATGAAAAACCGGCTGGGGAGAACTACTTAAAAGAAGAATTAAGGCCACTGCAAGGACGATACAGGGTTGTCTCAGTTGTAATGATGCGACGCATGCGGATAATGCCATTGTTCCTGGCTTCCCGCATCCGGCAAACCCCCAAACTTTGGGCAACATGGGAGTCGCGGATTCCATGGATCTTACTTTCTCCTTCCGAGAACATTACTTCTTTCCCGACTACCCCTGCATATTCAGATAAACCTAGATAACTACGTGACTACGAGATAACTGCGTGACGCCAGCCCTCGCCGACTGCGGCAGGTCAATAGTTCGGACCCACTTGATTCAGTCTCCCGAGTTCGAAAACGTTTCTATCGATAGTCCATGTACACACCACAATCTATTGACGAGATAAAGGGGGGGGGATAAAGACAATGAAATGGCAGAATCCACGCTGATGCTATGCAAAATGCGCCCGATGCCAGGATCAAGGGGTAGTGTACAGCATGAAACCAGGAACCAAAAGGAATAGGAGAAATTAACCTCGAGATGTCAAATCATGCGAGGATGCAGGAATGAGTGTGCAGGTGATATAGGCAGGAAAAGAATAAGCCAAAAATAAAACAACCCCTCTCTTCTATCATATATCCATGTTCGCGTCTCATCGAGATATCGTACTTCCTCATTAATCGGAGGATCGGTCGCCCGATCGCCGCTGCGTAAAACTGCGCCGGATACTCTCACCCCATGCGGAATTATCAAGGGAGGTCATCACATCCCGTACGCTCATCGTGCTGTTTTGCCGTGAGTGGTCGGTGCCCGCGGGCGATTGGTTACGCTCGCTGGCATCGTCGGAGACGCGCTCGCCGTACATGTGGCGCGGGGTGCGCGACGGGCTGATACTAGACCATTCGGTCGGGGTGCTAGCACCGGACGACCGGCCGACCATGGTGGTATCGATTCGGGGGAGATCGCCATGGCGCGCGGTTGGGCTTGATTCAGCCCGTCGGTGAGAGGTCGACGACGGCGAGAGCATAGGCGTAAATGGTGTATCCGTTTCGGGCTGTGTCTGCGGCGTCATCGTGCCCGTCGGCTGCTCACCCTCGTCGGAGTCTCCAGGATCATCGACGAAGATCTCCGGCACTGTGAACTGCGGGACGTCGGTCATCCGGCCGAACTTCTTGCGGTCAACCGCGCGGCGGAATTGACGTGACCAGTACAGGGTATCGAAGAAGCCGATGACCGTGTTGCGGCGGACGGCTTCCTCCACACGCTGGAGTCGTGCACGGCGACGGAGGAATTCTTCCAGACGTAGACTCTTGCTGTCGCTGATGACGTTGTAATGGGCGATAATCATCAGGCACTGGTGGAAGGAGATGCCGCGCTCCGGGTCCGCGGACACGAGGACCTCCTCGTAGAAGGTGTTTAGTCTCTGGCGCCGCTCTCGGATGGTATTGACCGGGATGCGGTTGATTATACGAGAGAGCTCTTTGATATCGATTCCCTCTGCGAGGTCCACGTCACCTGGGCGTGGCTGCAACGAGGCCAATGAATCCCGCGAGCGTATGGGCAGAGAGGTATGTGATGTGTACACTGACGAACCCATCGAATCTCGTGAGTTAGTCCGACACTGGTCCAAGATGGCGCCGACTGTGAATTCGCCTTCATAAATGCGCATCGCAAACACTCCCGAAAGTTCCTGCAGGTCGAATTAGTTGGCTGGAAATTAAAGGTGAATCGACGGTGACTTACTCCAAGTAACCGTGGGAACGCTTCCTTCGTGATGAAACCAGTTCCGTTGGGGTCGTACGTGGCCCAGGCCTGCTTGAAGCGACGGATCTCCTCACGACTGACGGCGTACAGGCCGCTGCTTCGTTGATAGACGTAGGAGAAGCTCTCGAAAATAAGCGAAACGAACAACGAGACGAAGATGTACATGCTGATGATGTTCCAGGCAATAAACAGAGAGCGAGCCCACGCGGCACCACCGCAGTCGTCGTCAAAGAAGTCGGAATCGTACGTGCAAAGTGGGGGTACCATCGTGGCAAAATCCTCCATAATCTGATTCCATCCCTCTCCACAACTGCAGCGGAAGAGCAAAATCAGAGATTTGGGCACGTCTCGGAAATTCAGGTTGTGAGTTTCCTGCGATCCAAACTTGGTGAGACCGAAGGCTTGGTTCATTGCGATACCAAACACGAGGAACAATACGAACCATGTGGCAACAAGATTGCCAATCGCCGGCAGACTAGCCGCAGCTGTCTTGAAAAGCTGGTCCAGTTGGTTGTTTCGAGGGATTAGGAGAAGTGCGATTGAGACAAGGAAGAGCTTGTTCAGCTCGAGGACGATTTGCGAGCGGTGAAGTGCGATGTCGAGGATGGTCGTGACGAATGCACCGGGGACGGCAAGAACCGAGTATAGATCCCAAGAGCTCCGACTGAACCGATGCCACCCGAGGCCGATCAGTCGAATTAGCACGTTTGCGATGTAGACAAACATGAACAAGAAAAACAAGACAGCTAAGCTTGGTCAGTACAATGGCAAAATATGGGTGAGAGAATCACGGGGGACTTACATCGAATTATCTCCCATAGGCTAGGCTCGGGGTAAAATTCCAGCACCAAAAGGAGCAGATGCACCACAAGAATACCAGTAACAAAGCGGGCCCATCGGCCATGTTTCTTCACGGCGATTCGATAGCACCACAATCGCCACTTCGTACTCTCTTCGTTAAAAGACCGCTTCGAGGGGGAAATCTGTCGAAGCAATTTCCGCAGTTCCAACCACGATCGCTGTTCAGCAGTCAAGAATGCCACGCCGGTTTGTTCCGTGTAGTTGCGCATAAACACAGACACAAACAGCGTCAAAACGAACACAGCACCGAGCAAATTGAAGACGACGAAGAACAGGCCGTTTGCCGGTGCGACGTTATTTTGGGGCTGGATACCTGGCCCGATAATGCTCATAGCACTCTCTTGGACATTAATCCACCCTTCCTGGGACACAATCTGGAAAAGAATGAAGAGAGAGTCGCCGAAATTGTCGAAGTCGTACCACGGGTTGGTTGCAATTCGTGGAGCGAGCACATTCCACATGTAAGGCGAGCTGGCATATTCATTGACACATGCAGTCAAGTTTCCAGAGAAGTTGTTGTCGTTACAGCTGATCATTTGGCCATTGAACAAGTTGACGGCATAGATGGCGAAGGGAATCAAAAAACTCATGGAAACGGCGGCAGCGGCGATAACTTTCCATCCTCCAACGATAATCACCGAATGGAATGTATCCTTGGCGCTGTCGCTGACGTTCAGAAGCCGCAGAGCTCTGAGTGCTTTGAATGCACCAATGGCTCTGGAAACCCCCCAATCCTTCTTAAGGGAGCTACCAACGTTGATCCAAAGAGTGACCAGCACGATCCCATCAATAAAGCCCCAAGAGCTTCGGAAGTAGGCATTCGGAGTCCAGAAGAATCCGTCAGCGATCGTTTTGATGACCGCTTCGATCGTGAAGATCACGGCAAATCCCAAATCAGTGTAGGTGAACCAGTTGCGATCGGTGCGGAAATTGTTTCGTTGGTACAAAGGCGTAGTGATGCAGGCAAGAAGCACCATGGCCACGATAGCTGCGTAAATGAAAGCCGAGAATGAATACCATACCGGTTTGTATGGATCCACGCCCTCGACTCGATGGTTACCTCGTCCTGGGCCGACAATTCTTTGGCAGAAGTTCCGAACCGGATCATGAGGGGAGAACATGAACAGAGCCTTGTTGTAGTTTGGGTGTTTGACAAGATATTCTCGCTGTGCTTGCTTTCGCGCCTCTGCGGCAGATACGACTTCTCTAGCCATGGTCCTGGGATCGAGTTCCTCGTAGCGCGCGGAAAACTGAAGCTTCGAATAGAACGGATTAGGTTCGCGGCCCATAACAAGAGAGGTGACCTTTGTCCATAGCCGTGAAAGCATGCCAGGCTGGACAGTGTCTTGAACTGCTCCATCGGGCATTGCGCTTTGCCGTCGGCGGGCGTCCTGTTCTTGCTCCTGATCTTCTTCCTCTTCGTCGAGGAACTCTCGGACGACGGCGTCCTTCAGCAGCATTTCCAGTGCAGCGGGCCCATGGTCAAGCGGATCCTTGTATCGGTCTGAATCTCGGCCTAGTCGAAAAATCTTTGAGAGCGCAAGATTGCCGTGTTGCGTCGAACCACCGACATGGCGTTGTTCGAGGAATGTCCGCACTTGCTGGAGTCGTTTCTCATCTTCTGACACATCGAAACTTTCCTGGATGACAGCAATGAACATGTTGAGAATGATGAAATTGGCCACAATAAACCACATGATGATGAATGCCGCAGAAATCCATGAGGTCTTGAAAGAAACAGTGTAGGCGGTGACGTTGTAAAGTATGGTCGTCCAGTTTTCGCTAGACAAGATTTGATACATTCCAAGGAATGAATTGTATATATCAGCGAATGTAAATGTGATGGAATTGCCATTAGGATCCTGGGGGGGGATCTGGCTTCGGAAAAGCTGAGTCGCGAAGATAGACACCAGAAACGTCATTAAGAACAGGAAAAAGATGAGGTTAAGAAGACCGACAGCATTGCTGAACACGACCATGATGAGCTTTCTAGTCACGGAAAATGCCAACACGACTCGATAAACTCGAAGAATTTGGAAAAGAGTCATGACACTGTAGGGACGGCCCGATTTCCTGATGGCAGGTATCTGTATGATGCAAGTTACAACCACCAGGAAAAAGTCGAACCAGTTCCGGCGCCTCCGATGAAAAATTCGCCAGTCTGATGCAAACCGCAGAATAATTTCAACAAGAAAAACGAGAGTGACGACGGTCTCCGTGTTGTTGATAAAATCAGCTCGATCCGCTGACATGGTTGAGCTTCTCAGAGCCTGAACAACAAGGTCTAGAACGATAATGCAGACCCAAAGCCACTCTGTCTTATCGTAGAGGCGCTTGAGAGAGCTAACCTTGCGTGTAGCAGTATCATCATCCTCGACAGCATCGATCTTCTGGACAGCGAAAGCACTGCGTTGGCTCTCTTCTCGAATGACCTGGAAAGAATGGGTGATAACTGCAACCAGCAAGTTGACCAGCCACAAGCTCAAAATGACCAGACCGAAGGCGAAGAAAAGCGCCGCCGCAAGGTAGTCACTGTCGGTAGTATAGTACAGCAAATCAGTGAAGGTGTTAGAGCTCATGATGACGAACACAGCCTCCAGCGACTGTAGGATATTGTCAAAGCTCACGGTTCCGTTGTACGGGTTCCCTCCCTCCATGCACAAAGAGCCTTTCGGACAGATGTATCCCTTAGCCTTATGATTATCTGCTGAGGGGACGCCAGATGCGTCAAGCCAAGGCATTTGCTGGCCTGTCACATTGTCCAAGTATCCTCCACAAAATTGGAGTGTGCCATAAGGGTCATTCGAGGTGTAGTTATACTGACCCAGGGGATCGACCCAAACACAGGTCCTGCGGAGACTGGACTTAAAGCTTTGAATGCCCACAATCGCGAAAAGAAGCCAAAAGAAACCAATGAGGAATCCGACGTGGACCAAAAGCGGTGCGGCTCGTTTCAGACTTCGAAGAATAACCTGGAATTGGTGAGTCAGCGATTGAAAGTGATATTGTTGAGGAATGGTGCCATACGGATGTGCCATTCGTCAAGGCGAGAAGACGCAAGATTCGAAGACAGCTTAGCATGCGAAAAATGTACAGCTGCTGCGTCACTTCTTGGCCCCTCAGGGAGAGAACGAACGATATCCAGAAGGAGATAATGGCCACAAAATCCAGTCGATTGAACGAGTGACGAAGAAACGCGCGGTGGGCGAGTCTCACGCGGCGTTTCTGAAGCGGGTCATTCAAGAGTTCACCGTCCAGCGTGTTCATCCCAGTGAAAGTCCGCAAAATCGAGGACTGTGGTTCCTGTGGCAGAAACGAAACTTTTTTGGCAGTCATCTGTCGGTGGGGAGTAATAAGGTTCCTGCCCTTTTCGGCTATTGCTTTCCTGATGCCCAGGGAGCGATTGAGCGTACTGTACTCCTCCGGGTTAAACATGAACCCAGATACCAAGATCTTCGTCGCAATTTCAAGGGTATATATGACGAAAATAATGAAAAAAACCCAATCCAGGGGGTTGTGGCCCCATTGGACGGCCAATGGTCGGTCAAAGACGGATTTTGCAGATTCTACAATCAGCAAGATGGTCTGGACAATAATAATGGCCAAAATGAAGGGCTCCATGAAAGGATGGACTAGAATGTCACACAACCAAAGGCGAAATGGGTGATTCGGTCCGAGAATGCCAAGGGACCGGCCTCTGAACGGGTTATTTCTATACTTCCACATGTTCTTGGATGCCCGCTTCTCTCTGGGCGGTAACTCGGGTGTAGGATCATGTGCATAGTCGGCCATTGCAGGCAAGATTGGAGGACCGTCTAGCCGTGCACTTTTGTGGTGCTCCTCCCTCTCGATCGATTGTTGAACGACTTCCGGCTCATTACTGAGGTTGACCACACGTTGCGACATAGATTTCACCATCGAGCTAGCTCTCTGTAGAGCCCCACCGGACGCCGAGGGTGACAGAGACCGAGACCGGGCACTGCTTCCAATACTTCGTGAACGGCCCTCCTCGATATGTGGAAGGTCATCACCTAGCCGGGAAGAGTGGGTTCTACTTTCACTATTTCGTTGTTCCTCCGGCCCAGCCGCGCCACTGATCGGTTGAAGATATTGAGGGTCGGTCAAGCGTGCAGTGTCATCTTCGGCCTCAGCTTGAGGAGCGTAATTATGTTCGTGGGAGGGGTACGTGTCCAAGGGTACATTGTCGAGATCGGACTCGGCATCGTCGAAGTCGTGCATGGCCGAAGGGCCTGTTAATGATGCCCTTGAGCGCGGCTCATCAAAGCTGATACCAAAGGACATCGCCTGCGCGAGGGCTCCCAGGTCATTTGAGGCCACTTCCTCCTCGGCCCGTGAGGGACGAAAAGGATTCCTGCCCGCAGAGCCTGAATCGACCGGCGAGTCCTCTGCGACACTCTGGTATTGCATCCGCGACCTTCTCCTCATTATCGACCGGCGTGAGAAGATCCCACTGGACGCGCTGTTGGCACGACCTCGACCGCGTTCGTCGGCGGGGGAATCATCGGGTCTGGAGAGATCCTGAAGGGGGATCTGGGTATTTGAGGGGCTATCATCGTGGCCACGGCTGTGGTTATTCGGCGCCATCGTCTGGCAGTATTAATTATTATCGAATCGCAGACATCGCAGGCCGTGACGGGGGTCAATAGCCGGGGTGCCGCGACAGGTGGGCGTTGGGAGATCGAAGATCGTCAGGGGGGATGAGGGAGTGGTAAGTAGAATAGAAATGACCTAAGACGACGGGGACATGTCGCAATGGCCAGGCACAATGGAACCAAGGAAAGAGATGAAGGATGTTGAGGCCAAAATCAGAATCAAAGAGGAGCCGGTCGCAAGTCCACGGAGCGGCATGTGGTGATTGGCCCACAATTCGCGATACTGGGATATATCGTGTTTTTGGTTGGTTTTTGGCCGATCGAGTGTGGCTAGTGCTTTTTCGCTCTCGCCTCAGTTTACGTAGCATTCGGTTCACTTGGCGACCGTGTCTGGACTACTGGGAAATTACTACCGATCCTACTCCGTACACGGTGTTCCTAACTATAGTTACTCGTAGACGCTGACGAAGCCTCGCAAAACAGTGGTGGCTGGTGGGGCTGTTACCAAAAATAGTTAATATGGCCTTAAAACTAATCTGTCTCCATCGCACCCGACTGGTCCTTCTTGACATGTTGCCGGACGCCCTCTAGGAACGCTTCAACTGCTTCGCCTCCACCTAGGGGCACACCTCCTCGGCGCATGAATCCTCCGTTGGCCACGGGTACCTGCAGGGCTTCGCTGATGCTGGGCAGCCCTCCGTCTCGGAGAGCAACGGTCAGGCTGGCAAGGCTTTGCATGAATTGGGGGGATCGGAGCACTTTGCGGAGAATATCTTTTTTCTGGGGCAGATCGAGTGACAGAAGGGCCGCTTGGGCCAATTCAGGGTCCGTGTCAGCTTCCGCAGCCTCGGCATTTCCCTGGGCCAGCAGGAGCAGAGCTGGCGGTAAGAAACTCAACAGGTGGTCGGCAGTAGTTGCGTCTAGAGACTCGATAAATGGCAGCGTCGTTGGGGGAGGAAGAAGGTCTTGGAGGGTGGTAGATGGTCGTTCAGGGTCCTGGGACTGGGACTGGGACTGGGACTGGCCCTGACTGCCACCCAGAGACTTCAAGAAGTCCTGAACTACCGACGATGGATCTCCTGCACCGGCTCTAGAAAGAAGGAAACACATTAGAATTTCATGGCTCGGAGCAAAATAGACAGGGTTATGTACCTACGCTCGTCCACCGTCTGCTCCACCCTCTCTCGATTCCTGGCCCTCCTCACGAACGTCACCCCCCGTTGCGTCTGGGCCCGCTCCACCACTGCTTCCCCCATGGTTATGACTGGGATCATGGTCGGTACCTTCCACATCCTCCATCGTCTCGTCATCGTCGCCACCGGAGGGTCGGCGGGGGAGGTTGGCGATCTCATGCTCCACATCCACATCCTCGCCCTGCAACAGAACATCGACAATCTCTCCCAGTTTGAGATCCCGGGGGCTGAACCAACTAGGGTCGCCACTCTCGTGCTGGGACTGGGACTGCATCCAGAACAGATACCGCTGGGAGCTGGACGAGAACTTCAAGACAAAGATACGGCCATTTGTAGCGTCCTTGCCGGCAGGTTTGTAGGGGTGAAGCTTCCATCTGACGGAATCATAACCAGATCGAGCTCGGGCTCGTCGAGAGATGCACTGCGGGGGCGCCAGCAAAAGTGCACAAGATCATCTTCGGAGTAGAGGTAAACGTAGCCGGGGGTCGGCTTTGGCTTCACGGATGGAGGATCGACGGAGTCCTAGATCCAACGCGTCAGTAAATTACCAAAAGCTCAAAGCGTTTGAGAAGTGATGTGGTAGAAGGGTAATTGATCTTTGAGGACCGAGTGCGGCACGTACATTGAAATCGCAGATGCCTGCTTTGAAGGTGATGATGGGAGCTATCGACATGGCGGAACGAATTGGCTGTGACAAGGCCAACGAGTGTAGAGAAATGGTTAGGTAAATCGAGCCACGCCCGATGAATGGCAAAGGTTGGAGATGAAGATGATGGGCAGGACTGCGAAGAGAAGCTTCAGGATACGTCAGTTCCTGGTTGTTTGTCCAGAACAGCTGACTTGCGCCGGGTGCTCCTGCAGCCGGCCCTAGTTCAGGCCTTTATTTCAAGGCATCAGTCCATCCACGTCGGACACGTGGTGATTACGTGACTCACGACGCGAGGTTCGGTGACCTGCGATCTGATATTTCTCTGTTTTTCTCTTAAATTATCCGCTTGATTTCAGCTCTCAGGCCTGCCCGTCTCTTTTACCCCTCTTTTGAATGCGAACCGATATGACCAACATCGGAGAAAAGGTTGTTTTCCACCTATAAATATAGCTCCATAAACCAGATTGAATGAACAACAGCTTTCAACCTTAATTATCCTCTCACTACCCTTATCCCTCATAGGGACAGATCAGGGAGCGTCTTTTTCCTGTTTTTTTTCTTTCAACGCCTAAGCAGATAGCCCTTTCTGTTTAGGTGAACAGATTAGCTAGTACGCTGCCGTCTTAGCTACTCATCCACGTCATCTCTTCGTGTTCAGTAAGCCCGCTAACCCACGGAGGTCCCGGCAGCCCTGCCGTGTAGGGACCTAACATCCCCGAAAGGCATCTCTCCTGGTTTGCTAGAACGCCACAGTATTAGCAGCCAATCGGCAGCACCTATCAGGATTAGCTAGCACGCCGCAGTGTCAGCCGAATCAGCTGAGCTGACCTCCAGAGGTCTAGGCAGCCCTGCTGCGTAGGGACCCCGCGACGGATTACCAGCGCTGTAGCTAGTCTAATCCAAAGTGGCTTTAAGTTAGCAGTTCCCTAAACCTACCGTCCGACGCCAAGATTCATTCTTCATTCATCAATCAGTAATTCTTCTCAATGGCACCTCTAAACATCATCATCTGCGGTGGCGGTTGCGCGGGGCCTGCACTTGCTTACTGGCTTTCCCGTAGTGGCCATCAAGTCACCATCGTCGAACGCTTCCCAGCTCTCAGGGCCACGGGAGCCCAGATTGATCTCCGTGGCCAGGGCATTGAGGCGGCAAAACGCATGGGGCTCTTGGATACGATCCGTGGCAAGCTCGTCGATGAAGATGGCTTTGCCATAGTCGACTCGCAAGGCAAGGTCAGGGCAACTGTTATGGCCAACAAATCCGGAAAGGGTGCCCAGTCTCTCACATCCGAGTATGAAATTATGCGCGGTGATCTTGTGCGCATTCTATACGACGCGACAAAGGATAAAGTGAAGTATATATTCGACACATCGGTTGATCGTTTCGAACAAGATGAGCAAAAAGTCACTGCATACTTCTCCGATGGCTCATCCGACACATTTGATCTTCTCGTTGGAGCAGACGGCCAGGGATCGCGCGTTCGGAAAGCCATTCTGCCCCCTGGTTCTCCGGATCCTTATCGTCAGTTGGGGTTCCACGCCGCCTACTGGTTTATTCCGCGCAACGAGACTGATACCAATCTCAGCTACACATACCAGAGCCCTGGAGGTCGAATGATTATGCGCCGAAGTCACAGTCCAACAGAAACACAAATATACTTTTTCCTCAGAGACGACGCTCTTGAATTTTCGAGCATTCATAGGGGTTCGGTGGAACAACAAAAGGAATTCTGGACCCAAAAGTTCCGTGGCGCTGGATGGGAAACAGACCGGTTCTTAGAAGGCATGAAGACGACAAACAACTGGTACTGCCAGGAAGTTGTCCAGGTACAAACGGATACATGGCACAGAGGCCGGGTCGTTCTTTTGGGAGATGCTGCTCACTGCCCTTCTCCCTTCAGCGGCATGGGTACTACTGCCGGACTTGTCGGTGCTTACATTTTGGCTGGTGAGATCAATCGAAACACTGAGAATCTCTCCCAGGCTTTTGCAAATTATGACAAGACCCTTCGGACATTTGTGGATGAGGTACAGAATGTGAAGCCTGCCTTGTTGAGACTGGGAATGCCGTTGACATGGTGGGGAGTCGCTATTCTACATTTCATCTTTGGACTTGCGTGTTTCCTCCGCCTCCCCGATTTGATATCAAGATTTTCAAAGGAGAGAGATGGGGACTGGAAATTACCCGAGTATTCTGAACTAGAATATTCTAGGGAATAGACGAACAACTTATACTACGAGGCTAGTGAAAGAGAGAAATACCACTTATACACACTTCACTCAAACAGTTAGTGTTTCTATTTGAAGGTTTGCGTTGGTGTGTGCCACTTTAAAATCCCTAGAAATGCGCAGAGATGCGCTTTGCAAGAGACTAGAGAAGTGGTCTTACAGAAACGTCCGTCTCTGTTTGGGTGACCAGTTACGGTCCAGAAAATTGTGAGGGCAATCTAGACCCACCGGGTACCCGGTCAGGTACCAAGGCATCAAGCGTGGCGGGTGGCTGACTCAGATCGGTTCGGCTAACATGTATCACGTGAGATAGGGCTTGTTCTTCCCACAAACCCTCTAACTGTACTCCACTCGCAAGTCCGCACATCAACCTCAACACCCAACCACCAACCCGACCACCACCTACACCATCTTCGTCGCAGCCACCATGTCGGACGCTACTGTTGGCCAGACGAAGCAGTTTGGAAAGGGCCAGCGGACTGTGCCGCACCCGGCCCAGAAGGCCCAGAAGTGGTACCCCGTGGACGACGAGTCGCAGCCCAAGAAGGTCAGCATACATCCCGACAAATGACTCAGGTTTCGCGAAGGATACGGACATGCGTTTATTCGCTTAGATGAATGCGACAATTGGCGCCGGATCTGTTGTATTGAGTCGAATATGCACGATGTGTGACATTCAATTCAGCCAACATGACCGATGGCAGTTGATGAATTTGAGATAGGCTTTTGTGGCCTCGCAACAATCATTGCATTCATCTGAGCGAGTCAACTATGCTGCGGATTCTGGAAACTGCGAAATCACCACACGTTCGCCAACCGAGTTGCTAACATGGATTTGTGCGTACAGGTTCGCAAGACTCTGCGTCCCACTAAGCTCCGCGAGAGCCTCCAGCCCGGTACCGTTCTGATCCTCCTCGCTGGCCGTTTCCGTGGCAAGCGTGTCGTCCTCCTCAAGCACCTCGACCAGGGTGTTCTCCTCGTCACCGGCCCCTTCAAGATCAACGGTGTCCCCATCCGCCGTGTCAACTCCCGCTACGTGATCGCCACCTCCAAGCGCATCGACATTGCCGGTGTCGACTCCAAGACTCTGGAGAAGATCTCTGCCGCCGACTACTTCACCAAGGAGAAGAAGGCTGAGAAGAAGTCCGAGGAGGCTTTCTTCAAGCAGGGCGAGAAGCCCCAGGTGCGTTTTGAGCCATCATTTCAAGTATACGAAACCAGTCATAATTAACGTGCATTTTTGCGTCAACAGAAGAAGCAGGTTGCTAGCGCCCGTGCCACCGACCAGAAGGCCATCGACCAGTCCATCCTGGGCTCCATCAAGAAGGAGGAGTTCCTGAGCAGCTACCTCTCCACCACTTTCAGCCTCCGCAACGGCGACAAGCCCCACGAGATGAAGTGGTAAAAAAGTGCGCTGCGGCGGCCGCGGGTTCGGTAGATAGTTTGGGAGGACTCATCTTTCAACGAGGGGCGGCTCGATTGCAAATTGGCACCCTTTCGCAGTGATGGAGGAGCGGCTCATGAATCATGTAACTCAGTATGGGATCGGTTAATTCGGACACTCGGCTGTTGTTTCTCTTTCAAACACACTCCCCCTCTTTCACGCGTGGCGCCGGTTCAGCATGACTCCCTTCTCTTCGTCGGAGAAGGGGGGACCAGCCGTGATGTGATGAAAGACTTCTTACAAAAAAAGATTAAAAAATACCTCACTCCAGCAGCCCTGCTGGATTCTCTTCATGTTTAGTACGACATACACCTCCCATTTCCAGGTTCAGGCGGCAATCCAAAAAATTGGGTACTCTTTATAAATATCTCCTTTTCGTGTAATTGAACTCTAGACTCTATTAGATCTACCTAAACAGAGATCAGATTTGATCAGTCCTAAGTTTTAGTGGGCATCCCCATTGTGCGGCAACGACGTAATCGGTCCTGGGTTGGAATGCTTGGGAATATATATCTCCGCAATATGTGAATTTCCACCAAGCTTTAGCCATCCACATTGACAAGAATAGACAAGGATTACTTTAAATAGACAGATCCAAACGCCATCAATCATACAGTCATTCAAGCATGGCCGTTTCTGCGGGTACGTGCAGGCATGTTTCTCCGCAAGGTTCCCTCCCTAATCTTCCGCTTCGAAGACTCCAATGCCTTCCTTACTTTATCTTCAATCTCATGCTCTTCAATCTCATGCTCTTCAATCTCACTAGCCAAATCATCCTCAAAATCCCTATCACCATCAGTGGTACCACAGATCCAATCCAAAAGACCCCAGGTCCCAAAGTTCCCCACTCCACCGTCGATCAAATGCGTATCGGTACGGCGCGCAATCCCACCCAAGAAGAAGCTGGTCGGCATGATCGTGTACCCTGAATACGCAAAAGTCTCCTCAATCGAGATACTCCCCAGAAAGAGCAGGAAAGTGAGCATGTGGAAACGGAACAGCATAGCCGGCAAGTAGGTCGGAAGGAATTTGTGCACCAAGTAAGCGAGCGGGTGGTCGTAATGCGCGGTAAGCGGGAAAGGCGCATTAAGCTGGTGGTACCAGTTGTTATGGTACTTGGCGAGGATATTCTTCGAGTGCAGGACGTAGCGGTGTAGGACGAAGGTGAGGATCTAGGAACGGGCAGATGTTAGCAAACTTGACAATGTCGATTACCCGCGCGATCGGCTTCTTACCTCTCGGACCAAAAGCCCGAAGAACATGTCCTTGACCATACCCCAAGGCATTGGGAGCCTCATGGACACTTTGATCGCGCTGCGCACGCCGAGCCCGCGGACCAGCAGGGACTCAATCGCTGACTGCGCGGCAATGCTGAGGCAGATGTTGAAAAACGCCCATCCTGCGACCTTGAACTGCTTTACCCGGAGTGTATGTCGCTTCCTGCCTCCAGGGAGGCCAGCTTCACCTTGCGCCTTGACAGCGATCGCAGTGCTCGGGATGAGGATGTCGAAGAGGAAGAAGATGAGGGACGGCAGCGCATAAAACAGTAATCGCACGGCAGCCGAGCCGAAGAGCTCTACTCGGAGCGGAGAGTGGGACAGCACCAGGGTGGTCCATGTCATGTAAAAGAAGAGGAGATTGAGACTCGTGCCGTAGGACGTGATGGCGGGTACGAACAAGAGGGACAGGAAGGGAATCGAGAAGAGCGCGTCCATTGCGTCGGTCTGTAGCAAGTACCCGAGCGACACTACGGAAGAAGGTGGGTGCAATAGAGAGATTATTCTGCAAGCTAGGTCGGATATTTAGCGACTGGCAGGTTGTCAGCGCATCTTCAAGGGAAATATGACCGAGGATTAGATTGCAACTCGTCAGCGGCGGACAGCAAGAAATTAAAATTGGGGGATCAACAGCACTACGTCACCGCCCGCATTCCCGACACCCCAGAATCACATTTCTAGGGGGGTAGGGGGGGGGGGGGGTCGGAGGGGCATTGGTTTTTGAAGGAATGGATCAATTCAAATTACGAAATACGAATAACAGTTACTCTGGTTAAGCGCGAAGGCCCCATGGGCGAAACGAAAATGCCACACGGGCAACATGCAACGAGTAACATGCAGGGTTTAGTACAAACGCAAGAGAAAAATGCATTTAGGGGGTGGTCTCAGGGACCGGGGTTTACGGGGAGTCCGTTGGTCTTTCCCCAGTTGAATGCCTTGTTGCGAAGGTCTGGAATGACTTGGAGGAACACCAGATTGCTGAGCCAGCTGAGCAAGGTGTCTCCGATAATGGCGTTTCGGGGACTCGGTCCAAGAGCAGAAGCCTTCATGACGTGACCAAGGAACATGGTAGTGATCAGGTATTCGCCGCGTTCCAGTGCACTGATGGCGATTCGGGCCACCTCCTCGGGCGTTTGAGGTTTGTCGGCCTCCTCGAGCTTCTTGGTCAGTTCGGGCTTGAGCTTCTGCTCGTTGTCAAATCCGGGGCTGAGAATGCCCATGGGGAAGACCGTGTGAATCTTGATATCGGCAGCTGGGGCTGAGTTACGGTGTCGCTGAGTGTAGGCTCCATTGTACATCTCAATCTCCTGGGAGAGTGTGTCAGACAAGGAGCGAATGGCAGCCTTGGCAGGTGAATAAGGCGCGTAGCCAGCAATGGGAGTAAAGGCAAGAATGGAGCAGGTGAAGATGAGGTGTCGACGTGGGTTCATCATCTGCGCACTCGGGGTGATGGGAGCTAGCCAGTTGCGAAGGGTGGCGTGTGCCATGTTGGCAGCAGTCCAGTAAACAGTGTCCATTTGCTGCTTTTGGACTGAAATGGGCACTTCGGTGAAGAATCCAGGGTGGCAGAAGCCAGCACAGCACCAGACAATATCAGGGGCAGATCCCTCGTTCCAGGCAGTGACTTCATCGACCACACGATCACACTCGTTGGCAAAAGTGAGATCAGCACTGATGTAGAAGAAACGTTGCTTCTTCGAGTTGAGAGCCTTGGCCTGAGCATGTGTAAGCAGAATGAACGCGGGGAACAGAGGGAAACATTCGAACCTTCATCTCTTCAACGGTGCTTTGGAGCTTGGAAAGAGTACGAGCAACGACCACGACATGAGCGCCTTTGCCAGCAAGCTGAAGAGCGACAGCCCGGCCCATGCCATCAGAGCCACCAGTGATAAGGACAGTCTAGGAGAAAAGCGTTAGTTGCAATGCCTTCAAGAGACAGAGACTGGGGCATTTCGCTTACTCGACCCTCGACGGGGAACTCGTTTCGTCGACCGAATCCGAACATCTGGGTAAGCGTATACGCGATGACAGTGCAGACCAGTACGGATACTCCCAAGCCCGGGGTGGTACTGAGATAAGAGGGGATGAACGAAGGACTGTAAGGCATAAGAAAGAAGGGAAAAGAGGACAATGGAGAAGAATCGGGGTGAATGGGGTGCGACTGCCGTTCGACTGTTATTTGATGTTGGAAGAGGACGATGAGGGATGATGACCTTTACCGGCCGGAACACGGTTACCGTACCAGGTGCACACAATCAGATAATTTAACCGTATGAGCAATACCACGCCAGCAAACAGGACAAACATCGAGTTTTGCTGCCGCAGCCCGCGAGGCGGTGAGCGCGGACCAAAAAATTAATTTGTCGCAGTTGATGAGCTTGAAGTAAACCAGCTACACAACTTTCACCATGGGCAAAAAGAGAAAGGCCGGCGGCCGCCCAGCAAAAAAAGCTGAAGCCCCTGCGCGCACCAAGTTTGATGTCGAAGAGCGCTTCGACGACTCAGAGGATGACTTCCAGACCGGCCGCGACCAGATCCTGCTGGACGATGGCCCGGAGACTAAGCGGCGGCGGAGAGTCGCAGAAGAAGGTACGTTGGTTGATTTAATATCTAGTACGCAGGTGGAAGTATCTGACTTTTCTTTGCAGAGGAGATGCTTCAGCCTTCCGATGAGGAAATTCTAGGTTACGAGGACGCGGACGAGGACGACCTCGAAGGCGAAGAGAATTACGAGGACGAGGACGATGATGATATGGGTGCCCCCAATGGCCGTCGTGGCGAGGAGTCTGACGAGGAAGAGGGCATCGCAGCCTGGGGTTCTTCGAAAAAGGATCTTTACAACGCAGACCAGATTGAGACCGAGGTTGATGCCTTGGAGGAGGAGCAAGAAGCCAAGAGATTGCAGCAGAAGCAGCTGCAGGCTATGGACGAGGCCGACTTTGGTTTCGATGAATCTGAATGGGCGGACTCCGGCAAGGCGGAGGACGAAGCTGAGGATGCCGGCGTGGTCACCGAAGTGCTCCCGCAGCTGGAGATCACTGAGGATATGGGAACCGACGAGAAGCTAAAGATCCTCAAGTCGAGGTATCCCGAGTTTGAGCCCCTGGCAAAGGACTTTACAGACCTTCAGTCTACCTACCGGGATCTTCAGAAGGCAGCATCGACGGCCTCGACAGCGGCAAAAGAGGATGATGACGAGCCTCAACCAGCTCCTGTGGCTGTGGTGCAATTGCGTGCACTGTCGGCGTATCTGGGCACGATCAACTTGTACTTTATGCTTCTTGCTTCATCTTCCGATGGAAATAACGGCAACATGCCAATTTCACCGGCCGAGCTTCGACAGCACCCTGTGATGGGCTCTCTTGTGAAGTTCCGGAAACTCTGGGAGAAGGTCAAGGGTCTCGAGACTCCCGAGGTTCTTGAAGTTGCTAAGACTTCTGCCAAGGCAACTGCCAAACCCGAGCCTAAGGCCCAGAAACAGCAAAAGAAAACGAAGGAGGCTAAGGAGCCCGCACCGAAGAAGTTGAGCAAGGCAGAGAAGGCGGCTCTGGCAGCGCAAGCCGAAGCCGAAGCCCGTCGCGCCGAGCGTCTTGCGGAGACTGAAGCCGGCCTCGCTGATCTGTCCAACCTGGCCACCGAGCCTGGTCAGAAGCGCAAGACCAAGAAGACCAAGACGCCCGCCAAGGACGACGACTCCGACTTTGGTGATGAGGATGCCTTGACTGCCCGCGAGGCTGAGGAGAAGGCCAAGCAGAAGCGTTCTCTCCGCTTCTACACCTCCCAGCTGGCACAGAAGGCCAGCAAGCGCCACAACGCCGGCAAAGATGCAGGTGGTGATGCTGATATTCCGTACCGCGAGCGTCTCAAGGACCGACAGTCCCGACTCAACGCCGAGGCCGAGAGACGTGGTCGTCAACAACCCGACATCGGCCAAGAGCTCGGCGGTGACAGCGACGACGAAGACCGCCGCGTTGCCAAGGAGCTCCGCAAGGGCAACCAATCCGGCAGTGACGACGAGTACTATGACATGGTCGCTGCGCGAGGCAAGCAACGCAAGGACGACAAGAAGGCTCGCGCCGACGCCTACGCAGCCGCAGCTCGCGAGGGTGGCCAGGTCCAGGTCCAAGAGGAAATTGGACCTGATGGCAAGCGTGCCATCACCTACCAGATCCAAAAGAACAAGGGTCTCACGCCGCACCGGAACAAAGACTCGCGCAATCCGCGTGTCAAGAAACGTAAGAAGTACGAGGAGAAAAAGAAGAAGCTGGGTAGTATTCGCCAGATCTACAAGGGAGGCGAGAGCCGTGGTGGTTACGGTGGTGAGCTTACGGGTATCAAAAAGAACCTGGTCAAGAGTGTTAAGCTCTGAGGCCGGGGTAGGGTATAGAGATCATGGATATTTTGTTTTTATCACGGCGTCTACGTTCTTGGCAGATACAGGCATTCAATATGTACATAACTCCAATTTCACCCTTTCAAGCTCAAGCTCTAGATTCTTTTCACTAGATTGGATTGAACCATTCACACTTTCTTGGTCCTCATGGGAAACATAGGTAACCCCTCAGCAAACTGAGGACGACATGGAATCTAGAGCATATAAGAACATAATAATGATATTCAAGAGCTATAATCGCGGGGAAATGCAGGAGAGTTGGCAGTCTCGGCGCAACGAGCCGCATAGGATCCTCCAAGTAGCACATTCACCGCACCTGACCGGGACATTGCCGGAGTAAAATCGATTTGGCCCCCAGAGTATATCGAGGGGAGCTAAGTGGGGATGATGATAGCGTACTGTTAATGGTATAGATCGACACCTGTTACCTCGCCCTGTGCGCCAATTAAGAATTATCGCAGGGCACACACAGGGCGCAGTAAGCCTTAAGGCATATTTCATGATGAGTCAACCCATTGTCCCTACTCCCGCAGACCACTCACCCTGTTGGCTGGAATAAGTCCTCTAGGCTTGTCTTCGTATCGTGGCTGGGGACCCTTTCGAGTGAGAGGTCCATTTTGAGGAAATTTCTCGCAAGTGCGTTCTGCCTCCATGTCAGTAAACTGTATAGAAAAATAAAACCATTATGGACTATTCATACCGCATGCTGCAGGGTTTGCATCTCTTCGGTAGATAACGTGGCACATGCAGCAACGAGATTCTCGCCTCGGGCTGCGAGTATTGCAATTTCATTTGCGCGCGAGACAATGGCCCCGTCGATCCCGTTGATTGCGGCGCAGCTATTAATTTCTCGTCAGCAAGTCAGTGCACAAAAGTTCTGAATCGTGTAGAGGTTCATACATGGTACCGAAGCTCTTGCTGCTGCGGCCAGGACGGAAGCTATGGGATCGTTTAGTCCTCTGTATCCAACGCGGGGAAGAATAATGTTGAGCAGACTTGTGAAGATAGGTGACCTGGTCTTCTACATCCTGAAACTCTTCACAAACCTTGACCTCCATGTGTCCGAGTTGCAAGCCGGGTCGTGGTGCAAGAAAGCCATTTTCAAAAATCTCGTGGAAATGAGTAGCGGCAATTACCTTTGGGGAGTCTTCGATATTGAGTAAATGCTCGAGTATTCCACAGGCCAGGCCAATACCATCTGCATAAATTAGCATTCTCTCATCTGGAAGTCCGACAAAGACACTCACCACTCTGACTTGTGCCTTTGCCGAACTCGTCGATGAGAACCAGGCTTCGGCCAGTGACATGCTTGAGGCAAAGCGAAATTTGCTGCAAGTCACTCATGAAAGTACTTTGAATCTAAGTTCTGGTTTAGCCATAGAGCATTAAATGGGTGAGGGTGTCCTGTCATACCTGGGAAACACTCTCCTGGGTGTTGATCTTCGTCAATATTTTGTCTGTTATACCAAGTTCTGCGCTATCTGCAGGAACAAAGCTGTCATTACGAGTGAGTAAAGCTCCTTAAGAGGGATAAATGATTGAACTAACCTCCCAATTTGTGCAAGGTAAACAATGAGAGCGACCTGAATACCTCTTAGACAACGTGCAAGACAGTCATTTTAGGCATGGGGTCTCACCTGCTTCATATAGACACTTTTGCCGGAGTAGTTTGGCCCGGTCAGCAGTAGCATGCTGGGATCTTTATTTGCCGATGAAGAGACCACATTGTCTCCAAGATTCTCTCTCCCACTCGTGAGAACGGTGTCGTTTGGGACGTATGATGAAACCGTTAGTTCTTGCAGAATATGACTGGTACAGGTTAGAATAAGTGCGAGACAGCTTAAATAGACATTTTCTCACCGGCCGCTCTTGATTTTTATTTGATTTTCTCTTACCATTCGTGGCCGTGTCAGCTTGAAGAGGCCAGCTGCCTGTGTGAGGGCGAGAAGACTGTACAAGAATTAGCTTTCTCCATGCACCAATCATTCAAGTCACGAACCTGTCCACCTCTCCACACACATCGGATGCTTCGATAAGCACATTCTCATACTGAAGGACTCTCTGGGCCAAATCGTACACGATCTCGATCTCTCTCTCTAGAAGAAATCAATCGTTAATGAAAGAAGAGCGCGGCTACCATCGAGACAAACTTACCACAGATGAGCCCGTAGATATCTCCGAGCCTTTCGTCCAATTCTCGCATACGAAAGTCCTTGAAGTAAGCTCTAGTTTCGGTAGTGAAAACCAGCTCCCAATCCCCAATTGTGCCAGAGTAAGCAGGGTCTCCTCTGTCATTGAGAGAGATGGCAATGTTGAAGCCGAGCTGGGGGAAATAGATGACGTTCAAATCGACGTCAAGATCCTCTGGAATTGTTGTTGCAATCTCAATGGCTACGTTCTTGAGAAGACTGTTCAGGCCGTCGTATCGGTCTTTCATCTTGTCGAGCTCACGATCGAGACCTTGTTTGACCACCGTCCGGCCTTGTTCCTCGGAGTTATCGATATCAACGATTTCCTGGATCATTCGCCCCACTCTATGAAGCTGGGCGGCCTCAAGGATTTGAATTGCCTTCTAGAATTAGCTTGTGAATCCCTGTGTTTTGGATTGAAGGTCTCAACCTTTGTTCGTAGAGCCAGCTCCTCTGCTCCTGAAATCTCGCGAAGTGCATCATGGATGTCGATCGAATAGAAAGCAAACTGGAAAATTGGATCAGCAGTAAATATCTAAAGCTGTGAAAGAACATACAGCCAAAAGACTCGCCCATACAGTGGCCTTGAACCCAGTGATTTTCGCACTTCCTGTACTGATACCCTTGTGGAGATTGATCATCACAGGCCGAAGATTCTTGATATGCTTCAATCCCTTGGTCAATTTCTCGAGAGCGGCCAAGTTACCCGGTCGGGAGAGCATTGAAATAAAGTCATGGCGCTCTCGAATAGCCTCAAGACTGAGGCTTGGGCGGAAGAATATCTGTTTGAGATTGGCTCTGCCCTGGGGTGTATACGCAAACTGCCGGAAGAGACCATAAACCGAGAGGCCCTCTTTTCCAGAAGCCGACTTCTTGCCTGGGCCTTGGTTGAACATGTTTGGATGCGACTCGGGCTGCATGATCTGGAGGGAGAGTAATGTATTGCTTCCGATCCACCTTTTTCCGTATTATTAGATGCGGTCCATCGTCGAGAGTATGTCAGTCACTTACATCGTGTCCTGCAAACTGAACATCTCCAAATACCTGACCCTAAAAGAATCAGTTTCGATAGGACCGATGTTCGTTGTAGCTCGCCGTCTCTGCAAGTATGAAAGGATTGCTCCGGCACAGCCAACGGTCACCGGATTTTCCATGTCGACAGAGCTGGAAATGTGTAAAAGCCTTCCTTCATGAAGTGTAAAGCCCATGTGCTCGGGGTCTGTTTGTTCTGTTTCTTCACCGCATCCATCGAGACCGTTCTGGGGTACAAAGAAGCGTAGTCTTTCTTCATGAGATGATGATACGTCTAGCGCAATGAGTCTGGACTCTGCATTGGAATAAGTGAACTCTTGAGAGGGACGAACGTCCACCTGATAGGGGAGATACAAGGATGAATCTATTTCCCATGGGTGGATTAGCCTCGAAAATTGTGACTGGAATGTTAGAAAAATACCATTATCTTGTGTGAGGTTCTGTCCTTGTATATTGGTCAGGTCGACTCGAGGAGGCGTCAAAATCACCGTTGGTTTGATCTGAAAAATCACTGGACAAGGTCAGCAAGCATTGTCAGCGACTTGAAAAATTCTCAATAACAGAGCATACAGGCATTGATCATTTCCAATTCTCCCGACTTGCTATCTCCCATAAGGTACAGCTTCTCTTCCTCCGCGGAGTAGTATGAACACCCCACCGTCCCGCGGTCTTTTATGTCAATGGCGGCGATAATGTGGCCAGTATCGTCATCATCATCATCGGATCGTTCATGCTCTTCACCTCCAGTTTGAGTCTCCGTTGAGAATGACTTCTGCAATCCCTGCACCGCTGAGGACGCCGGTGGATGGGTTGGGACTCTTGATATGGTGGATGCTCGTCTCGGCGAGCGAGCGTCGTGACCCCCCATCAATTCAGCGGTACGGGGAGTCATGGGAGGTGGACGAGATCGAGGTACCGCTGGCGAGTGCTTTCTTTTCTGGGAAGAACGCATTTTGCGAAGAACTAGGAGATGGCAACTTAGTGTCAAGGTGTGTAGTGAAGAGAACGAGCGACCTGGGTCACGTTGCTCTCCCCAATTACCGTCTACGCAGCGGCTCTACAAGCTACAGAATGTCTTTTCAATAGTCAATTATGAGCGGACTTGCATTTAAACATACTCGAGATGAGTTGAACTAATATACAGAAGGTACCATGAATGAAGATAAACATGTGTAATAATAAAAACCGAGCAACCTTGAAACACCATCATGAATGCCCTGAAATGCGACCAAAAACACCGTTGCGAAACAAAGTTCATGCACTTTCATCAACAATCTCCCCGGCAGAAACTTCCAATAAAGACTTTTCAGCATTAAGAGACACACGAGCAGTCTGGCCAGACGTGATCTCGCCACGGATGATCTTGTCAGCCAAGCGGTTTCCGATCTCCTTGGAGATCAACCGGTTGAGAGGACGAGCTCCAAACTTTGGGTCGTAACCCTTCGTGCATAGCCAATCCTTGATCTCGTCATCCACCTTCAAGGTAATCCGGCGGTCGTCAAGGCGTCCTTGCAGCTCCTTGATTCTGATGTCGACGATATCGCGCAAGGCTTCCCGCGAGAGTCGCCTGAATATGATGAACTCGTCGATGCGGTTAAGGAACTCAGGCGGGTACGATGATTGGACAACGTCCATGACGGCCTGCTTGATGTCTGACGGGACCTCGGGAGCGCCCTCGTCCTTGTAGGCATGCAGGGGATCGGCGCCGACCAGGATTTCGGCTCCAAGGTTCGATGTCAGGACGATCAAGGTATTTCTGAAATCAACCTTGTGACCCTGGGCATCCGTGAGGAAGCCATCGTCGAGGACCTGGAGTAGCAAAGCGGAAATATCGCGATGCGCTTTCTCGAACTCATCGAACAGAAGCACGGCATATGGCTTCCGTCTGACTGCTTCTGTAAGTTGACCGGCATCATCGTAGCCAACGTATCCGGCCGGGGAACCGATCAAACGGCTGATCGTATGCTTCTCCTGGAATTCACTCATGTCAAATCGCACGACTGCAGACTCACTGGAAAATAGGAACTCGGCCATTTTCTTGCACAGCTCGGTCTTTCCCACACCAGTCGGTCCAAGGAACATAAACGAGGCCAGTGGGCGGTTTTCACCACTAAGACCGGCTCTCTGCATCCGCACTGCATCGGCAACAGCAGAAAGAGCTTCGTCTTGACCGCGAACAGACTTCCGAAGAGTGTCCTCCATGTGAATCAGCTTCTCAACCTCGCCAGCCATGAGCTTATTGACTGGAATGCCGGTGGTTCGAGAAACGACATTGCCAATGTCGTCGGCGGTAACAGAGTCGTGGATCAGAGTTTGTTTGTCTCCATCTTGCTCTGCCCCCTCCTTGGGCAACTTGGCCTCAAGTTCAGGAATGGTGGAGTATCGGAGCTCTCCAGCCTTGGCGAAGTTGCCTTCGCGCTGAGCCTGCTCAAGCTGGAACCTTGCAAGTTCCAGATCCTCCTTGGTACGCTTGATTCCGTCAATTTCAGCCTTTTCCTTCTCCCAGACCTCGGTCAATTTTTTAGCCTCTTCTTGTTTGACCTTCAGGTCTTCTTGGAGTTTCTCCCGGCGCTCACGGCTGCTAACGTCGGTTTCCTTGCGAAGAGACTCGAGCTCGATTTGAATCGTGGTGATGTCCCGCTCCAATTCTCGGATAGCATCAGGCTTGGATTCTTGCTGCAGTCGAAGTGCTGAAGCAGCTTCGTCCACCAGGTCGATGGCCTTGTCGGGGAGGAACCGGTCGGTGATATAGCGATTGCTGTAGGTAGCTGCGGCAACAAGGGCACCGTCCGTGATCCTAACACCGTGGTGGACTTCATATTTGTTCTTGATACCACGAAGGATAGAGATGGTCGAAGCAACAGACGGCTCGCCAACAAGGATAGGTTGAAAACGACGGGCGAGAGCAACGTCCTTTTCAATCAAGCGGTATTCGTTCAAAGTCGTAGCACCGCAGCATTGAAGATCGCCTCTGGACAGGGCAGGCTTCAGCAGGTTGCTCGCGTCAATGCTACCCTCAGCCTTCCCCAGTCCCAGTAGGGTGTGAAGCTCGTCAATGAAGAGAATCACCCCGCCATGCGCGTCTTCGACTTCCTTCAGGACTTTCTTGAGACGTTCCTCGAAGTCACCGCGAAACTTGGCACCCGCAATCAGCGAGCCAAGGTCCAACGAAATCACGCGCTTGTTCTTGATGCTCTCGGGAACATCGCCTTGTACAATGCGCTGGGCCAGGCCTTCCAACACAGCCGTCTTACCAGTTCCAGCCGCGCCAATCAGCACAGGATTGTTCTTGGTACGTCGCGACAGGACCTGAATGGTTCGATGGATCTCGGCATCTCTTCCAATAACCGGGTCCAGCTTTCCGGCTTTGGCTTTGTCCGTTAGGTCAACACCGAACTGCTCAAGCGCGGGCTTTTCTTCCTCGCCACTCATGTTCATGCGGTGAGTACCGCCGGGAGGATGTGGACGACCGGAGGCATAATGGCGTATCGCAGAAACCGGAGTCAGTCTTGCTGCCGGCGCAAGGAGCGCAGGGGTCTGGAGAAGTCGAGTGGACCGCGAGATCGGTAGGAGCGAACGGGTGCTTGGTATGTGTGGAGTCCGCAGTAGCCGACTGCGCGAAGCAAGAGAGAGTCTGGCTGCCATGGTGGATGGTGATGCGCGGGGGAGGGCAGCAACACCATGTGCTTTAATAGTTGCGCAGCGGCAACAACGTGATGTTTCTCGAAAGCTCCACCAGTCGAGCGCTCAGTGGCGGAAGAAGGTAGAAGCTCCGCCTGTCGCTGGGGCCAGCTCCGTCACCACTTGAGTCACGTGGCAGCACGCTATTAAACGGAAGAAAAAATGTTTTACCCCTCGCCCACATTGTTTTCTTCCCCCCTTTACACCTACTTTTTCCCACTCACATCCACTCCCTTCTTTCACAATGGGTTTCACCGACTTCGTCTCTGACACCGGCCTGACTCGTAAGCTTCGCCTCGGCTTTTTCACTCTGTTTTGAACCTTGGGAACTGACTTTGCCCCCAGTGGCCAACAACTACCTGGCCACCCGCAGCTACATCGTTGGGTAAGATATAAGCCGCACCCCTACCTCTTTCAATCTTAGTTTTTCCTATTTTCTCTTTTCGTCTTGCTTTTATGATGAGAACAAATTGGTCCGTGTTTAGGAGGCGGATTAAGACCCCGCTACATGACTACATCCAATGCGAGCAATCGCGTCTCTGATTTCGACTTGCATTATTTCGCACTTGTTTATAACTACGTTCATGGCGACTCGGTACTGACTGTACTTGATAGCAACGGACCCAGCCAGGCCGATGTTGTGAGCTTCAAGGCCTTCAGCGCCGCCCCCGACGCTGCCAAGTACCCCCACGTTGCCCGTTGGTACAAGCACATCGCCTCCTACGAGGCTGAGTTCTCCACCCTCCCCGGTGATGCCTCCAAGGCCTTCACCACCTACGGCCCTGAGTCCCACGAACTCCCCTCCAACCCCAAGGACAAGCCCGAGGAGGATGATGAGGAGGACCTCTTCGGCTCCGACTCCGAGGAGGAGGATACCGCCGCTGTTGAGGAGCGCAACAAGCGTCTCGAGGAGTACAAGGCCAAGAAGGCCGCCAAGGGCCCCAAGCCCGCTGCTAAGTCTCTTGTCACTCTTGAGGTGAAGCCCTGGGGTACGTGTTTCCTTTGTACGATTCAGCCGACGAATTCGTCCTAACCGCTTTTACAGATGACGAGACCGACCTTAAGGAGATGGAGGCCAACGTCCGCGCCATTGAGCAGGATGGTCTGGTCTGGGGTGCTTCCAAGCTCGTTGCCGTCGGCTTCGGTATTAAGAAGCTTCAGATCAACTTGGTCGTCGAGGACGAGAAGGTCTCCACCGATGAGCTTCAGGCCCGCATCGAGGAGGATGAGGACCACGTCCAGTCCACCGATATTGCTGCCATGCAGAAGCTGTAAATGATGCTTAATGAAGTGGATGGCGTGATGATGGATATTTTTGATGTGTTAGGACCTTGATTACGAACCTAGAACCCAGCCGGACAGTGGCTTGGGATGATGAAAAATAAAAAATTTTCACGACCACATCTTTTTATTCAAAACCGTAGCTGGTAGTTGTCAGCCCTGTACTGGCCGTGCTAGAGGTTTTGGCAGGGGTAGGACTTGAATTGGACACGTCATGCCTTCGAATGTTCGCGAAGCCGGGGTCGACAATCATTCATCGAATTAGGAGTTGAGATGGTAGTGGTTTCTAAGATAACTCGATGTCTTTGCTACGGGTCACCGCATGTTCCGAAGATTTTCTAAAAGCGCAGACTTGATTCATAGGATAACTCATTACTCCTCTACAGTCTGGTCTTTTCCAATTCCCAATAGACCGATATATACAACTCCGTTGCCAGACATTATCCGACGAAGCTTGTACCCATGGCCAATTGTAGTTTGCAAGATCGAATCATGATAGCTCGGATTTTCCCATGTTAGCTACTAAACAGAATGACAAGAACGAGCTATCAACTCCCTAGGAAAATGTTTGTAGAAGGTTGATCTACTCCAATGATCATTTTAGGAAAGGCGCAGAGGGTTAAAAGGAGATGACTAATCGCCCAAGCGGGACAACGCCAAAGCACCCGAGTTGCACCTGGGGCAGACATCCCGACTCAAGACGGGCTATCTCAACGCGAACAAGGCTCCCGATACTTATTGGTCCTCGGCGGCACTTTGAATAACTGCCCTCAACACGGGAGAGAAACACACATCTTTCCCTAGCACAACCACGAGACCCCAACCCCCGAATCGACCACATCACCGATCACGATGAGCTTCCTCTCACGCCTGGTAACACTATTCGGCCTGGTCCTGCTGGCCCACGCGTACGTCTCTACCAATTACCGCAAGCCTATCCAACGAGACATCCGCTAACGAGCTCTACAGAGGCTACTCGGCCCATGAACACACGATCCTCTTCAGCAATACCCGCCTCGCCCTGCCGCAGGATATCATCGTCGAAACTCTAGTCGCCGTCGTCGTGGTCTCTGTCGGCCTGGTGCTGGGTGCGGAGAAACTGAAGCCCATCAGCTGGCGCGACTGGGCGGGTGAGATCGAGCGGGATGGCGGTGCACGGAACCCGTACTTGAGTCTGGAGGAGCGTTATGGATTCTGGGATATTCGGGTGAGATTTCGTCCCTTTCTTACCCTTGGTTTCCTTTTACGGAAGGCCCGTAGACTTGACGAGAGACCCTGTGTCACAATGGCTACACCACACAGATCAACGTGAGCTAACCTGAATTTGGGGGATTATAGGCCAAGCGAAAGGAATTTGCGGATTGGATGCGGGGCCCGGATGTGTTGGAGTGATATGGAACGTCATATTGGATGTGATGCAGTGGTTCTTGTATAATATGCATTGCTGCGAGGGAGTCTCAATCGATCCTAGAAGATTGGCGTTGTGATCAGTACCAACCCCCAAGGATGTTCCGTTTATTGTGTCCAGAGATCAGTTCTCGGTGTAGACTATGCCCGGTCTGGACTCATTATTCTCGTCCGGGAGATCTACAATGCAGCTACACTGCAGACAAAGGCAACAGCCTGCGCAAGGATCACGCCTCCCGCGATACTCGAGCCGAGCGTACGTGTAGAAATGCAGAACTTGTTTTCAAGGCTCATGACCTGGACGCCTGCTTTTGTATAGCCACCACGGCACTTGGGCAGTCATGCGTACCACCTCCGTCTCAAAGGTTGCATGAAGTACGCGTTGCCCGTCACACAGAGCCCGGCCCAAAGAGAAACCGTTGCCCGCACTCAACTTTAAGATACCGAGTTCCCTGCAGGGACTGCGGCGACACCGACGAGGATGCAGCAGCCCAGACCTAAAAAGGGCGTGGCTGTGTGTGATACACATATACATAGCCTTTGCTTTTCTGAACCGAAGGTCATCTCATTAATTGTCCAAGGCTGGCATATTATCAATTCTGCATGGAGAAGATCGCCATCAGCGAACCACTGGACGTGTTTCGTACTTGTCGGCCAAGAAAAAGAAAGACCCACTGCAGTTCTTGGATCCACGAAATGAGTCTAGGCGGATGCTTCGAGGTGGGACTTGGCGTTGTAAGGAAGAAAATGGAAGAAACTTCGGAGGGTGCTAGAAAGTGCTATACGGTAAAGGCATCGCGAACACCACAGCCGATCATTTCTGTGTTTAGTAACTGGCTAGCGTGGAAACGAATATTCGGACGATGGGTGATGTCTCACACGATTACTCCACTTGGGCTCGCCGGTTTCACTACGGATACTACGAGCGCCACCAGGAATGGACCAGGCGTGAGGTGCCGAGGACGTGTTTTTAGTAACAACGATCAACCGCGGCTGACGACTGGATGACTGGTTTAGGATTCGTAGGCCTCTACGCGGTCTGCCAAGAGATCTGCGCTTCTGGGGAACCGTAAGCTTTGAGCTATTCTGTCTACTGTTTACCGGGTAGTGCAGGGGCGCTAGAGTACCTTAGGTGGGATCGTGCACTCCGTACCAGATTTTCGTTACCACCTTTTCATTTAATGTGCTTTGCCCTATCCGTTAGGGGGTATTCCGCATGGGCAGGGCATGGCAATTGGTGACAACAGTGGGGTCATTGGTAATATTGGAACCGTGTTTCTCATAGACACATCAAACTCTACGGATACAGTAGACAATAATTGTTTCCAAGCTTACGAGCCGATGCACGGTAGGCAGCCGGTGTGACCCCTAAAATAGCAGCGCCACTCGACCTGCACGCCCAGCTCCGCGCTAGAATGGCCAGCCCGTACGATGAATGGGCCGCAGCCGATGCCTTAACCTGTTTCAGGAACGATGGCGTCGCCCAAGTCTCAAATAAAAGACAAGTCCAGCTTCCTGTCTCCTAGGACAACCGTACTTTCATAAATTCCCACCTCTTCCCTTTCACTCTTCTTCTTCTCCCCGCACATCTACTTCCCACACCCCACATCACCAGCAACATCAATATCTCCAACCTCCACAATGCGTTCCTCCATTGTCTTTGCTACCCTCTCTGCCTTCGCTCTGGGCGCCTCTGCTCAGGTAAGTATCACTCAACACCGTGTTGATGGTCAATGTTTGCACTCCGACCCTAACTCGTGCCAATAGAGCAACCCGGCCACTCAGTATCTCACTGAGACCAACTCTCTCGGTGTTGTCACTGGCCAGCCCTCTGTTGTTACTTCTCAGCCCGCTGCCGTCACCTCTCAGCCCTCTGTTGTGACTTCCCAGGAGCCTGCTGCCTCCATCCCCGCTGGTCTCACCTCCCCCGTTGTCAACGTGACTGGGGGCACCACTTTCACCTCTTCCGTCAAGGTCACCAGCACTGGCACTTCTACCGCTACTGACTCGACCAAGACCTCCACTGAGACCACCGAGAGCGTCTCAACCATGACCTCCACCTCCACCGGCACTTCGTCGCCCAGCTCTAGCGGTGCCTCCAGCTCCAGCGGTGCCTCTGGCTCCAGCTCCAGCTCCACTGGTGGCGCTGCCATGGCCACTGCTGGCCTCGGCATGTTCGCCGGTGCTGCCCTGGCTGTCCTTGCTCTGTAAGCAGCACCAGCCTATGACCATGCACTCGCCATTGAGACCCGAGAACCCATTCTGGCAAATACTCTGATGGGAATAGGGCCCGGATAATGGAACTGGTTGAGTGGATTTACAGATCTTCCAGGTCTGTGGGATGAGGAACGCGAAAATGTTAGCAAGTTTCTTTTCTGATCTTTCTTTTTCTGAATCTTAATCACGGGGGACTTGTAATTGATCGTCTATGGCATTTGGTATATTGAATTTTTTGTTTCGCGTGTGAATCGGACAGCATACCGGCGGCGCATCCGTTTCTCGCTTGATTTCTGATGCTCATGATTAGCTTAATTCCTGGCAAATAGTAAATACATCGTCGAGAGACTGCCACTCCTTGAATCATTTATGAGGCGCTCCAATCTTCTTGTATAGACTCTACCTAGATCATATTATTATGAGTCAATAGTTCCCTGATGTTGTGAGTAATATCTCGCGTAGCGAGATGGGGTCGAATTGTTCAATGCCCCAAGGTGGATGCCTCATATGGTTGGACGACGTGAATGGGCACCCATCTCATGAAGGAAATGAGACCCATCATGCCCATATTCAGGGGCAGCTGATAACAGTGTAGTCTGCAGAAGCAGATGTGATCTATCTGCTGTGATGCAAGTAGACTGTACAGTCCTAAAAGGGAAGTGTAATGAGCGACGCGACTCGCGTCACGGACGCGTCACCGCTTCGGGACTAGCGGCTCCAAACAGCCGGTCGTTGAAGTAACCGGCTGTTGTGCTGCTTCAAACATCCAAACACCACCCACCATGGTAAGTGTCCACGGTGTTCCCCAGTGTGTACTAGAAGGCGCTTAAAGATACTAATTATGCGATATAGCCTTCCAATCTGCGCCGACTCGCGGCAGACCATGCTGCCCTGCATGGCGACAACCTCCCGCCGTATTACCTGTTGCCGCCGGACGATGGCCGTTTTGCTGCGGCCGACGACCTATCGCAGTTGACGGTCCTTCTGACTGGCCCGACCGGTACACCGTACTCACAGGGCCTATGGCGACTTCATCTCAAGATGCCGGAGGACTATCCGAACAGCCCGCCCAAGGCGATGTTCCGAACACGCATATGGCATCCTAATGTGGAGGAGATGACGGGTGCGGTGTGTGTGGATACACTCAAGAGAGACTGGCAGTCAAAGTTGACCCTTCGCGATGTGCTTATTGTGAGTGTGCATCCTGTCAAGTGAATAAATGTCGGAGAACTGAACTAATCACTTCGTGTTAGACCATCTCCTGCCTTCTGATCAACCCCAACCCTGACTCGGCCCTCAACGCATCAGCAGGCACCCTGCTCCGAGAAGAATTCGATGCTTTCTCCCACCAAGCGAAACTGATGACCTCCATTCATGCCCCAATCCCACCGGACCTCAAGGACTCCGTCACGGAAGCCAAGAACAGGGGCGAAGACGCCAGTTCAATACGCCCCGAGGAAGATACATCCACCCAACGTCCACGAAAACAACAACGCCTACACCCAGGCACAATTAAGAAATCAATCCACAAACCCAACCCATCCGACGACATAAGCGACAGCGAAAACGAAGACCCAGCCAGCGCGAGCAAAGAAAACAATCCTTCCCTCTCCTCCTCCCCCGTCCGCCTCACACCCCCAAGCCCGCGCAAGAGCACACTCGGAAAACGCCCCCTCTCCGTCCTTACAATGCCCTACCCCGAAGATCCAGACGCGGACATGATGCTGGTCGACTCCGACTCCGACTCCGAGCACGAGCGGGGCCTGACAAAGAGTTCCTCAGAACAAAACATCAGCGCAAACACCCGTACCCGCGCCTCCGTCTCGCCTCAGCGCAAATCCCCGAAACTCACACTCAACAATGGTGGCAACGCTTCCTTCCGACTGCGCGACGATCTGCAAATCTACGAGGATGTGCCGGACCGCACACTGGCGGAATTTTCGCGCCGCTTCAGTGGTGACGGGAAGGAGAACTGCACTGAGGCGAGTGGCGGCTTGAAGGACAAGACAGAATCGCAGGACAAAGCGACTGGTACCAATCCTCTGGCTGGTCAGATCCAGGGTCTTTCAATGAAGTCACCGGTGAACTCGAATCTCTCCCGCGTCTTGAAGAAGGTTGTCGGAGGTCCACGCAAGGCCACTGCGCCAAAGGCCAAGCCTCGTATTGGAGTTCGGCGTCTGTGAGGATGCTATGATTCTTTGCTGGACCGATCTTTCTGCATTCCTCGGTGTCGTGTGCTTCCATCTTTTGCATTTCGATACCCCCTTTCGCTATAGGCTTTATTTGATGGATTTCATGGCGCAATATGAGGAAAAACAACAGCATGGTGACTAGTCCCATGAGGGTGGATGTGTTTAATGGGGGCTCTCTCATATCATCCGGTGTTAGGGTAGTAGGGTATTTGAATAATGTCTGCATAATGCATGTTTGCCTAAGCAATTGGTTCGAAGTCGTAGACTTTCCAGGGCTTAAGACGGTTGTATGGGTCTAGCTACACTGAGGGCCACGCAGAGGATCCAAGATTGCAAGGCTACCTACCACCTCTCAGCGACTACGAGTAGGAAGAACTGAATGTGTAAATACCTGATTAATGGAAAGACTATCAAGCTTTAATCAATTTTCCCCTCGAATCGCCAATCTTCTCGAGGGCCACAAATCCCGACCTTTTGTCAAAAGCAAAGGGAACGGACCAGGAAAGGGGACCGAGACAAGCTCAGATGGGAACAATACTTTCTCTCTCCGGGAGACGACCCAGATACTCTCAATAAGAGGATAACAAAATCAGACAACCGCTGCACAACATATAACAAAACACTAAGTATACGCGCCCCATGACACGTCGGATAGATGGCAGCACAACTGAGGATTGACTACCGGGTGCAAAAAAGGGGAATACCAGGAAGAAAATTCCCGATAATGATATGTTCGATCCGCGTGTCTGAGGAGGAATTATGTCCGTAGGTGTCTGTGAACACTTTGAAGATGTCCGACACGCCCAAAGAATCTGCAGGATAGGCATGCAATAATATATCCCAAGGAAGGAGAAATTAACCGCCCTTCGACTCCTTTACAGGGCGTAAGGGTTGACAGAGCGAACAGTCAGGCATCTGTGCAAGGCTAAATTAGCTTGAAACTTTCGTAGAATTTAAATCAGTGTACTCACGGCGGGCTCTTGCTCAGGTCAGTCTTCAGGATGATGGGGAGGCGAGTCATCTCCGTGACATCCTGGATGAAGTCTCCATTCTCCTCGCGGAGCTTGAAGAGCTTCAAGTACTTCTCCTTGTTGGTCAACTTGTTCTCGGGCGCATCGCTGGTGCTCGAGGCGATCTTGGGGTCGGATCGAGTACGGTGAGGACCCTGTTGGAGGTGGCCGTTGCGGGTGGGAGACGGCGGCATGCTCTGGGTCGACCGGTCAGCCGAGTTCAAAGAAACGCCGGCGGCCGCCTCGGTCACCTCGTCTACTTCCTCGTCATCATCGAAGAGGGCATCAACATCGTCAGCAGACATTGTTCCAGTCTCAGTCTGCTTCCGCATAGCCTCATCATGTTCACGAGCACGCTGCTTTGCAGCTTCAGCCTCTCGAGCAGCAGCAGCAGCCTGAGCAGCACGAGAGTTGCCGGGTTTGGGGCGCTCATCCTCGGGGACAAATGCAGATGAGGGAACGCCCTTCTCCCAGTAGAGTTCAAGCACGCGAGAGTCCTTGCGGTACTCGGCCTTCTTTAGAGGCAGCTGGTCGCAGTGCACACGCTTCTCGAAGCCATACTCGGGAATAAGAACGTCGAAGGCGGATTCGTATACGCAAAGGACAATACCCTCGCTGATGAGATCGCCGCCAATCTCGTGGACCTTGCGATCCATTTTGCGACAGGCCTCGATGTGGACACTTTGTTCCTGTGCGTTGAGAGCCGAGTCCTTTTTGTTGTTGCAAAGGTCGGCAGTCTTGTTCAAGGACTCCATGTCGTCGGTGAACTCGATAGCACCCTCCGAGAGAACTGCCTCAAGCTGACGGTGCACGAGAACATCGGCGTAGCGGCGAGACGGGTTGGTGAAGTGAGTGTACACGGGCACATTCAAGGTGTAGTGCTGGCGCTGCTCGTCGGCGGAGCCAGATCCAACGAAGTACTTGGCCCGCTGCATGGCCTTCGCGAGGAGAACTTCCATACCCTAGAGAAAATGTTAGCAAAAGCCATTTTTCAAGTCCAATCCATGCGACCAACCTTGCGAAGATCGACATCTTCCACCTTGCACAGGCTGCTCTGCAAGGTTCCACTGCTGGATGCATCGAGACCGAAACCAAGACGGTTCATTCTCTCCACAAACAGCGTGAGACGGCGCGAGCTAGGGGGATCCTGGCGGCGAAGGAATGCCTTCTCAGGCATTGCACTAGCCAGCTTGCGAGCCACGAAGAAGTTGGCCTGGCGGCTCAGTTCTTCGACGAGTTCATGGGCCGGGGTAGAATCGAAGATGTTGTACTCAACGGGCACATTCTCATCATCAAGCTGCTGGAGCAGACGCAGGCTAGGGACTTTAGCAGCACGGTTGCCGAAACGAGCATCCCGGAACTTGTTTGCAGCGGTCTAAATGCAAGTTAGTAAAAAAAAAGCTCGAAGATCAGAAAGGGTGAAACTCACGCTCAGCAACTGAATGCTGTCGTTAGTGATGCCGGCACCGGTCGCGCTCGACTTGCCAGTGATAACTGAGTTCACCTCCTCGTAGGTGAGATGGCCTGCGCTCTTGATGACACCCTTGCCAATCCAGACATCGTCATCGACCGCGCCAGTCTCAAGGCTGGCCTTGAAGACAACGCTGACAGTTAGGCGGTCTTCACCGGGAAGAAGAGAGCAGAGCTCATTGGAGACACGAGGGGGAAGCATGTTCATTATGCGGTCAACCAGGTAGACAGCAGTGCCGCGCTTCTTGGCCTCGCGATCCACAAGAGAGTTGCCCTTGACGAAGTGCGCAATGTCAGCGACGTGGACACCAATCTCGACCTTTCCGTCGCCCAGCTTCTTGACGTGGAAAGCATCCTCAAGTGCCTTGGTGTCTTGCGGGTCAATGGTGAAGGCGGTCTCTTCACGGAAGTCACGGCGAGTAGCTAGGGCCTCGGCATCATTAGCAACTGACCAATCCTCCCAGCCGATGCTCTTCAGAACGGCATCAGAAAACTCGTCAGATCCAAAGTTGTTGTCACGGAGGAGAGCATCCGTCTCGACGCGAAGGTCACCCATCTCTCCAAGCTGCTCAACAAGCGTACCGAAGGGGTGCAGAGAGGTGATGGGCCAACGCTTAATAGAGGCGACGAAGATGCGGTTGGCGTAGTCCTGGTGCTTCTCCACAAAGTCTCGCGGAGCCTGCTCAGTCGGAATGGCAATCAAAGGCACACGCTTGTCGGTAGGCTTGAACCAGACGATCTTGGGCTTCTCCTGGTGACGGTCTTGGTTACGGCCGTGGGCACCATCTCTGGCTTGCCGCTCAGCCTCTTGCTTTTCCTTGGTTGCCTGGCTGCTGGGGCGAAGGAGACCAAGAGTACCGGAGAACATCTGACCCGCAATGCGTTCAACGACCGCAACAACATGTCCAGCATACAAGGGCTTCTGCTCGTCACTGATCTCATCCTCCTCAACGAGCAGAAGGGACTGTCCCTCGACCTCGACATCGTCATTCTTCTTCTGCGTAGGACGCTGGCGAAGACTGCCACGGCGACGGATGCTTCCATCCGGGCCAATTTCTTGCCTATCGCCATTGGAGTCGGAGCGACCCAGCTTGTCATTTCCGGCATTGCTGCCTGACCGCGCATCGGTGATATCCTTGCGCTTCTTCTTCTCCTCCTTTTCCTTCTTTTGCGACCAGACTTCATCCACATCGAGGAGCTCGACCGCAACGTAGTCACCCTCAAGGGCGCGGTTACGGTCCTTGCTACCACATATGAAAATGTCGGCATCCAGATCAGGGGTGGTCACATACGCGTCGGAGCGGTTCTTCTTATTCACACGCAGGACACCGGCAACCAATTGGCCGTTGCTAATGAGTGCGGGAAGATTGGCCTGGGGCAGGTAGGGAGTGAAGAGGGTCTTCCGCTGCTGCTGCTGCTGCTGCTGCTGAACAGACAGCTGCGGCGGAGCGTGCTGGCTGACCTGAAGACCGCCCATGGCCTGACCATTCTGTTGCTGCAGGGCCTGGAGCTGTGCGAGCTGGAGAGGGTTCAGCTGCTGACCACCGAACATTTGAGGAGGTGCCATCATGACCTGGCCCTGGGGCAGCTGGATCAGTTGACCAGGGTACTGGAACTGGCCGATGGAGCCCATAGACTGGTTCATGGACGGCCGGGAGCGGTGACCAGGCTGGAAACCACCCTGCTGCTGCTGTTGCTGCTGCTGGCCGAAGTTCTTCTGTTGGTCTTGTCCCTGGTTCTGGTTATTGGGCTGGCGCCAATTGCCGTCAAAGTTTCGGGATCCGGTGCGAGCGTGGCCGGGCTGGCTGGGCCGGCGTTGGTTGTCGGATGATCCAGCATCACTGGGAGCGGGGAACTGGAATCCGCCGGCACCGCGGCCAGAGATGGAGCCGCGGTTGCCGCCAATAGCCATGGATTGGCTTCGACCGTGACCGCCAGCCCGCATGTTCCCAGCGCGCTGCATACCGAGGCCCTGCGGTGCAGGAGAAGTGCTAGAAGCGGGCTTGTCGTCCGACTGGCCCTCCGACCCACTGGCACCAGGGGCAGGAGCTGGGAACTGGAAGCCCGAGGCGGTTCTCTTCTGCTGGGCAAGCTCGGCGGCCTTCTTGGCTTCTGGGAGAGCCAGAGAGTGGCGGCGCTGGTGACCACCGCCGGGTGGGCCTCCACGACCACGGCCCTGGTTGTTATTCTCGTTTCGGTGGTTGGGGCCTTGCTGGTTTTGATCGGCGTAACCGGAGGCCCCCGAGGATGGAGCAGGAGGCGGGCCCATCGGGAGACCAGGCAGAGCGGACTGATTGCGGCGGTGCGAGTGGTTTGGTGGCGCGTGCATTGAAGCCCCGAGCTGCTGTGGTTGCTGCTGGGGGAACTGGAAGGCGTTGTTGACCTGAGGAGAAACACCACCCATGTTTCCGCCGGGAGAAAAGGCGTTGACCTGACCCAGCTGCTGAGGCTGGAGCAGGCCCATGTTAACGTACTGTTGATGTGTGGCAGCAATCTGTTGCTGCTGCTGCTGGAGTAGCTCAATCTGTTGCTGAATGGCCAGTTGTTCCACTGTTCCCAAGTCAGTCATCACCATCACAGATTACCCGTGAGAAAGGGGGCCATACTCATCAAAGGGGTCAGCTCAGAGGGACTTCTCCGATGAGCGATATGGAGTTTGCGCCCTCCGGGGCCTGGTGGCCCGGACTGGCCTTGTTGATCCATAGTCCTAGATGAAGGACGACGGCTATCTGTAGAGTGTAATATGTGGAGAGGCGGAGAGGATCCGGCGACAGGAAAGACTGGCGTTACCTCCAAAGGCAATCGAACCGAGAGATTCGTAGCACAAACTGACCGCAGATGGCGCTTTATGTGCTGACGATAGTTTCGACGCGACGATGAACGGTGTGAACTATACTGAAAGGGAGAAAGGGCGGGTCAGTTATGGTAAAGAGGATGAATTCAGAAGAAAACAAGTCAAGACTCGAGAGAAAAGAGAGTGTGAGGGCAGAAGTGAAGGAACGATTGTGGGTAGGAGGGAACGTGAAACGTGGAAGTTGCGATGAGTCGGACAGTTTGCATTGCGGGCGGAGACCAAGGGACTCGGGCAAGACCAAAACAGCAGGGAAAGAGAGCTTGAGACAGCAACACACGCAACAAAAGCGGATCAAGCCTCCGAAATGGACAGGGAAATGCTTATAACGAGGACGCCCTTACCTGCAAGAGAGACTAATGATAACCTCGGAGCTCTAGCATTCCAAAATGACGTCTGTGCTGTCCAACGTGGGATGAAAATCGCTAGAGGGCCAACGAAGCGGTCAAGCCGTACAATCGAGGGAGAGTGACAGCCAAATCAATTGCACCTGTCAATGCACCTTGAATCGACGAACCCAAAGATCGACTGAAAGGGACGACGCTCGCTCGATTGGAAATTAGGAGTTGGAAGGAACGAGTCGACTGGAGTGAAGTCTGCGGCGCTTGAAAGGCACTCTGTAGCTGACAACCAGACCGAGAAGAGGTATCGGGGATGCAATCCTCGATCGAGAGCCGGCAAGAGTCGGTTACTCGAAAACCACGGAAGCTGGGGGGGTGGGAGCTTTCTCTCCAGGAACTCCCAGGAAAACGGGATTCAGTTGCACGTCCCCGAAGAGAATGACAACCGGGTGAAGAGGGATAGAACGGACGATGCAAGCACCGACTTTGGTGAAGGAACGATGGGGAGAGAGAGTATGAGAGATGAGGGAGAAGAAGAGAGAGGGGGGGAAAGGAGAAGTGAAGTGATGATGGGCTCCATACAAAGGCGGGTGTGGGGAGACCCAAAGGAGGGTCGTACGGTCACTACAATACGGCGTATCCTTCCTCCTTGGACGTGAGAACATGGTGTAAATACCCCGTCTGAACACACCGCAAACCTATCCAGCAACGGATGGCCATGGATGATCTCCGTCCCCGTTTCATCTCAATTCTCCCCCGTCACTTTTGCCCTTATCTTTCTCTCTACAGGTGCATGTGCCTTTGTCGGATAATTTCGAGATAGCACAAGCTGCCTGGTCGGTGGGGAAGGCCACTCCCTGTAACTTGCAGGGATCGACCCTCTCATTACAAATATACGCTAGGTAATAAGTTGGCGGCTTTTAGGGCCATCAAGCTGGAGCAACAGTCTCTTGCGCTAATGGCGACTGGGGGTGGGAATCCCATAGGAGAGTGTCGATGGCCGGTGTCCTGTACAGCTTGAGCCATTTTCACAGCTACTCATTAGCCAGGGTTTCTGCCATCCATGTAATAGACAGTAAACAGGAAGCCAGCCAGCTTGAAACATAAAATGGATGATGCTCACGATGATGCAAAGCGAACCAGATTTCCGCCGCTGAGTCAGCTCGTAATTTATTTTCGATTCAGAGCGATAAACATCGCCCCGGGATGCTCGCTGAGTTGTTGCGTAGTAATGACAAGAAAAAGCACCTAGGTATGTCGCTACACTAGTCGGAAGCGCGCTGGTCCTCCCGTACAGCTCCTTCACTACTCGAATTTCGGTCGCGCGTCGAAAGAACGTCCAGCTGATCTCGATCGCGTTTTAGAATACCCCAAGCCACCTTGCTGCGATTTATCTTCCTCGCGCACGACACTCGCTGCCCGACTCACTCGCTTTTGGCTTTGGTGGTGACTGAAGACTTGGTGACCGGATCACACCTCTTTAATACACGATTGGTCCTGCCCATTAGGTCGCTACCTACAAACGTTCCTGGGCCTGAACCGCCCAATTCGTCTCATTTGGCTCTGAACGTGGGCACGATCATGCCTCGCGCTTACTTGGTGTGACTACTGAATCGTCTTTCATTTTCCATTCACCCCGCCTGGCCTTTTCTCTCTTCGCCCCTTCGTTCCCCTCGCTGTCAACCTTTCTCTCTACACCCATTGGCGCCGCAGTACTCCCGCAGCTGCTTCAACTTCATTCCCTGTTGCACCTGGTAAATCGACGGCGACCAACATGACCCGACACAGAGTTCACGTCCCACCGTTGGACAGCCCGTCCAAACAGCTTATGCTCGACCTGACTCGAGACCTCGAGCAGGTAAAGCTCTTCAACACCGAGCTCAAAAAGGTCTATGCCTACGAGCGCAAAACCTACTATGAGAACCTCGACCGGATCGACCGCGAGGTCGAGGCCGTACACACCACCGCCCTCGATGAAGTCGCCGCTTTCCATGACCGAATCCGCGAGGAGGCCGAAGCTACCCTGAAAGAACACAACCGCGCAGAGGAGGAAGAGCGCCGCCGCAAGGAAGAAGAGGCTCGGAAAGAACGGGAACGCATCGAACGCGAGAAGGCCGAGAAGGATCGACGAGAGAAGGAAGAAGCTGCACGGCTCGAAGCCGAGCGCAAGGCCAAGGAGCAAGCTAAGAAGAAAGCTGAAGAAGATGCTGAGCGTGCGCGGCGGGCCGTGCAGCAAGAAAAAGAACGCAAGGACCGTGAAGAAAAGGAGCGTGTTGAGGCTGAGAACCGCAAGCAAGAAGAAGAGGTCAAGAAGGCCCAGCAGGCGGCTCAGCAGGCGACAGAGCAACAGGCTCGAGCACAACAGCAGCAGAAGCTTGGTGCTGGTCGCCTCACAGCTCAAGAGGTCAGTGTGCAGGAGCGCTATGTTGCACTTCACCAGACCCTCAAAGAAATGCGGCAGAATTTGCGCAACTTTGGCAAGGAAAACCCTGCCGTTAAGAAAGCAATGGGTGACATGCGGCGTTCAATTAAGAAGTGTGTGGGTCAATTGCGAGACGGCAAGGGAACCAACAAGAAGCAGGTTTGTCTTCTTTAACCCCCTGAATACAAGCATCGAATGGTTATTGACGTGAATGCCAAACAGATCCAAGATATCAAAGTCGAGCTTCAAAAAGCTTCTGCCATCCCTGAGCCAACAGTGGATATCCGCCAGTTCATCGCTTTCCCTCCTCCTGAAATCGCTGCCGAGGAGAACAAGGTCCCTGTCATGCTAATCTATGGACTCAACATTTTCGCCAAATGCCTGGTCTCAGCTCTGATCACCGAGGCATCCATCAACCCGGCCCACGCGGAGCCCATTGGCATCGTCGCCGCACAGATCTTCTCCTTGGATGCATTCATGTACAAGGGAATCCACATGTCCGACATTCTATGGGCCAAATACCGGGTAGTCTGCCCAGCCCTTTGGGGATTCACTGGCAGCGAAAAGACCGAAGCAGGCCGAAAGGCACTGGGCTGGTGGCGCGAAGAAGCCGGCGGTCCATTTATCAGCGAACAAGCTCACTTGGACCGTATGACCGCCCTGGGCGCCGGGTTCTCATCATTGACCCTCCGCAATTTTGGCAAAGCGCAGCGCCGAAATCCTTTCCCCAACACCATCTTCTGGACCTCGATCCAGAAAATCCTCTCCATTTCTCCCGCCGAAATGCAAGATACCCAAGTCACTCTGCTGCAGTCTATGCTTAAATCTTCCGAGGAACGAGTCTTCACATTCTTCGGCCAGTTTGGTCTGGTCATCTTGCGGAAGGCTATTGTCGAGTTACCTGCGGCCCTTCCGCGCAAGACTATGCCCGTGACTCAGTTGAAGTTGCTGCAGGAGACCTACATGCGGAGTAAGAATGTCCTCATCTGAGTGGGGTTTTTGCAATTTTTGCGAATCAAGCTACGGCCAATCTTTGCTGGTTTTTTTAATATCAGGACTCTTGCATTATGAACAACACAGCGTACTGGCTTGATAATAAGCGTGCAGGCATTGACTATGAGAATCGAAGGAATTTGGGCGATGAATCGCATGGCTGGTTCATGTTCATATGAATAGCATTTTTAACATTTATCCAATGATCCAAACAAATCGAATACTTCAAACTATCGACTCTCAACTTTAGTAGCTAGGAAGCAGGTAATCTAACATACTGGATTTCATGTCTTACCAGAGCTGTTGCTCGTGATAATAAGCCTTCGAAAGTGACTTTGAATGACGCTGCGTTTACTTCCAGCCGGTTTTGATTCTTTGACGATTTGAAGCTTGGAGATGACGCTCATCCCATCCAGAAAAGCCAAACTTGTTGATATCTGGCTCTTGAGCACCTCAGGTCATATCTCATTGTGAGGGTATTCACGACAGTCGATGGAGATGGTTCTTGGTCATTCTACTCTGCCCCGATGAGCGGCAGATGTATACATACCGTTCGAGACTAGCGTTCGAGTCATCTTCTGACAGCCCCCACTCCGAATAACCACGTACAAATGCCAAACGTCCTCCTTTCTATATCCTTAATTCATATCGGGTGTCCTCAAGATGTTTCCTAGCTCAAATATTCTTCGCTTACCTTTGAAAGGGGCCCTAAGCCTCCCAACACGGGTCCAGGCCCAACCGCCACTTGCCCATACCGCGGTTCTCCACGGACCACCCAGAAAGTCCAGAACGCCGGGATGTTCCCCAAACATGTTCGCGACTCAATCTGCACTCTTGAACAAGCATACCCGGCCGAAGCCGGATTCGGAAGAGTCCGACGCGGATCCAATGCATACTCCATCCGTGACCCTCGAGTCTCTCGGCATTGGGAAGAATATGAAAATTTTCTTAATTGCTGTTCTCGTTGTGTTTGGTACGATCGAGACTTGGTTCTGGTGTAAGGCTATTTGGATTTGGTGGAAAGGAGGTCGAGAGGATGGCGAAATTGTGAAATAAAGTCTTTGGGATTGGGACGAATTCTGTTTTTGGGTGTTCACTTGTACTATTACACATATATAATCTCCTCTCTTGACTTCTCGGCGAAGAATGGCGCTATTTGAAAAAGTTCGCTCTGTATGACTCTCTAGGTTGACAAGATCATAGGTTTTAGAAAGACGCCAGAAAGGCAATCGTGCAAGGCTAAATTAACCTATGATCGACCCGTCTAGCGCTTCATCATGCCACATATTCCTCGTCACCACTCAACGCGGCAATTGTGATCTCTCACAAGAGGCTACGGCACTTCTATATATTACAATGCTACCACTGGTTGATTTCATACGAGAAAATGCCGACGGCCGGGTTAAGTTGGGCATCGAACAACGCCCGGGTGCTTCAGCCACTCGGAGCCGGATGGATGTAGTATCAGGCAATATGGGACAAACCGGGTCACCGCAGAAGCCCATTTAAGTGCAATTGCAAGACCTGGACAGCCCAGATCAGAGCGAACCACGAATCGGCCATTATGGGAGCTCCTTTTTTGGGCTCAATTTCCTGATCAGGCCAACAGATGGATCGGAGAAGCCGTGGCGGGATACGGGAGAGCGGTGCCATCGCGATCGATGCTCGGTCTAGTCCACATTCTATTGTATCCCAAGGTTGAACAGTATCTGGACAATTGATAGTTGAGGGTGAGTGACATCACGACTGTGTCGGACGTTGGTCGCGAGATCTTGGCGTCAGACCGGATGGCGATTTGGGGCCGTGGTGGTGCTGAAAATGAAACCGGTGGAGAGACTGATGTACCATCCAAAGATCATCGATTGAGTAATGTAAAGCATACGGAGAGGTATGTTCTGGAAGGCAGCAATTAGGTGGGGGAAGATCGAGACCGCTATGTTTCATATACGGGATGGAGAATAGGGGCGGGGACACTATTGGTTGCCCCTTGATCAGGGACCCCAGACCCGCCAGGGTTGGACCCTTTGCGCTGCCCGTGCTGATTGGATGCAATTGGGTTGTTCCATAAGGGTCTGTTTTCGTTTTGGTCTGCAGCGTCGTAAGGGAAAGTCCCAGGAGGCGTAGTTCCTTGGCCCATCGCGGTCTTCCTCTTGTCTTCTCCACTGACGTTTACAACTTCCACTCCTTTTATAGCCCAATTTGTCACTCCTTGTATCTTTCGTTCTTCATTTATTCACATTCTTTCTTCCGAGGTCCGACCTACACTTCATCATGCGTGTTTCTGGCCTCCTGCCTTTCATTCTGGCCACTGCGCCAGCCGTGGTCTCAGCCCGTGGCACGCTGGGTTTCTCCCTGGGTGACAAGAACGCCGATGGCACTTGCAAGTCCACTAGCGACTATGAGGCCGACTTCGACAACTTGAAGGACCTGTCCACCCTCGTCCGCACCTACTCTGGCACAGAGTGTGATACTCCTCAAAACATCCTGCCTGCTGCCAAGAGCAAGGGCTTCAAGGTTGTCCTTGGTATCTGGTAAGAAACCCGTCAATCGCGAGGGTAAATATAGATCGCTGGACTCGGCTAACCCGCTTTTCCCTCCTAGGGTCGGCTCCCAGGATAAGAGTGATATGAGCACCAACGATCCCTCATTCACCAAGGACTTTGCGGCTCTGAAGGCGACCGTTCCTGGCCATGAGGACGTCATCGAGGCCATCACCGTCGGTTCTGAGACCCTTTACCGTGGTGACTTAACCGGCCCCCAGCTCCACAACTACATTAGCGCTGTGCAGAAGCAGTTCCCTAGCACCACCGTCGGTACCGCCGACAGCTGGAACAAGTTCGCTGACGGCACTGCTGACGACTTGTTCACCACCGATACCGAAGCCAACCCCATGGTCACCTACGTTCTGGCTAACGCCTTTGCCTACTGGCAGGGCACCCCTGCCGACAAGGCCTACAAGACCTACTTCGACGACATGTCCGGTGCCATTTCTCACATCCAGAAGATTGCCGGTTCCAACGCGGACAAAATCAAGGTTGTTAACGGCGAGACTGGCTGGCCGACTGGTGAGTTCAATTGCCCACCCGATTGAAAGATTATATACTAACAGCATTCCAGACGGCGGCTCTGACTACGAGGCTGCCAAGGCCGGCACCCAGAATGCGGAGAAGTCCTGGAAGACCGGCGTCTGCGGTATGCTCGCGTGGGGCGTGGACCTGTTCTACTTCGAGGCCTACGACGAATCGTGGAAGCCCAACAGTGTTGGCGACAACGGCCAGGCCATGAATGAGAAGCACTGGGGTCTGTACACCGCTGACCGCAAGTCCAAGTTCGACACCTCCTGCCCTAACTAAGCCCGTGACCGGTGGGGTCTGGTAGATCCGTTTCGATTGTATTTTGTTTTAAACTAGTTTGGATCTCGTGGATCGCGCATAGACGAGTTTGGGTCACCGATCTGAAATCTAATGAAAATATGGATGTTTGTTTGTGCAATGGCCGTATAGCAATTCTGGATCCTTGAATGTGTCCCGTATATTTACCGTGCTGGGCTATGCCCTACCTTGCTAAACAGGGTAGACCTGGTCGACGGAGTAATGTGACTTGTTAGTATACAGTACAGTACAGATGTGTCCATCGACGTGTCGGGACCTTCAATTGAACGAGAGCTCGACACGTCGACCCGCGGGATTATGTCATCATGACGGGGGTACGGTAATTACGGGCGCAACCACGGTTCGTCTACCCCTGAATCCAACCAAACTCGACTTCACGAACCACACGAGCTTGTTTACTTCTATGTACATAGAAAAATGTGAAATAACGTTGAGATGATCGAGAATGAGATACATGTACATGTACACCTGCAGCTGAGACTGAGCAAGGAGAGTAGAGACAGAGAGATGAACCCGCTACGGTGGCGGTCAGAAGCCAATGCCCGGGGTACCTGCGCAGGCAAGGGCACACAGTTGGGATCCATCGGTGCCTACCGCTAGCTACATGTGGGCATCTCGGGGCACTAACGGCCTCGGGAAGAAAGTTGGGAAATTGGGGTTAGTTCATAGGTGTACCTGTACACTAGTTCCACAGCACCACTCCATACTCGAGAAGGTACCCGGTACACAGCACCGTGACGTGACATAACCTGCACTTTTTCCTCCCCTTTCCGCCCTCCCCCGTGTCCTTGCGTGTACGTGATGCTTCTGGCGTCTTTGTGATATCTCGTTTTTCCACTTTGGTCCTTGGCGGAGGAACTCGAGCGATTCGACTCAGAAAGAGAGACAGCCTGTACGCCCCCCTGATTCCAGGTTGTCTGGACATTTGCAATTCCGGTTGGATTTCCATGCGTCAACATTCTGGACGATAAGCGGAGCGGCAAGCAAGTGCTTGCTGCAGGAGTCGACACGGAAGGTGAGCTTGATTGAAATTGGTCTTTTCTTTTTGTACACGGGGTGTTGCGGTTTCGAGTTGTTGGAATTGAGTTGCTCCTTTTCGATCTACTTCCTTTCCGCGCCCACGCGCATTCCTCACCCCCTTCGATCTGATACCCCTCCAAAGAAAAGGCAAAAACCCGCGATTTCCTCTCATGGCTGACATCCCGGGTCGGACGGATTTGCAGATCTAGATCCCTCCGTCTCTTCGGCCAGTTCGGCGTCTTCTCCACCGTTTCACCCGAAAGACGCGCGCATCCTACGTGACGAATCGCGTCTGGCCCCGTCCTTGCTCTTGTCCTCTCCACCGTCAGGAGACTCGAGTCCGTCGGACGCTGGTTCTCCCTCCCAGCAACACTCCCCGCGGAGTATCAACCTCGAGCCCCCGCCGTTGCCATTTCTCTCGGCCCACCGAACCGGAGAATCCCTGATTTCGTCACCGGACAATAAGAGGGCCGATAGCAGTGTCTACTACACTACTGCCTGGGGGTCTCCGTATGCGGCACCCAGCACCCGTCGATTGTCTTTGACTCTAAGCCAATACGCCGGCGGAGATCGCGAATCGGGTGAAAGCTCGCCTGCAAGTGTCGCCAACAACACCGAGTTCCGACGATCCAGCGTTACAATCAACGAGGATCTTGTTGGTAGTCAAGAAGGCAGATCGATTCGAGACTTCACCGAGGATTGGATCAATCAGTACCTGACCGGTCAACCACGCACCGAGCGCAGCAACTGGTTGAGCGACGACTCCGGAAGCGAGGCACCGTCGTTTTTCACTGCCCAGAACCAGCTTGCGGACGACTTGTCTGACGACTGGCTTGGTCTGGAAGACAATATCCGCGACAGCGACCTTCTCAAAACACCGACGCTCTCCGACTTTGTGGGTCGAAGAGCCGCTGCTCGCGCAAAGGGAAAGAAGAACTTGCATAAGCGCGCGGATACTCTGCGCCAGGAGGATTTTTGGGGTTTCGCATACGACAAGGAGCCTTCCAAGAACATCATGTCGGATACCAAGGAGTCACAGCCTCCCGCCGAGATGACATCTCCGGTCGAAAAGCCTCTACCGCCACCGCCGTCAACTACCGCAGACGAAAATGTACAGGTGGATGATACACAGAAGTCCGATGTTCTTCAAAGGCAGGCCTCTGATCTCAACCGATCGGCCACTCAGACCCCGAGGCGGAGAAAGAAGTTGGTTTGGCGTGGGAAGGCGTGTATTATTGAATTGCCCGTGGATGACAAACGAGGAACGGAGGAATCCGGTTACCATCTTTTGGGCCGTGAAGATGTTGAGGCACGGATGAAGAATTGGGAGAATGAAGGCTACGATATTCGCGGATTTACCGTTGGCGAAACAGATGGTTTGTCCGGGCCCACTGAACTGGGTGGTTTAAGCCGACCCTTGTATCCCGATCCGTACGAGGTCTATGAAGAAACAAAGGGCCAAAAGGTTCACATTTCCTTCCCGGATAGAGCCGTTTGGGACTCCTATGTCGCCAACTTGCAAGAGGAGAAGCTGCGAGCCCTGGGTGTGTTTTTTGGTGACGACGAGCCTCAACCTTCACCTTCCCCAGCATCGGCATCCATCAACCCATCCCAGACGCCATTCCCCGGTCTGGTGGCATCTCCGCCGATTCACACTGCATCTGCAGGAAGCAACCCGCTCGCCCAAATGCATGCATTCTCACCGCATTTTGGTCAGTCAGCTGGTACGGCAAGTGGTGGCATTGGGTCTCTGGCATCGCCCGCTCCGCAATTCGGTGTCCAGAGTCCATTCATGGGCATGGAGCAGAACTTTATGAATGGCTATCCATTCCAGTTTCAGCCCACGCCTCCTGCACAGGGTACCATGACCCCACAGAGTCTGAGCAACCTTCGCCAGGCTAATTCGTCGATTGGCCCTGGGGCACTTCACAACTTCAACTCGATGCTGTCTCCTGTATCCCCGATGCATGAACAGGGTTATGCCGATTTCGAGAAGGCTGGGTTTGACGGCGGCTTTGGACATGTTGGTCACGATGGTCCTCCGTTCCCAACTCCTCGCACTCCTGTCAACGATCCTGGTCACTTCCACGCAAATGTTGAGATCGCTCACCCTACTCCTCGTGGCCATGGCCACAACCTAAGCGAGACTCTCCAGAGAGGTGTGGAGCAGATGACACATCGCGATTATGGTCTGCCAGATCATGTCGAACACCACAGAGCTCTGGACCAGATGACACATTCCAACTATCTGCCAGATCAGGTCGAGCACCACTTGGAAGATGATCAGGATGCTTCCCACCATAGAATGGACCCCGAATCGATTGAGACCCGATGGGCTCTGTATCAGCAGCAGAACGATCCTCACCAGATGGCTCAGAACGCACCTCGTCAACCCTCGTTCTCGCAACATCCACAACAATTCTACGACGAACGATTTGGACACCAGAACGTGAATGACGTGTCCGACGTCGACACAAACCCTAGTCTTGCCGGAACACCACATACTCGAGGTGCCATGCCGGATCAACGCGCGTGGCATGAATCGATGCCAAGTTCTGGTTCCTACCGGGGTCACCAGTCCAAGCTTTCTGTTTCCTCCCTCAATGTGCAGGCTAAGGAGTTTGACCCGACTGCGTCCTTCGGATCTCAGGCTGCACAGTTCGGCGGAAACGGATTCCAATTTGGTGGAATGGGCCAACAAGGATTCGGCTTCGCACCAGCTGCCCAGGCCTTTACTCCTTCCGCAAGCATGAATGGCCCGATGGACAATACTCTCAACCAGAGCACCAGCAGCTTCAAGTTCTCCTCGGCATCCTTCAATGTCGAAGCCCCCGTCTTCAACCCATCTACCAGTCTCAACTCGAATGCCAGCTCCGAACAACCTTCAATTAACCGAACCAAGATCTTCGGTGACATCGATCTCACCGAAATATCCAAGCCCCCCAAACAAAACAAGGCAATCCCGATTGTACGGCCAGATGATGCCGAGACAACCAAAGAGGAAGACAAGGAAACAGTCCTCCACGATGATGCGAATGGTCGACCTGTTCCCACGGATCGTCACAAGCGTGCTCGTCGTGGCATTGGCCACGCTGAGGGCGAGGCTCGGTACAGCATCTCAACCCATCCCCTGGGAGACGCTGGAAATGCCCAGGCGTCCAGCAATCTCCAACCCGTCGCCGAGGGCAAGGAGAATGCCTTGCCTGAAGATGGCAGCACTGTGGAGCGCAAGAGCACTCCTATGAGCGAAGCTGATACGTGGACTCTCTTCGATTACAGGAACAGATCCAATGCCGGATCGCCTGTCTCGGCTGAACAAATTCATGAGGCCGAAGGGGAGCGTGTCCTGGAGGAACCTGCCCAGGATACTGCTCCTCAAGATGGCTCGAAGCATATTGCCCAAGAATCAAAGAGCTCCTTGAAGAGCACCATGCTCTCGCCCACCGCCCCGCCGTTCGAGTTCAAGCCTGCCGTTCCGGCATTCGTTCCAACTAGCGTGGAGCCATCCAGCTTTGCTAACAAGCAGCCTGATCCGGAGCCAGTCAAGATCCAGCCCGTAGAAGAGGAGCCAGTCGGGCAGAAACCTGCCGAAAAGAAATCAGGCGGACTCATGGCCTCTCGCTTTGCTACGGATAGCCCGCCCAAGCCGCAGCCAGTTGCACCTCAACAGAACAGAGGATGGGACCCCGAGTCTGGTAATGAGTCACCAGACGCTGACGAGCTCAATGCCATCATGGATCAACTTAATGATGACTCTGACATTGGCATTCAGAGACAGCATACTCCTCTTCCACCCAAGCAGGTCACAGAGTCTGTTGGTGGCCCTACCAAGGAGCAGCGCTTCGGCTCTGCAGAGGGCAGAAGCGAAGCCCCCAGTCCCAGCCCTGGCGCTCAGAAGACGTACAAACTAAACATTCCCAACCTCGGCTCGGGCTTCGACGTCAACCGCGATGCCACCCCCTCTCCCAAGAGGGGCTTCATCCCTGCTCAGGAAGGCATTATCTCTGGACATCAGTCTTGGATTCACCGCGACCAGTTTTCGACTCACAAGCGCGACCAATCCATGCCCACGGATGAAGGAAATATCAGCCAATGGGATGATGACTTTGTCGCTCCTGGCGAAGGGGAGGACTTCATTACCCGAAGAACCTTTTTCGACCGCCGCATCCATGATATTATCGGGTCCGCTGTCGATGACAGGTTCGTTCCTTTGGAGCGTGCTCTGGCTGGTATCCAGGCATCCATGGCATCCATTGCTACCGGTACTGCAAGCAGGAGGCTGCTTCGTAGCACGTCTGCTGAAATGGAGGATAGCGATGCTGATGATGAGGACGACGGCGAGCACGAGGAGAAGTCTGTTAGAGCTCGCTCGCCTCAACATATGCGCGACCGCAAGTTAGAGATGTTGAAGAGTGTCGTCATGGAAGCTTTGGTTACACATGATTTGCCTCATCGCTCGACACAATACTCCAGCCATGGTGAGATGGCTCAGCTCAAGGAGAGCATTGCTGAACTGCAGGCTCTCACTATCAAGAAACTTGCTCAAGACCCCGTTGGTGATATGCGTGAGATCCTGGAAGAGACTCTCGCCAGGCAATTGGCCCAGCAGACCCCTCGCTTGACGGAAGCCGAGGAAATTGGTGCCGATAGTCTGATGCTCCAGATTGACGGACTCAAGAGTATGTTGCGACTGGCTGACGAGCGTGCCGAGCAAGAATACAAGACTCGCCGGGATGCTCAAGACTCCATAACCGAACTTCAGCATCTGTTGAAGGCCGCTGAAGAAGATGCCGCTCGGCACAGCGCTGCTGCTGAGGATGCGGAGGCTCGCCTTTTGCAGTTCAAGGAAGAGAAGATCCCCCATTTGGAGAAAATGCAGTTCCGCAGCGAGTCTCTAGCCGAAGAGAGCGAGACCCTCAAGGTTACCATTGCAGAACTATCCTCGAAGAACATTGCTCTCGAGGGTACCCTAGACGAGTACCGCGTTTCTAGCGACCACTTCCGTCGCCAACTGGAAACTACCAAGGACGAGAACAAATCTTTGCATGAGACTGTTGACCACCTGAGGACTCGCATTGAGGACAACATGGTGGCCCGGCAAAATCTCACTGAGAAATTCGATCGCCTTCAGTCGGATATGATTACTCTAACATCTGATGTCACTCGCGAACAGGCCTCGTGGCGCAAGAAGGAGGAGGAGCAGACTGCCAAACATAACGAGCTGCGTGCCTCTCACGCTCGTGAAGTTAAGCTGCGCGAGCAGCTTGAGCAGGAAGTCGGCGAATTGGCGAAGCAAGAACGGGAGACTGCCAAGTTGAAGTTCGTTCATGAGCAATCCCTACAGGAGAACGCTAGGCTGGAAGAGGTCATCGCCAACCTTCGCGCGGAGAACCACGAGCTGCAGCTCAAGTCAGCTCGCTTCGAGCGGGAGTTCAATGAAGCTCGCGAGAGCAGCCGTATGGAAATCCAGCGCACTCGTACCTCCATGGAAGCCGACTTGGAAGCTTCCAACGTCCAGGTCAACATTGTGCGCGCCGAGCTGGAGGCTCAGGTCATTCGCCTCCAGGCCCAGTTGGACAACGTTCAAATGGATGCTGATACTTCCCGGGAGCGCTACGAAATGCTCCTGGAGGAGGCCAGGGAATCCAAGATGACTGCCTTGGCTACAGCCAAGGAGTCTCGCGAGATTGCACTTGAAGATCAACGCAAGACACACGAGCGGGTCCTTAACGACCTCCGCGAGCGTCACGCTCGTGCCCTGCATAACTCTTCGGAAGATCGCCAGCGTGCAGACGTACACATGGAGGATCGCATGGCTCTTGCGGATGAGAAGGCCAAGCACTTGCAAGAACGTGTAGAGCACCTCGAGGAGAGACTCCAAATTGCGCAGTCTGCTGCCCGTGCTGCTGTTGAGGCGGCCCAGAAGGGTAGTGCCTTACCAATGCCTGCCCATGTACCCGCACACTCGAGCTCGCCCTCTATGTCCTTCAGCAAGGGCTCCCAGGAGCCCGAGAAGATCTCCCCGCAGGCCCTGCGCGAATCCATCTTCGTCCTCCAAGACCAGCTTCAGCAGCGCGAGACCCGTATTGAGGAGCTCGAGCAAGAGGTTTCGTCTGTGGACAAGGAGGCTCCAAACAAGATCAAGGAGAGAGACACCGAGATCACTTGGCTCCGTGAGCTTCTCGGCGTTCGCATCGATGATCTGCAGGATATCATCAAGACTCTCTCACAGCCTTCTTTCAACCAACACGCTGTCCGTGATGCGGCTATCCGTCTGAAGGCCAATCTGCAGATGCAACAACAGGAGCGTGAGCGCGCTGCGTCTGGTCAGGGCCTCCAGCTGCCGTCTATCTCTGACATCGCCGCTTCTCCACGCGCTCTTCCTCTAGCTGCAGCTGCAGCCTGGGGCAACTGGCGCAAGAGCAGAGAGAACTCGAGTGGGGGGACAAGCTCGGCAGAGCAGACACCTTCCAAGTCCAACAACGCCAGCACCTTCTTGTCGGGACTTCTGACTCCCCCGACCTCCCACGTCCGACCAAACCCTGCCCAACCCGGTGCTTCGGGCCGTCCTTATTCTGAAAGCCGGCCCCTGAGAGGATTCAACTCAACTCCTCGACGAGGTTCTGTCCGCCAGGAAGCTCTCATCACTGAGCCGCCCAAGACCCCTCCGCTCCTCCGCCGCTCGAGCTATGACCATGATGCCGAGCCGACAAATTACGAGGAAACCAGCTTGGTCGCAGACGACACCGATGACATCGGAAGCACCGCCGACGGAATGGTGTCTGCTTCACCTAGAGACCCCAACGAAGGCCCATTTGGCCCTCAAATCTCTGCCGTCGCTGAGGAGTAACCTTGGATTTGATTTCAATTTTTTCTTAGACTGTCTTACCCCAAAAATTACGCTCTGCTTTCCTCTCGAGAATGACACCTCTCCCCGTCTGTGTTATCTTGTGTTCCATGCTACTGCTTACAGCGCTTGTCACTATCACCTACCTTTTTCTTGCCACTCTTTTACCCATACATAGTACATTTCTTACACTCAGATCTGTGAAATTTCTTTTTTTTTGATGTCCTTTCGGATTTGATACCACCCCGCCCTGTGCTGATTTTATGTCTGGCATTCTTTTTGACTCCTTAACCCTTGTACATTGATCCCACCCTATACCTTCATGTCCTATCGTTTTACCTAGAAATTAATACTTGAACACTCTTTTTCAATTTCTTTTCTTCTCAATTGTCTTATACTATATATACTTTCCCGTCTTTGTTGCCGCTTAGCGCTCTTGGAAGAGCTGCTTGCCAACCTTTGAACCTTCGAAAGTTCGTTATCTACAGCTTATTTGCAAATTTAACGTCCCAGCTGCCCATCTGATTAATTGATCTATCAACTTTTGAAGTTTTTGGGGCTTTTGTTACATCGGAATTTGAATAGAAATGCTCCGAGATGATTTCCAAAGTTGGCAGTGGATTTCGTGGAATACTGCTGACCAGCACGAACGTGGCCGGGCATATGTTATCAACAAAAGCTCCAGAAAATCCAACCAGATGTACGTACCTAGACCCATTAGAATCTTCTATCCTCAAAACACCAAGTAATTCGAAGTTTTTAGCTCCAGATACTCTTCTTTATTTCAATATGATCAATGCCAGCTATTATGCAGTTGTCCCTCCGAGGCCATCCACTGGCTGTTTACGCAGGTGGTCCGAGCGTCTCCACTTGACACCTTGCGCGTTGACGGTTTCAACGCAGACCGGACTCCCCTCCTCATCAACCACTCTCCTCTACCCGCCAATTCGAACGAACCCCCAGCAGGAGCCTGGAATCGATCAAAAATGCGCTTCTCCACCTCTACCCTCCTCGTCAGCGCGCTGGGGTGGATCTCCGCCGCGACCGCACACACCATCCAGCTCAAGGCTCACTCCCGCGAATGCTTCCACGAGATCCTGCACAAGGATGACCTGATGACCGTGACCTTCCAAGTCGGTGATCGGGAGTTCGGAGGAAGCGGAAACCTCGACATTGACTTCTGGGTATGTCTACCGCGCTTCTCTGCGCGTCCCCTGACACCGAGGGTTGGAATCGGGGATTGGTCCCGAGAGGCGAATGGATATCGCGCAATCGAATCAATGGGGTTATCTGGTGATTCGGGATTGCTAACATATGATTTCCAGGTCGAGGACCCATTGAAGAACCGCCAGTACTACAAGCAGGCCATCTCCAACGAAGACTACTCGTTCACCGCACATGTCGACGGCAAGTACGGATACTGCTTCAGCAACGAGGGATGGACCTCGAACTCAAAGGAGGTCTCTTTCAACGTCCACGGCATTGTCTACGTGCCCGAGTCCGAGATGTCGCAGGATCCGCTGGAGGCTGAAGGTAAGATTGGGAATCGCCACGGAGATTCAAGCGCAGTGGGCTGATCTGGTCATCTGGAATTTCTAGTCCGCAAACTTTCCGACGCCCTTGCTCAGGTCAAGGACGAGCAGGGATACATCGTGGTCCGAGAGCGCGTGCACCGGAATACAGCGGAGAGCACCAATGGCAGGGTCAAGTGGTGGAGTATCTGCCAGCTGGCTGTGGTTATTGGCGAGGGCGTTTTCCAAGTGTGGTGGCTGAAGAGATTCTTCGAGGTAAGTTTGGGGATTGCACTGCTGTACAAGACGGGAGACTAATTCGAGGTGTGATTTCTAGGTCAAGCGCGTCGTTTAAGCCTCTCTCCCTTCTACCATTTCCCAAAGATATACAAAATGGGTTGCCGACTGCATATCAGGTTTCAGGTCTTGTGGGACTTGGGAATTACGGCTATGATCTCGGGAGACACTACATTTTCTACGGCATTTTCTCATGTTTTTCACGCCATGGTGTCATGCAAACATCCTTTGATAGCTTAATATACCTGTACTACCAGCGAGATGCGGATGACCCCAGCAGATGGACGTAGTCAGTGTTTACCTGGGTACTTGTGGTACTTGTGTCGGGCGACAGGGGCTTGTTCTCTGAAGTAGGCCCGAAACGCAAAGGAACCTTGGACGTCCATCTGCGTCCTTTCTGTGGCCACCCATCTTAGCGGCTTCTAGACCAACCGACTTAACCCAATTTATTTCATGGCACCTAGCCAGGTTGCCAGGGTTCTCCCAAATCCCTCTTGAAGACACCACCTTCCCCTCGTTTCCTTTCTATACCTTCCCCAGCCCCGCACAACATCTCAGGAACCGTTTCCCCCCACGTACTTTAGAGCCCGTTCCCGCTCTGCAAGGGCACCGGCGTTGATATTTAATCGTCCGAAGACACACATTTTCGTCTCCCGAGCACTCTTTACGTGAGACCGGGCAAACAGGCATCGACATGACTCTCAGCAACCCTCCAGGGAACCATAGCAACAGCCCACTGAGCGTCCTAGATGGAAGCGACCCGCTCTTTCAAATCTGCTGGCGCCGACAGACGTGCTCATCCTGTCTGACGGGTGACGTTCCCTGCAGTTGGTGCGCGATTGTAGGTGACGCCCTTCATATTCGATCTGCACACTCTTTTAGTTGCTGGGATCGAAGAACCCTAACAGTCTTCTTCTCTGTGTTTTCTATCCCCCCTCTCTTTTGTCTTGCACACACTGCATTCTCCCTCGGCAGTGTTTCGCATCCCCATCCCTTTCATACCTATCGTGTTTCAACCCTCCCCCTCGCAACTTCTCCGCACTACGCGATTTGTCCATGAGTCGCACGAGATCGTCAAACTATTGCGTGGTTTCTCCTGTGCCACTGCTTAGCTGACCTTACCGATCTAGTCTTCCACCTGTGTTCCAAATACATCTCATCTCCCCATCTTGGCCCCACTCCGCTCATCCCAGATTTGCCCACTCGGTGCTCAGGAACGATGGGAGATGAGGGCGCTGCCTTTTGGGTGCAACGTTAGTATTACGACCTTCTTGAGTATTCTAATTGCCGTATTGAGTACGTTCGCTTTGGTTGGGGTTGTGTATGTGGTTGTCGGGGTTGTCAAACGGGTGCGCGGCAGGTGGAAGGAGGGGCACTACGAGCGTTTAGAGGATCAGGAACGACAGTCCTCGTGGCGTGGATGCTTGGGGCTTGGGACAGTGGTGTCTTTATTGGCTAGTTTCTTCGGACAGAGTCGAGGGCCGACCCAGGGACAGAGTCAAGATTCTGTGGAAGATGGCCATGACGATACAGAATCCAGACCTTTGCTAGAGTAAATCGAAACGTGTATGAACGAAAATACCTTTTGTTATCACGAACAGTTCAAGCGTAGAGATCAGGCCGAGACGGACGCACTCATGTCCCGGATCATGCCGGTCAGGTCACTGACAGTCTGCTTCCCTCGTGGAACAGAATGACCAAGCATGGACCTCCGTTGAAGAACTGGACTCCGCATCACCGATTTTCATGTATGGGTTGGACTCGCTAGTGGCGATTGAGATCCGAAACTAGATTACACGTGAGTTGGAAGCGAATTTGCAGATTCTGGAGATTCTCACGTGTGACTCTGTGCCGGCGCTTTCTGAGCTTATTCTGCGCAAGTCGGGTATTCTTACTCCGGGGGTTGAAGACGGAGTGGGGCCTCGATGTTGAAGCGCGCGCTGGCCAAGAGTGATCGTTGAATAGTGGTGACACTCGTTCGTTGTGCTCTTAAGACTTTTTGATTTTCCTTTTTCTGAATTTGGTTCTGATAGCATAAAGATTGAACCTTTTCTAGTTCAATCGTCCCTGGTAGTACCCTCTCGGGAACTAATATTTGCAACGGATTGCACACACTCATTAACAAATCCATGTAATTGCGAATCGATTAGGGGGTACTATCCTGGGAACTATCACTTGTTCATCGACCCGCACCTCTACGGATAGACAAGATGATAGATTAAACCCCCTTGAGGACTATTCATTATGTAGACATCTATTAACATAGTGATAAACAGCTAGAAGTTCCCGAAGGTGCCCTCCAATGCACACATCGCTCGTAGTAGCTCGCAGTTTAAAAAAATGACCATCATCGCGATGGAAGCTCAGCAGGAAGCGGTCGATATTCAGTTGGGAGTTCAGAGGGTTTATCTGACCCAGGAGGAGACTGGAAGGGCGAGCGACCTTGATTACCTTGGAAATGTGCAGGAACAACGTGACTGTCGCTGTAGAAGCCAACATTCTGCTGGTCGGATCCCGGTGAAAGTGGTTTCTCCTGGTTCTTCGACGCTTTTGCTCGGTTCCGGAAGACAAGCCGTATCAAGACTGCAATTAGCGCCACGCCACAGACGCCGCCGACGACACCACCGGCGATTGCCCCAGTATTTGTAGAGCCTGCCCTCGATCCAGATGATGCGGCTGTGGTCGGGGTCGGGGTCGAAGTCGAGGATGGGTCCGAAGTCGAAGTCGAAGTCGAGGTCGAGGTCAAGATCGAGGTAGATGAGGTGGTAGTTGTCGTTGATGCTTGCGAGATTGTTGAGGTTGGTGACGCGGTTGGAGTGACTGGAGTCATTCCGTTAGGATCAATCCTTGCTTGTGAATAGAGGGACCTACCTGTGCCTGGAACTCGTATCGTCAACGAGTTCATATCAGCACTGTCAAATTTTGCCTTTGTCGAGCACCCGAAAAAGCCCTTCGAGTCGTTTAATAGACTGGTGAAGCCGATTTTCCCCTCTTCGCAGCAGAAATAGTAATTGTCTTCCACATAGAGATCCCAAGTGCTGTTCGCGCACTGACTTAAGGTCGATTCAGCGCCGGATTGGAAACACACTGCGTTGTATTGGCCCTGTGGACAGTATGTGTTTGGTGGACAGCATGTTTGCCAGTCACCCCAGGTTCCTCCTCCTGAGTATGACGGAGCCGGGCAACCATCATCGGTCCGAATGGGGTATCCCTGGGGCATTGTGCGGTGGAGGCAGAAAAGAGGTATGCAAAAGGAATCGCGGCCGAAGATAGCCAAATAAAAGAGTGATGAAGAAGAGATACTTAGGAGCCTAGAGTCGACAGACGTCTGGGGGCAGGAGATTAAGGCCCCCACTAACTTCTAGGATGTGACAGTAACAGCTGCCAAGGGTAAGCTAGGGGTATTTGGGTTGGAGCACGAGGCCGGAGATAGAACTATTCATGGAGCGTGCCCAGCCTCGTGTCAGGAAATCGACAAAGTCCGCTTCTGTCCAATGGGATACAAGGCCGGGGTGCACGTCCCTAAATAATAGAGAGAATGCACATCAGAAACGGCCCGAAAAGGGCCTGTTCAGGAAAAGTGGATCTATCGTGTGCCCCGAACGAGAGTGGGCCAAGGCAGCCTACTGTACAGTAGGTAGACTGCCCAGGTGATACCGAGCAGGATTGACAGTGTGTAGATCACGAACGTTGAGACATAGACCCCGTTTTTCCCAATGATTCAAATGCTCAGCCCCAAGGGCTCTCACGGACACGGAGGCAGATCTACGACCGATTCGACAATTTGCACTTTCCTAGTTTCATTTTGTGGGCGTTATTGGGTTCAGGGTCTCCAGAGTGGGTCGGACCCTGCTTGGCCTCGTGCCGATCAACACGGCCCGGAAGAGGCTGCAAACATGTTTGCTCTCTTTGTTCTTGCTCGCGTGATAGGGCGTGGATTGTCTATCTTTAGACTATGTACACAAAAAAATATATAAGGCGCGGATATCCATTCAAGAGCCAGAAGGGCGAGGAGACTTGTGGTTACCTCCATCTTTGGCAAGGCACTCACTCCACTTCAGAGATCTCATCTCTTCTTGTACCCGGAAGGCCTAACTTGACATGGCCATTCCAATTATCTGAAGAGAGATTAGACCGGATACTCATAGAAAAACGGGCGTTACTCACAATCCATTACACAAAACACGACCGATCTACCTTGCACCGATTAAATGAAATTCGCAGGGCTAGTCCGCTGGGTGCAGTCGAATGGCTCATCAATGAACCAGGTATTGTGCTGCGAGTCGTACACGATGGGATACTTGGTGTTGGGATCGCAAAGCTCATCAATCTGGGACCCATTTCCAGAGCTGATGGTGAACCAGTACTTGTTGGTATCGTGGCTAATGTTCACGCACTTATAGAAGTAGCCAATGGCCCCGTCACCGAGCACATCGCTGCGGAAGTTGACGGCAATCTTCTTGTTGAGGTTGATATTCTCGCAGTCCTCGTGCAGGCCCTGCACGCTGGCCGTGGTGGCATCCTTGGAAGTATATCCCTTTGCCGTGTGCGTTCCGTTCGCCGACCAGGTGTACATTGGCAACGACACTGTTTCGGCGATCTGCTGGAGCAAGAAGCTGTTTGGTACTGTCATTGTCGCGGAGCATTCGGTTGCAGCGACAAGGAGACTGGCAGCTCCCAATAGAATTCGACGCGGGGAAAAGATTGAAGGGGCCATTATATGGGTGAGTCCGAATCGTTCGCGGTATGAAGAGAATATTTCAACTAAATCCTGGGGATCTCTGGCAGCTTTATATGTTCCCCAAACAACACAATTTCTCCAGATCCACAAACCCAGTATCCTGAACTTACCCAATTGAGGCAGTTTGCCAGCCGTCTCGGTCCGGAAAGGGGTGTCCTACGCGCGCTTATGGACCCTCAAAATGGACTTGGGGCCAACAACCTTGGAATATGATTGGAGGTCACTGAGAAAAGGCGCATGGACTTTCTGTCTGTGGAGTACCTTTTCCACGCTTCCCCAGATTTTGACCAAGCACGTTGCCACAAGGTTCTGTTCTATAAGTTAGGATCCCCATTCTTACTGCCTCCGCCTATCCCGGCAAACTATTAGAGACGTGCCGGACGTGTTCTTCTGTACTTGATCCTGCTATTTCTACTCCATGTCTCTGGCTCTTTGACTCAATATGCCTCCTATACGGTCAGTGGGGGCTCCCGTGGGACCCCCTCGCCGCCCGAAATGCAGTTAGACGTACACTTGCGTACAAAACTAGTTGAGCCGCGAACTGTCGCCGCTTGGACGTATCAAGAGATGTATCGCCAGTACCTGGGTGTTCCTGTTCCTATGATTAAATTGAGAGTCCCCCGCGCGGAGAAGAGAGTGTCCGCTCAGGGACGCTTTGACCGGAAATGAAAAAGAACCACTGAGTTCTACAAACAACGCACAAGCCTTCCTAGTTCTTGTGTCGAGACCCCAAAGAAACTTTCAGGCACATGCGATCTAACTATAACTCTGTATAACCTCGTTATGCGGGTGCATAATACACTGGATTCTTAAATCGGTAGACCCCCGCAGTTAAGTACCATAGTGCACGCACCGACAAACCTCGACCATGTCCACTGTGCTCATCCGGACGCCGACCTGATAGAACACCAAGCCCTGTTCTTAAGCGAGATAGCAAAAGTGTAAGGCTAGGCTGTCTTCGAACTTTAATTCTGTAGTCCATGCTCCTGTGATGGCAACATCCCATACATTGTGACAAGCCACAAGGGTAAACTCGTATACGACAATGACTCGAGTATCACATATCTGAGCAGCGAGAACACCTCAAACCGAATAGTGTAAGATATACCAAGTCCATGGAACCACATAGCTCGCTGTTAGCTTCCGTCGTAGGTTTTCCACAAACTTAATCGCCACCACTTGCTTTCTTTGGGCTTCATTATCAGGGTCATCTCAGGGGAAAACGCCACGGCGCTTTGACAATAGCATACTTGACGTCGGAAGATTGCTAGTACTACATGTTTGAGCGATCTAAAATAAGAAATCGATTATCGGATTGCGTGGCGACAATTCCCGCCCGGCACAGCACAGCCGCCGTACCGGAGACCGAGATATCGAAAGATTCAACGGCAACAAATTATGGCCTGTACCATCATCATGTTCGTAGCTGAACGAGATTAGCTTCCACAAACCCGGGGAACACTAAGCCATCTAACTACACGAAGCCTGTTATCCGGGGTTCGCGTGGCCCAGCCTTGGCGATGAGCGCGGAGACCTCCGATGAACCTAATTTGCCTCTCTGAAGTTTAACTGGTCAAGTGACGGCATTCCATATAACTGCCCCCTCCTGGAGATCTCCGATAAATGGTTCTCCTCCTTCTCCTCGATAATAACGGATTGAGATATGTGCTTCGGTTTATAACCGTTCGGTTGATGAGCTGAGAACTCAGATGCTCGCGGCTCTACACGCTTGTGTCGGCCGACCAGGTCTGTGATTTGCTATGTCTCTTTCAACGAGAGATTCAACTTACGATGCCGGTCCGTCAATACTCAGAGATGTTTGGGGCCTTACGGGGGTTGCCATTGTGATTGTGATTCTGAGGATCTTCGCAAAAGCGAGGATTGGAAAGTTCGGTGCGGATGATCTGCTCATGGCTTTCGCATTGGTTAGCAAGCCTTTTATCCTCTTCTTCCAAATTTTGGACGTTGTGAAACATTATCAGTCGTGTCTCACGTTTACTGAGAATTAACACTGTCTCCAGTGTACGGCTATTGTCGGCTCGATTATGATCACCCTGGCCGTTCACTATGGATTTGGTCAGGAGGTGTCGACTCTTCGTGATATCGACGTGTCGAAGGTCATCTTGCATGACTATCTGGCTCAGACATTTGGTCTTGCCGGCGGTGCTATAGGTCGGGTGTCCTTCGTTGTCTTCATCATCGGACTGCTTGTGCAAAAGTCATCCCAGAGAATCGTATTGTGGGTCTTGATCAGTCTGCAGGTGGCTGTCAATTTGCTGTTCATCATCATTATTTTTGTCCAATGCCCAGGCCACGAATCGGCGATATGGGATGATACTGGCAAAAAGAAATGCTGGGACTTGCATGTGCAAGCCTATTATGGATACTTCCAAGGAAGTAAGAGAACCCCGACACTTTGCCCGCTTTCCTCTAACACCGTGGACACCGATAGCTTTCAACGCCGCCACTGATTTGGGTCTTGCAACCTTCTCGACGTACATCTTCTGGAATTTGAACTTGAAGCTACGGATCAAAATTGGGTTGGTGGCCTTGCTTGGATTGGGCATATTGTGAGCACCACCTTCGACGTACCATACTCGGGGCAACTGATGTATTAACCTAAGCCTAATCAAGCGCGATGGTCGCGGCAATTATAAAAACAGTACAAACCCGCGTCCTCGCAACCTCAGATAATGACCCGACCACCGCGACCGTCACTTACGACCGCTGGCTATTCATCGAGACGTATCTGGTCATCATCACCACGTCCATCCCTTCCATCCGATCTCTCTTCCGCTCCATGAAAAGCCGCAGACTCAACAACCAAAAGTCATATGAGCTCAGTTCCCGTTACGTCGGCTCAATGCATACTACATCCAGGACGAGACGACGAGATTCATCGATTGATGGGAAAGGGATCATGAATGCCTCGGAGGGGAATCTTAGCAACGAGGTCTTTGCGCGAATGGAAAGTAATATTGAGACGCCCCAGTCTAGCCATTCACGGGAGTCGGTAATAATGTGTGTTTAATGTGCTGGTGTCTAATGTCATGAAATAATGTTTCCTTACGAGAGAATCCGTCGACATAAGCCAGGACCTTGAAATCTTACTCGTAACTCCCACTCCCACCAGAGTGCAACTTGACTGTTAATTAACTTCCAGCGTGGATACCAAATGCTCGGCGTAAATCGCCAAGCTTCCTGCTCTCCAATTCCAACGACATCAGCATGGGATGCCGATTATGTATACTATTTGAAAATTGTGAATATATTGTGTCTTCACATCGAACGCCGACTGCTGACGGCTGAATCGGCAAATGATATCTGTTGCCGACGGCATTTGACACCTGAGACCACTGAGCTCAGGAAAGGTCAAGTCAAACCAATTGAAGATTTCACATCCTAAATGAATCACAAAGGCAAAATTTCAGGATCTTTGCGATGATATAGCACGTCATCCCAGCGACAATTCGAGTCGTGTAGCTTATACAGCAGAAGATAATCCCCGGAAGTGAGCCGACGGACGGACAACCAGTTCAAATTCCATGAATCACAGCGCTGATCGGCATGTCTTGGCAATCAATGGCCCGTGCCACAGATCCCCAACAAAGCCAATTAGACTTGGTCGGGCCAGGCCTCATGGCATTTGAAAGCAGCTCTTGGGAGCACTCAGTGGACAATAAACCAGTAGGCCAAGAATCGGCCTTTCTCCACTGAATTTCCCCACGACGCCCTCCGCCGACTTTCCCCAATGGGGCCTTCTTTCCCCATCGTCCCCGGTTTCCACTCACTACCCCGGCCAGGTCTACGGGGACCCTGGCAGGTCGTACTACGGCCAAAGTGACATCAAATCCTCAATGATACCTAGCATTAGCCGAAACCATGGAGTGGCCGGCCCACTGATACCGGTGCCGAATATAAAGCAGGATCTTGTCCCGGTGAAAAGCATTCCCCGTTTCCCTCCCTTAGTCTCTAAGAGTGGACACAGCAGGCCATTTGTCAATTGTTTTCGTTATCTCTTTCTAAGGCATTCAGCAAGGCCTCACAAAAAACACCGCCATCATGGGGAAGTCTGGGTTCATGAAGAACTATCGAGTCTATATACTCACCAGCGTCGCCTATCTGGGCTCCCTGCTCTTCGGTTCGTGGTATCACGTTCATCCATGTGCGTGGCCTCTAAGCTAACGTTGTCCCTCAGGATATGACACGGGTGTTATGGGCTCAGTCCTTGCCATGGACAGCTTCAAAAAAGACTTCGGCCTCCCAATATCAAAGGGCGGATTTTCATCCGACAAGAATGCCCAAGTATCCTCGAATGTGGTCAGTCTCTTGACCGCCGGATGTTTCTTCGGATCCATCTTCGCCGCCTTCCTCAACGAGCGCATCGGTCGTCGCTATTCACTGATGATCTTCGCCCTGGTCTTCCTGGTTGGCGCTGCGATTCAAGTGGGCGCTCACCATGCCATTGGACAAATCTATGGCGGCCGTGTCATCGCCGGTCTGGGAATTGGCGGCATGTCCAGTATCACTCCTGTTTTTGTTAGCGAGAACTGTCCCCCGGCACATAGAGGCCGGATTGCGGGTCTGTTCCAAGAGTTTTTGGTTATTGGAAGCACTTTCGCTTACTGGCTGGACTACGGCGTTTCTCTCCGCATTCCCGAGGGCACGACCCAATGGCGTATTCCCGTGGCTATTCAACTTATTCCCGGTGGTTTGATGCTTATCGGTCTCTTTTTCCTCAAGGAGTCTCCTCGTTGGCTGATGAAGCAGGGCCGCCGTGACGAAGCCCTAAAGTCACTTGCCTATATCCGCAACGAGCCGGAGGATAACGAGGAAGTGCAGAGGGAGATTGCTGAGATTTATGCTGCCATCGAAGAAGAAACTGCCCTCACCGAGGGCGTAACGTGGAAGGAGTGTCTGCAGAAGAGCAACCGCTACCGCTTCTTCCTTGCTTTCGTCATCATGTTCTGGCAGCAGTTCTCCGGAACGAACAGTATTGGATATTATGCGCCTCAGATCTTCGAATCCGTTGGCATTAGCTCGACCCACTCGTCGCTGTTTGCTACCGGTGTCTATGGCACCGTGAAGGTTGTCGCCACAGCGATCTTCTTGCTCATTGGTATCGACCGCTGGGGTCGCAAGTGGAGTATGGTTGGTGGTGCTGCTTGGATGGCTAGCATGATGTTTATCATCGGCGCCGTCTTGGCTACCCACCCTCCGAACCCGAATTCTACCACTGTCTCTCCAGCCTCCACTGCCATGGTGGCTATGATTTATCTCTACGTGATCGGATACTCTTTCTCATGGGGCCCGACCCCTTGGGTGTATCTAGGCGAGATCTTCCCGACCCGCTTGCGAGCATACGGTGTTGGCCTCGGAGCAGCCACTCAGTGGCTCTTCAACTTTGTTATTACCGAAATTACTCCCCGCGCTATCAACAGTATCGGGTGGAGGACCTTCCTCATGTTTGCTATTTTCTGTACGGCCATGGGAATCTTCGTCGCTATCTTCGTGAAGGAGACCAAAGGTAGGACATTGGAAGACATGGATCTTATCTTTGGTGCTATCGATGAGGAGCAGCGAAAGGCCGATGTGGAACACACTCTGCACAAGAATGATATCGCCCATGCTGAGCATGTGGAGGAGGGAGCCGACCGCAAATAACTGCTCCTTCTGACCGTTATGTGCTTAGACTAGAAACTTGAAATACACGAGTCAAATCTAGATTATACTCCGCCAACTTCATACTTCTGAACGGGGAAATCTATACTATTCAAAGGTTTTAGCACGTCTTACCTCAAAATCCAAGACTGGTAAAAACCCGAAACAGCCACGGCAATTCTCACAATCGAATCAGCTAAATCCAACCTACATAATCATAATTAGGTGTGTATGCTAGGTCGTCTTGGACATCCTATCACGGTTACTATCGGTGTCGCGCCCAAATGTCTGGTACGGATCCACAGCAAAATGCCGCGGGGAAAGGCGCGACCCTCCGCTCATCGACAAACTGTCTCCTATGCGCCCTGTGCTCGGCACCCCTTACTCTCAATGGAGAACCTCGAAGATACCTGCGCCTCGCTCCGAGCGCAGATTGCAGCCACAGAAGCCCAGCTCGCGGGGCTCAAGCGCGACCTCGCCAACGCCGAAGCTGCGGGCAAGCCGGAGACGGGCTCAACGGGAAACACGAAGGAAGGCCTGAACGGCACCGGAAGCCGTTGGCCACTGCTGCAAGAGGAATATAAACGCTATGGACGGCAGATGATCGTGTCGCAAATCGGTCTACACGGTTCGTTGGATTCTTTCGTTGGAAGAGAGGGGAGGGAAACCGCTAACTGTCGCAACCTCTCCAGGCCAGCTCAAATTGCGCGCCGCCAAGGTCCTGCTCGTCGGTGCCGGTGGCTTGGGGTGTCCTGCTGCGCAGTATCTTGCTGGTGCTGGCGTTGGAACCCTGGGACTGATTGATGGTGATACGGTTGAGATCTCGAATCTACATCGCCAAGTGCTGCACCGCTGGAAGAATGTGGGGAAATACAAGGTGGACAGTGCGATTGAGTCTCTACGAGAGTGAGTGGTTATCCAAGGTATTGGATTTCAATTCGCGCTGATGATTATCCGATCAGATTAAACCCCCATCCGACGTACATTGCGCATCGAACACATCTCACACCAGACGAGGCGCCGGCGATCTTTGAGAATTATGACCTTATCCTGGACTGTACCGATAACCCGGCGACGCGATACCTGATCTCGGATACCGCAGTGCTGATGGGCAAACCCCTGATTTCCGCATCTGCTTTGCGAACAGAGGGTCAGCTCGTCGTGCTGAATAACCCTCCTCGACGACCTGGTGATAAAGAAGGTGGCCCATGTTATCGTTGTGTATTCCCTAAGCCACCACCTGCCGATAGCGTCGTGAGTTGTGCCGATGGGGGTATAATTGGGCCTGTCGTTGGGACCATGGGAGTATTGCAAGCCCTGGAGGCGATCAAAGTGCTCACCGCGCCGGATGTTAGTCCAGCAGCAGATGGTACGACACCACCTCGAGACCCTCCAATCCTGCAGATCTTCTCCGCGTTCTCGAACCCGCAATTCCGCTCGATTCGTCTTCGTTCTCGTCGTGCCAACTGTGCGGTATGCTCTGCCGAGGCCACCGTGACACTTGATACCATCGCGTCGGGCTCCACAGACTATGTTTTCTTCTGTGGCTCGGCGAACGCGCCGTCCTTGCTGGGACCGGGGGAGCGCGTCTCTCCGGAAGAGTATCGTGAGAGACATCCACCGGCCAACTCACAGGCAAATGACAAGTCCGTCAAAAGGGGCTCGCATACAGTCATCGACGTGCGAGACAAGGCGCAATTTGGAATTTGCAACCTGGAAAACAGCATCAATATCCCCATTTCGAATTTCCTTGGCTCGGCGCCTGTTCCGATGGCTTCGGAATATGAGACAGAAGCCAGTCAACTTCCGTCATGGCTGCCGTCGGAGCTGGCATCACCCGAGTCTAACGACCCGATATACGTGGTCTGCCGTCTTGGAAACGACTCCCAGATCGCAGTCAAGAAAATGAAAGATTTAGGCTTGGATCGAAACGGCCAGCGATTCATCGGTGATATCCGGGGCGGATTTCGTGCATGGCGCGACCAAGTGGATCCGGAATGGCCCGAATATTAGACCAAGGCGAGAATCGAATCTGCCGTCAAGAGGCACTGACGGGCGACTTCTCCAGCCAAGCCCATTCCACCTTGACTCGGCCCTGGGCGAGCTCAGCCACCTCTTCAAAGACCGCCTCGGTGACATCGAGGTCTGTCACTGCGCAGCCCACGCACCGGTCCACGACCTTGACATCCACGCTTTTCCCATTGCGGCGAAGCCTCAACTTCATTCCGCAGAGCGGGTTGTCATTTGGGTCTGAGCCCGTTGAAGCTGCATCAAAGAGGATATGGGAGACGGCGCAGACCATGTCTGATCCTGAGTTTGTGTAGCCGCACGCTCCCAGGCCCGGGTTGTAGTAGGTTAGATCTCCTTCGTAAGGGCCGCCGTTGGAGGTTGGAAGCGGGAGATTTGAGGCTTTCCTGGTTCAAGTTAGCATGTAGAAACAGAAGGAATATTTCCAATGCAACTCACTTTTTTCCCACGGTCAAACCAACTGCCAGGCCGATGATCAGGGCGATCAGTAGTACGGCAGCGACTACGCCGATGATCAGGAACTTGCGCGATCGTCTCTGTGCCCTGAAACTAAATCCACCGAGGCCGAACGGCCACACTCGCTTGGGCGCATCTGCGCTCGGTCTGGCAACTGCTGTTCCAGCATTGACTGCAGCAGACTCGGTCCTCGGCCCTTTCGCCAACGGAACTGGCTTGCGTTTGGGCACCGAAGCCCAAGGCTCTTGTGCGCCCTGTACGGCTCCCTGGCCATTTTTTATCGCCTCGTCAGACGGGGTGTTGGAGTTATGGTCCATGGCGTCGGCGTGCTGTTTCTCTGTGTCCATTGTGCCGACTATTCATCACTGTTGGGGTTGAAGTCTAGGTGTCAGTCAATGTCTCACTGGGAGTACAAATGTAGTGGAGACGAGACCCTGGGGGAGGGGGTGAGCTTGTTTAAAGCGGTTCCCTTTCAGGGGTCTTAGTTTCAGTTTTAGCGGCTGGTGATAAAAAGCGCTACTGCATCCTTGTCGCATCGGGTTCCTACCGCCGATCTCGTACATCTGTTCTTTGCTAGTATCGGTGTATTCATGTCCAATCATATTCCATAGCCCAAGCTGTCATGCAGCGCACTAGTCAAGTACAGAGTCCGAATGGACCGAACAAGTGAACCGCGCACGTCGCAACTCCCCGCAACGGTGAGTGGACCCACCGCCGAAAAGCCTCGGAAGTCGCGGCCCCCTCAAATTGCGCTTTTTCAGATTCCTCATCGGATACCCACGTATTACACCGAGACGCGTACCTGGGTTGAGCTGCTATTCGATTTGATCACGTGCCGCTGACATGCGCATTTCCGCGCGCCTGAATTTGACCGTGGCCGTTCGGCAATAAGCGAGCGCTTCGCTGGCCTGCAGATATGGCCTCACGCAGAAGCTCGTCGAGCGATTCCAGCTCAAATAGCCCTCCGCTGTCGCGGCGCGATACGCAGGCAACTAAGACCACCACGGGCGAGGGCAAAAAGTCCCTATTGGACCATGTCAAGGCGATATGGCAGAAGACGGGCCTGGATCAACCCACCGTCTTATTGATGCTAAAGTACGATCCGGCTCCCGACTAGGATTCGAATGGTATGCTAATATCTTATTTAGGGGCGGTCTTTCACCAACGATCGCAGTGTCCATGTAAGTACCCCAGGCCTCGCTCTGTCAACAATGCATCTGACTCGGTTACAGCTACCAAGCAATGGACGTTGCCGATGAGTATACCACTCTAGGTTATCTCGTGGCCATCGTCTCTATCCTGGGATTCGCCATCATGCCTCGGGCCAAGTTCATCCAGATGATGATCTTTGACGTCTTGGCCGTCTGCTTGGCAGCGTGTTTGGCCCTGTTGACCATGTTCTCCAGTGTCAAGGCTCGCCAGCACACTCAAAAGGAAGGAAGCTCATCATACAACTCCTCAGCCTCTGCTGTCAGTGGTATGTGGCTGTTTTTCCAGATTTGGCTGGTTCATACCTTCCGGGCCAAGTACCCGCAGTTCCAGTTTCCCGTCATCATCTACGGGATTTTCGCCAACATCACCTCTGTCTATGCGCCGCAGATGCAGAATATGACTGCTGCAATCAATATGGTTCAGAAGCTGATCAGGACTTTTCTCACTGGGCTAGCCATCTCCACTGGTGTTTCCTTGTTCATTGTGCCCATGACCTCGCGCAAAGCAGTCTTCAAGCAGATGGGTGGGTATATTGGCAGCCTTCGCTCCGCATTGACTGCCCACGCGGCATATTTTGAGACTTTGGAAAGAGACGACATGTTTGGCCGTGCTGATACATACGACGACTCCCAGGAGAAATTCGGCAAAAAGGGCAAAAAGGTGTACAGTCCCGAAGCAGAGGCTATTCGCGCTGCAATTCGGCAGATCACCGAACTCCATGCTAAACTCCATGGTGATATCACCTTTGCGAAAAGAGAGTTTGCATTGGGCAAGCTGGGCCCGGATGATATCCAAGCCATGTTTCGCCATCTACGGCAGATCATGATCCCCGTTGTCGGATTAAGTTTCGTCGTGGACATCTTCCAGAGATTGTCCGACTATAACAGATGGAACCAACCTATCGATCCCAATGTCGAAATGGTCTCGGATGACGTTCGTCACCGCACTATTCGTGATTGGAATGATATGATGAGAGCGGTGCATGACCCTTTCAAAGACATGATTCAAACCATCGATGAAGGACTATTGCATACTTCGTATGTCTTCAGGCTGACAAAGCCTCCCAAGAAGAAGGCAGTGGTCACTACAAATGACGGTTCTGGTCAAGATGAAACGGATGTTGAGGCTTCGGCTGAAGACACAGGGCCCGGAGAGAAAGGTTTCATTGCCCACTTTGAAAAGAAGTTAGGCGAGTTTAGTGGTACGAAACGAATTGCTCTGCAAACTTGGGCCGAGGAAAAAGGAGTCAAGCTGCCTGAGGGCTTCTTCGATCATCCATCTTCTGTTGACAGTTTGAAGGGTGACTTTTTTGACGCTTCAGCTACGCATCAAGATCGTGCCCGACGACAGCTCTACCTTTTCCTTTATGTATGCAAATTTATCACTATTCTCACTGATACAAATACTGACTATAATCCTCCAGATGGAGCAATTGCTCTCCTCGACCGGGCAGACTGTTTTCGAATTCGTCAGCTATGCCAATAGCGTTGCAGAGAAGGGAAAGCTGTCCCGAACTCGACTCATTATTCCCGGCGCCAAGCGTTCATGGAAGTGGGCAAAGACTTTTTTGAAGGTGGATGATACCCATCAAGACGACAATATGGGCGACGTTCACACGCAAAACAACATTCTCGAGCTTGGCGAGGCGTACCGGCACCGCAAGGATCCAGAACACCTGCCGCCCACAACTTTCTTTGAGAAAGTCGGAGACAAAATACGAGTCTTTCCGAGGTTCCTCCGGTCCTTCGAGTCTACGTATGGATTCCGGGTTGCATGCGCTACGATGACCATTGCCGTCATCGCTTTTCTGCACGACACGCAAACCTTTTTCACTAGGCAGCGTCTGGTGTGGGCCATGATCATGGTCAATCTGAGCATGTCGCCAACCTCAGGACAGAGTATCTTTAGCTTCGTGCTTCGAATTGCTGGTACAACGATCGCAATGGTGGCCAGTCTTCTATGCTGGTACATCCCGGATCAGAAGACCCCCGGCGTGATTGTTTTTCTCTTCCTTTTCGTCTCGTCTGCATTTTACGTGCCCATTAAGATGTTCCGCTTCCGCATCGTCGGGATTATCAGCATCGTCACTACAACTATGATCATCGGATACGAGCTTCAAGTCCGAAGGGTCGGTGAGAAGATTGCTACTTCAAACGGGCAGCCGTATTACCCCATCTACCTGCTCGCGCCCTATCGACTTGCTACCGTGAGCGGAGGTATTGCCGTTGCTTTCATCTGGACATTCTTCCCGTATCCGATCTCGGAACATTCGGTGCTTCGCCAGAGCCTGGGCGCATCGCTATACCTCCTGGCCAATTATTACTCCATCATCCACGAAACGCTCTCGGCTCGTATGCGTGGAGATGAGGGCGATCTCACTCTCAAGAGCTCTGCGGGTCGCAAGCTCGAGAAGGCTCGTCACAAGGTTTTCTCCAAGCAGATGCTGATGCTCAATGGCTTGAGGACCTATTCCGAATTCCTTCGGTGGGAGGTCCCGATCGGTGGCCGATTTCCTAAGAAGCAGTATGATTCCATCATTGTCTGTGTCGAAAAGTAAGGCACCCCACCAAACCCCAATGATTAAATTGGCTAACATCGCCGCTCCCAGTATCGTAAGCTACCTCAGTTTACTCGGCTACGCATCCGACACATTAATGCGCCTCGGCGACGATGATGACGAATCAAGCTCAGCCTGGATGCATGATTTCCGCCGCCTTGTCGGTACCACGAATGTCACTACCCATGAAGTCACATCTTTGCTATGTCTTCTTTCTGCCAGCATTACAAACCGCCAGCCCCTCCCGCCATACCTCAAGACCCCTCGACCCTACAGCTTCTCCAAGAGACTGGAAGCGCTTGACAGTGAAATTTTGAGCCTCAAGCACATGTCCGAACCAGGGTTTGCGGCCTTTGCCGTTCTGCAGATTTCCACGAGATGCATTGTTGGCGACGTGGAGAGACTTATGCGGTTAGTTGCATCACCTCCGAAAGTCCTAATCCTTGATACTGACTGCCCTGAAATAGACACGTGAGAGGCTTAGTTGGTGAACTCGACTTTTCTTTCCATGCTATCAGCACGACGGATCCCAGAATCGCCGAGTCTAGAATGACATCGCGCGCACCGTCGAGAGTAGACGTAAATGAGGTTCAGGTGGCAGATCGCCGGAAGCAGGACTAACCTCTGTTCTTCGCAAACTTCATTTGTATATATGAGAGAAATGCTTTGTCAAACAGAGCCATGCATAGATGAAATCGTACATACTTCACGCCCACTGGACCTTGGAGCCACCTTTCTTGTTAAGTCACGGTTTGACATGGCCATCGGTGAGAACCCCGCAACATGCTTCTCCGCATTTTCGGGGTGTTCTAGCGCATATTTAAACACCGACCTCTCGGGCTGCCGGTGGAATCGATAAACGCCGAGATCATACAAAATGGCCCAGGTCCAAATAGACAACCAGATCCTCACCGAGGCAGCAAACAAAACTGTCCTCATCACTGGTGCCGCCCGCGGCATCGGCGCAGCAACAGCGAAACTGTTCAACCAACACGGAGCAAACGTCGTAATAGCCGATCTCGCTCGATTCCGCAATGTGGCGGAAGAGTTGATCACGGAATTGGCCCATCCAGAGCGTGCAATTTTCGTGCCGGGCGATATAGTTCATTGGGCGCAACTGGCTGCATGCTTCAAAACGACTCTTACTCGGTTCGGCAGTATCGATATCGTCGTTGCGAATACGGGGATCATGGAATCAACACCCACGCTTGACCTGACCCCAGATGAAGAGGGCAACCTTCAGGAGAACCGTGAAGCAGAGAGAGTGATCGATGTCAATTTGAAGGGGACTTTGAACAGTATTTTGCCTCGTCCTTTGGATATATCATATCATGCTTTATCTGAATAAGTTGAACTAACGAAATGTGAAGCACTCCGCTTAGCCCTCTTCTACTTGGGATCTTCCAGCGACCAGCCGAGCAAGTCGATTCTCCTGGTTGCTTCGACTTCGAGTTACTTTGGCGGCACGGGCGTGACCGCGTACGTTACATCCAAGCACGGTGTCCTGGGTCTTTTGCGGGCATCTCAGTCCAAAGCGAAGGAGCAGGGTGTTCGGGTTAATGCTGTTGCTCCGTTTCTCACGCCAACGCATATCACTGCGGGGTTTGCACAGCAGTGGCGCGAGAAGGGGTTGGAGGAGAATACGCCTGAACGTGTTGCTGAGGCGATTGCTTCGGTCGCTCTGGATCGGGAGAGGGAGGGGGATTGTGTTATGGTAAGTATCTTGTGTGCTTCATCCAGCCTAAGTGGATCTAACATTGGTTGTTAGGTCGCTGGAAAGTATCTACGGGAGATGGAGTCGTCCAGAGCTGAATTACTTTCCACGTGGATTGGAGCCGACGTGGCGGATTTCATGGGTCGCGCAATGCAATTCTTTGTTAGTATTGGAGGCTACGTCTTGCCCAAGAAGTATTAAATCTGTGTTATATGTCAAGGGTCACTTCGAGTCTATACAGAGAAAGAAGGGTCTCTTTTATCTACAAGTCCAACCCCACAGCCAAAGCGGTACTTATTGAGGCACTCGTGGACCAACACTCCGCCAGAAATCACATCTCTTCCTGCGTCCACCTTCCCAGCTGGCTGCATCAGCCAGACGAAATTCATTCGTGACTCCAGGGTCCTCCCGGAGCCAGTAAGCCAGATGATCAGTCACGGTGTCCCGGACAAGCGTCCCACCCGTGGTGTTCAGGTTCATCAACACGGGCGCAGACTCGTGCCACCTCGGCCAAGAAACATTCCCATCTGCGCCGCGAGGAACAGTGGCATTGCTTGCACCGCCCATAGCATCCACGATGGAAATAACGGGGGTGTCATTGATAATGAAATTACCCAAGATCTTCTGGAATGCGTGCCTGAACCCACGAGTTGGCAGTCTCTCGCCGACGGAAAAGTACGCCGTCAAGTCTGAGCCGTGGTACGCTGGTGTAACGGAGTACTGGTATTTCCAGCTTTCTTTCCCATGGTGTCCCGAGAAAGCGTCCGCTAACCAGTACGAGGGACAATCGAAGGTTGTTTCGGCGAATATGTTGAAGACTGTCTGCTGCAGACCGTTTGCGAACTCTGACTGATTTAAGGCGGTTGGGCCGCGGTCACCGAGAGTGTCGTAGAGGGGAATGGCACTTTCTGAAGGGGTCCATGATCGATATGCGTCAAGAAGCCCGAGGTAGTCGGAGTGGGTGAATAGAGGAAATGTCGATTTGACATATTTCCAAAAATCCCCGTCAGTGGTTATAATTGGAGGACTCAACGGCACGCCGTCATTGGCATTGTTCTGTGAAAATCAGCATGTTACTGCATCCCGAATTTTTCACGTTCCAACTTACACCTGACAATATGCGCTTGCCACTAATCTTCTTATGAAGGAGTTGCTTGGATGGAAGCCCCCGAATGAAATCACCGTCGGTGACGGGCAAGAACGCAAACGTGCCCCAGGCACCCGACGTGGAGATATTTCCATTGGCATATTGCAATGTATCCGTGTATGCACGCACGAGGCAGTCAAAGACTGAATCGGTAGTGTGGATTCCATGATAGCATCCTGCCCGTGCCGCGAACTCGTAATAGTGATTGGTGGGCACCGAGTCGTCGTAATTGTACTGAGTCGGGGTATACGGGCTTGCGGCGATGATCTAGACCCGTCAGTACGTCTCAGAAAGAGGTCTGGGGAGAGCTTTACATTGTTGAACAGATCATCCTCTCTGCCTCCATAAGCCATCGCTTGCAGCATCACGGCGCCGGCCCCAGAAGATTCACCCGCGAGCGTGACACGGGAGGGATCACCGCCGAATTTGGAGATGTGTTTTTGTGTCCATTCAAGAGCAAAACGCATATCCAATAGACCGGCGTTAAGAGCACCGTGCTCGTGGACATCTTCCGAGGCCAAGAAGCCAAAGGCGCCCAGTCTGTACTGGATCATGACGGATACAAAACCATTCTGGTTTGTCTTCATCCACTCGCTAGGGTCATAGATTGCCCCGTATAGACCATATCCGCCGCCATCTGTTGGTAAAACTCAGTGAACGTTCCAGTCAGATTTCATGATAAGCTTACGGATCCAAAGTAGAACGGGCAGATCCTTTGCTCCTGGCCGAGAATACACATTCAGAAATAGACAATCCTCATCACCCAGGGCGGAATTAAACCCGTAGACCTCTGGAAGCTTTGCGCCTCCGGATTGAGGACAAAGGGGAGGTTGGTCGACAGCGGAGAGAATAGACGTCTTGTTTACCCGTGGCGCTTGTGGTGCTTGCCATCGCAGATTTCCCACAGGGGGAGCTGCATATCGAATCCTAGGCAACCAGTGAGCACAAGGGGGGACTTCAGATGCACAGTCTAGAGAAAGTACCCTTTGAACACATTGAGACCGTACGTGCTGTTGTAAAGTCCCTGGTACTTTGCATAACCCAGATCTACCACGGGACTGGCGGCGTGAACCTGTGTGGCCAGAGAGGCTGTGGCCGTGGCTAAAGCCAGGAGGAGACAGATACCAGCCGTGAAGCCCATCTCCAGGCTTCTTGGGGCCCGGGGAAATAACAGAGTGAGATTACATCTGGAGGGGCAGCTGGTGATTGTCGGCGATCACTACCGCATCTGCGTTGAATCCTGCAGATGCAACGCTTGACGCCCGCTGACTCGAAGATTTAACACAGGGATGCAGTCAAGTCAGGATTGCTCGTCGGAGCAGCTTCAGAAAACTCGGACTCATGCTCATCCAGAGGCTATGCACTTGTTCTGACAATAGGTGGGAGGCTCCAGCATGATACCGAGAAAAATGCGTCAGCTACTATGGGCGAGAGGCGTGAGAGCCAGACCAAGGATGTAGAGCTGGAGATGGGGAGATCGAAGTCGATGCCCCATGAATATCTTACGACGTCTAAATTATGATGTGATTTAAGAATTGAACTGGGTGACAGATCGCAGAGTGGTATGGCCGAGAGAAGAAGATATATACAAGGAGATCATCGACAGAAAACAGTGAAGACACCCAGAAGGAAAGACAAAGCCCAAACGCTGTCAGCTTTTCTATATTCGTAACGCCGTAACTATAAAATCGGATCGGCGTGAACATCAAATCGGATTCATCATCGTGACATTCGGAATAGCAGGGTCAACAGCCACCTTCGCCCCGGGTACAGGGCTAGGCTTTGTAACCGTGACCGGGGAAACGGTCGTGGGAACACTCGTATCAAGATGCGAAGGACTGCGAGAACTCCGGCTTCGCGAACGGTGGGAAGAGACGCTACCCGCCGTACTGCTCCCGGTCTTCCCGCCGCGCTTGACCATTTTGCCCAGCACGCCGACGATCTCGGCGGCATCTTCGAAGCTTTCGTCGTCCATGCCTTCTTGCGCATTGTAGACGTCTGCGATGGCATGTTTGGCGAGGCGGCGGCTGGCGAGTGGGTCTTGAATACAATCGTATAGATAGGCTGCGTATTCAAGTTTCACAGAGAGGCGGAGGGGATGTGAGCCTGGGAGGAGTTTGTCGGCGAGGAGAGCTGCGTGATTGAAGCAGGCTGTTGCGGTTGCGGTGTAGTCGAGGGGAGGGAGGAGGAAGGAGGAGGCTGGTTGGATTGGTTGGACGGGTGCCAACCCCAACCCCGGAGGATGAGATGTGAAGGTTGGGTTGGGAGCTGCTAAGGTGTCGGGACCGTAAATCGACTCGCGTTTTGAACTGGCCGGTGGCTCTGGCGGGTTGATGATGGGTCGATTGTGGAAGAGCACGAAGATGTGGTAGAAGGAGGCGCGGAGCTTGTATGATAGCACCTTCAATTCGACAAATGGGTTCACCATCGGTAATATGTACCCTTCTAATATTAATAGGCCTTCTCGTGAGAGCCAGATGATGTGATGGTACAGCTGGAGCGACTTGGTTTCGCGGGTCGTGTCTAGTCGGCGTAGTCGGCGAGCTCGGAGGATCTTCTTGGATAGCATTACCGATAGACCGAGCACCTTGTACAGCATGGCCGAGAGCAATGGGCTTTCGAGGGCCATGACAGCCGCGAAATTACCCAGCGCCTTCTGGTCTACTTCGGAGGAGGCCATCCATAAAGCCAGAGACGAGGCTGGAAAGACGAGGTCGAGATTGTCAGCCATTGTGTACTCAAATGTGGAGATGAGATCCGTGGATTGAGCGCAGTGAGGGTTATTGATTGCAATTGGGACCATGGAGCAAAAAATAAAAAATAAAAAATAGGACAGAAGCTTCAGCTGAAGGAGAATGGAAATGAGCTTACCAACTAGCGCGCACAAACAGGAGCTCCAAACGAGGTCTCAAACGCAGCGCCTGCAGCATGCTCCAAGGCGCGTATACTGGACCAACCCCAGATGCCCTTGGCGGATCTGATCGATCCGAATATTCGCACAATGCGCACTTTGCGGTGCGGTAAGGCCGGAAATCTCCGGGCCCAGGAGCTCTTCAGGTCGTATGTCTTGCGCCAGCCCCGAGGGATTTCGTCTTCCCGGCTCGTTCCCAACCACACGAGATATCTTCAGATACACGAAGTCAATTCACCACGCGTCGATGTGCGCCGTCCAATGGAGTCGAGCCGAGTCGTTCTCGATATGCGGGTATGCAAATAGCTCGACGAGTCCACAGCTAGCAACGCAAGGCACGGGGGGAGAGAAAAGGAAAGTCGTGGGGAGATCGCAAGGCCGGACGCATCGTGCGACGAAGGAGGTGCAACTGGAGGAGTCGTTGAAGCCGACGATATTTCAGCTGTGCCAGCGCACACAGTTGTGCGGGGAAGGCTGTTCGCGAGGGGATCGTCGACTCTGAAGTAACAGAAGAAAGAGAAAACGCAAGGAGCCTCCGCGACGTCGCCCTGATATGACGCAGATATGCAAATTATAAATTGGCTGGAGTCGGGTACTCAAGGGCTGTAATCTGTAATCGTGACTAGCGGTCGTCCCGCTCGCCTGAACACGCCGCGGAGCAATCTAGCTTCGCCCGACTAAGTAACTAGTGGCCGACGTGTACGAGGATCAACGCCCAGCCCACCGGTGGCAATTCCAGGTTCCCAGCCTTCGACGGAAGCTGGACTTCGACGTCAATGTCGAGGTCGAATTTACTGCCTTACAGCCCAGCCCTGCACCAGTGATGCGCTGGAGTATACGGATCGCGGGCGCGCTACGTGGCAGCGGCTCACAGCAGGGATTCTGTGGCCTCGCCACACCCAATTGGTGTGCCAACTCACTCAATCCAGTAGCGCCCCCGAACATCGGGTCGAACGCAATTGCAGCTAGATGCTGAGAGGCTAAGAGCACGGACTGCCAGCGTGGCAGTGGCTTTCCTGGGTACCCGGCGCGGGGTACTCTGTACAGGCGCCGAGGTACCCGTGGGTATGTTGTAACGATCCAATTCGATCGTCATGTCATTCTGGTTTACATATAGGGTGCGCTGGAGTAAGATAATCGCGCCAGAAAAAATGTGTATATGCGACCTGTCAAGGGTTCAGAACCAGGGATCGGGTGCAGAGCCAAAATGGAGGTGGATCCGAGACCCGACGGCCGTGTACCGCTACACCGAGGGTCCGTACACCGCCAGAATGATGTCGTATCTCTTTGTCTTTTACTTTTTTATTTCGTAGCACTGTGTCATGATGAAAATGTCGATTTCTATACAAATCTAAAATAAGAACAAGAACACCGTGTGTATGCAAAAGGCTACCTAGCCCGTAGTGAATGATTGATGCAACCCATGACCAATGCAAGCAAAGCAACCGACGGGGCGGTTACAGTTATTGTACCGGACTTTCCATGTCCACGTCTAAATCATCCACATCTATAAACCCCGTAAACGCTCGAGCGAGGAATGTGCGCCACGCCTCATTAACTTTTTGCTTCTTGTTCACTGTCGGATCAGATTCGACGTCCTTTGAGACCGCGCCATCTTCTCCGATGCGCGTAGCCAGCTCCAGGAAGCTTCTCACGGTCAAGTCCTTCATTTGGCAGACACCTTTGTCTCTTGTTGAGTATTCGATTTCGTATTTGATGCGAGGCTCCTCGCCCTCGGAGCCGACCGTATGGTTGAGTTGAGTCAGGTTGGCAAAGTATTGAGTCCAGCTGAGGAACGTCAAGGGTTGGTTGGAGTATGCAGGGCCCGGAGGAGCAGAACGCGATGGACCGTCCGGAATTTTGAAATCCGGCTTTTTCTTGTGCTTGTTCTTTTTCTTCTTTTGGGTTTCCGGAGAAGGTTCCTCCATAGCGAGGAGGGATGAATCATCGGTATCCAGGTAGTTGAACTGGTCTTCAAAGACGGAATTCTCCAATCCAGTAATGTTGTACTCGATCACACGGAGAGTTGGGAAAAAGTTCGGCACCACACTTGGTGAGACCAGAGACACACTGTACCGCTCAGCCCATTCACCACCGATCTTTTTCAAATACTTGCGCCGCTTCTTCCCCTTCTTTTTGCCATTTTTGGCTGGGCCAACTTCAGTCGATTCATCCATCGTGGTCAAGTCTTCAAAAACGCCAGATGGGGGCGAGGGCAACTCGGACCATTGGTTTCGAAGGGATACAAGATAATCCTCCTTGGACATGGTAGTGACCGGGCCACTCGTTGTTTTCTCCGCCCCCTCAATTTCGACATCGTGGCTGTCCTGCAGCATAAAGTGGTCGACATTCATATGTCCGTAAAGACCGCCCACGATGACATCGCGGTAACGGTCCGTCCACAGAGTGTATTTCTGCCAACAGGTCTCATCCCAGTTGTTCTTCTCTCGAGAGCGGGCGGGAGCAACGTGACCCGTGAGAATAGCCTTCATGCCCCGACTCCGCAAGAACTGCAGTTGCACGCGCAGCCACTCCATGTGCTCGTAGCCGGGTTGTGATTTACCGTTACATCCATCCACCGCACTGTTGGATTCGAAAAAGTACATCGTGTTCAGGCTGATGACCACCAACTTGCCCGGGATGACCTCGCTCAGGAACCAGCCGCCCTCGACGAAGCTGTGTCGCTGGTCCTCTGGGATGAAGTGGTGCCAGACTTCAGCGAACTTCCTAGTCCAGCTATTTGGGCCCGCCCTGAAGATGTTGTGTGGTGTAATATCGTTGTTGCCGAACGTAGGTATAACAGGGACGGACACTCGTGGAATACTCCCCGGTCCGGTGGGGTTCTTCCTCTTCCCAAAGAGCTCTAGCCATTTCTGGGACATGAACTCGTTGACTTCCACTATCTCGTCGTCCGTGCGGGGGATGTGCTCATCGTTGTCGTGGCGAACCGAATCACCCGTCCAGACCACGAAATCGATTTGATCCTTCAGGTTTTCCCCAATCCAGCGGAATGTCTCGTTCACGAGGGTTATTGGGGAATCGCATTCGGAGCCCTCCTGGCCAAAGTATCCCGCGGGCCCCTTGCCGTGATGGCATGAGCGCTTGCCCTCGTCGATCGCGGAGCCGGCTTTGTAGTATCGGTCGGGATGGAAATCTGTATCGCGGTCAGTACTTCGCAGGCGTGTGACCATCACAAAAGAAGCTGTTGCTAACCGGTGATGTGCAAAAAGCGACCATGAAGGGTGTTTGGCGAGGCGCCCAGGAGTTCGGAAGAAATTTGCGCATCTCCGCTCAAATCGGCAACCAACGGCTGCTGATCGAGAGGCACGGCGGGGATGGAAGCCGCAAACAGGCCCAGCAGCAGAACGGTTGACTGCATGGTTTTGCAGGCCGGTAGTTCTGACCGCGTAGGGCTGAGATACACCAGCTTTTTTTCCCTTCAAGATCTTATCGCGCAGGTCACGTCACTCCGGGTTGCGCAGCCGGAGCCAGGAACAGCCAATCAGCGCGTGGGCTAGACCTGAAGTCGATAGTAGGTTCAGAGGGAATGAAGGGAAAGATCATTCGAGCGGGGAGAGGGGCATGATATAGAGAAGTAAGAAGCTGTCCATCATGATACTCGCGACTTAAGGTGTGGTGCCCCGGATCGACGTGCTTGGCCGCTGTTGCCCAATTGTTGCTGCACGTGCCGTGGGGACCTTTGGGGCACGCGCGTGTTTGCCCCATTTCATCATACGTCAGCCGCGAGTCTGTGCTGTAATGTGTGTGTTTTCAATCTTTGATATTTTCGGAGTCTCTTCTAGTAAGTTGTCACTTTGTCGGCACCGATACCCTCGCAGATTGTGGTTTCTATAGCGCGATCGTGCGTCAAGTCACAAATAAGTTTAGATACCGAGCCCCTATTCCAACCGACGACAAAGCGTGCCTTGTTAAACAATTATTGATAGATGCTCGGGTAGGTAGACATTAAATTATTGATTCCCAACTAAACCCTCAGGTACTTGCAGTATATATCATATACATCACCGGAGGATAAATCATGGTGTGGTGCATCCGTAAAAGCTCAACTTCAAGCAACAAACAACCACATGATCAAGCGTCAACTTCAATTTTCTCAGTAACAGTACCATCCTCCTGAACAACCACTTTGTCCAGGCTCCGCGATGCCTTGACCGGGTTGGGCTGCTGGTACACCCACTCCAGCTCCTCGAGAGTTCGTCCTTGAGACTCAACACTGTAAACAAGTTAGCTTCCGGTCAATACCGGTGGAAAGATCGAGTTCTTACCAGAAAAAGTACCAGAACACCGCTTCAACCAGATCCCAGCCGACGAAGATCCAGAAATAGTTGGTGGAAATGTTACCCAGGCCAATCGGCGACGCAAACTGACTGATGAACCCGATCGAGCTGACTATGAAGCCCGACAGCGCCAGACCTTTGGCGCGAGTGGTGGTCTCCAATGCCTCCGTGGGGACAACACCCTGCAGGGGTGTATAGGTGAACGAGAAGACGACGTTGAATAAATAGTAGAATGCCAAGGCGGCCTGGCCCTTGCTCTTGCTGATGGAGCCGTGCTCGGCGATGGGAACCGAAATGGCGGCATTAATGGCCATTGTAATTGCACAGCCTATTGAAGTGTGTCAGTTGAGATCGTTTGCCCAAAATGGAGTGTCGATATCGATTTACCTAGTGTACCCCAGATGAGAACCGGGCGACGCGGCATCTTGTCAGTCAGGCAGACTGCGATTCCAGCTCCAATGGCCGACGCGATGGAGTTGATCAGGTTGAACAGGAGTTGGATCGAGCTCGATTCGTATCCAAGGGTTTTGTAGATTGTCGGATTGAAGTATCCGAGACCGTTACCAGACCACTGTCCAAAGACGGAGATCATGATAACCTGACCGAAACGCCAACGGCCGCTGTGCGTAGTGACGAAAGGCCGGTCTATTGCATTTGATCTTGGTCAGTTTCCCAATCAAAAACACCCCAAACGTGGAGTCAAGAAGAACTCACAGTCCCACCATCGCTTATCGATACCGTCAATGCGAATACCTTCCTTCATCTCTTCAATCTCAAGGCGAACAAGACGAGCATTCGGGTCTCCATTACCGTGGTACTTGATCAGGAAAGCGTATGCTTCTTGCTCGCGGCCCTGTGTCAGCAGCCAACGGGGCGACTCGGGAATGAACCACACGAAGAAAATGACCAAGACACAAGCAAAACACTGGCAGATGAATGGAATGCGCCACTGATAGTTATTGCCTATAAAGTTCGAACCGTAGGTAATCGCAGCAGCGGGGATACTACCACCGAACCAACCGCAGTTATAAAAGCCTAGCAAGGTTAAATTTTCAGGCTCGTCTGCTGGCATATCAAGGCTGATAGATACTTACCGACAGCGCGACCGCGCCAATGCGGCGGAGCAATCTCAACGGCATAGGCCGGAGCCGAGACAACCATAATCTGGATTCCAACTCCGAGGATAAATCGACCGATGACGAATTGAGGCAAGCTCATGGCGGTTGAGATGATGATGGAGCCGCTGATGATGACCCAAGCACCAACGAACATGCACTTGCGCCGACCGAGCTTGTCTGAGATGACTGCACTGAATGGGGTTGCGATGATGGATCCACTATTTTGAAATGAGTTGCTGCGTCTCTGGCAATTTGTGAGTCTACTTACACCGTGTAGAGAGATGTGACCACGGACACCTTCTCGCCAGTCATCCCCGCTTTGAAAACCGCTTGCCAGTGGTCCATGGCAAGGATGGATCCCATGAGTGATCCTTAGACTTTATCAGCTATTTTCTTTGGGCTCTTGTTCGAGGAGTGGCGGGAGGCTTCTTCAACGCACCATCATATCCATTCGCGCAGGCGCAAAGGAAAGAAACGAAAATACAGACTAAGAGAATGTGAATACGCCGTACAGAATTCTCACTGGGCCGACTGCCCTTAGCTGCAAACTCACAGTAAAGATGAATAGATGTTTTGCTCCACTTCTCGATCTTGGTCTCTTCAATAGCAGCGAAGAGCTCCGCCTATCGAGGTATGAGTGTATAGCTTCAATGATGATATCCACGTGAAGGTGAACCCACATTGCGAACTTCCTTAGTCTGAGCGCCCGCCCGCTTGGCAGTTTCACCATACCCAGCAATGACCTGAGGGGTATCATCCACCGCAGTCGAGATGCCATGAACCTCTTCATGCACCTCTTCGTGGGACTTCGTGTCCGACATGATGGATTCGCCTTGCTGACGCTCGAGCTGATGCTACTGGGTTTAAGACTGGGAGTGGTTCGAGCGGTACAGAACCCTAGGAAGGTGGGACAGCATGAGATTCTTATAACAAACAGTCAGGAATGTTGCCTTCGCTAGCCTGTGCCAAGATGTGTCGATTCAATTTCTGGGGCAGCGCCCTGCAGTTCTCCAGAAGCTGATTGCCGTGTGACCCCAGATCCCTGGATCCTGCTAGGCGACCCCGGTCGGTGGCTTGCATGAACGGCTCCGTATCCTGATTGAAATCGGCGCGTTCCCCAGTGATTACCAGACGTGCTTGGAGAAAATAAGACCACCTTGGTCCGAAAAAATTAAGGAATTGATGTCTGGATCATCGGCCCTGCTTTCCGTTGTACTGCGAAGGTTTTTGATCTATGCCATCGCGCAGGTTCTGTTTTTTGTTGGTTGCCCCTTGCTATCACGCAATTGGTTAGATTTACGTAGGATGATTTGCCTGATACCTCTATGAAATATATGCGTTGCATTATAGGGTATAATTGAAATTCGAGGAGTACAATGCACTAGAGAAAATGTGTTCCAAGGAGTACAATGCACTAGAGAAAATGTGTTCCAAGTATCTCCGCCATGAGTCGACCCTTTCTGCGTCCTTCCGCATCTCACCGTAGAGACATTGAACAGCCTTTGCACATCGTAGAAGATCTTTAATCAAAGCTTAAGCTCCAAATTCCTGAGACAGATACTATTACACGATGTTCCAAACGATCGTATAAGGCCGTTATTAACACGGAGCTTTACTCCGTTCTGAATCCTGCACGGGTCTTCCTCACAAAACGCTAATCCCCTTCCGGACGCAACTAGTGCCTTTGGGCTCTCCCAGACGAGCTTACTTCTGCATTGTCCGACTGAATCACCCGATTTTCCAGACAATTCTCGGCAGCGCCACTCGGACCCGCTAATCGGGGTTCTATGACCTGCGGCCCGAGCTGAACATCATGTCCCCATGGCTTGACCGGAGGGAAGAAACAAGGATGGACCGAAGGCAAAATACGAACCCTGTAGGATTTAGCGACGAAGAGAATAAAAGTGGCGACTTGCAGAATGGTAAATGAAGTTATTGCAACTCTAGTAGCTCCGCAAATACCCATGCCAAACCTTCAAGGTTAGATCACAAATACGATGCAATTATTGCTCGACAGCCTCGGCCATCTTGGCAGGCCTTTTAACTCGCTGCAGTGCGCAAGGCAGACGCCGCTGCCAAGGTTCCCTGAAATGCTCTGTTTGTCGCTGCACAGACCAAAGGAATTCCCATGTGGCATTTCAATCGCTTCGTAATAATTCTTGAAAAATATGTCGTCGAGGTTGCGATCCACGAAAACGGACTATAAGACTTGTTCTGGGGACCTCCTGCCACCGTCACCAAGAAATCAACGAAGGCCAATGACTATGCTGCATTAAACTGACTGAAATGGCCAACAGGATAGGGCCATGACTCCGATCACGGGCAAAACTCGGTTCATCAGAGATCGGTTTCTGGAAAACCGGGCAAGTCTTCAAAGGCAGTTCAGCCGGTATCTCCTAACATTGATTTTGGGGCCACTGCTAACGCTGGGTGATGGGTTCTGGGATGAGTTGATGGGGGACTGCCAGCGTCTGCAATTTTAGACATAATCGCTGATTCGATGCATGAAGGACAGTCTATAGTCTGTTTAGAATGTATTGTTATTTTGGAATTAAAATAGCTATTAGCCAAGTCATGTAGCGACCCAAGATGTACTCAGTCACAATGAGTTATAATACGGTACAGTCTCAATAAATACAAAAAGCGATGACCACATGTACACAAGTGCGAGTCACAATTAAGCACAAATTCGATCAAAGGTGGCCAGGGTATGTTTCCAAACAGTATTTGGGAACCCTTCCTTGCGAAGCTGCTCCATCAAGGCCTTGTTTGTCGCGTCATTCCCATTATAATTGAGAAGGTAGTATCCTGGATATTCACCAGTAGAGGCATTCTTGGCAGGGTACTCGGCTGAAGTAGCAAGGAAGGTATTCCATTCTCCGCTTTTCGACATCGAGATGGAGATGGGTATTGTCAGGAAACTCAAGATAGAGCCAACAACGGATCCCATGCTTTTCTTCATCATCGGCGTTGCCACGACGCCAGGGAAGACGTGAAGGAAGCTGATAGATGGATGCTCCGATGCTAGAACCTCGAATACCAGAGATGTCATAGTCGCTGGGTAGCCGTTGCTGGTGGATAAAGAGAATTCTTTCTGGAGATCCAGATTGTCCTCCTGGATTTTGGTTTCTTTGCCACCTGCCAAAATGCTGACTACGCGGGGGCTTTGGGCAGCTTCGAGTGAAGGAAGTAGGTTGTAGATGAACCGCATGCGACTGTAGTATCGAAGGATGTGATTGACGTCGATCTTCGCGTCGGTCTCTATTCTTGAGTTAGTATCTCCAAGCTCCAAGCTTTCCGAGGAATCAGCGCTTCTTACCTTGCTTGCTAAATGTAAAGCCTCCACAAGACAGGAACAAAAGGTCCAGAGCTTTGATGTTAGATTTGAGCTTCTGGCAAACTGTATCCACATTGCGAAGATCGGATACATCAGCAGCGATAAAGGAATAAGAACCATTTTGGTTGGCGGCTTTCATCTCCTCCACGACCTGAGCACCGGCTGTCTCATTACGGCCAACGATGTAAACCGTTGGTCGGGCAATGGAGCTGGCCAGTTTGATGGCTGTACTTCTTCCAATACCGCTAGTGCCCCCAACAAAGAGGGCAACTAGTTCCGGACGTGCGGACTTGAGAGTAGCATTCCACTCTCGAGCTTGGGTAAGGGTATGCGCCATAGTGAGCGTGTAGGTAAGGTGTTTGCTTGAAATTGAGAGAGATGAAAGTCGCAGATCGGAAGTGCGAGATATCTTTTATTTAACTGAAAATCACGAGGCTACAGTACTGACGTCAAAGATGGGGCCAGACTTAGGGCCAGGAGCCATTTTGATTGGTTGGATTGAATCACTAGCGTGCGGAATTCCGCACGCTAACAATCTCCTGCTTAGGAATGTACTGATTTCCAATCTACAGATTGAGCATATGCGTGTTCTAGTGATTGCTTTGACATGCAATAGAAATTTCTTAAAACCCACTGATATCCATGATGCAGGTTATTTTTCGTAGGCGAGGAACCGGTCAGCGGAAGAGTATCCCTCAGATGAGACGTGAAGCCGTCTCTTGCACAGTGAACATGATCGATGGTCTTTCTCGGCCGTGAACAGAGCTGAGACATTACTACTCGCAAATTTGATTTGCCAGGCTCTAATTATGCCTGCCTTGATACCCGCACGGGAAGAACACGAGAAAGAGCGAGGGGGCGCAAAGATTCCAAGGAAATGCACCATGCTCCACGCACTAGACGTGTCTGGAATAAGGTTGACTGGCGCACACAAATGAGCTTTGAGAATGGAATGAAGCTCCACTTCCAATACTGCTGAACATTCTTTGCTCTGCGGGATTTAAACTTCTACACTCCACAACTCTATGAAACTGGTCATGTGACCTTGGTCGATCATTGTCAGCCTTGTGGGACCCATCTCCCTGACTGGTCCATTATCTTGAAAATGAATGTCTTAATCTGACAGAAGATATAGTTTACTGCCCACTATTTTCTTTTATCTCGGTAGTGGTGGTTGATCTGACTCGTAGGACACCAAAGTTGATGTTGCACTCGCTGACGTCAAGAGAAACCGTAGACCTCGTGTAGTAGGAGCTCATTATAACAGCATTTCAACATAAAATAGTACGCATCTATGCCAAAACTGAAAATTGTAAGCTTCGATCTAATTCCTGCTCATATCTATGGGAAACATGGCAAGTTCGACCAGAGTGAGGATCAACATGGCACCAGACGTGATTGAGTGGTGACGCAGCGGTACCGGGACGGGCGCGGATCGTGTCCAGACTTGCACCTTTCTGGTCCGCAGATAGCAGGATTTTGAAATTGAGAGATACCTAGGCAAGCTATTTGCGACGGAGATGTGTGAGTTAGAACATACGAGCTCGTAGACCACGGTGTTCAGTCACGAAGCAATAGATGGGTGGAGCGAATCTCTGCGGGGAAAGCTTATAGCACGGAAACAGACGGAGCTCTTCCTTGACGTCCATGACTGTCGATTGCCTTTTGCTTCGGGATAACCACGGTCGCTCCTGTCATGCACCAATCACGTTTGCCAGTTTGCTGACCAGAAGCGACCTAAAAAGGAAAAGCAGCTAGACAGAAGGACCGGTCCTCACGTCGCATCATCGACTGATATGCCTGGTCCGCCGGGTGCCGAAGCTTCCTTGTGTTTCTCCAAAATCCTCATCTCGTTTAATCTGTATTGTTCAGAAATCTCGAGGCGGTTGTTTGCTAGAGCTGGTGATCTCTCATCTCCAAAATCGAAGCTCGTTGTAGTCCTCCTAAACTCGGATTCTTGCCGGTGTGACAGTACGTTCTTTCCCAAACTCCCCGCTACTGCACCGAGCATCACAAAAGTTCTGAAGAAAACCCATCGATCATTTTCATCACTCACGATTGCTTGATTCTCTCAGTACCAAAACAAATCACTGATCTCACGCCCGCAGCTCATCTGGCTTCTCCAGCCGTTCTTCTCAATCCGGTGGTGAATCCACCACAAGCCTCTGTGAGTACCCATTAAACCTACAGAAAACTGGGTATTTGGTTTCAGATCTGTCCGGGATCTTCACATTCGAACTTGGCTGACCTACCACCCAAGATCCCACCGCTGTTATTGCCTTTCCATATTCAAACACACCATGGCCGCCATCAGCTTGATCGACCGGTCTCAGGCAGAAACCATTCACCTGCTCGCCAAAAGAGAGAAGAACTGGGCCGCGAGGGAGCCTGGTGTGGTGCTTGTGTTTTGCATCGTCTTCCTCGTCGCATGCGGAATCATTTCGCTCTTTGCTTATCGTCGATGGATGAAGCGGAAGGCTGAAAAGGAGACCTACGAAACAACCGAGTAGGTTGACCCTGCTCTCGGCACACGAGCTTTTCTCGACTGTGGATCGGATACAAATAAAAGCTGGCCGACCCTTTTGACATACGCTTGGTTTGGACACAAGGCCGAGTTGCTAGATCGCCGAGAGATCATTGCGTCCATGTTCGAAACCGTTGTCTTCCCGAATCTCCTTCGAAGAGCTCTGCAACTTTTTATCTTTCTGGTCGAATACCCATAACGTGAATCGAGGGAATATGAATTGAGCATATGGATAGGGGCATTGTGGCGCGGAAAACGGTGGTGAGGATCTGCGTTCGGGAGAGAAAAGAGGGAGAATGGTCGTGTTATGGCAATTTTGCAGTCGATAATAATTAATAATACCATTTATTCGCGCTCTGACCCCTCTATTTGTTTTGGAGTGTCTCCATGTGAAATATGTCCAGACCAACGCATAGCCTCGATGGAGGAGGTTTCGTATTCGGTTGTTCATAAGGCCCTGCTAGAGTCCCGCCCTTCAACCGGCCTCTTGAAGCAACATGATGTCTCGAAGCCGAAGAATCTTTCGTGGAAGACATCAGCGCCGTCTAGAACTTCTGGCACAGAATTAAAGGAATGAGAATCATGATGAATATGTTCATACCAGTCACATGTTCGCTGGGATACAAAGACTAATTATACCATCTCCGTTGTATACTAATCAACATACCCCACTCGTCAGTGTGAAAATTTCTGGCCCTTCTCAATCGCCACTTGCTCTCGCTGAGACGAAGCAATAGACTCCGATGCCGCCTTCTCTTCATCCCTCCGCCAGAAATCCTTCTGCCCACTCGCAGCCCGCTTCACCCAAGGAGGGAAGAATCCACCGGGAATCTTCCACGACCAAGGATCCGATTCCTCCTTGTTCGGAGGGACTATACGACCCCCGCTGACCTTATCAAGGATCCACGTGATTGTGTTGAGGGTGATGTAGCTGCAAATTCCTGCGATCAGACCATAGGCAATACTATAGGTGAACGGCATGATCGCAATAGTGAGGAAGGCCGGGATCGCATCGCCGGGATAGCGCCAATTGATGTCTGCCGCAGCCTTGGCCATCAGTGCGCCGACAATCACGAGTGTGCAACCAGTCGCCCAGGCCGGGATGGAGGCGAAAATCGGTGCGAAGAACACGGAGATGAAGAAGGCGATGCCCGTCATGCATGATGTTAGGCCAGTTTTGCCACCCTCGGAGATACCTGCGCCTGACTCGACGAAAGCTGTTACCGGGGGACTGCCTAGCAGGGATCCGATCGAGATGGAGATAGCGTCGACCATCTGAATAATTAGTTAGGAGAGGATAGCTGGCTACGCTGGACTGAAACTCACGTAGGCGATGGCACTTCCTTCAAAGTCTTGGGTTTTCTCGTCAATTGCACCGGCAAATCGGGCCATGGAGTACATGGTGCCCGTGGTGTCCAGGATGTCGACGTACTGCATAACTCTGGGTCAGAGCTACCCCTAGAAGCCAGTTACTGGTTGAAAACGTACCAAAAATGTAATGAAAGCCAATCCGAACTGTCCTCCGTGGCCTGAAATGTCCCACTTCTGGACAGCGAGAGTGTGCTTGATGGGGTGGAAGGTCACGACCTGCTTGAAGAAGTCGAACATGCTCGTCCCCAGCTCCGTGTATGGGAAATAAGTCACGGGCGTAGTGCGTGGCCAGGAGATAATCGAGACCAGCAGAATGCCAATAATGACCGCACCCTTGACGCGATACATCATCAACAGCGCCGTGAGAACACCGCCACAGAAGATACCAACCCACATAGTCGCACTGCGCATCTTTTCACTGCTGAGACACAAGCCCGTCTCCGAATCGATAAACTGAGGCGCGCAGCCTGCAAGCTCGATAGGTGTATCCGATCCACCTTGAACCAATCCAATACCAGCACTATACGTCAGCCCGATGAGAGCGAGGTACAACCCTATACCGACACCGGTGGCAAGCTTGATAGAAGCTGGAATGGCACGCGCAAGCCATTGCCGCATACCGATCAACGTCAAGCCCAGGAACACCCATCCTTCCACGAAAACCGCAGTCAAAGCAACATCATACGGGACCATGCCAGATCCATGCGTGCCGACAACCGTGTAAGCGAAATATGCGTTCAATCCCATGCCGGGTGCGAGGGCAATGGGCAACTTGGCGAAGAGACCCATGCAGAAGGTAGACAACGCAGCGATGGCCGCAGTCGCAGTGACAATGTCGCGCTTGATTTCCTGCACACATAGCAGGTACTCGGCGTTGGTGTTGCAGTTATTGGCCAACCCCTCCGGCGGGCAGACACACGTGCCACCAGTCGCAGAAGTGATATTGCTATTGACCGAGATGATATATGCCATTGCGAAGAAGGTGGCTAGACCGGCGCGCAACTCGGTGAAGAAGAAGCTGCCCTTGCGCTCCATGGGCTATGAATGGTCAACTATACCATCCTCCCGTCAGGGCATGTCCATAGAATCACTCACATGGCCCGAGTTCTCAAGTCTGAACCATCTTCCCACGGGACTGCGCGCAACCTGCAGGTTGGTATTTTCGATCCAGGCCTTGAGACCCATAATTGCCCAAGTGAATAGGCTGAATGCTTCTGCAGAGCAGTGGATAACACCACAGTCGATGCGACGCTGTATTTAAGGAATGCACAAAGAAGAAGAAAAAGAAGCTTGGAAGCTCACACGAGAACCCCCGGTCTCTCCGCCAACCACAGTCCTCTGATAAGCCAGCAAAAAAAAATCAGGCAGACCAAGTTGCCCTCCGCCTCCGACATCCTTGGCGGTTCTTGGCAGGTTGCGTCCTGGTTCCCGGACGGTCAATTGGTTGTTTGTTGCCGATATGCCATCCATGGGTCCCGGCTCGGCAACCCAGGTGGGTCTGGAAAAACTTGACAGAACTAACTATTACGGGGTGAACAAGTTGATAAATGGACATAGGAATGGAGTATGCATAGTTTTCCAGACCTAGCAGATTTGTCTATAGGTTGAAATGCAAAGAATGTCCCCGCGCATGCACCTCGTGTTGAAACGCCAAGACGTGCTCAGCTGTCTTGGCAAGGAAGTCACTATCTTATTGAGAATATGCAGGGTTCAGCTTGACAAGAAAATCAGAGTGGGCCGGTCGAGATGCGAGTTGATCAGATCTCGCGTCTATGAGATACCGAACATTTTTCCCCCAGACAATGTGCGTCTGGGGTAGAAAGATGGCTGACTCCGATCGCGTCTACTGCTCGGGCCGCCGGTGCCGAGAGAATTATTAGATTGGTAGATATCGGATTTTCTCGGTGTCAGCATCTATAGAGCGGGCGATTGCGTATCCTGGTCCTTCTTCGTTTGCTGTTCTGAAATGGTCTATGACCTGGCAAACACCTGGATGTATTATCGCTAGACTGAAGCACTCGCCTCCTCCTCGGCCCGGGGATCGAAGGTAGGTGCAAACTTGGACTTCTTTCTCAGAATGGGCCCTACTTTGATGAACGCCAGAGATATTGGCACCATGATTAGAGCAAGACACCCGAGAAGTGTACCAGCTCATTGCACTCCCAGGTTCTGTCCGGGGCCGGAGCCTACAGTAGACCGATGTTGGAGGCGAGAAGTGTTGATGCGTTCGAGCTCGACGTTGTCGTGGCTGGTGGGTCGTCGACTGAGATTGTCTGGGGTGATGCATTCATACTGTGATGAGCGACAATTCACGCCCGTCGCGACAGTGCTTAGGTAGTCGCTATCTTCTGCCCCGAGCGGAAGACGAGTTCGCGTTCTCCATCTTGCTAGGCAGTTCAGCAGATGCTTATTGGAAATGCTAGCGACTCTAGGAGATGGCGTCCATGGCTTTCTGTAAGTCCAAAGAACCGAAGACTCGGTTCCTGTATGCTTCGGTTTCATTCCCTCGTTGAGTCGGCACCGGCTGTCTACAGCGTCATGAGTGTTGTCTTCCCTGATTGATCCGAACTCCGGCCGAACCCCGGGACGTTCTTCCCGTCATGGACAAGGCTTTGAAATTGAAAACCGTTGAAAATTTACCTTTGTTGCTGCCATTTCGAGAACTAAGAATTGTCAAATTACGAAAATATAAGAGATCTGGGTGCTAGCTGTTCGCGGGATGTGTAGGGATAGTTCGCGGGTAATGTTAATTGCCGACATCGGTGGCGTTATCAGTGCAGATCACCCACAAAATGTATAAATGGATACCCGTCGGGGTCTGAACCACTGTTTCGGAGCATATTTCCCTTCAGGACCAAGCGACCCAGTTGTTAAATTCTTGCCAGCCACCCCGGCAGTATGAATTGATGGTTCCCGGGGCTGGAGAACTCTCAAGACGGGATTTGCTATCACCTAGAAATTTCGCACCTTGACTGGGGTCCTCGATTCGAGATGTAGATCATTGATGGTTCCGCTTTCTGTGATCGCGAATAGGGCTGCAGATCCAAGCTGTGCAAAATGGATTCTGTGGCCGAGGCATATCACGTACCCGATTGGGACGGTCCCAGTGCCCACAGGGACCACTTCGCCTGCTTGGATTCCGCAACACTCACATTTTCATGATTCGTAATCACAGCTTGATTTCAAACCATGGTTCTAGTTGGAAATCATTCACGATCAATATGTGATCCCCTACCCTCTCTCATCTTTTCCTATCAACATATCCACCGATACCGAGCGCGTTCCTTTCCTCATGATGGCTGAGACACACGGCGACTGTGAACCCGTATTCAACTCGGTCCGCGAACTCCTGGCACAGCAAATCGCGAATGAATCCGAACTTGGTGCATCTATCTGCGTCAACATCGACGGAAAGAATGTCCTGGACATCTGGGGTGGCCATTTAGATTCCGAGCGCACCAAGCCATGGGACAAGGATACCCTGGCGGCCGTTTGGTCCTGCTCCAAAGTCGTCACCAACCTGGCAGCTCTGATACTTGTCGACCGCGGCCTGCTCGATCCGAACGAGAAGGTCTCCAAATACTGGCCGGAGTTCGCGGCAAACGGAAAGGAAAACGTTAAGGTGTCCCACATCCTGAGCCATTCTTCCGGTGTGGCGGGCTGGGAACCGGTCATCACTTGGGAAGAAGTCTACGACACGAAGAAATCAACGGAGTGGCTTGCGAAGCAGCCTCTCTGGTGGACTCCTGGTGAGCGCAACGGATATCACCTCACGAACCAAGGCCATCTAATAGGCGAGATCATCCGACGCATTAGCGGGAAATCGCTAAAGCAGTTTATCGCTGATGAAATTACTGGTCCTTTGGGCGCGGACTTTAGCCTTGGAGTCCCGGAGAAGGATTGGCCTCGCACGGCTGAGCAGATTCCTCCCGTCACACGTTCTACGGACGGCCCGGAACCCACAAGTGTCGCAGCGAAGGCGTACGCAGGGCCAGCTTTCAGGGCCGAGGAATGCATGACGCCCGGATTCAGAGGCGCTGAGATCGGTGCGGCCAATGGCTTCGGTAATGCACGTTCCATGGCTCGTATTGGCTCGATGGTTTCCTTGAATGGTATCGTCGATGGCAAGCGGTACCTCTCGCCGGACGTTATTAACCGCCTGCTTGAGGAGCAAGTCAGCGGGGTGGATCTAGTATTGGGGCAATTCTTCCGTTTCGGTCTTGGTGTCGGGCTCTCTATGCCTCAGACTGTTCCTTGGATCCCAGAGGGTCGCGTTTGCTTCTGGGGTGGCTGGGGTGGTTCGATGATTATCATGGATCTCGATCGTCGGATGACCATTGGCTATGCTATGAACAAGATGAGTGCGGGCACTTTGGGCAATGCAAACACCGAGCTCTTCGTGAGGGAGATTTACAAGATCGTGGATTCACTTTAGCTCTACTCAGCATTGAATACATCTCGAATTCAAGAAGTGACTATAAATATAGTTATTCACAAAGGCGTACCATATCATCCATAATTGTAGTCTGTTCGGGCCAATCCAGTTACCGGACCGGGGCTCTTTTCATCTTGCGCTCTCCGTGTGTGTTCACGTAGACTTCTTGGTCTTGCTGATCTGCTTTGGGCCCTCGGTCTCACGGAAGACCAGCTCGTCACGCTCCCACATAAGCTCGACGGCTGCTCCAGTCGGACCAGTCAATGCAGCTAAGAGACCAACCTTGACAAGAAGGCTTGGCCAGGAGACGGTGTTGAGGATCTGCTTGTGGGCAACAGTGTACAGAGTAAGGGCCCAGATGAAGACACCGGCGGATCCGATCATATAATCCCAGCGCAAGAAGACATGCACACCATCAGCCACCGAGTCCACCTTCAATCCAGACCAAGGCAACGGGACAGAGAACACCTTGGACGGGTGAAGAGAGTCAAGGAATCGGTCTTCGAACAGAGCAGGAACCACAACGGTGGCGAGGGACACGATCCAAGAAACAAGGTGGCTGAGGGAAGCATTCACGAATGCGAATGCATACACCCAGCGCAGACTGGACATCGAAGAACGTTGGTTGTCCGCGAAGAAAGGCGACAGGACGTAGTAGGCCACAGTGGTCAGAATCGAAACATAGGCGGGCCACGGCTGCCAAATTGCAATGGCAATCTGCTTCATGTCCACGGAGATCAAGTCAGGGGTCGGCAACACCATTGCGTGAGTGGGAAGCATGAATCCGATTACGAAGATCGCAGGCAACACGGCAAGAACTACGCGAGGAACGCGGATGTTGTCCGCGTGAGGGCGACGCGCCGTGATAGAGCATCCCAGCTGTAGGCCGCAGATCAGGGGTGCCGCGAACGCAAAGGTAAACAGCTGAGCTGCGAGGCCAAAGATCGCAGGGCTATCTCGGATGTCAGTAATTTGTAAATGCCCCGTTGAGAAAAGCGACCTACAAAGCAGCGATCGTTCCCGCATTCCCCTTGCGCCACGACTCCAGGACGACCAGGGTCCAGGCAGCTCCAAAAGTACCGGAAAAGCCAATGCTGTGGAGCAGAAGAGTTGGACTCTGTCCATCCAGCGCAGGATAGAAGAACACCGTCAACAAGCTCAAAATCCGGTCAATTGGTTCCACGCCGGTATAGTGAGTGCGCAAGGGTGCATTCACGCCCGGGAGCTTTCCGGAGTCGATGGCCTTGTGGCCCAGTGCATCAAGGCCGTTAATATAAGAGAAGTAGAAGATGGCGTAGAAGGCGAATGCGCTCAGCGAGAAGAGGACGTATCTCATGGTTGCGGTGGAACTCTCAATTAGCATCGATTGAAGGGAAGTTGCAAAATCCGGGGTTTCGCGTGGGGGTTCGAGCTGTTTATATCGATGACGCGCCGAGAATCATGTGTGGACCTTGCAGGCCGAGGCTGACAAGCACGTTGCTGTGAAGCGAACCGAAGTGTAGAATCTCTGATACGGCCGATCGGTACCGGCTGTCGATCACTGTCATTTTCACATGAACTACGCTTGGCTTCCCCAGGCTTCCGTCCACTCCTCGCGTTCTGCATACCCAAATGGGATTAGCCCGCTTACCCGGCACCCGTTGCAATGTGATTATGATTATTCAAAGCGTATGATAACTAATTTCGGCTCACCAAGAATTAAATGATTAGCTGAGTTCCTTCAAGGGGCTCAGTCGGTCTAAATGGCTGATTGACCTGGCCTCCCCCCATCCATTTTTGCTCGGACTGCACTATATCCTTTGTACGGACGTTTTAAATAAATCTAAAGACCTTTACATTCCCGGATGTCATGTAGCGGACAGTTTGGGGGAATTTTGATCGGATGGACCTTCTGTTGCGATCGGGACCTCGGCCACCACACGAGGCTCCACTATCTATGAACTTCAATTTTGGTCAATTCAAACCGATATACTATTTTCAGGGAAATACCGAGGAACAGTCTTAAGTACATTGTGTCTAAATACATTATCCACACGTCTTTCCATTACCTGGGTACGTAGGTATTTCGTGTTGAATATTGGAGCCCTCATCCTAAGGCACCAACACTTGTCGGCATTTCTCCGCCCTAGCGGCTGCTGATTGGTCAGCTAAGCCCATGAGGCTAAATAGTTATTTGAAACTGGGCTGCATGATCCGCGCGTATATGCATTATGCTCATCTACATCACCTTTTCCTTAGGTTTGTATCCAGTTCTTTTATGGACCACCGAGTAGCGGTGTGAAAGAATAGACCTATATGCATTTCCCTTAGAAAATAGTTCTCAAGTAGAGGGTATAAATACTCCCCTGAGAACAACCAGAAAACAGTATCAGAATATACCCTGAATTTCCACGTCCATCCTCTTTCATCTGACCTACCCCTTTATTTCTCAACATTTCTCAACTTTCGGATCTCTACGATCGCGATGGCGGGCGGAAAATATATTCCACTTTACTTAGACAACGCCACCAGTGAGCTTGATGTTGAGAAATAAAAGGGTGAATCAGATGAAAGAGGATGGACATAGAAATCGAGGGTATATTCTGATACTGTTTTCTGGTTGTTCTCAGGGAAGTATTTATATCCTCTACTTGAGAACTATTTTCTAAGGGAAATGCATATAGGTCTATTCTTTCACACCGCTACTCGGTGGTCCATAAAAGAACTGGATAGAAACCCAAGGAAAAGGTGATGTAGATGAGCATACTGCATATCATGCAGCCTAGTTGTGAATAGCTTCATGGGCTTTGGCTGACCAATCAGCAGCCATCGGGGCAGAAAGATGCCGAGCAATCTTCAACACTTGAAAGGCCATTATCATTGGCGAGTATTGCCTTGATCGTCGGAAACGGCTGGGGAGCTTATAAAGCATGAAGTCATCACCGTTCACCACAAAGCTTCCCTCGGCTCCAAGTGCGGGGAGTATGAAAGGCGAATGTGGAACAGTGACGAGTGGCTTTACAACCGAAAAACTAACCATGACTCAAGTCATCCAGACCAAATCCATCTACCACGGCCTTCCTGAATTCTCGCAGGACATTAACGGGCTCACCGCGATAGTTACCGGTAGTAACGGGATTTCTGGCGCCCATCAATTAAAGGTGCTTTGTGAAAGTCCTCGTCGATGGCGAAAGATCTACGCGCTGTCGCGCCGACCACCGTATGGTTCATGGCCGGATCATGTCGAGCACATACCGGTTGACCTACTGCAATCACCCGAAAAGATCGCGGCACAGCTAGCGGATAGAGGAGTGCATGCTGACTATGTGTTCTTTTTTGCCTATATCCAACCCGCTCCTAAGGAAGGGGAAGGGATATGGAGTGCGGCGGATGAGATTGTGACCGTCAACAGTAAGTGATTATAAGGCGAAGCTATGGGTGGTCTGAAGTCTAATAGAGAACACTCCAGCCCAACTTCTATCACACTTCCTTGAATGCCTGGAGATTAACAAGACCATTCCCAAGAGGGTGCTGCTGCAACTTGGAGCCAAATACTACGGAGTGCATCTCGGGCCTACCGTTTTCCCTCAAGAAGAGTCCGACCCTCGGGTTTTGATGGGCCCCAACTTCTATTACAACCAGGAAGACTACCTGAAAGCCTTTGCGCAGAAGCATGGGATCGGATGGAACACGACGCGCCCGTCCCATATCCTCGGGGCCGTCCCTGACGCAGCCATGAACTTGTGTTACCCTCTGGGGATCTATGCAACCGTGCAGAAGCATCTCAACCTGCCCTTGGAATACCCGGGCGATCCGGTCGCGTGGGAGCAGCCCATCTCGCTTTCGAGCGCACAGGCGAATAGCTATCTGTCAGAATGGATTGTTCTGACCGAAGATGTCAAAGACGAAAGCTTCAATGCCGCAGATGACTACTCTTTCTCGTGGAGCAAATTCTGGCCCAAATTGGCCGAGCGTTTCGACATGCAGTGGAGGGGTCCTGACACGAGTGATCGGGCCACTTATCAGTCGATTACGCTGCCCAATCGACCACCCCGCGGTTATGGGTCGCCCGGTGCGCTGCGATTCCGATTCACTCTGGTGGAGTGGGCAAAGGAGCCGGAGGTCCAAAAGGCGTGGGGGGAGATTGCTGAAAGACACGGGTTGCGAGAGAAGAAGTTCAGGGATGTGGATCGTGTCTTTGGTTTCACAGACCAGGCCGTGAGCATGACGTACCCCATTCAGCTGAGGTAAGCCTCCTCCGAGATAAAGTTCTGACAGTTAGCGCAAGAGGTACATGCTGACACAAGACCAACCAACAGTATGGCCAAGGCTAAAAAGAAAGGGTATTTTGGTTTCGTTGATTCCACCGAGTCGTTTCTGCATGTTATGAGTGACTTTGTAGAGTTGCAGATGTTGCCCGCTCTTCCTTAACAGGAGGGCATAAATGCAAGGTTTCCAGCCATATAAGCACACCTAGTCCCATAGTAATCCACGAAAAGAAGGCAGATGCGAAATGAAAGAAGCCAAAGAAGTGAAAGAAGCCAAAGAAGTGAAAGAAGCGAAAGAAGAGCCGAGTGGATAAAGGCGCGCATCACATGATGACCCCACTATTATGCACACTGACCGCCTGCCACGAAGCTACAAATTTGTTTTCACTCCCCCCGTATTGCCATTCCCCTAGAGCTACAGATACTTCTTACTTTTGGACTTTCCAACCACTTTTTCTTGCTCGATTGGATGGTTTCGGATCACGCCTTCCTCTTATGCTGCATGGGACAGGCGTATGCCTTCCCAGAGACCTTGTCAAGATGTTGAGGGAATCGGATATAGATTCCTTGCATGACCACCTCGCATCCTTGTCTGTGGAGAACAAAAAGCACAATGACAATCTTCAGAACCTGCTCAGCCAGTTCCAAAGCCTTCTGTCAGACTACAGCTCTCTGAAAAGCGACTACGAGGAAGTGAAAGAGGGCCGGGAGAAGTACAAACGACAGGCTCGTGGTCAGGTACGATCTATTAGCACTTAATTAAACTGCACTCATTTGAATCTCCAAGACTAATTGGATCACAGGAGCGGAACCCATTTGTACTGGTTCTCGTTGATGGAGATGGCTACCTTGTAAGATCATTCTCCTCATTCTATCATCTACGGTCAACCGGCTCAACCCTTCTTAGTTCAAGGAGCGCTTTCTCAAGGCCGGCAGCGAGGGCGGAATCGATGCGGCCCGCGAGCTGAGCGATTCCGTGAAAGAGCTAATGCACTCCACTATGGGACTGCAAGCAGAGAACTGCCGTGTCATGGTCCGTGTTTACGCCAATATGCTGGGACTGTCAAAGGTCCTTGCCCGCGCTGGCATGGTAGGCCACGAGGCTCGCTCCCTCTCACCCTTCGCCTCGGGCTTCAACCGCGCAGAGGGTCTGTTCGATTTTGTTGATGCCGCCGACAAGAGAGAAGGCAGTGATTTCAAGATCAGAGGTTGGTAACTCTTTATCACAAATCGAAGGAAGAGGAAGCTCTGCTAACCAGTACTTTGAATACAGAGATGTTTCGCCTATTTGTGGATCTCAATCAATGTCGGCATATCTACTTTGCCGGATGTCATGACACGGGCTTTGGCTTCCTACTGACCCCTCATCGGGGCAGTGACAAAATCACTCTTATCAAAGCCGCCTCTTTCCACCGCGAATTCGAAGGGTTTGATCTACCGATCAAGGAGCTGCCATCGGTATTCATGTCTACCCCCCTAACTACTACAAAACCAATCGGCCCCCTCAGCACAAAGGCTATTAATACCATGAATACCACCCCTGGCACCAATGGCACCAACGGAATCAATGGCACAAATGGGTGCAGCACTAAGCCAGTGTGCAAGCATTTCCAAAAGGTTAGTTACTATGAGTCCCTGCATCGCAGGCTACAGAATCTGATGTGTCAGTAGGGAATTTGCAAGTACGGTAACGGTTGCATCAAGCAACATATTATGCCAAATCAGCAGCTGTCTAAGCCAACGGATGAATCTCCTAAGAAACTATGGTCTACTCCAGCCATTGTCGGTCGCCCACTGGAGCTCTTCGCCACCACCTTGCCGAGCAAGGCTGAAGCCGAGGACTATATTCCTGTCAATAAGGATGGGGATCGCCTCGATGCATACTGCCCTCACCCGTCCGCGGATGCTATGGACCGTTACCACCGCCGTGCCAAGGAAGCCAAGGTCTGCAACAGCTATCATCTGTCGGGAGAGTGTGGTGATATGAGCTGTCCGTATGACCACAGTGATGTATCTGACACCATCATCGAGGTACTCAGGTACCTCTCTCTCCAGCACCCCTGCCCCAAAGGCGGTGCTTGCCGATCCATCAAGTGTTACTTGGGCCATATTTGCCAGAAGCCCAACTGTAAGGCCGTCAAGAGCTGGCAGTGCCGCTTTAACCACCGCGCGCACACCCTCGATCTCAATACCGACAAATATATTACACCGATCGAACAAAACGATGACGAGAACTCGCTGTCGCCGTCGGTCAGCGACGAGTCAATCGGAGGCACGTCCTCTCGGGACACCCTCTACCTCTAAGATGTTCACCAATTATCCCACACCGGTAAAATTTACACCGAAATTTCTCGCTTACTGACGACACAACGCGTGTCGATCCTGTATGTGTGAAATATTGCGAGACTACAAGCCACGATTCTGCAAAAGGGTGGGGTTGTTTGAGTTTAAGAAAGAAGGAGGTCTCTTTGTCCAATATTGAGTCAGGATAGAAATGGCGTGGATTTTAGTCGTCTCCATGAAAGGTCAGCTTGATTACGTCCTGATAGTCAAATGTTCCGTTTCTTGCCCTGGAATAGGTTTATCCACGCCGCAAGGTGTTTGGGTAATGCTTTCAAGGCAAAGAGCTTAGGACTTGCATAATCCAATTTTGGTAGCCTTTAATAAATTGTTTTTATCGCAGCAGCAACTTGAGGTGGTTTCAAATTTAACCATGTGAGGTGAAAAGAACTCTACATTGCTGTATGCCTAAATCTGGCAAAGTGTAGGGAAACCTGACTGCATAGGAAAGTAGTTCCATCAGATAACCAATTTATCCGGTCGCCATGTTGAGCATAAATCTAAGACGATCTTACGGCACCTATATGCAGGCTTTTTGCCATAACGGGATCCCCCAACTGTTGCATTCGTTCCGACATACATTTGAATGCACGTGACTTGGAGCCAGTGTGCAGTTCCTGGGATTAGTTGGTTGTCCGTGGCTCATCGTTCATTGAATATCCCATCAAGTAGCTGGGTGTTGCAGGGGCGTAATAGATACCTAAATGTCCAACATCAATCTAATATGTGTATATTGACATGGCTGGATTCTACCTTTCCTCCGAGCTTGTTGCCACGAGCACAGCCTAGATAGAAATCTTAATTCCACCCCCCTCTAAATTCCGGGTCTCCGAAACAAGAGAAGAGGCAGTTTAGAAATGAGAACATATCGGCCGAGACAGTCTACTGGTTCCACGGTAACACTGGCGGTTTGTGGGGCAAGGAGGTGTTCCAAAAGATCGGCCCGATTTTCTTCTTATCGAGATGATTGGCATATATTTGGATCTCAGGTATCTTACGCGGGCGGAAAGATGAGTTGGCTCATCTACCTCTCGGTCGAGAGCTATCGAGCACTATACACCGCACTCGAGTGCCGCTGAAGCCGACATTCGGTCACTCGCAAATGTATCCGGTTGCCGTACCATTTAACCGTGGTCAATTTTCGGTAAGGTTGAACACCAATGACGTCAAAAAAACTCTCAACTTTGGCGACGTTCAGCGAGAACTTGGTGACAACTATGATTCCTTGCTCACGTAGCATTTGGTATAAATACCGATCCCTTTCCTCCTCTATCCAAATCCCGAATATCATCCCTTTCCCCCTTTATCCCGACCCCGGAATTCCGTATCATCCTCTATTTTATTCAAAGTAACTCAGGAGCTTCTTCCAACCCACCGAAACTTTCTTGAAGGTCTTCTTCATTATAGATACAGCGAATATGTCCGACCCGAACAACCCGAACATCAAGCTTAGAACCACCCCCCAGTGGTCACTTTACCGGCGTGAAGCGTTTTGGAACTCGAACTTCGGCCAGTACCCTCTCTTCAATACTGGTATGTGATCTCGGTAGCTTTATTTGTTATCAATTCCTAATGAGTTGCCTCCGGCATTTGTGGTTTAGACCCAGCCGAGATTGAAAAACTAGCAAAGGAGAAGTTGTCCCAAGGCGGATGGTAAGTATTACTTTATTTTTAACGACTTTTCCTTTGATTTGCAAATGGCCTTGCTCACCTATCTTTAGGTATTACTCGTCGTGCAACGCTGGTGTTTCGTGGACCCATTTAGCGAATCGCCAGGCATTTTACCGCCATCGCATTGTGCCGCGTACTCTGGTTGACACCAACACCCGGGACACGGCCACCGAGATTTTCGGCCACAAGGTCTCCGCGCCCATCGGTTTTGCTCCTATTGGCATCAACCGCATCTATCATCCGACTGGTGAACTCTCTGTGGCAAAGGTTGCGGAGGAACTGAATCTGGCCTACTGCCTTTCTTCTGCTGGAAGCTATAGCATCGAGGATGTCGGAAAAGCCAACGGAGACGGCCCTCGCTTTTTCCAGCTATACCAAAGTCATGATGATGAACAGGCAATTTCTATGATGCAGCGTGCCTGGGACTCTGGCTATGATGCGTGCATGCTAACTACCGACACCTGGTCCCTTGGCTGGCGCCATAACGACGTCTTCACCGGCAACTACGCTTTCTATCATGACCATGGAGCAGGCGACCTTGGTCTGCAGGACCCTGTCTTCCAGAAACGCCTTAAGGAGGCTGGGATTGACCCTAAGACCCACCCTAAAGAGGCAGGTGCCAAGTGGATTGATGAGAACATCTGGCATGGCCGTGCCCATACCTGGGAAAAGGTCAAGTGGACGATGGCCCAATGGAAGAGAATCAGCGGTGGCCGGCCGTTCTGCCTGAAGGGTATCCAGAGCGTGGAATCTGCGAAGAAATGTGTTGAGCTGTTCGTCATTAGTCCCACATTCGTTTTAAACATTACTGACCTATCTTAGTGGAATCGATGGCATAGTCGTGACAAACCATGCCGGTCGCCAGGTTGATGGTGCTATTGCTAGTCTTGATGCCCTAGAGAAAATTGTCGACGCTGTTGGAGACAATATCTACGTATGTTTCCAGGAAATCAAGGATTTATAGCCGTAAAGAACAATAACTAATAACTACTTGCAGATTATGTTCGACTCAGGTGTGCGCAGCGCTGCCGATGCCTTCAAGGCCCTGGCGCTCGGAGCCAAATTCGTTTTCTTGGGACGCCTTTGGGTATGGGGACTTAGCATTGCCGGTGAGCCGGGTGTGCGTCATGTCATGAAGAGCTTCCTTGCAGAATTCGATATTCTGATGGAAGAAGCTGGCTTCCAATCGATCGACCAGATCGATCGTTCGGCTATCGACAGCCTCCCCAACACTTCCAACCTGATCGCTGAGCATGCCCGAATTTGAATATTGGAGTCTCGAACAATGAACAGCGGGTGATATATTCCTTTTACTCAATATTTATTATTTTGTGTATAGGTCAAATCAAAAAGAGCTTTAAATAGGCAATGATACGACAACCCAGTAAAATTTATGTTGCTCTAACCAATTTCTTGCCTAAGATTGTTGATAATAGCATAGTGAAAACCCTCTTCTGATCACTCATACTTGACTATTGCTCTGGTTTGATATGATTGGTAGAACTACTGGATAATGAATAAAGCTTCTTGCTTCCTTGTTTGGTTGATCTGAGAAATTTTGCAAAGGCAATTTTTGATCCAATGTATTCTGTGTTTTAAGCGAAAAAAAAAGGTAGTGAAAACTTGTTTGCGAATGATGTTTCCTTGAATTTCTCAAGGCGAAAGATCTAGATTACAATTTGCTGGGGCTAAAGTACGAAAGTCTATCTAACTGATAGAGATCCTCATGCTTAGATTTGATCATATCCGCAGCCTAAGGTATGTGTTAGCCACCTCGTCAGATATTGCAGCATTGTCACTCACTTTCTCGCCAATCATGTACACCGAGTTTTGAATACGGCAGTCAGGGATCACGGGGATGACGGACGCATCCGCAATCCTGAGGTTGCGCACTCCATGAACTCGGAGCTTCGAGTCAACCACACCTTGGTGGATGCTCTTCGAGAGTCGTGCCGTACCGCAGGGATCTGGGAGTTGCGTTAGTGCTATTGCGAGTGCTGGCGAGAAGGGGCGATCTTACGGAATCCCGTCTGGCTTCGATCCAGAACAGCCTTGTCCATCTCATCATCAGAATGGAGAGGCATTTTCCAGGGGTACTCGCGGACGACTATGTCCTTGAACCCAGCGCCGTTGGTCAAAACATCATATGTCCATCGCACGCCCTCACGCATGGCCATAATGTCCAAGTCATTGGCAAAGAAGTTGAGGTTAATGTTGGGCTGAACCTGGGCGTTCGAGCTGTTCAGGGTAACCTCGCCCTCGGACAAGGGTCGCAGCAGATCGACAATGACAGTCATGTAGCTTCCCTGCTCTGGTAGAGGGAAGTGCCACTGGAATGCGCTGCTAAATAGGCCGACGAAGTCGAGCTCAAAGTGAGGCTGGCCCGCGGGTCCAAATGGATCCAATCCACCATTCGCAACCTTGGCCTCACGGTAGGCTGGGTACTTTTCTAGTCGTTCATCAATGCGAGGGAATCCCACAAGCTCCAAAAAGCCGGAGCTTGCAGGGCCTGTCTTTTCACGCTGGTAAGTTGCCAGTGCCTGGTCATAGAGAGGACCGGGTCGGAGAATGTGATCATCCAGGCAATAGCCATCCTTGACCTGAAGTACGAAGGGCACAATTGGGTGGTCCAAGAGATGCTGACCAACGTGATCGGAGTTAACAACAAGATCGATCCCATGCTTAGCTAGTTCCGCCGCTGGGCCGACACCGCTAAGCATAAGAAGTTTGGGCGTTTCAAAAACACCTTGAGACAGAATCACCTCGCGAGTAGCATAAATGCTGATCTCGGTCTTGGAGGCCTCGTTGATCACAGTGACACCGGAGCAAATTCGTGTTGTCGGATCGATAATCAACTGCTTTGACTGAACGCCATAGAGGATTGTCACGTTAGGCTTGTTCTTCAGATATAGGAAGCTACCCTGTCGCTCGCCCTTGTGAATGGTGTCTACACAGTGCGTGAGACCTTTCATTTCTCCTGAAAAGATATCCTCGGTCAGAGGCTGGTCTTTAGAGACCCAAGCTTGAGTAAGGGCATCGCGGAAGGGTTGCATCTCCGGAACCAAGTCTGCATGGGAGATTTGCACAGGACCCCCGGTCCCAATCTTGCTCAGTTCGGCCGGATACATCTTCTCATCGTCGTGATATGTGGCGCACTTGCGCAGATAATCCACGCAGCTGTTCCAGTTCCAGTCTCGACCGCCAAATTTCTCCCATTCGTCAAAGGTGGCTTTCGAGCCCGGGATCCAGGTGAAGTAATTGGCACAGGAACTTCCACCGAGGGCCTTTCCACGAGTATTGGGCTTTTCAATGCGCTCGTAGTCGTCGCGCTTTATCATAGTCGTTTTGTAAGCCCAGTCATACTTGCTACCGCGAAGGGTGAAGGCTTTTGACGGCGTGGATATTTCTTCGATTTGGTCCGGGTTCGGAATACCGGCTTCAACAACCAGGATACGGACGTCGGGGTTTTCAGCGAGTCGACCAGCAACGACATTGCCAGCCGTACCACCGCCGACGACGATAAAGTCGTACTCAGAGCCATTGGAGACGGTTGCCATGTTTGAGGGTTGTGTTTGTGGAAAGATAGCCGTGGAAGGTGGGTGTGTTGTGGGTTCAATGTCTTGAAGATTTGATGTGTGAAGCAGATATTGACAGGGCAAACTGTCGGTTTTATAAGGTTATATCTTCATCTTTGCCGGGTTCCGAGCGACAACATGGCAACGTCAATCCTTCGCATTGGTAGTGCTACTCAATACAGTTAGTTGGTAGCTCCAGGGGGCACTAATAATGGAAGGCGCATCTGCGGCCTTTGTCGTCACTAGAGTGGGCACCATATTGGACGGTTATACCGGCTGTGCTTGACCCCTCATGAGGGGAAAAAGAATCCCCACACGAATCTGAAATCAATTCTGTTGAATCGCAGCCACGGTCACTTCAACATGGGCAGTGTGGGTATGACGGATGCTGCCGAGCCCGGCAAAAACTCGGTGATAACTTGGCACTCGTATTTGAACCTCGGCCCGCATGTTTTAAGAATTTCCGTGACGCATGCATGTACTCGGAGAGCGGTGACTAGCTTTGCCACGATAACTGAAGAGCCCTGGCTGGTCCGATCAGGACTAACCAATACGTAGCAGGTGTTGTAATAGAGATCTAAACTAGGCACTTGCATGAGATTCCTTAAAAATCCTTCGCCGAGTGTTTCTGCTCCTGTGTAAGGGGTACACCGGTCAGGAACCAGTTCGTGGTCAGGCTGGTGTACCATGAATAAACAGGGCCAAACAGAGGGGCCACAAAATTGGCCCAGAGAAGATCAACAACTCAGCTGATGATGATTGCTTGGGCACCTCCGAGTAAGGGATCTCATTATCTTGGATCGGGTTGTCATATTCGGTCAGGAAAACAATCACATTATTACTGTCTTGACGTACGCACTCGCAAGAAGAAGGCGTCAGAGATAATGGCTAATAGCACGAAGGAAGGCACTGAAGAAAGGCCTATTGTCATGCTCTATGAGCTATCATAAGGCTATCTACTTTCCAATGCCGCGGATTTTACAGTAGGCCTCTTGAACCTCCTCACGAGAGTCCATCAGACCGAGCCACTTGGTGATCAATGGATAGTTGTCCAAGGAAAGGCGGGCAAATGTATGTTGCCGCACCCAAGGCTCAAAGTGGTAGTCGACCGCCGTAACCCGGCTTGGGAGGATACTTGTGCCTCCCGACTTCTGCAACTGCCCCTCAAGGACATCGTAGCAGCGATCAGTCTGCTCCTGGTATCTCTTCAACGCATCGTCGTTCTTGGTCGGGTGATAATGTCTTTACGTGGTAACTGTTATTGCAAGGGAGCTTCTCGAGGTGGAGAGTGTACTAACGTGAACCAGTTCGTCTGGCCAGTCATCGGACCCAGGGTCGTGAGCAGGAAATATTCCCACTTATCGAAATCAACCAATTCCTGCGCCGAACCACCGGGAGGCCCGATCGCGTTTCCGATGTCGTATACTCGGCGGACGTAGTTCATGCATGCGCCAGATTCCCATGACACGACACCTGTGTTTGGGTCTTCAAGGGCAGGTACGCGGCCGTTCTCGTTGATCTTCAAAAATGTGGTGCCTTTCACTCCAGTGTTGGGGTCGTCACTGAAGTCCCACGTTTTGACGACGTATGGGATGTGGAGCGACTCCAACGCGATCGCGATCTTAACCGGATTTGGACCCGAGGAGTGGGCGTGCAAAATAAGGGGTTGTAGATGAGCGTTCATGATGTACGTCCGAGATAATGTTCTTTGAAATTGTTCTTGGGAGTTGTGAAATGTTTCGTGAGGGGAAAACCGAAGAATGCGGAGGGGACGGGTATGAACTCGAAATGATGTCATGGAGTGATGTATGGAAAGCTGAGCCGTTTAAGTGCAAGCCCGACCTTATTCAGCCTGTTGATGCTTGGCACTACAGCCCAGCAATCACCGAGGAGCAGGACTCTGGTGCGAGAAGTACAGCTAGCAGAAGCTGGAAGCAAACTTCCTCAAAGTATCTCCAACCTACTCGACGGCACGGTTTCTACGGGACTCCGGTGTCGATTGCATTGACTCCGCTTCTTGCAAATGGCACAGAGACCAATCTTACTTGATAAGGCATGCTGATTTCAGCTCGCTTGAAAACACGCAATACACCATCACAGTACCGACAAGTCAAGGGAATGTCATTATACCTCAGCTGGGTGGCAAGCTGTCGTTCAATGACCGCGATTCTAAATTCCATGTTGCGGATTACGATCTTGGCCGCATGAATTTGGTTTACTCGTCTGCAGAGATCTTCACTTGGGCTCGGGGTGCCGGACTGACACGTTTGGTGATTCTGTATGGCGATGCATGCGAAATGCATGAGCTCGCTTTATCCCGCCATATTGGGAATCCATCCGTTGTCAAGGGAAGCAATGTTACGATCCGTCAGATGAATGCCACATGTGTGATACAATGGGCCGTCAGCCCGATCGCCGTTCACTTGGACACGTAAACCAGGTACGTACTAGTTGGTAGACAGGAAATAGGAGTAGAAATGTCATCAAGATTTCGTATCCCGAAGGAATCGTGGTATCATGAACAAAATAGTCTATAGCCGCCGAAAGTCCCGCGAGTAAGAACCATTAAAAATCGAGAATGAGAATCAGCGGATGAGTCCGCGATTTCAAACAGAAATAGCGGCAACCAGGGCATCCAATGCAGAACTCTGAGTAGAAGCATTCGTGGGATCGCTCGGCGCACCAGACCAATCAACGCCGAGTTGACCCTTTGCGTTTCGGTCGTTGGCCCAGATACTGTTCGCAGAGCTGATGATCACCTCCTTGTAGATGTCGTGGGGTGATACGCGCTGCAGCATTTGCAAGTTGCGCATGAAAATGCCCTTGAATTGAGTCGCGTCGGGCTCGCAGTTGTTGGGCTCACACCAGTCATGTAAGACCTTGTTGGAGTCGGTCAAGGTCTCAATTGCGGCCTTTGCGATTTTGTTAGCGAACTCGAGGTAAGTGTCGTTGGGTGCGGCCTTGTTCAGCTCGACGAGGCCGCCGAGGACAACACCTTGGTTGTAGGACCAGCTGGAAGAGATACCGTTAGCGTGGACAAAATGGACTGCTGAGTGGTGGTGAACATACACGGTGGCACCGTTGTTTTGGCAGTTTTGTAAAAGTCCATCGTTGATGGTGTTGTTTGCACCGATGAAGCCCTGGGCCACGAACCAGTTCCACTCCTTCTGTGCCCAATCGACGTAGTACTGTTTCCTCGAATACACGCGATTCGCAAGGTGTGCTGCGGTAGAGAGGAAGAGCTCGTTGGTAATTGCGTTGACGTAGGTGTTGCTCGGGTTCCATGGAATGCCACCGCCACTGCAGCGGGTACCCCAAGCCTTGGTCTGCGATGAAATTAGTACCAAAGAAATCCGATAGAGGAATAAACCAAACATACCAAGTCATCGAAAATTCCTTCCGCCAGCTGAAGATATTGGTTGTCCTCGGTGACATCGTACGCAGCAATCCATGCAAGGGCCCACCATGCGTCATCATCATAGGCCGAATCAACCCACTCCGAGGCATTGACAGCGCTGTTTACCCGCATGTTCAAATCACGCGCACTTTTGCTCTTGATCTCGGGGCCCGGGTGAGGGTTCTGGGCAGGAGCCTTGATCAATGTGTTGTTGAAAACGTAGGTCGCGGTGTCCATGACAGACGGATCAACCAAAGCTAGATCAGCAATAGCAGTCATGGCATTGGCGCCATTCCACCATCCACATGTATCCCAGAGACCAGTACCGTTATTGTACCAGCCTTGAAGCGTGTTCAGAGCATCCTGCGCTCTTGACCTCGCATCATCGGCAACCGTAGCACCTGAGAAAACAAACGTGGTGAGCGAACAGGCAAGAAGACCGTGAGAAGAGAACAACATGATCCAGGTGTGCCAGCGCTAGAACCTATCCAGGTGAAATGTCGGCGCATGCGCCCTGTTTAAATACACGGATTGGATCTTCAGGTCAGGTTCCTGGACACATAATCCAAGGGCAAAATAAATATGCATTCTTGAGGCCGAAGACCCTTGATTGGCCGGAAAGCCCAGATGCACTGGAATGATCCACCGGCGCGCCTAGGCGAAACCCCCTGATCTGCGTGATCGACTTCATTGCTGCACGGCTGAATTTTGCGATTTGTAGACAGTCGGCAGCCCGATCATCTCACCCGACCCGATCGCATTGACCTCGGCCGGCTTGAGAATTGGCGTATCTATCAAGGGATGGCTAGTTCCGTGTTCACGCCAAAGCTAAGACGGACTACGATAGACCCGCATCCCTTGCAAGGCCCCGCCGTAGCTCTCCATCTTCTCCTGCAGCTGTGATACATATGCGTGGTATGACTGAAAACTTCTCCGAATTGTTTTCGAGACCCGCTCTCTATCCACCCCTGAGCCCGAGAGGGTCCTATATGTCTAAAACCGTCACTGATTCGCGGGACAATCAACTCCCTTGCCCCGATGGACGGGCATTTCCGTGGGTCGGTCGTAGATAAAGTTGATTGGGCGACCGTTATCGCTTGGGCTCCGATCACTTTAGCGCTTCACCAACCCTGATAAGTCCTAGTTAGACAGCACGGACTGCACTCTATCATACTGATCTCGTGCAGCCTCAACCTCCCATGGCTGAATTAGGTTTATGCACTCAAGCTAGACACGCTGGAAAGTTTCCTCGCGTGCATGAAACATGCATTGTCTCTCAGATGCACCACATGTCAATGCACACCTACTGTTCTGACGTCAGCTGGAAGTCGTAATTCTTCCCCGGCGCTAAATGCCTCAGTATATCGGAGTGGTTGCGATATGCTTTTTAAGCTCTGACACCGATTGCTGTACCCGCTCGCGAAACCAAGACATGAAATTTTGGCGCGTTGAATTAATTTTCCTTTCTCCAGCCGTTCTTCCGCAAGGCGCTCGGTCGCCAGGGCAAGACATGCATCTTGGTGAAATGGAAATGTGTCCTCTTTGATAATGGCGATTCAGCTCGCTCGGACCACAGAAAACCTAGTGAGACATTAAGTCGGTGAAGCCAAATATGGAATTGAGAGTGTTGTTGCGAACAAGAGGTCATCAATAAACGGGAGAGATTCCGGCACTCATTGAAGCTCAGATAGGCCAAGATCGATTGTTCTTGAGTAATTTGATTAAAAAGAGAATTTCTTCGCTCGCAGTATCCTACTGATGATAGCTCGCTCTCCTTTAACGCATATCTAGCACCCTAAAGTAAATGAAGTGAGGAGACTGACTGTATTCAAATAGGTCGAAATTTCTAAAAATCACAAAACTCTTCTTTCCATTCCACTGGGCCTACTTCTTCAAGCTTGGCGCTAAAATCCTCTATTATAGTTCGGTAACCAACTACACAGCTATACTCAATAATGTCTGTATAGCTATTCCTATACTCGGCCTTCTTTGCATCCTGCCAAAAATGCGGCCATAGTATTAACTGGACTTCCTGGCTATACAGGGATTCTGTTTAGGTGGCCCATCACTGCTCGGGATGATGTGACTGGTCGAGTTCACGATGAGGAATACTAAACCCCATAGCTGGTGGGCATATACCCTTAAGTTGGGAGATTTGGGCCCGCTGGGCTTCTGTCATAGGTGCCGAAAAGTAGACCTAGAACAATTGAACGAATGATGATAATAAAGAACTAAACTAATTTGCCTAGCTATGTACTACCTCATAAGAGGCCACAGGTACTATTCCTCTAGCCCCAAGATTCTCCTAGTAAAGCTGGGCGGAAGGGGATGCTCTAAAGTCCTTTAGAGCCGAGGTTGTTTGCCATACTACGGACATAAATTAGTGGACTAACGGTTCATGCCTTTTGGTATTACTCATATGTTACCAGGATAACTATATTAGGACGCTCCTGGACCCTTGCCCACACAGAGCCCCTGTGGTCTGGATGCTGAACCAGCGGTTGGAAATATTGAGCCCATTGGGTAGTATCAAGCTCCTCTCTAGGTGGGACTAATAGTTCTGTCCAAACAGTGATTCTAGGATTGTCGGGCTCGTTTCCGAATTCCCGCGGGCGAGGAAGCAGCATAATAGAAGATTTTTGAGATGAATTGGGAGATATGAAGGATAAGTAATTTCTCTAGCGCAGTTACCTTAGCTCCATTAGCCAACCGCCACCGCCTACTGTCTTTAGCGATGATAATACTTTTGTGTGCGTTATAGTGGAGGTGGGCCCCAGACCAGTGGGGCGTTGCAACGGACAGGAACTTCTTAGCGTTAATAGTTAAGATAAAAAGCAATGGAATCATTCGCATACCGAAATTGATACCCAATCAAATACCTAACAAGATGTTTCGCAGATAATTCTCGGATGCGTCAAGTTTTGCGAGGTCGTTAATTCTGAGTCATTCCTCCCGAGTGGAGATCACCAACATCCTCCTCTCAAAGTTGCCATCACGTCTTTCTCGGGTACCTGTGAGCTAATAAGCTACTTCATACAAATCACTGGCGGACAATCCCAAATCGCCGAAGTGATTTCATCTTTCGGTCAGGTCCTGTCTTGCGCTCCGCGACGTAATAATGACCGAACTGCCTCGCTACTCCAAAGATGGCATATCCATCACCAAGGCCATGCCTGAAAATATCCCAATGATCAAGACTATGGTCGACGCTGCATATTTCAAGTACATCGAGCGAATCGGTAAACCACCAGCTCCAATGACGACGGATTATCATCAACTCATGCATACGCACGAGATTTTTGTCCTGCAAAAATCCAATGGAAAGATAATGGGCTCCATAATGCTCCGATCTGACCTCCCGTCGGATTCTATTGAGATCAATAACCTAGTGGTCGATCCCTCAGCCCAAGGCCTTGGATATGGGCGAGTTTTGATGGGCTACGCGGAAGACATTGCAAAGTCACGGGGTCACTCTGGCTTGACGCTCTACACAAACGTCAAAATGTATGAGAATCTGGGGCTTTATGTCAAACTTGGCTTTTCCGAGACGGAAAGAAGGACGGAAGATGGATTTGAGAGGGTATACTTTCGGAAATCTTTGGACTGAAGAGAGCAACCCGTTCAGGCTTGTGTGGGTAGTGTGTATGGATACAACAGATTTAATTTTTGTTATGTGACACACTGAAAGCTCTACGATTTTGATATTATTATTGCAGTGATTTTTAGAGACCAACTAGGCTATCGGATATCAAAACCCCACTATATGATGTTGAAATCTTCATAGAGTAGCGAGTCGTTTTGCTTTGTGGCCCGCAATTGCCAATTAGCACAGACCGAGCAGGCAAGGTACAGCGCACACCCAACTTTAGCACAAGATGATCAGGGGCTATATTAGCTATTCAATCTGAGATGCCGTGATTTCATACCATCCTACCGCAATCCTACGTGATCCACAATTCAGAGAATTTGTGAGAAGATTGTTTCTCTTCTCTTCAGCACTCGTATTTCCCCTGCTTTGCGTCCTTCTTTCGTAGCTAGCTTAATGTTCCTGGTCTCCTTGGACAACATCAGTATCCTATAATGGCTGTAGTGTCGGAAACTGCCATTTTTGCAGACACCTGTGAACCGGTCCTGAACGCCCAGCTATCTATGGGTTGCCGCGGTTGGTGGAATTGATCAAACTGAAAAAAAATGTGTATTGTCTTGTGAAGTATTTCTGGAAGTCCAATCCAACGGAGTGGATATACATGAGTATCTTCATAATCCATGCCACCACAGACCAGAAGGCACCTTTGCCCCCTTTCGAAAATATGTACAAAGCTCAGTCATGAACGAAGATCAGGGTGTGAGAAGTCGTAGAAAGGTAAATAAAGAGAAAAGAAAATGTCAGAAAAGGGGAGGCACCAACATCTCACGCCGAGATCATAGAAAAAGGAAGGCGAAGAGGTTATTAATAGGGTGCAACACTGAAAAGATTCGTATATGCAGCGATCATGAGAAAAGCACAAATCCTGGAAAATATGTAGCTTGAAGAATTTCGGTTGAAACAGCGCTTGATTTATCGTCGCCACATCTTTCGCGATGGGGCTTCATGGAAATCGTCTTTCTGGAAGTCATCTTTGCTCGAGCGCTCGCTGGAACCTTCTCCGGGGTATGCAGGTTCGGTTGTGATCTCGATCGTTGTCTCCTGGAACACCTTGCCCATTGGGCTCATTTCGACACCCGGTTGCACGATGTTGTCGGTGGAGCCCTCCCGCTCGATGATGGTGTCGTCGCTAGGGCCCATCTTGCGAGTTGCGGGATGAGCGGTGATGGTTGTGAGGTGGGTGTCACCGCGGCGTCCCTTGCTACTGGCGACCTTGTTATAGGAGCGGTCGCCGCTGGGCTCGGAGTCGACGATGAGAGCGCGGCGGGTAAGGGTGTAGAGAGTCACGTCGACAAGACCCGAGCTGGTCATGATGGCACCTGTAGGAGCAAAAGGTTAGTTGACCCGAGTCCAGCGAAGAAATGTTGTGACTTGTACTAACCGGCACAGCAGAAGAAAGTGATGGAGGGAGTGCTGCCGTTAGCGGTAGCCATACGACCCGCAGCAAGCGGCAGCGATAGAACGATATAGACAATGGGGTAGATCGTCATGTATCCGACCACACGTCTCAGACGCTTCAAGCTCTCCAATTGACTATTTCCGAGGATAGATGATGCAGCAATTTGTTTTCGGAGCTGAAAGTACATGACGGAGTAGAGACAAACCGTGCCGAACCTGATGATATCCCGGATTAGCGTTCAGAAGACCCAATAATGACAATTAATACTCACTCAGCCAGGAAAATCCAAATATAGTGAGTCCAAAGACGAACAGTCTCGTATTCCTCGCTGATCCAGCACCAGGCACCGGAGGGGATGAAGACGTCGGCTCCGTACATTCCCAGTGGAATGATCACGATGAGGGCAATGAAAGACCACACGCCAACGACGAAGCAGATGAATACTTTGTGAGACAGCTTCTTGCCCCATACGACAAGCAGAAAAGTGTGGAAGGCGATGGCAAGCACAAACAGGCCGGATCCGGGGTCACCGATCTGAAGCCAAAGACCCTGCAAAAAGCACGCAGCGGTGCCGGACTTGATCTTGTCGGTGATGATCCATTTGAGGCAGATAAGGAAGGCAAGGGATTGTTGAAAGTCTGCCAGGACCAGGTTGTAAATCAGGATAATATACTGGTTGTAACCAATATATCTCTGGTAGTTTCCTTTCCAGAAGAGCAATCGGTAGGTAATGAAGGAGAGAAGACCTCCCGTGGCAAGGAATGAGAGAAAGGCCAGAATGGAGACGGCAATGAGACCCTGCCTTTGCGCCTTGGGCAAGGGATCAATATCCAACGTGACTTGGTTGGTCAATCGGCGGTCCAGTTCATTTCCTAAGGGGTCGGTCCTCTGCATGAGGCTCATTAGGAAGAGGGCGGCCATTTTCGACAGTCTCTGTGTAGTCACAGATCAAACTATGAGCTGTTTTGTAAAACCATCCGACGCGCGAACGGGCAACGAATGTGAAACTGGTCTCGAGAGGATATCGGCGTCAGAGGTAGAGGTCGAAACTCGCTCAACGTGCACCGACAGGAAAACCGAGACTATCAAACGAACAATCGATCCGTTGATACCTCGAGCCTCACCCAAAAATGACCGGACGGGAAAAATGAAGGACGACAAGGGAGGCAAATAGAAGTGCGGAACAAGATTATTAAAGTTATTTGAGCCCAGATCCGCAGCGATGGGACAGAAGCCACAAAGATACTCAGTACCGTGAAGTGAACTCTAAAGACACTAAAGCCACTAGATTAAGAAGAGCATAAGGCCGCTAGACTAAGGAGAGGATAGAAATCGGATTCACACAGGCTTTTCCCTGTCATGATTGGGGACTCCACGGTAACACCTTTTTTTGGCACGGTCTTAGGATCATCTCCGTTAGGGCCGGTAGCAGAGTCCATGACTGATAGTCTTGCACGATCCAGAATAGCAAAAATTGGCTCCACTTTCGGGCCAACTCCCTCAGACAAGTGGGGAGATGTGGGAAGTTTCTGCCACGAGAAGTCGAATAAAACGGGGCATCGGTTGGCCCAGACGGCTAATACCCACCACGATCTCCGCCCAAGCCTGCCCTATGCCAAAAAGCCACGGAATTGGCCGGTTCAGGGACGCCACTATCCATGGCAGGAATCGGAGCATTGTCAAAAGTTCTTGTTTTTAGGACGGTTGTCAGACCGGTGAACTTTGCGGGATGTAAGCATATGAAGTAACGCCACAAACTTACTCTCCGCGTCAGGTCCGCTATGGAGGAATGAGACAACGGCGCCGACCACTCACAGTCTTGGATCCCATCATCCTTGTTTTTGGGGCTGCAGGGGCAAGCCTTCTGGAACGCTAGCGGAAGACATGGGCAAGGTTCACCGCGTGTCGAGTCCACGAAAGGTGATGATGCGCGACTGCGCTCCTCAAACGAACTAGCGCGGTCAGTGGATGGAGACCGGGCACGATCCGCGAGGAGATCAAGGACCGGGATGGTAATGGTGACACACGGCACCTCTGAGCCGCTAGCAGCGATCGTGGAGATTGCGCAGCTCCTATTCCCATCCGTTCCACAGTGGAATGTGCGCCCCGAGCAGACCGACATTAGAAAACGGGCGAAAGAATGTAGAAACGGCAGTTCCCGCACCGCGACCGAGGACCACGTTCCAGGGCCAGCAAATTTGACTTCAGCCAACCAAACAAAGACGAAGACAAACCCACCGTAGGATGATGATGAGCATTCGGGACGATGCACCTCAGCCGTATTTCAGAACCATGGTTATCATTTGCCCTGCCATAGGGCCCACCTTAATTGATTCTCCTTCACCTGCCCTTTTTCCACTGGAAAAGTTAGCTCCCCCCACGCTAGGCCTGCCGATCTAATTTCGACGTGGCGTCGGACTCGAATCTACGGAGTAAACAGGGTGTCAGGGAAACTTTCTACCGCTTTTGCAATGTCGGAACAAAGCCTTGTCGTTGGCCCTCACCAGTCACTCCCCGTCCCACCGAACCTTCTTTTGCAGATTCACTCCTCCCCGCCGCGAGATTGATATCTAGCTTTCGATAGTACCGAAAGGCTATTCGAGACAATTTGAGCCCTGCCCGTGCCCGTTTTCTTAGAACCGTGCCTCTTAGTTCGATCTAGCTCGACAGTCCGGGGAAGGGCCAGGCCCAGGATAGATCTTCAATAGATGATTGAAGCCCCTGTAGCCGATCCTCCCAGATTTCAATCCCTCCGGGCAGTCGTCATGTATTGTAACTGCCGAAACACGCCCCTGATGACATGGTTCGTGAGGAATAAAGAAACTCTCACCTGAGAAGGAATCGGCACTGCTGATCTCCATCTTAGTGCAAACCGTTTTCCTCATTGGGTTATGAGTGGATGACATTTTCAAGCGCTCATCTCCGCGCTCTCATCTGAGATTTCCCGTTCTAGCTGACCGTCACCATGAAATCTGCAGAATAAGGTTTGTTAGTAGGCAAAATCAGACGTTTCCAGGCCCGTGCTGGACGCTCACGGATTATTTCGACCGTGTACCGGTCCCTTGGATGATCATGGAGATCCCCAAGGACTAGACTTTCTAAGGGACCAAATGCGACTGTCAACAGACAAGTTCCACCAGCCCCCAGTTTAGGCTGTGGAATTGGAGTCCAGAGTTCAATATTGCGGCAATGCCAACCGAGGTGCGATAGTTCCATAAACATGTCTCAGGCGTTAACCCCTCCAAATCCAATATGCAACACGTCGTGACCAGGCTGTCGGGTCTCAATGCTTCTGTGACTCGCTGGGGCGCACGGGGATCTTCTCAAATCTCCGTCGGGGCTCTATGGGTTTCAATAGTTTAGCAGACTTTGCAAATCTCAACTTTATCTACTTCTCGATCGACCGCCCTATTGATAAGCCAAGCAGACGGATCGAAGATCGGGCGGGTCATCTGAGCCGACGCTCTGGTCAGAAATCGACCCCAAATGCCCATTTTTGAGGAACGGAGCCCCCATTATGCGGAACATCGAGGGAGACCTTGTAATGGCCCAAGCTGTACTCCATTTATTCCGGATTCCACCGTAGAAGGTTCGGATGGCGTAATTGATCAGGTAACAAAATATCCAGTAAACTTTTGCGGTTGAGTCTGACACCATCTTTTGAAGGCTTGGGATGAACATGTCTACAAGGTCCTTGTGGCCTATGCTGATAACTTATCCTTGCACAAAAATGAGCATATATCTCCCGTCCAATTTATCTGTACCACTAAGCCAGGTTCAGTCACCGGATCGCGTTTGGTCGTTTTGAATTGGCCAAATATACTCTTTTGCAATTAGTCTTGAATATGCTGCACGGGGAAAACGGGCAAGCAAACAAGTAAACAGCCCATCAGAAATCTCACGGGGTCTCGACAGGATCCTTTGGACGAGATGGGTCGCTCCAAAAAGCGTTTCCAAAAGTTGCGAAGGAACTGGCTACCTTAAACAAGCTTTCCCGCCAACCAGAGAGGAAACATCGGCAAAATTTGCTTACTATCACAAACTGCTGCTTGCCTTCTCCACACATGGACCAATTGACCCCAACGTCGGGGTTCTGTACCAAGGACCAAATCGTCCAGTCTATGGATTATTCCAACCCTAGGAGTAGCATAGTAATGGCATCACCGGCGATCTAATGAGGCACGGTAGTGCAAAGTCCTCATTATCTCTGTCCCTACAGCGGAAGAACGAGCTCCCGGAGTTATACCTTATTCGCACGGAGCTGAGAAGTGAATGGTGGGAAACTTCTCGAAGTTCTTCGGTGAGAGAAAGAGACGGATGGGGCTGAGACGCAATAGGGCAATCCAGAGAATTGCGAGGCATCTGTCCCGTTCAAAGGACTTCCCAACCGTTCTTAAGAGCTCGCATATCCCGGAGAATCGAATGCACGACAGCCTTTACCCGTCTGCTCGTTGGCATCGGGGAGTGGTTAATCACAATCTCTCTTCACTACCATGTTCTGGAAACTATCTGTGACCAGCTATGATAAATGAAAAGCCTGGGCCAATACACACCCTCTTCCCGAAGAAGGGCTCCGGCCAGGAAAGCGAGCGTCTGTGGGATATCTAGGTAGATAACTTGGCAATCGGTTTGTCGTGGGCAAATGTTGGTGGGGTCCACGGATGTTTTCAGTAGGTAGGTCTCCAGAGATTGCCATCTATGACTACTGTACTTGATTTATGATACCGAAGGGCGGATATATATCCATCTCCCGGGCTGATCGATACTAGCCATCAATTTATTTCAGCTTGGAACAGATTTAACATAAAAGATACCCGTTGGCTCATGGTATTCATAAATCATAATAAAGAATCGGAAAGGCCAAATGACAAACAAAAAGATGCCCACGTGAGAATGCCAGAGGTATGGCCGGCAACGTATGTTGGGATGGGAAGTGGGTATCATCATCAACCGGCCCGATGCAAAATATAGCCACGCATGTAATCCTAATCTGGCCACCAACATGGAGCCATTTTCGTCAAATCGCTATGCAAAAATCTGATTACCTTCGGCGGGAGTTTCTCGAATCGCGCCGACCAACCGGAGATAATCCTTCTTCGTCTTCCTCCTCCACGGGCGCCGGCGTACGTCGCTCAGTGCGTCTCTTGGGTCGTCGCCGACGGTTGGAACTAATGTTACTAGCGGAGTCGTCGGGGGCTAGAGAGCGGTCATCATCGAGGAAGTCGTCTTCCATTCCGCTTTCCCACTCGTTTTGGCTGAACGGAGTGCCCAGGCGGGCCTCGACGTAGGAGCCGCGTCGGCTTTGGTTTGCGACTGAAAGGCCTGCGCCGCGTTCGCGGAGAGCTCGGCGGACGACTTCGGCTTTGCAGTGGAGGGCTTCGAATGCGTCTTCCATTGCTTCCATGCTTAGGAAGATGTCTCTTTCGACTTCGGCCAGTGCGGCTATTTCAGTCTCCTCGTCTAATGCGATTGGGCCTCCGAATGAAGCTGGAGATGAAGGGTTTCCGTTTGGTTGGCTTGCGGAACGGAAGCTGCTGTCCATATAATTCGGTGTAGGCCCACGTGAGATACCCCCGGTGCTGAAGGGGGTGTTGGAGCGGCTACCACTAGAGCGGGGATTAAAGGCCGGCGTTGTGTCCTCAGCACCGCTGCGAAGGAAGCCGTCGAAGCGACCGGAGATGAGGATTTCCCATTCGTCGTCACTGATAGCCGCCAGGGTAGCGAGGACGTGATGCAAACCAGGGTTATTGAGCATGAACATGGCTGTTTCCGGGTCGCGTGGAAGGGACTGAAGGCGATATAGTCGCTGAATGGCCAGCGAACAAGATACGAGGGCAGGTGGCTTTGGTCGAGGCTTCTCATCATCGGACCGAGGAACAGGAGTTGAAGAGTTGATGCCAAGCAGAGCACAGAACAGAGAACGTTGGTGGGGTTCAAGGTGTGTGACCATGGCAAAAGTCAAGGTCTCATCATCTACTTCCTCCGGGGCGCTGGTAGCTTGGTCATTCTGCTCGGAGAGCCATTTATCCACGGCAGCTTGAGTTTTCCGAGACTGACGCATGAAGTGGTCGCGATATTCTTCAGGAACATCGATATCAAGCTTTTGCATCGGAATGTGCTCTTCACCAGGCAGATCCGAGTCCATAGTCGAATGTGCCATCATGAAAGGCGGCCACATAGGCAGCTCTCGGCGTCCAGAGACAAGCTCCAATACCTCGCCCCAACTCACTCCCTCTGGGCGCTCCTCTAGCTCCTCATGATCGCACATCAGGCAGTGGCAAGGCTCCGATGAGATGTCACGTGCAAAAACGGCTTCGAGACGATCGAGAAGTCGCCGTGCAACTGATCGATACCCAGTAGCGACAGCGAGAGATCCATTCTTGCTCATGACTTTGTTGTAATCATCGAGAAGGCGGTTGAACGGGTCGAACACCTTCGCGGCAGCTAGCTGCGGCTGAGTAGCTGACTGGGCGAAAGGATCCGACGGACTGGGACCGATCAGAAGCGTTCGCGGCACTTTGTTCTCCAAACCGCCATGCTGAAGCAGGTAATCGACTCTGGGTATGGAAACGGGCACCTGAGGTGGCGGTGGAGGTGGCGGCGGTGCCCCATATGCCGGACCGGGCATGACATGTCTTCCATACTCGATCGAGTCGTCGCTAGGAGTGTGGCGATGAGATGCTGATGGCCGATTCTGGGTGCGAGAGGGAGGTTTCAGAGGCGGAGTCATCGATTTTCGGGGCGCCGGGTACTGCTGGATAGGAGCAATGGATGTGGCATCGGACCCATTAGTTGATTCGGCGCCGACATCGCGGATTGTGACATTGGACTGGGACATCGTAGACCGACTGGATCGCTTGGGTAGTTTCTTCTCTTCAGAGGACTTGGTCTTAGACGACTTGTGGCTGGTTCGAGGTGATGACGCTTCCTTCTCAGTTTTGGATGATTTCGATTTGGGTGTATCAGCTCGCGGAGACTTGCTGGACTTGGTCTCTCCATCTCTCTTCGATCGTAGACTCGACGACGATCTGTTGACCTCCGTTCTGATCTTTATGTTTGCTTTCTTCGCTGTGGTTTTGCCCGAGCCCTTTTCCTTTCCTTCCTGCTCACCAACAGCACTACCCTTACGCGAGGTGGGCTGGTCGAGGCCCGTCAGCGGTGGGCTTGGCGGGGCATGGTGGTTTTCGCGGGCATGGTTGCCATTTGACTTGGTATTTTCCTTGTCCTCGGTCAAGTCGGTCGGGTCCGGTGTGGGGATGCTGGCTGTGCGAACATCTTCCTTGCTATGAGCCTTGGAAAAGTTGGGATAAGGAAGGCTGGTCCTCGACTCAAGGAACGAGGCGGTTCCCGAGCGGCTGGCGGCATCGAGACCAGGCATCGAGGACCTGCGTGGGGAACTGCTGAGCGATGTCGATTCAGAAGTGGAGGAGCGATCCGTTGGGTCGGGGACGGGATCCTTGGTAGAATTGCGGGAGGGCCGAACCAGAAACGAACCCTTCGGACGTTGTTTGTTCTTCGAGGTTGAGGAGGCTGGGGGTTTGGGCTTTCGATTCTTAGTGCTGTTAGGTCTCACCGGAAAAAACATGGCTCGTGAGAAATCGTAGCCGCACGAGGTGGATCCCTTCAAGCCCTGGGGGCCCGCTGGTTCATCCGTCCCTCGTCTGTGCTTCTTTCGTGCTTTCCAGGTCGGGGTTGGGCTTCGCCACTGTGATGCTATTTTGGGTCTTCAATACGTGTGCTGCCTGGCGCTTAGGTCGCGTGATTTCACGGATGCGATGTCGGGCGCTTGACATCGATCGTAGGCGGGAGCGACATTCCGCGCAGGGCAAATCAGCACGACCGAGGAAGGTTTTCATCCAGGTACCGAGTGCATGAGATCGGAGACCTAGGACCGAGTTGGGAACAGACACTTTCTATTGCGGTGAGCAGACCGACGGTTTGGCCCCCAAACGTGGATCTGCATGGAAGCCCGACTGCCTTGAAGCAGCAGGCTGAAACGCGATTCCCGAGGTCGGGAAATCAACGAGTCACGTGGACTTGGGACTGGGGTATCATTTTAGCTGTCTAACAGCTATTGCCATATTGTACATCGGGATAATTCAGTCACACTTGAAATCCATGCACTGCCTTCTTCACCGGTGACGTCTCCAGGATCCAGTTGCCGTCCTCCTCATGTGCTACTCCGCCCCTCTGTGCAGCCCTCAGCATCTTCTCGCTTGCCGGGGTCAAATCGCCTGTGTGACGGTCCCAGATCCAGCCTTCTTTTAGCCACATCCAGGTCAGATACGCGCGCAGTTCCTTGTCCTGGGGGAGTACGGATTTCCACTCGGGAACAAATCCTTGCGTTGTGGCACCAGTTCCTTTCCAGTCCGTGGCGAGTCCACGCAACTCGTCTCGGCAGAAAATGCGCCAGCTGTCCAAAGAATAAGCCCCGACACCTGGCAAATGTGCAATCTCCCATGCTACCCGATGGTCTTCGTCACGGGCACATTCGGAAGGACCAACATCTCGACCGTCCAGCTTCCGGGGATAGTGGAGCTTGCGGTATCGTTTGTTTTTGACTGGAGGGTTGGTTTGCCAGATTTGAGCAATAGAAATACACTTCTTTGCTCGCTGATTCTGAAATCCCAAGCAGTGAATCATAGATACGAGCTCGGACACGTCTGCGACGGCCATCGCATCGACGGTTGGGTAACGACTGAACACCTTAAACAACACTGGCAGGGCAACCCCGCCTCGAGTACGGTTGAGGAAGATTGTGGCAATCAACAGCTTGAATGGATCATGCGCAAGCTGTTCTTGAATAAGGCCAAATGATGGGGCATCGACAGGTGGAAAGGGTAAACAAGATTCCGGGTCGCCCAAAAGCACAGGAAAATAAGGAGAGACCTTGGGAAGTTTGGGCCTTGAGGATCGCGGAGTCTCAGGCTCAAGTAATCGGGATTGTTTCACTGGGGTACCGGGTGGTGATGTGGTAGGTGGCGGATGGAAATGTATGCTTTTCGTGGGGGGATTATTCGTCGAATCGCACCAAGGTTCATCTTGACGGTCAAAATCGCTGGGTACGTCACTCAACGACGAATCTGTTGAGAGAAAGTCCGGAGGTAGATTTAGCTTCTCTAAAATCTTTTGGGTTTCTCCAACGCTCAACATATCACGCGTGGGAGGGGTTGTAGGTTCTTGGCTTTTTGTTGCAGCAATAGCTGGGAAGTATTTCGACATCACCTCATCACAAAGTGGCGAATCATCGGTCATCAAAAATCCATATCCCACTCTGCCGGATTTGGTGACAACGGCTCATAGTTTACCCTGTCGCTGCTCCTGTTCGAAGTTCTCGAGGGCGGGGTCGTCGCCACTGTTCTGGGTTGGCGTTGATCAGGCGTGTGTGGGCGTTCAACAGCCTGCTGGTCTTCATTTGACCCACTATGAGTCTCCAGGAAACTTTGACGCTTCTTTCGCTTCTTTCGTTCTTTCTTGCGATAATTCTGTTCCTTCTTCTTACCCAGCCCAGATCCCGGTTCAGTTTCGGAGTTGAAAGTGTCCAGCTTGATGCGTTGGGTGGCAATTTTCTCAACATGATCACTTGAGTGTTTGCTTTGGTTTCCCTGGCGGTCACCATTGGGTTCGTCAGGTTTGGACACTGTTGGCGGTTCATTATTGGTAAGTTCGCTCGGGACTGTATGGTCTGGGGAAGGACTCTCTCGAGTTATGTCGATCACAAGATGTGGGACAGCGGTTTGTTCGACGGTGATGCCCGAATCGACCTTCGCTTGTGGTCTCTTTCTCGTGTGGGTGCTTTTGTGTGATTTCAGTGGCCGGATTGCTCGCTCGTGAAGTGGCGGCAAATCAGGTTCCGATGGCTGGCTGTCGCAGGGAATGCCAATAGGAAGACCCGGTGAGCCATACCCAAACTGTTGCTTATGATGGGAATTCTGCTCGTTCGGCACTTTTTCAAGAGCTGAAGGAACAGCGGTTGGCTCGGAAGTGTTGGTTTCGAATTGATTGGCATCAAGGTTGCATCCTTCGTCCTGGTGGTATGAAGATTCCACAACCTCTTCGGGTTCATGTTGCGCTTCCTCAACCGCTTGGTTGGAATGGTTGAGACTGGGAACGGTGTCTGGGGTGTCATGAACAGATTTTGCACCAGGCTCTTTGCAAAGGGTTTCATGCCCGTTCACTTGGGAAGGGGATTGCATAGTTGCTTCCACCTCCTTAGATTCGGTAGGAATCTCGGCCTGTGCGGTTGACTGCGGCGTGGGCACCGTATTTTCAACCGAATTCCTTCCGCTCCCTCTGCTCTTCTTGCGCCTCGCAGGCTCTGCCTGTTCCGGGTTGCTCATGTTCCTCTTTCGAGACTTTCGGCGATGGGTGCGTTCGTTGTACTCATCATCAATCTCGTTTCCAAAAGGAAGGTCTTTGGCGTCTCCTGTACGCTCGAGTTGGGCACCAATGTCCTCTAGATAGAGCCTGCGCACGTAGAGTATCAATCCATCGATGGCAGATTCATTCATTCCCACTGATGCTGCCTCCCTGCGCATATCTTTCACAAATTGCCGGCGAAGAGATCGTCGCACCGGTGCCTCTCGATTCTGCATGAAGGAATGAGACACCACAAAATGAAGAAGCTCATCTCTGCGAGACGGCTCCACCGATGCGAATATGATGTCCTCCTCAGCTGCGACGAGGTCGTCGTCGATATTTTTGGCGATTTCACTGTTGGATCTTGAATCGTTGGGGTCATCCGCATACGCATGTGAGGCATAAATCGGGTTGATATCGTCACCGAGGCCCGCTTTCTCGAGCTCTACACCCTCCAAGGGATCGCTCCGACAATCCGCATCTCCGTCAGAATCTTCAGCCGGGTTGGTATCGACATTGTTGTCCTCCTCGTCACCAATATTCCCTTCCTCGCTGTTATGTTTGGAATCGACGGCGCCATCCATATCCCCGTGGGAAGCATCAACCGGGCAATTCTCGCCATTGTTGTCCTCCTCGTCAACAAGGTTCACTGTCTCCGGTTGTACACTTTCCACAAGTCGAGTAAGGTCAACATCTTCCTCATCGTCGCTGTCAAGATGGATGACAGTAATATCTCTTTTGGCCACGGTCCTCGGCGATTTTGGCGATTTCCTCGACGCGCTCCTCGTCATCCGCTTGGGAGTCCTCTCACTCATAGCTGGAGAAGTGGCGAAGAAGCGCGATTTCTCAACTTTTCTATCACTTTGGGGGGTGAGGTGGTTTGCTGATCCTGTAAATGATTCACCACCGGAGTAGACTGGGAAGTCGCCGTTTTTAGACTCAAAACTGGCATCCTCAGACAGGATACGGTCGACAGTGCGTTCAAACTCTTCGTCAAACGGCTTGTAGGTAGATGGATCGAACGAAGGAGGGGGAGGGATAACGGCAAGAAAGGTTGGTTGCGACATTTTCAGACATCGACTCGGGCGTTTGTAGTTCAGTGGTGGGGTGCAAACTGTAAAACAAGAATGTCAGCCACACCCAAGTAATAAAGCCACGTGCCCACATACGGATTTCTCGTATCTCTCAAATGGAGCTTGCAGCTGGGTAACCTCAATTGGGAGGAGCATTACCGAGTACGCGTGTGGTTGGACCGCATGGGATAGGAGGTCGAAGCAGGAGTGCGTGGCAAGAGAGGGAATTGATGGGAATCTCCGGCGACAAACAGCTTCAGAAACAGAGTTCCAATGCAAACCTCACGCCAAAACCTCAATTCCCCTGACGGCGGGCAGCTCCTCCTCTCTACGCGGAACAAAACGAAACCTCCGCGTCGCGAACCGCACGGACCATTCCGATAGCCTTATCGGTCTGCCTGGGAATCACGTGGTATTCAGACCGGGGCTAATAATAAGGCCCCCAAGGTGTAAGATCTTACACATATATAGCCCTCAAACTACCTACGTGTCCTTGTCAAATTCCTCATCTTGAAATATTCATTCCAATCATGGCTCACCAATTTTACGACGGAAGCATTGTGACGGCCAAGGCCATCCTCAGCTCGCTGTCCCACATACTCCATAAAGCAGAAGAGCAACGCACCGATGCTAGCACTCTGCTCGACGCCCGTCTAATCGATGACATGTACCCGCTGAGCGACCAAGTCCGGGTTGCAACCCAGTTTTCGGAGAATCTTGTCGCAAGATTGACCGGACGGGAGCCCGTGACGTTTGAACCCAAGCCCTCGACATTTGCCGAGTGCTATGAGCGCATCGAGACGGTGCTAAAATCGCTCAACGAGGCCGACAAGGACACCGTCAACCAATATGGCGACAAGATTGAACTTACTAAACTGGGCCCACTCAAGTCGGTGGAGATGAGCGGCGCTGCGTACGCTCATACCGTGGCCTTGCCGAATCTCTACTTCCACGTTACTACCGCATATGGCATTCTTCGCAAGGAGGGGGTGCCGGTCGGCAAGCTGGATTATTATGCCGGCTTCTTTCCCCAGTTAGGTACTGCGGAAAGGTAGAGGAATAAGCTTCGAAATGTAAATAGTTCATGTATTTACCATCTCCACTCAATCATAATGAGAAATGATCTATAGCGTATATTGATAATGCTCTGACTATATACACCGCCATATAACGTATCCATCCAGTATCTATAGCTCTATACAGAATAACCGGCCGAATTGAGCAGTCGCGGTTCACCCGCGGCATCAAAAGTACCATTTGGCAGGACGCGGATTGCCTGACAGCCACTCCGACCAGGAGCAACCCACGTGACGTTGTGTCCAAGGCTCTTCATGAAGGCGACGGTGGAGTTGTCATAGGCATACTCGAAAGTGACCTGGTTCGGAATCAGTTGATCGTGGAGACGAGGCTGGGCGAGAGCTTCCGCCGCTGCCAGGCCCTGGTCGATAACGTGGATGGCGGTTTGCACGGTTGCCGTGATGATTCGACTGCCTCCCTCTGCACCAGTGACCAAGAAGAGCGACCCATCTGGGCGAGTGACTATCGCGGGTGTGATAGATGACAGAGGTCTCTTTCCAGGTCGAATGTAGTTCGCCTTGGACGGGATGTATCCGAATTCGTTGGATGAGTTGGGGATAGAGAAATCTGGATTGAACGGTTAGGTGGGCCATGGTTCCATGAGTCGTTTTTGACTCACCATTCATCTCGTTGTTCATGATGATACCTGTCTCCGGAACCATGACGCGGCTACCGAAGAGAAGGTTGACAGTGGTGATTACAGAAATGGCCATACCAGTATGATCAGCCGCGGCGAGATGGGAAGTACCAGGTCTGTGAATGATCAGTAGGCATTCTGCATGTCTGATTTAGGACAGGAGACACATACGTGTCCAAGCTTTCAAGACCGGAAGGATCGTAAGCAGATACATTGAGGGTATGTTTGTCGGAAATTTTGGATCGGATCTCGGCAATGGTAGACTTCTTGAGCATATCCTTTTGATACTCGTCAACTCCTTTCACGAAACGTGGATCGCCCAGCTCGGCTCTCTGTCAAGGTAATCAGCATGAATATGGACATGGCCCTAGGAGAGGGGTGAAGGCTCCTACCTGGCCATAGCCGAACCGCATCGCCTCATCCATTCGGTGGGTGCTCAGATTCACGTCCTTCTCTGATGAGAAGAAATCCTTGTAAGTATCAAGGACCTTCAGAATGCTGAGCGCAACAATCCCACTCGAAGGCGCCGTCGTGCTAGTGACAGTGTATCCACGGTATTCGATTTGCGCAGGTTCGCGGATAGCGACGGTATAATTGCTCAGATCTTCCAAAACCATCGTTCCATTTGCCGCCTGCAGAGCATTAATCATAGCCTCCGCCATTGGACCGTTATAAAAAGCATCAGGCCCTCTCTCCGCAATGGTTTCAAGGGTGTCGGCTAACCGCCTCCGAGTCATTATATCTCCCAATCCCAGTCGAGTTCCGTTTGGCGCAAAGTCCAGGGCCCATGAGGGATTATTCACAAGGAAATCCTCTCCATCGCCAACGGCTGAGTCCATATATCTCACCAAATCCTTGGTGACCGGGAAGCCTTCACGGGCGGTGCGAATTGCTGGCTGCAGAACAGTTGACCAGGGAAGAGAGCCGTAATTTTTGTGAAGATGCTCGAGACCACGGATTTCGCCAGGAACACCACTATTACAGTCGTTAGAAATTGAATCCGCTATAAAAAAACCCGGTTCCTACCTTGCCAGGCCCCCGTAGATGGAGGCATCCGTGTCGTTGTTATACATGTCTTGGAATGCCGCGGCCGGCGCAGTTTCACGAAAGTCAATGAACTCATAGGACCCATTCGGTGCTCGCACAAGCATAAAGCCACCGCCGCCAATACCACTGTGTTGCATGGCTAAATCATCTCGGTCAGATCTAACTTGGCAATGGACTTGTGTTTAGACTCACCAAGAACGCCAACACAAAGTTGGGTAGCGACCAACTTTTGAATCCAGTCAGTACCGTCTTTCACTTGTTTGAATGCGCGGTGATCTTACAGCATCCGCAGCATTGCCGCCCATTTCCAGGATGTCGGTTCCATGGCGTGAACAAAGGGCGCTTTCACTTGCAACAGCTCCCAATTTGCCAGGGCCTAACTCATGACGGCATCCATCTTGTTTGTCCGAGTCGCGAAGGGCAAATTCCAGCGGAGAACTTTGCGCACGTGGTAAGTTGGTCACCACGAGTAACAAAGACAAAACGGCCAATAGGCCGAGATTCCTCAAACAAAACATGTTCCCAGCTTCTTCCCACCAGTGATTCGGCGACCTGGATTCAGGCTCTGCGGTCTGTACGAGAGACGAGGAATCTGCCAAGGGCTACCGTCGTTATTTATCAGCCATGCTACAACAGTGTGAGGAGAGGGCGGGGGTACGACAAGGATAATGTTGGAGTTCCATACCCTTTTCTCCACATCTTGGCCGCTGATCTTCCCTGACGGCATTGCAACAAGCATATACCCTGCGACAGGAGCGACACTATGTTCTCTGTGCGATTCTTCGTCTAAGCAGCGGTCAAATAGGCTCATCGGTGGCGGAAAGCGACCATCTTCACGAAATTGGAAGGGAACTACGGATTACATAAAGCAAAAGAAGTGTGCTTATCTCGCTTGACCCACAAACTCGCCGGCTGGGGCGAAGAAAGATATCGGCGTAAACCCCGCTGATAAAGCGCGCAGGGTGAGCTAGTTAGTTACCCGGGTCGTCGGAAAGCTAAATTATTAATCGCTTTGTTTGGGTCGCCGGGGGGGGGAGTTGGAGCATTCCTCGGTCCCTTTGGTTGAGTAAGCATAACGTCGCATCCTAAGTTATCGTGCCGCTACGCCGTTGTCCCGGCCATGACTGGTATGCGACAATCCCTGAAGCCAATCGGATCAGTGCCTGGCGGCTGGCCATGTGCCCCTGTACGATCCGATCGCCTGATCAAAGCCATTAGAAATCGGATCTTACAAATCGCCTCTAGATGCGCATTTCCTCGACCAGTGGGGTTTTTTGTTTCCCTTCGTGGAGAAATATCCCATTCCAAACATGTGCCGGGATTAGAGCTTCCGATTGAGAAGCACAACGATCAAATCCTGAAAAGAAATGAAGTTTGCGGGCTTACTGACAGGTGATTTGGGACCCCAAAGTTATAACATGTTTATTGAGGAGAATCCCCCGCTAGATGGATGTCGCCCAGCCACCACCAGAGCCGATATATATTTCAAAAAAGCCGATGATCCTCATTGACTCAAATCTAGCTATTGATATCCACGACTTTTTCAATCCAGGATATCGTTTGCTCCCACTGAGGAGGGATCTCATCAAGAGGCTCCAGTATGGCAAGGATTGCCCGGTGCCCCCAATCACGGACATACCAACGGTTACACATGAGGCACATGGCGACGCTATAATGAAGGAACAGAACCCTTGCAGTCCAATCACCGCTCTGGACTAGGGATATGAAATTCTCACCGATGTAAAGCGGCCATGCAATCACTCCGCCGTGGATACCGATCTTAGGCCATGGCTCAATGACTTGGTGCAGAATGCCCCAAGTGCTTTGGTAAACTGGTTGGTTTGGTGACTGATCGGTTTCAATGATGGATTGTAATCGGACAAGGGAGTTCATTAAGTTCCTGTTTTGGCATGAGTATGGTCATATCCAAGGTGGGGATCGATGTGGATCGTACTTGTGAAGGTCGAACAATTTTTGAGTCTCTTCAATTGTGGCACCGTCACCGCTTTTACTTCGGTCAATATGGTAACGCACCATTGATAGATCTCCAAGAGAGGGCCATTTACTTGGGTTTCTCTTTAGATTGAAAACTTTCCTGCGCCTCAGGTAAACTAAGCCAGTCCTCCAGCTCTTGCGGGGCCCTTTCCAATAAGCGACCGAAGAGCATTGCACAACCCGACATCAGGGTCCGCATTTCTACCACCGCGGTGATGGGATCCATGGGATGGTTGGCCCGGGACAGCCCCGAGAAACCAGTTGCAAATAACAGGATGAAGACGGAAGACAAAAAGGCAGGTTCGGAATGTTCGGGTGTGACTATTGGGAGGATTTTACCCATTCCCGAGCACGACTGGCTCTGATATCGCACTGCAGCATCGAGCCAGGACAAGCGGTTGTCAGGCTCGAGGGTGGCCAGATGCAATGCGCTAAAAGTAAGGATACTGTCCAGCAAATAGGGGAAAGAAGTGGCCATCCGAGGAATTTTAATTGACCAATTATATGCAGAAAGGCCATCTTTGGCGAGCGTGTGATAAGTCGAGGTCAAATAGTGGTGTAGAAGTCTCATCTCCAGCATGCGGGTTGGCATAGGCAGATCGTCGGCCGGCGTTCGCGCGCTACTCTCAGAACCATCGCGGGGGGCAGGTGAGCCTTGAGAGCTATCTAGGTCACTTGTGTTTGGGGATAGCTGCAATTCAGCTTGCGCTTTCGGCACAGGGTGCACCTCGGGAGCTCTTCATCGCACTGTGAGTCGTGTCAGAGACGAGTGCGAAATTGTTGAGAGGGGCGAGGGCGGTCTCTGGCCTTGGCGGGCTCTGTCAATTTCCATGGAAATTTCGACCCCTCGCGAATAATGCACAATCTGGCGAGCGGACTGATCACTCAGGTTGAACCCACCTTGGTATGTCTCCTCTTGCACTCTAGGCAGCCCTTGCGGGACTTGGTGTGGGTTCGGCGCAACGACATCGACCACGAACGCTCGCCGCAGAACGCTGAGCTTCAATGTGGACAATGGCACGACGCAGAAAGTGGAACTTTGTCTTATCAGGAGGCAATCAAGGTTACATACGACTTCCGTCACCACGGGATCTGCACTAACGATCTGCGGTTGGTGCGCTTATGTAAAACCTCGGCCAGGTGGGACTTGGATTTTGGATGCCTGCAACCCGTTTTCGCATTCGAAGCGTGCCTGGGTGAGTTGTATTAACAGGTAAGATGCTAAGAAGTATACCAATTGAATTAGAGAGAGGTGGGAGCTCAACTCCGAAGTGTGTTTGTGGTGATCCGGTGGATGTTGAGGATTGTCCTGTGGCATCCAGATATATCCGATGTTTTGCCTGGAAGATGTCGATTGCGCTTGGAAAGATTCTCCATTTGGACGATTTCAGGCTTAGATTATTCTTTACCCCAGGTTTGAGCGTGTAAAAAGGTCAATTCGGTTCAGGAAGCACTCCCCAGCATCTATGGGATGTTTCCCTTGAGATCCACCTGGGCAACTACGACTGAGAATCGTAGACGTCAAGATATATGGATTGCTCCACAAGTCTCCAGGCCCATTTAACGGAGGTACAATATCACAGCTTAAAGATCTCAGCAGTTTCTATTTTCCTTAGCCCCGGCGTCACAATGCTCCCCGCAGCCCGCTCAATGTGGAGTTGTGGGGCCGTCGCGCACTCGGGCTGGAACTGGGGAATTTATATAATCCCGCACACCGGGTATTTTGTTGTTAGACCGGCTGGGAACTTGACCCTTGATATTTAGGCATCTTGGACCCCCCTAACGAAAGCGCCTATCTAAGTAAAGATGGTATTTTCCGTATCACTTGGGAGTAATTCTTCTCTATACTGGGCTTACCAGCTGTTAGGATCACATCCATACACTCTGGCATTTGCAATAATTTTGTTTCCCATTCTATCAATTCTGATTCATGACTTTTTTCTATACCTCCGACTACCTCCTGGCCCAACGCCCCTCCCGTTCATCGGTAACAAATTTTTAATCCCAACATCGTCGCCCTGGATCCAATTCGAGAAATGGTCTCACACCTATGGCCCTATATTCACTCTTTGGATCGGCCGTCGACCCACGATCGTCATCTCCGATCCAAAAGTAGCCGTGGATCTCCTCGAAAAGCGCAGCACCAAATTCAGCTCCCGCCCCCGGTTCGTGGTCATGGGCGAATTGTATTGGGATAACGCGGGAATCTTGGTCCAACCCTACGGCAAAGAATGGCAAACCAGACGCCGGATGCTCCATCAAGCGCTGAACCCATCTGCCCTTCGACTGTACAAGCTTGCTCAGGAAGCCGAGGCAACACGTTTGTGTGGAGCACTCCTGGATGAACCAAGTTTTTATGAAGGCCTTATCGATCGTTTTACCGCAAGCGTGGTATTTAGTATCGCATATGGCCATAGGATCGATTCAATGAATTCGAAGATTATCAGACAAAGGCTTGACTTCATGCAATATTCCGCCTCTCTCAATGTCCCAGGAAGATTCCTCGCTGAGACCATTCCCTGGCTCAAGCACGTCCCCAACTTCCTAGCACCGTGGAAAGCAGAGATTCAACGCCGAGGTCGCGAAGAGGCATCAATGAACATGGCGTTGCTACGTCGCGTACAAGACGAGCTCCTCATTGCAAAAAGCCCGTCAGTGGCCCCCGACTCTCTCACCAAACTGCTTCTCCAAGCCCGCGACGCAGACCCGACCACATTCGGCGGACTCAATGAGCGTGACTTTTCCTTCGTCCCAGCATCCCTCTTTGGCGCTGGCAGCGACACAACCGCGAGCACACTCTGTAGCGCGATCCTAATGCTAGTCACCAACCCACGAGTACAAGCAACCGCGCACGCAGAATTAGACCATATCGTCGGGGCATCCCGTCTACCAACTTTCGACGATGAGCCTCAACTTCCATATCTCAAGGCACTCTGCCACGAGACTCTTCGAATTCGCCCGGTTGCTGTGCTGGGGGGAACGCCCCATGCAAACTCAGCGGCGGACACCTATGAGGGGTACTTTATACCCAAGGGCACGACTATCCTGTGCAACTCGTGGGCTATTAATCTGAATCAAGCATATTATCCGAATCCGCACCACTTTAATCCACTACGTTTCCTGTCCGTCGATCCCAAGGCACTTTCCTACCTTCCGAAACCTTCAGCGGAGGATCTAAGTGAGGCTTTTCCATTGAGATCACACCCCGCAAAAGAAGGCCACAGCTCATTTGGTTGGGGGAGAAGGATCTGTCCAGGGGCCGGGCTCGCGCACAACTCTCTTTTTATTGCTTTGGCGCGGCTCCTATGGGCGTTTGAGTTCAAGCCTGTCCGAGAAGAGGATGCTTCTGAGCGGGTATATGATACGTTTGCGTATACGCAAGGGTTCAATATCCGACCGAAGTCGTTTGAGTGTGAGATTAATCTTAGGAACGAAGAGCGGCGAGAAGTCTTGAAGGTGGAGCTGAAGAGCGCCGAGAGCGTGATGAGTAGATTCACTCCGTTTGAGGAGTAGCAATACCATCGAGTAATTCGGTCCTTTACTCAGGACGTACGAAATGACAGAAATTTGTTCATTACCGAAAATATTTACTGTGGGACGCTGACCAAAAGAAAATTTTTAGATACTCGTGTTCGAAGATGGTAACAATGCCTCAGGAACTCCGTAACTTTCCAATCGTTGAAACCCGATGGGGATATCATCGGCAAAGCACTCCAAAGTATAAACGCAAAAGCGCCAAATCGATGCTTCTGATATGACCCGACACCCGACTGGCCAATCTAAATGGGTATGAATATATGGGGCGAGAGGATGAGTGATCGCGATCAATATAGCAAGACGGGATGGAGCTGATATTCCCGTGGTACGTCTAGAGCTTGAGCTGAAATCGTTTGTCGGTCCGGATGCGCTCACCATACACATAGAAAATGATAGGCAGCGGGCACAGAGCCAGAGCGATGAAGCCAAGAAGGGAGTTACCCCAGCCTAGCCCAAGGGTGTCGTACATCTTGGGGCCAGCAAGTGGGAGTATAGCACCTGCTAGTGATCGAAAGACGGTATTCGCGGCCATGGCAGAGGCGGCGTAGATGGTGAATGCGTCAACGAGGTAAGTGCTGACCGTCATCTGGTGTGAAAGAGACGTTAGTATATGGATTCCGTTTTCAAATGACTGAGGGTCTTACGAAAGAGATCAGCATCCCGATTCCTAAGAATGATGTACCGATGATCGGGACGATCCAGTGAACCTTATAGTATGCACTCCAACCGTACATGAACAGAGATGCGGGAATGAAGAAAGAGCCGGGGATCATGGCCGGCAGTCGATATTCAGGCTTTTTGACACCGTTCTTCTCAGAGAGGTGTTTCAGTATGCGGTCCGATGTTAGACCCAGGACAACGAGTCCAAGGAGGGATCCAACTCCGATCCCGAGGTATGAAAGCCCGACGGACCCTTGTGAGAAGCCATACTGGCCCTCGAAGACACCGCTGATGGTAGTGAACAAGAGGTAGAGATAACCGTAGATGACACCGACGTAGAGAGAAAGGAGGAAGACGATTGGCGAAAAGAAAAGCATCTTGGTCGGTCGAACAATTGAGAACATGAAAAGATCCTTGGGTGTTCGGCCGGTGTCGAGAGCAGAGCGTAGGTTCATGTTTCCGGTTTCTTTTTGCAGCTTCTTCGTTTTGCGGGCCAGAATGGTAGGCGCGTAGGATTCGCGAATCGTGAATAGTGAGCTGATGGCCACGGCAGCACTCTTCGAAGATTAGTTAGTCGCTTGCGCACTTATTTTGGGATATGATCATTCTCACGGCCATGGACAAGACCCAGAAGGTCCATCTCCAACCTTTTGCTTGGGCGAGATATCCACCCGCTATCTCAAGTCAATACACCCCCATGAGCGGCATAGAATATATAGATAGACATACCGACAGGACCAATAACGGGGCCAATGAGAGGCCCAATGGCCCACGCTGCCATGGCACTTCCTCGCCTCTCCTGGACAAACATATCTGCAATTGAACCAGCCCCGATAGTCAAAGGACAACTTCCCGCACAACCAGCGAAGAACCGAAAGACAGTCAAGCTACCGATTTCTGGAGCCAGGGCACAAGCGATAGTCCAAATCACATATAAAATATTGCAAGCATTATACATAATGCGACGGCCGTAGATCTCGGAAAGGGGCGCTATAAGCAGGGGACCAAAGCAGTATCCGAGCAGGTATACGGAAACGACGAAAGAGGAAAGTTCGATGCTGGTGATTTTGAAATCGGTGACTAGCTGTCTAACACCGGGGGCGAACATGGACGAGCCAAGAGGTCTGATTTGCGTTAGCGGTTACAGCCATCTTAGTGATGGAGGAGCATACGTGAGAAGAGTAATCAAAGCAATCGAAATCGTCGCAGTGATCTTTTTTTTCGTCGTCCAGTTAAGAGGATTCTCAGGGTCATCGGGGCCATCCCAATCGACAATGTTCGGATCGCGAGTCTCTTCTTTCTCTATACCGGCACCAAGTGTGGGTCCCTTTTCGATATCTCCATTCTCATGAATTGAACGCTTCTCGTGGTCGACGGTGTGGATTTCATGACTGCTGGCAGCAGACATTGACCGGTCGACGGACGCGGTGTCTGCATAATTCCGTTAGATGTATGCATGGAATATTTTTGTGTTTTCCGCGCAAGTACGCGATTTGTCTGGAATCACCAACGGAGGGAGTCGCGTACTCGAACTGTCCCTCATTTTGGAAGCCTTGCCTCCCTGCAACTATTGCGTCGCACCCTTGAGTGCTAATTCTCTTCTCGTGCCGTTTCGGAGGGTTGATGGTGGCGGGGGATTATGCGAAACAAACGATCGCTAAACAACGAAAGGAAAGTCCTAATCGTGCACTGTCATAACAATTCTTTACCTTTTGAAATCCGGTAGAGAAGAGCGCCGTGGAAAATCCGGGGGGAGGGGGAGGGATCGAGATAGAAAGTCACGGAAAACGCAACGGGAACAGGCAAGCTCAAACTACGCATAACTCGGGTGTTCATCCGGAGCTTCAATCTGCCCTGCAGGGAATTACCCACTTATCCCCCTAGTTCTCCTTTCTGGACCCGGCCCGATAGCAGGGCTAGCCGGATTGAGATCAATTCAAACGCGTGAGTGCACATCTTCCGACGGAGGTAAGGATCGAGATTGCATTAACTCTTGTGCGCTGTAGGATAACTCGCTTTGTGCGGAGACGAAAGCGAATCCGACGTGTGGCTTGCGGTCAGGTGGCATAAACTTAGGGGCCAAGACTGAACGCTGTTTGTTGGTGGGCGGCTCCAGCCGTGAATAGGGTCTAGGCCTGAGAACACCATACTAGATTTCTTACTTTCGTTGGGATTGAAGACTATAGGCTGCATGGTAAATATGTTGAGTCTTTTCCTGATTTACTTGGATTTTATGAGATATAAAATGTGGAGAGAGCAGAGCTGGGGATGGGCGAGACCCGCACCGCAAAAGAGGGGTTGCAAGTGGGGTCCGCGTGACTACCTTTGTTTTCAAGTTATGTATGCAGATGACTAATATATATTGGTGAGCACTTTCTAAAGAAATAATTCGTATTGCGACAACCGGAGATACGCTCTATCAAGAGCCGGCTATTGTGCTTGAAAATGTCACTCGCGAAGAAAGGCGAGTTTAGGCCGATCCTAAGGTGAAGGCAATGTAGATTCAACCGCAGTATGCGACCGAAAAGAAAAAAGGGGAAGTTGGGAGACAGCGAAGCCGATTGGGTGGCCGAAATTACAGAGGCGCAGCAATGAGTGCAAGATAGAGGGGATGGAGGCAGAAAGGATGGAGAAGTGGATGTCGAACAGTGCAAGGCGCGAGCCTTTATATCGGGGTGACGGAGGGACAAGTTGCGTGACGGTGTAATGGGACGCCAAACCCCAAAAGGCAAAACTAACCAGAAAAGAAAATTCACAGGTCCGCTGTTTACAATGTCTATATTCAATGTGGTACAGTTCGGCCGCGCCTCAACGAGGTCTACAGCGGATCCGAGCTAGGTACCGAGCGTGCGATCGTGACTCGCGCAAGTGAAAGCGCGTTGACCCAAATCCTAGACCCACAACGCGAAACGACCAAATCGGTTCGGGCTTTCAGTCCATGGTCAGTGCCAATAGTAAAATGATGGTGGTAACAGCCAGCGGCGTATGGAATTGACATGGTGGTCACGCTACACATCATATCTCGGTTGTGAAAAATACGGTCGTTGAGTCAACGTTGGACTGTGAACATATTAAAGACAACATTGGAACACTAGGTACTTTCGTTGATTAAGCAGTTTTTGCCAAGACCGATATTTCCGCACAACGAGGGAGTTTCTATAGACTTGACATCACTATCCTAGTACGGCGTCCGAAAGTATTTCTCGTTGACTTACTAGAACCTGCAGTAAATTATTGCTTAACCAATCACGTCAATAAGGAATAGGTTCAACAAGCCTTAGTTTAGGCAGATATTCTCGCTGGTGCCTTTCAACATCTACCATAGACAGACTCGGCCAAACGAGTGTAAAATGAGGTAGATAGGCAACAAGACAATCCGAGAAGTCTATAATACCGCCTGCCACCCCAGTCTTTTGTTATACTAAAATGCAGTCTAACTTTGTCACATTAGGAAAAGTCTCTAAACTAAGAAGCTAATAGATACTATCCTGCAGCGAACCTATAATAAGTTCTTCCATCTTTAATTTCTCCAAGTTCTTCTCAGTACTGACGCGAATAGTAACCCCTACGGGTATATTGATTAGCTGCTCGTTAAGCGGCGGTCGATATATTACTTCTCTGCCTTAAGCCTTGCCCACTAATCAAGAAAAAGAGAGAGCGTCTATCTAGCCTAAGTGGCTTCAACGTATCTTCTATAAGGAAAAGTGCCTCTATTTAATTGCCTAACCGAGCTAATTCAATATAAACTTCCTCTAGGCCAACTCTAATGGGTTTCTAGAACGCAAGAGTCTGTTCCTACTGCCGGTTAAGGTCATTTTCTAGCCACCCAAGCTTGTGAGCTAGTAACCCCTTCTCCGATTTACAAGCTAATGCCTAGCAGAATGTGCTCCGGAGCGAAACTCTGTATAGCAGATCGTCACAAATGTCTTCAATACGAGTAACAACAACCCCATTTCCCGGATACGTCTCTGTCCAAATTTACGTACGCGTCGCCGATCTCTCACGTAAGTCGGTAACTGCGGAGTTGGTAAGTGTGAGGGTGATTGGATCTAGAATTGTTCTCTCCTGAATATATTGATAATTCGAGGGAGGTTATTTGGAAGAGGAAGCGGGCGACCCTCATTGCTCCAAGCATTGTTTTTTCCTCTTAGGTTTCACATGCGCCGATATAGCGTGAATACGAGAGTAGTTTCGTCTCGAAGAAAAAGTGGTTTCTAATCATGCTCAAAAGTAGATTGTTGATGTAGAGCTCCATTATTGGAGGTTCTAGGCTTCGATCATGTGCACATCGAAGCGAACATGGACCAAGTGCCCGCTCAAATGCCCGAGTGGGAAACCGTGTCGTTTGTAACGCAGGATGTCCCCGTCACCCCCACGATGAACATAATGCATGTATATTATCTCAAACAGAAACAAGACTACCGGCCGACGAATCTGCAGCGGCATAAATAATTTATGCAGATGATGCAGATGCGCTATCATCCGATCTCTTGCTCCAATATCTCCCACCTGATCGCCACCGACCGCAGTTTGTGGATGATCAGTTGTTTTGTGAACAACCGATCATGGTGAATATCATTCTAATTTCGCGGAAGTACCCGACTTGAATCTTGGATGATCTGAAGGGATTTTGTTTGGACTTTGGGGGAAAGGTTCAAGGTGCTATTTCGCATAAAAATTCGAATAATAATTCCGATCCGTGCTTGAGATCCTAGCATTATGGTTGATTTGAGGAGACTTGCTCTGAATTTAAGTCAATTTTTGTGGAATACTATCCCAAAGTATGTTGTTATAATATTAGATCTCCTTTTCCTTGATTGAGCACATTCTCTGCGGGGCATTTCCTGTAGTCTCCTGCAAATTGACATTCTATAAGCAGAAGAGACGATCGATCATCTTGGCGCTCGGCAATAACAGTGCTTAGTCGGACAAAGATGCCGTTTTTGAACTTCTCCGCTCTTGGCGGGGCAAAACAAGAACTGCTGTAATCTTGAATGAAGATCAATTGCCGAATATGATGTTAGGGAAACCATACAGGCCGCGTAATAATTTACTGTCATACTGCGGTGGGATGATCTACTTGGCAATTCACGGCATCCCAAAATGCGTTTAAAAAGCCAACCGGCGTTCTGAAGAGACTAATTATCGTTAACCCTTATTTCTGTGCTAGAAAGTGTGGTGATGAAGGGATTTAGTTTTCTTTTCATGGCTCTAGTAGCTGGACCTTCCACTGCAAATGCTTATCTTTACAACACCACTATCCACACAAAATACGGTGATGTGAAGGGCATTCCAGCCCTCAATGCTACCTGCTGCGCCTACCTGGACGGCTACGAAAGCGTCACTGTCTGGAAGGGCATTCCTTTTGCTGCCACTACCGGTGGTCTAAATCGTTGGAAACCTCCGCAGCCTCGTGGACCCTGGAATGACACCCTCATTGCAGATAAATTCGGGTCAGCCTGCCCAGCTGGAACCTCCCCAACGGGCTCGGCGGATACTGTTTACGATGAGGACTGCCTGAATCTCAACATCTGGAGTTCAGCCAACTCGACTGCCGAAAAACGACCCGTCATGATCTGGAGCTACCCCGCTGGTGCTAACGGCGCGTGGAGCATGTTCGACGGCGGTGGTCTGGCACTCAAGGATATCATCGTCGTCACCTACAATTATCGCACTGGACCCTATGGCTGGCTTGCTCTTCCAGAGCTGTGGGAAGAATCTGGAAACATCACCACAGGCAGTTACGGTCTCCTCGACCAGATAGCAGCGCTGAAGTGGGTTCATGAGAACATTGCCGACTTTGGTGGTGACCCGAAGCGGATCACGACTGTTGGTCAGTCTGCCGACAGTGCGGCTGTATACCACACCGTCAATAGTCCATTAGCCAAGGGCCTTATCGTGGGGGCCATTGCTGAGAGTGGTATTCGGGACCCTCGCGATCCTGCGTCTCATGAGCTTGCAGAGGGTTACAACAATATGTCGACCTCCTTGGCTTTGGGCGCAGAACTGAAAGCAGTTCTTAATGTTACTACACTGGATGAGCTCCGTCAAGTTTCAGCAAAGGTGATAAATGAAAACAGCGGGTTTACTTCATTTTCTAACTGGAGAACGACCTTGGACGGCTATGCCATGCCTGAAACCTACTGGCAAGAGCTGAACAAAGGACCAGCAAATGACGTCCCTTTGATCACTGGAAATACCAAGGATGAATCGGGCGCTGCCTACGGCACCAACATATCTGTGGCAAACTATATCGAAATGCTCAATTCTACCTATGGCTCTCTTGCCAGCAAATTTTTGGAGGCCTATCCTGCATCAAACTATACCGAGGCATCCATGAGCTCTAATCTCCTTGCGCGTGATACTTCGCTTATTGGATCCTGGAATTTTGGCCGATTCTGCTCCAAGTCCGCCTCGTCGCCATTCTACACCTATTATTGGGACCATGCGCCGCCTGGCCAGGACCAAGGGGCCCACCACATGTCCGAGATTACTTATATTCTGAACAATCTCTACGGCACCAACCTGCCATGGCAGTCTGTCGACTACGAGATTGCGGATATTTTGAGCAGCTACTGGGCTAACTTCGTCAAGACCTCAAACCCAAATATTGGAAACAGCCACCATATGAACGTGTCCCTTGCATACTGGCGCCCAAGCAACAGTCGCAATGCGACGACTTTCCATCTGTCGCCCCCGGCTCCGATTAATGCCAATGGGCTGCCAGTCGGCTATGCTCAGGTATCTGTCGCCACGGAAGGTCACTTGAACCTTTTGAATAAGTTCTTCCGAACCCAGGTTCCTCTCTAGATCTGCTGATCGGCGTATTTGGAGAGATAGTGAATGTCGCTGTCCATTTCCAGGATCTAGGAATCTGTTGCACATACTTATATGGTGTCTGCGTGATTGACAAAACCAAATTCATGATCATTCCTGCATCCAGAACGCTGTTAGATTTCTTTCTCAGAAGGTTCCATACGTAAAGGATCTCCCACCAGTTCATCTATTTCCATAGATCTTTGGAAAGGCGTGGTGATGACTGTATCAACGCTCCAACCATGTTGTAGGATCATAGAAGGAAGAGGCCATTCGCTCGCATCATGGCGCTTTGGGCATTTTGTCCGCCGGTTTTTGAACACCTTTTCGACTTCTTCCAAGCCTCGCAAATCTCCACAGGAGGTGTATATTGCTATTTAAACAGACCATCACTGAATAGAGCACCTTCTTTATTACTGGCCCATCATCTTCATCTGCTACAACGTCGCTGTTCCGTTTTGTAGCCCTGATTCTACTAATAAAACATAGCTGACTACATACAGAATAGAAATGGTGATAGATGAGGGACAATACGGTTGGAAATTTCCATTTGAAGACCCTGCTCCAATTTAGGAAGCAATCTACACGATCCATCAAGTTACTGTTTTGAGTGAGTGTTGCAGAGAATATAAGTAAGCCCCGTATGATAACTGTAATTTTTCCTGCCACTATAAGATCTGAATAAATGCGATTATCCCGACAGGGTAAAAGACTGGATGTATCAAGGCAGTGACAAGTTCAAGCCATGGACAAGATGAATGGCAAGATGAAGCAATTACCACTCAGGAAGAGTGGAAGTCCACTTGTGAAGGAATTGAACGCGCTTGGCATTCATTGAGATTGGCCCCATGCCCCACGAGTTGCCCAGCCACATCGTCTGTTCAGTCTCGTTGGTTGTAGGCTTGAATGTCGGCTGTCCGCTTCCGTTAGGGTTACCATTTCGAATGAAGTTAGTCCAGTAGTTTGACATCTTCTTCTCAACGACATAATCATAATTGGTCCAGGTCACATTCGAGTAGGAGGCGTAGGGGATGTTGTTGAAGGTGTACCAAAGCTCTGAGCCATGATAAGCACCCTCGTCGCGGTTTTCGGCAGGCGCGTGGGTGAAGTAGTAAGTATACACACTACTCTTGGCGCCGCCTGCGGCCCAGTCAATTGCCCAGCGCCAGGTGCCGACACGGCTCAAATCGCGATAGAATTCTTTAGCGCTTTCCGAAGCCTGACTAGTATTTTTGCCTGGGTACAACTCGAAGAATGCATCTGCGAGGTCACCAAAAACAGGAGTATAGAGCTCGCGATATTCCTTGGCGGTGTATGACAGAGTAGGACTCGCACCAGACTCATCCTTATTGTTTCCGGTCAAGATAGGGATATCCATATGGTCATTCTTGCGTAGAGATTGGCCATAGTTGTGAGTTAAGACGTAGCCGTCAATGTTCGGACGCCACATTGGGGGCTCCATAAAGGTAGCGGACAGGTTCGCCAGGGGGGTGTTCTCCCAAATAGTGTCGCTGAGAGAGTCAAATTCAAGAAGGGCCTCCATAGAAACATTGCGAAGCTCAGCGATAGATGAGACGTTCATCTGACGAAGGAATTTGACACCCTGAGCCTCTGCTGCAACCTTAGTCCGATAGCTGGTCGCATCAGTACCGGTCATAGGGTCATGAGTTCCTCGAGCACCGCTCTCGGAGATGATACCCTCAGCAAGGCCTTTAGTGAGCGGGCTCCACATCACATCAAGGGCACTAGCCGAGCCAGCCGACTGTCCGCCAACGGTAATCTGGTCAGGGTTACCACCGAACTTTTGAATATTTTCGTTCACCCAATGCAAAGCAGCCTGTTGATCGAGGATACCGTAGTTCCCAGAGCTGTTCTTGCCGGATTCGGCAGAGAGCTCAGGGTGCGCCAAGAAACCAAAGGGGCCTAAACGGTAGTTGATGGTCACGACGATGATGTCCTTCTCCGCAAAGCCGGTTCCATCATAGGTCTTGACATCTCCTGAGCCACCCTCGAATCGTCCCCCGTATATCCAGAAGAACACAGGCAGTTTCAAAGATGTGAGATTTGTTCCCGCCTTGTAGGCTGGTGTCGAAATGTTCAAATATAAACAATCCTCGCTAGTAGTGTTCTTGCCGCTGGAGAAGATACCAGCATCACTGATGGTCTGCGCACACTGTGGCCCAAATTCAGTCGCATTGAGGGAGCCCCAGAAGCTGGGGCCTGAGACGTGCGTCCATCGGTTTGTACCGGTCGGAGGCTGGGCATAGGGGATACCTTTGTAGATATAGGCCTTGTCTCCCCCACGGAAAGGAGAAATACCACCGTGAATGGTACCATAATGGGTGCTGATGACCGGGACTGAAAGGGCGGCGGTAATTGTGGGAATGCAGGCCGCCAGGCAGGCTATCGTTGGAAGAAGATGCATTGCTGATTAAATTCAGAGGCTTTGAATGTGAAATGCCCGGAGGAGAATGAAAGGGAATCGACGAAGGAATGACGGAATGATGGAACGAGTAAGAAGCAACTGCGATGTAAGACAGCAGATGACCAGAGCGAACGAACGAATTTAAGAAAAGAGGCCGGTTCCAGCATTCAAGGGAGGGTACGCGGTCGTGGAAAGCGATCTACCTTCAATTCTTCGCTGATCAGATGCTGGATGGACCAAATGGGTCATCCACAAGTCTCCTCGAGTACTGCGCGATCGGACTTAAGTTCTAGAAACAGAGCCCTGAGGGAAGTGGGTCGCAGATGTTTGATCCTTGAATGTTGGAGCCAAGGCAAACACCTCTTGGTCCGGCTGAGGAGACGGCTCAGTGTTCACGTTAAGGCGAAAAGCTCCATCAGTTATTAGAAGTTGCTGAGTCAATTATTGCGCGGCATTTGGGTGTCGTACCTGACTTCTAGGCCTGTTAAGCACAAAGTACGACTTGTCTTCTCTGCACAGCCTACAGGAATCTTCCCGTGGTCATTAAATATGATTACCACATGATCAGGGAAGCCCTAGTATGAGGTCACCGGTAATCATATGTTGTGATCAATACGTTTACACAGCATCCAGCGGAAATAATCAGGAACTTCCATGTACAGCAATCCATCCTCCGAGCTGTCTCAGCTAGGATTCCCGCGATACGTAATATGTACCGCATTGAAAACGCCCACAGAGACTAGTGGATGAGACGGAACTCTATTCTCTCATCAGATATCACTCCGCTCTTGCATAATTTTCTCGGCAACAGGGTCGTCTGGCCGGATTCCATGGAAGATCTGCAAGGGCACTCGGCCTTCAATTCCTGAAATGGCTATGATCGTCATGAGAAACACTCGTTGTGCCTGTTTCCTTCCCCGAATGACCGAATGACCGAACCGCTGGCGGAGGATGACTCGTGTCAACGTACAGTGATTTGGTATGAAGTACATTTACCCCTGTCATGTTGTGGACCATATTATCAAGCGTGTTGTGTATAGTCAAAACTCAGCCTGACATATAGTTCAAAAATTTGCGACGTGCCTATCTTTATTCTACATTTGTTGAACATAGGTATGTAGTGATAGCAGTCCAGATGCTCTGTTGTTCTTGAAAGCAACTGGACTTGGTATGCTAAGGTAGGCTCAGTGCAACATCTTCAAGATTCCTTTAAGCCTTAATTACACTAGTATATCCGCTCACAAGCCGCCATTCACAGCTTCAAGAAGATAGATGAGCCTAATGAGACGACACGCAAGCTAGATAACGAGTCGGCATGACGAATTCTGCTTAATTTTTCAGAGCTCATTCAAGCGCGAGCGAAGGCGGTGATGAAATTCGTATTCCATCGGAAGATAAGGTCTTGGCACTAAAAGAGGATGAGGATCTGCACAATGATCCACCTCGACACTAGCTGCATCGACCGTGTTTCCTGGATCTGGCAATTACGACCGAAATGCATTGGCAGTACGTATATCGCATGAAACATCTTTTGACCCTTGAGGAAACTGGTTGACGGCCAAATATCGGTCGGAACTCCCATTGGCTTCGACGCCTGCTCCTTGATCCCCGAACGCCAAAATGCCCGGCTAATTTTGGATCTTTGATTATTTCTGGTTTCGGTACGCTGCGCGCTCGTTCAAGTCCTCTGATTGCAGGATCCAGGGTGAGGAAGGAACCCACTCTCTGAGCCACCATGACAGCCGGCAAGGCCTGCCCTATGGTGGCCGCTGCATCTGCGCTGCATGTCCAATGCTTGCTATCGTCCCTGATGGGTCTACTAGTACGCGTTCCGCAAGGCAGGCTTCCCGTCTGTTATGACCGAGTAAGGGCACTGGGGCCTTCGGGTAAGAGATTATCAGCATATTACATGGTCAATAATCGCCATCTTTGGACCGGCAACAGCTCGAGTATCTTCTTCTGCTTTCTATCTGGAAAGGGAGGACAGTATGCGCATGTCCTCTGTGAATACCTTTGCAGCCCTCGTGGTTGGCTTTGCTGCAGCTGGTTGCCCCTATGCTGAGCATGCTGTTTCTCCTGCTGCCGCTACAGGATGTCCTTATTCAAAGCGTGCTGCTGCTGCCACTGTGCCTCAAGAAAAGCCCGCGGTGTCGCGTCGTGGTCCAGTTGAGGGCAAGAATGGTATCTTCTACAGTGAGTGGCCTTTTACTTTCTAGTCAAGTCTGAGCAGACGTACTAACAAGTCACAGTGAACCGCATTGGGCCCTCCGGCTCGCAGCTCTGGATCTCTAATGCGGACGGTACCAATGCGACAAAGCTTATGGGAAACCAGACATGGGCATTCGATTACCACCCCTCCTGGTCTCTCAATGGCGACTGGATCATCTTCACCAGCGAGCGTCGATCCCCTGGGCAATCTGACTTATATCGAGTGCGCCCTGACGGCACCGGACTCGAGGTGCTCGAGGATACAGACAGCGTCGAAGATGCGGGCACACTGTCACCAGACGGTACTAAGGTCGCGTACGTGTCGACGAAAGGTAACTACACAACCAACGTTTGGATCAAGGACCTGGAGACCGGTCTGGCGCGCAACCTGACCGATATGGCTTCCACGCGCAGCAACAACATTTGGCCATCTGGACATTTCCGTCCTGCATGGTCCCCTGATGGAGAATGGCTCGCCTTCAGCTCTGATCGCAACACTGACTGGACCGGCCACACCGAGGGTACCGGCTGGGAGCACACGCAAAGCTTGGGTATCTATGTGATTCGTGCCGATGGTCGCGACTTCCGTACGCTGCTCCACGAGCAGGGCTATGCGTACGGTACTCCCCAGTGGTCATCTGACGGAGGTCGCATTACCTACAACAACATGACGACCGAGCATACGTACTATGCGCACTGTGTGTCTTCAGAACAGGAGTTGATCTCTTCGCAAATCTGGAGTGTGGACTTCGCGACAGGGGAGGACCACGTCAAGCACACCTCCAGCGACACCTTTAAGGTTGGACAACACTATATCGGCAATTCCACCAACATTGGGTACCTGGTCAAGGCTGGAGATTTCGAGGGTATCCATTACACCACGCCCGATTTGACTCACAATGCCTTCAACCTGACCTACCTGCGTGACCCTTCGTGGTCTCCAGATGGAAAGAAGCTCGTGTATTGGGTCCCTAACTGGGATCAGCAACCCGCCGAGCTGGAGTTGTTTAGCTACGACAGCGAGTGGCAGTACCGCTACTTTGATGTCTTCCCCATTCATAATACGGTCATCAACCGCATGGCGATCACACAGAAGGTTTTGGGAGGTGCTAATGGCTCGGTCGTGCATTCAACCCCGATGTACAAGGATGTGGTCGACGCGCTCGACTCCTACGATATCTACTCGACCCACAACGAGACCGAAGCCCTGTGGCTCGAGGAAGGCCAAGCAGGTGGTTTCCAGCCCTCCTGGAACCCCGACGGCACTGAACTTGTCGCCGGCTTCGGTGCCTGGTTCTTGACTCGTACCGAGTCCTCCGCCGCTATTTACCGCATGCTCGCCAACGGTACCAAACACGAGAATCTGACCGATTGGATCAATAACGCTGGTTTTCCTTCCTGGTCTCCCGATGGTTCCGCCGTGGTCTACCGTCTGTGGAACATGGAGAGCGGCAGCCCCATGGGCCTGCACATTCTTAACTTAACCACCGGCGAGACTACCCAACTCACTCTCGGATGGGATAACACACCTGGCTGGTCTCCCAATGGCGAGCGTATTGTGTTCACCCGTAACAATAACTGGACCGAATCCTACGGCGCCCGCTGGTACGCGGACCGCTTTGACATCTACACTATCCGCCCCGATGGCACCAATCTTACCCGGGTCACGGACAGTCTGTCCAACGATGCTCAGTAAGCCACCAGCCCCTTTCTTTAAATGTGTTAATAGATTTTAACCTCCTTCAGCGCCGTCTGGTCTCAGGATGGTCGTATTATGTATAGCACCGGTATGTACGGCTTTAAGGACGAGAGCCAGCTCTTCGACAACACCTTCCAGCCCTACGGTCAAATAATCGTCATGGACTACGATGGTTCCAACAAGAAGCTAATGACAGATACTATCTGGGAGGACTCGATGCCTCTGTACATGCCCAATGAGTATCTCAAGTAGATATATAAGTGGGAAGCTACCATCAATCGGCCGAAGCCCGACGGCATCTTACTCACTGGTCCTGCTTCCCAGTTTAACCGAGTCTGTAGAAGGCCCACAATGAACGCATCTGGCCCGTCACTTCACACTGTATTATCTCCCACGTGAGCCCGGGCAACATCTTTCATAGACGCCGTCGTCTCGTGACGAGGCCCAATTCGTATATTTCCTCGACTGTAGACGCTAGCCATTGTCTCAGTTAACGCACGATTGATGGAGACGCTTCAATCAAGGAAAAAAACAAATGTGGCGCAGCCCACATACAAGTCTTCTAGTTTTCTCTCTCCACAATCAGCTTTCCATCATCAAAGGAAACCTCAAAACTCCTACATTGCGCAGGTCCAACACCCCCAGCTTCCCCAATGACAAATCGCATCATTCCGCCGTGCGTAACAAGTACCAAGTCCGGCCTGTCGCTACCCTCGATAGAAACAAACTGCGCCTCCAACCCTCTCCTCAGTCTCTCCCCACGCGCAATTAAGGTCTCCCTATCAGGCGCATACAACCCCGTCTTCGCCGGGAAGACAGGATCCAATTCCACTTTCAGTTCACCCCAAGGTAATTCGACAAATTCATCCTCCAGAACGGAGATTTCTGAACCCGTATCGCACGGCCGAGCAGAGTGTGCTTGTGTGTCTGCGCCTAGTATGAGCCTTGCGCCATTTACGACGCCTGACTTCTTGTAGTATCGAGAGTCGAGTGTGGAGCTGAAACCATGGAGGGTTGTTTGAATAGTTCGACGGAAAGGAGAAGTAATGATAAGACCCACGGTGTCCTTGAATCGGAAATCATGGCCTAGTTGTTTTGATTGTTCGACACCCGTGACTGTTAGTGGTGGGTCGAGAATAGTAGTGTCGTGTTTCGGGTTGTGGGTACCCTCGGCGTGGCGGACGACATGCAGACGGAAGGGCATTGTGCCATGCTATAGATTGAATCTTTCGTTGCTGCATGCACATGTGCGCTGTGAGGCTCGATTTAACATTTGATATGGTGTTTGTGTGGTGTCATTTTCTTCTCGGGGTTCCGGGATCTGCAGGTTATCTCCGAGGTGTGAATCAGAACTGGCAATTCTGGCCGAAGATGTGGAGCGGGCGAAGCTTGTTCCATGTTTTAAAAATACTTTCATCGGAGACCAGATATTGGAAGGTTCGGATGTTGGCTCATTATCCGATCTTGTCAGTTTGACTCTTTTTTGCCGCATTGGTGGGATCAAGTTGTTCATATTTTCAAGTCTAGATCGTTCAAAGCCGATCAATGTTTTGTCCAAGGTTCTTCAACCAATCCTCAAACTAGCCCATATAATTGAACTCGCTTGACGTCCAACGCATCGAGGGATACAACAGCGGCAGATTCGGGTGATAGCTCTCCACCGCGACTGCTAAAACCCATATTCAAACCGCGTGGCTGAACACGCCGACAATCCAAGATGCGTAATTGGCGGGTATCGGCACCACAAAAACAGGCTATATGATCCGGTTCAAAAATCCCGAGAGGGCCGATGGCCAATAATAATTCGGACAGGCTGAACTAACTAGGCAACAATACCAAAATGGTCAAATCTCACTTTGGCATCATCGTCCACCGCACGCCATCAGAGAACTTGGATCCAGATCACGTCAAGACACAAAGCATAGAGAAGACTGCAAAGAGAACAAACTATCGTACCCAGCTTCAGAATCGAAGACGTTGCTTGGTTGAAGTAAAAAAGACAAAGCACTGGGAAAGTCCGCATCACTGGGCATCTGGCTCGATAGCCCGGATCTGGGTTAACTCGTCATCCATTCATACCATAAAGCAGGACCATGTTCATGGAAATACAGAATTAATCCGTAAAACTAGGCCTATCAAGGTGATTAGTTTGATGGGTACCGACAAGCCCTCTGGTGTAGCTTTTCCAACACTTGCCTTCCCCACAGTGGTTATTTATCCCTCACTCAACACTACATCTCCGGTGTCAATTATCCTACCTTGTTAAACCTCATTCGACATAATACTCTTCGCAGGTGACCAAAGTGACTGTACTATAAATGCGGGGCATCTTACATCCCGACGGTGCTAGCTGACCATTTCAATCCTAGGGGGAGTCACTATGCAATTAAGAAGTCTGCGTTCTGTAATCGTTGTTAGAAAAAGCCATTCATTCTGATAACCGTCAATATCCTGGAACAATCTCATGACATACAGCTTCACCACGGATAGACCCAATAATGCCAATCATCGTCAACATTTACTTTCCAAAGTTGCCCATCCCAAAAATGATACTAGCTCTCCAAAAGTCTCCACAGTCTCGTTCAAATCCATCCTGTCGAATAAACCAGAAACGAAAGTAGAACAGACCCTTCGAGAGACGGATCGGACAACCGATCCACCGAGTGTACCTACCGGAGCCGAATGGGGAATAAACTCATTTTGGCAGCGGTCAACAACAGCATCACTAGCATTAAAATCTCTATAATCAAGGAAAGGCTCAAGAAGCTTTTCAAGCCTCTCCTGGAGAATAGTGACAGATGCGAAATGGCCCTTAGCAAGAGTATCCAACTCATCCGAATACCGTGTAACAATCATATCAGCAACAGCCTGCCAATCAAAGGCATGGAGAGACGGTTCCATAGTATTAATCATGTGACTGATATCCTTTCGGATTGGCTCCAGCTGTTCCGTGGGGATATGTTCCAACATCGGTTGTGTTGCATTGTCAGGGAACAGGTCGAGATCGTAGGTATAAGCAGTGACAAATTGATCGAAATCCAAACGCACTTTGTGCCCGATGAGCTGATCATGTCGTGTCGCCAGTGAATAACAGTCGCCTTGAGGACCATCAGGACCATCAGGACCATCAGAACCATCAGGACCATCAGGACCATCAGGACCATCAGGACCATGAGGACCATCAGGACCATCAGGACCATGAGGACCATGAGGATCATGAGGACCATGAGGGTCACGAGGGCCGCGATGGCTATCAGACTTAGAGTTGGTATCCTGTTTGCGCCTTCCCTCTCCGTCGGTATCGGCCTGGTTTTCGGCTTTCCTCTGCGATTTGTATTTTGTCTCGTCATCAGAGTCAGTCTTATCCTGCGGTTTTGTCTGCGAGATATGAACGACATTAAGATCTCGCTTAAACTCGCAAAGGATAATCTCAAAGCCTTGCTCTGTCCGAACAAGACCATCAATCCTCTCTCCCCATACCTCCTTCACCATCCGGCAAGCTTCAATGGCACGTTCTTGCTCGCGAGGCGGTCCACCAAGGGGTGGTTTCGGCCCCGGTTTCGGATGTCCAATGGTATCATTGAACAATATCCGATCCTGAGACTCCATTGATCCACGAGGACCGGCCGACATGCCGTCCACGTAGAGTAATCGCAGATCCTTTGCTGCGGCGTAGATGTGTAGGTATCCGTGGCGGCTGGGGTCTGACGCCCCATCGATAGTTCCATCTATATGGTCCTGGCTGCCCACGACTGGATCGAGAGGTTGCTGCGCCTCGAAAGTGGCTGATCGCTTCCTTCCGTCGTGTGGTCTTTGCCACTCACCGCGATGAGCGAATCCTAATGCATGCTCGGGGACAAAGGCTAGCCATTCCGGCTGTGACGAATTGGTGCCGTGGTAAAATTGAGTTCCGTTTGGGACACTTGCGAGGAAAAACGAAACTCCATTGTGATTGATGCCTGATTCCCAATGTCTTAGAGCTGAATGGATGGCGTTGAAGATGTGGTTGGCATTTTTTGGGGAGACATCTGCAGCGTCATTGTGGGCATGCGACAGGGATGGTGAGGCCAAGAGGGACAGAACCCAGATCAACTTCTCTGTGCATCGCATCACGGAATTCTGATACGGGGTTGTGGGATAGGGAGTTTTGGGATACGGGGAGTGTAGAACTTGAACTGGCGGTTAGCTACTTTTGATGGTTCTACTAGCAGTGATGATCTGCCATGGACGCGTAAGCAGACTACGGTGCTCGTCTAGCCACAATCATATCACCGATTGGCTTGCGCATTTTAGGTTTGTCAATATGGGAATATGTAAGCCTCGGGCTTGTTTGTGGATCTATCGCGGCTTTAGTTTCCTGATTCGGAGGGGAGGTACGAGGAGATGGATGCCCCTCGGTCTTCGACGATGACTCGCGTGTACTAGTAAACCGCTGAGAATTCTGGGACGAAAGCGGCCTCGTGTCCTTGTTTTGGCCACTGGAGAGTGTTCATGTTCAATCGTGGTCCAATCAGAGCCTAAGGTGAATGTGTTCCCGACCAACAACTCACGAGCGAGGATGGGGTTATGGTGTTGATGAGTTTGGGGGTGCAGCCGCAGGGCTAGGTGGCACGCACGGTCAATGAGCAGGCGACCCCATCGAGCTTCGGGTGAAATTGAGGGAGGCGTTCCGGAGCATGTCGACCTTGCTGGGCGCTCTGAAGAATGGAAGGAAGGAGAGGTAAGCATGATAACGCATCACGTGTCAAGACGGTGGACGCGGTGTTGGATTTCATCGTACTCATGAACATCCTTTTACGACCAAGGGTATCAGACATCATAGGCCAGAGTGTGCCCCCGACGGTCAGCCCAACAAACAGACTGATGAAAAGATAGTTGGTGTTATTGCCTGTGAAGAAGAATTGAGATTCGTTTCCGGCGGAGGGAGCAATTACTCGGAAAGACATCATCCAGAACTATACACATCCATCATTAGCAAATTCTCTCGTCTGAATGGCGATTTCAATTCAACTCACGCTGTCAAGGAACCATCCAACACCAGTCATAAGAAAAAGCAGCCACTGATACCTACCCATCCCAACATCCAACAAAGCTGCATTAAGCAACTGCACTTTGGCAGCAAAGACAGCATCCGTCCCAGCGTGTGTCGCGAGAGTAATAATTTTCACTCCGCATATATTCTTGTGAACTTTCTCCGGTCTGATACCGGTTTTGGACGGTCCGACCTTCTCGACATCGTTCACCAGCGTAGAGGCAAAGGCACTTTGTGCCTCTACGTTTCGGTGTTGTGTTATCGAGTCGTCTCCACTAGACATTTTCTATGATCAGGGTAGTCGTTTTTGATTATGGGTGGGGATAAACTCCGCGGTGGGGGAGTAGGTGGGAGAGTAGATGGGGCAGTCAACGAAATATTCGTAGAGGATGGACTCGACAGGGGGGCAAGGAGCTACTATTTATGTGAAACCCAACTTGGGAACATGAAATAGCGTGATTGGAAACTCCAGCTTCGGGTGAAAGCAAGGAGAAACGAGGAAGCTATCTGCAGCCAAGAAAAGACACGAGTTCTAGACGACCAAATGACCATACCCTTTCTATCACGCACGCAAGTAATATCCTGATTAAGGCAAACATGCACGGCAAGCGGAGACCTCCGTGAGGACAAAAGCGAAAGGAAAAGTACAATAATCCAAAATCACCTGCCAAGCCCATAGGAAAACGGATCAGAATTGTAAAGTCGGCCGCAAGGACCCGCGAAGGAGCGAGGGTATCACACGGTATTACCAATTGGAATGAGGTTGCGGGGATGGTTTGATACTAGCACTCGTTTCTCCGCAGATGTGAGAGGACAATTCTAGGGTAGACCCGCAGCCAAGTGCTGATTGATATGACCGAGAGGGGAGCCTATAGGTTGAGAGGGAATATTTACAGCCGGGCTAGTCGTCATTATGTTGGGGGCTTTTTTTGGCGCAAACCTTCACTTGATGGGATAGTTCGCGTAATTGTCCGAGATATGAAGTTCATGTATCAGCGCGTTTGCTGCGATAATTGTGAGCTTCGCAGGCAGAATGCCTTGAGAATTCTACAACCCATGGTAGCTCGTAATACACACTTACTCCTCAAACGTAGAGGGAATTGTCCCGCGGAGAAAAGATGGAAGCCAAGAATTGCTAAATCCGATATTCGGACGACATTACTAGATTGGGTATGGTCCAGATGTCGTTGGTCTTGTTGGCCAGGATTTTCCCGTGAAATTATAAGTTCATTCGGCTTTGTCTTTTGTATCTTTCTTGCTTAGAGCATAAGAAGTCGATTTTTAGAGTCTATGTCAATTTAATTCTGATTTGACAATCTTTACCAAAAAAAATATACTGTAATCTAACCTCTTTAAGCTTCAAAGATCTATCTTCTAATTATTATATCCTAAAAACTTTCGAGGCTTTTGAAGAATGTTAGACTCAGTATGAAGAATATAGATCTATAGAAGACGTTATAAGAAGCTACTGTTGTTGAGATATAGAGTTGTAATTTATCGCTTTTATTGTGGTGTTTCGAGGTGCGTCGCTCGCTTACCGAATACGTAAGTTGAATATTGCAGTGCTCGACGTTCCTGAGGGCCCTACCCTCGACTCTGCTGCTCCCTCTGGAAATTAGTCGATACTGGATATGTTGTTCATCACGTAACTGATAGCCATGCGTCGGTCATGATCCATGATGATCATTGATCCTCCCCAGCCTCCTCAGAAGCCAATTTACCCCTCGGGAATCCAGGCCTCTGTCTGCGGTGCTGACAGAGCTACACCAAGTCGCGGATAATCGAAGGTGACAGCATCCGTTCCCTTCATCTGCTCATTGAGCATTTTCTCAACGGTTGATGCTTCCGCGAAGCCTAAAACGGTGAAGCCGCTTTGACTTGCGCGACACTCAAGAATCAACGTCTTCAAAGGAAAGCGCATAAAAAATATCATCTTTTGTATTCCAAAGCCACTCTCCTTTTTTTTGACGCTTGTACCTACGCGTCGCATTCTTTTCGTAGCTGAAAAACCCCATGTGATGCAATTATGGATCGGGACTGAACGGTTCCGCACTCAGTACATTTGTCCACCTAGATCAATCAATTTCCACGCACCCGCCATCTGGCAAGCTTGACCGCTATGCACTACATTATTTAAGAGGCAACCAGGCCCCATCGCCCGTTTGCCTTCAACCCCAATTTATTTCACTTTCTTCTAGTAATATACTTTGAACGGTGATGTCTCGCTATTCCCTCGAGGATATAATCTAAGGTTTTTTTTCTAGCTGGACCATCACCCGGGAAGAATGCGACCGAATTGCTGCTGAGATTACTGGTGAAACTGTAGAGCCAGTTCGGCTTCAAGGGGCGTTCAGTTACACTTTAGCGGCTAGGGAGCTTCTAGTTCAATTCCGTGTGCCCGAGTCTCTCTTGGACAACAAAACGCTGGCTCTTGCCCGGAAGGTCTATGGAGAAGTTGTGCCCTCCTGCGTCAACAGAGGAGAGATGGGACCGCCGCCGTCACTCACTATCTATGTCATGGATAAGGTTCCCGGAATAACATATATCAAAGCGCCTTTGACATTACATCATTGTCCTTCGTGGCAAGAACAAACAGTGTCGGATTTTGCAAGGTACTTTCGATATCAGTATGTTGTGGATCCGCAACTAATCTTGCTAGGTTCTTTGCCAATTCATGGGTGAACCGATTCACAGAGCCTCATCGCTCCGAGCACTCTTTGGCAGACCTTCAGAACAAACATGATACACTTCTACGGCAGCTCCCTGCTCGGTTTACCACTGTCATCTCCAAGCTTCGCGAAGAAGTTCCAGAAATTTTCGCCCCCACATATCCATTAGTTCTAAGTCACGCTGACCTATGTGAGATGAACATTATCGTCGATCCTGAAGTAGGTGGTATTAATGGGATCGTTGATTGGGCTGAAGCAAAAGTCTTGCCATTCGGAATGTCCTTGTGGGGGCTTCAAAACATGCTTGGTACTATGAACTCAAGTGGTTGGCATTACCACGAAAATTCTTCCCAACTAGAAGCCCTTTTCTGGGATACGTTCCACAGAATTGCGGGAGGACTTTCCAGTAAGGAAAGAAGTACCATAAAAACAGCGGAAAGGGTTGGATTAATTCTTCGTTATGGTTTCACTTGGAAAGACGGATCGAAAGGCCCGTGAACGAGCAAGACTCTTCCATTAGATATTTGGATGCATTTCTACATCGCTTAGAGGATTGAGAACCAAAAGCTCTTTTTAGAGTCCCAGCTTACGGCAAAATTAGTATTAATGGCAACGAGGACCAGTGGGGAACCCAGGAACAGAATGTATTCGATGTAGAGATTGACATGGGCGAAGGAAGGAAAAGCACTGAAATAAAAGCAGCGTTGGCTGTAGTGAGGTTTGCAGAAAATCAAAGCTCCTCCAAGCTACATAATGATTTCTTCCTTCTTGAGGAAGCGTCTCAGCTCCTATAAGCTTATTATGGCGTCTTTGCCTGTTCGCCTTCTTTTTGCTGCACCTAGTACTGACGGTGATGGCGAATTAGGTAGGTTTTCTCTCTAGAAAGACGTTTAATACTAACTTGAGCAGTGTCTTTGGGCCGGAATCTGCTGGCAGAAAATATAGATATCTGAGAATTCAGGTTAGGGGTGGTGGGAGCAGTAAAGGGGGTGGGTGGGAGTATCAATTCTCTAATTATATTATTAAAGTTCCCGCCTGTATACTTGCAGTTTTATCTAGTCCCTTGCCTAGTATAACCCTAGCCCTAATGATAGGCTCGTCGTACTGTAACATGATAGTTAATGGATACCGGAGGCTTATGAAATATATGGTTTTTTTACTCGCTATAAACATGCTTCCGCAGTTATGAATTACTTTACATCTCCAGCCTTCGTCTTCCTAATAATAAGCCAAAGACTCTTCCGGAATCCAGGGTCTTCTTCCTCTCCCTCAGGATTCCCACTACACGCAGGGTCCTGATATCTCGCATCATACCTCTTCTTCAGGGCCGCATTAAAACGCGTAAGCCTCGACTTCGACGTCCAAGGCAAGACATCCACATCAAGCTCCGCAATCCAAGGCTGCAGCACTCGAATCCGACGCTGCTGCAAATCGAGCTGAGATCCATCCGCCGGGGCGCTAGGCAGCTCAGCCAACTGCCGCAGGATAGGCGCCTGTTTGTTGACTTTGCCCTGGGAATCTAAGATAGGAATCTTCGCGATATGAGCCAAGGCGTCCAGCTTGGCAATCTCAGCCTTCAACCCGTGGGGCGCGAAAAGATCCTTGTTGGCTTGGCGGATGGTGGAGTCGGATCGGCTCTTAGAGATTCCTTGTCCGCCGAGATTTGCGAGCCCGCTTACCACAGAGCCGATCCAGTGGAGTGGGAATAAGATAGGGACGGACTGAAGGATGCCCCCTGTCGCATCCAGTACTTGCATCGGTGGGCTGGTAGTCATGGCATCGTTGAGGTCGTCCAAGAAGGTGAGAAATTTATCCTTGGGGATTTGATACTCGTTCAACGAAGGGGCGTACGAACGGAGAAAAGGAGACTCACGCGCGCAGTCGATTGCCGGGATTGCGATGGGCCTGTCTCGACTAGAAGACGATCCCGTCACTGGTGTTGCTGATGAGCTTTGCTGGGGAGCGCTTTGCGGAGCGTTAATTGCTGCATCACGAGCTTTTGAAGAACTGGCCTCAGGAAATGCAGAGCTTCCGGCGGGTTCCCGCTCTGAGTATGGAGGGGGTTCTTGGTCTGGAGGCGAAGCATTCGACTCGGGAGACGGCGAAGTGTCTATCTCCGAGGAATAGTGGTCCAAGTCCTCAAATGGGGGTTTGGTCTTCTTCCCAGACATTTCGATTGATGGTCAAGGGAATATTCCCGAATATTGGTCGGGGATTATCTCTTAGCCTTATGAATACTTCAGGAAAATAGTCTGGTGGGGCTGTGCCGTCTGCGCCACTGGCTGGGTTCTGATGGGAGCTCGCTGATGATACTGTGGCGCTTCGAAACCCAATAAAAGGGGTTAAACCAGCTTTAGCCACAAACAAGCCTCTTTGATGAGTCTTAAATGAGCTTGGGGCTTGGATGCCAGTGGGATGGCGGTGGGAGGCAAGCGCTAACTAGAAGGTCTAAAGTTATTACGTTATCAACACGATAACGCTAATCCACATTCGGTATGCATTCCGAAATTCCCAAGGTTCCATTCTGGGACATCTGTGTGAATTGATTCTACGTTTCACTACAGAGAAAATTGGAATAGACCGAGAAAGAGTTGATGTTATTACCTGCGAGAGTTAGAGGAGATTAATCTAGATCCTTCTTGAGGTATACTGCTCATTTTGCATCCTGAGTACGTTTTTCTCACAGTAGTTTTCTTTTTTCAATGATTGCAAAGTAACAGTTGAGAAGGGACATTGAGAACCCAAAAGTTAATTCTGACTCTAGTTTTTGCATCCCTTCGTACGTATTCAAGTAGAAAAATAATACACCATACAAATAGGGTCGAAGCCCGTGAATACCGAACCCATTCGCGCAGTGAAAGCACACGGTAATAAAAAGAACGGAACATGAACAGTGTGCACAGAAAATGCAGAAAACGAGGCTATTGACCAGCGTCAAAATCAACGAACAGTTTGACCATTGCAGAAAGGCCCACGAACAGGTCGCGGGCAGTAGTAAGCCCCTTCACTCGTGTCTCGTTTCAGGGTGATAGATGGCAAGACTTGGAGCACTTTTCGGGAGTATATCAGATGATAGAAATTTTTAGATAATGCCTTTTCGCCTATCGTACTCTCGCCCAGGTATACTTCTAGCCATGCGATACTATTCAATACCTGAAGAACGAGTTACGTATATGCTTCAGCGAATAGTCTTGCCTAAAGCTTAGGCAGCCACGTGAAATGTGGTACTTTCAGCCACAAACCGAGCAAAACGATCAGATAGCGATACGTTTACCAAATCCCGGCATTTTTGAAGTGAGTGGAGTTGTCCGGCGGCGCTGTTCGGCATGTGGTGTCGTGACTCCATTGGTTGAGAGTTCCAAGTGTAGGGACCGAGCCCTCATCAATATTAATATGGGTATTGTGCCTAGTGTCCAGAAACATGGCGCGACTCTAGGATGGATGGAAGAATGGGGCTGGCGCTGTTATTGAGAGACCTCGGAAAAAATCATGAAGGGCACGGGACTGGAAAAATCTGATTAGATTAAGATTAGATGAGGCGATTGATTGATTGATTAATTAGCTGATCCGTGGATGCAAGTAAGACAGGTTTCCTGCCACGCTAGAGAAGGAAGCGTCCTGTCTGCGAAAACACTTTCCTTTTCTCACAATGGCAAACATGATTGGGCGCACCTGGGAGGCTAACGGTCGGGTGGGCCTCTGCCCGAGGCAAAGTGTCATGGAATCCGAAAAGCCCAGGGTCTGAATGAGGCCAGGCCCGAGTTAAGCTCTAGCGTCCCAGTTGTGTTTGATGGTCCCTTTGACAGGTCCACACTTAGACCATTCCTTTCTGCGCCGGGCCTTACTCCGGCCATCCCGGAATCTGTGCTGTAGTCGAGGCGTGGCTATTCCAGATGAACTCATGGGTGTGACACTCGTTAGCCGATGGAAATTGTCTTGATGGAGGCTGGGTCAGTCTTCTGACAGGCCATCTGATAAGAGTTGGTGGCGCTGCGCATGGCCTTTCACTGCTGAAGGCACCAGCGAGAGCTGAGACTTTGGTCTTGGCGAAACTAGGTGCTCGCGGCGACCCCGATTTGACGATGGCCACGCTCGGTGAAGGATCCACACGATACCTGTTGGGGCCAAAGCAGAATTTTGTTGCTCCCTTCCCGCTTGGGACACGGCCGAACGCTTCAATTCAGTTTAATCATGGCGACGCGTACATCACAGACGATGATGACATTGTAGAAAAACAAAACATTTTATCATGCATGATCATAGACTCCTTTAAACTTGCTATGTAACTTGAAAGTCGCACGCAAACGGAGGGCCGCATTTGGCAACGCTGTGACACTGGCGGATCGTATCGGGGGGAATCCCGGTCCCTGGCCAATGAGAGCCCAGTACCGAGCAACGGAAAACAGCCACAGCGCGACCTGATTGGTCACTAGCGTGTTATCTGATGGGCCCCGCCGGATTATCTGATCATTTTCTAGGTGGGAAAAGCCTTTCGGCTTCCTTTGGTTCCATGACCTCCAGTTGCACCTGAGAGAGAAAAAGTCTCAGGCGCACCGAGCGGGATTTTCTCGCCCTGGTTCCCCTATCGCATAATCTCTTCTACTTTAAGAACCGCCGTCCCACCGTCTTTCCCATCCGTGCTTAATATTCGTACGCTGATTTTCCGATCTCTCCGCCGTTTCGACTGCCCTTTTGCTCCGTCTGGGGCCTAGGACCTACTCCGCTCCCGCATTGGCCTACTGGTCGCCATAGCGGTTCATAATGGGTGCCCTTGACAATGTGCGAGGCCGCGACGAAGGCGGACGCTTCACCAGCACTGTCGTCGATTCCGAGACTACCACGTACGAGGAGAAGCATGCGCATTCTGCCGACAACACCGAAGCTTCTCCCCCGGATTATGAGTCCAACACTAGCGACGGATCGGAGAATTCGTTCGGCATTAATGGCGTCGAGGATGATGTAAAGGAGGCCGAGCGTAACCCCGACCATGTTACGACCCAGGCTAGTTTGGGTCAGCAGAAGGCCGAAGCCGCTGCTCTGGTTTGGAGCCGCCCAGTGGTGTTCGGTCTTTATGCATGGTAAGCACAGATTCCATGTGGGAAATATCTTATTAAATGGTCTATCTAACAATCTCGAATGATCAGGATCTGGATCTGTTTCTTCATGCTTGCTCTGCACTCCGCCATTAGCGGTACTCTCATCAACTACGTCTTCTCCAGCTTCAAGTCCGCCCCGCAGGTCTCTACTTCCTACATCCTATCTACCATTATTGGTGGTGTGCTTAAGCTGCCTCTGGCCAAGACCCTTCAACTCTGGGGCCGCGCCGAGGCCTTGGTATTCTCGACCGCCGTCTACATTCTCGGCATGATCATTCTGGCCGCTTGCAATGGCCCAAGTGCTTTTGCCGCTGGATACGTACTATACTGGATTGGCTACTACTGCATATACCTGATTCTGGATATTTTCGTGGCAGATACCACCGGTCTTCGTTCGCGAGCCTTTGCATTTGCATTTGCCTCAACACCGTTTATTTGCACTGCATTCACTGGTTCATTGGCGGCAGAGCATATCTACAAAAATTCCGGCTGGCGGTGGGGCTACGGAATGTTCTGCATTATCCAGCCGGCCATTTTCCTGCCCCTGGCCGGTGTCTTCAAATTCTATGAGAAGAAGGCTATCAAAATGGGTATCTGGCAGCCTCGCAACAGCAGCCGAACCAAGATGCAGTCGATCATGCACTACATCCACGAGTTTGACGTGATCGGCGCTTTCCTGCTTATGTCCGCGTGGGTGATGTTCCTGCTGCCCTTCAGTCTGACTCAGTACGGCCGCTCTCAGTACTCTAGCGCTACCTTCATTGCCCTGGTAGTGGTTGGATTCTGCATGCTCTTCGTGTTCGCTGCGTGGGAGAAGTGGTTTGCCCGCACCCACTTCATCCGCTACGAGCTGCTTCGCCGACCTACCATCCTGGGTGCATGTATCTGTGCCGCCACCCTGTACTTCAGCTTCTACCTGTGGGACCAGTACTTCTACAACTTCGTCCTGATCACCTACAACTTGGATATCACTTTGACTGGATACATGACCCAGATCTATAACGTTGGATCTTGCTTCTGGTCCCCGATTCTGGGTCTGTTTATCTGGGCCACCCGCCGCTTCAAGTATGTCTGCTTGTTCTTCGGTGTGCCCCTAATGATTCTTGGCTCCGGCCTGATGATCTACTTCCGTGGTGGAGATCACGGTATTGGCTACATTGTCATGTGTCAGATCTTCATCGCTTTCGCCGGAGGTACTCTGGTTATTGGCGAGGATATGGCAGTCATGGCCGGCGGTGGTCGTGAGGGTACCCCGATGATGCTGGCCCTGATCGGTCTGTTCTCCAGCATCGGTGGCGCCATTGGTTATGCTGTCTCTGCTGCAATCTACAACAACACCTTTGTGAGCGCGCTTGCTAGCCAGCTGCCCGATAACCTCAAGGGCAACGCCACTCAGGTTTACCTCGATGGTATCACCACCCAGGATGCCTTCCCCGTGGGATCTGTTCTTCGTGATGCCGCCATTCACGCCTGGGGCTACTCGCAGCGCATGAACTGCATAGCCTCGACCTGCGTCTTGGTCCTTCTCATCCCAGCCGTGGCCATGTGGAAGAACTACGACGTCGGCAAGAAGCAAAACAAGGGTACTATGCTTTTCCAGTAAGCAGTTCCTGAGAATAATTACGAAGTCATGTGTCTCGGGTGAAAATACTCCGAGCTTGATGGATGATGCATCCTGGCTCGAGCGGGTCCCGGAGCAGGCGACAAAAAGATCTGTATGATCACCTTGTATATTAGTTACTTGCATTCACATAATACCATAATCTCCTGCAATCGCAGAAGATCTTCTGTCATTGTTTCTTCCCCTGTTTGTATATCCAGGTATAGTAGTAGCAGACCCCGCCTTCCTCGGGGCCCTTGCATCTACGCTAACGCCTCACGGTTGCTCCTACTGTCGATCATATCAACAATGCAACTCCGCAATCAAAACTGCAACCAAACCGCCATGACCGCACTCCATTTATACGACACCACACGCCATTCCATGTGCCTCCCCCAGCCCAGGAGCCGAAACCCCCAAACCAACGCGTGAAATCGCGGGGTGCCGCTCACATTCCAGCACCATGCCGCTCCTCCAAGCAGGCGTGTTCAGCCTTCTCCTCGCCTCAACAGCAACAGCAACAAAAGATGACCTCATTCACGTCAACCCACTCATCGGCTCTACCAACGGCGGCAACGTCTTCGCCGGCGCAAGTCTACCCTACGGCCTCGCCAAACCCGTCGCCGATGTCGACGGCCAGAATACGGGCGGCTTCTCAACGGACGGTAGCAATGTCACCGGGTTCTCGCAAATGCACGATAGCGGCACCGGCGGGAACCCTTCTATGGGCCAATTCCCGCTGTTCCCGCAGTACTGTGCTGGTAATGTCGTTGATAACTGCAAGTTTCCCAAGACTGCGCGCGCGACGCCGTATAAGATGGCTTCGGTAGATGCGAAGCCGGGATATTTTGCGCTTGAGCTTGAAGGTGGTGTTCGCGCGGAAATGACTGCTTCGCGGCGGGCGGCGCTGTATCGGTTTACGTTCCCCGAAGGGAAGACGGCGAATGGAGAGGTGTTTGATCCGTTGATTTCATTGGATCTGACGGATCTGTGGGATAGTCGGCAGAATGCCACTGTCAGTGTTGATCCTGAGGCTGGCCGGATTGAGGGGAATGGTACCTTCTTGCCCAGCTTCGGGGCTGGGTATTATCAGGCGTTCTTCTGTGCCGATTTTGTCGGTGCGAAGGTTCGTGATAGTGGGATTTGGGTGAATGATCGTGCGGGCTCGGAGCCTAAAGAGCTTTTTGTAACCCGTGGATTCAACAATTTCTATCTTCAGGCTGGTGGCTACATGAGTTTTGAGCGGCCGGATGACGGAGTTGTTACTGCGCGGGTTGGTGTCAGCTTTGTTAGCACCGATCAGGCCTGCTCGAATGCGGAGAAGGAGATATCTGATCCGCTTAATGATTTTGGCAAGCTGCAACAGACTGCTGAGGACGAGTGGAGTGAGAAGCTCAGTCCAATCAAGGTCACGTCTGGCGGTGCGAGCAATGATATGCTGGAGGCTTTCTGGAGTGGTATCTATAGGACTATGCTCTCCCCTCAAGACATGACCGGAGAGAATCCGCTCTGGCAAAGTGACGAGCCATACTTCGACTCCTTTTATTGTCTATGGGATGGCTTCCGATCCCAGCATCCATTCTTGACGATATTGGATCCCCAGGCCGAGTCACGTATGGTTCGCAGTCTCCTCGACACCTTCAAACATGTGGGATGGCTGCCCGACTGCCGCATGTCTCTGTGCAAAGGATGGACCCAAGGTGGTTCCAACGCCGACGTGGTGCTCGCAGATGGCTACGTTAAGAACCTAACTGGGATTGACTGGGAACTTGCATACAACGCCATGGTCAACGATGCTGAGAACGAACCTTTGGAGTGGTCAGACGAAGGACGCGGAGGTCTTCAGAGCTGGAAACGGCTGAATTACATCCCATACCTCGACTTTGACTACCTCGGCTTTGGTACAAATTCTCGAAGTATATCGCGGACCCTGGAGTATGCCTACAATGACTACAGTCTTTCAATCGTGGCCAAAGGTATTGGCAAACAGGATCATACAAAGTACCTATCTCGTGCCGGGAACTGGCAGAATCTTTTCAAAGAGGATCAGACTTCGTTCCTGGGAAATGGAACTGATACTGGCTTCACGGGATTCTTCCAGCCTAAGTATCTCAATGGTACTTGGGGCTTCCAAGATCCTATTGCTTGCAGTCCGTTGGCTACCTTCTGCTCTTTGACCACCAATCCTTCCGAGACATTCGAGTCCAGCATTTGGGAGTACCTCTTGTATGTCCACCCTGCCCGAGCTGCTTCAAAAGCACTATACTGATTTTAATAGCTATGTTCCCCACGACATCGCCAAGTTGATCAAGTTTGTGGGTGGTTCGGACGAGTTCGTGGCTCGCTTGGACTACTTCCACGAATCGGGCCTGGCCGACATTGGCAATGAGCCCGTCTTCCTCACCGTGTACGAGTACCACTATGCCGGTCGCCCGGGTCTCTCCGCGCGCCGGGCCCACAGCTACATCCCTTCGTCATTCAACGCAACCAACGGTGGCCTGCCCGGCAATGATGATTCCGGTGCCATGGGCTCATTCTTGGCCTGGAGTATGATAGGACTGTTTCCCAACCCAGGCCAGAATGTTTACCTGATCAATCCTCCATTTTTCGAGGCCGTTGAAATCACCCACCCAGAAACCAAGCAGACTGCCACGATTCGCAACGTCAACTTCGATAAATCGTACAAGAACATCTATATCCAAAGTGCCAAGCTTAATGGCAAGCCATACACCAAGAGCTGGATCGGACATGAGTTTTTCACCGAGGGTATGATGCTCGAACTGACGCTGGGCGACAAAGAGAGTAAGTGGGCAACAAGCAAGGAGGACTTGCCTCCGAGTTTGAGCGACGGCATTGCACAGGATGAGATGCAGCTTGCATAGACGCAAGATAAAGTTTCTGCCTGTTGCTGTGTTTTATGTTACATGGTGTCCAATGGAGGGGGTGCCTTTCTAGCGGTCTGGAAGCATTTTTATCTCAGATCTAACTGTGTATGCTATTCCCGGAGCACATCCGATGTGGGTCAGATAACGAGCTGTCCTGAAACCGGGGATCCGTGATCTCTAACTATCTACAATCAATGCATGGACGGAGACATTCTCAAGTAAAAACCACTGTAACTGTAAGACACGACAGTGGAAAGCCAGCAGTCGTACGTATTACCAGTCAAAAGCCAAAAATGCCCGCATCTGGACATGACTAAGCCACCCTTTATCGGCCGCGAACACGTCAGGGCCTTAAACCCCGGAAGGGTTCTCCTTTTGCAACTCTTCATCCTCAATTACTACCAAACTCTCTTTCTTTCGTGTGGTCAGGGAAGGCCCTGCAAATTCATCGCTCCGGGCGCCACTTGGTTCGGACGTTTGTCGACATTTCCCTAGCTCCCCGAACCGCCATGGCGAACCGGCAAATCACACGGCGCATCGCCATCAGCGCCGCGATGTCGATATGCCTCCTCTTCTTCCTCTTTATCCGCCCGCAGGGCCCTCCAAGTCCTGCCGTCCGAGCTCCCGGGCACATTACGCACAACTCGGCGCCCGCGCCGGGGATCACCATCCAGGAAAATATACTGAAAGGGGCGGTGGTGATGCCGAAACTGGGCAATGAGACGGTCAAGTAAGGGATGCCCTACGCAAGAGAATGAGGTGGCAATAACGGAAAGACTGATTTTTGTCCCTGATTCGCAGAGCTGAACTGGGCCGTGCGACGTGGAAGTATTTCCACACTGTCATGGCTCGATTCCCCGAGAAGCCTACCCTCGACGAGCAGGAAGCCTTGCGCTCGTATATCCACCTCTTCGCGCGACTGTATCCTTGGTATGGTGACAACTTTTCTTTCGCTGCTCCTCCCGGCCCGCCTTGTATCAGTGCCACACGCAATAATGTCCACAACTAACCGTGAAACAGCGGCGAATGCGCGGAACATTTCCAGCAACATCTAAGCAAATACCCACCGCAGGTATCATCGCGGAACTCCGCAGCAGGGTGGGCATGCTTCATCCACAACGAGGTCAATGCGATGCTTGATAAACCAGAATTCGACTGCAACGACCTCGGCTCGTTCTACGACTGTGGATGCGGCGGCGACGAGGCAAGTGGCGAGGACAAGAGCAAGGATGGACGCTCGGCCACCCATGCCGATACGCCACAGGATGGGGACGATCGTCACGATAACTTGGCAGTGGAAATCTCCAAGGAAGCGTCAGTGCCTCTCTTTCGCGCATTGCGCTTGCGCTAGCATAGCGTACTGACATGGGTTACAGGACTACGCGCGGTTGACATCATTAAATGTCGCGCATTCATTCTCCTTTGAAAAGTCTCGAGAAGGGTCGATCTTGCATGGCGTTTGTGCTTTAGCATGTGGAGCCGGTCTCTGGTGTACATTACTCGTTTAGATGATATCCATATATACCCAGACCATTTTTCCGTTCGACGCGCCGTCCCGCTGCAGCCAAAGCGCAATTTCAATGCTCCGACTCGCTCGTCGCCCTCGATTATATCGCAGCACACCCGTACTTTGTGTACATGGGTAACGGCCGCAGTGCCGATCCCCAAGCTACCCCCACGGTGCATGACCCGAACGCGCGCGTTCCAGGATCATCCTATCCGGTGATCCAGCTCCGTTGCGCATGACCCGTCCTGGCCCGGCTTATCTTCTAGGACTTGAACCTTGGGGTATACACTGCGATCTTGTATGCCGTAGTACACGCTAGTCTTTGTCTCGCGGGTCTACCAAGAATGAGTGCTACCCTAGAGCGCGCGATGTCTCCATGTCGCATCCTCGTGATACGTCCAGCCCGCGGAAGTCGGATCTAGTTGCGGCCCCAAGAAATGGCGATAATCATTACGAAAGATAGCCCAAGAAAGGGCCTCATAAGATGCACATCTAAGTATATCCAAGCTAAGCTTGGAGTAATAAAAGCAACAGGCCCCATCAAACCCAAGCCAAGCGCCCATGTTTTATCATCAGTTATCCGCGATTTGAGTTCGGCCAAAAATAGCGGGGGCCACGCTTCAGCTGATAACAAATGAAAGAATGAGGTCTCCTGACAAGGCCGCTTGACCGTGAACAACCCACCAACCATAGACTGGCGGGACGGCAACACGATCGGCCTGGATCAACCCCTCAGGTGTGGGCATTCGCGTTCGGACGCAACTATGAAACAGGCCCGGGGGCTTCTGTTCTCATAAAACAGTCAGGGGCTGCTTATGCGTATTTACATCCTTCCAGTTGCTTTTACAACTCCGTGCTTCCATTCTATACTTTTTCTCTTTCCGTCTGTCTGTCGCGGACACCTGACTTTGCAGGCACGAATAATAATACACCCCAATCCAGTCTAGCGCTATTACCTTAAGGAGTTAGCGTATCGCCGCGCGCCGTCTCGGTCCCAAATTTCGACGCGCAGAAAAGGAAAAAAAAGAAGAAAAAGTTCAAGGAAATCACGAACGGCTGAAACTGGGCGCATCTCGTGCAAGCGCTGAAAGTTTGTCCATCTGCAAGGGATAACCTTCTCCTTTTCCACCTCCGCACTTTTTCTCCCTCTCGCGCATCGACAGCCTTGATTGTCGCATTCATTCGACATTCGACTCGTGATTTGGTTTGATAACGAAACTCGACATTCGATACTCTACGTCGGCGTATCGCGCACTTTATTCCAACCCTTTTTTACACCGCCAAAATGGTGTCCTTTTCGTGCGAGGTGAGTGGGAGGGAAGCCGCCGGGATCCAAGCGCAGACGCCCGGAGAATTCTTGCTAACTCAATCCTTTGCTAGAACTGTGGTGATATCCTCACTAAGAAGAAGCTCGACCCCCACCGTAACCAGTGTCGTGGCGCGTCTTTCACCTGTATCGACTGCATGGTTCATTTCTACGGTACTGAGTATCGTGCCCACACGGTACGTTTCTGATTGAATTGTGTTAAAATCGGTCTTCAGATGCCATGAAATTGGCGCAGACTGCGCGCATGGCTTGATGGAAGACCAGACACTGTGATTCGATTCTTCTCATTGACCACTGCTAACCATTCCTTCCTACTAGTCATGCATGAGCGAGGCGCAAAAGTATCAGGGCGCGTTGTATAAAGAAAAGCCGAACAAGAAGGGCCCGAAAACTCCGAATCAGAATGCAAAGAATAACGCCAATGCGCGCAATCAGCAACCCCGGGTGGAGGACGCTTCCGCCTCTGATGCAGATCTCGTCAAGTCCCATATCAACATTCCCCCTCCTCCGGCCCCTACTCCCCCTCCTGCGGGCGAGGCGAAGTCCACCTCCGCTGCATTGAACAAGGATAACAAGGCTGTCAATGTCTTCGACTACCTGGTCACCGACGAGACCCCGAATGCGTCAAAGGTCTCGCTAGCCACGCCCAAGGAGCAAATGGCCATGAACCCCAAGGCGCGCTCTCTGTTCGAACCCAGCAATGCTCTTGCCAAGCTGGATACCAAAACGGATGACGAGGGCAACTACGATATTGCATATGAGGAGAATGGCTTTTCATATGGCGGAGGTCCCATTCCGCCGTCCATGTACCCCAACGATGTGCCCAATGTCTCGACCGAGTTCGTTACACCGGCACCTAAGAAGAAGAAGGACCGCAAGGAAAAGCGCTCTGCTACAACTAGCGAGAAGAAGCGGAAGCGTGGCCAGGGCGACGAGATGGGCAGCCCGCAAAACGACATTGACACTCCTATGATGGACGCCCCTTCCAGCGTTATCAACAACGCAGGCACGCCGATGCTGGCCCACTCTGGCCTGACCGGCAATTTGAACCGCATGATGCGCTCTCCCTCGTCCAACGCAGATGAGACGCCCGACCACATCGTCCGCGCGCCCTATAACGATGCCTCATCCCCAATCAAGCGCACACGCCGCAACGGCAAGGAAGCAAACGGTGACCAAGGCCTTGGGATCTCAATGAAGAACCGTGCCGAGCGCTTCGTCTCCTCCATGTTCGGCGGCTCCGTCGTGTCAAATGGCAGCAATGCCAGTAAGGAAGATACCTCCCGCGCTCTCGTCCGCACTCGACGAGGCAGCTCATCCAGCGGCGACGGCCAGCTGGAAGTCCGCAAGAAGAAGTCCCATCGCTCGCACAACACCTCGGAAACACACGAGCGCGAGCGCGAGCGCAAGTCCAAGCGCAAGAGCAGCAACCCCACGGACGGAGACCGGCCCTCGCGCCGCCAGAAACAGACCGATGAGCGTCGACGCTCTTACTCCCGCTCCCCTCACCGCGACAGTCGCCAGGTGACAATCTACCATAAGTCAAAGGCGCTGACTCACGGTGAAGACCCTCTGCAGCGCGAAATGGCTACACATTTCCTGTCCATTGTCTCCAAAGATAATGACCGCGGCTGCTCCGTCCACAAGGCTCTCAAGCGCTTCCATCGCGATTTCTCGGATGAGAATGATGCTGATCGGGGCCGCGATCAGGGACGGAGTCGGGCGGACCGGGAACGGAGGGCCGAGGATGAGAAGGATCTTTGGCGCTCGCTACGACTGAGACGGAATGACCGTGGGGAAATTGTTGTTTTTGTCTGAAGCATTACATTCCTACGAAATGTTAATTTTGCGAGGTTTCAAAAGGTGATTCGGGAAGGGACTGGTCTATGAGGTGAATGGCCGGTGTACGTTTTGCATAGCGCGATTGATTTTCCTATGGTCCTGTGCATACTCTTAATATTTGAACCCAATTGGATGCCAATTTGGTATGTGTGCAGTCAGTCTGTATTGTAGCACTTTGGTATTCTTTATACCCTTTTTGAAAAAGTCGACCTTAGCTAGGTACAGTACCATAGGTATACTCATCAACTAGGGACTCGCGGAAACTCATATAACTGGCATTTTTTTCATTTTTCAACATATCCTAGTATGAACTAGAAAACGATTTGAGCGAAGCTTTCCTGTTATGATTCTTCCGCGACGGAAAGGATTATGGGTCACCACATCAGGCTTCTTCGAATCCCCACACGAAACCCTTTTAGTCATTATGCCAATAACCACTTCAGAGGTCATAATTGGAGCCCCAAAGTCTCCAATACAGGCGCCTTGCCCCGGCTCATGCTCAGTGGTATTTGAATTGTACATGAAGATCTTGGGTTGAATACTGCCGGAGGAACAGGGTATTAGGATGGAGACTGAAAAACACACTAGAATTCAATTCCGTGCAATAATACTCCTATACACCCCTACAGTGCCCTTGTACCATCATTCTCAGCACCACTATCTGAGAGCCGCTAGAATCTGCATAATATTGCTCACTTCTTGGCTAGGATCCAGTTAAACGCGACGCTGCGCGACACTCCATTTTCTTCTTCAGAATCCACAACAACCTCATCAATCTCCATCTCAAAGCCGATATCTGCAAGTAGTCTTCTCATCTCTTCTCTACCCCAACCACTCCAATGAATTGCCCCTTTAGTGCCGCCTAACCAGGATTGATCAGAAGAGCTCGCAAATTCAGCCTCGGGGAAATTCGCCAGAAGCCGTCCCCCAGGTTTCAGCCAATCAAAAATGCGACGAAGAATCACAGTTTGTTCGTTGCGCGGCAGATGAAATATGGAGTACATGGCAGTCACAGCATCGAAATGCTCCCGAGTAAAGTCCAATTCCATCATGTCCCCTTGTATTAGGTTCACTGACTCAGGCAGTCGCTCTTTTGCCATAGCAATCTGAGTGTCGGATATATCATTTGCGGTGACGCTGATGTATTCACGAGATGCCAAAAGTTGAGTGCACGGTACCCCAGCACCACAACCTAGCTCAAGGATGCGTATTTTCCGATTTTCCTTTGCGGAATCAAGGGATTTAAGCATAGTCTCGAGATAGGAAAGACGTATTTCATGAGAAGGTTCCGTCCATTTCAGGTAGACGTCGGCAATATCGTCATAAGCTTTCTTTATGTCGTCCTTGATTCGGTGGCTATCGATAGGCTCGGACATTCTGGTAGAGTATATCTTGATTTAAAGTGGGATACTGAATAGTGAATTTGGTTAGAAAGCGAAATTATGAAGGGAAGAAAGGTTGCCATCAGATGATGTTCTCAAATATTTGTAAGACTAACAATGACTCATTCGACGCTGAAATCAAATACAACATGTTTCAGGATACGACTAAGCAGGGGTATAGCAGTTAACCCAAATAGGTATAATGTAATACAAGATAAAGTAACCAAAAAAGATTAAAAAGATTCATGGCTGAAACTGGGCTTGATCCTTCCCGTAATACATGCAGCCTGAGGTAGAAGAAGAAGATTGGGGACCAAAAAAAAAAAAACTACTGAAATAAAATTCATTTCGGACGAGGAGGAGGATGGGGGCTCAAAGCACAGTCGGATCGAGCGCCGGGGTCAAATTTAGGCCCCGGGGGCAGGGCTATTCCTCTTTCCATGAGACAACGTCGCTCTCTTCCTTTTCTTGTTGATCAACAGCCATGAACCGGGTCAGCATTTCTTCATCCTCCAGCTCTCCCACCATCGGGACACACCAGCCTCTGCACAAACCTGGGAGCCGACGACCCATTTTCATCCAATTCAAATAGTTCTCCAAGGAAGTAAGTTGTTCACTTAAGCTTTCTGACTTGGAACCTTGCACCCCTTGATCCACTCCCTCGAACCCAAAAGCCGCCAAAAAACGGGTACGGCTGGATCCAACCCGTTTGCCCACTTGTTTTGGCGAGGTCTAGTAGTGATTGCTCAAGGTATAATGGCAACCACCATGATGTTTGCGTTCAAGCCACCGGGGCATAAACCAATGCAATAAAATAGGTCGATTTAGCGTCTAATTTCCTTATGTACTATTGAGTATCTTGGCAATTTTACGAAGTGGAAGCTACGATGGCACGGCTTGGCGTCTCTTTACTTAAGTGTGCTCTCGAACCTCCTCCCGCTCGACATGATGCGAATTCTCCTCTTTTCGGCCTACTGAGAAGCTTGCTTCGGGAACACAGCGGAGTACCACCAACTGAAGGTACCACTGAAGGACAAGAAGGCACAGCCAATGATGTAGTTACTACCTCTGATGTTCCTTAGCTGCCAGCGACTTCGGCAGGATCCACGTGGCTAAGTCCCGGGTAAAGCATACGTTTCTCGGGCCTTGGTGAGCAGGAGCTTTACAATACGGGAAATGACCTGTTTCGCGATTATGGAATTACACCGCCGAGAGAGCAATATATTCACTGGGGATGATTTCAGACCGCAACAAAATTGAATTTATTCCTGGACCTGGCCGTTCTCACAAGCCGACCTAAGTACGTCCCCCGCTTATACGTATTGGTTCCCCAGATTGCACAGTGATATGAAAAGGAAAACACAAATAGCAATTGTATTAGTTGCAAAGGGCTAAGTACATGAACGAATGTCTTTATATCTCTCTTTCACACTGGGGTAAAGGTGGTGGACGGTGGGGTGGGTAGTGAATCGGTAAATGATATACCAATTCACTAGTCATCCCCCAATGGGTTGTATGCGGTCGGGGAATCATGTGAGTTTTTTTCAATCAGTCTGGCGATAATGACGAGACTATGCCCATTTGCCGATCAGTGCCATGACACCAGCGCCAGCCACTGTGCATACAGTCATAAATGCCAAGCGTTTCTTGTTGTTCGTGCGGCAGGGATCAAACAGGAAGTCCCGAGCCAGAAGTTCAACAAGGCCGGTGTAGATCAGGATACCGGCAGAGATCGAGTCGAGGAGTCCAGACACAATGTTCGCGGTATTCGAATTGGGATTATATGTTGTTCGCAGGCCGAGTCCAATTGCAATGGAAATGGGCGTGGTCAAACCGTACAACATGCAGAGGATCCAAGGAAGCCAGCTGTTGCGCTTGAAAGGAATGGCGGACATTCTGGCGCCAATTCCCAATCCTTCGAAGCTCTGGTGGAACACAAGCACGGGGTACAAAGTCGTGAACTCGCTGCCGACGACACCAAGATTCAGGCCGATGATCACCGAATGGAAGATAACACCAAATTCAAGAATGAGGAGGGCGGCGATCTGTTGGCGGAACGATCTCTCCGCTGCCGCAGAGTCCGCAAAGTCTTGAGTGTCCCATGCCGAGTCCTGCTTCGTCTCGACCGACGTAGTTGGGACTTCCTCAGAGGGTTGGTGTTCGTGTGTCTCTTGCACAATATCAATGGTCGGCTCTTTCGTGATCCCATACTTTGACTCAACATATAACTCTGCGCCAAAGTCCATGAGGAACACAACGATCGTCGACGTCAATGCAATGGCAGGGGGCCAAGAGTACTGGACCCAGTTGCCCGTCAATCCAACACAGCTGTTGGGACCGATCTCTGCGTAGGCAGGGTCCAACAAGTGAACAAATGCGGTGGCGATGATCACACCTGTACCGAAGTAACGAGCAAACAGATAGACATAGAGCGGAATCTTCAGGCGCGGGACCCGTTTCGCGATCACAGGGAAGAAGGTGACCGCTGTCGAGATGGCAAATATAACAAAAATGGAAGAAATGCGAGCACCAAGCATGCCATCGTACTCATTTCCCGAGTTCTGGACCCAGCAGACCACTTCAGCGAAGTTGGCTGTGCTCAGATTCACGTTATAAGGGTCAAACGAGGAAGACATGACTGTTGAATCAACAAAGGTGGTGAAGATGGTGGGAATAGAGCAGGTTCTGTTGGTCAAGTTATACTGGTCATCGTGAGGACCTTGAGGGCAGCGGGCTTGCCTATTCCGTGGGCTGAAGCTAGAAAATTTTCATCGAAAACCTTACCCGCCGTCTTTTGCTGCAGACCCCAGCGATATCATCAAAATAATGCACTATCGTAGTATGCGGAAACACTGTCTCCTCTAAATCCCTTTGCTTTTGCCATTTTTGTAATTCCCAAGTGAGCGGCGCCCTGCCAAGTACCATAACCGTGCTTGCCGCGCATGGCAGTAATATCTGACAGGACTTGATTGTCCTCTATCGCTCGCGTCCTCTCAGCCAGTCAAGTAATTCCCCACTTGTCTCCATGGTCCGTATTATCAACCAATGCTTGTCTCTTCGGCTTAGTCCGAAAGGGTCTGTGCCACGTGCGTCGTGACGCCGCACCAGTTGATTGGTGCAAATGAAGAAACGGAGATCCCGTCCATGGGCGGAAAAGCAAAAATCGCACACTTTGGCAGTGTCGAATCTTGGCCCAATGACCATGTCTCTTAATTGCGATCAAATCACGATTATTTACCTCCAGCAGACCTTAAATTAAAATAAAAAAAATGAGAGTCCCCTTCCAAATAAAAGGTTGTATAGCCTTGTTATTTCGTATCATGAGTGCTGTACGAGAGTAATAAATTTTATGACCATAATCGAGGACGTCCATCGCATCAAGTCCTGGGTGTGGCTTAACGGTGAAGATTACCTTTAAACCCTTCTGTAATTTTTCAAGGCCTTGTTGTTTTTCCGAGACGCTCTTTCCTGTATGTTTGCGCTAGTAACGGGTCTTTACGTACAGGATAAGCTTCTTACTAACTATCAGCTCCGCCCCCGAGTTCATTTCAGTACGAAGACCCGCTATTTTCACCTAGATCTAGCTCGCTTACGGTGAAGCTTCAAAAGTTGCCAATTCTGCCGAGGTTGTAATCAATCACATCTGCAGTGAGACCCGCGAGAACCTTGGCAGCCGCGGCTATTGATTTTTTAATATAGCCACATGGGCTTAACGCGGGCTTATCATTAAATCAAGAGAACCTAGACCTTCGCAGCGGGAAATAAAATTGTATCTAGCCATACGCCGAGATGCTTTCTCGCGCCATCCTCGCCTTGTGCGGTGTGACTCTCGTTCTTGCCCAGGCCAACTATAGCTCGCCTTTCTTAGCTGAATTCCTCATTTTGCGCGATTTCTCCATTTCTACCGTTGGAGGTGTATGTCGCATATCAACTCAACCCGGGAAGATAATTAACTAATTGTTCCCTGTCAGGACGCCAGTCACACTACATACAACGTAAAATGTGATAGCGATGTCACTCTCTGTTCACTTCCTGCTACCGGTGTGACTGTTTTCACCGGCCCATCATCTGTGGGACTCTCATTCACTGAACCATCCGAGACGTTGTGAGTTGAGAAAGGTTTCATCGAGCTATATGTTTCTGACACTTTAATAGTACTTCCTCGGTGGGCTGTACCTACATCGATTCCGGAGCCTCGGCGGTTTGTGTGACTTTACTTGCTGCTCCAGGTGAGACCGTCGAAAGCGGCTCTATGGTTACGAGCATGGTCACCTCTCGATCTACGACTACCCTCCCTGCTGCTTCGGTTGAATTGGGCTTCAATACGCCTGCTGCTACTGCTGCTTCACTTACAACCGGGAAGACACAGTCCATGAGATCTAGTTCGACCGATAGTGTTGCAGCAAAAACTAGCACTGCGACAAGTGAGACTAAGACAGGGGGTGCGACCGAGGCGTTTGGGCATGGGAATGCCGGTATCTTTGCAGGTGCAGCCATCCTTGGACTAGGTCTTTTATAGGAAGATTCTCTAGGCTAAACAAAGCATCTTTACCCACCCGGAGGTAAATTCTAACTTAACTTATATCTAAGAATCAGAATATAGAAGTCTATTCTTTCATTCAATCACTTTCCACCGGTTGGGGGTCAATTAGTCAATAATCTCACTACTATTACGTACGCTCTTCCTCATATTTATAGGGAGTAAGTAAGCTATAAGCACTTAGCAACGGTGGCGGGATCGAGTAAAAATACAAAAATAAAACTCTTAGAGAAATTCGGTATTATTGAGGCAAATATATATTCAGGGCTGCCAACAAGTCCTTGGATCTTTGCCACACCATAGAACATTGGAAACGAATGCAAGTCAGCTTTAGATATCTCCGTGGAAAGAAATTCTGTTGGATCGCAACCAATGAGAGTAATTCTTATTCTTAACTTTTCGAGACGATTAAGACCAATGCAAAAGAGAGAATTTGCTCGTCGTGATCAAGTAAAACCGGGGCTTCAAATGAGCAAAGTGGGCAACTGGAGAACTTTCAAGGCTCATTGCAAGCTTGAATGGTCAATTATTGGAGGTGGTGTTTTTCATTGAATCATGAAAACAATGCAGACTGATGCAGTGAGACTGACTATGTATGAATAGGCAAAGAACACACCATGAGGTATGTAGAAGAGACAAGTAGTGGCCAGCTATGCTACTGTACCCTCCACTGGTAACATCCATTGAAGACAGCAGAAAACAGGAACAACACGAGCAAAGGAGATCGGCGACCCACCAATGACTCATGCAGCAAATCGCGTGACTCACCCGCGATGGATATTGTTCACCGCCCTCGGCTCCGCCCGATACTGCCGACCGCTGATGGTTTTTATCAAGAACCTGCGCGACGTTTCGCCATCGTAAAATATAATCCTGCCCTCGGGTTTGCTCTATTCTCATTTCTTTCTTGAATTTAGCTCTGTGTTAATCGCTTCCTTGGTTGTTTCTTGTGGGGGCAGTTTCTTTGCTTCCACTTCCATTCATCTCCCGTTTCAGCTTACCGAACACAATCTTGCCAGCCCACAGCTTAAGTCGATTGCAAGCTTCAAACACTTCGATGAGCACGTCGACACTAGCTCCGCAAGCTCCTGTCGCTTCTCAGATCATGTCAGCTGCGGAAACCGCTCCGTCAGCTCCATCTGCCCCGCGTTCTAGACACAGACGCCGTGGGAGGGACCCCGCCAACCGTGGAGGCCCGCAGAATAGGCCAGCCACAACAACAGAAGAACGACCTTCCTCGCAAGCGCCACAGCCTCAGTTAGATTTTATCCCACCTTCCAATCAACCGAACGGCCAAACGCGTCCCCGAAGACCAAACAAGGAGGGCAGAGGATCCGGACGACGAGGAGGACGTGGCAACGGCGCTCAACGAGGCGGGCAAGGAGAGAATGGAGAGCAAAATGAGGAAACACAACAACATCTGTCTCGTGCCATGCGTGCACGAGGCTTTGGAGCTCGTTTGACCCGATCAGACCGAGATGGGAATGCTTTACATTCGGAAATGGCGGCGGATGGTGACGCTAGTCTTCGGGCCGATGCGCCTGACTTCGTTCCGGGCGCACCAGCTACAAATACCCGGCCACCTCCCCCATCATCTGTGGCATCTGCAAAGGGAAAAGGCAAAGCCAAAGCCAAGGCCCAGCCGAAACCGCCCAAGGTCACGACCAAGTCAACAGCCGGTGATATCGCGACGCGAATCCACGAAGACATTGCTCATAACCTGTATGAGTGTCCTATCTGCACAAGTGAATTAGGTCGACGATCAAAAGTCTGGTCTTGTGAGCTATGTTGGACCGTATTCCACCTAAGCTGTGTCAAGAAGTGGTCCACAAACGAAGGAGCGGCTGCTCAGAACAACGCTCGACAACAAGATGGTGATAAGTCTGCTTCTCCCCGCGCCTGGCGTTGTCCTGGATGCAATCTATCCCATGAAATATTCCCCTCCACCTACACTTGCTGGTGTGAGAAGGAGGTTGATCCTAGATCCCTCGCCGGTCTGCCGCCACATTCATGTGGTCAGACATGTTCACGGCCTCGTCGAGGTTGCCCGCATCCGTGTGATAGAACGTGTCACGCTGGTCCTTGTGCTCCTTGTACATCCATGGGTCCAACTCAGGATTGCTTCTGCGGTCGGAACTCCTCCACCAAAAGATGCCAAGATACCAACTATGAACAAGGATGGAGCTGTGGTGAGATCTGTGGTGATCTGCTTCCATGCGGGGAGCACACTTGCCCTCTTCCGTGTCATGAAGGCTTATGTGGTGCTTGTGAGGTCACGATCGAGGCTCGTTGTTATTGCGGCAAAGTGCAGACCGAAATGCTGTGCAGCTCCAAGGAGGACGAGATGGAAAGCCAGACAGTCCGTGACGATGGATCTGAAGAGGAGTGGATTGGATACTTTGGTTGCAAGGAAACCTGCAGTCGCCCATTCGATTGTGGTGTGCATTTCTGCCAAAAAGAATGCCATCCACAGGACTCGCATCCCGCCCATTGTCCTCGATCGCCAGACGTTGTGGTCCGTTGTCCGTGTGGAAAAACGCCGTTGGCCAGCACCCCTGGTTTCACTGCTCGTACTTCTTGCGAAGATCCAATTCCCAACTGTCGCGAGCCATGTGGCAAGATGCTTCCATGTGGTCATTCCTGCGACCAAATCTGTCATACTGGGCCTTGCGGCGCCTGTTTGCGTCGGGTCCCAATTCAGTGTCAGTGTGGCCGCAACACCTCTATGAGCATCTGTCACCAGGGTGATATTCAACATCCCCAGTGTTTCCGCCAATGCAAGGCCACCTTGCATTGTGGCCGTCATACGTGCACCGAGAGATGCTGCCCTGGAGAACAGAAGGCCATTGAGCGCCAAGCTCTTCGTCGCAAGCTCAAGCCGCACCTTCGTCCTCTCGATGAGGATATTGAGGCGGAACACATCTGCACTCGGATATGTGGTCGAATGCTGAAATGCGGAAGACACACATGCCCGGAACTCTGTCACAAGGGTCCTTGCAATACCTGTCGCGAAGCGATCTTTGAGGAGATTTCGTGTAACTGCGGAAGATCCATCCTATATCCGCCCCAGCCCTGTGGTACTCAGCCGCCTCCCTGCTCATTTCCCTGCGCTCGGCCGAAATCTTGCGGCCATCCTCAGACGGCCCATAATTGTCATATCAACGCAGATGGCTGTCCCAAGTGTCCATTCCTGACTGAGAAGGAATGCCTATGCGGCAAGAAGGTGATGAAAAACGTGCCTTGCTGGCTCACAGATGCCCGTTGCGGTCATCCTTGTGGTCAGCCACTCAAGTGCGGCTCTCATTCTTGCAAGAAGGATTGTCACCGACCAGGTGAATGCGAAGATGCAACCACGCCCTGTGGACAGGCTTGTGGAAAGACCAAATCTTTGTGTGGTCATCCCTGTACAGAGACATGCCACGCTCCCTTCCCATGTCCAGAAAATACCCCCTGTTCGTCCACGCTCACAGTGACATGTAGCTGTGGACGACTGCGCCAGTCAAGACGCTGTGGTGCCGCCAAGGCTGTCACATCCAAGGGCCAACTCCAACAGCCGGAGCGATTGCCTTCACTTACCCCGTTGACTTGCGACGATGAATGCTCGCGCTTGGAGCGCAATCGCTCTTTGGCATCCGCATTGGGCGTCGATATCAACCAGACCACGACAGTCCAGGCTTTCACTTCCAGCAACCTGCCTTACTCTACCGAAACCCTCGATCAGTACATCAAACTCGCATCTTCAGTCTCTCTGTCGACACTGCAAACATACGAGTCGGCCTTGCACTCTCTGGCAACTGATACAACGAGTCGATCCATCCGGTTCCAACCCGCCAAACCCACTCTCCGAGCCTTCAGCCATTCTCTTGCGACAGACTGGGGCTTCGTGACTGAAAGCCACGACCCCGAGCCTCATCGTCATGTCTTCGTCCTCAAGCCTCTTGCATGGACTCCTCCAGTCTTTGGCATGGGGAGTGGTTCATCCGTTGGCATTGGCGGTATGAGCGTCCGCGAGTGCGTCAAGCTCCGTGAGCGTGAGGCCACAAAAGAACGTGAGGCCCAGCGTGTGGCTGCTCTTGAGGCTAAGGCTGCCCGTGATGCTGCCAAGTCTCAAGCAGGGTCGGATGGCTGGGCTCAGGTTGCCTCTCGGAGCAAGGGTAGTGCTTCAAGCACTAGAAGCACCACGCCGGTTCAGAGCTCGTTCTCCGGTCGGTCAATGTTCTCTGCTCTTGATGGAAACAGAAATATGCCATCCGACTCCAAAAAGGAGCGGTTGGTCCTTCGTTCTGGCGTTGGGGCCAGCAAATCCCTGCGCCCACAACCTCCTGCGGAAGTCATTGATAACTGGGAGGAGGCCGAGGAAAAGGAAGAAGAGATAGAAAGAAATCATGATAAGGTGAATGATGAAGAGCCGCAGGAGACAGGGCCACAAGAGACCTCGGCGAGTGCGCCTGAAGCACCCGACGAAAAAGAACCAGCTGCAGCCAGTGAAGTGCCTACACCCGATACGGTGGACACGCATAATGTGACAGAGTCAGAGGCTTAATTTCCTGCTCGTGACTCATGATCATGAGGAAAAGTCTATTGTCTGTTTATTCGTTTGCTTATGATACCCTGGTGGCATCTGGGGACCTTGGAGCACCAGTCGGTGTCTACCTGCATGTGGGATAATCCATTTTATCACTAGCTTCATTTTAAAAGGACAGATATACAAAAAAATTACGAAATTCCATGGACAAAAATCAAGTCTAAATCAAATTCAAAGTCTCCGTGGCTTGCCTACATGATCATTCCCAACCGGACGCAGAGTCCACCTCGATACTCAATTTACAGCAGCAGACGCAGGCACCACTTTAGCAAACATCAAACATCCCTCCTCTGAAGCCCCATAAGGTCCATGTTCCATCCCAGGATTGCGATAGGCATATGCACCAACACCCCATGATTGTTCGAGCCGAAGATCCGTCAGTCCTCCCTTGAGGAAGCATACCTCTTCGATGTAAGGATGCGTAATTGGCGTATTCGCCGTGGTAACGTTTGGCTCCCACCATTGTAGCACCGCTTTATGGTCTGCGTCTCCATTCAAGCGTAGCTCCCAGATGCCTGCGGCGACGGAATACCATGGCTTTACGGAGGCCGAGTCTGGGGGAGTTCCCGGTGCGGGAGGTGGTGGTGGCGTGGTGAATTCTTTCTGGACGAAGGGCATATTTTTTGGGTATGCAAGAGACCAGGGAAAACTTAGAGCTTAAGAATCGCTTGCTTTGATGAGATTTAGATGTTGCCGCCAAAGTCGATGTTTTTAAGGTTATTGGGAATTGGGACGTGAGCGAATTTCTGATGAATCGGCAGAAAGAACCGGGGATATAAATCTCGAGAACAGTCACAATACTTGCATAACCGAGATACATCAAATATCAGCACTTTGGTCAGATCTCCCTCATATATACATGGGAATTTCATACCTTTTAGACTAACATAAACCGGCAGTTGACGCTCAACCATGCGATTCTATACTGCATCTCATGCGCTTACGTTACCGGCGTTACCGGGTGTATTACATAATCGTATATTTCCGATTCTCTTATCGGCGTTGGCATCTTCGAGATTCCTACCGCATTGCACAGTATTGTTAATCAACATGGCATCGTTCCATCTGCGGGGTTTCCAATCCGCCCTCCGAGGCCAGACTCGCCTGCTACGTAACCAGCAGCGTCGCTGGGCGCAGGTCCACGATGTGCGCTTCCTGGCCTCGCACCACGACCCCAAGTATGTGCTGGACAAATATCGGTCGAAGCTCGACGAGAAGGCGAAAAAGTAAGCTCCCTGCTGTGCAATAACTCGTGATCACCTCACTGACAATTCCGTACTTATAGAGAGGGCCATGAGTCTGTTGAATCCCTGAAGGAAGCATACACCGAGAAGATCGAAGACTTGCGCCGCAAAGCTTCCACCGTCGCGACGCCAGAGCCAAAGGCTCCTTCATCCAAAGCCCCGGGGACCGCCTCTCCATCCCAAGCTCCTCCCCCTCCAGATGCAGACCCGACCGTCAAAGCCGCACGCCAAGTATCAGGCAGCTCCACCCCCATCAAACCGCTGAGTACATACCTAGACGTCGAGAAGGTCCGCGAGCTTCCAGCCAAAGAAATCGAAGCGCTCTGGCGCCTTCGTTTCGCCAACGACGGCACCTCCGTCACCGCCGCGATCCCTCTAGATACCTACAAGCGCATTGCTAATACCGCGCGCCACCACCCGCAATTTGTCCTCCCCCTCCCACGCCAGCAGACCGACGACGTGGGCCCCGAGGCCGTGGACGCCGACGGAAACCCGCTTAATTCAGGCGCGGACATTCACTTCCTGCAGTGGGCGTTCCACCCGCCAGCTGAGGAGTCTGCTAAGCCCAAGGGCGAGACTGCCAACACCCACACCTCGACTGTGATCTTCACTCACCTCGGTGCGTTCAAGATGCACGGCTCTTATGCGCAGCCGCACACTACTGTTACGCATCACCTTGACTTGGCCGATGACAAGGGTCTGGTTCTTATGCATGGACAGGTTGTGCCGGACCGCGGTGTCTCAACCACCGAGGCTACGTGGTTGGTTAGCTGTGTGCAGCGATTCTACGACTTCGAGGGCCAGGCCAGCGGCCGCAAGAGCGAGCTGGTGAAGATGTTCACTCGGGGCGATGTGCAGAACTTCAAGGTTGAGGAGCTGCTCGAGGAGTCTGAGCGCATCAACTAGATGCGTTCGTGCATTGCTCATTTACTATGGGGAGCTCCTCCCCCGGTGACCTGTACCATATGTGTTCGCTTAGCAGTTGAATTCTGGCCTTGATTTGGCATTAGATTAGAGCCGGATTTGAAGAGCCGTTTTAACTATAAACTTGTATACTAAAAGCATTTACAATATTACATCCCCTCCGTGAACAATTATCTTGGAATCTCGTAAAATTTCAGGTATGGAAGCAATGCAAAATCGATATGTGTCACAGGAATAAATGATTCGAGGATAGCAACATGCCCCTCCCATATCTACATCAAGTCGTCGACCCGAGAAGAAAAAGCCACCCAAACCAGAAATACAGAAAACATTCCATGCAGGTGAAAATGGAAAGAAAAGGAAGCCAGAGCATAACATAAGACTCCGGGGGCAAAAGTCACTTGTATCACAAGGAAATTGAGAAAAGGAAAACATGACGCCAGTGATCATTTGCAAAGGCAGAGGCGTAAGTGGACGACGGCAATTGGTGCTTAACAGCGAATTATCATGCAAGCAGTCCACCAAGCCAGAAATCGAGAGCAATTGTAAGACAGCTCGCGTCCTTGAACTGTTAGGAGGGTATCATTGTATGGTCCAATGCTGGACAGTTGGGACTAGGGTTGGGGCCAGTGCTTCCAAAGTGCTTTGGATTATTGGATGAGGCGGTTATTCGTTCTCGACCTCCTCCCGGACGAAGGAGTGGATGTGATCGAAGTAGCCTGGTTCGGCTACGGAGTCGTTGTGGCCGCCGTTGGGTAGTGTTCGCCAGAACTTGCGCTCAGACTTGCAGACAGCGAAGAGCTGGGTCATGTTTGACGGTCTAAATATTGTCAGTATTGATCAATGGATCCTAGAGAAGGTGTACATACGGCACAAGCTCGTCCTTGAGTCCACTCAAGAAGAGAATCGGCACCTTGGTGATCTTGGGGAGGACTTCTTCACTCGTCCAGTATTGATGGCACAGGCGGGCGATGTATCGAGCAGGTGGGAATATACTGGGAGCATATTAGATCAAATCCAAAACTGCTGGAACCGCTCCAAGCTCACTTAGGAATCAGCTTGCGGATACTCAGGAAGGTATTCTCCAAAATCAAGCCACCGATATCGCCCTGCTCCTGATTGGAAGCAACAAGGTTGATGGCTACAGCACCACCCAGACTCTGACCATAGATCACGAACTTGGTATCCCTAGTCTCGGGGCGCTGGCGCATGTAGTCCAGACCGGTCTGAGCATCGATCTTCAAGCCTGCCTCATCCGGTGTGCCAGTCGACATCCCATAGCCCCGATATTCCAGCAGAATAACATTGCACTGGAGCGTATCCTGAATCGCCTTGGCGATGGGCACTCGGTGACTGATGTTACCAGCATTTCCATGGAACATCAGGACGGTGATGTTGCGTTGAGAGCGAGATTTTGGTTGGCGCAGGAAGAAGGCGTGCAATGACTCGCCATCTGGAGTAGGGATCTGGAGGTCTTCAAAGTCGGTGATGCCGAATTGACGGGGACTCGGTACTTCGGTTCGCGCATCGACCGGGACATTGCGGGGGTATATCAATTCACTGGATATCGTATATCAGTCAGGAGGGGTCTTCAGGAGGGAGGTATTCATGGAATTCGCACTTCTGCTTGAAGTATAGCAGGCCGCTAGCGACCACTGCCAGACCAGACGATGCTAGGACGGGAAGACGAAGGAATGCTACTGCGCTATTGGCCATGTTGCTGATGGTCCACGATGGGGGCGGCGGAGGTGACTCGGACATGGCGATTCGATGCCTGGACAAGGTTGATTGAAGGAGTGGAGGTTTGACGAATCAAGTATGTCCCAGATAGAAATTCGAAGAAGTAAACAAATAAACCAGGCAACGAGCGAGATGCCCGATGTTTCAGGAGACTTGGGGCTGGCGATTGGCGATGCGCCCTATCAAACGCCGGGTCACCGCTCACCGCCCGAGCTGGACGCGTTGAGCTTCTGCCTTCCTTACAGCTCCATGATCGCATCTCCCATCTCCTTTCTCCTTGCACTCTCAACCCCCCTTGATTCCTTTAACGATCCTATTTGGTTGTTGCTTTCTTCATTGCACTCGAGCTACAAAATGGTTTCCAGTCACGGTGTAACGGGAATGCTGGGTGAAGGTGAGCCCGAGCTATCGTCATCACCTAAATCGGCAGAGGAGCTAACATCCATCACCCAGATGGCATTCACGTTGATATGCAGCACCTGAAGAGTGGAGAGGTCAAGTATGCTTCTTCCGAATGGTCATTCCCTTTCTCTTTTGAACCAAATGCTAACGTGCTGCTTCTCTAGCCTGGGAACGTCGATGTGAGTGAATCGGAGCTCGGGACTCGTCCCGTTTCGACCGCAGCTTCTAATCAGTCCACAGTATGGCGATCAACTTCAAGGACGGCGTTATTTTGGGCGCCGACAGCCGCACAACCACCGGTGCTTACATTGCCAACCGAGTCACCGACAAATTGACACAGGTGCACGATACCATCTGGTGCTGTCGCTCCGGTTCCGCTGCGGACACGCAGGCTGTGGCCGACATTGTCTCCTACCATCTCAACATGTACGGCGTCGTCAACAACGAGGCTCCCACTACACCGGTGGCGGCATCGCTTTTCCAGGAACTGTGCTATGAGAACAAGGATGCGCTCAGGTGAGCACCTGCTCTCCTTTCATCGAGATGGATCCATGCTGATGAGAATACAGTGCGGGCATCATTATTGCCGGATACGACCCGAAACACGGCGGCCAGGTGTACTCGATACCGCTGGGCGGCTCCCTACACAAGCAGTCGTTCGCGATCGGCGGCTCGGGTTCAACCTACATCTACGGTTATACCGACGCACACTGGAAGGAGCAGATGACGGAGGAAGAGGGCATTCAGTTCGTGCGGAGTGCGCTGCAGGAGGCGATCAAGTGGGATGGTAGCTCCGGTGGTGTGATTCGCATGGTCGTCCTGACCAAGAAGGGCGCCGTGCGGCACCTGTACCTGCCGGACACCAACTACACCGGGCCCGGAGTGACAAATTAATGAGTGTTGTACGAATAGCATCTTTCGAGTCCCGGAATATTGACATGGTTTCATGAACCTCGGAAATGCAGGTCATGCACTCCACGCGGAGATGCATCCTGTCTTGTCATATGCGCTAGTCTGGGTCAACCGGTATCGGGCACTTGGGCAGCAACGGCGGGGGAGAATGGCATTGCCCAGAGGAACCGGGGGATCTCACAGCCGACGATAAGATGCTTGGACGTAGACGTACCAATGTAGAATATATACCGGGGTCGAGATCGCCCGGTCAATTACATCATGTAGGTGAGCGGGTGGTTGACCGGGATGCCTTGCAGCTCGGCCGTGGACCCGGGATAAACGTATATAAAACGCATGGCGTGAGCATTGGACGAGACGGGCTACCTCAAATTCAATTGCACATTCCCACTTTCCCCGGTTCCCCGGTTCCCGTCAGCGGGATTCATCCGTACAAAGTCTCTCGTAGAATCACCGGCGGTGACGGCACCACGGGTGCTAACGTCGGGCTGTCATTCGTCCGATATACGACACTACACCGTCTTTATATCGAAGCCCAACCGAGTTAAATCGATGTATCCGGTTGTTGACAATGTAGCCCCTTGTGGACGGCGTAGTGGTCGTGGACGGTGAGATGGGTTGATACTTGACGGTTGATACTTGAGATGCGGGTTACATAGTCAGATGAGCCCGACGCTCGCCACGTCGGACCTGTAGCTTTTCTTTTTTTGCCCCTTCAGTGAACCCTTTTCTTTTTTTTACCTGTACGGTTCGCTGGAGCCCTGTAGATTTTTAGTCGACTCGAGTATCCCCCTTTTTTTTGCCCCCGGAGTTGAGGAAGATATTAACCAGTCCGTTTCACCTTCTGACCGGTTCGACCATCCACTCCACTGACCTCACCGTGGAACCGTTTCCTGCCACTTCCACCTCTCTCTGTTCTCGAGCTCGCTCAAAACCTGTCCCGTTTCTCACCCGACGTGTCTGTAATGGCTTGGATCGGCGCTCTCTGGTGAATCGAACACACCCATTCTGCCGGGGTTGAACTTGATCCGCGCCCTGGTCCTTGAATCCGCCCTGGAAGGCCCAGGCCAATCGTCATCGAATGTAAACCCCCCTCTTTCTCGGGTTTCTTGCTTCTATCCCATCTCATGCACCCCCTCGTCGTTACGCTACGAGCCGGTTCAAGCTCGTCCAATGCGCTCTTTGCTGACCCGGCGTGCACCCAGAGACAGAAACACGTCTTGACATGGGCTCAGTCGTCCTCAACCACGTGCCGGAACAGATCGACTGCAAGATGTTAGGAGGCACGCGCAACTCCGAGTACACTCGCGCTTCCCAACTAGAGGGTGGCTCTAGATCGACCTCCTCCAACTCGACCCCCACTTCCACTACCGCCCCGCCAACCGCCGTAGGGTCTGCTCGGCTTCCTGCGCATCTGGATGTCCCCGCCTACATCAACTCCCAAACCCCTTCGCAGTCTTCCACTCGGACTCCCTCCGACCATCCATCCCATCCCGCGCCTTCGATGACCTCCCACTCAAATCATGGGGCTGCTCGCGATCATCCGTCCTATCCCAATACAGCCACTTCACAATACTCCGGCCATGCCGCATCCGACTCGATGACTTCCGCGCCCAACCCATATAGCCGCGCCTCTCCCGCTCCCGAGTCGCCGCGCTTGCAGCCGACATTCCGATCGATGCAGTCACTAGGAGGATCGGAAGCAAACTCGCCAAGCCGCATTCGTGTTCAGAGCTTGTCTCACATCCAGAGCCTAGCCAGCGAAGAATTCCTGGCGAGGTCTCACGCCCCAGGCCATGGCACGCAGCCACGCCACTTCGAGATCAGCTCCATGCCCGTCACTGAAATCATTGAGATGGTCGCCGGGCTCCTCACCAAGATCACCACGACCAACGACACCCACCACGAACACGTGCATCGCCACATCCCCCCTCCCGACGGTGCCTCTAACCTGAGTCCGCAGGCGACCAGTGTGCTTGCCTTCCATGGCAAGAACGTCCCCAGTATCACCATCCTTAGTTATCTCACCCGCATCCACAAATACTGCCCGACCACTTACGAGGTCTTTCTCAGCTTGCTAGTCTATTTCGACCGCATGACCGAGCTTGTCAGTCGTGGGAAACAAGATCCCATACAGCAACGATATGAACCGTCGCCACAACCCAATTCAGAACAGTACCACTCATCGGCAGGCCGACAGGCGCAGGATTCGTCGATAGTCACACCACCCTCCTCGGCGGGCATGACCGCTTCAGACCCCAAGGGCCCGAACGCGTCCGTCTCGCCTGCACTATACCCCCCATGGGGAAGACGAGAGCTTCTCTCACTTTTTCGTCGTCGATAGTTTTAATATCCACCGATTGGTCATCTCGGGCGTGACCTGCGCGAGTAAATTTTTCTCCGATGTCTTTTATACCAATTCTCGCTACGCAAAGGTACGCTGCTTATCTCATTCATCCGACGCGGCGCCGTCCCTAACCCGGTATGCAGGTTGGAGGTCTTCCCCTTGTGGAGCTTAATCACCTGGAACTCCAGTTCCTCCTACTCAACGATTTCCGACTCGCCATTCCGGTCGAAGAGCTCGAGGCCTATGGTACAATGCTTGTAGAGTTCTACGCCCGGGAAGTCGTTGTACAGCAACAACAAATGGCCTCTCCTCGAGCAATTCCCCCGTCCATGTCAGATTCCCAATCAGACGTCATGTACATGCGGTCTCGCGACAAGCGGCGGGACCACGAAATGGGGCAAACGCCAACGCCGCCTTGAGCCTTTTCGCCTTTTAAGAAATTAAACCGTGCGGTAACTGCCCCTCGGACAACCGCTATCGTGTCTTATATTCGCCGCATTCACTGCGCCACAACGCTGAGCGTTCACTTTACATCGGTTATCTCACCCCGCATCCGGAGTGTTATTCAACCCATCCGCGATTCCTTCATATTGGCGTCCCATACTCGTTTTTCTCCAGCCACTTCGGATTTGCAATCTGCCTCGCGCATTTACATGTCACATCTGTATAGATTTATTTTTGGTAGTCAGCTGTGTCCCCAGCTGATCGGATTATATTTGCTGCTATTCCCCCGTCTGCAACTTCATTTCATACATTACACGCCTGGTGGACCTTTTTACCGGGTTTCCTGTTTTGAGAGTTATTTGTTTGATTTTGCGACATGGTTCGGTGTTGAGGGCGTGTCTCGTTGCATTTGCGAGTCTATGGTTCTGGGTTCCTAGGATTCGTGAGCAGTCTCAATCTACTCAATTTACTCTTTCCGTCTGTGCTTCTGTCGAGTAGGGGGGTTCACGGGGTGACGGGGTGGAAACTCCACCCCGTGACCTAAAAGGAATTTCCAATATTTCATAGAAATTTGTAGGAAGATGATAAGTTTAGGTAGTAATCTCTAGTAATATTTTAGGGGCATTACTAGTAATGGAGGTGACGGGGTGGACAACGTTCTTCCTCGTCACCTTTTGATACAAAAACTAGGATCTCGTAGGAATTCCCACTTGTAATAGGAAGTAATAGTAAAACACCCACCCCGTCACCTCTAAATATAAGGCGAGAAACAATTAAATAAGACTATATATTTCTAGAAATTCTAGTAATAACTAGATAAGAGATATTATCTCACTGGCGCGATCAGCGAGAAATTACTAGATTCTACTAGTAATTATGTATAGTAGTAGTATGCTGCATATTGCTCTCGAGCGAGAGGTCAGCGTAAATGACATCAACCAACCCACCAACCGACTGTACAACGTGTCTATTCTGTCGACTTTTGAGCAAAATCCATGTTCGTTATTTTCAGCAGTCATAAGTTTCATACATTGAGTTGATATTTCTCTCTAGCTGTGATAATCTAAATGCCCAGTATGACCCATAGTCATGATCCATCCCATCAAACCAGAATCATATATTTCTGCAAATTCTGCATACCCAATACCTAATCACAAGCTCTGCCCTCCTCAGTCCGTAGTCTTCGACACTCTTGTGCAATCGCCAGAGCATCGCTGCATGCGCCCGAATGCTTCATAAATGCACTCATACTCCGAAGCAGTCGATTCAACGAAGCCCACTGGTCATCCTGGGCAAAGCACGCCATAACACACAGAGGCCACGAAACGTATTCAAATCCCCCAAGACGCCCCAGACTCTCAAAGGACAATAGTAGAGCTGTGCGCTCCCCCGAATCTCCTGCAGCTGTGGGTTCGGCCCAGAGACAATTACATGCAGATAGATGATGGCTGCTCGAGCGAAGGTGAGAGAGATTTGCTTCTTCATCTCTGCTTGACTGGCAGACTCGTCACGCCGTTCTGTGTCGTGCTCATCATTCAAGCTCCTAGATGAACTGGAATGACGTCGAACCGAGTGTTTCAAAGACTGGTGAATAGCAACAGCCCGTGAGGCAAGTTCCATTATACTCAAACTCTCCTGTACCTCTTCATGTTTCTTCCAATTTTGCAAGGTGAAAACCTCCCACAGAGAATGGGCCACTCGATTTTGACAGCCACGGATATCTTCCATGGTGAAAACATTTGATTCTAGAACAGATACTAGGTTGATACCGAGAAATGGTCCACGGCCAGATGACACGGTGGCTATGATATCAAACCAAGTTAGCTGGCCGAGTATTGACTTTGCTGCCGCAATTTTGAGACGAGATAGGATGTCTGGGGTTGAAATAATCATCGCTTGACTCTCGGTGGTATGAAGGGCCAAATCGGTCAGTGTCTGCATGGAAGGTACCGCCTGGACAAGGTAGCCTTCCCATTGACTGGATCCTCGGTTGAAGAATCTGTCCATATCAGCAATCAACCTTTTTCGAAGGCAGAAAGACACCACTAACCTCAAGATACATGGCCTGGAGCAAGCATGTACATGTAACCAACGTTTGCATATACTTTTGTTCAGTATCCGTGATAGAGATGACGGCGGCGTCAGATGGAAGCGAGTGGAGAATGGCAGTTGTCTTCTCCATATCCTCCTGATAAAGATTTGCACCCTGCTCATTGTTTAAAGTGAGATGTGTTTTGCTCAGAATTAGAGAAATTTGGAGAATGGCGTCTGAACAAACAGACCACAATTTGCAGCTATTGCCTAGTCTCTTTGACAGAGACACCATCGAAGGGAAATTGCGCATAAAGGACATACTCGAGGTACTGGGAGAGCAGAATAGAATTCTCAATGCATAACTGTTTTGTACACAGAGTAGGTTGCTGATGAGTGGCTAGAGGCCTTTTACAACCATTTAGCTGAGAGTCAAAATGGAGACCGCTAGGGTGAATCAGTCTTGAAGAGTGTTAGTTCTCTAACCTGAATGACCTCATTTGCGATTAGGGGTTGTATCTATTGGGACTTACCTGCTTGGTACAAAGGGATCGACTTCTGGTTCTCGTGGCTGATCTGCTCGGTGAGGGATAACACTCGAAAACTGGTGTTTGCAATGATCAATGATCACCAGCTAGGTCGAGGTTGAGGTCGGTACCGGTGCCACTTTGAAGTCCGGAGAGAATACTTGTCGAGATTGTTGACCGCGGTGACATGGCGGCGCCTCCAGACCTGTCTGTACTGGAGTGCAATGAGCCCGCACTGGAGTGTGATGACACTATCTGGTCTAGCATGAACTCATCTTCTGACGACAAAACGAAGCAGCTACTGGGCCAATTGATAGATGGCACACCAGGCAGAGTTATTGGAGACCCCAATGACATTCCAGGCTCCCTCGGGCTCAAAGACATCGTCAAGAGCGCAGTGTCTTGTCCAACCAGGTCCAAGGCTTCGCGATGGACTTCGTCCCGTGGATTATGAGCATTATCCCGCAAGCGATGATGTCTTTTTGGTTTCTGCCCATTCCGTGCGATAGCCGACTTGAGTTTCCCAGCTTCCTCGCGCTCCTGCGCTCCTCGGTCCATCCAAAATGGCTCTGGTCCATAGCCCTGACAGATAACACCGAGACGTCGGCAAGTCTGACACAATGGTTGTAGTTCGTCGCATTTCTTTCGTCTGAGTCGGCAGGTCCAGCATCCCTTGGTACTCCTCATTCCAGAGGTTTCTGAATAGTCAATTTATTGTTTGTATCAGCGCTTGGGTTTGTCAACTACTGGTCCCAGTAGAATCCGTCACGTTCATTTTCGAGTTTCAAGTACTGACTGATGTTATTGAGAATATACGATGGATCGTATCGTCGAGAATGATCTCGTTTTCGCCCATGTGTTTCCGCTGCTGTTAAATCAGCCGAATCCCATGACGGGGTATTCTTCCCCAAACCATCCTGCTTATTTGGAGAAACAGGGGCCAGGGGCTAGCCTGGCTAGCTGCATGATTAGCACCGAGGCCGGCGCATTTAGACAACTGTGCCGTGGTAAAGAACACTTAGCAAGGCACCACGTACAGCCTACGTACACAGGTGTGACCTGAAGCTAATCTCGAACAGGATCTAGTAATGTGGGGGCTGCGTGGTTAGCCTCAAACCGAGACCTGGAATGCGTGCCCCGTGCACTGCCGCCTTCGTAAGGTGCGGCTGCCTGTCACTGGAACTAACGTAAACTATGAAAGGAGCTAGTCGCAGTGAGAGGAAGATAAATAAACCAAAGATGCTGGGTGTTCGCTCGGTTCCCTCCCACAACAACGCAACCATGTTGAACTCGTCTTCAGCATGTTCGAATGACTACACTTTTGGTCCTGCAGTAGTTGGCTGTCGAGATGACTTCGATTTTACTGTGACTTTTGAGCAGACAATACTTTCAATTGCTCCTTCCGTTTGCTTCATTATCCTTGCATCTCTGAGAATTCTCCATCTGAGTCGGAAGCGGACTGTGCTGGCTGCACGTCAATTCCAATCATTGAAACTTGTGAGATATTCTTCCCATTTTACCGGGGTCTCAAAACAGCTAATGGAATCAAGGGGGCAATCACGTTGTACGCAGGACTGCAAATCGCTCTGCTAGTTTTCGCTGCGCAAGCGCCCACCAGCACGCGACCAACCTCCGTTGCCTCTGCTACCCTTGCTGTCTTGGATTCAATTTTGTTTTTCGGCTTGTCCGCGCTCGAGCACGCGAGGTCACTAAGAGCGTCAATCTTATTCAATAGTTATCTGCTATTAACGCTGCTTTTCAACACGGCCGAATGCCGAACCCTATGGCTTCAATCAACCCATCCGGTGATCGCGTCGGTATTCACAGCTGGCTTAGGAGTCAAGATTACCATTCTGCTCCTAGAGGCCCAGGGAAAGCAACGCTGGATCCCAGACAGCCAGCTCAGCCCCGAAAAAACGAGTGGTATTTTCAGTCTAAGCTTTTTCTTCTGGCTGAACTTCCTGGTTGTGGGCGGATACCGCAAGATCCTATCCACTGCAGACCTGTATGTACTCGATGACAGCCTAACAGCAGAAGCGCACGAAAGACCTTTCCAGCAAAACTGGCTACGACATTCTTCTCATCGCTATCCTCTGCTTCGATCACTCTTTGCTACGCTCAAATGGTCGTTTCTAGCCCCGGTTTTCCCCCGAATCGCTGCAGGTGCTTTTTTTTTTTGCCAGCCTTTCTTCATCAACCGCATTGTCAGCTATCTCCAAGTCGGTCGCGACGAGAGGTCGCATAACGTGGGATATGGCTTGATCGGGGCCGCTGCGCTCATCTATACGGGAATCACCGTTTCAAATGCACTCTACTCGTATTTGTACAAGCGAGTCTTGAGTATGCTCCGCGCATGTCTTGTCACGGCGATCTACTCCAGCACAGCCTCCCTCTCAGCAAATGACCAGGACAACTCTGCTGCTGTAACACTAATGAACTCAGACGTCAATTACATCCAGATGGGATTTGAAAATGTACACGAGTGCTGGGCAAATCTCATTGAAGTTACTATCGCTTGCTGGCTGCTGGAGAGGCAGCTCGGCGTGGCATTTGTGGCTCCTCTTGCAGTTGTTGTTATATGTGCTGCAGCCTCATTTGGCATAGGGAAGTTTACTGGGAAACGCATGGGTTTGGTCATGAAGATGGTCCAACGGCGTGTTGGATTGACAGCAAACGTGATTTGTAACATGACTTCTCTGAAGTTAGCGGGTCTGGCGGACCCAGTTGAACGTATTATTCAACGCTATCGCGAGGATGAAGTGAATGCCCAAAAGAGATTTCGACTTCTGACATCCTTCTCTACGGTGATCGCCTTCGCACCACTTCTACTCTCGCCAGTGGTTGCATTCGGCGCTACCGGAGAAGCACTGACCGTTAGCCGAGTCTTCACTTCGCTTGCATATATTCAGTTACTTTGCAACCCCTTGACAAAGCTTTTCCAGACCATCCCTCAGATTGTGGCATCAAGGGCCTGTCTGAAGCGCGTCGAAAAATTCTTGTTATCGAATTTGACCGGAGATCGACCGGGTTCTCTCAACCTCCAAGATGCATTAGAATGCGATGTCGACACCACGCCAGAAAAGGCAACACAGGGGACCGCTTATTCCTCTGATGCTTCAACTTACAAATCTAAGGAGCTGGGCTGGGAAGCTGGGAAGATTGTGCTTAGAGACATCGAGCTTGACATACCTCGCTCAAAACTGACAATGATTGTCGGCCCAGTTGCTTCTGGGAAGAGCACACTGTGCAAGGCTTTGCTGGGCGAAGTACCCTTCGCTGATGAATCAGTCAGTATTGCTCGAGACTTCAGTCGCATTTCCTATTGTGACCAGGATCCGTTCTTGATTGATGGCACGATTCGCCAGAACATCATCGGGTTTGGCGCTGCCAATGAAGCTTGGTACCAGAAGATTCTACAGGCAACCGCTCTGGTTGAAGATATCGCAACATTTGCTGATGGGGATAAATCTATGGTTGGCACCAACGGTATCACATTGAGTGGTGGGCAGCGTCAACGGGTGGCACTAGCCAGAGCTCTTTTCTGTCGCCCTGAGATTGCCATATTAGATGATATCCTCAGGGGTCTGGACCTGAAGACTGAGGAGCACATCAGTCATTGTGTGTTTGGGCCAGATGGACTATTGCAACAAATTGGAGCGACATTGATTCTCTGTACTCATTCTACGCGGCAGCTTCATCTTGCGGATCATATCATCGCCCTTGGTAATCGGACTGTTGTGGAGCAAGGCTCCTTTCAAGAACTGATGGCAAGAGGTGGTTATGTGCAAAGCCTAGGGGCTGAAGAGACTCGAAAGCCGCCTAGAAAGCCGCCCCAGGGTACGAATGCAAGTACAAGCCCTGTCTCCCCATCTCCAAGGGAGTCAAAAGAAGAAATGGAGAATCAAGCTCGGCAATTGGGAGAATTTGCAGTATACAAGTTCTATTTCTCCCATTTCAAGTCCAGCATTTTCTTGATGTACGCTATCTCTGGCTTAATATGTGCATTCCTCTTCAACTTCAACACCGTGTGGCTTGAATTTTGGTCAGTGTCTGTGGAAAATGGAGAATACCGATTCCCGTTTTATCTTGGCATCTACATCTTGATTCAAGTCGCTTGTCTTATGCTCTTCTTTGTTTTCTTCGGCCTGGGAGGAATAGTGATGACACCCAGCGCAGAATTGCTTTTGCACCTTCGTGCATTGAAAACTCTCATGACAGCCCCGTTAGCATTCTTCACATCTGTGGATATCGGTGTCACCACGAACCATTTCTCACAGGATATCATGCTGGTCGACGAGGATCTGTCAAGATCGCTTTCGAGCACCATCGCCACAGGTTTTGTTGTCCTGGGACAAGCAGCTGTTATTGAAGCTTCGTCGCCGTATGTCGTGATTGGATATCCTGTTTTGGCTGGCCTGCTATACATCATTCAGAAGGTGTATCTACGCACTTCAAGGCAACTTCGATTTCTTGAGATAGAAGCAAAGGCTCCATTATAGTAAGTCACCTCCAGACTTACTCGAGCAGCGATTAAAACACTAACCTTTTACCTTCTACCAGCAAACATTTCCTCGAGACATTGAGTGGGGTAGTGACAATCCGCGCGTTTGGCTGGGTGAAGGAAAACATCGCTCTGAACAACCGCCTGTTGAATGAATCCCAAAGATCTGCGTACCTTCTTGCCATGATCCAGCAGTGGCTGACCACCGTTCTCAACATGGCAGTTGCAATCATAGCCATTATCTTCTCCGCGTTAGCTACGCAGCTTGACATTAGTGGACCAGGATTCACCGCTGTTGGTCTGGTCAGTATCATGTCTTTCGGATCCATGCTCGCCAACCTTGTCCGGATCTTTACACAGCTTGAACTTGCAACCGGTGCCTTGAGTCGGCTAAAGCATTTCAGCGAAGATGTTCCCAGAGAGAAGGGTGATGGATCAGCCGGCCCGATTCCTCTAGAGTGGCCGTCTCAAGGGAATATCGAGATGTGCAACGTCTCTGCTGCTTATCAGTGAGTAACGGTCCTCAGTGCAGTGGTTTTAAGAGACTGCGATACTAACATAGAAGCTCAGAACTTCTGTTAACGCATTGATCAAGGATTCTAGTGGATTAACCAAAGATTTCCAGGCACCCCAGAGTCTGGCTTTGCGAGGAATCTCATTGTCCATTACATCTGGCGAGAAAATCGCTATCTGCGGCAGGACCGGCAGGTACGTTTGATATCTATCCTGGAGGGGGGGACATATATGCGTTGACTAACATGTTTCATGTGGCTCTAATTTAGTGGCAAATCATCCTTAGTCCTCTTAATTGGAAGACTCCTCAATCCAACCCCAGAATCTGGTGATACCCTCATTGACAACATCCCCCACACCCATATCCCACATTCTCTCATCCGCGAACGCATCATCACCCTACCTCAAACCCCCTTCTTCCTCGCAGACGGCAGCACGATCAAAGAAAACCTGGAACTCAACCTCTCCCCACCAGCCAGCGAAAGCCAAGAAAAAGAAGAAGAAGAAGAAGAAGAAGCACGCCGTGTCCTCGAAGCAGTAGGTTTGAAAGAGTTAATCGAGGAAAAGGGCGGATTAACCTCCGAGCTGAAAGCTAAATCCCTAAGCAATGGCCAGAAACAACTTTTCTGTCTCGCGAGGGCGGTTCTTCGCAAGCGCACTCGTGATAGATTACTGACAGAGACTCACGCCAAGCGTGACCCCCAGTTGGAGGGAGTGGCCTCTGTAGCGAACGGCGGTATTCTCATCTTGGACGAATTCAATGCTGGTGTTGATGACAAGACGGATGAGATGATGCAGGCTGTTATTTGTCGTGAGTTCGCGAGGTATACTGTGCTTTGTGTTGCGCATAAATTGGATACGATTATGGATTATGATCGGGTGGTTGTTATGGAGAAAGGAGAGATGGTTGAGGTAGGCAACCCTAAGGAATTGTATGGGCAGATGGGGAGCAAATTTCGTGGTCTTTGGCGTGCAGGTGAATGAACGATGGATGTTGAGTCTTGGATTTGAATATCGTTCCGGCTCGGTTTTGTTCATGGATTGCTGAGGTTTTGAACTGCATATTTTACAGGTTGACTCCATGGTTAGATGTCTTTGAATAGTGGTACTGTCAAGCTCCGCGGGCTTGCATCTGACCCTGTCCCTATCAAATTTCCCATTTGTATTCAATAAGAAAGCATTCTTAAAGACTCTTACAGAGACTAGATTCAAAGCCTTTGCAACTGCCGCAAAACCTGATCTTTCAACACCACAGATGAATCTACTCCTCGAACTTGACACACTATAACAACTTTCTCTTCATGCACTGCATACTGATAGTTGAATACCACTAGCTACTTGCCCACCTCCCCCAGACTCCAAGTCCCTCATAGTCCCTACCAACCTATTCAACAAGCCATGGTTCGACGAGTCTCCGATGCCATCCATGCCATTCAAGCCTTGATGTAGTTGTAGCAGGCAGGCTCAACGTCACCCTCAGCCTTAGCCTCCTCTCTGCGCTTGATGTCTCGTGTTGGTCTCGACTTGATTCTTGATGGAATCTTGGTTAGAATTTGGAGTGGATTGGAGTTTCTGTTTTCTCTCTATGGTACTCGGTATATTGTAAGACGTTGTTGTACCTCTCCAGCGCCAGCTAGCCACATGCTCTTGACTGTGTTTATAAGACAGCCATCACGATGGCTGGCGTCTCGCTGGAGCTGTTGGTTGATCTGGTCGAATCAAGTCACTGTCTACTAGGGGCCGGCACGAATACATATTCGTAACATTTTGAGATATTCGCATTCGCATTCGTAGTTCTCAGACATCTACTGCAACGCACCCATGACTTCTTCGTCGACAACCTTTCCGAAAAGCTGCCGCTCGCTGTCAATCACTGGCTGCTCGCTTTTGTACCGCTCCAGATTTTCGCGAATCAATCGGTGCTTTTGCTGTCTCTTCTCGTTTCGTAGTTGCTTCACTGAGCGATCATACTGCTTGTCTGCCTGATCAAATTTCTGGCGTAACTTTTTCACCTTTTTCTCTTGAGCCTTCCAACGCTTGCGGATGGTTCGGGAATGAGGGCCACTCTGCGGTGGATCATCACTGAACTCCTGTTGTAAGATGGCCTGGGTATCTTCCTAGGTGCGCTTCATAACGTCTCGAACCCGGTTTCTCGCCTGCCTCCTGTCTTCCAGGGTACGCACACGGGGAATATCATTGATACGCCTCGAATCCTCAAGCCGGTATGGTCTGCGAGTATCAGTGAATCGATTTCCTTTTTCGGTCTTAAGACGTAAATTTGCCGGTTTGCTTCATCTTCAAATGCTGAAGTGCTGCAAATATGAATGATGCGATTAAGCTTGCTGTATGAGAGACTGCAGCATCTACATCTCGAGACTCAACAGCCGCAACGATCGGACCAAGCGGTAATGTCATGAGACTACATGGTGATTTTCTATTCAAAGGGAATGAAAGGCTGAAATGTCGGTGATCTCCAACTCGAACAGTCAACACCTTCTCTCTCTTGGTTGATCTACGCCCCGTCACTATTCAAGAGTACAGCACTCAGAAAGAGATAATTGGAAAATCGAACAAACTTAGTCCATAGTCCAGATTTTGCGGATATCACACTTCGTCATTGAGAAGCGTGGAGGGTACATGCTACGGTGCATCGCAAGACATGGGACGTCACAGGTTGTTCCGGATCACTCTGCTATTTTAATCGTAGTATCTATCCATGGGGATATATGCAGATGACCAAGTTCAGCAGTCGGAATGATCCTGGTTATGTTCCTGTTACTGATCGGCCGTGGCTGTGGATGAACGTGCAATATAAGAATCTTGCAAGATACGAAAGGAGTGCCATTAATATGCGCCCAACGCGGATCAACTGAAAATGCAACGCTGTAATTACATGAAGCATCGTCACTGTGCACAGTATTTGTTTTCTGGATGAATATGTATGCATGAAAAAGAAAAAAAGGCATAAACTCGTCGTAAGTATATAGGCATGTGATTACTCGATTCGCGGGGGACTCCTTGACTTTCCCTTGCCCATCGGACTGAGACTTGCCCTGCAAAGCGGATATTAGCATAAAATTCATGGAAATTGGAAATTGGCGTCCGAAAGACTGGTACACTTACGATCGTCGCCGCTCGCCTTCCTTCCGGAATCCTTCAATAACCTTGGCCATCTCCTTGCGACTGGCCGACGCATCGATCGTCCGCCCGCCGAGACTCATGCTCACCTTCTCATGTGCACTAGCCATGAGGAGGCGCTTCAGGAGCAAGTGGCGCATGTTCATACACACAAAGACACCACAGTCACTGCCACCGTCTTGCTGGGGCGAGTCGTTCAAATGCATAAACCGGATAGGCATGTTCAAGAGGGCTCCAAATTTGCGAGTCACGGTGTCCGCTTCCCAGATGTTTCCTTGGTATAGTGAGTCGTAGTGGAATGCGATGCGGTCGACGATCGAGATCAAAAGTAATGACCAATGCGTGCCACCTTCCGCCTGCGTGACATTGCGGCAGTCGTTTATTGGGAGGAAAACGTGCGTCGCTTTGGTGAAGTCCGGGAGGGCTTCGCGGAGGGTGCGGGGATCGGGTGTTTGGAGGATCATGAAGGACATGCTGGGGCGGAGGAGGACGATGTTGGAAGACTTGTATCGGGTGAGATATTCGTGCTCAAGGTATCTGGAGAAGGCGACTATCAACGCTGTGTTTGATTTGGGTTGGCTTCCGAGTTGGTCGACTTGAGCGGACTTACTCCTCCCAGAATGAAATGATCTGTGATAAATTAGCTTCAGGTGTCTATGCGGGTGTCCCTTGCATGCGAACCCACATTATCTGTGAGCCAGTCGTTCTTGAGGGTTTGCATATCCTCTCGTGTCACTAGATGCCTTGTCAGTCGCTGAAGTGTGTTCAGTTGGGACGAATGGATTCATACATCGGACATCATAGTCTATGAGACCGGAGAGGCTACTCGTTAGTGCACCGTTCCTGGAGTAGCAACATCGTCTCCGAAGACTTACAGCTTAGGAATGCGTCATCGGGATTTAACTGCGCTGGTCAGCCTTTGACTCGCCGAGACGAAAACACAAGACTGCGAGAAAAGTCGAGACTCACACTATCGCCGAACCGACCCCTCATCCTCTTCTGCAACTTGCCTAACCCACCGTCAAGCATCTTGGCAAATTACGTATAGCCACAAGATCACACGAAGCAGAAGTTAAAAGGGGCAAAAAGGTGCCACCGCAGTGACGAAATCCAACCGCGCCAAGATCAAGGACGCGCAAGATCAAGGACGCGCAAGACACGAATCCGGGTTCTGAATACAGTCTTCCAAAATCGCAGCGCAAGCACGATCGAGTTCAACGTATGCAGAAGAATGTAGCCAGGGAACCCCACTAGTATTAAATATAGCGAGCTGGTGGCGACGAGTCGACGTCGGCTAACGGCAATCAGCCGTGACGATTCGCAAGACCCCAGTTCTGCAGTGGCCGAGTGGGGACCGGGCGGAGGACGCTCCGGATTAGATAACAGGTCGGAGGGGGAGGCCGTCAGCCTTATGGTGGCGGGAAATAACACAAGAAGCGTGGGAGATGGGAGGATCTTGGGATGGGACGCTCGTTTTCTCAATCGGATGTTGCCGAGGTGTAAGGCTGAGATCTTGTTTTTGGTTCTTGACAGGTTTTGGTGGGATCGCGGGGCGGTGGGATGGATCGACGGTCCGACGAAGGATGGTGGTAGGAGTCAAAAAAGGGGCGTCACTGGAAAAAAGGGAATTTGCAAGTCTACTGTCCTTCAGGCACAGAAGGAGGGATGCCTGTTGACGTCGGGACGGGGTTCTGCGTCACATGTGGCGGTGGTCACGTGGGATGTCTGCGTCGGGGAAGTTGTGTATACTGCTGAACAAGGTGCCCATACCCCATGTTGCATCTTATTATACAGCTGCTGCTACGCGAACAAAGGTAATCGAGAGAATATATTGTTCATAATGGGGTATCTAAACGTACATCTGGTCCCCCTTGCGGGAAAAACCCAGGCAAAAATAAACATCAAGGAAAAGCAACGAGCATGAGGACGGCTCCGGATGATCGGAAGCCGCGAGACAAGACAACTGTCGTCGGAGAGCTACACGGCTCTACTCGAGGCCCGGAGCGACACTTCTGTGACGCGGAAGTGAGGGAACGGTGAACGAAAACCAAGACGTTCCCACTGCGAAACTCTAGGTAGAGAGCTTCGCAAAGTGACGCGTCCAGATCCATCCAATCTCACGGGTGGGATCGTCTTGGTTCCGTGCTAGCCACAGCTCGCCCTTCTCGCCAACGACGTCGAAAATATCGCCGGTGTCGTAGGTCAGGTATGGATAACCTGCCTCGCGACGTGACCGGTCGATATTGAACTCGTAGAGGCTGGCCACATGGAACAGGACGGTGGGTTCCATAGGCGCAGCCTCTTGAGCGACACCCCCGTCGCTAGGGGTGTCTGACATCGGCATCGCTGACGAGAAGAAGCTGGAGTAGCGGCCAGCAGGAGAGGTCGGCGGATTTTGCTCACCGGCGGGGACCACGCTCGATGGCGCATTGATCACGTCGGCGAGGAAAGGAGTATCCAGACTTAGCCTGGGAAGCCTCGGGAACGACTCGGCCTCGAATTGGGTAGGTTGAGAGCTAGTGCCACTGGAGTTGGTCACCTCTTGCAGCAACTGGCTGTGGCTGTGGCTGCGTCCCGCGTCCAGGTGGTTTGAGGGGTCTGGTGGAGCGCGCGCAGAGAAGGATGAATCCGCCCGATGGCGGGCATCGGCTTGACTACCCATATGAGGTGACTGGAACAACTGGCTGGTGCCGTAGTCGTAGGACACCTTGGGTGAGTCTTCGGCGAAAGACTGCGGTCGGGGATTGGAGCTGGTAGTCGTCGATGGGCGACGTGAAGAGGTGATGTCTCTTGTGGACGGAGTATTGAAGTTCACAAGATTCACACTGTCGATCAAGACAGAGCCATTGCAGATGCCGAGTGAGAGAACCTGAGCTTCCGAGAAGGAGAAGTCACTGTTCCAGTCACTGATCACCTTTTGCATGTCATCTGGGAAGGCCTCTACAAAGGGTGCGACCTTCTGCTGCAAGATGGCATACCAAGTGAGCTGAATATCAGCCAAGTTCTTCAGGCATGCTTGGCCGAATTTGGCAGAAAGCGCAAAGAGCCGAGGCAGTTCTTCCTTGAGAGTCTCATTCAGAGCAATAAATTGCTCGCCTTGCTCAGTGGTCTTTTTGTCAGCTTTCTCTCCACGCTCCATGATCGACTTGTAGCGTCCATAATCCAATAGCCGCTTCTGTCGCTTCTTCATCACGCGCTCCGGCCCGGTATATAGCGCAATCACCTTGGAAGTGGGATCAATGCAAGATTTCGTGACAACGTCAACCTGAGAAGAAATGTAAGGACTGCAATCTGCGCGCGCGATCTGAGGGTGGAATACTTACATGTTCAGGCAGGGCGTTACTGATAATATCCAGAACTGACATCCTGAAGCCGCGCCACTTGCTGTCCAGCTCCGGGTAAGGAGAATGATGCACGTCGAGAAGTCCTTCGATGGTGCTCGCAAACTCATCGTACTGGATCATCCATCTCTTCGTGGATTCAACGTAATCTTGCACATCACGAACCATCAGTTGTAATTGGATGTATTGTTCGGCGAACTTTTCAGAGAGGGCGTCGTAGTCCCGGTCTTCGTACATATCAGACAGTCCAACTTGCTGACGTAGTTTCTCTGTGCGGCGACCAAAGGCCTTGGACAGACCAGTTCGCACATCAGACTGGTTGCGTTTTCGACCCACAACCTGGGTGACAAGATCCGCACGTTTCTTCATCTCGTTGATACGAACAGAGATATTGGTGACATCTTGCAAGGCAGACGAAAGACTTGCGCGATCAGGATGATCGTCAGGGGTTGCTTCCAGTAACTGGGCGAGAAGAAGAGGATACTTCAAGATGCGTTGCACAGGCTTTACAAGCAAGGAATCCAAGTCCCAGGCGCTTGTAAGATCCGATGCCCACTCACGGCACTCTTTGAGCCAAATAGCAACCTTAGGGTTGCGCTGAAGAAGCTGCAGTTTTTTGTTGGCAGCGTCGTGATTCTTCAAATAATCGGTGTACACTTTTTCCATTCCACTCATGTGGGTCAAGAATGCCGCGCCAAGGGTAGTAGCACGGTCTTTCTCGACCCCCGAGATGCCGGTATCTGCATTGAATTGTTCATCATCTCCCATGGCACCAGGTTGGGTGTTCCGGGTAGTGCGTCTGCTGGCCCAGCGCTGAGACCTTGGCATGATATAGACACTTCGAGCAGCCTTCTTCAGTGCATCCTGAAGGCTCATGGAGAATTGAACAATTTGGTCGGAGTTGCCAAATAGGACCTTCACATCATCTGCGGAGAGATCCAGGCAAGAGCTAGATGTGCCCTTATAGATGTCGTCGACAACCTTCATGTCTCGGCCAAACGTATACTCAGTATCAACCAGTTCTTTGATGATGTGACGTCGCTTCTTCAGACGACGCTGCTCTGGAGAGGGTGATTTTTTTGGCTCCACGAGCGCCGGATGCTCGAGCGATGGAGCAAGCGAGGTAGCCGAGGAATCCGCAGCTAGTGGAGACTGTGTAGATTCGACGCGTTGGAATGAAGAGTCCGCGCTGCTTCCAGTACTGAGCGTAGGGTCCCGTAGAGTAGGAACTCGGCCCGAGACAGAATGGGGTGCCTGAATGGTCCGAGACTCCTCACTGGCACTTTCAGTCTCAGCGGGGAGTTCCACTGGCCTGCGCTGAAGTTCGTATGCGGCTTGACGATTGACGGACAATCCAAGACCTGCGTTTGGATCGTTAGAGCCTTCCAGCTCAGCTATAGACATCATCAGATGCGGCGTGGGGGTGGGCACACCATCATTGATAAACCCTGGCTTTTCATGAGCAGGTGTGACTTCTTCATCTTCTGCGGCGATATGCATCCAGTCCATAATGGACGGAGAAGCATTCTCCCAGTCTTCGCGACCGACCAAGCTTGCACCGTGGAGGAGACGCTCATGCATTGGCTTCTCCTCGAATCTAGGAACGACAACTCCGTCATCTGTCAAGCTATCCGCTTGATCCTGCGCACGGGTGTCCACTTCAAGAGAGCTGTAATCCTGGGAGGTCCGCATGGGAGGAAGACGAGTACTGTTGTTGTTCTTGCCCCTCGTCAATTCCTCCAGATATAGCTGGGTCGCTCGACGCGAGTCCCATCTGCCTTGCCTGGCCAGGCTTGGAGGAGTAGAAAAGACGCCGGAGGGTTGCAGTTGCGGCGTATTGTTGAGGGTTGCAGGGCCCATCACACCGAGATCCTGGATCGGAGGATCGTTATCTGATGGCGGACTGGTTGAGGCAGCTGAGCACGTCTGAGTGGGTGGCTCCTCCTGTCCTGGCGGCGGCATCTGAAGGACCAGGTCATCACCACTCTCGTCGCATTCTTCGTCGCATGTATCATTCTGATTGTGTACCGAAGAAGTCCAGGAGCTTAAGCTCCATCTGGTCTGGTGTTGAGCGGCTTGTGAGTGCCGGGCGAGGTGCCGTGGCTCTTCATTATCGGTCCTGCTTGTGGAATGGAAGTAGGTCGTATCATGGAGCATAATTTGAATTGATTGCTTGTCATCATTCTCCGACATGCTGCAGTCCGGTTCATCACACGAGTCGCTGTCACTGGACTCGCGAATTTGCATGATGTGGTCCAACAATGTACGATGATCTGTGCTGGGCTTCCTCTCAATCAACTCGGATTGGGATTCAGGGCCGAAACGTGTGAAGTGGGTTTCATTGGAGCCGATTTTAATGGCGGTGACTGGCACGGCACCGCGCGATTCTCGAGGCACTCCATCTGGGACTCCCAGTGTGGGAGAATCCATGGTGGTGTGTGGTGCATCGTCGTTTGGAGGATCGATAACCGTAACCAAATTTAGTTGAGGGACACTGCGGGTTTCTTTGTTGTGACCGGGAGTCCCGGTCGACTCTTTTACAAGAGTAGCCATCTCGACAGGCGGCGGGATAAGCTTGGCCGTCGTAGCGGGGGTCAATGTCTTCTCATCCGATGGAGATTCAACCTTGTCAATACCCGCTTCGAGGTTTTGAGAGCGTCGCCGTCGAAGTTCTGCAGCCTCCTCTTCTTTTCGCTCATTCTCCTGGACTGTTCGATTGAATGCTTGTTGGATCCGTTGTCGCCGAGTTTCGAAATCAACATTTCCCAATTCGGGAATTCGGCGTTGTCGCGGCCGAGTATTGCGTGCCTCAGTATCAAGATCGGCAGACCTTTGTAATGACGAAACCCGATCACCGACTCTGGAGCGTGGCGAGGTCGGAACACCTTGAGATACCGGCTGTCGAGGTCGGGAGCTGCGTAGTGGTGGAGATTTCTTAGGAGGAGGTACGGAAATGTAGGCCTGAAGATGCCGGTTCCGTTCGGGTACCTGAGTACGGGTTCGGCCAATTGCCGTATCCCGCCTGCCACGAGCTGTCATCGCAAACGAGGTGGAACCATCTTCCGTCATGCGGGGTGGACTATCCTTCAGTGACGGTTTAGGAAGGCGGCTGGAACCCTTCGGGGCCAAAGGAGTGGCATTCGAGCGGTTGCTGAATGTCGGGTTATTGGCGTCTGATGAGAGGCTCTCGGGGCCGGAAGCAGTGACGAGGCGGTGCGAGGAAACAGGAATGCGGGACTTGGAATTTGGGCTTCCGGGCGATCCATCCCCTGGCTGCAAGGGCACTGAAACAGCCATGTCGTAAGCCCAAGGTTCAGCAAGGGGCTCCTTCTGAGTGTTCGCAGATAAATCACTCCGCACTCTGCGATGTCCGTTCATGCGCTGATGTGCTGTGTTTGCAGCTATGCTCACGGCTTCTAAAGAGCCCGCCTGCCCGAGATACCACGCAGTGGGAGTCTGCGGTGATCGGACAGAGGGTGGATTAGAAAACTCGGCAAAGGCCGGGTTAGGACTTGGAATACTGCCGTCCGAGCCCCGACGTCTCAGATGTGCAGGAATACCGTATCCCAAATTATTCAGCTGGGTGTCGACAGAGAGCAATTCACCAAACAAAGGCCGCCGAGGGTGAGAGATCGGTATCCGCTCGACGAGAGGTGGTGGTATAACAGCGTTTGTTTCCCCCAGTCTCTCGACATCAGGCGATGCTGGCGTGAAATCAGATTGCAGTCTCGGGTTGTTCGTTACGGAAATCGGCGGCAGGCAGTCTCGCAGTTGACGACGAGGAGCGAGACGTGAACGATCTGCGCCGTCAGCACTGCCAGCCGGGCTGGCAGCTCTTGAAGACGGTCGGGAGGCGGAGGGGAGAGGGAGGACCTGGTCAGCCTTCTCTTCGAACTTGCTGACGAGGTCTCTGATAGAGGTATTTCGGTGTCTGACGTTGGGAACATTTCGAGATGCACTGCCTGAGTGACCTCCCAATGTTGGTGAATCAGAGGTGGAACGGTAGGTCGGCCGTCTGGAGCGTGATGGATCCACCACGTTTGCAGGCAGGGAAGACACCCTGTCATTTGGGTTGCGACAGCCCGTCGCCATGCTGTTACTGGCGCCCGTTGTCACATCGCCGAAATCGCCCGTCGGGTTGGGTTCTAACTCGTCACGCTGTCGATAGAATTCGTCCGGGTCGGGAGACTCATCCCCACCGGCTTTGAAGTGACTGCTCGAAGGAAGATGATTTGTGGAGGCGGATAGGGTGGGATCGAGGCCTGATCGAAGAGAGGAATACGTGGTGCCCCCGAGAGACGCGAGAGGAGAGAGGTGTGCGATCGGTGATACATCAAATGGAGAGGAGTTGTCGTGCGGGGATTGGCTATAGGCGGGCGCAGACGATTGTCGCCCAAACGGAAGCGGCTTGTGATTCCGGGCGCTAGAATCATGCTCAACGCCGCTGCCAGACATTTTGCATGCTTCAGGCCGACGTGGACTGGCCGCGGTGTTGTCGAATGTGTGTGGGTTGGCCGGTATGCGTTGTTCCGGAATTGACGCCCAACGGGTATGTCGCGGATGGATTTCGGCTGGTTCAGGCTACAGAGCAATCCCGGGGTAGCGCACCCCCATTCAGCAGCATATTCGACAGTACCAGAACAGGTCGAGATGAGTACCAAAGAGTACCGGCGATTATGAAAGATGGGGAGAAGGATCGGCGGGTGAAGAGTGAGGAACAACGGAACCGACAGCCCGGGGGCCAGGAAATGCAGCGGAAGCAGGGACGGCGAATGAGAGTGTGCAGCAAATCGGCGGCGCTGTCAGCGTCTACCAGCTGTGGGCGTTGATAGGCGGGCAGCCTGAGGGGGTCGGAAAATCAGGCCAGGAAGATGGTGTGGAAACCCGCGGGCCAGATCGCTAGCTTTCGGAGGGCTGAACTGCAGTGTCGATCGCAGATGTGATAGAGTCGACTCGTAGAGTACTCCTGGAGATCGTGAGAGACGAAGGTGTAGGGATCGCGTGCAGGGGAGGAGGTTGGAAAAGTCGGAGATGATCAGTCGTCCTCACATGAAGAGACTCGGCAGCTCTAGAACGTCGCAAGGTGAAACCGTGGAATCGGTGGAATCGGGGAAGAATCCTTTGTGTCGCGGAGTTTGGGGTTTCTTTGATGATCTGTGATCTGTGCACTGAAGAAAGTGCTTGTAGAGCTCCTTGCCATCGGTAGGTGCCTATACGAGACGGTACTACTATCGTCCACCGGGCATACTATTGTCTTATTCTAATCTAATTAATGTTCAGGAACACGCCTTTCCCCTGCCTTGAAAACATGGAACACGCTGACGCAGTGGGGACGCAATCCAGTCGCAACGGCCTTTCTAGACCACGGCCCCGTTCCATGGCTCGCCCGCGCCTAATCTCCGACCTTTTTTTTTTTTTTACTCTTCTCGTGAAGGTATTTTTAACTTTTAGATTGTAAGGCTGCGATGAAGCCATAGTGGAATCCAATTCACACACGGTAGCACCGAGTTTATCGGTGGATTAATGAATTAATGACCCATTTCAAATCAGATACTCTTCGTTCGTGGCACCCGCGATTACCTGCTTCCGCCCGCTCCCTACGGAGTTCTATCAACCTCCTTGACGCGTCGCGTCGCTAACCCTCGTCACAATTGCGATGTAAACGCCATGGGCAAGAAGCGCAAGAGGCCCGGAAAAGGTGGCCGTCGTGGTCCCACGGCCTCGTCTCAGCCTGGTATGACCCCATCGCCAGCTCGTTGCAAATCTCCCAAAGCCTCAGATGCACGAAACGGCCAAACCACCCACCCCGTGATCTCGTTGTACTACCGAGAGGTACTCACCCTGCGTCAATATCTCCTCTCTCATCTCCCTGTATCTTCCAAACTTCGGCGCCGGCGCATCGCATCGCTGGCGAAATCGCAAACGGCCGAGCCCAGCGCCCGGTCATTAGCAAATCTTCTCGATTCCACATTGGTCGGTGTCTTGAAGGAGTCAACTCCGAAGGTCGACTCCGAACGCCAGCGAGACTATCGCGCATTCAGCCAGTCCCAATCGCGGTCGATCCTCGTCAGCACGGACACGGGACCGACCTCGCCCCAATCCGAGGTAGGATCGTGATTAGCAATAGCGTGCGCAGGAGGCCGAGGTTTCAGTTGACTGACGTCCGTGTGTAGGTGGTCGACTTTGCCATAGAGACTATTTTTAGAAAGGCTGGCTACCAAAGACCTGAGCACTTGCTCACGCATGGCTTCCGTCGCCCGGCGGTTGGCCAAACTGCCCTGGATGTCATTCCCGGCGTCGTGGCTCAGTTCCCGAACCACAATGTACGCATCTTAAAGGAAGCGCCGTGGGCGGATGTCTTGGGACTGCTGGGTCAAAATGGTGATGAGATCATAATACGCCTACTGTTCGACTGCGGTATCTTTGCTCCTATTGACGCTCGAAGTGGCATCTATTTCCAATTGAGTGGTATGTACCTGGCTCGGCTAGATCTAGAAACAGAATTACTCACTATATTACTCAGGACTGCCGCTGTCAGGGCTTCAGCGAATTGATAATTCATATTCAAAGTCCCAAAAAGAACCTGCCAATAAAAAGCCAGGTACAAAAAAGAGTGTTCATGTTGGTTGTCGTGGTGAGGCTCGAGGCCCAAACAGCATCATTCTACTCCGCCGTCGAATGCTTTACAGCAGATACACCCGCCCGTTGAAGGAAAGTGCGCCATTTGGATTAGGAGACACTCGTAAGTTGATTAATCTAGACTCTTCGTTATTCGCACTAACTCTCCATCTAGACGTCTTCAACCGCCGCTTTTCCCTCGACTCGACGGCAGAGACGGTGCACGTGATGAAATACATCTTTCCTCGGGAATTCGGCCTGCATAATGTCTTCACAAGCGCAGCAGATCCCAAAGAGAACGTGGACTTGTTCTCAAACCACCGAGACCGTGAATATGAACTAGCTTGCGTCGAAGAACAAAGAAGACAGAATCGTTGTCAATCCAGTGGTGATCAATTGCGCGCCGAGCTCGGAGGAAATGATTTTGGGAAGCTACCAAGGCGATTGCGTGGGCAGGCTTTGGAGTTGGTCCAGAGGCTCCGAGTGCATCATGCCCGTTGTTCCTATGGGGAACTTTTGAAGTACTATTGTCCTGAGGTGAGTTCTCTTCCTCAAATTGCCCATGCACCGCAACTAACCTGAACAGCCTACTGGGCCTTGGAAACTCGGCACCTCGGAACCTCCCACCACAAAGGGAGTCAAAGACGGCGAACCTGGATCTTCTCTGGAGCAGAGCTTGGTAACACAGATGCAAGCCAAACCACATTGCAGTCGATTGACGAAAAGCTCGGGTATTGCCTTATCACCGGGTAGGGCATCTAATGTCGAGAGAGGAGGCAAAGAAGAGTGCCCCTCACGATTCAATAAGCCTAAACTGAGCTTAACCGATTACGCGACCCCTGCCTCTTCCGTTTCAGCCTTCTGTCGCGCCGTTCTCCAGAAATTGATACCGCTCGCCTTCTTCGGGGAAGGGCCTGACGGTGTATCCAATCGGAGAATAATCTTCAAACATGCCGATTCTCTCATCAAAATGCGACGATATGAGAGCCTAAGTTTGCATAAAGTGTGCAAAGGTCTAAAGGTTTGTTTTCCTATCACCCAACCACTTTAGCGTGGAAGGTCTTCCTAACCCGACATGAATACAGGTCACTGCCATTCCCTGGTTGGTCCCTCCAAAGTTGGACTCCCCAGTCGAAGGAAAGACAAAGAAAATTTCCTTGTCTGACTTTCAAAAGCGTATACGGCTCTTGCACGAATTTATCTTCTTCGTATTTGACTCCATCCTTATTCCTCTTGTGCGGGCCAACTTCTATGTCACCGAGTCGCAAACTCACCGATACCGCCTCTTCTACTTCCGCCACGATGTATGGAAGCGTTCGACAGAGCAGCCCCTCACAGAGCTGAAAGCAACTATGTTTGAGGAGCTTGAGCCGAAGCGCCTTAACCGCATGTTGGCCCGCCGCTCTCTCGGGTATGGCTCGCTGCGTCTGCTTCCGAAGGCTACTGGCCTACGACCTATCTTGAACTTGCGACGACGAGTTGTCAAAGGAGCCGATTGGCGTAACAAGAAATTTGCGACCAGCGTCAATTCCACCATCACACCCATCTACAACATGTTGAATTGGGAGCGACAACAAGCGCCCGCGAAGATGGGTGCATCGTTGTATTCGGTAGGAGACATGCATCCACGGCTAAAAAGGTTCAAGAAGCAATTATCACAGCAGCTGCCATTATCAGGGCCAAGGAATTTTGGCGACCTACCTCGACTTTACTTTGTCAAGCTTGACATCCAAGCTTGCTTCGACACCATCCCTCAGCAAAATCTATTGCAAGTTGTGGAAGAGCTGGTCTCTCAAGAGAACTATCATATCACCAAACACGTGGAAATAAATCCTCATGGTGCCGACCCGCGAGGATATCCCAGACGCAAGTTTGCAGCGCGGGCTGCGCCAGTCACGAAGCAGCAGCATTTACCAGATCTCATCGCTAATGGTGGTCACCCTCGAAAGCCAAATACTGTCTATGTCGATACTCTCAACCAAAAAGTACAGGGTGCTGAGGAGCTGCTGGACCTTCTAGACGAACATGTGCGCAACAACCTGGTCAAGATGGGGAAGGAGTTCTACCGCCAGCGCAACGGTATCCCACAAGGCTCTGTTCTGTCCAGTCTTCTTTGCAATTTCTTCTACGCCGAGCTAGAACGCGAAGTGTTGGGATTTCTACAACCGAGAGAGTCATTACTCATGCGACTAATCGATGATTTCCTCCTCATCACCACCGATCTCAACCAAGCGACACAGTTCATGGAGGTCATGCTTCGTGGTCAGCCTAAATACGGCGTCACCGTTAACCCGACCAAGAGTTTGGCCAACTTCACCGCTGCAGTCGACGGCATCCACATCCCCAGGTTGGAGGGGACATCGCTCTTCCCGTACTGTGGATGCTTAATTGATACACACACACTCGAAATCCACCACGATCGTGACCGGATGCTCGATGGAGGGGATTCTGCGGCAGCCAACCTCTCAAACGCCTTGACAGTCGAAACGAATCGTCTACCGGGCCGCATGTTTACCCGTAAAGTACTCTCAACGTTCCGACTGCAGATGCACCAGATGTACCTGGACGAGGCACACAATTCTCGCAGTACAGTTCTCGCCAACCTCTACACCAGTTTAATCGCATCGGCCATGAAGATGTACCGCTATATGAAATCTCTGCGAGGGCGCGCCCATCCCGAACCACCCATCATTATCCAGACCGTCAACGCATTGATTCTGCAAACAATCAAGATGATCCAGGCCCGCCGCGCATCCAGCAACGCGCCCTTGAAATGCTTCCTGCGGCTCTCACATGTGCATTACCTGGCCGCGGCGGCATTTCGGTTTGTGCTGAAGCGCAAGCAAACACGATATACGCCGGTCCTCCACTGGCTGGAATCGGTTGGGAAAGAGTCGCGACCGACGACAAACGGAGAGGCTGTACGGATGATGCAGGTGGTGAAACGAGGAAATGTGGTCTTTGAAGGATGGCGGTTCTAGACCTCCAAGTAAGACATCAATGTACAAATTTCTACGGGCTCCAATAAGATACGGCGTTAGTGGATCACACTGATGCAGACCGCGGATCGACCGGCAGTGGACGAGCACCCGAGTGGTCTAATAGAACACAACTGCTGGATCCAGGGAGACGAAACAATTCCGATCGCATGGAAGTTACAGCGGGACACTTTTTTTTTGACCCAGTGCAGAATAGAATGGCAGTGCGCGATCGGCGCGATCATCCCTTTGATAGATACATGTAGGTACATAGTTGCACCTAGTAAATACCGCGGTGTAAAAGTACCCGTAGGTACCTCCCAGGAGCCCCTGTTCTCGGCCAGACCGCGCCTGAGGCTCCGCTTGCGATTCCAACCTCGACTTCGATCTTCAACTTCAGTCGTTTTCATACCCGTCGACACTCCTTTTGCGTTTTCTGTTTTTGTCTTGATTCTGCCACCTTCTTTCGTCCTTCGTCCTTCGTCCTTCGCTTTCCCTTCTTTCCACCCCCTTGGCTCCGATGCTCACCCGCCGATCCGCCTCCTGATCCGCTTATCTTCGTTTTCCCTTCTTTCCACGACCTCCTGATCTGGCTATCATCAGGCTGCGGCTGAGCCTGCACTTCATTTCTCTATCACGTTGATCGAATTGTCATCGTCTTACCATTTTCCACGCTGCAAGACGCATATCCCTCGCCTCCCCCGACCAGACAAAAAACCCAAGCCTTGCGTGCGATCAACAACCGCCCCCCTTCCGCCCACCTCCCGACGAGTCTTACCCCATCGCGTGTGTTTGGATGCTGTTTGGCTCCGTGAAGGACAATTGCGATTGAGAGAGTGACTACATGAGATCATGACCACCGTCTGCCCGAGCCCCAACTCCCCACCCGAGTTGTCGGGGTCGAAATCGTCCAAGTCCTCCTCCTTCCATTCCTCCTCCCAGATCGACGATCCCGACAGTATCTTCACGGATGTTGGAAACTTCGAGGATATCGGTCTCGAAGATGACTCCGAACTTCCCATTGTCGATCCTGCGACCACCCCTTATGGCCGTGGTCTGGCATCGCGGTCGCCCGCGGGCAGATTGTCCAACAAAAGCCCTGCTGCCGCGACTCGCGACTTGACCGCGACCCCGAAGCCCCGAAAACGAAGTCCTTTCCCCCCAATTCATAATCAGATCAATGGTGCCATGCGTACCCCGCAGTCTGCGGGATCCCTGTCCACAAGGTCTGGGAACAGGAGAGACTCAGGAAGTACGACCAATTCGGGGGGGCTGACCCCGGTACAATCTCGTCGGTCACGGTCGACATCACCACTGCGTCCGATGTCCAGTCGCTCTGCTTCGACTACCAGTCTGGCCCTATCGCCGCTCTCCGCACGCGTCCCGATGCAGAAACAGAACTGGCAACAAAGCCGCAAGTCGCTGAAAGAATTGGAGGAAGAATACCATGACTCAGATGATGAGCTGCCCGACGATGCCAGCCTATGGAATATCCCGATCTCTCCCCGCCCAGTGCAAGATCGCCCTCCGTCTCGCGCACCCAGCCCGAGTGGTCGCAGTCCTGGCCCACGACCATTGCCGATTTCCCACACAGTTACTGAAACTTCGGGTGCCCACAATCCACCAAATGGCTCTTCTTCCAAGGCTGCGCGCATGCGGCGAACGCAGCGGTCCAGTTCTGCTGGTCCTGAACGAGGCCAAATCTCCCCACGAAACCCTCGCGCCTATTCGTACAACAGTTATCTCTCAGACTTGTCCGAAGAGGCAAGAATCATTACTGAAGCTTTGGAACACCATGCGGGTGAAAGTGAGCGCAAACAGGAGGAAAATGTTCAGAATGGCGTATCACGGAAATCGAGCTCGGAGTCGCAAGAGCCCGTTGAATTGCCGCCTCTGCAGAAATCCAACATAATGATCGATCCGTTACCTATTAGCAAGGAGAAGGAGAAGGTGCTTACTCGCACACGCCCGAGCTGGCTTCCACCTAAGGACCAGAAGGAGGAGAAAAAGCACCTGAAGGAATACAAGCAGATGATGGCCCAGTCGCGGGAAGCTGGTTAGTATTGCATCGTTCTTAGGGGCTTACACAAGCTAACTATGATCCAGAGAAGCGCAGGGCTGCCCGAGCTGCTTCCGAGCAGTGCGAGAAAGATACGACCCGAGATGCCCTTCAAAATATCTGGGATGACTTTATTGGCCCCAACTGGGACGGTGCTATGCGTGCGCCTCGGACACGAGAGCTTTGGTGGCGCGGAATCCCTCCTCGGAATCGTGGAGCTATGTGGATGCGTGCCATTGGCAACGAGCTGGAGCTCAACGAGGAAACCTACAAGAAAGCATTACAGCGAGCCAAGGATCTGCGATCCAAGAAGGAAGAGCCCAGTGAAAGTCACAAACGCTTGCTGGACTGTTTCGAAGCCATCGACTCTGATGTGCCCAAGGCCTTCCCTGACTTGAACCTCTTCCAGGAGGGCGGCCCATTACGGGAAACGCTTATCGATGTCCTCCAGGCTTATTGCATGTATCGCCGCGATGTGGGCTACATCCATGGTCTGCACACCATTGCTGCTCTGCTTGTCCTGCAATTCCCAACTCCCAGCTCCGCTTTCCTCTCCATGGCCAATGCCCTGAACCGACCATTGCCCGTCGCCTTTCTCACTTGGGACCGCGGGGCCATGGCACGCACCTATGCTTTGGCATCCGATACCTTGCGGTACAAGTTCGGCCGGCTTTACAACCACCTCCATGAAACCCTCCGTCTCTCCGACGAGGAACTTTGGGAACCGATGTTCCGCTCCTTGCTCACCAACGGTCTTGATCTCGAGCGCATCTCCCGTGTGTGGGACTGCTGGGTTTTCGAGGGCGACCGCATCATGATCCGTTCCGCTGTCGCCATCCTTGGCTGTCTCCAGGCTCAACTGTTCTCTTTCCAACAGCCCGATGACCAGACTCGCATCAATGTGCGCAATATCCTAGGCTGGGGACCTCGCCATATTGGCGCGAATAACCAGAAGCCTAAGGAACGCCACAGTGCACCGGCTGCAGCAGGATTTGGCGGTGGTCAGGTCTCCAATCCTGAGGAGGTTGATTATTGGATCCTCACGGCAGCAGGCAACGAAGACCGGTTTATGTCTGCAGTAAGGGAAGCTGGAAAAGTGCGGCAATAGCCCACCTGGAACATGACATGGGACATGTCATCTGCATAAAGCCATCATATTGCATACTCTGCATTGACCCCACCTACTCTCGCTTCATCACCTTTTCTCGATGCGCCTCCCTTTCTCTCCACCCAAGGCGCAATTCAGGCTTTATCCAGTCGACTTTTTGATGCCATTGATATACCACTCGCTTACCCCCGGGAGCGCGCCATGAACCATACATACTATTTCGTCCTGTATGACCTTGACTAATGACTATGGTGGTTTTACCTTGAACACATCACGCGTCTTGACTATTGTCTATTGTCTATTGTCTGTTGTCTGTTGTCTTTTACTTGACTCGATACGCCGTATATCATCCCACTCGCTATCTACATTGCTCTTTCAATTTGCGTCTTGTTTTCTGGCCGTCTCCTTGGTTTCTTTTCCTGACTTCTCAATACTGTATTCTTAAAATCATGGCCCGAAGGTGCATTTCCCATTGGTGATGCTCGATAGTTGTACACGTTGCAATCGAGTCTTTTCTATAAACCGCGAGGGGGTACACCGTAAGCAGTGTCCGATCTCTATAAAACTTCGAACCCATCTACAAGTCTATCTATCCTCTTTATGGGCTGGGAATCTTTCCCTCATACTCCAAAACAGCCGGATGCTTCACCCCACCAATCCTCAACTTCTTCCAATCCCTCTCAACTCCCTCCTCCACATCCGGAAACGGACCCATAGGCGTAATAGCCTTGGGATTAATATCCCCGTGACTCTTCGTATACTGCAACGTATCAGTATCACACACCCACCAACCTTGGAAATCAAAACTCACATTCTCCTTGATATGCCTAAAATCCGTCGAATTTCTCGCCGCTTCGACATCCCAAAACATCCCCTTCAACCAATTATTCAAAACCGGATAATCATGCCGAATCGTCCCAAGATTACACTTGAAATGCTGCACGTAAACGGTATCGAACCGGATCAGAGTCGCATATAGCCGAATATCCAGCTCCGTCATTGTTTCACCAAGAACGAACGGCCCGCCGTTGGCAGCGATGATACGTTCTAGTTTATTCAATGCGCCGAAGACAGGAATCACGTTCTCGTCGTAGTCTTCTTGTGTAGCCGCAAACCCCGCCTTGTATACTCCCGCGTTGACATGGGATTGCATCCAGGGAGTAATAGCATCGATCGTGTCGCGCAGGTGTTCCGGGTAGAGGTCAATTGAGGCGACGTTCTGCGGCAAGATCTCGTTGAACGCCGTAGGCAACCATCTGAGCAACTCGGCGCTTTCCTATATCCCTTATCAGCAAACAATCCTTTAAGCCTCCCGGAAGGTAAAAAGTACATTACAAACCGCCACCCCGGCCTTCTTGTCCCATAAAAGCGGCACCGAATACCGCCCCTTGTACTCCGGATCCGCGCGGAAATAAATCTTGTGCAAATAATCCTCTCCAAACAGATGATCAACCGTTGCGCCGGGATATTCGTCATCCGAAGCCGGGAAGCGCCATCCCGGCCAACCGTTCTCGTCGCCTTTCGGGTATGGTTTTACGATGCTGATGGAGATGATGTCGGTTAGGCCTTTTAGGTGCCGGATGAAGTTTGCGCGGTGTGCGAAGGGGCAGAAGAGGCCTATGTAGAGGTGGTAGCGGCCTTTTTCGGCGGGGAATTGGGGGCTTGGGATGGTACCGTGCCAGCCGTCGTTGGTTGAGGGGGTGTGGATGGCGGTCATTGGGGGTTTAGGTGGTGGGTTTGCAGAGAGGGTTGTGTATAGTTTTGAGAGTCTTTGGATTGTGCGATTCATGGAGAGTGAAGAGGAAGTGTACAGGAGTGGCTTTGAGTTGGGACGATGTGTTTATCAGGTGGAGTTACAAATCTTGGAAGTGTTCCGCGGATCTGCTCCGACAGATATAGATTGGGAACTGTTATTCGGATCCGACTCCATTTCGCTGATTTTAGGCGGTGTATATACTAGATTGTGGTGAATCAAGTCTATATTGTGCTGCGACTGGTAATCACTTCAATTGTAGCTTGCAGCATCTTAGGAACAGTCCGGCTCCGAATAGAAAGTAGGCCAAGTGAAGCTCCCCTGTAGATCTTTCCGAAAGTAATAGAACCAAGGAATAGCTACCGCCCAATCAATTCTCCGGCTGATTCCAATGACCACAGCAATTAAACGGAGATCTGGTTTCTAGATCTCGTGCCCGTTTTCCTCAGTGGCGAACGCGAGCATTCGTCCCGATCGTATGATTGGTTCTGACGTCAACCATACTTTGTAGCGTAAATGCACGCCAACTCTATTGACACCGCTCGGTACAAATTAAAGTAATTGACGCCTGCACTTCTAGGATCCTGCATTTGAATCACACGGATCCTTTCTCATTCGACATAAGTTTCTGAAATTTCCGTGCCTCTCCCATTCCAGAACAATACTAAGGCCTACCAGATCATGGCTTCTACAATCACCAACGGTCGCGCAAATGCGATGCGGTAAGACATTCAGGAAGCTCAGTGCCGCAATTAACTTTGACCTGAACAATCCTCTAACCATCGACCGGGTACGCATAGGACTCGAAACGTGGCGATCGCCAGCATGATCGCCGTCGTGACATCAAACTGGCTTCTTTTCCGCGCTCAGTCCCCGAATAGCAAGGATGTGTTGTACACCGAGAAGGATAAGAAGATGATGAATGGACAAACGGGATCGGCTGCCACCGCGCGGACGCCTTCGCGGGAGAGGGCGGAGAAGCATTAAAGGTGCGTTGGAAGTTGTATAGTTGGACTCTTGAGGCGGCATCACCATATTCGAAGTTCTAAGAGCACATATTGGCCTGACTGAAAAAATTTTGATTCCTTATCTGGACGAGACAACGTTGCAAGTCTTTTATTGATGTTCTCTGGATACCTTTGTATGAGTCGGAGAGTCAGGCACAATTTTCTCTTGAGACCACTCCTAAGCTGCTCGGCAAGTTACAGTCGTTCTCGGCGGGGCCACGTCTAGACCCCAAGGGCTGTGTCGCACGGGAAGCTCACGATTGCCATGCAATCAGCTGACTTTTCAGTTAATGGATAGTGGAGAATGGTGAGCATTAGATTGACTTACTGCGTCCATTACGGCCCCAATAGCCTACGGCGCCGATAATATAACTAGAAGCCAATGGCTCGATGTAGGCACGAACCTCTGGTAATCGGTAGCCGCGACGAGAACATTTCCACCAGACGCAAAGCCAATTGTACCGAAAAAGCCATGGTACGTGTTAATAGCATCAGAAAACTCTAATTCACAGGCCATTTCAATCAAAAGTGGGACAACATCAACCCGGGCTCAAGGCACGCAATCGTGATAACTGCTCCATTCGATAAACCGAGGCGATAAAAATCCTCGATCACCTGGATATTCAGGCCGATCAACCTACGGAATGACCGAACAAGAGCAGGGCGAGCTAAATCAGAAATAGCCCAATACCACCTTCAACTAAGACAAGACCCTTAAAACTGCTACCAAAAGTAACGCTCGTGATTACTCTGAGTTTTCCTTCGCCCCTGGTGGATCTTGGCCCCAAGCCAAACCCGAAGTGGAAAACTAGCCTCAGTAGCGCCCCAACGCACCCAATGAACAGTCCAGATGGATCGCTCGTGCTTTCTGGACGGGATCAAATCATGGGCTTGACTGAAGTTGAGGCTTAGCTCCCGTTGAACAGGTAACATTGTTTCTATTAGAAACGCAGCGATTGGACAAGAACTCAGGCATGCCTCGACCATCTGCGCTGCTCACCGAGTCACTTCTAGAGCCTCGATATCATTTCATAGCCCCCTCGTGCCCGGGTAGAGCGATATATAACTCTGGCGCTGGACCCTGAGTCGCATGTTCTTCTCTGCATCCCACTGCCGGCGCCATGGGTCGTTCGCCCATTCACCGGGCCGTCCTGGCTGCTCTATGGCTTACGCTCTTGTCGCTTGCAGCAGCGATCGCACTTCCTAAACCAGATTCCCAATCGGAAGTGCCATTCGAGAATGAGGTCTCCACACTTCAGGCTCGAGCCGACAAGTTTCTCTTGAGAATCATGCCTCTTGGCGCATCGATCACGATGGGATACAAATCCACCGACGGTAATGGCTATCGAGAACATATCCGCCAGCAGCTCCGCTACGAGGGCTGGCAGGTTGACATGGTCGGAAGCAAGAGAAACGGCACCATGCACAACAACGTCAGTCATCCCGCCCCCAGCCAAACAATCCCGAGCAGAATCTAACCAATCTCCAGCATCACGAAGGCCATATCGGCTTCAGAGTCGACCAACTTATGGATGTCGTTGATCAAACCATCCCAAAGCAACCAAACCTAATCCTCATCAAGTAAGCTCCCCCCATCCACCCGCTAAGACCCCCATATCTAACCCACACAGCGCCGGCACCAATGACGCCACACAAAAACACTCAATCTCCTCCGTGGGCACGCGGATGAATAGCCTCATAAGTAAACTAATCGACCAGATCGAAGGCACAACAATAATCCTCTCGACACTCCTTCCTAACGGACTCGAACCGGAACTCGTAAAAGAAATCAACAAACAATACCGCACCCTTGCAGCATTCTGGCGCGCGAAGAACGGCCGTGTCGTTCTCGCCGAGATGAGCAATCTCATCAAAGAAGACCAGTTGGTCGATGGTACCCATCCGGATGATTACGGGTACAAGGAGATGGCGTCGGTTTGGTGGGCGGCTATTCAGGTTGCGCAGGCCGAGGGGATGCTTCAGCAGGCGAGTGATACGAGCGTGAATGGGACTATCAGTGACGCTTTCGAGAAGAGTCTTGATGATAGTACGGATAATCCGGATCTGCCGGCTTATGCGGCGACGCCGCAGCCGGTGCTTAACGGTGGGGTTTCTAATGTGGGCTTGGGGATGGGGTGGATCCTGGGCTTGCAGGTCTTAGGCAGTGCTTTGATGATGGGATGTTTATGAGGTGTTTGGATAGACTAATTTTTCGCGCTTGTCGCTTTGTACATAAAATAGATACATTTTCCCAAGGTAGTACATATTACAGTGCATTCGCCTTCAAGCCGGGTGGGCTTGAGTGGAATGTCTTCATTTCATTACCCAGCGTCGGTTGAATGGATACGAGGTAGTTCCAAGGTTGTAGGGAAAGTAGTGGAGCCAGTCCACAATTCTATTGTCTATAAAATGGGCATTATAATGCCTTTTGTTTTGAATAATCATGATCGAGACAACTCCACGCTCAAAGATGCAGTCAGATATCAGAGATTAGAATAAGCCCTGCAAAGAAAATAACCACCCCAGTCAAACATAAACAAAGGCGTGGCACGTCGTGAACGGTAGTCTCTCTTGAGACTTGCCTTGGTATCACCATTGAAATCCTTCTACCATGAGACCCATGCAACTGGTCCTTTGGGGAACAGACGCACCAGCGCCTTGCGCAGCTCGTCCATAGCGAGCACGCCAAGGGCGAGGCCCAAGGGGATGAACCAGAACTCGATCGGGACAGAGGCCGTGCCGAAGAGGGACTGGATTCCAGGGACTTCGGTGACGAAGATGGCGATGACCAGTGAGATGAGCATGGCGAGGGGAAGCCAAGGGTTGCGGCGGGCAGGACGGATGGGGTCGGCTTGGATGATAGACATGCGCTTGCTGCGGACGGAGAGGATGTTGCCCCATTGCATAATCACCAGCGTGACAAAGTATACGCATTGGCCAACACTGTTGAAGTGGGTGAGCTGGTCCTCCGTGTATCCGTGGAATCCCTCTTTGTAATTCTCGAAAGCGAAAACCAGGTCTGAGAAGGGGATGCCGGCGGCCTTCCACATGTACAAGAAGAACATGGCGTGGGCGCTGAAAGCTTCCATAACACCGACGAAGAGGTAAGATTGGCCGTAGATGCGGAGGTTGATTAGGTGGTCCTGCTTGGGCCGACGTGGTGGAAGGCTGAGGAGGTCGAATTCTTCCTTCTCCATGATAAGGGAAAGTGAGAGGAAGAGGTCGGTAAAGACACAGATGATGATCATTAGGAATGAGCTCAGTGGTGAGGGAATGCCGAAGAAGACGTTCATCAACACGGGCCAAATTTCAGACCATGAACCGGCGGGCAACAGATAAGCAATGACCTTTTGCAAGTTCTGGAACACCAGGCGGCCCAGACGAATAGCCTCCACGATGGAATCAAACCGGTCAAGTAGGACCAGATCGGCTGCTTCGATTGCGACGTCGCTGCCAGAGCCGATAGCGATACCAACATCGGCTGCCCGCAAAGCCGGGGCATCGTTAACACCGTCGCCAGTCACAGCAACCGTGTTGCCCTTTGCCTGGAGCTCAGCAACAATGCGTAGCTTTTGCTCTGGGCTGGTACGCGCAAAGACAATCTCATCATATCCGCAGACCGTCGTCCACTCGTCTTGAGTCAACGAGGAGAGACTGGATCCCTCAAGAAGCAAGCTGTGATTTGAGCGCAGTGCTTTGGCTTCGGAATCAAAGTCACGCAGATTGTCGATTGTATCCGGCTCAGTTGCACCGTCAAAGATACCGATGTCTTTGGCGATTGCGGCCGCAGTCAGTCCAAAGTCACCAGTGACCATGAAGAAACGAATTCCAGCGCGGCGGCACTGAGCCACGGTTTGAGCGGTCTCGGGTCTGGGCGGGTCAATGATACCGAAGATGCCTAGCACAGTGAGATCCTGAACGCCTGAGGCCATGACCTCATCGTTGAAACCATTAGAGCCGGGCTCGGTGGTCGGCACATAGTGGCGCTGGCAAATCACTATCACACGCTCGGCGCGGCGAGAAAGCTTTGCCTGGAAAGAAGAGAACCTTTGGCGGGCTGCCTCGTCCAGTGGGCGCTCTGCGTTGTGGAGTGCGGACCAGTAGGAGGAGCAACGGCCCAGGAGGACATCGGGTGCGCCCTTGACGTAGATCAAGTATCCTTTGCTGGCGGCAGGGTCATGGTGCATGGTGAGCATCCACTTGTTCTTAGAGTTGAAGGGGATTTGGTGAATGCGCTCATAGGGGTCGATGTTTTCCTGTGCAGTGGCACCAATGGTGTCAGCAAGCCGCAGGACCGCAGCATCAGTAGCATTGCCGTTGACGGTGCGGTCGTAGGCAGGAAGATCCATGGTTTCCGAGTCAAATGTAGCATCATTGCAGAGGACCGATGCACGCATCAGGTTACTCAGGCCTTCGGGCACTTCGGCGCCAGATGTCAAGTCTTCGATGCTGTACTCCCAGTCCACCATGCCGAGAGATTTGACAAACATGCGGTTTTGAGTCAAGGTGCCCGTCTTGTCGGAACAGATAACGTTCACACAGCCAAGAGTTTCGACGGTTGCCAGACCCTTGGGAAGAACGTTTGTCTTCTTCATGCGTTGGGCAATCATCATGAGCGTCAAAGCTACGCCGACTGGAACACCTTCGGGGATGAAGGCGACAACACAACCCATGACATTGTTGAGCATAGCGACCACGCTCATGTATGTAGGATGGTCCTTACGCAGCCATCCCAGCCAGGTGAAGAGAATCAAGAGAGCCAACGTGATAGTCAGACCGACGATAATACCGACGAAGCGGTTGATCTCCTTCTGGATCAGGGTCGGTTTCTGCTTGACACCCGAAGTCATCTTGGCGATGCGCCCCATGACGGATCTGGTACCAGTGAGTACAACAACACCAGTGGCATTGCCATTGGTGACAAGGGTTCCCATCATGGCGATATTGCGGGTCTCCAGGAAGTTGGCATCGGTTGCATCGATAGCACCATCAACTTCGTCTGATTCACCGGTGAGAATCGCACGATCAAAGCGGATATCACCAGATGTCTGCAGCAGACGCATATCTGCGGGGACTTTGTTTCCGACACTGATCTGCACGATGTCGCCGGTGACAAGGTCCGTGGCAGGAAGACGCACCAGCTTTCCATCACGCATAACCAAGGCCTCCGATGGTAGCAGACCCAAGATCGAGTTCATCACCCGCTTGGTTGACCAATCTTGGAAGGCCGAGAAACTGGCTTGCAAGACGATGACGATGATGACCAAGACAGCCATCGCAAGATTAGTGGGCGAGGGCGGGTTGCTGAGAGGCTGCCAGCAGATGAAGAAGATAATCACACCAACCCACAGAACCGAACAGAACCCGCCGAAGACGTAGAAAAAGATCTTTTTCCAGTAGTTCTCCCTGTGTCGGGCAATGACGTTCTTTCCATCCCGAGCAATACGGTTGGCAGCAGCGCTGTCGCTCAACCCAGTGCGCTGGTCGACATTGAACTCTTGAAGCAGTTTTTCCTGGGTGATTGTGTGGAAGTCCAGGCTCTCGAAGTAGTCCTGGTCGGGCAACTTCTCCTTGGTGGGTTCAGCGACGACCTCCTTCGGGGCATTCTGGGACTCTGAGATCTGGATTGAGAGTGTGCGGAACTCGATGGGGAAACCGGCATTTGCTGCAGTGACAGTCTGGCTGGTGCTCCGAGTGCTGTGGATGGTATCTCGGCTGATAGAGCGAGTGCGGGTGAACTGAGCCGGCTGGTAGATAGATCGCATCCCCTCCACATCAATGGTTGAAGAGTCCTCGAAGGTGACGCGCGCGAGGCGTTCGGCGCGATCGTCATCGTCGTCCTGGACCTCATTACCCTCCGCCTCGACATCAAGGTCAGGCTTGCCGTGGGAGCCCCTGGGGTCCATTTTGGTGATAGCTGCGGTGGAGGGAAGAGCGAAAGAGGAATCGAAAGAAGATGAGCAACTAAACACCCAGGACGGGCACGGCAGGGAAGGAACAAGGACAGGAGAGAAAGGATATCAAAAGAGAAGCTGCTGCGTGCGACTCCGGGACTTATGTAGGTAGACCTGGGTCTACTAACTAGAAAAGGTCACCTCAGTTAAAAAAAGAAGAAAAATTTTATAGTTCCTCGTGCCATGCAAGCGGAGCCACGCGAGAGGCACATTCCTACGAAGCGACAGGTACGCGAGAACTATACGAGCTACTCATACCTGGATCAGGTACCGGACATCAAGCAGGTACCCACTTGACACACTTTAAACACAGATGGGAAATCGCGCATGACAGCCTGGAATGATATACATCCGTTACCGTTATATTACCGCTGATATCTCCTCAATCCAATTATAATGCATGGATTTACATCTCTGACGATACATGACAAGTCTCCCGCGATCCAGCCCTACCTCTGTGCTATGGTACTTGTGCGATAAATCCCTGGGATCACGGAGGCGGCGACGGAAAAATTTTTATTGCCCTGAGCATCATAGTTTAGAAAGAAAGGGCGCATGAAATCTCTGCCACTTAGCCACACCGAAAGCGTGGGCGGGAGGCAGCCAGAATAAATCCCCGGGTCACCATGCGCGATTTTTCTTTGCCACAGGACTCTGCCGAACTACTCAAATCCAGACGTGCGACACTAATATCCCACCCCAGGCTCCCGAATTATAATAAGAAAAGATTTTCTTTCCCCGAGCTCGCTAGTTGCGGGAGCCGACGGTTTCATTCATCGTGAAAAATCGCTCGGCTGCATGGTCATCTGGAGAGGCGCGATCATCGTGAGCGGTTTGCCGTGTCCAATCGCGGCATTTCCACCCGACGCAAGCGCCGCCTCCGATTTGTTTCATTTTGGTAACATTCGTTCATGGCTTGAAGTACCTGTGTGCGGGCAGGGTTTCTCTCGTGATTCCTCTCTCCTTTCTGTCTTCCATGGGACGCGGGGGGTGGGTTACGAGGGATATACTCGTCGCCCTACACCGCTAAGGAACAATGTTTATAAAACAGTGCCGCTCAAGGCCTCTGTGGACTAAAAAAAAAAATTACTTTTTCTCTTTCAATTTTATCTGACTACGTTGTTCATGAAGGACAGACCTCACCACAAGGACACCTGGACAGGTATCGCGGTGCATAGACCTGACCAGGCCGCTGCCCACCACCATTACTTGACGCGCCCAAAGCATTCTCTAGCATCGCAGGACTTGAATGACGCACCTTCAAGCAACTCAAAACGTGGTTGGCCTATTTTTGGCGTTGAGCATCGGCCCAGTCTGGCGTCTATGTCGACAGACCGTCAACCATTAATGAGATCGGAGACGTGCTCGTCTATGGCATCTCACCAGATTATCCCATCGCCCCAGCGCTCTTTCACGGACAAATATGGCCGGTGTCTTGAGATCTTGCATTACGGCACCAACTCCACTGTCCGTCTTCACAATTACAGGACGGAAGGAGGCAAACTAAAGCAGCTTTTCGCTGTCAAAGTTTACCGATATAACATCCTAGACGCATCAAGCCCCGTGTCGAATTCCTCCTGTGATACCTCATCCATTCCCAATGTGCACCCTCGTCACCCAAACATCCTCTCGATAACCGACCTCCTCTACAATGAACGCTCGGAGCTTTGTCTGGTCATGCCCTACTGCACAGGGGGTGATCTTCACGAACTACTCTCCCGCAACGGTCCCCTTCCAACACCCGAGGCCGATTGCCTAGTCGCTCAGATCCTCCGCGCCCTAGACTTTCTGCACCAGCACGACACAGCACATCGCGATGTCCGGCTCGAAACAGTACTATTGACCAAAAATGGAGCAGTCAAGCTGGCCGGCTTTGGAGACAGTCACGTCCATCGCATATGGTCAGAATGTGCCACGCCACGAGAACCCGACGACACCCTACCTTCGGACCGCCCACATCCCCAATCCTCAGTATCATGGTCCTTTTCTTGGATGTTGTCGTCTTTTTCCCGCTCCAGTCCCCCTCGGCGTGCCTCAGTAGACACTACAAGCTCCACTGCCTCATTCCCTGGCATGAGTCTCCCTTATACATCCCCAGAAGCATTCCGTTCTCGGTCACGTCGCTCTCCCAGCGAAGACAGCGATGAAGATGCGCATTACTTTGACCCCCGTCCGACCGATGTGTGGGCAGCTGCAATAATCTACATGACTCTGGTAACTGGCCGCCTCGTATGGCGCAGTGCGCGTCCTGACCGCGAAGATTCGAGGTACCTGGAGTACCTGCAGGGTCGGTATGCGGAAGATGGATACCCGCCGATTGAGGCTTTAGGAAACGTAAATCCGCCGAATTTTTGAGTGCCTTCGAAAGTACTTTTCACTGACCGGGATTACAGAGACGTCGAAACGCCATATATGCAATGTTACACCCCAATCCACGGAGACGCATAACAACAAGGAACATGCTGCGTTCGGAATGGATGAGTGGTGTATCAGTATGCGAGGCTGGAGACAAGGGCTATTGATACGTTGTAGTTCAAGGGTGTAACAGGAATCATGTCATACAAATAGCTTGATCGTTTCCTTCGTAGGTCGGATTTACCCTCCGACGTAGGGCTGTCAGCAACCTACTCGGCCACTAACAAACTCCCGGTCTTCAATCTCGCACATAATTTACACAATTCAATTTAAACTCCAAAAATTGCATGTCGTAATGTATTCCCCTACACGGTTCCCGCCGCAAGCACATACCCGCCATCAACAACAACGGTCTGCCCATTCAAGTACTGATTCGTCGCCGCAAAGAGAACCGTGCTCGCCATGTCCTCGTCCTTGCCCGATCTCGCCGCGGGCACCTTTTGCTCATACTTCTCCTTCGGAATAGCACTCTTCTGCTTTTCATCGCTCTCATTAGTGGTCATCTCACTAGGGAAAACACCCGGTGCGATATTATTCACGCGGATCCGCAAGTTAGACGTCATAACCTCGTGCGCCAGCATCTTGGTCAGATGAATCGCCGCAGCCTTGGAGGCGTTATACGCGAAATGGTGCTGGGAGACCTTGACGATTCCCGAGATTGAGGTTATGTTGATGACGGTACTGGACCAGCCGCGTTCTTGTTCGGAGCCCTTTGAGAGAAGAGGGAGGAATGCAGTTGTCATGAAGAATAGCTGGGATGTGTTTGTGCGGAAGACGCTGTCCCATTCTTGCATGTCACCTGATGCGTCTTCGAAGAGGGATTTGCGAAGCTGTTGGGGATCTTCATGCTCGGTCGTTTGAGGTTGGCTGGAGATTCCGGCGTTGTTGATGAGGATGGAGAGGTATTTCTCGCGCTCGGAGATGGTTTGGACTAGGCTGTCGATTGATTCTTTGTTGGTAATGTCGGCTGTGATGGGAATGATCTCTCCGGGCACGTCCGCGCTGTAGAGCTCTGCGACTCGGTCGAGCTTCTCTTTGGTACGGCCTGTGATGTAGACCTTCGCACCGTTCACAGCTAGTGCTTGTGCTGCCATGAGGCCGATTCCGGAGCCGCCACCGGTGATGAGGGCCACTGGATAAAATTAGAATGTATTTTGCCGAGGGGAGTTGAGGTCTTGGTTACCTTTGCCCTTAACGTTGAATAAGTTCTCCAATCTGAAGTTCTGGTTGCTCTGTTTGGCCTCCATCTTGATTTGATCTGAGACGAATCTTCGTTGCGGGGTATTAATCGAAAGGTTATCTGATGATGAGAATATTTTCAATGGTCTTCTAGGGAAGAGAGTGGTAGGTGGTTTAGAGAAATAGGATTTGCGAAGCTGCAGGCCACTTTGCCTTATAAGAGGACGCGACCGGGCAAACATGGCTCCCTGGTCAAAATTGAGGTAATGACCGAACATGCAAGATATTATGTGATATTAAGCATGGTTTGGCCTGAAAATCCGGTTGTGATGCCCAATGAAATTGCAAGTAACCTGTTATTGGGAAGCTGCAGAGGTGATACACTCATCCTTAGGTCATAGTGCTTGCCCAATAAAATCAGCTACGTGGAGCTAAGAATCACGAACACGGTAATTTGAATATGCCAAGTTCCTTGCAGGGTCTATTTCCGTGCAATAAAACGTCAGTTTGGACAGGTCGAAGCTAATATCAAGTAGGAGCAACTATATCAGGATGACGTCAAGAACCACTCCAACAGTACTGTACTGTAGATAGTGACCCACCCACGTTGGATGACCAATACCCAGCATGAAAAGATATTCAAGGGTCTCATGCTTACTTTGATCGTCTTCAAAATGCGATTTTGTCTTTCCGAAAACATCGGCCATGAAAATGCCAGCATCGATTGGATTGGTCTGGCTGGCAACTATGTACAAATGTCCCGCACCTTTCGACATCACAAATATGAATAATACAATGCTCAACGCATGATGAATACACTATTTCTTCTCTATAGCTTTGCCTTGGCTCCCACGGCCTCACTAATGGGCGCAACCTCGACCATCATTTTACCGGTGTTCACACCCGCATAAAGGTCCACAAGGGCCTTTGGTGCGCCCTCCAATCCGCCAGGCACGATGTGCTCCTTGCGCTTGAGCTTACCCTGCGATAGCCAGGAGGCCAGCTCCTGCAACGCAGCCGGGTACTTCTTGGCAAAGTCGAAGACAATGAAGCCCTTCATGGTAATTCGGTGCGACTACAAGCGTCGTTAGCAAGGTCCTATCTTCAATCAATACTCCGAGAAAGCTTACAATGACGTTCATGAAGTTAGTAGGGCCCTGCGGCTTGGCAGAGTTGTATTGACTGATAGCACCGCAAATAGCGAAGCGCGCGTCACGCGCAGCGCGAGCCAAACAAGCATCAAGGATCTCGCCACCGGTGTTGTCAAAGAAGACATCGATATACTCAGGAGTAGCCTCCTTGAGCTGCTTGCGCCAGTTGGGATCCTTGTAGTTGATCGCAGCGTCGAACCCAAGCTCCTTCACCAGGAACTCGCACTTGTCCGGGCTACCAGCCAGGCCAACGACACGCTTGGCTCCCTTGATCTTCGCAATCTGACCAGCAACCATACCCGTTGCACCCGCAGCACCGGAAACCACCACCGTATCGCCTGGGCGGAGCTGACCGACCTCGGTCATTCCAAAGTATGCCGTCAAGCCAGTCACGCCCAGCACGGACATGGCATCTGTGGGGCGACCACCGGCTGGAATAGCCACCTTCTCCACCTCCTTGGCTCCCAACACGGCATACTCCTGCCACCCAGAGTATGCGACGACCCAATCGCCGGTCTTGAACTTCGAGCCGAGGTCACTGCCCACAGCGACGACCTGAGCGATGCTTTGTCCGCGCATGACGGCGCCGAGCTCGACGGGTGCAATGTAGGAACGCTTGGCTGTGAGCCATTGGCGCATAGCCGGGTCGAGGGATAGGTAGTGCACACGCACGAGTAGCTTGTCGGCGGGCACATTGCTGGGCCGGGGAACGGTATTGACGCGGAAGGTGCCCTTGCCGGAGAGGGAGGGGTCGATGGCCGGGGCCGGGGTGGTGTTATAGAGTATCTGCTTGTACGACATCTTGGCCTTTTCCTAGGTGTGTAAAGAGAGGAAAGAGCGAGAGCAGAGAGGGAAATAAGAATGAAGAGTACCGCGGACTTTGGAGATCGTGAGATCGGAGCAACCCCAGATTAGGAAAATTGCCCCACTGGGGATGAAGAGTGTACCTCGGTTCACCCTAGAGACGGACTATCAGTAAACGGTCGGATTATTCAACAAGTATTTGTGATTGAAATCTGTTTTTATGTTGTTTCATAACAGTAGAGGCACGTATAAAATCTACCACAAGTTCCGAAGAGCGATCGCCGCCCGTATTCAGCATGATGTCATCGCTCTCAGCCGCGAACTATACAAACTCCCTCGACTTTGCCTCAGGGTAAATTCGTCGTAGATTCTCACAGGTTAGCGCGGGTTACTAAAGTGATCAAAAAGCATCATTAGTGAAATCCTTGTCTCCTTCTTTCTCCTCGGGCTCTTCGTGGAACGATCCAGATTCGCCATCCAGCTGGTCCAACGCAGGGCCAATATAGTTCTTCCGGCCCCATGCCCCATACCAGACACCCGAAATGGACACGAATCTAATGAAAACAACAGAAGCATAGTTCATCGTGTTTGTCGTGACGGGCACAGACGTTGGCATGGAAAATAACGGGATGGCGAGGAGACACCAGGCTGAAAAGAAGCACAAAGCTTAGCATGTAGAAGAGGAGCGAATGCGGCAAGTTGGGAAACAGCAAAAGCGATGTACCACTTACCGATGCAAATGATGTTGCAGAAGTAACCGAGTGATCCGAGATTGAACGAGCCACGCTGGATATCCTGACGGCCGCGAAGAATCAGAGACACCGCAACAGGGCATGCGTAGCTGAGGGTTAGAAAGATGACACCGACGCCGGAGAATGCGTTAAAGGCAGCGCTTGAGCCAAAGTATATCAATCCCAGAAGCAGCTCAACGACCATTCCTAACAGCAACGAGTTGAGGGGAATCTGGAAGCGCTCGTTAACCGTTTTCCACCACCTAGAGCCGGGGATGGCACCATCCCGTGCAAATGCCCAAGTTGCTCGTGATGTAGCAGTAACACATCCCAGTCCGCAAATCAGACCAAGGACAATCAATGGAATAAGGAGACAAAAGGCCCCTACGGAATTTCCGGTGGCAGACTTCACAATAGTCGGCACTGGCTGCGCGGAGGCGATATTGGCTAGCATAGGAATATCGGGAAGCACGAATGCGATAGGTAACAGGTATGCAATGCCGGCCAAGGCATTTAAAAGGATACCACCAACGATTGCTCGAGGGACTTGAATTGCTGGTTTCTGTAATATTCTGCCATCTAAAAACCTTGCATTCCAACATAAGATACGCGTGGTCTGCACGCGTAGAAGGTCAGAGAAAGTTAGGCGGTGGAGAAGGCGGTCTAGAAGGAGGTTTCAAACTTTTGTTACGCCACTGCAGATACGAATTCTTCGAAACAGGGAATACTAGTACATTAGGCTGGAGGGCTCCACCAGGAAAGGCAAGCAGACTACGAACACGGCAGAAGTCAAGCCATAGAATAGATACATTGCCAAAATTTGGGGATCGGATATCGGCGTACAACTGAGCATCTGTTGCATAAGGTCCACAGATCATTTACTCTTGATTGGTTCATCGGCGTTAGCCTCCAACCTGACCCGCTTTTATCGGCGATAATTGGGCACGCCCGAAACGGAGATAGAAACGCTAATATGATTGGGAATTGTAGTGTTGTCCATTGAATCCAATACGTCATAGTTGTCATAGGGCCTACGGTAAATCATCGAGGAGGGCCTTTTGCCGTGGCATAACGCCGATGACCTTGGGTTATTTAAACCTGGCGAAATTTGCCGCTTAAGAACATCAAGATCTTTTCAATCAAACCTCATAGCCAGCTTTCATTGAATCGAATTCAAGATGCCTTCCCACGGTCAATATACCACTGAAAAGGTCAAATATCTCTCTCATGGGGAGACTGTCAGTGGAGTCCTTTTTCGTCCCACGGATGTCACTAAACCACCCGGTATTGTTATCACCGGCCCATATTCTTTTGTGAAAGAACAAGCGCCGCTGCAATACGCAACCCGTCTCGCAGATGAAGGCTACGCCGCGTTGATCTTCGACCCCCGCACGGTTGGTGAAAGCACCGGGCAACCCCGACGACTGGAAAATCCGAAAATGAAAAACGAGGACATGGTCGCAGGACTTGACTACCTATCGACACGCGGCGATGTCAATCCAGCCCGGCTCTTCTTAGTCGGGATCTGCCAGGGCGGCCCTGAATCTCTGGATGTGGCATCCTACGATGGCCGGGTTGCAGGCGTGGCCTCAGTCTCGGGATACTATCGAGACCATGAAACCGACATCTATATGATTTGCGCTGGGTGTGTTGCGTGGACGCCTGGCGCGGATATCGCGGCGATGAAAATGCCCACTCCCGAACAGGGAGAAGCCCTGTACAAAGCACGACTCGAGCGAGCTAAAAAAGCCCGTGAATTGTACGACAAGACCGGGGAAGTGGTGTATCAACCGCTGGTTGATCCGACGCCCGCTGACCCGAATACCGGGTCACTAGCCGGCCTTCCAGGACCAGTTGTTTGGTCCTGGTATGGGCCGTGGACATTAAAGGGATTTGAGAACCGATACGCGGTGATGAGCGACTTGGACCACTTTGACTATACCACCGTTCCTGGCGTTGCGAAGCTGAACAAGCCGACGCTGGTGATCCACGGCGACAACTGTATGAATGCGGCGGCTGCTAAGCGCCACTACGAGTCCATTCCCACAAGTCAGAAAAAGTTGATCTGGAACAACGAGGTTTCCCACTTCCAGCACTATGACCAGCCGGATTGTGTTGATCGCAATGTGGGAGATATTGCGGCCTGGTTTGCGGAGATCAAATAGAATGCGATTGACAAGAGGTACATTTCAATGATTAAGCTCGTTCATCACACCCCAGAAGCTAGCATCTGAGAAGGTGCCTTCAAATGTCCAATTATCTGTAACGTTCACAGTAAGCGGGTCCAAGGGCAAAACATCCGGTGTGTCCATGAGGGGGATTTGGGTGCTTGAAATATGATCGAAGAACAGGTCATGGGTTGGGCGCGGAGGTAAAACAGCATCAAAGGAGAATTCCGACGGTGCCCCATTAGAGTAATATGTATCGCTGTTGTGAGAGATACATTTTGAGTTGCTGTAAAGTGCCCTAGTGTCCTCGGTTTCCGAGATGCCGAGCCGACGTCTTAGGCGATGGTACAAGCTGCAGACAACGCCATGTGCTGAGTTTGCCATGGAGTTGGATTGACCAATGATGTCCAGCCTTTGTATCCCTCGTTCAACAACATTGATACACTCTGTTCCTCTTTCGTGATCCTCATTCGGAAAGACGAGACAGAGTGCTGCAATGAGAACAATCGCATCAAAAGAAGCGTAGACCGGATTAAAAACCTTGCGCTGGTGCGGCTCCGACTGTTGAAATAGTCGTTCCTGTGCATGAAGAATGGATATTCCGGCTTTGACGGCTTCTGTGCGACTGTTGGCAACAGAGAATATGAACGGTCGATGAAGTGTGAGAAGAACAAGGTGGATGAGCGAGAACAGTCCATCTCGGGCAACGGGTAGCCATTGGCACCCGTGTAATCGATCAAACTTCGTATCTGGGTTTTCTAGACGGCACCAAGAAGGTAAAAATTGTATATTGTTCTTGATTGCGGCGTGAATACGTTCGACCGTGAGGTAGTCTTGGGAGTTAGCACCGTTGTGTTCCATTTGGTGAATGTCCTTGAAATATCGATAGGCCACATTATAGCCGGCCAGGATGATGTCAAATGGTCGAGGAAGATCAGTCTCGCTTTGCCAATGCGAGAATAATTCTCGCCGTCTTTCGTCGTCTTCGATAGTGTGAGAGAAGCGGTCTATTTGGAGATCGGTTGCAATCGGTCGACCGAGAACGACAGCCATATGTATGTCCCAAATATGCAAGACCACCCAAATTTTGTGACCAACGAGACTGACATCGTGTCTCTCGCGCTCCGGCTCAACTGGAGATTGCTCGGATACAATTCGCCCGGTATGTAGGCCAATTTCCTGTGCATCGCGGATTGTTGTCCCAAGCGTATGCCAGGCTTCAACAACTTTGCCGCTACTTTTCAAAAAAGAGGCTCGTAGCAAACCTGCTTGTACCATGGCGATTTTGATATTCTTTTTCCCCAGAAGTGCGAGTAACTCAGCGCCTGTATCGCTATATTCGGCCCCAAGATCATGGAAGGTCATACCAGCCATGGTCATGAGAGAATTGATAATTACATCATGAGGAGGGTGAAAGAGAAGGGCGTGTGCAAGGATTTGAAACAGTAGTGCTGGAAACACAAGGGTTTCTAGCGCCAATCTTCCGAAGCTCACTTGAAGGTCAGAGTATGAGATCTTTCCCCATGCCTCTAGGCGTTCTCTAAAGGATTCCTCGTCAAGCAGGTCATACTGCCAATTAATGCCGAAGAAAAACGTTTGGACCAAGATGTCGATGCAGGCCTGCGAAGGCAGCTGGCGGACTAATTCTTTATACTTACGGTCGGCATCGTTTCGGAAAGAGGGCTGATTCGTGGCAGGGAAGTCAACTAAACTAGTATCCTGACCTCCATATAGCTCTGCGGTCCGCAATAGGCTCATGGAGTTGTGATTGCCATGGCTGGAATATCCAAAGTCTCGGATCTTGTCCTGAAGCTCGCTAGGCCACTCAGGGCCCGGTCTAGCAGGGGGGCACAGATGCACCATATTGGTGCTACAGCTGATTTCCGAGGGACCACTCTCGCCGGAGCTGCTTTGTGTGGCTTGGCCTCCCTTCGGTCTAGCGTCATAATGGCAAAGATCCTGCGGTCGCCAATTAGACCAAAGGCAATTTTGCGTTTAGAAGTATGAATACCTGCGCTTCTCGCTTGATGCAGTTGCTACATGGATACTGGCGGTCGCACTATTCAGTCTTTAGTAGGTTTCTTACTTAGCTCTTTCGTGGGGCTCCCTACTTTTTGCTTGCGCCGATGGCATTCGCTACAGGACACGACAATTCTCCTCCTTTCTTGAGGTTTATGTTGTTCGGTAATGAAGTGTGTCTTTGACGGGGGTAGCCTCGGTGCCATCTTGCACAGAGATTTTAGCAGTTCTCGGATTGTGGTGCTGAAAAGAATAGATGTCAGGGTATGGAGGGGCGCTTAGGTAGAAGTGCATTAGGAGTTTGGTGTAAAATACGGTATTATAAGTAATGTGGTCGAAAGGATTATTTACGCCTTATCCTAATACGCATTAGCGTTGTTTCGGGTACGGGCCGAGAAACAAAGTGTGTGTGTTTAAGGGATAATCTGTTTTCGAACTCTACTGTAAAGGAAACTATTGGGGAGAAATTAAAGGGTCGCAGTTGCGGGTGACGCATTAGACTCGGAAACAGTACGGATGTCGACTCCCGCTAGGCACCCGAACTCATAAAATTTCCTTTCTTACGCCACTGTCCAAACTAACAATCATCCCAGGTATCCTCATCTGGTTCTGCTGGACCTGCATCGGCATGGGCTACACTAAGGTAATGTTACCGAAATCCCTCAAAGTAGTTGCCTTTTTAAGTTTAGTCCCCAATCTCCAATTAACTCTGATGCTACGGGGCTACAAGGAATACGGACGTTTCGGTAGGAATTGAGTGATTTATAACGAAATCTAAGCGAGTGGGGCATGTCTGTGCGTCTTATTTCCCTCGAAACACTATTCTTTTAAGGGATTGGATATCCATACTTTCTAGTCTTGTAGCACTTGGTCATATAGTTCTTTCTGGGGTGAACGAGTATGTGGCATATCCAATCCACCTTCACCTTTGCAACCATCTTTCAATCATGTCAATATATGAAGAAATGCACCGGGGGGGAGACCACGAGAAATGTGATCCAAGGTTCTAGATTAGGCGCAACCAATGTTTTGTGTCTGCTCCAGGCTGAGATCACTGATATAACATCGCATCGCTATGCTCTTCCCTTTTCTATGATGCAGGGCTAATATTTAAAGTATATACATCTTCAACTTCACGTCTAATGGAAACTCCACGGATATCCCGCTCCCAAGGTGAAGGATTTTACATAGACTGCTTTCCCTGCGTCTCAATGGGCAAGAATATCATCGCCACGAAAGATGCCAGAAGCAGTGCACCCGCAACATAAATCGGGGTAACCGGATCAGTATTCGCATAGATGCCAATAATCGGAGCCATGAGTCCCGCAATACGGTTCAAACAACTGGCGATACCAGATCCGGTACCACGGTTCGGCGCAGGGAACACTTCGGGCGTGTAGGCGTACAAAACACCGTACATGATCATCTGGAAGAAAGATTCCAACGCAGAGCATACGAGCTGAATGTTAGGGTCCTTGGAAGCTGTGAAGCAGAAGAGAAGGACACCTGTGATCGCGGTCGAGGCGGCCATTGTGCCCTTGCGGCCGATGTACTTGACATCGACTAGGAACCAGGCGAGGAGTGGGCCGGGGATACCGCAGACGGCGGTGATGGCGTAGTTGCGGTAGGTCTCGTAGGTGGTGGAGTTGGCGCTTAGGTATTGGGGGAGGAAAGCGTTGAACAGGGTGTAGCCCATGCCGATGCAGGTCCAGCAGAACCAGATGAGGATAGCTGGGATGATTGTTAGTTTGGACAGATTGTAGACAGATTGTAGAGAGAGATGGATACATACTGGAAATGCCAAGGCGCTTGGTCCTGAACAGCGGCTTAACTTGCTGGACCGAGAAGCGCTCGAAGGATCTCTTGATAATCTCGATGGTGGACAGAGATTGTTTTTTGTTCACTTCCGGGTATCCGCCGATCTCGTTCAAAATTTCTTCGGTGAGCCAGGTGGTGGTCTTGTTCTTGTAGGCAATGCCCTGAACTGCAGCCACGGCCTCATCCTGACGACCACGGGACACGAGGAATTTGGGCGATTCGTACAGGGTGAAGAAGAAGAAACGGCAAAGGAACATGACAAAGGTAATGGCACCTAGCGTGAGGATAAGGTATCTCCAGCCCCAGTTGTCGGCCTTGGTGCAGTTCGCAGCCGTTTCACACGAAAAGTTAGGGATGAAAGCCCAGGCGAGCATACTGGCAATCAGAGTACCGACAGACCACCAGGTGGCCAGTCCACTCAAAATGTTGGCCGAGTTAGGAGGCAGGCATTCCAGGAAGATGGCGGCATCGACGGGCAGGTTTCCACCGACACCAAGACCCAGGCAGGCATACAGGGCACAAGTTCTGCATTCGGCGTCAGTATGAGTATTCCATGCTCCGTCTCAAGAGAAAAATACCCAACCCAGTTGGGACCACCGCCAGCGGCGAGACCAAAGGTACCACAAATGCCCAGAGTCATGTTGAAGGCAGGGCGACGACCAATGGCATCGGAAGCAATACCCCAGAAGGAAGCACCAATAATCAAACCCACAAAGAGCGAGCATGTCGCAAACCGAGATTCGGTCTCAGAGACACCGAATTCCATGGAGACAGGGGTCAGAGTGAGCGCAACACCCTACACATGATTAGCTGAAAATTTCAAGTCAATTTAGAATTTCAGCCATACCTGCAACCACAGACTGTAGCCAAAATACATTAGCAGCTGTTTCTGTACTTAAGTGGTGAACGTCTGCTTACTTGTCGGCAACCCAGCCCATTCCACACAGAATGAACAGTCCCCATTGATAGCGACCCATACCAATGTCCTGAACAGCTCTGTTAATGACCTTCGCTTTGCCTACGAAGCAATGCCAAATTAATTCGCATGCTCAACAAGATAGGTTAGAAGCCAATGCCAATTCCAGGAAATCAGCACGGCTGGATATGATATACATACGATCATAAACAGTATCGTGGCCGGTAGCGGCAATACTATCTTCAACTTCGGCTCGGAGAGCTTCCAAAGTCAACGTGGTACCGTGAGCACCGCTAGCACCCTTTTCCTGGAGGGAAGCTCGGTCAGGGCTGCTGTCGGATTCGTCTTTGGGCTTCTGCGGCGCAGAGCCTTGGGCGAGAGGCACCACGACCTCGGGGAAACCCCGGCGGTCTTTGTTGGTGAAAAGGTCTTTCCAGTTAGGCATAATGAGCAGGAGCTCGAGATCGCAGCAGGGCTATGATGCGTGGCAGAGTAACCGGATGGAGCGACGGGACGGTGAATTCAATGCTACTCGCGTGGTCGAACTATAGGTCTTGCGTTGGGGCCCAGGCCTAATGTTTCACTTCGGATACTGCTCGTTAAGATTGACGCGCTGGATAATTGAAGTTGGAGGTGCAAGGGCTGGTAGGATCCGATTCGGGAAGCTGCGATGGGACAGTCGACTCGAGATGGTGCAACGGGGTTGAAATGCGAGCTATTTGTTGCTACTGTCGGAGTATCGAAGTGCCAGACTGCTGAGTGTAGACCAAGTTTCTTTGAAACTATATAACCGGATGTGGCCGTCAGCTGGAATTTTCCGAGGTGCGACGAGATGGCGTCCTGTAATGCCGAGAGAAATAGCGAACACAGCGAAGTGGTCTGCTGTTGAAGGTGTAGAGGGGATGGAGAGAGGTGTCGTCTTTGCGGAGCGAAGACAGGCCTGAAGTGTCAAAAGGTGTGTGGGACTAAGGGGAGCACCGGGAAGGGATCAGGTAATATAGCAGGCCATAGTAATCATATGTTTTAAGATCAAATAAAAAATCTTTTCGCAATTATGGACTTAGATAATAGGAACCGTTCGGGAGAGTACGTGCGAAAATTCAGCCAACCACGCCACACCCATGCGGCCCTATGGGTCGGGGTTCAGCCTCTGATGCGTTGCGTGCACCTTAATTGCCCACTTTGACCCACTTTAATCCACCACGAATTCCCAGTTTAGCAGGCCGACTGAACTTCGTCTTGTGCCGACTTGCCAAGAACGTTAAGCGAGCATAATCCAGTTCACTTTTTCCGGGCGGCTTTCGACATAATTTCATAGCAGAAGGGGTTCTAAGACGATTCTATTTCGCATTGGTTCGCAGGTGTTTTCCTAGAGACGGGTATAAATGCCAGACCCTGGAAGAGCCACACATTCGGAGTCTGCCGTCGTTAACGTGGAACCCCAAGTCGGCCGAGGCAACGTCGTATGATTCCATATTTTATATCCGAGATTGGGGTCTGCGGACCTGGCCGACCCCCAGGGAGGATTTTATGTCTCATAATGGGAATTCAAACTTAGATGAAAGCGTGAAAGCAAGCCAATCGCCAGCTGTTCGAATAATGTTATCTATCTTAACCATTTTTATTAACGCGGCGTGCATATCCAGTCAACCCAGTCGAATATCTCGGGTCACTCAAGGCCAATCAAATATAAGGGTTTCATGATTTGGAATATTCCACAATCCTCTGGGTTGCAATGAGATACAAACCTTGGAAGTATCTAGTGCTCGGTTTTTTTGGTGTAATACTACTGTCGGTAACTCTCCGGCCATCCTTTCTTTATACAATTTGGAATCTTTCTGACGCTCATTTGGCTCATCCTCGTTTAATTCGGCTTTGAAGCGGTAATGGACTCCTATTCGGACAAGCACTCATTCGATCCTCACCATTGGTTTTCTTGAGAATATTGCAGTTTGAATATCACAACTTGTGTAGAAGTGTTAAGGAATGCTCTGTGGCGGGTAAGGTGGCGGGCTTATGTAGAGTGGTTAGTTCATCCGGTGATCAGGAAGCCGATCGCCTTCCGCAGATCAGTGGTGAACAATAAGTTCTGCAAATTGCATCCGGTTTCTCTGGTTCTAATATCGGAAACTGTAGTTCGTGATCTGCGGACAGATAGCCTGTATCTACTCCACGCTGGGTGTGCGTTCATCATGACGTCACTGTTCGCAACAGCAGGAACTATATAGTTCGCCTCAATACGCATTCATCGTAACTCCCTCATTATAATCTTAATATCGCTGAACTATTGTGAATTATCATCTATTAATACAATGAGCACATACAACAATCAAGCGGCAGAGGCACATCGCCAGGACGCCATGGCTGGCGCCCGCCGCCCTTCCTATGGATCCTCGACCGGGACGCCCGGCTTCCCTACGGGCTTGCATGACACACAACCGCAGTACGATCCTGCCACATCAGGGGTCAACCCGGCCACCGGAGCGAAATATACAAAACCATCTGCGGTTGGATCCCACCCGTCCAACAGCTATGACCAGGGCGGGCAGATTGCAGGCACTCATATGCCTAGTAACGCGCCGCAACCCCAAATGGTTAATCAGGCGACGGCGGACTCGAACGCTTCCGGTGACAAATTTGCCCGAAAGGGCGAGGATTTTGGTCGCAAAGCTCAAGGCGTGATGGCGGGTGTACATGTAGGTTCCCTTCGGCTATATAATTACCGTGGTTTTTTGAGGACCTCGATGACTTCCAGGACGATCTAACATTACATAGGGAGCCGGAGAGTCGCTACGTGGAGCTCTGACCGGAGCTGTGGATAGAGCCTTTGGAACTACGGATGGCGCAGAGCGCAACGAAGAAATTGCACGACGGGGTGAGCGTGAGATGCAATCGGGCGAGTTCACGGGGGCCCGTACGGGAAGATGATTTGTTAGTTGGAGACGGGGATGCGAAAACGATTTTAATGCTTGGCAATGCTTGGTTCTAGGTCTTACGTGGGATAGTGATATATTACTAGGTACATTTTGGCGATAGTGCGGATTACTTCTCAGTAGTCTAATCCTTTGGGTCGAGGACGATGTCATCGCCGATCGCGGCTGCACCAAGGTGGAAATTAGGACATCGATCTCCCGGGGTCAAACAACGATGCGTTTGTTTATTATTCAAGAAACCATAAGCAGAACTGGATTCCGAGTGCTTAGACAAGCTGAGCTGCTTATTTGCACGTGTTGACAATCGACCGAGTTCTTCCTCTTTCCGGGAGAGCCGGCTGTGAAGGCTGTGCTGTGGAACCCGCTTCCAGTCCAGCTTTATAAAGTGGACGCCCGCACTTGATCCCACCGTACTGTTCATAATCGAGAGCTCTGCGTTGTACAGTTCGCCGCAGAGCCCCTGGACCCCACGATTGATTGCATCATATATGGACTGAGCCCTGTTTCCGCCGTTGCACTCGCACACGTATCGTACGACCTAATGCCCCGACCGAGTCGATCCTGTCCCGACCCTATACCATGACCTCAATCTCCGCCGACCGTCCGAATAGGACGGATCCCGCCGGCACGGGGAGCGCAGAGACCTCCAATCGCCCACAGAAGCTGCAAGAGTCGTGGACGTCTGAATCCTCGGGGAATGCGGTCGCATCCGAGTCACCTCTGCAGTACTCGTCCTTTTCCAGTTCCGACAGCGACGAGCCGCTCCGACCTTCCAATGACGTGGACGAGGATGACGCCGGCGACGTGGTTGGGGTCAGCATCGGGCGCGCTCAGAGCCGCATGAAAGCTCGCGCAACGCCCGCCGAAGAAAAAACCCGAGCGTTGGAACAGAACGGCGAATATTTTTCGGCGATCCCAGATCCCGTCAGCGAGGATGGCTTGTTCATTTCTCAGATCACAGCCGAACCTGAGCAGGTGGAGCCAACGGTTCAGACTCAAGTGCCGGCCTCCCATCCGTCTCAAAGAACGCCAGCGACGCATCCTGCCGCCCCCTCCGTGCCGGTGGACCGCCGGACGCCCAAAGGTCCCCACACCGACCATCACGAGGCTAAAGAGAGCGGTAATCAACGGTCCAGCTTCACCCGTTCGCTGTTGAAGACTTCGTTGCCGCGAAGACCGCGTGCTTGGTCCGGGGAATTGAAGAGGTTCCTGCCGGACTTGGGTTCGCTGGCGAAAGTGCCATCTCTTTCGTTTCGTGGTAATACGCATAACCGACCTCGCAGCCGGACCACGGAAGGCTCAAGCAAACGAATTCCGGGTGTCGATACAAGGTGCACATCGCTAGACCGGAGAAAGCCACCTTCCCCGCGACCAACAAACAATGCTGGGCACGATGAAGATGAAGGAGACGACGCCCGGCCTATTTCAGAGCTGCAGTCGCTGGGCGGCAGCTCAGCTGTAAAACACTCATACTCGAAACGGCCCAGTCTGGCGCAGAAACGACCACCAAGTCTGCGCAAATCATCTTCAGATCAATCTCTTTACTTGCGCGCATCTTCGACCGCATCGTCGCTGGAACAGCGACCGCTATACGAAAATGTACATTCACAGGTCAACAGCCGCTTCAAGGCGATCAAGGATAGCTTGCAGGACTCAAGTAGCCGACTGCTCAGCATGCCCAGCCTGCATTTACAGGATATTCGGGGTGATTGGGCTAATCGGCCCTTCTTCAATGAGAACGGAGGCACAAATTTGAACACTGCAACTGATAAGGGTGCCAAGGTACATGCCGCTATGCCTCCACCTCCACCTCCACGAAACCACCCTCAGTCAACGCATCCAATCCTGGAACAAGCCATGTCAGAACTCACCGGCGATGTCGTGATTTTGGGAGGCTACCGTGGCTCGATCTTGCGGTCTGCTAAGCCGCCACACCGGCAGCTCTGGGTGCCGATGAAGGTTGGGCTGAATCTGCGAAAGGTGGATTTGGAGGTCGGTTTAACTCGAGAGGACGAAGAACGCATGGAGGAGACGATCATCCCATCCGGCGTGCTATCCCATGTCGGTCCTGTGGACGTCTGTCGGCGACTGATGAAGCGGCTGCGCAAATGCGACAACGCCATCCGCGGCGACATGCGCGTCTGGGACTACGGATACGACTGGCGCCTCAGTCCTGAACTGTTATCCCAGAGACTTATCGCTTTTCTGGAACGCTTGCCTTGCAACCGAGGCTCCTCAGAAGGCGCTCTACCAATCCGACGGGGTGCTACGGTGATCGCCCACAGTCTAGGCGGACTCATTACCCGGCATGCTGTGAACCAGCGACCTGATCTCTTTGCAGGCGTCTTGTATGCGGGAGTACCGCAGCACTGCGTCAACATCCTCGGTCCGCTTCGCAACGGCGATGACGTCCTGCTCAGTTCGCGGGTGCTTACCGCACAGGTCAATTTCACCTTCCGTACCAGTTTTGCTCTTCTCCCCGACGACGGTCGCTGTTTCATCGATAAACAGTCCAAGGAAGAATACCGCGTTGACTTCTTTGACCCTAAAAAATGGGAAGAGCACCGCCTCTCCCCCTGCTGTGGTCCTGCTCTGCCCGCAACGTCGGCAGGCAGAGGGTTCAAAGATTTCGCTAGCATTGGCAAGAGGTTTTCGTTAGGTGCTCGAGATGAATTGAATTTCAACGAGCAAGACCTCAACGACCTCAACGACCCCAACACCAGCACAGAAGAGGATACACAAAACCCGCGTCGCGTTGGCCACCTACCCCACGCCGCTACAGATAATATCGCGACATCTAGCTCTGACAAAGTCAGCGAGAAGGTCGGCGATAAAGTCAACGAAACCATCGTCCCAGGCGTCGACGGCCTCGTCGGCCCAGTTCCGAACCCCCGCGGCAGTGCCGGGGCAAGCAGAGCTTCGACAACTAGTACGATCCCACTCGCCGTAGCCATGGAATATCTGCAGCGCACTCTGGCCGAGATCAAGCGCTTCAAGTACGAAATGGACTTCCAGCCTGCCCATCAGATGGAGAACCGCTACCCACCAACAGCCGTTCTATACGGCAAGAGTGTGCCCACGGTCTACGGTGCGCGTGTCTCCTCGCGCGAGGCCATCAAGCAAACAGACGCCTATGACGACCTTGCCTTTGCGGCTGGCGATGGTGTCTGTCTCGCTTCTGCGGCCATGTTGCCACCCGGGTACCGAATTATCAAACATGGATTGGTGAAGAGTGATCGAGGACATGTTGGTTTGCTCGGTGACCTTGAGGGTGTGGGCCAGTGTTTACGGGCTATTATTCGGGGACGAAAAGAAGGAGTCGGTCTTGGGAACTCGAAATCATGATTCCCTCTTACCTTGTGACTTGGGGGTTTTGCATCTGCATTTTGCTTTTTTGATGATACCATCTCTACGCGTCATGATCTTGTTTAGCGAATTAGCTGGGGTCTGTCGACCCCGGGTGTGATTGGAACCTTTGTTTTAGTGTTCTATACTCACGGACGTGACGGAAATTATATATAGAAAAAGAAGATAGAACTGGAGAAGCCATGTATATTAACAGACTCCTTTTTCAAAATCGCTATAAAACCCAAATGCTCTATATACTCTGATTCCAACTGCATTCTTTTGTATTCACAGAATTCCCAAAAAATAAGAAAAAAAACCCCCAAATAAATCATATCTCGAAATCATGAAGAAACTTCGCGATTAAAAGGAGACACTCCATCAAAAATCTTAATCCGTGCGCGAGTTGGCAATGTTTAAGACTAGGATATCCGTAGCCCCGACCTTAATCAGCTCGTCCATGACAGTCGCAATGCGCTTCTTCTCGACCATCGAGCTGATAGCCACCCAGTTCTCCTCCTCGAGCGCGGTGATGGTGGGCGCCCGCTTGCCGGGGGTGATCTTGGCCGCGACAGCCAGTTCGGACCGCGGAATATTGTACTGGCACAGCACGAAGCGCTGGGCGGTGATGACTCCGCGAATGCGCGCGGCAATCAGGTCGAGCAGCTCGTTCTTCGAGCCGCGCGACTTGACCAGCACGGCTGTGCTCTCAACGACGGTGTCGATGGCCTTGAGACCAGCGGCCTTCATGGTCTCGCCGGATTCTAAGAAGTAGTTAGTTTCAATCCAGATGTTGGGTTATAGGTGTCACCACATACCAACAAGATCCACAATACCATCCGCAACGCCCAGCGCGCAGGCAGCCTCAACACTACCGCCAACGTATTTGATTTTGGTCTGAAGCTTTTCGCCGGCCGCGGCGCCCTCAAGCTTGCGGAAGAAAGCATCGGACAGTGCAGTGAAGCTGGTCACCACATTGCGGCCAATGAGCTGCTTGGCCTCGGTGATATCGCCCTTCTGGGGGACCTGCACCTGCAGCTTGCAGCCGCCGAAACCGAGATCGAGGATCTCTTCGACGCCGGAGACCTCACCATTAGGCAGAGTAGCGTCGTGCTCGGCGACCTGGTCACGGCCGGTAATACCGATGTCGACGCGACCCTCTCCGACAAAGGTGGGGATGTCGGCGGCGGGTAGGAAGATGAGTGCGATGGGTAGGTTCTTGACCAGGGCGATGTCGAGGCGGGTTTCGCGACGGAATTGGACGTCGGAGCCGGCTAGGAGGTCCAGGGTTGCTTGTTGCAGCCGGCCCTCTGTAGAGAATCGGTGTTAGTTGCCGTTGGCGCTTTGAGGTGTCGCTATGAGTCATTGTATTGAGGGGACTTGCTTTTGGGCACGGCGAAGAGGAGTCTTCCTTCTAAGCTGAAGGTAATGTGATGTTAGCAGTGTTCTAGTATAGGGTTGTTCAATTGAGGGTTTGGGTGACTCACTGGTTAACGAGATCCATGATGATAGATCGCGACGCCGGGCACGGTGGATAGGGTCTGGCGAGGGACCGTCAATGCCAATAGAGACTTGATGGGCAAGGATGCGGAGTTAATTGCAAGAGGCTAACTCTGTGTCTCGAAACAATTGAAGCTGCGAAGGAATGTGGATGTCGGGCAGACCGGACCTTTTTGCGGCAGAAATTGGAGGGGCAGCGATCCCGGCATCGGTACTTGCGACGTCGGCGGGCCAGCGGCGGACCAAGGTAGCCCACTGTACTCGGCAATTGGCATTGGAGGATCGGCCCACGTGGATTTAGAGGGAATGGTGATGGAATATGTATTCGGTCTTTTGATGCTATTTGACTATGACTATGCTCGATCTATTACAGTAGCGGCCGTTATCGCGTTCCATATCAAAGACATATAATGCTCTTTCAAACCCTAATCACATGATACGTTGCACTAAATCCGGTTAGCCCCGTATTTGAACAAGATGCTGAATAAGCTGCAAGTTCCTACAGAACAATCGCGTGACGTATAATACTGTATCTTAAATGAAACCCCGCGAGACCCTAGCAAGATGCCACGAGCCATGCCATCAAATCGGAATTCCGACTGGAAGAGCTTTAGGCAGCCCATGGGATCTTCGAAAGGATTCACAGGAACAACCACATCCCTGATTCCCCCAGGAACTCCGTGATGGAGAAACAAAAGCTCACCTCTACATATCGGCCTTCAACATGTCCCTGGAGAACCGTCCTTTGGATGGCAGCAGCCGTGGGGGTGATAAGTCTAATGAGGTTCCATGGTTTCCCTTCCTCAGTGTATCTCTGGGTCTTCCCGAACTACGATGTCCAAGTTCAGAACTCACCCTATGGATCGTTCCCACAAGAGAACGACCCGTTCAATTTTCTCCCCTGTACAGATGCCAGTCGTCCGCCGCCACTTGACGATCCAACCCCTCAGCAATCATGGGCTGCTCTCTTCGACCCTAACCCCAACCACTGGAGCTGGGGTATTACGGGCCGGGGCATTTACCTGTGTGGATATTTAGATCTCCCACGCGATTATCACAACAATTCCGACGCTCGTATCGTCCGCATTGCGGTGACAAAGTTCCAGGTTGCCGGTCTGGCTCCCAGGAACGATCCCAATGTTTCATCCAACAGCTACGGGAGTGAGCGCACCATCATTATAGAACCAGGAGGCCCCGGAGGAAGTGGAACATCTTTCCTTTGGGAGACTGCGGAGGAGATGACTGACCGGTTCAGCGACGGGAAACTCGACGTGCTGGGATGGGACCCGCGCGGTGTGAATTTCTCCCTCCCCTCCGCGGCATGTTTCCCTCAAAATGGGTTCCGGGATCGATGGTCACTTCTGGCGCTTCGATATCGGGAAGAGGCTCCAAAGGGCCAACTGGACATTGTGGATGCCATGAATAACGCTACCTTCTTTGCCTGCCAGCAACAGCTAGGGGATTTTGGTCGCCTCGTCAGCACGGCGACGGTGGCACGCGATCTGGACGAGATCCGAAAAGCACTTCGTGAAGAGGAAGTCACAGGGTACTTCGTCAGCTATGGCACAGGAATTGCTCAGACATATGTCAACATGTTTCCTAACCGAGCGGGTCGCATGATCCTTGATGGTACGGAATATGTCAAGGACCACCGCCTCTTAGGCGGCTTTGGCTGGACCTCTCTCGACAATGCGACAGATGCTTGGCGCGACGGGTTTTTAGGCGAATGTATCAGCGCTGGCCCGGAGTGGTGTGCATTGGCAAATCCTATTTCCAACCAGGACGGCCCCGTAACCCTCGCACAGCTGGAAGTGCGCATGTCCGGACTACTCGAGTCGCTCAAAAATCGCCCACAATCCGCGTACACGAAATCCGGAGGCCCATCACTGATCACTCACTCAGCGCTCGTGGAGAGGGTTATCTATCCGGCTATGTATAGACCGATGAACTGGCCGAGTACCGCGCAAATGCTCTATGAGCTCGAAGCAGGAAATGCTACACTAGCAGCCAACCTCTTAGACCTCACGTGGAGTGACCATTCCGAGAAGCCATCGTATCCATTTGTCCCATCTTCTAGTGAACTCGAGCTTCTCGTGATCTGTTCTGATTCATATGATGCGCCCCTTCCAGACGGACTCGATTGGTGGGATCACTTGTGGGAGAATATGACTGCCCAGAGCTGGATGGCGGGTAACTCTCGCTTCTTCGCAGTTTTACCTTGCCGATATTACAATACTTATTGGCCCGTCCCTCCAGAGGTGTATCGCGGGGATCTCAACCATACTCTCAAAACCCCCGTCCTTCTCGTCGCCTCCCCGTATGATCCCGCAACCCCTTTACGCAATGGAAGAAGACTTCTTGAAGAGATGGGCCAAAATGCCCGGCTAATTGTTCACCATGCCTATGGGCATAGTTCCAGACGTGACAGGTCGGATTGCACGAATCGAGTCGCAAAGGCTTACATTCTACATGGAATTCTTCCTACAAGTCAAGAATTCCAGTGTTATGCCAATAGCAAGCCTTACGTTCATCACGCCGTAATTGACTAACGGAAAGAGCTTGCACAAATGCCCGATTATATCTCTGCATATATTTACGTCCAATTCATATAATAAATAACTAAAATCCTGTTGCCTTGAATCATCGCCAATACAATTATGACCCAAGTCTTTGTATTTAATGTAAATACCTCTGGAGGTTTGGTACAGGAATATCAATAGGCCGGTGCTATTCTAGAGTCCGATATTGGTACGTGGCAGTTACAAAACCGAACAATCAGGAGCTTTTAGATAAGATTTTGCGAGTGATGTGACTAGGGTTTAAAAGAGCATCTCTCATACTTCTGATATAGAAGGCGATAACGGTCGCTACTGTACTGCAGAGCAGGGTCATTGCACGGCGGTACAAAAGTAAAAAGAAAAATGGTTAGTGGCCTAAATTATCAGGCGTCGAGGGAGATCAGCTGAGTCATTATATGCCTGACGGCTCAGGTGTCGGAAGCCCTGAGCCCTCGCGTAATTTGGAACCCACACAAGGCAAAATCATCTTCACATCCGCCTCTTCCTCCAGTCCACCCAAACTTTCACCACCCTCGCCGTACGAGCTCAACGCCCTCTCCCTCCAAGATGGATTCCAGCAAGACCCCCGTCAAGCTCGTCAAGGTGACCCGTGTCCTCGGCCGCACCGGTACGTGCCCTTCCTGAACCGCTGGACAAATTCAAGATATTCAAGATCCGCGGGGATTTACGTCCATCCCCGCCCCCCCAATCGCCCGCCGCGAGAATTCGAGAATGAAACAGCGAAATTCCAGAGCACACCGAATACTAATGAGTGATTTTTTTGTCTTGCAGGTTCCCGTGGTGGTGTCACCCAGGTCCGCGTCGAGTTCATGGACGACACCTCCCGTTCCATCATCCGTAACGTTAAGGGCCCGGGTACGTGAATTCGATTCATTTCATTCCGGAGGAGAAATTCCAGGCAAGAGGAGGAAGTCGAAGGGACATGTTGAAGAAATCATGGGAGCTGGGAGTTTTGGACCACTGGAATGGACCATTTCAACGAATCACCGCTAACGCAATTTCGCCCACAGTCCGGGTTGACGACATTCTCTGCCTGCTCGAGTCCGAGCGTGAGGCTCGCCGTCTCCGTTAAAAATTCCAAAACGGCAATTCAACTCGCGCCATGTCTTTCGTCTCTCTCTTTCTCTCGCATATCCCTCACGTCCGGTTTTCCTTGATCGTTCTTCGGCCAAAAATGTGTCCCCGCTTTTCTTTCTTGCCGTACCTCTGACTCCCCGACTCCTCAACCTCGTCCGCCGCGCCGTCCATTTCATGCACCTCTCGATTTGAGGCCGTCCTTTCCGATGATCGAATGCAGGTGAATGGATATGGGTGGATGGATTCTTGGGTTTCCCCCCAAGATCCCAGAAGTCGATCACTGGTTTTCCGAACGGGAGAGAGAGATGGAGAGAAACGAGCAGACCTTTTGTTCAAATGAGAAATGAAATGAGGTTGCGCGATGGCTGGTTTGTGGATTTGTGGGATTGGTCTGGTCTGGTTTGGTCTGGTGTTTTATTACATACACACTTCCATTTTGGCGTGCTTTGCATGGGCTTAATGCGACAAACGAGGTTGTGATGTGCTTTTTTTCTTATCTTCTTCTAGACAAGATGGGACGCCGGACGTGAGCTAGGTCTGACCGACAAAAAAGAACAATGGGAATCCAAAAAAAATTTGAAACTTCCGGTTCTACGAGGTCGAAAGACTGAGGCAATCGTAATGCAAGTAATGGCTGTAGTATCTCTCCACGCTACATTCTTCGAAGTCGTAGCCGCTCCCGAGTGTCCGCCACAGCCTCGTGTTTGCGCCAAACTTAATCTCGGCTTCGTATATATTCATGACGTGGGGCATGTCTTTGATATCCCCAGATTCAAACAACGTATGGTCAACTCTCAAAGCGTCGCTAAATAGTGACCTGTTAGGGAAATGCATCTCTCCAATGGAGCAGGTTCAATCACCATCTACCTCAATCTTCCAACACTCTGGACGAGATCACTGCGTATGCCGAAAAGATGGGATGGAAATTTCCGTTATCCAGTTCCTCGAAGACGCATGCTGCTTGGGATGAAGCTGAGAAGGAGGGTGAGGTTATCATCTGGAAGCCTGGCAATGGGTGTTTTGGACTTTGTTGTTTCCTTAGGGATGGCGATAAGGCGTTCCATACCTTTGATACCTCTGACCGGGGGCTCGAGGCTATTCTTGCGACGTATCATTTGTTGGATATGACGGCTTTGGGAAGACAGGAAGATTGGAATGGGATAGACAACTTCCGGCGGCATTATGAGTATTGAGGATTGTCTTTAGCGTTGGATGTGCAACATTGGAGTGCTCCAAAAAGTGTTGTTCAGGATATATCATAATGCTACAGTGTCTACTTCCTTCTACGTCACGTTTATAGGATCTTGATGGTAATATGCTTATGATTTTGGAAAGACGCCGTAAACACTGGTGGACATGCAGGTGAACATGCTAACCATACAAGAACTATCCAGTTACAACTGCTCAGCACTCGCAAGCAATCGATCAAACAGATCATCCTTATGAGAACCTTCCTCAACAATCTTCCCCACAGCGCCAACAACAGCAGCCAACCTCTTCCGCTTAATAGCCTCCTCCAACTCCGCACTCTTCATCCTCGCAAGATCCAGCACGGACGTCGGCAAATTCGCCAAACGCGCAACATTCAATCCATAACTCCGATGAGCCACCCCCTCACCAACCTCATAAAGGAAAGTGATATCATCATCATCCTCCCCCGACTCCGTGAACCGCATGTGCACATTCCTCAGTTCTGCATTTGGAAAAGACTGCACCATACGCGAGAGATGCTGGTAATGTGTGACGAACAGCGTCAGCGATTGAATCGACCGTACCATGTGATCCAAAACAGCCTGCGCGATCGCGACACCGTCGTGCGTGGATGTTCCGCGACCGAGTTCGTCGAGGATCACTAGTGACCGCGGCGTTGCTTGTTTGAGGATATCTGCTGTTTCTGAAAGCTCGACCATGAATGTCGATTCGCCGGCGAGCATGTTGTCGAATGCACCCATGCGCGTGAATACTGCATCTAGGAGGCCTAGACGGGCTGAGGCTGCTGGGACGTAAGAGCCTATTTGGCCCATTATGGCGATGAGAGCGATTTGTCGTACGTAGCTGGACTTGCCGCCCATGTTTGGACCTGTTACAAGGAGGGCGCGGGTGCCGTCGTGGTCGAGTTTTGTGTCATTTGGAACGTATGTGTCTGTTAGAAGACGCTCGACCATGGGGTGGCGGCCTTGTTCGACGTGGAGGCAGGCATCTTCGGTGTATTCGGGCTTGACGTAGCCGGGTTGTTGAGCGATGGCGGCCAAAGAGACTAGACAATCGAGGGTTGCAAGGGACTGTACACAGTCTCGGAAGGATTGGTATTGTAGAGAGATATCTGCCAGAAGAGATGCGAAGGCCTTGTCGCAGGCTGCAGCGAGTGCTTCCTTGTACTGGTCTCGTTGGCGGATCAGTTGGATCACCTCCGGGGTGTGGAAGCGGGAGACCTTCTTGGTACCGCTAACCTTGACCCAAGAGGCAGGCACTTTTTTGATCGCCAGGGAGTTGTTCTCGATCTCGATCAGGTATTCGATGCCGGAAACAGTCGCGTTCTCGACTTTCTTCCTGCCCAGCTTCTCCTCGGCTACCTTGAGGTGAGCCTGCAATTCGTGTTCGATACTGGCGATGCCCAGCTTTTTTTCGCCAATCTCGTCGGTTTCTTCCTCTTCTCGGAAGAAGGCGTATTTGTCATCTTTCTTGGCCGCGTACATGTTGATCTTGTCCAAGAATCGGGTGACATCTTCTTGGATTGTTGGGAGAGAAGCAACAGCCTCACTAAGAAGTGTCGATTCAAAGCCCGAGTCGGCGGGGGATTTGATGTCCGCGAATGCCATGGCGATCGTCTGCATGGTTTGCAGGACTGTGAGGAGCTCTGGGCGAGTGCACTATCTGAACATTAGCACCAAATCCATCAGCTGAACGGGGGACACTGACCTTGCCATAGTAAATGCGAATCAAGCTCTTTTCCAAGTCACTCTTAATCTTGCTCAGCAACCCTTTGACTCTCTCTACAGGGACCGCTCGAGCAGGATCGGTCAACTCCTCCACAGCATTGGTACGCTCTTCCAGCCTTGTCTTATCAAGCAAAGGCCGTCCAACCCACCGGCGCAACAAACGCTGTCCGAAGCGCGTCTGCGTCCGGTCCAATGTCCAGAAAAGACTCCCTTTCGCCGAGTGATCAGTCTGATTCTGGTAGATCTCCAGACTGACCAGAGTATTTCCATTCAGAAGCATATGAGACCGCGCCGAGAAGGGCTGGAAGTACTTGGTCAAGTCAAAGACATGTTCCAGGCCGTACTCAGTCATATGCTCGATCATGGAGGACAGGCAGATCGTAACGTGCTCCGGCAACTCGAGGACGTTCTTCAACAGCTGTGCAGCACGTACATCCTCATCAGTTCCAGTAGCTTTCATCTTGCCAGCATAGAAGCTTGAAACATGGCTATACGCTTCAGCGGCAGCAGTCTTCTTCTTCGTAGTCCGCTCCAACCGCACGGCGTCACCAAAAACATTCATCTTGCTCCCAGACAGATGTCGCACCAGCTTCTCACTAGCCCGAGACATTTCCCCAACGATCAAAATCTCGCAAGGCGCAATATGCAAAAGCCGAGTCTCGATTTCACTTCGCATGAAACCGTCCTCGAAATCATCGTAGATCACATCGCCCGTGTTGGGCTGCACCGCGACAATACCGACATGTACTCGCTCATCATTACCCCAGCCTTTGGCATTGGACTCTGTAATGCAAAGCATATACCCCGTAGCCGGCGAAGCATGTCCAGCTGCTGGGGCCGGGCTCTCGAGGCCTTCGATATCATCAATGTACGTGCCTTTCGTGTACAAGTTGGTCAACTTGCGGACGAACGGCGCATTGCGGTTATCGCCCGCAGCCTTCAGCGCAGCCGTTTCGATCTGTCGTACAACACCAACCTTGTGTCCTGCGGTAATGAGGCGTTTCACATGGACATGTAGCCGATGGACGGGGATACTAGCTGAAGCAAACCGGTCGATGTGGGCTTCTGATGGATCTGCAAGTAAACATTAGCCATCAATTCTGCCGTTCTCAAGTAGAACGCAACATACGCTCATCAAACCTGAATTTCCCAGGTATGCACACAATCCCCAGTTCCTTAGCCGCAATCCGCGCATCCTCGCCAAAGAACCGGAACTTGTATCCGACCTCGATAACCAGCACCGTTTCCATATGCTTCCGCTTGATCTCGATAACCTGCTTTTCCATCGGTGTGAGTTTGCCGCCACCCTTCTTGGCGCCTTTTCCCTTGGTGGGCGGCGGAGGAGCCTCCTCTTCGTCGTCGGCCTCTTCAGTCTCCGCGGCGGCAACGTCACTGGCAGCCGCTCGACCAATTCCAATTAGGCAGTCTGCACCACCAAGCTTCCGAACAAACTTCTGGTGCAGTTTCTCTCTTTGTTTCTTCCATTGTGTGTCCTCGTGGTCATCCTCTGTAGTTGTGGCGCCGGCGGGCGAGCTTTGGAACTTGAAGAGGTCGGTGCGTTGGCTGCTGATCAGCTGCGAGGGTGGGTTGGCAGGTATTTCTGCAGGCTGTTCCGGTTCGGTGGGAATAGATCCGTTCGTTCTGGCACGTTTCGTAGGCCGCACTACGAGTTCGTCCTCGTCTTCGGCTTCAGGCTCTGGTTCGGGAGCTTGCTTTTGGTCATGGTCTTCCTCCGGCGACGCTGGCCGTTTCTTGGATGACCGCTCTTGAGCAGCCTCCGAGCCATTTGAGGCACTTTGTTGTGACGAGGGCTTTTGCGTGAAGAAGCTGGAGATAGTCGGTTGCTTGCGTTTCAGGGACGGAGACGGTGCGGAGGGCGATTGGGAGGAATGGGATGTCATGATGCAAGACGGCGCAGCCGCGCGAATCAGTCGTGTAGATGAATATGTTGAATGGATATCAAGAAGACGTAACACAGAGCAGTGATGCCCTAGTCGTGTCCTCTTCAATACTGTACTCCGGAGCTCGACGCGTAGAAACGCGCGGAGGCGTTAATGGGCGCTGACTCAGCTCTTATCGGGGCCACGATAAGTTAGCCCTACTTGGAACGAGATGTGATGAATCATACGAGAAAGAGATATAATAGAACTTATTCATACAACATCTAATCATAGTAAGCGTGTTACAAACTTGGTTTGTCGTCCATCCCGAGAGAAATACAGATCGATGCCCATACAGAAACTCGACTCCAGGTAACAATCCACACCGATTTGAAGACAATCGTCATGAAAGGATAGAAGCTCACTCTCTGGCCCAAACCACGGTATCCGATATCCGCAAAGCTCGTTTTAAAGGACGGCAGCAAATGCTTGCCCATTACGCCGAGCAGTTGAGCTGGGACATGGTCTAGTCGACATTGCCAGTCAGGTAAAGCCGGGCAAGTTCCTGGTGGTCCTCTTCGGAAACGGTCGCCTCGGAAGAGGCACAGCGTGTAACCGCCGCCCAGCCAATGTTGCTCGCTGAAGCATTTACCTCGAAAGGGTTGTCGTCGTCATAAAAGTCCATCCGAGCAGAAGGGGCCAACAGAGGGTTGGACTGATATCCGTGCCTGCCACGGTCAACTTCTTCGGCAAGATCAGATGCTGAAGGCTCGCAGAGGATGTACCGGGAATACACAGCCGCATCTGGCTCGAATCTCTGTAAGAATGAAGAGCTGTTCCAGGAGTGAAGGTCAATGCGGCCCTGGGGGTTCAGGATGGGCTCGATGTTTTCTTTGTTCAAGGAGGACTGGTCGGTCTTGTGTCCGTGATTGTTAGTGATCGACTTGCTATCCAGAACAAGTTGAGCGGGGGTCAGTGTGTCCCGAGGAACCTTGAAAATAACGCGTTGGTCTTTGAAAGTCTGCTTGTCTTGGTCATCGTCGGTAAAAACAGCGAAGCCTTTGCGAGATCGCTTTCCAAATGCTTTGGCGGAGAGAGCAATATCACCACCATCCTCGGCTGTATAGGATGATCTGGGTCTTTTCATGCGAGTGAATGAGCGTGAAGGGGTCGGACTGTTCGCGAGGCACTCATCCTCGGCCTCGCGAATTTGAGGGGTGGTCTTCTTCGCACGCTTTCGGTCCTGGGCACGGGGAAGGTTAGGGTCGTTCTGACGAAGCGCGTTTCGTCGGGTACGCGGCCTTGGACGAGGCTGACGGTGTCTGGGGATTGGAGTTTCTCCCTTCAGCGGACTTTCATCGTCGACATTGCCTGAAATCACACGCTGCTTCCTCAGGATTCCGGTGGGCGAGAAGATAAGCTCCGTGGGCTCTACCTGCGAGGACGTCTTTTCCATCATCTTCACAACATTGCTGTCCTTTTTCTGATTCCGCTTACGTCGCATCTGCTGCGTGGCTGAATCAAATATGTCCATTCCCGGCCACAGCACACCTTTGAGTCTTGCCATCTCATCAGCCCGTTCCTTGTCAGCCTCGGCACCTTCCAAGATCTCGGTGCGACCTCTGGCATCAACAAGTGCATCCGAAGCTTCGCTGCCCACTCCCCAAGGCACATCACTGTGTCGAAATATAATGCGTGAAGGTTCCGGCGTCACAGGCAAGACCGCACTGGGATTTTCTCCTTCGGCACTGTATGAAACACACTCATACCACTCCACCGCATCTGCAGTGTCCATGAGTTGAGACGAACCAGTACCAAGGGGTACACTCGAAATCATGTTGGTATCAGTGGCTGCAGATATGGTCGGGGTGTAATAGCCTGAGACGATGGATGACCCTTGACTATCCAGTTCGCGTTTCATGTTGCCGTAATCACCAACCAGGCGTGGGTCCAGAAAATCAGGGTGGGATAGAATTGCACAAGGGCTGGGATCGACAGGATCGGCTCTGTGAGAAGTTCTCGAGAGAGGTCGCTGGTCGGTGATGGTTAGCTGGGCTGTGGTCTGTCCTCCAGACTTCCTCTTCTTCCTTTTTTCTTCTTTGGAAGTACTCCGATCGGAGAGCAACTGAGCAAGATCGTTGGTGTTGAACCAATAGTCGTATTGGATGAGCAACTCAACCGCGTCATCCTCCTGGTGGCTGCGGACTTGAAGCTTGAAGTAGTGGGACAGATGAGCTTTGGAAGAGACATGGGTCAACAGATGGGATGTGTCGCTGAAACGGGGTTGTCCCGGGCAGATGATGCATTGGAGCAGAGGAGGATCCATTGAGCCAATAGGTGTATTGGGTAAACCAATAGAGAAAAGAGCAAGTGCAAACCCCAACCAGAAAGAAATTCCAAAGCAAAAGTCGACAGGCAAAATGCTGAAGGAGCGATGAGGGTCGTGAAGGTTGAAGGTTGGAAGGCCGGAAGGGTGGAAGGTTGGACTTGGGGAGGAAGGGAAGGATGCGTAGTCACTCGTGAAAAGCGACGCGTTCAGAGGGAAGGAACCTAGAAGTATACTACGCAAGGGCAGGAACGATCACAGCAAACGTCATGTAATTCGGTATCTTCAGTAAAGTAGAGGATTTATGTACCACGATGTCTTAACAGCCGTTAGGCAATTGTAGGAGGGTATGAAGCGGAATAAGTCAAAGTGGACAATTGCTCTCCTCCTGCCTTGTATCCCGTGATCCATGGGAAAAAGAACCAAGGGTTATTAGATTGCAGGAGGGATCATAGACACTCATATTGAGTGATTGATTTACTTTCCAAGACAGCGAGCTATCACAGACTTGGGCATACAACTAGAAGCCGGTTAGTGCATGATCGTGTAGAAGTGGCAAGGACACATACTAGACAGGATCTACTTCTTGCAGTCCCTCAAACCCCAGAAGGCTCAAGCCTGCAATACCGAAGTGGGTATGGTACACATCAACCATGTTCCCCGGACGGTCTGCAAAACCACCAGCTTCTGGATCCTGTTTGGCGTTAGTGGCGGGAAAAGAGAGATCTGGGGGGTGTGCTTACCTGGCACTGCAGAACAAAGGCGGCGAGCTTCTTGCCATCAATCCAGTGAAGTCGATCTATCATGGCCAGAGCCGAGCCAACCCACCACGTGTAGCATGCATCGACCAGTTTCTCTGGACGACCGTTGAAGCCGCCATTGTCAACTTGACGCTCGCTGAGCCAGGCTCCCAGACGGTCCTTGTTGACCAGGTCCAGGCGTCCGGCAATGGTCAGAGCCCCGACACACGTGAACACTTGGCCTGCATGAGACTCGGCACCGGGGCAGATGCCATAGGCCCCGTCGAAGTTTTCACAGCTTTGGACATAAGTGACTGCTTTGGGGACGTCGAGCAGGTCCAGGAGACCCAGGAGTGACAGTGCATTGAGAGCACCATATAGGAACCGAGTGTCGGTCTCGCCCCATTGATCTCCCATGAAGGAGCCATCTTCTCGGTTCTGCAAGCTTGCAATGAAGGCTCCGACCTTTTGCTTGCCTCCGCGGCCTCTTTTCTCCAACTCGTCCACCGCATCTACGGTAGCCAGGATCTGGACTGCAGATACAGTGTAGAGCATATGAGCATCATGGCCAGGCGCAGCACCAAAACCACCGTTCTCTCTTTGGCAAGAGAGCACAAAGTCAATGGTTTCATCTCGGGATAGAGCATCGGGATGGCCCAGAAGGTGCAGGGCTGTCAAACCCCAGTAGACACCGTTGAGCCGCAAGTGCTCGGTAAGCCAGTATTCCAACTCATCTTTCCGCTATTGTCGCCGTCAATCAACTTGCCCTACCGTCCTAGAGTACCACAGTGAGAAAGAAGCACGCACAGTGTCTAGGTTTTTGATGTAATCCACATGCTTGAGGGTGTGCAAGCTCTGGTCTGACGCGGTGCCTGTGGCCCTGCCCGGACCAGATACGAGGGACATTGAGTGATCCGGTGGGTTATCAGCCCCTTTGGAAGCCGGGGTGGTGATTGGGCAGGTTAGTAGCTCCTGGAGATCAAAGCTTGTCTCGAAGCGGAAACAGAGCCTAGGGTGGATTAAAGGGAGTTCAGATCATGCTGTCATTAAGCAGGGATGGGGCCAAAGGGCTGTGCAGAGCCGCGGGATTAGTCCCGCGAAGCGACTTTTGTGGCTGATTTGTGAACGCCAGATCCGGGATCGCGTGGTTTTGAATGTGTGGCCACGTGATCTGATGAGTCATTATGATTCATGCCTCAGGCATCAGGGCCGTGCGCCAAGCAGCCCCGGGCGCTAGTCTCAGATTATCGGTGCCATGTTTCAGACCGGTGGAGAAGGGTGGATGCATGACAGTCCCAACCGAGCACAAAATTGGGGATGGAATTGTATGGAACCTGGCTGTGGACCGATACTATTCCTGTCGAACCACGCTGTCGAGGTCAGATATACAACACCGGGACAAGGTACACATCACGCCGTTGAAACTGGGATATACTTCAGACATGTCAGAGTCTGACCGCTACAAAACTTGCATCCAGATAAGCAATGTACCTTTTGATCTCTGCACGGACACCTGCATTTTTTTTCATTTCCATCCCATCTTGAAGGAATGAACCACATTGGCGGAATGGCCTGGGGCTGAGAAAGGATCGAGTCGTATACAGTACATAGATTTGTCCTCCGTGGATGGATACCTCGGAGCCGGCGATACTGGAGGAGAGCATAAATATAGTTCACGGTCGGAGTGGCCGGAGCCCTACTGGTATCCGTACACCGTGTTCCGATGAGGCAAATGGAGAAAGACATGTGTTTCTAAAACCAGTGCACCCCACTTCCAAGATTGAGGCAGCGTCTGCGCCATTTAACGGGGAGGGGCATTAGATATGTCTTCCGGGGGTGGGATGGCTATCGGTGGACAAAGCCCGAAGTTTGGGCTAAGGGAAAGACGCAGTGGGGCATCGGTCCGCTTGAAAGCGCCCGGGACTCGTTTGCGTCTGACGCGGGATTTTGCGCTGGCTTTACCCCTGACAAGAGCTTTGAGAGGGTGTATGGAGCAGACGGGCTATATTTTGCGTCGAATTAGATTTATCCCATTCTATTCGGGTGGCCATTCAGGTACCCTAACCGTACCTCGAGGCGTGATCATCTCAACCAGCGAAGCCTCGATCCGCGACAGAGAGAACCGCGGACGAGCCCAGGTACACTGGGCATCGACACTCGGATTTGCCAGCTTTTCTCTCTCCACCCCACCCGTTGCCCACAGACCGTCCAATCAATTTCCGTGCTGCTGCAACGTAAGAGGAAAGCACATCATCCCGTCCGTGGCTCCCATTGCCAGACCCAGTGGCTCTGCTCACGGGTGGAGATAATCCTCCGGGAGGCGATTTATGATGATGGTGGTGGTGGGTGGTTGTGTACCTGTGTGCCTCCTAGGATTGTCCACTGAGAACATAACCAACCCTCATGATGCCACGGCAGTTCAATTCGTAGCCGTAGAGCCCCATCGTTTAGATCCCACTGCCCAAGGAAGACGAGGTTGTCAAACGGACCCCAACAGTAGACGATTGACACGTGAGTTCAAGGTAAAGGATGTTCACCGACCGTCACCTTATTGGGACAAGCGATGACCCTTAGAACGGAGTGCGGTTCCCCCCTTGGGAATCAGATCTGGCATACAATTAGAGGTAGAGTGTAGAGAAATTAGAATCAAAGTGGAATCACCGAATCCCCCACCGAGGTGTCTCTTCCCCGTGGATCGCCCGCTGCTAACTGAAGGATAAACGAGGGCTTGGCTCACCTTGCATAATCTCCTTTCTGGAATGCGTCTCCCACCCTTGACGTCTTCCCTGGAGTGTTCTTCCTTCTAATCCACGACCCTTTGACCATCTTTGCGCACTCCCGGAGAGGTTAGCGCACGACTTTGCTTTGGGACTAAAGCCAGTCCCAGCTAACGCACCCGCTACACTTGCGCTAAGTCCGTTCCGGGGCTTGGGCTTCTTCGGATTTGAAGTGGTCCCTACTTTTTTTCCCCTTGACGTGTGCTCGGGCTTGTTGGTCTTTGTGCTCTCCCTCCTCACGCCTGTGGGTGTCTGTTCGAATCGCCCTGCCCTGTCGATTGCTTGAACCGAAAAAGAGGGGGACAAAGCGACTTGGCTCCTCGACAACAACAACCCCTCGATCACCCGGGGCGCTGAAAGTCGCACAGAGAACGTCGTGGAGGCATAATATGAGGGGACACTTGGTGAGTGACTGCTTCGAACTTTCCCGAGGCGCCTGTGAATGTGGCCATTGTTTCCGGGTTTCGATGCCTGGTCTTGTTGATAAAGAACTTGCCCGCTTTGGATTCCGTTCCCACCCCCCTGCATCTGTCATCGTGACCCGCGGATTGGTCTTTTTTTAGACGCGCTTTCGCTGTCGAGATCTCGTTTGACTGACTGTATAACGATGTCCTTTAGATTCCATTTCAGAAGCACCCTACACAAACAAGCCGTCCCGACAACGGTCCCCTACCTCAACCGCAGCCTATAATACACTTTGGGCTGAACAACAACAACACCAACACCACTCAGTTGAAGTAAGCAATCCGAGGAAGCCTGAAAAGATCACGATCAGATCACCGGTGGTCGATCGCGATCAGGTACACGTCAGCCGCAGCCCAGGTCGCCTGGTTAAATACACTCGCTGACAAAATCCTATTCACAGCTGAACAGATCCTCACTTCGACGGCTGAGCCTAGTGCGTTGAGCCTGCGACGCCTTTGTCCCGATCCCCTCGCATCACAATTAGAGGCTGTCGCCTTCATTGCCGCCCAACATGCCGTCTCGAAATTCCACAGTGCCCAATCTGGACCTCAAATCCCTGAAAACCGACACGGACAACGGCAAAATTCCTTCTCCTCTCACACCTGGTGCTCAGAGCTCCGACGGGCTCAGCCCCTTGACGCCACGATCGCCCAAGTCTGAGTCGAGCTCACCCTTCTTCAAGGGGACGACCATTCGTCCGGTCACCCAGGACTCAAGTACCAAAGCGACCAGCCCTACAATTGCGCCCTCGTCCGGCAATCTAACCGCCGACACTGCGCCTGAGCCCTCAACACCCGGTCTGACTGCTATCCCGCAGTATTTCTCTTCTCCGAACGACTCGTCCAAACACGCGCGCGATGCCTCGAAGTCGTTTTTCGGTACGTTGAAAGCGCCGAAGTCGTCTCATCGAACACAGCGCTCGGATAGCTCCGAGAACTCGACAGAACCCCCAAAGAGCCGAGGTAGCTCGAGGGATCGCAAGTCATCAATGACGCCGAAAATGACCGAGTCGATCCCGGACTTACCTACGACCATTGGCCGAGCAGCGGAAACTGAGAAGAGTAAGTGCTCATACAGCGTGACTCTACTTCAAAAGAAATTTGCTAACAGCTCTTTTCAAACAGGCGGGGCCTCTTCTGGCGATAAGCGCACGCAACAAACAGCCCTGAGGAAGACGGGCACCGACGTGGATTCCCCACACAAGAAGAGCAAGCCGCGGTTTGCAAATCTCTTGACGCGATCTCGATCCATCCGAGTTGATGATTCGTCTGGGAATAGAGCCATCGGTCGACGACCATCAACTGGCCTGGCTAAGTTGGAGGAGTCCAACCAGAGCGAGTCGCAGAGGCCACCACGCACTGCCACGACCACTACTACGGTTACCTCTAATACTACTCCAGCAACAACCACACGCACCGAGCGCTCTACTCAAGGAGGAATGAACCTGCCCCCTCAGCGCTCTACGCAAGGTGGATTACATCCTCCTGCCCAGCGCTCAGCGGATGGCGCCTCTCTTCGGAAGGAGAGGAGCTATGGGGGCTCCATGGTCACATCAGGTTCTTTGAGCCAGGTTTCGGGCGCGTCTGCCGCAATCTTCAACAATCTTAAGCAGTCCTCCAACGGTGCTGCAGATCGCCTTGGTAAGGCCGGCAAGGGCTTTTTTAGCAAGATCACTCGCAGTGGCAGCACCAACGAGCGGGAGCTCATCAATGACGACTCCTACGTTTGCTCCGTGATCAACCTTCCGCTTATTGAACAAGCACGGAAGACACGCATTTGCAAGAAATTGGAGGACTGCAGAGACAAGACTGAATTCTGGATGCCTGCTCTTCCATACCGCTCCATTGATTATCTTAACTTCAAGGGCTGCGAGGAAGAGGGTCTCTACCGAGTACCAGGAAGTGGCCGCGAGGTCAAGCACTGGCAAAGGCGATTTGATTCAGAGTTGGACATTGACCTCTTTGAAGTGCCTGATCTCTACGACATCAACACGGTCGGGTCCTTGTTTAAGGCCTGGCTTCGTGAACTTCCCGACGAGCTCTTCCCCAAGGCGACACAAGACATGATCGCCCAAAAGTGTGAGGGTGCCACCACTGCCCCGCAATTACTGAAGGATGAGCTCTCCAAGCTCCCGCCGTATAACTACTACCTCCTCTTCGCCATTACCTGCCACCTCAACCTCCTTCACTCTTATGTCGATCAAAACAAGATGGACTACCGCAATCTATGCATCTGCTTCCAGCCTTGTATGAAGATCGATGCATTCTGCTTCCAATTCCTGGTCTGCGACTGGAAGAACTGCTGGCAGGGTTGCTGGACCGAGAAGGAGTTTGTCCAGAAGGAGAAGGAAATGGATGAGCAGGAGGCGGCGGCCGCGGAAGAGAAGGAGGCTACTAAGGCCAAGTCCCAGGTTGCCCAAGCGCCCCAGTCTTCTGCGAGCCACGAACGTGCCGTCTCGTCCGGCTCCAGCTCTAGTGAAAAAACCAAAGAGGAACGGCCTCGGCCGGAAACCTCTCGGGGCCGGAAGCCCAAGCCGAAGAACATTGAGACCGGTCATACAAACCACACAAGAAGCATATCACAGCTTCCCGAGCTTGGCCCACCCCTTTCGCCCATCAAGATCTAGATTCTGTTTTCATCTCATGTTCTGAATTCTCATCTTGATTTGGGCTCTTCGACTTAGCATTTGTGCAACTCAATTATCACGTTGCCCTGAGTTCTTCATCGGCTGGACCGATTTGCCTCAGTTTGAAAGCCTACGGGACATTGGAGCCACTATTCGATATACGAAGTGGCCTCGGGTTTCCTGTATCTTCTTCCTCCGGGTGCTTGACACCCAACCTATTTGGTTTACATCAGCATAGTGCTTCCCCCTCGGCTTACATTCTCCAGTTTGTATATGTTGTTTCATACACCTCGACCCAGGCGAATGGCGGTCTCATTTTGTTGTTGTAATTCCTCTTGTCATGCGACCTCTTTCATTCGGCAACGCAATGCCCATTTGGCCAGTCTGTTTCATGCTGCTTCTGCTCCTTCAGATTCCCCTCTGTGGCTTTACTTGATGTCTTCTGCGTGCACTCACTGCGACTGGTTTCCGTTTCCTATCTGTTTGGCGTTCTCATTGCAAGGATCTGTATAATAGCGGCCATGGGAGGCATTTTCTTTTTACGGTTCAATGAAGACCAATCTGGTTCTCTCGATTTTATTTCAAGGTTCTCTAGACTATGCAGACATGAAGTAGATGTGGGTGTAGATGGAACAGATGTAAACAATGCTTTTTTTAATCTGGTCATATGTCGACCGTCATGAGTTTAAAGGCAAAACCCTCGACTCCAAACCCCAACGCCGAGAACAAAGACATTTCTCAAAATGTACAGCAGTCCCTCGAATACATTAGTTCTTCTTTCCAACGTTCGCCCGCTTCTCATTCGACCGCATCTTGCGCTCATTGCGCTTGATCCTATCCTTGCGCTCAGTACGGCTCATACCACGGATCGAACCTCCCTTCGCGGCGGCATCCTCCTCCTTCTTCCATTTACTCTCATCAACCTCCACAAGCCACTGGTTGTCGTCGTCCTTGTTCTTTCCCTTGTAACCCCACTTGGGCACCCACTCGCCAGAGGCCTCGTCGTAGACCAGCTTCTTGCGACGCTCCTTGTCGGCCAGCGCAGCACCGGGCTTGCTGCTGAACTTGCCAACACCCTTCTTGCGTGCGAACAGCTCCCACTTGGTCGGGGGCTTGGGTGTAGGGAGGGGCTTGAAACGGGGCAGTGCGGTGTTCGGTGCGGGCAGGCTAAGCAAGATGCCGTTCTGCGCGGACGAGGTGATGTTGCATGTTGTGAGGAGTTGGTTCAGCAGGCACTGGGCGCCGTCGCGGGCAGTGGCCTTCAGGGAGCTGTTGAGCGGCTCGCCTTGGGGGATCTCCAGAGGGTTCGGGTCGTTGACCGTCAGGTGGCCCAGGTCGAAGGTGTAGGGAGTCGGCTTGGAGACGGTGATAGGACTTGGGGGTTTATGTTAGTCTCGTGCAATTGTTTGGCTGGGTATCAGCGTTGGGAGAATATATTTCGTACAGTCTCTCGGGCTTGGAGTCAACCCCGTTACCCATATCGACGTCAGTCATTATGGAAGGTGTCTTCTGATCGGCTCAGACTAAAATGAAAAAAATGCTGGTATAGAGCAGCACGAATGGGAGATTTCGAGCTCGGCAAGAAAAAATATTGGCTATCACCACTTCCACTTTTCTGCCATGGATGACTAAGGTGACACACACCGCCATCCTGAATAGGCGGAAGGAATTCAATCAAATTATTATGACCGTTTGACGGTGTTTCTCGATCTCCAATCTTCGTCCACCACTCCCGTCCAATTCATCCCGAATTGTCCGCAAGGGCCACTGTTCTTGAACAATGGCCTCCGCGTGGTGCTGGAGCTGTCTTTCCCGGCTGCGTCCAACACCGCGAGCCATCCTCCCTCCGCCGGCCGTCACACCCCGGATTACCAGCGCCCCCTTCCACTCGACCGCGGTGCAATATGCCAATCCGACGAAGAAAAAGAGCAGCCTTGTCGCCACGAAGTACCGCCAAGGTCAGGTACTGAAGAGGAAGAAGAAGGCCAAGACCGAGCGCGCGCGTCCCCCGGCCGTCGGAGAGCGTAAGGCTTTGCGGAAGCGCATTGTGCTCAGCAACCCCAATGCCCTTGAGGTTGAAGGCATGAAGGATCTGTCACCGGAGACAATGGTCGATTCTCGTCTTCGTGGTTCTGTTGTTGGTCTGCCAGTTCCCATGTTGGAGCGATTGAGGGCTGTGCAGGCTTTCAAGCCTAAGCAGGGTTGGTCCATATTCCGCCGGCCGGGTACCGTTCTGCGCCGTGATACCATTGAGATGGGTCGTCTGTTTGAGAAGATCTCTGGGGATGGCGATGCCCCTGAGAAGGGCAAGGTTATCAAAAAGATCATAACTGGTATGAAGGGCTCGGGCAAGACTGTGCATTTGCTGCAGGCTATGACTATGGGCTTCCTCAAAAATTGGGTTGTGATTACAGTTCCGGATGGTTAGTCCTATGACATTCTACTTGGTGGTGTAATGGCTACTAACTTTGACATGACAGCCCGGGACCTCGTCTCTGGAGACACCGCCTACTCTCCCGTTGAGGGCAGCAAGCCGACACAATATGTCCAGCCTAATGCAGTTTCCGCCCTCCTGACCCGCACCGTTGAGGCCAACCGCCAGGTTCTGTCTACCCTCAAGGTCTCCCAGAAGCACCCCGGTCTGTCCGGCCTCAAACCCACCTCGACACTTGAAGATCTGGCCAAGCTGGGCTTCCAGGATGCTGCCATCGCCTGGACTGTCTTCCAGGCTCTGTGGACCGAGTTGAACGCCACTGCTGCCGCCCCGGGAATGGAGAACAACTTTGAGGCCCGCCCTCCTATGCTCGTCGCCGTGGACGGTCTCGCTCACTGGATGACCGAGACGGCCTATCGCGATGCAGACTTCAAACCAGTCCACGCACACGATCTCATCTTCGTGCAGCACTTCCTCTCCCTCCTCAAGAGCGGCCAATCCCTGAAGAACGGCGGCATGCTCCTGTACGCCACCTCGACCTCCAACAACCCGAGCAACTACAGCCTCGAAGTTGGTCTGAACCAGCTGGCCGCCCGCCAGGCAGGTATTGCCCCTACATCCGAGGAATACCCGCAACCCGAGGCCTATAGCAACCCCAACGCTCGCGTCTTGGATCTCTTCAAGCCCGCCACCGGCAAGGAGAGCGCCCTCGAGCTGCAGACCCTCGGCGGCCTCGCCCGCGACGAGACCCGCGGCTTCCTCGAGTACTTCGCGCACAGCGGTCTGCTGCGCGAGTCCGTGAATGAGGAATGGGTCGGAGAGAAGTGGACTCTGTCTGGTGGTGGTATCATCGGCGAGCTGGAGAAGCTGGGCCGCCACGTCCGCACCGCTGCTCAGCCTGTTGCACAGCCTGTCGCTGCTGCGAACTGATAAATACCTATTTCCTTGATTATCGGTCCCTAGATGTGGCCTGATGTTGTATTGTAAATGGGATGCTGGGCTTTGCTTTTTATGCTTCTTCAATGTACTTTACAAGTTTTATAAGTCTCCCCTGGTTTTGCTTTTGTATGCATATAATCGACAAGTTTCCTGATAGATTCTCGTCTTTGCTATTAATCTACTACCTGAATATGTAGATCCAAGATACCTTATGCCTAGATAAGCACTTCTCCGCGAATGGTAATGGATGGTAGCCCGGGTAATACGGAACAGCAGTGTCACCCACTCTTGACACCAAATGGCTATCTTTATAAACTTTGCTATCTAGGTATTAATGACCCGAGCTAGGTAGCACAGCAAAGCTACCTTATAAATATCACCTTTATTTGGAACAAAGTCCCAAGGTTCGTCCTATCTTGAATATCCACTCTTCAAAGTCTACCATAAAAGCGACCTTCTTCCAAAGCCACTGTTACCATGACGCAAATTCATCTCAGTGTTATTGCTCTATTTTTGGCTCTAGTCATTGCAACCCCGGTACCATCTCCCGAACAGAGGCCGGACGTAAACTGCCTCCCAGGATTGCACTGGGTCTGTGTGGCTGCCGATGAGTATTCGAGTATTGACTGTTTCTGTCAACCGAATTGTAGGTTTCCCAGTACAATACAGAGTACTTGTGAGGGTTCCATCGCTAATGGATACTCAGGAATATCGAACTTCTTTCGAGAACCACAGAACTAGCAGCGCCTTCACAAAATGCCTACTGTTATCCATATCCATTCATGATAACAATCAATTTTTGAGCTCATAACCTCTTAAGCATTGCCAATAACCCATATTTTCCCTGTATGCCCCTAGTCATCCACCTTCTTCGGCACAATAGGCCGTACCAAATCAGGATAATCAAACTTAGCAGCAACATTCATAAAGAATGAATTCGCCGGATGCGCCTCCTTCTTCTCGTCCTTGAATAGGAAAGTCATCGGGAATCCATGATCAAACTCATAAGCCCCCTCAATCTCGTCAATGTCCTTCTCCGATAACTGCAGCCCCAACGCCTCAATATTCCCCAGCAAATGATCCGGCTTGCGCCCTCCCACAATCGGCGTTACATACGGCGCCTTATGCATCACGTATGCCAACGCCACGCTGGTAATAATCGTTTTGTGTCGTTCCGCTACCTTCTCCAGAACCTTTGAAACGGCGATGTCCACTTCACGGGGCTCGGCTTGCCGTCCTGGGTTCCCGGATTTGGCAATCTCTTCGCGCTGGGCGCTGGATTTGAACATGCCGCCGCCGAGGGCGCCCCATGGTGCTAGACCCATGCCTTCAGCATGTACCATCGGGATGATATCGCGCTCGAAATCGCGCTTTGCGGCGTTCCATTGGCCTTGGTAGACGGAGAAGGGGCGAAGTCCATGGTCTCGGGCGTCTGGTTGGGTTCGTTAGTGATCCGGTATTGGGTCAATGGAGGATGAGGGACATACATTGGTTTGCGCGGCTGACGATCCAGGCGGGCGTATCACTGATTCCCAAGTACAATACCTTGCCCGCCGTGACGAGGTGGTTGAGCGATGTCATAACCTCCTCGATGGAAGTACCAAAGTCCCACCAATGGACATACAGCTAGATCTCGTATCAGCATTCCAATCACAAACCCTTCCGATAGCATAGTTAAGAGATCTTACCAAATCAATATAATCCGTCTTCATCTTCCTCAAACTAGCCTCGACGGAGACCTTCAAACTCTTCGCATTGTTGCCAACATAGTTCGCCTGGATCTCAGACTTGTTGTAGGTGCGGTAAGGCGATGTGTACTTGGTAGCGAGGACGATCTCATCACGCACACCACGAGCTTCCATCCACTCACCCAGCCAGGCCTCGGAGTCTTCGTTCTGGTAGTTGTTGGCCGTGTCGATGAAGTTGCCGCCGTTCTCGTAGAAGGTGTCTAGGATCTTGAATGAGGTTGCTTTGTCGCATTCGCCGAGTCTTTCTTTCCTGTTGTTTTTCTTAGTCTTCGGTTTCGTACGGTTTGGAATGGAGTGACAACTGGATTGAAAGCTTACCAGCCTTCTCCGAAGTTCATTGCTCCTAGGCACAGCGGGCTCACCTTCACGCCGGCTGTGGGCGCGAGGAGGCGGTAGCGGCCGAGGAGAGATTTGGGAGGGGGTGCGGCTTGCATCGTTGTGTCGGGTATTCACAATTGGTTCGGTCGAGTATAGAAAAGTAGCAGGTTGATTCTGTTGGGAATTTAGAGGACCTTGAGGAACTGGATTGCGGTGTACTGGCTACACCCTTTATATTTGCTACACATGCGGGGAAATGATGTAAAAGTCCTGATATGCTTCCCGGCTGAATGCAACATTATTAATCAACTGGGGTTACATGAGAACTATTTCCCGTTAAGTCCGTCTTTTCTAGGTTGTGCTATTCCGTCATCGGATTTATATCCGGTGCTGATAGGTCGACGGAGAAGAGTGCTTTATCTCCATCGCCGTAACCCCACTTGAGCTAACTCGAGCTACGCCGTTGGAGGGGAAAATCAACGGGAGCTGGAATTGAGCTTCACTAATAAACATTGTCTTCGCTAAACTATAAACAAGAAGTGGACTTTGTTATTCTTGACAAGTTCCCCCCCCCCGGTGTTCTTCCCCGTGGACTCTATTTAGCTCTCCCTCTCCGTCGTCACCTCCCTTGCGCAGCTTCTGGAGCTCCAGTTCAATGGATCATTTGACTCCACCCTCCCCTCCGATATCTCCTCTCGTCTTTCCCGAATAGCTCTCGCCTATCTTATTTTCCATGCTGCTATTCTCTCCTTCTTTCTCCGCCTCATGATTTGCTCGTGAACCGTCCCCGCGGAACCTTAATTTCCCAACATCTTGGCCCTTTCAATGCGGTCTCCCTTAACCTTGGCATCTCACAGGTGATTCAGCACAATCCTGCCTCTGTCGATGACCGCTTCCGTTCGGGTGTTGTATGTTGGATCTCCTCGGCTTCTTCCCACGAGCACCCTAGGTTATTTGAAAGATGCTAAAGACTACTACGTGAACGAGCAAAGAAGTAAACAAAGAGCCAACGAATATACTACGAACCTTGGATCGGTTCATCCCGCCGAGTGCCAAGGTTCGAAAAGTTCAGAGAACCTCACTAGTTTCCCCTGAGGTCGATTCGCAGCAGACCGGAAAGTACTTCAAAAACTAGTAAGCCGGGACAGTACCGACGTTCTCCGTGTCTTAGCTCTCGCTTCGTCGTATTCTAAGCTTAGATAGCCTGGGGGCGAGGGGGCCATTTATGGGCCCAGGGGGGGGTTAACAAGACTAGTTATCGAGCTAGGAGGGCTAGCTAAAATAGAAATACCCGTTTGGGCCCATAGATGAGGCGATACTCAACAGGGAAGGAGAACGGAAGCCGTGGCATCTCGAGTGCGTGGGGCCCCCTCATGTGCTCAAGCTCGTCCCGCGCCCAAAACACAGCCGCGACTTGGTCTTTGCGCTCCTAACTTGGAGTCCCTGCGATCGGGAGGTTCTCTCTCCTCGTTTCTACACAGCTCAAGCTACTCACAACTGCCATGAGCGACCATGTACGGCTCCAATCCACAAGACTCCTCGCAACCTGAATGGAGACAGCCTGTACCTCCACGCCGTCCCGTGGGCCAAGCTGATGCTGCTCTCCCACCACCGCCGCCTCGTCCTCAAGTCGCCCCATATAGTCCTGCGACATACGGACAAATCTCAGGCTCCTCGAATTCAAGTGTGTCGCCGGTGTCGGGATCCACGACGGACCCAAGGACATGGGGTGTGCGGTACAATCAGCAACCGCAACTACACCCGATCTATGCCCCGCCGCCCTTACCAGTAAGGATATACTCTTAAACATGGGAACTACGGAACCTGACTGTGACTATCGCAACAGCCTCGACCGTCCAGCACAAATGAGCAGCCGTTTGCCTATACGCAGCCGCAATCACCAGTGCAACCACCGCCCCTAAACACTAGCGTTTCACCTTCGGCCCCAGTACATGGTTTCGAATCTTTCGCCGATACTCAGCCTCCACCCAGTTCAAGCATTCCACCCCCATATGTGCCACCGGCTGTGCCAGCGCTTGGTGCTGTACCGGCCCCGCCCCCCAAAATCCCACAAGAATCACATCCGACGGCGCAACAAAGCAATCAACCTACACAGCCACCGCTTCTTGCGCAGGGCGTAGGGCCGGCGGCCACCCAAGGCTCCTATGGGTTTCCGTCAAACATTCACTCAGCCCACGCGGGTCCATCAGCTTTGGGCCCGGGCACACCTTCTGACTGGGAATATCTTGGTCCCACTCCGGGCGACTTTGACGATGCACCCTGGTTTCCAGACAGGAGGCCGACGTCCCAACCTCAGGAGCGGGTTTTTATTCCGCCGGAGCACACGACTGGAATGCCAAATCAGCCTTTGACAAGGACGACTGCGCCTCTGCTGCGCATGGATACAGGCCAGCAATTCTCGAGTATTCCGTCTCATCCTGACCATGTACGACGAAATGATTCCATTTCACCTATCAGTCCTGCGACAACGCTTGGCACCAACTATGGGCAGTCGGTCCCTCATCTGGCCCGTATGGACAGTGTGAGCTCCGGTGGATCCTTTGGGGAGCATGTGGAGAGTATTGACAATGTCATTGATGCGTGGGTACAACCACTGTCAACTGCACCAAAGCCTGCCCAGCCAGTCGAGTCGACTCAGCCAGGACGTGAAGATCCTACTTCTCGACCAGCTTCCACTTCCCAGAGCAACCAAGGCACTCCCGTTGGAATCTCGACCCCTATTCAAAGCAACCCGTCTACTGTCCCGGATGCAGGAGTACTCGCAAATCCGACAGTGCCAACTCCACTCTCTCCACAGGGAGTCACGCCAGCTCCCAAATATCCTGATCCATATGAGGATCTCGATCCATGGTCTAAATCCTCGCTCGCACGCTACGTGGCAATGTTGCGCAAGGAGGCTGTGGCTGACTCTGATGAGGAGCGTTTCAAGATCTTCACGGCTTTCATGGCCAAGGAAACCAAGCTTAGGGAGATACTCTATAATATCGAGCTTGACACTCGAGATATTCAGGCAGCCCCAAGAGCTTCTGTGCTCTCACCCAAACGGTCACCGTCAAATTCTGAAAAGCGTAATTCCACGGTTGAATCTGGCTTGATTCCTGTGGAATCGGAGGAAGTGATGTCCCCCACCAGCACCACAGAAGATGGGAATGATATTGATGATACGGTCAGCGAGTATAGTGCTGGAGGGCGACCCATTCAAGCCAAGTTAGCCCGTCGAAGTTCGCAATGGCGGCCGAAACTTTTAGCACTTCCCTCTGGAAAAGATTCAACGAACAGTCTGTCGAACGCCCCCTCAAGGAAGTTCTCCGTGGATGAGTCTGCGGAGAAGCAGGTCCTGGAACCTCTCATGACGGATCCCCCGCGGCCAATATACACGCCCTTCCAGTATATGGAAGGTCCGCAGCGTGGCTCAGATAATTTGACTTTTGCCCGTCCAGCATACCAGGCCTACTCTGATCTACGTCAAGCATCTGCTGGAAGCGGACGAATCATGTCGAATGCTCCGGCAGCCACTCCCGCTTCAAGATCGGCGACTCTGTCCTCTTTCCCTGCGACCGATGAGCACGACGAGACCTTCCTCGGTCTCATTCGTCATAAGAGCATAGCTTATCAGACGGTCAATCGCCCAAGCACCACACCAGTCCCACCCCTGCCAGAGTCTCTTCGTCAAGGTCGACCCACTAACTTGGTTGAAGAGCTACGGTCAATGGTCTGGACGCCTCTAGACAAGCAATCCGAGAGCTCTTGGCATATCAGGACTCGAGAGGATCTTGAAAAGCTCCCGGATAATTTCTCTTACATCCAAGAAGCCCTTGACAAATGGGAAAGTTCCGCGAAAGTTCGTCGTCACAGACTGGATGAAGAGCGTATGGGTCGCCAGGAGGAGTCGGAAGCGCAGATCGACGATCTTTTCAATGGAAAGGAAATCGGTTATGCCGATATTAACACGCTCGAAGAGGACTTTCGCCAGACTGAGGCTCGTATCCAGTTGGATGAGGAACGAAAAGAAGTTGAAGATTTCATCGCCAAAGTCTTCAATCCTCTGGACGAGAAACTGAAGAATGAAATATCTGCCCTTGGCAATTCTTACGACTCGGCACTCAACCAACTGGACTGGGACCAGAAGGGAAAGACCGAGCGGTGCAGCCCATCAGTGACGGTGAAGATGGTCAATGACATCCACAGCAAGCTCGAGCTTCGGTTCCAGAAACGGCTTGAACTTGCTCTGGACTGTGAGCGCCGTCGTAAAAAGGCCGAGCGCCGACCACTTGTCTTCATGGGCGATATGGCCAGCCTTCGAAAGCTGGACGGAGATTTCGATCGAATGGAGAAACGGAACATCCTGGAGGCTGCGAAAGACCGCGACGACCGAGCCAACCGGCTGATGGATTCCTTCGACGATGCGATCCTGCACGGTCTAGGCATGAATCAGAGCCTCCTGGACGAGCTCGAGAGCAAAGTAGCCCGACTAGACCCCACGAGTCTCCGCGCTTCTGGCCTACCGGATTCCGAAATCGAACAGATCCTAAAGTCCGCGGCAACGTTTGCTGCTTCGCTTCGCACCGATTCCGAGGCCATCCTGCGCAGTTCAGGAGTTGCCGACATGACCCTCAACGAAGCCGATTACAACGTCTCCGCCGCCGAAGCGCGATATGCTAACTCGGAGCCGGGTATTCTTCAGCGACTCGAAGTTGAAAAGAAGAAAGAGGATGAGATTCTCCAGAATGATCTGAATTCCAAGTTACAAAGTATTCAAAAGGGCCCTCGCGAGATCGAGGATACTATCCAACGCCTCCTCGAGGACCTGAGCAAGACGCCCCCGCGTCTGGCTACAGCCTCGACCGTCGCAAATGACTCGAGCCCTGTGAGTCAGTCTGCCGATGTGCCTTCTGTGATCGTTCGGCCTCCCACAACTATACCCAGTCCATCTCCGTCTCCGGCTGCCGCGAGCCCCGGTCAAGAACCGGAGGAGCACAAAGAACGGCTACGCAAGGCGCTAGAAGAGGCGAAGAAGCGCAACGCAGCGCGAGCCAATCACTAAGTACGAGGTTACAATTGTCATCGAAAATACAAGGTGCATTCATGACGCGACGAATTTTCTTGTATCTGAAATATACCCCTCGTTCATTCTCCCCTCCCGCGCACTTGAAGATCGGGTTAGTCTAACTACTCGAATATTTCCTATGTACCTAGATAGCGCTGTAGTTATCATTATATCATTATTCATGCATGACTCGAGCCACACGTAATCCCACGTTCACCTTGGTATCTGCGGGCTTCGCAGGAGTAGGCCAATCGCGAGTCCACTATTTCGGAGTCCTTTCCCCCCGACGTTACACAAAGTATTCGCACCGACGCTTTGTTTTGTTTTCACTTCCCACTCGTTTTCATTCTCATCCTTTAAACCCAACGGTCGTCTCTCCGACGTCATGACGAAACTCTGCAGGCGAAAAGTGAAAAAAAGGTTCTTGATCCCGAGAACGCTTTCGTTTTCGCGTAGATGTGCGCCACTCTGAGGCTCCGCCATTCAACGGGGGCCAAAACAGTCAAGTGATTAACAGAACAGGGAAGAGCGCACGGACGACATCTGACAACATCCAACAAAAGAGCTCCTACGCCCACGCTGCGCTGTGTGAGAATCGGAGGGCAGGCGAGGCACCATTTTAGGCGCCCGGGCACGGTGATTGGCGACCAACAGTCAAAACCGAGCCATTAGACGCCAGATGCCGATCCAGGCAGCAAAGCGTGGCCTCACGCCCTCAACGGCCATGTCCACCCGTGCTTGGACCTCCCCGAGAGAGGTAGGAAGCCCATCGAACGAGCAGGGATGGAAGAATATCTCCAGACCCAATACCCAAACGGGCGGGTCCTGCTGGGCTGCACAGCACCAGGTTCGAAGAGCTCGGATTCGCTGCCCCTTGACGAGGCTGATCGTCTCAAATCAATGGGCACAGTTCGTGCGCAAGAGCTTCCCCCTCCTTTTGCTGCCCGTGCCGCTTGTCCTGCTCTCGGTGATCATCTGCCAATTGCCGCGGCGTGATATGCAAGGCAGACCTTGGAATCACCAACGTGTGGGTTTAATGTTGTTGTTTTTCTTTTTTGGAATTTTTTTGGGTTTTTTTTTTTGATGCCCATGCTCCTGCGCAGAAATACTGTCCCTGCGGCGGTTTATGCCTTCACCGTGCTTTCGTCCCCAGTTTTTGAGATCGGGGGCTGCTTAGTCGCAGCTTCGGCGCAGGCCCTCGCTCCACTCGGAATGAGCCTCGGGTATCAATCTGTCCGGGGTTCCCTTGCTCATTCTTGGGACGAGCTGTGCCATCAACGTGAGTTGGCTGATGTCACAGTATCCCTTGCTAAAGAGCGTGGCCAATTGATAGCCAAGACGATCCGAGAGCGGGCCAGTGTGACCACTCTTATGGCCAGGATGGAAAAGTCGAGGCTTCCCCCGATGATCTCGCCTTGCGCTGGCACAGACTGCGATCGCCACGGGGTCAAGCCTGTCTGGTCTGCGTATAGCACGGACGTCGTTCTCCATTCTTTTGCTCTGTCAATTTGTCTCCCTAGGGGTTCGGGTTAGATGGTCGCCAACATCGTCTACTTCACAATGCCGTCCGCTACTGGTCCCCCCCGGACCAGTACTTCAGGGCCAGTGCAGTCGCATTTCTCACGGAGTGATCGATCACTGCTTGCTGAGCACAGCTCTGCCCTTCCAAGGCATAATTTGAGCTTGACTCCGCCCCGAAAGCCCCCCGGAGCCAATCGCCTAGCCCCCAAACCCAGATCGGTCCATTCCACACTATCAATTAGCGGTCGTCTGTGCGCTGGTGCTGATCAGTTGTCCAGCACGATTAAACGGTTTGGCCTTGTCAAGACATCATCCCTTTCTGCGGTTAACTCTTGTTTTCTGTGTTATTTCCTCTCCAACGCCCCCGGTGGCTTTTCTTAAGCGCCGTTGGAAAATCATGGGTCTGCGCCGAGCCTAAATTTCGCATTAATTTTACCTGTCTTTTTTTTTTTGCCTTTGCCGAACAATCCGACCCCAACATGGGATCAACTACCTGCGCCGTGCACAGTCGAAGGCCAAATGACGAAAAGCAGATTATAGCTTGATGGCGGTGCGAAATATTTAAAGCGGGAGGGACACGCCCGATTCCATGGTTCAGTGTACCCGCTTCCGTCCATGGGTCGGAAGAACTCTACGACTGAGAAGTGATTTTGGGAATATCGCTTCTTTTGCCCCTCCCTTCTTCTTTTCCCCTTTCCAAGCATGGCGCCCCCGACTAGACAATTTCACAGGCTTTCTATCGGTCAGGATATGCCTGCCTCCAGGATCCCCGCCGAGGGCCCTGTTGACCCCTCCGGAGGCCGGCAGGACGGAGGCAATGACAGCTCGTCTGTCGAGAGCGAAAGCGAGGAGGAGAGCGAGGACAGTGAGGAAAGCAGTGCTGACGAGTCCGACGGCGGATCGAAGGTCCGAGCCCATTCCGGAATCACCTACGACCTCAGCCATCTAGATACCGAGTCTGAAGCCCAGGCTATGGTAGGTCTGATGGGCGAGTTCGACGTGGTCAACTGTCGTGCTTCATCCGAAGGGTTTGACTTTCAGCTTTTGGACCGACCGCGTGTGCACATTGGCCCAGACGCCCCTACTTGTACCTGCTCAACCTTCCAGGACCGGCCTGAAGGTGCCTGTCAACACATCTTCGTAAGTGTGGCGTTATGTTTTCCGAATTTGGTTGACTTGCGAGATCCACGCTGATGGTTTCCTTGCACAGTGGCTCCTCGACCAGCTGCATGGCTGCTTCCTCTCTAAACCTCCGTCCGCGGAGGTGGCATTGTCCCAAGACGGCCGCCCTCGTGTGCGTCCGCGCATCGAGGACCTCCTGAAAGGCAAGCTGGAGGCTGTAGCGAACCAACTCAATTGGCAGTACCTGCGGAACGAAGGAGACAGCAGGACCACGGCGATGACGCGAGTGGAAAAGGTACGAGACGTCCTATCGGCATTCAGCCCAACGATCCTGCCGGAAGATTTCAGACCCGACCTGGTGGAAACGACGACTCAGGCACGCACCGCAGAGCAGTGTGTCGTGCAGGGTGACTTCGAAGCAACCATCTTTCGGCTGGCAGTGCACGACGACGGCGTCCGCAGCAGTCTCTGCAAAGCCATGCCGGCCGGTGCCTGTGCTGCTATCTACTTTGACAAAATCCAGGAGCATTCCCGCCGCCTGTTATCTGACTTCGACCGGTACTGCGCTACGGGCGAGATCCCTTCTGCCCCGAGTAGTCCTGGCGGTGGCCCTTTGCTGGTAGATCAAGTCCTCGAGGAACTACGCCGCTCAGTCTCTCGCATCCGCTCGCACATCAGTATTCGCGCACCCTACGGCTCCGAAAGTGCTGCCAAAGCCCTCGTCTTCATTCTCGACGCCATCTCCTCCCGTAACAAGGATCCACTGGATGGGAATACCTGGGGCCGAACCTCCTTCCAAGGCGAGGACGAGGACCAGCGCAATCTGTACCACATGCTGATCGGCTCCGAGGATATGGATCTGGATTCTGACGCCGATCTCTTCGTCCTCGACGCACTCGACGCTCTTGCCCCAGGAAGCCTTTACCAATTCATCGACGTGCTACGAGACATACGGGGAAAAATCGAGGTCAACCGCGCACCGAAGGCATTCCTCGTTCGACTAGGGGCTCTGGTTCGATCGGCTGAATCGGCGAGTGCGTCTGGGGTAGGATCGGGGCAGAAGCGGCCTGCGGTGGGGAATTCGGGCGGCCATTCAAAGCGGTCTCGATGACTCTGCCAGTCAGTTACGGATTATTTTCTTGTCATGTTCGGGCGGTCATCTGTTCATTCATTGCAATACCCCTGCATTTTTTTTTCACAGCGAACCCAAAATCATATTCTTACCATTTTCGTTACTTTCTCGATCTGGTCTCCTTCTACCCTACGATAGAGTACCTTACGAGTAGCATATTCAAACATCCTTCCCCATCTTCACAGCAATGATCTCGTCAACCAACACAGCCGCAAAAATCAACCATTTCTCGGCCAACTCCTATGAACCTTGGGACATTCACAGACATGGCACCCCAAAGTCACGCGTACTTAGATCACCCGTACTTGAGCATGGCGTCATGCGAACCCAGGACAGCGGTCTCGGGACACCGCTTCCGTGGTTCAGAAGACGCTCGGGCTGTGTCACTTTGCCCAGTCGGCAGTGGAAGTAGCCTGATTCGAGACCTCGATCCATGGATCGGATGGGGTGTGACCCACACCTAGGTTGGAGTAAAAGAATTGGGGTGCATACGGGGGATGGTGATGCCCCTGAAACAACCGCCGAACTTATGGGGCTACAGTTACGTGAAGGATAGAATAGCCAAGGTGGTAGGGTGTGGTGTCGATCATGCGTGGGTGGAGAAGACGCAGCTATATAAACAGGATCATGTCTGGCGGGTGGGGCCTTTCTTATTAGGGCTGTCGCGCTTTTATATGGGGCCTCGGGCTAACGATCGCTGAGGCTCGTGAGAGCGTAAAACTCTTTTTCCAGTGGATACGGAAGACCCATGGAAGACGCGCGGAAGAGCCCGTTTGGGGTCGCATCCGTCTCAACTTGCGACGCTTCAGGTAGAGAATTGTGGCAGCGATTGAGAAGGAGAAACAGTGTTAGCAGATAGTTAAGGGAGAGGAAACTTGAAATGACACTTTTTTAGTGCTAGATTAGTCATGTTTTCATAAAAAGCTTTCGAAAACGGCCAAAAAGGAACCTCGCAACAAACGCTACTGACACGCCAACTACATAAGTTAAAGTTTTATATTGCTCAGATGAAGTATAAAGGTGAGCATAGGCCAAGATAGTGTGAAATTTGGGCTTTCCAAGCTCGATGAGAGCGTATACACTTAGGGGAATTGCCAAACTCTGAGAGCCAGAATTTTCATACCAATTAAAGTTCCATTATACCTGCTTAGGCAAGGGCTTTAACCAAGCTAGATTGTGTTGCAACCTTTTCCGCAAGTGCACGAGGAGTTTGGATCACCAGCATATCCGACGACTGCAACGTCGGCTCAAACCGTTGCAAGATCCGATTGCGCAATTCCACAGCAACCAGAGAGTCCACGCCCAGAGCCAGCATTTCATCCACACTTCCCCACATCTACCGAAAGTAACTGGGATATTTTCTTTGTTATCGCACAGAGTATGAACTGGGCCACAATCTCCGTCTACCGTCGGCGATCACATGCTCAAACGATTCCTCCTCTGCAGAGCCATCATCCCCGACGGTGGCCTCATTGATGCCGCATCGAGCCTCACGGAACAAGGCTGACTGAATAGGGCGATTGCTTGCGGTTGCGCCTGCCAAGGGCTTGGCGTCGAAGCAATACCGGCCTAGGAAATACCGGCCTAGGAAATACCGGCCTAGGAAATACCGGCCTAGGAAATACCGGCCTAGGAAATACCGGCCTAGGAAATACCGGCCTAGGAAATACCGGCCTAGGAAATACCGGCCTAGGAAATACCGGCCTAGGAAATACCGGCCCCGTTGGGTTCAACAGCAGCCCCCAGGATGTAATCAAGAAAGCGGGTAAGACGTTCCAATTGACATGTTTCAGACCACCCCGCTGGTGACCATGCTGAATATCATCATCTTCTGCTGATGGAAAGATGGAGGGATATCGGGACTCAGCCCAACAATACGTGAAGGATTTGCCAAAAGAGTGGTAATTGCAGCCGAGGCTACCGGGTCCGCTAGGATAGGCTGCTCCGGCTGATCTTCATTGATGAGAACGGTGTCATTGCTGTTGCCACCTAGTGCATACTTGTGCTGGAGAGCCTTGAGCGCACTGCAGGTCAATTGATTGACCGAAACGTTCACATTAAGAATCTGTAATGCGCGAACCAGAAAACCCGCCCGACCAACAGCTCACCGATGCGCTTTAGTATGACCGGGCCAGGTCCAAGGCGAAGGGACTGCAACGGGAAGACAGTCTGAAACATGCTTTCAAGAGTAGACGGATGGATGAGGCTGGACGCTGGAGCCCATCGGACATCTTGGCCGGAACATCCAGTACAGTCAGAGGATGAAGATGCTTGCGATCCATCAGGTGCGACTTGAATGGAGTTGATTCTGGCAAAGGCGGGGGCATATGTATTGCCGACGGAATCCAAGTCCCTGTAAAGGATTTTGCGGGGGATGATGTGGCTGTCAATTGGCAACAGGGAGGAATTCGCGACCTGTGTGACTGCTGTTACACTGCTGTCCTCTTCAGCAAACTCAGCCTCGATTCCTCCTGTAGCATGAGTATGCAGGAAGATCATACAGCACCGTTGCTTCGTCTGCACCATGAGTCATTGCAGACACGGTATTCCATTCAACGTTGACACCACATTCAAAAGGCTTGCCGGCCAGAGTCAGCGCGCTGGTTATCGAGTCCACCTTGCGCTGCAACACCGCGTGGTAGTCAAATGAAATTTTGAGCACATCTAGGTGACTTAGACTCTGTCGGACTGGGGCGGACAAGCCTGGATGAAGACCTACTTCCACGAATAAGGCGTATAATTCGGGGTGAAGACTCTCCTTGGTAAGTGTCTGAATAGCATCACTGAAGCACACTGGTTATCCGATGTCCGATTCTGTACTATAGACATCAATATCTCTCCGACAGTAGCATTCATATATATTAGTAATAAATTTCATGTTCGTCAACTTGTGCTTTTCAATCAAAATGACCCTCATGAAACTACTGGTTCCATTTCAGATTAAGAATTAAGGATTCAGCCCGTGGCGCCCATGTAAGGGACGAGAACCTGACTCCGGAACTCCGCCCAGACCAATAGTCAATAATCAATGCCCAATGCAATCGAGAATCAATCCTAATCATTTTCGTCTATACAAAAGCGGCAAATAACAAATAGATTTGGGCAGCCCAGATCCCAAATATTGAAACATCGAAATATGTAAACAAAGAAACCCATGATCTTTGCCACTTGCCCCTGGCGCATTTACATTCCGGAGTCAATTGTGCCACCGTTAGTCTCCGACCCCATGCACTGATGCACACTAATTCTGTGGGTCCCGTCCGGCATCGGCCAATGAGTGAACCATCAACCCCTGTCATCGGCTCGATATCGCGCCGCATCCTGGGCCGTCGTAGTTTTATGTGTCCGAAAGCTGAATTGGCTCTGAAAAAAAAAAAAGTATCCGATCACGCTGACCAAACTCCAGATCTGTCCAATATAACCTTGACCGGGGTCCATATATAGCCTTGTCATGGAGGTGTTTAGTATAATTATCCCCTTCCTCCGTGGGAATTGGGTTCACATCACTCAGAAATTATTTGAAGATCAACAAAAGTTAGATCCTGAGGTTTGTGCCTGGAGGAACCCGGCATCTGCAACAACAATCTATTACTCCAGTTCCCATTCACTCCCATCTAAAGACCTCGGCCCAACTTTGATTGAAGTCTTTTGAACATCGACATGGAGTCCTACTTCCAGAGCCGCCGTATCCGCCGCGAAGTAGAAGAAGATCTGGCCAACGTTCAAGCCAAATCTGTGCGCACCAGGACCTCGTCGCCCTCCACAGAGGCAGGAGTACTAGAGAAGCCAGTCGTCTTCGAAGATGCCCCCCTTGTACCCGGTGTGACGGTTTCCCAGCCAGATGGCGACAAGGGCGAGGTAGTCTTCGTGGTTGGGTGGAGGGAAAACGACCCCAGCAACCCGCAGAACTGGTCTCTGCTCCGTAAATGGATGGTCATGTTGACTTGCTGTCTTGTTGCCATTGCAATGACAGTCCCCTCCTCGGTGGAGGGCGCGACCCAAGACGCCTTTGATGCTCGCTTCGGTGTAAACGCTATGGCTGGATCTATGACGACCGGTTAGTCTATTCTTCTCATTTTGAGAGTACCCCATACTAATAATTCTGGGCAGGTATCTTCCTTATTGGAATTGGTGTGGGCTCTCTGTTCTCAGGCCCGTTCTCTGAGACCTTCGGCCGCAACATCGTCTACTTCACTGCCCTGATCCTCGTGATCCTATTCATCATGGCCAAGGCGCTGGCGCCAAACTACGGCGCTGCTCTCGCCTTCCGATTCATCTGTGCTCTCTTCGCAGCCGTCCCGATGACGGTGGCCGGTGGCACCGTTGGCGATATCTGGAAGCCTTTGCAAATCCCCTTCGGTCTGCCCTTGGTCACCATCGCCGCCTACTCCGGTCCGATCCTGGGTCCAGTAATCGGCGCCTACACGCCCAAGATTGGCTACGTGTGGGCCGACTGGATCTCGATGATCATCGCTGGCGTCTCTTTGGTCGTGGTTATGCTCGCTCAACCTGAGACCTTCAGTCCTGTTCTGCTGGAATGGCGCGCGAAGCACCTGCGCGAGTTGACTGGTGACAACCGATACCGTGCAGCGCACGCCTCCACTTCTGCCGACCCTCTCGGTCCCCGCTTGCTCAACAATGTGTACCGGCCCTTTGTGATGATCTGGACTGAGCCCATCATTTTGATCTTCAGCTTCTACCTGGTCTTGCTCTACTTTGTGCTGTTCACCTTCCTCAACGGCTACCCCTTCATCTTCGCCAATGTATACGGGATCAGCACGAACTTGACTTTCGTTATCTTCGTCGCGATGATTCCCGGTGTCATGGTCGCTCTGGCTATGATCCCTTTTCTGTATGGCATGACGAAGAAGGCAGCGAGACAGGCTGAGGCTGAGGGCAAGGCTTTGCAACCAGAGGTATCGCTTTACTGGGCGATGGCCGGCGCATCGATCTTAATGCCAGTTTCCCTCTTCTGGATGGCTTGGACCTGCTACGTAAGTGCTTTTCACACCATTCCGACACAATGTTTACTAACATCACCTCCCAGGCCGATATTAGTATCTGGTCGCCAATTGTTGCCTCCGGTGTCTTCGGCTACGCGCTCGTTTGCATCTTCACTACGACCTACATGTACATCATTTTCGTGTACTTGCAGTATGCAGCCTCAGCTCTGGGGTTCATGACCTTCACGAGGTACGTCGTTGCCGGTGCCCTCAGCCCAGCCTCGGTCAAGATGTACGAGAACATCGGTCCTCACTTGTCGGTTACCATTGTTGCTGTGCTTGCAACCCTCATGGCACCCGTTCCCTATGTGTTGTACAAGTACGGACACAAGGTTCGGGCCATGAGCAAAAATGCTGTCAACAAGGCATAGATACCCAAATTATGTGTTTCGAGAGTAAAATGTCACGACTTGGCTCTGATAGAGATGCGTGTGGTTCAAGAAGGTGGCTTCGAGTTGGGGATTTTACGGACTATTTTATACTTTGCATTGCATTACTTTCATGAAAATACTTAATTAATGAACATGATTCCACATGTGCTCCTTGGTCTGCTTGTGCAACACTGGAAGGGAAAAAGGCGTTGTATATCCTCATCTACCTTTGTCGACTTGCTTCTCGTTTCTCGGGCTTGTAATGGCTTCGCAATAAGAAGCATGGCGGTATTGAAGTTAGCGTGAACCTGTTCGAGGACGAGTTTGAGTATCTCGATAGGGATGGGCAGTTCAATCGGTACCTGGTGTCGATAGAACCCTGATGGCCGACTAGGGATTGCGTTTCAAATATCTCTCTATCGAGATTTTCCGTCTTGCAGGGGATAGAACCCTTAATCCTAATTCTCCACAACGCCCACTCCTAGGTTCTACTTGTTTGCAATATCTTCTCATACGATCCGCTAGAAGCTGACGTGGCCTCCAAAATGGATGTCGTCTCAAGTGATGCCCCACGTCCCTCGTATTGGAGTGATTCGAGCGAAAGCAGCACTGCATTATGGAGTCAAGAAGACTCAAGATCCTCTGATAGCAAGAGCAGCATCACTGGTTCCAATGTCAAATTCTCCGTCACATGGCAGCGAGGCAAACTGATGTCAGTTGTTAAGCACATGGTGGACGCAGCCATGGCTGAATGTGGAGACTTGGCGACGGAGCAAGATCAGGTTACGTTGACCTTGCAGTTAAAGGTTGAGACTGCCTAAGTCTGTTGTTATCAACTTTATGTCAATAAATGTTAGGAGTTCACTATGAAGACACCCCCTCCCACGCTAACATCAGGACCGGATGATGACTAACAGCACTGGCGGACGCAGAATAGAGGTTACTGGAGGAAAAGCGGCTGTTTTTGGCCTCCAGAGCGGTCATTTTCGGCGTCAATTTCGTAGGTCCTCCGATTCTAGGTGTTAACTACGTGGCATTCTCCTCAATTAACCATATCTGCGCTAGCTGAATATACTTATTCTGAATGGTTTCCTGTTGCTCTCGCACACTCTCAATGGGTCATAGAGTACTGTAATAAAGACATTCAGTAAAATTAAGCATCCGAGTATGAAAATAAAGAAAGTGATCCGTCGCTATATAATCATTTTACATCGGGCAAAGCAGTTTTTCACAAATTTTTCTCCCTGTCAAAGTTCATTTTTTTCTGTGCGTTTGCGTTCTTCACATAAGACGAGTTCGTGCTCTTTGGAAGGACATTCTTGACAAAATGAGCCGTGCTGTAGATACGCTTGGGGAATTGATCGAGTTGATGAGCCAGTAATGATAATTCCAACTTTGAAGGAGTCTCTGGCAGCAGGTATTCCTCCACAAATCTCAAAAGGTCTAGAGTCTGGCTAGCTAGTCTACCCTTTTGTGATTTCGGGAGATTCGATGATTTCACATGATAAGAAACAAAGGAATTCAAGTCCATCTTGCCATTGGCATAGTTGCAAATGATTGGGGGTATTTCGAATGAACTAGATGCAATCAATTATATCTCCTTCGTGCTTTGAAAGCGGGTCCATCCATCCGCCATCATCAGCTTTGGTGCAGCCAATGTACTAAAATGGCTGGACCACGCTGGAGTCCGCCGCGGCCCCACATTACAATCTGCGTATAGCATCAGAGTTGATTGGCGGTTAATTTTTCCACCCCTTGACAGTACCAACCTTGAGGACTCAAATATTCGAAGTAACATTTTATATAATCTTAGGGACTGAAAGATAGATCTCGAACGGACGATAATAAAGATCGGATCAGGCAAAATGCTAATCATTTGTGCCGTTCTATTCGTGCAGAATATTAGTAGAAAATGCAACCGGGGCTTTTTATCCAATTGAGAGTCATCAAGGGGAATCTGCAACCAACATTTGAAACAAGCTCATCTGTTCATCTAGTCACTGGCCTTGCTCTCATGCATAAGCCCCTACATACATGATTGATTGTCTAAGGGGCACCGTTTTCAATGCGCCTTCTTCCCATCATCCCCTGGAGAACGGCCTTTTTCCCGTAAGGACTATTCAATATTGCTTTTACATTCCGACTGAAAAAGCATGGAGGCCCACAAAAATGTCAAATTTCAAATTCCGCAATGTCGGACTCGTTCTCGGTCTCGCTTAACCCCCGACTTATGAGCTGTCGTGCGTGGCGTTGTTATGTCTCTCAGCGACCAGACCCTTCCACCAGCTTTTTTAGAGCTAAGGCCAATCACAATATTTTGGCCCCAGAATATATCCCTACCGCGTATGACAACGCTCAAATTCCGAAAAAGAAAGGTACGAGAAACTAGTTACTAGCTAGTAAAGAAATGGCAGGGTCCGAGCCCCTTACAACAATAACACAACACGACGAGTTCGATTCCCTCTGGTATAAATGCTCTTGTTCTCCTGCCTCGGACAACAAATATACCTTACTGTTCCAAGGTCAACGAAGCAATCCATCGACTCAATTTGCCAAAGGCTCTATATACTCACACAATGAAGGTCACAAACATTGTCCTGACCGGTGCGATACTTGCTATTGCCCAGGCTAGCCCTGTTGCGAACCGCGCAGCTATCAGCGACGGTATGCTTTCCTCAAAAACATAATAGGTGACTTGACTTAATGAGACCCAATCATTTAGCGGATATTCTCAACTATGCCTTGACCCTCGAGCACCTCGAGGCCACCTTTTATGAGGAGGGTCTCAAAAACTACACCCGGGAAGATTTCGTGAGAGCTGGATTCAAAGACCCGTTCTACAGAAACCTGCAGGAAGTCGCTTCGGACGAGAAGACACATGTAGCCTTTCTCACGAAGGCTCTCACTGGTGAGTATCAAACGAAACATAATGTGCGACATCTACTAATTCATCCTAGCTGCCGGTGCTTCTCCCGTTAAACGTTGCAGCTACTCTTTCCCCTCTACCAATGTGGAGTCATTCATAGGCCTTGCTAGCGTCCTCGAGGGTACTAGTCTCCATGATAATTAGACGATATCTGCTAACGACTGTTACTAGGTGTCGGTGTGAGTGCCTATCTCGGTGCTGCCGCCTCCATTGCCAACAAAGACTACCTTACAGCCGCTGGTAGCATCTTGACCGTTGAGGCCCGCCATAGCGCTTACCTTCGCGCCGCCCTCCTTGAAGTTCCCTTCCCCCAGCCCTTCGACGACCCTCTCGACTTCGACGAGGTGTACACCGTTGCGTCGCCCTTCATTACCTCATGTCCTTCCAGCAATGGAAAGCTCCCAGTGAAGGCATTCCCTTCGCTGACATTGACCTCGACCCATGCTATCGTCTGTGGCTCCAAGGCTCGCTTGGTGGCTGGCAGCAGCTTCGACGACGAAAGCCTGAACAACCTCTACGCTGCATTCATTACTGTTACTGGACCTGTCTGGGCTCCCCTCACATACAAGGGGGATAAGACTTTCTCTGTTACTATCCCTCAGGGTGTTGCGGGCCAGAGCTACGTTGTCATCACCAAGGGCAAGAAGCATGTAACCGATGATAACATCGTTGCTGGCCCCGCCATTGTCGAGGTAATTTAGATGCACCTATCAGGTTATTTCACCCTCGTGTTCTCGGAAGGCTGACATTGCTTTATTGTAGATAGGTAACAAGGAAAGCACCAAATGAGCCTGGTGAGAGTTGTTCAGCGAGTGAGGGCGATATGAACTATTAATTAGTCTCGCTCTTATCCAGCCCCATGAGTCATCTCAAGCCCACAAAGAGGCCGTTTAACAAAATGACTGGGAGGATAACTGCTGACAATCCTTGCTTGCCTGTTGTCGCTAAATTTGGTTAATTGTGCTATTCTGACGTGAAAGGCTGGGATTTAATTCGGATTTCGGCGGTGGTTGTGGTATTGAAGGGGTTTATGCTTCTTGTTTTTAACTTTATTTCTTTGCTACCTAAATATCACTGAGCTTTACGCTAAAATATCAATTCCGTTTAGCCCAGCTCAGAGACAGACAAAATAAGGCGGGAGGTTAGCAATTAATCAGTTTTGGATATCATCTATGGCTGCCCGGAGAGGCTACCATTTCCTTTCAACTCAAACCTACAGTTCATGATATTTACAAGAAACGGGGTGCGATTGACCAAACCGTTTATCACGGATATACATGAACGAGTCCTCATTTCTTTTTAGTTTCCTTGAACGCGAGGAGGCCCTTTTCTCGACTTCATCGAATTGTGTCTGGTCAAGCACCTAGCGTCAAGGACATCCCCGGAGAGCAAACAGAAACTGTTAAATATTTGCATCAAGAGTCTTGGCCTCGTTCACTAAAGTACGAGTCTTCCGAGATGAATAAACTTTCAATGATCTTGGAACAAACCTCCCTTTTTGGGGCTGAGCACTTCCCTTTTCCGTTGATCGATAACTTGCAGATTTAATATCAAGAATTGATCTCCAAGGAGACTCTCGGTGACAAAGAATCCGTCGTTACATACAATGATTGAATAAAAAACAATAATTGAACAGGCTCTTCTGGACTCACTCCTACTCATCCTCGTTCTCGTTCGTTCTTTCTCGTTCTCGCTCTCGCTCCCGTCTCCCCCCGAATGGCATGAGCCCTTTCCATAAACCGGCCCACTTACGCTTTGGCATGAATCACGTCGGCTCTAAGAAACTGCAAACAGGCTGTCCTTTCTCAATTCAACAAGAAAGAAAGGAAAAACAAATTATTTTCGGAGCAGAAAGCCCAATCAATCGTAAATTTCTCCCATGCGAATTATCACGACAGGACTCCGCCACATTCTACTCATGATACTCCTTTAAATTTCGGTAATAAAATTCAGTGATAAATAAAAATATGTGTCCCCATATTCATTACGAGGGAGAAGCGTTCAGTATTTTATTGAGTTTAATTCTAGCAACGTTTAACATTCTCATTTACTTCGCCTACAGCATAGCTTTAATGGTCTTCTGATCATCCTTTTGCCGCTGCTGTTTCGGAATGACGAGAATTACCCCTCGAACTTGTCTTTATCCTCTCACAGGCAGCCTTCTGCTCACTTTTGGCCTCTCAATCGGTCTGACATTTCGATCGGATCATCATTGCTATGCTGGCACCTGCGGTGAATGGCTTTTTCCTCTCCAGGCACGATTACATGTTGTGGTCTGGTATTCCTGGATATTGATAACCGTCGTGTTCTTCGCTCTTCGCGCCTTTCAACCCAGGCTGCGTCGTTTTATCCAGCAACGGTTGTTTAAGTCCGGGCTTCCCCTGGTGGGTGGGGGGTTGACTATCAGCGCGTTACTTGGATTTATCTGGGTTATCAGCTTATACGGCATCATCGTCGGCGTCTGGTGGATTCGCCTGCGAGACTACTTCGTGGACAGGGGCCAGGAGGGTGGAGTTTTGGGGGGAAACCACCGTCTCGCTGCAATTGCATTGACGGGTCACCTATGCGATGTCACAATGGGAATGGTCCTCATCCCCGTCTCCCGGCACAGCGCGCTTGCATCCTTCTTCAAATTATCCGTCTCAACAACACTTACCTTCCATATGCTGATGGCCTATACCCTCTTCACACTTGTTATTATCCACGGATTTATTTATGTATCCTGGGTGCCAGCTTTTAACTCTCTCTCAGAGACGCTTCGGAAAGTATTTCCTGTCTTAAACCCAACTTACTTATACCACGAGACTTGGCCGGGTAACTCGTCGGCTTTGGGTGTGTGGCGAGCCTCTCTTATATTCACCGGTATCGTCTCCACCACGATCATGGGCCTCATATTCGTCACTACGTTGCCGAAGATTCGAGCAAAACATTTCAATCTCTTTTACTTTACTCATCTGTTCAGCATTCTCGCTGTCATCGTCATCTGTCTGCACGCGAGTACGATTTTCTACTGTGTGTCTCCAGGGCTAGCTATGTGGGTACTCGATTGGGGTATGCGACTGTACGAGCTGAGAGAGTGTGTACAAGGCAAGGTGATACATCTAGGAAATGGATGGTATAGGTACTTTGAATCCTTCATAGCATCAAGCTGGCCGAGCTAATTTGACTTATATTTAGCATCGAACTACTACTTCCTCGACACCGACTCGACGGATGTGCCTGCCAGTCACCGCTTGCGCATTTCTATATTCGCCACGCAAAATCCTCCGTCTGGGAGCTCCATCCTTTCACCACAATTACTCCTCTTGCTTCTGAAAGCAATATCACTTCCAAGTCCGAAGGATGTCTTCCGATTCAATTCATTTTTCGTAAGCGTGGAGGGCCCGGAAGCGTTCCCCAGGTCCACGCTAGGAACAGTATCTTGCCGACGTGGTGTAAGTTCTTTATCAACTCCGCCAAGCCAACTCTCCAGTGGACAGACAAAGTGGCGAGTGTCACCGATAGAAGCAAGCTACCATTGGGATCTGGAGATAACAGTGGTATATTTCAATCAACTGGCACGCGTACGCCTTCTGTTGAGCTTACCGGCGAGATTCAATCATCCACTCGTTCCTCACAAAAAGTGGACGTTTCGTTACGACTCGAAGGACCATATTTTACAGTGTCAGACCCTTCACGGTACAAGACTGTCATATGCCTTGTCGCTGGTACAGGAGTAAGTGGGGCTATAGCCATAGCCCGCGCCTTTGTTGAGCAGAAGAGACAGCGAATGACAGCTCTTGAAACCGGGAGTGAATTGAGAGCCAATGAAAGACCGGCAAATACATCTATCTGGGAGAGATGCGTGATTCTTTGGAGCGTGAGATCAGAGGCCTATATCGATCTGCCATATATACAAGGTAAACAATCAATTTTCATGCATCATTCTATTGGACATACACTGATACTAACTTTGTTTAGCGGACCCGACCACATCCCTTGAAATTCAGGTGCATTTGACGGGAACGGGAAGACCTCGGCTGAATATTCAGGAAAAGTTGGTTTCAATTTGCGGTCGGTCACCTACAGAGCCCATTTGGGTCTATTTGTCTGGCCCAAGTCCATTTATTATATCTGGAGAAAACGCATGTAAAGGAACCCCAGGCGTCGAGTGGTATAGTGCCAAAGGGGAAATTTGAGTTCTTGTTCCTGGCGTAGTATCTATAAGTCTTCACTGTTAACGTATTTCACAAGGAAGTGGCCACCCTACCAACTTTTGGCGGCCCGACGCGTGCTATTTACAAACCTTGACATTGGATTCCCACGTAATTTATGTCGACCCGCTTTTACTATATGCTCACTGAATACTCAGGGAGCGCTTTGATGAACTGATAATGAGTGATAGTTAAGCGCACAACTCGGTACACGTGGTGAATCCATTCAAAGATACATAATAAGCTTCTTTCCACTAACCGCACCCTCCGCCATCAGATCAAGTGCATGCTGTACATTCCCTAGCCCACCTTCAACAACCTGCGACCTAGTAGGCACGATCAAGCCACTCTCCAAACCCTTAGGAAGATACTCATCGAAAAACCACCGACTAAACTCCTGTTGAGATTCATCCTCGAATGCCCAGCCATACGACGCGAATCTGCGTTCCACGTTCTCCGGGATTGGGTTCTCTCCACCCAGCAGAGGGATTAAAGTGTTGTACCCACCTCCGCCAATGGAGAATAGGTATTTCACGATGAGGTTGGTTACTGGCGGTACGCCAATGGTGTCGAGGATAGCGTCGTATGGGCCCTGTTGGCGGGTTTCTTCTTCGACTTTGTCTGCGGGGGCTGTATGGTCGATGATATATGCTGGTCCGAGTGATTGTACGAAATCGTGGTTGTGTGGTGAAGATGTCGTCACAACTGTATATCCAGCTGTCGCGGCATATTTGATTGCCAGACCACCACTCGGACTAGAACCTCCATAGATAAAGACTTTCTTGCCGTTTGGCTTCGCAGACCCGGACAGCGGAGGCCGGTCAAGACCAAGATGAATCGAGAGTGCGGCGACTACTGTTGCCAGATTGAGCATGGTGGTTGCTCCGCTTTCAAAAGATGTGCCTGGGAGAAGTTTTGAACTGTATGCTGCCTCTGCTAGGGCATACTTTTGGTGAGCGCCAAAGCGTGAGTCGGCTAAATTTTTGCTTCCTCGTCCTACTGTAATGCGGTCCCCAGGTTTCAGGCTTGTCACCTTAGGTCCGACCGATATGACCTCGCCAGCGTACGAGGTGCCCAGATTTGCGGGATACTTTACAGGGTGGATCTCGAATCTGGTTGTGAGAGTGAGCAAAGGAAGATACTTGCAGGGATGGACTGTCAGCTTACCTCTGTATTTTGGATTCGACAGGGCTGAACGCGATGACTTCCACCTTAACTAGGACCTCACCCTCACCAGGTGTCGGAGTTTCAGCATCATCGAGAACCACCTTAGCGTGCTTTTCTTTGATCCACGCAGCTTGATTGGCCATCTTGGGAGCTCTCGTATTGGGAGTTAGAAGGTATTGTCGAGGGAGACTATTACTTCAAAGTGATGGTCGGAATACCGCTGGCCGAACTTGTGCTTTAAGTACCGATCAATAAATATTTTGAATCTGAAATATTAATAAGGACGTAAGACCCTGAAGGCCCGAAGGCCGAAGATTCCGGAGATAAGTCTGAGGTGAGATAAGTCTGAGGTGAGATAAGTCTGAGGTGGATGATCTTAAGGTTTAGTTATCTGATCGATTACTTCCACCCGACGCGGGACTCCGAGCTACCTTGGAGCGGCTTGAATTCCTAAACCCGGCACATTCGCGATAATCAACTTCCGAGACCGAGGTCTACCTTGAGTAAGCACTTAACGTGACCATTTACCAAGCAAATAATGGACATTGTGGCCGTTAAAAGTGATTTAGATCGAACTAAAGTACCGTTGAATTTGCCAAAACTACCCTAGGGATCTATTCCATAATCACGATGCTGTTCTCATGCAAGTTGTCCTATTTATTTTTTAATAAGCACACCAAATTCTGTAGGAAGGCAGGCTGTGCCAAGATGGGAGGTCACTGTAGTAAGAGTGTGGAGGTATACCTGATTTCGAAAAATACTATACCCCGGAACTACAAGGGTGTGATTGCTTTTTATGTTTTCAGAAAGGACAAATGAAATTTGGGAGCTTATTTGATTACTGTTTACTTGTATCAAGCAATCTTCAAAAGCAAATTTCAGCGAGCAAGTCCATTAGACAACCTCCCGTCCCGGACTCTTCTGAGGGCATCCCTCATAAATTTCAATTCCTTCACTAGCCTCTCCATCCTCGTTGCTGTTCTCTGAGTCATATACTGAACCTCCTTCGCTCACTTCACTTGGTGCTGCGTTTGGCATCGGATCGGAAAAACCAGGCATCTTAAACCAGGACTGATGACTCAAACTCATCCAGCTAAGACATCCCATTTCAAAGAATATAATCTCTGGGTCAATATCTTGCTTTACCAATTTCATATACTGGCATTTTTCGAGGAAGTTGCAACAGAAGAGAAAGCGACGATCACAATTTTCGGAATTTGCGAAAAGCTCAGTACCGCAATCTTCATCATTTGCTGTATCAAAGCCAGTCCTCCATTCATCTTGAAGCCTGTCGAGGGTTCTCTGAGAGACTGGCTCCATAATATCAGAGAGCGTGGTCAACTCTTTCCATGCGGTTTCAGAGGTGCGAAGGCTTTGTATACTGTGGTAATCCAGAAGAGCTTGTAATTTCAGCGGTACGAGGCAGAACACGAGCAGAGCGAGTTGGTCAAGAGCAAGCATCTTCTGGTCAAATATTTCCTTCTCCGCTTTGTATTTTGAGGTGAGAGATACGAGTTCCGCAAAGTGTTCAGGTTCGAGATCAACTATCGATTTTGCGGATAGTTTCACTGAGGTGATCTCTGGCTTGATTGGCTCTTTCAATTCTGGAATATCACAGCTTCGAACAGATGGGTCGCAGTATTCCCAGACGTTGAATAGGTCCATCAAACCCTTGACATAATCTTTCCACTCTGGCCAGTCATTGGATGACTCGAGTGGAGGGGCTGGATCTTCATCGAGCTTCTTCTTGATGATTCTATACATATCCATATTTGCTTGGGTTTTTTTTGTCCGTTGTCGACGCTTCGATTTTTGGATGTGCTGTGTATCTAAGGGGAGGTTCAGAGAAAATATTGTAAGATTTATTCGGTCTCAGTGTCATTATTATATTTCTGCCTTACTTTCGTTTCCAGATTAGGCTTAGTTGATCCATCTACGCACAAAGACGTCTTTGACGCCGACCGCCCACCGCCCCACCAATCCTTTTCATCTGGTTCATAATGCCATTAGTGGATCAGTTCTTCAATAACTAGGCCGGCTGGCCCAATGGCAAGGCGCTTGACTACGAATCAAGAGATTGCAGGTTCGACCCCTGCGTCGGTCAAATTTTTTGAAATCTTTGCTATTAAACACGAAAATTCTAATTCCCTTTTTTTTTCATTTTAATTTAAACCAAATCAGATAAAAAAATTTCCTTGCAAATAAAAGCATAGTTCAGGTCCTTTAGCGATCTCACTGTTCTGATTCCAAATATGGCTATCATCAGTCCGAATCAATTGGTGCTTGCTGGTCGAGAATATATATCGTAAAAGACCCCACCCGCGGAGTACTGGGCCTTCATTTCCCCAAGGAGACAGTAGACATGCTTTGAAAACCCGATTAAACGCTTCCACTATACTTAGAACACTCAAATATCCTCGCCGATGCCGCCTTAACAGAGTGTTGGTACCCAGAGTCTTTAGGAGCCGATTGGCAACATTTCCACTCTTCGAGGGCCTCGGGGCCCCTCTTCTCCTTGGATTGCTTTCCTTCCACAGCCACTCGGTATAATCGAAGGTGCCCCTCTATGCCATCTCACACAGGTACACTAACTCATATACCTACCCAAACGCGAGAAAATATAGTGAAAGGATGGATTGGCATTATCTTCTCCATCCATGGTTTCTGGTCGAATTAGGGCACTGCTATTCGCACCGCAACAAACTAGGTGTTAGAATAATTCACTTCCAAGCTAAACCACTTCGTCGCATTAAATCTGCCTTTCGAATCCGCAATAGCGAGGATCAAGACCTCGAGACTATATGCGCCAAGCTTAAACAGTGGGGCAAGTCTCGTGATCAAGCCGCTTATCGTGTCTCTTCTCCTGGATTTTGAACTTGGAATCAGCCTCGTCATTCTGATCTTCTGCGTTCCAGGGCCCAATTCCATTCTTTTTGGCAATTTATCGCTTTCAATATGCCCCTTGACCTAAGCTACGAAGACATATGTGCGAAATTCGACCGCCTCATCTCCGATGGCATCATAAACTATCAACCCAGCAAACCAATCCTCGTCACAGATAACGGGATGATCGTTCGTCCCCACCACCCGACCATCCAATCACCCCCCTAATCAATATCCAGTTCTCCTTCCATCTAGTGGAATCACTCAAAATCAAACCCCAGGCTGAAGATGCACCCGAAACGACCAAATCAAGCCTGATAAATGGCGTCAAAGCCCAGCCTATGTCTTTCGGCCCCGGCAGCGATATAGCAAACGATCACCCTGATATGTGTATCACGATGGTGAATGAGACGCATTACCTGGTTATGAATAAATTCCCTGTTTTCCGCCCCATGCTCCTCCTGTTAACGGTCGATTCATATCGTCGACAGCACGAGCCTCTTGTTCTGGATGACATAGAGGCTGGGTGGAGTGTGATCTGTGGTTTGAACGAGGAGCATTATGTTTTCTTTAATTGTGGTGAATTGGCGGGCTGTAGTAGGGAGCATAAGCATTTGCAGGTTGTTCCGGCCCCCGGGAGGCATGAGGGGTATGATGAAGGGTTCAAGTTCTTTCCGGATGATGATAAGCAGATGGCGCCGAGGATTGTGCATTTTATGCAAAAGTTTGAAGAGTTACCCGGCAATCGGGTGGAAGGTGGTGAACATTTGCTAGAGGTTTACCAGTGTCTTTTGCAACAAGCGAGAGAGGCGCTTAACATCTCGACAGATGTTCCCTGTCCGCACAACTTCGTTCTTACGAAGAGGTGGATGGTGGTTATTCCGCGACTGGCAAAGGAGTTCCATGGCTTCACGGCGAATTCACCTGGGATGATGGGGTCAGTTTATATTTGGACTCAGGAGCAACTGGATGCATGGAAGCGAATCGGGCCTATGAACATCCTGAGGGGTCTAGGGCTGCCGAGGGGAGAGTGATGCTGATGTGAAAGCTTTCAACCGTTATCGGTCAATAGATTTAGAATTGAGTATACCCGCGATAGCCGAATCAAATAAACAGAGGACTACAGGTTGACTATGCACCATGTCACACATTTCGGTACATACACTCATAAAGTCACAACAAGCCGTTCCAATCAACCCGACAGATCCAGCACCACACGACCCTGCAATTTACCCTCGTCCATCTCCTTGAATACGGAAGTCAACGCATCCATCTTCTCAGTACGGTAATGGGCCTTAATAACCCCACGCGCAGCAAATTTCAACGTTTCAATAGCCTCAGTCCGATTTCCGACCGCAGAGCCAGTAACAGTCAAATGCTTATTGATGAACGAGGAGGGGAACGCCGAACCAATAGCCTTGGGCTCATTCTCAGGAATTCCAACACAGACAAGAGTACCGTTAAAACGCAACAACGGCAAAGCCTGCGCATACGCAGCATTAGCAGCCGTGCAAACGATCGCAGCGTGCGCGCCAAGCCCGTCCGCCAACCCGTGGACGTGCTTGGTCAAGGCTTCACCCTTGTCGTCCGAGGGGAACTGAGTAATATCGACGAAGTGTTCGGCTCCAGAGGACTTGACGAGCTCTGCTTTGCTGCCATGGTCGATTCCGATCACGCGCAGGCCCATGCCCTTGCTGGCGAGCTGCACTGCAATGTGACCCAGTCCACCGCCCGCACCGGAGATGATCACCCACTGACCTGGGCGGGCATTGCTGCGCTTCAGAGCCGAGTAGACGGTCACACCGGCGCAGAGCATCGGTGCGGCTTCGGCGGAGTCCAGGCCATCGGGGATCGGGGTGACGTAGTTGGCTGGACCCAGTGCGTATTGCTGGAATGTGCCGGGGGTGTAGTAGCCCGATACTTTTTGGTTAAAGCACAGTCCATCGGACCCGGCCTGGCAGGGTTCTGATGTCGATTGTCAGTGATAATTGAGAATTTCTGGCAGAATCAAAATGAACTTACGGCAGTTTCCGCATGCACTGGAGATCCATTTAATGCCGACTCGGTCGCCAATCTTCAGGCCGGAGTTTTCTGTGCCGGAGCCGAGCTTGACGATTTTTCCTACGCCCTCATGTCCTCCAACTTGGCCTGGCTGCGTTGGAAATGGGAGCATGTCCCACTGTGATTGATCAGAATGCGAATCTTTGAGAGCACAGGTAGCAAATCATACCGTGTTGGTCATGATTCCATAGTCGGAGTGACACACGCCCGAGTGAGTCCTGAGGGGGTTATTAGTATCTCCTCAACCGCTCGATTTAGACACACGAACAGATTAATGAGAACCTCGCCTGCACCTGGCTCTGGCACATCGATGTCGATAATCTTGGTGGACACAGTTCCGGGCTGGTCATAGATAGCGGCCTTTTGCGTCTTGGGGATCTCAGGAGCAGCCATGATCGCGTAAAATAATTTATGTGTATATTGAATGGTAGACGGGGTTAATTACTTGATGAGTTACTGATGAGAAAGGAAGAAGAGCATCCGCGGGTTAAGGGGACGTCAATAGGAGGCAACCCCTCTGCTCGGTGAAAGAGGAGAAAGCGCCAATGTGGAGCGTTTGGATCGCGGGGTGATTGCCAAGGCACCCGTGGACTCCGAATTGTATGCCTCGGGATCTGGGGCAAACAAATCTTAGAAGAGCAGTCCGGGGAGATAATGATGAAGTGAGGGGCGCGAGGTGGAGTCATCTTGGACCTCGGTTGGTTGCATTGTGACTATGCAACTGGCCTGAGATACAAACGGATCGAAATCGGGAATTTCCAAGGCTCTAGCGATATATAATGACGACTGTCAATTAAAGGATGTCCAGGATCAATTTATATATACCCATGCCCCAAGGTCCTCAATGAAGTGTTGTCTTGGGCGTCAATCGGACAACCCCGCATCCCCGCAAACCCGCAAACCCCGGGAAAGGAACATCCACGGCCACGGACACGCTCGACAGCATAATTTAATTGGAAGAAGAGAAAAATGGGAACGTTACATATATTTAGAATATAGCGACCGTTAACTAGCCACCATGCCAGCCATGCCAGCCTCGTATCCTTAAATAGTGAACTCTAGCAAATTACCCGCGTAATCCCGCGCAAAGAACCGCTCCGGATATTCCTTTCCTTTCGGCCCTGTTGCAAATCCCTATGAGTTCCAAAAGCCAATGGCCACTTGATTGATAGACAACTCACCAGAGTTCGCCTCACCGGGCTTATCAGCAGCCATCGGCGCTGCAGGGCCTCCCCGGACTTTGTGATCGTAGATGGATTTCTTGATCTCCTCCAGCTCATCTTGAGAAGGCAGCTTAAAGCAGGGGTGCCGAGTGTGCTCGGGGTCCGTCGGACCGCAGGTGACATGGACTTGTTGTCCACTGGAGCCGATATTGAACCTAGAGCCATCTGGGTTAGCGTTCACCCTATAGGCCAGTGATCCGGAGAGCAGCGCCTCTCAGCCCCAGACAAGTTTCTTACCAAAGAATGGACCCTTTTTGAAGCTCCGGCACAGGAGCGGACACCAGCCCCAGCGTCTTGACATAGAACTCCTCCGCGTGCTCCAACGTCCCCGGAGTCACAGTCAGGTTGACGTGCGCGATACCAGAGATCATGACGGAACAGTAACTGTACTAGGGTATCTTTAGGGGTCTCCAGTCCATGCAAGATGATACTGGGTACACCGGCTAAACGCGATACTTTATTCATTCGCGTTCGGTGACATCCCCGCGATCACGGCGAATCGGAAACCTGATCCCGATTGTGATTGGTTGCTTTGGACATGCTCCACTGGCGACGCGGACTTTGAATTCGCTTTGGATTGGCTCAATTTGGGCCTTGCGTGACTCGGGAGCTGATAAGTATCCGTTTCACGACTGATAATTATCCGTCTGATCTTTTCCTGTTTTTGTTTGGGGATATCGCGTTGGTGGTGGAAATCGTGTGCCGAATAATCGACTCTATGCACTCCGACTTGTACCAAGATGGAAGGATCTACTAATTTAAATGCCTATTTTGACTAGGAAATAAAATGTACGCCTGTACTTTGCAAACATGGATTGAATTGTTCAAAGTTTTATTTTTAAACAAGGTTCAAGGAGTAGATTCACTAGTGATGCAAGCATAAGACAAGCAAACATAAATACCAGTGGGAGACCTCGCTATACAAGAGTTGAAAATCCAGAATCAACACCGTGTGAAAAGGATGTCCCGACCCAGAGGTTAGAACAAAGAGCGAACAACTCGCAGAGGCGCCGCCTTGAAATATTCGCCCCAGGTGGCATATTCAACCTTTGGAGGCAGGTCAACATCCAGGGAGCCATCACGAATGTTGCTGAAGACGTCGATGTTCTCAATCTTGGTCAGCCAGGCTCCACGGTCAAGTGCAGGATCCTTGTTGAAGTGAGTATAGACCACCCAGAAAATGAACAGACCGATGATAATCGGCGCAGCGAGGTAATTCTCGAAGAAGGCCTCGGCATTCATGGGATAAACAGAGACGTAGAACTCAGCAACGAGGGTCAAGCAGGCGAGGAACACGCCAACCCAGCTGCCAATGACACCGAAGGGGGCGGCGAAGGCAAGTTCCTTGACGTCCCGACCCTGATACTTCCATGCCTGTCGGAAGCGGATGTGGGCGAAGCAAATACTACCCCAAACGAACAAGGAGCCAATACCGGACAAAGCCAGCAGCCAGTTGAAGATAATACTACCGGTGCTCGAGGCCTCGTTGATGAAAGCGAGGAAACCGAAAGCGATCTGGAGGAGAACGCAGTAAATGGGACGTCCAGCCTTGTCGACGTACGCGAGGAACTTGGGGGCCATGCCGCGCGCAGCCAGAGCCTGGATGGTACGGGTAGAGCCGAAGGTTGCGGAGTTGGCCACACTGATGACGGAAATAGTGATGACGGCGTTCATGACGGATGGCAGGCCACTGATACCAGCAGTCTGGATAGAGACGACGAAGGGAGAGGCCTTGGTGTTGGAACCGGTGGCACCGAGAAGGTAGTCCGCGTTGCTAGGCACGATCAACCCGACGATGAAAGTACTCAGGAGGTAGAAGATCATGATACGCCAGAAGACTTGCTTGGTGGCCTTGGGGAGGGACTTGGCAGGGTTGGCAGCCTCGGCAGCAGCGAGACCGCTCAGCTCGGTTCCACTGAAGGCAAAGGCTGCAGTTGTGAAGACGGTGCAGAAACCTTCGAAGGAGGTGAACGCACCCGGGTCATGCCAGTAGTGAGCTCCGATGTATCCGCCCTTGGGTGCACCACCGCAGTCGATCACGACGCCGAGGATGATGAAACCGATGACGGCGACGACCTTGATGAGACCGAGAGCGAATTCGACTGAGGTGGAGATGGGTTAGTACTAGGCTGACTTGGTATTTGAAGTGGCACTCGTCTTACCTTCACCATAGCCACGGACACCGAAGAATTGGATGGCTGATAGAACGACCAGGAACACGGCGACCCATATGCCCATATTTAAATCATCTCGCCAGTATTGGATCGTTATACTCGCGGCGGTGATTTCGAAAGGTAAGATGACGAGCCAACTGATTGCATAATCCCAACCGACAGCGAAGCCCCTATTATCCAGTTAGTTGTTAGTCTTGTAGATTGGAAACAGTCTGAATAGTAACTGACCAGGCAGGACTGATGAAGCGAACACAGTATGAGAAGAAAGCTCCGTTGACAGGATAGAGAACGGCCAATTCACCCAGTGCTTGGATGGTAAGCAGAAGGAAAGCACCCACAATAATGTATCCGAGGGTCTTGATAATGACCGTTAGCCGCTTCCAATAGATTGTTTGTTAGACGGCTTACCAGAGACCCGGGGCCTCCCTCCTGCAGTGCACTCCCAGTAGAAACGAACAGACCAGCACCAATGGCACCACCTATACAAAGGATACGTAAGCCAGGTTGCGAACAATTAGCGGCGAGAGAAAAACAAACCAATGGCGATCATCTGCATATGACGCCCCTGAAGGTTTCGCTTCAGAGGGTTAACCTCTCCAACACCATGATCGTCAGCGACAGTATCACCGTAGCCGGGTGTGGTGCTGTCCGGAGCCGGCGTGACGGCAGTAACAGCCTTCTTCTCAATGTCTTCTTCGGAGGCAGACATGATGACCGAGGGAATTTAGTATAGGCTCGAGTAGAACTAAGAATAAAGGGGGGCCGGTTTGACCGGGACCTCTGGACATTATATACGGACGGACTCCTAAACCCATGTCGATCTAACGTTACTTCGGGCGTTGAGCGGGCGTATAGTCGGGCGTATGAGAGGGCGTAAGCTCGAAGGGAACATATGCACGCCACGCGACTCTGGAAAGGGAAACCAGACCGTCGGAATGGCGAATTAAGGCTTGATAAAGAAAGGCCCCTGCTGAGCTGGCCAATCCAGACCGGGGTATAGTGTCGGTTGGAGGCTTATCTCTATCCCGCCACGCCGCCCCCCGACGGTACCCGGTGGGTTTATTAGATTAAAATACGGGGTCGCCTAAATTGTCTCCTCACGGTTGTTGCGATATGGTTGGTGTTGTATGAAACATTCGCCTAGGAAATTAATGCCGATGCCGTCGGACGCTCGTCCAGGGAATCCATGAGGCGATCGCGAACCCCAAACAACGAGAGTACTTTCGAAAAGACAGGAAAATGTGGGTGACAATGACCATGGGGATTAGTGGCGATTGTGTCGTGCTGGGCGCTTGGATCAACCTTTGGGGTAACAAAAGATAAGGAGTGGACACACCCTGTAAGCAAGCGGGACACAAGTGGTCTAGAAGGTGGAACGACAAACTAGCACAAGCTTCGGCCCCGCCATGGGGCACAATGGGACTCAGTTCTTGGACTGGCCGCGAGTTGAATAGGGTCTTACCCACTTCTCTTATCACCCGCCAATAATACCCGCATCTCACCGCGATCTTCTGATCTCTCTCGAATGGCAAGGAAATTAAAGCCGACCTTACGTGCAGCTGTCCAATCGTATTGCCACGCAAGTTAAGGTTTGGCCCACATGCCAAGTTTGGCTTGTTTATCATGGGGGCTAAGGCGGATATTTTGCGGGGGGGGGCCACGTTGACCATAATCCATCCGGGCGCATGGGTATTTGAAGAAAAAGGCCGACACGTAATGAGAACTGAATCCATTCAGAATGAGAATGAAAGATAATGAAAATGCACTCTTATCTGATGCTCACCACATAGTCCTTCCTCAGGGGCTACCTCGCCTTGGTCCCAAGGGTTGACATCCTCAAGAACAAACAACCTCTAAAGCGTGCCCAGGGTGCTGTGCGGGGGATCGACACAAGGTAAAACCATGGAATATGTTTAGCGCCACACATGAAGCCTCCAGAAACCAAACTAGCGCCACCACTGGCGCTCGTAGTCGACCGGATAGCCTTCCACTCGCGCCTTCCGTACTCTCAGACTCGTACCTCGCGGCTACGGGAACAGAGGCCGCTACGCATATGCATATCGTTAATAGAGCTTGTAATATCCTTGTCAATACCGTTGCCCTGAAACTCATACGTGAGACCCTGTTTTTCAAAATGACGGTAGGTCGCCAGAGCGATCTCCTCCATTGGTAAGAAGGATCGGTTTCTTTTTTTGTAGGAGCTACCTTTTGAATTAAGGTGACTAAACGAGGTCCTTTTCGATGGTTCACCGGGCACTACCGGTCAATTCGGGCTACGGCAATCTTTGCATCTGGTCTGGACGGGATTTTGGGGGGTCATCAGACTCACTTTTTAGACGCAAAATAATGCGCCCAGTCCGCGCGGCCTTGCAGCTTGGGTGGGCTTTCCCCATCTGCTCGGTTAGGCTTAATACAATCTTCCCATTCGTCAAGTCGCGAAAGACTTATGCTCCTGGTTTAATATTGGAAGGCCGCATCCTATGAACTGTAGTGTTCCCGAGGGATACTTGTGCAGTAGGTCGATAAATGGACTGCTTGGATCGTCGGCTTTATGATTGAGTGGGCATTTCCCCCCAAAAAAGGGATTTAGAAGATGATATGCGAGGGGACCCTTCAAAGATCCACTTGGGACCAGAGGGAACCGTGTCGGCGTTTGTCGTTCAATTCCAAGTTTCCCCAGGCCTCGACTTCTCGGCGAACAAACTCAATGTATTGGCGAGTAATATCCAGTCAGCTTGTGGCCCTAACCCTCTATCGTTAGTGACTACAGAAGTAAACCTCAAAATACGCTGCCGCAATTCTTCATCCATATCCTTAAACGAGGACATGCATCACCGGCCAACTCTTTCCGTCAAAATTCAACGCAGAGGGAATGAGTTCAATAAAGAGGCCGGAGACAAGAATCATTGGTAGAGGGCCACCACTTCAAGTTCTAGACTAGCATTGATGACTACATAAGCAAATGGGACTGCTCCAGCCCTATTGGGGGTATGATTTCCAGCCAGGCCCCGGTCCCGAGAGCATTGGCTCCCACATCCGCATCAACCATCCTGGGACCGAGTCGGGGACCGCAAAATATAAATTGAACCCCGACTAGGACACAGGCGAGCAAGTCACGAAGACGACTAGTTTAAACCTGGCGATATTCATGATGTCCTATAAGCTCCTAGACTAGTGAGAGGTGACGCGATGTGTTCGTCCAGTTTCGGGGACTGGAATTATCTTGCTAAGTCTCCACGCCAAAGAGTTTCTTGATGATCTCCCGATTACTGATCATTGTTAATCGTCATTATAAATAGAAATCATGCGTAGGAAATGTGAGGTTGAAGAGAAGAGGAATTGTGCATTGGAGTGGTAGGCTCCGGTACCATGTGATGCTATGAAAGGAGCCTAGATCGCACTTGACTTGCATGTGACCAGCACCCTGAGACATGCGGTAGATCCCTGTCAGAATCTCTGCGCGCAATTGGTCCACAATATACGCAATAAAACTTGGAGTGGTATTGCGACGACCGTACTTTTGCTAGCCTTACCCCTTAATATTTCTGATTGAAAAAAAGAAAAAGAATTGTCTTCGAAAACCTCTTGGCATCACAATTATCTCTCCGCAATTAATTGTGCAAATTTTAAAAAACTGAGCTGCCAGTAGATCATTTCAATGCTCGGCTATCAAAAACCGCTGAGCTTAATGGTTAGCACGCGATGTAATCTACGGATTTATCTACGCCAGTAATAAGCTAGGTCGATTAACTACTTTGGAGAGTTCCGATTCGCGAGCAGGTGCCCTAGATATATAGCTCTTGACGCCGAAGCCGTCTGACTGATGCCTTATTTAGGGCTGGAGAATTAACTTGTGAGAGTATGGAGGTACAATTATTTTTAATCCCCTTTATCTTGTCTAATACCGTATGGTATATACACGTCGACTGTATAATGGATGCCACATTATTGGCATTGTCCCACAAGGTGCTAAGACCTTTTTCATATGGACTGTCGTATCACTTGGAAACTGTGCCGTGCTAAAATGGCGAGGTGTATGGAATGAAGTGTGAATGAATGACGAGAGATAGATAATCATATTAAGCGAAAGTCTAAATGTTCGCAACGGCAAATAGTGGAGCGGTAGATCAGGGGTAGATCATGTGATTGCAGCTGTCCGAAAGGTCATTGCTATCATCATAGGGTCAGGCGTTCGAATCGCCTTCGCTCCTTGTCTTTTTTTTTTTTGGCTCAATTTGAACGTCTTATCCCGAAAAAAGTATGAAAGAAATGAGGATAAAACAATCACATACACGGGTTAAGGTTATTTGGACCCCTGCTTTGTGAGATGTCACTGTATTTCCTCGAAAATTCATATAGCTAGTCAATGTGGCAACCTGACTTATCTTAGTCATATCCAGCGAGCCCGATAAATCGTCCCCAGCGAGCCCTATATACTCTTCTCTAATTATATGCGGAACTTGAAGAGTAGGTCCCGTCGAACTGTCAGCATGAACGTTACACTATAATAAATTGAGAATCTCCGAAATTAATCGGACAATAACGGAGCGATAGCTCAGCGGTAGAGCTTTCGATTGCAGTATTCTGCAATATCTCGAAAGGTCAGGCGTTCAAATCGCCTTCGCTCCTTTTTTAAAATCTTTTTTTTTTCTTTAGATTTCAAATCCATACTTGTACTAGCCGTTCGTCTTCGGCAATGGCCTTCCGTCAATCCAAATGAAGCCGGTGGGAACTTTTAGGCATGACATATAAACCTAAATTTGATATTGCTACACCAGATCTCAGAAACACAGAAGGGGCATAGCATACAAATAATTTCAATATATCTCAAATTCCACCGGATAGTTGCATTAAATCTCCTTTCGGTCGATAGACCTTGAATGTGGCCTCCACCTGGAGCCAAATAAGAAGTGGTGCTCTGATCGTGACGAGGAGCTACACAGGGAGGTGTTGTTCGAACTCCTCGTGAACGGTCACACTGCCTTTGGGGTCAACATTTACAATCGCATTGGGTGGGAACCGGCCGCAGTTCTCTATCGCCCTGGAATCGATCTCTTGGGACCATGAGAGCGTTTGGAGCAGCATATGAATATTTCGATATCATGGCCACACGCGATGAGAGATATTTTGCTGACAGTCCCCATTCATCGATCGACAGGAATGAAAGACTGAGATGTCTCATCGCTGCGCCAGATAAATTTGCATCTTTCCCCGCTGGCTATCGATCCATTAAAGAGATGGATCAAAGGGAATATGAACTCGTCGACACAGAGACGAACGTGCAAGGTCGATTTTTCTGGGGATTAGAGAATACCAATGTCATACCTGCGGGGTAGACTCGATAACGGTCCATCGAAGAGGTAACCGAATGCGAACGTCTAATCACTGTGACGGGCATCAAGTCAAAGATAGGTGCAATTCATAGTTTAGTCAATGCGGGGAATCATCTCCTATCACGTTGTCCGTATCTCTTGACTGGAACGTGTCTTTCAGCGAAAGACTCTCGAATCCTAAACAGCCTGCGCGTCATAGGGTCTTTATGAAAGGATCAGATTCGCGGCAGTAAGTTATGCTCCGACGGGTGGAATCGGTAGCCCGTTGAGGGAAAACTTGGACGGAGGAGGGCTATCGGGGAATGCCAAGGCCTGAGCCCACTTCAAGGGTCTCTGTGAATGGCTCTTCGTGCTGCCACCAGATGCTTTACCTATTTGGGAATACGGTTCCCGTATTTCGTCGCGTGCGCATTGTTACGTGCTGTGTTCGCTATGTTCAGTGTACCCCCTGGTCCCTGCTGACGGGACGCGACTGCCTCTATTGGCGGCAACGGTTATCTCGATGATGCGACGATCCCCAGATAACGCGCAAGGGTCACCTCCGCAGCGATTCCTAGGGCGTCGTTGTGGGTTGTATGGGGCGCTAGCCGTATTGGCGGAGCAGAAGCGAAAAGGTGGAGAAGCTTAGCGAAACGCGACGGCCTCGGCAGCATTTAAAACCTTCCGAACGTCCCCCTGCTTTCCCGATCCCGAAAAAAATTGCCCTTGTGTATGATCTTGCCTAGATCTACATGATAATGTTTGGTGGAGCATAAGCGTATTCTTCCTCATCTCATCGAGGACGCAACTCCGTCGGTCTCCGAACGTCCCCACCATGGAACCCAAACATGTTCCCCAGTCGGCCGACGACCAGGCCTTGGCCCGGCTGGGCAAGAAGCAGGTGCTCAAGAGACGTTTCGGCTTTCTGTCGATCGTCGGCTTCGCTATGGCCGAACTGATCACGTGGGAGACAGTCCTCACGCTGTTTTACCAATCGTTGGAGAATGGTGGCCCTGCGGGTGCCTTTTACGGCTATGTGATCGCCTGTCTGTCGACCTTGTCGACGTACACTGTCATCTCGGAATTGGCGTCTATGGCTCCGATTGCAGGTGGGCAGTACTACTGGGTGTATATGCTTGCTCCGCTGAAATATAAGAAGGCATCCAGCTATCTGATCGGCTGGCTCACCTCTCTGGCATGGATCGCGACGATCGCCACCGAGACTATCTTCCTTGGGACGATGATCGAAGGCCTTATCACCTTGAACAGCCCTGATTTTCCGCAACAACGGTGGCAGAACACTCTGTTGGCCTGGGCGAGTGTCGCAGGTACCTTCTTCATCAACGTCGTGGTGCCAGGGATTCTTCCCCGATTTGAGATCGTTATGTTGGTCTTGCACTTGGCGGGCTTTGTTGGCATTCTGGCTACCCTGCTTGCTATGTCACCTAAAAGATCGGCAGACTTTGTTTTCCACACTTCCCTTAATGAAGGAGGTTGGCCAACACAAGGCCTATCCTACTGCGTGGGATTCATCGGAAACATTGCGACATTTGTGGGTGCCGATGCAAGCGTCCATATGGCCGAAGAGGTCGCCAACGCTGCAGTGGTAATCCCTCGCGCAATCATCACCGGAATGACGCTCAACAGTGTTCTCGGACTCGCGATGATGGTTACGGTTCTCTTCTGCATCGGAGACGTCGATCATGTTCTGAACTCAGTCACAGGGTTTCCATTCATCCAGGTCTTTTACGACAGCACTCAGTCCTACGCCGGCGCATCCGTCATGACCGCCCTCATCATAGTCCTGACGGGCGCCTGCTCCACTGGTATCACCACCACAGCATCTCGTATGACCTGGTCCTTTGCGCGCGACAAGGGCCTGCCATTCTCCCGCTTCCTGAGCCAAGTGAACCATCGCACCAAAGTCCCCATCGTATCTGTCACCGTAGTCTGTGGATTTGCCTGCGCCCTGACTCTCATCTACATCGGTTCCGACACTGCCTTTAACGACGTCATCTCCCTGACCGTGACCGGATTCTACAGCACCTATATCCTCCCAAGTGCGTTACTTCTCTACCACCGCATTATGGGCCATGTCTTGCCCCATGGGACTATGCTCGACGGCCTCCCAGATGCAGCCGCCAGCGCCAGTTCCAGTACCAAGGAGAAGTCCGTTACCCCTGTGCGCCCCAAGAGCCCTGTTAATGAGGACCCCCCCAATGCGGGTCCTTCGTCCAGCCCAGAACGCGACATTCCCGAGAAAACTACTGGCCAGGTGGAGTTTGAAATCTCCCAGGCTCCTCTCATCTGGGGTCCGTGGAAGGTCCCCGGTATTCTCGGTACCATTAACAACGCGTACGCTTGTGTGTATATGTTATTCGTCCTTTTCTGGAGTGTTTGGCCCTCCGAGACTCCGGTGAATTACTCCACCATGAACTACAGTATTGTCGTCACTGGCGGCGTGCTGATCTTGAGTGGTATCTGGTATTTCGTCCGGGCGCGGAAGGAATACGAGGGGCCACTGATTGATGAGGATATTGCTGAGATCATGCATCTCAGCCCGGGCGCTATTCCAGGACTGGTTCCCGGCTCATCAGCTCCTCCTGTATAAGTCTTGGAATTGAGAATCTTGGCATAAGATGGGTTTGTGGAACCGGAGCAGAGGACGGGGGTCGTGAGACCCACCAAGGAATGAGCAATGTATGAAAACTATACCCATGTCAGTTAAGCATTGATGACCAGAGAAAAAAGTGAAATAACATAAAAACGTGGAAACAGTCAACCACTATCGAAATGTAGAGGCGAAGGCACTTTAAACCCATCACGAGTCAACTCGACAAGCCTGCAAGTAATTGTAAGAATTTAAATCGATCATCACATGAATGCGCGAATCGTCTATGACAACTTCGGCAGCTATTATGAACCTTCCAGACCCACAAGCCTTGGAAGTAATAACCTAAAAAGCACACCAACTCGGACGCGACACAAGCTTTCAGGGGATGTGAGAAGGCCGAAGCACCTCGCGAGCAAATAAGAACGCTTTGGACGAACATGTTCATACATTTCTGCACGAGCTGCACAATCACACTTAAAACAGCAAGATCAACCTCGATTGGCTTCGGGAACTTGTAGCAAAATGGCAAAGTGTGCATCTGCTGCAGACTGACCCACCATCCTCGAACCAACCAACGCCGCCAATTATTAAGGCCGCTCGACGGTAAACATGCAGCACCGCGGATCTGCAGGCCAAGCAATATGACGGATCCCCGAGCGTGCCCTCACGTCAAAATATGATTTGATCATAAGGCTGAGGCCAAACCACACCCCAGCTGCGATTTCAGCCCCGCCACAGCGCGCCTTACTGGAGTTCTTATATACGAACCATGGATCTCACATGTGGTATTAGTACCATTCATGCGAAATGCACATTCCAAGAATGGAGACGTTTGGTCCGCACCAGCAATCGAAGCAGTTTGTTTTGTGTTTTGATGGGACGGGGAACAAGTTTGCTGGTGACGCTTCCGATACGAATCTCGTGAAGATTTATCGCGTTCGACCCCTTTTCACCTCAGCTTCTCGCGTTGATGCTAATTGGTTGTTAGATGCTCGATCGGAGCCAGAGTCACCAGTACCATTACTACCAGCCCGGCATAGGAACATACGTGACGTCGCATTCGCTCGGAAGTAAAGGCAGATTAGAGCGGATCAAATCAGCCTACAAAAAAGCCAAAGATGCCGCGCTGGGCTCATCCTTCGACGAACACGTGCTGGGAGGATACAAATTCCTTATGCGATACTACGCTCCCGGCGACGACATCTACTTCTTCGGCTTCAGTCGGGGATCCTACACAGCCAGATTCCTAGCAGAGATGCTCGACTACATCGGTCTACTGCAACGCGGCAACGAAGAGCTTATTCGCTTTGCTTGGAAAACATTTGCAAAGTGGCAACATCGACGTGATGCTACACAACATGATCATGAAGAAAGGCATAAACTTTTCAAATTCATGAAGGCTTTTCGGGAGACGTTTAGTCGGCCTGTCAGTCGGATTAAGTTCATGGGGCTCTTTGATACGGTTAACAGTGTTCCGATGTTTGAGAATGCTTGGATGGAGAGGAGCAAGTTTCCGTACACGGCGCAGACTACGGCGAGAGTTATTCGCCATGCGGTTTCTATCGATGAGCGTCGTGCCAAGTTCAGACAAGACTTGATCTCGGAGGTTAAGCCTCTTGTGAATACCCATCCGCATATGCACAAGTTGAGACACTTGTTGTCGCGGGAGGATGGTGAGAAAGCGAATGTCCCGGAGATTGTAGAGCCGGTCAACAACAATGAATCGAGGAAAGCGCGTCGAGCATCTCGACAAGAGACCTATGGTGAAGAAATGCGATACCGCGCACCATCGCCATCGCCGTCACTAACGCCAATTCGGAGACCTAGCGCGGTCGACATACCGACCCACAACGGCCTTTTGACTGATAGAATCTCACTCAAGAGCGCAGTCTCCGGGAATTCTCTCCGCGTCCCCAATTTGGACATACCAGGCCACGAAGAGGACGAGCATAAGCAAGACACTTCAGAGGTCTGGTTCCCCGGGCAGCACGGAGATGTCGGCGGAGGCTGGAAACTCAACCCGAACGACCCAACCCCTCTCAGCCACGTTCCTCTAGTCTGGATGGTAAAAGAAGCGCAAATAGTCGGACTCGAATTCGACCCCGAAAAGCTCAAGCGCTTCAACTGCTACGAAGCACCTTCCTACGAGAACGCGCCTGTCAGAGAACCCACCATCACAAACAGCACCAGCACTTACCCTAGCCAGGAAACCGATCAAGACCCATTCCAAGAAACCCTCACCCGCACAATGGACACCGGCATCGCACACGACTGCCTAACATACGGTGGTGGCCTCTCGTTCTTTTCAACATTCTCCTGGCGATTAATGGAGTACATGCCCTTCCGCAGAATGGATCTGCAAGCCGACGGATCATGGAAACCAATTCGCTGGCCTCTGCCTTGTGGCGAAGTGCGCGATATCCCAGAAAACGCACAGATCCATATTTGTGCTATTCATCGCATGCAGATAGATCCGAACTACCGACCTGGGAATCTGATCATTGGTGGTGGTGGAAGAGGTGTGAAGAGGGCGCCGGAGAGGTATGGGATTGGGGAATGGGAGGTTTGTATGCATGAGGGGGATCTTGTGAGACAAACGTATGTGAGAAAGAAGGTTGAGAGTTCTTGTCTTGATTCTTCTCATGTGGATGCTTGATATTTGCATGGATTCTCGTTTTGCTAGTATCAGGTCCCATCGAATTCCCTTCGCCGGTCAGCCTTTAGGGTCCCATACTCACGCCACTCTGTCACCGCCAATCAGTATATATAAATTATGGCCTGGAAAGCAGTCTATTGGTGACAGGGGGAACTCTTGATAGCTCACTATGCTCCTGAATCTTAATTTTTAGGTTTTATGACATATTACAAAGACTGGAATCTCTAGGTCTAATGTAGACTGTACTGCTTGAACGGGCTATTTTAATAGTGTCTCTTGCCTGAGCCAATAGAAAATTGATGGTTTGATTGGCCACGGGCCTGGCAATGAGGTTCCTATATAATTCCATTCCTTTTTGATCCAAGTACTGACGAAAATTTGGAAATTTGCATGCTTTCCAACCTTTCATCTTTCGCATTTTTCAGCGGAAGGTCTCGCGGTCAAAGCTAGGGCTCATTCTAGCAGCGCAATTAGACTGTTTATATGATCAAATAATCATCCTGGTGCGCGGATTCGGAGTTGTGTGTCTGAAAAGCATTAGCATTGATCAATTGATGTGCAAAAACAAGCAAAGAAAACTCACGAAGAGCATCCAAGGCACATTGCTTCGATCATGCTTTGGCTGCTGTGCTCGCGCACGCCATACTTTCTCGAGTAGTGTCTTCGGTCCTTCAATACCCATTTCGGACCTGCCATTGATTTCCGCCAGGCGCAGTAAAATGTAATGCCGTGAATGCGGGGAAAGACAATCAGCCCCCGCCATAAACAGAGGCATGACTGAGAGCTCAACCAGAGCACTGCTTCCAGGAATATTTGCCAAAGAATCAAGAATTGCAGCAACAGATTCCTGTATACGCGCTTCTGCAGCGGACTCGGTGGCATCAAGGAGGCGCAAGCTGCGCAGGATACAGGTGTGACGAAATGCCTCGGCGACTGATAACCAAAGCGGGTCGTCGCTGGGATAGAAGCAGCGGGAGCTATCCCAATGATAAAGCTTCAGAACTAGCCCTTGAAGTAGTTCTTCGTACTCTGTAGCTTCTAAGCGGCCGCTCGAATGCGCTTTTGCTCGTTCGAGGATTTCGCCGATGATGAAAACTATCTCCCGTGGACAGCCGTTGACTGATTCAAATCGTAAGTCGCAGAGTGACAGTAACCTTTTGCGAAGGTCTTGGGTGAAGCATAATCGTTCCGGTGTCGAGAATGCGCGAATGATATCCAACCTTGGGTAGCATAATATTAGCATATGGAATGGAAATAATCCTCGGAGTTTAGGATATATCACCAGACAAGGTTGCCTAGAAAGAACACGGTCCTCTTGTGCTCAACAGTCAATGTCTGGTCCAGCTTCAACTGCGAACATATAGACATAGCGCCTGAGATATGAGCCCCATGCGATGAGATTCCCGATTCGCAAATCTAAGCTCAGTCTTTTGAGTCATGTATTCGCATCTGTCAGGAATACATTAACTCACGTCATGAAGTAGGAGAATCTGAATGGTAGCGAAGACGCCATCACACTCATTCTCATCAAAGGCCCCGGAGCCGACCTTCTTGATGGTACGCCCTAGCGCGGTGATGGCTTTGAGCCGATAATCGACGGCCGCTGATTCACAAAGATGTGAATCCCCCTTCAAACGACCCAAATGGCATGCTGATAGCCCGAGGACTGCGTATAAAAGACCGATTTGCTCGTAAGCAAGAGGAAGCACGTAAAGTCGATAAGGGTTGTCACTGCCATCGAGTTGTGCTATTTGATGCGGGCAAATGATTTGGTCGTCTGTGAAAAATTAGATATGGTTCATGATGGTCTGAATCCGAGCTATGCTTACAATGCGCCAAGAGTGTTTCTACCTCGACCGAAGCAAGAAGCTTGTCGAGTCCACGTTGATCACTCGGCGTCAAGCTCTGCATCGGCGTGGTAAGACCTGCCGTGTCCGCAACTGTCGCAGAAGCACCCGACTGTTCATTATTATGATTCACTTGAGGTGGATTTTCACTGGAGCTTCCCTCGGGAGTAATCTGAGCCGGTATTGGCGCTTCTCGGTTCTTCCACTTCCCACGGCTGGCAATGCCACAGAAGCGAAATTTGTCAGGATACCCTTCACATTGAAGTCCTTTACTGATACAACGCCTGCAATTCGGTCGCGCACGATCACATCGACGCGACTTCTTGCGGCATGTCAGACAGGCAGCATCTATTCAGCAAATCAGATATGCCTCGGAAGGCCGCTTTCTTGACACGTACCGGTGAATCCCATGTTCGATTATCAGTCTAGATGCATCAATGAACTCATTTTGCTAGAAGTAAAGAATTCATGATAACCTTAAGCTCACGCACGCGCCCTTCCCGTAAGCAAGTCGAATGAGGTAGGGGGCTTGAGTTGGGGTCGAGCGATCATGGATACTGGATCTCGGATATACTGAGCCGCCGAAGTTATGCCGAGGATGGCAGACCATGAGGTATCAAGTTATTAACGGAGTATACATATTCAATTCCTAGTTAAAGTGACAGTGAACTGATCTCAAACCATCGGATGAGATATCGGATAAATGGAAATCCTCTCACTTAATTACGTAGCCACCCGGAAATGACGGATCCAACGGGTCCAACTAATTTAGCCGTCGCATTTCCCTCGGGGCAAAGACCACCGACGGCCCGTTCAATAGCACACGGCCGGTCTTTCGATGAAGAAATGCGGTCATAACATTCCTAAATTCAATTCTAAGTGCATTCGGCATTGAGATCTCACAATATTGTACCAGGTCGTGATCCAAGTTGAACTGGCAGGTATGAAGGCCCACAATTGACAATCAACCCCGCATCCCCGCATTAGCAGCCTCAGAGGTTGACCGTTGAAAGTCCTCCAAGCACGCGTTTAAAAAAAGAATACAAAGCGCGAGATCAAGATGTCAACTCCAATTGTGGACTCCCATGTCCATCTCTTCCCAGCCTCACACCTCCCAACTCTAGCCTGGTACGGCCCAAACAGCCCCCTTGGCACCCAGCACAGCGTCAACGAATACCGACACGCCGCGTTATCCGTCCCAACTTCCGCAAACACCCCGGGAAAATATCTCCGCGGGTTCATCTTCCTCGAAACCGATCGCATATCCTCAGTAGATGACCGGTCCGGCCCAGGATGGAAACATGCTCTAGACGAGGTATCCCTGCTCACGCGTATCGCGCTCGGCGAGCCAGAACCCGGAGAAGGGCATAGCGCCGTCGATAAGGATCTTTGTCTTGGGATTGTACCTTGGGCACCTGTTCCTGGTGGCCCAGATGTTCTACAGAAGTACATGGCCAAGGTTAAAGAGCGGACAAAGACGGATAATATCTGGCGGAAGGTGTGTGGGGTTAGGTATCTGGTTCAGGATAAGCCGGCAGGAGTTATGTTGAGCACTGAATTTGTGGATGCTTTGCGCTGGTTGGGACGGGAGGGACTTGCGTTTGATCTTGGAATTGATGCAAGACAGGGTGGATTGCATCAGTTGCGAGAGGCTGTTGAAATGATGGATAAGGTGTATGCTGGGACAGAAGGCAATGGACTGAACATTGTTATCAGTGGGTTTTGTCTTGCTTGTTTTACTGTGGGCGTTATGCTAACATTGATGGCACAGATCACCTTTGCAAACCTAATCTTCGGATCTTGCCTGACTCGGTTTCTACTCATGAGGAGTATTTGGAGTGGAAGAATTTGATTACAAAGATGGCTTCTGCGAGTGAAAGCACGTATATGAAGCTCTCTGGAGCATTCGCGGAGCTTCCGCCATTAAGTAGAAAGGTTGAGCCCGATATTTCTGATCTGGTGAGCCGACTACAGCCCTGGACAGACGTGGTATTTGATGCATTTGGATGCGAGCGTGTGATGTTCGGCTCGGACTGGCCGGTGTGTAATGTTGGCGGCGGTGGAAATGACGTCTCGTGGAATAGATGGCGCAGAGTTATCGAAGAGATTTTGGAACGAAGAGAGCTTACGGAGGAGCAAAAGCAAGGGGTGTGGGGACAAGTAGCAGTGAAGGCGTACGGTGTTGAGCTTTGAAAGATTTTTGTATATCAGGAGAAGGTTCCATTTTCTATCGAGGTCACAACACATCGCAATATCTACTGTAGATTGACAAAGAGCCCACCATCAACCAGAATCTGTGCACCGGTCTATATAATCATTAGCACGATACCGGTTAACCGACGCGAGAAAGCAACTTACCACATAATTACTTAAATCCTCACAAGCCAAGAAAACAGCCGGTCCTGCCAAATCCGGCGGTTGGCCAAGCCTACCAAGGGGAATCCGACCCTCCATGTAAGCCCTTTTCTCCGGATCCGCCATATCCTCATCATTAAGCTGAGTGCGGATAGTACCCGGAAGCAAAGCATTGCAGCGAATGTTATACTTGCCCAACGCCACAGCACAAGACTGCATAAGACTCAACACACCAGCCTTAGTAGGCGTATAATGAGTCTGCTGGCCACCGCCGACGAGCGCAGAAATCGAACTAATCCCGATAATAGACCCGCCGGGAGGTGACTGAGCCAGCGCCATTTGGCGGGCGGCCGCTTGTGTTGCGAAGAAGGCGCCGGAGAGGTTGGTTGAGATGGTATGGTTTAGGAGGGAAGGTTCGAGCCTGCTTCTGTTAGTTTTGGTTGATTGCTGGGGTATGAAGAATACGGACTCAAGGAAGTCGGCGAATTGACACACGCCGGCATTGCTTACGAACACGTCGAGACGTCCGAATGCTTCGACGGTCTGGGCGACGAAATTCTTGCCTGTCTCGGGCTGCGAGATGTCGCCGGATACTGTAATGAATCGACTTTTGTCCGCTCCGGCTTCGATCTCGTTTACATCTTTGCGGAGCGCTTCTAGCAGGGCGTCCTCCTTGGGTCCGCCCAGGTGGCTGACGGAGACTTTGGCTCCGTGGCGGAGGTATTCTAGGGCAATTGCCTACATTAATCGAGGTCAGTGGACTTTTTTTGAAGCGGCTTCAGACTGATGAAGAGGGAAAGGAGCTGATTACCCGTCCAATGCCGGTGAGGCCGCCGGTGATGGCAGCAACCTTGCCAACGAGTAACTGCGGGAGAGGCATGGTGATTATGCTGTGACGATTCTTTTGCAACTGAGCGACAAAAGGCTAAAGAATAATGCCGGCGTCTCCGCTTAACACAGGAAAAGGACGCGCTGTCAATTTTCACCAGCACAACGCAAAGCCCCGATAAGATTTCGGGCCTCGCGATGATGTTACCCCGAGTGTGGGGGAAGCAACCCCACAACGAGGGGCAAAGACGCAACTTTGTTCCGCGCAGCCAGTCCGAGGCACGTGCTGACCTGACGTTAGTGGGAGAAAAAGGGCGGGTGTGTACAAGTGGAGATTACATTTTAGGTACTCAGTATTACTAGGGAAAAGTTCTCATTCGGGAACATGTCAGTCTATAGGAATGAGTTTCGCAAATGCTATTTATGTACATGAACATCATTGGAGGTTGAACAATTCGTCAAGTCAAGGAACAGGAAATGGGAGTAATATTTATAACACCTTGAACCAAAAATATTTCAGGCAGTCGTGCCATTGATCTTCTCCTCAGGAGCACGCAGGCTCTTCTGCGGCGCGGGGGTAAGAAGAGTAGAGGCCGGGATCAGCGCGGCAGCAGGGTTAAGCTCAAGTCCGAACCCAGGCTTGTCCAGAATCGAGACATCGAGATATCCATTGGTGGGGATGGGCTCGTTCAAGAACAGGTTGCCGAAGACGGGCAGGACAGACTTGCCATCGGGCGAGTTGGCCAGGTATTCTTGGAAGGGGCTGTTGATCTGGGAGACAACGAAGTGATAGGAGTAGGGGCCGGACGCGTGAGGCACTACGGGGATATCATAGGCGGCGGCGAGAGCGGAGACTTTGAGGAGCTCGGTCATACCACCGAGCCACATAACATCGGGCTGGATGATGTCGAGGTTACGGCCCTCGACGAGCTTGCGGAAGCCGTAGCGGGAGAACTCATGCTCACCGGTGGTGAACTTGACGGTGGGATGGGCGCGCTTCAGCAGGGCGTGGCCGTCGAAGTCATCGGGCGAAAGGCACTCCTCCCACCAGTCAATGTTCAAGCCGATGGCCTCGCAGCGCTTGACCAGCTCGATAGTGTAGGGGACAGTAAGAGACATGTAGCAGTCGACGCGAAGAGGGAAATCGGGTCCGACGCTGGCTCGCTGCTCACGTAGGTACTCGACGTTCTTTACGAGACCCTCGGTGCCCTCGTCCGGGCCGTGGGGCAATGCCACCTTGGCTCCGATGAAGCCCATGGATTTGGCAGCCGCAGGCTGAGGACCAGTGCAGTAGAAATTTAATCGCTCCCGAGTGGCACCGCCGATCATCTTGTAGACGGGCTCGTTGCGAATCTTACCCAGGAGATCCCAGATGGCCAAATCAATGACCGAGATCACGGCTGTGGGCAGACCCTTGCGGCCATAGAACATTGAGGCGCGGTACATTTTCTCGAACAGGTTGTTGGTATCGCGGGGGTCTAACCAAATAGTACATGTTAGTTTCTGGGTTCTTCTGTGCACATCGGAAGTACTCCGCACCTTCGCCGATCAGGAAGCGCTCGAAGTGCTGGTGGGTCAGCCAGCAAGCAGGAGGACCGCCGAAGCCAGTCGCAAAGCCCTTGCTCCCATTCGTAGCCTCAATCTCAACACAGAAAGATCCCAGCACGTTGATGCCCCAGGAAGTACGCGAACGGCGGTACTCCGGCCACTTGGCCATGGGAGTCGAGATATTGCTGTCGATCAGCCAGTGACCTCCCTTGACCTAGTGAACTGTTAGTACTCTGGCAGTTCAATATTAAGTCTTCTCGTGCATTCATACATTGTGGTAGTCGCCGCCGGAGCCAACGCCATCAATGACGAAAGTGCGGATCTCCTTAATGCGGGGAAACTGAGATGTTGAGCCCATGATGGAATATGGTGAAATAGAGATCGGTGCTTGAAAATGCTGATCCACAGAAGAACAGAGGATATGAAAAGAAAGAAAAACAGAGAGATCTCGTGAAGTCGTGGGGGTCCAGGACTTTTTCAAGTCGCGAGGGGAAATCCGAGGCCTCGGGGCATTTCTGGCCCGAAGACCGGGAAATCATGTTACCCTTCTCCAGCCATCGGCCCCAATTACTCTTTGCAATGGCTTGGTTGTTGCACCAATCAAAGCTATCTAGGGGGCTTCAGAACTTCATTCTGCCTAAAAGATATCATTGCTGGGCTCACTTTGTACCTTCTGCTTTTATCCGTACTACTCTCTAGTCTTGGCCTCCATCCTTCCGCACCTCTAGTCCTAACTATCACCGCGAGTTGATAGGAATAATAGAGAGGCTCATTCATGCAGGAACTATACGCATAGTATTTGTACAGCTAGGTAGGGATATTAACCCAACTCGGACCAACAGATGCAACGTTACGCATGTCGCATGTGCCACACGCGGGGAGAATTGTGGGGTTCCGCCCCGGCTCAGGAGCCTGAGGCTGACACCCTCCGGTGATCCGCCAAATCTTCTTTCTCCTCTTCTTCCTTCGGTCCAAAGACTGCTCTATCGGACTATTGCCGCGCATTTTCTCTCGGCCTAGGTCACTCGGGTACATCCCGAGTCCCTAGCTTATCTCTAGATCTGACTCGCGCCATGGTCGATCCCCGATAGAGCCTATCTCGCTATAGCAAAATGCCGAACGCGCCACCTCTGTCGCAGCAGGGCGCAACCTCCAATCAGCGCCTTGGAGACCCTGATAGGGATCAGAGTCCGGCTGAATACTCGTCCGGTATTGACTCGGACAATGATCAGGGTCCCAATGGCTCCGGTAGCTCGCGCGCATTGAAGAGGAAGCGCCCACTCACCGTCTCGTACGTACCCAGTTGATCATGCCACGCCGGCGACCTCGCCTTTCAGATTGTAAGGGTTTTTGACGACTAACTGTACCTCAAGGTGTGAGCTCTGCAAGCAGAGGAAAGTCAAGTGTGGTATGTGCGCACACTCCCTGAGGAATTCGGGAACCGCTAACCAGGCGCGAACAGATCGAGTGCAGCCGAGTTGCGGCTGGTGTGGCCGGAACGGCCAGATATGTGAGTATAAAGAAAGGAAAAAACCTGGTCTGCGGGCTGGCTACGGAAAGGAATTGGAGCAGCGTCTCGGTTTGTGCGCCATCCTTTTTCACTGGACCCAAATCTCATTCTTTCTATAGACAGGCTAGAGCAGGTCATCCAGTCTCAAGCCCGGCTTATTGAAATGCATATACTGCAAGGCCAATCTGGACTGGGCCAGGAAATGCACCACGGCGGATCAATCTCTTACAGCTCGCCGTCGGAACCCTCCGCAATCCACGGCCCAAGCCCTCGGACTGCGGCCTATTTCAATGACCCTGCATCTTCGGTTACTCTACCTTCCCGTCGGGCAGAGGCATCCATCGCTAGCCCCTCGGATATATCAGTTAATAATCTGGTACAAAATGGCCTCCAGAATGGAAATGCCGTATCCGCGATGGGCTCGTTACAGCCGACGCAGAATGCTCACAACGGCGACTACACCGGGAATGAATCATCTTTGAAAGTCCCAGTCAACCTTTTCGCGAACCAAGAGCAATCATTCGCGGACCCCGATCTGGATCTTCCGCCATACGATCTACTCTATGCACTAGTGGATCTGTATTTCGAGCATATCAACTCCTGGTGCCCGATTCTTCATCGCCGGTCAACATTGGATACTTTCTTTGGACCATCACCACTGGAAGAGGCAGATCGCATGGTGTTATATGCCATTGTGGCAACGACATTACGCTTTTCTACAGATACCCGACTCAACGAGCAAAATCGAAAGCGCTTCCACGATTCTTCTAAACAAAAGGTTCTCTTGTATGGCCTGGAGAATTCGTCAGTGAAAGCCCTTCAGGCTCTTGTTATTTTGGCCTTGGATTTGGTTGGATCTTCAAATGGCCCACCGGGATGGAAGCTACTGGCTTTGATCACCCGATCTGTCGTTCAGTTGGGATTGGCTGTGGAGTCAAAGTCCTCTCTTATCGCCCCAATCTACCCCTCAATCTATACCCTGAGAGCTGTCACACTGCCTGAACCCGACTCTTGGATCGAAGATGAGAGCAGACGTCGTTTATTCTGGATGGTCTACCTGTTGGACAGGTATTCGACAATTGCCACCGCATTCAATTTTGCTTTGGATGATAAGGACATCGACCGCAAACTACCTTGTAAAGATGAATTCTTCATGAAGAATCAACCCGTTGAGACTCGGCGGTTCCACTACTCCGGTGAACGTGTCGATTACCTGAGCCACGCAGAGAACGTTGGTTCGTTCGGTTTATATATGGAGGTTCTCGGAATTCTATCCCGCATTCACAAATTCTTGAAGCGTCCCGTGGACATTGGATCTCTATCCGACGTGGAAGAGTGGCAAGCCACCTATCGCAAGCTCGATAGCGAGCTGACTTCGTGGGAGTTCAATCTGCCTGCAGAGTACGCCTATGAGAACTCTTCTCGACTCTTCAACGGTGGCAAGCAGAACCGTACGTTGCACAGCGACTGGGTGCAGCTCCACACCACCTACCAAACGTGAGTACCATCCTTCATTACTACCATCCTTATCCTGACCTTTATCTAGGGCCGTGATCCGCCTACACTCATCAGCAGCATACCCAACGACGCGGTCCCCAATCTTCACCCCTTCCTACAGCGCCAGCCAACGGTGCCTATTAGCAGTGGACAACATCCTCACAGTAACCCGCATCGTTGTCGAAAACAACATACTCGACAAACTCGGGCCCCCCTTCGCATTCACCCTCTGGGTCTCAGCACGCCTGCTTCTCGTCCACGGATCAACAATCGCCCACACAGTCAGCCCCGACATAATCTTCTTCGTCGACACCCTCGCCCACATGGGCGGGCACTGGAAAGTTGCAGAACGATATAGCAACATCCTCCAACGCGTCCTCGACGAATACGGCGAATACCAACAGTCCGCAGCCACAGACTGCGAGCGCTCCACTCCATCAACTGTCAAGATCCTGGCGGATATGCGACGGTGTGCCTTTGATTTGGACTTTTTGATCTCGCGCCAACCACGCGAGTCTCCATCTACTATGAGTAACGGAGGTAATGATCACTCACGACCGTCTGCATCTGCCGTCATACCGCGCAACCTGGCACCGAATGAACTGGAGTATCTCGATGTCTTTGGCTTCTTTAATGTCCCGCGCGTGCCACCAGCTCGTGTTCCAGACCCGACGGCGGCTGCGCATCTTGATATGTCGGGATCGGTTGCGAATCCAATGTCTATACATGGACTTACGGGAGGCCCAATGGTTGATGGGAATTCGTCTGCGAATGCGAATGAGTTCAACATCACGAACTATCTAATTCCAACGCCGGAAACGGATTGGCTGTTCCGTCCAGCGGGGTGAGAGTTCCAGTCACTGGGTCATTAATTGGATATCACGTCATCCCATCTTTTCCTAGTACACTGTGTGAACTAAGTCTCACCCTGAGAGTGCAACCTCTCAAGATTCTCGTACCAACCATACGAGCCATATTCAAAGCCTCAGACACTCGAGTCACCTCATCCCTCCGTCTTGAGGTTGGGAATGACCTTCATCGGTTTGCTTGGGTCCTGCCCTACCATTCGTCTATATTCTTACAAATACATATTGATTGATTCATGGATGCCTGTATATACCCTCGTTCACAGGTTGAGCAACGGATCTGGATTAGTACATAGTCTTAGTCGCATTCTATTCAAAGCATCACTCCTCGAACCTCGCAATTCTCAATTTTCCAAACCTACCTAGTACACATCCGGACAAGTATAAATTGACAAACTACGCGCAAAGAAATGGATACCATCCCAAGGTCGCAAGATAGACACAATCCATTCGAGTTCTACATAATCGAACACAAAAACACTGTATAAATTTTCGGTAACCAGACCGAGCCCACCACCCAACCCCTCAAGCATCAACACGACCAGCGTTTTTGCAATTGCCACGCATGCAAACAAAGGAAATCAGAGCAGAGAATGGCCAGAAAGGAAAAATAGAGGGAAACATCATGATCATGTACGTGAGAAAAAAGAAAAGAACATGCAAGGTCCACAGCGCCCAAGGAAGCATAAAGTGTCAAGTCATAGCATGAGGTTCGTGGTCAGCAATTAAGCCGAGTTGGAGGGAGCGGAAGGTTGCAGGCAGACGAGGACTTCCTCGAGGAAGGCATCGAGGACGGCGTCAACGCCTCCGCCCATTTGAACTGGGGCTTCCATGTCCCAGCGGTGGAGGTTCGCGAGCGATTGAGCGATCTCGTCAGTAACATGTTCCATGCCGCGGTGAATTTTGACGTTTCGGTCCCATTGTTTCTCTTCTTCGGGGGTCGCTTTCGTCTGGCTCCGGGCTGGGTCAAGACGGGCGAGGTGGCGAGCTCGTCGGTTCATGGCTGCGCGGAGGGCGGGGACGATGACAGAACCATAGGCTGTTGCGCGCTCGTTCTCGGTTGGGGTTTTTGGTGGATTTGGTAGTCTTGGTGCTTCTTCTGTCAGAGGGCTTTGGGAAGGCGTGTGCTGCCTGGAAAGACGACGTTCGTGCTTTTCCTGTCTGCCAGGCGCGAGCTTGGATTTGAGGCCTGGGGTGGGCTTTGGAGAGCTATCGGTTTGCTTCTGGAGACCGTAATGGGGTGATGCTCGAGCTTGGGATGGACTCGCGGGGGTATCGGGAAGCGGGCGTTGAAGAAATGCAGGCTTCCGGGAGAGCTGGCCAGGGCTAGATGGCTGCTCTCGCTTTACGGAGCTTGAATCGCCAGGGGAGGCCGATTGTGCAGGCGATTGATTACCCATACCACTGGCGTAATCCATGACTGCCTGTGCGTATCGTTCATTGTAAGGTGAATTCTTGTCGGGGGTGTTTGCAGCCATTGGAGAGCGAGGGTTGCATGGAGAGGGCAGTGGTTGAGAGGTTGCATTTTTCGTAGGTGATGTTGGGGCAGACGGAGGAAGAGGAGTTTTGGTTGGAGATGCATCAACAGGAGACTTCACCACGTGAGATTGTGAAGGGCGAGCAGTTGGAGCCTGTTTACAATCATCTCGCAAATCCCATTCCTCTGTCTCCTGGCTACGTGAGTTCGTGTCGGAAGCATTTAGCGGTCTCAATACTGGCGCAGCCCCAGGTCTTCCAACAGGGCGAACAGTGCCAAAGTCCCAGAGATCCTCATGCTCCTCGGGTTGCGGTTGCACCGGCTCCTCGATCTCGTCATAATCATCCTGATCGTCTCCTTGACCATGGTGCGTTGCCTGCCAGCGCTCCGCACGTTCAATCAACTCCGTGAGGTATGTAGTCCTCTTTGCACGCTTAATGAACGGATGCTCCAGCAACTCCTTTGCGGAGGGTCGCTCCTTCGGGTCTCTGCGCAAGCATAGTTCAACAAATTGCTTAAAAGGCTTGCTGAAGTTGCCATTGAGAATCGGAGGGGGATTCTTCGGGATCAAAAACAGCACCTTCATCGGATGGATGTCTGCATATGGTGGGTCTCCACACGCCAACTCGATGGCTGTGATTCCTAGAGACCAAACGTCGGCTTTGTAGTCATACCCTGACTGCTTGATGACCTCTGGAGCCATCCAGAATGGCGTTCCCACAAACGTGTTCTTCTTGGTCATTGTTGCTGACAGCTGTCCAGACACGCCGAAATCGGCCAATTTGACTTGGCCACTCGCACTCAATAGAATGTTCGCAGCTACCACGATGTTAGCTTCTTGCAAGCAGAACAAGGTGGGTCTCCTTACCTTTGATATCTCGATGGAGCTTATGGTCACTGTGGAGGTAATCCAAGCCTCGCAGAAGCTCACGTAAGATAATTGCAATGTACTCTTCATGGATCACCCCCGGACGCAAAAGACCATGGCAACTCCCGCCAGAACAGAACTCCATGATGATCCACAAATGCGAGCCTTTTAAGTATGAACCATGGTATTTGGTGACATATGGGGATTTCAGCTCGGACAGGATCGCAATCTCCTGGATGATGTCGTCCACTTCGTCTTCGGCATTTTCGACGTCGATGATTTTGATAGCCACGGATTCTCCGGTTCGCCTATCCACACTGTTTCAAACATCGAATATTAGCACGCTTTCCTCGAGTCAAGCATCGGTGCTAGGGTTCTCCGTGACTTACCCTTTGTAGACCCTGCCGAAGCTTCCACCACCTATTGAGACCGCGGGTTGACAATTAGATCGGAAAGCTCTTCAGACTGGAGGGGCAATATTTGATCTTACCTATGCATGTTTGCTTAGTGTATATGGATTCGGGGTCGATGGGTGCGGGCATCTTGGCAGCTTATCGGGGTCTCTAGCGGAGAGAGAAGCCCATAAAACACTTGTGTACCTAGCTCGGTAATCAGCGCCTGCGATTGAGCGGAAATAGGTCTTCGGAGCGAAATTATGAGATGTTTAGGATGTAGAGAAGGCAATGTTGATGAGGCACGACGAGGCTAGGAAAACGTACTGCGGCGTCTCACGGCTGTGAAGGGTCCGTAGACCGCGGCGCGGGGGGAATGTAGGAGCAAGCAAGGAAGGCAGAAAAGGTGACAGGAATCGGCGCTAGTAGTCGGGCCTCCTGTTCAGGCCGTTAGTCACTGTCAAGGAAACGGATGAGTGGAATTGTTTGGGAGCAACGCACTGATGATCGGTCCAACCGAGATGTCAACAAAGATGGAAGGAGTGATATAGAGCTGTTGAAGTAGGTTAAACCTTTTTATTTCAGCAGGAAAAGAGCATCAAGCACGGAATATCATGAAATTGCAGTAATGCAGGGAGCTAATCAAGATAAGGAAGCACAGGGAGGAGACGGAACCCAAGTTGCCCTTGCGTCTGTTTATCTACGCGGGGGGATATTCTGCCGGGCGGCCAGGCTTATCTGCAGGCGGTGGAAGGTGGAACTATAACTACAATTACGCATAGTATGGAGAAAAAAGGGCAAAATTAATGGAAATCTAATTCATTCATATCTCCGAGTATCGTTGCATCTCGAAAATCTCATGCTTGGCAGGCCTTTGTATGGATGGACTCAAAGACTTGATGTCACACTCCTAGTCCAATCCATAGACGGCACTTCCTGAAGTCAGCGAGACCAAGACGAAAGCAGTGTTTAATCTTCGTGATAGCCAATCATGATGGTGCCGTTTTTCAAGCCCGCATCCTCGATGCTTGTCGTAAGGTGCTCTATTAAGTTTCTTCCCATGGCATTCAAATCAAACTCCACGCCGGCCTTGTCCTCGAGCGGTGGCTCAGCTTTGAGCCACTCGTAAATTCGTTGGACGGGGTCGGAAATTGCAAAGCGACGAATGACACGACCAGATGGATGACGGAATTGGATGCGGGTGGTGGTTGCTGGATCCGCGGGGGGCTCAGTGTGTGGTTTGTCGTCGGGAATAGCGGCGAATGCGGAAGCCTCAGCTGATTCGGCGGCTAACTCTGTCCCACTCATATCCTCATCTTCATCGGCAGTCGCGCGACCCTTGCCTTTGACGTCGTCCATGCTCCGAGTGAGGTCGTCGGGGTCTTCCAACTTCTGGCCTCCGGATGCCCCGTCCCCGAGACTGTTCCTCATCGCCATCTCCAGCATCTCCTCCTCGGTCATTGCACCGACGTCCTTGTCCTTCTTCTCCGACTTCCGCTTAGCCACAGGATTGCGCACATTATGCTTCAAGCTGTAGCGGTCAAGGAACTCATGGATCTGCATAAGGAACTCGGAGGCCTTAATCACAGGCGGGCCGGACCAAACCTTCATTTGTTCACCGGTCCGAGGGTCGACGATGGCTATATGGGGATAGTTGTCGGACACATCGCTGGCTTGGAAGTAGTATTGGAGATATGGGGAAGCCCGAGGGTCATCCTTGGAGAACTGCAAGAAAACAAAATGTTCTTTCACCGTCTCCTGGACACCCTTGTCCTTCCAGAGATCTCGGTTCAGAATTTGGCAGTCGAAAACAGACGAGTCCTGAATGTTGACGAGCAACCATTTCTCGTTATCCTTTCCTTCATCACGAGCAGCATCCCAAGAGAGTCGGCACATAATCTCGAACGGGGGTCGGTACATCTCAGCTAGCATGTTGGACTTGGAGGATGCCTCTGATGCGCCACCAGTTGCCATCGAGAGTTGTTCGTCGTGCGTATCCTGCGAGCCGCCGGTCCATATCGATGCCGTGTCTCTCTGGTTGAAGATACCGGGTCGACCTAAGAGATATAGTCAGTCCGAGGGCGTTCAAGAATCCGTTGCAAGTTCAACACACTCAACATACCACCTCGTTGACGAGCACGCAACTGGCTGAGAATATTGGCATGCATGTCATCGTCGTCGCCGAATTCGGCCTCTGGCCCCACCAACGTCTCCGTCGTGCGCGCCATGGGTGCGCGCACATCATCCTCATCGTTCTGGGCGCCTCCGCCTCCACCTCCGTACATTTCTTCTTGAAGTTGGCGAGCCATGGCGGCATCATCCTCGAAATACGGTGTGGTGGCGGGTTGTGCGGGGCGACCCTGAACGGCCCCAGCATCGTCATCGTCGTCAGAGTCGATATGAACAACACCAGATTCATCTTCAAAGTTGGAACGACGGGGAGGTTGCGGAGGTTCCTCGGTTAATGGTGCACCTCCGTTCTCGAAGTAGAGTTGCATGGCCTGCTCGATTTGGAAATCGGCAAGCGACAAATACTGAGTCGCCAGCTCCGGCGTTGAGCCGGTGATCTCAGTGAATTGGGCCACCACGTCGTCAGCCATGGTGGGCAGGGAGGTAGAGCTCTCGAAAGGTAGAAAGAGGGGAGGAGGGAAGATAAGCGGGACTCGGAAGGAATTCAAAAATGGTTCGAAGGTGAGGAAAGTAGAGTGTAGAAGGAAGAAGCAATCGAAGGAATCAGCTGCAAAGCGAGAATCAACAAGGAGAGTACCCCGCGCAGCCAGCAAAACGAGACATCAAGAGAAAGATGCTAAGGTCAAGTAGCTTCGAGCATAGTGAAGATCGTCGGTGACGCAGTGTCCGGCGACGCGCAGAGCCACGAGACGCAGGCCTGCGCTTGTGGTCCGAGTGCTTCCCCGTATATCATCTTACCGCTTGGGGAATGCGACGCGTCGCGCTACGCGCCCCGGCGCGATTTGGACTGGTGGATCAACTTCAAGGTAGGTGCTTCTCCGCTCCTGCACATTTGCATTTGCTTCCATAGCAACCTACACCATGGCAGCTACGGTCTTGGGCAAGCGCACTCGTGATGCAGAGGACTCGGAAGGTAAGCATTGTACGCACTTTCCTCCGGGATTCAATTACTGACATCTACTTCCCAGGCTTGCCAGTGCGCACTGCGAGCAAGCGCCGGACAATCGCACCCCGTGCCCCTCGTCAAGATGCGCCTGCTATTCCGCTTCGTCGGACGCGGTCGACGGTCAAGCGACTGGGACACCCTCCCGACCAGGAGAACGAGGACGTCAAGAAGAACTTGGACAAGGCGCCGTCCAAGCATACAATCCGTGAAGAACAGGGTGGGTCTCCGACCAGAATCAATTCCCATTTCCGCACCTCGAAGCTAGTAGAGGGTAAGCTGAGAGAATCGGAATTCTGAATGAGAACGTGGCTAACGGAGTATCATGCAGAAGAGACTCCAGCTCCGGTAGTCGAATTCAAGACCCCGCAGAAAAACCGATTTCGAGATGCATTGCCGAGTTCGCCGGTTACCCCTCGCCATCGAGTCCAAGTGGGAGCCAAGGCCGGTACTCCGCGTACTCCTCGACATGCGGATCTTCCCCTGACTCCACGCCAGAGTGCGACTCCAACTGTCGCACAATCGGTGTACTCACAAGCCCGCCAATTGTTTGCTCGCGGCGCCAATTCGGGGCGACTGGTGGGACGAGACGCGGAACGGGAAAAGGTTTCCACTTTCATCGAAGACTGCCTCGAGTCCAAGAAAGGCAGTTGTCTTTACATCAGTGGCCCTCCAGGTACTGGCAAGAGTGCAATGGTCAACGAAGTCTGCCAGGACATGGACCTCTCGAATGTCAAGGTCTCCCACGTCAACTGTGTGAGCATGCGAAGCGCTCGCGACGTCTACAGCAAGCTTATCCAGGACTTCTGCAACGACTCGGAGGAGGTGTTCAAGAAGAGCGAGGCGGAGCGACTTAAGGCCATGTTTGTCCCGTCCAAACAAACAGATAAGCTGTTTTTGGTCAGTCTCGATGAAATGGACCACTTGCTTATGGGTGATTCCGGTGTCCTCCAATCTCTGTTCGAGTGGTCGTTGCACAGCAAGTCCGCCCTGATGTTGATCGGTATCGCCAACGCGCTGGATTTGACGGACCGATCCTTGCCACAATTGAAGGCAAAGAACCTCAAGCCTACTCTGCTGCCTTTCTTGCCTTACAATGCGGCGTCGATTGGAAACGTGATCACTAGCCGCCTCCGCTCACTTCTCCCCGTCGGGGCCGATTCAGACCCGAAATTCGTTCCTTTCCTGCAACCGGCCGCCATTCAGCTTTGTGCGAAGAAGGTGGCATCGCAGACAGGAGATCTGCGGAAGGCCTTTGAGCTGATCAAGCGTGCGATTGATGCCATCGAACAAGAAACGCAACAGAAGCTAGAGAAGCAGGTTGCCGAATCGGCAGACTCGCCCATACTCGCTGAGAACAAGAATTTATCCTCACCTTCGAAGTCAGGAGCTGCACCTCGGCCCACCACGATGGCAAGCTACACAATCTTAACAGCACCTCGCGCCAGCATCGCCCACGTCGCCCGCATCACTACATCAGCGTTCGGACAGGGTACAATTCAAAGGCTGAAGGGCTTGAACCTGCAACAAAAGGCTGCCATTTGTTCTCTTATTGCCCTGGAGCGCAAGCGCCGTGAATTTGAGATGCCTAGCACCCCTTCCAAGAATCGTTCCGCGGCACCTACTGTGAAGCAAGCCTTCGACACCTACTGCACACTTTGCCGAAATGATAACATCCTTCACCCCTTAACTTCCACCGAGTTCAAAGATGTTCTGGGCAACCTGGAGACTATGGGCCTGGTCGGTGAATACCAAGGCCGCGGCCGAGGTGGAACGCTGGCCGGTGGTTCTGATGTTCGACGCACACCCTCCAAGTCCGGCAACGTCAACTCGACCCCACACAAGGGGATGGACGAGCAAGGTCTTGTTTGCTTTGTTTCCCAGTCCGAAATCGAAGGTCAGATTGCCGGTCCCGGCGAGGGCATTCTGAGACGGCTTCTCCGCGGCCAGGGTCTTTGATTCAGCCCCCGTTGTCCCTGTCCATTCTCGCTTTCGGACTGAATAGGGCCGTTCCATTTCTATTTTCTCGACTTTTAGCCATGCTGCATTTTTGGAGTCCTGCATGGCGCATTTTTATCGTGTACGACACTGTTCGCATCTTTGGAGTCGAGTCTGCATTCTTCCTGTTGAGCGCATTTTTTTTTATGATTTCCCTTTGTCCGTGATTCTTTCCTTTGTCCATTCTGTCCTACACAGAACCCGATCAGACCAATAAAAAAAATTAAGAACCTCCGTGCCAAATAGTTTCATTAAGTGCTTGGATAGCTCTACATCACCACGCAACCCACCTCAACTCCCCAGAAGCCAATCTCGCATTCAGTCTGAGATAATACCTCCACAAGCCCAACGACAGAACATCCCCAAGAACTGACTAGCAGTATTGACATGATGCCCAGCATCTCGGAACTTCTTTAATTTAATAAATCCAAACACCAATAATTTGCCCCGGCCCAGGAAACGCAACATGAAGCCCACTTGCCGATGACCTCGCGGTTAGAGATATCTTCCTAATCATCTTTGTAAGCATTTTTCTCAGCACTTGACTTAATATCTTCCAGGATGTTGTATTTTTGGTGTCGTTTAGAGTAGTGAAGAAAACAGTAGTGGAGGAAACCACCCAAGTATGGAAACCAAAACATCACGTACCTCTTAGTGGACATAGTAAAAGTATGCGTGGTTCAAGAGAGTGCGAGTATCAAATGCATAAGTATCTTGCTGTAGAGAAACAACCTAAGAATATATCTCGTAATCCCGTCATAGTCCCCATTCTATCCATCCCACCATGCCGAGCTTCACATCTTGAAATAGCCCATGCGGATGAGCTCTCTCTCACTTCTCACCCTCAACAACAGCTACTTTCTCCCTAAAATGCCCATACAACCACCTAAAAACATACTCCCACTGCAACGCCTGGCCCGCCTTACTCCTTCTAAAATTCTTCAAGGCAAACTTCTTCCGCACCGCAGTCCCATGCTCCGAAATATTCCTCTCCGCAAACCGATACACCTCAAGCGGCACGTCGTGATCCCACCCCTTCTCTTGATCAAGCAACTTCCCACTCAAGTGCGCAAACGTCCCGTCAAGCAGCCACTTGCGACGCGCCATCCACCAGTGAGTGCGTGTTGAGTAGGATGCCATGAAAATCAGGTGTTTCCAGTCTACGTCGTAGACCTCGCAGGCCAAGGGCGCGCATTCGGCGATTGTGGAGCCGGTGATTGTGGAAGGGGGTATTTTTTGGATCAATTCCCGGGTTAGGTGGAAGGCGTAGGCTTCGCGGTCTTGTTGCATCTTTTGGGATGGCACAAGGTAGCGAGATATTAGATTTGGCATGTCGTCGGCTGTGTCTTCGAGTTTGTGGGATTCGATCGAGAGAAGCAGGGGGAGTCGGAGGGCGAGGCGCATTGGGAGACGTTTTGCAAAGGACCAGTTGATCAGTCTGTTTAGTTAGTTGGGGCTGGTTGGGGCTGGGTTGGATACGGAACGGACCCTTGTATGTTGTAGTCGGTGTCGATCATGATGTTGTCTGCGGTCAGGTTTTCGTGGGAGATAGAAGTCGAGGACTTGGTACATAGTCTGTTCACGTTTTTCATGCATCTTTCGTTGTTGCGCATGTGGGTGCAACCTTCAAGACATTCGCCGGGGTGGGAGTAGACCTCGTTGGGAATGAGGAATGCTTCTCGGACGAGTTTCCGTAGTTGCAAGCACTCGACGATGTTGACTCCGGCCATGTCTTCGCGGATCACGGCCAGTGTCTTCTTATCGACGATGTCGAGTAGGAACCGCTCGCATGTCATTCCTGTATCCACGAAACGGTCAGTCGAATGGTAGTTCCAGGGGCGAGATTGGAATATACCCATCTGCTCGGTAACCGTAGCCAGATCAATCATGATATGGGCAAGCTGCATCATGACCTTCTCACGAACTTTCAAATCAGCAGGAACCTGATCGTTCCACTGCAGGTGATCGCCATGCGTCAAGCTCAAGATCATGAAGGGGAACTTCAAGACATTATCAAAGTTACTCGAGTAGGTGACCGGACGCGGAGACCAGGGGAATTTCACATTGATCAGAAGTTCCAATGTTTTGATCTCCTCGTCAATCGTAGTGCTGATGGCGCTGCGTTCCTCCTCGGACTCATGGGGCATGTACGTTGGCAGCTGCACGGCGTACTTAGAGCCATCGGGGTACTGGAAGGCGTAGATGGAGTAGAAACCATTTCTGATCGGGCGGTTGCGGGTGTTGAGGATGAATGATGGTACCTTCTCCGAGCCTTGGACGTAAGTAGCAACCGAAAGAAGGTCGCATTCCTTGAATGTGACCATGCTGGGCTTCGGTGATGCACACTAGGTAAACGACCGGGCTCAAAGAAGGAGAAAATTAACGGGACAGACGATGTGCATTTCTGACGGTGATGGGGTCCATGGGGAGTCAGACTGGGTATGAAATGGTGTGGATGCTTCCTTGTGGACGTAATTCAGACGAATGTGCGACAGAACGGTACGTAGTGATAGCAACACGGCGTATTGCGGAAAGGGGATCAGACGACTGAGAAAAGGTGCAGGCGAGCAGGCCAAAGAGAGTAAACGAGCTGACGGCGAGGTGATATCGTTGGACACGAGCGAGGAAAGCACGGAGAACAACAGCAACTACAACTACAAGTACAACTACAATCTACAAACATAGACCTAGTCTTGGAAATCGTCGACAACAGTTCATACACGCGATATAAGAAACCAATTATACATACATGGCTACAGAAAAAAGAACAGCATCAAAAAAGAGGATGTATGAAAACCAGCTCAAAACTGGAATAAAAATCACAGGGCTGAGGTTATGTATGCACTCCGCTTTGAGGGCAAACACGGCATGATAAAGATCAGTGAGAACACAAAAATGAGAACGTAACGAGATATATACCCCAAAAGGTCGTGCCACTGCATCAAGGATGTGAAAAGCATGTACGCTCGACACAGAGGCGGATGGGTAGGTGTATACAAGACCCTGAGCGATATGATCATTTTTACTCGTGAGAGTAACCATTTAGTCGTCCATCGGCTTGTCCTCCAAAGTCACACCCTTGGGCTCACTCTCGGCCATACTGCTTCGCTTGCTGTCAGTGCCGACGGAGCCAGTTGAGGGAGCTGAGGTTGGGAAGCTGGAAATGCTACCGAGGCCGGGCTTCCGAGTATACCGTCCACCCGCTGAGCGGGGGATGGAAGCGCGCTTCTCGAACTCGCTGGAGGTGGGTGCCGGTGTTGGGGTGGGAGTGGGCGAGCCGTCGGAGGCTGTCTCGGCGGGGAGAGGCGGGCTGACTGAGCGATCAGAGCCGCTGGCGCTGGCTGGAAGCGAGGCTGGAGGCTCAGAGGACGTGCCGTTTGACATGGATTCATTGGCGGCTTGGTTGTTCACGGTTGGGTGCTCGGCACCAGTGGGAGAGCCGTTGGCGGGCACGTCCAAGCTAGTAACACGAGTGCCGCGGCGGTCTGCTGGGCTTGACACGTGGATCGGGAACCGGCCTGTCTCTGAAGCGCCGCTGGAGCGGTCACGGCGATGTCGTTGACGGCTCACGGGGCTTGTAGCCCGACTGCGGTTAACAATTGCACGCTGGCGCGCCTCCATAGCAGCACGGCGGTTACTCTCGTCTGTGCTGATGGCTCGTGGACGGTTGGAGGTGGAGAGACCCAGTGCACTCGATTGGCGCTTCAGCTCGCCAAAGATGGAATCCTTATGTGCGAAAAGATCACGGATCAGGCGATAGCTGTGGCGCTCATCCATGGTGAGGCTGCTCTCAATGCGAGGTCGGAGAACACAGGGCGACAGGATCTGAGCCAACAAAGCGATGTATTGTTCGTCGGCCGAGGTCAAGTCAATCAGGCGTGTGAAGTGGGTCATGATGGCATCAAGCGTAGCGATGTTGACGAGACGGAGTTGTCCAAGGGTGCTCTGCAGGACCTTAATCCGTCCCTCTTCCGTGGTCTCGTGAGCGGTGGTCGAATAAATGGTCTTGACGATTTCGTAGACTTGCGAAGAAACAAGAGAGTCTGAGGCGTGGTTAGCGCAACCGGGAATGGATCTCGAGAGGAGAAAGACAAACCTGGCAATTCAAGAAGGTACAATTTCAAAACGCTAGCAACGATGGGTATCTCAAATTTGGGCAGGACTTCGCGATAATCCACTTTGCTGTTGTTCAGAGTGTTACGCAGCTGATGCGTGACGGTAAGCGGGGGATTGTGAAGCCAAATGGCTCGTCGGGCCTCATCACCCTCGAGTTCGGGATAGCCTTCAAAGAGATCAGTTTCAAGTTCAAATTGCACCAGTGGAAGAATTTCTTACGGTTATCCAGGTAAGTCAAAAGGGTCGTCACCAAGATGGGGACACGTTTGCGGTCAACCCGAGCCCTGGCTTCAAGATCGACACCAAAGTTTTGCTCTTCAACGGAGCCATAGTAGTTTTCGTATGCTTGCACCTTGGGAACAAAGCCACCAGTGCGGTAATTCTCAAGGAGATATCTCAGGTCACCCAGAGGCTGAATCGTCTCCTGGTACAGCATCATATGGTCGACAGTGCTCTGAAGATTGGGAATAACGTTACTGATCGCACCAGAGAAGTCGAGCACCACAGCCTTGATGGCCTTGAGGCGGTCCAGCTCGCACTGTTCCATGAATCGGAGGTTCTCGATCACATCTTCCTCCAAGCGGCATCGGATCTGGTCGAGACGCCGAACAGCGTTCTTGTAGCGTTCATCAGCTTCTAGGGCCTCTCTCCGCAGCTTCTCCGAAGGAGTCTCGTTCGGGTAAGGGTTGTTGAGAGGGTTCCAGCCAGCCAGCATCTCCGAAACCGAGTTGATGGGAGAATCGGCAACGTTGCCATCTTCGCTCGAAGCGACAGAAGCGACTCGCATCAAAGGCCTCTTCTTCTCGGGAATCCCGGTAATTTGGAATACCTTGGTGCGCCATTGGTAGTTCATCTTGGAACTGTTGGCAAAGACACTGCCCATGTTGCCGATCAAACGGAGGAAACCACCATCAACCAGATCCTGACCAATTCTTTCGGCCTGGGCGAGATTGTTGGCATCCATGTAGGTCTGGATATACTCGACGATGTCCGCACCGGTCGATGTATTTTGATAAGTGCCGATGATGGGTACCTTGGCCTCGCCAATTCGGATGTTGTTTAGCATGTGCACGAGAACCTTCTTGATCTCCTCCGGTGGGAAGATGCGTTCTCCGAGCTCAACGGGCTCTTCTTCGGGCTCTTCCTCTGTAGGAAGGATGATCTTCGGCGTCGGCTTGATTTTGGGACTCGTATCGGGGTCCTGGAAGGCAAGCTTGTTCTCCTCCTCCAAGTCCTCCAACACACGACACTTGTTGAAGTAAGTGCTGCGCAACTTCCTGACCAATTCCACCTGTTTGGTGTGCTCCTTGATCCGAGACTGAAGGTTATCGTGCGAAGCCTGGACACGATATTCGTGCTGGTTGCTCCAGCGTTGAAAGGGCGCCACGACGAGTTCGCGAATGTTGTTGGCGATCTTCTGGTGATTCCGTGAGGCCTGGATCATCTCGGTGCGGACACCTTCGTACGCCTGTAGGGCAGAGAAAGCAAGATCAGTATAAGTCGAATGAATGCTACCGGCGCATATTCCATACCTTTCGGACACTCGCACCGTCATCCTTGCCGAAACCCGAGCCTGTCAGGCGATCCACACTAGGCGCAATATCACCCATGCGGAGGCCATATTGCTCCTCCGCATCAGCCCGCATAGAGGCAATCATCAAAATCTGCTTGTTCTCCACCACACCCTGCTGCAACTTCCCGTACAGCACCCCGAGACCGCTCGCATAGTCCGGGGTCCAAAAGGAATCGGAGAAGCCAGGCATTGTGACGAACGGCAGGTCCAAAAATTATGGAATCGAGAGGGGAATAGCGCAAGTCGAGATGAAATGGGGAGTGATTTCGAAGGGCTATGAATGTCACTCTGGGTAGGAATCGGGGAAGGATCGCGACAGCGCAAGGCTCAAAGAATCCGATGAATCAGTCCGATCAAGCCGAACCCTCTCGAGCGTAGCTCCCAGCACCTTAAGTAGACCGGCTAGCTTCAATATCAATTCACTCCGTGAACAGGATCAGCGCTAAGTGGTGCAGCGCATCAACCTCGGAATTGAATCTCGGGTGCGGAGGAGGTACCTAGGGAATGCGGGTGCGCGGCAAGATAAGCGCCGGGCTACGAGCTGAAGGAAAACGAAATGAGCGAAAGCAGGCCGGGCGGAGGGCGATTGAGAGACAGAACAGAACAAGCCGCACCGGGATGCAAAATGAGAGTAGGATAAAGGGGCGTGTACAGCGCAAGAGCGATGATGTTGATGAATTTCCATCACAGCGCCTTTCGTCAGGTGGCTTGTAATATTACGGGTACCCAATACGTAGCCTTGTTTTTTGGGCTCCACAGCACTATTTCCTTAGCACTGGGATTCGCCTCTATTTTTGGAAGGAAAGTCTTGGTTCGCCGTTGCGCCGAAATGCCCTAACTTAAATTAAGTCTTGCAATTTCATGCTGAGTGATTGAATATCGTTCATCCCCGGTGCAAATTGGGTATCGTCGTGTTGAGGCCGAGTCGCACATGTGGGACATCTCCAAGGTCGAAACTGGACATAGGGGGCCATTGGTAATGGCATTACGGATACATAGCCCCAGGTGCAAACATGCCAAACCTGGAGACTTGATTATGAGGATCGGCGAGGATTGTCGAAGATTATCGGGCTACGTCAGAGATGAGTATGAAAGCTTGGCAAAGGGGGAATATTCATATTGGTATCCTATTAATCATGATATCCGTCATCAATAAAGGCGAGAGTCATCAAGACATTCACGTTGGGAGACATGACAAAAGAGGTAAAAGATGTACAATAAAAACTCTGTGATCCTTCACAGAAGTCTTAGAACAAGGTGGAGAAATCTCTAGCAGAAGAACTTGTAGACCTTCTTCCACCTAGGCCATGCCGCCTGGTCAGCCTTCTCCTGGTCCACAAGGTGCTGAATATCCAGTTCACGACGACCGGTCACCAGATCCATATCGCGTGAGTGCACGACCTTGGTACGGTACCAGATCTTATAAGGGATGAAAAAGAGCAGGACGACAGGGGCAGCAAGGTAAGCTCCGAAGAAGCTCTGCACCAGTTCGCCAGCGGTCATCTCAGCATAGCCGACGGGGGCAAAGCCAACCCAGAACTGGGCGACCAGGACGAGGCAGTTGAAGATGAAGCCAACCCAGGAACCGATGACACCAGGCTGGGAACGGAAAGCCAGCTCATCCAAGCTGTGACCCTGGATGCTCCAGGCGCGACGGAAGCGAATGTGGCAGAAGCAAATGGAACCCCAGGTGAAGATGGATGAGAGACCCGAAATAGCCATCATCCACTCGAAGGCTTCGGTCTGCTTATCTGACGCAGCCAGGAAGCAGAGCAGACCCAGGACGGAGGAGACGAGGATGGCCCACATGGGACGACCCTTGCGGTCGATGTAAGCCAGGAAGCGGGGAGCCTGGCCCTGCTCGGCCAGAGCGGCCAGAGTGCGGGAGGAACCGTACACTGAGGAGTTTCCGACGGAGAGCACGGCAATCATAATAACGACGTTCATCACCGAAGGTAGACCAGAAATACCGGCGTTTTCGATGGCAATGACGAAGGGGGAGGCCTTGGCATCGGCCGATGAGGTACCGCTAACCAGACGCTTATCGGTGTAGGGGACCAGAAGGCCGACAATGGTGAGGGAGACGATGTAGAAGAGGGCGATACGCCAGAAGACCTGCTTCACGGCGGTGGGAAGGGACTTGCGGGGATTTGCGGTCTCGGCAGCGGCCAGACCGACCAGCTCAGTTCCAGCGAAGGCGAAGGCGGCGTTGACGAACACACTGCAAAGACCCTTGAAGCCATTGTGGAAAGCACCAGGATTGTACCAGTATTTGGCACCGATATAGCCGCCCTCGGGACCGCCACCGCAGTTAAGAATGATTCCGAGAATACTATATCGCAGGTTAGCATCACGTCCGAAGATCTACGATAACACCTCGAGGCTGATGGGGGAGAACGAACATGAATCCGATGACGGCGATGACCTTGATGGCCGAGAAGACGAACTCGGCTTCACCGTAACCACGAACACCAAACATGTTGATACTAACGATCACCACCCAGAAGATGGCAACCCAGGCCGCATTCGAGACATTTGGACTCCAGTAATCGACGGTGATAGAAGCGGCGACGATTTCCAGGGGCAAGACAACCAACCACTGCAGAGCATAGTTCCAGCCCATGGCAAAACCCCACGCCGGGTCAATGAAACGAGTCGAGTAGTGTGCAAAGGAACCAGCAACGGGGAACAAAACGGCCATTTCACCCAGGGCGTGTACCGTGCAGTAAAGCATAATACCGATGAGGGCGTAGGCGATGAGGACAGATGCCGGGCCACCTGCTGCCAGGACTGTACCCGATCCGACGAAGAGACCAGTACCTAGAAGAGGGTCAGCGAACCGACGATGGTCAGTGGGACGGCAAGGTGCCTACCGATGGAACCACCAATGGCGATCATCTGCAGGTGGCGGCCCTTCAGGCTACGCTGCAAAGGTGAATTGGCAGTGTTCTGTGCCGCGGTCTCGAGATCGAAGCCAGAGCCATCGGCGCCTGCGGAGTGGCCGCCGCTGACTTTGGCATTGGGATCCCGCTTAAAGCTATCCACGACCCGCTGAGTCCAGCTTCCGCGAGTCAGTTCGGAGTCGCCATAAGCTGGCAATGGCTCGGTCGTGGTCTGGATCGGCTCGTTTTTTTTCTCCTCCATGATTGCGAATTTCTCTCAGATCTGTTGTAGATCCGGCGAAGCAGGGGAGATGAGGGGAAAGGGAAAAGAAAAGGGAAAGGGAAAGGGCAAGGGAAGGTATCGAAATAAGAGTGATCTTAATCCAGCACAGAGGACCTGGACCGAGTCTGAGGGGGTGAAGGGGAAACCTGGAATACCAGAGGGGAGAGGGAGGCGCATGTTTAAATACGGACGGTGGACAAGACAATATTCATTAGGTTTACATCTCTCACAATGGAAACCAGGCCGCTCTATCACGTTAGCCAATAGACGGGGCGCAGATAGAGATGCGCTTAGACCACGGACCTGAACCCGCTTAGTTTCTTCTGATAATAAACTTGGCGTCCGACCGGGGTTGCGCCCCGTCTAACCCCCGGTTCGGGAGGCAAATGTACTTTCTTTTTTCTTCGAGCATTTTGGTATGCAGCTGCAGAGCAGGGAATTCGACCGGGATGGGTGCAAGGCTGCAAACGGACCGACTCCAGAGAGAAGCACATCGTTCTGTTTCGGTTCCACACCTGCTACAGTCACGGTGGGACTCGTCTCCTAAGGTTAGAAAATCCCCGCCACTGGCCTTCGCGTGATTTACTGTAGTCTGTCAGAACGGGAAGATCCCACCCGCGGTGTGGCTCTACGCAGTGAACTATTTTCCAGGAACTGCCGATATCTTGGATCGCTTACGGCCGGTCATCCACCTGCCCTTTTTACCTTACCCCGTCAACTCGTCTCTCCTCCAAGACCTCGGGATGACTCCACGGAAGTGGGCCTCACTCGGGCACTGAAAGCCAAGCTTCGAAGAGGGAGGTCGGGATCGAGACCCACTAATCCACATCCGGCCTCTCTCCGCACTTTCCATGCGATAGCCAGCACTGATCCAATCACATACCGTGGCGGTGTGATAAGGAACGGCTCGACCGATAGTATTACATGCCGTCCAGTCTACCCACGGCAACCGCCTTGCAAGTTCTCAGGGTCTACAGAGTACAACCTGCACGGATCAGTTCGCCGGATCTCGAAGATCCGTGGCGTGCGGGCTGCATATCGTTCTGAAGCCATGCCACCGCTATCCCAGCGCCCCCTTGTCTATGGGCAGATTTTCCGACGGGGTTCCGTTCCTTCGGCGCTAGGATCTTGCCGGAAAGGAGCACGCAAGCAAAACCGCGAAACAGCAGCACCTTGCCCAGACTTCAAATTGCGACCCACTCGAGCAGTGCAAGATGCCGCCGGGGCCTCGGGTTGCCCGTGCTGAGAGCTGAGAGCCCGACTCCCTCTCCCTGGTTCGGATCCGGGCAAGCCCGAGGCAATTTCTGTGCGAATCGATCCGTGAAACTCTACTCCAGCCCTCAGCCCCCCGTCCGTGACTTGATTCGTCTGGCGGTTCGGGTGGCTCATGGCGGTCTGCCACTGATATGCATGGAAGGACGGGAGAACGAATGCTAAACACAGGGGTGCGTGGGGAAGATGGAGAGCATCACGAGGCGTGCGAGGCCTGGCCGTTCGAGATGTTTCTCGTATACCTGGACCAAGCGCGTCTTTCTTTCTACCCTTGCGATCTCCTGATAGGTTGAGCGTTTCGCCACGCATGTCGCCGGTCGGCCATGCATGGGCAGTAGTATCAAGCTGCCAAGTCCCCCGTAGAATAGATCCCGGTTCGTGATAGAAGGGTCGAGATGCATCCTAACGCGCGATCATACGACTCCAATCCTACTGGAACTTTGCAGCGTTGCCCCGAGAGTTGACCTTATCGCAAATTGTACATAATGGATACGGTGGGTCTCTAGCAGTATCATGCACGCCGTTATCAAGGACCGTGCCAAGGACAAATGATCCAGAATCCTTGACGTCAAGACCCAGAGCATCAAGAGATAGCGAACATGAAGCTGTGTGAAGGTGGATCGAGACCTTTTCCCTGCCCCCAAGAGACCTCCGAGAATGTTGCGTACCGGGGTACTTTGACTTTCAGCCACCCCAGCCGATGGCGCTCAACGCGGGCTGTCACTGGCTGTGACTGGCTGCTACCGATGCCTCGATGGCCATGGTAGCATCGGGTTACAGTTGGCACTATTGGTGATCCGGGCGGGTACTGCCTTTGCAAGGGAAGCAGGGGCCGAGAGCGTCTGCCTCGGAGTGTGCCTTTGCTATTGGCTTGATGTTTCCCAGGGGCTTGACACTGACTTTGCCCCAGCCATGGTCACACCCAAACAATCCATAAATCGTACAAAGCCAAATCTAATCCAATTGTTCTAGAAACAATTTGGAACCTGCCATCTGGTGATCGCGTCTTCAGCAACAGTGGCGACTTATCCCGACAATCCAGACTCCGCAGATCGACGGCACCCACTTTCCCTCTTTCCCCCAGGTCAGTCACGCAAGGATGGAAGTCCATCGGCTGCGCCACCCTAAATCCAGATCGCATGCAAATAAACAGCATGTTGCGTTAGAGTGGTCCCACTCGCCGGTGATACTTTAGCAAAATGCGGGGATAGAAACTTCTTAGGTAACAGTTTCCACTTCATCTCCGAACACACCTTAGTAACCCCGGGGTACAGCGCTAGCTGAGAAAGTACTCCATACACATATCATGATTCATGTTCTGAGCGACTATTACGCAATCTTTGGGACAGGTGCTTTTGAGATTGGGAAAGTCGCGGCTGCTTGTGTGTCCCCGGGTTATGGGATCCACCCCCCTTTCCCCCTCCTCCCCAAACATCCTAGGTTTCGGCGGATCGGTTTTGAACCTCACTTTTTGACGGATGGCTGCATGAAGCTGGTGTAATTATGGCTAAGCAGGTTCCCCCGTAGCTGCGTCGTCAACCGGCCCGGTGGTGAAATCGTAGCTATGCGGATTGTGATGGGGGCTGGTACCCGAATCTGGTAGCTCGAGCACTTGAGCCTGATAAATGCCGCGAATAATACAAATGCCGCATTTTTGGAGTATAGCTACGGGCGCGATCCACTATGAGTTCATTTGGAGTCGCGTTTTGTGGGGTATTAGGCTTTTCTTTGCTGATCGGCGTTGTCATCCACTAACCTGTCCCGATGGTGAGATACCCGAATGTTCTCATTCGTGATTACAAGACCAGCCTTAACGATCTGCGCTTGATGAACGCCCGAATAGCCGGTTGTAGCCGTTGTTTGGCTGGCTGGTAATACCCCGGCCCGGTGAAGGTGCTTACTCTGGGATACTTTCGTGGCGTCTGCGTATCATGAGAGGCTATGGCGGGCGTGCCCCGGGGTAGATGTTTAATTAGGTGTGTGTTTCGCTTAGCAGCCACGGCCCAGGGTCTAGAGCTTTGTTCTGACATCGGCATAGTTTGCCCAGCATCGTGTACCTCGAGGAATTGCGCCCTGCAGACTATCATGCAGATACCGAACGGGCTAGGTTTCACGCTGACTTTACTCTTAACCATGGATGTTTTCAAACCATATCATTTGCCCGACCTCGACTTTTGTGAATGAGGGGTATCCTCTAACGCTAAGAGATATGCCCGGTTCTTGTGATGTGCTCTTACTAGTTTCGTGGGGTCGATCCATCGCGAGAGACAGGCATGTCTTTCACATATCTCATCACCGAATCAATTCTCCCAGGCCTGGGCATTTCTGTCTCTCTTATGTAATAATTGATACAGTGCGTACGGTGGTAGAACGGGTCTCTGTGAAAAAAGCGAATGGAGAAGCAAAGCACGGCGCCCAAAAGTACCAAAGGGATTAATTGATTCTATCCATGGAATTTTCATGTCGTTGCATTCGGTATCATTAACAGACAAGATATCTTTTCATCATGCGCAAAGTAATGCCAATCGGCCTTAAGCGCTGGCAGCAGGGCCTTCACCACCGGGGATCAACTGTATGGAGCATTAGAGATAGGATGCCAAGAGAGCAATCAAGTTACTTACCATGCAGACATTGTTGCCATTCAAGAGAAGCTTGGGAAGTTTGATCTGGGCACCGGTGTAGTCACTGAGATGGAGTTAGAGTCAATTCCAACGAAAGTTTCTTGATAACATGCGGCCGAGGAAAGGCCAATACAAGAACGTCGCCATTTCATAGAGGAGGTAGTAGCGACACTTACAATTCAGTCACATCTTCCAAGACCATGTCTAGAGGATCCGTTAGCACATTTCACCCGACATGGCGGCTGAAAAAAAGGGATACTTACTGACGTAGTCATCAAATCCGAGGAGGGTGCCGGAGAACTCTGTACATGCGTCAGCCTCCTTCCCCTTGCTTCCTTCACTTCAATTTCATGCTCACCCTTGTCACCCTTCATAATAACCCAGATCCGGGAGCCGACACACTTGTCGATAAGCTCTATCGAAGGGTTAGCGGGGTCACACGGTGCGCGGGGCATTTCGCGAACGCACCGAGAGGCAGAAGCTGGGAGGCCATTGTGATTGGTATGTAGAGAGTCAGGAAGGCACGAGAAAACTCTCGAGTAGCAATTCTAGCTCCAGAAAGAACACGCAGGGCGAGCAAGGCAAGATATCAAAGACGACGCTGCGACGTCTGAGGAAGCTGGTTTTCTCCGGGCCGAGCGGCTAGGCCTGATTAGTACTAGCTCCACTTCCCCGATCCCTCTGTTCTCCAACGCCGCGATCTCCTCACGAGCTCAAATTTGTCTCGACTTTCTGAATTGAATTGGTTTAGCTCGCCAAGTGGACTGGCTGGCCTGCAAACACGCCGTGGTACCAAACCAAGTCCCCTCTCATGAGGTCCACTATGCTTGCCACGCAGAATGCGAACGTGGTCGCGCCTTCCAGCGGGCCTGAGGTATTCGTCCTTGGCCCCGACACCGGACGGAAATCCGTGTAATCATTATGGTAGCGGTGCGACTACTTGGTCGCCTTCATCTCACAAGTGAGTCTGCTTCAGCTTCATTCCCACGTCTAAAGGCCAGTCTGTTGACCAGATCGAAGTAATGACAGCTCTTGCACGCCGCGACGAAGCTCAGACACTGGACCCATCCGCCGACGAACTTACCGCAAGCAATTGGGCAACTTCCGATCACGACGGAACTTCTCGAATACCCCCGCCGCACGAATCACACTGGAGGACGATGACGAGGATGATGGAGTTCCACCGCCAGTTATCAACAGACGCCCGAGGCGTCCGGAGGATATCCGTGCCAGCAAAGAAGACCTGAGACAGATCATTGCATCTCGAAAAAAGCAACCCAAGTTGCGTACTGTATTCACACCACACGACCGGATAGAGATTCGCAAGACTGAACAGAAGGTTCTGCTGTTGACTCCTGCTTCTCAATTTGTCCGAGAATTTGTTGACATCAAATATCGCTTTTTTGAGGATCGTTTGTCGCAAAATCACGGATTCAATCAACGGTTGGCAATGCAGTATTGCAGGGCTTTCTCCGCAACAATTGCATGGCTCGAGGCTGAGTTCATGCAAATTCACCACGAGAACCGGTTGATTGAACACGAATATTGCAAGATTCGCTTCGCAGAATCTCCGAAACTCAAAAAACAGTTTGATAAATTGGCCACGCGATCCTCTGAGCTGCAGTATGAAGCCCTTAAAGGAATTGTCGGGACCTCGAAAGTCTTCATACGTGACCTAGACAATCTACTCAAAGAGGATTACCTGCGGCCCTGGAAAACTGCTAGGGCCCGAATCGATTCCCTCCTAGCTTACTCAGAGAGGACGCAACAAGAGTATCGCAAACTACAAGATAAAGGATTCGCTGTGATCAACGGGGGCAACGACATTCGAACGCTCTTGTTAAGTCTGGTAAACCTGGTCATACCCGGTGGTCCAGATTTCCTTGCATTATCACATGCAACTAGAGCGCAAAACTTGGCGGTTGGCCAAACAGCCCATTATCACCGAGGCGTGTTCCTCGAATCCAGGGAACTCCGGCATCCACTCAAGGCCGCAAACTTCCACAGAATCGCATATGATATCCGGATAGCTCCCGTCGATTCCGCCTGGGATGTTGTGAAAGCTATGCTGTTTAAAAGACCTATGAAGCGAGTTTTCCAAAGGGATCAGAAGTCCGCCGCTATCGCCCTGGAGGCGCAGTATATGAAATGGCGGAGAGTGTCCAGAACTACCAAATACTCGACAGAGAACAAATATTTGCGTCAGCTTGATGTCATGGCACCTTTTGACACCCTCATGATTATGCATCGACAATTGGTCAATGAGGTGTGGTACTTGATCGGCTCCTTGCAAAGGAACTTTGGCCCGATGTGGGATGGAATACCTTATCCCAGAGCCATGTCCATTTCCCAAGAGATATTCGAATGGGCCACGGAATATCGTGCACAACAGAAAGATATTCTGTCACATATCAGGATGTACAGATATGTCAACTGGATTCGGCTTCAGGTGGAGGAGAAACTTCAGAAGCTAGATTTGCCGAACGCGATGCAAGAAGAGGGCCTGTTCATTGTGCCTAACCCATTGAGCCAGGATCCCATTCGATTCCAGTACTATATTAGGTCAAACGCGTCACTCAGCTTTGAAGCTTGGTTCATGGGGAGAGTCTTGTCCACTACCCGGATAGATCAGAAAGGGGCGACGGAAAGGATGTGGGTGCAAATGATGGAGACGCTGCGTGAACGTGAAAAGCTCATCGTGTCCCCGACGGTCCAAGACTTGGGCTCTGAGACTGCCGCCGCCGCCTTGAAGAAGAGAAGACGTCTGCGGGCTAGGTCTGCTTCAAAAACTGTTACACGGGGTCATGACAAGACATCAGCTCAACAGCCACAAGTTCAGTCTTCCACAGTGGCTGAACAAGACCAATACAAACAGTTCGACGCCCACAAAAATTCATCAGGCAAGGCGCAGATATCCTTTTCTTCAGAATCGGGCCAAATGAATCAAAAGGTTTCTTTTGGAACCGCCATGGCTAGGCTCATGAATCCTTTTTGGTTACAGCAGGGGGCTTCTTCCAAAGAACTGGCATCGACCAACATTTCCTTTGACGCAGCTTTCCCCAGCCCTGACAACCAGACTGTTGCGTCTGGATCACCTGCTTCAGACAGGAAATCGGCCAGTCCTGTGAAAAAACCCTCGTCGAAGTCCGATTCTCCGCTTACAGATAAGCGTGGGGCGCCGAAAGAGAAGCCCTCGGTGAGTATCAAGACTGGTCAAGCTACGGCGGGAAGCAGCCACAAGCGCAGGAGTAAGGCTATGGTTGCAGAGCTTCAAGCGACAGTGAAACAGCTTCAAGCACAAGTGGAAAGGCTTGAAGCGAAGGAAGAGTCCCCTCCACCACCAGTTGCTCCTAAATTGACTGTAGGTCGGAGAACCTTCCGATCTCATATTCGTCGAGGAGCAAGACGATCATACTGCACCGATTCACCAATCACCCATGTCAGTGCCCGGGGCTGCAGCCATGAATCTCTACCAGATAAATTGACTGCCGTCCATGTTTCCTCCGCCACTGCAATCGCAGATGATGCCACTCGGCCCACAGAAGATGAAAACTTGCTTGATCAAACCAGGTCTTCGGAGCTCAATGGCAAAGCGAACGAAGAGGTTACCCCAATATTCTGGAGCCATAGCGATCAGCGAGCGCCGAATGGCCAGAAACCCATCATACATTATTGCCGATCCCTTGAAAGCACCGAAGAGGTCGCAAAGCACTTCCTCAATAGCAAGGTCATCGGCTTCGACATGGAGTGGAAAGCACAAGTCTATGCTTCAGACAGCATCCAAAATAACCTTTCCCTGATCCAGATTGCGAATGAAGAGCGCATCGCACTTTTCCAGATCGCTCTGTTCAAGCCGGCCCGCACCCTCGAAGACTTTGTCTCTCCGTCACTCAGACGCATTCTCGAGTCTCGGGATATCACCAAAGTCGGAGTTGCGATCAAAGCGGACTCGACCCGCTTGCGCAAGTATCTCGGCGTCGAAGCGCAGTCGATTTTCGAGTTGAGCCATTTGTTCAAATTGGTTAAGCACGGACAAACAAATCCGAAGCTTGTCAACAAAAGGAGCGTCAATCTGAGTGAGCAGGTCCAGGAGCATTTCGGACTGCCACTTGAAAAAAGTGAGGATGTGCGGTGTGGCGATTGGACTCGTTCTTTGAACTATCGTCAGGTCCAATGTGAGTATAATACTATCTTCAATTCTTACCTTATTTACTGACGTGCCTCGATAGATGCCGCCACAGATCCTTACGCTTGTCTCTGCTTGTTCAATGCCATGGAACAGAAGAGACAATCCATGGACCCTGTCCCGCCTCGTCCTGCCCATGCTGAGCTGAACCAGCCTATCATTGTCCCAAGTGGAGAAGAAGTGAAAAGCGGAGACAAGGAATCCGCTGCCTCTGATTCCGTCGAGGTTGACGTGGCCGAGCGTTCTTAGGTTCTAGCTTTTGACATCTTCTATCAAAGGCTTATTTTTTCTTTTCATCTTTGTTTATTTTTCGGCCATATAAGGAGTGTGCATGTCCATATTTTGATTTTGATTTTTGTTGCATTGCATTTTGTGTTAGAGCAGCGGGCATTTCATGCTTTCTTTTGTTCGATATCCCCCACTCATTTCCAAGGTTCGAAGAATCCACTCATCATTGCATATGACCCGTCACTAGTGCTGAACTACCAGTAAATATTCAACTTTCCATTGGTCTTGATTGTTGTAACCGTGCCCAGGCCTAATTAACTATCGGAGGATGGTGGGGATCTACGACCGAGTAGTGTCTAAATAGCGCTTATGTGATCCTTTAGGAGTAGCCCTAACTAACCACCCATGAAAACTTCCGTGATTACACTTAGCTCCTGGGAAATGGTTGGCTCTCGGCGGCTCATTGTTAGTTCAACAGCTAAATAGCTGGCTCTTGCAGGATTCGTACCAAAGTTACACCAAAATATCAGCGATTTATACAGATACTTTGACTACCCAATATTCAGAGATTGACTGACAACCGAGACATCAGAAGTTGCCTAATATGGTAACTCAGCAGTTAATTCTGATTAGTAACAGCATTCAACGCACACATACCAGGTGTTTTGAAAACTTGGGGGATATGACTACGAATGGAGTATAGAGATAGATGCACGTGAGGGAGTAGAACCGTTTAGTTCACCGAGTAACTTCATATCCCCACACATACAAAAATGCATGGGACATAGCATTTACCAATTCAGACACTCAATTATCCAAGTTGACGTATGCACTTGAGGTCCTATAGCTGTATTGACAGATTTTGACTCAGGAAGTAATCACATGACCGAATACATAATTGCTTCGCTTCGCTCTGCAATAAGCTACTAGTAATAGCAAGGAGTTGGAAACACATCTCATGCATGAAGTCACACGGAATGCGTAAAATTTTTTTTTGGGTGGTCTGTATTCCGATCTGGTTTAGGCTAGAATGGATTCCAACAATGCTGTACATTCTCGGGCCCTGAGTCGCGCTCAGGATTCCGTTCAATTGCCCAAAAAAATCTAGAACCACAATTTTATGGCGCTTCTTGCCCGGATACATGTTCATCCTACGCGACAGGGATACAGACTCTACCAAGCATTTAAAAAAATCCCGCTCCAGCGACTTTACTTGAACCAATCTGCTCTTTCCGCTTCAACCGCCCTCATGCACACACGCCGTCAACTGCAATTACCATGGAAAAGCAAAACAGCGACAAAACCGCGCCTTTTGGAATTGAGGTCGTCGACATGGTTTATTCTGACGGCTGTTTGCTTTGCTTCCGCGACCGATTATTTCATGTATGGCTTGATCGTGCCTGTCGCCCCCACAGCACTGGAGAATAGGGTTGGCTTGCCTCATTCGAAAGTACAAAGCTGGATATCCATTCTTCTTGCTATATTCTCCGCCACTCTATTAGTCTCATCGCCGTTATTTGGCTACTTCGCGGATCGAATCGGGTCGCGACGATGGCCCTTCCTCTTTGGCCTGGCAATGCTGGGGGCAGCAACGGCCCTGCTCTGCGTTGGAACACATATCGGGCTTTGGGTTGTGGGCCGCATCTGTCAAGGCATCGCGGGTGCGATTGTCTGGGTGGTGGGTGTTGGCCTGGTGATAGATACAGTTGGGAAAGAAGGACTGGGCCAATTCTTTGGATACATGTCAATGACAGCCAACCTGGGTATGGTGGCAGGTCCTCTGCTGGGAGGAGTACTGTACCAAGAAAGCGGCTACTATTCAGTCTTTGGTCTGGCCTTCGGGCTTATTGGAGTGGATATCTTCTTTCGATTGGCATTGATTGAGAAGAAGCACGCGATCAGGTGGCAAGAAGTGGCAGTCGAAGTTGAGACGGTAGAAGAAGAGCAGAGACACCTAGGTCCTCCTCGAAGTACCTTGGGGCGCGTTGTCTTTCTTCTCAAGTCATACCGGCTCATCGTGGCTCTGTGGGCGAATATCATGGTCGCGATGGTGTGGACGTCTTTCGACAGCGTTCTCCCATTATTCGTGCAAGAGACGTTTGGATGGCAGCAAACTGGACAAGGGCTGATTTTCCTTACACTTTTGGCACCTCACTTCTTCGCTCCTCTGGCGGGAGCTGTGGTGGACAAGTTCCCTCGATCCTCTCGTTATATGACCGGCGTGTCATTCTTGATATTCTTACCCGCCGCGGTTCTGTTACGTTTTGTGACGGAGAATTCGATGAAGCACAAGGTTCTTCTATGTGCTCTCCTTACAATCATTGGCCTATGTGTTGCCGTGAGCTTACCCGCGTTGGATCTAGAAGTGTTCAACGCTGTCGGGGCAAAGGAAGCTGAAGATCCTCAAGCCTTCGGGTCGGATGGGACGATGTCATTGGCCTTTGGTCTTACGAACATGGGGTTTGCTTCTGGTAACCTCATCGGACCTTTCTTTGCCGGATTCATCCGCCAGCAGGCCGGTTGGGCAACAATGAGTTGGGCCTTAGGGTTGGTAGTTGGCATCTCAGGGATTCCAGTCCTATTTTTCATGGGCGGATCGATCTTTAGCCCAATAGAAAATGCAGGAACGAAACAAGGCGCGGGGACTGATGTGAAGAATTAGGTGTTATTATCTGCAGCCACCATAAAACTCGGTAAATTGCTGCTTCATAGTGTAGGTGGCGCATTTCCACATGATCTATGTCTATTTCGATCCCATTCTCAACCCTCTAGAGAAATGAAAATCCCCTGTCACATATGCGCGTGGTGTTCGCCCGCCTGCTTGTCCTGCCTCAAGCGCGTCCATTGGCTCTCAACAAATGGAAGAGAAATATCGAACCCACTGGGACCGACTGTATCCAGGAATCGCGATAATGAGGCAGACATGCCATACTGGGGGGCTTGTCTCAGCCAGGAGGATAACTCTTGCTCGCGTATTGGCGTTCCTTCTTCCTGCTCGAGATACTCTCTCAACTGTTGTATAGGAAAGTGAATCTCGCCAGACTCGTGGATATAAGTCACTGGCGTCTCTTTTCTATGCGTCGCCGCATTGCGAGACCGAGAAGACAGCACCGTGTCAACAATATCGCGAGCTATCGTTTCAACACGGATCATATCCACAAACCCACCCTGTGACTCGAGATCAGGAACACATTTCATAGCGCGCGAGCAACGCAGAACTGCGTTTGTCAGGTCTGTGCTTGGTGCTCCGGACCCGACGATGCTGGATGCGCGGTAGATTGTGACTGGAATGTTGTAGGTGGCATTCACAGCTTCCAGGAGTACTTCACTGACCCATTTCGAGGCAAGATAGCCACTGCCGCAAGCTTCAGGCGTATGAGTACGGATGGATGCTTCGGGGAGGTCATTTAGCCCCGGGAAATGGGCAAGCGCAACGGTGGAAATGTAGTGAATAGGAATGCCCTGAGTGATGGCCAAGTAGGCTAATTGGCGAGTTGAGTAGACATTTGTCGAACGAAGAACTGCATAGTCCTTTGCGTAGGAGACATCTGCACCGCAGTGTATAATTGTTGTGCATGTAGAGACCCAGTCTGGAATAGAGGTGAAGTTCAAGCCGAGCCCAGGCTTTGTGAGATCACCTGGGTGTACGAAAACCTTGTCGTTTGATGTAGGCAATTGGGAGCTTGAGGGGTCGCGGACTGCGACACAGTGGATGGTTTGTATGTCGGTGTTGGCGATGAGGCAACGGAGGATTTCATTGCCCAGGAAGCCAGTAGCCCCCGTGAGTATCACCGTCATTGGTGTTGCAGTGCGCTTCATACCGTTTGTGTCCCTGGGACATATCTTCTCAAGACCAAATAAATCTGGCGCCAACGCAGCTTCTGCTCCCCAGCTCACTTTTGATGTGACAGAAGACCCTTGCAGCTCCTGGGCGATTTCCTCTAGGCTGCAATTCTGTAGCAAGTTCGACGCCCTGATAGAAATGCCCTCAGCCTTAGCGGCCGTGACGGTCGTCATGGCCGTGATCGAGTCACCACCCAAGTCAACAAATCCATCTTCTGCACCAATTTCCAATGGCTTGATTCGAAGAATTCTGGCCCACAGTTCTTGAAGACGGAGTTCGTCAACACTTGTCACTGGTTTCTTTGCACGCGAGGTCGTTTGATAACTCGAAACCTCCTCCCTAGTCAACGTAGATGCTATTGTCTTGAGACGACGTCGGTCGATCTTATCGGACATCGTTCTCGGGAAGCTATGAACAGGAAAGAAAACGTAGGGAATCATGAAGTTTGGTACGATCTGACGCAGGCGATCCCGCGCTGTGCGAATGGCGTTCGTCCAGGATGGTCTGGGCCGGAGGAGAGGCGGGCCCGACGTATCCACATCGCCTTCCAGCTTAATCCATGTAACCAGCTGGGGCTCCATTTGCCCGTCAACCAGGCTGACCATGTCTACAACGGCATCGGCGGCGTCTGGAAATGTATTACGGACATGGTGCTCCACCTCACCGAGCTCGATGCGTTGACCACGTAGCTTGACCTGCAGATCCTTGCGACCAACATACTGCAATGAGCCCTGGGTTGTGTATTGAACGAGATCACCCGTTTTATACAAGTGGGCAGGGATTGGCTGGCCCAGGTCCTGCCGGAAGGTGCGCAGCCATGCCGGTGGCTCGACAAAGACTTGCGCAGTTTGTACTGTTCCATTCAGATAGCCGCGGCCCACAATTGGTCCTTCGAGAACAAGCTCGCCAATCGCGCCGACTGGTGCCAAGAGTCGATGATCATGGGGGTCAACCACCCAGCAAATAGCCGCATTGCCCGTTCCAATATCGCGAGGGCCTGTCCTGACCGTGACGTTTGGTTGGATGGTGGCCAGAACGCAGCACTCGGCAGGCCCGTATGTGTTTATCAGATGGACATACGGGGACCAGGTGCTCACATCGCTGGGGGACATAGGCTCACCACCCAAGACGAGGGTGCGCAGAGTCGGCATCTGCGCTGGACGGAATTGGCGCATGAGCGAGGGCGTGAAGTCGGCCCAGGTGATTTGATACTTGGATATGGTCTGCACCAAGTCGCCTTTGCGTTCCTCCTCAGAAGGGACGCACAATGTTGCCCCTGCAACCAAGGCCACCAGTGTGTCGGAAATGCTGACATCGAAGGCGTAAGAGGCGAATTGTAAAGCACGGGTGGTCTGGTCCATCCCTGCAGCCCGGATATAGGCGAGCGTGCTGGTTGCGAAGGAGCCATGCTCAATGACCACTCCTTTCGGTGTTCCAGTTGAGCCGGACGTGAACACTGCATACACAGGATCACAGGGGGTAACCGAGGAGACGCCAAGGAACGCTGGGGGATGCTTGGCAGGAGCATCGATGGCTGCACAGTTATTGCCTACGATGACCGCAACCGACGCAAAGCTAGCCGCCGCCGGGGCCAACTCAGGGCTCGTCAGCACGCTGAAAGCTTCGATCTGCCGGACAATCTCCTTCGTGCGATCTACCGGCAAAGAGGGATCCAGAAGCACGAACGCTGCTCCAGCCTTCATTACAGCGAGAACGGCAACCGTGGTCCATCGGGACTTCCAGAAATACAGCGGTACAAAGTCCCCTGGAACAACTCCCAGGAGACGGAGCTTAATAGCAAGTCGAGTGGAAAGATCATCCAGCTCGCGGTATTGAAAGTCCCCATCCCATGCAGAGACAGCAAGGGCGTTGGGCTGCGCAAGGCATCTCTCACGAATGAGATCATGCACACATACAGTTGCTTTGGCTACGGGAATCCTATTCCACTCCCGCAGCTCGCTCATGTCTTCAGGGCACACAGAAGCTGCATCCAGCCATCCTCTATCAATGTTCTTGCCGAACGACGAGATCACACTGACAAATTGTCGCTGCAAGCGCCGCATCTGTGGCCTGGACAAGACATCCTCGTCGAAGACGGCTTGGATGCGCACTCCAGTACGCAACAGGTCACAAACCCAAGTCAGTGCGTAGGTTCCGAAGGTGGCATGGTTTGCCAGAATCCTCTGCTCACTGCTGATGTCGGTGATACGCTCATATTCGTGCTGAGCGGGAGCCTGAATCACGAGAAGGTTCTGAAATTGGCAAGCGGCCGCCGCATCTCCTCCTAGCTGTCGAATGTTGTGCAGCCCGCATTGCTCGAATGGGGTCATTTTGACTTCTTCTGCTTCCATTCGGGAGAGAATCCTGTGGATTTCCTCATTGGGGCCCATTTGCACACGCCGTGGAACGGTGGCAATCGTGGGTCCGGACATGTGATCCACGCCAGGAAACAGCGCTCTACGTCCAGTGAAAGTCACGCCAAAGGTCGTGTCCGTCGAGTCCGTGTATCTAGCAAGCAGTATTGCCCAAGCTAGCTCCACCATTGCAGTCTGCATGCTCTCGGGCAGCTGCACCATCCAATCCAATTCGGCTGTCTGCGCCATAAACCCCTTGGCCACGGGCTTATATGAGCCGCTGGGCAAAGGCGGAAAGGCGCATTGCTGTGCTCCTGTCAAGACGCTTGACCAGTATGCGAGCGTTCCTTCGGACTGGCTGGCTTCCAAGGCGTATACCGTAAAATCGGAAAAGCACCGAGGCGGAATGGTGTCTCCGCGGTAGGCACACTCGATCTCATGAAGTACTTGGTTTAATGACCAGTCATCATACAGGGCATGATGCAATGTCACGACAAAATAGGTGTTTGATCCAGCAGGTGGGTTGATCAGAGCCAGCCTCAAGTACGGTGACCCAGGGCTCATCCCACGTTCCAAGTCTTCTTCGAGATACTGTTTGAGCGAATTGGCTTTCGTGATGGGTATTACTTTTCGCGTAATGATTTGAACGCTGCCAAGGCGACTAGTTTGGATCACTCGAGTCCGAAGAATTGTATGGGCTAGCACTACTGTCTCGATTGCGCGATGAAAGCGTGTGACGTCGGTATTAGGTGTCAGACTGTAGACGTAGCGAGCAACATAGGTCCTGGGGTTGGCGACTGAGAGAGCCACAAGTGCCTCCTGTGCGCCGGTGCAGGGACAGATATCGCAAATGTCATTATTGTCGACACCGTTCTGGGCAATCTCGTCTTGCAACATGTGTTTCCATTTCTTCAGGTCGGTATGGGGATACTGGGTGGTACCGAGTGGAGGGGAAACCGGAGAAATCATGATAGCGATGAACTCTGTCTCAGGCAAGCCTGACAGAAGGAAATGGAACTTTTACCCCGGCGATTTAATCTTGTCAGCGGAGTCAAGTAGACCATGTCGGAAGGAGCTATTAGTGCCGGCTTGAGGGTGCGCTGTTAAGGCACTGATACCGGATGCCATGATGACGAGGTCACAAACGCTCTGTGGATTCCTGGCAACGCTAGCATAGCTTGCAATCGAGGAAGTGAAGATTGAGAATGCGAGGATGATTCTCGCCAATGGTAGTACATGTCTCAGCGGTACGGATACCCCTGTACGTAGGCGTTCCTGAGATTCGAAACTTCATAGGGTCCCCTTAGCCCACAAGACTCCGATGGAGTGGGAACGCACATGGGCCAACCCGATTTGGCAAGCCTATTGCTATACTCCGCTAGTACAGTATTAGTGGTATGTAGCGGAGAAACCGCCGTCTGCTTGGCCGACTCATACATCCCTATCTCGAGGGTGACGATCCCCCTCACATTAATGTAGGGTCGACAAGCTCTCAGGAATGTACTCAACCACAGGCGCATCGTTGTTTTACTAGAGCGGAATGGAAGGTCTGCAAAGATCGACATAACCTATGAACCTACCCTACACCTGACGTAACTACAGTAGGACGCACATAGGAACTGTACTGTAGGATCTACATACAGTAGTGGGATTGTAGTGGCTGGCTGAGGAGCTGAGGAACCTGAGAGCTGATGATGTGGAACGCGCCATGGCATCTATAACGGTGCCTTGTTTGTGTTATTTCTCCTTCTGAATATACCCAACCTTTCTTTACAGTTTTTCGCAGCTCCTCTCAGCACCCTGTTTGTCATTACCCAGGTGGTGCATAATGACTTTGAGCGCTCCCAGAACAACACCACCTCTCCCAATTAAGTTCACGTCTGGGTTGGAAATCGTCACGGCTGCCACTCGCCCGGATCTCTGGGCGACCCTAAACGATCCAGCCCATCCTCTTAATACCGCCTGGCCAGAGTTCCTGGACCACGACCTGACATTCAAACTGTTTATGCCGATATACTCGCGCCATCGTGCGCTCGTACGGTTTCAACTACTCGCCATTGAGCCGAGTGCCGACGGCAATTGCGACACTGTAGTTGGGCTGGGCCGTTCAATCCCTTTCTTCTGGCCTGAAATCGCACATCTACCTTCAACCAAGCGACTTTCGGACTATCCGGACCTCCTCAGTACCCTACCAGATAGTGGATACGATGGTACGCTCCTGCGTGGGATGGCTTCTCTAGCATCTCAAGATGACGAGACACAGCCAAATGCCCTCTCAGCCCTTTCAATCACAATACGGCCCGATAGGCGACGGCAGGGGCTGGCTGAGGCTCTGGTGAGCGCAATGAAAGACACGGCACGTGCCAGCTCCTTGCGCTGTCTTGTTGTTCCCTTGCGCCCCACGCAAAAACACCGCTTTCCATCCGTCCAGATGGCAGAATACATTAACTGGACGTGGGACGATCCAGATCCGGGAATCAGTCCTATTCGACCGTTCGATCCCTGGCTTCGAAAACACCTGCAACTGGGCGGCCGGATCGTCAAGATCGCTACGTCCAGCATGATTATCCGCGGCACATGCGATGAGTGGAGGAAATGGACTGGTGTGGACCTCACCGCATCCAAGGATCGGGAGAAGTCTAAAGAACGCTATATCGAGGTCCCTATCCCGCGAGGCCTCGTGCCCGTCCGGGTAGACCTTGTAGATGGGACCGGTATCTATACGGAGCCCAATATTTGGATTTACCACGAGCTAGATGACTTGGGATGACGATGGCTTAGTGTATACGATTGTTATAAAAAAACAATCTATTTTGTCCTTAGTACTGTACTTCATAGACCTAGACGGCAGAGGCTTTGACTAATCCCCACTTGATATAGATTGGGGACCCATTCGCAAATATTAGGACCGCTCAAATACCCAGATCAATTCAGTCGGAAGGACAACTTGGTACAGGCCCCTTAACCCAGCCACATCTGTCATTCGCTTCACCATTTCTTCCGTCCATAGACCACACTCCGTGGTCACGACATTCTGCTCGAGAACAGTATCATGATCGCGCACAGTGATCTGGCGAGATTCCTTGTACACGTCGTCGAGGGTGTTGGTCTCTAGCAACACTTCCTGATAAGTGATGCCAGGACGTTGCTGGCTGGGAATCCTTCCAGTATCGGCCGGGCCTGGCAGCCTGACCGGTTGGCCCGTTTTCTCAAAAGAACGATAGAAGGATACAGCAGCGCGTCCGCTACCCGGGCGTAGTACTTTCGCAACTTGGTTGAAAAATTGCTGCCCCTGGCCTGCAACGGTGAAATGCGTGATGGTGCCAAAAGACAGAATCAGGAGATCGACGGCGGAAACTGGGAGTGGCATTCCAGTCAAAGCTGCTTCGAGTTCAAAGGCAGATCCCAGCATCCACGTCAAATTCCCAGCCTTCGGGGCCAGGATGGATTTTCGAGCTCTGTCGAGCATCGGGGCCGAGTTGTCAAGACCGATCAGGGTGGTTTGGCTCCAATCGTGCCCGACCTGGGTGGCATGTTCAATGAGGCCTTTGATGATTCTGCCTGTGCCAGTTGCAACGTCCAGAACAATCGGCTGGCGATGGCTTGCCCGCAGCTGATCGAAGTAGATCCTCGTGTCTGTCGGGTCAATCATGTATTTGGAGGTATAAATATCATAGAATTCGGCATTGTAATAGAAAGAATCGGACTGAGATTCACCCTGCTCGTCTGCAATTTCGGGGACAGTCATTTTGGCGCTGGCGCTGGCGGAGTATTCCCAAAGATATGGAGATACAAGTTGCTGACTGCGGTGGATGTTGATGAGACTTATATCTCATATCTCTGGTTATGACTGTGTGCCTTGATTGCACACGATGGAGTGTCTCAAGGGCCCATGCACTGCGGCATGGAAGTGAAGCAAGGTGACGAAGCATCCGGGGATAGCTCCCCTTACATCGCCTTGACTTGCCCAGCCGCACCACGCGTCACCAAGACCCGCCTTCCCTTGCCTCCGAGGAATGAAGTCCCAACTCGAGGCTGTGTCAAATTTAGGGAGACGGTGACGTTAGGCTGCTCCCGAGAGCCACTCGGCATTCGATGAGTGGGCCGCGTGAGCCCGGCGATATGAGATGCCACTGCTGGACAAATGCATCGATCCCAGCGGCAACCATTGTACTCCCCGCCATATTATGCCCCATACTGAAAACACAATGCCTCCAGTTGCAACGCTGACAACAAGATCCAGACCCCTCGGAAATCTTTCGGGACCTGAATCCTCAATTCCGTACTTGGCCTGGGCAGTTACGCTCTTTCTGTTCACTAGCGACAAGAATGTTCAATTTCAAGGACCCGCGCGAGGGTCTGCTAAAGCTCTGAATATTCACATCGATCCCGCGAAGACCATATCGGAGGCACTGGTAGACATCCACAACCTCCTTCAAACCCCATGTGTTGATTGTGCCCCGAATATCAACCCGAGCGATTGGAAATCCGGGAGTCTTTTGGATGTGACGGTCTTGAAGTCCTCTGACCACCATGCAACTTGGGCAACGGGCCATGACTCGTTGGCTCCGATAACATTGAAATGTGGCCTTGGGGAGTATTCGACCGAAATCAGCGTCGTGGTAGGCACTAGGGGGCCTTCCTCATGGCAGGCACAGCGAATGATGTACCAATTCGGCCACCTCTTGAACCAACTGCAATCTTTCCCCGAAAGAAAATTGGCGTCTGCACTCACCCTGAGTCCCGAAGACCATGCCTTCCTTGATATTCGGAATGGACCTATGCGCCCATTGACCCGGGTTGAGGCATGTGTCCATGACATGATATCAGCCCAAGTTCGGGCACAGCCTGAGAGCGAAGCAATTTGTTCGTGGGACGTCAAAATGACCTATCGCGAGCTTGAGACACGGGCCAAGGCACTGAGCCTGCGATTAATACAGGCTGGGGCGGGCCCAGAGGTCGTGGTACCAGTGCTCTTTGAGAAATCCGGTTGGACACCAGTCGCGATGCTTGCAGTGCTCTTTTCTGGGGCCGCGTTCGTTCTCTTGGATTCCTCATTCCCTGATGGACGGTTGAAGACGATGTGCGAGGATACTAGAGCCACAGTGGGAGTCTGCTCCGCTCAATATGCAGCCCGCGGTGCGTCCATCGGGTTGAAGCAAGTCATCACTCCAAACATTGTACATTCGCAAGACTCGAATGTATCTCTTCCACAGGCGGTTCGTCCCGGGAACATGGCGTATGTTGCCTTTACCTCGGGATCCACGGGCAAGCCTAAGGGCACCGTGATCGAACATTCTGCGTTCTGTACAAGTGCCGTGGCCTTCGGAGAAATCTTTCGGTATACTTCTTCCACGCGCGTCCTGCAATTTGCATCATATGGGTTCGATGCCAGCGTGGGAGAGGTACTCGGGCCGTTGATGGCAGGCGGGTGTGTCTGTGTACCATCGGAACAGGACCGCCAGCAAGACCTAGGGAACGCTTCGGAACGTCTAGGTGCCAATTTTGCCTTCTTTACCCCGGCGGTTCTTCGGACACTGAATCCTGACGAGTTTCCATCTCTGTCGATGATAGTCTGTGGGGGCGAAAAATTCACCTTGAATGACATACAGCCATGGGCAGAGCAAAAGATCTTCATGAATGCCTATGGCCCTTCCGAATGCTCGGTTTTCTCATCTACATGGCTAAGCCTGTCCGCAACGCCGGATACCGCTAGTATAGGGTACCCCACCGAGTGTCACTTCTGGATTGTGGATGGTGATGATTCCAACCGACTAGCCCCCGTCGGCGCTGTCGGAGAATTGATGATCGAAGGCCCAATCGTCGGCCGTGAATATATTAATCGACCCGAGCAGTCTGCACAAGTCTTTCTTCGGAATCCAGCTTGGATTCGTCCATTTCGCACGTCGCCGTGGACCTTTTATCGGACAGGTGATCTGGTGCAATTGGAACCAGACGGGACAATGCGCATACTTGGACGCAAAGATCACCAAGTTAAGCTCCATGGTCAGCGAATCGAGCTTGGAGAGATCGAGCATGCTATTCATGAGGCATTCCCAGAGTTGAAGCGCGTGATCGCAACAGTTGTGAAGCGAGCATCTCCCGTCTTGGTTACTTTTCTGTTGGGGGCTGATGGGAATGGTGGAAATCAAGGCGCGAAATCTGTCGGCTCAACGTTTCTCAAACCTTCGAGGACTTTCCAGCAAGCCTGTCAGGTGGCTATTGACACTCATCTTCGGCAGCGGTTACCAAATTTTATGATTCCGAAATTGTGGTTCCCAGTAGATGAGCTGCCGCTCACGCCAAATGGCAAGGTAGACGGTCGTCTCCTAGTAGCAGAGGTGGAACGACTGTCGCCGGAAGAGGTATTCAAGTATACTCTCGCCTCGGGAGACCGTCGGACCGCAGCGCATGATGAGATGGAAAGCCGAGTTCAGCGCTGGGTTGCTCAGGCGCTGGGGGTTCAACAGAAGCAGGTCGCTCTAGACGCAAGTTTCTTTGGCCAAGGTGGCGACTCGCTGGCTGCAATGAAGGCATCCGCCTTGGCCCGTAAAGAAGACATCAATCTTAGCCCATTTGCGCTTCAAGAAGCCGAATCGCTCACTATATTGGCCAAACAACTCGATAGAAAAAATCACAGTCCTATCAGGAAGGAACAGTTGGTTCCTCAATTCATTCAAGACACCGACGGCGCTATCCAGGATGCACTCTCATGCCAAGTTCCGGGAATACGATCCGTCGACATCCAGCATATCCTCGCTGGCACCGAACTGCAGGGGTTATTCCTTCATCTGCCATGTGAATATTTTCGATTTGAGCTTCAAGGTCCGCTGGATGTCTGTCGATTGCAGTCTGCCATCCAATTGCTTCATGAGCGACACGAGATTCTCCGGACTGTTGTCTTCCATACCCACAGATGCAGAAAGACGTATCAGGTCGTTGTGCGAGAATTTGCGCCTCAACTTGAAGTACTCGAGGGGGCCCAATCGCCACTCTGGACCGCCGACCAATGGATTTTCAATGACAATATAAAGACAAACGCAAACCAGCGCCCCTTGTGGCCTGCTGCTCGATTCTTTCTGGCCAAGAAGGACGCACAGACGAGTGAGAGTTGCCTAGTTATTGGAATCAAGCATTCACACTATGATGCCATCTCCATCACAACCTTGCTGAACGACTTGGCTACCCTTTATCAGCACGGACCCGAGTCTCTCCCACCTGCTTTGTCTTTTGGCCAGTACCAGGCCTTCGCTGCATCTCTCCCAATTAGCGAAACCATCGAATTTTGGCGACAGGCCTTGCATGGCTCATCGCCGTTTTATGTTGGACGCCGTCGAGTCCTCGCTCCTGTCTCCATAGTGGATGCAAGTCGCACTATTCCCTTAGTGCGGCCACCCCCGGGTATCACTCTAGCCACGCTTGTGAAGACTGCCTGGGCAATGACCCTGGTACAGCAGTCTGGCAAGGATGATGTCGTGTTTGCGCAAATCGTTAGTGGTCGTTCCCAGGGTCCGGAGGGTATCCAAGACGTAGTCGGGCCGTGCATGAACAGTATTCCCGTTCGCGTCTCGTTGGCTGGGGAAAAATACAACTCTTTGGCAGTTGAGCTGATGCAGGCAGTGCAGTCGCAACACGTTCAGTCACTATTTCATGAAACCATCGATTTCACGACGTTGCGAGATAAATGCACGAAGTGGGGCTCAGGTGCCTGGATCGAGACTTTGGTTCTGCATCAGAATATCGTACCCGATGATGAATATCAAATTGGGGAGGCCTCTGGTAAGATGGAGCAAATCTATCCGGAGGTTGTCACAGATGAGTTTATTCTTTATTCTGTTCCTCAAGCTGAGAACCACGAGTTCCGTCTTGCGGTCCCTAAAGGAGTGCTTGATCTCGACACCGTCAGTCATTTTGTTGCCGAAACATGCCATTGGGTGCAGACACTGGCAGTGCATCCACAGATACCTGTTGGTGACTTGATGTTGCAAAGGAAGGCTGACTTGGATTCCGCGACGAAATGACCCTGTCAAATGGTTGGACCTGTGATATCGCTGGCTCTGTGACCGTGGTTCTAGGGCGGGGGGAATACATTCGAAGTCAGCGAAAGATATTTAAGCGATACGACACGCGGCTATGAAGTGATGAAGGAAAAAGAGCTAGTCCTCCCAGAGAAGTGGTCGGAGATTGGCATACGGGTTAGAATTATCGGGTGGCTTGTGGCTTCATAATAAGATCAGCTTAGAGATCAGCTTAGACGTATATACGCAAGATGCGGAAATGGCGATGACTGTTGCTTCTCTCAACGAGACATGCAGAGTCTCTCACGTTTACAAAATTGAGACTTACTTTAAGAAGCAAAAGGAAAATTCTCAATTCTAAATCCAATATGGAGTCTGGTGGATTTTCAGGAACCTGATGTCGTCTCGAACCGAAGGGAAGAGAGACGAAACCACCGCTCGTGGACGTATCTCAACGCATCCCGCGGCTGGGAGATATACATACATGCATCAATGTTTGCAGAGTGTGTGAAGTCATGGTCGATGTCTCCACACTAACGCGTATGGCGGTAGACGCTGGGGGGATGCCGCTAGAGGCAAGGGGGTCGTAAGAAATATATAAATCAATTCGTGATCGCATTCCCTCGGAACGGGCACTGTCAGTCCACCAGTATTTGACGTGTCTGTGCTATGCTCGATAAAATGACCGGAACTTCACTTCAGTCCACTTTGAGGTTGGTGACAGACTATGAAATCCCGGTTGTGGGCTATGGGGTAAGAAATCAATCTCCTCCCGGGTCAAAGAGCCTCCAAGAGACGTAGTCTGATCCGATGAATCCAGGTATATCAAACGTATGCGGTCCAGTGTTATTGCAAGTCAATCAGACAAGTTGATTCCTCGGCTCAAACAGACCCCCCGAAGTTACGGAGAAAGTAACACTCAGGGCTCTAGATGTCGGATACCGTCATGTACGCCTACCCTCGCCGGACTAGGAGAGACTTGGCTGACAGAGTATTCGGGTTAGGTTGACAGTGCAAAGTGGTATGAGAACGAAGCAGAGTGCTGCCACGCCATCAAGAAATCGGGACTGGACCGGTCGCAGGTCTTCTTCACCAGCAAGGTTCCTCCAATGTGCATGGGGTACGACAAGACCAAAAAGGCCCTCGAAGAAAGCTTTGCCGCGTCGGACATCGGGTACATTGACCTGTAAGCGTCTCATTCTCATGGAGGTCAGCGAAAGAACAATGGAATCTGACTGCCCCGTCAGGATGCTGGTGCACTCTCCCTACGGCGGCAAAGAGGGCCGCCTGGGGACCTGGCGCGCCATGGTGGAGGCTCAACAGGCAGGTAAGATCCGGTCACTGGGCGTCTCGAACTACAGCATAGCACACCTTGAGGAGCTGGAGGCGTACATCAAAAGTGGTGGCGGCGGACAGATTGCCGTCGGGCAGTACGAGATTCACCCCTGGTGTCCGCGCGAGGACATTGTCGAGTGGCTGCGCCAGCGAAATATCATCGTCGAGGCGTATTGCCCCCTGGTGCAGGCGACGCGCATGGAAGAGCCATCGTTGCGGAGCTTGGCTCAGAAACACGGCAAATCACCGGCACAAATCTTGGTGCGCTGGAGCTTGCAGAAGGTATGGCAGATTCAAGATCGAGAGTCAGACTCAGGTAGCTAATAAAAATTGTAGGGATATGTGCCCCTTCCTAAATCTGTGACGGATTCCCGCATTGTGGAAAACTCGCAGGTCTTTGATTTCGTCTTGTCGGAAGAGGATATGGCCAGTTTACAGTTCGACGAACATGCACCTGTGTGTTGGGACCTCGTGAACGAGGTTACCAACCAGATCGAATGTCCGTATGACTGAAGTTACCAAAAGAGAAAAGTGTCACCGTGATTTAAGCGGCGGCTAGAGTTGCGGGTGGAAAAGCGGCGATACGAGCACTGAAATGAGACGGCAAGACCCTTAGCAAAGTGTACGGGAATTCCCGAGAAAGATTGGAATACAGGATACTTCTGAAAGAAAATGGGGTATATATTCGTCCAAACCAAGTATATACATCTGGTAGAACCTATTCAAACATTCAAGTCTCATGCAAAATGCAAAAATATATCCAACAGTCCCCAGGACTACCCTCTCAGAGGAAGCACCTTCGACAACAAAACGTCCTGCCGACACAACGGGCACTCAGGCTTCTCATGAACCCAGTCCCGTACACAAACCCAGCAAAAGACATGCCCACATGTAGTCACACTCGGATCCTTGAAAGCCTCCAAACAAAGCGTACACTTCCGCTGCTGTCCCTCGGGGATCCACGCAACGGCGCCCGGATCCTCGTCTAGATCATAACGGGCTGCAGAGCCAGAGAGTAAGGGGACAGCCGCCGGGTTCTGAATCGACGGGATCAGAGCACCCTGCCCTGAGCGGGACTCACCCGTCTCGGCGGACTGGCTCTCGTCTTCATTCATGCTCTGGCCTAGTTTGCGTACGTGCAGGAATCCCTGCACGGCGATCTGTAGGACCATCAATACGCCCAGTACCTCGTATCCGATACGTTGCTCGTTTTGATCGATCTTCTTGGTGAACACGTAGCGGAGGCGCCAGATTCGCTTTGAGAGGTGGTAGTAGGAGCCGGTAAAGTAGAATGTCGCGATGCTGAGGGCGTAGATCGGGTTAAGCGATGTGATCGAGTCTAGGTGGTCGAGGATATATTGCTGGATGCGCAGCTTGGTGAAGTATGGCCGCGGTTTGTTGTTGGGTTTGCTATGGAGCAGGCCTGCCTGCTGTGCTGCGCGGACTTGTTGCCGTGCGATGCTGCGCTCGAGCTTGTTGCGCACGCGCTGTCGCAGGGCTGGGAGAAGCCGCTGCAATGACCAGGGCACTAGGATACTGCTGAGGATGTACCCGACGCGCCGGGAAATTGCCGGTAGACGGAGTGTGTCATCTTCGAGTTGGACGAGGTCGCAGTACTCTTCGCCGAGGGTGCGGTTGCCGATGGCGGTCGTCAGCGAGAAGTAGAGGAGCTCGGTTACATGTTTGATGGCGTCGGAGTAGGTGTGTGCGAAGCGGGCACCGCGAAGAGAGCGGATTATCGACTGCGATTGTTGTACCAGGCTGTTGGTGAGAAATACATCTTTCTCATGGGAGCGGATAACGTCTGGGGATGTAGCGAATGGGTAGAAATGGGAGGCGGCAGAGCTGACGGTAGTATCGGGGGTTGGCAGCGACAGATGGGGGTCATCATCGGCCATCGTGAATGGTGGAGATATGGTAGAGACCGTAAAGATACGTTCTATGGAGAGGGCAAGAACATCTTCAGATACACATGGACGGTCAACTTCCCCAGCTCGGAACTGACGTTCCCCGGACTTGCCTCGGCTCAAGTCATGTGACCGGATCGGGATATGAATGTGTTTACATAATGATATCACATGACGTAGTTGGCGAAGGTTACAATACAGGCGGTAATGTGAATACCAAAGTTTCATGGTTAAAGTCTGCAAACGAAAGCTCCGCATTTCGCGTGCTCCATGTTTCCGCAATTGTGTTACCCCTGATGAGGTGCAGCATGTAAACAGAGCCTATCCAGCCCTGGGAAGTCTTCCAAGTGTACTCCGTCGTGAGTGCACCGTAGTGAGTGCCACTGAGTGATCACCATGATGCCACGCCTCTTAAGTGACCGAGTATCCCCTGAAGGTGCAGATCGTGCGGATCATCATCTTATAGGGCCGCAGTTCTAATTATACCCAATGCGACAAGGGGGTCCCTGTGGAGATCCAGACCACCATTAGCTACTCAATGGCCCGTCCAGACCAATTCTACGCGGCCGTCTCCACTCTCCACCCATTTCCGCGTCCACTTAGGGCCTGCTGCAAGTGGGCGCGTATTTTCGTTACTTCACGCTTAATAACATCCTGAAAGCGGCCTTAACGGGAAAAGTTCCTGTCTTCAGATTCACCTCCAGTCATTCTTTTGTTCCCACCTTTTCCCCCACCTGGGGTTCCTTCTGTTGGATGTTGCTTGAACCTCTTTGCTTTTCTCCTCGTTCCATGGAATAATGGGTCCTGATCAACATGCTCAACTGGATGGCTTTGGGCTGATCCTTCCCTTCCCTATCCGGATAGCGGCCCTCTTGGTTGCTGGTACGTGATACTGGAATGATAGTATAGACCCCTTGGCTAACTCCCGAAAGGTTTCTGGGGATGGGCGATCAACCTACACTTTCTGGCCAAGGCCAACATTGTATGTGGCGGAACCTCTCGGGCAACTACCCGCCGTTTGAACACCACTAACCGACTACTTCTCCTTTCAGGATGTCCCTGCTCTCATTCGATACCCTCCACGTACCTCCTCTGCTCAACGACCACACCATATCGCGGCCTATCGCCTGGCCACCTTCTTCACAATCCCCCTGGCCCTCTGGCTGGTTGTCTTCTGGATCGCTACCCACCGCGTCCCCGACTTGGTTGAACGCCTCGATTTCATCCCTCAGTCGGTCTTCATAATTCTCCTTCTGATTTTGATCTTGCCTTTGGACCGCGCCTCGCGGGCTGGTCGCATTCGCTTCCTCTTGTCATTAAAGCGCGTGGCCATCGGTGGCTTGGCGGAGTCCCAGGATGGCAAGTTTGGCGACATCCTGCTGGCCGACGCCCTAACCAGCTACGCACGGGTTCTGGGAGATCTCTATGTCAGCTTCTGCATGTTCTTCACCGACGGTCTGGCTGCAACTTCCAAGCCGAATCGCGCTTGCGGCACGGATTTAGTCGTGCCAATTATTGTGGCGGTTCCCAGTGCGATTCGACTTCGCCAATGTTTGACCGAATACGTACGGTCTCGGAAGACAACTACGCGCCGGGAGGCGAGTAAGGGGAACCAGCACTTGGCCAACGCCTTGAAGTATTTCACTGCATTCCCAGTCATCTGGCTGACAGCTAAGCTGCGGAACTACAACCCCCTGGACTTCCACGGGTACAGCGAGATGACCATCATGCGTCTGCTGTAAGTGTCGGCTTTCTCCGCGATGCCTCCGCCATTTCTAACGCCCTACAGATTCATATTCTCCATCATCAACTCCGCCTATTCTTTCTGGTGGGATGTGGTCAAGGATTGGGATCTGACACTCTTTTCCCCCGAACGCAGCGACAGGGACCACCCGTACGGCCTTCGGCGGCACCGCTACTTCCACTCGGATCGGTTGTACCACTACGTCATCATCATGGATCTTGTCCTCCGTTTCTCGTGGCTGTGGCGCGTGCTCCCGGGTCTCGCGTGGCTCCCCGAAACCGAATGCGGCTTGTTCATCCTCATGTTCCTCGAAGTCGCTCGGCGTTGGATGTGGGTGTTCTTCCGAGCAGAGGCCGAGTGGAGTATGTTTCATTCCCCTACAAATTCACCCGTCCCCTCATGAACCACTCTGTTTCATGATTTGATTTGCTGACACATCCCGTGAAAACAGTCCGCAATACCCACGGCCCAGGTCCCGAGGACATTCTCCTTGGCGAATACAACCACAAATTCGACGCGGATTAAACTGCAACGCCTGCTTTTTTCAAATTCGAATTTGAATCCCTTGGAACGAGTACGAGACCCAGAACATATTCCTTTTTCCCCTTATCGACCAGTGGTATTTCCCACACGCCTACCAGGCACCGATTCTTTGCTTTTCGCCTTATCTTAAGATGATTTGACTGGCTTGTGCTCTGAGGCCTGTCTTGGGGTGCTCGGACTGGTGGATCGGGTGTGGGCGAGAAATCTTCACAGCGAGCATTGTTTTTCGTGATTTCTTTTCTTCTGCTGATCCATTTGTGGTCGCGGATTGACTCATGCATTCTCCTTAGCCTTTCATTGTATATACCTAACCCATTTATTTTGCTTTATCTTTGCCTTTGTCATTTGAGGGCTTGGGGGCTGGAGAGATTTAGGACCAGCATGTATATTACGGTTTCGAGGACTGGTTATGTGCTAGTGAAGCTCTCAATATATATGGTTTGAGTGCTGTGTATAAATACATTATCGAAACGTTGAAAAGAGGACATGAATATTAATCGCGATGCTTCCAATTGATGGTAGCAGAAACAAGACGTTAAGATAGCGATTGTTAAAGGGAAGCACGTCAGCTCCCATCCCCTTGACCATCCAGCATTCTCTTCCCTCCACGGCTCCCTTGGCCGATTCAGTTCAAAGTTCCTTCGGATACTTTGGGGCTCAGTAAGCCAGATTGGAGCCGGGTGTACTGTAATATGCGCGCTATCGATGATACTAAGCATGAATATGTGCTTCGATTGTAGGGTTGGGTAAACATGTGCATTTGGATGGTTCAAAGGTGTTCTATCAAGGAATGTGTCTGGAGTTGAAGAGTAGAGATATCTTGTCTTGGTTCATCAGAATATCATTCAATCTCCAGTCGGTATCAGTCTCACTCTTCAAGAAGATGGGCCCCATGAAAATATCCTTGATTCGGGAACGTGCAGGGAAGAGCATTTGCTTCAAAGTAGTGCATTGGGTATTTCTGAATGCTCCCAGTGGAATATTGGACGTGAGAGTGTGTAAAAACACAAATATCAAATCTCAATATACAGTAAAAGTTATATTGACAACGTCTGACCATGAGTCGTGAAAGAAAACCATGCTAAGAAAATAAGTGCCGAAGAATCCAGCAGTCAGACGGACGCCCCCATGAAATAACACCGGCTTCAAAATACAATGGTGATAAACAGAGACATCCAACACAGCACAAGGAAAAGGAAGCAGAAATAAGTCCAGGCTCGGAAAAGGCACCGCCGAGATCGTCCCTCGTAGGCAGCATGCGAAGATATCTCATCTATGATGACGCCTGTCGGATTTGCTGGAAGGTGCATGGCTCTCGAATAGGTCTTCCAGGTATGCGCTCGGTGCGCGACCCTGTGGCGCTTGGCTTAAATTGAGCGAGCTGGTGGAGCCACCTACATGAGAGGTTCGCTGGTTACGTGGCGAATCATAGGCGCCGATATTCGGGAGGGACGGTGAGTTGAGTTCAGCGTGTGAGCCTGCCCCGTCTCTGGCTGGCGTAGAGCCTCCAGCGGCGGCATAATACCCGGCAGGAAGATATGTTGAGCCGCGGTTACCCGTGGCGTTCAGACTGTGATGCGATCCTGAGCCGCCAGCAGTGGGCGAAAAGAATAGACCACTGTTCGAGCTGGGCACCCGCCGGTTAGGCTTGACGCTTGCGCGAGTAGCTGCGCCGAGCTTTTCCAGCGAAACGTCTCCTGCCGACGCTGCAGTGTACACCGTTGTTCCCCGCTTCTTACGACTGCCGCGCAAGAGGCGCTTGTTTTCGGAGGAGTGCGCTATGGCTGCGCGTCGCACTGAGCGGTTGACTGACCATGCGACCATTCCGCGCCAAGCGAGTACGGCCAGCCCAATTAAGCCTAGGATGGCGCCGACGGCAATGAAGACTGTTCCCTCCGGTGTGTTCGTAGTCTGCATGTACGGTGCATTTGCGGTGGGTGGGATGGTCACAACGGCGGCACCTGCTGTTGTGGAGGACGAAGACGAGGTTGAGGATGTCGTTGTTGTGGACACGGAGGATGTTGTGGAAACAGAGGATGTTGTGGAGGTGGTGGAGGAGGAGGAGGAGGAGGTGGAGGTGGATGTTTCCGACGAGGATGTCGTGGTGGTAGCCATGCTGGTAGTTGATGTGGACGTCGACGACGTCGACGTAGTGGAGGTTGTTGTATCCGATGTGGACGTAGAAGATGTGGTTTCGGTCACGCTACGGGCGCTATCAGTGGTCGAGTGATCGTCGGTGGTCTGGGCGGCGTCCGTAGTGGCATCCCCGGCTGGCACCGCGGTGACTTGAGCAGCGGTTGCAAGAATAACCAAAATGAGAATGAGGGAGGATGGCTGGGCTCTCCCAAGCCCTTTGGGTAGGACTCGCATGGTGCACAGGCCGTAAACAATCGTTCAACCTGTTCTCCACAGCGGGTCACTCGGGGTAAGCGCAGATCACAGCGAGCGTCGAGAACAAAGAAGCTGCCAGTTCAGAAGAGCCAGGAGATCTTGGAATCTGATAATGAGTGATCTGGCCAAGCGAAGGTGGAAAATTCGGCTGGGCAGATGGAATGGCTGGCGTCTTGACCCTGGCAGGTCTGGAGATCCCCCTTTCACAGATAGCTCTCTCTAGATGAGTGTGAAACTGATAGCACCCCGTTTAAACGAGTGACTGTCTTCTCACCGAAGACAATGAGCACTGAGGAATGTAAGAGGGGAAAGAGATGTTTTAGACTAAGCGAATGCGAAGGAAGCGAGAAGACGCCAAGTGACTGCGCTAAAACTGGCGCCTCAGGCCGAGAGGAAAACGGGAGGAAAACGGTCACCTGATGGACTTGATTCTACTGCAGCAAATAGCAAGTTGTGATGTATCATACAAGAAATACGAAATAACATTTCCCCTGACCCCAAGATATACGAAAAGTCAATTATGCCATGCATCGAGCAAGGGAAAGGCACATGGCGAGTCACTAGCACGCAACTATTGCTGCTTCTTCACCGCAGCCGAAGTGTCCCTCTCAAAAGCAGCATAGGGGATCTGGAGGCTGCTCAGAGCGCTAATTCCAACATACAAAATCACAATGCAGATGAAAGAGGCCAGGAAACCCATGAAGATACCTGTCGAGACGTTAGAAAATCAGCGAATTACCAAAGGACTAGAGGTGTACAAACCAGGCGTGAAGTACTGGTACTCATCGAACAAAGACTGACGGCGGTCAGACTCGGAGCGAGCAGATGAGTGGGAAGAGTAGTCGCGCTTAAGGTCCATGTGGACTGAGTCTTGATACGAACCCTCGTTGGATTCGTAGACAACGGAGTCGGACTCGGGGAACTCGCGAGGCGATGTAGCATAGAGAAGAGTGTAGGTGGAGTGAGAGGGAATTCGTTCAATTATATCGGCGAGAAGGCCATCTGGGAAATGTTAGACGACACTCAGTCCACCTAGATGTTCCTTTGCGTACCATTGTCGGAGAGCTGATGGGCACGGTCCGAGCCCAGAGAGAGCATGGGGAACTCGATGTCGAGAATCCGAGGACCCGATTCGAAAGAGGTAGGATATTCCCCGGCTTCGTGAAATTGTTAGCTAGAGCTTCCACTACTCACCAATCCCAAAATGGGCCACCATGGTAACTTACAGGAACCGTTAATTAGAGTAGTCTGCGCCTTGCATTTCTCGGAGAGTATGCGCTTAATTTCGGTGGTGTCCAACAAGCCAGTGACCTCGTTCACGCTCATCTTGGATCGGATTGACTTGTCCTTGCCGAGCATCTTCGCGCCCAGGCGGGGTGCTGACTTGCGAGCCGAGAAATCGGAACTGTGCACGCCAGGTTGGTTGACAACAACATAATAGTCTGACGGGCAGGTGCTGAGAGAAGATGAGAGGTCACTAAGCAGCGAAGTGCTGGCTTTAATGTATGCGGAGTTCGTCAGGACCCTAAGGGAGGCGTGTTAGCTGGCCGCAGCTAGAGAAGGGAGCCGTTGGACGTACTCAGACGTCGAGGCGAGGAAGAAAGGAGAGGTGTCCCGGAAGGCATCGACTGCAGCTGCCCCGAGGGCAACCAGCCCGAACCTGCTGAGATGCATGGTGCTTGTCGTGGAGGTGGAGGTGGATGATGTTGTTGCCAACGGGAGGTCGGACTTGGCCTCGGAGGCGGTCGACGGGCCCGGCCCGCCTGAGCTTTACATTCAACTTTTTTTTCGGCGGTTCGTCCGAACCATTTACAACCACCAGCCGCTGTGCGCCTTTCTTATTTTCTTGAAACCATCATCAAATTTCCTTCCACCATGGGTCCTATGTCTAAAAAGCGGAAGGTGGCCCCAAAAGTCGAGGAAGTCAATTTCGACGGCGAGGCCCGCCAAGAATGGCTCACTGGTTTTCACAAACGAAAGCTGCAGCGCATCAAGAATGCGCAAGAAGCAGCCGAAAAGAGATACAAAGAGGAGAAGAGACAGGATCGCAAGAGGGTGTGCCATGACTTTGACGCTCTGCTCTCGACACAGGCTAACTGGGCGATTCTAGATGCGTGAAGAGCGGGCAGCCGAGTTCAACCGAGCAATGGAGGAGCACAAACTACAACTGAAGCGCCTGAAAGAGGAAGACAAGAGCGACAACGATCCCGATTCCGACGAGGATGAAAGTGACAAGGAATGGGAGGGTATTGAGGAGCCACCGGCCGTGGACTACGAGGCCGAATATATCGACGAAGACAAATACACAACCGTGACGGTCGAAGAAATGGACCCCTCTCGAGAAGGCCTGCGCAAGTCCGTGCTAGGAGAAGACTCGGAGGAGGAAAAGGAGGAGCCAGCCAAACCGACAACCCAAACCGAGGAAAAGCCGAAGAAGACTTGGAAGAAATCCACGGACAAGCCCAAGAAGAAGAAAAAGCAGTTCCGGTACGAGAGCAAGCAGGACCGCAAGCTTACTCTGGCCAAACAACGCCTAAGCAAGTCCAAGAAGGCAGCGGCTCGAAGAGAGCAGTGATAGCGGTAGCTCTGTGTTTACCAAAGAATTTCTTATACCACGAAGCAATTACTATGCGCATTCCATGGGATTTCTTTTGTTGTTAGTGTTTCACGAGCCCTTGAGGACGATGACCAGAAAAAAGGGCAATTCATTTGCCAAACAAGGCACGAAAGTCAACATGTAAGGATACGCTATTGAGACACGATCTCTAGCATGGTAGAGGGAAAAAGGAACACGACCGGTCACAGTATGAAAAAGCAGACAGTTCGACAAGGGAAGTGAACCTGCATCCAACCCAACGTCTCCTGACACCCTACACCGATACCCAACGTGATTCGACTTAAACGTTGCTGATGGAGACCTCGAGGTCGTGCAGGTCCTTCTGCAACTCGGCGTGCTTCTTGGCCATCTCCTCGTACTTGGACTCCCACTGATCGCGCTCTGTCTCCAGTGCCTGCACCTTGCGCTCGTAGTGGCCAGCCTTGACGTCGGTTTGGCGAAGCCTGTTATCACCGATAAGTTAGCCGTGGATCGAAATGAGAAGGTGTGGTGGCGGTCGTACTTCTCGTTTGTCTCCCGCAGAGTCTTGTCGTTCTCCTCGGCCTCCTCCTCGAGGAGCTGCACCCGCCGCTGGAGGGCCTCGTTTTGGGTATCGTGCTGGGCGCTCTGGTTGGCGGCGTCCTTGGCGTCCTTGACAGAGGCCTCAAGCTTCTCTACCTCCTCCTCGAGCAGTTGGTTGCGGTGGTTGAGCGATGTGATCTCCTGCTCCTTGGCGAGGTTCTCCTGCTCCAAAGTCTTGACCTTCTTGTTCAATTCCTCGACCTGATCGTGGGCCTCGTCAGCCTCCACGCGGAGGGCAGTCATGCGCTAAGAAAAAGGTCTAGTTAGCATCACGGTCGATCACGCAGGATGGGGTTGGTGATGCAAGCCCGGTATGCAAAGGAGGGGGGGAGGGGGTTTCTAGGCAAGCAGCTCGAGCTACCCCGCCAGGGGCCTTGAACTCACCTCCTTGATCTTGTCCATGTTGGATAAAAGTAAGAGAGAAGAGTTACAGTAGTAATATGTATGGGTGAAGAGGAACAAAGAAGGCTTTCGCTCAGCGGAGCCGGGAAGAGTGTGAAGTTTGGAGGTGATAGGAGAAGGGGAGAATGGGTTGCTGACTGGAATAATCGTGTGTCCTACACAAGCAGCCCCTCCGCCCATTCATCCAATCACCCGCTCCCGATCGCCGCGTCTCCACGGGCAACCGCCGAACAACACTCCAGAACTGCATTTGTGACCTTCTACACGTCTTCAATTTCACCGTCTTTTCGACTTGCTCTCTTCGTTACATGCGATAAGTTTTTCGTCTCCACCCGCCGCCATGCTGGCTCGTCGCGACCAGGAAAACCTGGTGAACACCCACCAGACCACCGCTGCGGCCAAACCCTTGAACCAGGGACTCAAACAGCTCGCCCCCAAGACTCCCGGCAAGAAAGTGCCGCTGAACGACGAGAACCACCCTGGTGCATTTAAGAAACTCACCGTCAAGGGAAATGGAAACCGTCAGGATAATGGGAAGCCGGGCAACAATGCGTTTGTTACGCCGATGGGTACGTGATCTTGACGCGTTTAGGAGATGTGGAAGTTCTTGACCGGGCTTACTGACTCGTTGCTGCGACAGAACCTCGAAACCGAGCCCCACTGGGCATGAAAGATACCAACACCAAAGCCAGAGCTCCTCAGACACCCGCTCCCTTCGGTGGAACCTTGAAGCCGAAAACCAACCGGAGGACCTCGACCGCCCAGAGACCGAAGAAGGCTGCACCCGTTACCCAGCAGGCCCAAACAAAGGTTTTTACGGAGCCGGTCCAGGATGATGTGCCCGACATCGAGTACATGCCCCCGAAGCCGACAGGTACGAGTTTGAATATGATGTAAACAAAGCACGTATAGCCTGCTCACAGTCTACAGACCTCCCAGACATCCCAGACGATGTTACATACGATACAACTTTCCCCCAATTCCAACCAAGAAACCGAGCCCTGGGCCTGGAGAGTGTTTATGGGAAGCAAGAAGTCGGCAGCGATGGCCTCACGAAGAAGCAGCGCAAGTTCCAAGAGGACTCCGTGAAGGCCGATAAGTTTGCCAACGAGATGATCATGAAGCAACTGGAGAGCGTTGGATTCAATGATCCCAGCGAGGACGAGATAGCTCCCACATCCAAGCCACAGCAGCGTAGTCTTCGTGCGAAGACGCCCTCGACAAGCACCAGACCCACTCGAAACATCTCCACACTTCGATCCCGTGAGGCCGCAACTGCCCTTTCTGCCCCCAAGCCAAGGACTGCTTCAGCCAGGCCTGCTGCGGTTCCTAAGTCTCGTTTGGCATCGGCTTCCTCCGTGCTTATGCCCAAAAAGACTCGCGTCCCGTCTAACCCATCGTCGATGCGCAACACTGCTGCTGCTGTCACGTCCAACACCACGATGGGATATTCGAAAGGCCGAAGCGTGTCCTCTACTCTGCGTGAGAAGACTGTTGAGCAGCCCTCGAGCACTTCCGGTACACTCTCTCCCGAGACTTACATGCAGCTCTACGGACCTCCCCCGCTGGGATCCGATATGTGGTCCCGTTGCAAGGCTGCTGGCTGCTTTGATTCTCCAAGTGAGAGTGCTACCTCTCCGGAGCTCGAGGAGCCCCTGCCGACGTTTGAGGAAGACGAAGAGGCAGCGAGCTTCCAGCTCACGCTGTAGCTGATTCAACGCTTTCAACACTGAACACTATCATGCAATTACCACTCGTTATCTATGTTTTATGTATCCTAGGAATTCGGGACTGGCTCTGACATAATGGGGATCGGCGGCACAAGGATTACGGCGTATCATATGGAGATGTATTCAGGGTCAACCGCGGATCGTTCTGTTTCAGGAACCCCCACTCAATTGAAGATCGTTCCTAGCTAGCCAGGCGAGGGCACACGAAATGACTCTGTCCCAAGGCAGAAATCATTAGGAGTACGTCAGTGTAATTTTGCAAAACGTGGTCTTTCACCGAACGTCTGGACCGACTTGTCCTCGGCTGCCCACGCACCACGCACGGAGCACACGCAGCACCCACCGGGTTTCCGTCCCAAGGTTCACACCGCCCCGGAACTGCCACCACATTATTTACGTCCTGGCACTCTCCTTTTCCCTCTCCCACCCCTCTCAATTGACCTCCCTCGAGATGACGACCCCCCATCCGGAGTCCACCGAGGACTTCGAGTTCATCGTGACCCCGGCTGCTCCCGAGCAGAAAAAGCCCGATTTTGACTGCGGTGTCCCGACCACCCTTGTGAGTAGCTATCCCAAGCTCCCGGAGCTACGAATACCTCGGTGGCCAAACCTCTAATACTTCTGGTCTTGCCAGTACCCGGCCATCAAGAATGCCCCCGTCCCCGCGGACTCCCCGGGCAGCGACAGCTTCTCCAATGGCTTGATGATCTTCTTCCTGATCGTGGTGCCCTGGTACCTGGCCCGCCAGGTCGGTGGAGGCCTCTACACCACCGTCTTCTTTGCCATCTTCACTACGATTCCCGTTCTCATGGCTTTCTGGACCGTTTCCTCGACTATCTCTCCCCGCAAGACTGAGAAGGCCAAGTACCGTGGCCTCCCCGTCGAGCACTACCTCCAATTCCACAGTGAGCACGACCGTGCCACTTACCGCGGCAAGAGCAAGATCCCCATGGAGGTCTTCTACGAGAAGTACTTCAACGGTGAGGTTGACTTCAAGGGCGATGCTCTGGAGGCCCTCGAGTACCGTCACGACTGGGCCAACTTCAAGTTCACCATGGGTCTCTTCAAGCACTTCCTGTTCGGCTTCATCCCTGAGATGCTGCTGCACACACGTTCCCAGGGTAAGCTTTAAAATTCCTCGTTCTTACATGTGAACCCATTTCTGACATTCGTTTATAGATGAGGAGCAGGTCCGTGACCACTACGACAGAGGTGATGACTTCTACGCCTGGTTCCTTGGCCCCCGCATGATCTACACCTCCGGTATTATCGGCGACATCAACTCCGAGGAGTCCCTCGAGCAGCTGCAAGACAACAAGCTGGCCGTCGTCTGTGAGAAGATCGGCACCAAGCCCGGTGACAAGATTCTCGATCTCGGCTGTGGCTGGGGCACCCTTGCCAAGTACGCCTCCGTCCACTACGGCGCCCACGTTACCGGTATCACTCTCGGCCGCAACCAGACTGCCTGGGGTAACAACGGTCTCCGCAAGGCTGGCATTGAGGAGAACCAGTCCCGTATTATGTGCTGCGACTACCGCGATGCTCCCCGTGTTGAGGGTGGATACCAACAGATCACCTGTCTCGAGATGGCCGAGCACGTCGGTGTCCGTCACTTCTCTACTTTCCTGTCTCAGGTCTATGACATGCTCGAGGACGATGGTACCTTCTTCCTGCAGATCGCTGGTCTCCGCAAGTCCTGGCAGTACGAGGACCTTATCTGGGGTCTGTTCATGAACAAGTACATCTTCCCCGGTGCCGATGCCTCTACCCCTCTTGGTTTCGTCGTGGACAAACTTGAGGGCGCCGGCTTCGAGATCAAGGCTGTTGACACCATCGGTGTTCACTACTCCGCCACTCTCTGGCGCTGGTACCGGAACTGGATGGGCAACAAGGACAAGGTCGAGGCCAAGTACGGCAAGCGTTGGTTCCGCATCTGGGAGTACTTCCTGGCTGCCTCCACCATCACTTCTCGCCAGGGCGGTGCCACCTGCTGGCAACTCACCCTGGTCAAGAACATCAACTCGACCCACCGTATCGAGGGCATCGCCACCCAGTTCGGTCTTACCGGTGCCCGCGAGGCCGCCATCGCCCGTGCCAACGGCGTTCTTCCCAAGGCCCACGTCATCAAGAAGGACCTTTAAATGTTTCATCCGGTCTCTCTTCTTTCCTCCTAGGATGAAATTCGATCTCTATGGGTCGTATTGATTCCACGAGGAAAAGAACACAGTCGAAATGATATGGAGCCGCGGACATAAATTTACAACGACACGCACGCTACGAGTATGACATCAAGTGAATAGACCGAAATCAAAAGCGATTCATGGTGGAGGTGGTTGTGGTTGTGGCTGTGGGTGAGAGTATCTGGGCTGGGCCTGCTATTTAGTTTGTCTTCATAATAAAATGACGTAGGGTACCAATGGTATTCCAAGATCGAACACAACTGAATTTATTCTGACAACTCCAATAGCGATTTAGTGCCCGCGGTCCAAGAAGTCCAAATAGAATACGCAAACTCTCTATTTCTATCATTACATTTGAGACTTTCTATATATCTAGTACAATGGTGGCAGTTTCATCTGCCCAGAACATATCGGAAGCGAACGAAAAACAAGTCAGAAAGTTATGCAATCAGAGTAAAGCGATTCCAGTGAAGGCTCGGTGCTCATCTGAGACCAGGACAGATTTGTTTTTTCCATCCAAGTCACAACGATAAATGCTCCCGCCAAGATCAGTCACATAGATGGTGTTGTTGTCGGCATCAATCTTCAACCCAATTGTTTCGTTGAAATTGCGAGTCAGAACCTCGTGCTTCTGAGGCAAGTTTGTCTCGGCGGGTCGGCCAGAGGCATCAAGTCGAGCGCGATTCAACGAGTTACCAAATGGAATTTCGCCGCGATCTGTCCAATACAGCAAATTGGAGGATTCGTCAATTTCAAGATCGATAGGCTCCGGGAGACCCTCTAAGATACACTCCACGTCTGATCTCGAGGTACCAGACTGGCCGGCAGGTGTTGAGATATTGGCGCAGAAGATACGACCCTGTCCGCCCTTGGATGGGCCCTTTTGGGTCCAGTAGAACTTGCCCAAGGTCGGGGCAACGGTGATGCCAACACACCAGTTGTGGATATTCTCGGCCGGAGCAGGATTGTCAGAATTGCTTGTCGACACAAGCGCCTCCAGATCAGAACCATCAAAGTTGCAGCGGTAGACACGACATCCCTCGCGGTCACAAAAGTAAACTTTCTTTCCGGTCTTGTCCAGAGTCAATTGCTTTGGAGTGTTGATGGTGCCAGGGGCCACGATTGTCTCGATGGCCTTTGTGTTCAGGTTGAGCGAGAGCACTGCGCCGTCTTGCTTTCCGGGGATACCCATGTTCGTCCAGAATAACGTATTGCTGTCGGTGTCAACGGCCACGCCATCTGGGAGAGCCTGGCCCTCAACAAGCGTCCTTTTGATTTGGCCAGTCGCCGAGTATTCCAGGACAGCACCCGATGCCATTGTTGGTGTAGGGGACGAGAGGCCGACGTCCAAGACAACCACACTGGGGGCCTGCGATTCCTTTTCTTCGACTTCTTTGGGAGGGTATAGACCTCCATGTGAGCTCTTTGTGCCAAGTTTCTCATGGCTGATGTAGTTAGTGTTCAGGAAATCCACAGTCTTTGCCGGGGAAAGACCGCGCTCCTCGACATAATGCGACTCGATCAGTGCGACGGTATCCAGGCCCACGGCTGAAAATTGTTAGAAACTATTGAAAATCACTCAATGGACAGGATTTACATACCATCCATTGTTTTGCAAGGGACTGCGCCTCCTCTGAGGAACATCTCTACCCACAGTGAATCGATCTCCTCGGGAACTGAGACACCTTCCGCCAGGATAGTCAAAGTTTCTCTCTTGACAGCGGCCCAAAGACGGTTGAAGATAAACCCAGTAGATTGCTTCCTGGCGACATATGGCAGTGTTGCTCCTTCTTTGCAACGCTCGACCATGAAGGGGAAAATACCCTCTTCAGTATAACCGTCGGTCATAAGCTCGACAACCATGCACTGGGGTGGCATGTAATAGTGCATGTTCAGAATCCGTGCTTTGGTTGCTTCCGAGACGTTCTCGAGCATTTCGGAGGACTTGTAAGAAGACGAGTTCGAGGCTAGGATGCAATCGCTCGGGGCCAGTTCGTCTAGCTGGGCGAAGGTATCAATCTTAAGCTGAAGCTTCTCTGGTACAGCCTCGATGACGAGCCAGGCATTTAGAAGTGCGTCTTTGAGATCTTCAAAGACTTCCACAGTGCCAGGGGCCTCGCCTGTCTTTGCCGCATATGAAGCAACATTCTCTTCAATGTACACGACACTATCTTCTCGTTGCTGGAGGCTAGGGTCCCGAATTCGTACATTGTACCCTGCCGATGCCCAGATACAAGCTATATATTTCAGTCAGATTAAGGCCAATCACAAAGCACTTATAGGAGACAACCTACCTATCCGACGTCCAAGTACACCACCGCCAAGAACCACTACGGCTCTCTGGCGATAATCTTTCGGGGGCTGCCAAGTTGGAATCATTGTAGTCCGCTGTGTTCAATGATTTAGAATGTAAGCTTCTGGGACTGATGAGAGAGTGGTGTGCACTATGTAAAACTGAATCTTGGAACGATTGATCAAGACATGATAGAAGATTAATATAGTTGCACACGAGAAAATGGCGCAGCGGATCCATGGATTACGTAGAAGGGATTACAACAGACACAACTAGAATTACAAGCTTGCTGGCTCCGAGTTAGCCGCGGACAGAGCAATAGATAACAGGACGACCTGTTGCGTGGCGAGGTTGAGAAAGCATCCGCGGGAGTGCTTCCTGCTACCTCGGCAAGGAAAGGTGGAACGGATGGACGAATTTACCAGTGCGCGTCACCGACTGACCCATCTGGTGGATCATATCCCGTTCAAACGAATTATTGATAATGAGCTAATTTCGATTTCTTTTTGCAGCAAGTTTCCTGCGAATGCCGGGAGCGCCGGCTAGCGGGTCTCCCATCGGGTTCCAACAAGCCTAGGAAATCTCAGAAAAGAATGTTTCCATTTTGGTTACCGTGTACAATGGTATTACTATGGTCATTTTACTCCTTTAATTTGCTAAGGTTGGATTTAAACGTCTTCTAAATTATCAAACATGTCTATTTTGTTTAATCTATCAAAGTCTATGCCGCGAATATTCTAAACAGCCCATGAAAAGCAAATCCTCAACAAAAGAAAACAAAATACCAACTGAGACACAGGGGACAAGTGAAAATGTAACGACAGACAAACAGAAAAGCACGCAATCTATCGAATCAGAAGCAAAATATTTGATCCGCTACCTTGGCAACCGCGCTTGGGGCTTCAAATCCCAGACTCGCCAAAGCTTTTTTGGAAGCGTTGACCATTCCCGGTGGCCCACACAGCATAATCTTGGTATCTTCTGCTGGCTTTGGCAATTTGTCACTCATCACCTGAGCCGTGACATAGCCCTTTCCGTATGTCCAATTCTCTGGAGGCACGTCCAGCATGTACCAGATCTTCAAGTTCTTGTACCTGCGAGCAAATGCTTCCAGCTCCTCTCGGAGAAGAATATCTTCTTCCGAACGATTGGCATAGATCAAACTTATCTCGGTAGTATCACGCTCGTCTTCACAGATAGCACGAATAAGCTGGTACATCGGAGTAATACCAGTTCCACCGGCAATCATACCAATTCGTCGACAAAGACCTCGTCGGTATTTCATCGCTCCCTTCGGGCCTCGGAAGAGGACCTTGTCACCCACGTTCAAGTTTGCAAGGTATTGACCAGTGAGAAGACCGTCTGGATAGCACTTGATCACCAGCTCCAGTACACCAAGGTCCAAGTTGTTTGAGGTCGGCGTATAGGATCGGGAAACAGATTGCCCATTGACGGTTGCTTTGATGGCCACATGTTGTCCGATTGGAAGACCAATGACATCCCGTGGACCTGGGAGTTGAAAGGTGAAACGGTACACGCTAGGTGAAAGCTGTGTTTTGGCGATGAGTGGAAGCTCCTTGAAGTCTTTGGGCTCGAGGAATCCTTTGAGCTCATGCGGGTTGACTACCGGCATTTTCCTGATCTTTTTATGAGGAGGGTATCGAGTAAAGCCCGATTGGATTTGGGTGAACTTGGAGAGTTTGGAGCCAACTATACTCCCAACGACCGCAAAGACTGCACTGCTGGTGAGCAGTCCATTCAAAAATCCACCATGTGCGAGACTCTTGTTTGGGACTGAGGACGTGCGTGCCCAAGCTGGCAGGTGCTGCGGCAGCTTCGACAGCTTCGACAAGAGTTTGTTCAGGGGAAGATGGCCTTGTGTATATAGGTAGACCAGCACCGCTGCTCCACCGGCCAAACCAGTAGCCATTGAAATACTGCCGATTGATGTGCTGGGCGTCTCGGTGGTCGTTGCTTGTGGGGGCACTTGCGGAATCACGCGAACAGCCTTCGAGCGAGTGAACTCGCGAGCACCCTTCATCGTACCTATCAAGTAGGTCTTCATAATCTCGTCGGCATCTTCAGAGTGGCCAACATCTTCGTATGCCGCCGTCGCGTCTGTTCCTGCGACATCGCAAAGAACATCGGCTCCGCCGGGGTGGTCACGAACGTATTCGGTGACATTGTAGACTGTTACCTCCGTGTTAGAGAGTGGTCGTGGCTTCCACCTGGATATTGGTACTTACCTTTTCCATGCACGACGATCCACAAGTCATTCTTAGTCTTGTGCTTTGCAACTTCTTCCGAAGTGTATTCTTCGAGGGATGTCATTTTGGTGGCCAATCAAATTTCTCGCGGAGAGGCAGTTATTTTCAGCAAGAGGATCAAAACGACGTAAGGCAATAAAGGAGGAAGAAAAAGAAGAGGTGTTTGGAGCAAAGATTTGACCTCTGGAGCGTTTTGAGTGTCGATGCCGTGCCAAATCAGGGTGAAAAAGACGGTATTTATTATAATAAAACGTCCCGGTGCCGGTGAGTTAGATGGGGCTTTTCTTTTTCCCGCATAGAAATGCCAGGGGGGTGGCCTGCACTATTTTAAGTATCTATAGTATTGGAAAACCTGTCAATCTATTTTCCGAGGTAATGTTGATTGTTCTCTGCCAATCGGAAAGTTTTATTTGGCTACGACCCCACTATTACAGCCGAACCAAGGAGGTATTGCAAATGGGCCTCAATACTTTATTCTCAAGGTCCTTCTAAATCTCCTCCTAGTAGGTTTTCTGAACGTCTTTAGAGACATCTTTCGATACTAATTTCCAAGATACCTTTCTAAACGTCTTTTTCAAACCTCCCGGGCAGATATTTACGACCGCCCAATTAGACCCACTTAAAATATCTCCTTGGTCCGTCTGTACTTCGTTCCCGAGGTAGTGATTCCTCGGGAAGCCGAAACGGACCGTCGTATCCGTGGCACCCAGCTCCGGTTTGTTGATTCCGGGATACCGATTTCCATACATTAGTTTTTGTTTCTGAAAGGGTTTTTTTATTTAAGAACGGGGGCTCACTTTCTTAGGATGGAAATCCAGTACACGAGACCACATTCACTGTCTCTTTCTTCCCCACTATGACTGTACAACAATTCTACCTTCTAGGAGAGCCCGCGTCCTCTGCGAGAGATGTCGATGTCGAAGACACGCTGGCCATCGATGATGTGAAAGACTTGATTGCATCTCACTTCGCTATTGTCAGCCCCAATGGTAAGCTGAACATATTATCCTCCAGACACTTTCAAGTCCCTTTACGTCTGCTTCTTCATGAGACAGCTTGCTAAATGTGAAATAGGCATTGGGTTCCAATCCAAAGATGACAATTTCCTACTCGAGGTCTCAGACATACTTGCCGCAGGGAGCCCCGTGGCCATCACCATCGACGGACACGAGGTGCGCGATCCACCAGCGCCCAACGGACTTCCGTATGTTGGCAATTACTTCGAAGTTTATCCCGACCACCTCGGAAATCACCAACGTCTTTTTGAGCAACTTGGACCTTTGATCAAGACGAGCACCATGGGACGCACTATTTACCAAACGAACGATCCGGAGATTTCAGCTATTGTGTTCTCCGAGTCCGATTTCTTCACCAAAAAGATCAACGAGGCACATCCTCTTGCCGCTCTCAAAACACCCGCTGCTGGAGTCTTCTTGGGAGATACCGATACACCAGAGTGGAAGGTTGCCCATAAATTCCTTCCTCCTGCACTTGGCCCTAAAGCTGTTCGACACTACGCTCCCACGATGCAGAAGACTGTTGAAGATGCATTCCAGGTGTTCGATGCTTTTGATCAACAAGGCGAAGCTTGGAATGTCTATCAATATATGCTCAAACTCGGGTCACAAGCAGTTGGAAAGCTTACTCTCGGACTGGACTTTGAACACTTTACTTCTCCCGATGCTCCGCTGCATGAAATGGTCCATCTGATCGCTGAAATTCTTTCTCTGAACAAGAAGGTCACCTCCAAAGGTGATTGGTATGCCATGTTACCATTCGGGGACCCTCAGAAATTGAAGCGCTCAAAGACTCGCGTGGAAGACTTGGTGGAACAATCAATCAAAAACGCTGCGCGAGGGGGCGTTGAAGATTTGCCTTTACAGGATGCTGCACTGAAAGCTACAAACATGGTTGGTGAGTATATCCATTGAAGTGCCCTCAAAGTCCAGAGATGGAAAGACTAACATCCCATGTTTCAGACTATGCCATTCGCGCGACGGATAACAAAGGCGAGAAACTACCAAAGTCAAGCCTCGTATGGGCACTTGTGGTAGCAACTGGTGCTGGGTTCACCACTACGAGCTCCCTCCTATCGTGGTTGATCTATGGACTTGTCACCTATCCAGGAATGCAGGAAAGGCTCCTCCAGGAATTAATCGACAATGACATTGACGACACCACCGAAATTACAGCAGATGTGACCGAGCGTCTTGACTTCCTCGATAAGTATATCAAGGAAACACAGCGACGACACAACCCCTCATTCCAACCGGGTCGAACTGCCAAGACAGACCTGGTCCTGCCAGGGGGCTACAAGTTACCCAAGGACGCCGTTGTGATTCCAGCATTGCATCACATCCACAATAACCCTGCCCTTTGGGACAATCCAAACAGATTTGATCCTGACAGATGGGACACAGATGCCGTGAAATCCAGGCACAAGGCAGCTTATATCCCTTTTGCCGCTGGCCCGCGAATGTGCATTGGGTTCAATTTCGCCCTCCAGGAAGTCAAGGTGTTCCTTCCGAAGCTGATTTATCGATACAAATTCAGTCGAGAGGGAGACGGGCCTATCGAGTATGATCCGATGTTCCAGTTGATCAGGCCAAACAATCTATATGTTCGTGCCGAGAGACGAGTCAAATGGCCCCCCAAGACGGAGAAATGAGAAAGTTTAGTGTCCATGTTTAGCTTAGTCGTTCTCAAATGGATTGTACATTGTTTCATTGTCTGCGTCGGCTATCCCTTATTGCCTGACATAAACATGGTTTCGGGGGCATTATGTCTTTATCGACTCATAATCTTCCTAAGAAAAAGTTTCTCGCCCCCTTTCGGGACTGTTCCATCATCAATTTGGCCATTCCAGCCGGCAACTTGCACCCAGTCTTTATCTTCCACCGCCAGTTCCTCTGATCCCTGCGCTTTGGCGGTAAACTTTCGTCCTTGAGGTGTTGCAGGCCACACATCCCAGCCGCCGACACCTCCGTCGACCCAGCTCGATGGTTCCTTGCCGTAAGCAACAATTACTCTTTCCTCGAGCGGAATTTCTGCGATGTTCATATCAAGCTGCTTGAGCCAAGTATGCTGGACTTGCTCAAACATCCTTGGGAGGAATCTCTCAGCGTAGACCGCGTCGACATCTGTATTGAGCTCTAGTGATGGATAGCCGGTGATCATCAAGACTCGAGCTGGATCTCTTGTATCTTGATAGAAAAAATGCGCATCAGGCGCGCCTGGCTCGGATTTGGTATACGAGGAGCAGAATTCGAGTATCTCTGAGATCAGATTCTGAAAGGATGGTGAATCAACCGACTTCCCCTCTTTGAGAGTACTTAGCCAGAACTTTATCATTGGTGGCATTCTGATATCAAAGTCCACGAGAGTTTCTTAAGGAATGGGCTGCGTGACTTCTGATGTTTTGGCTAAGATATAGACTGAGGGTAATCAAAGTGTCAAGTGAGAAACCCCTAGAGAAATAAGCCTTGCGGGTGATGAGGGGCATAGGGGCCAAAGTTTGGGTCTATATTTAGGCTCTCTGTATGCTTTCTTCGACCTAGTAGACGATCTTATGGATAGTTCCAACTTCAATCCTGCTCTGCTAGTCACTTTCAGTGTAAATTTTTATTTATTTTTGATTAAAATTTCGATATGCAAAATAAAGGATCTGCAAGTGAGTGGTAATACAAACCTCGGGATTGAACGGAATAAAGTCGGAGAAATTATTCCAACTTGCCGAAGGCCCCGCCCACTTCCGAGGAACCTCTTCAGTGGAACTACAGCAGCTCTTCTGATCCTCGGATTTGCAGTAGTGGACAATAGATTTGCGAGGATCATGCCGCCAGCTGAGAAGACGTCTCGGCCGCGCCGTTATAGGTCCGCAGTCGCATGCCAAGCCTGTCGCCAACGAAAAGTTCGGTGCAGCCTGACGGTCACCGGTATACCTTGCGCCGGGTGTGCCCAAGATGGCGCGCAATGTATCGTGGATGCGAAAGCAAAAGGGTGAGCTGTTCCGAAAAGGCGACCGGTCTTGGATGCTAAAATTGTGCTTAGTTCAAAACAGCTTAACCGGGCAGCACCACACCGTCCCGGGACTCCTTCCGCGGCCACTGACTCGAATGCGATCAACATGAGCCGGAATCCCTCTGTTAGGTCAATGAATGATTCTTCGCACATTGAATCTCGCGGGGCTTATTCAGCGCAATCTACATCCAATGCGAGAAACACCCCTCCCAATCCCGGGCTTACCAACATAGAAGATGAAGAGCGCAACGGCCTTGAGATCGCCGCCGCAGCGCTGGGTCAACCCCGAAGGATAGGCGAAGTGCCTTTCTATGCCGGTCAGAATACTGTTACTCACATAAATTGAATTTACTTCATGACTTACCTTACCAATAGGTGACCAAACCGGACCCACATCAACGCTCAACATTTGCTCGCCAGATCAATCATTACCGAAGCACTTTCTTCTCCCGGCGAACATAACCCAGCTATCGGAAGACGACCGAGAATTTCTCCAAAAGAAAGGGGTCTACAGCCTCCCGAAAAGTGAGACATGCAATGGCCTGATTGCGGCATACCTTCTGCATGTGCACCCCATTATGCCAGTCATTGAGGCAGATGATCTTCTGATTCATTACCAAGAGGGCAAACTTCAGCAGTACAATATTTTGCTCTTATGGAGCATATTTTTTGTCGCGGTTAATGTAAATCCCCTCTCTGGAATTCATTTTTCAGTGACGCTAATTCAGCATGACAGTTCGTCTCGAGCGAAGTTTTTGAAGGTGAGGGATATAGATCAAGGAGGGAAATGAAATATGAGATGTACTCTCGCGCCAAGGCAAGCAGCTCATTTTCGCCTCTTTCTGGCCATTCGGGTCATGACAGGTACACGAACTGGTGCTAACCTTCAATAGTGCATGTATAGAAATGGCAACGAGAGGAACAAAGTTGTTCTCTTGCAATCATCCCTCCTACTGGGATTCTATCACTCCGAGATAGACGAACATGGGCAACCGTGGTACTGGACAGGCATCGCAATAAGCTTCTGTCAGATTCTCGGACTGCATCGTAATCCCGACTTTTCAAAGCCCAACCCATCCATAACTGAACGGCAGAGGTCCTTTTGGCGTCGCCTTTGGTGGAGCTGTTTCTTTCGAGATCGCTGGCTTAGCCTCACCATGGGAAGGCCTTTGCGAATTAACCTTGATGATTGTGACACCCCCTTTCCTTCTCCAGAGGACCTGCTTTATGACATAGTTGGCTTGCAAGTGTCTATTGTTACTTCCTACCTACCTAGTGACACGGGAAGATTGGCCAAATATTGGGTGATGCTGATTTCATTGAGTCGACAATTGGGAAATGTCCTGGCTATGAATTACCGGACCGTTCGGCCCAGGTTATCCATTCATGAAGTTGAAGCTCTTGAGAAGCAGTTACTGCAGTGTGACCTTCCGGACCAATACGAAGCGGGTCTGACCAGGGCATCGAGATTCCACTCAAATCACGTCCATTTGCATTACCAGTGGGTTCCATCTCTCACCCTCCCGTCAATCTGCGGAAGCTGATGGAGTTCCTTAGGGCGTTGCTTATTACCTTTTATCGTCCTTTTGGCACAGAATTTCCCATCGATCTTACCCCTGCCGAAAAGGAACTTTGGCAACACCGGATGAGGTCAAGGGCCGACACTGCCGCCTCTCGAACTAATAAGATCTTGGAGGCGCTCGTCCAAGAAAAGCTCCTTGACTTTGCAGGGCCAATGACGTGAGTACCCAAGAGTCTGATAACTGCCTGAGCTAACTCGTTCATTGCAAAAAGACCACCCCTTCTTGTTCCCGCCATGCAAACGCACTTGCTCCAATGCAAGTCCGGCGACTCTCTTTCCAAGCGAATCAGGCTTAACAAGCTCGAAATGTGCATGCTCGTCATGGAAGAGTTTCAGAAAACCTATACAGTCGCCTCTCTCTACCGTGGCATCTTCGTCAAAGCTATTGAACAGATTTTCCCCGGATACTCGGCCCCTACGACGATATCTAACTCGACGGCCGATCCCGCAGTTGTCCCCGAAACTGATATGCGACCGGAAAGTTTCCATATGGCCCCCGAAAACCCAGATCAGATCGCGCAGTTTGAAGGCACGGATTTCGGTAGTATGGATGGGGATGATATGATGAATGCTTTGATGGACGAAGCTTCGATTTTCAGTTTTTGGGAGAACTGGAACCAGAATTAGAACAAAATTGACTTGTGTAGATCAACACGACGGCAGTCATATCTCTGCTTATTTTTAGATCCTTGCCAAGATCTCCGAGACTAAATGGACTGACGAATACTAGTCTTTCCGCTTATCGAATGAGGGCAGAGATAAGAGATATGACTGTCTGCCAAGCCATCTCACTCCGATGGCGGAGCGTTCGTGTCCATCATTAAGACAGCAATAAGAGGATTGAGTACAAGGGATTCGTCCTTTTTACAGCATGCAGTACAGGAGATCATGACACGAAAGGCATAGGTTAATGAGTAGGTGACTAGAAGCGGATATGGGATCCCCTGTGATATCGTGTGACATCGCGGGACCGAGTTTCCCGGATAGGAATAGTGCTAGGGGTATAAACGAGGTGTGAACTATAGCCTTCTGCAGCACGGATCCCTCCAAGGATTGGTTCCAGCTGCCGAACTTCCACTGTTGACTCTTCCCCCACAAGGATTTTTCGTTTCATCCATTTGCTCCGCGCAGGCGAGGTTGAGACAAACCTGAGCAGATTGAACATTACCTAGCCAGCATCTCGCGGTCATGAAGAATCCCTTGACCTTGCTGGGGAGATGGACTGGGAACCCTGCCCAGGATTCCGGCAAGGAAGAGCTGTTCAACCCCAAGGTATGTGTGTTCCGATTTCAACGCAGCCTTAAGTTCAACGATAACTTCCATGCTCAAGTCGTCACTGGACAGGTACATCTCAATTATGTTCCACCTGAAAGGAGGATTACGATGCAAGATTTGCTCTTGGAGCAGAGTGCAACCGCATCTTCTGTTGCTGGAACGACTCCATTCCCTTTGCTATCACCGAAAGGCGTGAGAGCCTATCGAAAGGCCCTATTTCAGCGTGAAGTTATCAACAAATGTGCAAGCTCGCCGTTTCCGGGGACTTTGGTTCTTCGTGATGCAGTTAAACACTCTCGATTCATCAAGGACTTCTGGACGCATCCTGAAACAATGAGGATAGTGTCTGAAGCATCTGGTGTACCTTTGGAGGTGGTCATGCCCACGGAGATTGGCCATACAAACATTCAAGTTGAAGGGACCACCATCCTAGAAATGTGCAGTAATCTGAAGGTTGAGCCGTCTGTTGAAAAACTGGATTTGGGCCCCGAAGACAGAGCTTACGATCCCTTGACAGATAAGAGCTCCATCATTCCGTGGCAGTAAGTTTGTTATCTGGTTCGCCGATATCGGATGTTTACAGGACTAATTTGGCGATAGCTACGACTCTTATCCTTATGTTTGTGTGCTGATGTTGAGTGAGACTGAGGGTATGGTTGGAGGAGAAACGTATATCAAGAGAGGGGATGGCAAAGCTCAAAAGGTAAGTGCGACTTTATTACGTCGATTGAATCAAGCCCAACTAAATAACATGCAGGTCGAGGGCCCCCAAATCGGCCATGCAGTGATGCTCCAAGGAGGCGAAGTTGAACATCTGGCCGCTCGCGCTAAAGGAGTCAAAGAACGCATATCCACAATCACTTCATACCGGTCAAAAATGCCGAATGTGTACGATTCCAGCTACATTACCAATGTCCGACCTTACGCAGACCTCAATTCTCTCTACCCGGAGTGGACCCAGTACCGTCTGCGAAAATTGAGGGACGAAATTACCTACTATCTCAACAAGGCTGAAAAGGAACCAGGCTCACCTTTCCAGCGGGAGGAATTACAAAGCCTCATAAACCTGCAAATTGATTACTTGCAGCGAACATCTCGACAGATGATCTCTCCCGAGTACCAAGAGCAAATCCTGAAGAAATACGGCAGAGCAGCGTACTATGATGTCTTCAGGATCTGGGAAACTGTTCAATCCCTTCCAGAATTCGAGAGTCTCGCATCTTCCACAGATCAAGAGCGAGGTTGGATGCCGGAAAGTGCATATTGGATGGACTTTCAGAAGTCGATCGAGACAATTCGCGTGAACAAGCCGCTTCAGAGTACATTTGGAATTCATCCATGGACTAAAACAAGAAAGTACTACATGGGCGATGAACTTTTGCGACAGGGACTTAATGAGGTATTCTTGGACTGGCTTGGGAGCTCGGGTCTATGGGAACTTTATTGCAAGCGATGAGCATCAAGAGTTGATTTAGTGGAGTGCTAGATACTTTTATTTGAATAGTAATAAGACATCAAGAGGCAACCTTCATTTCTTTAAACTGAAGAGGAAAGGAAGGAATATCTTCGATCATACAGATCCCGAAAACGGGAAATTCGAAAATCAACCGCCAATTCGCTTCATATTTTTTCACCTCAATTTCCACTGCATCACCCTAAGCACCCGTGTACTTCTCGCAAAAACGGCGTTTCACATCCCAAGTCCTGAGTTATATGATAGGGCATTGCCAATGATGACCTCGATCTCCATCGGGTTAGTCATCAGGACTTAGCAGCTTAGTTATCTTCGATGCATCACGACTTTTAGACTGCGACGTCCACCTCCCCCCTAGCGCCTCCCTGCTCCCGTCCGCCTTGCATCAAGATGGATTTGTCTCTATTCTGCCAAAGCAATCTTCTCTATACACAGGAGTCACTGTCAAAATACAAGCCAGGGGGATATCACCCAGTCAACCTTGGAGATACTTTTGCAAACGATCGTTACAAGATACATCACAAACTAGGATGGGGGGGGGGGGGGGGGGGGGCTTTTCCACAGTATGGCTTGCGAAGGACAGGGAGTTAGTTTATCCCGGGTCAACTATGCTTATTGCTAATGGCACGCTAGCCGAAATCAATGGGTGTCGTTGAAGATCATGACCGCAGATTCGTCGGCATCGCGAGAGGTGCAAAATTTGAAATTTCTAGAGAGGCATTCTCAACAAGGGCTTTCTTCAAATTACGTTGTTCAGCTGCTCGATGCCTTTACTCACAAAGGCCCGAACGGGGTCCACCAATGTCTTGTGTTTGAATTACTTGGCCCTTCAGTTGACAAGGTCCTCTCAGACTATCGTGGGAGCCAAGATGAGCTCTGCCCAGGTATCATAGTCCGGATGTCCACGCAAATTTTAAAAGCTGTTAAGTTCATTCACAGTGCCGGAATGTGCCATGGAGGTGAGGGCTTTCCTCTATGGTTTTTCTGCGGTATAGTACTATTATACTCATTTCTTATTAGACATTAGTGGCCGGAACATAGCATTTACTTGCACTCATTTGTCGACACAAACCGAGGAGCAGCTTTTTGATGTTCTTGGATACCCGGAAATTGAACCGCTGACCCGGAACGACGGCGCGCCTCTAGGAAATGGATTACCGACCCAATTAGTTAAGGCAGCAGAATGGGATGACTGGATAGACGAGGACGACGAAGATATTCGGCTACTTGATTTTGGAGAGAGTTTCTTCCAAGGAAAGGAACCTGAAAAGCTAGCCCAGGCGAGTTCGTTGAGGGTACCGGAGACGATTTTCACGGACTGCTTTGATTATCGCGTCGACTTATGGCGCACAGGTTGTATGGTACGTGAACACCTCTTTCCCTGAAGGAAATATACTTACGGAGATATCGAACGTAGATTTATTACTTCTTATTCACGATATGGCCATTTTGGTATCTTGGCGAGGATGAAGTTTACATTTTCCAAATGATTGGCTTTGTGGAGAGGTTGCCGGCCGAATGGGAGTCTCAGTGGAAATCGATGCTGATGAAGTCTAGCCATACTCTGGAGCTAGAAGAAGGCAAGCAAACTGATAGACAAACAGATCTGTTGCTAATTTGCTCAAAGATTACAGAACGTCAAAGCTTGAACGGCAGTTTGCTGAGTTGGTGCCTGGCCCAAAACTCGAACCTTTACTTCACGCGACTCAAGGATTGATGCGATTCTTACCGTCTAGTCGCCTCACTGCAGAGGAAGCACTTGATTTGCTGGGCAACGCTCAAGAATAATAGAATTCCAAGGCATTTATTCAATAATTTGGAGCTTTGCTAGCTATGTACGTGCGAGAGAATATCAAAGCAAATATGAAGGTCGTTACATCATATCTGCAATCTCGGATGCAAAAAATGCAGCATTAAATACAGAAGGGGGTATACAAAAAGAAAATCGGGTTTGCAGATTACTCCATCCGCTTGTACAGCTTAGCCTTGTTGCCAGCAGATGCAGATGGCTTAGCACAGCAAGAAGCTGCCTCGGGGTGGAGGGTGGACTTGTTGAAGGACTGGGAAGACTGTGGGACGTCTAGCGCAGGGTTCTTGGTGAAGAAGCCGTCGGGCTTCAGCATGACACTGACGCGCTCCATGGGCATGACGGGGAAGTCTTCGATGCGGGGATTGTGGGTGAGGCCAAATGCTGTGATAATTGTTAGGTCCTAGGTCGAGATATAATGGAGCACGGCGGATACTTACTGTGCCAGAGAACGACGTCGTCGTTTTCGGTGTTGTCCTTGCGTTCCACCCATGTTTCAACACCCTCGGCACGACGGCTTTGGTTGGTGAACTCGCCTGCGGCGTACAGTTCATCATCCTGGTATTTGGTGACCCAGATCGGTTTGGTAGCAAACTCAGCACGGCGGTATCCTGGTGCATTTTTGCTGACCAGAAGCATCTGGCTAGGAACGGCTTGGAGCTTGTAAGCCACAGGCTTGTATGTCACTGGGTTATTAACGTTGTCGTTGCGAATCTTGAAGGTACGGTGACGGTCAACGCTGGTGTTTGCCGTGCTGGCGGTCTTCATCACGGTAGACTGGGTCGTGTAGCCCACAAGATAAGGGTTGTTGTCGTCTTCCGGCATGGGCACGCTATCTTCGTAGTACACGGTGTTCTTGAAGCCATCGATGGCAGGGTCGATGCGGAACGAGAACATGTGTTGATGGAAAGGAGCCATTACTCCGGGTCCCACGTTGGTGCCCCAAGCGACAGTCTGACCATTCTCGTTGTCAAATGGGACAGTCGAGAGAATGCCAGTAGCGCGGACTTCCAATTCCACATTTCCGGCCTGATCAAAGATGTAGGCAAAAATGTATTCGTAATTCGCAACTGTGCAAATCATTTGCAGAACCAATTGGCGGTTGCGCACAACAGTGGCGGCACCGGATCGATAATTGGTGTGCTTATGCTGAAGGCCATTATCCTGCTCGTGCATGCAAATCACGTTTTTCAACTGCACAGGGTTTCCCTTGCAATCATTCCGATAGCCATCGAAGTATTTGATATGCCCAAGACAGTCACATCCAAGAGACAGCTGATTGGCATTCATACCAAAGCCAGTGTCGCCAACATCAAATGCTTGCTTGCGATGATACGGCGCGCGAGGATCTTCATGAATATTAGCGAGGGTTCACATTAGGTAGATCTCAGGATAACAAACCTCCATATGGAACCGTCATTTCCGATACAGACAGACGGTAAAACACATTACGGTTTTCATATGTAATGTTGTATAGAACGAGACCTTCACGGATGTTGAAACCGAGTCTGAAACGCCACTTCTGCCAGTAGATGGAGTTACCATCCACCGAGTAAGACGGGCCTTCGGGCTGCTGGACAATATACGGCTTAAGATCCGTTCGAACGGGCTCATCCAACAGGTCATGAGCGTACTGAATTGCCTTGATGGGTTTCCAGGGTTGAGTCTCAGTGAATTCAGGGCCATCACCACCCGGCAGATAATCAATGCGGACAAGTTCTTGCGTAAGACCATCAAACACTGGTGAAAATTTGAGGGGCAGAGAATAATGGTTATTCTGGGGGTGGTCCACTTCGACCAGGTACATGAAGCACTGGAAGAGCCGTCGAGTTTCGTGGTCATTGTCAGTGCCATACATCCAAGGATCATTGCAGACGGTCACTCCGGCAGGCAGCTGCAATTTCTCGATTTCGGCCAGAACAGCGGGGTGCCTCATGCAAAGTTCTTCAATCTCGGTGATCTCATCCGTGTCAATGGGTCCCTATAGAGCGAGCAATTCAAGTCAGACACATGACTCTCGGAAAAGGTTGAGTGAAATATTGTACGAACCTGCAGCTCGCGAGGAAGTTCCTTCGCGTAGACAATAGAGCGCTTATTGGCATTCAGGATAGCCTTGTAGAATGCGCCGCTATCAAGACGGTGGAAGAGCGTGTAAATAAGACGAGCCGGTGGCGGAGGCAGAGGCCGCCGTAAGCGCTCAGCTTCGATGTATGGAATTACATCTTTCTTGATTGGCTCATTGATGTCGATGCGCTTGTAGCGGAGAGGAACACCGGGGAATGTGGCTTCCAAAATGCGCACGGCAAGCTTAATCTCCTCCGGGGAAATGGGATCGAATGGGTGTGGTACAGTCACCATCGTCGTATATGCGAGCTTGGAGACGAAGGGTGCAGTACAAGGAAGAAAAAAAGAACGGGGCGGAATGTCAGATCTGGGGAGATTGGAGACTGGAGACCGGGGAAGTTAGAGAGTTGACCCCGATTTTTAAGGATCGCGTATCTGTTATCGTGCCTTGCACCACATGGATGGACTTACCCGATCTGGTAAGGAGCGTCGTCGTAAGTGGAGCGCCCTTTTTGGCTTACACAGATGTTATATGAAAGAGCCGTGATGTTGGTTGCGATATATGGGTGGATAATGTGATATAGGCCACGTCAATTGAGTCCATTTTATGAGTAGCTAGTCAATACCAATATATATCTCTTCGCTCATGTCTCCGATCATTTTTCAATACTGAAATCCCCGAGTAGATAACAGTCACGTGTGGGCGCGAGATTACCCCAAACCGGAATAGCGTGGTCGGATTTGCTATCAAATCGCGGGGAAGACGCTTTTCGATGCGACATACACAGTCTGATGCGCCAAACACGATGACCTTGACTACGTTCCACGACACGGGATGGTCCATTCAGTCGCCCCCGCAAGTCCCCGCACATGCCAGTCCAGTCCAAAAAAAGGGACGTCGGCAAACGGGAACTCCGTGGACTCGCTCCGGCTGTCTGACATGTAAGAAGCGTCGCAAAGGGTGCGACAAGGCTAAGCCGAAGTATGTGCAACCATGAGAACCTTCATTCTGTAATGAAACTGACCGCGGGTCAGCTGCAATAATTGCCTCAAACAAGGCCGCAAGTGTGAGGGCTATGGCGATCTTTGGGTGGCACCGCTTGGCCCTTCGGCTCAGGTTTTCATGCAGGCGGATGCACCGAAGCGGCGGCTGACCAGCTCGACTCCTCCGCATTTACCATCACCCCCGCCGTCGGTATCTCCATATTCAGATGCATCGCAAGATGCGCGCTTATCGCCAGTTTCGTTGGGCTGGTCTGTCCCGCCTTCGCCCCAACGGATCGTTGAGACCGAGGCGGAAGAGACTGCCCAGGACCAAGACGTCAATGGAACGACTGGATCGACCTCACAGAATGCATTATCAGTCATCCTACGACCTCGCGGGTATCCTAACCATCTTTCGGGCCATGAATCTCACTATCTACAATATCATGTTGAGTATGGCTCCAAGCTTCTCGCCAATCTCGAAAGTGATGACAACCCACTTCGGTCATTGCTCATCCCGTATGCTATGTCATCTCCCCTCTTGATGAAGGCTGTTTGTGCAGTCTCGGCGCTTCATCTCGCGAACCGTTCGCAGGAGTTCAGTGCACAGAATGCTGCAGCAACCTTCTACGGCCGGACTCTCAGCGGGCTCCAGACAGTCCTTGCTAAATGCCCCACCAATGTACTACCTGATGATGCTATGCTCGCAGTCGGCTTGATGTGCAAGTACGAAATTGTTCGCGGCAGCGTCAAGCAGTGGGTTGTGCATCTCTCCGCCATGCAGCGTCTCATCGCATCTCGTGGTGGTCTCGGTTCAATGGACCCAGATGCAGCACAGTTCCTCCGAGGATTGTATGTTCTATATACACATTTTTTTTGGGACCAGTACTGACGGATGCTTAGGTTTGTCTATGCGTATAACATGGCCCGGATCAGCAACCGCAAGCGCATCACGTTTTCTGACCCCACAGACACCGATATCAGTTCCCCAAAACTGGATATCTATATCGGCTATACTGAAGAGATTCTCAAACTATGTGGACGTATCGCAGAGCTACCGTCACTGCAGGACGACAACATTTCCCTGCGTCTGGCCATAGCATCCATGTGAGTTCTCTATTTACCCCAGTAGCCAACGCCATCCTTTATTGACTAAATCACTATCAGAAACGACTCCCTCCTAACGTGGACTCCCACTTCCATCCGCTATATCATTCCACGGGGCATCACACCTGCGGCCCTAACCCGTCTCCAGCTCGTCGCCGAGTGCTTCCGCGATGCAGCCTTCGTCTATCTCCACTCCACTCTCGAGCGCATGAGCATGAATTCCGATCATTTTAAAGCCCCAACAAACCATCCGGATGCATTGTCCCCCGCATGCCTCTTTGAAAACAGCCCATACATCACAGAATGGGCCCCTCTAATCTCAACCCCCAAATCAACCGCCATATACCGCTGCCTCGCACGCGTGGAATCCTTCCCCCTCGATGACCACTGCGAGTATTCGGCTCTTACATTCCCCCTCTTCATCTCGGGCTGTGAGAGCGACGTCTTCGCTCACCGTGATCTCATAATTCGCTCCTTGGGCAAGTTGCAATTCAACTTCGGCATCGGAAACGTCGAGCGCGCAAAGGAGGTGCTTCGTGTTCTGTGGGCGAGGCAGGATGCCAACGCACAAGATGTAGCAGCCGGAGGCAGTGCCTCGAGAAAAACGCACTGGGTTGATATCCTGGAGGAGTTGCAGTGGGAGTTGATTCTCGCATAGCGTTTGGATTTCGTTGTACTTGTATATAGTGTATTATAGAAGAAATGAGTCATGTAACTTTATTGTTTAACGGGGTATTTCATTTAAGCCTATAGTAGACTTGGAGAAGCAAAAGCAAAACTACATCTTGGGTATGGCTAGCGATAATCACAAGCAATCAACTTAATCCCATGTTCACTTCATCACTCAACCCGAATTCCCTCTCGGCTCTTTCGGTGCCCGATGACGCTCTGGTGGACCATTTATCAAGATGATCTTGCATGGAGGCATCCTTATCGCGCAGACTGGCACTGTCACTTGTTCCCACGCTGCCCTCGCGGATGCTATACTGGGATGGTTTGCGGGAATGCTGAATGCTGACCGGGCGCGAAGGCGTGCCTTTGCTGCTTCCGGCTCCGGCCGGAGTTGCTCCGACGTTCGATCCTGTTGCGCGGCCTTGGTCAATGGAACCGCCGGTACTGGTACGGTCCTTGTCCTTGCTGTTGCTGTTGCGGAACCAGCCCCGCTTGCGGGCTTTGAGGGGCGTTGTGGATGAGAGGCTCATGGAGTCGGGGTCGGATTCTTTTTCTGTCTTTTCCTTCTCCTTTTCTAGAGCTTGGGTGAGGTTTGAAACGGTCTGATCTGAGCCATTTGGCTGTACCTCCACCAGCTCGGCATCGCGGTACCACTTGCGTCGGCGCGTGTATCGGTCCCAGCCATCTTGGGCGCGGCGGCCATCATGCCACTACATTCATTAGCGATGAAATCCGAGAAGACTGGTCAGATACACATACCTTGTTATCGTAGTAGATCCATCCCTCGCTAGTCGATGTTTTCGAGTCCGGTTTGGTAGGGTGGTCGGCACCTTCAACGCGCCACTCGCTACCTTCCACCCAGCGCCATTTGGCGTCGCCAGTTTGTACATCAGGTAATTCAAATGAGTCTTTTGGTGGAACAGAGTTGAGATGCTCGTCGGTCCAGGCGCCACGCTCTGACGGGAACAGGGAGTAGGTCCAGCCGATTCCGAGCCAGCGTCGCTGGTTCTCATACACGACGAAAGTGAATCGTACGCCGGAGGCATCTCCACGCCGCCGTGTCGAGATATTCAGTCCCTGGCTCTGGGCTTGGGGATTCTGTGCACTGCTCGGCCCATCTGCGACTGAGAGGCCCGTAATCATAGCGCAAAGGCGGCGGACTGCTCGAGACCGCCATAGAATCACGCGCGAGACCCGCGCGGGTCGCGAGTGGTAGGTTAGGACAATGGTGCCGACTGTCATGATGACGCGTCGCGTAGTAATTAGGTAAAGAGGAGGAAGGGTGAGGCCGATCCAGATGGGCGTAACAAGAAGGATTCGAATAAAGAGAGCAGTCAGGGCCGGTCGAGTCGTTGCAGACGTTGCCGTGCGCTGGGTAGAGAGGAAATCGGTCAAATCGAGTAAGGGTTCGAGCAGGATATTGCACCGAGTCGTAAGCGTGCGTAAGGTCTCAACAATGTCATCCAGACTTTTCTGGTGGCGGGTTGTCTCCGAAGCAGCTTTGCTCTGGTGCTTCTCACCCGTCGATGTCGTCGACGACAGAGGCGAGTAGCGCCGGCCATACATACCCAGAATCAACCCGAGCACCACCAATATCGGACCCGCCCAAAGGATGATGGCATCACTGTATAGCACCACCGTCCAGAAGGTAGCCACGAGCAGGAAGCTCTGCCACGGGTCTCCCGTGGTCCATGTCAACAGACCCGTAAGCTTATTGAGCGGCAGGAGAAACGGGTGCGAGTAGGCCAGCGCCCTGGTGATGGACGGTGGTGTAGCTACCAGCAGCGGCGATTTGCGATGCACGATGACGCTGGAGCGCTGGCGCGAGCTCAGGGCGGAGCCGGAGATGGTAGAAGGGGAGAAAGGAGCAATCGTCGGCGGCTGGGAGTCAGACTGGCCATTGTCTTGAGAGTTCATTGGGGATGCCATGGAATCTATCCACGGAAGATCTTCTGCTGTAGCATCAGCAGGCTGCTCTATTAATCAAGGGAAACCAACATACCGAGCGCGGCCATCCAATTACGGTGACGTCAAGGGATGCGTGTCAGCTCATCTGGCTGAGTGGGCGATCATTCTCAATATATGCCTGGGAAGTTCGTTCGGTACCAAGTTGATCTGCGGGGGGCAAAGCACCGGAGGACATGTGACTGCCCGTGCAACACTGTACATACCGAGAACTTTGAGCTATCTTAATTATTATGGCATCTATAATTACAGTGGTCTTTTACACATTTCTAGAAGTTCTATTTGATTGACTTTATTCGTTGTTCTCCCTTGGAACAAGTATAAGCTCGCCCTGTGGCGCATAGTTCCAGTTCTCCGACCTGCCGACGCTAAAACGCGCGCAGCCGAAATTTTCCCCTTCTTCCTCTCTTCACCTCCTTGTGATCATCGCGCCAGCTCCCTCAAGCCCGTCGACATGGTATGTTATCCTAACGCTTTTTCTGCCAATGATACACATCTGTGAAATAATAAGGAAAATTCTAACCCGCACCCTCTCCAGGCTCACCGCATTGTCACCCAAGTCGTCGTCACCGGAGCCCGGGTCTTCGGCCGCGCTTTCGCCGAAGCCTACAAGCAGGCCCAGGCCTCCGGCAAATATGCTGCGCAGAAGAAGGGCAGCGGAGGCTTCACCTCCTCCGGCCTGACCCTCGACGAGGCCTGCAAAATCCTCAACGTCAAGCCCCCGGTGGCCGGCGAGCAGAACGTCGAACACGTTATGGAACGATTCAAGAAACTCTTCGACATCAACGATCCTCAGAAGGGCGGCAGTTTCTACCTGCAGAGCAAGATTCTGCGCGCACGCGAGCGCATAGAGATGGAGGTCCGAACAGCGGAGCGCCAGGCCGCCACGGAGAAGGAATTGAAAGAAGGCTGGAATCCCAAGGTCTACAAGGACCGGTGAACCGCCTGAGAATGTCTGCGCTTCTTTTCTGCGCCCTCGACATTCCTCGCGTCTGCGCTCGACCACCGTCCTCTGCGTGAGCACCGTCTTTCTCCTCGGAAAGTTCTTCGGGGTCCGCTCTCATCTTGATTTGGCATAGCATGGCGTTTGGGTTATTGTGGAAAGAGGTTTTTGTCTCTTTTATTAGATTGGAGGATCTGCCAGCATTGGGGAGTTTGATCTCGGTCGCGATCTCTCCCTTAGACCTTCGGGTCTTGTGTATACCATCTCGACCCTTTTCTTCACCACAGTCGAACCCCCCCCCCCCCTCTTCTCCACTCTGACTCGCAAAGGAAATGTACAATAGCTTCATACTTGCACATGTGTAATGTTCTACTCATTTTGCTTTCTTATTTCAAGTACTTTGGTACGTCGATCTCGTACTTGTAACAAAAGTACCGGGCACAAACACTTTTTTGCCACCGCCGACTGGGAATCACCATGCAGGAACAACCAGGGACTCGGCCATTGCCGATTATGAATCACCGATCATGAGTCGCCCAACAGAAATGGCTGAGACGATCGAGATCGGGATCGGGATCGGTTCATCGTCTCGAAGACCAGTAATCGACCCTCGGCATGGCGCGATCCGGGGCGGGCGGCGGAGCCGGGGCTAAGAAAAATCGCCGTCCCACTCCTCTACGTTTTACAATGAATTAATCCTCAAAGATCCAGTCATCCAATCCTCAAATCATCCTGCCTCCTCCTCGCCCACCTCCCCCCGCCAAAACCACCCACAATGCGGCCCTCCACCCCGCTGTCGGCGGACCTACCCCCGCTAATAATGGGTACGGCAACCTTCAACTCGCAATATAACGCAGACCCCTACGCCCTCCCAACAACAGAACTAGTCCAGCGCGCCCTCTCCCGCGGTGTACGTGCCTTCGACACATCCCCCTACTACGGCCCCGCCGAAGAACTCCTCGGCCGCGCCTTAGCCTCGGAATTTGTGCAATCCAACTTCCCACGAGACTCATACCGTCTCCTCACGAAAGTCGGCCGCATTGCATCCGCTTCATTCGACTACTCCCCAGCCTGGATACAACAGAGCGTGCACCGCAGTCTGCGCCGCCTGCACACGGATTACCTGGACGTGGTATACTGCCACGACGTCGAATTCGTCTCCCCCGCCGAAGTCCTCACTGCAGTCCGGGAACTGCGCCGTCTGCGCGATGAGGAGGGTATACTGCGCTATGTGGGGATCTCCGGATACCCAGTTGACACATTGAGTTCCCTTGCGGAGATGATCCTGCGCGAGACTGGCGAGCCGCTTGATATCGTGATGTCGTACGCGAACTTTACGCTGCAGAATACTCGGCTGCGCTCACTTGCTTTGCCGAGGCTTCTTGCTGCGGGTGTGGATGTTGTGCCAAACGCTTCGCCGTTGGGTATGGGGTTGCTTCGGAGGGATGGTGTGCCTATTGGGTCGATGGGAGATTTCCATCCTGCGCCTGATAAGCTGCGCGGTGCTATTCAGAGTGCGGCGGAGTGTGTTGCGGAGCGTGGGGAGAAGCTTGAGGTGGTTGCTATTCGCTTTGCCTTGGAGTCTTGGCTGCGCGCTGGTGCTAAGGTTGGAGCGCTCGGTGCGCCGTTGGCGAGGTCCGCTGATGCAGATCCGGGATTCTTGTCTGTTGCAAATGTGGGCACTGGACGGAGAATTGGTGTCAGTGTGATGGGTGTGAGCAATATCGATGAGTTGGACGAGACACTGCGTGTGTGGCACAGTATCCTGGACGGTCTGGAAAACTTGGATGATGACGATGACGATGTTGATGGGTCGGACTTCGAGAGCAAGCTCCAACCTGCCGGGCCATCAACCCCGAAGGACCTCACCGGTGTCGTCCCTTCCGCGTCGAATGTCCCTAACATCCTGACCCCCTCCGAGGGCCTCGTCACTGACCGTGCTTGGTCTTACACGCGCCGGGCTCATATCTTGCAATTGGCGAAGGAGGTCCGTGACATCCTGGGAAGCGAGTGGGTGGATTATGTATGGGCGAGTCCACCAGCGGACTTCAAGAACTCTTTGCCTGAGGAGCATGTTGCTGCTCTCCAGAGAATTGAAGTCGAGGGTCGGGTTTCTCCCGCAGCTGGCTCTCCTGGAGACGTCATGCTTACGCCACCGCTAGATGCGGAGAAGCGGCTTGAATAGACATGAGATATGCGCGCTGGATGAACATAGACGGCGGTTAAGTGGTTTCTGAGAGAACATGGACCGTACATAGATTTGTCCATGGACCCAGCATATAATGATTTTCATGATAGCGTCAAGTTACTTAGTGCCTCAATAACATACCAAGTTCCCATAATAGCACATCTATCTATTGCCAATGCCTCAAGGCCTCTAAAGTGTGACATGTCAGTCAACGTGGCATCCTTGAGGTTTAGTACCTGATCAAGGTCAGCATATAATGCAAGCACCCGAGGTCACAAAACCCGTTCCCAACCCTGTTCCTCTCCAAGAAATCGCATATAGCGCTTGCTTGGTGAGAAGGAGGATGGGGCAGGAGCAAGAAGCAGTAAACACCAGCCAGGTGCACAAGGCCGAGACGCTTGCTGGGTGGTTCGATTGGGTCACTAACGATATACCTTGTACAGAGAAAGAGTCTAGGCCGTCGAGTCGAAAATGTGGGCCAGTTCGCCGAGGTGGACATGTGCATTTTCAACGGGCTTGTAATCGGTATCAAAATCGAGCGCATCGCGACGACGACGGGACCTAGATGTGAATAGAACAGGTAGCTTGAAGAACTCACTTCTTATTATGAAGAAGTAAACGAAGACGACCCCATGCAACTGCATCGAGGCTACAAATGATAAATCCCTTCCTCCTCGCCTCGATTCCCGCTTCCTCCGGACAAACGTTATGGGTATCTCGAACAAACAATCAAAAGAAAGGAAGCTGGGGCTTCAAGGGAACTCGTCATGGTCATCACTGCTGTCGATGGAGAGACATTCGGGCAGATCGGGCTCACTCGCGCCTACTTACGGCGAGGGGCGTGAGGCGTGAGATGAGGTCTGTCACCGGACCTCCCAGCAGGTCTTTCGGCGGGAGGGCTTCGGTACTGGGCGAACTGCTCAGAATTGTCATACACGTAGCGGAGTTGGAAGCGCTGCTCGGTGTACTCGTCGTAGTTCGCCGCGATGATGGACTGAAGAATGCTCTTGGGCTCATTGGACTGCGCGACCTCGTGGATCCGTCGACTCAGGCTATCATATGCATCACGGAAGGCTCTAAAGATCAACCGTATCTCCTTGGTACCACCCGAGATATCATTCGAGGAGTTGTTGGGGTCGATGATTGACAAACGATCATTATCGCCAAAAGCCTAGGCTATGTGAGCTTCTGTCCGCGGTTTAAAAGTTCAATAAATCTTACCTTGTGATAATATCCGGGTGGTTCCATCCGAAGACCAACCCGTTCGTAGTCCATCAAAAATCCGTAGAAATCAAAGAAGTCCATCAAGACCACACCAATGTTTCCTTGCTTGCTGGAGGGCATGTGCTGAAGAAGACTTGTCACCAGACATGTGATGGAAAATCCACCTAGACCGCCAGTTGGTACCTCGTTGAGGCCACGCAGGAGCAGGAACTGCTTGATAACGGACACGATGATAGGCATGAGGGGGTATTGTTGCTTCCACTCTTGGAAGGTCTGGTTCGCAATGATACCGCTGTCATTGTCGAAAGACAGGTCCACACGAAGACCAGTCAATTTGTCAATGAACTTAAGAATCGGTACTCTGGCATGAGCAATAGTTTCAATGGACCCAGGAACTGCAATTTCCAAGCTCTTCAGATACGCAGAAAATGCATAGATCTGACCCTTTCTCTCGCCAAACTGTTTCCTACCACCCGACATGAACACCTTGGACAGAAGAACAAGGTCGATATCTGCGGTGGGCAAATACATTCCGGATGCAAATGAGCCAAATGGCTTGACCGCAACGTTCCCGTATCTCCGCTTGAACGCTTGATCAAGGCGGCCAATGAGATCCTCACGGACAATCTGCTCGTAATCGTGGGGCTTGACCCAGTTGAAGAAATCAAGAACTTCACAGTGCAGTCTGGTTGAAGTGTGAGCTAGAACGTATAGGACACGGAAAATAAACGAATACTCACTTTTGACTTGCGTGCATGGGATAGCTCTTGGCCATCCACGGAGTGTCGTTCTGGCCAGGGAAGGCCTTCCACTGGTAGAGGATGGACCCATCATCCATGAAGCGAGCCTTGGGTTTTCCAGTCTTGAAAGAAATGCCTTTGCTCTCGTCATCACGAGTTCGCTTCAACGATGGCATCGCGGGCGGCTGGTTTTCCATGCTCTTTGGACCCCTTGGCGCATTCTCTGGAGCCTGATTCTCAAGTGGAATCTCGGCGGTCGGACCGAGAGAAATGAAATCGTCGTTATCCGTGACAGCATCTTTTAGCTTGGCATCACCCAAGCTATTCTGAAGTTTGGCTTTGCGAATCAATTTGACAACGTCCACGCGCTTGTGTTGACTCTCATCGGGAGGAGGAAGAGAAGTGTAGGGATCGGGATTCGACCATTTCGGGGCTGGAGGGAGAGGCGGAGGTGTAGATTCTTTGCTCTCACTTGCGATGACGCGTCGTTTACGGGGACGTGAATCCTCGTCTTCCGACTCCTCCGAGAGGTCCATCTCTGCCTCCTCACTGTCACTCAGGTCCGCAAGTGACGCGAACTTGGGAGCAGGTTTGTCGGTCGATTCGGTTGTCAACAGCTCAGGCGTCCCTTCTCTTTGGCCCTGCAGCAAAGGCCGTTCAGAAGTCTTTGGCTTTGGATACCGAAATGTAAACTCCCTGCGTCGTTGATCTCGAGAGGGCCCCCTCCTGGGAGGACCGTTTCCTCGAAACTCGAACGGCGGCATGGTGGAACGCGCGCACAGTACCTCCGAGAAACCAACAGTACAGTCGATTCTCCCTCAGATATCGGCTCAGCGAAAAGTAAATGCGGGGTGTAGAACACTCAAGTCCTCGTTTCTGACAGGCGTTCTGATCGCGTGTGCCGAAAGGCCAATTTATCGAACTGATTTGGGAAGTTGAAGTGAGTGAGGAAGTCGCAAACTGCGCAAAAAAAGAGACTACGGCAAAATCGCGCTACGAAAGCGGTAAGGTTTGGACACCACCGATTGGCTAGTTCGACCTATACACAATCGGCCCTGGACAGTTTCGCCAATCCATCTTCCAACAGTTTCACCAGATCTTTTTGGGCTGCCATTTCAGCAAAACTAACACGGTCCGGAGCCCAGTCCAGCAGGTTCACTACACGCGCACCGTTCCCCCGAAGCAATCCCACACTCACGTCGATTAATTCCGGCCGTTCATCACAATGCCAGAAAACATTGGCTCCACAAACCTTACAGAACTCCCGGTACACGCCCGGAGAGCTATTGTATCGCTGCACCGTTTTACCCTTGAAAGCTAGCGGTGATCCATCTGTGTTGAAGATGTTGGACTTTGGTATAAATGCCCAGGTCTGGATAGGAAAGCCGCATCCCAGCCGGCAGGATTTGCAGGCACAGGTGCCCGCAAGATATTTAGTGTTACCATCTCGCAGCCACCACTTGACATCGTCAGGATTAGTGCCGGGTCCGGAGAAGTACGGGACCAGCAAGTCAGAGAAGGGCGACCAGGCCTGCAATGATGATGCGTCTGGAGGGGTGATATAGAATTCAATCCCTCCGCAATGGCAGCGTGCCTGTAGCTGACTCGGCAGCTTCGATAGATCATCCTCAGCCACTTGCGCGTGAGATTCAGTGGTATTGTTCTGCTGTCCCGAGAATACCTCCAATCTGCAGCCACTGTCCAAGGATGGCCAGCCAGGCAGATATGTACTCAGTCCTCCGTCACCGGTATCCTTGACCTGCCAGTGCTGGACTGACTGTACTGCCGGTATGTCGCCCGCCACTAACACTCCCGATGCCACTAGATATCGTCCGCTGGGCTGCACTCGAGCTAGGATGTGGGAGCCACACGTCTTACAGAGGAAGCGGCTCACGTAAGAAGACTCGCGGTACTCTTGAAGTCCCTCCAATGTGGAGGGCTCATACCGGATGAGGTAATATGATGTGCACAAGATCCCAGATACCGCTCGACAGCTGTGGCAATGACATAGTTGGAGTTGGGTCTGATCTGTCGAAGGATCTAGCTGGACTGACAGTGCTACGCCTCCACACAGACAGGTAGCCGAGCTAGACATGAGGGCATGGACACGTAGTTGAGAAGGTTTTGCTTTTTCTGTGCTTCTTGAAGGCGATAATATCGCTCAGTAAGCTATACCAGTAGTACTTTGTAGACCGTGTCCTGTTACAACATGAAATCAAAGCTTGAGTTGCCTTGCATTCAATATGTGCTCAAGCGGGGCACTACAGACATGCACCTGCATCTGGAAGGTAAGTGACATGCGCGCTGAAAATTCATCTGAGTCGTATCCCGGGAATCCACGAGGGCGGGGTATAAATAGTCAGCTCAGCCCTTTTTATCTTCCCCCACTATCGTCATTCTATCACTCTTCAAACCAGAAATCCCTGTGATAACAAAAACCACTACAATCAAAATGGGTGAGTCTATCCCGCCTCCTTTGCATTATTCCCTGCACACTGCTTCTCTGCCTGGATCCCCGAATCGCGGGGTCATAGCGTGGTTGTCACCACTCATATTCCCGAATTTCTCAACCCTCAAATTCCGATACTGACCATGGCGACAGGTCCCGATCACACCTGCAGCTGCGGCCCTTCGTGCCAGTGCGCTGGCGGCTGCAAGTGCCCCGTATGTTCTTCCCTGGTTCTATTCCTGTCGTGACGGTCCGTTGGCTAACCGAGAAACCCCCACCTTCCCCAGAAATAAACCACTCACTCTTCGTGTTGTGGTATCGGAATGAGTAGGGCTGATTTTTTCCTTTTGATGGAGATGCGGCAATGATATGCACCGAGAGGAGAAGATTTAGCGTCTAGTTGGAGGTGTTGTGCTGGAAGGGAGAATGCATCATGGAGGTCTCCACGTCGGTTTTTTTTCAAAATAAAAATCATAGCTGGTCGACTGTAGTCAAATAGACTGCAGCCGGTTGCTGATCCATTTTTATTCTTCTTCACCAGGTACCTTGTGGGAATCGACCCAATATTTGGGTCGATAAGACTCGGTAGATGTGTTGAGCTTAATTGTAGTGCAACGTCAGAGTCGACAGGACTGCCACGACAGCTTTGTGGTAGGAGTCTCAACACCCCATGTAGAGCACCGCGGCAGGGCACTTTGACGTAACCCCGGGAATCAGCTGCCACGCTAGGAACATACCTGGGATAGGCCAGCGAATCCCGGACATAACCCGTCCAACGTAAGGCACATCCTTCCCAACAGAATAACGGACCCTTTCTTTGCTTTGTTTCCCCTCGGCATAATGGCCCCTATACGGCAAGCATTCCACGATGCCAGACCGGGTTATGTTCGGCTGTCGCGGCTGTCATTTACCGAGTATTTTCCTCGTAGAACGCGCCCTAAACGATCAATTATGTTTCGGGCGTTAAAAATCGGGACCGGACTCATTCGGGAAAGTTACAGTGGATCTATCATTCTTTATACGGTTGCCTTGAAACTTGTTCATGGGGCCAATGATAATTACTTTTTGTATGCGCCTATATCCCTGTTTAGAGAGACTTGTAAGATGGCGATGCTTTTGTCGCCTGGGTGGCTCGACCCCGCATGGGTTGTAGACAGACTACGTTGCTGTGAGTACTCTTGGCAGTGCTCGTGGTATTCCCCATGGTAAACTATCTGATAGTTGTATGAGGATACTTTTGAAATGAGTACGGGTACGAAATGTCATTCACGAGGGAGGGTCCGTGGGACAGGCAGGGTGTGATATGCTCCGGTATCTTCGAGCTATACAGAATGAGACGGTCCACTTTTTTCTCGGCGCCCTGCCTTGCTTGCACGTATGCTCCAAAGTCCGTGCTGCGGCAGTGGGCCAAAACGCAGTTGGCCTCGATCTTTTACCCGTGCGTGGGTTAGCTGTAGGCCCCGGAAAACGTAATACAGATAAGCTCCAGCGGTTCAGTTACCAGATGTCCGAGGCATAGGATCAGGTCACATGCCCTTAAAGGGCTTGGATATACTGAGATTAATGTCGATTATGGTTGTTGTGGATCCCATCGATCGGAGATATCTCTTTGATACCGGCACTGGTCAAGGCCAACCCCGGGCATTTTTCCTTGTCTTTCGATCCCAAGTGGGAGGGAAGATAAATCCAACTCCACTGCAATGGGCTCTAGGACAGGCGACTGCCAATGGGGCCTCGTAGCGCCCCTCCTCCAAGGTCCTCAGCCCGCACAACACTTGGCTTCTCATAGGCTGCCACGCGACAAATCGACTCTGCGCCGCTCCTGGCGCCGAAAATTCATCATGAAAGGCCCCCACTGCTGGGTAAAGCTCGTTTTCGCCGTTACCCATGACTGTATCCATGAGGTAATACATGAGGCCCGTCCCGAATGTGGATCGAACCAAGCGGCCAGAGCAGATCTACACCCTTTGAAACTTGGGTGTCACCGTGACCATCGCCGTGGGCGTTATCGTATTATGACGGAGGCTTGAGCTCCGCAAAAAGGAAATACTGTCGTCGTATTCTAGGATGCGGAACCGGCGAGGAAAAAGAAAAGTGAGCCGGTCCGGTCTTCGAGCCCCGTCATCGGAAGACAGACAGAACATGTTTGCCAAATATCGAGCTACAATACGGACACAGAGCATCCATGAAGACCGCACAGGGCTGATCTAAGAAGGGAAGCTCGACAGCAGGTATTCTCAAGTGTGAAAAGAAGGCAATGTGCCACACAAGCCCACATCATGTGCATGAACCTAACCGGTCCGAGTCTTGCCCGCAGCCTGATCTGCAGACACACGCTGTAGCCCTTCTAAAAGAAAATACATCGAGGTACATTACTCTCCGCCGTTGTTGTGATTGGTTCAGGCGCTGAAAACGAGGTATTTCATTGGTGACAGCGTTAGAATTACCTAGTCGGTCGTTGCGGGTAGCGCGTGAGAGGAAGTGGAGATGGAGGCAAGTGTGGGTTCATTTGACTCGGCCAAGAAAGGAATGCTCGGGGTGTCCGGTGCTCCGATAGGAGCGCAATAGGCGAAAATGAACAAGAATATTCGGGGACATGCAAACTAGGTCAAATAAGCCGGAGGAGTGTAGCGTGAGGCTACGTGGAATCGAAGTATAAAACCAGCCTCACTACCCCCCCTAACACAACATCCAAACAAGCTTCATCCAATAACTCATTCAAACAAGACTTTTCGCGGTTTATCCCCAAACACCTACAATCATCATGTCTCCCTGCTCTTGCAACTGCTGCTCCGGCAACTGCAGCTCCTGCTCTTGCTCCAGCTGCAGCGTAAGTCGTCCGTTTCCTATTCTGCCGTGATGGAAGTTCTAATATTCTACCAGCACTAAGCCAGCTCGCACGCCCTCGCCACTGCCGTCCTCCTCCGTCTCGACTACGCATACCAGACCCGGCCTGCCGCTGCTTTCCAACTAGGACCGGCTGACGGTGTACAAGACGTTTTCGATATGATTTGTTGTCCATTTTTGGCCTAAAGGGCCGGAGCCTTTTGGATGGGGTTGATTTTACGTTTTGTCTTTGTGACTTCGTGTATGTCTGCGTTTAGGGCTGTTTATGCAGTGCAATTATATATGACTGGGTTCTTTCCAGCAAGAAAATGCCTTTTTGTACACATCGTAGGCAGAAGTCTGTAGACAGAAGTATGGTAAGTGTTTTTGTCATTTGATATCGAGCTTGGGTTGTCCCAAATAAGGTATGACCACGGAAGGGAATATATGAATGGAAACAAAACTCGCTGTAATTTACTCGGACAAAATGCCTGGATGCTCAAAAGTACATCAACATTCAAGTGTAGTGTGATAGATACAAGCACTAGACACATATGCAATGCAATATCTATCACCAGAGGGGACTCACAGCTCATCCTTCGAGCGGGGAGCAACGTTATCATCCTCGCCTCCAGCACAAACAGCCGGGGTAGTAACAAGCATGGAATAAACACACTTCTCATCCTCGGCCGTCTTCAAAATCTCATTCTCTTCTCCACACTCCAAGACAACCTTAGTGGACCGGCTAGGTCCATTCCAGCAAGACTGGCCGCGCTCATATTCAAGAGCAACCTTCTCCACAGAAATAATCTCACCGGCCTCGTTCGTTTCCTCAACGGTTGTGGATCCGATGCGGACGAATTTGCCCATCGACATGAAGCCGCCGCCCTTGCGCTGGTTTTGCTTGGTGCTCTCTAGGAAGCAATGCTCGTAGGTGTACTCGCCTGCATCCTGGGAAATGCACTGGCCTTTGAGAGCGCGGAAAATGCCTCCGTGGCCGTAGTCCTTCTCGAGGTCGGCTGTCTGGTCACGGAGCTTGTTCTTGAGATCTTTCAGTTCGTCTTCGCCGGATTTCAGAGCATTACGCGCCTCGGTCACGGCCTTGGATTCGGTAGTTGAGTCTTCCTCGGGCTTGGACAGGATTCCACCGATCTCCAGAATAGACCTGACAGAGAGGATCTTGTCTTCAAGGAAGCTGACAAGAGATGGCGGGAGATAAGCTGCGATCTTGTAGACTGTAGTTTCTTGTCAGCAGCTGAATGTAGCAATCGGTATTAAGAGCTAGCTTACTCAAGTCGGACTCAACGCAGCCATCCTCCTCCTTCTCCCAGTGCTCCCAGTTGACACCAGAGCTCTCGTCGTCTGCCTTGGCAATCTCGTCCAGGTCGCGGTCCCGGGCACTGTTGCTAACCTCGCCTAGTCCACGGGCGGCGTAATCCTCCCAGCTGCGCACAGCGCGCTTAACACCCTCGTCGTTGAAGTTAGGGTTATATTCAACCTTGAACTTGGACAGAACTTCTTCGAGCTCCTTCAACCGGGAGCGGGCCTCATCTCTTTGCTGGCGAACCTCCACCAGGGCGTCGCGCAGCTCGTTGACCCGGCCCTTAGCAATACCTGCAAGAGCATTGACCTTCCCCTTGCCCTTGCCACTAGTCCGGACAACCTTACGCTCCTGCTCCTCAACTGTCTTGAGGCTAGACTCGAGACCTTTAACCTTGGCCTCAGCGCCCTTAATCTCCGACCCCAGTAGCACAATGTGGTTCTCGATCTCCTTCTGCTGCCGCCCGGCATCCACAAGGAGATCCTTCTTCTTCTTCAGGGCAGCAGTCATGGATTTCTGGCGCTTCTCCTCCTGCTTCCGCCACTGCTTGCCGATTTCCTTGCAACGATCCTCGCACTTGGTTCCACCGACGCGCGCCCACTCATCACTGCCATCGCAGCACTGCTCATAATCACATATTCCATCATTGATACGATTGAATGGCACGTAAGATGGCCGGTGGCCCTTGTTTTTGCAGTAGAACCCGGGCAGCGCGAGTACAAGATCCAAGCCATCGTTCCCTGGGCGCTCCGCAACCGTCAACGGAGAATTTCGCGAGAGATGTGCACAAGCAGCGGTGCCTGGCTCGTCACTGCCGTCTGGGCAGTCGCAGAAGTCATCATTAACGGCCGAGAAGGGGATTTGGATGGCGGGATTCGAGATGCACGTAAAGGTATCCGTATCCTGGTAGAACTTGGCAACTATAAAGCCACGTAATTAGCCAATTGAACAGAAACAACGCCAGCAATCACCATATGCAACCCCATTGATCGCCCACCGGGTGTGGACACCTCGTCCGAGGGTGGGGATTGTACGCAGGGTCGCAAGGTTCAGGAACTCACATTCAGGACCGACGCCCCGAGGACGAGGCTTATCGCTGCTGGCCCGGGCTGAGGCCCCGGCCGCAGCCAGCAGAATTAGCGACGGAGGGAGTCTCATATTTGAGGCATTGAGCTTAGGGATGTGGAGAGAGCTTCCGGCCAGCTGTTGATACGGCTAATCGGTGGCTGACTCAGCGCGCTATCTCCTCGACTTTATCGTGGCGACTCGATATCGCCTTGCGCTTACCATCGCAAAAAGTCAGCCAACATGGGTAATGACGGTGGCAGGTGAGACTTCATCTGACATATTAAGCTCTCGCATTCGATAAAAGCTAACGAACACTCGCAGTATCCCCACCCGTCGCGAACTCGTCCGCGAAGCGGCCCGCGCCCCAAGCACGGCGCAAGTCAAAGAAGCACAGCGCGAACAGCAAGAACACTCCTGGACAACCTGCCCTCTCTCGCACAAAGTCCTAGCTCGTCCGGTAGTTTCAGACTCAGTCGGAAACCTTTACAACAAAGACGCTGTACTCCAATTCCTGCTCCCCGGCGACGACGGCGAGGGCATCAGCTCCAAGTCCGACTGCGAGGAGATCCTGTGCGGGCGAATCAAGTCTCTCCGGGATGTTGTTGAGCTTCATTTCGAGATCGACACTGAGCGCAACGAGCACCCGTCTGACCGCGCGCATGCGCACCGCCATGAGCGCCGCGAGGGCTGGATCTGTCCGATTACGGCGAAGCCGCTGGGTCCGGCTGTGAAGTCGGTTTATCTGGTTCCGTGTGGCCATGTCTTTGCTGAGGAGGCGATTCGGCAGCTTAAGGGCGATAGGTGCCTGCAGGTTAGTATTTACTTTATACAGGGAAGTGTGATTTATTGCTAACATGTTCGACTAGTGCGACGAGCCCTACACTGAAGACAACATCATCGTGATCCTGCCGACCAAAGAGGAGGATAAGCAGCGCCTTATTTCCCGTGGTGCGATGCTTGCTGAGCAAGGTCTCACCCATTCTCTGAAGAAAGCACCCGGCTCGAAGAAGCGCAAGAAGCATGCTACCACCGAGGGCTCTGCCGATCCTGCCACCGATGGTGCGGAGACGAAGAAATCCACCGCCGCTTCTGGCGCCAATGGAAATGGTATCAAGAATGCGGCGACAGCTTCGCTCACTGCTCGTGTGCTGAACGAAGAGAATGAGAAGAAGAAGCGGCGGAAGATGATGGGTCTGAGTGATAATCTTGACAGTCTTTTCACAAAAGAGACTAAAGACGGCAAGAAAAGTGGTGACTTTATGACTAGAGGGTTCAGTATTCCCTCTTCTGCGCGGCGGTAAACTTCTTACCGGTCCTACTTCGATATCTTGCATCCGTGGCCCATAGGAGTTTATTTTTGATATGGAGTCTTAAGGAGTTTTATCATTACGAGTTTAGGTGGCTGATGTCCACTATAACGGCCACACGATGCGTGCTGAACGCACTTTGTATGCTTTTTGAATGACATAAACTTCCAATGAATCAAAAAAATGCAATTGAAAAATTGTCCTAGTATACACGAAAGATGTCTGATATCAAAACGATAGATGCCTCGAGAATGTGCAAGCGAGCCATCCTGCTAAATAATGCTCATGCATCTCACCAAGATCTTTACAGAGATGCCACTGCACCATCAATCACTCAGCCGCCATTTACTCCACAAATTTCTCCTTCTTCTCCTTGTTATTGCTTTTCCGGATAATCAGGCCTCGGCGGATGAGCTCAGCGTAGATAGCCTTCTTCCGGCCCATCTCCTCGTCCTCGTGGCCCTTCGTCATGCGCTTGCTTGAGAACTGGACATTGGGAGGCAAGGCACCGACGCGCTGGTGCTTGGCCAGCTTCTTGCTGATGTTGACGGGCTTCTCCTTCAGTGTTGAAGAGAGGGAGGCGACGATTTCTCCGACGGTGGTGGACGAGGTAAGGGCGATGTCGGGGACGCGACGGCCGATCAGCTGGGAAAATCTCTTGACAAACTGAAGAATTGGTAGTCAGCGCACTGTTTTCAAAAAGCGATTGAGAGCAAACGAACAGCAAACTTGACGGCGGGGTTCTCTAATGAGAGAGCACGGGGGGATTCCGTGGAAGTCTTCTCCTTGGCGATGAAGCTCTCGGGGGATTCGATCTGATTCTCGGTCTGGGTGCCAATCTGGTTGAATACGAAAACCAGGGCCTCCATGGTCTGCTGGTCCGGGAAGCGAAGAGCAGTGCTCCATTGCTGGGTCTCGGAGCTCTCAACGGTGCAGCCATCGATCAGTTCCTGGATTTGTTCGTAGTGTTCGCCAATCTCGGAAACGCTGGCCAGAGGCTTGCCCAACATCGTCATGAGGGAGATTTCGACAGCGGCCTGGTGAGCGGCAGCGGGAATGGGTTTGGGAGTGACATCGGCGCCGAATCTGCAAATATCCTGTGATTAGAACTTGCTGGCTGTCTTGGCTGGATGCGATCTAAAAGGAGTCCAGCAATTAGGGTCAACGTACCTCTCGTACTCATCAGCCGGGCTCGAGCCACGGAATTTCCATTCCTGCTCTTTGGTGAAACCAATGCGGCGCAATCCATCCCAAGTCTCCGCCTGCACATATGCATCACCACCCTGCAACTCCTCACCCTCCGCGCCAGCAGCAAGCTCTCCACTCTCTCTCTCGGCCTTGGGCGCAACCTGGGACTCTCCGGTATAGGGATCTGCTGCACCTGGTGGCTTGTCACCCTGCCAGAGTGAGCGGCGAGTTCGCTCGAGGACTGACGGGGAATCGGAGGCGTAGCGGCGGAATTGGCGAGCGAGCGGCGAGATGCGTCGCGGGGTCACCTCGGATCTGCAGCTTGAGCAGACATACAATGCCTCTCGGAGAGGCATCCGCAAGGAAGGGCGCATGGTTGCGGTGTGGGTTGATCTGGAGTCCTCGAATTACACGGCAACTTTTGCTCGGCGAAACAAATCTGATGATCCACGTCACGTGATGTTGTTCTTGGCATTTCGCGATCGCAGAGATTAACATTCGATCTGTCTGTAATTTCATGTGTTGTTAGTTTAATTAAATTGCTATTATCTACATTTTAAACCTTATATGTTTCTGGGTGAATATGTCCCCAGGGGTCGATTTGACATGATGATATTGTATTCCAAACCAGGCTCAGTATTACTTGCAAGCACAGAAACTAAAGAAATAGACGATCCTAGTAAGGTTTCTTTCAAAAGAAAAGACAAGATGAAAGACAGGATAAAAGAGGAAAATAGGGAGGGAACTAGGGGGTGAAAGAGATTCAGGTATATAGTATAAACTATGTTAAGGATAGCACCCACCACCTATATAGTAAATAGAGTCATCAGCTTAATCAACCTCTTGACCAAAATCTAAAAAATACATCTTGGCACCATACCGGAGTTTTGACGGTCATAAGCGGCTAAGCCCGAAAGTATTCGGGGGCGCCAAGAAGCCTCGCAGATAAGCTCCCTCCCTACATCCATTGCTGAGAAATAACAATATAAAATACCAAGAAAGCCCACATTATCGAATCCCTAATTAACCATCAACCAAGCCACCCTCCCACAATATGCCAGCACTATACAACACCACCACCACAGCCACGGAACTAGTCTCCAACTATGCACCCCTTATAAAAGGCAAAACCATCCTAGCAACAGGCGTCACACCAGGAACCCTGGGCGGTTTCTACGTGCAAACAATCGCATCTGCCAAACCCGCCAACCTAATCCTAGCCGGACGCAACAGCACCAAGCTCGAGCAATGCGCGCAAGCAATCACCGCCTCCAACCCGGAAGTCAAAACTTGCATCTTACAGGTTGATTTCAGCTCGCTGACGAGCGTACGCGATGCTGCGAAACAAGTGAATAGCTGGGATGATATCCCCGTCATCGACGTACTGGTAAACAACGCTGGTATAATGGCGGTGGAGTATAAGGTGTCGGAGGATGGGGTTGAGTCGCAGTTTGCGACTAACCATTTGGGGCCGTTTCTTTTTACGAATTTGGTCATGGGGAAGGTGTTGAAGTCGGACGCTCCAAGAGTCGTTATGGTTACCAGTGATGGGCATCGGTTGAGTCCTGTTCGGTTCTGTGATTATAATTTCGATGTGAGTTGTGCTGCTGGGTGTTGATATTCTGGGGGCCTGAAACCATGAATTCTAATGGTTACTATAGGGAGGCAAGACCTACAACAAGTGGTTTGCCTATGGACAGTCGAAGACTGCTAATATGTTGATGGCGCTGTCTTTGGCTAATAAGCTAGGCGTTAGGCATGGCTTGCAGGCCTTTAGTCTGCATCCTGGTGTGATTATTACTACGGGTTTAGGGACTCATCTGGATTGGGAGAATACGGATATGGAAGGACTGTGTAAGTGACTTCGATATCGGTCGGGTGTATAGCTCGCTAATTGATGTGTATAGTGAGCACTGACCGGATGCTGGGCAATGCGGAAGGCTGGAAGAAGGGGTTTAGCCCCAAGACCCTGGATCAGGGTGTTGCAACCCACGTCTATGCATCATTTGATCCTTCGATTAAATGTATGCTTGAGAATATTCCTAGGGAGCGAGGACTGAGAGCTAACTTGATCTTGTACTCTTCTCAGCCAACAACGGAGCCTATCTCATCGACTCGCATGTGGCAGATCCACTCGAAGATACAGTAAAGGCATGGGCAATCAGTAGTTTTGAAGCAGAAAGACTATGGAAGCTAAGCGAGAGCCTGGTGGGCCAATCATTCCCCTACTAGATCTAAAATCCAGCAACAATCCAATTAAAGCATCACAATTCATCTATTGTATGCAAAGATGTATATACACATGCATCGCTGATATCATACTGTACAAGAAAACAACCAAAGACCAACACATCTCTTTTTTACTCCCGAACGAACATACCAGCCATGCCCATACCAGTACCAATGCACATGCTGACAACACCGATATCCTTACCGCTGCGCTCAAGCTCGGGGATCAGATCAGCCAGCTGGCGGGCACCAGTGGCACCAAGAGGGTGACCGATAGCAATAGCACCACCGTTGGGGTTGACCTTGGCCTCGTCAATGCCGAGCTTGCGGACACTGTACAGAGCCTGCGAGGCAAAAGCCTCGTTGATCTCCCAGACGCCGACATCGGGAACCTGCACGCCAACGGTCTCAAGCAGCTTCGGGATAGCAAAAGCAGGGCCGACGCCCATCTCGTCGGGAGCACAGCCAGCAACGGCGGTGGCGACCCAGCGAGCCTTGATGGAGCCGGACAGGCCGAGCTCCTCGGCGGTGGAGCGGCGCATTAGGAGAGCAGCAGCGGCACCGTCGCTGACCTGAGAGCTGTTACCGGCGGTGCTAGCGCCGTCGGGCTTGAAGGCAGGCTTGAGGGAAGCCATCTTCTCAACGGAGAGGTTGTGGCGGATACCGTCATCCTGAGTAATGGTGACCTCCTTGGCTGGCGCATCGGGGTTCTCGGGATCGAGGGTCTTAGTAGTAACGGGAATAATCTCGCTATCGAAGCGACCAGCCTTCTGGGCAGCAGATGCCTTCTTGTGCGACTCAGCCGCGAAAGCATCCTGGTCAGCGCGTGAGATACCATACCTCTCGGCGACATTCTCGGAGGTCAGACCCATGGGCATGATGCAGTCCTTCGCATCCTGGGAGTGCGACTCCTTCAGCTCGGGCCACAGGACAGTCGGGATAGCTCGCGAGCCGTAGTTGCGGGTCATGGACTCCATACCACCGCCGACACCGACGTTGAGCGCGCCTGCGCGGATGCCGTATGCCACGGCCGTGATGGCGGCCAGGCCGGAGGAGCACTGGCGGTTGATGGTGTTGAAGGGCACGGAGTGAGGGAATCCAGCGTGGATCTGCGCCATGCGGCCGGCCTTTGCACCGCCCAGCTCTTGCAGCACGGAACCGATAGTCACATCATCGATTAGCGCGGGGTCCAGGTTGGGGTTGGCCTTCAGGGTTGCGCGCAGCACATTGGCGAGCAGCTCTTCCGGGTAGGCATCCTTGAAGCCGCCCTTCTTGGCGCGGGTGACCGGTGTGCGCAAGGACGAGAGGATGACAATGTCGTTGGGGGACTTGGCGAGGACCTGTTTGAGGCCGCGGGGAATTGGTGAGGCCATCCTGGTGGTCTTTATGCGGAAGTTTTGAGCTGATGTTGGGTTTGTATATGCCGAAAAGCGTGGGGGCTATCTCAGTTCGAGAGCGATTGACGGCGTCGGGATGTACGTACACCTGTGCAATTGGAGAGGATATTTAAAGAAAAGAAAGAATATCAAATCCACAAAGCACCGACAATCTCCCCAGACCTCCGCGGCAAGGCTGTTCTTAAGGAAAATGCCGGGTGAGTATCCGGGGTCGGAAGTGGCGGGCTCGTCCTCTCCCGTTGCTGCAGCGTCCGCAGCGCCGGCATTGAAGATCGGCTAAGGACTCACCCGCGAAAGTATGGGGAGCTGGTGTCACGATGGTTCGTAGATATGAACTAGCTAAGACTAGTACTGTAGAGCAGCTTGCATTTAGGGTAGACTCTCAACTGCTGTTAATCCCTTTCTCTATACAAATTACTATCAACTCTCCGCTGTTTGTCTCCGGATCGCCTCCCTCAGCCGATTCTGATTATGTCAGCATTTCGGATCGGATCTGAAGCCGAAGCGGGTGTACGTTTCAAGATGCTTTCTACTAGAATAGCTGATGAAGATATTACTTCAGGTATGATTCACAGTGGGTTAATGGTAATAAGAGAATTTTTCCTATTGGTGAATCAAACTCGCAAGAAAAAAAGCAAGAATAGCCCAATCTTTTCCGACCATCAAAAATGGAGCAAAAGCATAGGCACGAAGATAGCCAGCCGCAGACTACTTCAGGTAGACTCTGCCCGCCGAGTCGTCAGGTTCTGGAGTTCGGTGCACAGCGGGAGCTTCAGAGCATTCTGGGCCAGACTGACCGCCATTTCGATTTCCTCGCGGGATACCAGCCAGAACTTGACGCAAATGTGAGTCTCCAGGCGTTCAAGCAGACGATCAATAATCTTCCAGCATTCATCATTTGAAATTGCTTGGCCCTTGCCCCTCTTCCATCCGTTGCTCTTCCATCTTGCAAGCCATTCGGTGATTCCATTCACAATATTGGGGGAATCAGTCTTGATGACGATTGTATGTAGCCTGGAGGGAACAAACGGACGGGTGCGCACTCGCTTCCACTTGTCGAGATTGTGTTCCACATAACCCAGAACTGAGATAACGGCGTAAAGCTCAGCAATTTGGCCAGTATGGCGAGGCAGTCTGTCGAGCGGCACGAAGAGATTGTTCGGGTTGCTTTCGCCAATCCAGAGACCGATTGCACAACGGGCTTCCGTTGTGCCGTCGTTGGAGCATGCACCGTGGATTGAAATGACTGGGCACTCCACGTGAGGCACGAGATGACCACAGTCTATGCACGGCGGGGTCGTAGGACAGGCGAGGAAGACGAATTGACCTTTGCGGATCTGAACGCTCTCCAAAGTCTGCTCACCCGGGTAGTGATGTACAGGGTCGAAGCGACGGCTGGGGGATGCTTGATCCGCAGAGGGAGTTTTTTCGGAAAAGGTGAGGGAGCATTCGTGGTTCAGTTGGAGCTCAAGAGTCTGAGGAACATGTGGTGGGATGCGGTCATTGGGGCCCAGGATGGGAATGGCCGTGCCAGTAAATGTACCCATAGGTGTGGATACAGCCATGGGCCTGGAATCGGGTACGCTGAGTCTGCCTATGAACGCGGAATCGTTTCTGCCCGTGACAATGGGAGAAGGGGCCTGTCATAAATTGTTGATTAGTACTATAAATGGGATTGAATGAGTTGTATTCACCGGAGGAGCGGAGGTCGTAGGAGTCTGTGGGACCTTTTTTCCCTTCTTCTGACGCGCTTGTTGAGCCATGCTCCTCGGCATGGTGGGCGGTGGATGGTGGTGGGTTCCAAGAAGTGTATTTGGAAACTGAAGGACTGAGGAGGGAGTGAAGAGGGACAAAGCTATGAGAGAAAATGTGTAAGGTTGAGAAAGGTTGGGAATAGGAGGTGCAGATGAGAGGAAGATGTGAATGTGTAAGTTTGAGGTAGAGGTTAGATGACCTTGGGAGTGTGAAAGTGAACAGGATTCAGGTTTGCTGTGTAGGAGGAAGAAGATATGTTGACGAGCAAAGAGATGTAAGTTGGAGGGAGTGGATACTTAGGGTGAACGTCCTGTGATAGAGTGGAAGGAAGATAGATAAGTTCAAGGAGATCAGAGGAGGGAATTTGGAACAGGGAAGAGTAAGACAAAAAGAAAAATATGCCTTAGTGTAAACTCCTTATTATTATGAGGTAGAGGTGCGAGGATGTTATGGGATGAGCTCCATAATAATATGGTTACCTAGATAGTGTAGTGGGCGAGAGAAGATGTAAATTTGAGGAATAAAGAGAAATCAAGAGTCCAATAAAGAGGAAAATGTACCTTAAGAAAACGTCTTTTTATGGGATAAGAAAATGTCTTTTTATAGGATATGAAAACATCTTTTTATGGGATAAGAAAACGTTTTTTTATGGGATATGAAAACGTCTTTTTATGGGATAAGAAAAGATACTTTGAAAGAGGCAGAAGGGAAAGGGCAGACAAAGAGCATTTCGAGAACATGAAGGTGTAGTTATGAGTAGAAGTGCTAGATAAGCAGGAGGCTCAAAGTATATACCGTGAAGCAATAAGCATACTAGGTAAAGCAATGGTGTTTGGCATTGATTCATATATGGGACTGCCACGAAGGTCAATGTATTGGTTTATTTGAGGTCTCGGAACTAGCTATTGAAGTAGAAGACCATGATACGAACTAGACTTGGTATTGATAATCGCTGTTCCCATATACACGGTGAAAAAATCTAGAAGGAAGAAATTGAAATCCATAAAACTCCATTCCGTCGAAGTGATCCATCTCGAACCGAACGCCAGCCGGGGGAATTGTGAGCTGGTAGATGAAGAAACATCTGGTGGGTTCTCATTGCCGTAAAGAGAACCGGTAAATAGAAGCAAAATGGTATGATACATAAAAGCAAAAGGGCCGTGGGATATTTGTCGATCGTTTTAAGGGGACGTCCGATCAAGTGCGAAGAATGTGGCTGTAATGGCCAGGGACCTGGCACCGACACTTCTCGCAATCAGCACGATAGCCCATGACGAGAGCAGGTCTTCTCCGCTGAGGAGGAGTGAAATTGGCAGCTTGCTTGATTAGGTCATCCACTGTTTGCTGCGAGTATTGAGTCGCTGGTGGGGTGCTGGGCCTGAACCCGTACACCGGTGATGTCTGCTGAGAGTATGCCATGTCCATCTCATCGGTCGGAGTCTTGGGCCCGCTGGCCATTGTCGCGTCATCATCGCTGACCGGGCTGGGGGGCCGGACCGGATACATGAAAGGCTGACCTTCTTTGTGGAATGACACGTCCTCCATCATGTTGATGTCTGGCTGGGGCTGGTTTGTGACGGCCTGGTGCGCAGGAAAATAGACCGGAGTCGACAGGGGCGAGGGCGTGGGGCAGAGATTGAGCGAGTGGTTGACCATTCCGTGGGGAATTGGAGAGGGCTGGGCGCTGTGTAGCCGGTGCGCACTCACCAGCCAGGGCGACAGTTGATCTCCGCCAGCCAACGCTGAAAGATGCTTCACGGCGGAGCTGGGGCTCAGCTGGAGGGCCAGGGGTCGGTGGCCCTGCGTCGATTTGGTCGGGCTCGCGGAGTTTCCCATGCTGGGTTCGTCAAGATTGTCTTCATCGTCCGACGAGTCGACAGGCGTGAGCGCCGAGGCGCGAAAGCGAAGGGTTTGATCGAGGTCCGTCGCGGACTCTGGGACCGCCCCTGGGACCGTTTGCCAGGAGGAACCGTACTTCAGAGACTGAATGAGGGTAATTTAGCAGTGTTCAACGCGAAAGAGCCGCGGCAGCGTGTACGCTGCAGAACGTGACGTTCTAAGTGAAAGACATGCGTACCTTGGGCTCATGAGCAAAGAGCTCATCCTCGGAGTCATCCTCTCGGGAACGCTTGAGCGACGAGCCTAGCATGATGGACGTAGGCAGACACAGATCGACCTCCAGTAGACACGGCAACAGCAACAGCAACAGCCCCCGGACTCACAATGCATGAATCCCGGGGAAGCAAGGAGAATGCGAGAGTGGAGCAAGAGCTGCACTCGGTAGTAGCCGTCATCGCGACAGCCCGAGCGGAGCCTGCTCCACCGCGATTGGACTCGGCACACGATCGTTTAATTTCGGCGTTTAGCTCTTTTGAGGTTGATGTGCCTTCTTGGCTCGTCAATTGGCCCAGCCACTCGCCTGGCCCCTATATACGCTGATCAATTGCATCTACCACTAAGAATCGCCCAATGGCACACCTGGCAACGTCCCCGATGCCTACCCTACAGTAGTTACGTGTCCAGATGCCGAATTAAGGTACCTTATTCAGGTACCTCTGGTACTTTAGGTTCTTCCGAATTGATGCACCTTGGTATACGGAGTACCGGAGGTCTGAGTACAGTGCCACTCGAGACCCGTGTTTGCTCGTAACGTGCATGTCTAGTACAGACATCAATCACAATGCGAGTGCCCAGTGCCCTTCACACGGGTCATAGGTAGCTGTACTCGGATTCCGCAAGACATGATTTCAGCTCTCATGCCGGTCTCACGGTAGCACGGCGGGCTGAAGATGGGTCTTCCGCAGGAAAAGTGCCTGCTGGTGGAACGGCAATTGGGTGGCGGGTTCCCTCCACCGCTAGATTCACGCGCATCGGTCTATTGCTTCGGAGCGAGGGAGGCATCTGGATCGGAATAGTCCAGTCAGATGGAAGTCTAAAAGAAAGTGACAGATCAGAGAAGCATCCCTGTCGGAGGTGAAGGAGACTTATAAACGGGTGTGAATCGCCGGCCCACTTTTTTATGCCGTCGGCTTTTTTACTTCGAATCCACACTTTGCCTTCCGTGCGATATTCTTCTTCTGTAAGTGCTCCTGCAATTTCGGCTTTCCTGGATCAATCTTGGATTGTGTCTCTCTGGGTAGCATTCTCATTTGTGACAGTTCCTGTACCTGATCTTGATTTGATCATCGAGCGCCATGCCTCTCATCAAGACCACCGAAGTCAACGAGGACACTCGTGGTACGATTGACCATCTTACTTTTTCGCTAGAGAGTCAATTCCGGCTATGTTACTGACAGTGCTTTTTCTCTACGAATAGTCCTCGGCTACGACCCTTTGCTGTCTCCCCAGTTCCTGCAGACTGAGATCCCCGCGGTGAGTCATTTTTTCCTTCTATTCACCCCGCCTTCACAAAAGCAAAAGCAAAAACTGACGAACCCTCCATAAACAGCCCGATCGCGCCATTGAGTCCGTTCGCCGGGGCCGCAATGAGGCCGTCGAGATTATCGAGCAGCGCGATGACCGTCTGCTGGTCATGGTCGGGCCCTGCTCCATCCACGACCCCGACACTGCTCTCGAGTACGCTCGTCGCCTGAAGGAGGTCTCCGACAAGCTGTCCAAGGACCTGTGCATCATCATGCGTGCCTACCTCGAGAAGCCCCGTACCACCGTCGGCTGGAAGGGTCTGATCAACGACCCCGACATCGACGAGTCCTACAACATCAACAAGGGTCTGCGCGTTTCGCGCAAACTGTACGTCGACCTGACCAGCATCGGCCTCCCCATCGCCAGCGAGATGCTCGACACCATCTCCCCCCAGTTCCTCGCCGACCTGATCTCCCTGGGTGCCATCGGTGCCCGCACCACCGAGTCCCAACTTCACCGCGAGCTGGCCTCCGGCCTGTCCTTCCCCATCGGCTACAAGAATGGCACCGACGGCAATCTGACCGTCGCCGTCGACGCCATCGGCGCCGCTTCCCACCCCCACCGCTTCCTCGGTGTCACCAAGCAGGGTCTCGCCGCCATCACCAAGACTTCCGGCAACGAGCACGGCTTCGTCATCCTTCGCGGCGGCAACAGGGGCACCAACTACGACCGTGAGAACGTCCGCATTGCCCGCGAGGCTCTGCGCGCCAAGAAGCAGCGCGAAGTCCTTATGGTCGACTGCTCCCACGGTAACTCGAAGAAGAACCACCTCAACCAGCCTATCGTCGCCAAGGAGGTCTCTGACCAGCTTCGCGAGGGTGAGACTGCCATCATCGGTGTCATGATCGAGTCCAACATCTTCGAGGGTAACCAGAAGGTTCCCCCGGAGGGTCCCTCCCACCTCCTGCGCGGTGTCAGTATCACCGACGCTTGCATCAACTGGGAAATGACCGTCGACACCTTGAACGACCTCGCTGATGGTGTGCGCGCCCGCCGCGCCGCTCTGAAGGCCAAGTCTAACGGCACCAACGGCTCGAACTAAAATGGTGACCGTGAATTTTTGATCACCTGCTTCCTTGAGTGGGTCTGATATAGATACCTAGTATTTCCAAGCCACCATTCGAAAATTGAAGCGTTTTCCTGTTTTATGTTAATGTGAACATGGCTTTTCCCTTTGTGTTGTCAGGGTCGGACTTTCTATAGCTTTCCCCGGGTTTGAACTCTAGGGACCCACTTCAAAAGTCCAGAATTTCAATTTGACAGCTCCCTCTTGATTCAAAGTGTCCACAGGATCTACCAAATCTTTATTTCCTTGCCCCACTGTGGTGCAGGGGCCAAGGAGGGGGAAAGGACAAGGTTTGATATAGCCGTGGGAAAGCGCGCTCTGCCGGAACCCGAATCGGCATGGGGCCGCTAGTGTCGAGTGGACCTGATCGGAGGCGTTTTTTCCTTTTTTTTACCCATTGGCTGAGCTTTTCACATTGATGAATGGCTGGGCTATGCTCTAGTGGAGACTAAGTAACTGCCTAAGACTGCCTAGGCTGGTTCAAGGGAGGGTTATGGATAGTGGGAGAAAGGAGCAGACTTTCTATGTACTGTACACAATATACATGCCCCCTAGGACTTGGATCAACACAACCACTAATCAGGTAGAAACACAGTCCGGAAAGGAAAGAATTGGAGGAAGATGCAACGCCGGAAAACCCCTGTCACGATGGAGGCAAGCTGTGGAGAGACCGCAACATGCCATGCAAGAAAAATGTCACACTTCATAGGCGGGAATTGGGTCTGGGACTGGACGCACCCGACGATTAGGACGCCTGCAGGATGCTGGAGAGAAGATGGGGTGGGTGGCATCATTGTCCCAGATTCTGATCTTTTGTCGCAGGCGAATTCGTCGCAAGCGAAAAGAAGACCTCGTCTACCGCCCCGTCAACCAGCTGGTCCAGCTGCGCGTCGTCTCCTTCGCAGCACGCTCCGCATTCTCGGCCATCACATCCAACTGCCCAGGCATCGGGCTCCCGGTCTTAGCAGCAGCAGCATCGAAGGCCTGCTTCGCCTTGACGGCATCCACAACGCTGGGCTGGGCACCGGCCACTGATGTCGATGCGGCGGAAGCCAACGTAGCGGTTGTACCGGCATCCTCGGGATTCATTTTCTCGAACAGGAATCGCTTCGCCTTGGCCCACGGCCTTTGTGCCTTCTCCTCCGCCTTCTTCCGCTTGAAGATCTCCTCAATCTCTTCCTGCTTAACCAGCTCCAGCTGTTCGGCGGTAGCGGTGCCGTTGGCCTGCGCGATGCGGGCCTGGTTCAATTTCTCGGTTTCCCTTTCGATCCACAGGGTGCGTTGGCGGCGGTTGTAGAGGGTCAGCGAGACCATCGAGTAAGCTGTAAGGACACCGCAGACACCTATTCCAGAGTATTCGTTAGTATCCAGCAATCCCAAAACATGCTGTAGAACCCAGGGCAAGGGCCGTTCTTGCTCTACCCAGATCTGGGGTTGGGATCATCAGATACGAAACAAGGACAAGGCACATACCCGACGCAATAATCAGCGAATACACCATCCCCTTGTGTGCCCTGTTGGCCACCCGTCGTCCAGCTTCAATCCAGCGATCCATGCCCGATGACGACTGCGCCATCCGTGCCGCCCGAGCCTGTGCCCGCAATCGTTCCACCTTCTGCTTAGGAGTCTCCGGCTTGCCATCGGGGCCGGTCTGCGGCGCCTTAGGCTGCGACGGACCCGTGCTAGCCTGGGGCTTCATGAAGTTGGGGAGTTCGTAGGGCGCGCCATTGGGCTTGGAGCTGGCGTAGGGGCCCGTGGCCGTGAACCGCGTAGCGTCCGCGGCGGATCGGGACATCGTCGCGAGAGGGGGTTTCGCGGGTTCTGGGAGGGCAGAAGATTCCTGTATTGCGAGACCGATCGGTAGGCCTGGACTGATGCCCGGCGGTCAATTGGGATTGTCGAGGTTGCTCGTGGTCGCGATGGTAGAAACCGGGGTTTGCAAGTGGGAAGGTAAATTTTCAGCGGCCGGAGATGGCGCCAAGACATTCAACAGCTTCACCTAGTGACGCTGCTGCGGAGACAACCTGCTCCAGACACGACTGTTGTCTTCTGCTTTCGATCTTTATATTCCCATCTTTTTTTTCTCTTGCTTTATTTATAGACATCTAATTTCTTTCATCTAATCATGACGGATCACCCCTACAACTCCTCCGACCTTAACTCGGTCCTGCAGACGCTATCCAGCTTGGGATCGCTAAACAGCTCTCAGAATACATCAATACCTCGGAGAGAGGCCCCTCCGGTGCCACATCGACAACAAAGTGAATTCCGTCCATCAGAGAGGCCACATTCCAACCCACCGAGGTCGAGCACAGGCACGCCAACCATCGACCCATCAACTATCACCACCTGGCCTGCCGCACTACGCTATGTAATGCGTATCGTCGGTCAAAACGAGGAAACGCAACTTCGAATCCGTGGTCTGATTAGAAGCCAACACAGCCATGAGCAGCAGTGGTGGAAGGGTCGTGAGACACTGCTCGAGAAACAAGCAGCCCGCGGGGACAAGAAGAAAGAGCTAGATGCTGTTTTGTATGTGTCTCTGCTTTCTGCTCTGTTTCTCCAGAGCAAAGCTTTCTGCAGCTATATCCATTGACGAGAAACTGACTCAATCTGTTACCTCCAGACGTTCCATCGGTGCACCCGTTGACTCAAAAGAGATATCAGTATGTATCTCCAATGATTAATTTCGGGCCTTGACTAACGCAATCCAGAACACGGTGGAGGACAAAGAAGAACTTGCAAACTATGACGCAAAGGTCTACAGAGCTTCCGCCCAGATGGCGGATGCCATGACGGCTGAGTTGCGCGGACTCCAAATCCCCTTCTTCGTCATCCAAAAAAGCCTCATCCAAGAGCCGTCAGCGCCAGGTTCTATCAGAGTACCCTCACAGGACAAGGAACCTGAAGGTTCAGCAAAAGTGGCCAAGGATGAGCTGGCATCTTTTCAACGGCGCATGTTGGAGCTACTTCAGGATCTTTGCAAGGAGTGAAGGGCTACGGAAATGGTGCTAAAGAACTGTCTACAATACCTTATGCAAGGCCATTCTTCTCATCCTGCCATTCCGGTCACATTTAAGTCGACGAGACACCCCCAGATACTTGGGGACTATCACCCTCGCCTCCAGTCTCCTCTACCTGATAAATGAGCAATGGCGCCTTTGAAGCATCTGAGGATATGATATGTACAGCCGGACCAAGGAGATATTGCAAATCGGCCTCAATGCTTTATTCTCTTGGTCCTTCTAAATCTCCTCCTAGAAATTTTTATGAACGTCTTTCTAGACATCTTTTGGTTCCATTTTCCGAGGTACCTTGTATACGTTTTTTTCAAACCTCCCGGACAGTTAGTTATGACCGTCTAATTGGGCCTACTTAAATACCTTCTCGGACCGGCTGTACCACTAAACAATGTCGCCATGGTTTCGGTCCCGATTTACAGGCCGCCACGATGGATGGTCTCGGTCTATCCACAACTAATCAGATGGCAATGGAACCCAATGTAAATCTACGAGAGAAGTCGTTGCAGGGAATATTTATTAACCCAGGCCGATCTATTCTAAGATAAATACAATTCGGCAATATCAACCAATACAAAAAACACGAAACACCCTCTCTTTATATAACATCCTCATCCTCATCCCAAATACTCAATCCACTAAAATTTGCATATTGTTAGCAAAACCCTCACAAAATAACCGGGAACAAGAGACCGAATAGCATAAACCCTTTTATCCCTGAAACGATGTATATTGACCTCAGCCTATAGATATGCCTAAGTAGGCCGTGTGGATAAAACTGGGCCATAGTAGATAGCTAATCCCTATTGGGTTCCTACTCAACTTATGGTTGAGTGTCTCTTCCTACTTCTTATGCATAAGTGATGTCCTACTAAGTATATAGTGTGGCGTCCTCACTTGTGTACTCACTTCTGGCCTCACTTCTAGCTTTGGGTATATAGTAAGGTACTCTAGAGCTTAAGTGTTTTATATAATACCTAAATATAAGGACCCCTTACGATCCATGCTATCTAACTTTGATATAAAGAGAGTATAGGAAGGGAAATATCTAGACCCACCACCACTACATAACACCCTACACCACCACTAAAACAAACACAACTCTAATAACCACACTAAGAACCTAGCCAATGGTTATTCTAGGCCCAAACGCAATCTCTAAGGATAAGATAGGTACGTGCAAAATAGCGGAGGCTAAAGAGGACGACGTAGCCGATAGAGGAGCAATACTAGTAGAAGCTATGCTTACATGACTTGAAGAGGAGTAAATAATAGGAGCGTGAGCGAGAGGAAAATAAATAGAGTATAGGAAGGGAAATAACATAAATAGATAGTGCAATAGTAGAATACCGATAAATACCATTAACGGGCACCGTAAAGTCCCGCGTCTAATATAGATACGATGAGGTGTCATTTGCCTTCAGAAAATTAAAAGTATATAGCTAATATAAGGGTTTCATAGCGATATCAGTAGAGAGCATAGCTGATACTATCCCTATAAAAACTTCTAAGGGTGTAGGCGAGTTTGCTGCTTACTATTCAGGTCTCGTTATTGAGACCGAGGATGGTAGTCCGCCGCCTCCTCCGCGCCGTCCGCCGATTTACGCTCTCCGCTCTCCTCCTTAGAGATGGCGTTCGGGCTAGGTACCACTATCGGCTAGTTTGTGCGTATACTCATTAGAGTTATGGCTTTTTTGGGTGTGTTGTTTGTGGTGTGTTGGGAGGCTATGCAGTGGTGGCGAGTGTTTATAACCCGTAAGTATGAATCCTTTTACCCCTGAAATGATGTACGTATGTTGACTTAAACCTTTAGATACCTCCCGGTCAATCCTTCTGTTGTGAATATAATTTCTCAACCTCCTTCTAGAGACCCTAATGTGTAAGGTCCCTGAACGGGTCTCTCTACTGGAGTGTTACTAATAGGCACCGTGTATTTGTAGTCCTCTTAGGACTCATCCCGCCTAGAACAACCCCAACTGAGAGCCTTCTCTATAGGCGGCGTGTGGTGTGTGGTGTATGGTGTGTGGTGTATGGTGTGTCCAGTGTAGGATTCGTAGTGGTGATTTTATAGACTCTACTACTTTTACTCCTCTGGCGGCTACGCCGTCCTCTTCCGCCTCCGCCGAGTTACGCTCTCCGCTCTCCTCCTTGGAGATGGCGTTCGGGCTAGGTACCACCATCAGCCAGTTTTTGGGTATGCTCATCGGAGTGGTGGCTCTTCTGGCGGTGTTTTTTTTGGTTGCTTGGGGTGCAATGCAGTGGTGGCGGGTGTTTATAACCGTAAGTATGAATCCTTTATCCCCGAAGCGACGTGCATTGACCTCGGCCTATAGATATACTGTACCTAAGTAGGCCTTATAGGCAATACTGGGCTATAACAGACAGCCGATCCCTCTTGGGATCCTACTAAACTTACAGTTGACTGTCTCTTTCCACTTCCTATATGGTGTCCTGCTGAGTGTATAGCGTGGTGTCCTCACTTCTGGCCTCACTTCTGGCCTTGGGTATACCCTAAGGTATTCTAGAGCTAAGTGTTCTACATATCATACCTTATCACAAGGACCATTCATGATCAATGCTGTCTGACTTTGACATAAAGAGACTTCGAAGTCTTCTTATATGCAGCATCTTCCCACTATCGTTCAGCCTCATACCTAGGTACCTGAGTCCTCCATGGATCTGCAAATATTCAACGCTTGAATGAGGTTGCGATATTATGAATAGCGCCCCCTCATACCGACGAAGCCTCCACCAGCTTAGAAGCAGGGCACGAAGGTCACGAGATGGGCAATTCATAACTCTAATTTAAAGTGCTCGTTAGCTCTTCCAGTTTCATGTTGCTGAATTTGACACCGGATTCAAGATTTATGAGCGTAAAATGTGTACAACAAGAACATGTTTACATTCACAAGGACCCTTCAATTACTTACCTGTTCTACAACTGCCAAACTCTATGGTGACTTTCATCGGGCTAATTGGAAGGGCGGTTAATCATACCCACTGTCGAGGGCGTAAAATCACACGATATAAAACCTGAGCAAAGCCATTGCCAAAATATCATATCATCTCATTATCCTTCGCGGTATTCATTCGCGTTTTAGACCAGTGACCTTTTGTTCTCGATAATTTCTTGGTTCATCTTGCTCTCTCACTCCTTTGTTACCCATCGTCGCGACGAGAAGCCTGTCCTTCTTTCTTGCAGGCCTTTCGGACTTGCCGCTTGGTTTTTCTCATTATTTCTTCCCTTGTTTCATTGCAAATGGCAAATTCACCGGTTACTACAATATGACGAACCTACGTTCTGGTTCTGGTCTCCGCAGCCGAGCTAGTATAATCTTTCCCACTAGCCGTAAAGTGCTATTTTGGTGAAAATGTCGATGATAGATAATGATATCATTTTTACAAACCTCGATTATAATTAAAGCGTCTTGAACCCACTCGAATCAACTTATTGTTATTGTTTTTATTCCAAGTCCACTTCTTTTTATTTGCTACACTTTGCCTTGAACCCTACCCATCAATCAAAATAATCATGGGCCGCCTGTCTGAAAAAGCTGTCCTGAAACTCCAGAGACCTCTCACCTACCTTGAGTATGCATTGGAAAATAAAGCGAATCGGTCATCAAATTCAAACTTAAGATGGTGGAAGGCAGTACAACTTCTTCGGGCATATCAATGCAGCGTTTTGCATATTCCTGCTTCAACTTCTCGTCCCTGGATACAAAAAATGATCGAGCTCGAAATTCGCCGCTGCGAGATTGTTCAGCGAGAATCTTTCCTGATAGAACAATGTTGTCAATCTAAGGAGCACCCGCGGCATACGCTGGATGAATGGCATAAAGAGTTGAAGACTCTCGATCAAGATTACTGGAGCATAGAGAGACTAATCTATGCTAATGATTCCCGCTACACTAGTTCGCCCTTAGCGCGGGCCTATTCATTTCGCAAGAAAACCCCTCAGTGGTATCTAGGTCGATACCTAAATGAGGACTGTGCGAATAGAGGAGGTTGCTGCAGCCGAGCTTGTGGATGCTGTCAGAAGCCACGCAGTGCCTTACGGCTTCGCGGGCACGGCCATTGTACCAAGTTTTGCGGTTGCTGTCGTCAGGCTCGTGGCTTCGAGCTGAACGAAGAGCAACAGAAGCAGTGCCAGCCTACTTTTGATGTGACGTCTAGTTGGCCCGATGACTATAGCCGCTCTATGTTGGTTGTGTATGTTTTTGGCTACCGTTAGTTTTGAGCAGGTTGACCTTTCGCAAGAAGTCTTGCAAGGTTAAACTGGAAAGATGGATTAGACCCTTGGTTGCAGCCACGTTTATCTGATTGCGCGGTATATGTCCCTTAAGGAACTACTTGCTATGAACCTTCAAAACGGATTCCCAATCCCAGCTGGGAAACATGAAAAACCCCAGATCCAGATCCCTCGGTCCCACATATGCTGGCCCCCACTGAAACTAGAGAATAGAGAATAGAGGATAGAGAAGAACAGGAAACCGGACTCCGTCCAACCAGTGGGAAAGAAGAGAAGAAAAAAGAAAGGAACAAGACAAAAGCCATATCTGGACCCATGCAAATCAAAACACCTGGTAAATGCAAAGAAAAAGGAGTTGGAGAAAAGCCTTTTGGTAAGGTAAGCTCCGGTTGGAGATGCCCATGCAAGAAAAGAAATCATGGATCATGCGCCAATAACCGATGGAGTTTGCGAAAGAGAAAAAAAACATGTCACAAGAATAGGAAAAGTCGCGTGTGGCTCGTGCATCACTCATCAGATCCGAGACTACCGCGTCTCTTTCTCGGCTACTGCCACTGCAACGGCGACGGCGACGCCGAGGATGGCGGACTCGTGCGCGGGAACGAGGCGGATGGCGGAGACTGACGAGGGGTGGCTTTGCGCGGATAGCTGGTCGAGGTAGCGCTGGCAGGTATCGCGGAAGCCGGGGTACTTGTTGATGACGGTGCCGTCGCAGGCGATAGAGACATTCTTGGCAGATGAGTCGCTTTCGATGACGGTGACTTCGGGTGATTCCTTGGATAAGAGGTCGGTGGTGGATGACGGGAACTCGACTTCGTTGCGGAGGCACCACATGCTGTGGATGCCGGTTGCCAAGTAGGCTGCGGCGCGGCGGGACGTCACTTGGCAGATGCGGCGGAGGAAACGCAGGTCTTCGACGGAGGGGGAGCTGGGGAAGGTGTGCTCTTTTTGGAGAAGGGCGGCCGAAGAGGCGAGGGAGATGGACGAGTCTTCCTCGAGGAAGGCAACGATGCTGGTGTCGAAGGAGTAGGGCTCACGCATGGAGTGCGGCAGCTCGCCATTGAATAGACCGGCGGTCTCGACGGCCTCCACGATGATCAATCGCACGATCTCGCCCAGGTATCGACCGGTGATCATGTATTCCAGCGGCTGGTAGTCGGGGCGCAGATGGGTGCGGTTCAGAATGTCGTCCCAGCGGGTCATGGGCAGCACGCCACCTCCAAACATACTCATCTCGGTGTTGATGACGACGTTCTTGGCATATTCGAACCAGTCCTCAGGGCGGACACCGAACTTGCTCTGACCGATCTCGTGCACGGGGAAGTGAATTGCCATGTTGGTTCCGGTTCCCAAAATCAAAGACATGCGAGTCTTGGGGTCGACGTATGCGCGGGAGAGCAGAGTAGCGGAGCTATCGTTCACAATAGCAGCCATTTCCACGTTCAGGTTGCGCTTCTCGCAGGAATCAATGAGCAACTGGCCCAGCTCCTGTCCGACGGTGCCGTTCGAGCAGTGGAATCCTTTACCCATGTGAATCACCAGCCCGCTGCTGACCGAGGTCTGGTCGATGGGGAACGACCAAGACAAACCCATTGATAGCGGCTCCTTGCCGCGTCCGTAATCGGCGCCCACATCCTTCAGCATGGTATCAATATGACCCGCCATCCAGTCAAAGAATTGGGTTCCCTCCAGCAACTTGACCTTGTTATCGATATAGGACGATGACACCCGCACGATGCGCATTTCCTGATCACGTCCGGACAACTCAATCAGAGCGACCCGGAATGTAGAACCTCCCACATCGAGCGCGAGGTAGGTGCCCTTCTCGGAGCCAGAGGGCAGAGCGTGGGTGTAGGAAGGCAGCATGCAACAGGGGCTGTTCTGAAGACAATCGCGGATCTGAGCGCGGATCTTGTTGGACATATCGATCATCTTGGGGGTCGACAACGGCGCCGAGAAGAGGGTATCGACCTCGTCCGCGAAGTCATCGAGAGAGCGGCGGCGCCAGTGAGCGCCCAGGAAGGGTTTGCGTCGGCGGTGCGAGAAGCCGCGGAAGAAAGAAGGGAAGAGAATCATGGTCTCGAGGGCGGACACCATGTTCTGGAAGAGCTCCTGCAGACGGTGCAAGACTTTGACCAGCGGCGCCGACATGGTCGGGGTGAGGGCGAAGGGATGTCGGAGTGAGAGGGTGATTAGGCCGACAACAGTCCAGGGGGGCGGGGAGAGAAAAAAATTAACTGCGCGGGGGAATCATAGAGATAAGACTAAAGAGGAAACCGGGGTGGGTTATTAAAGGGTGCGAAGGTCGAAAGATCGAGAGGGTGACACTCCGGAGAGTAGTGTTGGAGGTGGATCGGGGTGTAGCAGAAGGTGTGTCAGTGAAAACTCCCCACAGGAGAGAGCCATGAAAAAGGGAGAGAAGCATGGATCAACATTGGCCCATTCCTGGTTGACAGTGTCACTCGGAGTGCAACTTGAAGCCCTTGCGGTGTCGCAATGCAAGATGTGGGTAGCGTGTACCGTACCGTAATCTCGTGTATTGCACCCACGGCGGCCCCGGTGGCAAGCAGCGTAACGCCGCGTTATATTACTCTACGCGATTTAAAAGGATCTATTCGACTTCACGGTCACCGGGGATAAAGTTGAAGATGGGAAATCGTGATTCGGGCTGGATATCAACAGTGTGTTGATATTAACGAGTCTAGCATTCCATCGCGTGAGTGGTATGCTGTACATAACTCGATGACCCCCTTGAGTGCAACGGTGGTAGCGGGCCCAACTGGCCGGGACGGTTACACTCGTGTGGAACCGCCCGACTACATAACCTCGTGGAGACCTGTAGCATCTTTTCTGAAACATTTTTCTTAGACGGTCGGATTCACCGTACTCACTCTGATCGGGGTATATGTGATAGCGGTTGCATCTGCAGCCGATGTTTCGGACCTCTTCCGTGTGTGGTGTGTGATGCGTAGTGTGTAGTATTCATCCCGTCCCGATCGCACGATGCTGTAATATGCAATGCTGCAATGCTTCCATGTCGGCATCATCAACACCGTGAACTCTTCATCGACTCAAGAATGGGTGGACAGCATGACATCAGCCACGTGCAATCGTACCCCGTAGTTGTATCCGTGTGTGGACTGTGGAGGCAATCCGGGGAATTGAAACATTGCCTATGCCACCGTCATGTCCCGATCAGCCCGGACACTTGCCGAAGGAGACCGTGTCTGTCCCAGGCACCGTTACGGATCCTACCAAGGAATGGTCCGCCACCGATGCCGACCTTTGTGACGCTCCCTCTTCCGAAAATCATCGGCCATAAAGCGGGTGCTCCGGTGGGAGTGGTGCTAAGACAAGTGGCCTCGAATGGCAACTGGAGGTGTACAATCTGATTGGACTCTGGACTCGGGTCTCTGACACATTCCCGGCCCCTTGAAGAAACGATGAAGCGGGGACCGTCTCCCACATGGCATTGTATTCTCAGCCCTGCCATGTCTGATCAAGGATCGCCGGGCCAATTCCCAACGCTGCTTCTGTGCCTGACTGCAGATGTACTATGTAATTGAGACCCACATTTTTCCGCCCTGCCGACCGCCTTCCTAAAATATCGAGAGGATGGCTACTCATATTATGGAAATTCCGCGTCGCCTATATATATCATGAGGCCAGGTTTACCATACCTACGCAGTTAGCCAACAGGCTACACCAAAGCATAAATCAGGTCGAAGGCATAGGCTTTCTGAGTGCCAGATATCTAACGCAATTGCGTATATCCGCTCTGGTTTTGAGATTGGCATAAAAATCTGGGAAGATCTTGTGCGTGATCTAAGGCTTCTTGTTCATAGCGATACGCTTCGACGTGAGTTTCAAAAACACGGCTATAAGAAACGTAACGCAGAAAAATCCACCGCTTGATGACAAACCAGCCGCTCGCCAAAAGCGGCTCTAGTGGGCTCACGAACACCTTGACTAGACCTATAAAGACTGGAAGAAGGTTGTTTGGACTGACGAGTCGCGGATTACTTCTAGAATCCACCGTATACCCTCAGTAATTCGAACTCCTGAGGAAAAATATTATCCGACAGCCGTCCTTCAGCAGTCTAGGGTGGCTTTGCGGGCACTTAAAAAGGGCCTCATATTTTCTGGGAAAAATAGTGGAAAATAATGCGATTAGACCGCTATATTCGCCTGACCTTAACCCTATTGAAACGTCTAGGCGTGGATGAAAAGCTGGATTGCTAAGCATTACGGTTATAGTGATCTCGACCTACCGAGGCTACGCGTCATTATTAGGCAGGCATAGGATTCTATTCCTGAATGGTATCTACAAAGGCTAGTGGAATCTATGTATAGCCGATGCTTTGAGGTCATTGAAAAAGATGGCTATGGTACAGGATACTACATGATTTGGGGGAAGATGTCAGATAGAACCGGCAGAATAAAAGTTCTGCAGTCAGGCTGTAGAAGGGACACCAAAATCTAATCCCAAGAGTCAGATAATTACAAAGTCATGCGAACTTCACCCGAGAGCCGTGCAAGAAGATGCCCAGACTTCTCACCTGGTCGTCTGGCCGCTATTTGATCCTTCCAGGCCCTGCTTCGCTTGGGCCTACGGAAAATTCCCGACGATCTGCGGGGGAAGGCTGATTCAATTGCCGGTTTAGCACTGACCTCCAGGAGAACAAGAAAATGGAAGGCAGCTGGTCCTCTGATAGGCCCGATCAGTCGTGATCCCCACCTCATTGTCCGTCCGGGGTAACTAGACCCCTATAGCCGGACCAAGAACATATTCTAAGTGGACCTAATTAGATGGTCATAACTATCTGTCTGGGAGTTTTGAAAGACTTTCAGAAAGATACCTTGGAAAATGGAATCAAAAGATGTCTAGAAAGGCGTTTACAGAAATACTCCGGAGGATATTTAGAAGGACTAGGAGATCATAGTGTTGAGGGATATTTGCAATATCTCCTTCTTCCGGCTGTATAAGTCTGCCGATCCCCCAATTCTCCAGAATCGAGAACAGATAGTGCACATATGAAACCGAGGCACTTCCATATCAATGGCCTGCATCATTATTTAGCCTTGGGTGATGCCTCCCCGCATGTTCGTGACCCGGCATACGCGCAATCTGGGGTATCACGATGAGACCCATTCATATTATCAGTGTGGGCCTAGCCTATGGCGCAACCCCGTCGCTAGCCAGTTCGCTGGAACATCGAACGTCCTCTGTCGCAGATACGAATCTCCTCGACACTCTCTCCAGCGCGGCAAATGATCAGGGTGAGTGGGATCAGGGTGAGCGGAATGCACTCTCCAATCTCGTCTCGCAGCTGCAGCAAGTCGGATCCATCTTCACTCCGAACACTCCGAACGAAGCGTTGTCAGATCTCCAGCACAGTTATGGCTTGAAGGGATACTCCAACATCGTGGACATAGCCTGGGATATCACCGCAGCGGGCCTTATCCCTCCGGAGATTCTATCTTTCCTGAACGGGTACACCGACAGCGAGCTAAACTCGCTCGATAACCAGAACCCGGCCCCCGAGGACGATATATATCCCAAGAGCAGCGAAGATGCGCCGTACTCTCTTTCCGAGGAAACACTCCGATCGGCCATTCACATCCCCGAGACCTTCGGCCATGGGCGCAATGGTAAGATCCCCGTCGTTTTGATTCCCGGCACGGCCATTCCTTCGGGAACAACCTGGTACTATTCCTTCAGCAAGCTCGGAGACAGCACCGACGCCGACGTTGTATGGGTGAACCTGCCACGGGCATCACTCAACGATGCACAAGTCAGCGCCGAATACGTGGCTTACGCAATCAACTACATTTCATCCCTCTGCGGCAAACCAGTTGCGCTGATCTCCTGGTCCCAGGGGGGACTAAATACCCAATGGGCCCTGAAATACTGGCCATCAACTCGACCGGCACTGCAAGACTTCATCGCTATGAGCCCCGACTTCCACGGCACAATCGTCGAAGCAGCGATCTGCCCAGCCCTAACATACATAGCCTGCACACCCTCAATCCTCCAACAGGCCTGGGAATCCAATTTCATCACAACCCTCCGCTCAGACGACGGCGACTCAGCCTACGTCCCAACAACAGTAATCTACTCAAGCTTCGACGAAATCGTAGAACCCATGTCCGGCCCCGATGCATCGGCCCTTCTAGGCGACATGCGCAACGTCGGCGTCACCCTCGCGCACATCCAGACCGTCTGTGCCGACCAGCCCGGAGGGACCTTTTATACGCACGAGGGAGTCCTGTACAACCCCCTCGCATGGGCACTGGCAATCGATGCAATCACGCATGACGGGCCCGCCAACATATCCCGCCTGAATCTAGGACAAGTGTGTGGAATGATTCTGGCGCCTGAGCTGGACTTGCTGGACTTATTCGGTACCGAGGGCCTTTTGCTCGTTGCGGCGGCGGAGCTAGTATCTTACAAGCCGCAGGCCGCGCGTGAGCCACCCATCGCAGGGTACGCGTCGCATGGAGGCGGGGCGTGACGCACGGGACTCTGCAATTTAAGCCTTGTTTGATTACGAATGAACATGACATTGTACGATCTGATTGTTTTTCGTTTTGGAGTGTATATGTAATGTACAGTACACACGATGTTAAGAGTGCTAGGTGTACCCAAATGGCAGTTTAAAAACAAAACACCGGACCAATCGACTCCGAAGACTTAAGATTTGAAGAGAGTCCACATCAAATGCCGACACTACGTTCTAGAAGAGAATAAGTGGAGAGATCGACTGAAAGTGCGGTGTCGGGGCCGTTTCGGCGGTAGAAGGAAAAGAATTTTTCTGTGACAATCGTCATCTCAGCGGTGGAGATGGTCGAGTCAGGGGGAAAACATCCATGACGCACATCCATGGCTAAGCCCGACAGAGTCAAAATGCCAAGACTGGTGCCCCCTGGGATCCAGTTCGTATCCGACTAATCACGGTCCTCGTTTGAGGCGTCGATTTTTGGTAACCGGAAGACCCGGCGTGCGCCGCTCAAGTACGGCGTGGCCCCGGACGTGCGCAATGGGACACATGGGGTAACCAAGGCCGACTCCGAGCGCATTGCGGGTCAGGAAAAGACTGAGCTGAGGGACGAAAGCCCGATCAGAACCCGACTGGGCTAAAGATACGGATCCAGTACGAGAGGGGAGGAAGTCCGCGCCACCTCAAATAATGCCAGATTCAAGGATCCACTGCCAAGACACTTCTCCCCTTCAGGGGACAACTCCACCGAGGCCTCTCCACCGCGACTGGCCTCGTGTTCTACTCCTTCCCTCCCTCTTATCCCCCCTCCATCTCTTGGGAAGATCTGTCTTCCCAGCCACTCCTTCCATCATGTTGTTTTCCGCGTTGTTTCTACTATCGTCCCTGCATAATGTCGTTGCACAGCGCCTTGACGCTGACTTGATGTCCTTCGTCACGGTCAGTTCACCCGGAGATACTCCCCAGTGGAGACGCTGATAGTCGTATCCAGCTGCCCGAAGTGCGAGCCTTGAAATGGGACGTCCAGTACCATGACCGCGCACGCGCCGACCCCGGTTACTGGTTCGTTGCGCCGTACGGCCAAATCAGCCCTGAACAGCCCACCAAGAAGTACCAGCAATATCAGGTCGGCCCGTATATCTACGACGACAATGGGGTAAGACCACGCGGAGAGGGGAGAAAGGAGAGAGTGGGAGAAGAGTCGCGTGCTAACTTGGCGATAGATGCTTATCTGGGCCGGATCGCCAACCTGGCAAAACCAGAACGTCTTCGATTTCCGCCCGGTTCACGACCTCGCCACCGATAAGGGTACACACATGTCGATGATCGTGAACTGGGAAACCGACGGGGTGCTTAAGGGCAAGGGCGTGATGATGAACACGCACTACCATGTTGAGAATGAAGTGAATGTCCTGGATGACATGCACGACTTTAACATGCACGAGTTCAACATCTTGCCCGGCGGCAAGACGGCCGTGGCCTGCACCTACCACTCCCGAGAGATCAACATGGAGGATTTCGGACGTCCGACGGAGAGCAGCTGGATTATCTCCGGTGGCTTTGTGGAGGTGGATATGGAGACCAGTGAGGTCCTGGTCCAGTGGGAAAGTTACGACCATATTCCCCTGCATGAATCTAACATGTTTCATGCCTGGGACTCGCCCCAGGGTTTCCCGGGCTGGGACTATGTCCACATCAACGCTGTCGACAAGAACGAGGCCGGAGACTATCTCATCTCCCTTCGCTTCACTGACACGATCTATGGTATCTCCGGCGAGGATGGCCGCATCATGTGGCGCCTGGGTGGTATCGAGAGTAACTTCGATATGGACTTTACCTTCTCTAAGCAACACGATGTAAAATTCGTCTCCTCGAACGGTACTCACCATGTGATCTCGTTGCTGAACAACGCCTCCGACGAGCGAGGCAACGACGAGAATATCTCGTCCGCTCTGTTCATCGAAGTGGACACCGTTGCCATGACCGCCCGCGTCATCAACCGCATCAACCGTCCGGATAGCGCTCTGACCCGTCTCCGTGGCAGTGTTTCGACTCTCGCCAACGGCAATATCTTCGCCGGCTGGAGTGAGTTCGGCTACCAGAGTGAGCACGCCCCTAACGGCGACGTCCTGATGACTGCTCGCTTTGCCTCGGACCGGTATTCGACCTACCGTGCCTACAAGTCCGACTTTATTGGCCGTCCCACCACTTCCCCGGACGTCGTGGCCTCCGTCTACGGTACCAGCGACGAGGACATTACCACCATTATATACGTTAGCTGGAACGGAGCGACCGACGTCGTCGGATACAACTTCTACGCGCAGGCCTATGACAGTGGTGCCCGTGTTAAGATCGGCCACGCCAACAAGTCCGATTTTGAGACTATGTATATTGTGGATGGCTACATGGATTGGATCAGTGCCGAGGCCCTTGGCGTCAACGGCAAAGTCATGAGCACTTCCCGTGTGACACGCAGCGGCATTCCTGAGAACTGGAAGGCCGTTGGTTTCCTCGGTGAGTCGGGTCCGACCCCAGATGACCCGTCTATCATCGTGTCCGTCAACAAGGGCTCCGACTTTGGTGACAAGACCGTCACCGACACCGATAGTGCCGACAGCATGGACGGCGTGGGCATGTCCGACGACACCAGCTCCAACACAGTGGACCCCTCCCACACATCCTACGCTGACGCCAAAGAAGTCGCCAAAGCCGTCTACACAGCCTACGAAGTAATCCGCGGCGTAGGCGGCATTCTCATCCTCATTTTGGCAACCTGCTCCATTGGTGGCGCCCTCTACGGCGTATGGCGCATGCTCCAAAACCGCAAGAGACGCTCCTACCATCACGTCCCCTCCGAAGAGGGCGCACCCGTGGAAGAAATCCACCTCCGCCAACAACCCGAGTGATCCCCGGGTTATTTCATTTCATTATTGTTTCCTTTTTGCATGATTAGCAGCGTTGCATCGGCATTTCCCATTTACACACTACCCGTTCGCTTCCCGGCGAAGCGAACAAATGGAAATGAAAATTACCGCAGACATTGATGTCAATTTCTGCACATGACACGAGAGAAGGTGGCGGCTGTGAGCTGAGAGGGTATTGGTATATACAATCAGGTCATGATCGCTCCACGCATATCATACCCCATCTGGCGTTCTTTTTTCCGGCTTTATTCATTCGCCTGCTTTTTCTTTCCCCTGGAACTCACTCACTGTCGACGTGTGTGTGGGTTCTACGTTACTGTGTAACACTACCTGACATCTTTATTTGAACGAATCAAATCAATGTACATACTTGCATAACCTCATACATGATCTTCACTGCTTCAAACACCGGCCTCCAACAAGGAGCAAGGATGTATGTAACCAGGAGCATGCTGATCTGTACTCTTCAGGCTCTTTCCTAACCTAACACTGCTTTTCGAGGAATATACCCCCCTAACCCCCCCCCCCTCACCCGTTTCAGGTTCCACCTCCACTACTCCGAGTAACCTCTTCGTGTTCCTGCATCAAACTCCACATTCGGGCCCAAGCCCTCACTCATCTGTGAAGCTGGTGTCGCAAGTTCGTCTCAGACCGAGTGCTCGGGTATCTTGTTTGAAGAATTTGTGACATGTCACTGGTGAATGTCAGGGGATTGAAATAACATTTTGATGTTTTACGGTGTAAGGTAGATGGGGTGATTGAAGTTATCAGCGAACCCAGTTTCCCGATTCGGAACTTACGGCCGAGGGAGATGAGATGTGTTTGTTTTGATGTGTGCATGTGATAAAAGAATTGCCGGATTTTGGTTTTGTGTGGTTGAAATGTGAATTGAACTGAGTAAATGCAGTGCGTAATTCTACAGCCCAGATCGAGGTATGCTCGATGAGGCCTACTTCATCCATGCGACTCGTCAATACTAGGCCTTTGTTATACATTGTGTCAAATCACAATGCCTTAAACTGCACATGGGAAGTATCAATGAGTTCTCCTCGATTCGTATGTCTACCCCTTGTTTCTCATGGGTGTTAATGACACCGGTGGCGCGAGCTGACGACTACTTGAGTGGCCGCGTCAGCGTTGTTCTTGGTGTTCGTTTTGGGTTCGGCTTGGAAATCGGCGGTGGGGTGGGGGGATCTAGACTCGGTTGTTTTGGTTTGGTGCGTTTTTTTCGGGTTAGAAATGAGATGTGTGTACGTGTCCGACTGATAATTTCGGACTTATTTAGTGTGATTGTAAGAGCGGGCTGTGGATATTGTGGTTCTCCAAAGCTGGTCGTAAGCTTGTCGCTGAGTCTCAAGAGTTCACATCCACAGAACACTTCCAAGGCTATACTACAAAACTACCATCCAAAGAGAGAGCCAAGTATAATGGAGAGATGTAAACGGAATGAGTCGCGTTCTATCATAAAATCTGCCATCTCTCCTATCCATCATCCCATTTCATCAACCTCGGTCTACATTTATACCAATTGGAGTGGACAGCTTGAAGCAACTCAACACTAAACAATTCAGGAGATAAGCCATTCGCCTGTCGATTTCCTTGGTAGTTGCCCTTCTTCATCATTTTACAATTTCGCAGGCCACTTGTTTCCATGAAACTTTTGTCTCCCGTTTCGTCGCATCTTTTCGTCTCACCTTTTGATCATCTCTCTCTCACCTTGAGCACCCTCTTCACTTTCCAACGCATCTCCGTACACCTCCTGTTTTACCTCTACCTCCTTGATACCAGCTTTCCGTGAGATCTGAGAATAGCAGGCACCTGCTACTTAGGCCGAACATCCAGGAAGCTACATCAGCAAACACAGCCTCTTACAGACACGGTCTCTTTCAATAGAGGTATTTACTGGGATATCAGCGGAAAATCACACACCAACACCTACCACCTCGCCACTACCAAGCCATGAGCAATGACTGAATCGCCGGAGGCTTCAGTCCTTAGCCCTATTCCTCGTCGAATTCTCAAGGAAGCCAACCACCAGGAAACACTTGAATTACTCGGCAAAATGGAATCAGATTCCGGAATACTCATATCTCTGAGTACTAGGTGCATCAGTGAAGGAGCGATAAGTAAGAATCCTGCTGCCAACACCCACCTACATCTGACATCCCATGATTGCGGCCTACTTGGAATCCCCAGCCCCGACGGGTGGGAATGGCTTCTCTGCTCGGCCAGTGAGCATACCAGGGATAGTGAGATTGCACTGTTCAAAGAAGAAAAGGAAGAAGCAGATGAAGAAGATGGCCACGTCAGCGACGACGGAATCGATCTTCTGCCTTTTTCACACTTCCAACTACGCGCGGGTGATATTGCTCTGTTCCAAGGTGAAGGAAAAGAGGAAAGAGGTGAAGAATATGGTCATGACAGCAACAGCGACTTCGACCTCTCTACCTTTTCACACTTCCAACTGCTCCCGGGTGAGATCCGACAGAAGATCTACGACTATGTGTTCGAAAACTTTGGAGCGCTGATCGAGCGAGATAGAAGCAACAAGCAAAGCAAATGCCCAAGTCCGTACAGGCTGACCCATAGGTACCCTCAATTGAACAGACACCACATGCCTTCCAAGGAACGCCTGCCCCTGGGACTTGTGTTTTCTTGTAAACGCATCTACAACGAAACAATCCTCCAACTCTACAAACACACCTGCTTCACCTTCGACACGACCAAAGCTCTCCGCCGCTTCCTGCAAAAAGTCAGCCCAGAAGCAAAGGCCGTCATCCAACGCGTGCAACTCAAACACATATTCCACAACAGAACACACCTAGAAAGCAACAGAATATGGCAGCTCAAAAGCAACGCCGCTTGGAAAGCCGTCTGCCAACGCATGGCGGACGAATTCACATCCCTCCGCCGTCTCTACATTGAAGTTACCGTCCCCCGGACTACACGACTAACAGTGAATGAGCCCTGGTGCGAACCCTACATGACTTTCTGTGGACCCGACGGCAAAGGCCGACTGGAGTGGGTGCATGCCTGGGCACAGATCGTGGTCAGTGGGCACATCGTCCCTCGTGCGCTCAATGCGTACAAGCAGTCCCTTTCTCCGAGACTGCATGCTGTTAGTGTGGAGATAGAGCGCCGGCTTATGACCAATGATGCGTTTCAGAAGAAGCAGCTTGCTGATATGGGAGAGCAGAAAGGTAATGTGATGGTGGCTTACATAGCCGAATAACCGGTTTGCCTTTCGGAGGTGTCCTATTTAGGGAAATCATTTCCTTTCGGTAATGTCTCAATGCCGGGCTGGACCCTCGAGGGGTATGGCTCGGGTTGAGATGGAATACGGTAGAGATAGGACGAGAACACGATGACGGCCGGAATAAACTCGGTGAGAAAGGAGAAACGCAATGGTCCTTAGAGACTCCCAAGTATCAAACCCCTGTCCTCTTCTTCCAATGTAGATCAAGAGTGCGCTATTATTAAAAAGTATATTCGCGCCCGGTAGCCATTTCTGAAAATTGAAGGCAACCTGCATATGCGGGCGCACGGCTAGCCTAGACAAAGACGTTAGTGTCTCTACTATCTCTAAGTAGAACCTTCGAAGTACCAGATAAAGGAGCGCAAAACATCAAATCCACGAACCACGGCAACGCGGAAATGGTAGAAATAGCCCTGGAATGCCTAGCCATGGAAATGAGACGCGCGATGCACACCAACAAACCCCGGTCCTTTGGCCGCGTCGTCTCTGTACGGTACGTCTCGGCAACCCGAAAAACCGGCCATATGACGTGTCATGCAGCCAGGAACCCACCATGATCTCCATAAAACCGTTAGGGCTGACCCACGGTTCCGAACCGCCGACTCAAAAATCAGAAGAACGTTGAAACGGTGATGGGCCGTCATCGCACATATGTAATGCAACTCTATTCCCAATAGCCTATCAGCTCGATAACCGCCGTCTTTCCGCCCCGGTGCCGACCCTCCCCTCCCGACCATTCCCCCAAAACCCCAACATGACCCAAACCACCGACCTGACGCAAAGCCGGGCCTCAAATTCGTGGCTGTGATCCGCAAACAGATCTGCGCGCATCAACCAATCCACTATTGAGAGCGATCTTTTTCCAGGATTCTCTTCATCTTGGCTTAAGGTGCCAAGCGAGGCAATAGCTTGGGAAGAGATGTCTGTTCGCCGACCGTGGCGTGAAGGAATTGGATTAAGCTCCGATAGCGTCCGACTTGATATTCTACCAATCAGCTACCAATTCGGGAGATTGTGATGGTCGTCTAGTTACAAGGATCGCGCCCTAAGGGCCTCTACTGTATGCCAACGCGGACGCAATGTTGGATTTAGCGTCGCTAGTCCGCAGCGCCACATGTGCGCCGAGCGGTTAGTTTGAGAAGTGCCAGATAGGTTTCTCCACGAATAAGGTACTAGAAAGGGCTGACGTGCTCGGGTTCGGGAGAAGTGCCGAAAAGTCAAGGAGGACGAATGCCGAATACGATATTGGAGTAGTGGAAGGAAGAAGTTCCGATTTAGGCTCTGAGCCATCCCACGGACGCCCCCGGCGAAAAGCGGTAGCAAACCATGGAGATCGTCCGGTAAGACAAAGACAAAAATCATGTCAAAAGGCCTGAAGTTAGGACGAAGATTCACCGGCCCCACTCTAATTCTAAACTTTATTTTCCGGTGGCGTTTTGGCCTGTTATAGTAACTCCTTTTTTTCTTGCTATCCTAAATAAGGTATTTGCCCCTTTCTGAACTCTCCCTAGCGTGATCCATGATCCACTGTAAGCATCAGGTGGCCAATGGCAGAATCATTGCTATCGGGTCTCGTTCAGTCGTCGCTGGACGAAGCGCAGTAGATCCATGTTGTACTTGAAAATATACAGAAAGTGTGCAAAGGTAGGTACGCCTAGGTGGAGGCAGCATTCCATATCGCCCTCGTCGCAGTAGTCCCTCAGAGAAGCCGCGTAGGGGTCGCACCACTCAGGATGAAGGCGGGGGTAAAGCTTGGTAGAAGCTCGGTGTCAGTGTCAACTTGGGGATGATCGGCGCGGAGTGGAAACGTGGTGGCTGATTGTATGTACTTACACCCACTCCGTCGGTACAAGATCCCACGTCCCACGGCATGCCTGGCAGATAGGTTTCCTCGCCGTATGTGGCTGCCGCAATGACTATTATGAATTAGAGCGCTTCGAATACGGAGCACTAGGTACTCGAATGGACGATTACCGTTTTTGTTGTAATAGGGCTCCAGCGCGGGTACGGGATACAGCCATAGAGAGCTAGTCCCGCAGAGAGCATCCATCAAGGCGATTCCACCCTGGATGAGGACTCAGCTGCAGCAATTCCCAGTACATAACCCGGAACTTTGTTTTGATTTGAGAGGTGGGAGCAAAAAAAAAAATAGGGGGGGGAGTCAAGGAGATTATCGTTATCCTGCACGTACCAGCGAGTACCCCATGAGGAAGATCTTAGAGCTGGGGCAGCTGGCGACATACTCTCGGACATACTGCTGGATCATGAGAGCGCCTCCCGCGTCTGCGGCCCGGTGATTGTTCTCGCCATGGTTATAGGGCAGGGCCACGCTGCTCGAGCCCGGGATAAGCTGTAGAACCAAGTTTTGGATCGAGACCAACACGTTCAAGTGATCGCCAGGACCTTGGCCCCGAGCTAGAATAGCGTGAACACCTGTGGCGCACTGCTCCGATGGTACAGCCTGAGAATGGACGGACTGAACTCCCCAGATGAGGGTCAACACTAACTTCTGGAATAGCATAACGTGCATGTCAATTGGACGATTGGACCTGGTGGGGCTGAGCGGGTCGAAAGGATTGGTGTGTCGGGGGTTTTCTATTTCACTCTCGGCCCTGATCTGGGCAGCGTCGCCACTTATATTGACGTGGGAGCGCATTGGATCTCACATGGTAAAAAGGTACTGTAGCTATCCAGGGTGATGCCAGGTCGAACGGGGAAGGACATTATAGCCAATAAGTATAAAACACAAAATATTGGAATACAAAGGGTGATGGGGGTGACGGGAGTGGTGGAAGCGCCATATGAGCCGTGTACGACAGTAGACGTGGAGGAGATTGGGATCGACAAGCTTCGGGTTTCCTCCGATAGTTCGAAGGAGGGAGGGGGTTCGGGTTCGGATCGATCGAGATTCGGCGCAATGGATCCCCCACATGTGAGAATGATCCATGGATTATTGACACTTGGGCGGGAAGTGGCGATCCATGTGTAGACTCCCGGTCCGAAAGGTGAAATTTCCCGTAGATAGCAAAGCAGGGCCAATTTTTAGAACTTGGTAGAAAACGGCTGGCCAAAGTGTGGTCGAGTCGCACGGAGGAGGGCCTCGAACCATACAGCCTTCTCTTGAGGGAGCTACGTGAACCAACGCGATTGTGCTGCAAGAAACGCTTATCGAATTCTGGACCCTAACTGCATGATCGATATGCTAAAGCTATGATGCAATTTACTCGAAGTCATAGCTCTTTGCAATCAGGTCACGGACCGCATCTGCGAGTTCCGTGATCACCTTGCCTGACCGCGGGATGGTGTGTCCTTTGCCGGTGTCGAAGAAAACCGCGGTATCGGGATCGCAGACGTTGTAGAGGGCAAAAGCACCGTGGCGGAAGGGGTCTGAATCAACAGGTATTAGCAAAATGCCAAACATGCCAGTGAAGTAGTAGCTTACCGTTTGCACCAACGACGTGCAGACTAGGCACATCGATCATGTCGTCCTGTTCGTCGGCGAGGATAAGGCCACGGTTCGGGATAATCGGTGGCCATCCGGTCACGAACACGGCACACTTGATACGACGAGGGCGACCCTCTTCCCTCTCTCGTCGCTGCTCATCCAGGATAAACGTGGATGCAATCCCGGCACCTTCACTGTACCCGATGATGCCGCCGATCTCGGGGTCCTTCTCCAACTCCTCGTAGAGGTAGTCTATGACCTGCTCGTAATTGAGCCAGACCATCTCTCGATCTCCAATTAAATCCCGCATCACGTCCTCGGCATTGTCACCCACCGGGATCTGACGGACTCGGCTAATCATGGAATCCTCGGCAATTCCTCCATCATCCGCCCATCGGTAGTGTGGGCCGAGACCAAAGTACTCATCGAAACCTGGATACGAGGATGAGATATGTCCGCCACAATAATCAGACTGGAATCAAGTACCTTCAGGAGGGGTAATCGGCACCGGTGCATTAATGTAGTTGAACTTGATGTTGTCGGTGTCCAATTCCTGCCGCAGCGGTGCTGACGTAAGAGCGTCAATTGGGGGCATCGCTATAGTGTATTTCGGTCGACTTTACCTAGCTGGATAGTGATATTCTGCAGGAATTAGCATCATGGTCAGCCGCTACCGGATCCATTTCCACGTACATAGATGTTGCCAATGGCACCGTGAAGACACAGGAAATGCATGGTTGTCTTGGCGCTGGTTTTCCAAAGGTTGTACAAGGCCACCGCGGAGAAGCACAGAGAAAGATTAAATAGCAGGAATGAATAGGGGAGGGAAAAAGCTGATCTTGGGATAATTCTTCCTTTCGTCCATTAAATGGGCGTCTTCCTCCGCATCCATGTGATCGACAGGCTCCACTTGACCCACAGGGCATTGAAGCCAGAGTGGGTTGCCAGTGTACAATTTAGACGTAAAGTTGGTGGAGCCGGTCCCTGAATTTGTGTCTAACCTAAGTGGGCAGCACCGCAGGTCAAAGTTTCAGTCCCCGGTCCAATGCCCATTCCTCGTTGCTTATCACTTCGGTAGGAATCATTTCTGAGAAAATAAAATTATTAAATTTATTAAAATTATTAATTATTTTCTTGAAAACAAAATTTATTGAACCGGGCAAGGATGGGCCGTTGATCCCTCCTCGAAGCAGGCTCCCTATTTAATCATTGAGACTGCGCTCGTTCCAGCGTCTTCTCATACTTCCCACCTTCTTTTTTTCTTCTCCCACCACACCACTCATTATGGATAGTACGACGAACGGCACACACAGCGAGCAATCCCCGCAACCAATTGCGATCATTGGATATGCCTGTCGACTATCGGGACATGTCGTCTCACCCGACGACTTATGGGAATTGTGTACTCGGGGTCGGAGCGGCTGGGCCCCGATTCCTAAGGACCGCTTCTCCCACGGTGCCTACCATCATCCCAATCCCTCCAAGCCCGGCACCTTCAATCCCGCCGGTGGTTACTTTCTAGATGAAGATGTTTCCCGATTTGACGCCCCCTTCTTCAACGTCACCGTCCAGGAAGCCGTGTCCATGGACCCCCAACAGCGTCTCCTGCTCGAGACCTCCTACGAAGCTTTGGAAAGCGCCGGCATTCCCAAAGAGTCTCTTTCGGGCCGCAACGTGGGTGTGTTTGTCGGCGGTAACTTTTCCGACTACGAGCTCAATAATTTGCGCGACATCGACACTACACCGCCCTTCCAGGCTACAGGCAATGCGCCTTCCATGCAATCAAATCGAATTTCTTACTACTTTAATCTCTCGGGTCCGAGTTTCACCGTCGATACGGCCTGCTCGTCTTCTCTGGTTGCCCTTCATTATGCCGTGCAGAGCTTGCGAAGCGGCGAGTCCAGCGAGGCGCTGGTTGGTGGGTGCAGATTGAATATTCTTCCTGATTATTTTGTTTCCATGTCTACGTCACAGTGAGTACTCGTTTTTATACCGGAGAAAAGCGAAATGATGACTAATGTAATCCAGACTGTTCAACGACGACGGCAAGACATATTCCTTCGACGAGAGAGCAAAATCCGGCTTTGCACGAGGCGAAGGTGCAGGCGTGGTGATGCTTAAGCCGCTCGACGCTGCGCTGCGCGATAAAGATCCTATTCGAGCCATAATTGCCAATTCGGGTGTCAACCAAGACGGAAGAACGAAGGGTATTACATTGCCAAATGAGCACGCGCAGGAGGAATTGATTAAACGCGTTTATAAAGACGCCTACATGAACCCAGAGGATTGCGGATATGCAGAAATGCACGGAACTGGAACCAAGGCCGGTGACCCGATTGAATCGCGCGCCGTGCACCGGGCTCTAGGTGGAGGTCGCACGCCCAGGAACCCCCTCTATATTGGATCTGTCAAATCCAATGTGGGCCACCTGGAAGGTGCCAGTGGTATCGCCTCCATCATTAAGGCTGCCATGATCCTTGAAAAAGGGCTCCTGTTGCCGAATTGTGACTTCAAGAAGCCAAACCCTAATATCCCTCTGAACGAATGGAACATGAAGGTGGTCACCTCGACAAGACCCTTCCCTCGCGGCAAGAAATATGTCAGTGTCTCCAACTACGGTTTTGGAGGTACCAACGCCCACGTCGTGCTCGAAAAGCCGCCTCCACCTCCTACATCAGAAGATAATCCGGAGGGAGATGGAGATCCCAAGCGCCGGTTGTTCTTGATCTCGGCTGCCGACAAGGAATCCTTAAAGACCAGGATTAAGGACTTTGGTGTCTATTTCGAACAGCATCCCGAGGTCTTTGAGTTTTCCCTCTTTGGAAACTTCTGCTACAGTACTGGAAGCAAAATGTCTCAGCTTGCATATCGTGTTGCTGTTTCTGCCACCTCGCTGGATGATCTTGGAATGCGTCTTGCACAGCTGAAGATCAACCCGGCCCGAGTACTGGGAGCTCCCAAGATCTCCTGGGTATTCACCGGACAGGGTGCTCAATGGGCTCAGATGGGTATCCCGCTCATGGACGAGTATCCGGTCTTCGCATCCGCCATGAAGCGGGCTGACCAGCACTTACGCGATCTCGGCGCGGACTTCTCCCTCCTCGAGGTACTCCAGAAGGAGGCTTCTGAATCCCAGATTAACTCGCCTCACCTCAGCCAGCCGGCCTGCACTGCCCTCCAGGTTGCCCTGACTGACTTGCTCCGTTCTTGGGGCATAAAGCCCGATTCCGTCGTGGGTCACAGCTCCGGTGAGATTGGGGCTGCTTATGCTGCCGGTATCTATGATCTGGAAGCTGCTATGACGCTTGCGTACCGCCGTGGTCAAATGACTTCTCTGCTGAAGAGTTCATACCCGGACCTGCATGGAACCATGATGGCCGTTGGTGCAAGCCCAGAGGAGATAAAGCCGATGCTGAAGCTCCTCAAGGCGTATGCCACTATTGCTTGCGTGAACAGTCCCTCCAGTGTTACCGTTTCTGGAGACGTCGATGCCATCTCCGAGCTCGAAGTCGTGCTGAATGAGAAGTCTCTCTTCAACCGTCGTCTCAAGATCGATGTGGCCTACCATTCCGACCATATGAAGAACGTCGCCGAGGCGTACCTCAATGCCATTGAAGCTATCAAGCCTGCAACTACCGGAACAGCTACTTTCTTCTCGTCGGTCACTGGTGAGATAGCTGAGCCGGCTGACTTGGGCCCCGCATACTGGGTACAAAACTTGACATCCACCGTTCTGTTCGCCAATGCCCTTGGCAAGATGTGCGCCGACGACGAGTCGCGGCCAAATATGCTCATGGAACTGGGCCCACACTCTGCTTTGAAGGGTCCCATTTTGGACACCCTGAAGGGTGTTGGCCCTTCTGCCTCCAAGATCGGCTACGCTCCCACAGTCGTCCGCAATGTCGAGCCCTCGCAGTCCGTTCTGGATGCTGCTGGAGGTGCATACGTGCGTGGTGCAGACCTCGACATGAAAGAGGTCAATTTCCCCAACAGCAAAGGCAAGAACCGCTCCTTCTTGCGCAATTTGCCTCGCTACCCTTGGCAGCACGGTACCCGTTACTGGCACCAATCTCGAATTGCCGATAAGCATTGCCACAGAGACGGTAAGCGGAATGATGTTCTGGGAACCATGGCTATGTACTCGAATGACTTGGAGCCTACATGGCGCAACATTGTCCGTCTTGACGACGTGCCTTGGCTTCGGGAGCACAAGATGCAGGGCATGAGCGTGTATCCCATGGCTGGCTACTTGGCCATGGCCACCGAAGCAGCACGGAGACGCGCAGAGACGCACGAGATGGCATTCTCCCAGTTCGAGTTCCGTGAGGTGAAAGTGGGTGCAGCTCTCGTGTTGACCGACGATGTCGACTCTGAGACTGTCATCACCCTTCGACCCTATGCGGAAGGTACTCGTGGTAACTCTGATATCTGGGATGAATTCCGCATCTGCTCGTGGAACACCAAGCGTGCTTGGACCGAGCACTGTACGGGTCTGGTTCGCGTCCGCGCCAACAAGACGCAACAGACCGCCGTCTCCAACGTCGCCGAGGCCGAGCTGAAGCGTATCGGTGCTCAGACGGAGAAGGTGATGGCCGCCGCTACCTACAGTATTGACATTCAGAACATGTACCAGGTCCTGTCTGAGGTCGGCGCCGGTTACGGAGCTTGCTTCCAGGGTCTGGAGAACTGCTTCTCTCACCCGCGCCACTCGCGTGCAGACCTTTACCTCCGCGACACGAAGGATGTTATGCCCAAGAATTTTGAGGCCCCGCTAACAATCCACCCGGTCTTCCTGGATGCGTTGCTGCACCTTGTCTGGCCCATTCTGGGTAAGGGTCGCATGGAACTCGACACTCTCTACATGCCTACCATGGTCAAGAACTTGATCATCAGCAACAACATCTCCACTGTTCCGGGTGAGTTCGTTAAGGCCTGGTGTAATGGTGGGCCCAGTCTGCCAACTCCCGAGCCTACCAAGTTCGACCTATGGGTTACTCCCCAGGATTCTACTGAGGTCTTGATCAACATGGAGGGCCTGATCATGACGCCTCTGAAGGAGACCGGTGGGGACCGCAATGGGAATGTCGCCGATCTGTGCTACAAGCTTGAGTGGCAGCCGCTTGCTGAGGCTGAGGCTGTTCTCAACGGAGAGAGCCAGGAGCCTAATGGTCATATGAATGGCCATGCTACGGAGCCCAACGGTGTTCATCTTACCAACGGCCATGCTACGAATGGAGAGCTTACCAATGGACATGTCACCAATGGAGAGCTTACCAATGGACATGCTACCAATGGAGAGCTTACCAACGGCCATGCTACCAACGGAGAGCTTACCAACGGTCATGCCACCAATGATGAACTTACTAACGGTTATGCCAACGGTGTTCACACTGAAGAGCTTTTGATCGTGCAATATGGCAAGCCTGACGGCACTGCAGACAAGCTGAGCGAGGCGATCTCCAATGAGACTGTCAACTGGAAGCCATCCATTTCCTCCATGGAGGAAACCGACTCCAGTGAGAAGCACGTCGTCGTTCTTCAAACCGGCATCCAGTCTCTGCGTGATCTCACCGTCGACACCTTCGCTAACATCAAGAAGACCCTGCTCAATTCTTCCCACCTTCTCTGGGTTTACCGTCTGGACAGCCCCGATGCCCAGATGATTGTCGGTCTCACCCGCAGTCTTCGCTCCGAGACTATGGCCAAGGTTGCCACACTGGGCCTTGAAACTGAGGATATTCAGAAGCCCACCGGCCCCATTCTGGCTGCGATCAACGCCTTGTGGCCCGCAGACGGCGAGAAGCCCTGCAATGACTTTGAGTTCCGTACCCATGGCTCAAAGCTTCTTGTCCCTCGTGTTTTGAACGACAGTGCTGCCAACTGCTTCGTTCACAATGAGACCCACGAGAAGACCATCTCGACTCAGCCATTCCACCAACCTGGTCGCCGTTTCAAGCTTGAGATTGCCAGTCTTGGTGCTCTTGACACGCTGTATTTCACCGATGACAATTTCGGCCCACTGGGTGATGACGACATCGAGATTGAAGTCATGGCAACTGGTCTCAACTTCAAGGATATCGTCGTCACAATGGGCCAGCTCGCTCAGCCGTGGATCGGTATCGAGTGCAGTGGGGTTGTGTCATCCATTGGCAAGAATGTCACCAGTCTCAAGGTCGGCCAGCGAGTCATGGCCCTGCCAGAGGGTGCCTACTCTACCTACGCGCGCTGCCGGGCTACCAGTGCGGCTCCCATTCCCGAGGACATGTCGTTCGAAGTTGGTGCTACCGTACCCGTCGTGTTCTGCACAGCTTACTACGCCCTCGTTGACCTCGGCCACCTCGAAGCCGGCGAGCGCGTTTTGATTCATGCCGGTGCAGGTGGTGTCGGCCAAGCAGCGATCATGCTGGCGCAGATGATCGGCGCCGAGATCTTTGTGACCGTCGGCAGCGTGGAGAAGAAGCACTTCCTCATGACGCAGTATGGTCTCCGCGACGACCATATCTTCTACTCTCGTGACTCTTCCTTTGCCCGTGGTATCAAGTGCGCCACTAACGGCGAGGGTGTCGATGTCGTGGTCAACTCTTTGGCTGGTGATCTTCTTCGTGAGACTTGGGAGACTCTTGCACCATTCGGACGGTTCATTGAGATTGGCAAAGCTGATATTACGAAAAATACCCGTCTGGACATGTTGCCGTTCGAGTATAATGTCAGCTTTGCATCTGTCGACTTGACCAAGGTTGCTCAGTACAAGCCTAAGCTGATGAAGCGTCTGCTCGACAACGTTCACCAGGTTATGTCCAAGGCTACCGTTTCCCCAATTCTGCCTCTGACTACCTACCGGATCTCCGAGCTTGAGAAGGCATTCCGTTCTTTGCAGACTGGGAAGGCGATGGGTAAGATTGTGGTCGTTCCTCACAAGGATGACCAGGTTAAGGTAAGATCAAATCTCTCTCAAGATTCCAGCTCAAGCTAACTCCCTCTAGGCCGTGGCAGCGAATGTTGGCTCTTCCATCCTCAAAGCCGATGCCTCCTACGTTCTAATCGGCGGAACCGGTGGCCTAGGCCGAAGCATGGCGAAATGGATGTCCTCCAAGGGCGCGCGAAACATTGTCCTCGTATCCCGCAGCGCATCGATCAACGACAAAGTGCAAGCCCTAATAGACGAACTTGCCGCCGACGGCACAACAATCAGCGTCAAAGCCTGCGACGTAAGCAGTGTGCAATCGGTCGACAACCTAGTCAACCAAGAAATGAAGGGCATGCCACCAATCCGCGGCGTCGTCCACGGCGCAATGGTCCTCCGCGACATGCTCTTCGAGAACATGACGCTAGACGACTTCCAAGCCGTGACATCCAGCAAAGTCGAAGGAGCCTGGAACCTGCACCACGCACTGCACGACTCACCGCTCGACTTCTTTATCGCGCTCTCCTCGGTGGCAGGTGTCATCGGAAACCGTGGACAAGCTGCCTACGCCGCTGCCAACGTCTTCCTCGACGGATTCATGGAGTACCGCCGCTCACAGGGTCTCCCTGGTACAACGATCGACCTAACAGCCGTCCGGGATGTCGGATATCTCGCCGAAGTGGACAGCAAGCGCCAACAAGAAGTGCTTAAGAACATCGGCACAGACGGCATGGAAGAAGCACAAGTCCTAGCCCTCTTCGCTGCTGCCATCACCGGCGACCTATCAAAATCATGTTCGGGCCAGTGCATCACCGGCCTCAGCCTCAACGATAGTCTGGACCACTTTTGGGCGCAGGACGCCAAGTTCAGCACTCTCTACGAGGCCGCCAAGGAGATTCACGGCAGCAGTCCCGGGTGCGACGGTCCCTCCCTGCCACTAAACGTGCAGCTCGCCAATGCTCCCTCCAAGGACGAGGCACTGGTCATCTGCTACGAAGCTCTCGCAGCGAAGTTGGCACAGGTCCTCGTTATCTCACTGGAGGACATGGATCCCGGCATCACTGTTGCGTCGCTGGGACTGGACTCATTGGTTGCCATTGAGATCCGGAACTGGATTGCGCGTGAGGCGAATGCAAATGTCCAGGTCTTGGAGCTGCTTTCCAGTGGTTCGCTGATGGCCCTGGCGGAGATCATTTTCAATAAGTCGTCGACTTGAATGTCTGTTTTGGTTTTCTTTTATGTTTAATTTCGGTGCCGGTTCCTCTGGCTCTGGTATATTCTTCTATTGTCTTTTTGATGCGAGCGGTACTTTGAAGGCAGTGATCTCGGTACTTTGAAGGCAGTGATCTCGGTACTTTGAAGGCAGTGATCTTAGGATGTTTTATAGAGGCGAGTGTTAAAGAGATGAGGACGGTTATAATAATAGAAATACAAAGAGTTTATGCGATATTCTTATACGGAAAATAAATAGATCATGTTAGCTTTGAGTGACTGCAGAGCGTAATAATCAGTTCATTTAAACTCGGATACCTAATATTACTGACGATGCCACGATCGAGCAAGTAGGTTGTCTTGTAGACTCGAGGGGTGGAGAAGAGAGGAGAGAGAAAGATATGAAGATGGTAAGCAATATTTATAAAGTTTCTCTCGTCGGTTTTAATACAGCTAGCGTCTAGCCCTGAGAAGTGATAGTAAAGAAAGAAGAAATTGCCATCCAACTTCCTAAGTGCAAGTGCCGTCGGGATAGTCGTCGTGCCGGTTCAGTTGCGCGGGGCGAGTATTACTCAGGGCAAGCCGGTGGTGATATATGATATACCAGGTATCCTACTTTTGAACTACGTGTCGAAACCACCTCGAACACCATCCTCGGACATGCCACCATAGAGACGGAAGCATCGCCAGAGTCCGCTGTCGTCAGCTTCCCAAAACGACGATGTCAAGACGATCAGCTAATCCCGTTTCGGCGACTCCCTCCTTTTTTTCCTCACCACGAAACTCAACACGCAACTTTCCAATGCTGCTCTCACGTCAATTGTCCGGAGCCTTCTCCAAGTCGTTCAAGTCCAACTCTCTGCTCGCACGATCGTCGGGACCCCACCGCCTCTCGTCCAACTCCAGCCACCCCCAACGCCCCTCCTCCGCCCCTCAAAACACCCGCAACCAGTTCAAGGTTGTCCCCATCCTCATCCTCATCGCCATCAGCTCCGGCTCCTACGCTCTCCTCGTCAAGTCGCGCACCGGCCAGTCCCAGCGTCCCGCCAACTAGACCGCAGTAGCCTCCAGCTCTACATAACCCCTCCAATCCCAACCCCCGTCAATCCAAAATGGCCACCACCGAAACCCCCCGCTTCTCCACCAACGACGTGACGGTCGTCTTCTTCCTCGGCGGCCCCGGCTCCGGCAAGGGCACCCAGTCCGCAAACCTGGTCCGCGACTACGGCTTCGTGCACCTGTCCGCGGGCGACCTCCTGCGCGCCGAACAAGTCCGCGAAGGAAGCCAATACGGCGCCATGATCAAGGAGTACATCACCGAGGGCAAGATCGTGCCCATGGAGGTGACCGTCGCCCTGCTCTCCAACGCCATGGCCGACGAGCTGGCCAAGAACCCTCCCTCCGGCACCAAGGCGCGCTTCCTGATCGATGGGTTCCCGCGGAAGCTGGACCAGGCGGTTTTCTTCGAGAAGACCGTGTGTCCGTCTGAGCTGGTCCTGTTCCTTGATTGTCCCGAGGAGGTGATGGAGAAGAGGTTGCTGAAGCGGGGTGAGACGAGCGGACGAGATGATGATAATGAGGAGTCGATTCGCAAGCGCTTTAGGACTTTCGTGGAGACTTCCATGCCCGTTGTTGACGATTTCGAGAAAAAGGGCAAGGTTGTCAAGGTTCAGGCTACTGGGTCTGTTGAGGATGTCTTTGCGCAGGTCAAGGCTGGTATTGAGGCTCGTGGTTTGCACCCCGTTGCGTAAATGTTGGTTGGTAACATCTGTGGGGTGGCAATTTGGTGCTGTTATATATAGCTTGAGGTATTTAGATTCAATAGATGTGTCCATGTTTATTTGTTTCCCACTTGTGGTCTCGAGGTTGTCGCCGTAAACATCCAGGGCTTTGGAATTGAATCACCTTGCGTCTGAGATACTGGACTGCCCGGGTGTCTTACTTGTGCCGGTCTACTGTTACACTGACAAAGGTCTAGAAGATATTTGATATTCTTGATCGGACATGAAAAGTGTGTCCCTCCAGGAAACATAAACAAGACTTGAAAAAACACAGGCATGACTCGTGGGGGTCCCAAACTCAACGGGGGAGGAGACCAGTATTTCCATCCCTACAAACTGGCCAGACAAAAAAAAAGAAAATTGTAGAAATGCATGAGGAAGAAGACAGGCTCTCCCCTCTATTAGCGGAAAGAAAAAAGAATTTTTTGTGTTCTGAGATTTCCATTCAAACCTCGTAAAACACCTATTCCATGCAGTTCAACCGGATTTACTCGCCGCTAACCTCAACCTCACGAGGTTGCGAGGTCTGAGGACGTCTCCGGTCTCCAGCGCGTGCCTTGTCGCCGGTCTTGGCCTCCTGGTCAGCGGCGGACTGGATGCCCTCGCGGACGAAGCGCTCGCGCTCGGAGCGGATGACGGTCAGAACACCCTCCAGAGAGCGGCGCCAGACCATCAGACGGCCCTGGACCTCGGCCCACTGCTTCTCGCCGAATACACGATAGGTGGCGCGGTGGACAAGGAACTCGGAGCGCAGCTGCGAGAGCTTGCCCTCGACCAGACCGGCGCGGATGGTGTCAATGACCCACATCTCAACGTCGGAGGCGGGGACACGCAGGGCGGAGGCAATGGTGGCGTAGGGGAGCGAGCGCGAGGGGGTGGAAGCCGCCAGAGATGTGAGGGTCAGGAGACGCATCTTGGTCTGCAGAGCATCGGCGGCCTCGGCGAGCACGCCGCCGGAGATCGAAGCGAGAGGGGTGGAGCCAATGAAGGCCTCGTAAGCGTCGAGGGTGTCGGAGGTGAAGATCTCCAGCAGCTCAAAGAGCGAGCTGTCGCTGGAGCGGAGCGACTGCACGGCATCGGAGGCAGTCAAAGGAGTGAAGTCGAAGACGGCAGGACGGCGCAGCGCAGAAGCGAGAGCGCGGACAGCCAGGTCGCGAGCGGCGGGCTTGGAGGAGTCGGCCGCGGGGATAGTCTGGAGGGCTTGGATAACGTGCGACTGGGCCAGGTCGTCATCACCGGCCGCGGTGGCCGCATCGGCGATCGCCAAGTGCAACTTCTGGGACTCCTCGTCGTCCAACTCCCACGCCGACAACCATGTGGGCAGCTGCGTTGCCAGCTGGGGTTTCAATGCCTCAAAGGCGTATCCCGATCCAGACTGGCGGATGACTGCGACAATGGCCAGGAGAACGTGGTAACGGCTGGAATCGTTGGTGGACAGAGTGTTGAAGATGGTGGTGAGGATGGAGATGGCCAGAGTAGGGCCGAATTGGGGCGAGGTGGTGATGGGCTTAGCGAGGTAGGTGCAAATGCGAGGAAGGAAAACGTCCGCGTCGGAGGACTGGTGGATAAGGTGGACGAGCAGGTTGTAGGAGGGGGTGATTTCTGCAATTTTTCAATCGAAATTAGTCCTCGGTGTCCACGAAAAAAAGACGGCATCCGAGTCGATATTCGCGAATATCTTTTTTTCTCGTTGGCCGCATATCTCGTCAATTCTTCCACTCACCCTTCTCGGGGGCACCGTTCAGGGCAGTCGCAGCCCCGACGAGCTTCTTCAGAACCTCATCGCGCTGCTTGAGGTCGGGCTCGCCCTCGGATTGTTCCTGCTGGCGGATCGGCTGGAGGAGCGGGGCGATCTCGGACTGGAGGGTCTCCTCTTTGCGGAGGGAGTCGACGTACTGGGCGAACTCCTCGGCGAGCTCGGAAAACGAACCCTCGATGAGGAGGGTGTTGGTCGGAGCGGGCATGATGTGTGGTGTGGGAGGAGAAGGGGGGGGGGAAGGAAGAGAGGTTCTTTGACGGTGGAGTCTATCGATAAGTTGAGAAATTTCAGTGTGTGCTACCAAAAAGTCTTGGCGAAGGGAACACCACTTCCCGCACTGTTGACCGCGTCCAGACTCGCCATTCTCGACAATTCGGACAAATTTCTGCGACTACATCTAATACGTGATACGCAAGGTCTGACCGATCAGTTTTTTGGTATTATTAGACGGTCAGATGCCGTCGCCGGCGCAGACACTCCATGCTCCGCTAAGTGAAAAGGAAGGACAGGCACCACATAGATAAGTGGATAAAATCAACGCAAGCTGGAAGCTTTCAAGAACGGGGAATCAAGAGTTCGGGAACTGAGAAAACAATCGCAATCATGCTGAGGGAGGGTAATAGGACAATAAACCGCAACGCAAAACCGCAACGCAAGACCAATTCCGGGTGTCAAATGCTCGTTTACAGGAACATGCGAGCAGCCAGGAACATGGCACCGGCCATGATACCGGTCGAGTAGCCCTCGCCAACAGTGATGGCGGCGTTCTTGGTGGTGCTCTCCGCAGCCACAGAGGACGTGCTGCTGGTCTGGCTGGACGTGGTAGAAGTGGTCATGGTCATAGTGCTGGTGGCCGAAGTGGAGGAAGAAGAAGACACCAGGGCAGTGGCGTTCTTAGTTCCACACTGAGCAGCATCCTTGCAAGCCGTCTGTCCCTCGGCGTCGTTGGGGTGAGCGTCGATGCACTGGCCGTAGGTGGCCTGGCAGACGTAGAAGGGGACGGTCTGCATGTACTGGCTGGAGTCGGGAACGGTACCGTTACTGCACGTGCACTGGAATTGCAGAGTGGTCTGGAATTGGAGCTGTTAGTAGGCTTCAATGATTCAGAAAGGGCAAAACACGTACAGGATCGCAGGAGTTGGCCGAGGTCGAACCATCGCACATATCCGGGCAGACGTTTCGCTGACCCTGGCACCACGAGTTCAGCTGATCCGGCTTCACCAGGCCAATGTTGAAGTCTGAAGGGAAGGTGTAGCTGCTCGAGTTGCTGGCACCCAGAGCCGAGGCAGCCAGGGTGGAGAGGAGCACGATGGAGGAGTACATGGTGATTGATATTACGGGAGATAGTACAAGGTGTGGCGGAAGAGAGGAACAAGAGCGAGAGTAACAAGAACAAGAGTTGGGGAAGAAGAATGGCAAGCACGTTTCGCCAGAACAAGGTCATAAATAATGGGAGGTGCCAAGGTGGCCGATCCTTGGCAATGCATACCAGCGAAAGGCTAGTTTTGCCGTCCGAGGGGCTTTCAAGCGAATGCAACATTCGTACCCGGTTATCGTCCCCCAATTGGAGCAGCCCCCTACGCTGATCTCCACACGTCAAAGGCCGAACAGGACGGAAGAGATCCACCCGTTGTACAGGCCATTGCTTCTGTCCTTCCTTCCCTGCTACTCCACCGTATCCCCATACAGCGGCGAGCCACTCTTGCTGCAATTGTTTATGGCGCATTCCATTCCGGATTCCTATCGGCCAACACTGCACCCACCTCCTTGCGCCTGTCATCTCGATCACATACCCGAGTGAGACTACGTCTGTGCAACCCCTGAACCCGGACACCCGGGATCGGAGATAGCTCATTACTATATCTTTACGCTTCTACCCCCATGATCTAGATGCCAATCTTGATATCTCGTCGAGTCCCCGGCCCTCGATATATGTATCCCTCACGTGATGGTATCGGTATACCCGATCCGCACAGCCGAGGTCCGTACGGGTATCGTAGACAATTGAAATAAAGTTGGCGGGTCCGATAACGCCGTCGCAGAAACAACTCCCCTTACTCACAACTCACTAGCAACCGCCAAAATCAAACAATGGCTGAAACGGGCCCGGCCATCGAGCACTTCCGCTCCAACCAATGGGCCAACAACCTCATCTCCTCCGAAGACTACACCCCCATCCCAACAGACTCCCGCCGCTTCAAGCCCTCCTCCGGCGAAGATGGCTTCTTCGCCCGCACTCTGGCAACGCCCACCACGATACCACACGTGCTGACTCTCCAACGGCGCAACATCGCTCCGCCGCATTCTGAACCGCCCACCTGGCTCCCCGCAACCAAGCAAGATGCCGCGAATGGAAAGCCGACACCCAGCGCAACTCCAGCGGACATCATTATGATCTATGACCTCGCCAGTCCCGGTCTTTCGGGGCACCCGTCCACCGTGCATGGCGGCATCGTCGCGACCCTCATCGACGAGGCAATGTCTCTCGCCGTTGCGGCTCATACCTCGACGTCGGGTTCCGCCACTTCGGATGATAATCCCCGCGGGAGTATCTTTACCATGCAGCTGGATGTGCGGTACCGTAAGCGCGTGACTAACCCCGCGTTGCTGGTCATTAGGTCAAAGGTTATTGGGCGCGTTGGGAGGAAGTTCTGGGTTAGGGCGCAGGCGCTGCAGGAGGATGAGGAGGGTGCCGGTGGACATCTTGAGTGGGTGAAGAGGAAGGTTGTTAAGGCCGATGCTATGGCTTTCTGGGTTGTCACGCCTGATGAGAAGCTGTGAAGAAGGGGAGACGTTGGAGTGGGACTGCAATTGTACATACACATACACGGAGCTCGATTTGTACATATAAGTCATCTGATAAAGAACTATCTAAAGACATCTCAAAAGATCTTTTACAAGCTACTATCCAACTTTTGTCAAAACTCTCTCCGAGTTCTTATATGTACAGATCTATAATTGATCTAAATGTATCAACGTGTACATCTAACCGTCACAATCGGCTTTCCCACCTTCCAAGGTAAAATCTACAACTTCTCCATCTTCCTCGTCCCAACATTCCTCGCCGCACTAACAACCAACCCAACCTGCGTACTAAGCGCAATAACCTCCCCGTCCTGGTCAAGGATCGTAACATCCAAATCCGTCCTGCCATCCCGAACAACCTTCGTCACGATCCGACTATACAACCACTGCACCCCCTCCGCCGGCAAGTGCTTCTTCATATCAATATTCAACGTCACCGTTGGATACCAGAATTTCGCCTTATTGTCCGGCACTTCCTTCCCTGCTTCTTTCGCCGCTGCCGTCGCTGACATGGTATCGAATCCGTCTAGCGCCATGGGGAACATATCAGTCAGGTAGACCACTGCCGCGTCGGTCCATCTTGCGTTCGCGTCTCCGTTGGGTCTGAATCGTGCCCATTGGTCGATTGCCATTGACCCGTTGCGCTGTTGCTGCGTTTCGCCCGTCCCGGTTCCATACAGCTCCAGTTGTGCTGCCGCGCGACGGAACTCCGGGAATGGGGGGTCGAGTTTGGTCCAGGCTCCGTCGCGGCCTGTGCGAGCTAGCGCCTCGAAGTCGATCTTGCCATTCGCCTGAGAGCCGGGTGGTGGTGCGGGGAGTAGGGTGAACCCCGTCGGCGCGCTGATGCCGACTTCGGCGGTTGGAGGGCTAACGGTAATGTAGCCGGCGACTTTGACTTCGAGTTTGTCTGGTTGCTTTTCGGAGGGTTGGAGCAGCTTAATGTGGATTGTGCTTGTGCGCAGACCGATCTTGACATCTTCTACTTCCAGTGTTGCGGGGCCAGCGCCCGTTCGCCGGAGGAAGGAGAGTTGGAGTGAGATCGGCGAGGCCGGTGAGTCGTATTGCTTTGGGTGGGCGTGTGCAAAGTGCGTTAGGGCGAGTTTGTAGAGGACTGCCGTTGTGTAGCCGCCGTGGGGGACTATGGAGAGTGTTAGTTTTTATGTTGTTTGGGAGAAGGCTGGTGGAGGCAAGTTTACCAGTTCCAATGCACCATTCAGGGCGCAGATTTGCGCTATACTTGTTCTTGCCTTGCGGGGTGACCCGGATGGCATCCTCGAAGGATTGATTGATGACTGTCATGGTGGATGTGTGAGGAGAAGAACCGGGGAACCTGTTGGAGAGTTATATACTGGCCTCCCCGCCCGCCGCACCTCTGTCGGCGAACCTCGGTTCCCCGGTGGTTACCCACGCCGTCGAACTACCGAGCTGAGTAATCGTTCATCAAAGGTTACCGACCCTGCAGAAGCGAAGATTCAGGTACATACTCGTGATCTCCATCACCCTTGGCTGTAAAATGTAGTTACTAGGAAGTATGTACGGGGTAGCTGGTCGCCATTTCAATGTATGTATTTCAATGCTTCTGGCCATCTACGCGATTTTACAAGCCAACCGAAAAATATATCGCTCTAAGAAACTCCAATCCTCTTACTATCAGTCATAGCTCATCGTGTGTCAATCTCATGACAGCTTCACCATCCGGTTGAATGGTCGGCGATTACCGCACCGGCAGAGTGGTTGTCTCCGACCGGGCAGCGAGCTGCTGCAGGCAAGACAAAACACCTGGGGATAGTTAGAAGAGGTCAGACATGGTAGATGAAGTAACTTACCTGTCACTCCTTGCGTCAATGTAGCTTTTGCCTCGGTGCTACGCGATCCCAAAGTAACTGTCATCGCGTAGTCGATTCCCTTTGCTTTCTGTAGTTTGTTCGCCCAGCGGAACACTGGCTCGTCTTCACGGTTGTCCCCAATGATCAGTAAAAAGTCCGGCTTGGAAATGCCCTTTTCATTGCCTTGCTTTTCCAAGCACCACCGCCAGACTAGCTCTGCTGCCGATGCCTTGTTGGTATTGGCTGTTTCAACGACTAGGGCGCCCTCGATGGGGATGGCGTGGATACCCTGACTGGCGCAGGAGTCATTGATATGGTCTGCACACTCAGCAGCGAGTCGGCCGGCGCTAGGTCGGTCCTCGGCTGATCCGTAGTGGAAGACAAGCGAGCAGTGACGCTCTTCAATCCAACTTCCGTCGCAACGTTCCTTGAAGTAGGCCAGGATGTGAGAGACGGATACCTTCCAGTTTTCTACGTGTGCTTTATCGGCGAGGTGAGTCCATTCGTCTGACTGGGGATCACGAACGAAACACCCATTTTCGGCAATGAGGCCCAGATTGTTGACTCGGCGGAATAGACGTTCCATCTCCTCTGGCATGCGCGAGCTCATCACGTAGACGGTGTTGTTAGGGTCGTCGGTTAGTTCCGTGAGAGTCGTGATTGCGCGCTGGGGGGTGGTTAGGATTATGCTGCGCGGAGATCCCCACGAAGCAAGAGTGCCCTCGTAGTCCACTATCATGACTCTGCGCTTCGATTGTCGATACTGTTCGACAAGTCGAGGCACAGAAAGTCGGGGTACAGCCATGATCTCCCGCGATGACTGCTCATTCCACACACGGGTCAGAGTCTCGTTAAAGGATTTGACCCAGTTGCCAGTTGAGTTTTGAAGGACTGCGCGATGCATCGCCTCCCAAACTTCCTTCCGTTCCTTCTCATCTCGTGTCAAAGCCGTGAGTATCGCTTTGGCGCACTGGCGATAGTCCCAGGGATTGACGAGAAGCGCATGGTCTCCGAAAACAGACGCACTACCAGTGAATTCGCTCAGAATGAGGGATCCGTACATCTTGATCCCGTAGCTACCGTCCTGGCAGTACACAAACTCATGGCTGGTCAGGTTCATCCCTTCGCGAAGACTGGTGATCATCAAAGCATCCGCCACCGTGATGAGAGCGAGATATTGCGGGAATGCCAGATCCTGCTTGAGGAAAACCAGAGGCTGATGAGCGAGAGTTGAATGGGTCGAGTTGATACGCATGGCAATATCGGAGATAGTTGCCTCCAACTCGGGCTGCTCCGTAGTGCTAGTCGCGACCTGGATCAAGACCACCTTGTCCGCCCAGTCGGGGTATGTGTTGAGAAACAGCTCATAACTCAAAAGCTTTTGGCGGATACCCCGCACCGAGTCGATCTTGTCGCGCGAGACAATCAATCGCTTGCCCATATACCGCTCAGAGATGGTATCGACCCATCGTTCCACATCTGAAGCCTTCCGGCGCTTGTCCCAAGACGTCGGGTCAATGCCGATTGGGAACGTTCCCACATTGATAAAGCGGTCCTCCATCTGGATCCCTTCGGGGGTAGCCTCCACACAGAGAATGCGACTGCAAGTTTGCAAGAAGTGTCGACAGTACTCAGAGGTTTGGAAACCGATCAGATTAGCTCCAAGTATACCCTCCAGAAGCTCTTTACGAGGAGCCAGACACTTGAAAACTTCCGAAGAAGGGAAAGCAATGTGTAAAAAGAAGCCAATCTGTGCATCCGGCAGCATCTTGCGGAGCATGGCCGGGACCAGCAGCAAATGATAATCCTGAACCCAAATCGCATCGCCCCGCTTCCAATGCTTAGCGATGCGCTCTGCAAAGGCTTGGTTGAGCTTCACGTAGTAAATCCACGAGTGATCCTCGTAGGCTTTGCTCTTGGGGTTGTCCGGGATCTGATAGTGGAAGACGGGCCAGAGGATGGTCTTGCAGAAGTGCGTATAGTGACCATCGAAGTCACCATCGTTGACAAACACCGTCAGCGAGTCATACTCGTCTTCCAGTCGCTCCGCAATTTCCATGCGCGTTTGCTGAGCCAGCGCATCCGTTGGCATGCCCATTGTTCCCACCCACACCATATCTTCCAAGTACCCCGCATCCTTGGACGAGCGGACGGCATTTCGCAAGCCGCCATTGCCTTGCTCTGCGGTCTCGATGGACCATTCAGCTCGAGAGAATGACACTTTGCGACTGAGAGGGTCGGGCTTTTTGATACCAAGGTATGGTGCAACTATCTCCTTGTCGGGGGTCTTCGCGGGGGACGCATCTTTGGGCGGGGGAACGGGGTCTTCGTGCTTGAGGATGGAAGGTGACATTGACACGGTCATTTGTGGTTTGGGTTGGTTGAGGGAGGTGGTCGCGCCCCATGCCGGGGAGTGGCCTTCACTTTCTGTGAGAAGTTGGTTCACAGCATCCTCCGCCGATGGAAATGGAAATCCCGGTTGGTCCAGCTCGGATCGGGGTGCGCTCCCCGTGAAAATGCGCTCATGGTCTGTAGTTGCACCAGGGGTGAGGCCTGGTTGGACTTGCGGATTGCTCTTCTCGAACAGACTGGCCGTGACATTGGGGACCGGAGGGGCGGTCTCGGTCACCGCATTAGCCTTCTGAGCGGTATCTTGGGTCGTCCGGTTACGTGCCCTTCCGACGTGGAAGTTGACGGTGTAGGGGAGAAAACTAAAAGTCCGATTAGCTGACCGGCTGGTCCTGAAGCCCTCGTAGTACTTACAGGGACGCGATGATGACAGTCATGATGCGAGGCCACCAAATGAGGGGCAGGCAAGAATTGAAGGGGAACTAGGCAACGAGGAAGCTCCCCGGGTTCAAACGAAGAGACAAGTGGACGGCAAACGGCTAACGAGTGGCAGGGCGAGGTTGGAAATAAAGCTCCTTGTGGTCAGAAAAAAGGTGATTGAGAAGATCTATTTCTCATGGCTACGTCATGTGAAGCTCGATCAGGTATCCCAAGTGGGTGGGCAGCCAAGGTCGATTGCGGTTGGAAAGAACAACGGGCGCGGTCATACGTTATATTCCTGCTTGTAAGACGTTGGTGCCTGCTTGCTGTAGAAAGCGCTTGTCAGAGAACGTGCCAGAATCATCGCTTTGAGCTGGTTGAAGATCTGGCGGTATTGAATCATCAACCCTGGTACGCAGTTCCGCTAGGTCTGTGCGGGCGGTATGTTTCCATACGGTAATACCAGTACCAATCTATGCGGAGTTCACTACAATTGGCGGAATCAGATATGCCCCAGGTCACATGATATGTTGATGAGGTAATACCATTGCCCTTGCCTTCTGCAACTCTCATTTTCCTCTCATTCTCGTGAGATATGAACCCGGCATGACCTTGCGTCTCACTTCAGCTCCATTTGCCGGTGTCAAAAAACGAAAATCCGCTGTCCCTCGGCCCCGTGCCTCGCCTTTCGCCAGCCATGCCCGCCGTAAACCAAGCTCGGCCGCATCCAGCGCCGTGAAGGCCGCTGATCTGGAGCTGGATGATCCTCTCCCTGATCTAGGCGGGTCACATTATATCTCAGAGACTGCGCCTGTCCAAAATGTGGTACAGGCGATTCAGTATATTCGAGCTAAGATGTTCGACGAGCTTCCGGCGCGCGCCGGAATGAACAGCACCCGCATCGCAGAGGTCTTGAACTTGCGCCGGTCATTACCCCCGCTCGCCTCCGTCGCACATGTTCATATGCTATTAGATGCACCGACACAAGTGGAACGGGAGATTGTCGATCTGGTTCAGACAGGTCGGGTCCGTCGCTTGATTATACCCGGGCGCGGTAATGATGCAGCCGGCCTGGGTGACTGCCTCGTCTTGGCCGAGGAGTGGGAGGAGCTTGTCCGGGGGAGCTCATCTTTGGATGGCGCGGTCAAGGGTGAGTTTTGTCAAGTCTAGTCAATGTGAGTACTGAGAACTGACACGGCGCAGAGAAATTCCTAGATATTCTCAACCGCATCGGAACATGCTCTGCCATTTCGCAGAGTGTCTTTACACCCGACGAGTATAGAGCGTTGCTCCGTGCCGGCTTTCTCGTCTCTTCCTCATCTTTCACACAGGGTTCCCTGAGCATTGCATCCCTTCCCAAGTTGCCCAATGCGACAACAGCGTCAGCAAGTCGGAGCGGGCCAGTGTCTTCTGATGCCGACCGATCCGTGCAAACCGATGCACAGGCTCGTGCGGCAACTCTATTCCTGTCACTCCCAAACACGGGGACGTATCTACGGCTGCTGGGGTCTGGCCGTGCCCACTTACTCGCACTCCTTCGACGATCTCACAGCGGCGAGGCTCCGCTCAACCTGCTGAAGGATCGCTGGGATGGAGCAGTAGAAACCGAAAAGAGCTTCCACTTGGCGAAAAGAGCGCGAGGAGAGTTTGCGGGCATTCTGCCGGGCAAAACCAAGAAGTGGAAGGAATTATATGGGATGCAGTTTCGCTGGGTCCTCGAGGAGGCACTGGGGGCCGGCCTCGTTGAAATATTTGAAACCGGCAGCGTGGGACCGGGGATTCGGTGCCTTTAGTATACCTAGCGAATCGATCTTACTATAGCCTCAATCTATCTGATAGTGATCAGCCCTCCCATTGGTGTCGTGTGTTCCCCGCTGATAATAGCTGAACAAAATAGATACTGTGGCTTGCACGTGGAAGGCGTAGATAATCCTCCAAATTTGGTATCTGCATATGCAGGTAGATCACGTCACCAGTCAGGGGCAATCGAATAACCCATCCAGTCATTCCAGTTGAATCGACACCTATGTGGGCGCTTGACGTAGTGTAACTCCGTCGAGGACTAAGCTCTGCCGATCTCCACCGAAGCTTCTCCAGAGCTTCCCGCTGTCTCCAGAACGTCTGCATGTCAACACCTCTCTCCAGAATGCCGTTCATCCAGCTTCAACCTCACCCATTCACTCTAATTCCATCACACCCCTCCCTCCCGACAGACTTATCCCGTTCAGAGCCAAAACAGTTCGTGCGCACCGCCCTCCGCGAAGCTGTCGAGCTTCTCGACTCCATCCCCTCCACATTCACGACAGACCCCAAACCCCGCGCTTCGCCACCCTCGCAAGCGAAGGTCAACCTTTTGCGCAGGTGGCATAACCTCGATAATAAGAAGCCTGAATTCTGGGTAGCTCGCCAAAGCGAACATGTCGACGCCAGCACTAAGGGGACTGCGTCCTGGAGTGAATTTGAAGCTGGGCTGAGGACTGACCATGCTGAACATGAGATGGACTATACTCCCAGTGTGAGCGGTGTTGAGAGATTACTGGAGTGGTCAGGACAAGATATAGGGGAAGTGGAACTAGATGGGGTCATCTACAAAGACGTGGTTTTCGAGAGTGCGTGCCATGATTCCCTCAAGACACCCAGAGACACATTTCCTAACATCTGCGCAGTCAATCTGATAACGCATTCATTCAACCCATCCGTCTTGATCTCTCCGCGCAGCTTCATCTCGCTGACCATCTCCGCCGCATACGATTCTCCCCCATCGCAACAACAAACCTCCACGAAAGGTTTCATCACCCTTCAAATACCCCTCCGCTCAGATCCCTCCACTACCCCATATTCATTGCAACAAAAGATTGCTTCGTCGGCTCCGCAACGAACCATCTTCGCCAACTATGCAAGCGTAGAGCGCGTCTCGCTTCTCCCTGCAGAACCCCGTTCCATCGAATGGACAATGGCAACGACATCCGATGCAGGCGGGTCGATTCCACAGTGGGTCCAACGCAATTGGACCCTGGGCGGGGTGCCGCGTGCTGTGGTGGCTGATGTCGGATTGTTTATCGGATGGACCATGCGTCGGCGGGGATCTTCTTAGTACATTTGCGGGTTCAAAACACGTTTACTTGAAATTGACTATAGCCGTACAATAAAAACAGTACATCTTACAGAATCTGCTTCAGAACAGCAGCACCTTGCAACGCAGCCGAAAGCCCCACTGCAAACGCATTGTCCTTGATGCCATTCTTAGCATACCAAGCTGAGCTAGTCCACAGGAGGACGTTGACGATGCCCGCCATAGCCTTATTCAGCGGGTCGCTCAGCGCAGAGGGATCGCGCGACCACTGGTAATGGAGAATCCCTGGGGAGATCTCGTATAAGCCACCATATAGCAAAATGGTAAAGAGTCCAGAGTACATACCCGTCAACAGGAAGAAAGCACTCCCCTGATACCACCCCACAGTCCCACAGGCCCAGGATTTAGAGCCCTTGGTAGCAGTGAAGACCTTTTCAGCCGTCCATTTCTTGCCGCCAATCTATAGTTATCGCCAGCATTAGCCACATCCGGAGAATATTTCCAAGTCCATAGGAACCGGGGTCATACCGTGTGTCCGATGGAGAGGAGCACGAAGGAGAGGGCGGATGCTTGCAGGGAGCGAGACATTGTGACCTTGTTTCACGTGGGGTTACAGATGTATCTATTGGAGATATACGTAGAGTTTCAGCGGTGTGATATGGGGTGGCACGGTGCATATAATGCTGCGGTAGCCTCGGTCCAATTTTGGGTTGGGTGGAGGTGAGTCCCGAGGTCCCCCACTTGGGATTCACAGGCTCATGATTACATCACTCTACTTACTTGCATGTAACGTGTTAGTGATTTTGATTGAGTTTAGGCTTGGGTATTGGTATAAACATTCTGCCTGATACTTTGCGATATGTTTCTTCTGAGCAAGATGCGGAATTGGTCTGAATGATAGCTCCTAGGATGCTTTGCTGTCATCGAGTGGAAGTGCTCAATAGGCTGGCATTATTCTTACCGGGCCACAAAAGTATTAACTCATCTGGTAGGTAACAAGTTCGCAGGTGAAAATTGACGAGACAAGAGGAAAAGAATGTAGGAACGAAATATAACAAAACCAAAAAAGGAATATGAAACGTCAGCTACATGATTCGAACATGTGCGGGCGAACCCAATGCATTTCCGGATTGTGCACAATCCAGTAGATAATTCTAGTGCATCGCCTTAACCACTCGGCCAAACTGACAGTTGATAAATACAAATCCTTTATTTGGTTTACAAAGGGGCTACTTTCAACAATACAATCATTTCAATAAAATACATTTCTTTCGGTAGAGAGCGAAGACAGTAAGCACCCTACCTAGCACACAACCAAGGAGTCAAATCGATAAAGTTTGGATATTTGACGAATTACCCACCGCAAAAAAAAAAATTGTATTCAGGAAGTGGGGATCAAAAATCCTATAACGCAAAAAAGGAATATGAAACGTCAGCTACATGATTCGAACATGTGCGGGCGAACCCAATGCATTTCCAGATTGTGAACAATCTAGTAGAGAATTCTAGTGCATCGCCTTAACCACTCGGCCAAACTGACAGATGAATGAAGTTTATTGTCGAATTTGCCATTATGAGCCTGGACACAAATTAGAAGCTTGACGCTCCGCCGGTGATTCTGCCTGGCTTCTTACCTACTGGTTTCAACATTGTTCCAATGTTGGTTTTTAAAAAATCAAATTATCAAACTCGCGTTATATATACCCTGGACCGATATTGGAAATGACCTAGGTGATTAACCTTGGAATGCTTTATTGCCGAGGTAAGTTCTGACTAGACCAGGTCTAACAACAAAGGCCTGGCTATACTCAGGTACTACAGGGCTGCATAGATAGGTCAATTGACACTGATTGTTCTATGATTCCAACACCATAGGTAGGTTCTACTTTCATCACGCTTTGCCTCCCGAGGTCCTCCAGGTCAACTCCATATATGCACATTCACTTGCTTACTGATTCCAGAATTGCTTGGTCAAGCATAGGGTATATATTATCACTACCTAGTTGGAATAACTCAACAAAGAAAAAAGAGAACTCCCAATGTCGTCCCATGCATCGCGTGAATGCTCTCCAAAACCATAAATATAAGAAATAAGGAAAACGATTCGGTCACGGTGTCCAACTGTCACTGCAATACAACAGCGAATAGATACCCAGTAACCAAAGGGTAAAAGTATAAAAGTAAAAAAGACCAAACTGAGCCATATCCAGTTTTGGGACGCCAAACTCCTGCCGAGCCAGGGAGAAAGAAACAAGAAACACCTTGCAATCCAAGGCGAAACGGAGAAAAAGATGATAAGGAAAGGCTGTAACAAAACCGGAAAACTAAAAGGCCCCACGGCCCTAGAACCCCAGAGATAGAAAAATAGTGCAAGAAAATAATTAGCCACCAACGCCGGCGGTTGTCGGGACGGTGATCATGAGGGGCATAAAGGTTCGACCCTTTTCAAGGATTCAAAACGTATCAACAGAAGGAGAGAGAAGGGCAGGGATGAGCAATTCCGCAACGGGCAGAATGACCCATATAGTACACACCAAATAAACAGGACAGGGGTATTACCGCGATCCTGAGGTTTGGTTCACTTCGACGGGCGCTGGTGCCGTCGTTGTATTCGTCGATGCAATGTGTGCGCGCAGGGCCGCGATTTCGGTCCGTAGACCCGCCATCTCTTCGTGCATCGATCGAACGTACGCCCAGAGCTTGTCGATCTGATTGGCATCACCCCCCGATACTTCGTGCCCCTCCGGTCCTATCTTCGGGGCGGGCAGGCTGTGGGTGCTCGAGTGGCTATGCGATGCGGAGTGTTTGGCAGAAGCCTGGAGACCGAAGCGGGCATCGGGTGAGCTGATAATAGGCGGGGGAAGCTGAGGTGCGCCTGGCTGCGGAGGTGGCAGACCCAGGCTCGGTGGAGCGTGATTTGATCCGGATCCTGTCCGTACAAATGGTGGTGGATGAGGCAATGTTTGGCCCATGCCCGGGGAGTGTGCGCGGTGGGGCTGTGCGCCATCGTGATGAGACAGTGCATTCGGGGACAGCGGCCTAGGACTGTCACTGACATTGGTGGGTGTGAAGAGTGACGAGCCAGATGGGTGTCCCGCCGGTGGGAAGGTCAAGTTGGCGGGCTGCGACGAGGCCGTTGTCGAGGATATTGATCCACCATGCGTGCCCGGAGGTGGGAAAAGACCCCGGCCGGCGGCAATCGGTGGGTAAGTGCTAGGTTGACGATGGGTATGAAGAGTATCAGAGCGGGGTAGGTGGTCGGCCTCGTGCTTGCGGACGCTCGGCATTAGGCGTCGCTCGTCATCCTCATCCATGCGCTCCGGCTCCGCGTATACCAACCCATCCATGGCGTCATCAGGATGATGACCGTCTCCGTACTCATCATCCGGTGCAAAGCTCCCCATGCTAGACCGCCGGCCGGCACATCCACCCTGCCCCTTGTTGTGTCGCGCAAGGGCATCGCCACGAGCAAAACGTCGTCCGCACTTGGGACAAATATGAGGCCGTTCACCGGTGTGAAGCTTCGTATGTCGTTTCAAGTCGTGGAGTCGGCGGAAACGAGACTGGCAGGTTTGACAGACAAAAGGCTTTTCTTGACTGTGCGTGAGTAGATGGCTCTTGAGATTATGTTGCCTGGTGAATTCGGTAGCGCAATAGGGGCAGCGATGTTTCTTTGCGGAGGGGGATCGCGGGCTGCCTCGGTTGTAGCCCGCGTTGGGCAGGCTGAGGCCGCGACGAGGGTCACTGGTGCCACCGGTGGGCATGGGATAGGAAAAGGCCTTGTTGCTATCTTGGTCGATCTCCGAACCCGCCCGCGCTCGAGATCGGTCTCCATCCTGAGAAGCAGACTCTTCGATGGGGCCTGGACTCGCGACCGTCGAGGTGTGAATAAGTGAGTTTTGGTTGTGATCGGTCGAGGCGTAGGGATCGGATGATGTGCCATTATGGTGGGCGTCGACGTGCATTTGTTCCGGGGACGCATGGACCGACGGCTCGTGGAGGGAAGGGCCCGGCGACTTCTCGCTGGCGCCCAATGCTTCACGGGCAACCCGTGAGCTATTGCTTTCAGCTTCCCTGTCCTGCTCTACCGGTCGATCTGCCGGCATCGAAGCAGGACTCGTCATCTGAGGCGGATGGGATCGCGAGACGTGGAGACCGGCGCTGGCGATGGAGGTGAGATTGGATTCGGGTTTGGACTGTGACTTAAGGAACGGAAGATGTTCGGAAGCGACGGAGTTGGAAGCGATAGGGCTGGAGACGGCGACGGGCTCGTTATTGGAGTGCATCAATGCCGCCATGGAGGCAGAAGGTTTCGCGCCAGCCTCAACGGGTGGACGAACCAAGGCGATAGCTACTTGCGAGCTCATGTTAGAAAGGTGTCGGAATGCATGGAATGCAGAGCAGAGGCATGACGAACTTCAACCAGGGGACTAAGAGGCGAACGGGGGAAGATGCAAGAGAGAGAGGGAGAGAGGGCGGCGAAGTGCAGGGCGTGTGGGGCGTCTCTCAACTCACCTGGAAACCGAGTGTGGCGCAAGCTGACGAAGATGGTTTCAGCTTTCTTGCACTCCCGGAGCGATCCACTGTGGGCTTTGGATGCTTAGGCCTCGCGTCAAGATACCAATCGACGGAGTCGACGAGATTGGTTGAGAATCAATGGCGAGAATGGCGAGGGGCCATTAGGCATGGAAGTTTGGAACCGTGGCGGGTGTGCAGGAACGATGGGAATTGAGGATGAGCGAAAATGTAGACCAGTGAGTAACAGGTACTAGGAATACAGGGAAGACTGAAGTCTGCAGAAAGCAAAGCCAAAGCCAAAGCCAAAGCAAAAAAGGCCCAGAGAGAGCGGGCGGGAAAGAATGTAATGCGCCCGTACGAGACGAGGGTTGACGGCGTTGACGGTGGCCCACGGCGGGTATCGAGTCGGTCACGGTCGAGGCTCTTGGAAATGAACCCCGGATCATGTACCGGTACTTGGCCGCCCGCGCATGTGACGCGGTGACGCATGTACCTCTACCCGGCCCAGTGAGGCTGTGTAGCCCGCTAACGTGGCTGGTCTCCAGCACGAGGCTTCGATGCGCCCGTACTCAGGTCGCGCTTATACAGGTTTACAAACTTACAGGTTTCCGTGCAGAGGTGATGTCACCTCTGAACTCACCTTGGTTGCTTGGATGCGGCGATCCGGATGATCGACTCGAACCCACTGGTTCGTCCGTGGACCGTGACCGTGAACTATGACCGTCATTCCACACAGTTCAATAATATTCCGGTATCAAACCACCTATGTACTACCCACGTATCCTTAGCCTCAATTCATCTGCACCGCCCTGTTTCATGTTGCTCAAGATCGCTACACACGAGTCTCCGAGGGTTTGGACCGCAATGCAAATGTAGACAGATCAGCCTCGGCGTAAGGCGCCCAACGAGACGACAACCAATGTAACTCTGTCCTGATCGACTCCGCGCTGGTCTGAAAGGACCCCTCATGTCAACTCAATTGCCGTCAATACGGCTATGTCGAGCTTCCCACGTTTGAGGCTCTTGAGGCTCTTGAGCAGCTTCCCTATGAAGTCATTTGGAAACCATACGACGGGAACAAGACCTCCTCGCTATACTTGACTTTGCCCCAATCTTTATTCTGGGTGGTTCACCTAAATTTAGTAACCGAAGAAGGTTAGAAATGGCCATTCACCGGTCTGTGCCATGTTGTCTGGGAGCTTCCGACGCGCAATCTTTCCCACGTTCTTTTCCAAAAAAAAAAAAAAAAAGGGTCATTGCCACACCAAATCCTCCGTCGTGTTCCGTACAGAACAAAGGCTTGACGATCCACTTATATAGTAGTAGTAGTAGTAGTAGTAGTAGTAGTAGTAGTATATCTATCATGTACGAGTCAAATGTCGAGTAGGTGTCGTCACGGGATATGTTAGAGGGTATCACCTCTCATTGCAAGTAGCCATAGTTGTCGATCGTCAACGAGCCAATCAAGCAATTGAGATCAAGACCAAAAAAGCCGGGGAGGGGCCTCGGAAAAGTTATTGTCCTTCCTTTCACGTATTGGAGAATATGCCTCCTCGTGCTGTCAATGAATTCAACAAGCATATAGCCGATGTTGCTATGCACGATATACCTGTTCTGATGATGGTGATGATGGGCATACCTTGATGGGACTTTCCTAGCCGTGATAGAAGTTGGTGACGCATAAAATGATGGCATGTTTCCGATTTGAGTGAACTAATCCTACTGGTAACTGGGTGCTCTAGACTTGGAAGTGTTACTTGCTACATGCCACTTCCAAAGCCCTGAAGCCGGGGTATTGGTATGTCCGGGCAATTCCCTTGGAGCCAGGCATAGGTCCCAGCTTCGCAATGAATATTTTCATCGCCGTTGCCCGGACGAAAGGGCCTCGCCGATAGAGTATGGCATTGGGAATTGCAAAAAAACCCCAAAAAAATTCGCTTTCAGCTGGCAACAATTATCCGGACGCAGACATTGAAGCTATCTTGGAGCCAATCTTCCATTTCTGCAGCATCGCATACAGCAGGTGAGGTCAAGTTGAGGTGATGGGCAATGACTGCTTTCATCCAGTCACGTTTATTCTCGAGGTAATCGAAGCATTGAATCTGTTTAGCAGGGTAGCCAAGCTGATGGCAGGTATTGAATTAGTTTTTTTTTGTATCGTAGTATGTGATTTCTCGCCGGAGGAGTCATTTCTTAGACATGACGACGACCGGTGCTCTTAGTGTACCTTTCGGAGCTCTTGGTTCGATATCTAGGGGTCTTCGGACATCACATCTGATGATCCTGCATGAATCACACGAGGTGATGAGAGCTGCAGATTTCTGTACCTTCATGCATTTTAGTCTCCAATATGCAATGTCACGTCAAACAACAAGATACCGCATAGGGTTTTAATAGACTTCTGACCGAGTGGATCGTTTTTTGACCCTAGATTAGATGCCCAATTAATGACCAAGAACACTAAGATATGCGTATACTCGGCGATATGACTTAGCGCTTCAAAAAGATCGTTTAGATCAGAAGCAACTGTGTTTCAGGACCAAGCAACGAGGCTTACCAATATGCAAAGCCATTCCAATCACTACCGTGGACATCCCCTCGGTCGATCGATTTCAGGTCCATTCCTAAGCCTAACGCCTCCATGGCGGCGATGCATCAAACCAATCGTTGCTGGTGAAAATACATTTGCGCACAGACTCAATATTCCGACCGAGTTGCCGTGTCCATGGGGAAGATTTCCCCGGTGCTCCTTGCCCCTGTGTGACAGAACCTACTTTTGCAGCAGTGGTTGGCGGGTATTTCTGGCCCTCAACCTTGCGAACCGGTTGTGCACCCTCCCAACACTCATCCCACCCTCAAAATGCCCCAGAATGAGCGGTTCCGCAGGGCTCGTGGTTGGCCAGACGATCGGCGGGTTAGCGCCGGCTGAGGTGACGGGCGTGCATCGTGAGGAGCAACATCCCCCATCAGCAGCATCTTACTGGCTACGGGTTCCACTGTGACAAGCTTGACTGATCACCTTGCTTCCAGTCACATTCACCTATCGCTGTGTGAATCTGCACTTGGACTCCTCGACCAGCTTCATCCAGCTTGGTTCGGTCCAATTACAACCCCGGTTATTCCTGCGCAATATTAGCCCCGGCGCTTACTCTGGCCCGGCACGAGTGATGAGGAGGCATGGCCTGCAGTCTTCCCCCGCCTCTGGGCCCAGTGGGCGCTCACCGTTGATTGATATTCAAGCCTTCCCTTGCCGGCTTGCTCCTCCTCAAGTGTCTTTCTCTTCCCAATCACCATCACTGCCTTGACTGGTTTTTTGTGAATACCCGTGGACGCAGGCCTCGCACACGGTGTTTCAAGGTGATCTGATAAAGTTGTGAAACTCAGCTGTTGTCACAACCAGGTGAATTTCTCCAGACGATTGACTCGACCCTGTCGAGCTCTTCCACTTCCCGGGAGCCTTTCTGATCCCGGATTCCTGTCAAGAGCCGGTTCTCTTGATCTAATTGTCCCATTCATACTGCATTCTTCTATATCGCTTCAATGTCGATCTCCGGCGACAGCCACAGTAGCTCTCCGCAGACCTACGAACCCGTCGTCCCCACGGATCTCACCCGTGGCTCTTATCATAGCGCAATGGGACCTGTGCCTCAGCACACAACACAGGAGACCCGCAGCTCGTCAGAGAGCAGCGGTGCCTCGCTGAAGAGCCCCCGCACAGCTCGCTTCGCCGAAGCTACAACGATTCACTCGCCCGTCGAGCGACCTACCCGATCTCCCTTTGTCGATCCTCCCAAGAATCAGTCGGGCGGTGTCGGTGATGTGGGTTTCGGGTATGTTAACGATCCCGCTCATGCAGAAGAATCGATGCCCCCAGCATCGCCTCTACGAAGTGGGTTGAGGGTACCTAAATCAGCAGTTTCGTTGAACCCGCTCAGCCCAACCTTCCGTGAGGAGTATATGCTTGGGAAGCAGGAGAAGCACGCCGAAAAGGAAAATGCTCGCGACTTGGTAAGAAGCCCGCTCTTGAGTCGTTTTACAGTGTACTAAATTCCTCCACAGAGAATCAAACTTCGTGTCCGCATCGCCAAGGTCTTCCTTCGTTTCGTCAACTTCGGCTGCAGTCTGATCGTGTTGGCTTTGCTGGGAACGACTCTGACTATCTTCAATGCGACCAAGACTATCCCGACGCGTAACAATCTGCCTGCTTGGGCAGAAGGAACCAACCCATGGGCCCAGTACTTGCTTTTGGGCATGTCCTGTTTCTCGCTCTTTGCCTGCATGATCATCTTCTGGGGTTACTGGAAGGGCGGCCACCGACGGGCTCAAAAGACCGCCATTTACTATACCACATTCACAATCTGCTTCTTCTTCTTCGACTTCATTATGTGGGTCGTCGGTGCGGCCATCTACCAGCGCTCGAAGGCCACTGGTAACAAAAAAGACATGTGGGGTTGGTCCTGCGCCCAGAATACGCGTGAGCAGCTCTACCACAATGTGGTTGACTATGCTCTTCTGTGCCGTCTCCAGGTGAGTTACCCTCCGCTCCGCTTCACGTATTTACAATACTAATCCATCTCAGGACTGGGGTCTCGTCTGTGCCATCATTGAAATCGTCATCGAAGTCCTTGCCCTTCTGATCTACTTCGTCGTCTTATATCGCCTCTGGACTAAGCGCCGTCTCATGAAATCCATGGGCCGCCGCGACAATGCCCGCAACGATCTGTACCTGGCCCAACTGCATATCCAGTCTGCCCCCAATACCCCAGGCTTCGCAGGGTTCTCATCCTACCCGCCCAAATCACCATTCTACGCCGCTGCCGCGATTGACAACTACTCAGCAGCTGAGAAGGGTCAGCTTAACCCGATGACCCAGTACGCTTCTCCTCGCTCGCCAACCCGCCCTGTCCCGAACTTCCAGCTCCAGGCCCCACCCATCAAGGTGCAGCAGCCCACCCCGCAGATGGCCCAGGACGGATTCCATTCTCCGCCAGTTCCTGCAGCCCCTTCGACACATTCTAAGTCTCCATCTCCGCCGCTAAATGACCCTCAACACATGGCTCCCGCGCCGGGCGAGACGGATTACGGCGCCGTGCCTATCCCGGGCGCCTATGCCAGCCCCATGATGCCGGGTTTCCCATCTGCGGTACACAAATAGATGGGCTTTCGAAAGTTGTATAGCTTAAAATGGCGTTGGGCTTTTCTTGAAGGTCATACGCCCATAAACAAGAAAACGCCAAAAAAAAAAAAAAATCTGGAAACCCTATAAAGCCATACGATCAGTCGAAAACTTGGGACATACCTGGAGCTTTGCACTTGAACCTTAATTACCTGGGCACGGGCTTTGATGTAATGAGCGCGTTGGAGTTTTAGGAGATACAGATACCTATTTGTAAGGCTTTTGAATTTACGTGTATCACACCCCTCTTTTATCTACTACCCTAAGTACCTATGCTATCTAATAGGCTGCCTTTTCCTATTGTAGCATTTTTAATTCGTAGTCTCCGGTTTATCCGCTCTTGTTCGCGTGACGTTCCAGTTTTATCTCCTTGCTCGACTGGAATGGCGGAACCTTCCCTAATTCGGATACCCACCCGCGAAGCTTGGTCGGGTCAAACCACGGCTGACTGTTGCATCGTATAAATAGCAATGGCCATTGCGTCGTATAAATACCCAACCGCAGGGAATGCAGGGGATATGGGAATCCAGGTTTCCCGAGGATGCCTTAAAGTCTCCCCCGCAACTCGACGTCGTTCATGGATATCAACGCGATGTTTTGCAGAGATAAGGCACGCTATGATCTAAGGTATGGCGGTTATCTAGTCTGGATCCCGACCACTGCAATTCTAAGACAAGTCTCCACAGCCTTGAGAAATCATGCTTCTTTATACCGAAAGCTCAGACTACTGACCCCCCCATCTCTGTCGATGGCCAGTTTTGCATCGTCCTCCGCCAAACTGCCTATATCAAGAGTATTACAGTGCGCCTGCGGGGCGTACTCAAGATGTATGACATCATCACTGAACAACGACATGGACTAACCCTCTATTTTACTGTAGTCCCTGCGATGGATTCCTAGTTGCAGAACGCTACGAACGCCGCACGTTCGAACTCGAGCAGCCGATCGCATCTTCGAGATCCCGTCGCTCGTTCCCCATGGCACCAGGGAGCTACAAATTCCCATTCAGTATCCCGTTACCAGCAGATATATCCGACTCAGCATTAGGCCCGAACAAGTACCACTCGTACCAAGTCGACGCTATCATCAAGCGCCCCTATTTAAAGGATGTGGTAGTGTCACGGCCTCTTCAGATCTACAAGTTCATCTCTGAGCTGGAGATCCCAGACACGACTCCATATGTCTCACAAGTACGTCTAAAGAGACCATCCCAAACACGAACCAGCTAATAGTTCCCAGACAGAAGAAGACTGCCCGGCCCACGGCATCCAGCACCGAATCTCAATCCCGAGCCCCAACATCCCCTTCGGCTGCGTCTTCCCAGTGGACATCTCTCTCTGGACCCCCGAGAAAGACATAACCCTGGACACTATCACGATCCAGGTCATCGAGAAACATAACCTGCACGTCGACGCAACAGCAGCCCAGTCCGCACGCTATAACATTTACAGCATCCGATCCGCACGAAGCCATACGCTCGTCTCGAAGACGTTCGAATTCACGGAGTCGGATCCGAATAAGGAATGGCACCTCACTAAAATGACTCGTTTGCCTCAGGCGCTGGATCAGTGTTCGCAGACCTTAAGCACGAAGACCCTTAAGATTGAACATTTTCTCGTCATTACTGCAAAGTTTCGGGATGACGGGACGACTATAGAGGTATGTTACCCCATCTTTGGACTATTGAAGGGCCATAACTAACCCTAATGCAGATTACGGAAACAATTCCGTTCCATATCTACATGACGCCCAGTGTGATCGGATCCGATGCTCTTGTTCGTGGGAAGGTGCTTCAGGATCATAGTACACCGCCTCCGTCGTACGGGGATCACACTTTGTGTCCCAGGCTTTGCGAGCTGGATTTCGAGTCTGTCTTGGGGAACCAGACTCATGTCCTGCGTGCGTTGGAGAGTGGGCTTTGTCGGGAGGGGTTTGTGGATGTCGAGCCTCCTGTTTATGCTTCTTTGGGGGTTGTATCTTGATGAATAATGACTCTTTGTTTTTTCTGTACCAAGCTGATTAGCGTTATTCCCGAATGAGGGCAAGTAATGGTTTATATTCCCCAAAATTCTATAATTTTCCATCATTTGATATTCCTACCCATCATACGCATTGTTTGGTGCGCGCCGCGAATTTCTGTCGAGACAACCGAGAAAAACAAGGGGAGCGACCATGTGAAGCTTCTTTGATGAGTCGAGTTGTTTGGGAATGCAGCTCTAAATGGGTGGTATCTTTCATCTAAAGCTAATTATTGAGGAAAATGCGGGCAAGGATGTGACAAGCTACAAGACACTCTCGTGCCATGGGAGAGACTGGCTAGAATTCGAGAGTGGATTCGTTGATAGGATTGCTTAAGAAAGATAGCAGAGAATCAGAGTAGTGGGAGCTCACGACGGAATGGGTTGATCGTTATCCTCCGCGTGTGTGTTTGTTAATGGGCTTGTACTCCTCGTTCTTTGGTAAAAAGGCTACATACACACACCCATAAAGACGTCTTCGAGGGCCTCCATGTCTTTTGTCGGCTGTATAGTCCAAGAGAGGAATGAAATATATGTGGCGCAAGATGGAGCGGGAATGATCTACATGAAGCAGGATTCATCTACAAAGTAAAATGTCAAATCAATGCAATGTCTGCATTTGGAAAAACCAAGAAAACATAGACAAGATTCCGAAGCGCCACTCTGCAAGAAAACAACCAACCAACTCCACAGGATCTAGCAAATCCATTCCAAAAGATCGGCTCTGCCCATTATTCATGACCAACATGTATTCCGCGATGCTCTAACGGGATGGTGGACTGTACATGCAAAAGAAAAGCAACTTAGAAATGTGCTTCGTCCAAGACGGCGTGGACATCTCGGCTCACAAAGATCTCTTCCAGCGTACTTGCGCCACTGGCGATCTTGTTTATATCGCTCTCCAGGACGAGACCCTGTTCATTAGCCAGGTGGAGAAGACAAATGAACCCGAAGGATGTGCTGATATCACGTAATGTCTCGGCTGGGTAAACAGATTTGAGAGAGTTCATGATCTGTGTGAATCGTAACCGGGTGTCATCCTTGGAGTCGGCTGGTTTCTCTGGACTGGTTGTCTGTGGCGTGGGTGGCGCCGGTGCGTCGGATTCAGTCTCGGGCTCAGGAGGAGGCTCGTTAGACACAGCTCCGGGCTGTGAAGCAGAGCTGAAGTCAGTGGCAGCAATCAACCGCTCGCCCATACCCTTCCACATCTCCACCTTGAGTCGTCGCACGTCCACCTTCTTGGCCACACGGGCATAATTGACATAGTCTGGTCGAGCGCGGCGTCCACCTTGTGTGACCAATTGTGAACCGTATCCACCAGCACCGGGACGGCCGGGGGTGGCCCCAACCATACTAAGCAATGCTGAAAGACCCGTCGCTCCACCTTCGCCTTGCGACGTGACTGGGCGCCCATCGACAGGAGGGGACAGCATCTCCCGCGCATCGGCAAATGGCAGGTTATCATCGTCATCATCCAGATCCATGCCATTGGGGAAAGCGAGACCATCATCGTCTGCGAAGAAGTTCGCATCGTAGGCACCTGGAGCACCATCCTCATCGATGTTGTTTTCAGGCTTGTGGTTTGCCCAAAATGCCTCGTCCATATCGCTATTCCCGGACGTTTGGTCTGGTCGGCCGACGGTTGTACGTCTGCCTAGCAGTTTCTTCGATCCCATGCGGGCCTTGGGCTTAAGGAAAAGGCGCAGCAAGTTGCGTGAGTTGAAATGTTTGTCATCAGGTAACAAGTTACGACCCTTGGTCTTCCATTGGGTCTTGGGGAGGGAGATGGCAGAGTTAGAGCTGGCAGGGGTATATATCAACTCGGCCACGGCCGCATCCAGCGGTGCTCCGAAATCGATCTCGAAGGGCTCTTTTTCCTTCTTCTGCTTGGGCGCAGCACTTGTACTGGCCGCAGTGTGCTCCTTGATCCTCCGAATCTTCCAGTGTTCTGGACCAGCCCAGTTCTTCTGAAGTGCGTTATCAAAATAGCTGAGAATATTCTCGTGATCTTGCTTGGTTGGTTGGTGAGACATGGAGATGGCATATGCGTCCTCGTCAGCATCTTCTTCGCCATCTGCATTGTCGCCACCGTCCATTCGGTGAACTTTAAGCATTGGTTCCAAAGCGGCCTCTCGAGCCCAGACTTCTCCCCCATCACCGAAGCCAGCATCGCCACTCAGGTCGAAACCGGCCAAGTCGTCATCATCGTCAAAGCCAACCGCATTGTCATCATCAAGCATGATACCAGATGGATCTTCTGGGGCATCATCGGGGCTCTTGTCCTGCCGCCATTCTTCAGGGGCCTTGAGGAGAGGAAGGTCGAGTGATCCACTAGGATCGCCCAGGCTGAAGTTCTTAAGAGACGGACAGACATCCTGCTCGTCAATTCGATCCAGGTCAGGGAAGAACTGAGCGGCAAGCAAAGTGATGTCGATATCAGTATCGTCCTCGAATGTGTCACTTGCTTGCTGGGCAGGCTGCGCCTTCGCGCCCTGGGATTCGGGGTCTTCAGATTCCTCGCGATCTTCTTCAGCGGTCTTGGAAGAGTCATCCACATCATCGCTACTGTCAAAGACGATTTTTCCAAGTCCATCGATGGCAAGGTGATTGAGCAACAAACCCTTGGCACCTCCCTCATCGAAATCGGCGGAAGCCTTCTTGAACAGCGGATCCACTGCGAACTCCAGCTCAAACTTCTTCAATTGCAATGTGTTGAAAGATGGGGCTAGCGTCGCCTCGTGTGACCGTGTCTGTAGTTGCTCTGTTAGCCGAATCCTGTAACTCTTGCTTCTGGTATCGCATACCTTCTTGCGCGACTTGCGCGCACCTCCCTCCTCTCCATCTTCATCCTCATCTTCATCGCCATCAGCATCGGCTTCTCGCCCTCGCTTGTCGCGACTGTCGGCCAAACCGCTCAAAAGCTTCCCTGTCTCCGTAGCAACACTGTCCACACGGCTGGTATAGATCTTCACACATCCATCGAGAGTGCAACTGGCCTTCTGAAAGTTGACACTATCTCCCTCCCTCAAAAGCGACATATCGTGAAAGTAATCGATGAGCGCAAAGTTCCAGGAGTTATTGGCGTTAATCTTGTTATCGGTGGCCATCTTCATCCACTCCTCGAAGTTGGCCAGAATGGGCACGCGCTTCATCGGAGTCACTGCGCGGCCACCGACATCGCTTTCGCGACCGCGATGACCGGAGCCTCGGGGCGTTGTGGGACTGTCGCTTCCTTCGCGGTATCGACGGACGGGCATGGGTGTCTTCACTGCGGCTTTGATCTGGTTCATTTGGCGGTCTTGTAGCGCTTGTCGGGCCTGATTCCGCGCCGCCTTCTCGCCCATATCATCATTCAGAGGGATCCTAATGCGCGGTCAGTATTCCGTTGGCCTCCGAGCTTTGCGTAAAGGGTGGTAAGCGCACTTGATCGGCGAGTTCTTCTGCGGGGTGGAGTTGCTGCCGCCAGAGCGGCGATGGATTTTGTTCGCTACACGAGGCATGGTTGCGGTTTCCCCCAAGAGGGGATAGCAGGGTGATAGCGTGGATGGTCGATGGTGGTTGCTGGCACAAGAGGGGCGGCCCAAACAAATGAGGAAGTCAACAAACATCCAGCGGGCGACAAAGACCAGACGCGCAGAAAATCACATGCTTTGGTGTTTCAGGCCTGGAGTATCAGGTGTCAATGCCCGGCCGGTTTCCACCGTTTTTGCTCGACTCAACTCAAAGCTACTTTAAAAAGTACATCTGCCTATAGCGAGGAATCCTCCCGTTTTCGAGCCTTTTTGCATTCTTTCATACTTGATCTATTTCTATATACTTTCAACTCGGGAGAGGCCCCGGCATACGCACGGAGATTAGCCTATTGGCCCACTCTGCGGCGGGCTCCAGCCTGACATCACCGCACTCACACACAATCAGGACCACGTTCAATGGAAGGAGCCCATTCTCGCCCTTGAATTTTGAATGTTTTGATTCAAGGAGACGGTCTATACTATCTTGAGCAACAATGCAGCTATTGGGGACGCCATCATGAATGCGCTACCCTCATTCCTGCAACCTGCCGTCCGCAAAGGCCCTCGGTACTCCGCGCGGCCCTTCTACACCACGATTCTTGTGTTCACAACCCTTGCGGCACTCACCTTGGCTATTCGAGCTACTGGGAATGGACAGGTACAGCAGCGCACAGCAGCGGGTGTGTCCCTTCTCAAACGGGAAGATGAACTAGAGGTACCACCACTGCTCTCCCTCGTGAAAGATATGGAAAGCTAAATGATACTCTGTGCGACATTGGTAGTGCCGCCTAGTACGAGACGTCAAAGATCAGTGTGCCTATGTTCGCGTCAACTGCCCGGATCACCAAGATGGCCTGCTCTCCTACCTGCAATTATACTACTGCACACTGTCCGATGCGAAGCCGCTAGCATTTACAATATTGATTTTGTGGTTGTCGCTCTTATTCAGTACCATTGGAATCGCGGCCAGTGATTTCTTGTGTATTGACCTGAGTACGCTAGCAAGCGTCTTGGGGTTGAGCGAAAGCCTTACTGGCGTTACGTTCCTCGCGTTTGGAAATGGCAGTCCCGATGTCTTCTCGACCTTTGCCGCGATGCGGTCAAATAGCGGGAGTCTCGCGATTGGTGAGTTGATTGGAGCAGCCAGTTTCATCACATCTGTAGTTGCGGGCTCCATGGCCTTGGTCCGACCCTTCAAGGTGGCACGGCGGAGCTTTGTCCGCGACGTGGGGTACTTTGTGATTGCCGTCAGCTTCAGCATGTTCTTACTGGCTGATGGCCGACTTCATGTTTGGGAGTCTGCTGCCATGGTGGCTCTGTACGCCTTTTATGTTGTGATGGTCGTGAGCTGGCACTGGTATCTGGTTCGCCGTCGCCGAAAGTATGAGAGAGATCTTGCAGCACGAACCCATTTCCACATCCCCGACAACCAAGAGCTGGAGGTCGAGCAGGCAATTGAAGATGATGACCCAGGGGTGGCCTCGGAGTCACGAAGCCTCCTCCGTGGAGCATCCACAGATGACTTTGATATGTTGGAACGGGCCGAAGCAGTTCCCATATGGAAGGAAGAGGAGGATGAAGACGACGAGACTCGTAACCGATATCTGGCCGAGATTCGCGATAACATGCATCTTTATCCTCCGAACAGACCAAGGCGAAACACCCTGAACCCAATCCGGCCAAGTCTTGTTGGAGCTCTGGAATTCCAATCAGTGCTTCGCTCGCTTCAGATGTCACAAAACCACCAGCCAACAATCAGCGTGAGTAGTTACTCGGATGATGGTGATAATTCATCCCAACCTTTTGACACGCGCTCGATTGCATCGCATCCTCGCGCTAGCAGACCCACGGGATATAATGACCGCCTGTCGCCTCACAATGCAGAAGGCGCTCGAGCACGAGCCGTGTCGGCTAACGATGCTGCTGGGCTGAAGTTCGATGCCAGTGTGTTAGACCGTCGAACAGACGAAACCCCACGTCTTACCGTGAGACGGCCTTCAAATGATCCAGAAGCCATGCAGCCACCTCAACTCCCCCGCATAGATACCAGTGCAGCGTTGACAGCCTCCCCATCATCATCGGGGTATCCTTCACCGAACCACAGCCCCGTGGACGCAGGAGCTCCTCAAACACCGGATCTTTTGGCGCCGCCAGATGTGTTCAGTTCTCCCAATTATCAAACTGGGGCGACTCATGGACGCTCACCACGTCCGGTGTCGCCTGGAGATGAAACTACAAGGTATTATTCTGCACTTACCCCGGAAAGTGCGGCTGCACCGTTCCCCGCCTTCGTTGATGGACCATCTCCATCGGCTCGTTTATCTAGTATTCGTCTGCCAAACCCAACGTCGAGTCCATCGGAGCAGTTGCTATTCCATGACGGGCTTGACGAAAACACCAGCAACGGTTCCTCTTTCCGGCTATCTCTGAAGAAGTTGTGGCCTTCAACCTTCCCTGCTCCGCGGCGCATCGGCTGCACACTTTTCCCTACATTGGCTGGCTGGAAATCCAAGGGCATCGCTGCGCGCTTTCTGGGGATTATTGCAGCACCCAGCGTGTTCCTCCTCACTATCACCATTCCAATTATTGAACCCGAAGGTCCCGAGTCCGCTGATCCCGACCCGGTTCCGGCTGTGGTCATTGAGCGGGTTGGAGGCGAGAACCACCACGCTCCCAGGGTAAGACTACCGGCTGATAGCCCTGTCATTCACCCGGGGCACGACCATCATGACTCCGTTCTACGGATTACAACCTCCCACCCGCGTCGCAAGTCATCGCATCATGAACATAATCGTCCCAGTCGTCCACGTTGGGACTCGGAACTCCCACCCCCGCCACCACATCTCGACAACTCGACTTGCTCTCTACCAGCCAAGGACTGGAACCGCTGGCTCGTCGGACTCCAGCTCTTCAGCGGCCCCTTGTTCTTCACCCTTATCGCATGGATCACCGTTGACGAAGACAACGATCCTCGTAACCTCATATTACCTGGCCTGGTATCCCTCCTATTCTCATTCTTATGCCTCACGGCCCTTGTCCTCTCAACCCGCCGTCGACCCTGGCACCAAAGCAATGACCAGTCCGCCCACAATTCCTGCGAACAGCTCCCACCCCGCCCTCTCCCCAACTCATGGCGTCCCCTCCTAGCCCTCCTAGGCTTCCTAGTCGCCATCTCCTGGATCGCAACAATCGCCACCGAAGTCGTCTCCCTCCTCAAAACCATCGGCGTCATTCTGGATATTTCCGACTCGCTATTAGGATTGACCGTCTTCGCCGTAGGAAACTCCTTGGGTGATCTCGTCGCCGATATCACCGTGGCAAGACTCGGATACCCCGTCATGGCGCTGAGTGCTTGCTTCGGTGGTCCTATGCTCAACATCTTGCTTGGAATCGGCCTGGGTGGTTTGTACATGACTCTGAATGGAGGCCATGCGCCTCGACACGATGAGATTGTTCCTGATCGAGCTCCGTATGAGATTGCCATTTCCAAGGTTCTCATCATCAGTGGAGCTACCCTGCTAGTTGTCCTGGTTGGTCTGTTGATCGTGGTTCCATTAAATGGCTGGCGGATGGATCGCAAGATCGGATGGGGGTTGATTGCAGTTTGGTGTGTGAGTACCCTGGGGAATGTTATTGCGGAGATTGCATCATGATGTTTATACCTGCATTCGTGTACTTGATCTTGATCCTGGCGCTGGGCGTTGGCTTGGTTTCTTTTCTTTTCTTTTCGTGTTGGATGCATTTGCAATGTATTTCTTTGACCGGTGAATATCCACATTGTCGGAGGGGTTTTGTATGATGCAGGCCTCTGCGCTACGGTTCATTAGTTATGACAATCTGTACATGAAATGGATCGTCCGTCTAATATCATTTAATCGGGTATCTCATCTTGCTCTCGAGTCTTTCGTCTGAGGTGGCCAGCACCTGGATCTATAAGATCTAGAAGGACGAGACGACCCAAACTATGACCGAATGGATGTAAAGACTGTGCGAGTCTGATTTGCAGGCGATACGCAGAACATCAAGCTATATTGCGAATGGAATACATAACAGCTAACTATCGTCATCGACCTCATCTACCATAGACCTATCACCATGCACTCTCACTTCCAAGGATAACAAACAAAATAACTACTTCCAAGCCAGTGAGAAATACCGTTCTCATTTCTGTACAATTATGTTCTAAATAAACCTCACAGCACACGCCCGGCCGAGGAGCTCGTGCTGCGGTCGTTGGTCTGCACTTTCTTGAGGCCCCTTCCAGCCTGGATGGAAGCAAGCAAGGCGGAATGGCCTCCTCCGGGACCGCCAACAGCAGGGGGTGCAGGGGGCGGGGCACCCGGGGGAGCACCAGGGGGAGGTGGAGGAGGAGCTACAGGAGCACCGGGAGCACCGGGAGCAGGGGGTGGTGGGGGAGGTGCAGCAACTGGGGCTCCTCCCGGCGGCGGGGGCGGAGGAGGGGGAGGAGGAGGAGGCACGGCACCTGGTGGAGGGGGAGGGAGAGAAGTCGGGGAGCTCTCTCCGGCCTCGGGCTCGTTCACAGCGGGAGGCGCAGGTGGAGGAGGCGGGGGCGCGACAGGACTGTCTTGCACAGGTGTAGCGGACTTGGAAGGAGACTTGTCTTCGTCCATGGCGCTTAGAGGACGCGGGGGGTGCCATGGTACCGAACAGGATGCTGGCAAGCTGCTTGGCGCTGCCACCACCGGGACGCTCGTCTTCGTCGTCAGACGACTCAAAGTCGGACCCGGCGGCAGACCAGTCGTCATCATCCTCAGGGCGGGTGCGGGACTTGCGCTCCAAGGGTCCGGCTCCAGTGAAAGTTGGCTTGGAGGGTTCTTGCTTCTCTTGCTGAGCGAGGCGGTGGAACGGGTTGGTGGACTGGGCCGCGGGCGAAGCCGCCTGGGTAGTTTCGGTTGGCTGTCCAAGAGACTTGAAGTAGGGGTTCTTCGACTCGGCGTCAGGTGAGACAATAGGAGTTGAAAACTTCTCGTCGGGTGAAGTGGCCGGGGTGGGTTCTTTCTCAGCCTCCGGAGCAGGGGCGGGCACCGGGGGCTCAGGAATAGATAGTGTAGGCACAGGTGGTGCGGGCAGGACCTGGCTTTGAGTTGGGGTGCTATCCTGGGGAGTGATGTTCTCGGGGCCCTCGTCGTCGGAAGAGCTCTCCTCATCCATGCCCTCCAGCTCGCGCTGCAACTGGCGCTCACGTTCCCTGGCCGCTTCAAGTTCAGCACGCTGGGCTTCCATCTTGGCCTCCTGTTCCTTGGCCGATCGAGCAGCTTCTTCCCTACGGCGCTTCTCTTCCTGCTTCTTGATCTTGCCTTGTCGGACCTGTTCCTCGAGGGCCTTCAGGCGAGCTGCCTGGGCGTCCTTCTCTTTCTGGAACTCATCTGCTTCGCTCCTGTGACTAGGTTAGCAAAACGTACGACTATAGATCATGGGAGCAAAATGCTTACTCAAGACGCTTGGTCTCCGCCTCCTGCGCCTCCTGCTCCTCCTTGATGGCCTGCTCACGAACAGCATGTTCGGCCTTGGCTTCTTCGGCCTTCTTAGCATCAGCTTGGCCCGCGCTATCGGTGCGGGCTCGGCGAGTTGGAGGTGCCGGGGGCGGCTTCTTGCCCGCAGTCTTGGGACCTGCAGCACTAGGACCACCCTTCTCCTCAGCCAATCGGCGCTGTCTTTCGGCTTCACGCTTAGCATCCTCTTCCTCGGCGCGCTTCACGCGCTCCTCGCGTTCTCTCTTCTCTCGCTCCTGGCGTTGCGTCAATGTCTCGGTCGAGTCGCTAGGCTTCAGGCCAGCAGCGGCCATACGCTCAGCAATGCGCTTCTGTGCACGCTCCCTGGCAGCCGCCACGCGGTCCTCGTGCGTGTTACCGGCACCAGAGCCTGAAGAGCCAGTCGATGCAGGCATAGAAGGCCGTGCGGCAGGTGACTCAGCCGCCGGGGATTCATAGCGGGGGCGCTCGTGGAGAGATCTGTCGCGCCTGTGTTTTCTCAATCAGCTTAGGTTTTCACGATACTTCTTCGGGATAACATACTCTTCCTTGCGGACATGCGCAGTCCGGCTGTTGCGGCTTAGATCGTAGATGAAGTCACGGGTAATGTCTTCAACGCCAAGGGCGTCCTCCCATCGTCGCTTCTCATGATCACGGGTGGAGTTCTGACCTTCCTCCCGGAGACTGTCCTCCAGACTGCGGGTGAAGTCCCGAACACTTTCCTCGACATCACGTGTCATAGTGTCGTTGCGCTCTCGTTCAGCCTTAGCATTCGCACTCTCGGCCTCCAGTCGGCGAGCAGCCTGGCCATCGTCATCTTCAGTAGCGGGAGCAGGGCGACCAGCCAATTCGGCGGCGCGGGCCTGCATGCGGGCGCGGGCGCGAGCCTTGATGCGATCCGCCTCGGTCACTGAACCGCCAGGACCAGTACCGACGATGTTCTGAGCGCTGCCAGGGTTGGCTTTAGCATCCTTGAGGCGGAAAAGTTCAAGCTTCGCGTCAGCGATCTCACGCTCGACACGTCGAACATCGGACGCGACCTGCGGGACCTGGTCCTCATAGGACTGGAGCTGACGACGAAGGGACCTACGCTCAGCTCCACTATCCAGTTGGCGGAACGAGGCGTTGGGGTGGGTGTCAATGTCATCCTGCACACGACGAATACGGTCCATGAGACTCTCTGCTTCACGGCGGTCCGAACGATCAAGAGCCTCATCATCCTCGGCCCTGTTCTCGTCCTGGAAGTCAGCGGCGTCCAGCATCACCTTGGTCTCACGGATCTTCTTTCGCAGCTGGTCCACGGACAGCTCTTCTCCTTCAGAGGTCTGGGAGGAAGGAGCAGGTGACGGGGTGCGGGCATCGTTACCAACGCGACGGCGGGCACTAGAACGGTAGCCGCCCGCGGCATCGTTATTCTTGAACATCGTCGCATCTTTACGACCAAATCCAGGCGATCCACCACCACCACGGAACGAGTGATCCTTGAGATAGCTGACGCCAGTCTTCTGCGGTTGCAAGAAAGCCCCGGAAGTCTTCCGGGATTCGGCATCTTGTGACAAAAGCGATTTGACAGTACCGATGGAATCATTCAAGTGTCTTGTGGAGGGTGGGATAAGCTCCGGAGGGAGGCGGCTAGGCACCGGATAACCGTTCAAAGCTCGGTAGATCAAATGCATGCCCACGGCGAATTCATCCATGTTGAGACGGCCGCGGTTGTGAGGGTCGGCCAAAGTCCAAATTCGCTCCAAATCCTTTCGGTTCAATCCACTTTGGCCCATGATCTCGATGGCAGTTTCACCACCAATAAAGCCCTTGCGGAATCCATCCCAAGCCCGGAACAGGTCGTCATAAATCTTCTTTTCCTCTTTGGTGATGGCCCAGGCAACTGTGGCATTACCGGAGAGGTTGGCCATGTTGAAGCCACCCTCACGACCAGGCTGAGGCATGAGCTGTTGCTTCATCGCCTCGATATTAGGCAAGCCCTGGGCAGGGGTGTTGATGAAGCCCCACTGACCCGGAATACCAGTAGGCTGCGGGGCGATACCAGTAGGTTGCGCGGCCAAGCCTCCAGTTTGTGCAGGGCTGAGGTTTGAGCCGAAGCCAGTGGGCATTGGCGGCATTGGAGGCCGAGGGCCACTGTACCCTGTAGGTTGCGGGTTTGTCATAAACCCTGTCTGCTGCGGCTGAAGGAACTGCGACTGATTTTGTCCCGGGAAGCCGGTCTGCTGGGGTTGCATGCCGGTAGGCTGAGGGAAGAATCCGGTAGGCTGCGCAGTCAACTGGTTCAGGAGCTGCGTATTGCTCGCTTGTTGGGGCTGTGGCTGCTGGACGATGGGTGGCGTGGACTTGTTCTCCAAAAGAGGCGCATCAAAATTGGGCACATTGGTTCGCGGTGGCGGCGCTGGGTGCGAGTCGGGGACATCGAAAGAGATGATGTCGACCATGCTAGATACCTCATTCTTGATTGTCTCGGGCAAAGAGGCAGGAAGGTCACGACCAGTCAAGCGCAGGTTACACAGGTACATAGCCAGTGCGAACTCAGGGAAGAAAAGCTGTCCTGATTTGGTGGAATCCGACAAAACCCAGATCTTGGAAAGGTCGGTACCTGTGAGCTTGGAGCGCATCAGAAGGTCCCTCGCCTTCTCGCCTGTGAAACCCAATTAGTAAATTGGCCCTTCGAGGCAAGGTTTCATATACATACCATCCATTGTCTTTTCATTGCCGACAGCAGACCTGAATAGTTGCTCAAACTTGGCCTGGTCCTGTGCCGTGATGAACGAAAGTCGGATACTGGGGATCTTTGACCCAGTCTTCGGTGGCACTTGCGGGGGAGGTCCGGAGGCACCAGTATCGTGGAAGGAGTTTGCGATGTCGGACGACGTCTTCAATCTGGAAGGAAGCCCCGTAATCTGGGGGACCTGGGGCTGAGGGGGTTGCGACTGCGGCTGGCTCTGAGGCTGATTCTGAGGGGGAAATCCAGTATATTGGGGCTGCAAGTTCTGCTGCTGCTGGAACTGTTGCTGCAGTTGTTGTGGCTGTTGTCCAGGGAAGCCAGTAAATTGCGGCTGGAGCTGTCCGGCGGGGAATCCGGTGGGCTGAGGTTGAAGCTGCGAGTTACCGAACGGCGACGGCTGACCGGCAAAGCCAGTTGGCTGTGGCGCGAACCCTGTGGGCTGGGGCTGCTGCATTGGCTGCTGCTGTTGTCCCTGGGGGAATTGCGAGTATGAGGGCTGCTGTTGTTGCTGCATGAATGGTGCCTGGCCTGGACGACCAGCACCACCACCGCCGAGGAAGGAATTCGACGAGGAGAACATTATGAACACGGCGCTCGCATGGAAGAAACAGATGCAGAAGAACCGAGGATAGACCACAAAGGGAAAAAGGAATGCAAAGGCCTCGGGGGAGGTTGAGTGTCAGGAGCAACGGAAATGACGCCTGTAGCAGGGACACGCGGAGCCACGCTAGCCCGATCGAGGGCTTAGTCATAGATTCCCCGGCGCAGCTATTTTCAGGGTGCCCACGAGGGTAAATTAACGGTTTGATTGCAAGAATTCGGACAAACCCGTACAGGAATCCCTTTTCTAGGGGTATATAATAGAGGTTTCCTTGAGGGTGCTACATCTAAGCTCTCACAAAACATTGCCCTGGTCAATGAGCGAGGGAACCGCGGCGAGAATTTAAGATGAACTATAGAAGAATGAAACTCTTTGGATTGTAGTGGTATCATGCTAGATACAAGGCATCAACATGGATGCAAAATCATAACCATCATGAGGGAGTTCCCCGCAGGGACAAGAGCAAAAAAAAGCATCAAAAGCATGATCCGGATATCCGACCCGATTTTGGAAACAAAAGCACTACAGTAAACGAGCCTTAAGACCGCTCCATGCGCCAGGTGAAGCCCGAAGGAAAAAAAAAAGAACCGGAGATGGACCTGGGTGATGAATCGACTTCAAATCGACTTTCACGGTTGGCCACCCATCGCTTATTCGGGGTTCTGCTGCTGGTTGGCAGCATTGGCCATTTTGCGTAGCTCGAATTCTTTGGTAAATTCACGAGACAGGATTCCCAAATCACCGATCAGAGCCTTGGAGGCGTTGATAACGGCCGCGCGGGGTGTGATCTCACCATCGGTCTGGACGCGCAACAGGAAGTTGGGGGTCAAGGGGTGAGGGATCTAGATGATGCAAAGTCAATCTTGGTCCAGAGTACTAAATGCGAATCTGGCGATTATTCTTCTTACCTTGTAGGCGGCAAAGATGACGTGCTCGGTTTTCAGGAGACGAGTACGGAGCATGTTGCCGAGAGTGTGATCCTCCTTGTGGAAAGTGAAGATGGCGGCAGAGGGAAGCCCTAGACTTCATTGTCAGTGGAGCTACACACTCTTAAAGAAGAAAGACTCACGAGTGTCAATCTCGACATCAATCTTGTTCTCACCAGGGCCCAGCAGAATGGCCTCATATCTGTATTCGAAGTCAGACATATTCGTTTCATGAAATGTGAAATGATCTGAGGCTCGATTTTAACAAAAGCAATACAGGCAGAGTAAAAAGAAAACAACAAAGACATTTGTGATGAAACTGACGGGTCCTGGCGATCGTCCACCTGAGAAGGCCCTGCGTGGCGCAGAACAGGACGGTCACGGCGGCCAGCACGATCCTTCGCCATGGCATCAGTGACAGAGACGAAAGTAAAGGGGTTGATGTTCGACATCGTTGGAGGTGCAGGTAAATCAAGGTGCTCGTCTGAAAGCCCAGGGGGGAGATCGTCTGAAAGCCCAGGGGGGAGATCGTCTGACAGAAGAGGAGGGATCGAGCTCTTGTTGAGAAGAGAGGGAGGAGACATGACGAAGGGCTCCGAGGAAGGTGCGACGGTCAGGTTGCCGGTTGGTGGAGGAGAGGTAGTTCGAGGAGGGCCCTCAAAACGAGCCTCGAAAATGAAGCCATCATGTTCGCCCTTCACCACACTGCCCAGCTCATCCCTGCAGAAGAGCTTGAAGCAGAACTGCCCCGCCCAAGCAGCTCCGACAACCGACAAATCCCGTCAAGTCCATAGTGACAATGAAAAGAAAGAAAAAAGACGGCAAGCGCAAAATCGAGAACCCAACACTTACCGATCCGGGGCGTTCATCTTGACAGAAAGCTATAGCTTAAGGATGCGATGTCGGACAGTGTTGCACAATATATGAGCTTATCAAGCCCTATAACACCGACAGTTTCGGGAAGTGACCCGTTGGAGGCGATCCAAAAAAAATGCTGGCCGGCTGGACAATTGATCTCCAATCGTCGTTCAAGAGCAGCTTGCCGCCGCGGGACCGAGTTGAGTCCGCGCACCTCGCAGTCCAAATGACCAAAGATCACGTCCAAATTCTGACGAGCAGTGACCTCAAATCCGGAAAACGGACACAAAGGAAGCGTCAGGGCCAACACTGAGCTTTTGCGAGGGTTCGGGTCCTAGGTGGTTCAGGATCCAAGTCGATGTGGTTGAAGGAAAGTGTCGAGATTCGACAGGTAACGATACGATATCAGCACGTGATCTATATGCCACTACACGTGACATATATTCAACGATGCACGTGACATCGTTTGACCTACTACAGCGACCAGGACTATGGGACGAAAAAGCAAATTCATGGTTAGATTTTGTGCATTTTTGTTTACCTTGGAACTTTGGATTTATATTGATTCAATCGATAGGATCTAACTACATGGTGATTGAGCGTTCTCTTTGCTTCTTTTAAACTCCACCTTGGAAGACGCTAGCCTACTAATATAGCTTCTTTCAAAGTACGGAAGGTATTTTAAGAGAGAGCCATGTGGCAGAATTCACTGGTTTTCTTAGACAATTGATACACAACACGATTATGGTAACATTCAGTGCCAAACCTCGTTCTCTAATAATACAGACAAGAAAGACCTGACAGATTAGAACAGAGCGAGAAGGCCGGCGAGAAGGGTAGCAGTAAGACCAACAGAGCTACAAGCAAGCACATTCGCAGCATTGGTGCCAGTGGAAGTAGCCCCTGCAGCACTCGAGCTGGTCGAAGTTATGTTTCCACTGGTCGTGGTATTGGCCGTAGCGTTGGACGTGGCGGCCCCGGTGGCAGGGGCTTTGCTGTTGAACGCGACCAGGTTAGAGGTGAAAAGGCCCAAAGCAGCGATCTGCTGCTCCGTTCCATCTGTGCCATCATTCTCGGTGTACCAGCGGGTACCGCAACGGTTGTCGGTTTTTCCAGCAGTGCAGGTCTTTGCAGCAGCGGTCGCGGAGGCCTGCAGCAGGGGCAAGATGTCCGAATAAGTGTAAGGCGCAGCAAGGCTAATCAGAACAAGATCCTGAGGGAAGGTGCCCTTCATGAGGATCTGGCTGCGGTCGCATTCTTCAATAGACTCGCAGGTAATCTCCTCCAGAACCTTGTCGTGTGGGAAAAACTGGGAGGTGCTGTTCAGAAGACCGTCCAGACCCGACTTCCACTTGGACTTGCCGTCAGTCTATGAAGTTGTTAGTTGTATTTCCCTGTGTCTTTTACATGAGGAAGACTGAGACTCACCACATTGTGCATGTAAGCTGCACCGGTCATGTAGACGCCGTAGTTAAAGGACCACTGCGAGTTGCCCTGATCGGTACAGTTCTGTTCGCAAGAAGTGTCGTCCGCGATGTTCCACGTCGTGGTATCCAGGAGTGGAGTGGTGGCACTCCAGTCCCAGATCTTCTCGGCCCAGTCCGAGTAGGTCTCGTTGTTGGTATACCGGGCCAGACGGGCGGAAAGTTCAAAGAGCCCGCCGTTGACCAGGGCATTCTTCATATTATAACCAGCCTGGTACGGCCAGATCTGCCAGCGCATACCACCACCACAATTGTCATCATCCCACCGAAGGACCTGGGCGTCGAAAACTCCCTGGGCCAGTGTGATCCAGGACGGCATGGATGATCGCTCAGGGAAATCGAGCTCGGCCGCGGTCATAGCAGCGAGGCCCCAGATCATTTGGTCGTCGTTGGCCATGTACTGGCTGTAATTGGCGGGGAAATAATTGTCATCGCCCCGCTGCCAGTACATGCCGTCGCTCACTTCATTGTTGTAGGAAGAGTCGCCGGTATAATACCAGTACTTGATCATAGTGTCGAACAAAACGCCACCCTCCGCCCATAAGCCGTTAATGTCGCCTGGGATGTTGTTGGAGTCTCGGTCATTATAGTCCGACATGACGTTCTTCGCGACAACCGAGGCGGCATTCTTGATGGACTCTATTATGCATTAATAGGTGATTTCAAATCGCTATCCGGGCGCCATGTGACTCGCTTTCATCGTTGACATCCAAATTGATAGCAGACGCGCTAGCTGCCAGCAGAGCAACGGCAATTGCCGCCTTCAAGTTATCCCCGCGCATTGTCGTGGATTACTCACTTTCAGAATACCAGGGGGAAAGTGTACGAGATCCAGGGACTGACTAGCGCGAAGAATGGTTTTGAGCAAAGCCCAATGTCATAGCGCGGCTTTTGACGCTTAGTGCGCATCCGGCTCGAGCCCCGGCCTCAAGTGAGCCCGAGGCTCTGTGGGTGGAGACTTGGTGAGATCGGGCTTCTGACTGGCTGCGATTGGTGTACCTGGGCTAGTGTTCATTTCATCTGCCGCAGTTCGGTGGTGGCTAGGAGCCCCCACTGCGCCATGGAAAAGTTGATTATTGGACGAGTTTTAGCCCCCCCTATTTCCTAGCCTTTTACTTAGATTCGAGAAGGATACGAGACGAAATACACGAGCAGTCACGTGAATTTCGAATAGGGGTGGAAACTCCCCACCGTCACTTAAAAAGAATGTTTAGTATTGTATAGGAATTTGTAGAAGGATGATAACTCTAGGTAGTAACTTCTAGTAATATTTTAGGGGTATTAGTGGTAACAGAGGTGACGGAGTGGACACATTCTTCCCGCGTTACCTTTTGATGCAAAAACTACTTAGGGATGTTGTAACTCTGCTCAAATTCGTATTTGAGGAGAGTGATCTTGAGGATAGTGATAATAAAAAGGGGGTCTGGCCGAAGGATTTACGACAGGACATAGAAAGCAAGATTAGTGCTTCTTTTGTGGGAAGATGCTAAGAAATCCACTTGCAAGTTCGTCGGGCCAGTAGTTTTTAACCTCTACCCTCTACATCCGAATTCTCGAGCACAAATGAAGATATAAGGGCATGAGCCCGAAATAGATTATGTGAGTCTCTAGACAACCTCACCACAGACTACCCATCCCTCGAGGAGGGAGAAACACAAGATGCAAAATGCTATGGGAACAACCGAAAACGAACCAAATCACAATAAGCATGAAAAAGAAAACGCCATGCCAGCCCCGCGCCAATGCCAAAGAAACAAAACAAAAAGGACATATGTATTCATACTTTAGATGCACCATCTGCCTTGAAAGGTGGCCATACAAGGAAACCCGAAATAAGACGGGTGTGGCTTCGTGACAAGATCCAAGGAAAATAAAAGGTAAAACCTCTCTTGTATGGATGTATGTGCGTGATGTTCATGTCATGGTGAGCGCGGAAATTAAGAAATATGGTTTCTATACAGCGTGACGCCGGTGATTCGTTCGCTGGTGCATGCTTTTTTTTGAGGGTTGGAAATGCAGAGTTTGTTGGTTTAGTGCACGACACTCATCAGGTCTCCGAGGGATGAGGTCCCTCGCTTCAGCTTCCAGCTGCTCTTCTTCTTATCACGTTTCTTCATCATCTCAGCCCAGGCCTCGTCGTCATCGTCCTCATCAGGGACGTTTCGGGGCTTGCGGTCAGCGGGTGAGTGATTCCCTGGGGAGACGGGCCGAACGACCACAGTGGCAAGTGACGACGACTTGGCTAGTTGGGGCTGCGATTGAGACATTGGCAACGAAGGGCGCTGGTTTTCATCGGCCCAACCCTTGTTCAGATGCGATGGAGCATGTTGAGTGGTCTCACCATGCATGACGGAAACGGGACGATACCGAGATGCTAGGCCAGCATTGCTACGCTCCGAGGGAGCGATCGAGGATGCGTACCCTGGGTTTTGGGGCTGGAAGGGTGGTCCAGTTAGATGAGGCATGGGCGAGCCAGTGCGACGCATGGCGACGTTGGGGTCAAGCATGGTCAGAGTGCGATGATCGAAATTGGGGTTCACACCAGGGACCGGACCAGGCATGGAGACTGGTCTCATGTTTGGATTGCCTCCCATGACTGATAGATGACCCGCCATTGGGTGGTCTGCCATAGAGGGAGGGCCCATTGGAGTTCCAGACATAGGCATACCACCCATGCCAGGAGGGGCTAGCATGCCGTTGTTCGTCATTGGAGGCGGGGTTCCTTGCATACCCTGCATCTGCATCACCTGCTGCATCCATTGCATCTGCATCTGCATCATATCCGCCATTTGGCGCGACAGATGCACCTGGGCCTGCTCAGAAGGGTTCAACGGCTGGGGACCCATCATTGAGTACGGCCGAGGAACGCCGCCCATATTGTGAATTCCCTGGGTATTCGGGCTTCCGCGTCGCATTGCCCGCGCCCGCTCTTCGTGAGCAATCACATTAACCAGACCACCTGGAGGAACTGGTGATGAGGAGCCTCCGTACACCGAACCCGATCCTCCACCCATAGCGAGTGACTCACGATTTGGCCCGGCAACTATGCCAGCACCGTAGTAAGGGTCCCGCGGAAGAGCTCGGGCGAAAACGGGCAGTCCCCCTCGGGCGCCATGTTCACCCCCAGCAACGGAGCTGGCAGAAGACGCATACGGAGGTTGCATAGACGCGCGAAGGTTCGGGTTAGAGCTGGCATTGACCAAGCGAGTTGGCGGGCGGTTGCGGTTCGGGAAACCGTGCGCCGCAAGAATACCCAACGGGACCTCCTCGTCGTCTTCCTCGTTGCTCTTGCTGCTAGAGGTGTTGTCCATTGAACCAGACAGGCGGTTCAGATTGGGAACGCTGTTGCTCGCTCCACTCATAACGGGATGAAGGAACGGTGATCCACCTTGCTGGCCAGTCACTTTCATCATCTGCTGGCGATAAACCGACATGTGAGCCTCCTGCTTCCGCCGCTGTCGTTCCGCCGCACGCTGCTTCTCGATCTCGTCCTCTTCATCGAATTCGTTCCCAGCTTCGTCATCTTCATCCTCACTCTTGGACGCATTACTATTGGATCGCCGGAGTTCCTGCTGTTGGCGATAATGCTCAAATTGAGAGGGTGTCATCACCTTATTGCCCGGGGAAGTCGTCTTGGGAATTTTCTCGGTGTACTGAACAGCGAGTCGTGCGTGGTCCGCAATGGATGGATCAGGCTCGTGACGATACGCGAACATTGATTCCGGTTCCGGGCTCAAATACTCAGGACTGGCTGCCTTGGATTTAGAGAAAAGCGGTGTGTCATTTGCTGGCGGAGAGTTCTCTTTGCTCCAAAGCAGGGATTGCCTGACCATTCTCGCATCTTCATCATCAACTGGGCTAGAGCCTTGTCCGCCCGAGTAGATTCCACTCCGGCGTAGACCATTGTAATCCGACTGGCGTCGTGGCCGCTCCAGGGAACGATGGGTAGTGGTGGCACCAAGCATCTGGGCGGGTGATGGTGATGGACGGCGGAACCCTGTAACTGTCTCGGGGTTCTGAGCCGTCGAAGTGCCGTCAACCACCAACTCACCCATTCGTGCGACATTCGAATCATTGAGTAAATTATCATCTGAGTGACGAGAGTGATGGCTGTCCCACGAGTAAGGGGAAGGCTCGACAGCCGACGATCGATCAATGTGCAATGGAGCAGGTCGTGGTACCCTAGCACCGGCCTGGAACTCTGGTAGAGCTTGTGTCGGGGGAGATGAAGAATACTGTCTCATTATTTAGCCTCGTTTTGTGTACAGATCGAATGGGAGCTTCGTACCTGCTTAGACCGCCGAGGGGACGGGTCCCGCAACATGGCGCTATCCGGCTTGCCTAGATGGTCAAACATCTTCCCGAAATCATCGGTGCTCCCTGTCTCAAGGTCTGCCCCAAGATTAAATTGCCCGTTCGACAGCTTTGGTGGAGTCGCCGTGCTATCGGTACCACTGGTTTCAGCCCGTCTCACCGGCGCATCGGGTGTAGCAGTTCGAGGAGCAGAGGGTGAGAATGATTTGCCGAATCGTCCACCAAACGAGAATGTCCTGCCAGCAGCGGCGCGCAGGGCTCCGGCGAGTGGAGGCGGAGCGGGTATATCGTGAATTCGCGAATGCGGGGATGTGGCCTCATCAGGCGGTGGAATCTCTGTGGAGGACGGGACGGTGGACGAGGAACTGAGTCGGGTCGAAGTCGAACTCTCGTAGGTCGGGCCGCTATGATGGCGCCGGGTTAGTCGCTCCCTCAGGGATTTCATGGGTCTGCGAGACTCATACCGATTTTTCCTCAGGGGCTCTTCGGATCCGGCGAAAATATTATCGGAATCCTCCAACGTCGTAGGCACAGCATTGCCCTCGCTCATGCGCTTGCTTAACGGCGCGCCATCAGTTATTGATCTGTGAGGGCCTGGTCGCTCGAAGACCCGGAAGGAAGATTGTTGTTGTGAGTCCACCTCTTCTAGAATGTTCCCAGACGACTTTCGCCGACCACCAAAGGTCTTAGGTAGCTTGATAGGCATGGTTATGGGTGTTGAATTGGGAGACAACAAAAAGACAAGTGTTTGGGCGCCTCCTTCAATCGCGAGCTGCTCTCATTAAGGTTGAGCGATTCCTGGGGGAGTTCGTCGGCTCTCGGATCTTGGACGGGTCAGATGCAGGTGGAGTGGGGAAGGACGGTGAGTGGACGGCGAATCTGACAAGAGATCGGCGGTTGCAAGGGGAGACGGATATTTGCACAAATGACAAAGAAGGTGAAGTCGATCAGGGGATGAGGAAAGGCTTTGGGGCGAAGCGAGTCAGTCATAAAGAAGCTTCTGGTACGGAGATAGTAGCCTGCAACACACTTTCGTCTAGCGGCTGATCAAGGCCCGTTCGGAATCCACCCTGTGGGTTTTTTGCGATCTGGTTGCGGTTGCGTTTTCAACAACAAACAGGTCTTGTCCCTGGCCTGGGTTTGGCGATGGTGTTGTGTGGGTGAATGAAATGAAGGTTCTAGCCAACGGACGAAAAATCAGACGAAGCGAAAAGAATGGCACCACGCGGGTTAGACCCAAATGGTGGTGAGAGTTTCACTTGGGCTCCGCCGAGATTCACGTAGAGCAATAGACGAGCGAGTCAGATCAAAATGGAGATCCGAGTGGGGAGTGGAGAAGGGAGGGTTCGGGAAGGACACTGCTCGCGGATAGGAATGAGGCAAATGAGACAAAACAGCCAAGTATTAAGAATGAGAGGCCGAAGAGAATGCAAAGAGAAGAATGAGGGAGGTGAAAAAAAAAGACGGCAGTCAAGCGCCGACGGGAATCTAGTGCCTGCATTATTGCCTCTTCCGTCCGGACGGGATTGCACCAGTTAACTAGCGTAGTAACAAGGCGTGTATGGGATGAATGCTCTATACAGTACAGTACTATTGTTTGGCCAATAACGAGTACGGATCTAAGGACGTGAGATCCAAAAGTCCAGGCCGGACCGCAGCATGTGAAACCTTTTACTATACATAGCCGGTGGCCTTTCCGAGCTAAAAATAAACAGCCCATTACTCATCCGTCGGCACCGCCGAATGAGGCGGACGAAAACAAACAATGCTGTTTAGGTTATTCTAGATGACCGGGATCATACTGTAGTTGAGGAGATCCTTCAAAGGCACCTTGTAAGTATTGAATATTATTGAACACTGGACCGGATTGACTCGACCCTGCCGACCTCGCAGAATTGTACCACGGATCACGTGATTAACACACGTCGGGTTTTGTTGCTTGTGCTGCTTGTACGACATCCACTACCTTCACCTTTGGTCACACAGGACTCGAATTCGAGCCCATGAACTCGCCATGGAACGCTACGGGACGGAGAGCGGAACTGCTCGGTACAGCTTGTCAATCATGTCAACCACTCTTTTGCACCTTCGACCTTCTATCCCAAACGACACAAACACGATACACTATCTTACAAACTGGAAAAACAAAATGCAAGATACAAACCTCTGCCGCTTTGGTATTTAAACCGTTAACGAGAGAAATTATTTGGCGAAGTGGAGATCGTAGTTCAACCACTTGCGGGCATTCACGCCCTCCACGTCCAGACCGGGAAGGCCGTAGGTCAGCGGTGCATAGAAACAGAAGCCCCAGATGGTGGCTCCCAGAATGACCGCGGTGGCCGCCCATCCTGCAACGAGCGACCGGGTACCCATGCGCTCCCTCGCTGTTATGAATCGGCGAAGGCTGCGACTCACCTTGCCCTTGGCCTTGCCTGACGGGTCATCCACCGGAGCCTCGGCCGTCTCGGGATCGAGGGGCTGCAGGTTGAAGATGAACTCGATCAGCGCGCCAGTCACCATGGTTGAAGCTAGATGAGAGGGCAGGTAGTGGTGCAGGAAGCGCTGACGGCCCATCAGCCAGAAGGGGAAGTAGTGGGCGGCCCAGCACAGGAACAGGAATCCAGTGCTGTTGTACAGACGCGAGCGGGTGCCAGGACCCCAGACTACAGTGATGGGTTAGTCATCTGAATTATCTCGAATGTACCGGGAGATATCGCCACTTACTTTCTTCCAACGCATCAACACCACGGCGGAGGGAAAGCTGGTCAGCTCCCACAATGCCGGCAAACACGGCCAGCAGACTGCTGGCAATCCACCATCCAATGGGGTTACCGAGGAAGTAGATCTGTTCACGGGTCTCATTCTTGGTCCAGAAGCTCACACCGCGCAACAGGAATGGCCACTGGAAGGGCTCGGTAGCATAGGGGTGGCTGCTGGTGAGAGCGTTGTTGTGGTGGAACATAGCACCCTGCAGCTCAAAGTACTTGCGCAGGAAGGACATTGACTTGGGCTTGCGCTCCTGCCGCTCGAGGCGAGGGCTTTCCGGGTCCAACCCGTCAATGGTCTCGGCGAACCATACATTGCTGGACTGCAGGATATTCTTGTTACCATTGATCTCAGCTTGCTTGAAACCCCAATCGGGAAGTGGAGTTGTGTGTGTCCACATAGCCACCCGAGTGGGAACGTGAATAAGTTTGAACAAGCTGGCAAAAGTACGGAACTCCTGGGAGGGCTTGCCATTCTCGATCTTCAGCTCGAAGAGTGTGTCGTTGTGGCGTTCGCCAGCGGCCAGCTCCTTTGAGATAGTGGTGAATTCCTGGTTGGTCGGGAAGAATGGTGAGGCGACGTCGTGCGTCAGGAGGAAAGAGTCAGTGCCGACGTGACGGAGCTGGATGATGTCTCCGTTCAGCACACTCGCAGGATTGCCATCTTCCGGCAGGGGCTTGGTGGGCAGAATCTGCCAGAAGTTGTTGGTGTCGTTGTGGGGGTATCCGGTCACCTGCTGGCCCTGGCTAGAGATACGGCCATCGTCATATCGCAGCGGGTAGGTCTCCCAGTGGCTGTGGAGAAGGACCTTGGTGTCCTTGTGACGCATGCTAATACTGTCAAAGTATTGGACACCGACGGACTGGGCGGTCATCGCGTTGTCGCTCAATGTCTCCTGGAACTCAGGGGACATAAACTCGTCACCGGGTCCAGACCGGGTGAGAACAGCAAAGTGGACCTGGAACCAGAAGAGATAGAAAAAGAAGGGAATAACGACGAGCGCAACGCCGCGAGCGACAAAGTGCTTGACCCAAGTGACCATATCAAGAGCACCCTGGGGGCGGTTGATATCCAAAAGGTTCCACAGGTCGATCATGACGGCGGCACCAACGGTCACGAAAGTGAAGAAGCCAACGTACTTGGTCGAAATGACGCAGCTCATGCAGAATCCGGTCAGAAGCAACCACTTCCACCACTTGCGTCCAAAGGGCTCGTGTCGCAACTTGTAGAACTTGACATAGCACAGCACACTCAGAGCCATTGACAGAACTAGGGTGGAATCCAGGAGGATCAGCCGATCCTCGCCCACATGAGCATTGTCAAAGACCATAAGACCAGCAGACAGCACACAGGCCGGCAGCGAGTAGCCTGATTCCCACATAGTCAAAAACACAACAGGAATTGTCAGGGCGCCAAGAGTGGCAGGCATAGCACGGAGAGCCAGGTAGGGCACATTGTTCTCAATGTACGAGTCACCAATGTTCTCGAAGAAGAAGTGGCCATCGTATCCAACCAACCAGCCCATAAAGGCGAAGAGCAGCTTTCCGAACGGAGGGTGGACATCGAAGAAGTACATGCGTTGCAAATAGTATGAGGCAAACTAGTAAGATCGAACAAGTCAGTCTATTCCTTCCCCTTTTCTCGACGAGGGAGCCGGAGGGCATACCTTTCCAAAATGAACCTCGTCAAAGACGACCTCGTTAGGATAATCAATGCGGTAGAAACGAGTCGCAAAAGCCAACACAGTGAGAACGATCATGGCCAGCCAATAATCCCATTCCGACTGGGGCTTGGTGGCCTTCCCCGGGCGCGACGCGGGAGTCAACGAGCCATCGTCAGAGGGAAGAGCCGTATATGCCTCCTTCTTTCCGCCTCTCTTACGCAGAGAGGACGAAGGGGACGACATGGTGAGAAATAAAGAAACGAAAGGGAGTGACCGCGAAACCACCTAAAGTAAATAGACTTCCGAAAACCAACGTGTTAGAAGCCGGGCATCAAAGGAGCGAGTGTAACAAGGAATTTACAATCAGATCAGACTTACCAGAATCACCAAATGTGCATGGCACCCAAGCAAAGAGGCCAAGAGAGCTGAAGGAAAAGAAAGGGTTCGGGGAGGGGGGCGGATTGTAAGGTTGCGTGTCTTCTTGTCCGAAACAAGGCGGTGACTCGGGCGGCGCGTCTCTATACCAGGCCTACCAATCACGTCCGCATTGTCTGCAGGCCCACGTCTTAATAAATTGAAAACGAGTGGGCTGGACTATGAGTTGAAAGTTCCGAAATTTCCGATCATTGAAAGATTCTTGTTCCATAGTTTCGAGAGTCGGATCGCAGAATGCTCCCTGGCTCTGTACTATGGGCTTCGTCAATTTAACACCTAAGTATAATGGCAGTAACGAGTACTGGAGTCGCTCCCTGTAGACCCATCAAGGGGTGTTGGATTAGTTATCGTAAATATAAAAGCAACTAAGATCGCGTTGTGAAGAGGGACAGCTTCGAATCCAATCGGATTGACCCTTGTCAGTGCAGACGAGAACCGAGCAAAACCCCAAGTCATGAACAGCATGTGCAGCATCGAAATTGACTTATTAGTACCAGGCGGTATCAGAGCAAGAGCAAACCTATCATGGGGTAGGAAGGCTGATCGATCTTTGTATGTAGATCCCAGGTGTTTGATACTCTAAAAGGCCTACTATCTAGTGCGATGACGTCGAGTCTTGTATACAGCCTTGGGGCCAAATGCTCGGCAGAGACAGGCCAAATATAGACAATCAATTCCGCTCGGCAGCTACGTAGAAACCCTGAAGCATACCTCGGGCGATTTCCTCTTTCATGCTTAATGTGCCGCTACATCGAGGCGGAGCTCGAGGGTCTAAAGAAAACTTGACCTCGATGACGCCACTAACCACGTTCCCCACATAATCCTGGTCGGTCTCTTAATGGCCCCTAAGAGCAGTCCTAGTAATTTCTGGCAAAGAGACCCAGCGACCTATCCTGAGCGTAGTCGTGGGGTTTGCCGATTAGGGCGGCGACCCCCAGCGCCGCATTGAGCCAAATCGGGTATGGCGCGTCCCAAGTATGAACTCTGCTCTGCGTAGCTTCTCATCCAACCTTTCTGTTTTGAGTGCTATGCACCGCATATCTGAGCTCAGCCTTGCAATGCCCACTGAATCGGGTATCATGACTTTAATACTTCCAGCATATAAAGACCCGCTCTATCCAGATGTCATTTCTAGTACAAGTCGTCAATCTTCGATACAATTTTCAAGACCGTCAAGGTGCATATTACGACAAAGCTTTTGCTTTCCTTACCTTTTTTTGCTACCACATCCTCTGCAGACTACATTGGACCAACTTGGCCGGCCCCAATTGACGTCACAAGCCGGCACAGTCTGGTCCCAACGGCATGGAAGAATCTCACCGCCACCTTCGACTCCTATCTGAAAGGCCATGTAAAGATTAAAGATACCGTTGCTTTGAAAGGAGTCGAGAACATCACATTTTCCGCCGGACTATTCTCAATTCATGATCCAAGTCTCAAAAAACTGCAGTACCACTATACTAGCCCCGAGATTGCAAACGCCACAAACGGCACACACAAGGTCGACGGCGACAGCATTTATCGTATTGCCAGTTCTAGCAAGTTGTTCACTGTCTATGCTGGCATGCTGGTTCTCACCGAAGAAGAATGGAACCGTCCTCTTGCCGAGATAAATAAAGCGTTCGCCGAGGTTGCCGAGCAAGGCAACAAGGACCCTATCTGGCATGTTCAATGGGACAAGATCAGCCTACCAAAACGTATATATATGTAAAAGTGTAAATCTGTCAATCTATAAATATATATAAGAAGAGAGTATCAGGATATAGAGCTATAGTATCAATCAAGCAGTCCAAAATATTATTGATCGATTGAGAAATATATATATAATCAAAGGACGTATAGGTGTACAGGTCCTACCGCATATATTAGCCAGGTATCATAGCATACGAAATAGACGAATAGATGAATAGAGAGCCATGAAAGACCTATGAGGGTGCACAGACTCATACATAGGACGGCCAATCAGCACTCGAGCTAGCGTCGCATGAGCATATACATATAAGAATAAGAAAAGATACCTATCCGCCTGTGGATGTGTCCAGCTCCATTACGTGATGTGAGAGGCAGTAACTTCATATAATAAAACGCAGCTCTAGGGGTAAATCAGGGCAGCGAGAGAATGTCAAGGCCTATTCGGGAAGCAATGTGGTTTCGCCCATGGTAAATTTGCCTAGTGTCGCTTATCTTATTCGTTTGATCTGAAGCTTATTATTTGAAGCACTTTCTATCTATGAATATATACGAGGCATGAAGTAGAATCATCAGAGCTTTCAGTCTTTACTGACTATCCTTTTAATCCTTAGTCGAATGATTTCCTACGCAGGTTTAAAACGTGAATCCTTCTTATACCGACGACATAAGCCCTTTATGACTCTTCTTACGATGTATGAGTATTGGGTATGACTCAAACTGGAATGCACTTTGCAAATATTCACGGGAAGCAAGAGAGGTCTTGAGTATCGGGTTGCCGCCTGTAGCCCATCTGCGTGCAACCTCCCATATTAATTTCTACCTTCAAACGCAGAAGTTGAACTAGATCTTATGCACCCGTGCTATGACTAAATTGGAGGGATCCAAGAAGCAGGGTTCCCAACGCTTTGGCAATGTGAGAATTCATGTCTAGCCGGGCATGTAATCACTATCTCCACCTGATACTTTAAGCCAGACATCAAGGTATATCTCCAATCTCCGGAGGCCGAGCATAATACGCTTGCCAGTCATCAATGTCACGTAACTTGTGGAATCCTGGCAGCTCTATACTTAACCAGCGCATTTTCATCCAACCCACGTCATGCTCTGTGCACCCCTCAAGGGACTCCTCTGGGTCAGATATATCGCCATTCGCAATGTCCTCTTCATCAAGTACCTCTGGTTCCCAATCGGCACGAGCTATGCGAATGAACCCTGTTTCATCATCAAACTCATCGGGGGCACTCAGAACCGATTCCATAGCTTCTTGGTCCACTATAATAAAAAACCGATATCGGCCGGTACGTGCATAATAGTCTTCAGCAACACCCTGTTCCTCTCTCCGTGAAGCCTTAGCCCATTGATTGAAATGCTTACGTAGGGTAGAAACCGTCGCGCCCTCGAAGGAGGGGTCTTCTAAGACCGTTGGGGCAAATGTATCGAGGAGATCAAGGCCACTGTAAAACTCAAGATACTCCGGGACGGCGCCTAGGAAGCGAGCTATGAATTTCTCCCAGTCAGAATTGTTTTGGTACGTGCATCGATAGATCACGAAGCCCCAGGTTTTGAATCCATCCTTTTCAAGGAGCGCTTCGAGCCGGTCGGCCTCATTCAGATCTGTATCCATTGTAGGATCGCGTTTCGAGGGAGGGACCATTGTTGTTGAGAAGGACTTAATAGTCTTGCCGACATATGATGGTATATACGCGGGCTTTCTGAGACGTGAAGGATGGTTGATAGGAGCAGGGAAGCGAACGACACTCGGGCGGGTGGAAAGGGCGAATTGGCTGTAAAAGCGTGGGTGTGTTGTTCGAAGAAATCCTCTGCTAATCATAGGTATGAAGGTCCCCTTTTTGTTGTGAGGCGACGGGGGTAGGAATGGGAATAAAAAGCTGGATGAGGTAGGGAGTTGGGCATGGTCCAGGGCCAAGCAGGAGTGGAAGCGAAGTGGTTGTAGTAACTCGGCTAGTTCTTAGCTAGTATCGCCACCGCCTTGCCGGCCACTTCATGTATTTATTAGTGACTCAGTTACTAGCATAAACAATGACGATGATTTGTATGTTTACTCTTATTATCAACCTTGCCTTATTGGGAGCATTCACGATTTATATTGCGTCATACGAGATGCTTCAGTTATTTCAACAATGTACTAATATGACCCACACGGAGTCTTATCGTATTCAACTAACTACTAAACTGCCATCTTGTTATGTAGAGATTCCCACGCACACTGAGTACCCGACCTCTAAATACTCATAGTCCGATCCAATCGCAGGGTTCCACTAGTATAGTTCTGCAAATGTGATATTATAGGTGGTCTCGATATTGGCGCATGAATCCTTGGCCACCACGGTGTAATACTTATTGCAGTTGGACGCGATCCCTGTTTGGGTGGGTGCCATTGTGGTCGCACTGGTCGTATCGGCTGAGGCCGGCCCCTTCACACAGTATGCTTCTCCTATCCATAAATGGGTACAGGTAGAGCCAACACTGGGGTTCCACCGGTAGAATTGCTCAAGAGTGATGTCGGACTTAGTCAAAACTGTGGCGCAACTATCGCTGTCGGTAACCGTGTAGAACTGCTGACATCTAGACACGGTATCTGTTGGAATAGGGCCCATGGTAGATGTGGTTTGAGTGGCAGTCCTAGTACTGGTCGTTGTGGTTCCTGTTGCAGGCATGGTCTTGCTGGTACTTGCGGACCCGACGCCAATACAAACGGCGCGCTCATCCGTGACCTTCAGATTGGCATAGAGGGCAGCATCACAGTCTCCCGCCAGCCAGCTGTTCCAGGACACAAGCTCGGCCAGAGTGAGGCTGTAGTCGTAGACGAGATCGTCGCAAGTGTAGTCTAACCTATATAATTACTATATGCTCGATCTAGGGCAAATGTTTCAAAGCTCATACCGGGAGAGTCAGACATGTCAATTGAAGTGAAGCAATTGCAATTTGATGCCGTGCCAGTTTCCGTCGCCGTTATAGGCCAGTAGGTAATGTCAGTATCCTCGGTTGCTATATCTACAGTTAGCCTTTCATCAATTTTGTACAACCAGGCAGGAGAGCTTACAGGCAGTGCTATTCTCATACCGCAGAATACAGTAGCTGTTCGCCATATTGAGATTGCAAGTGCTCGCGTTGTTTTCAAGACTTGGGTTCCATGCGACCAATTGTTTCATTGAGATGCCGTATCCTGCCGCCATGTCCACACACTGAGAGGTATAGTTGGAGGGATTCTCGTAGTCATAACAACCTGAGATGGTGCCTGAAGCAGTGGGCAAGAGCGGCGTTCCAGTATACTCATAGCCAGGATCACTCGTGGCGGTAGGGATGGCGGTATTCACGTAAGTGAAGTTTACGGGAGTGATAGTAATTGGCAGGACCCCAGTCACGGTGTAATTTAGGTAGCTGGTGATTGAGCCAACGGCCTTAACACAGTATGCCTCGTCAAGCTGGAGATTGGTACAGTTCGCATCGATCTCCGGATTAAGGAAATATAAATCTGTAAGGGAAATAGACTGGGCGAGAGAGACTTTGGCACAGTCATCGCCTTCTTGAACCTATAAAGACATTGAGTAAACAATCGAAGACCCCCATTCCGGGGAGAGAGAATGAGCGGCAATTACTTACCGTATACCACTGGCTGCAGTTGCGGTTGCTGATATCCATAGCATTCATTGGAACTGCTGCAAGGCCAGTCGCTACTGCAGTCGCTGTTGTGATGGTGCTTGAATCAGATCCACTTGTAGTATGATTTAGATAGCCACTTGGCAGGCTGTTAATAGCATGTCAGTCTAGCAAACATGCTAGCCTTCAAACATCCAGCCTGGATATACCATCCTCCTCGAATCACGACCCTAAAAGATCTATTTCACTCATGGCGAACGCCCAAGTGCCAACGAAGCCCTTTTCCAGAGGAATTCAATTCTCTTCATAGCAAGTTTCTTGAAAGCATGACGTGGCTTGTGGCTGTTTCGATTGCAGTACATTGCGTATTGCACATGTCGCATCGCGCTGAAAGGAGTATGCGGCTGATCACGTTGCGGAGATGATGTATGACTATGAGTTGAGGTTGAATGATGATATCAAGGAGCTACGTCCGATGCATTTGCAGACTGCAAATTCGCGGATGTCGGCCTTGAAGGCCAAGTAATTGGGACATGTACGCTGTCTGTGGGTTGAGCTTGGCGCTCATTGTGGGTTCAATCAGGTTTGGTGGGCAAAATGTGTCGAGGTCCATTAAGGAGACAGGGGATGTCGAGTATTGTCCGTGGTTGGAGACTTGTGGACGCTGCTTTGGACTGGTAATCTTATCGCAGTTTATACTGACCTGCATTGGTCGAAGTATAGAGCAGGCAAAGAAAGTGTGATTATGGATTCGAATTTCTTATTCTCATGACGTAGAGAATCTCCGTGCAGACCGCAGCCTGTCAGAGGAAAAGCGGAGGAAATTGCCCTCTACAAGACAACCCACTTCCTCTTAAGTAAATCATTCTCAACACCCCACCCCAAGAACGAACGACCAAGCATCCGTGCCATACAACAAACTCCAAGCTCAATGCAATTGTAAGACATGATGTGATATGCTTCCGGGTCGCGGGCCTCGGTCCCTGCAGTCGACTCGGGAGATCAAGATCAATTAGATGTATTCTGTATGCGAGTACGTTCCAGTAAAAGATAGGTCCGGGATACTTTATATGCGCTTCAATCGATTAGTGGCTTCTTCTGGTTGCCGACCAGAGCAACGCCTAGGTGATTGAGGGCGTTGGGATCGCTGGGCCGTATGATAGATGGGCCCCTATTCAAAAATTCCGGAGATGTGGCTCCTCAAAAAATAGTGTGGGACGTCAGAGATTTTGATATTTTGCTCATTAGTTCAGATTTTACTATTTCGTTTTCAACCTGTGTGACTGTACGTTTGTGTCGGCTAAATTATAGTAGTCTGTGCGAAGAAAGCAAGGGCAATGAGTTCGTACTATCCACCACTATTAAGCCAGTAACATCTATAAAGGCTGTGCTGGAAACAATACAAGGTCTGTAAATAATTTTACATTAGTGTATGGTCAGATTACCTTCCTTGTAACAGAAGTAAAACATTACCGGTTAGTCGGTCGATTGTTCGATCTAATGTGTCAAGTAGGCCTGAGTTAGCCCTAGAATACTATATCTGTTACTTAAGTATTACCGGACCAGTCCAATCATCTCAAGGTGGACTGAGAAGTCTAGTGAGTGTAAGAAGAGGGCATGTTGAGGCGATCAAAAGCGATGAAACCGGCTTTTCCAAAAAAATTTCCTTGACAGGCCCTTGCCTAGAACAGATGTTTCACAGGGTCGATGGTCGGACTTTTCCGAGCATGATAATGACGCTGATGATGAACCTGCTAGCCTACAATGGTAAAACCCCCTTGCTCAGTCTGCGGTCTCTGGTATATCATCAGCATAAACTATAGGACTCGATAGAGCATCGCTATTATTGTATGACCCAGAAAACCTAGCTACTGCGATTCGATTAACACTGATGCTTTCGTAGGGCCATTGGATCTCACCGGGTAAAGCTCCGACAGCATTCTGAAGCTGACATTCCTGTCCGGCCTTAGTTATTTGCCCCCATCGTAGCCGGTCAAACTCGGCCAGCAATCCATTAAGGATTTTTCGGTGATAATGCATTGCGATGCCCTTTGCGCCAATTTCGCAAGCGATGCGCTTAGCCGCCCTTTCTTCGAGCCGCTGTGCTTACTGGCTGTCATCTGCTTTGATAAATGCTGAAAGTAAGGCGATCTCTTGTGCTAGTATTGAATCCCGCTCTTTGTCGGAGACGTCCTTTGGGGCGAAAATAGTAGGCAATCCACTGGAGAAACACAGTAAGCTTATTGTTAGAAGAATGGAGTACTGGAATTTGACATACTTTGCGTAGGTTTGCATGACTATATTTATAGTATCTTCTAGGAGGTGTAGCCTTTCGCTCAAAATTTGCGATTGTATGTCTACGAAGGCAGCAAAATGATGCCAGTCTGGCTCGTATAGAGATTCGTTAATAAGTAGACTTGCCTATTCGTTAGAAGCCTCCTGGCACCTTGCACAGGCATCTTGGTTGATCCGGATTGCTATATGAAGGTGACGTCGGACTTTATGACTGAACTTGCAAGAGCTTGCCTCGTCAAGAGCTATTGCAAGCCCCCCTAATGCTTTATCGATGGATGATAAACGGTGAGAAAGCTCTTTAACAGCTTCAGTGGTAGAATCGGTTGCTTCGATAATGTCCAAAAGGGCAATGACGCTAGACTGGGCCTCTTTTACGGATTGTGCCGTGAACGTGCTGGTATGCGTCGGCTGAGTCATTATAACTAGGCAAGGGTCATAGTGAGTCCGCGCTTTTTAGATCCAGAAAACCTGGAAGAAAACTTACTGTAATATAGGAGCGTGACATCAAGATATATCCTGGTGAAAAGAGGACGACGATTAATTATTCTCATTAAAGAGCGGACGGTGTACTCACTTTATAACAGAATTTGGAAAAACGCCCCTTATTTTGACACGCCGTGCAGTTATTGTAGGGCCCGTAAACAGCCTGAGCTCCTAGGAGCATGGTGGGCTATGACCGGACAAGAAAGTAATCAACAAACTAGATTGCACGTCTCAGAACTATCGCCGGTCTAGCAGGCTCCTAGGAGCTAGAAGTTCGGGACCTCACAAAAGGTTACGATTGCCTATAGATGCGGAAGCTTATTCGTGCTAGAGGTGATTTTGCCGGTACATTCCGCAAGTGTAGTCATCAGTGGGTATGGCCCCGATGAAGAAGCAAGGATTCGAGCAGATCCATTCAATTGCCCCGGCATCATCATTCTCCACGGCCGGTTAGGAGATTAGGGGTGTACTAGAAAGAATGTTCCCAGAAGCATATAGTATGAGAACATAACACTGATTGGTTGAGCAAGGAGCCAGCTCCATTATGGCGCATTTAATTGCAGTGGGATTGTCAGGATGAATAGTCATATTGATGATGCTAATGCTTTTTTGATGGGACAATGGGCGTAACTTAGTGAGGCAAGGTCGTACGTGATTCAGGCTAGCGTAGTTAGTGCATTTTATTGAGGTCGCTTTGTAAGCTGCTCACGCCGACGCTCAGAGGCGGATCACTGAGCAGATCAGACTGCTCAGCTGAGTATCAAGTGTTGCTCACCGAGCAAGGTCTGAGCACTAAAACGGAAAGGGCACGCCAAGAAGTGGCAGAGGAAATCCTGTACGTAGGACGACTTTCGTGGTATACATCATGTCTCGTTTTTTTTTTGGCACATAACCTCTCCAGGCTACTGAGAAAGAATGCAATGGAGTCAATTATCGAACCAAAAGAAATCAAATTGCAAATGCCCCTCAACAACCCAGAATGCATCAGCTATGGTAAATGGTGAATATGGTAAATGTCTGCAAATGTAAAGCCGCATCTGAAGCAAATCATGTCGCTCGTGGGTATCATAAGCTCAATCGTCGTCCGTCAAATCCAATAACTCCAACTCCGTCTGCACTAGCGACTGGAATTCGCTCCGCGACATTCCCGTGGCCTTGGCCAACCGGAACAAGCTCTTGATGCTCGTGCCAATGTGCTGCTTCACGCCCACTTCGTATGTGGACTGGCTCTCGGCTTCCTGCTCCAGTCTGGCAACATGCTCGGAGCTGTTTGAGGATGCTGATTCTGGCCGCGGGTGGCTCAATCGTCTGCCTGCTTCGTGGTGGGGCACGTCTTCCGCCGCGTAGCCGTTTGTACGAGGTATTTCTGAGCCAATTCCGTCGACTTGTCGCCGCAGAAGACTGGAGAGCATGTCTCCGTTCAAGGATGATGGCCCGACTTCGGACTGCTCTTCTTCGGGGTCATGGCTGTCCATGGCGGGTTGCACGTCGCCGTACTGGGAGAAATATGATGCCTCGGACTGACCAGGCCGGAGGTTCGAACCAGCACGCGGTGCGGGGGTCTTGACGCCGGGTGTCCGGCCGGGAGTGGCATCATACTGGGCCCAGTAGTCATCGTCATCATCCTCCTCCTGGGCCTGTTCGCCGTTGTTCGAATGCGCTGGGCGGCTCGTGTCCAAGGCGTCGGTAAAAAGCTTTTCCTTTGCCTGGCCATTCGCCTCGCCGATAGAAGAGGCCCAAGTGTGTTCATCCTCAGCAGGAGCTTCACGCGGCAGTAGTTCTCCCACTTTCCAGCCACGGCCCTGTTCGTCTGTCGGACACCACAGGTAGATCACCGCCAAGTTGTATTCAGACAGCACCACAAGTGCCCGCAGAGTTTCCTCATCGATCCGCTTGTACGTCACCGGGAGATCTTCAGTGAGTTCAATCTCACCGGACACCGGGTGCGGTTCAAAGGTGGTGCCGTCGACGACGCCCTGTAGGCGCTCCGCTTTGGCGGCGTCCCAGCAGAGCAGGTGTAACCAGGAGTCGGAGGGGGAAGTGGAAACATCGGTGAGGATTTGAACACGTTGACGAAGGATCGGAGAGAGGAGAGGGAGGAGCGCCGGGGGAGGGCGTGGCGAGACGAAGGCTGTCGGGAGACAAGCGAGAAGAGGCGGGAGCAGTGAGCGCGGGTCCGGAGGGCTGATGAGTTCGACCATGGTCGAAAATAGAGCCCTATCGTCTCAATAATAACGAGAGGAAAAAGTGAGGAGAGAGGAAACTGAGGAGCTGGGGAAGAGCTCTCCGCAAGATCAGAAGACCGCAAAAGCCTCCATTCGCCCGAACGTGGGGCAGCAGAATCGTCAAATCGGCGGCCCGAGAACTTACATTCGATGCAGGTCCATTCTGGATGCGCCAATCAGGGCGTGGAAAAAGGAAACAGGTGTTGGCTTGTGCTTTCATGGGTTTATTCTTTTCCGCTTTCGGTATTCTCTTGTCCTAGCTATCTCGATTGTATGTCTGTGGTACCTGATCTCAATGTAACGCTGTGCGTCACGCCCGGATCAAGCATAACATCAATAGAAAAATAAACACAGGAAGAGAGAGATTTCCTATAGTCCGAACTTCGTCCTTAGATTTAAATTCGCGCTGGAAAATCCTAGTCGGACCAACGCTAAATGCCCGCATTCGGTGTGTTTTTAATGCATTCCTCACATGCGAGAAAAAAGAAAGAGAGTGCCGCTCAACTCAGCGCGCCCCTCGTGAAACCCGCCCAAGTCTGGTTCGTGATGATTACATTCGTCTTCGGCCTGCTGATGCTGTGTACCGCTTTTATTCATACCTGGTGGGAGACGATCGCCCTGCCTGGTATCTACCCCGGTCTGACATACCTCATTCGTGCTGGGTACCCTCGTCGCGAGCAGCAGTTCCGATTCGCTTTCCCATCGCTCTATTATCATCTCGGTATACGCACAGAAATAATCCACAGAAATGTATTTCTATAACTGTTTAATCCTTTGAATCATGATCTATAACCACCGTCTCACCCGAGGGTGGTGTCGAGTCTCTACTATCATCAGGAAGCCTCCGACACTGCTCTTCTAAATCAGCCACAGAAGGTGAGCTGCCCAGAATGTTGTTTCTTCGTATCTGAATGCTTCCACAAGGAGTATTCGTAGGCGTATGCATATTTATGTACCAGCGTCGATGTTGGCGGGCTCCGGGATAACACATCCTCCCTTGGAACAACCCGTTGAGTAGTGGCCGAATGCTAACGAGACAGGGGGCGATGATGAGAATGGCGCCATCAACGATGGTGAGGATGCCTAGTTTTACGGAGAACCCTATAATTTCCGTTAGTTTCATTCTCTTTGAGTCGATCCTCACAACATACAAGTCCCATTGTATAGTTCAGAGTCCGGGCCCGCCAAGTAGACGACTACCCGTAGAATACTCGCCACAATTCCTCTGCAAAAGTCAGCATCGATCCAAATTCCCCTTGAGAGAGATATCACTCACACTCCGCCTAGCAGGAAAACGCCCGTCAACGCCAACTTCTGCCCCCTGGGTGCATGCAGCTTCCAAACAACTGGCATGGGTATCACGAGGAGCAGAATACCCGTGAATACATTAATCGGCGATATAACACCATAGACAAGCATCTGATTGATACACGATCCATGAGCAGGCGTTTTGTTCCAGCTATAGTCGATAGGCGTGCACTGGAATATCGTCTGGAAGAACATTGCAATGCCTAGACCGAGAACTGGAAAGCCCACTAAATAGGCGAAGATTTTAAATTTGCGGGTGTAGAAGATGCGCACGTAGAAGAAGAGTAGGGAGATTTTGGCTGGTGTGATTGTGAGGGGGAAGTCGAGGAGTTCGACGACCCAAAAACCCTTTGATCGTTATGTTAATGGTTGTCGCTGGGTGGAATCAGGTGAGGAGATACCTTTCGGATGAGAGTGAAGTTTTGAACACGTTGCTCAATATCAGAGAATGGAGTGCCTAGTCCGGCGACTTCGATCACTGCCATGGTATTAATCTCTTGTCGGGTTATGTAGAACTTGATGTACTTACGGACGATAAAGATGACTGCCTTTCCGAGACTCCCAGCCTGGAAGAGAACATCAGCATTGAGATAACTTTAGATTTATAAAGAGACACATACCAAGGCAATGAGCATGACCCAGTCATCGCAACCAAAATGCTCGCGTTGCAAACGCCGAGTATAGAACCTCGCAGCGACAAGCACGATCTGAAGCACAGAAAAAACAACGCTAACACCAAGCAAACCTTTGCCATCATTCAACAAATCGCCAGCCATGACGATCTCGCACAAGTGTTCATCGAGCTATCGTCCACATCTGAGTCAAATGGGACTATGATCTGGATCTGCAGGTATGCAGATCAGACAGCGGCTCATGCCATATTTCTACCGCGTAGCCACCTGAAGTCTATCGATCACCGTAAAATCCCTGCAAAGTCTATCGGGCGCACATACTCGACACCTAACCCCGATAAAATTCACTTTCGGGGACGACCCAAAGAAGGTATCGAGGCTGTGAGGTCTGGCCGAGTGCTGTGGCGTCGTATGGCTGCGTCGGGATTAAGGGAAGATGTCTCCGTACAGGTCTACGGAGACGCGAATCCGAATCCCCTGTCAGCGGGTTTTGATTGGGGCGCTTCAGTTTATGGTTGACCCAGGTCTCACTCTGCTGGCCTCGACTGCGCGGAAGAGCACTCGGTTCCGGTCGGGTTGGGTAGAATCCTGACATCATGACCGGACCGGGAACCATTCCTCAGGGTGGTCTTCTAGAAGTCTTCCAATCCCCCAGTCCGATCCGGTGTTCGGTGAAACTCTTTTTTTATCATCCATTCACGTCCTCAGTTCTCCCTCGTGTTTCCCCGTCAAACCGCTGTTTCGCACCTGGATCGAGATGGTGTTTGACTTTGCTCGGAGCCGTTGTCTGCGCTTCCCGATATGGCTTACCTGCATTTGGACGATTCCCCGGAGGCTTTTCCTAACGTATCATCAAATCAGAGGGCGTTCCAGAAGGCGAAAGTGGTTCTTTACTTGAACCACGCCTTTTAACCACTCCATTTTAACACCTTCCCTTTTAAAGACCTTCATTGACCGTCTACATTTTACCTATCAAGTCCATACCCCACTTAACTGACCGCTCTAATATATCATTTGCCTAGAGCAATCGCGGATTGTATTATGGGATGTCTTTAGTTCGACGATTTTTATGGGTATCCCTAGGTCTAGCTCGCAGTTCGGGCGACGCAAAGGGCCTAAATGAGGCCTCTAGCTGGTCGTAGGGGCAGTCCTAGTAGGTGGCGTAGCTCTAGGAAGAAAAGTAATATGACCACGCGACGCGTTATTTTACTGGATTCTAGCAAGTTTAGCGTGCCAGATATACAGTAGTGGGCGGTATAGGCAAGACAGAAGGGCGGTCTCTAGGGGTTAAAGGTCCCACATGATACAGTAGCATTTGCGAAGCGTCAGAAGTTTACCAACGTACCTCGCGACGAGAGTAATATTCCGCCAGTCGTACTCTTTGCAGCTACAGAAAGCCGGACGGTGAATTTCAATATGGAAATTCAAAGGTTGTATTTAGCAGGGGTTGACAATGCGACAACGAACGAGAGTGATCTTGTTCCTACGGGATTATACAGTGAATCTATTCGTCGATGCGATTACGATACCGAGGAAGCTGGCTTCCGCCTCCTACTTCCGTTTGCACTGCGGCCTGATTTTCGTGATAAGGACGGGGCGAGGATGAGTGACGGGTCATTAGTTACCTCGGGTTCCCTCACGGAACTATTTAAACATGGCTGTTTTCATCCGTTTGGGGGTGAAGGGCGGGCGCAGAGATTAGAAAGGCTGTTCAGCCGGTGGACAGAACTGATCGAAAGTGGCGTATGGACAGTGGGGAGGGAAGGTGTGGAGGGAGCAGTCGATAAATTCCGTGATGCAGACAGTGGTAATGGTTCCTGGATGGGTTATTGGATTGCGCCTGATTGGTGATACTACGCTAGTCATTCTAATGTTTATGAAGACAAACACAGAATTCATCTTTTGACGCAACCGAACCGACGCTGATGGACGTGCAGAAAGTCAACTCCTCAGTTCATGAAGATTATTCACCATATGGAATCGACCCATGGCAGCTAATAAGCGCCATCACTTAAAATTCCGGAGCAAATTATCAACAAAAATGATTGATCCCATGTGAAAATTGGGGCTAAAGTGTTCATCAACATGTCTAAATTGAAAGTCATGGATGCTAGACAATTAAGTACAACTACCTCTAAGTATGTGGCCGAAGAAAAAAAAAGGGGTATATGGCAAGGAAAGTTGGCGAGGACGAGGGAAGGAAGTAAGCAGGACACGAAGATATGGGCCAGGAAAGCTGCCGCCCAAGCCTTAAGCCACACGATCCTTTTGTTCCAGTTTCGCCACCAACTTCTTCATGCCCGTCCATTCGTCAGCGGGTACTTCTTCCGGAGGCCCTCCCAGACCCTTTCCAACCTCGAAGACGGTGACCACGCCATTGAGTCCACCGGTTGCCAATCGCCTGCCTTCCCGCTCTTCCCACGCAACCTTGTTCAGGCTGCGGGATAGGACGCCGCCAGGTCCGCGCGAGGGGCTGGCCTTCACGACGGGAACCTCGGTGTCTACATGCAGGTCCCATACTTCGACGTTGCCTGCACCGTCGACGAGCGAAAATACGCCTGGTCTGTGTGGGGACCAGCGCGCGTCATACACCACGTCTTCACGAGGGATGTCGAGAATCGGCGAGATGGCTTGCGCTGAGGCTGTACCGGATGTAATGGAGGCAGTGGTCGCCGGGGGACGCACTCGCCAGAGTTTCACGCTCCAGTCCAGACTGGAACTCAGCATCAGGTCGCCCAGATCAACGGGTCCGCGGGCGGGGTGGAATGCTGTAGACATGATCGGTCCTGCGTGCCCGCGATATGTGAGGCGGTAATCGATGCCGGCTTTTGCTCCCGCCCGGTCATACCGGTGGCAGGGATAGATGCCTCCCTCTTCGGTACCGACAATGAAGAAGGTTGGGTCAGACTGAGGGAATGACATGGTGGTTGGTGCGAGATCCTCCGTTTTGGAGGGTGGAGGAGTGGTCAGCTCGAGGTACTCCTGTGGTTGGGAGAGCATATCCACCGACCATCCACAGACTACTCCGTCGGTGGAGGCGGTTAGAATGTTGTGTGCATTCTGAGTACCGATAATTGAGATGTTGTAAACCGGGTGAGTATGGCCGGACCCGGTCAGTGGTGTCTTTTGAACGGGGGCGCCGCCGCCGGCGCGCGAGGAACGGGTGTCCCACAGGAGAACCTGTCCTGAATACGAGCCTCCCACAATAAGATTGGGATGGAAAGGAGAGAATTTGGCTGTAAGGATGTCGGAAGTAGAGTGGAACACATATTCTGGGCGAGATTGCAGGTGTTGATTCCAGACCTGAACGAGGCCGTCTGGTTCGTGAGGCGCAGAGGGGTTCTTGGTGTACGATGCCAGGACCAATTCCGGGAACTCAAGAGAAAATTAGCACAGACATTCTCATATCGCCAGATAGCGAAGACATACCTTGGGTGAGAAGCTGATGTCACTAATCATTCGCTTCTTGCTCCATCGCTCGTCGTAGAACTGGCAGACCTCGCGAATGCCTCTCCTCTTCTTGCCGGTCTCCTCATCTTCTTCCAAATCCCCGTCGACACCGCCCAGTTCATAGTCTGCGAGAACATCATAATCCTCGTCCAAAGCTCGCTCAATAACCTTTGATGAGCGCTCGACAAAATCCAAGAAATCGTTTGACGACGTCACGGCCTTGAGCTCGTCATCGTCCAGTGTACGCAGAGGGTATCGTAATTGTGCAGATGCCGCATTTTGCACATCAATTCCTTCTTGACCGGTCGCCTGCAATTCCTCTTCGATCTCCTTGCGGATCTTCTCTCGGATCTCATCGTCCCGCTCACGGTCCCGTCGACTGACACGCTTGTTCGACCGTGTGGTTCCAGCCTGCTCCTCACCATCAGAAGCAACAGATCCATCAACGGTTTCATCCTCCTGATCCAGTTCATCTGTTTGCACGGCTTTGCTGTAGGTGACAACTTCGGTCTTGGGTTCAGGGGCGGACCGGACTTGAATTTCGGGTGCGGAAGTGGTGTATGGCTCCTCCCCAACAGTCTGCACGGCAATGGATGTAGATTGCGGTCTCGGCGAGGGCGCGTAATTCTCTGCATTTTCCCCGCTGAGCTGGCTAGCACTGAGTACTGAATTTGGGCGACTTCCTCTCCGCGATAGGCCCTCCGCGCCGTGGCTCTGGGATGCCGACCCCGGGCGGTCTACCAAACGAGAAATCAAATCATCGAGCTCTGCTCTGCTATCAGCAGAGCGGCTAGTAGGGGCTGGAGAGGCAAGCTATTTTCAAATTCATTAAATCCCAAAGAAACCCATGTAAGTTGTGTTCGCGGGCCGGTCTTACCTCTGAAGCATCCCCAACACTGTTCCTAGTGGTGGTGAACTCTTTTTGACGCAACTCACGCTGTTTCTTCAGCTCCGCAAGCTTAGCTCGCTTGGCTAAAATCTCATTCTTGCGCTGCTGAACGGACGACATCGTAAATCAACGTCGAGCCAAGTTGTTGGAGCTATCGTAGCGTTCCGAGTGGCTTGTTGACTCGGCCATGAACAAGTCGCGCCAACTCGCCAAATCCGGCACCGCTTTTGGCAGAATCGCAGAATCGATAGCTTATCGCGTAGCTCTATAATCATCTTCTTCAACTTTCAATTCACATCGAATCACATCATTTCGCCTCGCATAATGTTGTGCATTCGATTTTGGCCCACTCAGGGGCCTATGCACGTTGTTTACAAGCCCAGAAATATCATCATAATCCTCAGCCAGTCTCAGCCAAATACGTGGAGGATTGAGGCAGTCTTCGGAAACAACACCACCAAGTGGAAGAAAATGACGGGAAGAACGGTGCTGCTCTATCCTAAGCCTCAGTCAAATCATAATACACCGAGGCGAACAACCTCGATAGACAGGCTGCGACGCGGATTTATATGCAAATGTCGTATTTTTAAACAGACCTTGATGACTTCGTTAACTATTCAGCAAGTTCGGCCTGAAAGCTTGGGTGACTAAGAGAATTAAAAAGATATCTAGAAAAAGGTTTGAAGAGGCGCCCAGGAAGAGGTATAAAATCCAAACAGTGATCGCTGATAAGCTCTTGGGGTGCATTCTGTCGCAGTAGCCGCTATTCACGCTCGTATACTTGCTCGGGCGAGAAGTGTGGACACCTTTTTCAAGAGGAGAATAATGAATCTAAAGCCATGTGTGCCATTTTGAAGATATTCGTAATGCCTCGCCAAGTTCGGTTGTTCTCGGATTCGTGGGAAATGCGAGGATACTTATACTCGGGCGGGGGAAAGACTGTCTGAACGAAAGATCACCGGTAAACGAAGTATATTTGCAGAACCTGGTCTATCAGTTACTAAAATCATACTCTGGCCATGTCTGACATCAAAATTCAATTGTGAAGAAGTGTCGATAGTAAAAAGTAGAAGTGCTCGCATCAATTTCCTTTTATTTACCCCGTACCGGGATGACATAAGCGGCCCGAACGGCACCGGAAAAACTCGCGCAGAACAGGGACTGAACCTCGCCTTGCCCAACCCCAGAGTTCACTGCCATTGACGATTGACTCCTGTTGAACGGTCCTTCGGTTTCCCGCTCTTTTTTTATTCGTCACATATCCATCCCCGGAGAGCTTTGCAGAAATGGCTAGCCAGGGTGTCAACGTGAGTTGCACAGCGAACCCCCAAATCATCCCATGCGAGATCGGATGTTGACCACCTTGCGAATTGACAGGTTCTCCGCTACTCGGCTCTCGTCGCCGGTCTTGTCTACGGTGTTTACCACCAGTCTTCGCTCAACTCCGTTGCGAAGCGCACAGAGGTCGAGCATGAGTACGCACGCAAGGAGCGCCTGATCGAGCAGGCTAAGGCCGAGTGGAAGAAGAAGACCCAGCCCCAGGAGACCAAGCAACAATCCAGCGGCCGTATGTGACACCTTATACCCTGCCCAATGGCACTTTGGAATCGGTATCCGAAGGAGCCGAGTTGTCTTATCCTGCACAGCACTGACTATTCTCTCTCCTACAGTCATCACCGACCCCGAGAATCCCAAGTTCGACCTCGAGGCGTTCTTGCAGGCCAAGGCCACGGAGTCGTCTTAAAGAAGATGAATGGAATAATGGAGGAATGAATACGCATCTATTTGCGGAACTCGCACCTCCCCCCAGGGTATTAGAAGTGGTTTGCTCGGGTCCCTTTACTGTACGATTGATTGGGTTCTTAATTCGCCCCCGAGTTGCAACATTGCGAGCGAAAGATGGAATGATTTCTTTTTGATTCGTTTTCTTTCTTTTACTCATCGTTTTAGACGTTATCATTTGGGTCCTGTACATACCCTGGGCTGTCGTGCGTCTGTACACTACAGTTGGACCACAATAAAGAGCAAAAGATCGTGTTATGCATTCCGGCGTTATCATATGCTTGCCTTGACCAGTCTATGTTGGTCTGGCGCTTTGCTTCCGTCCTTGACTTGCTATGTCGACGGGTTGTGTAGACGCGTCACGTTATGGCGGGTTGTATCAAATTCTCCTCGGAACTCCAGCAACCTGTTTCATTCTCAATCCAATGCGCCTCTAGCTTGCACGGCTTCCGAGCATTGCCATCGCATCACGGATACCAGTGGAGGGTTGTTCCTCGGTGGACGGAACGGTAATCGGGACAGGGTGAAGTAGTTGACTCTCCGGGCTCCACGTCCACCCGCAGTCGGTAAATTTCTGTATAATGCTCTGGTCGCCTTTTTCTGCGGCCTGCGAATCAAGACCCAAGTAGGCCGCCGCCACAGCAGGCCGTATCGCCTCGTAGGAAGTGCTGACAGCGATCAAGGTTCGGTCTTGGAAGAAGCCTAAGAAATGTTAGCAATCAAAGCACTTCTTAGCAGGGCCCAGAATTCATACTTTCGTATCTTCGAACTAAAGGGTATAGTGGCTCTGGCCATGGCAAATTCCTTAGGGTTTCGTAAACTTGAGCATGCTGAGTCTGCCATACCGCTCGCAGCAACGTAAGGCAATTCTGCAGAGAGGGGTCTTGATGCCGTAGGGTCTCTGGCATTCGCTGGGTCAACGCGCGGGCTTCTGGTCTTTAGGTCGTCAAGCTTGAATTTAGCAAATGTGCGCCAGAGCATGATGCGGGAGTACTTACACTTGGTTGGTGAGAAGGTGGGCGAAAAAGAAGCTGGAATAGAATAGGCTCAGTAGCTGAGGATCACCACCGCTAGCATCTGGGTGACCGCTATCCGCTACCATGAGACAGGCATCTGATTCGTACCGCGAGAGGATCTCGAAGAGCTGTGAAGGAGGCAGGTTCGACGCAGCCAGCTGCTCGAGCTGCGCGGTGGAGAGCGGCGGCAGCTCCATTACGGGAAGGTTGGCCTGATCAGATCTGCTTTACTGATAGCTTAAGCAGTTTCCGTGATCAGCAGCAGTAAAAAGTTGTAGGCGAGAGTAGACGAGGATCATTGATGCGGGGAGCAGTCGGAGGTGGCACCTTTCCCCGATGCCAAGACCTTCAGAAGTGACCACCTTGCGCAGCTCTCTCTCTTCACCCAACTCCCTTCGGCCCACGTCCATTGGCAGCTCCCCCTTCGTTTCTTGTTTCATGTGTCATTTTTGATTTCTGATTCTGGACTTTGCTCCTCCTGGCCATTATGGCCGAGTCTTCTCTTGATGTTCTGCTGAAAGGCAGCTCCGGCCGGAACACGCGCGGTCTACTGCGGATCATTATCCTGTTAACGATTGCTGCCGCCGCCGTGTCCAGTCGTCTGTTCAGTGTGATTCGTGAGTTCTGAGCCAATGCCTTTCCAATTGCTTGTACTAACTGTCAATTTCAGGATTCGAAAGTATTATCCACGAATGTATGATCCTCCCCTTGTCGTTCACGCAGTATACAACGTGGCAGCGGCCACAATGCACAACTTCCAGATATTGACCAATTCGAATTGCAGTTGACCCCTGGTTCAACTTCCGAGCAACAAAATACCTTGTCCAAAATGGCTTCTACAGTTTCTGGGATTGGTTCGATGACCGTATGTTCACCCCCTCACAAAGGCTTGCGTGTCCCCGTGGTATCACAGGACCTAATAGGAATTGCTTGTCTTTTCAGGAACCTGGCACCCCCTGGGTCGTGTCACTGGTGGCACATTGTACCCCGGTCTCATGGTGACCAGCGGCATTATCTACCACATCCTACGCTTCCTCACCATCCCCGTCGATATTCGAAATATCTGCGTCCTTCTCGCCCCCGGCTTTTCGGGCCTAACAGCCCTGGCTATGTATTTTTTGACCTGCGAGATGTCCTCGTCGCCATCCGCCGGTCTTTTGGCTGCCGCGTTCATGGGTATTACGCCCGGTTACATCTCGCGATCTGTGGCTGGTAGCTACGATAACGAGGCCATTGCCATCTTCCTGCTGGTCTTCACCTTCTTCCTGTGGATCAAGGCCGTGAAGAATGGCTCGATCATGTGGGGAGCGCTGACTGCTCTGTTCTACGGATACATGGTCTCTGCTTGGGGTGGATATGTCTTCATTACTAACCTCATCCCTCTCCACGTGTTCGTTCTTATCTGCATGGGCCGCTACAGCACCCGTCTTTACATCAGCTATACCACGTGGTATGCTCTTGGTACCCTGGGAAGTATGCAGATCCCCTTCGTGGGATTCCTGCCCATTCGCAACAGTGACCACATGTCCGCGTTGGGTATCTTTGGACTCATCCAGCTCGTGGCATTTGCAGAGTTTGTTCGCGGCTACCTGCCCGGAAAGCAGTTCCAGAAGCTGCTAACTTCCATGGTCTTCCTTGTCTTCGGCCTTGGATTTGCCGGTCTGATCCTGCTGTCTGTCTCGGGTGTCATTGCCCCGTGGAGTGGTCGTTTCTACTCCCTGTGGGACACTGGCTACGCCAAGATCCATATCCCGATTATCGCATCGGTGTCCGAGCACCAGCCTACGGCCTGGCCGGCCTTCTTCTTCGACCTGAACTTCCTTATCTGGCTCTTCCCCGCCGGTGTTTTCATTTGCTTCCAGAAGCTGAAGGATGAGCATGTCTTTGTGATCATCTACGCCGTTCTGTCCAGCTATTTCGCCGGTGTCATGGTCCGTCTGATGCTCACGCTCACTCCTATTGTCTGTGTCGCGGCCGCCCTGGCTCTGTCGGCTATTCTCGATAACTTCTTGGTTTTGTCGAAGCCCGACCCCGAGGCTGTGGCCAAGGCTAGCTCTGATGATTCCAAGTCTTTCCGCTCGTCTCGCAACGCTGTTGTCGGCATCTACTCGTACTTCTCTAAGACTGTCGTGACCTGCTCAATGTCCCTTTACCTTCTTCTGTTCGTTGCACACTGCACCTGGGTCACCTCGAACGCCTACTCCTCTCCTTCGGTTGTCCTGGCGAGCAAGATGCCCGATGGAAGCCAGTTCATCATCGACGACTACCGTGAGGCCTACTACTGGCTCCGCCAGAACACCCCCGACAATGCCAAGATCATGTCCTGGTGGGACTACGGCTACCAGATTGGTGGGATGGCGGACCGTCCTACCCTGGTGGACAACAACACCTGGAACAACACCCACATCGCCACCGTTGGTAAGGCCATGAGCTCCCGCGAGGAGGTCAGCTATCCTATCCTGCGGCAACACGATGTGGACTACGTCCTGGTTGTGTTCGGCGGTCTGCTCGGCTACTCGGGCGACGACCTAAACAAGTTCCTGTGGATGGTCCGTATCGCCGAGGGTATCTGGCCGGATGAGGTGAACGAGCGTGATTACTTCACTTCCCGTGGCGAGTACCGCGTTGACGAAGAGGCTACTCCCACCATGAAAAACAGCTTGATGTGAGTTCTTTCCCTCTCTTGATTCCTGGTATCTTATCACTAACTCGACCAGGTACAAAATGTCTTACTACAACTACAACTCCCTCTTCCCGGCCGGCCAAGCCGTCGACCGCGTTCGTGGCGTGAAACTGCCGGCCGAGAGCCCGCAGCTCAACACCCTCGAGGAAGCGTTCACCAGCGAGAACTGGATCATCCGCATCTACAAGGTGAAGGATCTGGACAACCTGGGCCGCGACCACAACAACGCCGTCGCCTTTGACAAGGGCCTCAAGCGCAAGCGCGCCACCAAGAAGAAGGGCCCTCGCGTTCTGCGAACCGAGTAGACTCGTCTTTTACGTTTTGTTTCTTCCATTGATTCTTGTGATTGTGATTTTTTCCGGCATAGCAGGCATGTCCTGTCCCGCGTGTGTTCATTGATCGATATACTCTCTAGCTCGCTTAGAACAGTATACAATGAACGCCTTTGAAAAGATATCCGTCTTAAACAAGTCCCTAGTATGCACTACGTAGCACGGTAAGAAAGGAGAAGAGATTGGCATTCGCAATCGGGGCCTATGCACAAGAAAAATCCCCGCCAATCCACTCTGTACAGTACAAGGTAGACGTAGATGCCAAACAAGATAAAATCGCTGCCGCAGATCACAAGTTGCGCTCTGCCCAGAAGACTCCATAACCCCAATTTGCTCCGTTGCTGGTTTCCAGCCGAGGGGAGGCCATGTCGGCTGTGTCCCTCTTGAAAATGATGCGACTTATATGGTACACGCAGAGCCAGTCAAAGCCATTCCGGACTGGGACTGGGTGTTGGTTTCGGGCCCGTTGGCTCTAATTCTTCTGCGCGGGGGCGTCGGGCACTTTCACGTCGGAGAATTCTTCTTGACCGACGGCGCGGATGGTGTAGACATCTATGAAGAGAGGAATAGTGGTCAGCAGACTGATCCTGTAGACTCGGAGAGTACGGTGGGTTGGGGTGTTCCTTGTGGCACCACCAGTCTGCAATTGACTCTATGGCATGATTGTCCACGCCGAGAGAAGAACAGAGGGTAGACCTGGAAGTTCAATGGGAGTAACATACAGACACCGATCGAGAAGGCAAATAGACCGAAGCCGGTGAGAGCGTTCTTGACCAGGAACGGCCGGCGAGCACGCAGGAGGGCGGCGCCGGCGCGGTAATCCTTGCCGTAGTATGTAGAGTTGAAGCTAGTGAAGACGTTAGAATTGTCAGTTTGCAGACAGAAAGGTCAACGTACATTCCGCTGGCCATGGCGAGAGAGGAGTGGTCAAGGAAGGGAAGAAAGTCAACGTCGAATTGTATGCGCGGGAAGGTGAAGTCTTGGCGCTGACTCGCATTTGTATCTGCACCAACTCAGGACTAGCTAAAACATACATTTGGTAGGGATTATTCAAGTATTTCAAGTCTTAAGGATAGCAATCGGAGCTACAAAGGAACTCGCCTTCGTATATCGCCCTCTGGCATAATTGGTCTTTGGACGTTCGCGTAACGTTCTGCGCAGCCATAGATCGCCTGTTGCCATTTGATCGGCGTTCGGTCTTCGGGCCAGATAGAAACACCCGTAGCATCCAGGCGCGCATTGCTGTTTTCTCCATCCTTTCGACTTTCAGTTCTTAGGCGTCATATTTGACGTTGTGGTCGACAACCGGTCTCTGTCATCGCCAACGTTCCCCAACTTTTCTCGGCCCCTGCGGACCTCGTCTTTGCTTCCTCCGTAACCCACCCTTCACATCCCGGCACCACCAAATTCCTTCTACACATCCGATCCGCCCTCCGTCACGCGTTCTCGCCATCATCTCCAGCTCCGCAAGTGTATGCGCGTCCTTTTCGCCTGGGCCGCAGCTCTATCCGCGCTCCGCTCTGATTAGATCGGACACCTTGACACCCAACCCATTGAACCTGCCAACCCAGCTTACTCTTCTCGAACCTCCTGTCGCGCACCTTCCTCCTCCCTCGCTGCCGCGATGGCTCAAACGGCCGATGTCGCCAACCAGCTCACCCAGCTAAACTCGGCTCGCAATCTCGTCCTCGGCGACGCCGCTCTCTACCCGCAGATTGTAAACGGTATCCTCCCGATCGTAGGTGCCAACTCAAGGCTGGAACTGCGAAGATGGGGCATGGAATTTATGGCCGAGACCTTCTCCAGCCCTGTGTTGGCTACAGCGCAGAAGGAGCAGCTCGCGCCGAACATTCTGCAGACAATTCAAGAAATCCTGGTGCTGCCCGAGTCTGATACGGCTGTCCTGGGGAGCTTGGTACAGACTGCGGCTAGCTTGTATCCATTGGTCTTTCGCCATATGTATGTTTTCTACGGTGGTTTTCTTCTGGGATTGAGTTCTATGGGTTTGGTGATGGATGCTGACACTCTTTGATACAGTGTGAACCATCCGGAGGACAAGAAGTCTTGGGAGACAATGAATGCGATCAAGCAGGACATCCTTCGCCGAATGGATTCATTCCCGTGCCCTGTCAAGATCTGCTGTGTCAAGTTTTTACAGCGCGTGGTCCAAGTTCAAACGCCAGGTCTGATTTCGGACCCGAGGGTATGTTCACTAAACTCGTACCCTAGGACCGTTGCTGATTTATCCTAGCGTCCGGAACAAAATGAGACTTCGCTGGCTATTGTACCGCGAACGCACTCCGTTCTTGCCATCCCATACTTGGAGGCTGAAGCATCAGGCCTGCTCGATCGCTTACTGGACGTGTTCCAGGAAGAAACCAGGTACGAAAGACAGCACCATATCTGTACTTCTCTTCTAACTTCATGATAGTGATCCGTTGCTGGTCAATGCAACGCTCAACTGTCTTGCGCCTCTCATCCGCACGCGGCAGTCTATTGCAAACAAAATCATTAACGCTGTCGTTGATTTCTTTCCCGCAAAACATGTCTCCCCTCCAATCACGCCTGCTACGCGAGTCAGCGTCAAATCGATGGAGCGCACTGCTCGAGCCTTGTTGATCAATATTATGAAGAAGTATGGCCAGCCACGTTCCCAAATCAGCCCGCAAGGATCAAGGCTAATGGGACCCCAGGAACCAAAACCACCCTCTCTTCGGTAGAATGCAGATGTACATTGAGCGACTGATGCAGTCGCGACTGGAAGTGGTAGATGACGTTTCCCGTAAACGAGGATTGCCCAGTGAGCCGACAGACGGACTGGATAGCGCCAAGCGGGCTCGTCTCGATGCAGAGACTCCTCCGTTGCTTAAGATTCCTCCGATGGCTCCGGGTCCTGCGAGCATTGACAAGCTTTTCACATTGACCCAAGACATCGGGCTTTCCTCGTTCGATGTGAAACAGCTTCCTCCCGACCTCGTCGTGAAAATTGCCGTGCCTCTTCTTGCCCAAGTAAACCCGACATTGCTTACGCAGGCTGTCGATGTAAGAAATCATCCATTTTCGGTCTATTCACCGGCAGCTAACATATCTCCAGGCCGTTCGAACCCGATACCAAACCATAACTAGGGAGCAAACCCTCAAGCGCCAGCAGCAACATGCGGCCGCCGCAGATGAAGATGATGATTACGAGCCTGAATATGACCCAATGGACGTGGCGGATAATACCTCGGAGCAGGCCAGTGCCATTGCAGCCGAAGTAGCGGACCTTCAACCGGATCTCGTGTCACTAGGCCCATTCGTCCTGCCACAGCCGTCTCCACTGAGCGAAGAAGAAGCTGCAGAAGTCGGCCGTAGCGCAGTCGCCCGCGTATTCAGTATGATTAATGCCGCCGAAACCGACCCATCACTAGCCAAAGGCAAGACCCAACAACAACTTGGCTTTGCACGACTGGCTGGAAGCACATTTGACCGGGATGCGTGGGCTGTGCTTCTCTCCCGCCTTGCCACAAGAGCCCCAGCTGGCCTGGAGGGTGGTGGTAAAGTGGATTCTCGCCGGCCTACAATCTCCGACTCGATTCGTCAGACTCTGTATCGCTATATTCTTGAAGATTTCCGCGGCCGACTCAATATCGCTATCACCTGGCTTAGCGAGGAGTGGTACAATGATCGTGTTCAGATGAAGGCTGCTGCTACTCAACGTGATCAAAGTGACGAGGAAGATGATCAGGAGCCTGTTGTTCCTCTTCATTATGATGAATGGGTCGTTAAACTCTTCCATGGCTTCACGACCTACCTTGACGGCCGTGATATCAAGGTTCTGGTGCGGTTCCTCAGCGAGATCCCTGAGGTCACCCTCGCCATCCTGCAAATGGTGGCTGGTTTGGCCAAGGATCCAGAACGTGTCAATCTCTGTGTGCAAGCTTTAATGTACGTGTTTTCAATCCTGCTGGTGTCTCAATTCATACTAACGTGACTCCTAGGTACCTGACAATGTTCCGGCCTCCGGCACGTGAGATGTGCTTGAACACACTGGAGGATGTTTACCAGACTTGTATGTTGTTCCCTTACTTATTCCTTCACGGCCCTTACTAACGACCAATCACCAGACGAGGAATCCCGCCCTGCAGCAGGCAAAGTCCTGGCCAAATGGCGTCCGCAGAAGCAGCCTGCGGAAGCCAATGGTACTGCGGAGTCGACGCCTGCTCCCCCGCAGGAAGCACAGGCCAGCACTGCGCAGTAAGCAATGCATGTGAAGGAGATCTATCCCACTGGATGTTCTTTCTATTCTTATCTTGCAGTAGGATGACCTGCTGCACTAGTCATCTTTCGTATCCTATTTATTGAGCGCGGTCGTATTTAGAATTAAACCTGGCGCCGAATATACGCTGTCTAAATTTGTTTTGCTGCATCTAACGGAATACATTGCCAAAAGTTTGTACGAACTGTAGTACGATCTACGATCTGGCGGAGAAACTTAAATGGTCGAAATAAGATCTAATTCTAAGGTATCGATAGCTTCAGAAGAGCATGGTATTCTGCATAAAAGAGAAGCACACAAACATGATCTCTTACAAAGAACTCCTGCCAATGACCAACACAGAGGCACATATATGAGTGGTATGTACACCAAAAAAAATACCAGGTCAAAGAAAGAAAACCCAAAGGGAGAAGAGGGGTCCATTTCTTCCAGGAAAATCAAAATCAACTCCGATGCAGATCTTCCTAGAGTAAAAAAGCACAAAGAAAACTTCCATACCCCGTACACCACCTCATATGATAAAACAAAAAAAGAACCATTTCCTTTTCATGCAGACGTCGGATTGGGATTGAAGTAAGTTTCGAAACCCACATATTTTCCCCATATGTAAGGACAGGATGACACAGATCCCGTACAAGTTTCAGAGACATACACATGTTTCTCCTAGCGGAACGCTCAGAATACATTTGTTCTTGGCAACAGAATAGCGTAAAGGGGAATCTTCATTAGGGATTGAAAGAGATGCAAGACCGTGGAAATCAGGTCAATCAGGGACAGCGATTTCTTATCGTGGAGGAAGGTTGTTTGGTCCTGACCCTGTTGATATCTCGGGCTGGTGGGGCCGGTAGTGCATCGCATCAACTGGTTTGGATGGGTGAGGAGGTGAGGCATCTGATTTCGGGGGTGCAGAGGGTTGGAACACGCCCTGTCGAGCGGGTGGTGGAGAGAAGATGGGGCGAGAGGACTCTGGTGGTGGAGAACGGCGATCGAGGGTGGTTGGGTAAGGCTGCGTTTTCCGTAAATCTAGCGGGGAGGAACTTTGAGATCGGAAGCCGGATTTTTGTCCTATGTCATAATCCGGGTTGCGAAAGGGGCCTTGTCCTTGCCGCGCCCCCTGTTCAATGCCATAGGGAGTGTTGTTCGCTGATGAGTTGGCTGCAGACACGTTCTCGGGGATAGTAGACGCAGAGCCGTTTGGTGCATTGACATCTACCACTCGCTTTTGGGCAGCAGGTGTTGCGAACGAAGATGACTGCGTTGAATCATAAACCCGCCCTTGCGGTTGATGTTGTTGTGAGTATTGATTCTGTTGTGGCTGCTGTTGATGGATAGGGTGCTGCGGGTTCGCCCAGGGCGTTTGCTCCAGGAAAGCTTCTTCGGCAGCAGTGCGGAAAACGTTTGATGACATCGATGACATGGCACCCCGAGGCGCTGCTGCCGACGAATTTCGCGGAGCCAAGGCCCGAGTTTCAACGGTGATCTAACAACTGTTTGTTAATACTGCTGCCAGTGGATGGTTCGGTTTGACTAACCCCCATCTTCTCAAGGTCATCCTCAAGTTCGGACGGTCGTGCTCCTAACAGTGTCGGCGCGGCTGGGAAGCCCACGTATTTGGCAACTCCAGCCATGACTGAGACTTCGTGGTTGTAGGCTGTCTGGTGCGCGATTTGCTGAGAGCGGCGGGTAGGGAATGGAATGATGTGGTGTGGGCTCAGCTCATCGGTCTTGAAACGGTCATGCTGGATAGCGTAGAACTGCTTGCTGATGGAACTGGAATGACATTCACGCACGTCTCGTACGCGCTGGAAGTAGGTGCTGTGTGCCTGGGCTCGTTCCGCGAGGCTCTTATTCAACAGAGACTTCATGCGGTAGCGATACAATGCATGCTCGTATTTGACTTTGGCATCCCTGTGGCGTTGCACACATTCGATCTGACGCAAGTACTCAGGATGTGTCGGTTTCGGCCCGGTTAGCATTTCAAGCTCGCGATTGAGCTTTGAGATTCGTTCATCGTAGATCCTGTGATTTAGTCAGTATTGAAATGCAATATTTTGTGAGTTTGGAACTTACTTGTCGCGCAAAGTTGCGAATTCCTTTTCCAATGTCGCCAGTGACTCCATAGCCGACATTTTCTTCGCGGCTATAGATAGTGATGGTTAGCAGGGTAGCTGCAAGTATACTGTACAGGTACTACTTACACTCTTCTTCCACTCTGGCAGCTGTTTCGGGATCGGCGGGTTCATCGCCTCGTTCCACAGGCTCCTCTTCTTCTCCGAGATTGTCGTCGGGAGCGTCGTCGGCCGTAGCTTCGGTACCACCCTCGGTTTCTTCATCCCCATCCGCAACTTTTCTCCCTCTCCGACCGCCCTTTTTGCCCTGTTTGACTTTGGACGATATAGTAGGAAGGTCGGCATCGGGGAGGTCGTCAGCGGGGGTATCGTCTTCGTTGATAGCGGTGGGGTCTTCCAACGGCTCGTCGAGAGGTTCCGGCGAAAGAGGTTCATCATCTTCATCAATCGGATCACTCAGATCGCTCTTGATGGAGTTTCGGCGCTTCTTTAGCGGCTCATCGTCACCCATTTCGGTTCCGGTCTCGTCGCCGGCCTCAATGCGCTTCCGCTTCTTGCCAATGCTATCGGGAAGCTCGATATCATCAAGTTCCAGGCCTTCATCGGCCAATCCATTGTTCTGAGAAGGTCTCCGCAGTTTACTTGGGGAATAGTCCGCCACGGGCTCTTCATCGTCGACGTCCGCCAAGGTTGTGGACTGATGAAGCTTGCTCGGACTAGGTCCGACGCTACCAGCACTGAGCACAATGTCTCGCTTTCGAGAAGTGTGAGGAGAGTCCTCGAGGCGCTCGGTTTCCGCCTCCGAGTCATTTTCCAATTGCCTTTCCGGCTTTGGGGAGTCCTCAAAGTCGGAAAGTTCGTTATCCGAGACATCTTCGATCTCACTCAAGCTACTCGAGCGCCCATCATCCATGAGAGGATCATCCAGAAAGGGATTTCGCTCGCCATTGGTCATGTTGGACTCTGTCCCAGTTGTCGGCCCAACGGAGGCCTGTTCTCTGCTCTCGGCCACCTCCATCTGTAACTATAACAAGATTCAAGGTGACACGAGTGTGGTATGAAGGTGAAAGGGAGGGGGTGTTTCGAGGTGTATTCGGGGCGACGGCTGCTGTCGGCAGTGGCCGTGGGTGGGAGGGAGATAGGGCGGCAAGGTCACCGAGTCGCTAGACAAGTGTTTGCTCAGGGTTCTGGAACAACCATAGGGTGGATTAGCTCAATTGCCATGATAGCTTGGTTAAAGAACCCCAAAAAAGGGGGTTGTGAAAAGGTAACGGGTGGGCGGGTTCAAAAGGAAGGTCAGCGCCTCCAAAGGCGGTGCGGAGATTGATCATCGCCCGGGACACCCCCAGAGTGGCCAGCCAGCCAGGGCTCACACGAGGCCTGGCAACCGCGCAGGCCCGAATGATGAATGTGAAGCTTTGTATGTGCGGTAGGGGTTTTGGCCTCAAAGGCAGAACCCAGTAAATCCGTAAGTGAATGTAGAAGAAGCAGTAACGTACCGTTTCAACAATGCGCCGGGAGCGACGCTGGTGATGAGCACGGCTGGTCGCGACCGAGCACGATTCTCAAAACCACCGCGTTCCTGATACGCAAAGGATCACGCGAGACTGAGTCCACGCGTCTCACAAGAGTAGGGGTCCACCAGATTGTGTCGAACCACCGATGCGCCAGTGCTGAAGGCGAGGGGAGGTCGGCTAAAAGGCGGGCAGGACCACAGTACAGGGTCGCGGGAGGGCGGTCGGCATGAAGAGGCGCAGGAGGGGCACGAGAAGGTTTATCGCAGTGGTCGGCAAGGCGATGCGGAAAGCAAATCGAGTGTAGGGTAGCCAGAAAGGAGAGAGAAAGGTAGACGACCTGCTAAGATGGGGAGCAACAGAAGCGAGTGACGGGGTTCTGCCGCGTCCCGGCGAGGGCGAGACTCACCGCCTGCAAAACTTCCCAGATCACGTGCGCTGACGTCGCTGAAGACGGCATCATGGACGATCAGATTGCATGTAAGTAAACAGAAAGAAGTTATGAAAGTAGAGATGAGATCTATGGTCTTGTTGTTGGTATATCAATGAGGATAAGTCATTGCGAAGCCTAAAGCACTTGAGTAAAAAGATATAGCCTTTCCAGTGCCAACATAGATCAACAAGGGGCTACCCGCAATCCCAAGTCATGAAAGAACATATAATTTTTCTTCTCTTCTACCGGAGTCATTTTTTAAAAAATTAAAAAAACATTGTATGTTTGAATCACACAAAATAAATCCCGAATCATTGAAGAACTCAGTGAAAGACTGTCCAATCATGTGATGTGCATCAGCTTCCCGCGCCAAGACCGATAAGCCTAGAAAAAAAAAAGTTCGGAGTAAAGCGCAGACTCCCCCAGTGCTCCTCGACTCCACCCATTGAACGTCTCTTGAAGGAAGAGACTCCTCAGAGACTACAGATTACTCTCATCATGGGTAAAAAGTCCAAATCGCAGTCTAAATCGGACACCAAGGCCCCTGCCGCTGGCGGGCTTCCCTTCCTCGGAGCCAGCTCTGGTCTGGACCCGAGTCTGTCCTCGCTTTTCGAAAAAAGTGTATGTTTTCGCGTCTACTGGAAATTTGAAATTGATCTGACTCTCCAATCGTGCAGGCGGGCCCAGTGCAAGCACCAGTTCAGAAATACGTCGAACGTTATACCGCCAAGAAGGCCGAAGAGGGTGAGGAAGATGAAGCATCTGCATCGGAGGAGGAATCTCCTGGCTCGGAGGATGAAGTGATGGGTGACGCTCCTGAGGAGGGCAGTGAATCCGACGCTGCGGAAGAAAAGACAGCCGACATCCAGAGCCGCAAACGCAAGAGAGGTGATGCGGGAGATGATCTTGAGGCGTCCTACATGCGTCGCATTGAGAAGGAGGAGCGCAAGGAAGAGGAAAAGAGAAAGACCGAGCGAGCGGAGCGTCAAAAGCCCGCCAAGGAAGACGACGCTAGCGAAGAATCCGACGATAAGAAGGAGGCAGAAGACAGCGACGAGGAAGAGACGACCTCCGCGCCGGTCCATGAGAGTGTCTCGGGAGGCCCCAAGTCGGCCGAGGTCGAAAAGTCCAGCCGAACTGTTTTCCTGGGCAACGTTTCTACCGACGCTATCAAGTCCAAGGCCGGCAAGAAAACTCTTCTCCGTCACCTGGCCTCCTTCTGCTCGACGCTGTCTGAATCGACTGGCCCGCACAAGGTTGAGTCGATTCGTTTCCGCTCTACTGCGTTTGCCAGTGGTGGTGGTGTTCCCAAGCGCGCTTCGTTTGCCAAGAGGGATGTTCTTGATGAGACTACGCCCAGCACCAATGCGTATGCCGTCTACACCACCGCTCAGGCTGCTCGCAAGGCCCCTGCTGCGTTGAACGGTACCGTCGTTCTCGACCGTCACTTGCGGGTCGACAGCATTGCTCACCCGGCTGCGATTGATAACAAGCGCTGTGTGTTTGTGGGCAACTTGGATTTCGTCGACCAGGAGGGAGCCACTGACGAGTCCGGCAAGAAGAAGAAGGTCCGCGCTCCGGCTGATGTTGAAGAGGGTCTCTGGCGCACCTTCAATGAGCACACGGGAGGCAAATCAAACAAGAAGAGTGTGGAGTCAGTTCGCGTAATCCGTGATAGCAGCACCCGTGTTGGCAAGGGCTTTGCGTACGTCCAGTTCTACGATGCCAACGGTGTCGAGGAGGCTCTTCTGCTCAACGAAAAGAAATTTCCTCCCATGTTGCCTCGGAAACTGCGTGTCACTCGCGCCAGGAAGATGATGAAGAAGCGTGATGACGGTGGCAAGGATTCGCGAAAGGGAGACTTGGCCCAGAAGACGCTCCAGGGTCGTGCGGGCAAACTGCTTGGTCGCGCCGGTGCAGCCAAGATTAAGGAAGCTGGCAAGGGCGGCATCGCCGGCAACTCCTTCGTTTTCGAGGGTCACCGTGCCACAGAGGGATCTTCGTCGATCAAGGTGAAGACAAAGAGCCGTGGCTCAAAGGGCAAGCCCAAGGGCCGGAGCAGTAAGCGCGCTGCCGCATACCGGGCTGCTGGTGGACAGAAGCCGTGAGCGTGAAAAGAACCCATCAAAATTATTGTGTATCTATTACGGCGTTGGGACGGGCATTTGAAGTCAAGTGCATTCAAATATCATCTATATCAATGCATTATATTATGTCTTGACGTATCACGCTTGTTATTCCTAGCCGTAGGCGACTGAGTCTAACAGTAAACCACCGGCCCACCCAACGGTTAAGGAGGCAATTGTGGCCATTACTTGTTAAACTATTTGTTGCTCAGCTCAAGGTCCCCCAAGTAAATATCTCATAGCTCTGAACATCGTGGAGATCAAGTGCGGCCTCATAGATCAGGGTGGACCCATGCGGGGGTGGCACCGATAAGATAGTCCCAGCTCTCACTTTCAACCTTGACAACCTCAACCTTCCCAGACTGCAAACTACAGCCTCAAGACATTCCACACCCTCAGTCTCAGTCTCGGCTCTCTAGAAATCTCCAGCTTAGAGACTGCTGACTCGTGGCCTCATAATTGATCCGGCTTTGGTGGGGTCGTTGCCTGATCTCGGCTTCTCAAAACCAAAACACTCATTGCCACTTACTTTCCATACAAAACGCTAGAGTCCTCGGGGCTATTGTCAACAGTTCAAATACTCGTGGATCAAGATCGCCATGCTCCCCGCTCGATTACGCAGACTGTTCGCCCCGGACCCGCCGAAAAACGAAGATGAGCCCGCGCGCCAGCCCGAATCAATAGCTGATACCAGGATATTCTATCCTAGCTTGTGGGATGTACTTAAGGTCCGGTATATACTTCAGTGGAAAGCATACCAGCAAAGTCTACCAGCAGAGCTGGTAGATGCGATTGTTGATGCCGCCGAGTACTGGCCTTCGACAGAGCGCCGAATGGAAGGTATCAAGAGGTTCATTTCAAAGGATCGGGATCAGGTTTTGCTCAAAACCGTGCCTCTTTGCTACGACCGAAAGGTTTGATTCTCCTATCTTCTTTGGACCACTTGGATAACCATCTAACATGCTATATTATACAGAGCCTAGAACAATCGGAGATCTCTAAACCACTTCCTCATCGCACGCTGCATCCCTGTCGCAAGATTGAGTTTCGTATTTCGTCTCACGACCAGGGCCACGGGCCAATACGGGCGAATATGTACGAAAGCTCCTGGACCTGGTTCGACACGGAGGTCATCCATGCTGCTCACACGAAGAACATGTATGCCAACGGCACCGAGCAGGAGTTATTGAACAATGAACGTGGGCAAGAAAGGGGACACTATGCTCCTGACGACGATTTGCTCCTCCCGCGCAACAACAAGTTAAAAGTCAATGGTTGCAGGGTGTCGGAGTCGCAAGATTCGGTCATCACATGGCACTATCTGGACGATATTGAGCCAGAGTCAGCGGAGGCTTATGAGATCGAGCGGTCTGAGGGTCGTGGTCGTTGTACTTTGGATGGACGCAGCGTAAGAGAGTTGGAGATCGGAGACTCTATTGCGCTGTGGGCTCGGGCAAGGTTTCCGGGTTGGAGCAATCATGTGGACTATGCGAGCGTCCGTATCTTCTGGGCTGTCTGATGAGACTCCTGTGGTTTGAGGGCCCAGCCATGTAGATATGATTAGTGCATAAGGGACGATGTGATCGCCCAGGAATAATTTCAGCCTGAAATAGCAATGTGTCAACACCGACAAACTATATGAGATATTCAGCATCTGTTCAAATAGATGCTTGGACCGAACTCCCTTTGAATAGGTAAATACTGACTATCACCGGGCTATACAACATGCCTCAGGCCGCGAATCAGCCTGAGGCCACTACAATCACGCAATTGTGCCAAGACAGCCCGATCAGCGCCAGAAGAGGAGTATAAGACCATTCGACCTCCTCGACCTTTCTTCTTTGTCGAGGAATCCCCCTAACTCGACTGTCATCATGATACTAACAAGCAATTTTCTATCCGCATTAAAGCCCCCATGAGCCATGTGGTCGACCCTTCCCAGGGCAATGTCCCTTCCCAACCCGCCTGGGAATACCCGACCCAGCCGATAGGCCGAAGCAAAGCGTCCCCGAAGCGGTGGGGCCCATACTGCATTCGGCGACCCATTCAATCGGCGACCGATACCTTGGCCATTTCGCGACTAAACAGAGCTTCGAGTCAATTTAAGTCCCCGATAATCAACTGAGAGGGGATCAAAGAGCAGAATTTTTCGCTGTGAGCCCCGATCGACGCCTCTGCCGCGACATCTCGACCGAGAGAACCCTGCAGTGTGTCACGATAATGGGGGCTGCTATACCAGTGTCCTGTCCACTGGCGACGTCCCGACTGGATCCTGGTTGCGTTATCTGCACTACCAGATGGTGATCGGTGACTTACGCATCCCTCGGTCGTCCTTCGGGTCTTGACTGATCCTTCTGTCTAACCCCCCTCGCCCCCCTCTTTTTTTTTTAAGTCGGCGATGCTTTTGCGGTCTACGTTGCGTCAGTCTTATTTATCTTTAGATACCCGAATGAATCTGTCTTTCTCACTTTGGTTTTCTCCTCAAAAGTATCGTTTATTTTCACATAGAGCGCGCTTTCTCTCTCATTCACTCCGGTCTGTCTTTCCTTGCATACTTACCTGCACCAATGGCATCTCGCAAATGCGCAGCAGTCGTCGTGGGCGCCGGCCCGGCCGGCGTTGCAGTCATGGGGAACTTGTTAGAGCGCCAGATAGGCACGATAGCCTGGATTGACCCCAGTTTTGAGTCCGGTCGAGTCAACCGGAAATACCGCGAGGTTCCTAGGTTCGTGATATACAACCAGACGCAAGATTGTCTACTAACGACCTCCAGCAACACCAAAGTGGCGCTCTTCCAGGCCTATGCCAACGCGACACAACCCTTCAAGACCATCATCGAGAACACGCATCTCCCCAATGCATTCTCCACGATGGCCAAACTGGACCAGGAGAAGACCTGCCGCCTGCACTACGCCGCAGACATGGTCCGCGGCCTAACAGACGGCCTCATGAAAATGGAACAGGTCTACGCATGCCGCGGCTTCGTCACCACCGCCAGCCTGGCCGAGAAGGTACCTTCACAACATCAAATAGCTACATATCACGCAGAAAGGGCTAACACTGATGTCATCGCTCGTGACAGACACAGACCACAGAAAACAAATGGACCGTCACCGTCAAACGCCATGATTCAGAGGAAGAGCTCGAAATCGAAACCTCCCGTTTGATCCTTTGCACGGGCGCCCACCCAACCAACATCCCCGTCCCGGTTCCGGGCCTCAACATCACTCGCTTGGACCTCGACACAGTCCTCAAACCCTCCGAGCTCGCAGAGACTCTCCCAAAAACCTCCCCTTCCACAGTCGCGATCGTCGGCGCCTCTCACTCCGCCATCCTCGCAATCCTCAACCTGGTCACCCTCGCCCGCGAGTCGCACCCCCACCTACGCGTGAAATGGTTCACCCGTCACCCCCTCCGCTACGCGGAGTACAAGGACGGGTGGATCTTGCGCGACAACACAGGTCTAAAGGGCCTAGCCGCCGACTTTGCCCGCTCCGAACTCGAAGATGACCGTCTCTCGACATCGCCTGCTGGCCAGGTCCTGTCGAAGGTCGACTGTGCCGGTGGTGAAGCCCGTGAATTGGAAATGTATCAACAGCATCTGCCTGACTGCTCGCATATCGTCCACGCCGTGGGATTCACGCGTGATCCATTGCCGCAACTTATGAAGAATGATCGGGCTCTCGCTATGGAGTTCGATCATGAGTCGGGCAAGTTCCATGCGCCTGGTGATGGGCCCGTCATTCCTGGTTTGTTTGGGGCTGGTATTGCTTTCCCCGAACGTGTTGTTGACCCTCATGGGAACGCGGAGTATGCGGTGGGCTTCTTCAAGTTTATGAAGTTCTTGAAGCGGGTTATGCCGTCATGGGGCCCGGCGTGATTGTTTCCGCGAGGGTCTTTACTGTTTTGGTTCTTTAGAAGAGGCCGTGCAAGGGCTTTGTATTAGGGTGGCATGATTCAGCATGCCCGGCGTTACGGGATGGGCTTTACTTGCCCTATTTTTTTAGACTGTGGCTGGCTGGTGAAACTTAGCATTACGCCGGCTGGCTATGATTGACATAAATTAGATATCCATTCACAAGAATCGCAAGAGCATTATTATGTCCGTCGAGCTTCCTATAGCAGTAACTCCAGTCCAATTTGTCCATGCAATATCCGTAAATCATCAACCCCGTCCATATTCATCACCTTATGAATATCAAATTGCCACTTCTCTCTTACTCCACTGGAATTTTCCGACTTTGTAAAAAGTCGCAATTACAGTGCCATCAAAGCACCGACGAAGCCAAGCGCAGCAACAGCACCGCCAACAGGGCGCACATTTCCAGCGCCGTTCACATTGTCCACACTCGTCTGCTCGGGGTACTGAGCACCGGTACCGGTAGCAGTGGCGCGGTAATCACTCTGGCTAGCAACTGCCTTTGCATCATATCCAGTGGCAGTGACAGTCCAAGTAGACGACGCCTGGGACCAGGTAATGACGGTGCCGCTGGGAGGCGCGGTGACGGTGCCCGCAACATTGGACAGAGTGGAGGTGCCGTTCCTGGGGAAATCGCCGGGCTTGTAGAACTTGTCGGAGGAGTCGTTGAAGCCGATGTCCTGGCACTGGACGTTATCCAGGGTCGAGTCGCAGGTGTCCCAGGCCCAGTTGGGGATCGAGGTGTACATGTTGGGCATGTCGTCGGGGAAGAAGACGGGCCATAGGTCTGCGCCGGCCAGTGTGGGGACTGTGTTCGGGCAGACTTCCCAGGCACTGTTGCTTATTAGCTGGTATTCTTTTGATATTTGTATGAATGGGGGCCATTGGGGGGCTTACGCAGAGTAACTGGCACTGGCACCGCAGCAGGCGCAATCAGTTGCTTGCTTGGCGATATCGAGACCGTTGCCCAGATTCGCGATGCTGCCATTGCTAGCTTCGCTGACTGTCTGGTCTGTGACGTTGCTCATGCAGGTCACCTGTTCCTTGCGTGCGGTAAGGGTGTTCTGGAGCACCTTGCCTAGGTCGCAGGAGCAACGGTTCGGCGCGTTATCCGGCGCCGGCCAGAAGGGGATCGGCTCAACGGCGCTGGGGCATACGGAGAAGTACTGTTGCACGAAGAGTTGGTACTCGCAAGAGTAGACCTGTAGGTTTTATCAATATGTGAATTTTTTTTTGGTCAATTGAGGCTGAGCTTACCTGGTTCCAGCAGGACTGAGCCATGCAGTTGATATACTCCTGGTGCGCGGTACAGCCGCAGTCAACCATGCAGTTGCCATCGCCATTGCAGTCATTCACGCAGGAACTCCAGTTGTTGGCGACATTGCGATTGCACGATGAGTAGTTGGATCCGTCAGCGCAAGCATTGGTTGTAATGTTGGTCTGGGCTTGGGCCACGCTCGCGAAGCCAGCGAGGGCCGCAGCAGACAAGGTGAAGTAGATGCTCGGCATGGTGAAGAAAAGTGCAACTGCGAGAAGTCGATTATAAAAATGTACTCAAACACCAAGTTTTGCTGGAAGGTCACGCTGTTTGGAAGAATATCAAAGTCTCCTGGTCGAACTGAGTGGCAGGGTATTCTTCGGGCACTTATATAGACTCAAGACGATGACACAAAAAATCTCAGATTCTCGTGTTATGCATGATCGCATCTTCACCCTCAGCGGGACGATCATTGTTAACCGAACTGTCATTGTTGGCACGCTGATCCTGCAGCGTCGTACAAGGGGATCCGATGGGGGTGAGATGGGCTTGGCCATTCAGCATCGCCAGCGAATACCAGGAACCCAGGGCGAATGTCCATGCGCGCATATCTCACATGTAGGCAGTCACTTTTCCCCGTACCAGATTGGACACATCAGAGAAGCGCAAGATATGAATAGCGAGGCTTCGGTAGTGTGTGCACCATGCCAGGGCGCCCTTGCGGCGGGTGCCGCTACCACTCGGGGCCACTTAGTTCCGACCATAAATCGGTGAACCTTGCATGCGCATCGAAAACTTCGCAATGACGGTGAGCAAGGCTGAAACTCTGGCTTCGTATTTCGCAGCTCCCTGGATTCCCCCGGGCCTTAGAATCATGCTCTGTCGGGATTCAAGATGCCAATATGCAGGCCCAAAATGGCCCCTTGTCAGGGTTCGGTGTCAGATGTGGGCTCACAGCATGGCGACATGGCCGAGATGTGAATAAACCGTCATCGCTGCGACACAGGTTATACAATGAGCCGCTGCGAAGACGGAGGTTCACGATATCGCAGGAACCAGCCGTTGCAGGAGGTGAAGATTACGAGGACCGTGAGGAATAAGCATTGACACCGGGACAAGCCTGAATTAGGAACGATTGCCATGCCGCCCAACGAGGCTGAGCTGGTGACGAACGCAACCCGCGCTACCTGGATGGTCCTCAACGAGATAGTTATTGCAGGCTTGGGTATCGGGTACCTTGAGGAAGGATCTATAACTAGGAGATCTTATCAGAGGCGGAATGTCTCGCCACATGTACCAGCAATGCAACACTATTCAAACAAGTCCTCCAGGAAGTACAAATTGAGTCAGATACCTGGATGATCGGAAGAGTAGTCGGAAGAAGGTAAGGCTTCTAGAACATGGACCAGGAAGCCTTCGCAGAGGCTGCGAAGCACAACACCCAACCGTCTTTATTTAGATTCTTTGACCATGAGAAACTAGAGGCCCTACAGCTGACTCTCTCTCACTCAGACATGAGCTGCTTCCTATACAAGAAAATTTTAGACAAAACAGAGCCTTATTCAAGTGACATTGACTAAAAGCACGTTGGCCGGGGTGGAATACCAACGTTGATGCCATCTTAACATCGAGCACCCTTTCCCTCCTCTCGCTCAACAGTCCCCGCATTTTGTTACGAACTACAGGTCGCGACAATGGAACCTACGATTCCAAAGGCCTGACCAGTGGAAAGAGCAATCTCTCAAGAAAATCAAAAGGCTCAATGTGTTTCCTAGAAACACACCCGATAGATTTGGACCCCTGCAGCCACCCTGCGAGCCTCCATCTCCAGCCGAACGCCCTTCTTCACAAACCCAAGCCCAGTTCCCAAACCACATGGCCAGGTGCCCAGCCCGCCTGTGCAGCTTGACCCAGCCGGAACGACGATCCGACAACCGAAACCGCATGGGAACAACATGGAAACAATCAGGCACTGACGCACCAAGCACAGCAAGGATCCCCCGTATAATCACCGCGTTCCTGGTTCCTGGTTCATCGGCAATTGACTTTGCGAGAGAGATCGACTTCACACCCCTTCATCCCTTAATTCCCTTGAGAACACTAGCATTTTAGCGTAGGCTAGGAGGGCTGCGTATAGTACTCCGTAGCTCTGTGCATAGATCACCCTATCGAAAGCGCGGTAGTGACGTACAACAAACAAACACACAAGCACAGTAGAGTTCAACCGAAGGAGTAAAGCAAATACCCCTCGCGGGCTATTGACGTTACGTAGGCCCGTTGCCCCACCGACTCGAACTAAGATGCTACCTAAACTAGCTCCAGTTGATCCTCATTACACTGCGAGAATTCTTTCTTCGGTTCCGTGTTGTGGTTGTTGGTTTTGTTTTGTTGGAGGGGGGGGGGGGGGGGGGGTGGTATCCCTTACTCGTAGGTAACTTTTCGATACTTGTGGTTTGTGATGTGCTCCGAGGGTCGTATCTCGTATGCTTCTCTCTTTACGTCCCATCAGATGTTATCTCCGAAGACCCACCGTCATCAGGAGTACCTGAGTGGGTCGAGGGGTGTGAGCAAACCATTTTTTCTACTCCTAGATTACTGTACGCGTGGCCATATAATAGGAAGGTAAGTGTGAAAGACGCAGTTAAGTGAAAATGCCATACACATTAAATTGGTCAAAAGTACATTCGTAAAAAAAGAGTGGCCCGAGCCTTACATGATTAAGATCCGGTCTGGCACAGGGGGGTATGTGCATGTGCCAGTGGATGACTAGAGAGAATTGGCCAAATCCAAAGATGCAAACCAAAAACAACCAAGCCCAGAATATAAAGTACAAGACGTAGCTGTACAAGACGTAAGCCTCATCTGATGATCCAGATCAAGTCATTTTACAGGAAGGCGATGGCGCCAGCGACGAGGGCCAGCATGCCGCCGGATACGCGGTTGACCAGGCCGGCGTTGGTAGAGGGCACTGAGGCCTGCGAGGACGAGGCAGAAGCAGTGCTGCTGGACTTGGAAGTAGAGGTTGAGCCGGTGCTGGTGGATACGGCTGAGGAGCTGCTGGTAGTGGTGGTCATGGTGGTCATGGTGGTAGCAGCGGAGCTGGAGGTGCTGGAGGCGCTGGAGCTGGTGGAGCTGGTGGAGCTGGTGCTGGGAGTGCTAGTGGTTGACACGGAAGTAGTGGTCGGGGTGGCCGAGGTGGTGGTAGGGGCGGCGCTGGATGTAGTCGCGGCGGCAGTAGCTCCGGCGATGACGAAGCGGGGCAGGAAGTTGTAGTCATCCGCGTCCTCATCGGAGATGATCTCGATGGTGTACGCCTCCGAGCTCACGTCCGAGGGGACGGTCCAGGTGTAGCTACCATCGTTGGGGATACCAGCTATCACGATGGGTTAGTTCTAATGTCACGGCTTCGGGGTAGGTTTCCGATCAAATACTCACAGGCAATGGCAGTGCCGTCGGTGGAAGTGGTCAGCTCACCGTGCTGCAAGCGCAGGGAGACGGTGCCGGGAGTGGTAGGACGCCAGACCAGGGTGGTGGCCTGGCCGACAGTGAAGGTGTAGCCACCGGGAGGGTTTTGGAAGGGGTTGGCAGTGCTATTAGCGGCAACAACAGCCGCAAGTGCGGAGACAGCAAGGCAGATGAAAGCGCGCATCGTGACTCTCAAAGGATACCGAATGTGATCTAGAGATGAAAAGGGGGGCCGAGTTTGGTGAAAGGAGTGAAGTGAAGGGTTTCAAAAAGCAATGTTAATAGCGGCGACGTGCGGGTGTTTTAAAAGGAGCGAAGCGCGAGTCTCGTGAATGACAGAAGAGGCAAAAGGCAGAGGCGAAATGAGAAGCGAAGCGAGGCTCCCGGATATAAAAGAGGGTGCTGCGCCATGGACGGTGTCCGCTAGGGAAGCGCCGGGAGCACTAGACGGACATCAACAAATAGCGCGAGGGCGGGGCGAGACTGGGATTGGAGGGAGAGCATCACCACGAGGGACAATCGGGGAACTGCGTCGGACTGCGCGTGGCGGAGATCCACAGGTGGCCAAATGTGCACAATAATTGGCCACGCGCGGGCTCTGTTCGACGCTTGGCGCAGTAGTTCACCAGTCGTGTCCCTCGCTTGCGGTGTACCTTAAATGACACTGCTCCACCCGCCCAAAGGGCACAAGACCGTAAATTGTGTACGATGGACTCGGCTAGACCGGCTGGGTCCTCTAGGCAGTCCTTCGGCGTTACTCCCTCTTTTTGGCTTTTTGACTTGGCTCCTGCTCGGGGCCCCGTATGGCTATTCTTGGAACAACGAACCAGCTAAGAATATTGAGATGGGGTTGAAAATGAGCATGTCCAAATGTTTTCTCATTTTTCGGCCCCAGAGTCCACGTAAGTCAAGTTGACCCCGGCTTCTAAATCGGCCCACCCCTTTTTTACCCCTGTTCCCATGTGCTTGTGCGTACGTAAATAAAAACAAAAAAAACCACCGTGTGTGCCGTGCTCGTAACGTGCTCCGGCGGAGCCGTAAGGGTATCCGATTTTATAGCGGGGCGCCGTTCGCCTGCGAACCGGTCGAGGGTTCTAGCAGGCCGTTTTGCCCCAGCCAGCTGATCACTTCCATGGCTCGGCGATCTTCGTCTTCTTTCTGCCGGTCCAGCAGCTTTTAGTTTTGTTAGTACGTGGCTCGAAAGCTTGTTCACAAGGGAGGGGGTGACACTCACGGCCTGAAGAAGTCCCTTGCGCCCCTTCTTCTCGACTGTCTTAGCCTTGGTCTTGGGGCCGCGCTCCGGGGCCTCGTGCGAGAATTGACAGCTGTCTCCCCGGTTACATTGTCCACTACGAGCGAAATGACGGCATCTGATCTTCTTGCCTTCGCGAGGAGGCGGGGGAACTCTCTCGGGGCCCTGCCGACGCGAAGTGGCTTCCTCCGGGGCAGAGTCGCCGTCGCCGTCGCTGTCGGACTCGGAATCCGCGTCGGAGCCACTGGATGAGGTCCAGTCGCTAGGATCTGACACATCGGAAGAAAGATCCATCGCTCCTTCCAGACGGTCGGCTGTGGCGTCGACCGTCTCGGCAGGGATGGATCTGGTATCACCAAGCTGAGAATCCACCGCTTTCGCCGTGTCCGTGGCATCGAGAGACATCGGATCCACGCCTTCAGCTGAGTCGGATGGTTTGGTTTTCAGGTCGGCTTCTTGTCTGGTCTCGGGAGCAGCTGAACCATTGACTTGGGGAGTTTGACCCATATCCAGGCCCTCTGCCTGTTTTTGTAGCGCCTCGACCTTGAGACGAGCGGCTTCTGCTGCCGCCTCGGCTTTGGCGAACCGTTTTTGCTCTCGATCGAGGTTGCGCCGTATTCTGTCAGCCTTGCGCTGCGCCTTCATCGCCTCGTCGAGTGCCGGGTCTGCAGCCTCTTGGCCGAGCTTGTGCTCGACCTGTTTCTGCTTGACTTTCTCCTTTTCCTTCTCTTTCTCTTGACGGGCGGCCTCGCGAGCGGCATCACGCGCAGCTTTAGCCTCTTCCAAAGCCTTCTTCTTTTCATCGACTCGAGCCTGCGTTGGGAATTTCTTCCTTCGTTCCGCAATCCACGCTGCAATGTCCGAAGGCGACTGCAATTTGGCCGTTTGTCCCTTGTACGTAAATTGGAGAGGAGCGGCGCCAGTGCCGGTTTGGGCCAATTTGGACTCCTCGTCCACCTCCTCCTCTTCCTCGCTAGACTCGTGTTCCTCGGTCTTCGGGGTCAAGCCCAGCTGGTTGTGTTTCCGTTTCCTCTTCTTCGGCTTTCGCGTAGCATCCGCCGCGGGTGGTGGCTTCGATGGTAACGGGTTGCCAAAACTCGGGACTGCCGGGGCTGCTGGTGTCCGCGGCGCCGTGGGCTGAGGTTTATTGAAGGCAGACGAGTGATCTCGCTTGTGGTGATTTCGCGATTTGGGTCCATGGTTCCCGTGCGAGTGAGACGACCAAGAGCCTCGTCGTCCATGTCCAGCGTACGAGCCGGGAGGAGCCTGCACTTCCGGCCCCCAGGGCATGGAGCCCATCATCATGGGGTTTGCCGGCGGAGACGCATGCTGGTGTGTCGAAACGCCGGGAGGGTATGGAGTACTGGGTGGTGTAGAGTAGGAAGCGGAGTGGCCGAGGTTGGGGGTATTATATCCCGGCAGCGGTTGGTAGGTGGGTGAACCTGCAGGTGGTGAGAATGGTTGCGGAGTCTGATAAGGTGGCGGATTCGGAGGGTGTTGAAAATTAGGTTGCTGGTGAGTATAGGGCGGGGAAGTCATGTACGACGTTGCTGGTGCCGGCTGAGCTGGATAGCCATAGTTTCCAGGCGCGTAGTTGTAACCGGGGTTGTTGGGATAGGAAGACCGGCCACTATCCTGGTGGTGATGTCCACCACCTCCACGACCTCGATTTCCACGGCCTCGGCCGCGTCCACCAGCACCACGTCCATTCCAGTGTCCATGCTGCGCGGAGGGGGGATAGGCCGGTTGTTGGGAGGTCGGAGGTGGTGGTGGTGGTGGTGGAGGAAATGAAAACCCCTGGGAGCTCATAGTTGCCCTGGCCGAGGTCCCAGCGCAAAAAAGGGGACTCTACACCATGGCGCAGAAAAAATGAGATCTGCTTGAGCGTAGTTTTTTTCGAGCTCTAACTTTTTGACAGCTGCGGAGGTCACGTGCGTGCAGGATCCGCACTGTTGAACAATCATGACTTTTTTGGATTCACAGGGTGCCGTCATAGCTGAGAGCCCATATGCTTCTCCCTTTAATATAACGGTTCTTCATCATATTCGCCATCATGTTCATCCTGGTAAGTTCATCTGGCCTGGCAGGCGGGATATCGTGCTCACTGACTGCGGCAGACTACCATGTCGGATCTGATCCAGATCTCGCCAGAGGACTTTTCCAAGTTCAGTGCTGTGGCGATTGAAGATAACATTAACGAAAAATACGCCAACAAGGTGCGTGACTCAGCGTCCGGTGCAACTCAAGCATCCCTGACAGCGTTCAGGTAATCCAAAAGATCGGTCTATGCATCAGCTTCTATGACCTCCTCGAGTCCTCAGACGGTCTGATCGGCCATGGAACCGGCCTTGTCAACGTTAATGGTAAGCAGTTTCAGGCGTGGTGTTATTTTTTTTTACTGACCGACCAGTTAAATTCCGCCTGATCGTCTTCAGGCCCTTCAAGGGCGAGATCATGATGGGCAAGATCGCCAGCGGCACCGAGCACGGCATCAAAAGTGAGTCTTCATCGACTTCATGTGCATCCTTTGCTGACACATTCCAGTCGCTGTTGAATTTTTCAACGATATCCTGATTCCTCCGGGTCTGCTCCTAGACAATGCTAGATTGTGAGCCAACTCCCTCGCCTCTGTGGCCTTGCACTAACCCGACACAGCGACTACGCGGATCAAGTATGGGTCTGGGTAAACGACGAAGGATCCACGTTCTACTTCGATGTTGGAGAAATCGTCCGTTTCCGCGTCGAAACGGAAGAGTGGCACGACCAGATTCCCAATGCGCCCGAACTCGCCGATGCGCCTGCTATGGAAAGGAAACCGCCATATTCGATTATTGTACGCGATTCCTTCGGGTGCTTGTGGACTCAGCTGACTGATTTATTAGGGCTCAATGCAGATGGCCGGCCTTGGACCCGTCGCTTGGTGGTGAAGGCATTTTTACTAGACAGGCGCTCCATTTCCTTAGTAGTCAGATCAGATACCCGTGGCCCGGTGGCCACAAATTTCATAAACATTCAATAGACATGCTACGTTCCAACATAGTTGTTAATTGGAAATGATGTTGGGGTTCTCGGACCTCTGGCACGCAATAAACACACAATTATACAAGTGAAGGACCGCGGTAGCGCTACACATACCCAGGTACACGACTGGAGAAATGTTTGACCTGTCTCGGGCGCAGATTGGACATGAGGGACCTTGGGGGTAAACAAATATATTCTCTCCACTAACCTTTCTCCAAATATTGATTTAACCTAGTTAAGTAAATCACAACCACCGGGCCGGCATGACGATCGCAACACACCGATCACTCCGACAGATCGGAGTGTTCAGACTTTTCGCCGCGGCTACGCCCGGTAAAAAGACCCAATTGTGGGGCGTTTAGCGGCTCCGAGCCACTCACGATAAGGCGATCGATCGCCCTATGCTCCAAAAACCGTTGGCAACGTAAAAGAAATTGGGATCCATTCTTGAAATAGAATTTTTTTTGGAGATGAAACGTTAAACCACGTTTTTTCACGTACGGAACACTCATAAGGTTTCTCTCAGCTCCCGTGCTTGATAATCAAGCAGTTTTCCAAGTGCGGTGATCTCATCTTATCGTTGATAAATCACCTCATCGACGCTTTCGGTCTTTTTTCTCCCTCATATACTTTCGCATTGTATTTTCCCCTCAACTCATCATTCACAATGGGATCCATGGAGAACGGTCACTCTACTGAGCGTCGCTTCGGCACGCTCGCTGTCCACGCCGGAGCCCCTCACGACCCGGTCACTGGCGCTGTCATTGCTCCCGTACGATTGCGCCTCTTCGCTTTTACAGCATCTTCAGCTTCTATGGAACTGTCGCTTACAATCGCATAGATCTCTCTATCCACCACCTATGCTCAGACCAGCGTCGGCAGCCCCGTCGGCCTGTACGAGTACACTCGCAGCTCCAACCCTAACCGGTCCGTCTCCAGCACCCGCGCCCAATTCGCTCGCTGACACCTTCGTAGGGATAACTTCGAGACTGCTGTGGCCGCTCTCGAGCACGCCAAATACGCCCTGGCCTATTCTTCCGGCTCCGCCGCAACCGCGAACATCCTGCAGTCTCTTGCCCGCGGGTCGCACGTCGTTTCGGTCTCCGATGTCTACGGCGGAACCCACCGATACTTTACCAAGGTTGCCGCCGCCCACGGCGTCCAGGTGACCTTCTCGCCCACCATCGAGCTGCACGTCGAGGAATTGATTCGCCCCGGCGACACCAAGCTCATCTGGATCGAGACACCCTCCAACCCCACCCTCGGCCTGGTCGATATCAAGGCCGTCGCTGAGATCGCCCACCGTCATGGCATTCTCGTCGTTGTCGATAACACCTTCATGAGCCCCTACGTCCAGAACCCGCTTGTCCACGGCGCTGATATCGTCGTCCACTCCGTCACCAAGTACATCAACGGCCACTCCGATGTCTTGATGGGTGTCGCCGCTTTCAACTCCGATGACCTGAAAGAGCGTCTCTCTTTCCTTCAGAATGCCATTGGCGCTGTCCCTTCGCCATTCGACTGCTGGCTGGCTCACCGTGGTCTGAAGACCCTGCACCTCCGCGCTCGCGAAGCTACCAAGAACGCCACCACCGTGGCCAAGGCTCTTGAGGCTTCCTCGCACGTCATCTCCGTCAACTACCCCGGTATCGACTCCCACCCCCACCGCAAGATTGCTCTCAAGCAGCACCGCGATGGCATGGGCGGTGGTATGCTCAGCTTCCGCATCAAGGGTGGCCAGACTGCTGCGCACAACTTCTGCAAGTACATCAAGGTCTTCACCCTGGCCGAGAGTCTGGGTGGTGTCGAGTCTTTGTGCGAGGTTCCCTCCAGCATGACCCACGCTGGTATCCCCAAGGACCAGCGTGAGGCTGCTGGTGTGTTTGACGACCTCGTGCGCATGAGCTGCGGTGTCGAAGACGCCGAGGATCTGCTGGCCGATGTGTTGCAGGCCTTGGAGAAGGCTGATATGTCCAATGGCAGCGCTTGATCTGCTTCATGCGTTCTCGGTCATATTTTGAATCTTGCATCATAACGAAACTAGATAATAGACGATTTTCTTTTGTTTACGACTTTGCCGCTGGCTTGATATGATGTCTAGCTACAACAGTTAAAACCCCACTTTTGCATTTCTTCTTGTGAACCTTTCTATGAACGTTTCTACATAAAAATGAAGATGCTGTCGAACGGAACGATTCAGATGTCTGTCAGAAATAAGATAAAGCTAGCTAGCTCCCGTCCGATCATCTATTTGAATTTGATGGATTTGAAAGCCTCAGATTTGAAGGCTTCGAAGTTCCCGGCCAAGTTCGAGGCAGAGTATGAAGGCCCATTACTTGCTTAGTCATCCAAACGGCCCACTGTAATTTTTTGGATATGCTTCGCCGATGAGCACAGCTTCGCAGGTTCACGCTGATTCATTCCACTGTTGCCCGTTATCGACAACTTGATTCTATCTTCCTATCCAAGTGTGGTAAATAGTCACCCAGCAGTGATTTGTCCACAGTATATCCTACATCCGGCTTCACCACAAAGCACATCTTTGACAAAATATCACAAGCGGGCCGGTCAATACCATGGCATTCAGCTTCGGCTTCTCCGGTGATGACATTGACATTGATGAGGCCGAGCATAATACCGGAACCTCTGATGTCGTCGCCCCCCAAGGCACGGCGAATGCTCTCCCTGAACTGGTTAATGCCAGTCAACATGATATGAACGAATGGGTGCGTCTTTCTCCAGAGAGAATACATAAAACTTCGCTTTGATCCCGAAAATCAAACCGCAGACCTAACAAGAAGACAGCTCTCAATTCTTCCATCACAAATATTTTACAATCGGCTCACTATCAGCGAGACACCCATTGTCATCGCGCGCCGAGAAATAATCGACATCCGCACCCAATTGATGGCAGAGGACAGCGCAGACCACGATAATGCCGAGCTGATCGCTGGTCTGGAAGAGGGTGACCTCAAGCCTAACTTCTACGAGGGCGGCTTCAAAACCTGGGAATGCGCCCTGGATCTTGCCAAGCTGGTTGCTAGTGAAAGTGCCGTGGAGTCTTTGGTCGACTCGCAGACAAATGTCCATATTATCGAGGCATGTACCACCCTGATAAATGACTCATGGAGTGAAGTGCTAACATTACTACCCGGAACAGCTCGGTGCAGGCACTGCAGTCCCATCACTAGCTCTGTTTGCCCATATCCTCGGCCAAACAGAACCCGCGGGGGATGCCCCGCAACGCAAAGTGCATTTCACCTTTGCAGATTACAATGACGCAGTTTTGCGTCTCGTGACGCTTCCTAATCTCCTTTTGACATGGTCGAACTGCAGATCCCAGCCTGCCACGTCAGATGTAGATGAGACGACCCCGGAAGAGGAATTGGACATTACGCCCGAGTTAGTAGACGACTTCAAGGCCGACCTGGCACGGCGCGGGATCTCCATCGACTTCATCTCGGGTGCCTGGTCTCCCGAGTTCGTCGACTTTGTGTTCTCCACTCGCAGTGGGGGTGATTATAAGACTCTGGTGATGGCTAGCGAGACGATCTACTCGCCGTCGTCATTGACGGCGTTCTCAGAGACCCTTTTGTCTTTGCTGCGACGTTCTAGCACGGATCCAGCGAAGAGCCGGGCGTTGATTGCTGCGAAGAAGGTCTACTTTGGAGTCGGAGGTGGGGTGGATGAATTCCTCGCCGTGTTGCAGAAAGTCTGCGGAGATGAGTTGGAGGTGCAGCACAAAGTGGATATCCAGTCGGAAGGCGTCGGCAGAGTCGTGTTGGAGATCACGCCTGCTGCGAAGTAATGTGAACGAAAAGAAAGATGAATATACCAACACCATAGACACGGCCATTGGAAAACGGGTCTTCAAACAAATGGAATTTAATGATAAAGTGCCGGTTCGAACTTCCTGGTCCCAACGTATATGTACATGTTTTGCCTCCTCGTACACGTCTATTAAGACAGCTCAAAATCAAACTGCCTTAGTCGTAGAGCTTCTCCCGCGTAGCGCCGGCAGCCTCAATTTCCCTGTTCTGGCGCTCGTAGTGAGCCTTGACCTTGCTCAAGTCGGCCTGGGAACCGGGGGCAACATTGTAGGGGAAGCGAGAGTTGAGCATCCTGCGGGGGGAAAAAAAAGAGAATTAGGATTGATATCACCACAGCAGAGCTAGTTCACGTACTCGGGGGTTCTCAAGTCATAGGACTCGCGGGGTCCTTGACTCTGGAGGAGGTGGCGGTCCGCAGCAGCCTTCTCCATAAGAGCAGTGTGAATGGCATTGCGCTGCTCAAAGTCCTTCTCCGAGGGAGTAAACTTGCTGATCAGGCCAGAGATCCACGACTCCGAGGCGGAGTCCTGGCTGCCGATGCGGTAGAGGATGTATGCGGAGGCGATGCTGCCAGCGGTGACGTAGAAGCTGCGCTGTTGGGTAGATATCACATATTAACGACGATTCACTTGGAATTGGGCCTTTTTTGAAGCTCGTGGTAGACTTCAAGGTCGGCCGCGGGGGGTAAGAGCTTACACCGAGGCCTTCGTTCACGGGCTCAGCGTGGGCGGAGTGGGAGCCAAAACGACGGGGCGGCTGCTGCGCAGCAAGTCGCCGTGATGAGGCAGCGAAACGTCTAGCAGCGAACATGGCGGAGGGACAATTGAGGAGAGTTCGAGTGGTGATGACCCTTCGGGCGGCGGTGATAGGATAAGACGAAGTTGCGAACAGACGAGATCACATGACCATGTCCATTTTGGGGTTAGGGTGCCAGTTGCCTCGTTTCTACTTCGACCTTGCGCACGATTCATGGATTTACTTTCATCCCGTAGAGCTCGTAATGGAAAGCGAGGAGCTTCTCGAAATGCAACAATCATGCGGCAGATGCATAAACATGGGAACTGCAGGCGCCATGTCCCGGGGAAGGGGGGAATGCAACAGGCCTCGAGAATGATGTTTCATCCCCCCTAACAGCAAACCCCGTGGTCATTGGACCCATCCATTCTTGCCAGTTAACACGGTACATATACTTGGGCATTATCTGGCTATCAATTGAACATGTCAGCGTTGGGAGGGTCCCCACCGGTCTTTGCCCTATTGTTCATCACGAACGCCCGATCCCATTGATGCCCAATGCCCCCATGGCGCACGACAATTGGTCTCGCTTCAGTTTGAATTCGAATATTCGCTGCGCATCGCGGTTTCCGGGTAAGCTGATCAGCATTTATACTTCGTATGCGAGACCCAGTCGGCCTTGAGATGGGTATCGATATCCACTAAGGTTCGGTCCGCTGCGTTCTTCGTCCCCTAAGAGCGCTGGAGCACACTTTCGAGTCCCTATAGTACATTTTCTCTAGACCAAACCCCCTTTCCCTTGGTCGTGTCCGTACACTCACGCCATTTCCAAGTTCTCAAGATTGAAATTTGGACTTTCCCGAATTGTACGCGTGCTGGAACGGGCAGCCTTGCCTTCGTGTACCGCATTCATTTGCTCCCATTTGTCCAACACGGCCCTAGGAAGACCGATTTGCAGCCTGATTGACACTCATACTGCGCATCTTGACTCATTGTTCCACACTGGGTTACTGTCTCTCTAGTCTGCGAGGTCTTTGGGCTATATCTTGAGGCACCGCCAGGGCTACCAGCAAATGTACAGTGCAACAAGCCCTGTGATTCACCCAACCTGGAATATACTCATCTCTATATTGCCTTCTCTGATACAGTGATCCTATTGGAAACACGTCTTCTCCCAAAAATATCTACATCTACGTTTGGGCACGCATCACTCTACCACGATGGCAGCCGGTGGCAAGAAGGCCAAAGTCAAGGACAAACTTGGCAGGGCCGGGTCGACCAAGCAGAAGAATAAAAAGAGCAAGGCCCCGGAAGGAGCAGAAGACCAGACGATAACTGAATCTCCAACTCCTAGCAGCTCGGAACCTGTGGTACAGGACCAAGACCTCTGTCAGCCATCGGAACCTACGCTTGAACCAAAGCCCGAAGCTACTGAATTACACGAGGTGTTTACTGCAGCAGTCGGAAATGAGGAATGTGAGAACTCACAGTCTCCTGACCCCGCGACACATCAACAACCTGCTGTGAAGGAAGACCATCTCGAGAACGAAGTATCCATCTTGAAAGACAAGGACGCATCTGAACTGTCTGTTGGGGCCAAAGTCAGCCATCAACCTGAGAAACATCACCAAGAAGAACAAAGAAGCAAAGCACTTGTCACTTCTCCTCCATTTGCTCCATATTCGCCTGTTCCTGCTCTGGTGCCATTGCCGTCGCCTTCCTTGACCGAGGCACGGTTGATGTCAAGCGCTTCACCAGAGTCCAATTACTATCACCCTGCTCACGCATATAATCCTTACGCTGCACCCATTCCATACACATCGCCATACGGATCACCCTACGCCTCACCCTACGCTTCGCCTTACGCTTCGCCCATCCCAAAAGTTAGCAGTCCTCTGGCTCGCTCTCATTATCCATATATGCCACCAGCCATGTCTTCTACTGCAATCTCTACGCCGCCGCCGCCGACAGCACCAACAGCTCCACCTCTAATGGCCCCACCGGCACCACGGCCACCATCCACAGCTCAAAGTCACACCTCAGTGGTGCACTCACCTATCATGAGCTCCGCCGGAGTCGTTCCTCCGTATGCTCCTTATCCGCCCCAAGGACCGGACGGTCACTTCATGCATCGGAGCTATAGCATGTCCGATCCTTCATATGCCGCATCCTTCCAGGCCATCCGAGATCTACGCTTGGTCAATGGCCAGCCTCATGAGAATGGTGTTATGTCGCCCCCGGAAAATGACAGCGAACATATGGAACTTCTCCAGAGAATTCAATCCGCGCTTCCCGACATTGATCGTCTCTTGCATGGGTTCCGAAACACTCATAGTCGGCTATCGAGCCGCGAGGCTGAGATGAAGCAGATTGGAAACCAGCATGAACAAGCTTTAATGCACAAGGAGTTCTACATTGAGGCCTTGCAAGCACAGATGAAGAAAACGGCAAACGAGAGCGCCGAAGAAAGTGCTAAGCTCAAGAACACTATCAATGAACTCCGACTCGAGCTAGGAAACCTTCAAGAGAAGCAGAGGGACCTCGAAGACGGTTTGGCGACTCACCGAAAGTCTAACGAGGAGCTCTCACAGAGCAAATCCGACCTTGAAGCGGAGATTGCCAAATTGAATACCTGCATCCAAGAGGCACGGGATGCTCACGAGAAAGAGAAGGAGGCGCAGAAGGAGGAGCATACTCAAGCACTTGAAACTCAGAAGCAGGAGCTGACCGAGCTATTCGAGGAGATCAAGAATGAAGATGAGAAAGCAGCAAACGAAATCTTGGAGAACCGCGAAAAGAGCTTGTTGGATCAACACGAGTCCCAAAAAAGAGACTGGGAGAAGGAAAAAGCCTTGATGCAGGATTCTCTAGAGACCCAACGCACAGAACTCGAGACCACTAAGACAGAGCTCACTACCAAGATTGGTGCATTGGAGTCCAAGCAGACCGAGCTCAAATCGGCCCGCGAAGAAGTGGCATCCAAGGTTGCTGAATTAGAAGCGAAGGAGAAAGAGTTGGAAGAAACCCGCAACAAGAATGCCCAGGAACTGGAGACACTCCAGCAGGCTCATGCCAGTGATTTGGACTCATTGCGAAGCTCCCATGCTGAAGAACTTGCAGCCGCTGCCAAGGAACTGGATGACAAAATCGCTGCTGTCGAAGCACAGATCGACGAGAAGGAGCAACACTGGGCTGAGGAGCGGACTGCCTTGGAGAAGTTGCTTTCCGAGAAAGACTGCGAGCTTTCAAGTGTGGAGCGAGAGAAGGAGCAGCTCGAAGGAGACAACCACATCAAGGAGCAGCAACTCCAGCGCGCAGTGGATGAGATGCGGTTCACCATCGATCATCTTGACAAAGACTGCGAGCGCTTGAGGAAGACGCTGCACAGCCTCGGCGAGGCCACTGATCTCAAGACCACCAAGGGCGATCAATTCTTGTAAGTAGGCCCACGGTTTACATTTTGATGTTTTACGTTTTATCATGTTCATTTTCACCTTCCTTTTCATGTTTCCTTTGTTTTTGTGATGAGACCCAACCCATACCTTCCTTTATGTTTTTTCTATAGAAGCGCATGTTTAGAACGCCATAGAATGTACTCGTTCTAATAAGCCCTCTACTATAGTTTGGACTGTTTCACCCAGCTTTCATCTTTGATCCACGATCTCTCCAAGGAGCACTTCGCCTATCTCCCCATCGACCCGCCAAAGGACATCCTGTCCAAGATTCCTTCAGAAATCCCACCTTTCCTCGACAACACAGTCGCCTCCCGTGATCTCCGCTGCGCCTACATCGAGCATGTCGTGTCCAAGACAATCACCTACCGCGTGTTCCAGCCCTTCCTGTTCACTTTAGGTCGAAGATACGATAAAGCTGATACCTTCTTCCAAATGCTGTCTATGGATATCCGCCGCAAGTCCGTCCGGCGCGAGGCATTCTGGCGACAACAGACCCTCAAAGCCGCCTACACCACCTCAGACGCCAAGCAATCCATCAACGTTGCCGCCGCGGTGATCGTGGATGATGTTATCGACCATATCAAGCACTTCGCCGACCCCAAACACCTGGACTCCCTCCTGACCGGCGTCCGCAAGATCGTGAAGCTAGCCGCCGAGACCTGGCGCCACGCCCGCGTCGAGCGCGAGCTCGTCCTAGCATCCTTCCCGGCACCAGATGCAGAGAGCATCTCCAACGAGAGCTGGCAGGAGTACGGAATTGCCAAAGAGGTCAGTCCCAACCAGAAGACCGACCCTACCCGCCACGTCGTTCTCCGCACCTTCCCACACGTCTGGCGCGAGGCTGCCCACGAAGACTTTGCCAGCGGCGAACGAGCCGGTTCATGCATTTACTCGCCGGGCGAGGTCTTGTACTCGGACTCTCCTGTTGTTATTGCCCGTCTTCAAGAGCTGGCTAAGAAGTCGACTGAGTCCTTGGTTGCTCCGGATCAGGCCCAGATGTCCCCTCCTAAGACCCCTCCCAAGACTCCAGTGGGGTCTCACGAAAACTTGAAGCTCAAGGCTCGTGAGAGTCTACAGCTCAAGGGCATTCAGCAACTTGCCGCTGCTGCTCAAAGCCCGCCTCCAGCGAGGGTGTCGGTGCCATCGGCGCCCGCGAGCCCTCGGCCCAAAGAGCCGGGCATGAAAGCATAAATTCGTCAAATTGCCGATTTTCTTGTCTTGGATTAGTTTTCCTATGTGTGCTGCATCTTTTTTTCATTGTATTGATTTGAGATTTGAGATTTTGGTCGATTCGAAGGTTTTGCTTCCTCTCACCTGCATTCAGCCATTGGGATCTGAGCGTTCATGTTTGGTTTTTATGTATTTTCCTATATAGAAGATTGTGTACGCTTAGGGAGGGTTTATTAGTTAGATTGATTAGCTATTGATTTGAATGTCATTGGTCATGAATCAGTACTGCTATCGTATGAGTAGAAGGTACAGTGCGGGGTGGAGATCCACCGCGATCGAGATCCATGAGCCGTGAACCATGGACACGAAGCGGCACGCGCAACGCCACGCGATGGTACAAACAAGCTCGTGGATCTTCAGCCCTATCGTGTGGCTTCGAAACGGCCCCCAGGGGCTGAAAGAATAAGAATAGAACGGAGGATGTGGCTCAGTCATGCACATCCTGGGGTGTACAGCCCGATGCCCAAGGGGCCGTTTCTCACGAGAGCGTTTCGGATGAGTTCAACAGGAGATGAAATGCTGTATTTGTATCTCGACATAGAGATACAGAATGTCGACAGTTCTAACTTACTACGGAGTGCCAAAGTACCTTTGGCATCGTACCTGACGGTAAGCGAGAACCGGATCGGAACGCGGGCCCAGGATCTCGTGGGCGCTAAATGAGGCTCATTTGCAAGTCGCAAGGCTGACCCCGTCATTTCCTCTTCTTTTTACCCCCCCAAGGTGCCCCGTTTCGGACATTTTCAATGCTCTAACTGGTCCATTATGCGCCCGGAGATAACATGACCGCTCGATGATCTCTCTCTCCCAGCTGCGTTCCCAACTCCAATCTTAGGATCTCTTCCCCTCACATTTCATCTTCCTTTTCGCCCCCATCTTGCAGCCCTCTCTGCATATTCCCTCAGCCTCGTCTTATTTTAACGGTTCGCCTGAATAATCCACCAGTGGTACTTTATATATAAAAAGAAGGTGCTGACACCACGGGATCCCGATGGGTGAGACTCTATATAACTCCCCTAAACTGGCTCGGAGCGCTCTGCATCCTCATGATTTCCCCGTCACTACGGCTCCCTCTGCCCCTTTATCGCCTCCGTCCGAAGACAGCTCCCCCGACCTCTTCTCTACATGGACCAAGCTAGGCGCACGCGACTACCTGAATATGTCGACACCGTCTAGCAAATCGCCCCCGCTGCAAGAGCTAAACACCGACCCGTACCTCTCTGCGCCGTCTGATCCCGAGGAGAGCGATTTTGTTGCTAGCGCCATTCGCTTAACTCCTCTCGGTGAAAGTCCAAATCACAGTTCGCCGAATGAAAGTCGGCGCCCCTCTATTCAGGCCCAAACTTACTTAGGCCTGAGGGAAAATGGTTACACACCGTCAAGGCCGAGTTCATATCTTGCGCCGTCGGACATTGATCTCGTGAGTGGCTCTGGTGCCTGGCCGAATGGAGTCACTTCATCCTTCAGCGGCGGGGTAACGGCTCCGTCCACCAATTCGGAATGGCCGTCGTCCGTGGGCGTGAATGCCTCGCGGTGGCTTAGTGCAGAAAATACTATGCCGAGTCCGATATCTGCATCAGGGAGCTTGACTGTCCCAGGCAGTGTAACCACCGCGCAGGGCTCCTTTGCGGCTCCTCGGCAATCGGGCCTCGGCATCTCCAGTACAGAATACGACCCTTCTGGGCTCTCAATTTCCACGAATCACCCGCCAGGAGATGATTTAACCTCGCCTTCAACAAGAGGCAGAAGCCCTATCGTCACCGTAAGTAGGGTGTCGCGTGGTGATTCTCCTGTTGTCTACCAAAGACGTCCGAGTCGGTCAACCGCGCATCTTTCCCCCGGGGATATGTCCAGTGAATCCGGTGACGAAGATGACGCTAGCGATCTCCGATCGGTTGACTCACTTTCTGTGGCACGAACACATAACGGGAACTGGATTCCTAACTCCACCACTGGGCACGGTGGTCTCGACCCTAGATCTCGGGGGAATGAATTTGTGCCAAGCCCGAATGACCTCAAGGGACAACGAGAACGCGAACAGAAGAATGAAGCCATTAGCATGTGGACAGAATCTGTGAATGTGGCCAACAGTGAAGCGGGGGACGAGTCTCCTTCTCTGCCACGCCAAAAGCCTCCGACGACCAGGAAACGCCGAGCACGGAGTACTGGAGATCGTCCCCTTCAGCAAGAGGACTATTTCAACCTGCAATTTACCTCTGCCGGTCGACCGGTCCCGGGTCCCGGTGTCATAGTGCATGAGAGCAGTGAGGATGAAGCCAGTGAAGAAAGTGATGAGGCCGAAAGGACTTATGCTGAGTCTCCTGTCGTTGATGCCACTGAGCTTGCCTGGAATGACCATTCGACGCCTGATATATATTCCTCGCTTGAACAGATCGACTCCAGTGGAAACTTCCGCCTTTATCCTTGGCAGGATCCTCCTAACGACTTTACGCCAAGAACAGATGTTATGCAACCGGGAAGCTCTAGCGCGGCTATGGTGGCATTTGAGAAACGTGCACGGGACCTGGAGACGGCGTCACTTACGGCGACGATTGACAATAACAGTATTATTAACTTCGGCGCGACGTTCGATAGATTGTCGATTAGTGAGCAGCCCAAGACCAAGGGGAAGCGGAGTAATAGTATCCTGAAACGCCCTTTCTTCCAACAGGCGTCTTCGAGGTTGAAGCGTCAAGCGTCCGACCATTCTATCTCTACCGTCAACACTGCTACCCAGCAGGCCCCTCAAGAGCCTCAGCACAGAGACAGCGGCTCACATCGCCATAGACTGAGCTTGTCGTCTATATCGAATAAGCACGGACGTTCTCCGAGCCTGACAAATGCCCTTATCAATATATCTGGACAAATGGCGGCTATTGGAGGGAGTCATTCAGTTCGGGCCGTATCACCCAATCCAGAAGCAACCCCCATGAGCCTCGGGGCGAAGAATCGTGGCCGAAGTCGAAGCGAGGTCCCGCGGCCTGTCACGCCCGGGTTGATAGATCTTATGACCAGCCACGGTGGTCCTCCAGTCGCTGGTCTATATCGTTCGCCAATGCCGGGAATGGCAGCCGAGCAGACGCCAATAAGTGCAGCTCCCAGGCCCGACACAGCGGGCGCGGAAGACGATGATGTCGACATGGTCGATGAGAAAGGGCATGTCATGGAATTCCCGCCTGTATCAAGCTTGCCAGTGCCTACATTCGAAGGATTTAGGGCGCAGATCATGCAACTAAATCCACTGCTCGAGCCTGCTCTCATTCATCGTTTTGCGCAAGCGCAAGCGCGTCGATACAGGCATCTGGTGGAATTGCAACAGAAGCACTCGGTTGCGGTCGCCAATCGCTCGTGCGAGGCTGGCAAGTTTTGTTTCGCTCTGGGGGGCGAGGAGTCTTTGCTGCATCAGGGCAAGGGTCCCGCTGACACCGAGACCGGTCAGACCCAGTTCTGTGTTGCCGATTTCAGTATCGGTCGTGACCAATCTTACGCTCTAGGCGAGGGAGCCATTGCCGCCGCTCACTTCCCTCCTGGTGTGCCTCTTCCGCCGGTCAGCCACCTGCCCGCCGAATTCGAATGCCCGATTTGCTTCGAGGTGAAGAAATTCCACAAGCCATCCGACTGGTCCAAACATGTTCATGAGGACGTGCAGCCGTTCACATGCAGCTTTCCTCAGTGTACCGAACCCAAGTCATTCAAGCGGAAGGCAGATTGGGTTCGACATGAAAACGAGCGACATCGACAACTCGAATGGTGGACTTGCTCCTATGCCGATTGCAATCATACCTGTTTCCGCAAGAACAACTTTGTCCAGCATCTAGTGCGGGAGCATAAGATGCCCGAACCCAAGCCCAAGAAGACGAAAGGATCGGCAGGCGACGGTTCATCTGACAGCACGCGTGAGCGTGAACTCAGCCGGCTCTGGAAGATGGTTGACGACTCCCGCCATGAAACAGAGCAAACCCTGCGTCAGGAACCCTGTCGTTTCTGCGGAAACATCTGTGGATCCTGGACGAAGCTAACCGCTCACCTGGGGAAACACATGGAGCAGTTAGCCATGCCTGTGCTGGAACTCGCCAAACAAAGTTGTGCCTCGCCGCACCAAGTCCACCAGGTGGGGGTCACTGGCAGGTCTACCGAAACACATGCCCCCCTCGCAGCACGGTTCCACGCGCAACATGATCCCTCCGGAACGTCAGCACATCTCGCACGGCCGCAGTATCCAACCAGCAACGCTAGCACCTACGAGGTTCCACTGCTCAATTACCCGACTATTTCAGATAGCGATTTGTCCATGGAGCCGGAGTCGATCACCGATCCTCTTCAGCCTGGTGATCCCCAGATTGCAGGATACATGGGCCAGTTCGACCAATGCACGCTCCACTCGCAAGCCCAGACCCACCCCCTGCATCAGAGCCCAGTGACGTACCCACCACCATACAACGCAGTCCCGCGCTCGAGGACTCCTGAAACGAACCCTGCCATGCTGCAGCACTCGTATTCTCTCGGTTCCCAGCTTCAGGGCTCGCTCTACCCCGCTCAGACGGGCTATCCGGCATACCAGCCCGTGGCTCCCAATTCCCCCTACACTACCGAGCCCTATACCTCCAGCTATTCTTCTCGGATGTGATTGTGACGATCCCCATGTTTCTGACTTTTCACCATCTCCCTGCCAGCATTTACAGGGCGCGTGTATACGTGTATATACCCCTTCTTATCTCTTTAACCTGATCACTCGTCGGCTGATTGCAGCGACCACGTCACGCCAATGGATGAGCTATTTAGAAAGGGATGACCTTATTTTCCCTTTTGTTTCTTTGCCGATGAGCGCTTTCCCTTTTCGATCCAGTTCAGTCACTTCGTTAGGTTTTCCGTCGTTTTGTTGTTGTTTTTTTTTTAGCTCCTCCACCCCCTTCGAGCAGGATCACGCCGAGTCGGTATATCCCGCATGTGTGGAATGACGGAGTTCCCGACGATCCCTCGGATCTGTGTACATATTTTCGGGGGCGAGGGAATTCTGTCTCAGACCGATGTGGCGTACGGAGCCCCATGTGCATAGCATATGAGCCATCATATTTGGTGATTTCTGGCGGAACCTAGCCGACTCGAGTCTAATTGCTACAGGGGGTTGGGGAAAGGACCCTGACAAGGGGGGCCCAGCCCTAGCTAGGGGACGCGCGGATATCAAATGTCATGTTTCGTTTCAAGTAGGGCCGTGTGTCAAATGTTCATCCCTAGAAACAACATGGCAATCGGGAATCGAGGTGCCGATCGTCCCTGTCAGAGCCCGATTGGGGTGCTGCAGCCACGCTGCGTGGAAATATTGGTTTCCTTCCTTTCGAGGGAATGTCCATTCTCTCGAACGAGCCCATCTCGTGTCTCAGCACCACACCACCGGTGCTGGGATTGCCGCGTAGTGTCCCCGAACGACCATAGATACGTCCCAGATAAACAAGATCGCGCCTCATCTGATCTTCACCCGGGTGAACGCCCCCACACCAGGACCGCGGGGGGCCGTGCAATCAAGGGATGACATGCACATTCCACGGCTTGTCTCATTGAGACTTTCCTGCTGAGTCGATTTTGACGCGGACTTGACGCATACATTCTCCCTCCCTTGATTGTCCGCGTGGTGAACCGGCTCGGGGCGAAGTGGAGTTAATCGGGTGCGTGTTTTTTTGTTCTCGCGTGCGTCAGGTTCGCATGCACCTCGTTTTTTTAGGGGCTGCCGGAAAGGAGGGGAGCTGCATTTCCCTCATTTATTTGCTGCCGTTGCCCGGCTTTTTCGGATCTCTGCGTTTTTTTATTTTCGTGGTTTCCTCGGGTCCTAGTATCTGATATCCCATAGTTGGTCGGACCGGTCGCCGATATACTAGATACGCTCGACACCATGGAGGTCCGTTCTCGTTTTGTTCCATGGTGGCCTGGTTCCCTTGCTGACACCTTCTTAGGATCCTCAGATGAGCTGGCACGATCCTACCGACGTCCTTCAGGGCATCATGGTCGGTCCTGATGCATCTCAGCCCTCAGATCTCTCGGATTTCAATCCCTCGGCCTTGGCTCTGGGTGACTCGGCCTCAAATCCTCTGCTTGAGTTACACCTCGCCTCACTCGAAGCCCAAAACCAGCCCGCCCTCATGAACCAGTGGTTCTCAGAGCCTCAGGACTTCTGTTATCCCAACTACCCTTCTCGCTTAACCGGTGACCAGGATGCATGGAACCCGTTGCAGGTCACCGGTGTTCCTAACCCCTCGTCTATGTCCCACATGAAAGTCTCGGCCGTCGGTGATCCCGACTGCGGCTTCTCCAAACCCAGTGGGCACTATAGGACACCCTCCGAGAGTGGGAGTCAGTATATGGGTAGTTTATATTCGGCGGACTCCGGTTATGGAAGTACAAGCTGCGCAACGAATTCGATTGGGACATCTTATGGCATGGACCCGCGGTCGAGTCCTCACATCGGCACGAAGGAATATGGATTCGGCGACTCTGTCACTATGTTTGATCAGCCTCATCTCGGCGCTGGCTCCTTATTCTCCGGAGACTTCGACTATTCAGGCTCGTTGGATGGCTCGGTCAAGTGTGACCACCCTTCCTGTACATGGGTTGGGAAGTGCCCGTCGGACAAGAGGTATCTATCCACATTATCCTATACAGTCCTATGGGAAGAACCCCACTGACCTGGCTAGGAAACACGACGCTCGGCATAGAAAGCTCTTCAAGTGTGACGAGCCCAACTGCCCTCGCAAAGAGGGCTTCGGCACCATCAACGACCTAGCCCGCCACAAGAAATGTGTACACAACAAAGAGCCTGAGCGCGGCCCGAAGATGATGTACCTCTGCTTCGGGAAGAACTGCCCACGGCCTAACAAGAAGTGGCCTCGACTGGATAACTTCAAGCAACACCTGAGCCGGATGCATCATGAGGAAGACGGCGAGGCATTGCTGAAGAAGTGAGCGCTCCCCACACTTTCTGTATGTATATATTTACTGACTGAACCAGATCCATGGACTGGTACGAGACCGTCATTGGCCGCCAGCCTGGCCAACAACATGATGACAGCCTTTCACAGGATGGCTCCCTAGTTGTGACACAGCAGGATCTGGGATCCGCCACCGAGATGGAGCTGGATTCCACCGAGGTGTATCACTCTCAAGATAGCGTTGACCTTTTATCATCACGGGCCGTGACACCCAGGCCATTCTCGAATCCCTCGTATCCGGAAACAAATATCCAATCAACACAGTTCCCTGTTATGGAGTCCTTGGGCTTCGACTCGTCTTTATCCGGCGAGGGTAACAGTTCTTCGACAGAGCGCGGAAATGCCAAGTCGGAGGCATTTATCTCGGATGCAGCAGATAACCTTATCAATGCGATGACGAAGATGATGAACCACCGTGGACGAAGGCAAAGCCAACACAGCGATGAGGGGATCGAGATTGAACCCGAGAACACTCAACTATCCCAGCCTCAGCGCCAGATGCTGCAAAGAGTTCTCTCAGCAGCCCTGGAGCGACTTTCTGATGATGCCGCTTCGACTGCGCCGGAAACCAGCGATGACAAGCAGGACTGGTTCCAATGTGACATCTGCTCCAAACGCACTCGGCTGCGCTGCGAGATGAAGTAAGTCGTCAAGTTCACAACGACTGATCCAACCGTGACTAACATCACAACTATAGGAAGCATCGTAAACGTCATGAGCGACCTTACGGCTGCACATTCCCCCACTGCGCCAAGTCCTTCGGCAGCAAAGCCGACTGGAAACGACACGAGAGCTCCCAGCACCTCCACGTTCCAAGCTGGCTCTGCACCACCCATGATGAAACCAAGGGCTCTTCATGTGGACGTCTCTTCTACCGGGAGGAGACATACACCCAACACCTCAACCAACAACATCGCATCCCCAAGACCCGAACCAAGTCCACCCTCAACGCCAGCCGCATCGATCTAGCCGACCAATCGCAGTTCTGGTGCGGCTTCTGCAATCGCTCCATCGCACTCCACAGCCATGGCCCTGCGGCTCTGGATGAACGGTTTAATCATATCGACATCGAGCATTTCAAGAAGGGAGAGAGGGGCCGTGATTGGTGTTTACCTTCTGGAAATGGACAGAGTGATTTGGATAATAGTGTGGCTGGTACTTCACATATTTCCGAGGGCAATAAGCGGAAGCGTAAGGCTTCTGACTAACGATTTATGTCTATTTCGATTGTTTTGATAGAGAGTTTGTCGCTCCTTTCATCGACATTTTGTACAATCTGCCGAAAGGTTTCGCGCTCAGCGTAGATTTCGGGATAAAATCCTCCATTGTTAAGAGGAATGGACGGTAGAGTACATGTTGAGATCGGTAGGTATATTTATATAGTACAATTCATTGAGATTCATCCAAGGCTAAATCATTTCTTGGAGCCGGCCAACTCCCGTGCCTTTTTCTCCAAGGCGGACATTTCTTCTGCAGCCAAGTCAGTACATGCTATTTTATATATCGCAATAGAAATGAGACGTACCGTTCTTCTCCAACTTGGACTCATCCATCTCCAGCTTCAGCCAGGTCCAGTAGATCACCTGGTAAACGAACACGGCACCCAAGAAGACCTTGCCAAAGGGGCCTGCAAAGGTCTTATATCTCGTCATCTAAGTACATAGATTAGTACAACGTGCACTTCAAAGACAGAAGATCCTTCCGAATCATCTGGATAGTAAGAAGAAACATACCCCTTCCCGGTAGGCACTCGGCTGTTGTGGTGACGAGTTGAGCCGGACGGGAGTGGTGGTCAACATCCGTCTGCCGGGGGCAGATCGGACTGATGAGAAGATTCCCATGGCTCGGGTTCCCTGGCGGACAGATTGTCGTAGCAACATCTTGAGCTGGACGGGGCGATATATGACGGCTCCGAGGGGATTCGCTGAAGAGCTGGTCGCTCGGCGCGGTCTGGGTGCTGCGAAAGCGGTATAGCGCGGTTGCTGGATTGGGGAAAGCGGGGCTTGGCGTTGAAGTGTACAGCTCACTATGCGGGATTGTGAGGACGGTGACTTCAGGGACGGTACTCAATGGAATACAGTTCGCGATTCTTTGATGGAGATGACAATTTATTGTTGTACTGGAGGCAGACAGACGGGGATTGCTGTTACTAAAGTGGTCAAGGGGTTCCGCTTCTGACTATACTATAGAGGCAATTGCCCATGATAATGGGTATTATTTAATGATAGCAATGTGCCAACGGTAAATAGCAGGTCTACAGATATCTGCAATGTATGGAACAGTACTGACCCATAGTCAAACATGAAGGATCCCGGGGTGTTCAAAGACCGAGAACGGAACAGCTGAGTCATCCATCACATGATATCAGGTCCCATTGAATTCTGGCGGGCAGCAAAGGAAGGGACCACAACCCAAATGTCATGGAGCTCCCGGCAGTTGCTTCTTCGTGTCCCTGACTGCCCTCTAACACCTCCTTTCACCACCATGTCGCCCCAGGCTCCCCTCCCCGTTCAGGCTCGTAAGGAGCCTGATAGGGTCTTGGATCGAGGTATACTACCATTTTATATTAATTGAATGCCCTGAATGAACATCCTGAAGGGGAATCAATGGGGGTAGAATCCCCACCAGGCGACAGCCAGGGCGTGCCGAGTGCATTCACGATGTGGCACGTGCACGAGATGACTCAGCCGGGATCAGCCACACCCCGTGGCTCAACAGCGAATGCGTGTGAATGCCTTGAATGCCTTCGCGAGTCCCTTCCGCCTGCCCTGCCAGTTGATGCTTCTTTTTTAAAGGACCTGCTCTTCGGTCCTTTGCCAATTCTTTCCTTTGCATATCCCCCGTCCCTGTTGTTGATTATTTCGCCGTTCTCTTTGTTTTCTCACGCGTTCCCGAGTCGAGGAGTGACCCTTCCCAACTCGACCAGATTGCGGTCCACCATCGCTCCCGTCCGCGACAACCAGCCTGCCGATCAGCAATTGTCGTGGTGGATCTCGGTGGCCCCCGTCCAGTGCCATATCTACAGGCTGCGCACCTGTTGAAGTATCGGTGTCATCGCTGGACGAAGACCTGTTTGTCGTTTGTAAGCTCCCACCCACTTGCTTGCTACCGCGACTTGGAGATCACCTTTGTCTATTTTCGAGCGAACCATACCCTGTACTATCACTTCTCTACCCATCGCTCCCTGGTCAATGCTTTTTTTGGTGCTTCATCACTAACATACTCATTCTCTAGTGACCTCCCTATCACCCCCTTCACGCCGTCATGCGCGGTAGCGCCAAACGCTCCCTCGAGGAGATCGCCATCATGTCCGACTCGGACGATGAAGACTGGAGTGCACCTTCCGATCGTCCTGCCCGGCGCACCGCGCGCAAGTCCAAATCGAGCCCTCAGAAGAAGTCACGGCCGGCCAAGAAGCGCCGACGCCGTGACTCTGATATCGTGTCAGATAATGCCAGTATGAGTGATGATGATCTTTCCATCCTGGAAGAGTCCGAGTCTGAGGAGGAAGATCTGGATGATCCCAATATTCCCCGAAATGCACGAGGAACTGCGCGCCGACGAACCACCCAAAGTCGTCCACTATATGAAGAACCATCCGACGAAGATGAATCGCCTGGAGATGATGAGGCCGAGGACGAGGAATCAGAGGCTGCCGCCCCAGTCCCGCCAAAGCGCACTATCGTCACACTCAAACTTCCACCTGAAATTCTCGCAGAGCCACAGTTTAACGGCAGACGGATCACTCGCCGTACTCGAGGTGCTTCGGAGGATATCTACGCCTTGACTAATTCAGGCCGCCACGTGGAGACTGTTGAACGCGCCACTCTCAGCCCAGAGACGCAAAATGGACGCAGCGGCTCCCGTCACCCCAGCCGAGCATCCAAGCAGCCTGTGATCGCCGAGGAGAGCATTGAAACGAGCGCCGAGGTCCAAGGCTCTCTAGAGATCCTGGAGAGCGATGTGCCTCAGAGTGGTGCCGAGGGCGATACCACAATAGCCAACGACGCGGACCAGGCTGATGTCGACATGACTCATGATTCGGGTGTTATCCCAGAATCAGAGAATGGAGAAGCCAAAATTGAAGCGGATGAGGATGAGGATGAAGACGAAGGTCCCATCATCCGCCGACGGAGCAGACCAACCCGCAACGACCACGAGGCGGAGGAACAACAGGAGGCTGAGCCTTCTGATGGACTTCGCCGATCCGGTCGAAAGAAGCCATCACGAAACTCACAGCAGAAAGGCGAAGAGAGTGATTTCGAGCCCGAAGGCGAAGAGGAAGAAGACGATGATGATTCAGACTCCGTCCAGTCCAGTGGCTCGCCCCGCAAGGGTAGCAGAGCCCGTGATGATGAAGACAGCGTCGCTAGCCGTCGCCCTGGCCTGCGTAAGCGCCCTGATCGATCCCGCGGCACATCCTACGTTGCCGAAGAACTCGCCGATGAGCTGGAAGACTTGAAGGATGGTAAGAAGAGCCGGCGTCACGCCGTGGAACATATTGTCTACGAGAAGCCCAAGCGCAACCGCAAGGATGTCGACTATCGCATCATCCGCCCGGATCTGCTATTGAACCTGGATGAAAACGATCATGATGCAGTGGCCGAGTCTCCATCACGCCGTGGACGCGGTGGTGGGGGCGGCTGGCAGCGCAATCTTCTCCCCACGTTCGGACCCTTTGGCGGTGCCGGTCAATCATCAATCCTTGGACCTCCCGGTGCCGCTGCTACGACTGGAGGTGTCGATAGCGACAGCAGTGATGACGAGGGACAGGCAAAGAATACTGGCCTTACCCCTGGCGGTATCCTTGCCCCCCAGGGTCATGCTGGCGATGCTCAAGGTCTCTCAGGCACTCCCGCCAACTTCGGCAAAGTAAAGGACAAACAGTCTTTGGCCGACGCGGACCCGCTTGGTGTTGATATGAGCGTCAATTTTGACAGCGTGGGAGGCTTGCAGGGACACATCGATCAGCTGAAGGAGATGGTTTCTCTTCCCCTCCTGTATCCGGAGATCTTTCAACGGTTCCATATTACGCCACCTCGAGGCGTGTTGTTCCATGGACCCCCCGGTACCGGAAAGACGCTCTTGGCTCGCGCCCTGGCAAACAGTGTCAGCTCGGAGGGACGCAAGGTAACGTTCTACATGAGAAAGGGCGCAGATGCGTTGAGCAAATGGGTTGGTGAGGCCGAGCGGCAACTACGACTTCTGTTCGAGGAGGCTCGCAAGACACAGCCTAGCATCATCTTCTTCGATGAGATTGATGGTAAGGAGCCCCCTCTTTTTGTCCCTTGTCTACTCTACTGACTCGATTTCCACAGGACTGGCTCCCGTACGATCTAGCAAACAGGAACAGATCCATGCCTCAATCGTCTCTACTCTTCTGGCATTAATGGATGGCATGGACGGTCGTGGTCAAGTCATTGTCATTGGTGCTACCAACCGGCCGGACTCCGTTGATCCTGCTCTTCGCCGCCCTGGTCGCTTTGACCGCGAGTTCTACTTCCCGCTTCCTAACCTCGAGGGCCGACGTGCCATCCTCGACATTCACACCAAGGGCTGGGATCCCGCTCTCCCGCAAGATATCAAAGACGAACTGGCCAAGATCACCAAAGGCTACGGAGGTGCCGATCTCCGAGCTCTTTGCACCGAAGCCGCTCTCAATGCCGTGCAGAGAAAATACCCTCAGATTTACAAGTCTGATAAGAAGCTCATAATCGATCCAAAGACCATCGATGTGATTCCCAAGGACTTCATGCTGGCTGTCAAGAAGATGGTTCCTTCCTCGGAACGGTCTACTGCATCGGGGGCATCTTCATTGCCCAAGAATGTGGAGCCTCTCCTTCGTCAGTCTTTGATACAGATTGAAATTTCGCTCTCAGAGGTCCTTCCCCAGCGAAAGAGACTCACTGCCCTCGAGGAGGCTCAGTTCGAAGAGCCCGAAGACGGGAACGGATTCAAGCGAGAACAAATGATGCAGGAATTCGATCGGTCGCGGGTCTTCCGGCCCCGTCTGCTCCTAAGAGGTTCACAGGGAATGGGTCAGCAGTACCTTGCAGCCGCACTACTTCATCATTTCGAGGGATTGCATGTTCAGGCATTCGATCTTCCTACGTTACTCAGCGACTCTACTCGGTCTCCTGAAGCCACGGTCATTCAGCTCTTCTCGGAAGTCAAGCGAAATAAACCCAGTGTGATTTACATCCCCAACGTCCAAACGTGGGCAGAGACAGTTGGCCCCGCTGTCATCTCTACATTCCTCGGTCTCCTACAATCAGTACCAGCTTCTGACCCAGTCTTGTTGCTCGGAGTGCTTGAGTCGACAGGCGAGGAGATGGATGGCGTCCTGCTGAAGAGAATGTTCGGATTCTCCAAGAAGAACCTGTTTGACATTCATGCCCCGGACCACACTGCCCGCCATGAGTTCTTTGCCAAACTCATCGAATACGTCAAAACTCCTCCCGCCGAGTTCCCTGACCCCGAAAATCGCAAGAAGCGTCAACTCGAAGAGCTGGAGGTCGCTCCACCCCCTCCCCCGCAAGCCGAGGCGCAGATGACCAAGGAGCAACTTAAGGCTCAGAAGAAGAAAGACCGACACATTCTGAATTGTCTGAAGATTCGGATCCAGCCGATTATGGAGCAGCTGAGGAAATACAAGCGGTTCCGGACCGGCGTGGTTGACGAAAACCAGATTAGATACTTGTGGGAGGAAGAGGACCCCAACATAGTGACCAGTGATTTACCACCTGACGAACAAGGGTTCCACCGTCCATATGAAAAGGCTTTCGACAAACACGGCGTGGTCGGTCTTCGCGAGACTGCCACAGGCCGGTTCTTCTACAACTTGGATATTGTCATTATCGAGAAGCGCCTCTCGAATGGCTACTACAAGCGCCCTTCCGATTTCTTGGCCGATGTTAAGCGCATCGCCAAGGATGCACGCCAATTAGACGACGCCGAGAAAGCCATGCGAGCGAATGAGATGCTGGCGAACGTTGAAGTCGACATTGCCAACATTGATCTCACTGACCCGCTTCTTGTTGCGGAGTGTGAAAACGTCTATCAGCGCGAGCTTGCTCGCGAAAAAGGCGGCTGCCGAGCGTGCTCGCGCGGAACAGAGTCAGGTGTCTCGGCCCGGTACTGGAAATGTGCCCCACGGCAACACCGAGTCGGGCCCCTCCACTGGCCCTGTCCATCTTGGTGTTTCTTCTCCCGAGAGCAAGTCAGCCGAACGTCCGGTCACTCCTGCGCGAGAGTCGCATGTGAACTTCACCAATGGAGATCACAATGGGTACCACAATTCTGGCGGGTCGGATCTCAATGAGAATGGCCCTCATGGTCAGAGCAACGGCTCCCACGGCGATGGTGATGGTGATGGTGATGGTGATGGTGATGTTTTCATGACCAACTCCGAGGATCACTCTGGCAGCAAGGACACACTGAACAGCTCGTTTGGACCTTCTGCGCAACCTAAGCCTGCTTATTCGCACACTGCTCCATCTCAGCAGGTCCGCCGCGAGTCTGGTCTGTCGAGCTTCTCGCAGAAGGGTCCGATGACCCCAATGGCTCCGGGATCTCAGCCCGGTGATTACACCAACGAGGCTTCTACGACTCAGACAACTTCGGACAAGAAATCATCAGAGCAATTATCCAACCATCACCACCAGACCCAGAGTCCTCATGTCTCACGGCATGAATATCCGGACCTTACCCAATACCCCGACCGTATTTCGCAGGAAGAGCACCTGCCGGACACCCAGCAGGGAGGCAGCAGCCAGCCCTCTCCCCGGCACCAGGCAGACGATAACGCTACTGTTTATGACAGCCAGTCACAGTCCAAGCCTCAGCCTCCTCTCTTCGGCGAATCTTCCAAGCCGGTCACGAACTCCTCCGCCAACCTGCAACAGCTGCTCAATGAAGAGCCAGTACCCCAGCTGGACCTCGACCTCGAGTACGTCGAGCACCTGCACAACCAACTCACCCAGCAGACAAGCGGGTGCTCGGTCGAGCAGTTGGAGCAAGTTGCCACCTGCCTGATGGATTACATCTGGCGCAAGCGCGGCGAGTGGAACCGCACCGCTGTGGCCAAGGGCCTCACGGAGGCATTCAACGCCGTTTTGGACGACATGCAGTCCATGCAGGATATCGGGCCCATCAGCCATCACACCAAGCAGCAGATGGGCAATCCCAGCTACCCGCTGTGATAGGGTTGTCTTTCAATCTCTTCACTTTCCTGTTAATACGTTTGTCTCTACGAGCTTTCTTTGTATCTGGTGGTTTTCTGGTGGACAAGGTGTTAGTTAGTACCCCTCTTGTTTCTTTCGCTTTTCTTTCCTTATTTTTATGGGGGCATTTGTGGATGTGAGAGTATTTCCAGCGAAACTGGAGAGTTACGGATAGTCACGTACATCTAAAATCAAAAATTTGATTAAACCCGCTGTCCGTTTAATGAGAAACGTAAAAAGGGTCGAACGCTGAATTTCTATACTTCGCGAGAACATGTGACGTCGACCCACTAAAACACCTGGCCTTTGCGGTTGCGGCCCTCCGCCGATGATGCCCTTCCAAGATACCCTTCCACGATACCCTTTCACCTCTCCGTTGCTCCATTGCTAGACCATGACCGGGTTTTGATCTACAATTTGAATTCTTCAATCCCGGAGCTTCATTCCACACCATCTTGCCCCCTTCCGCTCATTCACAACCGCAACCATGGTGGACTGGCTCAGTCTCGCCGTCCCCCTCGCCTACCTAGGCGTCCTGATCGGCGCTCTCGCTACCTTTTCTTCTCTATACCGAAAGCGCAAGTCCCGTATGTACTCCATCAACCGGCAGCAGCACCTCTTACTGCAACTTTTCAGATTCACAACTAACATTTCCCCTTACAACAGGCAAGGCCGCTTCCCTTGAACCATGGTTCCCAGCACACCTCCAGCGTGACATCTACTTCTCCCTCATGCACCTTGACCCCTCCACCCAACAAACGGAGAAAAAACTCCCCGCCGTCCCGGAATCCGTCCTCAAAGCCTCCCTCCTCCGCCGCGCAACGGAAGATATCCGCCGCGTCCTCGCCCTGCGAAGCCAGAAACAGGCTCTCTCCGTCCTCCTCCAGCGTGGCAGTGTTGGCGATGACCTGTGGCAGCGGTTCCTACGCGCCGAGAAGGAGATGGAAGATGAGGTTAAGGATGTCGTCGCCGAGGCTAATGCCTACGCTCCTAACTGGGGCCAGACTATCTTCCAGTCTGCTAATGAGATGATGAATAATGATCTCTACCGCAAGCGCATGGACGACCACCAGTCTAAGCTTGCTGAGGAGCGCGCGTTCTGGGATAAGAAGAAGGCTAGCATTCAGGAGGGCTTTATGAAGGAGTTGGATACCCCTGAGGAATCTGGTGCTGCGGCTGCTAAGGCCCCCGAGGCTGCGGTGACTTCGACGAGCGCTGCGCCTTCGGTGCAAAGTGATGAGGATGCGGTGCTTGTTGAGGCCGAGTCGGTGAATACGCCTGGTTCGGGTGGGAAGAAGAAGAAGGGGAAGGGGAAGAAATAGATGCTGGGTTTGTAAAATTATGTTGGTTTTTTACTGGGTTGCTGCAATGGGTTTCTTTCAGGATGGTGTTTTGTTCTATCCCCTTGGGATTGATGCATTTGAGGATATCTTGCATACTTTTAAACCCTTTCACAATCCGAAGAGGAGAATAGTGTACAATTCCCGTAGTGGTAAAAGTAATTAATATACAGGCCCTATTTACAGCGGGCTGAAGGCTCAAAACGCCGCTTCATGCAATGTCCGAGCTAATTTATAGCAGCTTACTATCATCAACCCCTAACGACGACCCTAGATCAATTCCCGATACCTGCATTTCCTTTGCAGCTTGGGTCAACTTTTCTTCGATGCGTTCTGGCCCCAGACCATCTGTCCGACCGATCACAATCCGCAGGAAGCTTGCCATGATCTCGAGTTGGTACTCCTCCTTCTCATGGGGATCAAGCTGGTCGAGACTTAGCCCTTGTACTTTTAGAGCCAGCTCCTTTCGATCGCCCAGCATTTCAAGAAGTCGGCTCACTTGGCCAACGCTCTCTTTGCTGCGGGGTGTCGAGGACAGACGGCGGAGGCGGTGCTTGGGTGTCCCGGCGGGCACTCCGGCCAGGCGGGCAACTTGCAAGACGATCATACGGGCTGTAGTGTCGTCGGGCGCAAACCCAAAGACAGTTCGCATAGACTGGAGGGCAACAAGTGTGCCTGCAAGATCCTTAGAGAGGCAGAAGCAGCGCACGATCTGATCATATAGCTCCTTCGAGAACTCTTCGGCGGTCGTCCGTTGGGCGCGAGGGGAGAGGTGTGAGTACCACTGTACCATGTTTCCGTACAGCTCGCGCGCAGATGGGAATCCACTGTCGAAAGCCGTACGTCCACGATCGTACTGCAGTTTAGCGCAATCCCAGAGACACGCGTATGTTTCCAAGTCTGGTCGAACGCTTGTAGACATCATCTTGAATTTGGCCCACAATGAGCGAATATCTTGTTTTCGGAGTTCGGCATAGAGGAGATGGTTCATGAAATAGGAGTTGGGTTGAACATGTGCATCGCCGAGACACTTCACCAGGTACTTGACCATGTCATCGTCGCCTCGGCGGGTGTAGTGGAGAAGAAGAATGGAGAAGGTTTCAATGCCTGCGTGTGGCACCTCACGTTTCATAAACTTGGGGATCCGACTAGGCTCGGCCTCATCGTGTTTAACCTGGACCCGGGGAGTTGGCTCGGCCGGCTGGAACCGTTTCCACGCGGCGTCAATCCGGTGCTGGATCATGGACCAGGCGAGTCGCTCTGCTTTGTTCCGCGCGTTGGCACTTCCATCCCGAAGCCAAGCGGCTATCAAACCATTCAAGTGCTTAGCGTCCGGGCGCACTCCTCGCTCATACATCAATTCGATCACTAGAGCAGCCGAGTCGACCTCGCCCATTCCGATAAGCTTCTTCATCCAGCTAGCATAGAAGAATCGATTTTGGAATCGGCGAGGCAGCATCGTGAGTGCCGATAGGGAGACTTTGTTGACGGCACGCTCATCGATGCATGATGCATGAAGGTTGCCTGCTAGGCCAAGAGCGGCTTTGTATAGAGCTGTCGAGTCATTGGCAGGATCTTGACCTGTCACCATCATATCCTTGAAGATAGCAACAGCAGTATCCAACCGGCCAGCGGTGAGAAGACCGATGCTGATCTGATCATAGTCCTCCATGGTCATGTCGGGGCCCAGCATCGTCTTGAGTTGTAGATACAATGCCCATGCTTTCACCTCTGCATCCTTTCCGGGCATTCTGCCCCATGCTGTGATAACCGGAATGAGTACACGGGGCTGGCGGGATCTGTCATTGGCCAAGAAAGCCAAAGCAATATCCTGAGCTCGTTGGGGATTGCTTTCAGCGGCGAAGAGTCGGACACCCTGCATCCAATATTCCTCGAGGTCCTCCCTTTTCTGGGACAGTTCGGCTTGGTAGGATTCCCACTGCTCCAGTGCTTGAGTAGTGGCACCTCCTTGATGTAAAGCATCGATGTATGAAAGTATCTGGGGAGTGGCGAGGGGCCTGTCGACGGAGCTAGCATCCTCGGCGAGAGTTTGGAGATGCGTGGATCGTGTAGCCTTGGACAGTTGTGCTGTGGCTTGGGATTCCCAGACAATATCGAGGACATTTGGTGGAAGTGCGCCCACAAATCCCGGCATAGCCTGCTTGCACCGGCGATAGGATTTCCACACCTCTTGCCTCGTCCGCTCATCTGACTCGTTTTCTGTAAACTTTTGGAGAGCCTTCTTGAATCGCACCGCATATGCTTGGGACTCCGGATTCACAACCTTTGCTTCCGAAGAGCGTTTGGCAGCCAATTTGCGCCGCTCTCTAGCGCTGTCCTGCCAGTTCTCTTGTTCCAGCGCGAGACCCTCAAATTCCTCCTTCAGCATATTGTCCAGTTCCTCGTCAAAGACATCATCCAGTGATGGCTGTGGCTCCGCCGAGCCGTGTTCCTCGTCATATTTCCGAAGAGCCTCCAGGGCAATCTTCCGGTCGTTCTCTGGCAAACCCTGGATGAAAGGACTGTCGGGTGCGAAAGGGCCCTTTTCAAGGACCTTGAGCTCTTGCTGAAGCTTCGTGAGCTCTCCCTCTACTTCTTCCCGCTCCTCCTTATCCTCGGCCTCGGGGTCGATCTTCCGTCGTTTCTTGCTTCCGGGTGTCTCTTGTTCGAAGAAATTGACCTTATCATTGGGCCCGCCATAGTCGAGTCGACGCGCCGTTACAGCGGAAAAGGCACGCCGAGAAATCGACGGGCCGGCATAGTAAGCTCCTCGAACAGCCTGGCGGAGCATATGGAGTTGCGTCGAGCATGAAGTGTTGAAGTCGCGAAGTTCGGAAAACCATTTAATCCACTTTTCGGGTTTAGCGTGGTTCCCGCCCCCGTTGAAGTCATCCCCCGACGCGCCTGTCAATTGCGACCAGCAATGGATCCCGACGGCTTGGAGGACGCTCTGGACCTGGCCAGAGACAGGTCACAGTACCAGGTAATTGTTCTGAACGTGTTTTATCCCTCCTGTGTACTGACATCTCCCAGGGCGTGTACGTCTACCAGCCCGCAAAGCCTGGGAAAGCTTCCGGCGAGCGCCCTACGAAGCGTCGCAAGGTCTCGACTATCGACACTGGTGGACAAAAATCAGATGTGCATAGCTTTTTGCCCCTGTTAAATGGGGAGGAATCTGCGGAGTGTGTGCAGCTGCGCCACGATACCTACAAACAGCTGTGGTCTGAGCAAGAAGACAAGATCCAAGTGAGAGACCTTGACATGCGCGTGGGTTGTGAGTCGCTAATATGATACCATTGACAGAAAATCCTCGAAGATGTCGACGCCGGAGTCCTGACAGACGTGTTGTCCTTTGTGAGAGATACATCGCCTCAGACGTATGGCCCTGTCCTGGAGAAGAACACTCGAGCTGCGATCTGACCGGATATCTCTAGGTGCAATGGATGTATACCCACAGCATTGGTGACCGTTGGATCCAATGTGTCCTCGCTTAGTCGATTACTTTCACGCCTCAACGATCAATTGACGACGAGTGGCGAGGGTGGTGTTGTAGTGCTAGAATCCGGCGACGCACCCAACCTCAAAACATCCCTGAAGAACATCATCCGAGCGGCTGTCACCAATACTGAGGGCAATGACGGATACCAGAAGTTCCTCACGGATCGTTCTGTATGTCCTTGCCTGTCGATCTCTGACTTGTCCATACTAACTGAAATCTAGGGGCCGCGACTGCTCGGTTACGATCTAGATCTGCTTCATGATTACGTCCAAAGAAGAGGAACCAAGAAGCTGGTCCTTGCCCTGCGAGATAGCGAAGCTTTCGATCCAGGACTACTGACCGATCTTCTGTCGCTATTCAAGTAAGATCCAAATTGCTCGTATACTGAACCCTCTTCTCACACGTGATAGATCGTGGCTCGACCGTATCCCATTCACGGTGCTGCTTGGAATCTCAACTTCTGTCGAGCTCTTTGAGGGTAGGCTCCCGCGCTCATGTGTTTCCATGCTCCAAGGGAAACATTTCGAAGTTCAAGAAGCAGGAAACTGTGTCGACCGCATCTATGAGTCCCTGCAGGCCGAGCCGAACGCGAAAATGTGGCTTGGCCGCAATATCACCAGCACATTATTTGAGAAGGCAAGCGACTATTTCCTGACGCCCGAGGCATTCAGTCGTATGGTCAAGGTAGGATATTCCCCCTCATAATAAACCTGTCTTTTCTAACACCTAATGCAGTACGCGTACATGTCGCACTTCTTCGCCAACCCCCTTTCCACATTTTTGGGAGGATCACCATCGCCTGCAATGTCTCAAGGCCGTTTCTGCGAAGCTATTAGGAATCTGCCCTCTTTCCGAATGTAAGCATCTTTGCTTGTTCCAATTTAATTTCCGGTCTAACGATTTATCAGGTTCTGTGAGGATCTTGTTGAGAGCGGCTCTGGGAATGAGGTGCCCCCTTTGCTAGAAAATGATGAGCATCTGTTTGAGCAGGCTGTTAAGCACTTCGAGGCAGGACAGCAAAACATGCGACAAATTTTCCAAGCTGTTCGACTTATCCATGCGTGTCTCCAACATACGCAAGGCACGAAGAAGACCAGCTTCTCTGATCTCTCTGTCCATGCACTTTCCGGAGAGTTGAGTGAGTCTCCTATCGTGGACGACATGCTGGCTATTGTAAGGGCTCTGGACTCTGAGAAGCTTGGAGAAGTGCTTGAAACGCTGCCCAAGGACATGTTTCATCAGACACCTCTCGGTGAGATCCAAGCAAAGCTAAGAACCTTGCAAGAGACGTATGCAGAGTCTGGGCCTCTACACAGTGAATACAACATCAACAGCTCTGTGGTTAAGACAACTGTTGTCCAGCAGCGGATCCAGCTCAGCAAAGGCAAGGCCAACCTGCCCGAACAAGATATCGAGTATACCAAGATTCTCGACTGCTTGATTGGTACGCTGCAGGAGTATTTCGCAGAAACCTTGATCCCGCCTCAGGATCTGTTTCTACATGAAGCCTTTCTGTTTGACCTGCGCAATCCCTTGAAAGAAACATTCGGTCCCCGGCCCCGTTTCGCCATTGAGCGTGCCATGGCAAGTCCCTTCGACTACTTGTTTTCCTCGCCCGACGCCTCCGGGGCCAGAATCTCTGCCAAGCAACCTGCCACGGCTATCTTATATCAACTCTACCTCGAATCTGGTGCTCTGGTCAATGTTCATGACTTGTGGCAGGCTTTCTATGGCGTTTTCGAAAATGACCAGGGCAAGAAATGCGATGACCGCATCGTCATGTCTTTGTTCTATGGTGCTCTGTCCGATTTGAAGTCATTCGGCATCATCAAGAATAGCCGAAAGAAGACTGATCATCTTGCCAAGGTTGCATGGATGGGCTTGTAATTTACATTTCAAGATTACTTTGAATAGCATAGCATTGATCATCCCTGGATTCACTGAATTGAAGCGTGAGGTTTAAGAGAGTGCGAATATCAAATCCCAATCAATTTCCAAATACTTTCCGAATGCTAAGTAAAGGGTATCATACGCATGCAGTCAGGTAAAAAAAAAACTATACAGAAGTCTCCCAAGCCATGATAAGCGCCAACTCGGATGCAGAAGCAGGCGCACGATTTCAATCCTCTTGGAACGGTCGTTGAATGATATCATCACGTCCAAGCGGCCGTCCACCTTCACTCAGAACCATGGCTTCCCTCCGTCGGCGGCGAAGTGCTTGCTCTTCCGGGCTTCCTTCTTGGAATCTCCTCGAAGAGGACTCTCGTAATGGAGGACCGGCTGTATCTTCTCCATCCACCATCCACACATCACTGTCTTCATCGTCATCGTCGTCGTCATCATCATCATCGTCCTGATCATTCTCTTCGATCATGCTGCCCATTAGACCATGCTTCCGTAGCTGCTTGATTCCATCCGGGTGCTGTGTCAAAGTCCCAAATATAGAGCTCATGACTGTATCGTCAGACCACCATGTTTTCATGAGAATAACCGCATCCTGTCGCCGAGATGGCTCGGTCAATGCACACGGGAACGGGTATTTGGCGAGCCACCGGCTGACGATACCGGCTTCCAACGCCCCAGCAACATTTTCTGGTAGCAAGATATCCAAAATATGAAGGGCCTTTTTTTCCCCTATGGGTCTGGTCTTGGGGAGGACGGGCGAGTGTGTTGTAGACGTTTGTTCGGTGTGTTCGTCCAGGAAATTGCAGAGACAGTTAATCAGGGCTGTGTATGTCGGGACATCTCGGAGTCTAGTACAGACAGAGGTTCGAGATACTGTTTTCATTTAGCACTGAGCTTGAGCTGTCGGTCGAGGAGTGGTGCATACGAGCTCGGTTAGATACTAAGAAATGGAGAGCAGTCAGCGCGCGACCTTGTCGGGCTTTGTCTTTGCAATTCAAGTCCTCTAGGAGCAAGTCGCGCGTTTCGCCTTTTGTTGACCGTTCTGAGATGATGCGCAAAGCTCTGTGTATGCATTAGTGTGTGTCTCGCAACGCTCGTGGAGGATTATCGTACGCAGCTCGGAGGTCATGACTCGTGCTCTCGGAGAGCTTGAGAAGGGTATCTAACTTGAGAACTGGACGGCTTTAGCATGTATACTTTGTCGGTGATGAAGGCCATTGCTCACCATCCTCTGTACCTTCGTTAATGATCTTATCTTCTCTCTCGTTATGCTTGATCTCGGTCAGATCAACCACTTGGCGAAGGTCGTTGACGATGCCGCGCACGGCAAAGAATAGTGATATACCTAGGCTTGTTAGATAGTGCCAAAACACAAGAACCAAGATTTATATTTACCGAGACAAAGCCACAGCGCACCATCTCCCGAAAAAGGCGCCATGATGTTTGTAGTTGGAGATGATGAGATGCGGAGAGACGCTGGGCAGAATCGCGATCGGCCGCGGCGGTGAGACTTTTTTTCGTAAATCACTTTTGCTGCAGCAAAAAAAAACTCCACTCTGCACGCCAGTTCGTCCAGCCAAAAAAATGCCGCCTTCACAGCTAAAGCAGCTGAAGGCTTCGCTTAAGGATAGCGGGGTGATTGCTCCCCAGCAATCTAAGAAGCAGAAGCGCCAAAATGCGAAGTCTGGTGCCGCGGCGCAGAATCGGAACCAGCGCAATGCCGCTTTACAAGCAATTCGAGATCGGTTCAACCCTTTCGAGATCAAAGCGCCTTCCAATCGGAGCAAATTCGAAGCGACTACTCGGGATTCAGGCTCGAAGCCTGCTCCGCGCGCCCGTCCGGGTGTCACAAAGTCTTTGGGCGAGGAAAGGGTATGTTGAGACTGCTTTTCACTTACTGCTACAATTTCATAGCTCACACCGTTTTATAGCGCCGTGCGACCCTTCTCCAAGAGATGAACAGCCGTAACAAAGTCGGTGGACTTGTCGATCGCCGTTTCGGTGAAAACGATCCGACTATGACCCCCGAAGAACGAGCCGCCGAACGATTTGCGAGAGAGAGCCAGAGGAAGATGCGCAAGGAATCGATGTTCAACCTCGAGGATGAGGAGGAAGATTTCCAGCTTACCCATTTGGGTCAGTCTTTGGATCTTGAAGGAGCGAAACTGGACGATTTCGAGGCTGGCGACTTGGGGGGTGAAGAATCGGACGAGGAATCTTCACGAAAACGAAAGCGCTTCATCGATGATGAGGAAGATATGGACATGGACATGGACATGGACATGGATTTTATCGATCACGGGGAGAATGAAAATCAGCCCGAGCGGAAGAAGTCCAAGGCCGAAGTGATGAAGGAAGTCATTGCCAAATCTAAGTTCTACAAGCACGAGCGACAACAGGCCAAGGAGGATGACGAAGATCTTCGGGATCTGCTGGATCAAGAACTCCCTGATCTCTTCGAGGCTTTGCGAGGCATGAAGGTCCCTGGTAAGCAGCCAGAGCCGGTCAAGCAAGATCTGGACGCCATGAACCCGGATCGTGCAGCCCTACTACAGGAACCAGAGAAGAAGGACACCGAAAGAGAATACGACCAGCGACTCAAGCAACTGACATTCGACAAGCGGTCTCAGCCTACAGACCGTACAAAGACCGAAGAAGAGAAGGTGGAAGAAGAGGCTGCGCGATTGAAGAAGCTGGAAGAGGATCGAGTCCGCAGAATGCGTGGTGAACAGGTCAGCGACGACGAGGAAGAGGAGTCTGACAAGGACTCCTTCATGCAGGACGACGAGGATGAAGAGATTGATGATGCGGAGGCTTTCGGCCTTCCCACTCAATCGTATCAGCCGCGTCCTGAAATAGCTGTGGAGGATGAAGACGATTTTGTTATCGACGATGACTTGGTCGAAACAAGGTCAAACGTCAGCCTCGACATGGGTGGGAGTGATATGGAAGAGGAGGATCTTTCCGAAGAAGAGGAGAGTGAGTCAGACAATGAAGACGAGCTCATCAACGGAATGACACTGCCATCGACCACTGCTTCTGGAGCCGCATCTACAGCTGTCGAAGTCAACCAAACCGCAGAGGGAAAACTGGCCTTCACATACCCTTGTCCGTCCGACCACGCTAGCTTCCTTGAGACCATCAAGGGTGTTCCCACCCAAGATATTCCAACCGTCGTCCAGCGCATTCGTGCTCTGCATCACCCTCGCCTTCAGCCTGGTAACAAGGAAAAGCTCGGACGGTTTGCCGAGATTCTAGTTGAACATGTCTCATATATGGCCAACACGAGCGAGTTGCCTTCGTTTGCCGTAATCGAGAATATTCTGCGCCATATTCACTCATTGGCCAAAACTCACCCGGTGAATGTCGCCATGGCGTTCCGTGCACGTCTTCGCGAGATGTCCAACGACCGTCCCCTTAACCTTCTTCCTGGTGATCTGGCCATTCTGTCCGGCATCTCAACCATCTTTCCTACCTCTGATCACTTTCATTCTGTTACCACTCCAGCTTACCTGTGCATGGCTCGATTCTTGGGTCAGTGTTCGGTCAACACACTTTCCGACTTTGTGACTGGCGCTTTCGCCACGAGCTTGTGTCTCCAGTACCAGAGCGTTGCAAAGAGATACATGCCCGAGTTCATTAACTATACACTGAATGCCCTTTGCAACATCGCACCTACAGAGCCGACTTCGGAAGTTGGATTCTTCCCATCCAGAAAATCCGACGAGTCTGTCCGGCTCGCACCATCCAAGAAGGTCACTCCGCGCAAGTTGCAATTCCGAGATATTGTGACCTCGGCTTCCGACTCTTCAGTGCAGGAAGACCTCAAGGTCTCTCTTATCACCCTCTTCGTCTCTCTCCTCGACTCCGCCTCTGATCTGTGGTCGGAGAAATCCGCCTTCGTTGAGATTTTCACTCCTGTCCGCGCTGTCCTTCAGCACATCCGTCAATCATTCAAAGGCAAAGCCTTTGCCGCAGCTCGAGACCCCGTCCAGACGACTTTGGACAAGATCGACTCTCACCTTGCTCGTGCTCGTCTTGTCCGCCGCCCGTTGTTGCTCCACAATCACAAACCGCTGGCCATCAAGTCCGCCATTCCGAAATTCGAGGAGGACTTCAACCCGGACAAGCACTACGACCCGGACCGCGAGCGTGCCGAGTCCAACCGCCTCAAGAAGGAGTTCAAGCGCGAGCGCAAGGGTGCCATGCGCGAGCTGCGCAAGGATGCCAGCTTCGTTGCACGCGAGAAGCTGCGCGAGAAGAAGGAGCGCGACGCCGAGTACGAGAAGAAGTACAAGAGGCTCGTTGCCGAGATCCAGAGCGAAGAGGGTCGTGCTGCCAACGATTACGAACGGGAGAAGAGAGGGCGCCAGGGCAAGCGGTAATCTCTTCATGTTTGTTGAGGTGTTTCACATCTCTCTTGTCTTTTTTCTTCTGCATACATTCTGTCAAACTCGTATATATACTCTTCGACGCCCTTTATACAGGGCTGGTGCATGACCGGAATAAAAGTCGTTTTGATACACAATACCATTAGAGCTTGCCCCTATCAGCCTTTTAACTGCGTTCTTCGAGTATTCTTTTATAACATATGCAATGCTTTGGTTTGCTTCTTCTCGAAGCCAAGCGACCCGAAACATCATATTTATCGTCCCAATCAGCCTTGGTAACTTGAACCAGCTCATGGATGATTGTCCCATCGTCAAACTCTCCAATTGTCTGTTTGTACGCGTAACCCTTGTACTTGGTGATCACATGGATCCAAAAGTAATAATATAGTAGACTCTACAAAACGTAAATTTTTCAAAGGTAATCATTCTAAAACTGACAGGATATGAGCTCGGAAAGATGACTTGCAGCCCAATAACCAATAGGATGTTGCAAAAAATAGAAAGATCAATTAGTATTAATATATCTGTACATCCATCATATGGAAACGTGACTACTGCCTCAGATCGTCGCCAATGCTAAGCAAATATTCACAACGCTTCCTTTGAGCTGGCGGCACCGTCTCCATTTTAGTGTCATTAGTCCGGATGAAGATACGATGATATGCATCACTTCCACTGCCCCAAGTTCCCCATTCCGGACTAGACGGATAGCGATATGTATTGGGGTTCAACGACCGAACGAAACTCGTCCAGTAGCCCTGCATCACCGGGATAATGCCCGCATTCGTGGTATAATAAGAAGCTGGAGGTACACCGCTCACTCCGTCCGGGCCCCAGATGGCATTCACCTCGACCGTGTGTGAGGTTCCTGTGCCGATTTCTTCCTCATGTGGGTCTAGCACTGCATAGTGGTAGTTCCAGCTGGGGAGGCCGGCTGCGGCGTATACGGATGACATGTCGATGCCGGGACAGATGTATCGAAGTTCACCGTAGCCGGCGCTGGTCGGGGGCCAGTAAGGCCCGGCATTGGGGTATGTTCGGGTTTGGTCTTGGGTAAGATACATGCTGTTGAACTTGTCCAGTTGGGCTTTGGTGATGGTGGGGAATTGGTCTTGGATGAATGCATCGGCTTCGGCAACGCTGGATGTGCCTCTGGGGACGAAGATTGTTCCTTCGTTTGTGTCGTCGCCGAATATGACAGGCACTTTGATGAACTTGCCTTGGTGGAAGAGTTTCAAGGTGTGGTCTTGGACCAGATCGCCGTCAATGGTTGGGCCATAAAGATACAAGGGGTCTCCCGTTGCTCCTGGGAATGGCGTCTTGACATTTTGGTGTTGCAAGTCGTTGACGTTCAGAGTTCGCAGGCATGTTAGGGTGTTGTCGCTGCTGCTACAACCCGTGTTCTCTGCCAGCTTGTTATAGGCAAATTGACTTTCGGGGACGTTAAGCATGGTTCCGAAGCTCTGTGATTCTGCTGCCGCGCCGATAAAGAGTCCATTGTTTCGTCCCCCGTATGCAGAGAGAAGCAGAGTCACCGACGCTCCTCCAGCACTGTCACCACCAATGACGACATGTTTGGGATCTCCGCCAAACTAAAATACCGTTAGAGAATAGTCAAGAGAAAAACAAAGCTCTCCTGACCTTGCTAATATGCTTTTGCACCCATTCGAGAGCCTTGAGCTGATCCTTGAGCCCGTTGTTGAGACTAGCGCCCTGTTCAACTTCTTCACTGGCGAGAAACCCGAATGGCCCCACGCGGTAGTTGAATGTCACCACGACGATATTGTGATCTGATGCTTCGACCAAGTAAGATCCGTTGTAATTGGGATTCGACAGCTCCGCAAAGCCTCCGCCTTGGATAAAGAAATAAACTGGGAGATTCTTCCCGGAGGTGACGGCGTCGGTTGGAGTGTAGATATCCACAAATAGACAGTCTTCCGACTGCGTTTTCTCTACATCAGTACCCGGGGCATTTGCCACTGGAATACAAATAGGACGATGCTAGTTCCCAGTTAGCAGGTAGGTAGGTGTCCAGCATGATTTTTGTGAGCGTACATGATTGGCTTTCTGGGTCTCTCTCCTGAATGGGGGATCCTGGGGAGCTTCGAAGCGCAGATCACCTATAGGTGCAGCCGCATACCGCATTCCCAGGAATTGAGAGACGCCATTTGGAAACGAGCTGCCTTCATAGCTAGAATATCCCAGGTGGACCACTGGGGCGTGCGCGCAAGCTAGGGATAGCAGGAAGAACTGATAAAAAATCATATTCGTCAGAGGGAAGATCGTCGTGCTAATGAGGAGAGGCAGGCATTGCGGTTTTAACAGGGCCTCGGGATGCAGAACAAGGGCCGAATGCAGCCGGGCCAGAAACCCCCCGACTTGTCCCGTGAATGCAGCTAGGCCAGCACCCCTGTGACTGCAGTCATGCCCCGGATGCCGTAAAGGGTGCCGTAAAGGGTGCCGTAAAGGGTGCCGGGATGCGCCCTTGCATGGGTCTCAATGAAGACAGGAAGCGATCAGACCTGCATGGTGACTGGCAATTGATGGGCTCCACTGCGGCTTCCCCGCAACTTAATCCGCGCCTGGCTCGTCTCGGTAACACTTTTCTCCCCATCCATCATGTCGTCTGACGAGGAGGACTATATGTCCATGGTGATCGAGGAGCCCAAGGAGAAGGAAACATTTACACAACGGAAACAGCGCGAACAGCGAGAGGTGAGCTCCTCCCTCCTTCTCTCATGTTTTTTTTTCTCTCACTGACCGCCCGTGTCCCAGGCCGAAGCTCGTGGAAGAGTTCCCTCCAAAGCTGAACGTGCAGCACAAGATGCCCGTCGCCGAGATGAAGCCTTGGCAACCAGCACCTTGGACCCTTCAAATAAGGGATTCAAGATGATGGCCAAGTTGGGCTTCAAACCCGGTGACTCGCTCGGAAAACGCGACACCGATACCGACTCCTCCACCCCCGACGACTCCAAGACGAATCGCTCCGAACCGCTGAATCTCGTATTCAAAGAGAACCGTGGTGGAATCGGATTGGACACCGAGAAGAAACGTAAAATCCGCGAGGAGGCGGAGGAAGCCGTCAAGAAGATCAAGCACGAGGAAGGCGATTACCGGGATCGGGTCCGTGAGGAACGGGAGTTAAAGCGCATCGAGGCGCAAATACGAGCTGCACAAAAGGTGGCCGAAAGGCTAGATGCAGAAACCGACGAGGAAATAGAGGAGGATGGAGGGCAGGAATCCAAGCCCGGGCCCAGCGACACCAATGGCAAGAACGAGACTTCAGAAGACAAACACTCGGAATCCCGCGACGCGCCGAAACCGAAACGCATCAAACCCACTTCACATATCAATGTGCTTTATCGCGGCCTTGTTCGCGAACGCGAGGAACGAGAACGCGACATCCAGGCCCGTCACGCCCTCCAACATTCCCTTCCGTCGTCCTTCTTCCCCAGCCAGAAGCTGCCCGGGTATGAAGATGCCGATTTAGAAAAAGACGACAAGCAGGCCCTGGGTAACCAGCTCGGACCATATACTGCTGCCGTGGAGCAAGAACTTGAAGAGGAAGATCCGGAACTAGATGCTTTCAATGCCCTAGAGCCGTCCGAGCGACTACACAAATTAGTAGTCTATCTTCGCGACATGTATCGGTATTGCTTCTGGTGCAAATATCGCTACGAAACAGATGTCGAGCTGGAGGGCTGTCCTGGCTTGACAGAGGAAGACCATGATTGATCAAAACCCCGTTTGTACAGTATATGCCTTACGAATGATAGAAACGAAGTGGTTTATTTCCAACGCAATTCGTATGCTCTGTCCGTCGATGACAGTATTCATTATCAATATGCAAATATGACTCTCCGGGCCATCGTAGTATACACAAATATCCTTGGTATCATAAAATTGATCCACATTGACACGAATGACCGCCTCTCCGCCGAGACTATACAAGATCTTTTCGATCCTCGGCGATTCCGGTCCTAGCGCACTGCGCCGATCATGCAATGGGGAGAGTGAAATAAAAAAAAAATAAAAAAAAAAAAAAAAAAGTGGAAGGAAAAGACGTGGAAGAAAACGTTCAAACACCGTTGAGGCTCCCCATGAGCTCCTCCAACGACCGATTCTTGCACTTCATCAGGGCGTGATGACAGCCCTCACAAATGCGCAGGCAGCAGAATACACAGCGGTGGCGGGTCTTCCGGTCGAACTGGTGGCAGGTCATGCACGGCACTGGGCACCACACGTTCTGTGCCGCGGGCATGTTGCGATGCTCCTGGAAGCAGGCAAAGTGGACTTTGTTCAACGGCGCCGCAATGTCAAATTCCTGTGGCGGCGTGTCGAGCGGAGGCTGCTCATCGCTGGACACGAGTTCCAGAGGAGTTCCAGTGCCATCGGGGGTGGGGATGAAGTCTTCCAGCGGTGTCAAATCCTCGTTGTCTTCTACTGGCGGCGGCGAAAGAGTGACAGGGGGTGGAGACCGGGGTGAGAAATGCGATTGAGCCTGCTCTTGCGATTGAGCCTGCTCTTGCGATTGTGGCTGCTCTTGCGATTGTGGCTGCATTTGCGGTTGTGGCTGCATTTGCGACTGTGGTGGCATTTGCGACTGCGGTGGCATTGGAAGCTCCGATCGCATTCGAAGCTCGGACTTCATTGGAGGCTCCGGGTGAAGCTCTGGCTGTGGTTCGGGTAGCGGCGCAGCCTCAGCAACGGGCGGCGCGGGTTGTCGCAGGCCCTGTGGTGTAGGAGGAGAGGTCTCGCGTGGGCGCGCACTGCTCCCCACCTGTCGACGCGCCGGGACTTTGGATAATACGCGCGGCGGCGGAGGAAGTTGGTCCCTGGGAATGACCGGCAGTTCCTTGCTTGGAGCAGGGGCAGCCTTGGGCGGCGGGGCAAAGAAACCACCAGAGGGCGGATTGGGCAGAGGATATTCGTCGGGAGAGCGGGACTCAACGGATTTTTTGCTAGAGAAGGAGAACTGCGATTTGGCTGCGGCGGTACCGTTTTTCATCGCGGTGAGAGAGGGGACGCGAAGGCCTCGAGGGCGCTTCTCGGAATCGAAGATAGCCATGTTCAACTGAGTTCGAAGCCAATGGCTTCAGAGTGTATGACGGCGCCGGGCCCGGTGTATCGATAAAGATTATCGGCGCCACGGTTTGATTAGCGACGATCTCTACGGGTCTCCGCGCACTCCCGGGAGGCCTCGTGCTGCGAAAGCGGAAAGCGATTCGTCGAGGGTGGGACAGGTTCTTTATGACGTGGAAATGAAAGAAAAAGGGAAGAGAAAAAAAGAATGTAGGAGAGGACGAGACAGCGGTGTAATCTTAATTCGAGGATCGCAGCAAGTTTTTGTCGCCGTCTCCGAACCCACTTCGGATCCAAGACTCTCAGCCCCCAAACTCATCGAACTAATCGGATCAAGCGCCCTAGTTCGACCTCATTCATCTCTGATTTTCATGCTCGGTGATCGCATTGTCGCTCATAAGTCAATTAGGGTGCGGAATCCTGTCCAGGAATTCCACCTCATCATCCCGGACTAACACGACTATTGGTTCTGAGGAATGGAGGACTCAATGCCCGTGGAGTCGCGCCCGTGGAGCGCCCGTTGCGATTCGTTTCATCTCCCCCCTCGTGGGTGGAGACGATTGGACCCGTCACACAATTCTCTAGCCAGCGCTAGCGCAAATAGATCGCTTTTGGTGGTTCACAGATCAAGAAATTGGAGGTGACATCCACCCCTGAACCCGGCACTTGCAGTAGTCTTATCGGCATTCCAATGTGATATCATTGATGATCTTAACTGGTACGGACTTCGCTGTCATCTCACGGGTATTCCCCATGCCGTCATCTCTACTTTTCTACCTGTTCAAATTGGTTTTACGTGGATTGACAATTGATACTGGAAAGGAGTTTGTTTCATTTCGCTACCTCAGTTCTCGGGGTCAACGGGTATATACGATCGGCGCTCTCGCGCAGCCTGCAACATCTCCATTAGTCACTGCCTCTTTAGGATAACGGCGCAATATTACCTCGAGGTATCGTTCAATCCACGGCTTCAGGATGGCCCAAGCCAGCAGGCCACCCGTAGCAAAGATGAAAATAAACACCACCGCCTCGTCTTTTCGCGAGTCACGCTCTATTACCATAAAGTGATTGATTAATCCCGTTTCCTGATTTGATTCACTTCATGGATCTTATAGACCCATTTGCGATACGTCTCGCTCTGAAGGGATTCACTCACGGAAGCAAGTGGTAAAGACATCCTCCTCCTTCGCCCCTTTGCATATCGGTAGCTCGTAATCCAGACAGAACTTGCGATTGCAGTCGTTGCAGCTCAGAGCTCCGTATTTCTGTGTGCGCTTGGAGAGAGATTCCTCGTCAATCTCAACCCCGGCTTTGAAGTTGTCAAAGGCGCGCTTGTCAAAACGTAGGACATTGTCGAGGGCAGACGAGGAGGCTCCGGACTTGGCGGGGTCGAGAGGGATGATCGTGCTATTGGAGAAACATGTACATTTGCAGAATGAGGTTGGTGCTGGATTGAAGGAGCAGGTATTAGCGTCGGTATTAGCATCGTAGGCCAGTGGTGGTGGGCTTTGATCGGTAGCAAGCTACATGAGGCGGATCGAGCTGTCGGGGTTTCACTTACTGGATGCCACAGTCAGAGAGGCTAGAGAGAGAAAGGCAAGTATGAGCAGGAGCATATGTGCTCTACTGCTCCGAAAGCCCCCTGCAAGCTGCATCTTGACGTTGTTCGACGTTCTGAACGCGCCGGCAACTTTAATGACGAGACCTATCGCGGTTATCGGTCCGCACGTGATACACGGCCCACCATTGGCTCCACCCGAGTATAGGGCAACTACATGAACGACGCACAATATCGACGATTTACTCCACAACAGCCCGGGTGGTCTAGTGGTATGATTCGCGCTTAGGGTAACCTAAGCACTCCTGCGCGAGGTCCCGCGTTCGATCCGCGGCTCGGGCCTGTTCACTTTTTGCCAAATGAATATACCCTGGGTATGTTCGTTGATTTCTTTTTTTGGGTCGGAGGTAGGGGGCTCATGTGTGCATACAGGGTGCTTCCCCACAACAGCCCGGGTGGTCTAGTGGTATGATTCGCGCTTAGGGTAACCTGAGCACTCCTGCGCGAGGTCCCGCGTTCGATCCGCGGCTCGGGCCTGTTCACTTTTTGCTAAATGAATGAATACCCTAGGTATGTATGTATTGTTCAATGGCTTCTTTTTTTGGTTTGAGGGTGGATTGGAAGGGGAAAGAGGGGTGTGTGATTGTGTGTGCAAGCGGTGTAGGCAGGGAAGTGGAAACATCACAATTCCTCTATCTTGTTTGCTGCTCACCAAAAGCACAGGATCATTCGTGTTCCAAAGTTCTAGTATTCTACGCCCGGTAAGTTGGTCTTTATAATCACATATTGATATACTAATCTGGCACCAGGCTAATCCCAATATATATTATATGCAAGAGTTATCTTCCATTCGACAGTGACAACACAGTGTATGTGATTTATGTATATCCATCCAAACAAAAGCCATTAATCATCATGACCTGCCCTTCATTCCCTTCTTCCGGTTCTCTCTCTGTCTCTGCTCCTTGGCTGCATCACGCCGTCTCTTTTTCCATGCACGATTGTTTTCACCCCGGTGCTCCCAGAACCATTTAGCAAATTCAGTCTCCTCCTTGGAAGCTTCAATACCTCGTGCCTTGGAAACTGGGGTATCAACGGATGATTCATCTTCCTCCTCGTCGTCTTCCTCGGTCCAGTTCAAACGCCGACTGACCATGCTTGTGTCTGGGGTTGGAGCCGCACTTCGCAAGCCTCGATCTTGTAAGTCCCTCTTGGTAAAGGGTGTGAAGGGAGTCTGAGGCTCGACGTGAGGCTCATCATCTGACTCAATGTCATCGGCACCGAAGAAGCTGAATCCAGCGTTGGCTTCCGGCACAATTTGCTCCTCAGGTGCCGCTGCGGGAGCTGGCCGCTTGAATAGTGCTTCCAGAGGATGTATCTCTTTCGGTGAAGATTCGTCACCATCTCGAGCAGTTGCAGGCTCCTCGGGTTCTTCTGAGCCAGACTTGTCATTGTTGGACGCATCGGCATCGGGAGACTTCACAGCCTCCTTTGAAGGCAGTGGTTGTTCCGATGCCTTCTCGTCCGAAGAGTCGGATGAATCATCAGAGGAGCTGTCAACCTCGCCCTCGCCCTCGGAGTCCGAGCTCTCATCGGAGGAGCCACTCGAAGAGGTCCAATCTTCAGGTTCGCTCAAAGGCTCCGGAGTCTTCTCCTTGGGAATGGACTTCTTCCTCGGCGGCTTCTCCTTGGTCCCGGGGACTTGACCAGGTCGGAAGTCACCTTTTCGAACCTTTTCGCTGGCAGGCTCCTTCATCGTACCTGTAGAATCCACCCAGCCTTTGCCCTCCTCGAATGTAGTCGTGGGCGCAACGTCCTCCCCGGTTGAGCGCAAGAAGCTGGGCTGAGTGACCGTCTTGGCAAATTCGTGGACAACCGACTCTTGAGAAGACTTCTTCTTCTTCTTGGCCTTCTTGTCATCCGCTTCGGCAGACAACCGATTGGGCGGAAGTTTTGTTCGGAATAGGCATTCGGCCTTTTCGGTGTATTTGGACTTGGGCTGCGGTTTTTCTTTCTTGTCGTCCTTATTCCGCTTGTCCGATCTGCGCCTTTCCTTCTTGGAAGGTTCGGTCCAGCCGCGCTTGACTTTTCGGTCCGAGGAGATTTCATAACCATCCAGCATCTCGTCCTTCACGTCCTTTGACTTGCGCTTCTTCGATTTCTTTTTTTCCTCCGCAGGGACTTCGGCAGCTTCCTCTTCGACTCTCTGCCTCTTCGAAGGACGGGCAGTCTCAACTTTAAATTTCTTGCCCTTCAAAATAGAGCCGTTAAGCTTCTTCTTGATTTTCTCTGCGTCCATGGTCGGCAACGTGATATAGCCGTAGCTGTTTTCGGGGAAGGTGGGAATGGAGTGGAACGAAACGTCGGTGGCAGATTGACGGAGAGAGGGAGGCAGAACCGAAGGAAGAAGGTCGGGAGTGAGAGGAACGATATGGAGTCTCGTTGTTTCTTCGGTCATTGTAGAAAGGCCATGTCCGACCGAACTTGCTGTGGGCGTGACACAAAGAACGAGCTACACTTTTTTTTTCTTTTGTCCGCAGACAAGATATGTTTCTGCCACCGCCTTCCCGTTCAGTGCAGCGCCTCAAGAAGTGACGAGCATTAAGCCCGAGTTCCCAATGGCCATGTGGGCTACGATGATAGGGATAAGGTGAGATAGCTTGGCTCATGAGTCCCTACTGTAGGTCCAACTACTGTACCCACCGGATCGTGATCTACACCCCTCAACCTCGGGTTCACGGGCTGATGTAATTGTCCAGCAGATGACTCGGCGATGACGGGACAGTCGTGGACTCGTGGCACACGACTGTGGCCAGATCCGCCATGGGCTAAACGGCTTAGGGCCTGATGGGCTTGAATCCGGTTGTTTTTAAGTAGTTAGTGTTCTTTACTTGGACGGTGTCGGTGCTATCCGTCACATCCGACTCATAGATACTCGTCTTCTTACGTACCCGATTAGTTCATCCCATTCCCATCCTCTCACCGATCTCACTTCCCCAGTTACTCCGGATTAACTGGTCCCCCCCCCCCGCTCACCTTCCCTTCCTCCACACCTCCCCTTCTGTATTACCCCCCCCTCTCCGATGTCTTCCTGGCTTTAGCCTGAAGTTCCTACTTTTGTAACCTCTCGACCCCCTTGGGGAAAACCATTTTCCCCATCGGACTTACGCCGTATCGGCCTGACGTCGGCACCTCCCCCCTCGCATCTTCGCCGCCATGGGCAACTCCCAGACCAAGGAGTCGCGAACGGCTACCCCGCGGCGTCAAAGTCAGCAATGGTCGCCAGCCGCTTCCGATACCCCGGGTCGGTCGGTATACCAAGCCTCTCGGTCGGGCAGAGGGAGTCGCCCGGACCTCTCTTTGCTCGGCATTGGCGGCAGTCATGACCGTGACGTGGCTTCGCTCGAGCATCGACGAGAAACGAAACAGGAACGAGAGGCTCGTCGTCTGGAAAAGGAACGCGTAGCTCGTGTGAAGGAGCGGGAACACAGTATGAAGGAGGAACATGTTGATGGTGGCTACCTTGTAACACAGGGTGTCTACGTGGGAACGGAGGACTTCAACAAGGCCGTCGTGCGGCAACTGATGGTACAGATCGCCCCAGAGCACTTGCGGCCAGGAAGAGATACTGACAGCGGTTCATGGCTAGATTGAACGCCGACTCGCTCCGTTCTGGAGAGGGCTGAACGACTTCTCCGAATCGTGGGCTGAGCACCAGCTTATTGCTGCGGCCCGGGGAATGCCTATCCCTCCGCCCGACGAGATCCCACCCGAGTTAGAGTACTCTCTGCCCAAGACATCCAATAAAGAATCGGCCGATGCGACAAACATCCATCATCTCACGGTGCCAATCACATCTCGTTCCCAGTCCCTCAACTCGGATGTATCACAGAACTCCATCCCCGCCCAGTCATTACCTTCGACATCTCCGATCGCATCTGGCACCTCGGCTTCGCCTCTGTTCCGAGCTAGGGCAAAGACTTTGGCAGCTCTGACAACTTCGAAGTATGGTTCGCAGACGGATTTAACTCCGCGAGAGCTGCGGCTTCCCAAGGACCCCTTCGTGAACGGGTCACCGATCGAAGTAAACCTGTACAAGGACGCCAGCGAATGTCCCATCTGCTTCCTGTACTATCCCCCGTACCTGAACCGTACCCGATGCTGTGATCAACCGATCTGTTCCGAATGTTTCGTGCAAATCAAGCGGCCGGATCCGCATCCCCCAGAGCACGGAGAAGCCGACCCCAATGCTCCACCCCGACCGGACGGTGAACAGGGTGAAACAGAAGGACAGCTCGTATCAGAACCTTCGGCATGTCCTTTCTGCGTTCAGCCTGAATTCGGGGTCACCTACGCACCACCTCCCTTCCGCCGAGGCTTGACCTATGCTGCAGATCCCAGCGTTCGTCTTTCTCCCAACATCATTTCTCCAGTATCCTCCACGTCCTCTTTGTCCTCCGCGAATCTTGCGCCGGTGACGGGTCGTCGCCGTGCGACGTCATTATCTGCCGCTGACCCTGCCGTGGTCACAACCGACAAGGTTCGTCCAGACTGGGCCCAGAAGTTGGCCAATGCCCGGGCCCACGCCGCACGCCGGTCAGCGGCTGCGACTGCCCTTCATACTGCAGCCTACTTGATGAACTCTGGACAGTCTGGAAGCGACAGCCGTGGCCTGGGTCTGGGGAGGAGAGGATTGAGGAGAGCCACTCAAGGGGAAGCCGGCCGGTCCGGCTCCCCTGCTCTCAATGCATTGGCTTTCTTGACCGATAGATCCGACCGTACACCACCCCGTGTGACTGAGCCAGATACCGACTCTGCCGAAGAAGGGGCAGGTAATATCGCACCGCCGCGGGATAGCTCGAGACGCAATCGGATTGATGATCTCGAGGAAATGATGATGATGGAAGCAATCCGTTTGAGCTTGGCTAGTGAGGAAGAGCGTCGAAAACGAGAGGAGAAGGAGATCAGGAAAGAAGCCAAGAGGAGGGAGAAGGAGAAGGAGAAGGAGGCCAAGAAGGCGGACAAGGTGGCTCGCAAGACTGGCTTATATAGCAACAATGCCAGCACCACTGCATTGGCAGTTCCCAGCGAGTCTGCAACGGGAAAGGTTGCTAGCACCCCCTCGTCTATCGGAGAAGAGGCGACTTCAGCGGGCAAGGGCAAGGCGGTCGATCGGGCATCTCCTGCAGCCGTGGACTCCAGCCTGCCAACCTCTTCGACGAGCTCCCCCCAAGCGGATACTATCCCAGAAATCCCGTCTGCCGAGCAGACCTTGGCCGCAGAGCCATCACGACCGTCTCATCTTCGGCACGTGTCTAGTGCATCCTCGTCCTTCTCATCTATCATGGAAGCCAATCCGGAGGAGCGTACTGGAAGTCACATCGCCGCGGACGGGAGCAATACTTCATTGGAGCCGATGTTCAATTTCCGAAGCCTGGCTGAAGTGATCGGCGACGAAGAAAAGGGCTACGAGTCGGAACATGTCGAGGACGCCTCCTCTCATCCCAAGACAGAGGGCTCTTCGAGTGCGACACCCTCAGTCAACCAGCCCTCGGCAGACCCTGCAAAAACAGAGCCAGCGCCTGCAGCAACCCCCCCAGGTGGAGGTGGAGGATAGCTCAAGTGGCATGTCACCGAAGGAGCTTGAGACTCGATCGGTCGAGATCACCGGCACTGTACCGAATACCGAAGCTACTTAGTGATAGGTCGGCCATTTTATTTTTCGTTTATTTTTCGTTTATTTTTCGTTTCTTTTTTGGGTTGGGTATCTTGTCATCCAGATCGCATGAATGGATTAGCCGGCGCAGTAGGAGGGTTGATCAAGATTATGGCATTTTCATTCTTTCACTTGTTTTCCTTATATCTTTGTGACAGGCTGTCTACCTGCATCGCATCTGTTTCCTATCAGTCCCATCATAGAGATTCATCACTCCAGAGATCAGACCAATTCCATCGAGTTGCAACTACATATGGATTTATCAATAGCCAAGTCGATCTAGCTCGTGTCGTATCACACAGAAGTGGGTAGAGTTCGTAGGTTTGTGGTCCGTGTCCACACTAGTTCTCCGCAATGCCATGCACATCGGAGTATGGCGCATGCGCCACGCAGGTCGACGATGCCGGTGCGGGGCTCATCGTGTGCCATGATTGGACAGTGCGGGATTAAGGAACAGGTCAACGGCCGCTAAGTGTGGGGGGCGTCGGACGACCGAATGGTTCGATGGAGCATGACCGCCGTATTTTTAGAAGGGTTTTATAATATTGGGTAAAAGGGTAGAAGACCATCAATTCGAACACTATGAAGTACAGATACGAGGGGGGCGGCCCATGCATAAAGCAAGACTGGTACCACGAGGTACCGTCTGGTTCCGAGTCGCCACCCGAAAAACTTTTACTTTCAGGTACCACGAAAGTAGAACCCCCAACGACGATTACACAATTAATCCATCACGAGTTGGACAGAATAAGCAAATTAATTGATAATAAATCCGGTTACGGACAAAACAAACCATGAGAATAAACATGTCGGAATCGTTCCCCGCATTTGGGACATACATTCCATAAAGTTTTTCTTATCGCAACCAGAGTTTCCCGATGTGCGCTAGCGCCCCCCGTTTGGTAACTGAAACGCAGACTCTTTCCCCTCCTCCGCTTCCTCTCCTCCTCTTCCCCATTCACCCGTCCCTCATTTTGTTCCCTCCTTCTCGTCACGAACCAAACATAGTCCGAGGAGCCAACGACTCCAACCAGGACAAGAACACACCATAGACCGGCAGAGAACGATCAGAAGACTCGGCGTCGCGGGGAGGGATAGCCGTAAGGTCTTAGATACTTCTGAAGGACTATGGCATTAACACCACAGGCAAGATCGATCGCTTCCGACGACAGCTTTCCCACTGCGCAACTTTTCCTCTTGGGTGAGTTTCGCATTTCTCTTCCCGATACCGGACACCCCTAACAGTCCCGCAGCAATATGTCGCGTGGCCGAGCCTATCGCTCTGACCTCCATCTTTCCCTATTCATGGGTGATGGTTAAGGACTTTAAGATGGCTAGCGGCAGCGATGCCTCCTTCTACGCCGGAATCCTTATCTCGGCATTCTCCCTCGCCGAAGCCTTAACCGGAATGTTCTGGGGCAGCCTGTCAGACAGGATTGGTCGCAAACCGGTTCTGCTCTCGGGCTGCTTTGGTACTATGCTCTCTCTGCTTTTGGTGGGGTTTGCTCCCAATTTCTGGGTTGCCCTCGCGGGCCGGGCTTTGGGAGGAGCCTTGAATGGAAACATCGGAGTCATTCAAACCATGGTCGGTGAGCTGGTGAAACGTCCCGAACACGAACGTAAGTTTTATGACTATGATTTTCCTGTAAGCTCTGAGCTGACATTTTCACCATAGCCCGGGCATACGCCATCATGCCTTTTGTCTGGTCTATCGGAACCATTATCGGGCCAGGTATGTGTCAACCCTCTCCCTGTCTCATGCTGCAGAAATGACAGATCGGATGCTAAATCGCCCCAGCTATTGGAGGTCTCCTTGCAAGACCTTCGGAAGGTTTTCCCTCTCTTTTCCCTCAGAGTGGTCTCTTTGGGCGTTTCCCCTACCTGTTGCCCAATATTGTCTGTTCTGTTATGCTTCTCCTGAGCATCATTGGCAGCTGGCTGTTTCTGCAGGAAACCCATCCCGAAATGCAACCCGGCAACACCCATCGGTTCTTTGAGCATACCTCGGCCGAGCAGCCTCTCCTTGCGACATCGGGAGCGACCGCTAATGCAGGTGTCGACCTCCGCGCCGATTCGTACGGGACGTTCAACCAGGTCCACCTCCACGAAGACGAGGACTGGGAGGTACAGGCCGACGGCACCTCTCCAGCTTGGAAAGAGCCATTGAAACCTAAGGCTTTCACATGGCGGGTCACCATGCTCGTTATCGCGCTGTCTATTTTCACATACCATTCGATGACCTACGACCACCTCTTGCCCATCTTCTTGCAAGATAAGAACTCTCGCGACATCTCCGTTGGTCACCGTTCCCCTCTGGATATCCCCGGAGGTGTTGGTCTCTCAACCCGAACGGTGGGCGTCATTATGTCCACCGATGGGATTATTGCCCTCTTCATTCAAAGTATTATCTTCCCAGCGCTGGCCCAATGGCTCGGGATATGGCGACTTTTCGTTGTTGTCACGATCCTCCATCCCATCGCATACGCCATGGTCCCATTCCTGGTCTTCCTCCCGCAGCAACTCACCTTTTTCGGCATCTATGCCTGCCTTATCGTCCGCAATATCCTCTCCATTATCGACTACCCGGTACTTTTGATCCTTATCAAGCAAGCCAGCCCCTCGGACTCGGTCATGGGGAAGATCAACGGCCTCGCTGCTTCTGCAGGTGCCGCAGCCCGCACGGTCGCACCCCCGATTGCAGGATATCTCTACAGTTCTGGCGCGGATATTGGCTGCACTGCCGTGGCCTGGTGGGGAAGCAGTCTTATTGCCCTTCTTGGAGCGGTCCAGCTTTGGTTCATCCAGCGCAAGAAGCACTCGTCGGCAACAGTGCAGCCTGTTGTACCGTTCCACTATGTGCCTGTCCCGGATCAGCCGCCAAACGAAACCATCCACATCATTGTCACTGATACTGATGAGGGGTATTGAGCGACAGGCTGACATATATATGGAAGTGAGGCTTGAGCAGAATTAATTGTTTGGGGTTGTTTCTTTACGTGTCAATGCGGGGTTAATATTCATTTTGCGGTGCACATATTGTCTTTGGGTCATTTTCAGCACTTGGCGATGAGCATTTGGCGTTTAAGCGACTGCATTACAACGGTATTTAGACTGGGAATTTCAATAAAGATTTCAAATAAAATCAAGCTTCGAATATTGTTGACGTCTTTGTATACTTTTTAACTTGGGTTGCCCCGCGCCATTCCCAAAACGGATTAGCTGTGTTTACCTAGCAACGCAACAACACCCGCCCGTTTCCAAACATCGAGAGAACTTTGCCTTGCGACACTTCCACCACTGAAGGGGTCTCATTACGACGGTTAACCCCCTTCAACCTACATAATGGCAAATCCACTCTCCCCACTCTCCCCGTCCTACCAGAATGCGCGAGCGCGCTCTCCCAAGACCGCCTCGTCGCCATTCTTGACAAGAACACTCGACGAGTCTGCCTCCGCGGATCACGTTCCTTCGAGCCCCTTGAAAAAGGCATGGACAGAGCACGAAGCGCAAAGCCCGAGTATTCACGAGATGAACGAGAACTACCTTCCTGACGAACACGAGAATGACGACTTCAACGACGACTTCCAAGAACCTGCTAGCTCGCCGTTTCGCTATGAAGCGCGCGAAGACACAGTTGATTTTCAGATGTTGCGGAAATACCAACAGGGCTCTCCTGCGTGTCGGCCTCAGTTTGATGCGGAAGAACCAGAGGGCCCCATGAGCTCTCCCTTCAGACCTGATGCGAGAGATGAGACTGTGGATTTCCAGCGATTGCGCGAGCTACAGTCCATGTCAGCTGGCCTGAGCAGGCGCGTTGAAGTTGATGATCCGGCTAGCTCTCCATTCCGACCGCAGGCAAAGGATAATACTGTTGATTTGGAGAGATTGCGCGAGTTGCAGGCTGAGTCTCCGCTTTATGATGAGGAACCTGAATCGCCTCGCTACGATGACCAGCCCGGATCTCCTCGATATGATGATCAGTCTGAATCCCCTCGTTCTGATGATCAGCCCGAATTCCCTCCATACGCTGAGCAGCCATTGCAGCCCGAGAGCTCACCGTTCCGGCACGAGCAAAGAGAGGAGAATGTTGAATTCCAGAAGTCGCCTTCTCCTCCCGTAGTGCATAGCTCACCTTTCCGACAAAGCACGAAAGAAGAGACAAATGATCTTCAGCAGCTGCGTGAAATCCAGCGCCAATCATTCGGCAGAACGAAGCGATCTTCTCCTGCCATCGCGCAGGGCTCCCCTTTCAAACCGAGCGCGAATGAAACTACGCTTGATATGCAGAAGTTGCGCTCGGTGCCGCGTACATCACTCGGCATGGATGGACGCCAGTCCACAGCCGCCACGCCTCGGAAACGGTCCTTTGACCAGACACCGCCAGATCATGACGACGAACAGACCAATGATCGATGCAAGAAGGGTATGATTAGCAAAGCTGAGGTCCCAGATATTCACTTTGATTACGAAGAAGAGTCTAGCGTCATCCACAATCAGAGCTATGCGTCGACTGCGAGTGTCACTCAGGAACGCTCAACAATTGGCAACAGTGAGATGGAAGACAAGCGCAACGAAGGAATGAGCACTGTTCTCCACGAAGATGACGACGCTGGGCCGGCGAACAAAGAAAACTTCGGTCATACCAATGCTGAGGATGAGCTTTCCGTGTTAGGTGAAGACAATCACGATCCCATGGATGACACAAACCTGAGCAATTTCTCAGTATTGCCGGACATGACCTCCTTCGCGAAGCTGCGGGCCGACTCGCCGCTGAAATCAATGCGCGGCAGTGTCGGACCTAGCCCAGCTGGCAGGACAGATATGTACCGGCGCAGCGTGGACCCGGGTACTCCTGGTACCGCACGGAGATCATACAGAGCTAGTGCGATGTACGATGCTGGCTCGCCAATTGGGTCACCCACACCTCGACGAAGAGCTTCTCGGGATATTGGCAACCCAAGCGAGACACCAAACCTGCTTGATCTCACCGATCAAATGAGCTTCTACCCTCGCCATTCCATGCAGCAGAGTGCGCGTTACTCTCCCCGACGCTCGCCCATAAGGAACATGCGCCAGTCTACGCGGTCTCCGTCAAAGTTGTCGCTTTTGGACTTTGACATTCCACCTGCCCCGACCCCTCGGTCCATCCCTACCATCACGCCGCGAGAACTCGAGTCGCTGAAATCCAGTTTCATGTCTGAGATTTCTTCTCTCAAGGCCACCCTCAGCGGCAAAGAGGCTGAAGTTGCTAGTCTGAAGACCGCGATTGGTGATGCAGAGAGACGAGTCGGCGAAGCCTGGGAAGAGGTCCGCAATGAAGTCGCGCGGAAAGAAGAAATGGAGGCCGAGCAGGCTGAATGGGATCGTCGCGGCAAGGAAATGGAAACAGTCCTTTTGTCCGTGCGGTCTGAACTAGAGGATGGTGAACGCGAGCGAGACCGCTTGGCTCGAAAGGTCGAGGAGGCCGAGAAGAGCAAGGAGCAGCTGGAGGGCCGGATTGTCGAGCTTGAAACCCAGCTGTCGGCCGCACGCTCTACGACCTCGTCTGAATCTGGTACTGCTAGTGGCTCCCGTCATACTTCACAGTCGGCGGAAGATACTGCGCGCGAGGTACAAGACGCGGTCGAAAAGGTGGCGCGTGAGCTTCACACTCTGTACAAGAGCAAGCACGAGACCAAGGTCGCGGCGCTGAAGAAGAGCTACGAGTCTCGCTGGGAGAAGCGCCTTCGCGAGGCTGAGCGCAAGCTCGCAACTGCTCACGAGGAGAACGACCGCCTCAGGGTCGAGCGTGATGCTGTCCTGTCAGACAACATGGCTGCCGCCAATGCCAGTATGATCACTCGCGAGAACGATGAACACGAAGCCGAGAAGCGCGTCCTCGAGGCACAGATCAAGGGTCTGCAGCACGAGATGGCATCTGTCAAGCAAGACAGTGAGCGTCTTCGCTTCGAGCTCAAATCGGAGCGTGCCGAGAAGGGCGAGCTTGTCGCTGCCGTGGATGAGTGGTTGGCCATCCAGAACCAGCCTGCTCAGCAGCAACACCAGCAGCAACAGCAACGGCATGATCGTGAGCCTTCCGTCTCATCTGCCGGCCACCCCGGAGAGGAATATCAGTCCTCCACCGAGCTTCCGGCAGAGACTCTCCGTCGTAGCGTGAGCCGCTCTGGATCCAGTAGCATTCGACCTCCCGCGTCCGGTGAGAAGAGAATCCCTCGATTCGGAGCTGGCGGCGGTCACTCTCGCGGTAACAGTGGGGGCAAGTCTGGCATTGCCATGCCGACCCCGGGTCGAGGTGGTATCATGAGCTCGATTGAGAGGATGGGTCGTGGTGGTGCCTAAGTGATATTCACCGGGATTTTACTGATATGATGATGATATGCTTCTGGGCTTTGGTCACGGGGGTTCTTCTTTGTTGATTGTGTTACACTTGATTCCCCATTCGCAGACTTGATTTGTATGTTTTTGAGTGATGATGTCTATGTTCCAACGCGATACGAAGTCTTTTGAGTTTGTTCTCCTTTATGTATTGAAATCGAGATCCATGTCTTGACGCCTGCCCATCTTTCTCTATGTATTATTTCCAGAAGAGGAAAACCGCCGCAAGCGGCAATGACCGACCGATTGGAAACCGAAAGAAAGCCGGGAGTCAGTAAAAGAGCAAAGCCAAACTCAAAAGCCCCAGACTCCGGGTTATTCCCTTTCCCAACCAAATCGCGGGGTGCCGAGTCACGCAGATTGCCTAAACGGGGCCGACTCCCCTCGTCCGGCCCGTTTTACCTCCAGTCACACGCCGATAACGCTGCAGTTCTGTCCAATGATCCAAGCTGTTGGCCATCATAGCCTGGGCACTGCGTACTGACGACACCGATTGGTCCCCCCCCTTTCCCCTCTCTTTTTCTGTAGATGTACTTAGCGCGGGGTGCAACCGCCACAGCTAAGCTGACAGCCCCTCTGCATATCGGCTTTCTTCCAACAACGTGGGATGAGCTCGTGAAAAGCCCCCAATTTGAACTCTAAGTCTAAGCTACACGATGACACGGCACGATAGCCGATGGTGGCACACCATTTATGACTCGCATTTATAATGTCCTGTGACGACCGGTATTGGTATTGCCCTTCTATGTCGAAACCGGAGATGATCTTTCAAAGTCTCACTCACATGAAACGTGAACCTTGGTATGAATAGCACGGAAAGAATCATAACCAATTGTGTACCACATAGCATGAAACTAGGGTTTGAAATAGCATCTCCATGTTCCCGCCATGAAAAGGCAATCCCGGTCGCGATTAGAGTGTGCTGTATGGCAGTCTGCGGGTTTCGGTGTTCCGCACTGTCCGCAGGCCTAGCCATCGAGATGTTCAGGGATTCCGGTATCCAAATCCCTAGGGACGAACTCAGTCTGGACCGTGTGTCCACCTCGGCAAAGTCTTGCGTTGACTTAGCATCCCGGGTCGGCTCCTGCGACAACATCCAGTGGATACGTCTTTTTGTTCAAATATCTGGAGACTTGCCCCGGATCTTGATGACTTGCCCAGCCACCACCCCGGATTTACAGAATGCCGGAATAGAGCCCGCGATTTGACACGGAATTGGAATCGGGAACTGAACTTTGCCGCTGGATGGGAGCCCCACCGATCCGCCGCGTGAGACGCAGAGTTCTCGCCCAAGTTGGCACGGCACGTCTTTAGGTCCCTCGAGCCCCGCAATTTTCCGACGTCCTCGTGATTATCCACTTCTTTTTTGTGTGTCATTTCGTCACTTTTCTGTTAGTGCCTTTTTGGGGTCCGCTTCCCCCTGGTTATTGAATTTTTGGGGCCCTTCTTAGTAGCATTTTAGTAGGATTTTGCTCTTGAGGCTCCAGTGCTAGATGAAGACCATGACTTCATCAAGTCCCTGGCACATGCGTGATCTACATAATTTTATGATTGACTTGGTCCAACCATACGTGTACCTTAAGTATCATCCGAGAATCGGCAAGCCCTTGTGCAGGGATCAACCCCTCGTGCAATCAGATGTAGTTGCGGAATTGCGGGACAGTCGGAGCGCTGGTGCGCCATTATTCTATTCCAGAATCTGGACTATGCCGTTAGACTTTTTTCAGAGGAGTAGGGACCATAGTGATGGGATCCCTCCGCCCATCGGCACTTTCGACTCTGCCAATCGACCGGGGGCCTACGGGCTGGGGGAGATTCTGTGGGGTGCCTTTGTGGCCGTTGGCGTTCGTGTCTGGGGTGTGAGACCAAGTCCACTGGCTGCAAATCTGGCCTGGACCCGCTCATCTTAATAATGCGAGAAAAATGAGCATTCGTGCCTGTTGTGGGGCTGAATGGTCGGGATTCTCTCCGAGGTTTGACAGTTCGATGAATCGTGATGGCACTGTACATCTCTCGAAGATCGATCATAAAATCATAAATCCAGTATAGACACGACGCGAGTCTATTGTACCGATCACCGGAACGCTGGAATAATAATACATGTACGTTTGGGAAGCCGAAATGGAAAGCGACGATCCGATTATTCACAGGGGCCGAAAGAGATTGGCCTGCGACCGGCCTCCACCCACGGGCCCGCAACTTCTCCGCCATCGGCCGCCTTTCTTTCTCCAGCCTTGGCTGGACCGGTGTCTGGGTCCTCCATCCCCCCCGGTCCGCTCCTGGGCTCACTAGCGGCTCCGATCCTCCAAGGACCGCAAGTTGGTGTGCCGTGGGACCTTTACCTCCTCCGGCGTATTTCGGATGTACTCAAAAAAACAAGCTTTACAAGCGTCGACTTTGATCGAAAGACGAGGGGAAAGAACCTAGCAGTGAGCAAATATAATTTGAACGTTCGACAAAGTAGTCATTATCGACGATAAACTATATTCCATAGGGATGATCTATTCTTGGCGGGAGCATACAGCCGACTCTACCCATCTGTGCAGCCGTATTTGTGGTACGGACTCCGTACATGTACCACCACTTAGGTAAGATGCTCCGAGGACCCCAGGGCACGGCTCCACTCCAAATGTCCCTTGGAGAACGATCAAAGTTTTTTATTCTTTTTCTACTTCTTTTTTTTTACCCTTTTTTCTTTTTTATAAAAAATGGACCAAAATTTTTCCCTGCTTTTGATCTACATTGACACTGTACGTATCATGACGAGATTGATCCGGACATTCGAATATCATGAACACAAACAATATCGGAAGTCCGGCACGGCGCCGGAAGAGTAATGTGACCGGGCCGAATACTGGGACGCTAATCCCGTTGGAGCCGCTGTGACGACAGCCGCTGCAAAAGTGGAAATGCCTCTCGTGTGGGGAATTCTTGCCCGTTGCAGTCTAGCGAATAGTCACTGCGCCATTTGCTCTCTGCTGGCACGGGGATCTGCCCCAACCTGATTCTCGGAGTGGAGCCGGGGTCTTTTGCCTCTGGGCTTCATACTTAACACATCCATATCCCCGGGCCCCAGCGCGTCCCCCCGTTTCAAAGACCCTCTCCACTCTTATTTCCCCTTGCCCTCCGTGGCATCTATTTTCCTGTTATTCGAATGTGCCACGTTCGCCCCCGGTTATTATGAGTAGTACCACCACTATGACTGAAGAGTCAGGGAAACGCAAGGCTGGAGGAGCCCTCGCCGCCCAGAACCGTCCCGTCAAGCGGCGAGCATCCAAAGCCTGCTGCTGCTGTCGCGCTCGCAAAGTTCGGTGCGACGTGGTAGAAAATGGTTCTCCTTGTACGAATTGCCGCCTCGACCAAGTCGAATGCGTCGTCACCGAGAGCAAGCGGAGAAAGTTCGTTTGGAATTCACTCCCCCGAAAGGCCAAGCCCTTTGAGCTAATGTAGAATTCTGTACCTGCAGAAAGTCGCGTGTGGAGATAGACAACGCTCGGCCTTCGGAGTCGCCCCGTGAGGACTCGGAGGACAACTCGCTACTGGGCCGTATCGGCGAGATCCAGGGCATGTCGGATATGGTGCCCACTTCGCCTTCGCAGAACTCGGTCGATATCGACCACGGGCAACATATGCCTCATCTACTGTGTTCGTAGTGATTGACTCGAACCCGGCTATTGAGCTAACGTCCCTCTCCAGACCAATCGCAGGCGACTCGCGTAGGGTCCGTTGACCGCCATCGCCGACGAATGGCCCCTAACCCGGCTGTTCCCTCGACGATGCCGCTGGCCAACGCCACATTGCAGATCCAGCAGTTGCTCGACCCGTCCTTTGGAAACAACTGTCCCGCCAGTGGCTACCTTCCCGACTACATCCGAGGCCTCCCTGCCCGACTCCAGAAGGAAGATATCGACTACCTGTCCGCCAAGGGAGCACTCTCCATTCCGGACGTGAGCCTGCGAAACGAACTCTTGAAGGCCTATGTCCACTACGTGCACACGTATATGCCTTTATTGGATTTGGAGGAATTCCTCCAGACCGTCGCGCACAATGACGGAATCCATCGCATCAGTCTGCTGCTGTTCCAGGCCGTGATGTTCGCCGGAGTGGCTTTTGTTGATATCAAACACCTAAAGGCCGCTGGCTACCAGACTCGCAAAGCGGCCCGCAAGATCTTCTTCCAGCGCGCTCGACTCCTATATGATTTCGATTACGAGGTGGACCGCATCTCTCTGGTCCAATCTCTGCTTCTGATGACTTACTGGTACGAAACCCCCGATGACCAGAAAGATACGTGGCACTGGATGGGTGTCAGTCTCTCTCTGGCTCACACCATCGGCCTTCACCGCGACCCCGGCAACTCGCGGATGGATCTCCGCCGCCAAAGGATGTGGAAGCGAATCTGGTGGAGCACGTATACTCGTGACCGATTGATTGCCTTGGGCATGCGACGACCGATGCGTGTCAAGGACGACGACTGCGATGTGCCCATGCTCACCCTGGACGACTTTGAATTCCAGACTTTCTCCCCTGAAATTGTTCAGATGGTTGGGGGTTCGGAGATTCTGCAGAACGTCAGCCAGCAGCGAGAGCTGGCACTGATGTTCATCGAAAAGGCCAAGCTCTGTCTCTGCGTGAGCCATGTGCTTTCGGCCCAGTACTCCGTTCTCAGCCACAAGTTCGGCGGCACCATGGAGACTACCATGATGCTGGTCCCGAAGAAGTCTACTGCGGAGACCTTCGAGGTGCGACGCTGCGACCAGGAACTCGAGGATTGGGTTGCGAATCTTCCCGTGGAAACTCAGTACTCGCCATCCGGCGGGTCAAAGTTGTCGGAGGCTGGCGAGGTGCTGCACTCGCACCGCGCTCTCCTGAAGATGGTCTACCTGACTACATCTAGCGCTCTGCACCGCCCGCAGGTCCTGCCAGCCATTCCCTTCCCGTCCCCGGACGCCGAACTGCAGGAAATGTCTCGCAACAAGGTTCGATTCGCGGCCGTGGAGATCACCAGCATCGCCCACGATCTGCACACCTTGAACTTGACACGATTCTACCCTACAACCGGTGTTACAGTTCTTTTGCCCGCCGTCATCATCCATCTCCTGGATATCAAATCCAGCGATCCCGCCGTGCGGATGACCAGTCTCCAGCGCTTCTACCAGTGCATGCGCATTCTACAGCGCCTGCGTGAGATTTACGCATCCGCCGACTTCGCTACCTCGTTTTTGGAAGCAGCCATCCGCAAGGCCGGCATCCAGCTCACCGTCCCACCGCAAGATGTGCAGTCCTCGCGGTCTCGCAAGACCAACAGCAGTAACGACCCCTTGGACGTGCTTTCTTCCACCAATGCCCTGACACCTCCGCCAGATTCATTGGCCCAGAAGATCCCAGATCTTACCTACCCCAAGGCGGCCTCCGCAGGCGGGTGGCCTACTGGGGACCTGTTTGCCTCGACCCCACCACAGTCCGACGGCAGCGAAAACGGCAGCACCAACAACCTCAACCAGCGCCACAACAGCCACGACTCCTTCGCTATCCCCGATCTGAACTCTGAAATGAGCCTGACCGAGTTGATGGATCTGGCCAACGATGCCGAAGTTACCCAGAATGACTTTGACGCCTTGATCAACTTTGATGAGGCTGTTGGTAACGATCTGTTCGATGACTCCCAGCCCGGTGCCCCAGACAAGGGCTTCGATTTCGGCGTTGACAACGTAAAGGTGATGGGCTTCGACACCGATCCCAAAGCCATCGATTTTGCGCATCTCGCCGAGCCGCACATCGAGCGCAGGTCCACGGGTCCCGACTAAGCCAAGGCTGCACGGCCCGGTTTGACGGCCGATCTGAACACAGATCTTGGGATCAGGATGGATGAATAAACACGTGCTTCGATTCTTCTACTTTACGCTTTGGGTTATTAGCGTTTTATTTAATCACTGTCTTATTACGGGGTTCGGTGATCCATGTGGTGTTTTGGCGCAATCTCCCTGGGGAGATTCGGATCGAATTTCTTTTTTCTTCGATGTTTATGTGACGACAATGATGATGCCCCTGTGTACTTTGGATAGATGGATTCAAAAAGCATGAGCAATGTGAATAATGGTTTTATCCCTTCATTTTTCAGTCATAGTGCATGCCCCAGTAGTCTACCGTACTGGTCATTCGATTTGCGAGTGGAGCCCGGCCATGCCGATGCCGATTCATCGGTATCACATGCTTCTCCCGAGCAGCGATGTCATTTTACAACGATGTCATTTTACAGCGTTGATTCTGGCCGCATGTGGCATCATGCTCCGATCCGCTCTGAGCCTGATCAACGGTTCATAAGGAGGATCGGCAGCCGGTCAGGTGGGATGGTGGAGGCTTGGATATCCAGCTGACTGGGATGCATGGTAACATCACGGCGGGCCCGAAATTAGTCCCACGGGGTACTTAGTTCGCTTCTACCACTAGGGTGCTGATTGACTTTCTTGGACCCTGAGAATCTATAGTATCCGCAGATCTTCTTGGGTTTCTCCTAGTCCCTTTCTGGTAGGCTCCGCGATGGGGGGACGCGGAACTCGCTCGTGGGCCGAGGTACTTCCTTTTTGGGTAGTCTCGTTATGTCCCTTCATTGTGCATTTTTTTGGGTATATTCCTCCGCATCAAATGTGCATGCATTGGTCTTTTGGTGTACATAACTTAGTTGTGTTTGTTTTGACGCTTTCTCCATACCTCGGCTTCCTTGGTGTCTACACGGGGCCTGTGAATTTTGAATCTTGTACCACAGTACTTGACGTATTGGTTTAGGTCATCAAGCCTGGGCTAAAATTTGACTATACGTATTTCATTATTGCAACAGCTGGCTTGACATAGATAACAGAGCTTATGATAGATTGGCCTCCACACCATATCTATGTTTTTAGAATATATTTTGATATAAAGACTAGCATTATATATGATATATATATCATACAAACTACTTCAAGCTTCTATGAAAATATTAGCTAGATGCGACCGGTAGAAAGTAAATTATTTTAAAAATAAATAAAGACTTATGTGAAGATATAAAATATTTAGAGGCCATCACTCATAAATTCACTTCTAAAATCAGGTCTTGATTGGGACGTAAATATAACCATGACTCATACATCCGCCTCTATAGCTCAGTGGTAGAGCGCTTGACGTACGCTATCCTTCCCCATAATTCTTGATAAGTCATCGAACTAACAATTGTAAAGTTGTACCTCTATACGATATCAAGAGGTCCGTGGTTCAATCCCGCGTGGAGGCATTCTTTTTTTTCTGATTATTTTGATCCTCCTTCATTACATAATCGATATTTCCAGCAGTAGTTACTCTTTCAGTCGACTTGTCGCCTAGCTTGACCTTTCACTTAGACCTCTCGCTTCCTTGGTCAAAATGGCTATGGCTATAACCGAATCTGAAGCCACTCGTGTCCTTCAGGGACATGGCGCGTGACCGCGAAGAGACATGGGCTTTTTTTCTAGCGCACCTGGTATTACGACGATGATACACGGTGGGAGAGTTTTCTGGTGCGAATGAAAAAATTTCGCAAAATCGACTCTACTTAAGCCCCGATCGTACAGCAAGGACGGCGATGGACAAATCCTCTTGAACAAACTAGAGTGGAACATTCAATCTAACCCTTCGCTTGACGGCCGTTCAAAAGAGGGAGATCTGGCGGTATGAATTCTAATGCCTTGAGATGAAACTCCTATGTGAGGATACCCCGGGGAAAAACTGATTCTAGTACACAGACGCCACTGAGAGCTTATGAGGTCTCTCTATAGAGAGCATGATGCCAGTATAGTCAAACATGGATACTCCATCATCGTGAACAAAGAGTCGTTGGATTCCGTCCTAGAAGCCCCGGGACCGACTGAATGAAGGTCTGTTCACACTCGTGAGTCAACAGCCCTAAACTCCTAGCATTTTCGGGCTACTACCTCGGCCAACTGCATCATGCGAGTATTAGTACGAAAAGCTTATTTGCTTCAAAAATGACAATGCGTGCATTTAACGCGAGGCCTCTTTTGGCTCTTCCCGCAAAAAAACATTCGTAAATCCTTATAAAAACAGAGACTTGCTTTTTAAGAATGACGAGCTTACTTTTACGAGGAGTATCTGGTACTCGAATAGCATTTCTACTCTGAACAGAAGAAATAAATACAAGGAGCTGGAAGAGTTCATAGTAATTTGAATCAATGGACGGATTCCAAAGCAAGAGCTCCGCGAAGGTGATGCCATATTTGGATTCAATCGCAGCACATATGTGATCTTTAACGACTGTGTAGTATTCACTACAAGATACACTGGAGGCCGTTGCAGTGGGCACTATAGTCGATGTAGCAGTCGCAGCGGTGGACTCCACAGTGACGCAGATGGCGTCACCAGGGGTCAAGTCTTGGCGATCGTCACCGATCGCAGGGTTCCAAGAATAAAGCTGGACGGTGATGCCGTATGTACTTTCAATCGAGTTACAATGTATATTAATGATAGATAGGTAGTACGCATTATACTAGAGCGATTTTGTAAATCACACAGAATTTGATATCTCAGTATATACATCATTCATCAAGAATGCCACTTTTATTTCCCAGTGCAAGTCGGCAGGGCAACCGACGCCTGAGTGTGCGTGGCAGAAGCCGGTCCAGTGGAACCGAAACCGGGCGTCAACTTCTTCTGTCCCGTCGGCAGCTCCCATCCATTCAGGGTACGGTTGAAGAGCTGCAGCGCGGCAATGGGCTGGTAGAAGGGAACTTCATGGCCAGACTCGTACACACGGGTGAAGGAGAAGTTGCCGTATTCGCGGGTCTCGCCGTATTCGACGCCGTCAACGAGGAAAGGTGCATAACCGGCGGCTTGGAACTCCTTGCTGGTCTCGTGCTTGGCTGCGAGGGAAATAGCCTGGCCACCGAACCAGTTGCAGATGTAGTCGGCGTCACCGTAGATCAGGGCAACGCGCACGGGGCGGGTGAGGATATCTTCCAGATCCTCGAGGAAGTTGGGCCAGACAAAGTCTCCAGTCTGCTGGAAAGCGTAGTAGATATCGCTGTTTGACATGGTGTAGTTCAGGTCGACACCGATGGCATTCATTACCGAGTCCTTAGCTAGGTAGTCCACGAAATAACTCGGGGGCGTAGGGTCATCGTGTGGGTGACGGATATCGTAGGTGCCACGGCCGCTGTAAGCATAGTATGGACTCTCTGTGATAGATAGTATTAGCGAGGGAGTGGTGAAGTTGGAAGGACATCTACATACCGACGTTGTCACGACACATGTTGGTTGCCTCCGCGCAGAGAGCGTAGTCTGACATCGAGGTACGGTTAGTTGCTTTGCAGTTCGCAACCATGTCCTGGCAACCATTGCGCATCTCGTTGGCAAATTTCATGTAGTTATAGACGGTTTCGTTGACCTGGAAAGATATATTAGTTCTCGTTATATATGGGAGAAAAGGGTCAGCACATACCGCTTCGATACCGTAGGTGTTGTGACGTGCAAACTCGGGGTAGTAAGGAGCCTGGATTGCCTCATCGATGATTCCGTTTATTATACCCAGCGTGTTGAATTCAAGCTGAATGCCGTCCACAGTGCCGTTGGCAATCTTCTCATTTTCTTCGTAGAAGTGATCGAAAAACTGCACGAGTTAGACCAAATATAACCAAAATTGTGTTTATACTTACGGCTGGGCCATAGTGTCTATCGAAAGAATTAGCATTGCCCAGTTTCATCCAATATTATGGTGTGACACGTACCCTCCATAGCTCTCAGTCCACAGGTTGAAGCTCTTCGACTTGATCTTCGAGTCCAGCTTGGGCAGGCCCCCAAGGAATCCTTGCAGGACTTCCCACGCAGCTTTGGCAGCGAGATTGGTGGTATCTTTGATTCCATTAGTTTGACCGTCTTTTATAATTGAGTATGTATAAGCTCACCGATCAACGAGGCATTGATAACTGGGTAGCGGCCCTGGACACCGGCGAAGGAGGCATCTTCAAAGGAGCCGGTAAAGGGGTTAAGAGAGCCATCCTCCTCTTCAGAGTATGAGAAGCCTATAGATCTTAGTACATATTTCCAAGCTTTCCCATCGAATACATACCGGTTCCGAGGGGTTGCGAAATGAAAAGCATGTTTGAGACCTCGTTCCACGAGTAGGGGTTGATATAGGACTCGTTATTCTCGTTGATATGACAGGGTCCCAGTTCTACATCCCAGACCATTGTTAGTAAATGAGGGAGGACTATTTTCGCGATATCTCACCTTCGAACAAGCCGATCAACGAATCGCTTCCAGGACCGCCGTTCAGCCAGAGCGTAATAGGGGCATTTTCAGGATCGTGACGGGCCTCGAAGAACCAGAAGAAAGTGTGCGCGGTGGGCGAAAGGTCCACGTAGCCGGAGTATGAATTGACACCTGGAGTCGTCTCACAGACGCCTTCCTTGCCGGGTTCCTTGTATCGGATAGTGATATTGTTGGCCGTGTTGATAGTCTTCATGCCGGTAGGCTTATTAGGCACTTGACGACGAGCAAATTCGTCAAAGTTCACCGAGCGAGCTGCCGCGAGAGGCAGCACTAGCGGGATCCAGCTATTGATGCGCATTGTGTCTCAGCGGTTCGAAATTAGATATCGAAATTCCCCGACAGTCAAGAGGGACATGAGCCAGGGGGAGCTCTATCAGTATTTAAATAAGAATCGCCTCGTGTGGGGCGAACAAAGGACCATTTGCCATTGCATCGCTGCGGGGAGTCATAGCGGGAAGACCTTGTTTGCAGTGAACTCGGAGATAGCCTGGCGCAATAATCGGCGGGCACAATTGCCGGTGTAGGTAATGCGCGGGACTGCCAAGAGAAATATCCCAGCGGAAAGCCAGTCAGGGTCTCGTCGTGGAGACAATTTCAGGGTCTCCAGCCATCTCCGCAGGAGTTCCGGGGAAGGTAACATTGCTACCTACCACGCATACGAGGGGAAGCCCCCTCGTCAGAGGCAGCCTAGGTGGCTCAGATGGAGCTCCAACAGGCTTTGCAGAAGCTCAGGGATATCGCGCAACTCTGATTGACTCGATAGTGACGTGCGGTATTGGCGTGAGCATTGGCGTGAGGGGAAAGATCTGCGCCAGGTGGACTGGTCATCTACAGTACAATATGTGGATCCGCAATTTCCGGATTCAATACCCCATTAGCTTCAGGCAACCAGAAAATCAAATCGAGGGGAACGTAGAGGAGTCTCGACATGGTAAGAAGATGGACTGGCTCGGGGGAGTTTGTGGATTCCTGAGAATGTACACAAGACCCCGTCATCTCATCGTGGGCCTCGGGCACGTCAATCGACCCACTCTTTGATCATCTCCTGCACCTTTATCGAAACCATGCCATATCTCCCCGAGATTGCAGCTTGAACCGATGTGATCGTCGGAGCAGTCTTGCGCAACATTACTAAGCAACTCCATTCTAATGGGGACTGGTGGTTGGAGCGAATACCTGCCAGTTATATCAATGACCACTAACTTGGCCTTGTGCCTCCATGGTCTTGTACACCGCGGAATCGACCTCCAGAGGATGTTTGTTCAGATTGAGGGGACTGGTCAATTGCTGGTGAGATTACTACTTCCCGACGAAGAATGGCGCTGTTTTCATACAGCAAGCTCTAAATAGCTTCCCGAATCTACAACATTTAGAAATGTGGATTGTAAGACGTCCCGAAGGAAAAGCCTTTTCATATTATTATTTCCATGGTATGTCAACAGTCTCAATTCATGCTTGCGCTTGTTGCCCTCGGTAGATCTCCAGAATACTTTAAAAGGCCCTGGGAACCCCCTCCACTATACATTGATTTCAATCAATGTACATGGTCACGCTTCTCTGAGCGACAACATGCTTCTCCCATGGCCGCTCTAGCCAGCTTCGCACGACTCAACGGACGAGGCTCTGGAAGCACATCGCGACCAAGAAGCTCCGGAAAAGTCGAGTCTTGATTCTCCTTGACAAAGCTTTCTAGATCGCGCTTGGCAATATCAGAGTTGTAGATCAAATTGAGCCAGTTACCCAGGCGGTAGCCACCCTTTGCAATTTGCAGCTCGATAGTGCCGATGACGGAATTGTAATACGTGGGATAGAGATCGCCCGTCTGCAAGGCGGCAGCTCCGTTCGGCATGACGACGGTGCAGACGAAGGCGTTGGCATCCGACGCCCATCGAGTGGCTGTGGTAATAGTATCACTGATCGTGTCACCCTCGATCCAGCTTGCCGCCTGAGATTTGTAGCTGCCCGAGGTGATCTCGCTGATTAAAGTGTTCGCCCACGACTGCGCATCCGAAAGAGTGTCGCCACCGATCAATTGTTCGGGCATGTATGTATCCCAATCTGCGTGAAGATTGTCGCTGTAGCCGTTGAAGGTGACGTCAATGTAGTTTCCGCCAACCTCGTAGGCCTCATCATGCAGCGGTTGAGTTACATCCCCGAGAAAGTGTACAAGGAATTTCAAGGCTTCCGCGATATGGTCAGAGCTCAGTCGGCCGTCGCCTGCACGCTGGGTGTAGTTGGCAATGGCAGAAATCGAGCAGCCCGAGCTACCGCAGTCGCGTTCGTAGTTCACATTGCAGCTCGACGGGGGGTTATCCTCAGCATCGATGAAATGCAATGGAGCGGACCATTTGCCGGCTTTTGTTAGCCGGTACTGATCAGCCCACGAGGCAATGTTAGCCAGGTAGGAGCTGGAAGTGTCACCAAGAACACCTTGTGCCCTTGAAATCCATTAATGTTGGACAGCAGTAGACTTCGGTTTTCAGACTGACCATGATGCCGTGTCAGAGGAAGCGTAATTTTGAGCAACGTAAGCAACGGTTGCGTGGCCCAAAACACCCCACGCATTAGCTCCGTTGATGGCTCCAAAGGCGACGAGAGCAACCTTTGATAGAGGCGCCATGGCTGGAGTTCAACAAGGGAGTGCCGTTTTTAGAGGCAACAATAATACTTTTCTTCAAAAGAAAAGAAACTTCCAAGGATGTTAGATAACTCCTAGAGCTCTTACCGTGGCATAGCTTTGTTTTAAAAGGACCACGAGGAAAGACGGGGGTAGAGTCAATCATTTGAAGGGACGGGTGTGACTTGGAAGGTGCCAACCGCAGCAGGTCATTGGACCAGCCGCTGTCACGGTAAAAGTCTGGTGGTTTCGACGCAGTGCTGAGATAACGGACATGGGGGAGTATGTGAGGGATGATTCGTAGACCTTGTAAATTGGCGCGATCGGCACGGAAGGGCATCTGCAGGGTATCTGCAGGGCGCCGGAATCTACCCGTATCGAGATTGCTCAGATGATCATGTCGCGGGTTCAGTGTTCCTCCAAGGAATTATCCAACAGAAAGCAGAACAAAGCAAAGCAGTGCCGAGACGCACGTGGAGACGATATCTCGGATTTTTGGTTTCTTCATCATGGAAACAGGATGCGAAGCTAAGGCTAGCGGGCTTGGCAGGGTTCTAGCGGCAGCCGTCGAAGTTCAAACCGCCGGGCCTCCGCCGGGGGATGGAACTATCTACTCTGCATTGCCGTGCGTAGATGAATCCGGTACTTCGTCTGCTAGTGTTGGTATAACACTCGGTGAACATTGAATGCTTATGGCTGTGGCTTGAAATCGCCGCGACCCTATCGATAAATACACTACGTGTATGCTTACATGTTTAAAGATCAGATGAGTTCAGCTTGAGTCCGTAGTTTGTTCTAATTGGATTGACAGTGTGCTTCTATTTGAGTCTATCTTTGGATCTATACTGTAAGGGATATCGTAACAAAATCCTGCTTGGCAGCGATTATATGTGAATGCCTGCCTCACATCATCGCGGATTTTTGTCAGACGCAAAGCCTGCGTCACCGCTTGGATGGTAAAGTAACTTGTGGGGGGACTGTAGCGCCGAGAGAAAAGAAAACAGTGTTTCGAAGAAACCTCAGATCTATTGTTGATACATACGATCGTATAGCACACGGGAAACGACGTCAAGTCGAGTCAAAGTGTCGACGATTCGTACAGAAAATCAAACGCGCCACGTAAAAATGCAAGAGGTTCGTGACATCCACGTGAGGATGTAAGGGCGAACAAATGATAAAACGATGTGGTGATACATGCGGCTGCTCGCTTAGGCAGACGTCTTAGAGTCCTCGTGGTGAGGGGCCTCGGGTTTCTCCATCTCGTAAGAGTCCTCATGCCTGTCACCCAGGACGTCGGCAGTGGTCTCATCGGAGAACTGCAGATCCTGAGCAACGTCGGTGCTGTCCTTGATCTTGAAGAAAATCACGGGCGAGGCGATGAGCATGCTACCAAGGAGCAGACCCCAGCAGGACGCGAACTCAGTCATAAAGGGGGTCTTCTGAGCGTCCAGACGCCACATTCCGGCTGCACCTGCAGACTGGATGCCCTTGTAGAAACCGGCGAAGTTGGCGAGTTTGCGGGCGTTGTTGGACAGGGATCCCATATACCAGTATGCGCAGGTCTGGAAGGCAGCATCGTAGAAGCCGTAGAACATGTAAAGGAACATAGGTCCGATATAGCTGCCGTCCGACCAATCGGTGTCGCCCCTGACGGTCTCCCGAGTGTATGTCTTCTGGAAAGCATAGCCACCACCCCAAATGCCCAGGGTGATGGCGATGAGGACACCAAAGTTGATCTTGGCACGAGTTGGGCGCGAAAAGCACTTCATGTCCAAGAGCTGACCGAAGACAAAGGCACCCACCATCTGCATGAGCCAGTATAGGAGACTGTTCAGGGCGCGAGTGCGGACGGTGAAATAGGCGAGGTTAACGGAGTTGAAGTGGTACGCGTAGAACCAGTTACTGGCCAGGAACATGGGGAACATGAGGATGATGTACGAGTCGCTCCTCAGGGTCTCCCACAGGCCCAGGAACTCGGACTTCCAGGTAGGGTTCTTGATCACGATGACACGGGAGCCGTCCTTGCGCTTGATGTACTTGGTATCGGAGAGAACCCAGCACAGGGCGAAACCCACTGCCATCAGCACCAGGAAAGCGATGTACGTGCCGTTGTTGACTTTGCCGTTAGTGCTGTGAATGTTTTGACCCAGCGGGACCTATAACCATTAGCCTCCGGTCTACTTTGTGCATTCTTCATTGTGGAGACTTACCAAGCTACCAACAACACCACCCAGGTTGAAGATAACCCAGAAGATGGCAATGTACTTGCCCTTTTCGTGCTCGAGCGGGTAACTCATCATGACGGCACCCTGGGCACACCAGAGAAGACCGGCACAGACACCGAGAAAAGCTCCGGAAAAAATGAGGAAACCGGCATTGTGGTTGATATTGTAGCACAGAAGGGCAGCGACATAGAGGAAATAGCCGAAACCACCCAGAGACAGGGCCAGTCGGACGCCAATCCGGTTGGCGATGGAGCCGGCGAAGAAGCCAACCACGGCAAAGGTACTGTACAGGGCCGTGTTGGAGTTGTTCACATCGGTCGGGTTGACTTGGCCACCGCCACCCAGACCACTGACGGCATTAAACATGCCGGGACACAGGAAGCAGACGAAAGAGACGAGATATAGCTGCGTCTCAGGCGATGCGAACCAGGAAGATTCCCATTTGCCGATTTTGATCATCGGCTTGTACATCCACGGCTTGCCGACCACGGCATGGTCCAGTGCGGTCTCGGGATCTTCCTGGTCGGAAAAGTTGTTCTTCTCGGGCGCCACCGAAGTATCCGGCGCCACCGAAGTCTCCGGGGCCTGCTGCGGATGTTGATCAGGCTCAGGGGACGCCATGATGGAGAGATGTACAAGGCAACTTGGGGGACCAGGGGGCAAGGGGTTTATGATCAACAAAAGGCAATGGGACGGGAATGTGCAGGAATGTTGAAATTTCCCACGTGAGATTGATTCACGGTCCAAGGAACAGCGAGGGAAAGGGGGAAGAAAAAAAGAAAAGTAGAGGTGAACCTCTTTTTACACAAATTTTTCCAACCTAAAAATTACTCTGGGGATAGCGGAGCCAATTTGATCCAGGTTTCACAAATAAGTCATAGAATCCATTTTCCAAGTATTTCAATGATACGTGGGAACCAGCCCGGAAATATGAGTGGGTTTTGCTGTCTCCTTTTCTTCACATCGTGTGATATACTTGCGGGGATGATGAAAGTATGGAGACAAACTGGGGACTCGGCAGACTCTGGAGATGAATGAGAGTCCTCAATTGGGTTGGAACCACGGGCGAAGAAATAGCCGCGATGCGACCGCAAACAGAGTTGTATTCTGTTTGCAGATGCAACTCTCCGCATGCGGGGACTCCAGTATCGTAATACCGTTACGCGATACATTACCTTACCCCCGTTTCACCCGTGCACGGCAAGTAAGCATATACCACATCGGCATGCCGATGTCACCTGCGGAGTACAATACCTACGTGGGTAGTGTTACATCATTGTGCAGTCCGTTTCTGCTTTTATCTATTGACTTCCCATTTCCCTCCGTGTTCCTGGTGCCTTGAATCTTGGAAACAAACACACTCTTCATCATGCCCGGCAAGACTACTGCTGCCCCGCGCATCACCAAGTTCACCAACTGCCGCCTAGTGCGCGGCTCCAGTCTGGTTGAGCAAGATCTCTGGATCGATTCTCTGACTGGCAAGATTCTCAAGGACCAGGAGGCTTTCTATGGATTGCACCTGTCTCCGGATGAGATCGTTGATCTCGGTGGCCGCATCTTGGCCCCCGGTCTGATCGATGTTCAGCTGAACGGTGCTCAGGGCTTCGACTTCTCCGTGCCCTGCGAGACCAAGGAGGAGTACGACGAGGGTCTGCGCATGGTCAACCGTGGCCTGGCTCGCACCGGTGTCACTTCCTACCTGCCCACCGTGGTCAGCTCGACCGCCGAGGTCTACCACAAGGTACGTAAAAAATCCTGCCGAGTCGAATTCGATGAAAAGTGAGGCTAACGAAGTGTGAATAGGTTCTGCCTTCCCTCGGCCCCAAGGGTGCCAATCACCTCGCACAAGACGGCGCCGAGTCTCTCGGTGCTCACGCCGAGGGTCCCTTCATCAGCCCCGGTCGCAACGGCATTCACAAGACCGAGGTGCTGCAATCGGCCCAGACATTCGAGGACCTGCTCTCCATTTATGGTGCCGACAACCTGGGCTCTGCGAGCCCCATCAAAATGATCACTGCGGCCCCGGAGGTTGGCAACATGATGGCTCAGATCCCCGAGATCGCTAAGCGCGGCATCATCTACTCTATCGGACACTCGGACGCCACCTATGAGCAAGCCGTCTCCGCGACCCACCAGGGCGCTCGCATGATTACCCACTTGTTTAACGCCATGCGCCCCTTTTACCACCGCAACCCCGGTGTCTTCGGTCTGCTCGGCCAGAGCGAGCGTCGTCGCCCCTTCTACGGCGTGATTGCCGATGGCATCCACCTGCACCCTACCTCGATCAAGATCGCATACAATGCCCACCCGGACGGTCTCATTCTGGTCACCGATGCGATGCGCCTCTGCGGCCTGCCGGACGGCGTCTACGAGTGGACCAACGGCGAGCGCATCGTCAAGACCGGCGCCCGCTTGACCTTGGAGGGCTCCGATAAGATTGCTGGAAGCTCCGCGACGCTCATCGAGTGTGTTAACAACTTCCGTCGCTGGTCTAACGCTTCCACCGCGGACGCCATTAACGCGGTCACTGCTGTCCCCGCGCGCCTGCTGGGTCTGGAGGGTGTCAAGGGATCGCTGGATAGTGGAGCCGATGCCGATCTGGTCGTGCTGGGCGAGACCAACGATCCTGATTCTGGCAACACTCTGACTGTTGACCAGGTCTGGAAGTTTGGAGTCAAGATCCATGATACCGACAAGACTGCGGCTGTTTAAGGCTATTGAGGCATAGACCTTGCTTCTTTTCCTTTGTTCTTTCGTTTTTCATTGCCGGGTGGTCAGCGTCTTTTGCATATTTTTTTGATTTACCGGAACTATGAGGCGTTTGAATTGTTCATTTGCATTCACCGTTATAGAACCACTCAGCATGGTCATAAGAGTTTCACCTTTTGCAGAAATCGGAATATGCTTTTGAAATTTACGAAATCGTTCAATTGTGATCTCCATGTATGTATATCTACTCGGTCAACCCAACTGGTGGCCAACTCCTATTTCAACAAAATATGTCGTCGCGCGTGTGGTATATATCCAAGAAATCTCCAAACACCGGGTCCGGCTGGCGGAACCCAGATCGAGCTACGGAGAAGAGTCCATATGGCCAACACGATGGACTCTGTCCCAACCTTGATCTCTCTCTCGACGGGGCCCAGCGCCGCTCGCTTATATGCTAAACTCAAAATACAAAATCCGAACAGAACTTTTTCAGACATGTCATCGTCAGCTCCGCACCAGACACGCTACCCTGAACGTCTTTTTACAGGCGGGGCTGGGAGTGAGTCCAGCCGGCCTCCTCAGCGATCATCTCGGCAGCGCGCTCACCAATGGACAGCACGGTCAACATGGGGTTGATGGTGGGCATGTCGGGGAATACACCGGCGTCTGCGATACGGACGCCCTTGAGGCCACGGATCTTCAGCTCGTGATCCACGACGGCCAGAGGGTCGCGGGTAATGTCACCCATCTTGGTGGTACCGGCCGGGTGATACACGGTGTGAGCCACGCGGCGGCCGTACTCAGACAGCTCCTCGTCGGACTGGATCTTGGGGCCCGGAGCGACCTCACGCTTGATCCAATCCTTGAAAGGAGCCTGCTTGGCGATCTCACGGGCAGCCTTGAGACCGGTCACGATAGTGGCGGCGTCGTAGCCCTCGGGATCGGTGAAGTAGCGGAAGTCCAGGGCAGGTTTCACGGAGGGGTCGGAGGAGGTGAGATACAGACGGCCGCGGGAGCGGGGACGGGGGATGTTGGGGGTCATGCAGAAGGCGTTGATGGGCTCGTCGTACCCCAGACGAGTGGTGTTGAGAGTGAAGGGAATCTGGTAGCAGTGCATCATCACGTCGGCAGCACGGCCGTCGAAGCCCGCGGCATTGGGCAGCTCGCGGCGCAGGAAAATACCGGCATCAGAGTCCATGGTGGTCTGGTTCGGGGGAACGGGCTGGTTGAGCTCCCATATGATGATGCTCTCGGGGTGGTCGAGCAGGTTCTCACCGACACCGGGGAGATCCTTGATGACGGGAATCTTCAGAGCAGAAAGCTGCTCGCGGGGACCCAGACCAGACAGCATCATCAGACGCGGGGTGTCGACGGCACCGGCACAGAGAACAGTTTCCTTCTTAGCACGCAGGGTGTGAGTGACACCGGACTGCAGGGTCACGTTAACACCGGTGACGGCATCACCCTCGACGTTGATCTTGGAGACCCAGGCGTTGGTGAGAATGGTCAGGTTGGGACGCTTCTCCTCGCCGCGCAGGATAGGGTGGATGTAGGCCACACTAGCACTGCTGCGGCGGCCGTCATCGGGGTTGTAGGAGACGTTGAAGAAGCCGACACCCTCGGTCAGCTCACCGTTCTTGCGGATGTCGTCGTTGAAGTTGTCAATGACGGGAATGTTCATGGCGCTGGAGCAGGCCTGGACCCAGTCCTTGCACAGCTGGTTCCGGTGACGAGCATGCACGGGCTGGACGGTGTTGCGCAGGCCATCGATGAGGCGGGTGAATGTCTCGAAGTCCCAGCCCTTGCAACCCTTGGAGACCCAGTTCTGGCAGTCATACTTGAAGGGGCGGAAGGAAATGAGAGTGTTGTGGCTAGAGCAGCCACCCAGCACCTTGGCGCGAGAGTGACGGATGTGACTGTTGCCTACAGAGCCGTTAGTTTATTTGGAATATTCCGACAAGTTTCAGGAGGCAATACCCATGGGCTGCTCGACGGTGCCGTAATCGTAGTCGAGTTCGCCGCCGAGAAGGTTGAGCCACTCCTTCAGGTTGAGCACGCGGTCATCCATGAAGTCGCTGGGACCACCCTCGATGACGAGCGTACGCTTGTTGGGCAGGTACTGCGCCAGGCGTGCCGCAATGACACAGCCGGCGGTGCCACCACCGACTACGATGTAGTCGTAGCTGTTGACATCGATGGCAGGAAGCTCGTTGGTGGTAGCCATGTTGAATAGGCAGGAGATATAAGGACGGAGAGGGGAACGGAGGAGGAGACCGCAACTTTAAAAGAAGCCTGGAAAAGGCTGGGAGCGGGTGGTCTGATGGGACAAAGATCCAATCTCTATCCAGTACCCAAATTCGGCTCGCGTGTGGTTTTTTTTTCTTTGCTGCTTCGGGATCGGAAGCAATTGGACGCTGTGACTGGTGGCGATTACAGTCGGTGGAGACGTCTTAGATAAGAATCGACCCACATGGTCTACAGGCACAACGGGTGTCCAGATTAGAACGGGCTGATCTACGCGGGGAAAATTGGGAAGGCCAGAGCGGAGATGAGGGGAGATGAGGGGAAAGGAGAGCAGAAGAGGTACAACGCTCCCGAAATAAGCCAAATGAGTAAACTCATAGATAGAGGCATCGCGCAGACACAGAGCAGTACGTCATGGCTCCCCGCGACGGTATTCCTTATTTAGTGCGACAACCCACCGGACCGCTGGGCGGCTGGATTATTGGACCAAACATAGTCAGACGCCCCAGTGCATTTGGGACCTCGGCGAATTGTCGCGCTGCATTACAGCCTCCCCGCAGCCACGCAGGACGCCGCGTTGGAAAAGTTTTACGTACAAGTGGAGCCGCCGGCGGTTTAACTTTCCGATCTCCGAGGCGGTGTGCATGGCAACAAGAAAGATTGTCTTCTCGTTGTCTCGCTTGGGATATACCTTAGCATTCTTCCAGTCATGTCTCTCTCCTTCCCGCCTCGTGAGCTCTACTACGACGGCCAGGTGCGCGCCGCCTCGTCGGGCAAGACCTTCCAGACGGTCAACCCCGCCACCGCAACCCCGCTGGCCGATATCCAGATTGCCTCCAACGCCGATATCGATGCCGCCGTCGCGGCGGGCGAGCGCGCATTCCCTTCCTGGTCCCGGACTCCTGCCATTGCGCGTGCGCGTATCCTCCATAAGGCCGCTCTTCTCCTGCGCGAGCGCAACGATGAGATTGCCCGTGTCGAGACTTTGGACTCCGGCAAGGCTTTCACCGAGACCAGCACCGTCGATGTTGTGACCGGGGCCGATGTGCTGGAGTACTACGCCAACTTTATTGGTGGCGGTGGCCTGAATGGCGAGACCACTGAGTTGCGCGAGGATGCCTGGGTATATACCAAGAAGGCTCCTCTGGGTGTGTGCGCCGGTATTGGTGCTTGGAACTACCCTATCCAGATGTGAGTCTTCTCTTCTCTTTTCTCGCATTTCATGACCAAAGGGCTAATCACCACTCTGTCTAGTGCCCTCTGGAAGTCCGCTGCTTGCCTTGCTGCGGGTAACACCATGGTCTACAAGCCCAGTGAATTCACCCCGCTCCACGCCCAGATTCTCGCCCAGATCTACACCGAGGCCGGTCTCCCCGCGGGTGTCTTCAACGTGGTCAACGGCGCTGGCGACGTTGGCGCCTACCTGACTAGCCACCCCACAATTGCCAAGGTGTCCTTCACTGGCCAGGTGTCGACCGGAAAGAAGGTGGCAGGCTCTGCCGCGGGCAACATGAAGTACGTGACCATGGAGCTGGGTGGCAAGAGCCCCCTCATCGTTTGCCCCGACGCGGACCTGGAGAACGCGGTCGACGGTGCCATGATGGCCAACTTCTACAGCACGGGTCAAGTTTGCACCAACGGTACCCGGGTCTTCGTTCCGCGTGCCATGAAGGCTGCTTTTGAGAAGCGCCTGCTGGAGAAGATTTCCTACGTGCGGGCTGGACCCCTCTTCGACGAGCAGACCAACTTCGGTCCCCTGAGCTCCGCCGCTCACCAGGAGAAGGTCCTCTCCTACATCCGCCACGGAATCGAGACGGACCGTGCGACCCTGCTCTGCGGTGGCCTTGAGAAGCCCGCCGTGCCCCAGGACCTGCAGGCCGGCTTCTGGGTGAAGCCTACCATTTTCACAGACTGCACAGACTCCATGCGTATCGTGAAGGAGGAGATCTTCGGACCGGTCATGTCCGTCCTGTACTATGACAGTGTCGAGGAGGCCGTGCAGCGTGCCAATGCCACGGAGCTCGGCCTCGCTGCCGGTGTCTTCACCAAGGACCTGAACCAGGCCCACCGTGTGATCGATCAGCTCCAGGCAGGTATCACATGGATCAACACCTGGGGTGAGAGCCCTGCGGAGATGGCCGTCGGTGGCTGGAAGAGCAGTGGCCTGGGCGTGGAGAACGGCCGCCGTGGTATTGAGGCCTGGGTGCAGAACAAGAGCACCGTCGTCGAGATGAGCGGTGCCGTGGCTAGCGTCTTCGCCAAGCTGTAAATCTATTCTATGTATATGATGTGATGCACGCATGACTTCAAAAAGGTCGGATATAGACTATATTCAAAGCGAATCGGCCAAACCAAAGCAATCTTAATGGTATTTTCATATGACGCCATAGTAATAATTTGTATGCCGGTTTCATTTCGCTGGCGCTTAAATGACAATATTGAATGCAGATTGAAACGGATGCCGAGATGCATTGCGGTTCATCTATCCTTCCACGAAAAAAGCAAAATAGCAGAACTCCTCGACTGATCCCTGTAAACAGAAAAGGCCATGCAGCGAATAACTAAACACGGATAGGAAAAGAAGAAAAGACACCCGTATTCCCATTCCCCCAGGCAGTTAACAAAAGGAAACTGCAGAATTCGAAAAAAAAAAAAAAAACGCCGTAGTGACTGCGCGGATGCCGCTTGTTTATGAGAGAGTGGTCATTCTGGCACCCATACGATCAAAGGTCAGGTCGTTCTTTAGAGCACCATCAAGTCCGCCGACGGCCGAATCGATCATGCGCGAAGACATGCTGTCTGGGGTGAGCTCATCTTCCTCCTGGGAGCGGCGAAGCTCGGTGTTGATGCGCAGGTCCTTGGGCACCTTCTCCGGGGTTCCATCAGGAGTGGGCTCCTGCTTAGGCGAGGCCTTCTTCACAGGCAGCGGGGCGGGGACATAGGTGCGGGGACGGTAGACCAGAGCAGGTCCCTGGGTGCGGGCATCGGTACCGGCCTGCTCAATCGACTCGAAGTAGCGAACGGTCTTGACCTTGAGCTCCAGAGTGGCATCTCGGTCACAGACAACCAGCGGGTGCTGGTGCAGCTGCAGAGCAGAGAGGGTCCACATATGGTTGACGCCATCCTCAAGACCCTTCTGCACGGCAAATGCCTTGTGGGCACCGGTTGCGACGATCACCACCTCCCGCGCATCCATGATGGTCTGAATTCCAACGGTCATGGCCATACGCGGTACCTTGTTCACGTCGTTGTCGAAGAAGCGCGAGTTGGCCAGGATGGTGTCGTAGGCCAGTGTCTTGACACGGGTACGGCTGCTGAGGGAGGAGCCGGGCTCGTTGAAGGCAATGTGGCCGTCAGGACCGACGCCACCCAGGAAGAGCTCGATACCACCGTAGCGGGCAATGCGTGCGTCGAACGAGGCACACTCGGCGACCAGATCGGTGGCGTTCCCGTCGAGGATGTTGATGTTCTGCGGCGGAATGTCCACGTGCGAGAAGAAGTGCTTGTACATGAAGCTGTGGTAGGACTCGGGGTGGTCGCGAGGCAGGCCGACGTATTCATCCTGTGGCATCGAGTCAGTCACAACAGATCAGGGTTCGCAAGGCGCATTGGCGCATTGTGAGCCGCATACCATGTTGAACGTCACCACATTCTTGAACGAGATCTCGCCAGCGCGGTGGCGCTGCACGAGGAGCTTGTAGATGATCTCGGGGCTGCTGCCAGTAGGCAAGCCCAGCACGAACGGTTGGTTCTCGGTTGGGTTGAATGCCTTGATGCGGCCTGTAATAAAGCCGTCAGTATACATCACGGGCAGGACTGCGCGCGCACATCTGTCGAGCCCACTTACTGACGATGTATTCGGCGATGTACACCGACGCCGCCTGAGGATCTTCTCTGATGATGACACGCCTGGGTTCATTCAGTTAGCCTGAGAATGCAGAGATGCTCGTGTGGACGAGGAGGTCGCATACATGGTGGTTACGTCAGCGGACAAAGACGCGAATTTTCCCAAGTTGGATGTTTTGGAGGGAAGGAAAGAAAGTTGAGGAGAGGAGGATTCGATAAAAAGTAAAGAGAGAGATGAGATAGAGTGACTGCCTCCAACGGGTTACGTCCGGGAGTGTACGACAGTGACAAAGATCCACGGGCGTCGTAGTATGAGGAGAGAGGGCCCGGCTCCGCTTCTGTTACTTGCGCGCTGACTTCGTCTACCACCTCCCACTACGGATCTTCTCGTCGCATGCGCCCATGGCCCACACCATATGGGTGACGTCGGCGAATTCTCCTTAATCCTTTCTCCCGTTCGGGACGGGGCACGAGATAGCTGGCGTAACCCTCATTCGTCTATTGGCAGGGACACATCCGCATTGTACGTTTGCCATGTGGTGGCCAACAATAGCGAGAGAAAAAATTCGATGACGCAGTGGGATGATAGAGGCGAAATTGAGATTCTGATTGGTAGGTTACCCCCAGAATGGGCGGAACCAGATGTCAGGTTGGGAAGAAGGTTCCATCGGGAGCAGAAGTTGCATCCGGGAAGTCGGCGTTCATGTAGAAACGATAAAAATCTGGGGGAGAATCCACCGTGTACTGTTGAGTGCAACCTTGCAGCGTCGCAGCGGGATACCGTACAGTACCGTATGGTATTACATACTCACGTGCCGGGGCAAGGCCAAGCGCCGGTTTACCTAATTCTCTGCCTCGAATTTGGGGTCGAAGAGATTTACGTTTCATAATATCATTCGTTATTACCCCATGCATGACGATCTAGGTATGGTTTGACTTGAGACTGTTCGGTGATTTCCCGGACCATCATCCCTCACCGGGATCACCAGGCACGTAGATAATGACGCGAGCGGATGAGGTCCGCCCTATCTGACCTTATCGCCCCAAGTCCCGATTGCGGCTCTGAAGCTTCACAGCAGCAACCCGCCAGCGTCCGAGCCCATCGTACGTCGGAGTACGCCTGAGGCACCTGAGCGCTTATTCCATCCTCATCCCCGTGTCACCTGACTGCGAACTCGGAGCTCACGCTATCTTGCTCAGCTACTCTGGGGCCTCACACCGCACGTCAAGGCCGATCCCGTTTGCAGCACCACCTCGTGCGGATCCCTACGCTGCATCCTGCCTGTTGGGCCCCTGCTGGCATTCCTCCCCCAGGGCCATGGCCCCGAAAGAGGACATGCTGCCCCCGGGCTGGGAGGATCTAGACAGGTATGTTGTCGCCTGTTCCGTCGCCTGTTCCGGAGCCATGCACTGCCCTGCCCCCCTTCGGCTTCGGGCGTCCTCCCCCATCTCCACGCCTGCATCGCTGTGGAACCCCAGTGGCTCTTCGGGAGATTTAGACTATTTCCTCTTCGGGAAACCCTGCCACCTGAGGTGCGCGAGATCAATGTATGTGCTGACGTGCCATGTGGCAGGCAAATGGGCCAGCTCTTTATGATGGGCTTTGATGGTACATCGGTCAGCCCGCAGGTCCGCTCCCTCATCGAGGACTACCACCTAGGTTCCATCCTCCTGTCGGCCAAGAATCTCAAATGTAATCCTACTCTCCTTTCTCCCCTCGTGACCCCCGTGATCAGCGTGCTAATTCGAATCTTAAGCTGCCGAGGAGGCCACCCGATTGGTGCTCGAGCTGCAGACCATTGCCCATGATGCCGGACACCTTGTGCCGCTGCTGATCGCGTTAGATCAGGAGAATGGCGGCGTCAATAGCTTATATGATGAGATATACGTCCGCCAATTCCCTAGTGCCATGGGCATCGCGGCAACGGGCTCGAAAGCTCTGGCTCACGAGGTTGCCGTTGCGACCGCCCAGGAGCTCAAGGCCGTCGGGGTCAATTGGATTTTGGGCCCCGTCCTGGACGTCCTGACCAATGGACGAAATCAGCCCTTGGGCGTCCGTACCACCGGCGATGACCCCCAGGAAGTATCTCAGTACGGGGTGCAATATATGAAGGGGTATCAGGAAGCAGGACTTGCGACCTGCGGTAAACATTTTCCCTCCTACGGCAACTTGGAATTCCTAGGATCCCACACAGATGTCCCCATCATTACGGAATCTTTGGAACAGCTCAGTCTAACTGCGTTGGTGCCTTTTCGCAATGCCATCATGCAAGGTTTGGATGGCATGATGGTTGGCGGCGTGTCTATGTCATCAGCTGGGATGAATGTGATGCACGCCTGTTTGAGTGACCAGGTGGTGGACGAGCTGCTCCGAAAAGACCTCAAGTTTCAAGGCGTCGTCGTATCCGAATGTTTGGAGATGGAGGCATTGACTCACAACATCGGCGTGGGAGGAGGCACGGTCATGGCGAAGAACGCAGGGTGCGATGTTATCCTACTATGCCGATCGTTTCCAGTGCAACAGGAGGCGATCAACGGGCTAAAGCTGGGCGTGGAAAATGGCATCATCGGTCGCCCTCGAATAGAGCAGTCGCTACGACGCGTGCTGAATCTGAAATCGCGATGCACTTCATGGGAGCAGGCACTGAACCCACCCGGTCTGCTCTCGCTCACGCAAATGCAGCCGTCTCATACCAGCCTCTCCACGCGTGCATACAACAACTCCATCACTGTGATGCGGGACAAGAACAGTCTACTTCCTCTTTCGAACACCATCGATGCTGGCGAGGAGCTTCTACTCTTGACCCCACTGGTCAAGCCACTCGCCGCTTCAGGAGTGTCACTCTCAGCTACCGAAGCCACCCATGGCCCCCTTGACCCCTCGGCTTTGGACCGGTCCGCTTCGGTGATGACCGGAGAGAGTGTTTTCAAGGAATTGGGGAGGTCTCTTTCACGGCAAAGGAGCGGACGTGTATTGCACACCTCATACACATCCAATGGCGTGCGTCCCATCCACGAAGATCTCATCAAACGAGCTAGCGCAGTCATCGTGGTCACGGCGGATGCCAACCGCAACCTATATCAACAGGCCTTCTCGAAACACGTCTCGTTGATCTGCCAGTCGCAGTACACCCCGTCTGGCGAGCGTTGCGAGAAGCCTTTGGTCGTGGTGGCAGTGAGCTCACCATATGACTTCGCCATGGATGCTTCCATAAGCACTTATGTGTGCACCTATGACTTCACGGAGACGGCGTTGCAAGCGCTAGTCAAGATCCTCTACGGCGAGCTAACGTCCACGGGAGTATTGCCCGGCTCCATTAGCCGCAGCCAGAAAATCCATCAATCCCGCCAGCACTGGCTAGTCGAGAATTGGAACGAGGAACGTGACAGCGCTGCGTTGGATGCCCTTCTTGACACAGCTCGAGGGGACTGCGCGCAGGGTCAGCGGTCAGAGCTCCTCGGTGCAACATCAAACAGCTTTCTGCTACGGAGGGAGGATGTTGACGAGGCACACTTTGTGGTCCGCAACAGCAGCACACAGGCGCTCTACGGGTTCTGTGCAACCTACTTCTTTCGGTCCACTGGCACCGGCGTCATCGGGTGTCTGATCGTCGATCCGGCCCGGCGTAAGCTCTCCATCGGGCACTCCCTTCATAGCCGGGCCATCCGCACTCTTCTCCAGCGGAAGGGCCTGAAGCGGTTTCAGCTCGGGTCTCGACTACCGGGAATCTACCTGGGCATTCCCACCGTCAGTCCCGTTGAGCGAAAGCGCCTGCGGCAATGGTTTGCGGAGCTAGGATGGAACACGGCACTCTCGCGTCCCGTCTGCAGTGTGGTGCTGCGCAACTTGGCGACATGGACGCCACCCGACGGACTGACGGCGACGCTGCAGAATGCCAAGGTCATCTACGATCTGGTGTACGGGTGGGACTTTGCGCGTGCAATTCTCGACCACATCAGAACCAATGCCCGGCAGGGAGTGACGGACATCTACCGCATCGCCCTGGGTGGAGCCCCTAACTGTGGCATTATCCGGGCCAAGCGTTCCTCGGATGATATGATCCTCGGAAGTATAGTGATATACAACGAACGCTCGTCTTTGGCTGAGCACATGCCCGCTCTACGTTCCACCCAGCCACCCGTTGGGGGCATCTCATCGCCCGTTATCTCCCCGTACGCAGATGACTACTCCACGGTGATGCAGGGGCTGATCTTGCTCGCCATCAAGCAAATTCGCAAGCTGAATGCCAATGCCGTGGTGATGGACTGTGTAAGTGATCGACCATCTCCTCGAGACCGATGTGAGACCTACGCTAACGGGATGCAGGTGGACGGCGACGGCAACTTTGACTGTCTTTCCTCCATGGGTTTTAGCATGCTACACAGCTTCGAGGAGGTCAACTGTGATGCAGCCACCTGGACGATGATGCACGCGTCCTAGACGACACGGGCAATTGCTCTCTTCGGTCTTCGTTTTTGTTTCGTTTCATTTTGGATTTTTTTTTCTTTTCTTCTCACTCCGGGTCCATTTTTTATTGGTTTCCGGTTCTCGCATATGTGATATCCATTTGACATTTTGGTTAGGGTCACCCGTCCGGGGGATTGGGGATTGGGATTCGCGATGCAGGTACATGTGCCCATCGAGGAGTTTCTTGATTGGATTCAGGGATTTTTTCCGAGCTTTGCTCCCCTTGTGCATATTATTACCACGGGGCAAACGAGATGCCCGCTGGTGGGTAGGACAGGCAACCTGTACGGGGTCATTTAGACCAATCTGACATCATTTTTTTCCTTCTGGTCGAGTGAGCCGGTCAAGCGAAGTGGCGATCACGGGAGATCCGCGATCCTGCGCGCGTGATGTTATTCTTCCATTGGGGGCGCAGAATTAAGGCGGCCACGGAATGAAGAGTTCACGGTTAGAGAGGCTAAGTCCAGAACCAGTATACCTCGTGCTGAGTGGCATGGAGACGCGCTTGGGAAGGCATCAAGATAACGGCGGACTCTGAGTGGACCGGACGTCCGCAGGACCCTGCGTCTCTTCACCTCACGATAATGAATTAATGAATTTAAATTATTCGCTTGTTAGAGCTAGGGAGTGAAAGTGGGCTTGGTCGGACCTCCGCTTGGCGCCGCAGGCGAAGGAAAGTCAAGCCTCCACGGGGACTCCGTGCGAAGAGGCTCGGGAGAGAACACCTGGGGAGTTACATCGTAGGATGGCATAGACGTTCATCCTCTACCACTCTAACTCTACGTCTTCCTTACTTCTACATACACACCCTCGCACTCATTCACTCACTCATATATCTATGTACATAACCAAGCGACGGCCGTCGGCCATCCTAGTGGTCTCTCTCGGACGCTCGGGTGTCGGGGCCACAATTGCATCCGGCGCCGCCTCGCTTCGGGGATTCACTCTTTCCTGAAGTGGGCACGCCCAATCTACTAGAGTTTGGCGAGAGGCACAAATCCCTCGGTCGTACAGTGCAATGTTCTTGGTATCGAAGAATCCGGCCTGGGAAAAGGAGGTTCCTCGACGGGTCCACATTCCTTATCTCTTTCTGGATCCGCTCTAGGACGCTCTGGGACCATGGACGCTCTGTTTCACTTGGACCTGTCGAAAATGGAAGCCTGATGGGAAAAAAGCCCGGAAAACCCAAACGCATCTAGCTCGATCGGCTTCGGTGATCACCAGCTTCTGTTTCGTCGAGAAGGGCGTCGAGAAGGTTCGATCCAGGGGGGGGCAACAGTGTGCAGCTGGGAAGGAAGCCCGAAGCAGGCAATCAACATAAGCATGGTGTGGTGCAATGGCATCATTCGGCCAGTCATCTGCCAGTCATTTGCTCGCTCATCCCGGTCAGCCATTCGGCCATTCAGCGTTGAGGAGTAGAGACCATGATTTGCCCGAGCGGGCCTACCCGCCTCTTTCACCCTTCACGCACCACTTTCACTTTCACGCTGGACCCGTCCGGGCGAACCACATCCAGCCGTGGCCAGCAAGCTTGCAAGGGCCGTGCAGCCGTGCAGCGGAGACCGGGGATATTCAAATCGGGCAAATGCACGGGAGATTGAAGGAGCTCGCGCTCTCCCCAACGGTCCGAATCCAGCGGTCTTCGTTCCACAGCCCGTGATGCCGTTCGACACATACACCTGTGTGACTTGATCACGGACACCCCTCGTCCTGTTCTCGCCCCCCCTTCCCTCCTCCGTCCCTGACTGCGTGACTGGATGCGTCAGGGTCGACGAGGGCCTCACTCACGGCTCCGCTGTGGATGTTGCCCGTTCGCGGTACCCGGCGGGAGCCAATCATCAAGTACTGGTGCACGATCGCAGCCATTTCCACCGTCTTTCCACTTTTCCCTGCTTCGCGCTCGTGTCCGGCCCGGGACTGCATCGCCTTCATTGGCCCGTGGGCTCTAGCCCCAGGTTCAGTGGTCCAGCGGTCCAGGTCCAGTCTTTCCAGTCTTTGCCCCCCCCCCCCCCCCCCCAATCTGCATGTCAGACACGGTCCTATGTTGATCATCGATCATTTCTGGGAAAAGCCTCTACTCTGTTCTTCTAATTAAAATGGAGGAGGGAAAATGACGATTATCGGCGTGTTTCTGAACAACGCCACCCCTTAACCTTCACCGTGCCAAATTGGCTTTTGTATTCGGACAGGACGCCTCGATACGGCAGGTGGATTCGTAGTTCCTCAGTGATCTTCAGGGCCCTTAGAACACAGGCTGCCGAGAGCCGGGGCGCGATCGGCCGCGTCTTACCCCATCCAGCGGTTCGGGAAGAGATAGAGAGAGACGGGTGTTCCGCGTATAACGTTTAAGTAGAACCGTCTTCGTTCTCCGCAAAAACCGCGGCTCCACTTTTCCCCGAATCCGTCCATCCACGCATTCCATGTTCCCCCCTCTTGCTCTTTCGCATTCTCTTATCCCCTTGAACTCTCCTCTTGATTCTTCTCATTATTGCCCGCGCCATGGAGGGCTTTGATACCATGGCCATGCCGCCCTATCTGGCCAGTCCGCTGTCCCTCGGCAATCTACAGGGCGACTATCTCAATGCCATGCCCGGGCTCGATCTTCCCGATCATCGCTCCAACTTCGATTCCGAGACCTTTGTCAGGTATGTCTGTCCCGGTTCTCCAGGCACCTGGATCGGGGGAGCGTGGGAGAATACCGAACCGTGAACTAATCTTGGTCCCCGATAGTGATGAACTCACCTTTCCTCAAAGTAATCTGCCGCACTCGTTGAAACGGTTTCCCTCGGGCTACGATGACCCTTTCACCGAGATGGTCACTCCGTTCGACCCGGTGCCTCCGGAGCAGCCTCAAGATTCGTCCATCGATCACAATAATAAGCTACTGAGTTTCTCGCTGCCGGCCTATCACTTCACCCTCCTGGACTACTCGATGCGACGCACTTCTCTGTCCGTGTCGGCTCAGTTGCATGGCATGTTCTTCCTGGCCGAGTCACCCTATACGACTTCTCCCTCCGAGAACGCTCCGCCGCAGCAGGGCGCCGAGTTGACTTGCTACCGCCGTAACCTGTTCCAGATCACCGGCTCCGTCACCTTGCCACGAGGCATGCGGTATATCATGACCGATCAGGGCGATCGAATCCCCATCCTCGCCCAGGAACTGACCGTTTCCGCGACCGAGTCGGTAGAGGGTAACCCGGTGAAGATTATTTCCGTGCCGTGGAAGACACCCTCTGCGGCAGCGGCCAACTCCGGCTCGGCTCTAGAGGATAGCGGCACCAGTAACGCCGCCAAGATCGAGAAGGAGCCTCCACCGATTCCCCTCGATATCATGGCCGGCCAGGACCTGGACACCGACTATGCAACCTTCCCCATTGCGTGGAAACGCCTGCAGTTCCGCGTGGCAACCGCCAACAACGGACGCCGCAAGGAGCTACAGCAGCATTTCGTCGTTCGGCTCAAGGTTGTTGCAACCCTGTCCACCGGTGCGAAGATCGCCATATCAGAGGTGCAGTCGGGACCCGTTATCGTTCGTGGCCGCAGCCCACGTAATTTCCAGTCTCGCAAGGACCTTCCACTGAGCGGCAGTGCGGCCGCATCACGAAAGAACCAGGCCAACTCGGTGGCAGCGCTCAACCGCACGCCAACCAACGAGTCCGTGACGCGTCGCGCGAGCGTCACCCCAGCGAAGAACAAGGCACCGTCCGGAACAGTACAGAGCAGCTCCCCCGAGACCACCTCGGTCCCTCCTCCGACTCTCATGCAGCAGCCCCGTGCGACACCCGACTGGACCCCGATCCCGCAGTCCACGTCCAACGTCATGTCCCACGGCCACCAGTCCCTCTTCCCTCACTCCAGTCCCGAACAACTATCACAGGCAGACCAGCACCGCCGTGTCAGTAACACGGCTTCCGCTGCGGCGCCGATTAATCTGTCTCTGCTGGACGAGGAAGATACCGGGGATGCAGGGCTTCAGCTCGATCAAAAAATCCTGCCGCCGTACACCAGTGAGCCACCTCATCAAAGATCCATCAGCATGGACCAAACGGCACCGCCAGCCAAGATGCGCAAGCTATCCCACGCCGTCTCCCAGACCCCGTCTCGAAGCGCCACTTCATCACTGCCGCTGCTGGAGACTGCCCATCTGCCACAACAATTCGTGTCCTCGCTGCCGTTCCCGAACGAGAGTACTGATTTCCTCTACGAGTACTTCCCCCTCGGACTCGACGACTGGCAGGCGCCCGTTGATGCTGTCTATCGACCCCATGTGGTACATCATACGAACATGCCCGAGATGAAATTTGTGGCCTCCAGGGGTCGCAGCAAGCGGTATTTCGCCGCCGAGGATGTCTTCTAAATATCATCAGCTCACTGGCGCTCGGGCGGCGTTATGTCTTTTTTTTTATTCTTAATTTTTTTTGGTTCTGATTTGGGTCGCATCTGCATTGGCACATCGGGATGGGGGTAATTTGGTTCGAGCTCCTGTCACCTTTTTTTAGAGTCTTCTCTTCGTCAAGAGAAACATGTTTATTCTACGCTGCTTACATGGGGGTTGTTGGGTTGTTGGGTCTGGGTCTGGCGTGTTGTGATCTCTCTCTTCCCCCTTCTTGTTTGAATTGTGGAAGTTACCAGGTGCAAAATCGGCGACGGCGGCGTGCTGCGGAGTTCTATTTGTTTGTGTTTCTAGGGGGTTTGTCCTGGTTCAAGAAGGTTTGATGGTGGCATCGCCCTCGCTCGGGGGATTACTGCTTTCTCCTAGGAGACCATGAAGGGACTGGATTTTGGTTTGGGTTTCTACGTCTGCGGATTTTCTCTTGGTACTTGGTTATATCCCATCGTGTTATGATGTTACGCTGCTGTTTATCGCGCTCGATCAGGATCCTGAGCCGATTGCCGTTCTATATCTCCGGCAGCCCAGGATCTATATAGTGGAAAATGAAATATCATCTGTGAAAGAAAATCCGCTCCATACTTCAAACGTAGCCTGGACGATACGATACATAAAAGGAACTGGCGTTCGTGGGTCTACTATCGGAGCACGTTACAACCGAGAAAAGAGGCGACCGTATTCCGTATTCCAGAACGACTCAACTAGATCGAAGCCGTGTTTATACATAGCCCAGTCCGTCTCCACCGACGGTCTCCAGATCGGCTCTGATCTCCCACTCCTTCGCACCGACCCGACCCGCGATCTCCGCCTGGCGTTGCTTGCCCAGGCTCAGCCACTGACGCACCAGGTTTCCATCAACCATGCCTCGGCCGCCGGCACCGTCGCTCTCAACTGCCCGGAACGCACGAGGGTTCAATCCACAGGGATGTTCGATCGTGTTGGTCAGTTGAGACTGTAGAGCCGACAGCCGACGGTAAGAATCTTCCGTGACAGACGTGACCAACGCTAGAGATCCATTCTGCGAAGTGATCAGGACATGGTGGTTGGGAATGTCTTCATCCACCTCCATCTCATCGTCGTTGGACTCCATAAGTTCGGACGAAACGGGAGTTCGGGGCAGCAGGGTCACCGTCGAGGCGAAATTGCCGGTGTAGAATTTGCTCCGGTTCAGCAGCCGGTCACCATTGGAAGACTTGGGATCTAGGGGATAGTCAGAAAGGGGGCTCCTAATTTCTTGAAGGTCCTACGGAGGCCTGGGGTTTGTCATTCATCACGCACCTTCGGGGTCGTACTGCAGGACGTGGAGGTTGCAATCACTGTCCGCAACCAACATATAGAGCTTGTTCCCGTTCGGCAGGAAATCCGCGGCCGCCACTTCCAGGTAGTCTGGATCTTTGCCAAAGAGAGTCATCTTGTATGGCTCCTCCTGTGATCGTTGTCAGTCCAGTTCAATTCGCATCAGTAAAGGGGAGGGTGTCCTACCGAGTAGCCCGCAAACCAGATGCCCTTGACTGCATCACCCAGGATGCACATCCCGGTGCCCTTGAGCTCCTTGGCGACATTGACATAGCATAGCATGTCCATAAATGCCACGGGAAGAAGACTGCCATCTTCTTTGAGACCTCGAACCATACACTTCTGTCCCTGAGCCACGATGATGAAGCCCTGGCTGCCAATGCCTGACAGCGCCGTTACGGCGCCCTTCACAGTCTCCTTGCCAACCAACTTCAATTTCCGACCAGTCTCTGGCTGGCCTGGTTCCGGAACAACGTCGATCACCTCAAACACGTAAATGCACCCGCGGGCCGGAATGTCTTCGCCCTTAGCAATTGCCGTTCCGACCACGATCAGATCCTTCCGCTCGTGTGTATTCTCCGAGATCTCCAGGTTCACGTTCTTCACCGCTGTCACATGCTCGGCGGGATCTAGGGGATAACTATCGATGATGGTCCAAGTCTTGGGGCTGACCACCTTGACGGAGCTCTGAGGGACCTCTGGCAGAAATGATATTGACTCCATACACCACTCCGGATGCAACTCGTCATTTTCTGGTAATTTAAAGCCCACACTGGAGCTGGTGCCGAGAACATAGGTGTTGGATGACGTCGAGTAGGTCAGAAAGTCGACTTGCTCTTCCACGGGGATCTTGCGCAAAGTCCACGGGTAATCGAACTGGGTGTGTGGGGGTAAGAGACAGGCTCGGATACAATGTTCGGAATCCACGTAGATAAAGCCATTCTCACAGCCAATAGAAGGCGAGTGAAAGGTACTCATCCATCGTGTGAACTCTCCTCGAAGGCGGACTAGATGTGGCGAGCTTGCCGCCGTTCGTAGAATGAACCCAGCAGAACTTCCAGGCATGAAAACAGTGCAAAGCCCCGCAACGTCGGGCAGAACTCGCAATGGCCTCGTCCGCTGCCTGTCCTCCAAAATCCCAGATGCTGTCCCCGATGTGACATTGGACAGGGTGTAATTGACCTCCCGGAAGAATCGTAAGTCGTGCGATGGTCCGTTCTCGGCCTCTGACGATTTGAAGACTGGCTTGTAAACAGCCAGGTCATCGTTGTCGGTTCGAATCTGTTATATAGATTAGATCCCGGGCCAGGCAATTAGTCGCGGGGAACCTTACGATTAAATATGGCGAATTAGCCCAACGGACGCCGAGATCGGCAACAAGGACTTCTTTCAGAGCTTCCCGGGAATTTGACCGGCGAGGGGGTTCCGCGGACATGACAGGTTGTAAGCAATCGATGCCTTCAATGACCGACAACAGTTTCATGTCTGGAAGACTGAATATCTGCATTTTATTTGTTAGAGTCATTGAAATTGTAGGCTTAGTGAGAGGAACATAAACTAACCGAGAGCTTGCACTCCATGCTTAGCAAAAACATCAGGACCTTTTCGCTGGTGCCGAATGCTTGGCTTTTGCCATGATAGAGACAGGCCGATCGCCATTTTGAGGAAGATATTTGATCTGGAAGTGAAACCTCGTCGAGGTCACCGCTGTCATCCGCCTGAAGAAGTAAAAGTGAAGAGTCATCCCGCAGAATAGCGAGGTAAGGATCCGTGAAACTTGCGCTCACCGCTAAGCGCTCTTCATCAGTGTCCTCATCCCAGATGGGGTAGATCTGGACCAGCCCGAGGTCTAAATGACCTTCATGTTAGTATTCAGCAAACAATAGATTGACGAAACTTAAGCTTACCTATATCATAGCTCCTGACTTCATTCCGCAAAACTTGAACCAGACGAGTACTCTCAGCTAACGGCGCGATGTCGATGGTACGATCTTCATTCGGATTGAACTCGGGTGCTTTGAAAGGCTTCAAGTCTTGCCCTTCGATTCTCAAGATTTCGGAGACTTCCTTTTCTGTCTCTGTTGACCTCGCGACAATCACATAATGCTGGAAGGTGGGCTCTTCAGGCAAATCGCCAGTATTGACAAGGCTTCCTTTCCCTTGGGTCACGGAGGCCGACCATACCCCATCGGCATCATCAATATTCATGGAAACCGTGGTCACAGGGTCAATTTCTCGTTTGATGACAACCAGACCACCGGCTCGACCGGAACCTTGCGATGCGACAAACTCCAACTCAGCAGAGACTCCTTCGTTGGTGGACCTGTCTTGGTCTTTGATTGCCGGGAATGCTTGTCCCAGTGTGATATCTCGTAGAGGGCCAGTGCTTATCAATCGATCATTCAGTCGAAAATGATAGGACTCGGAGGTTGAATTCTCGGAAGCCATGCGCGGATCGGCCTGACTGGGCTCGGGTACTGAGGAGTAAAGGTCATCTTCGTAACCGTCGTCATCCATTTGCTCATCGTCTGAGAAGATATCAGTGCTGTCACTGGCTTTTTTCGACTCGATTCGTGCCTTCTTTGCTGAAAGTGAAGAGTGGGACCACCCCAAGAGCACCGAGTCTGCGTCTTCGCTACCAATGAAGATATTTCCATCCTCAAAGCAAGTGGAGCACGATGCAGCCGACTTCAAGAGATTGCCACCGACTTGTGATGGCAGGGAATGAACTGTCATGCCCGACACAGATCGCCCATCAAGCTTGAACTTGATCAATGCCATTTCCCCTGATGCAAGTGCAAGGAGAAGATCACCGCTATCACCACCTAGTCGTTCCACGACACAGCCTTCGAGACGAAAGGCGAGGTCGGATTGATCACTCATTGAAAATGATGAGATCTGCCTGGAGAACTCATTCACACCCACCGCGCTGGTTTTCCCGGCTTGATCAACATGTACGATCTCGTTGGAACCGATGAGCAGGGCCCCTCCCACGGGAGGTGGGAGTGCCACTATCTTGAACAAGTCACTCGGGAGCCGCGTCACCGAGAGGAGGGTCGTGGAGGCACGTTGCTCTAGGTCTAGTGTAAAGACGGTATAGAACATCACATCCTTTCTCTCGTGAAGCAAAGCGTTGGAACTTGCAATTTGAGAATACAAAATGCCAAAAGTCGGCTCCCTATATTCGTAAAGAAATGCAAGACTGACTGGGTGCAGCAACGAAGGGTCCAAAGCAGTCAACGGCAGGACAAAGGAAGCAGCATAAGGGGTCTGATATCCTGGCCCGTCTTTGCGCTTCTCAACATCAGTTGCCCCTTCCCGAGTCCCATCCGGGCGCTCTCCGTCAAGCTCCGAGTCATAGTCATCCATCACTAAATCATCACCTGCCTGGTGAAAAGGAAGAATGGCAAGGTTGCGGACGCCGAAGTTGAAAATCGCGCACCGGCTGCTTGGATCCACACTAAGGATGCTTCCACAGCGGCTCAGATCAGGCACCCAGGGGCTACGAGTGAGGTCATCTCTCTCGTAGTAATGAATAGAGACGGTGGAAATGCCATGGCGCTCGGGGTCCCACTCAACCAAGCTGAGTTTGGCATTACGAACGGCAAGCAAGATAGCTTCCCCGCCGCTCTTCGTGGTTAACGGTTTCACTCGACTGATATCAGTCACGGTTCCTGGGAGAGAATACTCCTTCTCCAGGACCAATTTTGTCTCCGGTTGGTGAGAGGCTGACGGGTGGGTCTCTGAGCTCTCTCCCTGCCGCTGAAAGGCAGGTTTGAGCAGTGAGAACACCTGCAGTAGCGATGACCGGACCACAATCAGATTGTTAGCTGTGGCTGAGATAAAGGGCAGCGCCAAAGCATGAGTGACCCCCGTTGGGGGGAGCAATTCCGTATAGCACTGCATTGGAAAAACCCGTGCCTTACGGTCTTTGGATTGCTCCAATTACCTAGTTGTTGGGGCGGACGGGATCACCGATGCGCATGGCAGCTCAGTGAATTCAAAGAACAACGAAACGAATTTCCAAGAGAAACACAGCGGAGGAAGTATAAAGACAGGCGCAAGACAGGGCGGATTTCCCGACACAAAGCTCCCCGTCACGTGGCTGCCACCCAAACGGGATTAGTTCATGACGACAAGCGCGTTCGCAGTTTACTTCGACATTCTCAGCTTGAAACCTTGAAACCTTGGAAACCTTGGAGACTTGCCTTCGGTTTATCTGCTCTCAACTTCTTCCTATACCCCATGTGAGATCGTGATCGTGATCGCTATTCTCCAAAATGGCGCTCCTCCAAACTTCCCTGATCTGGATCGTATACGCTATCGTCATAGCTATCCTGCTCGCGGTGGCCTCGGTATTCATCTATGTCTATCAAACTCCGCGGGACCGTTCTCCTTCTGTAACTCTGACGTGCATCTTTGCCATCACCTGTCTTTTGGCTACAGTCCTTCTGCTTCCCGTGGATGTCGCACTGGTATCGTCGACTACCTCGTCCAAGTTGGGCCGACGGAAAGAATGGGCCACCCAGGATGCCGTCGATAAAATCACCTATTCTCTGACCGTCGTCTATTACTTCCTGTACTCCCTTGATGCGTTGCTCTGTTTGCTGGTCATACCATTCACATATTTTTGGTACGAAGAATACGATGAGGTGGCGGTCGAGGCAGGCGAGCAAACGCTTGGGCAGCGCTTCTGGGGCGCTTTCAAGTACACACTCTCGTTTGTTGCCATTGTGGTGATACTTTTCCTCGTCGGATTTTTTGTCCCCGTCTCCAATGAAAAGAGGGGTATGGACTTGGATTACTTCAAGCGCCTGCTGACTGAAAACCGTGCGTCTTTTCCGATTTCGCTGAGGGCAAACATACTGATATCGAAATAGATGGCGAGCGTGCATTGACATTTGCTCTCGGGCTTCTGACGACACTTGGACTGTGTCTTTATGTCCTCTATACTTCGTCGGGGCTTGCTCTGTTTCCCATTGGTCTGATTAAGACGGCACCTTCCATCTCCAGTCCCACGTTGCGAGCAAATACTGCACACCAGCTTGAGACTAACCAAGAGCGGCAGAGACAGCTTGAAGGTCGCTGCGGAGGTAACCCCGACCTTCTGTCTTCCAAAGACCGCAGAGAGCTTGACACTCTCACTCGCGAGGAGAGAACCTTGATTAGGCGACAACGTCTCGTTGAAGAAGCGCAAGGCGAAGGTCAAGGATGGCTGATGCGGGCATGGTACAAGGTTGGAGCAATATTCCGCCCATTCAAGCTTCTCGGGGGTATTCTGCTACTCCTGCTCGCATTTGTAACATGGGTGTCTATGCTCCTAACGGCCATCGACAAAGCGACAAACTCAATTTGCAAGCATCGCTGTGGATACATACTTGGGCACGTCAATGTCTTCAATCCGGTCAATTGGGCTCTTGTTCAATCTGCCAAAGTCTTTCCCGTCGACTACGCTATCTTCACAGTGCTTGTCTTACTGCTGTTCTGCAGCTCGGTTGCTGGCATTGCTGCGGTAGGCATTCGCTTTCTTTGGATCAGAATCTTCCAGATCCGAAAAGGTCATACCTCACCCCAGGCTTTGCTCTTGGCAACCGCTATGTTGATGCTAATGATCTTGGCATTGAACTACTCCGTGTCCATGCTGGTTGCTCCGCAATATGCGACATTTGGCCCGCAGACGTTCTGTGATCGCGCGACGACGTCTCCACTGGACCAGCCGGATTGTTCTGACAGCAGAGAACTGATCAAGCCGTGCTCTGAATTAGCAGATAATCCCGCCGCGCAGCAAGTGTGCACCCCAAGCGTTGTCAGCACCTTTCTGAACCGTGTCACTCTCAATTACCCCTTCTTTGGTGTCGTGTTCTTCTGGGCCCAGTTCTTCTTCCTCGGTAAGATATCCAATCTCTTGAGTTCCCCGTTATATGCTTTGAATTGACATTTATCTTCTTTGTAGGAATCTACCTGGTGATCTTTGTTGCCTCTCTCTTCCGCTCGCCGAGATTGGACGAGAGACAGCTCGACGAGGATGCTGAAGAAGCCGAGGAAGAAGGTTTGCTGGCTAATACTGGCAGACGTTTCAATGCTACTTGGCAGGATATCACGGGTCGAGTTGGCCGAGACAGTGAAGATGGTCGTGCTCCTGAATGAGGACTTGTGTGCCCGAGATATTGATGGTTGAGCCCTGCGATGTGGGTCAAATTTTTTATGAGTTCCATTAGCGAAATTTCAGTGATATCAATGTTTATTAATCTTGTGCGCCATTATTATGATGTACCAACGCTAAGGATGTGACTGAATAAACGACAATTGGTGGCCCGATATTCTCCATAGCTCGTGCATTAGAAGACCTCGGGATATTTGGTAAGTGAAGCGAACCTCCACCCCATAGGGTGACATCATCTCATGGCTCAGGTTTTCAGCTGTTCATTTAGCAAGGCCAGAGCGCTCTGGAATGCTTTTACGACCTCGGTGTCTACCGCGACAGCTTGTCAGTCCTCAAGCCGGGAGAGTAGTATGGAGTTGGAACGTACAGTGTTGTTTCTTTTTTTTAACACTACTTTCGGAATTTTGCACATGCTGCATCTGTGTCTTGAACCTGCACAGCGTTAGAAGCGTTGCTCTTGAGCGACCTGCCTCGGGGGGGTTCATGCCGTTTCAGAGCCCGTTGTTCATCCTGTAACACAGTAGTCTGAGACCACGCTGTAAATATCTGAGTAAACAGGTGTCAGAGTAAAGTTATTCAAGTATACATCAAGTGGTCTTACCTCGAGCAGTTTTGCAGTCTCAATACGAAGATCCTCTTCAACGCGGCTGTGCTCGTCCATGGCATCCGCATATTTCTTCTGCAGCTGCTCCCAGTCACATTCTTCTAGTCCCTGCGTGAGGAGAGCGACAAGAGGGAATTCGGCATTGACAGGAGACTTGACAGGAGACTTGACAGGCTCGGGACTGGTTTCTTGAACCGCATCAGGAGCAAGGGGCTGAAGCGCCGCATGGTTTTGGTTATCCGTCGACTCCATCCAGTGTGACTGAGGTGCGATGGTCCAGAAAAATGGCAGGGGGCCACGAGGGAGGTGGCACCTGAAGGGGTCAAGTCATTTGTTCACGCGGCTGTTTTGATATACAAAAGATGGTTGGGTCCCGCGTCAGGTGACGACATACACCGGTGCCAACTCGACACCTCACGTTTAGCTCATCATCATCCTCCATGGTCCTCGGCGGTAGCTCAAGCAGCTTCCACCATGGAAATGCGGCCCTTGAAATCTCCTTGACTACCCACGATCCTCTGCGATGAGCTGTCACATATGCGCCTCCTCCCACTCCCGCCTGCCATTGCTCTGTCCAACATGCGCCCGCAATCTTCTTTACCGGCTGCGTCTGGAAAACACCCAGATACTTCTGGAGAAGGAAGCCCTAGGGCGCCAGGTTGAAGCTTCGCTTTCTTTTGATGGGTCCCACAAACAATCTGCAACGACTGAAGGGAACCGCCCAGATACCGATCATGAGAGCTCTCGACGCTGGGCCTTGCAGGCTATTTCCAGCCAACAAGCTACTTCGTCGGTTAGGAGAGAAGATATAAATCGGCATATCGAAGCCTTGAATGAGGATATCAGGGCCAAGAAGGCTCATATTTCAGAACGCAAGGCGACTCTGTCCCGCAGGCGTTCTGATGCGGATTCAGCGCAGTATCAGCTGGAGGAGCGGGAGGCCGCGACCTTGACAGGCATCCAGAACACAAGCAAAAGAACAGAGCATCTCTGGCATTCCTTGCACAGCAAGACAGCAGAAGCCCGAATTTTTCTATGTCGGGAGGCTGCTCATATTTACGGCCTACGGCAAAAGACGTCGAGGAGGAATGAGGCCGGGTTAGCCTACGTGCTGGGAGGAGTTTCCCTGGTAGACTTGAAGGACATGAATGGAAAGTCTTCTGTATCGCGCGCGCTCTCTGTCTTGATGTACTAACGTAATTACAGGTGCCACGCCAGCTCAGATATCTACGTCACTATCTAACATTGCTCGACTCCTTGTCCTCGTCTCGCATTACCTTTCCCTCAGGCTCCCCGCTGAAATTACTCTTCCACACAAAAACCATCCTATTCCCACAATATTTTCCCCCGCGGCATCGTACCAGTCGCATGAACTGCCAGATGGAGCCGTCGGCCCTCGGTCTGTGACATCCAGCCCAACGACATCCAAAACGAGAGATACGCGAGCTCAGCCGCGACCTAGGCCACTGCTTATTGACAAGCCTCTACCCCGGTTAGCCAAGGAAGACCCTGGAACCTATGCTCTCTTTCTCGAGGGAGCCACCCTCCTCGCTTGGGATGTCGCTTGGTTGTGCCGGACGCAAGGAATCAACCTAGCCTCGGACTCATGGGAAGACGCATGTAACATCGGCAAGAGCATGTGGCAGCTTCTGGTCGCTCCACCGGCCCAGACGTCCAATTTGATGCGCGCTTTTGCTGGCCGGGACACACAGGCCCGGATGAAGCCCACCAAAGACACTCCACAGACGACCATCCAGCGCACGAAGTCATTCCCTATGCTAGGCCACTACTCTCATGGCACTGCGCACTCTTTTCTCGGCGCATCCGAAGGAACTGAGTTTATACGATCATGGAAACTGCCGACCCCAACGAAGATTGCGGACAAATTGAAATCAAGTCTTCTTGGAGAGATGGCAAGCGCGGAATGGGAACTACTGGAAGAGAAGGAATGGGATGACGGCACTACAGAGCCCCATCTACCAGCGGTATCGACCGCGCACAATGAATCGAACACCCTCAACTCACCCGCCTCCCAAAACAAGCCAAGCGAGGACCTAGACACTCAAACATCTCCGCAGGTGTCAGATGAAGCTCGTCGGCCGAAAGGCACGAGTGGTTGGACGAAGCTGAACAGTAGATAGATATTAAACAGATAATCGAATAGTTTGGAAGATTTTCTTCCATCTTTATGTGCAATAATATACAAATACGATCTAAGGCTCCACAATATTCACCTAATATGAGGTATTCAGTGCTCTACTGCTCTCGTATCTTCACCCTAGAGGGTCATAGACTGAGGCAGTACCAAGTTAAGGGCTGCGGGCGCGGAGTTACTAAGCCGCCGATAAGGTTAAAGTGATATGCGTGGCCCGAGTCCCTCCGCTTCTCTGCAATGATACTATGCTCCCGGGATCGGGATCTCCTGGACGGTGTCAACTCTTTGAAAATCACAGGGTCATCATTACCCGAGGCCAATTTTGCGATCTGGTCTTGATAGCGGCGTCCTAAACCCCGTCGGCGTTGTGAATCAACCTCCGGGGAATGTGGCTGGAGCCTTCCAACATCTAATCTTCCCCCAATAAAAAAAAATGCAGGATGTCCAGGCATGGCGGACTGCAGGCGAGGGATCTCTCGGTTAGCAGCCCTGGAGACTGATACCTTTTTCAAGCCCCCGCTAAAACAACCCACAGACTTGAAGCGTGCTCTCTCTGTTATCTCGGAAATTCCCGAGTCTCTCCTGAGAGCCGAGCTCCTGCGACGGGATGGGACTCAATCCACGGAGTCGGCAGATGCACCAGCGTGTGGCTCGCGGGTGCGAGGTGCCTATAATACCCCTCTACATGTCATGGCTCTGTTCCTTATTCTGGGGCTTAGTACATTCGGTACGCGCCGCTTCCCCTGCCTCCTGACGCGAGCACAGATTGTTGACCGTCAATTCTTCAAACAGCATGTTCATTCCCAGTGCTTGCCCGCCGCTTCCCTCGTTTGCCCATTCCACGTCGCTTTCTCTTCATCTCTAGACATTTCGGGACCGGAGTCCTGATTGCGACGGCTTTCGTGCACCTGTTGCCGACAGCCTTCATTTCCTTAACCGATCCGTGTCTTCCTCGATTCTGGAGTCAGTCATATCGCGCAATGGCAGGATTTGTGGCCATGATCTCTGTCTTTGTCGTTGTTCTGGTGGAGATGTTTTTTGCCATGAAAGGTGCAGGGCATGTTCATGGGAATGACTATGATACTCTTATCGGCGATATGGGTCGCGAATCCATGGAAGCGTTTGGACAGGAACCTCCGAGTTACTCAAGGCTGGAATCTCGGGACGCATCGGGCAACATTCGCCTAGAAGGCCTACAGCAAAATGGCCAGGGAGAAGACACCGAAGCAGCTCCTGGTTCGTCACATGAATTTGAACGACCAAACCTGGCTAGGTCTCATCTAGATAAGGAAGAGGACGATACTGATATCGATGGACTCGATGCGTATGCCGATGACGTCCCAATCAACGGGCAGACGCATTCCTCTTCTGGTTCCCACCACCGTCAACGGCCGCCCATGAGTGGTCACTATCGAACGCATACCGAGTCCGATATACCGATGCAGAATCCGCAGCGCCAGCTTCTCCAGTGCCTTCTTTTGGAGGCCGGGATCCTTTTCCACAGTATTTTCATTGGCATGGCACTTAGTGTCGCTACCGGGACGTCTTTCGTTGTGCTCCTTATCGCCATCAGTTTTCACCAAACCTTCGAAGGGTTCGCTTTGGGGTCAAGAATAGCATCACTCATTCCTGATCTTTTTTCGCCCAACTCTGCCAAACCCTGGCTAATGTCACTGGCGTACGGAACGACGACACCTCTCGGCCAGGCCATCGGCCTTGTCTTGCACAATCTCTATGATCCTGCCAGCGCAACAGGCCTGCTCATGGTCGGTATTACCAACGCCATTAGCAGCGGTCTCTTGCTCTTCGCGGGTCTTGTTGAACTTCTCGCGGAGGACTTCTTGAGTGAATCCAGTTACGAGACTCTGAAAGGGAGGCGGCGTGTCGAGGCCTGTATATCCGTTGCATGTGGAGCCATTTTGATGGCGTTTGTTGGGGCGTTTGCTTAAAAAGACAGATGGCGATGGCTTGATTTCGTTGTCTTTTGCCCGGCTGTTCTACCTTAGTATCATAGACTCTTCACAAGCAATCTTTGTTGCAAAATCCAACATCATCCATCCAGTTACTGCTTGCAGAGCTCTCAGGTATGTAGCATGATTAATTCTCCGATTTCGGCGGATATATAAGATTGTTTCTGGTGTTTTCTCGAGCTCGCAGGCTGAAGAGTTAAAAATGTTGCTACAATATATTATATTGCTTCAAATTAGTGCATTTCAATATCTATTTCCAACAAAAGTTCAATTGGTATTTTTTCCACATGCAGATGGAAGTCATGTCATATCCGTACATCATTAAGAAAGCCGTTTAAAGAAGTGACTCAATCACCAGGGCGCTCGCGCCACCACCGCCATTGCAGATGCCGACGCAGCCGAGCTTGCCCTGCTTCGCCTTCAGAACACCGATCAAGGTGGACACAATACGGGCACCACTGGCACCCAGAGGGTGGCCGATGGCAACGGCACCACCGTGGATGTTGACCTTGTCCTCGGGGAGGCCGAGCAACTTCATGTTAGCAAGGGCCACCACGCTGAATGCCTCGTTGATCTCGAAGGCATCAATGGACTCCTGAGTCACGCCAGCGTGCTTGAGAGCCTTGGGAACGGCCAACGCGGGCGCAGTAGTGAACTTGTTGGGTTGCTGAGCAGCATCGCCCCAGCCCAGAATCTTCGCAATGGGCTTCAGGCCGAGCTCCTTCAGCTTAGCCTCCGAAACCAAGACAACTGCGGCAGCACCGTCATTCAACGGGGATGAGTTCGGGGCAGTCACCGTGCCGGTACCAGGGATGAAGGCGGGCTTCATGTTACGCAGCTTGTCGGGGTTGAGCTAAACACAAGGGAACGACTGTCAGCACACGATCAAACAATATCATCTGGATCAGCAACGAGCTTACGTTCTTGGGCTCATCATCCTGAGACACGGTCACGCCGGGCTTGCCACGGAAGCCGGGGATCTCAATGGGGGCAATCTCGTAGTCAAAGACACCGGCCTTCTGGGCAGCCTGGGCCTTCTCGTAGGTGCGGATAGCATAGTTATCCTGCTGCTCACGGTTGAACCCGTGGTCTTGGGCACACTCCTCCGCCTGGAAACCCATGAGCTCCTGCTTGCCATAGGCATCCTGAAGACCGTCCTTCATAATTCCATCCACCATGTTCTGGTTGCCGTACTTGGCACCGGTGCGGAGGCTGGGCAGGTAGTGGGGAGTGTTCGACATGGATTCCGTGCCACCGGCCACGACGACATCGGCGTTTCCGGTCATGATGGTCTGGGCACCGAGGATAATAGCCTTCAAGCCAGAGGCGCAGACCTTGTTGACGGTGGTGCAAACGGTGGAGTCCTGCAGACCAGCGCCAATGGCACATTGGCGCGCAGGGTTCTGACCAACGCTATCCAGGAAGTCAGCATCAACAGAAGCAATAATAACAGCTGGTTAATTCCGTTACTTACCCGGCGGACAGGACATTGCCGAAGAAGACCTCCTCGACATCGGAGGCATTGATACCCTCGGCACGCTCAACAGCCGCTAGATTTAGCCCGTTAGTGTTTGGTTAAAAAGATCGAAGCGGAATTGACCGGCATACCTTTGATAGCGTGGGAACCGAGCTGGGGGGCAGTCAGGCTGGACAGGGAGCTGAACCAAAAGTTAGCTTTTTTTGCTATAAATCATCGGGACTATGAGATAAATACCCAAGGAATGAGCCCACGGGCGTACGGGCAGTGGAGACAATGTAGACGGGAGGAAGAGAAGACATGGTTGCGATTGAATGCAATTGAATGTATCAGGAAAGAAGAAAAAGGGGGGAGGATCAAGATCAGAAGAAAGGGAGAGGGGCAGATCACTTTTATAGTGGGGAGTGAGGAGGTGTACGGTGTAGGCGCGAGTACTTGCAGACGCTCGGGCCAAGTGAAAGTTGCGAACCTCCAACTTTCTCCGGTGTCACGCCAGCACCGATTCGGGGTTCCTGTCTACTTTGCGCCGACCCCGTCCCACTGCTCCCAATTCATCATGGACGATCTTTACGACGAGTCAGCTCATTCCTCTTTCTTCTTACTTTTTTTCTCTGCTAATTAGGGGCTCAGGTTCGGTAACTACATCGGCGAGGCCGAGTCCGACGAGGAGCAACATGACCAGGTCCCACAAGCCTTCAAGTTTGATGAAGCCTTCGACGATGAGGAGGACGAGGAAGAGGTCAATGACCAGCAATTAATGGAGGTCGACGGTAATTTTTTGCGCTCCCCCTCCTAGAAATTCCCTCCGAGCCGCCTACTGATCCACGTCTCGCGCAGAAGGACCTTCCAATGCTGTCGTTTTGCACGAGGACAAGCAATATTATCCCAGCGCACAGCAAGTCTACGGTGCCGACGTCGAGACTCTAGTCCAGGAGGAAGATGCGCAACCGCTGTCCGAACCGATCATCGCTCCCGTCCAGCAGAAGAAATTTGCGATCGCGGAAACGGAGCTCCCACCCGTGTATTTTTCCCGAGAATTCATGACAGATCTGCTCAACTTTCCGGAGCAAATAAGGAATGTAGCTGTTGTGGGTCATTTGCACCATGGAAAAACCGCATTCATGGATATGCTTGTGAGACAGACACATGACCTGACGAAGCGTCTCGAGAAGCGAATGGGCAAGCGCAGGGAAGAACAGCTGCGGTATACTGATGTTCATTTTCTGGAGCGAGAGCGAGGCCTCTCGGTCAAGTCGGCGCCAATGAGCTTGGTTCTTCAGGGGACCAAGGGCAAATCCCACCTGGTCAACATCCTCGATACACCCGGACATGTGAACTTTGTGGACGAGGTGGCTGCATCAGTCCGGCTGGCTGATGGCGTCGTCCTAGTAGTGGATGTTGTGGAGGGTGTTCAGGCCAACACCGAGCAGATCATCAAGCATGCAGTTTTGGAGGATATGCCCTTGACTCTTGTCGTGAACAAGATGGACCGGCTCATCCTGGAGCTCAAGCTGCCACCCAACGACGCCTATTTCAAGTTAAAACATGTGATTGAAGAGGTCAACACGGTCATTGAGAACGTTTTGCCTGGCCAGGGCGAGCGACGTCGCCTTAGCCCCGAGAAGGGAAATGTCGCGTTTGCGTCAAGCTCCATGAACTGGTGTTTTACATTGCAGTCCTTCGCTCGGATGTATGCAGACACTTATCCGCGACTCGACTCGACCGAGTTTGCGGCACGCCTCTGGGGAGACATTTTCTATAACCCCCGAAGCCGGAAATTCACTCGCAAGGGCGTGGAAGAAAACTCTAAGCGAGCATTCGTGAAATTTGTGCTCGAACCAATCTACAAACTTTATTCTCACACGATCAGTGAGAGTCCCGAAGATTTAAAAGAGACGCTGGCAAGTGTGGGTGTCAGCTTGAAGCCGTCGCAATTGAAGACGGATGCAAAGGAGCTGCTGAACCTTGTTTGCGAGCAGTTCTTTGGCCCACCTGCTGGGTTTGTCGATATGATTGTTCAGCACGTTCCTTCTCCGATCGAGGGTGCTCAGAGAGCATTGGAGAGGTACTACACCGGTCCGTTGGATACCAAGGTTGCAGAATCCATGACCACCTGTAATCAGGATGGCCCCTTGGTGGTCCATGTCACCAAGCTTTTCAGCAGCACCGACGCTACTGGTTTCTACTCCTTTGGAAGAATCATGAGTGGCACCGCTCGGCCCGGCCAGCAAGTTCGCGTTCTCGGGGAAGGCTACACTCCCGAGGATGAGGAGGATATGGTCGTCGCGACAATTTCAGACACATGGATCGCGGAGACCTGTTATAATATCTCCACGGACGGGGTTCCCGCCGGTAACTGGGTCCTCTTGGGTGGTGTGGACAATTCGATCGTCAAGACAGCCACCCTGGTGCCTCTCAAACTAGAGGATGATGAAGAGGCGCATATCTTCAGGCCCATTCGACACATGACTGAATCGGTCTTCAAGGTTGCGGTGGAGCCGGTCAATCCATCCGAGCTGCCCAAGATGCTGGACGGTCTCCGCAAGATCAACAAGAGCTATCCCCTGATCTCCACCAAGGTCGAGGAGTCCGGTGAACACGTTGTCTTGGGCACGGGAGAACTCTACATGGACTGTGTCCTGCATGACCTGCGACGACTGTACTCCGAGATGGAAACCAAGGTCTCGGACCCGGTCACTCGCTTCTGTGAGACGGTGGTCGAGACATCGGCTATCATGTGTTACTCGATCACGCCAAACAAGAAAAACAAGATCACCATGATCGCGGAGCCGTTGGATGATGGGATTGCGGAGGATATTGAAAGCGGCAGAGTCAGCATCAAAGACCCTATTCGGAAGGTTGCTCGTTATTTTGAGGATAACTACGACTGGGACAAGTTGGCCGCCCGCAGCATCTGGGCCTTTGGACCGGATGAGATGGGGCCCAACATTCTGCAAGACGACACGTTACCGTCGCAGGTGGATAAGAAGCTCCTCGGAACCGTGCGGGATTCGATTACCCAGGGATTCAGTTGGGGTACAAGAGAAGGGCCCCTTTGTGAAGAACGTGAGTACTACCCACCCCCAATACGTTCGGCCCGATGTGCCTAGACTAACATGATTCTCAGCGATTCGGAACACTAAGTTCAGGCTCACCGATGTCTCCCTCGCCGACCAGGCAATCTATCGCGGAGGTGGCCAGATCATTCCAACCGCTCGTCGTGCCCTGTACTCCTCCTTCCTTATGGCTTCCCCCCGTCTTATGGAGCCCATCTACTCCTGCACGATGACCGGGCCTGCCGATGCCGTTGCTTCAGTATACACCGTCCTGTCCCGCCGACGAGGTCACGTCCTGTCCGACGGACCAATTGCCGGTACTCCGCTCTACTCCGTGCGTGGGTTGATCCCGGTGATCGACTCGTTCGGTTTCGAGACGGATCTTCGCATTCACACACAGGGCCAGGCCATGGTCAGTCTGGCGTTCGACAAGTGGAGCGTGGTCCCCGGTGACCCGTTGGACCGAGATGTCAAATTGAAACCGTTGGAGATGGCGGGTGCCATGGCCACGGCGCGAGACTTCGTATTGAAGACAAGAAGACGGAAGGGCTTGGCAGAGGATGTGACGGTGAGCAAGTTCCTCGAGCCGGAGCTGTGGAAGGGACTAAAGGAAAGTGGCGTTTTGGACTCATGATATTCCCACGAAGGAAGAAAGCCAAACGAGAGAAAGAAAGAGAAAGAGAATAAAACTAGGAAGGTATTCGTGGTGCTACGGAGTCTTCGATCAATTTTTGGCATTCATGGGTCCATGTAATTCTAATGCTCTCAATAAAGTACAAGTCATGTCCGTGGGTTATATCGGTATCGTAAGCCGGTTCGTAAGGTATCAATCAACAAGCGGCGTGCTCCGGAAAATGGCATCCGCCGGTGGTACATTCGCCAGATCCGTGTTCACTGGCACGTCTCCATCATTTTGGCGATGACCTGCATCAGCGCGCCGTTCTCCAGGGCGGCGGCTACCCGCTCTTTATCTCCCAACTGCTTGTTGACCTCGTCGCCAGTGCTATGTGTTCCCTCCTTGATGCGCACGTCAACCCGGAAGCGCGGGGGAAGGGATTGCTCCAGTCGCACCCGGACACCGAGTCCTATCACCGTTGCCAAACTGCAATGAGTGATAGTTGGAGTGATGAGAACGGTCACGGTCTGGAGAGGGGAGTCGGGGACGTTGGGAAGAGTGGGTTTGATGAAGATGTCGGGCAATGAGACCACAGCCAATTCACCTAGCGAGAGGGGATGTTCGGGATCTGAAATGCATTTGATCAAGTCTATCGAAAGAGTTAGGGAAGAAGAGAAAGGTAGGCCGGTGGTAGGGAACGATCTTACCGTAGATCTCCTGCTCGTCGATGGGCTCTTCGAGCAGATCGTCGTCCTCCGAGTCCGAGGAGAGAAAATCCGCCGGGTTAGGGACGGCGGCGAATATGCCGTTCCCGTAATCTGCGGCTTTGATGGTGGATGGAGATCTGGTGGGGAGATCGGCCACGTTGAGGATCGTGGGGTTCGAATTTTGCATTTCCGCCATGGTGAGTATATCGGATCCCAGGATGTACGTCTACACAAGGTAGAGGGAATGAGGGTTAGAGGGGCAACGACAAAGTCGAGCGATAAGATCTTATCGGTTCACGTGCCTTCGGGCGATCGTCGGCTGTTCTCCCCCCGAGAATCTTTTATTCCTTGACTTTTCTATAGCATCCCCGCCGTTCCGCGGCTCTGGGATAGTTGAGAGAAGACCGGGACATGTTCCCTTCCCCTGAACGCATAAGCATAAACCTGCCGGTGCGCCCTACTCCACCGGTCTTGTACTGTGACCATGGCGGTTCCAGTTCGTGGACTTGCATGGTCTCCCAGTCCCACTCTGTTCCTGGAGGTTTCATTGCCACGAGGGCACCAATCTAATCGTCTCTGCCCAACACGACGAGGAGCCCGAGTTTCATCTTGAAGTACGCTCACCCTGAGGAACTCCGATCTGTGATCTGATGGTCATGCACACACACACACAGAGAGAGAAGAGAGAGAGAGTGAAGAAATTCTACTTCTATTGTTCCTCTCCTTTTTACCCACTCGTCTCTCTCGAATATGCAGAAGCGGTCCCGAACGAAAACAAAGGGAACAAAGAGAGACCGGATAAATCGCGGGTAGTTGTGTGGAGACGGGGATCATGGACCACGACGGGCATCTCCCGGAGCACTAGTTTATATGCTTTTCTTCCTCGGCACCCAGGAGATACCAGATTACCGTGAGATGCCGCAGTAGATTAATATTAATTTATCCAAAAAGACCGATCTTCGAGACTCGTGTCTACATTACGCTGTTAAATTCGGGAGAAGAGACGAGGATCCGGATCGCCGCCCTTTCTCCTCCACTCGGAGAATCCACCACCGCGCTATTGGATGCTCATCACCAACCTTGGCACACCCCTCTCACGTTCCTCCCTAATCCGAAAGGTAACACCCCCCTCTGATGTCTCCACTGAATCCTTGAACCTCCACGATGCTTCAGCCTTTTCTTTCCGATGGGCATAATTCCCGGCTGACTAATTGTATGCTCGCTCCTGCGATCGCATTGACTCGGCTGCTAACTCGTCGCAGACCTCTGAAAGAACCGCGCCACACAATCGCCCCGGCCAATATCTTCCTTGAGCGGACTCGAACTGGCTGGTGGCTTGTCGCAGCATTCCGCCCTTGAATATCCTCCGATACCTCCCGTTTCTGGGCCTTGCGCGGGCCATCTTTTGCCACCCCGCAACGTCGCCTGGACCGCGGTGCTGAGCTTCGGGGCTCACGACATCTCAGCGAACGACGCAGCCTCGGGTACAAGCGCGGCCTCGCTTTGTGTGTTGCTCTCATCGATTCTATCCCAGGGCAGGTCCTTGCGGATACACTGCCTCGGTCGGCTCCTCCCACTGTGCCATCGCGCGACATGCAAGGCTATTCATTTGCGCCCCCATCGGGGCCTCCCCGTGAGGGTCAAAAAAGTGCGGTCGCCTGTTTTCCCCCTCCGCATCGATGCAAGTTCGGAATGGCTGCTGACCGCAGAAACGTCTAGACTACGTCTTCGTCGACGAACATAATCGACACAAGAGACTAAAGGGTAAGCGAGGCTCAGTGGCGCAAGGCATGAATTCCATTCTAATAGATGACAGTAATGCGGGCTTGCAATGGCTGTCGGAAGAGAAAGATCAAGTGTGATGCAGCCACAACCAATACATGGCCTTGCTCCGCATGCACGCGCCTCAAACTCGTCTGTGTTCCCCCAACTATCGGACAGGACGGGGACTTTGGTCCGGACTCCCAAGGCATTGAACTCGATGCTTCAGATCCTCCCGGTGTCCCCGAAGGTTCTCACCATGCATTTCCGGTGCCCCCGGCCTATCGAGATGGCAACCAGACCACCATGGGATCTATGCCTCCCTACAACGGAATGGGCATGTATCCCCAATTTGTTCCGGCTCCCCCAAGTCAAACCGGGATATATAATGACTTGAGGTCGCCTCCGATGGTCATGCAACACCAGTCATATCAACAAACCCCAATGTTTGCTGGGGCACAACCATCTTCTCTAGGAACTGACCGCGGGGTGTTTGTCGAGAATGATGCTTCGACTGCGGAAAACCTCAGCGACGTTCTTGGAGAGCTGAAAATTGACGAGACGGGCATCGGTATGGCTTGATTTCCTGAGAACGTGTTGGATTCGAATCGCTGATAGTCTTTTCCTAGCCCCATATATCAGGAGGCAAAGAACAGACCGCATAGAGCCCGATGCGCCTGTTCAAGACGACGTCGAGGAAAGACTCCCACCCCTTAGTACAGGCGCGGGTGCGACAATTCGGATTCCTCCCGAACTAATGCCCGAAGACGACGACGTGATGAATTACTTCCAAATATACTTCAATGAGATACACCCCTATGTGCCCGTTATACCGCGGGCCCATCTATACTACCAATGGCAGAACGATCGAAGCTCCATCTCCCCACTTCTTCTCGAGGCCTTGTTTGCATGCGCCGGGCGATTATCTGACGAGCCTTCAGAAGGTGCTCAGTGGTTAGCACTTGCAAACAGTGAGTCCGACCCTGGTTTTTGGGCGAGAAGATTGTATTCGCTGACCAGTATCTACCAGGGCACGAGACTAGCTTTATGGATGTCCCCCGATTAAGTACCATTCAAGCTCTTCTTCTCTTACTCAAAGCCAGAGAGTCTTTGCCGAAAAAGGGCTATTACTATCGGTCCTGGCAGACCGTCAAGACCATTGTCTCGATGGCCAAGGATCTGGACATTCATGAGCACTACAGTACCCATGCCGAAGGGAGACCGTGTGATTTGAGCCCGATTGAATGCCTCGTGCACACCCGAGTATGGCAGGCCCTTTTGGTGGTAGAGGTGATGATCGGGGCACCTCAAGGTGAGTCGCAGCGCTATTTTTCGATGATTTCTTTTCGGTCTACAATCTAACCTCACTCTAGGCCGCTCCGACTATGGCGTAGACCCTGAAACTGTTGACATGCGTCCGACCTTGGACATCAGGGGTCTCGATCAGTACGAGACAGAACGTTCTCGGCAGTATGCCTACTTCGTTCGAAACGCACACCATATCCGCCTCATTACAGACATCTATCATAAGGTCAAGAAACAGAAGGATTGGGGAGCCAATCCTCAATTTGTGCAGAATAATCCACTTTTTGCAGATTGGCTTCGCAACCTGCCGGTCGACCTGCAGGTCAACTACCCGACTGACGGCTCTCCTCCATGGATCCCTTCCCATTTCGTGGGCAACATGCATTCTCACTGTCATCTTGCAATCATCCTCCTGCACCGTCCGCAGCTTTTGGCCTCTCAATCCTTCGCAGCGGGGGGCGAATGGAGAGTTCACTTCTCCCTGTGCTATTCCTCGGCAAAGAATATTTGCCGGCTACAGGAAGCAATCCTCGAAAGATTCGGGCTGCCCGGTCTTCTTTTCATGCAACGGGGAATCAATTTCGCCATTTATTGTATCCTCACCTGCACTATGCTTCATTTGGTAAGTGACGCAAAGACTTTTGTCCGCCAGTAGAAAAGGAGAGCTCACTCTGACACTAAATGTGCAGGTTGCAATTACTTCTCCAGATCCCGAATTTAACTCCGATGCTCGCGACTATTTTACTCGCCACATGCGCATCCTAGAGCGATGCTCTACAGCCTGGCCCATGCCCGAGATCCAGGCACAGATCGATTCATTGAGGCTAGCTTTCTCCGCTGATACCAGCCGTCGTTTTGAGCTGAAACCGAGTTTCCCATATGGGAGTCCCTCGGAGCCCTACCAGCCCAGTCCGCCCATGGATGCACATTATCATCCACACCTGAATCAAGTGTCAAACAATGTCCAGTCCAGAGTGGGTTTCAACGCGCATCCAATTACTCCTCCGATTTCCACTGGTGCTGAAGACTCGAAGTCCGACACATCCTCTCAGTTGCAATCCCTTGGCATGGTGCCCCATCAACCACCTACCACCCACCCTCTGGACGCTCCATTGGTTGATGAAAGCAGTTGGGACCCGACCCGCATTATCAAGTATGTGACAGACGCTACGGAATCCTCCGGACTCGCTGACCCTATTTCTCCCCCGCACAGTCAATGGGACATGGCATTCTCCGTGAACCCCTCTACTGTCTCCGCCAATTCGCCCCCGATGCCGATGAACAACACCCCACAACCCATGTCGAACATGGTGAATCATCAGTACCCAATTCAATACGAGTCTCCCTCCAAGGTGACGGTCCCGCCGACCCAATCTGTATCACCACCACAGTTCCAGACGCCACAAGTCGTGTTTAGTGCTCGAGATTGGCAGCAGAGTGTGGCGAGTGTGTATGATCCACAGGGGTTGAAACGACGATGGAACTACTCAGTGGACCTCGGTTCTGACAACGTTGTCAAGCGACAACGATGATGAGGCTGACCGACAGTCTTCTGAGCGACCCCCAATCATCCTTTCACCTTCTCTCTACTCCTATTCCACTGTACTACTCACAGTCACGACATTGGGGGATCCCATTTTGTCCCGTACCTTCGTTCATGCTCTCGATTCCCCAGCTTATTCTCATGTCTGTTTCTTCTTATTCTCATGTCTTGCACCACGGGGTATCATGCACGGCGTGATTAAACTACAACAAAGAAACGAGGGCAGCTTCATCGTGGGATAACTAAAAGGAAGATTGGATTCACGAATCCTCTTGTACATCAAATCAAGTTTTGGTTTTAAATGGCTCTCTTGGAATAGATGGGATCTAGAGTTGACGTATGAGGCTCATTTATAGCTTCAAGATACCCACACTAAGCATAGATATCCAAAGCAAGAAGATTTAAGCAAACGAGAGCCCATGATGCACCATTATCACTCCGGTCCTAATTGACCTCAAACTCAAAATGGGCTCTTCGGGTCGCAAGAGATGTAGAAAGAACTCTTCAGCCCAGTTGCGAGACTCAGCCGACACAATTCCGTGATATTATTGAATTGCTGGCCACGTGAAGCTCTCCGAAGGGGTTGAAATAAAGAAAGTGTCGGGTTTGACTTGGGCCCCGGTTCAGAATCGGGGTGTTGATGAATGACCCAAAGTACACACAGCACATTGTCTGTTCAACCACGGCGACCGAGGCCAATTCTCTCCTCGCGGGATCGAACTATCCGCGCCTTGTCGCCAGGAAGAGGTTTCAATTCATCGCTCGGATCGAAGTTGACATTGGAGCTGCTCTTCCCTTGTTCTGGGCGTTTGTTTTCCTCGAGCTTACGCAGCCGCGATTCTTCAAAGGCTGCAATATCTTCGGATGTGATCGTGATTGCTGTAGGCTTTCGACGGAGCATGATGAGGACGATGAATGAGCAGCAGAGCAGTCGAGGGCAGAGGCATGGAAGTTCCCCCGGGTCACGTGAGCAGGTCACAGTCTTCCCAAAAAGTTGCGCTCCCGCGATTCAGCCTTCCACTGCATCCTCGAGCGCAAGATGATTCGACCACAGCTCAGGCAGATTGCACTGCATGGGGATCGTGCCCGATTGGGTCTGTCTACCGCTGTTCGTCACTTTTCTGTCTCGCGAGCAGTCGCTGCGGAAGGTCAGGGCAAACCATCCCGTATGTTACCCATGTCCTTTTGACTCCACTCATGAGAACCCCCCAACTACTGGTATAGACGGCCTGTGTGGCCTTCAGCTCTTTCTGACTTTAGTCATACCACAGGTCAAAATGATCCAAGCCGAAGCCCGGCAACTTCACCCTCTCGTGGCCCTCGAACATCGACGAAGCCCTCAACACCAGGTCCGCAAAACCGAGGCCGCCCTGCCAAGGTCATTGATGCCAGATCGTTTGCCGCACCGCGGGCCGGTGGTGACTCCCCCAAGATCATTCGCAATCCCAGACTGCGAAACATGCGAAGCGGCAACCAGCCGCCGGGTCGCAAGTCCAAACCTGCGGCCTCGAAAGCAGCCGCAAAAGGTCGAAAGCAACCTCGGTCTCGAGGCCCAAAGAAATTCGAGGCGGATGAGGGTGAGGATATCCGTGCAGCGGAGATCCAACAGATTGAGCGGGAGCAAGCAGCTAAGGCTCGCCCGACCCCGGTCCGGTACGAGCCGCGGGAGATGGACTTTTCCACTCTGAAGGAGACTTGGCCCTCACTTCCCACGGATACCAATGCTCGATCAGCTGCGGTCCTCGAGAAGCTCTCCACCTTGAGTGGTCGCTTCCCGAATGGATACGTCCCACCCTACGAGCTGGGAAGGCGGATCTGGAAAGGCCAGAGCGTTCTGTTTGACAATGAGGCTGAAAAGGCCGAAGCCATGGAAGAAGTCAAGCGACTGGCTCAGCTCCGAGCAGACAAAATGTCCCAGCGAAAAGGAGACCTCGTAGAGCCTCGCGATGTCAAATTCCGCGCCGTCAATGCCGAGGACACGAAGACACTGATTGAGACATTCGCCCAGGGAAAATACCCCACGCTTGAAGCCCGCAAGGACCAGCCGGCCGTCCTTGGCGAGGTTATCAGGAATCTCCGAAACAACGGGACTTACCAGACGGCTGGCAAGCGGCCCCAATTCCTGGCCAAAGTCGATTCTCTTGTCTCCTCGAATCGCGTGAAGCGCACTTGAACGACGGTCTGTATAATATGGGGTCTTGCGGTTCGGCTCATTTCTCTTTTCCGGGCGCCTTGTTTTCATTCACCCGTGCCCATGTTTGTTCATGGGCCTAAGTCCTGTACCTAGATTACAATGTAACTATGACTGTACTACTACAGAATGGCACTTTCATGCCTGCTCCAGAGTCTTTCTTGCGGCCTCGAACAAGTCCTTGACATCTTTCTGGCCTTTATCCGTAGCCTTCTCCATCTGATCGTGCGCCTTGCGCACATCATCCGGACGCGCCAGCTTTTTCTTCTGCATCTCTTGTAGTCGCTTGTGCAGAGCCGCTCTGGAGTCACGGACGGAGCTTGCAGCCTTTTCGAAGGCCTGCTTGGCAGCTTGAACGTTTTGGTCCCGGGACTCCTTTGTCGGTGGGGGGATCGGGATGTTCAGTTGAAGAGGGTTATGGGCGTCCGGTTGTGGAGTTAAAGACAAGTTCGAAGATACAATCGCCGAGGTAAGCGGTTTGATATGCTATGTAAGAAAGTTTGGGGTTAGAAAGCAGAACGCAGACGTTGCGAGAGCTCATGGGAGCCAACTCACCTCCTCTTCGGCCGCCAGAATGGTTACCATCCGCCCTCCTTTAGGTACGACCTGAGCCAGGTCCCCCAGCTTGACCGAGTCCTGAATATCCCTGCTCAGTTGGACCTTCAAACTCTCAAGGGCCGCGGTGTTGAATCGCCCTCCGGCGCGAAGCTTCGACAGGTCGTCTTTTAAGCGAGAAACGGCGGTCGCTATGCCGGTTTGCAATCGGGACAGATCAAAAGGATCCTCGGATGCCGCGGCAGGGCTGGAGATCGGATCGGGAGTGGGAGCGTTTTTCGTCTTGTCCTTCTTTTTGTACCAGACAGGGGAATTGACAAATGTCCGGGCTTGCAGGAGAGCCGGTGGATGAGCAAGCGGCAGACACAAAAGTCGAGAAGCCCGAGAATAAGGCATCCGAGAAAGAACGCGTGGTAGTTGAGCTGTGATGCGCTGCATGGTGTGGGGGGTTGGTGAGAGGAGGAAAATTTGCGGAGTCGGGAGGTCGGAAGATATTACTACGGCTAAACCAGGTAGCCAACAATTGAAGCAGGAGGTTACTTATACGTCAGAGAACAGGATATAACGGAGGTCGTCACACATTAAATTTGCAACGTCGATCTTCGTCTACACAAGGCATACTTTTTGGAAACAAAGTAGAAAACGTAAAGGAAAAAGGAAAAAAGGAATACTGCGCCCAAGTTGCCCGGCTTCAAACACATAAGCGTGGACCAACGCTGCCCCGAGAAAATCTATATGGGCGCAGGCTTGAAACCAACATATCCGATGGGAGTCGTCGTCCTATGTTCATCTCTTCGTTTAGCGGGTGGCCATGGCCTTGGTGATCAGGCGCTTAAGAGCCAGCTCCTTCTTCTTCAGGTCCTCGGGGGTCGAGTCCTCGATCTCCAGCTGAGCCATGGCGTCGCTAAGAGCAGACTCGATCTTCTCCTTGTTGCCGCGCTTGAGCTTCATCGACATGCCGGGGTCAGAGATGATCTCCTCAACACGAGAGATGTAAGACTCGAGCTGCTGGCGGGACTCGAACTTCTTGGTGAAAGCCTCGTCGCTGGACTTGAACTTGGCGGCATCTGCGAGACGGGTTAGCATGCTACCGGTGGGCATCACACAGAAGTTGGGAACTTACCCTCAACCATCTGCTCGATCTCACCGCTGGAGAGCTTGCCGACGGCGTTAGAGATGGTGATGTTGGCAGTGCGGCCGGAAGACTTCTCGGTGGCGGTGACCTTCAGGATACCGTTGACGTCGACCTCGAAGACACACTCCAGAGCGGCCTCACCGGCGCGCATGGGGGGGATGGGAGCCAGAGTGAACTCGCCAAGGGAGGTGTTGTCAGCGCAGTTGGTACGCTCACCCTGGAAGACGGGGAACTGGACGGTGGTCTGGTTGTCAACGACGGTGGTGAAGGTGCGCTTCTTAATGGTGGGGACGGTCTGGCCACGGTTGACGACCGGGGCGAAAATGTTGCCCTCCATGGCGACACCGAGCGAGAGAGGGACGACATCAAGGAGAAGCAGGTCCGCGGTCTCGGCGGAGGTAGCCTTGCCGGAGAGGATACCGGCCTGGACGGCAGCACCGTAGGCAACGGCCTCATCGGGGTTGATGCTCTGGATAAACAGATTAGCCGCTACACAGAATTGATTATAGTACCCTCTCAAGGATACAAACAGGGATATCTTACCTTCTCAAGCTTCTTGCCATCGAAGAAGTCGCTAAGCAGCTTCTGGATGCGGGGAATACGGGTGGAACCACCGACCAGGACAATCTCATCGACCTTGCTCTTCTCCATGCCGGAGTCCTTCAGAACCTGCTGGACGGGCTCGAGAGTGCCAGAGAATGACTTGGCGTTCAGGTCCTCGAAACGCGCACGGGTGATGGAGGAGTTGAAGTCCTCACCATCGAAGAGAGAATCGATCTCAACGGTAGTCTGGGTGGCGTTGGACAGAGTACGCTTAGCACGCTCGCAAGCAGTACGCAGGCGACGGAGAGCGCGGGCATCACCGGAGAGGTCCTTGCCGGTCTTGCGCTGGAACTCCTTCTTAAAGAAGTCGAGCAGGTTGGTGTCGAAGTCCTGACCACCAAGGTGAGTGTCACCAGCGGTAGCCTTGACGGTGAAGACACCACCCTGGATGTTCAGCAGGGAAACATCGAAGGTACCACCACCCAGATCGTAGATCAGGACATTGCGCTCCTTCTCAGTCTTGCCGGAGCCAAGACCGTAGGCGATGGCAGCAGCGGTAGGCTCGTTGATGATACGGAGGACGTTCAGACCAGCGATGGCACCGGCATCCTTAGTAGCCTGACGCTGGTTGTCGTTGAAGTAGGCGGGCACAGTGATAACAGCCTTCTCGACGGTCTTGCCGAGCTTGGTCTCGGCAACCTCCTTCATCTGTTCTCGGTTGTCAACATTTGAAATTCCTGCACCCAAGCATTTTCAACGTACCTTCATGAGGACCATGGAGGAGATCTCCTGGGGAGTGAAGGTCTTGTTCTCACCGAGGTACTCAACCTGGACGGCGGGGCTGCCACCCTGGTCGACAACCTTGAAGGGCCAGGACTCGACATCCTTCTTCACGATGGGGTCGTCGGAGCGGCGACCGATCAGACGCCTTTTTGTAAAGTCGAGTCAGAAACAGAAATAGTGTAATAATTGGTGTTGCCAAAACTCACTTGATGTCGAAGACAGTGTTTCTCGGGTTCATAGCGGCCTGGTTCTTAGCGGCCTCACCGATCAGACGCTCCTTGTCGGTGAAGGAGACGAAAGAGGGGGTGGTGTAGCTACCCTGGTCGTTGGCGACTGAACGCTTGGTCAGTATATACGGAACGGAGGAATTTAGGCTCAGGGAACGCACTGATCTCGACATTGGTGCCCTCATAGTTGGCAACGCAAGAGTAGGTGGTGCCTGGATGTCAAAGGAGTCAGCTCAGTGGCATGTATGGTAGTTTGACAGAGATGCCTACCAAGATCGATACCGATCGCCCCGTCGTACACCGGAAGGTCCGCCATTGTGATATTGGGTGGGTGGTAATTGAAGAGTGGGAAAGGTGGGAAAGGGAAAGCAGAGGGGGACCTGGATAAAAATGAGTTCTCGGAGAACTTGAAGAAACTTACACGATGACTCAGCCACACACGAATTTTTTTTATAAACGCTCTGCCACACATTGAAAGGAAGAAAATTTTGCGGGAGCGGTGAGTCACGTGGGAAGTCGCGAGGTCCCACTTTGGAGGTTTATTTCGATTTTCGTAGTACAAAACAAAATACACATTGTGAATTGACGGACCAAGAAGAATCAAACAAGAGGCAAATAATATAGAAATCGGCAATATGCAGTGTCCCCGTGGATTCGATACTCAATTGTCGCTTCTCTACAGGTGTGATATTTCCGGCATGTCCCCTCGATCACCGCAACAAATTGAAGAAGACTGTCACCCGCTCGTAGTCAACATCGGAACCTGGAGGTCCAGATTTGGGGACTCCCCGGGCCGGTCCAGAAATGGCTTCTAGATCGACTTTCGTTGTGCCTGGATCGAGTTGGATGTCGTACGCCAGCGCAGATGCATCACCGGACGGGTGCAGTCGTTGCATGCCTATTAGGGCGACAATCTTCACTTGCCGCTGGGCCGTCCCAGCGGCCAAGGTGGGCCTCACTCTCAGCAAATTGCACGATGAGGGAAGGCTAACAGTGATGGTCTGCTGGGAAAGGGTAGAAGACGGAGGAATATCCAGGCACAAATCGTGTTGTAGAGACAGAGAAGGGTGGGTGCGGATTTGAACGTTGCGAATCAAGGCAGAATTAGCATCTGCAGCACAATTAGCTAACTTCTGTCTTGTGGTTCTTCTGGTTCGAACTCAATGTTCAGAACTTGGGGGTGGGGCTCCAACCTTCACCTGGCCGCCTCCAAAGAGAATCCAATGGTGATGGTTCGTGGGATTGTTGAAACGGTGCTGAAGGTGAGTAAAGAGTCAACGTAGGCGCGAGACAATGGAAACGCGGTGGGTAACCGCTAAGTCGATTCCTTACCGTCGTAGGAGGATATGCCGCCGGCCGAGTCTAGGTGAGCCTCGTGAAGGCCATGGGAAGAATGTGTCTCGGGATTTTGGGATTGTGCCAACGAAGTCTCGTCTTTAATCGGACCAGTCGGATCCCGTCCGTGGATGGGCACACTGTGCAGTTGCTCCGAAGCGGATGGCGTCGTCGCGGCACTTGATTTGGGACTTTCCATATGTCGTCGAAGTGACCTTGTTCGAGGAGACATTTGGGGCACATCGACGTCTTGGCTTGCCGAGCCGGCTCTGACAAGGTCTTGTTGACGTTTCAAAGATTCGTTATCAACTGTGACACCGGACCGCGGACCGTCATCCTTGGAAGGTGTTTCGGAGGTCTGCCCACGCATCTTCAGTGTTAACTTTGACGCTGCCGGTTCCGGATTCCTCGCCCCCATTTTTAACTTGATGCGAGGCGTTTCGGTTTCGGGATGGTCATCTACCTGAATAGGATTTGGAACGTGTTTTTTGGCTTCTGCCACCCGTCGATTAAAATGTTGCTGGTTTGGAGTTAGCGTGAAGGGAGTATGCGTTGCTCAGACAAGGACTTGCCTCCAGGACGCCTGCGAGAACCGAGATCTCGCTACCATCCTCATTGTATTCTCTCGCATTTCGCCAGATATAGCTGACTTCTTCTTCGAAGGATTGCCACGTGGGGTATGCAGTCACTTTCGAGGACTTCTTGCGGCTATCGGTGCCGCGAACTTTCTTCTGAATACTCCGCAGCGACACTGGGTGCTGGATGATTTCATAATAATCTCGGTAGAGGTTGCGGTCGGGCTTGCCGATGAATGGATAGGCCACTTCATCGCCACTTGGACTCTGTCAGTCATCATGCACAGCCTGCCGTTCTGCATTACTCACTCCGCATCCTTCAACCGGGCCAACTCCGACATGATCTTGTCCTGTGCCGTTTGAAGGCTATCGCCCTCAAAGTTGGCTTCGGTTTCTTCCTCTCCCTGAGACCTGGAGCTCCCGTCGGCTTCATCCTCATCCGCCGGATGGGATGATGCACGTTTTGGTTCTTCGACGTTCACGAGGTCATCATCCTAATAGATAGCCAAGCGCGTTAGCGATGTGAGCCAATATAGAGTGCAAACGAATTATGTCCAGGGTCGCGCAGAGCGCTGCGCAGTAATAGGCTGACGGATTTGATTGACCCAAACCGACTGCGTTCTGTGCATGGCGGGTAGTTCCATCATGTACGTCGGGATTCGGGGTGCAAGAACGCGACGACTTACAGTCACTTTGCGGCGCTTCCCGCGGGTCCTCATTTCTGGTGAGGCCGCAACCGCCACGCGCCGTTTGGTACTCATTTCAAATTATGCGCGAGTTCGACTTGGAAATGCAATTGAGGGCAGGACAGGAAGGACGGGGAGTTCATACCTCGACGTGCGCAGACGCGCGCTGCGATCGTCCAAAGTGGGGACCCGCCGCCTTAGGTAAGTATTTGGGGAGGTCCGGTCATTGTATTACCGTAATATATAATATCGGTTAACGGAAGACCGCTTTATTCGTTGAATACGGAAATAGAACGATACAAGATGGTTACGCAGTGGTAAACCACCCTTGGCCCGCTCTCCAAAACCATCGACAAAACAGAGAACTCAGCCTCAGGCAACTAACCCGATCCCTTTCCATTTTCCGCGTCCCGCAAAACAAACCCGAAACCTGCCAATCTTTCTCTCTGCACATCCAGGGCCTTTTCACAACTCTCCTTCGTTCGTATTATTTGCCGCGGTAAGTCGCAACTTGGTCTTTACTTCACCCCTCCATATCCTCAAACGTCCCGAACTGACCTTGCCACGTGCGAAGCAGGCATTCCCCGACTCCTCCCTTCTTCCCCTCTTCCCCGCGATAATCTCTCTCTTTCCAATGGAGATCGATCCAAGCAGACGGAACAAGAAGCCACGCCTCTTGTTAGAGTCGGAACGCGAGCGTCTAGATGAATTCATTGACTCTATCCACTACTCGGCAAGGTAATGGCGAAACCCGGTTCAACTTCTCCCATCGCGCCCGAGACTGACTCGGTGAATAGATACTCAGATGACAAATATGAATATCGTCATGTACAGCTGCCGAAGAATATGCTCAAGAAGATCCCCACGGACTATTTCGACAGTTCCAAGGGCACGTTGAAATTGCTGTGGGAGGAAGAATGGCGAGCATTGGGCATCACACAGGTGCGTTAGTCCTCAGCTGATTGAAACGATGGCTAACGTGGGTCGATACCAGAGCTTGGGATGGGAGCACTACGAGGTGCATGAGCCGGAGCCGCACATCATGCTGTTCAAGTCGGTGTCCTTCGACCCCTACAAGCCGCCGCTTTTGCTAACTCCTACTTAGGCGTCCTCTCAACTACCAGCCTCCACTGGGTCAATAATCTCGTGACGAATTGGTGGTGCTGCGTTTGGAAATCTACACCCTCCCCCTCCCCACCCCCACCCTTCCCTTCGAGACACGCAACTATGATCGGGTTTGTTGTTTCTTTTTATCAGATGAACATGCATCGTCATTATGTTCACTAGGGTCGACAACAGCTTCGTAATGGAAGTTCTGGAATGAGACATGATTTGTTTTCCCCTCCACCTCTCCTCGGACCGGCTTGGCTTGGGCTCCATATACGCGCACACAAAAAACAAGAATGAAGAATGAAGAAAAAGAAATGCAGCTCATCATAGATGCGTTCACTGGCATCCTTGATATCATCAAACCACGTTCTGGGCGAGCCACTCTCCCCATTGGGCTTCCGTGAAGCTGCTGCTGATGCTCCGCTCTTCCACACCCTACATTGGATGTCAGTACGTTGGAAACCATCTTCCTAGGGTGTGATTCCACTTACATTGAAAAAGACGGTTGGTGAGACATGAACGCCCACCACTCGATCGGCCTGGCTAGCGTTAAGAGGGTCGGTACGCTATGGGAGCTGGGAGCTTGACGTCCTACCTTGACCATCCACTTAATATCATTGGTCACCTTGTTCCCAATGTTCAATTGACCGTCGTTGCCGGGTGATTCGGGGATTTTCAACAGCTCCAAAACCTTGTGCTCATCCACGCCGACCGACCCGGCTATCTGGGCCAGTCGCTCATAGGTCTTGTTACGGGTCTCGTTCACCAGGCTCACATCGAAGAATTCGGTCTGATGTCTGAACAAGGCCGCACTGAAGTCCCAGAATTTCTCGGGGGCCAGCCGAAGAACGGCCGCGCCGGCTTCGTGGGTGAGTGTGGAGGATGGATGCCACGGCTGGATATGCTGTCGAAAAATCACCTGAAGCCGGGGGCTATACTGCTGAGCGATCACGGGCCTCAACGTATAAAATGTATTAAACATTTTGGCGGAGAACTGGTAAACATTTAGCTGGTGCAGGAGTCGATGCAAGCATGTAACTAACGGGGCACACATAGTCGAGGTCTGGACTCGATTAGTTCGTTTCTGAGCGTAGATAGACAATGCGGACTTACACAGTTCAAGAGTATGTTGTGTTTCTTCAAAAGTCCCCGCAGAGAGCTTGAGCCCCGCGAACTTCGGAGCAACCGACATGTTTGCAAATGGTGAGTTGAAATGATAGGAGAGAAGGGCGCAGGGCGCGGAAGGCGGAGGACGCGGAGGGCGCACCACTGAACTTCAGACTGCGTCACTACCCCGCAATACTGAGCCGGACAAGCTCCGGCGCATTATGACGAATCTTCCTCGTAAGATGTAGGGAACATCTGGCTTTCTACTTGTTTCGTAGATCGGCCCGCGGGCAACTCTTTTGAATGTTGGGAATCATATCTAAGGAAAGCTCTTTACCGCCCCGGGGTCGAGAACTACTCAGATAAACAGTGGTACTCCATAGCCTCGAAGCTGTGCAAGTAAAAGCAATCATTTCACTGCTTAGTTGAGATAAATTCAAATCGAATGATCATTTCTTACAGAATGCCATTCACGATAGCCCACACTCCTTATACCCAGATACACCCCTTACGATTATGAACATACGACATGTACACTCCTTACGGGCACTAGTTTCATGCCGGCTAAAAAGTGCATGAGGAGATACTTAGTTTAGTCATAAGGAGTAGGATTAGAAAACATGCTAGTAATTGGACGCTTTAATAATGGCTACGCTTTACTTTCTTATTCGGCTTCATCTCCTTCTGATACATCTGGAAAAAGTTCTCTGGTTCGACTGGATGCCGTCCAGTAATGTCGTAGAATGCTGTTGTTGCAATGTAATTGGTCATGCCCTCGCGACCTAGACTGTAGTATTCTAGTAGATACTCCAGTTCTGATTGATCACTGTCTGACTATGACTTAGCTTGAATGTGTCATTGACAATTATTTGGTGGACAATTACTGAATATACCTATCACCACCAACATTTGTCCTCTGTGTCTATCATCCAACCCATGCTGACTCTTCCCCGTAAGAACATGAGCCGCGACTTGGGCAACGTCCTAGCAAAGGTCAGCCCGAGGAGGTAGCTTATAAGACGGGGGAACATATGTACTCCTAGCGCTACTGGTGCGAATTTATGAGTCTCCCCGAAGGGCAATGGGAGAACACCGTCTTGCTTCGGCTGCGGTGCATATAGAAGGAGATTCTCGGCATAAAACCCCGCCCTTCACTATTTAAGTATTTCCTTTTTACGAACCTTCATGTCACTTTGCAAGCGCTCTGATGCTGAGCAAGTGCGTCAACTTGCCATCAACGACTTAAACGCCGAGACGGTTACGGTCGCACTATCACGCGCGACTGTGCAGTCTGGTTCGTTTTCACCCTGCGCTATAGCAAGGAAGGCGGCGCGGGTGCCGCTCGGACAGTTGGCCAGCAGTTCGACATCTGCTAGATTTCCTTCAAAGATGCGCACATGCTTGTTCTCGGCAATATCAGGCAATAATCTTATTAGCTTGCTTCGAGCGAGAGTAAGCGTTAACCTAATTGTCGGGTGACTGGAGGAGGACATTGAGCAAGGGTTGTCCGGTATTGCCAGTAGCGCCCATTACTGCGTAGCAGAACATGGTGCCAGCAAATTCTGGGATACAGCTCGTCATCGATTATTTACTGAGGACGTGGGTTTCAGTTATGATTATGGAGAAGACCGAACCAGATAGGTATGTTGGATTAACATGGAATCAAAAAAGCAGGGATGAATGATGAGGTTAAAAGAATTCATCATCTAAATAGCGACCATTGACTGACCAGTCTTGCATTAGCTGCACATAGCCGGCTGTGGATCGTACTTGGCCGCTACAGGCGCAAGTAAGCTGTGTACATAGTCCGCATACGCGAGTATGTCCTTGCCTGCCTTCACCGCCTGAACCTGATAATCCAGCAAGTACCTCGTGCAGCTGAGTTCAGCTTCCCGCGGATTCGGGCACGTCCCCGAGAAAACCGGCGCGAGCGACAACAACAACGTCGTAGCTCTCGCCTGAGAGGGTGGTGAATTCTCGTACGAGCCCAAAGGTCCTCCCAGGGCCTTGAGAGCGTCGTTGAGTACATTCAAGTATCCCACCGACTTGTTTGTTGGCTCCAGCCAGCCATCAATGCCCGTGCTAGTCGTTTTCACGTACTGATCACCCGTGGACAGTCGGCCCCGCGTGTTTACCACCTCGCGGTAATAGTACCTTGGGCTCCCCTCAAAGAACAGCACGTTGAATAAGGCCGCGCGCAATCCGCTGACAGATCCCTCTGACAGATAGTGTTCAGCAGCCACGACGAGATCGCCCCTCACACGCAGTGCCAGGTCAACGACACTATATCCTGTCCCGGCCGCATACAAATAGAGGGCTGAATTGGCTCCCTCAAGCGCGTCGATGTCGGTAAGGGTGTCGTATATGTCGTTGACCGCGATCTGGCATCGCATGTTCCTGGCGAACACGTCCCTGACCTTTGAGCCCTCAATTCCCGCCCGTTGCATCACATGGGCCGTCATAGCGGGCATGCCTGCACAGACCTGTCTAGCCGTGAGGAGGGCATTTAAGTCACATCTTGCAGGTTTTATGTCCGGCCTGCTCTCAGCTATTGCAGAACTGGCCCAAGCGATGGCCCCTAGGTCATTCTCACTGGCGCGTACGGCACAGGAAACGAACCGGTAGTAGTTAGTCGCCAGCAGTTGTGTGGCGAGCCAACCTTCACCATGGTCCTCGCTGCGGATATGGTCTGTCATAACGGTTGAGGTCGTGAGGCCTGAGAACGAATCGCAACAACGGCTAAACGGTGTCGGGCAAGAGATGGCCACGTACCCGCAGCAGGTCAAATGGTAAAGTTCCGCCAAGATGGTTGCCTGACTCCTACCAAGTATGGCCTCTGCTTGTCGCAGCTTCCACCCCATGTTCCTCCTTTTGGGAGCGGGCTCCCCCAGACTCGCGACTTCCCTATTCTTCTCCCACTGCCGTACCAGCGAGAAAGCGCCGTGGGCCCAGTCGGGCAGGGCTTGATGCCAAGTGGTCTGCCAGCTGGCTTGACTGTTTTGAAAGAGCCATTGCTGTACAGCGCCCTGGGTCGGACCAAACTGCCCGACCAGTCCGGTTTGATGGAACTGCTCATACTCGGTCACGTACTTCGCTCCCGGGTCGGCTAACAGGTCCAAGCTTGTGATGTAGTCACCGTCCACTGTGACCATATCCTTATTTTTGCTCTCACCGGAGTCCGCTTCGGTTGAGACTTCGTCATGCCCGCTTGCAGGGCCAATGCCCGTGCTAGCCTCGTTGCGTCGCGCGGCGAGCAGCCGCTGTCCAATTACAGCTAACCGCCTGGCAATCACGGTTTGTCGGCCATGCTTCGCACTGCCAGCGTCAAGGCTCTGAACGAGTGCTTCGAGCTCCTCACCGCTGACGTAGTGCGCGGGCGACCCATGCGGACAAGTCTGTATGGGCAGGGTGCGATACTCGGGGACATCGATCCCAGCGGGACCCTCCATACCTGGGGCGGATGATTGCCCCTGCATGAAGTTATCACGCGAAACCTCTGTCGGCCACTCGCCCCTCATGCTCACTTGCTTTCACTACAGGTACTCAGAAGTGTACGGTACGGCGTTCCTTATTTCTGCGTTTCCCGTGAACAATAGGCCTCTGATTGTGTCTGTTGTGGCAAATTAGAGCCTTTGAGGTATAAATAATTGGACGAAGAAGCAAGTGCTGTAATATTGGAGACTTCCTGATGGAAGATTACTTGCTGCCTTATAAACAAATGCTACTTGCTATCGGTTATTCCTTTGAAGGCTCTAACATCACCCGGCGCATATCACCGAACTTAGTCTTTCGTCAGATACCAACATGTGACGCAATGGACCTGCAGCCAAGAAACCAAACGGGTGCTAACGGCAAGGATCTACTGTAGATATGAGTCGGCCGTCTAATAATGGCCGCGAAAATGAGGTACACGTGAACCAATGGCACCGTAGCCATGCGTTAACAGATGCAAGAGGTCCGTACTGATACATGGAGTTTTCTTCTTCAGATAAGCTCACCCAACGCAAGGATAACAGTGGCCCCGACCATTTCCTTCGAGAGATTGTCATTAATAGCAGACACAGTAATCGTATAGCACAAGTACCTGAACTACGTTAAAGCTACATGAGCTGTGTCTGTCTAGGCGCAACGCCTATTGACTCTTGCAAGATGTTGGGATGAAGATAGGCTTCACGCAGCCTGCGTGGTGGCTTCTTTATGGTAGCCAACAACCTCACGCCACGTCTATTGGGTTTCATTAGGAAGCTCCACTCCGGGTGGCCGGATGCCGGTGATCACATACCCCCATTAAATGCTGATCTCTGAAGACTTGAGGTGTTCGTTGCCTCGCCTCGGTTTTCCTTGTTTTCAGATGCCACCAATGAGCGGGCCAATAGCAGCGAATATGAGTAGGGGAGCTACTGTATGACCTTGTTCGAGAAGCAGGTACTCGGGGGGGGAGATCAGCAAATCAGACACGCCATCGGGTAATATCTAAACAAGATCGGTGCCGAAATTGCGCAAGGATGTTACGTAGCCAAAACCATCTCAGCTTTGGTCTGGAAGCACATCAATCATCAATGTCCACTCGAGTGAGCACAGTCTCCGCGAAGATTAATTTCTGGTTCAAGGCGGAAGATACACTCAGCCATCCTCGTGCCTCCCTCTGTCCAGCTGGTTGGAGAACTGACTGCGTCGCAACTTCTTACATTGCTAATTAGCAAAATTCGCCACACGAGTCAGTCAATGAATGTTGCCGATAATGAATTCTCCTTGTTCCCCGCCCTGATTACAAGATGGGAGCATATGCAACATGTGGGCTAGAGACGGCTTGAGGTTCGCTGTGCCTCGGAAGCCGGACGGATGTATGCGGGACGGGACTATATGGAAAACGTGGACCAGTGATGTCTTGAGGGCTCGCTGCCGCTGAAGCGGGACAGGAGTATATAGAGACGGGAGCATTAGAAACGTAGAAGGGTGATATCTTTAGGGTTCGCTGATAGTAGCGGCTAGTGGGGTATGTAGTAGTGGAAGTTGCCACCGCAAATCAGGTAGCCTTATGTAGTCGACCCTTGTGGTAGGTAGTGTACAATCGCTCGAAAGACGTCCACGTAAAGATATGTTATTATTTATGTGAGCCGCTATAACCGACATTAATTGCCTTCAAGCAGCGTGTCTGGCCGGAAGTCCGTCAGGATATCGACGGCCAACCAGAACTTGACATGACCCTTTATAACGATCTGGTCTTCCTTCTGTTTATCCACATCTTCCTCTGTGGAGTTTATTCATCAGTACACCAATACTTTGCTACCCCGAAACTTAGAATCTCTATTCCTTGCGCTGTAAGTGCACCATTTGAAGCGAAGAGTTCGTGGAACGGTTCAATGCTCCACTGTCTTCTCACCTACCGAGTCTTACATTCTGGCAGGTAACAATGACGGACACTCATCTTGTACCGACGTCGATTCCCGACTCTCCAGCGGCTAGCCATGCCATCGCTGTACAAACACAAGGAGATCCTCCGCTCTGCACCTCGTCCCGCCCAGACTCCACCTGTTCATCTTGTCAACATTTATTCCGATCTTTGGCGGCGCCGGTCTCTAACCACAACAAAGATCGGGATCTGGATGGGTACACCGACTTAGCTGACCCAGCTTCTCGCTACTATTCGAGTTATATACTGCCTTCAAGGAAACTCAACACGCCCGTTGCTGACACGCGATACTCTCCACATACGGCCAGCTATTCCCCGGTAAAAAAAGCAACGAGTTTAGACGAGGATGATAAAGTGATTACAGGCCCGTTCAACTACGTGTATGGACTGCCTGGCAAAAATATCCGCGCACAAATGATCAATGCTTTCAATGCCTGGTTGGAAGTTCCCTCAGATAGCCTGCAAGTCATTGCTGATGTGATCGGTATGCTACACACGGCATCCTTGCTGGTTGATGATGTCGAGGATTCGTCACTTCTGCGACGAGGCTTCCCGGTTGCGCATAATATCTTTGGCGTGCCACAGACCATCAACAGCGCTAATTACATGTATTTCCGCGCACTTGAAAAGGCTCAGACTCTGAAGAGTCCGGACGCTACACGTATCTTCGTTTGCGAGGTACTGCAACTGCACCGTGGCCAGGGCATGGACCTCTATTGGAGGGACTCATTGGTCTGTCCAACGGAGAGGGAATACCTGGACATGGTAGGAAAGAAAACTGGTGGCTTGTTCCGGCTCGCGGTTAAGCTGATGCAAGCCGAGTCACCAAAGACTGTGCCACAAGGGTGTGTGCCGTTAGCTGATAAATTGGGGCTGCTTTTCCAGATCAGAGATGATTATCAGAATCTCAACTCCGAAGAGTATAGTGATAGCAAAGGTATGTGTGAGGATCTGACAGAAGGGAAATTCTCCTTTCCTGTCATCCATAGCATTCGACACGACCCAACCAACCTGCAACTCCATCACATCCTCAGATTAAAAACTACTGATCTCGAGGTCAAGCGATATGCTGTCAAATATATGGAGGGTACCGGGAGCTTCCAGTATACCAGCCAGCGCATCAACGCCTTAATCACGCAGGCAAGATGTGCAGCAGATGAGATTGATGGTCGGAGCAAAAGCAGAAGTATTCATGAATTGTTAGATGGGTTAGTAATATGATTGTGCACAGATTGTAACCTCAACAAGTTCGAGGATTGGGATAGCGGAGTATTACAACACAGCAATATGAAACATATTGTGTCCTTATACTTTCAAAGTTCCGCATCTCACTGTCCCACACCATTATATTCTAGCAATTTAGTATTACTATGGCGGTGCTCATATTAGCGCCGTCATACGCTCTTTACGAATATGTGCCGTAATAGTGACAGTGGTGCTTAAAGAATGGAGATCAATTCCTCGTCCACGTCTTCAATATCATTGAGGTTGAAGGCCCGTGCGTCAATTCAATCAACTCAATCATACTCTCACGTGGAGATTCTTCAATCCACGCCCATGCATTCAACCTTGACTATGCGTTGAACCCGTGGAAGCATGAGTGGGTCTAGGGTAGTACGTCCGATGGTTTAGTCGCGCCACCACAACGCCATAGTCACTAGTACCTTACACCCAGAACTACTTAGGCGTATTAGCATGTAGTCGCGACTTTCTGGCGCGTAAACGCGTCTCTCCCAATGCTCGCAAGGCAATCTAGAAACCTGCATAAAACAACATCCGATCGGAATGGAGGTCAACGTACCTATCAGCACAAAGCTTCCTCCAGACAACGACTCACACAGTACGCTATCTTTGACAGACGAGTGGGATGCATTCCCATGGCAAAAGTTTCCTGGCTATACGATTTCCGAACGCGCGGGGCAGACAGACCTCGTGGGTCTGTTAGCATGGGTTCGATATTCAACCTAATGATTCTCCCGCGAAGAGAAAATGGGTTTGTAAGACTTGCCTTAAGAAACCCAAGCCAAAGACGTCAGAATTTTCTGCAGTTGACACCCAGAATATCGAGAACCATCTAGTCAAAGAGCACAGCCTGATCGATGCACCCGGACCCTGTTCTTGATGCTGCCCAGCATGCGATTTGGCGAAAGAATGGTCCCATTGGAAAGCTCCACAACATGGTCCATTGGATCCATCGGTCCGACAAGCTGACCTACTGTCTTCGCGGACTGCAGGAAGATTTTTTTGTACACTCAGATAACCCCAAGATTCAAGCAAAGGAAGCCTGTCGATGTTGTTCTTGATAACGTCACTCGCTGTCTGTCATCTCTTTATATGATCCGGCGCGCACTCGAACCCTGACATCCAAAAGGACCCTCTTGTCACCAATCCGTTCCACTGCCGGTGGGAGAGACGGAAAGAGTACCCCCAATTATCGTGAATGGCTCTTAACTTGCTCTCGATTCCCCCCATGTCCGTAAAGTATGAGCGTCTCTTTAGTGTCACTGGGCAAATGGTCTCGCCGCTACGGACTCGATTGGAAGCCAGTACTATAGTAACTACGCAGACTTTAAAGTCGTGGGTGCGAAATGGCCTAATCAGCGCCGTGGATACGTTGATTAACGTATTAGGGGAAGTCGCGGGTAGCGTTATTTGGAACCTAGAGGTCGATACTGGGGACGGCGACAACTAGCTCAATGTCTTCAATTCAACTCAATCAACTCAATCTGAGGTCAAGGTGGTTCAACTCAACGAGTACTCCCAGGCTTACGATGCGATACTGTTTATCACCGGGGAGAACTTGACGTCTCAAAGACCCCGTCTCATACTTAGCATCCTCCTCGCATGCTTTGATTCCTTTATTGGTGACCACAGACAAGGCAGTTTTCAGATCCAGGCGGGCCTCCGTCTGCTCGAATCTCTCTAATTAAATCGACCTCAATACCGGTCACATATTGCTGACGGGCACCTCGAAGACGACCACGTCCGACAATGCTGAGTGTTCATACATCAGCGGCCGCCAAGTGCTTTCTGCTTCCTGGGGTTCAAGTCTTTTAACTCTATTTCGACGGTCCGCCATCCCGATTTGGATGGATCGTACTCGCCGCGGACTTCGAATCGGCAGAACCCGTTGGGCCCCTTTATGCCCACGGGACCGGAAATGAAAAAGGTTCCACGGCGAGGTGTTCGCTTCATTCGAGCTCGGTACGCATTCAATCGTAATTTAAATGCAATTGAGGCCAGGTGAAGGTCCGAACCGGGGCCCAGGTCGGGCAAAGGAAACCTTTGCAACGATGAAATGATGGAAGATGGATGAAGTTCTGGGTCTCCGTTGGATGACGCGCTTTCCGGGGGTCCATCCGAAACTGGAGGTTGCAGTCTGGGTTGCTCATGGGGGCTTAGAGGGTTGAGCTTTTCATTCCTGGACAGGACGTAGCTTTCATTCAAAGACTCCAGAGCGTCCACCGGCTGCTCTTGAGGATTCTTGAGACGATTCACCTGCCTCCTGAGCAGTACGAAGTATGCATCTTTGATTGCAAGCGCCACATGTACAGGCTTCATGAATGTCTGCAGTCTGTCACCCATATCGGGATCCAGAGGTTTGGTCGCCCAAGATACGCCATTGTCCGTAATTTCGAGTCTTTACTCAATTAGTCTCGAAAACATCCTTTAACTAGAATAAACATACCCGGATCGAAGGTATTCCGGAGGAGCACGAGACGGGAATTGATGAACAAGCCAGAACCCGGTCAACGAAAGTGGGCCGCCGAGTATTTGGGACATGCGACTCGAGGCGCTCTCCAGAACGAGAGCAGCGAGTTCATCTGGAACTGTCAACAAAATCCGAGGACTTTCCGGATATGAATAGTTACCTCTTAATTTCTGGAGCTTCTTCCGATCCTTGGACAATTGAACAAACGTTTGCCATTCTGGATCCGACGCGGTATACAGCTCACCTTCCCGCAATCGGGACCAGGTAAGCGGGATGAACATAGGCGCTGCATCTTCCGACTCCTTGTCCCTTTCTTCCTCTACTACTTCGTCGGTTGCTCGAGGACTTCGCCGAGGACCAGTCTCCTCCAAGCTTGGCCCGGGCATTGAATCGTTGTCATGAGTATCATCATCAAATCGGACCAGAACGAAAGAGGTCCACAGGTGAAACGCGGCACCGTAGAGGAAAAACTTGGTGAAAAAGGTCCTGAGAAACTTCTCAGTTAGCACTGAATAATGCATCCCGAAACCAATTTTCATAACTCACCTTAGCCAAGGCCGTCTGAATCTCACATGCCGGACGGTCGGAGGGGCTGTGAAAGTCTGCCGGGGGCCGGTGTGGAAAGAAAAGGCGCGCGATTGAATTCGGAACAGGTGCCTGAGCCGAAGCATTGAGAATATCCAGCGTGGAATAAACTCAGTGAGGAAACATCGCGGGCGAAGATGCGGTGTTGGGATTTGGGTCGTGTCCCATGGGCCCGGGCATCCACGTGATATCTTATCGCAACGAAGTGGACTGCGGAAGTCCACGTACGATCGAAACACTCTCGTTGCTCCGGTTCATAGACACACCCTCAGGCAGAACTCCGGTCATTCTGAAGAGTCTCAATATATGGCCGTCACCGCAACAGTTGTTTTCTTCCTGTCCTGAACCCTTCTTGATTTCTTTCTGCAAAATGCACTGGGTCTCCAAGCTCCTGGCCCTAGCGGCCACAGGTGCATTGGGGACGAATGCTTTGGAAAGCTCTATTTTCATGTTCCCCTCCAACGGTCAGGGCTATAAGAGCACCATTTCCAAGCAACAGACAGTATCAGAAGATGTTGCCCGACTTATCCTGGAGCTTCGCTCCCAGTCTTCTTTGGCGTCGGTTCTTGGTCAAATGGAGGCAGATGCCGTGGATCACCTAAATCAGTTTGCGGATGCTCGATCCACCCTTTTCGGTGGCTCCGAAAACATTGAGTCTCCGGGGAAAAGCATCATCTTCTTCGAAGGCATCGATCACGAAGTCGGTACGTGAAAAGTGACCTGCAGAATGAGCGTTTGGCTAATGATCGCCTTCTTTCGCACCAGGTTTGAACCTACGGAAGAAGCAGCTGCACAGCTTGATCGTTCCTCATTCTCCGTTAAACCTGGTTGATGATTCGCTAGAGTCACTTATGGAAATCGATAACAAGGGTAAACACTGCGTCTACCTCAAGGGTGCCAGCGGAGTGGATTCGAAGACTGCTCAGGTACCAAATCTCTTCCGGAATACAATTCACGGCGTCCTCACCGGCTAACTCTATGGCTGTAGACCGCCAATGACTGTCTCCTCATGGATCCCGTTCTTTCTCATGCATCCGGCTTGTTTGACCGAGATCTTCTCGACTTGGTCGGGTCGGTGGAGACTTGGGTCAGCATGGACCAAGAGACCACTGCTTCATGGCTCATATTCAAGGTAACACCTTTTCCTTCTGCCAAGTTGACCTCTTGTCTAACTTGGGTCTCAGGCCAGCTCCAGTGATGACGTTCTCGTCACCAAATCCCTCCAGTCAATTTTCCAAGATCTGACCAAGCAGTCTTCATTAAAAAATCGAGAAATCACCGCTGTTGTTCTACCTACCGCTTCGCACTCTCTGGGCTCTTCGCAAATCCTTCAGCGAGACTCGGAAGTCTGGACTAAGTCATCTGCGTCAAGTGCACAATATGCCCTGCGGAGGTCTGCCCAAGACCTGGCTCTTCACTCGAATCTTGCCCCTGTTTGCCATGCCTCTAACTCGTCTTGTGCTGAAGCAACAAACAATTGCTCTGGCCACGGGTTCTGCTATCTGAAATATGGATCTGGTGAGGAGGGATCTACCGGCAATTGTTACGCATGTCAGTGCCAACAAACAGTGGTGCGAAAAACCGATGGCACCACGCAGAAGATCCAGTGGGGTGGACCTGCTTGTCAGAAGAAGGATATTAGCTCACCTTTCTTCCTTATTGCTGGTGTCAGCGTTTTGGCCATTCTCATGGTGGGTAGCGCCATTGGAATGCTGTTTAGCATGGGGCAAGAAGAGCTCCCCAGTGTGATTAGTGCTGGAGTTGGTGGATCCAAGACTCAGCCTTGAGCAATTAGTCTGGATATTTCTTGGGAACAGAGGAGATCACTAAGTTCCTTTTCTCTTCTTCTCGGGGCTCGTTGCTTCTTTGCACATTTGTCTATGTTAGGTTTCGTTGCTCGGTCCATTACTTCTCTTAATCAAACTCCGGCCAGGAGTTGTACTCAACATAAAGCATGGTTTTCAAGGCTTGATAATTTACTCGTAAAGTATATGGCAGACAAATTTTCAATGGATGGCAGTTGGTATTCAGTCAATAAATAATAAAAAAAGGGACAGAGGGATCCCTTAATGAAAGTCAAGTCAGGGGCGTGATCCACACGATGTCCCCTAGTGTCAATTGGCGGATCCGAACCCTGTGGAAATCATTCCCTTCCCCATTGCTTAATACTCCAAGGCGCCACGGGGATGAAAGAATAAGGGGAAAAGCAAAAGGCACCCGTGCGACATTGTCTGGTGCACATATAATGGTCAGGTCCAGGAATGGAGAAATTGTAACCCACGTACTCCCTGAGCCGCCACCGCAAGTATCGATTAATTACAAATAGTCAAATCATCAACAGTGAAGCTGTGCCGACCAGACATTCCAGATGTTGGGTCGAGCATGCAAATAAGTTCCAGAGTAGAGGGTTCGTGAATGGTCAAGTGATAGCGCTGCAAAATCAAGTACCAGCTTCAAGCTGGCCCGGAGTACGACGATGCGAATCCGCAGCCTCGGATTCTGGCAATGGCCCGTCTCCCGTTCTGGTGGAGGTACGAGAAGACAGCCCTCGAAGACGAGCGGGAAGAAATTGTGACCAGCTAGACAGTTGAGGTGATCCGCTTGCCTCCTGGGGTTCGCTATGTAACTGCCTTGGGCGCTCTTCCGCCGGCGGTGACCCAGTACGTCGCTCAAGAGATGCCGGTTGGAATATCCGGCCCCGAAATGCCATCTGCACTCCGAATGGGTGTGCTTGGATCCCAGAACGAGCAGCGCGAGAGGGTCTAGCAATAATATCGGGACGACTTGAGGCAGCGCGATGCCCTTGCCGGTCAGAAGCGGATGCTATCTCAGCTGCTTGTGAACGAGGCTTGGGGACGTAGTAATCAGCTTTGCACAGAGGACAGCAGGCTCTCCGGCTGGTCACCCAGGGATCGACGCACGATGCATGGAAAGCATGTCCGCAGGTGAGTCCTCGTACGTCGTCGTCGTCCTCAATGGTGTCTAGGCAGATTGCACAAGAATCACCGGGGTTTGGAAGCAGTTCCGCGGGAACGGCTTTACGAATATGATCACTTTCCTCATCTTCTTCAAAGTCGATTGGTTCATTGACCAAGGAATTCTGCCATTTCTCTTCTGCGGCGTTGGCATCGCCTTTCGTCGAGGAAAATTCCGTTGCTGCGGACGCCTTCTCTTCCACTGGCGGCACAAGTGCTTCGGAACCCGGGTCGAGGCCCAGGGCATGGATGTTATTGGAATCCATCTGCCCTTGGTCTGGAGAGGGCGACCCTGCAGTAGTGGAAATGCCGACCGAAGCAGAGATGACCGCGTTATCATCCTTCAGGCTCTGCGGCCTGCTATTGGGGGCGGTGATGCCACCTTCCGTTGAAAGGCCTTGATTGGCACGAGACGACCTCCATACTTTGTATTTCATAAGTGGAAATCGCTCGTTGACTTCATCCATCGTCATCAGCTTCTTCTCTCGTCGTCTGCGATGGGCACGAGGCATGGCCACTAGGTCAATTGGCTCTCCTGTTTCCTCGCTGCGCAGCTGACGATTTCTTTGGTTGTACCGGAAGCAGTATTTGACCCCGACAATAATCCTATTGCATCATCAGACAACAATCTCTATTTGACTTTGAGGGTAACGTGAAGTCCTTCACTTGGTTTGGTTCAGAGGTCGAGGGGCTTACCATAAATTAGTGAAGACGACGCCAAATCCGAGAGCAACGAAGAACAGGAGAGGTGAGCTCGTCGCATTTGAACCACCTCCGCCGCCCCCACTGGCACTGGTTGTGGTCGCCGCGCTTCCAGCTGACGAGGTTGTCGATGGAGACATTTCAAAGGTATGGTAATGTATTAACGGATTTCGGAGGGGTGTAAATCGAAGGTTCCCAGGTCGAGTTGCGGTTTCAGGTTCATCCAAGGCAATCGATCATTCCTTTGGCCGTTGGAATCCGCTTACAACGCTGGAAGAGAGTTGGTGGTCGTGTGTTGATACAATGAGCCACCCCTTGGGATTCCTAGTGCGACAGAATGCACGCAGTGGACGGACGACCACGACGAGGTGGAGGACGGCACATGGATCGACAACGGGGTGTAAGGGATACCCAGAGCACCGGGAACTTCGTGTCACTTGCAGTGCTCGCGAGGATCCAGACGACCCTGGTTCATATCATCAGGTCCAGGGGTGAAAAGGGGGGTTTGGGGAAGGGAGAGGTCAAGAGTCATTAGCAAGAAGGCTGGATGCATGCGGATGCTGGTTCGCAAACTGGGATGAGGAGAGATCTGGTGCCTGAGGGATAAGGCCCCGAAGTCACGGGGGCGTGATCGCACAGTCGTCAATATACTTGAAAGAAGTACCCGGATCGTATTTCTCATTGAATGATCGGTAAATTCCCTGATTTCATATTCGTAACCTTATATTGTTTAATGCTATAAAGACAAACGTCACATATACCTCTTTGTACCTTCTACCAGATGGGACATCAAAGCGGGCCACGACAAAATAGGGTTCCGCAAGGTCGGTCGATCGTAGTTAAGCAACTCCTTCCAACTCTCTCCTTCTCTCTCCTCTACCCAGTTCACCATGGTTGAATCCAGCGCGCATGAGGCCACCAATCCCGTGGTCTTTTTTGACATCGCCCTCGCAGGTAAGTTCTGCCAGGAACATACATCTCTCACTCCGCAGGTTCTAATCCTTACAGGTGAGCCTTTGGGTCGAGTGAAAATGGAACTGTTTGCCAACGTCACCCCACGTACTGCTGAGAATTTCCGGCAGTTCTGTACCGGCGAGAGTAAAAATCCCAAGAGTCAACCGCAAGGCTATAAAGGAAGCAAATTCCACCGGGTTGTACGTGACGAGGACATATTGGCGTTCGCATCATAGACTAACCCATGCATCTCCCAGATCAAGGACTTTATGATCCAAGGTGGAGACTTCATCAACGGGGATGGAACGGGGAGCTGCACGATCTACGGCACTTCGAAGTTCGCCGATGAAAATTTTGCGTTGAAACATGATCGCGCGGGTCTTCTTAGCATGGCCGTGAGTCCTTGATATCGAAACCGGAAAACTCCCTTCTAACCCGTAACCAGAACTCGGGCCCAGACACCAATGGCTGCCAGTTCTTCATCACAACCACGGCAACTCCATTCCTGAACAATAAACATGTCGTATTCGGCCAAGTCATTGATGGGATTGATGTTGTTCGCATGGTCGAACACACTCGAACCACCCGAGACAAGCCTAACCAGGATGTAACGATTGTGCAGTGTGGAGAAATGTAGAAGAGCCGTGCCTCCTCGCATTGTGCAACGACAGGCGCATGCCTGTTTCTTTACGAGCGTTTAGAAGTAGCATGAAATACCACTAGCAAAAAGTCCCCGGGAATATCTTCAATTTGATTTGGTACATCAGGACCTCTTCTTTTCCCCTTCATCAAACTAAGAGCGCTGAAGGGGCCACCGGAGGGCGCGGGACGCTCTTTTGTCTTCCTATTGCCAGGCCACAAGTAACACGGATCAAACCATGGTAAAAGCAGGCGCAAATGTTGAAACCAAAATCAATACAATAAAGCCTCTGGGTCCCTGCGTAATCTAGAGCTTGAATTTACTCAGGTAATCCGAAGCAAGCGAAATTGCTTCGTCGATTTTGTCCGGGTTGATGCCATTTCCAAGGGATGTCTGTCCCTTTCCTCCGGCCTTGCCGCCAACAGCACTGGAGACCACGGCAGCCCAGTCGCTCGCAGAAGCACCCTGGTCACCGAGTTCCTAAATCATCCAGATGTTAGTGACCAACCCCCTTCTCCAGCGGCATGAAATGGCGGCCGACTTACCTTGGACACGTAACAGCCGTGCGAAACCCGGCTCTGTTCGGAATCCACCGCCATCACATACACGTTCTTGTTCTGCATTTTTGACTTGACATGGTTGAGAGATTCGCTGACAGCCTTTGAACTTGCCGGCATCGGAAGCTTGACAACGAGCCACGAGGAGTTCTCATTCTCGGGAGACTGGAAGTAGGATGTGATCGTCTCCACAGCCTTCTTGGCCTCCAGCTTCTGCTGAGCTTTCTGGCCATCAAGAACCTGCTTGTTGATCGCCGTGAAGCGCTCACGGAACTTGGCCTTCCTGACAGCGGAGATTGTAAGCTGGTTGAGATCCACCTGAACCTGCTTGGTTTCACGCTCCTTTTCCGGGCCCAGGGGCATTGCGTCCAGGCGGTCGAGGCGCTTTCCAAACTCCCCGGCAACTCGCTGCACCTCATGGGCATCCTCCCCGGTGACAGCAATGATCCGGCGAATGCCCTTGGCAATGCCGTTCTCTTCCAGAATGATCAAATCTTTGATATCTCCGGTTTTTTGGACGTGAGTCCCGCCGCAGAATTCAATACTGACTTGCTCCCATCGTGGATCCTTCACGTTTCGCAAAATCTCTTCCAATTCGACACCGACGGAGACGACACGAACAGGGTCCGGGTATGTCTCACCGAAGACAGCCCTAACACCCGAGATTTGCTGAGCGGTTGCCAGTGGGACTTCCTGCGAATAGACGGCACAGTTCTGCCGAATGTACTCGGTGGACTTCGCCTCGATCTTCTCCAAATCAGAGTCAGACACTGCCGCCTTGTGAGAGAAATCAAACCGAAGCTTTTCGGCTGCCACAAGAGAGCCCTTCTGCTCAACACCACTACCCAAAACTTCTCTGAGGGCGAAATTGAGAATGTGAGTACCGGTATGGTTGTTCCTGATGGGCCAGCGACGGAGCTCATCGTATTCACAAATCACGGAGTCGCCCACGGAGAGGGCTCCGTACTTCATGAAACCCGTGTGGAGGACGTATCCTGCATAGACCTGAACATCGCCAACCTCAAGCTCAGCCTGTCCATCAATGATGATTCGACCACTATCGCTTTCCTGGCCACCTTGTTCGGCATAGAAATTGGTGCAGTCGAGGATAACACCCAGCTGCTCTCCATCGGGGGCTTTACCGGTGCTGTCGTAAAAGGCCTTTCCGTGGTAGATAGCTTTCACGCGAGCTGTGATGTTACCCTTGCCAAACTTGGCGGAATCGTCGGTTTTCTGGACATCGTTCATCTTCTCCAGCTTTGAGAGATCGTGAACATCGAGCTTGACGGAGGTTGCAGCAGCCTTCTTTTGGCCCTTACTGGCTTCCTTGGCCTTCAACCGTGCTTCCTCAAACTCGACATCATCGATGCGGAGGCCACGTTCCTCGGCCATGATCTGAGTCAGGTCGACGGGGAAGCCAAATGTATCATACAGCCTCCAAACGTCGGCACCATGGAGCTTGTCTGAGCCCTTGACTTTGGATTGTTGGGCGTACTGTTCAAACTGACGCTCTCCTCTGTCCAGGGTCTTAGCAAAAGAGAGCTCTTCCTCGTCCAGAATCTCCATCACGTCTTGCTGTTTTCTCTTTAATTCAGGGAACATGTCAGCCAGCTGGTCGACAACCGTTGGCACTAGTTTGGAGAAGAAATTGCCGATTTCGACCTGGAAGTACTTGCGAGCATAGCGAGAACCTCGTCGCAACACTCGACGAATCACGTAGCCACGACCCTCGTTGTTAGGAATAACACCGTCTGAGATGGCGAACATGAGCGTCCGGACGTGGTCTGCAACGACACGGTACGCGGTATCAATGCCATCGGTATCTTCGGCTCCAAACAACCCTCGATACTCCCGAGCTCCAGTCACATCCTGGATAGCTTGGAAGATTGGGGTGAAGACATCGGTGTCGTAATTTGAAGACTTGTCTTGGAGGATCGAAACAAGGCGCTCAAAGCCCATCCCAGTATCAACGTGCTTATTGGGTAGAGATCTCAAGCTACGGTCTGCCTCGCGGTTGTACTGGATGAAGACATTGTTCCAAATCTCCAGCACATTCGGATCGTCCTGGTTGACCAGGTGAGCGGCGTTGCGGCCACCAATCCGATCGTAGTGCACTTCACTGCAAGGCCCGCATGGACCTTGGTCGCCCATTTCCCAGAAATTGTCCTTCATGTTTCCAGGGAGAATGTGGGATTCGGGAACCCCCACTGATTTCCAGAGTTCCTTTGCCTCAAGGTCGGGCTCCAAGCCACCGGCCTCGTTGCCCTCGAAGTATGTAACGTAGAGACGGTCGGGCTGAAGTCCGTAGACTTTGGTCAAGAGGGTCCATGAATACGAAATTGCCTCCTTCTTGAAGTAGTCGCCGAAACTCCAGTTGCCGAGCATTTCGAAGAAGGTCTGTGGTGGATTGTTAGTTTCGTCTCGGATCAAACACTTAATAGCACCGGGCGATACTCACATGGTGGTAACTGTCCTTGCCCACGTCATCTAGGTCCTACACAAAGCTGGTCAGCAAGGGTAGAGTAGTATGGCATTCGAATGACTGATAACACTTACATTGTGTTTTCCGCCAGCACGCAAGCACTATAAGTTGCAGGTCAGCACCAATTTTACCCTCCTGATAAGAAAGAGTGGTCGAGTGGAGCGGTATTACCTTCTGCGAATTCACCGCACGCCGCAACTTTGCAAAGTCTGACTGCGGGTCCACGGTGCCCAAGAAAATGGACTTGAACTGGTTCATTCCAGCATTGGTGAAGAGTAGAGTCGGATCCGAGAGAGGGACCACGGGAGAAGATGGGACTGCCAGCGCAAAAGAGGGATTGTCAGATCAGCCAGGTCGGAGGTGGCGCAACGATCGCGGGGTCAAAACCTACCAAAGGTGTGCCCATTCTGTTTGAAATAATCGAGAAAGGTATCTCGGACCCGGTGCGCGGTCCATTCGGGACAAGAACCATTGTCGGAAGCCATCCTGGCAACGGTGCGAGACGAGGTGGGTGTGGTGTGGACAAAACGAGGAGGATGGAAGGTTCTGGGAAGTCGGCGCGCGAAGAGACGAGGATGAGTCAAAGCCAGTTCCCCCCCAAGAATCCCAGGAACCCGCATCGAGCAACCCGCGTTCCGCTGATAATGACCGGGCCCTGCTTCCCACGCCGTCGCAACCTTCTTCCCTAGCCGCAGTCTGGTCAGCGTTAAAAAACACAGGGGTGAGAGGTGTGGATGGCGCGGAGTGATGAGAAAACCAGCAAAAAGCGCCCCGCGGAAGGTGACCCCGACGGCGCGCAACCACTGACAAAGCGATTCGGGCGTCTCCAGATCGGTAGGTTGCCTTGGCGTGTGCGTGGTTGTGAATAATCAAGTTGACATTCTTGACTCGCGCAGATAACGATGTGTTCTCCGGTGCTCGGGCCAGTCGCGATGGCTCCCCATACCGGGGCTCCCCGAGTCAGGACGATGCGATGCTGTTAGACGACACCAAACATACGACCTACGTCCATAATCTGGACCATGAGTTAGCTGAGCCTGATCCTCCCGAAGATGGCCTAATCATTCTTCCACTCGCCGCGAAGATGATGTCCGTGCCGGAATCCATTCTATCGAACTCTTCGTCGATTGGCAAGGAACTGGTTCTATATACAGAGCCCGCCTCTCTGACAGTTCCCAAGGATAAGGATACCGTGCGAAAAGCCATCCTCGAATCAAGGGCCCGCGCCCGCGCAGGGATCAAACAACCTTCTGGCCAGCCGTCTGATGCCGGTTTACCATGGCCTAGCCACATTGCTTCTGACGCGACTACATCTTACAATGACGATCCGATGGACATTGATCTCGACCCTTAGGGGCCATGGCTTGCCTTGCGTATGCGGCTCTCGGCGATACATTCGCTGGCATACTGCCTTCGGTTTCACTTTACATTCGCATTTTAGCGTTTAGCGCAAGACTTCGGGAGTTTGGAAGGTATACGAATCTAAGTGAACCTCACCATTAGTGATTAGTATGGATGGAAATCTATGGTTTATATTTTTGGAATATATGTGTCATCGGCAACTGTTTATGTATATTTTTGATGGTAGGCGGTTCGTATAGAAGGTGATTTCATTTCTGGTCGCATCTCTTGCGATGAATCATCGCCTAGTAGTACCCCCAAGAAACTAGAGTGATGTTCCCTTACAATTCAAGTCCATGTACTTAGACTTGTTGTTGTATCCATCTCCAATAACCTATTATAACCCATTTCTGCATAAACAATTAGTAGTATCAATTCCTCTGAATTATATCTATAATGGGAAATATACTTATTAAAGCTAACTTATGTATTTTAATATTAGTAATAGCACCACATAGTTTTATCGAGGAATTGTGAGGCTAAAACATCCCACTTTTTCTCCATAATTTATATTTACACCATTTATGAGCTAAATATGTCACTCATGGCATTGATCTGAAGTGAAAAAGTACGCAATATAACTCAGGCGCAAACCGGCCAATAGCCGAAAGATTACAATCACCAATAGAGTCTTTGCTAAGTGTGCTTCAAGGCTGGTCGATATGATTATGGTTCGGGTTCGAAGAACTGCCTGTATTCGTGCAGGCACATTGGTACATTTTGAACGGTGGCTGGCCATCAAAAAACCACATAGTGTCTGTTCCATTTTGAAGATAAATGGAGGGGATCTGTTTTGTGATGAGACTTGTGTTATAATAAGGCCAGAGCCAGTAGACTAACCTCATTGTTGGGAAACATGATGTTCACTTTACCCTCAGTGCACTCCAGCATTCCTGTGGCTTCATGTCCAGACAGTCGACGGAGACCTACTCCATCTGCTCCCTCTTAAACAACTTCAAAATAAGCTCATTCTCAGACGCAGCAGCAATATCAATACTCGTTCTCTGTCTCCTATCCTCAGCCATAGGATCCAATCCCAAATCCATCAACCGCTTGAATTTTAACACGCCAACCCGTCCCGATCCCGGGTGATAATCCTGAAATGAATGTCTGAGATCCAATTTGATTCCAGCAAGGACATGAAGCAAGGTTGAGCCATTGTCACTCTTAGCAAAGAGATCGGCGCCAGACTTGAGGAAGAACTCGAATGCTTTGCCCTTATAAATCGGGCCTTTTTCGGCGAGCCATAGACCCTCGTTGCCATGTCTGACGAGTTCAAAGAGTGGAGTTTCTCCTTCGTTGTTACGGGTGTTGATGTCAAGGCCTGCTTGGAGGAATCTTTGAAAAAGCTCTTCATTCCAGTCACGTTTGCATTTGGCAAGGTGGTGGAGGGCTGATTGTCCTTCCTTATCTGGTAGGAATGGGTTTGCTCCATTGTCTAGCAAGAAGTTGATTAGGAAGTAACGGTCTGCACGAAGGGCATAATGAAGAGCAGTCTCATTGGCATTGTCAGTCATGTTTACCAGACTTGGGTTGGCCTCCAGGATGGTCTGAAGCATTGGGATATCAATGTTCGCATAGATTTCAGTCCTGATGTGATGTAGGATCGTTTTCCCCTCGATGTCCCGGGCTAGAACGTTGGCCCCGCGATTAACAAGTGCCTGAAAGCAGTTGATAGAGTTTGTTTTTGGGTTTGAGCCGTAGTCTTTGCCGAGATTCATGGATGCAGCTAAGAGCAGAGTGCAGCCACTCTCGTCACGGTGCTCGAGATTCAAAGACGGTAGACTGAAAAATGGTTCAAGGATCTTATCGCCCCTAAGAAGCTCGTGAATGACAGTTGTAGCCATGACTGGGAAATCAATGTCATCGGGTTTAATAATGGATGGGCCCCTGGTCTGTTTGTATCCCTGCTTGGAAAAGGTGGCATATGGATTTGCTCCGTACTTCAGGAGAACTTCCACCATTCGCTTTCTTGTCGAAAGTTCTATGCCCCGGTCTCCACGGTGAGCACTGTGCATGGCTGCTCCTAGCAGTGGCAAGGTTTCATCACCAAGGACTTTGAAGTCACCACTATCAATATTGTAACGAAGTACTCGTGGGAGGAGTTGGCTCGAAGTTGCATGTCCACCATGAGATAGTAAAGCTTCGAGGATCTCAACCTGCCCAATATCAAGAGCAGAGAGTACAGCTTTTGGGCTGACTTTGGCGCCGTGTGAAATCAACAATTTGATCATACTCAGATCGTCGCCAGCTGATGAAAGACATGAAACACCATCAGTATTAACTGCATTGACATCTGCACCAGCTTTGATGAGAGCCGTAGCAGCTTTTTTGGAAAATGGATGACCGGATTTGAGCGCAATAAGAAGAGGCGTTTCTTCTTCTAGGTTTCGAATGTTGATATCGGCACCCATTTTAAAAAAGTATGGCAACGCTTTGTCCACATGCCACCATAGCTTCCCAGCAGCAAGATCATGCAAAGCCCCTCTGGTAAATTTGGAACCTGGCTTTCCCTTATTATAAGTGTACTCAAAGCATTTAGCATTGATGTTAATCCCAAATTTTTCAACGACCAGCTTCAAAGTGTCTATATTGGGAAGTTGTCTTTCGCAAGCAGATATGACCAGCGGTTTATTATTTTGAAGCCTTTTCATCGTCTCGGAATTAGGGTCCAAGTGATCGAGATCAAGCTGGGTCGCCATCTCACGAGTACACACTCGGCTGAGAATTTCAGCAAATCCCCATCGAGCAAGCCTATTCAGCGGTATCGATGCCTTTTTATCAAAGACATCAAGGGTCATCCCTTCTGAGATTCTTTCGAACAAATCGTAATATCTCAAGGCAAGGGCATTTTTCAATGGTCGATTTTGTAAGGATGTAGCCTGTCTCTCTATCTGCTTGTTTTCCTCTTCGTCTTCAGCTCGGGGCTCACTCTTCTCTAGAGTCTCTCTCATTGCTTTGCGACGATTAATCGCGACAGATATTCTTCGATCTTGGTCAAACTTCTCGAGATAGGAGTTGTCTCCCCAATAGTTATAGGTCGAGGTCAAGAGGTCTCGTTTCGGCTGAGGCGGGAGATAAGAGATTGTATACCCATATTCGGGATTTGCAGCTGTTTTCCAAGCAAACCTGAGAGACTCGACATCGCTCTCAGGGTCAAGGCCATTCCTGAGAAGGAGGTCTACTATCTCATCCAAGCGCGTTGTATCATGCTCTGAATTTATCTCTCCAAAGGTGGGCTCGATATCATTGTCAGCGCGATCAGGGAATGGACGTGTCTCATCCTTCAGGGTCAGACCTGCTGCATTGAGACCCTTCTTTCGCGTTTGTCGCCCTCTTTCCCAAAATGGCATTCGAAGTTCCCAACGCGATGCTTCCTTTTCGTATTCAGCACACATTGCAAGAGCTGAGTGCTTGTGAATATCAAGAATCTTGACATCTACTCCCGCTTCAATCAGGGATTTTACGGTCTCAGGTCGACCAGAGCGACATGCATAATGAAGAGCAGTCCGCCCGTCTGCGTCTTGACTGTTCACAAATTCCAATCGGCTTTTCTCATCTAGGGATTGGGCTCGAGATAATATCATATCGACAATGCCAGACTGTCGTGCCCGCGCGGCAAGATGAAGGGCCGTCATTTTCTCACGAGTACTTGCTCGAATATCGGCACCAGCATTCAGAAGCTTGTGGAAAAATGCTTCAGAGACCGTAGCAGCGATGTGCAACGGCTGTATTCCCTTGTAGTCACTGGGTGTTGAAGATTCACAGATTCCAATGACATGATCAAGCAGCTCATAGGTTTCTTTTGATGAGTCGTCTCTCAAACAGACAGTATGCAGCACAGTCCGACCCTGATGATTACGTTGATTGATGTTCATACCCATCTCCATCAATTGCCGCAGTACATTTGGCTTGTTGTAGATTGAATGATCTGTGATAACTGCATGAAGTGGCGTGTTACCATGATAGTCTGATACCGAAGGGTCAAGACCCATGCTTTGGAGACGAGATAAGGCGTCGGGATTTCCAATCGCACGATGCCATAAAGTTTGTCCGCTGTAGCTTCGCGTATCAAGTTGGGCGCCCAGGCCGACGAGATGGCTCAGCATTGATGAAGAATCAGCCCCAAACCCTCTCTTTGATGATGGCACCTGAGCAGAAAGAACCGACTGGCCCTTATGATTTTGTGCCTCGAGATCTGCGCCGGCTAGAACAAGGCTTTTCAAGATGTTCTCTTTAACATCATGCTGCATTACATGCAGCGAAGTGTTTCCGGCATCGTTCTTTAGATTCGGATCTGCACCTGCAGACAGAAGCGCGTCAATCAGCTCGGAGTAGTGAGGCCCACGTCTTAGGGCCACATGCAAAGGTCCATTTCCTTGGAAATCGGTGGCATTCATATCGGGCTTGTATTTCAAAAAGAATATAATGCTGTTGTAGTGTACGTGGTCTTCAATGTAGCAAAGCAAAGGAGGCTTTCCATCCTTCTTTCTGGGCTTGTTGATGTTTACTTTCCGACTCGACACAAAGAGTGCTATGGCTTCATCTTTGAATGACCGAGTGGAGTGAAGAGGTGTCACTCCTTTATCATCCTCTGCAGTGGGATCTGCACCCGCCTCTAGCAAAGGCTTAATAAATTCGACAGCCCCCTCAATGGCGTAATGCAAAGCCGTCGAGCCGTCGGATGCTCGAAAATTGATATCCACACCAGCTTCGAGGAGAAGCTTCACACATTCCATGGGATGCTCACAGGACTTTTGTCTTTTGTTTGCATTGTTACACAGAGAATGAAGCGCTGTGAATCCCCTTTCAGGTTTGGAATCGAGATTCTCTCCTCTTGCGGGAGGTTCAGGGGGGCGAGATCTGGTTAAATAGCTGTTGTCGGGGCCTGCATTCCCGCAAAGCCTCATTGGAGACGCACCAGCCTTGACCAAGAGTTCAATTGACTTGAAGTCCTTGCTATTGCAAGCCAGAAATAGTGCTGTATTATTCTTCAGCTTTGCATCGACATCAATTCCAGGCTGCTTCAGTATTAACTCCACGATATTTGAGCGACCTTTCTCGGCTGCCCAATGCAGGGCCTTGAGCAGATCTTCCAATTTCAACAGCGGAACAAATTCGGCTACAGTCTGTAGATGACCAGAATGGCACGCATACATCAACGGTGTTTGACCTTTGGTACTGGGACCAGAAGGACCAATGCAACAGCCCATTCCACCTCTGCGTATGTCTTCCTTTGTCTTTGGCGTCATGGGATCAGCTCCGGCAGCAAGTAAGACTTTAACAACATCGACACGGTTCAATTTGGCGGCTCCGTGCAGTGGCTTTAGCCCTTCGCTTCCTTCAACATTGATATCAGCTCCATGTTCAATGAATATCTGAACAACATCTGCGAAGCCGTTTGACGCTGCCCGGAATATTGGCAGCTCATCAGGATTCATGTCCTCAAAGTCATTCCTCGATAAAAGATGCTTTGCAAATTGAGCTAGACCAGTTTCGGCGACGATTTTTAACGGTGTGATGTCGTTAATTTGGAGGCGAGGCCAGGCTAAATTCATCCAAGCATGGGTTGTCTCGGCGAGAAATTTATCAAGGTCATTGTAGAATTTTTCCATATCTTCACCCGACGTCTCTGCACCAAGAGCATGCTTGTCCCAGTTCTTTGCGGCGTACTCCAGGAATGGGAACTCTAATCGAAGTTCACGCTCTCTTTTCTGTTGTGGATTCTCGTGATCCAATACAGTAAGGCTTTGTTTTGGGATTCTTTTGGTCACCTCTACGTTGTTGAAGCGTCCTTCTTGCATGTAGTATAAACATGCGACAGCAAGGTTTGAATTTGTTGGACCTGCTTCAAGGATGGGATACCAAGAGCTGTCTGAGGATTTCGATCTGGTATAACCCTTGAGGAATTCGGTAAACGAGTGATGGATCACCGAAACAGTCTCATCTGGCAAGATTTCCAGAAGTGGCCCGCAAGCAGATCTGACCAAGTCTTTTGTTTCCTTCAAGGTTCGACTGCCGTCTGAATCTCGTGTATTTATCATTTCAGCAATCTCCAGGAGTCGGAGTGGGCGTGTCGCATGTGTGGCAAACTGAAGAATAAGCAGCTGGAGCTCAAAGGGAACATTTGATCGCCGAGAGTGCTCTTGCAGTAGTTCATTATACATGGTGTTGAGATCCATTGGCAATGCTTTGAGAACCTCTCGCACATCCGCATCTGGTTCAAGGAAGGCATCCATGGAGATTTTTGCATAGAGAAACATTCCGTTCGCTCGACCGGGGATCGCTTCTTCAATAACACTCCAGTGCTCTTTGGCGATGGATGAACCACGAAGTCTATACTGGACATATGCTTGGATGTCGCGATCAACCATCATTTCTTCGAGTCGGATTTGAGGGATAGAAATCATGGATGATCTCAAAGATCTCTCCAACCGGGCCACCGGGCGCGAGGTCATTAAAACCTTGATATTCTTTGGATGCCAACGGCCAAGCTCAACCAACACGTTGAGAAAGTCATCATTTCCGATGTCCATCTCATCCAAAGCATCTGTCACACAATAGGCATTGGTGAGTCCACTCAATGCCATCTTGAGGTCATCCCATAGATCCATTGGTGACAAGCTATCGAGAGACCGCCCGCCTTTGACATCTCGATTAAGTTTAACCTGTAACGGGGGACTGTAATCCAGAATTTGACACAGCCAGTCTCGTAAAGCAACGATGGGCTTGTGATTGGCGTAGATGATCTGTCGGAAGAAAAAATAGATCACTGGAACATTCATATCCTGTAGTTGTTTGATTATAGAAGCAGCCATGACGGACTTTCCGGAGCCGGGTATGCCTTTGATCCATAGCAAGCCGTTGTCGCCAGAGTGCCATTGCTGGTAGACTGGGGTTGAAGTGAGCCAAGCGCCAGTCCCAAGTAGATGCGAGGCACGATGCCTAGAATATTCGCTTCTTTCAAAGTCGTATGGAGTTGGCTGAAGCCATTTTGTGATTTCAGCGAGATCTTTTGCTGGTAGGGGAAGTATGTTGTCCGAGTTGAAATCCCGGACCTCTCCTGGAGGAACCACGACGGTTTCGCCGTCAGAGTCTGATAGAGACATGATTCGAAATTTTAGTTCGAAGACAGGTTCTCCAGATTCAGTAGGCAAAGAGGCGGTTTTGAAGAGGCTGGGCGGGGCAAGTATGGAGACAAGGCCGTGAGGCTTAACTGGGCATGGGCCATGTCTTAGCGCTTACCATAATTCAAGGGTATGCAACTCGGTTAGAAAAGTAGTGCCTAGGTGGCTTTGTGACCCACGTCATCTGAGTCATTAATAGGCATCTTCAATATTCTCGTCTGCAAGTACCATCGCTTAAGCAGATGGGTGATGTAACATGTGAAGTGCGGGAGTTATCTCACCCCCGCATCCGCACACAGCTGCGAAACCCGTTCTGAATGATGAAATGACGCATTATCCATAACCACAACAGATTTAGGTTCAGGCCATCGTCCACAGTGCTGAAGAAGCTGTGCTAAAAAGTCTTCAAACACAGTGGCATCGGTTGCACCGCGGAATACACGCGAGAGAATAATCCCGTCCTGAGTGTACGACGGCAGTATCTAGTACCGCTGGTCGCGATAGAACTGTGATACCTGTAGGGGCGCCACGCCGAGTGGTAACTAGTGTTGGGTGGCTAGCACCCACAGAAGCACGTGAGGACTACACACGTGACCAAAGCGGTTGCCTATCACACCGCACAGATAGCTTTTCCAATGAGATCAGACTTTATGACCCCATCATCCAACAACTAGCCTATACGCCTGAACCCAGCCCTCTTATCGCATCTAGATTCATCAACATAAACTAGATTATACGATGGAAAATCAGACTAGTTGTGGAGGTAAATTCCTCGCAGATCGGTATTACACTCCGTTGCATGCTTCCGGGCCGTCGTTTTAGACCAACCTTTGGCTACAAGGGCTCTTCTAATGCTAGAGATTGTGATCATGGTGTGGAACTCATCCTAGAGGAAGACAGCCATCTCATCGAGGTATAGGCCCGGTTTTTCCGACAGGTAATCGCAGAGCGCGTCGATCATAAGCGGTGTTACGGTTGGTTTCCGACCTATACGAGTTGGGGGTGCGTAGACGCTGCCGAACTGCCGCAAGTTTCTGCGAATATTCATGATCGTGACCTTGCTGCATTCGGCTTCTTCGGCCATTTGAGTTGTGGTTAGTGACTGGCACTCTATTATGTCATGGATGAGATGCAGCTTTGAGGGGGGAAGTCTCGGGGCCATATTGCAAGCCTAGTCAGTGTAGGATGTCGCTCAAGAGGAATTTACAGGGGAGGAAGTCTGCTGCTAAGGGGAGAAGAGAAGACGGGTTGAGTGGTATTGTATGTATTGGCGTTTCCTGTAAGTTACACCAGATCAGGTCCCGGCACGTTATGTAAAATACAATTCCTATTTTAAGAACCAGGGGATCGATGGGGTTACTATATCTGGACTAGCGTGTTTCAAAGTGGGGTTCGGGAATGAAAGTCTAAGAGTGTAGAGGTAAATCTGATTTCGAATTCTACTGTATCTTGTGAGTGTCCGAACAGCACCGAAGATAGATAGATTTCATCACAATGGGATAGACAATGTTCAATAGAAATCGATCAAAATTAGTGAAATTGGTGTGTATGTTTAATGGGTGCCAGATTGTTGCTACTATTAAAAGAATAATAGAGTAGTCCTAAAGTATAATTATTAATTAAAGAATTAGGCTTACTCCTAGAGAGAGAGACTAGTTAATAGTTATATAGAGTAATATAAAGAACTAAGTTCTTCCTTAGGAGTTTATAGCTATAATTAGTATTTTCTAGATATTATAGAAAGAGGTATTAAGATAATTTATAGTCTTAATAATAAGTTCTATAAATTTAGTCTATTTAAAATCGTAATATTATATAAATTAATAGCTAACTATATTAATCTTAATATAGCTATTAAAGTCTATAAGTATTTTATACTATTTTAGATAATAATTGTCGGGATTAGTAGTATAGAAAATAAGAGAGATAAATAAATGCCTAAGGGTCCCTATGCGGTAGGGCAGTCCTTAGAATAAATATTTAAAGAGAGAAATACTACCTCCCGTAGAGGTGGGCTACTACTGCGGCGTAGTAGCTTACCCTAGGAAGATGGATGAAGATAAGGATAATAAGAGAGAATCTCTCTAGTCTGCTCTAATAGAGAGGAAGGGTAGTGAGAGGAGAATTAAGATAAAAGCTCTTATTCAATTTAGTCTAGTTTTTGAGTTATATTTATAGACAAAAATATTTAGTTTTATATAAAATGAATGGCCTAATTGCTTAAGGTTATAGACGTCATAAAGTGAGGGGTAGGTCTTATAACCTTGTCTTATGACTAGGTCTTATAACCTAGGCTAATGTAAAGAGAAAGTATAGTAAAGGCTGAAGTGAGGGTAAAGTGAGAGAAAAGTGAGAGATAATTAGAAGATTAGATAAAGGCGGTGAGAGATAGCAGAACGGGAACTTCAGCGGGAACTTCTATATTAAATTGGAAGCTCTGGAAATCTACAGTTATAAATGCAGACACCTAAAATCCTAACAATAATTATAATAATTAGAGTATAAAAGTAAATAAAAGTCTCTACTTACAGATATTAAATTATTATTATAAAGTTTATACTAATTTAAGGTTATTTCCTAGCTATTCTATACTTTATATAATAATCTAGATCTGAATATAATAAGGGTAGTCTAGTTTAAAATAGTTAAGACTATTATAAATAAAGTACTTAAGAATAGAATTACTTTATCTAGCTATATTTTATAAATAATATAGAGGGTTTCTAGATTATATTAATTATCTTAGATCTTAGTTACTTCCCTTTAAAGGATAATAATTATAAGACCTAGATTAATTAGATCTAAGGTATTTAGGGTCTTAATCCTATTATAATATTATATTAGTATTATTATTATAAAGGCGTTTAGGTACTAAAATAGACTAAATAAGATTCTAATCATATATTATTATAATAATTATTTTATCTTAAGTTTTTAATAAAAGGATACTAAAACTTAAGATAGCCCTTTTTAATTAAGATTATAACTTTATAAAAAATATAAAAATATAATTTAACTCTAATTTATAGTCTAGATATTACTCTCTACTATAAATATAGAAATAGAATTTATAAGGATCTTAGTATAATAACTAAAAAGCTTTTTTAATGTAGTCTTAGATATTAGCCTAAAGACTAGCGAAAATTTATTAAAAAAAAGAGTATCTATTCTATAAATATATTCTAGGATTTAGTATAGTCTCGCTACTACTCTAAGGATTTTTTATTAATAAACTTAGCCTATTTTACTCTGTAAAATAAGCTTATAAAACGCTAAACTCTATATATTTTCTAAGTATTAATATTATACTATCTAGATATAACTTTAAATATAATATTAAGATTAACTAGCTACTTTACTGTTTCTAGATAGAGATCCCTATCTTAAAAAAAGGAATATTATTAATCTTAATATCTCTTCTCTAACGTAATCAGCAAGCGAGCGGCCTACCTAGCTATTTTTTCGCGTCTATATACGTCGTTCTATTTTCTACTAACCATAATATCTCTAAAACGTACTTAATTAAGCCAAAATTCTATTAAGTAAGAGGGCCGCCTCGAATTAGCTATATAGGCTATAAAAAATAAAGAAATTACCTCTATCTATAAGATAGTACGTTATTTTAATATACCTTATACTACCCTCTATATATATATTATTAGCTACCTATTTTGATCTTAAATATACGCTAATAGCTATAAATTAATCTAGACTAAAGAGGAATCACTTAAGAAGTAGATATTATTAATAGATATATATAGAGTAGCCCCTAGGCTCTCTATAGTATAAGAAATAGTGAATCTTTTACTTATAATATATAGTTTAACTCTAATCTAGATAGTTAGCGAAAAATAGGTTATAAACTATATTAAAAGATAGCTAGAGCTAAAGACTCGTTTTTTATATTAATATAACTATTAGCGAGTAAAATAAGAGGATCTAAAGGTATCGGGATTGGTAGTATATAAGATAAGAGAGATAAATAAATGCCTAAGGGTCCCTATGCAGCAGGGCAGTCCTTAGGACAAATATTTGTAGAGAGAAATACTACCTCCCGTAGAGGTCAGCTACTACTGCAGCGTAGTAGCTTACCCTAGGAAGATAGATAAAGATAAAGATAAAGGTAGAGATAAAGGGTCTCTCTAGCCTACCCTAATAGAGAGAAAGGGTAGTGAGAGGAGAATTAAGATAAAAGCTCTTATTTTATTTAGTTTCGTTTTTAGGCCACATTTATAGACAGAAATAATTAGTTCATTTGAAATAAGTGTGCTATTTACCTAAGGTCATAGATAGGTTAGGCCTAATAACCTCAGTTAGGTAGGCAAATTGAAAGAGAAAGCATAGTGAAGGCTAAAGTAAGGGGAAGTAAAAGATAATTAGAAGATTAGATAAAGGCGGTAAGGGATAGTAGAATAGGAATATTAACTAGAACTTTCTATATTAAATTAGAGGCTCTAGAAATCTATATATATAAATATATATACCTAAAATCCTAATAAGATCTAATTTTATATTAAACGTCTTAAGAAGCTCTAAGCTTAGCGCGATCGCCTTAATAAGCTATTAGCTAAGTTAGGCTAAAACCCTATTAAGCTAGGCTTAAACTAATAGACTATTAACTATAATATAGAGCGGGAAAGAGATATTAAGATTAATAATATCTCTACTATAAGAATATAGATCTCTATCTAGAAACGTTAAGAGTAGCTAGTTAATCTTAATATTATATTTAAAGTCGCGTCTAAATAATATAATATTAATACTTAAAAGATATATAAAGCTTAGCGTTTTATAAACTTATTTTATAGAGTAAAGTAGGCTAAGTTTATTAATAAAAGCGCCTAGAATAATAGCGAGAATATACTAAATCCTAGGATATATTTATAGACTAAACACTCTCTCTCCTATAAACTTTTACTAATCTTTAGGCTAATATCTAGAACTAAATTAAGAAAGCTTTCTAGTTATTATATTAAGATCTT